TCACCGTCCGATTGATAAAGTTGATGAAGGACCCGACATAATCCTTCGTTGCCCGTTATATTCTTCCAAGCCAGTTACCCCAACCACCTTCCTGCTACCGCTCCGAGTAAAAGTGCGAGAAGCTGATAGAGCTACGACCCCTAACATCTGCAAAGTCACCGATAACGGAAGGGTAGCAATATGCCACATCGCGGCAACGCCTCTCTCAAGGAAGTTCCACAGGTTCGCATTGGCAGCCTTCGCAACGACCGCCGTGAAGGCAACCGCGTCGTCCACGCGGTTCTCCAGCTCCCATAGCCGCTCCTCCATCTCGAGCTCCTGCATGCTGGTTTTCTTCTCGTAGCGCCTGACCGCACGGTTGAGCGCGTCAATCTGGGGCTGGATGGCCGCCCTGATGTCCCGGGCCAACGCGGCGCGGGTCTGCTGCGTCTTCTGCTGCTCCTTCATCGGGTCGTTAGATTCGGACAGCAACCGCGCCTCCAGTTCCTCGATCCGGCTGATCGCATCCTCCAACTGATCCGATGTGACAGCTGGAATGTGGTAAGGGTTGGCATGCACTATCCGCTGCAGGTGCAGTGTGGCATCCATCGCGAGCTTCAGCATGTGGAGTACCGTGGGGATTTCGGCGGCGATCAGGAAGGCGCCGAGATTGAAGGAGGAGAGGATACTCCCAGCAGGGCTGCCCAAGGTCTTCCGGACATACCAGAGGAGGTATGTCGTTGCGGCGGGGGCTAGAAAGCATGACAGCAACGCCCATCTCTCGTGGGATCGTAGCTTGGCGCGGGCGACATCGACCACCTCCCGCGCCTCCATGCCCTGCCTGCCCGCGCGGGACGGGCTTGTCGCCCTAGATGAGCCCAGGCCGCTGCTTGGCTTTGAATTTCGTTGGCTGTCGAGGTCGGCTCCTTCGTTCAGCACTCGGACCTCCTGGGCGGAATGGTACCATTCCCTGCACGACGTAAATGTTCATCCCTTGAAAAAGAGCGGGTTTCCAGCAGAATGAGCCCAACACTCACCACGGTGCTGTAACAGACCACTTGAGGAGGATGGCAGCAAGGATTAACATAATCACATCGCTAAAGAAGGTAGCTCCGTTCTTGAAGACAAGACCGCCAATCGGGGGCACGGCAGCGAGTATGATAGGGAACCAAGACTTCCAAGTCGGCCGCCGGAATCGCACATTCGCCGCCTTTGCGGGATCTGTGATTTCCTGCAAGTCGCGAGTCACTTCGTCAAAACTATACGCCGAGAAGGCGGAACTGCGGCGGCGGTGGCGGCGGGGTGCTGGGGTTGGTTCCGTGTCGGATTCGTCGATCGTGGACGGCGGACAAGCAAGGTCCTGGAGCATTGTCTCGGAATTGGACTGGCCGACCGCGGACCGATGGCGGATGGGGTTGCCTTCACGACGCCCAAAAGTAACGCCGTTACGACTTCCCCGACGAAGCTTCACCGGAGGCTCAGGGGCAACGCCCGTCGACAGTGATGCTGCGGCGTCGCGACTCGACGACGACTCCATGGTGTCGATATGGCTGCGAGCAAGTGCCGTGGTTTAAGTAATGCAAATATTCAAGGCCAGACTAGTGTCGATAACGCCGTCTCTCTCACTTCATATTCTCCTTTGGGAGGAACTGGAGTTGCCGTGGCTGTTACTGATCCTCCCACCATCAATGGCCGTTATTAGTAGGGCATGAGACGGGGATTCAACAACTAATATGTTGGAGCTTTTTGGTATAGAAGCTTAAATAAGTGAAGTGCCGTCATCGTAGCTTCCCCGCGTGGGGAGATACGGGTTACTACCTCCCGATCGGCGGCTCGTGTGCCATTTCCGGCATTCCTCAACTAGAGCTTCCAATTGGAGTGCTAGTTAGCTAGTGTTTTACTTACAGGAGGCTATAGTGATGACGTCGAGCACGAACCGTTTTTTTAAGCTGAAACCGGATTTCGTTATTACTTACCGGAACTAGTTGCATGTAATAAGTTAGTTATATATATTCCTTAGACGATCCAAGCGAGGCAAGGAGAACGTAGTAAAAGAAACTTTTTTTTTTTTGAATCAACACTCTTCAGTGCCGACTCTAACAGCAAAAGCTGGATGCACCCGGGAAACCGGGGACCTTTCACAGAAGCGCATCAAGGTCAATGCGAAGCGAAAATCATACCACTAGACCATGCACCCGCTGATATCCTGAGCCTGGCCACAAGGGACTGTGCTATCTTCGTCTCAATGGCTGGCAAGCTCTGGCAGCCAGCTGGTGGCCAGCTGGACGACCACAGCCTGGACCAAGTTGCAACCATTCGAAGTCGCAGTGCGCCAATCGCCATCCATCAATCTGCTTCCAGAATCCCGTCCCGATCAAGCTCGCACCTGCATACTGGCAAAAGTCTTGAACCAGTTCTAGTCCAATCATTCCATCTAATCCGCCAAGCGCCTGCAGTCCGTTTCCGTAGTCTGCACGCCCATTTGAGCCTGCGTCTTTCAATTGGACGGCGTTCAACGAGACGTTCGCACCAGGGTGATTTAAGATTGCATGACGGGTGGAGAAGGGTGGTCGACTGAAGGCTTCTCGCTTTGAGAAGAAGGGGCGACATACCTCCACCACCATCTCGGAGGCCGTTTCGGCGGCCGCCGCTAGCAGGTCGTCCCCACGGCTTCCACCACGGCACCAGCAGCTCACCCCCGGTCCCCTGACAGAGCGCGTCACATTAATGCAGCGGCCGAAGCTGCATCGTCGTCTGCAGCAAACCCGAGCCAGCCGTCGCCGTCGCGGCAAATTCTCCACGCTCCCACTCCCGCGCCCGCTGTAGCCGCTACCGCTCAGCCGTCGCACAGAACCGGTCCACTGCAAAGGGGCCTCGGCGGCGCCCCGGATTCGTTCCCCCAATCGCCCTTCCGCACCCGCCGCGCCGCTGCGCCGCCCCCTCTGCGCCGCCTCGATCCGTCGCGCCTCTGGAACCCTACCAATTCGACCCCGAGGGATCTCGCGCCACCATCCGCAGCCGGTAGGCCCCGGCGTCAGTCCACACCGCCGCCTCCGCCGGTCCCGCTATCCCGGCCTACGCTCAACGTCGCCGGTGTCCCTTCCGAACCCGTTGGCAGCACTGCTGGCGACTACCCGCTTCTGACACTCGCAGAGGAACACCAAGTCCGTTCTCCAATCTCGAACCGGCCATCTCTCTATCTCGATCGCTACGCCGGGGCCGAGCAGCGCATCGGCCTGCCGCCCTCCGTCCGCCATTCATACGACGGCAAGCGGGCCAGTGCGACACCCTCGCCTGCCCAGCAAGCAGAAGCCGGTCCGTCAACGAGTCGGCCGCCTGCCCGTCTAATAGTTCCCGAGGCTCGGAGACTCGGAAGCAGGGGACCGAGTTTCACGAGACTGCAGGGGCCCGTCGGGCTTAGCTTCCGGCCTCGATCAAGCCAGAAGGAGGACAAGGGGAAAGGCAAGGCAGGCATGGCGCCTCCCGAGGATTCCCGGGACGCCTATGGCCCGGACCTAGAACGTGGGCCGGATGTCGTCAATCAACGCCATTCCACGGCGTCCCAGATATCGGGCATCGGGTCTGCCATATCGTCAAGCGACTCCTCGATCATGGGAGATCCGGATCAGCCACCAGACACGGGCGATGAGTGGGGGCCGCAGCATCCCTGCTACCCGCACCTGAACCCACACGTTCCCGTGGATTCCCCCGAGTATACCACAACTCGAATCATCAGGGTCCGCCGGGACTGGCTGCTGGAAGGCGACCTCGCGCCGACCTTTTCGAATCTGTATCCCGACATCTTGGACCCGGCAGGGGTGACGGAGCACGAGTTCCGCCGCATCATTGACAAGCTGAATAGCGAGCTTGTTCCCATCTTCAGCCCGTACAACTGGAGGAACATCGTGGACAACGTATTGGGTCTGGCGACCGGTTGGCTCTGGGACGACCTGGGCTTCACGGCCGCCAAGACACGCCTCCGCAACCTCGAAAAGTGGATCGAGCAGTGGAATACCGAGATGGAGAAGGCAGTCAGATCGGAAGAGGGCGTCATCCCGCCCAAGATCGTGCCCCTGAGGCGAACTGGGTATATGACGGTATGTCTCTAGTCGGCTGCATCGCTCAAACCTTGCGCTAACTGCTGCAGCTTGACATACAAATCCCCGATCCCGAGCTCGCCCCTGAATCACCCACTACTCCAAGCGCTTCTCGTGACGGCCCGGTATCGTTCCCAGTTGAGCCTCCCGCAGCCGTTACCGCCTAGGGCTTCTTTGCCGGACTTCTCGTCTTGTTCTATTCTTCTTTACCATATCTATAATCCGTCTTCTTGCAATGACTGATGATGTATCATACAAACCTATATACCCCGGCCTGTTATAATTGTTTGTAAACCACGTTGTCCTATGTTTCTAGCCCCTCTCGACCGGGACAAGAGTTGTCCTTGCTTTTTCTCTCATGTTCCTGGCATACCGGGCTTTGCAAGGAGAGTAATACGGGGTTTGGAATACTATCAGCAGTAATATCTCTAGAGCTCTTAGATATGCGGAAGAGAACTCGGACTACTACCAAAACCGGGGCTTCTTCATGTTGAGCTGCAGCGCATGTAGCATGTACAACCCATGAGTTACTATGCACGTGCTATGGTACGGACAATATGTCTTCGAAAGCGCTGCATGATGCATCATCATGTCACGCACGATCCCGTCCTGTTCCAACAGAAAGCTCTGTCCAATCACCGAAATAGAACCGTGATTCACAACCCCACCTACACTGATGTCCGTGCATGACTTTTATGGTTGCTAGTTTTGCTAGCGGAAAATACAGCAACTCAAGGATAAGCTGCGTAGCTAAGCGGAATAGCGCCGGGCTCATAACCCGGAGGTCACTCGATCGAAACGAGTCGCAGCTAATTACCCTTTTGGTTTTTTTTCCATTTTTGGTTTTGCCACTGTACTTCCCCTACTAACCTTTTCCATGAGCTACTAGTACTCAAGTGTGGTTCCTCTCGTGCTTTTCTCGGCTTGCTGCACTCCTTCCTACATATCTGCCTGAGAGGGCGCGCCGTATTCTTGCTCTTCCGTATAGACTCGTTCCGTTCTCCTCATATTCCTGCACAAAAGGTTCAAGGCGGCAAAACTCACGACCGTCCTCCCATCCATGTTCATTGTCCACATCATGCATGTCGCCCCAGCCCCAGGGCAGTTCTTCTTCGCCTCGTTCGCCGCCTTTGAGACTGTTATTTGCCCCAAAACTTCCACCGGCTTGAGTCGGTAGTCCCTCTAAGAAGCCGGCGCTTTGCCAAAGCAATAGGGGGCTATTTAGCAGGTTAAGATCTCGTCAGTTATCGCGATTAAGGTATGGAAGCAGACGAATCAGTCCACCAAGTAAGAACGGCCATGACCGCCACCACCACCACCACCACCACCACCACCACCCATGAAATCAAGAAAGAGCTCCGAATCTGCCAATCTTCATCGTGTCTGGACCTTGTGAGTTTCCTGTTTTTTCAACTGGACCTAGGGTCTCATTCAGATACTAGTTCCTCATCCTCACGTTCTACACGACATAGCAGGACAGTCTCCCCAGTCGTCTTATAAGTACTTAGATAGCTTCCTGGCTTCTGTCATACCACCTCGGCCTAACCCCTTATGCTCTCTCTCCACTCCCCTTACACTCCCCATTACTCCCCCCGGAATTTAACCCCCCTTGGCGTGCCCTTCTTTGCCCATTCCCTCAGCACATTCTTCTTGATCTTGCCCGTGCTCGTCTTGGGCAGCTCCCGCACGATCTCGGCCTCGCGCGGCACCATGAACTTGCTGATGGCGCTCTGGTGCTTGGCCCAGTCGATCACGTCCTCCCCCCTGAGCTGGTCTTCCTTACCCTCCTTGACCGTCAAGTACGCCTTGGGCCGCTCGCCCCAGTGCGAATCTGGCACGGCCACGACGCCGGCCTCGAGGATATCCGGGTGCTCGACCAGCATGGATTCGAGAGCGACCGAGGAGATGTTCTCGCCTCCTGGACAGGCGAAGACATAGGTCAGTGAGAGCGAAGAAAGCGCAGGGGTGGGGAGGGGACGTAGACCGTACCGGAGATGATGATGTCTTTTGCCCGGTCCTGTATTTGGATGCTTCCGTCCGGGTGCCACACCGCCAGGTCCCCCGAGTGCAGCACCCGGCCGGCAAAGAGCTTCCGTGTCGCCTCCGGGTCCTTGTAGTATCCCTTGCAGCAGATGTTCCCCGAGAACACGATCTCGCCAATCTCCTTGCCATCCTTGGCCACATCAGCGACCACCCCATCGGGCTGCTCGTCGGGCTTGATCACTCGGATGGGCAGGCTGGTCAGGAACCCGTGTCCCTGCCGAGCCATATTCGCGTACTTCTCGTGCTTGGGCAGGGCATCCCACTCGGGAAGGACGTAGCCGCGCGTGATGGGCCCGTACGTCTCGGTCATGCCATAAACGTGCACTGGGACAAGGTTGAGATTCATCATCTGCTCGACTATCCAACAATGTCAGCCATTTTCTTCGCGGATCGGCGTGTCTCGGGAGCAATTCGGGAGCAAAAGGCCTGTCTCAGGAGCACATTGACTCCCGAGACAGCCAGATTGGGACATAAACCGCACGAATGTGACATACACAGGTGGGCGGTCGGCGGGCTGGCAGCTACTGTTACGCGAACGGGGCGTGGGAGCACCTCGGCGTCTTGGTGGGCGCACAGCAGCGTATTGACGGTCGGCGCTGCGTTGAAGTGCGTGACGCCTTCCTGCTTCAGGAGCTTCCAGATCAGCGGGTAGTCGATCTTCCGCAGGCAGACATGCGTGCCGCGGACCGCGCAGACGGACCACGGGAATGTCCAACCGACGGCATGGAACCTAGGACCATCGATCAGCCTCGTTTCGGAACGCTCAGGCAGCCCGTGAGTCATGACCACACACTTACATTGGCAACGTCCATAGGTATTTGCACCGGCCGTCCGGCACATTCAGTCCCGACTCGACAACGTTGGCCAAGGCAGCGAGGTAGGCGCCGCGATGCGTGTAGATCACGCCCTTGGGCTTCGACGTCGTCCCCGAGGTAAACGGGATGGCGATCGTATCGTCCTCGTTGGCCACCGTTTGCGACAGCAGGCCCGTCCACCCCTTGCCCCCCGTGTCCCGGTCATACTCCAAGCCCTCCAGAACCGCCTCGTCGTAGGGCCCGCAGAGCGCGCCCTCGGTCGCACCTTGATCCAGGTCCACAATAACCTCCACGCTTGGATAACTCCTCCTGAACCCCTCAAGCAGCCCTTCAAACTCCTGATCCACAACCACAGCATCCACCTCGGCAAACGCCAGGATATACGCCACATCCTCCTGCTTCAGCCTGTAATTCACCGGCACTATGACTGCCCCCGCGCTCGCGATACCGTAGATGCTTTCCAGAAACGCGGGCGTGTTTGGCGCCAGGATGCCCACCCGCTTCCGCCCCTTCTTGCGTAGGTAGTATGCCAGCCCGCGCGCGCGGTCGGCCAGCTCCAGGTAGGAGCGGCGCAGCACGCGGCCGTTGGCGGTCAGGTGGTAGACGGCTTCGGCGTGGGGCTCGATGGCGGCGGCGCGTTCGAGGAAGAAGGTTGGGGAGAGCTGGGCGAGGTGCGGCGGCGGTGGCCCTCCATTGTGAATATGAGGTGCGTCGATTGATGGAGAGTGGTTACTATGGGAGAGGAGGTGGCTGAGGATGTTGCGTAGGCGGGAAGTAGGGCTGGACATGGTGAGAGTCGGGGTGCAAGGACAAAACAAGTTCGCAGGTGAGGAGCTGGAAAGATAAGTTGGGGCTGGGAATAGTTATAGGGAAGGCAGTGTCAACAACTGGCTGATGTCTGGAGCCGACCAAAGCCGTTGTTGCCTAGGTATGTACTAGTATGTAAGCCGAAGACACCAAGGATAACGAAGCGAGCGATCGACGAGCGGACGTACGGAAGAAGCCAGGACCAAGACGACAAGGTAATATACCTAGTCTCCGTTTCTCGTCCTGGATTCGCCCTGGCGAGGGTTCATCGCGAGGTATGCGGGCCAGCTCGGAGCTCCATCTCCAAGTCCCTCCCCGGCTTAAGCCGCACCAGCGCAGTCAGCCAACAATGGGTTCTCCGCATTCGTTGCTGCCGTCCAAGGCGGACTGAGCGACTCAAACTTGCGGAGGCGCTAACCGCATCGGGTAGCAAGATGATGCAATGAGATCCGCGGCGATGGAAAGTCCAACAGCCACAATTGGGAAACCTGCACCAGGGCAACATGTCCAGAATGGGGACTGCAAAGCAAGTCAAACCCTTTGAACTGCCCCATTCCGATGGATCTCGAGCCTCTTCAAACCTTAATTGCACGGCACAAGGGCGGTTCATCCCAGGATCCTAACACCCGGGCCGCCATCGCCGGCACCCCGCACTATGCATGCTTGCATGTGGGACCACTGCCCCATAAGGATAAGCGTCAAATTCCCCACACTTGAGTCCCCCCACTTCATGACACGGCCCGGGGGTCATGGAAGAGTCGTTGAGTGAGAGTCGTCCCATCCTAATAATCGGGCAGTGTCCTTCCGGCTTCCTTGAACAGATGGAAGACTTGACCCATTAAAGTCACAACATCCAGACGATTGCCGCATGAGGGAAAGAAGCGAAATGGTCAGCAGACGTTGACGCCCGAACATGAATGATGAACCATCGTCGCTCGATCATAACTATCATAACGCGATATCATCAGCTAGAATTCTCTTTGCTGCAAAGAAGAAACCACAACCGGCATAAAGAGCAGATCCCAATCAAATAGTACCAGCAAACCCCAGATAACTCCCACCAACCGCCCAAACCACCCAACTCTACTCCTTCTTGATCAGGCTGTCAAACAGCGGCTTGAGACTCTTGGCGCTCTTCTTGGGGTAGCGCTTCTGGTCGTTGGCGTAGTCCACATACGTCACGCCAAAGCGCGTCTCGTAGCCCTCGGCCCACTCAAAGTTGTCCATGAGCGACCAGGCCATGTAGCCCTGGACGTTGACGCCGTCCTCCGCGTGGGCCAAGGCCATGGCGTGTACGTAGTCGTGGAAGTACCTGACGCGGAAGTCGTCCTCGACGATCTGCTCGAGCGACATGTCGTTCTCGCCCTTGAGCGACGTGCCGTTCTCGGTCACGTAGATCTTGGGGTACCCGTACCGCTTGCTGAGCCAGTTGAGCAGGTCCCGGAACCCTTGCGGGTGCGGGCGCAGCCAGAAGGACTGCGTCTCGGGCCCGATGCAGTCGCCGTTCTTGTTGTAGAAAAGCGTCTCCAGGTTGCCCAGGAAGTCGTCCTCGGGAGGCACGCCCTTCTTGTGCTTGATGTAGTTGGCCGTGTAGTGGTTCATGCCGTAGAAGTCGTTGGAGCCCTTGACGAGCGCCACCTCCTCCGGCGTGAAGGTCGGCAGCCGGTCGCCCAGCTGCTTGCGCATCGACTCCGGGTAGTGGCCAAAGTAGATGGGGTCGGCGAACCACGAGATGGCGAACTCGATCTTGCGGTCGCAGGCCTCGACATCGAGCGGATCCTCGGGGTCCCAGGGTAGGGTGGCGTCACCGTTCAGGGTGATGCCGATTTCGCCGCCCTGCGTGGGCTTAAACTCCTCGCGGTAGCACTTGACGGCTTTCCCGTGAGCAATGAGGATGTTGTGGCCGACGATCCAGGGCTCGCGGGCGCTGTCACCGACGGGCGACTTGCTGCGGTCCGACGTGTGGCCCGGAGCAAAGTAGCCCGAGTTGTAGCCCAGGATGGACGAGCACCACGGCTCGTTGAAGGTGATCCAGTGCTTGCACTTAGGGATGGCCTTGAACAGGACGCGGGCGTAGTTCTCAAAGTCGGCCGAGAACTCCTCCTTGTTGAGGAAGCCGCCATAGCGCTTGTCTAGCGCATCGGGCAGGTCCCAGTGGAAGAGGGTGATGAAGGGCTCGATGCCGGCCTCGAGGAGGTCGTCAACGAACTTGACATAGTGGTCGATGCCCTTTTGGTTGATGGGGTCGTTACGGCCGCCGAGCGGGATGATGCGTGACCACGAGATCGAAAAACGGTAGGCGGTGGCACCGAGCGACTTGAGCAGGTCAATGTCCTCCTTGGTCCTCTTGTACGAGTCGCAGGCCACAGCCCCCGAGCTGCCGTCGGCAATTTTGCCGGGAATGGCGCAGAAGGTGTCCCAGATAGACGGCCCACGGCCATCCTCAGTAGTAGAGCCCTCAATCTGGTACCTGCAGAAAGGACATCAGCTAAACCATGTCTCTGAGTAGCGCCCGGATGCAGCGAAACTCACGAAGCGGTGGCGAAGCCCCACTTGAAGCCCTTGGGAAGAGACATGGTGGACAGTTCAAAACTTCAAGTTGGCTGTGTGAACGGATAGAGAGACGGGAGGATAGATAACCGTCTTAGCAGCTGAGGCTTCAAGATAGAGAAGGGACTTGAGCAGCGGGGGCAGTTGGAAGGAACGCGGCGACTCTGCCCTATCTTATATATTTCAGACCTCCATCACGCCGCTTCAAGCCATTCTTCCCCCATTCTCCCGCGCCTCTCGGACCGTCAACACCGAGAAAAGCTAGGCATAGCCTGATATATGCGGGCAGCAATTGCACTTTAGTGGAACATGGCCCCGCGTGTGTTTCGGTAACCGGGAGACCAAGAACCCCCACCGCGGGGTGTGTTTGGTCCCTTGGAAGGGACGGAAGAGACAGTGAGTGGCCAGCGGCCGCCCCAGCCAGGATCCACGAAAGCGGTGGGCCCCACCAATCCACAACGGAAAATAAGGCCAGGCCCGGGCCACGGATTCGGAAAGAGCACACGGAACCCGAAAGCCACGTTCTGGGAAAGAACGAGGTAACCCAGGCACCGTACCGGTGTACAAATGGGGGGCTTCTTTTTCGGCTGAGAGCCGCACTGTCCAGCAAGCAAAACCCTCCTCTGTTGGCGTTTGGAGACAGACGAATCCATCTCACGCCCCGCAAAATGCTCGCGCAACTCGCTCACTTCATTCTCTCCACCTTGGCATCTTTCCCCGGAAGCGCGGCCCGGATAGAAACAAGCAGGTGCCCCAGCTGGGTAAACTTCGGCAGAGGCTGGCGGCGCTAGAGCGGCTTACACGAGACAAGACGTGATCACGGGAAGACGTTACCGTAGGGAGCCACGGCACGACACCGCCCGCACCGAGATGAGCATCCTCAGCCGCCGACCCATCGCACGGCACGTTCGAGACGAGACCTTGGCCACCCGTCGGCAAATCTCCGGGCGGCTGGCCACCTCCTCCCGAGTCCTGACGGTTAAACCGCGGATGACCTAGCGATTCACGAGCCTTGCTCGCCACGGATCTTGATTCTTGATCGCGGTTCGGCAGACCATCCCGTCCGTCCAAAGAGGGCAAGAGTTTCGAATTCTAATGAGTCCTACCAACGTCGGCAATGACAACTACTTATACCGAAGGCACGACCATTCATCGCTATAGCCCTTGTTGACCATGGTGGCCAAGTTGAGAGCTGTATCACACTGAACTGCGGCCCTGGCAATTACAACCGGGTCGCTAGTTACCGCGTCGTAATATGCTAACGTTTTCACTTCCGCCCTCATGCAAGCTACCTAACCGCGCGTCTCCGGGTTACCAGAGCTCTCCCGATGAACGCCTCGAGAATTCCGCCCCTTGAGACTAAATCGACCGTGCAGAGTGATATGTCTCACAAACTTTCTCCACAGCAGTATTGCTGTATGTCGTATAGCCTTGACCAATCTTCGTTCGCAGATCAGGCAATACTACACGGCTTTGCCGACTGAGCTGCTCTTCTTCTATAGTCATAGTACGGCAATCTGCCGCCTTGTTTCCGGAGCAGGCCCTAGCGCCGGGCTAGATGAACCCTAGCCAGCCATGCAGTCCATGAACTGACGGGGTCGATGCAGTCGTAAGGTAAGTCCAGCACTACTATGGCATTGGTATTGCATTGCGTACATCGGCAAGCATCGGACGAGGAGAGACTCGGTGTTCCAAGAGCCACGTCTCATTGACTCGGTGACGACGGGACGAGTTTCCTGCTCCCGAGTCCAAAAAAAGTTCATGGGCTAGCGGTTCGTACGGGACGCCAGACGCAAGTATCTCCGGCAGACTATGCTCAAGAGTCAGTACATTGCAACCTCTACCCTGTCGCACCAATTCAGCGCCTTAACGACGGCCTAATCAACCCCGAGCAAATAAGCCACCTTATTGTTCCAACCCCTCCATATCCCCAACCCCAGCAGCGCCCTCGACATCATCAAGCTTCCGCTTCAGCGGATTTTCCGCGGTTCCATCATCAGACCATTCGATGACCTCCCATTCCACCCTCACCGTACCCGACCGATTCGAACCCCAACCCATCAACGTCCGGAACGTACCCAGTCTGACGGCCCTGTTGTGTGTACTTGTACCTGTATCCAGTCCTGACGAGGCGTCACACATCTCAGATTTATCCACCGGTGCCGAGACTGTCCCTTGCACCCTCGCCGCAACAGTCTCTTTCGTCCTCTCGCCCCTCTGGTTCTCATTTCCCACTCCTACCTCCCTTACGGTACTCTGCTCCCCCCCCTCGTCATCCTCACTATCGAACCCAGGCAAGACACCTATATCTTCGAGATCCGCATCCCACTCGGCCTCCAAATCCGTCAAGCTCCGCGGCGACAAGCTCGCCAGCGCGAGGTGAATGAAGTCAGCCTCGTCACGCGGTTCTTCGGACCAGAACGAGAGCGGGGTGCCGCAGAAGCCGCAGAAGTGGCGCATTGTGTGCTGCGCGTGCGGCGGCACATATACGCGGTGGATTTGGGAATTGGTCTCGTCCGGGAACAGAGGCAACGTGGTGCTGTGGTACCATGGGAGCGGAACCCGGAGGTAGGGCGTTGCTGTTGCGTGGGATGAGCCTAGGGCAGCTGGTGGTGAGCAAGTACGGAAAAGAAGAAGTAAGGTGTTTGATTGCCCGTAGTTTGACAACGGGGGTTCTTACGCCGTGGTGGATGTGAATGGAATAGCACTTGAGTAACCTGGCTTGTCGGATGCGGATCTTTGGGGAATTGGATGATGTAACGATTACGACCGCAGGTGCAACCGCCCCTGAGAAGACCCTCGACGCTCATGGTTTCGTTGAAATAGAAGCGCCCTGCGCTTACGAAGAAAGCCCTGCGGTCAGCGGGCCAATGAAGGAATCAAAAGGGGTAGTGGTTGGCTTTCGACGCGATGTTTCCTACGAGTTTAGATATGGTCAGAACTGGTAAGATGTAGCAAGTCGTCCTAGTTGAGCGGCTGTTTGATGCAATCAATTGACTACCTACGTAAAGACCTCTTGACGAAATGCTTCTCGGCAGAGGGTCAATGCAATGCTAGGGCGGCACCGGAGGTTCTTTACTGTAGAAATGCGGTTGGAAGCAAGCAAATGTTCTTTTGGAATCTTTTGATCCGTCATCAGCAATGCAGCTCGATTTTCACTTACATCAGTGCTCGGTGGCCAACCCCACCTTGTGCATGAATGGGTGCGTGCTGTTGGCTCATCACTTCCGAACTGGCCTAGGCAGGAAGGCTCCCAAGCTCCGTTTGCCCCGTCCTGCGGGCATACATCGATCGGTACTACTATAATAAACATACCTAGTACAAACATACCACAGTAGGGTACCCGGGTAGGCGACTGTTCCAACTTCCCGGAGGAGTACATTGGGTGTCAGTCAGGTCCCGAGGCCACTCGGCGGTATTCATGCCTGGTAATCAAGCAGAGACAGACTCACCATCTGCCTAGTACTCGCACCATCGGCTTGTAAGAGCAGCGAACATTATTCTTCTGGAAGTGAGACGGAGGTGGTCGCATATCGGGAAGATCTTCGTCTCTGTGTCATGTGTAAAGGTACCGTACGTATACGTAGTGTGAGTATTGTATTTCATAGGATGCGCCGTTGTATTGTGTTGTATACGGACACCTTACACAGTATGTAGGCCATGTAGGTAGGGTTCTCTGCAAATGTACGAAGTAAGTTTCAGCCTTACCATCGGGCGCAACGTGGTCCGAGCTTCACTCGATCATTGCCACAGTCGTCCCCACGTTGTCGCCAAGCTTCAGTTTAACCTGCAGTCGCGTCTTCACGCGCACCTAAGCGAATTTCTCAACACTCCCAATTTTCAGCTTCCGGGTCCTTCATCGCAAATCCTCAATCCGGCAGCGCTACAAATACCTACGACAGCATGGCAGCTATGTAAGTCTCCCTCGCCATCTTTCTGTCACTGAACAATGTCCGCGTGATGTCGCCCGACGTCGACTTTTGCCATCCCTAGCAGCCCGATCTCCTTGACTCGCCACTGACGCGAAAATAGCGAGAGTTTTGACAATATCTACCTGGACCTGTCTCGCGACCACGGCAAGTGCAGGTTTGCGGAAAATGGCCTAGGCTGGAAGCCCGCGGGCGGCGGCGATACCTTCACCCTCGACTCGAGCAACATTGGTGGGGCGCATTGGAGCAGAGCGGCCAAAGGCTACGAGGTGAAAATCCTGCAGAGGAATTCGGGCGTCATCCAGCTAGATGGTTTTCAGCAAGAGGTATGCTGGAATTCGCGAATGCGACAGCACAGCAGCTGACTTTGCAACAGGACTATGAGCGTTTGGTGAAGATCTTCAAGAACTGGTACAGCACCAACCTGGAAAACAAGGAGCATTCGTTGCGTGGCTGGAACTGGGGCAAGGCCGAGTTTGGCAAAGCCGAGATGTCGTTCAACGTGCAGAATCGACCCGCATTCGAGATTCCCTATTCGGAAATATCCAACACCAACCTCGCCGGCCGCAACGAGATCGCGGTAGAGTTTGCCGTTGGTGAAGGTGGCAAGGCGAGCGGCCAAAATGGCGCGACACATAGCAAGGGCAAGAAAGCATCGGCCGGGAAGGACCAGCTCGTCGAAATGAGATTCTACATCCCGGGCACGACAACAAGGAAGGAAGCCGAAGGCGGTGAGGCTAGCAGCGATGCGGACGAGGAAGAGAAGAACGCGGTCACACTTTTCTATGATACCCTCATCGAGAAGGCAGAGATCGGAGAGACGGCAGGCGATACGATCGCCACGTTCTTGGATGTCTTGCATCTCACTCCAAGAGGCCGGTTCGATATCGACATGTACGACGCGTCATTCCGCCTCAGGGGCAAGACATACGACTACAAGATCCAGTACGAGGCGATCAAGAAGTTTATGGTCCTTCCGAAGCCAGACGATCTTCACTTCATGCTTTGCATCGGCCTCGACCCACCCCTTCGACAAGGCCAGACGCGGTATCCGTTCATCGTTATGCAGTTCAAGCAGGATGAGGAGGTCACGCTGGATCTCAACATGTCGGAGGAGGAGCTCAACGGCAAATACAAGGACAGGTTGCAAGCCCACTACGAGCAACCGCTACACCAGGTAGTTGCGTACATCTTCAAGGGACTGGCCAACAAGAGGATCACGGCGCCAGCAAAGGACTTTACAACGTGGGTTACCCTCCCCTTTTGGTTTCGCGGCACATGCGCGCATACTGACTCTTCCGCAGACACCGCCAACAGTACGGCATCAAGTGCTCGATCAAGGCGAGCGAAGGCTTCCTGTACTGCTTGGAAAAGGCCTTCATGTTCGTGCCAAAGCCGGCGACGTATATTTCGTACGAGCAAACACAGTCCGTCACATTCTCGCGTGTCGGAGGCGCTGTCTCGGCCCTCTCGACCTTCGATATCACAGTGCACATGAAGAATGGTGCAGGCTCCTCTCAATTCAGCAACATTAACCGTGAAGATCTGAAGGCACTGGAGGACTTCTTCAAGCTCAAGGGGCTGCGGGTGAAGAACGAGATCGACGAGGATTCTAAGCTTCTGGCCGCGGCCATGAGGGATGAGGCTATGGCCAGCTCGGACGAGGAGGTTGTCGGGGCCAAGCCAGACCGCGGCTCAGCTGACGAGGACGAGGAGAGCGTTGATGAGGACTTCCAAGCTGAGTCCGAGAGCGACGTTGCCGAAGAGTACGACAGCAACCACGAGAGCGACGGGTCTGGGAGCGCCGAGAGCGACGTGGATAATGAGGTCGACGACGAAGATGAGGACGAGGATATGGACGAGCCGGAGGAAGAGGAGACGCGGCCGAAGAAGAAAAAGAAGACCGGTTGAGGGGCCGCTGGCGCTCACTGTCGCGATAGGGCTGTACTGCAACGGGGTCTGGCGTTCGGGTCTTTATGGTCTGTATACCGTGTTCTAGCTCTGCCATTACCTTGCTTGACTATGAATGTATATTTACAGAGCTTAGAGATTGCTTGGCCTTCTGTACAACCAGCATACAACGGCGCTTTGCCTCTGCTGTTGGATCCTCTGTTTGCATATTCCCTAAGAGTCAGGACATGCCGAGAAGGCACGTGCATGACTACCTCACCTAATTCCCCACCAATTTACATGCCTGGTAGTTACCCCACCACCGGTGGTTCAGCTAGGCACATTCATCTTTTCTGATTTCGCTGCCCCACCTCCAACCCAATCCGCAGCGCAAGCATTCCACCGAGCTTTTGTTTCGACGTAATTCTGGGGATTGATTTTGCCTCAACGATAGAAATTACTACCTCTTCGCTCGCTCGCTCAACCGTTGGCCTACCCACCGCTTTATCATCTGTGCAGCTTTCCTCCATCACTTACACAGTAGATATACATTTTTCCTGTCGTGCCGTGAGACCGCAGGCAACAGCGTCGGACTGAGGGGTCGCCCAATGTGTGTTGGGCACTGCATCTGCCGTACATGAGAATGCCGAATACGTCTCGCACTGCACAGCTGCTCGGGGTATAGTAGCTTTGCGAACAAGGATTCCGCGTGCTGCGGGTATCGAGTCCACCACGCAACATACGTTATTGTCCGGCGATGGACACCCAGGTGAGCACAGTCGCCGCTTCGGCAGCCGTGCGATACTATCGCACAGAATCGAGTTGCGGTGCCTGTTTTCCAGGCTTCACTGCCGCCTGTCGTTTTCCAGCGTACTTACGCTAACCACTATGTTCGTGTGCAGATAGAGAATGCGATCGAGATCGCCTGGAACCCTACGTCCAACCAGGCCCTCAAGGGCCAGGCCTTCGAGTTCCTCAACCAGCTGCGCACCGATCCCCAGGCCTGGCAGGTCTGCACCACACTCTTCACCCGAACGCCCCGGACATCCGAGGTAGTGCGTCTGGTCAGCCTCGAGATAGTCAACAATGCTGTCCACTCGCAAGCAGTTGACGGCGCCGGGCTCGGCTTTCTCAAGCAATCTCTGCTCGACTATGTCGGGCGCATCTACAGCGGCGACGCCCAAGAACCCATCGACCCACCACACATCCAAAACAAACTCACACAGACACTAACCTACCTTTTCGTCTTCTTGTACAAGGAGGGCTGGGAGAGCTTCATTGACGACTTCCTGGCCCCCGCCCAAAAGGAGAACAACCTCCCCGGAGTGGTCATGTACTTGCGCCTACTCAGCTCGATTCACGATGAGATCGCCGATCTCATGCTGAGCCGGCCAGACAGCGAGGCCAAGCGCAACAGCGATCTCAAGGATCTGGTGCGTGAGCGGGACATGAGGAAGATCGCCGAGTCTTGGAGGGATCTACTGGCTCGGTTCAGCAACCAGAACGATTCCGTGGTCGAATCGACACTGAAGATCATCGGCAAATGGGTGAGCTGGATTGATATCCACCTTGTCATCAACCAGGACATGCTCAACCTCCTGTTGCCCCTGGTCGGGAGGACGAATTCCACCGGCGGCGAGGACAAGGTCAGGGATGCGGCTGTGGACACCTTCACGGAGATTGTGGCCAAGAAGATGAAGGCTAGCGATAAGGTAGAGATGATCTCGTTCCTCAACCTCCGCGAGATTGTCACGCAGCTGCTGGCAAGCCCGCCTCTGCACGAGTGGAAAGGGACGCCCCGGTACGACACGGATCTCGCCGAGGCTGTCGCAAAGCTGGTGAACAACATCGTGGCCGACGTGGTTCGTGTCCTGGAAGACGGCAAGGCCGATACCGATACGAGGGCAAAGGCCGAGCAGTTGCTCCGGGATTTCTTGCCATCGCAGCTCCGGCTATTCTCGGACGAGTTCGACGAGGTCTGCTCGACAGTCATCCCATCTCTCACCGATCTCCTGACTTTTCTCCGGAGGGTGGGCCCGCTGCCTTCCACGTACTCTGAGATGCTGCCCCCGATCCTGAACGCCATCGTCCTAAAGATGAGGTACGATGAGACGTCTAACTGGGGCAACGAGGACGAACAGATGGACGAGGCATACTTTCAAGACCTGCGTAAGAAGCTCCAGAATCTACAGAAGAGCGTGGCATCTGTCGACGAGAATCTCTGCATAGAATTCCTAAGCAATCTCGTTGCGAATATGTTTTCCACTCTGGAACAACAGGGGTCGCAGATGGACTGGAGGGACCTTGACCTCGCGCTGCACGAGATCTATCTCTTTGGCGAGCTGGCGCTGCCCAACATGGGGCTGGCTCAGAAGAGTCAGCCGAACACCATCGCTGCTGAACGGCTTGCCGTGATGATGAGCAAGATGGTCGAGTCAGGTAAGGACCGCTGTTAACATGACATTTTCCTAGCTCTTGCTGACATCTTCTCAGGCATCGCCAACTATCCGCACCCCGCAATAGTACTCCAGTATATGGAAATTTGCACCCGATATTACAGCTTCTTCGAGAACCAGCAACGTTACATCCCGCAAGTGCTGGAGAACTTTGTCCGCCTGGTGCACTACGACCACGTGCGCGTCCGAACGAGGTCCTGGTATCTGTTCCTCCGGTTTGTCAAAACGCTGAGGGCGCAAGTTGGCAATGTGGCCAAAACGGTTATCGAATCTATTAGCGATCTTCTGCCGATCAAGGCCGAGGTTCCTGGCAACGATGCCGATGATGACATGTCCTCTGACGAGTCGGACCACTCGGCCGACGCTGTCTTCAACAGCCAGCTCTACCTCTACGAGGCCATCGGGTGCATCTCGTCAACCTCGGCCACGCCCCCAGCGGACCAGGCCCTGTACGCCCGCTCCGTCATGGAGCCTCTCTTCTCGGACATGAGCGTTCATATGGAGCGGGCAAAGGCCGGTGATGCGCAAGCCGTGCTCCAGGTGCACCATATTATCATGGCTCTGGGGACGCTGGCGAACGGCTTCGCGGAGACGACGACAGGTCAGCCAAACAAACGACCGCAACCGCATGAGGCGGTAGCCAACGAGTTCTCGAGGGCTTCTGAGGCTATCCTGATTGCTCTCAACCAGCTCAACGCCAGCGACGACATCCGGACTGCGTGCCGGTCGGCCTTCTCCCGGCTGCTGGGCGTCCTGGGCGCTGCCGTCCTGCCGCAGCTCCCGCAATGGATCGAGGGACTGCTGTCTCGTAGCTCGAGCAAGGATGAAATGGCCATGTTCCTCCGGCTGCTCGAGCAAGTCGTCTACAACTTCAAGGGAGAGATTTACAACATCCTCGACCTTCTTTTGACCCCTCTCCTCGAGCGAGTATTCAGCGGCCTGTCCGAGCCAATTAGTGGAACCGACGACGAGATCCAGCTACAGGAGCTGCGCCGCGAATACGTCTCGTTCGTCCAGGTCATCCTCGTCAACGACCTCGGCGGCGTTCTGGTCAGTGCCTCTAACCAAGGCATCTTCGAATCCCTCGTCTCCTCGATCATCAACATCGCCAAGACGCTCACCCACGGCAACCTGGTGCCGAGCCGCACCGCCTTCAACGTCCTCAGCCGGATGGCCTCGCAGTGGGGCGGCCCGGACGTTGCCACCATCGGCGAGCACCCGACCACGACGGGCGCCCCGGCCCCCGCCATCCCCGGGTTCGACCGCTTCATGATCGACCAGTTCCACGGCCTGTGCTGGAGCGTCCTGCAGGATCCCCGATTCAGACCCAACAGCGATGCCCAGTCGAGGCAGATCCTGAATGAGATCGCGGGCATCCAGCAGGTGATCTACGCCAAGACGGGCGACACATTTGTGCGGCACGTGCAAGGGGTCACGTTCCCGCAGCTGGGGATGGATGCGACCGAGTATCTGAGGGTGCTGACGACGTCAAGGGAGCGGAAGCCGGTTGTGTCCTGGTTGTTGGGGCTGCTTAAGGGGAGGAGCTAAGGATAGGTGGGCCGAGGGTTAGATAGGGTGGCGTCCATATGGGCATATGGAACCTATGGACTATGTATCTAGTTGCCGTCTCCTATTGATCTAAGGCCGGCTGGGCAGTAATACATTCATGTTGATACCTACCGTTCTGTTCTGCGGATCATTGCTTTCTCGGGCTTGGTCTTGAAGTCTGACTTTATCCTCTTCCTTTGTCCGTTGGAAAGATTGGGTTTGCTTTTCTGTTCCTCAGCTGGGAGATGCTACTTCGCGCCCATAGCCAACATAGATATAGATCTGTTGTGTCTGGCCTTACCTTTCTTTGTGTGCATCTCATGCTATCACCGCCCGAGTTGAGCACTGTCACTCCCTTGATAAGCCGGATCCCCTCCTTTTTCTTTTCCCCTCATAGACCTTCCAATCATACAGGACAGGCCCGTCCAAATCTTCAGACCCCGAATGTTCTAGGGCGGAACCATATCTTTGCATTCACTGGCAACAAATCACAGCGAGCTCCACAAGAGAGCACGCCACACTCCTGATCAGAATGAGCTAAAAGGTGTCGTATCTTTCAGGGAAGACATGACCGCTCATCGGGAAACAGATTGATACTAGCACAAGTAAGGACAGTCCGTAAACAATGAGGAACAGCCTGCATCTCGATTCCTATCCGCCTCTACGTATTTCTTTGGCCTTAAACCAACCTGCCTCATGTATTATCCCTGGTACATACATACATAACAGCCCGATTGCCCCATCTGGCATCAAACCAGAGCAACGTTGATGCACTATAGCACGCTTGCTCAGTCAATCAAAATTCTCCCCTCCAGGTCGCCAAACCGGCTCAGAAACCCCTCAAACAGCCTCACGGCATACTCGACATCCCTACTGCCGCCTGTCTCCCGTATGCTGTGCATGCTCAGCTGTGGGTTGCCCATGTCCAGCGTCCGGACGCCCAGCTTCGCAGACAGCATGGGCCCGATGGTACTGCCGCAGGGCGAGTCGTTCTTGACGACGAACAGCTGCAGCGGGACCTTGGTCTGCCGCGCCACCTCCTGGATCAGCACGATGCCGGGGGAGTTGGTGGCGTAGCGCTGGTTGGCGTTGATCTTTATGACGGGGCCCTTGTTCATGGCCGGCGTGTGGTTGCGCTCGTACTTGGCCTGGTAGTTGGGGTGCACCGCGTGGGCCATGTCGGCAGAGAGGAGGAAAGAGGTAGACAGGGTCTGTTCGAAGGCCGTGGAAGCCGCTAGTTCCTCCACCGTTCTGTCGCTGTCTGTGGTGCACCCGGGGAGGACGGAAAGGCGGCGGAGGATGGCGGGGAGCAAGTTTGAGTCGGCGCCGTGCGCGGAGAGCGAGCCGATCTCTTCGTGGTCGAAGCACGCCACCAGGCGGATGCTGTTGTCGTTATCGAGCGCGGTGGACTGCACGGAGGAGATCAGCCCTTTGATGCTGCAGAAGGTCATGTTGAGGTTGTCAAGGCGCGCAGAGAAGATGAATTCGTCATTCAGCCCGCCAAGGCAGGCCTTTTGGGTGTCGTAGAGAACCAGCTCGAAGTCGATGATCTGGGATACGTCGACGCCAGCTTGCTCGGCTACGAGGGTGAGGAAGGAAGGATGGTGACGCTCGGGCAGCGCCCTGAGGGGCTCAAATTCGCCCTCCTGCACCTCCGCGTTCTCGTTCCCCCCGGCCTTGTTCAGCTCGGCCTCCGCCAGGCCGGCAATCGGGAGCAGCTCGTCCTCCTTATTCGGGTCAAAGTTTGTCTGCCGGTGGAGGTGGATCGCCAGGTGCGGGATCCGCAACACTGACTTGTCCACCTTGACGAGCTTCTGGACGAAGTTGCCTTCCCCTTGACCTTCCCGCACCAGCACTCTGCCGGCTACGCTCAGGTCACGATCTACATGTGATTTGGTCAGATAGGCAGAGAAGAAACACCCACAACAGGTTGATGACCTCGAAGTCTTACCGAGCCAGCTGTGCCAGATGCCGCCGCCGTACGTCTCAACTCCGACCTGGAGGTAGCCGTTCGCGGTGCGCTTGCTGATGGGTTTGACCCGGAGGGTGGGAGAGTCGGTATGAGCTCCAACCATGCCGATGGGATTCCCCGGTCGCCAGCGAGCGCCGACGGCAAAGGCCACGACCGAGGAGCCGTTGCGCGTCAGGTAGTACTTGCCGCCGGGCTTGACGGTCGACGCCCAGTTGTCGCGCTCCTTAATGAGCGTGAAGCCGGCGGCATCGAGGAGCGCGGCGGCGCTAGCGACGGCATGGTAAGCTATGGAGCGGCGGCACTCTTGTCAGCAGGTCGGGTCCTCTGAGCAATGAACTGCGGAGGCCTACGGGTCGGCGAGGCGTTGACGAAGTCGAGGAACTCGAGGGCGGACGTTGGCGGGGACATGGTGGCGGACGACAAGTGGCGGAGACGCGATGTCGCTAGTGTCACACGAGCAGCTCCGGGTTGAGAAACGCGGAGGACGGGGCGGGAAGGGGATTGGCCGGGGACAACCTGGGCAAACTGAAGAGAGACAGCCCTCCAGATTCGCATTGGGATGGTTATTTTTACTGGCGGGAAGAGAGCGATTGCTCTGATCCCACACCCCACGCCGACTCCTGCTGATCGCCGACCCTCAGCGGGGTCAGCTCCAAACACTTTGAGGCGTCAATGGAGACGGCCCACACTTGGTACGCCGCGTGCGGATTACAGCTGTTGCCGCAGCGACTGTTTTGCCGAGCGCCTGCTCTCCTACGTCGCTCGTGCGGCCGAGGGCCATCAACCGAGCTAACATTCTAACAAATTAGCCGGGTCGGACCTTCAGCGGCGCTGATGTCGACGGGAGGGCATGTAGGAGGCAATGGAGAGCGTGAAGCCCACGAACGTGGGGGTAAAATGTCACAAAGAATTCTTGACGTTATCGGTTACAGTAGAATCAGCTTCACGATCTCTCTGCCTAATAAGCCCGTCGGCCAATCAATCACTGCGCAATGCGAATCAGCCCCGCTTTAGCAAGCCCCACCTCAGCACGGCAGCTGCCGCAGTCCCGCTCAGCCTCGACCGGGTCAGCAGTCCGGAACCTTGCAACTCATCAGGGCAGGCTGGCATCACGATTCAGCTTCTGGGCCAGTCCCAAACAAAGGAAGATCCGTGCTCGCATAGTGCTCGCGACTCCGTCTTGTCGTCGAGTCCGCTTGCCTCTCCTACCTCTCTATCCCCCCCGTGAAGTCTCTCAGGAAGTGAAGAAGAAGCGGTCAAGGACTCAAGATGACCCGCGTGTGACTGCCTGATGAGTGATGACAGATGATACTGCACTGCCCACTTCCTTCGCCGGATGACACAGAGAAGAGTTGGTCATGTCCGTTGGACAGCCGTGCACGTACATGTATTGTACATAGTAAGGCCTCTTGGCCTCATAGGTAACAGACCGCGACACCAGCCGAGTCCAAAGTGCAGCCTGGCAAGCCTGGGCATCAGGTTCCTCGGTGTCGAAAATCTTCACCTGCAGTCGAGCCACTGAAAGTGACAGGAACAGAACAGGACGGTGGCCCGGATCGAGTGGCCTTTCACTATCACTGCATCAGAATGCGATGGCTTGCTTGCGGACTGCCAGTTGTCTTGAGACAGCACATGCATGGCCCTCTGTGACGGCCAAGCAGCCCTGATTTGACTGGACAGAAGAAAAATTTTCGGTACTTCTGAGAGGGACAGAGCTCTCATGGGAGTAGTTCATCTTTACCTCCACCTCCCTTCTCCCTCATCATACCCGCAAGGCTGCCACAGTTTTGTGGCGCGTCTCCCTTCCTATTACGGGAACAGGTCGCACCAGCAAACTGTTACAGCTGCAGGCGCCAACCCCCAATGGACACTTGTTCCGCGTTGATTGAGATGATTCTCGCTTGGGGCTATGGAAGCCTGTGTCATATGTGGTATGCTGGTAGCCTTCTTGCACCATCGTCGAATGGCGCTACTCTTATGTGCGGTGGATGTTATGGCCCTGCCCGGGACGGGGGATGTAGTGAATCTATTCAGAGCCGCTCATCTGTCGATTCCTATTGAGATGTCCTGCGGATTAGGCCCCTTGCTTTCCTGTATTGTGCCCAGGGGTTTCTCGTATTGCGTACCATCTCTCCGTCCGTCATGCACGCCGGAACACACAACAGAGTTTCTCGCCCCTTGGAAAGGTCTTGGGTGTTGCCAAAGTGGCCATTGACATCCGCCAAATAGCCTGGAGGACGAACGGCTTGAGGTAGTCAGTTCAATTCAGTCTAGGTAAATAAAGGGCCTAGTCATTGACTTGATCTCTAGGAACGCCTAGGTCTACAATAGAGCTACCCCGTCCATTTCTGAAGAGGCTCCCGACAATTTGGCGTGTTCCAGCTACTATTTCCAAATCACACGATGCTCCAACTAGACAGCAAGACAAGATTCTGGTTTTCTTTACTTGGTCAATTTCACACGCTCGCCCTTATAAGACCAATCTATACGAATTGCGCAGTAGGCCAGGCAGGGGATGAAGCCGATCAAAAGCTTGGTAGGTGGCCCTTGGCAGTGCCGCTGGAAACACCTCCGTGTCTGACCACCTGACAATCCTCATACTCGGCTTGACCCGCATCCAGATCCGTGTCGGACGGTCCAGGAGTCTATCTGCATCCATACTCTATGTAGTTGCCGTGACTATGACCGTATGTTCATACACCCGTGCGCCATGACCAAAAACCTCAAATTAACTGTCAATGAATTCTTTTCGGTCACTAGGGCTACGATAATGACATACCTGGAACCAAATTAAGTGCACAGGATGCCCAACTGAGTTGCATTGGCTGATAGCGACTGGGAAATCTTAGGTTAGCAAAGATCGTAGACATCGTTGCTTACTGTGTATGACTCGCGTCGTCTCCTCGTTCGCCTGGGGGCGAGAAACCACTGGCCCCGGCGTCCCTCCATTTCCTGCGATGCTTGCCGAGTTAGACAGACTTGTTCATCTGGAGCTACCGACGAGATTGGCGGTCTGCGTACTCCGTATGTTGGATCTGTCGCACGCCTCCCAGCCTCGAGGTATGAAGAGAGGCAACAAAGAGGCCCCGAAACGGGCGTCGCCCGCCAAGCGGGCCCAGGTGGCTGAGCCAGGGTATATCTGGGTCCGATCCCCACCCTGGACAGAGCTTGGGCAAGACATGAGGATTGCATCTGTACGGAGTATGATGGAACAGGAACACCAGCAAGTAAGGGTGTTGGGGGAGCTCAGCGGGCCAGGCTGGGAAAGTAAGGCGGGGACGGGCGGAGGTGATACGGAACGTAAGGAACCTTAGGTACTGTAGCTGGAATAAAACTGAATCGCTTCCTGGGGTTCAATACATTTACTACCTCTCCCAACCTTGTCTTACCGTGGTACTAGAGAGTGGAGCCTCAGCAGCATCCTCTGTGTATTGTAGGGAGCTGATTGTAGGAGGTCGTATACGATAGTAAATTCGTGCAAAGCGACCGGATATGTACAGCAACGTATAGATAAGACTACAAGTTTGTACACGGTTGACTTAAGACAGCAAAGATCGGTGCAAGGTATAAATGTGGTAGGCAATATCACTTATAGGCGTGCGAGCTGCCCTTGGAAGTTGGACGGACATGCAGATGACATGACTAACACTCTATCTTAAACGTAGGTGGACAAGCTCGTACAATCATCCGTATGTACGGATTACTCTGTAGAAGGAGCTCAGTTGCGTGCAGGTGGTTGGTCACGGCTGTTTGAGCGGGCCCAACGCCACCAGCAGGACAACAACCGATGTTGCACCACTCACAAGGTATCCCGCCTTGGGTTTGCCTCGTCGCGGCACCATTCTAACTTCGTTGCATTTTCAGTTCAGTCACAGCTTGCCGTCAATTGACGAGGGAAGACAAAAACTTTGCTTACAGAGGTAACCCTACACACCCAGCACCTGGGCCTAGCTGAACTTAATTCATCGCATCACCGTTTCCAGGTTGTAAGTGTGGGCCCGACGGACGGGGAAGGCATAGTACTAAACATTGTTCACGGATGCGCCTCGCAGCTGTCGTCTTAATCAGGTCCTTTATTATAGACTTGCCATGAGCTCGCCCTGGTTGCGGGGAAGGGGCGGCATTCACCCTTCTTTCGCTGGCCATCGGGCACCCCTGGCCTGAACCTGGAAGCGACCCAACTTCCCAAGAGACAATTGGAGAGCAAGGGTCGTCGGCTGCCAGGCTCCATTGCTTTAATCAAACCAATCAGATCAGGTCTCATCCGCAACGCTCAAGGTTTACTGTACGGAAGTACGGACTACGGGTATGTAACGGACGGGTACTTGTACAGATCCGTACATGTGTGTATCTGACACGTCCACGCAACCTGCACTTCGCTGCAGCGATTGATCGTCTCGATCTGGTCACTATAAATCGGGACTCTTGCGTTGTCAAAGTACCGCCAACCTTGGTAATCGCGAGCAGACTGGCTTTGAAGGGACAACGCAAACGTTTGAAGAGAGCAGAGCCGCAGGGAGCTGGCCCAAGCCCCGTGATCAGTTCGTTGCTGCCTTCCCCATCCCTGCTGCCAGAATGTAGACCCAGTGAATGGGGGTAACCTATGGTAGTTACTTTTTGGTGGGAAAAGGTTCCTGGATGACCGACCACAGGCCTGAACAGGTCACCCAATCTTTCTGCTTCTCTTCGTGTATTCAAGTTGTTTTGAGATGAACACCGAAGCGGACAGGGACGAACTCGCGCAAGCAATTGGATGCATCTCACCAGGCAGATCGCCTGAACTTTTGGCGGGGTGTAAACGACCCTGATGCAATGTCTCCTGGTAACCGTGATCCCGACGCCTGCTCAATTTTGATATCGTCTCTCCATACATGCCTTAGACAGTAAAAGTTGTCTATTTACTAAGAGTTCGGTGAAGTTACAGCAGCCAGGAGATTTCCTGATTGAATCTTCAGAAAGCAATGAACAAGAGCGTCAATACAACCACACAGTTAGGTACATACCAATCTCACCGATGCCCCACCCAAGTTGGTTGCTGCACGGTACAAATACAGGTACGGAGCTGCACATATCTGTGTCTTGGCTTTTGCCCAGGTCCCACCTACCACCTACCGCCCACTTGAGCAGACCGCAGCCCACTTCACCCGCCCTGCCCTGTCCAGCGAGGTTGTTTCCCTTCCGACTCTCACCTCTCATCCCATACCACCTCGGCGCCTCTCCCTGCTTGCGTCCTCAATCTTTCCGCCAGGCACGCACGCGATCGTCAGTCATTTGCCCTCGCAGCAACACAGTCGCTTGTGTTGCGACCATTTCTTACATTCTTGTTCCTTCTTGGCTTGCTATAGCAAGGCTGGTTTCCGTGTGTTGCAATTCCGCCTTCTTCGCTCGGATGCGTCTCCACAGTCCGTTCGCCGATATCCGCCACCATCACCATTACCGCCACCATCCTCCTCGCCAGCACGGCCCGGCAAGGCATTCGCTTGACTACTAGGGGTGACAATTGCAAATCAACACAGCACGAAAGCGTACAGCTTATTCCACTGCGGCCAGTGCCCACCAGTTTCCACGCCGTCACCACGTGAAACCTCAACCCGATTGTTACATTCATTTGGCGTTCCGCCCGGAACCGTTCCTTTTGTTGTTGCTAGACCAGAAAGTCTCGGAGGCCAAGGCGAACAAGGTCGCGGCACGTCAACTTAACGGGCAACGAAATCCGCGAGCCGCCCTCTTCTCCCCAGACCCCACGCTCGACGATTCAACTCCAAAGGGGAACTGCCGTGGAATAGATGGTGGCACTGTAGACGGCTGTTCGACTCAAGGCTGCTTCTCGCCCACTTCGGCCAAAGCCGTTCCATACCTCAACGTCCTCCGTGCACCGGGTCGCTGCCTGTGACCCGGCTGGCGCCAAATCTGCGAGAGGCTAACTTCATCGCCCCTCTGCGGCCATGGCCGCCAATATGCCACAGATGGGCCCGAACGGTCAGATGATGATGTTGCCACAACAGCAGCATCCGCAACCTCCACAGCAGCCAAATAAGCAACTGAATCAACTGGTCTACAGCAGTCTGATGCAGACAATGCACCTGGCGCCCATGAACTCATGGCAGAGCAGCGTCAGCATCCAGGATCGCTTCGCGAAGGCTGTCACTCTGTACGACCCCATATTCTCTCTCCGATGCTTCATGCTGCTGCTCCGTTTGCCGTCCTTTACCTCCCCGTCCCAAACGCTAATAGTTGAAAAGGGTTTCGAATACGATTCTAGCGTACCCGCAAAATCAATCCGAATGGCAGAAGCTCTGCCACTCGGCATTAGAGTTCGAGAAGAAGGCGTTCGTGCAATCACCGGACAAGGTAGGCACTACCCTCGTTGCAGCTCCAAAGCCTGTGAGGATTCGGCCGTTCTTTTGCTGACACGGGTGCAGCAATCCTACGATCACGCCATGCAGTCACGGATTCAAGAGCTTGTCAAGCGCCGGCAGAACCTGGTCCCCGATCTACAGAACCAACTGAACACGGATGCTGCGAGGCAAGCCCAGTTGCAGGCGGTCCAGCAGCGACAACAGCACCAGCAGCAGATCATGATGAACCAAATGGCCACCGCGAGGGGCTTGGGCCAACAGCCTCCCCATGGGTTTCAGTCTCTGCAAAGTCCGATGCAAGTCCCTGCCATGGCTCAGCAGCCGCAACAGATAGGCATGGGAATGGCGCCGCCGGGCATGCTACAAAACCGACCGGAACAGCATCAGTTCGCCATGCAGATGGGACAAGCACGGCAGCCGCCATTCGTGCCCCCCGGTCCAGGCCAGCTGAGTGCGCATGATAAGGCCCGGGTCAACGAGCTGGCTTTGCAGTCCATGAACCGCACACCAGAAGATGTTAAGGCTAATATCAGAAACATGATGCGGCAAAAGATGTCGCCCGCCCAGCTGGCAGACGCCGCGGCAAATGGAAGGGACATAGCGCTGATCTGGTTCCATAACTACGCCATGAACCAGCTGCAAAAGAACCCGCAGCAGCGTGGTATGATGCAGGCGCGACCAGGAGGCATGCCGCCCAACATGATGGCTCCGGCACCACACCACGGAGGACAGATGAACCCCGCCCTGATCAACACGATAGCTCCGCCAACGGTCATGCCCGATGGCCAAATGTTTGTCCCGAACATGGAGAGCATCCGGAATGACCAAGAGTTGGGCTACCTTGCCCAACAAGCCGGTCAGGTGGTGGTACCCGCCAGTACTGCCCCCGGTCGAAATGCAGCTCCTGGTGTGATGACTGGGCTCGGGCCACAGCAGATGCCTGGTAACCAACAGGGCCCAAATCAAACACCGCGGCCTCCACAAGGGCAGCAGCCATTCGGTATGCCGCCCGTTAAGATGGACGCCGCGGCCCAAGCACAGCCGGGAGTGCGGCCGTCCGCAGGTCGTCCCATGCAAGGCCAGCAGCCGGGCATGGCGGCTCCTAACGCGATGCCCAAGAACTCGCAGAGTCCGGCAATGCTGGGGACCACCCTCAATCCCCAGTTCAGCCACCAGAACAATGCGAGGCCGCCATCCCTGCCGGGGAACCTGAACAACCCGGCTATACAAGGAATGCCTCCGAACCTCACCCCTGAGGCGCGGCCCGGGATTGGTGCCCTACCGGCAAGCGGATCAACGAGGGAACTAATCAACGAGTGGCGCGAGCAGCAACGCGCCGCTAACAATGGGTTTCCGGGCGCTAAGCAGGGGTTGGCGGCCGGGCAAGGGGTGATGCCGCCAGGGGCTCGGCCCCCGGCGATGCAACAGCAGATCACCGGCGAAGGCGATGACATCATGGCAATTATCCAGACGCCGCCGGGTCGAGCCTCCATGAACAGCATGGATGTGCCTCCATTCCTTTTGAATCGCCTCCGTCAGGTCGTGGGCGTTGTGCCGGCGGAGATCCGAAAATGGGGTCAGTTGAGACAGTTCATCGCCAACAACCCCAGCATCAACACCCCGCAAACGAACAATTATCTGAACCAATGTCAGGTAACCCAGTTCAAGCAGTTGTGGGAAAGGAAAAGAGGAGCTGCGGCACCCAGCGCCCCGGCTCCCCAGCAGCAGCAGCCACCGAATCAGCCGATGGCGTTGCCTCCTGGCGCTCAATATCCGCCAAACATTGCGCAGATAACCCCGAATGACATCCAGAATGTCCGCCAGAGGAATCCTACACTGCAGGCCATGCCTGATGAGACTGTCATAGAGATAGCAAGGAAGCTGAAACGTGATAGTTTCGCAAGGAAGGCTTGGGAGATGTACAGGCAATCTTCACAGGCACAAGTTCCAGGGGTTCCAAAACCTACTGCTCCGGTCTCTCAGACTCCCGTAACCCAACACACGCTAGCCACGGCGGCGACGCACCCCAACCCGCCACACGTCGTTCCGCACCAAACGGCTCTGCCGAAGCCTCTGGGAGCTCCGGTAGCGGAGGCGGCCGCCGTACCTGCCTCGGGAGCTCTCAAGAATGGCCGCGCACCACCTAATCCTTCGCCGGTGACCGCGTCGAAGAACTTGAAGCGGTCAAACCCCGACGGTGCGGGCGATATGCCCGGCCAGCCGGCCAACGCCGCGCCGCGGGCCGCTCCTCAATCGGACCAGCGAGCTCCACCGGCAGGAGCGCCGAAACCGAGCGCGGAGCAGCTTATGAAGATGCGGGGCCGGCCTGGACCCAGCGGAAATGGAGACGAGGCCGCCGCCGTCGCCCGACTGAGGCTCCTGCATGGGGAAGTGGCGCAACTCGCGCAGCAGGAGGAGAAGCAGGAGGTCATTATTCAAATGTCGCCAACAGAAATGCACGAGACTCGGCAGAAGATCCTCAAGGCGGCGGAGAAGATCAACCTGTTCCGCGGCTCAAGCTTGCCGCTGTGGTACCATCTCACCAAAGATGACTCACGGGCCAAGATGTTCTTCAAGACGGTACGTACCAAGCTGTTTCCCTTTTCTGATAAGTTGAAACTGTACTCATACTTTGTGCAGCAAAGGAAAGTTCTTAGGCAGTTCGTGGACCAGAAAACGATGCGGGGGTTCCGCCCCGGTTTGACCATCTCTAAGGACGAGCTGGATCAGTTCATCAACATGATGGACAGCATGCTGCGCGACCTGGAAGCGCTCAAGAAAGGAAACCAGGAGACTCCCGCCGCCGAGCCGCAGATACCGCAGATCGAGCGACCCGTTCCGGATTTGGTCCTCCCGCCCGCCCGGAAGAAACCCAAGACCGGAGCATCCCACGCATCACCCCCCACGACGCAGCAACAAGGCGCCGTATCGTCGTCGCCCCAGGTCAAGGCACCTTCGCCTGTGGTGACCAGAAAGGCAGAGCCGCCCAAACAGTTGCCTCCCAAGTTAACATGCCCGGAACCCGGGTGCGAGATGGGGTCAATGGGCTTCCCATCGGAGGAGGCGCTCAATGCCCACCGCCAGGAGGAGCATGTCAAGCCATTCGAGAACCCTTACGGATTCCTGCAGGAGCAAATGGCTGCTGCTTTGGGGTTGGATGCGCAAGGCAACCCGAAACCACCCCTTAACCCCAACGGCCAGCAAGGCTCGACGCCGGCGGCGCCGCCCATGAGCGCCACTCGTTCCAAACAAGGCCAGACGCCGAAGATGGGCTCGACGCCAATGTCTCGGGCGGTATCCATGCAACGGCAGGGCAGCAGCGCGGCAGGCGGAAAGGCGGCTGAGAACAGCGGCACCCCTAACACAGCCTTCAAGGTGGGTCAGACGACAACCCGGCAGCCGGTGGTTAAGAATGAGATGGGGACACCCCATGCCCCGGTCGTGGAAGATGCATGGTCGGGCTCGACGGTCGACCCGCAGAACCTGTTCCAGAGCGTCGCTCGCTCGTTGGAATCTGTCACGGGGAGCTTTGTGCCGGAGTTTGGGACGTATCGGTCCCTGACACCAAACGACACGCCGGAATCCAGCAAGGACAGCGGGGCGTCGGAACCGAGCAGTGACATCCCCGAGGGCACCAGCCTGGACATTGACGTGGCGTGGCAGTCGGCGCTGGACAGCGACCTGCTGTGGGACATGAACAACATCAACATGGAGACGTTCGAGGATGTGAACGCGGGTATGTTTGCGAACGAGGAGTATGAGTCGTTGATGTTCTCCTTGGATTGCATGGACGACGACCTCTCCAAATCTTTGAATCAATGAGGCCCGGCGGGGCCGGAGCGCGGTTTTAATACCTCAGGTAATGGAGGGCCGGGCTAAAGCATTGGGTGGGTGGGTTGGTGAACTGGTTAAAAAACGGGCGGTTGGGCGTTGATATCGTCATTGCCTTTTACTGTTGCTATCTATTTCCGGAAGGTGAAGCGACCTACTGCATTGATTTGGGTTTTGAATCTGAGGTCCGGACTCTCTTATGTCGACTCGTTATGTGGTCATTCTTCCATTTCACAGGTCTATTATTATTACCTGTAGACAGTATCTAGGTAGCCTGTGGCTCGCTCGTGGTTACGGTACCTTGGCCACCCTGGAGTTTGGGAGTGTATGATGCTTTTGGGTTATGATGATATAACTGCACATGGGGTGATACCCACATTTCTCACTTGGTAATGCGTACTGTACGTACATTGTGTGTTGTACAATGGAATTTCCATTCATGGTGAGAAAGACCACGCATTGAACGATAATCTGGTTGAAATGGAGGTGGTAGTTCGAGCGTTATGGGTTATGTACTGTACAAAAGTACCTACCTACACAGTAGATGGTTTCCATGGTTCCTGCGATCGCCCCGCTCGGGACTGGAGTGGGTCGCAGGAACCCTCAAGCGCGGCGCGTCAATCCCTGACTTGATCGACGGGGCGTTGAATGCCGTTGAGGGGTATTTGGGGTCCGAGCGTTTCTCAACTGATGGCGCCCTCTGAAATCAACACCAGAAGTGCGGCAGAGCTAGGGTTAGGGTTCGAATGAACAAGGTACTAGTAGTAACTAGTACATAGCACGTGGGTAGTGTGGCAAGAAGCTCCAATTTAAAGTTGAACCCCTGCGCGTCTGGTGGATTTCGGCCTTTGCTTTCGTGTCCCACCATCGACGCGTCGACTTGCTCCGCGGTCCGGGGGCTTGACTGGACGGGTTTATTATCGGCCATCCAACGCCGAGTTTGCACCTCTTTCCTGCAACTTTGCGCGTGCGATCTCCTCTCCGAGACTTTCTGCATCTGGTTGTCTGTGTGCGCTTGAACACCCGTTGCCTATTAGATTAACGTCAAGTTTCTTTCATACCGTCAACCAAGTCACAAAAATGTATACGTCGCCAGTCAAACGCCGTGTCCTCGGCGCTTTGGATCCCAACGCGTGCTCGCCCAAGGCCAGCCCGTCCAAGATCAAGCGTGACATGAAACACGCGGCAACGAGTCCGGTCAAGGCAAAGGCCGTCGGGCGGCGGCAAACGGAACCGGTTGCATCTTTGGGTGCAGCATCCCCTCTTCCGGCATCACCACGCAAGCCGGAGCGGGACATTGATTCGAGGAAACGCCTTTCCCTCACCCCGCTGATGGGTTCGCTTGTCGAGGGCAACGATCGTGACGAGCGAGCGCCCAAGAGGCCGCGTGTCGAGAGTTCCAGAGAAGACGCCCGGCGCCAGGAACCGCCTGCTCACACTGGAGTGCGTGACCCCTCCTTTTCCCACCTCCCCTTGCGTGTGCCTCGCTCGTTGGGATGTGGTATTAACACCACCCTTGCTCTGCCCTGTTAGACTCCGCCCTCATCAACCTCCACCATCAGGTCGACGGCGACGCGCGGCCGCTCTGCGTCCCCCGATACAGCTTCCCTCTTCGACACGGCAGCCGACAATTCTCAAGCCACGGTTGTTACTGAGCCCGACACGACTGCGCCGGCAGCAGCGGCAGCAGCACCCGTTGTGGCGCCGCCGCCGCGGAGACGATTGACGCGTGAGCAGGCTAGAGAGGTATGGCTTTTTCTTCTTTTTTTCTCACCTTTCCCTCTCTTTTCCTTTCAGTCACCACAAGTCAGCCTGGCACGATCCATGAATGCTAAGTATGACCCTCACGGGGAACAGAAAGCCGAAATTCTCCGCCTGCGACTAGGCCTCGCGAGCTATAAAGTCCGCACGGGCCAGACCGATGTGCCGCTGGAGAGGTTAGAGGCCAGGCTCGGCCTACAGAGAAGCCTGACGCGCTCGGGGCCCGGTTCCTTCCCTCACGGCCACGGCCAGACCACTACCGCCTCCGTCTCGACTTCGTTCCCACCGCCGTCGGGTCATGGCCAAGGTCCGGGCAGGAGAAGGCCGCTGCCTGGTGCGCCGGTGCGGAGGCCGGCTAGTATCGGTGCTGAGCCGCAGCATCGAAATCGAGACAGGGCTGAAAGGCATGCTGGTGAGGGCGCCGGCGGTAGCCGTAGCAGGGTGCTTGGCGCGGAAGGCAACCGACGGGGACGGCAATTTCTGCAGGAGGAGCAGCGGCCACATCATCGAGCACGGCAACAAGAGGAAGATGAAGAGGAGGAAGACGATGCTCGGCTTGATGACGGAAGGAGGCCGTCGGTGAATGGAGGCTTGGCGAGACCACGCTCGCCTGCTGCCGATGCCAGGGCGTTATCTTCGCCGAGAAGTAGTCTCGTTGAGGAGGACGAAGAAGAGGAGGGCCTGGTGGGCGGTGGTGATGATGTGCGCCGAGGCGGAGCCGCGAGTGGGCTGCTCAGCTTGGCGAAGAGCTAGAAGCTTCGGACGAAGGACTGGGCGACAAAGCCCCGTCGCGGTCGGCGCCAGGGCGATCTGGGTTGGTCTTGAGGGAGTGAGTACATGAACAAAGCAGGAACGGGACGGGGCTGCTTGTGGTTTGAGATCTTTTACTGTTGGGAAAGCTCTCTCTGGTCTTGGAGAGTAAGCGTTGCCGGAATATGCATGTGTTGGCACCACTGTCGAGGCGCAATCCGGTTGCAGAGCCAGGCATGGGTATTTTGTATTGTACATGAGGGCTATCTAGACGTAATGTTGCCAGCACGTTGTGCTGCTGTATTGGTCAGATGCTTGAGTTGGCTTCCTGACCGCACCGCGCCACGTATGGATAGGATAGGCGTGTCCCATGTCGAGGATCCAGCCCGGTTCGCCAACAAAACAGACCAAGTCCTCCAAATACTGTATTTACTTGTATGTACATACAACATAGGTGGTACTTCAGCTTGCACAGACTGTCTTCCGTACCTGCATCGATGCTAGGCCCCCTTCCCCTGCATTTCAGTTGTATCATGATCCCGATTCTAGAATGCTTCCATTTCGAGTGGTCAGCCAGACAACCAACCAATCAAATATACGCTCCCATTGCTTCCATTCAGGTCTGAGACGGCTCAGCTGAAAATCCTGCAGATGCGATGCAACCCAGGGTCGTGCCCCATAGCTCAGCCCAGGTGCAACAAGGCACGGCCCAATCAAAGATCGAAGCGCAAACTCAGCAAGGGGAGGTTTGAAGGCCAGAGGCGACGCCGCCGCGCCACGTGGGCCGTAGCCGGGGATAGAGGAGCTGAGCGTAGCCTACTTGTGGATGTTATATGTATGTACCGTGACTTGTACTTGTACCCGCTCTATTTCGGATGTTTCGGCTTTGTGGTTTTGTATTCTGTGAAAGACAAGAAAGGCGCTGTCTCCCGCTCGTTGCAAGACCAGTGATCTTTTGTATGAAGTATTGACGGTTGGCCAAATTACGGGCTGATACTGTATATACCTGATGTAGTAGTTTGGCAGTTATGGCGCGGGGGATATCAGTCTGGAACTGGCAACGATGAGAACAACTCAGACACAAACCCGAGAAACGAACACAGGCTGGCAAGTATCAAAAGAACTCTCACGGGGCAGAATCAGTGGCGCTGAATATGCTGTTTCGAACGTCAAAGCGCAATTTCAGAGTCCGAGTAAAGGCCCGCGAGTATTTCCGCACACTACCCTCTCACGAGGAAGATCATAGTAGCATATCACAGCCCAGCCCATTACCTCCCACGCCCCCTCCCCTGCAAAAACTCCCCCAAAGACTCCTCTAGATCCACGTGCACCCTCAACCCCTTCGCCACCATGGTCTCATACACAGCCCTCAACTCAGCATCGTCTAACCCCAGCCCCTCCTGCAGCGTAAAGGCTTCCATGTACACCTCCTTCGACCACGGACACGCCGCGATCGCGCGGTAAAACACCTCCCTCGCCTTCTTGCCCCGCAGCTCCCCGTGCGAACAGCAGAAATGGAGATAGGCCGTCCACAGCTCCACGCTGCTGCCCAAGCACGCGGCGTCGCTGTCTGTGAGCGCGGACTCGAACGCGGCCCGAACCGAGTGTGCGGTGCCGATGCCGGCGCGGGCTTCGTACTGGATGGCGAAGCGCCGCGTGCTGAGGCAGTCGTGGGGTTCGGCGAGGGAGAGGGTGCTTAGGACGTTGCGGACGGGATCGTCGGCGAGGCGAAGTGAGGAGGAGTGGGACCAGGCGAAGAGGGAGAGGAAAATTGCGTTGCGCGGGAAGAGGCGGATGAAGGTTTGGAGCTGGGCGCGGAGGTAGAGTGGGCGGTAGGGTCTATGAGCCGGAGGGACGCGGGTTAGCACCGTATCGTTGATTGGGGGGGGGGGGGGGGTGGGTGTGTGGGGGGTTGCTGGGCTACGTGACATGACGGCTTACCCGTGTGTCGCGTGGTAGTATAATAATCGTGCGGCAGCTTGGAGCAGCCGTTCGTGATGCGGGGAGCCGCTCAGCTTACGGGCTACGAGTTCTTGGGAAAAGGATTCGACGCTGGATAAGGCGGCCGAGATGTTGCCTTGAGTCTCGGACGCGGCTTCAGTGCCTGCCTTGGCGGCCAGATACTCGATCAACATCAGACCCTCGGCGTGCTGAGACGCGCTCTCTAGCTGTCGGGAGGACAGCGCATAGTCCCGGGTACTGGAATGATAAGACCGTGCTTTGAGGAGCAATGCGGGAGATACGGTTGTGTCCTTGAAGTCCCTATCCGCCGAGGAGCACAGTCGGGCTAGAGCCATCTCCCTCTGTCCGGACTGGAGATGAATCCAGGCCCAGGTATTCCAGAGGAGCTGACCGTCACCAGATGTAAGACCTGTCGCCGACGACAGGACATTGTGGCAAATCTCGGTGTTTTGATTTGCCCACTCAACCAAGGCGTACGCATTGTACAGCTTAGTGTTAGAGCTGTATTGTTTGAGAAGCCACTTTGCAGTTTTCCTGACGCTGTTCGGCGCATTGAGCCACTCCATGGCTAGGTAATACTCTGCCAGATCCTCCATCCACGAAGTTTTGACCAGGCACTTGAGTGTGCCCAACACCCAGGAACACTCGACCTGTCTGTCTCCTGGCCGATATGCACTTGACCATTCTTCGAGGTACCGGAACCATGCCTTTCCGGGGAAGAGCACTTCCGGTGACATAGCCATGCTGCCACCCTGCTGGCCGAATTCGGGAGATTTCCTCGAAAGATCCATAGTCTCTCCATGGCGACGGTCCTGGTCCACACCGAGGCTGAGCCGTTCCCCCCTGCCAGCAACGAAGGGATCATCATTCAAGAGGGCCCCAAACCTCTCTTCCGATACAACTGCGGGTGGCAGCCCACAGAACACAAGAAAGGCATCCGCCAATAATGGCCTGACCCGCGGGAGAGCAGCCGACGGAAACCAAACCAGAAAGTCCTTGACATCGGAAAACATGACAACGCGAAACGGGTCGTCCTCAACGCCTTCATCAAGCGTCCTCGCCGGCATGCGCGCCTTCTCCGCCCGTTGCCGTTCGGCCGCTGCCCAAGCCAGGAACGGATGTGTCGTGCGCGGCATGCCATCGGGCTCGTCTCCTTTTGCCTCGGACGGATCAACCATGTTTCCACCGGCCTCCACAAAGTACCGCCACCCTTTCGCTCTCTCCTCCCCGATCCGCGGCACCTCGCTCTCCCAAAAGTCCGCAAACGCCGCCGCGGCCGACTCCACATCATACTCCATCCCGGCCTGTGGTCGATAGAATGTCATCTCCAGCATCGCCTGCCATGCCGCCACGGCCAGTTCCGCGAACCCCGCGTCATGCAATAACCGCGTCAGCCGCAAAAAGACGTAGACCAGCTGCTCGCACAGCTCTTCCTCGTCGCGGTCCTCCTCGTCGCGGTCCTCCTCGTCGCGGTCCTCCTCGTCCTCCTTCTGTTGCTCCCTTCTGGCAGGGTTATGCATCACAACCAGCTCCTCCGTCAGCGCCGCGAGCTTACGTACAATATAGCCCTTCACAACCCCTACCTCAACCGTGGTCGCGCGGCCCATCTCGAAATTCAACCTCGCCCTCCACAGACCAAAACTACTACAACCACTCTTCCCTCCTCCTTCCGTTAACGAACCGGCGACCTCGTCCCATTTCCGCGCCGAAACAGCCGGATCCCACACCCGTGCCCCCTCGCGCATCATGCCCACCAGCAGCCGTTCCCTGTCGCCGGGCCCCGGCGCAGCAGTCGTGTGCGATAGGGCTTCTTGGTAGAGGGCTATCTTGAGCTCTGCGAGGGACTTCACTTCCTCTGGCGTCCTCTGGCTCTGGCCCCGTTGATGTTCCTGGCGGAAGAGGGTGTCTTGCAGGGAGATGAGTTCCAGCCAGGCCGGGATGTCGGTTGGGTGGGCTTTGACGTGCCGCGAGAGGGCTATGGAGCGGGATTTGGCGGTGGAGAGCTCCGTGTGGTCATGGGTGGCTGCTGCGGAGGGGTCGACGGGGGTGGTGCTGGAGGAGACATCGGGATCGGAATCAGAATCGGAATCGGAATCGGAGGCTGCGGGACGGGCCTTGCCGTAGATGGAGCGGTAGTCTGGTGTTTTGTCGTCGTGGTCTGAATCTGTCGGGTCCTCCAAGCCGCGTTTGCGTTTTCGGGACGTGTCTAGGGGGATGAAGTCGTCTGTTGCAGCGGCTGGGGGAGGCGGGTCTGCTGATGGCTTGACGCGCCTGGACCTGGAGCGGTGGGCTGCTTCGACGAGCGCCTTGTCGCGGAACGCAGATCCGCTGCCGCTGCCTTCGCCGGGTGCCCTGATGCTGAATCGTTCGTGAGCGCCCTCGCGGTGGATGGTGAGGAAGCCCCGCGACCCGATGATCCTGCCTGCGCCGAAGCGGTAGTAGGCGGGGACCTGGGAACGGTCATTGCTTCCGTACTGCAGGATCAGCGGGTCGCCGCGCTTGTCGATGATGAAGAGGTCCCCGTCGTTACTAGTACTCAGGGGCAGGGCCAAGGGCGTGACTTGGCGTTCGTCTCTGGACGCCGCTTTTGGGCTGCCCGGTCGTGACCCCTGGCGCTCGCGGTGACGCTCTCGCCTGTGATCCCGTTCATGGTCCCTTTCCGTATCCCGATCACGACGGCGTTCTCGCTCGCGATCGGAGTGGCGATGCTCACGGCTGTGATCGTGACGGCGGCGCTCATCATCCCTCCGGTCGTCGCCCCGGCGTTTCTCTGATTCACGGTGTTCTCCCGATGCTAGCCGTGTGTCAGGGGAAGCTGGCTGGGAAGTGCCCTTCGGTTTGAAGGATCCAAATTTTGGCACAGCCCTCTGCCGCTTCCCTTTTTCCTTCTCCCTCTCCGTCTCCATCTCTGTCGTACCACTTTTCCACGCCGCAAATCCTCAGAACCGTCACAGCTCCGCCCAACATACCCCCCTCAGCAGTGCTAGCACGGCCGACTCTCTGTTCAAGTCATGCAAGACAGATGCTGCTGTCTCCCTCTGTAATATTCCACTTGCAGCGGGATTTCATGTTTTTTCTCCCCGTCTCCGTGGTGTTGTGCGACCGGCAGTTGTCAAGGCCCGGCCCGGAGTTTTGTTTGCGGGTCGCTGCAATCGGGGGCCGCTTCCCCAGTTCCAATGCAACGGCTAAAAAAAGCACGGCCCTCTGTAGGTAAATTACAGGGGGTATGACATCAACTGCACAGGGCCAAGTAAAGTACACTACCTACACTATGCATCGGCTCCGTCTGACCTTGAAATTCAAGTTGCATGTTCGAGGTGCCTGGATCGATCCCATCACAATTTGTACTGTACCTCAGTTTCTCTGCTATTGCCGAATGAGCCGCGACATCGATGAGAGCACAGGCCGGTCTCTCGACTGCTCGTTAAATTGCTGCCTAAACGACCTTACACAACCAAGAACCGCCTCGTAGCACAGTGTAACTTAACACTGCCTGAGACTGCTTACACTACTCCGTAACTGCAATCACAACACGCCGCGGCATCTGATTCTTTGGATTCTTGGGCCAGGCATGCCAGGGTAAGACATTCCAGTGGGCACGTGGGGCCTGGTGCAGATCCGGGCAGCCTCACAAACCACCCGTGACCCCGGTCTCCACTCCGTTTCCGAAACCACTCGAACCCTCCGCTCGAGCCCGGCTTTAGGGCCGCTCTGTCTCCTTGCTGGTGACGCCGCTGGTGTTGGTTGTTTCTGTTTTGCGATCCGTCTGGCTTGCTGTGGGTTGGTTCTTCTGTCGTTCGAGTGCAGTTGTACGATACAGGATAACCGGAAGGTCCCACTGCCGTTTGATCGTTCCCTTGGGTCTGCCTGCCTTTCTGTTGCTTCCCGTTTCACCGAGGTCGAGGGCCCCGCTTGCGTCGAGCGATCGATGCTTCGAGAGACCTAAGGTTATTTAGTTCCCATAAGGTATATCCCGAGTGTGATTTATCCCGGGTAGCCGCAGGACTGGTCTAACTAAGTCTTGAAGGCCAGACAGGGTGACGGCATCCCGCGCCGCGTCAGCGACACAACGCGAACCTTCGCGTCTAACGAACCCGCTTCCTCATTTCGCCCCTCCACCAACCGCGCATGCCAGGAAGGAGACACGGGCCTCGTCTGCCCGAGGGCGCCGGCAACGATAGCAGCGAGGGCCAGAGCCAGTATCTCTCGCTGCCGAACTCGCCCACCAGCGTCCGACGACCGGTTGCCAACATGAGCAGGAGGCCTTCCACCGCCGAGCAACCCCCAGACGAGCGGTCGCCGCTCTTGGGGGTGCCGCGAACCTCGCACACCCGCCGCGTGCACAGCGCCCACGGCTCGCCGCGAATACCCCATCTGTCGAGGAATCAGAGCTACGCCGGTATGGCTGACCCTCTTCACCTTGTCACGGCTGGTACCGATCAACCAGGCTAACCGCTGCCCCGTCTATATAGACAGCATCAAAAGCATCCGCCACCACACCCGCGGCGGATCGTGGGGCACGCGCCTGATTCAGGCGCTGGCGGACCGCCAGGAGTCCTCCATGGCCGACTCCAAGCAGTTCGGCCCCGTCTTCCCCGACGACCGTGTGTGGTACGACCAGTTCACGTCGACCGACTGGGTGCACGACAGCATCGCCGACGCCTACCGCGTCAAGGCCCTGCGCGCCCGCAAGGACTTCTGGGGCCGCGTCTACGTGCTGTTCGACGGCGCCCAGGGCTGGATCCTGAGTGCCCTGGTCGGGTTTATCGTTGCCGTGCTGGCGTACGTGGTCAACGTGAGCGAGGCGACCGTGTTTGATTTCAAGGATGGGTACTGCACCAGGGGGTGGTATATCAATGAGAAGGTGAGCGGAGACTGCTACAGTGTAGACATGGACTTGGGGTCGTGTTGACTTGTCGAGACAGAAATGCTGCCCGCACGGCCCTTGCACCGACTGGCGGGACTGGGGCGAGGTCCTACAGGGGTTCCCATTTGGCGAGAGATGGACCGAATATGCCGTCTACATCGTGGCTGTCATCACGCTGGCCAGTCTGTCTTGTCTTCTCTCGCTCACCACCAAGACGGTCGTACCCTCGGCGTACCGACTGACGACCCTGGACGAGAACCTCGCCGCCGAGGCTGTCGCGCCGCAGCCAGAGCAAGAGACGGCTGATGGCGCAGGCAGCATCAGCCCCCGGCAGACACAACCGGAGAAGACGGCGGCCCCGCCCATGGTCTACTACTCGGCCGCCGGCAGCGGCGTTGCCGAAGTGCGCGTCATTCTTAGCGGCTTCGTGCTGCACGGCTTCCTGGGCATCAAGACGCTCATCATCAAGACCCTCGCGCTGATCCTCAGCGTCGCCTCGGGCCTGAGCTTGGGCAAGGAGGGCCCTTACGTGCACATCGCAACGTGCGTCGGAAACATCGCCTGCCGTCTCTTCCAGAAGTACGACCGCAACGATGCGAAGAGGCGTGAGGTCCTGTCCGCGGCGGCCGCCGCCGGTGTGGCTGTCGCGTTCGGCGCGCCCCTCGGCGGCGTGCTCTTTGGCCTGGAGGAGGTGGCCTACTTCTTCCCGGCCAAGACGCTGTTCCGGACATTCTTTTGCTGCATCACGGCCGCGTTGACGCTCAAGTTCCTGAATCCCTACGGGACGCACAAGATCGTCATGTTCCAGGTGCGCTACCTCGTCGACTGGGAGTACTTTGAGATCTGCAGCTTCATTGCGGTCGGCGTGCTCGGAGGTGCGGCCGGCGCTCTGTTCATCAAAGCGTCCCGCCACTGGGCCAAGACTTTCCGCCGCATCCCAGTTATCAAGGCGTATCCCCTGCTCGAGGTGGTGCTCGTGGCGTTGATCACGGGCTTGATCGGGTACTGGAATGTCTTTACCAGGCTCCCCGTGGCTAAGCTGCTGTACAACCTTGCCGCGCCATGCGACGATCGGGATAACAATCTTGAGAATCTGGGCTTGTGTCCGGAGGAGATCGGCGATATCCCGCCTATTCTCTCCAACTTGTTTGCCGCCTTCTTGATCAAAGGTTTCCTGACCATCATCACATTCGGCATCGTAAGTTTGATGAGAACCTTATCGCGGTCCAACATCCTTCAGAACTGACGGCATAAACAGAAAGTCCCAGCCGGCATCTATGTGCCGTCCATGGTGGTTGGCGGTCTGATGGGCCGCCTGATAGGACACGTCGTCCAGTGGATGGTGATGGCCACGCCAGACTGGGGCGTCTGGGGCACCTGTGGGAAGATGCCGAACGCGACCTGCATCCAGCCGGGGGTCTACGGTCTCATTGCCGCCGGTTCGACCATGTGCGGTGTCACGCGCCTCTCCGTCACGCTTGCTGTCATCCTCTTTGAACTGACCGGCAGCTTGGACTACGTCTTGCCGTTCTCGTTGGCTATCCTAGTCGCCAAGTGGACCGCCGATGCGATCGAGCCGCTCAGCATCTACGTAAGGCACCCCCCGTCCTCCACATTATATTATCTGTGTGTCACCCAATTCGCACTCTCTGACGGTTTCTCAGGACCTCCTTACGGAGATGAACTCATACCCTTACCTCAACAACAAGCACAAGCCCATCTTCACCTCGGACCTGGCCGACATCGTACCGCGCGTCCGCAAGGAGCGCATCATCGACATCACCAACTCGCCCGTCGTGCCGGCGTCGCAGCTGCGCATGAAGCTCGAGCTGCTGCACAAGGCCGGCGAGCTGGACGGCGGTCTGCCCATCGTGCGCGACGGCATCCTCGTCGGGCTCATCCCCGCACCCGATCTGGAGTACGCGCTCGACAACCTGCACGACGAAGGGTCGAGCTTGTGTCTGATGGCGCCTGTGCCGAGCATCGACGATTCGGATGATGGTGGACCGGACCCGACGGATTTCACGCCATATATTGATCCTGTGAGTCCTCTCCGTCTGTCTGCCTTGCTGTGGGAGTGAAGAGGGTTGCTGACGAAATATTGGCTAGGCACCGGTTGCGCTGGATATCAGATCGCCGTTGGATTTGGTGTACGAGTGCTTTGTGAAGTTGGGGCTGAGGTACATCTGTGTATTGCGGGACGGGAAGTATGCGGGCATGGTGAGCTCCCTCCCCCTCTCCTATACCCAACCTCTCTTCCATCTACCAAGTCGCTATACTTGCCCAAACCAACATGGGCATACGGTACTGACTGCAGTGGCACGCAACAGACGCACAAGAAGACGTTTGTCAAGTACATGCGAGAGCTGGAGGAGAAGGAAGGGCATCGCTGATTGTGCGCTTTGCTCTGCGCTGTCTGAGGCAGGTATACTACACATGCATGGTAGAGATTTTGCTTCGCCGTTGTTTCTTCCTTGTATTTGTGGGCAGGATAGGTGGCTGGGTTGGCTGACGGGGGCGTCCGGTCGCTGCATACCTATGTTAACATTGCATTTGCGCTTTCCATCTGCATCTTCCATTTCGATTATCAAGGAGGCTGTCGTCTGTTGTTTGTCAGGCATACATACATAGATACATGCATACATCTTGCATCATCTGCGGCGGATACACGGCATACATAGATACTTGAGCTTTGAGCGAGAACTGAAACATCTAATGATCTGATGGCTATGGTAATGGGTGGACATGTATTTGACAGTATAGATGTGTTTTGCCTCGCCTTTGAAGCGTTCTGCTTCGTTTCTGCTCTGACATATTTCTAGGGACAGCTAGACCATGCCAGATAGGGTATCGAAGTGGCAACTAAGCGCTTAGTGGGTGGTTGCGCAGGTGAAGGTATGGTTTACGGAAGTCGATATAGAACCGCGCGGGGTTTTCATTCCGCCTTGCGATGCTCATGCACGTTCTCATCCTCCGGCTCGGGACTCGACCGGGGACTCACATCCCCCCGGATGAACTCGTCAAACCGATCAGGGACGGGCGCCGTCTTGGGCACAAACCGTACACGCACCCTCCTGACGCCCCTGACCTTGCCACCGACCCTCGTCCGCACGGCCTCCTCCACTCCGCGCACGTCCTCCACCGTCCACGCACTCGGCACGCCCAGCTCCACGTCCACCAGATAGTTCTGTCCGGACTTGACGCCCGTTACGTCGCGCAGCTCAACCTCCTGCCCCTGTGACACCTCTTCCAGGCTCTTGCCCACCTGCCGGGAGACGGACGCCTTGACCTCCTCGTCGATCGACTTGTCCGCGAGCTCGTACAGCGCCGAGAGAACGTTCTGGAACCCGGCGCGGATGACCAGAAACGAGATGAACAGGCCGCCGACGGGGTCCAGCCATGCGGCCGATGTGAGGAAGTTGGCGCCCAGGATGGCGAGCAGCGTGACGATGCCCGTGAGCGAGTCGACGCGGTGGTGGACGGCGTTGGACGCCAGGACGGATGATTTGCGCTCTCGCGCTACTTTCATTGCTGCACAACCATAGGAGTTAGACTTCTGCAAAAGCTGCCGTCGTTGTTGTTGGTGGATGGGAAGGGGCGAACTTCACGTACTAGCATGGTACAACCACTCCTTCACAGCAACAGTCCCCGCCGCCAGCCAGGCGGCATGCAAACTCGGCCCGCCCACCGCCGCGTGGCTATGGTGATGATGTCCGTGGCCGTGGCCGTGCCCGCCGTGCTCCAGCAGCGCCGCGGCCGCGTCCGGCCCCAGGAAGAAGTGCGCGTACAGCGACTCGCAGCTGCTCATGCCCATGAAGAGGCCGCCGAACAGCAGCATGCTCGACACGCCCAGCGAGCCCAGGCTCTCGACTTTCCCGAAGCCCTGAGGGAAGTTGGCAGTCGGCGGCCGCAGGCTCCACGAGACGGTCGCCAGCGTCAGGATGTCGGACGCGAGGTCGGTCAGCGAGTGCCAGGCGTCGGCGACCATCGACTGCGAGTTGAAGGCATAGCCGCCCGCGCCCTTGGCGACGGCCATGGCCAGGTTCGAGTAGAGCCCGATGCGGGTGATGCGCACGCCGGCGTCGTTCTTGTTCTGCGAGGTGAGGTAGACGTTGTCGTGGTGGTGGTGGTGGTGATGGTGATGGTGATGGTGGCCATGGCCGGCATGGCCTCGTGTTTGCTGCTGTGTCCCGGTGCCCATGATGGTGTTGGTGTTGTAAAGGAATGTCGATCGTGGTTTCCTCGACGAGAGAGTGTCTGTCGCGGAGGGTGAAAGGAAAGGCGCTGATGGCGGCAATGGATGCAGCGAGCGTCGTAGCCGGCTTGTAAATGCCCGGGAGGGAGAGAACGTCTGGAAGATGCGCGGCGCCCCGGGTTGTGGGTGATGTGTCCCCGAGTGGCTAAATATGGAGGAGGGAGGCTCATGGCTCCGTACCCGTCTCGGATGGAGCCGTGACGCGGCAGGTGTCGCACGCAGCCGCACCTGCACCAGCGCGGGCCCCGGCGTGTGCCTGCACCCCAGCAGAGGCATCAAAAAACGAGCGTCCGGACCGGTCAATCAAGCCCCAAACGGGGACGTGGAAGTCGGTGACGTGGGCGACAGGTGCGTGACAGGGGAATCTGCTTGTCAATCGGCAGTTATTTGTCTTTGCAGTCAAGTTGCCTTTCTACACGATTTTGGCGGATCTGGAGTCTGGAGTTTGGGGATTTTTCTAGGGAGTCTAGATACGCGATAGAAGCCCGCACGTCATTGCCGGTTATAAAGGGCATGTCTGCACGCTGCAGTGGGCTCATCCGCTCGGCCTGGCAAGGCCCGACATCGCACCATTTTCCACCTGCAGAGGCCCGCAGAGGAATCCATGGCCGTGGGAATCGACAATTCCCGTCATCATTTGAGGGAATCTCAGGTTGGGTCCTGAGCACTGACCACTCAGCTTGTGCCTTGCGCGGTCAGCTGTGGACCCACCAGATCGGGACGATCAAGCTCCGGAGTCCGGGCCGCCGCCACTTTCTCCGAAGCCATCCATAGTCCATGACGAAAGCAACGCTCCGTTCCAGTGTGTTCAGCAGAGCCGCGTAAGCACCCCTGATTATCTCAATCAATTGGCTTCGAAACATTACGAACACTACAGAACCGAATGTTCCATAAAGAATGAGCAAGCCGCTCATGCGCATCCCCTACACGGGGCTGTTCCCGCCGCCCGCCACCATCCCATCCACAGCCAACTCCCTCCCTGGCGCTATCGCAGCTTTACAAGAGTTTCTCCACAGTCCGCCGCCCCGGGACCTGCCCCGTTCGACAGTGGTCTTGACGGGCGCAGGCCTTTCCGTAGCAAGCGGTCTAGCCGACTACCGCGGCGCCAATGGCACCTACCGGGTCAACAAGACATACCGGCCCATCTACTATCATGAGTTCCTCTCGAATCACGAAGCGCGCAAGCGTTACTGGGCGCGGAGTTTCCTCGGCTGGACGACGATGCGGAATGCAGCGCCCAACGCAGGGCACTACGCGGTGCGGGACCTAGGCCGGCTCGGCTTCGTGTCGAGTGTCATCACACAGAATGTGGATTCCTTCCATCCCAAGGCTCACCCTGAGATCCCGACGCTGGAACTGCATGGCTATCTGCGGTCGACCGTGTGTACGTCGTGCTGGACCGAGTTTCCCAGGGAGACCTTCCAGGCCGAGCTGGCGAGGCTGAATCCCCTGTGGAATGCTTTTCTGCAGGAAGCTATTACTACTGGGGCTCTCGAGACAGAGGACCCGTACGAGAAGCGTGCGCGCGGTATCAGGATGAATCCGGATGGTGACGTGGAGGTGCCCGATGCACCGTATACAACCTTTCGGTACCCTGCTTGCCCGAAGTGTTTGAGCAGTCCGCCGCCCCTGGCTGACGAGGTAAGGGGGGTGGTGGAGGTTGACAGCAACGGGGCCTGGAGCCCGACTAGCAATGCCGGCATCTTGAAGCCCGCCGTCGTCATGTTTGGAGAGAGCATCGCGAGTAAGGTCAAGCAGTCTGCCGACGAGGCGATTGACAGCGCTGGGAGATTGCTCGTCCTCGCGACGTCTATGGCGACGTATTCAGCTTGGAGGCTAGCCAAACGCGCTAAGGATAGGGGGATGCCAATTGCCATTGTAAACATCGGCGGCGTTAGGGGCGAGGATATCTTCTTCGCCGGTGTGGACCCTGATCAGACGGGCGGCCGCGGAGTGAGAGTCGAGATGTCCACCGACACCTTGTTGCCGGCTCTTGTCCAGGACTTGCGGCAGCCTGGGCTCCGGAGTGTGCCGCGCGCTTCGGCTGGCACCGCGCCTTTCCAGGAGAATGAAGGAGCTGTGTTCAAAAAGTTGTTACAATAGAACCAGGCATGATAAGTTAAATGGTGATAATCGTCGCTCCCAGGTGAAAGGATGCCCTCAGAAAAACCCTTGGCTAGCGAGGGTGCTCTGCACCGGCGCCCGCGCCGTCTCTGGCGCAGGAGGAGCATTAGGCTCCGGGTTCGGCGCCGGAGCCGTTTCGGGCTGCTTCTTCTGCTGGTTCTTTGCCGATTCCCCGCGCTCGATATCCTTCAAGACTGATGTATCCGTCAGCATTATCCCGCCCAGAGCTCAAGTTGTCAGGGTTTGCGGACCTTCCTCCCACACGAGTTCCCGGACTGGATCACCCGTGCCCAAGGCTTGTTCCACATCCACCTTTTCCCCCCTCTGGAGCTTTTCCACCACCTCGCGGAGCAGCCCTATCCTGACATCCGTCCGGCGCATGAAATTCCCATAGTCTCTCTTCAACGCGATCATCTGGATGGACATGGATCCGATAAACAACGACATGAGGATGAAGAATGTCGCGGGATTCCACCCTTGCTTGGTTTTGGGCCTCTTTTCCAGCCCTGTCGTGGACCGAGATCGCAGGGGCTTCGGCACGAGGGACTTCCAGAACGAAGGCTCTGCGACAGAGCTCACGGAGCGGGCGCCGACGGCCAATCGCAGAGGCCTTCCGAGAAGAGATCCTCGGCGCATTGGCGGTGCTAGAAGCGCCCGTGTAAGAGAAACTCGGCTCATGTTTGTATGACTGTCGGCGAGGAAGAGATGCGGGCGATCGGCTGGGACGTTGCAGATGCAATCGGAATTGGAAGCTGCCCCGGGTCGGAAAAAATGGGGACCTTGCATGGAAGCGGCCGCTCCCGAATTTCGGCATGGCAAGCATCGAAGTGGGTCCACTTCAAGGCTGTTGCCTGGACAACGAAGAGTGGCTCTTGTGACGTGGAGTCAATACCGGATTCGGCACTACGCTAACCGCTACTGGGGAAGCTGCAAACTGAACATCGAACCGAAACGGGTCGCAACGCGAGAGATTGACCTTGAAACTCTGACTTCATCGTTCCAAACCTCTCGTTTTTCTCATAAGCACTCCGGGTATTGCTGTTCTTTTGGATAATGTCCTTAGATACGGCGATGATATGATTAGGAATCAGCCCATTTAACACTTTCTTCATGGATACGCCACTCACCCAGGCTGACGCTGTGCGCAGCGCCGTATCGTCCGTCGCGACATGCTCGCCCGCGACATCCGCCTTGCTCAAAACCCTGCTACTTCCTAAGGACGAGACATCGACCGTCAACGAGAGCAACGCCCGAGCTGGCTCGAAGGCTGCGCACCCGGCTAGATCAAGAGCGAACACGGTTGCGAGAGGCCCGTCAAAAGGCGCCAAAGCCGCTCCGCCTGCAGCCGAAAATGGCTTGTCTGTCCGGGACAGGGCGGCACTGGCAACGCACGTTGTCAATGCCACGCTCAAGGCACTCGGAGAAGCCGCAAAGCCGACATCAGCCCCCGCAGAGCCCGCAACGCCCGCAAAGCGACCCGCCGACGAGCAGGACCTGGTCAAATCAGCAACGAAAAGGACCCTCCAGCGGTCGAGCTCGGTGCCCATGACGCCCCTGCAGCCCCGCTCGCTCAACCGAACGTCGACCACGCCGATTTCCCCCATGCACGCACGCTCACCGTCCAGATCGTCGACTACTGCAAACATCCTAGCCACTGTCGAGTGTGCCCGTGTGGCCCTGGCGGCCCTGCGCCAGTTAGCCGCCACGGGCAAGATCACTCTTGCAGAACTGCAACTCGAAACTGGGATGTCGGCGCTGGTTGGCAGACTGATTTCCCTGAACCTTCCAGAGCAGGCAATCAAAGAACTGCGGATACTGAAGAAGAGGCTGGATGGTGGCCTGGCTCCTGAGGCGAAGAAGTCAGCAAGGGTACACAATGCGGAGCCCAAGAATGCCGCCCACGTATTCTCGGATATTCTCGACTATGGTGAGGTGAAGGCATCGGGACCGAAGCTTCTTTTGGTTATCACAACGCAAATCCAGGCATTGCGGATTCTCGCAATGACGAAGAAGCCGTCAGCTATCGAGGCAGCGGTTCCATATCTCCGACAGGGCTACGCCTCTTCACCACTAAGCCTGCTGCGAACAGCAGTACATGAAGATGGGGCCGACGTTGGGAAAATTGCTCGACAGATGGAAACGGTTGCGCAGTGCCTCCTCTCACTCACTCCGAACGTGTCCGGCAAAGACGACGGCTTGGCACAGGAGTCTCGACTCAGCATCTCTCCAGCATCTGCGTTCGAGCTGCAGGCACTAGCGCTGGAAGCCCGGCTGCACTGGTGGGGGATGGTGAAGCACGAGGGCGATGCCGAAAAGGACATCATAACTCCATTGTCGCGATGTCTCAGCGCCTACATCCGGCGGACCTCGGAAAGCCCCAAATCCAGCTATGCTTTCTGCTCAGACATCTGCAACCGCATCAACAAGCAGCTCCACAGTCAGTCTCTCCATCCCTCGAGGGGGTCGAGGCTCCCCTTTGCCAGCATATGCCAGACGCTGCTCACCTTGGCACGCGATGCCCAACAAACACGGGACGCCATCATGTGGGCAACCAGACTCCGTGGAGCGATGAGCCCGGACGACGAATCGATCGCCAAGACGTGTTCGATTGCTGCTCAGTTGCTCTCGCTCCATCTGAAACAGCCGGCGACATACCTATCCGATGACCAGCTTCTCAAAGAGGTGGTCGCCGGCATTCAGGGTCCTCTGCGGGGAGATACTACGGAGCTGGACGAGCTCTTGACCAACATCTGCGCAGCCCGGAAAGCGGCCATGCAGGTCTTACTCACCGTGATCAGGGGAGATAGCGCCTTCCAACCTTCGCCGGCGATGAAGGAGCTTCTGGAGACATTCATTCTTCAATGTCCGCGGTTCTGCCTACGGTGGCTCGGCAAACCCCCCGGGCCCAAAGGCAGCACTAAGGACTACATTAGATACGAACAACGACGGCAGCTTATGTTGCAGTACCTTCAGCATATCCTTGACTCGGCATTCATGATCATCAAGTCTTGCTTGGAACAATCACGACTCTCGTGGGAGCTTATGGATTCCGTCCTCAGTGACTGCAACACGCTCTTGGAGTACACGGGGAACATAGGTGCATCGGATGTTTCGGCATCGTACTATGTCAAAATCTCGCATTTTTACTACTTACAATACAGTTGCCTGCGGCAACGGTCGGGCGATCCGAAAGACGTGGCTCCCCTGCGCGCCTTGCGCCGCTCTGTCGAGTGCGTCAAGAACCGGACGAGCGCGGAGAAGGAGAAGGCGCAGCTCATTCTGAAACTGGAGCGGATGGCGGATCTGTGTAGGACACTCGGCAGGGCGGAGGAGGCACTCGGTGCACTCCAAACCATCCGTGCCAGTCTGCTGGAAGATGGCATCCTGCAGTCGGTTGCAAACGCCCTCTCAACCGAGTCGCCTGCCGTCGCCTGGTTCAACAACGGAAAAGCGGATGCCCTCTCGCGTGCACTACTGGCTATCGCCAAGATGGAGCCTGTGTGGATCGACTGGACCGTGGATCTCTCCGAGGCGGAAAGGGCCGCGGCGCTCGAACACCGGCTGCGATTCATCGTGCTGAAGGAAGGGGCTAAGAACGGTGATGTCACATTGGAGCACCCCGTTGTCGACGCGCTACTACGGATATACATCCCCACTCGGTATCCTATCCGGCGATTTAGGGTGCTCCTCCTCCTGCTCTGTACCGCCCTGGGGGATTCTATCAGGGCTCCAGAGCTCCTTTCGGTCGTTAAGGACGCCGCACAGGTCGAGGAAAATGGTGACCTCCGCGAAGACTCGGGCTTGTTAGGATTTGTTCCGCACCTCAAGGCTCTTTACGACTCGTTGGCTGCGGCGATCCACGCATACCAAGACTATCAGGCACTGGAGCGCTCCATCTCGGCTTGGCGCGGTATTCTGAAGGCGTCGCAGGACAGCACAACCTTAGAGAAGGCGGTCGACGATGTTCCGGGTTTGTTAGGGCACCTCCAGTCCGTTGCGGACTTTCTTCACATGAAGGGTCGCGACGGCATGCTTGCAACCGTGCTGGAGCTGATCGCGGACCTGGCGCGAGTCGCGCAGGGACCAAGGCCAGAAGACGTTGCCGAGCACAGCTCTTGTCTGGCGCTGCAGTACACCAGCCTCGGCCAGTCGTCCAAGGCTGAGCAGGTGTTCCTGAACACGCAAGAGTATATCGGAGATCAACTCCGTGGCGAAGCTCTTGCAAAATTCCACCTTGCCTTCGCCGAGCATTCTCTTGCGCTCAACAATTTCCGGCAAGCCGATGAGCACCTCTCTCAGGCACAGTTGGCTTTGAGTACCGAGTCCGTGCCTCGGAGGCATGACAAGGTGGAAAGGAGTCGACTCATTGCAAACGCTTGCTACCTACACTCTCTCGTTGCCCTGGAACGCGGAGACTCTCACTATGCTCTGGTTTACTCCCGAGACAGCGTTCGCATTCTCTTTCAGGATTGGGTCAAGCTCGAGTCTCGACTGGTACGCCAGGCCTCCCCGGAACAAAGCCAGCTGGAGGATCACACCCTTGATGTCTCGGCGGTAGATCTCATGGGCGAAAACCAACAGCACAGCACCGGTCCTGAGTTCTGGAGGTTGTTTCGGTGCCTCTATCGCAATGTCTTCCGGCTCTCTTCGCTGTACGCCCATCTTGGCATGTTTCAGGAGACCATGTATTACGCGGAGCAGGCGCTAAAGATGGCGAAGATGGTGGGCTCGGAGTTCTACAACGCAGAGTGTGCCGCTTGGATCGGATCGGTCTCTTGGAGAGCCGCCAACAGTGCCAAGTCGCTCGAGATGCTGCAGCATGCTGCGGCTCTGCTACCTGACGACCATCAGTCGTACTCCGCTGCAACGCTCGCCTGCCAGATTAGCTCCATGTACCTATCGCAAGACAGGTTTGAAGAGGCAGGGCTTCTCCTTGCAAGGGCTGAGACCATCGCGCAAAGCCTTGCGACGGCCCCGGCCGCTGACGAGCAACCGGCTGATGCAGCGGCCAACGAGAACAAGACGGCAAAGCTCAGCACAGCTCAGAAACCGGCGAGAGGCGGGCGCAAGGCTCCTGCTAGGCCTGTCAGGCGGGCACCCGTGAAGAAGACCAAGGCGCCAGTCAGCACAAAAGCGGTGGCGGCTGCTGCTCCGAAGCCGCCCGCGTCGTCCGTGGAGAACGCTCAACTAGCCAAACTCTGGGCGTCGATCCTCGTTCAAAAAGCCATCTCCAAGTTGCGCCAGAAGGAGTGGGCAGCAGCCCAGGCAGTCCTCGCAGAAGCCAAGGCGGCCTCCAAGGCCTCGGGGCTCCTGCCCACTCGACACGTTGCCATGGCATCGTGCCTGGTGGGCATGAGCATGGAGCAGATGGCCCAGGATCCCGTGTTCTCCGTGATCCAAGATTCCACCATCTCCTTCCCTGCACTCGCGGGTTCCGACAAGGCTTCGCCAGCTCGCCCGTCCCCGCTGAAGGTCTTGTCACCCACCAAGAAACCACGAGGCGCCGCGCCTGCGGGTCAAGGAGAAGCCGCCAGGGAGACAGGTTCACGGCTCTACGTGGAGCACCTGCGCGAGGCTCATGATTATCTTCTTGAAGCGCACTCGATGGCAGCTCTCAGCGGGGACGCCAGCTTGATCCATAGGATCTCGGGGATGCTCCAGAATGTAGCTCTGTTCCTCGCGGCAACGTCAACCAAGGCCAAAGCCGCCATCCATTCCGCCCAGACATCGTACTCGGTCGAACTCGCCCGGAATCTCACATGGCGGCGTGAACGAAAGGCACTCGTCCAAGAAAAGAGTGCGCCCAAGACGGACGGACTCGAGTGGCCGCCCGCGCTGCACTCTGCGAGCACCCGACGCTCGAGTCTAGGATTCAGCGTCGACCTGCACAAGATTCAGCGGGACTACATTGACATTGTCCCGGCGTCCTGGAACGTGATCTCCATCTCTCTCAGCGACGGCAACCATGACCTCTGCATCACGAAGCTCCAGGCTGGGCAGACCCCGTTTGTCATCCGTCTTCCCTTGGAGCGGGCAACTTCGCGCGACGCGGACAGCGACGTCTTCGACTTCCAGCAGGGCCGCGCTGAGCTTCTCGACATCATCAAGCTGGTCAACAAGACGTGCCACGACTCCAGGGACATGACGGTCAAGGGTGCCAAGAATGCGTGGTGGGCCGAGCGCGAGGCACTGGATGGGCGCCTCAAGGATCTGTTGATGAACGTCGAGAAGATCTGGCTCGGCGGCTTCAGGGGCATCTTCTCGCAGCACATGCGCCGCCCGGAACTGCTGGCGAGGTTCCAAAGGGACTTTGTGACCGTCTTGGACAAGCATCTTCCCTCCCGACGGCAGGTGCGCGGGAAGAAGACAAAGGCCGCACAAACGCCTCGCGTGACGCTGGACACGAACGTGCTTGAGTTATTTATCGGCCTAGGCGATGCTACCCAGCCCGATTGCGACTTTGACGAGGAGCTGACAGACCTGCTGTACTTCGTTGTGGACATCCTCCAGTTCTACGGCGAGCGGAACGCCTACGACGAGATCCCCTTCGATGCGATCGCGGTCGAAACGCTGGAGGCCCTCCACGCCTACCACACTGCCGCCAACGCGGCCGAGGAGACCACTCCCAACGTACACACCATCCTCCTCTTGGACAAAGCCCTGCACATCTTCCCCTGGGAGTCCCTCCCCTGCATGCAAGGCCTCGCCATCTCGCGCATGCCCTCGCTCGCCTGCCTGCGCCGTCTCATCCTCGACCGACGACAGCGGTGCACCGCCGACAATGACGGATGGGATGCCGCTCCGGAAGGGGAGGGCCATCACGCATCCCTGAAAAAAGGCACCTACATCCTCAACCCCTCCGCCGACCTCGTCTCGACGCAATTCACCTTCTCCCAGGCCCTCGACACGCACTTACCCTCCTCGTCAGCCGACTCCTCATCGTGGAAGCGCATCATCGCCCGCCCACCGACCGAGGCCGAATTCTCCACGGCGCTCACAGACTCCGACATCCTGCTGTACTTCGGCCACGGCTCCGGCGCGCAGTACATCCGCGGCCGCACGATCCGCCGGCTCGATCGCTGCCGCGCGACCGTCTTGCTGATGGGCTGCTCCAGCGCCGCGCTGCTCGAAGCAGGCGAGTTCGAGCCGTCCGGCCCCGTGTGGAATTACATGATGGCCGGCTGCCCGGCCGTGGTGGGCACGCTGTGGGACGTCACGGATCGCGATATCGATCGGTTTGCCGCTGGTGTGTTGGAGGGTTGGGGGGTCTTGCCTAGGGGCGCTGTCAAACTTGATGAGCGTGGCAAGGGGAAGAGTCATAGGGGTGGGAAGGGAAGTGAAAGTGCGGTTGCAGCAAGTACGGGAGGTGGATATGGGAATGCGTCGCTTGTGGAAGCGGTTGCTAGGGCTAGAGAGGAGAGGTGCCGGTTCCGCTATGTCACGGCTGCAGCGGCGGTGGTGTATGGGATTCCGGTTTATGTGGAGAGGTGATGAGCTCGACTTGTTTGTGTAGTATTCTGTCTGTGTTTTTATATCCTGTTCTTTTGGGCTCTTTCTGGGTATGGTAGGGTTGGCATTAGAAGGAGGGAGGGAGATGGAGTTTTGTACTGTACAGTTACATGTACAGATGAGGTGAGTAACTACAAAGGATGGCGACTGAGTAATGACGCATTGGATGTGCTGTACATACAAAGTGAGCAGCATATACCTTGCTAGGTCGATTGTGTATACAGCCACGGGGTCAACGGACGCGGAGTCCTGGTTCATAAGCCTTGTTAGATGAGAGATAGACAGGAATATTGGTGTTGAGTCACGATTCATGTTTGATAATGGAAGTCTGTAATAAGGGCGCCGTTCTGAGGATGTTGTTGGATTAGCACCCTCCGAATTCAACCATGCCCGATAGGTCATCGTTATCCGCACTACAGCTAGCTACTTCTGGTGCCATCCTTCCTCTCTATCCTGCTCTTCGGCTTTTTTCAGTTGATACCGTATACAAATCTGTGGACGCCGCATGCTTTGACGATCGTGCCTCTGCTCAAACCTGGAATGCCACTATCGTAATCGCCCCTTCCCTAAGACGGGTAATAATTAATTGGGACTGACAACTTGGAAGGTATGGCCGACGACGCTGTTGCGACTTCCAGGTGACTGCCAAACACAATCTCCAGCCCAATTCCAACCATCGGCTCCCGGCATACGACATGATATCCTTAGCGAAGTTCCAGCTCTCCCGCCGCAAGACCATAAACCGACCATTAGGACATACATACGCGATACCTTACACCCTTATCCAAGTATCGGTCTCTCGTACGCTTTGCCTCCAAAGACCCGACGGGTCGACGCCGGCGACTCACCACCTCATCTTCCGCATTCAATCAGCCCATCGGCGCCACTTCAAGTCTCCAACTTCAAGTCGAACCCGCTTCTTCTCCGAGGGTACAACTGCCATCTCCAAACTTTCGAAAAGTACGCAATGTGCATTTGGATTCAGTTCTGGCGCCCAGTCTGCCAACACCACTTTTCCAAAGTCATCATACGCTGCGATGGGGGCCGTAACCTCAGGTTTTACCCGGAAGGCTGTGAACGGACAATTGGAAACAGAGCGGAACCCATTTGGCGAGAACTGCCCGACGCCCTGGACTTCCCGTGCTCTGCTACGTCGAGCTGCTGGGTCACTTGGAGGTGCCATCATTGCTTCACCGACAACCAGCACTTCGTGCGGGCATGCGCGACGTGCTGGCATATGCTGTGTGGCGAATGCTTTTGGATTAATTGGTCTCCCTCGCCGCATTTGCCAACTTGGCCAACCTGGCCAACCTGGCCTCCCGTAGCGCCTGTGTCTGGCGCAATGTCTGAGTCTTGGGCAACGTCCGAGTCTCCCGCAACGTCTGAGGCTTGCGCAGCGTCTGGGTCCCCGCCAACGTCTGACAGCAATGGAGGATATGGGAATCGGGATGCCGTGGGCGACAGGGAAACAAAGCCGCCGGTCGGTGCTCCTACTTATTGGAGGGTGTCCTAAGTGAACCGGGGACCGAGGGTATATTGGTTGTCGGCGGTCGAAACCGTGTTGAAAGCTTGAATACCTAGGTAGCGGAGGTATAATATGGGCGCCATTCTTCCTGTTCAATCCATCAAGGGTGTTTGCTATTAGCGAGAATGTTATCGATAGTTGACTGCTATTCGCGGCCATCTTACCTCGTCCTCATCCCCGAGTGCAAATGTGCAACCAGGCTGCACCGCACGAAGAGCGAAAGTTGAGCTAGGTGTTCTAGTTGCATCTGAGGGGGAGTCTAGTTTTCTTTTCGTCTAGGTTCTTCTTTTTGGATGGCAGCGAATCGTTAATAAAGGAGGTATTGATTCGGCGATCCACGAGACAAGGACCCCATGAGAAATAGTAATGGGATGTTAATGGGGTGACGCATAAGGTACCTAGCTCACTGCAGCTTTCCATCGTCCTAATCAAGCCTTAGCAACAAACTCAACAAGCTCATCAAAGCTCGTTGAAACAAGAGGTATTACCTTTTGTCAAACCGACCCGATTTCGTTTCGGTGATCATCTCACATCATGGCATGTTGTCGGGCGACTCAGGACTCAGGAGCATCATTATAGGTAGGCGCTGCTGTCCAGAGCCTGCTCATTTGTCGTTACTAGAGACAAAACGAAGCCTATGCTGTCGATTTACCAAATACTCGATTCTCCCCGTCCGACGCCGACCTCTTCTTCCTATTCGGTTTCTGCAACACAGATTCCTAGCTTGTTGACTCCACTTCGAAGTCTTCGTGGCTACGCAAAACCTACACAGTCTACACTCCTGAGTATGTGCAATAGTCAGCGGCACATGGTGCCGACGTGGCTCAAGGCTGCGGCGCTAGCTAACTCCGTCGACGGCTGCCGCTGCGCATGTTCGCCCGCGGGGCTGTTCCCCACTGAAGTATCATCTGAGTCGTGTGGAAGGAGACGGAGACTGCCGAGAACTATCCAGTGTATCCACTACGGTCAGTCGAGTTCTATTGGCGAGAGATTGAGAGGATCGAGGCAGAGTGTCAGTGATGAGAGTGAAGGCAAGATGGAATGTCGAGTGATGAAAATCAAGCAGTGATGGAGGATGATGGGTCTCTGAAGGGCTTCTGTTGATCTGCTGGTTGATTTCTAAATTCACCTGGGAGTCTACTTCACGGATGTTGGATATCCAAATCCCCCTTCTCCCCTGGATAACATTGAGTCTTCTGAGACACTCAATTCAACTGCCCCATCCCCCTTGCAATACCAATGCAACAATGGTCGCTGCCGGAAGAACAGGGTTGCAGGTTGGCAACACCTCAACAGCGGCATTGGCTTTTGCTCCATATCATCTCAGTACTGGCTCCAATTCCCATCAACTGGCACAGACAAGGACAGAAGTTTGGGTATATAAGGAAACGGAGAGAGAGTGCAAGAAAACAGGTGACGGAGACAAGTGACCTATAAGCATCGCCATTGACCCTACTAACATACCGTACCTACCGGATCCAACTAAACCACATATTTCGTTGTGGTGAATTTTTCGAACTCGAATCTTCAACAAGACTTGCGGAGTAATTCAGGTCTGTACTACGACGGTACAGAACCACAGGCCACTATTGAGTGAGTTGAATGAGGGCATGTGGCTCTGTAAAGTACGGGGGATTCATGACGTACCTAGGTACCACTTGGTAGTCGAATCGGAAGAGCTGGAAAGTGCGCATGCAGAAGACGGGATGCATCAATCACGAGAAGCATGGGAGGCGGCACTGGTCACATGGACAACAGCAGCACCCACGGGATAGTAAGAAACGATGAAAAGAAATAAGCCTTCGGCCTACCCTTTACCCCGTTCAACCAGAATCTGTCTCATCGAGATTGATAGATGCGTGACCAAATGCTTAAAGCAAATAGAGAGGTTCGGTACAATGAGCCGAACCTTGAATGAGACTTGAGCCCGGTATTACCCTATTGGCTAGGTACCTAAGTACATGTACCATATAGCATTGGGCCGGAGGGAAAGGAAGCGGGGGAACTCCAGCCTAACCGCCGTTCCTGCTTCCTCGTGCCTCGACTTTTCTTTTGCCAGTCTGCCAAAACTTACCCCGGCCATGTTGCAACTGTGAGTGGTTACTAGTATTCCGCAGGTTGTGTTGAGGAAAACCCCCGTTCCCCCTAGCCCCTAGGGTATGCCCATCAGCAAGCCGCTAGATTCCCTAATCCAGACAAGGTCGGGGCCAAAGTTGGACTGTTGTAGCCTTGACGCGGGGTCCCAGAGATTGAAATTTGCTTCTAAATGAACCTCACTACACCGGGGGCCAACCGAGAGAAGCAGGCCGGTAGCTTCAGATACTGCAACGGGTCGGATGTGAAACGGCATGGTCATAGCGGGACATGTTTGGGATATCAAATCTCCATCACGAGGGCGGCTTCAGGCTTTGTACCCTCGAATCAGAACTGGCATGCTTCTGACGTCTGGCTTCGAGACACTATCCAGGTTGGCGGGCAGAAGGCATATGTGAGGCGAGAGCTTGCTGCATCTCGGAGCGAGAGGTCCTCGTTGGATCATGTAGATTGTACGGACTGTAAAGAAGCTCTGACAGGAGCTGTGTGGCCCATTCGAGGTTGCTTTGCGCAAAGTGGACTGCGGGCTGTGTTGGCTGGGGACCAGTATCGATGACGGATAGCCTGACGTGGTAACCATTGGGGTCGAAAGCAATAACCGTTGCCAGAGGAATGCTTCCTCATCACAGTTATGCTAACTAAGGTATGGTTTGCTCTAGAGCGTATGATGAGACAGTCTGTGGGTGTCTCCTTGAGATGAGGTTAGTGCGGCTTGTTAAGACTTTAATTCTATCATCTTTCACCGTCCGCTCTGGTTGATACGGGATCCAGGATGGGTACCTAGCATGTCGGTTTAGTATACACGTTGAGGTGTAGGGTCGCATTTTCGTGGGGTGGGGGCTGCCGATTCAACCGTTGGGAGGTCTAACCGTCCTTGACGACCTACCTAGTCTGGGGTAACCCTTCTCGGCCGGAGCTATGGGCGTTGCTCAAGCCTGCTTTACTTGGACAGCGTCGGCCAACGCATGGAGAGTTGATGAAGCAAAAGCTGTGTAATCATGCATGGAAGCTGGGTACACTATATACCAGGTCTACATCTCCCTTCCATCCGAAGCGGGTAATTGTCGGATAGACAAGGGCAATATGCGAAATCGGGAAGCTGGTAATGTCGGACGGATCGAAACGAGCCGTGCATCGAGTACAGCCGGGGTCGGGGTCACACAGCAGAAGTGTTGCTGACCATACACCAGCATGACAACGACCTTCTCAGCAGCAGATGATGAAAATCTATGGCGTAAGTGGACATCGAGGCTGTCGGTCGGTGTCTTTAGAGTACTAGTAGATCAGAAGCGCCGAGGAGAAGCTGCCAATCTCGCTCGGTCAGGATACAGATGGGCACCTACGTAAGGTGAAGTACCTTAGGTAGTCAGAGAGTAATCGACTAGTATCGTCCGGAGACCTAAAAATGTCGATATGTACACATAACGTGTGGGTTGCTTGATGTTCTCCATTGTTGAGTCGTACGCAGTGAAGTCCGGCAAAGCGGGGCGTGCTCGGGCGATGAAATCTCGAGGTACCTAGTGTAAACGTCCTCGACGGGATTGGATGCCGTACTTACATGAAATTCGCCCGGTGGAGCACTTACCAAACCTGGAATTTCCTATAAACGGGCAAGTCGCCTGCACCTGCCTTATTCAGGATACGGACATTTTCCCCGTCAACTTCGCGCGCTGTACTGCTTTAGAACATCAATCATGGCGTCACGGTTGGGTTGCCGTCTGTATGTATGTACTGACTTCCAGGCTCTCAGGTCAAGCAAAACACATTTAGCTGTTACGGGTGAGCTGCTGACATGGGCAGGTTTGTCAGCCGGAGCTAATAAACCCCAGATGTCGTTCCGCCACCAGACGATCGATGATCGGCGAAACGATACCCGCGTAACCCACCGGAGCTTCGCGCTGCGATGTCGCAATGAAACACACGACGCAGCAATCTCAGCAGCAGCACTGGGGAGCCATTTATTAGCATTGACAACAAGTAATGTCGCAAACAGAGAAGAGAAGATCCGATGAAGGCCAATTGAACAGATCCCGCCGTGAAATACCTACAAGCTCGATAGACAGTCTGTCAGATATATGACGCGCCCGGCGTATTCTCGGAATTTACCATCATGCATACACGTCACATCCCGGCGTCTGCAAGTTGCACACGAGCGACCCCAGTGTCTCGCGACCTCGCAGGCCTCGGGCGATGCTTTCAGCCTTCTCTATGGAGGCAGCGGGAGGGCATGTACTCCGCAAAGTCGAATGCCTGTGCGCGGCGCAGCAAGACGGCGATGTGGAGAGCGAACCAACACTCCTCGTCCTTGATTCGAATCACAATCCATGGATGACGCTGCGTGCGGCTTGCCTCAGCTACCTACACAAAGTGACAAAAGGCTGTCTGACGCATGCAGGTGGCATGCATGAGGCGGCCCCGGAGTGGCCCGGAGTGGCTGCTGCGGGAGACACAGAGAAGCGATGCTGTGTGGGGATTCGTCAGCGCGCTTGCATATCCTCGGTCTCCATTTGCTCTGTTCTTGTTCTTCTGCATTGGTTTAGACGACAAGGAGGGATTTTGAGAAGAGGGGGGGCGAGGAAGCCTCATATGTTGCGATTGCAGTCGGCCCGTCAGACTTCGTCACTCCCCTGAACTCACCAACGCTCCCCATGGTCAATCTACTGTCCCATTGCAACCGAGTATAAGCCAGCCTTCTTTCCCTGTTCCCCCGGCCTTCGATGCTTCATGCCGCCCGCTGCTTGGAAATCGACTGCATGCGCCGTTGCGGATGAACTTATTCTGGCCAGCAGGTACTGTACATACTAGTACCTACTACTGCATCGCGGCCACTGCCAGGCGGACAATTTCGGTATTTCGGTACGGTGAGATACGCTCATCCCAGACAGGCTAGAGACTCTGGGGATGACCGGGGTGACTGGGATGCTACCCCACAACTCAACCACGCGAAAACACTTCTCGACGCTAGTCGCTAGTCCCATTCCCGAATGATCCACCGCCTGGCCGCTTGGGACGCCCAGACGCCGCAGATTCCGACCCCAGTTGCGCCTCCTCTCTCCGATTTCTCTTCCCCAAACACCAACTTTTTGGAGACGACACCTAGGGTACCACCTCAGCCGGGAAACATCTCTTAAGTACCAGAATCGCCACGGCCTTAGAGTTGTAGCAACGACCGGCAGCCTCCCACTCAACCCGGTTTCGCGGCTGGACACGACAGATATGATGTCCTATCCCTATGCGGCACACTGAATCTGATCACGAGTTGAGCCGGATTGAGTGGAGAAAGACCCTGAGGTCCTGGGTTGGTCGTGTGCCAGGGTATTGAACCGTCTCATCATCTGTGCCGCCTGCCCTGTCACGGGTGCCCGCCGGGCTCGAGTTCTCCTGAAACTATCCTCCCCTTCTCAGCGGCGCCTCGCCATGTCACCGCCTAGCGACACGCAGACCGGCCTCAAGAACTATCCGTCCCTCGATCTCGCGTTCTCTCCTGGCGCCGGCGAATCCGAAGTCCATCTCGCCCAGCCCGATCTCAAGCTGGAAAATGCCAATGAGACACTGGACAGCATTACAGCCGCCCACGGCATGGGGGATGCGGCGCAGTTTGCCGATTTCCCATTCTCATACCAGGGCTCGCTCGATGACTCGCCGATGAGTGGCCTGCCACACAGTTTCGATGACCACGGGCCAGACGTGTTCGCGACGCCTCAGCCGACATCCATCTCGCCGATGCAGGACCGACAGGACTCGGTAGCTTCTATCGTCGTTCAAACCGGATATGGCCCTGCTAACGGGCAACGACCGAGCCCCGGCGGGTCCGACAATGGGACGCCGGACAGCAATGGGAACGGCGCCAATTCACTGGAGGAGCCGATGTCGGATGAGTTTGGCCTGGCAACTGGTGGGATGGCGGACGGGACGGACTTGGGTGGGAAGAAAGGGGAGAAATCGGATGCCGCGCCGGCGTGGAGCGAACTGAAAACCAAGGCAGGCAAAGAGCGCAAGCGGTTGCCCCTGGCCTGCATAGCATGCCGTCGCAAAAAGATCCGCTGCTCCGGCGAGAAGCCCGCTTGCAAGCACTGCCTCCGGTCGCGCATCCCCTGCGTCTACAAAGTCACGGCCCGCAAGGCCGCCCCTAGGACGGACTACATGGCGATGCTGGATAAGCGGTTGAAGCGGATGGAGGAACGCATCATCAAGATTGTGCCGAAAGCGGAGCAGGATGCAATTTCGTCGACCGTGACCCGAGCTGTCGTCAAACCCGCGATCCCCGGCACGCTGCCAGGCGGTGGAAAGGCCGCAGTGAAGAAGCGCGGCGCTGATGAGGCCTTCGGTCCGGACCTAGACCACTGGGCGCGCGCTCCATCGAGGTCAAAGCTGGACGGGCCGAACAAGCCGTCGACTATTCTTGTGCAGGAGGCCGAGGAAAGCAAGCTCCTTCTGGAAGGGGGCGATGCTCTCCCTTCCAAGGAGATCCAAGAGCATCTCGCCGAGGTATTTTTTGAGAACATCTACGGCCAAGCCTACCATCTCCTCCACAAGCCTAGCTATATGAGGAAGCTCAAGTAAGTCGGCATGATGACTCGGCTTCACACACACTGGCAGCCATGTTAACCGTATACCCTCTCCCCACCAGAGCTGGCACACTGCCCCCGGTGCTGGTGCTCTCCGTCTGCGCGATAGCGGCGCGCTTTTCTAATCACCCGAAGCTCAATACGAATCCGAACTTCCTCCGCGGAGAGGAATGGGCATCCGTAGCGCGCGACATCCTGACGAAACGATACGAGTGGCCTAACATCACTATCCTGACCTGCCTGCTAATTTTGGGCTTGCACGAGTTTGGTACATGCCACGGGGGGCGGAGTTGGTCGTTGGGAGGGCAGGCGATCCGCATGGCTTTTGCCCTGCAGCTCCACAAGGACCTAGAGCACGACCCTCTGCGGATACCGGGCAAGACGCAGCTCAGCTTCATCGACCGCGAAATCCGCAGACGAACGATGTGGGCCTGCTTCCTGATGGACCGGTTCAACTCGTCAGGGACGGACAGGCCGACCTTCATCCGGGAAGAGACGTTGAAGATCCCGCTGCCCATCAAGGAGAAGAACTTCCAGTATGACCTCCCAGGCCCCACCGAGACGCTCAGCGGACAGGTCCTAGAGCAGATCTCCGAGGACCGGCCCAGTGAAGCCAAGGACAATATGGGAGTCGCAGCCTGGATGATCAAGGTGATCGCCTTGTGGGGACGCATCATCAATTACCTTAACCAGGGCGGGAAGGAGCTGGATCCCCATCCAATGTGGAGTCCGGATTCGGAGTACACCAGGCTCCTGAAGCAGACCGAGGACTTCCTGACCGAGCTGCCCGAGTCGCTGGCGTACACGCCCGAAAACCTGAAAGTGCATGAGACGGACAATATGGCGAACCAGTTCCTCTTCCTGCATATCTCGATCCAGCAGAACATCCTCTTCATGAACAGGTTCGCCGTCTCGTCGCCCAACGGGCATTCGCTCCAAGACGTACCGAAAGCATTCGTGACGAAGGCGGGTGCCAAGGCGTTCGCGGCCGCGAACAGGATATCCGAGCTGCTCAAAGACGCCGAGGCCCACTTCATTACCGCGCCGTTTACCGGGTATTGTGCATTCTTGTCGAGCACTGTCCATATCTTCGGCATCTTCTCCGGGAACCCCGCGATGGAGGCGACCTCGAAACGGAACCTGGCCACCAACGTCAGGTTCCTGTCCAAGATGAAGCGGTACTGGGGCATGTTCCACTTCATGTCCGAGAACCTCCGCGAGCAGTACCGCACCTGCGCCGACGCCGCAAGGCAAGGGAACAATCCGGCGAACGACAGCGCGTCGTCGCCGATCTTCCAGTACGGCGACTGGTTTGACCGCTATCCACACGGCGTGTCGCAGTCCGACTTCCTTGACCCGGCCGCTTACAAAAAGAAAGAGAAAGGAGAGGACGCGGTCCTCGAGCAGAAGCCGGAACTCCACACAGTCGAGGAGTTCTTCACCACTCTCTCCCCGCAAAGCGCCGAGAACGCGGCGGCGGCGGCAGCGGCAGCGGCAGTAGCAGCAGCGAACGGCGCCCCCCGTCCAGGCCAGCCCAGCGCCGCCGCCCAACACAAGCGCAAGTCCATCGTCCGTAAGCCGAGCATCAGCTCCCGCGGCGGCGGTGGTGCCGGGTCCGACCAGGGCCTGGAACCGCTGCAAACAGACTTTGCCCGCGCGACGGCAGAACAGCTCCACGCGGCGCGCCTCCACCAACGGTCCTTCTCCAACGCCAACCCCAACGGCGGCGTACCCACTACCGGCGCCCCTCCGGGCTCCTTCAACCCCCTCGCCGGCCCGGGCGGGCCCTACCACGCATCCGCCCTCTCCCCCGTCTCCCCCGTCGCCTTCGCCCACCCGCATCACCACCACCATCCGCCATCGCACTCCTTCTTCTCCCCCGACCCCTTCGCCATGCCGCTCGCCGCAGCACACGGCATGTCCCGCCTGGACCGGCAGCTGGTCTTCGGCGCCTACGGCGTGTCGGGCCACGCGGTCGACCACCCGCACCACCACGGCCTCGGCGGCCTTGCCGGTGGAGGTTGGCCGGGAGGCGGCGAGGGTTCGGGCCCCGACGGTCGCGACGCCAGGCACGCGCACCCCGGACACGGACACGGACACCACCCGCACCCGGCGGACGCGGCGCTGCACGCTGCGTTTGGCGAGCCCAGTTCCGCGTGGTTCATGCCCTTCAACATGGAGCCGCCTGAGATTGGGCCGGAGTCGTTGGGGGTTGGTGGGGGCTTGGGCGGCGGGTTGGATGGGTTTGCCAATCTGTTTGGCGGCGGTGGAGGTGGTGGAGGTGGGATGCATCATCATTGATCAAAACCATCAGGTTGATAAAGAACCCATGGGGCCAAGAGTTAGAGGACATCGCGGTTCTCGTTCTAGCTTCATTTGGTTTTCTTCTTGGGTGATCGATATATTGCCCCTTCAAAAGCCACCCTAGAGGGCATGGAAGAAGAAGCTATGTCCCCTTGCCCAAATCCTGTTTCTACGCTGTTCTGCTTGAGGCGCGGGGTTGATTGGGTGATGAGAGGTGTGTGAATAGGGGAATAAGTTGGGATATCGTTCTAGTCTGTATACGTTGGACGGATCATTTTGACTCGGTTTGGGCGATCGACAGTGCCGTGAGGGTGATATATAGGTGTTGTTTGGGATGGGTGGTTATCATATCATGTGGCTTAAATGGGGGTTTCAACTGAACATAACAGCACGAGACAGAGCGCATTCAACTGAGCGAGCGATCGATATTTTTCTCGGGCACCTGGCGAAATACGGATGGGGTTTTGGGACAGGACGAGGCGTACACACACACACGTGCGCGCGCGCACACATACACGCAACTGGTGGAGTATCTACTGGGTGGAACGGGCAAGGTCATCACTCATACTCATGCACATACACACACACACACACACATAAACAAAAAAAAACACATTGCGATACTCTCTATCGGGGACACCACTTCTACAGAGACAGAGTGCCGGGTCCGGATGCCAGGTCTGCATAGGTCCAGGGACTGGATTGGACTGGATTGGACTGAACTACCTGGACTCGGGTTTGGCGTCTTTATGGGCAGCGGTGGGACGTAGACATTTTGTAATTACGTGACCTTCTTTTTAGGTGCGGCATCTGCGAGTGCGAGAACTGGCCGACTCAACAGGCCAAACTGGCTGGACAGTCTACCAATATGTCGAATGATGAATGCATTTACTGACTACCGAGACCTGTACGGTTACTCTAGGGATGTGAAATTGACGATGTCAAGGACACAAACCCTAAATACATCTGGGTCCCTACGGTATGGTATGTACGGGATACAGACGAGGCCAACCAGATAACTTGTATGTAGCTCAAGGTCCATATAACGCCATTGAATGGATACAGGCCTGCCAATAAATGAAGCAATGCATGCATAAGTAACGTAGTCATCTGAACGCCAACAGAGACAGCCCCTACTCCTCCACCTTCTCGGCCTTCTTCCCCTTCTTGGACCTCTTCCTCTTCTTCTTCCTCTCCCCGTCAACGATGTTACTAGCGCCCGCCTCGCCATTCTCAGGCTTATCCTTCCTCGACGTGTGCTTCTTCCTCGCGGCATTGGCTCCACTTCCACTAGACTGTTCGTCCTTGAGCAGCGCCTCAAACCCAAAGGTCGGCCCGGTCTCTTCGAAGCCCCTGCCAAACGTCTCGCGCCGCCACTGCCGCAGCCGGGCCTTCTTGCCCAGCTTCTTCTTGTCCTTGCGCTTCTTCTCGGCGTCGCGGAACGTGGCCAGCTTCTTGAGGCCCGCGAACTCGTTGAGCGCCGCGTCGGACGGTGCAAGCAGGATGTCGCGCGCCGTGAGGCCGAAAGAGTTGGGCGACGTCTCGCGGTAGCGGAAGCCAGCTGTGCCGCCTCTAGACTGAAGAGCGCGCGGGTTTTCGAGCTCCATCTTGGTGTCGACGAGCGCTTCAATCTTGGCAAGCTCCGCGCGGGCTTGTCGCTTGGCCTCGATGCGCTCCTTCTTGATGTCTTTGGAGGTCTTGCGCTTCTTGGCTGGCCGCTCTTGGTCCGAGCCCGAGTCGTCTGATGCGTCTTGCTCGGCTTGCGCCGCTTGGGCTTCGTCGTCGGTCAAGGTGATGTTGGGTTTGACTTCATCCTCGAAATCGGGAACGATGTCCTTGATATCGATGTCATCGTCCCATTTGGGCTTCTTGGGCTTCTTCTTTTTCTTCTTCTTCGACTCTTCCTCTTCATCGTCTTCCTCCTCGTCTAGGGACATGTCATCGGCCTCGGCGTAGTAGTCGTCGCCAAACTGCTTCCTCATCTCCTCCTCCCACTTGTCGTTGTCCCAGGCATCTTCCAGCACCTTCATCAATTGCTCCTCGCTGAGTGCTTTGCCCTTCAATCCAGCAGCTTTCTTGATCTTGGCGAGCTTCTCCGCGGCCTCGTCAATCTTTAGGCGCCGCAGACGGGCCCGTTCCGCCTCGCGCTCCTTCTTCTCCGCTTCCTTCCTCTCCTTCTCGAGCGCCCTCTGCTTCTTCCTGCCCGTCAACTCCTCTTTCCTGGCAGACCGTGCGGCCGCCATGTTTCTCGAGTAGGTCTTCAGAAACTCGTTGCTCTTGGCTGGGTCCTCAAAGCGCATATTGTAGGCATGTTCGAATTCCTCGGCTAAGTCGTCCGCGTCCTCACCCTCGTCGGATTCGAATGCCTGCCAATTGGGATCTCCGTCCTCTGCCGCCCAAACCTTGGAGGCCATGAATTTGTTTAGAAACTCCTCCGGGTTCTTGTCGGCATTAGCGACATCGACCTCGGTGAGTTTGACGTTGGCCGCTCGTGACGGATGGACGCCGTTTTCTGCGGGACCGTCGTCCTTCTTGACCGGCTTGATGAAGGCATCGTCATCACTCCACTCCTCTTCGTCGTCGTTGGCAGCAGCGGCGGCCGCGTTGATCTCGGAGAGGATGGACTGCTTGATGTCGTCCTGCTGCTGCGCGTATGTCCTTGGGCTATCGGCAGCATTGTCGTCGTCAGCGCCGACATCGCCGCTCAAGTACCGCTCACGGTGGTAGTCGCGCAAGAACATTGGCTTTTCCTCCTTCTTCTTCGTCGGCACAGCATCGGGGTCGAACGGCTTGTAGAAGACGGCGTTCCTGTCGTATATTCTGGGGTCCCTGTTCCTGATAGCCTGAAGCGTAGCCGAGATCTCGGCATCTAGGTCTTCGGTAATGAGCGCGGCTTCGTCATCTTCCGTTTCGTCCTCAGACGACTCCTCAGACTCTTCGTCCTCTCCACCAGCCGCCTTGTACTTCTCCTGCAGCCTGTGGAGTTCCTCCCGCTTCTTGTTGTGCTCAAATCTGCGGGCGTATTCCTCGTTGATCTTGAGTTCAGCAGGAGGGCCGAGGGCGGCCCCGCCTTCTTCCTGGTCCTCTTCGCTGCTGGATGCAGAGTCGTCGTCAAACAAGGCCTTCTTGGGCACAGCGCCGTCGCCATTGGGTACGCCTTTGGCGTCTTTTGCAGAAGCTTGAGCCATTTCAGAGACTTGGAAATCTCTGTTGTCCAATGCAGGAGAGCGTTAAGTGTGAAACTTCTGGAGACAGGCACTCCCAGAGAATGAGGGAAAGAGCTTTTGACATCTGAACTTTTTAGTGGGGCTGCTGTGGGTAGTTCCGAGTCCATCAAATAAAGAACGCCCCCGTCGTGGCCCGTGCGCCCATACCCTGCCTGCATTTGGCGCTAATCCAACATTGGTTGGTTCGAGATGTCGTCGCAATGCATCCGGCAAACCAAGCGTCTGCCTATCACGTCACTCCCAAGAACAGTCACACGCAACGCAACCGCTGCCCCAGTGACGAACAGATCCCACGACCCTTCGTTTTCCGCAGTTTTGTCCTCCGTGAGAACGTGAGAAGCATCAACGTATAGTCACTCACAATGGCGGATTCGAATACTCCGAAACCGAGCAGCAGCGTCAAGCTGGTACTGCTCGGTGAAGCTGCTGTCGGCAAGGTCGGTTGCACCCCAATCTCCCTCGGCGCCCTACATGCAGGCTGACGAGTCTCTGTTGCAGTCGTCTCTCGTCCTTCGTTTTGTCAACAACGACTTCCAAGAGAACAAGGAGCCCACAATAGGAGGTAGGTCGCCAGCGCCTCGAACCGCCGTAGAGTACCTCTGCTAAACCGGTCAACCGTTCTAGCCGCCTTTTTGACACAGAAATGCAACTTGCCCACGCGGACTATCAAGTTTGAAATTTGGGATACAGCAGGTCAGGAGCGGTTTGCGTCACTAGCGCCAATGTACTACCGAAATGCACAAGCTGCTCTGGTGGTCTACGACTTGACGAAGCCGACATCTCTCATCAAGGCGAAGCACTGGGTTGCCGAGCTGCAAAGGCAGGCGTCCCCCGGGATCGTGATCGCACTCGTCGGAAACAAGCTGGATCTCACAAACGACGGAGCTGGGAGCGGCGGGGACGCAGATGGCGCGGGGTCTGAGGATTCGGGCGACGCCAGGAAGGTCACGACCGAGGAAGCCAAGACGTATGCGGAAGAAGAGGGGCTACTGTTCTTCGAGACAAGTGCCAAGACGGGCTACAACGTCACCGAGGTGTTTACGGCAATTGCCAATGCCATTCCGGAGACATCCCTGAAGACTGCCCGTGGCCCTGGCGTATCACACGCGGCTGGCCGGACGGAGGAACAGAGAGTGAATCTCAACGGCCCGCAGGATCCGAACGCAAAGGCGGGTTGTGCATGCTGATGCAAGGAGAGGGTATGGCTCGAGCGCTTATTGAGTTCCCCGGTTTCTGTTTCTTTTACAAGGTTTATCCGAGCGGTCGGTCATAATGGGCAGCCTGGGCAGGTCAACCAGGAGTACTAGTTGTTTTGGTCTTTTGTATTTCTGAGCCTATTTAATAATCTTCCCAAAGCCGCCGTCCCTGATGCCGCAGCAACCTACGGAGGTACCTAGTACCTAGGTACCTTGTGATGCTTGGTGGGTGTTTTTCGAACTCAGCTCTTACATCATCCAACAACTAACCTACTAGTAGGTTGGAAGGTGCCACCTAGGTACTGGGCCGAGTTTGGGTTTCTTGTGGTCCTGCAACCTCTGGCCTTCAGAACATCCATCATTCAACCAACGGAACTAGAGCAAGCCCGGAACATCATCACTTGTTGGGGCTGGGGCCCCTACGTAGGTTGTTCGATCAATCAATTCATCATACCATCAATCAAACTATCCAAGTCATCGTCTTTTCTCCCACAGACACAACCACACTTCTGCCTTCTTCACATCCCGCACAGTAGGCAAACAGTTCTGCATTCAATTGCACGATTGCACAACGAGACTTCCTCCGCGAGCATCAACGTTTTCTGAGAGCACACTACAGCATGGTGTCAATTGCACCAACTTCTCTGTCGGCTTCATCGGTAGTTCCCTCAACGTCCAAAATTCCTACTTCAGTTGACGAAGCCCCGCGGACGATACGGTTTACCAATGTGGAGCATCTCCGTGAGACAATTGAGTCTACCACTAGTGATATCCTCATCGTCACAGGTCCAACTACTCCTTAACTCGCTATCCTAACTAAGGATACTAGTATTGATATAGATATCACTCCCGCTCAATTCGCTGACTTCGACCGTGAGGATGGGCCGCTCCGTGGGGTTCGGTTTCGCCAGTATAACAGCAATTCCCAGATCCTCATCATCACGATCCCCACCCGCTTGCATGAAGCGCTCCATCTCGAGTTGTATCAGAGTTTCATGAGAGACGGCCAGAATTGGTCTATTCGATAGTTGGGAATCAACTGGGCATACCACATATCGAGAAGGTCATCCTGGAGGAAACGCAGGAGAAGGTGATTCGACAGGCGGACCATATCCGGAACGTGCCGGAGATGACGATTGGCCAACACTGGTCATCGAGGCCGGTGTCTCTCAGACACTAGGGGGACTTCATAGGGTCATGCAATGGTGGTTTCAGGCGTCAAACCACCAGATCAAGATTGTTCTTCTGGTCAAGTTTGACTCTACTCACCGAGCCATCGTTTTGGAAAAGTGGGAGGAAGAACCACGCGATACCTGTCCGGGGGTTACCACAACACGATACACTGCTGCTCTTCAACCTGTACGCCGGCAGCACATCTCCATTACTCGGGATAGCAGCACAAACCCGGTATCATACAATGTCACTAGCGGTGCATTGGTGTTGGGGTTCAGGCTTCTCTTGCTCCGAGACCCAAGCCCCACAGAAAGAGACATCGTGATCAGCGTGCAGGATTTGCAGACCTACGCGGAGAAAGTCTGGCGGCGTGTTGTATAAGGTAGCTGGTAGTTTGTTTTAGAGCGATGACCTTCATATGGAGACCTCTTAGTAATTGTTAACGGGGCAAGCTGGAGAGTCACCTCGCACGGTCATGTATTTTGCGTGATGTCCAAGGTCCTGTCAAATCTTCGTGGAAAATTTGAAGTGAAGGTTGGCATATACAGCCCTAAATAATAACCCAGCCGTCAGAAACATCCTGATTCTGATGGTAATCATAAGCTAACCATAACTTACGTAAGTACTTTACATTTACGTCAGCAACAACGGCCATCCCTAGTGTGTGCTCGTCCGCCAAGATGGTACAGTATGAATAATGAACTTAGACACCGTGATGGATCCAGTTTCAAAACTTCAACCCAACCGTGCACGTGCGGCAACGGACTCCATTTTTTCACAGCAAGGAACGCGACAGGAAGTATTTCACCCTGCCACCAACATTCGACGGGGCGGACGTTGATAACACGACAGCCCTTGAGAGCTTCGCCAACTCCAATCTCCACCGGAAGCATCGACTCCGCCGCGATCTGGAAGTTGCAACCTGAGGCCGCGGCCTTTCTCTTTTCGCGTCACTTTCCCGCAATTGCGCAGTACTCGATGGTCGCAATCACATCACTTAACTGAGCCTTTTCCCGGGTGCGGACCGCGTCATCGCGGACTGCATTGCAAAATGGCTGCATCGTTGACCATCACGGAAGCGCAGGCCGAGCTCATCAGGTAGGCAGCAATGAAACCATTCTCGGGGGCTTCGCTGACCACTGGGACTTCAGCTCCTTGTCACAGGACGATATCCCCGCGAAGCTCCGATGCGCCATCTGTAGCAAGCTCGCGATCAACGCCTTCCGCTTGCCGTGCTGCGAGCAGGCGATCTGCGAGAACTGCCAATCGACCCTACCCGCCTCCTGTCCGGTTTGCGAACATTCACCGCTGTCGGCCGACGACTGCAAGCCGCACAAAGCGCTGCGCACGACCATCAAGGTGTTTCTGCGGACCGAAGAGAAGAAGCGAGAGTCGAACAGGCCGAAAGACACCGCTACTCCCATCACACCCGTGGATCCCAGTCCCGTCTCGGCCGCCGCACCGGCGTTGCCGGAACCAGCACCGCAGGGAGAAGGAACCGAAGCCATCGAAGAACAAAAGCCATCCGCAGCCGAGCCGGTTCTTGAAACCACCCCCGCCCCTACGCAATACCAAGAAGGCAAGGAAGCAATCCCTGCGCAGGAAGAGGCTGGGACTGCGGAAAAGGCTGTGGATAATGCTGTATGACGGCCCAGTTCACTTCCTCTAAGACATTCCCTTGCTGACAATAAGATAGGAGCAGGCACCCGCCGATGGAGCAGGAGGCGAACCAGAGGCAGATCCCTCGACTAACTTGATCCCAGCAGAACAAGCTTCGGAGGTTGTTGAGGCTGGCAACGCCGAGGAAGCAGAGCAAGGAGATGAGAATGGCGACGGCCCTCAAGGGAACCCCGATGGCTCCGGCGGAGCTGTTACTGATGGCGTGGGCGGGACCTTTCCGATGCCTGGGTTTGCCCCTGGACTCGATCAGATGCAGATGATGATGGCCATGCAAAACGGGTTTGGCAATTTTCCGATGATGGGTGAGTCCCCAGGTTTCTTTCTGTTTCCAAGAGACTCATGGCTAACGTATGCCAGGCATGCCAGGCATGAACATGGACCCGATGACGATCCAGATGTACATGAGCGGGGGCTTTCAAGGCATGGGCATGAACGGCATGAACATGAATATGGGGATGGGAGGCTACGGGGGCGAAGCCGATAACTGGAACGGACAGCAATCATGGAATGTCGGCCAAGATAATTACAATCATCCAAGCGCTTCTGGCATGGGCAATGGTGATTTTGGCTCGTTTAACTCTGGCTTCCAGACAGGATTCAATCAAGGTAATTATGGCCACCAGAACCAGTTCAATGACTATCGCCGGAATCAGTACGGGTTCCGCGGTAGGGGTCGAGGCCGTGGTTACGGATACGGATTTGGCCGCGGAGGCTACCAGCACGGGTACGGCGCAGGCGGCAACTGGAATGACCAACAAGCGAACCACGGCCAGGCGTATCCAAACGGGCAGAGCGACTACAACGGCAGTGCTGATGGGAACAATGCGGATGCCAGCGTCGACGAATTCGGGCGTTCACTCCGCAATGACGCCGGGCAGGAAGGGAGTGGCAAGCAAGGTGGCGAGGTTGAAGGAAGCGGTGCTGCCCCGGGAACTGCGAATCAGGGCCCAAGTGAGGGCGATGGCGCCGCAGACGGTGCTCCTCCGCGCCCGAACCCGGACGTGCCCATCAACGCGCCCAAGGGGCCGAAGGCGATGGTGCGCGGACTGCCCAATACGAGCTACAAACTCCTCCAAGCTAGAGGCTGGGTTGATGATGACAAGCCGTCGACGCCGACCAGCGCCACGGGGCAGGAATTTGACCGCGCCGGGTCGCGGAGTAGTTCTGTGCATGTCTCGCAGCACGGCCGACACCCCAGTGAGCGTTACCGAGATAGGAGCAGGGAGCGCGATTACAGCGATCGGGACCGCCACCGCGACCCTGAGCGAGACCGCACGAGAGACCGGGAGCGGTCGTCGAGCAGGAGCAGGAGTCGCAGCCGCAGCCGCAGTCGTAGCCATGAGCGCAGGGATCACCGGCGCAGCAGTAGGCGGCACCGGTCGTACTCGCCCGAGTACGAGGAACGAGAAAGCGAAGACGACCGCCGCGGCCACAGGTCTTCTCACCGCAGGAAGCACTCAACATATGGCGCGGACGAGCGCGAATCGAAGTCCCGCCGGGACGAGCAGCAGCAGGACGGTCGGTCGCGGTCTGCATCCCCTGTTGGCGACGAGTCTCAGCGGCGGTCGAGCCACCGAAGCAGCCGGCGGGAGCGCGAGTCGGAGAAGCGCCGGGACCGAGACAGGGAGAAGGACCGCGACGATCACCGGCGCAAATCGCACCGGTCTCACCGCGAGCGGGATAAAGATCGAGACCGCGAAAGGTCGCGGGACAGGGAGCGGGACCGCCACAGGGACCGCGATCGTGATCGTGTCCGTGACAGGGATCGTGACAGGGACCGGGACCGGGAGCGAGACAAGGACCGCAAGGAACGGCGGGATCGCGACCGCGACCGCGATAGAGATCGTGACAGAGACCGTGACCGGGACCGGGACCGCGACAGAGACAGAGACAGGGAGAGCCGGCGAGACCGTGACAAAGACCGTCACCACCGAAGCAACAAGACAACAACCGCCGGCTCCGCTGCCCATGAACGCGCCTCTTCCGCCACCGACAACGCGGACAACGACAACAACCTCAACAATGCCAACAATGCCAACAATACTAACGGCCACGACAATGACAACGAGATCAAACCCCCAGCCGCCCCGCGCACCTCCGCAAGCGGTGCCCGCAGCCTCGGCCTCGAAATCAAGGGTGCCGCCTCAGCGTCAGCAGCCGACAGCCGCCGTTCCTCGCTCGCCACACCCACAGCCAGCACCCCGGCCCACAACAATACCGCGACCTCGAGCAACACAGCCGACCCGCACGCGGCGGAACGTGCAGCACGCGACAGGGAGCGCCTGCTCCGCGAGACAAGACGCATGGCGAGTCTGACTGGGCTGGCTGCTGCTGCTGCTGCTGCTGCAGGGTCCAAGCGAAGCCGGGATGTTGGAGGGGGCGACGACGAGGCGGGGGCCAGGAAGTCCAGTCGACGCAGGGTTTCGAGGCGTGGTGCGGATGATGATCGTGAGGGGGAGGAGGAGAGGATGAGGAGGTTGGAAGAGGAGCGGGAGAAGGCTCGGTATGAATGAGACCACTTGGTAAGATCTGGATGCGGTGGGTTTTGGTAAACAAAAGAGGGTGGAGGGGAGGTTCAGCGCAGGATTGACAGCGGGGAAAGGTTTAGATTTGGCATGAGCAAAGAAAGAGGAACGCGTTGATCATCGAAGCTCGCATTGCGCTGCATGTAATCTGTCTATGTACAAGTTCAAGTTTGCCTTGTGGGGGGTTGTGCTTATGTAGAGTCTCGTCTGATTAGACAAAGGGCTGGTATGTTGAGTCCGCTGGGATGAACTTGCCTCGGGTAACCGAGGTAGGTAGGTGCCTACGTACGATAGCTTGTCCACTCCGCTTTTAATTCGAGATGTTGTTCTCTATTGCTAAGCAGTTGGGAGTCGTCAACCGGACCAGAACACCCATATTTATGGAACTGTGGGCTGTATCTTGCCATTGATACTTGGGTAGCATGATCACTCAGTCGAAAGCTTCAATGAAGTGGTGCCCAATGCACTATGATCTGGGGCGACACCGCGGAAGCTTTCTTCCGGGGAGACCGGGGTCATGGGAGCCAAATATACCCGGGTTTCGCGCCGAGTCGGTCAATGATAATAAGGCCACGATAGGGTGAGGTATATATAGAAGGACCATGTCCCCCATCGTCAACGGCCCTCGCCCATGTGTTTTTCGTAACCGACTACAGCCTAAGGAAACAGGATCTAGTCGGGTAGCGTTTTGATACCTAAGGTACCTTATCATAAGATCATCTCCATGGACGGCGTGTTCCTGGAGGCCGTATTTTCCATCTTCTTTTCTTGGCTGGGCTTTATTTAGTTCTTTCTATACGATTAAACCAGCACTTGAGAAAAGCGGGAAGGGCCATGGAGGACTGTGATGAAGTCGCATACCTGATATTCAGGGTCAAGGGTACCCCTGCATTACACAGTACGCTACACATGCCGAGACGGGTGATATTCCTGCGAGCGGACCGTCCGCGCATGGCCTGGAACGAGGATGGGGAAGGCGGGGTTAAGTCGACCGATCACCACTGCGAGAGCTCGATGGGATGTCATCATTGGCCCTGTTGCGGCAGCTGATACAAGGAATGTGGTGAGATATGCTGCACAGTGCAGGTACATCTACATTACATACTGCCCCGCATCCCGAGAACATGAACATGGGGGTTACACGTCCGCCCGCTAACACCAGGACGGGCACCTCACCTCTTACCGCCTCCAGGCCTACTCTGTTTGTCTTAGCACTTTTACTACCAACCTGCAACCCCTCGACAGAGAAGCTTTCCGGGCCATTTCCCGTCTTGCATACCGCAGTTTAACATTTCACTCCGCTCGTTCCATGTAGTCCGGCGACGATGCGACCACTCTCTGGCGATGACGCGCACAGGCGTCCCTGCACCTCCGATCCCGACGGTCCCTCGACCTTCAGACTTCCAGCCGCTCCGCAAATGAGCTATTGTTTCGCTGACGAGTCCTCTATCGGCTCGTCTTCCCAACCTCCACCGGTAGCCCTCCACCGCCCGAAGGAACACCGCACAGTCCCGCCTCCCGAGAACGCCGAGCCGCCCAAAGCCCGGGGACGATCGCAGTACAACCTTGAGAGAGACAAAGAGCCCGCCGGTCGACCGTCGAGCTCCAAGGGGCCCGTCGAGGCTCTCAGACATGACGAATACGACTCGTCACGGCCCATCTCACCGTTCCACAGACCAACAGACACTCCCAACCTTTCTCGGCCTCTCACGCCTGTCCTCCTGGGAGCATCCGGTGCCGCGTCGGTCCTGAGCAGCGTCTCCTCAAGGCGCAACTCGCTTTGCCTATCCGAAGACCTCGGCAGCCGCCCGCCAAGCATGAGAGACAGCGGCGATGTCGCGGTGGAGTCCGAAGAGGAGGAGGAGGCGGCGGAGGAGGAGGAATACCAAGGCGGTGGCGACCCCGGCGTGGGCGGCTCGTCCATGGCGGACAGCGGCAGCGCCCCGCAGCTGGTCATGCCCAGCATCAAGATGCCCAGCCGCCGACCGTTTACCGACGAGGGCAAGCGCATGGGCCGTCTGAAAGTGCTGGTCGCCGGCGACAGCGGGGTGGGCAAGACCTCGCTGATCAAGGCCATCGTGCAGTCGTGCGAGCATATCGTGCATGTGGACCCCATCACGCCGTCGGCGCTGCCGTCCTCGTCTGTCACGAGGTCCATACCGAGTGTGATGGGAGCTCCTGTCAGAAAGCAGAGGGGACGCCGGCGGCAGCAGTCGGCCAGCACGAGCCAGATCACCGAGATTTATGCGAGCACGAAGCCGTACCCCGACTGGTGGTCCGAGGTGGACGATTTCCGGCTGCTGAGGCGTAGGAAGAGCCTGGGCGATGCCGTGCTGGATCGCAACATTTGCTTTGTCGATACCCCGGGATACGGCAGCGGATCATCGGTGTGTTTCCCTCACTCCCTCGTGCGAGACCAGGGTGTGAGGACCCGGCTGACCCTCTCTAGTCGATGGATACGATAACGCCCGTGGCGCAGTACATAGAAGCCCACCTGCAGCGGATGAACACCGGTCTCCTCAGCGATGGAGACCTTCTCAACTTGCTAGGTGGAGAGGGTGGTGTCCAGGTTGACGCCGTCTTTTACCTGGTTTCGAACCGTATGAGATGCGCTGCCGCTGAGTTCGGAGGAGTTGGTGCTGACTAGTATGGACCAGGTCTGCGGCTCGTCGATATTGAGTATCTACGGCAGCTTTCACACCTTACGAACATCATCATCCTGCTCGCCCAGGCCGACTTGATGTCGGCCGAGCAGGTAGCCGCCAGCAAGGAGCAGATGTACAGTCAGCTCAAGGAGGCCAATATTCGGCCCTTCTCCTTCTCCATGCCCTCGCCCAACTCCGTCGTGTCTTCCGACCCCGAGAAACAGGGCATCTATGCGATATCCAGCGCCACCGGCTCGGACCACGACACCATGGACGCAAGCCTGCTGATGTCACCAGACTACGTCCAACCCCTCATCCCCACCGAACTGGCCACCCTCGTCGAGCAAGTCTTCAGCAGCACCGGCGTGTCCTGGCTCCGCCACTCGGTCGCGCGCAAGTACGTGCAGTGGCGCAAAGCCGAAAACCTCCCTCCCGCCAGACCATCCTCTTTACTCCGTAACCAAACCCTCCCGCCCAACCTCAACATCAGCCCATCCTCATCCTCCCCGCTATCCCCGCCGTCGCCTTCACGCTCCTATACAGACCAAGTCCTCGCCACCCCGATGGGCACCACATCATCGAGCTATGCGCTCGCCCGCCTGGCCGATCACACGCAGCGGGAGGAGCGCCTGGCACAGGTGCGGCTCGCGAACTGGGCCGCCGACCTCCAGAAGAGCCTGGCGCGCGAGAGGGAGCAGTATGCCGCACTCGCGAGGGGCGAGCGCGCCATGTGGTTGGCTGAGCGGATCAGCGAGTGTGTGAGGGACGGGAGTCTCGTTGTCGCGGATCAGCTTCGTACGACTCGAGGGCAGGGTAGGGGGGTGAATAAATCCAGTCTGGACTTTGCGGAAGCTGCGGCTGGGGAATTTGTCCCTTCTTCGAGCTCTCTGGGAGTACCGCGTGACGGGAGGGCCGGACAGAGGAAACGGGAGAAGTTCCAGAGTCAGAACCAGCATCAATACCGGCGTCACAGGCAGGATCCGCTCGGTCTGCTGGAGGTCGCGGACGAGTTGCGGCACAAGGGCCTGATTGCGCTGGAGGTGCTGGGGAGTCTGGGCGTGCTGGGCGGGCTGGCGCTGTGGGTGACCAGACATCATATCCATCTGCAGGCTTACGGGTGGATGGTGGGCGAGTGGGAGCGGCTTTGGTATGGTGCTAGGTACTAATCATGGGATCTGATGGTTTGGCATCGGGAACGGATGGAAGGAGAGAGACACAGGCCTGGGTTTCATTATGCAATCTCCTAATGTATCTTTCACTTCTAAGGTTGTGGTTGTGCTTTTTGCATGCATTGTACATATCACGGGATGGTTCAGTGCCACATAGGGTTTCTAGGTCTCTCTATGTCATGCAAGGGGGGCGACGCCGGGCAGAGATGGGCGTGATACATACCGAGCGGTAAGTAGGACGGCGCAAATGCATAGGTATCCTTGAGTTCCAGCTGGTTTTGATCATGCAACTGTGTGGGAATCACCTGGTGTGCCACAAGTGACTCCAATACCCTGCACATCGATGAGGACGTCATTGGGGGGGGGGGGGGGGGGCGGGGGGGGGCAGAGATCGTAGCGGCATCATGTTTAAATTGGGTAAGTGGTAGCTCTTGGTGATACTGATGCGAGGTAATTCGAGGCGTTAGGAAGGTACACAAAGAATCTCAACCCGATCCAGGAATGTATATTCCTACCTGAAAAGTCACATCGGGCTTCGTTAGCTGCTTACCTGTAAGCGAGGCGGAGAGTACCTTGTTTCTGGCTGGATGTAGCCACAGCTTCAGTCTCGAGAACACCACTGATACTTCGTATCCTCCGAGCTAGAGTCTGTCGGTCACAATCGAACCATCTCATGTCGTGGTAGAGGCGGATCGCGGACATATATTCCAAACGCGCACGGCAGAAGCTTGAGTGGACGTTGTAAGATGCGTGTTCTGTTTCTGAATATCGTCCTCGCTGAGGTCATGAGGACAGTGGCATAGTGCAGAAACAGGAAACAGCTTGTGATGTTTGATTTACGTACTTGAGTTAAATAATACCTTGGTCAACCAAGCAACCGCTTATCGGAGAGCCGTATGAATGTCGAGCGTCTGTTAGCATCTTCGTGTCCCAGTTCATTCAGTGTGGTCTGTTAAATGTCGCCCCAATGAGATTGGCCACAATATGCTTCCCAGGGATTTCGGTCACAGCCTCACAGGGAACGCTCCACGTTTGCTGCTTGATCGTCAAGAGGGTAGGCAGTATGCCCGACATATCGAGATGATTGATACGAGAACTCTGTTGTCCACAACCATGGTTGATGTAAGGTTGGCTAGGATATCTACTATATATACCTATGTACTGTACTCCGACAGTCTCGACTACATTTAGTTGTTCATAGTATCCACAACCTATATTGCTTGTATACTATACCGTACATCCGATATCATGAAAGGGTGAGATAGCAGAGGACACTACCAGGTAGGGACATATACTCGCTCATATAACCAATCCAGGTGGCCCACCTCTTCTTGGATTGAACTTCTTATACCACGATCCCACTCTATAACGCCTTCGTGAGTTCTGGAATATGAGTTGAGAATGTAAGATTCAGTTCGCTTGCGTCGATACCAATGAGGTGCTACGACGTCGATGTGACCCTTTTTATGCTTCTGCCACGAAGAGATCGCGTGAACAACAACCATCGACGATTCAAATGGCACGGCGGCCTTCCAAAACACCACATACCCTCAGACCCTCAAAGAGACCCAATTACCTCGTTGCACTTATGAATGCACTGGCGCAGGAGAAACGGCGCGCGGCAGCAGAAACCTCACCCGCAACCAGTTTCACAGTGAGTTTTATTCTGACTCTGTTCATTAACATAGGCACCTCGCTTTCGAGTTCCCGGCACCCCTTCCCCTCTAAACCAATACCAGCTCATCAGTGCTACCCGATACTAAGCGCTTGCATGTTGGCATACGGTTCTTGCTCGCCTGTCACAGGATTGCATTCCAAAGTTCGAGTCCTGTCTAACTCCGCCGTGTGGCTGGCAATGTGAGGGTCTGGAGGATATCGGTCGGCCACGAGAAACCGCCGGCCCGGGACATCTCGATGGTACAAGATTCGTTCGAAGCTTATTTGATATTCAAACCAAGAGTTCCTGTCCGCTGACCTGCGGTAGCGGCAAAAAGTAGGTGTGGGGGTTCCTAGCACGCCCCGAAATATTCCGCTGCGCGATATACATTGTTCCAACAGTTTCTTCACCGACCTCTTCAATTGATTCTCGTCCTTCGTTTCTCCCCGAGTATTCCACTGCATCGATATTCTCGAAGTGTGCAAATGAGGACTCATGACGCTCCTGCATGATGCATCGCATTATAGCCTAGGACGAACCTCTTTGATCGATACACTCTTCGAGATGTCCCGTCAAAATCTTCGGATAAACTGTCTGTAGCGCCTCTGACGTCAAACGCGTGTGACAGAACCGTATATCGCGAAAATCGGCAGGAGACGGATGACTGAGCCACGGAGCACCACGGCCCGGCGGCCTGTGGGGGAGAGCGAGAATCCGAGGCAGCCCGATGCATGGACCATTCGGAGATGTGGGTACTGGCCCTGGGTACGTAGCACTTATTAAAGTTCAATTGTCGCCGAGCCGACACGGAGATATTTCTGATTGGCCCGAGTGCGATGCCGTTCGTAATCCGCAGGATTCCATGGCGTCGAATGTGTCCGCGTTACGGATAGGTATTGAGCATGGTTTTCATGATGGGCGCTGGCGCGTCCTTTTTCCGGGAAGCATTTCGAACAAGAATTCCGAGTTCGGCATCGCTGGGTGACGGTTCAAAACCAAGGAACGGGTGCTACATGATGTTAACGTTGCCCTGAGCGTCTCACTGGCCATGCGGTCAGCTACGCACCGCAGACGCCATCTGCGGTTCCGACAGAATGTTTGTGGCTGAGCTGCGCCGTGAGTCCGCGTACATCCACGTGTGAGAGAGCTCAGATGCAGCTCTGTCGGGACAGGAGAGCGCATTCCGGCCCGCCGTGTCTTCCAATCCCACCGCTGCGGTGCCCATCACCTCATCAGCCCTACGAGCGGACCCGGCGAATCAGACGAGGCCGGTAGCGAACCAATGCGATCCGCAATTCCAATTCTCGCTTCGCACAGGCAGTGCAAACGCCGTTTTCAACTCGGTGTTACGGTCCCAGCCGACGCTGCCCTGCAGATGCTCATTTCCTCTTCGCATGTTGATGACTGTATCGGCAAGGGGGCGGTACAGTTGTTCTCTGCAGATGTTCCATGCATTACAACGTCGGGGATTGCAATCGGAAATCGACCTCGAGCCTTCCGGTTTGGCGTTCGTGGCGGAGATTTGCGATTTGTAGCATCGGCGACGCCTGCTGTTGCGAACACAGTATGTACCCGGCGTATCAAACGAGTGCATTGCCTCAGTGTCGGAGGTGGGGGTGTCGTGGACTCGTGGCCCTCGTACAGCTCGGGTTGTTTGGACTGAACGGAGGTTGCCAAGTCAAGCCAATGAATCATTTTGAACACTCACCGATTGATGAGATCAAAACAAAAAGGCGCGCATGCATTGTCGAGGTAGAATGATCCATGCCGCAAAGATATTGAGGCTCCGTGCCGCTTAATGGAATTAGAAATCCATACAAACTAGGGTTATGATGATCGCTTGCAAGGGCGCGAGTGCGTTAACTATGCCTTCAATGGAAATTTGTATGAATGAATGGGCATGGGTGCAGCAAAAATGTGTTAATAAGGCGGTTGATTAGGTAAACCTAGAACTTTAGTAAAAGTCCTGAGCGAAACCGCCAGAAGATGCTGCGAGTCCTCCCTGCCAAATGCGGGGTGTGCTCGGCGTTGCTGATTAACAAGCAGCCTACTTCGTAGGCATCAAGGTTCTGGCGCTAGCCGAGTCCGACCAGATGACAGATACGTATGTCGGACACATTTCGCTCATACACTACGCTGGTGAGTCGAAATTCAATTCATCCTGACGCCGCGTTATCAATGTGGGCCGGGGTTAAGGGCTGAGGTGGTGTTAAGCAAGGTGTTAAGCTGGGACATAACTCCGTCCCACGATGAGGACAACCGCCGTTGGCCGAAACAGGGTATCGTCGACAACACACCAAATTGTTAATGGTGAGACGTATTGAGTTTGCTTGGAGCCTGAGAGGGCTCGCAGAAACGGCCCGCAGGGGAAATCAAATGTGGCCGTGTGTGCGTCGGAGACAGCAAATTCGTCCATGCCGCTTCACCGCCGCCGCGTCCCAGTCTCGACTGTTGTACGCTGCGGGAAGGGGCGGCGCAAGGCGTGGCCGAGGGCCGCGTTTCTCTAACGTTAACTAACCCGCAAGGGTAATTAATAACTGAGAGTTGTTGTGTACGACTGCGGAGGTAACGTGGGCGAATGGGCGGGCCGAGGTGGAGATCGGACTCGGGTTTTGTCAGCTGCTGCGGATGATACAACCAGCCAAGCTCTGGTGACCAGCGGTGTCTTGGAAGGCCGAACACCAACAAACGGTCAAGCTTACAAAAGGACTCGGGGCCGCCCTTTCCCCAGACACAAGGCATCCTCCAGGCCTACACTCCAGCTTGACTTTGAGGACTTGATTGTTTACCCAAGCCGTTACCTATTGTCTGTTTGCAAAAGGGTCTTCATTTGCCGACCCACCAGCACAAGAGCCCAGCTTCACATGGTTGTTGCGCTGTCCTCGATACCGCTTTTCAGTCACACCCCGCCAAGTCTAAACCCACACCCTAGACCCGCAAACTGGGGCATCCTGTCATCGGTTTTCGCGCCCTTGAGTCACCAGGAAAAAAGCCAAAGGACTTTTGAACGCCTCGTGCCGAACTTTACTCACAATGTCTTCTCCTCTTCCCATCCCATCCACAAGGAAACAACAATCACCGAGGCCATTGGGCGCTTCACCGGCAACCATTACAGCTCTCCCATCGCCTTTCAGACCCAGAGCCAATAAGAAGATGTCGATCGCCCAAACCTACTTTCTCGCCCACAAGGCCCGGGCCAAGCTCTCCTATGAGGCTGCCCGTCCCGATCACAACCTCCGCCTGCTTGTCGGGCACGCCAATCTCCTCGACTCGTTGATGTTGGAGCTCGCCGACGCCGAGAGGGAACAAGAGTCGTGGTTCAATCAGTCCGTCCGGGGTGCTTCCCAATACACTGAAGAGAAGCACATCCAATGGGCCGACACGATCGTTGAGGAGCCGGAGCACGACTGGCAAGTCGAGGATGCCGAGTTGGATTCGGACTCGGACTCCGACTCGGACAGTGACTTGAGCGACGATGAAGACATTGAAATGGCCGATGCCGTCTCCCTGAGGAGAATACCTTCCAACACGATGTTGCCTCACAAGGTGGATTACGACTACCACGAAGAGGAGGATGATTACGACATGGACGACGAGGAGGACTACGCCAAGCTGGCTCTGCAGCGCAGCCCATCACACTCTACCTCGCCATCATCACCGCCAGAACTCGACGACGACTCAGACTCGACAGAAGACGAGTCAATGCCGCCGTCACCGCCCACGGCACTCATCACGGAGTTCGAGGCACCGCAGAAGGGGAGCGGCACAACAACAACAACAGCGACAGATCCCATAGAAAGCCAGTACTACCTCCCGCCACAAGGGGGTCTCATCTCCGCGATATCAGTCTACTGAGCGGCTTGTCTTCGGCCTTCTCTGTCTTGTGTTAGTTCCTCTTTCTGCATGAGCCGGCGTTTTCAGATGATACCAAATGGGCGGGAGCGAAAACAAAAAGTCTTCGGTTTTTCTTTTTTCATTGACAGAGTTCAGGCGCTATGACGCGCCAATCTTACACCACTCAGTACCACAATTGGGCGATGATACGGGATACTGGAATGGGAAATGGGCGGGGTATTGGATTCTGAAGGGTTGTATACACACACACACACACACACACACACACACAGTGAGCTCTTTTCGTCGGACGGACGCTGGACTTCATCTTTCTTTTTTTTCCATCATCACGCTTCTTCCGCTCCCTGCCACACCAAAGCTGTGCAAGGTAGAGTGGGAAAGCAGTGACGTCTCGGATAGCATTGCAATCACAATGAGATCTATGAGTATCAAGAATCTTACACCATCGAAATGATCGCATGTATGACGCACTTCGGAGATAACACTCCGATTGACACCGATCCAGTTCCATCTCGCCCGTCGTCGTCTGTGACGTTGTCTACGAATGCTCCGAAACCGTCAACGTCAGTCGCCGATGATCGGGCAAGTCGCCAATGAGATCGGTTCCGAGCAGACGGTATGATTCACAAGATTTAGCGGAAGCTACACCCACGCCACGGGCGTCGGCTTAGACGACTCGGTCTGGGGTGGTGGAGCCGCGTGTCAGGAATTTTTGCCCTTTTCTGTGATGAAAGACCCCGTTTGTACCTGACCGGCTACAATTTCCTTCCGTCGGGGCAACGGGGTCGGAGCAGCGGAGAACTGTCCCTGCCGGCTGCCTAGTGAAAAGAAGAGCAAGTGAAAGAAAACCACGAGGGTTCTTCTCGAGCGCGCGAGTTGCGCGTAAATTTGCTCGCTGTTAATACTGTTGTATCGCTTTCGCTTATTTTCTGCCTTCCTGGGCACCTCGGGAGAGATCCTGTGAGCAATGCGAACTTACGTGGATGTGCTAGGCAGCGCACACGCACTCGCACTCGCGAGCAGGATAGTTACGGCGGATACGGTACCTACGAATACAAAGTTCCATGGCATGATCACATAAATTAGACCCGTCGGGCAAAATGAGATTGCGAAGCTCTCATTTACCGTTGTTGTTGTCGTTGTTGGGCGTGTTGGCAGACAGCTGACAGACCAGTTGGGTTGCTGATTCTTTGGTCAGGTACGTGCGCATGGCGCAATTGTTGATTCATCATCGCTCATTTCTCGCGATCCTTGGCTATCGCTGACGGGGTGTTGGGGTGTTGGGGTTTTTCGCGGCTCGCGGCGTTGCGGGTGGTCACCGAGGCCGAGGCCTCGAGGTCAGGGATTCAATGGTTTCATCTTCAAGGTTCTCAGTCACTGCTACAAACGCCCTTGCTCACCTGACTGCTGGCTGGGTCGGCCAAGTTGATGAAGCAGTGGACGGGACGTGTGTAGGTACCAGTCAGACCCGCCGTTTGTGTTTCGGCCTCTCGGTGCAAGGAGTAGTTGGGGTTTTGACAGGCACAACGCATCGCTTCGCTGGCCCTTCATTTGGCTTGACACCGATCACCTTTGCAGGCTCACCGCCCAACACACATTCACACGATGAGTGAGCTCTTTGCTTTGCGTTGAAGACTTCGCCTGCATGAAAATTACAGGGCGAAAAGGCGGGGGCCTAATTTCTCGAGCTGACTCAGGCTCAACCGCATCAAATGCCCTGCCAATCCTGTGAGTCCAACTCTGATGCAAGAGCGGATGCTGCCTGATGTGGAGGGTGGCTGAGATCATACGGATAGATGCCTTATGGTGGAGGGAGTGTCCTGGGAATTGCAGGGCTTCCTCCACGTGTAACATATCCTTCCCCAGACCATTTCAAACTCTGTTTGAGACCCGGTTCAGATCAACTCTCATCAGCCATTGTCATTTCGTTTGGGCAGGGCGAGATCAGCGCAATCCACAACGTTGGGCGATCCTCCGCAGAATTACAGTTTTGGATGATGTGCTGCGGATCAACAGGGCAATTGTTGGCGTCTTGTCAACGTTACACTGACTCTCTTAACTACTAATCTGGGGAAGTTGGTGACACGATGCTTAAAGGGCGCTGTCCGTCGGCCAATCCATTAGTATGTATTGGAGGCTGTGCTGTCAATACCTTCAAGTCCGCTATCCTATCAATGGAGGACGGCCGGAGGTTTCATCAACTTATTTATTTAGCGGTGAGCTTGAAGCATCTCGGCACCACCCTTGACGACCGTGCAGCAAGAAAAATGTACCCTACTGAATGCGGCTCATGGATGAGTCCTTATCAATCAGCTCGGACCTCTCCGCCATCCGAAGTATCTCACTAGCGTACCTATCATTACGCTGGCCGGTTGGCTGACTGTATCTGTGTAAGTATGATGCGTATCTTAACGGCTTTCCGGCCTAGTTAAGGTAGAGAGGTATGTCGCTCGCTCGGGCTCGGAAAGCGCGCGTACGGGCCAACAATACGGCGCCGATTGTAGGGGTGGGGGCCCCCTTCATCCCGCGGGGCGTCACAAGGTCTCGGCAACTGGGCCTCGAGTGAAACACCAGAAGGCCGTCAGTTGACCGCATACGGCACATGAATCAAAATCTCGAGCACCAATTCCAAGGATTTATCGCGCTTATTAAGAAGCAAAAAAGGGACAGCACAGGCATTGAGACCAGGTTTGACTGTGAGTTACGATACAGACCGCCTCTGATGCCGGTGTCACTCCGGCAAGAAATTGATATGCACAGTTCATCGGCGGAACCCCGCCTCTCCGGGCGATCTCGTCGACTACTGCGCGACAAGCCGCGGGACTCTGGTAGCACAAGAAGGTCCTTTGCATATACACTAGGTAGGGTGTACTGTAGGTAATCGACTACAAGGCTAGACAGGGATCGAGATTTGGATACCTACCTACATAGCTGTGACATTGCCGTCCCAAGAATGTTGATGAGAATATCCGTACCGTGCTGGCTACATAAGTCATGACCGTTGAATCGGGAACTCCAAGCAAGATTTCCTGGCGCGTTGAGGCGAGGGTTTGAGTCAACTGACGAGACAACCCAACACGAGCCCGAGTCCCTCCGTCCCGGACCGGGAGCAGGTGGCCCACCCGCTCCCGACGCGCCCGACAAGCCTCAAATCAAGATAATGAATGGGCTAAGGCTTGCGTACGAAGGTACTCTGGAGATAAATTCACATATGTCCGTCCGGTAGCCTAAGTTGCTACCCGAGAATTTAAGGAGTTGGTTAATGTCGGTGATGAGAGTACCGTGCCGTAGATACGTATCGAAGACGACCCTATCTCCGAGTCCCCGAAAGTTCAAAGAAACGTGGAGAACCCGGCGATAACCTCGCAGGCCCGGACCCACCTCCTGCAAGGCTGATCAATGAATCGCGCCTTGACCACCTCGGCCTTGCAATGTCCCGCATGCCGACCGGCAAAATTGTTGGCGCCGACCGGAGAGCTCGGATAGTTGGATCGACGTCACCGGGAAGTTTGAAGTTGCTCTTTGAACTGCCAGTGAACTCACATGACCAATGCCAACGCAGACTTCGAACACTACCAACTAGAGTGAGTTGACGCCGCAATGCAGCCAATGCAGCCGGCACGTACGGTTTTCAACTCGGCCGGCACCTTCACCTGCCGCGGGTGCCTGTCGCGGCTCGCGCGCCAACATCAGCAGCGCCGCACCTTTTCCGGCTCCGTGCCCCGCCATGCCGCTCCGGCCCGGCCCTCCCCGGCGGGCCTCGCGCAACTCTCCTCGCGCAGGCTGATCTCCGTCTCGGGCCCGGACGCTGCCAAGTACCTCCAGGGGGTGATCACCGCCAACCTCTTCCCCGGCCCTGCAGGTCCCAACCCGTCACCGCTGCGGAGCGACGCGGGCTTCTACGCCGCCTTCCTGACGGCGCAGGGCCGCGTGCTCCACGACGTCTTCGTCTACCGCGACGTGCGCGACACGTCCCACCCGCCGGGCCACAGCTGGCTGCTCGAGGTCGACGCCGCCGAGGCCGACCGCCTGCAGAAGCACATCCGGCGGTACAAGCTGCGCGCCAAGTTCGACGTGCGCCTGCTGGACGACGGCGAGGGGCAGGTTTGGCAGGCGTGGGACGACAATCTACCCGCCTCCTCCTCCTCCTCTGCCTCTTCCTCTTTCTCTCTGCTCTGCAACCTTGGCAGCAGTGGCAGCAGTGGCAGTACTATAATCACCCTCCCGGACACGCGCGCCCCCAACCTGGGCTACCGCATCTTGACCTTCTCCCCCACAACTCCAGACTCATTACCCTTCCATGATGATATCTCCCCCGTCGAGGAAGACGCTTACACGATCCGACGGTACCTGCACGGCATCCCCGAGGGGCAAGCCGAGATCCTGCGAGAGCAGGCGCTGCCGCACGAGAGCAACATCGACCGCATGGGGGCCATCGACTTCCGCAAGGGCTGCTACGTCGGGCAGGAGCTGACCATCCGCACGGAGCATCGCGGGGTGGTGCGGAAGCGCATCCTGCCTTGTCTGCTGTACCCCCCCGAGCAAGACAACGAAGCGGGGATGTTGGCGTATTCGCCCGAGATCGGGACGGGCTTGACGGCGGAGATGGTACCGCCCGAGGCGAGCATCGGGCGGGTGGGGAAGAAAGGGCGGAGCGCGGGGAAGTGGTTGAGGGGCGCGGGGAATCTGGGGCTGGCGCTGTGTCGGTTAGAAATCATGACGGACATTGTGCTGCCGGGGGAGTCCGGGGGTGTGGGTTATAAAGAAGGGGATGAGTTTGTTGTTGGGCTGGAACAGCAACAGGAGGGCGAGGGAGGAGGAGGAGGGGAGGAGAGGAAGGTCAAGATCAAGGCGTTTGTGCCGGAGTGGTTGAGAAACGGGTTAGTGAATACAGAGAACCACTAAGTTGCCGTTGGCTTGCGAGACGGTTCGGGGGTTGAGTGTGTTGTATACCTCGATGTTTGTAGATACTACGGCCCATGAACCTGGGTTCTCCATTATAACCATCACTTCGCACAACCACAGGGCAGTATGCAGTATATAGCCAAACATCATTGAACCGACTTTCCAACGGCGCCGCAAAGTGGTCAAGTGGCTACCTCGGTGCACCTGCGTTGGGCCACGGCGTCGTAGCCCCTCTCGCCTGAGATGGCCTGGGTTCGATTCCTATCGTATACGGCGAAGTAAAATCCCTGGTGGGGGATTTTCGTAGTCACCAACCTCCCAAGCCAAAAAAAAAAAAAAAAAAAAAAAAAAAAAAAAAAAAAAAAGAAAGAAAAAAAAAAGAAGAGAGAGAGAGAGAGAGAGAGAGAGAGAGAGAGAAAAGCGATGGGGAGCTTGGTGGTGAGCTTTTTGTATCCCATCTTTTGTATCTGCTATGTCCCATCACCTGTCCCCATCCGGAAAGACGTCGGGATCGCGGGCGCTTGCATAGGTAGTCCTATATTTATAGCACCGTTGTCTAGGGTCTTCAGATGTATCTCTCATAACTCAATCACAGCCCGTCTCCTATGCAGAGCCAAACACACTAGTCTGTGAGGCTCTTATGGCATCGGACACTTAGTTCTATTAGGCACGTATCGGTAGGGTGTATCACGACAATAGTACATAACATAACCTTGACGAAAGGAGTCTACGTAGCGGAAACGCCTGCTGCTGCCCGCGCCTCCTCTTCGGCTTTCTTCCTTTTTACCTCGTCTTTCTTCGCCTGAGCCTCCCGCAACCTGGCGAACATTGACGCGAAGCGGTCGCTTGGTTGGCGGGCGCCGTCGACAGATGGAGGCGCCGCAGATGGGGTGGGTTCGACGGGCTTGGCCTTGTCTTCGTCAGCCTGTGATTCTCCAGTGGCATGAGAAGGAAGAGGAGGAGGAGATTGTGATGGTGAAGTCTTCGAGTCCCATTTCCCCAGAGGTTCGGGCGACGTGGACCTCTCGGTCTTCGTCTTCCCCTTTCTCTCCGCTTTCCTTTCGGCTTTACGCCGCTCCTTCTCCGCCTTGTTGCGTCGTTTCTCCTCGAGTTGTTTCTCCAGCTCGGCTATCCGCTCGTCGAGGTCGTCAGTTGTTGTTGGTGCAGGCGGGGCGCGCTGGCCATCGTCAGGGATATTTGTGGTTGGCTCGCTCGCAAAGGCGACAGATGGCTCGTCTCCCGCCGCAGCATCCGCGGCACCCGCCTCCTTCTTCTTCCTCGCCGCCAACCGCTCCTGCCTTGCCAGTTCCTCCCGCACCTCGGCCTCCTTCCTCTGCCGCACCATCTCCTCCCACTTTGCCTTGCCCCTCGCTGCCATGGCTGCCCTCTCTGGGTCATATGCCTGAGGCTTTGGTTGCTGTCTGGCGCGCCTGGCTTCCTCCTCCCTCCGCTCGAGGTCCTCGACGAGCTGCCGTCTCTTGGCGGACATCTGCTCCAGCTGCATCTTCTTTTGCAGGACGGCGCGCATCCCGCTATCGTAGGCCTCGCGGGCCGCCGGGTTGAGCAGCACATCGCGCGCGCGCTCCAGCCGCTCGTACAGGGCGGGATCGTAGGCGTCGCCGGCCTTGTCCGGGTGCGCCGTCAGGGCCTTGCGGCGGAAGGCCCTGCGGATGTCGGATTCCGAGGCGGTCGCGTCTGTGGCGAGCAGGGCGAACAGGTCTTCCCCTCTACTGGCCGCATCCTGAGCGTAGGTGATGAGGTCTTGGTCTGCCATTGCCATTGTTGGTTTGTTGTCGTTGAAGCGGCGGGAGACGAGCCAAGAATGTTGGCGATGGGTTGCGTTCAATTTGCAGGAGCAATGCGGAAGAGGACGCGCGGGCGATCAATAACTGCTGTGGATACGAAGGTAAGCCGATAAGCTTATCGCTTCTCCAATCAGCGCTAACTTATCGGGTAAGGTGCAGGCCGATTGCTGTTTGTAACTTCAAGACGGTACGAGTACCAGGTAGTATGATGAATCAATTGACTGTAAATTACGGATACACCAGACCATGATCAAGCAACCGGGATGATAACCGTACCTTATATGTGCTGCGTGATGCGTAAACCGGAAGGAATCACGGAGCCCAGAAAGGACTCGGTACCTAGGTAGTAGCTAAGGCAACCAAGACGAGGACGAAGCAAAAGGCAACCGGCATCACGATCTCGGAAGGGCGATCGCCCTCTTAAGATCTGACACCTACCTACCTTCCTTAGGTGAGGTAGGTACCTGGTAGGTAGTAACTGCCCTCACTTATAACCCAGGAGTCCTCCTTCGTACAATCGCTTTACTTTGGTGTATGTCATTGCCGTAACTTGCTGGTCGACGGTCGACTGCTTGGTGGCCCCCCGCGCCGTTGGCAGTCACCATGCATCCGGTCTTTCATTGCTCTCTCGCTTTCCTTGCACTTACTTATTCGCCTCTTCTACTCTTTTCTATGTCTCTCTTCTTTTTCCGCTCGCGATCGGAGTCCACTGAGTTCAGGCACGGAGAAGACCAACGGGGGTAACAGGTCCAGTGCCTGTGGGTTATGATCGAAATCTCCTTTCTGTTCTTTTCCCACCGAACAGGTACACCCAAGGACGGACCAGGCCGTTCTCTCGCCATGACCCCTCCGACTAGCGTTCTCCCGCAACGCTGGGCGAGGAATGATATCGACGGAGACGGAGCTTTCAAATTTGATTGGGAAGTCATAAAACGTTTTGCGACCAGCGCCAGGCGGGCAGCCGAAGGGGTTGATTGCCCATGCCAGCTTTCTACCGAGTACAACTACGGTGATAACCATGTTGTCCGACGGGTCGACTTTGAGGACAACCGCCGGTGGCTTGTCTGGGTCCAATGCACGCTCCTAACGCCCGAAATCTCGCCAGAAGTTACGGAACGAGGTCGACACCCTGCTAGTGAGATCAATGTCCAACATCCCCGTTCCAGAAGTCCTCGCCTACGATACGATTGGGGGGTTCCCTCCGGTGCTGCTTTTATGTTGATGGAGTTCGTGCCGCGCGATACGGCCACGGACCTGACGCCTTCCGTATTCAAGAACAAGTTTTATGCGGCGGTGGCCGACATACAGGCTCAGATGGCGTCAATACGCTTCCCCAAGATTGGCACCATTGTCTTCCGCGAGGGGGTGTTTGAATTGGCCCCATGCCAGATGTCGGAGGCCCGTTCGACACCGCAGCTGAATACTTCGTCGCTTGGGCCAGGACAGCCAAGTTTCCTTACGATATGTACTCAGACGCCGATTTCAAAGACATGCTCGATGATCTGCCAGGACTGTTCGTGGGCGAAGCTCTTGAATCGCTAGACACATTTCCCACTCGCGTCCGGAAGCTGGCTGAGCGCTTTCCTTTCTGAGACGGTCCCTTCCCGTTCCTTCGCAAAAGTTTCGGCTGCGAGGACATCATCATAGACGAGGACTACACCATTCTGTCAGTGATCGATTGGGAGAATGCATTCGTGGGGCCGTGGGAGGTGGTATAGTACTTTGACGCACTCGCCCTTCCTCCTGGTGTGAGCGGCGGTCCACCATTCACCCTCTCCGGGGAGCTGGAACTCGAGCGGGCAGAATATGTTAGGCTTGTCCAAGAGATGGAAGAGAAGCGGCAACTGGATACAAGGCTGTCTACGGTCTTGTCTGACGAGCGAATACAGCCTTTTGCGCGGGCCGTTAGGGTATATCAGGACGGCGGTGTTGGGCTTTATAACTGGGTCATGAATTGGCTGGAAAACAGACAGACAGTGGGTTAACTGAAGTGCCAGATCCCTTGGAAAGACAGGTCCCAGGTCTCACGGAAACACTCGGAGCACTACTGCCCAAACTCAAAGGCCATACATTGGAGTAAGACATCAATTACAGGGAGGGGCGTGGCAGAGAAACGGACCAGGGGTCACCTAGAGATAGCACAAGCATACCGAAACTAGACCCAAGAATATCAATCCGAAACTTCAACTTTGAGAGGGCACAGAACATGGGGTATGCGCTTCTAGAAATGCCAGTTTGAATGCCAGTTGACATTCAACAATGTTTCCACAGAGTGACCAACTGTTTTAAAAGAAAACCGCAGACGTTTGAACTGACATGAGAGAACGCTGAGATGTCGCCTACCATAGGACATGAAAACCAGAATTCTGCTGCATAATTCCCATACACCTCCTCAATACGTCGCTTTCAGCCTCTGTGTAAGGTACTCCCCACTGTTGATGCCCACGTACTTCTTGTCGGCTTCGGTGGCGTACGTTCCCGGGATAGCCTCGATCCAGTCCTTGAAGTTGGGGTTGCAGAAGTACCTGCCACACAAGTCAGCTAATCATCTCTTCTCAACCAAGCAAAACAATTCCGATCCCTTCCATGTGGAAACACTCACGCAATGCTATATCTAGGCGGATACGTCTCCGCCTCACTGCCCCCTTCCTTCCCAGGCGGCTCAACAACCCGATGCACCGTGCTCTTGATGGTATCGTTGCTCCACCGCGCGAGCAAGTCCCCGGCATTGACCACACAGGTGCCCTCGACAGGGGCGGCATCCACGAACTCGCCCTCGGGGCTCTTAACCTGCAGCCCGCCCCTGTCGTCCTGGAACAAGAACGTAATGCTCCCGTAGTCCGAGTGCTCGCCGGCGCGCACCTGGCCCGGGTTGATCTGGAACACGTCGCGGCGCACGGCCGGGTAGTGCAGCAGGCGCAGGGTGTTGTCGCCGTCGCACACGAATCGGTCGAAGTAGCTCTCGTCCGGCAGGGCCATCCCCACGGCGATGGCGCGCATCACGTCCGTGTGCAGGGATTTTAGCTGCGAGCAAAAGTCCAGCATGGTCTGCTGGAAGCCGACGAGCTGGTTCTCGGCCGTCTCGGGCGGCCAGTGGTTCGGGTGCTGCGGCTCGTCCGGCCGGCCGATCTCGAAGGATTCTTTCAAGTCCGGGACAGTGCTGCGCAGGGCGCTGACTGCCGCGCCGTCGGTTAGCTGCGTTACCTTCTCACGGCCTGGCGCCGAGTAGCCTCGGTTGGCTTCCGGGACGGTCCAGGCCAGGGAGGATTTGGTGGCAGTGTCGAGTTGGAAGAACTTGGCCGACATGTCGAAGACGTGGGCGAGAGTGGGCGGTGGCGTGGGGATGTTGGAGAGGTAGATGAAACCTGCGGTTTGAAAGCCATGGAGGATTGCTTTGGCCGTCGCAACCTTCTGGGAGGGGTCGCCGTGCAGGAACTTGGAGAAGTCGATGAGCTGTTACGTACCTTATGTTAGAAACTGTTATCTGTGAGAGGGGAACGTGGTAGGAGCTGACTGGAATGAGAAGACCGTTTCCTTCCACGGCTGCCTTCTCCATGATGTGCCAGATAAATGTAATGACCTCCTAGAATTTCTTCGAGTGGAGGGACGATGGTGAAAAAGAGAACCACGCTCAAGCCGCGTCGTCAGAGAATAGGAGACTCAAAGCTTGATAGGTCAGTTCTACTACCTGTCTGCTACAGCTTGGGAGAGGGGGGAACAGCTAAGTCGGACCCGCCTCGGTTCTCACTTGAATTCCTTTGATGCCTCCCGATAATCGAGTATCACGGGATAGTCCAGTGCAACTCGCAATGCAGCTGCCATGTGATCCTGTGCTCGGCTAGATTGTCCCCGATTGCATAGGATACATTGTCCCTCCAATGGTCCCGCGGCAGTTAAGCCAATGCCATCCAAGAAGGGCCGAGTCCATCTCCGTTACACATGACGACAAAGCAAACCCAATTGCTCCATGTGCAAAGCCATTGTCTGCAGAGCGTGCACAGTAACACCGGGCACCATACATCTCGTATCCTCACCACAGATGAAAGTGATTAGCCTATTACTATAGCAGGTACTCGTTCTTGTTCAGTCGGGTCTCTTCCCAGCCCACCACCAGCACTTATCAAGGGCTCAATGGCTGTACTCCGTACTGTGTAAGTCGCGACCGCTCCACAGACCCCCAGCTGCAGCGCAGCGATAAGAACCCCTGTCAGATCGACGGCACTGATAACCCAAGTGGGGAGCTTCCAACGGGTCAGTGGGGTATGCGGAGTGGTTCCCGGCTTGGCATCGGACTTGGCACCCCCCGCCTCGATGTATCATTATCTCACACAGCAAATCCCTCCCATCTTGTAAGTTGAGGTTATAGGAACGATCGACTGGTTCAAACTACTTCACTTGCCCTGAGCAAGGATACCACAAGCTACCTATACGTCAGTAGAAACTCCAAGATGGCTCAACCGGGAGGATCCAAGCCCAAACGCAAAGTGGTCGACATCCACACCCACATGTACCCCGCCGAGTACATCTCCATCCTCTCTTCGCGCACCGAGATCCCGCTCGTGAGAACATTCCCCTCGCCCTCATCACCCGACCCCGACCCTCGCCTGATCCTCCTCGAAGCCGAGCTGCCAGCGCTCGAGAAAGCCCTCCAGGACCCGTCCGCTCCCGTCCCCGGCCGGCCCCTAACCAAGCACTTCACCTCCCTCCCGCAGAAGCTGCACTTCATGACGACCCACGGCATCGACATCTCGGTCCTCTCCCTCGCCAACCCGTGGCTAGACTTCCTCCCGGCCTCCGAAGCGGGCGCCATCGCAGAACGAATCAACACCGCCTTCGAGGAAATGTGCTCTTCCTCCTCCAACAGAGCCTTCTTCTTCTTCGCCGCCCTCCCGCTCACCGCACCCCTCGAAACCATCGTCTCGTGCATCACCCACGTCTCACAGTGCCTGCCCCACTGCCGCGGGGTCATCCTGGGCACCTCCGGCCTGGGATCCGGGCTCGACGACCCGGCGCTGCTGCCCATCCTCCGCTCTCTCGCGGACCACAACCTCCCCGTCTTCCTGCACCCGCACTACGGCCTGCCCAGCGCCGTGTACGGGCCCAGGGCGGCCGAGGAGTACGGCCACGTGCTGCCGCTGGCGCTGGGGTTCCCCATGGAGACGACGATCGCGGTGGCCCGCATGTATCTCGCGGGCGTGTTCGATGCCGTGCCCGAGCTGCGCATGATCCTGGCGCATTCGGGCGGGACGCTGCCCTTTCTGGCCGGGAGGATCGAGAGTTGTGTTTTGCATGATGAGAGGCTTGCGAAGGAGGCGGAGAAGAAGAAGACGACGGCAAGCCGGAGGAGGAGGAGAAGCGTGTGGGAGGTGCTGAGGAGTCAGGTGTATCTCGATGCTGTCGTGTACAGTGAGGTGGGGCTGAAGACGGCTGTCGAGGCGAGTGGTGGTGGGAGAGAGGGGGCGGAGAGGTTGATGTTTGGGACGGACCACCCTTTTTTCCCGCCTGTCGGGGACGAAGCGGACAGCCAAGGGGAGTGGGAGAGTGTGAGGTTGAATGCCGAGGCTGTCAAGCGGGCGTTGGGGGAAGGGAGCGAGGAGGCGGAGTTGGTCATGGGAGGGAATGCAATACGCGTGCTGCGGCTGTTTGAGTAGATGGGTCAGGCATAGAGACTAGAGTTAGACTCTGTGTTGTTCGTGCGGAATATGATGGCTATGACTGACAATCGCCCGGGCAATGCCAGTCTGCAGGATCGCCTCCCGGCCAACACCCCACCCCTGACAGCCCCTATACCATATTCAGCTTCAGCTTCCCCCTCTTCCTCTTTCCGCCGACCTCCCTCTGCTCCTCCACCTCCAACAACGCCTCCCGCTTCTTCTCCCCGACCAGCTTCATCACCTTGGTCAACCTCGTCTCCAGGTTCACGCCCTCCTCCTGCCACTCCTCCATCTGCCTGCCCACGCGGTTCTCAATGGCAAGCACCAGTTCGACATCACGCTGTCCCACGAAGGTAATGGCCTCACCCTTCCGCCCCGCACGCGCCGTACGACCGACGCGGTGGATGTAGTCGTCCGGATCCCGTGGGACGTCGTAGTTGATGACGAGCTTCACCTCGGGGATGTCCAGCCCTCTGGCCGCCACGTCGGTGGCGACCAGGATCCGCGCGGCGGAGGCGCGGAAGCGGGCCAGGTTGTCAATCCTCTGCCGCTGCGGCAGCTTGGAGTGCAGCGCCGTCACGCGGTGGTCGAGCAGGCGCAGGAGATGGTGCAGGAAGTCGGCGGTCGACGTCCGGTTGCAGAAGATGATGACCGACTTCTCCGCGTTGGCCGGGGTGAGCAGGAACGTGTGCAGGTAGTACTCGCGGTGCGTGACCTGCAGCCGGAAGTACATTTGTTTGAGCGTGTTTGGTATCGCCAAGTTGTCGGTGTCCACCTCGCACACGAAGACCGGGTCGCGTCCCGGCTGCCGGGGCATGCTCTTGAGCGCCATCACTTCTGGCGTGATGGTTGCCGTGAAGAGCAGGGTTTGTCGCTCGGCTGGCGGCGGAAGAGCGCCCAGACACTCTTCCACGTCCGGGAGCATGCTTCCCGGTCCGTTGGCCGCTAAAAGTCGGTCGGCCTCGTCTAGTACTACAAAGCGGACGCGTCTGAGTCCGCATATCGTGTCTTCGCCGGATGTGCGGATGTGGTCGGCCAGGCGGCCAGGGGTAGCAATGACAATGTGTGGCCGCTGGGCCAGGGCGATGGCCTGCGACCGCATATCTGCACCACCCGTGACTAGGATAGCTTTGAGCGAATGTGGCGAGGAGATCGCCTTGACTTGCTCGTAGATCTGGAGCGCAAGCTCTCTGTGGGCAGCGGTTAGCACGGGTCCGTCACTCAGCAATAAGCGGGCAAGAATGGCACTCACCGAGTCGGGGTTAGGATGAGCCCGAAGATGGCAGACGGATTCTCGGCCCATTTCTGCAGAATAGGGACGGAAAAGGCCACCGTTTTACCTGAACCAGTCCTGCTCCCGCCGATGCAGTCTCTTCCCTTGAGCAGCATCGGGATGCTCTCTCGCTGAATGGCGGTTGGCCGCTTGATGGCCATGTTTGCAAGTGACTGCACGAGCCATGGCCGGACACCAAGTGACTCGAAAGTGGTGTTGGCATCCAACGGTGCCGTGATCCGGGATGTCGGTTCGGCTTCGGTGTCGCTTGGCCGGGCGGTGACCTTACTCTCGGCCTGAGGCTGGCTGCGCTTTATGCGAGACGGTACATTGATGACAGACTTGATGACCTTGGGCTCCTCATCATCACCATCCTCATGAGCCACGGGAGAGGTGCGGCGCCGTTTCCGGGGGCTGACGCTGTCTAGAGAGTCTGAATCTGTAGCAGCTCTGTCGCTGTGGGACGCCGATGAACTTGCATCCGAGTCGGAGGCTGAACCGTCGGTGTCATTGAGGCGCTCTACCAGCTCCTCCTTGCGCGTTCCCTTTACAGGGGCAATTGACGGCATAGTTCAATCGTCTGTCTGTTTGTCCACTCAAACTACTACAGCTGCATAAAGTTTGCCGGAGCTCTGTTTGATGCTTGCGAGCGCTAGCAAGCAAGCTGTCACTGTCGTCGCGGTTCGCTCATGAAAGTCGAAAATTTTGGTCCACGATTTAAGATAAAAAAGTGGGACGCAGGCATCTTGGCGGCGGATAATGATGGATCTCGGTTCGGGGAGCCGCGACCCATCAGACCCATCAGAACAATTTGGTGGGTCGGATCGCTGCCTCCACGGACCAACGACGTCTCGTATCACAGCGCCTAACAATCGGGCGGCGCCTGCGAAGCTGTCGCGCATCAAGCACAGTCTGGGCTATTGTGAAGCACCGTGTCTGTGTGCGTATACACTAGAGTCTGGGATGAGGAGCTATACTACGAAGCGAAAACATGGTGACAGCCTATGAAACAGGAAAGCAAAACACACAGTCAGCAAGTCTGTCTCTCGCTGTCGTTGACCCTGGTGAAGCAAGGATCAGCGAATCTATAGCCCAGTAACACGATGATCCTGAACAAGGTTTCATTCTTCAACCTCTGGACACAATGCCGAGTTCCTATATCAGAAGAATCGGCTAACCACCACCATCAACGTATCTTACGTACCCGGGCCGAGCGCAGGACTGCGGCACCAGTGCACGTGTAAAGCACCCAAGCCAACCTTCGGCTTCGCCTAGCGGCCGTTAACCAGACGGACCTTCCGGCAAGTGGACTCTCACGTCAGCTCAGGACGGTTGTTGGATGGTAAGTTGCGAAGTCTCAGGAGGCGGCTCAGTCAGGAACGTATTATATACTACATTATATACCAAAAATCGCCGATAGTAGCATTGATATAACTTAAGACATGTACTTAACTAACAACTTTCTTTGGTTTACCTCTCTTTGGACCATCGAGGTCATCTTGGGACTAGTCTACGCATTCTTTTGACCATCGGGAAGACAGTATATACAGCGACGTGACTTAGACTAACAAAAGGAGTAGACACTTCGGGGCCCATGCTCCGAACGGTAAGGTATGTACTTCTGTTCCATGCGTAGGTACTAGTAGTCTGTTGCATACATTGCAGCTCAATGTGCGGGCAAGTTCCGGACGCTGCAGCCAAAGGACTGGGGGTGGCGTTCTGTGGAAGTCCTCCAGGGCTAAGGTTCATGGGAGTGTTGATCACTGGCGGCTATCATCCCTTGCGGCCAGCCCATTAGCGACACAGTATGTGCGACAGTAAGTTCCCACTCAGCAGAGCCCGAGATCCTTTGAACTCGAATCACCTCGTGTTGCTTTCTGATTTGTTTTACGAGTTGCTGTTGATTTGGTGAAATGCCGCAGGACGCGCCAGGTCTCAGCTTAATTTCCATTCCCTACTACACTAGCGTCCATCCATATGGGAAATCGACCTTGAAGATTGTATAGTACCTACAGTGCCTACCTATTGGGCTTTCCGCGCTGCCTGCTCCTGAATGTCTTAAGCTCTGAATCGCGGATCCCCTGGCTGTCAGAGGCGAGCTTTGTCAGTTGAGCCCCGCCTTTTCAGGGCCAGGGCCCGGATCCGCCCATCCTGAGCCACGGGCATTGGCCGGGCCGGTAGCAATCACAAGAGTGGAGCCAGGGAGGCCCTGGAACGGGCGCTTGGAGCCTGGAGGGGTTTCTTGCGCCCGATTCATCAGATGGATGAACCGCTCCCCTTCCATCAATGAGCAAACAGTTCAGTCCGACGGACACCGCTCCCAAATCAACACAGTTCGCCACATTCTTATCTGACTAGACTTCGTCCAACATTCACGGTTCCTGGCCCCATCCATCGCCTCATAAGGCGCACACACGACGTCGGGAGTTGACGCTCAATCCGCCGATTCATCGCCGCAGCGCGCCGAGCCCCAAGTAGCATCGCCCCAGCTGATTGCTCGATCCAGCTTGCGTCCGTTCGTGCGTTGCTGTCGTGTTCCGCGGCACCTCCTTTGTTTGGCAGTTGAATCAGGCTCGCCAGCGTGTCGCATCGGCCCTATTATCCCAGCCTGGGCTCGGTCCGCATAACCCACTGCATCTCGCCTCGTTGGTCTGCAGACCACTGCAGCTTGGTTTGCTGATCACCAGCGCCGAGTCGATATCGAAGGCCCACGCTACTACCGGGCCGTCATGGCCGCTCCCCCGAACCAGAGCGGCGAGGGTGCTGCACCCATGGTATGAGCCTCCTCCATTTTCACTTCTATCCGCTTGTTCCGCTGTTGTTCTCCCTGCCTTCATATATCACTTGGCTGTGTGTCTTCTGTCTCCATCAACGTCAGACCGGGCCTCCAACCAGCTTCCGTCTTGAAGCTTGGGCAATACCTAGGTGGATCCGTTGGGCCTTTGGAAGTGCACTTTCAAGGCGAGCCTCAGCGGGGAAGAAGCGACAGCCTAGACCGTCCGCGACAATTTGAATGATCTTGTTGCTGATAGCTCCCTCAAAACAATGAAGTCCTCGGTCCCAACTCTCGGAATCCCGCAGCCAAACCCTTCTCCAGTTCCCACGATGTCCGCCGCACCACCGCCCCTCCGCCCAGCCATGGGCGGCCCTCGTCCTGGCGGCCGAGCTGGCCCCCGCCTGGGCCTTGCAATTCCTCCGTCTGCCAACGTCAAGCCGGTCGGGAACCAGGGGGCACCTCCTCCGCGTCCGGCGCTACCCACATTGAACATCGCCACTCCGATGGGCAGCACCGTGGTGCCGCAAGAACAGCCGCACAAGGCCCTGAGCTTGCAAAGTGCGAGTGGTGGTAGCGAGAGCAGCGCCGCTCACAGCAGGAGCGGGAGTTTTGGGCCGCTCGACGGCCGCGCCAGTAATCCCACCAGTGCCGGCTCTCAGTTCAGCGCCCTCTCCTTCGCTAGCCACTATGGTATTGGGTCGACAAGGCAGACGGGCGATCCAGTATCGGCGGTTGGATCGCTGTATTCGAATGCCAGTGAGAGCATAGGCGAAGAGGGCAGCTTACACGGACTGGAAAGCTTTGATAAGCTGAGCCTTGAGAAGGCGAGGACAGCAGATGTGGAAGACCTGGATGACGAAGGTTGGCGAATTGTGAGTATGGAGAAGAGGATCATCGAGCTGGGAACCCTGGGTGAAGGTGCCGGTGGTGCAGTGACAAAATGCAAGTTGAAGGGTGGGAACACCATGTTCGCCCTCAAGGTATGACGCTCCAACAAGCTCTTCAGGACAGTCTGAAATGGCCAATTCTAACAACAGCCCAGATTATCACAACAAACCCTGACCCGGACGCCAAGCGGCAAATCATTCGCGAGTTGGGCTTCAACAAGGAGTGTGCCTCGCAACATATTTGCCGCTACTACGGTGCATTCGTCGACCCCGCGACGGCCACCATCTCCATCGCAATGGAGTTTTGCGAGGGCGGGTCTCTGGACAGCATCTACAAGGAGGTCAAGCGGCTCGGTGGCCGGACAGGTGAAAAGGTGCTGGGCAAAATTGCCGAGGGTGTCCTCCAAGGTCTGACCTACCTTCACTCCAAGAAGATCATCCACCGCGACATCAAGCCGAGCAACATCCTTCTTTGCCGCAATGGCGACGTGAAGCTCTGCGATTTCGGTGTCTCTGGCGAGTTCGGCACTAAGGGCGACGCGTCCACCTTCATTGGCACCAGCTACTACATGGCACCAGAACGTATTACGGGCCAGTCATACACCATCACGTCCGATGTCTGGTCTACCGGTATCACACTGCTTGAGGTTGCCCAGCATCGTTTCCCGTTCCCGGTCGACGGCACCGAGATGCAGCCCCGCGCCGGCCCTCTCGATTTGCTGACCTACATCGTCAAGCACCCGACGCCTAAACTCAAGGACGAGCCCGATGCCAACATCTTCTGGAGTGGCAACTTCAAGTACTTCATCGACTGCTGGTTCGTCTTGTCCACGTATTCCCCATTCCCATGAGCATACCCGCTAACGATGTCCATCAGTCTCGAAAAGGAACCGTCCCGCCGTGCGACCCCCTGGCGTATGATGGAGCACCCCTGGATGAAGGAGATGAGCACCAAGCGCGTCAACATGCGCCGTTACCTGTCGCAAGTTTGGGGCTGGGATGATCAGGAACCTCAGGCGCCACAGAAGGCATAGAGCCCCGGACGTGGCCTGGCTCGGTCAGGGCATACCGTGAGCTCCAGGGTGGCCTAGAAGGCGACGAGAGCACAGAGCGGTCGAGCAGGCGGCTCCGTTTCGTCCCCAGTGAGCATTAAAACAGGAAGGCTGTCACCATCAGAAGAACTACGACAGAAATACGCAGAAGACGACTCGCTAGCTCCCTTAATCGCCACAGCCACACCACCCGTTCTGGCAACAATTGAAGAGCTGCTGGAAGAAGAACCGTCCGCTTCCGCGAGCCCGGACTAGGCGTCGGCATTCGCACGCTCGCCTTCAATCTTTAGCTTGGCCCATGAGCGACTGTTAGAAGAGAGCTTAGAACTGAAGCTAAACCCGTGGCTTGGGATCGAAGCGGATTCAAAAGCAATAAGCAATAACTCACCTACAGACACACTCGTAACGGCGCCACTCTTACCGTCGCCGCTTAACCCAGAGTCGCCTTCTTCATCTGGATCGAAAGGATCATCGCGCTAGAAGCGATTTCGATCATATCCGCAGTCTGCCTCCCCTTCGTCTGCCACTTCCAACTCCAGTCTCATCAAGTCCGGCCTGAGAAAATGGGAAACAAAATTGAGAGGGGTTGTTCGCAACGTCTACTCGGGGCTTGATAAAGTGAGAAGGAGTCGGTCGATGGCGCGAAGCACCGATTGTCGACGAGAAATAAGCATATAAAACGCCTTGGGAAGGTCGCTGCATTGGAAACCGTCTGGACTAGGAGCTCTGAGATGGATCTTTTTGAGTATGTTTGGAAATGGGTCAGTGGGAAGGGAGCGGTTCCGGTCGGGACAGCCTACTACCATAGCGAGCGTGTCTGTCATCTTCCCTGGAGAGACGGGTTGGAATCAAGAAAGGTAGGAACAAGTGGTCTTTCCCTTTTTCTCTTGGCTTCGGACTGGGACTTTTTCTTTTGGTCAGCGTGCGGTATCTCCTCTTTTGGGTTATTGTCATGGCCACCTTATGGGATTACTTCATGGACTGGATAATACCTCACATAGGATGTATTCATTCCCACGAGTAACAGGCAGTGCCTCACTCACCACTCTACCTAACTAGCCAACTATCTGGGTAGCTTACTTAATAAGTGTGTATATGAAGAGTGAACTTCCATGTTGCAGGTTTAGGTGGTGCATCATTATTGAACCGAGCAGTAAGTACCTACCTACACAATAGCACGAGCTTCCAGGTTGTTTTCTAGGAAGGACAGACAAGAAGCCACCTGGGAGATGAAACAAGTCCTGGCTCACATTTCCTCACGCTGCCACGCCTCACTGAGCTTGCTGCTGCAGCAGACCTTGACAAATCTGCAAATGCGGTGACGGAGGAGAAAGTTCGAATGTCCAAAGTGCTGCCTGCCTGCCTATGGGCCTTCTGACTCAATAGGTATGAGGTAACCTTTTCGAGGAGGCTGGGAATTGGGAGTATGAAAGACGTGATCTCCGGATAGTCTCGCACTCCAGCATGCTCCCGAAGCAGAATACACCCAGCATCAGCTGTACATGTACTTACCCGGGTATCTATAAACCGAAGGTGTTCCAGCAAGAGTTGAATGCACCACCAACCTCACTGTCATATCAGTCTCCACAGATGGACAAGAAGTCCGTTAGCCGCAGGTCTCTCTCCCTGGACTCACTGCCTCTTAAGATCTTCACGCGACAACACTCTGCATCAGCCATGACAGCGCATAAAAGACAAATCGTCGCCATTTTTATGTTCACTCTCTCTCGCGCCTAAGGTAGGCACTTCAGGCAGACAATGTGATGCCTGTGTCAGTTCAAGTAATAGTACATAACCCATCTACCTTTTCCCAGTAGTAAAAAAGGGGGTATCCTCTCAAATGGTTCGTCATGAAATGGCGCTCTCATGTGTCAAACCCAATCCCAGTTATCCCGCTCTCTCGATGCCAAAAACGCCGAAGAAGATTCAGAATATCATCAGGTTTGACCGCCGACTCCCCAAGAGAAAATGTCCATGGTTCCCATCTCAATGCGATCATGCCCATCAATGTCCTCGCAGCCAACCGCCAACTTAAATGGCAGCATCTCGCAGAAGATCCTTTCATTTCGCCTCGCATCGCGGAACAGATTAATCCCCTGTGTACTGTACTTCGACTCTCTTTCAGAATCGACCTGGTAGATGCCATAGATTAAAAAAAAAGAAAACGCGCTAGACGTAGTAGCCCGAGATGAGTCCTACAGCGGACAGCGCTGCTCAGTTTCCCCGGACAAGCTCCGAACTTGAACTCAGAGACAAGTCGTCAACATGGGGAGCAACAAAAGGCTGTGCTGTACCGTGACATGTAGTGAGGTCCCGTGGAGTGATGACATGTCAGAGTAAGGCTTTCCATGTGGTGAAAGCGACAGTCGAATCCTTTCCAGTCGGGGCAGTAGTCTCAGGCATCTCTTGCATGCCGAAAAACAAGAAAAGCAGAAGGTGAGATCGGAAATGCCGAAAATGCCGGAAATGCTCAACAGACGCTGTGCTCATTATTCATGAGGAGCCCTCTTAAGCCCGGAAGATGGTTGACTCAGGTTTAGATCGACCAATTCGGAGCTGCTGTATGCTCAGACCGGACCACTTATTAGAGGTCAACCAAACAAGCGGCTGAGGCACCAAAACCGCAGGAAAGGTCTCAGTGCCGATATACCAATGAAAATCGTATCGTTTGTAGTCGTACAAGGCTGGCAGGTACTGCCAACAGGGGCCGCCCGGTTGTGTGAATTTCTTCCGGTAGAGATACGGCCTAGAGGGTGGGCTCGGAAGCCACCGAATACTACCCAATTAGAGAGCCAGTTCCTCCGCCGTCGTGCCCATGAGCTCACGAAGCACGATGGTCGCGTAGTTGCTGGGCTTGAGCTGAAATTTCAGGATTACAGCAATCTTGCAGGCCAAGGGATTGATGTTGGCTTCGTCAATGCCATTGCCCGGCGAAGACAGCGGATTGTCCGATGCCGTGCGAAGTTTAGGCAAAGGGATGCCATTGATGAAATCAATCGTGTCGCTGGAGGCATTCGAGGGCTCTTCAACCTTGACAAGGGCCGTGCTGGAATGATTGGCCTGGGCATCCGTGGCGCTCGTCGAGGCAGCGGAGACCTTAGGCATGTTCGGGCCGTACCAGTTCATGGGGTCGGTGGTCTCCGGCTCCGCCTTGGAAGCGATGTCGTTGACAGGGACCCCAGCTGTGTTCGTGGGGAGCGTCGGAAGGTTGGACAAGCCTAAGAAGCCATTCACGGGCGCTGCCGTGTTGAAACCAGCCGGGAGCGCGCCGAAGTAAGGAACCATGCCGGTGGCGGCATAGTATTGATCTGAGATGCCACGCAGACCAGGAATGGGTACGACGGTACCCCCGGGAAAGGGCATCATGGACACTGGGCCACCGCCGATAATGCGAGAACTGTCCTGAGGACTACGAGCGCTATCCTTGCGAGGAGAATTCTCCGGCGTATGGCCGTGAAGTGGTGCGCCATTGCCGACAGGAAACCGCGGGTAACCCCCATCTTCCTCAGGCTCGTCGACTTTCACTGCGGGAACGGCAGGAGAAGCACTGGGAATTGGGTCACTGCTTGCCTGGGTCTCGACCTGCTGGTGGTGGTTCGTGAGCCTAACACGCTTGCCACTGCCATCGACCCCAGTCTGGGCCCAGGTCTCGTTGGTGACGATAACACCGTCTGAAGAGGGCTCGTGCTCGGCCTTGCGTCGGCGTGAAGCAGCAGACATGGCGTCGTCGTACAGCTGGGGGTTCTTGGAGAAATGAGCCCACCGATTGACAGAAGCGTCGGGGCCGGGACTTACGTCGGGGCGAGCAGAAGGCTTGGCTCCAGGGTGAGCAGCAATCTCGGCAGCGTGGTTGCGCTCGAAATGAGCCTTGACGTTCTCCAGCTTCTCCGCCTTCTTCTTGTGAGTGGCGTAGTCGAGATCAGTGGGGTACATTTGCTCAGTATCGTCGCAATACGCCCGAACAGCGTACTGGGGGTCGCCGATCAAGCGCCCAATGAGCGGGCGATAGTTGCCGGACAAGCTGAACTCCCGCTGCAGCCGACGCATGTTGTAAGGGTCCAGTGCGCCGTTCTCCGGCTTGCCCATGAACTCGATATAGTACTGACCGATGTCGTTGCCGGGGTACACGACATCATAGCCGGGAGTAGGCAAGACGATGTCGTGGATGGTGTACTTGCCGCTTGCAACGTCTTCAGCAGTGAGGGTTCGCGCCTGGGCGTAGATGTTGTCATCATCATTGTCGTCGTAGGGATTATACTCTTCATCCGGAGTACGGTCACGACGGCGACTGCCCTCGACTAGGACAAGATCGCCCTCCACGACTTTGGCTCCGTACTTGGACCAGCGACGAGTGGCGACAAAGTTCCAGACGTATGATTGATAGGCGTGGGTGTACATTGAGCGCAAGCCACGGGTGATGCTCAGACAGGCTCCCTTGAAGTCCTTCGGGTTCTTACCCAGATGGCGAATAATGGCAGTCTCGGAGCTGAAGCGCTTGGGCATGATCTGAAGAGCCTTTGCCGCATTCTTGGTCGTCTTCCAAGTGGTGATGGCACGGGCGCGATCCTGGTCGTCCCGGCTCTGCTGCAAGTCCTTCCCGGGCTGATACTGGGGCTGGGTGTTGCTCAGGACATCCTTGAGGGTCTCATCGTCGATATACAGAACATCGTCAATGAAACCCTCATAATCACCCTTGAGGATCTTCATGCCGAGCAGATGCGTGCCAATGGCGTAAGTCCCGAAGCGCTGGAGACCGAAGTAGTTAATGTAGCCGTTATGCTTGAGGTAAGCCAGTCCGCACTCGACTGACTGCTGGATCATCTTCATGCGGTGGGCCAGAGAGCAGTTGTTGCCACCCAGGGGCTGGCAGTTCTTCAGCGTGATGACAAATTCGTTGCCGCCGTGCTGGCCAAGCTCAAGTGGCTCCTTGCGGTGCTCAAACTGCCCAACCTTGACACTGGTAATACGGGAGTTGATCCAGATCAGATTTTTGGCCTGCTGGCCAAAAACGCTGATGCGCTGCACAGTGCTGGCACGGCGATCCTTGGTGCCGGCGAAGCCAAAGTTGGAGGCCTTGATCTTGAGAAGACGTGCGATGGTATTGACGGCGTCCATAGTGTCTTTGTTCTCCTTGTAGAGAGTGAAATGCAGGTAAGGACCGCCGAGCTCATTGAGCTGACGATTCTGATCACGGCGGCTGTTGTCACGGGGCCGGCCCCAGTTCTGACTAGTGGCCCGGTTGCTGGTAGCCCACTTGGTAGGGGTGGCCTTGATGACACCATTTGCATCAGCGCCAGTGTCAAAGCGGGACTTGAAGATGCGGCGAATTTCCTGGTGACCATTAGCTCTTAGTTCTGGTGGCGTGAACGAAGAGAGTGTGTAGCAAACCTGGTGAATGGAAGCTCGCTTAGATCGGTCGGTGACAGGATCAAATATAACAGTGCGCTCATCAGGACCCAGCTGGACTTTGTTTTGGACTTTCTCGTCCAGATCAATAAGCTTTTGGGTGGTGTTCTCGCCGATCAAAACGACGAGAATTGTGCGGTCATCTTGAGTGATGGAGTGGACCTTCGGCTTATTCTCAGGCCGGAGGTTTGCAGCAGAGGGATTACGATCGACCGACGACTGTATGATGCCTGTGTTAGAGAAGCCGCAAATGTTGTGGCGGATGACAATGTATACGAACCTGCACGGCAGAAGCCTCCGTCTGCTCCTCATAATCACGAAGATGAAGGACAGTGCCATCCTTCCGGATCTCATTCACAAGAAAGTCGGTATATCTAAGGTGGAGTTAGCTGTCCGTTGAGAAAGCAGGGTAGTCGACAGAAGTCGCTGCCAATGCTCCTTCCGGAATCCCGTCATGGTCTGGTCTTAGCATCCAAAGCTGCGGTTCAGGCGGGTCCAATCCAGGATTCCGGAATTCCGGAAGGAAGGTTGACATCATCGCCGTCCAAATGCGGAAGGTTTAGATGGGCACTAAAATCAATCGGCGGCGAATGAAACGCGCAGTTCACATTGCTGGTGACAGCATTGACCGCGAGGCATGTAAGACAGAAATTAAAGATACTTACCGCTTGCGAATATCTCCGGTCCAGGAGAAGTTGATGGCAGCCGAACGCTGTGAGATGCCGAGAGCCCTCTCGGCTTCAACGCGCACAGCAGGCACATGTGTGCCCGGGCGCTGAGACGACATGGTGACTTGGGCGACAAGCGTCCCAGCAGCAGCGCCCGTGAGTTGCTAGTCGGTATTGGGGGATTGCACCGCCTGGCAGACTGTTGTGCTTGGTGTGTGAAGCGCGATCTAGAAGGCCGAATTCGCTGTCAGACTGAGGCGAAAGCGAAGGAAAGTTGTGATGTGGAAGATGGGGTGAAGGGTTTGATTGTTGGAGAGAAAAATTGGAAGCGTGTGGGAGGAAGGGGACGAAGTGGGAGGAACTGGAAAGGTTGAAGGGTAGAAAGCTTTGTGTGCCATGCAAAGGAAACTTGCAAGTCCAGACTTGGGATCGAACAGTACAGTGGTTGACCGGGACGAGAAAAGCAAGCTACCAAAGAAGGTACGGGGAAAGTAGAGCAAGCTGCCCTTGAGGGAGATGACAGGCTAAGATGGACATCACTAGGAGAAACCTTACCTTTGATATTTCCACCTTGAAAGTTGAAACCAAGACAGAGGACGTTCGGTGGTCGGCAGGCAGCAGGCCTTCCCTTGTATGGATGTGAGTTTAGTATTCGTGGAAAAGTTCATTTGACGGCGAGACGTTCACCTTGTGGATACCAGCTCGTGTTCTCGCCGGCAGTATCGCGGGGTACGTAAGGCGGTGTCTTTTTCACCGCCGGGACCGCCAATGCCGAGCTTGCCAGGTTCGGACAGGGTCCGCGGTCCTGATTGGCTCAGGGGATGTGTCTTGGCAGGGCAGTTCTGGGGTATTGACGACGGGAGCTTCTGGACCCTTGCGGGGCTGTCAATGGCGAGTTGGCGACGGTCCCTGGCCATGAGCAATTGAGGCTTTGAGCCTTGCCTTATGGATATCTAGGTAGGTACTACTATGTGTCACATTTCGGACTTGCATGCACCGAGACCAATAAGACTCCAATCAGTGGCATAACAGCAGTATCGGCCACCTGAAATCACCTAGGACGAAGGTTGGAAGGATGATCATATCATCATTGCAGTGCCCGCGACTTCAGTTGCATCCCATCGTTGCATCCCATTGTCCTAGAATTCTTGTGTGATCGTAAATATGCTGGTATCTTAGAAGCTCCGGGGGACCCTACAGGACTTTGACAAGTTCTTTGGGTTGGATTGGCTGCGGTTGGACGGCAAGTGGCACCCTTCACAGACATTGTCTTCGCAGTCCCTACTGGCAAGTGATGGACTGCCTGAGCGTGCAACAGACTCGGCTATTCGATGAAGGGCCTACACCGACTAAGACGCCTGACGGGTGTATCTAGACCGCGCAAATAGGAGGAATAAGAGGTGGGAAGCAACTGATTGGCAACATATGAGGAGGCGGCCAGGACTACGGAGTACAAGTGGCACAGCAGGATGGGGTGAGGAGACAGAGGCGGCTGTAGATGCTATAAACATACCTTAAGCTTGGCCAGCCCCTTAGAGTTATAAGGTGTAAAGTGTCATGAACGACAGCGGGCGTAGAACAGGTAAAAGAAAAGAAGGTGGCGGCTAGCGACTCATCATCAAGTGTACATAGGTAGTGTTTCATAGCATGCGTGGCCAAGTTATTGCTAAGATGTCTGACTTAAGCATATGTCGGTACTGAAATGGCTCCGCGGCCTTTCGATAACGTGAAATACCTGAAGAAACTCCCAAGCATCCAAGGGAGGCGGATTCCCGAAATCCGAGACGAGTCTGAGAGATATACCGCACGTAGCTTGCTACCCGTAGCCACAGGCAATTGCTGCTGGCTGTGATATCAGATGTCAAAAGCCTATGCCCTTGGAACGCATACCAGTATTGCTCTATCTAGCCAGACTTACCAGGTAGGTAGTCACCAATGAATGGAACCGATCATTCAAAAAGACATGGCCGCACTCCACCTGAACGGAGTCGTCCCAGCACCCGAGAGCTAAAACACTTCGCGGCAGAGGCATAGGTGGTGAAGAGCCCACGGCAGAATTGGACATCCGCTAACACAGGCTAAATGCTCAAACTAGCATTTTTACGAGTAGGATGGCCTAACAGTAGGGAAGGGCTGGCATAAACCATTGACGGGAGACTCGGCTGAGCTTGGTTGATCGACAGGCAAAGACACTGCGTGAAACTCGAACTGGAAGCGCCTAACATCGTCGTATAAGAGAAGAAAGTCCGCCATATGCATGCAGACTGGCAATCTCAGCCACACATAGGAAAAGGTCAATTGTTCTCTTTCTTGCTCTTCCAGGTTCCATTCAGCTCGACTGTGTTTTTCAGGAGAAGGAAGCTGAAGACCGGCGAAACTGGGCAGCGTGACAGCGTCGAAGTAATCAACGAAAACCTTATCGATATCGGCTGCAGGTGCCGGTGCCGGCTATTGACACAGTGCTGCGGGGGGCTGGGCCTCGACGCGGCGGTCCCAAAAGATGCATGCTGAGCTCGAGAAGTCACACAATGTGACAGCGCTCAGGAACTTCCGCACCAAGAGCGTCACTCGCAGCAAATGGCGGCAGCAGCTCTGCCAAGCAACCACCGAGGCTAGAGTCCAAATCTGGATAGAGATTCCCGCCCCGTCTTCCCTCACCAACAAAATGGCCTACGCAGAGCAGCAACGCTGGATCACGGTCCAGCAGAAGACGTTTACGAAATGGCTGAACACCAAGCTGGAGGTCCGCAACCTCGAAGTCAAGGACTTGGTGCGGGATCTGCGTGATGGCGTAGGTTCCGTGTTTACTTTTCTGGCTGCCCCAATGGCGAACGTCGTGCTGAGATACACGGGGTCCTCATCCCTTGCCAGGTCATGCTCATCCACCTGCTCGAATGTCTGTCGGGAGAGTCGCTCGGCCGATACGCCTCGAGACCGAAGCTGCGCGTGCAGTGCTTTGAAAATGCGAACCTAGCCCTGGACTTCATCAAGTCGCGGGGGATTCAGATGACGAATATTGGTGCCGAGGATGTCGTCGACGGCAACCGCAAGATCATCCTGGGACTGATATGGACACTGATTCTGCGCTTCACCATCAGCGACATCAACGAGGAGGGCATGACAGCCAAGGAGGGGTTGCTGTTATGGTGCCAGCGTAAGACGGCTTGCTACGACGAGGTGGACGTGCGCGACTTCAGCGCCAGCTGGAACGACGGGCTCGCGTTTTGCGCCCTGCTCGACATCCACCGGCCAGACCTGATTGACTACGACGCGCTCGACAAATCAGACCACAGAGGCAACATGCAAATGGCCTTCGACATCGCGCACAAGGAGATTGGCATCCCGAAGCTGCTCGATGTCGAGGACGTGTGCGACGTTGCCAAGCCCGACGAGCGGAGTTTGATGACATATATTGCCTACTGGTTCCATGCCTTTTCGCAGATGGAGAAGGTCGAGAACGCGGGCCGCCGCGTCGAGAAATTTGTCAACAACATGCGAGGTGCTTGGGACATGCAGAGCGCTTACGAGCGCCGGATGAGGGAGCTGCTCAAGGCGATCCGCGCCCAGATGGAGAGCTGGCAGCAGGCCAAGTTTGAGGGGACATATGCAGATGCGAAGGCCCAGGCCGGGGAGTTTGCGGCGTACAAGAGGGGGCTGAAGCGAGAATGGGTGGCGGAGAAGAGCGAGTTAGCGACACTCCTGGGCAATATCAAAACTAAGCTGGGCACGTACAGGCTACGGCCGTATGAACCACCGGCAGAATTAAGGTTGGAGGTATTGGACATGGAATGGTCCAACTTGACCAAGGCAGAGATGGCCCGAGGGCAGCTAATCAACGAGACCATCAGGGAGTATGTGGCCCGCAAGAGCACCAGGAATCGCTATGAATCCCTCGCTGACATTGCCATAGCATCAAAAACGCTCTACGAAAATCATTCGCCGACAAGGCGAATGATTTTGCCTTAGCACTCAACACCATACAGCTCGCCATCTCGGGCCTGGAGGGCGACGTAGAAGACCAATTACACCACGTACGGAAGCTCTCGGACAATCTCCCGCCGCTGGACGCATTCCTCAAGACCATCGAGGCGGTCGACATTAAGTGCCAAGAGGCCAACATTGAGGAAAACGACTTCACCACCTACACCTACGATGAGCTCTGCTACGAGCTCTCCCTCGTCAAATCCTCCGTGTCCAAAAAGCTGGCCTTCCTCGAAAACCAGATGGTGGCGCGCAACATGACCAACCTGACGCCCATCCAGCTCGAGGAGTTCGAGTCCGTCTTCCGGCACTTTGACCGCGACGACACCAACTGCCTGTCCGAGCTCGAGTTCAGCGCCGCGCTCGCCTCGCTGGGCCTGATCTTCTCCGAGGACGAGATGCACGACTACTTCCTCGAGACCTCGGGCGGGCGCGACCGCGTCACCTTCGAGCAGTTCATCCGCTTCATGGTGGACGTGACCGAGGACCAGAACACGGCCGAGCAGGTCTTCCAGAGCTTCCGGGAGGTCGCCGACGGCAAGCCCTACGTGACCGAGATGGATCTGCGCCACTCGCTCGTGCCGGACGAGGTGATTGAGGATCTGGTCAAGATCATGCCGCCGCATAGTGGGCCGGATATGCAATCCGACCGCGGCCAGCCGCAGTTTGATTATATCGCGTTTATGGAGAAGTTGATTGGCGATGGGGACATGCAGCGGCCGGGGTCAAAGGGGAGTCACGGTGGGAGGACGAGTCCGTCGAAGTTGGCCGGCGGGAAGCTTAATGGTGATCACTCAAGGGAACCTACGGTCTTAATCTGAGGAGCAGTACCGTCTCTTTCCGCATTCACTTTATTGTTAGACTTTTCTCTCTAATAACCGTGTTAGCATAGCGCATTTGGGTCTTGGCGGATAGGAACACACACACTATATTATTCTCGACGCTTTGCTGATACCAGTTTCGATTTGCTCGGCGTCCAAATTAGGGGGACGGGGTGGGAGGTAGAGCAAAATGTAGGACTGCTGCTCTAGACGAGCGTTCAATATCCGTTTCAAATAGTATTCATGCTAGACAACTTCTTTCCTTTGGGACGCCAACGGTGTTGTAAACAGACTGAGTGCAGCACGATGCTTACCGCTGACGGTAGCAGATCCCCATTACGTCAGGTATATGTAAGGTACCCAAACTAGAACCGACAGGACCAACGACCTGGGACTCGGATATATTAAGTGTAGAGATGTCACCATCCCGGTAGGCGTTACTCGAGTCCCTTGATGCTTCGAGGCACGACAGGGGCCAATTTGAAGCACATAACATCTGTCTAAGTAGTGAGCTATCCAAGCCACGTTTTATGCCAATACATCAGAATGCCACACGACTTAAGGAAAGTTACCTTGCCGATAAATGATGATCCATCCAGCCCACGCACCCTACGCCATCCTTCCCCATCTATCTCCTTATCCCTCTCCCCCGAGAATGGCAGACCAGCTAAAACAAAGCAACACATATTCCAGTCCAATGATACACTCAAAAATGGAGTTAGCACCTTGGTAAACTACTCAACTACTCCTTGAAAGCATCCATCTCCTTCAGCGCCCCCGCCAGCCGCTTATAGTCTCGCAGCAGGTCGAACACCTCGCCAAGCTTCAGGTCAGCTGCGTTTTGCATCTCCATGAACCGCTGGATAGGCGGGTTGATCCTGGGGTATTCCCTCGGGGGGAGCGCGGTCGCGAGGTCGGAGAAGGCCTGTCGTATGGGGAAAGAACATTAGCATGTTTTTGAAAAGGATGGGGTAGGGAAAGAAGGGGAGGCCTTTCCATACCGTAGTCAGATCCCCGCCATCCCGTCCAGGCCCACTACCATCCTTCGCCGGCGGCGTGGGCGCCCTCGCCGGCGCAGGGGTAGGGGCAGACGACCGGCCAAACCCTCTGAAGCCGCCCGCAATCCCCGCCGACAGCCTGGCCATGGGATTCAGCGAGTTCCCTAGATTGCGCATGGAATCCATAATAGGCGGGCTGGTCACCACAGGCGACGACCCTGACCCCGACCCTGAGCCACCGGCTTGGCCTTCCTGCGGCTGCTGTTGGTGTTGGTGCTTCCTCTCCAGCTCACTGCCTCCCCTCCTCGTCGAAGACGACGCCGCACTCCGCGCCGAATCAGCGCTGTGATCGCGATCCCGCTGTGCCTTGTTCCGCCCACTCCCCGAGATGAAACTCAGCAGCGGCGGCCGTTCCTCGGTGCCACCTCTATTCTCCTCCGCCGCTGCAGCTGAGAGAGGACTCGGACTGCGGAGCGACGATACCGCGTCGTCCTCCTGGCCACCCGCAGGGAGCAGCGGTGGAGTCGCAATCAACTTCCGCGCCTCGTCCAACGTCTTGGGCACCACAATCCCGCCCTCTCCGTCTTTGCTCAGCAGGACCTCGGGCACGCGCTCGCGCAGCTTCCCCAAGAAGAACTTGTAGCTGTCGCCCAGGGAGGTGCCGATGGTTTTCAGGCTCTGGTCGGCCGTGTTGAGCACGGCGTCGGAGGCGGCGTTGAGCGCCTGGGCGGGGGTGGGCGTGTTGCGGACCAGGTCGCTTAGCCGGCGCGGCGGGTTGCGGAACTGGGCGTTGACGGTCGCGCGGAAGCCGGTGGGAGTGGGAGTGGGAGTGGGAGTTTGGGATGGGGATGAGGTTTGGGATTGTTGTTTCAGCGCTGCGTTGAGGCTGGCGGCTGCTGCCGACTCTGCTGCGGATGGGTTGGGGCTGAGGGTGGAGGAGGCGGTGGCAGGGCTGGGGGAAGTGGGCGAGAAAGCCGGGGGGAAGGTCTCGCCCTTTGAGGCCGGGGACGAGCCGGGGCCTTTGTTGAGCGGACCAGTCGGAGTCTCGTCGGCGCGGAGGGTGGAAAGGTCCACGGTTTCGAGGAAAGCGATCGTGGCCTCGAGTGTGGTGAGGCAGTAAGCCGCCTCGCCTATGAGCTTGGGCTCCCAGCGAAAGCGCTGAATGAAGTTCACGTCGCTGATGACGTTGAGATTCTCCGGGGGAAGGGTGATGAGGGTGTAGATGAGCATGGGCATGAGCTCGTCGGCCGAGGAGGACGGGTGGAAGTGCGACAGGGTGTCGATAATACTCTTGTGGGCTGCTTTGAGATGGTTCAGCTTCCCCAACGGATACCTGGACTGGCTCATCAGGACAAGTTCCTTCCTGGCTTGGTCCAGCCATTCCTTGACTTCCTCCTGCTTTTTGGCGGCCGCCTCTTCGTCGTCGTCGGCCGTCCCGAGCTCGACGCCGAGGTCAGCTGGGCCAATGCCGACCACGGCGAGAGCGGCCGTCTTCGATCTGAGCTTCGCATCCTGCGCCTCGTCCTGGGTGCTGCGGTGACGGTAGATCTTGCTGTAAATGCCCTCGCACAGCCTCCTCTCCACGGCTTCCTCCAGGAGCGACTTCTTCACCTCCAGTGCCCTTCTCGCCTTCTTTCTGTTCGCGTACTCCTCAGCCGTCAACAATTGCTGCTCCGAGTCCCGCCCGGGCGACGTGGCCTTCGCTTTCTCCTTGGTACCGAGCGAGGCAGCCTTTGCGCGCAAAATACTGGCGGCCGATGTGCGGGTAGAAAGCGGCGGCGCATCTTCGCGTCTCTGCCGGGTGGCTAGCGCATCGACATGCGTCTGGATATGCGAGGACGCGGTGGCGTAGAACTCCTGGAACATGCGGGCCAGCTTCTCGACGTCTGGCGGACTGGGATGGACCTTGGCCGAGAGCGAGTCGATGAAGCGGTCCGTCAGGCTGATAAGCTCGATGGGGAGATCGTCCAGCTCGACCGAGGCTCTGGGCGGCTCTATTGTTTCTTCGCTGATCCTGCTCACGAATGTGTTGGGCACTTCATCTTCGCCGTCCGGCTGCAGCTGCGGCCCGGATGCAGTTCGCAGGGCCGACCTCGCAGCAGGGGGGTGGCCATTCTCGACGGTGCTCGCCCTCTTCGTCCGCGTCGTGGGCTCAGGAGATGCGGAGCGCTCTACTCGGAAGGAACGTACAGACCTCAGCGGGTTCGTGCGACTTGACGACGTTGGCGAGTTGGAAGCCATAGAGCTGTTTCGGGGGTTCATGCTGGACAGCATTGCGATCAGATCATCAGCGTCTATTGTGGGATAATCAAATATTCAAGCTCGAAGCCGGGGAAGCGGCTAATCGCCAGATCTTTGTGGCTGCCCCTCCCATAATGAACGAGACAGGTCGTATTGCCGACGTGGGCTTACCAGTGCTCAATCGCAGCGCATGAGGCAGCGGAGGACAGAAATAGGGGATGTTGAAACAGCGGACCAGCAGGCGATGAGCAGGTGGCCCCACGCCTAGACCGAAACGCACAGAAGCCGGCCAGTCGGGTAGCCCACCACGAAACGGGAAATGGAGGCACGATCTGCACAAAGCGGGCTTGCTTTACTGTACTTTGGTTAGGTATTGCAGACGGAGACGGATGTTGCGGGACATGTGTCACTTGAGCTTGAACTGTCACTATCGATGCTTATCGCGCTATCCGTACCAGAGATGGAGCTGTTCCTGCGCTAGCGGACACATTGTGGGCCCGACGCGCAGTGGGATCGGGCCGCGTCTGCGTCATCTCGATACAGAGGATCTTAACACAAGGCTTGGGCGTCGGGACTCGAGATTGTAGACGGCTGGCAGTTTTGAACTTGTGCCATTGCGGTGAGAAAACGACCGCGTTACTCAGCTTACCGGTATATAGCTTGAGAATTCAGGTTATGCAGTAGAGATTCCGAGCTAGGTACTTATTTCAGCGCGATAGCGGGCTCAGTACCCGGCCAGTTCTCAAGGTTCACAGGCGGGCCGGGGTTGAACGTTAAGGCGGCGTGTCGGGTAGGCTCAACTTGATTCAAACGTGGTCCGAATGTTTGGTATCGGGCCAGGGCCATCTCATTGGATGTCGTTTCTATGCTGTGTATCAAAAGAACCAGGACTCGCTATTGAATGCTTCAGGCATATCGTAGTCCGTAAGGTGCTGCCGTCCTGTTTCGTTTTCGCCCTATAACCGCATGCAGTACAATGTGCTCGGCATTCCGGTAAGTAAGGTATCATGTGGGTATGTACTAGTAGTAATAAGGTACCTGGGTCTTTACTGTCTCGACTGGTTGCCGGCGACAACGTTCGATGACCAAGTTCAGATCAAACGTCGGCTGCCAATGGAAGCGGCGGAAGTCAGCACGACGCTGGGAAGACGGTCTCATGCGTGTGTTAACGCTTCACTTCCTATCGGGTATCTCCGCTTGCTGCTTGGGCGAAGTGCTACAAGATCCACATCATTATCTTATCACCTACGATAAGAGATAAGACCGCTCGATTAGGCGGTGGCGCCGGCTGCCTTCCGATCGGCAACGGCCAACCCCCATCTGTCGTCGTCATCTGGGTACATTCAACGACTCACGCGGTCTTGCCCTTTCCCATTCCTTTTATTGCCCCGATGGACTGACCAGCGACAAAACATCCATAACCCATCTCCAGACGCTTCCACGGCGGCTGTTCTAGTGTCGACACATACATACGCATTTGGCATGTTGCCGAGGAGGAAGCAGGCGGGTGCGACGTGCACTTCCGCCGGCCGAGTCACCGCCCAACTGCTGCTGTCCTTCCTCGCCCTATCAGCAACCCCCATCTCGGCCGCGGGCAACACCAGATCAGACGCGCAGTTTGTTCTCCCCATAGATGCTTCGCCGATAGCGCCCCTCATACCGGAACCGCCAGCCCCTGCAGAACATACTTTCGTAAGTAGGAGAACGGCGGACATTGGCTGGAGTGGTTGCTGACCATCCGTAGACCCTCCGCCACATCTACCATCATGGCACGTACAAGCATCCGCACCTCCATCGAAAACTAGATGTCGATACACAAGGTGCCGATGTATGGTTGGCGGCCGAGGATGGCTACGAGGCCGAGCGCGTTGGCGCCCTGCGAGCGCGAAGCAATGCGATCCGGATACAGCGGCTGGTCGACCGGCGGCCAAGCGCGGTGGACCCAATCGTTGCCGAGGCCCGGCAGCGGGGATTTGTTTCCGTGCTCTCACCGTCGGCATGGACGGTCGATGATGTTCCCGGGCCCAACGTCACCGACAAGGACACCGTCCTGACGCTGGCGTTGATGGCGGCGGACGCCTATGTGGAGAAACCGGGCGAACCAGACTGGGAGGACGTCGGAGGGCCGTTCAACCGGAGCGCTGACTTTGGCTGGGAAGGCGATGGGCTGCGGGGCCATGTCTTCGCGGATGAGACCAACTCCACCATTGTCATCGGGCTGAAGGGGACATCACCCGCTGTCTTCGATGGCGATGGCACCACCACGAACGACAAGGTGAACGACAACCTCTTCTTCAGCTGCTGCTGCGCTCAGCAGGGGCCGTGGACATGGCACCAGGTTTGCGACTGCGCAACCGGGACCTACACTTGCAACAACACGTGCGTCGCCCAAGCACTGCGCGATGAGAATCGGTACTACCAGGCGGCGCGTGAACTCTACTCCAACGTCACGGAGCTCTATCCCAACTCAAACGTCTGGGTTACGGGGCACTCGCTGGGCGGGGCCGTTAGTTCTTTCATCGGTCTCACGTATGGAGTACCGGTCGTTACGTTCCAAGCGGTACCCGATGCCTTGGCGGCAGGAAGGCTGGGTTTGCCTGTACCTCCAGGGGCCGACCCGGACGCACCTCAGACAAGAGAATACACCGGGGCGTACCACTTCGGCCATACAGCTGATCCGATCTATGTCGGCACCTGCAATGGAGCTACGGCGTCATGCTCTTTTGGAGGATATGCTTTGGAGTCATCCTGCCATACAGGCCGAGAGTGCGTTTACGACACGGTGGGCGACAAGGGCTGGCGTGTCGGCATTGGCACGCACAAGATCCGGGCTGTCATCCGCGACGTGATCTTGAAGTACGACACGGTGCCCGAGTGCAAATTTACACCTGAGTGCAGGGACTGTGGCAAGTGGAAGATGTACGAGAGCAACGGGACCGAGACTACTACGACCTCGAGTGCTCCGACATCAACCACCAAGACCCGCACCCGTACAGAGACGTGCAAGACACCGTAAGTTTACAGGCCGACTGGATCTTCTAAGGCTTACTAGTTAGAACTAGCTAACGCAATTCAGGGGTTGGTGGGGCTGCTTAGACGAGACGACTACCACGACTGGTACCGAAACGTCCAAGTTCACCACGACATCATCCACCACTACCTGTCATACTCCGTAAGCTAGATTTTCGAGCAGGTACCTACCTGTCTTTCTGAAATTATGCTGACATTCCCTAGGGGCTGGTTTGGGTGCAAGGACAAGACGACCACAGCCACTACTACGACGCCTACCACGTCCACCACACCCACTGCCACCAGTACGACGTGCGAGACACCAGGCCGTTTCTGGGGGTGCAATGACGAAGCAACGACAGAGACGGCCATCACGATGACAACAACAGCAACCAGAGAGCAGAGCACCATCACCTCTCCGCCAAGCATGCCCGCGCCAACATCGTCGCCCTCAGCAGCCCCCACCTGCGTCGACCGGGCTTGGTATGGGTGGTGTCGGGAATGGGAAGGCGATGAGAGTGGCAGTAATGAGGATATGTAAGAAGATCTGGAGCGGATGTGTTTTGTGCTTAGTCTGGGTTGGGTATTGGGCGCGCATGGAGTTCTATACAGATCAGCTTCCGATCAGCAACACCGAAGTTGGGGCTTTGCATAGCATACATACACACTACAGGGAGTTCCGTCGAATGCTGGTTTGATCTTTGAAAAGATGAGTAACATACAGGGTGTTCTGCTTTTCTCGCAGGGGGATGTTACGGGTGTTTTATACTCAGTATATTTTCTAGCAAGTGTTGATAGCAAGAAGCACTTATACACGACGGAGACACTTACAAGCACACCCACAGAGACCAAGCAGTGATCTCTCTCTCTCTCTCTTATGAATCCCGTGATTAGCACGCGGTCCGAGTCCGATCCGGATGTCATGCAGACGGGCACCTTCGAAATGACCCACTCTGCTGCAGCTCGGGTCAGCCCGTCCGCCCCAGAGTTGCCCGTCCGGTCCACCGGCGCCCTATCGTCGCCTCGTATTCTCGGTGGTGTCTTTTAAATTCTTCATTTATCTCGGCATAGTCTACCCTGTGTTCGCTTCACTTCAGTTCTTATTCCTTTGCTCATTTGCTTCCTTCTTGTTATATTTTTTTGCAGAACCCAACATTCCGTCCGTTTACCCCGCTAAGTACAGTACGGTATCTACGGTAGCCGGGCAGAGGTCGACTTACCTTGCCTTAGGTATCTCTCTAGTCCCGCTACCCCGCCGTGGTGCATGACTCTCTCATCTCAACTCGAAGGTTGCCAGTGAGATCCCGTCCAAAATGACGGACTCCCCGCGCCCGGACCCGGGGCCGGCGCCAGCCCTGGCTCCCAACCTCGAGGCCGAACTCACCTGCTCCGTATGTCCCACATACCTTCCCTCAATGCCCCAACCCGCAATCAAGCTCAACACCTTTCAAGCCAGCAAAAAATGAAAAGGAAAAGAAAAAAAAAACTAACCGTAACCGAACCACGTGCTCCGTCTTTTCCCCTTTCTCTAGATATGCACCGACCTCCTCTACCAACCGCTCACCCTCCTGGACTGCCTGCACACCTTCTGCGCGGCCTGCCTGAAGGAATGGTTCCACTTCCAGGCCGAGCGCGCCGAGTCCGCGCCGGGCCCGCCCCCGCCGCCGGGGCAAGCCGTCTTCACGTGTCCGAGTTGCCGCTATCCGGTACGCGATACCAAACACGATGCGCGCGTGGTCAGTCTCGTGGAGGTCTTCCTCGCGCTCAATCCGGGGAAGGGGAAGAGCGAGGATGAGAAGAGGGACATGGATCGGCGGTATACGAGGGGGGAGAAGGTGCTTCCTAGGTTGAAGTGGGAGCATCGGACGGAGGAGGAGGTCAGGAGGGATGAGGAGGAAAGGAGGCTTATTGAGGAGGTGCAGAGAGTTAGTTTGAGGGAGGCGACTGAGGAGGCTGTGGGGAGGGCTTCGCGGAGGGGGGATGAGGAGGAAGGCGGCGCTGGGGGGAGGAGCAGCAGGAGGAGGAGGGCGCAGAGTGCTGCGATAACGGTCCCGGACAGTACTAGTAGTGGTGGGGAAAGGGAAAGGCGAAGGAGGAGGAGGAGGAGCGAGTCGAGACAGCCGCCGAGTAGGGGAGAGCAGCGGCAGGTGGAGCATCAGTCCTCGCTAAGGAGCTTGATCAGCACCGAGGGGATGGATGCGAGGGATATCGATATCGAGCGGGAGATCGAGGAGTTTGCGCGGCAGATCCAGGAGGAGGGGTTGCTGGACGGGCTGGATCTGGACAATCTCGATCTGGAGAACAACGACGAGCTCAGCCGGAAGATCACCGAGGCGTACAGGAGACGGCATCGCGAGCGGAGGAGAGACGGCGGGAGGAGGAGCAATGCCAGTGCCATGTCTCAGCGGTCCGATGTGTCGGCGAGGCCGAGGTCAGACCGCACAGGAGACGCATCGCGGCCAACGAGTAGGAGCAGACACGCGAACCGTTCGAGGGCGCCGAGTGCGGGCAGCAACGAGGAGCGCGGGAGGTATCCGCCGTCCAGCTCGGCGCATCTCGAGGTGCAAGAGCCGCCGCGAAGACGGAGAGCTTCCAGCGGCGCCCGCAGCGCGACGGTGCCTGTTGTGTCGCCGCAGCAGGCGGATGCCAGAGTTGGAGTGGGAGTCCGCGCGCAGACAGATCTCGCTTCGAGGTCCGGCGCGCTCGACTTGCATCTCAGGAGGCCAGGCATGGGCGTCGATGCCCGGAGCTCGAGCTCGCCCGCGACCGCCACGGTTGGCGCCGGTTCTTGGGGGGATTCTCCCGTTGCCAGAGGACTCCCCTTCAGTGCTCGGGCATCGGCAGGCTTGGGCACTGCAGCCGCTCCACAACCAGATATCCCGTCCAACTCGGGTAGCAGCAGCAGGCAGAGGTCCAACAGACCTGCAGCACTCGACCTCCGCTCAGAATCGTCACCTCCCGCCACTGTGTCCACTGTGTCGGCACCCGTCAGCCCGGGCGTGGTATCGCCGCCCCTGGCCTCCCCGCCACGCGCACAACTTACCCAACCTGCTCAATACAGAGAGCCGCACATCAACTGCAACACCTGCGGCCAAGAGCACATCGAGTACGACCTGCACTTCAACTGCGCCATCTGCCACAACGGCGACTGGAACATCTGCCTCGACTGCTGGCGCCGGCGCAAGGGCTGCCTGCACTGGTTCGGCTTCGGCCAGGCAGCCTGGGCCCGCTGGGAGAAGCGCAACCTCGCCGGCCTGCCGCTCCCGCCGCCGCACATGCTCACGGCCAACCGCTACCTCCGCCCGAAGCGCGTCTCCCGCGACGCCGACGGCCGCCGCGTCTTCACGACGGAGCACCCGGCCGATCGCCTGCAGAGCGGCACCTTCTGCTGCCGCTGCGCGGCCTGGACCAACGACTGCTACTGGCGCTGCGACGTCTGCAACGAAGGCGAATGGGGCTTCTGCAACGACTGCGTCAACCAGGGGAAGTGCTGCACCCACCCGCTGCTGGCGCTGGCCTACCGTCCCCCCGCGGCCCCCTCTTCGCCTCCTCCTCCTGCACAACAACAGCAAACAGCAAATTACTCAACTGCAGAGACGCAAATAGGCAACTTCCGCCCGCTGATGCACACCCCGCCGTGCTCGGCATGTCGCATCCCCGTCCCCCAATCCGAGTGCCACTACCACTGCTACATCTGCCCAGCATCCGGTCTCGCCAACTCCGAGCCGGGCGAATACAACCTCTGCGAAACGTGCTATGCCTCTCTCGTCGCAGACGGCACGGTGTCTCCCGAGAACGGCCCTGCGGGCTGGCGGCGGTGTCCGCGGCAGGGCCATCGCATGGCCGTGGTGGGGTTTATTTCGAGCCCGGACAGTGAAAGAGGCAGTTTTCTGAAGAGGAAGGTGCTGAGGGATCTGGTGGGCGGGCGGAGGCTTAAAGTCGAAGAGTATCGCGGCCAGATGCAAATATGTTCGTGGCGCGAGCAAGGGAGAGAACTGAGGCGGTCGATGACCAAAGACGTGAGCGCTTCGATCCCGGAGGGGACGATGACGATGATGACCGCGGAAGGAGGGCGGTTGGAGGATGGTAATCCTCAGGCTACTACTACAACTACTACTAGTAGGTTTCCGCCTGATGGAGGCGCCGGACACAGGGCGGTTGCTGGTTGGGGGTGGATCCCTGCCCCTGGGGTGGAAGATGAGCTCATGTTCCCCAAGGGGGCCGAGATTGTGGAGGTGGAGGATGTGAATGGCGAGTGGTTCCACGGGTTTTATATGGACGCCCAGGGACTGTTCCCGGCGCCGTATGTCAGGCTTGTGGGGAGGTGAACACCTCTTTTTGGATACCCGGTGACATGGATAGATACCATGTCAAAACCATGTCAAATATGGACAGTTGCTGTTCTTCTTATATTTTTGAACCCGCATCTACATACATGTATACAATACCTGCCTACCGATGACTCCACTCGGGCTTCTTCTTCTCCGCAAACGCCTTCATGCCGATCTTCTGGTCCTGGCTGCCAAACAGGCTGTGGAACACGCGTCGCTCGTACTCGACGCCGTCCCGCAGCGCCAGGTCCTGGCTCTTGTTGACCACCTCCTTGGCTGCCTGCACCGCCACCTTGGAGTAGCCCGCGATCGTCTCGGCCGTCTTGAGCGCGCCCTCCATCAGCGCGTCATACGTAGGAAACACGCGCGCCGCCACCCCCCACCGCTCCGCCTCCTGGCCCGAGAACGACTTGCCCGTCAGGATCAGCTCCATCGCCTTGCTCTTGCCCACGGCCCGCGTCAACCGCTGGCTCCCCCCCGCCCCGGGGATCGTGCCCAGCCGGATCTCGGGCTGCCCGAAGTTGGCCGTCTCCGTGCAGTACACGATGTCGGCCATGAGCGCGAGCTCGCACCCGCCGCCCAGCGCGTGGCCCGACACGGCCGCAATCAGCGGCTTCTTGAGGCTGGTCGTCAGCTCCGACCAGCTCTCGATGAAGGCGCTGCTGTACGCCTCGCTGAAGGTCAGCGGCGCCATCTCCTTGATGTCGGCACCCGCCGCGAACGCCTTCTCGGAGCCTGTGAGTACGACGGCCGCGACGGTCGGGGAGGACTGGAATGCGCGCAGCGCCGTGTTGAGCTCCGCGATCAGCGGCGAGCACAGCGCGTTGAGTGCCTTGGGCCGGTTGAGCTTCACTGTGTTGGTGGGTTAGTACCAGTACTCATTGCTCAATAATTTTCTAGATAATAAAAAAAAAAAGAAAAGAAAAGAAAAAAAAAAGATAAAATTCTTACCTTGTCCTACGCCAGGCCGGGGCTCCGACACCTCGATGTACTCGTAGCTGCGGCGGGCGGACGCCGAGAAGCCCCGGGCGACCTGCGGCAGGGAGCTCGGCTGGAAGCGGGAGGCCACCGGCCGCAGGTTGCGCAGGGCAGTGACACGGGCTGCTGCGGCGTTCATCTTTTGAATTGTTGGGTATGCCGGCTGTTAACAAGATTGCCCAGCCTTGCGATATGGGAGTTGATGTCTTGCGAGTTCTGGGGTGCGGCTGGCAAGGAGTGAAGCTCGTTCCGCCGGAGAGGGTCGAGTGCACCTCAGTGACCGGCCTACAGGTTATCCTCGGTTTAAGTCGATGTCACGGGCCATATTATTTGTTGACCATTGATCCGCAGCCACTTCAGACTATCACAATCCGCATGTCTCTTAACTTGATATTGCTATCAATTGGCGTCTTGACATACTTTGGACACTATTCTAAGCATGTTAAGTCCTGCCAGCATTAGTTAGAACGATCCGCACATGGCTCGATGTGGTCGGTCCGTTCTGCTTCGACGGTTTCGGGAGTGATGAGACGACGTCAGAGCAGCCACTTGCCAAGAGCGCCAAGACTTCCGAGACAGCGGCAGCTTGCGCTACAGTTCGGACCAACAGGACCCTTGAGATTCCGGAATGTGTGCGCCACAGCAATTGCCCCTATCTTGTGGCTGAAAAACCAACCCTTGCAAGGGAAGATTGTCCACTTGGCACAGGGGACTAACCTGAAGGGACGCGCAACGGCAGCCCGCCGCCTTCAGGTTTCAACCACTTTATTCAGTTCCCCAGCTGGCATCTGCATTACTGTGCCTTGCGTCGAGGTCCTCCGGAACGAGGGTTACTGCATAAATTTCCCGACTCAAACTCCCGTCGTGATGGATGCCCCGGACGAGCCGGCGACGCCCTTCAGCGCCGTCACTGCGCAGACCAACAAGTTGCAGAGGGTACGTTGCGACAAAGGGCCTGATGTCGCAGCCAATTCACTGACATGCGGCCAGCAATACCAAGCGCTCCTTGACCAGTCGACGCCATATGTCCTCTACCGGTGGATTGGCACAGGGGCCGCCCTGGTCATCTTCTTCCTGCGTGTCTTCTTCGCGCAAGGCTGGTACATCGGTCGGTTCTCCCTGCGCCCGATTCTATTACTCTCCAAACGCCAGCCCGCAACTAACATCCTCTTCACTCATACAGTCGCATACGCGCTCGGGATCTACCTCCTCAACCTGTTCCTGGCCTTCCTGCAGCCCAAGTTTGACCCCTCCAACGATGCGCTCGACAACGAGATGGAAGACGGCGCCGCCGGCACGCTCCCGACCAAGCAGGACGAGGAGTTCCGGCCCTTCATCCGCCGCCTACCCGAGTTCAAGTTCTGGCACTCGGCCACCCGCGCCATCGTCATCTCGTTTGTGTGCAGCTGGTTCGAGGTCTTCAACGTGCCCGTCTTCTGGCCCGTCCTGGTCATGTACTGGTTCATGTTATTCATCCTCACGAGTAGGTGGCCTGCTTTCGATTCCCCGTTTCAGCTTGTTTCACATACTGATGTGGAGTTCAGTGAGGAAGCAAATCCAGCACATGATCAAGTATCGCTACGTGCCCTTCACCATTGGCAAAGCGCGTTACACCAAGAACAGCTCGTGAGGAGCGGATGTTCCGACAGTAGAATACCGCATTTTCGCCACCCTGAAGACCGAGAGGCGGCGCTTGTTGGTGATAGAACGGGGGTGTTCAGATATCCTCAATGTATTATGACGCATGCTCGGAGGTCACGACGGTCCTGGAAAACTCTATGTACTCATATATTTAATCAGCTCGCGGCTGCGGCACTGGGTTTCGGGCGGGCAGACTCGGCGTAATCATTGCCACTTTTATTTTTTCGAACGGGGGGCCGGCTTGCCATAAGGAGGGGGGAGGACGGGAGTTTGTGGAATGAGACGGGATGGCAGGCGGAGATCTTGTTCGAGCGGGCGAAGGTGGGCCAATTGAGATATGAAGAAGGGTCCATGGTCTTTTGGATGCCCAAACCATCCGACCTAAATTGTGCTTGGTGCTCTAAAGTTGTGGATGTGCAACTGGTAAACCTAGGGGTCTCTCCTTCCATGTCGTTGAAACTTGGACGCTCTTCATGGACAGGGGCTGCGAACAACAGGATGTAAAGTTAACGTACTGTCCTATACGTGTCACCGTCCTCAATAGTGCGGCTCTCTATATTTCACCTTGGTGCAGTTCCTACGTTGTAGGTACTTCTTCTATCCTCTGGACCTTCGATCAAGCTCAATTGGGCCACCGATATTCTTAACTATTCAAGTTGTGGTCAGCGGGACAATAGGAGTGTTCACTTGAGTCGCGGTGGCAGGGGTCCTTGGGGAGCCCCATCTGGAATTTCGGATGCTTGGCGCTCTTCAAATCCATTCGCGACCGCGCATCACCTCTGTTAACCGCATCACAACGACCGACTTCAGTCAAGCCAAGATGTCGTCGTCACAATCGAGAAGCGGCGGCGAGCGCATGATACACCAAGACTACATCGCCAGGATACGATATTCCAATGCGCTCCCTCCACCCCCAAACCCGCCGAAGCTGCTCGACATCCCCAACACGGGACTAGCGGGCGGCCAGTACACAACGCCGGGTTTCGCTTCGCGCCTTGCGCGAGAGCAACCTTTGAACATTGAGGCAGACGCCGAGCTCGGCATGCCACTAGACTTGGTTGGCATGCCGGGCGTCTTTGATGGTGACGAGAGCGGTCAGTACATTCTTTTCGCCCGTTGGCCCCCGTCTCTGTTTTCCGTGCAAACGCTCACACAAGACACACAGCCATTCAAGCACCCGCTCACCCCCCGCCCGTCCATCCCCATGACCGCATTCTCCTCCGGCCTCTCTCCACTCTTGGTAAGCCCAAGGTCGGCGACACCGCCGTTTCCTTCCTCCGACGAACCGAGTACATCTCGGCGGTATCGTCGGTACCACCCAAGCCAAGACCTTCGGACCACGGCTTCCTCAAGCCTTCGTCAGGCAATGCCGTGAAGCGACCCGAAAAGCGGAAGGCCTCTCCCGAACCAGACAAGGGCACGCCAACCTGGATCAAGCGGCGCATCGAGAAGAGCTTCGAGGTAGCCGCCGCCAATCTCGCCGATCGGTCACGCGTGAAGCACCCATCGAAGCGCAACCTTAAGGTGGTTGATGCCTTCCCGGTGCTGCCCGACCTCGAAGCCTTCCCCGACTCCGGAGCGTACGTGACCGTCAAGTTTACCACCAACCCGGTCAACAAGAGCGACTCATACGACACACGCCTGCTCTCCGGCATCTTCAAGCCGATCGAGCGCACGGCAGCCGAGGACCAGCTCTATGAAGCCGCCAGAGCGGCATGGGAGATGGATCCGAGCAAGCCCAAGCCGACACAGATGATGAACTACGACCTGTTCCTCCCCGCCGACACACGGACGGGTGAGAACTTCCGCGCCAAGTTCGACGTGGACAACCCGGACCACGATCGCCGCTCGCTGTACACGAGCCACGACTCGGGCGGCAGCTTCCGCTTCCCGCGGGTGCGCGCGTACGAGACGGCGCAGGAGAAGGAGATGGACCACGACAACAAGTACGACGAGGAGGTCATCCTGGCCTACCGCGACGACGCCGGCGAAGACGACGACAGCACCAGACAACAACCACAGAAGGCTGTCTACTACTACCCGGTCATGCTGCGCACCACGATCCGCAGCCGGCGGACCAAGAACATCGCTCGGACGATAGGGCTCGCCGACGATGAGGAGGAACGGCCGGTCGACGAACTGCACGTGCGGGTCGACGACCCGAGCGAGGGCCTCAGGGAGCATCTGGCGCGGTACAAGGAGCAGCCCGTGGGCGATCTGTCGGAGGACGAGGAGGAGCAGGAGGTGGACGAAGTGGAGAACCCTCGGAACGGTGCGCAGCGGAACGGGGACTCGGCCAGTCCAGCGGCGAACGGGGAGGGGCGTGACGATGACGACGATCAGGATGCTGAGGGTGATGAGGATGAGTAGAGGATGGGAGATTTTGGAAGGCTGTGCAAATCATTCTCTTTAAGAGTATGCACCTGTGAGCGTGGAGTTTTGATGACGAGGCTGGCTGCAGAACAGAGGATATGAATAAGTAATAGTCCCAGCCAGCATTATGCTGTGACGGCCGCCGCAAGATCATGCTTCGTGTGCCGGGCGGCACGCTGCACTACGGCGAAAACCGGCGGCAGGGAATTTAGGAATGGTATCCAGAGCAACAGATAGTGCAACGCAGGGGGGTAATGATAACCCATAGAAGGTGGCTGCAACTGCTCTAGACAACAGGCTAGTATCCCAGTCTAGTCATAATAAGTAGGTACCTATGGATGAGTAGGGGGCATATGGCCCCCTTTCCAGTTGCATGCCTGATCCAGCGAAGAGCAGCTCAACCGGAACGCCAGATCCTTTCTCTATACTTCCTTCAAGGGTCAGTATAATAACCCAACCCAACGGTCTTCTTTCTTCTCCATGCGCTCTCTCCTCCGAGAAACGAGGTATGCCGCACCTTGTATTAGGTATATGCCCAGATAGGCTACCCAAATCCCACCTCTATCAATCAGCGTACCCCTACTTCAATCATAGTAGATACCCAATGTTATCCCTGTCATCGTCGATGACCCGGGCGTATCTGTGGGATCCGGGTTAGTATGTTCAATTCACGAAGAAGATTGAGCGGGAAAAGGGGAACAAAGAAAACTCACTCCAACAACAACCTAAAGAACCATGCCTCCAAATCCTCATTCCTCAACACTTTTCCCGCCCACTCTCTCCCCTGCGCCGCCAACCTCTCCGCCTCTTTCCTCCCCCCTTCTTCATCATTATTATTAGTATCCTCTCTTTTACCCACCACATTCGCATCGTCCCCGCGAGTTTCCCGGCGTGCAACAGTTTTCTTCTTCCCCTTCTCCTCCAGGTGCGTCCCTCCATCACCAACACCAACACCACTATGCCCATTGCCGTTCCCGTTCCCACCACCCAGCCCAAAGAACCTGGCCGCCTCAAGCCACTCCTCGCCATGCAGGCTAAGCGGCACGAAATGCACCCACGGCCGCAGCCACTCGGCGTGCCACTCCCGGAAGATGGCCCACTTGTACACGAGGCTGCGGCTGCGGAGGAAGGCATAGAACCGGCCCGAGAAGGCGTTGCCGTCCATGTCCAGCACGTGCTTGTACTGGAACGCGTCCTCCTGCTTGGCGTACTCGGCCACGCTGAAGAATGCGCGCTGCGCGTCGCAGTCGCCCGGGTCGCATTGTCCGATGTGTGAGAAATGCACGTCGATGAGCGACTTGAAATTCCCCCGGGGCACCTCAAGGCTTGTCCAGTTCGTAGACTCATTGGGATCAGACTCAGAGGGGGGCGGCGGCGGCGGGGTGAGGATCTTGGCCTGGTCCGGCGCGTTGATCTTTTGCACGAAGCGCTGCCGGTGCTGGCGCCGCCATCCGCCGTTGCGGGAGAAGCCGCCCGTCGTGGAGCCGCGCCAGTAGAGCCGGTCGTGTTTGGCGTCCCAGGCCGGGTCGGTGTCTTCCGAGTAGGGGACCTTGTCGGCCCAGTACCAGGGGGAAGGGTAGATGATGTCGGCGTAGGAGGAGATTTTGGACTGGGAAAAGACGGGGATGAGGTCGTGGATCACGCCGTACGCGTTCGGCCGCTCGAAGAAGCCGTAGGTCGAGGAGAGGGAAGGAGACAGACAGATGTCGGACATGGCGGTCCAGTTGTAGACGAAGCCGAGGTCGCTGAGGCCGTACTTCTCGATGTCGTCGTACTGGTCCTCTTCTTCGAGGATGCGGGCGGGCGAGTCCGGCGGGCAGGACATGCGCGAGTGTGTCCAGACGGGCTGGTGCGCGAACAGGTTGAAGCGCGTCTGCTTGACCTCGTCAAAGCGGCCGTCGTAGTTGAGGTCGGCGGGCTTCTCGGTGAAACCGTTCCGGAGGGTCCTCTTCGCGTTGACAGCTGGCTTGGCGACTGTCTCGGCGACGTGCATCAACCGGGCCATATCGTCATGCGGCACCACAACCCGCGGCTCGTCGTTGACGTTGAAGGCCAGGTCCATGTCGGGCAGATCCCGGACGAAGCTCCCCATCATGTCAACCAGGGCCGTCTGGAGCCACTCAAACCCACCGAAAATGTGCTTCGCTGTGCCATTGCGCACCTGCACCCCCATGAGCTGGTTGTCGAGCCCGAACCCGAGCGCCTCTCGCACCCGCGCGCGGATCGTTGCGGGCTTCAGGCCCCAGAAGGGGGCAAGCAGCTCGTGGATCGTGTCGAATTCGTCCACCAGCAGCACCTTCTTGCCCTTCGCAAACTCCCACCACCTGTCGAAGTGCGGCGGCGGCGGCAGTCCATATCGGCGGCGGTACTCCGAGACGGCATCGCGCAGCGTCCGCGACTGACGAGCCTTGACCTCCTCAAACTCGCGCTCCGCATCTGTGACGAGGTGCACTATCGGGTGTGGCCCGCCGGGCGCCGGCTTTGGCTTGGTCGACGCGAACTTCTTGCTGGTGAAGGCGATGATATCGCTGGGGTCAGGCTGGGGATTCAGGGGTCCCTGCGCCTGGGACGCTTGTTTGTTAGGGAGTGGTCCCAATCCGGCCGGCGACGTCCTCGAGATCGAATAGAAGCAAAAGACTATAAAGACGAGAACGCCGAGGATGCCGATTTGGCGGTTGCGCATCGTCAGCTTGTCTATGATCTGTACCAGTCTCGTCACGCTTGCTGCGCGGCCGGGGCGCGCGGCCCAAGGAAAGAGCATCAGCTTGGTCTTGTTCTCGCCTATTTCAATGCTGGATTCAGCCGTGTCCTGTCTCTGGCGGCGGCTCTCTCCCTACGGCCCAGCAGCCTTCGGTTCGCATTGGGTGAAGAAGCGAAATCCTAACGCTCCGTCTGCCGGTCGTAGTAACTACAGCGTTCTTAAGTTGGGGGCCAGAGGCAAGTGTGCGGAATCGTGCCAAGGACGATGTCCATTGTAATTTGTCCACGCAAAACGGTGCTAGTAAAACCGTGTGGGGTGACTACTCCGCCGACCGCCAATTAGGTACACAGTATCGTAAGATGGTGTCCAGACTGCCAAACCGAAAGGTTGCGTACAGTTCGTACAGTGTTCACATTACTCTCGAATATCTGGACGATTGTTCGGCCCATAGCAGGAGCACTGTCAGTATCGGTACTACAAAACCCCCAATGCTCTTCCATGTTCGATGCCCGGGGCACAAGTTTTATAATAACGTCCACCATACGAGCCCGACAGTTACCCGAAAACCGAGGTTTATCACCCCATCATGATCACACGTGACCTCCACCAGACCACATATCATCTCCGAAGACTGGCATTCTTCTCCCACGAAGGTTCGTCTTTCCGTGGCGGCCTCCACGGCCCCCCGCCACAGGCCACCCAAAATCCTTGCTGCCTGGGCTGACGCTATCTTGGCCAGATCACACATCATTTTCACAAGACGTTCTATCGTCTCCGAGACTGGCATTCTTCCACAAAGGTTCGTGCTTCCGTGGCGGCCACCGCAGCTCCCCCGCCACAGGCACCCCAAATCTTTGCTACCCGGGCTGACGCTATCTCGCATAGGTGGATTACAGCTGGGCATCAGAGAACTGGGAAGAACTCAATCTCACATGGGAAAGGCGAATGGGATCACAGAGTCTGAGCGGCAAAAGCCCGGTCACATTTGGTGGACATAAGCTGCGGCAATCCTGTCGAAAATGCAGGCCGTTTGTATTCACGGAAGGGTATCCCTCAAACGCAGTTGAACGCCGCACATGCCATATCCTTTTTGTGCCTTTTGCATCCGGTCATCTCTCGTTCGCCTTTTTTGGTGTCTAGTAGAAGAAGCCGATGATCTTGCCAGCGACGTGCTTGCGACGGGCCTCCTCATGGTCCATGATCCCAGCCGAGGTGGTGAGGATGACGTAGCCGAACTGACGAGCCGGGAGGAGCTTGACCACCCACTTCTCGAGCTCGGCCAGGCGGACGTTGTAGCGGGGTGAGATGACACCGCACTTGTTGAGGCTGAGAACAGTCAGCATACGATCCTCAAGGGCATCCATCCTCGTCTTGCTACTAACCGGCCGTTGAGCTGGACAACGATCTTGCCGCTGCGGTGGGTGTCGACCTCCTCGAACTCGCCAATGTAACCTGGAAAGCAAACCAGTCAGTTGTTTGTTGCGAAAGATTAAACATTGCACATCATTGGCGTCTCCGAGAACGTGTAAGACCCTCGCATTAGTGTTTGATTTCTCGGCAACTTAAAGGGCTGCGATCGTGGGGCGGAGATAGACCGTCGCCTAGTTATCATGCCGAATATATGGGCATGGGGGTTGTGGAAGGTCTTCCACTTCACTCGGAGACGCCTCGCGGAGAGGGGTGTCGGCGAGGCAACGTACCGTGGCGCTGCATGACCTGCAGGAACTTGACGATGACCTTGGAGGAGGGCCGGATCATGACCTGCCTCTTGCCGGCCTTCTCGGCGTTGTTGATCGAGTTGAGGGCATCGTGAAGAACCGAAGTGCGGACCATTTTGGCGGTTGTAGGGTTGTCGGAACGGAGATTCTCAAATCGTCAGAGGAAATGAGGTATCTGCCAGCATGCCGAAGCGTGCCATGTTAGCCTTCCGAGGCTCGAGGAGCGTGGAGAGTGCCCTCGTCGACAGGTATCAAGAGGGTTCTGCCTGCTCAGTTGCCGGTGAAGAGAAGCGTATCAGGGGACGGCCTCAGCGACGGCGCCGGTCACAGCTTCAGCCGTCCCGTGATTGCTTCCTTCGGCCTTCGCAAAAGGCATCTTCCTGTTGACAAGCCATTTTCCGATTGCGATGATTTTACATACCTCGGTTGTGCCTGCGTGGAAAGGACGTGTGGATTGGGGAGGTCGAAGATGGAGGAGAACAGCCGCGACAAGAAAATTCAAGGCTGCAAGAGCTGTGGTGGTCCGTGCCAGCGAAAACTTGCCCTAATGCTGAGATCCGCCAGTGTGCGCTTACCCTAGAGCGGACTAGCGTCGCTGAATTCCACGCGACCACACAAAATTCAGACCCCAGCCGATTGGGTGGGGCCGATAAGTCCGCACACATTCGCTTGGAACTTTCTTGGAGCCAAGTCGAGATCGCTCCTCCCAACACAAGCAAAACGAATTAATCCCCAATTACTCTTCGAGGATCGTACCCGACAGCTTAGTGCAAATAACAACGTCAAGATGGTGAGAGCCCTCGTCCTACCTCTTGGAACTCTGCCCCCGCGATCCCCGCTGGTCGATTTTCGATGAGAGCACACCCCGCTAATTATGTCTTCCAACCCCAATCCAGTCGGACGTAGAAGAGACCAACGCCCCGGAGGTTGCGGAGGAGGTTGAGGTGTCGGCCGATGCGACTAAGGGTCAGATGTCGGTTCTGGATGCGCTCAAGGGCGTGCTGAAGCTGTCGCTCATGCACGACGGCCTCGCCCGCGGCCTGCGCGAGGCGTCCAAGGCGCTGGACCGGAGAGAGGCGCACATGTGCGTGCTCAACGAGTCGTGCGAGGAGGAGGCCTACAAGAAGCTCGTCATCGCCCTCTGCTCCGAGCACAAGATCCCGCTCATCAAGGTGCCCGATGGCAAGCAGCTCGGCGAGTGGGCCGGTCTCTGTGAGTTGGCCTGGAATACCTCCCGTGCAGGGTCTTTATTTCAGAATGGGATGCGGTGTGCTGACTGGGCTGCGTGTTCAAAAGGTGTTCTCGACCGCGAGGGCAACGCCCGCAAGGTTGTCAACTGCTCGTGCGTCGTCGTTAAGGACTGGGGTGAGGAGTCGCAGGAGCGGTCGATCCTGCTCAACTACTTCCAGTCTGAGGCTTAAGAGAACCAAAATGCAGGCGAGGGTAGTGACGCTTCCCTCCAGGGAAGACTGAAGGGTGGGGATAACATAGATGGATTTGGGACGGTGGTTTCCTCCCAGGTCGTGAATCCGATGACCTATGCTTCCTCGGATACACTCAAAGATCTCACCGGATGGCATCAAGATGGCGGGATACATGGTGGCCCATTCATGCGGCTACCCTTTGCATTGGGCATGGGAAACCCCTTCGAGACAAAACAAAAAAGAAGCCTCGCAACCTGGCATTCTGGTTGTTGCCAAACCAAGTTACTTGCGTCCCTCGACCATGATGATGTGATATCCAAACCCCGTCTTAACTCGCTCAACCGTGGGGCTGTCCACGGGGCTGGGCGGGAGCTCGAAGGCCACCTTTTCGAATGCCGGATCTAGGTTCCCTTTTGCCTGCCAGCCTAATGACCCTCCTGAGTAAAGCAGTGTGAGCGTGTTCCCATGTGATCATCCGTGTTCCACAGAGGCGACTGAACGAACCTACCTGCTTTGGCTTTATCCTCAGACATCTCCCTAGCCACAACGTCAAACTTCTCGCCGTTCTTCAGCCTCGTCATGGCCTCCTCGCTCTTGGCGAACTTCTCACACTGTTACGTTTGGTAAGAAGAAAGAACCGAGCTAGAAGCTTTCTACGTGATATATGGTGCTTCCCCGGTTCCCCCTCTGTCCCTCTACCGCCGTACTCATTACTCCTAGTAAATTCAAAGGCAGTCGAGACTTACAAGAATATGTCGGACGTTTATGCTTTGCGCGCCCTTGAGCTTAGTTGACTTGCTATCGCTGCTCTCAGTGTCGACCTTGCCGGCGCCGCCTTTCCCGCCCTTCTTGCCGCCCTTGTCGGTCTTGTCTGTCTTGCCGCCCTTTGCCCCGGCTGCGGGTTTGGTGTCTTTGCTTTTACCCATGAGCTCTGCTCTCCGTCTAACTTCCTGGTGTAAATTAAAAAAAAAGACTAGGTAGTCTAAGCTTTCGGAAGGGCGTAGAGAATCGGAATCCTGTGGCTTTGAGGGCTTGGGTGGGTGAAACTGCGTTGTGAAAGCTCAGTTCTGCTGTCAGTGAGAAACTGAGTGGGTTGCCCCTCCACTGCAGATGAAGGGTTAGGGCCAACTACGAGCGTTCTTTTCATCCCCCTATTGTCACTCCCTTCATAACCCAGGTAGATTCGCCTTTGACTCCCTAAATATAATATATATATGCCTTTCTCTGTTCTGAACGTCTCGGTGTTTTCTCATTTTGGTGGATTCTTGATTATGGTATCAGTCTCAAGACAACCATCCCTACAGGTAGACAGGTTTCGGATCTCATATTGTCGCGTGCCCGTTACTATTTACCTCGGCTGTTTGCTTCAGCGAGGATGGATGGCCTAGGTGGACTATTTCTCATTGCTATCTGATGAGAATACGGACTTTGTCCCCCATTCTGCGTTCTCAGCATGTCCTCCTTCGTCTGCGCAGGTCCGCGATCCACCCCTGACCGCCCTCTTTCATTGCTTGTGTTGGGTAGCTGCCGAGTGTGTTCCAGCTCCTGATAGTATCTGAAAGGTGTTAAGCCGTCAGAGCGACCTCCATCAGAGTTTTGTCCGTCTCCGGGCTCGCAGTCAACCTGGACCATGCAACATACGATCCCTTGTGCATTCTCAAGACTAGGCATTCATCCGTTCGGCGCTTCCAGACCGCATCCGGCCAGGCGCCTAGCGTCTGAGTTTGTAGGTAATGACTCGAGACGAAGTATTCGCCGGCCATTGATTGTTAGTCTCCATAGAGCTGTCGCTCGAGGTCCGGTAGCGTCAATCCTCTGCCAATCAGCTCGCAAAGCCGCCGCTTTCGACGCTGGCCGATCCACGTCTGAACAGTGGCCCGGAGAGTTATGGGACAGCAGTCCGCACAGAGGTTGGATTCACCTCAGACCACTTAGCGTCCCCTGCACATCCTCCAGCGCCTCTTCCAACGCCTTATCCCCCGAGGTCTTCTTCTTCAGCTGACTCGCAATCCCCAACACCGCGCTCGTCGAATGAACATATCTCTTCTGCATGCCCGGGTGCGCATTCGCCAACAGCGCCGTGACCAGCTGCAGCGCCGCCACCTGACACTCCTCGACAACAGGCGACTGTTTGGCCTCGGGCACGTACCAGGCCGCCACGCGGGTGACGACATCCATCCACGCCTCCCTCGGCCCCGGCCGCTCCGCCTCGGCAATCTGCAGCAGCACCCGGACGATCTCGATGCCCCGCGCGGCGTCGGCCTCGTCGCTGACGGTGGAGCTAGCCTCGAGGATGGACAGCAGATCGTCGGCCAGCGCCGACCAGCCGCCGTTGTCGAGGAATGCCTCGCGACCCTTTCTCTCGACGATGATCCCCTCGAGAGCGACCAGCACCGGTCGGCGGAAGTCGAGTTTGCTGCCGTTGCCCTGACTGCCATCCTGGTAGAGGTCGAGTAACATGTCGGATAGCCCCGCGGCTTCCTTTCGCAGGAGGTTGTTGTCGTCTTCCCGGATCCAGATGGCCAGGGCGCGGACGGCGGCCAGGATGAGCGGGTCGTCGGCGGCATTGTCGCTCTTGGAATCCCAGGCCAGCGTGAAGTGGGACCCGGCGGCGGTGTTGGCGGTTCCCACGCGGGCTTCGGGATGCAGCCCCATTGCGCCGGCAACCGAGGCGTCCCACCGGTCGCGCAGATATTCCGTCGTCAGGGACATGGTTTCGGAGATGGCCTTGCGGATCTTGAGGAGGAGGTCGGGCGAGATGACCCATGGCAGGCTGCTGTCACCGACTGAGTCCATGGAGCGGACCAGATAGCCGATGAAGTGGGAGACCACGTTGAAGGCTGAGGCGAGCCGCCTGGCGGTTTCGGGATACTGGGGGCTGTTTAGCTGCTCGAGGAGGGTGGGGAGGGTGGCGCGGATGTCGACGAGGATGAGGTTGATGAGGAGGTAAGAGAAGGGGTTGTCTGATTTGCTGCCCCGTTCGGCGAAAAGCAGCTGGGGCGCCTGTAAGGGGTAGACCTCGAGGAGCGCAGCGGAGAGATTGGTGAAGGCGGCGCGGCCAGCGGCTGTGGGACGGCTGACGACGAGGTCGCGGATGAACCTGCCTAATGATGGTAGCCAACTGGGGTTGAATGGCAGAACCTAGGACCGTGGTTAGCTCTATAGTGCTGATGTGTGCGCGCTCAGGGGCAACTGACCTCGGGCTCTAGGCGAGGGAGCAAGTTTGCTAAGAAGCCAAGCAATGTCACCGCATCAGTGCCCTTGAAGGACGAAACAAGGTTCCCAATGGTACGGTCAATCTTAGATTTTAGATCTGTCTTGTCTGCGGCTGCCGTCATAGCATTGAGCCATGCATACAACAAAGTGTCTAATGCGAGGGGTTGCGAGGAGGCAATCTCGGTCAGGGGAGACGGATCCTCCACGGCCGTGAAGATCTGGGCACCGCTTGGCTGGCTCACCAGACTCACTAGAGTCTCGAGCGCCAACCGCATGGTGTCATTGGAGCTGCTCGGTGGTCAATAAGCCGGTTTGGCTGTCTGTCGAGAGTTGATGGGATGGCTTACCAGTAGAGGAGACACACCACAAGCTGCGGTATCCGGCCGAGCAATTTAGCGTTCTGTCTGGCGTGTTCTGGGAGCAGGGCGGCAAATGTGTGCAGTACCGACACGGCAAGATCCAGCATGTCGTTGGAATCCCTGCGCGACGATTCCGAGGAATCCTGTGCCTTGTGCTTGGACCCGGTGCGGATCAGCCGATCGAGGAACTTTGGAGGGATGCTCTCCCACAGGCCAACAACGACTTCCTCATTGCTCCTTAGCTCCGGCGTGTTATCCAGGACTGACTTGAGCAATGCCAGGCCGACAAAGCGGGATGTGTCGTCCTTTGCACCAAGCAGTGTCTTGATCTTGTCGATGGACGGCCCCTGCTCGGGTGCCGTGGTAGCTTCACTCATCCTGACCGGCCTATAGAGCCCAATCTCGGTCCTTAAGATGAGCTGTACTATAAGGCATCATTCACGTACACATTAAATGCGCAGTTCAATGCTGCCGAAGAACAAAGTGAGTTCTGGGCCAGGTCGGTCCTATGGTATTCATGTCCATACCAATTTCATCATCCGCATGGTCTGTAACTTTACGTACGTACGTGTACTCCTAGTACGGTGTAACTAAAACGTTACCATCGACAAGGTTGCGCTGACAGTGGGGCTGCAGATCATCAATTCAGCCCCAGCCCGGAACAAGGCACGCACAGACCACTCCTAGTCTTTCACCTCACTGCAAGGCGATAAGATAAGTGACGGACCAGCTCCGAGACAGCACTCGAAGACGACTCGACGCGGGCTCAACACCAGAACCAGGACGTTGCGCGCCTGGGATCGCTCAAACGCCACGACGTAATCCCCCGCAAGCTTTTTGAACGGGATGAGAATGGCCGATACGTCGCGATCGCTTCACACCGCATGCCCCCGATCAGCGCAATGAACAATGGGGCGCCGAGTGCAGCGCCGTCGAGCGCATCCCGTCCGCCGACCGGCCACGACAACGGCAACCCTTATGATGCCCCGGACACCCACGATGATGCGGACGAATTAGACCTTTTAGGCGACGACGGCGACGACGGCGACGACGACGACGACGCGACGCCCATCTTCCGCGATGACCCTCTCCAAACCGACCTCTCCTCTCCGCTGACCTTCAAGCGAAAACAAAAGCAGCAAGGCTTCCTCTCCCAACCCGCACGCCTGTTCAGTGCCCTAACGGGCCGGGCTTTCAACAGCAGCAGCAGCAGCAACAACAACAACAACACATCGTCCCCCCGGATCAGTCATGACCTGCCCCCACTACCACCCCACCGGTACCCTCCACCTCCACCCCCTGACACAACGACGACGACGACGGGCCTCAACATCCTCCACCCCGCCGACCAAGCCACCACCAACAAAGACCCCTCTGCTTCTACGCTACCACACGACTGGTACGCGGACGAAGCGCCCCGTCTCCGGCGCGCCGGGTACGAGGACCTGACGGCGATCGACTGGATCTTCGAGTACACCAAGGAGCGGCAGCGGCAGCGCGCGCTGCACCGGCGCACCGCCGCGCTGCCCGTGCTGGGCTACGTGACGCGGCTGCTGGACGCGAGCCAGGTGTGGGTGGTGCTGATCCTGACGGGCCTCGCGGTCGGCGCGCTGGCGGCGGGGATCGATGTCGCGACCGACTGGTTGGGCGATCTGAAGTACGGGTTCTGCCAGGAGGGCGTGGATGGCGGCCGGTTTTATCTGAGTAAAGGCGCGTGCTGCTACGGGTATGAGGGGACCAGCCAGTGTCGGGCGTGGCGGAAATGGGGGGAGGTGGTGTTCGGGGAGGGCAGGGGTGAGTGGACGGTGGAGTATGCGGTTTATTGCGTCTTTGCGGTAGGTTTTCTGTTATTGTGTTATTGGGACAGAGTTCGTATTTCTGTTGAGAAAGAGGTGGATGGTGGTTATTATGGTGATGATGATGATGATGCTGGCTATGGGGGCTGATTTTGAGCTGTACCTCCAGATCACGTTTGCAGTGTCGGCTGCTCTGCTGGTGAAGGAGTACGCCATCTATGCCAGGCACAGCGGGATACCGGAGATCAAGACGGTGTTGGGCGGGTTTGTGATCAGGAGGTTCCTGGGGATATGGACCCTGATTACCAAGTCGCTGGGTTTGGTAGGTCTCTCTGGGCTGGTGTAAGGTACTGTTGCTGACTGGACAGGTCCTGGCGGTGGCATCCGGGATGTGGCTGGGGAAAGAAGGCCCTCTGGTCCACGTCGCCTGCTGTTGCGCCAACGTCTTCATCAAGCTGTTTCCCAGTATCAACAGCAATGAAGGTACGTTGACGCTTTGTCCCCTTGGCCGCTTAGCGTCATAAGCTAACACGAGCAGCGCGAAAAAGGGAGGTCTTGTCTGCGGCCGCGGCCTCGGGTATTTCTGTCGCCTTTGGGTCGCCCATCGGCGGTGTGCTCTTCTCTCTCGAGGTAACTTGAAGCTCCTACAATCCACCTTACAGTGCAGATCCTGACATGAACAGCAACTATCGTACTACTTCCCCGACAAGACCATGTGGCAGAGCTTCGTGTGTGCCATGACGGCCGCCATGGTGCTCCAAGCGTTGGACCCCTTCCGGTCGGGCAAGCTGGTCATGTACCAGGTGACATACGATAGAGGCTGGCACGGCTTCGAGCTCATCCCCTTCGTCCTCCTCGGCATGCTCGGTGGCATATACGGGGGGCTGTTCATCAAAGCCAACATGAAAATGGCCAAGTGGAGAAAGTCATCGCCGGCGTGGCTGGGTCCTTTCAGTCAGGTCGTCCTTGTTGTCTCTCTTACCGCACTCATCAACTTTCCCAACCACTACATGCGTGCGCAGTGCTCCGAGTTGGTAGCCAACCTCTTCACCGAGTGCTCAAAGATGTTCGACGACCAGTTCGGGCTCTGCAAAACCGGCGCGGCGTCCGCCGGCACCATCCTCCTCCTCATTTCGGCCGCTTTGCTAGGCTTCGGCCTCGCAGCCATTACCTTCGGGCTCCAGATCCCGGCGGGCATCATCTTGCCGTCCATGGCCATAGGCGCGCTCACAGGACGCGCCGTCGGCATCATCATGGAAATCTGGCAATTCAACCAACCCACCTTCATCGCCTTCCGCTCCTGCGAACCCGACATCCCCTGCATCACGCCGGGCACCTACGCCATCATCGGGGCCGCAGCCGCTCTCGCCGGGGTCACGCGCATGACCGTCTCCATCGTGGTCATCATGTTCGAGCTCACGGGGGCGCTGACCTACGTGCTGCCCATCATGGTGGCCGTGATGATCTCCAAATGGGTCGGCGACGCATTCTCGCGGCGGGGCATCTACGAGTCGTGGATCCACTTCAACGAGTACCCCTTCCTGGACAACTCGGAGGAGACGACGCCGATCCCGGACATACCGGCGTCGCAGATCATGACGCGCATCGAGGATCTCGTCGTGCTCACCGCCACGGGCCACACGATCGCGTCCCTGTCTGCCATCCTCGAGTCCCACCCCTACCGCGGCTTCCCCGTCGTCTCGGACCCGCGCGACGCCATCCTGCTCGGCTACATCTCCCGCGCCGAGCTGGCCTACACCCTGCACGCGGCCACGCAGCCACCGCGCTCGCTGCCCCCGGAGACGGAGGCCTTCTTCGCGCACCAGCCGCTTGCCGATCCGCGCACCACGCTGGACCTGCGGCCGTGGATGGACCAGACGCCGCTCACCCTGCCGAGCAGGAGTCGGCTGCACCTGGCGGTCAGCTATTTCCAGAAGCTGGGGCTACGGTACGTGTTGTTTGTGGATAGGGGGGCCCTGCAGGGGTTGTTGACCAAGAAGGATGTGTGGTATGTGCTGAACGGCGCGGAGGAGACGAGGCGCACGAGCTTGATGGCTGAGACAGGGGACGGTGAAGAGATGCATAGAGGTGGCGGGAGTGCATTGCGTACGGGCGTGGCGAGGGAGGATGGCGAGGGCGAGAGTGCCGGTTTGTTGCGGGCCGTTGGCTTAGCCGATGATGGGGAAGCGCCCGCTTTGAGTCCGGGGTTGGATCGCGGGAGTATATTGTAGACGGGGTTTTGATTCGATTTAGACGTGAGATACGACCGTATCGAGAGGGTTACCTAGTTGTTCAAGCGCTGTGAGTGATTCAGGTGCATGAACCTAGGCTCAGGGAGTTAATTGCCTGAAGCACAACTTACAAGGCATCTCTTTTCACCCTAGCCCAAAACTTCCAGGGTAACATTACGTCACACCAGGACCTCTGAACACATAGAAGACAGCGCGACTCGGTTTTGCAAGATTTCGCAGCACGATAAGGTATGTTATTTGTAATGTATATTTCCGGCTTGTACCCTGCTGTGTGTATGTGTGCACAGTCCCTGGGCTCTCCCTCAGTGAGTTTGTGGACCCTGTTTACACTGTATCCACCTTCGCGCATGTATGTGCTTTCAGCTCGCCTCATTGCTTCACCGACACTGATCTCCAAACCACGCTCCAGGTTGATATCGCAGTATTCTTGTGTAACTGATGCCCAGTAACACGCTGTGACTTTCACCCTTATACGGACTGCGCCATGTCAGGGCAAGGAGTTAAGGACATCCTGAAGAAAGGCTGGCATCCCGAGAAGGAAGGAACGTCTCTCAAGGGGCAGGTGGTATGTCAAGTCTAATGGGGCACTGTTGCGAACTCTGTACTGACATTTTCCCAGAAAAGCCTGATTGGCAAAGGCGACGATGTGCGTTAATTTCTTTACTTCCTGGCTCACTAGCCGAGTTGTTAACCATCAGACCCCTCTGCAGACCCGACGGAACGCCAACCACGTTGCCCCTCCCCTCTCCTCCTTGCGCGACCCATCCAGCTTTGCGCCCCCGCCAAAGCGTAGTCCCAATGCAGCCGTCAGTCCAACAGCTTCCGCCCGCTCATCACCAGCACCCCAGACCGGCCCAACCCTGCCCCCACGAACAGGAGCGGGAGCAGCAGCGGCGGCGGCGCCAGCAGCAGACGAGCCACCCTCTCCGCCGAAGCCATGGCGCCTCGACACAACCGGCCTCTCCACGGCACATCTGCCGCCGCCCCCAGGACGAAAAGACGCGGCTGACGGCCGCACACCACCACCACCACCACCCACAGGCCACGGAGGTAGACCTGCTCCTCCAAGCCTCCCCCCACGCCTCCCGCCACGATCCTCAGCCTCCACCAGCACCTCGCCGACAGTGACAGCGTCGCCCTCCCGCTCCGCATCCCCGGCGCTACCTGCCCGGCCGCCTCCCCCTCCCGCACCAAGCCAAAGCTACCTGAACCAATCAGCCATCAACCGGCTCGGCGCAAGGGGCATCTCGGTTCCCGGCCTCGGGATCGGTTCCACTACTAACACGCCTTCCAACTCACCACAACCGCTGCCAGCAGCTCCCGCGCCGGCGGCAGCACGCGGACCTCCCTCCTCCGGACTCGGGACTGGGGCTGGAACGGCGGTGAGCGAGCTCCAGTCGCGCTTTGCGCAGCTTAGACCGCCTTCCTCGACTGCGTCTGGGTCTGGGCCAGGGCTGGAAGCGAAGAAGAAACCGCCGCCGCCGCCGCCTCCGAAGAAGAAGGCCGGTTTGGCTGTTGGTATGGGTAGTACGCCACAGGCACAGGGATATGGTAATGGGAATGGGGACAATAAGGAAGCTGGTGAACCGTCCCCGCCGCCTATTCCTTTGGCTACGAGGCCCCGGTTCTGAGGGTGCGTGCGAAGGAGAATAAAAGAGGATTGTCACATTTGATGATGCGGGTCGTGTTGCGAGATGCCATTTGCATTGAGCTCATGGGCTACCTAACCATGGACGATGATGTGTTGCCAAGACAAGCAGACGCAAAGTAAGAGGACCGATAGAAAGTGGTGGACGAGGGAAGTGCACATTTGCGCGTCCGTTGCCCTGATGGGCAATGGCTAAGCCAGACCCTTGGTTACATCGAGGTATCAAGGGACATGGGAGAACTCCTCTTCTCTGCTCCAATACGTTTTGGGTAAAATTTCCAAACGCAGCGTTTTGGTGAGGAGGCGGACGGGCGGGGGGTTCTTTTGTGGCAACTGCTGGTATAAAAAACAGGCAAGATCCAACCCCTTACACCTTCATCTCCTTCAAGCCGTGCTTCCAGACAACGACGTAAGGTGTCACACCATCCTCACGGTAGTTGAGGAGGACGACCCTGGTCAAGTTAGTTTTCCTCCATTTTCCGGCGGAGACAAGGATTCGGTGCTCACATCGCATCGGGGTTCATGGACTCGCCGGTGTAGAACTCCCAGTCCTTGAAGTTGGCGATGATCTTCTTGGCGAAGCCCTGGGCGCCCGTCTCGAACTGCTTAATCTCCTCCTCGGACTTGCCGGCCTCCACGAGCTTGGCCTTGACAGCCTTCATGTAGCCTGCGGGACAGAGGAACCAGGTCAGCGCTCGTCCCCACCAGAGACATACATGCCCCCACCAAGAGTTTAATGTTACTTACCCTTCAGGTAGGCGAGATAGCCCTTCTTGTCGAATTGTGTTGACTGGAGACGGAACGAGTGGATGATGTTGTTGACCTTGACCTCCTGGTCGTCAAGAGCCTCCTCACCCTCCTCGGCGGAAGCGTTGGCACCGATGTCTGAATGTCAGAATCGTTAGCCCATGGTCAAACCCTTCCCACTGACACACAAGACTCGGGATCTTGCTGTAAACTGGAAGGACCGGTTTGACGCACCGACATTGACGGCGCCCTCGGTAATCATAGCGCAGTCGGCCTCATAGGCGACACCATCGACCTCCTTGAGGTCGTACGAGTCCGAGATGATCTCGTCGCCGCTGATAATATCCTGGTCGGAGCCGGGCTCATGTTAGCGGATCTGCGTGCCTTTGCGCGCGATGGTTGGTGTGCAGGGCACTCGAATCCATGGGTTGCCCGACTCACGGTGTAGATAATCATCTTGACAGATGGCTTGTGTTTATCTGTAGGATATGGGAAAGGAGCGTCTCAACAGAACCGTTCGTCAGAGAAGGCTGGGTTTTAGGTGCTGGGGAAAAAATTGAGCGGGGGGCCCCAAGAGGTCGAGGAGGGGTACTCGGCGGGGCAGCTTTTGGTGGCAACGGGGGCTGTCTAGACCGACCGTGCGCAGTTCAATTGATCCCTGCTCAGACATGGAGGGAAGTTGAATGTATCGACCCGTAATAAGTACAAGGTAACTATCGTTCTACGTACTCTGCTTTGGCCCTTTCTGTAGATTCTGTATTTTCCTTCCATGCGTTCCACTCCCAGTCTCGCTCTATCCAATTGCCATTCCACTAGAGCCCTTATCAGCCCTACGTTAGCCCAGGTGTACACTGTACAGTCTTTTCTAAATGGATGCTTACTTACTAATTACTAGTAGTCCTCATAACTGGCGTGAGCCAACCAAAGCTGGGCTGTACTGTGCCCGAGCTCACTTGCAGACTGTGGTGCATACCCTAACCCTGCCTACTACTATCGCGGCTCACCTGATACCACGTTAGCCCTAACCCTGAGTTGACCTCTGATTCAGGCTCTTGCCGCTTCTCCGGGGCTGCATGAGTCCCTGCCAAGACCAACAAACAACCCAATTCTGCCAGGGCCCAGGAGACACGACACGGTCGAGAAACGCGTTGTCTAATTATGCCAGATAGGAGAGGTTTCATGATCCGTGGTCTGGCCTGGAATGCAGCAAACATCAATTGGGCCCATGTATTCAACAACAGGTGGTCAAGTCATCAGGAGTAAAGTGTTCGATTCCCCGAGAGTGGTGCCATCTATGGCGAGACACCTTGAGGGACGGGAAATTGAACTCTGGACCGTGCAGCGAGACGATTCGCTGTTTAAATCGGGACTTGACTTCTCCACCGCCGAGCGATCGTCTTTTTCTACTCCGGCCTCTCCGCGCCACCTCTTCGCCCCCGGCGATCTTCCATTCTTGACTTCTTAACTTGACTCTGCTGCTGTCACAAGGCAGCTTTCATATCCAATTCCACGAATTTGCGCCCGCCAACTTCCCGCCTCCATCTGCTCGCCGTTGACACGGTCCCGCTCGCACAATGGCGAACATAACGGTCGCCTCCGATTTGCCGCCATTGCCGGCGTACGAAACCCGGCCGATGCCCGATCTTTTGCCTTTCATCTCGGACTTCTGGCTGCTGGCCATCCTCCCGCACATCGCGTACTGGGTTGTCTCGTTGATTTTCCACGTCATCGACATCTACGACCTCTATCCGCAGTACCGGTTGCATACGCCCGAGGAGATTACCCAGCGCAATCTGGCGTCGAGGTGGGAGGTGCTACGCGATGTGATTATCGAGCAAGTCATTCAGATTATAACGTCGGCTGTCTTGACGCTGTCCGAGGCCCAGCAGACCACCGGTATGGAGGAGTATGACGTCGCTGTCTGGGCGACCCGTATCCGTTTGGCGCAGCGGACACTGCCGTCCGTCCTCGGAGTGCTCGGACTAAACGCTGCGGCCATCTCTAAGAACATGGCTGCTACCCACCCGCTGCTGGCCGGCGCGCTGGCTGGCGGTCACTATCCGTTCCTCACCACCACCCTCGACGACGTCACCGGGGCCGCGGTGCCAGCGTTTGCGACATGGGAGCTGTTGCTGGCCAAGGCCATCTACTGGGTCCTTATCCCGTGTTTCCAGTTCTGGGTTGCCGTCGCGTTCTTGGACACCTGGCAGTACTTCATGCATCGGGCGATGCACGTGAACAAGTGGATGTACAGTATGTCACTGTCCCATTTTCCGCTCCCACTTACCCTTCCCAGCGAGCGCTCGAGCTAACCGAAATCCCAACTGCGACAGCCCACTGGCACGCCCGACACCACCGCCTGTACGTACCGTACGCCTACGGCGCGCTGTACAACCATCCCGTCGAGGGCTTCGTGATGGACACGCTGGGCGCGGGCGCCGCGTACAAGGTGGCCTGCATGAGCCCGCGGATGGCCATGGTCTTCTTCACGTTCAGCACGATGAAGACGGTCGACGACCACTGCGGGTACAAGCTGCCATGGGACCCTCTGCAGCACATCACGAGCAACAACGCGGCGTACCACGATATTCACCACCAGAGCTGGGGCATCAAGAGCAACTTCTCGCAGCCCTTCTTCATCATCTGGGACCGCCTGCTGGGCACCATGTGGACGGGGGATGCTAAGGCCAAGTATGAGCGGACGCGGGCGGCAGCGGCGGAGAAGAAGAAGGATGTCGCTACGGGGGCCCGTACTGCTAATGGCAAGGCCAAGGCAAAGTAATCTGGTTTGGATGCGTGTTGGGGTTGAGAAGAAGTCCTGGACCACTTCCATTCAGCCACAATTCGCTGGGCGGGTGGTTGATAGACTACGAAGGGCCGGCGCACGCGAAGCAATCGGCAAAAGCTTATGATATATTTTTTGCAGACTTGGGAAGACACGCTCCAAGGGAGGCCCCTGTTTTGGATCCGTTCCGGAATGGCAAATCCAGACAACCAGGACACAATGCGATATTGGGCATCGGGAGAAAGGAAGGGGAGCGTTCCCGTTTTGTTTCTTGGTTACAAACACCGCTACCGCTAATGAAAGACCGATATGTGTATATAAAGATTCACCACTCGACGACTTGATTGGACGGGAACGGGCCGGTTATGAGGATATGGAATACCGGTGTTCTAGCGAGTTTCTGAAGGCGCGGATGTGAAGTTACGAGGTGGTAGGGGAGGCCCCTGGCGGTGTTACACTACAGTACAACAACACTAGGATAATGATAATAGCCTTTTTGACATACTGCCTCCATAGATATGGCTCATTCATGATTAGTTCATCAGATTTGGAGCTGCCCCTGCAACAACGCGGCGTTCCCGTTGCGGGTGCGTCGATCATCTGCGGCTCTGCGGCATCCTGGTTTTTTTTCTTGCTTCGCCGCGATAATGCCCTACCTCTCGAAGGTGAGATGGTGTGCTTTTTTAGTTGGATCCAGAGACGGGAAGGATTGATGGTCCCCGGGGCCTTATCCATCCGCGGTCGGCGAACTCGAATGTGGGGGGGATGCCGTTTGTCAAGACGCTTCATCCGCTCCAGGTCCTAGGCTGGGGCGGGATGGTTGCAATAAGGGCATCTCCTTAGTGTGCATGACGAGAGTCCCAGTGCGCATACTGTAATGTAAGAGTGTTGGGTCTGATAGTCTGATACAACTTGGATTTACCCTCCCTTAACTAACACACATATTGGACCTCGCACTCACACTGGGAGTGGTTGCGAAGATAGGGGACGGTGAGAAGAGCTGTGTCTTCACCTCACATGGAACGGCAAACAGGGAGACTATGTGTCCTAGGGACTAGGTACCTTACCTATCGTGTGTGCATATCTTATAGGTAAGGGGATAGGCTGAGCAACTATAGCAGTAGTAGTAGATACGGAGTTGACTGATCTAGGGGGGCCTTCTTTTTTCCTGTGTATCACGACCGCAGCTTGGAGTAGAGCGATAGCGAGGTAAAGAAGGAAGGACATGTAGAAGGCCTGGGAAGCTCGTTGTCTGCGTTGTAAGCGAGGCGGACGGTACCTTAGTTTGGAGGGGGGCCAGACCTTCCATGGGTCCTGGGCTGAGACAAGGCGGAGTACTATAGGGTGCAGTTGCATTGCAGCGTTTCCAGAAGGAACCTCGGCCTTGATAGGCTTCGGATCTGCTGGAAGACGGGAAGATTGGCTGCGTTGGCATCATACAGCACTTAAGGTACCTACGTAATGTATCTAAGGGAAGGCACCTTCCATTGTATAACGCGACTGGCGTGCCAGCCAGCCCAACTAGAACCGAGTACCGATCGCATCAACCAATTGAAGTTCATTCCGCAGACCGCAAGACCTTTTATGTCCGGGTCTAGACTCTAACACGCAATGTGAAGTCTGCATCCCGAGGACATACTTCGACACTCATTAGGATATAGTTTTAGCAGGTGCCATGGCGCCGGTCCATAATAGTCGTCTCCTCTCTTCCACGCATCCTCCGCAGTTGAGTCGAGTCGTTAAGCTTCCGCCGTGACCTTCAAACCGGGCCGATAACGGCAGCTCGTTCATATCGCAGTCAAAGCACGATACAAGCACAGCGTCCTCGCCCACTTCGACACTTTTATCTCTTTTCGCCAGGAGAGTATTATACCTCTTGATCAAGTAAGAGCACTAATCCGAGGAGAGCTATCTCGTTAACCCCACCGACGGTAACTGACGCATATAGGGCGATTCGCGTGGCGAATTCCAGAGACGATTCGTCCCAACCCCTCGGAGTATACAGCCCTTCCTCCCTTCTCTCGGCCGACAGTCGCTGCTGTGTCTTCTCATCAGGTAAGACATCCTCCTTTCCGTTTCCGACGAATCATTGACTCTCGACGTCCAACATGGATAAGTCATGCATCAAGAAGGCAAGCTTCCATCTTATATGCCCCTGTCTCTCCCTCGCCCCTCTCTCCCTACCTCATTCCTCCGTAAGTGCTTCCGGCTCCACATCGCCTCGTATACCCCCAGCAACCGCGGTCGTTCGAAGTCACCGCCAACAACCAAGACTACAAAGACTATATCGCCGAGCCCTCGCCGTCGGTTGTGCAGACGCCAGCGCAGAAACCTCCAGCTCGCCAGCAACGGGCTGCTCGACTGATCTCTACGGCCGGGCCCAAGTTCAATGCTTCCTTTGGGGATCCTGCGGACGAATTCATTCTCCGGAAAGCTTGCTCCCGTCCGTCGGTCAAGAGCTCCCCAGGCCGAGGCAAAGCGCAAAATCGAGGATAGCAGCAGCGCCGGCGGCGGTCGCAAAAACACCTCGCACATCAAGACGAGGACCCGCGGCGAACTCTCGCCCGCTATGGAGCGTTGGCTCGCGGAAACACCGGGTCAAGAGCCCTTCCCCCACCTCGCTCCACCCGCCGCGAGTACCACCTTTATTACGAAGGCCAGCGCCGATGATACTGACCTGGTGTTAATGGGAGAGCGTGGCAATAACCCGAAATCGGGAGATTCGTAGGACGGCGATGGCGTAGTGACGATGGAGCAGTTGTTTGATTTTCTTTTGGGTCCTATGTGGGAGTGTGGCAAGGACAATTCAATGAAGCTGAATGCAAGAAAGTAGGTATATTTTGCGGGCATTTCTTTCGTGATTGTCTTGCTCTTTGCGATCTCCCAACTCCCATCTGTTCTTAGAGAGTTACCGCACCTGCTGAATTCTCGACTCTCAGTCTTCCACAGGCCGCGGCTTCACTGATCCAATGCTCATTGTTACTAGTTAGCCACACAATGCCTTCGCGCATGCGCCTGCTCTTGCGTTTCTTTTCTTTCGTCCCAATTCTTCGCTCGGATTGCTGTCACGCAAGGCTCCGCCGTCATCGACACCATCACGGGCGTCGCCGGGTAACCCCCCGGCCCTCTTCAACCTTACCATTGTCAACCCGCTTGTGGTCGGGGCTGGCTGCTATGCATGGCCGTCCTCTTCTCGGTGGAGGCTGCTGTCCGACTAGCTACCCTTGCGACACCTAAACCCCCACAAGACTGCCGCTTTGTTGACACTGAAGCTCAATCAGTTCACCAAGACGGTCACTACCTTCGGGGGGTGGAGTGCTGTCTCATCGGGTTCTGACGAGGACGGCCGTTGTAGGTACCGAGTCTACGGCTATGGACCGCCCCCTTCCCCTCCTCCGCCCTGTCCAGCAGCCCGTCGATCTCCACCACTGCATCCGCGTCGGGCGGGAGAGCCCGCAACAGCCGTATCGCGGCGCGGGCGCCGTCATGCGCCGCCTTTCCCACAAGCTCAGCCCGCCGCGCCTGCGGCTGAGCCTGCTGCCGCCGCCGCCAGTAGTCCCAAAGACGCCACCACAAGACGGTAATGAGGGGGGGGAGCCACTTCGTTAACTCTAGAGCTTGGCACCAGTTTGCTAGCATATCGAGAACGGCGACGGGGTCGACGTTTGCCGACCCCGTTGCCCCCGCCGTGGCCGTAGCGGTTTGCGTGGTGGTGGTGGTGATAGTAATGGTGACAGTAGTAACGACGGCGGCGGTGATATTAGCCATGTCATTGACAGCGGAGATGAAAAAGATAAGATCGACGGCATCCATGGTCTTTTTTTTTTCTTTTCTTCTTTTTTTTTTTTTTTTTTTTTTTTTTTTTTTTTTTTTTTTTGGGTTCACTACCTGCAGTCAGTGTGTCGGTGTGTGTGGCCGACCTCTTAAGATGCTGCCCGCGCGTCGGGGCGGGTAGTCGATACTTATACCCGATCTCCCCTCGACCGCCGGTCGTAGCTCCTACTGCAGAGACCCGTCTGCTCCCATCATGAGGGAAGGTGCGCAGCATCATTAAACGAAGGTGAGCGGACGTCTCGGACACTTCCAGCTGCACCAAGGGCATGCAGGGAAGTAACATGCGAGTATGCGACATGCCAGAGTGTTGGAAACTCCCGTCTCATTGACCTTTTTGTTATATTAGCAGGAGCACTTAGGATATGGAGGGCGCAACCTTGGAAGACACGCCAATACCCAACTTCCTGTGCCATGGCATGTTATGCACGGTGGCCGCTCATCCGCCACCAGTACCGTTATGCCCAGCAGGCCCGGGGCCCCTGCCACTCCGCGCCTAGGGCTCAACAAGAGGGCTCTCTCCTTGAGCTCCTCACCGAGCCTTTGGCTCAAGAAGATCCAGTTAAATGGGGACAAACTATTGTGTACAGCGACTTGTCAGGGCATCTAATTTCTAAAGGAGGCGACGAGCTGGAAGTGCTATATGGCAGAGTCAGATTGAGGAGCGCTTGCTGCGCTTTTCGAAACTACTTTCCCCTCTTTCACCGGTGCTTTTATTGTTGTGAAGTGAAATGTGTGGCATCGGGCACCTTAGTCTCTTTCCTCTCGTGGCGTTCTAATCAGGTGGCCCTGCCTGTCTTCGTGCATGGCCTCGCTAGTATATAAAAGCCCAGGGCAGCCCCCGGACATTGACATGAGCATCAGCATCCCTCCTCACTCTCACCGAGGAGGCGAATACACGGTATTCTCCTACTCGAATCGGGGGCCGGCACCCTGGTTGGTGCTTATGTGAAGTAAATTAGTCGACCGATGATTATAAACTATTTGACTTGGCTATTCTGGTTGCGGCGTTGGTTACCGTAGGGTCCGGCTTGCCAGGTTTGCTGGATCTGCTTCACCGCCCGCCAGCCTCGCTTCTGTCTTTTGTACTGTACTTATATTCTCTCTTGGTATCCTGTTTCCATGGGCTATGCTCCCTCACTCCTTTGCAGTGTTTCCAATGACTTTTGTTGCACCTATCCGCGACGGCGCATGCTGACTGGGATTGTTTTCATCTTGAGCGGCGGCGGTAAGAGCAGCGGCAGTTTCGGCGACAACTGTAGCGACGATGGAATCCCTAGTCGTCGTATTCGTCAGTCGGGTGTCCTGCTTCTATACGGACGGTGGCGTGCTTACACTGCTTTCTTGTTCTGTTCGTCCATGTCCTGCGTCGGCTCCAAGGCAGCGACACCGTTGGCAATGACTCGGGCCGTTGCGTGGGCGAGGTCGGCAACCCGATGAGCAGTCGTGGCAAGATCGACTGGCGAGTCCCGATATCTTCGCATCAACTCGAAGAGTCCGAGCAAACCAGCGGAGATATCACAAAGGCCCCTATAACCAAGTGGCAGTATATGAAACTGTAAGTCATAAGCGTTTCGTACCGCTGAGGAGTATATCGTAGAATAATCTACTCCGGATTCAAATCCATTTGCGGCGTACAAATACGCCGTAGTTGCGATGATATTCGCGTAACTAGCGGCGACGGCTACTACGCTGCCTCGCGGTGCCTTCGCAGCGGCAGACGCGATCCAGCCTGCAACATCAGCTAAGTCGTACGGAACTAGGACGTCCGGGTCGGGTGGGGGGATGCTAAAATAAGGATTTCGATCGCGGACTGGGGCGTAGCCTGGGATCGGATCAACTCGAATAGGGCATGTGGTTTCTTCGTACGGGGGAGGGGGTGTCGGAGGACGTTGATAAGGTTGATGAGGTGCGAGATAGCGTCTCAACCAGGCTCGGAGACGGTGTGCCATAGTGGGAATTGTAGCGTGCTAGATTTCGTTAGAGACGAGGATGGGTAGGTAGGAAAAGCCGAAAAGGTGAGTCTGCGATCAGAGGGAGAGTGTGGCTCTTTTCAGAATATAAAGAAAGCCAGGGGCGAGCGTTCAGTAAACAGCTTGCATGTCGCCACACAAGCATGACGAATGGCCCTCCTTTTTCGAAGGGAACACGTGGGCAGATACAGCTGTACCTTAAGTAAGCACGTGGCAGCCGTAGCAACCGCAGAATTCACGAGGGCTTACGCCACCGATGGCATGTCTACGTCACGGCGGCAAAACTGTCAGTCTGGACTCTGCTGACCTGGACAATTTTGGCTGCACAGTGCCTAGGGAGAATACGGTGCCAGGTCTGTGAAGTACGAACTCGCTGCGATACATGTCCGCCGCTGCGTAATTAGTAAGGCCAAGAAGAGTTACACGTGTAGGGAAGACCGAGCATGTCCCTTAGCCGTTGGGATTAGACAGAGTGGGTGGGGGAGTTGAAGGGTACCTAGGTTCCCTCCATGCCGGCGGTATAGTCGAGTTCGAGGTCTGCACACAGAAATGGGCAAATGCAGATAGTCTGAATACCTCGTTCGTTCTCTACCAACAGATACCTAATACCATCCACGAGTATAAGGGCAGTTGGCGCTGGTTCTTACGACGTTATTTTCCAAGATGCAATACTGAACATTGATTTAGCAGTGTACCTGGGAGATAGTATTACTAGCAATGGCAGAGTGGTATCCTCAATGGGCCTAAGGTAGGACTGGACCAGAGCTGTGCCCTTAGATCCAGACTTCAGGCTTTAGGTCCTGCTTCAGGAAATTGCTATGCCTACCAGGTATATACTTCACCTGTTGTCCATGCACGTACAGGCAGAGGAATATACACCACGCTTGCGTTCCTCTTCTAACGCTCGCGGCGACAGTGCCATATCGGGTCTAGAAGTTCAGACTGCCTTAACCACAGCACAAGGTTGGTGAACGGCCACCGGCACTTACACCCGGTTCCCTAACATGGATGCCACGAAAACTATTAAACGTAGACTCTATCGACAGTCCCGAAGTCCTAGATAGCGCGTGCGCTCGAGCCCATCAAAGCATGCCAGGCCGCGTTTCTTTGTCGTTGTTGCCGTTCAGCATTTTGAACTCTTTCGAGTCCCAGCTAGACGACGCCATTCGTGTCTTGTCACTTTGCTTGCGTTATGATGGCATTGACTGTCAAGACACCCGAAAATAGCGGCGCTACCCAGCCAAATTCGGTGGCTACAACAGCAAGTTCTGTACTTAATCTGTAATATAGAACTCGCTGTCGCACCCGCCGGGTTTATTAACGACTCGTGCAGACGTGCTGGGCGCCAAGCCGAGTAATCATGTCGGTTCCCTCTCGTTGACCTCCCTGCTGGCGATTGCTATCCAAGTCCTATTTTCTGGTCACTTTTCACCTTCGTCCAGACCATTCCTGTGCATCGCGCGGGCATTCTTTCAAGCCCGAACCCAAAATGCCCGTGCTTAGCGAAATCAGGTACTCGCGCGAGGCGACTGTCGCTGCCGTCACGGGGTACTTTGATTTCCTGGCCAAGATGTACCTCAACGAAGCCGACATTCTCAGACCACCGGAAGGGGGCTGGCCCGAGATCATGCCGCAGCGGCTCAAGGGCTTGGGCAAGACCGACGAAGTCACCTTGCTGCTGCGCCATCTCCCGTACATCCGCCCTAACTACGCCATTTCCGGCCCTGATGCAGGTCCCTGCGGCGTTCAGTTTTACTGCTGGCTTGACCCGATACGCTCCCTCGACCTCACGGGACAAGAGTCGCAAGACTCCGAGGAGGAATTCGACACGATGAAATTCATGACCGAGGGCGGCCACCGCGATGTGATTCCCTCACACGTTGTCGGTCTCACTTCGAGCGAGGATTTGGAGGACCTGTTCATGCTCGACACGCAACTTGGAGTCATTTACTGGCTTGAGTGCCCTGGCAGGATCTGGCACCACCCGACCCGGGAACGGATCGAAGACGATGCGTACGATTATGCCGCCGAAGATGAGGCAGACTGGCGAAACTACCCCGCATTTGCCATTGCCGACTTCTTCGAGCTTCTCAAGGACCAGTTCCGGCAGCTGGATGTCATTCCCATTAGCCCATCTAGAGTACTCGACGTGGAGATTTCAAGTCCGCAAGAAGCATAGCCCACGCTCCAGGCCATCTATCGTGAACATAGCTGGCCCGACCTGGATCGTTATCAAAAAGAAGAGTGTCTGAAAGCAGTCGGGGCGATGGCTAGAGAGCGCTACCCCATTTCGTTGTGACCTTGGAGAGGTATGGGACAGGGGGCGAAGCTAATCACATATTGGCAAGACCTCGGTGACGAGCCGGTTGGTCCGCAGTTGGTTTATTTATGGGGGTCTGTCGGTTGCACCTATTCTGTACGTAGTTTATGTTGTACTCGGCATGGCTTCCTGGCCTGCTCTATCGATACGAAAGTGGATAATAATGAATGGTAACGTAGCTGCTTGTGGATTGGACCTCTCGAATTGGAAGACAAGAAAGAGGTCGAGTGGCTCGAGTCTTCAGTCTTGTCAGCCGAGATGATAGTCAACCTCAGCCGTCCCCGAACCACTCAAAGAACTCTCAATATCCCGTGCTGCGTTCCTCGCTCACTTGATGCTCTCTGCACATCACGAATTCTTGATTTGTGTTTCCTCGACAACAACCACCCACACCCACTCCCCGGCTGCATTACCAACATGATAAAAGCCATTGTCGCCACCAGCGTGCTTGTCGTTTTCACGACGCCCGCCGCCGCCGCCGCCATCCTCACCTCGGCCGGCCAAGCTGAGCTCCACCCCATTGTCGTACCCACAGCGCGTCCGAATGTCACCACCACAGACCAGTGGACGTGCGTGACAGAGAGCGTGAAAGAGCGGTACTTCAATGGCCCGAAACCGAGCGGCAGTCTTGACATATCCATGATCTCGTACGGCTCCGAGCTGATTGAGACATGCAAGACGTCCGGGGCCTACCCCTATCCCTGCCCCTCCCGGACAAGACCCGTTGGTGCGGCGTCACCACAGCGCTACCGGCCTCGCTCCTCCCGGCCTATTCGTGGTATGCCAGCAATGCGTCCTCCTGGTGGTCGGTAAACAACGCAAGTGCCGTCCGGGTTGCGCAGGACTGCCCGATTCTCTGGTGCGAGGCGTCCAACTGTGCGTTTTTGGAGGCGCCATTTGGTTAAACCATACCCTCATCGACGGGGAATGCTACGCCGAAGCGAATCCCACTTCTGCATCAAAGAGCGGTCCCACCGCCACACCTGGCCAGGGCGCGACACCATCAGGCTCGACGCCCACATCGACGCCCACACGCTCGGCACCAAACAGCGTCGCCGGTCGAGCCGAGAATGGCCATATTTGGGTGGCAGCCGCCCCCGGACTGGCAGCGGCTTTAGCAATGTAAAGGTCCGCTGCAAGCTTACCGTATGTAATTGGGTACCGGTCTCGCAGTCCTTGATATATTGGGATGCCAAGCCTAAAAAGAAGAGTCAAAGAAGTTGGTTTTCATAGAGGTTCCCGGGAGTGGGTGGCTGAGGTAGAACTAAGAGAGCTCTGTGAGTGGATGGGTGAATCTGGCTACGTACATGCCTTATTTGAGTGAGGTACCCAAGCTGTTGAACCACTTGAACGCAATCCCCTCCGGAACAAAAGAAAAAGCAACTTCACTAGTACCTACCTAGGTACCTTAGGTACTTACCTGTTGTCTCTTGCCAAACATGGATACTGATTGCATAGTGATTCCTTCCTAATTCAAAACTGCCGGAGGTCCGGAACACAACCACCTCAATGATTTCCCCGAGATTGTTAGCAACTAGCACCCGGTGTCTAGCAGAGATGACTATTTATGCATCATATTGTCAGGCTGTCGCACAACCTGGAATAATCAGGCCCGGTCATGAACACCCTCTGAGTCAAGTACGGCCTTTTAAGGCCTCACACATATAACAAGCCCACACTCGCAGTCTACCTCATCCTTGGGCACCCCGTCATCAAGTAACAGTATTTTAGCACTTCCGCAACCCCGATAGATTCATGATTCCAGTAATTCTTTGGTTAGCGAGATTCTAAAATGGAGTGCCATCTGTAGCTTCGTCATCAAGTAACCAACCCCTGAGTCCCTAGCCGGTTAACTTGCACAGTAACGTTAACGTATAAGGGTCCTTTTTAATAGGCAAACACGCCGCGGGATTATACCAGTTATGAGCACTTTCCCTGGCTCTCCATGCTTTATAGATTTGTTCTTGGAGTAGTAGGAGAGCCTGCTCAGTGGAGTGTCTTTTCCTAGCTCCAAAGTGGTTCGTAGGCAGAAGGCCAAAGGTCTCTGCATAGGATAGGCGTTCCGCAACGAACTGCCCCCAGTATCTTGCCTAGCATAGAGAGCAGCGAGATGGGTCTCCAAGACTTGGCCAGAGTATAGTCGCTCTTCACTGGCTTCTTCAAGAGAATGATCTTAGTACTCATCCACTAGTTGGCGATGTCACCGTCTCGAAGCGACGTCCGGAATAAATAGAGCGCCCTATCTTTGACCACTAGCCTGAGCTATCTCTATACTACTGCCGGTAGCCCGTCTTCGCCGGGCACCTTCTATGGCTTAGCAGGCAGGACCTTTTATTCTACCGCTTCCATTATTAGGTCTAGCATATATTATAGTCCCCGTTAGTGTTGTTAGCCCTTGTCCTTGATTCTCGTTGGTAAAGTTGGGAAGAAGGCGTTGAGCAGCTCCTACGTTTGTTCTGCTTTACCTTCTATGACGGAACGTCGGGTCGGATAAGCGGGGGCATCTTATCGCCTATTATATCGCTGCGGGTTTACAGGTACTTTATCGCTTACTGGATGTTAGCGTTACTGGCTAAGAAGTCGTTCTTGTACGAACTCTTCTATCTGCGGATGGCGTTATGGTACTCCTTAGCTGCCATCTTGGCTTGCTGTTGAGCTCCGGTGCCGTTCGTCTACTACTGGACGTTGTTGTCTTAGGGGATATGTTCGAGGTTTACTGCTATTCTAGTCTTAATTTCCGCCTGGGCGTATCTTTAAAAAGGAGCCTTGTCTTATTAGGACGGTCCTCCGTTGTGATGTTGAAAGCTATCTCGATCGCTCTATGTTCTAAGCTATGGTTATAGGGGTGAATTGTATATCTAGGTAAGCAGCTAATCTATTAATCCTGTAGGTGCTAGTACTAGATCGATTATACTTTCTGTATCGCTTGATTGCCATATCTTTATACCTCTTAGGGAGAGGTTGTAAAGGGAGTGTTTGTCTATGAGGTTGATAATGCGATCTCCTTCGCCCTGTCTTAGTGGTAAGGTATTATCTCCTCTCTAGAGCTAGCCGCGGCGGTTGAAGTCGCCCGTAATAAATAATCCGATATCCGTTCTTATCCTTGTTCCATTTCGAAACCTACTAATTAGTCGGTTAATCTCCTTTATTGCATCTTCTAGTGCTTCGTCGCTACTACCCTCTATATAGAACGATACCATTAACACTACCCGGTCTGGTGGCAGGATACGTATTGCGCTAAGATCTGCCGCCGGCACTGAAATTTGCTTAATCTCTAGGTATATTACTTTATACCTATAGCATGCTCCGAATTGGCTAAGTCGCCTCTCGCCTTGTCGTTGGTATTAGCCTCGTCTAATTGTGATGAATTATTAGGACCGTCACTACCGAGCCTTCGATTAGCCTGGCATATGATTCGGAGACCGCTAGTACTATGTAATCCTTAAGCTCCTCGTCGTTTAACAGGCTCTTCTGCACCTCTCCCCGTTCAACGACCGAGGCGTTGATCTCAATAGGCCCAGCAACTGGTGGGGCGGTAGCCTCTCTATCGCTTGTATACAAGGCAAAATCGAGACGGTGAAGCTTCTTCTTGACAGAGGCGTAACATAGGCAATACATACGACGGACAGGATGATCCGTCAGCCCATCCACTTCGCCTTGTACAACAGCGAGGAGCATGTAAGGCTGCTTTGCGGAGGGATATAGAGCTGATCTTACTACGACAGACGCCATGGGAAGAACAGCACTCCACTGCGCTGTGGCCAGCGGCCAGAAAAGCATTGTTCAGTATGTCCTAGACAGACATCCAGAGCAGCTAGAGCAAACCAACCATGACGGCTGGACACCCTTGATGTGGGCAGTCCGAAAGTGCACCACGTGGTGCAGCAAAGAGACCTCAGAAACGCTAGCTGTCAAGACGCTGCTGCAGCACGAAAACTCCAAGCACGCATCTAGGCAGAAGGCGGTGGGCAAGTGCTCCGAGTTGGGCCGGGAGCCCACGAAGTGGACCGCCCTCAAGCTAGCACGGTACCATAAGGCAAACAAGGACGTTACCGATCTTCTCACTCCTACAGGCGAGGCGATTGAGGCAAGCGAGGACCAGGAAGTAAAAGAGGTTTGGAAGGACGGCACGAACAACCAAGCGAAAACCGCAACGGAGAGCGATGGGTTTTGCGACGCATGCTTGATGGTAGGTTTATATCTCCCTTGTTTAGTTTCGGCATCCTCTATACCATTCCTCGCATCGCCTTGCTGACTCGGATCACCGCCATCTGTGCTAACAGGATCTCAGCAAGTTCAACATTTTCTCTGTATAGGTATTTATCGTTAGGTGCTCTGATGGACTGAATAATCAGGTATGCTTCCCGGTTTACTTTTGATACTTACCACGTAGTAGTCATAAGTGAATCGGCACGAGTTGAAGGGCCGTCTCTCCTATGGCTATCCTGACATAGATAACCATACTGGCATGGATGACGGACCGTAGCGAGCGAAAGATATTTGATTACCTTACTTACCTCTTCCTATTCGGTCTTGATATGCGAGGTTCTCAGTGTTGCCTAAACTCGAACCGTGCCGCCTTCTTTCCAAGTCCACTGCCTCATCAGGGTTTGGACAAGCGTCAGTTGTGGCAGTTGTGCGGACTCATCAGTCAGATCGAGCGCATAGTGTAGTGGGTATTAAAACTTAAAGCAATCCTTCTGCCCGGCTCTACCCGATAGTTAGGTGCAGTTTGGTGTTTCGCACCAAGCCCGTAGTAATATCCATCTGACAATCGGGTCTTGGCTGCCTGCCCATCTCATCTTTTGGATCCCGCATTGTGCCCCTGACAAATGGAGCACTCGATCTCATGTTTGAAACCGCTCCACCCTCTGACCAGTGCGACGTCGCGCCAATCCCCTCAGCGCGTCAAATTGATTGCCGGCGAACCGGTCGAAAGATGGCGCGATCAAAGACTCGACTCGACAGCTGAAGGTTCCCGAGACATGGCCACCTCAGCTGCATTCGGACGTCCCTTCTGGAATGCCAGCTGCGCTTCGGTCGGGCTTCATTTCCTTTTTGCAGCTCACATCGATGCACACGGAAAAAAAAGTGGCGCTATCTCCGCAGCTGGACTGCAACCCTTGACACCTTAACACGGCATTTGCCGTCTGATGAGACTTCGCAAGCGGCTCCTGCTCATTTGCAACACAAGCCGGTATGGTATAACGTACCGGTCATGTCTGGTGCGAAAGTCGCACGGAACAGAGTTTCCGAATTGTCATCCCATCTTGTGCATCGCCAATTAACAAATCCGTCGTCTCACACGTCGGTGGCTGTCCGACTCGAGCACCTCGAGAGCTTCACTCACGAACCATTGAGCCGCCGTCGGAAGCAGGTCTGAATGCAACCATCCGCTTGCGCTCCGCTTGATCGACTGCATCCCGCTCAACCACTGGTCCCGCATGGTTGCCATGGCTGCCAGGGACCCCGGGCACTGGGCCCTGGCGAGATTGGCAACGCATGAAGGTGGCCCAATCCCCAGCCTCGATCCTCCTTGTCAGCCGCTCGGATTCTGGCACGCCATTCGATCGCGATTGAAGGGCCAAAGCGTGCCGTCCATCATCCCAGCCTGGGGTCGCCTTGGCAGCCTTGGTTTCGCCGATGCGGCCCCTGTTGGGGGACGATGGTCTCGGGCGAGGGAAATAATGCTCGCCATGACGCTCCATCGGCCGCAACTCCTCCGTTTCCACCATGTTGCTCCACGGGCCGCTTCCAAGTTTCTTTATCATTATTATTAAAAGGCGCTCCAGCACCGCGTTCAGCTGCTGTGTTGCGGCGCCGCCACGTCTCATCAGTCGACCCAACAACTGCGGCACAGTCGGGACGACGCAAGACTATTTTCTGCATCCGTCGAGCACAGGCTGGCTGACGAGCAACTCGAAACAGCGACCCTGGCCTGTCTGCCGCTTGCGTGGCTAAGCGCCATCCACTCAACCCGCCCGGGAAGGCGTCGTTCTGCCCACCTCACGGCGCTTCCGGGATCTTGTCGGCGCTGTCATTGGTCAGGCAACGCATTCCCTCCTCCGGAGAGATCCTCTGCCACGTTCGTCTCTGCAGCGCCTCCGCGCGTTTATCCAGGCCCTTCCGCCCGGCCACCATAGACGCTCGCGCACGGGACAGCCCGTCGTAGATTATTCCGCTTATAAGACCATCGGCTTCGCCGTACGCAGGCTCGGTCCGCCAAACACGCAGCCAGTCACCACTCGTCCCAGCGGCATGGATCCAACAACAACGCTCTTTACCTTTATGCTGTGAGTTCTGTTCTGCTTGAACACACTCAGTGTCTCTCGTTGTATATTTGCGCGGACGTTCCGCTTGTCATTCCTTTTCTCAGTCTGGTCCTGCGCTTGTGGCTCTGGGTGTCATATATAACCACTCTCTTTCGGACATACCCCATCGCTCTCTATTTCTTGAACATAGAGCTTCCACGTCTTCTTGCTCTCGACCCGCCAGGCCCTTTGTCTGAGGCCGGCTGTTTCATATTCGAGCTGTCAAAAGGGTCTCACTCGAATCGTCGTGGTACGGTCGCTCCCTGTCTCATCGTGTACCGCTCGATCATTCCCATGCATGTCTCACATCCAAACTGTCTCTAACACAAGGGTATAGACAAACCGATCCTTCGGTCAAAGCTGTCCATCTCATTGGGTCCTGGGACAACTTCACAAGGGCCTACTCAATGGAAAGAGATAGTCGGCGAGACCGTGGCGCATGGAAGGGTTGTTACAACTTCAAAGAGATCACATGCGAGGGGGATGCGGGTAGCGTTCCAAAGCGCAACGGGGGCCTCAAGATGGGCCACGCCTATTACTACTATGTCAGTGCATCTCGCTTGCAGGTGCGCGCCATGTCACTGACTGAGACATGCAGTACGAACTGGATGGCGCCTCAGAGACCCACGATCCTTTTCAGCCGACGACCACCACTTGCCCGTACCTTCCCGGCCAGACGGTCAACGCGCTCTGGATTCCGGTCGAGCAATCGGGCAGGAAGCGGAGTGCTTCATTGACGTCGCTCCGCGAAGAGGACTTCAAGACGATGGATCCGGCAAGCAAGTTTGTCTCTCCGAGGCCGGCGCCGAGCCCTCCCGAACCGGCCCGCCGCGTCGGAACAGCGCCGCTACGCATGCAGCAACCGAAGCGTCCGTCCAGGTCGCCGTCTCCGGGCTCCCGCTGGATGTTCTCGCCGCGGAAGCTCTTCAGCCGCAAGTCGAGCTGCTCATCGCTGAAAGAGGCGCCGAGCCAGACTCTGCGGGCAGAAGATGAGCGGAACCTCAGGTCTGAAGGCAGCCGCTCAAGGGACATCTCCCCTGAGTCGCTTCGGAAGTTCTTGGTCGACGACGCTCCGCTCGACCACGAAACCGACGAAGAGAACAGGCCGGCACTTGACATCCCGGAGGACATTGTCGAGGAGAATGAGGACGACGACAACTTCGCCACATCGGCCGTCTCGGAAACGGGACAGTTCACTGGCCTGTCTCCCCCGCCCCAGCGCGCCCTTTCCCCCGCGACAGCAGTGCCGTCCGCCACCGACTCTGCGGCTCGCAAGAGCTCACCCCTGTTCATCCCCGCAGCCCCGACTCGCCCACCACCACGGGCGCCGACTCTCAAGATCCCGACATCCACTCGCAACTCCCAGTCAGACTTCCCCATCTCTGCCCTCCGCTCCCAAGCCTCCCCGCAATCCCCCGACTCCGCCTCTCTGCCGGGATTCGACCTCTCCGAAGACGAGGACGACGACGAGCCGTTCTCCGGAGTCGACATCGACGAGGAGGACGATGCCCTCCCTATCCCAGGGACCGCCTCATCCGCACTCGACCGACCGATGATGATGGCCAAGAACCCGTTCGCACGGAACCTCGCCGCCACGCTGTCGACGTACAGCCTGCCCCGGACGGCGGGCACGGAAGGGAAGCTGAGCACCCCTGGGGTTGGAGGCCAGCCGGCTGCGCTGAGCGCGGTGGCGGCCGACGAGGGCAATGCCACGTCGCTGCTTACCGGATGTGAGATACCGGACGCCGGGCTGGGGGATTTGGTTAGTGAGCTTGGGTGGATGGCGGATTTCATCAAAGGGGAATGTGCCTAATTTCTTTCATACTCTCTCTTTTCTCTGTCTATGGTGGTTTGGCTCTCAAAAGGCGTGCTGGGAGCGGGATATTACAGGATACAAAATAGAGTACTAGCTTGGATTGGGATGGGTCGGCGTGGATTGCTTTACTTGGCATATATTTAGCGAGCGGGATCGGATGGGTTTATTAGATACCTTGGGGTCTTTTTCCCTTTTTGTTTCTGGGTTTATTATTCTATCCCATTGTTCGTTGCTGGGATACCTTATACATACAGTGAAGGAAGAGCACCCCTCAGGGCTACCACAGTAGATGATGGAATGGGCTAATGAGTCGGATGAGTACCTCGACCCTGCAGGGGGACGAGGCCCTTGGTCAGGTAAAAGGTAAAACGTTAGTAGATGAAGCTTAATCGACAAAATGATCCGCTTCGCATCTATTAAGTTGTTGATACAACAACCACACTTCGCGACGACGGCTTCCATCTTCAGGGATCTGAAAACCGGACTGGCAAGGTAAAAATATATCGATGGCCGCGGACCGACGCAAACCCCATCAAGTTTCAACATGTTCTTTTTCTGGACTTTTACGCCCTCTTTGCCCCCCATCACAGCGGGCCCGCGTTCGCCTCGCGAAACCTCTCCGCCAGCTGCTCACCCATCAGGCCTGCCTCGTACGCCAGGTGCCAGAACCGATGGCGCCAGAACCGCCGGCCCTCAGCCCCCCCAATACCCGTAACACCCGTGGCATCCCCGTCCGCCCTTCCGATTTTCCTCGCCGCCTCGACCAGCCGTTCCGCGGCGGCCACGTCGCCCACCGCCACCAAGGGCTTCAGCAGCTCGTGTAGCGTTGCCAGCGTGATGGTGGTACCGCTGACAAAGACGCGGTCGAAGATCCTCAGCGCGCGCTGCAGCTCCCCGGCCTGCGCGTAGCCCTTGATGACGCGCTCCCAGAAGACGCGGTCGATGCCCCGGTTCTCGTGCAGGCGCCGGTTCTCGATCAGCGCCGTCACCGCCGCCGCGTCGGGCGGGTCGAGCGAGAAGTAGTGCTCCGCCAGCATCGTGTAGATGTGCGACGACAGCTCGAGTCCGCGCCGCCAGATGTGGCCGAGGACCGCCTTGACCGGCTCGCCCGCGCGGTCGCCCTCGCGCAGGAGGAGGTGGAGGATCTTGGCGTACGTCTGCATGTTGATCTCAATGCCCGCCGATCTCATGGCTGAGAGAACGCGCTCGACCAGCGCGACCTGCTGCTCGGGCGCGAGGTCGCCGATGTGGTTGAGGGTGCCTTCCAGCAGGACGGTGAAGGTGGCCACGTCGGCGCGGATGTTGATGCTGCGCATCGTGTCGAAGATCTCGTCGATGCCCTTCATGTCGCCGCGGCGGACGAGCGGGCGGAGGAGGGTGTTGAACGTGTAGATGTCCGGGTCGATGCCGTGCTTGGCGGCCCAGGACAGCACCTTGGTGGCGTCGCCGTCGCGTTTGAGGCGGAGGAGCCCGGCGAGCGCCGCATTGACGGGCTCGACCGTGGGTTGCACCGCCATGGCGGCGTATTGGGGGTCATGACGCGCTGCCCAGATCTTGGCCATCTCGTCGAGCGCGCGGAGGCCGGCCTGTGGTTCGCCGCAGACAAAGAGTCCATGTATGCGTGCCGTCCAGATAGCAATGTCCAGCTTGGCGCCCGATCTTATCAGCTTGTCCCAGACCGTCTTGATGCCGGGGGCGTTGTTGGCCTTGACGCAGCCTTGCAGCATCGAGTTCCATGTCTTGATGGTCGCTTTGATGCCGATACGCTCCATGCTGTTCCACACTCCGGTGGCCTCGCGGAACCGCCGCATCATGGTGTAGGCTAGGATAAAGTAGTCGAACATATCCGGGTGCTTGGCAAGCTCCGCGATGCGCCCAGCATCGGGCACGGGCGCCTTCCCCCAGAACTCCTGCCATGCCTTGTTCACCAGTCCCAGATTCCTGCCCTTGATCGCGTCCCCCAGCTGCCGATGGACAGTTACCGTCAGCTGTTCCGATTCATCTCCAAAGACCGAAGCGGAATCCATAAAGGCGTTGCCGTCATTGTTTCCCTGCCTTGTCGGCCACATGAACCGTGGGAGATCCGGGAAAGTGTCGAATATCGCCCCGAAGTCGTTGCGACGCGGTGGCCGCGCTTGGAAAATGAGACCCTTCATCATCTGGAGGAACGGCGCAGCCTCTCCCTTCACGGACCGGGAGCGATTCACGGGATCCGTCAACAGCTTATAGGTTGCAAAGGCTGCGAAAGTTGGCCGGGTCAGAGTCGGGAGCATGTATTGGGGGAACATGGCTCCGAATGCCTCTTGTAGGTGAGGCCGCTGCTGCGGCTTTCCATCTCCACGGAAGGCCTTAGCTTTGAGGTGGTCCGACCCTCGGGGCTTGGGTGAGAAACCGCCTTGGGCGGGTGCTCTTTGCTCGCAGAAGACCCTCCAGGACCCCAGCAGATCGCGCAACAGAGCATCTCGTCGCGCCATGGCGTTCTCGTAATCTTTCACTGAGCTGTAGGCGTCGGGGTCCGTCTTCTGCCGGTAGATGTGCTGGACCAACTCGATCACCAGCGTAGCCCAGGCGGAAGGCTTGAGGACATCAAGCGCGATCATGATCTCCGTGATACGGGAAACGCTTGGAAGACGGTCCAGGTCGAAATCCTGCGGCTTCTGGAGAGCCAGCGGGTTCAGGAGGACCCCGGCAATCTGGTTCTTTACAATCTGGGGAACAACGGTGCCGGGCTTGACGATCTGAGGATATACGGTCTCTTCGAAATACGAGTATGCCGCGGCGATCGAGGCGCCTTCCCGCTCCAGCATTATTTGTATCTTCGCCACATCTGTCACCAGCTCGATGCCGACCGTCCCGGGTCCCTGGACCCCAGACATGGAAGGCGCCTCGGCCTGGCTCTTCACGATGCTCTGGAACATGGCAAGAGACGAGGACTGGCGAGACGACGGGACGTGTCGAGGGGGCTGTGTCGGCGCAGTGGGTTGCGCATCGCCCGAAGGGCCCCGAGGCATAGGCGTCGCGGGACTAACCTGGCCTTCGTCCTGCACCTGACCGTCACGCTGATCATTTTCAGCAACCGCAGTGCCGCAGTGACTCGATATTCCGCGGCGCGCTCGAGCTTGGGATGCGATGAGCAGCCTGACCCGACATCGCAGGCAAACACTCCCTAACCCGCGCATGATCGTTTATTGGCGGGTTGCGGTTCGAGATAAGGTGAATGCAGTGCATCCTATGACCAGCAGCTGCTGCAGTCGAAGTCAAGCAATTGTGCCGCGAGCATCCCTGCACCTCGAGCGGCGGCACGCAATTATTCTGTGGCGGTTGCTGTGTTCGATGTCGTGGCTCAAAATTTCGCAACGGGACACATCCGGAAGTCCGTTGCAACAAATGGCCAGGAGGGTGCCCCACCGAGCGTCCCGGGAGACAGGGGTCATACGGCCCCGTGGGCCCCTCACCGCTTCCGCTTCCCTGTGACGGAGGAGCCGTGTATGGCAGGTCCGACCCTGATGAGCCGTGCTCCGTCAGTTCCATGAGGGGCCAGGTACCCGACCCTCCTTCCATCTCGTATTTAAAGGTATTCCCTAGCAGCTTGGAGCTCTGCCCCGAGCTCTATAATTTTTTGGGCTTCGATTCCCCCAAGGGAAGAGGAGCAATATTATTATTATTAACCAGGTACTGTACGCGCACAAAGTAGGCCAACAACTTACAAGCGGGCACGACACAGCCATGACGTCGCTGGTCCCGCGTAAGCCGTACACGGACGATGAGCTCCGGAAGCTCTACCCAGACAGCCTGGAGCTGCAGCTGGTGCAGATCCTGATGCGCCACGGCGAGCGCACCCCCATCTCGGCGCGCTTCCAGAACGCCGGACTAACGCCATGGTGGCCGTATTGTTCCAGCGCGCGCCACATGCGGTCGGCCGTCCTCGCTGCTGCAGACACGACGACCGACCACCCCTTCGACACCATGAAATGGAAGCGTCGTCTGGAGACATTTGGGCCCAATGACGAGCCCGTCGTCGCCCGCGGCCCCAAGGGCGAGACGGACGACATCTGCGACCTGGGCAGCCTGACCGACCTCGGCAGGCAGAGCACGTACAAGCTGGGCCTGCGCCTGCGCCAGCTCTACATTGATCGGCTGGGCTTCCTGCCTCCGACCATCTCCTCCGCCGACTTCCTCTACCTGCGCTCCACGCCGGTGCCCCGCGCGCTGGAGTCCCTGCAGCAAACCTTCTCGGCGCTCTACCCACCCTCTACGCGGAACCCGGGGCCGGACGGCAAGTTCCCCGCCCCCACCATCCTCTCGCGTGTGCCGGGAGACGAGACGCTCTACCCCAACGACGGCAACTGCCGCCGTTTTGCCGCGCTCGCCAACGCCTTCGCCCAGCGCGCCGCCGACAGGTGGAACAACACGTCCGACATGGAGTACCTGCAGAAGATCTACGGCAAGTGGATGCCCAACGGCAACAAGGTCGCCGTCGACTCGCACCCACGCCTGTCGGGCATCATGGACACCGTCAATGCTACGCTGGCCCATGGGCCGGAAACCAAGCTTCCTAAGGAGTTCTACGACGGGAAAGCGCGGGATATCATGGACAAGGTTGTCGTGGAGGAATGGTTCGCCGGGTACGTCGAGTCCAAGGAGTTCCGCACGCTGGGGATAGGGGGCCTGCTTGGGGATATCGTCGGGCGGATGGTCGGGAGCGTGGAGCAGCAGACGGGGACGGGCGGGCCGGACTCGCTGCTGAAGCGGACGGGGCAGGAGGACCATAGCGCCACGATCCGGTTCGGCCTGAGCGGGTGTCACGACACCACGCTCGCGGGTGTTCTGGCGAGCCTGGGCGCGTACGGCATGGACCGGTGGCCGCCATTTACGAGCCACGTCGCGATTGAGCTGTTCAGGGAGTCCAAGATCCCGCCCCCCGAGGCAGAGCCGGCGAAGAAGAGCTGGTGGACTTCGCTGTTTGCTGCCGCCGGAGGGCCTACAAACATCGGCCGGCGACCGACGACGGAGCTGACGGCCGCTGAGAAGAACAAGCTCGATGGATACTACGTGCGGATACGCTACAACGACGAGCCCGTCACTGTACCGGCTTGCCGGCTGCCGGGGAACCATCTTAAGGGCGACGAGTCGTTTTGTACGCTGGTGAGTGCACCCTATAATATCGCAGATTTGCTTCTTGGTAGACAATTGGCTGATGTGACCTCTAGGCCGCCTTCAAAGCCGTTGTTGACAAGTTCACCCCGACGGACTGGAAGCAGCAGTGCCGAATGAACAGAGACCAGCCCACTCTCCCGACCGGAGAGCCGGAATGGGCGGGCCACTGAGGGCCGTTGATCATCTAGCGCTTATTGAGTGTAGCCAGAATAACCAGCCCAAATTTGCTGCGGTTCGAACGAGAGGGAGGGAGGAGATACCTACCAGGTAAGAGGCAGAGCCTTGGCTACCTATCCTCTCCGGTTGGACATGATTTCAGCGGACTCGAACAGAAAGCGGGATAGGATGGTTACAATACAATTTGTGCTGCAAATACATGCTGGGAGACAAACGGGCGCAGGAACAGGGTAATGGGGCGTCGAACAGACTAGGTAGAAAAGAAAATGATAAACATGCCCACAAATTGGGACACAGATCCTACCTTACCTCGTCCCCTTAGGCACTGACATCCACGTGGCCCATCTGATCCGCCAACTCGGCCACCCGCTTCTCCTCCGCCTTCTCGGCCTTCGCCCGCCTCTTCCTCGCCCTCCTCACCTCTACCTCGATCGCGGCCATCTCGACGTTGAGTGTCGCCAGCCGTGGGATGATCTCCTCCACTGCCTTGATGGCGTGCCCCTGAGCCTGCCTGAGGGCCAGCGGCGTGAGGATGCCGAACCAGCGGAGGGGGTCTGTGGGCTTGTCTTTCGGTCTGGGTTTCTGCTCCTCCTCGCTTGTGGGCCCCGGCTCCTCTCCCTTTTCTTGACCCTGCTCCTTCTTCTGCTTCTCGTCTACAGACCCACTACTATCGTCTGTCGCGGAAGGGTTTACTCCGCCGGACTTAGCATCAGCATCAGGAACCGACTTCTCTGCCTCTTTGGATTCCGTTCCAGATCCAGATCCATCGGACGTTCGTGACACCGTATCCGGTTCCGACCCTGACGCCGATGGCGGGTATGTGCGGACAGTAAATACCGGCCTGTTGGCGCCGGGATCCGTGTCCCCTTTCCCTTCCGCTTCCGCTTCCGCTTTCCCGTCCTTTGGCCCGATTTGGATCCGCCGGATGGCTTGCATCCGCTCGTCGTAGTAGTCCTGCCCGTAGTAGCGGATGCCACGCTCGGCCGAGAAGTTGGCGCGCGCCAGGCTGTGGAAGATGTCGGCCTGCACTGTGTTAAGCGTTCCGCGGAGGGTGGTGTACTCGTCGAGCAGCGCGAGGTAGTGCTCGAGGAGGAGGTCGATGGTTTCTGTTGCTGCGCTGGCTTGGTTTGACATGGTGCAAAGCTTGGCTTTTCTCTCTGGCTTTTTTGACCGGTGGTCCGGACTCGGAAAGGGTGGTGAAGTGTGGAAGGCGATTTCAAGATGTGTTGATGCTTAACTCCGTATTAGGGGTGAGGTCCAACTGATATGGAACCCTGTCCGATCTGATAAGCTTAGGTACTGATGTTGAGTGATGATGAGCCCTGCTCTCACCCCACTTTAGTTACCTGGCTCACCTGGATACCGGTACGGATTACCACTTCACAGAGGTCTGGATGTAGCAGTCTAGTCACGCTTTCCATGTAGAATTTAACATCGATGACCTCACCTGACGGCCAATACCATATTAAAGTTCCCTTGAGAATAACTGAGTGAGGCCTGGCAAGAGTAAGTCAATTCCCGGCTCGGGAGAGGACCTAGGTTAAGGTATTGTACAATACGTATGATCCGTAAGGTATGTAAAGCATGTACGGATTACCTTACGGAATTCTTATCAGATCCGGCAATGTGTGAGCTTGGCTGTTTGTCATGGTAAAAACCAATCAACGCTACATTCACCCTTTGCTGAGGCTTCGAAGTGTCGAATATCGTTCAGCTCATGAGCTGTTCCATGTTGGGACTTGGAAGTTATCTCAGATTCAGACCAGTAGTTACTCGCTGGGCGTCCCAAAGCGGCCAAACCCAGCTCCCCGCCAAGGAGGCGAGCTGGTTCATCCATCAACCCCCGATTTTCACCTCAATAAGATCACGATCTTCTACATGTGCTTGTAAGGATAGAAAGCCACTGTCCTTCTCCCACCAACTGTGCCCGAGGTCACTCCTCCCCCTTCTTCAACTCATCCTCTTCCGGCTCGAAGTCGAACACCCAATCCCGCTCCCAGTCCCATCCTTCCGGTTCGTCTGGATGACGCGTTCCGTCCTTATTCCGCTCGACCCGCCTCCCATCGACATACAGGGGCGGATAGAGGATATCTTCAAAGTACGGCCGCGGTCCGTTATCGCACTCCTGCACCTGCTTGTACTGGCTTGCTACCAGGTCGTCCAGTCGCTTGCTCCTGATGTTATGGTGGCTATTCCCCCGCTTGATGATCACGTGGATTGGTTGGTTAGGGTTTTGCGAGAACTGGCTTCGTGAGTCCTTGTCGGATTCATGGAGCAAGAGATCGTAGCAGATAAGCGCGTGGCGGCGGTGCAGCTTGATCACGTTGAAGTGTATGGCGAAATGGGTCAGTTGGTGCCCGGCTGCTTCCGCCATGGCCTTGGTGACCGTTTCCGAGAGGTTTTCTGCCCAAGGGATGACATCCGAAGAGTGTCGAGACTCGGCCTTCAGTTTGATGCGTGCGAAGAAGAAACCGTACGCCGGCCTTGGTCTGCAAGGCCGCACGGGTCTCGTCATCTATGTAGTACTCTCTCCCTCCGGGCATTGTAGAATGAAGTGAAAGAGTGCAGGGCACGTCGTGTTGGAGGTTTGATACGACCAAGGGGGCCAACTTGGTTGGAAGGTTTCGGTGGGCCAGGAATGGTACAGGAATCAAGTAACAGGTATACTCCGTGAGCTAGGGGGGTACCATTTCAGCCTTGTACTCGAGTCTAGCAAGTCGAAATGTACCGAGATTGTTAATTATTACTACTACTTAACTCGTTCTCGTTTGTTTTGCCGCCCAGTACTCGACTCTGCCATTTATTACGAGTAGATAGTACCTGGGAGTTGTGGTGCCGCCTTCAGCTTCCATGGCTAGTGTACGGATTAGACATTGCGGACATTACATTTAAATTTCTACGGTGTGACGTCTCGCATACCCGTACGGACCATCCATACCGGCCGCAGGCCGCCGCAACGCCCACAAAAGACGCGGCGTCTGATCTGATATAAAGTTGGGAGCCGCAATAATAAGTTGCGTCAGCTGTCCATGTGCTGCTCAGTGCATGAAGGTTCCCCTCTTGATATGTGGGTCGTCACACTCGAATCCCTATCTTTACGGAGTATTGTCGAGCTTGTCGATGGCTTGTCCGCCCGGAGCAAGGATGAAAGAGGAGGCAAACAGCATGACGGAACGGGGCAAACAGCAAGCAGAACCATCCTCGAAGCTAGGAAAGCATGTTCCCGTCGACCGATTCCACAACCCTGAGGCATTCTGCCAAGCGAGATGCTGTTTGTTAGCAAAGGGGCGTTACATTCACCTCGATTTGCCCCTGGGATACACAACGGCCGGCGCCTCTGTTACACGCACATTACTCGTCGCGTTGGTGGGAATTTCGCTGATGCCGGTGACTTGTGTTTCCTTCGCCATCGTCAAATTTATCATGCGACAGCATATCAACTACCAGGGAACCTTCCCTTGAGCAGCACGCCAACCTCGGATGGGTCTCCCCACCTCCGAGGCCATGACTCGCTGAGCTGAGGACTCCGCGTTGCCGCGTCCTGTCTGTTCAATAAAAAAACGACGGGACACGCCGGCACGTCACGATCGTGGATCGCGAGGTGAGCGCGGCTTCAGTTCCACCGCATTTGCCGGCTCTGTTCAGTGTCTTCCAGTCCTAGACGTTCGAGCGTCGCCACCGACCCTCCCAGCTGCAACCGGCTGTCACACGCGGAGGTAGACTATCGACGAGGAACTCAAGCTCACACAACCTCGGACCGTTGGTCGCTTTTTCTTCTTTCCCGCGAAACCTACACACCATGTGACTTCGTCTACGTGCTTGACTCGACCCTCCTTTCGTCTGTAAAGATCAATTACCTAGGTAGTCTGTACCTTGCCTAAGGTGCGAGCATTGCCTTAGCCTGCTGTAGATAGGTAGTTGCTACGGTTAGCTAGCGCAGGATCGAGGCTTGCTTCCGCACCGTGATTCTGTTGCGGGCAGTGCTTGGCTTCCTGCTGGGAAGCTTGGGTTCGCGGTTAGGTTCAACTTGACGTTATCGCTGAAGAATCGAGAATTAAAATGAATCCAACCAATGGAGTGTGCGGAATGGAGTCTGCGTGCCCTGGCGGCCGGCAGTGGAGCAATCCCGGTCCGGACCTCACTGACCGCTTGCCCGCCCTCTTGCCCGCCCTCTCTCGCAGTGCCAGGCCCGCCCGCCATGCCCGTTTCTCCAAGCTCCCCCGTAATCTTACGAGGCTGCTGCCGCTTTCATGCTTGCATCAAAACCTCCAGTCCCCTTTAATTCGCGAACCTGGACCCATCTCCTTTTCCATCTCAATTGCTGCGCTACCGCTCCCTGCTCACAACCAAACTGGCATTCTTCCTCCGTCATACCTAACCCCCGGTCTAGGTTTTGTTTGTTTGTGCAGAAACAGATCCCCTCTCCCACGAGGGCCACCCGGCCTCGAGAGATCGATCGCTTCTTCATTCGTCATCAGCTCCCGCTCTTTTCCTCCGCCGAAGCCCCATTTACTGGGTTCCCGCTTCCCCATCCGCTCTCTCCCCGACTCCACTCCTGAGTCCTCGCTGCGCGCTTTCACATCGCCGGTGATCTGCAGCGTGCGATAACGGGAAGAAGCGGTCGGTTGCAAAGCCTTCTCTTCTTGAGGCCGTTCACGAGCATAGCCATCATCTATCTTGCTCTCGTTCAGGAGCCCGTAGTTGAAAATGGTGCTTGGAACCATCAAGTGCGTTCTACCCTCCCTCCACCGCCGTCAAGATTCAGCGAGCACTTCCCAAGTTGCATTGTCTGGAGTCTGCCATGCAGCACGCCACCTGGCCGCAGCCTCATGCGTTGCTGTCTTGGGTACCGCCCCTAGACCTGACGCGTTCTTATTGCTTCGACGCTGCCAGAAGCTTTTCTTGAGCAGCTGAGCGTGCCGCTGACCATCTATTTGCTTAGGTGCGTGGTCGTCGGTGACGGTGCGGTCGGCAAGACGTGTCTTCTCATCAGCTACACGACAAACAAGTTCCCCTCGGAATATGTGCCCACGGTTTTCGATAACTATGCCGTCACGGTTATGTACGTCGAGCACAGCCCCGCGGCCCCCCTATCCCGTACCACTCAGCAACCCTGCTAAACAGACCCTCCTAGGATTGGTGACGAGCCCTACACGCTGGGATTGTTTGATACCGCTGGACAGGAAGATTACGACCGCCTGCGTCCGCTCTCGTACCCTCAGACGGATGTCTTCCTCGTCTGCTTCAGCGTCACGTCTCCCGCCTCGTTCGAAAACGTCCGTGAGAAGTGGTTTCCTGAGGTGCATCACCACTGCCCCGGCGTGCCGTGCTTGATTGTCGGCACTCAGGTAGATCTGCGGGAAGACCAGCAGGTGGTGGCGAAGCTAGCCAAGCAGAAGATGAAACCGGTACAGAGGGAGGATGGTGAACGAATGGCGAGGGAGCTCGGGGCGGTCAAATACGTCGAGTGTAGTGCTCTGACGCAGTACAAGCTCAAAGATGTCTTTGATGAGGTGCGTAAACCGACAATCGTGCACCAACCGCGCGAGCGCGGCCGGCATTGGTTGGGCTGACTAACAAAATACTAGGCTATTGTTGCTGCACTTGAACCGCCTCCGCCGAAGAAAACCAAAAGCCACAGATGCCAGATTCTCTGATCAAGGCTCTCCTAGCGCATGTTGGTATAGTCGTCTGACCGATCGCACGGAGCCATGGGAAGCGGCATATCAGGAAGAGCGAATTTGGACAGCTATATATCCGGTCCTATTTCGGCCAGCCCGTAGACCGCAGGTTGAGTTGTCCGGAGCGAGCGCACCACGGCTAAACAGCGATGGCCCAATGCCCACAATTGGGGAGGAATATGGATCGGTCGACGTCAGGGTATCTCCAGGCCCCCGCCCTTTCCGAACCTGCCTTTCCCTCGTCGGAGGTACTGTGCGATTGGGAAAGACGTTGGGCTTGCTCTCCGTCGCGAGGGGCTGGGTTTGGTTCGATCGAGTCTTTATTGTCCTGTCCCGGAGCCCGTCAAGTCCAGACCATTCACGTTGGTATTTCCGCTTGGTCTGTAAGCGCAGTCTTTTGCCTTCCTTGATTCTATGTCCATTGTCAATGGGCGGCAGTTCATAAACCGAGGCAGGAAGCTTTCTATTTTGATAGGACAGTTTGGCGACTGGAGTGCAATTGAATCAAGATCCCCTTTCCCTTCCCCTTTCTCTGAATTGTCCGCAGTTCGTACCTCAGTCTATTCTATACCGAGCTGCGCTCTCAAAAATAACCAGCCCAGTTCAATCAACCATCAAACATATCAAGAAAACACTGAAACCGCCTGGCGACCAGGGAGATTAGTCGGTCGGGGGTAGGCCCAACAGAAGCGAGACTAGTAGGGGGACGGTATAATCCCGTAGGGGGACGGTATCACGTGGGTATCTAACCATATCTAGAAGCCCTGCCACCTGCACTAGTGACACACCAAAATTAGGCTGGCACCCTGGATCGCACGCGTCGTGTAAGTCAACACTACGCGATAATATTGTCAGCGGTAGTCTCAGGTGCTCAGACCAGCTGTGGCGCGGTGATGTACCGCAGGGACCCACTACCGTGCTCAGGCAATTCCAACCAATCAGAACCCCCGTACAACACCAGCGCCAGCTGGTCTGAGGGAACTTTTTCGCGGCTTTTGTCACCAAGGAAGACCTACCTACTACGTTTAATTCCACCATCACCAATACTATACGTATATATAGGAGATAGGTATAGTTCGAATCGGAAGACCTGAAGATTACTGCATATATAATTGCACTATTATACGGTACGTGGTTGTTGAGAAAAGTGTCGAAGAAAATAGGTCTTTTTTCAAAAGTATAGGAAGCCACGGCTTCTACCTACTATATTCATTTCTACTACTACTACCATATGCGCACCTATAGAATAGACCTTATTTGAACCGTAGGATCCGGAACATTACTACAAATATGGCTACTGTGACGGTGGAACCCACCGTACCATGGCACAGGCCATTTGATTGGTCAACCTGGTTGGTGCCCCACCTTCCACATCTGGGCACATGCCCCACATCCTGTATTTTAGACTTCTTCGCACCTTGCAGTCTTCGAGGATTCCTTTCCTCCTGCAAGTTCAATATTCTTGCAATGCAGTCAGTTGCCCACCAGAGCCTTGAGCCTGGCCTGCGACGACGGCCCTCGTGACAGCTACACTATTGTATGGTACGTGGTTGTTAAGTAAAGTGTTGAAGAAGGTAGGTCTTCAAAGGTGAAAATCGTACGTTTCTACCACAACACCTCTATACCAAGCCAACCTATACAACATATATATCCGACGAATCACCTTCTCTAGGCCGTAATTCCTACCAATTCCTATCCTACTAGCTATCGTAGTTATAATTTTTACATGGGGTAGTCGAACGAAAAGAAGCTTAATGACACTTCTCTTTTACCCCCTCAGAGTTAGAACTTTGTAACTAGTAATCAGAACAGTTCAATATAAATATTATTAGAAAGCCCTACTAATTCCTATCCTTCGCATTAAAGTCGTAGATTCATACTATACTAATTGGTCTAGAAATAAGTGATTAAAAAAGGTAACTTTTCTATTTTATATGCGGCCCGAATGACATTCCTCCCGAAAATGTTCACAACGTCCACAGACTTTACTCAGTGCGCGTTTGGGGTGGGTCCGGTGGTACATGTGCACGGTCCCTATGGCTGTGCAGCGGCGGCCCACACCGCCCCGCCCCGCCAGCCGCTTGCGGCTGGCGCGGCGCACGAGAGTGAAGTCTGTGCCTCAGAGACTAGGCACCCAAAGATACAAACTCAAAGATCGCAGTCTGAAGCTGACCCCTTGCGCACAATGACAATCAATTGCTTCGCGCAGATAAGAGAATGCTTCTCCAGTTGACTCGCCAAGTACAAAATACTAAGTACTAGTACCTGCCCCGACAACATCCACATCGAAGGCGACGGGACCACTGAGACTGGGAGACATGGGCAGATGCTGGGCAATCGTCTCGAGGACGAGACCGCCGGTTGTCCTAGAGCCGTTGCAGATAGCACGATAGACAGTTTAATTATGCAGAATCGCAGACCGTTTCATAAAGATAAAAACATGGGTACAATTCTTATCTCGGACACATCGAGTTTGAGGGCACCGTGAGTCATGGTCGCGCGTTTTAAGTTAACGTTAGGCACAAAACGGCGAGTTCGCTCAATTGCCCCGCCAACTTTTCCTTCCCTCAAATTGACCCCACCAAACAGTGACTGCTCCCTTCACGGCAATCCCTCCTTCCACACCACAACCTGCGATTGACTTCGCAGAAGTGCAAGGCAAGATGGCCGCGGCGCAGGATCTCGCCGACCGCACCAAGAGCGACGCCAAATGCTACATTGACCCGGCAGTGGGCAAAGACGACGAGACCGCGGACGGCTCCGAGGCGAAGCCCTATCAGTCGCTCTACTATGCCCTGGTCCAGCACCTCGACAAGCCGGCGCCGGCATACCTCACACGCCCAGCCGCGCCGAAGGAGGACGGCACTGGTCCCGCGTGGGAAGAGCCCGCCAAGAGCGCCATGAAGAAGGCGACTGGCCGCGTCGACGCGTATAAGAAGAAGCTGGCCAAGGAGCAGGCCTCGGCCCGGCAGGAGGAGGAGGAGCGCAAGCAGCGGCTCAAGAACCTCGAGGACGCCAGGAAGATCGTGCTAAAGGAGGACCCCTCGCTCCCGCCCGCCGTGCGCATCAAGCTCAACAATAAGAGCGTCGAGCTCGGCGACGGTGCTAGCAAGAAGGGCACGCGCGTCAAGGTGTACGGCCGCATCCACGAGCTCCGGGTGCAGAAGACGACGACCTTCATCACGCTCAAGGATGGCTACGGGTACCTGCAGTGCATCCTGCAGGCCGGGGACTTGACCAAGAACTACGATGCGCTGATGTTTGCGATCGAGACGGCGCTCGTCCTCTACGGCGAGATGCGCAGCGTGCCGGCGGGTGCCAAGGCACCCGACAACCGCGAGCTGCACGTCGATTACTACAAGGTGCTGGGCGCGGCGCCGAGCGACCTAGATGCCATCACCAACAAGGTGTCGATGCAGCAGGACCCGTGGGATGCGCAGATGCTGGATAACAGGCACCTGGTGCTGCGCGGCGAGAACGCCTCAGCCGTGATGAAGCTGCGCGAGTTTGTCGAGCTGGCGTTTATCGACACGTATCGCGAGATGGAGTTCCGCAAGGTGTCACCGCCGGCCATGGTGCAGACGCAGGTCGAGGGCGGCGCCACGCTGTTCAAGTACGATTACTACGGGGAGGAGGCCTACCTGACACAGTCGTCGCAGCTGTATCTGGAGACAGTGATGCAATCGCTGGGAAATGTGTACTGCATTGAGAAGTCGTTCCGGGCGGAGAAGAGCCTGACGAGGCGACATCTCTCGGAGGTAGGCACTAGGCAGACAGCACTGACAGGAAGGATGGGCTGACCAGCGCGAAGTACACCCACATCGAAGGCGAACTCGACTTCATCGACTTCGACGAGCTGCTCGAACACCTTGAGGAGCTCATCTCGCGTGTCGTCGACAAGGTGTTGGCGGACGAGACCATGTCGGGATACATGAAGCACCTGAACCCCAACTTCCAGAAGCCGTCGCGACCATTCCTGCGCATGAAGTATGCGGATGCGATCGAGTGGCTCAACAAGCAGGACCCGCCCATCCTCAACGAGGAGGGCAAGCCGCACGTGTTTGGCGACGATATCGCCGAGGCGGCCGAGCGCAGGATGACGGATATCATCAACCGGCCAATTTTCCTCACGCACTTCCCCGTCGAGATCAAGGCCTTCTACATGAAGAAAGACCCCAACGACCGGCGGGTGACCGAGTCTGTCGATGTGCTAAGTACGTCGTTCCCACCCTTTTGTCGACGAGGAGATAACCACTGACTCGGTGTAGTGCCCGGCGTTGGCGAGATCGTCGGTGGGTCCATGAGAATGGACGACTACGACGAGCTGATCGAGGCCTACAAGAAGAACGGCATCCCGCATGAGCCGTACTACTGGTACACTGACCAGCGGAAGTGCGTCTCTTGTTTCCCTGTCCTGTCTTCACCAACATCCCCTCTCAGTCTCTGCCCCGCCATCGCCTTTTGCTGTGACTGACGTGGCTTCCTCCCATAGGTATGGCTCCTCGCCGCACGGTGGATACGGTCTCGGCCTGGAGCGCTTCCTGGCTTGGATGGCCAACCAACATACCGTCCGGACATGTAGCTTGTATCCGCGCTTTATGGGGCGGTGCAAGCCTTGATGGATGAAACGGTGTGAAGCTGGAGGCGGAGAGCGTGGAGTTTTGGGAGCGGCGGTCATTGCTTGGTTTGACCGGCTTATCAACCGGGGTCAAATCCGAAGGGCAGTCATGTTAGTTTTGAAGCTAGACATTAACCCACCCCCCCCCCCCCCCCCCCCCCCCAGGACATTATACATAGACTTGCTTGCTTGCAGATAAAGATTTTTGGAAGGACCTGCTGCATATTGGGGATCGTGATATACAGTTGTGGCTATTGTTGTTTTCTCGCGTGAGTGGGACGTTAGAGGAGGAGAACTAGGGGTTCGAGGCCCATTTAGAGTCTTAGACCAATTCGGTCCCATCAGAGGATTCTGGCGCTGCAACTTTACAACAACGCTGTGTTGCATCGTGTGTGTGTGGGGGGTGACCGCGGCTAGACCAGAAGCTCAATGGGCCTGTTTGCGGCGTTGCGTGGTGCGGCGGTTGCGGCGGCCGGCGGCTGCTACCTAAGGTACTGTAAGTAAGCACTGTGGTAAGCTTGTGATCCCTCGACGATCCGTCGCGCGGCCGAGCCGCATCCCCGGGTCGTGTTTGTGCTGCGTGGATCTGTGAATCCTACTGCGGGATGTGCAACGTGTGTTTCCACGTAGGTAGGTGTGTAAGCACTAGTAATGATCAATGCCAGTGTGACCTGCTACCGTATACCTTATGTTTGGTAAGGAGTACTAGTATTGGTGGGCTCTTCCGATGGTAATCTAGGAAGGAGCATTGTCTTTGTTCCTGATTTCACTCTCAAGCTCGTGATGTCTGGATCGTGTTCTGAGATCTGAATGGCCGTTTTTGACTGTTGGCTCCCAACCGAGCCATCTTGGGGGGTCTCACTGCCTCGACCAGGGAAGCCAGCCTTATGCAGATCAGTCGTTTTTGGTAAGTCATCACAGCATCCCCTGAGAAGCGGTTGTGAAAAGGGGAGTGTGCGGCCTGGGTGTTTACACTGTGCCGCTGCTTTGCAAGCCAACGGCGGATTTCTCATGCTGTGTGAGGAATGGAAGCGCCGGTTTGTAGTACCCAACATATATAGGTGCGAGAGCTAATAGTTAAGCGCTTCTGTTGAGGTTGCACCTATTTTCAGTTCAGTTCATTTGGTTTGTTTTTATTTTTTTTTCTTATTTTTTTATGAGTACCTAAGTAGTAGGTTAGTAGGTACGTGTAGCTTACCATGGTAGTACTATTCATCAGTTGGTTCAGGGCTGCAGCTCAAGCACTGTATGCTGCACCCCTAGGCACGGGTCGGAAACATCAGGGTTCGACGACCATGCTGCCATTAGTGTAGGACATGTTTCACAACTTTTGCTACCGGCCTTATTACGCATTCCCAGTCGGAAATTGGTAGGGTGAGTTCAGCATGCAGTACGGGAACTGCCGTCAGATACCCGCAGTATCGGTACGGAGACGGGGTGCCTGGCAACCCCTTGGCAACGTCGCGACAGACATACCACTAGGTTACCTACTCATAAGGATCAATTGTGAGCAATCGGAAGAATGTGGTTTCAATTGCATCTTGCAACGTCCTGGTGCTGGGGAACAGAGCCGCTTCGGGCCATACAGGCTAGTACGGTAAAGTTGTTGCACAAATCAATCCAGATTGGCCAGGGTTTATCGATCCGTATTACGACCCCTTTCACGTTCACCCTCCGCCATGACGGTTATGAAAATGGCACCCGCTGATTGGCTGAGCCGTCGAAGTAGGTACCCGCTGTTAGGTTCCTCGCTCGGTTAAGACACGCCCAGAACCTCCACCATGCGACTTGAACGCAAGGTACCGCGTGAGACGGTCACAGCTCCCTGCCAGGTGCAATTAAAACGGCTTTGGCTCATCCACACCAATTCGGCTGGCGCTCGGCCCCAGTCTTTCACCTCCTTTTTTTTCCCTTTCCCTTTTCCTCTGCTCCCGCACCACCGTTCGTTGGACTTTGTTGCCGTGTTCGTCCGACTTCTACCTCGACGACCTCCCTTTCCTTCCTTCATTCTTTATAGATATTAATTCTTAGGTGCAGAATCCGGGGACCACGCTGTTCGACGCGACCGCCCAATTCTCTGGTCCCCTAACACGAACGAGGGCTCGTGTGCCCGACGTTGATTCTTGCACCTTCGCGACACTCACTTGAGAACCGCTCGCTCGACTTACCGGTAAAAATTTAATACTCGACATCGTTCTTTGTCCAGAATCGCCAGACGAGGTCTCCCGCCAACCATTGTCGACCTCGGCCACTCTTGTCGATTGTCCTTTGCTCGAAAGAGGCGCTTGCTCCTGAAAGAGACCACATTGGACTATCGAGCATTTCTTTGGAACCAAGCCCCAGTCACCGCACTTACCCAAAGCGTCTCTCGGGGTGTTTACTCGTCAGCCACGGTCAGTCTTCCCAGAATACCTTGACTCAGTGCTTCCACTGGTGAAGGTCGTGGTTTGATCTCGGGCCATTCTTTCGACACAACTTCGACGGCTTTTCTGGCAGAGTGTAGGGTTGAGGATTCGAGACGGCATCAGACGAGCTGTTTGTATACTCTCAAAAGGAATTATCGAGAGTCACTTGTACCTGAGCAACCGTCGGTGCAATTCCAACGCGAATACCTTCTTTCGTGCCTCTGACAGGGCACGTCTAATTCTTCAAAACGGCGGTCCTCTCTCACCAGGCCCGGGACAGTCTTGTCCCTCCGCATCTTCTGGCGATGCAGGATATGTCCGGTTCTCATGCTGGGTCCAATGGCCCTGGCCGCTTCGGCCATGCATCCAAGCCGTCCAACAGCGACACGGGGTTTTCTCACGGCGCCTTTACCTCCAACATCTCCGGGTTTGCTGACAGACACCCTCGCCGTGGTAACATTCCTACGATCAACACCCAGCCGATCCAGCACCATCAGCAGGCCCCTACCAATGGCGCTGATCTTACCTCCCCGGGCACTGCTTTCGATATGCAGTTCACCCCTCTGCTTCCCTCCCAGCTTCTTCTCGGAAGCCCCTTCCAGCCCGGAACGCCTGCCGCCTTCGCGAGCCCGCACTTCCAGAACGTGAGCAGCTTCCAGCAGGCCCAGCAGCAGAACCTCCAACAGCAGCAGAATGGTCCGTCGAGCCCGGTCCAGCAGAACATTTCGCCGCAGATGTACCAGTCCATCGTGTCCCCTTCGGCATACGGCGCGCCCCAATTCTACGCGCCGCAGTCTCCGACGGGCTCCTTCAACAACGTTGGCCAGATCCAGGTCCCCGCACAGCCAATGTCGCCAGTTTCCATGGGCCCTGGCATGGTCAGCGGCACCAGCCGGACAGTCTACCTGGGCAACATTCCTCCTGACACGTCGGCCGAGGAAATCCTGGGACACGTGCGCAGCGGTCAGATTGAGTCGGTCCGCCTCCTCCCAGACAAGAACTGCGCTTTCATTTCGTTCTTGGACGCGAGCTCCGCTACTCATTTCCACTCTGATGCCATCTTGAAAAAGCTCTGCATCAAGGGTCAGGATATCAAGATCGGATGGGGCAAGCCCTCGCAAGTCCCGACTTCTGTTGCTCTGGCTGTTCAGCAGTCTGGTGCGTCTCGGAACGTGTACCTCGGGAACCTGCCCGAGGACATCACCGAGGAGGAGCTGCGGGAGGATTTGGGCAAGTTTGGCGCGATCGACACGGTGAAGATCGTGCGCGAGAAGAATATTGCTTTCGTGCACTTCCTCTCCATCGCCAATGCGATCAAGGCCGTCTCCCAGCTTCCGCAGGAGCCCAAGTGGCAAGCGCCCCGCCGAGTCTACTACGGCAAGGACCGCTGTGCGTACGTATCCAAGACCCAGCAGCAGAACGCCGCCCAGTATCTTGGTATTGCCCCGGGCTACGCGCATATGTTGACTGGCGCCGATCGTGATCTCATCTCGAACGCTCTGGCTCAGCAGTCGGTCGCTGCCGCTGCCGTGGCCACCACCGCTGGTGGCATTGGCAACCTGGGTAATCGGACCATTTACCTGGGCAACATCCACCCAGAAACCACGATCGAGGAGATTTGCAATGTCGTCCGCGGTGGGCTTCTGCACCACATTCGTTATATCCCTGACAAGCACATCTGCTTTGTAACGTTCATCGACCCCACGGCTGCGGCATCCTTCTATGCTCTGAGCAATTTGCAAGGGCTGATGATCCACAACCGCCGGCTGAAGATTGGCTGGGGCAAGCACTCGGGCGCTCTCCCGCCTGCGATTGCCCTCGCCGTCAGCGGCGGCGCCTCGCGGAATGTGTATATCGGAAACCTCGACGAGACGTGGACGGAGGATCGGCTGAGGCAAGATTTCTCTGAGTATGGCGAGATCGAGTTGGTGAACACGCTGCGGGAGAAGAGCTGTGCCTTTGTGAACTTCACCAACATCGCCAACGCCATCAAGGCGATTGAGGCCGTCAGGGGCAAAGAGGAGTACAAGAAGTTCAAGGTGAACTTCGGCAAGGACCGCTGCGGCAACCCGCCCCGGCAGCTGCAGCAGTCTCCGCGTGGGGAGCAGGTGTCTTCGCCGCCCCCAAATGGCGCGAGCCACAACGGCAACTCGCCCACTGGCGCTGCCGCCACCGCTGCTGCGTTGTTTAACACGACCAACAACCCGCTAACGATGTATCTGAACCACATTTCCCAGCAGGCGCAGCAACAGCAGCAACAACAACACCAGGTCCTGGCTGCTCAACAGGCCGCGCTGTTTGGCACCGCTGCATCGTCGCCGAACGAGCCCGGCCTCACTCTCGAGGTTCCCCAGGGCCCCATCTCTGGCCACCAGCAGTCAGCCAGCATCTCTAATGGCTACGTCACGAACCCGTCGACCTCGGGCGCTACCACTATTGGAGGCCTGCTCGCACCAGGCAGTTCACGTGCCTCGCACAGCCGGGCCGTGAGCCTGCCAGTCTTCGCTCCTTTTGAAAACGGAAACAGCACTCCGAATAGCCTCCACGGTAGCAACGGAGGTGCCGACGAGGGGCGGCGTGGACATCAGTACCAGGCCAGCTACGGCGGCATCGGCACGGGTTTCGGCCTGGCCATCCAGGGCAACCTCAACGGCTGGGTTGAGGAGGAAGTCGCGAACTGAGTCTCTTTCCCAACTTTGCCAATCGACCGGGGACGGCGGATCGAGACGGGGAACAAATTGAGTATTCTGTTGTAATCGTTTTGGTTTAGCTGAATCTGGGCGCTGCTTTTGACTTTATCTTGTCACCCGCTATTTCTCTTCGACCAGTTCGCTCCTTGTAATAGCACACACCCTTTCACTTGTATCATGTTGGATTTTTGCTGTTTGATTTTTCTGCTTCGCTTAATCCCGAATGGCCGTCCCCGTTCAGTGGGGAAAGAGATGTCACATAACCACTTAGGGGATATGTGGTGGAAATTATCTACCTTAGGTGGTGTGGTAAAGGAGAGAGACGGGGTGGGAGGCATTTGGCATAGTAGTAAACAGGAAAGGGGGTCATAGGGAGGAAGCACGGAAGGGAATCGTCATTGTATAGGTCGGATGGGTCGAGGGTCTAGCATGGTTCACACCGAGTGGTTAGTTGGAAAGAAGCGGAAAACTAGTCTAATCTCGACTGCGCCAACCTACAATGCTGATGCATGAAGAAGTGAAGAAGTGCGTTAGCGTGATACCGAATGACATTGACATGAAAGAGAAAGAACGTCGCACGCTGTATATGAACTGGAGTAGTCGCATTAGAGAACTGCACGAGAGATTTAACTCCGCTCACAGCCTGGTCACAGTATGGCCAGTAGCAGCACTGAGCCACACAAAATGCGCTGAGCTTGATGCCAACTTGGTGTGGAGAATGAAGACAAATTGCCTGGACCCTTCGAACGTGAATTCTGAATACCTTGAGATAACCCTAACCCGTGATACCATGTCTGCAGTGCTGCACCCCACGATTGACCTCGGGCTCTCATCCCGAACGCGTCGTTGCCGCGGTTGTAGCTCAAACCAAGAAAGCAAGTTCACCATGGCGTCAAGATCTGACACAGAGCTCTTGACAGAACACTTTGGTTACCCGCCAGTGGTATGCAATCAAATCCAACCCCTCCTCTCCCCCTCTTAACATCTGACCCAAAACTAACAACCTGGAATTTACAGAGCCTCCTCGACGAGATCATCAACGCAATCAACTTCCTCGCCGAACGCGCCCTGCACTCGATCGAGCAGGGTCTGCTCAACGCGCCGCCCGCGTCGCTGGGGTTCCGCCCGTCCAAGTACCGCTCCAATGGCAGTACCAGCAATACTACCGACCAGAACAACAACAATAGCAACAACGGTGACCACCACCGGGGTGGGGAGGACGAAGATGATGACGACCCGGCGCGCAGGCACCGCGACGAGGTCGAGTCGGGCACGCACCAGCTCGAGACGCTCCTCTGGGCGAGCATCGACAAGAACTTTGACCGCTTCGAGATCTATGTCATGCGCAACATCCTGTGCCTGAGGCCCGTCGAGATGCAGTGGATCCGGCTGGGGCACTATGAGGGGCTGGACTTTGCTCCTTTCTTTTCTTCTACCGTAGAGCAGAATGATGGAGTAGGAGGAGGAGGAGAAGAAGAAGAAGGGAATGCGCCGCCCGGTGCGCGGGTGGAGAGTGTCAACCGGCTTAGAAGGAAGCTACAGGCGAGTCAGCGGCTGCATGGTATGCTGGTCGCGGAGCGGGCGCGGAATGCGGCCTTGTTGGGAGAGATGAGGAGGTTGATTGGCGGTGCGGTGCCGGGGGTCAAGAGCGAGACCGGTTCGTCTTTGGCTTCTTCCAGTGGTGGACAGCAGCAGCAGCAAGGGGGAAGGGAAGAGCAGCAGAGCCAGACGAAACCGCCGCTCCGGTTCTTGCATGAGAAGGGCCACCTCGCCGAAGGCGATGCCGAGACGCCGCTCACGACCACGACGGCGTTTACGCTGTCGCAGTTGCAGTCGCTCAGGGCGCTGTCGGCGGTGTTGAGGGCAGCGATGCCCGGTTTGGCCGCCGCGGGAGGAGAGGAGGTTGACGAGGAGAGAGAGGGTAGCGACAAGGGTGGGAAGAAGAGCTGGCGGCGGGAGAGGTTGGAGTATGTGGAGATGGCGACAAGGAAGCATCTGGAGAATGTGCGCGGGCTGGAGCTGGGTAAGAACGGCGAGGTGAGGGACGGCGAGTGGGATGGCGGTGGGCGGAATCTGGCCAAGGGTGAGGTCGAGAGCCTGGAGAGGGTGGTGAGCATCCTTGGAGGGAGTAGGGACGAGCAGGGCAGGATGGACGAGTCATGACCACCGCGAGTTCACCTTTTATTCGGTAACGGGGGCGGGGGGCGTTTCAGGCACATCGGCGTACGGTTTGCCGGCTTGTGATGATACCACATGGGGAACGACTCCGTATAACTATGATGAGTGATGGGATTGCTTTTTCAAGACGCTTCTTCTCTACGCTTTATGACCTTCAAAGTGTATCCGGACTTCACGCAGACATGCTGTAACAAGGACATTTATGTTTCCACCGGCTGCGCAGTGGGGGCCTCGGCTGCCTCCGTCCCCTTCACTCCGTCAGCTGGCTCCAACCTCGGCTCCTCCGCATCCTTCGGGTCTTGTTCCTCAACCTTCGTCTCGACATCGTCATCAATAGGAGCCAAGATCGGCTGCGCGGCCTTCGGCACCTTGGACGGATCCAGGAAGCCTTCGGGCACACCGCGGGCGGCATAGTCCCCCCTCCCAACCCAGGCGCCGATCAGGCGGCTCCATTTGTAGTCGCCGCGGTGGACGCGCTGGATCTCGCGGTAGGCATAGCTGTTGTAGTACGGCAGCCCCGTCTTAGGGTCTCGATACTTGGCGGGGAGGTTGGTGATTACGCAGAGCGGAGGATGGGCGGGCTCTGCGCGATGTTAGTGGCAACATAAGGCTGGTGGCACTTAGAAGAGACACTTACTCGCGAGTTTGTTCATCCTCCTGCCGAATAGAATCTGCGTCTGCACCTGCTTGTCCTTGATGGCGTGGTCGTCGAAGTTCTGGAGGATGATGCAGCTGCGCGTTACCTTGCTTTCACGGGGAGGCTCGGCCGCTGACGGGGGTGCTTCTTGTGGCGTGTCTGGCGGTTTTGCAGAAGGCGGATGTACTTTTGTGTTGGGCGTCTGTAAGGGGTTGATCGTAGGGGTCGAAGGTAGCGGCGGTGGTGGAATGGTAGCTTTGGAATTCGGAGTAGACGCCATTGGTGCCGCAACGATTGGCGGAGCTGGGGAAGGAATGGCGGAAGATGGTGTAGCCGGAGGCATGGACAAAGGCGAGCCGGTGTGTGCAGCATTCGGGGCCGCGAGTACGGATTTCGTTCCGGCGTGATATCCCAGCATGGACATCTGCCCGCCCAGCGTAGGCGGGGCCATGCCAGCTGGCGGAGCTAGAACAGGTGCAGCGAGTACCCCCGAGCTCCCTGCTCTCGTGTCTGGCGGCGGAGGTATGGGGGGAGGGGCCATGGGGGTTGGTGCCGGCGCCGGCGCCGGCGCTGTTACCTCGGGCGATGTCTTCTGACCGGAATCACTAGCAGCGACAGCCTGAGGTAAGCGTTGCGTGTCTGATGGACCTGGTGTATCGGGCTGCTCTGACTTGAGCCCTGGTGGTTCGACGGTATTTGCGCCCGATGTTTCTCCCGGCGTGGCGGGCGTGGATGGCCCCGTCTCGGCCTCTTTCGCAGCCAAAGCAGCCGCAGCAGACTGTCGCTTCTTCCTGGGCGCCTTCTCCTCCATCGAGACCAGGTTGCCGACGTGTTTGCTCTGGCCCTCTTGCAACTCCTGGATGCCGCTCCAAAACGTCACAACCGGCCCGTCGAGCTTTCGGCCCTTCAGCGCGGCGATCTTCCTCATGCGCTCCTCTTCCCTCTGCTTCTCGGCCTCCTCCCATCGGTTCAAGCTTTTCAGATTCCTCTTCTCGACTACGGCCGCCTCGGCGAGACGCTCTTCCTGTGTCATTGGTGGCTTCTTCATGGCTTCCAGCATCTTAGCCTTCTTCTCCATTTTCTCCAGCTGCTTCCTCCGTCTGAGCTCGTCGGAGACCATCTTCTGGTGGAGCTGCTGTTTGCTTATCCGGGTCGTATGGCGCTCCGAGGCGCGCGTCGGCATGTCCGCTGGGGACGGCAGCCAGCTTGTCCTCTCCGACTTCTTCTTAGGTCGCGGTGGTCGGGCAGCGGGTTGCTCAATACGGACCTTCTTCCTGAACTTGGCGGGGATGGCTTCTTGGGCTTTGCGTTTGCGCTCCGCTATGCGTTTCTCCCGCGCCTGTCGCAGCAGCTCTTTTTCTCCCTCCAGGTCGTCGCCATTGTCTTCCTTGTCTTCGTCGTCTGAAGACGAGTCCATCTGAACGTCGGACGCGTCAGCTTGATCGTCGTCGCTGAAGCCTGCATCGTCGTCGTCTTCGGCAAAGAGTAGCTCGAGCTCGTCATCCTCGGCGGCTGGCTTTTCATTGGCGAGCATCGACCTCATCCGGTTCCCGGCCGTCGACCGTCTTGCGCGCGACGTAGCGAGCCACTCGACCTGTGCAGGCGTCGCTGCGTCGGTTTCGGCATCGCTGCTACTGGTGCTCTGGATGTCGGACAGATCGTCTAACGGCGAGGTTTCCCTCTCGTCTTCTTTGGCTGCCATGATGTCTGGTCTCCCACCTTGTTCGAGTCTTGTGAGGGTTGCGGTGGCATTCGGATGCCACGACGGAGGAACGCGCGAGCCGGCAGGTTCACGGCGCCAAAAGTTACAACATGTCGCGGAACGTTAGCTCGACGCAAGTGGGGACTGTTTTGCGGGATCGCAGGGCAGGGCCGCAGGGGTTGTGGCAGGACCCATGCTCTCGGGAGTTTCCTGCCGCTCTGGCTGGTTCTGTGGTTCAATGCTCGATTGCGCCATCGCCGGGATGCCCAAGAGGACCCCACTTCCCCGGCTTCCCGCCGAACCATCTCGACTTTTGACGGCCGAATCGGCCCATTGCTGCTGCACCTTTCTTCCGAAGCGGCCAGGAGAAGGAGTATTACACTTTTCGTGCTGCTCTTTTTTTGCTGTGACTAACTTCAGACTACAATTCCACATATCTCAAGCAGCGCACACCGTTTTTGCGCCATGTTCCGCCACAGCGCCCGCACCTTCGCGACAAGCGCCCGGCGCGTGGCCGCTGCGGCCGCCACCGAACCGTCCCAGCACCTAATCGCCGTGGCCAAGGCGCAAGGAATTGCCAAGGGGCTGACAGGAGGTAGTTACCCTCATCAAGCCGCAATGTTCTCTGCCAGACAGGCCGATCCACTAACGCCCTCGCCGCAGCCATCGGCAACACCCCTCTCATCCGCCTGAACCGCCTCTCAGAGCAAACAGGCTGCGAGGTTCTGGGCAAAGCCGAGTTCATGAACCCCGGCGGATCCGTCAAGGACCGCGCAGCGCTGTACGTGGTGAAGGACGCCGAGGAGCGCGGGCTGCTGCGGCCGGGCGGGACCGTGGTGGAGGGGACGGCGGGCAACACGGGGATCGGGCTAGCGCACGTGTGCCGCAGCAAGGGCTACAAGCTGGTCATCTACATGCCGGACACGCAGTCGCAGGGCAAGATCGACCTGCTGCGCCTGCTGGGCGCCGAGGTGTACCCGGTCCCCGCCGTCGCGTTCGACAACCCACAGAACTACAACCACCAGGCCAAGCGGCACGCCGAGCGCCTAGACAACGCCGTGTGGACGAACCAGTTCGACAACACGGCGAATCGCAGGGCGCACATCGAGACCACCGGGCCGGAGATCTGGCACCAGACCGGAGGCAAAATCGACGCCTTCACCTGCGCGACGGGCACGGCGGGGACGTTGGCCGGGATTACGCGGTACCTGAAGGACGTGTCGGGCGGGCGGGTCAAGAGCTTCCTGGCGGACCCGCCGGGGAGCGTGCTGCACTCGTACATCAGCTCCGGCGGCAAGCTGATCGAGCGGACCGGGTCGAGTATCACCGAGGGGATCGGGCAGGGGCGGATCACGGAGAACTTGAAGCCGGATGTGGAGCTGCTGGATGGGTCGCTGCACATCAGCGACGAGAAGAGCATCGAGATGGTGTACAGGTGCCTGGATGAGGAAGGCTTGTATCTCGGTGCGAGCTCGGCGCTCAACGTGGTCGCGGCGAAGGAGGTGGCCGAAAAGCTGGGCAAGGGGCACACGGTGGTGACCATCCTCGCCGACGGCGCGTACCGGTATGCCGACAGGCTTTTTTCGAGGAAGTGGCTCGAGGCGAAGAACCTGTTGTCGGCCATCCCGGAGCATCTTCAAAAGTACATTGTCCTGCCATAGGCCCGCGACCCCGTTGCACTTTGTTACAGATACATAGATATTTACATGTACATAGCCGTAAGACTTCGCTGTCGATAGATCATACCCCGGCGGTTCTAGTCCTCATGCCTCCTCCTCGGCCTCTCCAGCGTTTGCTTGGGGGTTGAATAATGTATCGTACATGAGCTCGCCCCTTCCTCCCATTTTCCGCTTGTCGGAATTCAGGGCGGCCCGTACCTCAGCCTCGACCGCGTCCGCCCGGTTCTGCAACTGCATCGCCAGGGCGGGGTCCACAACCTGCGTCGCGATCGTCAAGCCGTTTAGCACGGGCGATGCAATCCACAGATATTGGTTGCGGTCCAGCAGGTATTGCATCTTCGTTTTCGATCTGTACGACTCATCCGGCTGGAGGTCCAGGAGGCCCGCGTTTTCAGGCCATAGTGTGACCAGCTCCTCGGCGTACTTTGTCACCTTGCCGGTCTCGTCATGGCCTTCTTGGTGATACACCGCCATCGCGGCCGCCATGTGCAGTCTCGCGGCCAGCATCTGGGGGTCCCGGTAGAAGGGGAACCGGCCTCCGCTCTCCTTGGTTGGCCAATGTTTTTGCTCGCTCTCGAGAATGTTCAGGATCAGCTGGACCTGCTTGAGTGCGGTCTGGGTCTTGGCCTTGTTGAATCCGCTCACAATGGCCGGGTGCTGGATCCAGGTCAGGAGCTCGTTGATCTTTTCCGACGTGTCGAGTTTGAAGCCTGTCCGCGCGACCCCCCTGACGCAATCCAGGATCACCTGGAGACTGCCGTGCATGCTGGCGCGCCGGATCAGCTTGGTCAGAATGTCCGGGTCCACCTGTCGCCGTGCGCGCACGCATCCCTCCAGCAATGGCGGCACGTTCTTGAAGTCGGCCGGCGTCTTCATGCAGTCGAATACCCGCCTGAGCGCCTTCCTCGTGTTGGGCATCTCCGTCATCCTGTCGACGTAGCGGAACTTGTGCACCACCCCGTCGATCTCCATCGTTACTGGGTCGTTCCGGAGTACATCCGCAAGCTTGCGGTCGTGGATCTTTTTCCGCTGCTCCGCAGCCAGGTATGTCGGGAGGAAGACCTTTTGACGCAGTTCGCTAAGGATCTCAGCAAGCTCGGGGTTTGAGGTTTCGCCAAACGTGACGACATGGCCGCCTGGGAGACGAGTGTGTCAGCTGCGTGTGGTTTCCCGTGTGCGTTGATGCGTCCACTTTCCGCCAGACCCAATCGTGGGGAATTACCTGCCTCTAAGAGCCGGGGACATGGACAGGCACCTGGACTGCAGGGCAGCGGCCTTGTTTATTGGTAGCCATGGCCGGCCTCCCAGAACCCGGCGAGCACCGGTGGCTGTTGGTGAGAGCATGGTTGCAGGAGGAGAAGAGGTGGATAGTGGTTGGAAGGGACGACGAGGTCCGATGTGCACCGCGCGACTGAAATTCAAGTCGACGGAAAGACGTCGTCGCCGCGCGGCAGCTGGTTGGTGGGTTCAAAAATAAAGTGGGCCTTTGGCTTGACCACGACGTACCACAGCCAATCGGAGCCAGCGAATCACTTCAAGCGGAGCCTTTGCATCGCACGGAGCCGAAACGTTCGGCCGGACAGCAGCACTCAAACCACATCACCACTTCCTCCTCCAGACCATCGCAATGAACGTCGCGCCACTGGCAAGACGGCCTCTGGGCTGCCTCAAGGCAAGCCTACGCCGGACAAGGCACCAGAAAATGCTGTTCACCCGGCACATGGCAACCGAAGTCACGGCTGCGATACAGACATCAAAACCACGACCACCGCCAAAACACAACTTCTGTACAGTCTCCCCACCCGCCTCATTGAGCTACGAATTTGTGCCGATTACTAACCAAGGCCAATCAGTCGGTCTCACCGACCGCAAAACTAAGAAACTCCGCACCGCCTTCGCCGTCTACCCGACCACGGTGGCCGCCGGGTCCAAGTCGCTGACCCCGCCGCCGGTCAACGCGCTGCAGGCGCTGCACGAGGCGCAGATCAAGAAGATGGACCCGACGGGAGCGCGCACGGCGCTGTTCGCCAAGACGCGCGAGGCGGCCAAACCCGGCGACGTGCTGATGGTGACGCACCGGCGCGGCGGCGAGCCGTTTGCGGGCGTGCTGCTGTCGATCCGGCGGCGGGGCATCGACACGGCGATCCTGCTGCGCAACCACCTGGGGAAAGTGGGCGTCGAGATGTGGTTCAAGGTGTACAACAAGAACGTGGCCGGCATCGAGATCGTCAAGCGGCGGCCCAAGCGGGCACGCCGCGCGCGCCTCACGTACATGCGCAAGCCCAAGCACGATATGGGCAGCGTCGAGGACCTTGTGTTTGCGTGGAAGCGGTCGAGGAAGGTCTTCTCGAGCGGGAAGCCGGCTGCGGGTGCGGCGGGGGCTAAGGGTGGCGCGGCTGCGAAGAAGAAGAAATAGGGGGATTTAAGGTGGGGGGGTTGATTGGTTGGAGGGCATAGGTGGTGATAGGTGGGTGGATGTTTCCCACCATGTACTCATGTAAGCCTTGTATAGAACATATACCTGACGGGGGACAGTAGGATTGGAACTCTTGTCTGTGCAAGTCAGGGATCAGACTAAAAGGGCTATGTGTACTACTGAGTGGTCCCTGAGGCCGGCTCCCCGTGCTAGACTCAGTACCACATTGGTCACGGCAGCACAGGAAGCACTACCGTTCATCGGGGAGCAACAGCGCAAGAGAAGCATGAACCCCTTCGTTCGACACTGGTCCCGGCCATCATATCTTCCCAACGACGCGAGAGCCAGCCTCCTGCTGACCTACAGCCTAAGCATACAACGAAAGCAAACAAAAGTGTCCTTTAGGCACCACGCTCTGTGGATGCTTTGTGTTGACACCCTGGTTTCAAGTTGTGTCTTCTGCTTAGAGCCACTCTCCGCTTGTCACTTCTTGAGAGAGAGAGAAAGATAGAACTTGCTCCGGCTGTAGCTGACCCCAAGCAACCCGAAAGCAGAGAAATACCGGCCAACGTCCCATGACGGTCGTCCAGAAAACGTCCAGAAAATCATCACCCGTATTATCCCCTGGCAACTCGTCCCTGATTGAGACAGCTCTACGAACCCGCACTCGGCTAGGTAATTACCGGGGAGATTCGGAACGTCGTCGGTGAAATTTACATGGTCGTGCGAAGCCGTTGTATTTCCGAGGGGTTAGAGGGACATCTACATAATGTGGAGAGTAGATGTCGCAACCCGGGATTCTTTGGCTGCTTGGACAGCCCCAAATCTACGAAGCCGAAGGACGAGGATGATAATAAGAGGTATTGCGAGAAGGCGAAGCCCCAAGAGGGAGACACGCTCCTTGGCTCATCAACGGGTCGGAACGGCCAAGCCGTTGTAGATTTTGACAAGCGGACGCCGGGGCGGAAGCGCAGGGCGACGGGGTCCGTCGCGCCGCGCGACGAGTACCCCTCGGCGGTATTCCCCCAGCGGAATGAACTAGGTGGAAGATCAAGCGACATGGAACTCTTCGCCTCTCCGGCGCCCGCGACAGGGTTAGAGACATGGATTCTTCGGACGGCACAGAACCAACATCAGGGTCATGGACGCCGTCGTGGCCAACAGTGGTGGGAACTGGAAGAAGGCCGACAGAAGCACAACAGCGAGGTCTGCTTGTCCGGCCGAGTACCTCGCAAAAGATTCCGTCTTCGCTGTGAAGGATGAGCTGGTACTCGTTTTCGACAAACTCGAGAACATACAACCAGTTCAACCGCATTGACATGCTCTTGGACAATCTCGCCTACCCCCAGCGCCCCGATGATCACCAAGACGATCCAGCTCGTGAGGGAGACCGTACGAGACGCGTTTCTGAATGCTTACGTGCTGTACAAAACATCCGTATCGGAATGCGCGCGTCGCGAGACTACGAATCTCCGCACCCGCCTCATGATCTCCTGATTCTGGAGGCCTGAATCGTCAAATTCAAGAGGACAAGGCCGGGTTTGCCGTAAGAGAGATATGTCGGGGATCTGGCGGGACGTTCGAGCAGGGTTTCGAACATGAGTGTCTTCTGTTTTGTAGGGCATAATAGCATTGACAACCTGGGGTATTGCCCTTGGTACCTTCGGACAAAAAGCGGTCTTGTTGATCCCCATGGTCTGTAATTGCCGTCCAGCTCCTATCTACAGGCGCTATACCCTACGGTAACTCGCCGAGTCATGGGAACATAGACGGCGGAAAGGTTTTCGGACATGGCGGAGGAATAGCATGACGGCGGATGGGACCCAAGGTTTGATGAATAGATCACGAAAATGCGATACGGCATATTCCCAACAGGGTTGATATCCGCTGCTGGATGTAGTCGTGGGAAGCTTAGGTAGTGTCTAGAAACTCGGCAGAGTCCGGTGCAGAAACACAAAAGCAAAGGTCCAAGGGGCTTGCCGGCGGTGTGTTGTATTGTACAATTGTACCCATGTGTCTCGGCGGAACTTACGGGCGTCGGACTCTAGTGTATGTGTAACAAAAGTACCATGTCATACAGTGTCTTGCGGCGGTGATGTTATCTCCAGCGGCGATATTCGTGGGTATCGTGAGGCTTAATGGAGGTATGTGTTCCGTATACATTCGAGAAGTGACACCTTGAAACATTGTTAGCAGTGATCTTCCTGTTGACGCCATCGTTAAACTTTGCCAAGGTCTTGGCTGCAGCCTGGTTGGCTGCAGCGCTTGTGACTGCCGACCAGCCGCATCCGATCCTTCGCACCCCTGTTTGTCAGTATCAGAGAGCCAGTGCTCGTCGAACCCGCCCCTACGGTACCGTGACATTTCCTCCGGCGACTTGTCGTGCCGCAATTGTGCAACCACCTATGCTGTGCAACTGGCATAGATACTACCCACCGCTATGCATACAGTACCCCGTTTTCACCCGAGCGGTCCCCGATCAGTGGCCATACAGTCGTAAGGTAGGCATCGATGAACGGCTCAAGGCTGCTCACACCACACCCTGGAATGATACGTGCTCAATAAAAGATGGCAACTTGCATATAGGCTGCATGGCCAATATCCATGTGCATGCAGAACAGCGGTGATGGGAAATGGTTCTCCTCTTGGCACGATAACCGCATCCTGGACCGTGTCTGGTCGAGGTCAGCCTCAGATGTTGTTCATGTGCCCCACGTGCTTCCATTAAGTTGATAGGAGACGTTCCGGAAGCGGATCCATCATCCTTGGAGTTTCGACAGCGAACTTGGAAAGGCGGGATCCACTTCCTGGGTCTCGCCACCGCGGGCTACCCCCGGCTAACGTTGGGTCCAGCTTGGCTTGGCGCACGGCCCTTGTCTTGCTGCTCGGATCTCGCCAACGTTAATTTTGTCCTTTTCCTTGGCGAGGTAACCAAGCACAAGATCTCTTTAATGATCCTGCATTGCGTCGAGTCCTGAACCGGAACATTTGTTCAAGTTCCACGATACTAACACAGATCTCTCCTAATAAACCTTCCGAACCTACTGTATTACACCACATCGCCGAATTCTTTGTCGATTTCTGACTCTCTTTTTACGCGGCGGCTCAGGTTAGTGAGACCCAGCGCGTCTTGCTCTGACCCGACCGCTGTGGCTCGGCCACTTCTTGGCCTCTCGGCTTTCACGCATCATCGCATCATCGCATCATCGCAGCTCCCGCCAATTTCTGGATAAACCATCGCCTGCCGCCTCAGATTCATTTCTTCCCTCTGAGCATCTTCTCTCGTCGCCCGCATTTGCCCGCTTGCTTCTCATCCGATTGTTTCCGCCGTCATGTCTCTGCCGTGCCGGTAGCCCCATTGACTCCTGCTTTGCAGTGAGTACCGCAGCTCTTTCCGGGAGGCCGCCGGTTGGTTGCTTCGTCGAATCTACCGTCGCGCAGTCCTCGGCCTATCTCGGTCCGGTCCGGTCCTTGGTGTTCCCAGCACGGCTTGCTCGCTAGACATCCGCGATGGACGGCTTCAGACACTTGGTTGTCGACCAGATAAAGGCTCTGCGGCCTTCGTTCATCTCCAAAAAGCCACATTTTAACTTTATCTCCGCCCATTGTAAGTAACACCGCGAGTGGACACAACTTCTCGCTAACGTTGCTCTCAGATTTCTACATCATCAGCCTCGCGATTCTCGGATCTGTCATAGTCTTCGGCTCGGGCAAGGGGAATGTGGCTTATATCGATGCGCTTTTCCTCGCCAGCTGCGCCAGTACCCAGGCCGGCCTGAACACGGTCGACCTCAACTTGCTCAACACGTTCCAGCAGATTGTGTTATATCTGTGGCCTATGCTGACGAATCCCATCACCATCAACTCCTTCGTCGTGTTCCTGCGGCTCTATTGGTTCGAAAAGCGCTTCCAGCATATCGTCCGCGAATCTCGCCAGAGACGAGGCACCATCTCCAAGTCCAAGACGAGGTCGAAACCCGACGACGAGGATGTCGAGAGGGGGGTAAATGGTCGGAAAATCACCGTCATGCTCAATGGTGCCAGGTCACGCATCACGAATGACGGCATCCTGCTGGATGACAAGCCGCGGTCGTCGGACGAGGACGAACCCGACCCGAAGTCCAAGCTCCCTTCAAACCCATCTGCGACCGACGAGTCTCGTCGACCTGAAATCAAGTTTGCTCGTACCGTTACGAAGAGTGATGGCTTGGGCAAAGGGGCGATCAAGCTCCCGCCCACTCGGTCCCAGCAGGAGCATATCGACTTCCTGGAACGTCAACGGAAGGGAGACGATGAGGTGCTGAGGATCCCGAACCCCAGGGATGTGGAGCGTGGCATGGTTCCCAAGCGTGTCGAGGCTGGGGAGGACGAGGAGGCCGAGCCGGCCTCGCCCCGCGCCCAGGGACTGGGCGTGGACTTGGGCGGCAGTTCTCAGGCGCCCACCGCCGAGAGTCGCCCGCAGGCCATCACAATTGAGGAGCCTGACCGACACAATCTGCAGCAGTCCGACTCGGACGATCTGGTTGACGGGGCCAAAGCCGCTGCCCGCGTTTTTTCCTTATCTTTCATCAAGATCCGGAGACCCAGGTTCCTAAGCCGGAACAACAGACGGCTGCATGGCAAGGAAGACGAGCTGGGTGCATCTGCTAAGGGCAAGGGCCGACGGCAATCCTTCTCGTCAATAAGGACAGTCTTCTCGAGGGATAAGGTGGAGGGTACTCCGTACCTGAGTTGGGAGCCGACTATTGGCCGTAACTCAGCCTTCCCAGATCTCACCGAGGAGCAGAGGGAAGAGCTCGGAGGGATCGAATACAGGTCCTTGAAGACACTTGCCGTGATTCTCACCGGCTATTTTTGGATATTCTCCGCCATCGCTGTCGTCGGCCTATTGCCATGGATTCGGCGCATGCCGAGTTACGGCCGCATTGTCGACACCGCCGGCGTAAGCAGAACGTGGTGGGCCTTCTTCACAGGCAGCTCGGCGTTCATGGACTTGGGCTTCACCCTCACGCCGGACAGTATGAACTCATTCAACACCGCCACGTGGCCGCTGCTGCTGATGAGCTTCCTCATCGTCATTGGCAACACCGGATTTCCCGTCATGCTGCGGTTTATAATTTGGGTGCTGTCGCACATGGTCCCCGTCGCCACCGGACTCTATGAGGAACTCACTTTCCTACTCGACCATCCTCGGCGCTGCTTCACCTTGCTGTTCCCATCGGGAGCAACTTGGTGGCTTTTCTGGTTACTGGTCGTCATGAACGGGCTCGACGTCATGTTCTTCATTGTGCTCGATGTGAGTTGGAAACCCGCCAATGCCTGTTGGACATGTCTCTGATCTCTTTTCGTGCAGCTCGGAAGGAGTCCAGTTGTCGATCTACCGGCCGGGCTCAAGGTTTTGAACGGCGTGTTTGAAGCGGTCTCCACCAGAACGGCTGGGTTCTCTTGTGTGAACCTGGCCGCCTTGCACCCCGCCGTCCGGTTCTCGTACATGGTCATGATGTACATATCGGTCTTCCCCATTGCCATCTCGGTCCGCCGCACGAACGTGTACGAGGAGAGGTCCTTAGGTGTTTACAGCAAGAACGACATCGACGAGCAGGCGGCCGGCAGCGACTTGTCTTACGTCGGGGCTCATTTACGGCGGCAGCTGTCATTCGACTTGTGGTACATCGTCATCGGCTTCTTCATTATCAACATCACCGAGGGCGCCCGTCTCATGGCGGGTGACTTCACGCAATTTGATGTCCTGTTCGAGGTGGTTAGCGCCTATGGCACGGTCGGTATGAGCATAGGCTATACTGGCGTCAACGCTTCCTTGTCCTCCCAGTTCTCCGTTCTCGGCAAGCTAGTCATCATCGCTATGGTGATCCGCGGTAGACACCGTGGTCTGCCTTACGGCCTGGATCGTGCCATCCTCCTCCCCAGCGAATCCTTGAACGCCACCGAGGCGGCCGATGACGCGAGGATGGCGAGACATGTCTCGCACACTTCTGCTACCACGGGAGCCGCCCGCTCTTCGAGTGTGGGCGGGCGACATAGAGCCATGAGCGGCGATCACGGCAACATCTTGACTTCTCTGCTGCATCCCGGCCCGGCCGTCCCCGCCGACCCGCACATGACAGATCTTGGTCTCAGATTCTCCGATACCGGTGCCATGTCCGAGGAACCAGAGTCGTATGCCACGCGGGTCAGCTCCCGGCGGACGGAGCCCGGCGTCTCGAGAAGGTTTGATCCTACGTTGAGTTTGGATAGGCCACGGACTTCTGCTGGGAACGAGTAATGGGGCTCGCTTTTCTTTTGGGGGTTTCCTTCCACCACAGCGGCAGCATTTGGAGGCCCCTTCGATTCAATGAGACCAGCAGATGCGCGGGTTTACAGACCCTGGGAGGGCGGCGCACTTTCCCCACACTTTTCTTTTCCCCTGTTCTCCATCTTACTTCTTAGTTCATAAAGTCGCAGGCAGGGCTTGAGCAAGCAAGCAAATTGCCACGGCTCGGGAAGGCGTTTAAACGGGTTATTATCAGGGCGTTCGGCACAGGATACTGTACACCAGGGATATTTTAGATGGGGTGCTGGGAGCATCGGGCTGGATATCTCGGTATTTGATGCTTCTTCAAGAACAGGATATGCGCAATACAGCAGCACGGATGCCTCCTTGAGACATAACATGACGGCAACGGCGTAACTGGAGGACAAGGGAACGGGCGCTACAGCAGGCGTGCTTGTTATGCATTGGATTCCCCATTATAGAACACAATATGTTAGATGTATATCTCATTTTTTTACGCTAGAGAGTCGGTGGCCAGATGGCCAGGTATTGAGAACGTGCTCAAGCTAAATCACCCAAACCTTTCCCCCCAATTCCGCCTTGTCTTCGATCCGATCTATGAATTTCAAACAAACGCCTGTGCCATGTAATCCCATTCCCAGACCTCGTGTTTTCCGAATCATGTAACACAAGACAGAAATATTATGTTCTGTCTTTTTTGAGAAAAATCTTTTTAACATCATCTCCATCCCTAATAGGGGCCGCAAATCCCAACAAAAAAGAAAAAAGCCGATCTCATCCGAAACAGCAACGCATTCGCTCCGGAGAATAAGATCCAATAACCAAAGACTACAAAAAAATAAAATAAAAAGGCCGCGTCTACCGTCGCTAGCCAGCACGAGCCTGCGCCTTGCTCTTCTGCTTCTCCCGCTGGATCTTCTTGAAGAAGGCGCTCTGGCCCTCGCCGCCCGCGCCCTTCTTCTTGGCGTTTTGCTTGAGCGCCTTGTTGGCCGCCTTGTTGCGCTCAATGTACGCCATGTCCTGGGCGCCGCTCAGCTCGCTCAGCGTGCCGGCCGTGCGGCGGACGGCAGGCCCACCACCGAGTTTGTTGTTGTTCTTCCTGCCGCGGCCGGGCTTGCTGCCGAAGAGATCGTCGGTCTCGACATCGTCTTCGCCACCCTTCTCGTTGTCGACCAGCGTCCGCTGGAGCAGCTCGCGGCATTCCTGCGGCGTGGCGAAGGCCAGGTCGGGCGTGTTCTCGATGTTGGCCAGCTGCGTAATCACCTTGAAGGCGTACCCCTGGTCGACCAGGAAGGCTTGCCGCTTGGACGAGTAGTACATCTCCTGGGTGTCTTTGGAGACCAGGGAGTAGAAGAAGGCGTTGAACCCTTCGTCGTTGCGGCGCTTCGCCCGGAGGATGCGCCCGAGCCGCTGGGCTTCCTGCCGGCGAGAGCCGAAGTGGGAGGAGATTTGTATCAGACAGGTTGCCTCGGGAAGGTCGAGGGACGTGTCGCCGATTTTAGAAAGGAAGAGGGTGTTGACTTCGGGGTTGTGTTGGAAGTTTTCGAGCACTTGCATGCGCTCCGCTTGGGATGTGCCGCCGTAGATGAAAACCTTCTTGAGCTTAAGCGCGTACTGCTTCAGCGAATACAGCTCGTCTGAGAAGACGATGATCTTGTCGCCGCGCGCTTCATGATAGTTGATGAGATACTGGCAGGCCTGGAACTTGCGCGGGTTCATAGCGTAGAGGGTCCGTTTCATGCGCGCGCTCGCCCGGAGGTACTCGTCGTAGAACTCGGTTGGCATGGGACACCAAACCTCCGCGCACTGCACCTTGGCAATGTGGCCCTGCTGGGACAGCTCCATCCAGTTGGCTTCGTAAAGCTTGGGACCGATCAAGAAATTCAGATGAGAAATCCTGTCGTCCTCGCGAAGAAGGGTAGCCGTGAGCCCGAGTTTGGAGTGCGACTTGATCGAGCTGATAACGCGTCTGAACATTTCCGCGGGGACAACGTGGACCTCATCCAGGAGCATCAAGCCCCATTCGCGACCCCTCAGGAAGTCCATCATCTTCTTCGAGTCGTGAGAGCGCTCCCTGCTGTTGGTGACCATCGAGTATGTTGTCACGATGATACCGGTGCTGCCGGAAAACTTGTTCTTGCTCTCAGCGGTGAATATGGCAATGTCGTCCGGGTTGATGTTGGACCACTTCAGGAATTCCTGCCGCCACTGCACGACTGACATGGAACTGGTACACAAAACGATGACACCCTTCTTGATGGTGCAAGCGGCCGTAATCCCCACAAGCGTCTTGCCAGCACCGCAGGGGAGGACAATGATACCGCTTTTGGCGCGTCCATTGCCGAACATCTTGCTCAGACTCTTCTCCTGGTATGGGCGAATCTGGGTGTTAGGGCGGAGGTCGATTTCCAGGTTGGGGTTGACGTCGTCGTTTCTGAAGTCGTATTCTTCCAAAATTGGGAATCCAATGTCCAGACATCGTTTTTGCACCTTCTCCACGTTGAAATCTGCGATCTCAAAGGAATGGACGGCCTCCTTGTCATCATCGTCGTCTTCTTCGTTCAGGGTGGCGAAGAGATCGGCCTCGTTGGGAGCATCTCCTCCTTCGCCGGACTTCTTCTCGGCCTGCTTCAGATTCGCTTGGTGGACGCCAGCTGCATTCTGCGTCCCCGGGATGACGAGGCCACCCATAGTAGGCGCATAGCTGGTCGTGATTTCGTTCGACCCTTGTACACGCAGTGCGCCAATCTCCTTATCCTTGAGGAGCATCTGCAACACGTCGGCATCCACACTCTCGACGAAGTATCGGTTGTGTTTCAACACCAGTTTCACCTTGCCGTAGCTTTTGGTGTGGTGTTCAATCTCCCGCCGGACGGAGTCAGGCAGCGCCGTCTTCAGAAAGCGGTCGAGTGTGTTGATGATGTCTTTCGGCCGGAGACCCACGGATACTGCGGCATACAGGCTGTGCGGCGTCAGGGTATATTCGTGGAGAAACGTTGGCCGAGACTTGGGCTCCGCGATGGTGATGAGAAAGTCGGTCGCCTGCTCAGCAAGCGGGTTGAAGCGCTCGAGCACAATGGTGCAGTTGTCCGGATCAATCCACAGCGGCCGGTTCTGGTGATCGGATTTGAGCGGGAGATGGGAGAAATCCCGCTTTTTGAAAAATGGCGTTGCGGCATCGTAGCGTCTTCCACTGTCATCTGCCTGACCGTGGAGTCGCCTGGCGCCAAATGTGAACTTGTTGACAAAGTCGTCGGCCTCCTTGGTCAGCATCTCCTCGCGCTTTTTCTGCTCCTCGGGCACATCTTCGTCGAAGTCTTCGTCGGCGCCTGACATGACTGAACTTTCGTCGATGCTGCGTGGAGTCGCCGGTCCCGGCGTGGACATGGCAGAAGTGCGCCCTGCCTTGACGGCGGCTGCCTGCGCGGCCGGAGCCTTGCGCTTCGCCGGCATCATCAAGGGAATTCTGAACTTCGGACCGCTGTCTGAGTTGAGAGATATTCGGTATGACGATTGCCGGCGATTCTCCCTGGGCGTTGAATGATGGCGGCGGAAGAGTGGCGACCAGGCAGTTGTTTGTGATGAGGGAAGGAAACAGATGACGGTGGTCCGTTTGAAACCGAGAGATCAAGTAATGTACTACAGTACCGTCCCCTTGGGTGTGACATTCTCCAATTAGCCAGGCAGTTGCGGGTCCCGCTTGGCAGCCGACGGTTCCACTTAGAGCCGCCCGCCGTACCCCGCTATTAGCTAAAGTTAAAGCCACGAGGGGGTGGGCAAATCAATAACGTGAGCAAGACTTCGTGCTAGCAGTATGGAAGTATGGAGATTCAGGAGACAAACAATTGATTGCGCATCCAAAATACAGGCTACCTATCTAGAAACAACCCATATCTCCAACAATGTGGTAAGTCCGCTGTGGAAGCCCTCCTCTAGCTCTTCTCATCCTCAAATGCTACCTGATCCGGACTGCTAAACTATTTCCTCTACCAGTAAACACATCCTCAACGCCCAGGTGTCAATCCGCTCACCATGCTGTACTCTTCCCCCGCCCTCTCCACCGTTTCCTCGCGGGCCTTTTCTCGTCCCACTAACAACAAATCAACCCTTACACACAGGCCGCAAATGGTTCGACTGCCCCGAATGCCACGCCGAGCAGGAGTCGCACCCGCTGCTGCAGCGGTTCGAGATGACGTTTGCGTGCAAGAAGTGCAAGAAGTGCTTCCGCAAGGACGCGTCCGAGTTTGAGGAGGCGGACGAGTACTGCCCGCACTGCGACAACCATTTCGTGCTGGACGCGGTCACGCCCAAGCCGGCGATCAGCGTTGAGGGCGCCGACGTGCGGATCGACAGCCGGATGATCAAGGACGAGCGAGTCAAGGCGAAGGCCGGCGAGAAGGTGACCGTGTTTGATCCCGACAGGGAGGCTGACAAACTCGGCTGAGGGGCGTGTGGCGGGCGGGAAGTGGGATCGTTGGTGAGGAAAAAGGGTTGTGACTTTTAGCATACATTTAGCGAGATACCCGAACTGAAGAAGAGCAGCAGAGACATAGATGTAAGCCCTGGAAAACAAAATTGGACCAAAACAAAACAGTCCTTGCACCGTGGTTGCATTTCATGGTATATTCTACGTGGCGTTTCTTCTTGGGGCTACCACCACCGACTCCGCACGCCCCGTCTCTTCCATACCACCGCCGCCATCACCAGCCCCTCTATTGGTCACCAGGCTCTTCCTGAGCGCTCCGGGTCAGTATAGCAGCGCTGCCTGTCCCGGGAGTCCTGCCTGTCTTCTTCTTGGCTGCCTCCTCCTGCTTCTCCTGCTCAATGTTCTTGACGTAGCTCTCAATGTCCTCGACCGGGAGCATTTCGATTAGCTTGCCCGGCGCCATGATGGCAATCTCAATGTTCTTCGCGCCTGTCTGCACAACCTCTAGCAGCGACTTGATTGCCAACCGCACCGTGGCCTCGCGGTCCATGTCTTCCTTGTAGTTGCGCTCGAGGAACTCGCGGACTGTCTTGCTCGATCGGCCGATCGCGTTGGCTTTCCTGTTGGGGAGCGTTAGATAATACCATCCCAGTGGCTGTCCTGACACGGAGAGGTGGACCGTACCATGCAGAGTAAATGCCCGAGGGCTCCGTCTGGTAAAGCCTGGGCACCTGGCTTCCCTTGTCGAAGCCGACGATGAGGGTGCTGATGCCAAAGGGCCGGACACCTCCACTCTGCGTATACCGTTGCTGCACGCCGGCAACATACTTGGTGATATACTCGACCGTGACGGGGTCCTCCAGGTTAAGGCGGTGCGATTGCGCTTCTAAACGGGCCTTGTCAACAAGGATGCGCGCGTCCGCGTTGAGGCCGGCGAATGCCAGGCACACGTGGGTATCGATGAGGCCGATCTTGGAGGGCGTGATACGGGTGTCCTGTAGCTTCATGGCCGAACGCTTCTCGCAGCCCAGCACGACCACATCCTTGCCCTTGACTCCCACAGCGCAGGTACCCCTCTTGACGGCCTCTCCAGCATATTCGACCTGGAAGACGTGTCCATCGGGACTATGACGAGTCAGTGCATTGCCTGACGGTCTAAGGGCGCGACAGCGACGGACCTGAAAACTGAGAGCCAGCTGTGTTAGCAATGTGCAAGGTAGCTGTGGAGCAGCGGGCACCGCGCCATGCATTCACTCACCTGAGAGAGCTCTGTCGTAGCCCGAAGCCATGTTGCCGACTGTTAATCCTCGAGGTCTGATTGCCTAAAGTAACAGTCAACCGTTTTAAATGCGGGTAGTTCTAGAGTGCGGCGGGTCCGGGATGAACTTATTGTGGTTGCTCAAGTTCAGTCGGTGTTGGTGGTTTGCTCTGCGATGCGGGCACCTCCTGCAGGCTGCCAGCTCTGACGACGAGCTCATTCATCAGTGTGGAAGGCTGCCAAGCCTCAGGCGAGGCGGGTGTGGGACCAAGCGGGTCAAGGGTCCGTGCGAATGAGTAGACCCACTCTTAGAGCTCCAGTGAGGCTGGCCAATGGCACAACACGCTTCCGGCTGCCCTCACCTCTTTCCATTTCTGGCCGTTGACTGCACCTTTAGCTAGGTACCTATGTGTCTGTTACCTCCGGGCCTTGTATCGATTCTCAAGCTGTTCTTATGATATAAACTTGCCCCCGGTCAAAAGCTTTCTTATTGACCTCGAGCCTCGTCCTGTCGAGTGCCGACCCGGCCCGAGCGGAACGAACGACAGACCACGGAGTTGCTCACCGCGGGGCAGTTGACGGCTTATCTATTAGTGATGCTCAGACCTCGTGACAAAACTCTAACGAAGTCATGATGTGTATACCCGAAAATTGACCACCATCAGACCTCCAAAGGTCGTGCTCAAACCCGCCCATGACATAGACCCCCTCGCCCTCAACTGACTCACCACGCCCACCTTTGCAGGTATAAATTGCGAGCCACACCCTCTATTGCTGAATCATTTCTTCCAACTCTTACCTTCTCTTTCACCATTCAAAGTTGCTGTTCCAATCTCAACGACAAAGAGAATAAGCATGGCACTTATCTTCACTTTCACCTGGCACTGCACATATCGCAGTTGCGATTACCTAAGGTAGGCACGCAATGTCACCTGCAGTTTCGACTCTGATCAAATACTTTCATAATTTTATCCCGCTGAATGGGTCTCCTCTGCACAAGTTCCTTGACAATCTGATTCCCTTTTACCGAATGCCCAACCAACCCATGCACCACCAGATCGTTTAACAGCCACCTTAACCCGAGTTGCCTCAACCTTCGACGCGTTGCTCTTTCCAGTCTCCCATCTCTGCAGATTTACGAAACACCAGCCACTCGTTTCCCCACTGGCGAAGTCGTCATGGTGGCCAAATGCCCCTCTCAACCCGTTGGCATTTTGTTCCCGGGCAAGTCTTCCTGGCACGATCAACTTGCACATCATCTGCATGTGCCCGCGCTTATCAGGAGAACCGCACGCTCTCTTGCCGCACTGGAGAAAGAGGCGCGCATGGCTGCCTTGGTGCGACACATGAGTTAGCAATGCGCTGCGTTCTCCTTCTTAAGCTCAGCAAGCAGGGCCGACCACCGCGAAACGACGCATGGACTTACTGGAGTGACTTCGGTAAGCGGTTTGCGTGGGATGAGAGATTGCTAAAGTCGGGTCTCGCGATCTGTCCCTGGATCTGGTTAGCCGGCGGGGACCAATGATGACGCGTCAGAAGGAGCTCACTCGCCTTAATGACAACGGGGGGCGACGTGTCTCCGGTTACGCAACCTGAGGTCTCCTTGCCGAGCTGGCAATCATCGATCCTAGTCATGGGTTTGGAGGGGGTCAGCCAAAAGGCTGAGTGAGCGGGGACCCCACCGCAAGTTTACTTCAATCTCATCAATGTTCTTCAGAGATCCTTCGACGTTGTGAGTATCGTCATTGGGGCCGGTCCACTCACCGGGGTCTTCCTGGTGTTCTGACCAGCATCCCAAGACTCAAGAAGCTCAATACAGAGAGCAGCTGGGGGTAGTCCTTGGTGTCATTCACCGGGGAGGCGAATGAGCTCGTAACAGAGCAAGCGACGATAGGTATTGCCAATGATGATTCCCGCCACTGCGATGGCTAAGGGACGGCTAGGATGACTGATGTCGGCCGGGCTGTTTCTGGGGTGATACTTGATCGGAACAGACCGGAGGGATTCAACGCGGAGTACCGCGGAAAGGGGTAATGCAACACAGTGCCTCTTGCATTCGATGAGGGCTCTTTTCATGTTCTGAGAGCCGAGTTCTCAGCTGAGAAGAATGAACTCAAGAGGTGTCAACCGGGGGCTGGAAGGAAACCGTTCCGTTACCGGTGATGATTTGTCGCTACCAAGGTGGCTTAGGGAAAGCTGAGTTGCCTTCGAGCTCAGCCAAGGACGATTCTGAGGCGACGGTCTGGCGTGACAAGCGGTGTGTAGGAGATGGAGACGAGATCTGAGAAGGTCAAGTGGGTGGTTCGAGGCTTCAACCAGCCATGGTGGAAAGCGAATGGATCAACAGAAGAAGCGGCTGAAGATGGGTTGAGTTGGAAGAAGTGGAAGGAAAAGAGAAGGCACTGGACGGATGGGCGGCGGGCTTACGTACTCATACCAATACATGTTGTGACTTCCAACCTCTGCGTTTCCCAGTCCCTGCTTGCCTCCGGAAGTCGCTACATTGAGGAAAGCGGAACATCAAGGAATCTAGACACATGGATGGCAGAGAGTCCTTTCCCTTGATCTTTGCCATACTTGGAGAGCACCTCCTTCATGTCGTTCATTCCTCGACGAGACCCGAGTAAAGAGCAAGCACACAGCACAAGTATTCAGCCTTCCCAGCTTCCTGCCGCAAGTTACTGCGTCTACGAGTCTACGGCGCTTTCCATTGTTTCTTCTTCTTTTAGGCGGGCCAGCAGTTTCACATGTGACGCACGCAACCTCTGCTCTTCCTCTGCGGGTGATAATCTGGAAGGCACTACGCTTCTTCTCGGGCCCGGATCACGAATGTTCGACTCCGAGGGAAGGTGGGAAGCGGCCTTCAGGGGTGGAAGGACGGGAGGCAGCAAAATAGGGAGGAGGAAGCCGTTCTGAGGCACAGATGTAGACAGTTTATTGCGCCTCTTACCTCTACAGCTCTCAAACTGCGTCGATCACCCGAATATCCCCACTTCCACGTCTTAATCAATGGTCTGCCTTGAGTTTAGCCCTTTCGAGTTCCCGTCGTGAACGAGAGGGAAATGAAGGGTTAGGGGTAAGTGCGCCACCCAGGCCGTCTTCGGCGGGCCGTCAAGCCTCTGCCAACTGTCTGCCAGCCTATAGAGACTTGCCTCCGGTGTCGCTATTGTACAACGTACTACCTTAGGTTTGAGACCATCCACGGGGCGCAACTTCCCATAATAACCGTGTTACGAATCAAGGTCGAGCTCGAGGTGCTGGGCAGGTAGTACCTTCCCTGCAAAGCAGGCAGCAGCGCCAGACTCGAGTAGGTTCTTTCCAGACTTCGAGCAAGTGAGCAAGTTTTCCATTGGCGGCAGATTGTCCCTTAATAAACCCTGCCAGCCGTTCGCTCTGTGACTCTGTCTAGACATACGTTTGAGTTACCTACCTTCCTGCGCTTTTTCCAACCCCGGCCACGCAATGGCTGCCCGCCAGCAGCTCGCCCCGGTCCTGAGGAGGTTGAGACCAGGGAGATGCTCCGCGAAGCTTGGCAGGCAAGCAACATTGCAACTGCCGGTTTCCGGCGCTGTGCGGTGCTTCAGCGAATCCCGCCGGCGGTGCCTGCGGAGCACCGCAGCTGTTGCTGCCGCCAGCGGCAAGTTCACGAGCGAGACCTACCCGGACATCAAGCGGGACGGCAGGTTCGCCCAGCTCACGGCAGACCATGTCGCCTACTTCCGCGGCCTGCTCGGCAGTGAGTCGGCCGTCATCGACGGCGTGAGCAGTAGCGACGCGGTAGACGACATCGAGCCCTTCAACAGCGACTGGATGCGCAAGTACCGCGGCCACTGCAAGCTGGTGCTCAAGCCGGGGTCGACGGACGAGGTCAGCAAGATCCTCAAGTACTGCAACGACAACATGCTGGCCGTCGTCCCGCAGGGCGGCAACACGGGCCTGGTCGGCGGCTCGGTGCCGGTTTTTGACGAGATCGTCATCAACATGAGCCGCATGAACCAGATCCTCGACTTCGACGAGGTCAGCGGCACGCTGGTTGCCGAGGCGGGGTGCATCCTCGAGGTGGCCGATCAGTTCCTGGCGGGCAAGGGCTACATCTTCCCGCTGGATCTCGGAGCCAAGGGGTCGTGCCACATCGGAGGCAACGTCTCGACCAACGCCGGCGGGCTGCGGCTGCTCCGGTACGGGAGCTTGCACGGCACCGTGCTGGGGATAGAGGCCGTGCTCGCCGACGGCACCGTTGTGGACGACCTCTGCAGGCTGCGCAAGAACAACACGGGCTACGATCTGAAGCAGCTCTTTATCGGCGCCGAGGGCACGCTGGGCATCATCACCAAGGTGTCGATCCTGTGCCCGCAGCGCTCGCCAGCGCAGAACGTGGCCTTCTTCGGCCTGGAGTCATTTGACAAGGTCCAGCAGGCCTTCCGGGAGGCAAAGGGCCAGCTTTCCGAGATCCTGTCCGCCTTCGAGCTCATGGATGAGGGCAGCCAGGCGCTGGTGCGGCAGGTCACCAACAACAAGAGTCCCCTGGAGGGCCAGTATCCGTTCTACTGCTTGATCGAGACGAGCGGGTCCAACGCCGACCACGACAGCGAGAAGCTGGCTGCCTTCCTCGAGGAGGTCATGGAGAAGGGGGTTGTCGCGGACGGGACGCTCGCCGAGAACGAGACGCAGATCCGATCGCTGTGGGCCTGGCGCGAGGGCATCACCGAGGCGCTGAGCCACCTGGGCGGCACGTACAAGTACGACGTGTCGATTCCGCTGAAGGAGCTGTACCAGCTGGTGGAGGACACGCGGGCCCGCGTCGACGAGGCCGGGCTGCTGGGCGACACGGACGACTTCCCCGTCCGCGCGGTGGTCGGGTATGGCCACATGGGCGACGCAAACCTCCACCTCAACGTGTCGACGAGGCGGTTCGACGCGAGGGTCGAGAGGGTGCTGGAGCCGTTTGTGTACGAGTGGATCGCCGAGCGGCAGGGCAGCATCAGCGCCGAGCACGGCCTCGGCTTGATGAAGAAGAAGTTCATTGGATACAGCCGCAACCCGACTATGGTTGGGTTGATGAAGAACATCAAGGACTCGTTTGATCCGGTAGGCCCCTCCCCCTCCACTCCCAACGCCATAACCAGGGTTTACCGTTTTGGGACTTCCTCGCTGACGATACTTCGCAGAAGGGCATTCTTAACCCGTACAAGTATCTTTAGACCTAATCTACCTTCTATCTGAACCAGGAGGGGCGGCGCCTTTTGGATGTGATTCATCGCGAAGCTGAAAGTAACAGAGTTTGGAGTTCATTGTGGTCTGGAGGCAGGTTGTCAGCTTGTTCAACGGGAGAATTTAGTGGGCCAAAAGTGGCTCTGCCATATATGTATGTAAGAGCTGGTTGCCATGTATCTCCTGAAGTCAAGCACTATAAAGGCCTAAACAGACAGAGGGTGGTTTTCCAGTCTCGCTGGTTGAAGGATATGAGCTTGAAAGACGGGATGTCTGCCGTGCAAGAAAAGAAGTGCTGGGCTTGGGTGCAACTATAGTCTGGGCAAGAAACGTTTTAGGTACTATTGTTCAGGTGGAAATGAAGGAAGGATCTCCATAACAGAGCAAAACATCGAACAAAAGGGTGATGCTACCGTGAACTGAGCATGTGGTCCTACAAAGTCCATAGTAGTAGGCTGCGCACATGGAGCATGTTGGACTATTTTTCACAGCCCATTAACCATGATGCCACGAAGAGTTCCGTGGCGATGTTGTGTGCGGTTGCGGTTGCGGGCGGGTTTGAGCACCGACTCTATCTTGTCTTCACCATCTATGTATTGTATGTTTCACAGAGACTTGCCCCGTCAGGCGGTCATCCGATGATGGTCTAAACAGAATAGAAGGAAACAAACAGTACTAATAAAAAAAACCCCAGACCTGCTGGTAGAAAGAACCATATTGATCCCGGTACTGTACATGCATGCCTCACATATCCTGTGAGTTCTTTTTTAAAAAACAAGCCAATTCAACCCACGTCCTCGCCTGCACAACCTCCCGTATCTCGCCGGCTCTCGCCAGCAACCTTTCCCGGAAACCGTCACACCACATCAATTCAAGCCTGCCGTCGCCGGCCACCATGGGCGCCCCGCCCCGCCCGTGCTGGACGGTACTAGGGGTACTAGTAGTACCTTCCGAGCCGCTTCCCAAGAACCCAGCATGGTAGCCAGCTTGAAACGCGTGCTGCTGCTCCAACCCTCCTCCTCCTCCGTGGTGACCCCCGAATCCATATCCAACATTTCCCGGGCCTGCCTGGTGGTGGCTCTGCTGATGTTGTTGTTGATGATGATGAACCCCGAGCCCTCCCAGTCCCGTCGTCGTATGCATCTCCCCGATTCCCACCGGCATGTTCATGTTCATGTTCATGTTCATGTTCATATCCATACCCACAGCACTCATACCCATATCCATATCCATGCCCACAACACTCATATCCACATCCACACCCATATGCATGCTTCCCATACTAGTAGTACCCATCTGCATCACAATGCCGGTATTCCCACCAGCGCCACCACTACCATAGCCAGCGACGGCCATCTCCTCCTCTTCATAGAAGCGCCTGACGACAAAAAGAGGGTGCCACAGCAGATCCGGCTGCACCACAGCCCCGGAACCATCACCAGCACCACCACCACCACCATTAAAATCATTACCACCATCATCAGGCTCATCCAACAACAACAAAAGATGTGCCAGCCCGCGACACACATGTGCCGCACACTCGCGTGTCCTGTGTGGGGAGTAGCGCATCGGATCGAGCGTCTGTAGCCTCGGTGGGATGGGCAAGGGTGAGGAATGGTGGTGGTGATGGTGGGGGTCTTCTTGGAGCGGGTCGAGGACGGCAGCGAAATACAGCCGCCAGATGGTAGGGTGGAGTAAGACCAGGGAGGCGTAGTAGTATGTTAGTGCGAGGGTGATGAGGCGGGTGTTATTATTATTCTCCCCTCTTTTTCTTTCTTTTTCTCCTTTTTCTCCTCGTCCTCCTCTGTGTGGAGGGGGTGGTGATTGTTGTTGCTGTTGTTGCAGTACCTCCGGAAAGGGAAATATTGTTGTCGTCGTCGCCGTCGTCGATGATGTTGTTGTTGTTATTGATGACGGCGAGGGTGCTGCTGCTGCTGATAACAAGGAGGAGGAGGAGGAGGCTCCCCGCCCCTGCCCCTGAACACCCCCCCACCACCTCCCCAACTCAGCCTCCACATCAAGACAGTTAAGCAGCAGATCCTGCGCCATCAGCCGTCGAGCAAGAAGGGCGCCGGGTTCGTGCGCGAGGATGCGGTCGGCGCGGGCGAGGAGGGACGGCAACAGCGCGAGCGTGTCGAGCAGACGGTCGAGCGCCGATTTGCCGTGGAACTCGAACGGCGTCGTCAGCCATTGCGGCTCGGCGAGGAAGGTTGGCGTGCGGTGGAGCAGGGCTGCGAAGATCTAGTAGAAACCCGAAAAAGGAAAAAAAGAGTAAGGGGGGAGGAACTCAACTCAAAGGGGGGATAGGGGGGTAGGGAGCAGGAAACGTACAGCGCTGGGGCGGTAGACGCGCACAAAAATGTGGTGGTTGGGGAAGGACCGGAAGTTCTCAGGTCCCATGCGCCTGACGGTGTCGGTGTGGCCGGAGGGGTCTTTCCAGTGCGGTTGGTTGCTGAAGTAGGACGAGTTGTTGGTCTGGGTGAGTTTACTAGTAGTCAGTGCGAGATATACCACACGCGAAATATCCAGCAGCAGCATACCTCGTACAGAAACAAGCAGATGCTCTCCGTGGCGGATCCCGTGCCCACTCCCTGTTCCTCGTCCGGCGTGGCCAGGTGCACCAAGCACTGCGAAGACAGCCGGAACTCGCCCTCGCCCTGGCCCAAACCCGGCTGGACATTCTGTGGCTCGTACGGCGGCAACGAAACGAAGACAGGCTTGCCCCCACCACCACCGCCAGCTTCGTCATCCGCACCGGCCCTCATGACCGCCTGCAGGTTGTTGGTATGGAGCGCGGCGATCTGCAGCCGATAACTCTTCCCGCGGGATGACACGACCGGGATCAGATCGTCCCAGGCCGGGCGGAGCGGTTCCCGGGGCTTGAGCTCGAATTTCTCATCCTCGCTGCTGCTGCTGCTGCTACTGCCGGCGGCCGCTTTCGGTGATGATGATGCCGCCTTCCCGCCCCTTCTCGGCTTCACCACGCGCGGCGGGTGCGACGAGCAGCGGCCCTGGTCCTCGATGGTGCCGATGATGAAGACGGTCTCGCGCTCGTAGCCCGCGCATTCCCGCCCTCCGTCGATGCATTTCCTGCAGAAGGGCCGCTGGTTGTCGCACTGGATAAGGGGAGAAAAGAAAAAAAGATAAACGTGTGAGCGTTGCTGGTTCGATATGGTTTGCTTCACCCCCCTTTTTCTAATCCTCCCCCCCAAATTTGTTTTCCACGTACTTTTACTCGACGGAGTCGACAGGCTGGGGAAACAAGAAAAAGTTAGCATCAGCATCAGCATCAGCATCAGCAGTCCACCGCACAACCGCATCCGTTGCTGCCATAACTTCAACTTGTCATTGTCGTTTGGCTATGGAAGAAAAAGCGGGCGGGGACTTACTCTCGCAGCCCTTGTACTTCCCTGGAACTCCCACTTCGCGGCGTCAACCAAAGAGTCACGTCACAGTTAGCGGTGAAGCTTTCGAAAGTTATCGCCCGGTTGGGGCACGAGGCAGAAGAAGGCCAATGGCAGCTCCGGACGTAGTATGTAATCAGGGACTGACAAGGGGTAGAGAGAGAGAAAGATCTTCGAGGAAAGCCGGGGAATTTTCTTACCCATGGCTAGTAATAAACGGCGTTGTTGCTTGGTTGAACGTAAAGAGGACGGACGGACGGACGGACAGTAGTGTCGGTACAAGTGGCTGGTGATTATGGGGAGAAAGCAGCGAACAGATGCCGGGCGGTCCGGCGTGGCCCCCTTTGTATATAATTGTCTCCCCCCTCCCCCCTCGTCGAAGCTGTCCACGGCACCACCCCCATATACTACGAAGAGGCGGTGGGCTAGCCCTGGCACAGTCGACCACGGCAGTACCACTTGGCCAGCGATCCTCGGGCGGCCGCCGACGGGTATGACTTGATACGATGTGAAGACCAGATCAGACGGAGGGTTAAGCTTACATGTATGCTTCCAACCCAAATAAGTAATACCAGTCAAGGATCCCATGAGGCAGATTGTCGCGTGGCTGGGCCTTCCCCAAGGTTATCACGCCCCCCTCATCTGACCCTGGCAGCAAAATTGTAGGCATGTGTTCACACACACACACACACACAGACACAGTAGGGAAGGATGCTCAGAGAGGAACAGCAGCTTATTAAGATGACCAAGATGGAAGCCCCCCCTGTGCGCCATGGAAGCCGTCAGAAACTTTTGATCAGCACGAGAAGGAGACACCACTCGGAATTCCACTCTGCTGCCACCTCCAGTCTCCAGTCTCCATGCTGCCGCCGCCGGGTAGTAGACCGCCCTTGCAGCAGTAGTGTACATACGGAGTACCGATGAAAAATCGGAAAACCATCCCAATCCCATCATCCATGTGAAGTGCTTTTCGCCCCGCCATGACTGCATGGCGGTCTAGTGCAAAGCCTGCAAGGTGCTGCCGATGCCCTTTTTGGGGGGGGATGGAAGCTTGGAAGTTCCCGCTGGAAAGGAAAAGGCGTGGACGCCTTCCGAACCTGGAGGAGATAGGCTAGGTGGCGCACGGGAACTGGAAAGCGGTATGTACGTACAGTTAAGGGGAAGTACATACAATACAATACACAAACTTGGCTTTGTTGGTGCTCTCGCGCCGAGCCTTACCATAGGGCTGAGGAGCCCGCACTACATACTACCGCACGCCGGGCGGTGGAACCACTCAGGGGCTCTCTGCCTGCCGCTGCCAGGTTTGGTCGGCAGAAGCGTGCAGGGGTGGGTAAGCAGCGGCGCATTCGACAACGGGCGGGGATTGGTCCAAGTCGCGATGGAAGCATGCGGCGCATACGGTGGTAGCGAGGCCACTTGTCTTGTGCTGTGTCATCTTCGCACTCCATCCAATGGGACGCCGAGGAGTGTTCAACGGCCGAGCAGCGAAGACGGGCAAGAAGAAAAATGTAAGACGTCTGATGAGTAAGGCACTTTTTGTGGCCCGGAGTCACAGCTCCTCCAGCAGCGGTGTGGAGTTTTGGAATCCGAGACGTCGCTTTTTGTTGACTATGACGACTGGAAGAATGACATACCGGTCGAACCGTACTCAACTAGGGACCCCCCTTTCCCCTTGCAAGCCATTCATGTTCTGCTGCTGCTAATACTCGAAATCGTCATCCACGGCCGGCCCCTTGCTCTTATTCACGCTCTCCTGCTTGCGGTACATCTCGGCCACCTGCCGGCTCGTCGTCGCCTCGTCCGGCTTCTTGTCGTCGCGCACCTTAATGAAGCGCGGGAACCGCAGGCTGATGCCCTTCTCGCCGCTCGGGTCGACCCCCTCCTTCATGCCGGCCTTGTACCGCGGGCTGAGCGTCAGGTCGGCCGTCTTGACCTCCCACACGTAGCGCGGCTCGAACCAGACGTCGGGTTGGTGCTGTCCGCCCGAGCTGTGCGCGTAGAAGGGCTTGGGCCGGTCGATGACGATCTGCGAGAGCGACGCGTGCAGTTCCTCGAGCGCCGCCTCGCTGAAGCCCGTGCCGATGTTGCACACCGTCTCGTACGTCTCCGTGCTTGGGTTGTAGCACGCCAGCAGGAACGCGCCGTAGACCGACGTGCGCTTGCCCTTGCCGTGATAGGCGCCTAGCACCACCAGGTCGAGCGAGTCGCCTATGCCGGAGAGATAGTCTTTTTTGATCTGAACCGTAGCATTAGCATTGATTATTCTTTGTAGGGACAGCGGACAAGAGGGAAAAAAGAAGAAAAAAAGAAACGAGGAAAATAAGAAGGGGAAAAAAAAAGGGGAAAAGAAAACATAGCAGCATACCTTGAGCCAGTTTCGACTCCGCTTGCTCGGCTCATACCCGCTCTCCTCGCCATCCAACATCTTTACCATCAGGCCCTCGCAGGACGCCTTGACCGACTCGTCGAGGAATGTCTGGATCTCGTCCAGCTCCTGGCCGTTCATGGCCGTGGCGAACGCAAACTCGCCTTCCACGGGCTGGAAGGCCTTGTGCAGCAGCTCCCGGCGCTCCCTGAGCGGCTTCTCCACGACCGCCTCCCCGTTCAGGTACAGCAGGTCGAAGGCAAACACGCACACCTTGACCTTGACGTCCTCCACCTTCACATCCTTCTTCTTTCGCGTCATGAGCTGCTGGAAGGGCAGCACCTTCTTCTCCTGCACGTCCCATGCTACCGACTCGCAGTCCAGCACGAAGCTCTTGGTGTCCTCCTTGACCCACGTTGGGAGCTTGGCGAGGATGTCGGGGTACTTCTTGGACAGGTCTTCCGAGTTTCTCGAGAAAATGGCAGCTACGCCGCGCCCGACCTCCTTGGTGGCGTTCAACGCCGACTGGCTGAGCTCTTCGTCCGTGTCCTTGGCGACGTAGTGAATCTGCGCTCTTTCCCCGTCATACTTGTACTCGCATGTAAACGTCCGGCCTTCGAAGCGGTCGAGCACTTCGGTGATGGCCTTGGTCGGCTTTGCCAACATGGGTTTGAGCGGGACGCCAGGCCGCAGCTTGCAGTGTTCCCTCAAGTTCATGATGCCGTGCTCTACCATCGCCGGGATAATGACATCGTAGCTTGGCAGCTCACTAGTAGATGCGGTCAGCATATGGCGTAGCTAACAGGTACCTACGTAGATACCTTCCATTGTAAAAGGGGTACAAACCTGTAGACCGTCTTCAGAATCGCTTCGCCCTTCTCGATGTCGCTCGTGCTCGGCACCTTGCCTTTCTTCGCCGCCTCATGCGCCACTACGGCCTGGGCCAGCGACACAATGACCGTCTTCTCGGCCAGGCCCAGCCTCAGTTTGCCTTCCAGGAAGCGAATGATGTACTTCGCCTCGCTCGGGCCGCCCTTATCCTTGGTGATGTCCACCTTGCCGGTGCCATTCGCATCCGCCGCCGCCAAGAGCTTCTTGATCCCATCCACCTTCCTCCCTTGCGCGCCGTTGCCAGTAACGGTCGCAATTCCCATGAGCCCCTTATGGACGCCCTGGACGGTGAGCGGTTTGGGCTTGAACATGGTCCGCTGCGTGGACCTAGACTTCACGGCCACCAGGCCGAGGTCGCCGATTTCCTTCTGGTCCTGCTTGATGACGGCCAAGCTGCGGCCCGTAGTCTCGCCTATCGCCTTCATGATCAGCGACTCGCCGATGCCGAGCTCAATGCCGGCGTAGTCAGGGGCAAGCTTGTTGATCATGAGCAGGACTGTGGGCAGAAGATCCGCTGGCGTGAGCCTGAGAACCTGACGCAAGAACAGCGAGCAGTGCGCCATGATCTCAAGCCTCTTGGAAGTGAGTTCGATCAGCGAGAAGGTCTTGCACAGCGCAGCGTACGGCACCGGCTCGCCAGGCTTCCAGTCGGGGTACGGGTGTTTGACGTCCGACTTGAGGCTGGCCTGGACCGTCTGCCGCGCCTTGGCCGCCACCTCCGACTTTTCTTCTTCGTCCTGGAGCTCCTCGTCCTCTAGCTCGGATGCCGACTCAGGGGTGTCCTCTTCCGCCTCTGTTTTCATGGCAGCTGCCGGCTCAGGTTCGCCTTTCCGTGGCGATTTGGATCTTGGAGACGTCGAGCGCTTGGCTGTCTTGGTCTCCGGCTCGGTCGCATCCTCCATGGCTTCGTCGTCTTCCTCATCTTCAACCACTTTCCTTCCCCTTCTTGGCCGCTTGCTAGCAGGCGCGGCCACCTCAGCATCATCGTCCTCGACCACCTCCTCTTTGCTCTTCTTCGTCGCCGCTTCATTAGCCGCCGCTCTACCTGCGTTGGGAGGCCGCACTCGCTTCTTGCCGGTCTCTGTTCCCCCATCCCGTCAGCTCGTTCCGCCCTCCTGTGTCCTCGAACATACCTTTGCCCGACTCGGCCTTCTCCACCTCCACCTTTTCCTCCTCCTGCTCCGTTTTGCTCAAGGGTTCGGAATCCTCCTTGTCCGCTTCGCTCTTGCCCTTGGTAGAGAAGCTCAACTTTGTTTGCTGCGCCGGCGCAACCTTCGCCTTCGCTCCATTCGCTTCGGCAAAGAACTTGCTACAACAAACCCCAGAGTCAGCCCCATCCTTCCTCACAGCCCAACCAAGAAGAAAGGAGCAAAGAAAAAAAAAGGAAGATACAACCAGCCCATTGAGCGGGTAATACCCCCAAAAATCCCCATTTTCCTTTCCTTTTTTGTATATGGTATTACCCACCCCACAGTGGTCTGTCCCGACTTGACGTACCCTAACGTCGCCTGCTTAGGCGCCATCGCAAATCTCCCGGTTCTCCGCGGAAGCACGGAGCTAAAGTTTCGACTCTGAGGGACCAGGGCTGCGCAACCTGCAATATGGGTGTGGGAAGTTGATGCCCTGATGGGCGCGGAGATCCGGAGTGCTGATCTGGGAGCCAGCTTGGCGTCGGGTGCGGTGGCGGGATGGATGCAAACAACCCTTCAATCCCGAATAGAGCGCGGATATATTAAGAGTTTGGAAAGGATCTTGTCCGTTTGCCGGTGCAAGACGAGAATTCAGGCAGGCGGGTTAGGCAGGTGCAATTGGGAGCCGTAATTGGATCGAATGGTTGAGCTCGCCTGACGTGACGCGCTAGGACGCGACTTTTTGGCCAAGGCAGCAGTCGCGTAAAGTGGCACGGTCACATGAGCGTCTTTGCTGACCGTTAATTTAGCGCGAGAGGATCCAACTGCCTCTCTCACCTTTATATCGCCAAATATTACTCTTAGTATCAGTCATCACCGCAGACTGCTCACTCATTCAGAAGAGAAACCTGTGTTCAGCAGGAGCTGATGATCTTAACAGATAAATCATGTCATAGTGTAGGGAAGATGTCGACTGTAGACTCCGAGCTTCCCCTATACCGAATCTTAATTTCAGGACGTTCCCAGGCTCTATCGCAAATTAGGATAAATATACAAGAGGAAACTCGCTGACGTTTGGAGCCTTGCAGTCCCCGCCTGGATGCGTTCTCCTTAGTGAGGTTGTCCCATTCATTAAGACCCAGTTTAGCACACAAGCTCTCTTAGTTGAAGTAGAAGTTCTCGTCCGGCGTCCGACCCCGGATGAACTGCGGCTCGGTGCCACGGACGTAGATATCCTCAAACAGGATCTTGGGCGTCGGCTCGGGCGGCGCCATGGCCTCGGCAGCCGCGACCTCCTCGTTGACGTGATTGCGCGCCTCCTTGTCAAGGCCCTTGAGCTCGTCCTCCTGGGCGACGCCCCAGTCCAGAATGTGCTGCTTCAGACCGGCAATGGGGTCGTTGGTCGACCGCATGCGCTGGATCTCCTCACGGGTGCGGTACGTGGTGCCGGGGTCGGACATGGAGTGACCGCCGTACCGGTACGTGACATACTCGAGGACGAGGGGGCCGTTGTCCTCAACAGCCCACTGCTTGCCGTATTGGACAGCAGCCTTCACGGCGAGAACGTCCATGCCGTTGACTTTCAGGCCGGGAATGTACTGTCCGCGCTTGTAGTAGTCCGTCAGGGCCGACGAGCGAGCCGCAGATGTTCCCATTCCATACTTGTTGTCTGCACAGGCGTTAGCAACCTTAAGCTACTACTAATACAGCACAACTCGGAGGGGCTTACTTTCGCAGCCGAAGAGAGCGGGGAGCTTCCAGAGCTTAGCCATGTTGAAGGCCTCAAAGACCTGGCCCTGGTTGCTGGCACCGTCACCTGCAGCGAACAGTCAGCACCCTATTTCTCAGCTGCAATTGCGTTCAGGCCATACCGTAGAGGATGATGCTAGCCTTCTTGCCGCCAGTGTACTTATGGGCAAAGGCCAGACCGGCACCAACGGGCACCTGGGCGCCGACGATACCGTTGCCGCCGTAGAAGCCCTTGGTGAACATGTGCATGGAGCCGCCCTTGCCGTACGCGATACCCTCGCGGCGGCCGAGCAGCTCGCCGATGATGGAGCGGACGGTGCCGCCACGCATGTAGGCGAAGCCGTGGCACCGGTACGACGTGATGACATCGTCGCTCTTCTCGATGGCGTGCTCGATGCCGACGGCGACGGCCTCCTGGCCGGTAGAAAGGTGGCAGAAACCGCGGATCTTCTTCTCCTTGTATAGCCTGTCGGCAGCCATCTCCATTTGCCTTTATCGTGCACGGCTGTCAGCTTGGCGAACCCCGATCGTCGTTTGCTAGCTTCTGGATGGCGGCATACCTGACGACGACCATGTCGTAGTACATCTGCTTGAGCTGCTTCTTGGTCACCTCGAGCGTGTACGGTGGCGGGTCGAGCTCGTAGGTCTCGAAGCTCTCATCGCTGAGCCTGACCTGGAAAGGCTCATCGTCGGACTACTCGGAGCAAGCATCGTCAGCAACGCGCCAATTCCATCACCAAATCAATCCGATGCCAGCAGCGTTGCGACATCCAACCCACGAATATCAACAAGAAATCAGTGACAATGGGGGTTCGAGAAGACCGCCGTTATCTGCTGTCGACTGACCTGTGGGATAGAGCTCTTGTCGACCTGCGCCGACGCCGCATTGGTTGTGACGGTCCTCCGGGCGGCAATTGAAGCTGTTTGAAGGCGCGGAGCAGCGCGGACGGGCGCTGCCCGCGATAACCGGACAGCCCGCGAGAACATGGTGTGTCTGAGAAAAATGGGTGTGGAGAAATGGAAGAAGAAGACGGCTGGCAAAGGAAGGAGATCGGGATTTTGCGAGATCGCAAAGTTCTGTCCTGCAAAGCTGACCCTGCAGTCCGAGAAAACGGCCGGCCTAATTTTTGGCGTTGGGGCAATGATGCTTGTTGAACCAGGCTAGGCTATTCTGGGCAGTCGAGCAGGGATTCAGGTTACTTCATCGGACCTCCACCGGAAGACTCCAAATGTTCAAATTATCACTCGTAGGACTGTTTCCTTCGTCTAGCCTCGAGGTCTGATGAGAAAAGACCTGAATCATGTATTGGTGCTGCCTTACCATACAATACATATGATGGCCCTTTCTCCTGTAGAAGCAACCCTCTTGCGTAGACCTCTTAACGAAATTCACTCTCTTACGTTCTCCTAGTAGAGAGTAGAGCGTTAGGAGATACACCATCCAGTAAAACTAAGATACTCTGCCGCACCATAGCCTCCCTGCGGTAAGGTATCGCACAATTTCACTTGCTATGCCAAACACTCGTATACTGACAGTCATTCTAATCCTAACACCGCAAGGGCCAGGCCATCAACACAAAAGACATCAACCCCCGCGCATTTCTCGACAATGCGACCCTTCCGATACTCCCCTAATAAACTTAGCAATACCTGGAGCCTAGCCTTAACCCTCCCTCCACTAAATATGTTGCTATTGCGACCCCCGGAATCTCCACCGAACCCATGTGAATATGTTTGTAAGTCAAACGCCATAGCAATGCTGATTCGCATGCCCTTTTCCCCTTGTCGTTGAAGGTTTGGTATTATTATCCCCCTATGCCATTGTTGCCTGCCGTATGGACCAGAAAACGCCAGTGTTTGAGTGCACGTGGAGGGGTACCTTCGGTGCGCGTAATTAAAGGAATGAGAATGTCTGCTCGCCGTATCCCTGGGGTTTCAGCGGCAGTGCCGTTTATTCATCCTGGAAAAACGTCGGGCCACTCTGTTGTTGAAGGGGTGCCGTCGAAGGGCCGGCATCAGGCATGTCCAAGTCTTGTATGCCACTTGCCGAGATTGACGCTCGGTAATCCAGCGACAATGCGCTCAGGGGACGGTCTGGGACTGGGCCGTCGTGTCTCCGCTTTGGAGGAGGCATCGTTCGCTCATCGAACATATCTTCTGGAGGAGAGAAAGACCACACCTAAGTTTTCGGTCAATGGGCTGCCAAGCATCATGGGAAAGTCCTTTGGGTTAGCTTACCTCCATAACAGTCCTACCGTTCTTCAGTGCCATCGCGACGCACTTCTCCTCCTCGAAGGCGACTCGCCAGACAGCCTCTCCCTGAGTGACGAGCTCACGGACAAGATTGCCAGTCTTCAGGTCCCAGACCTTGACCCGCCCATCACTGCCGCCGCTGACCACGCGTGTGTCGTCAAATTGCAGGCTTGTCACGCTGTTATCATGAGCGGCAAGGCGGTGGATAGCGCAGTTTCTCTCCAGAGACCACACTCTCACGGAACCATCACTTCCGCCCGTGACGAGCGTGTTACCACGCATCTGTAGTTGCCCTACAAGGGAGGTGTGGCCCTGGAGGATGGCCTGACACTCACTAGAACACGCAGTCAGTCTCGACTCTAGAGATGTAGGCTCTGGAGGATGCATACCCAGTCCGAGCGTTCCATATCCTCACGCTCGTGTCAAGGCTGCCTGTCGCCACTCTCTGCCCGTCAAACGCGATGGCATAGATGTGGCTGTAGTGCCCCTGGAGGGTGTGCAGACACCTGCCCTCCGAAATACTCCACACCTTTGCCGTAGCATCGTAACTGCCGGAAACCACGATGTCACCCTTGATCTCTAGGCACCGGACGCTCGCTTGGTGGCCGACAAGCACATTCCTGCAAAGTCCGGTCCTGATATCCCATATCCTGAGAGTCGTGTCCCGAGACCCAGATATCGCGGTGTTGGCGTCCGACATTTTAAGGCAGCGGACAGTGGAAGTGTGGCCTCGCAGTACATGCTGGCAGTTGCTAGAGATCTCGTTAGTGGTGCCCGAATCCCAAACTTGACCTAACTTACCCAGTCGAAAGATCCCAGACCCGGACATCACGGTCGCACCCGCCGCTCACCAGAATATCGTCCCAAGGCACCATAGCCCAGACACCCATGACGTGGCCCTGCAGTGTGCGCAGCGCATTTCCTTCCGTATCAAAGACATGGATCTTGGCATTGTCAAGAGCGACGATGATGTACTTGGACGTTAGGTGCAGACTCGTGACCACGCCACCATCCTGTGTGATATTCCGCGTCACGTTGCGACCGCCGGAACGCCAGGCAGTATCAACCAGATACCTCTGCTTGAAATGCGACTTGTACGACCGGAGCATGGGTCGTGCGTTAGCCCTTCCCTCGAACGTAGCCGGCAGCGAAGTGGAAGTTAACGCGCCGGAAAACTCATGGCTCCCGGGATCCTCATCTTGCTGACTGAAGGAGTAGGCCTCCGCGCCGGACGTAATAGGCGGGTAGATTTGCGGCCCGATCTCAGACATCCTATGCTGATAGTCGTGTTTCAGGCACAAATTCTTCCACGTCATATCATCACTGAGTAGGTCCCGCCACCTGCGTGACACTTGCGACGCGCGTGCTAGAACCTTGGGGTCGTCGATGAAAGAGAGGATCTGCAAAGAATGTCAGCTGCAAGGACTCGCGGTGTTCGAGTCGGGGCGGTCGGGCACACACCCTAAGGCACAATTCGTCTGGGAGGGTCGTGAAGGGATCCTTTTTGAGCAACGGACTGACAAACTGGTGCACAAAGCTCAGTTGTTGGCTGGTGCACAAGTTTAAAAGGTCGGCAAGCAGTCGAGTCCTCTGACCGCCATTACACTGCACGAAGTATTGCCGCAACCCCGCCAGATAGCTCTCTTCGTCCACCCCGGCGTTACTCCAGTTCAATCTCGAGTGTGACGGCCCGGGAGATGCAGCAGGTGTCGGCGGAGGAGGAGGGGAGCCGGTGACTTGCTCAAAGTCGGCCGCAGGTGTGCTCATGCTCGGCGTCGGTGGGCCCCGAGGGCGCTGTTGTGACAACTTCACATTGTGTGTGTTCAATGATAGCTCCTCGTTGAACATGGCCCCCCTTCGCTCAGAGAAACTGAGCGGCCGGTTGTAGGGCGCAGCCATCTCGGGCCTTTCAAGCCGAGCGACGCACAGGTCGAAGGTTCTGAACCCGATTTTCAGGGCGCGCCGCTCAGTCCACCGAGAAGCAACTCCAACGCAAATCGACCGATACCATAAATGTTCCCAGGACCGCCGAGGACGACCACTCCTCGGTGTGGGGTTTCTGGCTGATCACGTCGGAAGAATTGCGTTCAATCGCCAGCGATCAGGCTCGAAGTGCGAGAGAACGGGGTACAGACGCGCTGCACGGTGTCAAAAGGGTTGTCTCGCGAGGTAGGAACGGAGCACGGCTGATGACCCGGGTTGCAGGCCGGTAATGGCGACGAAATTCAGGACCGAAAACGGGACGGGATCACGTAGGGGAAAAGGGGCGAGGTAGGAAGAGATCGTGATGTACCTTACACGGCCATGCGAATCCGTCCACCGCAATCCCGTGTTGTCGAGTCGTGATATCGAGGAAGGTTGTGCGGAGGGCCAACGTCCAAGGCCTGATGTTGAGGGCTGAGGAGACGAAGAAATACGAGGCGGGAAGGGGCGCTCCAGGTCTCTTCCTACTGTGTAGAATTCCCATGCGCCGAATGAGGTGCAGGCTGACTGGCTCTAGGGTACGTACTAGTAGTGTGTACTTGGCAGGATGCATCCGCTCTGTGCCCCACGATGGCAGGCCCCACACAGCAGGTGAACGCCACCTGTTGCGGCCCCTCGCGACCCTGGATTCAGTTCAATGGAGCCACGATCGGAAGCGGACACTCACTCCTGCGGCGGAGAGCTACCGTTTCGCGGACGCATTATCCACCATGCTCGCGGGCAGTCATGGTCACTGCCTGATAGCTTTTTGATTTCATTGTTCGCTGACACATTGGGCCGGAAGCCCAGGACAGTTCACTACCTGATGGAGGTAGTACAGTGGTACATACGTACAAGAACGACTGCGTCCTCGAACACCGTTGGTTGCCCACCCAGCTGCATATGGTCGATGTGAAGACTGCAACATCGCTATTGCTGGGGTGTAGTGTCCATGGGCCGGGCTAACTCCTCGAGCCTTCAAAGCGACAGGTCTACCGTAAGGTAAGCCTTATACACCTCTGCCCCTCATGACTTTTCATGACTCTCCTCGAAGAGCAACGCACATTAGTAGCTGGCAAATGGCGCCTGGCTCTCTTGGATAGGATCATGAATTGTGGCTCTATCCTGTGCAACAAAACCCAGGCCCAGCCCGTCTAGACCAAGGATCGTGAGCCAACAGGTCGAGAAAGCAGGGCTCCAGGTTTGAGGAGCTTAGGTTCGCGAATGACGTGCACCCAACACTCACATACCAAGTGTCCGGGTCCCAGCTCTGCTGATTTGGGCAAGTCGGGCTGTGCCGCAGCTTATGCCATGTATTGAGGCACAGGGTACCGCCAGAAATTGCCTATATCACTGCATAATAACTCTGCTTCCCTGGGTGTGGAAGTGATGAGTTCGTTGAGAATGGGCCCTGAACTGTGAGATGTTCATGGCTTCCTTCTCCGCCCCCGAGTCCTTGATGGCTCGTTCTCCTCGAGCATGGCAATATTTCGGCAGATTGTGCATTGATCAGCAATGGCTAGATCGGGCCGGAAACAACAGCGCCATGGGCTGCTTGTCGCACGATCCGGGCTCTGCGTGGCCGCTCGATGGGGCATGGGGCGCTGGGTTAAAGGGCTCCGAGAGGCAAGCACGCAGGGCAGCCAGAGTTCGGTTCACCCTTACGAGCTTGCTACATAGCCTGGTGCCCATCCGGACAATGAAATGACGGAGCCGAAAATCGTGGCCTATTACCTGCGGTAATTCAGTCTAGTGTATGTCTGACATGTTTTGTCCAACGGATGAGTTGAAACAGCGGGCAGCTCCGTCAGGACTCAGGACATGTCTGAAACGGGCCCACTCAATCTGCGCCGGACGGGTCAAGCCACAGCCAAATTTTGCAGGCAGCCACCTCCGAGTTCCCCGACGCGGTCGCGGATGAAGACGTAGCGACATCAATAATCAACAAGTACATCTATCGACATACCCGAATTCTGAATTCTGACTCGATTTTTTCAAGCCATTCCTAATAACCGACCACCTTGGCCAGCGACAACGAATGCATTAGCCTTCCTAGCACGCCTTCCCCTGCGCCTATATACAATAGCCTTCCTAGCCTGCCCTCGCCTGCATGCAATAGTCTTCCTAGGTCGCGGTCTAGACTGGCAGTTGTATCGCGCGCACTCTGTATTTTATTGCATTTTTGAACGATTCAGCTAGTTCTAGGCTCTCTGGAAATTCAATCGGTTATCTGATACGCGGTTGTTTGCATGCGCGACGGAATTACCATGGTGACGGGGAACTTGGAGGTGGCTGCCTGCAAAATTTGGCTGTGGCTTGACCCGTCGATCTCCTTCCGAAGGAGGTTAGATTATGTCGAAATATCTTTTGAGGCCGTCGATTTATCCACAGGGGTGTATACTAGTATGTAACGGTTGTAACGGGCTCGTCAGTTACTGAGCGTTACAGACATACGAATACAGTTAGTACCCGTAGAAACAAACCGGTATACTGTACGCTTGGCCAGGGCTTCGATCAGGGCCGGCAAACCACATGAAGTAAGTCTACCTTACACAAGTTGCGTCATTGCCATGGTGTTGCGTTGTAAATGAATGCAAAGCAACATTCCTTGCATTGCATTGACAGAGCACGGCGAATTCCCGGAATCGGATACCAGATCTAAAAACTTGAAACCGAACATCTTCATCCTGTCAATTCCATGGAATAACGGTAGGATGAGCTGAAATGACCGAACTCATTCGATTAGAACACCTGCCATAACTCACATTGCGCTTACGCTCAGATAACCCCCCGTCTAACCGAAACGCCTGGCCTGACGAAAAGCCCAAACGACGTCAACGTTGTTAATGGTGATGATGGCCGAACCGTGTTAGTAGCGGCAAGAGGAATCCCACCAATGTCGCAAGAGTATCCCGCATCTCCAGTTTGCCTTGCCTCCTGTGGGATGAATTGCCGGTTTCGGTATACCCATTGGGACCAGAGTAGTGGTCATAGGCCGCCGAATGGTTCTCCTCCTGCATCGCATGCATGGCGACATATCTGACAGACAATGTCAGTACAAACGCCCATGAGACTAGGAGATGGCCACCGCTTACAAGAACGTCCCGGCACTAAAGAGGAGGAGCATGCCTGTCCACCACTGAGTGGACTCGCCCTCCATAGTCTCACCCCCGATCAAGGAAACAAGAGAATAGGTCGCCAATGCGCCGGCAGGAGCTGCGAGACTGAACACCAGGAGGTGCACACGTGTAGCCCTCTTGGAGAGGCCCTGCTTCAACAAAATAGAAGTCAAGCCAAACGCAGCAGGGGCTTTGTGTACCAGGATCGCAAGGAAGATGATCAGTCCGACGTTCAGGTTTGACGTCGTGGCTGATGCTCCCATCGCAATACCATCTGCCGCAGCATGTATGACCAGCCCCGTTGTGGTAGCAACGCTGCGTGTTTGCCTCGGCGATGGCGCCAGGGAGCCTAAGAAGCCCTCCGATTCCTCCTCTCCAGCCACAGCCGGCCCGCTCAAATCGTCCAGGCTGACATGTATGCTGGCCGGCGCTGTGATAAACTTCTCGGCCGCATGACGGGGCAACCGGTCAACGAGGAACATCAGAGCAAAGCCGATGACTAGGGCGAAGCCGATGGAGAATGCAGGGAGCTCTGGGTGCTGTTCCGCGGGTTCATCTTTCCTCAATATTGCATCCATCGCCCGTGCGTTTTGTTTCGGTGTATGTTGCGGGTGTTGCGTTGCTGCTGCTAGAGCTTCAATCCCCTCTGGCAGAATGACAATCAAGCAACTGCCGACCAATAGCCCAGCCCCAAGGGAAGCGATGAGCCGAAGCTGCGACTGCGAGAGAGAGAACGACAAGGGGAGTGCGCCGGCAAGGAAGGAGCTTCCGCAGAGACGAGTCAGCTTGCGACAGCGAAAGATACAGACATGGGACCACCGGATTCAACGTACGCCACGGCCATCACAACCTGTCAAAAGCAAGCAGTCAGCTCATGGCCCCATATCTCTTGTCAATGGCTGTCCCGGGACGTTGCTCGTAGCACCACTGACCGAGGTCGCAACCAGAAAGATCAACCCGGCCATCGTGGGCGGCCGTCAATCGTTATACTGCCAGGAGATCGAAATGCCGGACTCTGCTTTGCCGGCACATGGGGTCAAGCCGGCAAACATGCGGCGACGCGTAGGACCTGGATGTTGTTACCCCGCAGGAACAACAAAAGTGAAGTTCAAGTTGGTTTTGAGGTGTTCGTGTTCGTTCATTCATCAGCCTGGAAGCAGATCACTGCCAACCGCTGCATTGGCGCCAATCGCTCGCCCCACTCCCAAGCAGTTGGTGTTACCCGTCTGCTTGCTCCCGTCCCGCTTGTCCCAAACTGGCTACGGCAATCTGTTTCCCCCGGCGGTTTAAGTGGATAAACGAAAGCTCCGACACTTGCTGGACTGAGACAGAAGAAAGGAAGCTCTTGGGGCAGATACGATCAGATATTTGCTTTGAGATGATATTGAAATGAGGAAGCTTGCAACTCTAAGTTCTTGCCATGGTAGCACTGGGCTAACAACAAAAACCTGAGGTAAATTAAGACTGCCCGAAGTGACTGATCTCTACATACAGATGTACAATAACGTCTCCCTCATAGATCCCGGTCATGTATAGGTCCCGGCCACGCCAGCTTTAACCCTAACTTTTACGAGCTCATTTTAGGGTTATAGCTGTTTGTGGCCGGGATTCATACACGACCGGGATCCCTGTTTGAGACGTTACATCCATACACTACGGAGATACAGAAAGAGCAAGACGGTGTTGTGGGGCGTGATCTTTACTTGGGGGTCCGAGCGTTGTTCCACCGATGGCCTGCTCTAGAACAACGCTCGGAACCCCCAAGTAATTAACTTAACCGGGGTATCGAACCGCGCTTGCATCGCGTCACGCTTCCAGGTTCAACACCGGCAGTTCTAGCAACTTTTCGGTCATTGACTTCTTCCGCTTCGGACTTCACGAACCCTCCAGTGCCCTCTCGGATTCTAGAATTTCCAATCCAATATGTCCACAGACGACGCTTGTGGGTGTTCACGCCCGCCCAGACGTAGCTAGGTAGTTACTGAATGCTAATCAATTGGCAGGGTCGGCGCCGGCCAACGATGCGCTGCTGCTGTCGCTCGTAACGCCATCGCCGGCGGGCATCAAAACGGTCGCGCACACTTTCCACCCGAAATTCACATACCCTATCTTTGGCGACAGCGAGGAGATCTTCGGCTACAAGGGCCTCGAAATCAGTCTCCAGTACAATGCAACCGATATGCGACCGAATCTCTCTGTCAAATACAGCAAGAAGTTCCCTGCTGTCGCGGACGTGGAGGCGGCAGACATCAATGGGACCTTGCGCGAGTTTCTTCCCGATGTTGCCTTCCAGAAGAAGAGCGATTTCGAGGCCGCGATCAAGAACGTCCCGGCAGACTGGACCCCGCCGGGCGAGCTGGTTACGACGTTCAGCACCCATGGCAGCACCTTTGAGGTCAGGAAAGCGAACCTGGGCGAGCCCGCCGTGAAGCAGCTAGTCAAGCGCATCCAGATCCTGGTGTTGCTCTTCATCGAGGGTGGGAGCGCTATTGATGTGGATGATTCCGATGCCGACCGGTGGACGATCTTCTTGCTCTACCAAAAGCAAACATCCAACGGGGAGATTGCCAGCTCGCCTTATACCTTCGTCGGTTACTCTACGGTATACCGCTTCTTTCACTTGCAGCTGCCTTCCCCTCCCGTCTCTCCATCAGAGAGCGATTTGGAAAAGCAGACTCTCGCTCAAGACTTCGACCTGTCTCTACTTCCCTGCCGCAGCAGGTTATCCCAGTTCCTCATCCTCCCGCCATTCCAACAAAAGGGGCTGGGGCCGAAACTATACAGCATCATTTTCCAGGAATACATCAAGCACCCTCAGACGGTTGAGATCACGGTCGAGGACCCCAATGAAGCCTTTGACGATATGCGCGACATCGTAGATCTCCAATACCTGCGGACAATGCCAGAGTTCCAGGCGCTACGCATCAACACGGACGTCACCATTCCCAAGATAGGGCCCGCACCAAAGGACATCATCGATAAGGCGGCGTATGACGCGGTGCGAGCCAAAGCCAAGATGGCCCCACGTCAGTTTGCGCGGGTTCTCGAGATGGATCTCATGTCCAGGCTGCCCGAGCCCGTCAGACCGGGAATAGTGCCGGATGAGTCCGCGCGCGAGGCGACGGCGGAGCAGAAACACGAATACCAACTCTGGAGGCTCATGCTGAAGAAGAGGATATACAGTATGAATAAAGATGCGCTCGGCGAGCTCGAGATCCCCGAGCGTATTGCGAAGCTTAACCAGACGGTCATGAGCGTCGAGTACGACTACGCGCGTCTTCTGCTCAAAGCCGAGGATCACCAGCAGAGGAACCAGGTCGACGAGCAGCAACAGAAGAACGGGACTGCTGCCAATGGCGCGGCTAACGGCAAACGCAAGGCGGCGGTTGAGGACGGGGACCAGGCAGTCAGTAAGAAAGCGAGGGTTGAGGACGAGTGAGGAGGGATTGCGAGCCGTCGGTGAGCCTGTTGCTTGTGGTCGCCTTGCCTCGGGGACGGGAGGGCTGCATGAGCTTTTGTGTATGCGTATGCGTGGCGTGTATTCTTATCCGGTTTGTGTACACTACGGCGTCCAGTGTGCCAGCATTTCTTTCTAAGTTCCACTGAATAGGACAGGAAGGAGGGCAGATGTTGATAAAGCATCAATGAAGCTCCAGCCCTGAGCTTACTTTTCTCTACAGCCGAGTCATTTTCTAATAACCGAGTGTTTATCCCCCAGCTGAACCTCTTCGATGATTACCCCGGAGGAAGAGAATGTTACCATAGCTACACTCCTTTTTACTACTGGAATTGGTTACTCGGAAACCTCGTCCCGTTCACTCCCTGCACGCCTTTCCCGAGCTGGCTGGCCACGACGGTGGCCTCCCGCACCGCCCGCGCAACCGTCCCCCGGACCCTCCCCTCCTCAAGCACCAACAAGCCGCCGATCGTACAACCGCCGGGCGTGCTGACCTTATCCCTCAGCAGCGCAGGATGGTCCCCGTTCAGCACTAAGCCGGCGGCGCCCTTCATAGTCTGCGCGGCCATCTTCTGCGCCTCGGCGCGCGGCAGCCCCATCGCCACGGCGCCGTCGATGGCGGCCTCGAGCATCAGCGCGAAGAAGGCCGGCCCGGACCCGCACAGGGACGTGCACACGTCCATCGTCGACGGCGGCAGGTACACGACCTCGCCGATGCGCTTGAAGATCCACGTCACCAGCCCCAGCGTGTCCGGGTCCAGCGGCGGGTTGGAGATGCCGATCACCGTCATGCTCTCGCGGATGAGCGACGCCGTGTTGGGCATGGCGCGCACGACGCGGCAATCCCGGACTGGGTTCCCGCCGTTGGCGGCTGCTAGCGTGCTCTCCAGCTGCGTCTCGGGCACGCCGGCCAGGATGCTGATCAGCAGCTTGCCCTCCAGCGCAGAGGCCATGCCCGGCTCCGAGAGCACGTCCTGCACCATGTAGGGCTTGCAGGCGAGGATGACGACGTCGGCTTGTTGCACCGAGGGTACGTTGCGGTTCTGCGCGATGGTGACCACGTCGAGGTGGCTCGCGAAGGTCGACTTGAGTTTCTTGACGGACTCGGGACGGCGCACGCAGGCGATGAAGCGCGAGGGGAGGCGCGTGGTGGGGGAGGTTTCGTAGAGCGGCGTGGACGTGCCCGAGGCGGAGGGCTTGGTGGCGGCGGCGTCTTGCTTCTCGTCGAGCGAGGCGAGGATGCCCGACAGGATTGCGATGCCCATGGTGCCTGGGACAAATGTTAGGGGAGGTTGGATTTGGGCGCGGTTCGATTGGAGAGCGAGCGCAACCACGTACCGCATCCGAGCACAGCCATGGTCAGCTCCGAGCTGCTGCCATTCTGCGCGACACTCATTTTGCTGTCTGGTCTTCGGAAGGTGCTCGGTGAAGGTGGTTGAGGATGGGAAAGGACGGAAGCCGATAGTCGGAGGAAGTAAGAAAAAGGAGTGTAAGTGATAGGATCCAAGAACGGGCCAAGCTCGGTATCAAGAAACAGCGATTGTGTCTCGTTTCTGGGCGAATTGGCGATTCATACAGTATTGTATTGTACCTAACAGGGAGGTTCGCGATGTTGCAGTTCCTTTAACAATTCTAGGAAGCATTCGCCTCTTCCGCTTTGCCCCCTTTCCCCTATCCTTTCTATTTTATTTTTTCTCAGAACCTCCCCAACAGCATCTCCAAGGGACCGGGGCATCATGGCCCCTCCCCCGCGTTCTTGGGCCACTCCCGGCACCCCCGTCACCGCCTGCCTGAAATGAACTAGCGTAAAGCTAATTAATACCCTGAGCTCTCGTTGTAACGCAGCAATTGGCGTACTGGTTCCAGCAGCAGCAACCGCGACAGAGCCTTCCACACCAGACCGTGACACACGCCTTAGATGACAGGACATGCTTTTGACCGCATCTCGTAGTCTTTTTGGCTCCCACATACACACTTAGATTCAGATAACGGCCGAATATAAACAACGAAGCAGATGACACCATGGCGGACCCGTTCGAAGTGCGCATGCGCTTCACCAACCAGCTCCGGCAGCTCAACGCGTCGGTGACATCGGCCCAGAAGGCAGCGCAGTACGCGCTGAAGTATAGGGACATGGCCGAAGACTTGCACTCGTGCATCCTGGAGCAGCTCGAGCGGGTATGCCAGACTTTTGCAATTCCGCCGCGCCCGGAAAGCTCGTCTTCTGGCCGGTCTGATGGAACATGCACAGCTGATGGAGAACACAGAATAACATGAACACTCGCGCCAACATCATGTACTTTATCGAGCACTTCCTCGACATGGCCAACCGCGACGGCTACGTCGACTACGTGCGCATGATACAGCGCGACATCATTAGGGTCGTGGATGCCGTTGCGCCCGACGACGGGTCAGGGGCGGCGAACGTCAAGGTCGTTCGCAAGGTGAGGACTCTCGACAATCCATAGCGGGCCAGCTGATCTTGACAATGTCATTTCGGCAGGTCCTCCACGCGCTGCAGACCAAAACCCTCCTCGACGCGCAAGTGGTCATCCAGATCGAAGAGGTCCTCAAGGAACGGGACGTCTCCGCGCAGGACATCGTCATGTCCTCGCCGCCTCCCGCTAACGGCGGCGACGGCGTAGAGGGGGCCGACAGCCTGGGCGACATGCCCCCGCCCCGCACACTGCCTCCCGCCTACAGCAAGAGGGGTAATGCCCCGCCCAAGCTCGACAAGAAGCAGATCGAACAGCGCATAGAAGAGGACCGGGAGCGGCACAAGAGAGAGAGGGAGAATGTCTGGGCCGTTCCGCCCGGCGAGGACGCTGAGATGGAGAAGATGTGGGAGGAGACGAGCGATCTGGGTGAGGATGATCACCGCATGGGGGAGGAGGAGTATGCCGAGTGGAAGGCCGAGGCCGAGGCGCGCCGGTGCCAGCACCAGAGGAATGAGGCAAAGGGATGATAACCCCCGACTAGTTGTGTGGAGTTGAGTGATTCTGCATTGCAAGGCGTTTCATGTGGATTCGGTGGTTTGGGACATACCTCAGCAGGTTTAGACAGGTTATGGCGTGGCTGGAAAAGAGGTCAAGGAATCACAAAGTGGCTAGTGCTTGGTTTGGGGCATCACTGGAACAGGAGTTCTATGGACAGCACTCGTAGCGTATGCCCGTACAATGCAGAGATTGGCTTGTACATCTCGAGTTTATAGTGTTACATTGTGTTTTGTACATGCGGCGTGAAAGCTGCAGTCTGGTTTTAGTCGTAACATGCCGATTGCGAGACCGGATCGGCCTGGTCCTGATCCGGCCTTCCGCCGTCCTCGGACCATGAGCTATATGGCAGGCTCACTGATAGCGCAGACACCTCTTCAATTGCTCGTCTACTCCAACACCGCCACCGCACCCAGCTCCTTCAACGTCGCCACGATCTTCTCCGCCTCCTCCTTCGGTACCGATTCCTTCATCGTCTTGGGCGCGCTCTCGACGAACTTCTTGGAGTCTACTAAGCTGAGGCCGAGCAAGTTCTTGACCTCCTTGATGACCTTAGGCTTGGCAGCCGCGTCAAACGACTGCAACTTCACGGTGAAGAGCGTCTTCTCGGCCGCCGCGGCGGGAGCCTCCTCTTCCTCGGCAGGTGCCGCTGCAGGGGCGGCGGCTGCAGGGGCGGCAGCAAACCCGCCGACGGGGAGATCCGGGATGTTAAGGCGTGACTATTGGGCCAGGGAAATGGCACGCATGTCATGTTAGTCAAGGGACGCCCAATCCATTCGCTACTGCACCAAGCAGCTTCCCTGGGCTCTTCCGCACCTTCAAGCTCGCAACGAGGTCTGCTGTCTCCAGTAGCGTCAATTGGCTAATCTGGTCGACGATGGCGCTGATCTTGGGGTTGGCGGCGGCCTCGGTCGAGTTGTATCGCCGCTGCCGCTGGAGGAGGGAGCTCGAGGCGCGAATCGGGACAGCACTGCTTGCGCGGAGCTGCCGGGCGCAGCATTGGGCCGCGTACCTGCAGGACAGCGACATGGTGTGAGGCGCTGCTGTGAGAGGACGGGAGGCCGAGCTAGGAAAGGAGCGGGTTGTCAGGGGACGCGGGCGTCGGAATTGGGCCTCACGATGGAGTGCGTGCTGCTGCTGCTGATGTCGAGAATCCCGGAGATTTTTTCGGCCGTCGTTCGAAAAGTCGGCCGGCCCGAGATTGATTGGCTGACTGGGCCGCGGCAGCTGGCTGCCAGCTGGGGTGTGCCCCGTCCCGGCGGCGCCCTGTTCCTCAGGCCCCAAAGCGCCCACTGAGATCCGTTTGCCAGGGTCCTTTCAGCGGCGCTTGACCCCTGTCACACCGCTGCAACCTGCCCATGCAGGCGCGGGACAATGCCCCACCATGAATTTCATGTGAAGAAAAAAGTTGATGGACGAGAATTCAAGACTGCAACTTACAACATGAGTTGGCATTCACGAATAAGCCATCTTGAGCCCAGAAGATGGCGACGATCGACATGAGCCTGCAGAGAGAGTCTCTGCTTGGCGATGCGGCTACATTACAACTTTTGCCGCGTGAGCTGCTGCTCATTCTTCAGGACCATCACTCGACGCAACTGTTCGATGCAGTCGCCAATGCAGCGCTCGTCTCCCCGGCCACGGACAGGATATTTGCCCATTTTGAGGCGGCGTTCGCAGACATTGGTGCCAGATGGGTCCTATCTCACCCGAAACTCGACGTGAGAGTTCTCGCGTCGTTTGCCCGCATTCTACCCTTCGCCCCGTCTCTGTCTGTCTTTCTCATATCTCATCTCCAAGGAGGACCAGGAGCAGGATTGGGGGCGCGCCTAGGAGGAGTGATACAGGGTTCCGGTGCGAGAACGCTCGACTTCCTTGATCTGACATCCTTTCAAAACACAGAGCTTCGCATCGCTCTTCTCGCTTTGTGGAGGCTCAACAACTTTGACAAGCGGACGTTCTCACCCTTGTCGAGACCGTCCCAGCTCCAGTCCCTGTTCGACCACGGGGATCCTACAGTCAGATACCTCGCCATCAGGGTGTTCTGTCAACTTCATGATGCATCGGATCAAAAGCTCGAGGCACTTCTGACCAGGCATATCCCGAAGGACACCAGCATCGTTGCGGATTTAGACGGGAGGGAGGCTGACTATGCGTTTCTGAGCCTGTATGAAGACGCAAGGAATCAAGAAATCCGGCGTCTTCGCAGTAGTATTCAGACAGCGGGGTCTGCTGCTCTTGAGTCAACCCAGCCGCGCAGTCCAATGCAAAATCTAACTCCTCTTGTTGTCAAATATGGCAAGACAGTCCTCCCTCGGCCCTTGGGCCCTGTGAATACCCCCAGCACGCTAGCCCTCACACCGACCACCGTTGAGAACCTTGAGAACCTCGCCGGCCTGCTGCAGCAGCCGGGTCCTATTCTGCTTCATGGCCGCTCCGGGGCCGGTAAGACGTCGTTGGTCCACGAGATTGCCAGGGAGCTCGGGAAGCAGAAGGAGATGGTCACATTGCACCTCAACGAACAGACCGACGCGAAGATGTTGCTGGGACTGTACACGACAGACTCGAGGCCTGGCTCTTTCCAGTGGCGCCCGGGCGTGTTGACGACGGCGGCCAAGGAGGGGAGATGGGTCTTGATCGAGGATCTTGACCGCGCGCCGACCGAGGTCATGAGCACCCTGCTGCCGCTTATCGAACGCGGAGAACTTCTGATCCCAGGCCGCGGGGAGAGGATCCAGGCATCCGCCGGTTTCCGGGTGTTCGCCACCGTCCGCACCCAGCTCGGCATGAACGATAGGGAGAATCTGCCAAACCTGATCGGCCTGCGTCTTTGGCATCTCCTGCATGTCAAAGCGCTTCCTCGAGACGACCTGGCGGAGGTCATCAACGGCCGGTACCCGTTGCTGCACAAGTACACGCCCGGCGTGTTGGCCGTGTTCGACCGGCTCATGGCATGCACCAGCGGGTCGAGTCGCCTGTCTCTCGGCCGCACAACCCTCGACCGGCCCATTGGCACGCGAGACCTCCTGAAGTGGTGCAGCAGACTCGATGATATCTTGCGCAGTGCCGGCTTCCAAACGGGCGACGAGCCCATCACGGACACGACTAGAGATCGCATGTTCCTCGAGGCTGTCGACTGCTTCGTCAGCAGCATGCATGACCCGTCCTCCCGCAACATCCTGATTGCGGCGATCGCCAAGGAGATGCTTCTCTCTCCGGAGCGGGTGCAGCACTACCTGACGAGCTACATCCCGGAGCTGGACGACAGCGAGTCCAGACTGGCGATTGGGCGTGCCTCGTTCATCAAGCCGCGACGCTCCAGCCGGGTCAGCAAGTCAAAGCGGCCGTTCGCCACGACGGTCCATGCCAAGAGGCTGCTTGAGCAGATAGCCGTCGCCGTCAAGCACCGCGAGCCCCTGCTGCTGGTCGGTGAGACTGGTATCGGCAAGACAACCGTGGTTCAGCAGCTGGCCGAGTCTCTCGGGCACCAACTGGTCGCAGTCAACCTGTCGCAGCAGAGCGAGGCCGGCGACCTGCTGGGTGGTTTCAAGCCCGTCAGCTCGCAGAGCCTCGCAATGCCGCTGAAGGAAGAGTTTGAGGATCTGCTCGAGAAGACGGGTGTTTCGGCCGAGAAGAACAAGGAGTACCTCGAGCGCATCGCCAAGCGGTTCGCCAAGGGCCGTTGGAAAGAGGTCTCGAAGGAATGGCGGAAGGCGCCCAAGATGTTCGAGGCGATTCTGGCCAAGATTGAGAGCAGTCAGACGCGTGCGGAGAGCGCGGACGGCCAGCCTGCAAAGCGGCGAAAGACAGAGTCGACCAAGCTGCAGCGCCTGCTGGACCTCAAGCCGCGCTGGGAGATGTTCTCGCAGAGTCTCGACCAGTTCGATCGGCAGATTGCGAGCGGGCCGGCCGGCGTCGCGTTTGCCTTTGTTGAGGGCAAGATTGTCAAGGCCGCCCGGAACGGCGACTGGGTTCTCCTTGACGAGATCAACCTGGCTTCTCCTGACACCCTGGAGAGCATCGCCGGGCTGTTTCAGACTTCTCCCTCTCTCCTTCTCTCCGAGACGGGCGAGATCGAGAGGATACAGGCGCACCCGAACTTCCGGGTATTCGGCGCCATGAACCCGGCCACTGACGTTGGCAAGCGAGATCTCCCGCTTGGCTTGCGCTCTCGATTCACCGAGATCTACGTCGGGAGCCCGGACCGGGACAAGAAAGACCTTCTGACCATCATCAAGACCTACTTGAAAGGGAACAACAGCAGCATCGACCGGCTGGCCGACGATGTCGCCGACCTCTACCTGGAGATCAAGAAGCGAGCGGAGCTCAAGATACTAGTCGACCAGGCCAACGAGGTGCCTCATTTCAGCCTGCGCACGCTAACGCGCGTGCTGACCTACGCCAACGACGTGGCCCCGTTCTACGGCCTCGAGCGGGCTCTGTACGAAGGATTCTGCATGTGCTTCACGACTCTGCTCAGCGAGGAGTCGGAGCGGACGGTGATGCCCCTGATCCAGCAGCATCTGCTGAAGCGGTCAAACATCCTCACTCAGCCCCCCAAACGGCCCACGGACGGGCGGAACTATGTCTCGTTCAAGAACAGGAACAAGGACCACCAGTACTGGCTGCTGCAAGGAAACGAGGTGCCGAAAGAGCGAGAAGACTACATCATCACGCCGTACGTCGAGCGGAACCTGCTGAACCTGGTCCGCGCCACATCCACGCGGAGATACCCTATCTTGATTCAGGGGCCGACGTCGGCGGGCAAGACCAGCATGATCGAGTATCTAGCTAACTACACGGGGAACAAGTTTGTGCGGATCAACAACCACGAGCACACGGACCTCCAGGAGTACCTCGGCACGTACGTCTCGGACTCGGAGGGCAAGCTCAAGTTCCAGGAAGGCGTCTTGGTGCAGGCCATGAGGGAGGGATCGTGGATCGTGCTGGACGAGCTGAACCTGGCGCCGACCGATGTGCTCGAAGCGCTCAACCGCCTCCTGGACGACAACCGCGAGCTCCTGATTCCCGAGACGCAGGAGGTGGTGCGGCCGGCGGAGAACTTCTGTCTGTTCGCGACGCAGAACCCGGCCGGCCTGTACGGCGGGAGAAAGGTGCTGTCGCGGGCCTTCCGCAACCGGTTCCTCGAGCTGCACTTCGACGACATCCCCGAGAGCGAGCTGGAGACGATCCTGCAGAAGCGCAGCCGCAACACGGCGCCGTCCGACTGCCGGCGCATCGTCGCCGTCTACAAGCAGCTGACCCGGCTGCGGCAGGAGAGCCGCGTCTTCGAGCAGAAGAACAGCTTCGCCACGCTGCGCGATCTGTTCCGCTGGGCGCTGAGGGAGGCCGACACGCGCCAGGAGATTGCCGAGAACGGTTTCATGCTGCTCGCCGAGCGGGTGCGCAAGCCGGAGGAGCGCGACGAGGTCAAGAAGGCCATTGAGGACGTCTTCAAGGTTACCATCGACCCGGGCCGCCTGTATGATCTGGAGACGGCGCCGGAGCTGAGCAATGTCCGGGCCAGGAACAGCCAGGGCGTCATCTGGACGCGGGCCATGCGCCGGCTGTATGTGCTGGTGAAGCGGGCCATCAAGAACAACGAGCCGGTCTTGCTGGTTGGCGAGACGGGCTGCGGCAAGACCACGGTCTGTCAGTTGCTGGCCGAGTTTGAGAAGAAGCAGCTGCATATCGTCAACGCGCATCAGAACACCGAGACCGGCGATCTCATCGGTTCTCAAAGGCCGGTGAGAAACCGCGGCGCGATTCTGGACGCGCTGTCCAGGGATCTGCGGGAAGCCGCCGGCATCTTGGGCAAGGACCATGACAATGACAAGGACAAGGACTCGCACTCGCACTCGCTGGAGGCTCTGCAGGAGTGGTACCGCTCGCTGACCCCCGAGGACCTGGGCAAACTACCGGAAGGCCTCAAGGCGAAAATCCATGCGAGCTCGACGCGGAGCAAGGCGCTTTTCGAGTGGAGCGACGGCAGTCTGGTCCATGCCATGAAAGAAGGGAGCTACTTCCTGCTCGACGAGATCTCGCTCGCGGACGACTCGGTGCTCGAGCGCCTCAACTCGGTGCTCGAACCCCACCGCAGCCTGCTACTCGCCGAGAAAGGCATCACCGACTCGTTCGTCCAAGCCGCCGAGGGCTTCCAGTTCTTCGCCACCATGAACCCCGGCGGCGACTTCGGCAAGAAGGAGCTCTCGCCGGCCCTGCGCAACCGCTTCACCGAGGTCTGGGTGCCGGCCTTCTCAGAAATGGACGACGTGCACGACATTGTGGTCTCCAAGCTCGACAGCCGGTTCAAGCAGGCCAAGAGAAAGCCAGCCAAGCCCGCCTCGCGCATCATCGTCGAGTTCGCCGCCTGGTTCGGCAAGACGTTCCGCCCCTCATCCGCAACGGCATTCTCGGTGCGCGACATCCTCGCCTGGGTACAGTTCATGAACGCCAGCAGCCACTCCCACCCGGTCGAGCTGTCCCTCCTGCACGGCGCAGCCATGGTCTTCATCGACACCATCGGCGCCAACCCGTCCGCGCTCGTGGCCGTCGACCCGCGCGAGATGGCTGCGCGGCGGCGGCTGTGTCTCGACCAGCTTGGTGCCTTGTGCGGTGTTGACCTGGCCGAGATGTACTTGCGCGAGCCAAAGGTTACGATCGACGAGAGGTCGCTCACCATCGGCGAGTTTAGCATTGACCGTTCCCCATCCTTTACCTCCTCTAATGACGAGTTCGGCGTCCCGACGACGAGGATGAACGCCATGCGCGTCGTGCGGGCGCTGCAGGGCGGCGGCTCCAAGCCGATCCTGCTGGAGGGCAACCCGGGCGTCGGCAAGACCACGCTGGTCACGGCGCTGGCGCGGGCCTGTGGCCGGCCGCTGACCAGGATCAACCTGTCGGACCAGACCGATCTGATGGATTTGTTTGGCACGGATGTGCCGGTGGAGGGCGCCGAGGCGGGGAATTTCGCGTGGCAGAATGCGCCGTTTCTCGAGGCTATGCAGAAGGGGGAGTGGGTTCTGCTGGATGTGAGTTATCTTTTACGTCTGTTGTTTCATAATGATGATGCTGACTGAGGCGAAAAAAAAAGGAAATGAACCTGGCTTCGCAGACGGTGCTGGAAGGTCTGAATGCCTGCCTTGACCACCGCGGAGAGGTGTACATTGCCGAACTGGACCAGGTATTCAAGCGCCACCCCGACTTCCGGCTCTTCGCCGCCCAGAACCCCCATCACCAGGGCGGCGGCCGGAAGGGGCTGCCCAGTTCCTTCGTCAACCGCTTCATCGTTGTGTACGCCGATGTCTTCACCAAGCAGGACCTGCTGCACATCACGGCCAGGAAGTTTGACAAGATCGGAGGCAAGACGCAGCAGCAGCTCATCGAGTTCATGTCGAGGCTGGACGAAGAGGTGGTTGGTCGGAGGTCGTTTGGCGCGCTCGGCTCGCCGTGGGAGTTCAACCTACGAGACACCCTGCGCTGGGGCGACCTGCTGACTTCGCAGAATGCGCTGCTGGGCGGGCGGAAGCCGGACGACTACCTGGATGTGGTTATCCGCCAGCGTTTCAGGACAGCCCGAGACCGGCAGCAGGTGGACAGGCTGTTCGCCGAGATCTTTGAGCGAGAGCCCGAGGAGCATGGGCTCTACCACGATGTCAACCCCTATTCCGGCCAGGTCGGGCTTGCGACGCTGAAGCGGAACCCCCTGTCGCAGCCAACGCCCTTTCCCCCGATCGACCCGGTTCCCCGGCTCAAGGAGATCGAATCCGTCATGCTGGCCATCGAGCAGGACTTGCCCTGCATCCTCGTCGGCCCCTCGGGTAGCGGCAAGTCGGCTCTCCTGGCCCATGTTGCGGCGCTAGCTGGGAAGTCGCTCGTCATCTTCCCGCTCAACGCGGATGTGGACGCCATGGATCTGATCGGAGGGTTTGAGCAGGCCGATCCTCACCGAGAAGTTCAAGCCTGTCTGTCCAGACTCCAGCAGACACTCCAGGACCAGATCCTGCGCTCTCTGCCGAACCCCATCCCGGACGCCGTGGTGGACCTGATGGCTGCTCTCCGCTCCCAGCCAGGCGAGACACGCCATCACGAGAGCATCCTGTCTCTCATCGAGGCTCTGCAAGTCGATGTGTCGCTGCCGGCGGAGCTCGCCGCGCTGCTCGCCGAGGCCTCTGAAGTACTCCAGAAACCGCCGGCACTGGAGAAGCCGCGCTTCGAGTGGCTCGACGGTGTCATTGTCCGAGCGGTCGAGACGGGCGCCTGGCTGGTCCTCGACAACGCCAATTTGTGCAGCGCGTCGGTACTGGACAGGCTCAACTCGCTGCTCGAGCGCCCGAATGGCATTCTTAGCATCAACGAGCACAGCGGTCCGGGCGGCAAGCCGCGCATCATCACGCCGCATCCGGATTTCAGGGTGTTCTTGACGGTGGACCCGCGCTATGGCGAGCTCTCGCGCGCGATGAGGAACCGGTCTATTGAGATCTACCTCGACGTCTTGCCAGTGACACCGGCTGCTGCGGAGCGGATTGCGCCGGTGGACGGGAGCATGCAGCGGTTCCATGCTACCGCCCGGATCTTGGACGAAGCGCCCGAAGATGAACAACAGATGGTGGTGCCGCTGGCGTTTGATGTGCTCTCACTAGGAGACAGCAGCCGCCTGGATGCGTACTTGCAAGCTGCACCGTCCCTGCTACCCTCGGCCCCTGCTGCCCTCCAGCATTTGGGCCAGCTGCTATCCTACATCCAGTCCGACGACGCTGCGCCCCTGAGACAGTCCATTGCCAACCTCTACGCCGCGGTGCCCGACAAGATGCTGATGCCGCTTCACCCGCTCCTCAACTCGCCCATGATTGCGCTCCTGGAACAGGGCAGCCAAGGCTCGGCCTACTGGCTCGCCAGCTGCTACGAGTTCTACCTGCACATCCGGAGCGCAGAGAACGCGATGGAGGCGCAGCTCGGCCGAGTCAACGTCAGCAAGCCGTCGTCGATGAACCGCCTCCAGCGATCCGGCGTCGCGGACAAAGTCGCCTCCCTCTCGCGCGACTCGACCGTCCATTCCGTGCGCTTCCTCTCGTCCGTCCTGAGGATAGTCAAGGCCTTCCTCTGCGAGAAGTCGGATGGCCCCGAAGAAGGGTGGGAGCAGCGGCGCGCCGTGCTCAGGCGGCTGCTGCTCTTCTGGAAGCGCACGTTCGAGGCGTTGGTCGCCGCGTCGTTCGACGAGGCCCGCTTCCAGGCGCACCTGACCCAGGGTGCCAACCTGCTCCGGCACAGCATGTCTGCGCTGCAAGAGGAGGATCACGGTCGCGCACTGCTCAGCACGCTGTCCGCGTACCTCGAGCGTGATTTTGTGATCGGGTTTAAGCTGTCGACGGGGCTGAGCATGGAAGTCCTCTGGCGCCGTCTGCGTCCCGACCCGATCCCGGATCTCCGCACGCTGCAGCAGGTGGCCGAAATGGAGCGGCTCGCGGACCGGTTTGATGCGCTGCGGTGGCGCGTCGATGCCCCGCTCGCCAACCTGCGCGCTATTCAGGATGCTATGGCGCGCGTCTACGCCGTCATTCGGACGGGCAAGGGGGGCGATGCTGATGGTTTGGTCAAGGATCTCGACTCGGAAATCGCAGCGCTCGAGGGCAAGGTTGGCGAGCATGCCGGCCCGCACAGTCCGTTCTTTGCCGCATGCTTTGAGAGTCTGCGGCAGGCGCTGATCTTGCACCGCACAACCTTCAACAACACGCCACATCCGGTCCCGTGTGAGAAGGAGGTTGATGTCCTAGCGTCTATCCCGACCGCGTCACTCATGCGCCTCCCTTCCTCTCAAAACAAGGCCAGCACCGGGGCTCTCCAAGCAGTGGACCACATTCTCGTCCGCGACAGCTCCCCCTCTTCAGAAAGCGACGGCGTCGTGCACCCCTGGTCAGGCGCCCTGTCCAAGACGTTGCTACTGAAGTATGACGCCGCCTCGTCGGCCAGCCTGCATGAACTGCGCTCGCTCGAGACCGAGATGCCGGTCATGGGCCGGGCGCTGGCTGCTGCGTCGGAGGCGCTGGCCACTCGTGCGTTACCTAAAGTGGAGGAGTTGTTGCTGAGGGCTTTAGAAGAGGTGATGGTTGCTCATGACACCCGTTTTGATCTCGATCTCGATTTCGAGGAAGGTGGGGTCTATAAAGGTTGGGTGAGCGGGGTTTATGGGTTACTACTGGTACGGATTGAGGCCGTGCCGAGGGGGGATGAGCTGGCGCTGTGGCTAGATCAACATGTCGATCTAGTTCAACCGCTGCCTACTTATGACCAACATCGGCATCTTGGGGAGGCATTCGGGAAACACTTCGCCAGGACGTTACTCGCCTTAGCGTTGTCGGCAAGGGGCTTCCAACCCCGCTCGACAACCACCGCCCTCGCGTGGGTGCACTTCGCCCTCGGCTGCATCGAGCTGTATGTGCCCGACAAGCCGTTCGACCCGCACCACCGCGCCCAGGTCGAGGCCGACGAGCACCGCGAGCTGTACCACTCTCTACAGCGACAGATTGCTGCCCTCGAAGCCTTCGAGCGCGCCTTCACCGGCCAGCAGCAGCACAAACAAACCAGCATCCGCGCCCGGCTGCTTGTCGAAGAAGCGCAGGGCCTGGGTGAGCCGCCGGCGGTGCAGCAGATCTATCGGCCTGGCGGCGGCGAGTTGAGGAGCCTGCAGGGCGAGTTTAGCAATGTGCTGAACTCGCTGCTTGTTGGGGGGAACGACGTTGCCGGTACGCTTTTGCGAAGCTCGTTGTCTGGAGGGCAAGGCGAAGCGGCCAAGGAACTGGCGCTTGTTGAGCAGAATGTCACGCTGTTGATTGCGCGTCTGACCACCAGGTTTGGCGCCTATCAGGACTTGACTATGCCGCTGGTCAGTTTTCTGCGGTGTTTGAGGATGGGCTTGTCGCTTGGCAGGGGGGTAGGCTCAAAGAAAGAGGAGCAGGAGAGCGGTGACGCGCAGGCTCTGGTTGGCGTCACGCCGTTCCTGGGCGGCACGGTCTGGAAGGCTGATGATGGCATCACGCCTCTGCCGATCCGCACGCTCGAGTTCCTCTCGTTTGTGCAGGCTGTTGCCGCGGTCGAGGGCCTCGACAAGCTGCCCGCCGACCTCCGCCGTGCACTGCATGAGTCCCTCGCGGCTTTCCACGAGGAGTGGACCAAGAAGCTGGAAGCGGACCGCAAGATCGAGGAGGCCAAAACCAGCCTGTTCCGCTTCAAGGGCAGCCTGGAGGATCAGGAGGAGTTTGACCAGGAAGAATTCGACCAGCTGTTCCCCGATTATAACCCCGACGATGACGACGATGAGGAGAATGGCGGGGCAAAGAACAAGAAGAAGCCCCGCCGCGGTGGACGCGAGCTCTCCGTCATGCTGGCCGAGGCGCACGAGAAGATCTTCCTCTCGGCCCAGGAAGCGCACCAGAGCATCAAGGGCCTGTGCATGCAGGTCGCTCGCCGGGTCGCCCGGGACAGTGCCGCTGCGGAGCCCGAGCTGGACCGCATGCTTCTTCCGGCGACCATGCTCGTGTTTGACGAGCAGATCAAGGCCTTCAGCGCCAGCGTCGACGCGTCCCGCTACAACTTCTACACGGACGCCAACCTCGCCGAGGTCCGCAAGGTGCTGGGCCTGGTCAACGCCATCAAGAAGCGCTTTTTGGAGTTGCAGGGCATCGACGAGATCGGCCACCACCAGACGCTGGCCGACGTGGTCCTGGCGTGCGACCGGGTGCTGGATATGGCCATCGACGACCCGCTGGCTAAGCTCATCACGGCCGTCGAGCGCCTGCACGCGCACGTCTACGAGTGGCACGAGGGCGGGTGGGCCACAAGCGCGCACAAGGCGACGGTACTGTACGAGAAGCTGCGCGACACCATCTGCGACTGGCGCCGGCTCGAGTTGGGTAGTTGGTCAAGGCTGCTCGACGCCGAGGCTAAGCAGCACTACGACAATGCCAGGTCCTGGTGGTTCATTGCGTATGGCGCCGTGATCCTCGAGCCGTGCGCCATCCTGCAGCAGGGTCTGAACCTCAAGGACCACGCCGTCAAGCTGTTGGGCATCCTGGAGTCGTACTTCACCGGCGCCAGCGTGGGCCAGTTTGCCGCGCGCCTGGATCTTCTGCGCCAGCTCAAGAACCAACTAGACCTTCTAGTGCTGGATGAGCCCGCCCTGGGTCTGGTCCGCGATGCCGTGCAGAATTTAATTCTGTTCTACAGCCGGTACGAGCGCAAGGTCGCCGAGACCATCCGGACCGGCAGGGCGCCGCTGGACAGGAGCATGAAGGACGTGCTGCTGATGTACAAGTGGCGCGACAAGAACATCGACGCCCTGCGCGAGAGCGCGCGCAAGTCCCACCAGAAGCTGTTCAAGCTGGTGCGCAAGTTCCGCGCCGTGCTGGAGCAGCCTGTTCGGGGCATTACGGAGCAGGGCTTGCCTGACGAGGAGCACTCTACCACTAGCAATGACAGCATCATCGGTGTGAAGCCTGTCGACGCGGCAGTTGATCAAGGCGCAATCGCCCTGTGCCAGCAAGCACTCCCCGGCATCGAGAGCAGTCCCCACTGGGGCAGGATATCCTCGAACCTGCCCGCCGTGCTGAAAGCCATGTCCAAGCACGGCTCCATCCCATCCAGCACCCTCAATGCCGCCGAGACGCTAGACAACTACATCACCGATCTCGTGTCTTCCATCTCGGCCCTGCGCAAGGAAACGCCCGGCACGCTAACCGACGAGAACAAAGACCTGGTCCGCCACCTCAAGACCCGCAAGGTCGCTCTCTACAGCGACACGCTCAAGACCCTCCGAGCCATGGGATTCAGTCGCAACCTGGGGACCAACCTCCTCGCGCGGCAGAACTCGACCGCCAGCGTCCTCGTCAACTCTGGTATGCTATTATTGGCAGAACTAGGAGATGTGGGTGCGATCGAGTACTTCTTCCACAAAACGCTGGACCTCGCGCCCCGCGTCCGCCACGCCGCGCTCGAGCACTCGGAGGATCTCAACAGGGAAGTTGTGCACAGGAGTATTGGCTTCCTCGAGGGGGTGCTGCACGTCATGCTTGCGCAGCGGCATTTCCTGGCTGGGCAGGCGGCCGAGGTGGGAAGGCTTCGGGCCGTGGTACATCTTTCCAAGACGGTCGGCGAGTCCGTGGGAAGCGCCTCTTCCTCGTTGGTGGGGGGGAATCATGCGCAGGTTGTTCGCTGGCTCGTGCAGATTCTCAGGCTTGGTGCGGAGCTGGTGGAGGTGCATTCCAAGCTTGCCGGGGTCGAGAATAATAATAATAATAATAATGGGGGGGAGAAGAGCATGCTCGAAGGGTGGGCGGATGTCTTTGCCAGGCTGGAGACGGAGCACGAGAGACTGCCCCGTCTTCCTGAAGGGCTTGGCTCGGCGCGTGGTGAGGAGTGGGAGAGGGATGTGGAAAAGGGCGTCGATGCCCTGAGGATCGGGCTCGACGAGATGGCGAGCAGACGGTCGGACCTGGCCTTTGCGCTGCGCCAGGTTGGGCTGTGGGCGAATATTCGGAACAAGACCGAGCTTGTTGCCAACGGAAACCGGTTGGTTGGTGACGGCGATGTCAGCGCCTTCGCCTCGCCAGCCCTGGCCCTCTCCAGCAAGATCCTCGTCGCGCTGCAGCACTTCCACGCGGCGGCGCAGTCCCTCCCGCAGACGGCAGAAGACGCCGGCTGGCTGCTCACCTACGGGGGCGGCCTCCAGAAATCCATCGACGCCCTCCGCACGGCCAGGATCGTCGGCGAAGTTGAATCCCTCCTCCAGCAGCTCAAGCCCCTTCAGTCTTCTCCCGCGGCGTCCGCCCTCCTCCGACTGCTGCACCCCTTCCTTGCGCAGTACAGCGCCGTCTGCTCGCACCACCTCGTCCGCTTCGCCGCCCTGCATCGCGCCACCTGCCGCCTGGGCTACCACCTGGCCGCGTCGTTCGTGCAGATTTCCAGTCAGGGGTTCTGCGGCCCGCAAGAGAAGAACGAGGAGCAGGCGGGCGGGGCAGAGCCGGGGGGAAAGCTGGAGAGCGGCACGGGCCTGGGCGAGGGGGAGGGCGCCGAGGATATCAGCAAGGATATTGCGCCCGACGAGGACCTCTCTGAGTTGGCGCAGGATCCGCAGAATAATAATAGGAAGAAGGGGGATGATAAGATTGAGGAGAATAAAGATGCTGTGGATATGGGTGAGGATGAGTTGGAGGGGGAGTTGGGGAGCGTTGCAGGGGATGAGGAGGAGGAGGAGGATAATAAAAAGGATAAGGATGGGGATGGTGATGAGGAAGAGGAGGAGAATGAGATGGATGAGCAGGCTGGCGACGTGGATGACCTCGATCCGACGGCGGTGGACGAGAAGATGTGGGATGGCAGTGAGGAGGAGGAGGCGGAGAAGGATCAGCTGGGCGATGATAACGAAAAGGGGAGGAAGGACGATGATCAGAGCGCTGCGGCGGAGGGGCAGAATAAAAAGGAGCAGCAGCGGAAGAAGGAACGGGAGGATGATGATGAGGAGGAGGAGGGGAATGCCCCGCCCGAGGGCGAGGAGGATGCTGATGCGGACGACATGGAGGCCGGCCAGGAAGAGGAGGGCATGCCGCAGGGAGAGCTGAATCGGCAGGACCAGAATGTGCAGGAGAATGACACGCTGGCGCTGCCGGAGGATATGGAGATTGAGATTGGTGATGGGGAAGGGGAGGAGAGCGGGGAGGATGATGAGGATGATGACCTCGATGCCTTGTCGGATGTGGAGAAGAACGAGGAGAAGCAGCCTCCTGACGCGGCCGAAGAGATGTGCGAGGGCGGGGATGGCGAAGAAACTCGCGAGGAAGAGGAACACCAGAAAGACGAAAACATTCCTGAGGAGGAGGCCGAACAGGAAGACGAGATCGATGCGGCCGGCGACAGAGAGGAGGAGATGGATTTGGATACTATGGAGGAGGAAGAGGAGGAGGAGCAGGGCGAAGAGGGCAGAGACGAGGAGAAGGACGAGAAGAAGAAGCCGCTGCCCGATGACGGAACCGGGGCAAACCAGGACGACGCCGCGCCCAGCGATGTCCAGAACGGAGGCGGCCAGGCCGAAGACGCCAACATGCAGGACGACGAGGCCGACAACAAGGCTGCGCAGAGAGAGCAGGGCGCGCTCGGCAAGCAGGCGTCCGACGAGGACAAGGCGCCCGGCAGCAAGGGGGCCCTCTCGAATCTCGACCAAGAGCAGGGCCCGTCCGACGAACCCGAAAAGGCCGACTCGAACGACGCGCAGCCGTTCAAAAAGCTTGGCGATGCACTCGAGCGCTGGTACCGGAACCAGCGCGACATCCAGGCTGCCTCGGAGAGCCAAGAGAAGGCGGACAAGTCGGCTGAGGACATGGCTCGCGCCGAGTTCCAGCATCTCCAGGACGAAAATGCCGAAGCGGATGCCCAGGCCCTGGGAACCGCCACCAACGAGGAGGCCCGGCCGATGGACGACGCCATGGCCGTCGACACCGAGATGGACGAGGGCGCAAACCAGGTCTTGCCGCAGGAGGATGAGCAGGAAGACGAGGGTCAAGTCGACGTGGAGATGGACGACGCCGAGCCCGCCGAGCCCCAGGATGCTGCCAAGAACGAGGATCGCGAGGACGGCCGGTCTGGCGTCGCTACGCGCAGGGGAGCCTACGAGACGGATGACGACAAGGACGAAGCGCCCCGGACCGAGGCTGCCCCCGAGGATGCTGCCGACGACGAAGAAGTCCAGGAGACGTCGACGCAGCTGCTGGCGACGCACATCACGGAGCAGCAGGACGACGACGGCGCCCGGCCGCTGCGCGACTACTCGGAATCACTCGAGCTGTGGACGACCTTCCAGACCAAGACGCAGGCGCTCTCGCAGTCGCTGTCCTCGCAGCTGCGCCTCATCCTGACCCCGACCCAATCCACCAAGCTCTCGGGCGCCTTCCGCACGGGAAAGCGCCTCAATATCAAGAAGATCATCCCCTACATCGCGTCCAGCTACAAGCGCGACAAGATCTGGATGCGCCGCGCCATCCCCTCCAAACGTGCCTACCAGATTTTGTTATGTGTCGACGACAGCTCGTCCATGTCACCACCCGATACTGCTGCTACTACTACTACTAGTACTAGCAAGTCTGCTTCCTCGTCAGCCGGCCGCCTGGCCCTCGAATCCCTCGTCATGGTCGCCCGCGCCCTGACCGTGCTCGAGGCCGGGCAGGTGGGCGTGCTCGGCTTCGGGACCGACGTCTTTGTCGCGCACGCGCTGACCGACCCGCCCTTCACCTCGCACGACACGGGCGCCCGCGTGCTGCAGCAGTTCACCTTCCGCCAGGACGGCACCGACATGGTGCGGCTGCTGCGGACCACCATCGACCACTTCCGCGAGGCGCGCATGCTGCAATCCTTTGGTGGTGGTGGGAGCGAAGATCTGTGGCAGCTCGCCCTGATCCTGTCGGACGGCCTGGTGCAGAGCAAAGACCATGCCCGGCTCCGGCCACTGCTGCGCGAGGCGATGGAGCAGCGCGTCATGGTCGTGTTCATCGTCATGGACGACGCTCGCGGCGGCAGCGGGACAATAGGCAAGGGACATAGTACTAGCGTGCTGGAGCTCAAGGAGGCGAGGTTCGGCCCGGATGGCGTGCCCGTCATTCATAGGTATCTGGACTCGTTCCCGTTTCCGTATTACCTGATTGTGCACCACCTCGAGGATCTGCCGGGCGCGCTGGCGGCGCTGTTGCGGACTTGGTTTGCTGAGGTCAACTCGTAGTGCAATTTTTTTTTTTTTTGTTAGGGGGATGTCGGTTAGGTAGTTAGACTTGATTTCTGTTTGTTTTCCTAGTTAAGTATGTTGTGTTCTGTTATGTTGGGCTGGGGCTGGCTGGTTGCATTTTGGAGTTCCATACGGAAAAGTATAGACTAGTGAAGTTTAGGAGCTATGACAAGATGTTATTATTACCAGTATGGATACATGAGTCCATGATTGCAGGTGCCATGACAATGCCTCCGTTGAGTAGACTGCCTCCTAGTCCCCTTCCAACCGTCAAGAGCCGGTTCTCCTTCAGTTCCAAGCAAAGGAGATCTTGGAGAAGTGGCCAACTCTATAGAATCCAGGTTGAACAAGTGACGGTCTTATTAAGGTATATTAGGTTCTGTCATATAAACAATACGAAGCCTGAGCTGAGACACGGTTTCCCAGCTCGCTGCTTTGGGTTGCTTACTCCTATATCCAGGTAAACGGAAACGGAGAACCCTTTCTCATCCCTAACATACCTACGTAGGAAATGTGTATATGTACCTTGGACAAGACACTCCCGATTAGCACCTACTACCTACCTTAGGCACCCAAGTTACGGAGTAGTTCAGCAGGATTATTACCTTATGCAGTGTAAATCTATGGTACGGGGTATTATCTGTAAGGTTAGGACTACTGAGTTCTGAGATTCAGGACCCTCTCGTCGTCTGGCCTGAACACGCACTGTTTCTTCGCGCGGGGGACCACTCTGCGTGGGAGCCCGTCCGGAAGCTGCTAAGGCCTTCGCTGGAAGATATGACAGAACACAGTGAGAGTGCCAATGGGAAGAATCAGGTAAGAAACCTCACAGGGAAGGAAAGGTGAGATCAGGAGCGAAGTGTACAAGTACAATACATACCCGAGGTGGACTTATTAAGTAAGACGAGCAAATATCACGACGCTGCTTATTATTTAAAAATCCCCTTAAGCTATGCATCGCATCATATGCAACACTCATGCCCTCTACGTCTTGAAGAGGGAAGAATCTGCCGCAAAACCTAAAACGACTACAGAGTTATCGGGGAAGCGGTGAAAGAGCACAAAAAGAACCTAGTCAAAAGCATGTCTACCAACTCATAGGCTCCCAAACCCCGGCCAAAGCAACAAAGACGATAATTTGCAGAGAAGTGACGGAAGAACGAGTTGTGACCGGCTTCGCCGCCCAGGGCAACCCCCGAACACACCAATTTTGTTTCTTCTTTTTGCTCCTTGTGCTGCCACCATCACCAAATCCCATCACTCTTTTTTATACACCACCATGCAGTCCCGCGCTCTCACCGGAGATAAACCCAGGCCTCCTCCACCTCCTTCTCCTTCTCCCTGCCCTGACTCTGGCTCTGGCTCTGGCTCTGGCTCTGGCTGCCCCCCACTCCACCACGTTCCAGACCCTCCAGCACCTCGCCGCCATTCGCATCGACGCCTCCCTTGTTCTTATTCTGCTTCTGAGAATCGACCAACGCGCCCTGCACAAGCTCGATATCCCCTATCGTATCGTTGAAGACCGACATGAGCGTGTTGAGCACCGTCATGCGGTTCCACTCGTGCCGCGTCTTCCAGATCTCGTCCATCAGCTCGCGGTAGATCTGCTCCAGCTGCTCGACGCTGCAGCCCGACGTGCGGTCCGCCAGCGTCTGGAGGAACTCGTGAACCCGCCCTTCGTCGATGATGGGCTGTTGTGACGAGGCGGTCGAGCCGCCCGACTGTCGCAGGTTGTGGCTCCCCGCGGCGAGGCTGGCGCGCACGGAGCCCGGGAGGGAGGCGGCAGGGCCACCTGAGCCGCGGGGCGCGCTGTGGTTGCTGCTGCCTCTTCCCACGCTGGCGCCGCTGCTCGGGGTGTGCACGCTGGGACCGCTGGCGCCACCGCTGTCGGCCGAAGTGTGGTGGCTGCTGCTGCTGTCCTCGTTGAGGATGTTGCCTAGACTGGCGCCGGAGGGCTTGCGTGGCGAGCGCTGAGAGGACGACGGGGGGATGTTGTCCTCTTCTGCAATCCGGACCGAGGCGGAACCGATCCTAAGGGGCGGGCCCATTCCCGGCCGGGGTTGGAGGATCCCTGCGGCCATGGCGGCCGCTTGTGAATGCGCCCATTCTCTGCCGCTGGAGCTGGACTGGCTGAGGGAGTGGCCGCTCTGCGGCAGACCGATGTCCTGTGTAAGCCGCTGCGTGTCGACGAGCAACGATGTCTCATCTGCATTGTGTGCCGTGCCATTGGTGTGCTGCGTGTCGGTGCGCTGCGTGCTCCAGTGTCCAGAGCCCCGGTTGGTCGAGAGCTCTGACGTCTTCGTTGTCGACGCATCGTTCACCACGGCCGACGGAGGGACTCCTGCGGGCATCGAAGTGAGCGCCGAGCGTTGTGACAGCTGTGTTCCGGCAGTCGCCCTGGTCGAATCGCCGAGCGGTGGCGGAGGTGCCAGATGAGGCCATTGGTGAACAGGCGAGGACAAGCCTGGCCCGGCCCCAGACAGACGCTGCGTCTCGTCATCCAAGCCACTCATATGGACGTCCTCGCCGTCTAGACGAGATGGTATGGATGTGCCGTTCGTCAGGCGGTGCGAGTCAGCGGTGTCCGCATGCCCGTTAGACTGAGGACTCATTATCGGCTGGAACCTAGCCGCGGTCGTGGTCCGCATATCCCGGGCCAGAGGAAGCCCCATCCCCACTGGTCCTTGCGAATCGCTATCGCCGTCGCCCGGGATGTCGGATTGGATCAAGTCCACTACCGGCTGCAGCGCCTTCCTCTTCCGGGCCTTCTCCTCGGCCTCCTTGGCCCTTTGCAGCTGCCGTTGGTAGATGTCCTCGAACCTGATGCCCTGGTTGGTGAGCGTTTGCTCAATGTCGTGGACATCGACTTCAACATTCGTGCGGAGTTCATTGGCCTTGAGCGTCCTGTCCCTATCCCCTATGTTCTTCGCATCGAGATACAGCCTGTTGATATCCTTGTAGAAGTCAATGGGCCTGGCGTAGTAGCCGTTTGCCAGACGCTCCTCGATCGTGGTCGTCTCCAGGTTGTAGAAGAACTTGCCCGTTGCCGTTTCTCGAATACCTTCTGTTCCTTCTTTGTCCTTGGCGATCTCGAAAGGCCGGTTCTGGCCCGCGACAAGATCGGGCCGGACGAAGTTGGGGTCGGCCTCGTCAAAGAGATAGGTGATCTGCGAAAAAGGAATCACGGGTTGCCTGAATTTCCGGTACTTGCGGTGAATCTGGTCCATGATCGGCTGCAGGCGCATCTTCAACAGGTTGAGATGATGCAGATCAGCTTTGCGCTGAGCCTTGATCTCCTCTTTCGTCAGTTCCTTGGGTGGTGGTGGGGGCGCCACTGGGAGATCCTCCAGCACTCGCTTCTGGCGGTTCGCCGGATCGGGGAAGTCATTGGGGGTTCTATAAAGGTGGCCGATGATATTCTCGAAGAACTCGAGCCGGTTTTCCTGTTACAGGTTAGCTCCACTCCGTATGTTCAGGTACGCTCCAAACACATACCCGCTCCGGGCGCTCAACAACAGCCCGGTTCTTCTTGGAGAAGCCAAACAGCTCCTTGAGGATTTCCGGTGCCAACAACTCAGGCATACAGTCCGCTGTTGCTAGAAGAAGCACGGGATCGGAAGGTGGGATGCTCCTCAGCAAGGTGGTAAAAGTCGTCATGGCCGCGTCGCTGATGCTGTTCCACCAGACATCGACGCCGGGGATGAAGATGATACCCGGCTTGTGCCGCTTTACTTCCGTGAAGAGACTCACAATCACTTGCTCCATGGGCTGTACAACGTTAGCAAAGTCCTGCGTTATCGGGCCTGCGATTGACTTACCCGTCCGTCACCGAGCAGAGTGGCAAGGTCCATCGTCTGGACATGCACCCCTTCCAAGTAGTGCAAGATAGCAGCCGACAAGTAGTTCTGGCCCATCCCGGGGGTGCCGGCAATCAACAGCCGAGGACGGTAAATGCGGGAACGCTCAAACTCCTGATGCATCGCTTCCCTCCCAAATCCGTGGTCGGCATCCTCGAATGGTTCATACATGGCTTCCTGAAGCGCCGTCATCTTCTTGGGGCGCGGCAGGACACTGTCAAGCACCCTGAGAATAGCTCTGTACTGGTTTCGCAACAGCGGCTCGACAACGCGCGGCAGCGGATGGGCCGACGACGAGGTGGACCGCTCCGACGACGGGATCATCTTCTTCACTGAGATCATGAAATCGCTAGCGTGGATCGTGATCCTGTCAGGATCCACTACAAGCTTCTCTTTCGAAGTGTAGATCTGCGGGTATGTCCTCTGGATTGCATTAAGAGCAGCCTCCGTGCAGAGAGCCCGCAGATCAGCACCCCCATAGCCTTTCGTGTTCTCGGCAAGGGCGTTCTTGAACTCGTCCGAGATCCCCCAGTCCTTGGTGTGAATGTCGAGGATGGACCGACGTGCCTCCAGGTCGGGCAGGGGGAAGTAAAACTCCCTGTCGAAGCGCCCAGGCCGACGGAGGGCCGGGTCGATGTTATCTGGACGGTTCGTTGCTCCGATGACAATAACTTGGCCGCGGCCATCCATGCCGTCCATCAAGGCCAGCAGGGTCGAGACAATGCTGGCGTGGATCTGCTCCTGCTTGCTTGATCGCACAGGTGCGAGGCCATCGATCTCATCGAAGAAGATGATGCTGGGCTGCGTCCTTCGAGCCTCCTCGAACAGCAAACGCAGCTGCTTCTCGGCCTCACCGACCCACTTGCTGAGCGCGTCGGCTCCCTTGCGCATGTAGAAGCTGATCTTGCGGCCTCCCGAGCCAACCGAGTTCGCCAGAGCCCTGGCAAGGAGCGTTTTACCCGTGCCAGGCGGGCCATGGAAGAGAACACCACGCGGAGGAGTGACGTGAAACCTTTGGAACAGCTCGGGATAGAGTAGCGGGAGCTGCACCATCTCCTTGAGCTGGTCGATGTGACCTTGCAAGCCTCCGACCTTGCTGAAGTCGACGCTCATATCGACTCCGAGGGGATCAGCATCAGCGAATGCCTTCTGATTCTTGACTTTGCCGACCTGCGGCGTAGCCCCGCCGATGCCTCCACCGCCATCGCCGTGAGTCTGGCCGAGCGGGTTGAACAGGCCGACAGCAGGGGTAGCTGTGGTGGGGGTCATGCCGACTGCGCCGCCGATACCAGACCGCTGCACTAACTCATCATCGCTGCTATCCGACTCAACGCCGCCCGTCGCCCCGGTGCCCCAGGGGCCCCCAAGCAACGCCCCAGCTCCGCCGCCACCGCCGAACGGGCCATAGGTGGTATTAAGAGTGCGTTCCCAAACCCGGCCGCCGGCCCCCGCACCATTCCTTCGGTTCCTTGCAGGCGTTGCTACCGGCTCCCCGTCGTCTTCCTCGATCTCGAGTGCGGCAGGGTCGATCGCCGGAATACTGTAATTGACAGGCTTTGTGCGCCGTTTCTTGGTTGCTCGTTCCTCATACTGTATAGAGGGGGAGCGGCGGCGAGTGCGACGAGGGCGCGACCTGGAAGATTCCCTAAGTTCTTCAAGCTCCTCCGCCATCTCATCTTTGTCAAGCTCGATTTCCTCATCCCCTGAATCATTCCGATTGCGACGGCTTCTTCGACTTGGGGCTCGAGAGCCGCGTCCACGACGCGTTGGGGTGGACTCGACATCGTCGTCGACCTCACCGCTCTTCGAGGGCTCTGTGCCCGAGGCTTCGCCTTCGCCGGATTCGTCGCCAGGTTCGAAATCGCTACTAGGCTCCTGCAGGCTTTTCTTGCTTCGCAGGCGTGATTTCCGCGTCAAACGACGAGTATTCCTCGTGGTCTCGGGCTCAACCTCAGCCCCCTCGGCTTCGGCCTGAGCGGCCGCGTTCGCTCTTGACCGCGTGCGCCTCGTGACGGGTCGAACATCTTCCTCGTCTTCATCCTCGGCTGGCGCAGCTTCAGGCTCGGCCTGCTCTTCTTGCTGGTCCTCCATGGCAGCATCCTCGGGTTCTTCATTCTCCTGAACATCAGCTCCGTCATCTGGCTTCTCCGGCTCATCCTCAATCTTAGTAAGAGCGAGCTCATCCGGTTCCTCCAATCCCTGCTCAGCCTCCTCCGTGGGGTCAGTTTCTTGGGTCGCTTCTTCGATAGGCGGCGGCGGCTGCTTCACGCCCTTCGTCGCCCGGGTGCTGCGAGTCGCTCGGGCCATCGCTTCCGGGCTCCTACTCCGCGAAGCACGTGCTGGCTGCGCGTGGCGTCCCGAATTCGACAACTCTACGAATTCCTCCTCGACTTCCTCCGTGCGGGCTCTGGTACGACGCGTCGGTGCTGGGGGATGTGGCGCCTCTTCTTTCGCGCGTTTTGACCCTCGTTGCCACCGTTGATTTGTCTTAAGAACCACGATCCTCGAGGGACGGTTCGATGGCCTTCTTGGGGGCTCTTCCAGTTCCTCATCTTTTTCAGCTTCTTCGTCACCATCATCGGAATCCTTAACCACATCCTCTTCTTCGGAACTTTCTTTGTAGGACTGATGCCTAGCAGCGGCCTTCCTCATCTTCCTGCCCGTAGCATTCAAAGGGAGATCTTCGTCCTCTTCCTCGTCATCATCCTCAGTTTCGCCGAAAGAATCATCCTGGTCACTATCAGAAAGCTCCTCGTCGTCATCCTCGATGTCGGACCCTCTGTAGCGGTTGTGCCGTCTGTTCCGTGACGCTTTCGGCCTCGATGTGCGCGACTTTTTGGGGCTCCGCCGCGGCCGCTCCTCACTCGGGTCGAAGTTCTCGTCTTCCGGGTCCGATTTATTCGGGTCGAAACCCTCGAGGGGATCGCGTTTCCGTTTCGACACCATGGTTCAACACCACAGAAAACGATAGGGGACAGCGGTAATGGCTAACAACAAGCGTAAAATCGACAGCACCGACTCAACAAGGTATTAACTTCCAAGTACGCGGCGATTTCGCTATTGTGTTTCTGATCGGGACCTATTCGGAGCATGTCAACGCGAATCATTCAGGCAGCGCGGAAGTGTTGTAGATGGCAAGGGCTTGGCGGCCTCGTCGACAAGGAGAAAGCCACCTACATTACAGTCGCCGTGCTGTCCTCAATTCAAAAACGCGACGGGTTTGTCGATGGCAGGACGATCCTAACGCGCACAAGTACGAGGACCGACCTTGATGCACTGAGGGAGCGTGCTAGACCAGCTGATAGGCCGTTTCGTTCGCAGTCGTCAAACGGGAAAATGCAACACAACAATATGGTCGACGGGAGAAGTAATGTTACAGCGAATATGCCTAGCCAGAGGGACAGATGAAAATTCCTGGCGAAATTTCTCTCGGTGAAGGTGCAGAACTGGGTTCATGGAAACGGGCCGCACGGAAGCATGACCAAGACGCAGGCAGGCGAGGGAGAAGGACTCGCGCGTTCTTCCACTCTGCGCAGGCGGGTTGGCTGCGGCTTGTCGTGGTACAGCCAATCAGTGCTAGGAAATGACCAGGTTAAGTGGGGCGGATCCTATGCAAGGCAACCGCGCCGCATTTGAAAACCCATCTCGAAAAATCACAACTCATGAGCGAACCATCCATCAATAGCGACCAATTCGCGAATAAATCTAGCCATTGTTGGGGCACAATCGTCAAATTGCAAAATAGATGCCCAGGTTCAGCACATTCAGTTACCCTGCTATCAATGGTCAGAATTTCCAAGCATGACAACCATTGTGTAAAACCAGCGGCTTCGCGATTCACTGTCGCAGAGTCGGTTTCGCAACGCGCTCCGAAGCGCACCGCGACGTGGTTATCGCGAAAAGAACAATGTCGTCATGGTTCGATTGACGGCGCGGTGGAGAGCCAGAATTCCCACGTGGGATGCGGCTCAAAGTGCCGCTGCCAGGGGTCGGCGGGAGAAAGGGACGGCCAGCCGGCAGTCCCGAGAGTCTCGACGGGCCGGTCCCATCTCTTGCCTGCCGTGGTCTGTGCGAGGTCGATGGCCGGCACGAAACGCAGGGTTGTTGGATAGCTGGCCGCTTAGGGGTGCCCTGACTCGGCTTGCGATCCCGAGGGGCCTCAAAAGGAAGCTAATAACGGGGCATTCACACTTTATCGCTCTTATACCCGAGACACTTCTGATGTTCGGTCTAGCTCTGAACAGAAGGGTCAGAGATGTCAGGCACGACCAAGTTTTACAGCTGTGTTTATCTCGTACTCGTTCTTGAGCCCAGTGGCCTCTTTATCTCTTACCACTGTATTCCGTAGGGTGGTTGCACTGGGCTTTGTTGGGTGAACCAGCGGTCCGGATCCACCACCCCCTCCCGTCCAGGAGCCCCAGCTGCCAAGCCTACCCATTCTCAGCCTCTATACGTAGTGCTAAAAGTCTCGCGGTCGCCAACAACAGATATAGATCTCGTCGCATGCACCTTTCCCCCCTGTAAACCCTGTATACTCCTTAGAGCCATCATCTGCGCCTTGGTGGCTGCCTCATCTTGGGGAACTGCAGTGGCAACGCCAGCTTCGCAATGTGGTTGACCTTGTCGCCTGCCTTTGACAGCTTGACCCTTGCCCCGATCTCCATAAAGTACTGGTTGAGCTGCTTCTGCTCAAGTCTGAGGTCCTCCCTCAGTTCGAGCGTGCTAACCTCAAAGTTGTCGATGATGCTCGCGAAGACGCAGCAATGAGTCATGAGGAGGTCGATGTGAGCTTTCCGCATGACCCCGCTGTCCGAGAACTTGCGGCGGATGTTTTCAATCACCACCTCAGGGGCGGGCGCCAAATCCTTCCGCAACCTCTCCCTGTTGGATATCCTCTTGGTTCCGCGTTCTCGCCCCTGTGTAGTGGTCGCCCAAAAGACGATAACCCAGAGGAGATATCGTAAGAGCTTCAACCTTTGCATGTCCTCGTTGCCAGCCACACGGACGATGCGGTTTGCAACGAAACGAGAAGGTACCTGAACATCTTCCAGCTTGCTGACCTTCTCTTGCCAATCCAAAACCGGTATCGCATTGAGGACGTCGGCGCCAATGATCTCGCGGGGGATATAAACATCCTGGATCTCCTTCGCATCGAAATTGCCCCGCGGCACGGGCCTAGCCGAGTCGAGGGCTGCCTGTAGACCCTCACGCGTGGCCATATGTTGGCTGGCGTCTTTGATGGTATCCACAAGGGCACGGTCGTCCTCGCCCAGCTTGCCGCGTGACCTGGCAGCCAGCATGGCGTCTTCTGCAACAGCTTGGATGGCCTTCTTTGCTTTCTTCGTACCGAACGCCTCGCCCAGCTCCATCTTCATCTCCGAGAAAGTCTGCAGTTTTTTGTTAGTCCCTGATGGGAGCTAGAGGCATTGTGGAATGGGTTCATACCGGTCTGCCAGCGGCCACTTCCATCGCCTCCTTCGGCGCTTGCTTCGCCCGAACCGTGCCACGGACCACCATCCTTTTCGCTTGAATGACTTCCACTTCCCCAGTCCGCGGGTCGATAATCGCAAGATAGTGGTTTAGGAGCGTATCCACGCTCTTTGACCGTTCTTCTCTAGCCGTGTAGTCTATTGTCCTGTGCGACGAAGAGTGCAGGGCCATCTCGGAGGGCGAAGGCACGCTGCCGCTCTTTCGCCGCTTGGCAATTGGCTGCTCATCTTTCTCGTAGACATTGAAGGGGAAAGAGTCGGGCAGGGAAATTCCGGGCGTAAGCGCTGCATGCTAGGTCAGCACCAATCCCGTCCGCGGCGTTTTTGGATACAGGGAGCCTCACCCACTACGGGGGGTGATACTTGCGGCTTCTGCAGCTTCGTTACCGAGAACGAGGATGCGACGGCCGACTTTTCCGGTTGCTGAAAATCGACCTTCTTCTTCTTTGGTTGAGGCGTCTCTTCCTCTGGCCTCCTCCGCTTTTTGATTGCCGAGTCAGGCATTGTTGTGGTTGACCGCTTTGTGATGCAGCAGCTCTGGAAATCGCTGTTATCCTGCCCCCACGAGAGCGCTTCGTAAGAGATCAGGCTCCTGGAGACTTTTTTTCTGCCGGCGGAGGGACGCGGCTTCGCTTCACCGCCTTACATATGGGTCTCGTCCCCACCAATTTCATCATAGGACGCACAGCTTCCCAGCGTAGCAAAATAGCGAGTGACGCTGCACGCATGGCGGCAAAGTTTCTAATGTGCGGCGGAAGGAATTGGGTAGTTAACCTATCGTCCTCAGCCAAATCCATGCTCGTAACGACTACATTGCAGTGCTCCCCAAGGTCAGACTCACGATCCAAGCACCTAGTGGTCAAGCTGCGGCAACATCAAAGTGGGGTGTTGAGCCAACAAAGGAACCAAGCTACCAGAAGATAATATTCCACCGCGGCAGCTCAGGTAGGGCGTGGGAATCAGCAGAGGGTCAAGTGACTCAAGTCGCACACTCGATAGCTGTCGGAGAGAAAACAACAACCTCGGAGCTCAATAGTCATCAATTCCTGCAAATCATGATTTCGGATTCGCAATGCTATCGAGGCACTGAACTTGCTCGAATCTTACAAACGCCAGCATTTCCTTCTCAACCTTCGTTGACGGGCAACCAGTCGTTACCATAACTCATGATACCACCATAATCGTCCCGTGCCATGCGTCCCATTCATTTGTCGAAATGTCTTGTCGTGAAGAGCAACATGTTCCTTGAAGACTCTCGCTTGCCGAGACCCTTTGGGTCGCTGGGTGACGGAGGATGTCCAACAGCGGGAGCTTTGATGCGACCGATGACGCAGTCGCGACGCTCAACCGCCGGGTGACCCAGCTACGACGCTGGGGACTGGTTGAGGTCGAGCAGAGCAGGCGTTTATTTGCTGGCGAGATTGTTAATGGCCATCCAGTAAAAGGTGGGCGACTCGTTGCAGGAACACTTACGACCGAGCTCTCATCTTTCTTCTCTTGCGCTTGAGACGGCGAACGCGCTTTTTTCTCCACTTCGCTCTCATCTTGACTATGCAATGTCAGTGCCAGTGTAGGTTGCAGTCAATGGGGGTGCACCAACATTTGAATTCTTCGATGAGGTTTGCGTGATGGTTGGAGGAAAAGATCAAGATCGATTTTCGGGAGGGGAAGTTGACTTAAACTGGATAGGGCAGAGGGCAGGAAGCCCTGTGGGGTAGCGGTCAGGTGACTCAATTGGCTGCAGCCTGCAAAGCTCAATGGTGGCCCAAGCTCTGGGTCAGTGGATCCCTTTTCTGCGACTTTCACACTCGGAAACCATCAGAGGCAGGAAGTCATCAGACAAGCTCCTTCCCGAAACTGAGAAACCACCTAGGTGCGACTCGGTTTTTCGAGTCACAACTTGAAGTCTGTCTACAACTCCCTACACACAAATTATGCATAGAAATCATGGAAACATTACAGACCAGAATGGAAACATGACTTGATGCGTCCACCCAAATCTCGATGGCAAGCTGAGCTCTTCTCTTGAACATGTCGTCAACGGCTGTCGGAATAGTGACTTGGGAGGACACGAGCAAAGAGCCCCCGGATAGAGGTGAGATCCATCGTCGAATGGTGTCCTGATTTTGTTGCGTATCCGACAGTCCCATGTGATGTGGTGCACAGTGCTGTCAGATGCCGTCCAAGTGTTTCAGCGAGACTACCATGCATTGCTCAGAGCACTGAACAAGATCCTCTCTAATGATATGGGCTCCAGGATCTGTCTTGATTCCTGCAAACAAGACCGTCTTAGTTGGCCGGGATGAGGCTAGGAATCATATCGCATTTGCAGACCCAGTGGTGTCGAGATCTCAGCTGGAAATCTTCTCCATCGTTGTTGATGAAGAGGGCAAGCACCCCCCTCTCGTTTTTGTGCGCGATCGAGTATCCTCGAACGGGACCGCCGTCAATGGTCAGCTCATCGGAAAGGGAGCGAAGTTGTCCCCGTCCAGACTGCTCGAAAACGGAGACGTGATAACCATCGGGCGGCATCCTCACTTGACTCTCAAAGTCCAGCTGTCGCAGGTTCAGTCCTCGTACATCCTCAGTCCTACCCAGCAGCAGGAGGTCGAGGTAAGCAAGCTTTTCTACAGCGTTCTTTAAAGTCTCTACGATACTAAGGTACTAATATGTATTCTAAGCTCTTTAAAGACCGCTATGTTGTCATTGATCGCACTATTGGCGAAGGCGGTCATGCTGTGGTCTTTCTCGCCAAGGAGGTCGAGACTGGACAGCACGTTGTCTGCAAAGTCCATGATATCAGCAGATTTTCACAGACATCCAGGGTAGTTGAGAGAATTCGCCAAGAAGCAGCCTTGCTGAGCACGCTGGACCATGTAGGTAACTAAAGCGTCCATCAGCCTAGTCGATACTGACAGCTCAGCCAAATATCCTCCCCGTCAAGGCGGCGTTCGAGACGCAACAGACAATGTACGCAGTATAGCAGTATCCCTACGTTGATGGCTTCAGGGGCTGACTCACCGACAGATATGTCATCATGGAACTGGCGACGGGAGGCGACTTGTTCTCGCTCCTTCTCAGGTACAACCGGCTGGCTGATTGGGCGATCAGGTCTATCATTCGGCAGGTCCTTCGCGGTGTCACCTATCTTCACAGCAAAGGCGTCGCCCACCGAGACATCAAACCAGAGAACGTCCTCTGCGGGGTGACACCCCAGGTCCCGTACCGGATCATGCTAGCCGACTTTGGGGACTCGGGCATTGCTGGTCCGCAGAGGATGAAGTCCGCCGTCGGAACTCGGTTCTACCGACCGCCGTAAGCCAAGCCACCCGTATCGTCGATTTCACACGAGTCTGACTCCGAGTAGTGAATGTGCTGCTCCAGACCATCACCACGATCTATCGGTTGATATTTGGGCAGTCGGGATGCTTACCTTGCAGCTGTTCCTCGGATACCAGGAGCTACCCGGGCTTGATTCCGTCGTCTTCAAGAACCAAGAAGATATTGACGAATATCTGGACCTGACATTCTCTGGCTTCGATCCTCAACTCCGAATTTCCCAGGCAGCAAAGGATTTCATCCGCCGTTGTCTTGTCTATGACAGCGCAAGAAGGCCGACGGCCCGCCAGGCCTTCTACCACGCATGGCTTCAAGAGCCGAAGAGCGACAGGGAGACGTTCAAGCGATTGGAGGCGGAGAGCGCCCTACTATGGAAGCCCCAGTGGGTCAAGTTCCCCGTTATCGAAACCCTCAAAAGGGAATCTACTGGCATGGATAAGCGTCATGGCTCATATGCAAACAACTACAACGCCCCGAAAGATTCTGTGTCGCCGCATTTCATGGACCGCAAGCAGGTGACGGCAGCTCTGAGACCGAGAACGCACAGCAAGGGAAAGTGTGCAGCCGTTCCAACAACGCCGATCGGACACGACACTATGGAGCAAAAGAAACGGAAGGATATGGCGCCTGTCACTGGGGGCGCGAAACGACTGAAGTCTTCGCCGACTTGATGCCAGAAATAGGCCCAACTGCGAGATCGGGGAGATTGCAACAGACTAACCCCTTGCCCAGTGCTGTAATAAGACCGCATGTAGCTAATTTGCAACAAACATCCAGGTGAGAAGTGAGAACCTTAGAAGACCCAGCCTGAAGCAGCCTGATCCGCAATAGGACAGCTGGCGTTCGTAGATATAAAAATTCACAGCTTTGAGCTATCTGCCCTCATCCCCTCATCGTCCTGCTCCCTGACCGTCAAATCAGGGAGCTCAGCAGGCATGATCCTCCTTGGCGACGCTCCGGGGACGACCGAATACTTGGAGAAGTCAGTGACACCTGCGTGCTTTCTGAGGAAGTCCTCATCCAGCTCCAGCTGGCCGTTGACGACCGGCGCGGGAGCTGTGAGCATGGCGAGGATGGCGTCGGACATGATAGTCGGCTTACGCAAGTCCCTGGCATAGGACGGGTCTCTGCGGGTGAACTGTTCTGTCGCTGCGGATTCGATGGCCTATTTGACATGTAGGTTAGCCTTGGCTCGGCTCTTGTATGCTCATCATACTTGTCTTCCCTCTCCTTCTCCTGGAGAAAAAAAAGAAAAAGAAGAAGAAGAAGAAGAAGAAGAAGAAGAAGAAGAAGAAGAAGAAGAAGAAGAAGAAGAAGAAGAAGAAGAAGAAGAAGAGAGCAGGCGGAAGATCGAAAAAAGGTCCATCTGAAAGAAAGGTAATATGGAAAAGAAAGTTGAAGAAAGGAATACTCACCACAGCCGGCCAAATGCCAGTCACCGCCAACCCCCCACCACCAGCCGCCGTCAACCCCTCCCGCTCCAAGTCCATACCCAGCCCCTTCACCAGCACACTCATGCCGACCTTGCCAATGGCATAGGCCGTCTTGCCGCGGAAGAAGCGGCTGTAAATCGGCGGACTCACCACAATGATTCTCCCTCCTCCTCCTCCCCTATTCCTTTCTTCCTCTACTAGTACTGCCCGTTTCCTGAGATGAGGCAGCGCCTCCTGCACGGCCGCGTACAGGCCGTCGACGTTGACTCGCTGCATCAGCTGAAAGCGCTTCATTGGCGTGCGGGCGACGGGCGCCCAGTAGATTGCGCCGGCGTTGTAGACTAGGACGTCCAAGCGGGCGTAGGTCTGTGGTGTTTCACATTTTCCTTCTTTTTAGTAGTTGTAGTTCACTAAGCGATGTAGTTGTAACGTGAGGGTTCATCATTTTGGGGGAGTAAGTTAAGTAAAGGGAGGAAATAGAAGGGATGGGATGGGAAGGGACTACTAGCCTCGATGGTTTTACGGATTAGCTCCTGAATGCTCTCATATTTGGTTGTGTCGACGGGGATGGCGGTGGCTTCACCGCCCGTGAGAGTGATTTCGCGGGCGACGGTGGTGATGGTGGATTGGGAGGAATTGGGATCGGGCGGGAAGGGGGAGATCTTGTCGAGGTCGGCTTGGGGAGTGGTGGACTTGGCGGCAACGACCACTTCAATTTGGGGCTGGTTAGGTAACGTGTGATCTGTATCATTTCGCTTTAAAGGGTGGTGTCGTGGTTGTTGCTTACCAGCATACCCGTTCCTGGCCAGGTCGATGGCGATCTGCCGGCCTATGCCCCGCGAGGCGCCAACCACGAGAGCTACCGGGCTGCTCGTGGTGGATGGCATGGCGGGCGAAGTTAACTATTAGTAGTAGGTACGTGACGGTTGTCAACTGTCAGGAGCTTCGTAAGTGGCAAAGAGGACCACTCGTCCTCAGCCTGGGATCATGGAGGTTTCACCCCATGATGAGCACGCAGCCTGCGGCCGGAGTAGTGGGTCAATCCGGCACCTGCCGAGCCCGGATGGATTAGTGATCGGCCGGACGGTAATGCCGGCGGCTACCGTCCGAAGTGGGGCTACCGAGGCAGTGCTCCTCGGCGCGGAAAATGATCCCGTGATGAGGACATGGAAGCTCAACATCGTGATTCTATATGTGCTGTGCCTGCCGGCCGCAAGCTGTATGGCTGTGTCATAGATCGGACGCTTGAACCTACGGTAATCGTGTAATATTAGACAACCTTGACTCCGGGTATTACGTTATTCCCCAACGCCGCTGTTTCCCTACCCTACACCCCCCTCTTATGCCCTATTAATATGTAGAGTACGCCGCACATACTTTCATCCATCCATACAAACACAGTAGCCCAACCAAGTCAAACCCGTTCTGCCATGCGCAACCGCCTCGCCTCCTCCTCCCTGACGGCCTCGCTCCTCGCCAAGAACTCCTGCCGCGCCGCGAACGAGTGCTTCGACTTGCCCGCCAGCTCCAGCTCGTCCTTGATGCCTTCCCGGTCGACAAACCCGGCCCAGTCCATCCTGCTCTTTTCCACCGTGTTCAGCTTCTTGGCCTCGGCCTGGTTGGCGGCCAGCTCGCGCGCTCGCAGCCGCTCTGACAGACACAGGTTGAGATCGGTGCGCGCGGACAGGCCGTCGGCGGCGGCGACCGGCTCGAAGACGGACCGGAAGGCTTTTCTGGGCAGGCGTTTCTGTGTGGGAGAGGAGGAGGAGGAGGGGTCGTCGCCGTCGGGGTTGGTGGGGTTCTCGGCGAGGTAGAGCTTCGCCTCAGCCGAATCGCGCGCCACGAGCTTCTCCTCGGTGTGCACCTTGCCGGCGAAGTTGTAGGTTCGTTTTATGCGGATCAGGTTGGACTCATCGAGTGGCCTGTCGGGGTTTGGTTGGGCTGGTTGCGTGGAAGGCCTGAGAGCGTCCTGTTTTGGCTGCGACGTTGTGAATGGTTTGTTTTGCGCTTTTCGGACGACGGGCTCGCTGGTCATTTGCGCCCACAGCGCATCCACGTCAATCGTCACCGGACCGCTGGCTGCTCCCGTTCGTTTTTCGGCTTTCCTGTGGGACGACAAGTTACAAATTAGCAAGAGACGAAGCCACTTGAACTTCGTAGCATGGTAGCATACTCGGCAGCGCGCATTCGTCGCGTCTTCACTAGTCCTCCTTCGCCCCCCTCCTCTTCATCTGTATTATCCGCCCTGCCATCTTTCCTTTTCAACTTTTTCTGCCGCTTTTCCCCTTTTTCAATAATCGCCTCGTCCCCGGAGTTCTCAAAGCCAGTAACCTCGGCACCGTCATCGCCAACATCCCGTCTCTTGCGCTTCCCTGGAGCATGGTCCTCGGCGACGGCTGCCTCGTCGTCATCTGAGCTAGCTGACTCCTCGCCGGGTGCATCTCCCGGTGCGAAATCGGAGTCCTCTTCTGACAGGTAGTCTTCGTCCTGCACTAGCTCTGTGGACATGATGGCGCGTGGGGTTATCAGACGTCAAGTTCAAGTTGTCGGGAACCATTTTGCCGAGAAGAACGGAAGAGGCCAAATTAAAGCGGGGCGGGGACAAGGTGGTTCCCGCGACCTCGACCCGCCCCCGCCTCGGCTCCGGTTTCCCGGTGCAAGACCAACAAGACGAAATAGCAGGGTTATCCTACAAGCTGTTCGGAGATCTGAAGGTTACAGGCGTCTTTCCACGGCGTGGAGAGTCCGAGATAAAACTCGTTCTAATAGAGAAGAGACGACCTCGATACGTAGCTCCTTCTATGACAGGGATGGATGGCTTCTCATGCCCTTTCGGCACTGCGTTCCTCATCGCAAAAGCCGGGGCGCCGGATTCGGTCTTCCACGATGCCAGGCCAATTTATCCATGAGACAAAACCCGGTTTCCCACCGGACCTTAACCGGGCTGACGGGTCAAGCATCCGTACACTAAGGGCAACTATCACGGATGAGGAAGCACGACAACGCCGTTATGTCCGGACGTCCAATGAGATGGAGCTGGTTAAACCTGACTGCTTCCCCCGCTTCTGGGGAGCACGTTGGGTGCGCCTTAGTGTATATGTATGACGATCACGGGGTTCCTCCCACGTCCAGGCCTCGACGTCTGGGCCGAAGCCTGCTTCAAACGTCTATAAGAAAGGGGCTCAGATGCATCGACCTCGGGCGAGGACTTCAGACTAATAAACCAGGAAGTGACACAAATATTACCGTTTGACACCTGTTGACGAGACCAACACCATCACACCATCATCATGCCATCCGCCTCAGCTCTCACCCCGGAGGAGAAGGAGCACTTCCTGACCCACGGCTGGGTCAAGTAAGTACCTACCTTACCCACTAGCAGCAAGCCTCAGCATCCTAGACCTACCTCACGGTCCTCACCCCTGTCTAACCCTGCTACAGAATCCCCAACGCCTTCACTAAAGAGCAAGCCGACGCCATCACCAAGAATGTGTGGACCCGGCTAGGCATGGACCCCAACGACCGGTCGACCTGGACGCGCCTGCGGACCAACATGCCGCATCACACAACCTGGGACGCGTCGCAGTTTGCGCCGCGCGCCTGGGCCGCCATCTGCGAGCTCTGCGGCGGCGAGGACCGGGTCGATCCGGACTCCAAGACGTGGCGCGACTCGCTGATCGTCAACCTCGGCGCCCCGGAGTACGAGAGCAAGCCGGTCCCGCCCCAGGACCTGCCGGAGTGGCACGTCGACGGCGACTTCTTCGTGCACTACCTGGACAGTCCCGAGCAGGCGCTGCTGGTGACGCCGCTGTTCACCGACATCGTGCCCAACGGCGGCGCCACCTACATCTGCCCGGAGGCGATCCCTAAGGTGGCCAAGCACCTGTACGAGCACCCGGAAGGCGTGTCGCCGCGGATGACGCCTCGGGCCGACCCCGGCTTCCGGCAGGAGAAGGACCTCAGCTGGTTCTGCAACGTGGCCAAGAGCTGCGACAACTTCATCGAGGCCACAGGCCAGGTCGGCGACGTGTATCTGATGCACCCGCTCATGCTGCACGCGCCGTCGAGCAACTCGCTGCGCAGGGTGCGCATCATCACGAACCCGCCCGTGTCGCTCAGGGAGCCGCACTGCTTCGACAGGGAGGATGAGAACTACAGCCTGGTGGAGCAGGTCACGCTGCGCGCGCTGGGGAAGGACAGGCTGAGCGGGTGGAAGATTGCCGGCCCGCGGGAGCGAGTCGTCCCTGAGCGGGTGAAGGCCCAGGAGAGGATGCGGCTGGAGGAGCTGCGGAGGCTGGAGGAGCTCAAGGCGATGGAGGGGCAGCCGGCTGTCAGTGCCGCGGCGTGATTCAATAGTACTTAATAATAAGGCGCCTGTGTCGAGGACTCGAGTTAAGTGTTAATACAGATAGCCATACGTACCACAATACTTCGTATCTGCTAAGATTCTGATCTGATGTTTATTGATAGGTTTGGATGTCTCTAATGTTATCTAGATGCCAAAGGGAAATAAACATATGTCGAGGGAGGTCAATCATCCCATCAGAACGTTCTCTCGTGAGTCGTGTCTCGGTATCGCGGAGAGCCGTGCCCCGCAAGGTTCCCGCGTGCCAAGACCCACGGAACGGGAGCCCTGCTGCTGTGGGGCATGCCAAGAACGGTCCAGATCCCATCACAACCAAAGCTTGGAATGAGCAATGTTCAACGTCGACAATGCACAATTCAAATCAACAGCTGGCAAGATGAGTGACAGCGACAGTGACGACCACCAGGCCGAGGAGCCTATCCTTGCTGACGATGACCCGATGCGGGCGTTCGTGCCCGCCTCATTTGGCAAGACGACTAAGGAGGCAAACATCGCCGCGCAGATCGAGAAGACGAGACGACAGGTCGAGAAGCCGACGGAAAAGAAGCAAGTGAAGGCTGCGCATGACAGCGATGGCAGCGACTCGGATGACTCAGAATCTGATGATGAGGACGAGGCGGAGAAGTTTCCCATAACTCACGAGATGGTACTCAAGACGCACGAACGAGCAATCACAAGCGTCACATTGGACCCTGCAGGGGCGCGCATGCTAAGCGGCTCACTCGACGGCACCGTCAACTTCCACGACTTCGCGGCCATGACGCCTACAACGCTGAGGGCCTTCAAGACCATCGATCCGTGGGAGACCAAGAAGTCAGCGTCAAGCGATTCGCACCCCATCCAACATATCGAATTCAGCCGCCACTCGGGGAGTGTCTTCCTATGCGTCACCGCGCATCCCCAGGCAAAGATTATGTCGAGAGATGGCGGAATAGTCACAGAGTTTGTCAAAGGTGACATGTACCTGCGGGATATGCACAACACCAAGGGGCACGTTGGAGAGGTCACTACAGGGACTTGGCATCCAACCGACCAGAACCTATGCGTAACTGCTGGGTCAGACAGCACCCTACGGATATGGGACATCAACAACAAGAGGAGTCAAAAGGACGTTATTGTTTTCAAATCAAAGGCGGCGGGCTCTGCGGGACGCACAAGAATGACAGCCGTGGCCTGGGGTGCTTCGTCGCAGGGGAACAGCCCGGTTCTGGTATCTGCTGCTCTAGATGGGTCCCTGGTCATGTACAGCGGCAATGGCCCCTTCTCGAGGCCCGCGGCGGAAATCAGGGAAGCACATCGGCCCGACACCTGGACCGGGGGTATCGATATCAGCGCTGACGGCCGGATGGTAGTGAGCCGCGGCGGCGACGGCTTGATCAAACTCTGGGACACACGCAAGTTCAAGCAGCCGCTGGTCAAGATTGAACACCCCTCGACGTCGGACCGTTATCCGATGACCAACATCAAGTACTCGCCCGATTCCCGTCTCATTATCACCGGGTCTGCGTCAGGGCACCTCCACATTTTGAACCCGGCAAACCTCAGGCCAGAACACGTCACACCCATCACTCCAGGAATACCGCTCATCGCAGTCGAGTGGCATCCCAAGCTCAACCAGATCATCACCGGCTCCGCCAACGCCGAAACTCACGTTCTCTACAACCCAACTCTCTCCTCCCGCGGCGCGGTTGAAGTGATGTCCCGTGCACCCAAGAAGCGGCACATTGACGACGACCCCTCGCTTACGATGGACCAGAGTCAGATGGGTCTGTCAGGCGATGCCATCATTGCGCCCGGCGCCCTGGGTGGCCAGAAGCGCGGCGGCGTGTCCGCCTCGGGCAAGTTGCGGGACCCACGCCGCCCGCAAGTCCAGCAGATCACGCCGTTCATGCGCAGCCAGCCGGACGAGAAACATATCTCGGAGAATATCCCGCTCAGTCGCATGCTGCACGAGGATCCGCGCGAGGCGCTCCTGAAGTACGCCGAGGTCGCCAAGAAGGACCCCATATTCACCGGGGCGTGGACCAAAACCCAGCCTGTCACGCAGTATGCTGAGGTGAGTGATGAGGAGGCGGAGGAGGAGGGGCCTGAGAAGAAGAAGGCTAAGAGGTGATGATGGGGCGGTGAGGGCAATTTATGGGCGTTGGTGGCTGGGTAGCAAAAGCTCGGGACTTTGGCTAAGCTAGAAGTTTGTCTTTAAATTGATACCACACATCCAATGCATACCTATGTTTTACTTAACAAGCCAAATAGTGCGGAGATGCAACCGACCTTGCTCATCGAAAGTTCGAAACTCACGAATTCATGAATCCCTGAGGACATTGTAGTAGAATGAGGCAGTAGACTAGAAACTGAAGTTTATACAGTTGTTCTGTTCACAAACAAGAAGGGTACTAGGTAGTGACTAGAAACCAAGGAAGATAGCAAAGCTTATCAACAAGACAGCAATGTTAACCTCAATCCGTTCTCACTTCTCAGCTTCTGCCTTCCCAGGCATCCAAGTGGGGCATTTATCGCGATTGGCTGCTATTGTCGTGTGTGCCCCACCGAAGTTGTTTTCGGACTTTTGCTCCTGCCGATCTGCCTTACATAAGACGTGCTCGTATCTGCGCAGGAGCCAGCAGCACAGCCTGGACCAGATCGCCGCGCCATTCAATCTTGTCGGCTGTCTGCCTCAACCTCACCATCCCATCAAGGGCGACCGCGCGCATCAAAAAAAATCACCAATCTCCCTTGCGACGCATCGAGTTCATCTCGAAATCGCCAACCACCGAACGCGCTAATCCCCGCGCAACCCACCAAGCACCACACGACCCCAGCCGCCTTCGGCCAACACTCACTATTTTCATCACGCCTATCCGCCGTCTTCGATTTTCCTTTCCCACCCCACACAGCACGTCGCCATCCCAGGCGCGGCTGGACAACTTGCAAGCTCCCACTCCCCAAAATCCATACCTTAACTTGCGCCTTGTTCCACCGCGACGCGACAGCCCACTGCGCAATCCCACAACCCTCCCTTCCGCGGATCATCGATTGCAGCGCTACCAGCATTCAATTGCCGCCCTCGTTTTCGGACGCGCCCGAACCCTCAACGTTCGCCGTTCCGTCGCCATACCGCCTGTAACATACACAGTCAGGGCTCCGCAGCCCCTCGACAACGACTGTCGGCGCCAGAATATGCGCGGACTGTAACCTTCGGACTAAGCAATTGAGATCCTGTTGGCGTAACCCAACACAGCTGCCGCCATCATGGCTAGTGTCCAGGTGCCGCCTGCGGTGCAGCACCCAGGCTCCGCCCTCCCGGCGAGCATGACCCAGCAACAGGCTCAGGAAATATTTATGGTTCGTGGAGTCCATCCTCTGCACTCCGTCTGATATAACACATCGGGCTAAGATATCGCTAACACGGCGTAGAAATTTCAGCAGATGAAGAAACAGGGCGTCCCCAACACCGATCCCGAATTCATCAAGCTCCAGTCGATCCTTGCCGCTCTCCAGCGCCAGAATGAGTTGAGGAAGCAGCAATTGCAGATGCAGCAGCAGCAACAGCAACAACAATTGCAACTGCAACTGCAGCAACAACAGCAGCAACAGGCCGCACAGAATGCCGCGAATGGTGCTATTAACGGGACTCAACCCCTCAGTCTGCCAGCTCAGACGGCTACAGCGCAGACAACATTGCCTCCTTCGACAACGTCGCTCGCTGCTTCCGCCCTACCCGCGACCACAACTGCATCCGCGGCCAGCACAACCGCTGCTGCGCCAGGGCAGAACCAACCTAGCCAGTTCACGCCCGCGCAGGTCCAACTCCTTCATGCACAAATCAGGGCTTTTAGGCTGCTGGGGAAGAATGCCGGTGTCCCTTTTCAGATGCAGAAGGCCATCTTCGAGCACCGTGCGCGTCGTCGTGCATCGATGGTGAAGCAAGATTCCCAATCCGTATCCGTCAGCGCCGGTTCGGACACGCCTGCGCAAGAGGGTACAAAGTCAAGTCCCAGTGGTGCTGAGACCCGAGGCGAAGCTTCATCTGTACCTCAACCCAAGTCGTTCAAGTCGGTGAAATCTCCGTATGATGGTGGGCTCGTTCGCAAGACCATCTCTTATATGGACCATGGGCGCCGTAAGAATCGTTTGATCATCCCGGGCATCTTCCCCACAGGCATCGATTTCGAACAATTGAGGGCAGACCGTGAGAAGATTGTGTTCAACCGCATGAGTGCGAGATATACCGAGTTGAAGTCTCTCCCCGGCAACCTGGCGCACATCGATGCATCCCAGGACGTTTTGGTGACTGACGACACAGCGAAGAGGAAAGCTGTCATCGAGATGAAGAAGCTCGCGCTATACTCCAAGCAGCGCGCTCTGAGGGACAAGATCGGAAAGCAGATGATGCACTATGACAACCTCGCCATGACCACAAACCGAGCACAGTACCGCCGCATGAAGAAGCAGAACGTACGGGAAGCGCGTATCACCGAGAAGCTGGAGAAGCAGCAGCGCGATGCGCGGGCGAACAAGCAGAGGAAGAAGCTGGAAGATCAGATGATTGCCCTCTGCAACCACAGGAGCGCGGTCCTAAACGCTGGTCAGGCCGAACGGGGCAAGCTGCAGAAGCTTAGTCGCGTCATGTATAGCCACCATTTCAACATCGAAAAGGAGGAGCAGAAGAGAATCGAGAGGACCGCCAAGCAGCGTCTTCAGGCTCTCAAGGCCAACGACGAAGAGGCCTACCTCAAACTCCTCGACCAAGCCAAGGATACCCGTATCACTCACCTGCTACGCCAGACCGATGGCTTCCTGCATCAGCTTGCCTCGTCTGTCCGTGCTCAGCAGCGGCAGGCGGCAGAACGCTATGGCCACGAAGCTGGCCTGCCAGAGGAGAGCGACGCGGATGAGGATGAAGACGGAGACAGCAGTCGCAAGATCGATTACTACGCCGTTGCCCACCGCATCAAGGAAGAAGTCACCGAGCAGGCCAACATCCTGGTTGGCGGTACCCTGAAAGAGTACCAGCTCAAAGGCTTGCAATGGATGCTGTCACTCTACAATAACAACCTCAACGGTATCCTGGCTGATGAAATGGGCCTCGGCAAGACAATCCAGACCATCAGTCTGATCACGTACCTGATCGAGAGGAAGCAGCAGCACGGTCCTTACCTGGTAATCGTTCCTCTCAGCACCCTGACCAATTGGAATCTCGAATTCGACAAGTGGGCGCCCTCGGTTGCCAAGGTGGTCTACAAGGGGCCCCCGAATGCGAGGAAGATGCAGCAGGAGAAGATCCGCCAGGGCAAGTTCCAGGTCTTGCTCACGACCTACGAGTACATAATCAAGGATCGGCCACTGCTGAGCAAGATCAAGTGGTTCCACATGATCATCGATGAAGGTCACCGCATGAAGAACACGAACTCCAAGCTGAGCGCCACGATCCAGCAGTACTACAGCACCCGCTTCCGTCTGATTCTCACGGGTACCCCACTCCAGAACAATCTGGCCGAGTTGTGGGCCATGCTCAACTTTGTGCTGCCCAACATCTTCAAGTCCGCCAAGACATTCGACGAGTGGTTCAACACTCCCTTCGCAAACACGGGCGGCCAGGACAAGATGGAGCTCACAGAAGAAGAACAAATTCTGGTCATCCGCCGTTTGCATAAGGTGCTGCGGCCGTTCTTGCTGCGCCGTCTCAAGAAGGATGTCGAGAAGGATCTTCCGGACAAGACCGAGAAGGTCATCAAGTGCAAGTTCTCGGCCCTACAAGCCCGGCTATACAAGCAGATGGTCACGCATCAGAAGATCATCGTCAGCGACGGCAAGGGCGGCAAGACCGGCGCTCGCGGTTTGAGCAATATGATCATGCAGCTCCGGAAACTGTGCAACCACCCGTTCGTCTTTGACGAGGTCGAGAACCAGATGAATCCGGCCAACGTCAGCAACGATCTCCTCTGGAGAACGGCTGGCAAGTTTGAGCTCTTGGATAGGATCCTGCCCAAGTACAAAGCAACGGGCCATCGCGTGTTGATGTTCTTCCAGATGACCGCTATCATGGACATCATGGAGGACTTCCTCCGATTCCGCGGTATCCAGTACCTCCGGTTGGACGGTACAACAAAGTCGGAAGACCGGTCCGAACTTCTGAGGGAGTTCAACCGGCCAGATTCGCCATACTTTATGTTCCTGCTTTCCACCCGTGCTGGTGGTCTCGGTCTCAATCTTCAAACGGCAGACACGGTCATCATCTACGATTCAGACTGGAATCCTCACCAGGACTTGCAGGCCCAGGATCGTGCTCATCGTATTGGGCAGAAGAATGAGGTGCGGATTCTCCGGTTGATCAGCTCTGCGTCTGTGGAAGAGAAGATTCTGGAGCGTGCTAGATTCAAGCTCGACATGGACGGCAAGGTCATTCAAGCCGGTCGTTTCGACAACAAGTCGTCGGAGACGGATCGTGATGCCATGCTGAGGACTCTGCTAGAGACGGCGGACATGGCGGAGTCCGGCGAGCAGGAAGAGATGGATGATGAGGAGCTCAACATGATCCTCGCCCGGAATGAGGACGAGCTCGTCGTCTTCCAGCAGCTGGATGAGGAGAGGGCGCGCGACCCGGTCTACGGCACGGCACCTGGCTGCAAAGGTGTGCCGCGTCTTATGGCCGAGGACGAGCTTCCGGATATCTATCTCCAGGACGGCAACCCCGTCGAAGAGGAGTCGGAAGTGATCCTTGGCAGAGGTGCGCGTGAGCGCAACAAGGTTAAGTACGATGATGGGCTCACAGAAGAGCAATGGCTCATGGCTGTGGACGACGACGATGACTCGCCCGAGGCGGCCGCAGCGCGGAAGGCTGCCCGCAAGGAGAGGCGAGAGCAAAACAAGCTGAAACGGATGGCGCTGATGAACGCGTCCCTGGAGAACTCGCCGTCTGCCAGCCGCGCTAGCACCGAGGATGTGGAGACGCCGGTTAAGAAGCGGGGGCGCAAGCCGGGTAGCAAGAACCAAGAGAAGCGCAAGGCAGAAGAGGGCGACGACGAGCCGCCTGCTAAGAAACGCCGTGGCCCGCAAGGACGGCCAAAGGCGGTTAGCATAAACGGCTCCGAGAACCGCGTAGCGCCGGAGCTCCGTGAGAAGCTGCAGAAGAGCATGAGGCGCATCTATGACGGGCTTATGAACCTCGAGGTTGATGACGAAGAGCCGCAGAAGCCTGACGGCGAGCAAGACGACGACGACGAGCCGCCGAAGCGTCTCATCATCGGGCCGTTCGTCAAGCTGCCGCCGAAACGCGAATGGGCAGACTACTACGTCATCATCACGAATCCAATCTGCATGAATGACATCCAGAAGAGGATCAAGAAGGAGGAGTACAACAGCCTGTCGGACATGCGCAAAGATCTGGACCTCATGGTCAGCAACTGCAGGACCTTTAACGAGGAGAGCAGTGGCATCTGCCAGGACGTCAACTTGATCGAGGTGAGTTTTTGTTCTCCTCCTTTCTCCGTTTGCATTAGACTGACAGGGCGTTCCAAATAGGCATTCTTCAAAGCCCAATTCGAGAAAGAGCTCGCCGAGAACCCTGAACTTCGCACGCTGGAAGATCCCTCGTCGGGTAAAGATGGCTCAGTCGCGCCGTCATCGACAGCAGCTACCGATGGTACCCCGCAGCCTCTAGCGGGTGGCGCGCCCACGAGGATCAAGCTGATCTCTAGTGCTACGAATGCCAATACAAATCAAGCGAATGGCGGTGGCGTGGGAAGCCAGCTCAATGGCGGAAGCAGTGGCGCGCAGAGCGACGAGGATTAGCTGTTCCGAATCGCTGACGAACCCGCGGTCCGCGAACGAGCCCGGACCCGGTCCCAGGTGCGTTCTTTCTTCAAGGCGGTTGATCGTGCATGATGGGAGGGGATAGTGGCGGATGCCCCACGACGGGACCTCGGAATGGTTTATTCTTCTCGGTTTTGTGTTATAGGCTTTCGTGGATGGGTCGGTGTACCGTTATCGGAAGAAAGGACATGGCGTTTCTGTTTTGGAAGTTTTGCTTTTCGCTACCCCCTTGCTTTACTCCCTTCCTTTGGGCGGAATGGCTCTGAGAAGGTTTGGGTGGAGAATCAAGAAGGGAAAAGAGAGGGCCCCGGTCTTATTGCTAAGATAAACTGCTCGGGGTCATTAGTGGGCGATACGTTTTTGCTTCGGCGCTTTGGCTGGTGGCCGGCTGATGGGTGACAAGAGACAAGACGAGGGAACCGGTGATGGTTTATGTTTTGAGTATGGATTACACTTCCAGGTTCTTTGATGTTCACATACACACACTACTACCTAGTACTTTACACATACAACCTGACGCTGCTGCGTACATTACTATTCTAAGGCGTGCTGCTGCTCTCGAGGTTCCCTTGGTCGAGTATCGGGTTGGGGTGTCTCTCTTCTGCTCCCTGTGGGTGAGACCCAGCTCTAAGTAGTCCATGCAGAAGCGCTCTATGGGGAGTTCGGTTGATTATAGCCCCGATCCTCCATGTTCTGCTCCTTCATCGATTTCTGTCTGTCCGTCCGACCTGTAAGAATCTTCAAAAAAGAATCCACGCTGGATCCTCTCATGGATACCTTAGATAGTCGTTAATGCCCTATTCGCTCACACCGCGAAGCAAGCAACCGAGGATCAAAAAAGGAGAGCTACAAGGCCGCGCGAGATGGCTGGGGAAGGAGGAAGCAAAATTGAAGCTTTCAAGCTGCCTGATACAGGAATTGAACCTGTGATCTTCGCATGTCGAGTTTGGGGGCAACCTTTTGAGTTGAGAGTCCCCGAATACAAGTGCGACGCATTAGCCACTATGCTAATCAGGCTTGCTCGCTTATTATTGGCCGTTTTGATTGACACACATTCCTTCAAGTACCTAACGGTATCCAGGTGGAGATGTTTCCCTTCATACTTGAGTTGCGGTGTCTTTTCTCTTGGTCACTTATTAGGTTTCATGGACTCATGATTTGAAGCCCGTGCCCTTAGAAATGCTCCATTGCGGCTAATGGCCCCTCGTGCATGCCTTCAAAATGATTATTGACCTACACATGAAGCATCCCTGCGTGTAACGTGTCAGAGCAGAGGGGTCGTTTAGATGCATGACCGCGCCCCCAAGAGTGGTTGTGCATGTTCGACCGACCAATGCTCATCCCGGTACTAGCCCAACATGAACCTTCAATGAACGGACGCCATCAACCCATCTGCAAAAACCAGAGCGTATCCATCATACCTTCATAAACCTTGCCAACCGACATGGACCTTGAAACGCCAAAAAAAAAAGGAGAGAGAGAGAGAGAGAGAAAGACACCCAAACTCTTTCCCCGTATATAGTGCCGCTACACTCTAGTCAACCAGCGCACTCGTCGTTCCCAAAAGCGTCATGCCCAAAAACGCGAAAAAGATGCTCAGGTTCCTATTATGGTCCAGGCTGAGGCTCTCGACAAAAAGCTGCAGCGCCACGCTGACCATGATGCCGGCGGTGACGGCGAACAAGCAGCCATAGGCGGTACCGTCGACGGCGAAGTCGGAGCGGTTGGCAAGCTTGAACCAGGCGACGGCGACGGCGGCGCCGAGCGGCTGGCTGAAGCCGCCCAGGAGGGAGGACCAGAAGATGGCCCTGAGCCGGCTGCCGAGCGCCATGTACAGCGGCAGGGCCATGGCGAAGCCCTCGGCGATGTTGTGCACGAAGAGGGCCATGAAGACGTTGAAGCCCAGCGACGGGCTCGCGTGGTTAGTCGCGTACGTGATGAACCCTTCAGGGAACTTGTGCAGCGCGATGGCAATGACCGTCTGCAGCCCGATCGACAGGAAGGCGTTGGTTGGCACGTGGTGGTGGTGCTGCGCTTCGCTGTCCTCGAGGCCCTCGGACTGGCTGTAGTGCGAGTGCGTGTAAGGATGGGAATGGGAATGGGAATGGGAATGGCTGTCGAGATCGAGTGAGTGGGTGCGGGTGACGTTGTGCCGTAGGCTTGGCGTCGAGTCGTCGTGTGCGTCTTGGGTGGTGTCCAGGTCCGGTAGAAGTGAACCGGCTGTTGGTCGCGCCGTGACAATCCGGGAGAGGGCCGACCGCGTGCCGATGTGCTTGAAGCACTCGCGACCGCAGGGGTCTGAATAGCCGTAGCACGGCCCCTCCTCGTCGCAGTTGGCCTTTGTGTCCTTGAAAAAGGACAGGACCCGACTCCGGACCTGGGTCATCGACATCCGCCTGATTTGCGTATATTGCCTTGGTTCGCTATCATCGTGATTGAAGTGCGTGACGGCCTCAACTGCCGGCGCGGTGTTGCCATTGGGAAGTGCTGTATGCATATGGCCGTTGGGCGGGACCTTGGCAAGAATCAGGGGTGTGGTTTCGGTGACGCTGCGGTCCGTCTCGGTCATATCTGGACGGTCTACGGCGGCGGTATGCGAGGACACCTTCCGCACGGGGTGGGCACCATGCTCCTCATCCACAGGGCTATCGTGAGTATGATCGCAGTCCACGACATGGGACGGCATAAATTGGTGTAGTACTCGGGAGATGGCCTGGATGCCGAAAAACCCCCCCACAAAGCAGCCCATCATCAAGAAGCTGGCCTTGTGCTCGTCCCATCCGTCCTTAGTGAGGTAGCGCATAGCCGATGGGAGCATGCTGTACAGCGCCGAGAAAAGCTGGGGAATGTATGTCAGCAGGAAGACAAGAAGAGCGCATGCGGGCACGTCATACGCACCATGACGCCGAAGCTCAAGCTGAGTGAAGACGCGAGAAAGGCATTGCTATCCTGGATTCGGAAGCGATGCTTGCCCGGGAGGAGGCGAATGGGAATGTCGATGCAAACAACAGTTGCACCCAGTATGCATGCTAGGCCGCTGACTATGGACATAATCCAGCCTCGCGTGTCGTTGTCCATGCCATCAACGTTCATGGTGCCGGGCCAGCTCCCGGGCTCAAACCGTTCAACACTTTCAAAGGTAATCTCGTTCACAGCGTAGTTTCACGCAAAAGGAGGGGGTTCTTTTTGAAGTTAAAACGTGCCAACGTTGTTCGGGGCACGTTTATTAACCGTCGACAGCGTCGGAAACGTGGGAAAGATGACAAAGAGCTAGGACTTGAACCGGGGGGCGAATCTTGGGGGGGTGTCAGATGTCATCTACCTGGTAAGTGAGAACCTCGATGGCCATGCAGCTGATTGGTAAGGCAGCGTGGGCAGGTACGTAGCACGGATTGCAGCACATGCGGCTTGGAGAGCTGCAGAAAGCTGCAAAAGAAATCCTCCATCCAGCGACGTCGGGTTTCGCCGGCCAAGTTTCTCGCCTTTGCCAAAATGGGCCACTTGGACCGTATCAGTCCACCATATGGCGGCCGTTGCTTGACCGCAGCACAACCACCAGATTTAGCTTTGAAACCAAAGGCCCGGGCCGCCAGGTCCATTGACACTTGGGGTGGATAACTACCTATCTATAGGGAGCAGAGTTCTCGACTTTCTATGTCCTGGCCCTTCGAGAGTCAGATTGTTAACGACTTAAGGAGGTACCCCGCCACGACAGGGGTGCTCGCCAAACGTTGCAAATCGCTGCTTTCCCACTCGCCCACCACACAGTAGTACTGCAGCTCAGGCTGACCGCCTCGATCCTTCACACCTGGTGCACCTCGATGGCTGCGATATTTGTACTGCTGAGAGCCTGAGAGCCTGAGGGCCTGAGACCGTGCAACAGGCGAAACACGACTCGAATTCAAAGGCATGAAGTAGGTGTGACAGTGTGACTTTGGAGGCAGCCTGATATCAGGTGGTCGCAAGTCACGAAAATGCATGAACTATACAGTATAGTACATGTACAGTAACTACTAGTAATCTGTACGGAGTAGTATCCGTAGTGTTTGCGTTGACTGCGCCGTCTCGGCCCGTAACTTCGGCGGGAGGCAGGAGGCCCGGGTGGATCCCACTCAGTTGCCGAGCAGGGTGCAAGGGTCGCTCTCGACCGGATACACAGCAGCGACAAAATTTCCGAGTACATGCAGGCAACAGGAGGCCGAAAGAAATGCACAACCCATAGCTTCAGCTGGGTGGACGACGGCCACTTCACCATCACCTGGGCAAGTCAGCGATCGGGGCGGCAGGCCAAGAGATACCACCAATTCTGCCAAGCCGCAACAAGAACGAAAGTTGCCATGTCGAAAGCCACCATCGCCGTTATCGCGGCCATGAGCGCCGGCGCCGGCGCGGCTGCCACGGCGGCCGTGTTTTCGATGCGCTCCGAAAAGAAAGCCGAAGTCACCACAACCACAACCACCGTCGTTGCCACCAAAGGTCCTGCCGTTCCCGTACCCGTGCCCACATCTCAAGTGTTCAGCCCCAACCAAGCCGCCGCCGCCGCCGCGGCCGTCCCAGTCCCAGTCCCGTCTCCTCCAGCGATCCCCTCGGCCGGCGCCTCCCCCGCCACTCTTGTCAACCCGGCGGGGCTCTTCGAATACGGCTTCCCCGGCCCCGTCGCCGACCTGGCGACTCGCCAAGCGCTGATCTCGTCGTACGACCGGCGCACCAAGAACCCGCACTGGGTGGTGGAGCACATCACGCCGGCGTCGCTGGCGCAGCGCGACGGCGACCGCAAGCACAGCACCTTCCTCGAGGACCCGCTGATCCCGGAGAAGTTCCAGGCCAAGCTCAAGGACTACTTCCGCTCCGGGTACGACCGCGGCCACCAGGTGCCGGCGGCCGACTGCAAGTGGAGCCAGGCGGCGATGGACGAGACCTTCTACCTCAGCAACATGTGCCCGCAGGTCGGCGAGGGCTTCAACCGCGACTACTGGGCGCACTTCGAGGACTTTTGCCGCCGCCTGACGGCGCGCTACCCGTCCGTGCGCATCGTCACGGGCCCGCTGTACCTGCCCAAGCGCGACCCGGCCGACAACAAGTGGTACGTCAAGTACGAGGTCATCGGCAACCCGCCCAACGTGGCCGTGCCGACGCACTTCTACAAGGTCATCTTTGCCGAGGAGTCGACCACCGCGCCCGGCGGCGCCGGCCACGTGGCGCTCGGCGCCTTCGTGCTGCCCAACGCCGTGATCCCCAACGAGAAGCCGCTGAGCGACTTCGAGGTACCGCTCGAGGCCGTCGAGAGGGCGGCGGGGCTGGAGTTTGCGAGCAAGCTGCCCGTGCAGCGGAGGAAGAGGCTGTGTGCCGAGACGAGCTGCTCGATTGTGGTCAAGGAGTATGCGGAGCGACAGAAGGCTTTTGCCAAGGGGGGGAGGTAGAGAGAGAGAGAGAGAGAGAGAGAGAGAGCGAGAGAGAGAGCGAGAGCGAGAGAGCGAGAGAGAGGATGGGATAGGGGGATGAGTGTTAATATGGTTGAGCGGGTTGAGCGTTGCATGCATAATATAGCGTCACGGTAGCCTCCAAGGGGGGGGACGGTTATGCATAGGAGCAAATTAGAGCCGGGGGGTTGATGTGTATCTAATGTTTACATCGTACATCAGAGCCCTGTACAATACATACCATACACTGCAGCTAAGAACAATAGTTGCAGACATATCATCGAATTCCCGACGATACATTCCTCTGTCTCCTCTATGACTGGTCGACTCCTGGGCGTGCCATCCAAGGTTCCGGGACTAGGTAATTCATGCTAGGAATACTCATCTCATCTTTAACGAGGAGAATCCATAGAATCCGAGTCGCTGACGTTTGAACCCTCCAGGCTCCGCTACATCTCCATTATCCTCCTTCTAAAACCAGGTGCCCGGATCGCACTACCAGAATAATACATGACAACCCCAAAAATTTGCCGTCCTGATCCGCAACCCACCGGCTGGCTACCTTTCCCTCCTGGATTTCCACCCCTTTCTCCTACCCCCCCTTCTGTAGTCTAAACTAGGCACCACGCAAATTATCAACTACCCCCTCTCGCTGCGGCCCTCCCTTCCTTCCCCTCCCCTCTTCATTCAGCACGCCTACCGCGCCCTCGTATACTTCCCCTGGATCTGCTCCATCCGCAGGCTCTCCTCCTGGCTGGGAAGCGGGCCCCGCCTCCTCACCCCAACACCATCACCTCCATCACCACCTCCATTGTTTTGCCCACCACTACCACCACCACCGGCCGCAGCCGCAGCAGCAGCAATAGCCGCGAGATTGGGCGGCGGAGGCGGGAACCCCGGCGGCACGGGATACCCCGCGGGCAGCACCGGCGGCGGGAGCAAGGTTCCCGGCGGCAACATACCGGGCGGCGGCGGCGGCGGCGGGAGGGGGATGCCCTGCTTCTTCATCATCTCGGCGATGGCCGCGAAGTCGGGCGGGTTCTTGGGGTCGACCACGCCCACGCCGGGGATGGGCGGTAGGCCCGGCAGGGGGAATGGGAGCGGAGGTGGTGCTGCTGCTGCTGCTGCTGCTCCTCCTGCTCCTGCTCCTGCAACTGGGTGTGGGGGGATCAGGCCCGGGAGGGTGGGTTGTTGCTGGAGAGGAAGCCCCGGGATGCCGGGAGGTCTGAGGGGCATTTTCTGGTCGACCAGCCCCTCCTGCTCATCTTCCTGTTCTTGTTCTTCCTCGACCTGCCGCATGTGTCGGTGGCCGCGGCGGTCCCACGTGCCCTGGGCCTCGGCGGCGGCCTCGCCGATGTGGTAGCGGTCGTTGAAGTTCTCGGCCTCGCCCGGGCGGGCGCGCGCCCAGAAGCGCGTGATGCGGTCGTTGGACCCGGACGCGAGGATGTGGCCCAGCGGATGCCAGTCGAGCGACCAGATGGCGAAGTCGTGCGCGTAGGGGACTCGGTGCGCCGGGTAGATGGTTTGCGCCGGCGCCGAGGCCGGGTCGGCGCTGTCGTAGGGCGCCGTGGAGGCGGAGTGGCCCGGGGGGGTGTTGGGTTCGTCGAGGAGGTAGTGGAAGAGCGAGCCCTCGGAACCGCCAGTGCTAAGCAGGTTGGGATGGATCGGATGCCAGGTGAGCGTCGAGATGTCCTTCTCGTGGCCCCGGAGGAGGCAGATGTCCCGCATCATCCGCAGATCGAACACGCGGGCGGTCTGGTCGCGGGCCGATGTTGCGAGACACTGCCCGCGCACTCGCTCGAACAGCGTCTTGGTGATGGTGTTCTTGTGGCCGTGCAGCGTTGTCAGGCACCGGCCTGTCCTTGGGTCCCAGAGCTTGACGAGATGGTCCTTGGAGCCCGAGACGATGAGACCCTTCGTCGGGTGCCAGTCGCAGCTCTTAGCGTCCCAGCCGTGCCCCGTCAGCGTCGATTCGGGCGCGCCAGCAGCGAAATCGAATATCCTGAGCGTCGAGTCGTCGGAAGCTGTGACGAACTTGACGTCGGTAGGACTGAAGGCTAGATCTCGGACCGGGTCTGTGTGGCCACGGATGCTCTCCACGTTGTTAAAGTTGGGCTGCCAGTACTTGATGATGCCGTCGTGGTCGGCCGATACCAGCCAGTCGTCGCTGTGCGAATACGCCAAGGCGCGGATGGCCGAGTCATGCGCTTGCATAATGGTCTCGAAGTTGAAGCCCGTGCCATTCCAGAGCGTGAACTCGCCGCTGCTGGAGGCCGTCAGCAGTCTCCTGCCTTCGGGTGTCCATCGCACTACATTGATGGGGTGTTTGATCTTGTTAAGAGACGAGTGCAGGTGGCGTGAAGGCACTGAATCCGCGGGACTTGTTACCCTGGCATGGGGCGGCAGCATCTGGGCCCGCGAGTTAGTACCTAACCGCTTCAAGGGCCGGCCGCATTGGGGCACTTACATCAACGATGTAGCTATTGCTGGGTCTCTCCGTCTCGCCCACGAACGAGCCCTTGTAGCGCGGTTGGCGACGGCGCATCCAATGGACAATAGTTGCGCCATAGTCGGTGACAGGACCTGTTCGAGGCGCGGTTAGTCTTGAAGATGATAACTTTAATTCAGAACCGAAACTAGTATAAAGCCGGAGGGATGAAGACAATCATGGCATGAAGTGGGTGGTAAGTGGGAAACCTCGACAACAGAATGTGCAGGCCGCCATTACCGCACAGCGAACGGCAGCTCTTGCAAAACCACTTTGCGGCGGGTAGCCCATGTCATTCACAGTTCAAGGAGAAGCTTGCACTTACGTCTCCCTCGAGCTCTCGACGGCAGAGGCCCATCGTACCCTCCGCCACCAGATCCGAAGCCCTTGTCGGCATGGTCCCTCCCATCATACGCCATGGCAAATGTGATGGGAAGTAAACGATTCGCAGCTGGTAGTCTGCGAGTTTTAGGTTCTCGATATCACCTCTAGGCTGTTGAAAGGCGCCCCAGTCGCATGCAATGTACTAGTAGATTGTAGACCGAGCTTAACGATACTCTTTGTCATGCGTAATGGGTAGTGAAAGTTTGAGCGCTCATATGCAGTGATATGAAGCCGATTGCAAGAATCGGTGCATACTGCTAATGTTTCTTTTGCCACGGATTGTCAACCGCAGCTTTTATACACCTAGTGTGAAGGCTCCAGGTTGTTGTCGCGACCAAGTGAAGAATGGCTCCAGCGCACACATCTGGTACGTACTCCGTACCCCGATAGCTTTCGTACCCATATGATCCGTGCGTTGGACCCACTCGACCAAAGGAAACTTACGATGTCGTTACGGATATTCCGTACGTATTTACGTTGTGATTCGTAATCCCTACACTCCAACAAGTTGCCTGGCGAGATCCGTTCGTGTTCCCGGAATCCCGGGCCGTCGCCGCCTCCGTAACAACTACCAAACGGCGCCGGCGACGGAGAGCGGAAGGGCGTCGCCCATTCTACTCCGTTCACACCCATTGCATAACACCTCCCGCGCATTCGCAATCGAGATGCATGTTCGGCGCCAGGATCTTGTCCTCTGTTCGCGTAGTCGTTCGGCGCTGTCGACTTCGCCTGTCGTCGACCCTCGCGGCTCCCTTCCTCTCTTTCTCATCACTCTTCCTACTCCTACTAACGGACTTCTTGGCTCTGGCTTCTATGACAGTACAACTTGTGAAGGGATGGGTCCCGGCAATCCCCCGGCCGTGGTTCTCTCGTGTATAGCGTCGTTACGACATCATCAGTGTCCTGGATCTTGAGAACTGGTCGCTCTCCTCTTTGCGTCTAGTTTGCTCTTCTCTTCTCTTCTTCTCATTTGGAGCAATCAACTACTTATCCTCCATCCTCGCCTTGTGCGATACAAAGCGTGATCCATTACAAATACTAGTACCAGTTGTTGATCCTCGACGGGTCACGAGAGCCACTGCTCGACCGAGTTCAAGCGCTAGGACCAGTAGAACAATTGTATCACGCTCTATATGCCTCTGGGGTGAGTCAAAAACAAAGAAGAAAGAAAAAAAGAAAAAGAAAAAGAAAAACACGTAAGCGGTTTGGAAATCATTTACTAGGTAGGTACCTAGGTATACAGGATGCATATGATCTACTAGGCTAGAAGGCTATGAGTGGGGAAGGCAGTGGAAGAATCGTAGTAGGATAGCAGTAGTATAGGGGGACTTCGTATCAAGGTTTGGTGATATAACCCAGGATGTATGCGGCAAGCCTGACCACAACGCGTGTGCCTGCAGGAAGCTGTAAAGCATCTAATTCAGCCGTCTCTGATGTACCTACCGTAGTTATAGTCGGATCCTAGTATTATCGTTTTGCAATTGAGGATTGTGTTCGTTAAATACCTGATCAAATACGTTAAAATAGTTTGGGTAATTGGAATACTACAAATGTTCTATTTCTCTATAAAGACTTGAATATTCAACTCAAGGTAACTACAGTGTTTTCAAAGTGAAGAGATCTTTTATGTTGACCACTGGTGTACAGCACACGTATTCCAATCCTATACCTTCTCGGTCGTCCCATTCTGGCCCGTCACTCCCTTCTTTGCAGAGACTTCATCCCCCGCCGACTTCTGCACGCTCCTCCACTCGAGAGCCGCAGCGCCGAGAACACTCAGACATGTTTTTTTCCATCTGCATCTCCCACCTCATCCCACCGCTTTCATCAGTGTCCGCCTTGCACCCTGAGCAAGTGCACATTTTCCGGCTCTGGCAGACGTATCTGGAAAACGTCAATCCGCTGCTGAAGGTGACACATTCGTCGATGCTGCAAGCACGGATTATCGACGCGGTCAGCGAACTGGGAAGAGATATTCATCCTACCTTTGAGGCACTCATGTTCAGCATCTACTGCATCGCGGTCGTGAGTCTGGCCGATAGTGAATGTCCCCGGCTGCTCAAATCGTCCAAGGAGGATCTGCTGTCGCGGTACCGGTTCGCGTGTCAGCAACTGCTGGTCAAGTGTCGGCCCTGGCAGTTTACAGATATCGACGGGTTGACCGCATTGTACCTCTACTTGGTATGCGATCCTCTGTTGTTGATATGAGTTGAACGAAGCACATCGTAGTAATAACGGCTCTAAATTAGGTCTCGGAATGGCCGCAAACAGACCCGCGCTCGCTCTCCTCCATGCTGGCCGCCTCCATCCGGATTGCGCAACGTATGGGATTCCACGATGAGTCCACATACACCCGACATACTACCGTGGAGGCCGAGATGCGCCGAAGACTCTGGTGGTCGTTGGTGGTTTTTGATCATCGCATCTGCGAGATGTCCGACTACAAGGCCACCACCTTGACGCCCACCAGGGACTGCCGGATTCCGTCAAACGTGAACGACTTTAAGATCCGACCTGACACCCATTCCAGCCCGCCAAACAGCGAGAAACCGACAGAGGCGCTGTTTCGCGGTGATTCGTAGCGAGCTGGCCGACCTGATCCGCCATAGCACGTTCCACATCAACCTCGTCAACCCGGTACTGGCGGCCGTCGCGAAAGCAAAGGATCTTCGCGACATGTCCGTTCCTGCAAATGGTGAGAATGAGATGTCGACTATACAGAAGGCAATCCAGGCCAAGTACCTCGCTTTCTGTGACCCGGCTGACCCGCTCCACTATTTGACAATCTGGACAACGCGCGGCTACCTACCAGCCAGGAACCGCCTGCCGGAGCACTACGCGCGATACGTGACATCGCCGGCGACGACACAGCAGGCCGACTCGCAGCGCAACGCTGCCCTGTCCTACGCACTCGAGATGCTGGATTGCGACACGAGGCTGCGAGTCTCTCCTTTGACCCGTCGGTACACCGTACCTGTGGCTCGCAGATTTCCACGTCCCAGCCCTGGCATACATCCACGTTCTGAGCGACCTGAAACGGCGGCCGAGAGAAAGCCACGCCGAGAAAGCGTGGCAGGTCATGAGCGAGAACTAAGAAGCGCGCTCCACGCAACGCCCCAACAAGCCCGGCGGCGGCGGGCAGACGAGTTCGGGTTCCGACTCAGTCTCCATGGCACCAAGCTCCAGCACCGGGGAAGCGCCCTGCAGCAGGCTGTGTAGCAGCAGCATCGCAGCAATCAATCCCGATTCATCATTAGAGGAGATACCCGCTCAACAGATCAACGTCACCGCTGGTGGCTACAGTGCCGATGGACAACAAGCCTTCCCAAATCCTCCGGCCCTATGAGGACCCAGCAGCTTCCCTGACCTCGCTGGCGGACCGGCTATCATGGATGACCTTGATATAGATCAATTCTGGAATGCCATGCACTGGATGTTGATGCATGCACAGGCTGGTGACGTACATACCATACCTTGAGTGTTTCTAAGGTTGATGCTAGGTCACGCCGAGTTATAGGAACGAACCCTTCCTCCCAACGCCCGTTGAATGATATCCCAATTCCGAATCTGCCGTTGTCCCTGTAACACAAAAGCCCGTAGTGGGAATTCGACCTGACCAGTGGTCTGCTCTTATGTGGACGCAGATCAGAATGCGAACATACTAGTTCGGACGATCTTACTTTTCTTTCTCCCCCCCTTCTTCCCCCCCCCCCTCTTTTCTTTTCTCACTCGCGAATGATCACATACGTTTCTCCAAAGTCGAGCTGCTAGCTTTTCCCAACCTGCTCGCCGTCGCAAGCGCTCAAGCGCATCCTTCAACTTCAAGACGGTCAACCGCTTCGTCGGACACGAACATCGAATTGAATGAACTTGCATAAAACTCTGCGACAGGAAGCGGTATATCGTCGATGGAAGGCAATTCGACTACCCCATATTTTAGACTCCAAAAAGAACGTGAACGGCAGACAGGGGCGGGCATATTTATTCTATGCATATGCGTCCACAGGCAAAAGGTTGGGCGACCCAGGAATCGAACCTGGGTTTCTTCGGAACGTTGCTCAAGTACTTCCCTAGACCACAACGAAGCGTCCTGACCACTAGACTAGTCGCCCTCCACTGTTGATGCAGCTGATGCTTGGCTTTTTGAGACGCTGGTTTTCGGTGCGTTGCTGTGGATTATGCGACCGGTTTTTCGGTGGCATCGGTGCGGCTGAGGTCCGCTTGCAGGTGGGTTGCAGTTAAGTTGGGCCAGTTGGGGGGAGGGGGGTCTGCAACTTCCACAAGTTCACAACACCAGCCTCTTCACACAGCCCATAGACTGATGTACTTAAGCTTCAGGTTGTGTGAGTCGGATTACATTCTGAATCTTTGCTAGTCTGTCAAGTATCTTGTCCTCGTCTGCATCTGCAACAGCCACCTTTGGCTTGTCGAAGTCTCTAAGAACCTTGAAAGAAATCGAGGAGCCAGGCCAGGATATGCCTATGACTCCTCCATCGAAGCAAAAAGAGCATCACCACTACGAGCGACCACGGATTACGGCTCAGGGACCATGCAAGACCCAATATTGACCCCCGATCTCTCTCCAAGCGAGTAACCCTTATCTCAAACAGCAATAAAGCAATACCCCAACGCCCTCGCTAATGCAGTCTTGGTTTTCCTCGTTTTCTTCAAAAAACACAATGGCATCATTGGAGAAGCTCCTCGCAGGTCCAGTCCTCATAGCTAGAATATGACGTTAGTCGGAGCTGAAACAGACCACCAGGCAAAAACGAGGACTTACTATCCATCTGGCAAGTACCGGCGCACAATCAAAGGGATCTTCTTCTCCTTCAACTCCTTGATAGCGATCTGCAGCGGATCCGTCTCGCCTTCAAGGTCTACCAGCACCGGCGCGTTCATGCTGTGATTTAATTTTTCCATCAGTCGGGTTACTCCTGCGCCAGTTCCCTCCCAAGGACGAAAACGCACCTGATCTGCAGCGCCCTCGTGCCCAGGATGCGCGCCCTCTCGTACTTTGTCATGAAGGGCGTCGTGGTGCGCTGATCGTTCGGGATCTTCTTGTCCTTGTGGGACTTTTCGTTGCCCTTGCCGTGGTTGGCCGCCGCATTAGGGTCGCCCGACACCACGACGTGATCGCCATCCTGCTGCTCGCCGTCCTGCTCTGGCGCGCGCGCCGCGTCATCCTCCTCGGCCGGGTCCGGCTCTGGCTCGTAGTATTCATCGGCATCTTCGTCGAACGCCGGCTCGTCGTTGCTGCTTGAGGTTAACGGAGAGAGGCTTTTGAGCGGGGATGGGAACAATGGGAAGCTTACAGAGGCTCGCGGTCGTCGTCGCCACCGTAGTCAGACATCTTGGCGTATTCGCAAGATCACGTACGCGATAGAATCAACTGGCGACGGTTATGGGTTCGAGTTGCGGCGGTGACAAAGCCGAGATGCAAGGTCGCGCTGTTTGATGAAGACGGCGGCGAATGGGAGGGGAGGCTGATGGAAGGACAGCAAAAATATTTGAGTGGGGCTGGATCCCTGCGACCAAAAGCTTTATCAGCCTTGCAGTGCGGGTTCAGTGGAGTCAATCCAAGTTAGCGCCAAGGCCCTTGCCTGCCGGGAACATAGCGCACCACAGAAAAGTTGGGGAATTATCGAGCTTACATCGAACTTCTGCAACTCCAATCGCAGCTTACACCATCTCGTCGCCCACCAGCTCTCTTCGATTACCTTCCACTCCTGGCAAATGGCCATGAAACGGAAAGCTACAACCGAGGATGACGGCCCGACCGGGCCCTCTAAACGCCAGCAAGTTGAGGTTTCCCAAACAACGGACCTCGACTATCCAGAATCAGTTCTAGCTCCAATGGAGCCTTCCGCCGACTCGACCACCTCGACGGCAGACGACAATACCAGCACGTCATCGCAGACCGCAACCCCGATGTTGCCCGCAGGTGAAGCCGCAGACGGCCTCACCTCCGCAGCAACCTCGGTCTCGGCCTGCCCTTCATCCCGGCGAGGCCGCAAATTCCCCTCCGACCTCAAGACAATCAAATGCACCTACCCAGGCTGTCCGAAGACCTTCAATCGCCCGGCCCGGCTAGCCGCCCACCTGCGCTCGCACACCAACGACCGCCAGTACAAGTGCCCCTACGAGGGCTGCGACAAGACCTACCTCGAGGAGAAGCACCTGGCGCAGCACATCAAGGGCTCGCACACGCACGAGAAGAAGTACGTCTGCGCGGAGGAAGGATGCGGCAAGGCGTTCGTGACCGCCACGCGACTCAGGCGCCACGCGGCGGTGCACGAGGGCGCCGAGCGGTTCCGCTGTCGCGGCTACGAGGGGTGCAGCCTCAGCTTCCGCAAGCACCAGACGCTGCAGCGGCACGTGCGCACCGCGCATCTCGGGCTGGCGGCGTTTGTCTGCGGCGCGGAGGACTGCGCGGCCGGGTTCGACTCGGCCGGGGCGCTGAGGCGGCACGTGGCGCGGGAGCACGGGGAGCTGCGGTTCTGGTGCGAGGAGTGCGGCGCCGAGGAAGGCGACGGGCGCAAGGTCGGGTTTCGCACGCTGTTGCTGCTGCAGGCGCACATGCGGAAGGAGCATGTCAATTGCATGTTTTGCGACGTCAGGTGTGGCAGCCAGGCGGATCTGGAGAGGCATGTGGACATGTACCACTCCGGCACGACGGTCGAGGATCGCAAGACGGTCGAGTGCACGTGGGAGGGGTGCGGCAAGAAGTTTACGAGGGTGTCGAATCTCAATACGCATATCCGGACGGCGCACGAGGGGCTGCGCTTTGTCTGTGGGCAGGTGGATACGTATGGAACGGAGGATATTGCGGACTGGAACTGGAAGGAGGAAGGGTGCGGCCAGACTTTTGTCAGCAAGCTGAAGCTGGAGGAGCATGTGCGGTATGTGCACCTTGGGAGGAAGCGGCCGCCGAGTCTGCACACGGCCAAATCGGTCTTACCGGGTGAAGCAGACGAGATGTCGGCTGCGGCGCCCTCGAGGACCATCCCCTGCTCGGTGGAGGGCTGCTCAGCCAAGTTTGTGAGACATGCCGACCTGGAGAAGCACCTGCGGAAAGGTCACCGCGAGCCGAAGCAGGAAGAGGATGCCATCGACCCACGGCTGCAGCGAGAAGGCGCGACGGAGGAACCGTTCTGGATTGAGTCGGCCTTGCCTGCGAGAGACGAGCCGGCGTTCGATACGGAGTGGGCCGAGATGCGGAGATTGATCGATCTTGACTCGTTTGTCCAGGCGAGCGGGTAGCTGTAGAAGGCGGAAAGCTTTTCCCCCCTGTTACCCTACGATGCCATTGTTTGCTTCGTTTTGCTTTGGCCCTTGGGTGCCTCAAGTCCAGCCGGAGACGCCGTGTAGTGCATGAATTTTCGTTGCTTTATACGATATGATGATGAAGAAGCCGGGTTAAGTCTGATCATGTCATGAAACAAGCTGAAGGTCGACGCTATTGTGTTTGCTATGGAGAGACAGAGAGCTGAATCAGTGGGCCGAAAGGCAGGTCACTCTGCGTATTGTATGCCGGTGTTGAACACCAGAAACGCGAGAGAGGAGATGCTTGTGGTGCGCGTCTGTCACTCTAACCTACTTAGGACAAAATCTATAGTGGACATGATGGCTCAGGTTTTGGTCAAGCCCAGAAAGAACGAAGCAATTTGCCCAGTGTATATGTGTGTGCTGCGCTGCAGGACTGTATCTATACAAGATGGGACTGCCTCTGCGTCGTGTGTAATGCATTGCATTTTATGACCCAAGACGCCCACCCCGTCCATAACAAAACGGGGGTGTCTGCCATGCTGGTGGCCAGGTAGGGCCGTTGACGCGGTGGGCGCAGCCGAGACAGTCGCCAGAGATCAGAATCTATCTTCCGTGCCGTTCGACCTTGTTGGACTACCAAGACCTTTGCGGTCTTTGTGCCGACTATGGCTTCCAAGCCCTCCCACATATAAGCCAGTTCCCTGGCTTAGGTGGGCACATCACCTTCTTCACCTACCTACCTACTACCTACTATCCAGACCCCAACCATGCCTCTGACCTCTCTGCATACTGCAACAGACCTTTATCAGGCCTCTTCGGAGGACTGCCCCGACGTAACCGTCGTCGAGGACTGCCATACGTACCGCACCAAAACAACACACCCGTGGCCGGGTTCATCCGTCCATACCGAGCAGCCAAGGGGTGGGCCAGCGTCACCATGGTTGACCGGCCTTAGGGTTGTTAACGCTATTTTTGTATTGCTATAAAGGGATAAATAAATAAAAACATTGCACTCTACGACCCAAGACGCCAATACCGTCCACCAAAAGGATATATAATGGACGGCCAGGCAGGGTCGTTGACGCAGTGGGCGCATCCAAAACAGTCGCCAAATATCTGCACTCGTCGCTCGTGTCGTTCTGCCTCCATCATGGCTCTGAGGAGGGCTGCGGATCCCTCATCGTATTCGCCGTCGTTGTAATCGTCGTCACTAAAGTCGTATATACATTTGTCTTCGTAGTCGTTGTCGTCGTCGTCGTTTCGTCGTCTTCATGGTCGTCTTTAAAATCGTCGTCGAGGTCGTCGTCCTCGTTATCTTCGACATCGGCAACATAACCCTCATCTTCTTCGGCCTCGGCGACATACTCACCATGCCGCTGATGATCGTCATCTTCATCTTCTTCGATGTTTACCTCCGCAAGCAACTTGAAGGTCGTGAAGGAGAAGCATAAGTAAAAAGTCTGTTCCTGTCGTCGAGTAGGTCTGCTGGGCGCGCGCATCGTCGTCATGCGCGTCTTGGTAAAGCTGCAAGCCCATGTTTATTGAGGTAAGGAGGAGGGGTGGGGGTGCTGCGGTGTTGGTTTGAAAAATTGGAATGCGGGAGCTTGCGTGATCCTAGATCCTGAGGATGCGCCGGACGGGAAGTGAGCTTGTCGGGGCCACCAAGAGAGACGGTGCGCGGTTGGGGGTGTTGTTCGTCGTGAACAGCAGCTTGACAGCAGAGAGAGGCGGTCCGGCCGATATGTCTGGTAGAAACTATGTGTAGGTAGCTGATGAGAATGTAAACTGTGTTTGTTAATGAGAATATAAACCGTGTGCGTATAATGTTTGTGGTTCCGTCCGATGAGGAATCTCTGGGAAGCAGCGGGTGGACCTTGGCTTTAAAGGGGCTTATAACGCGTTAACAGGCGCGTCCAGAGGGTGGCAACAGAACACACGTCAACGAGAGGGTAAACAACGTCCTTGACGACTACCTGTACCGGAGCTAGGTATGTGAACACCAATCAAGGGGGCACCCCTGTTGTGAACTGCACCCAATGATAGCCGGCCTGAATGGTGAAGGCCCTGGAGGGGGTGTATGATACCCGAGAAGCTGCTGTTCAAGCCTCATGTTCAGCCACACCAGACTGATCATCTGATCATATACCGGGCACAATAATCCAGACCTGGCGAGGTTCATTCGTCCGACTCGAGCAGCCAACGGGCCGCGTTACCGTGGCAACCGGCCTTCCTTCAAGTGAACCATCCCCCCTGATCCACACCACGTGATGTTGTCCATCCACCATCATCAAAGTTTACTCTCAACCACAGCGCCTCCTGGATGAATGGCCCCACTCATCAAGTACGCACCCCCTTCCCCTTCCCCTTCCTTTTCCCCGCGCTCCGGTTGTCGTACTCGCCCTCTAAGCATAATGGGCACACCAAACAACACGGCCTCCCTTCCTCCCCCCGTCCCCCACCACGCGAGCCCGATGGCCGCCCTCTCGACATCCATCTCCCCGTTGGCCAGCACATCCCAGAACCTGCGCTGCGCCACCTCCCTCAGCGCGCGGTCCGCAATCTCGTGCACCGCACACGCCGCCAGCGTCATCCACTCCTCAAAGATGGCCAGCTGCAGGAACGGCAGCGAGTCGATCAGCGTCAGAACGAGCGTGCTCTGCTCCGACACCAGCTCCGCCTGCTGCGGCACGGGCGTCGTCGCGTTGGGCAGCAGCGAAGGGCCCGGTGACGGCGGGAGCGGGAGCGGCGCCCTCCCCACGCTGGGATCGTCGCTAACCCGGAACCGGACCATCTCGAGCAGGGTCTCGGCCAGGTGCGGATGGCTGGCCGAGGGGGGGAAGGGCGGGCTGAGGATCTGCATGACCGTCTTGAAGGCGAGGCGGAATTGCCGCGGCGAGATGTGGGCGGGGAACGAGGCGAAGAGGGTCTCGGCGTAGAAGGGGACGATGTCGACGGCCAGCGGGGCGTTGTGCGGGCACGAGAGGACCGAGAGCACGGCGCTGTGGGCGGCCTCGAAGAGCTCCAGCATGCGCGGCGAGAGGGCGCCGCCCGAGGGGTGGTTGAGGTAGGTTGTTGCTGGTTGGATGATCAGGGCGTCGCACTCAGAGGGGGGGAGGTTGAGCGGGAGGTGTTCCGAGACGTTGAGGTAGAAGAGATCCAGGGTGCGGTGCAGTGGGTGGGCGGGTATGGAGCCTGGGGAAGACGAGGACAGGGCAGGATTGATTTCGCGGAGGAAAGAGGCGCAGGCTGGGCCGTAGCGGACGAGTGTGTCGAGGGAGGTGAGGTAGGTGAAGGTGTAGACCTGGAAGGCGTCGCTGCCGTTGCGGGAGGAGATGAAGTAGAGGTTGCGCAGAGCGTGCAGCGTCTTAGCCGCCACCGCGGGCGCCATTGTGTATTGCTTGAGGTTGCGGTCGATGAGACTCCGGGCGACCACAGCTTGCAGGACCGCCACGACCGCGTACATGACTTTCTTGAGAACTTGCCAGAGCGCTGGCCATGTGCTCTTCAGCGTCTCAGGGGCGAGGAAGATCTCTTCTTCCGACTGTTCAAGCTCAGACAGCTTGTTGGCCTGCCAATGCTGCAGCAGCCGCTCGGTAAAGGCCAGCAGATCATCCTGGAGCTGCAAGACCACGCCAGAATCGCGGGCGTGCTGGACGGCATGGGCCAACAGCCTTGACAACGGGCCCAGGCCAGCTATAAGCGGTCTCTGTTCAAGTTGCTGGAGGTGTAGATATGAGGGCGAGTTGTCGGCCCACATGAACTTCTGCTCCGCCTGCCGCACATCGAGATCGATTGTCGCGAGAAAGAGGCCGTCCTGCAGGCCGTCCCCGCCGAGCATTGCCCTTGTCGCGACCGGAACGAGAGCATCACAGTCCAGGCCAGCGCGGGCCGATTCGGACAGCATCGGGAAGGCATAGTTGAGCGCCAATGATACGGGACCCGACGGGGCAGGAGGTTCGGGTGCCCTGTTTCGGATGGCGAGGTTCGCAGCCGTGACGACGGCGCGCTCGACGGTGGCGCGCATGCCGCGGCTGAGCGAGTGCCGATTGCCGCTCTCCATGCCCATCAAAACGCCGCTGAAGACGAGCAGGTGCTGCCAGCGGCCCGACTGGTCGTCGGCGCCCTTGAGGACAGCGGCGGTCCATGCATCGCTCCCCAGACCACCCCCAGCACGCGGTCCCATATTCTTGGCGTTCTCAACCTCGTTGCGGCGCACATGGATCGCGGCGGTATTGTAGATGCTGATGATGCGGAAGCACGCACGCATACCGTCGCGACGGCCCCATATTGCCGGCGCGGTAAGCAATTGGGAAGTGAGGAGCGAGACATTCAGCGGGTTCGAGAGGGACGTGAGCAGGGCCGTGGTCGTCCCGTAGATCTGCTCGGTGCGCGCATCGTCGTGCACGTCTTGGTAGAGCTGCAGAACCGTGGTCAGGAGGCGGTCAACGGACATGGTTTGGGATGGTGGGCTATGTCATTGCTGAGACGGCCGAATAACGCTACTTTTTCGATTGTCTGTTGTCTGTTGTCTCGCAGTTGATCGATCTGAGAAGCAGCAAACGAAGCAACTTAGGAAGCAGCTGCGACGCAGTGTGTTGTTGTGCCGAGGCATATGCATCTAACCGAATCCGGACCCGTCAAGGTGGTCAAGCCCAGCCGAGCTTGGCTCCGTGAGGTGTGTGGTCCCATCGACAACTGCACCTGTCTTTCCATTCACACCAGAACGCAGTTCTCCAAACTAAACCGTCGTCATGGAAATCCCAGTGTACGTTTTGTTCCATCTGCTATGCATGCGGACAATCACCGACTGAATGGTTCGCAGTGCGAGTGTGGTCCGACGCGACACGCCGGCCGAATACACAGTCCCGCCCTTCCCTTCCTTGTTCTGGCCGCCGCAGGACGGAACCGTCATCCTCTACGAACTAGACGATATGTGGAAGTTCACACTCTACTGGACGCTCATCCTCTACGGTCTCTTCCACCTGGGCGCTGTCGGGGTTGCCGTGCTGATGCAAGGGGGGAAACGGAGTTCCAGCTGGAAGTACCTTTGGCTGGTTCCTCTCGTCTACGCCCTCATTGCCGCCTTCGAGGGCCTCCTCGCCGGAACACTCGTGGGTTTGATGTGCGCGTTTCCGATTTCAGCTATCTTACCCTGGATTTTCCGGGCCGTGCTAATGCGCAGCAGAGTCGGCGCGAGCTATATTGTCGGCGGCTATACAATGTCGACCTGGATCCCCTTTGTCTGGGGGTGGGTAAACGTCCTCGTCCTGCTCGTGTCCTCCTTTCGGATTCAAGGCGGTCTGTGAATTCGCTGCAGAACGCTGCAGGATCGGTACGTCACTGCTTGTGTCACTTCCGATTTCCAACCAGAAATGGGAAGATATCGGCAGGATGGGGGAGATGTGGCTCTCCGTACAAGCTGCATTCAGTCCAATGCAAGGGAGGAATGGCGGAGACAAATCCGCAGTCTTTCGGAGGCGCGTCATAGGTCGCACGACCCCTGCCCAGCGCTTTCCACGTGGGAAGTGGGGCACTAATTCCTCCCGCCCCTATCCGCTGCAGTGGGCTGAAAGCCTGAAAGTTCTCAGCGACTGGCCAACATCCATCAAGCAAACACCAGAAACATTGCGTTTCGCAAGCCGAAATTGTGCAGCCAAGACGACTTCTTTGCAGCCTCAAAGAACAAACTTGTTCTGCTCGTCAATGAAAACGGATCCCGGCACTGCTTAAGCGCCAATTGTGGAGACGGAACGAATAATCGGGCATGGCATAGCAAAGAAACCAACACGGCAGCACCCTCGTGGCCCGAGTCTTTGTTGTTCCTGGGCCTGGGACCGAGTGGCGAGCAATTCTCTGCAGTCACCAAGCACTATGTCGAGGATGGACAGCTCCTCCTCTTCCAGACGGCGGCCCTGGTCGCCAGAAATGTAAGAGCAGCCATCGATTTTGTTTCTCTTCCCTGCCTGTCCTCGTTCCCTATGCTATCAGCATGCCATACGCTACGGTGTCACCGTCGCTCGATAAGCAGCTGCCAATGCGAGCTGGCGACTGCCTCCCTTCCATATTGACCGACCCCTGCCGCCGTCGCCGAAGCCATGCCGCGGCCCACAGTTCCTCAGCCACCTCGAATGGCTGCAGCCGGGACTCCCCCGTGACCGGCCGGACCCTGAACACCAACTCGTCCACAGACGCAGGGAGCACCCGCGCTGACAAGTTCTCCAGTAGCGACAGCGATAACCCCAACAGCAGCCAAGACGACGCCTCGCTATACCTCCCGCACCAACCGAAATCCCTCGCGGGCATCGCAATCCGCTCCTTCTGCCTCGGCATCGCCCTGACTCTGGGGCTCGTCGCCACGCTTACCATCTACTTCTACACATCCTCCCCGCTATGGCGCCTGCCCTTCTTCCTGGCCGCTCTGTCGCTCTTCCACTTCCTCGAGTTCTGGACCACGGCGGCCTACAACACGCGCGCCGCCGAGGTGTCGTCCTTCCTGCTGACGTCCAATTGGCCGGCCTACGCCATCGCCCACTCGTTCGCCACGCTCGAGTGCCTCCTCACCCACCTGCTCTGGCCCAACGCGCGATGGGCGCCCTTCGGCCTGGGCCCCGCGCTGACGCTGGCGGGCTGGGCGCTGGTGGTGCTGGGCCAGGCGGTGCGCAGCGTGGCCATGATCCACGCGGGCCGGAGCTTCAACCATCTCGTGCAGTACCGCCGGCAGTCCGGGCACGTGCTAGTCACGACGGGGATCTACGGCGTGCTGAGGCACCCGAGCTACTTCGGCTTCTACTGGTGGGCGTTGGGGACGCAGATGGTCATGGGGAACGTGGTCAGCTTTGTCGGGTACGCGGTGGTACTGTGGCGCTTCTTCAGCAGTCGGATTCATTATGAGGAGGAGCTCTTGGTGGCTTTCTTCGGGGACGAGTATGTCAACTACCGGCGGCGGGTGAGGACTCTTATCCCGTTCGTGCCTTGAGTTGACAGCTCCGGGCAGTCATTCGACTCGGGGTAGGAGGCGGGGTCTACCTATAGGAAAAGGGAAAGGGGTTGTACAAACTTTTGGTGAGAAAATTCGCATTATACTCAATGCTTCCTCACCGCTGTACGTTATGAGAAGCAGTATATTAGCAGTCGGAATTGACTGGGCTCTCATGTACTGTACCGTATGGATCAAACGCCGACTTTTTGCCCATCCATGCCACCGACCAAACACCATCGTGAAAAGCATCCCCAAAGGAAAAATAACCATTTTTATCTCCATCTAATCGACGATCTCCGAACCATCTATCTAAATCCAAATAAGCCATTTATTCTAAGAAGATTCATTTCATTTAGCACCCCATGCCATCCCAAATCTCAAACAGCAGGACAGGTGGGTGGCCGCTCCTGCGCCAACGCCCGGCTGACGCTCCCGTACTTGGCCTGCCAGGCGTAGAAGTAGATGAGGGCGGCGAGCGGCTGGCCCAGGACGGTGAAGGACACCCAGAAGATGGTGTTGCCCAGCAGCTTGCCGCCGGCCGACTTCATGCGCTCGAGCCGCTGCGTCAGTTGGATGAGGGGGAGTTGCATCATCATGCCCAGGAATGCGACGCCTTTTTTATTGATTTCGTACGTTAGTAAAATAACGTAACGTAACAGGGACAGGACCAGGGAAGGGGGAGGACGGAGGAAAGGGGGAAGTATTACCAATCATGTTATGCGTCGGGACGCCGACTAGCAGCTCGTGCAGGACGGCCGAGACCAGGAAGACGGCTGTGCTGGCCGTCGTGTGGTTCCATCCGCGCGAGCGTAGCGGGTAATACACGTGGCGGCGGAAGAACTGGTACACGGGCTTGTTCCATGTGCGCCAGTACATGCCCAGACCTTCGCTGTTCCCTGCATGAGAAGGTTTTTCGTCAATACCCAGAAACCCAAGCCAAATCAAACCAAACCAAACCAAACCACTTCCTCCTTGGAATCGTATGGGGTAGGGGGAGGAGGAGGAGGGGCGGGCAACATACACCAAGCCTCGTAGAACTCTCGATCCCCAAACCGGGTAATCTCAGCCAGCGCATTCAGAAAGCTCTGGAACAGCGCGAAGAAGCCGGCCAGCCAGATGACGAGCGAGATGGTCGACAGCTTGAGCAGGCGCTCCACGATCGCCATCCACTCGAGGCTGGCCATCTTATCGAGCGAGTTGCGCAGCACGGGGCTGGCATACTGCGCGCTGCAGAACCAGATGAAGGCGCTCAGGCACACCAGCTCGCCCAGGCGCTTGGCCACAAATACCCAGCGCACGCGCTCGGTGCGCGGGTAGGCCGGCTGGTAGACCAGCGTGGGCGCCCACCAGAAGTAGGCCAGGTTGGCGAGCGTGATGTTGCTCGGGTAGGGGCAGGCCCTGTACAGGTCCGGCAGCGCGTCCAGCTCGCCGCGCACCGCCGGGTGCAGGTACGCGTGGCGCAGGTCGCGGTTCGTCAGCGCGTACGACGCCGTCTTGAGCCACACGATGATGGCGTGCACCTCTGTCAGCGTGCCGATGAGCGGGTGGTGGATGCGGTGGTAGACCACGTACGACGCGAACGCCAGCGCCGCCGTCACGTTGAGCGCGTGCGCGATGCGAATCAGGCGCCACGTCCGCCGGAACGCGAGCGACTGGTCCTCGGTCGGGCTGCTGCTGCTGCTGTTGTTGCTGCTGCCGTCGTGTTTCTCGGAGGCCGCCCTTCTCGCTCGAGAGCCGCGCGCGTGGTGGGCGGCGACCAGCTCGATGAGGTAGGCGATCAGCAGGTGGCACGGGATGAGGAAGTAGAGCGCCAGCGCCCAGCGCACGTCATTCTTCCGGAAGTCGTGGCACTTGATGCAAATCAAGACGCCGTACTGTGTGGTGGTGTATGTATGTCAGCCATGCATTTCCATAAAAATTATAAAATTTCAGAGACCACACCGCAACCTAACCTTCTGGATGTTCTCGATCACCAGGCGGAGATTGCCGGCAACTGTCGGGTGGCGTTAGTGATACGTTGACGGTTGCACCATCCACTGATCCACTGGGGTCTGGAAAGCGTCCCCGGCCCTTACCCAGCACAATCACCATGAGGTTGCGAAACCCCAGGAAACTGGGCGTCTCGGTGGTGTCATGGCTGAGGCACGACGGCCTCGATGCGGAGTGTACCGCCTCGACGTGGCGGTACTTTCGGCGGAATGCCTGCTTCAACTGCTCGGCTGAAGCAGGCTGCGGCGGGCCCGTCGCCGCTGTTGCCGTTGTTGACGGGCCATTGGGCTCGCGAACCCGGCGGGTAACGCCATTGGCGTGCGCTTCAACGGCCGTTGAAACTGTCATCGCTGCGGCGTCGTGGTGCTGTAGCGGACATGAGGTAAGAATGGGGAATCGGTACAGAGTAGTATGATGTTCTTCTCGGCTTTATATGGCGGGTTCGTCCGAAGTTGCAGGCGGATGGAGGTGGTTCGCACGTAGGGCCTATTCACATGCAAAGCAAGGGGGGGTCATCAACAAGGGATGCACCTACCCTAGTTATTTTCCAGATCAGGACACAAAGTCTTGGCTTTCGTAAATTTCTTCCTCCCTCGCCCTTCTCCTTTCTAATAGTTGGATGCACATTTATGGATGGCCGAGATACTTCAAGCGTAATTCCTGGTACCATTCCCGATGTTGAGCTCGAAGAACTGAGTCACCAACCTTGCAGAGGAGGGTCCTAGCGCATGGGATGCATGTCGGTTGGCTTGATAGCGAGAGCGGTTCCTTTAATACTGACGTCAGGATTATGATACCGTGACGCTCTAGCACTAACCCATGAATCAACTCTACCTAGTATTGATCAATCTACGTAGATCAGACTTACTACTAGTATGAGCTTGACTACTAGGTATCTATTGCGCTGTCAGAGCTTAGCTCCGGTGATCTTTGAAGAGTCCCTATTTAATACCTATGCGGTGCTTCTTACAGCAAGGCCAACACTCAGTGACATCCCCGATTTACATAGGTACCAAGTATTAATATTCACTTTTGTGCTAATAATAAGGAGTGTAAGAAGCTGTGTCAGAGTCCCGATAATATCATAACCGTCCTCGGACTACCCTACCCAACTGGTAGGCACCATTACTACCACAGAAGATCACACCACCCCTCACCCCCCCTTATAGGTACCTTTTTTTTTACCACTCTTACCACTCTCCAAACTTAGGACACTTCCTGGCCCCAGTAACGCCCTTGTTAACCTTCAAGCAATCGGCATACTGCGCCTTGCATTTGCCCACAGCCGACTCCCACGAGTCATTCCACCGGAACGTCCGCTTCTCCACAGCCTCGAAATAGTTCCGCCCGCGGTTGGGCCTGGTCTTGCAGCCCTGCGCGTACACATCGAGGCAGTCCTCGTACTGCTCCTTGCACGCATCGGCGCAGGCGTTGGCGCACCCTGGGCGGGGGTACTTCTTGCACTTGCGGCTGTCCGGGTCCGTGTACTGCTTGAAGGGATAAGCCGGCCAGTCGTCGGCCAGGTCGTTGCAGGTTACCACCGGCATCTCGATGCCCCCCACCGGCTTGCCCGGCCCGTAACCGTAGTATGGGTTGGATGGTTGGGTGCAGATGTTGGTCGGCGTCGGGACGGGGCACTTGGTAGTAGAGGAAGTGGTCGGGGTGGTAGTAGTAGGGGGCTTGGTCGACGTTGGCTTGCACGTCGTGGTGACGGTGATGGTCGTCGGCTGCGGCGGCTTGTTGCCCTTGGGCGGCTTCTTGCCGAAGAAGTCGGCCTTGCGGCAACCGCCCGAGGGGGGCTTGCTGTTGCAGTACTTGGAGATGTCGGCACACCAGTCGCCAAAGTCGAAGCAGTCGACCACGTCGGGCCAGCCAGCGTGCTTGAAGCAGGAGGCGACCTGCAGCGCGCAGTTGGACCAGGCGCCCTTGCAGCTCTTGTCATCGTCCCAGTCCGGCAGAGGGGACGAGCACCACTTGCCACACTTCCACTCGCACGTGGGCGGCACAACGGTGGTGCTCACGCAGGCGGAGCTGCTGGTTGTCGTGGTCGGTGTCTTGGACGTGGTTGATGTGGTCGTCGTCGATGTGATGGGGGGGTAGCTCGACGAGGAGGAAGAGGAAGAAGAGGTAGAAGAAGATACCGAGCTGGACGTCGTCGAGGTTTCCGAGGGCGGGTAAGAGGTAGACGACGAAGACGACGTGGTCGACGACGGAGGGAGCGTGGTGCTGCTCGACACGGGCGGCTCGTAGCCGCACGGCTCAAGCGACTGCAGCTCATGGGCAACGAACAGGTTCAGCCGGGAGCGGCCACCGCAGGTCTGAGACGAGTCGCCGTTGCAAGGGATGTTGCAGTCGCCAGCAGGGGCCGCAGCCGTGCCGTTGCCGATGACAACGCCGCAGTAGCACTCTCCTATTTCGCTCATGTCAGCTGTGCTACGGCCAAAGATGCGGGCTTTCGGCTCTCTTTTCATTCACATACCGCCGAACTCGGTGCCCGCAAACGGGAACCCGCCGTCCCGGCAGGCCTGCAGGCACTTCTCGGTCGTCAGCGACGCACCGTCCACCTTGTCCTGGCGGTAGACCAGGGCGCGTCCCATGCTCGAGTCGTCGGACCAGCAGCCAAGGGGGTGGTAGTCCTCGATGGTCACGTCCTCGACGGGCAAGAAGGTCGGGTCCTGGTAGACCGAGAAGATGCCGTTGCCGCCGCACGTCTCGGTGCTGTTGCCGTTGCACGGGAGGTTGCACTGGGCCTCGTCGACCTTCGGGCCGTTGACCGTCTGGCCGCAGTAGCACACGCCGTAGTAGACCAGGCCGGCGTAGCGGTAGCCGTTACCCTTGCACTCGGCCACGCACTTCTCGACCGTCATGTCGTCGCTCGCGCTGTGGCTGCGGTACGGCAGGAGCTGGTTGCCGCTCGCCTCGCTGAAGCAGCCCGAGTAGACGAACGGTTGGAAGGGGTCCAAGCAAGGCGGCAGGGGGTTCTCGGTGGCCCGGACGCTGCCGACAAGAGCCACTGCCGCCATCGCGGCGGCCATGGTCCTGAGGGCGGCCATGGTTGAGCGGGAAGGAGAAGAACGGGGTGTACAAGAAGCGAGTGGACAGGCACAATGAGATCTTGGAGGCTTCGATCTTCACTTGCTACTGGGTGAGGACGACGACCCTAAGTATAAGGAGAGGACAGGAATATCAGCCAAACGACTGGGGAAATGGCTTTCTTTTATATGCATGCTATCACTCGCCCTGCACTGGGGGCCTTGGAAAACCAAACGCAAGAAGAGATATCCATTGAGACCAGGTCAGGGTTGCTCGGCGTATGACCGTATGAGCTGGACGCACAGTCACCACTGCACCGCCGTCGCGTGGAAGCAGAGATTGGGCGGTTTGGCTTGGGCTGCTGCAGGGACACGGCGCCTCCTCCACAACGTATCTGTTTCTGGCAACAGCCAAGGTGCCAAGGCGCTCAGCGGGACGGGCGCAGAGGTGAGGAAGAAACAGCTCGAAGCTCGCGTTCGAGAACGGCGATGGCAACTGAGCCAGGCGGTTCAACAAACATCAGTGGCGGCGGGGTTGGCCACGTCCGAGCGACAGCCTCAACCGCTGCGCACATCATACGTCGAAGGCGCTCATGTGGTGCAATGAGCGGTAGTAGATTCAACACGAAGGCGGTGCTGTCTGTCGCCTTGGAGTTCAGCTCGGGGTGCGTGAGTGACCGGGCTTCCATGCAACTGGATCGTGAGGAAAACAGAGCAAGAACAGGCGAGGGTTGACCAAAAACCGACAAGAACCAAACGGGAAATCAATGGAGACGCCCCGCCCGGGCCACTCCGTAATTGGCGGGGCGTAATCCGTACCTGCATTAGCGTCAGCTAGGGCCCAGTTCTGGACCTCATAGACCCCTGCTCGCCCATTCCCTGCTGTGCCTCCAAGGTTGGACCCCAAATTTTCCGGCCTACCCTGTCGCTCCTCAACTGCCTTTTCGGACTGCCCCTCATAGCCTACCCGATATGCTGGCGTCATAGTAAGACATTTACAGGTACGGAGCAGGTCTTCTGTTATCATACAGACAAACGCCCGAAGTGTTGGGAACCACTGAGATGCCGCGGCTCTCGAACCTCTACTCGGCGTTGTTTATTTTTGGGAAGTTCGGCCATCCAGCAAGCAAGGGAGAGGGAGATGCAGCAAAACCCCCGAGTCTTCCCGTCGTCTCTGCCTGGCGGCTGACCCATGTAGCTGTAGCTGTAGCTGGAGCTGTAGCTGTAGCTATGAGGAGACGTGCGCATGCAATATTGAGAGTTTGCATCTCTCCATTGCCGCATCTGTCACGCTGCTGAGCTGAGGTGGTATTCGCACACTGCATTGCGCCGCTCGTGTCCGTCTGCTTGCACTAAGCGGTAGCAATGTGCCGCTGTTGCATCGAGACCGTCATATAATACAAGGTGCAGACGCCTCCCGTGCGATTGGCTAATGGTGCCAAATATTGGTGTGACCGTGACAAACGGGAACCAGGAAGGTGAGCTTAGGTTAGTTAGCGGACTCGACGCAGGTCTTCGTCACTCTGGAGTCTACCATGACATTCTCCTGCTGCTGCTCAATAGATGCCGTGATGGAGTCGGTCGTTTGTTGATGTTTGAGAGAGAGACATACCAAGACTTCAATTAGGTAGATCTCCTGGCATGGGCGGAGCGAGTTACCTATGGGGGTCTCTTGGTCAACGGCAGTGGGTGTCGGCATTCAAACCGTCGACGCTCGGGCTGAGCCCAACAACAAACAACAACTTAACCCAATAGAGAATAAGCGAGGCTCAGCTGAGCAAGCCCATCGAGATCCTCGAAAGCCCATGCGCTAACCGTAGCAAGTGGAAAGCTCCGAGACAACCACTGCCGAGCGCCGATTCCTCGCAAGCCTTGCCTATGGTTATCCATCAACCGCATCCGTACCTCCCTAGTGTTGACACGGTTCGGTCACCTAAACAATCACAACATATCTAAACTGCATGACAACAGCAGCAGCAGCCTCAAGGCGTATGCCCCGCCCACTACGAAATAGAAACAGACGTTTACGAGACAAATGGTTATTCAGCTCCTGAAACATAACTAACCACCCACAGTCCTCTATAGTAGTTATAGCGTAAAATGAAGCAAGCAGAAGCAGAAGCAGACCTCAACATAGGGATTGTACTAGGTAGTACTAGATACCTACTCGGCTACTACATAACATGGATGTAAGGTCTCGACCTCGAGCTCGACCACGATCGCCAGGCTCCACGATCCACACGCGATCCAACCCTAAATAACTCAGCCCGGCATCATCCATCCAATCCACCTTGTCCACCCTGTGGCCCTCTGGTGATCGATCGATCCATTGCAGCCGGGCCGACTGATGAAATTTCGAGATTCCGACGATGTTGCAGCGATCCATCTTCTTAACGTTAGTCTACGTTCCCCGGCTTTCCCCATCGAAGGCTACAACATCTGCCGAACCCCCCCCACTGCCAGCCTTACTACCGTGTGTAAGCCAGAGACGTGTTTGTGACTTTGTGTACCACAGCACACAAGAGGATTGGCAATTATTTGAGTAATTGTTCATCTTTTCTTTCTTTTTGAGATAGTGTAACCATCTCGTCTGTATCTAACCCTACGGACGTACTATTTTGAGAGTATCTCATTTCTCTCTTTTGAGACCTTGCTGTTACACAATCGCAGCCTAGCTAGCCTACCTGTAGCCACTACTGTCTGTACTGCATGCATGTAGGTCATATATTGCCTATGTGTGCAGAAGCTGAAGCTGTGCAGTTGAAGATGAACCCAAAGCATGGGGCTCATGGAAGCAAGCCTTCCTTTCTAGAGCTGTTCTCTCTGTTCATCGCATCTGAGACACGCCCGGCGGGAGAAAATGTATAGGTTATCCACAATATCGCCGAGACAGCGAAGCAAATGCCCTTAGCTGCAGGCGGCAGGCCAGGGCTGACGCCATATACCTACTGTGCCGGACTGGAAAGAAACATGGCCGAAGTATTCAAGTCTAGGCTTCCGTTAGTGATCTGCAAAGAGATGTATCCGCGAGCTTGTACGGAATAGTCCGTCCGCATCGATAGGTAGGTACGCAGCAGGACAATAAATAGCAACCGTCATCTCGGGAATCAAAGCAGGAAAACAAATCTCTCGTATGCCATTCTCAACTTGCCCATTGCCCCGCCCTCCCCCATTACGTGACCGACGTGAGTGACGAGACGTGACGACATGATGCTTGTACTCTACAAATGCAGACGATGCCCCGTGACAATCATGGAGGGCAGACCGACCGAGCCGAACCCTTTATGTGCTGTTGCAGAAGAAACCGGACCCTGAATAGGTGTTTGTGTGTGCGTGTGTGTGTGCGTGTGCGTAACACCTGCAATGCCAACGAGAGTGGAAAAGGGAAAGAAACCGGCCCGTCTGCCCTCCGTTCCATTCCATCTTTTCAGCGTCTTTCCGCAGCCGGGTCTACTCAGTTGCCCGCATTCTCCCGCCGCCACTTCGGCACGTATTTGCCAGGGGCACCGCTTGCCTTAAGCGGCTCCGGTGCAGGTCCATTGTCCTTGGAATCCCTGTCACCACCACGGCCTGAGCCGACGCGGTCCATGGGGACACCACGGCCGGCCGGGAGTCTGGGCGGCACAGCAGCACGCTCGGAGGGCGGCGCAGCACCACCAGAGGCAGCCCTGGCAGCTTCTTTCTCGCGCCAACTGGGGCCACTCCTGTTACCGACAAGGTTGAGGCGGGGCGGACCTCCAGCCGCGGCTGCCCGGTCCCCGGAATCGCTCCGCTCCATGGCCGGGGGACCAGGCCGTGCCGAGGGAGGGGCGGTGTCGGAAGGAGCCTGGCCGCCACCAGCAGCAGCCTTTTGCGCCTCGCGTTCTCTCCAGCTGGGCTTGGTGCCGGCAAGCGGCAGACGGGGCGGGCCACCAGCCGCAACGGGAGTCGGTTCGGGCGGTCCCCGGATGGGCACGGCCGCCGCGGCAGCCTTCTCGGCGCGGCGCCGGGCCATGGCCTCCTCCTCGCGTTGTTGCTGGCGAGCCTGGGCTTCCCTGGCCCTCTCCCGCTCCTTCTCGCGCTCCTCCTTGAGTCTGGCCAGCTCCTCCCTGCGGGCCTCCTGCCGTTTCCTCTCCTCCTCCTTCTCTCTGGCCGCGCGCTCCTCGGCTTCCCGAAGAGCACGCTCCTTCTCCTCACGCTCGCGCTTCTCGCGCAGCTTCTTCTCGCGGTACTCCTTCCTCCGCTGGGCGACCGCCCTCTCCAGCTCACGCTCGGCATCACGACGGCGCTTCTCAAATTGGTCGCGGCGGCGCTCGTGCAGCTCAGCGCGGAAGGACTCGTAGAAAGGCATGAGACGGCTCAAGCGGTGCTTCAGCTCGAGATCCTCCTTGTGCTTGAGCTCAGCCTCCTTGAGGGTTTGAGCCTTGATCAGCTCGTAGGCGGCCAAGTCATGCTCCCGCTGCTTGGCATAATCCTCCGGCAGCTTCTTGGCTTCCTCCTTTCTGAACGCACGCTCCAGATGATCGAGCCGCTTGCCGGTGACACGAAGCTTTTCGGCAACGCTGTTCTTCTCCCGCTCAAGCTGCTGCAGCTTGATCATGCGGATCTTATTGCTGTCGAGGTTCTCAAGATCCTCAACATCAATGTCGTCCAACTTCATGTCCTTGAGCATGCTCTCAACCTCCTTCCTCTTGATCTGCTCACGCTCGTTGGCTAACCGCTTCTGCTCCCGAATCCTCTGCTCCTCGGCCAACCGCTGAGCCTCGGCCTGCTGTAGAGCCTGCTCTTGGAGCATCTTCTTCCGAGCGTTCTCCTTCTCTCTCTGCGCCTGCGCCTCCGAGGCCTTGTCCTTACGCTTCTGAATGATCTCCTTCCTTGCCAGGATGTCAAGATGCTCCTTCTCCGCAGCGGCCTTAGCCCGAGCGAGGACAGCATCGCGAGCCTTGATGCGCTCCTCGTTGAAAGACGGGTCGATGTAGCGGCACGTTGTGTACAAGACCTCAGCCAGACGTGTAAGCTGAGAACGAACGATCTGTGAGGGAGTGCTCTGGAGACGCTGGACAGATCCAGCCTCACTCTCAGCTGAACCGGCGGCCGAGCCCGCATGAACGGCCTTGGCGGAGGAGAAGACGTCGACATCAAAGCTCAGCACGCCTGTGGCGTGATCCATGCGGATGGCGAGATCACCCTTCTTGTTGCCGTTCATGATGAACTTCTCAATGGTAGCACGTGTGACTTGGAAGGGCTCCGGGAACTGCGCTAGGCTCTGGACGAACTCGAGGTCGACCGTCTCGTACACCTGAGAGAGCTGCTGGAACAGCCGAGTAAGGATGACCTGCTGCAAGGGGGCAATGTATTTTTGCATCTCCTCATCGGCGCCAATCTGGGCAAGAATCGGGGAGATCTTCTGGCAGATGGAAAGGGGGTGGAAATCCACCTCGAGGATGTTGTACAGATCCCGGATTTGGGGACGAGCGCGGCGCAGGAGAGCCTTGGACAGAACATCACGGAACAGACTGGCCCGAGTCGGCGCTTGCGACATACCGAGAAGGTGCGTCAGCCGCGAGTTCTTGTTTTTGCGCGCCTCATCGAAGTCAACCATGGCACCCCGAGACCGTGATGTGCTGATGACTGGGATGGACAGAGCCGAGAGAACAACGAAGGTGGCAGCCCGCTGCAGATCAGCCTCGCTCGCGGGCGGGTTGTCAGACTTCCTGCCCTGACCCGTCGCAACGAGAGCGGCAGATTGCCGCAGCAGGTTGTAGTACCGCGACCAAGCCGCGGCGTGGAAGAGGTAGTTCTCCCCAACGAGAAAGATGCGAGTGAGCTTTTCGTAGTAGTTGGCCATCATGATGTTCTTGGGCGGGCGCTTGCTGAGGCTCAGCAAGGTGTGGATGTCCTCCACGCTGCGGAAAGCCTCCTGCCAGAGCTCCAACTCGACGGCAACGTTCAACTGCTGAAAGCGAGTCTCCAGGTGGCGCTGGAGGGTATCCGGGTCATTCAGGTTAATAGCGTGCATCTGAGCCGAGTACTTGGCGGCAGTCTGGACGTGGTTGCGAAGAAGCTCGCAAAGCCGGCGGAACTCGGTCTTTCGCGTGTACTTGAGGCAGAAGTCGAAGGCCTGCATGGCTGTGCTCTGGTAAAGAAGCTCAAGCCGGGCATTGTTGCGGAGGATATCCAGAACAGTGCGGTACGCCTCCCACAGGAACTTCAGCCAGGGCGTAACGATGGCGCGGTCGGTACGGTCCTTCGACTGCTCACCAGAGACAGTGGCCAAAAGGATGGATTCCGGGGTCTCGCTCGCCTCGAGGTCTTCGACATTGGACGTCGTCGCGCTCGCTTCGATGCTCGATTGGACTTCCTCCGCCTTTTGTTGGGCGGCGGTGACCTTCTCGGCCGCAAGCTCAATGAACTTCTTCAACACCAGCTGTGATTCCGGTCAGTACCAGCAAGCCCGGCGCAAGGTTATCGATGCCCCACGCACCTCTATTGTCCCGACATTGGTGTTCTGTGCGATGTTCTTGTACTGATAAAGAGCGTCCTTGGCGAGCTTTCCCTTCTTCTGCTCGACGGCCAGCTCAACGAGCAGGGTCATAACCGGCTCGAGTGACGCGATGGGCACATTGCGCGACCGCTTCGACGTGACGTGCTCGTGCAGCAGGGTCAAGGCGGCGGGGGCCTGGTTGACCCCGATGAGTTCGTGAGCCCGCTTGAGGACATTCTCGGGTTTCTGATGCGGCGGAGGAGGCTGCGCGACAGTCAGTCAGTGCTCGACAACAAAAGCTGGCGACCCAAGGGCGACATTGCAGATGGACATGCAAAGCGGGGAGGGGCATTCGCAACGGGAAATGGGTTGCCACTGCCTTTCATCCCCGGCGACGCAATCGCGCAGTAATGCGGCTTACCATGATGGGCAATCTCCTCTGCGCGGCGGCAGGTCTCGAGGAGATCTATTGATGGTTTACCGTGCAGCGCAAGGCAGCGGGAGGGGTTGCTGGCGACTTGGCTGGCGCTGTCCAGAGATTTTTCGCCTCGTGGAGAATCTGTTGGCGAAGCCCTGACCAGGCAACTTTGGGTTTGGTGACCTCAATTTGTGGGCGGAAAATGCAGATCACGTGATTGCACTTTGACAACCTGTCAGGCGGAAACAGCACCTCTGACGACTTGGAACTTCTCCAAGGGTGTTCCAGGGCCAGTCAAGGCCTGTCACTCTCCTCCGAAGTACTGTATGGCAGTTTCACACTTTGACTTGATGTTGTACAGTCCAGCTTTCCTGGTGACGCTACCTTTAGAAACGGAGGGGTTGCGAAAGGTGGGGGGAGTCTCTCTCGATGCAAATGGCGGGGCCTGCCGGATTAAGAACAATAATAAAACGCCAAGTCAAGAAGATAGTATTGTGATGATGATCAGATGCGAATTACTAGGGGGTTACGTGACCGATGTTTGTCCTCTCTGATCTACTGTGTAGAAGCACCCCGAAGGACTTGGGCCTCAGACAAGTGAACTCGAGAATGATACCTTAGTCCCGGTCGGTATCTCTGTATCGGGGAGTCGTGGAAGGATGTCTATGCATCGAGGTAGGAACTGAAGGTACGATCGCAAGCCAATGTGTTGATCTATGTACATCTACTTGACGATCTATGTCTTCTAGCACTCGGTTTCCGTTCCTACTTCAAGCTTCCGGCATCCATATTCCTAGTGTTGAGAAGTTCAATGCTCCTCAGCGGGTGACTACACAGTACGGGACCAAGGCTCTAGTCCGGCGTATTATTCCCTTCCGAGTTAGTTACCTTATGTACATACAATACGGATACCTAGTCGTCACGGAGATGTCGGCCCTCCTGCCTCCTTGCGTGTCATTATACGTGGAAACCCTGAGTGTGTCCCTTTTCGACCTTCTCGATGAGAATTCTGTTCCCCGTGCAGATCTTCGTTCACCTCCGGCAATGGTTGCTTCCCGGCGGTTTGGCTACAAGGGTAACTGGTAACTGACCCCTACCCTAGGTCACATGTAAATCACTTTTGGACAGGGCCAGAAGCAACGCAGGCGGCAGAAGGGAGTTAAAGTTTCGCTGAATGTAGATCTCTGGCGGCGCCGACTGCTAGGTGGCTAGTGAGCAGTTTGTCACTGAATCACTCTGATCGCAGTTCAGGAGCAGTCGCGTTGAACCTTGGCCGGTCGGGACTAGCGTGCTCTAGAGCACGTCAATGAGTCGAGGGCTACGGTCGTTTGAACTTTTGCGGCAGCGAATAACGTTCAAGTCCCTCGAGAAAGAATCGCTCTGTTGTGTTTCCCTTACTCTTTATTCTGTATACACAAAGTGCACGATGCCGAAGTCAGACACATGCGGGCGTCATTTCCCGGCTGTCCTTTGAAAATTCGGGCTGCGGAAAGTCTTTCCGGTGGGGACCGAGATTCGAGAAGGGGACAGGCCTGCAACCGATCGAATGCTGGTGGTGGGTCCATTCTAACCGCCTTTGGACAACTCATTTTCCAAAGGAACGGCATGGTGCACGGACATCGACGCCCTTCCCGTCGTCTCCCCTTCCTCTTCGCTTCCCACCATTCCTCATTCCAAAAGCTGCCAGCTTCAATCACAGCGCCTTTGGAATCCGTCGCCAGACGTCACACCCGGCCTCATACATCCCATTTCACTCCTTTGGTGAGTTCTTTCCTACTGATACATTCCAATTACAGTGTTTTCTTGATTTGCCGCTCCGGCATCTCTCGACACGTCTGGTATACTGTGCGTGTGCTGCGATCGATAGCGAAAGCGAATCGACTGGGCAACAGCACAGGAGCAGCAAGGACGGGAAGGAATCAGGGCACAAATGAGAGCAAAATGCTCGCCACGTCAATAATGTGGAATGGTGCAAATGAAGTTTTGTAAACAATTGACTGACACTTTACCATTGTTTAGTACTAGCACGAATACAATAAACAGCGACCCCTCGGTCGCGATCTCAGGCCGCAATTTTCACCTTTCGGCGGAAGCCAGCGGCGCCAGACGATCGCAGCGATAGCCGAGCCGCTCTCTCCATTGGACCTTGACGACGAAGAAACTACGCCGCGTGCGCCGCCGCCGCCGCAGTTGAAATTCGAGAACGACCCGGCGAACCCTCGTCTCGGACCACGATACATATACGATCTCCGCTTCCCCTGATCTCTTTCATCATCCTTGCCGAGATGCCTCAATACACATCGCGCGATGTCGGCGACCCGTCGCAAATCAGGAAGAACAAGCAGAGCATGGCCGACCTCAAGCTCCGCCGGCTTACGGAGCTCAATTCGCGACTACGGGAGGACCTCGAGCGGGAACGTATCCCCGTGAGCCAGGCCGCTAAAAGGTAAGATACACACTCGGGGTCGCTTCTGGGAGTTCCCGCTAATCCGGTGTCGATAGCATTATCGCCTACTGCAACAGCACCCGAGATTACATGGTGCCTAGCGTTTGGGGTCAGGTGCCCAAGGGAGATGATCCGTACGCGCCACAACAAAACGGCGGGTGCTGTATCGTTATGTAGAGTTGCTATGAGGAATATCAGCTCGGACGCAACGGGCCGATTCCGAGCTTGAGCGCGTCCCGGCAACTCGGCTGTGTCTCTGGAGTTGTGTCGGCATCGCAGTTGCGCACGAGTTTCCTCCGCTCTGTGTCGCCGACGTCTTGAAAACCGCATCGGACCACATGGCACGGGCATGGCAGAATGGATTATCCTGGAGGAGCGAAGGCATCCATCATCCAGCACACTCCAACGCCTGTACGAGAACAAAAATCTCAAAATTTACCAGGACAAGGAAGGAAGGGTCATGGAAAGGGACGGGATGACGGCACGGCTTCCTACGATAACGCTCCTACTCATACCCCTTTTATTCTCTGGGCAGGATCGCAGGCTGGCTACGCAGCTCTTCAGCGTGTAATACCTTATATCCTTCTCTGTTTCTTTTTCATTTATGTTGTCTAACCGCCGTGCTCTATTTGGCCTGGCTTCCCTCCTTGTCCTGGGCTCTTCTATTTATGTGTATATAGGTTCAAGGTTTCCCACGGCTCCTTCGATGGGTTCACGAGATGAGAACTGGTGAATGACACGGGTCTTAAATCAAGCCTTCCATTATTAGTGTTATGCCACAGCGACTGCTAGATCGTAACCGCATAGCCACATCTCGTTCGTCGAGGGAGGATCTGATGGAGTAGAGCTGCAGCTCGAGGTACAGTACAGTACAGTACAGTACAGTACGGATCCGTACAATAACTCGCAACCATCAAATGACGCAGCTCAACGCATCCTGGACGCTCAATGATTGCAGCCTCTCAGAGTTACCACTTACCACTCACCAACCTAGAAGCTTAGGAAAAGGTCCAAACAATACACACTCCAGATACAATGGCCGAAAGTTCCCAAGTAGCAGCTGAGCCACGGCTACCTCGCATTACCATCCAATTCTGCACGCAATGTAAATGGATGCTACGAGCAGCATATGTAAGTTCCGACTATTGATTACCTTAGGTAGATCAACAAACTCTTTGAACCGTCGTCTCCCTTGGAGTTAAAGTTAACCACACAAAACAACGACGACGACGACAAACAGTACGCCCAAGAGCTACTATCCACCTTCTCCACCTCCCTAGGCGAAGTCGCCCTGCAGCCCGGCACAGGCGGCGTCTTTGTCGTCGAGATCACCCACAGCTCCTCCAGTGCCAACAGCGCGGATGAGGAAGCAGCGACCCGGAGGACTGTGCTCTGGGACCGCAAGGTCGACGTTGGCTTCCCCGAGACCAAGGAGCTCAAGCGCCGGGTCAGGGACGTGATCCAGCCCGGGAGGGATCTGGGGCATGTCGATCGGGACTATGCGCGGCGTAGGAAAGGCGATGATGATGATGGTGAGGAGGAGGCAGGTGGGAAGGCGGGGTTAAAGGAGGGTGCTGTTGGTCGGAAGGAGGAGGAAGGGGAAGAGGGGAAGGCGACTCAGGAGCGTAAGATGGAGGAGGAGGGTGGTGAAAAGCGGGATAAAGCGAGGGTGCGCAGCGTAGAAGGACAAAGGGAGGAAGTATGTGAGGATTGTCAGTGACGGAAGGTATGGGGATGTTAAATCATACGGCTGGGGGACGGTCAAGTTTCTTCGTGGTCCTTCTCGGCTTGAGTCCTTCAATACCTATGACCCTGTGGTTGGCTGGCGCGAACACGATCAATTGGGATGGTGTCAAAGGAGAGGGGTGTTGTCTCCTGAATACTATCAGTCTCCCAGCCAACCGAGCCCAGTGCCTGGAGCACACACCAAAAAAAAAAAAAAAAAAAAAAAAAAAAAAAAAAAAAAAAAAAAAAGAAAAAAAGAAAAAAAGGAAAGAAAAGGAAAGAAAAACAGAAAGACAAAGAAGGAAGAGAAGAAGAAAAAAGAAATGAGAGGGTAGTAAGTGGCTAAGCAGAGGACAAACCACCCTCGTTACGTTTCGTCAACCAAGCCAGAATATCCCGCCGGTCATCACCCTCCCCACTCCCCTCCCTACCTTCATCCGTCTGCATGGGCTCCGACAGAGAAGGCATGCGAGCTATATCACACGCTACACATTTACGTCATGCTTAGAAGACCTCGCTTGCCTACACATAAGTTCCCACTACGTACTCCCCAGGATATAAACTGACCACAGCCACCAATGGAGGAAAAGAAAACCGCGAAACATACAGAAACGCACCAAATAGGGAACACCCCTAATCTCTCGAGATTCTTCCACCAACATCATCACCTCTCTGTCCCTTCCATCCTCGCAACTCAACAGCTTCCCCCCGCCTTTACGTTACAACCTCAACAGCGCCCAATGCCTCCCTTCCAATCTATGGTTCGGACTGCAGGAGGCCCTGACGACACCCTCACACCCTCACCTCCGAGGAAGCACGACAACAGAGTTTCGTAGGATGGGTTTGAAGTTAACGGAAGGGATAACCCACTGTGTCTTATTTACACCACACTGTTCTGAGGGGAGGCGTCCTCCTCGAATTAGAATTCCTCATCTAAGAAGCAGGATCAGGATCACGAAGATCAACAGCGCCGCGGGTAACAGATCACCCGCAGCAGCAAGCAGTACTAAACAGTCAAGTCAGGCTCAGAACGCGGCACCCAGGCAGATAAACGTAGAGGCAGCTCAGGTAGACGAGAAAGATTGCTCATGAAAATTCAGTTGTACATGCCGCTCCTAAACGACCCAAGACCGCCTCATGCAGACCACGCCGAACCTGAACAAGCCGAGATATGCTGAGTGGACATGAAAGGCCTAGGGAAGCGAACAGCGACTCAGGTTATGGAAGGGTTTGGGCTAGATTGGCAGCAAGCAGCCGCGCCGTCCGGAGGAAGCACATGGTACTCCCTTTCTCCAGTTGTGGCTCCTTTCTTCCTCAAGGACCGAGCCACCACCTAGGCTGCCCCTGCCGATAGCGCAACGTCAACACCACATATCTATACATTCCGGGTTGTGCGTCCTTCGTTAGGAGTGACAAATGTCGAGAGTCGTTATTCGTTCCCCCCCCCAAGAAAATCCCTGTGTCAATACAGCCTTTCCGTCTATGACATTACTTAAGAGACACACATGGCTTGGCTTGGTTGATGACGGTGACGCCGCGGGTGGCGGCCGAGGTTCGCGGTAAGATGGCGGATTGGCCGAAAGAAACAGGATGACAAGGACGGGGCCCTTGGCGATCAAAAACGCGGAGGCAGTGGATGAACTGACGAGATCGAGATTGGTTCCGTTGGCTGTGGTGGTTTGATGTGTCGTCACAAGAGAGTCTATCGACCGCGCCCGAACCTAGAAGAGGAAAAGTTCGTATAAACCCTTATCTTACGACTTGGACTGCTTCCTGGGAGTAGTGGGTCGGCTACCGCCCCCAAGGCCGTGAACGTACTTTTGTTTCTTCTCTGCGGGCTTCAGGATCTGGGAGAAAAGGGACCGTTAGCCGGACTGACGCCATGGTATTGGATATGACGCCTACGAACCTGGAAAGAGCAGAGCAGACTCTCGTCCACGCTCATCATGGCACCGGCATTGTCAAATTCGCCGCAGTAGTTGGGCGCACTGAACAGCGTGACAAGCTGGCGCTTGGAGAAGAATTCATAGCCATCCTCGACGACTTGGTGGGCACGGCAGATGAGATCCATATCGTGTTTTTGGAGGAAGCGGGAGACGACGTCCGGGCCGAATGTAAAGGAGACACCGCGGTCATTCTCGGACCAGCCGGTGATATCCTTGTCTGGATCCGACCAGAGAAGGTCGCACAACAGACCGCAGTCAGGGATCTAGAGGCCCAACAAGTCAGCTTCAAGTTCAGGGAGAGAGGTTAAGCGGTGTTATCTGTTCGCTTACATCGGTCGGACGCATCACACGGCGGATCTGCTCCATCGAGTTCAGGTCGGGGCTCAAACCACCATGCATAGTGAAGATCTTCTCGTCGATAATGGCGGCGATGGGCAAGCAGTTAAAGCAGTCGGTGAACGTCTTCCACAGCTTGATGTTGTACCGGCGCTTGCACTCGTCGTAGAACCCGTAGATACGGTTGATGGACGCACACTCGTGGTTGCCCCGCAGGATGAAGAAGTTCTCGGGGTACTTGATCTTGTAGGCGAGCAGCAGGCAGATGGTCTCGAGCGACTGCTTGCCCCGGTCTACGTAGTCGCCGAGGAAGAGGTAATTCGCCTCGGGCGGGAAGCCGCCATACTCGAAGAGGCGGAGCAGGTCATAATATTGCCCATGGATATCGCCGCAAATCTGGGACAAGACACGATAGTTTAGTCAGAGGAGCCCAAAGGGGAGAAGAGGCCACGCGAGAGCGGCCGTTCGACCCATCGAGGAAAACAAGGTTTCTCACCTTAATGGGCGCTTCAAGCTCCAGCAGGATGGGCTGAGAAATGAAGATCTCGCGGGCCTTGGTGCAAAGATACCGAATCTCGGCCTCAAGCAACTGGACCTGCTTGCCTGGACGGCTGCCCCGCACCTCCAAGAGACGGTCGATTATCGAGTCGAGATCGACTTCGTGTTGGTCCGCCATTGCAATATGTCCTCAATCCTCCTAGCCGGAACGAGGGGCGCGCGCACAGATAACGTGGTTTCGGCGGTGACCGCAGGCCCCCAACAAGCTGGGTAAGAAAAACTCGTCAAGAAGGCAAGTGTAAAGAAGGACCGAGATAAGATACACTTCTGGCAGCTAGCAGCAAGCGGGATACAAGGTCAGCCAGGTGCAAAACTAAAATCGCGGTTGAGAGTCGCTTGTGGTCGCAGACACGCGGCAATCGAATCGAAGGCTGGGAGGACGTGACCGATCGCGAAAAAAAGGGCAGGGATTTTAGCTTACCTGGTGCTCAAAAGTGACCGCGGCTATGAGTGATCGGGGAAAGGAGAAAGGGCAGAAAGCCCCTTGCTTCGTCTTCTTCAATTACTCGCGGAAAAACAACCCAGTGGGGAGAAAACTTTTGGTGTTGTGGGATGGCGATTTGTTATCGTCACCGGATGGTAAGAACCGTTGCAGCAACTCGCAGCAGCAGGCGTCGACGGGCGGGCGATGAGTGCGCCTCGGAAAAATGACAGAAATTTCGTTGTTACCGCACGGCGCGGCAATAGATGTCAAAAATGACAATACTTCTGAAAAGAAACGCCCTTGGGACGTGTGTCACTGGGATGGCAGCAAGGCCGGCTCGTCGTGTTCGATGAAGGGAGATGTTGTGGTTGTTGGGACTGCCACGGTCGGGACCCGGGAAGGTGGGAAACTGCTGGGTGCCAGATGTTTCAAGGCAGGGATTCGCGACTTTGTCGTGATTTCAGCAGAAGTGAAATGTCGACTGCGCGGGTGCCTACGACAGGACTTTGGTCGCCGTTAGTAATCGTGTTTTTTCTTTCACGAAATCGCCTTTGCTCCGGGTTGAGCGCAACGGGGAAAACTGAGGCCTGCGTCGTTTGGAAGAAAGGGCCAGGTTTGGACGGCGGCACAACCGGGCAGCGAAGGTAAATGAACAAGGGCGCTCCGCAGGGCTACAACTGTGTCGGAAGGCACCGCCAGGTGCTGGGCGACATGGGCCCGCAAAAGTCCACGAAAAATTACCAGGCCAGGCCACGCGGGGCTCGACGCCTGGATCGTGTAGCTGTTAACTAACGGACTCACATATGTACCCCGCATCTGTTAGGGAGTCTCGCTGCGCCGTCAATCTCGGCTGGGATTGGCCTTTTTCGAATCTGCCAAGTGGACTCTCAACCCCTCGTCGTCGGCCCCTGTCCTGGGCAACTCACATCAACTTCGTCGAATTGCGATCCCTTCGACTCCGTCCAAGCCGCAACAACGCGGAGCTCGATTCTTCGTTAACCATGAATCGACCTGAGCTTGGAGATACGAACAGCGGCTTTGGTTGGCCTGACTCATATCGCGATTCTCGATCATCTGTGGCCAGTCCACATCTCTCGCTGCTCTCTATGGCGCTTGACCGTCCACAGCTCGAGGACTGCTTGAACCAGTGCCGGTCAGCCTCAGCCGGAGCGGCCCGGACACTCTCTGCCTTGACTTGACTCAAGAGTTCTTATGCTCAGGTCCACCCTCCGTCTCGCCGCCGCGGATATTGATGACAAAGATCACTGCAGGACAACCCGCCTCTTGTTGGTTGCGGCGGGGTTTTGGGAGGGCTTCCGCATTCGAAGGTCGCAAGCGGATCTGGGCTGCGCCCCCTGATGGCCAGATCCTCGAGTTTTCCCGAGCAGCTACAACTAGCCGCTCACCTTACTGCTGGGATGGCAGCTGATTCGTTACTTAAAGCCTTCCATGTCATCCCTTCTCTCAACCCCCCGGGCCAATGCAAATGTGTAGGAATGCTTTTCCACGGCCTCCCCTACTTATCGCCCTGATCGAGGGGAGGTTTCACCCAGCGACTGATCGTGGCCCTGTCGGCTGGCGATCCGGATGATGTTCCACCTGCCACACCCTTGAGCGATTGGGCGGCAAGCAGATGTTGGCTTGGTTGGAACACTTAACACTCACCTCCGGCCGTGGTCTCCCTAGCTACTAGTAGCAATGCTAGCCATCAGCATCCGATCTGATACACAGTCTTAACGCACAGCGTGTCCGGATTACTATCGTAGCGTTCTCTTTTCCTGTCATGGCAGCATCTCTCTGCGCATATCGTACTCGTATGTATGTCGAGGCTGGCCCACACTGAACCGTCACGGCTGTGCCAAGCGGGGCATTCTAGGCATTCTGCCCCTCTTCGATGCTGTCATCGTATGCAGCCACGAGCAGTTAGCCGTAGCCACAAAATGTCACCATTAGGAGACACAAACATAATACTGCATCGAGAAACACGTAACGGTCACATGATCGGCTCCGATACGAAGCCCCCAGATGGTTCTGGCCTATCCCTTGTTCTGTCATCGAAAGACTTGTGAACAGCTAACTCGTCGTCGATGTTGATCAATGCTCCGCAGCAGCATCATAGAAGCGGTAACTACTAGTATAGCAAGGAAAGGAACGCTCATCTTTTACACCACCACATGCTGTAGATCACGCACATAGCACTGCATAGGTGCACAATCCTCCTAAACAAAGTAACGCCCCTTGGAAGACCAAGCCATCCGTAAGGAGCACACATCGCACTATTACGCGTCGGACAGATTCCCATGCCCAGATTGAGAATCCCATGCTTCCCATGCATTCACAGAGTTTCAAACGCATCTACTCCATGGGACAGCTAAGGTCCTCCCTCGCCTTTCTATGAGGCCCCGGAGAGTAGCATTGAGCTGACAGGAGCCGTTGTACTGAGGCCAAGGGAACCTTGTGGCAGGCAAGAAAGCTACGAGTGTAACAGATGCGTGCGTACATACACCGGCTGATCGACTTGGCAATCAAGCAGACTGGGCAGCTCCGAAGGTTGGGAGGAAGAGCTGTAGTACAGTTGGGAGGCGGTGTCTCGTCCTACTCGGTGTGCCAGTTGGTACACACCCTTCCGCTCCGCAATGACTGAGGGTGTATAATATCCTGCCGTCGGAAGGTCCAAAGGCATGCGGTCGGTGGGCGTCTCGAGTTCCAATCCTTTCCCTCTTAAAACTTGCTGCCCGCTCAGGCAACGTCACCGAATCCCATGATGGCAGCTTTGTAGTCACCCAGCGCAGCAAGAACAGTCACAGAGAAAACAATAAATCCAGTATTTCAGAGGCCCTAATGTATGCAGATTTGTACCGAGCGCAAGAGCACTCGCCGACTCCCGACGCCCCTTGGAACCATACATAGACGCGGTACATGATACCTCTCATGAATAAACCGAACAAGGTGTATATGCCGACAACACAAGTCCCTCCCTCGGGCCATCCCTTCGTCCAACGCCCGATCCCTGATTGCTGGAATCTGCTCTCCGTCTTGCGAGATAACAGGGAAGAAAAAAAAAAGGTAAAGTTGCTAGAAGGAAACTGGGAATCGATGATATCAAGGTCAAGGAAGAGTAAAGTAACTCTCAGAGGAAGGGGGAAAAGAGAGAAAGAAGGTTGGAATAACCGCAAGGGTCTCGCCTCTCACTCCAGCTTGCACCGCCGAGAGAGGCTGTAGAATGTAATCAAATGTAAGATAATAGGAAGATAATCGCCCCAACCCACCGCACCAAAAAAGGGGTAGGGAGGATCGCAAGGATAAACAGACCCCCAAAGAATGTCAAGACCAACAGATACTCATACATCCCCATTCCAGTTATACGCATAGTGAGCAAATAGATGAAAGGATCATGTCCCAGAAAAACGAACTACCTTCTTCTCGCCGAGCTCCTCACGCCCTTCCGCAAAGAGAATCTCTGACCGGCTGGCACCTCAGCCTTCCCCTTCTTCTTGCCGACACCACCGCCGCTAACAACTTGGAGAGAAGAGGCCTTCCTCAGACTCCCTCTCCTCGTACTTACTCCTCCATTCGAGTTCACGGGGGGCGCCACATCCATGGCGTCGCCATCGCCTTCCGCATCCCCATCATCACCGTCGTTGTCGTCATCCCCTCGATGAACCGAAATCGTGTTCTCCTCATCGACATCAAACTCCAGGTCCCGGAGCGCATCTTCATCCATATCAGTCAGTTCCTCGCTAAGACTGCGGACGGCGTCCCGCCCCGTAGTCCAGCGCTCTTCGACGGCTGTGGTGCCGCGGAGCTCAAAGCCGGACAGGTACCAGGGCACCCCGCCGTCGGTGAGCGGATTGTTGCCTGTAGCGACTGCGGTGGCGCTGGATGCGGCGGTCGTTGTGATGGACGGGTTTTGGTTCGGAGGAGCGGCAAATGAGCCCAACGAGTTGGAGTCGTGTGATTGAGGTGGGGTGAGGGGATCATTGTTGTTGGAATGTTCGTGAGCGGGCGAGAGGTGATTGTTGTAGTTTCCACCTGGCAAGGATGGAGGGGATGCGGAAGAGGGAGGTTTGGGGAAACCGTTGGCAAGATGGTGACTGGCATCGTTGGGTGGTGGGGCTTGGTCGCCGGAGAGGGTGTTATTCGGTTGCTGGGTGTCCTCGTGCGCATCTCGGCGTCCAACTTCGATGTTGTCTTCGGCAGCCTCGTCAGGCTCTCCCTCTGCGTCGGCGTCGACATCTTCCTCGCCTCCGCTGGGGCGGACTACTATGATCTGCCCCTCTTCTGGAGGGTTGGCCATGTCGACGTCTGGGTCCTGCTTGGAACCTGTGCCGTCCTCGCCGGATACTGTGATGCTAGGTCCAGGTGCTCGCCGCACCTCAAGGCTCGCTTCGAGGACGCCTTCGAGTTCTTTCTGCAGTGTCTCGATCGACTTGCCGCAGATGTCCGCTTCGGCCTTCAGGACTGTCTCGAGGTATGGCTGAAGTAACTTCAGGATCCTCTTGCCCAGGCGCTTGCGGGCGGCGGTCTCTGAGTAGTTGCTGTGCTTAGAAGGAGAGGCGTCGACGGGCTCGAATCGTGGCTCTTGGGCCGCTGATGCCGTGGCGGGGTCATTGATCCCAGCATTGATAGCCTGGCACAGATCATGGGCAAAGTCTAGTGTTGTGGTGTAATAACGTTCGTCCAGCCTGTCCTGGAGTTTCTGCAGTCCCCGCTTGAAAACGTTCTTATCAAGCCTGGAATATGTCAGTTGCAGCCCGTGGCAGGGAATCAGGGTCGAATAGCCACTTACAGGAACGCCTTGTCGAGGATCGGCTGCATCTCCTTGAAGATGGGGAAATAGCAGCTATCGATGAAGTCTTGCTCGATTTCGGCCGCCTCGAGCTTCGCTGCTTCGCGCCGCACGACGGCATCGGAGAGCTCCTTGAGCTGCTCGAGATCCTTGATAAGTGTCCGGCAGAACTCGACCCTCCTCGCGAGCCGCGCCCTGCCCGAGGGGCCCATTGCGGCAAAGTTGCGCCGAGTCAGCTCCATGGAAGAGAAGGTCTCCATCTGCAGCTGTAGCCGCTTGAGCAAGGCGGCGCCGCGACGTGCCTCGCGCTTAAGCGTCCAATACTTGCAGGCCTCCGCTACAAAGTCCTTACGCTTGCGAATCGGAAACCGTGCAAGGGCGCTCTCGACCAGGTCGTAAACGGCTTGCGGAATGATGGGTGCGCCGGATGGCAATTTCCAGACGTTTTTGGGTGGCTGGCCCTTTTTCTTATCTCCCAGAACCACCGACACTTTTGCGCCGGTTATCTGCGATTCGTCCGGTGGGTGCTCTGTGATGGCGTTGCGGTGGGTGGCTGCGATTTGCAAGGCCGAGGCTTGGCTATCTGCCCAGATGCGGCCCTTCATGGTGCGCTTGTAAAAGCGCTTCGCATCTTTCGTCGCGCGGGCCACGCCGTTTTCCTCGGCATAGTCCGGCGGGCAATGCTTGTCGCAGAACGCCTTGAGCGGGAGGCTGCCATCGAGAACTGCAAGGGCCCCCTGCGCGTTCTTCATCTTTAGGAACAGCCGGCACCGGCGGGCGCAAGTCACATGGAAGGCTTGGTAGCAGTTTTTGTTAGAGCACTGGATGCAGGCTCCCATGCGCTGATTGCAGATGTAGCATGCCAGCTTCCAACGCGTCTTGGGGACTTTTTCCACCTCCATGACAGGCTCCATGAAGGTGTGGTTTCCCAGTGACACCTCAGGGATCCACATGGCGCATAGCAGATGCGCCCACTTGGATGAGTTCGTCTGTTTGAACGCCCCATCCGTATTTGGACAGAAAATGCACGTCTGCAGTACCGAGTTAGCACTATGGCACACATCTGCCGCCTTGCGGCCCGCGACGCCTCTTCTCCTTTCGGCCACTTACCGGAATACCGCGCCCAATAAGCTGGCACTTGCGACACAGCCACTGTCCTTCCGGAATGAAGGGCACTCCGTAGCACTCTTGGTGGACGGCAAGATCGCAACCGTCGCAAAACACAATCGCGTTTGTGTTTTCGCAGTCGCCATCGTCGCAGATGGCACATTTGCTATCTTGTTCCTCCCCAGCCTGCGGCTCGCCGTTCACTGCAGCCGCCGAGCTCGACCGCGGCCGATGAGTCTGGGGCGGCTTCGGATTCGGCTTCGGTATCCTCTTCTCGAGCGCATGCCACTCTTTCTCGATTTTCGTGATCGTGATTTCAAAGATCTCGCGGGTTATCGGGTCGAGCTCAGCGGCTTTGCGTTGTACGTTGAGCTTCTCGAGCCACATGTCGTCCTGCTCGTCCATGTCATATTCCACCCGACCGACAGTGCCAGCCGGAGGATGTTGTACAGCGTCACCGTCGACTTTCACGGCGCCCGGCTGATCGGTCTCCTCTTCCATGTTCGCATCCGTCGCCTTGATGAGGTTGCGATCCGGTCGGATGAAATTGTCGCTCTCTTGATAGCCCACATTCATCATCGACTTGTCGACATATCTCGCCTGACCAAAGGTCTTGCTCTCGAACAGGGCGATTCGGTTTGTTTTGCGGTACTGAGGCTGTTTCAGATCGAGACGCTCCTTCGACGCCTGCCCGTGAATGGGAAGGACCTTGGGAACCTTTGGGGTTGCGCCGAGCTCGAGGGTCCGGGTGGCATACAGCGAGAAGGAGTCCCGAGGTGGCCTACCAACCCGACGCCTGCCAGGAGTATCTGGGAGGCTGCCGAGAGACGGTTTGCCTTGTCTGCTTGGTGTCCCGCTCATCTCGGTCGCAAGGCCCGGGTTTGTCTCCTTGGTGGGCGTGCCTGTACCGTCGACATGGATGCCGGGGGCCAGCGCAGCCGGTGTGGGTGGGACCGGTTTCACAACGCCGTCGACTTCATCAGCCTGATACACCATGAAAGTGGCCTCGATGTCGAGATTTGGGTGGAACTCCTCCCATCCGCGCTCCTCGCGGGGCTTGTATCCTTCGCTTTGCACGACTGCCGCCGCTACGGCCGCCGCCGTGCTATACTGCATATCATCTCGCTCGTCCCGGTTTACGGCTGTGCGAATACGGGTGCTTCTCTCTCGTCGTGGATATACGGTCGGGGTAGGCTGCGCTTGAGCCGCGACGGATGCTCGCACCCGCGGCGCGGTGGTAGTGTGGGCGAGCGACTCGGTGGGGATCTCGGTGCCGTCTTCGTCAACGAAGCGTCCACCCCCGCCGGGGCCACCAGGGATGTATCGACGTTTCTTCGGGGCGGGTTCAGTGCCAGGAGCATCGGAGACGCTGCGCTTGGAGCGAGTCGCGCTGGCGGACTCGGATCCTCTGGGGCGGCCCGGACGCCGGCCCCGCACTATGCGCCTCGGTGTTGTTGGGGCCGGAGCCATGGCCGGCGACTGTTATGGGAGCACTTCGGGAGTAGCAAAGGTCAAAAAGCGCGCTCAAGTGAGCGAGACGCGGGAAAAGGGGGAGTCAGCGCAGGGATGCTGCTCGATGCGGGGTTAGTCGGGGCGGGCAGCGGCTCTTCTCAAGCATTTGCTAAGAATGGACTGATTCGCTGGGCCGGACGCGGCCGTGTGCCCACGGTCGAGCAGGAGGCTCGTTGCGACTACTGATGATGCTGGACGTGATGCGATGTCCAAGCTTTGGGAAGACGTGACGTTAAGGAAAACGCGAGGCGTCGTGCGGTGCTGGCCAATCAGCGCGCTCGTACCATGAAATGGGTTAGCGGTCCCTGCCTGAAATGCTTACGTAAATGCAGCCGCATCCATGCAGGTCCGAGCGCCAGACCAGGGTGTGTGTCGCCTATCACATGCAAGTCGCAGCGCCTTAACACGCTAGCAACGTTCAATTTTCAAAGGTAAGTTGCAATGCGGATTGTTGCTTGTTGGGAAGATGGGTGCAAATCCTCGGTCTTCTGTAAAACCGACGGCAACTCTGATGAATTGGAAGTAATTGAACTTTCACGCTGATCTGCGGCTGAACCCCACAAGACCACACTAGGCACCATGTGAAATGTCGAAATGCCCCACAAGGTGCATTTGCGAAACACACTGGCAGGACACAGTAGAAAGCTCACAAGTCCACAACTGCAGCCAGGTTACCGGACCAGATATCTTACAGAAACGGTGTGTTGCAGACCCCGAGATGTCTCAAAGCCATACACGTGCCTTGTGCCGCCCTGGATATGCAGGAAGGGTAGCATCCTCCCACATCCATACGTACAATACATATCCATACAGCCATACACTACACTACCTTCTGTCTTTGCCGGCGGCACCAACTCGTAGGGCTGAACCTCGACCGATGGCCGCGACCCCAAATGACGTGTTCGCTGCTGGCGAGCCTTGGCAATCAACCCCAACTTGGTTTCCACTTTCCCATTGCGATCATTTCAACGAGCAAGACTGGAATGCGCCAGACCAATCAGAACCTGAGCGCATTTGCAACAGCGGTCAAGACCGACCGCCAGCGACTTGACTCCATCTTGCCGGCGGCGTCCACTCTCGAGCTGGCTAGATCCCTTGTGCTTACACCACCGTCACATCTATTAACACGTCTCCCATCAGCTTACCTACGTAGTCAATTGCTCATGTCAGACTTCTTATGATCGTCCTCCAAATGCAATGTCCATTCCCTTACTTTCAGCTCTTTCTATCGAGACAAACGCCCCCCAATGCCACACAGCTTTGGAAGGACCTGCCGATTCGGCTTATCTGGGCTCGAAGGTTCAATTCCGGAAATCTCTGCCGTTTGGCTATACCCTCAATTGCTCTCCTTCCCAAGGATGGGTCAAGCTAGCGCTACGGACTGTTCTCTGCTTATGATCAATTATACAACCTGGCTAGCAATCATGATTCTCTTGCTCCTGTGAGATCCGTGTCCTGATAACCCTAGTGGACCGGAGACAGCTCATTTCGGGATCGCCTACTCCAAACCGATGTATTCAACGGTTGTCGTACAAGATGATACGCTGGTCTCATCTTTGACTTTTAGCAATAAATCGCAATCTATAAGGCATGGTTCCTACAGCAGTATTTAATCGTCCTTCGGCCCACCTCTCCAGCGAACGACTTTATTCCACAACATCAGATCAAAAAATACACCTATACGGTCGCCATGGAACAGAGCCGTCGACTTGAAGCCTGGACTCATCCATCTGAGCCTAAAGAGAGAAAAGTCAGTCGGAGAACTCTTAGAAGGTCATCCGGACTGGGCTTCCACTTTCGAGCTTAAGTCGGAACTCTTCCAGAGATAACAACAGGCACTGAAGCACGCACAACTGGACAGATGGCAAACCTGGAACGCCAGGCGACCGACATGTCACAGAGTATCTGCTTACGATACCAGTCCAGCTCAAAAGCACTATGCACATCACATTGATCATACGGCTCAGACTTTCCCTAGCTGGACTTCTCAAGGTACCGACAAGGGGAGTCCTACCTGGGTAAAAGGAACTGCATGGGCCATCTGACCTAAAGGAAGGAAGAGAAAGAGAAAGCGAGAGAAGAGCATGCAGTGCAAGAAGCTGCAAGAACGGCATTCGTAGGTACGCTGCACACAACTTCATCACACCGCACCAGACCATGCAAACTCAACACCTGTGCGCGAGACAAAATGTGTCTTTCATCAATTCATCTCTCTCTTTCTCGTCTGCCCCCTCCCCCATCAACTGTCTTCTTCTCTCGCCTAACCCCAGCCTTCTTCGTATATCTTCCAACAAGCCTTGTAAGCGGCATAGTTATTTTTAGTACAAAACAACACCTCCCGCCGACTCCTTCCATCCAAGTCTACAACAACGGAAAGGGAGATGGGTATTAAGGAGCCAGGGGACCATGCCACACCAGCAGCAACATCAGAGGAACAAGACGAAAGCCAAGACAAACGCCATGATCCTTCTCACCTCGCCATCCCAACCAAAAACGCCATGTATGCATGCATGCAATATGCCCCAGTGCGATATGCTCTGCTGTGATATCGCCAAATGCAAAAAAACAAAAGCAGGAAGCAGGAAGCAGGAAACAGGAAACACGAGGGCAGGCAGACAAGAACCAACCAGTCAGAAAGAAGAGGGTATTTCCGATTTCGTTACCGCCCGTCGTTATCCGTCTTTCAATCCAGCCAACCGAACAGGCCCAATGGGACACAGAATAATCCCTTCATCCGATATCATGACTCTCGGCACGGCCCATGCAGTCGTGCCGAAGAGTGATGTGATGTGAGTGGATGAGGGAAGGGGGGTATCACAAATTAAGACATGATGGTTTCGCTTTTCAAACAAGCGTCCCACCACTGGATATGGCTTGCATGTTTGAAGTTCTGGGTATCGTTGGATCCGAATGGATGGATGGGGAGGTTGCACCAAAGTCAGTTGCCTCGCGATAATCAGGTGGATGGGAAGCAGGGTCCCAACCTTCTTCGCTGAGGACACTCAAGTAGCCGTTGCCGACCTTGTTGCGTAGATCTTCGATTTTGCGCCTGTAGAGCTCGCCCCCGACATCCCAGTCAATGTTGCTCTCTGGTGATCCGAAAAAGGATGGCAAATGGGAAACGACATCAGTATCAATCCTGGGGATGTCTGCGGTCGCTTCGCGTGTGTTGGAAGGGAAACTCTCCGCCAACGGACTCTGCAGTGCCTCATGTACCTCGGGTGGCTGCGAAGTGCGGTAGTGGCCATTCGAATCAAGGCTGATGTTGCCAGGTGCCACACCGCGGTTAACGGGCCGCGAATAGGGCACACTTGTCTCACTAGTAGCCAGATCTACTATTCGGCGCTTGGGCGCCCGGCGACGGCGCGAGGAGCTGGTGTTGACTTCGCTGGATGCAGTCTTGGGTAGGGGCCTGTCTTTCCGGAGAACCGCGGGCTCCTTAGGAGGGGCATCGTAGATGATGGCCGGCCTACTAACATCGACAGCTGGAATCTCCGGGGGTTCGGGCTTGACCACTGGGATGGCCGGAGGCATTTCGGCTCGCTCCACCAAATAGCGTTTCTCGGAGTACGTTGGCCCGGTGGCGTCAATAGTGATGTCTTCCGTATATCCGGGGGTCTTCCGGAACAGGTTGAAGATTGTGATTCGGTAGTCACGGTGGGTGCGTGTGAATGGGTTGCCTTCCACATAGATCTCGCGAATCTCGGGAAGTCCAGTCAGCCGAGCCAACTCCATGGGGTCAGCCAGACGATTCTCCCTCAAATCCAGTCTCTCGAGGGGCAGGAGCCTTTCGATTCCCGCAATAGATTGCAGACGGTTCGCTCGCAGGTTTAGAGCAGTGATCGCGGGCAGGGGATTGCGTGTCAGGGAATGTAGCGATTCTATCATGCAATAGGCCAGGTTTAGAGCACGCAGAGCACTGAGAGTCGCTAGGCTGTCGGGCACCTGCGTAAAGAGGTTTGAGGAGAGGTCGAGGGAGTGAAGGATGTTAGCAAGCGGCGCCAGACTCGCTGCGGGAATTGCGGTCAGGGAATTATCCGCCAGGCTCAGGTGCTTGAGAAAGCGCCACTTTGACGCTGGGAGGATAGCCGTGGCCAAGAGGTTCGACGAGCTCCCGCGAGAATTGTGCCACGAATCCGAGAGGCTCGAGTGAGAACTCCCAGACCCGGACCGACGGATCTTGTAAGATCCGCGAACATTAGCGGACGGATTCCTGGAGCTCCCAGGTCGTCGGGGAGAATGGCTTCGTGTCCGGGTGCCGTCCTTGGACGGCGAGCCCGTTTCATCGCTATCAATCCTGACGATCGATGGCCGTCTACTATCCGGCCCATTAGATCCATCCTGCTCAGCCCCAGCTTCGCTGTTCAGCGATCCAACCTGCAGATCAGCTGTGGATTTCCTCGGCCCGGGAGAGCCTGGGATGACTGAGGACCTGGGCAGGTCACTGTTGGACATAGTCGGGCTTCTTCGAGGAGTCGCGGCCGCAGGCCATGGTCGGGTGGGCGACCCATGAGTCTTGGACGAGCGGCGGCGCCTCTTATCCATGTCGTCTAGCACGATATCAATCAGAATATCGGCTGGGTCGTCCACGCTGGCGCGCTTGAGCGTAAGAGATCGAAGCTGCTCGGCAAGCCTGTCCCAGCCGAAAAACTGTCTGAAGTCGATGTCGCTGACCTCAAGCGCCTGCACGTTTTTGAACACGTAGAGTGGCACCGCGGAGTCAAACGGAAACTCCTCGTAACCCTTGATGAGGCGAGCTTGGAAGTCGGGTGCCAGCTTCAGGGAGGGGATCTTGGTGAAGGCAGAATAGAGGTACTTCAAGTCCGCCTGAAGTGCCGCCTTCTGTCTTTCCGTCCTTGCCGCTGATATGCTTGAGCCAATCCCGAGGCTTGCCCAGAGAGCGGACATGCTAGACATGACGCTCCTAATGCTCGAGACGGAGTGAATCGAGCCGACGTCGGAGCCGCGGCTCTTGGAACGTTGCGACTGTCCCAGGAATGACACATAGTTTGCCGAGGCAGTACTATCATGCAGGTTCTCAAGACGAACTTTCATCGGCCCGACAGGGATACCGAGCTCTTCGAAGCGAGAGAGCAAGTAGAAGAGATGGTGTGCGGTGAGGGCCAACCTTGCAGACTTGATAGTGTGTGACGTAAAGTTTAACGTTCCAAACGACAGGGCGGCGGCGAGTGTGCTCGACGTCGAGGCGGACGTCGAAGGTCTTTCAGGTACGGACGGCGGTGGCATGGTCCCCGTCGGGATTGACGACACACTTTGGGAGGGTCCATGGCGAGGCACGTTTTGCCTCCGGAACTGAAGTGCGTTCGCAAGGGCCTTTTCGTGCGTCCGCACAAAGTTGGCAAGTTGCTACAGAACCACAAGCCGTTAGCTTCTCTCCCGCATATGTCTGGACTGAAAGCCAAGCACCTGGAGATGCGGCTAGCAGTACCTTAATGAATAATTCCCCGTCTTCTGAGTCCATCTTTGCCGATTTCCTATGGATATGTATGCATGAGGGAGCGATGATCAAAGGAGCGGACGGCTGCCAGTCCTAAGCCTGGGGGACGGGGTAGGAGAGGGATCTCGAACTCGTCCTCGGCCAGGCGTTTATCGGCGGCCAACTGATCGAGTATCACGTCTTCAGCGACGGTGTTGAACGTGGTCCGGCGCGGGTTGGACAGCAGCCTGATCAGAATCATATGTCAGTCGAGCGATTCGTCACGGTGTACAAGAAACTCGGCGTCTGTGGCCGATGATAAGGCACAGGAGGCCGGCCAGCGAAAACAGTCACACGACCGAGGAAGCTTCCGCGGCCAGGAATGGCGCCCAGTTGACGTAAAGACGATATTGTGCTAGGCGGGTGCGGGGGAACTCGGCCAGAGTCAAAAGAGGTCGTAATCTCGAGAAACGGTCGGTTGCGGGGACGGCGGCTGTGCGGCACAGGATTATAAGCCACCTACGGGTTGCCAGCTGCGTCTCTGTGAAGTAGGTCGTTTGAGTGGTCGGCGTCCCTTCCCATGGTCTCGAGACTCAAGGCCGCCGGTTTCAAGGCCAATGTTGGGACTGAGTAAGTGCCGGCAAAGCAGATCCCCGTCATTCCTTCCATTGTGACCGCTGAAAGACCAAGTCGAGGTAAAAACAAGCTTCCATTGTTTGACGCTGGCGCCGAGGCCGGCTGAGCAATAGGTAGGGTGATGGAAGGAATGGACCAAGGAATCACGCGCATGCGCACAAGAAGTCGTAAGCTGAAGGCCAAGGTCCACTGGTACCGGTGGATAAGTCACCAGATAGCGTGATCGAGAATCCCTTGGTATCAATTCTGTCGGACAACCACCAAACGCTACGACACGAAGTCCTCTGGGGTGCATCACGGTTGAGATGCAACGGTGAGTTCGGTCGCCGGACGCCACACAATGCACAAAAGAACTGGATGAAGGAGGAAAATGATAGAACACTAGTCACTTACCAGAGTGTAAACCCAGAGAGACAGGTCACCGGTCGGAGACCTAGGCCCTTGGATTCCGTGGCCAAACCCGGGCGTGTTCTCGGAATTTTGTCGAGGTGGCCGCAAAACGTGCCGGTGCAGCACAATTGACTCAGGCGCAGGAGGGAGGGGAAGTGGAGGAGCCGGGCAGCGGAGTCGCTAGAGACACGACGAGATGGATGGAGATCCTGCCCGCGCTCTCGCTCACACGCTCGACGCGCTGGCGGTGCAGCGTCTTTCCGTCGCGAGAAGGAAGAACAGGGGAATGAAGGGTCTTCTCTGGTGATGAGCGGGCCGGGGAGCAGCCAAATTAAAATATGGACCGTACCAAAACTGCCCGCTGCAGCTTCACGGGGGTCCAGCTTGATGGCGCTGGGCAAGGACCGCCCACTGCACGGTTAGGCGGCGCCCACTTGCCTGAGTTGGGCAAGGGTGCTTGCAGAGCAGCGGGGTCACCCGCAGAAACCTGGAAAGTGCGAGCCAGGTGGGCAATTTCCCACGTCCCGCACCTCGCGCGTAGATTCCCGGCTGGTTTTCGCACTGTCATGGACGGTGCTGCTGCTACATCTTCTTCGTGCGCCATACCTGGTAGTGTAAAGTACCTGCTGATGTGCCTGGTACGTAATGAACTTGAACATGAGTCTTGAAGTCTCCTAGGTCAGGCCCCTTTTACCGGCCGGATGACCATTCGACGACCGTCCCACTGATGATCAATCAACGCTTACGGCGGCTTTGGTGTTTCGAAGCTTGTGTACGATGCAACACAATAACCGCGTTCTCCTCTGATGTGCAGTTGCAAGTGGGAGATGAAATGAGAGCGACCTTTCTATGATAGCGTCGAACCTTCTGGTGTCGTCGCCCGAACCTGCGATGTAGTATTCCCGTCTTCAGAACACCTCAGCTTTCGCGGCCACACGGGAAACGGATACCTGAGAACTGCACTGGCGCTGAGATGCCACTTCTCCAGCCAGTCGGTTCCCGCATGATCATCCAAGAACATGCCGCCTGGTCGCGGCCCCGACCAATCGTCGATACCGGAAGCAATGCAGGTGTGGAGGAAGTATGTGCTACAACACCTGTGGTAAGTAAGTGAGTGAATACCACTCTCAGGCTATGGACGCTACATGTCTCATGGAATGGTAGTGCGACTTGTCGAAGGCATACGTGCATACGTGCGAGGAACGACTGTGTATCAGCGGGGGTTGATTGATGAGGTGGTGCGGTTAGGTATTCCCTGTATTGTATTGCACCTATCTGTCTCGGTTCCAGATGGACAGGATGGGTGACATGGAATTCTTCTTGAAGACTGGCATCGCATACCGTGACTTGCACTGTACGAACAGACCATCGAGAGGACGAGCTGAGATGTCTTGGCGGCGCGCCAGATTAACGAATCAATCACCAGACACAAGACTCAAAGTCATTTGGCGGGGTCATCGGGCACCCGACCTTTTCCTTAACTCCTTGCCTTAGGATTTCTCGAGTCTTCGAAGCCCCTCATCGACAACACCATTTTATGCGACACTCAACTCATAATTCTGGGTCGAGGAGTTTAGGGAAACCTAGGTTGTCCATAGCTCACCCAGCGCCTTGTTTACTTTTGAGTTAGGTAACGACCCGGTTCTCGCTAAGCATCCCGGCAACCGGTGATTATCCCTTATCGGTATCAACCACCTCCCGCAGCTACCTATCACCGAAATTGCGGAACCCTGCATCTTCATGCGTGCTCACGGCCCGAACAGCGCAATCGCCTCGCTTGTCCTACAGTAGTTGGGATTCCCAAGAAACGACTTGTGCAAGGACCAGCCACGGCCCTTCGTGTAGCGCTGATACGTGTAGACATCGGCCTTGTATGTACGAATCTCAGCAGTTAGTACAGGACCAATGGCATGGAGCGGCTGGGGGTTCATGACCGGTGCCCCGCGCCCCGTTGCCGTTGTCCCGTGTTGAATATCAAAGACAAGTCGACAGGGGTCGCTCAACGCTTACGACTACGACTAATAAGACGGCAACACCTTTCGCCAATCTTAAAAAAACGGAAACTTTCTCCTCTTACGGCATGCAGGACTCGCAAGCAAGTGGCACACTATGTTCTTTTTGTACGACCAAACCGGCCCATAACAGAACGCGCTCATGTCGTCTTCGAAAAATATGCGCGTCAGTAACTTCAGGTATGAGCGAGTGGCATGCAATCGATTCGCAAGCCTGGCACAACCCTGCAACGACACCGCCGCACCTCTCACTTGCAGGCTTGGCAATGTCTGCATGTGCTGCTGAAATTCGGACTCTCACCTCACCTTTGCCGAGCCCATTCCGCCAGGCCATACCCGGAGGGTACATTACGGAGCTCTCGCTAGGAAATGCCCTCAGAAGAAAGGGGATCGTGCGAGAAGAGGGTCCGTGGTTAAACAGCATCTGATGACATCCACCACGGCATCACAGCGGTTCCCCGTCCTACATCGGCTTTGGGCGCCGGTCGTGCTCGACCTTCTCTTACGGGTCCTGGCATAGCCTTCTGAAACTGCTAACTACCCCCAGCGTGCTATGGGCTCCCCGGATTCGCAGTCATGCAGGATACACTGCATCAGAGGAAGGGACTTTGCGGAAGGATATCGCAGTAGACGCCGTTCCCATGCCTGTGTCCAATCCCACGCTACACCAGCTACCATCTGCTGTGTGAAAGGCGGACGGTGAATGGGTCTAGCACGCAATCCACGCATGGCTTGAACGACATGATGTACATGCCGCAGCCTCACCGCCTCCGGTTGACCTCGAGGCACTCCACGCCAGCGCGATTCGCAGCTATAATTGGCCGGCTTGCCGTATTTGCCGGCTTGGACGGCAGACGATTGGCCTCGACAGCCCCTTGGAGACGCAACAGGGTACGGGCGGGATCTCAAATGCAGATCTGCTTAGTATCGCGACAATCCCCCACGGATTCAAAGGAAGCGGGGTTCTTGAACCCAAGAATGAGAGGCATGGCGTACTTTTTGAAAGGATAATAACCCTCGCTGGCGGCTAAACAAGGAAGGCGTTCATAGTTTGAGAATATCCCTGGCGCTGGCGAGGCTGGCAAAGACAATGCCGTCGCCGCTTGCGTCAGTTCGCATATGCCGGCGCCGAAGATCTCGAGATGGATGAATCCCGGTCGAATCTTGCTTCACAATGGAGCAGAGATCTCCGTTCAGAGTTCAGATGTCAAGCAAGGCGGTCTTGTCCATCTACTCCCCGCGACCCACAACTGCGACCGCCCTGATGCCCCAGGTGTGGTTTCATTCGGAGCGTTGCGCCCAATGGCGTGTTCCTGTGAACACAACCTGTTGCCGAATCCCCACCGCTGCTTGCTTCGGTTCGTGGAGAACTGGTGACGAACACTGGCCGAACTTCTCTCAGGGACTTGCTGATGACGTCGCCAACGTTCGATAGATCCGCGCCAAACTCGACTATCACAGACACCACGTTGTCCAAGGAGCAATTTACCTTAGTGCACATGACACCTCTGGATGGGACGAAGCGCGCAAGAACACATGAGACGATGTGATACCTGCGCGGGGTCATCATGAGATGAGGCGCGCCAGCGGCGCCTGATATCTTCCGTTTGCCAAAGATTTAGTGTAAGTAGTGATATTCCTTTGCCGTGTCTCATTCGGTGAGTTGACCTTGCGGGGGATCTTCTTCACCCTGGCAATCCCAAGGCTTGACCCCCACCCTAGTTCAGGGTTTTCTGAGCACGAGCCATATCCCGTCGACAAGAGAAAATCTCAAGGTGGGCTGAGGCGGGGCAACGGCAGTCGACAACCCGTCGCATCGAGTCGCACATGCATTCCTACGTAGCTCCTCCGCGATACCTACTCTCAAATCCCCTCTTCCTTCCGACTCTCACCGCCTCTCCCTGTGACGGCTTTAGTATGCATGCGATGCATGCCTTGCTGTTGAACGCAAAGCAAGGAAGCGAAGGGAAGAGAGTTAAGTGGGTGCCGTGGCTAATCTGGTTGCACGTACATTGCATTAGCCTCTAGCTGCGCCGTCGGCTTGCATGCCTTGTACTTCTCACTTTTTGTTCATGGAACAACTCTCGGAGGGGTCTTCATCAGGGTCCTCTCTGCTTGCTTTTTCGCGGGGCAATCCATCTGCGCGATAACGAACGAGTACCAACGGACATAGAGGAAGATTCAATGAGAACAGAGCAAGAGAGCACGCCGTTATACGCTTCCCCTCCACGGGTCTCCCAAGGGACGCATAATGAATGGCCAACTCGGCCGTTGGGACCTTCACCTCGGCCATCCCGAACCCCCGAGACCGCCAGAATCACGGACCGGAACGGTTATCGCGCCGTTCTCGCCTCACCTTTACTTGACCTTAGTACTCCGTACTTACAGTCAAGTTGTCAACCCCGCCCCCAACTTCTTCAACACCCCTGTCTGTCAATTCCGAATCTCTGTGCTCGGCGCCGGATTGCCGAACTCGGACATAAACGATGCCATGACTGTGCGGGGATGAATGATCCGCAGGATCGCGGGCACAACATCCTCTGATGATAACTAGACAGCTGACCGCCTTCCTGTGTGGAGCGTTGATGATGGTCTCGTTGTTCCACCTCCCCAAGTTTGTCGGAGCCAAGACCAAAAATGCATCGATGCATGACATAGGTACATACCGTAAGTAGGTACTGGCACCTAACTAACACCTTGCCCGGGGTCTTTAGCCGTTTCTTTCTGTTTCGTCATGGAAATGCGGAATGCGGGGGGATATTGAAACTTTCTCGCTCTTACGATGAGCTTGACGCATCATCTGTGCCTCGCTTCACGATAAGCGGAGTGGCATATATGGTAGTGGTGGTGGACGACCGGCGAATAGCCTCCGAGGATATCATGACCACCAGTGGTATAGTTGACTCTGGGCCAATAGCTCTGAAGGAATCAACTCGGGGATCACTGATGGCAACCTGCCCTGCTGGGATACAGGAGATCGTGATACACACGCGATACGCCGGATGTAGGGCGTTTACCGGAGGGTTCCCGGGCTACTCATGAGGAGGAAGTGCATACCCATTTGGTTTGATGAACACAGAGCCGGGGTTGATGTGGTTGACTTTGTGGAAAGGGGGGAAGTTTGCCCACGGTGCGTTTCACTTTACAAGAGACACCCTGGGAGGGTTGGCTGGGAGGAACGGTTTGGCCTGTTGTGGTCACTCCACGTGTCCGTCTCTGGACACTGGGGAGGGAGGATGATGGGTAAGGTGAACTAGGAGATTCCCTGCTATGAAGGCGCGTAGCATCCAATGCTCGAAGGCTGCTGGTTGTTTGCTTGCCTGCTTGCTGCTGCTGCTACGCATCGGGGGGTGCTCACACGGTCACAGAACGGAATGTTTCTACATGTCACTGTCAATAAGGTAGGCGAAAGGAGTTGGTAATCCTCTCACATGCTACAGTATATGTCACAGATAAACTTGGTTCCCTTCAAGTTTGGCTGATATGCGTTGAGACCAATGGCAAGGGGTGGAGGCACAGCATGACCAACCCCAAAGAAGGGCTATACTATTAGGCAGACGAACTTCCTTACTATGTAATAAGCTGACTGTTGAACGTCCTTAGGACCTGACGCTGGTGCTGTGTACTGTCCTGGATATATAAGGTAGGTAATTAGGGGCCTCATGCCAAGACTGGTGATGGAGCCACAATCAACAAAAACATACAACACCGAGGATTCCCCAGTCGTCACCGACCTGAGTACTGATTCGGCCCTTGGTAGCTTGACGTGGGCAGAGCGGACGGGATGCCGTATTTTCTACCAGGTATGGTCGTATGTATTGGTGTGGGTGTGAATGAGAGCGTTATATGGGTGGTGGGGTCAGGGAAACCAGTGACATCCACTGCCGGTTGGTCTTCGCTCTGATGGGCAGCGTGGGCCTGGGCAGGTTCCTTTTTGTCATGTGTAGCTACCCGCTTTCTCCAAGCTCCAGGGGGGGCAGGCATGGGTGAAATGAAATAAAGGTAGTCTTGGTGATGAGCCTCAACCGTTGAGCTGTCATGACTAGACTCTCCATACCTGACCCGAGGGGCCCTGGAATATGCCTCTGGAATAGATGCTCTATAATTGCTTTGAGGTTGACCGCGAGAAGGTCTGGTCCGCGGATCTGTGAAACAAATATAGAGAGTCGACCTTAATGAAGACGATAAGGTGGCTGCCTCTCACGGGCTGGTCACCGAAGATATATCTTCTGAAAGAAGATGGGATCGGCGAGCAGCGTCGTCGATGGACCTTTAAAATGTGACAAGAATGATAAGAGCAAAAATGGGGAGGGAGAAAAGGAGAAATAGAACACAAAGGACAAAGAGCAAGGAAAAGGGAGATACAGAACTCCATGACAACACGGCGAGATAAGTCTTACTTCAGCACGATTCTGTTGGTGTACACGGCTTCATAGCCCAAGTGAGAAGTGCCATTGAAGATGCACTTAAAGCTTGAAAGCTCCCCCAAGAGCCCGACCTTGCGTACCCTCAGTACCCTACCCACTGTGCCGGACCCGTAAGCACATCGGCATCAACTGAGCGGCTCTACACGGTATTCTACAACAATGAGCAAGCCGTTATACACGGTGTTACACAGCAGCACGCCCTAATCATACATTCATACAAAAATCAAATAAACATTCCTACCGGGCCTTCACGGTATTTGGTCTCACAGGCAGCAGCCTGTCCATCGCCCGGCCCTCGTCCAGCGCCCAGCCGCCTGACACGTCCAACTTATACTCACGGTTCGCCAGGTAGATCTTGGCGAACCCCTCGCGGCTAAACGACCGCCTGATTCCGGCCCACGCGGTCCCGAACGCCTTGGCCGCGTCGCGGAACGGCGCCGTCAGGATATGGTCCATCTGATACTTCTTCGCCGCAATCCTGGCCTCGCGCGCCGCCCGCTCCGCACGCACTCTCTCGGCCAAGCTCATCGTCTTCTGCGCCGCCCCCGCCCGGTTGGACCCCGCATACAAGGTGTACATCCTCATCGGCAACAGCACCTCCTCGGGCCGGAGAAGCATCTTCTTGGCGGGTAGGAACGGCACCGCCCGGCGCGTCGCGACCTCGATGAAGATGGGACTCTGCGGGGCAGCAGCAGCAGCAGCAGCCGCAGCGATCTGCTTCGCGGCGACGGCCGCCGCGGGCACCGCCTCGATGGAGCGCACGATGCGGCCCGCGCCCAGCACGAAGTAAGCGCCCATGCCGGCCATGAAGATCAGGATGACGCTGAAGGCGTGCGGGACCCACCACAGCAGCCCCTCGGGCGGGTGCAGGATGACGGTCCAGTACTGGTAGACGGTGTACGAGACGCAGAAGGCGGCCGAGCAGAAGCAGCCCGCGCGGAACCAGAAGTGCGAAGGCGCTTCGTAGAGCAGCGTGCGCCCTTTCTGCGCGAGCTGCTCGGCGTACGAGGAGGCGCAGGCGGCGTGTGCTGCCGTCGTCGCGGAGCCGATGGCCAGGGACGCTCTGGCAGGGGCGGGTTTGGGGGTTGTTGTTGTCGAGGTTGCAGTTCTAGGCGTGGCCTTCGCTGCGGGTCGTGGTATTTGTGCGGCTTTCTGGAGGATTCGGGAGGTGTGGATGCGGGCGCGGAGGAGCAGCCGGGCCTGGGTTGCGGCGCACTGACACGGGGCTTGCTGCCGTACGAGGAGGAGAACTCGAGGGCCGAAGCCCCTGGAGAAAGACGCCATCTGGAGGTCTGAATCTTAGTTATGGAACTTGGAAAAGGCGACGCATTCAGCAGAATCCATACCTTGAGTAAGAGCTAAGTCAATTGGCTACCTAATATTACCACTCCGATCACTCCGATCATACCGCGACTCTCGCTCCGTTCGGGGCCCGAAATTTTGTCGGCCGCAAGTGAATGTTCACGGATGGAAAGTCAGGTCTTGGCGGAAGCTCCACCGGAAGATCCCCAACTGACATGGTCAGAGAAGTGGGTCCCGTTACGTTCGGGGTGAAGAACCCTGGCTGTTCCTTGAACTTGGCGGGAGCCAGTCCGAACTTAGGCGGTGGTCCAAGCTTTCTTGGCAAGTTCCCAACATTTGCTCTCGCGCAGATCAGTTCGTTTCTCACATAACAATTACCGAAGCACCTCGACTCAATTCAGGTTTACGCACTGCAGTCGCCATCATGGCATCCTTTGCTGCAGCATGCCGCCTGTCTGCGCGGTTAGCGACGCGGAAACTGCAGTCGGATGCGGCTGTCAGAGGTTAGTTTATAGCTGGAAATTGCAGACAAAAAGTAGAAAAAGAGCCGCTCACAGCTCCCATGATGCAGGGTTCCGGACATCGGCCATCGCTCTGGCCGCCCAGAATTTCACCATGCCCGCCCTGTCCCCCACGATGACCGAGGGAAACATTGCAACCTGGCGGGTCAAGGAGGGTGAGAAGTTCTCAGCTGGTGACGTCCTCTTGGAGATCGAGACGGATAAGGCGACGATGGATGTCGAGGCGCAGGAGGACGGCATCTTGATGAAGATCATGCAAGGCGACGGAAGCAAGGGTGTGCAGGTTGGCACCAGGATAGCAGTCGTTGCTGAGGAGGGGGACGACATCAGCTCGCTCGAGATCCCCGCCGACGTGAGCCCTCAACGAACGCAGACCGCCGAGGCGCCCAATGTGTACGAGACGCAGACTTCGGCTGCCCCGGAACCCGAAGCCGCACCACCTTCGACCGCGGGTCCCAAGGCCGCCGCAAAGCCAGGAGCGAAGACTATGAAGCACAACTACCCTCTGCTCCCATCGGTGGCACACCTCGTCAAGGAGAACGGCCTGGACGAGTCTGACATCAGCGGCATCATCCCTACCGGACCTAACGGCCGTCTCCTCAAGGGTGACGTACTCGCTTATCTAGGTAAAATCAACGCCAAGATTCCGTCCGAGATCTCGTCGCGGTTCGACAAGGCGTCACATCTGGATCTGAGCAACATCAAGGTCGCCAAGGCCCCCGAGCCCAAGATGCCACTCAAGGAGGCTGCGCCAGTACCGCCTCCAGTCCCCGTCAAATCGCTTGTAACGCTTCCGGTCTCCCTGTCGGCCGTTATCGAGGCTCAACAGAAAATCCAGAAGTCTCTTGGCGTGTTCCTCCCCCTCTCGACCTTCATCGCCCGCGCCACAGAGATTGCCAACGACGAGCTCCCGCTACCCGCGGGGTACCAGCCCACAGTAGACGAGCTGTTCAATCAGGTCTTGGGCCTGGACAAGGTCACTGGCCCTAAAGTATCACGGGGCTCTTACATCCCGCAGATTGCCGCCATCCCGCCCGCGTCTGCCCTGCCTACCCGCTCCGCCCTGGCTAAGAAGGTGGACATCATCGACATACTTGCGGGGGGAACGTCGAAGCCGAAGCGGGCTGCGAAGACAACAGTGATCCCGGGGGCATCTACTGGGCCGAATGTCTTCAGCCTGCAGGTACCCAAGACTGAGGAGAGGAGGGCACAGGTTTTCCTTGAGAGGGTTAAGCTTGTCTTGGAGAACGAACCTGGGAGGCTGGTGCTGTAACGTGGAATTACTGGAACGGGTCTTTGTGTCCAGTCAGTGTAAGAGGCAAATCGAATTCAGAGCATAGATACTCTTTTTTTTATCTTACAGTGGGCGGCCATCCAAGTGTCATTGGGCCTTTTATCGCCCGTGCATGGGCGGCATGGAAGAGAGAGCTGCGGACTCTGCCAGCGTGAAATACTCCAATGTTAAAATTGAGTTCAAACTACCTCATCCTTTCAGTGGTTAAAGGCTATCATTGTCCGCCTCTCTTTTCGCTGTATAGTCGCAAACGCTCCGACCCTTGTGTGTCCGTTAGTGAAACGACAAGACAAGCCAGATACCCTCATGGCGACGATTTCTGCGTTCCATCTGCAACCTCATCGATCTCCTCCTCCTCCTCCTCCCATTCCTCCCAAGTAGCCACCTTATCCCACCCATTCGGTCTCGTCGTCCTCACATGCCCAACCCTCAGCCCGTCAATCTCGACTGCCTCTCTCGGCCATCTCACCACACCCTGAAACCCTTCACTCCATGCCTCCTGCATCATCGTCCCCTCCTCAAACAGATGCGGCACCACCTTCCTCATGCTTGCCAGCGCCCTCTTGCCCACCTCATCCACCGAGTCGCTATGCCGCAGCTCAAAAAAGCCTGCCTCGTTCTCGTGCTCCCTCCTCAGCCTCGCCTGCTCCTCCGCGGGCAACAGGCCCAGCTCCATGAGGAAGACATCATACTGACACAGGCTGGTCCTGCACACCCACGACCCGCCCTCCGTAGCTCGCCGGTAGAGTCCCACCAGCGCGGCCAGACTGCCCAGCGCGCCCGTGGCGTAATCCGACATGGGGAAGGGCGGCACAACCGGCTCGTCCAGGCCCATGAACCGACCCTGCGCCCACGCCACGCCCGTCACGCAGTCGGCGATCTGCTGCCACCCGGGCCGCGTCGCCCACTCGGCGCCCGCCGAGGCCGGCAGATCACAGCCGCCGAAACAGTCCTCTGCCACGTACACGAAGCCCTTCCCCCGCTGGCGGGCGAGTTCCCCGAGCCGGGCGGGGCCGTAACCCAGCCGCGCTAGGGCGCCGGGGCGGTACCCGTCGATGAGCACGTCCGCGTCGGCGAGGAGGGCGTCGAAGACGGCGCGGTCGTGGGCTGAGTGGCGCAGGTCGAGGTGGATCGCGTGTTTGCCCGTGTTGACGTCCAGCTGGAAGAAGGGGACGTCGGGGAGGTGCGGCGAGGTGACCTTGAGGACCTGGGCGCCGTGTGCTGCGAGCGAGCGGCCGATTGTCGGACCGGCGATGATGCGGCATAGCTCGAGGACTTTGATCCCCGCCAGGGCATAGTGCGGGCCAGAGCAGGGGGATGGGATAGGGGATCGGAAGGGCACGGGCGGGGTGGCGGTATCGGTTGGGTTGGGCTGGACGGTGAAGGGTGGGAGCTGTTGGAGGGCTTTGCCGTGTGCGGTGGACTGGAATTGAGGCCACGTGAGGGCTTGGATGCCGGCTTGGCGGTGGGCGAGGTTGAGGGTTTCGAGCTCGGAGGCTGTGTGTTCCATCACAGCAGATTCGATGTAGGAGATGATGGCGCGGTAGTCGGTCATGGAGGGGTTGTCCTTCGGCAGGCCGAGCATCTCGAGGGTTACATCCGCGTCAAGGGAGCCGTGGATGTGATAGTACTCGCCCGGGGTCTTGGTGCTGTAGAGGTTGGCCGACATCCGCCGGTACAGCACTGACTGAGCGCGATTCAGATCCGTATCTTGAAGCAGGTTAGCCGGTTAGCCCCTTATGTCCTCCTTCCTCCACAGACTTGGGATCCGGAGTACGTACCCGGAATCTTCTCCTTAGTTCTCACGTCCGCTTTGTCCATCCCATCAAGAGTGGTTAGGTAGGCCGACATCAGAAAGGCCGAGACCTTGTCGACATCGACCTGTATCCTCCTGATCTCTGTCCCGTAACGCAGCGTGGCAATGGCAGCGGCGGCGCATGCCTCGAGAGCCTTGATGGCCGTAACGGCCTCCTGCTCTCTGAGAGGCGTCGGGAAGTGCACTGCATCCCCGTTCTCCGATGTCGAGTTGATATCAACGACCTGCGTGAAGGTCGAGATCGCCCCTGGGAGCAAACCTCGGCAGGTCGCACACAGGCTTGCGAGTGCTTCCTGCGACCCGGCGGCCACAGAGTATTGGGTACGGTTCTGAGGCCCCTGAAGCGCGGGTTCGCGATCTTTCCCGAAGGACAGAATCCGCTGCCAGCAGCGAATTGCCGTGAGAAGGATGCTTTGCTGTGACATCTGTCCAAGAACTTCTCCGTAGAGGCTAGAGTTGTCAAGAGCGCTGTTCCAGCCCCAGTTCAGGGATGAAGTCGTCGACGCTGCCATCGTAGCGGCCGCCTCCATTCGTCTTCAGAGTTGGGAGCACAGTCGCTGTGAGAGAACAGACACATCACGACGAATCGCGGGCGACATGTCACTATAAGTGTCCCATCCGATGCATAGCCATGGCGATGATGACACCCTGTTGGTCATGAGAGGACCTTGTGCATGGTCCAAATTCCTGGTGAGACCCGCAGTGTCGAGCGGATGATGGGAGCTAGTGGAGCTAAGGTGATACCCGGCACGTGTTGGCCACGAAAAGAAACAGGCGTTGAGGAACATCGCCGCATCACCGCATCCGTGACGGCGACGGGGTCTCTGTTTTCTGGTTCCCCGCGCGCCGGCGGGGTTTGTTCCAACGCGGAGAGGATCTCACAAGAAGGGGGAAGGCTATGATTGGAGTCGTCTTTCCGCGAGCCCACGCTAGGTGAGCCATTTACATGACTCGCCAGGACCGGAATGGCCCCAACGACTGGCGAGGTATTGACGAATCCTAGGGCTCATGGTACGGGCCCTCCACCCGCTGTACCAAAAGAGCGATGGGGGAATGGCTCGGCCCGGCATGTTCTTGCCGGGCCCTGGCAGAATCTTTTGGTTGCGGGATACGCTGTGATCTACCAGTTCAGGTTCACGTGGGACCCGGGCGTGATCACGCGGCCGACAAGATCCGAAGTTGTAACATAGATTCAGACTGAGACAGTGAGACTTCGCAGAAGAGGAAGTAAGAGCTGAGTTCCTTGGCGTAAGCATACCGGGGAAACCGGTTACACGGCGGGATGCTGAAGAGCCTTGGGGGCGACCCTGCACCCCAGAGACACAAGGCGAGGCGTTGGTGACGGGAGCAAGTGTGGGGTTAGCGTGTGCAAACACAGCGCTTGCCTGCCCCCTGGGTGACGAGCATACATACCAACCCGAATCTGGGGACGCTGCAGAAGCTGGTGGACAACGTGGGGAGACCATCCCTGCCTTCAATGTGGTGTGATCCGCGGGTCGATCGACTACCGAGGAGCTCCGCGTCGGGAAATTCGGGATGGGCGATGGCAGACGCCGAATCGACCCACGGACGAGATGGTTGCTCAGACGGGAAAGGCGAAGCCGCGCGTGGCCAGGCTGGAAAACAGCTGCGTCGCATGAGCCTGCCGCGGTGGCTTCGCAGGAACGGTTCGTCATGTGTATAACCTCAGCCGTGAGCCGCGCACTGCTCAAGAGAGCTTGTGCGTGTTTCATGGGCGGATGGGACATCGTTCCTGACGAATGCCGTCATCTGCTCGCTTGATGCCGCTCCAATGTCCACTTTTGTGAGTCCGAGAAGACGGAGCTGGCTCTGTTGCTTGGGTTACCGGAACGGAGATCCCGAAAGAAGCAAGTAGGGACACGGTCACCCGGCGCTCTCCCCGCTTCTCGCCGTGGGGGAAATTTGATGTTTGGTGGTTGTGTTGAAGATGGAAATCCCGCCGGATCAGAGACACGACCAATCTGCGAACGATCTCGAGCAGGGCCTTCGCGGTCGAGCGGTCCACTTATTATGCTGTGGGGCGTCCCGCTCGGTAGCGGCCGCACCCATATCCACTAAAACTGGGGAAATTAGGTGCATTATCCGATGAATTCGGCGCTGTCGGTCGTCCCTTCCCTCTGCGATATACTGTGTAGGTTGACTGCTGGGACGGGCTCTCTAGGGCATCCACGGAATGAACCTGAGCAATCGCACCTTCCTCGGCTTCACCATGGAACCCCGAAATTCCACTTGACACCACGAGGAATATTCCAGGTTCCTCGGTGGTCCTGCGGTCACGAAATTTGGTAAGCCAATTTTGTGCCGCCTTTCGATCCCACTCTGGTTTGCATGCACCTCGTAGAACGCGGCTCGAATGAGGGTCTCGAACCCCTGACAGCCACACACCACCAACCTAGGTAGGTAAGTTCAAGTTACCAACACAACCTCAACAAGTGAAGAGAAGGACGCATCGAAGTCGCTTGGTCACACAACCCTCTCTCTACCCCAGAGCTCGACAACTCGGGGCTTACATGCAACCACATGGAATGGACGTGCCGTCGTTCCCCTTCGCTTCGTCTTGCCTGATCCCCGCCAGGGCACGCTCTTCTGGACGAAAAGCTTGACACCATGGTAGCACCAACCTCACGCCACGAGGCAAGCCTGCTATCTGACGACCCAATGCGGACACGTTCAAAGACATCGTCGCTGTCAAGCACGAGCTGGGGGCGCGGCTTCGTTCGTGTGCTGGGAGGAGGTAGGCCTATCGCCATCCTCCATCGCCGTCATGGGGCCTATTGCAATGTTGAGCTGGTGGTTGCCAACCCCCCTGCTGGCGCATCCTTCCCCACATCATGTTCGCTCGATGTCCGCGTCATGCAGCAGCGGCTAGCTGGCGCATCGCGAAGTTATCCAAGTACTTGGGTCCACGTGCCCCCTCGCACCGCTTGCTGATGCAGCTGGGCCGAGGCGTGCCAGTCACTGGTTAGCATGCATGGAGCCGATCTTGGGTACCTTTGGGCGCAAAAATCAACCGGCCGCACAGCCAGTATTATCCAAAGTGTCAACCTGCAGCAGCGAGCGGGCAGGGGTTTCTATTAGAGGCTCCCATCATCCACACTCCAAGCGGATGGTGTGCGCCGAGGGCCGTCGACGGGTGTTCCCCGGGCCCCGCGATCGAATTTCTGCCTTTGCTCGCAGGACTGTTTCACGGCGGCCGCGGCTCAGCATATCTCGTTGCGTGGTGCAGAATCCTGGCGATATTTTCGTTCAACAGTGACATCTCTCGCCCCGACGCCCTCATCATCCTGAACTCGCAGACCCCGCAATCAGCCTGCTGCACAGCGGTTCGTGCCACCAAGCGCTCTCCCGCCGCTGCGCCCGCACGAGACTGGGACCCCGACTGAATCCATCAGGCAGGCTAGAAACCCCAGCAGCTCCCTGCCCGACCAGCCCAGCAAGTACATCCTATCCTCCCTGACAGATTACATCCATCCGATAACCCGGCCCTGCTGCCGACGTGTCTCGTGCGTCATCCGTTCCCTGCCGTCGCCAGCGGCTTCCGATCGCACCAAGATTCGTCCTCCTTCTGTCGTTCTCTCCTCTAGCTATCAGCTATCAGCTATCCGCACCGTTGCACTTGCGGCTGCTGTCTGCTCGGCCAGACTCCCGGTCAGCAGGACGGCCTGCTTTCCGATGGCGGGGCGCCCGCGCGCATCTCCCCACGCAGCAGCCTCTCCACCATGACGCGCCCCAAGGTTCCCGACGACAAGCGCCAGCGCACGGCTCAAGCCTGCGATTCTTGCAAGCGCCGGAAGCAAAAGGTTGGCTCCATTGTCTCCATTTTCTGTCGTTGCCTCTCCTCCTTGCATACCTGCCTTCCTTCTCCGTCACCCGGGTGGGTATTTCAAGGCCCAGTGGGTGCCCATGTCAACCCTTCTGTCGTCAGATCTCAGAAACTTGTCAGTGGCTTGCTAGAGCCTTACAGTTGTATCCCCATACTGCAAGATGTCTGAGTCAATGTTCCCCCAAACCTCGTTTTCCGCTTCTGAGTTCTCGTCGAGAGCACCGCCGCCATGCCCGTTCGTTGCCGGAGGGGAGATGCCTGCCTCAACCGAGTGCAGAGTTCAGCCAGCTCAGACAAAGCCCCAGTGGGCGTCGTATTCGCTCAGTTGTTACGAAGCACAAGGCTGCGGGAGAGAAGGAGAGGCCCTTATTATTGAGTTTGAGTGGCACAGATTGCTCTGGTCTGCTGGCCATCAAACTTGAGACAAGAGGACGCCACACCAATATGTAGTTAGTGGCTGGACATCTCTGGGTTGGGTTCCAGCAAGCGGTGATCGCCTTGTTTCTGAGAGGACTTCTTCCTGACACTTTTCCCTGCCTTTTTTTCTCATCATCGTTTTCAGACTCATCGCGGCTCGGCTGGCTCCTTACACCTTGCATCTTCGCTGATTCCCCCCCGTCTAGTGCAATGGCTCGAAACCCTGCCAAACCTGTCTCAGGAGGAGATTGATCTGTTGCTACACGCCGAACAACACCTCCGACCAAGCCGCGGACTCTGCTGCGTCACCATCAAAGCGGCGCCACCTTGAGACGTCCCCGCCTTCCATTCCCTCTGCTTTAGAGACGTTAGAATCAATCTCTCCCCGAGGCCGTGATGAACCAATGCAACCTTGGGGCCAGATTCGAAAGAACGAGCAACAATCGGGTAGCTCCTCCATGGCAGGCATGGCAGCACAACTCCCGTTATCAGTCTCGGAGCATGCTCGACAAGGCTCCTTCCAAACCTCCAGAAAGCTGCCGAATCGTAGCAATGCAAATGGGCTATCCGAGGAAACCAACATCTACACCGAGACGCGGATGTTGCAGGACCAGACAGGGCGCCTTCGTAGGTGCTCTCGACGCTGTGGTACTGTTGCCCCGGGACTTATCTGACGTGTTTGTCCTCTAGTCTACATTGGAGATGCGTCGACGCTGTCGATTCTGCAGCTGATCCGCATCATCGTCGAGAATACGGCCGGGTCAGACATGGGCTCACCTTTTATCGATGATCCTAAGAGGCATCGCATATTGGAGAGCGTCATAGACATACCCGCAAACGTTCATATCCCTAGTCCGCTGCCAGACAGGGAGACCGCCGACGTCCTCATAGCGTCTTACTTCACCAATGTCAGTCAGCTTCCCTGTGCTTGTTGCTGTGCGAATGCGAATGGGTGTTGACATCAGTAGACATGCGGTCTGAGCGAGATCCTGGACAGGCCTTCGTTTCTCCGCTCAGTGGAAGAATGCTACAACGACCCACCCTCGGCCAACAACTACTTCCTGTGTAACTTGTTTCTGGTTCTAGCAATTGGCCTCCTGCTGGCAGCTCCCGCCCCGGACAGCCCGGAAGATGCCGTGATACAGAAGCAGCTCTCGGCTCGACCAGACAGGGCCGAGATCTTCTTTCGAAGTGCCCGATCCATGTGTGACCCGGGTGCCGGCTTCGAGGACGCCGACTTCTGGTCCATCCAAGCGCTGGCGTTGATGACGATCTACATGCTGATAGTCTCCAAGAGGAACACGGCTTATGCATACCTAGGGATGGCTGTCCGCTCCGCCTATGCTATGGGCATACATAGGGAGGAGACTATGCGCGACGTCATCTTCACGCCAGATGAGATGAGGGTGAGGAGGAACCTGTGGAAGACTCTGTTCGTTCTGGACCGCTTCTTGGCCGCCACGCTTGGGAGGCCGACGGCCATAAGTGAGGACGACTGCTCCTGCAAGATCCTGCGGGAGGGTGATGCGGTCGACATTCGGGCTGTTGGCGGGCCGGCCTTCGACCAGGTCCATGCGAGCAGTCTTGATGCCTGCGTCGAGACCTGCCATGTCATTGGGGTGACGCTGAAGGTCTTCTCCAAGAGGAGGATCTCGACCGAAAGGGTCCAGGAGATAGTCGACATGTCCAGGAACTGGGACCAAGCCTCGAGCACGCAGGCCTATCGACGACAATCGGGCGGCGGTCCCACGGCGGCACATGGGATGGCATGCCTTCATGTCAATCTCTTTTCGTTGCATTCGCTGATACTGCTCACCCGCCAACTCTTCGTCATGCATAACTGGATGCTTGTGGAGGAGCGGTCGGGCGGCAAGAAGGCCCCGCAAATCCGTGAATCAGCAATGGCGCGATTCTCGGAGGCCTGCGTTGTTGCTTCTTATCGGACGATCAAGCTCGCAGTCAGTGCTTATGAGGACGGTTACCTCCCGCGCAGGAACCCCTTCGTCATGTAAGTTTCGGCTGACAACATATCTTCTAGCCAGAGAGATCCCTGATCTTCATTGAGCCTGGGTATAGCAACTAACGTTAACCCCTGCCCCAGATACTTCATCTTCGCCGCAAGCCTCGTGATCCTCATGAATCAGTTCTCCTCGCTCTACCACACAGACGAGTACGAAGAGACCATGCATCATGCCCGCACTATCATGGCGTACTGTGCCGAGATCGATCCACAGGCACAGCGGGTTCTAGATATCATAACAAGGTTCTCAGAAGTAGTCACTAAGTGGACTAAGGCACACGCATATCCCGCGCCTCAGCTGTCGGATGATTTCAGCTGCCTGTACAACCAGCCCGCACGCTCTGGGCAGACGTCGGAACACGCGAGTCGGCTTCCTGCCGTCAACACAACCATCCAGGAGCGGAGATCGTCCCAGGCTATCAGCAGGTCGGATCCAGGGTTGCTGACTCCACCGTCACTGCCAAAGCTGCCACTTCTCGACATCCTCTCGGCACAAATTCCCAGCGCAGCGTTAGAAACACGGATGGGCGGGGTGACGCCGCCACATACGCATGCTCACTCGATTTCTCTTGCCGGCGCCAGGTCGAGCATCTCGGCTCACTCATCCATCGCGAGCTCCGAGCCGCTTAGCGGGAACATCGAGTTCGAGTTTGACGGCTTATGGAACAATTTCATCACCCATCTCCCGCCTGTCTCGACGGTAGCCCCGGGTCTAAACAGTCTTGCATCTCAGTTTCCGCCACCAGTAATTGGTACACCCACTGAGCCATATGGTGCGTACTCGACTCCGGTAATCCGGATGCTTCCCCCGATTCAAGCACACAGCAACGCCCCGCTGTTTCGTGCAGGCTTTGGCTGATTCATAGGACTGTTGTGTAAGACAAGCCTGGCTTCTGAGTGAGCTTCGAGCAGCCGGAGGCATACCAGTGCGACCAAAATAGCGTTTTCATCTTCTTTTTGGCAGTTTGAAGGCGGTCTCCTGCTTTTGGGGCGGCGGGCTGTGGCAGGCGACGGGCTAACGGATTTGACAAAACACACCCGGCAGAGGACAACTCTGGTGGGACGCATCGAAACTCAATTGAAAACCACCGGCCTGGGTGGGAGGGAATACAGCAGCTACCCACGCCCAACACACTTCTGCCGCACAGGCTCAGCCCCGGCCAAGGACGAAGTCGTACTGGAGCGACCACCGCGCATTCGGGTCTCCCTCGCGCGGTGCAAATCTGACTACCAGCTCGTCCTTCACAGCAAACACGGAATCTTTTCCGAGGTACTGGTCCCGGTCATCGTACAGCTGGGTTGTCAGAGGTCGGAATCCCGGTGCTGTCACGATGAAGTGGATATGACCGGGCCGGTACGGATGCCGGTCTAACAAGGCCAAAAGCCGGCCGGCGGGCCCATCGTCGGGTATCGGATATGGCACCGGTCGAAGGGCATAGAAGGCGTAGCGGCCAGACGCGTCTGTCTCGAAGCGACCCCTGAAGTTCATATCCGGCTGCGACTCGTCTTGTTGTTCATACAGCCCGTTGGGTGCCGCGTGCCACACATCCAGTATCGCCCCCTGGATCGGCTCTCCCGAGTTCGACAGCACACGACCTGTAACAAAGGCTGAATCGGCCACTGCTTGCTCATACCAAGGCACAGACGGACCGAGGTCCTTGATAATGGAGCTGCCGTGCGGCAGCAACGGTGCATCCTGGCGATAGAACGGTCCGAGAACGGCAGAGGGAGTCTCCGATTCGGATGTCGAGACAAGTTTGCTGGTGATCTCACCCACCAGGCTTTCGAGTCCGACAATATCGCAAAGGAGTTGCGTCTCGTTCCGCCGGTCGTCCGACATCTGCCCGCACTCGTTGATCTGCGAAGAAACGTCAGTCTTGGCAGCTATAATAAACGACATCGAGCTGGCGATTGGGGGCCCATTGCTTACAAACTCCACTGCGGCCGTCCATTCCTCCACCGTCAGGTTGACCTCACGCGCGAATGCGTGGAGGTGGCGCACCAAGCTGGGCATCACCTCGGCCAGGCGCCGGTTGGCATTCGGTCCTGTGGCGGCGATCACCTTGTCTGTGAAGGCTGGATCATATTTCGGCTTCTTCGATGTGTCATTGGGTTTGGGATCCACCGGAGCCCGGGAAGCGTGGTCGGGTATCATCTGACCCATGTCGATTGAAAGTTGAGATGAGTTGAGGAAGAAGTTGGAACGTTGGGGACTCGGTACGCTCAGAGCTTTGAGTTGACAACTACAGGTACTACAAGGCAGGAGACGGGAGACTGAGAGGTGAATGCCCGGGGTGGTTTGCAGAATGTGGAAGAGGTTCTGAATGCTGAAGAGTGGCTGGTTCAAGTACTCGTGCTTGTCTCAGACGGGGGGAGCAGAGGGGACGGCCTGAAGAGGGCGGCACAGACTCACATTGCATGAGGTGGCGCAACGGATGGGCTACCGCGCGGATATGCAACGTCATACTTTCCTACCTTACCTATCTACCATCTGACCTACGATACCCGCGGCAACGACTCGGACTCGGACTCCCTTCCCCAGCGTGCTCTCGACCAGGTGGTATTTCCTCGTTTGATGATCTGTCTCCTTTGAAAAGTAAAAAAACAAAAAGAAAAAGTGATATTTGGTTTCGATGTTGACGCACTTCTCTCAAGAAGCTGTTGACCGCGTGTGGTTATTGCGAGACAACCCTTTCGGACGAAGCACGCACGAACTAGGAGAAGCCTAGTGTACCGGCGCTGTTGCGTCACCAAGCAACTCGTTGCACAGATACGGTGTGATAGGCCAGCAAAGCTGTGACTCCCGAGTCCCGACCTCGTGGCAAGTTGGGTTAGAGGGCTGGGCTATCCGGCTGCCGGCCATGTTTCCCGGCACTGTACATTCCGGATATCCCTGGTATTCATGTGGCGGACGGATTCATCGAAGCTGATGGACTCGCTGCACTCTTTTGCAGTCCTGCAGGCAGGCAGCTGAGAGGAATATTGTATGTATGTATGTACATGCAAGGGGGTGGATGGTACGAATAGATAGAGAAGATGGCCAGGGGACAACTTCCAAAGGATGCAGGGCAGGGTGGATGTAATCATGTAAGCACCCCCCCTTGCGCCGTGCGACATTGACTTCGCTCCCGCTGACCGCCTTGCGACTACAGTGTCCGTATTACAGTGGCTTGCATCTTATTATATTATATGCAGGGCTGACGAGCCGAAGATGTTAGGGGATTCCACCTTGGGATTGATACCTATCGGGACAAGGCGTTGTGTGAGGAGCTGGAGCGGACACTGGGGGTCCAAACAGGCGTGGGTTGAGAGGGAAGAGGCGGTCCTCAACAAGGGGACATACGAAACGTGGACGCCAGTTCGCTATATTTTTCCGGTCTACGAAGTTTGGTTTTATGTAAGGTACGGAAGGAAACGGCCGTAAATAAGTGTACGGAGCATTACCGGGCCCCTACTGAGACCAGTTAGAACTTAGACCACCCGTTGATCCGGCTCCGAGATCCGGTGTTTTCTGTCAACGTACCCAAAAAGAGTCCACCCCCCGAAGCCGGAGATAACCGCGACGGGGGGTTTTCTGTCAGCTGCCGGGATTCACACCAAGCACCGTGGCAATTTACATATACCGCTGTTTCGGCTGCATACACTACCGACCCGACCGCCTTGCCATCGTGGATCTCCCATGCCGGTTCCAGTCAGCCGGTGCACGTTCTCGAATGGTTGTTCCGCCGGCCCAATAACAAATAAACACTACATGATAAGTAAATGCGGTCAAGCCGATCCCGGCGGCTCTCGCTCGAGGGCTCTTGCGGGCCCCGGCCGGGCCGGCCTGCTGCCTGCGGCTGCGACCCGGAGAAGCCTCCGATAGGTTCACCGTTGCATGCTTTTTGGCAGCAATTGCCGAAAGACTGGGTACTGGGAACCGATACCTATTCCCTACCTCTACGATCCGTAGGGCTTTCTGTAGATCTGGCGGTCAGGTTCCAAGCAGGGCTGATGACTTTCGGCAATCTGGGTTAACTAGTGTACTAGGTAGTGTACTAGTATACGAAAATACGGGAAATGTGACGGCGTCTGCTCTCCCGATTCACAGGCTTGGTGGCTGCTGGCTGTTCGCGAGTTATGCAGAATGAAGGAATCACCATACCTAGGTACCTAGGGTAGCTATCTTCATTCCTTCATCTATCCCTTACACCGGACCGGACCAGATGAGTACTACTATGCAAGTACACAGCGAAAGGCGAAAGTAGGGACGTGAACCCGGTAACCTGGGAGCACGGCCATGGGCGGTCAGTCACAGTCGGACATCTGTCGGTTACCTAACTAACTACGGATACACTACAATCCTTGTCTCCCCTTCTGCCTTACGCGTGCCCCTGCTGCCACTACGAGGATGCAGCATCCAATAGGAACCATAAGACGAGAGGCATTTGTTCACACGAATTAATGTGTAAGCAGGTTTTCGTGTGTGCGTGTGTGTGTGTGTGTGTGTGTGTGTGTGTGTGTGTGTGTGTGTGTGTGTGTGTGTGTGTGTGTGTGTGTGTGTGTGTGTGTGTGACTCTGTTTCACCGCTTCAAGGGGGGGAGGGGGTTTGTTCCCGAGAGGATCTCCTGGAGGCGTATGACTCGTGAGAAGACGACACACACACGCACACACACACGCACAAGATGCCCGTGAAAGGCGGATATTCGGCCAATGTTGCGGTGATGAAAGTTGTGAAAGTGGCTGTGGCCGTGCCAGGGTGTGGGTGGGTGGGTGGATGCTTGGTTGGTTGGTTGGTGGGCGGCGAATCCCAAGAGAGAGTGTGTGTGTGCGTGTGAGAGAGGGAGAGAGAGAGAGCCTGAATGAGGCCGCCTAACTATTCGTAACTGTCGTTGTGAACACGAGGTTGTCGGGTGTGTTATCCGTGTGACTGTTGTGGTGATCGGCGGCAGGAAGAGGAGGGAGGAGGAGGATGGGGCTTTTTCCCGTATGTGTGTGTGTATGTGTGTTTTTGTGTATCATGTGTTGTGCCAGAGCACAGAAACAAGCGACTCCATGCGATCCGGTTGGCGGGCGAAGGGGAGTCATGTGGTGACGTGTGTGTGAGAGAGTGTGTTGTGCCTTGTTTGTTTTTCACCGAGAAGAGAGACAATGTTCGAGGTTCTGGACCGCTGTTCGCTGTGTCTCTGAGTAGGTACCTATATGTACAACCTCGGACGAGGCCATTCCTGTTTCTCCTTGTTTTCCCGCCCAACGACGACCTGCACTGTCTCACTTCAAGAGCAAGATTCAGAAACAAGCCGAGAAAAGGATGTGGATCGATCTTGTGTACGTGTATAAGTCCGATATCCGATCCCCAGACTCGGCAGGGCACACAAAACAGACTAACCATCACAAATGTCTTTAGTTGTCTCGCCGGCGAAGGTATTGCCGTGCTGACCCAGAACGTGCAGTTCATATCCGGCGCCATTGTCTGTATCACAGTACCCAGCATCTACAGATGACAGCCATCAACATTCCCACCGTCTGCCGCCAGGTAATGCTTACTCGAAACCTCATTAGTCCCCCTATTGAAACACACACGAGACCCAGGCCGTCTAACTCTACTACCAACTAGCAGGCCCAAAAGTCTCGCCGGGCGGCAGCACAACCTGGACGGCCTTGCCCTTATAATCCAACGTTGTCTTGACTACCTCGTTGCCCCACCACTTGGGCGGCGCCACCTCGCGGAGGGTGAAGGCAAAGAAGATGACCAGCGTGCTCAGGGCCAGCCCCAAGTCGAGACCGGAACTGGTGAGGAAGTTGAGGCGGCGCCACCAGGCGAAGTGGCGCTTCTTGACGAGATACTGGAAGACGAACCCGACAATGCCCCAGGAGAGGTAGTTGAGCGGCGTGGCGGGCGGGATGGCGCCGGCACCACCGAAGATGACGGGCGCCATGAGGTAGCGGAGGAAGGACTTGGGCCGGCAGCGCGCGGCGAGGTAGATGGCCAGCGGGGTGACGGCGCCGACGAGGAAGAAGACGAAGAGGGACGAGTAGAGCTGCCCGGGCGAGAAGATACGGGCTGGGCCGATGAGGCCCCATATCACGGATGCTGAGTAACGAGAGTAATGGTGTTAGTTATTTTTTGTTTTTCTTTTTGGTCGGCGGGAAAATGGGGGGTCACGGAATGGGAAGAGATGAGGACAGGCATGACAATGATATATAATGATATTTACCTGAGAAAAAGACTTTGCCGCCAGGGCAGGTGAAGTGCTCCGGCTGGGTGGGCTCGCAGACGCCCGGGATGGTTCGGAGCGCGTAGTTGAGCACAACGACCTGCACGAAGCACGAGAAGGTGGTGGCGACGACCTGGACCATGAACATGGTGCGCGGCGGAATCTTCATGTAGTGGCCGAACTTGAGGTCCGAGACGAAGGTCAGGGCCTGTGACATGGTGATGTAGCCAAAGGTTTTGAAGCTATGATAGTCAGCAAAAGGAAGAAAAGAAAGGAAAAAAAAAAGGAAAAAAAGGAAAAAAAAATGGAAAAGGTCGACTTGGAATGAATGAACGAAACGCGGGGTGGTGGTGCTCACATCATCAGAGCGAGTGGCCGGCCGGGCTGGATATACCCGTAGACGAACTCGGTCAAGACATTCAGGCCGATCTGGTTGTTGGTGACGGCCTGGATGATGCCAATCGGCAGCGAGAAGGCAAACGAGATGAATACGGCCAGCAGGAAGGCCCACCAGGTCAGGTTGGTCGGCCAGGCGAGGACGGTAATGAAGCCGATGACGAGCATCACGGCGAACAGCGACATGTACCACCAGGTCGGCGCCTCCTTGTACCGCCGCATCAGCTTCATGTGGATGTCGGGCTTCTCGGTGGTGCTGCTCCGGTACTGCCGCCAGATGGTCTTGCCGTGGTGCAGGTACGTGTACACGACCAGGGACGTGATGGCGGCGAAGGAGAGCCCGTACGAGATGGCGAAGGTCGTGCTGAGAAACAGGGGCGAGTAGTTGCTGTAGGCTTCCACGTCCAGCGTGTAGTCGGCCGTCAGGATGCGCGCCACGTCGTACTCGCGTCCCGTGTTGTCGTACGTGTTGGAGTCGCTCATGGGCAGGTACTGCGAGTACCAGGTGCCGCTGTAGTGGAGCGCCGACGCGAGCAACACAAAGAACAGGACCACGCCGATCATGGTGTTGGCAATGGCGTGCCACGGCGGAATCAGGGGGGATCCCACGAAGCCCGAGATCTGCGTCCAGTCGAAGGTGACGGGCAGCAGCGACAGGCCGGTGGTGTATCCAAACAGCTGGTTGACGACGGGGCTGTTCGGGGCGAGCCACGTCATGAAGGCGAACGAGCTCAGGAACTGGGCCAGGAAGCCCGGGATGAAGTAGTAGACGAAGGCGGCGAGCGTGACGAGGGAAAACCAGCGGTACCGGGGCATCGACCCGCCGATGACGGTCGGATCGCGGTCCTCGCTGCTCTCATACATGGCGTTCATCAACGTGACCGACACGAGATTGCCGGGCCAGATCATCGAGGCAGGATAGACTGTGTGGTGTGACTAGGTAGTCAGTGGCGGGACCGGAAGGGGGGAGATGGGACAAGTAGTAGTAGTAGTAGTAGTATTACCCAGGAACCTCCTCATCATCCCGGCAATCCCATAGCCCAAGCTCTGCGTCGAAACCACCAGCAACAACTGCCATACCACGCCAAAGTCCTGCTTGTAGAACACCTTCTGCGCGAGGATGATATCCGTCGCGTACGCCACCGAGAACGACACGCTGGCCATGACCACGATGATGGCATGCTCCTTGATGTTGAACGGGCCCGGGTTCAGCTTCAGCCGTATCGCCCTTTTCCGTTCATCCCACGACAACCACGGCGGGATAGACACGGCAATCTCCTTGTCCGGCACAAACCGCGCCCACCCCCTGCCCAGCGGCCAGGCAATGACCTGCGCGATCAGCGCGCCCAGACTGATGTTGGGCGACCGCAGCGAGAAGAGCGTGTTCATGCTCGCCCCCAGGAAGATCAGCGAGAGGCCGATAGTCCAGGCGCGCAGCGTGTTGCAGGGGAGCGAGGGGTCGTCGAAGGGGGCCACGGCCGCGCGCACTTCAGGGTAGGGCGAGTCCTCTATCTCTTCCTGCTCGTCATCGGCTCCGTCCGCGACCAAGGGGGCCTGGTCCGAGTCCAGAGAGCTGGTGGATCGGGGTTTGTCGGGGGCTCCGTCATGGTCCGGGTCGACGATGGAGAGAGAGTGCCGCGGTAGTGCTTGGTGGCGCTGCGAGTAGTCGGCTGGGAGGTTGGGGTCGAGCAGGAGCTCGTACTCGGAGCCTCCGGAGTCGGAGTGAGCGTCGTCTGGGCGGTGCTCATGGTCGTCGTGGCCGGGGCCGAAGAGAGAGAGGCGGGCTTTGAGGTGGCTGAGTGGGCTCTGGGGGCCTTCTGTCTCGGAGGATGGAGGCCGGTGTGTACGTTTCGCCAAACCAGGAGGAGCAGAGGGCCGGTTAGAGCCGTCGTTGTCTTGAGAGCCCGACGAAAGAGTTTGGAGGGGCACATCCGCAGATTTGGAGCTGGATGGTTCGGCCATGGTCTAACAGAGTCGGGTTACCCCGGCATCAACACGGGACGACGGGAGAAGGACAGAAGTGACTCCAATATTTATGAAGCACTGGGCAGGATCACAGAAGGCGGAGCCCTGCTTGACGGACCGGAATGCTGGTGCACTCTGACTGTATTTACACTTGTATACCGAGTCTCATCATCAATCCGTTGTGGTTATTGAGAATCCCGTCATAAGGAATTCAAATCTGATGAGAAGAGGCCCGTACGGCCTGGAAACGATGGCTCAGTGTCGGAGGTCGTCGTCCTGCGGCGACCGGATCCAGGATTCCCGAGTCGAAGTGGCAATGTTCCTGATCTGGATTTCCAATCCTGGTGGAATTAGGCTGAGGAATCACGGAAGGACAGCATTGTGACCTAGATTGTCAGCGGCGCATATTGTATTGCTTCCGGTGTTTGCTTGTTGTTGGCTCAGCTCGTCTTATTGACGACGGTTTCCGGCCAAGTGGCACTCCAATCAGCTTTGTCCCCACAAGGGAGATCTGGGTTTCGGAAAGGCTGACAAGGGTGCTAGGCGGTGGGGACTCGGGAGGGTTACGGTGCAGCTTCCGCAGTCGACTAGCCCAAATAGGATTAGCTCTGCAGAGCTCTCTCAACGTCCCTTCCGGGTTTGGTTTACAACTTACAGTGCAGTCCCCTCTGCATCACACTTCCTCGTTAATAAAAGAACCTCCTAACTGTTGAGTTACGCCTTTACCCTCAATAGATAAGACACTAAACATTTGGAATGGCCTAACATGCGTCGCGTTGTTGTGACTGGCCTCGGCGCCATCACCCCGCTCGGCATGGGCATCCGCCGCACCTGGCAGCGTCTGCTTGCCTCCGAGTCCGGGTTGGTCAGTGTCGCCGAGCGCGGCAGAGACGCTCTTGAGCAATCCCGATGGCGTGAATTGACCAGCACCGTGGCCGGCGTTGTGCCCACCAAATCAGATGATGGTCGCGACGGGGTCGATGAAGGCATCTGGCGACCGTCGGATTGGCTTGACGCCGCTGACCAGCGCCGCATGTCCACCTTTGCGCAGTACGCCGTCGCCGTGGCCGAGATGGCATTGCGAGATGCTGGGTGGAAGCCTATGGGCCCTAAGGAGCAAGAGATGACCGGCGTGTGTCTGGGCAGTGGCATCGGGAATCTGGACGACTTCTACGCCACGAGTGTGGCCTTTGGGCAAGGGGTAGGCTAACCCTCTCCCCTGGTTGGGTTCCGCGGACCACTACTGAGACGATGTTGATTGCTTTGCTCGGCGGTGGGCGGATTAGGGCTACAGAAAGGTCTCGCCACTGTTTGTGCCCAAGATACTGATCAACCTCGCCTCGGGACACGTTGCCATGCGCTACGGGCTCCGGGGCCCAAACCATGCGGCTACCACCGCCTGCACAACCGGCGCCCACTCGGTTGGGGATGCCGCGCGGTTCATTGCGTTTGGCGACGCCGATGTCATGGTGGCGGGCGGAGCCGAGTCCTGCATTCATCCGCTCACGCTTGCGGGGTTCGGACGCTCCAGGTCGCTGTCCACTGCGTTCAACCATGACCCGCCAGCGAGCTGTCGTCCGTTCGATGCTGATCGCGCAGGGTTCGTGGTCGCCGAGGGCGCCGCTGTGCTTGTGCTCGAGGAGCTGGAGCATGCCAAGCGCAGGGGAGCCAGGATCCTGGCCGAGGTGAGAGGATATGGGTGTAGCGGCGATGCGTACCACATGACGGCGCCGAGAGAGGATGGGTCGGGCGCCCTTTCCGCCATGAAGAAGGCGTTGAAGAATGCCGGGATCAAGCCCGCGCAGGTGGATTACATCAACGCCCATGCCACCGGCACCCAAGTCGGGGACGCTGCCGAGACGGCGGCCATACGCTCCTTGATGATGGGTGAGGACGGAGTGGACGACGAGAGCAAGGTCACGGTAAGCAGCACCAAGGGCGCCATTGGACATCTCCTGGGGGCGGCGGGCGCCATCGAAGCCGTGTTTTCCGTTCTTGCTATCACCGAGGTGAGTGCTGATGGGGTTGTTGCTGGTCGTTCTGTGTGTTTTCTGACATGTACTAGAATGCTGTCCCTCCTACGTTGAATCTGCACAGGCCGGATGTCGGCGCCGGGTTTAACTTCGTCCCGCTCCAGGCGCAACAGAAGAAGATCAAGGTGGCCGTGTCCAACAGCTTCGGCTTTGGCGGCACCAACGCCTCGCTGGTCTTTTCCGAGCTGGAATGAGATCGCCGAGCCGGAACGATCTGGGCGTATTTCCCGGCTTGGTAGATTGAGTAAGGGGTTTGTATGTTAGTTGTATATGTGCTGTACATATTACCATGTGAACGTATCCTATTGCAATTGCAGCCATTCGATTTGTCTTGTGCACTTTCTGGTCAACGATCGCAGTACTCCTTTACAGACCTTAAGTACTGTGTACAATGCCCCTTTTCTCTTCACTGGAACTTGAAGGCCACACTTGCGACCCTAACCCTTATCATGCCCACCATCTCCAAGATAGCCTTTTTGGAGTCGAACGGATGAAGCTTTGCGACGAGCTCCCTCGAGCACTCAACACCTGCCTCAGTCCAAGCAGATCAGATACCCGCAATGGCTTGTCGCAGTTGCGGCGCGGGTCTCGCCCGCCTACCTTCCAGGGCATCATCGCCTCTCAGCCGGAGTTTCTTAGAAACCACGCCGCTACAATTACCATCACCGTCGCCGTCGTTCTGCTACGGCGCGACAAGTCGCTCGGCCTCGGGGTTCGTCCTGACGTATGCGATGATACCCAGCCTCCAGATCACCGCCCCGGCCCGGACACCCCGAAGAGCCCTCCACACGACATCGTCCCGGCAGAAGTTCAAACTGAGAGAGATGCTGCTCGGCCGCATCGCCCAGACCCTGGCGACAGAGAAGAGCAGCTACTACATCTACGGCGCCGCCGAGCGCCTCTACAATGCCTGCGCCGCCCCGGCCGACTACACGATCGACCCAAAAGACCGCAAGGCCGGCAAGCTGCAGACAACGGCCGAGGGCGAGGAGATTGGCGTCAGCAAGGGCGGGTCGTGGCACAACGGTACGATCTCAGGGCTTTCTTTTTTTTTCCATCCAGCAAATAGGTAGTAGAGTACCTGTACAATACATATGCTTGCTAACTTGAGACTCGGCACACTCTCTTCCCCCACTAGACCTCGGCCTCCTCCCGACCTTCAACACGTGGGCGCACATCACCATGCTGCACATGTACCTGCTCGTCGTCCGCTTCCGCTGCTTCGACGCGGCCTCGCAGCAGGCCTGGCAGACCTACCTGGTCAACCACTTCTTCTACCACGCCGAGGCCAAGATGGACGAGGTGCACGAGCTGACGTCGCGCCTCATCCGCCAGAAGTACCTCAAGGACCTGTTCGTCCAGTGGCGCGGCCTGATGCTGGCCTACGACGAGGGCTTGGTGAAGGGGGACGCCGTGCTGGCGTCGGCCGTGTGGCGCAACCTGTTCAAGGCGCGGGAGGACGTCGACGTGCGGGCGCTGGCCGCCGTGGTCGCGTGGATGCGCGCCGGCCTGGCGGAGCTCGGCGGCATGACGGATGACGAGGTCGAGGTGGGCGGGCACGCCGCGTTTGGCGAGCTGACCGAGAAGTTCCAGGCGGTAGATCTGCCGACCGCGTCGATGAGGGCCGTGCTCGAGCAGGCGGCGTTGAAGCCCGAGGCGAGTCGCGCATGACGTTGCGTGGGATGATGTACGATGTACGACCAACAAAGACTGTAAAACCAACCACCACCCTGTAGCCATACATTTACTGTACAAGTACAATGCACAACAACAACAACGCCGTCCTTTTTCTTTTCGTTTTTTCTTTTTCTTTTTTTCTTTCTTTCAGTCCACCCGTTCCCACATCTCGAACTCGTACTCGGTGCCCGCCTCGGACTGCACGCCCCGGGGGACTTCCTCGCCAACCCACGCATCCATCTCGGCCTGACTGGCCCTCCTCCACCCGGGAGCGCCGTCTTCATCCAACTTCAGGGGAAAGAAGGTATCGCACTCGAAGTCGGTGCGCACCCGGGTCAGCAGCACCCGCCTCGCCTGTATCATCTCCAGCGCAGCGCGGTAGATCTGCGCGCCGCCAATGACAAACACCCTGCCTAGCCCGCCGCCCTCTTTTTTCTGCTTCACGTCCCGGAGATAGGCCAGCGCTTCCTCTAGCGACTGCGCCGTGACCGCCTCGGGACTTTGTTGATGATCTTCCTCCGTGGAGGAAATGATGGACGGCGGCACAGGCCCACTGCTTCCACTCCCACTCCCATTCCCAACCCCAGCCCCAGCCCCAGCCCCTGACACACCGCCAGCCGCCCCCTCCCCCCCAGTAGTAGGAGTAGTAGTGGTAGCCCCCCTCGTAGAAAGAACGACATTCCACCTTCCCGGAAGCGGCCTGAACCGCTCGGGGATACTCTCCCACGTTTTCCGGCCCATGACCACCGCGTTCTTCTTCTTCTTCTTCCTCCTCGCATCATCATCATCATCATTGTTCATCACCCCACCACCACCACTCTCACTCTTGAGGGGCACCACCGGTGGTGGCAGACGGCGCGTGACACGCGCAAAGTAGGCCATCTCCCTCTTCAGCATCGGCCAGGGGAGGCTTCCCGCGCGGCCGATGCCCATGTGCTGCGCCGTGGCTGCGACGATGAGCGTTACTTCGGGGAGGGGCGATCCCCGCTGGGTGGCTCCTGTTGCTGCTGTGGAGGAGGAGGAGGAGGAGGTCTTCTGAAGGAATTCGTGAGACATCTTGTTTTTGTGGGGGCGCGCGAGGTAGGAGAAGAGGATTCCGAAGCCGTGGTTGAATATGCCGCGGATTGGTTTGCCGCTGCTCATCGGGTGTGCGAGGTAGAATAAAAGATCGTGGATGTGGCGGTGGGCTGCATGTATGTACCAATGCCTAGTAGTGTGCCATTTTTATAGACGGATGGGAAAGGTGAGATGAGATGCGGGTTGACTTTTGAGGTGAAAGACAGATGAAAGTGGGACCAAAGAATCAGGTTGTGGTGGTTTCATTGGTCGCCCTACCTAGGTATTGGACATATACTACAGTAGGAAACGCTGCAGATCGAGGTGACCGATTATGCCGCGAAATAGTATTACCAGGTAGCCCTCTTTACCCTCTATCATACTACTAACCAGGGGAACTGGCTAGCACCAATCTATGATACCTATCCTTAACCCCAAAGCAAGGAAATCACTTCCCGGTCTGCAACACTCAAAAGAGGAAACCAAACCTACAACACATACCCCCCACCGACGGCCACGACATTCCAATCCCGCACCCCCCGCCCGTCTTCCAGCTCGACGCACCACCACAGCGCGTCCCGCGCCTTGTCCACCTGCCCGCTCTCCTCGTACGCCCGTGCCAGCGCAAGCCACGCCTCCGCGTCGTTCCACCCGCTGCCGAGCTTGGTCAGGCCCGAGAGCAAGCCGTATGCGCGATCGCGCGCCGCCAGCCGGTCGTTCAGGGGCAGCGACGTCGCCTCGTGCGGAGGGGGCAGCTGCGGGCCCAGGAAGTCCGACGGTGGCGTGGACGGGGATGGTGTGTGGCCGTTTGCCTCGGCGGGCTTCGCCTTGGCTGCTGCTGTCGCCTTTGGTTTGGGGTTCGTTGCTGGGCCCAGCCCGAGAGGCGCCGATGGTAACGGAGGGAATTTCGAACGGCCCTCTTCGTTGATGCTGTGGCCTGCCGGGGACATGGTCCTGTTAGTTGGGGAGGTGAACACGTTGTCCTCGTCGGCGAGGGAGAGCCCGCTGAGGTCCAGCCCCGGGACGGCTGGCGGCGGGAGCAGCTTTTCTGCGTAGATATCCAGGAGAATGTGAGACAGCCCGACGATGGCGCTGGTGTGGTCGGGGAAATGCGTCAGTGCCGCCTCGAATTCCGCCCGTGCCTGGTACGGCTTCTTGCGGGCGAGGGAGAGTTGCCCTTTCTGTAGATGAATATCGTCAGCAACCGGTCATTGTTCCATCTTGGCCTCTGGGACACACAACCCACCTCAGCCCACACATCCGCCAAAACCTCCTCCGCACTCTTCTCCATTCCCCAGCCGGCCTGCCGCACAGACAGCGACCCCGAAGCGTCACTGACCACGTCCGCCTCGAGGCTCTGCGCGACTTTCTGCGCCTCGCCAATCGCCTTGTGCGCATCCTCGAGCAGCCCGGCCCGGCGGTAAAAGCCGGCAATGACGAGCCACACCCTGACGAGGATCGCCTTCCTCCGCCGCCGGGTATGCTCTGGCGAGAAGTGCACGTACGGCAGCAGCGGCGTGAAAGATCCTACCACTTGCGCGACCGGCGCCAGCTCTGAATGGCTGGTCGTCGCCCTCGAGCGGGGCGACGGCATGCGGGAGCCTTCGTGCTGCGACGACGTCCTCGGCGGCTCGACCGTCTGCTTGGGCGCAAAGTATTGAGGGAGATTCCGCTCGTCGGCGGGGGCAAAGTACTTGTTGCCGTCGAGCGGCGGCACCGGCGGGCCTCCGCTGCTGACCGCACGCTGCCGGCTGCCGCTGCGGTCCCGCTTGCGCAGGCTGTTCCGGCTCCGGCGCTTGAAGTCGTCCGACTTGATCGACCTGCGGCTCGAGTCTGGGTCGGCGTTCGTGGACTGGCGCGTCAGCGTCGTGGTTGCCACGCTGTGAGCTGTTTGCGCCGTCTGCGGCCGCGACTCGATGGTCTCTAGCTTTGCGCTGTCGGTATTATGCCTCGGACGCGTCGCCCTGTCCGCTTTGCCGCCGAACACACTACTCCTTATAGTGCGCATCGTCGCGGCGGTTTTTGGCGGCTCAGTAGCCTTGCTGAGCTCGACATCCTGGATATTTTGTTCCAATTCGCCAAATAACCTGGGGAACAGGGTAAGCAGCTCTGTGCTGGCGTTGACGGCGACTGCTGGGCCCTCGATCAGCTCGAGAATGGCGAGCTGCGTCATCTTAATCTGCAGGATGCCCTCCTTCTCGTAGTCGTCCATCTCGTCCACGATGCCATCGCCGGCTTTCTCGTTTCTGATTCCCGCCTCCTTGAGATGCTCGCTCCGGAAAGCACCATTCAAGTGCCTACTCCCGAACAGCACATACGGGTCTTTGAACTGTTCAATGGCTCCCTCGCAGGCCCGCGCAGCCATGAAGTACTCCTGCCGGGCGCTTAGCAGCAGTGCCAAAAGATGCCAAAGCGGAATAAGCGACCTCTCCCTCCAGTACGGGCCGAGGAGCAGCTCCTGGCTTTCCCTGTCTGCCTTTTCCGCCAGGAGAGCCGTCCTGACCAGCTCGATTGCCGCGGAAAGCTCGCGCTGCTCCGCGTATAATATCCCTAGAGCGAACGCAGCGCCTGCATCAATTGCAGCGCCGAATTCTGCTGAGAGCGACTTCCGCAGGCACTGTATCGCCTTCTGCTGGATTGACGCCCGTGACTCCGACTCATACGTCATGCGCGCCCACTGTGCCTGAGCCAGCCCGATCGACTGCCACGCCAGCGCCAGGACATTCGGCGGCACCTCATCCCGGACATCGTTGCCATCTGCATCGCGGCCCTCCTCCGTCTTCCTGACCAGCTCCTCAAGCTCCTCCGCCAGTTTCCGCGCTTTGTCGGCCGCCTCCCTGCTCCCGAACCGACAAAGAGCGGCGATACAAGCCGAGATGGTCTCTAACATTCTGGCATCATCATCCAGCGCGGGCTCACGGTGGCCTGTCTTTTGCACTCTCGCTTTCCCCTTCTTGACCAGCTCCAACCATGAGTCAAACGCCATGAATGCCAGGTCAAACTCGGCCACGGCGAGGTGCACCGTGAACATGTGCCGCAGTATCGCCGTCGAGTGATACGTCTTGGCCGCCGCGCCGTACAGGCTGTCCAGCGTCCCATGGCAGAGCGAGTCCCTCCCGCCAGCGCCAAGATCGTGCTCCTTCCAGCCGCGCCCGTTCAGGATCTCCCAGTTCTGCATCATCCGGCGGACAAAGTCCTCGATCTCGGCCCGCTCCTCGTCCGCCTTGGGGAACTTGGTCTCGCTGAACAACAGCCCCTGATACACGGCCTCAACCTTCTGCAGCTCCGCCCTCAACTGACTCCTCGCTGAACCCTCCTTCCCAGCACCAACCTCTAGATATCCCGTCGGAAACGGCAAATCCCCACTTAGGATGTCCGACAGCGCGTAGTAATACTCAGCCCAGACCTGACGTCTCGGCACGCTCCCGCGAAACCCGTACCCGCCGGACAACACAGCACCCCCACCCCCCTTGCCCGCGGACCAATACCGCGCCCAGGTTCGGAAACAGCCCAGACAATCCGCATCCCTCAGCGACTGCACCCCGTCCTTTAGCGCCTGGGCCGCCAGCATGCAATATTCTGTCAGAAACAGCTCCGCCCAGTACCTAGTCTGCTGCCTTGCCTCTGCGGGGCCGGCGGACCACACGCTGCCCAGGGCAGGCAGCGCCGCCTCGAACGCGTTGAGCGCGCCTTCCCGCTGTCCATCGCGCGCGAGGCAGTTCGCGCGCAGGTACGCCGCCTTGAGCGCGCAGACCTTGGTCCACTCGGATTTGCCGTCGGCGGCGGCAACGTCGTGGTCGGCATCGGCGGCGTCGCTGTCGTTTAGCGTGCGCGGCAGCCGGGCGAGCGCCGCGGCGTACTCCCGTAGTACCCACTGCAGCCAGCCGGCGCACACGCGGGCTTGGAAGCGGTCTTCCGGGTGGTGCGACTCCGAGTCGATCGTGGTGAGCAGCGCGGGGAGCTTGTCGGCTGCGTCGAGGCCCCCTCCGCCTCCTGCATTGTTGGGAGAGGTGCCGTCGGCGGGGAGGTTGGCTTTGGCAATGGCGTGTTCGATCTCGGCGGTTAGGGCGAGGCCTGGGTCATCATGGGATTACTGGCGTCAGATTTGCGTGATGACTCTTGGAGAGAAAGAGGGTGGGAGAAAGGAGGTAGGCCATACAGGTGCGCTCGGGGGCGTGTTTCCGCACCTTCCGGACTAGCTCGGGCACGGCATCCCAGTTCTCGTCGCAGCGGGCATCGTTGAGCTGTTGGATGTAGTGCGCGGCTTTGACTGGGTCGGGCTGGATCTATACGTCAGCGGGACTTGGAGCCACGAGAACGGGAAAACGCGGAGTGTAAAGGCGAGGTGTTGAATTGAAATTACCATGTTGCCTGTTTGGAGAGCCCACTCGCACTATGGTGATCTAATCCGACAGGACATGCGAACCACGGGTGCTTCTCACAAGACGTTCGGTGTCGCGGGCAAGGATATGGGATTCGAAGGCGGTGGGTGCCCGTCCAGGAGAGCGTTTCCAAGTTGGGTTCCAGGTTATGAAATGACGGGGCAACTGATTGACGCCAAGCCAAGATCCTAGGGGGCCCGTTGGGACCCGCAGGGGCTCGGCGAGCCTGGCCGACGGCACATGCACGGCAAGATCTCAGAGACGGTGTGCAATTGGTCAGTTCCACCACTAAGTTTAGGCCAGGACAGGGGTGCAGCAACGCCAAAGGGCCAAAAATTTCGACCAAAAGAGGATGGAAGAACGACTTACTGTTACTGTATCTTCCAGGTTCAAGCTGTTGGTGTCAGCAGTTCCGGTGTGTGGTGAGAAAGTGAGCGGTCATCCGGCAGCTCTGCATCTAGCTTGTGGACAACCCAACTCACTTAGATTTCTACTGTCGAGACAAGTTCAACAAGTTCATGCAGAAGTTGCAAGTCCTGATGCTAGTTCAAGCTGAGGGTTTAATATCGTCTCAGTTTCTAGACCAGTAGTCACCTGTGTCCCTTTTGAGCCTATTCTTTTCTTGTTTCTTGCTTCTTTTTTCTTTTTTTCCCCTTCAACACGAGCCAGCATGGCTGCGCCGCCCGACCTGAGAGTGCTCTGCCGCAGGTTGGCTTCCACGCCAGCCGACGACCTCCCGCGGCTCTGTCCGCTGCTCGTCAGCCATGTGCTGCGCTGCGGCGGGCCCCTGTCTGCACCCTCCGATGTCAAGGCCAAGGACAAGTCGGCAGAGACGCCGATGCTGGTCCACAAGCTCCGAACACACATCACGACGCTCCTGACTGGCAAGAACGCCTCGGGACGCTTCGCCGCTGTGTGCTTGGTCAAGGCGGTCATCGACGTGGGAGGATGGGAGAGCCTGCGGACAGCAGACGCCTGGCTCAGGGGCTTGATTGGGGCGCTGCAGGTACGACAAGTACTCATCTCTAGGTAATTCTGATGGCTGGAGAGACTGACTGACAATTTGCTAGAAACCTGACCCCCTTGCCTCGAAAGAGCTCAGCATCGTCACCCTGACCAAGATGTACATGCTGCTCCAGGCGTACCCGACTCTGGTGCGAGAGATGGCCACCCCGACCGTCCCGGATTTCGTGAAAGCCTGCTTGCAGCTCATCAGACCCCCAGCCTCGGGCAGGCCGCGGAAGGTCCCGGCAGCCTTTGTCGACACTGTCGCTAGCTCCTTATCCAAGCTCGTCGTGCTCTACCCGACCACGCTGCGGCCCCTAGCCGCCCAGATGAAGGCTGCTTTGCGGCCATACGTCGCTCCCACTTCCTCAGATGCCGCGGTCGTCCCCAGGAGCCTCAGGGAGAGTTCGCGCCGGCTGTTTGTTCTCCTGTCTTACACGGCACCCAAGAACGGCAGCAGCGAAGAATGGGCCCGGGCGATCCGGGCCACCATCCTAGATGCCCACGCCACCGTTGATCAGGTGTTCCGGGCCGTGGTCGAGTCCTGGGAGTCTACAACGGGCCACCGACCCCAGGCGGCCCACACCGGCGCGGATCCTTCCGGGGGAGGCGACGCGGCCGAGGAACTCCCTCCATGGACTGGTGTCGCAGCGGGCGCCGACAGACTCATCGGCCTTTTAGAGTTCCTGGCCGACTACTTCAACAGCCCCACCAAAGCGCCCGTCACAGTCCCGCTCGGGGAAGTCCTGGACCTGACGGCGAGGATAACGCTCGTGACGCCGCCATCGTCCGGCGCGGAGGACTCGGTCATCACCAACCCCGCCATCGGGCGAGACGAGAAGGCCGAGCTATGGAGTGTTCTCCCAGACATCCACAATTCTGTTTTGCGCCTTCATCATGCCGTCATCCGCCGACTGAGAGAAAACGCGGTCCCCCTCGCAACCGACATCCTCGACCAAGTAGTTCGCGTCTCCGCCGCCAGCCGCCACGTTCTTGCCACACGCGAGACTGCGTATAGCCTCACAAAGGAACTTCTCCTCCTCTCTGGTCCAACCCTCCCGAAACTCACAGTCGACTCCCTCACCGCGCTCATCCAGTCCGCCTGCCAGGACATCCTCCTTGCAGCAGGCCGCTTGGAAGACAAGCCCGCCGCAGAAGACACCAAGCCAACCACAAATGGCAAACGACCAAAAACCAATCCTAACGCCATCGCCTCCACCAACGCAGACGCCTACCTCCCCAGTGCCAACGCCAACACCACCGGTACTTCCTCATCAGCAACGTCTTTCTCCCCGCTCTCCACATCCCACCAACAAGCAGCCACATCTCTCCTGCCCCTCTTCCTCTCCCACCTGCCCCAATCCCACCTAGCCCCGGAAACAAGAGGCCTGCTCGACCGCACGGCCATCCTGTCCGACAGCAAGGAGGCCATGCTGGCGAGCTGTCTGCACCCGTACAAGGATTCGCGCGGGCGTTACTACCCCAGCATCTTGCCCTTCCTGGTCAGGAGGTACCCCCGCGATCAGGGGGTCGAGGTGCTCAGGAGTAATCTCATTCGCATACGTGCGCAACAGGGTGGTGGCGATCAACTCATGGACGGGAGGTGGGAGGATGATCACGATCATGATCATGATCGTGAGGATGGTGGCGGTATCAACGCTCATCCGAGGGATGGGTTGAGAGAGCTGCTTCTGCGTGCTGCACCTGTGCCCATGGAGACAGGGGGTGAGGAGGTCGAGGAGGAAAGGGAGCAGGAAGGCAGGGATAAAGAGAAGAAGAAAAAGAGAAGCGGTACTGCTTGGAGGGTCGATATGGATGTTGACGATGCTCCGCCCGCGCAGACAGTGCCTGAGACCACAGATCCCTTCGCAGCGGTGACTGCCACCGCAGGCCACGAAGAGCCCGAGCGGGGACCAGCGCGGCCCGCGTCGTCGCTCAAGCGAAAGAGTGAACCGGTTGAGGCTGATACCGGCAATCCGCCCAAGCGAGTTGACACGGGCAAGGCGGCGGTTGCCGTCATGCCCCAAGCCAAGCCAGCATCGGAGCAAAGCGGTCAAGAAAGCGGCGATGAGAGTGACAGCGACGGAAGCGTCCAGATCGATATGACCTTGGATGATGATGACGACGAGGAGGAGGACGAGAACGATGGATAAGGCGTCGAAATCTTGTACGTTGATGTACACAACATAATTCGCTGTTCATGTTACTTGTTGAAGACGTTGTATACATCGGCAGAGGCATGACTGCCTGCCTTCGGCAATCGGCCCCTTTGAGCTGCCATGCACTGTTGCTCTCAAGAGCCTGTCTCTCTAAACCTGGCTGGTGTAACCGTCCCTGATATCTCTGAAGCCACCTGATCTTAAAACGCCCGCCAATCGCTTGCCTGTTCAGCTGTGCGCGCCGTAAGCCCTGTTTGTTACCCTCTTGAAAATGCTGCCGATTCAATACCAGATATCAAAACACACCCCCACATCCCCTCCCTACCTTACGAAGCCCTCTCCAGTCCAGTTGGGGAGGGAGCGGTCCTCGTTTCACCACCATCAAAGCCGAAAATCACCGAAAACAATTGCAACGCGCAGAGAAGCCACCCGATAACACCACAAGCCACCTTGAATAATAAAACGGGGACCTCCATGTATGTAAAAGATCGAAAATCAATCCCTCAACCAAGCCCGGCGCTTCTCCTCCTTCTTTTGGCGCCTCCGCTCTTTGAAGGCCTTCAGCTCCGCCCGCGTGGGTTTCTTGCCCGCCCGCTCCGCCTTGAGGCTGCGCCCGTCGTGCATGTTGGCGGCCGCGTCCACGTCGAAGAAGGCGCGCATCTGCCGCCGGCTCTTGGCCTCGTCCGAGTGCCGATCCACGCTCTGGTCGGCCGCCTGCCACTGGCCCGTGCGCCGGTTGAAGAAGGCCGCGGTCCCGAACTCTTCCTGTTGCTCGGCCGTGAGGGCCGGCGGCGGCGCCGCCCGCGAAGCCTGCGCGTACCACGCGTTCTCGTCGTAGTCGCCGTGTATGGCCGGGTTGTAACCCCCCGCGACGGAGGTCGGGTTGCTCATCAGCGCGGTCTGCTGCCCCGGTGCCACGGCTGTGGTGTCGCTTGTTGTGCTGGTGGTGGTGGTGGTGGCGCCGCCTGGTACCCGCGGGTTCTCCTGCTGCCACACACCCGTGAAGCGGTTATAAAACCAGTATTGCTGGTCGTTGGGGTTCCAGTGGAACTCCCAGCCGTCGTCTTCGGGGTCGGGTACAGGTTCTGCTGGGAGAGGCGGCGCGGTGGGATCTGTTGGGAGCGGTTCGTTTGGCAGTGGAGGTTCTGTGCCGTCCTGATCTGGGAGCGGTTCGCTGGGAAGAGGTGGTTGTGTGTCCTCGCCAGCCTTCTGGCTTGTTTCGGATTCGCTCTGTTCCGAGGTGCCGGACCCGGAGTATTCGCCCTCGCTGCGTGTCTCGGAACGTGAACGAGAGCCGTTCGCTTCGTCTGTTGGAGATTCGTTCACTTGCGCTTTAGTCGGGTCTGGTGTCGGTTCTGGCTCGATCTCGGGGCTGTTGTCTGCAGTGTCGACTTGGCGTTCGGGCTGAGCAGCCGAAGCTTCGGCTGCCGGCGCTGTCGACATGGCGGAGGTAGATCAGATGCTTGATGAGTGAGAATGACGGGTCCGAAAATAGCTTGAAACAGACTAGACGATTGAAGCTTTCATCCTCCGGCAACGATCAGTGCTGCGCAGAGGGCACGACAAGTGAGGGGATCGAGGGTCGGAATGATCCACAGTGCTCGATGTGTTGTCGGAATTTATGTGAGGCCGGCTGCAGTGGCATGAACTTCAAGTTGAAGTCACCACAGTGGAGATGCATCGCTACGACAATGCAAGCAGATGATGGATGTAATTATCCGTAAATGCAATTCCAATAGGTAGTCAATTACCGGAGTAGCCAACCTTATCTGCCAGCCCTGAAGTGTGGGGCAACTTCCCGCAATTGGGGTGACCGCAACCTCCCGAGGGGCCGGGTCCTGGTCGTGGCCAACTGCCCGACATCAAACTCGCACCGGAAAGCTGTTTCTCCCGTCCGGCCTGATCGGATTCTCCATGGCAGGCGTGCGCAAGTGGTATCGCCGTCTTCGGTTACACAGTAGTCGCAGATATACGACACCACGCAATCGCCGATCTTCAGCGGCCCACCCCGGGCGGAATCAGGAAGCCATCGACAGAGAGCCTCCGCTTCTTATACACACTCATTTCAGCTTCAGAGAGAACTGCATGCCCGGGACTGCGGCGACTGCGATAACGCAAGCGCATCTGGGCGCGCGGGGTTGCATCCAGGCCGCAGTGCGACCGCGGATTTGGGGCTCTTGGTGGGATCCGCGCGAGCCTCGAGCAATATCTCGGCCGCTGTGTCGTCCATATTTAGGCACTCCGTTCGGCCTCTCTTTAGCCGGATATATGGTGTGGCCGCCAACCACGCACGCTCTATCTGGTAAAATGCTGATCCTGGCCATTGGCCACGGCTACATTCGAGCGGCCGGCCTGCGTCCCACGCGGGCGGACACCGATTCGCTGGTAACTGTCGTCCCGGTCCGACCCACGAGTTGATAGAAGCTGTGCTTGGGTCGGCTCCAACTACGGATCTAGTTCGTCGTTGCAATGCTCGGAGCTTGGACAAATAGATCCAGTTGCTCAACTTGCTGAACCAAAGGCAAAACCATTCATGCCATCTGGGTATGCAGTCAGAAGATAAGCCTGGCCGCCCACCCCTGCCCGGCTATGGCAGCAGTCGCTTGCTTTCTGCTGGCTCCGGATTAGCTATTTGAGTGGCGTCTTCCCCTGCTCCCACGCCTGGCCCAACTGCTCTCTCTGTTTATCGTATGTATAGGTCCTTGATGCGGTACGTTTCCACGGCTTAGCTCCATGTGCTCTCTTGCATGTGGTCGCATGCCCTCGTGTCTTACATCTGTTCACCACACACTGAGGCCTCCCCTACCACACATGCTACCTCTGCAAGGCTGGACCTGATTCTTATATCGACCTCAGGGGGCACCGGGGGTTTTCAGGGACCCGTTGTGAGAGACCATGGAGCAATTGAAGCGGACACTATGCCTGCCATCCTCCCTTTCCTCGCTCATCTTCCTCATCTCCGCCACCATTCCCGCAGCAGCAGCAGCAGACCCTGCTCTGACGGATGACTCGAGATGCGGCTGCTACCTAACCAACGGCAACCAGAGCGCCTTCTTCGCAGACCACAGGTTCTTCGACTTCCGATCGTTGTCCGAGGACGCCGGCGTGCCGGCTGTGGTCCAGAACGTCGATGCTAGCGCTGGGGCCGAGATGACTAGTGCCTACTTTTCCAGCTCAGAATGGACGGACTTCTGGATGCTCGGCAGCTGGAACAACAGCAACCATGGCCGCTCCGACGCCACCGTGCTCATGGTCAACTCGCCCAACAACATCTATATCGAGGCCAACAACGAGGCCAACCCGTCCTCGCAGACTTGGCTCACCCTCCGCACGCAGCGCCTGGCCGACTTCCAGACCGCCGCCGAGATCGAGTCCGCCTCGGCCAAGTTCAGGTACCTGTCCATCCGCATGCGTGCCCGCACCGTCGGCGCCGCGGGAGCTATCACGGCCATGTTCACATACCGCGACGCCGACACGCTGGCCAAGGTGCAAGAGTCAGACCTCGAGATCCGCACCTCGGATCCGCGCAACCTCATCCACTACACCAACCAGCCCGCCTACACCGACGCGGGGGACACGGTCCCGCAAGCCACGCAGAATGCCACCATGCCTGGCGGGCGCGACTGGACGGACTGGGCCGTGCACCGCATGGACTGGACCCCCGGGAAAACCACGTGGTACGTGGACGATACACAGGTGGCACAGATCGAGTTCCAGGCGCCCAGGGACGAGAGTAACCTGATCCTGAATGCATGGAGTGACGGCGGGGCCTGGACGGGCAACATGAGCCGGAACGACGCGGCATACTTGCAGGTACAATGGTTGGAGGTGGTGTTTAACAACACCGAGGTAGGCAAGATGACGGACAAGGAAAGGAGGAGGAGGACCGGGAGGAGGAGGGAGGATGGTGGCGGCAGTGGCTGCGCGGCCGTGTGTAGTATCGACCAGACCCCGCAGCTGGGGAAGCCAGTGATGCTGTGGGATAATCGTGCGGCGGGGAACCAGCCCAATGGGGTTGGAAGGCTCGTTAGCTGGCTGCCGATGGGGATGGTCTCTTTGATGGTGTTGGTGTCGACCGGGCTGTTGATGTGAATCTCGGGCTGCGGAAGGATGATATGACTGCATATGAGTGCTACTAGTGCTTGATGGATTAGTCCAAAGCCTTAGTTTGGCAAAATCAACAGCGTGACTGCACCGCAGCGTCTAGCCTTCTCAGCATCAACATATAGCAGTTGCAAAGTTAAAAGATCCTTCAGAGATCACACGACTCTACCAGAAGAGAATTTGAGGCAGGAGACGCAAAGTGGGATAAGTACTAGCGGCAGTTTATTATAGAAGGTGGAGTGGCTCACGCACAGTATTCAAACAGCCGCGCTGGACGAATCCCATCAACTGCTGCCATTTCCACCTTGAATGTAAACCACTTCAGTTTACTACCCTAGTAAGTCCCTGATCATGACGGTATTCAGGGAGCTCGAGAGCAACTACCATATAATTATTATGAGGTGACCTAGGCCTCGCAACAATGCCAACAAGGGTCGAGCCCCTATTCAGCAGCGGCATCTTGGGACAATCCTTTTTCCTCAGGCCAGATACAACTACGTTGCCCATCGGAAAGACCGTTTCTTGCTACTCGGCTGGCATTGGGGTTCAGAACCGTTTTGCGAATCGCGGTTGAGGATGCTGCGCTGGGGTTTCCCATCGAGACAGTCCCTTGATGAACCCGCGAAGGAAGCTGAACTAGGTATTAGTACCTCAATCAAATATTACCTTACCTTGGGGCGAAGTAGGGCGTATTGAGCACGGAATTCAATCTCGCTAGCACTACTACAACAGAGCGACACTACTAGGCACCTAAGTAGGTAGGTAGTGGGAATTCAACTGAAAAGGAAATCAAGGAAAAGGAAGAAAAGAAAGATCAAAAGGCTACTTGTTCTTCAAGGCCTGTTGAAACTCCGAGTCTCATTGTGGTCTTTTCTATCATTTTCCGAGTCTGGTAAGGTGTAGCTTGGTGAAATCACATCAGCATTCCATGTCTGAACTCTGAAACACAAAATATCCGGCACAATTCGGCTGTGGCTCAAGTGTCGGGGATCGCTGTACCTGATCTTCATTGGCCCTAAAACGGTGACTTGCAGTTAGCATGATCGTCTTGTGATAACTGGTGTTGCACTCAGTGCACTCCTGCATGCCGCCCATTGCTGGTTCTCGGTGGTACCTATAGTTGCGGTTAAACACGTTCCCACGCCGATCAGGAAGAATGAGTTGGAGGGAAATCAGGGCAGCGCATCGTGCATAACCACGGATGGCAACTCTGCCGGACAGGTGGAGTTTCCTTGAGGCTTTATATAAGGTAAATGTGTACTAGTAGTAGTAGTAGTAGTATATCTGTGATTTCCCCTCGTCTCCGGGCCTAAAGGCATCACAGCACCCAGGTGAATGCCACTCCAAAACAACCATCATCATCCAGACCATGGCCATTAACGTCCTCATCCTTTTCCCCCCCCTCCTCTTGAGCATCACATTCACCACTACCGCAGCCTTCCCATCATCCGCCTTCCGGCCCGCGCCCCCTGCCGTCTTGTCTCTTACCAACTCATTCAGCTCAAGCAAGAACACCACCAACACCACGACATGCCCGAAGATCCACATCATCGCCGCCCGCGAGACGACCGCCCCGCCGCCGTTCGGCTCCTCGCGAACCCTCGTCGACCTCCTCCTCCAGGCCCTCTCTCCGTCAATCACGGCCGAGGCGATCGATTACCCGGCTGCCGGAGGCGAGGCGTACAGCGCGAGCGTGGCGGCCGGGATCGAGGCGGTGGTGAGGCAGACGGGCGAGTTTGCCGAGCGGTGTCCCGGGAGTCGGGTTGTCATGCATGGGTATTCCCAGGTAGGTTTTAGGTGTGCTTGTGGATATATATATCATGGTCTCCTGCTTGGGGTGTGAAGGGATTGTTGAGTCGTCGCATGGGGACACAAACGACAAGCAATTGCAGACGGTTAATCAGTCTGTCTGTCATCTACCTTAACCTAGGGCGCGCAAATCATGGACGATGCCTTCTGCGGCGGACCCGACCTGCCGAGTTTCAACTCCACGGGGAGGAGGCTCGTCCCAGCCGCCGTGGCCAACAGCACCGTGGCCATCATCCTGATGGGCAATCCACGACATGTCGACGGCCTGCCGTTCAACGTTGGGAATGCTACGGCTGGCGGAGTAAGTACCTACCTAAAAATCGTTTAGCGTTTTGCTTTCTTCGCCGTCAAAACGCAGCCCAGTCCCCAGGCATGTTACGTCGAGCAAGATGCCTACCTTACTGACTACGTCGGGGGAACAGTTCGCTGCTAGGCCGGTGGGCTTCCGGTGCCCTGAATTCCAGGACAGGATCCGGGCCTACTGCGACTCGCCCGACCCGTTCTGCTCCAACGGAAACGACCCGGCCACGCACCAGGGGTATGGGCAAGAGTTTGGGCAGGATGCCCTGCAGTTCGTCATCACCAAGATGGCAGTGTCGTCGGCGAGGTCGCGGCCCATTGCCCCGGGTGCGTGTATGTACCATGTTATCATGGGCTTTGTATATGGTTTGGTTGCATATCTGTAATACTGTACTGCACCTGATTGATACCTTACGTTTTGTTGGCATTGCTTGCCTGACCATGTTGAACACTCCTGAATCCTCCCCGACATTGCGTTGGAGACTCAGAATCAACCTAGAAGGTACTAGTAGTAGGTGACGTCCAAAGACGCGGCGGACGTTTCTCTGGAAGGCAAGAGAAGAGTTCGGTCTCTCCCAATGGCCTCACCTATGATGACCAAGACCGTCCACCTGCCTCTGTCGACAGATTTCCTGACTTTTGACAAGCCGAGCATGCTTAGGACGATGCATCTTGGCGGTAGGCCACATCAATAACATCAATCAAATAGGTACATACTACTGTGTTACAGCGCTGTCAGTTGCGGGCACGTCGGGATAGGGCGTTGGCTTTCGAGGCGGGCAGCCCGGCTGAAAGATAGGGCTGAATTCCAGCAAGCCTGCAGCCTTGGCGAGTCTTTCGTGTCCGCCCCTGCGTGTTGCAATTCATAGATCATAGCAACATGCCCCCAGCACTGGATTGAAGTGGAACGACGTTGTCATTTCTCGTTCGAGAAATCGGAAATCATCTCGGGGCCGCCAATCCCAGGCAAGCGCGAGCTTGGCGCAAATTGGGGCTCTTTCCACAGGAGCTGAAATATTACATATTAGTATGTAAGATACGAGCAATGCGTCTGGTAACAAACGTCTATGTGTAATTACCACGTAAATCCCGTACGCATTTGTCAACGTCAACGGTAATTCTCCGGGCGGCGTAAAGGCTTCTGTTGGTCTCCTCTTCCGCTCCGTCCTGCTCCGCCGCTCCGTGGCCTACCCCCGGAGCACGCTCGTATTCCTCGGCGAGCATAAAAATTGCTGACGACGACGATTTTCAGAGGGACCTATCATCCGCCACCCAGCGCTTACACAACCGCAGCGGTCACCATGTGCGAGCGAATCCTCGGTCGGAGCGAGAGTGTTCTGGTGCGCAATATCGCATGGTTGTACGGAGCTACTACTTAGGTACCTTAGTTTTGCAGTGTGGTTTATGCCAGTTATTGAGTGCGAAACCTCCCCTGGTCGCCGAGTTGTCGTGCCGTCCAGTCAGCGGCCGGCATGCACGCTGCTGTAGTCCGTTCCGGGCTTCATGCCGACGGAAACGGGAGTTGGCCATGCAGCCAAGAGAGGAGGAACTGGACATGGGCCCGTTGCACCGCATTCGCACACGGAGACCTACTAGTACTGACGTTATTGTCTCGCCGAGAATCGACGGGCCAAGCAGCATCCAGCAGCCTACCCGGTCGTGCCAGTCCCGTCGCCGGATAGCGGCTAAGCCGACGATGGAAATCCGTTGGGCTGGGTACCGGGACGGCGGAAGCTCGTGCCTGCTGATCTGGCTTACACTAGGTTCCAGATTGTCCGTAAGTCCGTCTCCCGGTCGCTGGCTGATTTGAAGCCTGCGACGAATCGACACTGTGCCTGCGCTGCTGCCCTGTCGAACTGGAAAGCGCTCGTCAGCGTTGGCATGTGTGGTCATCCAATAACTACGTACATGTACCTAACCATACCTATCCCAACGGTTCCATTGGCATATCAGTTCATGCTAAGCTTTGTCCGAGCTCGTGCTCCGCCTGATGCTCCGAGACACATTTCAGATGATCTGGACTTGACGCTAACAGAACGTTTCCCGGCGGGGGGACGGGAGGGCCACGCAAGCAAGATGTGTAATGCCTCTACTGTCGGGTGGTATGTACTCCAGACATAGGACTCTATGGATGGCGTGATCGAGAGCCTGGTGCTGAAAACGTCAATCGATCTTGGTTTCTGATGCTTACGCAGAACAGCTGGAGATAGGCGGCAAATGATAACCGTTAGCAATGTTGGACTACAGTACACGTCGGAGTGAAGGATCGACCGTTCCCAATTCCGAACCCCGGATGGCACATCTCGCTGCTGACGTTATGTATAATCTTCGTGGATAGATAGTAGTTAGTAGTAATGTTGATCCGTGGAACTACCTATGTAAGGCATGATGCATGTCTACGGTGCATGCCGAAGTACAGATGCCAAATCTGAACAGGCCGACAGCTGGCCCATTGATGACTCTGTCCGGAAACAATATGGTCTCATGCAAAGGCCCAAGGCCGTTCGTGCGGCTGCGATATCCCCAATGCTCTCAACCTACTCTTGTGTTCCGAATGATTGCTTCCTGGACAAGGTTTGTTAACCATTACCTAGGCGAGTCGATCTACACAGTTCCCTTGTTGTACTCGTACGGAAACAACCAACATGCGTGGCACTTAAAGGCGGGCAGGAAACAGGACATGTGCCTCTGCGGCACATAAAGAGAGGTCTTACCATACACCGCCACGTGAGTGCTATACACTACTCTAACGGTTAGATATACCTGCAACTTGAAATGGAAACTTCAACAGAAGAAAGCAGAGTGGGACACTTGGAAGGCTGATGAGAAGAATGATGATTTGCGTTGTCTTGGCGTGCTTCCCCATGGGGTTCACGAGCATTCAGGGAACTGCTTCCGGCTTGGTAATAAGAGAGCTTGCATATTTTGTAGTCATTAACCGAAGTCGTGTTTGGCATTCTGTCCGAGAAACCGGGTTCCGGTACGGAGTATTCCGTACTGTTTAAATACTAAGTTATTTAATCTCGCAGAATTTCTGGCTGAACTGCTGTGTGATGACCCCCAGTTTAAGACCGCAGAAATGGTCGCCTCTCGTACTTGCAGCGAGTAAAACCGGGCTGCCCGTTCAGAGTTTCGTCGGGCAGGTAGCTGAGGTACTGCTGGCCCGCTGCAGCACGCGCCGGAGGATGGGTTGTTGTTGTTGTTGTTGTTGTTGTAGGGAGGGCTGCAGGCCTGCTTCGCTTGGCGGGATGTTTGCGGCATCCCCTATCTTATGCAGCGCCGCATACACTACTGTGTAGGTAGTAGGTACCGCTTCGAATGGGATGGGCCGTCGAGATTTTCGAGACACACTCGGGTTTCCGAGAATACCTAGGGGCTGGCTACCTACTGTTTCTGGTAGTAGTCCATGTTACACTAGGTAGTAGTGAGCTTGAAAGAAGCAGGAAGTACCGCCTGCCATTGTTGTTCGAGTACGGATCACTGAGCAAGAAATTATTTTGGATATGAGGACAGCGAGGGGAAAGTATGCCTGTTATAAGTACTTGCTCCGTGCCTACCTTACCAACGGATGGATACCTGGTGGTGAGGCAAGGGAACACGAGGAATGCGGGGGTGTCTTGCAGGGAGGTCTGCACATAAAATCCGACCGACAGATCACTCACGCAGCCGCGGAATGTTGTTATAAGTCCTCTGGCATCAAGGCTACTGGAAATCGACACGAAACCGAATGGGCGCGACTCCATCCATCCATAATTCTTTTATTCCTAACGAGCGGATGCGAGCAAACGCGCTCGAGAGATCAAAAGACGGAGAAGGAACTAATGAGCCGACAATGTAGTTCACTATGATTAGTTGCTTTGCTGCCAATACCTAAGGTAGGGAGTTTCGTACGAATTGAGGTTGTAAGCCGCAAAGATTCTCATAGTTATCATGAGCTCCCTTGTGGTGCGGCGGGCGAGCCCTTTTCGCCACACAGGACCAACCCCTGTTCGCGCGACTCTCGGGTCAATGCATGTCTCCATCCCGCGTTAACCAATCGCGCAGTCCGCTCTTTTGGCCTCAGTCAACATCATGATGGCGAGAGAAGTGCCTGGTCGTTGCAAGCCATCGGACTTGACCTGAGATGGCCACGAATACCTACACTAGAAAGGCGCTACAACAGAGGCAAAAAAAGAAGCAAAGTTCATTCACTGACGGCCGATCAAGGGATGCAGACAGCTTGAACTGTCACGATTCAGTTAGTAACCAACCCCTGACACGGTACGAGCCAGGCTAGATTGTCTCCACTGATTAGCTCCAACGTCGCAGCTAAGAATGGAAGGATTCCGTCGCGGGGTGTACTGTACCGTACCGACTTGTAGGTACTCTCGTAAGTCCAAGGTGCGCGAGTGGGACTTCACCCCAGCCGTTACTGTAAGTTACCGCCTATAAGAAGATTGTTTGTATTAAAGTTCGTGGTGGACCTGCCCAGTGGAGCTGCATCGGCGTGTAGGAGTGGCTGTTGCGGCTGCAATGCCCTGGATGTCTTGGAATTTGTCCGCAAGGCAAGCGGTACAGTACAGATTACCGATCCATTCGTTCCAGGGGCTTTCCAATTCTGGCGTGTGCACCGCCATTGCCTTGTCCGTCTCTTGATGCGTGGTCTGCCTGTCTCTCACTTTCCTCAGATTGATCTCGCCTTCGCACAACTCCCCGCTCCCCAATCCCTTCCATCATTCATTCTTTCTCTTCGTCCCGTCACTTCACCGCCCACACGCCCGTCTCCTCTTCGAAAGGTCTCTTCTTTCGCTGGGCTTTCCTCGTCAGGTGTAACCGAGCCCTTCAGAAGCCTCCTCCGTCCGTGCAACGTCGCGGTGCCCCCCTCCCGTCGTTCTGTGCCCTGCCCCTTCTGGGACGGCCCTTCTTTCGATTCTTCGTCGACCTTCGCCGAAACAGCTCTGGAATTGCACCCTGTCACGGCCCTTCACCTACGCTGTCTTGCTTCCCTATCTGTTATTATTTTCTGCTCAGTTCTTTCTCATAATCCGCGTCTAGGCCTTCGATCGCCCTAACGCGACTCGGCCACCTTGGGCAATTTCAAAACAACCAGAAAAAAAGAAAAAGAAAACAAGGAGATAACCCGAACACCCCGACCTCTGCCTGCTTTTCTAGGTGCCAGTATCTGGGTCAACCCGATGTCTTGGGTCCAATAGCAACCGAATTTGCAGGTGTCAGCAGTGGACACTGCACACAACCTCTCCTCGAGTGTCGACTACCTGACAGTCCCAAATCGACAAACTGCCATAGTCATCGAGGGTACTCTTGAAACGAACAAGAAGCCATAATACCCTTTTTCCTTTGGCCGCAGGCGTCCTTCGATTCTACCCTGTCACCAATCGTTGAAGGTCCTCAGCAGGACCTACTATTCGTTTTCCCTTAGAGTTGCAGGTATGTAATTTTGCTTGACAGTCGTTATCTACGACTCGCAGGCAACTTTTGGTGGTTCTGCACCTGTCAATCTTGTTCTCGACCTTCCCGCTAACAGGATACCCCACGCGGCAGCCCTCCCGATTCACGAAACCTCCGTCGTGCCTTTGCCGTACGCTGAGTATCGTCGCGCAGACCCGAGATTTTGGGCGGTAGGAAGAGCTTCCTTTCCGCGGGGTTGTGTTAAACCATACCCCTCTCACCATGGCCGCTCTTGTACAAGGTTACCATCCCCAGCAATCCGGAACAGTTACGGTGCTGCAGACACGGCCATCGTCTGCCTCTGGCATGCTGCAGTCAGCCCCGGTTCAGTCAACTACGCAATACACGTCCGGTTCCCAGAGGAATAGCATCCATGGCTTGCCGACGACGGTCACTGCACCCGTGGTGTACCATGGCGGTTCCAATTCCGGCCAACAGTATACCTTGAGAGGTATGCCCGGTCATGCTCCAGCAACACAATGGCAGCACCCGAGGACGCACCGAACATCCTCTTCGCCAGCTGTTCCCAGCATCCAGACCCTAGATTACCTACAGCCTGCTGTGGCACGCTCCCGCTACACGGCTAGTGCGTCCATGACCAACCTGCCCAGCACTGCAAACAGCGGCTTGCATCTGGGCACCCGCGACGACTCGGCTTTGCCAGTCCCTGGCAGCAGGAGAACCTCAACGGTACCCCGTTCGCAGGGAAGCAATGGAGCGTCGACGCAGTCCTCACTTGCGCCAGCAGCTCCTATACGGGCGACGCCCGAGCGGTATAGGCGATCAGCTTTGCGAACGGCTGATACGGCAGGTGCGGCAACACCCGCCGGCTCCCAATTACGGCCTTCGCATTCGGCGCTGCTGAATAGGCCCAATAGTTTCGTTGGCGCCGTATCTGGATCTGCGATTGACGATATGGGAGTGGCGCCGATCCCACCCCAGGACGAAATCAAGAGGGTTCGCAGGCGCAGCATGCCTGCATTGGATTCTCCCGGTTTTTCCATGCACCTAACCCCGCACGATCTCAAGCAGCCGGCAGAATCAAATCGGCCCAAGAGTGCTGATAGGGATAACAAGCCCGTCAAAACGGGCCCGGCGGCCGACAAAAACAGCAACGATGGGCAGACCGGAAGCCCAAGGCCAAGTTTTCCGTCCTCGTCTGTAAGTGACCCAACCTGCATTTCGTTCGGCCGCACCCCATTGCCACATTGTCCAATCGTTTGCCAAGCCCATGTTCTCTTCTGTGCTAATCAAAACGGCCATTCTCTCATAATGCAGTCGACAAACCGCAACGGCAACTTATCTGACCCCGCGAAGCCCACCGCCTCCCCTGACCAGAAAGCCAGCACCAATCCGGATTCTGCAAGGCCTGTCGATATTCCTCCACGAAGCTCCTCAACCGATGCTCCGAATGGGAAACGAGCCCCAAATTCATCGCCGCTTTCGAACCCGGTCCCTATGGATTCGGAGGGAGGAACCGGCCAGTCTTCGGACGCCCCTCGATCCGCGACTCAGGAGATCGCATCTACGCCTCGCTATGAAAGCCCCGCTGTTAAGCAACTAACTGCGATTAACCAGAAGGGGGGCAAGGCCAAAAGCAAAACGTCACGGCTTCGTCGAGCTTTCTCATTTGGTAGTGCCGCGGAGTTCAGGAAGGCTGTGCATGACAGTGAGACCGCGGATAATAGCAAAGGGAAACTTCACAAGGAGCGGGATGCCGATGACGAGCTTGATGAGGAACAGGCGCGGATCGCTCAGCAACAGGAGGCTGCTGGGATTGGCAGCAACATCTACGGGGCCAGGTTCTTCTCCGGCTCAACCGACAATCTTTCTATTTCGTCTACAGCTTCGTCGGCTTCGATTATGATCCGGAAGATGGGCCGCGGGATGAAAAAGGGCACTAGGTCCCTCGTTGGATTATTCCGGCCAAAGTCGATCGTCGGCACTCCAGCGGCTGAAACGACTCACCCCGAGACGACACAAGCAGCGGTGTCCATGATCACCGTTGAGGCGGAGCGGGAACGCGTTAACGTGAACCCCGAACCTCGGGCCCCTGGGGGAGGTACCGGGTTTCCCCGCCTGGAGCGAAATTCCATTGACGCAGCCAAAGTACCAGCGGCTGAACCGGAGCGTGTGGGAAGTTCGGGAACCGATAGCACCACGGCGAGAAAGAGCATTGTAGGCGGCGAGAAGGAACGGGCAGAGGTGCTAGCTGCTGTTAGGAAGGGGATCTTGAAGAGTAAGCATCATTTCTGGTCTTCTAACCATGGCACAGCTGCTAACCCCTCTGTTTTCCTACAGAGCGCAATGGCTCTCAAAGCCCATCACCTCGGCCCTCTGAAACCAAGGGCTCCCCTTTCGATCTACCCAGCGTGCCGTCCGCCACAGACTCGCCTAGCTCTAGCGCGCCTAGTACTCCCAATGAAGATTCCCAGGGACAGAGGAGGACTGGCACGGTCGCGATCGGGAGCGAGGACTATTTTGTCTCTGCTCTGCGGCTCCGCCAGGACTCGAAGTCGCCCGGCACTCCACAGGGTACGAAGCGCTCTGCGACGTTCAGTCCCCGGATTGTCTTTTTCGAAACCTGGCCAAGTCAGGAGTATGACCGTCGGGGCGAGATTGCTACGTGCAACCGCTTGACACCAATGCTGGCTCAGCAGATCAAGGAGGAGCTAAACAGCTTCAAAATGGCAAGTGTCTCTGCGATAACGCTACGTGACTGTTTCAAAGACGGCTAACAGTTGGATAGGAGATGGAAGTCCACGAGAACTCGAAAATCTACACGCACTTCTTCTGATGACACAGGCGTATCATGATGCCTTTCGAACCACACCTCTCGGCCAACTTGCCTTCATTTGATACAGAGGGCAGTGAGATCCTGTCGTGTACTTGACCAGTGACTACATTTTCTTGGGCGTTTCAGGGTCTGCATAGTACGGTGTCACGGCGTTTTCGCATTCCGTCTGGACAGCTTTTGCGGCTAGAGTCTTGCACAACTCGACACAGCAAAATTAATCACGTGCGATTTGAGGCCGGTTTCGTCTCTCTTGTTTCGACGCCAACCAACCTGATTCGGTCGGGAGCTGCCGCGGCGTTGGACGCCAGGCCAAGCGGGGAAAGATGTTGGGAAGAGTATGGGGCAGAGGTTGGGGGATCGGGAAGAGCGAGAGGCGAGGAATAGGGGGCGGGGATAAAGCGGGGTGGAGGATATCGTCGATTTACGGAATTCGCATGGAGCAACGAGCAAAGGCGACGAGACGGGAACCTCCCTCCAGCGGCGCGGCAGTCAGACCGACACCAGAAGAGATGGGAAGGCCACAGCGTCGAGGACACGGCATCAGCGTGGCAACATACTCAACAATGTCTTTGTGTTTTTCTTTTTCTTGTTTACTAAGCGACAAAAGGTTCCACGATGTCCGTGTCGGAGCGTCCTTCTCATTGGGAGGCTTAATCATGATTTTTCTTGTTCCTCTCATTTTCCTTCCAGTTTCCATCTTCCATTTGGTGTCATACATAGTCATCGCTGCCATTGTCGTCGTCGTTTGGCCGCCGTCGCCCATTGTTAATTCCACCTATTAGGTAACAAAAGCAAATATCAGGTACATACAAACTTGCAGGGAAAGCACCAAAGCAAGGAACTTGAAAAACAAGGTGCTGTATACAGAGACTGAGATCATCTTCCTGAAAAAGCCAGGTTACAGAGATCACGGTAGTTGGTAAGGGGGGACGAAAACGCCCTTCGGCTCATTTCGAACAATTTCCGTCATTGGAGTCACGCGGACTACCTACCTGGTATTCATGCTGGTTGTCCTTGATCTGGCGTGCTTCTATCGATTCTACCGTTGACCACCCGTACTATGGAAACTTCACGGTTCTACTACTGCATAATAAGGCCGGATTACGGTACTATACACAGTGATACAAGAAGCTGATATGAACGCTGTGAAGTACGGTACTGTACGAACCTATATTTCGTACAATACCGTACACATACATGCAGCTGCCATATGGAATTGCAGTTATGCATTCCCACTCAACTCCGGGCTAACAATTCTAAAGCGGTAAACGGCCGGCCGACCTACCTTATGCTCATACATTCCTTGGAGATGATGAATCTGGTCTGTGAGGGGGTGGATTGCATCCCAGCGAGTAGCTAGTTTCTGCCTGGTTCGTCTGCTTTCGAAAGTTTCCCTTGCTGTCTCTTGCGTGCTCGGAGTATTGACCTGTATGGACAGTATGTAACGCATGTAAATTAAGTTCCCGGAAACATGTCAAATACATTCTAAGCAGAAGCTCGGCTTGCGGTGCTGCAACCACGTGCCAACTCACCCGACAGTTAACACAGGTCAAAAAGAAGAGGAAGGCGAGAAGATGAGAACAGAAGGAAGAATAGAAGATGTAATAGAAATAAAGCAAGCCATGTAAGGTACCGTACGGATTATTAGCAGCCGAAATACATCTCGTTTTGTCTCCTGAGGGGTATAGACAGTTACGCCATGTCCGTTTACCTTGTCCGTGTATTTTTCTGATGGTGCGATCTTACCGTTTGATGTCGCAGATACGAGAACGCGTGTCGATAACATTTCGTGGTGTGCCCCGGGTCAGGATACTATGGAAGGATGATTCATGCAATCATTGCCTTGACTGAACTCGGGGGGTCGACTGGCCGCCTTGCGGGGTGTTGCATCGCCCCGCATGTTCAAGAAGTTATGACCAATCAAAGCGTCTGCTGCTGCGATGGAACTTTCAAAGCCTTGCAGCCTGACAGTATTTTTCCTTATCAGAGTGTTATCTTTCTGTTCGGCTTTCTGCCGGGGTTCAGCCTCGACATTGCAAATCGCCAACCCTCGCTCAAACGGACACGCTGGCGCGAGGTTTTGGTTTCGTGTTTCGCGCATCGGTTGCGCGGGTGCTGGTGGTTGACCCGCTGCGGGTGAGATTATTCTCAATGGCGTCCAATGCGGCCATGACTGAGGCGGCGGCGGCATCAGTTCCGCCTGCCATGAGAAAGACAAAACTGTATGGACGCGCGTTCTATGAGAGCATCGGTTCACCAAAGCATATCATTGCTCCCATGGTAGACCAGTCAGAATTTGTAAGTCAAGCGGGATGTCCTTGCGCCTGGCGATAGCGACTTATGCCTCCTTTTTGCTGTGTTAGGCCTGGCGCATGCTGTCGAGATCCTTTCTTCCCGAGTCCCAGCGATCCAGCATCCTTGCCTACTCGCCCATGTTTCACGCGCGGCTCTTCGGAGAAAGCCAGAAGTACCGAGATCAACACTTTCAGCCGACAAAACCCGAATCCAACGCCCCCTTTCTAGACGGCAACCCGGCCATCGACCGACCGTTCTTCGTGCAGTTTTGCGCCAACGACCCGCAGGCGCTTCTGAATGCAGCGAAACTAGCGGCGCCCTACTGTGACGCAGTCGATCTCAACCTAGGCTGCCCGCAGGGCATCGCCAAGAAGGGCCATTACGGTGCCTTCTTGCAGGAGGATCAGGAGTTGATACACCGCATGATCAAGACCCTTCACGAGAACCTCGACATTCCCGTCACGGCCAAGATCCGGATTCTAGACACGAAAGAGGCAACGCTCAAGTATGCGCAGAACGTCCTCAGTGCCGGCGCCAGCATCTTGACGGTACACGGGCGTCGGCGCGAGCAGAAGGGACATCTAACTGGCCTGGCAGACTGGCAAATGATCCGCTACCTGCGCGACAACCTCCCGCCTGAAACGGTACTGTTTGCAAACGGCAACATCCTCCAGCACGAGGACATCGAGAAATGCCTCGCCGCCACCGGGGCAGATGGCGTCATGAGCGCCGAAGGAAACCTCAGTAACCCAGGCATCTTCACCGCCCCGCCACCACCCGGCCAAGAGCCGCGTGGCTACTGGCGCGGCAGAGATGGCAAGGGCGGATGGCGGGTTGACGAAGTCTTCCGCCGCTACCTCGACATCCTTCACGAGTACGTCCTGGGCGCCCCGCCACCGCCAAGGAGGCCGCTCTTCGTTCCCGGCGACGACACAGCCTGGATGAGCGAGGAGATCCTGCTGCCCGGTCAGAGTGGGCATCAGAGCAAGCCAAAGAAGCGCAGGAGCGACGTGGCCAAGGAGAACCCTGCGCTGATGGCAGCCAACTTCATCGGCATGCAGCCGCATCTGTTCCACCTGCTCCGTCACTTCGTCTCGCGCCACCACGACGTGCGGGACGCCCTCGCCAAGGCGCGTCTGGGCGACATGGAGACATATGAGGCTATCTACCAACTGGTCGAGAAGAAGGTTGCGGAGGGGTTACTTGAGTACGAGAGAACTGATGGAAAGAGCGTCGAAGAGGAGGGTACCTCTGTTGCAGTAGAAGACCAAGATGATCCCGAGAGCTCGGCCCGCGCGATCCGGGAGTGCAAGCGCCCCTGGTGGGTTGTCCAGCCCATCATTCGGCCACTGCCCAAAGAGGCCATGGCTAAGGGGGCGGTACAAATGAGCAAGAAGGAGAGGAAACGGGTAGCAGCTGAGATGGAAGAGAAGGAGGCGCCAGTGAATGGTGCTAAGAGAAGCAAGGACGATTCACGGCCGGCGTCGAACGGGGATGGTACCGCTGTTGGCGAGCCCGGCGCCGGGATTGTTTTGGAGGCGCAGTCGCTCGAGAAAACGACCAGTTATCCATCCAGTGAGCTAGTGAACGGGTGAGCCTCCTCCGGGGGCTGTATCTGGATGAATCGCGATAGCCAATCCCGCCCATAGGCAGATGGGAATGCGCAGGAGCGGCAAGCAGGCTCTACTGTGGCTGTCGGAGCAGGGCTGGCAGTGTGATGGTGGCCAGGCTCGTAACACCCGAGAAACGCACGCAAGACTAAGCGACGAAGGCTAACGATGCTTCTGCTGGCACCCGGGATTTAGTTGTGGATATGCCGCGTTTCTGATGACCGCTGTCTTGAATATACCCTCTGCTGTGAAATCTAAGCCAGAAGTAGCCATCTACTCCACTAATAGTTAGAACTAGAGGCATGGAATATGGTGTGGGCAAAGAGGCTAAACGTCCTAAACATTCAGGGAAAAAGCAGAACGTATCACGAAATGCCTTCATCACTCATATCGATGTCATCCTTTGATCTTAGAATCTAAGTAGCAAACGTAGCATCCCCTGAGAGAGATGAGTGTAGTGCTGACATCACAGCTATTCCGTACTCCATGTTACCTACTAATTCAACCAGCATTTCGTGACGCCTTTGATTGCTACGACGCACAGGAAAACAAAAGTGGCAATGCCCCTGTGTCATCATCAATCAGGTTTAAGGTCTGGCCGGAGTCGTATGAGATGGAACATACCTTGGTATCCTTCCTATAACCCAAGCTAGCCACTCAGAAATTGGAAAGAAAAAGAACGATCCTGTAAAGTTGTGACACCATCCAAAGCCCTCCCCGTAGATGACAGGAAAAATAATACCTAGGTAATTCCCCATCCCATCGGTGCCCGTCTTAGGCTTTCCCCAGCCAAACCATCAGATCGTCCTGCCCCCCGGCATTTGGGAAAGTGCGGTCTGGCAGTGGTCCCTCGGGCGGGAACGGCAACTGCCATGTTGCCGTCCGCTGGTACTTGGCACGCCCGCTCTCATGATTGGGCACCCGCTCCGTTTCCCAAACCATGGCCTGCATGTCCTTGACTTCCAGTATCCAAGTCCCTCGCCAGTTGCTCTCCTCGTGAACCATCTGCTGGAGGCGCCAGGGAAATTCGGCCCCTCGCTTGAACCGCCATCCGCTTTGTGGCGGGCGTTTTGCCGGATAAGCCGGCGGCGTCAGTTTTCCTTGGCTCGGGTTGCGGCACCTCGTAGGGCTCGTCCTTGCCCACCGCGGGCGGAACTGCGTTCCCTTTGGAGTCGAGTTGTTGTTCCACCTCGTTGTTTTCGTCCTTGCATGTCGTCATCGGGGGCGGGGCCGCGTCCTCTATGCCGTTCGGCTGTTGTAAACCCGAATCCTCCGTAATATGTTCCTCGCAACAAAATTCTCGCTGCTCTGGCTCTTTGGTTGTTTTGTCCAGACCCTTGCGGAGCCTGCGGCCGAGTTGGTAGTCAATGAACGCCTGGTGAACAGCCGCAAATGGCCGCTTTGCGATGGTGGTAATCTTGCCCATGCTTAAGGCAGTCTTGGCCCCTGGTAAGGAGACAGGTGAATGAATTATCTAGTACGGTATAGACTTAACGTACATGATAAGCGAGTGACCCAGACAAGCGAATGACCCACTTCCTACACGACGCGACATCTTTGCACTCAACAACAAAATTTCCTCTACCATCCAAAATGCCCTCTACTTCAAAAGAAGGCCAGATAATCTTGGCTCTCCAAGCTCTTCAAAACGACAAGAATCTAAGCGAACGAGCCGCAGCTAAGATCTATAGGGTTGACCGTAGGACCCTGGGGCGCCGACGCGCCGGCAAGCCTGCACGATACGATCTTCCAGCCAACTCGCGCAAGCTCACAGATCTAGAAGAGAAGGCGATAGTTCAATATATCAATGAGCTATCTGCACGTGTATTCCCGCCTAGGTTATATGGTATGGAAGATATGGCCAACCAACTACTACGCGAACACGACGCGCCCCCTATTGGCAAACGCTGGGCTTATAACTTCGTCAAACGCCGGCCAGAGCTCTATACGCGATATACACGTAGATACGACTACCAGAGGGCTAGATGCGAAGATCCAGACGTTATTCGCAAGTGGTTTAGGCTTGTACAGAACACTAAGGCCAAGTATAGTATTATGGATGACGATGTCTATAACTTTGACGAGACCGGGTTTATGATGGGCATTATCTTTACGGGTATGGTTGTTACAACCTCAGATGGCCGGAGCAAGGCTAAGCTGGCCCAGCCTGGCAATCGCGAGTAGGCAACAGTGATCTAGGGAGTCAATGCTCTCGGCTAGGCTATCCCTCCGTTCATCATCTTGGCCGCACAATACCACCTCGTCAACTAGTACACCGAGTACAACCTCCCGGCCGACTGGCGTATCGCAACCACCGAGAACGGCTGGACTACCAACGTAGTAGGCCTTGATTAGATCAAGCACTTCGACTACCATATAGCGCCTCGGACAAAGGGCAAATACCAGTTGTTGATCCTCGATGGCCACGAAAGCCACCACTCGACCGAGTTCGAGCTCTACTGCCAGCAGAACAACATTATCACGCTCTGCATGCCTCCACATTCCTCCCACCTCCTCCAGCCACTTGATGTTAGCTGCTTTGGGCCGTTGAAGCAGGCGTACGGTCGCCAGATCGAGGACTTGGTACGCGCGCATATCAACCATATAAGCAAGCTCGAGTTTCTTTATGCCTTTCGCACGGCCTTCTTTGCCTCTATCACCAAGAGAAATATACAGGGCGGTTTTGCAGGGGCTGGCCTTGTGCCATACGATCCAGAGAGGGTGCTTTCGAAGCTAGATATCAAGCTTCGTACACCAACACCCCCAACCTCACGGCCGGGCACTGCATAATCTTGGGTCTTCCAGACACCACACAACCCTCGAGAAGCCGAGTCACAGTCAACGCTTATCAAGACTCGCATTGCCAACCATCAAAATAGCTCCCCGACTTCAATGTTGGCTGCTGTGGACCAGCTTACCAAGGGTACGATGGCTGTAATGCACCAGGTGGCCCTCCTTCAGGCAGAGGTGTCTTCGCTCCGCAAGGCTAACGAGGCGCTAAGCAAGCGCCGGAGAGCCAAAAAAACACGTGTGCGGCTTGGAGGATCACTTACTGTGCAGGAGGCACAGGAGGTGGTAAGCCAGGGGGCTATAGGTGGGGAGGCAATGCAAGAAACACAGCTGGATGGTAGTGGTGCTGGTGGGGGTCGTACGAAGGTTCGGTGCTGTGGTGTATGCGGCAAGCCTGGTCATAATGCCCGCACTTGCCAGGAGGTTGCAGAAGCATCTGATTCACCCGTTTCTGATGTAATTGTAGTTGGTTGATAGTTTTGTTGTTTTGTAATTGAGGATAATGTTTGTAGGGTAGTGGAGAGTGGGTCATTCGCTTGTCTGGGTCACTCGCTTATCATGTACGTTACTTGACTGGCTGGGCGTTGTATCTAAATACTTTATCGTAGAAGAAAGAAAAAGGAAAGAAAAGAAGAAAAAGAAGAAAAAGAAGAAAAAGAAGAAAAAGAAGAAAAAGAAGAAAAAGAAGAAAAAGGAGAAAAAGGAGAAAAAGGAAAAAGAAAAAGAAATGTCCGTGGCGAGTTGATCGGAAATTATTCAATATATAGAAAGCAGCTTCGAAAAAAGCTCAACGTTCAAGTTGATGAAGGAGAAGAAAGTCGGAGAGCAAGGCTTCTCAGAACCCCCGGGATCATACTCGCTGGGCCTCCCAAATCGGCGATCCAGGGCGCCCCGCGCGAGTACCTTACCTATTTACTTTGCAAGTCATAACGTCATTGATTTCTCGTCTTAGCTAAGTGCCGCCTCAAGGTAATCAGTGATATCTACCTTAGGTAGGTACCTAGTACTCACCTTACCGTGGAATTCCCCGCGGGCCAGATCAAGAATACAAAGTCGCGGCAATTAGGTATAAGGGATTCCTGCTCAGTTGTATTGATTTGGCCAAGGGACAATCCCGCTTCCATAGGTGATACGTGACTCGGCTTGAACAAGATGAAGTCTGGGTATGTCCCAGGTCTTTTTTGAAATTGAAGCAGTAACTTGAATAGTTCGCTTCTCCCTTCGTGACTCGTGAGACCAACTAGTCACTCTCAACTCCTCAAGTAGAGTGCATTCTTAAAGGTGAAGCTTCGATCAATACCTTACCCCTTAGGTGACAGTGAATGCCTGGTACTAGTAAACCACAAAATAGGAGTTGACTTTTGTTTGAATATGGAAGAATCAATAGGACTGTATGATATAGTGTGCTAGGTATTTGCCTTTCCTTTGTCTTTAACCAACACCACCATCAAACACCGGGACAGTCTGCTACCGATTCATAGCACCCCGAGAACGCTCGCCAATCTGACCGTGAACCAGGAACTACTAAGTCGATAGCAATGGTATCACAATCTATCATCTGCCACTACCCTTCCAGGAACGCAAACCCCCCTCCCCCCTGATTGACCGCTGTTAATTATTAAGCACCAACCCTCCCCCGCTTAGCCGGCACACGTGGCGATCTCGACCGCGAGCTGCTATAATACCTCCTCCGCTTCCCGCCACCAGCTCCTCCCGCAGGACTCCTTGCTGGGGACCCGCTCCTGCTCCTGCTGTCCCTCCTCCCCCTGCCATACCCATCCCTATCCCGGTACCCACCACCCCTGTAGCCATCCCCTCCCTTATCCGCATAGCTTCCGGAATAACCACCATCCTTCCCAGCTCCACCTCGCGACGGTGGAGGACTCCGCGACCTTGACATCGAGCGCGAGTAGGAACGAGAACTATAGTTCCTCGCGCCGCGTCCCCTGTCATCACCACGACCGTCACGCGCAGCAGCACCAGCAGCTGGCGCGGGCGACCTGGTTCTAGATCTCGCCCTAGACTTCGACGGTGACCTCGAGTCCCCCGACAAAGGCGACTTCGATCGGCTGCTGTACCGTCTCTGCCTCCTTGCCGGCGGCGGCGGAGGGGAGCGGCTGGCCGAGTATGAGTCCTCCCGCCGGCGCTTGGAATAAGAAGGGCCAGCAACGGGAGACCGGGAACGGGACGGCGAGCGCGAGTAGGACGGGCTGCGTGTGCGCGCGCGACCGCGGCGGGCCGGGGGAGGAGAACGCGAGCGTGAAACAGAGCGTGGTGTCGGTGAGCGGGTGTAGCTTCTACTTCTGCCTCTGCCTCTGCCTCGCTCTGGGCTCCTGCTACGGCTGGGAGTGCGGCTCGGGCTGCGACCGCGGGCTCGGCGCGGCGCAGGGGAGCGCGAGAGAGACCGTCCGGTCGAGACGGAACGCGTGTAGCTGCGGCTACGAGTTCGGCTGCGTGTGTAGGATCTGTCTCTACCCCGACGCGGCGGGGTGCGCGAGATGGAACGGCCGCGGTCCACGGCACGGCGGGGAGTTCGAGAACGCGACCGTGACGAGTACGAGGAGCGCGTGTAGGAAGAATAGCTCGACACCGAGTCTGAATCCGAGGCTGCAGCCGGGGCCGGAAGGGTGGGCTTCGGCATGTTGGCCAAGAAGGTGCGCATCTCGTCGGTGAGGAAGCCCATCTTGATGGCAGTGAGGTAGTTGATCGAGAAGCGAATGTTCCGCGGGTTGTCGTGCGGGAAGATGCCCTGCAAACTGGGCTGCAGAGTCTCGTCGCTCATCCGTGCCTTCAGCTTCGCCGTGCCCAGATTCTCTTGGAGATCTTCAAACAGAATCTTGATGAAGATACGGCTTGCTGACGTCGTTTCCTCTTCGTTGAGGTGGATAACGGACAGGACGTGCCAGCCAATGGCATCAGAGGCGAGAAGATGGCCGAAGAATCTGGCGATGTTCCGCAACTTGTTGGTCTCGTACCGGTGGATCGTCGTGTAGTACTTCATAAAGGACTCCTCAAAGAGGTCCATCCACATCCGGTTCAACCGCGCAAACCGCTCTCCCAGAAGTCCCATAAACTTGAGATACACCTTCTCCTGGGCGCAGGACTCGACGATCATGGACACTAGCTCGGGTTCCTGGCCGACAGGAAGCTTGAGCTTCATGAGCTTGTGGGCCGCTTCTTCGGGGTCGGCGCTTGACTGGATAGTCAGGTATATCGTTCGTCTGAGGTTGACGAGATCCGCGTTGCTCTGGTCCTTGATCTCAAGAGCCTTCTCCTCCTCATCTTCTTCCTCGGTCTCGCTCTCCGACTCATCTTCCTCACCCTCGTCATCGCTTCCCTCTCCAAGAATCTCGGCCTTCAACGTCTTATACTCCTCTTCGTGGGCCTCCCAGTCGGGGTCGTACTTGAAGACATTCAGGCTGTCCTCCGTATTGATCTCGTCATCCAGCAGGATTTGGTGCATGATTTGATCCTCCTCGTCGATCAGGTCCAGCTCCTCCTTGATCACCGGGTTATCCTTGTACTTGTCCTTGCGCACCTGGAACAGCACCTCGATCATGTACTGCGCGCGGTTGTCTATGTCGGCCTCGTGCAGAACGTTCCTGAACGTCTCAAACACGGCGTGGGCTATCCCGGGCGACATCTCCTCGAGGAACAAGCCGACCTCGCGCATGAACCCGACAGCAATTTCCACGCTGTCGTTGGTGGGCCTCTGCAACAAGAGCACCAGAATCTGGCCGGCCAGCCTTTCGTTCACCACCTGATAGTTGACGAGATGGGCGAGGAACATGGTCGAGGAGAGGCACACAGCCTTGTCGTTCCGCTTGAAGCCCTTCCGAAACCGCATGATGAGCCGCTTGACGAGCAGCTCGCCCACCCGAGGCATCTTAGTGTTGCAGATGGCTACCAGACACGCATATATTGGCGTGAAGGGCAAACTGGCGTGCTGCGCCTTCAGCAGGCTCTGGCAGAGCAGGCCACGACCGCGCTCGAGGTTCTCGTTGAACAGTTCAGGCACGACAAACTTGATGTTCGCCGTGTTGACCTTGTTCACCAGACCGTTGATCGATTTCTTCAGGGCATCCCATGCCATGCGCTGGTACTCCTTGGTGCTTCTGTCCGTAATGGCGGCTTGCAGGGCGCGGAGCTTGTGCGGCGGCATGTACACACCCTGGCTGCGCAGGCTGAGGAGCTTCTGGTATTCAGCTCTGGCGTCCGCTAGCTTCTCCTCCTCCGTCTTGGGTGGCGGAGCAGGAGGCGGCGTGCGCTCCTTCTTGGCTGGTCGGTACCTGTCGGCATCGCGACGCGCGCGCGGCGGCGGCGGCGAGCGTCTTCTCGGTGGCGACCTTGTTCGAGAACGGTCCCGAGGAGGCGGTGAGATATCGCGAGAACCTGGAGATGGGGACCGGTCGCGGCGAAGGCTCGGAGATTGGTGACGGTCGATGGGTGATGGCGACCGATTGTCAAAGTGGTGGCGCGACGGCGCCTCTGTATCCGCCGACGCCATATTCTTCCTCCGTTCTTAGCAGCGATGGATCGAATTTGATGTGCGCGCCGCCGAGGTAGATGCAAAACACCCGGGTTGCAGGAAGTAGAAGTAGCGCGGTGTTGGGTTTTGATGCTCAGAGAATGGCAACTTGTCAAGCATGTCAACGGAACCAGGAAATGTATTCGTAGGTTTGGGGAATTTGTCGACGAGGCTGATGCAGCCAAGACTGAGCGCCCCACTTCCCAGGTAGGTCCATTGCCTCCACTTGCCTGCCGCGGAGCACAATACGCGCTAACTACACAGTAGCGTAGCGCGAACCCCTGACCACATTTTGGAGAGGTCACCGTGGCGCAACGTCCGTTCATCATCGTGGAGCCCTCCAGAGCTTCGTTCGGGCCATGTAACCCACACCTTCGTCCGATCCGTACTTGACCATCATACAAGTGCCACACACACACACACACACACACAGACTAGATCAGCTTTCCCTCATCCTTCACCAAAAATGGTCAGTCCGTCCACAACAGAGAGAGAGAGTCCAGAGACCTCCGAATTGACACAAGCCGCAGCTCGACAAACTCGTCGGCCTCGCCATGCTCGTGGCCGCCAGCGTAGTCTTCCTCTACTACACCATCTGGACATTATTGATGGTGAGCTATCCTCCCCCCAATGTTCTCCCCATTCTCCCCTAAAATCTCCAAAAAAAAATTTGCTAACCCGGTCCCCAAAAAACAGCCCTTCGTCGACTCAGACCACCCCCTCCAGAACTTTTTCCCGCCTCGCGTCTGGGCGATCCGCATTCCCGTGATCCTGCTCCTCCTCGGCTCGGCCGTGGTGGGTTCTTTCCTCAGCGTGGTTATGATCCGCAGCAATCGGAAGAAGGCGGCCAAGGCCAAGGCGGCCGCGGCTAAGAAGAAGGCGTGATTGCCATAGCATTGCATGTTGTTTGAGCTCAGCGGTTGGGGGGGCGATGCATGGCTGCAGACTATACGGGCGAAAAAGACTAAAATCATCTTGTTGTTACTTGAAGCCTTGAAACTGTTCGTTACTGGTGTGCCGTGGCACTAGGCTGAGGGTACGGGAAGCGGACTTGGAGGACTGGGTAATGGATTACCTACCTACCTATCTAGGGTGATGTTTTATAAGATGGAGGCACGGTTAACGAATACCAAATCATTGTACAATACAAATTACTAAACCATCCCAGTAGCAGCAAGTGTTCAGAGTATAACCTAGCAAAGGAAGAACGGTCCGCCTTATCTGGGCTCACTATAATCGGTTCATAGGAGGAGAGGCCGCTGGCTTCTATGTCCCCGGCAGAGGACTTCGTCCATTGGGCGTTGTACCTAGATTAAACTAAACTAGCTAATTCCCAAGCAATTGCCTCTGTCACTCGACAACTGCTGGGCTGCCATATCCATAACTGATCCAGGTAGGTCTTTCGTCACCTCCTGTGCTCGACTTTGCTGAGCCAGATCAGTTTCCAACTATCTGCTCGGTACTCTCGGTAGTCGAGCCTGTCTCCAAGGACTGGCAGAAAAGAAGTCAGGTAGCCCAATCCGATCACAACCAACCCGAGCCAAGCGCCAAACCTAAGCACAGGAGCGGAGAGAACTGTCAATTATCCCCTGACCGCTGCCTTAATATGCCCATCTCAATTCCAATGCGATGACCTTCATATCCAGCTCCTTTCAATGGTAAATATGAATCCCCAAATCGGCACCCCGCCTCGACCGTGGGCACAACCACTGCGTAAGCCCAACGGATCGTAACCGTGACATGATTCCACACGGGCGATGAGCTAAGGCCGCCAGGAAAACATCGAATAGTGCCGGCGATGAAAATCGATTGCATGGTCAGACCCGCTGGTCTGCAAAATCAAGCACTTCGCAATCATCCTCAAAGAAGCCGTCGTCACCCTGGGTCGGCGCGGTTCCCCGTCTTCGGCGGGTCGTAACGACAATCTGCGCATCGTCGTCCCCTGTGCGTTGAAGGATTCGTTCCATAGCAGAAGCCGGAAGGGCGCGTGATGAGTCGAGTGGGATGCTGAATGAGTCATCTTCTGGCAGATTGGGCAAGCCAAGATCAAGCTTGGTGGCCTCGATACGCTCCCCGAAAACCCACTGGTCTATTTGGGGTTGGTTCGGTTTCCGCCCCTTCTTCCGACCGGTCGACAGCTCCGGTGACGTCTCCTCTAGCGACGTCGCCGCCATGAGGGCAGCAATATCAGCCCCCTGCTGGGACGGCTCCGTCTCGTACAGCGCCACCCGCCGATCCGTGTGGAACGGCTGATACGGAGCACTAGATTCGATCTCAGCCTGAGGGATGAAGGACTCGGGACTGCGGCCATGAGTGCGCGTTCGCTGCGCGGGCTGGTTCAGTACCATTGTGTTGTCACCCTCGTCATAATCCTTCTCCACGAAGTCCAGGTACTCATCAGGGTCAAGGATATTCTTGACTAACGGCGACAGGATCTCGTCCGGCAGCAGGGGAACCTGGAAGTCTATGTAGCGAGAAAGGCGCGGCGCACGCTTATCGACACCCGAAGCCGTCTTCCGACTCTTGGCTGGGAAGGTTCGGACAAGGCCGCCGCCCAGCACGAAGAGGGAGTGGTCCCTCTTCCCGGTGACCCAGGTCACGCATGAGGAAGCCGGGAGCGTAGTCGAGCTTGGAAGTGAAACTCTGTTCTCTCCCGTGTGGCGAAGTTGGCTGATTGCATTGCCAGTCTTGCCCAGTGAATGGCTAATGCTAGCAGCGATGACCTTCCCACCATGGGTGGCATAGTCTCCGATGCCTCCGCTTGTCTGCGAAGCACCGGAGTTGCTCCTGCGCTGACGGCTGATGAGAGGCCGCGCCACCTCGCGAACCGAGCTTAGAGCATTTGATGCGATGGAGACGGCCGATGTTGGGCCCTCTGCCACCGAAGGCTTCGCCTCCTGAGGCCGCCGGCGGCGAGGAGGAGGCCATGTGAAGGCGCTCGAGGGCAGATCCAGTAAGTGGACAGTACCTCGCTCGGTGACCACGCCCAGGCGTTCGCCATGTGGACGTGCCCAAGCGACCTCGACAATCCGAGCAACTGTCATCCGTGAGAACTGGGCAACCTGGCGCACTCTCGGCCCACCTGAAGGTGAACCAGTAGCATGCAGTGGCGAGGATTTGGTGTATTGGGCGCGCATTATGTCCCACACGGTCTGCACATCGCCCTTGCTGCTGGCACTGAAGAGAGAGAGGCCAGAGGGCGAGAACGACAAGAAGCTGCAGCCATGAGGTATGGCGAATGTGGCGACAGGATGCGGGTTCGAGGAAGAACCAAGACTCTCGACATCGAGAATCGAAACCATGCCCGGCTCTTTTACCACCGGATGGGCGACGGTGCCATGTGTGGGCGGAAACTGTGAGAACTCTGGGAGCACGCCGCCCCCTCCGCCCCAGTTCTGAGGCCCGAGGGTGGGCGACTGTGGTTGTTGAGTGGAAGGCGGGTTCCAGTAGTTGTTCCAAGCCTGCAAGCCCTGCTTGCCGACCCATTTCGCTCCTTGGATCAGCTCCTGACTAACATCTCTCACGAACTTGTTCATGGCGCTTTCAGACATGAGGTCAACCTCCGCGTTCGCAGACGGTAGCTGTGGTGGTGTCACGGAAGCCAATCCCGGAGCACGCCCAAACGCAGGCACCCTAATTGAAGCCCGCAGGGCGATTTGCGAGGATGGCGCGGCCGGGCAATAGGCGATCCATCTACCACTGATGCTGAGGATTGCCACCTGCGGCCGGGGACGAGGAGATACAGGGATACGGCCTCGCTCAGACTCTTGAGCGGCTTCTCCCTTCGGGGCCTGTTGGAGAGTCGTCCATATCTTGCCGAGACAGCGGAAGTGAAAGGGATGCTCGCTCGAGGCTGGGGTTTGTCGATAGACCCAACACTCGCCTGTGACGCCCGACGAGATAACGATATTACCCCCATCGGCATGGATATGGAAGGCGCCAGTTGGCGGAGGCGGTTGGAAGCCTGGGCTGGTGATAGGCGACTTGAGGGGCGTCTTAGGCGCCTCAAGAAGAACGCTCACCTGTCGGCCCGTCTTCAAGGAGAACACCTCGACGGCTGTCTGATAAGATTCCACGAATCCAGACACTCTGTTGCCACTCATTTTGGCCGCGGGGTCTGGACTGGGGCTAGCCATGGCTTCCGACCGGTCGACAGACACAGCATCGTAGTCGCCCTCGACGTTGATCTCCGGTGTCGGCAGCGGAATGCATGGACCATGGACCACCACGGCCACCAGAGGGAACAGCTCCGAGCCGTCAGGCGTCCACGGCAGGATCTTGGCATGAAGTACGCCTCCACGAAGTCCTTTCAGACCGGCAACACTCTCGAGACCTCGTTTTCCAACTGAGAATACCTCGAGCCCTCCCTCATACCCAGCCAGGACCACATTGTCCTTTCCAGGAGCCGGGTCCGTATTCTGCGGGGAGAGTGTGCCAAAGCCGAAAAAGTAGCCTTTCTCGCCCGCCTTCATCCCAGCCCGCGACTGCAGGTCGAGATCGAGAGCAGGCACGCCGTAAAAGTGCGGCTGTGGTTGGTGCGGCAACGGCGGATTTGAGGTACCACTCCGGAGCTGGCTATAGTGTGAGTGCATCGAACTGCGTCTTGCCGCAGCAGCGGCGAGCTGAAGGTGCGCATCAGGAGGAGAGTAATGGCCATCCATGTGGTAGCTTAGCGGGCGGCGACCAGCCATAGGCGGCGAGGCTGAAGGCGGATGGTAAATGCCAACCGGTCTAGGCGACGACCACCCGGATCGCATTCCACGCGTGTCTTCGTAGGACGAAGGGGCTGTGGGCGGAGACTCCCCTGACAGGCTGATGAGATTCCCCGGGGACCCAGCCATGCCGGGAGCGAGCCCTCTTGCCCATTCCCTTGTGCTCGGTGAGTTGCTCGTTGCGTAGGATGCCGACGATACCGCATCCAGTAACGGAGAGGCGACCGTATTGTCAGTAGAAGACAAACTAGATGGGTTGACTACCGGAGCGATGACGGGCGAGGGGTTTGAGGAGGACTCCTGGGTGGCATTTCCGTTGCTGTTGCTGTGACGTGGTCCGGTCAGCCCCCAGATTCCTGAGCTGTCACCGCCAGCCAAGCAAGACTGGCATTTCCATCGAGGGCGAGAGAACTCACGAGAACTTAGCACCATGTTTCGTCACCGCTGCAACAACGCCGCCGCCACTTTCTTTGCCATTCTTCCGGTCTTTCTTGGAGCCTGTTACGGGAGGGATTAGCCGCCTGCTCCGAACCGTGCACCGGGTTGAGACGGGTTCTGGGCTGGCCATCGGACCAGGCAGAAACAAAGTTGTGATTTCAGTGCATCCGATGCTGCGGTTGAACGATGAACCGGGTTGGACGAGATAGACGCACCTGGCATGAATGGCAATCGAAGAGACGGGCGAGCTGCGTGCCGCTCGCGTGGAAGTAGTAGCGTGCACCCCTAAGCGTCAGGGCAAAGGCGGTGCCAAGTGATAGCGCAACGTCCGTGCAAGTCTATGTGTCTTTTTCGGTTGATGAAATGTCTGCACAAGTTGTGATGTATATCCCAGAGGTCCAGAGCCGGGGTTGAATGGGCTATATGTTCCCCAAGGTTGCCGGCTGGGTCTCTCGGCTTGGTCAAGACAAAGGAGCGGCCAGCCCAGATCTCAGGCTTGCCAAAGGAAAAAGGGGTCTTCCACCACTAGGATGAAACAAAAAAAAGCAACGCCGTATATGCAAAATATGGATAAAGAAGGAGAAAGCTTGTCTCTTCGAATCGTTGCTGATAGTAAAGAGCGAAGTGTTGGTTGCGACAGAATGGCGGAGCTGTTGCTGCTGCTCGGAGGTGGCCGCTGGGGTTCGGCGGCAGGCGGGGCTTGCTGCAGGTGACGCGCGGGCCTCACAGTCACCCTCAGAATCGCTCAGAAGGGAAAGACCGGAGGGGAGATTGTAACGTAATGGTTTCGTTCCTGGCAATGCTGGGGTCTCGGGTGCGGTGGGGTCCGGGTCTGCAGCAGCGGATGCATCCACTCAGTGCTGGAGCTCTTCAGCTGCGAAGGGAATAGCGCAACCGCGATCCAGATAAACGTCACCGCTATCAGCTTTGGCGGGGTTGATTGTCGATGTATGATACCGAGTAGTTGCGACTGATAAGCGATGCAAATTGCGGATGGCTTTGCGGCACGTCGGCAGGTTCAGATGTTGTTGGGACAAGTTAAGCAAGGTAAGAAGATCCTTGGTATAACACGTGTAAGATGGGTAATGGAAGTTGGAGCGATGGGAAGCAGCAGAATACTAATTTCAAAGAATACCCGGGCCACTGCCCGTTTCCTAGGTATCCTACGTCATTCCAAAGCCGAGGTCACCCACCTCAAATCCGTGGCTCAGAGCCGGACCTGACCTTCCGACTTGCTGGTGACCATAACTAATGATCTGGGTCAACTGGAAAGCTGGCGAGAAGCGCCGGGAACAGTTGGGCTTGTCGATCTGGTGTTGATTCGGATTGTTGGAGTTGCGATTGGCGACGACGTGTTCGGGATGATCTCCCCGGATGAGTCGATGGAGCAATGGTCTAGTCATCTCACCCCGCATCTCCTAGCACACCTTACCCGACGTCCAGGCAGAACCATCTTGTCATTCTACCGCCCACCAGGCAACGAATTCTGAATTGAATGTTGTCGGTGCTGATTGGAATCTTTGACGCAGCATAAAGCATGCTCGAACGTCCTTATAAGTTATAACAAGGCGCCTGCAAAGTGCAGCGCGACGTTTCAGCCCTCTTGAAAACGAGAGGGCACCAAGCAACGACGGGATGTAAGCATCACAACACCGGCGCGGGGAAGGGGGGGCGAGCAATGGCCACATGACAGACGACCAACTGACGAAACGACTCAGGCGAGACAGGCAAGGCACGTGTGGCTAAGCAGCAACAGGAATAGAATGACATGCCTAGCCTACCACGGATCGGATTTCGAGGGACGTGAAGTCAGCGCCGCCGGCTCACACAGATCCTCCATCCCGCTTCACCTCTGAATATAGACCCTATAGAACCCCAGCTTCCACGGCGCACTCACCCCGTCCCTGCGCATCTGCGCATGCCCAGCCCAGCTCACCACCGCGTCCCCTTTCCCGTCCCTCAGCCGGTGCGCAACAGCCCCGAACAGCATGAACTCGGTCTCGTTCAACGACGCGACCGCCTTTGGATCGGCCGAAAACCAGCCCGGAAACACCTTGACCAGCCGATGCTTGCGTGCCTCCACCTCCTTCCACATGCGGCGTCTTAGCCTTCGGATTTCTGTAGCCCCAGCATAACAATCAGCCATTTGTTCACTTTTTTCGGCTGTTGAGGTATGGTAAGGAAGAGAACTAAAACCTTCTTTTCCCTTCGCAACATCATTCCCTATTATGACCGTCGCATCGTCCTGGAAAAAGCCGACCCACTCGTCGTTCCTGTCCGGGTCGTCCGACACCTCGAAGAAGTGGGTGATGAACCTCTTGACGGATGAGTCGGTGGGTATGTTGTTTGGATACCACGGCTCGTAGCCAGACTCACCACCCGGCTTCACGGCTGAGGAGGACGGCGGTGCCGGCGACTGGGAAGCCATGGCTCGCTCGTTCTTGTACGGCAGAGGTTAAGAAACGCCTTGCGACTGTTTGTTTTATCGACCTGGATCGTTAGAAACGTACTGTACGGTACTAGTACACTGAAGATTCGAGACTTGGCTAGGTCGGATTACATTAGCGGGCTGCGCAGGTTCGGGGTTCTTTCCTTTCCCACGTAGATGATCGACCGGCAGATCTACTTCCAGGTTTACCTTCCATCGATGTTCGATGGAAGCTGGCAGAGCCTTCCGTGCGTGGAGTCCTGCGGTGACACGTCTGCTTCCGCGTAAATCGCATTACACTACACAAGGTAGTACCTACCTACATACCGTACACTAGGTAAGCACAGTCCGTTGGCTCCAATATCTTGTGCTACTGGTGATCATACGATCATTACGCTGTTTGCTTATAACTAGGTAGGTACCGTTAGTAGGTACCCCAGCTTCTCTACCCAGCTTACTACCGTAAACAACACCAGACTTGCATGTTATGTTAATGTAGAGATCGGAGGGCTAGAGCCCAGAGATGGGAAACCGGGTTTCCGACCTTTTCGCTGTAGACACACATTTCGATTCGAATTAGGATCAGTTTAAAGCAACCCAAGCTCTAGGTTCGTAAGATGTTCCCCTCTTCCTTGCTCCGAGCCCTGCCGCCCATCTCGATCAACGGACCCTTCAAACATCGTCTTCAAAGGTAAGGTATCATACGCCGTTGGCCAAGCCTTCCGAAAGTCACCAGCCCCAACACCGACTAGCACAGACAAATTCGCTTACACAGTAGACATCGGCAACCCAGCCGCACACCCTTCCCTAGACTGATAACTCGCCCGAATGCAGCGCGCTGTGGTGTCTGAATCACAGCAAAGTGCAATGAAAATCACGTAAAACGGTGAGACCAAAGGTAGAAGCGAAAAGTCAAGCCCAGCCTTCCTCCAAGCTGCACTTCCGCCATTCGCTGCGAGAAGGTCCCCGTCGATATACGGCACCCATAACTTGCAGCATCGCGGTGAGGGTTCTGATCCCAGACAATCTTGCCGTCGAGAAAGGGATACCAGATACAGGGGGAACAAATGTCAGGCCCTTACCCCGCGGGCACTGACCTCCCCCTTCTCGCCGATATTCAGCAGCTTCCTGCAATCAGGACAATACCACTTCGTCGTGCGGGCAGGGATTTCCAGGAGCCCGACGCACTCGAGATGAAACCACTCCCGCTCGCAATTCTGTTGTGTGGTTTGTTAGCAACTCTGCTGGCTTTCCGCACGCCACAATACAACCTGGCTGAACCTCCGGCGGCAGGAAGACTTACATCGTTATCGCACTGAATCATTGTCCCGAAACTAACCCGGTTGCAGAGACAGTATCTCTCTTCGTCCGGGTCGATCAGGTTCCCTTCGTCGTCCACCTCCACCTCGAGGACATCCCCTCCGGCGCCCGTCGCGGCATTATCCGCTTTATCTTTAGCCGCCTTGTTCGCCGCTGCCCGCGCACTCTTCTTCCTCGGTGCGGCCTTCCGCCGCCCTACGGCGCTGTTACCGCCGCTGTTGGTGCGGCTGATGATGCCTGGGGCGGGTCGCTTTGTGCGCTTGCTTGGTTGCCGAGCACCCGCGACTGCGCCGGTCGCGGTTGCTGCTCCAGCCGCGGCAGTTGCAGCAGCTTCCGGCGCAGGCGTGTTCCGGGCGGTACTAGCGCGACGGGGACGGTCTGCTGCTAGAGAAACCTGCGGTTCCTGACTAGCGGCCTTGCCGCGGGACCTTGGGCGCGATACCGTTGTCATTGAGGTAGCCTCGGGGTCGGGCTTGGCTGCTATCGCTGGGCTTGCCGAGCGGGTCGAGCGGGATAGGGGATCCGTGACGACTTGAGCAGCCCTTGCTTCCAGCAGCTGCTGCTGTTCCCTGGCTGCTTGAGCTTTGCGGGTTTCCCTCGCAGGAGGCAGGATGGGCGTAATGGATTTTCTGGGCGAGATGACCGGGGGAGGAATCGGGGTTTCTGTAGCAGGCAGTTTCACGGATGCTAGGCTCGGCGCGCCACTTGGACCTGCGTAGCTGCTGGCCGGAGAGGCTGCCGAAGCCGCGGATGTGGCCGACTTTGCCGTGATGGATGGGTCCTGGCCGTGAATCGGTAAGGGAATTGGCGTCGTCGATTGCAGCACGCCGGCATTTGACGTACGCTGGTTTTGCTGCGTCAGGACCTCGAGAGGCAGCTGTGAGCCGCCCGGTGTCAGGACTGGCGGAGGGACGGGAGTCTCCGTCTTGGTGCGCTTAATCTGGATTCTCTGGGGTTGCCCCTCGGCCGTGTCCAGCTTTTCGGTGTCAGCCTCGGGCCCGGATTCTCTCTTGCGCTTCCGCTGTGCTTTCGCCTTACCGGGCGCCTTGGAAGGGTCCTGAACGCTGGCCTGAGTGGTGTCTGACATGAGAGTTCGCGCGATGGCGTTGAATCTCCTGGCAGACTCCTCAGCCTCCTCCGCAGCCATCTTGGCCAAAAGCTCTCTCTTGAGTTTCTTTGCCTCGTTTAGCTTCATCCCACGGTTACTCAGGCTCTTCTCGTCAGACGTCAGGGTCTCCATGGTCAGAGCACCAAGCGGCATCCGCCTCTCGCCCGTGTCCGGATCCACGGTAGGGACCGGCATCTGGCCCTCAAACACACGCCCCTCCGCTTCAGCCTTCTGCTTTGCAGCTTTGAAAGCATCCACGCCCCTCCCAAGGGCGCTCAACTCGCGTGCAACCATAGTATCACTCGGAGTCCAGGCGGCATTCTTTTTCATCCGTTTCCTGAGCCTAGCTAGTTCATATGCAGTGAGCTGGCCCCAAGGCGCGTCAGGGCCGCCAATGACGGCATTTTCTGGGGGGGGAGCTAGCTGGGCCATCGCAGCGCTCGTCGACAGCCCAGCTCCCGGTAGGTTGGACGGCACCACAGAGGTCCTCGGTCGAGGCGGCCTTCCAGGCTTCGGAGGCCTCGACGAGGCCTTCACCACCTTGATGCGTGTATGTGGAGCTGGGGTCAGCCTATTCGACAGGCCTTCCTCATCGCCCTCTCCCCCGTCAGAGCTACTGTCCTCTCCTGTGGTGTATGCGTCGTAGTTCAGGTCATACGGGGCGAGTACCTCCCCTGGAACCGTGATTCGCGGCACTCGCTGCCTGCGCACTTTTTGCCCGTCCACACGCATCGCTATCTTGGGCGCCCGTGACATTTGCGGCGATTTGGTCGCGACAGGACTCTTCTGCTCTTCCGCAGGGGGGTAATTCTCCAGCATTGTCTCGAGTTTGCCGAGGATGGTTTTGGCGCGGGCATAGTGACGGTTGATGTTCTCAGCCATGCGCTGAGCCTCGGCCAGGGAGAAGACGCGCGAGTTCAAGGCATGATGGAGGTTTTCTGAAATCTGAGCGCGGAGTTCGACAGGGTCGGTCCGTTCGACAGGTGGGAGGTCGGGTAGTTGACCCCAGAGAGTGGTAAGATCGTGCAGACTACCCGATGCATCGATGTAGTTCTCATCAAGCTTCCCAATCTGGGTCAGGGAGCGCGTAATATCGGCCGGAAGGTACTCGGTGAAATCGAGAAAATCCGAGACGGTGGCCTGCGCGTCGGGATCGGCACGCATGTCGAGGTGGTTTAGGGAGGTAGAGACGGGACCGACCGGCTGGCTGCCCTGCTCAATCGATGGCGCGGGCTGCCGCGGCGAGATGGGTTCGTCCATGGCCGGGCGCGCAATGTCATCCGCCGCCATGCTGATTTCGCTAAACGTGTCCTGCGCAGTTGCTTTGCACAAAACTCCAGCTATCGCTGGTCTTGCTTAGCCTCACTTCGCATGCTATTATGAAAGCAATGCCATGAGCGCGACAATGCCCACGTGTGGATTTTGTTGCGCGACTCGTTGTTCGCAGATGATGGCAAAACACTTTCAGGTACCTAATGAATGGATGGTGATGAGCCCTGTGCGCGTGGTTGAAGCCGCGGCGCTGGAGTGTTGCACTCGCAAGACCCACAGCCCCACCTTCCAAACCAAGCACGTCCGATTCCGAAGAGTGTACCTATCCTGACTCCTTATCTCCTCCGTACGGAATACAACTTACAAGGCATTTCCGACAGAGCAATTGGGGGTCGGTTCTTCACATCCAGCACAAGTAGGCAAACAGCATGACGTCTGGTCCCACCGAGTCCGAGTTCTTCACAATCGGCTTCATCGGTAGTTCCGTCAATGTCCAAAATTGCCACATCAATTCTGCAGTGGCTGTGGAATATCTTCCACCCAAAAGGCCATTTTTTTTTAAAAAGCCTGGATACCACAAAAGGATACACGGCAGTGAGCCGTTCTGTAGAGTTCCCCAGACTGTCATCTATCCCATCCCTGAGTGTACCGAACATAGGATACCAGATACCGTCGAAAGTAAAAGAAGATGAAGAGAAAAGTCCGCAAGACGCAAACCCCCGGTGCCAAACCCAAATCATGCGCAGCAGTGGTATACAGATCGCGTGTACAACTCCGACAGTCCATCATCACCGCCCCATGAGAAAAAGCCAAGATAGTGCAATAGGCAAACTCCCGTTGAATCAGCGTTGAACCAGCTTCGCGCCATGGACCGTCTCGCCCTCCTCGGCCTCATACCACGACTGGTCGCCGACAGTCGTGAGCGATGCGTACGCCGTCAGTGTCCTGCACTTTCTGCGAATCCAAAGTCAGACAAAGTCCTCATCAACCGGAACAATGCCAACCTCGATCTCGGAACTCACAGGTACCCATTGATGGTCAACGCGCCCCAGACCTCCAAGTCACCCTGCACCTCCAATGATCCATTGATCTTGAGCTTGCCAAAGATCTTGACTTTGTCCCTGTACACAGCGAATTCACCCGTCAGTAATTTATTACTTCTTCTTCTTCTTCTTCTCCTCCCCCATTCAGTAGGACATAGAGAAAATAAAACTAAAAGACTGGAACAAGACTCACATGCAAACAACAGCCCCATTGACCTTCACATTCCCCATGCTCTTGACTTTCCCGGCACAGCTCAGGTTCCCGCTGACCTTGAGATCGCCGTACGCCTCGATGCGGTCGCGGACCGAGAAGTCCCCGTTGAAGGTGACCGAGGCCATGGACTTGACGGACCCGTCGACCTCCATCGGCCCGCGCAGGTCGAGCGAGTTGTCTGACTTGATGCTCTTCTTCTTTTTGACCGGGGAGCTCGTGCTTGCTGTGCTCGACGAGCCGGCCATCATCATGGGCTGGTCGAAGGTCATGATCTGCTCGTACTCATACATGGTTTCGCTTTCGGTTTCTCCTTCTGTTGCTGTGGGGTTTCGTGCGGGAGGGGAAGGTTGGGGAGAGGGTGCCGCTGTGGTGGTTGGAGAGGTTGATGGAGAGGAAGCAGCCGTGGTTGTGATGGCAGGAGCTGGCGTTGATGTAGCCGTTGCTGGCGGTGGCGATGTTGGTCCTGGTGTTGGTGACGATGTTGATGGTGACTTGTCCGTCATCTCAACCGAGGGAGGTCGCGTGCCCTTTTTCATGTTTTCTCGACACAGAGGCGAAGGCAGCAGAGCTCTTGAAGAAGAAGGTAAGGTAGCCATAAGCAACTGTACAACCTGATGCAGCTTCGCGATGACACCCCTACGGCGTATCTGTCATGCTCGATGCACCGCTACCACCTGTGTGGATAGTGACAGAACGACCGACAGCAGCGAGGCTTAGAGAGGTTGAATATTGGATGCAAGCATGTAACTCGGATTCGGCCGTCTCCAATGGCGATGTTCGGATGGCGATGTTCGGGGAGCTATATAGAAAGCGGCAACTTTCCGAGAAGGGAAACCCCCAGCCCTCGAGCCGGTCGGGATGGGCGAGGGCCATGGTGTGTAGGTCACATCAAATCCATGTAGTTAGTAGTAGGGAGTCATCTAGTCCAACAAGGCCAACACTCAACGGTTCTAGGGCGCATCCTGAGCCAAGCCATGAGCCTCCACTCCGCGCCGGACTCGGCCCGGCTCCTTCTGTGAGTGGTTCTGACCGAAGCAGTTCACGAGAGACCACATCCCGGGATGGGCGTGACTCGTGAGTGGTTTTTCGCTTCCCATTACCAGTTTGCTCAGAGAAGCAACCACCAAGTCGACACTAAAAGGGGGCGCGACTCATGCGCTCCACAGCCGTCCCGGGACGTCATGTAACGTCTCCATGCACGGCAGCTCCATCCTGGCACGTTCCAGGCCTGAATGGGGAAACAAGAATTGACTCTGTATATCCCGGTTTCATGGTGTACACTATGGGCCCATGCCAAAGAGTCGCAACTTAGTATTAGACGCATAAACGCTGGTTGCTATGCCAGTTTCTGGAGACCATCGCGGTTCCGGGCTGTTGGGAGACGCAAAGGAAAACGTGATTGGAGCAGGACACCGTGGCGCAGCGTGCTTTATTCGATGGTTTCCCAGTACAGACGCACAGAGCAGAGGTCAGTAGCCGCAGCCGCAGATAGTGGTTCCTGAGGCGGCTGTTTCTCAGCCCTTTTTCGGGCCTGAAACAGACAGTTTCTCAGATTCCCAGATGGAGAGGCAGCCAGCCGATTCCGGTCGTGGACGGAGAAGCCCGGACGTTGCATCGACGTCCGCCCGGGGCCCGGTGCAAGATGAATGCTTAATTCTCGCCCTGCCATTCGCCCAGCCCGTGTTGTCTGTCCACTAAAAACTCAGGTAAGGCGCAGCACGGCTGAAGAAGGGAAGGTCACTTGCGGCACGTGCTTGCATCTCGTCATACACCGCTCCCATTTTTTCTCTCTTTCGCGACGGTTGCTTTATCGGATAACCGTATTCAACCACCCCCCCGGTCGGGAACGCCTTGCCTTGTCCTCCCCAAGGCGATTTCGGATTCAGCTAGCCTTGGCATAGGGACGTTACCCGGTTTCTGAATGACATCGTTGCCGCAAACGCGCGCCAATCTTCGGATGATACAGATCAGGGACCCAATGCAGTGCCCGACAACTCGACAGTTCGACCTAGGCTTCCACGAGGTTCTGCCGCCCTGCTGACCCATCGGATCCATGCCATCACTGCTACCCTACCACAACTGATGAACTCGAACAGAGACCGAAGATGGATGCATGTTAATTTGGATGATCGGACCACGTTCGACCCGTGGCCGAACGGATCAGCGTTCCCACATCCGTCATATGCAACCTAGCCCGCGCGTCATCCGGATGTCGATCAACGCCCTGTTGCCTTGGTTTCTGCAACCAGTTGTCCCAGAGCAACGCCATTTAATATCTGCGACAACCAGCAGTATAGGCAACTCATATGCTTCCAACATATCTCAGCGTAAGCCCGGTCACGAAAGCAGCGGTGACCCATACGCCGGCGTAGACCCCCGCGCCGTATGGCTCGACGCCCTTGATCGCCAACGCGGTGTCCAAATAGGTGCCGACCGCGGTGAACAGCATAGCCACAGCAGTACGCTTGAGGGACACCTTGGTGCGCGTCGAATAGCCCCACAAGTTCCACGCTACCGTCTGCCCCAGAGTAGCGTTGACCGGATCGAACTCAGCGTTCTTCTGGTCCTCGAATGTCTGCGGCGTAGTGACGAACGGCGTGAAGATGAAGGTCCGCGCCGCCAACCCGAACAGCAGGCTGAGGGCCATGGTAATCGGACTGCCCAAGCCGAGGAAGGTTGCATCGGCTGCGGGCTTGATGGTGGGGATACCCTCAAAGTACAGGACCAGCTTGCTAGGCAAAAGGAACCGACCAGCTAGGAAGAGCACCACGCTATAGACGAGCGCCGACTGGAGTGAAGTGAGGATTTGGATCACTCTGTCGCCGACAATGTCCTTGTTTGGGATGCCGGGGGCGTCTGAGTGCGCACCGGACAGCCGGCGCACGAGGAGGAACGGCAGAAACGCTGAGGCGACGTCAACGGCGAGGTAAGCGCCGGCAGTCAATGGACGGATCCCGTAGAAGATGGAGATGAGATAGGTCTGGGCCAAGCTTGTCAGCGGACTGCGCCCTGCTGCCATGTGGGAGAAGCGAGGGGTTGGCTGCGGCCGTTCGCTGGGAAAGGTATGAAACCCCAAACTTACCGCAGGACCATCCGAAAGCAGGGACAGGGCCGCAAGATCGTAGCCATCGTAGTCGTTGTACCAGCCCAAAGCTAGTCCAAACCTGCCGTGCGAGCCAGGGTTAGCTTGGCTGAACTGAAGCGGGGAGGAGGGAGGGGGTTCAGCCTCCTCAGCCCTGAGGGTGCATTCGAAGGAAACATACAATCTCCACGCGGCAAGGACACCGAGCTCGGTCCTTGATGTCTCCTCTCTCATGATGCTGCCCACCTCGTTTTGGCTGTAATGGTCGACAAACGAGCGCCCCAGCGAAGAGAGTGCAAAGCTCAAAACAACAGCCAACGTAAACCGCACCGGGCCGGGCAAGCGGGAGTCGCGTCTCCTGGCGATCGTCCCGGCCTTGGCTCCGATGGACTCAGCGAGGTCTGTTGAGATCGTGTCTGCAGCTGAGGCCGCCGCTGCGGCGCCATCCACGACGGCATTGACAGCCTCAGCCGCCGCCTCCTTGGCTCGACCCATCGTGGGTTGGCGGGAATGTGAGGATGGTGGGTCGCGTGTTTACGAGGAAAACAGTCGAACGAAACAATTGGCGGCCTAGAAGGACGAGCGCCAACGCTGTGCAGCACTGGAGATCCTAGATCCGAGACCACTGAAAGCTAAATAAATCGGATCCTGGGCTCCTAATGCATGGAAAAGTCTCGGATGGCAGACGGTCCTTGTGTGTTTTGCAGTTGTTGTTGATGAGATTGGGTGAGCTCAAGCTTATTAGCCGGGCGTGGGGGATTAGTAGGGAGCTTTGGGAGACGCGAGTTGTGTGGAGACAGTGACGTCGAAATCACTGCCCCGGTGCAAAGTGTCGATCCATTGCTGCCGCAGCACCCCTTCCCCTAGGCAGGCTGTCTCTACTTACGCACTGGAGCCATCAACAAACGGCCTTCGCTGCCCAGACTCGAGCCAACAGACAGCAAACGTCGCCCGTCTGAATCGACCGGAGCCAGGTATACAAGTTACATCTGCACACAGTCTCGTTTCGAATTTACGGACATACTGCTCCCTGCTGCGGCGCCACAAGTACCTCGCGACACTATCGACCAGATGCTGCGTTGCGAGGCGCTTGGTCTGAGGGGCGGGGAGACAGTGTTCGTGTAAGCTCATCTGTTGATAAACCTCTTCGATTCGCCCCATTGAAGAACAAGAGGCGGTATTGGGTGACGCTATCCCAAGCCTCTGCCGGAGAATGAGAGCTCCAAGCACTATCAAAACAGTCGCAATCGCTCAACGCTCGCACACGAACCTTACTTTAACCTCGTGGAGCTGGCCGGCTTCCCTGATTACATCGGTCCGGTCGCGGCAACTCCCCACTCATCGGTGCCAAGGTTCGTCGGCGGAGCGATTCCATTTACACGCTTACACAAACAAACAGGCAAAAGAGACCGTTTCCATCATATCCCATATCCATACCATGGTCCCGGCGGCTCATAGCTGATGCACAAGCTTCTCCGCCTAGAGTCCCATCTAGCTGCCGGTTGACAACTCATTCCTCCATCCTGCCAAAGACGCCGTCGTCGTCCTCGTCGCTTCGAGCCCGCGACCGCATGTCTTCGTCCCGCATGTCTTCGTCGTCATCGCCCATAAGGCTCTCGGGACTGCCCTCCATCTTGGCATCCGCCCGACGTAGCTCGCCGCGCGTGAAGCTCTCAGGTGCCCTGCTAGGGTAGCTGCTGATGAAGCTTGTGCCGTACAACGACCCCTGATCGAGGTATTGCGCGGGAAGTGGCGGCACCGGCGGGGCATCCGCCGGGATTTGCACCGTTCGGGAGCCGCCGTTGCTGTTGAAGCTGCAACTAAGTAGCTCAACAGCTGCCGCCAACTCGCGATCGTCCTGCCCTGTCGCGTTCCTACCCGACGACGTGGGTCTCTGGTCCTGACTGAGCTGCCGGAAGTGGCCAAAGCCGGAGACGCTTGGGATGCTGCCGGCGGCTGAGCTGGCATAGGCCGCGGTCTGGAATGACCGGGAAACGCCGCTGCCACTGCCATATCTCCTGTCGAAGCCCCTATAAGACGCATTGGCTGGGTGGATTGCGTCCAGCTGCGGCGGCGGGGTCGTGTCGGCCGAGCCACCGTCGTGCTGCTCCGAGTAACCGCTCGCCGCGGGAGACGCGGAGTCCCGGTCACTGATCGAATGCCTAGTCGAGTCTGGGGGCGTCGTGGTGATGGCTGCCGCATTGGTAGCAGGAGTGGCGGACGAGAGGCTGTTGTTTGCACTATTGTTCATGGCAACCAGCACCGAGGCAGCCTCCAGAAGCTGCACTTGCTGGTGCTTGGAAATCAAGAGCTTGGAAGTGTACGACCATTCGGGAGTGTGCTCCCACCTGACGAGCAGACAAGTCAACACACGCGCTTCAAACCGCATCGCCTAGGATCTGTGACCGGTACAGGGTTGCCGGCTCCGCACTTCGGGTACCACGTGGTGGGAGAGGGTAGGGAAAGGAAAGTGGGCACAAACAAATGCTTGTTCAAGCAGCTGCTATGCTTGTATCCCTTCCCGCACTTCTCGCAGCGAAGTTCCGGGCGGTTGCTCTTCCGGCCACCTTCCTTGACCAGCGGCTGGCCATCGCTGGCCCTCCTCACGCGAGCCTTCTGGAAGGCAGATTCCGCGTCGTCCCCGGACATGTCGTTCATCTCGTCGTCGATCGCGCTGTCTTGCACGTTGACCGTTCCGTTTCCTGTCGCAAAACGGCGAGTCGGGAGGCTGGCCGGCGGGGAGGGCAGGCTTCCCACGATCGCCGACCGAGTGAGCCCGTTCTTAGAAATGGTGTTTCGACGGCCATTGACGGTGATAGGGAGGGGCGTGGCAACATCGCCAGACTCCTGCAGAGCCGTGGCTATCGCTGCCATATTGGCGCCAGTGTTTGTCATGCTCTTGCGGCGGGTAACGCGGTGGGTGCCATTGAGGGCGCTGCCGAGGAGCGAGTGCGAATTGTTCCGCGAGTGGGTTTGTCGGCTGATTGTGAGACCGCCGGGTACAGATGTGGACGAGATGGACGGCCGGTGCGAGAGCGGTCGCGACGTTTGTTGTATTTCCTGAGATACACACGGCGCGGTTAGGGCTACTTCCCTCCGCGCAATTGAAGCCGAACTCACAGTGGACGTTGAGTCAGACTTGACTTACCTTGAAAGAAGCCATTGCTTAAACCCCCTTTATAAGATCCAACGTGCCAAGCGGCTCTTCCACTTGGTTTCTATCCAAACGCAGGATAGCCCAAAATATGAATCCAATGCGCAAGAATCCGGTGTGCTGGCGGTCGGTAGTGTGGTGTGTCTTAGATTCTTGCTGGCCGGGAGTTTTGTTGGGAGGTCGTTGTGTCAGGGAACACCTAGCTGCAAGTCGAGGCGCGGGGAGGAACAATAACAATTTCGGGCTCGGCTAGGGCATGCGCAAGGCAGGGGATGACTCTTTCCAACCACTCCAGTGTACGGTCCAGATAGTTCGAAACAATTCGCGAGCGATTGGGATGCGACAGTGGGCAGAAAAAAATAATAATGTCAAGAGCAAAGAAAGAGTGGCTGTGCCTCCCGCCGTCAAAGAAAGGATGATCCAACAACCTGGAATGAAATGCGGGTCGCTAGCTGCCTGTAAGACGAGAGCGCGTGGCATGGAGGTATGGGAACGAAACAGGTCATATCAACCGCGCAGGGGGAGAAGGTTCACATGAGAATCGAGGGAGGAGGCGCTGTGCCGCTAACCACGACCGTCGAGCAATATTACCTACTTCCTTGGGTGCGACGGCGGGTAGCTCAACACAAGCGACAGCAGCGGCACTTGATGACGGCTGGACAACATCGAGCTGGAGCGAGGGCATACCACCTAATAGCTACCTAGCTATGATTAAACTATCACATTTATTATACAGGTAACTTCACCCTCCAATGTACTGTACTTGGTAAACAAACCTTGTCAGTGTCTAAGCCAACCAGCTCGGCGCGCTTACTGTGTATGGACGATCATGTGGATACCACCTTCTTTCTCGCTCCTTTCTTGCTTACCGTTCATCGTATCAATCGCTGTACTCTGTATCAATGGCATTCACTTCTGTTTTCGATTCAGTCATTTCCTATCATCCGACTGCATCTCTGGAGTTGGTTCTCTCTACTCATGTCATCTTCCAGTGGGCTGGATCTCTCACTCCGACTTCAAGTTGCGGAATGTTTGTTGCATACAGGGCCAGGGCAGTAGGTATGGTATTGTACATTACGTATAGGGCAAGACCTGCATGCGTCGCCCCTCGCCCCGAACGATGCCCCTCCCTGGCGCTCCCTGGTGGGAGCGGGTACCTGGCGTGCTGGCTTCCAGTTCCAATTGTGGTCAGAACCAGGCCCAACAAGAGACGAGCCGGATCGAACGGACCTCCCGGACACGGCATCGCGTGTCCCGTCTGCATCCTGCTCGACATTCAGCTTGCTTTATTAGGCTGCTACTACCTGCGTGGTACGATAGTATGCGTCCTCTATCAAGCAGTGTTGTGAAGTAAGGAATCCGTTGGGAAATATCTACCTCAGGTACAATACCAAGTCCGCTCGTACGGTACTACTAGTACCCTATACAGCGACATGCTGTTCTGGTTCCAGACTCGGTAGTCCGCGTCTCGATCCGTAGACGCCGATGCTACCTTTCGAGCATAAACCTGAGCTTATGCAAGATTGAGCAACTACCTAAACACATGCAAGGCATAAGTGATCTGCTAGCCGAGTGTTCGAGTTCTGCTGTGCGTGAAGCTGCTTCACTAGGTTCCGTGGTGGTGATCGTTGGGCGTAATGTGTAGTAGTCGTCCTGTGGCAGCCCCGTCGAAGCATCATTGTCCCGAGTCCGGTGATACGCTAGTGTACTGTTCAAGTTGCATCTCTGCTTCGGCGAAGCCAGTCGTGTGACCTTACCGCCTACATAGGTACCTCGCTACCTTGCTTACCTTAGACAAAGCAGCAACAAGATCTAGGTCACGGGTCTGGGCGGTGCAAAGCAGCCACCCAGGGCGCCCACACTACGCCAATGGGTTACCTATTGCCGGTTTTCTGGTCAGCTGGCAACCCATAGGCAAAAGGACCAGAAACTTGACATTACACGTGTATGAAGAAAGAATGTGAGGACCTTAATAAGGCCACAGATTGCCCGCGATAATCTGGAAGGTTGTTTGAACGCCAATGTCTACAGACCGAGTCCCACGGAGCACGTATGACTTCAAGTCTTCCGAAATGCACTTTTGCTCTATATATCACCACCATGACCTAAAAGTAGATCGGTATTATGGGCACTCTGGATACTGCCAATGAGGACTAGGATCTAGACAGCCGGTTGTGCAAGTCCGGTGTCCGAGTAGTAGTGCACATGTCGGGCTCCTTTTGAAGAACGGAAGTCTAGATTGACTTTGTCCCACGTTCTGCAACTCGTCCCCAACCTGCATCTTTCGTGGATAGACGAACCACCAATAATGCGGAAGCATCCAGCCCCTCACCCGATCCCATGTTTTTGACAGGTTGAAGCCCTTCAAGCACCCCTGCCCAAGGGTGCTCGTCCCGAAGGAGAGGCCATGAAAACGAATCGTGTAGAACGACCCGGATCGTTCAAGGGGCAAAGGCCGCACTATTGGACGCTAATCACATCTACTTGGCTAGAGTTGGGTTTGCCCGCCTCGCTAGGCTGTTGGGTCTGGCAGACGATGCCAACAAGGGATGAGAGAAGCCGTCTTCCGACAACTTACTGTGTAGGTGCTTCTTCGCTTTTAGGGACGTGCAGGTCCCATGAATGTGATTGTGGACAGATTCTGAGCAGCGAGAGCGGGAGAAATGGTGAGAACCGCATGACGTTGTCAGAGGTCCACCTGACAAGGGAACATAATCTGGGCAGCATGACGATGCCAGGCAGCCAGGTTGTGTAGAAAGACAGACGGAAGAAAAAGTGTGTTCCAAGGCAGGCACAAATTCGGCGACAAATTCAGCCGCATTCATCCAAACCAGGGACCAGCAGCGGCTCTGAGTTCGGATCCGGCTGATCAGCCACGCCAGATCCCCTCGTGTGCCGCTCCGAAACTGCCGGATTTGCGCTCTCCGAGAGCGGGCCTTTTCTTCCTCCGCATCTTGTCCGATCCCGTCTCCAGTTCGCGCAACGGATTCGGGAAGGGAAAGTTGAGGTATTGTACAGTAGGGCGGGGGATCAGCACTGCGACTACCGGCGGCTTGTGTTCAGCTCACAACCTGCCCCGTGCATGGACTAGTGCCGATTGATCCCAATGCCAATTGCAATCTAGACCTCCTAAACGCTCCTGAAGATCGAACCTCAAGATTACCAGTTGAGAACTCGCTCTTGTTGTGTGAACTAATAAAGACCTTTGGACGCCGCAGAGCAGCATCAACAATGATGAAACACGTACGTGTTGTCTCAGATGTTCCGCTGCACACTACTAGTACCTACCTCTACACTACCTTAGGTCCTTGTCTCTTTGAATGAAGGGCACCTAGGTTCCTTGGCAAAGCTGAATCCAGTTACACAGCTTTACAGCTAAGACGATAAGGTTTGGGGGGTGTCACTGATAAGAACTTGGGGATGAACGATTCAAATGAATCGGCATCTTCTCAGTTCCAGGAATGTTTTTGAGAGATAATTCACCCATAGCTAAACGTTTCTGAATCTCACTCAACCTTTCCTCCTAGCTCTGGGAGTCACTGTAAACCATTAATAAACCATCATTATGTCTGACATCCTCCGCCGGGTAGGCCGTGGTGGAGCGGGCAACTTCTACAGCAAGAAAGATGTTCAAGAAGCGGCCAACAGCACTCCCCCAGTGCGTCATCTCATCCCATTTGGTAGCTGCATGCTTAAAGCAGCTCCTCTGTGATTGACACTAGGCCAGGACCTAGAAGCCCAGAACAACTCGGCCGAACCCCTGGCCAACGCCGTAACCCGGACTCAGACCCACTCCACTTCTTCCGGGCCAAGCTACTCCCGTACCGGCCGCGGCGGCGCCGGTAACTTCACCTTTCGCTCGGCCGGCTCCGACACCACAGCCCCGTCCACGGACCCGAACAGCAGCACCGCGCAGCAGGAGGAGAGAGACTTAAAAGAACAGGCAGCTGTCGCCGTGGCAGCAACTATCGCGGCCAAACCGAGGGCGGGAGAACTCAGTGGGAGGGGAGGGGCGGGGAATTGGACTGGTCATGATGGGGTAGGGGCAGAGTTGAAGGAGGAAGAGGAACGGCAGAAGAAGGCGGCAGAGCTCGAGATGCAAGTGCTGAGGGACGTCGAGGTTGGGTTAGCGCCGCCGCCGAGGGCTTATCATCATCCTGGGCGGGGCGGCCGTCGTAAAGGCGAGGAACTGACTGACACTTCGTGATGCCTGTTCGGTGGGTGCACTGTTTGAAGACACGGAGCATGTTTGCTATAGTACTAGGAGTTGCGAGATAGAGACTCTCACGCCCCATAGTAGGCACATCCATTACTTACCCCTAATTCACAGACTTATCAATTTAGGTACGGTAGCAAGGAGGTCAGGCTGTTGAGATCATGCTTCTCATGCTAGCATAGGAGAAGTTAAGGTCTGACGACGATACAATGGAAGTGAGCGACTCCTTATGTTTCTTCGTAGTGACTGAGCTAGCTCATTCGCTGCAGGAAACTGAAGCCAAAAGAGGTGTCAAGCGGGAGACAAAGAGGGTAGAGGTATGGGATTGTAAAATACCGTGTCATTACATGCCCGTCCGGGGTCCGGTCGGCAGCGGCAAATCCCGACGGCGAACCCAGCAGAAAAAGTGCCATCGCATGCTAGGCTGCCCACTTGAAGGAGATCATCGCCATCACCAACTACTGCCAACCTATCCACCACGAACCCCCGGTCATCACATCGCGTCAGCGGCACCACCATCACAGCCACAATCATCAACTTGCCCGACAACGGCAAAGAGAAACAATGTCTTCGGCAGTAGCCATCGGTGCAGGCGTCGCGGTAGCCGCCTTCCTCGTACGTCTCACGCCCGTCTCTCCACGAGATCCTCCGCATTCTCGTAAACTCCAACCAAACTGACGCTCCCACTTTTCTACACAGGGCCGAGCAGGACTTGTAGCCTGGCGGCGCTCCCGCGGAGGCGTCGGCGCGCTTGGCAAGGCCTTCTACAAGGGCGGCTTCGAGCCGCGGATGAACCGGCGCGAGGCTGCGTTGATCCTGTCGCTCAAGTACGAATGAACCCCTCGAACAAGGATGGATTGTATGGTAGTGGTGTAAGGAGAAAAGATGCTAACAAGGTAACCCAAAAAAAACAGCGAGAGCAGCCTCAGCAAGGAGAAAGTGCGCAAGGCGCACCGCACGCTGATGCTCCTCAACCATCCCGATCGCGGCGGGAGTCCGTACCTGGCGACCAAGGTGAACGAGGCGAAGGAGTTCCTGGAGAAGAATGTGCAATGACGGTCCTACTCTCCTTTTCAACTTTGGTCGAAGGGTACAACACATGAAGCTACCGGCCGAGATTCGTGATTGGGTCTCGGGGAGGGGGGATACGTCCCATGATGCTGGCGGGAGACGGGTGGGACGGGCTGTCTCCGTGGCCTTGGATAGCCGAACCGCGACGCCCAGCTGCCCCGTGACCCTTGGATGCGGCGCGACTCTACTTCGTCAGCCACGCACCAAATTGTACAACACAAATACAACATACACGCAACATCATAGCATTGGCGTTAGGGGTGGGAATGTCTTGGCTTGGGATAGGTTGGGTGGGATTATGTCAAGTCATGGCAATACGAGGCTGGCGGAGAAAGGCCGCATGCTCTGTATCGCTAGAAATCATCTGTGCCTGGACTCGGAGCAAGGAAGAGAAGGAAGCTCTGATAAATGGACCGCTAGCAAAGTCAGCGTGGGTTGATAACTCTCCTCTAATATCAACGTTTTTGTATCGACATGCAGGGGGCTAGCTGATCACCACTCTGCGGTGGCTAAAAGCAAAAGGCTCGGCATGAAAAGCATCCGCTGTCTTGGTACTCCCAACAGTCCCTTTCCGATTAGAATGTCCGCTGATACCATAGTCAGTTCCCACGAAGTAGCAAGATGCCCGTCTTCCCTGAGTCCCTTAGCATTACTCGCACCAGATGGCAACCCCGCTCTCCTCGGCGAAAACAGTGCGGAACGAATCGTCTGCATCACCGCCGTCGTCATCCTCATTGCTGCTCCACCCTTCCCCTTCATCCTGCTTGCTCTCGTTATACGGAATGTGTCTGTAAGTACCACATCAATTAGCAAATACGCCCTAGTGCTGGATCAGCTTCACAGCTGCACCGCCTCAAACCTACGTTTGTGTCGCTTTGTTAGCAGCCTCCTTAGGGCGCTTCAACCGCTCCGCAACCGCCAAGCCGACCATGGCCTGCAGCGTATAGACGGCGTCATTGCCGGCATTGTGCAGATTGCGGTAGGGGATGCGGAGGCAGTTGAGGACGGTCGCCAGGCTGGCCGAATCGTTGCTCCGGACTAGGTATTGGTGCATCATTCGCGTGTCGATAACCTCAAGCACGTTACGGGCCGCCTCCACGTGGTAGGCAAGCAGCCTCAGGTATTTGATGTCCGAGGCTGCCTCGTGGAAGACGAGCACCACGGGCCGCTGCTTGGTGACCCCGTCGACCGGATCAGTGAAGGTCGCGCCTTCGACCAGTTGTTGGAGAATCCGTTCGATTTGGGCTTTCTGGACAAATTCGCTCCGTCTAGGCAAGGTTAGTCGTCTGTGGTATGAAGGGCTTTTTTTTGAGTCGGAGGGGAGGATCTCTGGGGAAAGGGGGACTGGGATAAGGGGACGGTGGGGACAAACCCAAAGTCGAAGCGGTCCGGGCAGCCATGGACGTAGCGCCTGTTCACGGCCCAGGTATTCTCTCTGACACGGAGATGACGAGCCCGGATGTACGGAAACCAGTTCTGCCCGCCGTCACCAGGCGCAATGTTCTGGATCTCGATCGTATCCAACATAGCTATGCCAACCTCGGTGATCAGGTCCTGGTTTCGCTCCCATGCCTCAACATCAACGGCCAAAAACATGACAGAGTTCTCCGGCTTCACGGCGGTTGGTTGACTGAGATCGATGACGGGGTTGATATCAGCAGCCCCTGCCCTCTGACGGAGACCTAGGTATCGCTGGACTCGCTTGATGGACCGACCCCATGCCTTATGGCTCGCAATGCGTTTCGTGCGGTTCTTATCGGCCCTCCTCCGATTCTTCCTATCCGCACGGGTCCTCGCGATGAGGTGCCGAAACTTCTCAAGGTCGGGCCGTTCCACTTTCGAGATATCATCATCCCGATGAGGCCCCGGGGTCGATTTGCAGAGTCTTCTGAACGTTGTAGGGTTGCTGGAGCGGCCCAAATAGCGCGGCCTAGGCGTGTTCCCGAAACCGAACGTCATCTTGAATCTTGCCTCGTTCTTGCCAGGAGGGATCGTGAGCTGAGTGTCGAGCTTAGCGTTCACAGCATCTAGGACATGCTGGAATTGGTAAGTGGGCACAAAAATCACAGCTTTGTCCATGTTCATTTCGGGCGGCGCATGCATGTAGTAGCTGATAGTTGTCAGTTGCCGGATCGTGAACAATCTGAATGACGACCTACAGATCCCACTCGCACTTCTGATGAAGAGCTTTGACTGTGAAGAAAGGGGCCGCCTTGACCGGATGGTCAGCACACTCTGGTCCAAGCGGGATCGGTATAGGATTCGCGGGCTTACACGGGTGCTGTTGGCCTTCCCGATGAACATGTCGGGGTAGCTCGTGACAAGCCTGAACGCCACGAAGACCTCTCCCTTGGGCGAAACCTCGCCCATGCGGAGCCCAGTTTCCTTCCACCTGACCTTCTCCAACTTCTCCGGCACACGACTCTGTGGAACTTCCTGGTCTTCCGCCAAATTCTGGCGCGTCCGGTTCATGGGGATGCCATGCTTGGCGCGCTCTGCCTTGGTGAGCTTGTGGTGGTTGAAGATCATGGGTGCCGAGTCATCCGACGAATAATCAGCAGTTTCGTCCTGGTCTTGAACCGCAGACGACGGCCCGACCTTGGCGGCTGTCTCTTGGGGAGGGATGTCGCGCCATGCAGAGGGGTCGAAGCCCTCCCAGACTGTGTCGTCGGCGGTGAGGGCCTTAAGGCTGCGCAGGTGATCGTCGTCCTCCATGCTGAAGCGGCGCACAAAGTGCTGGTCCAAAACTGAAAAGTCGGTATGAGGGACGGAGTGCAAAGGTAGAAGTACTAAATCCGACTTGTCATGTCGGCAGCCCACGAAGGTACCGTAGACGGTTGAGACGGGGAAGGAATGGGAAGGAACGGGAGGAAATAAGCAGGTTCTCAGCCTCAATGGAGAAAAGTTCAGGTTTGGGCCACGGCGAGAAGTGAAATACACCGCAGTGACTGCACTGGTGCAAACGGAAAAGGAGCTGGGCTGAAGCAAGTGCAGTCGAATCAACATGTGGGAAGGTGCATTGTCCAGCCAGAACACAATCCCACATGTATCGTGGCACTGCCAAACAAAGAACTGTTGAAATACTTCCGCCAACGATAGCAGAGACTGGAGCTTCGTTCCTCCGATGCACTTGTGTGTTCTCCATATGATCAAGCTAGTATCACCCAGCACAGCTCGCACGCATAAGGTACATAACACATGTGGTAGTAAACAAGTGAACTGGTTGCCAAGGTGGATGGACAGGCAATTGAAACTGTGCATCTCAAAGATCCACATAACTTACGTACTGGAGGTGTCTTTTGCAACAAGTGACGTGGGATAAGCACTGTATTATCAGATGTATGGGGTAACTTACCATCATTGTCATCCCTTATTATAATTACTACTAGTACTGAACACAGGCACCTGACCTGTGCCTCTGTATACCATCCACGATTACACACGTTTGCACGACCACCAGTGTAATACTCAGGTTCTCCGCTTGCACCGCGATGATGAGTTTTTCAATCAATCATGATACTGAAGCACCAACATTATATGTGAGTTTAGGCCGCAAGAGAGCAGGCGCGTCGGATCTAAAGCTCCCGTCACCACCATCCGACAGTAGGTAACATCCAAGGTCCTCAGGGAAAGGTGCTCAGGCATCTTCTATACATTACTACTACCGTGAGGACAGCTTTGCCCAATAAGCTGGCTCGAGCTTTTACGGCTCATCGTTACCAAGCTAGGATACCAGTACGCTTTTCCTTTGTTCTCTAGCAACAGATCGCCAAAACATTGGGTACTACTAGTAGTAGGTACTACTAGTACCTACGTGGCCAACTGTCACACAGCCCATTCCCTACCTGACCTAGTAAGGTCACGTCGCAAACTACAGGTAGCCAGCAGTCAGTAAACACCTTGGTACAATACCTCAAAACGTTGAAAAGCTTCCATACTTACCGCCTTGGCCTCATCAGCCGTGACCTCCGACACCTCCGACTCATCCTGGGTGATCAAATTAAGGTGGCCCCCAATGATGTGCTTAAACCACATCTCCCGGCGATCACCATTGAGCTCGCCGCTCAAGATACTCTTCTTCAGCCCGGTCAGGAACTTGTTGTACATTGCCGGCTCCTCTAAGCTGATGAGCTCTTCACGCATGACCCGGAGGTTCTCGGCAGCCCGGGCATAGAACAGATCCGCAAAGCTGTCCTGGATGAGCTTGCGGACGATCTCGCCCATCTGCTTCGCAGCGCTCGCGACTGTCGCGTCGTCCTCTGCCGTGGCGAGGATTTGCTTGAACTCGGGAATCGCGTTCTCCAGCGAGATGGTGGTGCGCTTGCGTTCGCCGAGCAGGGCATCGACATCGAGGCCGGAAAGTGGCTTGACTGACTCCTTTCTGCCGCGCCTGCCCTGTGCCTTGGCGGGGACTGGATCGTCATGTGAGCAAATACTTTCTTCCGTAACAGGGGAGGGATAGGCAACAGACCTTTCTTGATTTCGGCCGCGTCAATCAGGGCGTCTATCTCCGACTTCGCCTTCTGTAGGAGTTCCTCGGGAGGCTTGGAGTAACGAAGGAGGATCTCGGCTGGCGGAGAAATAGGCGCATCTGGGTTTACAGCACGAGCGCGGATGGCCTGGTTGATGCGGTGGATAGTCGGATTGTACAGATCGTCGATCGGTGCATATTCCGCCGGTTTCCTGTGCCGTGTTAGTTCCGGTGTACTGTACCGGAGAGAGATATCTGCAGCCTGGCGTACCCCTCATCGTCAACATCAAATCCAGACAGGTCCATGGCATCAACGAAATCGCTCATGGCCTGCTTTAGATCCTCCGACGGCAACAGCCGATGTTCCTTGATGACGTTGCCGGTTACGGTAAGCACCTTGTCCAGGGGAGGGAACTGGTAGCTGCGAACATCTTCAGCAAACGGAAGCGGCACATCGTACAGACACTCAAAATCGTCCTCGAGAGCAGGATTCGGCTTGAGTAGCAAGATGTTTGGTTGAGCGTCGTCTTTCTGCACATATCTCGCCACGGCATAAGATTCGAGTTCATGCAGAGCGTGGATGAGCGCTGAGAGGCCCAGCTCGGCTTCCTCATTCAGCTTTTGTGCGACGATGATGCCGGTCTCCCCCATGTTGATGAACGGGCTGTACTGTCATCCGGCTCAGCATTCAGGTGCCAAGGTTCGAGGCCACATGACTTACGCTGCTGAACGGAACGAACCCGAGAATGGTGAATGACTTCTTCGTGTTTAGTTTGGTGACGTGCGAGTCGGACTCGCTAATGGACACCGCAGTCCGGCCGTATGTGTAGCCTTTCTCCAGCTCTTCAAAGTCAACGTCCCGCTTCCCACCGGGGGCCTCCGGATCGTCGACCTTATAGGTGCGCATCCGCTTGACGCCGGAGAACTCGGTGCCGCCCATCTCGGTGTCCTCGTCAAGCGTTTCGGACTGGGAGGTTCCTCCGCGCTCCTGATTGATAACCACGGTGCTTGCCGCCGGGGGCATCGCGCGCTTGGTCTTGAAGTAGCGCTCTACATGGATACTCAATGCATTCTCGGATTTGCTCGGGTCCCCAAGCGTGAGCGGGCCATCGTAGGCCTTGAAGGGTCTTACGGGTTTGATGCGAGGGATAGCAAGCTCCTCGACAGCCTGAGCCATGGTCCCGAACACGCCATTGTTGCACTGGTCTACCAGTTTCCGGAGTATCTTCTCGTTCTTGCGCTGTTTCGGGTCAGAAAAGTTATCCATGTGCGTGCGGACCGTTGTGAAGCTCCACTTGCCTTCCGCTTGGACTTGTCTTCCCCCTTGAAGCCATAATCCGGATCGTCAAAGTCGACGCCACTGAGAGTGTCAGTCTGGCCTAGGAACGGCCGCACCAGCACCGGCACCAACACCAGCACCGGCACCAGCACCAGCACCTAGCACTTACATCACGATAAGCTCTATGTTGGAGTGGTTGAGCCGGTTAGCGACATCCTCTAGCGACTCGTCATCAATTGGCGATTCGGCGTTCGTGACGAGTATGATCTTCCGGTTGTACTTGAGCTTCTTGGTGAACGCCTCGATCATGGACAGAGCAACGACGATTGCCGAGACGGCATCTCCTCCGTGGCTATGCGAAGACTGGATCAACGAGCGCAGATCCCGCAGTTCGCTCATGGTCATCGGTCCGATTTCCTGCAGGACCGAAATGTTCTCGTAGCCTTCCAGCCCTTCGCGGTCCTGCGCATTGTCTGTCTCGTCAGTATTCAGGCCCACGACGCCGAGCGTCCAGGTCTTGCGGCTTGCAGCGACGGTTGTTGAGATTTTGTCCCAGACATAGCGCATGCCGAAGTCGAGATCAGACTCGTCGCGGCCGTTGTGGCAGTCGGCCATCGACTCACCCAAGTCCACCACGTACACGGTCGCCTCTTTGTCCGCCATTGTGATCGAAGTTCGGCGGGCGATTGACTGGGAGCCTGAGAGAACTGGAAACGAATCAATGGAGAGCGGCCGCACAGTGTGGGGGACCCCGGAATGCACATGGATTTATTCCGCGCGCCATTGTTCCATGCCGAACTTCAGGCAGCACAGGCGAGCAAACGGACGGCCCTCGCGTCGATGGTTGCTGCCTCGCGCGGCGTCACATGATTGCGCGTCATTGGAAATGATCTCACCCCTGGCTCCATGCTCGGATCCGTCCCCACCCTGCATCACCGCCAAGATGGTTACATGCATCATATATGTACCTAGGTATTTTATACTGCTTGTACAATACACTACAGAATTGCGGGGACTCAAAACCCCAACTTCAACCAACCGCCTCATCGAGGACATTTGAGGCATTCAACCTCGCACGCGTCCAGTGTTAAATTCAATATACAAGGGCACGTTCCGAGCTCTTCGGGTTGGCGGAATCGGGCATCAAACACGGAGATAGGGAAAATTCAGACCAACTCAAGATGAGTCTCCTCTCGCCTGCTCCATATCATGTTCTCAGGTATGCCGGCGCCGCACGAATTTCACTCCTTCTATCCTCGCCCTCGCACGGATTGAATTCTTTGCTCACAAGGTCGGAATGTGAACAAGCTATGGAACCCTCCTGGGGACCACCTTCTTCCACGTAAGCCGTCCATCTCCATCACCACACGGCCCCCTATCGCCCCTCTTGCCGCCTAACATACCGGTCTAGACCTTCGTTGGAGGCATAGTCTCGTTCCAAGTCCTGCCCCGACCACAGTTCGCCGCGCTCATGGCCAAGATCTTCCCTGTGTATTTCACCATGCAAACGGCGCTCCCGGCCGTCATGGCAATCACCTACCCTGCGGGCGGCGTGTCCGGCGTGCTGGACCCGTCCAACCGGTGGCGTGTGCTGGCTCCCATAGCCGGCGCTTTCCTCTGCGCGCTGGGTAATCTGGCGGTTGTCGGCCCGGCTACCACGAGGGTGATGGATGAGAGGAGGCAGCAGGGTATGTAACAAACCAAGCCACTCTCTCTCTTTCTCCCTCCCCCCTTTTCTCTCTCTGTGTGTGTGCTCTTTAATTTAGCAGCGAAGGCTTACGGCCGGTTAGAGAAAAAGGACGGCAAGAAGTCTTATGACGCGCCGCCGCATTCGCAGGAGATGGTGGCGCTCAACAAGCAGTTCTCCATGCTCCACGGCATTTCGTCGCTCCTGAACCTTGGAACATTCGTCGCGGCCGTCGTCTACGGCGTTTCACTTTCATCCAGGCTGTTCTAGAGCAGACACTCCGCGACGGCGTTGTTGCCGATGCACCGATAGTTAGCTGTTATTCTCTATCCTATGCATCCTCCCCAGAATAAAAGGTGGAATTACAAGTCCATACAGGCCAGCGGGTTAGGTATCGTTGTGCTCTGACCCTCAACAACTAACAGCACGGAAAAGGGAAACAAGACCACCCTGCATTGGTTCCGTCGCGCCCAAATGCCCTTTTCCCGAGAAAGATGAAATGTGCCGCTTGAACTCCCCGCAAGACGCAGACCAAAACCAAACCGTTGACGCCAAACATGATACTCTCTCAACACATGCCCAGAACGAGCCCCTAGCCAAGCCGGTGGGCACATCTACTGCGACCCCCGACAGAAACGAATCGACGACCAACCGACCGACGCTCTCAACTCTCAAGAGCCCCGTCCCCCACCCTTACGAGAGAAGAACCTCCCCCAAAAAAAGAATCACTGCTTCTGCGCAGCCTTCCCCTTCATCCCAACCTTAGACTCGAGCTCCTCCTTCGCCTTCAGCAACTCCCTCCTCATCTCCTCCCGCGCCTTGAGCACCTCCTCCTTCAGCCGCGCCTCGACGGCGCTGGGGTCGACCGCCTTGGCGTGCTTGACGTAGTGACCGAGCGAATACTTGAGCGGTTGACGCGCAAGCAGTTCCTCTAAGCTCGGCTCTTCCGCCGGTTTCGGGTAGGAGCGCGACATGGGGTCTAGCGCGACGACCTCCGTGGCTGATCGCCGGGGCGACGGCCTCTTCTCCTGGGCCGCCTCGAGTGTTGGTGACGGCGGCGTGGTGTGCGACCTGTCTAGCTGCGGCCGATGCTCTGGTTCCGACGCCACGGTTGATCTGCCTGATGCGGCCGAGGACGCCGAGGGCCGCCGCTGCAGTAAGGCGCTTGAGGGGGTCGTGGGCGGGGAATAGTCCCGCTCGCTCGGCGGCAACACCGAGATGGAGGATTCGGCCGGGGAGGGCATGGGTGATCGCCGCCCGAACGATGCCGTTGAAGACAGATAATCGCGGCCGCCGGGCGACTGCTGGCAGGAGGATGGGTCGGCTGACATTGTATTGGGCGACTGCCGCCCGAACGGCGAGGCAAACGAGGGCATTGTCAAGTCCGTCTGTTTGGCTTTTGTGGCCTCGGTCGGTTGGGCAAAGAACGCAGACGAAAAGAGCGACGGTGCGTCTTGCGGGGATGGATTGCGCGAGGTAGGAGGGGAGAAGAATGAATAGATGGCTTCCCATGTGAACCCCATTTTGCCAGTGCGGTCAGACCCTTGAATAGGGCCCTAACACTACTAGTACTATTGTGTACCTGATTTTTTTGGCTGCAAGTCGGGGTCTTCCCTGCGGATTTTAAAATCTCAGAGATGTGGGAAGTCGCTCACTGCGTGGCCACCGGTAAGAACCCCCACGGTACCCACTTGATCTTGGAGTGGTCTCGCGCGTTACGGAGCCAAATGAGCAAAATGGCAGACGGAAAGAGTGAAGTAATAAGTAGGGTGCCTGCCGTCGTAGTTCCCGGATCTCGGTCGCTGCTGTGAGTTGGGAAACCAAATACCACCGGAGGACTTCGGTCCCTCGGTGATCGGAGTTGTCTGGCTGCTTGATGATCGGTCTTCTCTTGCTCCCGGTACACCGAGTCACAGTACGCAGCTTTGATGTAAGTCGACACAGCTGATGCACAGAATTTGTAGGTCGATGGTGCTCGGTGTCCGAGAGAAGCAGCCAGCAGCTTTGGGATGAAGTATGTACAACTCGAAAACGAGGTAACCACCAAAGTTTGGAATATCCGGCTACGGGAACGAGGGCGGCAGCCTGAGAATATATAGTACCTTAGTATCTAATCTCCCATCAAACAACAACGAAGCCTCAGCCGGTGGACCGGTGATGACCCAATATCCACCCTCATCTCTCACTTGGCCACATGGCCCAGCCAGGGGAGACCGGCAGGCTCTCCGGGCCAGGGGTGTTCACTCCAGGTGCATCTCCCGTGAAGATCGCCGTACGTATTTATCCCAGCGGGATTAGGGGACGAGCCTGCGGCGCTGCCTGCGAGATTGCCGGCCTTGGCGATTCGGGGCCCGTCCATGGCCTCTGACAGGTCGGCATGGCCCAGAACTTGGACCGCTTGCTCCGTAATAGGTAGTACTTACATAGGCCAGCTAGTGTGATGAGAGTCGCGCAGGGAGTCGGAGACCCCATGTCTCATCCACACTCGCAATTGGAGGTGGGCTCTGGCAAGTTTCAACCCCACGCTCGAAAATGGGGGTCCAACAAATGTTGCACAATGCTTGCAATTTCGCAGACTGGTCAGGTGAGCATTCTGGAAGCCACCTAGCTTGTGCTACCCTTGCAGTGTCTTGCAGCTAACCGCACTAACGTCAGGTTAACCAGGTCCGTGGGACGCCGCCGTCAATCTGCCGCTGCACAGCCTAAAAACTGGAGCTTCTTGTCCACCTCCCGCCAAGCGAGTTGATGAACCGCATGTGACTTGACTCATCAGCATCTCATGCTTGTTCTTCGCCAGGCTCAAATCCCATAGTAGTATCAAAAAGTCGTATATCTCGCTCATGTACTACACAATTTACTAGGCTAATACCAATGTATATGCATGATGCCGCGCAGCTTACCACAGTTTACCAACGTTAGTTTTTATGACCCCCCTTTTCTCCAGATGCACATCATAACAATCCCTGCTCAAGACAGTCACCGGGGTGGATCCCGGTGTTTCTCCCACATCTCCAACACATCACGAGAGTGCTGGGACTCATCGGAGGATCTGACAATCTGTGCCGCATTCCTCCCCACAGTCATCCCGCAAGTCTGAGTCGTACACTGTACGTAAATACTGTTGGCCGCCTTTTGCGACGCTAGACTCCGTCGGTAGTTGCTTAACCGCCGAGCCCCCGTGCTTATTATGTCTCGTGTGCTTTTCGGGAATGGGGGCTCTGCCCGCCTTCTGCCGCCACCTCACTTCTGTTTCTGTTTCTCCTTCTCCTTTTGTCGCTGTTTCTCGGCGAGTTCGCTTGTCCGAATGATCTTGGGCTTCAGGGCCGGCGTCTTGTAAGCGGAGAGCCGCTTCGGAGCGAACATGCCAACATTGCGCTGATACTCGCTGTACTCGGGATACTTCCCGCCCGTGATCCCCTCAGTGAGCCACGTCGAGCCTTGGAACAACAGGATGAGAAACGAGGGGCCCAGGCCCGCCCAGCTGTACAAAGTTTTGGTCGCGTAGCAGCTCCACTGGTAGAGGAGGAACCAGATGGTCTGTTCAGCCGCAAAGTTGGGATGCCTGCTGTATCCCCACAGGCCGGAGGTGAGGAAGCCCCGGTCGAGGTCGGCTTGCTTGAAGCCCCGCGAGACCTTGCCGGTCTCTTTGTACAGCTTCTTTGCTGATTGGTAGACTGCAGGTTGTAAAATAGTCAGCTCGGTCCCCTCTTTTCAAGGCAGTGTCATCCAATCGACCATACCCCATTGCTGTTCGTCTGCGATGTACTCTGTCAGGATGAGTCCAAGCTCCATGGCCAAAGACGCGAGATCAGCGCTGGTCAAGTTCGGCTCAATAGTCGATGCGAGCAGAATCTTGTAAACGGGCGCGGTAATCAGGAAGAGCAGGATACTCTGCATGAATGAGATGAAGGTCCAGTTAAGGACGTGGAACGCCGCCTTGGGTATGCGCTGTCGGACGAGTTCCCTGGAAAGTGTCAGCGTGACATTTACAGGAGAGGTGGTCATGCCCACCATCGGTAGTCCTCGCTCCCGATATTGTAGCCCCCCTTCCTCCAGTAGTTGTACGTGAGACGAGCCTAGTCAGAGATCCATCCGGTTAGTGAGTTCCTTTATCAAGATATCGTGTCCAGCTCACACTCCATATCGAGCTGAAGAGCAATGCTGCCTCAATACGCCTAGTGGGAAGTCCAACCAGGCGCGCCCATAGAGCGAAGTGGGCTATGTACAGCGTCGGCAAGAGGCTCCAGCAGCGATCAACCTGTGAGTAGTTGCGGTTGACTTCGGCGACCACGAGGAATACCGCACCAAGAAACACAGAGAGGGCGAAGCCGGATATGAGAGGGTTGGTTTGCATGTAAACTCTCAACAGACTCTCATGGCCCGTCAAGACCTCAAGTAGCTTGCCGGGGAGGGCATAGAGTTGGGGAATGAAGGGTTCCACTGTCTTCGTGAAGTCTGCGCAGTCCTCTAGAGCGCGAAGGTGCGGAAGCGCCATGTCGAGTCAAGTACGCCACTTCGAATCAGTAGAGGTCTGTTTCAATGGTTTCATGAGGTTCTACACAACTTGATGGTGTAGAGTGTCTTCTCCCCTTCGTCACCCAGAACTTGAATTTTTGGAGCTCAGACTGTGATGTAGGCGTCATCATTCCATCTTGTTGCACTAGCAGGCCACTGCAAGCCTTGGCCCTTTCCGTTTTCCGAAACGGCGCGCAGAACTCAGAAGCGCCCGTTTGATTTGCGGGATATGTTAAGCGCACCTCGGCGGAACTCCACCGTTACCCCATTCTTACGCGGGTCTGTTAACAAACGGCAAAGGAATGGAACTAACCGAAATTTCGGGGTTTTTGTTAGGTGCATATGGTGCTTTCAAAACATTGACACAACACATGTAAGTAAGTAAACACTGTAATCGTCCTGAATTCTGTAATTTACTAACAGACATGTAATTTTGATTCCTGTAAAGCTCACACAAGGCTGGCAACCGTTTCATCAAGTTGACCGCGACGCGTTGGCAGGCCAGAAAACACTTGAGACATGAGCACCAATAATCGAGTGGAACTCAAGTTATGATGAATGTCTCCAGAGACCCATCTCCCCTCATGAAGTATCGCGTGCCGTAGAACCAAAGACTGGGAAACAACAAGCGGATGTTTTGTGCGCTTGGCCCTTGCCCTTGCTCTCTCCTCCAGCCTCGAGTTTCCTCTTGATGGGGCCGCGATGCCGACAATTGAAAACGCCTTTGAGCACTTATAATGCGTTTACAGCTTGACTTAAAGAAGGTGGGCTTTCGTCGCCACCCACAAGCTTGTCTAGGAAATAACGAGTTGCGGCAAGGCGCTCATCACTCTGCGAGTTTCCCGGCTTTGGCTCCGTCAACACGCCCGTTACCATTCAAGCCTGCCTCCTCAGTCGTCGACAGCCATGACGCGCATTCTCTGTGTGGCTGAAAAGCCCTCCATTGCAAAGGCAGTTGCTAGCCATCTTTCTGGTGGTCGGTACCAGACTGTGCGTCCTCTCCTTCCCGCTCCTCCTCGCCTTGGATCCGCGCGGCGCTGACGTTAGCATAGAACAACACACGCGATACATACATCAAGAATTATTCCTTCGACTTTGATTTCGGGGGGTCATGGGGATCCTGCTCGGTGACTATGACCGCTGTGAAGGGTCATCTCACCGCAGTCGAGTTTCCCCAGGAGTTCAAGTCATGGGAATACCCACCACCTGACCGTCTGTTTGACGCGCCCGTGCAGACGGTGATTCCGAGTGTAGGAAACGCAAGCGCGACATCAGAAGCATGCGGCTTCCGTTACTGAAATCTTGACAGGATAACAAGCACATCGCCAAGAATATCGAAGACCAGGCAAGGCGTGCGAGCACACTCGTCATCTGGACAGATTGCGATCGCGAAGGCGAACATATCGGCAGCGAGATCCGGGACGCTGCAAAAAGGGGCAATGCCCAGATACAGATCAAGCGGGCCCGGTTCAGCAACATCGAAAGAGCGTAGGTCATGATCCCTCACTTGCGTGGCCATTTGTGCTGAGCATGATGTGTAGGCACATATTGTCCGCGGCCAGACGATTGGTTGCCCTTGATGAAAAACAGGTAGACGCCGTCTCTGCTCGCATCGAGCTCGACTTGCGGATCGGCTACGCATTCACCCGGTTTCTAACGCTGAGCCTGCGCGCCCTTGGGGGGCCGATGTCCCAGCTCACAATCAGCTATGGTGAGCATTGATATTCCACGTGAGCCACTCGAGATTCCTAGTATTCCCTAACGTGGCACAGGGTCTTGCCAATTTCCGACCCTCGGGTTTGTCGTAGACCGGTACTTTCGCGTCAAGAACTTTGTCCCCGAGGCGTTCTGGGGGATCAAGGTGATGCATGAGAGAGATGGGATTAAGGTTAACTTCAACTGGTCCCGACACCGCCTATTCGACCGCATGGCGGTTGTTATCCTTTACGAGAGATGCCTCGCGGCTAGGACCGCAAAGGTCACCAAGGTCCAGGAGAAACCGACGAAGAAGTGGAAGCCGCTCCCTCTCACGACCGTCGAACTGCAAAAGATGGCCACCCGGTTCCTGCGCATGACGGGTCAACAAGCCATGACTGTAGCCGAGAAGCTATACAACAAGGGGTTCATCAGCTACCCCCGTACCGAAACGGACCGCTTCGACAAGGGAATGGACCTCCGGGCGCTGGTGAGGAAACAAACCCAAGATAACAGATGGGGCCCATTTGCGCAGAACCTGGTAGACGGCGCCTTTCAACAACCCCGCCAAGGCAGACACGACGACAAAGCCCATCCACCGATCCATCCCATCACTTATGCTGCCCCAACGGCGCTCGACGACAGCGAGAGGAGGGTCTACGAGCTCGTCACCCGCCGCTTCCTCGCCTGCTGCTCCGAGGACGCCAAAGGCATGGCAACAGACATCGAGATACTCTACGGGGACGAGACCTTCAACGCGCACGGCGTCATCGTCCTCGAGCGCAACTACCTCGACGTATACCCATACGAGAACTGGACGGACACGGCGGAGCTGCCCAAGTTTACGATTGGAGAGCGGTTCGAGCCAACCGAGGCGATGATCACGGAAGGCAAGACAAGCCCACCGGGGTACCTTACGGAGGCTGACCTCATCGCCCTCATGGACGCGAACGGAATCGGCACAGACGCTACGATGGCCGAGCATATCGAGAAGATACAGGAACGGCAGTACGTGAGAACCGTGGAACGCGGCGGCGGAGGCGCGAACAATGATGACGAAGCGGAGCCTCCCGCGGCGAGAGGCGGGCGCGGTAGGGGGCGAGGCCGCGGCGGCCGCGGGGGTTCACGGGGTGGGCGTGGGGGAGGATCGAGCCGTGGAGGGGGACGGTCCGGGGTGAGGGAGTTTATCCCTACCAGTCTGGGAGTCGCTCTGATCGAGGGATTCGACCGGATGCACTTTGAGACCAGCCTTGGCAAGCCTTTCCTTCGCAAGGAGATGGAGCTCAAAATGAAGGCGATATGTGAGGGCCGCACGACCAAACGTACAGTCTTGCACGAAAGTTTGAACCAGTATCGGCAGGTTTATGAACACTCCAAGGCAGAGCTCGCCATCCTAAAGGCAGTGAGTGGCCGCAGCAACGCGCACCGGCATTTGTCCCCTGGCGGTTTGCTGACCTGACCCATTGATAGGCCTGCAGACAATATGTCTTCCAGAATGGAGCATAGCGAGCCAACCCATCTAAGAGTTGACCAGATACCTACCTTCAGGGCGACCTGCATGATGGTGGCTTCGAGAGTGCGGGGAACGTGGCACCCTCCAAGCTCAAGCTCAGCCGAGACGTGAGCCGACCCCTCTTGTCGAAGCGGAAAACGATGGACTGAGGGAAACAGAGACCAGCCACAATCTAGCGTGCGGGTCGGAACTCCATGCAGGTGTGGTGGTGCAGAAGGGGGGGATCTTGGGCTGCTATGGCCAACGGACGGAAGCGGGCTTATTACCTCGTCCGATACCGGATGATGGTATCGGCGCTCTTGGTAAAACGCAAATGCAGAATGGCAGAGTATGTAACAGGGCACCGAAGATCTAGTTGCTACACGGGGTTTTGGCGTTTTCTAACCACTCGATTGGGACCGTGATGCAGGCAGGTTGGTTGGTGGACAGACTCGGGAGCCGGGAGAAGCGGCGGAGAGCCAATCCACACTCTCGGGCGGCAACGGGTTTGTGTGAGAGGGGCCACCCCGCATGCAACAGGCAATACGTCTCGATTTGTGCACTTGTTTCGGAACCGTCGATAGGGTTGATATTGTCCAAGCCCTTGCGGTGCGCTGAAGGAACTTGAAGCTCTTCGGCGCCTCGGGCCAGCGGGCTGCGGGCCCCGCCTCGCGTCAGTGGATCGCTGTCGGACTCCGGGTCCTTTATCTGATTCCTCCGTCCGATTGCCGTGGGGAAGCCGACCTGCGCCGATCTGGGTCTTTCTCGATTCCGGGATTACCCTCGCTTGTACGCCCCGGCCTGGGGTGGCCACAGGAACGCGACTCATCAAGCAGCCCCTCATTGGGGTTAAACCCTCTTGCTGTCGTTGAGCAAAGACGGGTGACACCTGAAATCGAAATCGAATGTTCTATCCGTATCTGGAGACGATGAAAAAGTCCAACCACGGAGCGACACCGGGTCAGCTGGGCTGAAGCCAGCCTAGTAGGGCAAGGAGGTAGTCAGCCCGAAGCCAATCGGAAACGCCATTTGGGAACTCTGATGTGAGCATTCGACGCACATTACGCGACAAACTTTGCGGGAAATATTTGCCATTTTCACTGCCATTGTGTGGGAGCTATAAACTGGGCAAGGTTGGCATGTCGGCCGCTGCTCGGACAAGAGCGGGGTGATATGAACTTCGAACTCTTGAGGATGGGAATGACTGCATCTAGTGTAGAGCCGACCTTCAGTTACATAGTATCACTAGCACGCTACAAGGTTCGTGGTGCCTTATCACGGACACATGACCAGGGGTGGGATTCTCGTTGGTGGTTGGTTGGTGTGGAAGAACAGACGAAAGAGAACACAAGGTGGGAATCTGAGAGGTTAGTGGTTAGGACGAGTAAAGTGCACAAAGCAGGTCTTTGTCACTGCGCACGATCGGACGTCGTCATCGCGCTGGGCGGGTACGTCCAGGGAACTCACGGCCTACGAAATGCGACAAGCAGACATCAAAGATGCGGCTTCGCACTGTGCCCGTATAGGTGACTGATGATTGAGATCCACAGAACACTTCATCAATTCTGGGGTTCGCACAACGTGGAATTCCTCACCGAAATTTCGCCCAAGAAAAAAAGCAGTCGGCATCGGAATCTGATGTTTGAAGACCAAACACGCTCAATTAAAGTCTGCTCCGACTGGAGGACTGAGATTCAATGCGAGGGACGCCGCTCCCTTTGTCATGATTCTGATGGTGGCACGGTGCAGTGATCCGCTCGAAAATCGAAATGCCACCAGTGTGAAGGTTCCTGCTCTCCATGTGCGCTTTGCGGTGACAAAGACAGAGGGACCCACATTTACCTACCACGCTCATTCTCTTGGCACTTTGACGGCCCCGGTACCCAGTGCCAACAAAGAATTGGCTGCAAGCATCAGCAACACCTTGCTGCGAGGCACTGTACCTGCCTTGCCGACAGCGGTATCCTAATGTACCTACCTCCCCGGATTGGTACACACACACACCTTCCATCCGATGCTTGCCCAGGCACACACGCACCCTTTATTATTTGCCCTGGTCTGTCATTCCTCGCTCCGTTCCTTTCTCTTGCCTCTCCAAAGCAACAACAACTCGCAATTCTAACCACTCGACTTTACAGCGAGAGTCATCTCTGTCACCACAGATCATCCGCAGCAGCTCTGCCATTTTGCCCACCGCACTTTTGTCCGACAGCCTCGTCTCCGGTCAAAAGTTGTTTGCCCAACAATTGCTTCAGACAGTAGTGAGTGTGATTCAAGTCCCGTCCCAGGCACACCCGCCGCCGGCCACCGCTGCCAGCCATGGCTCCTGCGCCCAGCGGTGTTCAACGCCGATCAGCGCGCTGCACCGTGTCTGCCTCAAGAAGAAGCGCTAACGGTCGGTCGCGCCGCATTGCAGACACGTCTCGAAGCAAGCCAACCCCTAGAACTGTCAACATGGCAACTATGGCATCTGCTGTCCGCGATATCGCGAAGACCTCCGACCGAGACAACTTAACTGCTGTAGCGGCTCGGAGTGTCCCTGTGGCAACCCATCCGACGACCCTCCCTACTCCCCCGAACTCCATATCGCCCTCACTGCCTCCGCACGGGCTGAAGGCCCAGCTTATGCGGGCACGCCTCGACTCCATCGACTCGGACTTGGATCTACTGGATAGCGGTGAGGAACACTACGAGGGTGCCGAGTCGCCGCCGTACGACTCGTCCGGCGCCATCACCTCAGCTATGCTGGCCAAGTTCCATCTGCCGGAAATCTTGATTAGCCATGGTCCGTTGCCGATTCGCCATTTGATGGGGTACCTTACCACTTCGGTCCCGGGCTTCGCGGCGATTCCGCCGGGGAAGGCGCGTAGATTGGTCGTGGGGGCTTTGGAGGGAAAAGGAAGTGGCAACGGGGGTGGTGGGCTGGATGGTGACGTGGAGTTTGTGAAGGTGGGCTGGGGTCGATGGGATGCTAAGCGTCGGGGCCAGCCTGGTCGGGATGCGCCGGTACGTGACGCATCCCCTGGGGGCCATCCGAACAGCATACCCATCACCAGGACCGCCGGGTGGAACATGGACAGGTCACGGCTCGGCGCGAATATCGGGTCGAGCCTTGGCGCCTTTTCGTCGGCCGCTCTTTCTCACGACGACCGCTTCATGGATATGGACATGATGGACCACGAAGCCGACAAGATGTCGTTAGATGGGTCCGGATCGGCGTCTTGCTCCGAAGCTCCCGACGACGACGACGATATGAGGAGGCACAACGACGACCCGGAAGACGCGACCGACGATGAGGACTGGGCGGCAGTCGGCGCCGCGGCGCTCCGTGCGTCGTCGTACCAGGCCCGGTCCAACCAACAACACTTTCCTTTCAGCACAGTACATACTTCGGGCGGTATACGCTCCTTCTCGGCGGGGATGGCGCGCCCGCCGCAGCTACGCCCGCCCAATTACCCCGGTATTCCGGCATCTGCGTTCGGAGCTGCTGCCCCCGACGCGCAGGAACGCGAGGCTGTGGAGGCTCTCCTTCGTCTTGGATCCATGTAATATCACCAAAACTCTACTCTGCATACACGACATTCGCATGGCATTGGCTCGGCGTTTTCAACACAGGGGCGGGGCATCAACTCATCATCATCATTGGCGGCAAGAACAAACATCGCCGGGCGTGGGAAATACTTCGGTTCTGGGATTCTGGGCTTTGGGGATTTGGGTTGCTTGGGAATCCCCTCTTGTTTTATGGTGTCGGTCGGTCCAATCTGGGTTCGGGCCTCCGATGCACTCTATTGATGGATGAAATAGATGGGACAAATGGAGCAGGCCTGGATTACATTGGGAGGCGGCGCCCTCTTATCGGGCCCTACGCGTCTTGGATCGCCCCTGGACACGAGCTACGAGCCCACGTCTTCATGCAATCGGCTTCAGGGTGACCCGATTTCCTGGGGCTATACTCTCGCATTATTATTACGCGCATTATCATAACGTCACGGACGGACCAATCATCGCAACTCACCACTATTCCTTACACCCAAATTGCTCCGGCGAACTAGTCCGAGCCTTCCCTCTTGCGGCCTTGGTCAGATGGTATTAATGGCATCACCCCGTCGAATGCGTTTACCACCCTGACGCATTTGAGGTAGTTCCGTCCGCATTCGCCCAACCATCGACGGCTGGGGACAGGGAAATAAAACCGACGTTGACCTATTTTTATATAAAAGATTCTTGTAATAATGAAGGAATGAGTGTTGGTTCTAGCCACCAACCAAATGGGTGGAGAGGAATTAAGAAGCGCTTGCAGGGACCTTTGAGACCTTGGATTGTTTCCGCGTGCGCTCGATTGCTTCATGGGGACGTAACAAGACGGCCACTGTCTTATGCCTTTGTTTTGGTGCCCGATTCTTGAGATAGAGTTTTTTTCCTTTTAATATATACCCCAACTCTTTTTCTGGCCGCATTCACCGAGGTTTTTCTACTCGTCTTGACAGTCCTTTTACGTTCAGGGTCGAAATACTATCCATCGTGGAAGTCCAGTTCGGTGCTAGGCGTTCAGGTTAGCATGCTGTCTGTTAGTTTACATCGCGGATTTTAGATTGAAGAGGCGTGGCCGAACTCTGGGTTATACAAGGGTTTTGCTTGCTACCTGTGTTTTGAGGGCGGAACTATACATGAGTGCAGCATATTCCATAGAGAGCAAACCATGCACACGTCTTTGCATCGAAGCCTCATCCTGTCTTCTAATCTAATCTTTTCGGCTCCCTACCTACTTTGACCAGGTCTGGCTTCGATTTGATTCTTGGGGGGGATAGGAGAGGAGCAGCTTGTAGAAGGGTGGATTCAGTTATATATCATATATCTAAGAGCATTCACCGTCAGGTTAGACGAGATACGGATCAAACTCAAAAGAGTGTTCATCACGTAGAGTCCTATACTGAATGCTTCCTTTTGTCAGCATTTGTCTTCTCGGGCTTAACTGAAATAAAGGCGGGGAAATAGCAGTCATAGTAAAGGATTATTTATCTGTACAGGAGAGGGAGGGATGCCCTGTCTCCTCTACTACGGTCCAGATCATATATAAGTGTTCATTCCAGCAAGAGCCCAGAGAGTACGTGCAGGTCGGGTGAGAATCGTTAGAGGAGTTGTTTCTGATTCCCAAGACAAAGACATTTTGGCCTTAACCGATGTACAATACACCCATTTCATTCCCTTCGTTCCGGACGACAACCTATTCGGTTGCGGTGCCTAGATGGTATGTATTAGCGAACCAACCAGCCCTCTTCCGTTTTACTCCTGGCTAGCAGATGCTCCAGTGCTGTCAAACATCAAAAGTAGAGGTGCCTGTCGTGTACGCCACATATATGCAGAGAGATCGTGCTGATGATACACTTCCGCTCCTCAGAGGGCCCACCCGGGGGGTAGGACTTCGTCGGATCCCATAGAATCCCCCAAAACAGTGCTCCATGCTGATCCAAGAACTTGAAGTTGTACCACACCATCCAATACCGACTCCTTCCCCGCGCGCGTAACCCCATCTTTCCGTGTATCATCAATTCAAGTGCTCCGTAGTTCCATTGGTCGGTTTCATTGCCGCCTCCTCCCGGCACCGCGTACACATGCACCACCCCCCCAGACTCCCCTGAGCCCATTCCCTCCGCTGCTGGACGGGCAGGTTCACATCGCAATAATGATTCAGGATCTCCTCTCCGGCCCTGATGCCGCCGGGCTGTTGGCCCACTACCCGAGTCTCCCGCGCCCACATCACCATGCGCCCGCCCCATTCCCAGGTGACGTTAGGGTTGCAGTCGTGGTTCGCCAGACACCAGAAGGGATGGACGGCCGCGACGTCCGGGCGGCCATCGCGCAGGCTCTTCCTCGCCGAGGCGGTGCCGCGGAACTTGGCATATGCCGTGTTGAATACCCACAGATCGTACTTGTACAGCGTCGCGTAGATGTCGACGTCCATCCTGTCGAGGATGTGGAGCGGAATCTCGACGTTGTACTTGAAGGAGAAAGGCAGCGTCCACTCCGGTGGCGGCTCGGCAGTGACCGAGCCGTCGATGTCGTTCATGGCGGTAGGGACGAAGTCGCCCCAGATATACTTGATCTCCTTCACCTCGAGCGGATGGATGTCCTGGTGTGCCGACATGGCAAAAAGGCGTGCCAGCAGCAAGAGATAGAGGGATTCGTCGACGTCGCGGGCATCAGGGTCCTTTGCAATGGAGTCGACATCCTTGTCGCAGACGGCAGGGTGGTACTGCTCTTGGGCCTGTTGGAAGCAGAACTCGTCGCAGAAGATGGTGTCGTAGCACTCGGGGCAGCTCACCGCCTTGGAGTTGCTGTCCAGAGGCGGCAACTCGGTGCCGCAGGCGTCGCAGGTCGATTCCTTGTGCCGGTTGTTGGCGGTCAGGAGCGAGTACTCCTTCAGGACCGTCTCGCCGGGCGCGATATCCTCTTTCGCGAAGAGGCCCAACTGGTTACAGGTCGGAATGATCTCGTAATCGTCGGTGTTGCTCTCGCCATCGAGCAGGACGGGGAGATTCGAGACTCTGACTTCGCACTTGGGAGCGATCTCGGCGAGCCGTCCGTTGAGGTACGATAGCGATTCCTGGGAAAAGCGGTCAGGCTCGTAGGTGTTCCAGGGATACACTTCCCGGCGCACAACTCCGGTATCCGGCAGGCTGTTTATGTCGAGTGGCTCGTCCGGGTCCTTCCGCAGCCTTCGCCTTGCCACCTGCTCGATGTAGCCCTTGATCTCCGCGAGCTCTCTGTTGTGAGGCGCAAGATTCAGACCCCTTTCGCAGAAGCTGAGGGCGCTCTTCAGGCAGCCGCAGAGCAAGAGACTGAGCGAGAGGATCTGAAAACAGCGGACCGAGGCAAGGTTCGCGAGCAGGTTGTAAGTGCCGGCCGCCTGCGCGCCCTCTCCGTCTTGGGGGCGATCGAGGTCTTCGACAAGCGCGCCGTGGTTAAGCACGTCGGGACAGGGGGTGGTGGAGTAGCGGCTAAGAGCCTCCTTGGCTTGTTCGTGGTATTCGAAGCTCTCATCATGCACTTCGTCGGCCAGGAGCAGGGCACGGTAGGCGTCGCTGGCGGCCAGGTCGGGATACGCGAGGTTGGAGTAGACGACGGCCCGTTCCAGGTAGAGGATCAAGTCGTAGGGGGATGCGGCCAGTGCATCTGTCAGCTGCTGGCGACGCTCGAGAAGGGGCCCCCGGGGTGGATCTTTCTCGTCCGTTACGACGGACGGCGAGGAGCTGTCCATGGTGGAGGACACAGAAGCGAACTGTTAGACGGCAGGGGTCGAGCAAGGGCCGTTTTCATCGCGGGTTCCAAAGAGGAATTGCCCCAAGTTTGGGGTGTGATGCCGGGGTCAGGAGATGATGGATGATGGGACGTCTCCGAGTCTTAATAACGACTGGCGGGCATCGCTGCGTGAGAGGCTATTTCAAGGTTCTGATAAGCCATGGCATCCGAGGACCTAGTGTGGATCGGGTGACCAAACCTTAATAAGGAATTGTGCGTTCTTCTGTATTCGGTGCTATTCCGAATCTTCTGACAAGCCAAACTGGGAAGAAAGAGGTGGTAAGTGGAACTGCAGTTACAACGAACTCTCGAGTCGTCTGCAGAATGGGACGACTCGGACGAGATGCTCAAAAAATGTAAGCCCTCTGCGGAGACAGGGAGAAAACAGAGAAAGCTACTATAAAGGAAGGGAAGCACCTGGCGTGTGGGTGCCACGAAACCCGTGGCTGTCCCTTATTTTTTATTTGCACACATTGGACTATGGGCCAGCAGCCTCCATGCACCCTCGACGGCTTTGCGTCGAATACCTGGTCCAGACCAAGGGATGCCGGAGCTTTTTGCGCGATGCACATGGGAAGCACACCCGCCCCCGGCTCGCCTTTGCGTTGGGCTAGACTCTATCGGGCCCAAGGGCTCCAGCAAACCTTGGCCAGTTGATGCCGGCCAACGCGCGGAATGCCGTCATAGCTGCTGTGCACTACATACAGTGCCTGACCCTGCTTGGTTCTTGAGGTTGCGGGGCATGCTGTTGGCCAGCTTGGATGAATCCTCAAAGATGCCCGTCTCTTATCACGACATACCTTATGCTTGCACTGCACACAGAGCCACAAGAGAACGACGGGGTGGTGTAATATAGAGTAGGTACCGGTAGGTAGAAAAGCGATGATCGAACCCCTAGAGAAACCACTGGAGGGCGATGCCCTTCGCTTGCAAAGAAAGCAACTTGGTCAACGGTCTGGCGGAGTTCCTGTGCCAGTTGAGTCTGAGAACGAGGGGGTCGAGATCCGGGCCGCAATTGAAAAAGACCCTGCGCGCGGAGGGCTAGACCCACCGAGGCCCTTGTGTACGGTATCATGCGCTAAAACAGGGTTCACACCCACCAGATCAAGCAGCGGCTCGGGAGCTGATTCTCAGGGTCCTGCTTGGAGAACGGAGGGCTTGCAGATGGTGGCGGCAGGCTATTGGCCGGCCACCGTCGCAAGCGAGGGGCACTACGTCATCCTCTCCGTCGGCACCTGCCCACGTGCCCCGTGATGCTCCCTCACGAATGATTTGGTTCCATAGCTGAAATAGGTGTCAGGCCACAAGTCACGGCGCAGTGAACTGGCAGTTGTCTGTTCGTCATGCTACACTTAGTAGTGTACAGTGTACCGTCCATTTCCACCGTGATTTCCGGTTGCTGCCGAAACGCGAGAGACGGATGGCAGATCTGACGGCGGCGGGGGTGTCGATCTGTTTGATAAGCCGCTGGAATGTGGAGGAAGACCCTTGAGGAATTCCGTCGATTTATGTAGATCCCGTCACACTGGGTCAGCAAAGGAGTAATAATGAGCCCATTTTCAACGCTGCCAATCCACAACGGCCGTCATCGAGGGACAGGTTCCGGAACGAGTGCTACCGTCAACTGCTCGGCACGCCTAGCCAGAGACAGCGCTAATAATGCCCCCAAGTCTCGACATTCCTTGGTATTGGATGCCCCTCGCTCTCGAAGGACAAAGATCTATTGGCCGCTTTCTATATCCGATCAAGCACCTGCGACTGCAATAGAGACCAACACGCAGCGCTATCCGCGCCAGCCTCCTTCACCTCGTCCTACTGTCCTACATGCCTTCTATCTGTTGCTGCGCCCAGTCTTGCTGCTCTGGGACACTCCCCGTTCAATTCCACCAATTAACCGTCAGTTACCGTCATTGCGTGTCTACCCGTGCCGCAGCGCCGAGGTCACTGAGTTTGTCGACATAGAATGCCGGCACGGCCACTGCATCGGCCGCCTCCCAATCCGCCTGCTGGCTCACGCCTGTCAGGACCGCCAGTGTCCCGCCTAGTCTCCCCTCTATTCCGAACTTGATGTCCGTGTTCAGGCGGTCTCCGACCATGCAAGTGCGCTCGCGGTTCAGCTGGAACTTGCCCTCAATGGCGTGCATCATGGCCTGGCTCGGCTTGCCCAGCGCCAGCGGCTGCTGACCCGTCATGTACGCAAGGGGCATGGACATGGATCCCGCTCCGGGGAAGAAGTTGTGGTTCATGGGAAAGGTCGAGTCGATGTTTGTCGCCAGAAAGACCGCGCCCCGTCTGAGGTACTGCAGCGCATGCGACAGCTTCAGGTAGTTGATGTGGAAGTCTAAGCCGGCGAGCACGCAGCCTACGTCCGGGTCCAGCAGAGTCCCGTCCGCGATGCCTTTCCAGTCTTCCGGAGTCATGTCTCTCCTGAAGGCCGGGTCGGTGCCGCCGATGAAGGGGATATTCTCGCTACGCAGCTCATTCTCGATGCCAGCCTCGCCGATAACAAATACCTTGTTCTTTGGCGGGGCAAGCTTAAGGATCCTCGAGATGTAGATGGCGGAGGAATAGGCCGAGCCGAAGATCTCTTCTGCCTCGGAAGGAATACCCAGGGCGGTGAATTTCTTGACATATTCCTGACGGGACTTTGTCGAGTTGTTTGTCACGAAAACAACTTTCTTGCCTGACAAGCCAGGAGGAGTTCAGAAACTGTGCCAAGTCTGCGAGCAGAAGAAGCGAACTGACCTCTGGATCGCAGCAGTTCCAACGTCTGGGGGATACCCTCAAAGACATGGTCACCGGACCATATCACCCCTAAGAATGAGAACAGAGAATTAGTTTCTCATCGACGGAGATTAATTCTGATGTGTCTCTTGGGTACCATCACAGTCCAACAGAAAGACCTGGTGATGGTGAGTAAGCCTGCGGTGAGGGGCCGGGGGGCCGGATGAGTTGACAAACTCACATCAAACTGATCGATAAATTCATTGATGGCGGCAACATCGCCAGTGAGGTATTTTGGTGTGCTCATCCTTGCGACGGCAATCAATGGAAGGTGAAGATAATCAGGTCAGGCTGAACGCCGAGGGTGCCGGGGGCTCTTGGTCAGAAACCAAGGTGACACAATCCGACTCCCGGTCTCATTTTCGGGCACTCGCCGGGTTTGCTGCTTTGAATACCTTAGGTATTGTACAGAAGCTACCTTGGGTGTGTATGTATTGTACAACACCTTACCTAGGTATGTATCCAGATTACGGGCATTGATTGGCTAAAACCTCTATTGGAGAGGCCCTTCTCGGGGATCCAGAGTCGTGGGAACTGACGGCTGTACTTCCGTACCATCTCACGATCCATTGCCGGCTTTTACTACTTGGTACCATAAGTGGTAAGCTTTAATTCCTGATTCAAAGATCGAGAACGCCGTCGAAAACTCGAACCACACACGGTTACACTAGACGCCACTGCAAACAAGCCAAGGGCGTGGCTGCCCAGACCCGTATATACACCTACTAGTAGCTACAGTAGGCCTAGTAGGCCGCAGACTCTCCGTCCCGCTCCATTCTCCCATAGCTACACAACATGTAGTGTGGGAGGAGTATCTGGCTCGGGGGCAAATATACAACTTCTGAACGAAGTGAGGCTATCGTACGATTTTGACATCATTGCCCCCAGCAATGCGTCAGAATGGGAAACCCTCCATGGTGGGGTTCCCGCCTCCATGACCCCCAACTTTTTGTATGTATACATTACACGATTAAGGTAAGGTCTCACGCCGCACCCCCACCTGCGGATGATAACGTTACTGGTATTCACCCGCTTGGGTATTCTGGAATCCTCTGCCGCGGTGCGGTAGCAGCGGCCATGTGTCTTCGTCCCCTTGACTGAGGGTCAGTCTCCTGACGCCTCTCTCGATGTTCTGCGTATCGCGACGACAGCACCTGCATGTTCGCCGCAGCAAATGGAAATCGGGGGAGAGTGTCGAGTCGTCGACAGAGCGGGGCTACGGCAGTTATGTATGGTATCAAGGCGCCTATGTCAGTATTGTATCACTGTATGAGTGTGTACGATGGCGGAGTTATAAACTCATCTCTTATCACCGCTCTACGGATACCGCTTCACACTCTTCCTGGTTGGCAGCGGCATGACTGACACAAACTTACTCCGTATACGGAAGCATAAACCACATACTGGGTACCTTACGTACAATACATATCTTACATGATATTACGTTACAGTACATTACACGTAGGCCGGAGAATCGTGCTAGCATGTGCCCAAGACAGATGGCAGGACAGTTCAACGACCCAAACTTGTAAACAGAGGGTTAGCAGCGAACAATGACTTGGGCTCTCTTCTGTGAGCGAAGTACTGCTTTAGGCTTTCTGATATACCTCGGTAGGTGTCAGGACCTCTCGACAGTTGCTTAGGACTGGTAGGGCAAAAGTAGCTGGCCCGCCCGATGGAAACTGTTCGTTCAGACCATAAGCTTGGGCCCTTTTATCCCTTCCATCATCCGTCATAGTTCCCAAATGCTGGAGAACTTGATCGGCGACCAATTGGGCTGGATTCATTTCCAGAAGGTCGGTCATAACTCGGTCATCGCCTTCTATGACATACATACAATTGAAAGGCGAGAGACGGTTGCAACCACATCCTTTGTCTTCCCCCACGAACCAGTGTTATCGATAGCAGGGCGGCAGAAGCTTCCCCAGCAGCTACCCCTCCATGCACCCCGCCAATATTTCCCCGGCAGCAACTCCCTTCCAGAAACTCAACACAAAATCCCGCTCATACACTCGCGCACGGAGTGCTTGCCGGTTTCCACGTGGTACTTCATCTTCTAACTTCACTGCGTGTGGTGAACCTTGCGTCAAACGGAGTAACGCTCTTCCTGGAAACCTAATTCAAGTTACTCAACCCTTGGTCGCAGATCAGCCGGCGGTCCCAACCGATCTAGTTGGCTCTGTCTAGGCTCGTGGTGTATCTAGCCTCGGACATTAGCTGTTTCGAAGTTCTGCTACACTACAGCGCACAGAAGCTGAGGCTTCCACTACCAATCCCGGTCCGACTCGAAGAGTATCTACCTTTTTCAGCTCGCAGGCACGCAGACCGGCGTAAGAAAATCATCGCGGGGTTTAGCTCCAGCTGGATTGAAGCGACGGGAAATTGGACGACAGAGAGAGCTTTATCACAATGGCGAAACAGGCCAATCTCTACTCCTTCCCCACCGTAGACGCCCTCGCCCCGGCTCTCCGCGCTTATGTCGTATCCTGCCAGGAAGCCGGCATCACACGGCACGGTGTCTTCAAGGTCGCTGTCTCGGGCGGCTCGCTGCCCAAGACGCTGGCCCAAGCCCTCCTGGCGCCGCCTACCTCCGAGACGGACAGGGTCAAGTGGGACAAATGGGAGATCTTCTTCGCCGACGAACGCGCCGTCGCCCTCGACCACCCGGACTCGAACTACGGCCTGCTGAAGGCAGAGCTGCTCGACAAGCTGCCGGAGGGAACCACGCCGCCCACCGTGCACACCATCGACACCGAGGTGCTCGACGACACGCAGGAGCTGGCGGACCGGTACGAGCAGACGCTCGTCCGGAGTTTCGCCAGCCGCGACTCGGTCAAGCTGCCCATCTTCGACCTGCTACTGCTCGGCTGCGGCCCCGACGGACACACCTGCTCGCTGTTCCCCGGCCACGAGCTGCTGCGGGAGATGAACGCGTGGGTGGCGCCGATCGAGGACTCGCCGAAGCCGCCTCCGAGGCGCATCACGCTGACGCTGCCGGTTGTCACGCACGCGGTGAAGGTGGCGTTCGTGGCGACGGGCGGGGGGAAGAAGGACATCATGAAGCAGATCTTCGAGGAAGGGACGGGCTTGCCCTGCACGTTGGTCAACGAGGGTACCGGGGAGCGGTGCAGCTGGTTCGTGGATAACGCTGCCGTGGAGGGGGTCAGCTACCCGAGGAGGCCGTTCAGCCTATAGACGGTGGAAGTGGGGAAGGCGGCGCGATGGTTGTGGGAGGCTCTTTGGGGTTCCGGTCATGGGATACTGCTGGCGGGTTTGCACCCATTGGGGAAACATGCCGATATGAAAAGCAAGTGGCGCCCAGACGGCTGCGAAGGAAATCGAGGATCTGCCGATCTGGTGTTCCGCAACGAACCCTTGGCACGTCTAGCTTTCGTTAACTTTGATATCCCAAGCTTTGTTTTCTTGTCGATATTCTGCCATGAATGAACGGAGAGAGAATCACCAGTTACCATCCCGAAATGAGTGACCTGAAAGGTGAGTTGCTCAGACCACCTGTTCCGTTGCCGTGCAAGGCAGACGCGGTGTCCTCATAAATGGTTATCTTGTATCCGTAATGGGCAGCGTTAGAAGCTCATCACATCAGGGTTCTTTGCTTCAGAGTACTAGTACTAGCTGAAGAACATGAACATGCCTTGCCTGATCCCAAGCTTGGCGGAAAAGCCGGACACCATCTCATCAGCTTACAGTCATAGAATAAACTATTGCCACCCATTATATATAGGTGCCAGTCGGCTTTTGTGTGTCACGGTGACGGCACTGTCGAATCAAAAAGTCGTGTTACTTGCAAGCGTAGCTAAACAAGATTAGTTCACCTGGTAGATCCTCTGACAGAAGTCTCCAGACTATCGCATCGAGTCCTCCCTCAGAAAAAGAAAAAGCCACGAATCCTCTCCATTACATCCCTAGAGAGGATCCATTGAGCTCCGATACGCCACTCCCGCCCTCCAACCCGCAGTTCGCTCATCGCATGACGGCCACCAACAACCAAAGCGCACTCGCCTGCTTGGCGACGGTCGAGTTCCGAAACGGGCCCGCCCAGCTGACATCGTACAGATCCAATTCCCCATCCGGGCTCTCCACCACCCTGCGGTCCCGTCCGTACACGCTCTGCGCGTTCAGCTGCAGGAAGGGCTTGTACGGCCGGCGGTGGTTGCTGCCCTCCCTGCCGTCATCGTCCGGCTGGGGAAGCGCCGCGTCTAGCTCGGCCAGGTTGCCCGCGAAGATGCCCTTGAAGGCTTGCTGGTCGCTGTTGCACTGGCTCTCATCGGAGGAGGAGGAGGAGGAGGAGGAGGAGCAGCCGGCCTCGGTGAGGACACCGTCTCGTACGAGGGTGGTGTCGGCGGCGAGGACTGCGTCGGCTATGAATTGCGCGGTGGACAGGTAGGTGTCGTTTTTTGTTGCTTGGTATAGCTCTGTTTTGGAGGGGGAAAAGGGTTAGTCGGACCCTGCAGTTCAGAGTGTGAGAGAGAGAAAGAGAGAGAGAGAAAGAGAGAGAGAGAAAGAGAGAGAGAGAAAGAGAAGAGAACGGCGAAGGAAGGGAGAACTGATCAGTACCGACTAGCGCGCCGAGGATGACGCCTTGATTGTAGGTCCAGACGGGCAGCTGGTTGTTGAAGCAAGTGCCGTCACTTCGCGAGGTGAGGCCGTCGTTTATGAGATTACTGCCGTTGCCGATCATGCCGGAGCCTTGGAACCAGGACCACGCCTTCTCCGCTCTGGGGAGGTACACGGTATCGCCGTCGATGCGGTTGTGGAGGGACGCGGCGAGCTTGATGTACAGCTCGTTGGCGATGGCGTTCTTGTAGGTCAGCTTCGGGATGTCGACGTACAAGCCGCCGCCGCACGGGTTGTCGGACCAGTACCCGTACATGTAGACCTCGTCCTCGATCGCGATGCCGAGATACGTGCTGTTGCCCGTCAGATCGTACATGCCGATCATGGCCAGCGCCCACCAGCCCGTGTCATCGGTCGAGTCTGCCCGGAACTCGCCGAGGCCCCGGGGCCACCAGGAAAGAACTACCCGTTGCGCATGGATGATCTTCTCAACCTGATCCAGATACTCGCTTGAGTTGCTCTTGCGCATGTAGTCGATGATGCCGGTCAGGGCGACGCCACTGACCCACCATGGGTCACCTGGTGACCAGATGTTCTGGGAGGGTGCAAAGAATCTGTCGTTCATGGCGGCGATGGCTGCCCTCGCTGCGGTCCTTGGATCCAGATCTCTCGTCCGCGAAGGGCTCTTCTCCGACACAATCCGGTCATCAGAGCGGACGGGATGCGTCTCAGGAAGTGGCTCGACAACCTGCTGCTGAGCACCAGCAGCAACGGCGAAGCCTGGAATGCTCCAGAGGAATCCGAGTTTGAAGAAAAGGCTAGGTCTCATGCTGTCGACAGCCTACATCCCCTCACACTGGCGGTGGCGAGTTGGTGTGATCGCCAGGCCACCGCAGATGAAGGCTCACCTCAGGTGTTTATAACATGGCCCTCAGTATCACCGTGTGCCCAGCGACTCACAGCCCGATCGCCGTTGCAAGTTGGTCAACCACTTTGCGGCATGAACGTGTCGCCAGATGAGACGCGCAGATCCGTCCCGCGTGTAGCTGGCAACCAATCGTCAATATTACCTGCCGTGATATCACTGAGAATCTCCGTTTCTTCGTTTCCCTCCGAGGCTTCGGGTACCGCAGCCATAGTCACAAACTCGCACGAGTGTCTCGCGTGTGTTCAGTCTGGCCTACCGGTCCCGAGTCTTGTGTGTCAGTGTCAGTCGGATGGAGGCTTTCCTACAACGTCGAGTTCCATCTGTGCCGTCCGCGGAGGCCCAGGGGAAGCAGGCGGGATCACAGTCCTAACTCCTAAGTAGCACACGGCGACCACTCACGTCGAGTCCAATGTTCGTCAACCGGGGGTACTTTTGGGGCGACGAATCTTCGCCTCGGCATTGGCATCATCAACGCAGACTGCAGGCACGGGATTGCAGAGGAAGCACCCGGCCTTCCCATGAGAGCAGAGAGTCGGGTCAAGGAAATTGGATTAATATGGCATTTTCCGTGTGCGGTTCCCGCGGAAACAAACCCACCAGTCAATGCAGGTACACCGTCGGGTCACATTTGGGTGTGGACGTGTCAGTCTGGATCTTGTGCCTCGTGCTTTCCTTCTGCGGGACATGCCTGCGCCTCGTCACATGGATTTGGGCGGCTCGTCTGCCTGGCCAACCACAGCCTGCAGAGGCCATCGTGAGAGGACGACTGGCATTCTCGCCGTCTTCTTCCGGAAGGAGCAATCCAGTGCACGGTTCAACCTCAAAATCAGTCACAGCGTGTCCGGAATGCTTCCATTTTCAAGACCCGACAGACTCTCCGGCTGAAATGAACTCACTAGCGGAGCGCTAGTGTAGCGTACATTGAAATTCTCTGTCCAAAGGGTATGGGAAACAACATTCCCATCCCGTCCCATTATGTACGATGGTCTCCCGACCGTTCGCAACGACACTCATAAGACATAAACCACACAAGACATGGGGTTGCTGCTCATGCGAAGCGAGAGGTCGGAATTCTGCCCCAAAGGTTCGGCCAGAGTTGTGCGCCGGGGAATTGTATCTAGCGGTTATCACAACCAAGGCAGACTTATGCAGTGTGCCTATAACGGAGCTCATATGACTTGAATGAGAAAAATTTGGTCGACGACCGAGACTTGATGGCGAAGGACTCGTTCACTCAAGCCGGAGCCGGACCAAAAAGCCGTATCGAGGCGCTTGTGCGTGCCGTGGTCGACGGCCAACGAGTCTCCACTCAGCCATCCGATGCTGCCGACCCGCGCGCCAGTCAGGACGCTTGAACGGGGGGTGCCTTGAAGCCTCTCCCCCTGTCATCAAATCTTGGTCTTGGCTCGCCTTGAGTTGGTCGCAGATTCAGCCGGTACAGGGTCCGGGGTTCAAGACAGCAGTCTCACTTGTTCCTGGCTGTGGTTGGCACTGGTTGCTGGGCTGCATCAGAGAGATTCGAGAATTGGGCCAGCATTCCTTGCTTGTGCGTTCTGTCCCGATATTACCTACACTATATACCCCCTTTATGCCCACGCCTCACGTACATACGCTTCGCCTGGCTGGCCCCAGGAATCGACAGACATGCTCTGACGCGGATTATCGGATTTCCTAACGAATCGAATGCCTGTCGCCCGGCGCTGGCGCAGAGAAGTTGGCATCTCGCGGTCCGCGCGACTCCATCTATATGCGACACCGTATGCGGGCCTTCTGACACGCGTTTGAGAAGCACAACCAGGATCAAGTTTCTCGTGCGTGTCTTACCGTTCAGCCGGGGCAACGGAATCGAAGGAGGACATGATGGGCTCCGCGACCTTGGAGCCCCCCAAAACCGGGCGGTCTCGTTTCTCGAAGGCGCTCCCAGCACCTCCTTCTTTACCAGCCTTGGACCTGGACTTTGATGAGTCCTCATTCACGTCCTTGTTCCCAGAGGAGAAGACGCTTCCACGTCCACAACCCGAGACATCACTGCCACCTCGTCCGCCGCCCAAGGAAGCCGGCATCGAGAGCCCAACTAGAATGGCCACGGTAGCCAAGCCTCTGAGCTCGCCGCTCCCGCCACTGCCCTCCAAGTTCGCCGGACCCGCACCTATGAGCATCCCGCGACGGCCCGTTGCAGCAGCTCCCGTGACCCCGACACCGGTTCTGGCGCCGACCGCTCCCGCCGGACCGGCGTCCCCCAACCCGATCCCGTCGCCTGCTGGCTCCTACTCAAGCCTTCTCTCTGCCTACTCCAATCACACGGCCGACTCGCCGCGGTCGCCATCGGAAAACTCCGGCAAGGCTATCTTCAGCTCGGCGAACTCCTATTCGATTGTGTCACCAGCCCTGGACACGCAGAGGAGCAGTGCACAGTCTGATGCACCTGCGCAGGCGCTGCCGCGGCCCGAACAGAATGCGCAAAAGGAAGAGCCCAACGGTCGTCGAGTCTTTGAGCAGAGCAGCGAAGAGTTGCCGCCACCGCTGCCTGTGAAAGATGCACAGCGCGAGGTCGCGAGAGTGCAGACGCCCACTTCCTCCGTGCAAGCACAAACCACGCAATCCAAAACTTCTCCGGTGGCCGGATCACCGTTGGGGAACGACCCCGCGCAGCAAGAGCAGCTGTGGCGGCGAAGGTCGCGATCGCTCAAAAGCGAGAGGCCCCCGGCCATTCCGGAGCTCAAACTGGTTTCGAGCCACGGTTCCACGGCCGCGTCAGCTCAAAACACGGCGCAAAGCGGCCCCGGCAGCTTGTTTCCGCAACAACCAATCACGCTTCTTCCCGGAAGCGACCACGAGACATCGACGCAGTCCGCAACATCTCGAGCTCCCCCACGGAGCGCTAACGGCGGACTACCAGGTCGCAACATTCGTCCCGAGCTGGTGGGTGAGCACACCGCCGCACGAGGAGGCGAGGCGAGCATGGGCCAAGACGGGTCGCGGGTCAAGGAGAAGCTTCATATTGGGAAGACGACAAAGCGTGAAAGTGCGGAGGAAGCGGACAAGAAAATCCAGGAAGCACAGGTCAAATCGGCGGTCACGGCTGGACCCACCATCTCCCCCCTCTCTGCTCAGCGCCTTCCAAGCCCGCTTTCAGACACGGCCCTTTCTCCGCTCGCTTTGTCTGTATCGCCAGAGCTGCCCGGCGAAGCGAAGCCGGTAGCTCGCAAACCCGTCGGGGCTCCAGACGCCCAAATACGCCATGCGAAGAGCATTCCGACCTTGGCGCCAGAGTCGAAAAACCTGGGGTTGGGCGTGCGCACGCTGGCTGGTCTGCCCACGTCTCCCAGACCCGACTTAAGTAAGGATGCGAGTCAGACACAATCACAATGTCCCGCTCCCGCTGAGAGGGCCGACCAGAGGCAGGGTCCAGATCAGAAGCAGTATATCCCCTACTCTCCCCCGCCCGCCGGGAATCAGGCTCCGAGTCAAACCCAGTTTCCGGCTCGGGCCTCATCCAGGGAAGACGGCGACCAGTCTGCCCAACCCCCGACTCCGCGCCAGGAGCCATCGCCGGTGGCGGCCTTGCCAGCTATGCCGCAACGAAACCCGGAGCCGCAGAACCCAAGCGCGGGCGGTCTCAAGCGGGCCATCTCCGAAGCCGGGTCCGTCGAAACAGTCAAGGCGCCACCAGCAGCAGCAGCATCCAAGCCCCCCGTTATTCGCGAACCAGACCACATCCCCAGCCTGGCACTCGATAACCATCGTCACAGCGACAATCATCAAAACGACCTTCTCCCGCTTCGCGAACCAGACCCCAACCAGCCGGACCACACCGACCACCCGGGCGCCGCGCTCTTCCCGCGCAACTGGTACAACCCCTCGCCCGCCTTAGGCGGCGACGACAACAACAACAACATGCACATCCCCGACGCGCGCCCGCTCACGGACCGGCACTATCGGTGTCTGACGCAGCACCGGTACATGACGGCCAACAAGCAGCGCACCAATCCCGTGGCCTGCCGGACGTGCGGGCACAAGGACCGCAACGCCGAATGCTACATCTGCAGCGCCTGCCATCTGAATGTGTGCTCGGGCTGTGCCGGGCTGCTGAAGCGGCTCAAGGGGGATTTGAGGGCCGTTCTGAGGGAGGTGGGGGGGAAGAATTGAAGGACGTGTCGACGGGTGAGTACCTAGGTAGTGTTCTTTCCATTTCTTTCCCCGATTCAATGTTTCGCATGGCTGGATACCTACCTACGCTGGTCAGTCTTCTTTCCACTTCTTTGGGGTTGGTCATAGAAGAAGCAGCTGGTTTGCGAAGTATATTCGGAACGAATTAGAGGCTGGGCGGGTGGATACGACTCTACATTGAGATGATACCGAGCGGTGCGCATACGGAGATACCATTGGATTTACAGGAGGCTGGGTTGGTTTCGTACTGTACAACAGAGAAGCTCTTGCACATAAAGTACGCAAAGACTCTTCTTGGCTGTGGGTAGACAAAGTAGCCGTTCGAAAGCTGGCCTTGTCTTGGAGCTAAGACACCCCCATACTCAAGTTTTGTCAGGTATTGTACCTACCGTACCTGTACACTCAGCAGGCGGTACTTGAAGGGAGAATGGAGATATTCTGCCAATAAGTCGGGTTCACAAAGAAAGTCAGAGTTGTCTTAGACATGGAACTCGGGCGTTAACTATTGTCAATCCTCGATGCAACCCTCCACATGCATGTATGTACAGTACAGTAAGGTACCGACCGCCGGTGGCCACTGAAACCTTGCGGTTGTGCCCCGCAAGGCAGTCCGGCTGAAGCCAAGACCGCCCTGTTACAGGGGCTGAACTGTGCTTGGCGAGGGTGCTCTCCATCGCAACGACGAATCAACAACTGCAACGTCAAGTGTCAACAACACACGAGAATTCCAGCTTGATATGAAGCCAGAAAACAAACCAACTGAGACACCTGTAAATTTGGCGAAAACGTACAGACGCCACCACATTATGGTCACGGCGGAATCAAACAAAAATTACTAGTAGCCATGTCGTCAGCCATACCCACCAGCGCGTTGTCGCGCACTCGCTCCCTGCGCAAACCGAGTACCACGCCGGATGCGACAAGCGCCAGCGGTGAGAGCAAGCGCAATGTGTCTCCCAGCAGACTACCCCTCAAGGGACAGGTGCAGACCTCCACGGCATCGCCCGCTGCAACGCGCACGTCAAGAAGCGCCACCACCAGCGCCGGCACAGGCACGGGCACGGGCACGGGCACTGTGAAGAGCAGCCGACCGTTATCGGGAGTCTTCTCGCGCATCACCACGTCCTCCTCCACTCGCCAGCGTGAGAAGGACAGTCCCGGCCCTCAGGCGTCGCCCCCGAGTCGTCTCGCCCGGGCATCTTCAACACGCCAGTCGTCCACTTCAACCCGGCCGGCCGCACCGGGTGCCGACTCCAATGTGCCCTCAGCAGCTCGGCCCACCACGTCCTCTGGCGTTCCGACCTCACGGCGGGTTGCTTCCGGAGTGAGCACCGGGTCCAAACCGGGCCACGCCCGCGCAAAGTCTTCTGTGACAGCCCTATCCGGCGCCACCACCCTGCGTCCGCCCTCCCAGACCTCCTCTGCCAGCTCTTCCACCACCACGGCGACGGCGACGGCGGACCGCTCCCGCCCGCCCTTATCGAGTCTCGGCCGTACGCGGCCCTCAGCCGCTCCAACAGCGGCGGCGGCAGCAGCAGCAGCAGCAGCAACAGCTCACCGTCGACAGTCCTCTAATCCATCCACTTCCCCTACTACTTCTACTACTACCACTACTACTACCTCGGGAGCATCCCTAAGACCGAAACCGAAGCCACAACAACAGCAAGCCCAAGGCGGGCAAACCACCAACAACAACAACAACACCACCACCAAACTCGAACCCCGCCCGGCCTTCACCACCCACCAGCAGCATTATTCCCCCGCCAAATCGCTCGCGCCCAAGCCACTGACCTCGACCTTTCTCGCGCCTCCCTCCCCCTCCAAGCTGCCGTCCAACATGGCGCTCTCGGCCGAGACGGCCCGCCTGCAGACCGAGCTGCTCCAGCTGCACCTCCTGCACCGCGACGCCGCCGCGACGCTGGAAGGGTGGAAGCGCAGCGCCAGGGAGAAGCTGCGAGGCAGGTTCGAGGACGTGAGGTTGCGCGAGGAGGAGGTCAGTCGTCTGGAGAGTGAGGTGCAGGAGGAAGGCAATGCTGCGGCGCTGCTGGAGTGGGGCTCGCTGTCACTACTGCCACTACCACCACTACCGCCGGGGGAGTCTGGGTTATTGTTTGGATCTAGTAATAGATTGGAGCTGTTGGACGAGAAGGTGGCGATGCTGGATCAGGTTGTTACGGGGTTGTGGAGCGTGGTGGGTGGTGAGTCCGGAGGAGGAGGCGGCGGGGGAGGAGGAGGAGGGGGGGGAAGGTATGAACGGGTTGTGAGGAAGTTTGAGAAGTGGTGTGGGAATGTAGAGCGGGTCATGCTTGCCCGCAGACAGCAACAAGAACAACAAGAACAAGAACAAGAAGAACAACACCCCCACCAAGAGGGAGATGGGCCGCCAGAGGGGGAGGTGGAGGAGATGGTCTTCATCGAGGAGTTGGACGCATCCTGGAAGGAGGAGTGTGGCGCGCTCGTGCGCAGGCTGGATGAGTGGCGGAGGGTGTTGCGCGAGCTCCCTGATCCCATTACCATTCCTGCTTCTTCTACTTCTTCTGCTACTTCTACTGCTGCTACTACTATCACAGAAAAAGGAGGAGAAGAGGAAGAGCAGGAGGGCCAAAGAGGCAATCCTTCCAGCTTGGACAGGATGTTGGCCGGCTGTCGGGCGCTGGTGCACGGCATGCTGGCCGAGCTGAATCTCATGGAGCAGATTGAGCGGGAGGCGGCGGCCGAGGAGATGCGGTGGGTGAGGGAGATGAATAGGCGGGGATTGGGAGGGATGGATGAGGGTGCCCCGAGGGCGGGGGCCATCTGGCGGGTCCTATGAGCGGGACATATTCTAGCATCGCATCGCGTAAATGCTCTTTTCTTCATGGCGCGATGGAAGGCCAGCGTAGCTTGTTTTACATTCAAGGACTCTCAGCTTCTTGCATGTAAAAGTTGATGGGTGGACATGGTTATTATATACCCGTTTAGTCGGCCAGGGAAAACAGCCAATATCATCCATAGCAGAGACTATCACGTACCCCTTACAAGCTGGTGACATAACTGCTGCTGTATACACAGCAACTACTATGCTTCCATTCACAAAATGCATGTCTTACGCTTGTGTTTCCCCCATCTTGATCAAGGCGAATAGACGGCCGCGTCAACCGCAGAGGAGGGAGAACGGCTTAATTAAGGAAGCGAAGACGTTGGTTGCAATGCAGATTGATCATTCTACAGCCCGTTAGGTTAATTGTACAGCACACTCGACATCCCATAATAACTCCATCCTCCATCCGGATCAACCTTTCCGTGAAGGCAGCAGCACAATTGCTGCAAAACCACCAGACGAGGGCCAGGCCCTCAAACTATCAATCCCACGCGGCAATGTGCTCATCCATGACCCACCATCTTGGCCGCTGCTGCCCTAAACACCGTCCGCCAGTACTGGAGATGTTTGATTAGAACCCGAGAAAGTCCCAGCCCGTTGCCACGTCAGACCAAAGAGAGACGAGATGTTTGCCTCAAAACAGAAAGAAGAAAAGACGAAACGAAACCATGACTCTTGCAAAGAGAAAAGCAATCGCGCTGAGACGCCACCATGAGGGTCGTCATTGGACCCAGTGTCAACGAAGGGTACCTGCGAGAGGTACTAGATAGAATAGTGTGCCATATCCCGTACTTGTCGTACAATGTTCAGAGGGCCGAATCAAATGATTCAGAACCAAGACCATCGGTGTAGACAAGCTTAGCAAAATGTTCGTGTGTCAGAGAGGCAGGATCACATAAGCTCTCGCCCCCTCAGTGCATCGGAGGGAGCGTAGGATACGCAACGCGGTCAGTGCGGTCAGTACGGCCACGATCGCCATGCAGCGCCGGGTCGATGCGGCTGTTGTCGATCGACCGAGGGCTGTCGGAATCGGACTCCTCGTAGTCGCGGCGCTCCAGACGGTTGCGGACGTAGCTCCTGAGAAACTCCACGGTCTTCATGTGTGCGACCCAGTCGTCGTAACTCTCGCTCTCGCCGGCCTCGGATGCCTCGGACGGGGAGCTCACAGCGGCGCCGTCGGGGTTCTTCGGGGTCGGGGTACGGTCGCCGTCGCTGCCGCGGTGCGCACCGCTAGCCCGCTGCAGCATGCCGCCCGAGAGGCGGCGCTCATTGTGAGCGAAGGTCGAGCCGAGACCAGAGGTCGACGGGAAGGGCAGGTTGGGCCGGCTAGGGAGGCTCGGGTACGACACCGACGTGGAGCTGTGACGGGATGTGGGCGACATGCCCGAAGACGACGCTGTGGGAGAGTGGCCAGACGTGTACGAAATAGCGCTGGACGGCGGGGTGACGGCCGGGGTGCCGCCAGCCGAGTGAGTCGGCGCGCTCAGCGGAGACACCACCTGGGCAGCGGTGGCGGCGTACGGATCCACAGCGGCCGGGCGGGTCGCGTATGTCGGCGAGCGCATATCAACGGGCGCATACTGCGACTGGGGAGAGCCGTTCTCGTAGATGGTTGCTTGCATCTGCTCGAGCATCTGGTCAATCTGCTGCAAATCCTCCTTGGTGCGCACGCTCGGCATCGGCGGCAAGTAGTAATGCTGCGTCAGGGGACCGTGAGAGGCACCGACAGCGCCGAGGGTGTGCGGAGCCTGCGGCATGTACTCGGCAGCCAGACCGCCGCCGCCATGCACGGCGAGGCTCGAATGAATAGGCATAAGCGAACGGCCAATCTGCGAGTAGGAACGCGGGTCGACCTGGTGGCGCTTCAGACTGCCAAAGAACTCATTGAGGGGGTCGTCTGGTGCGCGCTTCCGGGAGGCATCGTGGAAACCAGGGGCGGCCTGGTAGCCCATGTACTCGGGGCGCGAGCTCATGTGCTGGGGCTGGTAGTACTGCGGCTGGTACGACGGATGGGGCGCGTGGTGCTGCGGCTGCCCGTAGTAGCTAGGCTGGGCAGCCTGGTGATGGCCGAAGTGGCCCGAGTTAGTACTACGCATATGGCCGTTGTGATCATAGAAACCGGAGGGAGCTACAGAGGCCGATTAGCCTCGGGATTTTGCGAGAGCACGACTGGCGGCCACTCCAGTACCGAGTACCTGATCGAGTACCCGATCGAGCACCCGGGAGCGGGCAGGTCAGAAAGTGGAAAACATACCTTTGTTGCCCGGATGGGCGCGGTAAGCCGGGTTCATGCCACCGGGCTGGTCCTGAGGAGCGCGACCGGCGACCAAGACCGAGTCGTCGGCATGCGTCTTGACATGTTTCTTGAGGTCTTGGGGCCGCTTGAACGACTTGCCGCAAAAGTCACACTTGTGAGGTTTCAGAGGCACATGCACCCGGATGTGAGAGGTGATGTGATCACGCTTGACCGTGGTGGTCCTGCACGAGTTCCACTGGCAGACGAGGTTTAAGTTGTTGGTGCTCTTTCTGCCAACATGCTTTTCACAAATGTGCTCCTGGGACGTGTCAGCGATCGAGAGAAAATTCATCAGGTAAAAATGAATAAGATTCACAACTTACATAAAGAGCTTCAGGCGAAGTAAAAGGCTCATCGCAAGCCTGCCACTTACAAACCAGGTTGTCGTCTGCACCTGAGCTGGAGGCCGAGCTCGCAGTGGCCGTGGTCGACGGTGCGGGCGTTGTTCCGGTCGACGTCGGAGCTGCCGGCGCGGGAGCCGGTGCGGCCGGAGCTGGAGCGGCAGTCTCCTGCTTAGGAGGAGCGGGCGCTTGAGCCGACATTGTGATTGCAGCTGATGCCAAGTATTTGCGGACTCCGGCTAAACTCCGGTGTTCGGAAAACCCTCGGCTGAGTGTGTTGTGCGTTCGGTAAAACCGCGGTTAAAATTGGTGATGATCGGTTATTCGTGGGTGGCCTCGGCTTTTTTAAAATTTGTGGGCGTGGGTGTGGCCAATTTCGTTATTCACGTGACTGCGGCTTTCGAAGGGAGAATGCAGCAAGCCCTGAGGCCCGGGCTTCTCGAGTCCCACTTTTTACCAAGACTCGCCCAGAGTCAAATGACAGCGCGCGGTAGGCGTGCCAAGCCCCGGAGAGGTGACGGTGCAGAGCGCGCAGGGGATGATATGCCAAGCAAAGTAAGAAAACGCTATGCGCGCTAGAGATGGTCTCAACAAACAAACAGAGCTTTGAACTAATGCCGCGAGGAACGAGATGCCAGAATGATGAGATGATCAGGGAGAAAACTGTCAACGTCAGGCTTTCCGGGAGAACAGCGGGCCCCTTCCTTTATTACAGCTTTGCTCTGGGAGCAGTACATTGGCGGAAGGCTTGGCAAGCTCTTGGCAGTCTGGGCCTCGGATGCCAAGCGCGTCCCATTGGTTGGAGGAGGAACGCTCGGCTGCTCCCTGTACCTGCTGATGGTGAGGGGGGCAAGTGCCCCTCTCGGGTGGTGCCGTTTTGCCCTGACGGTCGGCCCTGCCTAACAGCACGACATCCGCGCCAAGCCTGCCAAGATCAGCCAAGTCACCGCCAAGGCTTGGTATTTGGGAGAAAACGCTTGGCAGGCCTCATAAAACCCCCCAATCGTTCTTGCCTCCTGGTCACACGCTTCGCCCAGGCTTTCCTGCCCGCTCATGCTGACCTTATCGCCCGAAGCTTTCTGCTAAACATCGAGCGATCCTCGGCCCATTCCTGATCAGGTTTGAGTTGTAGGTTTTTTATTCCTGCAGGATCACGTGCCATTACCAGGTACCTTTGCCGAGAGGGGTCCAAGCAACCAAACGCCACGCCAAGCATTTCTGTCGGACGAGAATCCTGTTGAGTTCGACCGGCTGATGCCAAGCGTGCTGTGAGGCCAAGAGATCACGGCTCCGCGCGCCAAGCGCTTGGCGGTCCCGTCTCTCCCGACTACCGTTGACATCCAGCGAATACCATCAGTTTGGGTCGAACACAGCCTCCTTCTCGCTTGGAACATTCATTTCAGCGCCGGCTGAAGATGGCCGGGTCAAGTCGGCCGAACACAAGCATCTTGGATTGGCACAGTTGGCGCCGGATGACGCTCGTTCTCCGTAGGTAGCTCTTGACTCGTGAGGTGCGAGCACGACATCTGCCCCTCTCTATGTACACAGTATTGCGGTTCAAACCGCAGGACCCACTACCCTGCCAAGCACGTAAGCATGTGATGTGAATGCAAAGAGCCGCAAACTGGTGGGCAGAGCTGGATGCTCAAGCAAAATGAAGATATGTACGTCCGTATACAATGCGAATGCCTAAGGTATGTTCCGTTTCCCCATAACGCTACCTCCATTGCCACGGAGAAATTGAAGCCTACGGTTGGTAATAAAAGAGAGCTGGGTCAACCCATAGCAAGTTCTCTTGACCCTGTAAACTTTGAAAATAGGAGAACCTCCGCTGTTCCCCCCTTCCATCCGTGCTCCGAGACTCGATATCATCGCAGTCTCTTGGCAGCTTGGCATCATTCTTGGCCGTTCCTTGGCCTCGAGTCCAGGCCAAGAGGCCCCCCGAACGGGAAAAACGTGCTCCTCGATGCCAAGCGACCCTTGTCGAAGGAGAGGGAAACGGAACCCCGGGGCCAAGAAATCCGGGGAAACGTGCTGTTGCCCAGAAGCAAAGCCGGAGCTTGTGCGAAGTTTAAACTCCAAACTACATACGTATCCTCCCAAGAAAACGTGGGCTGAGAGCTTGGCGGCTTGGATGTTCTCGGACACACAGAAAAAGCCAAGCATTTTGATGCTTTCGTCATTGCTTCATAGCACGTAACACAGGATCAGCAGTATGACACTTCTAGAAGGGATAAGTAAGGTATCCACGTATATCATGGTCATGCAATGTCATGAGACAACCCAAATGCAGGGCTCTGCTGCATTGTCTCTTCTAAAGCTATTGATCTGAGTCAGCTCAGTTGAACGTACCGATCTGGATCACTGAACCCGGAATCAGAGTGTACACCGTTTCTCCCACGTCCAAAAAGGCCAGACTCTCTCAAAAGTCCAAGCAATACAAGGAGCCGATCAAACGGAAGTGAACCTGAAATAAAAGAATGAAGAAGAACAGGATGAAAAGAAAGAGAAGGAGTGGGAACGGAAAGAAGACGAGGAGGAAAGAAAGAACGGAATAAAAGGCATACGTTATGAGGAGAATCGGGACTAGTACTGCAACTAGTGGTTTCTTTCGATCTTCATGTTTTGGTATACGGTTTCTTTTTTCTGGTTAGATGGTGAGCATGTCGAAGTTTCAGGCAAGGCAGTTCAGACTAATGTCTATCAGAGCTCACATTAGTTATACATAACCGGCCCAAGACTTCGACTCAACGAGCCTCTCCCAACAATCATTCGCACTGGGTCTCTCATTTCCAGTCTTCCAGAACCCCATCCCTAACTCCGAGATCGAATTATCCAAAAGCTGTACTTCTACATGCGACGTCATGCATACTCCAACTCCTCATTAATCCGGGTATTACAGAGACACCTGCACTCGGGCACGGGACATTCCCTGTGCCGCGCAAACCACTGCCGCGCGTGGTCCAGGTGCAGGACGTGGCCGCACGACGCACAGAACGTCGGGAAGCGCGCGGTGCGCCGGACCTCCGGGTCGCGCGACTGCTCCGGGCGGTCGCTCCGCGGCATGCCTACCACTTCCAGGCACACGACGCAGCGCGGGAGGTGCTGCTTGCAGTTGGGACAGCTGATGCCGCTCCCCACCATCTTCTCCGTGTAAGGGTTGGCTGCCGCCTGTTGTTGGTGGTGCGAGCGGGCTTCGAGGCGCGGCGTGGAGGTTTTGCTGCTCCTGCTGTTGTTATCATTGTTGTTGTTGGACGAGGACGACGAGGACGAGGCGGCGGCGGCGGCCTTCATGAAGGCGGGCATTCCGCTGCCACTTCGCGGAGGAGGAGGCGGCGCTAGGAGAGACTCGGTCTTGAACTCGACGTCGCAGTAGATGCAGCGCAGGCCGATCTGGCGGCTGGCGGCGGGCACGGTGGGACGGCCGTGGTGCTTGCTTCGCAGGGTGGACTCGACGTCGAACTTGGCGCGCATGAAGAAAGCCCTGTGGCGTTGGAGGTATCGGCGGTAAGTGTTGCGCATCGTGTTGGCGCGGATGTCGTCGATGAAGCGGGGCGCACAGATGGAGAGGAGTAACGTGGCGGTTTGGAAGTCGTTGAACTTGTGGACGTAGCGGGCGAGGATGTCGACGAAGGAGTCGGTGATGCCCGTTAGCACGATGCCTTCGATGTCGCCTATCTCGATGGCGACCGCGACTTCCTGCTCGAGCCAGGCGGTGAGGGCGTCGTCGCTGAAGTAGCGGACGGCGACGAAGCAGCGGTCGCGGAGCGGCAGAGATCTCTGATCGGCGATCACGGCCCAGTCGCCCGTCGCAATGATGGCTGATATCGCCCGCAGATATGGATCGGTTTTGCAGGCCACTCTCTCGTCGAAGTCGAGGGCCGCCTTGACCTCATTATCCGCGGTTTTCCCCATGAGCTGAAGCGCTAGCGAGACGAAAAGCAGCTCTGGATGCTCGGAGCTAGCCCTCTTCAGCACCTGTACAGCGCCCTTCGTGTTGCCCCTGAATATGGCGTGGGCGGCGACCATGGTGTACCAAGTCGATTCTCTCCTGGGACCCGACGCGGACAGCGCGTCCTCAAACTCCTCACCATATGAACGGCCGAGGCCGCATATCTCAAGGCACATCTCCCTGTGATGGCAGCGCTTTGTCTCTACTTCTCCATCAAACCTAGGCACCCCCAGTTTCTTGCATATCGCATTTAGGCAACGTTCCCAGCCCACCTCGTTGGGCGGCGCTGCATCCTCTGATAGTCTCATCTGAGGCTTGCTCCCTGCTCGGTGTCAGATGAGTTCGCTCACATACGAGAAAGACCGACGTGGACTCACCAAGGTTGTTCGTCCATATCGTTTGGACTCCCATGTAGCTGAGGTCTAAGGGGTGCGACATCATGCCGCCATCAGCCGCCGCTGCTTCGGCGCCTGTTGAAGAGCAATGAGCAACCGGGCACCTAACCTTGCGAACTTGCGGCTCTTACCAGTAACCCAGAGCCAAACATCCCTCAGCCAGGGATCGTCGGCCACGATGCGTTGGTTCTTGATGAAGTCGAAGCGGTAGCCCTCCAGTGCACGGAGCAGCATGGTGTGGTCTACGGCGAATCGCTCCTTGCTGGACAGACCCGCGATATTTTTGGTCTCGGTGAGCAGCTTCTCGTGCCGCTCCAGCTGGGACAGGAACGGCTCCTCCTCTGGTTCGTCCTTCCCTTCCTTCGAAGCCAGCCTCAGCGCCTTCAGTTTCTCGGCGATTGAAGATGCCTCCTCAAAGGATGGCCATGATCGGCTGCCACCAGACACCTGCGCAACCAAACGCTCTTCCGTCGGCACAGCATCTAGTGTCTTCTCCACTAAAGACTTGGCCGTTGCCTTCTGCGGGCCAAATAATGGCACATCAGACAAGGCGGTTTCGGTCAAGAGGGGGCCAAAGATGTCATGAGCTTCTGCTGGTTCGAAGTCCATTAATTCCTGGTAATTTGCTCCATCTGTGCGAAGACATTAGCATTATCGTATTGCGAGGGATCGATGTGGCATACCGGCGTGTCCGCGGTACGGCGGTTGCCACGAGATCAACTTGAAGGGGTACTCTGAGGTAAAAGAGGGCTTTTGCAGCACATCAAAGGAGCCGCTGGCGCGGAGCACCAGCACTCGAGGTTGAAGCACGGGAGAGCTCATCGTGATCCAATCAAAGGAGACTATCCTATCGTTCTTGTGGTTGGGCTCCGCGTAAAGAGGGTCCATTTCGTATGACCGCCTGACTTCTAGAAGCTCTGGGCTGCCATCCACTCTGACGTCTCCATCTACATGCTCGTGCCTCGTGGACAGAACCCGCAGCTGACCAGTGCGCGAGAGCACAGCAAGCATACCGCGATGGTCACGGCAAAAGCGCAGGGCTCGGATGAAGGAGCTCCCGCTGTCCGCTGCTGCCGGGTCTGTCTCGGTCTCGACCGCGCGGTCAAGGCGTACGGCGCCGCCCCATGGGAGGTTGTCGTGCACCAGTGCGTTGGTGTAGGATGGGCTAACATGATGGCGGTTGATCGCGCGGCGGTCCCAGATCATGACTCCAGGCTGATCTAGGGCAGACGACGCAAAGTAATTTTGGTCGGCATAGTCAATGGCCAGGTTGTTGCAGCATTTAGTTTGGAACTGGACGACTGGGCCCTGTCCTTGATCTGATGAGAGCATTAGAACGTTGGCACTTGACAGGCGTTTCCGGTCAATACATCTCGGGCACGGATGGAATACCTCTCAAATCATGGATGCGAAGACCCTGCCCCTTAATACCCGCTACCAACACGTTCGGGTTATCTTCGAAGAACCTGACGCTCGAGACCGACGCGTTGAGCTCTAGCCGGTCCACTGGGTCTGACGGGAGGTCAAGGTCCGCAGGAAAGCCGGAAGCGCTGGAGTCTATGCCCGAGAGACGACCGACGTCCCAGATGTGCAGGCAGGTGTCGTTCCTCACCCTATCGAGTGCCACCGCCAACTTCCCGGCCGTGCTGAATGCCACCGCCTGGCAATTGCGCGAGACCCTCAGGCCGAGCTCCAGGTAGGCGTTGGAGTTGTCGTCCACTCGCAACAAGTTGACCACGCCAGTCGACGTGCCCACGGCAAGCAGGCCCGGCACCGTGGGCGACCAGTCGTAGGTGGTGAGTGGCGGGAGATCATCGTGCTTTGCCAGCTTCCGGTACTCGAACCGACCGCGTTGAGCCAGGCCCGTTGGCTCATAGAGTTGCGCCACACGGTGCTGTAAGTTGATGTGCAGAAACGAATCGTGAGCCGCATTCGGCGACCACTTGATCAGCCCCAACTCGGGCCGGTCCATGGCGATGAATGCAAGGGTAGAGAGGCTGGAGGATTGGAAAGAGGAGAGAAGTGCTGTCTCTCCTCAATCAATCCGTCCTCAGTTGCTCATTCGAAATTTCTGTTATGTGGCATGCATGCAACACGAAATGAATTGCTAATAGTAGTTGTCTAGAGGTGTCCGCTTGTGCTGTATAAGGACTCGGAGCACTTGGAGAGGAGCACTGGGGCCCCACAGTGCGAAGAGCTTACCCTAACCCTTATCAGTCGTCCGCGGCTGGCAGTTCGCCGGCCAAAATTTCCAGCGAGTTCAACGGCGAGCTTCGGCCAACACAAACCAGTTCACCATACCTCCTCGCTGTAGCAACTTTCCTTGACTAGCAACATGGGAAATAAGAGACCGCATCCAGATGCAGAATCCTGGGGCCACGGCTCCGGGGAAGGGACGAGAAAGCGACCAAAGACCAACCGGCCGCACAAACCAAGACCAAAACCCGTTGACCACGACAGCATGGCTGCAATCAAGAAGCGCGCCCGGGCAATTGAGAGGCTTCTCGCGCGCGACAACTTGAAGCTTCCGGCAAACAAGCAGAATGACCTGGAGCGAGAGCTGGCGGCGCACAAGCAGCGGATCGAGGATGCCAAGGCAAAGAAGGAAAGGAGCAAGATGATTCAGAAGTATCACATGGTTAGGTTCTTTGGTATGGCACACCACGCATTGGCCAATCTGGGCGTCCATTACTGACAACTCGAGCAGAGAGGAAGAAGGCAATGCGGTTTGTAAAACAGCTCGAGAAGAAGCTTGCGCAAGCTACGGATCCGGAGGAGGTGGCCCAGCTCAAAGCAGATCTCCACGTCGCGCAGGTCGACATCGACTACGCCAAGTACTTCCCCTTTATGGAACCCTACGTCAGCTTGTATGCTGGCGCCTCGTCAGGGGAAAAAGACGAAGCCAGCACGGCCGCATGGGCCCGCTATCTGCGGACCGCGAGGCCGCCCATGTGGACCGTCATCGAGGAGACCAGGGAGGAGGGCCAAGCCGCACTCGAGAAACTGCAGAATAGACAGCCGCCGAGGAGCCGCGAGTCCTCCCAGCAACCAGTAGCGCGCGGTGCCCCTGACAAGCCTCTAGCGGTGCAGAAGGCGAAGGGACCGAAGGCGCAAACGTCCACGAAGTCGAGACCAAGACGGGCGGAAGCAGAGGGGGGTGGGTCAAAGAAGCACCAAAGCAGTGATGAGAGCGATGGTGGCGGGTTCTTCGACGAGGATTGATCAAGTTGCGTTTGGGAACAGCGGGCAGTCACCGTTCGGTATGATTGTGCAGTCCACTTACCACATTTTTATGATACCCATATCACGGAGGAGCGTATGAGCAAACCAAAGTGCCACGAGGCTCCGTTATGGTCTCGCGCGGACTTCCTGGCTTCTCACCTTCGTTTGTTCCTACTGTAGCCTCGAATAGCACATTGAAGCCACGACGGGGAGCCGCATAGACGAGCTTCGGCCAGTAGGACGGATTCCATCAGGGATCGAGTCCTCGAGGCACGTCGCATTGGATCAACCGGCAGGCCGGCCAGAAAATACGGCCAGCCAAGACTGAGGCCTACAACAGCGTTTGCCCCCTTATTGCCGTGGTCCATTTACACATGCGAGTGGTGAATGCGCCATTCTGCCTTAAGAAACTCAACACGGATGGATGCCTGCCATTATTCATTACCATTCAAACAGCCACATCTGAATAGCTCGTTTTCTTTCCTGTTTCGTTGTTCTTTTCTTCAGCAACTACCTAGGACAGAGTTCATCACTGGACTTCCTTTACCTTTCCTTTCTCAACCCCACACTTTGCCCACCTCGTCGACAGCCTCGCCAGTGCTAATACATTACAACCCAACAGACAGCTCTTCGCTAAAAACATCGCTACGCGTTTACCGACCTAAAGCACTGAGGAGCTCAGCGCGAATCTACTTTCCAGGTATCAGATACACTTACGAACATACTTATCCGCAACACGATGGCTTCCAACGTCGCTGTCGCGAGCCCGTCGTTGCTTGACGAACCAGTCGACTACCGCGACCTGAAGGAATGGATCGCGCAGCAGGAGATCAACCCGAAGCCGCTCACGCCGGTCCAGCAGCGGGCCATTGCTGACCTCAAGCGCTCGCTGGAGCCCGACCTGGGCGGCCGGGACTGGGTCACCTTGCTAAATCGTAACTCTTCCCTCCAAACATCAAACCCTTCTTCTCTTCTTCTGCTAACAAGTATGCAGTGTTCTCGCAGGCCACTGGTGCTGCGTCCGAGTTCACGGAGGACCTGGCCGATAACGGCGGCTGGGCCTGCCAGTGCAATCTCCGACTCTCCGCCGAGACCGAGCAGATGGTGTTCCCCAACCAGGCCGCCGGCTTCGTGGTCGGCGAGACGGGCACCCGCTGCGCGCCGGGCTTCGCGCGCAAGAAGGACGCCAAGCAGTGGGCCGCCAAATGCTGCGTCGAGTGGCTCATGGCGAACGGGCATATGCCGTCGGATGGGAAGAGCGTGACCTTCCCCAAGAGCAAGGCAAAGTCGCCCGCCAAAGCAGCTGCGCAGCCGACGAAGCAGCCCGCATCTACTGCTGCTACTACTACTATCACTGGCAACACCAACGGCTACAACAACACCACGACTTCTACGACGATCACGCCCAAAAAGAGGACCCATTCCTCCTCTGAAACCACCAATCCGGTCGACATCATCAAAGACGAAGACGACGTCCCCGCCACGCGGCGCGTAACCCAGCTCTGCCAACAGCTAGGCATCATCACGCCGCAGTACCGCATCACACCCACACTCACAACCATGACCACCACCGCCACCAGCACCGACTCAGGCTCAGGCTCAGGCTCAGCCTACTTCGACGGGTACCCGGACTTTGGCGCCGACAGCGTCAAGGTGCCCGACGGCCTGGGCCGCGTGGCCAACGTGTACGGCAGGAAGAACACCCGGGAGCGCATCGCCGAGGAGGTGCTGGCCTGGCTGGTGGCCGAGGAGAAGAGGCGCGGGGCCGAGCTGGCCGGGTTGTTGGCGCTGACGCAGCAGGCGCAGAATGGGAATGGGAATGGGAATGGGAATGGGAATGGGAATGGGAATGGGAATGGGAATGGGAATGGGAATGGGAATGGTGAGGAGGGGGCGTGCCTCTGAAGGGAGGGGGAAGGAGGGGAGGAGGGTGAAGACGCCTTTGGACCTCGGCTCTTGGAGAGAGAGGGAGGGGACGGGTGGCAATGAAGGCGTGCTGGTGGGGGGTAAAGGGCAAGGCAACTTTTCTTTCGTGAAATTATCTGCGTTGATTTTTCTGCGATTTCTAGAGTCTAATCTTTGGTGGGAGTGATAATGAAGCGGGATGACATAAAGACTGGTTGGGACATGTGGCGTAGACCTGGATGGATTCGGCACGGCGATGGAGTGATCGGAGGTCGGGTGCTTTGGGCTTGGGGGGGCGTTTCTCGGGCTGGAAGGGGAGCCAGATTTTATCATTATGGACAGTGAGCAATGGTTATTTTAGCGCCCGACTGTGAATATGCGGAGAGTTCAGCATACCTGGTATTTCAGAAGCTCAATGAGACAGGTACCGACCGTTAATGAGGGTGGATGCCCCTCGCTATGATGTTTGTCCTGCTGGTTTATCTCCTACTCGAGCCCTTGCCTTACTTCCCCCCTCTTCCCCTTCCACCTCTACCCCCTCTCCCTCCCCCTCTCCCTCCCCCTCCCCTTCCGCCCCCCTTCTTCCCCTGCGGCGCCTGGATCTTCAACCCCTCCGGCAAATCAGCCACCCACTCCCCATCCTTCCACAGCACGCCAACCCCCTGCCTGCGCCCGACCACCTCCTTAAAGTACTTGACCGGCACCAGCCCGTCGGCGTTGCCCTCCGTCAGCACCACGCCGTTGTCGCTCATCCACCACCTGATCCCCTCCTCGCGCATGCTGGCCTCGACGTTGACGTAGACGGCCAGCTCGGCGTCGCGGCGCATGCCGCTGATCACGCCGGCCTCGCCGCCGCTGTCCTCGGGCAGACCCGTGCTGAAGTGCACGTGGTTGCGACCCATGGGCTTGAGGCCGCCGCTGGCGACGATGGCGGGCCAGAAGGCGAAGTAGGTGCCGTGGATGACCGCGGACGGGATGGGCACGCTGCTGCTGCCGCCGCCGTCTCCTTCGGAGGGCAGGGCGAGCGGCTTGAGCAGGTGCTCGCTGTCGAGCTTGATGGAGTGGCCCTGGTTGGCGCGGATGAGCCAGTGGGACGGGTCGGTCGACGACTCGTCGAGCGAAGGGTTGGTGGCCGCGTTGGGCTTGATGGCGAAGCGCTGCTTGTCGCTGTTGTGGACCGCGTTGAGTATCTCGGCGAAGCTGGGTGCCAGCGAGCGGAGGGGTCCCCATTGAAGCTGTGTAAGGTGGGTTTAGTTTTTGAGATTCAACCTACATCTCAAAGAGATGAAACTAAAAAAGAAAATAAACACTCACCACCCGATCCAACGGCGCAAACCCCTCCCGGTCCAACTGAATCCCCGCATTCGCCGCCTGATGCCTCAGCAGCCTCGACAGCGCCCGGGACAAGTCCACCTCGCGCTTGTCTCTTCCTCCGCCTCCGCCTCCTCGTCCGCCTTTCGCACCGCCCCTCTTCCCGCCTGCACCTCCACGGCGACCACCGCCAGCACCGCCATCCTCTACCCGTTCCGCCATCACCTCGTAGCAGGTGGCCAGATCCGTCTCGTTCTCGTCGGCCATTGCAGCGGCACTGGGTTTCCGTTTATTTGTGTCAGCTGTCTTCCCTTTCTTCTCGAGCGATTGTTCAGCTCCAAGGTCTCTTCTGAAAACGGGCCTGGAGCAGACGTCTGCGTAGAAGACCTTAGCTGACTTTAGACCGTGTTTCTCGGCGCTGGAGTGGTATCTCGTTGCTACTACTAAGGCGGGTGTGGCAGTTGAGGGCCTTGAGAAGTCGGATGTTGTGGTGGGTCTTGATGTCGATGGGACCAGCTTGAGCGAGAAGTGACGCGGGGTTGACGAGGGAAGAAGGCGGTTGTGCATGTAAAAATGACCTGAGTCGATGGCGAGATCGAATGTTGGAGCTCACATACAATTTCGAGCACTGGTTTGTAGTTCCGGTATGCATGAAATATTCAGGTACCTGGGGGAAGTGTGGTTGGTTGTGGAATAAAGATGGAAGTCACGGTTAGGTAAGGTGGATGTTGCGGCAGGCTATCAATACTTCGGTTCAAATAGCGTCCAGCAGGAATGGCAGTTGGCCGCTGAGGGTCGCAAACGACTGTGCACCAATTTGACATGGAACCTCCTCGCTGATAGACTGAACATAAGTACAATAACGATGGGCCAGGTCAAGAAACGAGACGCAATTTCATGTTGGGGGCCTGAGCAAAGCGGTCTGAGTCATGCCGAACATGTTATATGCCAGTGGCTCATAAGGGCACTTTCCGTATGATGTCCGTAATTGAAGCATCGGACACAGTCACGCACACAACAGGGCACTTAAAGTCAACAGCGAACTCGATCAATTCAACAGCAGCCAGGGCATTTCCTGCCTCTCAACTCCATGTCCAGAATAACTGCCTTCCAAGACCTCCTGCCTGTCCCTTGTCCAAATGTCCGTTTCCTCCAGCTTAGGGTATAAGGACCGCCCAAATCCTGACCGCCAACACCAAAAGGAACGACCCAGAGCACAGGATAACCAAGAGGAAAGCCCGGAGGCTAGCACGTCCATGACAACCCATTTCCCGATGCAGAACAACAGAAACGCCCCAAAACCCCAAAACCATGACATCTCAACATCACACTTCCGTCCCCTTTTATGTGCTAGCAATGCTTTTTCCGTCTCCAAACACCCGGTGTATGATTTTGTTGCTGTTGCTCATATGCAGTCGTCAAAACCCAAGACGCCATGCTGATATGGACTGGATCCATCAATGATAATGATGCGAATGTCGAATGCGAAACAAGTCGTCAAGTGTGAACGCCTCTTTCCAAATCCGGTTAAATGCAAAAAAAAAAAAAAAAGCAGAAACGCCATATCGCCCGTTGCACCATGCATATACACTCGGTAGGCGCGACCTCGTAATCTCATGGCGGTGTCATCTGTGTGCCTCGCCGGTGAGACCGAGGGCTGTCTCTGTCTCCAAGCGGCTCACGAGCGAAGGCTGGGGATTCCGCTCTCACGGGTCCGGCGGCTTAGACTACCGGTCCTATTGAGCATAGCGGTTTGACTTAGGGAGAGAGTACGTTGCTGCTGCCCTCTCTCTTCAGCGAGCCTTTCCGAAATGTTGTTGACGGACACGCGCTCCTGGTGCGTGCCGCGTTCAAGGTAGGAGCCTCGATCCTGGAGAGCAGCTCGATCCTGGAGAGTAACTCGATCCTGAAGAGCAGCTCGATCCTGGAGAGAAGCTCGATCCTGGAGAGAAGCTCGATCCTGGAGCGTCCCGCGTTCGAGATACCTGCGTGCCGTGGTGGTCGGTGGTGGGGCTGCTGTAACTGTTGTGGAAGAAAGCCTGGTAGAAATGGCTGACGGGATGACCCGGCGTGGCACGGCCGAATGTGTGTCTATGTTGTTCTCGGAAGTGCGTTGAGCGGTTATAGAGGGCATGGCAAGCTCCCGTGGTGAAGGACGGAAGCCATTCACTTCGGTGATCGCCCTGGATGGCGCACGAGTGCGTGGCGACTCATCTTCTTCACTCATAGCTTTCCGAGTCCGAAGGAGCAGCGAGGTCTTCCGCCCTTCACGGCTTTCCCCTGACTCTTCCTCCCCGGTTCTCCTTGTCCTCAGCAATAGCGACGACCTCCTTCCGGCTTGAGGGGCTACTTCCTCTGCCTCATCGGTTCCTGTTCGGCGAATCCGGGCCAGGAGGAGAGATGACTTCCGCCCTGCGCTCGACTCCAGAGGCGTGGATGGTGCCGTGGCGTACCGAGGGGTAGGAAGTGAGATGCTGGCCAACATAGTCTTCCTCTTTTGCTCCAGAGCTGTCGGGGCTCTAGGACTTGTGCTGGCCTTCGCCATAATGTCGGCAATGGCATTAGGGCGTCTCTGGGGCGTGAGCGCGCCAGTTGTGGCTTTGTTGGACGAGGGGCTCAGCAAGAGTTCTTGTTCAGGTGCGACCGTTGGCAACTGCTGCCGAGGCTGTTTCTTTTCGCCATTATGGTCAGCGAGCGCCAGGCACAACTCGGTTAAGCTCCTGCAGATGCTATCTGCCTTCTTCCGCAGTTGCCTGTCTGTCACGCTGCCGTTGTACCCGCCAATGCTGCTGGCACCACTCGAGATCGGCCCTGGCTGGCCCGGAGCACCAATCATGGATGATAAGGCCATGGCGTCGGTTGCAGCGGATTCAATAGCACTGAACACTTCTGGGTGGACCAAATCCTTTGTCTTGCTGAGAGCCGTGAGGAGGGTTTCACGGGTCAACGGCGGATTGCTGTTCCCGTTGGCTTGTGCTGAGCTAGTACCAGACACTTGCTTGGGGGATGCCGACACAGTTGTGGCACTTGTGGTGGCAGTTCTCGGGCGCTCGTCAGACGATTTGGACGTTGATGTCCCTGTCGTCAATGGTGTCTTGCCTGTCAATTCAAGACGATGTATCCTTGACTTTAGGTCGTCCAACTCATCCCAAACCGTTGACGGCGCCGCAGCTGAGGACGAGGAGTCTGTGCCCTCGACGCCATGATTTGCGTCAGAGTTGTTATGAGATCCATCCGTCGGGGCGCTTGTGAACTTGGGCCCCAATGGGGACGAATGATAGGTTCGACTCTGGGTCAGTGCAAGATTCGAACTCCTGTACGGCGTGGCCCTTGAGCCTGAAAGGTGGTTGTTGTTCTCAGTAACAGACTGTCTTCTGCGTTGGTATGCCGAGCCGCTTTCAGCAAACGAGTCTTTGAAAGAGATTTGCCTAGGAGTGATAGGGGACGGCCTCAAGGAACTTCGGCCTAGCTGCGCGCGGCTCGGGCTCTCCGCAGTGGTTGTGATGGGTGGTAGGTTCTCTCTAGTAGTCGCGCGGTATGACAGCTCCCTCGTGATCTGTTGACCTGGCTGAGTGACCGATCCCTGTCGAGCTCGCGAATTCTCCTGCTGATCGGAAAGCCGACGCGAGAGTGGAACGGGCAGCTGGCCATCCTGGGAGGGAATCGCCGATGAGAGAGGACGACGGTGCGATGTCTTAGCAATCCGCGGCTGTGTTTGGTCAGTTACCCAGTCCAACACGACCCTGCATCGAAGATGGGAACTTACAAGGACACTCTCCGTAGTCGTCGCTTGTCTCTCCAACGCTCGAGCCGTTGGCTCCTCACGAGCGATCTTCATGAAGATGTCGGCAGTGTTGTCGTTATCAGTCGTTGCAGTCATCTCCCCAGATTCGGACGGTTTGGTATGCAAAGGGTCCTCGTCTCTCCGTCCCTCAAGAGCCCGCAATGCGCGGTCACGCTGGTAAGGGTCTGTGTTTTCCTTATTGACCGATTCTTCGGACTTGCGCCGGGCGTGCGCGTCAATCACCACGGTCTTGCGCGACCCAGAGGACCGAAAGACCCTGATGGGAGGAATGCCCGTGCGCCCACCCGAGGTGCTGGCGGCAGTGGCACTGTCGGAAAGCGAATATAGTAGTGCTGGGCGCGACTTGTTGTCGTCTGACTTTGTGGTCTCAGTCGCGTTGGGCATCAAGGGTTCCACTTGGCCCGGGGCCGAGTCCTTAGCCGCGCTCTCGGTCAGTCGACGTCTAAGCACGGGAATGGCGTCGTATGAAAATCGCGACCGGGCCGCGGACGGCTTGTCAGTCGCTCTGTGTGCGTCTGGGGGATATGACGCCGGACGCTTGGATGCTGTCGTATCGGCGGATACAGTGGTTGTGGTGGAGGGCAGATGGAACTTGAGCGAGCGGATCCTCGAGACGTCGCCAGTCTTCTCAGGTGTTTCAAACGAGACTGACCTCCATTTAAGGGTGCGAGCGCTGCTGTGATGGTGGAGTTCGCTGTGCGATGAGCCAGAATTGCGATGGGTTTCCTCCTGTTCGGTTTGATGATGGTCCAGGGGCTCAGCTGTGGTTTGCGACAAGATGGGAGACAGCGGGGCGCGTTGCTGCAGGGAAGGGAGCGAAATACGATCCTTTCTCAGGTCGGCAAACCGGAATGCAGGGAGCTTGGATGAATTGTTGTTCTGGCGATGCGTGTGTAAAGTGGTGTTGTCGCTGCTGAACGATGAGTTGTTGCTGTGTGTGTGATGCGACTCCAGGGGTTGGGTGCCAACGTGGGCAACCGCTCTCGAGCGGGCTCCGAAACTGGTCGATGCCATGTTCGGGGGTGACAGAGGTGCCCTGTGCTTCGGGTCTCCACTATCGCGCACACCTTCAATCTCACTGCGCCGCGTCAAAATGCGTGCCGGCTCCTGGGCTGCGACCGGGCTTTGTGTTTGGTGACCTGGGTTTCTTTATGGCAGGAAACAAGTTTCGAGTCTTGATGACTGATGGGTGCATGAGATTGTTGAGGACCTTGGGTGGCATCGGCAATGAAGCCTGACTGCGCGAGATGTCCAGGAGCTTGAGGGGCCGAACGTTGGGCGCGTTCAACCTCGCAGGGTAGGAACAGTAACAAGCAGCCTGGAGAGCGCGAATGCAAGCGCAGATGTATTTGAGCAATTGATTGGTAATGAGCCAGATACAGTAGTCAGAATTCCTGTTTTGAACAAGAAAAACGCAGCCGAACGTTGATAACTCTCGATGTTGTCTGTCTGTCTGACAAGCTAGAGTTGTTGTGTTGCGACACGGGAGAGAACGACTGGCTGATCTCCTGCTTGGACGGGACTTTGACTGCGGCGAGTGGATGGTCCAACGACAGTGGCTGGACCGCCAAGCGGTCTGTGTGGGCACAACGGCTGGAGTCTCGGCAAGCCAATTTGTCGCAGCCAATGGCCTAACACCATATCGCAAAGCAGTGACTCCACCCGCACCTCGCTTACAGCCCTGCTTTCGGAAAATAACGACTGGCAAGTGACAACTTCCGTCAACGGCTTCACCCTTCAAAATCGCAATATCATCCCAACCGTCATACAATGTGAGGAGATGCGGGCTTTTAGAGCAATAAAGCCAAGATTCTCTTCGAACTGCTTGTGCTAGAAAGTCGCAGGCAGTATCCGTAAAGTGGACAATTGGCCTCGCAAAACATCCTCGCTTTGGCGAATGGGCAAAGCAAGAGCCTGAAGGTCGCATCAGAAAGTCGACGCAATGTCGCATTTCGCCCCGCACGGGCAAATCCTCCTCCCGCGCCTCCTCACAACACCTGCATGATGAAGCAGGGGGCGGGGGTCAGTCAGCGGCTTTCGCGGAATCACCAAGCCTGGATATTGTGGCCGAACCGACGGTCAGGTCACTTCAACTTCCTTCCGAACACCTACGGATAATAACTAGGTGTCCTCCTTGGTTTCTCTTCTGTTTTTACTGATTATTCCATACACGTCAATAAACGAAGCGAGCAATCGCATAACTGACCGGCTTTTGTGGACGGGCACAGGGGAAGCCAGGACGAGAAGAAGCTAGAAGCGAAAATGCGCCCAGGCTCATGGACTGGGGTTGTGGACTGACCTGGTTCTCGGAAGCCATTGACGAATCAGCTTTCATTCACCAACTGGCGTATCGATATGCGGACGTGCCGGGGTCGAGCTGGGAAGCAAGCGATTCGATGCTTTCAGGAGTCGGACAGGACCTGAAAACGAAGCATTAGCAGGAGACGATGCCATACTTGCAATATGTTGGGCAGTTGAACGGGTTGTTTCCGACATACCAGTTGGTGACAAAGCAGACAAAAGCATGGCCGGCGTGCAAATGTCAGGTTGCGAGAATAGGTACACAGGCTTGCAACGCGAAGAGACTACTCCGTACAGATGCTTGGATCTCAGAACCGCCAATAACCCGCAAGGCAACAAGACGCTTGAAACGACCACCTGACCTTCCGGCTTCATCGGTTTTGCATGGCCATCTATCATCTATCATTATGAGTTCCCAGCGTACAATGTTCAGATGATACATCTGGGTGGTCGAGCTGAGTTGATAACTGAAAGTGTCTCAGCAGGCGTACTCTTAGTTCTTCAAACGCTTCCAGTTTGACGCCGGCACAGGCACAACCTTCAACGTTCCCATTGCAACGTGATGCAACGTGGACTTCTGCCGCCCCAGCTGAGAGAAACATTGCTTCAATGTGGTCTGGGTTACAGATAGCTCTTGGCTTGTATGTATCATATTCATGGCAAGTCTGCAAGGTCACCTAGCTGAGCACATTGGTAAGACATATTACACCCCCTGTCTACGCTCAAACACGTTTGACAGCACTGTTTCCCCGGGATCAATTGAGGTTCTTGACTCGTCTGGAAACTGATGAAGTTAGAGCAGAGGAGCTGACTCGAACTTGAATCAGACCATAGACCGATGCGTTGGTGATGCTGTCAGAGAAATGCATCAGGAAATCCCGTCTTGCTCTGTCTGGCTACGCGAGGCTGGCTATGTACTCGCCGCCTAGAGATGTGCGCCGCCCTCTCAACGACGGGGTGGATATCACTAGGGACTATACCTACCGTACGTACACTAAATGTAAGCGGGTTTCTGTCAACCCAACTTTGTAAAGACTACACGCGTCAGCCTGCCCGTACCAAACACACAGGCGAGGGTAATGGCGTTTCAACAAGCGGGCAAGTTTTAGCATTCAAATCTCGGTCCCGCGATATTGTGCAACTCCACCGGACCGAAACGCGTTCTCGCTCATACAGACAGTAGGTCCGTGGTCGAGCTTGTGGAGGGCTCGCTTTTCCTTCTTTTGACAATAATACGTTACCTACCTCATGTAATAGACTCGGTGCGAAGTCGGAGGTAGATATGACGGCCAAACCTGCGAGACCGGCCGTGAACTCTGCGACGGAAGCAAGATCTCACAATGTTTGGTAGGCATGGTCCGGATCAAGTCAAATTTATCCAACACTATCGTTGCTATGCTTTGTGTACGGAATAGTACTTCGTAGGGTATGAACGTAGGACTTCCACTAACGTTATGGGCGTACATATGTCTGGATTGCAAGGGCGTCCGGAGTCCCGTCCGGAGCACAAGGAGCTCGGGGTCCATCGTTGTCGCGTCTCGCCTGGGATGTAAAACGCGTCTTCGAGGATCGGGACATCAGGTTTCAGGGGCAGGAGACAACAGCGCTCCTTGACGGATTTTGTGCAATCCGCGGCGACGTGAGGCTCTGCGTGCACTGTGCAGGATTCTAATAACCTGACGAACACTACTCCACTGCCCAACAAGCGAAATTGAACAGTGTTGCGTTCGCACGTGTCCTGTTTCCACCCCTTCCCCGCCTCTCGAACTTGGCTTGTTTCAGATGTTGGGCCAATTGCGTTGCAAGCACAAGTGGTGGTGCTTCTTGGGAGAAAGACGGTAGCTGGGTAGAAACTGTCTACATACACTAGGAATGGAAACTAATAAGCAACTTATTAGCCGCGGACCGAGCTGAATGTGCGTATTGCGCGGGTGCTAACCTCCGTCTAATCGAGAGCAGATCGAAGAGCCCAGGTTCTCGGGAACGAGCCCGGGCATTTGGATCATAATGACCCGAGGATCCCCACGATATGTGCCAACCATACCACAGTATGCACACGTATATTGGAAAATCATGCACAGTATCTTTAGGTCACAATCAGAGGCGGGCCGTGGCGTTCTCTGGAGCCGTGTGGCACGGCTTCACCTCGTGTAAGGTACGGAAGGCTCCCGAGACCAGAGATGGCCGTTTCTCGCGGCCATCGTGGTGTACTTCAGACGATATCGTCACCGTGCTGCTTATAAGGCCACGCCACTGCGATCACAGATCTCGGGGACCCGACTACACGGTTGCGGGCGCTACGCGCACCATCACGAATCCCAATCTGGTCGTCGTTGGTGGCGACGGCCGAAGCGCCAAATGACCAGTCAGAGCCTCTGCGCCAAGCGAATCTGGTGCTCCGTGCGTGCCGTAATACTCCGTATCATGCCTAACAATAGAACAAGAATCGTGGGAATATCGAGGATACCTGGGCAACCGTGTCTCCGGTAATTGCTGTCCAGCTTCATCCCTGATCTTTGCGTAAGCAATGTCGAGTGGTCGGGACGATGGATTGATTTGAAGATTTCTGTCCACGCTCACACTTTGCCGACTCCCCGTCGCTCGATTGGAAGAATCCAGAAAAGAGACAGTGAGAAGTTGAGCAGGACAGGGGCAGCCGGAAGAGATGATGGTTGATTGGGTGAACGACTTCCAAGCGGAGGCGCGCTCCAATTAGGAGTGCCGCTCAAATTTTGCTCTGGGTGCTCAAACTGTCTATTTTTAGGCGAAATTGTTTGAGAGCAAGCAAGTTGCAAAGCTGGCTAGCCGCCGGCGGTTCTGCACCAGCAGGCGGGGTCTTGCAGAGGAGGCCGTCATTGGCTGACATGTTCCCCCACGGCCCACATATATCGGCCCCCTGCACGAAGCCCAGGCGGAGGGCGAGCTGGCCAGCGACGCGGCACTCCCATGCTGCTCAGCAACGAACCGGGGTTCTGAGGCGGAATGTGTTGTGTCGGCGACCTGGGATGTCGTCTGCACTGTGTGCTGCCTCCTCCCAATTCTACCTTTGCCCAATTCTGATGAAGCGGGCACCCTTCCATGTTCAGCGCTTGCCAGTCTGCCCCCGTCTGCTCTGCCACTGTCAACTTGGAACCAGGCCAAACCCGGTCGCTCGATTTGTGCGCCTATCCTTGCACTGCCGGCCGGCCAATTCTCTTCGTTTCCTCCCTTCTGGCCTCAATTCCCTCCTTTTTCCCCCTTCTTCCTTTCCCCAACTTCAATCCTGAAAGGGACGGATCGCAGTTCGCAGCTCGGACGGGAACGTGGCATCGGTCGAGAACCAGACTCGGCTATCGAGACAAAGGGGACCCCGCTGTCCGGCCCGCCAGTTCAGACCCAGTCGACCACGGTCAGCGTGGGACATCGAGCACCCGCCCTCGTCTTAATCCCAGCCTCTTCCCCGCGACAGACTGAGTGGACGACTGGACCATGTATTGACTCCTTCGCCTTGGTCGCCGGCCACCGCATATCGCCTTCCGCTCCTTATTTTGTTGATCCTTCGACCGCATTGCAAACCCCCGCTCGGCTGCGCCGCAGTTTAGTCCCCTGCGTGAGACGCAACTCCAGCCTTCACTGAGTACCCGCCATCTCGGACGCCAGTCCGTTGTTCTTCGATCGCATCTCTCGTCGTCGCGTCCGCTCGGGTTATCTTCTTCGCTCGCGCGACATCCAGTCCAGCTCAAGGCGGGATTACATTTAGTTGCACCCTGTCTCTGCCACTGGAGGACCTTTCGTCTTCATTTTCTGCTCAGGACATTCACGGAGCACAGCTAGGATTCAGCAGCGCTGTCCCGCTTGGTCCGACTTAATACCTGACAGCTTCTTACTAATTGCAGTGTGAACACTGCACCCTCTAGCGGTGCGTTGGGAGGCATCGATACCATCTCTCGCCCGTTTGCGGTCATCAGACGACAGAGAGGCCAGGAGGCCAGCCAGGTGGCCACCGTGCGACGGACAAAACGTGGCTGAGCTGATTGACGTACGAGGAGGTCAGACCGGGGTTTTGGTGATCCGGAGAGCACAACAACTACCGTCACTCCAGCGCCACCGAATATGCCTTCTACCGTGGCTCGACGGCTGTTTGAGGACCAAATACCCTCCTTCATGTCTGTCTATGACGTGGATAGCGGAATGACGGATATGGACCAGCCGAATTCTGTCACGATTATTGACCCCAAGCTGGTCATCGAGAACACGAAGCTGCCTGGGAATTCACAGCCGGGCCTAAGGCCCAGTGCCTTGGCCTCGGAAAACGCCCACAGACACCACGAAAGCACGTTAACGCGGGCGGAGTCGGCTGAGTCGTCTCCCACAACAACCCTCTCCTGTACAGATTCGTCAGATCTTTCGGACCCTTCTCCGTCTTCATCTCCCGACTCGCCTGTTAATCTATCGAACCTTCCGAGTTTCGCGCCGGCGTCTTTCGGGGGGTTGTCCGGCATGTCCAGCTTAAGGGTCTCAGACCCCAATCAAGATCGGCCCATGACCTCACCAGTACCTAGGAGGCTCAAGAACATGAAAGGTCTTTCCATTCAGCCCCCATCGAGCTCTCTGTCCTCATCACTGTTGTCGGAGCCTGCTTCGCCCTCCTTCATCAAGCCCACGATCGCTCCGATGAAGCGTAAGCCCAGCCAGCTCAGCCTCAAAACGAACTCCTCAGATCTCATAGCGCGTACAACACTCGAGGTTCCTTGTTCGCCCACCGTTGCTCCTATCCTGCAGCGGCGCGCCTTGAAACACTCGACCTCGACGCCCCTTATGCTGTCGGGGATGCAGTCCGCAACGTTTGGTCCTGTTGGCGGCATGACGCTACCACCAGTACTGCAGCGGAATGAGTCAGGTCTTTCCTCCTTCTTTCGCCCGCCACGACCAGCTGCCCCTTCTGCTCTGAGCTCGACGATAACAGAGGAGGATTCGCCAATTCGACCTCAGGTTGCGAATCGCATCGCCTTCGACACCGAGCCCTATCACGAGGTTGAGAACAATGAGGACCAGAAGTCACCCGGTTACCCAGATGGTCCGATCGCCATCTATGGCGACAACGTCTATCTCTATCTTGAGCCAACCGCAGAAGAGGCGGCTCGCTTCGACGTGGTCATCAACGTGGCTCGCGAAGTCTCTAACCCGTTCAGGGCTGTTGCGAAGGGCGGCTCCCGGGATGCGAAGGAGCAGGCTGATGAGGAATCTCCGATTCCCGACACTGCGATGACAACTGCGAGCTATGCCACTGCTTATGAGTATTTTCCGGAAGATGCCTCGAGCGATACGCCAACGACCCCTAAGGCCCAGCCTTTGAAGGAGCCCGAATACATTCACATGCCATGGGAGCACAATACCGATATTGCTCAGGACTTGATGACGCTTTGCGAGACCATCGACAAGCGCACAAAGGAAGGAAAGAAGGTGCTGGTACACTGCCAGCAAGGCGCCAGCAGATCGGCCAGCTTAATCATTGCCTATGGCCTCTACAAAAACCCCGAGTTGAGCGTCAATGACGCCTATTATGCAGCTCAGGCAAAAAGCCGGTGGATCAGCCCAAACATGAGATTGATGTACTGCCTGCAAGACTTCCAAAAGGAGATTTCCAAGAGGAGACTCGCGCCCAGCGCGGGGTTGAAGCCACGTTCGGGACGAAGCCCAACGCACAGGGCGACCATGTCGGCGGACAACATTGAGGTCCCAGCAAAGGAGCCTCTCACCGCCCCGTTGCCGTCCGACGGCCAGTGTTCGAAGCGCGCGAGCACCGAAAGGAGTCCGAATCGGGCGCGGGGAAACTCGACTCCCGACCGGGGTGAGCCGATCTCACCGGGTCCCTCATCTGCGCCTTCGAGTTTCTCGTGGTCGGAAAAGGAGGACGAGTCCGATCCGGGAAAATTCGGCCGGTTCAACCTCGATTCTATCCTCGCTCATAAACAAGCCGACAAGCAGCCTGCTTCGTTGATTACGCACACTAAGCCGCCCGCGTCGCCGGGGCTTGCTCCTGCTTTGACATTGTCGAACGCCCCTCGATCGCCGAAGCTTGCCCCTCCCCCGATATCGAGGCCGCCCCCCTCTCCCCAGTTCGCCCCGCTGAACCTATCGAGACCGCCCCCGTCTCCCGGGTTTACTCCGTTGGACCTATCCCGCCCGCCAATATCCCCCGGATTCCCGCCTCCGAATCCATTGTCGAAACCACCTCCATCTCCCGGATTTGGTGCACACAGGTTTGGTTCCAAAACCGGTGGCCTGGGATTTGGGTCTCTGAATCTCGGTCCCCCATCAGAACCGGCGGTTCAGAAAGAGCAGGTTCCAGAGCGGCATGTTGCGGTTGTTCCGAGCTTACCCGACGACGCGACTCTCTTGTCGCCCCGCGCGGAGACCATGACCAGCAATCCGATCCATCAATCGTTGACGGAGCTCACGGGGATGCAATTCGTCGAGATTCCGCCAACGCCAAGCGAAGGGTTGTTTTCGCCGAGGGAAACCATGTTTCCACGCGATCCTTTCTTCCCGTTTGCCAGGCCCCCTCAACTGGCGGATCCGCGCAGTCCTCCGACCAAGGGTGAAACACCGATTGTACGGTCGATTGACGACATGATATGAAGAGTCAAAATACGTTCGCTCGGGACCACGATGGAAGTTTATCCGCTACTAGGGTCTCCAGGTGTTTCGGGGACATTCTCCAGGAGCGTGGCAAAAACACCAAGTACCATAGCGTACCAGATATTCTTGCCATCTAAAAAAATCGACAATTTCTTTTGTTCGTTCCAATCCATTGCCACTATTTTCAAATGCAAAAGCGTGTGCTCATGGATCGACGGGCTGTTAGCGCACTGGGGTTTCGGGAATTATCGGACCTTAGGAAGGCGGCTTGACTCGGTTTCAACTGCATTTTCCTTGCATTGGATCATCCATCATCAGCGTTAGCATCACAACTGCGCCTCAGTTCCCCTTGGTCTAAACGAAATGTATAATATAACAACACAGCATGCATGATACGAAAGGGAGGCGCAGGTTTAAAATTTCCTAGGCAAGCCGGGAAGGATATGGCCGGCGTCATTTATGGAGTCAAAGGAGAGGGTCAGGCGGAAGGGGAGGGAGGGTAAATATCTGATAATCCTTAGTTTTGTTTTAGGTTAGGACGAGGAGGATGGATGCTTCAGCGGATACATGTCGAAAATTATTAACAACACTGTTCGTATCAACATAATGTTGGCTAGGCTATAGCCTTACACAACATCTACTAGTATGCATATCTGACAATCACCCTGTTGGGGTAAAACAGACAGAGGCGTGCGTGAAGAAACGGTCGGACAGATCGTTGCCAACCTGCCCTGGTCCCTTATATCCTGCAGTCCTACCTAGTTTTTGGGTCCGGGGTGACAGAAACCTCGCAACTTCGGGATCATAATATCTCTTCACCGCCACGCAATCAACTGCTGCTATCCCATTCTTCTTGTCAGCGTTGCTTGGGTTCTGCTCTCCCTTACCATCGAGACCATGAGTCGCAGACCAACCTTCTCCTCTGTCTCCGCTACCATCGGAGCTTACTCCCCACCAAGGTGCTGTTTGGATAAGAGTAGGTGGCTCATGTAAGAAGCTTCCAGTGTATCCATCACCCGAATAAGATACCAGGCAAAGGCAAAGCAGGAATGCAATATACCAGAACCGAGTAGGTATCTAGATAGCTCTCTAGTACCGTATATCTACAAGCGCCCCCATACTAGGTATATATCTCCGTCCCAGCCCGGACCACAGCACGGCATCGGTTAGTACGTATTATTGCGCCTTTGCTGCGGCCGCGGCATCCCGTTTCGCAGCTTCCTTGGCCAGCTTCTCGCGCCGGGCAATCTGCGCCTCGACCCCGATGCCACCAAACACCAATGCCACGCCGAGCCACTGCATCTGGGAGAGGCGGTGGCCGAAGGCCACGACGCTGAGGATCATGGTGAACATCTTGCGCGTGACGGTCACGGTGACGAGCAGCACGGACGAGAAGGTTGACAGCGTATGGACTGTGAAGGACGGATTCTGTCAGCGCCTACCTAACCCACCCGGTGATAATAAACGGGAGGGGGGTAGACCAGAAAATCCGAAAAAAGTAAAAGAAAATTGTGCAGGATGGGGAGAGATGAATGGGAAAGAAAGAGAGACTCACAGATAAACACCTGACCGACGCAGCCGCACAGCGCAAAACCCAACACGTCCCTCCACACAGCCGGGTGTCTCGCCAGGAACGCCAACGCAGCCTTCAACTCACCACCGCCACCATTGCCAACATCCATGCCGAACCACTCCCCAACCGGAGTATGTACGAGCCAGGGACTAAGCAGCAAATACCCGCCGGTGATCAGCGAGCCCAGTAGGTTGTTCGCCGCCATCATCTGCGGTCCAGAATAGCCCTTGAACGTCCCAAAGATATAGTCCTGCGTCGAGTTGGTCAGGCCATCAAACAGCAGGTTGATCCCCAGCAACAACAGCCCCCATGCGGTCTGGCCCGAATGCGATCTGCTGCTGCTAGCCCCATGCTTCCGGCTGCCCGAGTGCAGCGTGAACACGGCGACGCCGCACGTGACGGCCGCGACGACCAGGTACTTGTACAGCGGGTAGCGCTTGCGGAAGACGGTGATGTGCAGGAACATGACGGGCAGCAGCTTACAGCTCTTGGCGAGGATGTAGGTGATGTAGTCGATGTGGGCCAGCGCGGCGTAGCCGAAGGGGGCGGCGAGCGCGTTGGTGAACGCCACCAGCATAAGCGGCGCCAGGATCTGTCGGCTCGGGATCATGGCCGGCACGCGCTGGCCCCGCGAGGTGGTCAGGATGGAGAAGAGCTTGCCGCCGGCGAAGGCGAAGAGCGATTGGATCGTGAGGAGGAAGACGGGGAACTTGAAGCGCTCCGGGGAGGACGGCGGGCCGTAGGCGGTCGTGGTGAGCTTCTCTTGGAGGTAGGCCCATGTTAGGCTAGGCGGGCATGTGTGTTAGTCATGGGTGTGGTGACAGGTCTGGATTGGTCTCCAAGCGGCGGATTGTGTGCATTGGTGCATTGGGGGGAGCTCACAAGGAAGCGTAGATGCCGGCAACGTCGATAACGAGGGTAACAATGCCGGCGTCCCTCTTCGCGACTAGGGCCCTGTCTCGGGATACCTGGCCATTGGTCTTCTCGGTGGGCGATTCTGCGATTCCATTTGTTGCAACTGGTTCCACGCTTCGCGCACCCCGATCGTGTTTGCTGGCATACTCGGAGGACGGCTCACGCCGGAGAGGCGTGGCCTGCTTTGTGCGAGCCATGGGGGGCGACTCGGTATTACGGTCGCTGTCGAGATGCGCGAGAACCTTGACGACTCGGCCAGGGAATGTGATATTGGAGCAAGGCAGCTGGTAGATACAAAAGGACGGCGGCTGGAAGAAAACTGGGTCGCACAAGAGGAAAGAGTCAAGGGTCGCAAAGCGAAACCAAACGAGGGTGGTGGTAATGTACGAAGTATATAAGTAGGTGACAATCTCCAGCCCGCCCGATTGATGTTCAGGAACCCGGCATTCGGCCAGGCTGGCTTTTCGGAGCTGCATGTTTTCATTCCAGGTTCCCCACGTTGGTTCCCCCCACCGCGCTAACGACCCGCCAGATTTCAGGGACTCGCTTGGCGGCTTCCGCGCCGTCGGAGCTGTGTGGAGAACCCGGGCTTGCCTGTCGCATGCCGAGAGAGGAACCTTAAATTCCGAATCGGCCGGGTGTTGATTTTGAGACAAATGCAAATCGGACCAGACCCAGATCTTTTACGAAGTGTGTATATCGAGTAGTGAAAGACATAGAAAAAAGGAAAGAAAGATAGAAACAAAGAAAAAGAAGTCCATTCGAATTAGTACCACAGTCAAGCATCTGACTTGCAGCCGTGCAGAGCCTAAGGATTGGTTCGTTACCTGGTAAGTAAGCAATCGCATATTGGCAGTAGATGGTGGGAGACAAGGAGTATCTGGCTGCAACACGCCACTATTAAGCCATTTCACACGAGATGCACGGTCGATTCATCATGAAAGTCAAATATTTGATCTGCCATTGCCTCCACTTGGATGTCTCGACTAGACATCTCTGCTAAGATCTGCTGATGACTGACCAATGTCAGGCCCCATCGAGGAAGTAATCATCGGTTTTGCTAGGCGACTGCACTGCACTGTGTGCTTCAAACCGCCTCCATGTCGGTAGAGAGACGTAGGTAAGACACGCCGCAGCCTAGCATTCGTGGATGATAAGTATGCTAGAGGATTTCGGCCGTCGAGAGAAGACGGATATAACGTGGTGGCGAGCGAAAACGGATGACGTGAGGATGTGGTGTTCTGGCTATGTTGAGCGAGGAAGAGTGAACGCGGGGTTACGCTGGCGGGTTCTGAGTTCGAGGATGAGGAGGTCGCAGCAGTCAGTGCCGATTCTGGCACGATTGAGCCTGCTTAAGGTATGCCTTATAACTCTGCGCCTCCGAGCCAGGTCTCGTGGATCCCGTTGTCGTCTCGCGGACAGCAATGGGGTAGCCCGGCCGATGGTCGTCCCAATAACAAGGTAAGATGGAGGAGTGAACCGGGACCAGAGAGATGGAAATGAAGAGAGAAGTATCCGGCGGAAAGTTTGCGTTTTGAAGTAAGGAAAGAAAAAATCGTCATCATCGCATCATTCCTCCGTCGAATAACAAGGCCTCGCGGCATTCAGATCTGGTTGATGACCCGTAATGGAGGGCTACCAAATCCGACCCAAACCAGAAAATCCCCCAAAAGGATGTGGTTAGGCTTTTGGTAACAGATCCCCCGCGCCGTAACTCCAATGATTACACCATATACGGTGTTGTCACAGCCTATGACTCGGACGACCCTCATCCGCACTCTACTCGGATGCTGGATTGGTCTGTTGCTGACGCCGCTGCTTTTCCGCCTCAAGGGTCTGGTAGAGCAGAAAAAGCGCCGTCTCGTTCGCCTTGGCGGTGCCCATGATCGTGAACATCCGCTCACCAGTCTCGTTATGAGGTGCCTATCGCCTTCGATTAGAGGGGGAAACAACTGTGCAGGCGAACAATGGCTGTCACTCACCTTGGCAATCGAGATGCGGGCTCCCGAGGTCTTGCGAATCTCACTGATCTTGGAGCCGGCGCGACCAATTATGCATCCAACCATGTCCGCGGGGATGCTGATATTCTGGGTTTGAATCTCCTCCCCGTTCTCGTCGTGAGTCGGCGGACCGCGAGCCGGTGCGTCGTCTGAGCGGCGAGTGTACGGTCGAGACCCGCCGTTACTGAAATCAGCACCGTTGCCTGTCCGTGTCACACGGGGGCCGCCATATGGAGCCCTGTCCTGAGCGTAGCTGTTGCCTCCAGTCATCGCTGGGGCGCCAACGCCCTGGGTCCGAACGACGGGGTTGTAAAGGACCGTGCCGGTGCCCCGCTGCCAGTCATCTACCAGGCACTTGCAGATTTCCCAGACGGCGCGCTGAATGCCCTCGGGCGTGCCTTGGACCTCGACTATCCGCTCGGTCGATTGCGGCAGCATCTCCTTCTGGGCCACCATGCGCACGCCCGACACGTCCTGGATGTGCTTGATCTTGAGGCCTTGCCGGCCGATGATCGTGCCCATCTGGTTATGAGAGATGAGCAACTTGATAGCTGCGACGGAAGTCAGCAGCAGATTAGAAACGCAATAGTAGCAACGGGGCCATACGGTGAGTGCCGTTGTTTTGAACGACTCCTCCCATGCCCATTGTGGGAGCGCCTTCCAGGAGCGCACGTCCAACAACGCCATAGGCCCTCGAGATGGCCTCGCAGCCACCGGTGATGGTCAAGACCCGGTCATAAACACCTTGGACGACCTTGCTAACGCCAGCCTTTACGCCTGTCTCATCGCGCAAATCGGCGACGTTCTTTCCGCCCTTCCCGATGATTACGCCAGCTTCCTTAGACGAGACAATGGCCCGCAAAGTAAGTTGTGTTTGTGCGTATTCTTCGTCAGTCTTGGGCGCCGGTTCTCCATCCGGCCCCAGACGAGGCTCGTTGTCACCGAGACTCAAATGGTCAACGGCCTGGGCGAGATCAGCCCCATTGGTGGGGATCGTGTCTTGAGCTGCCGACATGTTGGTTGCAGGCGACCAGTACTAGCTTGAGCGCTTGATGGCCAATGGGTTGTAACGTGGGGTCGGAATGGCCTGGGACAAACTAGGTAGGCAGTGTGCAGAGAAGGCGGGTTAAAAGGAAGATTGGAAGTATGGTCGCGGGGACTGGGCAGAATTAGCTGGGTAAACCCGTAAACAATAAACTCAGAGGTGGTGGCGAATGCAAAAGTTGGTCGCGCCAGGAAGCCAAGAACAAAGAAACCAAGTCGCGTTGTTGCAATAGTGCAAGTGCTACCATACAATCCTCGGCGATCTTTTCTCTGCCGACTTCCGTTTTGCTATTTGGATGTTTTTTTGTGGAAAGAAGGATGTGGACGCCGGGGATGGAAAGAGAAACGGTGCGCCGCGATGGGTGACCTTTGGGGTCCAATGGCGGGGCAATGCACGTACCTCTTGCAGCAGGCGACGGCGCGACCAATTGGGGGTGGTTACGTCCTTGCAGCACGCTGGTGGAGCGGGGTTCTTGGACTGTGCGCAGGCCGGGGAATGGGGTATGTAAAGGTAGCGCGGCGCACGGCGAGGGGTTCGAGGGAGATGGGTGGCAACAAGGGCGCGGAGGAGAGGATGAGAGTAGAGGTGTAGGTGAAGAAGAAAAGGTGAGAGGGTGATCGCAGGAGGATGGAATGAATGCGGGAGGTTGAATTCACCACATGGAGGGAAAATGTGGTGGGGAGAAGAGATGGGGGAGTTGAAAAGATGGGAAGAAAAGAGGGGTCATTCTTAGTGGTAGAGGAGAGCTTTCGGCGCGAGGTGATCATAGAGGCTGGAACCCGGCTAGTTGAACCAGCTCTAACCCTTTCGTTCGATGCCAGTCTAGAACGCCACCACGAAGTCGGCGCATCCAGCAAGGGGAGCAGGAACATAGGTGATTGCCCAGAGCAAGCTGCAGCATACTGAATGTTCCACTTAGATTTCACGATTGTTTGTTTCCAAGCTCAGGGCTATGGATATCTACAGCATAACTAAGGTAGGTACCTAATTTTGCAGTAACGTATCCAGTCTGACCAATGTGGACGGCCATCGAAGATGGGTTACACTGTCGAACTATCAGAGGCACGGTCAAGGATACAAGACCAGGTACTAGGCCAGCGACGAATCTCAAGCTCTCTTCTACTATTCTCATGTCGACTTTCTTATACAATCCCTGGCTGGAATTAATCAAACACATGTCAGAAGAACGGGCCCAGTCGAGACTGGCAATCTTACAGCCGCATGACTGCAATGATATATGCGTGCTGTCGTACCTTCTCGAGTCTGTATTCAACAATCCAACCTTGTGGTTCTGTTCAGTGCATCGTAGTGTCATAGTATACAGGAGGATTCGGCAGAGGAAGAGGATCCAAGACAATGCTGCCCAAAAACCTGATAGAGGGAGCAGACCAGACGCATACCAAAAAATAACAACCGTGGTGGTAAAGGAAAGGGGAAAAAGATATCCAAACTGGTGGAGAGAAAGGGAAGAAAATCCAGATCCATCCGCTCGGAAACCTGCCTCCAACACCTTGTCCAACGCCCCTAAAAATCAAAACTCTCAAAATCCAATCTTCCTAAACTCCTCCAAGAAATGACCCATGCCTTCCAGATACCTGTACCCTTGCCTGGCCCCATAGCGTAAATTGTAATCCGATGCGATGCATATGCCTCCCAGAAGACGGAGTCCCTTCCGTCTTGTGAATCACATAACGGCACACGACGTGGTCCTCGCCCTCCTCCTGCCCCCAACAGTGGCGACAGCCCAGCCCACGGCACCCTCCTGGTCATGCGCCTGCTGCGCTTCCCTCGCCCTCCTCCTCCTCCTCCTTGCCCCGACCCCAGAGACGCCCGCCTCCTCGGTCGCCTGCATGAAATCGGCCCACTTCCTCTCCAACCGTCTCGCGGACGCAATATCCCCCTTGAGCACCCGCTTCGTATGCTCGTCAACAGTCATCTGCCAGTTATGATAGCATTTTAGGCTGATGATTTCGGTCGGCAGGTTGTGTGGGTCGATCGCCTTTCCCTTGCCTTTGCGGTCCTCTCGAAGCTGCTGCGGCGCTTCCGTGTTTCGACTGAGGACTTCGCGCACACCGGCCCAGCCGATGTTATGGCAGTCATAGCAGACCAGGCTGAGGCCGACGGTGGGGAGGGCCTTGTGTTGCTGTCGTGGGGCTAGGGCTGACCGCTCGCGCACCATGGCGGCGGCTTCGGCAAGGACGAGGTCGCTGGCGAGCGTGTTGTCCATGTAGATGCTCCTGAGGCGGGTACAGTTCCGGATGGCGGGTAGCAACCCTGGGTCTCCGATGCGCTCGCAAGAACTGACGCAGAGGTGCTCGAGGCCGGACGCGCAAGGAGCCTTGGCAAGATGCTTTGACAGGAGGAGATTGCTGAGATTGAGCTCCTCTAGCTCAAGATGCGTGAGACGGGGGGTCGAAGCTAGAATCGGCTCAAGCGCACCGTCGGACAGAGCTGTAATGCCCGAAAGCTGCAGACCCTCTAGATCGGGAACCAGATATCCAAGCGCCTTCACGCTGGCGTTGGTAAGCCTGTAACACCGGTTAAGATTGAGGTGACGCAGCTTTCGGGGAGGGACGATTGGTCGGCCCGTGAGCCAGTCGATCTCGGGGTTCGGACCGTGAATCATAAGTTGGAGCGTGCGATCATTTAGGTCGTCACAACCCGGGAGGACGAGCCGCTCGAGGTTGTTGGTCCGGAATATGGCCTTCGCAACGTCCTCGTTATTGAACCCCTTAATCTCACCGGCTCGCAGATCTTTGAGTTTCCGGCACCCCTCAACCACGAACCTAACACCCCTAGCATCCATGTTCTTGCACCACGAGACGTTGAGAGTTTCTAGCTCGGGGCAAGAGTTTGAGATGATCTTGCAGGTCGCGTTGTTTACGGCGGGCAGCGCGGTGAGGTTAAGCCGTACAAGCTTGTTGTTGGCCTTGAGTACTCTGTGTAGGGTCGAGCGCTGGATATTTCGGCATCCCTCCAGGGTGAGGTTCATAAGATTTCGGCATGCCATGGCCACCACCGCAGCCTGTTCGTAATGCTCCACCTGAACGCAGCCCCTGAGGTTGAGGTTCTTCACGAATGGCCCCGCCGACTCAATGATTTTGGCTAGTGATTCGGCAGGTATCTCTCTGTAGAACTCGGATGCATCGAGGCTGGTCCACAACTGCCCATCGAAGCAGATCCTGTGAAACTCCTTGGACACTCTCGAAACACGCACGAGCTCTTTCGGCCGGAGGCAAGAAAGCACATGGGACTTGAGCTCCGGCGGCAAGCCCGCCCACAGGCTCCATGCATTCCGCTCCTTCTTGGTTCTCACGGGTAGAGAAGGGGTGGTTGATGCATGCGGGACACATGAGTCCGATCGAATAGCAAGCGCTGAATCGAAGCCATCAAAGCCCGGCGACTCGGCGATCGGGCTGGTTGGAATCGATGGGTACGTGGTGGAACTCCCAACCGCTGAGGCCTGGGAGAAGTAGGAGCTGGTACTTGACTGGCCGGACGAGGAGCTGTTCCAGCCTAGACTGACACAGGAGATGTTGCCAGGAGGTGAAATTGAGCTGCTTGCGGACCTCCCGCGAGTGAGGGAGGGTGAGGACAAGACACGCTGAAGACGGCGCAGCCGCCTGTCCCTTTTCGTCGGTGCCGCTGTGTCGTTTTCAATGGGCCTCTCATCCAGGGTATCTGGGCTCGGTGGCGTGCCTGGAACACTGTGAATGGTGTAGGGGGCTGCCATGATGGCGATGCCAGGTGGGTATAAGTCCGCGTAATCGGGAACAGCGCTTTAGCGGAGCAAAGGTCCAAGAGGCGCAGAAAATAAATGCCGTGTGCCTTCCTGGACGTTTCAGAATATGCTCCGGCGCTGGCGAATTGCAATCTGGTGATGGCGATGGCGTTGTCGAGGAAGAAAGAGAAATGTCGGATTGGTAGGCGATATCCGGGCCAGCAAGTAGGAGGAAGGAGAAAAGAAGTCGCCCAAGTAAAACGAGCGGGAACCGATCCACTAGTCAGTGCGTACTACACGCAAGAAATGGTGGGCGGGTGCAGTGATGATGTCGATATCAGGCCGCTCGTATCATCGATCGGGGCGGGGTCCGAATTGGATCTTCAGCACAGGCTGAGGCTGTGCGGCTAGACCTAAAACCGGCGCAGGAGGTGTTGAGTGATTCTCAGCTGGGATCCCATCGCAGCCTCATCCATATCGAAGCCAGTCGAGGATTATACACTCGAGACACTGTGCAGAAGGTGACACTGGTGATAATGATGGGATTTCGAGCTCCCACCGCTAGTCAAAGTGGCGAAGGACCCGAGACAAGTGAGGCGAGAAAGCTGAAAGGAAGGGGCTAAAATGTGGGGGAAGAGCTAGATGAGGGGCAGCAGGGCTCCCCTTTTCTAGGTCCTACCTAGGTCAATGTGAATCGCCGGTTCCTACGCACTATCTATCCATCGAGCCGAGCCGTCCAGTTCTGAGACTATCGAATGTCTCTAAGCTGAAGATTGCCGCTTGCAGAAGGTAGCCGGCCAACAGAGCAGGGGTTCGGTGGCACTGCCCATCGTGTAGAGCGTAACCTAAGAGAGAGCGTGATCCGGGCAAGAAACATGCCATCTACATCCAACTGGAAGACGCAGCGGTCTAGACACGGCGGCTCTGTTTGCTACTTAGGTGTCTGAAGAGCAACTTGACAGTAAACTGCGCAAGATCTACCGCACCCTCCCTCACCTGCACTGCATCTGACCAGTTTCTCTGGCACACCGTTGGGTTGCGTGACTTAAAACACCTGGTATCTGTTGGCTGTGGTTCGTTGGAGCGAGACATTCGGGAAGGTGGGGTCACGGTGGCTCACTGCGGGCGCCCGACCTTATCTTATCATGCATGGAGGTTGCAATGGTCGCAACTATCAGGGAGAATTCAGGGTCCATGTTTCCGAGTCACTCCAGCACTTCCCCAAGGTAGTCTACCTTATACATCCAACATCCGCTGCTGTTGGCCGATGCGAGCTAGTACTACACAAGTAAGGCCAACGACAAGTGCTAGAGGGGTCCGGCACCGGCAGGTGGGGCTTGACGAGAGTCTGGCACATCACATCGGTACCGGAGGTAGGTATGTTCCCTTACACGAAGTCTTTCCATATTTGCATCAGTACAACGACAGTGGTACAATACGTGTGCTGCCCCTGTAAGTGATCTTCGGGGCGCGCTACTACTGCCAATGTAGAGCTCCGCTGACGCTACTCGTTGTACGGATTACACCTGTCTCAGTTTCACCGTCATGCGGCACGGGACGCCCGACGCAGCAATGCGCATGTGGATATTTCCTGTGTGCCTTCCAAATCTGGAATTGTTATATCCTTACCGTGGTACATATAAGTGATGCCTCGATGCCCACCGCTGTCCGCATCATTGGGTAATGGAGACACAAGCTCCGAAAGCCAGCCAGGCCGTTTCAACCGGGCCGGGCGGCCGAGTTGCAAGCCGACCGGAACGGAGGAATGTGCCCCAGACGACCCGACTAGCGTCGTTGCGGCGCTGCGAGAGAGGTAAGCTGACTGTAGCCCACCGAGCCCATGTGTCGACTGTCGGGTACCGGCATCGCTCGACTCTCGACAGGAGCCAGGGCGTGCCAGGGTACCAATTGCCACACAGTATGGGGTAAATTACTTTGAGCGTGGGGGTGCGTTTTGAGGTCTTGCGGTGGATGATCGGCAGAATCCATTCCACAACTGTGCCTCGGTTCGTCGTCCTGCCTTGAATCTGGCTTTTGAGACATTGTGTTGTTTGGTGATCATTTCTGAACGGCATACAGAAGTTGGCGAAGCCGGGGCCAGCCTCGGTGTTTGGTTCGGAACTGGGTTATGGCCCCGTCAGCCGACCGGGCACCAGTTTCGGCGTTGCTATGGGCCATACATACGGCTGGGAGTTAACTTCAAGTTACTAACTTATAAGGTCGCCATTGTCGGCAGCCATGGTGTTTGGCCGCCGAGACCCACTTTGTTAAGTGGCATGCGGATGGAAGACCAGGTGTGTCAACCGAGTCGGGGGAATCTTACGAACTGTCAACTGATGAGTAAAGCCGATCTCAGTCATTGATAGGTGCGGCGGGCGAATAACACTTGAAAGGGGTTGTCCACATTTGCTTTGACACATGCCATTCATCAGCAACCGAAGGCGGGGAAACTGCTGTGGTCGGGGTAACAGTGCGCGGGTTGTTTATTTCAACTGTGATGGGCTCAGCTGTTCTCGGTGGTCCGGTGCTGGGCGACCTGTTCCATCGTTGACAGGCCCACAAAAACCTCTGTGGGCGTTGTGCGGTCATTCATCGGATCACCTCCAAACTTTGTGCGGCATTGTAGTGAGAAGTGCCAAGCTTAGAGCTTGGAATCTGAAGGTTTAAATGGCTGGGTTTCCCGTGGTTTTGTAGCCCTCCCCTAGGCTGTGGCCGCCCGCCTGGTGGCCGCTTGTAGCGAGTTTGGGTCTCCATGGAAGGGAAACAGCTAACTGTATGTATGTAACTCCCATCAACCTGGCGGAGACACACCTAATTTCTGTCACATAGCCGGGCAACAAGTCTGGGGTTCCCCATGCTGATTGTCTCTTGGACTAGCCGGTTTGTTTGAGGAGTGCATCATAGATGGGCGAAAGATCGCGAGGAATCCACTCTCATCTGCTCTGAGCGTCCAGGGTTCCGGATGTTGTGCGTCACCAGGTATATGCTTCGTCAGCCCTGCAAAAGAGGACAAAACTCTGCGACCCGTTCTTACCGTGTATTGCTACACATTGCATTCCAACAAGAAGTGTTAACAAGGGGGTTTCGATCGTCGATCGCCGAACACAGTTGCTTTGCTTTGCGTTTTGGGGAAACCAGTCTATTTCCAAGGAAGTGCCTGAAGGTTAGTTAGGCATTTGAAGAACCGCCTGACAGCCCATTCAAAACCAGGCATTCTGCGGTGGCTTGTTCCTTTCACGACGCAGCCTGAACCCCACCAATCGATTTCTCTGTCAACCAACTCGGTCCGCATTTGGCTACGCATTTGGCCTTTTCTCTAGAGGAAACTGAATATTTTTCTTTTGTTTCCTCTTGACTCGGCCGGATTTCCCTTGCTCCCATTATGCTCGGGATATGTGGTGGAAGCTCGGACAATGGTGAGTTGATGGATCGCCCTCAGCTTCCGCCACAACTCGGCAAGCAAAACGACGATCATGATTCTCCGCACTGAACCTCTGCTGACGAGGAGGCACGCCGCACTTATCGCAGGCGACTACCAACAGCATGACCCCGAGGCCGGCGGCCAGGCGAGGCTCTTGGCTCCGTTGCAGATCCCGAAGAACAGAAGCACAGGAAATCTTGGGGCCGTGGCGAACAGCTCCGAGAAGGCCCGCATACGCTTCTCGTTCGACGCCGGCCCTTCGGCGGCCGAGTACGATACAATGTCAAGGTTAGCATGGGAAATGGAAGGGGCAAGGGAGAGCGGGGTTGTTGGCGCCGCGGAAACCCTTGGTTGCGTGCCAGACAGGTTCCGGTCTCCCGTTGATTCGTGGCCTAGTAGCTGACATGGCCATGTTCTTAGGAGTTCCCTCATGACGGACCATGACCATGGCTTGGGAATGTCCGGCCTCAGGCGCATACGGCAGCAGCACAATCCGGTGTGGGCCTCTCCCTTGCTGTCTGCTTCGAGTCGGACGCCCTCCCTGCACACCTTGACACGATCGCCATCTGCCTCCACGCTGCTGGAACCGCATGTCCAGTCAATACCGCTATCACCGGGTGTAACGTCTCCCGCCTTTACCGAAGATCTCTCGCGCTTTCCGTCCGAATCGCTGCATTCATTTTCGTTCGCCCACCAGTCGGAGGACCTGATACACAGCCGCCAGAATGTTCTGAAGCGGTCGATTGAGTTCATGAAGGACCGGAGGGGCTGGACTGTTGCGTCGAACGCGGGGATAGCCAGCGCTCAGGCACGGGTCACTGGCGATGTCGAGATGCAGAGCATGCTAGATTTGCTAGCGAAGGCACAGCTGGTCGGCGCTGGAAATCTGCCTGCGGGAGGAGACGCCGGTCTTCTTACGGGACCGCTCACGGGGCCGGCATCCATGTCAGATGCGAATGTTTTCGACAAAGGCTTCGCACCGCGGACCGCAAGCCCCGAACCCTTAGATGGAACACCCCTCACGTCCCCAGCTGCTCCTGCGCCGGCGTCGATGCCTGCGTCTGCCGAAGTCCGCGGATCCGAGCAGGACGCATCGGCTTCGATGACAGATACGCGGCTTCAGCCTCAGCCTTTGCCAAGCGAAGGTACGGGGTCCGAAAGCTCGTCGCGGACACCGACGAACGAGAGCGGCACGACGGCGAAGACGTCCCCACCGGCATCTAGACGTCCGAGTTTTCTGAAGCGGACGATGACCGAAACGGACACGGTCCAGGTGTCAGTACAGCAGAAGCTTGTGGATGTGATGGCACAGCCGTTCCTCGCCGCTGAGGCGCAACAGCCCCAGCACAGACCATCGCTGCCTTTTCCGCCGGCCATTGGGCCATCGGCCGGCGTAGCCCCCGTGCCACATGGTCATCCGACGAGATGGGTGCCTGCTGCACAAGCAATCTTCACCACCGAGGCGAAACCACCATGGACGATACATTCGGCCAATGACATCGCCTGTTTGCTGTTCGGCGTGACCACTGCCGAGGTGCGGAAGATGGGAATCCTGGAGGTGGTTCAGGAGGAAAGGCGGGCATGGCTGGTGCGCAAGTTGCAGAAAGGCATCCACGACGATGCCGGAGACGGCTCTGAGAGCGAAATCTCTCAGCCAAGGCCTGCCGTGCAGACGTCGACGCTGCTTGGCGCCCGCGCTGGCGGGATCACGGCAAAACTCCTAAGCAAGCCAAGCTCAAGATCGCAGGCACCCAAGACCGGGCGACGGCCGGCAACCGTCCACAGTGGCGACCCGAAGCCGCCGAGGCCGGGGCAGGGCCACCGCCTCAGCAGCAAATCTAGGGGAGTGCTGCTTTGTGGAGACGTCGTTCCTATTCAGGTGAGTCAAGGAAACACTCTCTGGGGGCACGTGTGGTCATTAACGGTTCTGGTTAGAAACGGAACGGTGCAACCGGCTCTGCCAGCTTCTGGGTGATCGAGAAACGGGTGGGTTTGATCTGGGTGCTGGAAGAGATCCACGAGGATGTTGCGTACATCGATCTCGACGAAGAGGGCACCGTTACCAAACTCTCTGGTGCGCTAGAACCGATCTGGGGGGACGAGAATCTGAAGACGGGTGTGGACATTGGCACGTTGATCCCTCGAATCTCCCGACAAGGGATCGACCCCCGCTTCGGCGAGATCGACTACCGAGAAATCGCCAAGAGGAAATACTACACTTGCCGTAACCGCAACGGAATCAACATACCAGCAACGGTGGAACAGGTCAGCGGGTCCACCCAGCTGCGCGTGTCGAGCTTCCCGCACATCGCGGGTATCATCGTGGTCTGCCCTCAAGACCTGACCATCAGGAGCTCGAATTCCGTCTTCTGCGGCGCGCTCTTCGGCTACGAGAAGCCGGATGGCATGTCAATCAACCAACTGGTGCCCAACTTCGACAAGGTCCTCCGCATCCTCACCGACAAGGACGGCATCCACCTCGTTGAGGGCATTGTGATCCCCGAGCATTCGTTCCGGAAGGCCTCGGCGTTCCTGGCTCTTGAAGAAGGCCTGCCGGATGCCGCGACAGGGTTCCTGCGTCCTGACTGTCTCCCAGCCCGGCATCGCGATGGGTCCCAACTGAAGATCGACATCCAGATGCGGGTCGTGAAGAGCGAAAAGCAAGTCGCAACGCACCACACGGAGGAGACCAGCGACGAGGAGTCCCGTTCGGATGAGGCCGGCGATGAGTTCGTGGTCGCGCAGACGGAATGGGTCTATGCACTGTGGGTGACGTATTCGAGACACATCCACGCCGCTCGTCCCAACTTGGGAGGCGTATCATCCCCAGTGCTCTCCCGCGTCGCGACGCCCCTACAACAACCATCACCAGGCCAGACGCCTGCTCACACACCCCTAGAACTGCAATCCGATTCCGACGAGTCCTTCAAAGGTGAAGCTACAACCTCGACGCTGGCAAGTCAAATCAAAAAGGCAGCCATAGCAGCCGCCGCTAAGTTGACGGGCTCGCAATCGCCATCCGAGCCGCAGAAGGAACAACAGCCTGCGATCGAGAAACCGGCTGAGCCAGCCAAGAAAAAGACCATCGACGACTTCGTCATCCTTGAGGACATGGGCCAGGGCGCCTACGGACAGGTCAAGCTCGCGCGATACCGGCCAACGGGGAAGACGTGCGTCCTCAAGTACGTGACGAAGAAGCGCATTCTCGTCGACACCTGGACCCGCGACCGTAGACTGGGCACGGTGCCCCTCGAGATCCACGTGCTTGACTACCTGCGGCGGGACGGGCTGCGGCACCCGAACATCGTGGAGATGGAGGACTTTTTCGAGGATTCCGTTAACTACTATATCGAGATGGCCCCCCACGGCCGGCCCGGGCTGGATCTCTTCGATTACATTGAACTACGGACCAACATGGACGAGCAGGAGAGTCGCAGCATCTTTGTGCAGGTGGCTCGCGCCATCCACCACCTCCACACCAAGGCGCTTGTGGTGCACCGAGACATCAAAGACGAGAACGTCATCCTGGACGGCGAGGGCACATCAAGTTGATCGATTTCGGGAGTGCGGCATACATCAAGAGCGGACCCTTTGATGTCTTTGTGGGTACCATTGGTGAGTGTTTACCCACTTCTCCTAGGCCCTACGTCCATCCCATTCGCCTTTACCAAGAGAGAGAGCTGACCGTGAGGTGGCATAGACTACGCGGCGCCCGAAGTCCTCGCCGGCAAGCGCTACGGCGGCAAGGAGCAGGACGTGTGGGCGCTCGGCATCCTGCTTTACACCATCATCTACAAGGAGAACCCCTTCTATAGCATAGACGAGATCATGGACCATGACCTGCGCGTGCCGTACGTCATCAGCGAGGAGAGCATCGACCTGATCCGTAAGATGCTCAACCGCGATGTCGAGAAGCGGCTTGACATCGACCAGGTGCTGGCGCATCCTTGGTGTCAGGGGTTCATTGGGTGAGCGAGTGCCGCGGCTAGGTTGGGACGATGGTCGGGTCTAGTGACGTGGTGCCGCATAGGGCGCCCATGGCAAGACGATAGTTGTGGCGGAGGATCAGGTACTTTTCCTTCTTCCTCTCTCCTCTCTTCTTTGGCACATCTGTTACGCTGCTTCCTTTTTAGGGGTGGAAGCGTTTCTTTTTTTTGTCTCCCTCAACTCTTGGTTTTGTTTCTGGCTGGTATGGTTTTTGGCTGCATCATTGGTGGCGTACTGTGTGGCAGGCTTGATGTCCCTGCACGAGTGGTTAAGATGAGACAAAGAAGATATGATACCGATTGCATTGTTTTCACTTATGTCTCTCTCTTCGTTTAAAGCAGAGTGGTCGTCGCCTTTGGGTTGTAAAGAAGTGGTGAAGACGAGGAGGTGTGTAGCTGCATGAAGACGCTGAGAGATTGCTGGACTCACCTACTTAGGACATGGACGGACCCACACGCAGACATGGTTAAATACCCCAGCTATATACACACACACACACCCACATATATATATATATACATGCTAAGATGTGCAGGCTGTTTTTGCTTGCACTCTCCTAACAGCGCACGTTATTCTCTAACTTAGTATCTAGTATCGCACTAAGCCTGCTCACTCCTGGTTGCCGCCAGACAGAGCAGTAGCTGCGTGAGGCCATGTCAGTGGATGGAGCATGAACACAAACGCCCGCTGAAACAGATCTCAGCATTATCACCACCTTGGTCCTGAGATGTAACACTTTGCATGTGCAGATGTTAACTGTCTGAGCGGGCTTGACGCAATGCTAGCTCACTTCATGCTATCTCTCTTTCCATCCATCTTTAGCTACCTACCTTAGCTAGCAAGCCAGTCTTAGGATTTCAGGAGCTCACTGTCTGTGCTTGTCTGACCCGTCCTAGATACCCTAAGGTGACTCGGGCATGGCGCAGCGCGGTCGACTCTGACTACGTGGAAGCAAGGGATTCATATCATGCAGTCCACCACTCAGAATGTATTCTGCAACCTAGCTATGCATCTCCTCAGAGTGAAGGGGGTTTCCTGTCCTGTTCCAATCTGGATACCGTATCGACGACGCAAGTACTCGTGAAACGAATAACAGCCATCCCACTCCCTGATCCTCTCGAGCTCGACCCACCACTACCCCCGGAGAACAATCTTTTATCTTTGCAACTCGGCAACCCCCGGTCTTTAGTCAGAAAAAGAAAGAGAGAAAGAAAAGAAGGCAATGGCATCACCACCGCAGAACTTAGAGAAGGAAACCCCTTTGAAGCTGGGAACTCAAAATAATAAGAAGACTCCCTGTGCCGACGACAGCGGCGACGATGACGACCAGGTAGAGATATACGAAAGAACAATAGTTATTACCCCCCCCCCCCCCCCCCCCCCTTCACAGCTTCCGCACCGAATCCCCAACCAATCAACCACCAGCAAGGTACCTACCTATATACGGAGAGTATCAACCGGCATCCAACCCCAGAGCAATCCTCACGGCAAGCGCCTAGCTGGCAGCAGAGGAAGCCCGATCCACCCTCAGTCTTGCCGGCATCTCATGTCCATCTACCTTCCCCTGGGAAGACTCGATGTCGAGACCCATAGACCGCTGTGCAATGCTCGTTTCAACCCTCACACCCTTGCTAGTTGTGTTCCCGTGGCGATCAGCTCCCGGGCTTGGTTGCTGCTGCTGCTGCTGCTGCGCGGCCGGCGGCGACATGCTGCTGCTGCTGCTACCTGGGTCCTGGTGAGGAGGGCCCTCGCTTGCTGCCCAGACGCGGGTGTCGACGCCTACTACTCGCGAAGTGGAGCCCGGTGCTGGGACGGCCCAGGGGGAGGGGTGAGCTACTGTCAATGGTTTGGGCGGTGCCAATGTGGTTGTTGTCGATGTGCTGGCGCTCGGCGTCAGGCGGGTTTGGGTGTGGTTACCCGATAGGGAATGAGTTGAGGAGTCGTTTGCTGCTCGGAGTAGTTGTGCATCTTTGTCCGTGCTGCGGCTGCGGCTGTGGAAAGGGATGGATAAAGAAGGGAATCTGACAGGCGGCTTGGCGATGCTGACTAGGGTAGGAAAGGGAAAGGGGTTGCGGAGTCGATGGGATGACCCGGCTTCGACCTGGGCCGTGGCGGCGTCTATCTCGGCCGCGGAGAGGTCGGGCCACGGGTTGTGGTGGGAGACGGAGGAGGAGCCTGCGGCGGTCTTCTCAGGATACTGGATGGGTACGAGTTCCGTGTCCATGGCCATGTTGCGCGGCTGGGTCACGGAGGACGAGGGAGCTCTGTCGGGCCGGCTCGTGAGCGAGACCTGCTCAGCGGTGGGGAGAAGGCTGTCTTTGCGGGTGAATGTGGTGCTTCTATGGGGGGGTTCAGTCAGCGTGGGCAAGGGGAGACACAAAGACAAGGGGCCGTACATCGATGAGAGGAGACCCTTGCCGCGCAGGGAGCGGGTGAACGACGACCACAGCGAGGAGCCGCGTTTCGGGCGCGGCACGTACTCTTCCCGCAGTCCGGGGAAGATGTACCCCAGTCCGAAGGCCAAAAGCAGCTTGCGGTACATATTCAGCGCCTCCGGGGTGGTGCCGAAGGGGATGAAGACGGCGATGCCGGCCAGCTCGGCGATGAAGCTGATGGCCAGCGACGGGAAGTCCATCATGTCGGACGTGGTGAAGGAGATGAAGTAGATGTTCAAGGGGTCCGGGCCGAAGTGGAGCGCGTAGAAGTCGTAAGGCAGGTTCCAGGGGGCGCCCTGGACGATGTTCCTGAACAAGAGGACCATGATTAGGGGCAACACCACGATGATGCAGAAGAGCGTCATGAAGTAGAGCTTCTTCCTGACCCGCTCCTGCCTGGCCGCCGCGACGCCGTCCTGGGAACGGGCAACGTCTCGGGTGGCCTTGTCGATTTTCCGATAGCGGTAGAAGGTTACACCTGTGCCTTGTCAGTAACCACCAACTACTTCACCCAAGCCAAGGGAGTGTCGTGTGCTCTCCACTCACCTGCCATGTAAGCCGCTCCGACGGCAAAGATAGGAGTAGGTAGGATGTAGAAGACCAGGAAGATCCAGTTGGGGTAGTAGACGGCATCGCAGCCCACCAAGGTCGAGATGTTATATCGACCGAAGGTGGCGAAGTAGATGAGGATCACCTGGATGACGGGAAAGGTGAAGATGACCAGGGCCGAGACAATGCGCTGGCGGCGCCGCTCGCTGCGAGTCAGCTTGACAGCGCGGTCGAGCGCCACTTTGGACGCCAGGCCGCGCATGATCTCGAATAGGCTGATGTTGAAGGCCGTGTGCAGGGCAAAGTTGGAGTAGGCCTGGATGTCGCACCAGCCGTAGCCCGCCCACCACGTCTCCACGTTGTCGTCGCGCCATATCAGGGCGTTGATGACGGTCTGGAGGTTGAGCACCAGCAGCATCACACAGAGGACCGTGCCGCCGAACTCGCCGTTCCGCCAGAGGAGTCGTGCTGGGACCCAGGTGACAAAGAGGGAGACGATGCCGAGGAACACCCTGAAGAAGAGGTTGACCTGCAGGGCTGGGTGCGTGTATGGCGGCCCGGGTCCAATGCGCTCCTCTGACGTGGTGGTGAAGCCAAAGAGGGCCCATTTGTTGACCGGCTGCGTGCTGTTCGTTGAGGCCATGCTGGCTGTAGGCAGGTCTTAGACCTTGGCGAGGCAAGGAGGGGGTTTCACAGCAGCAGCGTGCTGTTGAGGGATCTGTCTGCTGCTTCACCCAAGGTTGCACCCGAGGTTGGAAGTTGGAACGCTGGGGCAGTCGGATACTGCGGATCTCACTGATCTCACTCGGTGTAGACGAGGCCGGCTCGGAGGCAACGAAGAGGTGCGCATTAAGAATGAGAGGGACTCCTGCGTTGGCAACGACGGCAACATAAAAGAAGACGGCGACATGCGTGTTCTGCCAGGGCCCAGGGGGCAAGATGGCCGTCCCATGGCTATGATATTGCTCTATTGCCCATTGGCTTATTGACGAGTAGCAGTCCCATTGAGACTATGAAAGTGACAGCCCCACTTGTGGTGATGGTGTAGCGGCCGAACTTTAGGTGAGAAGCGCTGAATAGCCCTATTGAAGCTCTATTCAGACCCAGATTAGGAAAGGCTCGGCAGCGGTCCAGAGTTGATGCCGCGCTTACCAACAAAGGCCACACAAGGAGAATGCCACGCCGTTGACTGCAAACAGACGGTTCATGGGCCTGGATATAAAATCCGAAACTCATCGTCGCGAATAGTTTCGGTTCCGGAATGCGATACATCATGGCCGACTTTGAGAAATCGAGAGTGCAATCTCACGACGGCCGGATTCATCCTGAATCCTGATTCCTGAGCCGGGCGACACTTCGCACAAATCCAGGGATGCTTCATGCTGGGCTACTGCAGCTGCCGTCACTGCTGCCACTGCTGCCACTGCTGCCACTGCTGCCACTGCTGCCACTGCTGCCACTGCTGCCACTGCTGCCACTGCTGCGCGCGGACTGCTCCTTCCTCGTGAGACACTGCGGCTGTTATGCGCGCTCAGCGCTTCTCTGCGCTTCTGCTGCAAGGCTGAGTGGCTGTCACTGCGCAATGTATTTGATAACCACTCGGCAGTCGACGGAAGAGATCCGGTCGGAAATTTGGCCAATGTCGGGATGGGCTGCGGCTTCCGCCACGTTGACAACTTGACATGCTACTAATCTTCCGTGTGCGGTCACTACGGTGTAAGTCTAGGGGAGCACGTGCTGCCATAGCCACAGCCACTGTGGCTGAAGCTGCAGCTCAGATGCCTCTAGCCACTAAACGTTACACGTAGTCGCGTCTCCGCAACAATCAATTAAACGCGACAGAACTTCAGCTGAGAGGAATTCACGTAGGCCCCCCACTAACACTTCCTTCCGCGCATAACCATAAAAAAAAAGAGCCAAGAAGTAGAAGGGGGAAATAAACGAAGGGAAACAATGTCTGCCTTCTTGCGTACCGCATCCCGCGCCGTCGCCCGGCCGGCCACCGCCGCGCGCTCCTTCAGCACGACTTCCCCGCGCCCAGTCGCCCGCATCACCATCATCGGCAACCTGGCCGACGTGCCCGAGACGCGCGCCTCGAGCACCGGCCGCGAGTACATCCGATACGCCGTCGCGAGCAACTCGGGGCCCCGCGACAACCGCAAGACCAGCTGGTTCCAGGTCAGCTCGTTCGTCGAGGGCGTCCAGAAGGACTTTATCGCATCGCTTCCCAAGGGGTGCGTTTTTTTTATTTCCATTCTTATTTTTACTTTTATTTTTTAAACCCTGTTCTGTAGAGATAGGCTTGAATTGACTGACGCGACCTGGCAGGACTTTGGTCTTGGTTGAGGGCGATGTGAGCATCTCGACGTACACTGATGCAGAGAACAAGCCTCGCCAGGGACTCAACGTTGTACAACGTATGTCACACCCCATAGAATTCCTCCCTCCCCTCCCTCCTCCCCCCCCCCCCCCCCCCCGCGGAGGACGAGGAGCAATCTTGCTTACTTACTGACATGATGCAGGCAACCTGGAGGTTCTGCGCCGCCCGCCCGGCTCCTATGTCGAGGCTGGTGAGCATGAGGGCGAGGGTGCGCCACAGTAGATGGCCGTCACACACAGTTGAGCCCCTGATTATTCTTCACATTAGAGTCGCCAATCTGTTGGCATGGCGCCCTGAACGATACTCTCTTCTCTGGATCGTGGGTTTTTGTCTCTAGGCGACCGGGACATGCTGTATTAATTTTTAACGATGTCTCTGGGGTACGATACCAATGTACGATTCTATTCACACATAACACATCTTCCGGCGACGATGCTAGGAGATTGCTGGACTTCTTGCGCCCCGTCCTGTACCGAGTACAGAGCTTCGCAGCTATTTGTGATCCAAGTCTGATGAATACATCCAACCCTTCGCTCTCTTTGAGCGCCAAGACATGCCCGTGTGGGCGTAACATTCAGCGGTTTCTATCAGCCCCACCTCGGTTGATATCAACTCCAATTTATTTTCTTGCAGGGGTTCCCGTCGCAGTCCCGCCATCCTTCCCATCAGCACATCCACATCCAGGCTGGCATAGCCAACGGCCATGACCAATTTCTGGCTTCCCAGGGGCCTCGGCCGGCCACTCCGATGGCAGCATCGTCTCTACAGACTCAAAATCCATACTAGGAGGACATTTGCAACAGTTGGCTCCGACTCAAGGTGAGCGCGGGTTCAAGGTCCCCCAAGTTCCTCTTCGGCGCAATAGGAAATCGCATCGTATTCTGACTTTTGGCGTCTGAACAATGTAGGCCATTCGATGTCGTTGTTATTGGCGGTGGCCACGCCGGCTCGGAAGCTTGCGCGGCAGCGGCTCGCGCGGGCGCTCGGACAGCGCTGATCACGCCCGACATCGACAACCTCGGCGTCTGCTCGTGCAACCCTAGTTTCGGCGGCATCGGCAAGGGCACCATCCTGCGCGAGGTCGATGCGCTGGACGGGCTGGCGGGGCGTGTCATCGACAAGGCGGGAGTGCAGTTCAGGGTGTTGAACCGCCGCAAGGGGCCGGCCGTGTGGGGCCCGCGCGCCCAGATCGATCGCGCCCTGTACAAGAAGCACATGCGCGAGGAGCTCGAGTCGTATCCGAACCTGTCGATCGTGCTCGGCAGGGTATCCGACATCGTCATCGCGGACAACCACGACGACCCGGCTGCCGATGGCGCTAAGAGCAAGATCACGGGGGTGCGCCTGGAGTCGGGCGAGGTGCTGCCCACGAGCCAGGTGGTCATCACGACGGGCACCTTCCTAGGCGGCGAGATCCACATCGGCCTCGAGGCCTTCCCCTCGGGACGGATGGGCGAGCAGGCCACCTTCGGGCTGAGCAAATCACTGCGCGAAGCAGGCTTTCAGCTCGGCCGGCTCAAGACGGGCACCCCGCCACGGCTCGCCAAGAACAGCATCAAATGGGACATCCTCGAGGAGCAGCGCGGCGACGAACCGCCGATGCCCTTCAGCTATCTCAACGACGCCGTAACAGTGCGGGACCAGCTGCTGTGCTACGCGACCTACACCAACCACGCCACGCACGACATCGTCCGCGCCAACCTGGACAAGACCATCCACATCCGCGAGACGGTCAAGGGCCCGCGCTACTGCCCCTCGCTCGAGTCCAAGATCATCCGCTTCGGCGACCGCGAGCGCCACATCGTCTGGCTCGAGCCCGAAGGCTTCGACAACGACGTGATCTACCCCAACGGGCTCAGCATGACCGTGCCCGCCGCCGCCCAGGAACAGCTCCTCCGCACGATTCGCGGCCTCGAAGACGTGGTGATGCTGCAGCCCGGCTACGGCGTCGAGTACGACTACGTCGACCCGCGCAGCCTCAAGCGCACGCTCGAGACCAAGGCCATCCGCGGCCTCTTCCTCGCCGGCCAGATCAACGGCACGACGGGCTACGAAGAAGCCGCCGGGCAGGGCATCATCGCGGGCATCAACGCCGGCCGCGCCGCCCTCTCGCAGCCCCCGATTACCCTCTCCCGCGCCGACGCTTACATCGGCATCATGATCGACGACCTGGTCACCAAGGGCGTGTCGGAGCCGTATCGCATGTTCACCTCGCGCTCCGAGTTCCGGCTGACCGCCCGCCCCGACAACGCCGACGTCCGGCTGACCGCCCGCGGGCGCGAGTGGGGCGTCGTGTCGGATGCGCGCTGGGCCCGCTTCCGCGACGACGCCCAGCGCGTGGCCGACCTGAAGCGCGTCCTGCGCGACACGCTGCTCACCCCGGAGGCGTGGCAGCGCGCGGGGGTGCCCATCGTCTCCAAGGACGAGGCCCGCCGCCGCGACGGCCACGAGGTCCTCCGCATGCCCGGGGTCACACCCACGCATTTACTGACCGCGTCCCTCCCGGGCGTCCGCGACCCGGAGCGGTTCCCGCCGCGCATCCGCGAGCGCGTCTACGTCGAGGTCATCTACGAGCCCTACGCGCGCCTGCAGGCGGCCGAAGCCGCCAAGCTCCGGCGGGACGAGGACATGCGCCTGCCCGTGGACCTGGACTACGACGCCGTGCACGGCCTGAGCATCGTGGAGAAGACGGTGCTGAAGGAGACGCGGCCCGAGAGCATTGCGCAGGCGCGGCGGATCGAGGGGGTCACGCCCGCCGGGCTGGTCAAGCTACTGGGGTATGTGAGGCGGCTGGATAGGAGTGGTAGTGGTACTAGTAGTAGTACTGCCAAGAGGTGGGGAGCCGACGAGAAGGACAAGGATGTTATTGTGGAGGGCTTGGACATGTCCGGCGTGGACGGGGACCTCGAGACGCTGGATGCGAAGAGTCGGCTTGCTGACTTATGACGATGACCGGAGTTTGCTTCATGCTTGAAGGGGTATAAGAGTCAGTGTATGTGTGTGTATATATATGTAGTATGATTGCTTTTTTTGAATGCTTTCTAGACGGGCCCGGAGCAAAGGATCGTTACAAGGCTGGGTAAAAAAGGGGTCGACGGTCGGCGCTCTAAAGGAGTAAACTAAATTACTTTGATAACTACTTTATTGGTACACGTACACATATGTTAGAAGTAACATTTGCAACGCCTACGACTGTTTGCAGTGCCAGGTCAATTTGTTGACGGAGTCCCGGGCAGAGAAAGCCCGCAGCAGTGTTCTAACGACGCGCTCTCCGGGTGGGGGGGGATCAAATTAGAACTTGCATGTGCCACCAACGGGTTTGGTTTGGATACCGGTAATTGACTTGAGGATCAGCGGCTCCCGGCGGCGCCCATGTTTAGGTACCTAAGTAGATATATCACCTAGAGTCCTTCTCGCCGCCGGCCTCCTTCTTTTCGTCAGCCTGCGGCTGGGTCAGGATCTTGACCGCGTCCTTGCTGTAGACGTAGCTTGCGCCGCTCCAGATCGTTGTCGTCGCCACGACGTACCTTGGCACGATGTTAGCTACACGTGGAAAGAACAAAGTTGCAGAGAGAAGATATGGCGACGAGAACGCACTGCATGATGCCCAGTGTGGTGCTCAAGTCCACCGCCGGCATCACCGGCGCGACAGTGGTCAGGCCCATGAGCCCCAGCTGCAGCGCCGTGTTGTACTTGCTGATCAGGGTCGGCCGCACCTCCGCCGAGGGCAGCGAGAAGTCCCAGTACCGCGCAAACGTCTTGGGCGGCGGCAGCGAGATCCAGCGGTAGTAGATAGCCGAGATTGCCAGGGCCACGTCTCGCCCAAGGATGATCACGGCGAGCCAGACTGTATCGTATCGTAAGGTTCAGTACAGAAGCTAAGCCGTGAAATAACGCATAAAATCACTCTTTCTTACCTGGAAGCGCCCCTTTTATGGCCAGGGCCACGGTCAACACGGTCATGAGCGTCTTGTCGGCCATGGGGTCGATTACCGTGCCCACGATGGTCTTGAGGTTCCAGCGACGGGCAATCCAGCCGTCTAGTAGGTCGGTGATGCCCGCGTAGGCGAACAGGCCAAATGCCATGGCGTGGTAGTCATGGAGAATGCAGTACCCGATGAAGGGCGCGGCAACGAGCCGGGAGGCTGTTAGCAGGTTAGGGAGCGTGTAGATATTCTCCCGGAGGGTTGCCTTCGACATGGTGGGCAGCACTTTGCGCAAGACGGACGACGAGTCACGTTTCGCTGGACCTGAGCTGTTCCTGCAAGTCAGCCTTCCCAAGCCGAAAACAGAGCATATCACGAATCGAAATCCCTTAAGACCCAATTCACTGGGCCGCCGGGGCAAGTCGGCGCCTCATCAAGTCCAAAAGAGTGAAACCAACAACCAAGGTCTCCGGAGATCCCGAAGGGCCCAAACTATCAGTTGGCCAAGTACGATGAAGAACATTCAGTGCATACCTGCTATCCGCTCCCACCTCCGTCCCCGATTTGTGCGACCTCTCCGTTCCCTTGTCCTCCCCGCGTCTCCATGGAGCTGAAATGGCAAACCATCTCGTCTGTGCACAAATCCCGGCGCCATCTGCAGGGCCTAGCTTAAGCCCACCTTCTAGACGTCTTGACATGGATGTTGCTGGGCCGAGCCATCGTCGCATGCCCCGAACGGTCACAGCCCCAGAACCGTTCACTTTCACCAGACAACTAGGCCCACGCCTTAGCCCAGCCGGGGCCCGCGTCAACCGCAGGGGTGAACACAGCATATTCGCCGTGAATGACCTTCCACGGCTCAGGGTAGGTATGCGCCTACAGCCTGGGGGTCCGAGGTTTCCGATTCCTCAACCACCAACCTCCCTGGCGCAGTTAAGGGAATTTGCTCGAATGCTGCGCGATGCAGTTCGGCGCGGGCTCGGTTGGCTTGGCCGTAACACTGGCTCGGCTCACTCCTGAACTCTCCCTGGCTTCCCGGAACCCAAGATTCTGTTGCTGGCTATCGCCGGCGTCGACGCTCAGGAGTGACACGAACGAACGATGCACCCTCTGCACTCGGCAGAAGCCCCTGGCGGTCCAGGCAATCGAATGATGCAGCCGGATCCCCCGGAAACGAAAGCAGAGGCCGAGGTCCACTGCACAGCACCGCCCTCCCCTGAGGTGCCTAGTAAGTTTTCGAGATGCGGCTACTTGCCTGGCTCGCAGAGGGTGCAAACGAGAAAGTTCGGTGTGGCTTGAGAGCAAATTGGGGCTGTGCCGCTTTTGACTATTCCATCACGCTGAAAAATAAGCCGTCAAAAGATGACTGAGTCGGGTTTGGATTAACCCTCGTCGCTGAAGTTAACGGCTGGCTGGGATGGTGTCGCACGTGAGACGATTGCTGCAGAGAACGTCACAATCCGACTTGTGGAACGGCTGAAGTTCAAGGACCAGAGAAAAGAAGCGGCAGGGGGTTATTAGTGGGGCAACTCGAGCCAATCATTTGAAAGGATGCTGAGCTAAGACGAGGATGGAAATTTCTGGGGTAGAGATCGACGCCAAGCACGGGTGCTCCCGTCTTCCAAGGAGTTCGTGTCTCCGATCAAGATCAATTGAACAGCCACGGGCCGAGTTCAACAGCCTTGATTTATTAGCTGTCGAGGTGAGCATAAAGACAACGTTCGGCCCGTTCAGAGGCGGAGCAACTGTAGTAGCGCGGTCACTTGTGCTTTGTTTCTGAAAGCCCTGTAGTCAAGTCATTGCCTCTAGGACCAGAGGTAGTGGACATGCGTCTCAATTAGGGTCCTACAGAGACACGCGGCTGTAATTTCTCAACCATGGGCAGTGTCCAGTTCTCCCAGTCTCGCACCCGGCTCCATCTAGCTAAGCAGTACTGATGGCTTCAGCACACCTCCAAAAGTCCCTATAAGCCTGCTGGGTGCCAAAAACCAGCCATGTCTGATCAGACAGCTGGCCCACTCTCATACGCCCATCAATTTGACATACTGACCGCACCATATTACGTAGGTAGGTAAATAATCATCCGTCCTGGTAGAACCAAGGCGCGATCTCAGGCTCCGAGTCCGCATCGCGGACAAAGGGCCGGCTCGGCCACTCCATTGGGACAGGGACCTGTCCCGTAAAGAGACTCAGGTCTGTACCATCACTGGAATTGCCTTGCACGGGGATAAGCACGCCGCACTCCCTGGATACATAAGCTTTTCATCAGCCAAGATATGTCTTCTGAGAGCATAGGGAAATGGAGGAAGGTTGCGGTATGAATACGAACCAGTTGCGACAAGTGAGCTTTGGTTTGCCTGTAGTCCGATCACGAACAAGACGGCCCCTGGCAGAAGGGTCGCATCTGTCAGACTAAACAGTTCAAGGTTGCTTGGCCTGCGTGAACTCACCACGCGCTCTCGGACAGGTTCGCGCTCCCGACGTAGACAAACCCGCCAGCAACCGAGTCTCCGGGGCTGGTTTGGTGAGGCCGGACGTAGATGACCTTGCTGTGCATGAGCAGGCCCTTCCGCAGAGATTTGCAGTCCCGCAGGACTTCTCGCGGGAACGTTTGTGCTTGCCACCATTTAGCCAAGCAGCAGATGGTCCCGGCCGCCTGTGTTGCCGGGATCGTTAGCAAGGCTTCTCCATTGGACGACATATTCAAACATTGACAGGGGCACGAGGAAAACGCACATCTTTCCCCCCCCTGCTCTGCAAAACAGTTTCCCGCGACGGGAAGTATACGCGCATATGCTTGCGCAAGAATGCTTCATCCTTTGCTGGCGGAGCTCCTTTTGTCTTGTTACCGGCGATCCGCTTGCCGTACTCTTTCAAGCCCGAGTCACCCTGGCACGCATAGTACAGGGCCAAAAGGAGACTGTAGTTCACGGCGCCGAGGGATGCGCACTGTGCACTTAGGTGAGCGTCATATGGCTGATGAGGAAGCTATCCGCAAGGGGCAAGGGAGACGGTGAACGGGGTCAAGCACCGGCGAGACGCACCACGAAGTCTAGCTCGATAGGGTCTGATGAACTGAGTCCAAGCGAGTTGACCGCCCGGCCAAGGCCACAATACCCTAGCGGTCCAATGTTAATTGCGAATACCCCCAGCAGAGAGAGGATTGTGTCGGGAGAGGAGGGCAGGGCCTCACCTGTTCTCCTCCATGCGTCCTCGGCAATATGAGAGCCGGGACTAGTGCAGTACGAAGTTAGAGAACAATACCAAAGCAGTTTGGTAGAAAGAGGGCTTACATGGTGTGCACGAAACGGTAGCGGCTTGTCTCGGAAAAGTCGTAGTTGAGGAAGCTGCTCACGAGTTTCTCGTCTAATGCCTGGGCCCGCAGGAAGTACAGCAACTCTTCAGCAAACGGAGTAAGCCTTTGCGCTTCCCTTTCTTCAGCAGTAGCGAACTTGGGAATGTCGATGATGAAAACCATCTAATAGGGCTGGTCAGCGGTTGTCATCAAAAACAAAGATTGACCATGGCGACGGCAGCATACGTTCTCCATTGTTCCCGTCTCTCCCCAGTCGAACGACATCAGATTCCCGGTGGGGATGACGATCCGCATGTACTTCTCGTACTTTAACAGCATGAGCTTGGAGTGCATGGCGCCCATGGGCTGCATGGGCGGGAAGCAGAAGCGGATTCTGTCCCGCGGCACATTGTTCCGCATCTCTTCCTTCTTTTCCCAAGCACAACGCTGTCAGCGGATACTCTTCCCCCGTTCCAGACAATAATCGCAGCAACGATGGAAGAGCAATCCCTTACCTGCGCCTCACTGACAGCAAACGCAATCAAGATCAGCTTCGTCCTGGCCAGATCGATCCTGGACTGCATCCACTCTTCGTCCCACTGGTACGAGCTCAGCACGGCGAGCTCCAGTTGGTGCTGCTGGAGGACTTCCTGAATCTTGATATCGTCGCTCTGCCGCGGCTGGTCATATGCCCATGTTTTCTTTACAACCCCACGTGGGAAGGGGAGGCCACCTGATCTTGAGCTCGTTGTCGTCGAAGGGGACGTCGAAACTGCAACTCCCAGCCTGGCCGAGGTATCTTCCTCTCTAGGAGCAGCGGAAGCGAAAGCAGAAGCCAAAGAAGATGGTGGTGGAGATTCAGCAGCTATCCTGGGGCGCTGGACCGGTCTCGACCCTGAGAGGCCGCCATCCTCAGACTGCTGCGGCGCCTTCCGCTTGCCCAGCCTCGCGAGCCGTTCCTCCTCCATCTTCTTCCTATCCAGCGCTGCAAGGCCGGAGAGGCTTGGCGTTGAAGCGATCGTCTGTTGTGGCAGGGGTGTCTCCTTCGGCTCACGATCTCCGTCATCCTCGTCGTCCTGCGTCAGGTCGATCACTCCCTTTCGGCTCGACCGACCGCTCCGTTCACCCGGATCTTTCCCCAGCGACAGCGCAATCGCGATACGCAGCGCTTCGTCGTCGTCTTCAGCGCCGCTGACTTCGGCCGCCCAGTCTTTGTCGGCATTGTTCGCCATTCCCAATATTGGTTTGATGGCTGCCTGTTTGCAATCCCAGAAGGAGATGAAATGGAAGGGAGAGAGAGAGGTCAAAAACTTCCAACCCGCACAGCCGAACTGCAGAGTAACATATACAAGAAGCTGCAAAAAGATTAGGTAACTCTACCCCTCGGTCCCTCGATGGCGGATACACATACGCCTACCTTCAACCGACTAGGTTGAATTGAGAACGTTTGGAGTCGAGAGACTGCCAGAGAATATGCCTGGATCCGGCAAAAGCCAAAAGCCAGTAGGCAAAAAGAATGTCAGGGCTCACTTCTCGGAAACGGATGCTGAGCCGAGACGGTTCACTGCTTGGTCGATTCAAAGTTGGATTGTTGTTGTTTACGGAGTACGTAGCTCAGAGAGCTCCAGGTACAAAATGACCGATGGTCAACCCCTAACCCTACATATGCCCTTGAATTGGCAAGCGATTGTTGCTCCAAGTACTAGTAGTACTAAGTAGATCACGAAATCCCGTCCCCGTTGAGATCGAGCTTCACGTTATTTGATATTAATAGTGTCTCAGAAAAGTATATTATTGTCGAGCTGAATAATAATTCAAGTTGACTAAAATCCGATGTGGTATGGATAGCTGCTCCGTAGCGCAGATAGTATAGCAAATGTAAACAAAAAAAGAAAACGTACAACACCAAGGATTCCCCAGTCGTCACCGACCTGAGTACTGATTCGGCCCTTGGTAGCTTGACGAGGGCAGAGCGGACGGGATGCCGTACTTTCTACCAGGTATGGTCGTACGTATTAGACAACGACGAGAGGATGCCTCATATGACGCGGTCACTGCGATGGGGGAGACAAGTGTGCGATCTGGTGGTGCTCGTGTTTCGTTGTGAGGCTTGTCTTCACCTCAACAAGTGGATCAACAGCTTGCTACCGGGGCACCTTACCAGTACTGGGTTGAACCAAATACTCCGCTTCTGGGATTGCATTAGTTTGCTCATGCCTTCTCTAGGTGGCGGAAAGACAACGGCAACAGCACGGACTGCCCTGGAATTGTATGGAGGCCGATCAAGTGGGATATATCAGTGTATTCTGGCTTTTCTATACTACGTTCGATCCTAATCTTGTCCTTTATAAGCCGGATCCACGATACATGTTCCCAAATCTTTTCTGTACTTTCTTGCGTTCTCTTGCGACTGGGTTCGGGAATTGCTGGTGTTCGGGTTGATGTTGTCGCTGAAGGGTTTCGTGGTCAGAAAGGTGTTGCCTGACTGCCGCCGTGTAATTTTGGCTCGCAGCATAGACCTGAGGTCCCTAATGACGGGGAGGCCAGCGGCGGAGTCCTCGACTTCTTGCGGGTCTTCCAACCCGCCTTGGAAGGTATGTGCTGGGCAAACGAGTGCTCTTCTTGTTCTGTGCTGAAACGCGCCCGTTCATCGTGTCGAACTTGTCTTGTGTCGGTGGTCTGGAAATGTGGTGTAGAACAGAAAGGGTTGAATCCAAACAAGGCCGCCAGCTACTCGGTGGCTGCTGCTGCTGGGGAGCCGGAGCGTTGATTGCCGCAGCTCCTCTTTTCCTTTCCCAGAACTGCTAACTGGGTTATCTGGCACTGGTTCAGATAATTGTTCGTTTGCGGGGTGTTGATGCTGGGGTTGTTGGCGATGAACTGTCCGCCGGCAGGGACCGCCAGGGAACCCTTCCGCTTCTGAACGGTCTTGCCATCCTCAAGTCTTCCTTGGCGCCAGAAGTTCCGGCGGGATGGACTTGAGGTCTTGAGACAAAGCTTGGCCCACGCGAACCTCGGCCTCTGCTAGAATGCGAAGCGGCGGATGCAGAGAGGAGGTGATGTGGAAGCGCAGCACACGGGCATAAGCGCCGTAGCTCTCCAGTGAGAGTAGGACCAGGACCAATGCATGCAGAAGGGGGCACCGCTTCTCCGCCTCCAACGAGTTGGTTTCTGAGTGTCACGCAACGACTTTAGTCAGAGGTGATACGCGATGCTGTTCGCTGCACTACCACTGCCCATATGAGGTGCGGTCGTATGCTGTTGTGGCATCGGCTTGCTGGCAGAAATCCCGTCGTCCTCCCTCAGCGACGGAGGTTCTTCGGTACTCTTTCGGAGCACTCTGGGATGGCTTTATACTACCTCCCTTGTCATCAGGGGACTTCTTGCCTTCGCGGAGAGCGTTGAGGATGCGGTTCAGCTGTCTCGCTTCGTCCCACCGCCGACGACGTCGCTGCCCTTCGTGTATGTTTGACTGTGGCGCGGCTTATGCATCTGAACCGAACGGCTGGCTTATCCATCTGAACTGAATGGGTTCTCAACTAGGTTGATATCTGGTTCTGATAGCCTTGAGAGCCGGTAAGCGATTCATAGAAGCTAGGTTGAAGTTGTGGTCGTCAGCAACACTCGAGCCGCCGAATACGTTGTGTGGCGGGGCGATTTTCGCTTGGGGCGCTGGCTGCTGTGGTTGAACCTGCGCAGCGGTGTAGGAGGACGGATGCTCCGAGAACGACCCGGGCAGGCGGAGGCTTCGTATAATGTGGATAATAGATGTAGCAACTCGACGAGCGGCTGCTCCCGGCATTCTGGGTCCAAGTTTGTCTTTCAGATCGATGAGCTCTCGTATCTCGGCCATCAAGGTCCGATCAACGACGGCACAGGAATGCCGAGAATAGGCGCACGTGTCCTCGCCTAGCCACCCTGGAGTGTTGTTCATCCTGAGGCATTGCTCAGCATACACGCCGCTCCCTGGGGGTCGGCGGTGATAGTGTCCTGATGAGGTTCCTGTTTGCGTTTGGTCCGTTCACAGATCGGCTGCGAGGCGACGCCGGCGACGAGGATCCGGAGAACGAACCTAGGAAGAATGAGACTTTGAGTAAACCACCTCCGCGGTACTCCCCGTTCCCCGCGATCTCCGGAGAAAGCCAGGGACCCACGCGCCCATGCAAAAGAAAACAAAACAACGTAGACCCAAACGATATGGGCCTGGTGTCAGGACGCAGAAGAATAGGTATGAAAAGGCTGCATCCACTCGTCTCTCTGGGTGCCCATACCCCGCTCGACTCTCTTCCTTACCCACGGAAGACAATCATTAACCCGAGCGGATCATAATGCCCGAATCTCCAACACCCATGGTTGGGTGACTGATGTCCCAGCCCAAAATAGGCCATGGATGCCAGCTCGCAACCCAGAAACCAAATAACATGACAGTAGAACAAACATAGGAAGAAAAGAATGGGGAGAAAAGAGGGCCGTCCATCCAACCGACGACAATGCAACCGAGTACGTGCCCTGTCCTGTGCTGCCAAAACACAAGCCCCCCTCCCGTCCGCCATGTCACCAGGCTCTGATCGTTCTAACCCGCGGTAAGAACCCCCAATGCAACCCAGACGCCATTCAACGCCATAAAGTGAGCGGTAATTGAAGAGAAGAGAAGAGGAAAGAGAGGAAAAGAGTGCTGTAACATAACCCAGATCTGATAAAAGAAACATTGCGCCGATGTGCCAAATTTGTTGTTTGCAAATATTGCGCCTCCTTGTTCCGTTGTTCGAGAGAATACTATGGCATACGACAGCCGAGAGGGAACGAACAAGGCGTTCCCGTGCTTGTCTTCCTTGTTGGCTTGGATACGATACTCTTGAAGAGCCAACTATCCTTGACGTGTTCGGAACACGTCCTTTTCCCTTTCTAGTAGCCAAGAGCAGAAAGTGGCCATCAGGGCCTAACCGTTAGGAGCTCTGATAGCTGGTCGGAAGTGCCGGGTTTGACCCGATGTTCAGCTTTAGCAGGCGCCGCAGGTTGTCTTCCATGTGCACGATCTCGGGAGCGCGGCTGACGACCGGCTCTGTTATCACCGAACGCTGGGCGGTCGAACCAAGCACAGTAGCACTGGATAGGGAGTCGCATGTGGATATCGCCAATGATGGTGGAAGGCGAGATGAATGAGGCGCGGGTCCCTTGGCAGGCGCAGGGGTTACCGTGAGGATATCATCATGCTCGACGCACCGCTCGGAGGATAGGATGGCATCAAGGATGGGACTGACACTAGTGGGCTGGGCGACGACGTTGCCGGCCTGACTGATACCGCTACTCGGAGGAGTTTCGGTGTAGTTGTAGCGAGCTTCGGGGGGCGGCGGGCACACGAATGAGCGGCTATACTCGGGACTCTCCGGCCCCGAAACATGCGATGCGGAAGACGCCGACGCCGGTTGAGACCCGGTCCCAAAGGGTGGGGACAGATCGGCCAACCCGCGAGACACCGCGGCCACCTGAAGAGGTTGCTGCCCGTTCGAAACCGACCGGATGGCCAGCAGCCGCTTCAGCCTCTCACTCGCGTCCACCGTGGCCGGGTTTTGGTCGTACGACTCAGGTTTTTTCATCGGCTCGCCTCGCTTCTCGGTGGATCGGGCAGCTCGGATACGGTCCTGATATGGCTTCGAGAATGCCGGGCCCACAGCTGTGCCCGGAGTGCCGTCGAGCTCGCTAACGGGTATACCGGTTGAAGACTTGCGCTGCAGCCCATGTCGACGATTGCCCGAACTGAACAGCTCGCGAGGAACGGTCTTAGGCTCCTGGGGAGAACGGATCTGCGCGGGAGGAGAGAACGGGACTGGGTGCGGTCTGAGAATGTTGGCCGAGCTTGCCCTCCGTGCCCGCTCTTTCTCAGCTCGATCGGCACGGAAGAAGATATCCAGAGGCGATTCCTGCAGCGTGGGCTCCGCCTTCAGAAGACGGTGCTGAGGCGTGGGGGCCTCCGAGTCTGTGGCAGGGGGTGACGGTTCGCCGCAGATGCGATCGATATCCTTCCTCGCCGAAGGGGAGCCGGGCCCCTTGGAGAGGAAGCTCGGGATCGGAAGGGAGGAAGGCGCGGGAGAGGCGTGGAAGGTTGCGCCTGCAAAGGCAGATACAGGAATCGCCTTGGGCACTGCTGCTGTTTGTGGAGGGGTAGTTTGGCCGTGCTTCGGTGGCCGGGGCGATGAGGCCTGCTTCACCCTCGTGTTGTTCCCATTCCGGGGCTTGGGTTTAGGGTGGGCAGTCTGAGAGGAGGGCGCCGGGCTGTTTGACGCCGATTTCCGGGGCGTAAACGGCCCTGGGAGCTCGATCGGCAGAGACGCTTCACTTGGCATGTCGTTCTCGGAGGCATATGTCTTGCGAGCAGGCGAGTTAACCGGCCGTTTTGCACGTCGTCGTGCGGGGGTCCCTTTTTGGGGTTGCGATTTTCTGAGTTCCATGGTCCTGCGGAAGCGCTTGGCCTAAAGCCGCTTGTGTCACGAACTTAGAGGCAAGGAGAGAAAGGTCGGTTCAAGACTCCACGTCGGGAAAGAGGTACCAACGGCGGAGATGTGCTAGGGATGACTCTTATTAACGTTCGATCCCGGCAATCGTGTGCGCAATCGTGCCCAGCAGCAGAGCAACCTCTTTGTAAACGTCGGACGGAAATGCGCACCGCAGATGTGCCACAAACAGTCGCCAGCGATGCGGGAATAATTTGATGCGATAAAGATGAGGAATATTCCGCTTGTCGTGGTATGCGTGCTTTGGCACATTTGCTTCATGGATTCCATCGGCGAACGGGAATTCTCGGCAATGGTGAGTTGTGATGTGCGCGAGATCCGCGAGCTGCATCCGTACCTATGCGACTATCCATAACGTTAGTAGTCACCAGGCTGAAAGCGGTTGACTCGTGTCCCACCCTTTGTTTGCTAGGCATCCTAGTACCAAAAGGCAGACCGTAACATCGTAACCGGAATAGGCCCTACGCATAAGGTAAAAGTAGGTAAATAGATGTACTCAAACCCGTAGAATCAGAATTCCCGATCCGTTTGATGATGCGGGCAATACGCGTTGAGATCTTGATGATTTCCCCAATTGCTCCGACGACCCGAAGCCCACGCAGATCTCATCAAAACAGCAAGGTCAAAAGCAGTCATCAAAATCCCAACGCGTATTGCCCGCATCATCAACCTGATCGGGAATTCCGATCCCATAGGGTCGGAATTCATCTAGGTACCTGCTTTCGCCGTACGCGCATGGCTGGTAACAGTTGGGATACTGCTATCTGGTTTTGGCCTTGCGAACTGGCTGCTCTGGCATTTATGTACTGTCTCTGTGTCCCATCTGCAAATGCACGCAGTACTACGTACTAGTAGTGCCAAGACGACTTCGTGTTTGCCACTTGCTCGGTATGTACATATTACCTATGTACCAGTTTGCCATTTCTTAGGCACTTGAAATCGGGGTTTATGCAGCTAACGATAGCTTCATGTTCTGCTGGATTTCCGTAAGTTACGGCGGGGCTTCCGGCGGCATTCACCACCGGCTTACAACCAACTTGAAGCTAGAAGAACCCTCGGTCCCGAACCTGGAATCTACGACAGAACGGGACTTTCTCTGCTGAACCCCAAATTGTCGGAAGTTTTGAGATAGGTCGGTCTCTGATGTCATAAACTCGCCCTGGCCGATAAGGAAGATACCTTAGGTCCTAACCAACCGCTGCCTAGGATCTCCCAAGAACCTTGATCGCTGAAGCATACTAGTAACAAGCTCTCGACTTTCGGCCGAGCACCTCCCTTGTTCCGCCAACCGACGGTCGCCCCTCGTCTCGACACATCAAGTTTTCAGCATCATCCTGAGTTTATTTTCGCCATGGCCGACGTTGAAATGACCGATGCGCCCACCTCCGCTCCCGTTACCAAGAAGAAGGGTGGTGCGGCCGATGGCGAGGGGAAGGAGGGCAAGAAGCGGTTTGAGGTGAAGAAGGTGAATGGCACTGCGGACGTTTATCTTGCTCTTCCCTAGGCTAACCGGGCTTAGTGGAATGCGGTCGCGCTCTGGGCATGGGACATCGTTGTTGACAACTGCGCCATCTGCAGAAATCACATTATGGACTTGTGTGAGTGCCAGCATAAATGCTCGACTGACTTAGACCCTTGCTGACTTCTTCGGCTCTAGGCATTGAGTGCCAGGCGAATCAGGCGTCGGCTACGAGCGAGGAGTGCACAGTGGCATGGGGGATCTGTAATGTAGGACTACACCAGGCCGACCAGCCCGAGGCCACATCACTGACCAGACATACAGCATGCGTTCCACTTCCACTGCATATCGAGATGGCTCAAGGCCCGGCAGGTTTGCCCACTCGACAACCGCGACTGGGAGTTCCAGAAGTATGGAAGATAAGCGGCGACAGAAGTTGTACGTAGCGAGAACATCAGGACGGACTTCGGACATCGGGGTGGGATAACGGGGGTTTGGGGACTCTGCACATGAGCGATATGAGCATGTTTTGGTAGCACGGCATCGGGCGCGGGTTCATCCATAGATCCTCCGATAGGGCTCGGAGAACACCAGAAATATGATAGCAGCCGAATCGCTGTGCCATCCTTCAACCCCGATTACCGCATACTGTTCGCTGCTTCTTCGCGCGAGCCCCCAACCCATCTGCCTCATCTGAACGCTTTGTCATCGACAACTAGGTTCGCTGGCGGCGTGATTCCACCGACTGGTAACCATTTCACGGGATGTCGGTTAAAGAATGGCCACGGGGGAACAACAAGGACAAATGTTGCGGCAGTTCCCGCGAGGGTAATGTAAAGAGCGAGCTTGATGTCTTGGAGGAAATACCCGACGAGGTACGCAACGACCTAGGACCGACAGTTAGCCATGGACAGCGGAGGGCAGGCTCAAATGTAACCTACTCCGACGACAGTCAAGGCAACATTGACAAGGAGCTCAGCCAGTTTCTGGCCCTCAAAGTCCTTGTTATCGCGTCAGCAGCTGTATCAAGATATATGTATTGCGCTCGGAAAGAAGCCACCAACAATCTGCCCCTCGAACAGGTCGCGGACCTGGTCCAATATCTGGTCGGCCATCGCGATCAGCCTCAGCACCAAAGTATCTTGACCGTCAGGGTCGCTGTTTGGAGGTCGTTGCGATATGGCAACGAATGGGTGATGTGATGATTACGGTGTCTTGATAAGTGCTGGCCTCCAACGTGGCTTGACGATACATTTCACTTGCCCGTGGACCTGAAGTTGGCTTGGCACGCTTTGTCAGCTGGCCAATCATCTACGTCGCTGGCAGTGGCTGCATTCCTTTTAGCGTCCGGAACAGGGCCCAGCGCAGGGCGCTGGGCTGGGCTGCGCTGAGGCTACCTAACCCCTTGTCTCGTACCCGAGGCTACTGCACAAGTACCGGATCCGAACTTGCATTTCCGTCGTGGCTCATCTCTTGCATAATTACCGTGTGATCTAGCAGCAAAGGGGTGATTTCGGGATCGAAAAGTCGACCCTATCATAATAGCTTGGATGATTTGGCTTCTTGAAGCTCCGAGTCACTCTCGTTCCCTGCCACAAAAGCCCCTGGGTATGTACATGTACGAGGGGTGGGCCTAGACCTGAATCGACAGGAGCTTGCCGATTACGGATACCAACGTCGAACCTTGCGCTAAAACTCGAACAACTTTTTCCAAGGCAAATCCCTCATTCACCAACAACTGCTTTCTCTTTCTTTCATGTGAACCCCGACACCACATCGATTCCTGGGTGCACAAACATCCCAGACGACGCGCGATTCACCTTATTTTTTCAAGAGTAGCCGGGCTCTTGCCATTCTGGTTTTCTCCAAGCTTGCTCTGTTAGGATTGCAAGCTTCGCAAGGGGCACTATCCACTACGGCCAGCAACTTGAAGAACGTCATCAGTTCATCGTCCGAACACGCGGTTTGCCACGCAAGAACCATAGCTCTCTGAACATTTGCCTCCCACCCAAACGAAACACCTGGGTATAAAACCCTGGGTATCTCACTGAAACCCCGCGTTTCCGCACTCTCAAAACCTCGCCGATCTCTCACATCTCACCCCATCCGCCCATCGAATCACGGTCTCTGTGGTATAGCTTTCGATATCAGCCAACGTCGCGCAAAACCAACCGGCCGCCTATCAGTCAAAGAAGCCACCAAGTTGGCGGGCACTATCTCTGAAAAGATCTCCTCACCTCGTTCACTCCTAGGCCCCCGGCTGGTCTACAGCGGAGTGAACAAGCAACCGCCATAACTAGGCCTACTCTAATCAACCAGCGATTTTGGCCGCTATTCGGAAAGATATAGAACCCACTCCATCGACCCCGCTCATCCAACCCGTGGGTGAAGCCGCAGTTCAGGTTCCAATCGTCACGTTGTCGCAACTACACCGCCGTCGTTGCGGACGGCTGCTGGCCGTTCGCTGCCTCCGCTGGTGATTTAGACGGGTTCTGCTTACGCCAATATGCGCGCCGGCTAAGTCTTAAGAGAGGCGCTCTCAAGGCTGGGTTCGACGCTGTGTCGGTGCAAAAAAGGGCGAAAGGGAAGAGTCGTTACACACAGCACCTAATCAGCTTCATTTCGTCGGCAAGATTCTACCATGTCCGATCACGAGGTGGCCTCAAATTCGGGGTATTCGACCCCTGTCCCCGAGCTGGACGATCATCGGAACCAGACGGCTTCGGTCCAGCGTCCGGACCGTCCTCGCCGGGGCACCTTTGATTCGTTGTATGGAGCTCATATGATGATGGCCTCTGGAGGTGCTTCTGCCGAGCCTCGGGTTCGTGACTTTGAGGAGGCTGTCGTCGATGAGGAGGGGATCGAGCACTCGCCGACCACGCGTCGGCCTCGCTGCCTGTCCATTGAGACAGTGTCTGGTAGGTCGTCATCGCCATCGCCGCCGAACTCGGTCAAGGCTTTTGCGGAGGCCCGTCGGCGTGAGCGCGAGCTCTCTTTCTCCGAGCCTAGGCCGGAACGTAAGCCCGACGATCTCGAATTGCAGCGAACCGCGTCAACCGCCAGTCGCCATAGCTACCGCAGCAGGCAACACACGGTTGATGCAGCCGACGCTGCGAGTCTGGCTACCAATAGGACCGCTGAAGAGGATGTCTGCTTCCCTGTGCAGGATGAACAGAGAGGGGATCATCTCCATATCGACTTTGATTTCCTCGAAAACTTCATCAAAGCCGAGGCCGAGGCTCGTGCGATGGCACGTCGTCCATCCGTGGTCCGGGTGTTCCCTGATCTGCGGCCCGAATCCAACGAGGCAGCAGCTCCCCATCCCGTAGTTACGGCCGAGGGCGACTTCCTGGGCACGCCGTTTGACAGCGGTGAAAGCCAGCCTGAGAAGTTGGACACGCGCGAAGACGAAGAGCACGCCAAACCAGCGCAGCCATCCCAGGTCGATAGCCGGGTGAGCTTCTTCTCTTCGGCCTGGGAGTCAACCATCCACGCTTCCGACCTCGAGGGTTTGATCTTGCCGGGTGAGGACATTCGTGGGCTTTTCGCTTTCCCGAAAGGTGAGAGGGACGGTGTCTGGTGGCTCAACATGAACAACCCGTCAGAAGAGGAAGTTCGTGCGATTTGCAGGGCTTTCGGTATCCATCCCTTGACGGCCGAAGACATCACGACGCAGGAATCTCGCGAAAAGATTGAGCTCTTCCCCTCTTACTACTTCGCTTGTTTCCGGTCTTTCTACATCGAGGTCGACGAGGAGACCAAGGAGAAGGAGTTCGTGCCGTTCAACATCTACGTGGTTGTCTTCCGCGAGGGCACCCTGAGCTTTAGCTCCGCCAACAATTCACATGCCTCAAACGTGAGGAAGAGGATTGCGATGTTGAAGGACTACGTCTCGCTGAGCAGTGACTGGATCTGCTATGCATTGATGTAAGGACGCTGCTGCCTCTCGGCTTGGTAGAGTTGATTGCTGACTCAAACACGTAGCGACGACATCGTTGATTGTTTTGCGCCTGTGATCAGCAAGCTTGAAGCCGATACCGACCAGATCGAGGACGAGGTGTTCATTGCCCGGACAGATGATATGGCGCAGTTCCTACGCAAGATTGGAACCGCCCGCAAGAACACAATGGCCTTGATGCGGCTGCTTGGTGGCAAGGCTGATGTCCTGAGGGGCTTTACCAAGCGTTGCAACGAGAACTACAAGGTCACGCCCCGCATGGACATTGGTCTGTATCTGGGCGATATCCAAGACCACGTCGTTACCATGATGAACAACCTCGGCCACTTCGAAAAGATGATGTCTCGGGCCCACAGCAACTACCTGGCCCAGATCTCGATCGACGGCATCGCTCAGGGTACGGCGACTAACAAGGTTCTGAGCAAGATAACACTCTTGGCCTCCATTATCGTCCCCCTGAACGTGGTCACGGGTCTCTTTGGGATGAATGTCGAAGTTCCCTGGCGAGATACCGACTCTCTGATCCCCTTCTTCGGCATTTTGGCCTCGCTGCTCGCGTTTTGCTTCATCTGCTCCGTCGCGGCGTGGAAGCTGAGGATGCTTTGATCAGGCCCTGTCATCTTGGTTTTGGCGGTTTACGCTTTTGGACTCCGCATTATGAGACACGATTGTCACGCGCACAGTCCTCTAGACAGCAGCAGGTAATACTTGGAGGCTCTGTCTGTTTGGTTGTTGGTAAAGTAGACAGAGGAGGTAGATTTCTTTGAGAGATGGTGATAGCAGCTTTGAATAATATACACATGTATTGCTGCTAGAAGCGTATGCCTGAGCGCCACCGCATTTGGATTTTGAGATAGAAGAGAACCTCATATTGTCACAGGTTGCCAGGCAGTGAGACATTAGAAGAAGCGACAACTCAACAAGCCGTGTTTCCAAAGCTGGTTGGGAAATGGATCTTTGTCGCCGAAAGTATTTCGAAGATTCAGCAATCCGAGAGTAACTTACACTTCGTATTATAGGCCTGCTCATTGTAAGACCAAAAGCGTTAACGAAGCCACCAATATGCCTCCTCCAAGCTTACCATTAGATCCGCGACACTAACGAGAAGGAATCATGCAATCCAATGCGCAAATCCAACGCTCGACTGCCACTACTGCCGAATAGGAGAACATGGGAAGTTATCACGGAGCGTAATTTACCCCCCAGACAATCGGAACCTACGTATTGTATTTGTATTGTACCAGACAATTACCACAGCAAGCCCCACCAAAAAGTTCTACACCACTGGCATCTAACATGCATCCTCCGAGCGACTATCCGGACATCCCATCGCTTCAGTTTGCACCGCCAGTTGCCCCTTCCATACCGAATTTGCCACGCCGAACATGTCGTCCTCCAGTGATTTCTCCATTGACCAGTCCGACCTCGAGAAGCTCAACGACAAGGACAAGGCCGAGCTGCGCCAATTCTTTTCAAACGAGGAACAGCGCGCGCGGGTCCACGCACGTACGTTATTGCTTAATTGATTACCCTACTCTATCATTGCAATCCCGCTCGCTACACAGTACTATAGCTTAGCAGGAGAGAGAGTTCGAAGCAAGGAAAACAAGGGGGAAGAAAACAAAAGCTAACCTCTTTTGTGTGTTCTGTAAAAAAACAGAAACCCACGAGTTAACGACCATCTGCTGGAAGAAGTGCATCACCAGCTCCGTCCGCAGTGGCGCGCTCGACAAGGGCGAGCAGACCTGCCTGGCAAACTGTGTCGACCGGTTCATGGATGCCAACCTTCTTACGATGAAGCACCTTCGCGATATGCGCCAGCAATGATAGGCGCGTGGGGCAGTGACGTACGGAGGGTGTAGGATAGGAAGCGGTTTCGACTATCCCCACTGGAGTCTGAAGCCGGATCAACCTGGACAGCAGAGCGGAAGAAGTAGATACTATGTATCCGACTGGGACAGGGAGGACATGGCAGGGCTTCCCGGTCACTTATAGATGGAAGGAGCCTGCGATTCTGGATGAAGAAATTGGCAGTACCTACACGACGCGGCAAACGAGGACACCCAAGGCAATTCTACACTGTACAGTAGACGCGGGTACGGGGAATATAGGTACTAGATGGATGGGATCACAACTCCATGGTGCGATCTATTTGCATTTGCTACGTCTTGGCTCCATGGGCCCCTCGTGGTGTGGAAGACATCTCAGGCCTCGGCTCGTCGTCTTCGAGCAGCTACCGGCGAGATCTGCAGCAAGTCGCTGAAACAGGAGGGCCCAGATACAAAGGGTGGTGTCAATTCGTCCTTTTCATTGCCAAATCGTGCCCAAGCCCAGGTATCTGACGCCGATTAAAATGCAACCCATGACCCTTCCATGTGCCGACCGACCGTTTTTTCCCCCCTCAGCTCCCAGCCAGAATAACAAGTTTAGACGAGGTTAAGCTTGGTGGCAGCAATGTCGAGAGCATCGACATCTGGAGTCAGGCGGGCAAACGCCTTCTTGGAGCCGTCAGGGCTGTAGGGGAGTTAGCAACTGCCTTCTTGGGGATCTCACGGACCTTGAGGTCACTCACCGGATCAGGGTGTTGATCTTGACGGTGTCAATGTCGTAGAGCTTCTTGAGGGCCTGCTTGATCTGGGCCTTGTTGGCCTTGACATCGACGATGAAGACGAGGGTGTTCTGTTCCTCGATCTTCTTCAGGGCGCCCTCAGTGTTGAGAGGGTGGACGATGATCTTGTGCTCATCGAGCCGGGGCGCGTGAGGGATCGACTTGCGCGGGTACTTGGGGGCGCGCGACAGGACGAGGGTCTTAGGCCGGTGGAAGGTGGTCGTGTGGCGGACCTTGGTCTTCTTGTGCGAGTGCACCTGTAGCGAATTGTCAGCCCCGGCCGGTACTCTGGCGTACAGATCAAGGTAGCTACTTACACCCTTCAGGGCGGCCTGGGCAGCCTTCTTGGCCTGAGCACCCTTGCCGGCCTTGGAGGCGCCGCCTATCCGAGGAGAGCGTCGTCAGTAAAAGCATTCGCCTGAACAAGGGAGAGATCCGTCTTGTTCAAACTCGCAAAATCTGCTGCTGCTTTGGTGCAATCACCCCGCCGCCAGGGCGACGGCGGCAGAGGTGCGCATTGAGCGACGGCCCGAGTTTGTGCGTGTAGGAAACCATCCTGCCATTCATGTACCTTTCTTGTTGTCCTTGGGAGCCATTTCGGAGGTTGTGTGTGTCGGCGCTGGGCGAAGTCGTCGAGTCGGTCGTGGTTGAAGAAAGAAATCGCGAAATTTGGGTCAAACAAAATTGCTTGAAATTCTGTGCGGTGCGCTAATGTGGCTGGTGGGTTGTGGCTGGCCGATGATTGGCGTTTAATGTGTACGGCCGATAAGATAAGCAACCTCTACCCGTGACTCCCGAATGACAATGACTTTTGAGGACAAGTCGATAATTTTCTGGCTCAACTCCCCGGTGCAAGGAAGATCTCAACCGCATGGGCCAGAAGAGAAGGAAGCTGCCTCAGAACCTGGCAGCGGGTCGGCCTCCGGTTCTGCATCGACCGAAGTCAATCTCAAGAAAGGCTACTAAGGCCATAATCAACAGACACCACTTGCTGCAAAAAAGGAAGCGGCAAGCTATTGCCAAGGGCGATAAGGCCGCGGAGGCAGCCATTGACGCCGAGATTGAAGCCTTGGGTGGCCTCGAGAGCTATCAGGAAGCAAGTCTTCAAGGGCAGAGACATGACCGCGGAGGCGACAGCTCTCGCGTGCTCATGCAGTGGCTGGAGCCATGTCTACTGGAATCAGGTCGCCAGCTTCGAATGCTGGAGGTTGGCGCGCTCAGCACGCAGAACGCCTGCTCTAAAAGCGGCCACTTTGACATTGAGAGGATTGATCTGAACAGCCAGGAAGAAGGCATCCTTCAGCAGGACTTTATGGAGCGGCCCTTGCCACGGGAAGAGTCTGAGCAGTTCGACATAATATCTCTCTCGCTGGTTCTCAACTACGTTCCGGAACCGAAAGAACGAGGAGAGATGCTGCGCCGGACAACCCAGTTCTTACGCGCCCCTGGCCGATATGTCGATACCCCTCAGCTGACAGGAAAATTTCCGAGCCTCTTTCTTGTCTTGCCGGCTCCGTGCGTGACGAACTCTCGGTACCTCGATGAGGAAAGACTGAGCGCCATCATGGCCTCGCTCGGATATGCGATGGTGGCATCGAAGACAACGCAGCGTCTGGTCTACTACCTCTGGAGAAGGGATCGAGTTTGCAAAGGAAGTGGAGGCCCGTTCCCGAAGAAAGAGGTCCGATCCGGATCAAGTCGTAACAACTTCGCTGTTGTGTTGAGCTGATCCGACCTCCATGGGTTCCAACGCTTCCGGGCCAAGGCGATGTGTCTTAGGGCCTATTTTGTCTGCATCACAGTCTGAGGGCATGCCGTAAAGCGGTATCCTGGATATAGCAATCTGATTTCGGCACTCCTGCTGTTGATGCAGCGGCACGGCACCTTGATGGCCATGAGCGAACAATGAGCTCATCCAGGCCATCCAATCATCATGGTATCAGGAACCCTTGCCTAAAAGCGGCGTTCCATATCCGTTGTCTTCGTCGGCCACATAGGGTTTCAGACTCGCAAGATGTCTCCCATCAGTCATCGTTATGCCACCACCGAAGGCTTGGTTCTTGCATTGAGCTGCAAGTCAAGCACTTGTTCGTGGGAGGTATTGACATCGTGGTCTTCTAGTGATCAGACGGGCAGACCCCACGCGCGAAGTACTAGGATGACGACGCGAAGTTCTATGAGTATGGTCGGATCGCCGTACACCTACAATGGTGGGAACATATGGGGAACCCTGGCCGGGTTCCCCGGCTTACAGAGAAAACCGTGGATGTCGATCTTGGTGAGCAAGAATGAATGGTCTTCGATTTACAACGGTCTCGTTCGGGGGCATTAGGTTACGCCGCCCGTGCCCTTCAAGACATCGCCAGGTCAGCAAGCTGGCCCACCAATGTCAGAGGGATTATCGGTATCTACTATTCGTTCGAAGACCGCACCTCCGGCCAGCCGAGGATCTATCATCGGCGCTTGCTTACTTGGGAATATCGAATCCAGAAGGGCTCACGAAGGATCGGCCATCTCTTTAGCTTGGCGCGGGCCCCGCCGCTGAATTGAATCCTTCCTCAGAGCGCCTCTCCCACTTTCGCCAGGTTTCCGTGACATTCGCGTGCGGTCCAACAAAGAAGAAGGACCGCTCCAGGTGCAAGACTTGCCACCACCCACCCGCCTCCGCACCCAAGCAGTTTATCGAACGCCATCAACACCACCTCAGACCCCTATGACTGCCTACGCACTGCAAAGCAACCCAAGATTTGCCCTCCGGTCGCGTGCTGTCCCCCTGAAATATGGCCGGATTGGACAATGCTGATCAGATGACGACTATGTGCCGAAGGGTAACGCCAGCCACGGCGGGAGGGCTGCCCAGCCCCATTTCCCCAGGTTTTGAGGGGTAGAAGAAGCTAATGGGGTCTTGGCACATCACGCGGCAACTGATGGACCTCTCAAAGGAATCGGACCAGGATGTACCACAGTGAGAGCATTGATCGCCGACCCCATACCGCGGAAGGAGTCGCGTGAACGCCGTGGCATAATCCATCCTTCGCATGGATGAATTGGGGTTTCCAAGGGGACAACGTTGGTCAGTTGGCTCCATAACAACATTAGGTCGAGGTGGCTGGTTTCAGTTGATTGGCAATGACAGACTTGTATGCTAGTCTCCCGGACGACTACAGCTCGTCAAAGCTCCTAATCACCCTGTGCTTGCTCTTATCCTCCTCCGACAACTCAGCGTTCCCCTGCCTCTCAACGACGACACTCTGCATCCCAGCCTCCTTCGCCGCCTCCACCTCCTTGACGTTATCACTCAGAAATAGCCACCGGCCAACCGGCACCTCGGGATACTTGGCCGCGATCTTCTCGTAGCTGGCCCGCTCCGTTTTGGGCCCGGCATTGACCGTGTCAAAGAAGTCAGTAATCAGCGGAGTCAGGTCGGCCACAGGCTCTGCGTTCGTGTGCTGGAACAGCAGCTTCTGCGCCGCCACCGACCCGGACGAGTAAATCATCACTCGTGCCGCTTCTCCTTCTTCATCACCATCTCCGGCGCTATCCCTTTTTGTCGTCCAGGAGGAGATCTTGGGTGCCACGTCCGGGAAGAGTGGCGCCTTCAGCGCCCCGGAGGCGTACCCCGACTCCCAGAGGTAGCCCTGCAGTGACTTGAGGTACGAGATCTTCACATCACGGCTCATCAGATCGCGGACGTGGGAGGTAAGGGCCTCCGGGGTGGTGGCGTGCTCCGGTGGGAAGGCATTGCGGTAGGGGACGAAGGCGGGCGAGTCCCATTCGTTTTTGAGGGTGGTGGGTAGCGCGCTGAGGGCGTAGGGGAACTATTGGGTGTCAGTACAGAGTGTAGTATAACATAGTGTGTACTATAAGATGTATGATGCCATGAACTACCCCAGAGTGGGATAGGGGCAACGATGTGGAAATGCTGAGGGATGCCATGTCACACCGCTTCGCTAATATCTCTTCTCCCGTACAGTATTGGTGCTGCTATGGTGCTGTTATGGCACACCAACCAAAGAGGGGTGAGGGAGGGGCGCGTCTGGTGATGAGTGGCCCATCCGGGCATGTGACGAGAGAATGGCATTGAACCACCAGCACCATTTGCCGAACAAGAAACCATTTGTTGACCAGGAGAGTGAGAGATATGCTTTATCAACCTACAAGAACATCCTTGACAAATGAGATGGGACAGACGGTGCCCTCTAGAAGTGAACCAGGCCCGTGTTAGCCCAACTCCCGGCTCTTCGATGAGCGATTAAACCAGTGAACGCATAGAGAAGACAACAGAGTGGAGGGAGAAAAGAGGCCTCAGTGCCATACCAATGTCGAGCAGCACCGCCTCGGCCTTGTTTGCAGCAGCCATCTTTCTAGAACAGGGTATAATGTGTCGTCCGATGTGGATGAGCGGCCGGGGTTCGATTGAGCCCCTCCGGTTCGGCCGGTGATGGACGGGGTTGACGGTCTATTCGGGGCGGACAAGCGGGCCAATCCGGAGTGGACCGAAAATGGGCCGGCGTTGAACCGAGCAAGTTAGTACCGCTCGCTACCTTAAGCTCGGCGTGAATTGCTATAGCAGTCCCGATCATGCGGTGAAGAGGTGGGCGTAGCGAATGAACCACGTTTGGCGATATTGCGCTGTGAGTGGATCGTGGAGGAGGGCTGAAAAATTTCTGAACGACGCAAGTTTGCCGATGCTGAACTCAAATCGTCTCGATGTGCATCATCACGACAGGCTACTAAGGTACCTACCATCACCGAAGCAACATCGAGAATGGCGGCCTCGGAGTCGTCCAGGATTCGTTCAATGCATTGACGAAACCCTCCGAGAAGAATGGCGGTCAACAAGAAGCCAACCTCTTTTGATGCAACAGTCGACCCCAATCTCCATCCGCACCACACCACAGCACCTGCAGAAGACGTACATACCTACACTAACTTACGGCACATGAGGCCGCTACTAGGAGAGCTACCGGGAAGTTGAGCTGGCGGGTGTGATGCATCGACGCGTCGATACGTCGATAGCCCAACACGCGCAGCGCACTCTGCTGTCCGAACGTGTAGTATCGGCATGCACACGAACGGATATTCTTCATGATCGCTAGGGAGTTGCACCGAGCTTGGCTTGTTGTACACGCTTGCTAAGGTCAACATGGGAGCAGGAAGCGTGAAAGGGAAGATGGTTTTTTACACATTGGCTTCCTAAAAAGGGCTTATTGAGTTCCATGATCATACCGTGGGCCCAGGTTCTCCTATGAACCGGAACGGAGCAAACGGCGCAAACGGAACCCGCGCCGGTCCTCAACGGAGAAAGATTCTGGCCATTCCTGGCCAACCAGTTCCTCGAGCGGCAGGATCGCGACTGCTGACGCGGACGGGCAGAATCAAAGCCATGCCCTTACAGCGGCAAAATCATGCTTGGTTCATGCGACCAACCATGAAGTCGAAGATCCCACTCTCAACCACTTGAACAAGAGTCGTCTGCATGTCGCACCGACACGTCGAATGAGAGACATCGCCAGATCTGCAGCAATGCGAGGGAGAATGGCCTGATTGGGTTGGTAAACAATCCGGCAGGTTATAGCAACGGCAGCATTCCCGTCGTCCCACGGATCACGAGAACAGCTGCCATTCGCGCCATGCCAGCGACCCCGCTCTATCTTCTCCCGGTGGTTGCTCGAGACATCCCCAGTCGGCATTCACCCTCAGGGTTGGTTGACCGGTTACCCGCAGCTCGGAATGGGCAGTTGATAGTTGGTTGAAACGGATATGTTTTGGGCTACTCCAAACAGCCCAACTTACACTTGAAGAGGGGCAGCTATCAAGCACAAACACACGGCAGGAGTCCAGGACCCCGCCACAAACCAAGCGCCGGTCTTGCATTGATACGGGATCGACACCACCCTCCCGCCACGATTCAAAGCGAACCTAGGACCCTGAAGATTATCGTTCTGGAATGGCATCAATCTCCGTAATCACCTTGCCTGGAACACTGTCGCCAGAGCCGCTGTAAACAATCCAAAACACAGCCAGAGAGAGACACTACCAGGGTCAAGCGCTCTTGCCGGCCATTGGTGCTTTGAGAGGACGACCACGCGATCCTGCGACCGCACCCGACCTTGCTGCTGCAGACAACCGCCCACTTCGTTCTCGGTTAGCGCGAGGAAGCTTGCATATGGGTGTGTATCAACCAGCAGAAGATAGTGCACTGGCCTCGAACGCGTATGGGTTGGCGCGATATGGAAGCGATGCACCCCCAATTAGCCACTGCTTGACCGCTCGAAGATCAGTTGGTGATGATGCCCTCCTAACGTAACCTTGCTGCATCATCGTCCATTTGTGTAAGGCCAATAAGCCAAGCCCGGCACTTGTTTCAATTCGCGTCGAGTGGTCGACTGCTCAATTGAGGGGGGTAGGTACCTTATGTGCGGTGACACTCATACGCATCGCTTCTCCTTTGATCTCATGTTTTGACTTTCGGGATAGGTGGCCAAACCCCGCGCTGAGCTGTCTCAGCCGAAACAGAGCTCGAACATCCGCTGGGGCGGGTTGCGTGGCCCTCCTATGCCCATATGAAATTCCTTCGACAAAGCCGACGGCCGTCACGACGTCATCAGAAAACCAGCGGCATCAACAAAAGCGTCACCCAGTTCCATAATGCGTAAACCCTGATGGCGGCAGCGGACTAGACCTTACCTTCATTCCTCGGCAATTGCGGCCAAGACACAGTCATCATGGCTGGTCGGCCGGTCAGTGCGCCGGAACGTCGGGCGTCCCCGGGCATCGAAGTTTTTTAAAGATCTAACGCAGCACCGTACCGTACCGACCATTCGCCTTTGATTTCCTATAGGTACCCAATGTACGCATATACAAGACATACTGTGATACTATAGACTACTGTTATCGTGCAGTTAGTAGCTTATCAATCCGTCTTTCAGCCCCCTTTTTCCATGCTATCAGAGGTAGTGTGGGGTTGTAGCCGTTGTATCTCGCTGTCTCTCTCATCAGTGACAGGATCGCTCTCGGTGGTTGTGTCCGTGGCGCCCACTTTAAAACAGGATACCGGTCGTGTTCCACAAAGCTGTGTCACCCAAATTAAGTGCTGATTGTGATGGAGTCGTTGGGACCGGGACATGCCGACCTCATCAATCATTTAACGCTGGCTGGGACCCAAACTGTTGGCCATTGCTATTTTCGCGGGCAATTGGAGCAATTGAACCCGCTGATCGCGTGCCTGTGCCGCGACGCAGACGCATACGATTGCAAAGGGCCATATGCAGAGAGAAAGGAGTGCATGCCTCGCCCCACTTGTTAGTAGTAGCTACTGTCAATTCTGGTCGTTGTCGGCTCCAAGTGAAACAGAAAGCGCTCGCTGGAAGAATATAAACTAGTACAGTACAGCACTAGCTTTTAACACTGTGACTTAGTACTCAATTCCCCAGGGGTTGAGCAGCATCTTTGGAAGTACACTACGGCACACACACAGTTCGGAGCCATCGCGAGTTCGCGATCATGTTCGCCTCCACGGTCCATTGGCCTCGTAATCTCGGTCGATTTGACTGTCCACGCCCAGCTGGAATTGGATGGATCCAGAGGAATTGCTCACTTCCAAGTTGGCTCGGCAGGGAGCATGGGTGTGGGGCCCGAGCTTCAAGTTGTCAGCGATCGTTGAACGTGGCCTCACTGGGAGCCAGCTGACAGTGCTGAGCCTACCTAGCAGAACAGAACAGCAACTGGTCAATTCCGAATTCGGGCTTCGCGAGCGAGATGCAGTAGTACCCGACGCATAGGTCACCTGCTACGGTTGGCACGCTGTCGAGGTACAGCGGCGCGAGAGTGGGCGGTGTAGCTCTTAACCAAGCAAAGTCGTCATGCCTGGTCCCACTGGTCCCATCCGCCGCGACTGGTCAAAGATGCAACATGCCGAGAATCAATCCGGGGATGGAAAACTGGCAGCGAAAAGAGAGTTGGCTCTAAGCCAGACAAAGGAGCTCACTAACCCTAAGCGGCTAATACGGCCTGCAAGAGCGAGGCAAAAGCGGTGTGTTGTCCTGCAGCTTTCTTCGATGGGTCCCATTCGTCATCTCGCTGCTTGCTGCAATGCGCCCCACATAACTATCTCAACAGTGCGAGCAGCAATCAAGGACACGTTGGCACACCATGGCCGACCTCAGCCCAGCACCCAGTGCCTGTTCGTCCGTTCTCGAACCGAAGATCGACATGGGATTGGCCCACCATCCCTGTCTCTCGCCTCCCATGGGCAGGCACGAGGTGAACCCTTGGCAACACGCCCATTCCCCCTTTGACTCAAGCGGGCGCTCAGCCCACTGTTGATGACCAAGTCTCTGCCACTGTTGTCCCTGCGTTTCTGGTCCCTTCCAGCCGTGCCCCGTGCCTTCAACCAGCGAATTCCCAATCCTCACCCAGCTGCTTCTCTTTCGCCATCCATCACCTTCCCTTCCTACCGCCTCTTTACCCTGCGCCCCCCTCTGTGTTTTGTCGTATAATCCTGTGCGCCTTTGCTACTGCTAAATCACCGTCGCATCCCTTTCGAGTGCTCTTCGTCTCTGTCTGCGACTAGGCATTGCGCTACAGTTTGAATCTTGTGGTCCGAGCTGCCAGGCACAACGCAACCGATAACGCTACCTAACTGCGCGGCCTGCCATTCGTCTCAACTCGCGACGACGACCAGCTCAACCAACAAGCGACGACATCAAAGGAGGCGTCTGGCATCGAATCCATCACGGCGTGCTACGGAGCTTCCACATCAGCAACGCTTGAGCATTTCGTGCATCATCTCGTGGCGCCTTCCAGTGCTGCTGACTAGCGCCCGGCCCGGTCGTGCCACCGCTGCCCGAATCCCGTCAAGCCCGACAATCACCAGCTTCCGATCGGTCTCCACCACCCGTGAATCACACGCCTCGTCTGCCGAACAAGGGGGCCGAAGAGTCATCTCTTCGTCCACCTGTTCCCCAAAGGCTCCTTCCATCCCGCATGATTTCAGAGACGATTCGCCAGGTGTTCCAATAGCTGCAATTGCTGTCTGCCACCTGGTCTCTCTTGTCATCGGCCCACCCGCCCTTGCCGGATCTCGCAACGCCATATTACCCCTGACGGTTGCTGCGGCTAGCGTTCTGTCGCGCAGCTCCCTCGACGATATCGGTCGGTGAACGATCAACTCCCTTACGTTCTCGCACCTGTTCGGCACCCAACCTCCTTGCTTGGTCCTGTCCCTGCGACACCGGCATCTCCGAGTTCGACACAACCTCATCGACTCGACGCACCACGACGTACACTCTCTAACTACTCGTACCGATGTTATAACGACCATTCCCTTTGTTTTTGTTCTGGACTGCCAGTCCAATTTGTGACGACTTTTCTCAACCACTTATTCTTTTTATTGTTCGACTGATCATTCAAATACCCTCCTCCCATGAGCCTCGGATATTGAACGACCCGGAGCTGCTTCTGTTCTGTTTTGTCTTCGTCGCGTTGCGCTCTTGTACACATCGTTCCTCTTTCCGCCGTTGCTGCATCTTCTTTTCTCGCCTTCACGTATCGTCAGCGTTCGTCTCTCCGTCTTGCAAGCGGTTGCTTTGCTCGTGTACAAATCGGAAGCGTTGTCTCGATAAGACTGCGACTCGATCGACATAGACCGGCTTGAGGTCAGGGGGAAAGGTCGTTTTTGATATTGTACCACCAATCTCGACTCCGTGTAGCCACGCCTACGCCTAATTCCACCGCTATGGAATGCCTTCGCGACAACTTCCACGATGGCTTCATCCTTGGTGGTCGGTATCAGACCATCTCGCCCCTCAACCACGGCTCCTTTGGCATGGTCTTCATGGCCAAGGACGTCAAGACGAATGAGACGGTCGCAATCAAGTGTCTGACGAAGAAGTCGGCGGCGGACGAGGCCAGCTACGAGTTCGCCATCGACGACAAGTCGGAGGAGCTCAGCCTGCACAGCCAACTGGGCTCGCACCCGAACATCGTCAACCTGGTCGACTCGTTCGAGACGGAAGCCCATGTCTATCTCGTGTTGGAATTCTGCCCGCGCGGCGATCTGTACGAGGCGATCCGGATCGGCCATGGTCCGCTGGAGACGGAGCATGTGAGGCGCTTCATGCTGGAACTTGTTGACGCTGTCGCGTACATCCACTCCAAGGGCATCTACCACCGCGACATCAAGCCCGAGAACATCTTCCTCACCCAGACTGGGTCGATGAAGCTGGGTGACTTCGGACTTGCGACGACCGAGAAGTGGACCTACGAGACGACGGTAGGGAGCGATCGGTACATGTCGCCGGAGCAGTATGACTCAGCCGGCGCTGGGTATTCGCCTGCTCAGGCGGACATCTGGGCCATCGGTATCTGCCTTCTCAACATTCTGTTTTCGCGGAATCCCTTCACCCAGCCGACGGAGGCGGATCCGTTGTTCCTGGACTTCTCCCGCGACAAGCAGTCGTTGTTCGATGTGTTCCCGTCGATGTCGCAGGACACGTTTGAGGTCATCGTGCAGTGCATGAATCTGGACCCGAGCAAGCGCTCCCTGGCTGGAGCCCGCGAGGCCTTGCTCCGTGTTGTTAGCTTCACCACCCTCGACGAGGCTCTCGACGATTTCTGCTCGAGCGACCGCCGCGTCGTTGCCAGCTCGAACCGCGAGCCCTTGCGCACCCCCTCCATCCAGAGTCCGCAGGTCGACAACGGAGCATTCCCGTGGGCTAAGGCCCTGCAGGCAACGCCTCCCAAGCCGAGCCGCCAACTCAGTGTCATCCCGGACGAGGACGTACCCGACGAGGACCTGTTTTCCAAGTCTGGCACGAGGTCGGACTGGATGTCGGGTGCTGCGCACACGCCTTCCATGTCGTCATACATGGACTCCAACCTTGGAGTTTCGATGCAGTCCTTCAACCTGCCGTCCAAGTTCCGACCGATCCTGCCCGCCAAGGCTGCCGCGAAAGTCGCGCCGATGGCCGGGTCACTCCCCATTACCATGTCCAAGACTCGCCAACAGTCCGCCATGTCGCTGGTCTTCGGCCGCAAGGATACGGTATCTAAGAGCTGGAGCGATCTGTGGGACGAGGAGTTTGAGGAGGGAGAGGCAGATAAGCAGCTACAGGCGCTGAAGGAGATGAACTCGAGAACCTGGAGCCATGAAAGCACTGTGGCGCCGTCCCCGGCCATTGACAACGATGACACGCCTCGCCAAGGCATGTCACCAGTTACCAAGTCGGCCGCGCTCGTCAACGACGAAAACACGATGCCTGCCATGGACGAGGCGCTTGGGGCAACTGTTGACCAGGACCTCGAAGCAGATGGCTTGTTCTTCTACGAGGCACCCCCTGTCAAGGACGAAGCTCATATTCCGCGCCAATCACCTACTTCGCGTCGCAACGACATGGACAAGTGGGCAGCACTAGGTGAACGCCGCCGGGCAATTGCTGGAAGCTCACCCCGCAAGGTCCCTGATGTTCCCCTCCGAACGGGCCGGCAAGTTGGACAAGGGTTCCCGGCCAGTTCTCCAATCAAGGGCCACAGCAGTTCCAGCACCCAAACCAACAAATCACTCTACTTGGGCCATTCGACTGGCCATCACTCCCCTCAAGAACATTCACACACCCATCACCAAGGAAGGTGGAGCAACCGCGGTAGTCGCGAGCGCGCCAAGGAGTGCCCTCGGAACAAGGGCCGCGACCGAGATTGGAATTGGAACTTTGATTGGCGCAAGGAGAAGCGCACTGCGTTTGGTTATTTTGGGTGGGTTGGTAACTGGCAAGAGGCTCGCTCCTGAGGGGAGCGCGGATCTCGGAAGCCGGCTTATCAAATGTGGTTGGGCCCACCAGTTTCCTTGATCCACATCCGCCGTCCTCACTCACAGTCCGTCGATCGGAACAATTGTTTTTGTCTTCTTTCTTGGTGTAAGAGGTGCTGACCCTCGCGGTGTTGGTTTCTGTTTTTTTCACACATTTGTGCCTTATTGGCGCGTCCCGTCTCCTCTCTCTTCTCTTATCTTCTTCCACAAGCATAGCATGGCCTAGAATGAAAACGGCACAAACACATGGCGCGTGGGTATAAGGCGCGAAGGAGCTCGAGCGATTTCTGAGAGAAACTTGACAAAACAGCCTGGTTTGGATTACCATATTGTTTTCACTACATGGGGGCGGGCCAAAAAAAGACTATCAGCATCATGAGCATCATCGCAGAGGGGGGGGTCAGCATTTGCTTATTGTTCTTCTATTTACTCTTACACTATCGATCGACGGGGCTTGGGCTGAAAGGAGGCGGCATCGTGGTTGAGGGATGGTTGGTTTTGGCTTCAACTCGCTTTCTGTGTATCAGATAGTTTATCTCCATGAGATCAAGTCTAGAATACCAGAAGTTACCCACTCAGATGTCGGTTCCATATTTGAAGTGTGTCAAGTGATATATACAATCGAAGAGCGGGCTCGATATCAGGTATGAGTTGGCAGGTTTGTAGCCCGGCTCAGTACATGCGAGTCCAACGTGACAGGCATCGGGCACTTGAGCGTGATAGTCTGAGATCTCACATCCTTCTACAGATTATTGGGAGTCATGGATCCAGGCAGTATGTTGGTTTGTTGGGGATAGGTGGACTGGTTTGAAGGCATGGGTGTGTGTCACGACCAAGAAGATGATGTGTCGTTCGATTCTGGCTCTCTGTCCAGCCATGTGCTCTCTCAAATGAGACGACAGCGCTACGTGACGAGTGAACATCATTAACCCCCCATCCCCCCATCCTCCTTTTTCCCCCAACGAAGTCTCGACAGTTTGCAAAACATTAGGTGTCTAACATCATCTACCAACCACCACGCCACCTCCGACACCTCCTGCGTGCCCGCCTCGCTCAATTGCTAATAATGAGGCGCATAGCTGGGGGAACCGTTTCCCGGACTTGGGTGTCGTGGCCGTCATGCAAATGCAATGCCACAGCCAAGCAAAGGCCAACAAACAGAGAACCCCATCTCGTGACAGTAGAGGCGCAAGAGACGCTCACTACGAATACGCGCGAGCGCCAGCTCTTTACAGATCATCCATCCATCCCATTACCTATCCTATCCTATGGCATTCGGGTAGGTACGAAAGTTCGGGATTTGGCGTCATGGTGAAGGTAGCGTAGTGTGGTGTAGGCACTGCCTTACACAGTAGGAGGGCAATCCGGAGTGCAGTAGCATGGTAAGGTATTGTAGGTACACTAGGTAGTGTATGTACAGGTATGTATGCAGATTCGGCATCCTGGCTCCCCACCTCCTATCCCATCATGACACATGCCACATGCCATGCCGCTTGCAGTGTAAACAAATCCCCGCCCCCCACACACCACACACACACTGGCCAGGGGCTTGTCGCAGCGGAAGATCAAAGAGTCCCCATAGCAGACGTGGGGAGGGAAAGATAGGTACATTCGGTTCGATATGTCAATATTGGTTGGCTGGCTGAGACAGGAAACGGGCAGTGTAAGAGAGGAGGGAAAGGAGTTCGGATGGTTAAAAGAACTTGAAGACAGATGTGCCTCGATCGGATGAGGGCCGCCGTACACAGGACGAAGTCATACGGGAAACCGTAGACCAAACCAAATGCATCTCTCTATATTATGTGGTATCTGTGTTACTCTATTAATCCCACAACTCATGTCTTCCCACGCGGCGCCATGACCCATAATGCTAGGTATGAGTGTGATCATGCAGGTCGCTTGAGCCGGAACGTGAAGCCGAGAAAATGAAAGATGTGGCGCCATAGCTGAACCACGCCACGCGTGAGACAACGACAGCAGCCCCGGCTCGCCAACACATCACATCCGATATCACTTCACCAGCAGAGGGGGTGACTTGTCACAGGCGACATCCAACTTGCCCCCCTACCAATGAAGAGACCCCCCCATCACTGTCCTGCGTGTGTTGTCGTCTGGGTATGCCACCCGCACCCGCCATGCCCAAACCTACGCACATCGAACTGGCCTCTGCGGGCACTTGTCCATCCATAGCAAGCAACGTCGCCGGCGCATTGGTCTAGGTGTCTTGATCCTGGAGAGGAGCAGTGAACTATAGCCATTTGTCGGGCTCGGTATTGGCGGGATCGTAGTCGCCAAGGGGGTCTCAGGCAAAAGGCGAAAGGCTTTCATTATCCGCGATCTGTCCTACCGTAACGACGGCGCCGACGGCTCAGCGCCAATCAAGCTCTTGGGCAGAAATGCCCAGACTGTGCCGACGACCGACAGGATGAACGACAGTATCATGACGGTCGAGGCCAAGACCTTCTCCCGCAGGGAGAGTTCGTGGCCAAACAGCTTGAGGTAGAAGGCGAGGGGGAGCCTGCAAGTTTGTTTTCCCGTCAGTCAGTCAGTCAGTCCACACTGTCCCCCCCTCTCCGCTCTTTGACCTCTTACGTGCCACATGCCCATGCAACAAGGGGGACCAAGAACGGGAAAAGAGAGAACTTACGTCACGCAGATGGTAAAGCACAGCGCGCTCCCCATGAAGGCCATGATGCTATCGAACTCGGGGAACACCACGGCCATGACCAAGAACACGAGGACCACGCCGACGCGCGTGGCGACCTTCAGGGCGCCCCTCAGCCCGGGGCCCATGCCCATCAGGCCGTGGTGGGTCTCGGCCACGGTCTGCTGGTGCAGTCCCAGCAGGACCTCGACCGTCGACACGATGGGCCGGGCGTTGAGCGGGATCTTGGTCAGCGGGATGATGCCGATGCACAGGCACATGAGCGCCGTCAGCGCGCGCGGGTAGCTCGTCTCGAGCAGGATGTTGGACGTGATCTCGTCGCGGACCGAGTCGCCGAACATCAGCAGGCCTGTGACGGCTGTGACGGCGTCGAGGACGTACTGGTTTTTCAGGGGAGTCAGAGGAACGGGTTTCGCTAACTCTGGCGAGGGGAGGAGCTGGTTGGGGTTGGGACATACGGTGAAGGAGAAGGAGATCTTCAGCGCCTGCGTGTACTTGTAGGGGTGGCGCATGTCGCGGTAGATCTGCGTAAAGGTGAGTCACACACGGTTCATGGCTGTTGCATGGGGTGGGTGGCGTGGGCTTACATTTGGAAAGACGCTGTGGCCGCCCCTGCGAGAAACGTTAGCTTCTGTAGGTACAATACATATTTCCGACGAGGTCATCTGGAACCAACCATGGAGACATCAACAGACCGAATGACAACGGCAGCGTCAACCAGTTCGCGGGGAACAGGTAGGTTTTGGCAGGCTCAATCAAGGAGCCCGGCGAGGTTGGTTTGATGAAGCCGTCGAGAATCAATATAAGCACAACTGAGATGCCGAGTCAGTGTCGACATTCAACCACAGCGCTGTGTGCATGCGCGCTTCTGGGAATGGCCACTCACTAGTGAAGCATGAAAAGATGCCAATGACGCTGGTGAAGCTCAGCAGCCTCAGCGGGAGGAAGTTCAGAGGCACCAGGATGATGGCGCAAAAGATCTTCCAGCCGGTCACCGACAGAAAGCCCGGGAAGAGCAGGTCGAGCGAGTCGGCAAAGAGCACAATGAGCGCCACGCAAGCTGCGAGGAGCTCCAGCGTGAACAGGACACTGGTCGCTATCCGCGCGTTCCGGCCAAACGAGATGAAGGCAAGGTCGGAGAAGGTGATGAGGCTCGGGTCGAGATCCATGCACTTGGCTAGAATCTTGGCCGTCCAGCCTGTCACGGCGGCGCAGAGGAAGAGGGCGATCATGCCGCAGAGCCAGCCCGCGTACTTGATTCCCATGGGAAGACTCAGGAGTCCGATCCCGATCAGAACGCTGTTGCGCACTGCGTTAGCACGGAACCCGCAGTCATACCGGAACTAAGCCAGACAACTTTGAAGACGTACTTGGTCGAGTTGAACACCGTCTGCGGCAGCGTCGACTGGCCCTCCACCGTCAGCACAATCTTGCCGTCCTGCTCCACCTCCTTGACCAGGATGGGCGGCAGCTCCCTGTCGGGCACGTTGCCGCCCGTCTCCTGCTGCTCCCTCCACAGCGCAGCCGCCTCCGCCATCGACTCGCGGCCCACGTCCGACCGAATCGTGCCGTAATCGGCACCGGACCCATAGCTCCCGACAACCGACGGCGCAGCCAGGTGCGGCGGTATGGCGAAGATCGAGCCGGTCGAGCCGGCGCTCGTGTGGCTCCCCACGCGGAACGCCTGCGACATCTCGCCCTCCAACAGCGGTTGTTTCTGCGCCCCCGAGTCGCGGCTCGACTGGCGGTACAGCGAGCTGTGGCTTGCGCTTGGCGCCGGGCTCTCTGCGCGGGGCGACGAGCGTTGGCCGGAAGCCTGTAGGGCGGCCTGGAGCTGCTGCCGGATGAGCGAGGGCGACCCGGTCTCGAGATCGCGCGGCGCGTAGGGGGAGGCATCGCGGGATCCTGCTTCTTCTGCTGTGGCTGCTACGGGCGCCTGGTCCGGAGCAAAGACGAAAGAGGGCCGTTGGGGGATGACCTCGGGGAAGCCGGCGGCGCGCTGCCAGCTGCGCGTGAAGGAGCGGATGCTGTTGACGCCGCCGATGTCGGTCAGGGCCGTCAGGCGGTTGGTCATGGAGGATCTGGGGGAGGAGTCAGCCATGATGATGAATCAATCGATCTGAAAAAGGGGGCAGGTTTGAAATGTCCATCATGTTACCTCCTCCGCCTAAGCGGCGGCCACTCGCCATTGTCCTGGTTCGAGTCGGCACTGCGGCCTAGCGGAGACTCGAACTGGCCGCTCCGGTTGCCCAAGGACGAGACGCTGCCCGCTGGCGAGGAGCTTCCGCGCTCGTACTGTTCCCAGTTTATCGCGTTTCTAGAAGTCATTGCGCACGATGATCCAACACAGGGGAGGGACGATGGATAGGCGAAAGTCGAGCAGAAAAAGTTGAGGCAAATTCAGGTCACTGGCTAGTCGACCTGAGCTACACAGTTACCTACTAGTAGGTACTGTCGCGGGGCATCGTGGGGTCCTGAACGACGCGCTTGCGGCGCAGGGATAGGGCGGCGGCGAGATAGCGATTTGTGGAGTTGGTGGGCCGGCGACTACGACTACTTGTGCTTTCAGGTTCACGGTCGTGTGATAGTAGATAGAAGCGCTGCAGTGTGTGATAGAGAGACCTATTCGGGCGTGTTAAGGTAAACAATGTGTTCTACAGTCTGATATCAAGCTGCAGGGAATGGTTGACAGTTGTTGATGCTAGGGGCAGGAGTTTGAGCGAGGATCGAGTGTAGTTTTGTTATATTCGGGATGCGCCGAACTGTGACGACATCACACATGCCGCACCGGCGCACTGTGTGACTCTCTTGTCAGTTCGACTGGTGTCAAGGTCAGGTCTCAAGTAAGCTGTGGATTGAGTACCTGTACCTATCAACCAGCTGCGATCGTCTCCCCCTCCTATACAGTAACACAGTACCTTGCACTCGGCACTATGAATATGTCTCCTGGGAGTTGCCAGAACTTTCTTATCGCGGTCAGGAGGCCGTTGATGTAGACTGCCATCCAGATTGGATCACATGGTTCCTTGATTCGCCAATGGAAACCCCACCCAAGCTGCAGCTTCTGCCAAGCCATGTGCCAAGACCCGCACGCATCTGCCGTCCGACAGGGGCTGAGAGCGGTCGAGTGCGGCAGAACGGTCCCGCTCAGACAATTTTCGTACCGCCTGTTCAAGTGAGCAGCCGGCCACTCCCCGTAGACTGCGGCCTCACTTTTCGATTATGTGGAGGACAGCCCGCGACTCGGTGTGCCTCATATGCCGCTCAGCCGCAGGTTCCAGGAACGCTCTCCTGGAGTCCAGGCAGGCATGGATTGGCCAGCGCACTTTTGCGACGCGCCGGGAGCAGCGTCCATCGCGCATGGTCCTCTCGGATCGCGTCGCCCGCGGGCCGAGAACCGATGATCCCAGGAGGTCCCGCGACAGGCCCGACGGCCCCTGGGCTGGCACGAACCGCACCGTCGCCAACATCGACCCCTCTAAACGGCGAGGGCCGCCGCCTCGATCCGCATCGCCGACGACTGGCCGTGATGGCCGCGACAGGGACACAAGGAGCAGGGACAGGGGCCCGAGCGACAGAGACGATGGGCGCAAAGCGCTGAAGATGCAGCGTGCGCTGGCGACTATCCCCTACCGAGAGCGGATTCAGGTCAAGGCGCGCATATCCGACGTCGAGTCCTTCGACCAGTTCAATCTGCTGCCATCCATCAAAGATGCCGTCATGAATGAAGTGCTCAAGGGCATGGTGGGCGTCAAGCCGACCCCCGTGCAGAGACTCGCCATCCCGGCCCTGCTCGGTCAGCCGATCGGACGGCTCAGGCGAAATGACTCGTCGCGCCTAAAGAAGTCTCAAACCGAACGAGAAGAATTCCTCTTGGCCGCCGAGACGGGGTCCGGCAAGACGCTGGCGTACTTGCTGCCCACCATCCACGCCCTCAAGGTAGCCGAGGCCGACGATGCCGACGTGCAGGCATACAACGAGCGCTTGGAGGCAGAGAAGCAGCGGCGGGGGGGGACTCCGGTGTCCGAGTGGTTGGACAAGTTTGAGCCGCACCCCAACACGGCCCGGCCGCGCGCCGTCGTGCTGGTGCCGACGGCCGAGCTCGTCGGCCAAGTGGTTGCCGTCGCGAAGGCCATCTCCCACGTGGCCAAGCTCAAGGTGCGTCCTCTCTCGGCGAACTACAACGTCGCCAAGATCCAGCGCAACCTCTACAGCCACGGGGGCATCGACATGGTGATTGCGACACCGCACCTCCTCGCGAGCATGGCCGACAGCGACCCCAACATCCTCTCGCGGGTGCGCCACCTCATCGTGGACGAAGCCGACTCCCTCTTCGACCGCTCCTTCTCGCCCGAAACCTCCAAGATCGTCGACCGCGCCATGCCCTCGCTCAAACAGCTCATCCTCTGCTCCGCCACCATCCCGCGCCGCCTCGACAACTACCTAGCCGCGCACTTCCCCAACATCCACCGTATCGCCACGCCCAACCTGCACGCCATCCCGCGCCGCGTGCAGCTCGGCGTCATCGACGTGTCCAAGGACCCGTACCGCAACAACAAGCTCCTGGCCTGCGCCGACGCCATCTGGTCGATCGGCAAAGACGCGGCGCAGCACGAAGGACCCTCCTCCGGGGCCGGCCAGGACGAAGTCGACGTCAAGCGCATCATGGTGTTTGTCAACGAGCGCGAGACGACGCAGGAGGTGGCCGACTACCTCGTGTCCAAGGGCATCGACGCCGTCGCGCTGCACCGCGACACGCCCGAGCACCGCCAGAGCGAGATGTTGGCCAACTTCACCAGCAACGAGCCGCTGCGCATCAGCCGGGACGAGGTGGAGCAGAACAAGCAGCTTATCCTGGCCAAGCAGGTCGGCTCGGGGTCTGGGTCGGGCGGCCCCAGGAGACACCTGCCGAATACCAAGGTCATTGTGGCGACCGACTTGGCGTCCAGGGGCATTGATACCCTCGCCGTCCGACATGTGGTGTTGTTTGACGTGCCGCACACGACCATCGACTTCATCCATCGGCTGGGTAGGGCTGGACGGATGGGTCGGAGAGGGCGGGGCATTGTGCTGGTGGGTAAAGACGACCGGCGGGATGTAGTCGCCGAGGTGAAGGAGAGCATGTTCATGGGGCAGGCGTTGATATGAAACGTTGTATGATGACTGTGTTATGTGCTACTACGTACCTTACTATCGAGCTGGCGGGTCGTACTATAGGATCATAAAAGGCATAACACTAGATACCTAGCATTTAAAGACGGGTTGAGTGGGCTCACCTGGCTTGACTTTGTTTAACTACCAGGATTTCGGTCCACCTCAGCCCCTATTTCATGAACTGCGCGTAGCCGCCGGGGGCGTTGTGATTGGTATCCAAAGGGACTAAAATATCAAGAGGCTATTAACAAAGGCAGAAGGCAGAAGGATCTGCTGTATCCAGGAATCTTTATACAACCCCGTGATAAAAGACGGACCCCTCTCTCTAGACTCGTCAATCATAAAGTCGTGAACGTCGTCATCTATCAACCAGACGCAGATCGCTCGCTGAGAAAAAAAAAGAAACAATACCAAGCACACCTCATCTTCTTTTCTCCTCCTTTTTTGTTTCCTCTTCGGTCTTTTTTTCTTCAGATCTCATCACATCGCCCCCCCCCCCAAACTATGTCACGGTATGTATTTAAATACTAGGGGCTGACCCCCGTGCCCCACGTACGGACTTTGCTCAGCGTCCGTTTCCGCATGGTCGCCATGATCTGCGCCTCCATCTTCTCGATGCCGGCCTCGATGTCGGCGTCCTCTTTCGCGTACCGCATCTCACGCCGTCTGTCCCACCACCGCCAGCCAAGCACGACAATGAGGGTCAGCGGGATCGAGATGGCGAAGTAGATCCACAGCAGCGGGGAGACCGGCGACCACGAAGAGGTGGAGTTAGCGGAGGAGGAGGAGGAGTCGTTGTTGTTGTTGTCCGGGATGAAATCGAAAAAGGACATGCTGAACAGCGACGCGAGGTAGGTCGCGGGAAGGAAGATGGCGCCCAACAGAGAGAGGATCTTCATGGAGGTGCTGTCGCGCTTGGCGGCGTGGGCGAGGCGGCGCTGCTCTGCGGCCATGGTGAGGCCGAGCTTGGATTCCTTTTGCGCGATGATGTTGTAGAGCTGGGCGGGGGGGTTGGTTTGTTAGTATGCGATGTGGGAAGGGGGCAAAAAAAGAGAAAAGAAAGAGAAAGAGAAAGAGAAAGAGAAAGAAAAAGAAAAAGAAAAAGAAAAGGAAAAGGAAAAGGAAACGCACCGCCGCCCGCTGGATGGTCAACCGCTCAAGCGTGATATGCGCATAGTTCTCGATGCCCTTCAGCTTGGCCTGGTAGAAATCCAGCCTGGCCAGCAGACTGCGATGAAGCTTGTGCACCTCCCCGCAGGGCCCGCCATATGCCGGGATCTCCTGGGCCTTGGACCAGAAGCTGTCCATGGCGCGGTAGATGCTCTTGATGATCTCCTGGTAGGCCTGCGGGCGCTTCCACAGCACCTGCGAGTGGCACTCGACCAGGTCGCGGTTGATCTGGTCCAGGTCGACCATGGACTCCTTGACGTACGGGCTCTCCTCCTCGAGCACCTCGTTGCGCATGCTGACGGCGTGCTCGAGCTTGCGCAGCCACTCGCGCGCGTCGCGCTGCTTCTGGTCGTTGCGCGCCGACAGGTCGTGGCTCAGGATGATCATGGGCAGCAGCAGCGGGTGCATCACCTGCGCCGCGCAGTGCCACAGGTGCTTGATGCAGTCGACCATGTCGGACGACGGCGTGCCCTTGGCATAGCCCGTGGTGATGCCCGTGCTGAAGCAGTGCGAGAGCATCAGCTCCCAGCCGCGCGTCTTGCCCTTCTTGCGCACATCCGACTTGCGGAAGATGATCTGCAGGTGCGGATCCTCGTCGACCTGGTCGAAGGCGCACCAGAAGAAGGGGCCTACAACGCTGCTGCCCTCGACGGCGCGGAACGGGAGCCGCAGGACCCGGACCATCTCCTCGTACGCCTCGTGAGACAGGGAGAGGTAGCGGGTGGCGAACGTCTCGGGGTGCTGCGCATTTTGCTGGAGACTGCCGGGGTTAATTTATGCTCGTCTGTCAGCGCAAGAAGCTTCCGGCTCCGGTCAGACAGCGGCCGTTATCATGGGCAACACTCACATCAACCGCACGCCGCTGACCAGCTTGACGTCGGGGGGAAGTTTCGGAGGTGCAAATGCCCCCTGCAAGGACCGTCAGTTCGGTTCATGGCGAAGGAAATGTTTCTACTTTCCAGGGGAAAGGCAACTTACCCTTCGGTGTAGAAAATTGCTGAATTCATCTGGCAGCTCGTCCAGGCGGAAGCGGTGTTCCTCCACTGTGTTGTGCGAGGGTTCCTGAACAACGAATATCCCGTCAGCAACAAACCCCCCATTCCCTACCTTACCCCGCGCCCTCAACAAGTCCAACCCTCGGATTAGAACACTCACTGAGTAGTTGAAGATCTCCAGATAGCTCGTTGCTTCCTGGACGCATGTACAGTCCTTCACGTGCCACTGAAACATGTAATCGTCCATCTTTTGGCCCCCCCTTTTTCGGGTCTTAAATCTGTTGCCTTCACACTGGCCGAGTGCGATTCACCGCCTCCAAAATCCAGATCAGGTGTTTTAACTGAGCAGCAGACAAGTTGGCCTCGAAGCTACCTATTTTCAACACCACATGCAAGCTCAGTCTTAGACTCTTTACAGCACACCGACTGCTCAATCAGCCTGTAAAACGTGTAAGCGTGGGACTGGAAAAGAAGTGCACAACTACCTGATCAGAACCCTCTCACCCTGATAAGGTACCTATTCGAAACTCTCACGAGACTTTCAGTGTTCGTCAGTAAAAGCAAGGCAACTTTGCTTTTCGATCACCACAGCCTGCACCCCATGCATCAACGGCTCGATTTCTGCAGCCGACCAGCCACCTTCTGCAGGCCGCTCGTGATGTATTAACCACACCGTTTTTGGCAAGTAGTACTAGTACAGTGCGGTGGGTCAGTACATGTACTGACAGTGCGACGGCTGACCTTATGTCCGTACAATCAACGGGATTTACGGGAAAATGACAGTAGTACAGACCAAATAGGCGGTGTAACTAACTGTAATGACAAACAAAGTACATACCTTACCTTACATACCACCTACCAGCCAACCCACATACCGCCAGTCAACCAACCCGTCTGTTTGTTCTTCACCACGGAGCAGCTGCCGGGCGAAGAGAAAGACAGAAGCTGAGAAAGAATCGGGTCCCTACTTTCTCTGCAGACAGCCAATGGTTGGTGGATGACGATCCGAGTCACTTCTATTACTTCGTACTACCTAGGTAAAACTGCAGAGCGGTTTTGCGAGCGGTGAGGCGGGCTAGGTAATGACGGAATCTGAGGTAACGTTAATGACAGGAGCTGAGGTAACTTCTGAAATGCACGCATGGGTAATGTATGCATGTATTGTACAGTACAATACACTAGGTACAGTAATTTACATCGCCGATACATGCTTCGAGGCTCACCGCCAAGCTGCCGAGGTAAAGTCGCCTCAGAATTACCGAGATGGCTGTCAGCTTCTCGTCAGGAAGGGGTCTGACGCGTATGTAGGTAATTAGGCACGGCAATAGATGAGTTCACGGTCAGAGGATCCAAGAGGATGGGAGATTCGGTTGCCAGAGGCGCTGGAAGAAAACTGAAACAAACATCCTCTACTAAATCATTAAACATCAATCCATACAAATAAAGGCGGTACTGTGTAGTCCTACAGTCCTAAACACCTACTCTCCGAAACCTGTCCGCTCCTGCCGCATAGAATGCACCTCTGTGAGTCTGTATAGGTCTTTTTTTAAAGAGATACACAAGAGCAAAGGCACCCAAGTGGTTAGAGAGCTATCCATTCAGGCAACCAGGATTGCGTGTTTCCCAAAGGTCCCTCCCAGGCCACAGGTTTGAAACCCCGTTCAATCACTTTTCCGTTTCCTGAGCTCCAAGTACCCAAGCAACCCATTCGTACTGTCCCGCTCTACCTCATCCTCATCATCCGCGTCGTAACCAGGGCATGATTCTGGCAGCTGCCGTGGGTTGCACCTTCCATGCAGGCCGCTCATCAGAGGTAGTGGTGATCAAACCACACGCTTTGTGACTGACACGTACCAGCAGGCAACCATCTGTTGGGTGTGGACCGCCGATACACTGTGGTTGTTCGTCCGCGTCTCAAAAGTCCTGAAAGAGATGTCCATATCTGCTCCAGTCAGCATCGCGTCTTTGTGCACCCATGAGATAAAATTGGACTTACTCGTCATGCCCCGGCTGCCCATACTGTTCCGTCTCCTCGGGGTACCTGTCAAACTGGCTGGCATCTCCCGCACCCGCCCTGACAGGGGGCGAGTAAGGCGCATCAATATCCTTTCTGGCCAGTCGATCCCACGTAACTTCGGCGAACCAAGGGTGGTTCTTGACGTCCTGGGAACCTCCATACAGGTTCCCCAGCCGCTTCGTAAGGTCGGCCGTAATCAGCCTTTCGAGGAGGTCCTGGGCGTCCGGGTTGATGTAAGCCGGGTACTTGACTCTGCCACGGAGGATGTTCTCGTAGATCTTCATGGCCGACCCGCTGTCGTAGAATGGGGTGTAGCCACAGAGCATCTCGTAGATCAGGATACCCAACGACCACCTGTCACCTACATTAGCCGCTCGCTAGGAGGCCGGACACACAACTATTGGGACTCACCAGTCTACCGACTTGTTGTAGCCCTTCTGAGACACGACCTCGGGCGCCAGGTAGTCTGGAGTACCGCAGAGCGTCCACGTCTTGTCCGTCACTCGCTTGGCGAAACCAAAATCCGTAATCTTGAGGTGGCCATGCCGGTCCAGCAACAGATTCTCCGGCTTCAAGTCCCGGTAAATGATGTTCTTTGAGTGCAGGTATTCCAGCGCCAGCGTCACCTCGGCAGCATAGAACTTGGCTACTGGATTAGGGAAGCGCTGCCCAGCGTTAGCCCCAGCGACCGCACCATCATTGCAATATGTCACCCTGACTTACCCCAGACCTTCTGAGCAACGAGAAAAGCTCGCCGCCTTCGACAAAGTCCATAACCATGTACAGGTTCTTCGGGTCCTGAAACGTGCCCCAGAGGGTAATCAGGAACGGGTGCTTCACCTCGCTCAGCATCCTCCTCTCGTCATTGGTGTGCTCAATCTGCTTCATCTTGACCACCTGTGCCTTCTTCAGCACCTTGATGGCGTAGAATCGGTGGTTGTGTCTCGACTGCACGAGGTGCACCCTGCCAAAGCTGCCCGTGCCTAGCGTCCTCAACATCTCAAAGTCCGCCAGCGAGTATCTTCCCTTGGTGACCCGGCCTTCGGACTGCACCGCATGCTGCTGCGTATGATGCTGTACAGGCTGGTGTGTTTGGTGCTGTTGCTGCTCTGAATGTTGTTGCTGATGCTGCTGCTGATGTTGTGACTGCTGATGATGATTCTGTTGTTGTTGTTGTTGTTGTTGGGGCTGGCTTAACAACCCCCCACCATTGTACGGAGCATTCGTCGCATAGTAGTTTCCGGGCTGTTGGTAGCCGACCGAGCCATCTTGTTGCGGCGGATTGATCAGGTTCGCGATGCGTGGCACGTTCTGCGGCTCGGTCGCGGGAGAGGGGCTATGTTGTGCCACCGGGTAAGGTGGTTGCTGAGCTGGTAAAGTGCTCATTGAGTGCTGCGGTTGCTGCTGCTCGGCCACCGCTGCTTCGGTTGGCCAGCCGTGGGGTTGCGAAGCGGTCGCGGACGAGCGGTGGGTGGACTGCGACGCGGTGCTTGGACGAGAGGGGCCGCGGAGGGCGGTGGCCTGTTCGGAGCTGCTGGGCGCTGTCGGTGTCACGGGGCTGGACGGGTTGCTTGGCGACGAGGTGCCCGGGTTGCCGCTGTCCTTCGTCCGTCTCCTCCTAAGGAAGTTGAGGGTGTGCATCAAGCGCGCTCCGACGGGACAGCCCACCGGTAATCCCTGGGCCGTCTAATTGGCCGAGCGCGGTCTAAGAAAGGAAGACCGGCCAAGCGGTTGTGACGAGGAGCTGCACGGCAATCAAGCGGCGGGCCAATGAGCCAATGTCGCTCGTCAGAGGAACTTGGTACGCCCGTAGGAGCTGGCGGCTGGCTGCTACAACGTACTAGGTACTAGTAGGTAGTAGCTGACGCGGAGTATCTGGCGGGGAAGGCGCGGGGAGGATGCACCGGGCGCTGGCTCGCCGCGATCTAGACTGCCAACGGTACGAATGGTCGGCGGTAATAATGACGTGCGGAACGGCGGAAGGCTGAACTGCGGTTGGGTTGCAATCCGCAAGTGCTCCGGGCGGACTCCTCAGCTTTGGCGCAGAGGGGGTTTCCCTTAGAGCACAGGTAGAAAGACAAAGGGCTGCTAATGGGCCAATTGACTTTTGCGAGGTACAGGAAGGACAACGTGTGGGGAGTATAACAAGAGACAGCTGTGTTTTAGAAGCCTCCAAACTCGGCTTATTGCATTCGTTCTCCCTTGCAGCTTGACGCCTGCCTTTCGAGAAAATAAGCGAATCTGGGTTTGTCCCGCAGCAGAAGGCTGGAGTTCAGGGCGGAGGATATGTGCCCGCGCTCGAGGAACCAGGTATTTGGAAACTTGGCGTTACCGAGATGGGAAATGTTAAAAGGATGGATGATTGAAGTCAAAGAGTCGGGCCGGGCCTACAACCAGCTCCTTTCTACGGATAGTGATCGGCTCAGTTTACAAGGTGAGTGAGGTGTCATGGAGGTGGGAGTGGGCTACTGTAAAAGAGTGTCCACAGTGCTGGGCCGGAAATCTCGCAGCAGACTTAAGTCCAGCTTCCTTGGTAGTAGTTGCCCGAGAGCCATCTTTAGCTCAATTTGGCTTCAGCTCCTCATAGGACGTGGCTGTCGATATTATTTATCCCTGGTTTTTAGATCTCGGCTCGTCCGAACCAATTCGGATCACACGCCACATATACTACGGAGTATAGAGGAATAAACTTGTGTTTATTCTGTAGTGTGAGATTTCAGATGTTGGCGTCGATGGTTGAAGTGGGGCCAATGTGGGGTAAATAGCTTCGGCCGAGCAGGGGTCAGGCCCCTGAGCTTCAATGAGCGAGGCCCGCTTCATATCGTCATAGGGTCGCTGGCGATCTGTCCGGCTATGTACAGCAGGCGGGGTAAAGAAATGCACAATGTCCTTCGATCGCCAAAGCATGAGTTTACGGTGAATCCTGTACTGCACACGTGTACAAACGCATACCAGCTACTCCACGGATAGATAACTGATCATAGCACACCGAAAGTGCTAGAAACCAGCTAGTGTGTCCTATGGGCTATGGCAGGCCATCGATACCGGTACTCTTCAATGGATGGTTGACATAATGCAACACATACCTTAGAGCTTATTAGGTACCTTAGGTAGCAGTAGACCAGAGGTCGTTGGGAAACTGTTACAGAGACGCTAAACTCCGTCCAAGACTCCCGACGCATGTTACTGATACAAAGTAAGTGCTGCAAGCGTTGTTACCCCTTTTCCTCATGCAAAAAGCCGGCTATGTATGGTATCTTTTGTCTTTCTTCCGTAATGGACAGTGAATTCGCATTCACCAAGCGCTTCCGAGACAGATCTGGACCCTCAGAAGCGGTGGCTCCGCTTGCTGTTCGCTCTCCAGGCGGTATACCCGACATAGCCGCCGCCGATGAGCGCAAAGAAAAAGAAGACTTTCATAAAGAACCATGTCCAGCTGCCGCCCTCCTTAGTGGCCGTCTTCTTGCCTCTGCCGCTACCAGGGGTAGATTTGCCGCTCGGCTGGGCCGTGTACAGGTTCTTGGCCCTGATCGAGATGATATCGTGGTTGTCGCTCAGCTCGCCCGTCTCAGCACTGAAGCCAAGGTAAGCAACTTGGGGGATCGCAGGCGGCTCGCTCGTTTCGAAGCACAGCGACCACTCGCCCTCGGACTTGTACTGCAGCTCCAGCTTGAGGTACTTGTCCTGGAAGTAGGTCAAACGGAGCTTGGTTGGCACGCTAGCGTGTCGGATGCCCCTGGCCGAACAGCCAGCAAACTCGGTGTCCTTGCCATCCGTGTCTTTATCGTACGACGTCTTGCCGTCGCCGACCATGGCCATGACATAGGGGAAAACGACCCCGGGCCTGTTGTTCTTGTATGTGTCGAAAAAGATGCCCAGGCCCTCGAACTTGTCGGCGCTGCCGAATACCGGGCCAACTTTCCCGCGCTCCTTCGTGAGCCACATAGCGAAGCCGTCGCCATACAACTGATTCTTCCCGTGGATCTTGAACTCCACCTCGACTTCCCAGTTCGTCGCCGTCAATGGCACTCTGGAGAAGAGCCATCCGTTTTGTGACGGGTGGTCAGAAGTCAGACGGATGTACCTGTGGTAGGCGCTGTTAGACCGGTGTTCAGCAGCCGAGGGGTCTGCGCGCAGGGCAATTACTGATCGGTGCGGATGATGGTATCGCCGCCAAAGTCGTACCAGCGACTTTGCATGTCGGAGTCTAGGTATGGCTGGAGCGGTGGGGTCAGTCCGGTCGATCGTCTATAGGGTAAAGTACAGGAATGCGAACCTGGACGAGCGTGTGTGTTCGCAACTAGAAAACCGTCAGCACTGCTATCTGTCACCAGAACGTCGCACGTGGGAGCGCACCCCTATGCTCTTCACATTACCATCCTCGTCCGCCTGGACCGCACCCCAGGCGAGCGTGGCCAGCCATAAGGCCGACAGCGTCGATTTCAACATTGCGCCCGAATGCCAATGGATACGATGTGGTCGGCCGGGTATAAACCTGAATGTAGGGGAATGGAAGATAAGGAAACTGTTCACGATGAGCTGGCCTGAGCTGGAAAGTGGGTCGGCTACCCCTGGCTCTCGACTGGGCTTCCCCACTAATAAAGCTACCGCCCGGGCCTGAAAGTCTGAAACAAGCAGCACACTAGCCTCATCAGTCCCCATTGCATGCGCCACAGCTTGTAACTTTTGCCCAGTCCCCCAGCAACAAACAGCAACCTCACGGAAAGCAACGGGATACTAGTACGCCCCGACGTCCTACCGAACCCACCAGACTCAACTACAACCATGGACTCGGACTCGGTAAAGAAGGCGATCATGCGCCAGGCGGTGCAGGCTACCAACATGTCCAACGCGCGGATCCTGATCGAGGCAAGTTTTGCTTCCGGACCTTAGGTCCCGTTTCCATACCAACTGAACGTCCATCCTAACGTTACTGTCAGAACATCAACAAGACATGCTTCGATTGCTGCGTTCCGAAACCCGGGAGCTCGTTGCCAGGTGGTGAGCAGACGTGTCTGACACAGTGTATGGACAAGTACATGAAGGCCTGGAACGAGGTGAACTCGGCATATATCCGGAGGGTGCAGCAGGAGCTCGGCAACCAGACCATCACGAACGCATAGTGGCGCCAGAGAGGATGGATAATCTATATACCGTGTGCGATTTCGATAGTGGCTTGGGCTGGGCGTGGAAAGCTCTGATTGTACTTGTACGATAGGGATAGACTGGGCCTGGCGCACTGTGCAGGGTTGTATCATATCGGCCGGGCGACAAGCTGCAGCGCGAGCGGGTAGATCTCTGCTTCCGCAGCAGGATCAAATCAGGCCAAGACGTGGCGGCATACATCTTCGGCTGCAGAGAAAGCCCAGGCAGGGGTTATCGTCAGGAAGGAAGCGAGTCAAGGCCCCTTTTCTACGGCGCCTCAGCCAACCCCTTCTTCTTCGCATCCTCCGCCGCTCTCTTTCTCGCAAGATACCTCTCCTTCGCGCTCGAAATATCGGCCTCCGTCTTCCTGCTCTTACTCGCAAGCTGGACTTTAGCAGCCTCTTCCTCCTCCTCCTGCCGCGCGCGCTTCAGCGATTCCTCCAGCTGCGCCTCCAGCATCCTCGTCTGCCGCTCTCTCAGCGCCTGCTTCCCGCCGGCCGCATATACCCCTCTAGCCTGTGCACCGCCTTCGGCCCGCTTAGCCGCCGCCTCAGCCTCCTGCCTCGCCCTCTCCTGCTGCACCTGGACCTTCTTCTTCGCCGCGACGTTCAGCCCGCCCTTCAACAGCTGCCTCTTATCCACCACCTCCCCGTCCTCATTCACCAGCACGTTCCCGCCCATGGCATTAATCTCCCGGGCCCGTTCCGCAGCACTCTTCTCTTTATCCGCATCCTCCTCCTCCCCTCCTGGTGGTACCGGCAGCTGCACACCCTCCTCGGCAGCCTTGACCAGCACCGCATGCTCCCTCTCCCCCCTATCCAACATACTCTTATAGAAATCCGCCATCCCCCTCCCCTTGTTCCGCTTCCGCTCCTCCTCTTCCCTCTTCTCCTCCTCCTCCCTCAACCGCCTGTTTTCCTCCTGCTGCCGCCGATACGCCTCGGTGACGAATTTCTCCTTATCGGCGAACGCGTCCCCCTCGGCCTCACGCTCCCGCTGCAGCCGCCGCTCCTCGGCGATCTGTCGGTCCCGTTCGCGCAGCTCGGCCGCCTGCTGCAGGGCGTTGAAATACCGGGGCCGTTTCTGGGCTGCTTCGGCGTCCTTGTCGGCCGCGAGGGAGGCGGCGGCCTTGGCGGCCTTGAAGGAGTCATAGGCCGCGTCGTAGTCGTAGATGGACGGGTCGGCGGCCTCGGCGGAGGCGGCATATTTCCGTGACGTCAGCGTGCTGGAGAGGTCGGTGAATTGGTCTGTTGTTGGCGAGAGCTGTTTGGATCGGGATAGGGGGGGTGGTGGTGGCAGGGTGTCGCCTGGTTTGAGGGGCTTTTTTGTGTGCTTTTTCCTGCCCTCTGGAGGTTCGCTAGGCGTTGTGGGTGGCGCATTGTTGAATACGTCGAGTTCGAAGACTTGCGCTACGTTGCTTGGGGTTTCGTCGCCGGACCCGTCATCGTCGGCTGCGCCGCCGAAGGGTGCGGGTTTCTGTCGGGCCGGTGTGGGCTTGGCCAGGCCGGACTTTTTCAGCCCAAAGGAGAGCACCGGCTTGCTCATTGTGCTTGCAGTGTGGAATACGGTTTACGCCGAAGGGATCCTGTCCAAGGAGTTATCGGGATGGTTGTTGTCACGGCGCAAGACGGCAACTGATGAATTAAAGCGGGTCATTTCACCAGCCACAGCTCTTATCGGTCGATAAGCCCATCCGGCAGGCAAGGGTCTTGGCGGTGCCTTCAATGAGAGCCGTTCGCTTCAGTTGAATGATTCCAACGTCATCAGAAAGCTGGTCAGTCACCAAGATGTCGCACAACAGCTTGAGAGAACGTTGCTCTCACGCGGATGATCCATTTAAGCTACCGACCACGCCAATCTAGTATCTACCTGACCATATGCAATCTCAGGGAAATCGCCATGCTCACGATGCAACTCCGCACCAAGCACCACTGCTCATCCCATCTAATCTATCTGTAGAAAAACAACACTCTAGGTCAATACAGCTTCATAGCCACCTTGACTAAGACCGCTCCGTCGCTCTCCACCCCATCCGCATCCACAAGATGCACAAACCGATACCCCTCCCGCAGCCGATCCACGCGGACACAAGCCCATGCCGCGAGGTCGTCGCGCCCGAGCTCGTCATCCAGCACCTGGAAGCGCACAAACGACAGTTCGGGCACGACCCCGGGCACGCGCTCGAACCGCAGCTCCTGGCCCTTGAAGTCCGGATCGCAGGTGCCCTTCACTGACTTGGTCTTGGCCTTGAACTCGCCCTCCTTCGCCTTGCCCTCGGCCGGCACGGCGTCGGTGCCGTGCCGCTCCCCGGGCTCTTCGACGTGCAGCTCCACCTTGAGGTAAGGGCGGAAGGAGGACGGGGATTTCTCGTCTGGCGGGAGGGGTAGCGATTGCGCGGCGAAGATCTGCAGGGTCAGGTCCATTGTGTAGTGCTTCACGGCGGCCGCTTGCGGTTCCGGGTTGGAAGAAGGGGTAGCGGCGGGGAGGGGTCTGGAGATGCGGTAACCTGTGATGCGGGCGTCAGTGTTGGCACTGAGAGGGAGACGCGGGGGAGGAGACGGGGAAAATATACCCTCCGGCTTGAGGACGTATCCGCTGGTGCCGGCGAACATGCCCTCGTTGAGCATCATCCCTTCGTCCCAATTCTGCCAGTTGAGCGCGCAGATCTGGATGCCCTTGCGCCAGAAGACGGACGGGTCGAGATTGGAGGAGCCGATGCGGAAGCCGGACGGGTACGTGCGCATCAGGAAGCGGCGGTTGTGCTCGAACAGGTCGCGTGCGCTCTTCTTGTGCACCTCGACGACGTCGCCCTCGGACAGCGAGAAGATGTGGGTCGGCATGCTCGCCTCGGGCTGCGTCAGGCTCTTGAACGTCACGCCACGCGTGTAGATGCCGAGCTTGCTCAGCGCGTGGATGATCTTGGACGGCTTCTTCTGCTTGGCAGGGACGTCGCCCGGCACGGTAGCTTCGTCGCCGTCGGCCCCTGGTGAGCTTCCGCCTTCGGGAGGGACGTACTTCACCTTGACGAGAATCTTGCCGCGCAGGTCCGCTGGTGAGGGCAAGTCTGCTGCGTCCTCGGCAGGCTCGGGCAGCAAGAATGGACCCCAGATCTCCTTCATTATGGCGACCATGGTTTCCTGCTGCTCCGGACCGCAGTGGACTTCCAGACTGACGATCAGCGGCGTGTCTGTGACGATGAAGCCGTAGTCCCTGACGGCATAGCAGACTTCCCGGAACGACACCTCCTTGGTCAGCGTGTAGCCGTGGAGGACCCTTGGCTCCTTAGGGCTGGGGACCTTCTTCAAGGGGGTTCCTGGGGAGTTTGCGGCCGGGCTCTCCTTCTCGATGGGCACCTCGGACGCCACCGTCCCCGCCGGGGGTGTTGGAGATTCCGTGTTACCTGCTTTTCCTGACGATGAGCCGAAGAGTCTCCTAATGATGACGACCTTGTCAAGCTTCTTACCCAGTGTCGTCCTCCCCAGCCGACTGGCCAGAGATTTGGGTAGCTTGAGACGCGATTTGCTCTTGGCCTTAACCCCACGCTCATCTTCGTCACTGCTGCTGCTGCTGCTGCTGGTGGTGGTGGTGTCGTCACCCTCAGAGTCTGAATCGTCGCCATCCCAGACGTCGATCTCGATGCAGCGGCAACCACGCAACAGGACGTTCTTGTACGCGTCGGCACTCGAGTCGCTTGACAGCTGATTGCCAGTCAGGTACGTGTTGTGGCTCGAGCTGATGAAATAGCTCGACAGAGGCCAGGAGAGGTCCTCCTCTTTGGGGGGTGCAACGGCATGCGTGATGGACGATGTCATGTACCGGACAAAGGTGTTGAAATCCCAGGCCTTCCCGTCGGCCAGCTCTAGGGCTCGCTCAGCGTCCGTGTCCCGTTGGATATCCTTCACGAAAGCCGCCGCCGTCTCGGGGCTCCAGGTGCTGTCACTGCCGGCATGGGCTGTGTAGACCTTCTGGAGGTGTTGGAGAGTAGTTTCGTTGAGCGCCCTGACTGTGTGCACCTTTCCAGAGACACCGCCGCCCGCCTGATGGCTGCCATCTGGGAGAGGGTGTGGGTTGGGAGCTGCTGCGGTCGCCATGGATGGTTGGGTTTGACCTCTTTAAAGGAGGGTACCAGGTAGGTACTCGGGTAAGGTTGGGGGCTACAACAAGGTCAGCAGCGAGCAAAACCAGATCCTGAATCCGCACGCTGGCCAGAGTTGGCTCTACATATGTTTCCTGCTTTTTTAAGGGTCAGCGAAGTCAAGTACACACAAGCAAGCGGTAAGCATGAGTTGAGGCCAAATCATGTCAGGCCTCCAAAGCCCTCCACCACCTAGGCTTGGGCTTAGGTGTGTCAAACCAGGGGCTGAGAACCCCTCCAAGACCCCGCCAAACAGCTCCCTCTGGGCTGGTCATTGGTGAAACACCTGACCCCGCCAGGCAGTTCCGAGTACCCTCAGCTGGAAGCGGTCAGGCCGGACCGAAGCTGCCCCTGTCGGTCAATTGCGGGTCTCCCCGGTGACGGGACTGCCCGATCCCGCGCCGTCGGCCGAGCATCTTCCACACCTCATGGGACGGATCTATGGCATATTTTAGGCTGCATTCTCCCTCCGACCATGAGCCTTGTTGCATTCACGCTATACACTTTGTCGCCATCTCAACTTGGGTCCTCAGACCTCAGCGTTTTCCCTGTAAGCTCACCTGGGCAGGGATAGGTAGGTACTAACCTTAATGATGCGAAGTGAAGACGGTGAGCTATATTGTGGATCAAAGAGGTGTACCAGGTGCATTGTGCGGCTTCCCCTCAGCGCAGTACCCCCTACGATAAACATTCAAGTAGTAGTTTAGGTGGCCGCTCACAGGAGATCATGGCAGGTTGAGAGAACGAGTGAAGGGGTTGATGTGTGAAGCAGAACGCCGCCTTCGCTCGCTCGTCCCACTTTGGGAAACAGTTCACGTCGATTCCCACCATACCTCACCTCCATGCCTTAAGGGTACCAGCCGACACACCTGCACACGTGATATCCGTCCCCACTATCCTGTTCAACTGTTTCTCAAAGCCCAGCTTCCAAGCGCCCGAACGGCTAGAGTCCCTCAGTAGTTGGCCAGAATACACAAGCTCTGACAGGAAAGTAAACGACATGCACTACCCAACGCCTCCAACGCAGATCTCATCATTCCAGCTTGTTCCTCCATGTTGCTCACTTATTACTCTGTACTACTCAAACTTGCCTTGTATGAGTCGGGGTTTTCCGGAGTTGTTCGGCACGGCAGCTAGCAGGCTTGCTGCTTGTCACCTTTGTTTGTGCCAGGTCCGGTCCATAAATCGGGATTGTCTATCCTTCTTCTGTATTGCCTCTCCAGACCGAGCACATCCAACACAGGGCTGGGGCCCAAGCTGAAAACCGACCTGCTGATGAAGGGAATTTTCTTATCCTGTTGGGGATCCTAAGGTAGTTATGCCTGGCATCCTAATATAAAACGTGGAAATTGGTCGATATGAGAATATGTGGGAATAAAGCAAGGTAATCTACCTTAGCTTTGTAGAAGCTAGGAACGGTGAGTAGTGTTAGGCATTGTTTCTCATGCCTGATGCCTACCGCCTACCCCTACGCTTAGCATACATGACTTGTGCACGCTGGAGCTTCAAAGTACACTGCTACGGTAGGAATTCTCGACACTCCTTTATGGTAGAAGTTGTATCTTGCCAGGTGTTTGGTATACTAAGCGTGCCACTGTATTCTGTGACTTGCTGTGACCAATCGAGAAATGACGCCAATATGCTATCTTGAATACATCCTATGTCTGCTCATTCTTGACTGGTCACATCAAGACTGTCCTGACTGAGTGTGCCTGAATCACATGTTTGATCTGGACCGTGTGGTCTTGGCTTCTACCTAGGTGGTATGCTTGTTCGTACCTTCCCACCTTGTCCTTGTCGTTCCTTCCTATGCTTGCGTGTGCCTGTGCCATCCTGATTATGCCGGTCGTCCTCCAATTTTGATGTCAGAGGAAAGTGCGATGGGCCCGAAGGCGGCCAGCGAGCCGAATTCAACCTTCGTGGATACGAACCTGAAATCTCATGTTTCTCTGCCATTCCGTCCTCTTTCGCATTTCCAATCCTCACATTTTCTCATTTCCATTGTCTTCCTTCTCCTCTCCTATCTTCTCCACCTATCTATTCTACCTTTGCTTCTTTACTATCTTCTCTTTTCGTCTAAGCACTCCAGTCCGACGTGATCGAAGGCGGTCCCGAACGAAACCGTTCAATCGGTTCCGTCGCCGGTCATGAGAGCGGCCCATCCACTAGGCAGCAAATCGGCTCACGTCAGGCATGGAGTCATCGACGGCGATGACTTCAGGTTGTTTGAGTCTTTGAGGTGGCGGTCGTTCGGACCCAGGGCGCTCTATCGTTGAGGTCGAGAAGACGATCGCTTCCTCTCAGGCGTCTCCGTGCTTTTGATTTCCTTGAAAACCTCGATGCATTGAGCTACATACCCTCGACTGCAGCTATCTGACGCTCTTTATGGAACTGGGCCTAACCTGAAACAACATCATTTGGATGCAAACTCAAATGTTGGAACGACGATAGCCTTGCTCAGCACCATTCACACGCACAGCGAGCCCCGAGAGATCATAGAAATCAAGATTCAGGTACAGCAACGAAAAAAAGGAATTCCACAGCGAAGACATGTGAATCGAATTTGCTTAGAAACGAGCAGTATGCTGCTACAAATGTCCTCGGACAATAAAGTTAGCTGCGAGGGGCTTGGAGAACCGCTAGCGATATGTTAAGTCGAATTACCTAGAGATAGAGCATGATACGTGGAGAGCCGGAGGGAGGATGCTAGGGTTGGCATAATATAGGTCATAGTTACGGGGAGTAGACATCGTAAGACCTTCCAGGTTATTACCAAAAGGCAGGCCCACACTACTAGTACCAGTCCCTTATGTAAAAAATAGGTTGGAGTTGCAAAACTGACCTGAATCTGTTGACTGGGGCGACGGGCAAGAAGAGAAAAAGTAATGACAAGGACGAGATTCGAACTCGCGAGGTTTCCCACTAGAGCCTAAATCTAGCGCCTTAACCACTCGGCCACCTTGCCTAGAAGACGGGACAATGGTCAGCTTCATAGTTTCTAATATTAACAGGCCAACATGTAGAAGCTGCTTTACATATGGACCCGACCCCAACGTTCTCTCTACCTTTTTTTCTAAATTACTATAGCAAAGGAGGAGACTAGATAACCAACGTTCGACTCCATATTAGGGGATAGTTCCATGGTTCGGTCGGGACTGCTTCAGGCTCGAGACCAGCCGGTCGGCCAGCGGTCGTTGCCGTTGATCGTGCTCCCGCGCTCGTCCGTGATGCAGCAGCCACCTAGCCATGTAGGTAGGGTGCAATGTCGGGCTTGTTGTGGCCGAGTTGTGATGCAGCGCTGCAACTGATTTTGCTCTATGGACCCGTCTTTCGGTCGGTTGGTATCGGGCCCTGATGACAGGAGGAAGGTCTCCTGTACGATGCAATGGTTGCACAGCGGAGCGGAAGCGGTCAAGTATACCATAATCAATCAGAGTTATGCATAGTGTTCGGTGTTATGGTTGGATTGTAGTGGCATTCGCAAGCGTGAAAGATCAGGTATTCCACATATGCGGCCACTGCCTGCTACTCCCTCCGCCAGTCACCCGCCGACATTCAGACACGGAAGGAAGGAACGAACCAAGGCCAGGGTGATCAACACAAGATAGGAAGAACAGAAAGAACGGGAAAAGGGATAGAGAAATAAAAGGAAGGCAAAAGGGAAGGGACGGGGGGGAGATAAATCAATGATGAACGAGGGTTCTCCTCAGTCAAGTATCGCTATAACCGCTGGCTGAAACTCACCAAGTTAACCTAAGCTAATTTATGCTTGATAATGATGAATATGTCGACATGGGCAGCAACACGAGACCATCCTCCCGTCTCTTAGAGCAAGACCATAAGCAACAGCCAGTGTATTTTCCACAATAGCACCTACCCTGATAAAACACGCCATAAACTCCTCCGCCAACCCTCCATTTTACCCCCCTACCAACTTCAAGTTCGTTTCCTTCCCATACACCCATCCATCATACGTAACCAAAGCCCTGCATAGCTCCGTAGGAAAGACTAGTACTGCCAAAGCACCCGGTGATAAATCACCCTGCTCCCCAGCATCTTGTACTCGTACCCCGAGATCCACGAATCGTTGGTCGGCAGCTTGGCGAAGACGCTGGCGCCCTTCCAGACGACGACCTGCTCGTCCATCTCGCGCGCGCTGCGGCTGACCAGGATGCGGTCGGCAAGATCCGGCCGCCGCAGCTTGAGCTTCTCCTCGAGGAAGGGGGCGAAGTGCGGGATCTTAGCGCCGCCGCCGATGACCATGATGCTGCCCAGCAGCTCGCGCACCTTCTTTTCGTCGCCCTTGGCCGCGTTCTGGATCGACGTCATGATGGCGATGTCGAGCGGCGCGAGCGGCAGCACCGAGTCGCGCTCGATCGCTAGGGATTTGGCGTTACGTTGTTGTTGTGGTTGTTGTTGCGGGCCGTCGAAGGAGGTCCCAGGGAGCACTGAGGTGCCGTTTGCCGGGGCCGGTGTGCTGCGGCCGCCGGGGGCCGGACTGCCGTTCACGTCCCGCGATGAGGAGCCGAAGATGTAAGGGGGGGGGACGGGCGTGCTGGCGCCTTCTGGGGCCGGGGAGGGCGCCTTGGAGGTGCCTGGCGTGCCATTGGCGTCGCCGTTGCGGGAGAGGAAGTTGAAGGGTTGGGTGCGCTCTTTGCTGGGCGTTGACATCTCGCCGGGGGCGCCCGCAAAACTGGTCGATGTTGCGATGACCGAGGGCTGGATGAGCGCCAAGATGGCAAGCTGGGCGGCCGATGCTGGGTCGTCGGGGAGTTCCACATCGTAGGCATTGTACGATCGCTCGATCAGCTTCCGTCGGCCACGGAGCTTGGTCGAGTTGTCGAATATTGACGGGTCATAGAAGCCCATTGGGGCTAGAATGACCTCGTCGTAGTATTTGAACTGATACTTGCGCGTCGGTTGATTAGGGGCGCGCAGATGGAAGTCGACGGTTTGGGTCGAGATGTTCGCCTGGGACAGGGTGCAATACTTGATCTTGAGCTCTTCCGCCAACAGGAAGTCATACCGCCGGCGGAGATTGATCTCCTGGTACGGGAAGTGGTCGTAAAGCATCATTTTGATGAAAGTTTCGGTGACGTCGTAGCCGCCAAATTTGAGGTTGATCCTCGAGTCCTCCATGCAAAGACCATCTTCTACGCAGGCGATGGATGTCTTCTGGGCACCAACATCGACCACACAGGCCTGTGTGTATCCTGCGCCAAAGGTCGCCGCCATGCTCTCCTGGATAAACGATACGCGGCCGAACTCGAACAGCTCGATGCAGAGGTGCAGGAGCAGTTCGACATAGCGCTTGTCGTAGAGGTCCGGGATGATGAGGACGCAGCTGTACTGTTTCCATTCTGCCTTGCGCTTCAGACCCAGCTCCCACCGGAAGGCCCGGTCAAGCAAGGTCTCCAGGTCGTTGAACAGGTGCGCCCACGTGTCGTAGTCATCCTCGTTCAACCAACCGTGTTGGATCGGCCACCAGAGCTTGAACTTGGGGTTCGAGTCGTCCGGGACACGCAGGGCCTGTTGCCCGATGAAAACCGTTGGAGTCGTACCGGAATCCTGCGGAGTCTTGACATCTGTCCACTCGACCTGCAGGGGGTCGTTGTGGTGCGGGATGATCTCGGGCTCCGTCCGCCGGTTGTGGCTGACGACGAGATCTTTGGAATTAGGGAGCACCTTGCGCTTGTTGGCGCGCATGTCGACCTTGAGGTCGTTGACCATCTTCTGGTATCTCTTGGACCACTCCTCCCCGTGCTGCTGGTCCATGCTCCGGCCATCAAACTGCCGCCGCGGCAGCGACTCGTACATCTCGGACTCGGTCTGGGAATATCTCGTTGCTAACGCCATCGGGATGGTCTTTGGGAGGGCGTCGCTGGCGAAGCCAATGCGCAGGTTCTGACTCCCGGGATGTATTACGATGATCTTAGATGGGTCCATGAAGGCCGTTGACGGTGCCGGCCCATCCTCCCCTTGTAGGTCGTCCAGAGGGAGAGGAATCTCGCCATTGGTCGTGTTCATGGCGCGGTCACGGTCCTTGGCGTTCTGCACCAGTCTCTCCCTGTTCGCCTCATTCTGCAGTCGGAGCGAGAGGATCTGGTCGTCGCGCTTCATATAATCCCTGACACCCTGTCAGCCTCCTAGCCGGAAGGAGAGACGTACGGCACGCGATCCTTACGTGTAGTAGTTCTTTTGGTTTATTGGCGGCACGTCGGGCCAGCTGGTCATCTTCATGCCATTGTCGGTGCGCTCGAGCCCTGAAAACGCCGATGGGTAAGTAGCTGCTCTCATCGGCGGGGGACCTCTTTCTCAAGTCTACGAACCTTCCCGAAGGAGGACGCGGTCGCTAACTTTGCCAACCATGTTTGCCGCCGTCTACCGCGATCGTCTGGATTGAAAGAGTGTCTGCGACCTGAGCGTGGGATTGCACGGGGTGCGGGTTGAGTGTAGAAAGATCAGTTGCCCAAGGTTCGTGTGTGGCGCGGGAGCGGTTTGCGATGGTGAAAGGCCCGGCGACTTGGTGCAGCACTGTAGGCATGCGTGAGGATGACGGTAGCTCAATAAGCTGGGTGTCGTTATGCGTTGGATTTATCCTGGCGTCATTCGTGGTCGCCACGTCCTGGCACGTCGTTTTCGTCTGTTCTGCTCTGCTGGTAGGCTCCCTACTCCAGATTTGTTGGCGCGCACACCGTGCGCAACATCTCGCCGGCTCCAACCGTTGATCATCCCGGCGCGATCCACGACCTCCTCCGAGGTCCCTGTCCGCGGCTGGACAAGGCGGTTCGCACCAAGACGGTTCTGGGCTAGCGGGCTTGGCGCCAGCATTCTTGGCGCAAAGTCAGGTGTCTCACTATCAAAAGACAAGAAGGTCAATGTCTCTGGTTCACAGATTGGAGTATTTACGGATTATATGCAAAATACAAGCCAATGCGATACCATAAGGGCAAGAATGAGAGTTCACTTCAAATCATCCAGCTGCGGCACTGCCAGTACCCGACTTTACTCAATTTTCCCATACCTACTAACGATAGATGCGTGGGACACCCGGCATTTCAGGGAGCAACATGAGTGAGGGCCAGCTGGCCACATCCGGCAACCACCTGTTCGTCGATGACGTCGCCACTTACACCTTTGTCAGACGGAAAGCAGAGCAAACGTTCAAACAAGCCACCTAACGTCTTTGGAGAGTGGCACATTTCACAGCCATAATAAAGGACCTCTTCCACCAAGGAAAAGGATACCTACCAAGGTTCGGATACGTGCCCGAGTCAAAGTCCACCACTCATTCAAAGTATCTTAACTGCTTGACCTTGATCGCCTCGACCGCTCTCATACGTTCATTCAAACGAATTCAACACAACACCCAGCACCCGTTCTCAAAGACTCGGTTCTCATTTCCCAAATCTCATAATGCCTCCCGTCCCGGTGTACACCCAGAGCCCCATCAACGCGGCCAAAGCCTCGGGCGTAACGCCCCAAACCGCCGCGCCAGCAGACAACGCTACCGCTGCGAACCCGCCAGCCCAGACGACCGCCACACCAAACGGCGAACCATGGCCTAATCCAACACCGACGCGGACAGTCGCCTCCCAGGGCCCTCCTCCCCCCCAACCAGGCGCAGTCCCCCGCCTTCCAGAGGTCACTGGCGCTCCATCACTATCATCGCCAGCAGGAACAGGAACAGGAACAGGAACAGGAACAGGCACAGCGCCAGCGCCGGCGCCCTCGCCACCAGCACCGACGCCAGCTCCGATCCCCACAACGCAGATTCCCGGCATGAGCTACCCGCCGCAGATGGACATGCCGCCCCCCGCCGTGCCTACCGACCAGCGTGGGGTGACGTCCACCGCTAATAGCGGTCCAGCTGGACCTTCTTCTTCCGCTTCTTCTTCACGGCCATTGTGGGACGCTCCTGCTCACCCAGGCCCAGGCGCTGGTTCGGGAGGAATGTATCAGCAGAATGCTTCTTCAGGAGGGGATCGTCACTCAGGGTATGTGGCGCCTTATCATCAGGCCGGTAGGGGTTATGATGGCGATGATAGGGAAGAGGCGGAGGAGCAGGAGGGTTTGTTTAGCTCTGCCATGAAGATTGCCAAGGCTGCTGGGGAAAAGCTGGCTGCGGCTGAGAGCGAGGTTTGGAGGAGGATTAACGGGGAGAAGAGCTGAGCTGTCCTTTTTTTTTTTTTTTTTTTGTATCGGACGGAGTGGGATTGAGAGGAGGAGCGCGAGTGGGCTAGGACTCGGTTGGTGGAGGGGGAAATACCAAGGCGTTGTCTTGTCTGTCCGTTTAATGGCGGTATTGTGTCTTTCTTGATGGGGAGGTATCGTGCTTCTGAGTTTACGTGATGAGTTACTACTAATAGGTGATAAATATCTTTCCTATCTTCTAGGGGCGGCCCGGGCTGTCGTTGTGCGCAATGCATGTACAATACAATACATGCATAATAAGATCACAGCCGGTGGATCCTGTGAGGTTGGGTTTCTGCGTTATTGGTTTCCTATCACCTGTTGCCCTGTTGGCCATGGACTGCTGCTGTAAGGTCCAACTTATGATGCTGCAAGGGAATGGCTCTATGATTCGCAAGGGAAAGTGACGGTGTTCCGTGCGAGGATATGCCATTCCAGTCATACAACGGAGGTCTGACACGTTTTGGATGTACTGCAGATACAAAGCTTCCATCGTCCTGTCCCTGCAGAACAAGCCAGAGCCCTCATTAACTGACCGCCCTCATGGCTTGGAGCGTGTTAGCAATCTATGAGCCCTGCTGGGGCTTTGCTATGGGAGTCGAGCAGGCGATCCCTTGACCCAGTGCTGCCCCAGCAGGACGCTGCGCAACTAACGGCATGTCGAGTCGGCCATACGGTTGACGGGGACGCTTGATCAGGGTCATGGAAGCACGTTAAGGTGCACAAGGGTTGCCTAAGTGTTGTGAAGAGTGTCACAACCCGGCATGAGGTTTGGTACCTAGCAGCCCGACACGACACTGGGCTCGACGCTGGTCCTGCCCCCACTACACATGATGGGATCAAGACTCTTCGGACGTCGAAGAGCAAAACAACCACTGTGATAGCTAGGATGGAGTACGTTGGCAGATGTGAAGTGGATGAGTCCATCCTTTCGGATACGCTGGACCCAAGCGCAGATCACTCATAGCGTCGTGATCCACAAGACGTCATGGACTGGGACAGCCCGATCTGTCGGGTTCTCGCAATCAGATGCTTGGGCGTTAGCCCCTCGGCAGGAAGGATGATAAGCCAGCCGGGCTGGTATACCACGGCCCCTGGCAGCGAACGGTGCTGCGGCCCAGTGCGGCGTGAGCTAACCGACCTTTTGTTGGGCCTTTCCCGCCTGATCTCCGCTCAAAGGTCGTCGCACTCTAGGGATCTCCGAGTCTCGTTCCGTATCTGAGAGGCACAGGTTGGCCGAGGATGTGGCCTGGTACAGTACCAACTGGACACCCGGACAAATGGATTTCTCCATTGCCTCTTCGGCAAGCAATCGGAATCCAGCAAGCTGTACATACGCAGATCCTGTCCGATAAGCACAGATTTCAACCCGCGATAACTTCCTTGCGGGAACTGACTCAGTAGCTCTACGGGAGCAGTTAGTCCGGTGCGAGACAGACACCACCTCCACAGTCAGTGATGGATGAGTCAGGTAGACTGACTTGGCTCCCCATCAACCCATCAAGAGACAACTACCCGGCTCCGGCTGTGGTAAGCTGTGTTGACCTCGAGAGCTTATTAATAAGGGAGGACCTGGCAGTAGCCTGGCCGTGGGAGGCAAACAGTAGACGGCCCAGTAGTCGATGTGGACAGTGGGCCATTTGGGGTGCCCATCAGCCCAACTCCCCCTCAACACCAAGGGTGCAGCTCCTGGGGTATCCCGTGTTGCTCCTCGCTGTTCGCCATCATTTGCTGTACAGGTGCACACTGATGTCTCCCCTCACGCAAGCAACTCCTCCGCCATCTCGTCACTTGGACGTATTGCCGAGGCCCGGCACCCACACGCCGCAGAAGAGTATCCTGCACTTCACGGGTTGTCGTTCCCCTCCACGAGTCCACAGGCACAGAGAGACTCCGGTGGATGGGCTCCGTCCGAAGAGTGGGCGGCCTCCTCCTCCTGAGGAAAGAAGGATCGCGTCATCATTGGGCCGGAGTCGCCATAAGAGCCGGCGTATAGGTCGGCTCAGGCCGGATGTTGATTGACGGCTAAAGGAGACTCTGTTTCCTAAACCGGCGAGCGTTGTCATGCGAAACATCTGATGTCTCCAGCGTACTGTTACGGTACGATACGCTAGCGCTGGGCACACCTTGTCTGCGGGCCGGCCTGGGCTGGGCTGCCGGTCTCGCCGAATGCCACGCCCCGCTGCTAGGCAGCGTATGTACCGTAGCCCCTGCACAGAATAATGTCACGGAAGCTCTGTGGAAGGGAGACACTCCGGACTCTGATGAGCCAACAGTGACCGGGCAGTGATGGTAATTTCCGAAATTAGAACGGCCCAAGCATACAAACCGGCGCGTCACTGTTTTCGTAAGGTAGTTCCGACACCACAGGCATGCGTGCGTGGATTGTACATACATACATGTACAGTACCTTACACGGATCCGTACATAGACGTGGCCGATGCATCCCATATCCATTGTGAGCGGATGCGAGGGATGTACAATACATTGTACAATACAGTCCTGTCCTGTACTGTACACTTCCCCGCAAAGTAACCTGTCTGGATAGGGTCCCGCGAAGGTAAAAAAAGAAGACTGCCTGGATTGATAACAGGCCGGAGATTTATTGACGACTTACCTCTCGAAAGGCGTTGTGTGCCCAGCTAGCCCTATCGGCAGAGCGCATTGGGGCAGAGGGTTCCTGCGCCGGCCTCCTTCGCTTTTTGAGGCTTTGAGAAAGGACCTTATTAGACGGGTGATAGTGCGCTGATCGAGCAATTAGAGGTTGCGAAACATCCATGATAGGTACACGTGTAATAATCAGCCAAACGGTTGGCAAAGTCGCAGCTTTTCCCGGCGCCGAAACTTGCCAATTGGAACCAAAAGTCGCTCCTGGAACACTAATCTTTCTGCCTCCGGATGAAAGAGCCGTGCAGGCAGGCAGCGTTAACCTGTTAGCAACAAGCAGGCCAGAAAATCGTGTTGGTTTAAAACAGCGCCAAGACAGCCTTGTTGGAAGAGCGAAGGAGAAACGGATCAGGAGTTGATGGATCGTTCGAGTGACGCTGAGCCATGAAGCCTCTCCTACTGTATGTCACATCACAGCCGGCCCTCGACACCGAGTGATGGGGAAACCTGGCGATGAAGGGGCTGCGGGGTTCGGTTTCGGTACCGCACCATGACGAAACTTCCCACCTTGCAATCTCTTACCAGTTGCTGCCTATGAAGGCAACGGACATCAGCGTAAAAGTGCAAGTGAAGGGTTCTCCAAGTTGAGATCGGGCCTGTTGGGGCGACTGAAGGGATTGAGGCATTCCGAATTTCCAAGATGCTTCTATGGACGTTCGTCCTCGCCCTCGAAGTTCGCCGGGGCTTACGGCGGGGACGACGGAAGTGGACGCGGGTACCGGCTTGGCTTTTCTCGGAGAGTTGCGATCTGGATCTAGAAAGAAGAGACGAGGGGGCTCTTCTGTTGATGGCGAGACGTGGTTGCAGTTGTGGAGGTGACATGGTCCGGCCCCTGCGACAAATCTGATACAATGGGCCCCTTGCAAAGCCCCACTTTACAGCTGCCTTTTGGCGTGCTTCCCGCAGGCCCACAAATCATGGTCGTCGGGTCTGTGGGGCCAACCTTGCAGCAAATGACATCAGCAGCGAATCACGACACACGCCGGGCCCACCACAACCCCAACCTCAAACGTCTGCAGCCCCTGCCGCGACTCGCGTCTTTTCCAACGACAACTCTCCAACGCGTCCCGGTCAACCACCATCGCTCCCGCACCACCAACATGGCCGAACAACTGTCTTCCTCCTCTGGGGACACCACTCCCGATTCATTCTCCTCTTCTCGGATCCAGCTCGTCGGATCCAAGCAGTCACCGGTCCGGTTTTCATAGATTGTCGAGTCATTTGGCCCAATTTTCGTGGCTGCCCGCTCGACTGGACTTGCAATTGCAATTGGCCTTCGAAACCGCTCTCACCAATCCGCTGCCTCCCCCTTGAAATGGTGGTTTCTTTCTGCCGCACGGTTGTCGTCAGAATCTTCGCTATCAGTTGCCCACACGATCCATCAAGATGTACACTCACAGCCACAACAGCTGTGGTCCCTCAGCTGATGGCGTCGGAGGTGGTTCTGCAAATGGTAAGGTTGTAGGTAAGGACGGAGACTTGCGACATTGTTTCTCCCCTCATTGTATCATCTAAGACGCGGTAACCTGTTCCGCGATTCCTTAGGGTTCATGACCAACACAGTCAAGAGGCAGAATCTGCAGACCGCCGACTACCTTACCTATGTACGTATGTATCAAAATGCTGCTGGATTCCTTGGACCCGAAGTCGGGCCCGCATTCGCAGCTAACACTGCCCATCATGTGGGGATCTGGGCGAGGCGAAAACAGAGCATCCCAAGACAAGGTCCGGATCGCCGATGCCAAAACGGCGTCCGATGCTGGTGCCAAACATGCTCGGCCATGATCTTCGATGCGGAGCCCGGGCTAGCCTTGGCCACAGCGGCGAGCTCTTGTGATGCTCCGTCAGCAACTGTAGCCCAAGCTTGCGCCGGATTTGCGGTACAGGGACTGAGGCGTCGCCGGGCTGGCTAGGTACTCAATCGACTACTGTATGTCTTCGAGTCAAGCGATCAGCGACATGTCCTCGAACACAGGCCTGCTTCATTCTGGCTGATGTGCTGCCTCATCGCCCGCTCTTCTTACTTTCCCTACAGTCCTCTTACCTGGTTCCACCTTTGACTCGGATTTTCACGTTGTCACCTCACCTTCTTCTTTAGACGCACAATACAGACGAGACGGACCATCTCCGCTGTCTTTCACACACGGCCTTGCCTAACCTCAGCCTTGACGGGCCCAAGTTCCAGCCGGGATTAGCTTCCGTCCCTTTCATCCCCTTCGTCTCGTCCTGGTGGACTGCGCCGCCGTAAGTCAGGACTCGGTTTTTGAACAAACGATATCGTTTCTTTGCTTCCACGTCTGATCTATTTTGGCCACCCCCTCGACCCTCCCTGGCTTCCCGTCCCTGGGCTTGTCCCGCCCGCCCCTGCCGAGCCTCCCTGCGCGGCTCCCTAGCTATGTCTAGGCCCGGTCCAGGGTTTTGTTCAGATTTCGGGGCTTGTCGTACGCAGCCCTGCTGTTCATTGTTTTGCCTGCGTCTTGCTCCTTTCCCAAATGGGCAGATTACTCTGAGCCCTGTCACTGATTTGCCCACCTTTTCCATCGCTTTTCATCCACATGCCTCCGGCTACCCCGTCATCTGCGGACGGATGCTACCTTGCCAACCACGGTCCACCCTTTGCGGGCCCATCCTAACCCTTTCCTTCATGATCCTTGCAGTTCGTCCCCTCCAAGGCTAGAGCCGGGCCCATTGGACCTCATAGGCTCACCTGTCCAGGTCAGTTTCGTACTGTACTGTAGGAGGAAAATCCGGCTTAGCCCCTACCGGTGCTCCGACCTCGACCGTGCTGGGCTATACTACGTTACCCCCCCTGTCTCCGAGGCTGCCCTGCCGGTCTCTCTTATACCCTTGGGGTCCTACACCGTCCCATCGTCCGGGCCTCTTTTGTTCCCTTTGCCTCGTCTCGCCCGACACCTCACATTGGTTGTCCCATAGTCGCTCCTTTATTAAACAAATCTTGTCACTCCTGATATATCAACCTCTGGGCTATAATATAAGCAAGAGCCGGTTCTCTTTCCCGCTCTACCACCGGCGGACGATACTGCGGAACTGCTTTCCCGCGAGTTGGCCCTTGTTCGACTCAACACACTCTTTTCCTGGCCCTTGAGACCTCAGCCACCACTCCCTGTCTTCAGTTTCCACCCGTCGGTGCTATCGATATCTCTCCTCTCTCGGCTCGACATTCATTTCACGACGTTTATACACTCACTCTTGACCATCCATCGCCACAACTACTTTCCGCCGGCTAGTGATTCGCTGTTCAGACGAAACTCAACCCGATCATCTGATGCTTTGAGACCGGCCTTGCGTGTCTTATAACATCCCAGTAAGTTCCAAGACTGTCCTATTCTGTACGGGAGTGTCATGACACACTACATGGTGGATCCATCTAGCGGGCCCCTCAACTGCCCGAGGACCCTCCCCTCGCGTACCTGAGGTATCATGCTAACCTCCAAAGACCGCCCTCACTTCTCCATCAATAGAATAGAACTTGAGCAACCTCTCAATAGGGGCTGTATGGCTATGCATTCAACTCAGGCCCATCTGTACGCTCATCCACTTTGTTCTCCCCGATGCCGATCAGGAACCATAGTACTTACATGGATATTACAGCCGGCACGAGTCACAAGCACCTCCCTTCAGCTTCAACGAACCGAGCGCCAGGTACGGCGGTGACGGGCCCGCGTCTCATCAACCCAACGCGCTCACCATGGACAGCAATACCACGCTGCCCCCGCGGTCGGACTCGTTGACGGTGTCAAATGGGGTGTGGACGGTGCCGACTTCTCAGGGCATGAGGCCGCGACCCGCCACCATTCACGAGGGGTTCTCGTTCTGTGTGGGAGAAGGATTCGGAGGCTTACCGGCGTGGGACTCTTCGCTGCACATGCAGTCTGCACTAAGCGACGCCATGTCATCCAGGCCCCTGTCGGTTCATCCGGGCTTTTACCCCGCCACCACCATGGAGAGCAGTGAGTTGTGTCGGTTTGGCCTGGGACTATGGGGGGAGCTAACCGTACTGTCAGGTACGTGGGCGCAAAAGCCGTGCGATAGCATCATGGACATTCCAGGGCTGGAATCGGAGATGAGCATAGGGCAGGCATATACAACCGACGAAGCCATCCCTGTCATGGATCTCAGGTGCTCGGGGCCTCCGATGGACGGCGACTCGATAGCGTTTGACGGCGGAGTGAACCCGCGCAGAATGTCTGGTTCTTCATTCACCGTATCGACCTCTGGTGGCTTGTCGGAATTGGCGTCGTTCGACGACTTCTCTGCCGCGCTTTCGGATGCGCCATCGCTCACTTCGGACTATCCACCGCCGTCCAACAGGACGTCTATGATCTCCATCTCGTCGTCCCAGTTGTCCCCCGTCGCATCGCCGCGGCTGACGCCGCAGACGCGCTCGGAACTCGTGCGGACTCAGAGCAGGGGCAGAGCGTCGCCATCGCCGCGGCCGGGGGTACGCGCCGTGCCGTACTCGGTCGAGAGCGCGAGGAACAAGAGGTGGTCTACTGGGTCCTATGGCACCGCTTCCAATCGTCGTCCGTCCCCCTTTGTCTATCACCATCCCCACGACGCATTCAACGTCCATGCCCGCCTGTCCTCCCGTCACTCGTCACCGACCGTCGCGCAAAATCAGCTACCGCTGAGCTTCAGCAACCTCCAGGCAGCACAGCCGCCCCCGTACCTGTACAGCAACACGCCGGCATTCCAACGCAACAGCATGCTTTTGCCAACGCAGCTACCGTCTCAGGCCTTCCATCCAGACGCCCACCAGTACGAAAACCCTCCGCCGCTCCTTTCTCAAGGGTTCTTCAGGATGCTCCAGAGCAATGCCGACCCGCACTCCCTGCACAGCCACTACACCGATCTCGCGGACCCGCCCGACCTGTACGCCTCCCTGCACGAGGAGCAGGTGCCGCCCCCGCCCGAGGACATGAACCCCGAGGACCAGGACCTTATCCCGCATGAGCAGGAACTCAGATTCGAGGGCGACTTGTATACGCCCAAGTGGGTGCGAGGACACGGAAACAAACGGGAAGGTTGGTGCGGCATCTGCAAGCCCGGCCGGTGGCTGGTTCTTAAGAACTCGGCCTTCTGGTACGACAAGAGCTTCACGCACGGCATTAGCGCGGCAACGGGCAACCCGTTCCAGGAGCCGCAGGAGACGAGGCGCATGGATGGGAACCCCGATGTCTGGGAAGGGTTGTGTGGCAGCTGTAACGAGTGGATTGCGCTGGTGAGCAGCAAGAAGAAGGGAACCACGTGGTTTAGGCACGCTTACAAGGTACGTTGATCTCGTTCTTCTTCCCTTCTGGGGATCTCATATTGACTCTGCCAGTGCCATACGCATCCTAAGGTCAAGGACGCGCCCAAGCGCAAAAGAGAGAGCAACAACACGCGCCCGCTCACAGCGTCGAGTACTGCAAAACCACGGCCGGATCCTCTTACACCACAGATGACACCCGCAATCTCGACTGCAACCACGCCGACTCCGGCAAAAGCTCATGACCAGACTCCTCTGCAAGAACATCCGCAGCAGCAGCAACAGCAGCCTCCGCCGGCACCCCAGCAGTTGAAGTTGCAGGCCCCGCCAATACCCCAACATCTTCACCAGCCAAGGCCGCTCTCGGGCCAGTTCCACTGTCAAGTCGCATCAGCGCCTCCACCATTGCCCGCCCGGCCAGCCGTCATGAGCCCGGTTGGAGCGGTCGGTGGTGTAGATGGATTTCGGAACATGATCTGAAGGAGTCCGATATATTCTCACTTCTGTCCTACTTGCTTCTCGCCAACAGACAACACCAAGATTGAATTGAAGAAACAACAGCCGAAAAAAAACAATATTCTAATGCCGTTAACGACCCGGATACAGACACCAAATCTCACTTCACTTGCTTTCATTCCCTCCAGGCCTGCCCAGGCAGGCCAAAACAAACTTTGATGAAGGATGACATTCTGGGTATAATCGGAGTGGCTCTATAGACTGGCTGGTTATGACGGCAACAAATGATAGTCGCGGTCGGGCGACACATGACTCCCCTCTCTTCCCCTGCTTGACGCTGGTGTGGCAGGTTGGGAAAGGCTTTTTTTACCATCTTAATCCAACAGACTGGCCCGATGCACAGCTTTCGCACACGCTTCATTCTATCTCTCCTTAATTCGGTTGGGTCTTCCTATTTTCTCATGTCTCTTTTCCTCATTTTTCTCGTTTCTCCTCCTAAGCGTTTCCCTTTCAACATTGATGCTTCTTCAACTTCCCTTCTCTCCCCTCCTTTCAGACGACTTTATTTTGCAGCAAGCTTTTTCTGTTTAGTTTAGGTAGATACACACTTAGATAGTCTCTTCGGTCCGGTTCGGGTTGGTTTGGTTGGCCATGATGACGAACCCTTTGTTGATACCCCTGGAAGGTGAAATCAAGAGGAGGAAAGAGGGCAACTAAACTGGAAACGACGGAAAAAAGGGGCTTTGGATGGTGGTGGAGGAATGAATAGGATTGCTAGGAAAGTCTCGACTTTATTAGGGAATATTTTGGAAGGAGGTACCAAATTAGATTTGAAATCGGATTTGGAAGATTGTTTTTGGAATTGCTTTGTGAACGGACTCTCATTGTGGTCATTGTGATCTGTGTCACATCATAGCAGGTAAGGTAGAAAGGGAGCCCGCTTGTACGTAATGGACTCGGGGCTTCAAACCACAGCATAACAGCACCACATAGTACGGCGCACAAACTTCTGGAAACCACTACTGCCTGCTCTGCCATAGCGGTTCGTCCAAGAGAACCTGGACAGATTCTGAGATCCGGTGCATCCGGTTTCGCGGGAAGCATGAGAAGGGGGGGTTGAAGGAGAAGAGGCAAGAGAAGAGATGCGATTCGCTCCGGTGTATGTATCTGCGTCTAGGAATAACCCAGCTCGCGAGAAGAAATATGACGAAGCTTTTGCGCGGGGGGGTGTTCAGGCACACCCATAGCGACGGGTCACGGTCCTTCGGACTATTCTCGCTAATAACGACTTGGTGGACAAGAAGAATGGATGACGGCGACTCAGCTGCAAGGGTGGTCTGTCTGCTACTAGTAGGCTATGATACGATATAGTCCGTACTTCATTTATCACCCCTAGCCCACGAGTCGAACTACCACAATATCTAGGTAAGTATGGAGGTACTTAAAGCTGGCCGGGCAACGACAGCAGGAGGTTGTGGTGAGAGACAAACTTCTTTACCAAGAAGTGGTGGCTCTGCCCTATGGAGCGAGCAGGGATGTTTAAGTGCTTGCATATTCAGCTGGCCCCGGCCCGGGTGACTAACTTTTCTGGCATGCAATTAACTTAACTACCTGGTAGCCAGTTAACTTTTGGCTCCCCTCGACACTCGCGGGCATTACATTAGTGTACTGTGTATGTATTGGCGATCTCCTCGGTTCCCCCGATGCTGTTGGTTCGCTCAAGGGAACCAGGGGATGATCAGCTCCATGGTGACCTGATACGAAGAAGGGACAAGAGTCTTTTGAGGGTTAGTTACTGGACAGTCCCACCATTGATCGACCCTCACCAAGAACTCGGATCAGCGTGAACCTCTGTTCCTAGATAGCGATGATATAGCCACAGAACGGAATTGATGGCACTACAGTCTACCGGACCTTTGTCCAACACTCAAGTTGAACCCAAAAATCAAGTCCAATATTACCCGCTAACTGTTGGGTATGCGGCGGCGTACAGTCTAGGCGCGCTCCTGCTTCGAGCCCGAGGCGGCGCTAAAGTTGCATTGGGTGCGTGTTGCACTGATGCAGGAACGCAGCAACTTGCCGCAGGCCAGCTTCCATTTGAAGACCCCTTTCCAACCCCGGATTTTCTGTGCAGGACATCTGATATCCGATGTCGTCTGGAGCAGGATTTATTAACTCCTGCAGCATGTGTTCCTGTCGTTCGCCAGACATCCAATGCTGTCAACTCTTGGCCCGCCCTCAGCTGGTGGCTGCACAACTGTGTTGCGGGCCTTTATCTATGCAATAGTACTAACACAGCGAATCTTCCCGATGCGCATGTAAGATAACTAGAGACCGCCCAAGATGCGTGGAGGCGGTGGCCTCGAACTATGTATGAGGAATGTTGTATGAGGAAGAGGAGATTAATTTGGAAGAAACAGGACTGCAAGGGTCTGAAGCCAGCCCCTCAGTTCGGATGGCACTGTGAAGTGTGAACAACACGGCTTCCTTCCTATCCTTACACAGAAGTTACTACCTGAGTGTACGGATACGGTATAAGGTAGTCCCAGATTTGCCCGCTTGGGAGTTTCCAAGAGAGTGAGCTGGAATGTATGCAGCGGTCATCCGCAAACTTGAGGTTCGGCTTGGCCGAGCATGCGACGGATCCCTGTGCCTACCCCCGTCCCGGCGAGTCGAAGACATGCGACCTAGAACGGGAGCCAGATCACGGATCTCGGGAGCTTGTTCCGTCTACACACAGTAGTAAGCTGATGAACCATACTTAGCTGTCGACATCACCGCTTCTTCATCAATTTGACATGTAACTCCGGTGCTGTGTTGCAGCTCCGAGTCCATTGCAGGCCCGGCCTTGCCCAACCTAATAACCCTGTGCTTGTCGTTCCTTGATCTGAGGGCCAGACGACTGCCTAATGTGGAACCGTTCAAGGGACGGGACAGGAACACTTGTGGAGCTTCGCTCTTCCATCACGACTTGAACAGCTCTAGCGAACAATTTCAGTAGCATTCCTCTCTGCAGCAACCTGCGAGATCCAACTTCATACAAGGCAGGTATTCTGTGCAGAATAATACCTATCCTTTTCAAGTTGGAATCCACAGCCAGCGAAACTCTTCCGTTCTGCTTGAGCCCCTCTGGTCTACGGAGTACCGACGCCCCACCTGCTGTGAGAACAGGTGGGACTAGTCACCGTTTACTTCGAACCTCTTATAAATTGAACCGCCCTTTCGACCTGAAGACCGCTTGCACGACAGTGACGAAGAAGGTTTCGTGCTACAATCTCGTTCGCCCTGATTGCCGCCGGCCCCCAAAGTCATCGGAACTTCCTCTCGACGGCTCCAGCGCCAAAGGTGCCTACACACCAGGGAACGGACAGCCTGAGGATCTGAGATTAGGCCTGCTCAGCTTGCCATCCCTGCAGGCTGTATCAGTAACGTTGAGTGAGTGTAACGATACCCACGTGCGTGCCGGAGTATACACAATACCACCGTACGGATATCTTCGAGGTATGTACTCCCAGGTATCTTGGTGCTCGGATTCGTCCTCCCTCATTCGGCAAGGGCAAGGGGTAGCTGTGCCGCCGAGCGCTTCCGATGTCCCAGCACAGACCTGACTGTTAATACTGCAAGACCACAGCTTTTTGTACCACGTCTTCTCAGCCCCCAGGCACTGGCTGTTGCAACTCGCCGAACATCCTCGCCGTCATTCACACGACTGCAGACAACACTTGATTCTAGAAGACTTTTCGTGGATCGTGGTGTGTTTCCTGCCCCGCTCTCTGTTTTAAGTCCGTTGGACCAGCTCCGCACCGCTCTCATCACTTAGCCCCGCCCTCTGCAAAATGCCATTCACTGACCCGCCGTATTATCTTTTAGATCATTGTCTGTTTGCTCCTCGAAACCGAACATCGACAGCCATTGGGCGATGTCCGGATATTCCAGCCCAGAAAGATACCACACTCCAGTCTGAGACACTGCCGGATCGACCCCTGCCTGTGCCTGCTCTCCCTATCTCTGTCCGAATGAGCTATCTCCCCGTGCACTGGACCTCGGATCGTCTCGTGGGCATATAACCGCACCATTTTATTTCCACCGCTTGGTAGCCTTGTGTCGTGGCCCGGGATACATGTTTGAGACGCAATTGATTCTGCTATGAGTGCGGATCAGCAGGGTTCTAGGTCCGCTCCTTTCTCATCCCTTGGTAGCATGCCCGCAAGGCAGTGCTTTGTCTGGCGTTGTGTTTGCCCTACTGACGACCTTGTCCCTCCAGCTTTGGTGATCCAAACGCCCAGCCGCCCACACCCAAACGGACCCCTATATCTGAGGTTTTGCCGAGCCCTATTTTCGAGACACCCAAGCACAGCCAGGGACGGTTCGACGAATCGGGCGGGTGGACTCCTCGTTTTGCCGAGGAGTATTCCGTCTTCAACGCAACTCCAGGAAACCTCAGAGGCTCCCGAACGCCGTTTCCCGACTTCAGTCCCACGATCCCATATTCTGCCGGCCCCAGTCAGCAACGGCCGTTGTCCACCGAGGGAATCGGTGCTGGGGTTGCAGCGCATGTGGACGAATTTCCGCAGCTGGCCCCTGTTGAGCCGTCCAAGATCCTGCCATCATCGCCGGCTCCTTTGAGAACGCCGACATTCGATCGCCCAGGCGCCGCCAGCCAGCTTCCGGGGTCCGTACAGAGGTCTGCGAGGAAGGCACGTCGTGGCACCAGTGTCTCAGAACCACAAGGGCAAACAGCAACTCCTCCCCCGTCAGCCCGCAAGGGTGAGCGTAAACTTGCGCCCAAGCTCGACACCACCAGCGCCATGCAAAATGAGCAGGACTTTGGCCGGCAGGCACAGTTCATGGCTTCTGCTCAGCAGCAGGGCATGGGCAACTTTGTGACGGCCCAGGGTGACATGTTTGGCTATCCGCTCTCGGCTCCGGCCACCGCGCCCGCTTATGGAACCCAAAGATCGTTCTGGGACCCAGACCCTGGCCTCGCCGGCATGGACATCGACTTTGGCGCCAACGGCGCAGGCGTCTTCCAACCTCCACAGCAGACCGCGGGTCCAGTAGATTGGGCAGCGGCCAGCCAGATGTTGCAGAGCCCAAACGGTCCTCCGGGGCATGGGAATGGGCATCAATCAGCTGGCGACAACCAAGCTTCCCTCGTCTCTCAACCGCCCATGTCGATGCTGGCGGCTTCGTCCGCCGACCATTCGCTTTTCGGGGTCAGCTACCCCACCCCTGTCGAGGACCCTTTTGGGATAAGTGAGAACGGGGGTGCCGTAAATCCGGGTCTCCTCTTCAGCCGCCCGCAGTCGGCAAGCATGGACGCGGCATCTTTCAACCAAGCTATTGCCGGGCAAAACCCATCAAGCTCCACGGCCAGCCAAGCGGGCCACGCGGATAGTCGAGGGTCTTCAGCCCCAAAGGCCGCCGGACGCACCGAGCTGCGCCGTTCGGCCAGTGCGAAGGACACGATTCCAAGGAAACCCGACCGAAGTTCGGGGACCTCTCCGGTAAAGGAGGCCGGACGTCCGGGGCTCTCCCGGAGCTTCAGTGAGAATAGGGGGAAGAAGCCCTTGGGACGGCCATCTTTACCTCCCCTTGCTCCGCGGCCGCGCTCTCAGCTAGTCAGCAATGCCGGAGTCAATGCGAACAAGCCCGTCATCTCGCAGCCCCAAAGACCGAGCGGTAGGTCGTCGCCCTCCAAGAGTCAGCACCACCATCGATTGTCGAGCCTCTCCTCGATACCGGAAACGACGAGCCCGAGCCCCAGCCCGCAGATGAGGACACAGGCGACATTTACCATCGATGCCAATGGACGCGCGCGGGTAGAGACCACTGTGGTTGTGGACCAGCCTCCCCCGAGTGTTCGCAAACGGCATAGTGCGTACGCCGCACCACCACGCCGTGACCACTGGGGTTCGTCGGATGAGGACGATTCGTCATCGACGGATGATGAACCTATTATCATCCCCAGCAGGAACACGTCTTTTGCGCTTCCAGCGCCCCCGAAACCCGCCATGCTTCATACTGTCCACAATTCACAACGAAGCATAAGCGAACATAGCAGCAGGTCCTACACGAGCTTTCAAGGGGCGTCTCTAGAGGATGGTGACAGTGACGGCGAGACGGTGGTGAATGAAGTGACGCCGACTAATCGGGCTTCGGGCAATGCACTCAGTGAACTCCGGAAGCTGCGGGAGACGCGGCAGAAGCAATTGTCAAGCTCCCGGCCGAAACAGTACATCTCGAGCCATTATGCCGGCCATGCTGCCACCTCGCCATCAACCGTCAGCGAGTCGAGCGTGCCCACTCCGGCAACCGAGACAAAGACCCGCGGCGTCCGCTGTGTCTGCAACCGTGCCGAAGCCGCTCGGCATGACTTGCTTGTCCAATGGTGTGTATTCCACCGCTTCTCGCGCCCAGCTAGCCCTTCTTCTTCCCACCAGCCCCGCCAAACCTTCAGATTGTGCCTGCTAAATGAAACTTTGCCTAGTGACTCATGCGAATTGTATGTGCACGGCCAGTGCGTCGACATCACCCAGCGGACGATGCCGTCCATATATATCTGTGCCTTTTGTGCCAACACGCCCAACATGCGAGGCGGGAGACTCCGTGACAACGGACGCTTATCGGGGGCGGCTAACCCTCCGGGCTCGGCCACGTCGCCACTGGCGCACAAGTCACTCAAGTCGTTCCGTTGAAGCCGATAGGAAGGAGTGGTGCTCTGGGAAGAGGAACGAACCGCCGCCAGGCTTTAGCAGGCCACAATAACGAACTCGACGACCGTCATGTGCTGATATATTAGAGCAGGAGGGTTGGCCCCATCACCGGCTCGTTCGAGATGCCGTGTCCTGGCTTTTGGATGATAAAGGGCAGGAAAATGTCTAGACCAAAACTGAAGACCGGCGACGGCCACCATCGCACCGCGACGTCAAAATGCATATGATACCCGAATACACCACATTACCTAGTTCGAATGTTATGAACTTGAGCACCGATGTAGAAAAACTACTGTTCTGCCCTTCCGATTCTCTGCCCCCTCGTGCACCGATACGCTGCCCGGGTCTAACTCGGATTGATGTTACTGCCAAAAAGGCATTGATTTACATGTTGCGTCTTATGCGAGGTAGGTACAGGTAGTAGATGGCTAGGCGTGGGGTGGTGGAAGCCGGCTGCATATCTTGCTTATATGCTTTCGACCTTTTTCTGTTCCTGTTTCTTTTTCTTCCATTCTCCCCCCCAACCCCCCCCCCTCTTTTTCCCTTCTTTTGGCCCCTTGAGATAGCTATTCACAATCAGGTGTACCACACAGCCTCTGCGCCGTAATTACACCCTAGTAGTACCTCCTTGCACTGTAAGACAATCGCGACGTACGGTATCATGGACATGGAGCCCTACTCGCGCGCCGAGATCGAGCGCATCGCGCGCCTGGCCGGCTTCCTGGCCCTGGCGACTAGCCCGCCCAGCAATGTCTGGAGCCTCGACAAGGCCAACGTGCTGGCCACCAGCCGCCTGTGGCGCAAGGTGGTCACCGAGGTGTTCCCCAAGGAGTTCCCCCAGCTCGAGGTCAACCACCAGCTGATCGACAGCGCGGCCATGCTCATGGACAAGAACCCGCGCGCGCTGGACGGCGTGGTCATCACCAGCAATCTGTTTGGCGACATCATCAGCGACGAGGCGTCCGTGATTCCGGGGAGCATTGGCCTGTTGCCCAGCGCGAGCTTGGGGGGCATCCCGGATGGGAAGAGCAAGTGCAATGGCATTTACGAGCCCATCCACGGTAACTGCGTCCCATCTAAAATTAAATGGTTGCCTGGCTTTGTTTGGACTTTGACTAACCAACCCCCCCTCCCCGTTGGCAGGCTCGGCCTCCGACATCTCGGGCAAGGGCATCGTCAACCCCGTCGGCACCATCCTCTCGGTCGCCATGATGCTGCGCTACTCGCTCAACCTGCCCAAGGAGGCAGCCGCTGTCGAGGCGGCCGTCAAGCTGGCCATCGACAATGGCACGCGGACCAGGGACATTGGCGGGAGTGCGGCCACCTCCGAGATGGGCGATGCCGTTGTTGCCGAGTTGGTGAAGCTTCTGAAGGCATAAAACTAAAAATAAAAAAGTCGGGTATCTTAGTCCGGGTTAATGGGTAAATAAATGGCGGTGCATATGGGGTTGGCAAGTTGAAACGGCGGTGGATTCTGGGAACGGGGCGATGGCGGTTGGAGGCCAACAAGTGCCTGTGTCGAATCTGATGTTGGTTTCTGCCGTGAGGCTGGCATCGCCAGATATGCGCCACTCATTCCTGTGAAGTGAGTGTGTGAGAACACTCATCATGGCTTATCCGCCACAGAAAACAGGCTCCGTCAAACTTCGCTCCTCGAGTCCGGATACCAATCTAGGTTCTCAGCATACGCGGCGTCGTCGCATTCGTTGTTGAAGAATGCGCAGCCGCTATCGTTGTCGGATGCGCCGCCTTCCTCCGGACTCGAGGGTGTGTCGGGGCCGCGTCGGTGGTCTGACCCAAAGAGGAACAGGTCGAGCTTCTGCAGCTCTTCGTCGTCCCGTCCAGGGCAAACGACACGATCGAGCGCTCCGTCGTCAAAGGCGATGCCGTACCTGCGAATGTTAGCTACTTAGTAGCTCCTTGTCTTCTCTTCTCACTCAAACAAGGCTGCCATGCTGGGGGGACGTTTTTTTTTTTTTAAAAAAAAAAAAAAAAAAAAAATAGGGAGCCACTCGACCAAGTCAGGAGTCAGGCTTCAGAGTAGTAACGTACCACAGCAGCAACCCCAGCAACCGCGCCTTCTCGACCCTCCTCCGCAGCACCTTGTCCTCGGCCAGCGCCGGCACAGCAGCCTCCAGCTCCTCCCAAAACACCTCCCTCAACCGTTCCGCATGAGGGTGATATTGAAACATCATGCTCTTCTTCTTCTGACCCTCCTCCTCCTCTTCCACCATCCTTCCCAGCAGCAACAACACCTCCTCAACCCCGTACAGCCCGACCCCAAAGGGGAGATACTCGCCCTCGGCCCAGTCTATCATCCCTGCCAACCTCACTTCAACTTTGACTTCTTTAACGTCTTTATTAGCCTCATTACTAGTAGTATCCTCTCCCGCACCTCCCGCACCACCCATTCCCATTTCCATCCCATCACCACCACCACCACCACCAACACCATTACTAGTACTAGTACTAGTTACCCACTGCTGCTCCCGAACATCATGATGATGGGGGGATCGACGAGACCGAGACCGAGACTGAAGCTTAAGCCGAACGATCAAGTTCCCGACCCCGGCCCCGCACAGATCGCCATGCGTCAGCGCCCACGGCAGCCCGCTCTCCAGCTCGGCCAGGCTGCGCGTCACGTCCTCCACGACGGGGCGGAAGCGCGCCGGCAGGTGGGCGCGCAGAAGCGCGAGACGGTGGCGTAGGGTTTTGCCGATGCGGCGTTTCTTGGGTGGGGTTACTAGGAAAGGGCTGGTGGTGGTGGTGGGCTGTTGTTGTAGCGAGGAGGCGGTGTAGTATGACTGTGCGAAATAGGAGGTTGCGAGGGAGCGGAGGAGCGGTTCGAGATCGAGATCGAAATCTAAATCCAGCTTTGTTGACGAAGAGAGCGACGAGGAGGAGGAGGAGGAGGAGGAGGAGGGGTGGTTGTGATTCAAAGGGCCAGGGGCATAGTGGTGGGAATGGGAATGGGAAGAAGAAGAGGAGGATAGCACGATGGGGAGGGGCGTTCCTTCGATGAGGGAGTGCGAGTAAACTATCAGGGACGGGCTATTGTTGTTACTACTACTGCTGCTGCTGCTGCTGTTGTTGTTGTTGTTGTTGTTGTTGTTGTTGTTGTTGTTGTTGTTGTTGTTGTTGTTGTTGTTGTTGTTGTTGTTTTTCTTCTTGCTATCGTTGGTGTTGTCGTGTTCCCCAGAGGAGGGTATGGCGAAGGTGATGACGCCGAGGAGCTGCGTGTGTGGCGCGAGGACGTCGAAGGTGGCGTGGGCGGCCGAGGTGATCTCGAGGTCGAGACGGTGCTTGGGCGGGCGGAACTGGATGACGGTCTTGTGGTCTGGGAGGAGCACCGTGTAGGAGCAGTGGCCCTGGCATGCCGGTTCGACGACGCGGCCGGAAGGGTGGACAGACCGGGCGAAGAGCCAGCACTGAGAGCGGGCGGTTGGTGGGAGGTGGTTGCGGGAGAAAAAGTCGAGCGGCGCGGAGGATGATCTAGTTTGTGTGTTTGTCTCGATGTCCATCTTGGGCGTCTCCGTGTTGTTCATCCCCTTGGATGATGTGATGGCAATGAACTCATAATAAAAGGAAGAGATGTTTGGTTTAAGACCAGGAACGATAGATACTGGTGAATAAAATATATATAGGCATGCTCAAGTGATCGGATGAATGATATGATGCTGACCTACAAGGTAGTAATACTGTACTGAGGTAAGTAAGGTAGTAGAGCTGAGGTGGTAGATGAAGCCCAGACACACGCGGCTCGGCTGAACTCCCTTAGTGGGTGAGATGTAGCGTCCATGCGTAGTGCGCACATGGCCACCGGCTGCATGGGCATGAACATGTCACAGCGAGTCTAGCTCTATCCAGATGAGGCTGCATGCACTCGACCCCGCCATATATCAGACGATCAAAACGATTCGTGGGGGTCTTCCTAGAGCGCGTCCAGCTGCGGCAATCCGGACGCTTTGCCAGTACACCAGTCAAGATGGTGGTAAATGCTAGAGTTGACTCAGTTCGACAGAAAACACTACACCCTATCAGTCAATACCAACAACACAAAACAGCCTCATCACCTTGTTGAACCCTATTCCTTCTCCACCAAAGCAGTCTATGTTGAAGCACCCGTCGCACCGTATTATATCGATCTCACAAAGCAGCGCTGTCATGTATGCCGCCTTTCCAGTCCTCCGCTCCCAGCAGCACTCAGTCTTCGCATATTACCAGCCTATGTATGTTACATGGGATAGACACTGTCTCGTCGCGATCTCATAACCTCATTCAGCTCTCTCCTGCGTCTGCGTCTGCGTCTCCGTCTCCGTCTCCGTCTCAGTCCTCGCCCGATCCTTTCCCTTTGGCCAGGCCCAGCCAAACATCTTCCTGAAAAATCCACCAACCATATCCACAAAGAGGAGCCTGAAGAACGCCCTGATCCAGCCGGCGCCTTTCTTAGGATGTAGCGCGGGGACACGGGTGGCCGATGAGGACGGGGCTTGTTGCTGTCGTTGACTGGCTGGTTGCTGCGGCTGCTCTTCCTGCGCGGTGTCGGGGCCCGCGCCCGTCCCGAGTTGGCTATCCCTGTCCGCATCATCATCGCAATCTTGAGCGGCAGTGGTGGTTGCCGTACCCGGGGAAGCCTCCGATGTCGCCGATGTGGGTTTGGCATCGCTGCTTGGAGGCGACGCTGAGCTGGCCACCTCGGCGTAGCTGGGGCGTCTGGCCGTGGGAGGTGAAGGGCTTGTTGAGCCGACATCGCTGGCGCCTTGATTACCGTTGCTCTCGCTAGGACCGTTGGCACTAGAACGCTGTAATGCCTCGGTATGGCCTTCGCCCTTGGCTTCCGTCGTGGCAGGGTAGGTTTGCTTCGGGTCTGGCTCGCCAGGCTCCGGCGCGGAGTGAATCGTGACTGTCTGCATCGAACGCTCTTTGTCCCTATCCAATTCAGTCTCTACAGCCGCCGCGCTGGTTTTTCGTTGCGTCTTTGGCGACGATGGCGGCGACGCAATCGGTTGGTGCGCTGGCTTGACTGTTCTGGGACTCACGCCATCCCTAAATGCGACGCCTTCATCTTCGTCACCGGCCGGAAGCTTGAGCTGTTCGGGTCTGGCCTTTAAAGGATTCGAAAATACCACTGCCGGACGGAAGGACCCTTCCTCTGCCGCCGGCTCTTCAGCCTCCGAAATAGAGTGGAGGGAGAGTTTGCCGCTCGCCGACCCAAAAGAACCGCGCGGCGACCTTTTCGAATTGCGGCGCGTCGAAGGAGATGATGGTACTTGGGGCGGAGCAATCAGGAAGTCGCCAGTGATGTCCTCCGTCCCTCGCCGTGACGGATTGATGACCGGAGAATGAGGGCTGCCTTCAAAGGAAGCTTGGTCCGCCTCAAGGCCGGTTTCCAATTTCCGAACCGTATCTATGATCTCCTCTCGGTTTGAAGGGAAACGCTCCAGCGTTGGGTCGTTCGGATCAATCGTGTCAGGGTCAATAAAACCCACGGGCGCAACGTAGGAAGGGCTATCTTCCTCCTCATCCGCTGGCCCAATGTCCTGATCGGACTGGTACATGCCAACGCACTCGTGAGCGAAAAGAGGAGACTTGTCCACGATGGAGTCTTCCTGATCGTCGAAGAACTGTCCACCTTCAAGTGGCACTTCGGACAAGTGGTCCCCGCCCGAGGGCGGGTTCAGAACGAGGATCGGGGCCTGCTTGCTCGGTTAGTTAGATGAAGTCGTCGCCTGGTAATCGGGGTGCAAACCTGGCCATTATCGAGTGTTTCGGCCGTGTTGGCCACCTCTGGTGCCGATTCTGCAGGTTCCGACATTGGAACAGGCGTCTGCTCGGGGAGCTTGCCGTTCGAAGCGCCGTGCTCAACTTCCTCGCGCTCTGGCACTTCCTCATGCAGAAGCTCGGCGGAATCGGCTACCTCCGCAGCCACTCTGGCGGAGACTGGGGTGCCGGCACCAGAGCGCTCGCCTGGCGGCCCTTCGGGTTCAAGATGTTTGGCGGCAACGCTGGCGAATGCTAAGGGTTGGGCATCATCCACATGCTCTTGGCCCTGGGTAGGCTCCGGCTTCTCGGTGGAAGCGCCACCCTCAATTTCCTCGCGTGGCGGTACTTCCTCATGCAGGAGCTCGGCGGAATCGGCCACTTCGGCAGCCACTCTGGCGGAAATTGGGGTACCGGTGCCGGAGCGCTCGTCGGGCGGCCCTTCAGGTTGAAGGTGTTTGGCGGCAACGCTAGAGAATGTTAGGCGCTGAGCATCATCCGCCCGCCCTTGGTTTTCCGTCTGTTCGGGGAGCTTGCTGGTCGTAGCTTTGCCTTCGGACTTGTCGCGCTCCGGCACTTCCTCATGAAGGAGCTCGGCAGAATCAGCTACTTCAGCGGCCACTTTGGCGGGAGCAGGGGTATTGGTGCCAGAGCGGTCGTTGGCCGACCCCTCAAGGGAAGGTTGAAGGTGTTTGGAGGCAACGCTGGAGAATTCTGCCGGGCGAGCATCATCCGCATGCTGTTGGCTTTGCGTCTGCTCGGGGAGCTTGTTGGTCGAAGAGTCGCCTTCAGATTCCTCGCGCTCTGGCACTTCCTCGTGGAGAAGCTCAGCAGAATCAGCCACTTCTGCAGCCACTCTAGCGGAAACTGGGGTCCCGGTGCCGGAGCGGTCGTCTGTCGACTTCTCGAGGGAAGGTTGAAGGCGTATGGCGGCAACGCCGGCGAAGGTTGGAGGGGGAGCATCGTCGGTATGCCCTTCGTTTTCGGCACCGTGAGGGTCCGCAGAAGGCTCATGGGATGATCTAGTAGAATTAGTCTTCCTGCCTTGTATGGTCTACATTTCTTGGGATAAACTTGCTCCTCCTGGGTCTTCACTTCCAGCACATGGTTGGTGTTGCCAGCGCTGTCCGTTACCGTCGGGTCGCCATCCTTCAACACCCACCAATCTCCGTCTCCAATGCGGAATTTGTACTGGATCTGGGAGCCGGGTTCGCCATAGACCTCCTTCTTGAAGTCGTACTCCCCATCTTCTCGGGTCGTGCAATCCATCTGGTGGGGTTGCCATGGCGGCTCGGAAAAGGTGCCGGCCACGTACACCGGCGGCCGGGTGCCGGGCTTGTGGTAAGTAATGACAGCAGGAATAGTCGTCATGGCTAGCAGCACCCGTTCGATAGAAGTAGCCTAGATGCGAATGCAGTTGTGATGACAAGTGCGAAATGCTGTTCCTAATAGTACGTGCGGAGCTTCCCGCAAAGGCAAGTATAGCAACTGCTCGAAGCTGTGCAGAGGAGCTGCGCTGTCGAGGTTGACCACGAAGAATGGCTGCGAATCTGAACTCACCCAGATCGAGGGTCGGGTTGATCGTGAGATGAGCTTGACGACCGAACCAAGTTCGAAGTTCAACAACAATTTGCGCCCCTGAAACGGTTTCGAGGAAGGCACGACAATCACGCCACTTCTAGCAGGGCGTAGGATGCAAGCGCGGGGCAGAGTCGCACAACAGAAAATCTTAACAACGATGCAGATCAAGACAAAGACAAGCAAGAACTGCCTGACTGCAGTGGGTGTGGATTGGGCTCGCTTCGCTTCCAGGTTATTCGATTACCAGGTTGTCAGGGCAGGAGAGGCCCAAGCAAGAACAGCATCCAGCAGGAAGCTCAAGGGGACAATCATCGCACCGTCAGGCTCGCATTCCATTGTTTCCAGATATCCAATGCCGGAGCAAGCTTTCAAGTTGGTTATCTCAACAACGTCAGCAATTACTTCTGCGTAGCTAGGTGCGAGCCTGCTGTACACTAGGTGGCAAGTATCGTACTAATGACGCTGATAAGACCAGCACAGCGACCGGGCAGCTGTCGTCACAGCTTGCAGCTTCCATAAGAGTTGCAGTGGAGTTGTGGGCCAGTGAACCACGCTAATAAAGCCAATTGGCCAACGGCTTGGCGAGTCGGTGATCCCCCGCATTGGCGTCATGGAGCATCGATAACGGATAGCTCGCTAGTTACAGGCGGTGGGTAGCGGCAGAAAGGTTCCTGCCGCAAATCACCGCCCACCTGTGCGATGCCTGAGAAGCTAGAACAGCGGATGGACGCTGATTAACAAACTGGCAAAAGGTCTTCTCGAGGAACAAATACTGCCACCGACCTCCACCCGATTTCATCTCCAACCAATTCAACCCAGCAAACTCATTACCGACTTGCTAATAGCTCCCTGTTACCAATCACTTCGATATTTAATATCACCATGGCGGCCCGTCCGCCGACTCAGATTACGGTCAAGCGCAAGCGTGGCGATGACGACAACAACCCGGTTGATTTTCTCCGTTCGTACCCTTCGCTGCCTCGGCCGTTTCGAGCGCTTTGTTGTACTGATGGGCTGGGACATTAGGCCTCGAGCGAAGCAAAAGGTCTCGAAGCGTTTCCGGCGATCTTTGGCTGTACCAGCGCAAAACCGTTGTTGCAAAACCCGCGATCCCTGCGGCCGAGCCTTCTGCGGCTGCTATCCCGACCATCCAGCCGACCCGGGATGGCGATGAGAAACGCCTTCTCAAACGCTCACACAAGGCGCCTCCGGGCCCGGCTGGGGTAGATGGCACTACGTCAGAGAACAACGCGGCAGGAGCCCCCACCGCAGAACAACCAGCATCGATAGCCCCAAGTCATCTGGCCGCCGCGCGCACTCGGCGATTTTATTTGTCGAGATCCTACTCGCCACAGCCGACTGCTGGCGTGTCCAAGAAGCGCAGCGCGCCCGCGGTGTTCGTGGAACGGGACGCGAAGAAGCAGCGGGAGTCGCTGAAAGCTGTCATCGAGGAACGCAACATACCGTTAACACAGGCGACCAACTCGGTCGGCGGCTCGCAGTCCGCGCAGTCTTCGTCATCCGGAGATGAGCGACCTACTGCTGCTTCGCTGCCCGAGACCACCGTAGAGTGCATTACCGTCAAGTATAAACGGCCCGGAGATAGGGGTCGTTTCTTTGCCACGAGATCCAAGATCCCTACCGCCGCGTCCATACTCGACCGCGGAAACGATGATATGGACGAGATTACTCGGCGTATGGACAGCTGGGTCATTGATGAGATCAACAAGAACCGTGAGAAAGTTGAGGCGCAGGACGCCAAATCCAAGTATAGCCCGGCCACATCACGCTTCAAGCCCAAAGCCCCGCAGCACCGCCGTTCGGAGACGGCACAGCAGGCGGCTTCCACCTCGAAAGCTGAGGATGTCAACGGTGGTGACACGACAGACGAAGAAGACTACGTGGTGGACACGTACGAACTGGTTCCCGCCGAACGCCTGTTGGACCAACCAGTACCGGCGGACCGCGTCGGTCTGCTAGTGTTCGAGACGGAACCCGACATGGTCGAGTTCTTCTATAGTAATGAGAGCGATGACGATGACGAGATGTTGGAAGATGAGGACGACGAGAACGGTAAGTAGCAGCTTGACTCAAATGGATGGCCGCCAGAGACGGCTGACTAGCCATCTAGCGGAGAACTACTATGCAAACGACTATCCCGATGAAGACATGGACTGGGATGATGAGTTTGGTCACAACGCTTACCACTACATGAACCGGAATGCGTCGGATCTGGAGGAGTTTGACGAGAGAGACTATGATGCGGAGGAGCTTGATCGTGGGAAGTGGTCGGACGCGTTCTGGGAGCGATGTGAAAGGGACGGAAGCAAGCTTCAGTAGGATAGGATAAGTCAGATCCGTGGTTGTGGGATCCGCTTTTGGTATGGATACTGAATAGTTCAAAGGCCTTGAATGCCCGTGTCACACGCAAATCTAATTTGATTTGGCTGTTTGATTATGCACAGGCTGCAGGTTCCCATGGATATTTGCAGCTAACCTGTATACTATCTCATATCCTGCCGTATCCATGACGTCCGAGTCTTCATCAAGCCGTGCTTCATCAAACATTATTTCGATGAAATAGTGTGTGACTGTTGACCCCTATATGGAGACAATGGGTAGGTAGTAATAACGAGAGGAAGAAGAGGAGGAGCCAATCAAGGGACAACGAAACCGGGGAAAGGGAAAAGAGAGTCGACTGATGTACTAGTAAGTACCTTAGTGAGCAACTAAGTTTTCAAAAAACTGAGTGATTTGTACAATACATACCAGGTACTTACCTCCCATATTTCCACCCCATATTTCCACCCCATATTCCCACCTCTCCTTTTTGGCCGCTTCTGTGGCAGATAAGTAACTAAAAGATAACCCTTTTGATACAGCGGAGGATACTCCCGAGTCCCCCGAACAAAGGATGAAACGACTGGAAACCCAAGGCCCACATATAACGTACATGATAAGCGAGCGACGCAGATAAGCGAGCGACGCACTTTCTACCACCCTACAGCAACTATCCTCAATTATAATACAACAACGCTAGCAACCAACTACAATTACATCAGAAATAGATGAATCAGATGATTCTACAGCCTCCTGGCAAGTGCGAGAATTATGGCCAGGCCTGCCGCATACCCCACAGCATCGAACCTTCGTACGAGCCCCCCCTGAACCGCTACCATCCGGCTGCGTTTCCTGCACTGCCTCCCCACCTACGGCGTTCTGATCTAGTAGATCCTTTGCATCTTGCACAGTAAGTGAACCTCCAAGCTGCACACGTGTTTTCTTGGCACGCCGGCGCTTGCTTAGTGCCTCATTGGCCTTGCGAAGCGAAGAGACCTCTGACCGAAGGAGGGCCACCTGGTGCATTACAGCCATCGTACCCTTGGCAAGCTGGTCTACAGCATCCAACATTGAAGTTGGGGAGCTATTTTGATGGTTCGCAATGCGAGTCTTGATGAGCGTTGACTGTGCGTCGGCTTCTCGTGGGTTATGTGGTGTCTGGAAGACCCAGGGTTGCGCAGTGCTGGGCCGTGAGGTTGGGGGTGTTGGCGTACGAAGCTTTATATCTAGCTTAGAAAGCACCCGCTCTGGGTCGTATGGCACAAGGCCAGTCCCTGCAAAGCCACCCTGTACGTTCTTCTCTGTCATAGAAGCAAAGAAGGCTTCTCGGAAGGCACAGAGGAACTCAAGCTTGCTGATGTGGTTGATATGCATGCGCATTAAGCCCTCGATCTGGCGACCGTATGCCTGCTTAAGTGGCCCAAAGCAGCCAACATCGAGAGGCTGGAGCCTATGGGAAGAGTGTGGAGGCATGCAGAGTGTGACGATGTTGTTCTCCTTGCAGTAGAGCTCGAATTCGGTTGAGTGGTGGCTCTCGTGGCCGTCGAGGATCAACAACCGGTATGTGCCTTTTGTTCGAGGTGCCGTATGGTAATCGAAGTGCTTGATCCAATCCAGACCTACTGCATTGGTAGTCCAGCCATTATCGGTGGTTGCAATGCGCCAGGTAAGTGGTAGGTTGCACTCCCGGTACCAGTTACTCTGGTGGTACTGTGCGGCTAGGATGATGAACGGAGGGATAACCCAGCCAAGGGCGTTGACTCCCTGGATCACAGTCGCCCACTCCCGATTACTAGGCTGAGCTAGTTTTGCCTTGCCACGCCCATCCGAGGTCGTAACCACCATACCCGCGAAGATAACACCCATCATAAACCCAGTCTCATCAAAGTTGTAGACATCGTCATCGACAATCCCATATTTAGCCCTAGTATTCCACACAAGTGCAAACCACTCGCTGATGACCTGTGGATCCTCGCATTTAGCCCTCTGGTAGTCGTACTTGCGTGTATACCGCGTACGGAGCTCTGGCTGGCGTTTGACAAAGTTGTGAGCCCAGCGTTTGCCGACAGGGGGCGCGTCGCGTTCGCGTAGTAGGTGGTTGGCCATATCTTCCACACCACTTAATCTAGGTGGGAATGCGCGTGTAGATAGCTCAGTTATATACTGAACTATTGACTTCTCTTCTAGATCCGTGAGCTTACGCGAGTTGGCTAGAACATCGCGTCTTGCAGCACGTCCCTTGCGCCGGTGGCGAATCGTTGCTTCTGGAACGTTGTATAGCTTGGCTACCGCCCGGATACTGAGATTCTCGCTCTGTTTGATAGCTTCGAGGGCTAAAAGAAGCCTGGCTTCTTTTGAGGGGCTACGCATGGCTTGTTGCGGTGGTATTTGGTGGAAAAGTTTAGAGGAGGCGCGTCGCACTGAAAGTGCGTCGCTCGCTTATCTGCGTCGCTCGCTTATCTGCGTCGCTCGCTTATCATGTACGTTATAAGTATTGACCGAGTTCCCATTACCTGCCTCATGATCTCGGAACCACTGTCATCGACTGACATCAACATCACCATCGACCTATCATATAACATTGGCGCCGCGAGACAACGTAAAGAATGATAGAAAAGGGTGGAAAGGGAAGATATATATTTATATATTAAGGAACACAAACGAGGGTTATGATCTTGAGAAAAAGGGAACTAAGAAACTTAGCGAGTGACGTTGCAGCCCAAGAAAAGAAAAAGCAAACGCCAACGAACAGACCGTGCAAAATGAGGAAACATCAATAATACACCTTCAGGCGGCAGTCTGGCCTAGTAGCGCGAGCAGCGAGGAACGCTTCCCTCTGCAGGCGTCGCTTCTCGGCTGTGGATATCGAATTCCATCGTTAGCACAAAAACCTTGATCGGATTCCCAAGAGGATGGATGGGTGGATGGGAACTCACCGGCAACCCTGGCCAAGACGCGATGCTCCTCCCGGACCCAGTCGTTGGCCTCGTCCACCAGCTCCTCGGGGAAGCGCTCCATCAGGGAGATGCGCGCCTTGCGGCACTTGACGGCCAGCGTGCGATATGCGGCGCCGCGGTAGAATTTATAACCCATTCCCGGCTCCTTATTTTCCTTCCGTTGTTGTTGCTGCTGTTGTTGTTGCCCTTGTTCATTTTGTTGTTCATCGTCACCACCACCACCATCAACAACATCATTATTATTACCCTCTTGCTCGTGACCCTCCCCTAATATCTCGGACGGATCAACCAGGACCAGCAACCCATCCCCCGTCGTGGCCGGCAGGTGCAGGTTGGTGCGGTAGTAGGCGCACTCGAGCCCGCTGACGGAGCGCTCCAGGCCGGGCCAGCGCGCCATGAAGGCGGCGCGCACCTGCTCCCACGTCTGCTCGAGGTCGATGCGGTGGTAGATGAAGAAGGCTTCTTGCTCGAACGTGTAGGGCTTGTTGTTGCGCTTCCTTCGTCCCCAGTATCCTCCTTCTCTTGGAGTTCCGAGGTTTGTTGTTGCTGCTGTTGTTCTTGTTTCTGGCTGGGAGCAGAAGGAGCTTGAGAGGGTGATGATGGAGGAAGGGGTGGTGCTAATGTCCGAATCGGATTCGGAAGACTGGGTTTTGCTGTGTCTTGAAGAGGAGGAGAAACATGAGCCAGACGAGAAAGGTGAGCCGCGCCGGCGGTGGACGTGCTTGCTTTGGCGTCTTTGGCGTTCGCGGTCACGGTCGGATAATACTGCGCGGTGGCTTGTCGACGATGTACCGGAGATGGTGAAGGGCCCCGGCATGGGTTTTAGGCACGGGGCGGATGCTCGCCGTGGACCCTGCGTCGTCGGACGAGGAAGCAATAAACCTGGCAAGTGGCAGGAAAAGGACCGTCGCCGGGGAGGGAACGTCGTCCATGTCGGATATGGTGTTGAGAACGCGGACGGGGCTGGCCCGATCGGGGACGGAAGGGGGGTCAGGCGCAAATCCGGGCAGGATTGGGAGTGAATCAACAGCGACGGAACCTCCCTTAGAAGATCGGATATTGGGGGAAGCTTCTGCTCGGTCGGGAAGCTGAGAGGCCATCCCGGCCCAACGGCGTGGCTGCTGGGAGAATCTCTGTCGATGAAAGAGGAACTGGCAGCGAGATTCGACACCGCTCCGACCACACAAGCGGGATTCCCATCGGCAGCTGGCCGTATCACGAGCTGGCGATCATGGAGAAAAGCGTCCGCTCGGGGGACGATAGGGGTCGGAGGAGGCGAAGGAACTAGCCCCAGATGACTGATGCTGGGGAGCTTCGTGTGTCCCATCGAGGTGGAGGACACGGCTTCAGCCTGGCCCTTGGCCAGGCCAGGAAGAGTCGGAGAGAACATGATGTCCACAAGAATGGAACAAGGAGTGGAATGTTGGTTCGGTATGGAGAGGCATTCAGGAGATATCAACCACGGCCTGTCGTCTGTGTAGATGAGAGACTGCTTGCTGACAGCAGTAGGGACCAGGACGATTGAGGGACCAAGAATCGCTACGAGACTTCGCAGGCCTCGATATATATATATATGTATACCTACACAACCTTACAGAGCTGAGTGAGAGCCTGCAAGACACCGCGCCTCGCAGACCATGACTCTCTGCAGCATCGCCTTGATGGGGATCTTCTCCACTGCATCCGGAACGCCATCTCGCGATGCACTATCTCTTGACTTCACACAGAATCAGTTTAGTCGACCTGCACGACTCTACAAGAAGGTTAGCACGGTGAAACGGGGCGCAAGTACCGTCGCCGTTCTGATGTGCCAGACCCGAATAGGCAACGATAGGTGAATGGTGGCAATCTTGGTACTGTGAAGGCAGCTAGGGAGAGGTCTCCGGGCCCTAGCTTTTCCCGCGGATGGAAGCTTAGAGCCCGACAACGGTCACACAGCAGCACTGCATGCTGTGCAGCGGATTCGGAGAGGCCGCGGGTCCACTGCTGTATCGACGGCCAGCAAGATCTGGAGCCTGCGTTCTGCGTCAAGTCCTGTCAAGCGTGGTGCTGGTGGTGGCTGGCAACCGGGTCTTTCCCTCTCCCAGCCATATCCATAGCCCGGTCTGGACGCAGCCATGGCGTTGGACATGGCCTTAACAGCTCTCGTCCGTGGGCGTTCCTCTTCTTTCTGTTCTGCGACTGTCAAGTGCGTGACGTCGTGACCATCTTCTTGTTTCAGTCCATCCAACGTAAGCACACCCGGAGGCACTGCATTGATCCCGCTTGCCACTCTACCGAGTCTCTTGGAATTGGTGTGGTGTGTGGAATCTGGAGATGCCTGATGATATGAAGCCAACTTCAAAGACTTGGTCTCTGTTGTCCCGAGTCGTGGTTGCCTCGGTGAACCAAGAACGCGCCGGGTAACAAGCCCGTGGCGATAATGGCTTCCCTCGTTCTACGGGTCGGCAACGCTATCGCCGGCAGATTCATTCAGTTCCTCTTCAGGTAGTACTGCATAGGTAAGGGAGGTGGGTATTGAACATACCTTACATTCACCAAAGAGGCAGCTACTGGGCGGTAGTGTGCTTCCCTTGACGTACCTACAGTACCAGGGAGTACCTTGGACCTTGCCTCCCTTCGTCAGCGGGAGCCCTCCCCCCGCAGCAGGCGTGTGCCATTGGATCGATGATTTTAATACCACAGTAAATCATCGTGACGAATGGGCTGGGAGCAAAGTAGCTTTGGAACACCTTTTTTTGTCGTCCAGGAATACGGAATACGACCCAACAAAACAGCCAAGACGGGGAGGTGAGCTTGGTAAACCCGGCCAATTGAGCGGGTGAACCAGACCACCGGTGTCAATCCTTAGAACTCGCTCCCACGCTGACTCCAGTTGAATTGGAACTGCAGGAACGAACTTCCCTTTCGGGAGACGGGGACGGTAGAGTGGCGCGAGTCCTTCACAATGACTGTTGGCTCAACCTACTGTGGTACATAATGCGGTTGGACTACGGTAGTGTAGAGTGGTCCGTGCTACTCAAGCCGCAGTGGGCCCGCACCACCCCAGACCCCGTTAATCATTAATCGTTACCTGCTCGTACTCAAATCTAACCTGTTTTGTAAGGGCTTATTCCCGTAAGTACCGTACATGTACATAACACTAACCGCCTATCTCCGCTCCCGTCACCTGAATGCGATGATCGACAGCCTCCCGATCGCTTTCTTCGATATGCGCACTGCGAATCAGTGTAGAGCCTGAACTATAATACGCAAAGGTCATATCCCAACGCCTAAATACAACCCTTACTGTGGCCACTAACCTCCAACTGCTAGGTACGCGTTGTTATGCAATTCAGTTGTCGAAGATTTGGTGGGGCAGCACACTATGGCTGCACAGCGCGAGTATTCTGTACGAGCACCTAATACGGAATAAAGGGTCGCATCACCCCGCAATCAACCCCCCCGTCTGAACTTTAAAGGATACCCTGGCCCTTGGAAGTATGTACTGATAGATCGAAGGCCCTCCCTTTGCAGCTTTGCAGGCTCAGGGCTCGCATCTAATACTGAGATGATTAATAATACCTACCTAGGTATCTTGAGCGGCTCAAGTTGAGTCCCGCACGTGCCCCGCAGGTCAACTTCAACTTCGGTGTGAAGCGAGATCGAGCCTATCACCGCAGCGCCGCAAGGCATGTATTGGTCTAGATCGGATGGCTAGAGACTAGGATTCCCGCGACGTCGTCACACTCGTCACGATATCATATCAGCCAAGAATAATTCTCATCGTCCACAGCAGCAAAGATGTCGTCCATATGAGGTAAGGTTCGCTTCACAATTCATCAGAGAAGGTATCTACAGATACCTTGTGCAGCTTTGAATCTCCGTGGCTAACAGGGCCCTGACTCAGAGAAGGGAGCGGTGGAATATGTGATATATCACTTTTGCTCCCATGTCTTCTCACTCTTACGTCTTGGACCAATCCTTGGCTCTCGACCGGAACCAGAACTCGGGAAAGGGCTTCGGGTGGTGCACGACACAGCAAATCTGTGGTGGTGTGCATGACATGACACATGCAGCAACAACGCTACGAGGAATCTGGTGCAGTAGTGACTTTGGGACTCGGCTTGGCGCCACCTAGACTTTCCCAGAATTCCGCTCCATGTGAAACCAACTTCCCAGACCGGGTGGCTGCGCACGATATCACTGTCAGTGGATGGCTGATGCAGTTCAGCCAGAATGCCAGATGGGTTGGTCCCTGTCCGGAACGCCACCCCCTCACCCATCAACACAAGTTGCATGCCAGACCTTCAATCAACCATCGGATGGGGTAACACCGCAGTAATGCCATGAGATGGTAGTTCTGGCGTTGCACAACCAGCCCAGCGAGTCATCGTACTCGAGCTTGGCAGGGGAGCTTGCGTCTCAAGAGATCGCAGTTCCACAGGGTGTCTGCAACGTCCGGGTCAAAGCGCTGCTTCATATTGTCCGTGCACGTACGGAGTATAACCGCGGTTACGAGGCGCCGGGATCCCTTCTCCGAGACTTCGAAAGGGCATAGACAGTCCCCACAATATCCCCGACCACGGCACCTTCCGCGAGAAGCCTAAAGCTTGCCCCGGGAGCCCTCCTCCCGGTGTGCGGAGTTTTTGCCCCTGTCGGGCCGAGCATCAAGGATGCTCTGTCCGGTTGCCATGTCTGTGAAAGACTCGTCCCCGGAGAACCTCCTGCTTCCCCGTTAGTTAGAGGCTCCACGGGCAATAAGGGGGACCCCCAAAAGTAGGTACGGATTACTGCTCACCAGCCTCGCTCTGCGCCCAGCGACAGATGGGTACAGTCGCTGTTCAGTTCGCAGTTCCAGCCCCCTGATATCCCTTTACCCGCTCGCCAGCTGGTACCGAGGGCCGAGCCAGCCTTGGCATGATGATCGACGCCGCATGCATCCGTGGCTTGCCGCATGATCCCATCCCTGCTGGCCCGGGACTCGGCGCTGATCAGCCTGTTGTTCGGCGGCTGCCGCCGATACATGCTCAGCCCGCAGGTGAAGCACTTGAAGTCCTCGACCTCGACATTCTCAGGCATGTGTCCCGTCAGGACGCGTCCCATGGCAATGATGACGGCGGCATGCGAACACAGCAGGATCGCACGCACGCCATCTCGGTCGCACTCTGCGATCAGCGCTTCCAACGTCGCTGCCACGCGGTCGTGCAGTTCATCGACGCTCTCGCCCGTCCGGTTCGGCGTTACTGCCGGCCCATAGTCCGGATCGAGCATGCCTGGGAACAGCTGCTCGAGCGTCCCGACACTGGCAGGGACGGGGTGCTCGAAGCTGGCTGAGCCGTACCACTCGCCCAGGCCCGTTTCGCCTCGGATCCTCAAGCGACGCTCACCCGCCGACGCGGCTGCCTCCTGCGCCCTGCGCACGAAGGGTTCGACCGTCTGCAGGCAGCGGTAGTACAGGCTGGAGTAGACACGCGCGATGGGCGGGTCGGCATCCAGCAGCCTTACGGCAAGCTCGTTGGCCTGGTCCACGCCATGCGCCGTCAAGGCCGGATCAGCTGCTCCGCCCGTGGGAGATTTGATGAACGTCGTGTAGCTGCCGCTGGACGGATCGACGAGCCAGTTCGACCGGAACTATTGTTGTGTGTGTGTGTAAGCACTTGTGCAAGCCGCCATCACTTGCAACAATGGCTCGGACTCGACGGATTAGGAAATCGAGGGATGCCCCCGACTAAGGCTGTCTGTCACCATCATCCCTCCATCCCTAGCGAGATCTACAACAGCTACTAGCCCACCTATCCATCCAGCAAGAGACGACCAACATGCGTTGGGGCATCGCAGCATGGCCGCCTGACCTGAGACAATAACAACATACAAGCCGCAGAACAACCACAAGATGAGAAGAGGAGGAACAACTTACCCCATGGCGGGTAACGTAAATCACCTCCAACATGACGGCAGCGGCGCGGGAGACCAGCCTCAACCTTGTCGCCCGGAAAGGCCTATGAGTGACTGGCTGGGAGATTGAGTTTAACGTTACCTCCGATCCCAGATCGCCGAAGTTTGTCCTGTCATAAAAAGCTAAAAACGTTGTTAATGACAGATGCAAGTGGCGAACGCTGCAATGCGGCGCGACTTCAGCTCGGCAGGGGTTCTCAATGGCCTTCTGAGACATGCACACAAAGAAGTGTGTGTCTGCAAGATGCAGGTCCGTACATCCCCGGCGCATATATAGCCAGCCTAAGGTAGTGTAGGCTCGATGCATCACACAACTTCGACGCAGAGAGCGGGGGGGGGGGGGGTGGAAGGGAGAGAGACATACCACCCCCGTTTCACACCTTGGGCGTACTGTACCTCGAACCGCCTCGCCGATGCAGGTTTGTTCGATAAGGCAGAGAGAGGCCAAGGCGAGCTAGACACCTACTCTTTCTTCTCCGCTCTCCTCCTGCGTTGCCGCCACTGCAGATTGCCGGCACCCCTCCCTTGCGATATGTAGTGCAAACACAAGTAATGCAGCCTAGTTACGTGACTATTAGTTGGATAGTTCCGACGATTTGGGGGGGAAGGTTGGTTTGTCCGGATCTGATCCGATCGAGTCCCCCTCCCCCCCCAACCACCCAAACAAGAGGGCTACCCGGTTTCCCGGATTCCTGGAGCCAGACGCGGTATAGCATGTATATAGGTCGACGGATTGGGGAATTCGAGAACGAAGACTGCCCGAAAGTGTGATAACAGAAGAGTTGGTGCCAAGAGCTGTGTTTCTCGCTTCGAGACTCGAGGGATGGGAGGCTGCAAAGAAAAGGATTGTGTGTGTGGGTGTGTATAGGTGTGTGTGCGATTTTCCCATCTCATGTACGTACCTTACGCAGTTAAGGTAGTGCCTGTCCGGCTGAGGGTGAAATGAGAGAAACAGAATGTTTGGCTGTCCTGGGCTTACGACAAGGTGATTGATGGACTTCAGAGTCTAATATTCGAAGGAAATGAGAAGTGAAAATGAGACGATACCGTTCAAACAGGCAAACTGTGTTGTGTGATAACGCTATTTGATCGAGAAGAGGGAGTCGGAACTTGTGGTCAAGATGCGGATAGCAACTACCGCGAGCCGAGGCATGACTTCGGGATGAAAGACCCTAACCCTAGCCCAGAGAACTCTGGCCATATACTATACAGCACCACGAAGTCGACATCTGAATGGGAATCAGGGAATGGCGAGGCAGTACGGGCTGTCGAACACATCCTAGGTATTAGAAGCCCTGATAACAGATGTCTCATTGTATACATCTTCATAGGTCATAACACAGATGCCATATGTAATCATCACACAGACGCTGAATGCCCTATCGCAAAGCGCCCTCCGACTCCAAGCCCCCCGGGCCTGTCATTCTCAAACCCCTTCTCCAGCAAAAAGCGACTCCTAGCGCTGCCTCAACTCCCGCTCATGCCTCACCCAGAAGTTCCTGCACTCCCGATGCCCCCAGAAGTCAACCCACCACTCCCCAAAGCTATCCTCGACCTCGAAATCCACCTTCGCAACCCGCTCGTCCCGCTTCAGCCCACAGACCACGCACGCCTTCGGCGCAGTCGGCACCCCTTTCGCCGTACTAACCGTCATGCTCTCCTTGACATCAGGCACTCTCAGATTCAGCCCGTCCTTCGCATGCGCGGCATTCACCCCGGCCACCAACCCCCTTAGCCTGCCCACCTGTGCCTTCCACACGCCCGCCACCTCGGCCGCCTCCCGGTCGTCGTGCGCCGAGTGCGACTTGTCGATGCTCGCCAGCTTCATGCCGCGCTGTCCCTTGCCTCCCGCGGGGGCGGCCGAGATGGACATGCCCTGCGCGAGGAACCTGTCGCGGTGCCAGCGGTGCTTGCGGCCTGCGATAAGCCGGGCGGCGACAGTGGCGAGGGCGAGATAGCCTCTGAGGAAACTCACGGTGAACTCGGAGCCGAGGACGCGTTGGTAGGCCGGGGAGGAAGGCGCCAGCGTTAGGAGCGGTTTGAGTAAGGAGGCTGAGGCCAGGTCGAGGAGTTGTGGGAGGAGGGAGAGGAGGATCGCCGGCGGGGGAATGTTGGTTGGCGGGGGTCCTGGTTTGTCCTCGACTGTGGCGGATGAGGAGCTGACAGAGGGTATCGCGTCGGTAATGTCGTCAGCAGCTGATTGGTCGTCCGCTCCCCTTTCCCAGTCTTGCCATTCCCAGTCTGGGGCATGCGCCGAGGTCGACACCGGGGTCTGTTTCGGCTTCGAGCTCGGTTTGAGGTTCGTTGTTGGGGCCGACGTTGTAGTTGGACTATCTTTGAACTCCTCCCATTTGTTTCCAAATCCCTCGTCCTCGACAGTCGGCCAGGCAGTGATTGGCGAAGGCGACGCCTCGTTGTCTTTTTGCATCGCCTTTGTCACGGCTGGCGGCCTGACCTGAAGTTTCTTCATCGGCTCTGGTTTTCGCTCCTGGAAAGACCCGTAAGGAGACTTTGGCGCCGCTGGGTACGACGCGGGGTTTGCTTGAAGGGCTGCACTTGATAGAACTAGTCCAGGGGGTTGCCTCTTGGGTGGTGCTGGTGCTGGTGTTGAGTCCAGGGACAGAAGATCCATGGCAGATTTCACTGGAATGGTCTGTGGAATAGTGCTAGCTGGTGTCCCAGACTCAAAGTCGCCGAATTCGTCTTCGTCTTCGTTCGTGCCGTTCTCTGCTTCGAAGTCGGCGTCAAAAAGCACATCTGGATCGGAACTGCGCATCGGTTTGGGTATTGGCTGGGTCTTGGTATCTTTCTCCCATGATGGCCGCTGCTGCCAGGGTTCCGGGGCGGGTTGATCCAGGTCCAAGTCCAAGAGCTTATTGCTCATCATGTCAAAGGTAGATGCTCTTGCGAGACGCGCTCGTGGTTGGCTGGCCGTGGTGCTTGGGACGGGAGGTTCCGGAGGGAACTGCGGTGAAGCCACCTCGAATTCACCCCAGCCATCATCGTCACCTTCTGCCTGCGCCCGGTCTTGTGACACAGTAAATGGCGTGCTTTGATGACTTTGTAGTCTACCCAAGCCTCCCAGGCTCCCGACATCTCCAAGGCCAGTGTTTCCCCGAGACTCGATGGCTGGGGAACTGAGCCATGAGCTTGTTTGGCCAGCCGTCAGCTGAAGAGATTGTGGCCGATGTGAAGATTGCTGACCGGTTTGCGACTGTGGAACGGAGCCACTAGGAGACACCAGGAAAGAGAAGGGATCATTCGTAGCTGGGGCGGTGGTGGCCGGAACAGCACGGGAAGTGCTCTGATGTTGCTGGTGTGTTGACGTCTGAGATAGATCACCGAACGCCGCAAAAAGGTCGGCTGACATGGTGACTGATTACTAGTATGACTGTTATTAATGCTCTGACTCTCGTGTCCGGCAACAACCCGCACAGTCGAACATGACGACTGATAGAGGGGCTCGTCAATACACTACACGTGTATGTGAAGCTGTTGAAGGACTCGGACGTCACTCAGGAATCAGGAGCAACACCGTCGAGTAGGATTGTGGTGGGGCTGCTTTGCGTGGCACCTCGCAACACCAACTCCACGGCACAAGGGTTCCTTGCTCCCTCAAAGCTTCGGCTGAAGCTGAGCGTGGCAAGTGGAGAAGTGAGTTCAGGGGCGCTGCCGAGATCAAGACCGTACGCATGCAAATGACTCACTACTTGGACACATGATATCCGAGCTGATCCTCTGGCTCTCGACCTCGAGTTGTACTTGTAACCAACGTTCGAAGTTCAACAAGTGTCTGAAAATCGGATGGGCAAGAATGTTCCATGCAGCCAACTCAGGGGTTCTGACAAGGGTTAGGGGTCCCTGTCGGGATCATCGATTGGATGGCGGGGCTGCTGCCGAAGTCGCATCAGCAACTCTCCCCAAGTGCAACCCACTGACGACTTGATGTGCCCACCTCTGTGGGCTATCAGTGTCAACTTGGGCGAAACTCGAAACATCGTGAGATCGGTTATTACACACCGAAATCAAGTTCAAAAAGAAGAGACTCTGTCAACCTGCGTTCTCCACTACGCGGGCGATCTTGGAACTTGGATTCCTAATCGAATGAGAGAACATTCGTATCTGGGCGGCAACCAACCTTCTGGAACATGCTCATCCTAAACTGGAATCATGAGATCCCTAGCTGAAGCAAAGTGCGGCTCCTCCTTTCACTCAGTCAATGAAACTCCCTAGCAAGAGCACATTCTAACCATAACTCCGCAGGTCAAGATGGGCAGAAACGTTCAAGGATGGCTCTAGGATTGCGGATCTGCAGCGGGCCGTCAAGTTCAACGGCCCCAACAGCCCCTGCGCAACCGGTCTGCGGTCCATCTGCTGGAAGGCTTTCTTGCTCTGGAGAACCGTCCCTGTCGAGCAATGGCCCGAGCTCGCGCACGCATCTCGGGAATCATACAGTACCCTATGTGACCTACATCTGAGGTTCATCAGACACCCAGAGCAGCTGGCTGCGCTGACAATCGACCCTCTCGCCGATGACCCGGATTCGCCCTGGAACGCCGTACGCCGGGACGAGACCGTCCGCGCTGAGATCCTGCAAGATGTGCGGAGGCTACCAGACGAGCCGTTCTACCACGAACCCCAGGTCCAGACCATGATCCTCGACATTCTGTTCCTCTACTGCAAGCTGCACCCTGCTATTGGCGGGTACCGCCAAGGCATGCATGAGCTGCTGGCTCCGATTGTCTGGTCTCTGGCACAAGATGCTGTTGACCGTGCGGCCGTTACCACAGAGGATCCGTCCGAGATTCTGATTGCCGAGCTGTTGGACTCGAGCTTTGTCGAGCACGATGCATATGCGCTGTTCTCAAGGCTCATGGAGAGCGCCAGCGCCTCTTACGAGGTTGAGAGTGATGGGGCATCCGAGTCACAGCAAAGGAACACCATCGTGGAAAGAAGCAAATACATCCACGATGTGGCCCTGATGAGGGTTGACGAGGAATTAGCGAATCACTTGCGGAACATTGAGGTCCTTCCGCAGATATTCCTCATGTGAGTGCTCAGTGCCGCCAGCTATGCTAGTTCGAAAGTCTAACTGAACCAGCCGATGGATCCGACTCCTGTTTGGGAGAGAATTCCCGTTTGACCAACTATTGACTCTTTGGGATACAATATTTGCTTACGATCCCAATCTTGAGTTGATAGACCTCGTTTGTGTCTCTATGCTCCTCAGGATCCGATGGACTCGTACGTACATTGGTTGCACCTTCCGACCCCTGAATGAAACTGACGGCCGAACAGTGCTCGAAGCAGACTATTCAGTTGCACTGCAATTGATGTTGAAATACCCAACTCCCCCAGCCCCGCATGGCCCCCACACGTTCGTCGATGATGCCCTGTACCTCAAAGACCATTTTGATGCTGCTGGCGGTGTCACCCTGATCTTCAAGTACACCGGCAAAAGCCCGGCGAACACGGCATTCGCAACGCCAGCACCATCACGGACCTCGACGCCATCCTTCCAGAAACTGAGCAGTTTGCGGCAGCGCACTCTGGGCAGGAGATCATCGATGTCGGCTTCAGCGAGGATCCTGCAGCAACCTGGTGGTGTCGAGGCATTGCTACAGGGGGCTGCGAAAAACATGATAGAGAGGGGCGAGAAGCTTGGTATCAGCCAGGTCGTGCGCGATGCGATGGGCGAGATTCGCCGCAACGTGCAGGGCTTTCAGGAGACCCGTGTTGCAACCAGAGGGCCCCGGCCCTTATTTGGTGAGACCGGGCCGTCTCTGTTAGACCGTTCGCCGACAGTTATGGTGGCGGAGAATCGGAATCGCCGGCTGGCCGCCATGCTAGACGAATCGGTGACAAATCTCAAGCTACTGGCAACTTCGGGGTTTGAGGGAGAGAAGGAGAAACACCTCGAGATACTGGAGGTTGCTGCTGCTAGGATACAGCTGGTCAGGGATTGCTTGGAGGATCCCTCGGTTGCTCTACCCGACGAGGAGCTGCCCGCCGTTAACACCCTAACCATATCGAGCCCCCGCGAGACCAGTTCACCGACGGTGGCTCTCGATACGACACCGGTGGTCATGACCTCATCTGCCGTGGAAGAGACGAGGACGGCGCTGTCAACTCCGGATTCAGCAAAGGGAGTCAGCCCTCTAGAACTCCCGCCAAAGGCGTCACAGATTGAACAGATCATTGACGAAGCGGACGACAAAATGGACACAGACCTCCTCGAAGACGACACACTGCCCCCTCTCAAGTCCGAGATCACAAACTCTCCACCGCCGCCCATCACGACAGTGCTACCTGATACTCCACCTCTACCTACTCCAATGGAGAAGCGACCCAACGGCCCCATACCGACGCGTTCAACATTAGCGCAGTCCTCGTTTGCATGGATGCTGGAGCCGGACACGACCAGCTCGTCCTTACGGCGCCCTTCGACCTCCTCCTCGTCCTCCACAATCCTGTCCGGCAGGCCGCCCAGCAGCAGTGGAGGCAGCACTGGTGGCCCCAAGAAGCGGTATAACCCCAGCAGGGAGAGGAATGCCTTCCTCTTTGGAGAAGTGACGGCCGACGGCGCCGGCGACGGCTCGTTCTCTGCTGACCATATCTTCGGGCTGCAGCCCATCCGGAAAGGAGGGGGTTGAAAGGAGGCATAGGAAAGAGCATAATAGATGCAGGAGATACAATGGCGGGGTCAGCTAGTGGACTACCGGGACCTGTTGAGCGGTGCATCGATCCCTGGCAAAGGCCCGTCGGATGACGGACTCGCTGGATCAGAGTAGGAACGGCAGGCACTGTTACGTCCTTCGAGGACGTCTCGAGCCGCGTCCAGGAGGCCTAGCAGGACTTTCTTTCCATGGACCACACAGCTCGTCGCGAGGTGGTAGCCGAGGGGATCGCGTTACGCATCTCGTGATCAGGCGGATATGAGATGAGGTTAAGTGGAAAGGGTGTGCGCGGAGGGTTATCGTAGGGTCGGCTACCGGCCGGGAAAGGGTGGCATTGAACCTTGGGAACGTTACGTGCGGAGATGACGTGCAAGAACCATGGTTGGTGAGAGGACGAGAAAGCCGTCTACAGGCTTGCTCCGAGAGATATGGATACGATAGATGTCATTGGCGACTGGCTATTTCGAACACGTCCGTTTTAGAGGGTTTAGTCTTCGCGATTCATGCCTGCAGGATGGTGAATATGGAGAGAGACTCGGGAAGTGTATGACCTCTCCCCCGGCTCGGGGATGCACTACAGAGGCATTGTCTATGGCTATACATAGTCGTACTGATTACCTGTGAGCTGTGGACGACCGTCTATGTCTCTTTTGGGAAGGGCCAAGTGTTCAACAACGTCAAACTCTTTATGTTGCGAATGAGAGCCTCGTCCGCTTTACATGCCGAACGAGCATGTTATTGTATACACAGGCTCCTGCGGTAGAGCGGCGAGACGGGCACAATGCTTATATGGATGCTATACAGAGGCACCAAAGGGAAAGTTTCACCTTCTAGCAAGAGCTGATGGAAATGGTCCAAACTAGGAAGCAACAAGCGAGGTGAGAGCCAGCCGGTTGGGTAGAGCTAGTGCAAAGAAGCAGTGCTACACACCCCAATATAGAAGCAAGATATGGTTAAAACAACATCTACCGTCGCGCGGTAGAACCGAGACCAGACCATGGACGACTGCGACGTGATACAGACGCCGAAGTAGGGCCATTATCTACAAGCTTAGTGGCATTATTTGCAACGCGTCATGGTGCATGCAACGGGACGATGCACTCTAGCGGCCCGGATGCCAATAATCTCCGGTTCACGGCGTTCCCGAGTCCTGGGTGATACATGATAGACCCTTTGTGCACCAGCATGACGTTTTAAGTACGTAGGTTGCTACCGTAAGTTGGTGAACCGGAACACAATATAGTTCAGCGGCAAGGGACCTTATATTTCCCCGAGTCCACACACAGTCCCTGCATCGACCTCCTCTTCCGTTATACAATGCCATATGGAGCAGAGCTGACGTAACCCGGACGATCTAGTCGTCGTGCTCAAAAGCCTTGGTGCAACCATCGGGACAATTTAAGTCTACTTTGTGCTCTGTTCCGTGGAACATCGGATTGAAACATTCCTAGGTACACACACACATAGTTATGAACAACTCGTACTTCGTAGTTGAACCCTTGACCCTCGCCGCTGGGGCCTGCTCTACCGCGTAGTTGTCTAGCAAACACTGATGATATCAGGACAGAACACGGAGAGCTTGTGACGCGCGACACGACACGACGCGGCGAATCCAAACCCAGGGCCCCGGGAGTCATTCTCAGCCTCGAACAGGACGCACACGCACGAAACCTCGTTTTTACGAGTTTCCACTCCCCTGCGTTACGGAGTCGTCTCCATCAAACATTGGAGTCCGTTGATGGAATCGCATGGAGGATTCCGTCCACAGCAATCCGTAAGTTCTCTCCAGTCCGAATCCACATACACGAACTTCGCGCCAGCCCACTGGATGCAGTCAGCAATCGGATCTGAATCCCAAATCCGAGCGAATGAGCAGTCATTGATCTACGATGCTAGCAAGGGCTCCGAGTGGCACCGCCAGATCCATGGGATTGTCGATGAAGGCAGGTACGGAATACAATATCACATACGTACGGATCCGTGTACATAGAAACGTAGAATATATCGTAACTCCACAGCCCTACGCGTTCAATGAGGTGCAAGCGGAGAGCGCCGTGATCAACACAGAGCGAGCGTCCTTTGCTCCGTATCACCCAATCCTCTCCCCTGCCATCGGCACTTGAAGAGATGTCACCGCAGCAGCGACAGCCTGCACCGTGGAGAACAATCCCCAAGCCGGGGTATATGGACGTACGGATCCTGGTGACGAAGCGGTGTCGTTGACAAGGGGATAAGGAGATCCGGATGGCCAGCTGCAGCAGGAACCGTGCTTCCACGCGGTTTAAACTGTCACAGAGCGCAGATGACTAGAGTAAGGTGCGGGTAATGAATGAAGCATTGCCAAATCCGTGCAGATTAGATACCATTCAGAGGAAGCTTTTGGTTCAAGCTCTCCCAATCCGGAGAGGCCACGACAGAGACGGGCCCCGGACAGGAAAACACTGGAACCGATAGAGCGGAAGGCCGAGCCGAGCCAAGGATACCGTAGGATCCCAATGCGCCGGGGCCCCGGTCTGCGGCGGCGCTGCGGGTTGTCTTGGAGCAGATGAGATGTCGAACACTGTTCCCGAGCGAAGTGATAAACACAAGCAAGCAAGCGAGCAAGCAAGCAACGAAAAGCCACTTGTTAGTTTCGCTTGCCAACACAACAGAGAAGCTAAACCAGAGAGAAGCAAAGCACGTACCGGTGATTGCAATGCTGAACGCAACAGCATCACAGTGTCTTTATCAAACACACAAGCACCGTCATACGTAGGGACCTACAAACAACAGGGGCTACGCCATTCTTGAGGACACTTTGATGATGAAAAACATGCAAGTCGACCCAAAACAAAATCCTGGCTGTGGAAAACCCAATTCAAAACGGGGACCATCATTGGACAATCCGCCAGCCGGAAAATGTGTGCGAAAATACCCCCTTCCAGCCTAGCCGGGCCTGCGCCCCATCAGCCCGGCCGCCCTATCACAACTGTCAGAGAAAGTGACAGACAGGACGAAGCAAATGATGAGCCATCATCTCATTATCAGTCCCGTCACAGCAGGCGGCAGGCAGGCCAGGTCCCCCCGGGGGGGGGGGGGGGGGGGGCGGGAGGGGTCAGGCATGGGCCGCATGGCAGCTTGTCGAATGCAACTCTGCAATCCCTCTCTCGCTCTCTTTTGGAACGCTCTTTCCCAAGCTGCCTTCCCGATTCTGATGAGATACGGTGACATAATCCGTACACAGTAGGCTATTTCCATTCCCACCGCATACCCCCCGGCCCATTGGTACTATATTATGTCTTGTATCATATACACATGGATCCTGAGGAGGTGGTTCGAGGCCGGGCACCACGGTGACCAGTGCACAGACACTGACCACGCATCCATCCATCGCATGGCATCGAGTCGATTTGGGATGGATCTGCTTTTTGCTTGCCCTTGCTATGTGGGTGGTTGTCAGCGTCGGGGCTCGGATGATGCATGGGACGAAACCGCATAAAAGATGTTGCCGCGCCTGCCTGCTGCCCGCCCGCTCGTCTGCTGTTCCTGTTCCTGGCGTTCCTGATGGCTGCAGTGTCCTCTTCATCGTTTTCTGCATTTCTGGGTCTGCGCGATTCCTTCCAACAAGTTCCCGTTTGCTTGATTTGATCAACCGGTGTAGGAAAAGGCAGGGGTCTCGAATGGGTGGGGTTTGATCGCATCTCGTGCCATGGCTCATTGATTGGTCAATTCTTGTTGAAGAAGTGCACGGAGCGGGCCAGTGGGGTTGCATTATGCAACGGGTGCCAACGAAATGCTCCACATTTGGAAGCCAGAGCCGAGCCCGGCCCAAAGCGGCAGCAATTGTTTCTCCCTCATTGGTGTGAACCATCGCCCGTTTTTTGTGGTTCCTTCCCCCTCTGGTTTGAGCTTGGACTCGACAACGGGCTCATTTGTGTGGCCGGACACCGGCCGTGATCAGGAACAGACGGGGGAATGCAAAAGACACCAAACCTCAAGCCGTACCGGAGTATCTCTGCCCTTGTTTTGCTTCCCGGGCTAGTGCTAGTGTGCCGGCGGGTTTGTCGCGGGATTCTCAACGACAGTCACACCGCATCTCTTTAACGCTATGCTCAGCACCTCTTCCCACTGTGACGCCCCGCCTGGCCGAGCGGGTTTGTCAAGGTTTTGTTTTGCCTATCAGGGAGCGGCCTGCTGAGGTAATTCTGAGGATTTGGGGCCACCTGAATGCAGGCGGCACCTTGCTGCTGAGCCCCTCTGATGTTCTGCGTAGACGCGGCAGATATAAAGGTGGAACTATAGGATAGAAAGATACCAGGTATCTGTGCTTGAACCTCTGCGTGCGAATGAAAGCGAAGCTCAAGCGAAAAGATGCCGCCAGGCGAAAAACGCTTTAGAGCTGCAGCAACAGCCAAGTAATAGCCTTCTGCAGCACGAGGAAATGTCGGGTCCATTCCGTGTGACGACGCAGTGGCAGACGGGAGCTCCTCTTTCAGCTCTGTCGCCGTGTCCGTGTTCAACGAATGCTGCAACTCCAAGACACGGATTGTGGGGTGAGCTTCCTTGGGTTCCTGACGATGCTGCGAAGAGAACGAGAAGACCAGAATGGCGGGGTTAACTGCAGCGGGGCTTTGGGCTGGATAGTGGACCCTTGTCTCACACGCAACCCTGGCTCAACTACCCAAATTGGAGAATGATCTGACTCCTGCTCTGAACTCACTCGCTTGACTACGGTAGGAAAAGCAGCTCAAGCCAAACCGTTGAGCCCTGTCGGGCTTGTGGCGTGGCTAAGCTTCCTTTTCTCTCCATACCTCAGCAGGCGCGAGGCAATTGAAGGCTAGAATGTTTTACACGTGGGCCCATGTATGTGCTGTACCTAGGTAGGAAACAGGCTGGAAGGAGCCGGACCCGACCGGAGCGGTATTAGTGACGGAGGTGACGGAAGCAGTCCGGCACCTTGACGGGTTGCCCCACCGCCTCCGCCGATGGTGCGGGACGCCGACGGCCGGAACATGGAGTGTCCAGAGCATCATTGCCCTCGGACCGCCGCCGTGAGCTCCACTCAACTGAGTCAAGGGCTCTAGGTACCGGCAGTACAGTTGACAACAGAAGAAGGGCGAGCCTTGCGTCTCCAATTGCTTGTCCCTGTCGGGGTGTGCGAGATGGTTGCTGGCGTTCCCTCCTAGCCTTTGCAGCAACAGCCTTCCTACACTATATGGCCGTGTGAGGATGCCCGGTTGCAAATGCCTGGATCGATAAATCCAATCCCGGTGAGAGGTGTAGGAAACTGGCCATGTGGTTGTGCTGCACTGTACGTACATAGCGGTAGTCGTGATTGTAAAAGCTTGAAAGTTGTGCTGTGAATGATTGAAGAAACTTGCCAGAGAAGCTTCTCTTTGCCTCGGAAGCAAACCTCCCTGCTTTCTTCATGTGAAGGGGGTTCCTGTCCCTGAGCATCGACGTCCGAGACACAAGTATACCTGTCCTTACACGCCGCACCGGCCCGTCCCTCCAATGTTGAATTCGAGCCACACCACACGGAAAGGATGAGCTCGACGCTGAGTCGAATAGGCGGAGCCGTCCATACCAAATGGGGCATCTCCATGCATGTTGCCTGCGGACAACTGCGGCAGCCGTGCAGTATTGAATGATCAAGCAAGAGGAGCTGTTTATTAGCTGTCACTGCTGGGTCGATGGTAGCTTTTTTTAATCCCGCTTGAGGCCACAAATGCAACATACTACCACGCGTCGCCAACGCGACGCCAACCAGTTGCCGTGTCCTCTCCCCTGGGCCGAGCCGTCTCTTCCCACAACAAGAGCTCCAACCAAAAGTGAAGTGCATCCAAGCCTTCCACAGCAGACGAGCGGCGCAGGTCGGGGTGTAACCGTGATCATTTTTCCCGCTCTCTGGCGTCGATGAAGGCAGATATGAAGCATATATAACCGAAATGTTTCACCAACCAGATTTCTCAAGGACCAGCTGTCTGGAGTCTGCATGTCCTTCTCTCGCGGTGCACGTGTATTGTTTGGTATCCCGCAGTTGAGTCCGAAACTCAATCTGGAGTCGAACGACAACCGAGCCATTTTTCGTCGCTGACACGCTATCTCTCCCAAGAGTCTTCATGCAGTTCTGCAGGGACCCTCGCAGTGGGCGGCAGGTGCTGCAGGGGCCGTGCGAGAGCAAGCGTGCCATGATGGGATCTAGGCTGCAGAAGGATGCCCAGCCTGCCGGTTTAAGCTCCTTTTGGCTTGGCCGAGTTTGCTGGGACTGCAGGGGTCGCGGCTGACAGGGTCAATGTCCCGCGATCCAACCAGCATTTGGATCCAACCAGGATTGGGAAAGGCTTGCGACCACAAGCCGCGACGTTCTGTCGTATGTACGTAGGTACGTCCCGCATCAATCTGGTCGCCTTGCTTTTCCACATCGAGGTTTTGTTGAAGGCTTGTCGAAAATACATATGACGCTATCCACACCATACACGTACAGGTATGTATCGCGTACGCCAGTCCCGGCCCCGGCCAGTCGCCGATGTTGATGGCTCCGCAGAAGGATCGGGTCCGATGGTGGGTCCTCGACGCGTCGGGTTTGACCAAACTTTTTGGGAGGCGCTCCGGCGCGGAGAATGCTGGGCACGGGACTCCGTAAACCTACTTGAGCCATGTACACTCTTGTAATATCGTTGCGATGGCTTGCGCCTATCCGTATTGCTTTGCAGTTCGAGGACGTGGAGGGGACGGAGATCGGATTGGGACTGACGGTCTTATTGGTTGTATTTTTGCCGGTTGAGCGACTTATCCTGATGATGAACAACACGGACGGACGGCTTGTTGGAAGCTCTTTGATGCTACTTATTGTAAGCGCTGCATCTACACAGTATACTGTACCTGTGTAGCTCTGCGGGCCGATTGTTTCTTTGCTAGAACCAACAACCGGGAAACCATAGCCTTTCGAAATTAACCGACGGCATCTTCTCCAGGGGATCTCTCGTGCCAAATAATCGTCAAGTCCTCGTCGACGGCGGCCTTGGACAAGAACCCGAGGCCACCTATGTCGCCTGGGCCGCTTTGGACTTCGAGGAAGAGAAGGAATTGCTCCCCTTCTCGTTCGGCTGTCTTGGTGCGCAGCTACGTAGCCTTACCGCAGTGTCTTCTGGTACAGACAGTAATAAAGCGCAGGCTCGGGAATTGTGCCCGTAGGCACGACCCGGCGGTCTGGGAAGTTTGAGAACCAGGACATGGTCTTAAGAACGTGGATGGAGCTCATGCATACCTTGTCGAGACCACGCCTGGCGGTGCCCAATTGACCAATCCGAGTGGCGATGGTGGAGAGCGCTCCTTGTCACCGTTCCACGACCTCGTCAGGGCTCAAGCTCATCTTGGCTTGAGCTCGAAACGGCGAGCAAACAAAAAGAGAAGATCAACGGTATCATCGTGGAACTCGGCCAAGTCGGCGGACATCGGGTTGGTTGATTCTGATGGCTGTTATCAAGGCCGGTGAAGCGGTGTTGTGACGTTAGCTGCACTTGCGGAGGCCATGATTACTGTGAGTGGGAATGCCCAGTGTTTTGGAGATTGGGTATTAACAGTGCTCCAGTCTAAGAACTGAGATTCGGCTTCATTCACTGTCTCGCAACGCTTCGGACACCCAGATGTTGGAAAGCGGCGAACCTCAGAGCTGACCTGGAAAAGTCCTTCAGTGTTCACACCATTTTGTTTCGCCGATCCTGATCCTGAACATCTCAAATCTGCGAGTCGGTCTTTGAACCAGGCTAGCCCCCCCGGACAGTCGTTTATCGGCTTGATGCCCGATCGCAGGGCAGTCACCCCTTGACCCACTTACACGTTAACCTTTACGAGTCCTCCAGCTTGTTTGTCTGTCTTGTTTCATTCCATGACTGTCGATGTCAGCATCACCGCACGCGTAACTGCCCTTGCCAGTCCTCGCGGATCTTCGTGGAGTGCATCAGGGTGGTTTTGTTCTGCGATATCTGTCGGAAAATCGCTTTACCAGCCACAGTTTCAACAGCTCCGTTTCTGTGTAACTTTACCATGTGGCACAAGTAGTAGTGAGCGGGTTCAGAACTATCCCGTCCCATTATGGCGCTTCGGGACCCGGGTTCTCGGCGTTTTGACGGCCGTTAGTTATTCGACATCGGAACCGTCTTCCGCGCCTGGCTTCCCGCTCCGCCCTTCCTCGGGGCGAATTTAGCCGGAGCGCTCACGTCGTGGTGCGAAGGAAGAAATCCGAGAGCGGCTGCGAACAAATGGGAGCGATGTGATCGTTGCGAAGGTCAGCATCTATGGTACCAACTGATGAGAGCGCAATGGCCACACTTGGACACATTTCGGACCTGGAAGCAAACATGTGCTCCATGGGGAGATTAGCACTTTGTTGACGCTGGAGAAAGATCGGATTCACAGCTCGGTTGGGTCCTGGGAGCACCAACTGTAGTACCTACCGCCCGTGGAGGCTGGGGTTGGCCGGACGCCCTGGCGCATGCGAACAATGGAAGTTGCGAGCAAGGACAAATTCCCGTCATGCAGTCGCGATCCCTCAATTCACACACAACTCGCGCCGACGGACACTGAATTAACACTAGGTGCCTGGTTTAGTAGTTGTTCTCTCGAATTCATCAACCAACCTCAGACATCAACAAAGGCTTCCTCGGTAAATCCCCAATCTCCCCAGGGCTTCCCCGCCCACTGCCACGGATTGTCATGGGCCTTTCATTCTATAACCCAATGCAACGGTGTTGTTTGTTCCTTCCACTTGAGTGCGGGGATGGCGCCCCTCCCCCGGAATGGACTCGAGCACACCCACTCACCTCAAACCACTCTGCTCGTCGGCCACGGTGTGTCAGGCGTGGATGAAATCTGGGGAAGCACAGGGCCTTAGGTGTTGCGCTCTGTGCTGTGACACGGGACACTCGATCACGGGCCATCCTCGGCCGACGATCCCACACCACGCGCTCTGCCCTGCCAACTCTTTTCAGAGTACTGGTGCTGATCGGATCGTTTCGCCGCTATTACATATGTACAAGTACATACGACTGCAATGAATATGCGGGCGCGACAGGCTTGCCGGCATAGGATTGCTGCAGGCAGTCAACGACGGCAGCGAATCAAGCCCGACGCAGGGCTAAATTTATCGTAGGGTGATACCTCGGATACAAGACGGCAGCTTGCCTATACGCACGAATACTGGCGAGGTTGTACTGACACAGGCGAGAGCGGCACGCGACAGGATGCCCGGGACCTTTGGGACGTCTGGAAGCAGCATCGAATACCCAGCCGTGTGTCACGGCTCAATGCACACAGTTTGACGGCCGACTGCTTGCTCTCAGTGCTGTTTCCCGCTGCGACCTCGAGACGGCGGCCGGCATTGCCTGCTCATTAGGCCGGCCCCGAGAATACATACCTGGGTAGTGAGTGTATCGCTGCCAGTCGAATATTGGATACCTGGCATTTTCGGTCCGTTCCCGACTGGGCCAATTTGGTCATGGAGGCCAGGCGCACAACCACTTCTTCCATAACGTCGGGATGCTGAAGCGAAACCATCTTTCACCCTGGCACCTACCAATCGTCCTGTGTGTGAAGAGCCTCGGTCTGCGGGTAAGCTCATCATCTGACTCTATGAGGTCCGAGTCTTTATCGTCCGAACTCTCCAGCGGAAGTCTTCTTGAACAGAACGGAGATTGCAACGCCAGAAAAGACCTTCTTGCAGAATCGGCCATGAACCCCACGTGTAAGTGAAGCGGAGAGGCTCTCGCCGTACGTCTTCCGGACGGGTCCAACGGTGATGCGCCGTTTTGAGCATGACGGCTTCGGCGCCAAGCCACCCGGTGATACGGGGTGTAGTTAGTAGGATCCCTGCAAGAAACTGCGGCCACCCCGTTCTTGCTCCACAGACTTTTCTTCGACTGCACTTCCGCAGGGGCACGAAGCCGCGGTACCCTGGAGCGGTTGGCACCAGGCCGTCGACCCCTGGCGTGCGAGCAAGGTCGTCGCATTGCAAAGCACAGCAAGGATGCGATGGAACGCACTCTGGGGCAATATATGGGGACCACGGGGCCCGTCCCCTTCCCCCACAAACCAAGAGCTCCCGTTGTTGCTTCCTTCCCGAATGCTCGAAAGTTGAGAATTGTTGGACCTGTTGATTCCCCTTTCCGGGACCGCCAACTCGCCTTCGCTGCTGGCCGAGGTGCTCCGCCATCGACTCTCCACGCCGGCCCGTATAGCTGCGGATGCCCTCGCTCGCTTGCCCGGGACGGCATATCCCAGGCACCCCCGACTGGCAAGTGTCAGTGGGTGTCGACGTGTCGACGTGTTGCCGCGACACCCACGACCAACCGCTCGCACCAGCATCGCCCGCGGCCGAGCTGGTGCAACTAGGAGGACGACGGAGAGGAGGACGACGGTCGCAGATCGCCCACCATGAACTTTTACGCGGCGTCTAACATGCCCGTGTACCGGGTGGAACGGGAGGCGCGGCAAAAGGCGTCCAAGCAGGGCCCCAAGAAGTCGAGGATCCTCGGTCTGCCGAGCTCGCCAAAGGAGACTGTGCCGTCCCCCGTTCGCCCACTCACGTCATCCCATGCCGTCCCGCACGACGCCGGCTCCATTGACAGGCTCCTGGACCCTGCCATCGATGGCCCCCCTTCACCAGAGAGCATCCGCGAACTGAGCCAGCAGGTGAGGCGCGCATCTATCCAGGACAAGCACCACAGCCACCAAACTAGCTCGTCCGGTTCGTCCTCGCTGCGGTCGCTGACGCCGGCCGACCATCCCACGCCGTGGGAATTTGAGCCAGGCCCGCTCTCAAGAAAATCATCTGGACGCTCGACATCCAGTAGCATGCCTTCGCGGGAGCGACCCGATAGCGTTCAGATCTTTGGAAAGTCCATCTTCAGCCGGAGAGCGAAGATGAGGCGCGAGAGCGGAGCCCAGAGCTCATCAAGCTCCATGTACTCGACGGACGCGGTGGCCGATGCACCGCTGCCGCCCCCCCAACCGCTGGCTCCCAATCGGGAGTCGACAATTCCCGCGCTATTTGGACTTCGCCGGGGCTCCAAGCAGGAACAGGCTGCGGAGACACAGCGCAGACTCAACATCTCCGGGCCGTATAACTTCCAGCATGTGGCTCACACGCAGAAGGACCATGTTCCGCCGGATTTGCAACGCGCCAACCATGCCGTGGGCCACACTCCCGGGATGCACCTCGCCGCCTTCTCATCCGAATCTCTCGCCATGAGCGAGGAGGACACCATGACTCCTCTTCCCGAGCTTCAGCAAACGACCTCTCTCACCCGGGCGCCGTCTGTGATCCAGAAGACCTCGACATCCCGGCGGGTTCTTAATCGGTCTCAATCTCAGGAGCAGTTGAGTAGGGGCATGCCACCACCTCGTCCGCCGAGGTCTCCTATCGACCAGTCTGCTCCGTGCCCTCCTATTCCGCCTCCACGCGGGTCAAGTCGCACGTCAGTTCGCCATGAGCGATTCGATTCGGCGGACCGGCCACCAACTAGTATCAGCTTCCGTACCCCTCAGTATGCCGACCCCGGAAGCCCTGTTGCCGCCTCTTATGGCTATGCCCCCGCCCCGGATATGAAGGTCATCCCCGAGCATGCCTTTCACAGCATCACGGGCCAATCCGTTGACGCCAATTGGCCGTTGCCGTGCCCGAGTAGCGCCACCGCATCCGAGTGCACGTTACCTGGCGTCCCGGAAGAGGATGAGACCGCGGTCACAACACGGAAAACGCATGCGAGCGCAGGGAGCAAGTCGTCCCTCCGTGGCAGCCAATCGGTACCCATGCTCAGGGCATTGTCGATCCGTCGAAACGATGACCCTGCGCGCCGGACCAGCGATGCCTCCGACACCCTCGGCCGCTTCGATTTGGTCGCCGCTCAACGAGACCTCCAGAAGGCATTGGCGGAGAGCAGCCGAGGTGAAGCGATACCTCGGGAGGCCTGGGAGGACGATATCGACTACTGCTATGAGCACGAGGCGGAGGCTGATTGCGACTATGAGTGGGGCCGTCCGTCTCTCGAGACAAGTAGGGATGGCGACACAGCGACGCCCGTTGACGACCAAGGAAGGGGCATTGGGTCGTATGAGGAGGCATCTTCTGCAATGCTGACGCCAGGGCAGTTCGACGTGCCGGATCTTAGTCCCGTCAGCCAGCTCTCGTCGGCGACAGCGCAAGAGGCGATCACGCCAACCGTGGTGAACAATCCGAAGGCATCAAACTTCTCCTTGCCGCGGGTCGATTCGAACAAGAACCTGCTCCATGTGCGGAAGCCTTCGGACGCATCCAGCTTCAAAGAGTCTCAGGGCTTCACTCTGTCGCCATCGCTCCTGATCCCTCCGGATTACCAGCAGCAGATGATGGCCTGCGAGGCGGAAAGGCAAGATGCTTCCGACTTTGCGTTTCGTCACTCTGACGAGCCAGCACTGAACATGGACCCGTCAGCCCTCCTCCTTCGGTACCGCACAAGCGCTTCAACCACCGGCACGATCGAAAGCACCAGCTCGGCGTTCGATAAGCACATCTCGACTGCTTCCACATCGACCGACTACACGCGACTGACGGCGAGCACTTCCTCACTTGACATGGAGACTTGTTTCCCAACAAGCGAGCCGCTGCAGCGATTTCCCTCGTTCGACCACGGCATTGCCGAAAGCAAGACCGCCATGCCCCCGCTTCCCGAGACGGAAGAAGTGGCACAACCGCCTGTCCGTCGCCCTGACTTCAAAAGCCGCGGGAGCGAGTCGAACCTTGGCAGACTAGCCATGGATGAGCCTTGGCCAGGCAAGGCGAAGATGCCGATCCAAGCCCAGCGCGGGCGATCGCGGACCACAAGCCTCAGCACACCGCCCCCGCCGAATCAGTACGCGCTCTTCCCATCGGTACACCTGAGCGGGAAGAAGATCTGAGCGAACAAAGCATCAAGCGGCTTCGCGCAGTTGTACATTCATCAAAAAAAGAACAGATCTTAACCCCGGGATAAACAAATGCCTCCGCCATCACAGCCCGGACACTTACCAGGCTCTGTCCGCATGTGTTTCCTTTATATTCGAATGCCTCTGTTGTCTCAATAAGCATCTGTAAGCGGGCCGGATCATATATAGACTTGGGATGGTGTATATCACCAAGGGGCCGGGCGGTGGGCGCAAACGAAAAGCAAAAGTCATTTACCCTCCTCCGTTTCATGGACTGACCTGTCTCCATTTCCTTCTATTGTCACATCAACATCCGTTCACTCCTTTCTCATCCCTATGGCTTTCGCCCGTCGACCTGCAGACACCTTAGCATCTCTCCTTGGTTTCTATTCTGGTGTTTCCACAACGCACGCGTGTATCGGACAACTGTACCGGGTTAGGAAAACCCCCTGTCGTATGTTTTCTTTTCTCTTTTATATATATCATACCGCTTGCCAGGAACAGCGCTCCCGACACCGAGGCCGACATCGTTATACATCATCCGCGAGCGAACCAGCAAAAGGAAGCTTCGATACAACAGCGGTGCCCGGGCAACTGGGAGTGGTTAAGGAGTATGGATAGACCGTCCCAAAGAAAGACAATCCATGGCTGCACAGAAGTGGTAGCAGCCAGACGACCGGGAACCGAGTGTCTAGGCTATGCTTGCCAACTCAGCCCAGGCCCAGCCAGGCCCGGCCGCAACCAGTCGCGGAATGTCGAACAGGTCTGGAATGACGAGATGACGGGAAATGATCATGATGGCGGGGGGAAGCCTGGGTTGGGATATCTCGGCGGATGGAAGAACCGAGAAAAAAAAATAAAACACCCAGAAAGAAAAAAAAAACAGGAAAAAAACAAAAATGGATCTGGGCAAGATATGTAAATAGAGACTGGAAACTTGGAACGGTGACCGCGAGGCCCCCCGTGTTCATCTGCATTGCGCTTACATTGGTTCGGATCACGAGGTCGGTTTGTGAAGGTGAAGGGAAGGACATAGGATAGGACCTGAGCTATGAAGCCCAGTTATATAAGGCAGCCCAACATATATGGTCAGCCTGGTAGATTAATACGTGGCACAACATGTTCTCTTTGTGTTTTCAAGCCTCCCATTTTGGTATCGCATGAAGAGGCAAGCGCTGTGCATCCCTTGGTCGGAAAAAGGAAGGTATACGGATACTACAAATTTATCAAGACGAGTGTCTTCAGTCCCACATGGTTCTCTGCAGTTCTGAGCTGGCAAAGCAACCTAGCCACGAGGTCTCAAAACCCCTGCCCAGCTTCTTAATTGGTTTAGAGCTGCATGTCTTAGCTCCAAGCCAGACGTCATCAGCAGAAACCGGACAAACTATCACCTGCCCTGTCACAGTTCCTACCTTGACCTGGCATTGTGAACCGAGAGCTACCTACTCAGCGGGGTGAATGTTTGCATACCGTAGGTAAGGTACCTAGGTAGGGGTGCATGTCTCGTGGATCTCGCTCATCGCAGGCATGGATGGGAGTGCTGCTGGGAAAGCCGGCAAAGGAAATGCATGGGATGAGTCCCCTTGACCCAACCTACCACTGAAAGAACAGCAACACTTGAATGGCCACAGCTAGCTCCGAGATGGGAGTATTATGTGCTGGTTACCTACCCACAATCACAAACTAAAGAGTACCTAGCCATGGAGCGACATCCAATTGAGGCTTGACCAACCGAGCCGGGACGTCCACAATGCATTCCCGCGTCTGAATGAAGGGAAAGCCCCTGATTAGCAAGACACTGGTCCAAACGAGACAACAACAGAGTCAACGTCGGCAAGAAATGTGCCTATCCAAAACCGGTTCTATGACTTACTCCGTACATTTTAATAACCATCACCGATGACAGTGACGGGTATCTGTCCGACGAACCAGTGAGTATCGACTTCGAGTCCATTATATTTGCACAAGGGGGTTGGCTGATGGTGGGTGCTAGAGTAACCCGGGGCAAACCTCTGCCCTCCCCTGTCCCCGTTTCCCAGCTCCCGGCATATAGGATACACCGTTTCCCAAAGGACGACAATCAGAACCAGATGTACGCCATAACTCCGCCGACTCCCGAAGAGACCAGACATGCTGCCGCAGGCGAGTAGGAGAGAACTCAGCAAGCCATACGCCAGGTCTTCGACCGGTGGAACAGCCCTTTGACTTTCCTTTTCTTGCAACACCTTCGCGATCCAACCTTTTTAAAAAAAGAAACCCCCAGCCCAAGGCCACGGAACCCAGCAAGTAGGTATATACCGAAAGCGAGAATAATGAGGAGCCCCGCCCCAACCCTCCAGTCCGCTGGAAGAACCCACGCGCCCCGTTCCCCCGCAGGGGTATTATGTACCATTCAAAAGCCGGTGACCCTCCCAGAGAGGGCAAAGCCTATATCCACCCAGCGCCGCCCCAGACGCCGCGTATCCTCCTCGCCAGCTGGATATCCTTCTGCATGATGGTCACGCGCTTGGCGTGTATCGCGCACAGGTTGGTGTCTTCGAAGAGGTGTACGAGGAACGCCTCGGCCGCTTCTTGCAGCGCCAGTATCGCCTGCGATTGCCACCGCAGTTCTTCGCTGGTGGGTTGGTATTGGAGCGCTATTTCTCGGACCTTTTTTTAGGGGGTGGCGTGTCAGCCCCGCTGCTGTCGCGCTGTGTGCGAAGAAAGGGGCAACTGGGAAGGAGAGAAAGGGGAGCAAGGAAGGATGTAACGTACGAGGCGAGCGAAGGGAAGTTTGGACATCAACAGATCGGTGTTGGCCTGGTAGCGGCGGATCTCTTTTAGTGCGAGCGTGCCGGGGCGGTAGCGTCGCTTTTTAGGTTGGGGAATAGGGTCGCCTGCTGTTGGGGGGGTTAGCTGGGGCGTGCCAATGCGTCGCCGGGGGGCAGAACCATACGTTGTACGTCGCTTTGTCTTGGTCGTCTTGGTGCTGGCGCTGGCGCTGCTGCTGCAGCTCGTGCGACTCCTGCTCCTCTGGCTCTGGGTGACGCTGCCGCGGCGGGCTTTCTTTGCCTGGGACCTTTTGGAGGCATTGTGCTTGGGGTGTTGTAGCGAGCGACTAATCTAACAGAGGTTTCTGACTATGCGACAACGCCAATACACTTGGAGAGGACGGAAGCTGGCGGGTTGGCAAGGAGCTCGGGAGGGTAGGTTTGATAGCTCAACAAGCGGATGCAGATTGTCGAGGGAGCGCAAACTAAATTGTGGGAGAAATATGTGGTATCGCAGTACGCTTGCTAGCGGGTTATAGTGCGCGAATGCGAATGTAGGGACGCAATCCGTAAACAGGACTTTGTCTTGATGGTCTCAGGAATGTGAAAGAGGGCTCAATTCGGGGGGGCTGGGGCTCCCTTCAACATCTCTGCGTCAGACCCGCAGACGCGGGCAGACTGCAGCGCGCGACGCGAATTGGCAGGGGGTTTAATGGGGTGGCTGGAGTATAGGTCAGGACTCAATGTACTAGCCACAACCAGCCTCAACCACTGCGGGTCTGCACTCTGCAAGGGACGGCGCCGATAGTGGATAAGGTACCAAGGTACATGCTCGGGTCGGAATACCGCGGGGATGACATCTCGCAATCCGTAAAGGACACCTCAACACTAACACGGTGATTTCTCAGCAGCTCTGCGAGCCCACTCCTTCCCTTGAATCTCAAAGGCGATACCAGGGCAACTAAAATACACATGTCTTGATACTCGCGACCTTGAAACGATAACGGCAGACCGCAGCTTACCACGGTGCCCTTCTCAGCAGACCAACCAGGCGCTCCAAGCCGCATTCAGAGGATACAACCGCGCGCCGACCACCCCACTTACACGTTCAGCGCCGTTTACACTACCTAGTAACTGGCAATCATGGACCAAATTATGGGCGGAGATGGGGGATTCCCGCTTGAGACGTGGTTCTGGGAGATGCCCATCTGCACAAGGTGGTGGACAACGGCGACAGTCCTGACCAGCGGGCTGGTGCAGTGCCAGCTTCTCACCCCCTTCCAGCTCTTCTACAGCTACCGTGCAGTGTTCCAAAAGTCGCAGGTAAGTCCTCACCCCGACGCAAACCCGAAGTCATATTCTCTTTTCAAGAAACTGATAAACACCTAACACGTCACGTCTCGCAACAGTACTGGCGCCTGATAACAACTTTCCTCTACTTCGGTCCCTTCTCCATCGACCTCCTCTTCCACGTCTACTTCCTCCAGCGCTACTCGCGCCTCCTCGAAGAGTCGTCGGGCCGGTCGCCCGCGCACTTCTCGTGGCTGCTGCTCTACGCCATGACCAGCCTCCTGCTGCTCTCCCCGTTCGTCTCGATGCCCTTCCTCGGCCACCCGCTGTCGTCGACGCTCGTCTACATCTGGTCGCGCCGCAACCCGGACACGCTCATGAGCTTCTTGGGCTTGTTGGTGTTCCGCGCGCCATATCTGCCGTGGGTGCTGATGGGCATCAGCTTTGTGATCCACGGGACGGTGCCGAGGGACGAGCTCATGGGCGTGATCATTGGCCATGTGTGGTACTTCTTCAACGACGTTTATCCGCCACTGCATCAAGGGTCGAGGCCGCTGGATCCACCGATGTGGTGGCGCCGTCTGTTCGGTGAGTGATCCGTGAGTGGTGCCGGGGTCGTTGGGGATGCTCGGCTGACAAGCTGGTTGTTGCAGAGGGTCGACCGCGTGACGAGACGGCAGACGGAATTAATAACGAGATTGCTGTCGCCGGAGTTGGGATGCCGCAGCCCGAACTGCGGTGATTCTGGATGCAAGCAAGGCTCCATGAAACTGTTGGAATGCTTGGGTGTATATGGAATCTCCACGGCATTACATATTGGTGCGGGTCGCATGGCGTTCGAGGAGTTGCCACACATTAGCGGAGGGCATTTGATTTCGGCATTGCATACGGTACTGGCGTTGAGCTGGAGGTTAGGAGGGCGGCGGTATACTGGAGCCTTGAGTATAAAGATTGAAGTATGCGCTATGGAACCCAACTCTGCTAGGCAGGAATTTAGACCTGACAGAAGGATAAGTAGCTACCACCTTCAATGGGCACGACCTGGTCTCCAAATGTACACATAAACACGATTTGACATTCAACTACTCGCTGATGCTGTCCCCACCAACTACCTACGCTAGGTACTGAGAAACATACTCCTTCCGATAGGGGTTCGTGTCCAGCTCGTTAGACCGGTTCAAGGGCGTCCACTTGGGCTCTTCCTTGAACAGGCGCATAGCGTGGATGTACTGTGCTGCTGTCAGTCATCAACCTCACCCTCAGGGCAACTCCTTTAGTCACGACCTACATTGGTCTCATCAGTCGTAAATCGATGATAGATTCCCGCCGGCAGAATAATCAAGTCATCCTATATCAACCATCCATCATTAGCACCTGCCCACCACGGCCGTAGAGTTCTGTCCCTGTTGTGGGAAGAGAAAGAAAAAAAGAAAAAACAAAGAAGACGGACCTTCTCCAACTGAATCCGCACCCACCGGTCGTCCCGGTCGCGGACGTCAAAGTAACCCCTACCGTCGCGCACGTAGCGGATCTCCTCATCCTCGTGCAGGTGCTCGTCGAAGAACATCTTGACCTTGGACTCGTAGGCGTCGCCCATCTTCTCGGGCGACACGGTGATCTCGTCCCGGTTCTTGTACCCGCGCTCGGCGGCCAGCGCGTCCACGCCCGAGAGCTCCGGGATGCGGTAGTACAGCACGCCGATCGAGGAGAGTTCCGACTCGCTGAGAGCCGTGCCGGAGTCATGCGGCAGGCGTTGATCACCCTTTTTTTGTGTGAATTTCAAGCACGAGTGAGTGAGTGAAAAGCGGGTGAGTGAGAGAGGGATTTCTAGGCATAATATAATAATATCAGGTGGCGCTTACGGGGAGGTTGTCGTAGAAGTAGGCTTTCATCTTGCGTTTGGTTTGAGTATGGCGATGCTGGTGTGTTGGTAAATTTGGACGCAGTTGGGAGTTCAGCTCAGACAGCGATGAAGACGAAAAGGGTGGTGAAGCCAAAGATGGCGGGGTTCACGGCTTAAATTTGGTGGTGAGGGGCACAAGACAGGCAACCTGGAAGATCTCCCTCCCCCTTGGGATGGCCGGGTTACTCAGCAATTAGGACAATTCGAAGAAATTGCGTTCTTGGTATTCGCTGTATGTATTTCAGTGCTTTCTCATGAACACCGGTTGTCAAGCTTAGGAGCTGGGAACTCCAGTTTCCGCAAGGCGCTTCTATTAGGCCCGACATAAGATGAAGTTCCAAAGATTGCGCCATTAGCAACGCCTATCGAACAAGAACCTGGAACCACCTATGACAACTTGCCAAGGAACGATGTCGTGCTTGGCGATGGCGCCTAGGTAAGTCACGTGGCTACCCTATTCGTCACCACGCAGTTCCATAATCATTCGCTACTAGATAAGTGCTTGGCCTGCTATATACCTACCTGGCGCTTCCAGGTGAAAAGGAGAAAGTAGAAGATGTGTAACACTGGTGCTAGTACTAGTACTAGTACTAGTAGTACCTAGGTAGGTAATGAGGAGCTGAACGTACGGGTTAGGGTTATCTATGGCATTTTATCCTTGTTTCCCCAACTTGAAATCTGTAATACCCCACACCCCACACTGCGGATTTCAACCGCCGGATCCATCCATCACGCATCCACTGTCATAACCTGAGAGGTACTGTCCGAGTCTCGGTATCGCAATAGCCAGACGTATCAAACATACCATGAGTTGAAGCCTGTTCAGGCGGGCGCATGCAATTGCAACTGGCATCGCCTCGCCTTGTTCACAAGATTAGGTACCTGGGACCATCCGTGGTGAAAACGCGTGTCTGCGTTCGCGATGGATACCCGGAGCGTGCACGACGGATTGTCCGTCGCCGGGTCGGAAACGTCCAAGCTGAAGCTGCAGCTCCCGGCGAGCTGCGAGCCCCCACAACCGGGGGCGCCGGTCAAGCAGCTGGTTTGGGTTGTGAGTTGCCAGCCCCCTTCATGCCTTCTCCCCTTGTTCATATTTGCTGACCATCCATCCGCCAGGTGTTCGGCGGCACCGGCCACATGGGCCGCTCGCTCGTTAAGTCGGCCCTTAGCCACGGCGACCTTGTCACCACAGTTGGGCGCGTCTTTGAGACCTCACCGGAAGCCATCGCGCAGCTGAACAGCGACACCTGCCTGGGCCAGCTGTGCGACGTGCGCGACAGCGCGTCGGTCGCCCGCGTCATCGAGCGTACGCTCAAGCGCTTCGGCCGCATTGACTGCATCGCGAATTGCTCCGGGTACGGTGTCATCGGTGCGTGCGAGGACCAGGACGAGTACGAGCTGCGCAACCAATTCGAGACCAACTTCATGGGCACCCTGCACATCGTCCAGGCCAGCCTGCCCTATTTCCGCCAGCAGAACGGCGGTCGCTATCTCATATTCAGCTCGACCTCGGGCGCGCTCGGTGTTCCCGGGCTGGGGCCGTACTGCGCAAGCAAGTATGCGGTGGAAGGGTTGATTGAGGCGATGTTGTACGAGGTCGACTCGTTCAACATCAAGGCCACGCTGGTTGAGCCGGGCTTGGTGAGGAGGGACGAGCCGGACTCGGGGACCAACCCGCTGCCGACATGGGGCCACTTCCTCATCAAACCGGAGAGCGAGGCGTACTCGCATGCCACGTCTCCCGCGCTCCACGCCAAGAGGATGGTGCAGTGGCTCGGCGACAGGCAGCCGACGAGCGCTGTCAAGTGCGCCGAGCTGGTGTGGCAGCTGGGCCACTGCTCGTACCCGCCGCTCAGGCTGCTGCTGGGGAGCTATGCAATCGAGAGTATCCGGGACCGGCTACGATCGGTGACGGAGGAGCTGGAGGATTGGAAGCATCTCAATTTCCCGCCTCCGCCGGATATTCCCGGAGGGGAGAGGAGTGAGAAGGGAGACAAGGAAGAGAGGGATGATAGAGATGACAGAGATGAAAGCAAAGAGAGGGAAGACAACGAGTTAAGGCATGACCGGCAAGAAACGGATGAAAGAATGGGCGAAGGGAAAGAAAAGGAGGAGAGGGGAGATGAGGATATGATGGAAGGGATAAGTCCGAATACAAGAGACACGGAAGGCTCGTGACAAGTATAGTTTGGGGGACCTGAGAGGTTCTCTATGGGACATGATGTCCATGCTTATATGACGCAGTTTCTCCATCCCTCTTGTGATGTTACGGCTGGTCGCGGTCTGGTCATCTTCCTGCATCTTAGCTCTGACTACTCATCCTTCGGGTTCCATACTATGTCTCGACCCGCAGACGAGATTGATACTTGAGATTGCCATCGAGGGGACACAAAGTGTATGCATAGCTGTGTGCTGCTACACCACAGGTCACAGGATGCAGTCGTGTATGGATTAGACACGGCAGTTGTACGATACGTATTGCCTATCTGCATATCATTGCATAAATCGAGATGTGTCCAAGATCCTGAAACACCTTTCATTGAGTCTCCACCGAAGCGCCCCACATGGATGTGCAGGTACCGAAGCCAAGCAAAAAAGGGGAGCCAGACAGGGCAGAGCAAACCGGGGAAGAGCCTGGAGTTGGCTGGTTTCGAGAGCGGTTGCAATTTAACTAATAAGAATTCCACCACCGCACTCCCTGGACACGCGTCTTCGCTTGCCCTCGACGCACATCCTCGAATTGGGCTTGACGACGACTTCGGATCTCCTGCGGTGCTGCTTTGCCATTCTCCAGTGTCACGGTGGAGAACAGTTCACCACGCCAACCGCTGTGCCGTCCGCATTGCGCGCCACGCCCGGATTCCCACCATCCGCCTTCGGAAGTCAGTCCGGTCGTTCGCCAACTTCGAACACGAAACCCCATTCCTGAGTAGGAGTTTCACAATTGCACCATCCTCCCCCGTCGCTCTCTCAATCGGTTGAAGCTTTCGTGAACTGCGCACACCATGTCGAATAAGAAGAACGAAGATATCGAGATGCGGCCCGGCGATGGCGGCAACGACTTTGGGGGGAGAAGGACCCGTTCCTGGGCAGGAAACCGCCCGTGTCGCATCGGCCTCGTCGTGATCCCGGTTTCTGGTCGTACTTCGACAAGATCGACCACAGCCCCGGCGCGTCCATTCTCGCATACTGTCTGGCGTCCATCAGCATGACGGTCGTGAACAAATACGTCGTTTCGGGGGCGCAATGGAACCTGAACTTTTTCTACCTCGCGGTTCAGGTATGCGGGATGATGCCCGGATATCTGGAGGATGCCACGGTTGACTGACGGTCCACTAGTCCCTTGTCTGCACGCTCACGATCATACTTGCAAAGCAAACCGGGCTGTTGAAGAACCTTGCTCCCTTCGATTCGACAAAGGCGAAGAAATGGTTCCCTATTTCGCTGCTCCTCGTCGGCATGATTTACACGGGTGCGAAGGCGCTTCAGTTCCTGTCTGTCCCGGTGTATACCATCTTCAAGAACCTGACCATCATTGTGATCGCCTACGGAGAGGTGCTCTGGTTCGGCGGCAGCGTCACACCCCTGATGCTGCTGTCCTTCGGCTTGATGGTGCTGAGCTCCGTCATTGCTGCTTGGGCTGATATCCAAGCTGCCATTGACGGCGTTGGCCACTCCCTCGAGACCTCGGCTGCTCTCTCGACTCTGAACGCCGGGTATGCGTGGATGGGCCTGAACGTCGTGTGCACGTCCTCATACCTGCTCGGGATGCGCAAGGTCATCAAGAAGATGAACTTCAAGGACTATGACAGTAAGTCTGGTTTCTCGAGGTGGTTGCCCGGTGCGCTGACCTTCTCGACTAGCTATGTTCTACAACAACCTCCTGACCATCCCCGTCCTCATTGTCGGCTCCCTCCTGGTAGAGGATTGGTCCTCGGAGAACCTGGCCAGGAACTTCCCTGAGGAGACACGCAACAAGCTGATGATCGGCATGATCTATTCTGGCTTGGGCGCCATCTTCATCTCGTACTGCTCCGCCTGGTGCATCCGCGTCACCTCCTCGACGACGTACTCGATGGTTGGCTCCCTGAACAAGCTCCCGATCGCCGTTAGCGGTCTGGTCTTCTTCGATGCCCCCGTTACCTTCGGCAGTGTGACGGCTATCTTCGTCGGCTTTGTCAGCGGTCTCGTTTTCTCGTGGGCCAAGGTCCGGCAAAAGGCCCAGGACGCGGGCATCTTGCCCACCACCAACAAGCCTACGATGAGTGCAAGCGCGCAGAGCAACAGGGACGCTGCGAACTCATAAAGCACGAAGCCATGGTTCTGCGCTAATGCGAGCTACTCACAGCGCGCCCGCGTACGAGCTGAAGCCTTAATGACGTCCGGTGTTGGCCGCCAACCGCCAACAACCACGGTAATGGCAAGGGACGCGATCGAGGCGGAAGGATCGCTTGTTTGATTCACTGGCACTTTCCTTTGCTTCTGCATGTCAAGCTGTTCCTGCACCACCTCCTTTACGGCCATTTTAGTCGGTAATCTTACTTTTTCAACATAGAAATTCTGCACGCGGACTTAGGGATGGGTTTGGGAGCGGAAGAGCGGGACGGGCGCTGAGTTTCCTAATCATTCCGTCGCTAAAACGGAGTACCTGCATCGGTTTTGCAGTTCACGGTGTCAAAAGACATAAACGCGCGCATGACTGGCGTTTCTAGGGTGCGGGGTGTTCAAGATGCCAGCTTGGGATCGGCGGTATGGACGGTGCTGGGTCTCGCTATGCAGTGTGAGGTTCGAGGGAGGGGAAAGGAGGTGGGAGGCAATCTGATGGTCTTGTCGGGTGCTCTCTACCGTGGTAGTTGGATAGTAATGCAAAGACGTTCTGATCGATCATATCGATGTTGACATTTGCGCTAGTGGCACAACAAGAGAGAGAAGGGGTCATAGGCAGACCATATGGATGCAGCCCGCTATGCGCTCATCGTTCGCGGCCAGTTTTCCTTCGTTGCAAACTATGGGTCTAGAGCTTATAAGCTGGTAGAGTTCAGAAGAGTCTTGCATTGTGTGTACAGATGTTGTCCACATTACCTTGTACAAGTACAGTCCAGTAGATCGCCACGCTTTCCAAGCTCCACCAGGCTCAACCAACACAACCCCTATTTAGTGCTCTATGCCTAAGGTAGGTACGGTAGGTATTCCTTCCTAACCCTCTTGCGGCCAAACCAACCACCGCTGCTTTATTATCCAGGCCCGAAGCAGCATTTTAAACTCTCGAAAACGCCGAACTTGGCACCAGCGCATTCTCACTCTCGCTCAACACCCACAGCTTTCTCCACCACAGAACCGCCCCGGCAACCAACAACACGTAGTAGGCCACCGTCCACAGAATACTCGGCCTCCCGCTCCCATTTGCCAGTCCGCCGCCGGTATCGCCGCCGGCCATCACCGGCACCGCCACGGGCTCGTCGAACTCGGGCGGCTCCACGCGGCCCCAGACCTGCGGCAGGCCCATGCAGTTGCAGAAGGCGTGCACGGCGCACACGGCGACCAGCGAGCCGGTGCGCAGGAAGAGGAAGGTGGCGTAGGCGCCGAACAGGGTCGTGTAGCCGAGCTGAAACAGCGAGCGCAGCAGGGCGGCCGACGCGGGCACCCGCGGCGTGGTCAGGCGGAACTCGTAGAAGTGGTGCACGTGCGCGAGGCCGAAGAGGACGGGCGTTAGGAAGATGGTTCTGTGCAGCGGGGAGCGGGACAGGAGCATTAGGGGGATGGAGGCGGTGCGGAAGAGGATTTCTTCTGTTATGGGGCCCTGTATACATATAAGTACAGTAAGTAGGTTGGGTTTTTGTGAGCTCTATGACTTTTTTTTGGAAGAGAAGCGGGGTGTAGGGGGATTGGTAGAGGGGGGGAGGCTCTTACGGCGATGATGTTCCGCCAGGTCGTCCACTCGTCCCAGACTTCCTTGACGGGCGCCAGCCTCATCCACTCGGCCCAGCCGCGCTCGACGATAAAGTAGCTGAAGAGCGGGCCCAGGAAGAGCAGCGCTGTGAGGAAGAGCACCCGGCAGGAATCCCACAGCGCGGCCGGCCACAGACCCAGCAGGTGCAACGCCTCCCGCGGCGTGATCGCCTCGCTGGTGCCCGCCGTCCCGGCGCGGGAGAGCACCACGTAGGTGAAGGCGGTGCAGAGGAGACTAGACAGCGTCACCGAGCGGACGCGGGCGCGGATGACCGACGGCGCATCCCGCGAGAGGGTTGGCGACGGCCGCGTCGTCGGCGACAGGTAGAAGGGGACGAAGTAGCTGAGGGCATAGAGGGCGATGAGCAGAGTGGCGGTGCCCGTGCTGATGGGCGGTGGAGGTGGAGGGGCCGCCGCACCTTGTGGCATGGTTAGCGCGATCATCAATGAGGCCGTCTTTATTGTGTGTTTCGATCGGGGGCACGTTAGAAAGGAAAGTATGGGACGAGAGTGCAGCACTTGCCCTTGTTCCAGGGGTTGATCTTGCGGAGGAGGTCCCCGACCGCGGGCATCGTCAGGGTCAGCCCAGGTTACAGACAGGAGTGACAGTTCGGGCGCAACAAAAGGAGGGTTTGCGGCTATGGCCGGGGCCTGCACTCCTGCTTAGACGCCGTCAGAGAAGCGCGTTACGGCTCCTGTCCGGCTGTGCACCGCGGCACCGGGAAGGGCTGGACGGGCGGCCGTGTGGATGGGCCGTTTCAGCGAATCGCCAAGTTGGTTCCCAGTCGCCTGTTCAAGATCTGCGGCTGCTCCCGCGCTCCACCGAGTTACCGAGCTACCGAGCGGCTCCTAGTCTATGCTCCTTATTATGGTTTTTATGATAGTTTGACAGGCTAAGAATAGGGCCAAGACTTCGGACGAAGCTTGCGGGTTCGTGAATCGCAATGGAGTGTGCTTCAGGAAACTCTATATTCTGGAGAGTCTGGAAGCTTTCCTGTTTGTCGGCGGCCGTTAGCGGGCTCGTACCGCTCCTCGGCGGTCTGGGCAGCCAGAATCTCCCCAGTTGCGGTCCATTGTGATGTGCGACGCCCTTGCATTCCAGTCTTCCCAACTAGGCATTCTATTGTTCTCAACTTCTCATCGACACAATGCTACCACAGTACGTGGAATTTGCACCAACCCTTCCAGTCCGCCGTTTGCGTTGAGATTCGCGGGGTCGTTACCTAAGGTACAATACATGTGGTAGACTGGCAAACCCAAGTCGGCAAATCACATCCATGGATTCCCGGGGCCTAAGATTGTGTTGAGCAGTTCCCTTTCAGCTGCGTGCATCTTTGATGACCTAGAGAGCCGTGAGGTCTGGTTGGAGGAGTCCTGCCAGACGGCACGATAAACCAAAAATGGACGCGAATGAGAGACGCGTTGTCATTGTCCTGCGCGGGGTCGAGATTAGTAGTTTATACATAGCGACAGGAGCTGCTGTGGCGGCCCCTGCCAAGCATGCGGCTTGCGATCTTCGGCCGCGTTCGCTCCCACCACCGTTGAACACGTATCAAGGGACCCATTTCATCCGTGAAGTGCCATTTTGCTGCATGCGAGCTGGCTAGACGGGCCGAGAACTTGAAAGGGGGGACAAATCGACGATGCGGCCGGCGATATCATGAGAATACACGGAATTGAGCAGCCGCATTTACTTGGCCGCGACAACGACGGAAGGCTTCTAGTTCTCTCTCGGAAGCCGGATTCTCGGATGCGGCCGAGAGACAGCAATTTATGGCGGTGAGTCGTTTCCCAGTAGAAGCGCACAAAGTAGTGTATGTATCACTCGCTATAAGACCCAGGCTCGACGCCTGCGAACTTTGCGCGTAGCTGCGGCCATTGTGGGGGCACTCCTGCAGGCGCTTGTCGACGCGCCATCGTGCCCTGTGGTTTCGCTCCCGGTCAGACGTCTTCAAGCCGGGAATGCAGAACCGCACCCTTCTTGTAGTATTTCAGACTGGCATCATAGCGGTTTTGGTTCTGGCCGCAGAACGCCGACCCGGACAAGTTGGTGATGATCGGGAGACAGACCAGCCACCGCCTCGTGTGTTTCATCCGTGGAGCTTTACTGGGGAAAGGGATCCTCATCCGGAGATTCTGGAATGTCCTAACCCTAAGAGTGCTGAGCCTTCCCCAAAACGAACAAGCCCCGGATCTTAAGATTTGCGTTAACGCAAAACAGGACAGGCAGAGAAGCGGCTGGCCTATCACAGCTCGAGAGCCGGTGGGGAATGCGAAATTAACCTCTCTCAGCCTCGTGGGGTGTTGCTCTGGGAGCTTGCAGCGGTCAGGAAAAGCTTCCAGGTTCTCTGTAGTGACTGCTCCTGTGCACTGCAGAAATCCATGGCCGAAGGATAACCCCGGCCATTTAGTGCGCGATTGCGGGAATATTACAATCCTAGGATGAGCTCGAAAGCTTCCTCCACGCAACCCACGCCTCCTCTCCTTCCAAATTTTCTCCGGGTGCCAAAGGCGAAACATCAAGGACGGTACTAGGCGTTGGCCGAGCTAGGCGCCCTTGTCTGACGTCCACCCGTCCCTTTGGATATCGCATCGCAGCCATTGGATCTCGGGTGCTTCGCCAGACGCCGGTCTCTCTCTCTCTCTCTCGCCCGCCTATAATGCCCAATTGATATTTGCCTTAGACATCCTCCTTCTTGTCTATCATTCAGTCATTGTGACGTTTTTTTTTTCATTTTCTTTGCGGCGCGCTCATTTTCGCCTTGTCCGTCCAGGATGGTCCTTGATAGTTCATCATAACGCTTAATCATATTTTGCCTCCCGTGCTACGACGCATCGGCCGCGATCTCCGGCCTCCAACGACCGAATCTCCGGCCCTCCGTACAGAACCGTAACTTTATCGGACATTCAAAACCATTGTTCACGTGGCAGACACTCCCTCATATATACCTACCTATACCGACCGAAACGACGTTCCTCTTCGGACGAAACGAACCCCCCGGCACTGCCCTGTCTGAGCTTCAGAGCTCGCCTCGCTTGATTGTCCACTTGATCGCGCGCATGACCAGGATATGGAACGGAGCTCACTGCCCAGCTTGTAGAGTGGGAGCAGGATTTAACGGATCGATAACCTCCCGGCCTCGAGCTTCGGCCGTCTCAGAGCCATGTCGTCGCCACCAACGCGACATGGCCCAACAACACCCCCCAAAGAGCGATCCAAATCGCAAAACAGCAAGGCCGGCATCCGCCTCGTCCCATATTCCCCGCCCAGGCTCGACCCGGAAGAGCGGGCGCCCAGTCAGACGTCGTCGCGCGAGAATGCAGGCAGTCGATCATCTGGAATTTACGATGACCAGGCCAATAGCGGAACCGACCGTACGAGACGCTCAAGCTGGAAGGATGAGGTGACAGAGGGCCACGGTGCGAGCCAAGGGCCCGCATTGTCGTCGCCTTCGGGCTCGGGTGCCTCATTGGCGAAGTTCAGGGATGAAAGGGTTTCAGGGGTGAAACCTTTGGCCAGCCCCTCGGGCGTGGGGCACGCTTATCCAACCGCACGTCATCTGAGATCAGTATCTGAAGTTTCATTAAGTACCATCACCGGCACCGGTCCCGATGTGTCAGAGTCGCGGCGCTCCCGCGCCTCGTCATCTGCCTCTTCCACACACGGCCGCCCACGATCCTTGTCGCGGCGCTTGCGACTTGCCGTCCATCCCAACGGAACCTTCTCTCTCGTGCCCGAAGAGCCGCTACCCGAGGCCTCTCCCAGCCTTACATCGCCTCACCCGTCTTACGCTTCCAGAACTCCGAGCGCGCAAGACCGTCCGTCGATCGACACGTGGAGCGACCGCCGCGCGAGCACGCCATTGACAGGCGCAAGTACTGTCATCCTTGACCAGAGCTTTTCGGAAGAGCCGCATTCCACGTCATCGTCCCGGGCATCCTCATCCACGCAACTCGCAGAAGATTCCACTGCTACTACCTCATCGCCCTGGAACTACCGCCTCATTGGTGGCGTTCGGAAGGTGCCTTCGACCCCCGAGAAGAAGGGGAAGCAACCAGTGTACAACACATCCACTTCAACGCCCGAGACGCAACTTGCTCCATTACCGGAAGCTGCCACTACCCCTGGCGACGACGAGACTCCTACTCGGACGGTGGTGCCAAAGACATCGTCTTCGTCCGTTGCATCTAACCAGACAATCGAGACAGTCTCAGAAGCGACAAACTACAAGGTGTATGGCCCAGGATCTAGTGCGCAGGACTCGAACGACAGCCTCGATCTGAACCCTGCCAGTGCCTCGAACTGGGAAGTACTGGGCCAGTCGTCGCCGGCATATGCGAGCAGCCCCCCCGCGACCTCGCATGGTGGGAACGAGAATTACGTTTTGCACGGTGCGGCGTCAGAATCGCCTTCGTCGTCTCTAGCCACCGTCGTCAGAAAGCCGCGCCCGGAGTACTCACAGGAGAGTTTGGTTGTCCCACCCCTGAGGCCGATCAAAAAGAGGTCACACGAAAGATTCGGGTACTACAAGCAGCGGTCGCGCGAGACCCTCCGATCCCGTACCGGGTCTGTGCAGTCTCTCAAGAGCCTGTCGTCCATAGTCACCAGCCAGGATCCCTCTCTGGCGTTCGCAGCGGCGCCGGCGGTGCTCAACCTTGCGCAGTCATCGTCTCAACGCTTCCCATGGGCGCCACCACAGACGCCGGGATCCGGTTCTTCCAGTCCCCAGGGCGCCCTCATCCAGCGGCCATCGGCCCCCGTCATGTCGCACTCCCACCCTCACCAATGGAGCTCTCAACTGTCGACGGTAATGTCCGAGAGCGAGGGCGGCAGCGATCCAGCTCGCTCTGTCTCCCCCTTGTCGTCGGAAGGCGCCGGACATCACCGTCGACGCAGCAGCACTGGCTGGGTCAGTTCGATGCACAGCCGCCAGATGCCCAGCATATCCTCCTCAATAGCCCTACAGCTCGACGAGGCTGCCGCTGCGTCAGGTAGCGACCCGCTCGACCGCCCGCGGCCAAGCCATTCAAGAGGTGGCCTGCCGGGGATACGGCTGGTTCGAGACCAAGACGAACACGGGGATGGCCTGGCGGATCTGGAGCACAGGCCGTCACAAACCGGACTATCCACCCTTTTTCTTCATTCCGGCGCCAGCTCGCGCGCCAATAGTTTCACCTCAACGGTCCCGGCCTGGGCTAGGTAAGGATCGAGACCTTAATCAACACTTGCTGTAATCCCTATGCTGACGCATGGGCTCCAGGGTATACTATGGCTCTGGCGAACGACGCTTCCTCGGCCGCCGCCCGTCCTTTCTGACCGTCTCCGAATCGAGTGATAGCCGGCCGCCGAGCTCGGGCTTCCTCGGTAGCGAATCCCCGAACTCGGACAATTTCAATTTCCCTCAGGCCATCTTCAGCCCGCGGAGACGTGCCAGGGAAGTCCAACCTGCCGCAGACCAGCGTCCGGCTCCCGATCATGCCTCTATGGAGATCTCGCCAGCCCCTTCACCAGCCCAGCCACCCCAGGATCACCGCGTCTTTAGGTCATTGCGGGAGAAGACCTCGAGCATCTGGTCTCCGCACCTCCAGCCGGATCGTCGTGCCAGTCGGTACAGCGTGTGGGACCCCCCGAGTGTGAACTGGTCGGCGGACAGCGGTATTCTGGGGAAAAGGAACATCCAAGTGATTCTCTTCATTCTCGGGTTTGTTCTTCCCCTCGCCTGGATGGTTGCCGCAGTGCTTCCACTTCCGCCTAACCCGAAGCTTCGGATGTTGGACGTCGAAAATAGCCAAGGCCGTTTCGGGTCCCCTCATCCAGCGTTTCGGTACCAACAGCAACTCTTGGACGAATTGAGATACGAGAGCGCCAGGTGGTGGCGTAATCTCAATCGAGGCATGTCCGTCGTCGGCCTTCTCATCATTGGCGCCATCATCGCCCTCGCAGTTGTTGGTGTCCGGCAAGGGTGGGGCCACCGCTAGTAGAATGGGATGTTCTGCCTTATTTTCCGGCTCAAGTATCGACACTCACGGCACGCACGCACTCTCCCAGTCTCGTTCACCCCCTCCCGACGACATGAGACTTGGCATGTCCCTCTTCCGGCTTTACATATCCGCGCATTACGATTTTTACGACACGTTCCACGACGGGAGGTCTTCTCTACGCCTGACGGTTTCCTATCGGGGATCTCTCTCGCCGCAACAATAGACTCTTGCGATGCAACCTCATTCACGCCAATCAGGGTGTCACGAAATGTACCAACTTTCGCTTCTTCGACTTTTTCTTTTCTCCCCCTTCTGCGCCATCCTCTCAAGCCTTCAATTCACTTTCTTCGTCATGTTGTATTATCACCATCACGATTCTGCCATATATGATGGTGGTGTTGTTTTTTGAGCGAAACGGAGAGGGAGCATCATCGGTTTTCGGTTTTAAGGGGAAGAAGTTGCAAGATACCCCCCCAACCTCGGTTGTTGCTTGCTTGCTTGCTTGCGTGGTCTTCTTTCGAAAGCTTGGAGTCGAGGCGGGCTTTTACTGTTTTGCGCGGCGGGATGCTGCTGTGAACATTTGCTTGCGGGGTCTCTCTCGGTGCAAGCCTGTCACCGTGGCATCCTTTTTTTTCAGGCTACAATCTTTTTTTTGTGTTCTTGGGAGATATCATGGATATCGATCTGTCATGGCGGGGAACTCGAAAAGCTTCACATGATGATGATATTTACAGAGCTTATGGCAGCACATGAGACCCAGGCTCGCTAGCACTTTAGTGTTTTAGTGTCTAAACTAGTTTCTTAGCTACCTAAGGTATTGTGCCTTTATGATTAGGTGCGGTAGTTGGTAGCTGTGAATATTTTGCGGAGTACGTTTACGATAGCCAATATTGTAACGTATGTGAATCTAACCAGGTTCTTTGTGTACGACCCGTCTAGAATCTCCGTCTGAATGCCCGAGTACCTACCTACCCACCTACCTAGGCAGCTATGCACACCAGCAAGATGTAGATATCGCCATGCATCCAATTCGCACATCTAGGTAGCCAGTCGAGTGGTATTACCCGCGCTATGTACCTTACCCTCTATCCTCACTTATTAGACGACTTTGTTCCAAACATTCGTTAGCAGCCATACATACGCATCAGGCTATTTCTCTTTCCTCTCCCTCACCTCTTTCTCTCGCACAACTCAACCCAACCCATCATCATCCCCTTCTCACTCACTCCTGGCCTCGCTGGCTCACTTCCTCTTCTTAGCCTCAAACGCCCGAATTTCGCTCATGGCATCATCAAACTCCCTTTCCAGATCCTGCGTGATCCCCATGACCGGCTCGCGCGACGCCAAGCTATCCGAGCTGGCCGACCGACTACGGTTCTCATCATCATAAAAGGCCTTTTCGCCTTCCTTCTTCTTCTTGCCAGCCCTGCCGCCGTCTCCAGCAGCTTGCGCCGCGGCAGCCTCAGTAGTAGCAGTAGTAGTAGCCTTCTTCTTCCCAGTACCGGTAGTCGTAGGCACAGCGACGACCCCGACCTTGGCGTATCTCCTTTCCAATTCTTTCTTCAGATACCGCTTGGCGGGGGACGCGAAGAAGGCCATGGCTCCGGCAGTGCCGATGACGCCGTAGAAGTAGACGCGTGACCAGGCCTGGAGGGATTCGGACAAGGAGAGCAGGAGGAAGGGCATCACGACGAAGGAGAAGGTGACTTGGGTGGTCAGCCAGGAGGCGATGTCGTAGTACCGCTTGGTAGGCAGCGGGGAGCCGGTTTTGGGGTCGAGGAAGAAAGGGCGGAAAGTTCGGCGGAGGTCTGTTGTTGTTGTTGTCGTAGTTGTTAGCTGGGTGGGACGATGCTGTGACGGGCCCCGGGGGGAGTTGTTGGGAAAGGGGGTGGTATAGTATATAGACAGAGGCTGAGGGCTTACTCTTGGCTACGGTCTGGATGAAGGAGGCAAGCACGAAGGAGAGGTAGTAGCCTGGGTAGAATCCGTGCCAGAAAGCCGAGGTGGTGAAGGTGGCGAGGCTGGCGCGGAAGCCGGGCTTCTTGCCCTGCGGGGTCACGCGCAGGTAGACGTAGTTGCGCAGCCACTTGTTGGTATTGATGTTCCAGTTTCCGAGGTAGTCGCGAGTGTTCTGCGCAAGCTCGACGCCCCACGGGTTGATGTTCTGGAGACGGTCCCACGAGACTTTACCTGTCGCGGGATCTACGCCCTTGTAGCCGAGCCCGGCGAGAATGCAGGCGCCTTCGGACATGGTCCATACACCGTAGTACTTAGTACGCGCCGTGAAGCCGACCATGTGCATGACTAACACCCGGCGAATCAAGCCGTACTCGAGATAGCTGTCGTCGAGGAGGACGGAGTGGTCGAAGTAGGCAGACAGCTGGAGAAACGCGAAGATCCAGAGCAGGCTGGTCACGAGCTTGATCATGGCCGGCGTGCCGCTGCGAGGGATCTTGCGCTTGCGTCTTGTCGGCGGTTTCTTGGCCGGGTCGATGCCGGCGGGCACCTCGAACATGGTGGTGTCGAGCCAGCGACGATACTCGGCGAAGTCGAAGGCCGGGCCGGTCAGCATGCTCGGGAAGAAAAACACGAAGCCGGCATAGTCGAGGAGGCTTGGTAGCTCTGCAAGGCGGCGGTCCTTCTGATGATCGGAGAGCTCGGCTTCGGGCAGCAGGCCGTCCGCCACGTTCCAGCAGAAGGCGCTGAGCTTCATGACCAGAACCATCTGCGCGCCCGTAATGTCCACACTGCGCGGGCTGTTGGCGGCTTGGCGCGCGATGTGGTTCACGCTCATGTGACCCATCAGGAAGACGAAGCCGACCCAGGGCATGTAGGGCGATCCGCGCAGGAACTTGGCGATGGCGTAGGCGCCGGCCGCCGAGATGAGCATCGTTTGGAGGCCATCCCAAAGATCGAAGAGACCGACGAGGTAGAAAAGGGAGATGCTGCAGTGGGCAGTTAGCCAGGTGCTATAGCTTGTCGCCGTTCAGCTCCGGGTAGCTCATCGCACCTGAGCGAGAAAAGGTTCTTGTATGCGGGCCGGGCATCGGGAACTCGTTTCAATGCGCCGGCGAGAGGGTAGGATAGGATAAGGGAGAAGATGAGCTTCACTAGTGCGCCAGGAATCTATCAGCTCTTTCGAATTTCTCTTGATGGACCAGCAGAAAGAGGCAACATACACTCATCGGGGCCAGCGCCAAGCTTGTCGGCCACATAGATAAATGCTGCGATGTGCGTCAGCCGAATACTAGTAGCTTCAAAATCGCCATGGTTCAAGCGTCGCGATGTGGTATTCATACGTCTATCTATTAGTGGTATCATCTTGGCGAGGAAAAGACCGCGGTTCCAGAATCGCAAGTGTATTTATTTAGGAGTCGAAGCTTTGTAGTCGTGTTATTCCATCCCACCACACATGAGCTACTCTGTGAGCTTGGGGATCAAGCCTCGGTGCTGTTGGAGGCGACTTGTCTTGTCTTCGGGGAGAAATGGAGCGGCGAAGGCTGCACAAGGTGGCCTCCCGGAGGAGTGGGCGCAAGATACTGTACGGATACTATATGAGGAGAGAATGTGCAGGACTCGTTATGCTCGCCGCAAATGCCGTTACACAAAAAGGAGCTCTGTTTTTGTTGAACTGTTGAACCAAGAATTTGGCAGCTGGACCCTGACAGGGATCATTTGCGTGACATCACCGGATCACTCACCAGTGCCAAAGGGCTTGGCATGGGTTCAGTTTGTCACATGCATGTGCTTCATGATCTCGTCCCACTTTAAAGAGTCCCTTTATTATTTACATAGGCTCCAACCTCCATATAGTTACACAACACACCCGCCGGAATTTGGCAGGTAGAAGATGTCTGTCTGGTATTCCACCTTATGAGACAAGGCTGCCGGAGCCAGATGGGCTGCAGGCAACAGCTCAAAGTCATGCCGCTTCTGTTACCTATGACTCTTCCCACTGCCTTGCCAATACTCCTGTTGTGCTAAACAAAGTGGCAGACCACCTAACTCTCAACTCCTAAAGTTTACCCGTCCTGTGTTCTCTCGATGGTGCATTGACCAGGGGATGGGTGCCTATTTATGTCAGGGGCGATGTACATACATCCCCTAACTATTCCACCGTTTTGCTCATGGTGCCATAAGCCAACAAACGAGTGCTCACCGAGGCGAGGGGGGCTAATTGTCCTGTCGTTTGTTCAAACGAGGCGGTATCCGGTCGACCAAGAGTCACCTACTCGATGTGACCTCAGATATAACGGCTTGCCTGGCTATCTCTCTTCTCTTTGGATGCGCGGTAACAGCCAGGGACGCTTTGGCTGGGATTAGCTTCATGGCCCGACCCGACCGAGTCTACGACTGCCGTTAAAAGGTGTATGAGGCGCATATGAGAGACTACGTGTTCTCGTTGAGGCCTCTGGGGTTCGTAAGCGGTTGATACTCTCTTGTTCGTCCGAACCATTTCATGTGGGAATGTCTAGGTCCGGCATTGATCCTGGCATGGACCCCGAGGCGGAAAACGCATCCTCGGCTCGCGGCCGCCGTCGAAATCTCAGTGATTCGTGTACCCTATCAGCTCGTGCATCCGCCTCAGCTTCAACTTCTTTTCGGGCCTCCTCTCGCATGTCCTTGGCGATATCCATACCCTTTGTCTTGCCCAACGAGCGTTCCACGTCCGCGATCGCCTCGTCGCCGCCGCGCGTGTTCTTTTTCCTCGGCCACATGCTGGGCAGCGCGATCTCCTGGAACCGCGGCTCCACACATCGCTCGTCGAACCAACGATGGAGCCGCGACTCGACGAGCTGCGCGATCTTGGGCACATCCTGTAACCTCGACCGGCTCCCTAGCAAGCTGCGGATGGAAAAGTCCAGCCTGTAGTCGTCGAGGAAGGTGAAGGTCATCTTCGTGGGCGTGTTCTCAGACGGGTTGCTCGGGATGAACGAGATGGACAGCGTGCCACTAAACCGGACGACTGACACGGCCAGCGCCACGGGCAGAACGGCACTGAGGCGCTTCGGGTAGTTGAGGAGCAGCTTCGTCTCGACGGCCAGCGTAATCATGTCACTCAGGTCGACGTCCATCCGAGCCTGAAGCCTTGCGCCTTCCTTATTGCCCGCCTTGGCGCTGAGGCCATCCTCGTCCACGGGAATGATGCGACAGTTGCTGAAGATGGGAAAGTCCTCGCCCAAGCTCAGCTCGGTAACACGGATTTCATCCACGAAATCCGGCCGCGATGTTCCATTCAGCGCTTTTGTGAGCGAGGTGAGGATGGCATCATCGTGTTGAGCGTCGCTGCGGAACTGCGCAATAGTCTGCGCGACCAGCACATTGAACCAATCCAAGCTTTCTGGCTGATGACTATCCACCTTATAATAGGTCTTGTCGAGAATGGAGCTGATCGTCAGCGTGGGTGGTCCCGGACGCAGGATGCTCGATATCTTTTTATTGAGCGCGGGTTGCTGGCCGGTTTGTCGGTGAGTGTCCGACTCACGCAGGCTCAGCAGACTTCTCTTATGCGCGAGCGTCCGTTGCCGCCGCTCAGTGGCACGGAGGGAGGCCGTCACGTCAGGGGAAGGAGAGTCGCCGAAGATGAAGAACTTGATGAATGCGGCGATCAGCAGTACTATCGAGATCTGGCCCAAGATGAAACCCTGGGTGAAGGAAAGCCTGTGCCCCGGGTACAACTCCATCATTAGCGATCTGCAAATTGCAATTGAGCCTTCGAGCATAAAGATAGTTGGAAATTACTCACGTAGGCTCGGACTTGGCGGGACAGACATCTTGTGCCATATTGTCCGTCATGACACTCCCAGACCGGGCAACGACTTCGGTAGCTTGACATTGCAATCGCGGTGACGTCGCACATGGTGTGGAGGACGGGAATTTACAGCAGGTGAGCTCCTTATCTTATCGGCTTCGAGCGCACCGAGCCCCTGGAACGCCGGTCTTGGCATGCAGCCGTAGCGGGCCAGTTGGCGACCTCATCAAGCCGCCATCCATCGAGGGATCATCATCAAAGCCGCCGTAGCTTCCATCCTTCTTACACCGAACTAAAGCCACTACACTCAGTCACTCACAGCCCCAGCCGCCCAGTTCATACTCCGTGACGTCCGTCCGTCCTTTCTGAGATATGGCCCGGCCCATCCATTGATTCCTACGTAGGATATCACCTCGTCGCCAACTTTCAATGAATTGATTGCTTGCTTGCTTCGGAAAACCCCGTTTACTACAGTACAGACTGGAAGATGGATGTAGTGCAGGCCACGTCGGGCTACGTCACCAAAATGGTGTCGGCCGGCGAGAGCACAACAGGTGCGCCGCCGGCCAAAATGAAGATCTTGCTGCTGGACAGGGAGACGCTGCACTTCATCTCGAGCGCTGTGTCGCAGTCAGCCCTGCTGAACCACGAGGTCTATCTCATAGACCGCCTCGATAACCCCAACCGCGAGAAGATGCGCCATCTGCGCTGTCTCTGTTTTGTGAGGCCACACCCAGACTCCATCGGCCAGCTCATCGATGAGCTGCGGGAACCCAAGTACGGGGAGTACCATCTGTTCTTCAGCAACGTTGTCAAGAAGTCGACGTTAGAGCGCCTGGCAGAGGCCGATGACCATGAGGTGGTCAAGCTGGTGCAGGAGTACTTCCTCGACTACGTGGTCATCAACCCGGATCTCTTTTCCCTCAACATGTCTCTACCCGTGCACCGGATATGGAGTGGCAGCCCGGACACCTGGAACACGAATTCGCTGCAACGGGCCACCGAAGGCATCATTGCCATGCTCCTAAGTCTCAAGAAGAAGCCCCTAATCAGATACCAAAGAACCAGCCCCTTAGCGAAAAAGCTTGCTTCCGAGGTGCGGTACTACATGACCCAAGAAGATCAGTTATTTGACTTCCGGAAAGTCGACACGCCCCCCCTCCTTTTGATCTTGGACCGGAGGGAAGACCCCATCACCCCGCTACTCATGCAGTGGACATACCAAGCCATGGTACATCACCTGCTGGGCATCAACAACGGCAGGGTAGATCTCAGCGAGGTGCCCGATATCAGGCCGGAGCTCAAGGAGATTGTACTATCACAAGACCAAGACCCTTTCTTCAAGAAGAACATGTACCTCAACTTCGGCGACCTGGGAAGCAATATCAAGGACTACGTCGAGCAATACCAGTCCAGGACTAAGAACAACGCCGACATTGAGTCAATAGCCGACATGAAGCGCTTCATCGAGGAGTATCCCGAGTTCCGGAAGCTCTCGGGCAACGTAAGCAAGCACGTCACGCTCGTCTCAGAGCTGAGCAGGCGGGTGGGCACCGAGAACCTCCTCGAAGTCAGCGAGCTTGAACAGAGTATAGCGTGCAACGAGAATCACGCAGCAGATCTAAAGGTAGGTCCATCCTTCCCTACGCTCTTCCTCCATCACCTACCCACCTAGTATTAACATCTGGATAGAATATCCAAAAACAAATCCAATCACCATCGGTGACCCCCGAAAACAAAGTTTACCTCGTCGCCCTCTACGCCCTACGCTACGCCAAACACCCCTCGAATTCGCTCCCCATGCTGACCGACCTCCTCAGCGCGGCGGGCGGCGTCTCGCCCCGCCAGGCTGCCCTCGTCTCCAAGCTGCTCACGTACCACCACTCCCTGCAGCAGTCCCCCGCCACCACGGGCGGCATCACGGAGCTGTTCGAATCGACGGGCCTCTTCAGCTCGGCCGGCTCCCGCTTCAAGGGGCTCAAGGGCGTCGAGAACGTGTACACGCAGCACTCCCCGCTGCTGGAGACCACGCTGCATCAGCTGGTGAAGGGCAAATTGCGGGAGGCGCAGTACCCGTTCGTGGAAGGCGGCGGCACGACCAGGGATAAGCCGCAGGACGTGGTGGTGTTCATCGTGGGCGGGGCGACGTATGAGGAGGCGAAGATGGTGGCCGGCATCAATGCTTCGACTCCCGGGGTCAGGGTCGTACTGGGCGGCACGACGGTGCATAATGCGGCGACGTTCATGGAGGAGGTGGACGATGCGGTGTCGAGTTGGCCTGAGGTCGGGGGAGCGGGGAGGAGGCGGTAGAATGAAACTACCAGGTACCTAGGTGGTGGTGAACCAAATCAGAGCACCGAGGCTTCCAACGTGGTGGTTAGACGGCTGCTCTAGGAAAAGACGATAGTACGCGTCGTTAAAGCAGAGTCTATAATATATTTTTACTTCCCACTTCAAATAGCCGCCATAATGCACCTCTAAGCTCCCTACCTAAGACTATTCCCCCATGTATGTACAGTACAGTATATACCATACTTTGCCAGCCGTCCCCTTATTCCCACGCCCCTTACACCAGCCGACAAGAATCCATACACCCATACCCCGCAGCCACACCCCCTTCCTCACTCTTATCCCCCTTCGTCCTCAACAAGTACCCAGCCTCGGCATTATGCAGCACCGTACCCGTCTTCTGGTCCCACAGACACGTGCCATAGACACCCAGCTCGGAAATCACCCCGCCATGCTCCAGCTTGCCGTTCCTTAGGATGGTATTCGCCACCGGCGGCGGCGTGATGAGCTCCATGAGGATATACGACCCCCAGTGGCTCTCGGGGATCTCCCGCAGCCGCTGCGGGATGGCGCTGCGATAGAAGTTGTTGCCGCCGCCCTCGCGCTGCGGCTTCATGACGTACTTCTTGCACGCTTCCGGGTCCGTGGCGAGGCGGCGGGCCTCGCGCCCCGCGGCAGACGTGCTGTCGAGCGGGTAGATGTTGGTGAAGGTCTTGAAGAGGGCCGAGGCAGACCCTTCGTTGTCGTCGGGAATGAAGCGCCGGAGGACCGAGTTCGGCGATGGCGAGGAGGATGCCGACTCGGGCGTGGCCAGGACTTGCTGCACCTTCTTCATGCCGGCCAGCTGCGTGAGGACCGAGGGGCAGGTGATGGCTGCCGAGCGCTCGATCTGGTAGCGCGCTTCCCATGCCGAGGGCGAAGGGTAGTCGGAGGGCCCGTAGCCTGCGCGCAGGTAGACGACGGCGACTTCGAAGGCGAGGGCCGGGTTGTGCGGAGGCCGGTAGAGGAGCTGGCGCTTTGTTGGGGAAGACGGGGCGAGAGAGGTGTGGGCGAGGATCTGGGAGAAGGGCAGGCGGAAGACGGGAACCGGTTCGGGACCGGACGACTGCAGGGCGTACTCCAGGTGGCGCTGGTCGAAAACGTTGCGCTCGCCGTCCTGGACCAGGAACAGGACGCAGGTTGGATGGCCGAGGGCGGATTTGCCGTAGGCCTGGAATGCGGCGTAGAGGCCGGCTGCCAGGCCCTTTGAGCTTTCGTTGCTGGGTAGGTTGAGCGAAGACTGCGGGATGACCTTCTTCAGGGCCGGATACTCGGTTCGGGCGAGATGTCTTGGAGGACGTCAGCACAGTGGCTTGGAGTTCAGGGGGTTGGTTGCCATACTTGTGAAGCAAGGTGGTCTGCGCCGACAGGCCGCCAAATGAAGAGGCAATCGTGTTGAACTCGACCTGCTTAATCTGGAGGTGTTCACCATCTTGGTGAACCATATAGTCAGATCGAAAGAGACCGAGCGAAAGGTTCTACATGATGTACGTGGTCAGCTTTTCGGAATTCATCCAAGCTGAAGAATCTGGCCCCTACTTGGACATAGCCTTCCTCCTTCACCCGCCGGTGGACGTCCCACAGGTTGGCAATGAACTCATCTCCGCCAGCAACCCTGCCATGGTCAGACGGCGTCGGGAGGAGGATGACCTTAGGGGCGAACAGCGGACCCACTCTTGCACGAGAACGTCGAGAAACTCCTCGTCCTGGCTGATGCGAGCGTACAGCTCGTTGTACTTGGGCTGAATAGCTACGGCCTCCTCGAAGCAACTCTTCGGAAACGGGCTGGGAAAGACAGTGACGGGCGCACTCATGGCCAGAACGCCCTCGGCGTCGTTGCCTGCCAATGCGGGCGGCGGCCGGACGGCGAGGCCGTGGGCGATGGTCCAGTCCTTGATGGTTTGCACCAGCCGCTCCCTTTCCAGAGCATCATCCAGAGCCGGGGGGTACGAGCCCCCTGTGAGAGAAGACATTGCACTGCGTATAGTGAGGCCCGGCGGATCTTTCGGTTGGTTGTTTCCGTGATGTCGTTAGCTCAAGGTCAAACCAAGAGACATTTGTGCCTTTCTTAAGTCTCCGGTCGGTTCCATGTGCTTACAAAGCCGAAATCAACTTGAGTCGTGGATGTACTTCTAGGACCGGCAAGGCCGTCTAGTGCAAACTCATCCAATAGCGGTCTTTCAAAAGGCTCGGGTTGTTCTCAAGAATAGCAAGCAGCCCAAATACCGTTTTCCACTTGGCTGTGAACCTTCTTGCGCGTATTTGCAAACACTATCGTTGACCCGAGGTTGCTGCTCAGATTTGGCGGGGCTCTTGCTGGTCTTATTATGGGACAAGCACAGTGCGGGGTTGTTCACGATTTATTAGAACTTGAAGAGCACTTCCGGCATCTTTCGTGGGACGCCGATCAGAAAACGCCATTCAGCCCACCTAATGCCTTAATTAACCCATTGCCACGAGACTGAATTCTATACCTACCGAGTCAGCTCGAAATCATGATACTTCAAGTTGTGTTGCCGTCGCAACATTGGTGCTTCCACTTAGGTAGGTACTTACTTTGGGCAAGCACCGTGACGTGGCAGGCACTTTCCACCATGCAAAGCTCCAGGTAAAGGGTCAGGGTTATGGGCCTGAACTCTGCACCGTTCTACAAAGGTACGTAGGTAGGAAAATAACGTGAACACCCGTCGATCTCGAAACACCACAGACGGTCTCATCGCGTTTCTGCGCGTATCTACGCGACCATACAACCTTCCGAGGGATCTGGTCGAATCCCAACCATCGCAACTCAGCGCCTTACGTTGGTACTCAATTGGGATATATCTCTGCAGCTAGCCCCTCAATGCGGGAGGTTTGTTCTTCAGCATCATCGTCCGCTTGCTCGGTCGACTCGCAGAATGCGAGTTTCACCCGATCATCGCCTCTCACATCACTTCCCCCAACAATCGCTTTTCTTCTTTAAGGCCCTTCCAATTATTTCCACTTTTCTGGTCACAAGTGCTTCGGCGGATTCGAAAAGTGTGAGAATTCTTAAAGCATCATTCTACTCACAACATTCGACATCAGTATCCGCGCGCAACACAACTGCGAACTGACACCTCCCGATCGAGCATCCATGAGATTTGCGAGATTCTATGGGTTCAGAGTTGATTCTTACCTAGTTTGCAGCATTCTTACCTGAGTGCCCGGACTTGTGCCCCGACCGGCCGGACGGGTTGAGGTTGCCGCATGCGAACAACTCGTGGCAAGGCTTCTCTTTTCTTTTCTGTATGTATCCCTCTGATCTAAATGACCGACTTGCATTTCAAATACAGCAGCTTTTCGATGCTGGTACATACCTACATCATCTCACTGGGTACCCCTCAATTTCTCATCTTTCAGTATCCTCAATTCTATCCGCTCGTTCAAAGACATTGTTTACCCGAGCTTTGCAATTTCTTGCAACATATTCGTTAGATCCCAAGATCCCGTTGCTGACTCCCAGTCTCGCATTCCAAGACGTGCCCTTTTCAACATGGCGGGGGACGACGACCAGAGCGACCCTTTCCTGTGGGATGAGGATCGAGTGGTCAGAGAACTCTGCACAGCCCAACGAACGTGGGCAGCACCGCCAGCAAACCGATGGCCGGATTCCGTTGCCCTCGAGACAAAACTCCGTGAATGCGGGGTTGATGGCGAAACGCTTCTAACCTACGCGGATGAATTCGACTTCCGCGACCTGTGGAGTCAGCTGGGGGTCAGGAGCCTCCCTCATCAAGTGTCGCTCAAGAAAGCCATCCAGCGGTTTAGAAAGGCCAGCGCGGGGTACCGTGAATGGAAGAGGCAAGAGCTGGCTAATAACCAATCATGCGGCGACCAAGAAGACGACAATCCGGCAGTAAAACTTGAGTCAAAAACAGTGGCTCGACTTGAGCCGATAGTTCAAGCATCGCCCGTCACAGGGGTAGCGTCAACCGACCTTGTTTCCGAGCCAAGGTTGAAAAGCCCTTACCAGGGGGTTCTATCTCCAACACTCTCGCCATCTGCCGGCCCTGATGCGCTTGCATCTTCTGGCATTCCGGATGCGGATGCGGATGCCTTAAGCCTTGAGCAGGAAAATGCGGAAGAGAGACCTAAGAAAAAGAGAAGGCTAGCACCGATAACAATCTCGGCCGAACCTACCGGCCAAGCTCTCTCGAACCTACCAACCCAAGCCGACGGTATATCGCAGAGGACAGCCGAGATCGTGTTCGATGAGGGCGATTCGTCTGCCTTCCTCGGGACCAGCATTTTGTTGGTCGACGAGCTTACCCGACCTGAGTTAGTTGGCCAGACGGATGCTGCCGATCCTGAATTTGTATTGTTGCGGAAACAAATACCTGCGGGTCGCCGGATCCAAGTGTCGGCAGCAATGAAGCGGTTCTTCCGGTCGAACCTGGTTCAACGTCTCAAACAGAGCCGCAGTGAGAACGAAGATGCCCCGCTGCCCGTGTTTGGAGAGTCTGACGATGAGGAGAGTCTTGACTCTGAGACCTGGCGCGAGTATCAAAAAGAGGAAGAAGAACGGTTGGCCCTGGCGGCCCGCAAGGACCCAGCCAAGGCAGCAAAGGAACGGCTCCTTAGCAAAGAGGAAGTGGCCGAGGTGGTCCGGAATGTCATCCAAGAGTTGGATTCCCGTTGGCTCATCGAGAAGAAGCCAAAGTGGGATCGCAAAGCTTGGCCAGTATGGCAGGATTCCCGGCGTAATCCGGACCGCCTAGCTCGTATCAAGTCGGAGAAGCAATTCCTAGGCCAGCTACATCGAAGAATCGCCCGTTTCACCGACGAGATCATCGGCCAGCAGTGGTCCGTTGAGAACAACGTCCAGCAGAAGGCCGTTGATTACCTTGAAAGGAGCGTTTTCGACAAGAAGTACCAGGAATGGCTCATCGACGTCCTTGAGAGCCCTCGCCAGCCTCCGAAACCAGCAACGCTCCCTCGACCGGCCAAAAAGCCGGTAGAGTCACCCGTCCTCGACGAAGACGAAGAGCTGTTAGCAAGCGACTCCGACGGCTTGGACGATTTCATTGAATACGACGACGTCGTTGTTCCCTCTTTCGGTGATGATATGGAGGTCGATCCGGAGCCGCCTCTAGAACAGCTAGAGCAGGGTGCTGTCCCGGCTAGCTCGGGCCGTGCTGATTCCGTCATCCCGATTGACGAGGCGGACAATGGGCTTCCGCCGGTAGATGCGACCCCATCTGGTGAACCGGTTGTCGATGATGGCCCCCAAGTACAGCCCACGCCCAAGAAAATAAAGGCGGAGAAATCCCTAGCACCGGCAACACCCCGCCCCGTTAGTACTTCGGCTCCAAAAGAAATCATCGTGATACCGGATTCCCCATCTCCCGTCAAACCCCCTGGCCAGGTCCCGGGTTTCGATGACCTTGAGAGCCTCGAAAAGATCGGAGAGATCGGAGTTGAACACTGGCAAAGGGTTCGGGATGCTGAGAGACTTGTGGTCGCTGCACTTTGCGATTGGTCTGACACAAAAAAGGCCAAGCTCCATGATGCGATCAAGGACCGAGACCACAAGGAAGCATGGGCCGAGTATGTGAGCCCGACCCTTGAAGATCCCTCGTCAGCGACGGCTGAGTCCGTTGGGTTTCTTCTCTGTCGGCTCTTCGACACTTTTGCCAGCAAGAGCGCCAAATGTTCGACCAAGCCCCTGGCGGATATGTCATGTAAGAGAATACTTCGAGAGGGGCACTCGTTTGCCGGCTTCTATGAGTTCCTCGGGCAGGTCCTTCAACTTTTCCTGCATCTTAGCCCTCGGGTGCCGAATGTCCTTCAGGCGCAATTAGAGGAAACGCCAGCGGAGAAGGAGACAGAGGCTGAAGGAAACCGGGACCTTGCTGAGGACCTCAGCATTTCAGAGGAATCTGCGGCGGATGACATGCCGGTGCCGTCCTCCAAGAAGCGGCGGAAGCGCAAACGGCGCGACAGAAAAGCCCAGGATCTCCGAAGTCATCACCGTCAGCTCAACGAAGAGCTTGCTCGGCGCGAGCGTCAGTTCCATGAAAAGATGGCTGAACAGGGCTCGATCCCTGGCAACAAGACCCGCCTGATCGTCAATGTTACCAAGGAATCCGATGACTTGCCATTCATCTATATCAACGACCACATCGGCAGGAAGATCAAAGATCATCAGATCGAGGGCGTCCGGTTCATGTGGAACCAACTTGTTGTCGACTCCCGCGTCCGCCAGGGCTGCTTGCTCGCCCATACCATGGGTCTTGGCAAGACCATGCAGGTGATCACGCTGCTTGTCGTCATTGCCGAGGCGTCAGCGTCGCCGGACGAGTCTGTTCGGTCGCAGATTCCGGAGAGCCTGCGGGTGTCCAAGACGCTGATTCTGTGCCCGTCGAGCTTGGTGGATAACTGGTCCGAGGAAATCGCAATCTGGGCTCCCGATGGCTCGCTAGGCCGCGTGCAGAAGTTGTACTCGTCGCTCTTGCCTAACGACCGGGCCACCACTCTCCGACTTTGGGCGTCATCTGGTGGAGTGCTGATCATTGGGTACAGCCTGTTTACTTCCCTTACCCAAAGTGATGAGGAGACTGCCAAGTTACTGCAGGAGACCCCCAACCTGGTAATCGGCGATGAGGCACATTACATGAAGAATCCTGGCTCCCAGAGGCATCAAGCGACGGCCAACTTCAAGACGATGAGCCGCATCGCTATGACTGGATCGCCGCTGACGAACAATGTCATGGATTACTATGCCATGATCAACTGGGTTGCGCCGAACTATCTCGCCGACATCGCCGAGTTCCGGGACAGGTTCGAGAAACCCATCAGAGAAGGTCTCTGGGCGGACAGCGAGCCTCAGCAGAAGAGAAGGGCCCGGAGAATGCTCCACGTCCTGAAAGCCACGGTGGAACCCAAGGTGCACCGAAGGGACATTCAGGTTCTGAGGAATGAGCTGCCGACGAAGAAAGAATTCATTCTGACCCTTCCCTTGACGAAGGTACAGATGGATCTATACAAGACGTACATCGAGTGGGTTACGGAACGGGGCAGCGAGTTGATGAACGGTCAAGCGAGGGCCTGGAGCCTGGTGGCCAAACTTGGGTATGTCCTGGCCCATCCCATCATCTTCAAGACGACGGTAGAAGCTGGGAAGACGAAGCCGCACGGCAGCAAGGTGCAGTCGTCAAAACCGCCAAGGGTTGCACAGGCAGAGGACAGCGACGAGGAGAATGTCGAGATGCCCCAGGACGTCTTGATCAAGATGATGGCAGTTGTCCGTGTCCGGGAGATCGAGAACTACGCTCTCTCGAACAAGATTCTCGTTCTCTTGCGGATCTTGGACGAGTGCAAGAAAGTGGGCGACAAGGTGCTTGTGTTTTCTCAGAGCATTCCCACCCTGAATTATATCGAGAACATCTTCAAGAGGCAGAGAGTCGTGTACCAGCGGCTCGATGGCAATACTCCCATGAACGGGAGACAAGACTCCATCAGAAAATTCAATGCCGATGGCGCCACCCAGGTGTACTTGATCTCGACCAAAGCGGGAGGCATCGGCCTCAACATACACGGCGCCAACCGTGTAGTCATTTTCGATTTCAAGTACACCCCGACCGATGAGCAGCAGGCAATTGGCAGGGCTTACCGACTCGGGCAAACAAAGCCGGTCTATGTCTACTGGTTAACGATTGGCGGCACTTTCGAGGACACAATCCACAACAATGCCGTGTTCAAGACCCAGCTGGCGTCTCGGGTGGTGGACAAGAAGAACCCGGATCCATGGTCCAGGAAATATACCGAGTGGTTCGTGATGCCCAAAATGCCGGATCAGGAAGATTTGTCCGGTGCCCTCGGCCAAGATCAAGTCCTCGATGCGCTCCTCAATAGCCAAGACATCGGTAAACTGATCAGGAAAATCACTTCCACCGAAACCTTCGAGAAGGAGGAGAAGGATGAGCTTACGCCGGAGGAGAAAAGAGAGGCGGAAGAAGAAGTTGAGATAGAACGTCTGAGACTCCAGAACCCTGAGGAATTCCGACGCAGGGAGTTGGAGAGGATCCGGCAACCGAGAAGCACGGCCGTGCCACTGCCTTCGCCGCCCAACCCATATCAGCCACCGGGACGCTCTATCGACGGTGAGTCGCAAGCAGTGCCTCTTTCCGCAAAGAATCGAAGCAAAACGATCATCAAGATCAAGGTGCCAGAGCATCTAAGGAATAAACGCACTTCAGGACGACCAGTTCCCCATGTCTTTCCTGGCGTTAAACCTTCTCCTAGCACCCCGCTACCTTCACAGTAGCACGACGACCATCCACGGCAACAACGGCTAACTCTTGACATCTGCTCCAGCTTTAGCTAGCCAGCTCTTCAACCCTTCTTCCCTGTACCAGACCGTGGTTCCTAACTCTGCACCTCCAGCTGTCGTTCAAGTCTCGCCGGGTCAACCCAGCGCGGGCAATCAGCAGCCTACTACGGTGCCAAACGAGGTTCGGCCGAATGATGCCACGGCCGAAGAATCGAAGGCCGCAGCACCTGTGCCCATACTTGCTTCGGGGTCTCATTTCAAAAGCCCGTCCACGCGATCCCCCTCAGCTGCTCCGAGCGGGCCATCGTCATTACAAGCAGTAGAGGCTACACATCTTGAGTTCCCTGAATTGCTGAGCGTTCATCATAGGCTGTGTCAAGAAGGACGCCATGTGAAGCATCACCCGAACGACCTAGTAAGCAGGGTGAAAGGCGTGTGGGCGCAAAACAAGATCGAGCATCTGCCGTTGATGGACAAGATGCAGAATCTCAAGAAATTCTCTCGAGACCCAAGGTTCGCCGAGGCAATGCTCTCTGGGTATATGGAGCCTGAACAGCTTGCGTCTTTGACGAGGCTCCAGATGGAGAGAATTGCGACTTCACTCAGTGGCCTGGCCGAGGCCGAGTTCAAGCAGCGAGTTTGGACGGGCAAGGCCGATATCAACGTATGCGCCGACACCAAGACACAACCCCCAAGCCATTCCAAAGGATGACGACTGACATAAGAATCGCAACAGCAAACACCAGCACAGTTGTCCATAAAGACCGAGAGGCGCACGGTAGGGTCGGCGGAGCTGAATGGCCCGCTACCGACACTACGTGACAGACCGACACGAGGGTTCTTACGGTTCATTGACTCGGAACCAGACGAGCCCCCTACCACGCCGCAAGATCGTCCACGGTCCAGGAGGCCCGGTGACTCAGCAAAATCGCCCCAGGTTATAGAATGAGCGCAGGCGTCTTCCGATCACGCTAACTTTTTTCCTTCTCCTTTCTTGAGATACCCCACGGTTGCTTATGCTGCAGCTGTTTTTGCACGGCGTTTTCGAGGGTAATGGCAGGAAAACAGGAAGATTCAGGCACTTCGCCTACGGGACACACGGAAAGGGCGGAAGGTAGGAGACGGAGGAAGACGAGAATCGCGGGCCCTTGCACTCTGCCGGACTTCGGGCGTTGGTGTCTTTTTTGGGGGGGATCTGTTAGATCTTGTATTTGACAAGTACATGTACGGGTACCTAAACACAAGCGGCCATCGCTGGTTTCTTTTAACCAGGTGGCTTTTACCACAGCCTGCTGGACTTGAACAAGCGGTCCTCAAACGGGTGGCAGAGCAAGCTTGTCTTTCAGTTGCGGTTCGCTTACGTGCATGCAGTGTGCAAGTTGACAGTTCAATGTAACAGGGGCCATCGGCCGACGCAGCTCTGGAAGTGGTGTCAGCATCAGGCCCCGAAAAGGTCTCCGATACCGCGGGGTAACGCTTGCCGGGCGCAAGAGTGGAGGTTACGGTGACCTGATGGGAGTGGGGCCAAGCTCGTATGTTCCATCCAATGATTGAAGGGGAATTGGCAAGAATTTGAAAAACGGCCAGAACCTCATTGAAAGGACAGATTCCGAGACTCCGAGTTCGAGGCCCGTACCCACCAAGAGGTGGACCTGCCATCAAGATGTCGGCAGAAGTCGTTGTTGCGTTCGACGGTGTTCGCCGGCCTCTGACAACTCTGACCCTTTTTACAAAATCCCAATTGTTTCCCTTCTGGTCTTACTGTGCCAGTGCATTTCGCTGTTGTGCGCTGCCTACAGCTCCGTCTCTCAGTTCAAGTTTTCGCCAGAGTAACGGGCGGGAGGACTTGTTTCTCTCGTTCCTATCGCAGAAACTGAATTGAACTCTCCCCTACTATTTGTCGACGAAACTCCCACTACCTACAACCTCGAGTCCTGATACACCAGTTCGACTGAATTTGAGTCTCATAACCAGCGACCATGGACTCCGTTCTGCGCCAGTCCAAAGCCATGTGCCCGTTCATGAGGAAGGCCACTGCCGCAGGGCTCCGTGCCATGTCCACGGCGACCCCGGCTGCGACCTCGCCCTGCGGTGGCACCATGTCCAAGCTGCAGGTGCTCGCCCGCCGCTGCCCCGTGATGGGCAAGGCCATGGCCATCCAGTCTGCTCGCCTTGGCCATGCCGGTGGCTTCCCTGGTGTTGCCACCAAGGCCGCCATGTCCACATTCCCGGGCAACAACAAGACTGGCAAGGCCAAGCTGCACACCAGCCGTGCTCAGGAGGCTCAGGCCGTTGATACCCCGGTGCTCGGCGGCCGTGAGAAAGGTCAGTTACTCGGCCTGGTCACGCAAAGTCTTCACGCAGAAACACAGCCGAAGGAGAGCGCCTGCTGACAATACCCGGCTTACAGTCCAGTTACCTCCCGGCATTCCGACCAAGCAGCATGTCAGCGCCTCGAACCCGGCTACCGCCACGCGGTCCAGCGCACCGGTGTCGCAGGGGTCCAAGTTCGACTATGAAGGCTTCTACAATCATGAGCTCGAGAAGAAGCACAAGGACAAGTCGTACCGCTACTTCAACAACATCAATCGCCTGGCCAAGGAGTTCCCCCGCGCTCACATGTCGAGAAAGGACGAGAAGGTAACGGTTTGGTGCGCCAATGACTACCTGGGCATGGGGCGCAATCCGCATGTTCTGAAGACGATGCACGAGACGCTTGATGAGTATGGCGCCGGCGCGGGTGGCACGCGCAACATCTCGGGCCATAACAAGCATGCTGTCGAGCTGGAGGGGACAATTGCCAAACTCCATGCCAAGGAAGCGGCGCTGGTCTTCAGCTCCTGCTATGTGGCCAACGATGCGACTCTGGCTACCCTCGGCAGCAAGATGCCCGATTGCGTCATCCTGTCGGACAGCCTGAACCATGCCTCGATGATACAGGGCATCCGTCACTCAGGCGCGAGAAAGATCATCTTCAAGCATAACGATGTGCAGGATCTCGAGGAGAAGCTGGCGTCGCTGCCGCTTCATGTCCCTAAGATCATCGCGTTCGAATCAGTCTACAGCATGTGCGGTTCCATCGGTCCCATTGAGGAGATTTGCGACCTTGCCGACAAATACGGCGCCATCACCTTCCTAGATGAGGTCCACGCGGTTGGCATGTACGGGCCGCATGGCGCGGGTGTGGCAGAGCACCTCGACTACGAGGCGCATGTCCAAGGACGGCCCCGCGGCACCGTCATGGACCGCATTGACATCATCACCGGCACGTTGGGCAAGGCTTATGGCTGCGTGGGTGGCTATATCGCTGGCAGCGCCAAGCTCGTCGACACGGTGCGCTCTCTCGCGCCGGGCTTCATCTTCACCACCTCTCTCCCACCCGCCGTCATGGCCGGCGCCCGCGCGGCCATTGAATACCAAATGGAGCACCAGGAAGACCGCCGGCTGCAGCAGCTGCACACGCGCGCCGTCAAGGAAGCCCTGCGCGCACGGGACATCCCCGTGATCCCCAACCCGAGCCATATCGTACCCATCCTGGTAGGCGACGCCGAGCTGGCCAAGCAGGCCAGCGACAAGCTGCTCCACGACCACAACATTTACGTGCAGAGCATCAACTACCCGACAGTGCCCGTGGGGCAGGAGCGCCTGCGCATCACGCCCACGCCCGGCCACACCAAGGAGTACCGCGAAGAACTGGTCAACGCCATCGAATCGATCTGGACCGAGCTCGGCATCAAGCGCACCAGCGAGTGGGCGGCCATGGGCGGCTTCATCGGCGTCGGCGAGCCGAATGCCGCCCCCGAAGAGCCGCTCTGGACGGACGAACAGCTGGGCATTGCCGAGGCGGCGAGGACGCTGCTGCAGGCTGCTGAGGCGGAGAAACTCGAGGCTCGCAACGCCGCGTCCGGCTCGCCCGTCGTGATGCCCGGCCTGACAGAGAGGCTTCTGGAGAGGGAGATGAAAGGGCTGAGAAGCGCTAGCGTTTCTGCCTAGGCAGCTTCTCTTTTCGCCCCTGGTCTACTCACTCTTTCTCTTTCATAGAGAAAGAGAGACCTCTCTTTTCTTCTGCCGGTCGGTCGGTCGGTGAACCTGTCCGTCCGGACGCCTGGTTGCTGCTACTTATTTAGGGGAGCTCACCGGACCCGTCTGGCCTGTCGTATCTGTCTCTCCCTAAAGTACCTACTCTGCCTACCACATATTTCTGTGGTTCCCCGAAGACCAAAGACGTATGAAAAACGTTCGTTGGAGCGAGCGAGCAGCACCAATGGGGCATTTTGCTATAGCGTTTGGTGGTTGCATTGTGCCGCATATACGCGGTGTATAACAAACAATTGTTTGAAGCACAAAAAGAATTGAAGAGCGCTGGCGGGCCGTCTCGTGTTGAGAAGTCGATTTGCCATTACCTTTTTTTGGGCGGCGGCATCTTTTACCGCTGCGTGAGCTGAAGCAATATCGTATCCCCTGAATGTGTTGCAGTTCCTCGATGCTCTTGTTGTTCAGGGTTGTTGGCCCCATCCCACTGATCCCAGACCTCCCTGCCGTGCTACTGAGCGGTCGTATCCTTCGGCATCGTCATAACAAGCCAGCTGATTCTCAACAAAACGAAGGATGAAGCACAGCCACCAAGGTTTACGCGTCTCGAAACGACTCGGAAGTTGTGACCGTTCCTATGCCTATCAGCTCTATCCAATCATGAGAGGCCTCGAGCACGAAGCCCCACAGGAACGGAGCCGGAGTTAAGTGAGTTGCTCCGACGGAGCAGGAGCGAGACTGGCTTTCCGTTCCATTTCGTTGATCGGCCCAAACGTGTAAGTCGCCGCAGTTGCACTGGACCAGTGGTTGGTACAGTGTTCCTGGGAGGCTGTACATTGCCGTGCCGTGTAGATAACACGATGTAGCATGCCCTGCATGGAGATGTAAGCGGCATGGCGATGACTCTTCTTGGCTTTGATTTGACTTGCATCCGTACCGGCCGGTGGCTTATGCTTGGAATAGGGATCCTGGTTTCATCCTTCGTGGTTGTCGTCGTGGATGGGATTTTTGAATCTTGATATCCAGGTCAAATGCGGCAGGAACTTTTACTTGACTGCCTTAACTTTTCAGTTAGTGTTTGGGATTGCGTTGACTTGTCTCCTCTGTTCCCTTACGTACCAGGTGTCAGCAAGAGTTGCCACGGCGATCTTGTTTTGGTATACTATCTGCCTCTCTATATTGGCTCCTGCCTAGGACCTCCTCCGTCTTGAATCGTCCGTCTCCGCTTCCGCTCTCCGCTTCTCGGCTGTTCAGCACACCCAGCTTAGCTTGGTACATACAGAGCTGACAAGGTGGTGTCAAGGGCGGCATGGCCACGGCGGGTGTGCCAGTTGCTGCTGCTGGGAGTAAGGGTCTCAAGGGCCCCAGGGCGTGTGCTACTTGTGCGCGGGCGAAGAGCAGGTGTATCTCTGGGCCGGTAGGGCAGGAGAAGTGCGAGCGGTAAGTCTTATACTTGATTATGAGGGGCCCGACGGAGTATCCGGCATTGCGGGCTTATCACCAGGTGCCGTGTCCCAGGGCCGATAGGCACCTTGGCCCCCATAAGCACCCAAAAGATGCATGGTTAGACGCAAGCAAGGCTAACGCAGGTCCGAAGATGCTACCGGTTACGGAAGCCGTGCTCGTCCCAGACGCCGGCGCCGCCGCGCAAACGCAAGGAGCCGAGGCCCACCCGGGTTGCCGAACTGGAGCGGCGCCTCGAGGATCTCACGGCCCGCATCGAGTCCGTCCAGCGGCTGGGCTCCCCGGTGCTCACCCCTCCTGACTCGGATCCTGTCTGTCTTGCACCGCCCTGCCCGCCCGGCGCTTCCGAGGATCGCCTGCCCCCGCGGCACTTCTCCTGTGCGGACGTTCCGCTTCCCACCTTCGGCCGGGACCGCTGGGACTCCCCATTCGGGCACATCTTTCCGGAACGGTCAATCTTTGATGAGGTTCAAGTACAAGCCGAACACCAGCAGCCCACAGCCAACCGCAAGCATGGCGGCACGACCGGAACCACCTCGCCCTCCGCACCCCCTGGACTATTATCGGCGCAGACGACGACAGCCGACTCCAACAGAAGCTCTTCTCCTTACCTCCATCAACCATCAGGACTGCCGGAACAGAAGGAGATCCCTCCGTGGCCTCACGGAGACGAGGCCGAGGTCATGCTGGACGAGTATCGGAACAACATGGGCCATCTGTTCCCGTTCGCGGTGGTGCCGCCGCATCTGTCATCGGCCCGGATGCGAGAACAAAGGCCCTTCTTTTGGAAGGCAGTCATGATGACGGGCTGTCTGTTTGACGGGCCGCGGCAGGTTGCGCTGGGGAATGAGCTGTTGAGGGAAATCTCCGAGGCGGCCTTCATGAAACCACAGAAGACTCTCGATCTGCTGCAGGGGCTGCAAATGCTGATGGCTTGGTACCATTACAACCTCAACAGCTTCCAGATGGTCAACCTCCTGTTCCTGGCTCGCTCGATCACGACCAGCCTGAGGACCACAGAGCTCAAGACGCTGGCAGACGGGAAATATGCGACCGAGTCCCTGGAGCATATGCGTGCGTTTGCCGGGACGTACTACATGGTGACCATGTAAAGTGCCCCTGCTCTTCCTCGACTCTTGACGGACACCGGAACGCCCCCGAACTAACCAGCTCTCTCTCTCTCCCTCTCAGAACGTTCACTACCAACAAGAAACCAGAGGCTCTCATGAACACGTCGTACCTCGCCACATGTTGCCGGGCCCTCCACGGCCAGATGGAATACCCCACCGACGAGCTCGTTGTCCACCTCGTCCGTGCACAGCAGCTGTGCCAAAGCATCTCACAAGCACTTAGTGCCCGGCGCACCGCCCAGCCCGCGCCCGGCGAGAGCCAAATCCCGCAGACGGCTATCATTCACGGCTTGCTGGAGCGTATCCGAGCGTTTGCCGCCACCCTCCCGCCACATCTCAGGACCAACGGTACGCCCGATGAGCGAGACCTTTCTCGCCAGCCGCGATTGTACCCCCTCTGCTGACATGTGTGTAACGAAAAAAACAAACAGTGTCCCTAGTAGGCCACCTCCACGTCGCCGAGGTTCTCATCTACGGGAACAGCTTGTCGGAGCTTCTGTGCAGTCCCTTTCAAATTGCATCCCCGCACGGGCACGGCGAGCAGGATCCGCTGGTGGTCGGATCGTCGACGACGGCTGGTGGGCAAGACCCAGGCCCCGAGCACATTGAGATGCTGTGGAAGTGCGCCCGTGCCGTGCAGGCCTTCATGTCGAACCGCTTCTCCACCGAGAAGGGCGACTACCCGCGCTTCATATGCCTGTCCTCGTTCGACATGGCCTATGTCCTTCTGACCATGCTCAAGCTAGCGACCCTGCAGGTTCCCGGGTGGGACTCGGCAAGCGCGAGAGAAGAGATGCGCTTTGATTGTAAGGAAGCAATCCCTTACCTACCTTACCTTATCTACCCAATCTGCCATGCATGTGCCATGAAAGGTGTCAGAAAAGCTGATGCGGTCCCGCCGCTGGTTGTGTTCAGACGTCATAGGTCAGCTGATAGAGGATATGGAGTTCACGGCCGAGAGGCGAAAGAGAAAGAGGAAAGGAGGCATCGCCGGCATCCAGCAGAGCAACAACAACAACAACCGCAGCAGCCCCGTGCACGGCGGATTAAGCGGAACGGAGGATCCATGGAGCAAGCTGGCACGGAAACTTCGCACCGTGAGGGACCATCTCCTTGTAAGTTGACTCCTCTCTGAGAAAAGGGGGGGGGAAAAAAGGAGGGGGGAGGAGGGGGAAATAGGGTCCGCCTTCTTTACTGGACGGAGACATTAACAACTAATCTAACACGTCCGGGAACAGACCAACGGCTTCGGCAACGACTTCACCAGCTCGCAGATAGCGCGGGTCTGTGATCCGGCGCCCATGACGTTGGCCGACGCCACGCAGGACCTGATGCAGGATCTCGGCGCCGGCCTGTGGCAGGACGTCACGAGCGGCCTGTCCGCCGAATGGAGTTCGGTCTTGGCCGGCGACCCGGTCGACTGGGCGACCTTTTTCGGTAACTACAACAGCATGACCGACTCGGGGTTTGCAATGTGAAAAAAAGAGAAAGAAAAGAAGAGAGAAAACGTGGAAGAAGCGGACTTGCAAAAAAGGGAATGAATGAGCCTACTACGGGCGTTCCGGATTGGCTAACAAGGGCGTGTCAGTTGTGGCGTTGTCGGATTTGGGGTTAATAAAGAGGGACGGGATTATTAGGAATCTAGAAGCGTTCAGGGGCAGGCAGGCGCATTCTCACATTTGGTCTTGGATTTGAATCGTTGGGCCCTTGCGCCCCTTTTTTCGAGTTAACTACAGGTACCTACCTACCTAAAGCTTCTGCCTCACCATGAGCTCTAACCGTAAAGGGGCAGCCTGAGGACTGACTTAGAGGCCGATGTTCGGCGCAACCTGTACGCTCGAAATATTACGGCTCTCGATAACGAAGAGCCTCCGGGTGTCGAAGTGTTCGGGGGTTCTCTGGGCATTGAATCGTCCATTCGTCCGGAACCTCGTGTCCTGTGGTGTTTTGAATTTGCTGTGTGTGGCATGATGTTTTGGGGAATCTCCTGGGATGCAAGTGGCGTTTGCCGAACACCATGTCCGTTGTCCACACCCCACTGGTTTTCGTACGCTGTTATCATGTTGATTACTGCCTGGAAGTTTGAAAACGGGGGGTGCCGGTGAAATACATCATTACCCTGACCAGGGAAGGTATGCGTAACAATAAAAGGTTTACCGTCAGTATCGTAGGCTCAGTGATTTGTTACACCCTTCTGTCGTGACCCAGGGGAAGAATATATGAAATTACCTACCTAACCAGACATACACGTGTATGAGCCATATGTGTGTACCATACATACCTTACCTACATGACCGTGTATGTCATTCAGTTTTACGGTGAATGTCATTGTCTTCCCAAAGCTGGAAAGAAAAGGATGATTCGGCCTTTGCAAGTGACGACAAGCTCCCCCACAGCGGCAGCCGAAAAAAGTCAACTTTTGAACCCCTCCCCCGCAGCCACTCAACTGTTCAGCGTCCGACTGCTTCACATAGCAGAAGACAAGTGAAATTGATACGCCAAAATCAGACGGGCAAGATGTCGAGCTACGACAAGTACCAGGCAAGCTCTCGCCCGACCACCTAACCATTTCTCTTTCTTGCCTCTCGCAGATGGCTAACCAGAACTTTAAATTAAAACTAAGTTAGACACCCCTCAGCACGAGGTATGCCTCGCAGGAGATGATGACCATCTTCTCGGCCCGCGAGCGCGCCAGCACCTGGCGTCAGCTCTGGGTCTGGCTTGCCGAGGCTGAAAAGGAGCTGGGACTCCCCATCCCGGACGAGGCTCTGGACCAGATGCGTGCGAACGTGGTGGTATCCGACAAGGCTTTTGCCTCTGCTCGGGACTACGAGGCCAAGTTTCGGGTATATATGCCCTATCTATTATTACTTCCCTCTCTCTCTCTTCGTTGAGAAATGAATGAAAGTGAAAGCAAAAGTGGGCTGACAGACTTGTGCACAGCACGACGTCATGGCCCATGTCCATGCCTATGGCGAAGTATGATGCGATTTTCCAAAATATGGACGCCTGAAGGAAGGCCGTTTGGCCGTGACAGTAGTTACCGTTCCCGGGCTGACTGGACCGTGATTTCAGGATGCCCCTGCTGCCGCTGGCCACATCCACCTCGGTGTAAGTGACAGTTCAGGCTACTATGCCCACGTCTCCCTGGCTGCGGGATCAGATATCTGGCCCAACACCTTTTGGTATTCAAGACAATTGGTTGCGATGAGTACCTAACTTGCCACAGGCTACTAGCTGCTATGGTAAGTCCGCTGGTTCTTTCTCTCCTGGCACAGACCGCTCTCCTTCGTCTGCTGGATGTGTCAATCATGCTAACACCCCTCGCAGTCACCGACAATGCCGACCTGATCTTCCAGCAGCGTGCCCTGGATCTCATCCTTCCCAAGCTCGCCAAGGTCATCAAGAATCTGCAAGAATTCGCGCTCAAGTATAAGGACATGCCGACCCTGGGCTTCACGCACTACCAGCCGGTAAGCAGCGAACCTGACTCGGTATCTACCTACTTACCCATACTAAGATCCCTCTCAGGCCCAGCTCATCACTGTGGGTACGGATCGCATATCCTCTCTGTCCCGCGAGTCTTGCTATGGTATACTAATCTACTCCCAGGCAAGCGTGCTGCGCAGTGGATTCAGGAGCTCATGATGGACCTGGAGGACATCGAGACGGTCCGCGAGAGGCTCCAGTTCAGGGGCGCCCAGGGCACCACTGGCTCGCAAGCGACCTTCCTCGAACTGTTCAACGGCGATGCCGAGAAGATCACGAAGCTTAACGAGGTGAGTGACCTATCTGCGCCATTGTCTCTGTGCCCTGCTGGCTTACACCACCCCTAGATCCTCTGCAAGAAGGCGGGGTTCCCATCCACCTACGCCATTTCCACTCAGACTTACACCAGAAAGGTGAGCCTACTGCTTTCCCCGCGCTGATTCATCTATTAATCGTTTAAAAGGTCGACCTCCGGGTTGCCAATGCCGTCTGCGCCCTCGGCGCCACGGCCGAGCGGATCTGCTCGGATATCCGCCACCTGGCCAACCTGAAGGAGATGGAGGAGCCGTTCGAGAAGAGCCAGATTGTGAGAAGTCACTCCCTAAATCCCACTGGATCATTTACTAACGTTTCCTAGGGAAGCTCAGCCATGGCCTACAAGGTGAGAGAGGGCCTGCCCTCCCTGCTATCCGCTTAGACAGTCCCTGACAAGATTTCAGAGAAACCCCATGAGGTCTGAACGCATCACCGCCCTTGGCCGCAAGCTCGCCCGTCTGCCGGCCAACTTCACCGCCACGTTTGAGACGCAGTGGTTTGAGAGGACGTGAGTCTCGATCCAATTGGCCCCCGTGGACGGTCCTAGTATGCTGACATATATATACCACAGACTCGATGACAGTGAGTTCACTTGATAATGCCTTTCCCCATGATGCGAATGTCTACCCACTGACCGGCACAGGCGCCATCCGCCGGATGGACATTCCCGAGATGGTAATAGATCCCTCCGCCCGTCCGCCTCAAGTGCCATGCTAAAACGCCTTCAGTTCCTGCTTGCCGACTCCATCCTCCTGGCACTCGACAACGTCACAAACGGTCTCGTCATCTACCCGAGCGTTATCCGGTCCCGCATCGACCAGGAGCTTCCGTTCAGTACGTCGTTGACAGAAATCCCTTGTCCCTTGTCTGTGGCCGTTCCAAGACTGACATACCCTGTCTACCTACCAGTGGCCACCGAGTCCATCCTGATGAAGCTTGCCGCCCATGGGGTCTCCCGCCAAGACGCCCACGAGGAGATCCGTGTCCTGGTATGTTCTGAAAAAAGGCTCTGCTGAATCTTGTGGGAAACGCACTCTCTGACAAAGATGGCAGTCACACCAAGCTAGCGATGTCGTGAAACAGCAGGGCGGTCGCAACGATTTGCTCGAGCGCATCAAGAGAACCGAGTTCTTCAAGGTGAGCCCGATTTGACTTTATGTGGTGGACGGAGATTTGCGGGGCAGGGCAGCTAAAACTCAAGCCTTTGCAGCCCGTTTGGAACGACATCGACAGCCTTGTCGACCCCAAGCTGTTCATCGGCAACTGCCCCAAGATCGTCGAGGACTACTGCAACGGAGAGGTTGCGAAGAAGCTGGCGAAATACAAAGAAGTCCTGGACAAGGCGTCGACAGCACAGCTCTCCATCTGAGGCGGGAGATATTCTGAATATCTTTTTTGTTTGGGTTCGATTTGGGGACAAAATGCGGTGTATCAGATGTCATGAGGGGTCATTAAAGAAAGAAAAAAGGTCCTGTTGAGAGCACCGAAGACTCGAGTCCAGCAGCTCGAGCTCAAGCCGAGAGAGTAGGGCGGGATTGGTAGATGGGACCATAGAATGGAATCGGTGATGAACAAGCGTGGGAAAAAAACCTCATAAGAACGTTTGCCCTCTCGGGACTTCGAGACTAGATTGTGCGTTTTGGAGGGTAAATATTAAGACCCATTGCTAAGAGGCGTCGTTGGGGAGGGTCTACCTACCCAGATATCAGAGGGTCCATCCTTACAAGCAGATGGCAGCCAGAATCTGGGGTAGGATGGGGAAGACGATGATTTACCCCACAGATTTAATTCCGAGGGATGTTGCATGGTCAGCTACCAGGAAATCACCCGCATGCCACGTCGGGTATTTCTTGAGTCGACTTTTCCCCCTTCTCACGAGTCCCTTAGAAAGCTCGAGTATTTACTCGCCGCAGGTTGAGGACGATGAACGAACCTACCCCAACATCAAAGGAATCGGCATCTGGAGGTCATGCTATTTGAAGTTACTGTTGCCTATCCCTTTCGTTAGCTGGGTATAGTATACGTGACTCCCGCTTGGCTTGGCACCCCCGGTATGGACGAAGGAAAACATGTATCCGCGACGGACGCCACGCTGACATCGGACGGGACTATCTCCGGGTTGGTGGCTGCGAGATCCATCGCCACCTTCTTCATCTTGCCTGCGGGAGGAAAGCAGGGATGAGGAGGCTTTTTGGCGAAAGGCGACATCGACATCGCGGTGAAGCCTGGATATCGAAGTGGTATTAGCTCTTGGTTGCTTGCCCTCTTAGATATTTTACCTTTCTTCTGCTTGATGATACATACCTACGTAGGTATTCCTCTTGGGGGGTAACCGGAGTGACCCGCGACCGAAGTGAACTCGAACACTGGCCGTGTCGACTCTTCTACCAAGGACACGGGCCAGCGTTTCATTTCAATCAGCGTCTCGCTGACGGTGAGGGGGTCTTGACAGAGAGGTCTAAGAGATCCCCAAACCCAACGAACCAGAAGATCCCACAGCAGCAAATCGGGGTGACTGCTAGGATACAGTGAAGCTCTTGACCTGCCAAGTCTGCCGAAATGCTTCGTTGACGGCCGCAAGCCAGCTCGCCATGCGAGAGTTCGCACCGGTCTGCGCAGCAGCACCGCCGTAGACGGACTGCCCCGTACGGTCACACCTCAATGGCCGAGGTACATAATGTATGGTGAGCGTCCCAGCCCTGGTATATCGTATACTGCCAAGCATCTCCTGCAGAATCACGAAGCGGAAGATAACCGCCTTGGAATTGCCCCCATGCCCGAGGTAGAGAATATCAAGCGGCTCCGGGAAGAGGAGAGAGTAGTCGGCGCCGCGGGCCGCCATCACGTTCACAGTAGACACCGTTCCCTCGCCCATCAGTTGCCTGGGGAGAAAAGCCACCTCAAACTCGGAGCGGCTGCGTATTCGACACCGAGAGGATGCACCGGTGACCCTGAGTGACTGGGAGAAATTGGTGTAATCGACGCCGTTGGCGATGTGAGCGACATACTCGGCCAAAGACATCTCATTCTCGGGAAGCGGCATGCGCCGGAAGACACGCACAGAAAGAGGCAGAGGCTCAACGGAGTAGCAGTACTTAGGGGCCCAGGGCACGACGAGGCTGGAGACATACCTCCAGCCAGCCCAGCTCCACGAAGGCATTCCCGGTCGACGCTCCGCTGCCTCTGATGGGTCACTAGTCCAGCCCAAGGCCATGGCAAAATTCCTCTCCACGTTCCCGCGGGCGCTGTCTGCGAGAAACGGAACGCCCCAGAGGTGGTAGACCTGCCTGGCCTGGTATAGCTGAAAGATGCCCAGAACGGCGTTGAGCGCATCCGAGTCGAACGTTAGCTGGCGCGGGGCATATTCACGCAGCCTGTCCACAATGTCGTCGGCGTGCTGGCCGATGACACCTTCGGGGAAGACGCGGTATAAGGGGACTTGTCGTCCGGTGCTGTTGGACGGCATGGAGAGCCACTCCCAACAGTATGTCTTCGTGCATTGGAAGTAGACCTGGGAATGGGTGAATACCAGCCGCCGTCTCGAAAGCAAGCCCTCCTGATAGGTCCAGGCTCGCGTTGACCACTTTGACCGTCGCACGTCTTGAGTGGCATCTGGAAAGGCAAGAAGACGGCGGCCGCCAAGCACGATGGAGGCTTGTTGGTGCCGTCGATCCCTTGACACGCCCGGGAGGCCATAGCGGGCATCGTCGCCGGCGGCGGCGACGATAGTGAGTGTCGCGCCACTGTAGATCCTATCCATGTGCCTGATGAGGTGATGCTTCTCGACGGTGTCGGCTTGATTGATGCAATACTGGTCCACCCAGAGGTATGGGATCCCGATTTCCCTTGCAACAATCATGGCGTCCTCAACCACCTGTGGTACGTTGCTGGATAGGGGATCGTCTGGCTGGCGTGGTTGGGTGACGGCGTCACTTGCTGTTTGACCCCAGATATAGCTGAGTGCGACGTAACTGCGGTGGTGTGGGACGGTGACGATCTTGCGTGTCTGGCAGTCGATGACCTTCAGACCGGCCAGGTGATCGGCAAATGCCCCTGAACAGGAAGGCTTGTGGTTTTGAAAGCAATCATGCAGCCACTGGCGAAGCAAGCTAGTGTCAACGCGGTGGCTATCGATGGCCCGCGCGGCAATGCGTGGCCGTCCTCCGTGCTGGCGATGGTCGGAGTCGCACTCGGGAATGAGCAACGTGATGGGATAGCAGGGAAGCTGGAGAACCGTAGTGTCTGCGACATCATCGCTCTTGAAGAAGGTCTGCGCGGAGTGGGCGGCAATCTTCGGATCCCAGTCTACTCCGTTGTGGGTCGCGATGATCTGACAGAGCCGGCATGGTGAATCTGCCCGTATGCCGTGCCACCAGTCGACGTCCCAGGTATATGGTCTCAGCCTGCCTTTGGCCCGGGTATCGATGGGCAACTTTCGCCCAGCGAGCTTCAGCTTAACCACGGAATGGAGATTGAGGGATCGACAGCCGCTGCAGAGAAAGCTGTCCGTCATCCCATTCACGCTTTCATTGCATCTTGGCTGGGACTCGATACTCTCGGTTTCAGTGGCATCGAGAACCTGGGTCGCGAACTCCATCTGAGACAACCCTTGATTGTATTGTACAGTACCTTGGGCATGCGGTAGTGTGAATGAGCTGATGCGGCTGTTTGGTTTGTATTTTAGGAGAAAGCTCAGAGCAGTGTGCCCAACTGGGGGGATCCAACTTCTCAGCAGGTTTCCCCCCGTCGACGCGATGATGATTGGCTGCGTCCCATTCGCCTATGCGAAGCAGACATCTTCCCCAGCCGGCAAATGTGAAGTTTGAATATTTTGAAACATAGAGCCTAAGTTACTAGGCTTGGGTCTCTGACTTGGTCTTGATTCCTGATGTGTCCACGTCAGAAGGGTGCGGAATCAGATGAAGCGGTTGACGCCCGGCCGATCTCATTCGGGGCCCACCAATGCCGATTTGATGGCCCACCAAGCCCCACTTCTCCGGTCCCGGATCCTCTTCCCATGATCGGTCTCATCCGTTTACGGTGGTACGATGCTGCCCGTTTCGACTTAACCTTGTGATTCTAAATTCCCAATGCGTCACAGACTCAAAATGGGGAAACCAAAAGTAGACTACTCGCTGTATCTTGTCACTGACTCGACCCCGGCCATTCTCGGCAACAGGCAGCTCGCCCATGTCGTCGAGGAGGCATTAAGGGGCGGGGTCACGGTCGTGCAGCTCCGCGAGAAGACGGCCGACACAGCAGACATGATATCGACCGCAAGGGAGCTTCATGGAATTACCCAAAAGTACAATGTGCCGCTGCTCATCAATGACCGCGTCGACGTGGCCCTGGCCGTGGGCTGCGAGGGCGTCCACATCGGTCAGGACGACATGGGCAAGTGAGCCTTTTATTACTGCTCACTGACTCTGCGAAGCTAACTGGTCCCCGCAGAGTTGTCGGCTGCGAGGAAGCTACTGGGTCCAGACGCCATCATAGGTGTCACAGTTAGCACCGTTGAACAGGCTCTCCGGGCGTGCAAGGGAGGCGCCGACTATCTCGGCATCGGAACCGTTTATGCCACACCAACGTAAGCGCTTCGGTTGGTCCCAAGGAAGTGTCCTAGTAAAATCTGACACTGTACGCAGCAAGACGAACACCAAGGATATTATTGGCACGGCTGGTGTGCGCGAGATACTCGGGAAAATTGCCGAGACCGGGTTCGACATACCAACCGTGTGCATAGGCGGCATCAACGGGTCCAATCTGCAGCGCATCATCTTCCAGAGTGGAGCGGCGAAGAAAGGCCTAGACGGTGTGGCGCTGGTCAGCGCTATCATGGCAGCCCCGGATCCCGAAGGCGCCGCCAGAGAGCTCCTTGGGCTGGTCAAGAGTCCGCCAGCCTTTGGCGTCGATATGGGCCAGCCAGTTGTCGTGCAAGAACAGGTTGCTCAGGCGCCGTCCATCATCCGGGCAGTTCACGACGCCACGCCGCTTTCTCATAACATGACCAACATCGTAGGTGTCTTTCGGCCAGTTAGGATCTGCCGCAGCATGTCCCTAACGTAGAACAGGTCGTACAAAACTTCGCGGCAAACGTGGCCCTGGCCATTGGCGCGTCCCCCATCATGGCTGGATATGGAGAAGAGGCCCCTGATCTGTGCAAGCTTGGGGGAGCCCTGGTCATCAACATGGGCTCGGTAGACCCTGCTGGGTTGGCGAATTACTTGAAAGCACTCAGGGCTTACAACCAGGCCGGGCGGCCAGTCGTGTTCGATCCCGTTGGGTATGGATTCCCGACTCTCTTACTTCGGAGTAAGGTGCTGACAGCCACAGTGCCGGTGCTACCTCCATCAGACGCGACGCCGTGAAGACGATCATGGCCAATGGCTATCTCGACGTCATCAAAGGCAACGAAGGCGAGATCAGAACCGTATTTGGTGATAGCCAGGCGCAGCAGCGGGGCGTTGACAGCTCAAGCACGCTAGACGAGTCAGAAAAGGCTAGGTTGGTGCTGGCACTCGCAGCGCGGGAGAAGAATGTGGTTGTTATGACGGGCAAAACCGACTTTGTCAGTGACGGGCAGTTTGTTTTCGCCATCGACAACGGCCATGAGTATCTCGGCTTGGTGACGGGAACAGGCTGCACATTGGGCACGGCCATCTCGGCTGCTATCGCATCGCGCAAGGCGGACAGGCTCACGGCGGTAATTGCCGCTACCCTTCACTTCGAGATTGCTGCAGAGCTCGCGGCAGAGCGGCCCGAGGTTAGGGGGCCGGGCACCTTCCTCCCGGCCTTTTTGGACGAGCTGTATCGCATTCGTCAGGCAACGGCAAGCAATGAGCTGTCTTGGCTGCGGAGGGCTAAAGTTAGGACCGTCGACTTCCCCGAGGACTACCCCTGAGTCTGAGACCCCTGAGTCTGAGAAACCGATAACCATTGACCACATTCATCCCGGGTCATAGAAAAGGAACCGCCTTGGGCCCTCTACGTCGTAGACCGATAGTCGAATATCCGCTTGAGCACCATTATCGACTTGCCGTGTGGGTGTCTAGCTCCTTTTCCATGGACGAGACCCTCTTGCCTTATCAGGTACCCTAGTCTCACGAGGCCAAATCCAGCAGCAGCTTGAACATGTTGCTCATAGATTGCGATTCGAAGGAAGACAGCGCATTGTCGTGGATGGATCTGTGCCCAGTATTTGACTCGGCGATTCGCAGCCCAGGACTTTGTAGCTGATTACCTATGCTCCAGCAGCCTCCCCCGTGAACCCTGTTGTCGCTGGAACCGTTCCAGGTTCCCCACGAGTCCACATCCCGAGACCCGAAAGCTCGGCTTCCATGCCGGTGGGAATGCGGGGTACAGTCGGCTTATTCCCCGGCTGCCGCCGATCCGCTTGCCCGCCACAACATCTCCTGCCTTGAGAGAAGAGTTAGACTCGAGATCCAAGCTACTGTGAGAAGTCGCCTCATCAGAACATTATCCCCGGACGAACAGTCAAACTTGCTCTTTTGAGGGAATACTACTGGATCCAACACTATCCATCCCCATTCTTCACATCCGACGGAAACGTTTATATTGTCCGTCATGGCTGCCCCTACCCCTGAGCGCCGGTTGAGTAGGGGCTTCCCCGTTATCCCACCTGTACACACTCACTCAGTCGCTAACACCAAGACATCACAGAGAACCCAGCTATCTTGTGAGCCTTCACTCTGCCCTCACTTCTCAGCACTCAGATATGGCCATATATATATATATTCAAGTAACATGTTTTTCCTTAACTAACCCTTTTACCTACGCAACCATAAAAAAAGCATATGCGACATACAAGAGAAATTCCGCCCCGCCATCTTCGAATTCGACAAGGTGATCCTCACGGCGCGCAAGCTGCTCCGCGCCGCCACCGACCTGCAGATCCCCGTCTTCGTGACGACGCAGAACCGCGCCCGCCTGGGCGACACCGTCGCGGAGCTGCAAGACCTCCTCGCCGCGGCGGGACCCCTCGTCAAGGCCGACGTCGACAAGACCCGCTTCAGCATGTGGCTGCCCGAAGTCGCGTCCCACCCGCATTTCACTTCGTCTTCGTCGCCGAACACAAGCAGCAGCAGCAGCGAGGTGGCGATCGTGGGGATCGAGTCGCACATCTGCGTCACCCAGACGGCACTGGACCTGCTGCAGGCGGGCCACCGGGTGTATGTGTTGGCCGACGGGGTCAGCAGCTCCAACCGGGAGGAGGTCGGGGTCGCGCTGGCGCGGCTGCGGCAGGCCGGCGCCGTGGTCACGACGAGCGAGAGCTGGATCTACGAGTGCATGGGCGACGCCGGGATTCCGGAGTTCAGGGGGATGGTGAAGGTTGTGAAGGAGACCATGGGGGATACGAGGGCTGCGCTGCAGGCTTTGTTGGGGAGTAAGATTTAAGTGGGAGATACCAGGTTAACCGAGGCGACGGATCATTCCTACCTAGGCAGAGACGGCAAGCATGAGCGAAATTATGGCTAAAGCTTTGAGCCCTTCGTTGGTTTTGTTTTTGGCTATTTTGTAAAAGCTTCTGCAATGCCGCCGCCTGTTTCATCCCAGGCTGGCGTGTTGAAAACCAAAAGTCACTTTCATCTGCGGCTCAAAATCGAGCCACGCATCGCATCAATATTGCAAATCAACTTCCGCCGCAACTAGTCGGTAGCAGTTGTCGGCGGGCTCGGCTTAGCAATCCAGGAAAACGCAGACGCGCTCCCGAGAGGGTTATTTGCCGTTCGTGCGGCTGACGGCCCCTTCCCGGTCTCCTGACCGCTCGGCGATTTCGCTTCCCCGAAGCTGCTTGCCGCAGAGCCACTCAGGCTACGCTTCGAACCGCCCCAGCTGATCGCCGTTGTGCCGCCATTACGTCTCTGTTCGGTGCTAGACCGTGACGTCGGCGCCGGCTCATATGTCGCACTGGTCTTCATAGATGAACTGCTCGACCTGTTCGGCTTCAGCACTTTCATGCTGCGAGGCCGCGCAGCTGGCTGATATCCACTCAACGGTGTGCTGCTATCCCCGAGCCCTGCCGTGGCCCTCTGCCGCCACGGCGTTTGGATGGCTGCGCCGGGATCCCGACGGTTAGCTTCCGTTGCTCCCGTACCTTCTTTCCCATTTAATTGCGGTGCAGCCGACTCGGCCGACTGCTTCGCGCTCTCTCCCGCGCTTTCGGGTGTCGCACCGGTGATGGATTGTTTGGCAGGCTGAGCCGAAGGCGCCCGAGGTGATACTGCCGCCTCAGAGTTGCTGTCCATGGACATCGACCGGGAGCTACCTTGGTCTTTGGCATCCTGTACGGATCCTTTTGCTGACTTGTCGCTGGCAACGAACTCAGGGGCAGCAGCGTTCAGTTTGTGCTTACTCGGCACCACGTTGGCCGTAGTTATATGCTTGAAAACTGCGTCATCCTCCGGTCGCACAAAAGGGATGGCAAGCTTATCGCGGTCGCTTCCATACAAGGTCATCAGATTCCGCGAAAGCAAGATATCGGCGCCATGCATGCGTAACGTGTGGCTGCCGATGAAGACGCGGATGGCCTTCTTCGATTCAGGCGACTCCGGCTGTGCCATGCCCGTCACTTCGAAGGACGCCGTGATATTGGGAAGATGCGGGCCCGGACTCGCGGCCCGAGAGTTTGCCTGCGTAACACGTGCCTCGGCCAAAAACACAGGCAGGGTGATCCTGTGAGCACCGTCTATGTCCCTGTGGATATTGTTGACTAAATCGAGCTCTTTGAGTAGCGTGTAGTCGACGGTCGACTTTTGGGACCCGGTGCACACCACGGCATACAGAAGCCCGTCGGATGTGAAGGTCGGGGTCAGCCAGCAGCGGATGATGGAGGGGGGTGAGCCAAGAATGTATAACATGGGAGGCCGCTCCGGCATCTCCAGGCCCGACTCATCCTCGTCGCCGCCAATCGCGAAATTAGTGTCTAGCCCCAGGCTGCTGGTGCGCCCTGATATCCCCGAGTGCATCGAATGGACTGAGTGCCCTGCCGAGCTGTGTCTCCCGTCTGACCTGTGTGAGTATGAGCGCTCCATCATCTGGTGACCTCCCATGCCGCTTCCAGGGCGGATGATCCCAAAGTCACCAGACTGGCGGCCGCCATGGCCGCTGTTGTTGGCACCGTGCAATGCACTTTCATCGAACCGAACGCTGTTGGCCCGCGAGGCTGCTCCCCGTCGTATCGGCTCATCCTCCGTTTCGAGCTGGAGCGACCCAAGAAGGTTCTGGGCTTCGTCTTCGAAATCACTGATCAACTCGCCGGAGACTACCGGTCCTGTGGCACGATTAGTAAGTCCGTAGAGGAACGAGTTGCATTGCTGGGGATAGGAGGTGCGCTGACCGTGTTGAGGAGTCCCCCCTAGCGCACTGGGAAAGGGGGAGTTCCAGACGGACCTCAAGGCGGCATCATCAGCCTGGCGTTTCTCCAGCGACCGTAGTCTTTCCCCGTGGAGGTGCTGAACATGCTGAATGCGCCTCAACTCCATCTGAACATCGTAGAACTCTTCACGGCTGACGGCGAAGATCGGATCCATGCCCGAAAACCGAAAGCCGAGTATAAAAAATATAATTCAGGACGACGTGGCCGAGGAGGGCGCGAGCGAGGTTGTATGGTTCGAAACGAAAACGGATAAAGGCCTCGTGGGGATGATTATGTCTGACTTCATCAGACTCCCAGGCCCGAGGGGCCGCTCGCGTTCTGTTCCCGACCTCGATCCTTGATACCATCAATTCTCGAGGTCTGCCGCCCCCCTCATCGCCCGCAAAGACCCCCACAGGTCTCCACGATTTCTCGTCGCCCCCAGTGTATTCGATGCGCCTGCGGATGCGTGCACGGTCCTAAATGCAAGCTTAGATAGGCCGTGAAGAAGTTCAGCGACTTGCCGTAAACGAGGGTGGTCGGTCGGATAGCTTTTCTGTCGGAAGTCGTTGCCAGTTGATGACGTTGGTAGAAATCGACACCAAATATGGCGATGGTCGCCCTGCTGTTCGTCAAGCAGGGATAAAATGACCAGTGCGATGGGCGTGAGGACGTGATCGGTGCAAAACGCAGGTAGATGCAGATAGGCAAGGACCCGCCGACCAGGGAGCTAACGAATGCAGATGGAACAGCAGCAGGTGTGCTCAGCCGATGGAGTATCCGTATCGCGAGGAACGCGGGGTTCTTGACTAAGGCAGCAAGGCACCGATTAATCGGGGTCCGTCCAGTTCAAGATCGCAGGTCGGCAGCGGAAAGCTGATGGTTGCGGGTGGGGGGGAGGAGGGTGGCTCCAGAAAGGAAGGTTGCTGAGGTTTGAAATGGCCGGACGCGATACGTCTGGGCGTACGTGTATTAGATGGAGTAGTATATACTTCGTAGTTCGTGGGCGTTGCAAATGAAACGCGGAGGTGAAGATCCCTTTGCTTCGCCGGGGTTTCTATTCTCTCAGGTTTTTCTGTCTTGATGTTGGGAATCAGCGGGACTGGTTTGTTGGAGAAGTTGTTCAAGGTTTCTTCAAGCAAGCGAATGAATGCCCAGTGAGAATGCAGCGGCCGTCCGGTCCATCGTCCGCATGACGGATTGACGTTTGGCGAACTTACTTGCTGACTAAGCCATTGTTACCTCATACAGTATCGACAACACAGTACTGTACCAGGTATCCTGAATTCGCTACCCTTCTGCTTGCGCCGGTGCTTCTTGCCAGATTCAAGACAGCGCGGCAAGATTTTCCATATAGGCAGCGAGCTTGTGGTTTGAATTCCCCATCAAATATGTCTACATGGAACTGTTACTTCGCATATGCCACAGAATCAGCCTCTTCATGGGTACGATTCCGGAGGCACACCACGTGCAGGTCGTACTGTGCCAGTGCGGGTGCACAGTGCCCACCTTCCGGGTGCGCGTCACTTTCCGAACTCATCGCAGAGACTTCCCCTTGAGGTGGGCGTCTTCCTCCAGCCATGGTGCGTCAGGCCATTCAGGCATCACATAACCAACCTTGTCCTGCTCCGGCGTGGCTGCCCACTCTGCACCGACGTGAGGCTGCACGAGGTCGTAAAGGATGCGGTACGATTCTGCGCTCAGGTGCAGCCCGTCGGGGAGGAGGTGCTCAAGGTAGCCACGAACACCGCCTTCCGGATCACCGAGCGCTGGCCCGTGTGGATCGAAGTCCGGGGTCATTTCGATGGCTCTGTCCATGAGAGCCTTGTGCAAGTCTATCAGCGTGACACCCGGGTTCTCGGCTGCCACCTGCCGGGCGGCTTCCGAGTACGCCGCGCTGACTTTGGTTTGCCGTAACGCCTCAGGATGCCCTTTGGCCACGTCGATTTCCTTCACGTGGATTCCATCCAGCGGCGGCGGCGTGATGAGGAAGATCTTGGGATTGTGCGCCGCGATGTTTGGATGCTGGACGATGCGCTTGAGGTTCGCCTTGTACTTCTCGAGGGGCACATGCTGGAAGTTTGTGGGCACCTGGATGCAGGCGTCATTGGCACCGAACAGGACGAACTGATGACGAGGTCAACGCCAGGTTCAGGGATTTGCCCGATTCAGCCAGAAGCAGCTCACAAGATACTTGATGTTGGGTACGCCTGGGCCTGGCGGCGCAAAGATCTGCGGCAAGATACTCAGGGCATTGGATGTGTTGTAGCCCGAGAATCCACGGTTGACAACATCGAGCCTTCGGATGACCTCTGCCATGATTGCGTCAGCGCCGGAGGGTTTCGGCGTAACAGACAAACGAGTTGGAACACTAACGAGCTTGTAGGGCAGCCTGGAATGAAAAGCCGTCTGAAACGTCGGCAGTGTTCTGGAAGAGGGAATCCCCAAACAAGACAAGTTGAGGATAGGGGAGCTTCAGCGGGGTAATACGGTTGTCCTCGTCGTCAACTCATTTTTCTTACATGGACAAATTAGGGTGGGCGACCTACCGCCATGGCTGGTTCTAGCTGTTCGGAATTATCATGAGATTTGCCGCCGAGCTTAGAGTTTTGGCGGAAGATCTAGCAGGGAGACTGGACACCCGGGCTCTTCCTTCCTCTAAATAGTACCTACCTAACTCTCACCGGTCTGCGGAAGGCCCATTTCCCTGGGCCCGCCCACCGCCAGAGAGCCCCGCAAACGGGCCTCTGCAGTCGGGGACTTCTGGAGCTACTGTGCACAACAGAAGTTGTGAAACTTGTGATACTCGAAGGGGGAGCGTGGGCAACATGCAGAATGGCTGTTCATTCGTGGGCATATTTGCCTTGAACCCCCGCAGAGTGCCCGCAAGCCATTGATATCTCGGTAAAAAGATTCATGGAGCTCTCCCAGGCGGGGGGTGGGTAACTTATTACTTGAGTTGGTTCAACAGGTCGACAGCCCTGTCCCTCGACGCGCCCATCCTACCCTGTTACCGACTTAGAGAGATGAAAGCGCCGATTGGCAACCGGTGGCATGGGACGGTGAACTCCGTCTGATCTGGAATGCCTCGAATGCACACCGGACAGGCCTGCTGCTGCGTCTTTCGCTGATCACCTGTCTCATGTGCCCCGGCCGTGTAGCGGTGTCCCACGAGACCCCGCAGGCCGGTGTGGGACCTCTTCGGGTCACCTGTTGATTATTCGGACCCGGGACCGCGGAACAAGTGGTTTTGTGCAGCAGGCCGGGCGTCGCGAATGCCAACATGGTAGTACACCGTAGCTAGTGTGCTAGGCGCCTGCAGTACCTGAGACATTCATGTAAGCCATTCATTGCGAGGCTGCCTTCAATGTCGCTCCCGAGTGTTTCGTGTATCGTGGGCTAAAATGCCACCTGCAGACCCGTGGCGCGCGGGGCATACGGAGTATTAGTGGTGGAGCCCCCCCGGGCCAAAACAAGCGGTACGTTAGCAATCGCAGCTTGCTTTGCATTTAACTTACCTCTTCTCTTTCTTTCTACTTTCTCCCCTGTTTTCCCTCCTTCTTAGCTTTACTTGTATTCTTTTGTCTTTTCACTTTCACTTTCTCTCTCCTCGATTGGATCTTATCGGTGAAACTACCTAGGGATCTAGGTGGGTTGGTGAACGGCTCTCTTTTTGGACGCGGGGAAGGGAAAGAAGAACGAGTCGATTCGGAGATAAGAGCGTTCATGGAGCGATCGAGGGCCTAATTATCGATAACGACTTCGCCATCATGGAAGCCCTGGACCTTGCAAGCCAGCACCTGCTACCACAACTCTCCCAGTCTCCTGCGCTCAGAGAGTTAATCTACCCCTTTTGTTATCCTAGTAGACAATAGATATACGACCTAAAAGCTTACCGCGATAGCCAAAAACAAAAAAAAAAATGTCCCAGAGGGCCTGTTGCACCTGCGCAACACTCCTCGCCGATGCTCCCGGCGTCTCTTCCACATCCGAGAAAGCGTTACCTCAAGAGAGACAACTAGACTGCTGCGGCCGGGTCATCTGTGGTGACTGCATATACGTAGGCTTTTATATAACCACCTTTCAGCTTTTCCAATCCGGAATTCGGCAGACTGACACATCACATCACATGTAGACAAACCCCCGCTTCCTAAGTTATTGTCCCTATTGCCAGACCTCCAGACGCTCCCCCTTACGCTCGAGCATCCGCACCGTCCAGCGGCCAAGTGGTGAGAGAGAAAGCAGGCCAGAAAGCGACCCGCCCCCTTATTACTCCGCCATCGCCCCAGCCGTCTCACCACCGCCCTACACGCCCTCCTCGTCTACAGACTCCCCACCACAACCACAACCACAGCCGGACGAGAAGAAAGAACCAGCCCCAGCTTCACAACCCGGCTACACGATCCACCACCTCCGGCACCCACCCCACCCGGACGCGGACACAATCGTGTCCCTCTCCCTGCGATACGGGATCCCCGCCTCCGTCCTGCGCCGCCACAACAACCTCGCCGCAGACGCCGACTACCTCCTGGCAGCGCGGCACACCCTCCTGATCCCCACAGCCTACATCACACGTCATCGTCGTCGGCCTCCTCCTCTTCCTGGAGGCGACCAGATCAACAACGGCGGCGAGGGAGGAGGGTTATCAGTGTCGCCGTACCCGGTGGAAGACGACGCCGAGAGGGAGCGGAAGACGACGATCCGGCGGTGGATGGTGGCGTGCAAAGAGGCGGACTACGACACGGCCGTCGTGTATCTGGAGGAGAGCGGGTACGACTTCGCAGAGGCCGTCAGGCGCTATTGGGACGACGTTGCGTGGGAGCGGGCCCATCCGCTGGAGACTCATGCGAAGGGGAAAGGGAAGGGGAGGGGAGGAAGAAGGGGTTGAGTGTGGGCTCGGAATTGCTAAAGGGGGGCGACGGAGGATGGTCCATCTTAAGCCGGTCGAGGTGGTGAGGTGATAAAGAGTGGATATGAACGGGGCAAGGGACGCACATGCTCGATGGTCGATGCTCGATGGTCGATGGGTATCAACGATCATCCTGTTTCCCTCCTTAATCTAAGGTCAGATGACCGCTGTGAACAAGCGTCCACTCAGCGAGACAACAAACGCCGTTTTTACCCCAGAGCGCCAAATCCGTACATGTATTAGAAGTACATAGTCCAAACTTCAACCCATGCCTATATGTTCACCTCGCTCGCTATCATCTCAGAAAGCAGATCTGGTTCGGATATCCTGCCAGAGTTAGCAATCGCGTTATGTCAGTGCAATCGGCGTAAGTGCTTCACATACTGAGATCTTCCGCTCAATTTCCCGCACCGAGCGGTCCAACTCCCCGGCAATCATCTGCTTCTTGTCGTTCGGCAGCAGGCTGAACCTCTCGCAGAGATCACCATCGATGACCCCCTTGACGGGGACATAATACCCACGGTAGATCAGATGGTCGCGGCCTGCTAGCGGCGGGTCTTCGGCCCGCATGTGGCTCTCCAGGTTCTGGAAGAAATCCACATCCTCGCGGCTGACGAACGGGATCAGGACACCAACCGTGCCCTGGATCCCACTCCAAACGAGCACGTCCTGCCCACCCACCACGAGGTTGGTCTTGACGATGCTCGTCGGCAGATCCTGCGTGTAAAAGTGCACCATTAGGTTTAGCCGGTTTGGCGCCCCGTGGAGGTAAGGCCGGGCGTGGAGGAGCTGGATCTCGGAGCCCGGCTCGTCGCTTTCCTGGCTAGCACGCTCCGGGGCCCGCAGGATCCACACGTTGCCGAATCTATCGCCCCCAGCCACGGACTCGTAGTCGACCATGGTAGTACATGTATTCCACCGGTTGATCGTGTCATCCGCGAAGGGAATAAGCTTGTTGCTTTCGGGCTTGTAGACGACATACGTGATTCCCTGTTGGACATCACCCACGATGATGCGACTGCCCTGGGATTGAAGTGATACGATTAGTTGGGGCGCCACTTCTCCCTGTGCTTTCCTGAGTAGTTGCTTGAGACCAAGGTCGTAGACACGGAGCATCTTGCCGATGCCGGCAAGAAGACGGCCTTGGAAAGGAATGAGAGCCATCGGTGGCTCTTCCACCTTGGTCTTGTGAATGAACTCCAAGTCTTTGCCATCTTCATGGAACCGGTAGACATGGATATATCCCTCGGTGAACTGGCGTGGGTTGAGAACCATGTCCTTTCCGGTACCAACGATGAGAAAACTCTCGCCATCCTGACTGGCGAAGGGAACGACTGCTGCGCTCACAGCGGCTTCGTTCCCCTCCAGGTCGACCCTCTGAAGCACCTTGGGTTCTTCGCCAAGAGGGTCAACAATGCTGATGCAGGACGCCCATCGGCCTTTGGCTCGAGGGTATCCAAAGTCTTCTGGCGGCAGTACTGCCGCATCTCCATTCACAGCACCCGACTGGGCCAAGAGCTGAGCGCGGAGCTCTGGTGGTAGAGTATTGTTATCGGACTCTATCGTGTAGAAGTACGGCTGCTCGGGATGTTTGACCAGCCGCTTTGGGGTATATGTCAGGGGGATGGACTTCTGGATCATGGTTTCACCCAGCTTCTCTATCGTGAAGATCCTGTGAGATTGATCAGTATGTGCAAAACACGCAGTGTTGAAACGAAAGCGGGTGTGATGCAAGTCGTCTCAGAAGGAACAATTGATACAACTTCAGTTGTATTCAAGCCTCATAGCACGTGGCGTAGGAATCCCTTTTATCATCATAGAGCGGAAATGCAAAGCAGAAGTGAACCGACCTGAGGAAGTTGGCATGGATACCGACCATGCCTTCGAGGCACTGCTCGCTGCTGAAATTCCAGCCGTACTCGAGTTCCGTATAGCTCAACGGTGTCATGACGAAATTCTTCGTGATAGGATCCGTGTAGCCGAGCCAGGGCCTCGAGCTGAGGGCCAGAACGCATGACTGTGCCTGCACTGACACCTGGAAGAGCTTGGTGGGCTTAGGACCGAGGAACTTTTGCCGTGTGTCCGTCAGCTCGCCAGTAACTTCATCCAAAACGGTCCTCAGATATACGCCAGAGTGCAGCCCGATATGGAGGTATAACGTGTTCCCGCCGGATGAGTCTTCCATCGACATGATCAACAGAGATGATGGTGCTGATGTCAATGCCTGGATGGACTTCATCTCCAGAGTCGAATCCGGGTCAAGGCTGAGAATGCGGACCGTGCAGTCATCACATCCCACAGCCAGGAAGGAGCTTCGCCTGAGGCCTTCAGGAACCCTGCCCAAGCTGAGAGACGTGACCGTCCCCGACATCTCTTTCTTCTCGTCGTACTCGGCAAGCGATCCATCGGCATCCATCTCAAAGTAGACAATTTCGCCGGAGCTTAGCGCGATGACGACCTGATTCTCGTTCGCCGCGGCGGCAACAATAGATCGATGTTGAGGGGCCGGCCACTCGTTGACCCGGCCCTGAACTATGTGCCTAATGCCCTTGGGGTGAACTTGGATCAGCCCTTCTTCACCTAGCTGCTGAACCGCCAGAGTCGGCACGCTTGTCAAGAGGCCGCTTTCAGTAACCTCCTCGACGGTCTCTCCAATGCTCAGCACAAGGGTCGCATTGGTGAACGAGAGCACCATATAACCATCATATTCGTCGTACTTCGTGAGCTTGGTTGTCCAGACCGCAGAGGGCGTGCCTGGAAGCTCAGATGCGACAATTTCCGACACTTCGAGACCATGTTTGAGCATACGGAAAGTGCTTCTCGCCCTATTCCCGCAAACCGAGTAAATCTGGGGGGCGTCCTCGCCTGTCAGGTTTGCAACCTTGCAGTCGACCTGGGGGTTCATTGAGTCGATGCTCTCAACAAGCACGAGGTTTTCCAGCGGCCGAGGGTGGAAGTAGACAGGGTTGTAGGAGGCTCGAGGGTCCGTCGGGAAGTCGTCGCTCGAAAATTCCAGCTCCTCATCGTCATCTCCGAGTTTCTCGAATTGGTAAAAGTGATGGTTGCCGAATTCGCTTGCGGCAAAGAGGAAACCACTCTTCAAAATGCACAGGCTTTGGGCGACCGGTACTGTGTCAAAGTACTTGATTTTGAGACGCCGAACTTCACCGGTCGGGTTGCCCTCGCCATCCTCAACCATATCGAGCGTGACCTTGAACAGGTCGCCATCCTCGGTCTGGAGCAGGAAGAAGAATGCGCCCGCACTGCCCTTGAGCTTGTGCATTACTCCTGACACAATGGTGCGCTTTCTCTGGGGGTCCTCAGTAGCCCCACGTCGCCTGGGAATGGGGACGCGGAAGGCCTCCTGGTTGGAATGACGGTAGGTGACATTCTCCTCCCCGCAAACCAAGACACCACTAGGCCCATCGTTGCCTCCAGGGACCTGGAAGAGCAGCGAAGAGGTAGGGTCAACCGTATCGGACCACTTGCGAACCACGTGGTTGAGCCCCAGGTCAAGCTCGTAGTAGACGAGTTGCGCGTCAGCCTCCTTTGCCGCCTCGCCAGTAGGGTCTTGGTCTGCCTCGGAATAGTCGATCTCGAGGGCAGCAAAGACAGGGTTGGCGTAACCAACATCGAGAGCGACGAGCGATAACACCAGCACTCCAGACTTATGCGCCTCAAGTGGCGACGAGATGGTCAGCTCCGCCTGAGCATTCCGATTCAGAACATAGACCAGCTTGTTCTTTTCGACGGATGCGATGAGGCACGCTCTGCCCTTGGGGTCGGCAGCCAAGTACTGGCCGGGGATGACGCGGCGAACCCCAGACTTCCCGAAGGTTTCGAGGTGGATCCGCGAAAACCTGTTCACTTTGGGCAGGTACTCGACGATGGCGATGCGGCCGGAATCTGTCGCGAGAATAATGTAGTCTAGGTGCAGACAGCGTTTTAGCACAGTCCCGGCTTACAGCGAGATTCTGAAGGATTCCGCAGGCCACCACGCGGATATCATCCCGCCAAAGCTGCAGAGCGGATGAAAAATCACTAAGTGTCCAAGAAACGGTGAAAGGGGGCAGGTGCTCGACGAAACCACTCACCCTTGTGGCTTCCAGCGAGCCGGAAGGAAGCAATGGACCTGATGATGCCGAAGATGTCATGGGATAACAGCGTGTTGACCTTCCCTTGCCTGGGATCCGGCTGGAGAAGAGTAAGGCGCGACCCTGACGCCGTGATGATTTGCTGCTCCTTAGTTCCCGAGAACTGACCCAGCAGCGCCTGCGTGATGGCTGTCGGCGGCTGGATCGTCAGCGAATACAGGAACATGTTCGACGTCGTCGCCATGGTTCCCGAGATGCGCAGAAAGCCGGCGCGGCTTTGCTGGGACAACGGTTGCAGCCTTGACGCGATGGTGTTGTGCTGGATCTGAAGTTAGCTCGGTCGTTGAAAAAAACGATTGGAGCTCGTTCGGTAGGAAGTTACTCCCGTTAGCGCAGCCACTCCGCCACATCTGACGGAGTAACTGTACAGTGCGACTCCCGCGAATGGACTAGCTGGCTGGCGTTACTTAGGGTGTTTCTTGATGTCGCAGAGAGGTCACCTCAATTATGCAACATCGGAGGCATAGACGTCATTCAGAAGTGTACCTCCGTACCTTAACTACTACCTGGTACTTACTCCTCAAGATCTCACTCTGCACAATCTTACAATCTTACAATACTAGTACTTCAAGTTCTCTTTTCCTTCGCCAACCTCAAGGGCGTGAGCTTCGGACGGCAGGGGTTAGGGTTGACCATGGTTGAGGCTTGAGAGCTCCCTGCACAGTCAAGTTAACACACCCTGAGCTCTTCATCTTCCGACGTGGCTGAGCTGCTCTGATTGGGCGACATCAGTCCGGGGAGCAGCTCGGCACCCGAGAGCTCACGTCTCGAAAAAGTTCCCGTCGTAAGATATCGGCGTTAGGTGCAAGTGCAATGGCTCTCCCGGCGGAACTCGCAGCGCGCTCCGCGCTGTCAAGAGTTTGCACACGATGCTCTGTCTCTCTGGCAAGACAAGGCCGGCTGTCCAATGGCTTGCTCAATGTTTCCCAGCTACAGCGGCGGTCACTTTCAGAGAAGCGCCCCCGGGCGAAACATGGCAGTATCCTTCCCGGCCCCGCCGCCCGGGCCGGCTCAGGCCTTGTGTCCAAGCGATTATCCTCCGCGGTTGCGCAGCCTACTTCCGAGTCGAAACCGACGCGGGTCCTGTCGCCCGATGACCTCTTCCACTCCTTCACCAACTCCCCGATCCCAGAGATCCGGCGACGCGCGGCCTTCATACGACAACATGCGGGATGCCCACACCATGACCACCAGCCAGGGGGCGCCATGGCCCCGGCGCATGTCGATTTCGAGTGCCCGGATTGCGGTATCCCGGTGTACTGCAGCAAGGAGCACTGGGCCGATGACTACGAGGCGCATCTCCAAATTTGCGACACTCTGCGCCAGATCAACGAGGACGACCATGACCTCCGGTCAGGCCGCTTTTTCCCCGAGTTCGAGTATGCCGGGCCACAGATGGATGATGCGCTGATCAACATGACCAACTGGGATACCTTCTTGTACACCCGCGAGTTCAATGCCGTCAACGACGACCGGAGCATGAGGCAAGCAACGAGGCTTCTGACCTATCCGGTCACTATCGGAAGCGTCATCCACGAACTCAGCCCATACAGCATCAAGCCCGGTGGCAGGCTGACGGTGGAGGGTCTCAAGAGCTTAAGCGGTAGGTGTCGCGACCTGAGGACCGTCTGCAGACGAACAATCTGACCCCTTCTTAAGCGCTCCGGTATACTCTTCATCCTTCAAAGTCGGGCGGCGGGCTGGACGTGAAGGGCCTGCGCATGGAATCCCCGGCGGTGCGCATTTTCATTCTGGGTGCTCGGGCCGAGTCATCACTCCCTCGAGATGTTTGGGTTCAACTGGCGCACCTCTTCCCTCGGTCGAGGATCCACCTCATCTTCATTGGCCCAGAGAGCATGCTTAACAGAGACGACGAGTTCCCTCTCCCTCCACGGACGCCGTCCAACCCGTTCGGCACCATAGTCGAGGACAGGGTGTGGCCGACAATGAAGATCAGCACCATTGTCGACTACTATCACACCATCCACAGGACGGGCTACTTCTATCCCTACGATCCCTACTTCGACTGCTTCGTCCTGTTCCATCCGGGCTTGGGTCATCCAGCTAGCTCGCACGAATGGGAGGAGACGCTGCCTATGCTGCTGGAGACTAAGGCGCCCATCATTGTTACCGGCTATACCCAGGCTGACATGCAGCGCGACATTGACTGGGTTAACAAGACGGCGGCTGGCGAGTTCGACGTGCTGTTGGAGCCCGGCGAGAACCGGTTCCGCAGCCTCCGATGGGACCTGAATGACCTAGACCCTCAGGATGTCAGCGCAGGCAACTGGGGGGTGTGGGCTTTTAGAGGCAAGAGGTAAGCTCCGCTCCTGATTCCCATAAAGCAAACCATCAGCTTCCAGGTGACTGACATTGGCTCTTCCGCAGATATGAGACGACGCGCAAGTCTGAGGAATGAGCGGGGCCATGGGCCTCTTGACTCTCTCTTGAGTCTTGTGTCGGAACCTCTTAACCTGTATAATAGATTTGGGCCAGCTCGTCTCGCCCGTGTATGTGGAGTACAAGCATCGTGTGCACAAACCCGGTCTAACGCTGTGCACGGATGCCACTCTCTAGTCTCTACGCGTCCATCAACGAGAGAAAGACGCAGCCTTGTCTTGAGCTGGGCGGACTTGCAAGGCGGTTTCACGCCGAAAATGTTGGAGGATGCCATGAACTGCTGCTGTTCGCTGCATAGAGCCAGACACCCTAATGCGCTGCCAAACACGGTTTTATCATGCATCTCGGTAAAGGTAGGTACGTATGTCCTATCCCCTTGTAACAAGAACATTTGATTCAAAAAGCGATGGTCTTGAATATCACACCAGTGTCTTGAAGTGTTGTGGATGTTCACCGCCTGCCGTTTTCAAATCGGTCGGATGTTGTTGGCACTCGGCAGATTGCATGCGAGTCCGATAAGCGATTGATGACCGCCGCTTTCCGTCCCGCTGTCGTACCTACCAACCCTCGATGATTTAAGTCTCGAAGGGGGAAAATGGAAGATGCTCCTACTGACGTAGAACACCACCAACACCCGCTGAAAAACGGTTGAGCGACGAGGTGCACGCTTCCATAATTTCTACTTGGAGCTGCGACTCCATCATGACGACGGGACGCTATTGTCAACTCTGCCCACCATGACGACCGCCGCTGCGCAACCTCATGCGCACACGCCGGATCTTCAACCCAGGCCGCCACGCACCTCGGGCATACAAGCGGATGCGACCGCGCCACCCAAATCACGGACTAGCCATACTTTAACATCGACAGGAACCGGCGCACAGCCTGAGCAGGCAGGAGGACCTCGCCGCGGGGCTCGCGCGGCATCCACCGACCCGCTCTCGGACAAGGCGACGGCCTTCCTAATCCGCCGCATTCTCTGTCCCCAGCAAGCCGACAAGGGCAGGAGCTCGCCGGCGTCGATAGAGGACGTCTTACCGCCATTGACCAGCCGCAACGACGTCGATCTGCAGCTCTACGCTCTCATCGCCATTCTCCTGAGGGAGTATGTGCAGAACTGGTACGCCAAGATCACGCCCGATGAGACCTTCGTGGCCGAGATCGTGCAGGTCATTGCCCATATCACCAGAGCACTCGAGCAGCGGTTGAGAAAGGTGGACTTGGAGAGCTTGCTATTCGACGAAATTCCCGAGCTATTCGACAAGCATGTCACCGGTCCGTCCGCACCCTTCGTTTGCTTCGAAATCACCGGAGCCCCCCCTCGTGTGTTCTACTGACACCTCGGAACGCTAGCCTACCGAGTGGCCCACGATGCCATCACCCAGCCACCAGTCGGGAAAGACCCACGCGAGATTTATCACTCGCTGTGCCCTCTGCCCGCGCTTTCTCCAGTGCCTCGGCCAGACGACCCTGAGAGCGTCGCCGCCCAGGCCGAAAACGAAACAGCATACCGCCAGCTTCTCGTCTATGCATTCCTGGCCATCCTCCTCCCCACCGAAGACCTCGAAAACAGCTGCCTGGCAGCTCTGGTTGGCCAAATACTGTCGGAGCTAATTATCGGGAACACAGTGGCCGGCAGACTATCGGAGCCATGGCTCATCTGGGAACTTCTCATCATTGCATCCAGAACGACCAGACGGCCCAAGACAGCCGAGGGTGTGGACCGTTCGATGCAATCGAACACTAGTCACTCGGCTGGCCGTAGGGTGTTTTCGGTTCACGCCCTATTTTGGGCCTTCCTGCAGTGGTGCTTCCTCGCAGTCTCATTCATCAAAACGGCTTTTGCAATCCTCGTGACGTCCGGCTCTTTGCCTCGGCGAGTCCCTCGAGACACAGGCGTTCCTAAGGGGCAAGCCCGACACCCGACCAGCCAGGAGACGCCCCGACTCTCTAGCTCCTCTAAGACGCCCGTCCTGGCCTTTCGATGCTGGTCAGCCGTATCGAATCTCTCCGAGATGGATAAACGGATGCCGTGGCTCTGTGGCGCACTCTCCCTGCTCCAGTGGATTGCCGTCATGGGACCAGGACGAATCGCCGGCGTGGACGGCAGACTCGACAGGTAGGAGGCTCCATCTTCTATTCGCTCTCTGCATTATCAAACACTCTTTTTCCCCAAGTTGGTCTGTCACACTGCATGGCCAGTCAGTCACTGGACCCGGTAGCCATAGATCCACAGCGCAACAGCGTGTATTCCGCGACTCCATCAGTTGCGAGCGCAGTATTGGAGTTCTCTAATGGAGGTCCTCCGCCGCCAAAAGCGGGAGGTCACTGGATACAGTGCATCTGCCCCATCGTGGCTCACAAGAGGGGAGTTGCGGGAAAAGCCTGGCTGCGGTGGAACACACCTCCCACATGTCATGCGGCCGAATCGGCGACCCGCAGGTGACGCCTCCTGCCGCTTCTTGTCATTGACCAGCCGTGCATCTGGGACGTTGGGCCAATCGCAAATTGCCCTGGCCTTGGCTCCGTCTGATTGCCTCGAGGCCTTCGTGGGGCTTCGCGAGAGGAACCATCGACGGGCCTCATTTACGCGCCGAGCTGGGGAAGGCTACAGGGATCAAGAATCCCCCCCTGTCCATCCTGAATGACTCCATGAGCGCTCACGCCTCGAGTCCCCCCCCCATGAGGCACCAACATTTGGCGCCAGTCCACGCTTCGCACCGTCCCATGGCACGCAAGACTTGTTCAACAGAGACAGATCGCTGCGATGAAGCTTTCCCCTTTTCGGCTGGCGTTGTCTAAGAAAGCTCGCCAAGGTTGTCGAGATTTCTCGAGAGGATGACAGGTCGCCTCGTGATCCTTTCACCACAATTATCAGATTGGCGCGCCATGCAAGTGCCCGTTCGCCAGGCCCTCTCACCGAGGGAACTCGGCGATCTCTCACTCATTTGCATGACACTCGGACGCCATCGTGATGCTCATGCATCGGACGATGGGCCGGAAGTCGTGAGCTATGCCGTCTTCGCTCTTGCCGGAAGTATCCTCGAGCATGAGATATGACGTGAGAACAGACGCATGGGCCCATGTTCGCTCTGTCGATGGCTCCATGTGTCAGTTCCCTGCGGACCCTCAGACCGAGGTACCTCCCTAGTGTACTCGGCGAGCAAGCCGTTGCAGCCGGCGAGATGTCCATTGACGCCGTCATTCTGTGCGACGGTGCCGCCCGCCCCCTCCACTCGATAGCCATTACCCTTGCTCGTTGTTCACCGTTTTGCACGCGTTTTGTCATACACCTGATCCCGCTGGCAGCCCAACCGGTTGCGGCCCGGGCACTTGCTCCCCTCAGCGTGACCTTCGAGATCTTGCACACAAGCACACACACACACACACACACACCCCTTTTTGCTGCATCCCCCACGCATAAATAGTCCTCAAACAAGCCCCCCAATACGCTCCTCTCTATCTGACCAGGCAAACCTTGTCGATGTCCGCCCATGCTCACATAATTCTGATAGGCTCCTATCTTATGGCATTCATCGGCATGTCTTAAATGCGGCCAATCTGTCCCCCCTGCTCCGCAGCGTGCGGGGGGCGCTGTTCCCCAACAACATGCCCGCCGGCAAGCCCGCGCTGGTCGCTCCCTCTTCCGATGCCGAGCTCCGCGCCCTCAGGCGCAGGTGCGCTAGCGCGCTTTGGGCCCTGGTTCCGAAAAGAATCGGAAGGCTGTACTTTGGCGGTGGCCTACTATTGCGAGCTATTCCCGTTTGGAGAAGGACAATGGAGAATACGGAAGGATATGCAGAGCTGAAGGCGGCTGGCAGCAACAGCAGCAACAGCAAGAAGAAGGAGACAACGAAGCGTGACAACGGCAACGACAGTGCCAAGCGAGACTATCCGGACAGGGGTTCACTGTCATCATCGTTGTTGATGAGAGAGGTCGAGCCTGCGGCGGCGGCACAAGCGGCGCAGGTGGAACCAATGCAAGCGCGAGGTCGACAGGAAGGGACAAGATCGGAGTCTCAGTCAGGGTCGTCAGCAGCGCCGCCAAGACCCCACTCCCCGTCCTGGCGGTCCGCTCCCGCTCCGAGGCCGAAGACCGGCGGTCAGGGTCCCCTCGATGATTCTGCTAGCGCTGGCGCTGATCCCCCGCCGCCGCCGCCGCCGCCGAATCCCGCTAACATTGTTATTAGCCCGTTTGGCGAGGATGGTGATGGTGTTGATGACGATACAGATGCAGATGCAGATGCAGAGGACGAGGTGATCCTGGAGGAGATTGAGCGAACCATCCTGGACGTCTTTTCGGATGCGTACTGCAACAAACACCTCGTGTACAGCATCCTGGAGCTGATCCTTGTGCGCTTGCTGCCCGAGTTGACAGAGAAGAGGGTTTGGGAGCTCTGGGAGGAGAGGGTTCCTGTTGAGGTTTAGTTTGCTAGCTCATCATGGTGATATACTCGTAGGATATATGATGTTGCTCATGATTCCATGTTTCACTTTGGTACATAGATTATTATTACCTAGAGATCTCGTACATACGTACTCCGTACTGTGGTGGTCTTTCGGAGACTCAGAAGGCCGCATCGACCTGTGATTTGCTGCGAGTCCGACGCCGAGAGAGAGAGCTAAACGGGCTAGGTGTGATCTCGTTGAGGGCTTGCCAGTAGTCGCATGTCTTCAGCGAGGAGATAGCAAAGAACGGCTATAGACGCCTCCCTCGCTCAAGGCAAAGGCTTGAAATATGAATTCATGAACCTTGCTTTGCCTCTGCCAGATAGCATGCTATTCCCATAATACCCGCCACATTGTTGACGGGGTGACTAGTTAGATCACATGTTTCCCTTTCCAGAATTATGCCATCCAAATGTTCTCCTTTAACCCCTTCCTGATCCCTCCTCCTCCGGGTGCCGTCCCGCTCATGTCCCACTCCCACTCCACTCCCAAGCGCCTGCGTGATCCGATCCCATCATGTCGCGGCTTTGCCTACTAGGCGCAGTGGTATAGCTTCGGTAATCCCCATGTCTTACAAGCCCTACCTGTAGCCGCCACCTAGATGAGACAGAGATGCGAAATATGTAGCGTATAGAGAAATAAAAATGCGCCAGAAGTACAAACATGCAGGCATATACGTTAAAAAGCAAAACAAAAATAGCACCATGCTAAACAGGGGCGAGCCCAATGGTAAGGGCATATTGGACGTCAAACGCCCCGAGCGAAAAAATGGGCCAGAAGAAAAGGACAAAAGACGCGAGGTGAATTCCGAATAAGATTCGCGTGAGCGTGACATCTTCCGGCGGCTTGAGCGGCAGGGATATGTGATGGAAATGCGAAGTTGGGTATAAGAAACTGGAAACTGCGTAAACGGGTATATCGTGTGTCGTGTATGAGATGGTTTATATCTTCCGCGGTTCTCCTCCTTGAGGCTGCCGGAACGTCACGTCGTCGCGGCCATGAACTCATCTTGCGCTTCACTTCGCCTGTGTCAGGATCTCGATGTCGACGAAAAAATTCGCAATGACCATGCTCCCTAGCCATTCATGGTTGATTCCGCCTTCATCATAGAGGGCGGTGCATTCGGCATCTCGTTGTCGCCTTCGGGGATTCGAGACAGCCCTCCCATCCCGTGGATTGCGGCCTTGGCAAGCTGGCTCTGGTGTATCCGCAGCTTCTCCGTTAGCCTCACGACAGTCAAGTATTCGTGATGGTCGACAAATCCGCTGGCATTCGAAATGAACGACAGTAGAGTGTCGGCAGCCCTGCGTGCATCCTCCTGCGTAGGGGAGCCCGGGGATGGGCCAACGGCACTGGACATTGCTGTGGTGGTCGTTGACCGGCCGGCGATGCTGCTGTTGCTGCTGCTGCGGCGAAGCTGAGGCGATACCGCCTGCTCAAAGCTGAAGCTCGATCCATTGTGTTCCTGAGTTGATGCCTCCAACGCGGAAGATGGAGCGGTGGACGAGACATGGTACTTTGGCGTCGCAGGCTCCGTTGACTGAGGTTGATTCATATACTCAAGATCTAGGGTGGGGAAAGTCTGGCTTCGCGGTCGCTGAAACCCAGCCCCGTGCCCCGGGAGTTGTCTGCTCTGGTCTGCAGGGAGAAACGAGCCAACATTGGAGTCAGGGGAGAAGTTGAACGAGGCTGTGGGGCTTATTGCACTGCCCGGGAAGGACGGGGTTGCCGCATCGGTGAAGGCGCTGGACAAAGACGTCGTGCTCTGTGAGTTCGAGTGCTTGTAGACGCCATCCGCGGTGAAGTCCATGAAGCTGTTCATACTCTCCTTCTCCTCGTCGCTCCTGTTCGCCGACAAGGGAGACGGGGAAAGATGGCCCGACGGAGAGGCGGGGGAAATCGCACTTTGAGGCTGAGACGGTGCCAGGGACGGTGAGCCAGAGGCACGGATACTGTCGGGAATGTTGGTCTCGGACGCCCGACGTATCAATCTACCCGGGCCGATGCCATGCTTGAGCATGAACTTATCGAGCCAGGCAGAGCTGATAGGCTCGGAAAACGAGTCACCAGTGGCTAGGGATGCGAACAGGCGTGCCCTTTCCTTGAGAGTTTCGCTCGTGACCGCGATGCCCGATTTCTGGGCCTTCCGAAGGAAATTTGTCAGTGTCTTCTCGAGGTCGACCCCTTTCCCCTTGCCGATGCGCCTGACCGGAGAGCTGCTGCGCTCCTCGGCGTTCAAATACTTTTCTTTATTCCGCAAGACCTTGGATACGGTGCTAGCAGACCATGTTAGAGCCAGCCGAGAGATCGCCCCGAGGCAAAGTGTAATCCGGGTCACCTACCTCCTCTCCACCCCAAAACGAGCGCCAATGTCTGTCTGTTTGGCAGTAGGATGGTCCTCGGCATACTGACACATTGCCCGGCGGTCCTCGTCTGTCAGGGTCTTCCTTGGCTGCGATGTGGTCTGGATTGCGGGCAACTTTGAGGCTTTGAGCGGAGCCGCAATGGAGGGGATGGCAACTGGTGGAGCAGAGTGCGGCGGTCCGTAGGTGTTCGGGTTCGTCAACATACTCGGAAACGTCACCGGGGGCATCATGAGCATCGGCAGCTGCGTGTGACTGGCCTGCGGCTGCTGGTGCATCGGCTGCGGAGGAGGTGGCGGCGGCATTCTGCTGAGGGATTCCGAAGGCAGTCCGTGGTTTATAGGAGGCATGTAGGCGAATCCGCCGCTATAGTCGGGCATTGTGGTCTGGTGCTGGAAGGAGTTCATGTCGACCCAGTTCTCATTACCATAGGTGTTGTCGGGTGCGAGGTGACTCTGTTGGTCCATACCCGTGGAAGCCGTGATCTGGTTGTGCATGGTGACGGGCGCTTCGTCTGGCTCAGACGAAACCGGGCGGGCGGCGCGAGCGGATGGGGACAAGCAAGACTGGTAGTGGGATTGGTGCCGTGAAGAGCCACTGGTGATCAAGGGCCACACGGACTCTAACTAGCAGTTGTCGGGATTAGCCCGTCCGGAAGGGGTGGACAAGACACAGTCAGGAGACGGCATGCATGATACGGGGGCTGTCCGACACCAATTGGTCCCCTGGATCGGACATGCAGCGGTCTGGCCGTGGAGGAGGTTGCAGTTCTTGGGGGCAGCTAGGTGCGGAGTAACACAATACTTTCACAGGAAAGGTAGTGGTAGCGTCGCGGCTGCAGAAGCGTTGGTGGGGGTTTGGCCGTTCGGCAGGTCTGGGTCAGGGATGGGCGTGGTATGTGGTCGGGGTTGTGCCTTGGCCCGGGGACTCGGCGGGATAGGTCCGGTGAAAGCGGCGCTCGCGAAATATATGGGAGCCGCTCTTGTCGGAGGCTCTCCCCCAGGCCACAATTAGTGACGGTTGTCCTGTCCTTCCAGGTTGCTCGGTCAAACTCATCGACCACCCGACCCTTCAGCAACAAGCGCGCCCACCTCCTGATTGAGCAGCGAAGAGAGGGCTGGAGAGCGACCTGCGGACCTGACCCTGTTCTGCTCCTGTTGGGGCCACCTATTCGGGCGACGGTCAGGTTCAGGTCGACGTCAACAACGCATCGAGCTGCCGAGAACTGGCCGAGGGCTGGAGTAAGCTTGCCTCAACGGCAGCGGCGATGATGCAGTCGAGAGCAAACAACGTGGATCAGCCAGTGGGAGGACGGCAGGCTGCTGCAGAGCAGGCGCCTCAGATGCAGTCCAACCTCTGGAACTGGAACGAGATAGGTAAGGAAGGCGTGCGGTAGGACGGAGGGCGGGCAGGCATTTGGGCAGAGAAAGGCCTGCCCCAAGCGGCATATGTATGCCAGGGCACAGCTCCGCTAGACGCACCTAATGTGTGTGGGAATCTCCCGGCAGGGGCTCCAGGGGCCGGGCTGCCCTATGTGGGAGGGCACTGGCCCCAGGGCCCCGAGTGGAAGCATGGGCATGGGCGAGCAGGGGAGTGAGGTGGGGGCCCGGACTTCACACACCACACACACTTCACACTGGAGGGCGCGGGCGGGAGGAAAATGTGGTGAGGAGGCGCGACCTGCCCGAGCCGGGGTGGGACGGAGCCCCGGGCGAAGAACAAGGGCTCTGTTGTGATCGTGATCGAGCGGGCTTAAGTTGAGCACGCTTCCAGGTTGAGGCACGTCCATGACTGGTCCTGAAAATGGGACAAATGGATACTAAACCAAAAAAAAAGAAGGGGGCGATTACAGGCTTCGAGCTGTCTGCACCTACTGTGTGGCCTTAGGGAAGGCGCGTCCCGGACTAGCGTGGACGAAGGTGATGCCCTGTCGCTCCCCTGTCGCGCCGATGCGCTGACACTGTGCGTAAAAGGTTGATATCCCGTCCCAGACAGGCGAGCAAAAAGCAACCGTGGGCCCATGAAGGCGCCGTTTTAGCAAGCTTGTGGCTGATCCTGCTTTGTTACCGTCCTCTTCCCCGGTTGTTGAGATCTGTACGGAATAACTAGGATACGTAGATAACTACCTAGGTACCTTAAATAGATACCTAAGGTAGCTGGTAGGTACCTTAGATACGGATACAGTAGCAACCTTCTTCCAGAATCAAGGTGTACGGGAACGGCGAGATTTTGACACATCATCGGAGGAGGGAATACCGCGCACTCTCCCGTCTAACGTTCCATTACCTCTAACATTTGCACTTTCTGATCTGCCATGGGCTGCACAGTACATACACCGACTGCAATGCAGCATGAGGAGGCGCCGTTTACAGCCAAATCCATGTACGGCAGGAACGGAGAGTACCTACCAATTACTACCGCCAATCTACCCCACAGCTGAAGATGCGTGCTTGTTATGGACCGAAACCGGTTCACTCGTGTTCAGCATGACTCGGAGTCTTCCTACAGTTTCACGCTTCTGAAAATCCCTCGATAACCTCCGACTTATTCGTGCTCTAGTCGACAATACGTGCCTAGTACAGAGGCCACACGAAAGCCGCGTGCGAATCAACGTTGTGCAACGGACTCTCCCCGACGGTCACCCAAGACCCGAAGTGGGTCAGGGTGGGCCGCGCTTGCCCTGAGGCTCGGGCAGCTCCGCCCAGGGAAGCCGGGGGCCCACAAGGATGCGTCTGCGAGCAAGGACAGCCGGTCGAAGAACGGCCTTCAGCTGCGGCCGTCTGGGGAACATCTTGTTGTTCTGCAGCCCGTTTCTGGCAGCACCACTGAATGGAAGCCAAGCACTGCAGTCGATCATCGAGAGGGGACAACAACCAAGTGCTGGTCTTGACAAACCAGGCTCGAAAATCCACAAGCGCGCCCATCCCTATCCGCATCGGCCCGCGACCATATAGCCAACGCTCGCCCGAAGCCGACTCAGCCGTCGCCTGCAGCGCCGATAATCCGATTCACACAGTACACAGTACTTATTTTTACGCAGTGTAACAGGTTGAAGATCATCCCGTCTTTCGCAGCTCGGCATGCCGCGAGACCCGCGCTCTCGCAGAAAAAGAAATCCGTGCCGGCCCGGACTTACACCTCAAGAGACTCAACAACCATTTCATCATCATCTCTCTCTTCTTCTCGCTTTTCATTCTTTCTTGTTCTTCTATTTTTCCTCTGTTCCTTTCTTCCTATCCCCGCTTTTCTACGATTCCTTGGCTCATTTCCTTCCCGGATCTCCAACTCAACCCGTACAACCTTCGGGTCACCTCTCCCAGAACGCACCATCGCATTATCGACAAGTCAGGGGATCTGCACCACGGACTAGTACAACTGCTTCGGTCAATGGCCGCAGCATGCCGGCACATACTACGTAGCTCGTGGTGCGACAAGGTGTACCTGACATGATCATATGCGTCAGCAGATGGGTACCTACCTACCTTACCGGCTTACTATCCAAAGCACTTCACGAGGAGAACCCTCTAGCAAAACGGCCAGGGCAGGTCTACAGTACTAGTGTACACAGTACGGAAGATGCAATCCTCTTGACGTGATCTGGGGTTGCAACCGTTATCTGGTTTACCGGGATCTCTCTACCTGTACCATACCAACTTCTCACTCATGAAAGTGCGACTGATGAGTCTGTCCAACGGCGACGAAGACAGGAAGGGCGGGAATATCATTGGCTGGGCAGAAAATGGTCCTGTAAGACAGCCGTCCAAGCGCATCATGGCCGGCGTTGCATCCCACTGGCCGAGCTCATCTCGTAATGAATTCTCAACGCGTCGGAAGGAGAGGATGCAGAAAGGCCCATCCGTGGATGGCTAGCGCGGCAGGCCTTCCGCAAAACGCAAATCCAGATCCTCACATCGGCGGCGCAGGACACACCAGAAACCACCGACTCGCGACTCCGCCAAGTGCTAGTATCACCTAAATAATCGACCCAATGTCGTCCCAACGGAAGCTGCCCTCCCAGCCTAGGTTCGAAGGCATCGCGACGTCCCCTACAATGATACGGCCATCGACTCCAGTAGAAGGTTAATACTATAGTATCTTAGCCATCCATTGGCGATCGAGAGATTGTAGTCGACGATATCATGATGATGAACCTTCATCATCAAGCTGGTGCGATACTGCGTATCTGAAGGCCTGTATTGTACAGTACGTGATACCTATGTAGATACTGGATACCTACCTTATGTATGCATTGTACTGTATAAGTCTACTCCGTCCCGTCTTGTGGATCGAACAGTCCGCCAATCGCCTACGGATACCGAGCCCCACAGAGCTCCAATGCTCCACAGCCATGACAAGATCTTGCTTTTGTGATCTCCCGGCCGTTTCCTCTTCCCTCCGCCAAAGAAGCGCCTCGATTGTGGATCAATTTGCAACTCTCCCGACCTTGTTGGTTGAAGCACTGCTTGTGGTCATTCCCCCGCTCATCAGAGCACTTGCACGGCAGCATCGTGCAGCTCGTTCCCCTTTTGGAATTCGCCAGCTTTCCTATCTGGGTGCTGGCCGCGACACGAGGCTGCCATGGGGTTGCATCGCGCAAGGGGCAGAAGAAGCAGACAATTGCACATGATGATACCTAGCCGGTCCTGATTCGCGCCTCATCGGCTTCTTCCCTGGCTTCATCATCCGACGGTGCACTGCCCGCTCTCTCTCACATCGACGTGGTGGATAAACAGGCAATGGCGGCCAGAAAAAGAGGCTCAACCTGGAACCAACAGATATGCAGCCGTAGGGCGTCGTCGGCTGGGAATGGGTACAGGCTCGACAGGCTACGGATAATAGCCGCCGTTCTTGCATCTTCGGGTCAAACCGGCGGTCTCTTCGGCGGCGGGACCTTCGGCTTCTTGCCTTTTGTTGGCACGCTTACTTCCGAAGTAACCTATGGAAACCCGATAATGTTTGATTTGAACTGGTCATGGCGTCTTGCTAGGGTAGTAATTGCCAGATGATATTCTGCACTGGGCGATCCGGAGCAGCGAATTCATGAACAGGCAGTCGCAGCGACCTCTCTCAAGGCATGCCTTATCCAGCAATCCGTGGTGTAAAGAGCGCTCGCGATGGTTGTTATCCGCAAAGGTGCTCGGACAATCCGAAGCCACGCCGATCATCCCGCTCGTTACCCGGTTTCACGATGTTCTCTCATCCCCATCTTCTGCGCATGAAAGTCTGGTCAAGCCACAAGCGAGGCCCGGAAGGCTGAGCGCCCCCCCCCCCCCCTTCCCGGCACTATTTTCGCTCTGGTCAAGTTCCTTAATCCGCACACTATTCATTCCTGTCATCATGTTCATGCACCTCAGCCGGCAGCAAGCATGCGGCACGCAAGGGGCAGTTGCTCTCGTTGCTACCCAACTTCCGTATGCTCTCTCGCATACAGTTTAGCGCCATGCAGACGTGCGAGATACCGATATGTTAGGTACTGATTTGTCAACGCATCGACGCTGTCGAATTTGATGAGGATTGTTGCTCGATGCCTCCCTACTTTTCAAATATATGCCTACCATTAGTATTGGACTTGCTGTCTATGAGAAATATGTCTCTCCCCATGTGGCTGCTCCCCTCGGAACCCGCTTTGATGATGTAGGGCGTTGGCGGCTGGGCTGGACCGAACCCGCGTCTTAACTTGGCGGTAGCTGACTTATTTACGCCCCCAGTCCTCTCCAGCGAGCTTCTTGATGAAACATGGCCGCATACACATCCGACCCGGACCGGGTAAGGTCAGACAGAGGGCGAGACTTTGCCTGGCCCGGGCCTTATCACATTCACACAGCCCCATACTTACGGTGTAGTGTATTTTTCGCAAGCGCCGTCTCCGCAGACGACGGTCTTCCTTACCTTAGGTACCTACTATCTTTGCCGATCGACCTGGCAGCCTACATCAATACTAGCATTAAATAAAACCGCCCTTCCTGCCGGTAGTCGAAGAGTCAAGGTGAGAATAACTCGCCGACGGTTGGTAGAGGAAGGTTGCAGTGAACGCCATGGTGCTTGCACGCCATGGTACAATTACTTTGAGGCGGACGATCAACACCGTAACTGTCGGCCATGTGCCTATAGGGCGGCACTTACATGAATGATACTGTGTTACAGCTGGGCGGACAGAGAACAATGCCAAGCTATCTGGGAGATCATGTTGGTGTTTTCTCATGTTAGCTTCGCGCTTACACAGCGGGCTCTGAGGCTTCCACCACCGGCCCCGGCTCGGCTCGGCCATCCCTTACCAAGAGTACGGAGAGGCACCAAGTCCTTGTAGCCTCGTGGAACTGATCGAAACCTTTGTAGCAGCTTCTTCTTCTTCTTCATTGCCTCTCAGAGATCTACGTGAAGTATATGCCGCATATGCTCCAAGTTGTGCGTCGTAAGGGAAGAACGGTATCTGTCATGGCGGACATCGAACCTGTCAGCGAGCCTGCCAGCTTCCCCTATCCCTTCCTTCGCTGCAATTCCTGACTCCCCGGCACCCCCATCCATCCCCAGCCCATTGAAGCATCACCGGTCCCCCGATGCGATCCGGACCTGGCAGAGCACTGCGGGTAACTTCGGACGCGATACAAAAGGACGGAGCCACCTCTCCTGGTCTTACCAGCGTTTGGGTGTGTCGCGGCCGTGTCGACATCACACAAAGCGGGTTGATATCGTTTGTCCTTTGGGCATGGGCTCGGCGTACCGCATGTTTGGCTGGACCCGGCAAGTGATGCACTGAGGGCATCCCCGCGTGAAGCCGGACCGGTAGGATCGTGTCTCAAGAGACTTTACCGTTTGACGATCGTGACTATGGTGGACATAGCTCAGTAACCCGGAATAGACAGAACGAGTGGGGATATCCGGGTTATAAATCTCAAATTCAATGGAGTCGACTTACCGATATCCTCGTCTGCCAGCTCATGTGAGAGACCCACCCGTTGTGGTTGGTGCTTGACCGACTTGCCGTAGACGATGGCCACCTTAAATTGCTCAACGATACTCCGATGGATGGCGTTGCACTGGATGAAGTCAGCGTCTGGTATCGACCCACGATCGACGCGGCGGACGAATGGGTCACTCACGAAATCCTCGACTGTGCATTTCGTCGAGCGCAGCACGACAGGGGCCGAGTAGTCCGGCATCTTGCCTTTCGGCTTGGTGTACACCCGGACGAGTTTTAGTTTCTCCCACCTTTCTGGTGTCAGCGACTGTCCGCCCAGACTGTAAGTAGCAGAGTTGGGGGGGGTTAGGCGTACATGGCCTCCATCAGCTCGTCGATGTTCCACCCATGCTCTGAGCTGATGGGCACCGAGTTCGGGATGCGGTAGAGTAGATCGAGCTCCTCGATGCTGATGCTGTCGATCTTGTTGAGCACGTAAATCACCGGAATATAGCTGCGACTTTTGGCCTCGAGCACATCAATCAAGTCGTCGATGGTGGCGTCGCAGCGGATAGCAATGTCTGCCGAGCTGATCTTGTACCTGTGCCAAGCGTCAACACACTCCAGCACCTTACGAAGTGGAAGCAGTGTCGCACACTTACTCGCTCATGACCGCCCGGATCTCATCTTGATCGATATGGGTAAGCGGTACCGTGCTGGTGATATTCAACCCGCCCTTGTCCTTCTTCTTGAACGTGATATTCGGCGGCTCCTTATTGATCCTAATCCCAAACCCTTCCAACTCACTCTCGATAATCCTCTTATCCGTCAGCGGTTTGTTGACGTCCAGCACAATAAAGATCAAGTGGCACGTCTTGGCTACGGCAATGACCTGCCGGCCACGACCACGGCCGTCCTTCGCACCCTCGATAATACCGGGCAAGTCGATGATCTGCAGTGGCGCGCCGTTGTATATGACCTGCCCGGGCACGCTGGTCAGGGTTGTGAACTCGTACGCGGCCGCCTCTGAGTGCTGCCCCGTCAGCCGGCTCATGAGCGTGCTCTTGCCGACAGAGGGAAAGCCGATGAAACCAATGCTGGCAACTCCTGTGCGGGCGACATCGAAGCCTGCGCCACCGCCGCCGCCGCCGCCGGACGGGGTCAGGAGCTCGCGCTTCAGCTTGGCGAGCTTAGCTTTGAGCTGGCCAAGATGATACGATGTAGCTTTGTTCTTTTGAGTCCGAGCCATCTGCCGCAAAGAGATGAATCGTTAGGGTCCGTTGTCCTCGTTTCCGGGCGCAAAAGGGCAGACATACTTCGGTCTCGATCTCCTTGATCTGTTGTAGCAACTCGTCAGTACGAAGGCAGTTACTTTGCTGCCAACAATCGGGACGTTTCAACGTACCTTGTCTACTGTGGTCGCCATGGTCACGGTGTCGTTGGGTTCCTGCTGGATCGTCGTAATGTCTTTCCTTGGGGTCGGGAGATGGCGCTGGAAGCAGATGTAGAGTTGGCGAAGTTCAACTTGAAATTCGATGTCGTTCCAAGTTCGAAGTTGGGAATTTCAATGTGGGGGCAAATTCGAACGGGGCGGCCCGAACAATGCCCCGCCATCGGACGTCGATGCAAGAGCGGGCTTATAACAGGGGCATACATGTATACAACGCAGTACAAGTGTATAGACAAACTTTCGCAGACCAGTAAGGATTGAACGCCATTCACTGCGCGCGGTATTGTATACACTTTATGTTATGTACAGTACATCTTAGAATTCCCGCCCACAAAGCCATGAGCCGAGTCTTCATACATTCCCCAATGCCCCTGAATCTTCCGTGAAGGAACCAACATACGATGATCCATGACATGACTCCAACAATTGTGCTCGCTCTAACTGTGGAGCACACAGATCCCGTTTACCGTCATTTATGAGGGTTTCTCTAGGACGTTGCTGGGCAGAAAGGTCGATTGGTGAGCAGGAAGTTGCCCCGGTTGGTTCGGGGCTGTTGGCGACTGCGTAGGCGAATGCGGATGTGTTGGGTCCGCAGAAGGACTGCGGCGCCCTCGTTGGCGAAAGGATTGTGGTCGGTTGGCTGGGTCGGAGCCCTCTTCTTCAAGGCCAAGTTTAGGTAGAGCCCAGGAGAGCGGCCTCTACCCATGTGATAGGTTTGGATTGTTTGCATGGCAAGCTGCAGGCCCCACCTGAGTGTTCCCCATAGCGCTCCTTTATTCGGCGCTGTTCAGCGTGCCATGGAGGCCATTAACCAGGGGCCGAGCCTGCCCAGGTCCGGCCTCAGAAGACGGAGAGATCGGTTGGTTCCCGGCCCCGTCGGTTACCGCTCTGACCGCCGCCGTCACGAAAGCTGGCTGAGTCGTATTCAATGTCGGCGATCTCAGGCCGTCGACAGACGCTGTCAGCGCATGCGGCGACCCACTCGTCGGGGACGAGTGCACTCCGTTTGGTAAGAGAGACGAATCTCCGTCAACTACGGAGTTGTCGGCGCCTCGCTCCCTAGAGAGCCCGCGATAGGCTGGGTCATCACGGAATGTCGCAACAAGGCCGCGGCGGGAAATTCGTTGTGTCGGGAAAGGCGATGTGCTCGCCTCTCTCAGTCTTGGCTTGTCTTCAGAGACGAGTTCGCCGTTGATGTAATGCTTGTTGCTTGGCGCAAACCCGTGGAAGCCGTTCGTCTCCGGGTCATCCCTCCACTTCTTGTGAGGCGTCCAACTTACGTACTGCGTCTCGTCGTCAGGTATTTCGCAATAAGCGATCGTGAGTTTGACGTTGCGAAGGTGCTGTATCGTAGGGATGATGTATAAGAAATCGGACGCCTGGAATAGTTAGAGACGGAGCAAAAGGTTGAGGAAGTGGGGTTGTATAGGCGCTCACTTTGACAAAGAACATATCCATAGCAGAAAACTTCTCCCACGCCTCTGCTCTAAGCCCCTCGAGCATCCGATAACCCATCCGGGCGGGGTCGTTCCCTCGATAGTAGTCGGGAAGCTGGCTGCCGAGCTCAAAAAGCCGGGGCGTTGTCAGCGCGTAGCGGTCAGACTCAAGCCGCCAAATGACACGCTTCGCGATGGGCGACACAGGTATCCGAGTCCAGGCCGTATCTGTGCAGCACCATTAGCAAAAGCTCAAGTTGGGTTCGCTTGAAGAGCGGAACTTACATCGCGAGAGTTGAAGATCTTTCTCTCCAAGGAGAAGCGCAACCTGCGTGTTGAGCAGCCACTGTTCCCTGCCGTCGCGGGTACCGTTTGCTGCCGGATTGATGCAATCATATCTGACCCCCTGCATGATGCTGAACTTCTCGGCAACCTCGGGCAGCTTCGGATTATCGGCGCCATCAAGCCAACGCAGGACAGGCGGCAACCTGGCCAGACGGGCACGCTCCTGCTCAAGATGGATGCGCTGTCGTTCGGCCTCCCGCGCGGCTCGTCTGCGGTCCATTTCCTCCCGGAGAGCGCGCTCCTTGCGCTCTTGTTCTTTCTTCTCCTCCTCGTCACGTTTACGTCGAGCCTCCTCAGCTGCTTCGCGCTCGAGCTGCTCCCGACGCAGCCGCTCTTCCTCTTCTCGCCTCTTGCGCTCTTCTTCCTCCTTCTGCCTTCGCGCTTCCTCCTGTCTCCTCCTCTCCTCTTCCTCAAGCCTCTTTTCCTCTTCCTCAAGCCTCTTTCTCTCCTCGTCCTGCAATCGTCGTCGCTCCTCCTCCTCCTCTCGCTGCTGACGCTCTTGTTCCTCCCGTCTCCTTCGCGCCTCTTCCTCCTTCCGCTTCCGCTCTTCCTCCTCCTTCTGCCGCTGCTCCTCTGCTTCACGTCGCCGAGCTTCTGCCTCAGCAACTCTCTTGGCTTCCTCTTCACGCCGGAGCCGTTCCTTCTCCTTCTCTTCATCATCCCGACGCTGCTTCTCTTGATCCCTTCTCCTTGCCTCCCGGGCCCGTGCTTCAGATTCTGACTGTATACGCTTTTCCTCTTCCACTTTGTTATGATGCAGCGCAGGTACCTTTATAACATCTTCTTTCCCACTTTGTTCTTGGCAATCGCGAGGCAGGGTATCTAGGCTATTGTCCACGGGCGCGACGGCGTTAGACATCTCGACATCCAGGTCCTCTGATTTAACATGAATACTGCCGTCGGAGGAAACAGACTTCCCAGATTCCCGACGCCCCTGATGAAGAAGGGTACCTGCCTTCGCGGGCTTCGAAGTGAGCCTTCGATCTTCTTCATCTCGCGACTTGGACAGGGGTCGTTGGCCAGCGGCTGAGCCGGAGGAGGGGTCTCGAGGTAAGGATGCTTTGAGGAATCTATCGTCGGACTGACTAGACTTTGGTCGCTTATCCTTAGCGTGGGTATCCAGGCGTCGCCTCTTGGCTGAGACATCGACATCATCCTTTTCTGTCAGTCCCAGGTGCGGAGGCGTTGCACTCGATCTGTATCGCTTGCCGGTGCTCTCGCCCGAGACGGAGAGTCTATCGCGGGATTCATCTCTTTTTAGGATCCTTGCCCTGTCATGGTACTTTTCGATCTTTTGCCTCTTCTCGAATTCTTCGCGAGGGCTGGATGGTTCCTTTAACGAAGAAGCATTCGACGTCAGGCTGGGGCGCCGCTGCCTCTCCCGCTCCCTCTCTCGCTCGCCCTTGAGCTCCCGGCCGGACACCAACTTCTTCCGTCTCGGTTTGACCGTCTCCCCTTCAGAAGATATTCCTGTAAGATCCGACTCTGCGCGCTTCACCTTGGTCGTAGGCTTCCCAACCGGTGAGGCCTCGCGGTCGGAAATTGCAATTGTCGGAATACGGTCCTCTTTCTTCGGCCGTCCGGGGCCCCGTTTTGGTGAAGTTTGGTCATCTTGATGGGTGGCGATTGAGCTCGCGCGCCGCCTCTCCTTGGGACTCGTGGATATATTGGTAATGCGGTTTCTAGGCTCTCCCAGCGGGCTCAATGCCCTCCTCTTGTGGCCTTTCACACTCTCCTCCCTCCTGACATCGATCCTGCGTTTCGGTTCGCGGTCCTGCTCTCGGCGGCCGGGAGACCGGGTTTTGGAAGTCTCCTTGTGCGTCTTCTTATACTCGTCAAAAGCATCCTTCAACATGTGCTCTTCCTCCATCCAGTTCGGACCCCGTCGTCTCCTCGCGATCTCGTAGTATGTTTCCCCCTTGATACGTCGCGTGGGATCGAAATCGGTCTGATCAAGAAGAAGCCTGACGACCTTGATGTTTTCCTGACCAATTGCAGCCAACATGGGAGTCGTGTACTCGCTGTTCGGGTTTGGGATAGGCGGAGGATCTGGATTGGCCCTTCCTAAGGCCAACAAGAGCTGCATGACGATGTCGTGGCCTCCTCTGGCGGCCGCAACCATAGACTCGGGGTCGTCAAAGTTCTCTCTGACTTGAAGAATGCGCGTAACAGTCTCCTCGTCACCACGGGCAGCCGCCGCACGCAGAGTCTTGTCATCCATGGGCATGTACAGCAGATGATTGCTGGTTTTCGTTGCACGGACCGTCCCAGCCCTTCGACCGCCACCCGCGTGGATGGAGCTCGATGCTCCTGGCGATCTCCGGGGGCTGTCGGGCCCATGCGAGGAACGGGTATCCGCCGGATCCGGATGATGTTCCTCAGAGGTTCGTCGTCGCTCGCCCATTTTCTGCTTGGCCTCCTGCAGGGCTCGTCTAATCTCGTCCGCATAGTCGAGTTCATCATTCACCCTGTCGATCGGCTCTTGCCCGTACGCGTTGGCCTTGCGAGGATTCACGCCAGCATCGAGCAGAATTTTGACCACGTCTAGATGACCGTTCTCTACGGCATCTAACAAAGGCGTGTCTTTGTCGTTGTTGACGCAGTCGAGATTACACCCAGCATCCACAAGAAGCCGGACAATATCATCGTAGCCATTAAGTGCGGCGATCTGGAGCGGCGTGTTGCCGGCATAATCGGCCACATTGATGTCCTCCGGACGTTCCTGTAACCGCTGCTTCGCTATTTGGTACTCGCCCTTGGCGCAAGCCCTGGCAAGGAAGGTTTGACCGTGCGCATCCAGGTGCTTCTTGTGCGGAGCCATCTTGGCAGGAGAGACGGTAGACTCGGCATGAGCGGGAGTTGCCAAGCCACGTATCTTGGAGCTGCGCGGATGTGGGCTGTTGCTGGCTGACGACTCGTCAGAGTGATAGTCGGCCGACTGGAGCGGAGCTGGTATCCGCTTCTTCTTTTGGCCGAGCCCGTTATTAGAAGAGTGAGCTGGGAGCTGCGTCGAGATGCTTCGACGATGGGCTCGAGAGTGTGGAGAAATCGACCGAGTGCGCGTTGAAGACTGCGCCTCGTGATGATGGGGTTTAGGAGGAGGGTGTGGTTTCCGAGACGCGTCGAGGCCAGAACCAGAGGTGCGCTGTCGGCGGATCTTCCGATTCTCCGCTTCGTCGTCAGAGTCGGGCCTGGGCGCCTTCCGTTTGTGAGGCACCACCTTGTCGGGTGACTTGAGCTTGTCCTTGACCATGGCTTTGACCGATTCCGCAGGCGCGGTGTCGGGATCCGATTTTGGGTCATTCGACGAGCGGCGGCGACGCTGGGGCTGAGGTGGAGATCCGGGTGCAGAGCTGAGGTCATTGGACCCGTCCTTGCTCTTGGTCTTATCCGAATGCTTCTTCTTCTTGCTGGCGAGCAATGCAATGTTTTCATTCGGCGCAGTCCCGGTAACCGACACCGATCTCTCCACCTTCTCGGCACGGTCGATTTTGTCACCCTTTTCGGCCCTGTCACCCTCTCGGTCCAGCTTCAAATTAGAATGCTTACGGCTTGACGCCAATGATGGGCCGTCTTCCGTGTCGTTCTTCTCATGCTTGATGATCCTGCGCACTTTCGACGGCGAATGGCCGTCTTTGCCCGGCAGCACTATCGTCTCGGCATCAGAGTTGCCATCGGCCCCGCCATCTTCATCGCTTGGACGACGTCCCGAAGCACTCAGTCTGTTGTCCTTGAGGGATAGTTCGGGTTTGGCGGGGTGGGACGTCTTGGTCACGGTGGGAGCCCTGGGATGATCGGTGTCGCTGCCCGGCCGCTTGGGAGAAGCAGCAAGCTTCGTGGAGGCGGGCTCAGCAGCATTCTGCGCATCCATGTCATTTAATTCGAAGAAAAACTACCGTTTTGCACCATCCTGGTCGCTGCTAGAGTAGCCTGGACTTAACAAGACGGACCGGGGGTGAGAGGCGATTGATTCGAGTCAACAGAATTGATGCGCCAGACAACCCGAGATCGAGGGGATTGAGAAAGTTAGGGGCTTTGTTGGTGGTAAGAATCTGGGACAGACCCGCACAGCCGTTCCGTGTCCGAAAAACTAGTCCAGGAACCCAGCAACCACAGCAACCAGGGACCGCGGGTGAGAAAAGGCGGCGCGGCGACGAACAAACGATGAGAAAAATGAGTCAAAGAGGACCGAGTCGTCCGAGGGAGAAAGGCGTCTGAGAAAATGGCTGCAACACGATATACTGATGATACAAGCTGCCGTTAGAGATGGCTGTGGATTGCTTGTTGCGGAATAGAGAGTGTTTCGCGAGAGGAGGCGTCGGGACACGACTGGTCGCCATCGATCAACTGGTCGCACCTGCCACAGGCCTCAGAAAACCGGCTGGGATAGGCGGAGCTGGGCGAGTTCCAGATCGTGTGGAAGACTGATGATCGCCACCAACAACAGCGATTGGCCAGCTACGAGTACGGCGGGCGACAGTTGCTTAGGTATTCCAACGCGACGGACCAGGGTGCCAGGGCTAGTTAGCGGTCTTGGATGGGGCAAGGCCGCAAGGGCAAGGGCAAGGGGCGTCTCTTCAGTCTGCATGGCCCTTCGCAAGCCGACGGCGCATTTCAAGGTTCCTTACAAGCTGGGCGCGGAATGAAGCTCAACAGGAGCCTTTGCACTGTGTGACTCCGGGCCCGGGGGCTGCTGCTGCCTGGTGCTAGCTCCCTGTACTTTACTGTGATAGGCACACTAGATGACGGGAATTGCAGAATTCCCGGTGGCAGCGTCCAGAAAAGATTTGCAAATCGTGTTTTCTTCAGGCTTCGACAAACCGCGATGTCTCACCACCAGAACATACTGGGCCTTCGAGAACGCCTTCTCGAAGTCTCATTGCTCCTGTTCGGTCCTTGGTTGGCTCCGTCCGGTCGTGTAGCCTGGTCTGTCTGTGTGCCCGCTCTGCGCGTTTGTTGTGGGCCACCTCCTTGCCAGCCTTGCTCCTCACCAATTTCCATTCCCGGTGCCGCTTGCCAATGGAACCGCTGTCAGCGTCTCCCACTACTTTCTCTGCTGCAGCGCTGAATGCTCCGCCCCTCGGCTGAACCGGGGGTGGTGACGACCAAACAGCGCCCGCGTAGTGAGGAGAAGGACTTTCAGACATAATGAACTCGGTCCCTGCGCAAGTCAACTTGCCGCCGTCGCTGGAGACTTGTCGAATCGCCGCTCCCCGCCGGCGGCGTACTACATCGCAAACTTCCTTACCGAGGAAGAAGAGCAAACGATCTTGCATAAGGTAGCTCGACACGCGCCGATTCTAACTAAATGATTTGAACTTCTAACCGAAACGACGCAAAGGTCGAGACGGCGCCCAAGGCAAGATGGAGGCAACTCACGCATCGCCGGCTGCAGACATGGCCTTCGGACCTCGTCAAAGACACACTGCTCGATGCTGCACCGTTGCCCGACTGGCTAGAAAACCCCGTCGTGTCACGCATCCTCTCGATCCCCCTCTCGGACGACGAGCCGAACATCTTCGCCGGCAGTCCTCACCTCCGCCCGAACCACGTACTCATCAACGAATACCCCCCGAACACAGGAATCATGCCGCACAAGGACGGGGCCGCCTACTACCCTGTGGTCTGCACTGTGAGTCTAGGCTCGAGCCTATGCCTCAACTTGCACAAAAACAAGGAGGACGGGGCGCTGGATCCGGAACCCGTGTGGAGAATCTTGCAAGAGCCGCGCAGTCTCCTGATCACGACAGCAGCTCTCTATTCTGAGTACCTTCACGGCATCGAGCCGATCTCAGCGGATATAGACCTTTCGGAGCGGACCATCGCAAACTGGCACCTATTGCGCTCGCCCTCGCTTTATACCGATGGCGTCAACCAGCGGGAGACGCGCACCAGCCTCACCTATCGCGATGTGCTGAAGGTATCAAGGCTCGGTACCAAGCTCGGGCCCCTCTTCAAGCGACTATGAGTGATATCCGGCCGCTGGGTCGGAAAATGCCGTCAGAAAACGAGGGGAATCATGCTCCACTTGCTCGCAACCGGGCCCATGCCGAACTTCTCGGCGTACCACTTACGGGTGCCCGATGCTGTGACTCCGAGGTTGACTGTAACGAAGACCAGGGCGCACAGTAGCGTCCTATTGCACCACGCCCCGGTGGGGGCTGTGGCGACGGCCATGGAGAAGTAGAGCAGGCACTCGCACGTGTAGTGGGGGCAGATGAAGTAGCGGAACATTCCGTCTTCCGGCAACGAATACTTCTTCAGCCCAGCGAGGTGCTTGTGACACCTGTACTGGTTGACCCAGGCGAACAGGAATGCAGGAATCGCGACAGCCATCTTCCACAGGGATTGAGCGTCGTCTGTGCGTCCAGCTCGGAGGTTCGAGATGGCACCTGTGCTACGGTCAGCTACCCATCTTTCGTGGCCCATCGTCAGGGCGGAAGACATACCCGATCCCTCTACCCAGACGGATACGCTGATGAAGAGATAGAATAAAAGGCCGAGTAGCCAGTGGACGATCCACATGGTGGACTTGGACGGTTTGATGACAGTCACATGCTCATAGACGCGCCTGGTCGCTTGGAGAAACATCATCAACCAACCTAAGGCGACCTGAGCCAGGGTGGAAGTTGGCTCATGGAGTGATGCCTGGCTGGATGCAATGGATTGTAACACAGCTCCGTGGCCAAGGTACTGGACAAGCCAAAAGACTGAACATGCCAGAGACACAACATAGAAGGCGCTGAACCATGAGTGAGGCACCTGCGTCCAGGATGTGACAGCGTCGATGAGCGAAAGCAGCCAGCCGTCATGCTGCGAAGGGCTTGGAGACGGCCTGTCTGCTGACGGTTTGTGAGCTTTGCGAGCGCCGTAGTCAACCAGGAGGGTCTTTGCATCACGCGGCATCACTGCCACCGCCATCACGCCTCCGGCGGCGAGGAGAAAAAAGCCCTGGCACCATTGCGCCGGTGTGACGCTTGACAGCGTAAGGAGGGCCCGTTGCAGGAGTTCACCCCAAGCTGCCATGTTCTAGCGGTCGGTAAGAGCAGAAAATAGAATGATTGTGGATGAGATGGGTGTCGAGGTGTGTCAAATGTGCTTTCGCATCCCATGGGCAGGGCACCTGCACCAGTTCACCGTCCTCGGCTCCACATTGTTCCGCGCCGCCATGCTTGGCAATTAGGTTAGTATGTACTTCAGGTTGTACAATAGCTGGTAGGTACAGACAACAACGGTCCTTACTCAAGTCTACCTAGTGTAAGATCAGTTACCTGCGAGCTTGAAAAGCTCAGTTTGGCGTCGAGCAATCCTTATCCTTTATGTATGGCTCGCCACGACTTCGATTACTTCCGCTATCCCCACCATGGTGTACCCGATCTTTGGAGTCGCTTTCCCTCCAAGTCCGTACCTCGAAAGCTTCCACTCGTTCTAGCCATCTCGAGCTTTGACTTTGCCTGTTTGAACCCAAAGCTATTGGGAGGCAAGTATACACAACGTCAATGAGACGGCAGAATCAAGCAACCCACCTCATTCTCTCGCTCACCTCACGAAGGCGTAGCCGGCTTTCAGAACGCCGGCCATATGAGGCGGTATCCACGACTGTCACCAAAGCCGGAGCCTAAGAGCAAACATCGCCAAAACCAAGCGGAACCCTCGCACGTGCCCCTCCGAGTCCATCGACGTCCCGGACAGATCCCCGGCGCCATTGATGCCGCCGAGGAAGCTGCCGAAAGAGACCCGGAGACAAGACACAGCCGTGATGGACGACCGATCTTTCACAAAGCTTGGGGTCTTTGAAGTATTCACTCGCTGGAGTTCGGGCTGTGTCGTTCGCGCTGCTGAGTCTATGAGACATCGTTGTACTTGATGACCAGTGACGCCCGAGATACCTGGTCTTCGGGTGGTCTTTTGTTGCCAATTGTTGGCACGTAAGAGGTGTCTCGGCTCATTGGTTTAGAGACGGGTACGAACCTGCTCGCTATTTGCATCGCGAAGTAAGGCGGAGAAGAGAGGCTAACTGCAGATTTGATTTCTCTTGCCCTGGCGGCAGGGTGTCCTAAAGGTTGTAGTAACGATCTTAGTTGTCGCCTGGAAGGTCGTGGGATGGTTGAGATCGTTTTTGCTTGAGCATTGGCCCCTGAATGCTTGAATCGAAAGGTTGTCGCCGTTGCCCGCGGCGATAGAGTTCTGCTTCTTTATGTGTGGGAGGGTACATCCCACTGGCGGATCCTTCTGAGTGACTGGTATGATGTGCTCCAGAGGACGCTTATAACGGTGGCCTAAGCGATAAAGAGTTTAGCTGAACCAACGAGCCTGCTAGCAATGAAGTTCCCGGCGGCGAATGAATCCTTCGGACTTTGGCTTAAGCTTCAGGGCTGCGACTGCGTACTTGCAGACTACCAGCTGATTTGGTCGTGGCCATGAGGGCATACAAGGACAGCAGTCACTACCGGCACCACCAACTACCTGACCAATGACAGGAGAAACATGTCTGTTAAAAAGGGTCTCAGAGCAAGGTGCTCCGAAATGGGTCTTGAGCTAGGGGATCTTGGTATACTACAGGGCGGGTTTATCGGCTTTCATACATCATTTCAGGTGAGCTTGCAAGCTCTCGAGAACCTGTGCCAAAGTTAGCGACTGCCGGAACACCTTTGCGATGCGAGCTCACCTCCAACTCAATCTTAGCCTCCGCAATATCCTGCTCGCTGCCACCACCGCTCACAACCTTCTGCGCCTCGGCGATCTGGGCCTTGACGGCCTCGGCACTGAAGTCCTCCAGAGGGTACCCTTCAACGGCGTTGATGCTCAGGGCCGACTTGGGCTGGACGACAGCGAAGCCACCGGAAACTGCAATGCTCTTGCGTAAGCCTCGTGCTCTCCGTTGGGGAACATCATCTCGGGGACATACGGAAAAACCGCTTGTTGTTGCCGTTCTCCTCAATAACCTCGACGACGCCGGGCTTCAGCTGCTCGATTGACGGCACATGGTTGGCGAGGACGCCCATCTCGCCCGACTCGGCGGGAATGTTGACCTGGACGACATCTTGGGACTGGTAGATGGCCTAGATGCGGGAATAAACATTTAGCCTGGGTGAACATTGGCCTGTCGTCTGCACGGTTGCTGTCGGGGTTCGCCGTAAGCCACAGCCGCAATTCCACCACGTACCTGGTGAGGGAGCGACAAGCTGAGCTTGATCTGTTACAATACGTTAGGGTATTCGAAGAGCGCAATGATGGATGCAAGACGCACCTTGTCTGAGACGGCCTCGGCATAGCCTCTGCGCTGGAGGGGGACGCGAAGGGCCGCCGGTCGCGCCCGAAGAGCCGCACGAGCAATGCGGAGGGAGTTCATGGTGGTTTGCGGTCTCAATTGAGTGCAGGTCGTCGGCGAGGCCAGTCGTTCGTCGTCGGAGCAGATTTGGCGGCGGACCCAGAATCGCTTAGCTTAGTTAACCGGAATTCTCCGGGCAGCTCAGCGGAATAAAGTATGTGCGGTCCTTGTCTGCCAAGCCCTGCAGGCCCAACACAATCCCAAGTTGGAGGTCAGCGCTCAGCGCTGAGCATCTCAACCCGGCAAGCCCGCGTGCAACTTGCAAGAGCCAACTTTCAGTTTCTTGATACCTGGCATGAAGTCCACCACATGCATCGCAGTTAGTTTAATGCGAGGGCCCATATACTGCGGTTTTGCAAGAACCCAATAGTCTGTTACAGTACTAGTATACTCTCTGCCTGGCCGTCCTGCATGGTTCCCAATCAGCCCGGGATCGTTTGTACCTACCTACGTATGTACTTCCGTGTTGTACGTAGATGTACAATACGATACATACTCGACATCACTTTACGATTGCCGACAACATGATGCCAAACACCTTGGATGATCATCTTCGGCCTCCGTGATTTCAGTCAAAATGGAAACGCATGAGGATATCACCTGGGCGCCGACCCCACTGAAACACCAGCAATGGGGAAGACAAACCAAAAGCTGCGAAAGACAGAGAGCCCGGGACATGTCTCGTATATTGCTCCCGAGTATAAACTCGGGCTAATAATAAACGTAGAACAAACAATGCCCAAGCCTCCGGAGAAGGCCGCATAGCCCCCATCGGTCTCTTTGATAGATCTTGCCGCAGTCAGACTCGAGCCAAGTTCTACGTACACGCAAGGCAACGGTTTACTAGGGGCCAGGACGGCTCTAATACAGCTGCTAACACAGTATTTCTTTTCATCTACGTCTTCTCTTTCTTTATGTTTTGCTTTATATTTTCCTTCTTGGTTTTGCTTTCTCTTGCCTCCTCTCTCTCCCCTTCTCGCTTCGTTTTCTCTTCCAATGAATCTATCATTGAAACTCGGTTTAGTGCACGACTTTGTTCGCCCTCCTGGAGAACGACTAGATAAGGTAGTTGTAACAAACAAGGCCCCAACGATGAAGTGTTTGCCCGAACCATGCCACTGCAAGGATGCCGCAGCTAGACTGTGAGCAACCCAGATATCAACGACGCTTGCACTTCGGCTTCCTGTTTCCAGTGTAGCTCGCTGCGAACGAAACGTTCCAGCGAAATCACCCTGCGCCACGAGACTGCTCCTTTGATGCGGGGTCATCTCGAGTCGTTTCATCCACGATGGCGATCGCGGGGTCGGACCAGTCGGACCCTGGCGCGAATCGCCCCGGGAAGAGGCTCGTTGGATGCGACTTGAGACGGCCCTCATCCCCGCGGCCTCTCAAAGAACTGTAGTGGCTCTACGGGCAATGACGCTTCACCAATGGGCCTGGAGAGGCGATGGTCGTCTGTGCCTATCATTGACACCTGAACCGAAGAGATTTGGAGTGTGACCACTCATGAGAATGACCATTACAAATGATAACTATTCACCGGGCTTCAGATGTTGAAGTACCGGACTGGTTGCAGGCTCACATGCGAGCAACCGAGCGACATCAACACTAAAAGCGGGGTCCAGCGGACCGCCGCATTCCGGAAGTCGGCCATTTGGCCAACAAGTCGGTATGCAACTGCAGGACCCGCGGCTCCCCAGAGAGGAGAACAGTGTCTCCTAACGATGTTGTAGTTCGTCGGCGTCTTACTAGTAGGTAGTGCTTTGGTGAGCCATGTTGTGAGCACCGAGGACGTACGGAGTACACGGTACAGTAAGGGGGAACCCATCTCACCCTCACCATCGACTTGGTGCTGTGCTTTCTACTCCCAACCCCAACAAAGGAGTGATGAGAGTCGAAAGCCCTGTTCTTGGCAGATGTTACACAGCAGATTGTCATCAGTCGACTGCAAGCCTCCTGCAGGCAAAAAGTCCCTATAACCTCCATGCCTGTCTTCTCTTTCGTGGCTTGCAGACTGCAGAACCACCTACCTACCTACCTAAGGTGGTGGAGTCCAGCCCCTGCAACTAATATCCACCTTTGAAGTTGAGGGGTTTTGAGTCTTTGCCATTGAAGACGGCTGTTTACACGAGAGGATGGGCTCGTGGTCGGGTGGTCAAAGGAAGCACCGGCAGCAAGGACATATAAGCCCGTTGGCATGAGGCCCAGGTTGGACTTTCTCTCATTCTGTCCGTGGCTTGAAGATTTTTGAGCGGAATCGGTCTCAAAAATGAAATATCTTGGCTGATGATCTGTGACACCCCGGTATCAACGAAAATGGAAACGTTGCCCCAAGATCAATTGGGATGACAAAAGAGAAGCCAATCAAGAACGCCAGGTCGAAAACGAGCTGGCAGGGCTAAGTCGGCCATTGGCCGTTGTTCGCTAGTAGATCCACAAGCTGCGCCTTGGACATCCGCGGCAGACAGCGCAGCATGATGTGCGAGCTGTCTGGGCTACAAAGCCAGCCTCCGTGGCAGGACAGTATGATTGCGAACAATTACAGTACCAAAGATATCTTAATAGCCGGGTTTCATCAAACGTGGGGGCGACTTATAGTTGGTTCTCTACTTTGCAGACCGCATTCCATACAGTAAGGTGGCAGTACTCCGTAACACTACTGTATAATCCCGCTACCTGCATACCCACCTAGGGGAGGTACTCCCGTACGTTCCAAGCTGATCTTCTATCGCCACATCAAGGGTTTGCCCGGGTTTAAGCTGCAGAGGCTGATTTTCGTGGTGACCTCAGCGTTAACAAATCCCGCGCGCAGTACGGCTCCACGGCTGCTCCACTCACACAAAAGTCGTGCTCGCAGGCTCACCTCACCACCCACCCTTTGACCGCCCAATCTCACACTCGCTAAATTGTTAGATGGCTTTGTCCCCGGTTCTGAGGCCCTTGTTGCACCCTGTCCCTCATTCCCTCGGACCATGTCCTCTCTTCCATTGCATCTCGCGACAACGACACGACCACACCCAGCCCTGAAGGACTCCGCTGCTCTAAAAACCTGATATTCTGCCGCTTTTCCTTCCCACGAGGATTGCATTAACTGAGCCTTCATTGCTTTATTGCCTTCCCATCTTCTGCAACCCTCCTGATTCACCATCCAGAATTTTCTCAATTCGACGTCATTCCACGACACACCAGGCCGAACTTGCTTGACCTCGCAACAGAGGCCTTCTTGGGTCGACGGCGACGGCCTTTCTTGTAACAAACCCCATCGTCAAACAAGCGACCTGTGACTCCAAAACCATATCGCTCTTCACGATGGCTTTGCAGTTATAGCAATAGGGTCCTTAGGGACACCACCTTGTACGCCGGTTACAAGCCTTAAGTTCGAATACCTCGACCAAGTTGCGGACTCGAGCTTTCAAAACATCTTCACAGGTGGACGCCATATCTGTTACGACCTTCACCACGACACGACCTTCTCAGTTTCTTGATATTGGAAATCACGACCTGCGAGGGCCGTTCTGCGTCCTCTCGGACGGCAAAAAACTCTTTGTCAGGTGTCAGACGCGTTATTAGCACCAGCGTAGAGTAGCTGGCCGCACGGCTGTTCCTCCAAATGGAGCACCACTCACCCCGCGATCATGCGACCTCGAATGTCCTGGCATGGACCGCCGCACATTCCGCCAACGTAGAACCGTCGGTGGAAGAGGACGCAGGCGCCGACGCAGACGAACCGCCCGATCGTCTGGCGCGGATGTCGCATCTATCCACCAATTTTCAACGCACGCCTGTCCGCCGGGCCAGTGAACAGCATGAGTCACTGTTGACCAAGGGGCTGCAAAGCCAGTCGGACGACGACACCAACGGTCTCGGGTCTCTGCGCCAGCTTCGTCGGCAACGCTCTATCACGAGCAATACTAGCTGCGCGTCAACCGCCAATTCCACTTGCACCAGCGGCATTACGACCCCAGCCCGCACCAGCTCGCCGAGCCCGCGACTGCCGAATGCCGGGTTTGTCTCTCTCGCTCCTGCCAACTCTAAGGGTGCGCAGCCGCAAAAGGACCCCGCTGTACAGGCTCTGGAGAAGAAGCGCTGCATTTCCTTCGCTTGTGCAGCTAAGCCGAAGCCTGATGAGAGGACGTCGATGCCGCCCACAGCCGACCGGAACGAGAGAAAGCCCGAAGTTGCGCAGAAGAAAACTTGCATCAGATTTGCATGCCCTCAACCACCGCGGACCGCATACATGCAGCGACGTGAGGCTCGACCGCCAACTCCAGTGCCAAGAGCAACCCAAGCGAGCCCTAGCACCCCTAAGGCTTCTTCAACCCTCGAGAAGCCGCGTTCCCCGTCAACTATCGGCGCCTTTCGCTCTTCGACGTCCCGCAGGAACCCCGGCAGTCCCGTTGCCATTCGGAACAAGCGGTGGCTCACTGCAGACTCCAAGGATTTGGACAGCGAATGCGTACGGTTCCACGAGTTTGCCAGCGGTGAGTCGGTGGAGGAGGATTGGATACGGCGTGATGATGCGACCATGAAGCCGAAGCTCACGATTAACGACACCCTCAAGAAGGAGAACGATATTCGAAAGCTGGGCAAGGAAGCTGAGGAAGAGGCGGAACTTGAAGAAGAAATCGACGAGGAGGAGGATGAAGAGGTTGACGAGGCAGATCTCATCGACGATGAGGATGATGAGGACGATTCTGGGGATGCCGAAGAAGGGGATGATGTGGATGACGAGGTCGACGACCTCGAGGATGAGGAAGGGTTGGAAGACGGTGCCGACACAGAACATGCTTGGGATGAGGAAGCTTCCGATGGTTACAAGACGGACAGCGAGTTTGGTTTTGCCGAGTCTGATGATGAGGATGACGACCTGGTGCTATGGACTACTCGCATAGGCCACTATCGGTCTCTTCTTTCCGGGGCCGTATCAGGCATTGCCACAATGTCCACACTTTCACGGAGGCCGTCACTGGGCGGGAACTCGGATTCGTCGTCGTCGTCTAATCGCAAGTCGGCCCTATCTCGCAAGAAGCGCTCGAAGACGCGTCCTGTTTCCCTCCAGCCTGCCACTCACGAGTTACCTGACAGCACGGATTTTGTATGCGGCACCTTCGATGAGGATAAGCCTTTGGAGGAAGCTTATATCTCGCGTGTCGAGAGGCGAAGGCGTGAGCGGCAGCAGCCCATTCCTCAGGACATCGACCCCAGCTTCCCAACTTCTGATCCCGAGGATGAGGCCGAAGAGCTGTACAAAAAGGGGAATGGCGAGAGCGATGACCATCTTTGGCTCCACGGCGAGTTTGAAGATCTACACCATGAGCGTGACCGCAGGGGCCGCAAGAAGGGGCCTGTACCATCTCCAAAGAGATGTCGCTCCCCACCGCCCAAGCTCAAGTCGCGCGGTCACTCTCCTAAGAAGCTGTACGATCAGCGGTCTCCCCGACTGCGGTCTCCGGCTCCCCCTCGCCTAGCACTCAAATTACCCGTCATCTCCCCGGTGCATGATTGCGCAGGCCTCGGTCTCAAGCCTCTGGCATTCGGTCCTCACCCGATGCAGGCCAAGTCCCTTCCCAAGGCACCTAGCATGATCCCTCATCTCAAGGTACGCAGGCCGAGAGGTGGTACCATAACGAACGAGGCGCATGTTCGCGGTGCCATCGACATCGTCAAGGGACTCGAGCAAAAACGACAGCGGCGCAAGGAGAAATTCTACCAAAAGTACTACAACCGAGCGCGGAAAGAGAAGGCGCAAACAAGACGGCCGCCTCCCGGACAGGGCGCTGAGCGCATGAGGGAGCTCGGGCTGTTCATGGCTGGCAAGGTGGGACACGGTAATTACGTGCTTTCCATCTAGACCGGGGAGGTTTATCTGATCAGCAATCGATAACTGCGGGCATACCCAGGCATGTACAGCTGGAGTCGGGTGGCATTCATGACATTACGAGCTTGGGTGGGCATCGTTACACTTTTACGACAACATGGCGGCGCAAATGCTTGCAAATTCTGGGAGGGTTGGATATCGTTTGATTATAATCACAGTTGTTTCTTTAGTAGGTAGACATGAGGCCGCACTAGGCTCTGAACCAGTGTAATGGCTCTCAAAGTATACATATTTTGTTCGAGACACTGCACTTGCTTGGGCTCCCGTGAACTCCCGGTAGGTACAGATATGTACCAAGAAGGTAGGTAAGTAGCATCCATAGATTTGGTTCGACCGCATGTCGATGTCATCGCAATCAGAAAACCATGCACGAGACCAGGAGAGAGATTCAACGAACAATAACCAATTTACATTAGTAGTGCACAACTACCTCCTGGGAGTCGCCATACATTGGCGTGTGGCCGATCCAATATTGGTCATGCGATGCACCCCCAACAGCTTCTAATTAGGCCAAAGGGCTGCGCTATCGAGACAACAACATTGGCCGCAAGGCTCGAGGAGGTGAAGTGACTCGGAGTTCTTGCTTTGATATTTGGCTGATTGCCGCCTGATATTTCAGGCGCAGTTACTATCTAAGTTAGGAGGACCCAGCAGTCACGGGAGGCCCAACGAGGAACTTCCACCCGCGATTGGCACATGGCCCGGGTCGGACGGGGTGGCCAATGCGCTCTGCTGGCCAATTCCTGCCAGCTTTTGGATGATTCGAGCATCGTTGGCCGATACCTTTCTACACCAACCAACCCTCTTTGACACATTTCTCCAGCGCAACACACATCGAGCCAAAGGCTGGCGCTCCCTTTTTTAATACTCGGTCAAACGGGATAACTCACCTGCCCTTATTTTCATAAGCAGCTGGGGACGACGACAAGAGAGACCGTCTGCTGACGCCGACCGCCAAACACCACCGCCATGTGGATCATTAACTGGTGTAAGTAGTCCTGTGTTCGCTGAAGCATGTCATTGTAGATGGACAAGACCCGGCAGTGGGTTGGCCATCTTCTACATGTCCCACTACGGGGGTGAAACGTCAGCGGTCGAAGCAAGCCGGGAGAAGCTAACGCTGAGCCTCTTAGTCTACGACATCCTGTCGTCGCTCGGCTTGCTCAACAAGCACGCCAAACTACTGTTTTTGGGCCTCGACAATGCCGGAAAGACAACCCTGCTACACATGCTGAAGAATGACCGTGTTGCGATCCTCCAACCGACGTTACATCCGAGTGCGTCCCCTTAAACCTTCCCGATCGTGGTGTGCGAATGATGAGTGTGGACAGGGTCGGCTGACATCCGCTGATACAGCCTCGGAGGAGTTGTCAATTGGCAATGTGAGGTTCACGACCTTTGATCTAGGCGGTCACCAGCAAGGTGGGTTTTGCTCCCTTTAACCTTCGACCCTGTTTATCAAAGCTCGTGTCTAATTGTCCTTTTCCCGCAGCCCGCCGTCTCTGGAAAGACTACTTCCCGGAGGTCAATGGCGTCGTCTTCCTAGTTGACGCCAAGGACCACGAACGGTTCCCCGAGGCCAAGGCCGAGCTCGACGCGCTCCTATCGATGGAGGAGCTGGCCAAGGTGCCATTCGTCATCCTCGGCAACAAGATCGACCACCCCGACGCCGTGTCCGAGGACGAACTGCGCCACCAGCTCGGCATGTACCAGACGACGGGTAAGGGTAAGGTGCCTCTGGAGGGCATCCGGCCCATCGAGGTGTTCATGTGCTCGGTAGTCATGAGGCAGGGGTATGGCGAGGCTATCCGGTGGCTGTCTCAGTATGTGTAACGGGAAGCATTGGGAGGCGGGGGCGTCAACTGGAGCAATAATGGGTGCGCCGGGCGGTAGTGGCGGAGTCAGCAACAACGGATCAAATCCCGCGGGAAGCCAACGATATATCGAGACTTGGGCAATGCATTCTGCTGTCCAACGGGCTGAGCGCAAGTTGGAACATGCCAATCTGCTCGGGCCATGGGGGGAGGGGTTTGCTGTTGGGGATGTTCTACGAGGTACCCTAGTCTGCTCTACGACTGACAACGATATGACTCGGAAATCATACCTCTTGTATTTGCCTTGCAGTTTGATTTGCCGTCGAAGAAACGGAGGCGCTAGTCGAGGAATCATAGCACAAGAGCCGAGTGACGGAGCAACCCCTGAACCACGGTTACTGAGAGCTGACAATATACATGCCGTGTATTTCTCTAGGGGATCTCCAACTAATTCTACCGTGATTTCATCGAAGCGAAATGATGCAGCAGTGCCGAAAGGCAGATCACAGGCTTGAAGATAGCGTACACGGTCTCGGAACTTGAGACCTGGACGCCGTGGCATGTCGCGGCATACTGCTTGGTTGGGCAGGGCTGCACGGGCCGGTGGAACATGCGATGCAGTGGGGTGCCTGTTGACCAGGGGCGACCGACGTCATTTCCTCTCTCCCAACTTTTGCGCTCCCAGCACTCCACCCTCACATTTCAAGAACCCCCCCATTGGGGACGCCCATGGAAGTCGCCGTTGAAGAAATTCCCACGGGTTTCGATCGGACCCCTGATTGTATGTACATAAAGGTACATACATACAGCGAAATAAACCAGGTTATTCCCGTCTGGTATTCCGTACTTGCGCTCTATGCTCCAGTTCGTGTTTCCATCGTTTTCTTTTTTCTCCCTGCTAGACACTTTTGGGCGACGCGGGTCGAACTTGCTTGAATAGCCCCCTTAATGGCTAGTAGTAGTCGTGCCGAATCCGTTGACACGCACATACGTCGAGAGCCGTAGCAGCACGAGCAATCATGGCCGAGCCAGACGGATCGCTTAAGATTCGCTTACCTGCACGCACCTACGGCTTTTCACCAGAGGCGTTCGACTGGACGCGCCTGCCGGACGTTGAGACCAACTTTCTCCCACCAGAACACATCGAGGCCTTTGTCCAGGCCCTCTCCGCGCCGGATCCCATCCCGCAAAGCCCCGAGGACCCCACCGCTTCCTCATCCTTCCGCCTCAACAGCCCTCCGCTGGCCAGCTCAACCAGCTCCGACGTTGATTTCAGCAAGCGCGCCGCAGCCTTGAGCCTGACTCTCCACGATGAGGAGCGCGGTGCGAGGGATGCCGCCGGGACAGCCGCCGCTGCCGCCGATGCCGCTGCGCCAGGAGGCCCAGCAACCCAAGCCGGACCGTCATCGTCACAGCGACCACCAGCGCTGGGAAGCCGTCGGCCCAGCTCCTCCAGCAACCTCTTCATCGCGGCTAGAAGCGACTGGGCGCCCGTCCGCGAGAGAGTCCTCCGTGACAAGGACAAGGATAAGGACAAGGGCGGCCAGCAGGCTGCTAAACGAGCCGGGAAAAAGAGCAGGAGGAAAAAGTCGCGCTCCAAGGACGAGACACGGGAGGGGTACCTCTACAGTCTGCTGAAATGGCCATTCCTCCTCATCGTCGGCGCGTGGATTGTGGGGTTGGCCCTCGCGTATATCGCTACCCGCACATACATCTACTTGTACGAGCAGTGGATCGCCTGGCGCGGGAAGAGGGAAAGGCTGCGGCGGGCCATGCGCGCCACGAGCCGGTACCGGGACTGGGTCGCGGCCGCGCGGCGGATGGATGACTTCTTTGGGAATGAGCGGTGGAAGGAGGAGGACGACTTCGCCTACTACGACAGCAAGACGGTGAGGAGGGTGCTGACGGAGATGAAGAAGTGTAGGCGGCTGGCAAAGAAGGGGGAGGAAGAACAGGCGGGCGGGGCGGTGGAGGAGCAGGACGGAAAGCGGGCAGTGGAGGAATTGAAGGTGCTCATCGAGGCGTGCGTCAAGAACAACTTTGTGGGCGTCGAGAACCCGCGCCTGTACAGCCAGACGTACTACGGGACCAAGAACTTGGTGCAGAATTTCATCGATGAAGGTGAGTGATGAGATCTTGTTCTACCAGATAGCCAGCCCCTTCGCCTTTCCCAGAGGTCCACTGTCGAAAGAGTCGTTGTTAGCGCTGACGTAGACTTTGCCCAGTGGAGAAGAGTGTCAAATTCCTCATCGACACGAAGCAGCTCTCCAAGGAGGAGAAGCGCGTCCTCTTCAAGGGCATCTGCGCCAACTACGGGCGCACGGCACTGTGTCTGTCGGGCGGGGCCACGTTTGCGTACTACCACTTCGGCGTGGTCAAGGCGTTGCTCGAGGAGGACTACCTGCCGGACATCATCACGGGCACCAGCGGTGGCGCGTTGGTGGCCGCGCTCGTCGCCACGCGCACCAACGAGGAGCTCAGACAGCTGCTCGTGCCCGCCCTCGCCCACCGCATCAAGGCCTGCCGAGAACCCATCACGGTCTGGTTCCGCCGCTGGTGGACGACCAACGCCCGCTTCGACTCGGTTGACTGGGCCAAGCAATGCGCCTGGTTCACGCGCGGATCCATGACCTTCCGCGAGGCCTACGAGCGCACGGGGCGCATCCTCAACGTCTCGTGCGTGCCGGCAGACCCGCACTCGCCCACCATCCTCTGCAACTACCTGACCAGCCCCGACTGCGTGATCTGGTCTGCGGTCCTCGCCTCGGCCGCCGTGCCGGGCATCCTGAACCCGGTCGTGCTCATGATGAAGACGCGTTCGGGCCAGCTCGTCCCCTACTCCTTCGGCCACAAGTGGAAGGACGGCTCGCTGCGCACCGACATCCCCATCCACGCGCTCAACCTGCACTTCAACGTCAACTTCACCATCGTCAGCCAAGTCAACCCGCACATCAACCTGTTCTTCTTCTCGTCGCGCGGCTCCGTCGGCCAGCCCGTCACCCACCGCCGCGGCCGCGGCTGGCGCGGCGGCTACCTGGGCTCGGCCGTGGAGCAGTACATCAAACTCGACCTGACCAAGTGGCTGCGGGTGCTGCGACAGCTCGAGCTGCTGCCCCGCCCGCTCGGACAGGACTGGTCGATGCTGTGGCTGCAGACGTTCGGGGGCACCGTGACCATTTGGCCCAAGAGCGTCCCCTCGGACTTCTGGCACATCCTGAGCGACCCGGACGAGGCAAGGCTGGCGCGCATGATCCACGAGGGTCAGCAGAGTGCCTTCCCCAAGATGAAGTTTATCGGGAACCGGCTGAGAGTCGAGAGGCTCGTGGAGAAGGGCCGGCGGGAGAGCAGACTCGGTGTGGGAGGAGGAGGGAAAGCGCCCATTTACGTCGGCGGGAGAACGGGGGAGGAGAATGGTGTGGGTCCTGCAACGTTGGAGAAAAGAGCGAGCCTCGAGAGTATATTGAGCGAAGATGACCTGAGGAGCTTACTGAAGAAGCGGGGGAAGCAGAGGGATAGCGGGGGAAGCGTCACGGCTACGGAAGAGGACGACGACTCCACGGATTCCGAGGTGGATCACGATGATAGCATGGTCATTGACGGCGGGGAGGGCGGCGGGGAGATCAAGGCTGCGAGGATGGAACAACCGAAGATTGCTACGCCGAGCGGGTTGGCGGGCGCCGAGGGACAGCTTTGAATGAGGGCACATAATACTGGAGCGCAGGAGTTTTACAGGTGTTAGAGCATCTTCTTGTATGCGAGTAGGATGGCTCAGTCGTTCCAAGTCATACCCGTAGACATTTTTTTCTTTGTAGACCGGCATCGCCCATCGTTTGGAAATGACAGTGCACTTCATACACATGCTACTTACTCTCTATCCTGCTTGGGGAATGTCTTCGTATTCGGCTGTGACTAAATGAAAAAAAAAAAAAAAAAAAAAAAAAAAAAAAAAAAAAAAGAAAAGAAAAAAAAAAAAAAACTCCTAGTCATTGCGATTCGTATCACTCAATAACAACCAAAGGATGTAGACTCCTTGGGGCTGTCCTCCGGGGACTTGAGCGAACGAGAGACAATGGAAAGTGAAAGCCTGATTTATTTAGGATCCGAGTCTGACGAAGACGAGGGGGGTACGGAGTACTACTTTAACTGCGACGTGCTCATAAGGTCGACGACTTGCCAGCCGATATAGGTCTGGTAATCATCATCGGTAGTTGGATCGGGATTGTGTTGTCAATGTTACAGTGTTGTTTGTAGAAAGATATCTGTCCCTGTTTCCATCACACGCTGCGGGCCGTGGCTCACCTCAGTAACGAGCAGTCCCGTTGATGAATACTGTGCGTAGTTACCGCCGGTTGCGCTCATTTTAGGAGCGGGGCCGCTTTCTTACGTGTGAGCCTGGTCGGGGACTGACTGGCTCGCTGGGCTGACTGGGTGAGACAGATCATCGCGTACGGAGGTTCCGTATGCCGAACCGAGCGTCAAGACGACGACAGCGGAGACGTTCAGGTTGGTCGGCGCTCCGGTTTTCCACTCGGAGCCCCTCCCTCTGACGGACTCTGCGCAGCACGATAGGAATTAGGAAACGACGATCGAGATATGAGATGGATGGTGCCATGGGACGAGGGGAAAAGGAGCGGTGAAGGAAGGGAATGTCGCTTCAAGATCTCGGATCATGGATGTGTCTGGACAGTCAGTACGGATTACAGTACATGCCTTAACCTGTTCAAGCAGGTAGCTAACGTTAGTTATCGGTAACGCAACGAGATAACTTTGGCGATATGATGTCCGTATGTTTGCTTAGTAGTCTTCCCAGCTGTTATTGACTACGGAATATATGAGAAACCGAGTGCCCATTGAGGGCGCCTTGCTCCTGGAACTGCCGAGATAGAAGGAGCCCTTTGAGCAGTGCGCCTCACCAATAGCATGTTCATGCAGCGCAAGTTAGGTGTTCAGGCAGGACACTGGTACGTATGGGCCTGCGGTCCACAATGTTTGTTGTTCCCGGTTTCAATCACGGATTGTCGGATTGACCGTCTTTCTAACGAGTTCGGGTGGGTATAGGAAAATCCGGGGTCCCTAGCGCTAGCGAATCATGGCGCTATCATGGGACAGATCAACAAAAGTGCAATTTCCGCGGTAGCCCCATTTGCGAGATTTAGTGGACAGTGCCGCAGTGTCATGACACTGCGTCAGAGACCGCCATGTTCCATCCCCCCGACAGCTCAACGTCGTGGTTCAAGGGACTTTTGGGTCCGAGAGTGCATTCATGACAGCCGACGGCACAATTGGCTGGAAGTCATCATCATTAATGGGTAAAATAAGACGTCCATGAACCGTTCCGTACAATGAAGCGCCGTAAAAGAATAGCGATTAGAATAGAGGTACAGAGGTATCATTGCCATTCAATCCGCTACCTGAAGAAGACGTATCCACAGCAAATGTGACCACCCCCTTCCATCAAGCAACAGGCATCGCATAGCCCAACACCCCCTCTCCCATCTTTAATAAGTGAAGATATTTACCAAGAATAGGGTCTGAAGGGGTAAATTTAAGCGAAGAGGGCGACGAAGCCGGCAGCAGCGGCGAGAAGAGCAGAGCCGCCGAGGCTGGCAGCACCAGCGGTCACCGGGGAGGTGGTGGCGGGCTTGCTGGGGCTGGGAAGGCCAGCCGAGGGAGAGCTGGGAGTGGGAGCCGCAGTCGAGCAGGGAACCTCGACGGTCTCGTAGATGATGGTGGGGATGACCGTGGTGATGGAGGTCTTGATGGTCTTGACCGAGGTGCCGGGGCACTCAGGGACCGGGGCGGCGGTGACCAGAGTCGTGGTCGGGTAGGGAGGGATGACGGAGCCAGACTCCGTGGGGACCTCAGGAGACTCGGTCTCGGACGCACTCACAGTCTCGGTGGGGACCGGGGCCTCGGTCTCGGTGGTCTCCGGAACCTCAACGGCCGTGGTAGTGGGGGTGGTCTCGCCGACGGGGCAGACGGTGGTCGAGACGGCAACGGTCTCCGTGACGACCGTGGTGGAGTCAGCCGGGCAGTGGGAGACGGTGTCCGGGCAGTCCGTGATGGTCCGGGTGGTCGTGGAGTAGACGGTCGAGGTGGTCATGGGGACGACCGAGGACGTGACCACAGTCGAGCGGGCCGGGCAGTCGGTGACGGTCGGCGCGCACGACGTGATGGTGTAGAACTCAGTCGAGTAAACAGTGCTCTCCGCCTCCTCGTGGCCGTGGGCCATGGCAGCGCCAGCGAGGGCAATGGTGGCAACAGCGAAACGCATCTTGACTGTTTGTTGGGGTTTCGTTTGAAAACGAAAAAGGGGTTGTTTTGGGGTTGGAGTTGGTGTAAAGACCGACTAAAAGCTGAAAAAAGAGTGGACGACCGAAGTCAAAGAGCTAGAGCTTGAATTGGCTTGTGTGAGCTGAAGAGAGAAGAAAAGAAGAGGGACGCTCGAAGGGGACGCCAGACCATCGTTAAATAGCCGAACCCTCCACGACTGCGCGAGGAGTGGGAAATTGCTTGTCTGCACCGCTGCACCGGCTGCCATATTCGGACGACGCTAATCCAGGGGCTCGGTGGAGGACAAGATTGGGAGGGAACGTCGCATCTCCACAAGAAGCGGGGGAGCCCTGGAGCGCGCAACCGTCTGACCTGCGAGAGTGGTCGCGCACGTCGCGCTCCCGCTGTGTTTGCGGACCTTATCCTATCCAAACAAGTTCCCAGGTGTCGTAGCACCAGGGCAGGGGTTTAATAAATGTGTGCTTGTTCGCGCTCGATTTCCGGGTTGGTTGAAGGGGCGCTTAGACCAGTCATCGCTGAGATGACTGAATCCATGCAGTGCTCTCTGATTTGGCGGATCTCTCTTTCGCTGTGTGAGAGTCCCTGGGAAGCCAATTTCAGCCATGTTGCATTTGCCACTAGAGATCATCCATACACTGCCTATGTAGGATTGAACGGACACGGCTTGTCTTCGGTCGTTCTCTGAAACTTTCTAGCTGTCAACCAGATCAACAAAGACTTGAAAATCTCCACCCTCGCGCGCGAATACCGGTACGCCTGTATGTAGCTGTCAGGCTGTCAAGGAAAAGATACGAGAGTGAGAGCGGAGATTCGATCTTCATGTTTCTCCGCAATTCGCGTGATACTGTATTGCTGCAACTGCCGGGCTAAACACCTACACTTGACGACGGCGTGGCCGGACCGTTGTATCTGTTAACGTGTGTTTGTCCACTAGCTGTATCGTCTGTCTTCTTGCTGATCTCGGGTTCTCTCTGTATGACCTTTCAAATAGGCCTCCATTCCAGCAGCGTAGGGAGAATATCAGGAGGCGCGGAGGCCGAGCTAACGCTGCATGAACAGAACACCCATCTTGCGGGGGAATCAATGGCGCACGCACTAATGCAGGTACCATTAGGGGGCGTTTTTTCTCATTCGACAGCAGCCCTCCAAGACGGAAGCAAGCGAGATAAAGTTTCCATCATCGTCGACGAACGGGTTGGCTGCAGCGCCCTCTGCGAGTTGCTTGTTTCCGAGAGTGCTTGTTGAAGAGAAAGACATTTCCAAACGCAACGAGATGTCCGTGGCGCGTAGCACGATGTCGGTCGTCGGGGTTGATGTCAAAGGAGGGGATTTCCGAAAAGACCCATTGTCATGCTCCATGATCATCGCTCCTTTGAACCCATCTTTTGCGACGTTGCCAGGCCTGGAAAATTGCTGCCTGCCAACCATTTCCCGGGTTTTGCATCAATTCTGCCGGTCACTCTCACCTTCACAAGAACCGCCGACAACCAATCACCCAGTCATATGCACGTGTCAAAGGAGCCCGAAGCCTTGCGGGCCCTGATCGCCAATGCTCTCCACCTCCCTGAGAGTCATCCCCGCAAAAGGAGGCGGTAGGGCGTTGAACCCTGTGAATGCTCCACTCGGTGCCCGACGGCCCACGGGAATTCGAAGATGGGACGTCGGTGTGGTGGATCGAATAATTCTCAAGTCGGCAGGCAGTCCAGCAAACAAGCTCAGTGTTGCGCAAGGTTATAATAATGTATTGTCGCGCCTGCTTTGCCTTGTGTCTTGGAGAGGCGGAGAGGAGAAGGCGCGCTTGACCTGTCGGGCCCAACGCGTTTCCAAAGAACTGTGGATTCCTCGCCCCTTCTGATCGAGCACTTCGACGTGCAGTCTGTCCAATGCTGATGTTACATGCAGTAAGACCGATTGAGCCCGCACAGGATTCCGGTTCAACGGAGTAACCTTCCGCCCATGCCGGGCCGACTGGCCTCTCGTCCTGGATAACGTTGTCAGAAGGCTCCGGTGTTCCTGATGATTAGGCGGAACAGAGTGCAGTCTAATCCTTCATCGGACACCCGATCATGGCATTTCGATTTTGGGCCAAGGTCACTGGCTACCGTGTCCACCCGGATTCCCGGTTATCTCGTCCCCGACACCGGCCCTTTGGTTCTTCACCGGTTTAGAATGGGTCACGGGTGCAAGTGCGCTGTTGCCACATTCAACTTTCCTTGTTGTCCTTCTCTCCCGCGCATCTAGCGCTGCCGAGTTTTCCGTTCGGAGTGGGATGATCCAGGAAGGGTGACGTCGATATGGTCGCTCTTTTGAGCGTGAAGAGGCATCAATGCGGCACAGGTACACTGCATGCGGAAGTCAACAACGCATTGGGCTCAATTGGTGCAGGCGGTATCGACCTCGAGGTTCGAAAAGACGATGGTCGCTCTGCGCTCTGGGTTGCTCATCCCGGAGGAGACGACTAAACACGCTGATCAAGCAGGACCACCATTATTACGGACGAACTGCGGGGGTGGGTCGGCGGGGGAGGGGCTGCCTGATGCGGCGGGAAAGTCGTCGAGGCCGAGGAGCACAATTGCCGTTGACGTCTTCTGGCAGAACAGACGAGCAAAATGCGAAGGCATCCCAACAGGCTGACAGGTCAGCGACCCGACTTCCTGGATCAGCCACTCAAATATGTTATCCTGACCGCAAGTGCGGGATTATTATGGGGCTCCTGCGACACAGCCATGGCCTCACGATGTGGTCGGCCGCTCGACCCTGTGGCTGTTCCGTTTGGCGGCGACAGCCAGGCACTTTACTAAGGAGATTGAGCCAGTGGCAGCTCTGCGGTGATATGATATTTGCTGCGTTGCGCACAGGGGCAACATTATCGAAGCGCAGTGTCGCTCAATTCCACTGTCGCCCAGGGACTCTTCGAGTCCCCATCCGGGTGGTGCTTCGCCTGATCGCCAGGACTCCTGAAGCGGGTTCCTACCGGCGAGCTCGCGGGGTCTTGCAGGTATGAAGCGGGAGTGCCCGCCTCGGCATGGCGACAGAGCTCGGCTGGCCGCACGTCTCAGTTGTCACGGCGACGGCGACATTGAATGCACCGACGGCACGGGATTGGGTAAAAAGGGAGGACGAAAGCGGCTTGGTCCGTGCACGACCGTTCAGGACTGAGGACGACCGTTGGGGGCCGTTGAGTCCTAACAGGCGGCCGCTGAGCCTCTGCGCAGTAAATGCGCAGCGGTCCGGGGCCCAACGAACAGGCCTAGCCAGGCTAGCCTAGCCAGCCTACACTAATCCATCCGACCGCACGATGTCGTCGAACCTGAATATGGCGGCGGCCGCCTGTTCCCACTTGGGCGATCTTCAGTTTGGATTGGCGTCTCATCGGTTTGCTCATCTGTGCATCTATCGCGTCCTGCAGTCCTTGGACATGCAGATATCCCAATATAAGAGAAGAGCTGCAGCATCTGGCCTTGGGAGGTGTTGCGCCGTTGCCTAGCAGGTCGGTTACTCACACTCACTCGCCCACCCAAACGCATTTCGCTCTTGTCCTCCATCTTATATAAGTCCTCGCAGCCTGCTTCCCCAGGTCTTACTCGATAAAACGGCCCGGCTGCCTAGACCGTCTGCCACCACCCCATCCGCACACACCCATCCCGTCACACACCAGCAACTCATACCTCGCCGTACAGCTTTGTGTCTCACTTCACGTTGTCGACACACTAGGCCCGAGCCCCCGTGCCCTGGAAGTGGCTTACTCACTTTTTTCGTCTAGCTGGCCAACGGACCCCGACGTGTTAGTGAGTTGATTTGCTCTGGGCATGTTGGATGACACTAAAGCGGTTGAGGTCTGCCCTCCAGGTCGTCTGTTGTCTCGGCCGTCACCTGTCGCAACCACGGCCTCCCGGCGCGGCCATTCCACAAACGACCTCATGGTTCCTCTCACCGACTCGCGTGCCGGTACTACCGCGCCGCATGTCTGCCCGCATTGTCCGAACAAGGCCTTCGCCCGTCTCTGTGACCTGAATAAGCACGCAAAGTCTCACAGCCGCCCGTACAAGTGCAACGACCCGAGATGTAAGTACAGCACTCTCGGCTGGCCAACGGCTAAGGAGCTAGAACGACACAATAACGACAAACACTCGGCGTCTCCTCGGGTCTTTCCGTGCTTGTTCCAGCCATGCCCCTACTGGTCGAAACGGGAGTCGAACTGCAAGCAGCACATGGAGAAGGCCCACAACTGGGTCTACATCCGGAGCAGATGCAAAGGCAAGCCGTCGGCTGCCCAGGTCAAGGCCACCGGCTGTGACTACAGTCCAAAGGCGTGCCCGGGAACTGCTGAAGCAATGCATGACCCTGCCGTTGCCTCCTCCGCCCCGCCACCGGCTGCGACTGTGCCTCTACCCGCCACAATGGACTTCGTCCTCTTTGACGACGGTCAAGCCGACGCCATAGGCGACCATGACGACAGCCTATATGCCGACTACGACGACTCCGAGGGCGCGCAGTCCTATCTGCCCTGGTCATCGCCGTCCACTCGGCTGAGGAGAAACGAGCGGTTCATCGAGATGTTCAGCCAGACCTATAACGGCGCCCACGAGAAGACAGGCACCCTTGCCGACTACGCTACAGTGGATCCGATGCTCGCTGGCCTGCCACCTCACGATATCCGGCACCATTCGCGGGACAATGACCAGCGTCAATCAGCCGACGACGTCACGATCAAGGCCGAATCACCCATCGTATCGGTTGATGCCGTCTTCCCGAACAAGCGAAAGCACGAGGTCATCGTAGCTCCCTCATCACAACCTGGGCAAGCCGCCCCCCCGTCATCCGGCGAGCGACCGTCTGGCAGCCGGAAAGCCGGGGCCGGTCAGGTAGCGCGGACCTCTTCGAACTCCGGGGTGGGCTCGGAGTATCGACTCGGTCCCGACGACGGTCCTCGGCCTCGGAAGAAGCAGAGGCCTAATCCTACGGAGGACTTTACGGACACGAGCATGCCTGACATCTTCCGCCATGCCCACCCCCATATCTAGTGAGTCGATGCTCTATCTGCAGCTTGTGGGTACACTCGCCCGCGGTTGCTGACACCCGCAATCGAACAGCGACAGGGACCGGGCCGATAAATACTCGCCATGTCACACTATGCATCGAGAGATCTCGACACTGGTGTGAGTTCCCTGCGACAAGTCCCCGTCTCGTCAAATCTAATCCTGGCGCCCAGTCGCCATCTCAGCAGACCAGCCCATCGCCTACAAGTCACAGAGCGAGCCATATCCTCTTTTGAGGCTGAAGGCCCCGATTTTCGACACCCGAGGGTGGGCGTCTGCCGGTGGTGCTGGCAGACTTTCAGCGACCGACAAATATTCGATGCCCACGTGTCCCGTCCATGCGAAAAGGTCTCGAAGGGGAAGCGAGAGAAGTGGCGCGCCCTGTACGACGCCTTTACTCCATTGCTCGATGCAACGGACTCGCCACCCTCGGGCAGCGGCGACGACTTAACCCAAGAAACGGAAGCACAGAGGAGAAGATTCCCCAGTCAAGCGGATGGCTCACCCGTCGCCAACGAGGACGATGTCTTGGGCGGCATCGGGACCCCGCCTACCTCGGTCCCGTCACCTGACCTTCTCCCATCGGCAGCGTTCGGCCCCTCGAATCCGAGCAACAGCCGATTCATCTCTGCAGACGAGCACTGCAAGCTGCAGGAGGAACACAAGGCCTTGCGCGAAAGACACCACCAGCTCGAGCGGGTAACCCAAGTTCTCCTAGCCCGCCAATTCATTCAGGAGAAGATGCGGACGCATACATCGACTAAGTCCGGCATCGAATCTTTAAGAGCTGGCTCATGCAAGAGCGATCCGTCCGTCATATCCACAGCTTCTTCCGACCGAGACAGTCTAGTCCAGCACATGGACTCGCAGTCCACGAATGTCGACGTGTACAGGTTCATGGATGATGTGGAGCACACCCGCCAGTCCATCTCCAGGATGAACTCGGGCCTGAGTACAGTCTCGCGCTCAACCATCCACCACGTGCCCCTGAGCCCGCCTCCTCGGGCCGCGGGGCTTCCGACACAACAACAGAACACCGGCCACCCTCTAATAAGCCAGCAGAGCAAACAGTCCCTGGCTCACCGGCCTCCGCTCCCATCCATCCCAGACTCGGGCTACGGCACCGATCAGTGCCGCGGCAGCCTCGGCGACCTTGCCCCGAGCGCAGAACAACAGCACGCCGGGACAGGGAGCCCAACGCTCGGCGCGGAGGAGGCGGCGGAGAGACCCAGATTCACCCAAGAGCTTTCGTGGACAGACGACTCGGATGCCTTCCAAAGGGGGCCGGGCGGGCCCGGCACGCCCAAGCCGCACGGCGGCAGCCAATCCTCGGGCTTCTTGACGGAGCAGGAGATGGCCGAGTACACCGATTCGTCGTTCGAGTTGTTCTACAGCAGCCTCCAGTCACGCTCCTCTCCGACGGGGTTTACGTTTGAGCTTGGGTCGCAGCAAGAATAGAGCAACAATAAGACACTCGGGCGTAAGGTATATATTTATAGACAGCACGGCGTTATGGGTTATGGGTTGTGTTTTATTCACGCTCCGGGTTTCACTACGTACCTACCTACCGTCGTGGGGTATGGCGGGTGGATGGATGGATGATGTTAGATATGTATATATACACTCAAAAGTCTGCGTGTGAGGCGAGAGTGGCTGGCCCACATGCGCCCCTCGCAGACGATGGACGATGGACGATGGACGATGGCCACGGGGTAATGAACCGGTATGATACGAACGGTTGAGTAGGGTATAAAGAGGGATCCGTCCAAATATACTGTACCGCCTAGAACCAAACAAACAACTTTGCCTCTTGAGGTCGCCCAACATCCCCGTGACAGAGCGACTTGCATCAATTCCTACGTACTCGGTACTGGTACACAAAACAATCTCTCCTACCTACCATACTAATCTTCAAACGAACGTCATATACTACCCATCCCTTCCTCCAACCCAACCCCCCTTTTTCTTTTTGACATCCGAGTCACACAAAAAGCTCAGACGCAAGAGCCATAATCCTTCTGACAGCCCAGAATCGCCCGACAGGAGATCGTGTTCGAACTGCACTTGCCCTCTGAGCTGCAGCATCTGCCAAACATGCTGCCCGTGCAAGTCTGCCTGACTTCGGGCCCACAGAGGCCGTCGGTACTGATCGCAAGACCGCCGCCGCCGGTTTGCGTTGGCTGAGCGGAAGACGTGGACTTGGAGTTGGTGGCTAAAGAGATGGAAACAAAAAAAGGGGGGGGGGGTCTTGTTAGCTCGTTCGTTCATGACGGAAACACACAAGAAGCCAGACCGGAGAGAGAGAGAGAGAAAGAGAGAAGAGAGAAGGGGGGGGGGGGGGGGGGGGGGGGGGGTTGAGGGGCTCTTCCTTACACTTTACGATAGTAGAAGACCTGGTGGCAATCACCGTAGTCGTCCCGTCCGTCCCATCACCATCACAGCTTCCCCATGCGGCCTGACAGCCGTTGTCCAACGAACAGTAGTCGTCGCCGGAGCCGCAGTAGCCAAAGGCGGAACAGCAGGGTCCGAATCGCGCACCGGCGCATGTCACGCCGTTGCCGCACCTGCCGTTGGTACTCACGCCCGTGCGTGTTGGGGCAACAGAGACGGTAGTTCTCGTCGGGGTGCTCGCAGACTTGCTAGTAGCACTGGTGCTAGAACCCGGAGGGACGACCGAGGAGATGCTCCCGCTGGGACCGGCGCGATACCAGTTGGCCGCGGGGTCGCCTAGGCATTCCCCCACGGTCACGGACCGGTAGCCCATCGAGAACAGAGAAGTGAGGACGTAGTCGGTCAGGTTGTACACGGTCTGGTAGTGGATGTCGTGCTCGATCTGCAGGAAGCTGTCTTCCTCCGGGTCGGATCCGTCAACGGCCTCGTCCCAGATGTCCTTGCTGGTTTGGATTTGTGTCCGGGAATCGTGCAGATAGCCCTCTGTGTCGAGGTCGAAGTAGATGGCGTGGTAGCCGAGACGTGACAAGACCGTCTGACAGTTCCGCTCGCAGATGGAGTACGGAGGTCGCATGTATGTCGGGAAGAATCCAAGAATCGAGTTGAGCGCAATCTCATTCCAGACCATCTGGTTCGTGAATTGCGTGTTTGTCAGCTGGCTGGCATTCTGGTGAGACCATGTATGGCTGGCTATCTGATGGCCTTCGGCATGCATTCTCTGTCTCTGGTATCAGTATAATGGGCTATCTGTTGCTAACCACCGCAGCAGTAACTTACTCTGATGATGGCAGGATATACGGTTGAGGGGTCATTGATCTTCCCCTTACCGAGGTTGGTCCCAGTGATGAAGAACGTGGCTTTTGCTCCGTAGCTCTGTTTCCATGTCAGATGGCACGGCCGGGTATCATAGAGGAGAGAGCACTATTTCGGACCTTCAAAATGTCAAGTAGATCATTGGTGTATATATAGGGCCCGTCGTCAAAGGTCAGAGCAATATCTCCTTTGTTCACGCAGTCGTAGATGCCCGCTCCTCCATACAGGACGTTCCCTAGTTTAGGCCGGGCGATTCCGGAAGTGTCTGCACCGCTGGGTTTTTGATTCTAGTTATCGGGTCAGTCAGGGACTGGAGAGCCCCCCCAATACACACCACTTACTGCGTCACAGCCCGGGCCGTAATCTATCTGGCAGTCAGGGGCGGTGCAGTAGTCTTGGCCCTTCCCACACCAGCTACGCGCATGTCAGCGTTACGCACCACTAGTATCTAAGACAACAACAGTTAGAGGGAACATACCCTTCAGCAGAGCAACAGTATCCAGATGCGCAACTCCCACTGCCAGGTCCGCATCGCGTGTCGTCAGGGCCAACCTGCCGCGCCTCCAGCTTTCCTCGCGGACTGGCTGGGCCATACTGCCTTCCAGTAACAGCATGTTCACGTGGCATGGCCCTTTTCCGAGCCTCCAGTCGTGACAAGAGCTTCCTGCCTCCCAGCGCTTTGGGAATGTGCGGGCCATGATTGTCATGAGCGAGGGCCAGGCCAAGCAAAGCAGCGAGGAGTGCGCACAGGAGCTTCATCGTATCCAGGGGCTCTTAAGACAGCAGCGTACATGGAACGGCAAATGACAAAGACATACACGAGGCAAACAAAAAAAAGAATGACAGGCCTCGGCGGAGTAAAGATTGGGCCAAGGAGAGTCTTGGGATGAGTTGATGAACCAGGGACGGACGATCATATTAGTAGAAACAGCCGCTCCAGCGGCAGCACGGGGACCCCATATGCAAGTCTCCGGGTCGTAAACGAGAAGTAACCGAATATTGGAACGTTGGTGGAAGAGTATGCGGGAAGTATAAATGAAGGTGGTAAATACCACGTTGCGGGGGACATGCGGCCATCCATCTCACAACCGGGCCTCCCATATTGCCGTCCGCTCGCTCGGCGCAGGTAACCTTAATAAGGTACGTATGCATGCTTTGTAGTCCCCTTTCTCTCGTGGTTCTCTGAAAGGGCGGGGCGCTCTGAACAACATGCGGCTGAGAGCTTCGAAGACCTAGCTTCATGTGTTGATGAATGAAGAACGGGTTGGTCCAAGACCGAGCACTTTGGAAACTCGGTTTTTGTGAGAGGGCCTGACTACTCACCCGATCTTTGAGCTAGAGTCAACGAACAGGACGCCAGAAATGCTGGGATATGACAGGGGGATCCCGCCTTATCCCGCTATGCTGCTGGTTCGAGATGTTGAGTAACTCTAGCTCAATATGGGGGGGGGGGGGGGGGGGGGGGGGTTTCCGCAACGGCCAGTAAAGTGACGATAGCCTCACGTCGAACCAGCTTTGTCACGTTGGTGTACGTGGGAAGTCGGAAACAGACGAAGAGTATAGGTCCATCGGAGGCTGCCAACCCGCTGCGCCTGCCCGCTGTACTCAACAGGAGAAAGAGAAGAAGTACACCTCGGAAGGCGATCATTAGCCATGCCCGAGCCGTAAGTAGGCAGCGCAAGCTGGCGAAAAGCGAAGTACCATCCCGGTATCAAGCAGATCCATCACAAGGGAAGCAATTGCCTGCTGCTGTAACCAAGGACAGCCGAGGGCGTAGGATGGCACCCCAAACCGCAACGATCAGCCGCATCGGCGATGGTTCCTTTCCGGCAGATCTGGGGTCTCCCGTCTGGAAAGCTGAGCTCGGTATTCCCGCAAAGAGGATGACGCGGCAAATATCCTAAATTCGAGGAAAGCCGCTCCGAATCACGACATTGTATTTCGGCTGAAGTCGAACCTTGACCGTTACTGTGGAGCGGCGGGACGGGCGGTGACCTAGGAGCGTTGAGGAGACCCAGGACCAACGTCAGGCACTATAGAACTGCTGCAGGAGAGATGCAGGAAGGCGCGTCGGAATGTTCGTGCTGTGCGACTGTTAGGTCCAGTCGGAAAGGGCGAGCGCGCAGGCCTTGAAGTTGCAAGTTTCTTTCTTTGCAAAGAAAGAAATCACGCTTCCTAGATAAACATCATTGAAACTATTTTAGTAGCTAGGGGTTAACGTCGAGGGAGTGGCACGAACTTGCAATGGAGAGAAGATTATAGGATTGAGGCCGGGCGAGATCTGACACCGAGTCGCGCTTGCCCTCCGTACACGTACCATTTGGGAGCCGTCCACGTGCCGTCCGAGGATCGATACTTGCCCGGAGTCTGCAGCTTCCAAGCGACCACCCGCACGCCATCCGAAGGTCCGAGCTGGTCAGGTCCAAAAAGGTCCCGTCCGGGTGCCAACCCGTGAAATGAGTCCCCTCGGAGGTTGCAGATCGAGTTCGTAACCATGCAGCGACGGCCTGTCGTGCCAACCGAAGCAGCCATCTTCTCTTTATTTGTGCAAAATCTCATCCGAGCTAATAAAAGACGCCCTATCTACCAGGTAGCCATAGGTATCTCTAATTCGCCGTCGCCGCTCCGCAGTGCCTGCAGTGTAGCAGACTAGGTCGAACGAGAACCTTCCAAACTCCCGACTGTTCGGCAACGTCCACACCAGGGGAACCGTACCACGAAGACGCTGTAGTAACGTGGCATACGAAACGGTTACCGTACTAGCGAAGGGTGCCCGGGTTTCGGCTCTCGATGAAGCGTGGGTAGAGTATGAGGTTTGTGAGACAAAAATGTACGTCATCGGCCTGGCTAACTGGCATGTTTGTGTATCCCAGGGATGTTCTGTAGTAACGGTTGCTGTGACGACAGTTCTGACCACCCGGAGCCTTGCAAATCAGTGTGTGCCGTCATCGTTCGGAGGGAGCCGCCGAATCTACTCCGTACCTTAGTCTTGTAAAATGGCTGAGATCTATCTTCGTACTCGGGCCCTTTCTTGTCCATCTAGATTGATGAACATTCGTATCCTAAAACAACCTTCTGCACCCCGCAAGGCCAGGCCGAGGGGATAGGAGAAGCGAGTGATAAGGTTGGCTATCTTACACACACGAGCCTCCCTCGATCAGCTTCGGCAGATACACCCGCATTAGAACAACAGTACAACATGCCACCCTTTCATTTCCATCCATCCAACGCTCATACATACAGTCCGCCATACCTCATCAGATCAAATCATAGCACCCACAGCCCCAGCAATCTGCCCAAACAGCACGCCCTTGAACACGGCCTCGCCCATCTCCTCGCCCCAATGCCCGGCCTCCTTGAGCCTCTCCTTCCACGCCTCCCTCTGGGAAGGCTGTAAGTCCTCCCACTCCCTCGCTTCGCCGTGCCGCTCCGCGTCCAGCGCCTCAACCCTCACGACGCCGTCCCCCTCGCCGCCGTGGTGCAGGATCACGCGCTTGCTCTCCCGCAACTCTCTCTCTTCCTCGGCAGCAGCGAGCACCCGGTACTGCTCCAGGATGCTGCCCGGCAGAGGGGTCATGGGAGGTTTCGACTCGGCGATTCCGTAGTAGCGTCCCGGAGCGTGCCAGCTCACGGGCGTGAGGGACCGCGCGCCGATTACGGGCTGCGAGAGCCCCTTTATCTCTAGAATGGCCTGTAGCAAGAGCGCAAGGAAGGCGAAGAAGCTGGCGAAGCCGAGGAAGAGGGCTGTCGGGGAGGGGGGCCGGCTCTTGAGGCCGAGGACGTACCGAGTGGTGGTTTGTTTGGTCGCGGTGCTGGTGGTGGTGAGCTTCTTGAGCGGGAGGGAGTGGACTGCGCACGTGTTGCCCATCGAGCCGATGGAGGCGAGTTTGAGGTGGGGTGGTCTTTGTGGTGATTTCGGCGATGTGGCTGGCGCTGAGGCTTTGGAGGACGGCGTGAAATGTGAGAAAGCGAGGCCTGAGATGGGGCCGAGGTGGACGTCCTTGAGGGTGGTGACGGGGTGCAGGTTGGTAATGAGGTTGACGTCGCCCACGGTTTGGTGCTCGAGCGTGTAGATCAGGATGGAGCCATCCTGGCCCGTCACAGCGATGACAAACTGCGCATCGCTCTGTTTCGTCGAGGCGGTAGCGGGTGGGGAGAGGTTGCGGACTGCCATGCCCGTGGCGCGGGCGACCGTCTTGGGAAGGTGTACAGAAATAGCGAGCCTAGCGCTCCCTTCCTTCTCTTCCTTTCCAAGGTCAGATAACTTTGGTAGGCGAAAGCCCTGAAGCACAACCCCGCCGGCCTTCGGCTTGTTTGCGACTGCAAGCACAAAGGTCGGAGTGAGGAAGCGCATGCACCGGAATGAGGGACGGGCCGCTCCGCTGGAGCCATCGTCCGGTACTGTGAAGACGCGGTGTGGCCCAGTGGTATCTGTCTTGCCGACGATGACGGTGTAGATGTTATAGTCGTCGCAATACACGAGCTGGTGCTCGTCGACGGAAACCTGCGTCATGTCCATATCCATAGCTTCCTTCGTGAGTTCCAGTGTGCCTCTGAGTTTGGGCGCCGGGCTGTTGCCGCCCGCCGGCGGAAGGTTGAACACAGCAATCTGCGCATCCTTGGCGCGCCCTGTTGTGCCCGTTGCGGCTGCGCCAACCTGACCCGATATGCTCAACAACCTTTGATATGTGTCGGCGTCGGTAGTCGAGAACAAGGCGGACCGCGACAGTTCGGCGATCTTGGGTTCGGCCTTTGCTGTGGAGGGTAGGTCGGCAGCGAATACTCTAAAGTGTTCGTTCTTCCCTTTCTTCAAATCTTCCTCGGATGAGTTAATGCCCGCATAGAACAGCAGTGAGTTCTTCGTGCGCGGGCCGACAGCCAGGGTGTTGACGCTATCCTCATCGCGGCTCAGTTCAAGCTCTGAGACGACCTGCAGAGAATCCTCGCGTGACGCATCTAGTACGCTCACTTTATTCCCAACCCCGCTTCTGGCAGCTCCTCCGCCGCCGCCGATCACAAGGCAATCCGCATCTTCGGGGTCGAAGCCGAGGGCGTATAAGGGGTACGACAGTCGCAACGCGGATGCAGTGATCGCGGGCGCCATTGGTCTGTTGATGCGGCCGCGCTGGCTGTCGGAAGAAAGCGGTCTCGGTGGGAAGAATTTCCAAGAATAACGTTACTTCGAGTGACCTTGATGCCGAGGACCTTCAGGGAATTCACCGTTCACAACTGCGCGACCACGAACGCCCGATGCGGCGCGAAGCCAACTTCCACACGGTTACACTAGTGTGTAAGGGAGTTTTAGTAGGACCAGGTGGTGCTTTGCCTCCAATTGGGTATGGCGTACCGGAGGATTTCCCGCAGCTTGGTGATGTCTACCTAACCGCTTCCGTGTTAGCGCATTACTACTACTAGTTAGTAGTACTATATGTGGTTGTTAAGCTTGCTGCTGAGGGTTAGGGGTTAACACCTATCCAAGATCAGGACTGGTGATGCAGGTAAGGTACCTTACCTATGTGTGAAGGAAAAGCTCTGCTACAGGAAGCGAACCATGAAACCGACATAACGGGATCATCAAAAGAACCTATATGCTGATATTTCGCATCGATATCGTCTAACATTACTAAGAACATCAGAATCAAGATACTTCCTCAAGCACACAGAAACAATCACTTGTCTGCATATTTTGCAATGGCATCTTGACTAGGTAGGTAATGTAGTTACCTACACAGCAGTCTTGGACCATCATGCCGCCATGTTCACATGGATGGCCTTGATATTGCAGTATGGCGCCAACCCAGCCTCGCCCAATTCCCTGCCAATGCCCGACTGCTTGACACCTCCGAAGGGGATTCTGAAGTCGGAATCATTACTGCTGTTGATCCAGACCATTCCTGCCTCGATCTCTCTGGCCACCCGGTGCGCCCGCGTTAGGTCCTTGGTGAAGAGCGCTGCGCCTAAACCATAATCCGTGTCATTGGCCAGCTGGATCGCATCTTCCTCCGAGGTGAACCTGACTATCGCCACGCAGGGCCCGAAGATCTCCTCCCGGAATATCTTCATGGTCGGCTTTACGTCGGTGAATACGGTGGGCGCGATGAAGAAGCCCTTGCCGTTCTGCGGTGCCGGTTCGCCGCCCAGCACGATGGTGGCGCCTTCTTCCTGCCCAGACTTGATGTACGAGAGCACCCGCTCAAACTGCGCCCTGGTCACCTGTGGGCCTTGAAACGTCGTCTCTTCAAACGGGTCTCCCAGTACTGATATCTCCTGGACCTTGGATTTGAACTTATCGATGAACGCGTCGTACACCTTCTCGTGGACCAGAATACGTGACGTGGCGGTGCAGATCTGGCCCTGGTTGCTCATGATGCCGATGTGCGACCAGTACGCCGCGAGGTCCAGATCAGCGTCCTCGAACACGATGAGCGGAGATTTGCCGCCTGTCTCGAGGGTGATGTTCTTCATAGTGGCGGAGGCCATCTTCATGATCTGCTTGCCAGTGGCGGTGCTGCCTGTAAAGGCGACTTTGTCGACGTGCGGGTGCTGCACGAGCGCCGCACCGGCTTCTTGTCCGTGGCCATTGATGATGTTTACCACGCCCGGCGGGAACCCAGCCTCTTTGATGAGCCGTGCAACGTACAACATCGAGAGAGGCGTCTGCTCAGCGAGCTTCAGCACCACCGTGTTTCCGCAGCACAGCGCAGGGCCCAGTTTCCAAGCAGCCATATCTAGGGTCCTATTAGACTATGGGTATCACTAGGGGCAAGGGTAGTCACCTAGAGGGTAATTCCAAGGGATAATCTGGGCGCAGACACCCAGAGGCTCCTTGACGGTGTAGGCAAACTTGGCCGGGCCGGCATCAATCACCTGGCCGAAGTTCTTGTCGGCATAGCCAGCATAGTACTTGAGCACGTTGATCACTTCGGGCACGTTCTCGCTAAGGGCGCCTGAGTACGGTTTGCCGTTATCGAGGCACTCAATGGTGGCAAGGGTTTCGGCATGCTGTGCCACCAGATCCGCCAGCTTCAGCATCAGGGCGCCGCGCTCTGTCCCGGAGAGTGACTTCCATGATGGGTCCTTGAACGCCTTGCGGGCGGCAGCTACTGCAGCGTCGACATCTTCAGCAGTCGCAGCAAAGACGGAGCAGATCTCCTCTTCCGTGCTGAGAGCCAACGTCAGCGGCCGCGTGACGCGAAGCAACCACGGGTCACGCACGCAGGATTGATGGACGTAATCGTTTGCCCGTTGCTGCTCTTAACAAACTCATTGTTGATGAAGAGACCTAATGGCTGAGTCCACTTCTTGCCGTTTGGTGCTGTGAGCTCGACCTCCATCCTCGGGCGAGTTGACTCCCGTCTGCGCTGCGAAGTAATGGAGAAGGTGCGGAAGGTGCCAGCGGTGATGATTCTGAAGAATATCCTCGAACGGGCTGTCACTGAGGAGCTCGACCTCTTCCACGCACATGAGAGCCGTGGGAGGAGAGCAGTCATCTTATTGGCATTCTGCTCGCTTGACCCCTCCTCTCAACTCTTACTACGCTGCAAGTGATAATGATGGTTGTACAGGGTGGGGGGAGAGGTTGCTTCTCCGGTAGCTGTGGGGTACTCCACCGGATCTGGACATTTTTACCTCTTTAGGTTTGAGCAGGCCAAGCTACATCGACCCTAACACCTGTGAGCTTCACACTAGAAATGTACATGCACCAGAAGCGGCAGATAGGTAGTACGGAGTATGAGGTTATCAAAGGCCGGGGCTGCACGCCGCAAAGCCGCGGGCGAGGAGGTCTTTCCGAAGTTGTAACAGATGTGAGTCCTGGCAGGCCTGCCGCCTGCATGATGACGAAGCGTCGTGGTTGATGAGCGTGGGGCATGCCACATGCAAGCTATCGGGCACTCAGCAAATCAAAGTGGTGGATAAGCAGAAGTGGGTCATGTTGATAACGGCCCCTTGTCTTGTGACATAACATCTGAACGTTGAGCGGATCCTCCGTTGGCTGCTGCAGTCCAGTTAAACCTGAACAAACAATACTACCAGTACTCCGTGATCCCGAACATGCAACGCCAAATCCGCCCGTGATGATGGAGACAACGGTATCGTCGCCGTCGCCGGTCCCGTCCCAGGTTTTTGCAGTGGTCTCGCTGTTCTGCATCTCTGCGGTCGTCCTCCTCATCCTCCGCTACTATCTCCCGCTCCGGACCACGCCAGCGTTCCTTCTCGTGCCCGTTTTCTTTGCACTATGGCTTCCCGCGAGCATGGTGCTGCTGGTGCCCATAGACCTGGCATCCAGTGCCATGGTCGACGATCTTGATGCGCGGGGCATATGGCTGGACCCGAGGGCATTGAGGGTCTCGTGGAGGGTAGCGTACTGGCTTACCTTTGCTCTGACTTGGTATGCGCCGTACCGTCTCACCCAACGGCCGTCTGCTGTCCGGCTCTGACGTTCTTCAGGTTTATCCTCCCAATTCTCGGCGAATACTCCGACTCCGGATACCGCGAACCAAAGGCGAAGGTGCTCGACTCCCTATACGCGAATGCGCAGTACTATGCCATCGTCTTCGGGTCCGGGGCTCTCGGCCTGATATATGTCCTGATTTCGTACGGTCACTTCTCCGCGTCGTTGAAGAGCACTGTCATGGCTCTCGCATATTGCTGGGGGTTGGTCCTGGTCATCTACCTGATGGGCCACGGCCTTGTGTCCATACCCCGCCGGCTGTTCCGCAGCGCCAACATCAGTGGCCGGCTGCGTCGGATACAGAGGCAGGCTCCAAGGGTTTATGAGAAGATGCAAGACGCCGAGATGGATCTCGAAGATCTCGAGCTGCAGGTGGGCGAGCTCAGCCGCCGCAAGGGTGGCAGCGCGAGCCTGTTTCAAGATTGGATCGAAGAGTTGGTCGACATGACCAACCTGCCCCAGTCGCGACCCGGTCAAGCAAATGCCGTCCGCGGCTCTGGCAACCAGATTTCCGTCCCGAATGTCATCACCGAGAAATATCTTGCCGAACTTACCAGGAGGTTGGTCAGAGCGAAGCATGCGAGGTTGAGATATGCGAGCGAGTGGAACCGACTGCTGCAAGACGCCGTTAAGACGCAGGCAGTCTTAGACTCGGCGGCCTCAAAGAAGTTGGACTTTGGCAAGGCCACGCCAAACGCCGGCTTCTGGGACAGACACACGCTGCTCACGCCCTACACGCGATTTCTTCTCCACTATTACCTCATCCCATACCTACAGGTAACCCTCGCGGCACTTATGTCCCTCGCCTCCGTGTGCATCGTCTGGTCGGAGCTTGTCAAGGGCGTCCTTCCCAGACTCTCCGTCATCCGCTACACCGTGGTTCACCATGAAATTCGCGGAAAAGGTCAGGTCGGCTTCGCCGGCCAAGTCATCGCCGCGCTGTGGATGGTCTACATGTGCGCTGCTGCGCTCATCTCCATTACCGAGGTGAAAGTCTGGCGGGGCCGCGCCCTGGTCCGCCGCAACACCGCACACGAGTCGGCCTTCTGGTACGCCAGCCAGGTCGCCCGGCTCAGCGTGCCCCTGACTTACAATTTCATGACCTTTCTGGGGGGTATCTACCGTGACACGGTGTTTTACGACTTCCTAGGCCAGCTTATCAATCTCACTCCGCTAGGGAAGTGGTTTGACTATGTCTTCCCCGCCTTCATTCTGCTGCCCGTGTGCGCGACCTTGTTCGGTCTATATGGGAAGGTCAAGCGCGTGGTCGGATTTTCCGGTGTAGACGTCCTCGACGACGACGATGACGAGGATTTCGGCAACGAGCGAGGCACCTCCTACGGCACTGGCTACTCCTGGCGCGAAGGCCGCGATCTTATCGAGCGCGAACTCAGCGGCATGTCCCGCTCAGGCCTCTCCGACGGCGGCGCCGATTGCCCAGCCCGCCGCCCTGTGTTGACCATACCCCCCGGCCGCAGTAGTAGTGGTCGGGGAGTACCAACCACCCCCTTCGCGACGTCCCCTACTGCTGCGGGTACGGCGGCCACGAGTCGGCCGCAGGCAAACACCTCAGCGAGAAGGGTCGGTGGACGCGCTGGGATTGTTTTGGACGAGCCGGAGGACGAGAATTTCTTTGAGGCCCTGGGGCATCGGTTCAAGAACACCATCGATACGCTCGATGCACCGAAGTGGTTACAGGACTTTGGGCAGGGAATCAAGAAGCCAAAGTGGATGGGTGCCGGACAGGGCCAGGCTGAGGGTAGCGGCAGTAGTAGGCCCGCGGGGAATACGGATGTAAGGCGGTGGTTTGGTGGGGGGGATAGTGAAGGGAGGATTAGGTTGTAATCATGTACTTCCTTGATTTGCTCCTTGGTCTGGCTTCTGCATAGGCGGCGTGGCTTTTAGTGTTGCGTATGGAGGGAGCATTGGACGGCGTTTCTTTTTCCTTATCCTTTTTTCTCTCTTTCTTTTTTTCTTTTGGTTGATTCAGGACCCGGCTTAAATGTGCAGTGCTAGCCAACGGGAACAGGTTTCTTCGCTTCGCAAGACGGCTCATATCACAAAGCCAGTTTCGTGTTGAATAGAAGAAGCAGCGGCGAAGGAACAATCCATATTCCATTATCATGACAGCCGCTAGTTGGCCGATTACGGCCCAGATATCTGCGCTGTGGCAGAATCCTCACCATCACAACAACGAACACCACACAACTCCGATTTCCCAGTATCATATCGCTATCATCCATACCATCCTCCATGCCAGTACTGATCGGATACCCGCCCTAACCACGCAGTTTCACAGGGTTACTCCCCGAACAGTTGCCGACCCACCATAGCTCGATGGAGCGCCCTCAGACAAAAACATCGACCTCCACCACGCCGCCCGACCGCCTGACGTTGTAGATTGAGAGAACAGCATGCTCCCATTCTTCTTCGCTCGTGATGGCTTTTCTCCCAAACGGCGTCTGAATCTCGAAAATCGGGGTGTGCCCCGCCGCTTCGAAGGTCGCCTTGATGCCGGAGAAGGCGCCATGGGAGATAACAGAGTCAGTGTGCCGAAACTTCGTCGGAGCAGCCAGATCGATGCCGAGAGTCTTGTCCTTGATGTAAATGTAATACTCGAGCTTGGCATTTGCGGGAAGCTCAAGATCGTAAGCCTCTTGGCTGGCAATGCTGAGGATGGCCTCGGCATGTTTGCGCTTCTTGGCCGCAGCCACGTCCTTGGCTAGGGCTTCAAAGATTGCTTGCCCTTGGGGTTCTGGAGTGGGTGGCGGAGTACTCGGGGAGATGACCGGCTCGACAGTGGCGGACCGCGATGGTGCTGGTGACGAGAGGGTCGAATTTGTAATGGAGTCCCGGTGCCGAGCATTGGCACGCAAGGCTGCTTGGCGCATTTGCTTCTGGTTTGTGAAATGTCGGTGGAGAAGCATCACGAAGCCAGTGAGGAGGCTGTGTGCGAGAGTTAGCAGTATTTCCAAATGCTTTCGCGGGAGGGCGGTTTACATCGAAGAATCTGTGGGCCAAAACAGAGTGCGGGAACTAGCCGTGCTGCAACTCTCGCCGAACCAGGCGTCTCCCCATCCTTGGCACACCAACAGATAGAATGAGATGTTGATGAGAGTCTTTTTGGTCTCGCCGGGCCCGCAACTGCTATTGCCGGGTTGATCGGTAAGTTGACTAAGTGGCGGCTGCTTCAAAAGTTTCTTCATCTCATTGCTAAGACGCTTACCCTCGCCGACGCCCAATTCGAGGTATCCGTAGAGCGTATCTATCTTGGAAGCGCGGTCTGCCACCAGTTAGCCATTGAGCTGCCCCACAACGATAGAGGGAACAGGATGATAATACTGAGGGTGATAAAGTAAGTAAGCTCTCCAGCCAGCGTCTGGTCGTGATCGATGCGGCGGGGGACAAGGAGGGACGCATTGGTCTGGCAGTTGGCGTAGCGATGGCCCGGAATTTGTGACGGAAGAATGAAGCTGTCGCCCTGGCGGTTCCCTCCGACTTGACTCCCTACATGAGCATTAACAGGCTGAACTTCGCCTTGGATCGAATTCCACAGGTCCTCCAGTTCCGCCTCCAGCGCCGCATCGTCGGGAAACTCCCCGGGCGGTGCCGCTGCGGGCGCAGGGCCAGGACAGCTGAGGGCAAAGTCGCGGGTACTAACCACAAAATCACCTGAAGTGTGTCCATCCTGTTGCGATAAAGAGGTAGCAGGAGGATCAGGGACTGCGGGCAGATAAAGTTGAGCCTGTTGAAGAGCCGAACACGACAGCCGGCGATCCGGCTCATCTCGCGGCGGTGCTTCTGGAAAAGAGAGCTGAGCAAAATGATTAGCCGCCTGTTGAGGCCGCTCTTGCGGCGAGATTGATGCTGGCTCACAGTCGGGTTCTTGCGGCGGCGCGACAGCACCGACTTCCATTAAGAGGGAAGCCAGATCAACGTCGTCGTCGTCGTCGCCGCCGAAGAGCGACTCCATGTCGTCATTTTCCTCTCCAAGACAGGAGGGAGAGTCGTCAGGAAGTACACGAGCCATGGCGATGATGGCCTCGGCCATGTGCTGTGTTGGGCCTGGACGTGACTCAAAGTTCGGAAACAATCAGCAGTCTGAGAAGGCGCGATGTTGAAATCCAGATTGAAATGAGCCCCACACAGCCACAGAAAAGCCCTAACCCTGTTTGCGTCGACGACCTCAGGCTGTCAACAGAGTCAACACCTCAAATGAGAACTTGAAGCTCCCGATGATTCTTCCCATGGCATGATCACAGACATTCGAGTTCCCAAAAGGATACCTCGAGTTCGTTCTCAGAGGCGTTGACTATGGGTATCCAGCACACTTAGATCCAAGTAATGCTACTTCACAGCTACACCATCGTCCAGAATCTCACAAGAAATCGAAGAGGACGGCAAAGTCTTGATTTTCATCTGCTACCTTAGCTTGAATGTGTCATTCGAGGAGGCAGTAGACGAGAGTCATGCCGTATGCCGCAGCATACCGGTTGTTAGCTCTAAGAGGAGGTTGACATGTACTTGTCCGGTTGGCGCTGCGCACATCTCCCGGTTCCTTCCGGACGTTCCCTTCTGGCCCGGTGAATCTCCTATCTCATCGGCAGGGTCAGCCAGGTAACGTTTACGCAGGCTGTAAATCTCTTCACTCTACAGCTCCCGTGCTTGTGCTTCTTCACCACTACGATGGTGTAGGATTCCACGTCAAGATTCCAAGACAGACGGCGCGTCGCCGGTAAACTCCCAACCCCTCCTCGACGCCAGCCATGGTCTGCGCGAATGGACATCAATAGGGGACGCTAGCAGGTACAGAAGCTTACATCATTGATAGCCGTCACTCCGTGCCAGGCTAGAACGCTCGAAAGCAAGAGGTGATCGTGGCGACATTCGACTGCGTCGTGTTCAACCCGTTGGCGACTATACCGACACATCTAGCACACCATATGATTTGCTGAAGCAGAACATCGTATGCAATGTATCCACATCATTCGATGCCCCCGAAGGCGTTGCAAGCAGCCTATCTCTCTCTTCCGGGGCAGCACTCGATTGCTTCACCTGGTGGTTGGTCAGGGTACCGTCGAACCCGGCGCCCCCCTTGCCCTTCTGCGTACCTACCCAATCCTGCTCTTCCTATCTCACCATCTGTGTTTCCCAGACCAATCCAACGCGGAGACTGCAGGTCACCGCCAGCGTTGCCCTAGGGGTGGGTCTGCACCGTCCGGAGCCCAACGAGTACCTACACTACACCCCATATCCGATGGTGGTCGCCGAGTCTTGAGTGGCCAGGACGGGAGTGGATGTCATGTCACGTTGATGATCATCTCGTATGTTGTTGCGGATCCGGTCGACTCTGTTGTGATGTGGCTCCGTGGTGAACATCGTCCATTCGCTGCTGTTACATGCCTACCCAGTACGGTAGCCATGCATCTTCCTTGCCTGCTCCCTTCCTGCTTGTTTCAGTTCTTGGGTCCGTTACGTTGGAGCACGACGAGCAACGTCGAGAAAGGATGGCGGAAAGTTACCGCAGTTCTGGCATCCGGGCCAAGGGAAGGCATAACCTCCGCATAAGCCCAAGGCCGCCTACCGGTACACATTCCCCTCGCACGGATTGTGAACACCACCACGGCTCTCAACTAGTATCGTTATCACACACGACCACTGGCTGCAGAGAGCTGGGAATCCAGCCCACCGTAATCTGAATGGCCCAGTTCATTGACCGCATATTTGGGGTTTTATCTTTCTTCTTCTTCCTCCTCCTCCGCTTATGACCCCTCCCTCCAAATCGCCGTAGACAAGGGCTTGCTCTCCCCGACTGGCTGAAGCGTTAAACTACCCTGCCTCGCCGACACTACCCTGCGCTTCCCCAGCCTTCGAAGCTCACATGACCGATACCATCAAGGCGGAGACCGTCGGCTGACTGGGGTCCGGAGAGCGTTAAGCTTCTGGGCGGTAAGAGTCCACCTGCTCGCTTTGGGCAGGGGTCGGGGTTTATCGTCCGATTCAAGCAATGTGATTCCAGATTTAGTAGGTAGGACCAAGCAAGCCTATGAACTCCGTAGGGTAGGTGCCCTACTGTACACTACTAGTAGGTTACCTGGTGCAGCAGTTCCTTGTGGGATTATGTATTTTATGTACAATAAATACGCAAAACGCCGCCGAGGCTACACTACTTCATACTGTGACATGGATTAGGCGGTACACACATTCCAGAACCAGAGGACAAACAATCCCAACCCTACGCCCACGGTACGCAACGTATGTATTCGGTACATATATACTAGGCAGGGTAGGTTCCATTTGCTCACTGCTGTAACGATGTACAGTATCCCCCTAGTCTCACTCATCCATCCAACTTGAAAGCATACCTCCTCGTCCCCTCGGCACCCACCGTCACCCGAAACACGCAGCCGCCCAGCCGCTTACTCTCTCCTTCACCCTCCTCGTCTGCCGCGGTAGTGATGACCAGGTCCCCGCCACCGACAAACTCGCAGCACGTCGCATTCCGCGTGGGGATCTTGACTTCCCCGACCACTTCCCCCGAGGGGCTGATCTTCAGCACCCTGCCTTCGCCGTACACGGCGTGCCACAGATTGCCCTCTGTATCGACGCGGAAGCCGTCGGGCTCGCCGGACCCGGACGCGTGGCGGTAGAAGATGCGCTCGTTGGTCAGCGAACCACCACCACCACCGGCGGCGGCGGTCGGGTCGTAATCCCACGCCACCACCTCGCGCGCCGTCGAGTGGGTGAAGTACATGGTGCGCCCGTCCGGGGAGAAGCCGACTGAGTTGGGGATGGTGAGGCCGGAGCGGGTGCGCGTCGCCGGGGCGGTGTGGGTGAAGCGGTACAGGGAGCCTTTTTGTGGTCGAGCCGTTTTGCACTACATGTCAACTTTGCCACGTGGATACGGAATAGTGGCCCCCCTCCTCCTTTTTTTTTTTTTTACTTTTCTTTTTCTATTTCTTTTTTTCCCCCTTCTCTCGTCTTGTCCTTCCCAAGGCCACTCAGTTTGTTTAGGGAAAAAAAAAAACAACTCACCTTCAGGTTGGAACGGACCCTGTCCAAAATCCGTCATGGTTCCCAGCCAGAAGCCCCCGTTGGGATCCACCACGCCGTCGTTGCTCCTGATCCGTTCCGCCTTCTCATCCCCAAACTTGGTCACATACTCGTACTTGCCCGTCTTCCTATCCAACACCGCCATGCCCTGCTTCGCCCCGACCAGGAGCGTCTCCTGCGGGTCCCGGCCGTCAATGTCGGCCGTGACGGTGATGGCCTCGTCGAACTGGAGCGTCTTGAGCGACGAAGCACCCTCGGAAAGCGAGACGGTGTGGAGGCGCTTCTTGATGATGTCGACGAAGCGCAGCGTGTTGGTGGCGGGCTCATAGTAGGGACCCTCGCCGAGCGAGCAGTGAGTCTCGAGGTAAGGGGCGCTGACGTGCCATTGCTGTAAGCCTTGACTATCTGCCATTGCTGTCTCTTCTACTGCTTCAATGCGCTTGATGTACGCTGCGGGTAGGTAGTCTGTGTGATAGAGTGAGGTCAAGAATCAAGATCCACAAGCCCGATCGCCAAGACTCCGGTGATTCGACCTGTGGAACGTGTTTGGCGTGCAGTACTCCGTACGGCCAGTCAAAAGAATCTGGAAGCGGTGATAAGAATTCCTCCCGGATACTTAGTTCACAGGTTTGGAGTTGTAGCTGCCGCCTTTTTATGATCCGGCTCTACTCCAGGTGGAGACCATGTTATGTTTGACTCCGGCTATGTAGGTAGTTGCGGGAGCGAAGTTTCGGCGGCTCGGATCGCGGCACTACAACCCGCCGGCTTTGGAGCCGGAAGACGGCCCGTTACAGCCGCTGGTCTTGAGTCTCTTGACAGCGCCGGGAGAGCACAGGAGGGAACGGAGACACCACGTCTATTATTTCAGATTAGCTTAGCTTGCGTACACAGTAGGTTGGAAGCCCCGTCCTGACGAGGAAGTGAGGAACCCTAGGTGAGGTGAGCTAGGTTGCTGTTGATTGAGGTGAGGAGGTCCTAGCGCACGACAAAAGAGACAGATTCTCTGATTAGCTTCAAGTTATTGCCTGCTGATCGCGTCAGCTTGTTGAGCGGCAAGAAGCAATTTCCCAAGAAAAGCGAGGAGCCATTCCATTTCTTCCGACGATATGAGCCTCGCCATTGACCACGGACGGGGAAATTTGCTACCAAGGGCCAGCTTCATTAAACACGCCGCATGGCCGCATGCGTCGAGGATGCGAGATTGGGATCTCAAGCAGTCTTCATTCCCAGGTTGATCTCATCGACCTCTGTACCGACCTGTACGTAGTCCGCACTCTCGTCAAGATCTGTGCGCCTCGTGTCTTAGATTGGATAAGCAGCACACACAACATCGAAATTAAGAATGGCGCCGGTCCGGGTTGCTCGCGTCTAATACTGTGGCCAATGCGAGACACATGATCTGCAACGGCTGCATGTCCTCCCGCGTTGTGTTGAGGGATCTGGAAGACGCGGGCGGCAAGTCCGCCTGACTGGAAGAACGAATTGGCTCCGCGAATGTAATCGGCACTGTAGACTACCGTACTTTGTATGTGTATGTACGTATTCGAGGTATTGTACATATTACGATGCCATCGGTAAATACCTTAGTCAGGTACCCACATTATGCGGAAACGGCTTTGGTCCACCTTGTAATTTTGATATCCGCAACCTAGCGGGGAAGACTGAGATGCTCGAAGGCATATATGTCCTTGCCGATTCAAGGAGCTTTTCTTGCCTCGTTGCGTACTCCTATATGTCTAGTCTAGCACCAGAGGCGTTGCTTTCCCCTCAAGAGTAAGGCGGTTTCGGCGGAGATTTCGAGGCATGGACGTCTTCATGTGAGCTGGATATACGCCATCGGTGCACTAGTAGTCACCACATATGTATCCTAGCTCCCACTTTGGTACCTATCACCAATTAGTGTATGATGCGTTGGCACACGGGACAGCCTTAGTTCTGTTTGCCGGATTTTGCCCGTCAACACCAGTCCGCGGTGCCTTGGTGGGACATCACCTCCCATCTCTCCATCGACTCCGAGACAGGAACTAGGTGTGGAGCTCGAACGAACATGATGTCGTTGTGGGGGTCAGGTCTCGCATGTGATGTGCTGGGTTTCTGTTTGCTTCTGACGGACCTCCTGTGTCACAATAAAGTAAGGTAGGTATGTCTCACTCGTCACGTCACTCATGTCTCCACTCAGGGCTCATGTATGTATTGTAGGTAAGTTACGGAATAGTTACCCTGCACAGCTTGAATTTCTTCAATTCATGTATAAATTCCATTCAGATGTCGTCTGAACCGAATGGGTGCATATAGCGTTTGTACATACTAGTGATTATCAGATAGAGCAAGGTAAGATAGCGTCGATGGCCGCACACGCCTTGTCAGAAGCGACCCTACACAATAACCACCTTACCTTAGGTCACGGTCCCTATATAGATACTAGGAGGTATTGTACAAACATACGGTAGGTATTGTATCGTATCAGGTAGCGATGTCATTCCATCCGTCCGCTAGGCTCGACGCTCTGAGATGTAGTAATCTACCCACGTGGGGGCAAGCAAAACGGGGTTGATATGCCAGCAGGACTGTACCTGCAAGCCACGTTGCACAGCTCGATGAGGTCGCTGATGCGAGTGTTGATGCTAGGGCCGCGCTCCCGGCCGCAGAGTGAGATTCTGCTGTGTACGATAATACAATTTGAAGCCCAGTACCGTACTGCGAAAGACATCCACCTACCATGTAATCAGAATACATGCGTAAAACATTGCCAGCATTGTAATAACGATCTGATTTGCAAGGACCGCACAGGCATTATCTGCACCACAGCCCAAAGCCGAGAGACTGTCAGGCCGCAATGCAAGCTGCACGTGCTTAAGCCGGGTAGGGGATTGTCGCGTCTTTTTGCATATGTATCAGTACTAGTAGAAGAGAAACGATATGGATTTCAGAGAGGGCGATCGACAACCCCCAAAAAGAAGCCTGACACAAAGTATGCTGCCATTGGAGCATGTCAGTGGTCAATGGAGGCGGCCTAGAAACGGTTGACTACAACACAGTACCAAGGGACTCGTCACAAAGAGGAGCTTGCCATGGTAAAAGAATAAAATAACAAAGTTAAGAGAGCGACCTGAGATGATTCAAGAATGGCCGGTACGCAAACATCACCGCCACCTGCCCTCTGAGCTCCTTCAATACGGTAGTATCTTACCTACTAGAACCGCATCGCCTTCGTCGTAGTAACCGGTGGAATTGCCCGCGGTGCAATGATGTATAGGGACTGTGTACGCCCTGTGTAGTTTTGTCCGATACATTACAGCTGCTATACGGAGTACCCAGGACGAGAACTTGCGGCCCCCAAGTTGGTTGTTGTCCGAGTACACTGGGACGATCACTTTCCCCTAAACGAGGTGCGCAAGCCGGAAGTGCAGAAGCCACTGCACCTGTTGGCGGAAACCCCCAAGACCATGAGCTGGCAATCAAAACACACACCCGGCGCTCGAGTCTCGGAGAAGTTGCCCGCCTCGTGGTATCGGTGGAACGGTAGGTAGAGAAGGGCGGTTCAGTGCTTGACTGTCAGTCTACTGTGTATGCGGGCGCCGGGGGCCGATCAGTGGAGGAAAGAAAAATACTCTTCCGACCTTATTACCAGGTACTGCAACAATACAATATATACGTGCGAGCGCAATACCAGCGGACATGCAGATTGCAGTAGTTTTGTGTGACAACCGATGCGGATGCGGATGCGGAGGGGGTGGGTGTTGATATGTCAAGCTAGGTAGCGCAGGGCTGTTCCGCCTTCCGTTCCGCGAAACGTCACGAACCATCATGACCGACTCGGAGCCAAAATGCCAAAAACATTCTGGCAGAATGACGCTACGCCGCTTTGGGAGCTCAGGGCTCCACAACCGTCGGCATCCACGACTGCTGTAGCCCGAAGCGGCCTTTCCAAATTCCATCGTCAACTGGGTCAAGAAACGATCAATACACCACTACGCCACACCGGTACTTACGTAGGTATATACACGTGCAGCATTCAAGATACTGCTACGAATAGGTATGTGTAGCACCTATCAAGAAAGCCTAGAGCTACTGGACAGCACCACGTAACTTCAGGTAAGTTATATGTCTACCACAGTACCTTATGCTCACATGCACGACAGGGATCCCGCGTTCCAGAGTTCCAGCGCCCAATTCTGCACCATTTCCTGGACACGAGATGCAGGTGAATCCCGCCACTTTGTTCGCTCCACTTATTTAGTTAGACCCCATCGGAAGACAACCCAAGATGCAAGGACGCACCGGCAGTCATTCCCCGCGGCCCGCCCGCGGTATTAGGTTCATTGGTCCCTCGGTGGGTTCCAATAGTCTTGATTACGCGCATGCCGCTTGTTTGTGCTCTTGCAGGCGGTTGCGGACCACGGCACCTATCTCGGAAGTATTGGGCGCAGTTCTGTCGTGGCCCTCTCGATGGCATCAGCACAGTCCATGACCCGCCGCCGGCGCCATTGGATGATGACGAGCATCTCGGGTAACGTTATTGCCAGACCAGATCCTGCCTGCCGAGCACCGCCGACAAATTCGTACGGTTCCAAGCGACCCAAAGCAAGCCCGGACCTTGAACAAGATGCTTGCCAGGCCCAGCTTCCCCAGATCAACTTACACGCAGTCGAAATGCAGATCTCATCTCACTCATCAAAACCCCCAGGCTCACGCTGCTTATTATTCGATCCGGCTTGTCAGAGACACCCAGGTGCCTCACAAATCGCAAGCTCCGGACACGTCCGAGTCCCACTGGTCCAGCCTACCACCGTAGATGGAGTTGAATCCGCTGTCGAAATGTCGGTCTTGGTGTGGCTCTAGTGACCTATCTTATGGAGCGGAGCGCCCAATGTGCTGGAAGTCCCGCCATGCTGCCAGGTCACTGGAAGGGGCGCGGGGATTGCGATCCGCCACGGGCTCCGAAAGGCGTCCTGATGGCGCTATTGATACAGAAATGATGAGCGTGGTCTCTCATGTCGCCGCCGCTTACCGATCCCATCGGGAGTACACTAACTACAGTACTGTCTGGCTGCCAGCGAGGACATCTGGAAGAAACAGCGAACACGGTCGCCAAAGGATAGAGCGCGGTTTCCCACCGTCACTGGCATGCTATGCATGTGTCACGAGCTCTGCTTGAGCTTTTTGTGACAGGCAGGCTCGAATAGGGGAATAGTTACCTGGTTGTGCTACTTGTCGTCTGTGATAGCAGTCGGCATGTCAGCGACACGGCCCACCAAAAGATGAGACGATGGACGAGCTTGCTGCGGCCGCCAAGCCTGCCAAGGCGGCGTCACTCGCTGCTACCGTTTTTGCACTAGTTTTGTGGATTCGCAAGGCTTAACGTCACCTACATAGATCCGGGCCGTGCACGGATCCGGGCCAGGCAATTTCGGCTAATTTAGGGGCACCATAACACCATGCCCACCATCACCAACATGATCACAGCTGGGTCAAAATTGAAGCTATTCACAAGCAGACGACAGTGCCATGGCCAGAAAGCAATGGGGGTCTGGAAAACACATCCAAATCCACCTACTTGAACACATCTGGGCCCATTTTGTAGTCCTTCCAAACACCCTTCGCAAAGCCCACTACCCCTCTTAATGCTATACGACGTTCCTTTTCCCTGGCTTCCACGGCTTCCTTAGCCTCCCTTTCACTTATGCGAGCCCGGATGTCTTCCACAGTCAGTACCCGGGCCTCACCAAAATGCTTCCTCGAGGACTTTTTCCGGCTCTCGAACCTCTTTTTCACTACTTCCTGGGTCAGGGCCCTGAGTGTGGTATTGTCAGCTTGCGTAGTTAGGAAGTAGTCTTTCATCCAGGACAGCCTGGCTCTCTTGGGGGTATCACAAATCTGGAACAGTTCCTCCACAACCTGGTTGATCTTTGTAGCCATGTCGCCAGTCACCGGGAGCTCGGCTCGACGGCCCTGTTGATCAGTAATACTGACCATCGCTGGGGTCTTCGGCCGGTCAGAGGTCCTGGGTCTGGGTGCCGTTGCGGGTGCTGTTGTGGGTGCCGTTGCGGGTGCCGTTGCGGGTGCCGTTGCGGGTGCCGATGTAGGTGCCGGTGCCAGTGCCAGTGCCGTTATAGGTGCCTCGGCTGGCCTATGCCGGGCTAGGACCTTCTCTGGGTTGTAAGGTAGTAACCCAGCTCCTCTCCATGCCTCCGGAATGTTCCGGAAAATGCAAGCCCGGGCCTTCTCATAATACCGGAGGAACTGGTGGTTATCTACCTTGACAGCTCCGAACAATGCCCCTTCAGTAACTAACTTACGGTAAGCCTTAGCCAACGGCCCGAAGACCCCGACATCAAGAGGTTGCAATTCATGTGTCGAGTGTGGTGGTAAGCAAAGTGGTATGATGTTGTGCTCCTCGCAGTATTCCACGAACTGGGGTGAAACATGGCTTGCATGGCCGTCAAGAATGAGGAGCCGGTATTTACCATGTGTTCGGGGTGCCGTATACTTGTCGAAGTGTCGGATCCATTCTAGAGCAATGTTGCAATCGGTCCAGCCGTTCTCACTAACCCGGATAACAAACTGGGGGTCGAGGTCCTTGGGAATCCACGCTTGTTGAATGCGTTTGCCCTGGAAGATGACGAAGGGTGGAAGGACGTCATTGTTGGCCGAGATGCATTCGATAATAGAGACCCATTCGCGGTTACCGGGTTGAACGACGGTCGGCTCTAATGAATCCCTCGGAACAATGACTTTGTGGTTGTCCCCCATGCCTTTTATGCACCCCTTTTCATCCATGTTGTAGGTGTCGTCGTCAGCGATGTTATAAGCCAACTTGATAGTTTGATATAGCTCGAACCAATGTTGTAATGTGTTGTGATCGACAGCGTCCTTCCTAGCTTGGTCCAATGCCCGGGACCTTCGAGCTTTCAATTCCGGGTGCCGGTTCAGGAAGTTGTAGATCCACCGTTCACCCAAAGGCTGGATGTCTCCCTTAGCCAGCAACAACTGGGCTGCAAGATGTTCTAGTGCCGAGATTGACATTGGCCAGCCCCAGGCATCCAACTGGTAAATGGAATTAACAATGGATTGTTCCTCCTGTGGTGTCAACCGCTGCAAGTGCTGGGCTGCGGCCCGGTGGTTCTGCCGTCGACCGGCATACCGTTCCTGGAGGGTGGTTCGTGGTATGTCAAAGATGTGGGCCGCGTTTCGAACGCTGGGGACCTCCCCGGCTCGCAGGGCTTCAATAGCAGACTGGATGCGTTCTTCCTGGCTGTTGGTACGCTTGCGTGGTGGCTTCTTGAGTGTGGGCTTGGGAGGTTTGGGTTTGGATTGACTGGGCGCCATGGTTGATGCGGTTGGCTGACTGCGTTGACTGCGTTCATGATACGGTTAGTTGACTGCATATGATGCGGTCGGTTGAGTACGTACCATGCAGTCGGTTGACTGCGTCGATTGCAGTGGTGATGTGGTATGTTGACTGCGTTGGTGATGCCGTAGGTTGACTGGTATGTGGAAAAGGTTAGCTATTGTCAGAGGAGTTCAAAAAACAGGTCAAACCATGGATTCGTTGGAAAATGCGGTCAAACAGCCTGTTTGATGAAGTTGTTCGTGATGTTCATTGTGGCTGACAGTCGAAATGAATTCAGGCCAGGACCCTGGCCCGGATCCATACACAGCCCGGATCCATGCAGGTGACGTTACAGGGTGCCGCTGATGCGAGCCATGCACCCGGCGCCGCTTCTCTGGGTCTTCCATTTCGGAGCGGTCAAGCTCTTGCACTAGGCCTATCTAGTATTTACTGTCTGGTACGTAACTGTACAGTACTGTGGCACCTACTGCACTTTCCAGGATGGAGTCGAAATGCCGTCTTTGGCTGTGTGCCTAGCCAGGGCATCTGGTCGTCGTCAGGACCGTTACGGGCGCCCATCACACTCCTCCATCCAAAAGGAAAACACGTAACGAATGGTCGAGAGCAGAGGTCACACCCCCCTGAGCCACCCAATTCCAAAAAGAAGGCGGACCACCCGAACTAAGCCCCGTTATTATGGTCCTAGCTCACACACACCGGCAGCATCCAGCATGGCACCCCTGACCGAGCCATGCACCCCGGTACACTGACGGCTCCCAATCCCAAATACTACCCAGGGTCATCTGGCCAGGCCTTGAAGTACTCCGTATGTACCGTCAGAAACAAAACCGGTCGACGCAATGGACAAGGGCCGAAATTTCTTGGGCTTCGATGGGCTTTAATCGAGGTCATTGCTGGGCAGCAGCAGCAGCAGCAGCAGCGAAGAAGCGCGGCTCTATCGAGCTCCCCCCTCGGTAGCATCCTTATTTCCCCCGTCTTTACTTTTGGGGTAGTAGCGGATTAGCTGTGCCGACTAGGGAAGAAGAGTCGGAATCACAGCATATCTGAGTGCTGCGTCGCCACGGGCCTTTTCGAGATACCCGAGCGCGTCCCGCTGCTTCACTTGATCAAGAACCTGGAAAGCAGGGGAAGACAAAATCAACAAAGGCAAAGGAAGTGCCTTGGCTGTGTTTCTGCCCATTCAGGTCGCGGAGAGCCCCTCTTATTAGCGCACGTCAAGCACTCGTAGCCAGTCAGTGTGCCAGAGCCATCTCTCAAGGATAAACCACTGGTCGTCTCTTGCTCGCAACCGTCAGTCCTCGGCCCACTGCAGCTATTACGGTTTTGGCGACGATCGCTCGCTCGCTCGCCACCGCCCTGCGCTTGTCATTCCGTTCCGCTTGGATAGGAGCCACCCGTGACAGCTCCTCCTCGTCGTCCAACGAGCAGGCGGCGTGGCTTTACCGGTGTTTACCGGTGCCTGTGCGGCACCCCCGGCCCTAACGCAAGCCAGCACATCTATATGTGGTCCCGAACACGTACTTATTGCAGCTGCACGTTACCTTGCTCCGCTCCAACAGCCCGGAACGGCCAGCTCCTCGATCTCCCGCCCTCCCGAACGAGGCCGTGTGGCCCGTATTGAGATTCCTTAGCCGGGCAACACCCCCCTCCCCCGCCCCCCGGGGTGTGCGACGGCCAGCGGAGGCCACCGCGAACTGCCGTTTGGATTTGATCACTCCATTGGTGGCGGGCGGAGGCATAGGCATAGGCACGTCACATTTCCAGACCCGGAATCGTCCAGCGTGGCGAGCCAGTCGACTCCTCGGTGGGCCCAAGAACCAGCGCGGACCTGGGTGGGCGTGGTGCCATTGCAGCTGTCATTGGCAGCTCGGCGCTGCGGTCCAGGCAAGTTGCATCTATCCGAGCCGGACACCGGGTGCTCTGTCCACAAGAAGAAACACGCCTGCCAGGCAATACCCAAAAGCGGCTGGAGACGTCAATGTCTGCGTCCCGAAGAGCTCAAGAGCGAAGGGGACAAGGCCGCCATGTCGCAGGGGGGAACTGCGCCTCGCCCTACCTCCCGGCGTTCCTCACCATCTCCAGCGAGAGCGACGGCTCCCGCAACAGCATCCTCACCTCCGCTTCGGCGAAGCTGTGCCTACCAGGATGACTCGAGAGCTCGGCCGCTTCAAGATCCCGCCGAGGCTGCGCTGAATCGGGGCGACGAGAGAGAGCAACAGGCAGGGACTCGAGACATGGACCGGCGTAGCTTACTCAACCCGGACAGGCCATACGCCGTCTCGATCGCGAGTCAGTCACCAACCTTCCCACCGCCTTCCGGGCCGAGCGGGAATCCTCAGTCGGCCATGGAGGCGGCCCAATACGGGAGGCCGGGATCTCAGGGGTCGCCGTCCGCTGCGTTTGTCCAACAAGCCCGGGGCGCTACTACACCACGATCGACGAGCCAGGCTATGCCCGCGACGACGACGTCGCCGGCGGGAGGGCATAATACCTCCGCAGACCGAGTATCTCCCCAGACCGTTCACCCATATCCCATGGCCGCGAGACGTATCTTGACGCCGAGATCCCCGCGAGCAGCTGGCCTTAGTCGAGCAGCGATGAGAGCAGTGGAGCCGCAGCACTTCACGGCAAGCCTTCCTGCTCCTCCCGCCGCCCAGACGCACGTCGGCGGGCCTCCCCCTCTGGGACCGCCACCGCAGCTTCACGGCTCCGTGTTTGGACAAGGAACAGCCACACCCTCGCCCATGCGCCCGACGTCCGGACTGGCGCGGTCGCTCTCGCAGCCCAGCCTGAGTCGCGGCCTCCCTTCGGCGCCACACTCGGAACCGTCACAGCCGGCAGGGCTGAAGCGAGAACACAGCGGGCGGCCCGTCTTGTCCGGACCTCCATTTGCGCCTCCTCTCCCGGCGGGCCAGCCATTTGGAACATCGGGCGCTATGGGCGATTCAAGGTGGACGTCTCGCGTGCTGACCTCGCTGCCCGCTGGCGCTGCCAGGAATCTGCAGCTGGGTGGTGACGTCCAGGCTGTCATGGCCATCATGCCCGGACAAGGGGAAGAGATGCTGGTTCCCGTCGATGTGTACCAGGCATCGAAAGTGGCGGACCAGAAGAGGCAGCGCAACGCCGGGGCATCGGCGAGATTCCGACAGCGGAAGAAGGAGCGGGAGCAACAGCAACAGGAGGAACTGCAGAAGCTGGAGAACCAGAATCGCGAGCTGGAGAAGAAGAACGAAGAGCTCGTGAGGCGTTGCCAGCAAGTCGAGGCAGAGCGAGATTTCTATCGAAGCGAACGGAACCGCCTGCGAGACATCCTATCTCAGACGCCCGGCATGAAGGAGTGGGCCGACCGGGCACCACCGAGTCCGATCTCGAGGACCGGGGGAGGAGGACTGCTTGCGCCCGACTGCGGCGGCGCTCTTCCGGCCCAGCCGGCGCCTCTGCCTCCGCGACATGCTCATTCTTCGCAGTCCCAGGGGCATCCGGGGCATCCGACACCATACCCCCAGATCCTGGCCCATCCTCTCGCACCTCCGCATTCGCGCTCCAGTTCCTACGGCGAGCCATCGGCCCTTGAACCGCCGGCGAGGCGGCGGAGGACGGATTCCGAGCCGCAGCTGCCGACCAGCTCTTACAGCCTCGCGACGTCCACGCATCTGCCGCCCATTACGGCCGGCCCTGTTCCTCCCATTCCCGCCTTCAGTGTTCCGCCGTCGCCGCACGTCACCCCGCCCCCGGGGGTTGCGCGGTTGCCGCCGCTGCGATTCGACCAGTCCCGGACCCCGTCGACGACGCCGCCCCCTGTCCCCGGCGTGCCGCCTCCACAAGTGGCACGCCCGCAGTCGGCGAGTGCATACACTACCACAGCAAGGAGACAGCCCTACGAGACGGGATGGGCTGTAGATCCGCGGGACCACACGGAGGGCGGTCCCAGGTAACCTGGACCAATCCCGCCCTTTGTCCTGCCACCATTTCCCCCCCTTTGTCTAGCTTGGAGCTGTATTAGAGGATGGTACAGATATGCCCGGGCAACCGGCAACCAGAGTTTTCTGGTTGGGAAAGCGAAATAAAAAAAAAGAGGAAACGAAACAGTCAATCAATGGGTTCTGCCTCACCCCGTTCTGTTATATCTCTGTATATCTTACTCCTCCCTCTCATCCTGGTCTGTTATATTCCTTGTACACCTTACCTTCGGGATCCGGGGCGGCATGTTGGCTTTCTGCATCGTTGCATTAGGGAGGAGCCAGTATTGCTTTTTTCTTTTATCATCACTGTTTACTGCTGCTATTGCTGCTCCTCTTACCTGACCACCTACTACTAATCATTGCACAACATGTATGCACGCCCGAATATCTCGCAGCTGCTTGCTTGCTTCCTTCTGTTCACATTTACCGCAGTAATTACCTTGCAGTCAAGGGGTTCACGGTCTAGGTAGTGGCGTTTACAGAGGCCTTTTGTGTTTTTAGTTGCTTTCCTTTTTGATTGTCAGTTTCCGATCCGGGCGGCATCGTATAACAGTTTTGTATTTCTCTTTTTTTCTCTGTCCAAGGCGGTGCTTCCCTATTCTTTCTGTTTTTATGTTCGTTTTTCCCTTCATCCAGCTGGGCGGAGCATTTGATACCAAAACTGAATTACTAGAAGAACAAATTTCGGAACCTTGAAATCTTTGTCTCTCCTCACTCCGGCCACCACCCCCACGGCCCAGTCCCTTGTGCTCTAACTACTGGCTCGTCAACCGACAAGCGCCGCTTTGATTGGACATTCTGAACGGCCAAGGAAGGCGAACTCGGACTGAAGCTGACGAATGAATGGAAAAGCGTGCAGGCAAAGGAGGCAGGATCGCCCGAAGGGTTGGACACTGGTTGCTTGGGAGATTACACGCTCACCTTCTCTGGCCATTTGCAGTGCATTCACATGCAATTCTGGGCAGGAATAGTCCAGTTGCCCGGGATTTCTGTCTCGGACACGCCTCGCGCGGAGAAAGCAGGACAGAAGAGAGAAACACCCGGGTTGCCCACCTATCACAGCGGCCCAGGCAACAACAAAAGACCCGAGAATGGAAATCTCCCCCGAATCAAATCCATTGCTGCCAAGGCAAGAATCGACGGAGATGATTCAGAACCCTGAAGCTTTCCCGCTTATCGAATGCAATGCCAGTTGTTGCTGGTTGAGGAAGCCGCAGCCTCTCCCGGGGCCTTTGCAAGGCTTACCTTCCCCATCGAGCACGGCTGCTTGTCACATGCAATGTCAGCCCTGGGATTTTGTGCGTCCTGTCATCACCGTGATGTCTTGTTTGCAGCGGACTGTATGTGCTGTAGATACGGTTGCATTGTATTGTACCACATGTATGCTTCGCTGCTGTTCGGTGTGACGGCGGCGCTGTGGCTGGTTCAATGCTAAACTCGGCGCTTACCACAGGTACCGTACTTACCCGCGTCCCTCCTTCCTCTATCTCTTTGCTTCTTCTTTTCGCTTTTGTCTTGATTTCCTTTCTTTTTTTTTTCTTCCTTCATCCCCCCACCCCCGATACTGACGACAAAGGTCAAGGTAATAGCATTGTGCGTCCACGCAACGATGTTCTCTCCACGTCATACCTTGTCTCAGCAACCTGGGGGCCACTGCATCAGATGTTGCCTCTCCCCCATCCACTGCAGCAAGCAACATTGATTGGCCGCTTGGCTGCGAAAAGTACCGCAAGATATCCCAGTCGTCATGACGCCCTTCCAGGTCTGATTCTCACACCTGCAAGATCTTGTCCCATGTTTCAGCTGTCGAGCCGCGGTGACACAAAGGTCGGACCTCGAGCCATTTTATGCCCTTATTAGCCCCACGACAACAGAGATCCTAAAGCAGGTACGGAAACCGGAACCAAACAATGTCGTACATCAGTCCCTGTGGCCTCGGCGTGGCGGAGAGTAGAGGGCAGATCAGCAGGTAGTAACAAGAACGCAAGAGTAGATCATTGAGTCAGATTGACGGACGCTGAGGAGAGCAAAACAAGGCCTTGAGCCGTCTTGGAATCGAGGCTTGATTGCCCGCCAGTTGTTGATCCCACAGTCCACTGCCGGGAAATTGGAACAGGCGATCAAGAGTCGGGGCTGCCTGCTCGGCATGGATAGTTTCGGATTCATATCGGGCAGACAGCGGGGGAACTCGAAAAAGAAAGAGGAATAGCTGTGCGCGTCCGGCGGAAACTTATGGAATGAATGGGTACGAACTGCCCCAAACGAAAGAAGGATGTTGCCTGAGGTTGGTTACTATGACCGTCATACGTCGGTATAAGTTACCTGGCTTCATTCACCCCGAGCCGAGTAACCCCACCCTGCGAGCACGGTGCCGGCCGGCGGTGGAGACGGAGAGCGTCCCGTGCCGTAGTGACGTTACATGACCCACTCCGTTGGGACCGCCGCAAAGGGCCAAGCGGCGGCGATCCACGCGCTTCCCGATGGTAACGGAAACCGACAAATCTTGGTATTGGCTCGAATTGGGTTGATATTGATTGCATGCATTGCACGTAGGATTGGGAATGGAAAGGGAGAAATGAACTGTTCATGTCTCTGCTCAACTTTCAGTGCTGAAGCTGACAGGATGTGGCCAGAGACTGGAATGTTACCAAGCGAGTGGCTCAGCCGTAGGTAATTTCTTGATGTGAGGTGGCAGGTTGCCTTCAGAGGAAGGGAAAGAAGCGAGAGAGAGAGAACAACGATGAGCAATCTGTGAGTGTGACCGACCCAAGTTTACACGATTTTGCTTTACTAGTACCTGGAGAGAGACCTGACGGGAAACTGTGGGCCACAAAATACATAGTCGTCTGGGACAGAACGAAATGGTCATGTCTGCATAATGTACTACTTAGTTCACTGGCGAGACTGGCAGCTAGATAAAATAGCATTGCTATTGCGGAACAGCCTGTATGAGAGGCGAAACAGTACTGTTCTAGGTAATAAGTACGCCCATCAGATCTTTTAGCGTCGATATCCGCAGGTACATACCAGGTAGGTTCTGTACATACAGTACCGAAACGCGGGGTAGTTGCCTCCGTGGGTAGCATGACCTCAAAAGTCAGAAAACACGCCGCGAGCTTGGCGCGGCGGCACGTGCTCCAAAGGGGCTGGAGCTGATGGTATTGTATTGTACCAAATGTTAGTACAAGCCGGTTTTGCCACCCCGAAGCCATCCTCTCGACTCCTACGCTCTTTTAACAGCGGGTTCAATACAGCCGTGGATTCAACAAAGCCGGCGGCCCCGCAACGGAGATTCGGGCAGATACAGTCCATCTTACCTCAGCAGGTATCAGTACTCGTAGTTACTGTTGAGGCGGAAACTTCATACTCGCTATCATACCGCAAAGCATGGAGTCGCCTCGCTCGCCCAAGCGACGGCGGATTCTTTCCTCTATCAACCCGCCTGAACCGGGCGCTGAGGACGACGACCCGAAGCCCTACAAGCGTGATCGCGCAATCTCGCGCGATAGATCTGCCCCTCGAATGGAGGACTTAGATGTAGGGAAACAACAAGCGAAAGCGGCAGAGCACGACACAACAATGCCGCGGCCCACTAAGCTCCGCTTCAAGTCTAGGTCCTCCAGGTCGCGACGGTCACGACGCGAGAGCGAGGCGGAAAGCGATCCTGATGACCGTCGCCGCCGCCACCATCACCGGCGCAGGTCCCGGACCCGATCTGGGGACAAAAACGGGCGCGACGACTCCAAAGAACGAAGGCATCGCGACGACGACGACGACGCAGATAACCGTCATCACCGTCACCGTCATCACAGGCGTCACCGTCAAAGTCACCGTCGCAGACGCTCCCACTCCCCCACACCCGCACCACACGCAGACCCGGAACCCGATCCGTTCCAAGACCCGCCTCTCACCCCGGAAACCGCCTTCCGGGAATCGCTTTTTGACGCCCTTGCTGACGACGAGGGCGCCGCGTACTGGGAATCCGTCTACGGCCAGCCCATCCACATCTACCCTGCGCCCGGCGCCGGCGACGGCAGCGCCGGTGGTGGCATGCTGGAGCGCATGACCGACGACGAGTATGCGGCATACGTGCGGCAGAAGATGTGGGAGAAGACGCACGCGGGTCTGCTTGAGGCCCGGGCGCGGAGGGAGAAGAAGCGGGAGGAGGAGAGGAGGCAGCTGGAGGAACGAGAGAGGGTGGCGCGGGAGATTGAGAGGAGCTTGAGGTTTGGCGAGGAGAGGAGGAAGAAGAGGGCCTGGAAGGAGAGGTGGCGCGGGTATCTGGAGCGGTGGCAAGCGTGGGAAGAAGGGGAAGGGAAGGAGGCTGGGGTCGAGGGGATACCCTGGCCTGATGGGGCCGAGAGCGGCGGAGGGAGCGAGGGTTCGGTCTCGGGCGAGGCGGTCAGGGCGTTCTTTGTGAAAGGCATCGGCCTGGAGGAGTTGGGAGAGAAGGAGTTTGCGGCGGCGCTGAAGGAGGAGAGGGTCAGGTGGCACCCGGATAAGATGCAGCAGCGGCTTGGCGGCAAGGTGGACGAGAAAACAATGCGGAACGTGACGGCTATCTTCCAGATCGTGGATGCATTGTGGAATGAGACCAGGAAACATCGTGCCTAAGCATTAGGGAGAGGCATCGATGGTCCGGGTCTAGTCGCTGGGTTGATGGGCGGTAGTGTAGTTCTCAGTTCTCTTCTTCTCTCTTTAGCAAGCCTCTTCAGTACTACCTTCAAGTTAGGTAGAGTGAGATGCTGGCGCCACGACGCCTAGAAGAACCGACTGAGATTGACCACCGGTCCGAAGCAGTGCCATTCTGGAGATGGTTAAGAAAGTTATAGAACCCAGATTCCACGGAAGTCGTCTGGCGCATCCATCCACTGATGAGCACGATTGCCTGCCCAACGTCCTGGAGATGCTGAGCAACATGTTCATCGGCTGTCGGCAAAATCGATCTACAAACGTCCGTCTACCTATGTACTTGTACGTACAATAGGTACATCCTCTACTAGTACAATACTTTACGGGAAGCCGTTGTAATTACCGTACTTGGTGGGGTCCATCAGACGGGCTGACGTCACTAAAATGATCATGCAGGTAGAGACGGTGCGGGTGATGCCAACTGCTTCAACTGTTATGGGCTTGAATTCTGGGCCAACTTGGAGCGTTAGAGATACTGAATTGAGCCCGTAAGCTCTGTATGTGTGAGATCTGATACTCCTAATGTGAGATGCCGATAACACATCCGATTTTGTCGTCACGCTATTTAAACAATCCCAAGAAGCCAAGTGACGCCACTTGAGCATTAAGCCTTAGTACCCGCAATCCCATCTCCTCGTCACAATGACGGACAACTTCGTCATCTCCGGTAGGTAAATCGTAATATCATACAAAAGCCCAACATAAACCCTTCCAAAGGAATTAGAGGTTCGCCAGCACTGCGGCACCGCCGAACAATGCCCCGACGGCAACAGCAGCAGTCTGCATCGGCGCGCCGCCAATGCTTGTGGCGGTGCTCGCCGACTCGATAGCCGAGCTGATAGACGGGTTGATGCTGGAGCTGATAACTGACTCGATCGAGCTACTAATGCTGGCGATCTCCGACGAGAGGGAGGCGGCGGCTGAGCCGGTCGCAGTCGCGGCGACCGACGACAAGCTCGAGAGGACGCTGCCGGCATCCGAGGTGACGGAGCTGACAAGCGACGAACCCTGGGACTCAATGGACGAGATGACCGACGAGATGGCCGACGAGAGGTCAGTGCTGCTGGACGTGGACGAGGCCGAATTGGCGGTCGTCACAGGTGTGGTAGTATCCTGGGCCTGTGAACATTTTCTGTATTAGCTGTCTGTCCCTATTAACAGCCGACGGGAAACAGAACATACCGAAGCCAAGGCGGCAAAAGCAGCGAGCAGTGCGACGCAACGCATTTTGAAAACTGGTAAATGTCTTTTGGTTGGGAATATGCGGGAAGTTGTGAGTCGGTGGAGTTCTCAGACGAGGAGCTTCAAGTCGGTTTTTGTAGTAGGTAGGTACTGGTAAAGCGAAGAGGGAGGCTGGAAGACGCTTTATAAGCGCTCGGATTCTAAGACACGCACGGTATTTGTATCGGGGTCGGGGCACAAATCAAGGCACGAAACGGGAACATGTACGCGTAATGCCAGGCAATCCTGCCCTTTCCTGTCACAGCCACACCGATTGCAATAGCGGGGATACCTGCAACGTCATTCGGGCTGTTCAGCAGGCCCCGTCTGTTTGCCGACTCCTCTTGGGGCGACCACAGTGCGACGCCAACACAGCGGGATAGAAATAGTCGGCCGGCCAATAACAGGTAACCAGTTGTGTAACCGTTAGCTCGTATTTTGTACCTAGGTAGGCTGTTCGTTGAGGAAGCTGTAGCCGTGCCGAACCGGAGTACTGTAAAGCTGCAGAGTCTCCAGAAAGTCTACCTTCGTAGTCACTGCCCAATGCTCCCATCCGACTCGCACCCAGGCGAAGCGAGTCCAGCTGTGCTGTAGTGAAGACCTTGTCTCAGCTGCCTTCGTGACCGCCATGGCAAACTCTGCCACATATGGCTCGCCAGTTGCCTGATTTGTGGTTATGCAAGAAAGCCAGCCATCGGTTTCTCAGCCGTCAACCCCGCAAGCAAACCTTGCACAGTGCAAGTCCCAGGCCACTATGACCTCCAGAATCCTCTCGAGCCTTTTGGAACTAGCAACTTGAAGTCGACTGAAGTCATCCAAGCACACTAAGATGCGGCCGGAGGCGATGTGGGTCCGGGGTTCGTGTATGATGTCATATGGTCCGAGCAACGTCCGGTGCTTCCGTCCGGGAAAAGGTACTCGAAACGCAGTGCTCCAATGACTTCCAGGTTGTTTGTTGAGGTACTCAGACTTCCCGGTAGGGCGAGATGCCTTTCTTGAGCTCCTCGACGATCTCGGCTGCATATTCCGGGCTGCTGGTGACAAAGTCGTACCTCTTGCTCTCTGTTGATTTATACACAACCAGCTGTTGCTTTGGTGAGCGCCTGACCAGAGATCTGTACAGCGCTTGTTTCACGTACCTTGAAGTTTGTTGGATGCTTCCGGGAGACCTTGCAGCCCACAACGTTGCTGAAGTGGACCGTGGTCGATTTCCCGTCCACGTCGGCCAGCTTGCCGCCCGAGGCGGGCATGATGTGGATGTACTCGCCGTCAATGGCAAAGAGCTTCTCAGACAACAGCCGCATCGGCTGCTTCCGCCAGACTGTGTACTTCTTGTAGTTGGACCCGACTCCTAGCTCATCCTGCTTCAGGACCTCCTTCGCCAACGGATGCGTCCCCAGGAGTTTGGTCCTTTTCGTCTTGGTCCAGCTAGAATTGTCGCTAAGCAGAGGCGGCCTGGGAGAGGAACTGCTAAGTGATCCGGCCATGAGGGGTCCGTCGGTAGCGAAGCGACGCCTGTAGAGGTCCAGGTCGGTGACGTTGCCAAGTGATGCAACTGTCCGGTCGAGCAACACCACTGTGCCGGAATGTGGAAGCTTGAGGACATGATTCGCCTTGTCCAGCTGCCGCTTCCTGCAGGCAATGTCGAGAACCTCGGCCAGCCAGGTGTCGGTGCTCACATCTAGCGTAATCATTTGGCCCGGAGCAACATCAGAGGAATGGATGTGAATGCGCAGGAGTCGCTTCTCGCCCCGGGAGGGAACATTTGCAGGCTGAGTTGATTGGGGTGTGTCTGCAAAAATGGTTGTATTCGCGCGGTATGCCGTGTTCAGCAGCGGGTTCTCGCGAGGTTGCGCGGGGGGAAGCATGCTAGCATCCGGCCGCGGTGTGTTCCGGGGCGTGAGGTCCTTGTCGTCTTCTGCCGCAGCCGCCTCCTGCTCAAATTGCGGTGTGTTGCGTTTATTCTCCTCAAACTCCTCGGGCGACGCCTGGACTAGCGCGAAGATGTCGTAGACCTTGGAGTTCGAGCGCGCCCGTCCGGCCTTGTTATTCGCTGTGGTGAACGAAACCAGCCCCTTGTTGCGGTCGAGGGGCGGGAAGTCTTCGTCGACTTCGCCGTCCTCTTCGACCATGCGCAGTGTCCACCAATTGACGTTCAGCTTGTCACTAGGAAGAGGAGGCTCTAGTTTCTCCTCGTTGTAGCGCCAGAGGCTGAGGCCAATCAAGTCCGCAACCGTCACAGGCCTGTCCCCTCCCTCGCCTTGGTGGACTGTCCGGCGAATAAGGACCTCAAATGGTTTGGAGGGCGTCGTGGAAAAGGGAGCATAGATTCGAAGCATGACAGGGTTGGGGTCGCCCTGCCCCGACAGGGAGGCAAAACTGTCGAAAGGGAGCGCAGGTTTGGTCTTCTTCGCGTTGAGGGCAGCGGAGAGTAAGCTCTTGGGCTGTATTGTGCTCAGAGGCCGAATGGTGCTCATAGGCCGTGGGGGCGGCAGCTCTCCCACAGAGATCTGCAGCGGAGCAGGCATGGCCGATCTGCGTATCGTCGATCGCCTGGTGAATTCACGAGGCGGAGTGCCCACTACTTGGTCTCGGAGGGACCCTTGATTCAGGGGGTTCTTCACGGCGTCCAAGATCGATGCGGAATCAATGCTCTCGATGAACGCCGAAGACATGTCGGAAGCGTCGGAATCGTCCTCCTCTTCCTCCTCGAGGGGGTCGCTACCCTGGCGCTTGATGCCCTCGGTAGGCTCCGTGTTGAGCTTGACAGATAGTTTGGCAGCACGGGCGGCAGCAGCTCGCGCGGCCTCTCTGTGCTTATGGAAGGCCGATGCATCAAACTCGTTCTCTGACGATACCTCGCTGCTTGTGACGGTGTCACGCCGGGCTCTCTCCTTTACTGTTTCCAATGCAGACTGCGACCCCCTCCTTGCGGCTGGACGGGGCGATGAGAGAGCGGTCTGGCGGAGGATAGACGACTGCAGCGGCGAGGATCCGGAGCGATTCCGCACAGGCATCTTTGCAAACTTGATCTGCTGAGCAGCGCGCTGGTCCGGCTCATCGTCGCTCTCGTCACTGAGATCACTGCTGTCATCTTCCTCCATCTGCTCCCTGCGCCGGCGACGCTTCGTTGCCATGCTAGGGCCGACGGTGTCCGCGGCACTGCCGGGGAAAAGACCGGCTTCTTCTCCTTCGTCTTCGAGGGTTAGACCGGGACGTCGAGGCGCCTGGAAATACTCAGACGCGACTGCCGTTGGGATCGGGGGCGAGTGAGTTCGCTTAATGAGAGCCGGGTTCGGGCGCCACCCTGTAGCCTTGAACGGAGCCGAATTAAGGAAGCCCTCGTTCAGGGTGAACAGGCGCTCCCCTACACCATCGGCGATGTCATTCAGGTAACTGGTCCGTAACTGGTACAAGACCAGACTGGGAATGGTCAGAACTGCGATCATATGTCTGGACGCGTGCGAAGGAGCGAGTGGGGAGTCATACTCTTCGAGTTGGATAACCGACATCCTGTCACATCCAAAGCAGTTGCTGAGAATCAGGGGTTCGTCTCGCACAGCTAAGATCCTTCGGCTTGCACCTGGTTTAAATCCGCTGAGGAAACACGTAAAGGGAGGAGCTGCTCGGGTCCGTCTCAGAATCAATTCACGTTGCCGATAAGGGAAATCAGCAAGCGGCGGCGCGGAGGAGAGTTGTGCTATGTCCCAGACAATGAACGCAGGAACGGGTTGTGGGCCGCAGCTACCTAGGTATTTGAATAAGCATTGTACCTACCTAGGTAGGTAGTCAAGCCTTCTCAAGAACAGCCCAAGAGCCTGAAAGGAATATGAAATTGAAATGCTGACACCACTGCAAACACAATCGAAGTTGGAGGTAGCCCCCCCACGTGCCCCTTCGAGATAAGGGAGCGGCCGACTGCGAGTTGGGTGAAGCGGTTGCCGATCTGTCAATGCCGCTTGAAAGAGTGGGTCATACCCGTACTGTCCTTACCTTGTATCCGTATAATACACGTACAATACATACATCCATACATCCATGTATCCATACATACTAGAGATAGGTAAGGTACCGGATCATGTCCATACAATTTTCAACATCTTTTCTTACCGAGTTTTGTGAATGGAAGGAATAAGTACAGATCCAGTCCGGTAGAGAAAGCTGGAATGTCATTTACCTCACAGCTTGTTCCTTGCATACCTACCTAACCTAGTACATTGGTACCATACAAGTCTTTGAGACACTGGTAAGCCTTAGGTTCTCTGATACTGTATCGTACATGTAAGCTCATACAGTACCATACACAATCACATGGATCATATGTCTTCCTAGGCTAACCTATCGATAAGAGCCATCATAGGCCACTGGCACGGATCTTCTTGGCACTTTCATCAGACATCAGACAACTCCCCTACGCCGGCCACATCTTATCTCTGGCAAAGATCCAGCACTTGCCGCAAACGATCTGATCCGGTGTAGTGCGCCTAAAGCCACGTGTCAACAGTCACAGTCATGGGCCTAGTCGACTATTCGGATTCGGAATCCGAAACCGAAACCGTGGGCCAGCAAGCGACTTCCGCAGCGCCTGTACCTTCGAAGAAGCATTTCCAGAAGCTCCTCGATCGCTCGTCCGGCTCTGGCAAGATTGTTGTCAACCTCCCAGCAGCAAGTTCTACCACCGATAACAGCGCCGATGATGAGCGGCCGCCCGCAAAGCGGGCCAAGATAACCGGTGCAAGCAGGTTCAGCGGCCTCAGCTCATTCCTGCCGCCACCCAAGAAAACCGGGGCCGCCGCACCTGCGGCGTCAGAGAGGAAGCTAGGCACAGCACCCGCGCCCGGGGTACACTTGCGGACGGCCGCCGAACCGGCATTCGTCCGACGTGGTAGCGGGACCGACCTGGACGACACAGACGATATCGATGGCTCCTCACGGTCGTCTGACCTGAACCTACGCCCTCCTACTTCGAAAGGCCCATCAATACCCGAAGGCCAAAAACCAGAAGAGGAGGTGAAGCTAGTTGGTAAGCCGTTGATGTTCAAACCTCTGTCGGTGACCAGGAAGAAGACGCCGGCGAAGAACAAGAAGACAGAGGCCGTCGCAGTCGCAGCCAGCGCAGCCGCCGAGGCAGTGGCTCCGCAAAGGGGCTCGCCCAGCACGGTGACGGTTACAGCACCAAGCACAGAGCCGCCGCCGCCGAAGAAGAAGAAGGTTTCCCTCTTCTCCGTGGCCGATGACGAGCCAACTCCAAACACCGCCAGTACAGCCCCCGTAGCAGACAACTACGCACCCATGTACCCCACCGGTCCCGGCGCCTTCCAAGAAGATGATGAAAGCGACGTAACCTCTGCATACCCAGTCTACCAGCACCATCCACCTTCAACCCAAACCCAAGAAGAACAACAACCACAGCCCTTAACGTCCCTCGCCGACGGCCTGTCCGCGGCAGCGCGGCGCGAACTTTTTGGCCGCAACCGCGGCGGCGCCGATGCCGCGTCAATGCTGATCCCGCCGAACGCAAAGGTGATCAGTTTCGACATGGAGCGCGAGTACGCGCACAACGAGTCGCTGCGGGCGTCGGGCGCCCAGCAGGCGTACAATCCGGTCCGGTCGATCGCGCCCGGCAAGCACAGCCTGCGGCAGGTGGTCAACATGGCGCAGAGTAACCAGAGCGCGCTGGAGGAGAGCTTCGCGCGGGCCAAGAGCAACCAGCGAGATGCGGCGGGGCGGTATGGGTGGAAGTAGGTCCGTGCTGGGTATGGGGCGGTTTTGGGTGTGCTGCGTGTAGGCTAGCGGAGGAAGACCTGGCAGAGGTTGGAGAATGATACCCTGGTGTATACCTATATACAATGAACCTGATATAAGTGCTGATTTGCGTCCTTGTGTGTGCCTCGTTTTCGCCACTTGAACGGAGCGCTTCAACATAATATGTACAACACATGACTGAATTGGCTTTACAGTCGCGAACAAGGTGTGAGATCTCCATTCTCCATGTGGCCCGTTCAAATTATTTGTTCCATGCATGTACGTAAGGTAAGGTAGGTAATGCACCATCAGCATGTCTCAACCTTGGCCGTCTTCCCCTTCCCAAACATCAAGAAACCCCACTCGCCCCTCGTAATAGGCGAGATATCGTCGTACCCATTCGGCGTCATGGGGCCAACCCTCTCCTCCGGTTGCTGCTGGTGATGCTGCGGTTTCCTCGAACCATCACCGTCGTCATCCGGATGTCGATGATCCCCATGCAGCATCCCATCGATCGACATCCCGTTGTTACTGTCGATATTATCGTCAAAACTCCAACGCACGTCGGCAAACGATTTGATGGCGCTGCGCGGGCGAGCTGTCAGTTGCTCCTCCTCTTCGTGCTCGCCGTGGCCCTGTTCTGTAAGATGTTGCTGTTTCATGTTGGCGGACTGCTTTCCACCATTGCCGACCGGCTTATCGAACGTCGTTTGCAGTTTGAGGGCGGGTGATTTCCCTGGGGGGGCAGGGCGTAGCTTGGGTGTTGTGCGCTGCATTTCGACCCGCGGCGCGTCATCTGATTGGAGATCGTCTGATTGGGGCCAGTCAGTTGGGAAGGTAGCTGTCGTTGGGGGGTCCGGTGGTGGTGATGGTGGAGGGTGCGGAATCTCGGTCACAGCCGGTGTTATTGTCGCCGGGTGGGAGCGTAGGGGATGGATCTCGACGGCCGCTTCGCCGTCGTGCATTTCGCGGTACCAAGCTTCGTACTCATCGAGCTGGGACCCGTCGTCCAGGCCAATATCAGTACTACCGGACACAACGATCTCCTTGTCAAGGGCGTCCACCAGATCGAGAATATGGGTTTCAGTCCGCTGCCCTGATTCTTGCGGTGGGGGTTTGGGTCCTTCAGCCGGTCGAGGTCCTGGTGCCAACATGCCCATTCTCTTGGTCGACAATGGCTCCGCGTCCGTGGCATTCACATCACCCTCGAGAAGCGGCCACGCCGGAGCAGGATCAATATCGTTCTTCACCCCACTTTCCCTCTCCTTTCCCCCGTATGCCCTCTCATACATGCGGCAAACCTCAGTAAGAGAAGCATCACTGATTGGATCTAGCCACCGGTAAGCAGCCAGGAGGGCACTCTTTCGTACTGGGCGGCGACCGTTGGCGAGAAAGAGGCGTCGTAGGTCGTCGACGGCATCTTCGAGGCGGCAAAGCACGTTGGAGCGTGCGTAGGCTTGCAGAGCTGTGCGAAACGTGTAGAGGTGGTCGAGAGAGAGGAGGGTGAGGTGTTCCGACGAGAAGAGTACCTCGTTTTGGGCGGTGGACTTCAGAACGAGGTCGGCTGGGAGACCAAGCGTCGAGGGGGAGACTGCTTGGGAGAGCCAGCGAGGACTGTTTGATGTGTTAGAAACCTTGGGGCTAACATGTTTGGCAGTTCAGGAGAGCATACTCAAGTTTGAACTTCCTTGCCGACTTTTCTAGAACCTGGGAGAGGGCCTTCTCTTCCCGTGGACTTAATGGGTGGGCATAGACGAGTCTCAAGCCAAACCGCGTCGAGTCTCGTACCGAGGACTGTGACACTGCACTGTTTCCGTCGGCCCCTGATAACGAGGACATGACCGTAAACGGGGTAGCTGGTGTCACAGGCACGCTTTCATATGCTGTTGGAGTCGTAGGCCACCGTACCCGGTGACTGAAGGTTGAATCGGAAGTCGACACAGATGAGACCGTCGAGGCCGAAGCTGCGGAAGCCGCGGAAGCCTCGCTAAAGGCTGGTGATGCGGTATCGTTGCGGAACTGATCCAAATGGACATGCAGTATCCTCTCACGTATCTGCGCATCTCCTGAGAAGTTTTGCCGGACAAGCTGTTTCAAGGCCCCTAACCGTGAAGTGGTAGGAAAGGCCGGTCTCGACAGTGTGGCGACGGTTGAGGCGGGCACAGAGCCAGGAGGAAATGTCGGGGAGGTGATCGGCGAGGTAGGCAGTTGGTAGTCCTTCCGAACCACTAGGAGCGTGATATGTCCCACTTTTCTCCCCAGCCGCTTGGAAGCATATTCGAACGCCTCGTTGACCGGGCTGGGGAGATGGTGACCGTCTGAAATAGAGGGACCGGCTTCAAGCGGCGAAGAGATGCGGCCCCTGAGGCACGGTGTGGAAGACATGATGTCTACAACACGGCCGCAGGCGAGCCGTACAGACTGAAAGGATGGACAGCCGGAGGAACAAGCAGAGGAAGTGGATGCTTTTGAAGTCCGGGTTCCAGGTCAACAGGTGCCAAGAGAAGGATGGTTTGTTGCGATGCAGTATGCAGGTCGATTCGGTTGGCCGCTTGCCTGGTGGACTCAAAAGATTCAAACCAAATCCTCCCAGATGAAAACTAAGACAAACATGCCGGACTTAAGTGAAGCTGCTGCATCTCGCATCTGAGGGCTGTTTCAGAACCTCGATCCGGGGATGCAGCCTGGGATGGGAAACATGCAGTGAATTTTCTAAACAAAGAATGAAACAACGACACCAATAATGAAAGGGGTAAGTGCCCTTTGCCTAACGCTGATAAAAAAAGGTTGGGCGGCTACTAGCCTCCGATGTTCAAGTGAAAGCAAAAGAGAAGAAACAAGACATCTTCTATCGTGCCTGCGTTTCACGTCGTTGCACAAGCATTTGCCCAGGCGGGCGGGTCTTCCAAAATAAACATACATACCTCGTCCCGCGTGGTGCGGTGAGCACAAGATGCAGCTAGGCCATGCTGTTGACCAACGAACTGCCATGCAAGCTGTGTGATGTGTGATGAGGACCTGGGAAGGCGTTGCAACGCACAGGGGTAGGTCGGCAAGCGAGACCTTTGGTGGTGGACATCAGCCGAGCAGCCTTCGTTCAACCTCCGAGTCACCTCAATTGCCCCTCTACAGGTCAGGGCAACAATGCCTTCGTCAATCAATACGGATTCTAGTATAAGTTAAATCCGTATGGACCTGATGCACGTTTATAAGGGACGCAAATCCTAAAGACATTGACTTCTCGCATGATGAGCCCAAGCACCAGTCCAAGACGGCATCCCGCACACTTTGAGAATTTCCAGTCTCAACCGGGCTGGAGTTGCCTTCAATTGTCAGAATGCGTAATGGGCCTTCTGCAAACCTCCAAGTTCCTCGAAGGAGGACTCATCGAACGAAGGAAGGTTGCTTGAGGTGGGCAGGGGTAGGCGGCTAACTCTCCGTCGACCTGGGGGTCACACCAGCATCAGCCAATCAGCTTATGCGGGGTGGTAGAGCACGGACCACACCTCAAGCCTTCCGTGGCCGGCGGCGGCAAACAACCAAACCCCAGGACGTGCCGAGCCAACGACATCACAGCGAGATGAACGGGGAGTAAATAGTTACCAGGAGTTCTATTTTCAGTATTCTTGATTGCCGATTCCAACTTTCTCTGCTCTATCTGGCAGACCCTACCCCTGATGAACTATCAGATACAAATCTACTCCCTCCATGGGTAGCTTACAGCGGCTGAGGGGACGTCCACGCGCGATGAACCTATGAAGTCTCAACCTCCCAGGCATTAGTAGGTACCTTAACCCCGAAGCTGATTGCACTTGAAATACAAGTCACAACACAGAGTAACTAAGCCGATGTCAGCCGCCATTTTGTCAGTCGAACCCATGCCATGGTCCCCATACCCGGCATCCAGCCGTCTATGAGGAAAGTCCGCAATTGTGCAACCTAGTAAACAATACAGTTATTTAACCCCACCCAAACCAAGCCAACCCAAAAGCCTTCCTTCTATCCCTTTCCCAGATCCGTGATGGCTCCATGAGAACGAAGCAAACCGGAGCAAATCCTTCTTCACAACCTAGGACCGAGGACTGACAACTCAACGCCCAGTCCCTAACCTTTATTCCCCTCCCTGACGCCGCTCCCAAAGGCGAACCATGCCTTCCATTTCATGCGATCGTTGATGTAGCCCGTACGCCAAAAAATGCTGCCCTTCCCAGTAACTAGGTAGCTTCCCCTTCCGATGTAGTTGAAGTAATCCACTAGGTCTTTCCTCAGGTTGCCGTCGTAATTCCATGGCGTCGTGATGTCCGTGAGAGCTTGTTTCGCGTTATTCTCGTCCTCTTTTCATACATCCTTTTGTCTGTAACCGTCCCGCCGTCGTGATGTCACCAAGACCATCCTGCTCCAGGGTGGGCCAGGCGATTCCTTCCAGTGTGCGGGAAGTGGGGTCATCAGCCGGCGGTGATGCTGGACGCGATGCTCGAGTCGTCGCTATAATACATACCCGAGCCGTCTTCCTCCAGTTCGTCCACGACAACGAGGCTCGCCACTGACTCCATGACACCTACCCCTCGCTGTTAGCCCTGCTTTCTATGAGGTGTGTTGGACAACTACTTACTCTGATTGAGTTGGATATACTCTTGAGTCTGTTCATCTTCCACCGGCTCCTTTAGGTTGAAATACCTACTGCACTGCTTGATGACTCGCTGCAGGCCACTGATCGACCGCTCCGTCACCTCCGCGTTCCGGACAACATAGTTGTCGCGTAGGTACCAAAGACATCTAATGCCCAAAATCCTAGCTGTTTGTCTGACCTTCTCGGCCAGTTCTCGTGCTTCCTTGAGCTCATCGCCGCCGGGCAGCCGGGAGATCCGATGCTGGAAGATCTTTTCCTGCAAAAACAGCTCGGTCTCCTCAACGATCGACGTGTCAAAGTATCCCAGCAACCCGGGCGCCCAGTCGGGCACACCGTCGAGACCAGCCATGATCACTTGGTGCGCTGTCTCTCTTGACCGCTCTCGAGGGCCATCAAACGTCTCTCGTGCAAATTCTAGAAACGCCTTCCCTTCGGGATTCTGCAAGGATAAGCACTGCTGCGACACGTGCTTGATCAGATCGGCGATTAGGCGTGCGTCCCTTGCCTGGCGGCAGAATACCGACCCAGCCACGCGCAGGTAGGGTGTGACGTTGTGGGCGATTTGCCCCGTGATCCTATGCACGAGGGTCTGGAAGACCGAGACTTCCATCCGGTCGCTTTGCTTCATCAGGTTAGCAATTATGGAGTCGGTTCCGGCCGGGTTCTGGGCGATCGAGATGAGCCGGTCGATGAAGATATTGACCGGGATCGTGCGAGGGCCCATTTGGTGAATGATGTCGGTCTCTGCTCTTGTAATGGCAAATGGCTCGCCCGGGTCGGTGGCCCTCTTGACGCGGTCCGCAGGATGACTTGCTCCTGTGGGCTGCCCGTTCGCGTTGTATGTCAACCGTATATTGGCGAGGAGGTAATCGAGAAGTGAAATGATCGTCTCGTACGACGGCGGACGATTGGGCAGCCTCCTGGAGACGACCGCGACCATTCTCGCAAACTGGCTGGGCAGGTATGGCTCAGCATTGGCGTCCGCCCACACGATCCATAATAGCCACCTGAGGAACTCTGGCTGTCCCAGGAAAGCCGCTAGCTCGTGGCGGCCTAGCTTGACAAAAGACAGCATGAAGTCGAAGACTTCGGGCCATGACCGCAGGTTGGCCTGGAAATGCTGCCATAGATGCTCCATGATGCGAACCATGCCTGCGATGACGCAGGACTCGGGGTCGACTTCGCCCATATCCTCTCCGTCCCCTTCTTCCGGAGCTGGGATACCGTACTGCGCCGGTACCTGTGCTTTGAGCCACTGGACGATCTGAATTACGAAGTTAGCTGTCCCCTGCCGAACATCCTCATCGATGTTCCTCTGCAGTAGCATTCGAAGCGCGAACGTGTAGCGCGAGAAATAGCCGTAGACAGCAAGGCCGCACTGAGCGCAGCTCTCACACATGGCTTGAATCCGAGTGAGGAGATTGTAGAAGTCGGGAACGTCCTTTGTTCGCGACGCGATCTGGTCAAGATGGCTGAGAGCCATTGTCAGGGCCTGCGTCTCCATGGCATGGTCCCGAGAACATCGGCCCGAGTTCAGGTTCTTCAGCTGAAACAGAGCCAAGCAGACGAATTGGATCTGCGACGGATCGAACAGGCAATGCCGCCGGAGCAACCACGCGTTCTCCTCCAAGATGTACTCTTGGATGTCGTCCGGGATCTTCACACGGAAAGGCATCGGGGACGTGGAACGCTGAAGCAAAGCCTGGTTCTTGGCGAGGGATGATGCCCGCTGATAGAACAACATGTAGGCGCTGTACTGTTTCTCGTATATCGCGTTGCTGGCAAACTGGGGCTGGTATTCCGGACCACCAAAGCATGAGTTCGCCATCGATGCCGGATCCCATGTGGTCACCGTCTCATCATTGAATTCGACCCACGTTGGCGCTTCGCGGTCTGTTGGCCGTTCCCGAATGTACGAGTAATAGTGGCCGGATTCAGCCGTTCCGGTATGAACAAGGATGCCGACCAGCTCGAAGATGTCCTCGGGCTGATCTTCGCCAGGATTGCTCAAGTGATCGATCGTATAAGGCCGCATGTCGATCTTGTCAGGAAAGGCGAAGTAGTCGTTGATCTTACTCCGCTGCATGGTCCGGAGGTTGAAATCGAACCGTTTCAGGTGGAAGATCAAGTTATCCGGAATGTCTTTGAGGCAAGCCCTATTCGTTGCGGTTAGCAACCACTACCTGCGGCACTCGAACCATACCGCACTGACCTCTTGACAGCGTCAACATGGCGGTCACAGGTAGAGCATTTGTACTTGTTATCTGGCCTCGGTCAGTACCTACGATGCGCGAGCCTTCGCTGGGGGAAGTGGCGGGAAGTACGCACCGCCTTCCATGATTTCGCCATCGACGTATGCCTGCAAACTCTCTTGCAATGAGCTCTTTCCTTTGATGTCACACTGAATGGCTGAAAATGGCTCAAGCCTTTCGGAGACGTGCTCGCACTCCTGAGAGCGGACTTGTTGCACAAGCTGGCCGCCGTAGAAGGATCGAAAGAGGTTCTTCTCTCCACTTGTGAGAAACTGTCCCTCCCAACGGTCGAACAACAGATTGTAAAACTCGTCAACATCCATTTGGACGACGACGTCAATCTGCGTGTCCTCGTACGTCTTGATGCTAGCGACGCACTCCTCAGGGCTAATGAAGTGCCGGACACTGTCCTGTAGGAACGCAAAGAGTTTTTGCGTCTCAAACAGCAGATTCTGAGTGTAGTCGCGATCTCGGACAGTGGCTTGGAGCATGAACTGGCGGAAGTCGACGTTCATGAAGAGCTGGGTGAGAAGGGAGTTGAAGTAGCAAGTGTTCGATAAGTTCCGCAGACCCGGGTAGCCGCACGGAGCCCTGACCGCTTTCGCCCTCTCGAACTGCTGGGGAAGCTCATACGAGTATAAGTCTGCGGGAAGGAGGTTAGCCTGGTCGGCCTGGTCTTCACCCGTGCGCCATTACTCACCTTCTTCCTTGGGATAGACTGGCACCAAGTTGTCCATGTCCTCAAGGAGCCACATGAACTGCGTTGGATCATCTTTCACCAGAGTGAAGATGATCTCCAGAAGCCAGCTGCGGGTTTGAGGACTGGTAATCGGGTGGCTTGGTTCGTATTCCCTCACCGTCTCGTTGCGGGGCGGGAAGAGGTGCTTCCAGAATATCTTCCTAGCAACGCCGCTGTTTCACGGTTAGATCATATGTCGTTGCATCTAATGACGTATTAGGGTATAGGTAGGATCAGTACGAACCTCTCCGGAAGGATCTCCCGGCTGACTGTCTCATCAGTCGCGCATATGATGGCATGAAGAAGCCGGATGAGACCAGCTGCGACTGGGTCCGTGTTCGCAGGCTTAGTGGGATCCTGAAGACATCGAGTTAAACCGAGTGACAACGAAGGGCATCAATTCCGACACCTACCTCTGTGGTCGTGTAGCCAAGGAGCACGTCGAACCAGTCGTCAGAGAGCTGTTTGAGATTAGTGATCTCAGACTGCGTTTCTTGGAGGGCCCGCAGCATGTCGAAGCATAAATCGAGGACCTCTGCAGAACGGCTTGCGTCACCAATCGCTGGCCTGACTAGCCGTGAAACTAGTGGCCAGAGGAAGTCTCGAAGGGTTGTGATTGTTTGGTCCACCTCTTGGAGACTTTGGGAGGCGGATTTGTTAGATTCGGATACGAAAAGGGAGGAATGGACACGGGATCTGTACCTTCCGGTCTCGTTGACCAGGCAAGTTCTCTGCCGGATGAGCAGTGCGGTATCTTGCCTGATGGTGGCCCTGGGATCGTTGTGCAGGAGGTGCTCAAGCAAGCGTGCGGCTTCCGGATGGGCGCGGAACGCCGACATGAAGACTTCGCTCAATGAGCACGACTCCAGGATAGCGTGGAGGCAGAGAGGAGCATGCCTGGTGGCATCCTGCGGCATATCGGACGATGTGGCCAGGGACAGGATAGCCAGGAGGCGATCCAGCAACTGGCTGTCCAGAGACTGGGCTGCTGAGACCGGAAGTTCGGGATCTGGGATGTCTGGTATGAGTAAAAGGTTGAAACCCGAGGGCTGTACCGGGGCGGGGATACCTCTAAGTAGAGAAACGAGAAGGTCCACAAGGGCAGCACCGAGCTCAACCTGTCGCTCAAGATTGGGGCATTGCCCGGTAACCTGCGGGTCGGAGAGCGCAGGAACAACGAGGGACATCGCCCGAGTCAGACAGTCTTTACGCAGACTTGGACTTCCACCCTGCCCCGGGGCTCGCTCACTGACTGCAGACCTGGGTCGGTGGAAGCCCAGGTACTCTCGTAGCGCATGAACCGCATACAGTGATTTGAATGGCTGACCGAGCGGGAACGTGTCCAAGTAGGAGACAGCGGGGTCGCCAATCGTTTGAAGAAGATTCTCGTCCGCGGGAAGTTTCACCAAGAAGCCAAATATCTGGTAGAAACGGTCAGTAATATCATCCAGGCGTCCATCGGACAGGCGTCCTCACCTCGCGAGCGAGCTTTTCTTCCAGAGATAGATACTCCCATAGCTCCTCAAAGTGGCTCAGAATCTCTATTTCCACCGGAGACGCACCTATGCGAATCTTTGGTGAAGCAGGCGCCTCGGATTCCTTCTTGACAAGGATGATCCCGTTGTGGATCTGGAGGTCTTCGAGAGATTTGCAGATGTCGCTTTCTTGGGGGACAAAGGGTCTCCCGCGGTAGTAGATCCGGTAACTCTCGAAGCCTGTGGCTTCCCTCAGACTCGCCAGCAGTGAGGCGGCGGTGTTGCGCTTGCCGATATTCAGGGGCATGACCGTGGTCTGCCTGTCACCGTCAAACGACTGGTACTTCAGCTCGGCTGACTCGCCTTCAACCTCCTTCGGGGACTCCAGAATAAGAGATCTCATATCCGGAGCGGAGAACTCTGGCTTGGCCTGATGCAGTTGGTGGAACTCTCTCAAGATGGCCAAGGAGCGGATGAAGAGGAGCTCCTGCTCGTGAATCTGACTGTCCGTGGCGACTATCACCATGGAGTCGTCGCCAACGCTATCATTTCCATCCGCGAACGCTTTGAGCCTCGAAGCCGCCGAGGATAGTTGCCGGAGACATCGGCCAACAAGACCTAAGTGTACTTTGCGAGCCCTGAATGGCGAGAAGGACTGGACTGACCGGCTTTCGATGTAGACATCTTTGACCAAGGTTTGTATGGCCCGCTGTTCCACCGTGCCGGCCGGTGCATACAGGGCAATCCGCCACAACAATTCAATCCCGGAACAGCTGGCACTGCCGTCGTCTTCGTCGAGCGCAATGCTCGCCGGGTCGTTGACCAGCGGCATGATCCCTTCCCGGACGAAATCCAGCGCACCCTGGCAGAAGAGCTTAGGGTCAAGCGTGGGAAGATACTCTGCGAAACAAGCCGAGGTGAACGCATTCTCGCCCTGACTCCGCTTCATCGCCGTGGTTAGCATCTGCCATGCAACGTCACGGTCCTCTTTGCAACCCGCTTCAGGACCAACAAGCAGGTTCCAGAGCTTCGGTCCAAGGTTGCTCATAATCGACTTGGGCTCATGGAGTATCATGGACATGAGAAGCTCCTTCCGGGGCCCGTTCTCCGGCCCACTGATTACAGCCGAGAAGCCTGCAGCCTTTGCGACAGGGATCGCACTTTCGAGCTCTTCGATCAAAAGCCTCGTTAGATCGTGCTCGGCGAGTAGCTCGCGCAGATCTCGAACATGGTAAAAGCGGGTCGCCATTTTCAGGACCCAGAGGCTGCCCCTTGTGCACGGAGACCGTTGCGCTATGTCATTCAAGCAACCGCGGTAGATCTTCCACCGGCCTTCGGCGCCGGGGCCGTGGTTCAGGATGCCGTCAAGCTTCTGAATGCCGAACTGCTGAATATCTGGATGCGCTACCGGGGATTGCGTCCCCAAGCACGACGACTGCCGAATCAGGCGAATACACAGATCAAAGGGGGCCAAGTCGTGGTGAAGCGTGTCCGGGAACTTCGTCAGAGCTTGCTTCAGCAAGTGGTCGCAGAACTCTCGCATGGTGGGGCCGAAGGCTTCCACAGGCACCGTGTTCAGCTTCTGGAAGAAATATGTCAGGGCCGGGCGCGGAAAGAGATTGGCTATCCGGCCGACCATGCGAAGTAACGCATCGGATACCCGGGGGTCTTGCGTCGACGTGACCGTCTGCCAGAGGGCGTCCGTGTGCGCATTCGTATATGTGTTTGAGATCAGCAGAAAGCCAATGACGTTGCTGCTCTCAAGTGTGATCTCCGGGTGACAGCTCGGGCCCAAGATGTAGTTAACCAGCCCGGTCTTTAGCAAAAAGTCGGCCACGTAGCTCCACAGCGTAAGAACGGCCTCCGTCCCATTTGGTTCCTGGTTCATGCGATAGATCCCAACCAGGTCATTGCACATGGTACTCACGGCCATGACGCGGAGCTGCATCTGTCCAGACCTGATAAGTCTGACAAAGTGTGTGAACTTCCAGTGGTAAGCCATGGCCTCTGGAATTAGGTGACCCGCGACGGGCGGGTGATCTTTAACGTGCTGCGCGATGATTTCAGTAGGGACGACGCCACTCGTGGCAAGACATGCCTCATATATATCTGTTAGGCCCTCGATGAGGTTTGCCACGCCGTCCGAGGAGACCCGATTGAGGTGCTTCTCGATAACGTCCGACAACATGGCGCTCATGGTGTTGAAGAAGGCATAGTTGAGCGACATGCCGTGCCGTACAAACTCGGTAGCAGGGCCGTGTGTCCGGCGCAAGCCGTACTTCAACACGTTTCCCGCGATGAGACACAAGTTCCCCAAGTGGTCGGTGACCTCCTTTGGAAACTGGGAAACGAGACGACGCTCGGTTAGGGCGAGCTGCCTGACGAGTGCGAGTCCGCCTCCTTGAACCGCTGGAAATTTCTGAAAACGGTCGACCATCGCTGCAAGTTCCGCCGGATAGCTCCAATCCTCATCCCCACGCTGCAAGTGAGAAGCGTGGACTGCCACCTCCTCTCGGCGCAATAGTGCCGCGAGTGCTTGAACATAGTGTGGCGATGCACGAGCCTGCAAACGTTCCTGGTCGGATAAGGCTGTGCTCCGTAAGATCTTGAGGTCAAATTCGATAAAGAATGCAGTCAATTCGGAAAATGACCTGTAAAACGCGAAAATGTCTTGTCGCAGGTCCCTGGACCGGGGGTAGGCAACTCTACAACAGGATGTCAATTCCGATATGATGCCACGAATCGCAAACAGCAAGAACTTACTTTCGGTTCACCATGTGCATGACCAACTGGGACACCGGCTGCCACATGTCCCGGTGTGTGAAGTACGAGTCCTCCACGGCCCGAGGCGAAGCGGCCCTGACAAAGAGGAGATATCTGTCTATCCACTCAACAAAGCCGCGGGACACTTGTTCGTCTGTGGCATGTTAGTGATTACCGCCCGCGGTCAAATGATGGAGGAGGGCATAGGGCATAAGGAGCTTACGGGTCGGCAGATACTGTAACAGCCTCAGAACGGTCTCTGTGTATGACTCTGTCGCGTCGTGGAATGGGAAACTGATTGTCGGATCGTAGATAAGAGACCGTCCTGGAGCATCCATAATGGTGATAGGCTCCTCATCCTCGAAATCCCCGTCATCGTCCCCATTCAGCGAGATGACCTCGACTGGTGGACTTCCGCTAGCCGACCTCGAGGAGGCGGGGGTGTCCGCCACGCCATCATTTGGCGGCATGACAGCCTCAGGTTCCTCGACACTAGTCCGGACAGCATTCGTCGATGTTGTAGACGCGGTTGAACCAGAGCCGTTTGGGCACGGGGATGGGGGGGACGAAAGAATCGGCTCGAGTGGCCGCAAGGGTGTCCGGACATTTATGGTGACGCGGCTGGAGCGCTGTTCTGGAGACGGCTCCGCGTCGAGGGGCCTCTGCTCAGGCGTGGTGGGAATGACGTATTCCGTATCGATCTTCATGACAGAATCGCCCCTCAGTTCTGGCCCCGGCGTCCCCGTCGCGGGCAACCTCGGGGAAGAACGCACTGTGTCGACGGACTGGCTTGGTGACTCGCTGGCCAGAGATGTACGTCGCCGCTTCCGAGAGGAAAGTTCGCCGTCGTCGAAGGGATTAGGGCGGGTTGAGCAGGGGGGCTCAGACGAGACAGCTCGTTCTTTCGAAGGGTCGGCTGCTATTGGAGCTTGGGTCCGAATTTGAGCCATCGGACTTTGCGCGAAGGGCAATGTGGAAGGCCGCTATAGCTCCGCAGACGGATGAGCTCCGCTCGGGGAAGCTTGGTAGTAGCTTCTTGATCTTGCCAGTTATTAGCATGTGGTGGTGTTTTGTGATAGGCGCATGCAAGTGCAAGTACGGGAAGGTGGGGTGGATGGTTGCTTGGATGATGGCGTTTGGAAAAGCCACGGCGGGAGGCCCAAAGCTTAAGGTTCCGCTTTGGAAAGCTCCCGTCTCTGGTGGGACGCGTTCCCTAAATAAAAGCGAATAAAAGCGATAACGTGAATTGAAAGGCCACAGAAGAGGGGAAAATGACACCAAACAGCGTGCCTGGTAACAGGGTAAGGTGGAATCAGCACTGTATTGCGTGCACACTTCTGCCTCGAAGCTTTCTTGGTGTTCTTCCGTTTCATCTAGTTCTTTGGTGCTCGGGTCTGGAATAAGGCGGGTGATGTGGGGAGTGGAGGTGATGTAAGTGCGGGCTGGCGGGATGGAAGCGCCCTTCTTCGTGGGCCCGGGCACCAGGCTGAGTGCAAGCTCCAGGAGGACTGAATCGCGGGGCCAGGCTCCCCTGACGACGGGATCGAGGAATCGATCTCGATCTCGAGAGGAAGAAGACTGTACATACCTAGGTACCTTAACGGGGTTATCGCAAAGCCGTAAATTGTGCAACGGAGAAAGAATAGACTAGTCTCATGCGGAAGATATGATGATAATCCACAGCCTTGACCGTTTGAGGCTTGAGAGCATGGCCTGTCGGGTGTTGCAGTGGAGAGGAGTGAACGGAAGAGAAGGACAGGCTGTGGCAATGAAACTACTACCTTGAAGGGCACCTTTGGGAGAGGGCGTGAGCAGCAAAGGGGGGCCAATGCGGGGAAGGGGGGTGTGTGCTGAAGTACCTAAGGTAATGGGCCTGCAGCTGATTGTGAAGGCACGGCTCCCTCCCATATAGGTAACTAAGGTCCCATATATAAGGTACAGGGCAGGGTGTAATAAGATACTCTACGTACATACATGCGTACAAGACAATGGAAAAATGCTTCAGAGGATGCCGCGATGCAATGCCCGGTCGTCTATAATAACGGTATTAGCATAGCAAGTCCACTATCCCCATCTCCTATACGAAGTGCCATTCAGTTCCCTGCGATCTTCGCGATGTAGATGATCTTTGGTGTCGCATGTGATAGGAGCATACAAGGTACTGAAATCCTATCTGGGGTATGCATGTGCTGTACTGTACTGTACTGGAGTACTATATGTACATCGTACGGTTTCTAGGGAAAGACCAAGGACTTGTAGTGCCTGCACCATGGGGCCGTCCGGAGCATTGCTAAATGCCACCACTGATATCTTGTAGCCCGTCTAAAACCAATAGCTATTAGGCAAGTTGGCTTCTGCACCCATTACACCATGAAGGAATGTCCGTAAGAAGTTTTGATCGCGCGCTAGCAACACACCTGGTGGGGTCTTCTAAGGGCGCAGGGAATCATTCTTACAAATACTACCTCCTAATAGTACTGTGTCGGTGTCGGTATTGAAAACTTACTTTCGTACAGACATAGGGTACCTACCGTACATAGGTACAATACCTGTCACATCCTTTGGCTTCTCGGTCTCCATAGGTTGCTTTACCTCTACTAGCTCATGTCAAAACTGGCCTGAGCATCAAAGATAACTGAACATTAGGTACACGGGACATGGGCGTCAATCCTTAGGACTGCAAAGTGCAAACACTGCAGAGCGTAACTCGATACCAGCGCCTGTCAAGAGACAAGCCGAGCTACCAGCTGCGCTGCCATCCGGAAGAAGTCCAAGCTTATTTCGTAGCGGGTGGCCGGTAGTTTGCCAGAGACGGCGTTTTATTAACCTTCCAGCTGTTGGCAAAGCTAGGTAGTCTCACAAACCGGTTTCCTAACGATACAGCCATGGAGCGCAAACGGATCGTACACACGCTAGACACGCCCTACTCTGCCATCGAATGGTAAGCACTCTGCCTGATACCTATTCTACAGTCCCCTTCTCTGTTGTCTTCTCTCTGTGCCCCGCGTACTGATACTCAGCGATAGGCCGCAGATCAGCCAGGAAGACCAGGATGCCATCCTGGAGCTCCTCTGTCAGTGAGTTCTGCTCTCATTGTCGTCGCTCCGTCATGTGGAAATCCATCTGACAACATACACGCAGTCTTCTGGCTCCGCTTGGAGCCCATCGAAGATCCTTCATCCCGGCATCCAAGGGCAAGCGGAAAAGGGTCAAGAAAGCTAGCGGCCCAGAAAGCTCTTCCGCAGCAGCTCCGGTTCCCGCTGCGCCCCCAGTGCCTGAGTTGGCCGGTTACGTCGATGTTGGGCTCTCCAAGATCTCTCGTACCTTACAGATCATGTCCGACAAGGACAAGCTGGTTCGATCTTCGGAAAGTGCGGCATCAAAGCGGGAAGAAGCAACGACCGGGGTAGAAAGCAGGCCGTACACTGTCGTCTTTGTGGCTCGCTCCGGGCAGTCTTCGGCGTTCCACTGCCACTTCCCCCAGATGGTGGCTCTTGCGGCTGCGTCACGGTCGCCGGACGAAGCTGTCAGGCTGGTCGGTTTCTCGAAGGCCTGTGAGGAACGGTTGAGTGCGGCACTCGGGATTCCGCGAGTTTCTAGCATTGCGCTCCGGGAAGGTGCCCCGCAGGCCAAAGGCCTGGTCGACTTTGTACGTGAACACGTCGCATCGATCGAGATTACTTGGCTCCGGGAAGCTCGGTCTGCCAGCTTCCTCGAGACCAGGATCGATGCTGTTCCGACCAAGGTTGGGACTAAGAAACCAAGGCTCTCTTGAGTCAGTCCCCCATATGGGCATTCGGCTGCTGAGATGCACCTCGTGAGGGAACAGTCTGCCCAGGAACCGTGCGTGGCTTGCGGGCGGTTCCAGATGCGGCTAGCGACTCGCATTGCGACATCGACATCGATGGGCGCATATCCGCTGGCGCCTCCATGCAGCTTGGACAAGTCCAGCAGCGTGGCCATGTCAACACGATTAGTCGAAGGGTTTTAGTTCCGCCCCGTTGTTTGAGCACCGTCATGGCGGCTTGCAGTCGCCGTGCCTCTGGCGGCGGACCGGGATTTGAAGTTGACGCCGCCCGCAAAAGGAAAAGGGGGGCCGGGGAGGAAAAGAGATCGCGGCGACAGGAGCGCCCAACTTCCCCGTCGAGGTGCCATTCGTCCACAAACCTTCCTTCAGGTGCATAGGAGAATCAACAAAGCCGGTAGCGCTGGGTTTCTATTCCGGGAAGTGCTCTTAGGCCTGAGAGGCACACGGCAAGACTGGACTGGGAGGGGACGCTCAATGTCGAATTCCGAGGTCGACAGCCCCGTGGTGCCTCCGTATCTATACAATACACTGACTTTTACAAACGAATAAGTAGCTAGTCTATCGTGACCTTCAGCTGTGATCCGGGATGGACAATACATGTATTATACATGGCATACAAGCGGTGAACCTGTACAGCCTACTAGCAGGAACCGTCCAAACGCCAGCCATACACAGGTTTCTGGCCCTCAGAAACGACTGATACCCCTCCCGAAGATCCAAGAGACCAGCCAATAAATGGGAACCAGAAGTTTATTCCTCAGAGACATGGACCTCGTGAGGTACGCCCCACGCCAGACAACCCAGGCCACCCAGCCCTTGAGCTCATCGGCCTGGCTCTGATGGATAGCCCTCCAACTGCCCAGATATGTCAGCGTGCCCCAGTTGCGGAACCTGAAAGGCTTTGCCGCAACCGCAGGCGCGCCGCCGGCATTGAGCCGCTTGGCGAGGTGCGTCGCCTGCTGCGAGGCTACCTGCGCCGTCTTGGGCAGCGCGGGCTCGTTCTCCATCACCGCACAGTCGCCTATCACGTAGACGTCCTCTAGGATGCCGGGCGTCTCGTCGCCCTTGGTGACGGTGCGGGCGCGTAGGTACTCGTCTGTGACGATGCCGCCTGTTCTGGCGTTGCGGAGGAGGTGACGTGTTGCCGTGGAGTGGCTGGATGGAGGGTTGGGTCCGGGCGCAAGAAGCTCCTTTGCGGCGAGCTTGGCGATGAGAGGGTTGGCCATGAGCCCGGTGCTCCAGACCACCAAGCCGGCGCCCACTTCTTCGTCGCCGTACTCCTTGATCTTGACCTTGAGGGCGCCGTGGCGGGAGCCGAGCGCGCCGTCAGCGAGCCGCAGCCGTTGCAGATGGTGTTCGGTTTTGACGCGGATGCCTTGCCGCGCGAACGTGTCCATGGCGTACTGCGCCAGCGCCTGGTCAAACATGGGGAGCACTTTGGGGGCGACGTCGTAGACCGTGATGCTGACCAGAGGCATCAAATCGGGGTACAGCGGCGCGAGATCCTCGTGGATCAGGTCGTGCAGCTCGGCGGCGAACTCGATGCCCGTCGGACCGCCGCCGACGATGGCAAAATGCAGGAGCTGCCGCTTGTCGTCGTCGCTGAGACGGTCGGACCCGCGCGGATATGAGCATTGCTCGAATAGTGAGAGCACTCGCAAGCGGATGCGCCGGGCGTCGCCAATGTCTCGGAGGAAATGGGCATGTTCGCGTACGCCTTCGATGCCGAAGGTCTGGCTGTAGGCGCCGCACGCTATGACAAGCTTGTCGTAGCGAATGTCGATCAAGTCGCCCTTGGCCTTCTTCGCCGGTGCCAGCTCGGTCTTCTCTGCGCCGCTTGTTTCGGATGGTGGAGGGGAGGGCGGCGGGACAACTGTCTTGCTTGCTGTTTCTTCGGCCGCGTTCGCCTCGACACGGATCGTCTTGCGGTCAAAATCGATGTCGTCGGCCCAGCCCTGATAAAAGCCAATCTTTCCCGGAAGGCGGCGGACGGGCTCCAAGATGGTGCGGAATTCGAGGGTGCCGACCGACGTGGAGGCAAGTAGCGGCGTGAAGACAAAGTAAGAGCGTGGAGAGATGATCACACGCTCGTACTTGGCCGGGTCGAGCGTCCGAGCGAAGCCGTAGCCTGCCCATCCCGAGCCAAGGATCACGATCCGTTCTTTTTGGCTGTCATTGCCTGGAGAAGGCTGTTAGCACGAGAGCGACTTCACTTGTAACTTTGATCATCGTTCGAGAAACTCAACTCTTCGCAATACTGAAGCATCGCCATGGCGTATGTGATGGGGCCGCTATTTCGGTGCGCCGAGTAAGCCCACGACGGGCTACCCTCGAGTACAGGGACAATGAAGACATCTACGCAGTAGAGCTGGATTCTCTCGCGGAATCACACCAAGCCGCGTTCAGCGATAGCAGCAGTAAGGGCAACCTTCATCCCACCTGAAACCCAAGTAGAGCATAGCAAGCTCTACTTATGCTGGGCCTATGAGAATTGTTAACTTTTTTTTTCGCATTGCTGGACAGATGAGAAGCTGGGCGAGGTCCGGAAACAGCGGGTCATCCCGAGACTGCCCGTGATGTCATGGGGCTCCCGGGCACAGCCAGGGCACCCAGGTCCGGTTCCGCCCGCTTGCACGTGTCATCGATGGTTGATTTTCAAATACGGGACGGGCGGCAGAACGCGATTCTCTCAAAGACAAACCCGACTTTCGGCCTCGGTCATGCATACTTACGGGCAGCTGCTCCCGCTGAGGAGACAAGAAATTGGACCAGGAAGTCGATGAGGCTGAAACTGATGGTTTGCCAAGACATACGCGGCTTGGCACAATGAGGTCCGTGCTTCCACTCGGGAAGCATCGGGACGACCTCGGGAGCCCCGGCGAGCCTTTTGGTTGATACACCATACGGAGTACACCCGTGGACGTGTTCTACAGGGTTTCAGATGGCTACCTCCGTACGGTGGCAGCCCGGTAGGTAGGTAAGGTACCTACGTACTCCGTAGTTATCTCCTCTCAGTTGAGGCTCAGGTCCACCGCTGTTGTACACAGCAATCCACACAATCTGGGCTCGCATCGAACAGAATAAGCCATACAAAAACATCGCTGTCAGCGGGACTACCTAGTACTACTAGTAGTACTCAAGAGAGCTGAGCTAGAAAGTTGAGATTCCCGATGCCAAATACCTCACTTGTTTTATACTACTACTAGGAGTATACTTATGGTAGGCGTTTACACACCTCGATGTTATTCACCATCACGCATGAGGTCGGAAAAGGCCTAGAGCAGTCAGAGAATAGCTATCGCCATGTTGTCCCCTGCTGGGATTTTCCCGAGACCTTTCGATTTCAAGATGTCCACAACGATCTTTGTATCAACGCAGCATAACACCTTCACCAACGTGTTTCGTGGTCATGCCAAAACCACCTTGTCCTACTTCGTATGGGTCCCAAGAACGGCTTAGCATTCAACATTCCTCTCACAGGATTCAGATTGGGCAGCCACGAAGTAGGTCCGCCAGTGTGCTCTGTCGGTCTGGTCAACCGGCCCTAATTAAGATCTTAGTTTTTTGGGGGCCGGTACCTGATCGAAGGAGACTGACCATGAATGGAAATGAATTACTGTGTAAGAAGGACGGATAATATGGAAGGACTGGGGCCACAGCCCTTTCCTTAGAAGGCGGGAGGCGTGCCCGGGCCTCCGATCAGGTGCTTACGAACTTCCTTAGGCGACACGCTGCGAAGGCGTCTGTCGCTACAAAACCTACACAGTAGTAAGCTTCTTTTCCCATCCCGAGGCCCCGAGTTTCGGCTCTCGAAACTCAGAAAGCGGGCGATTTGTCTGTGCGCTCATCTCAGCTTTGTTGGAATCTCTTGCTCCGAGTTCAGTTGCCTGGTCGAAGGAGTTGCATTGTTGCATGAAATCTGCTGCAAGTCGGCCATCGTCCCCGCCCTTGCATTGCACGTCGAAGCAGGTAATCGCCGTCCTGCTGCTGTTGATTGGCCCAGACCAGATATGACCGGGGCTGGACTGCAGGAAATGGGGCACGGCAGACCAGGGAAGTGTTGGCCTGGAGAGCCTGGCTCAGTCGTGGGAGTTTCACAGAGCGGGCAGGAGCGGTTCGTTGCCGAGCGTTACCATAGCAACGCGCCCTGGGTGCGCAGGACGGGTGACGGCCCTTGTTTACTTTGCTGGGCCAATCAGGAACAGTAGCATCGCATCTTGAGAAGGCCGGGAGGTCCCTTAAACACCACAATCCAGATTCCTCCAGCTGCGTAGCAGTTGTTGAAACTCACCTCCCCTTTTTCTTGCTGACCATTGTCGGTGTGTGGTTACAGCTCCGCGGTCGAGGTCTACGTTCCCTTGGTCTCGCAACCCCGCGCGCCAGCATCCTCTGCGACGGGCACATCTCGGCTTCACTTTCCCCCACGATTGCGCCGCCCGCCGTCTGATAATTTTATTGCCTGCAGCTCTTTTGCGCCGCTCCCGTGTGTTTTTTTTTTTCTTGCAACGGCGCGCTTGCGCATTGGCTATCGCAAACGCCAGCAATACTGAACAGAGAGCAAGCAAACCCCCGCTGCTCGGTTGAGGAGCATGAAATCCGACGACCCAGTATGTAGTCGCAAACGGCACTCCAAACCGCCAGTTTGCCGACATTGCTTCTAACCTTAACTGTGTACCTTAGGTGCAGCCTTTGCGCCTCTCCAAGAGCAACACCATGCCTTCGCCAGCAAAGGCCGGCAGCGCGATCCCGCGCCCGCTCTCTGAGATCTCCCCAACGGAGAAGCGACGGAATTCGCCAAGCTGGAACCAAACCACTAAGGTGGGACAATTTCGTGCCCGTTTGTCGCTCGATTTTTTGCAGACTACTAATTGATTGTTTTGCCCGGCCTATTAGAAACTGGCACTCACGGACTCGTCTCCATTCCAGTCGTCGCCCTTGGAAAGCAGCACCACTTCCCCGCGCCTTTTCTGGCAGAATCGCAGCTTTAACTCGGAAAACAGCCTGGGATCACCGTCTCCCTCTCGGCGCTCCTCCATCGAGCGCTTGCAGAAGGCCTCGCGCGTCAAGAATAGCAATATCCTGGCCCTCGAGCAGAAGCAGGAATACGACCCGACCCGGGTGCCCCACATCGAGCGCCCTCTGGCCAAAGTCCAGGGCAACGCTTTTGGTGGCAGTGGCGTCGCCGGCCTTCGCTCCGAGAAGCAGCCGTTCGGCCACCAGAGAAGCGAGAGTAATACGAGCATCCTTCCCCCGAGCCCCACCAAGACTGTTGTCCCCTCTTCACTGAGCTCCCCAGTGCGGCCGACAACGCCGAGCAAGGATCAGCCGTCGCCGATGAAGTCCTCGCTGTCGAGCCGCTTCAAGAGCAGCTTCGACCCGGAGACCGGGACCTGGTCCGAGACGTCGGGCGACGAGCGCAACCTCCCAGAGGGCAAGTCGCTCCACCGACATCAGAAGAGTGTCACGTTCGACGCAGCTCCTCCTCAGGTCAACGAGTACGAGATGGCCACCCCCGACCTCTCGTCCATTGGGAGCAACTCGAGGGAAGGCAGCTACGACTCCGAGGAAGAAGACGACGAAGACGATGAGCACTACATGACGTATGGCAGCGTCGACCCGGATGATAGCTTTGACGCTTCGCTCGAGGATACCGACAAGACCCCGGTCGTGGGCCCGGATGACTGGCGGCAGGGGAGCCATGACGACCCCTTCGAGAGGAGCCCCATGCCCGACGAACTGCCGCCCGTCCAGAAGCCGCTGCACCGTCGCACCGACTCGTCCAACTCGAACGGCGAGAGTCGGCCATTGCCCCCGCTCCCGGGTATGGGCCAGGCGAGAAGCTTGCCGTCGCCGCCGCCGGCATCTAGCCCCAGCGCCGAGGCTAATAGCATTGGCAACGGCCGGATGCCTCTCGAAGAGCGCCTAAGGCTCATGATGCTGTCCGACGACGGGAAGTCCGCCGCTGAGCAGCAACGCGAACGCCGCATGAGGCGTGCTCACGCGCGCGAGCGGTCCCAGAGTCAGACGCCCGAGCGCGAGAGCCGGAGTCCCAGCGCCCAGCCTCACTCGGACTACGAAGAGGAAGAAGGAGATACCGTCGGAGAGCTGTCGGGCCTTGAGGAGTACCAGCTCCCTCCGCGCATCTCGCGCGAGTCGATCCTACGTCGTGTCAACGGCAACAAGCTGTTTGACCGTGAGTCGGACTACCGCTTCTCGTCGCCTGCCGCTCCCTCGTCTTCTGAGCAGCCCTTTGCATATGATCCCGATGTGCCGATTCCTAGCACCGAAGACTCGATGATGATGTACGAGGACTCCGATGAGGGGAGCGTCATCATCAAGCGGGACAGCGAGGATCATGAGGCCAAGGAGTACGATGTTGATTCGATCGCCGACATGTACCAGCGCTCAGAGACAGTGGACGGCGATGAGGAAGCCGACGAAAAGAGGCAGTCTGACGATGACAGTGCGAGCCAGTATTCTAACGATGATACTGACGATGATGAGGATCATGATGATGGGCCTCAGAGCAACAAGGAGGAAGACGGCGCGGATGACCACGCTCCTACTCCGCGGGTAGCTTCTGCGGCCGATGAGGCGGCTGTGGCCACCCAAGAAACCGAGGCGCCCACGTCGCCGGAGCTGCCGGACAGACCTGAGGAGAGCGACTTCTCCAAGAGCTTCGAGTCCTGCATTCTCGCCCCCAAGCCTGAGGAACCAGAAGCTGTCCCAGAGCCAGAGAAGGCGAGCACGGCGGACGCTCAGGCTGACCTGCAGCGGCCCTTCACACCGCAGGAACAGCTTACAAGGTCGCTCACCAAACCTGAGTATGATGGATCCGGGTGGGGCGAGCCTGAAGACGAGTTCAACGAGCCGGGCACTCCCGAGTCCGTCATCCACCATCCCATTCCCGACAGCGAGGACGAGGCGGCGCGGCAGTCTCCCGCCATCCCGGAGCAGCTGGCCACCATCAAATCAGCATCCGGCTCCAAGCTGAAGACGCGGCCGTCGGCAACCCCATCCGATCTTGCTGCCATGCGGGAGGCTCGCCGTCAGGTCAGCCGCGAGGTGCCCGACATCCCGCCCATCCCCGAACGGCACCGCAGCCGCATCGCGCGCGACAAGGACGCCGAACTCGGCCAGACGAGCAGCGACTTCCTCGAACGTCATCCTAGCTTTAAGAAACGCAGTCTGACACTGGATCTGGACCTCGGCCTCAGCCTGGACCAAGACTTTGACCGGGTTATTGAAGCACAAAAGGTTGCGTTCCACCAATTTTCTTCTCTTCCGCTCTCTGCAACTGCAATTGCAACTTCAGCCACTCTGCCCCCAGATGACCGGAGACGTATGCAGGAAGCGATGCAGCTCAAAGCACATTCAGACAACTTGGGTACTAACGTTTATTTACGCAAACAGCGCGGCTATCTGATGCGACAGAATACGAAGGTTGTTACGGCCAGCGACAAGGACCTTGTCGATGATGCCCGTGCTTGCCGATCGGCAGGCAATTCTCCCGTGAAGCAGACGCGTCCGCAGTCCTGGACCGTCGAGCCCTGGAGCGGCGTGAGGAAACGGAGTCTCCGGGCGAGAGTCCCGGTGGCAGGGCCGGCTCCGCCCTTGCCCGGGCAAGAGAGCAATGCCGTGGCGCCAAGTCAGCTTAAGGAAGAGGACGTGGGCGTGGAGATGGCGACCGAGGACAGCGGCGAGAGAGGTAGGCTCTTCGTTAAAGTGATGGGAGTCAAGGACCTCGATCTGCCGATCCCGAAGAGTAAGACCACACAACCCGATCCCGATTGTGTGTTCAAATAGCATCCTAGCTAACGATGACGATCACAGACGAACGGACATGGTTCAGCCTGACACTGGACAACGGAGTGCACTGCGTGACAACCGCTTGGCTGGAGCTTGCACGCAACGCGCCCATCGGGCAGGAATTCGAGTTGGTTGTGCCCAACGACCTCGAGTTCCAACTTACCCTCAACGTCAAACTGGAGAAGCCGGCGCCTACGCCCGTCAGCAGCAAGAAGGCGCTGCCCTCCCCGACCAAAGCCAGCAAGCCCAAGACGTCCACCTTCAGCCGCGTCTTCGCCTCGCCCAAGAAGCGCAGGGAAATGGAGCTCCGTCAAAAGCAGCAAGAGGAAGAGGAGCGGGCGCTGGCCGCTCAGCGCGAGGCGCAGGCGCGCCAACTCATGAAGGCCGCTCAACAGCCCACCGCCTGGGATCTGCTCAGCCCGCTGGCCGCCGAGGACGGCAGCTTCGCGCGCGCCTACGTCTGTCTCAAGGAGCACGAGCCGCGCTGCTTTGGCCGGCCGTACCAGGTCGAGGTAGCCGCGTTCAACGAGTGGGCGACGGAGGATGCCGGCTTCGCGTCCAGCGTCAAGAGCAAGCGCGGCACTGCGGGCGGCGCCGGCGGCGTGATCCGTCGCGCGCCGTACAAGATCGGCAAGCTGGAGCTGCAGCTGCTGTTTGTGCCGCGGCCGAAGGGGGCTACCGACGAGGACATGCCCAAGAGCATGAACTCGTGCATCAGGGAGATGAAGGCCGCCGAGGAGAGGCTCGCCCGCAGCTGGGAGGGCCATCTCAGCCAGCAGGGCGGTGATTGCCCTTACTGGCGGCGTCGCTATTTCAAGCTCGTCGGCACCAAGCTGACGGCCTACCACGAGGCCACGCGGCAGCCACGCGCCACCATCAACCTGGCCAACGCCAAGCGCCTCATCGACGACCGGCGCACGCTCGTTGAGAAGGAGACAACGGGCAAGAACGGCAGGCGCCGTCGCTCAGCCTTCGCCGAGGAGGAAGAGGGCTACATGTTTGTCGAGGAGGGCTTCCGCATCCGCTTCAACAACGGCGAGCTGATCGACTTCTATGCCGACTCGACCGCCGACAAGGAAGGCTGGATGAAGGTCCTGGGCGAGGTCATCGGGCGCGATAGCCTCAGCTCGGTCGACGGTGGGGACGACTTCACCACGACCGGATCGAGCAGGATGAAGGGCAAGTGGTGTGAGTTGGTGCTGAAGCGGGAAGAGGCCCTGAAGAAGAGGGCCGAGGGACGGAGGGTGCACTCCCGGACGAAGAGCATGTATGTCTGATGGGGTGGCGCCTGCTGTTGGGGATGCTTTCCTATTGCCACGACGGGATGATGATGTGGGACGCGGGAGATGAAGATGTTCATTATGTCGGGGCGCTAGGATGGGGATAATCATGTAGGAGTTTCCGGAGGGGTATGATGAAGAGGAATGGGGAGATCAGGGTTGAGGGTGGAAAGGGGCGGATGGATGATGGGTTTTTGTGGATGGAAGCATATTGGGCACATGAGGTTCGGCTGGTTTGACCATCCAACCTCTCCCTCCCTTGATGGTCCTTTTCTATTTCGCTCCATCTTTTCTTCTCCTCTCGCCACTTCTCGACAGACGGTGGCTCGTCCTGTCGCCACATTCTGCATATTTTTCTCTTTGTCCGTCTAGCAAGCGTCTTTCGCGTTGTCCGTATGTCTGGCGGGGAGTTGTTGGGTTGTCATAATTTTCAGTTCATTTCGCTGACTCTTACTCCCTACTACTCCCTTGGGGTAGATCAAGAGAAAGGCAGAAAATGCTCGAGCTGGCTTGACTAATACCAAGGAGGTCCGATGAGTCGGCGGCTCCGAGGGTTGAGCAACATGCTTCATTTGTGTATTGAGTTCTGTACTAGGCTTGTAGACCATGCAGTTGCAGTTGCAGGATCAGCCTGGCATTTCTGAGAGAATTCAAGTGAAATGTAGTATACTAGTATCCCATGGAAGGTGGTGCGATGTGATCTGGCAAGGCACGCGGACCTCGATGCAGTCTTCTCCACCCTCACAACAGCATGGTGTGAAAGAAGGGCGGCTGACATTTTTTCTACAGCTGTTTCTACAAATCTATTCAATTTTCCTGGCGCCGGTTCCATTCGACACATTCGGCCAAGGTGACGCCGCTCCCGCCGAAGCAGTCGAGAGCGCTGCCGATTGTCAAGTCGACTTTGCCGCCGCTCAGTTGCTTCACCTTTTCCAAGTCCTCCAGGCTACGCCCTCCGCCGGCATAGGTCACTGGGATGCTGCACCACTGCGCCAGCTTCTCCACCAGCTTCTCATCAATGCCCTTCTGCAGCCCCTCATTGTCGGCTGCGTGGATGAGGAACTCGGAGCAATAAGGTTCAAGGCGTTTGATTGAATCTGTGTTGCAAGGTTAGTTAGAAAAGTAAGTCATTAAATCGGGCGTGCAACAACAACAGCCATGAGCAGATCGAATCTCAACGGGATGGTTTACCTTCACACACTTCCATGTCGGTTATAGTCTGCCACTTGTCCATGGCCACGAACCACCTGTCCCCGCCGCCGTGCCGCCGGCAGCTGAGATCTATCACCAGCTTACTCTTGTCGCCATCTATTGCGGCGAGGACTGCGTCAAGCCGGGATTGGGAGAAAGTGCCGTTGGGGAAGAGGAAGGAGGTGATGATAACCTTTTTGATTCAACGGGGAAATTGGTTAATGAACCGTTCTTCTGCCGGGAAGGCGACATGACATGTAAAACAAACCTTCTCGGCACCGGCTCCTATCCACTCTTTCGCATTGGAATCGTTGATGCCGCCACCGACCTGTAATCCGCCTGGCCAGGCCGCTAGCGACTCCCGCGCAGCATCCTGGTTGCCGGGGCCAAGCATGATGACATGCGCACCGGTAAGCGCATTGTCGCGGTAGAGCCGGGCGAAGTGAGCCGGCGGGTGGGGAGAGACAAAGTTGGTCTGCAGGGAGGCAGTCTTGCTGTCTAGTGTCCCGCCCACAATCTGCTTGACCTGCCCTGCATGGAGGTCGATGCAGGGGCGGAACCGGGTCATCTGAGGGGAATCGTCGAGGCCAATGGGAGGCTGGGCGAGTGACGTGAGCTCTCAAAAGGATACAGTCCTGGTCTCGGCAAGAATCAAACTTAGGTATGTCCCTTACGGATGCCACCAGGGACTTCTCACAAATAATAAGGGGCACCTCCTTTATCGATTTCCTTGTTTACAGGACTCGACGCTGTATGGTTGGCGGGGTAAAAGCAGCTTGCATCTCAGTCTTGGAGGGGCCCTGCTTGGCAGCTGATAAGATAAGCCCGGACATTTCACGGTATTGAATCGTACCGTACCGTACAATCATCTGACTGTCAATTTTTGGCGGAGCTTACACTAACTGTCGGGGAACACCCACCCGATTACCGAGCAATTCTTCACAATGCCCAGCTTGTTAGGGAAGCGCAAGGCGCGGCCAGTGGAAGAGGAGTCAGAGACATCCGTGGACGCCCAAGAGATCCTCAAGCGGCACTTCGAGGCGCGCTTCAAGCCACTTGCCATCGCCGCCGCCCACGCCGCACCAAGAAGGCCAGCCAACGATCCTGGGACTGACGACAGTGACGGCAGCCAGGATGATGACGACAGCGATGCCGACGCGGGAGAGTCCGATTCGGAGTGGAGCGGTATTTCGGACAGTGGAAATACAGACGAGGATGAGGATGGTATGTTTGTCCCGTTGCCTTGCGCCTGCGGCACAACCAGGCCGAATTGACAAGACGGGGACAGACACGGAAACGCCCGTGATCGAGGTAGTTGACCATACATCCGAGGCATCCGCCGCCGCAATCGCGAAGATGAGCAAGCAAGAACTCAAAGCCTACCTCGTAAGACTGTCCCATCTCATCCCGCTGCTACCATTTTTACCCACCGGCGAAGTTGCTAACGGACCGGCCCCAGTCTTCTCGGCCACCCGACCCCAGCAGGCCAGCGGCGCAGGCGACGGCCAGTGCCAAAAAGGCGCCATCTGACCAGGACCAACCCGAAGACAGCGCCGCTTTCCTGGCCAACGACCTCGCCCTGCAGCGGCTTATCGCCGAGTCCCACATCCTGTCGGCGGCCGGTGCCAACCCCTCCCACTGGCAGTCGGAGCACGCCGCTGGCACTGCCGCCAATATGCGTGCCTTCGCGGCCGGCCGCACGGCTCGCAAAACCACCGACATGCGTGTGCAGGCACTGGGGGCCAAGGAGAGCGTCCTAGCTCAGGCAAAGATGCCCATGTCTATGCGCAAGGGTATCGTGAGTGCCGCTGCAGAAAGAGAGGCGAAGAGGAGGAGAGAGGCGCGCGAGAACGGAATCATTCTCGAGAGGGAGGGGAAGAAAGCCACGCCGAAGAAGAGAGGGAGGGGAGACAGACCGGTCGATCTGCCGGCCGTGGGGAAGATGAGAGGGGCCGAGTTGAGAGTCAGCGCCAGAGAGGCACGGGCGATCGCTGCTTCGGTGAGGGGACCGGTTGGGAAAGGGAAGGGGAGGCGGAGGAGATGATATCTCCTGCCTGATCCCTGCCGGCGCAGCGTGCAAGCAAGCAGGTCCACTACCTACTCTATCTGCTGGGCTTCCTCCGCGCGATTTGGGCTCTCCGGGCCGTTGTGCCTCAAGGAGCACCATCGCCTTGTCCTTTTGAGGGACTGCGATCAAACCCATCCGGTATTTATCCCCTAATCTTATTGTTCCCAGATCTGGGAAACCGCAAGCTCGGAGACCTGGCCTGCCAATCGACCCGGCAAACAAGCTTTTCGTGACGGGGGGAATGAAATGTCATGATCTCGCACCGCCCGAGTCCACCCCATCGGACCGGTTTCAGCTATGACTGGCCCGCCTCGAGGTCTGCCAACCATTCCAGTTGGGGGCCAGGCTACAGAGACAGCCAGCCTCTCGGACTTCCCAGTGGCCAAGTTAAGACGATGAAGTGCATACATCTACTTCCGCCACGGCAAACTAGCTCCGGCCACGCCTCCAGAGAGGGCTATTCACCCCGCTTAGCAACTGGTACTGTGGAAGTCTGGTAGAAGCCAAGGTGGGTCCCTCTCGAGCTCCGTTAGGAGACCACTGACCACGGGGAGGTAACGCGTCTTGTCGCTGAGGCATATGCAACACGAAAGCGTATAATCATCAGAGAGTGTAGTACGTTAACGTGGTTGTCATCGCATATTTATCATGTAACTAGGTAGTATGTGTATGTGTATCGACCTACTTTGTGTGTAAATAGATGTTGAGGGTATGAAGCGCAAACAAACGATAACACCAGCAGTCAGTCTCCGAGTTGAACAGCTCGAGTCCCAGCTGGGTGGTTCGACCACCCGGGCGGCTGGGCCGGCCTTTCCCGACCGCATGGCGGCGCAGAGCAAATGTGACCCCGGGCGACCACAAAGTGCGGCCTTTACAAACATTGATTGCTTGGCCTGTGGTATCGGCAGTAGTATCGTACAGTATGCGTCTGTCTATCTAAACGGTATGGATGCCCATCATGATACGTGTAGTAGATAGGTACCCGACAGTACATTACATTTGCATGCTGCTAGTTACACCGTTGTGCAGGCATACACTCCAGCCCGGGATCTACAGTCAATTGGGTTGATCAGATGCAGATGTTTGGTCTGCCTTAGATACATCAGCTGTACGGGAGGACGAGCTAGTCGCGAAGGAGAATTTACGGGGAACACATGAGATCATAAAGGATGGTTATCAACGCTCATGAGATGCAGCGGGAAATGGCCTTCATTGTACGGCAATGCAATGATGTTCTCCCATTTAGCTGAATAAACGCAGAATGAGCAGCCATGGAGAAATCTCAAGGAGGAAATCTGCGCTTGCGGCTTGACGCCAAGGTCTACGAAGGATGAGCAGGGTTGAACAAGCAAGCGACTTATGTCTGGTGCAAGTCAAATTAAATTTATGCAAAGACATTTCCTTCAAAGCGTCAATTCACCTCGTCACCTGGTATCTCACTTCCCGGCATGCCAGCAACTAGAAGCGGCTGTCGTGCGCTTGCCATCCAAAAGGGAAAAGGAGAAAATGAAGAAAAGGCTATATATACAGAGATGCTCGCATGCCTTCTCCTCCCCCAATCCACCGCGATCCGCGCTTCCTCGTTCCGAGGAACCCGCAGAACAGGATAGGAACCTGGAAATGCGACGACTCTTAGAATACCCCGTATGGAAACTTCCCAAGCGCTCGTAAAAAAAATGATATGGCATAAAAGGTCCATCTCCAAAGGCCCAACCGCCCCAATTGCAGGAGAGCACTTCGCCCCGCGTCCATCTCTATCGTGAACCAGCTTTTCCAAAACACTGAAATGCTCACAGAAGACGAAAATCCAGCACCACAAGAGGATATGCCGTAGGACAAATGAAAATGAGGATATCACCACTGCCATCCCAAATCGTCCTCTTCGAAGTAGAGACCACCCCCAAGACGCTGAACCAGAAAAGGGCCCAGCTAACCACATAGCCGCGGGAGTGATAAGCCATGGGGGTAGCGTTGCATTCCCTCATGGGCGTCTCCGGGAGATATCATCATGCCATCCCGCCGGTGTTGATGGCATGCGGTTGGCTAATGGTCATCGGCATGCTCAGAGTCTGCAGGCTGTTGAACGTTTGTGTATGCGACAGACTCGTTGGAATCGCAGGCGTCCCGCCGGCGGAGACCGAAGGGTTGCTGTTGCCGTGAACGGCAGCGTCGAGCGAACCAGTAACATAGCCATTCTCGGATGTCGGAGAAGCCTCCTCGACAGAGTTATCCTCGCCAGAGTACTGCTCTTCCTCCGAGTTGAAGTTGCCCTCGGCGCCATCATTGCGGTCATGTGTACGCTTGTGCCTGCAGAGGGGCAGCTTGTTAGTCCCTGTCCCATACACCTAAGACGCTGAGCCGGCAGGCTTGAATGTTTGCTGTGGAGGGCTGCTGTGTCGTGACTCTTGGCGATCTCATAGGCTTGGAGTGCTTCGCTCCGAATGTGCCACTTGCGCCACATACTGCCCACCTTCCCAATTGTCGACTGACAAAGGAAACGATACACCAAGGAAATGAGGGGGGCATACTGTGCTAGGTTGTCTGATCTGGAGAATCCCTTGTTGCAATAAGGGCAGGTGTAGGGTCTTTCCTGTGTATGTGTTCTCACATGTCTGGACGCAATGGTTAGATCCGCAGCAGGAGGCTCATGCTGACAAATGAAACTGTTCACAAATGGAATGATGTGCAGTCTTACCGCTTCAAGTGCTCAAGCCTCTTGAACATACGGCCGCATGAGGGAATGGGGCAGGAATGGGATTTCTGGGGATAGGGACCCAGCTCGACGGTTGCAGAGCGGGCTTTGCGTACCACGTGCGGACCGTGCATCATTGACCGTTGCTGCTCGCTCAGTTCGTCGCCCGTGAGTGGAGAGAAGTCGTGTTGCTGGAGCGCCATAGGATTGAGAGCGGGACTGCCCTCAACGGTCGAGAGCGGAGTACCATGGCGAGACAAGTCCACGACCTCCCTGTGCTGCTGGCTGCCCATCGGCATCCCCGAGTTGCTATATGTGAGGCCCGGTGGTGATGTCTCCGCGGACTCCTCGCCTTCGGCAACGGGACCTACTGACGCGGATACTGATCTCCGGAGATCTGAGGGTCGGTGGGTCGCAGAGGTAGCCGCAGCCATCGCCGAGGTAGTGGCCGACAAGGATGGAGGGATGGAGGAACGCCGCCTTCGCTGCTTGTATGTCGGAGATCCTTCGATGACGGAGTAGACATTGTTAGAGCCGTAAGCTCTCGAGAACGAGGGAGCAGCCAGGTTTGATGGCGGGAGCTGCATCATGCCGTTGAGGGCGCCGACAGGCGTAAGGTCCGGGATAGCGCTGTACAAGCCCGTCTCCTCGTTGGCGATGTAGGCAGGCTCTCCTGCTATGGCGAGAGCCTGCTGGGGAGGCGTCAGAGGTTCGAACGAGATACCGCGCTGGCTGTACTCATCATAATGGGACGAGACAAACGATGGTGCGGGCGAATATTCAAGTGCGAAAGCGGGCATTGACGTGTGTCGCTGGTGCGTCGGGCCGATCGGAACTCCATTCTGATTGTACTGAACACGCGAGTAATCAGGCTCCCGCTTGATCACCGGTTGAGGTTGAGCCATGGTCGGCGCCATCGACATCGACCCGCCGTACTGCGCCATGGCGTCCATCCCATCCGCTAAAGGGGCCATTGACTGGGGGATCATCATCTGGGGAGGAGGCATTGGGTCCATCGCCGGCATTACCGGAGACGGGGCTTGAGGTTGGGAAAACGCAACTTGCTGCGCCGCGTTAAATGCTGAAGTGTTCGCTTGTTGGGCTTTTGTGAGCTGCTCGTACAGCGACTGCGACGAATCGTACTGAAACGAGAGGGCGGGCTCGCTGACAGCGACCGTTGTTGCCTCCTGACCCATCTTCTCCCGCTTCAGATCTCTCTCGAGGGCGTCCAAGAAGAGCCTGTCGTGCGGAACGCTGTACCAATAGAAGACCTTCTGCTTCTTCTGCGTCCGAATGCAGTTGTTCTTGTAAAGGAAGTCAAGAAACGGGCTCTTAGGTTCCTCCAGCGACGCGTCGGTGCCCGATTTCAGATTCCGCAAATCCGAGAAAATGCCTTCCTCGAACTTCTTTGAATTCCTCACGGGACGCCCAAAAGCCTGGAAACGGAACGAGAGACATCTAACGATGTCCGTGCCGGAGATATGGAACAGATTGTTCCATAGCACGCACGATACATACTCGCCAGTCGGAAGAAGAAACCGCCGAATGTATTGATCGGGTGACCAGTCAACTGGCGCCGAAATGAGAAAATATTTGACTGCAGGTGGTGTTAGCAAAACATCAGATTACCCTCACTGTTGACTTCCGACGTGCAAGACACTCACGATTGTCAACCTGCTGCAGAGCTACCTGAGCATCTTGAGGAAGGGATTGCTGAGCCTCAGTGCTCAGCATGAACGTCTCTGGCTTCTGCTGTTGTGCGGCCATAGCTGCACCCTGTGGGTACATGTTGTGGGAGGAAGGGAGAGGTCAAGTCGCAAAGGCGCGACGGCTTTCTCGTCGTGAGGATGTCGAACCAGGCTCACAGGCAGGAGCAAAGGCCACGGGCCCGCTCTGAAACTCAACTCAGTTGAGGCAACCTTGGAGCCCAGCAAGGTGGGAAGACGAGAAAGATGATTCCCAAGCGCTTCGGAGGTTCGTAGATCAGATCGCGACGTGTTCTCAGGCGCTGCCTGCGAACGAATACCGATGTGTACTTTTAAGTGAGATGTCGAGGGGTTCCGAGGCCAGCCCGTGACATAGGAAAAAATTTGCACAACGGTCTAATTCCCAACAATTGTCCCCGGCGGATGGAAGGGATTATCGGTCGGCTCGCGAGAATGACCGCGCGGTCGGGTGTAAGCTTTATCGGAATCGGGACGGCGATTGCGCTCTCGGCGGGTGCTTCGACCGGCGGGTGCTGACGACTGCAGCGTCGGGAAACAATGGGTGAATGGGAATTAATGCTTTTGTTTGGACGAAACGAAACCAATCAAAGATCCTCCAGGTATCGATGCCTATCAAACAGAAACAGCGAGCGGGTCGACAGTGTCGTGGCAGTGAAGGCTGCGACGGCAAGTGTCGGACGGTGGCCAGGAGCGCTGCGCTTTGGACGGGCCAGAGCAACGATTCTAGGTTCCTTCTAGGATCGGAGTCGGGGAGCAGAAAAAAAAAAGAGCAAGGCGCGCAAAATCAGACGTGCGAAATCCAATCGAAGGGATATGCACCGGTGCTGCAGGAGAAAGAAATAGATGCTGTCTCCTGCGGCAATACCCAGAAAGAGGTGAAGGAAGGATGGGGGTACGGAGAGGAGTTCTAGGGAAAAGGACGGGATCGCGAGAGATGGTGAGTGGGCGGCGCTGGGGGGTTAATGACTTCCATGGCCAGGGGCAGTAACTTTGCTTGGTGGCCGGGGGACCCACACACGACCTGCCAATGGTTGAGCCTGGGCAAAATTCGGTGGATCTCAAATGGCAAAGCCGCCGGCTGGCTCCGCCGGACTACACTTCCACCCGACCCTGCAAATAACAGGGCTCCCGGCAGAGCTTCTTGACTGAGCCCGGGATCTCCTTTTAAGATTCCACGGTTGCGACTTCGGCCGGCGTGAAAGATCCTCTTGCTTTTGCCGCACGGCAGGGAGAAGCCAGACTCGGAGATCGAACACGACTCGGAACGACTCCATTCGTTCAACGGCTCTACTCTAAAAGAACTGGGTCGATGTGATTCTCCCAAGGGCTCGCCCACCATCCCCAAGTCGGGTTTACCGTGTCAGGATCCTGATTGCCCTAATCTCCTAGCCTTTGTGTGCGAGATCAAAGCTTTGCTATACAATTGACCGGGGCTGACCGGACCACGGTACTACACAGTACCTACCTGGTAGGTAGGTCGGCAGCAGCCCGCCCAACTCCCCCGGAGATTCTCTTGAGGATGCCGCGTGAGTTTTGCTGGCGATCGCGTCCCTGCCTCTGCCTCCACCCGTTTACATACTACCCACAATTCCTGCCATGAAGTCCCAAAGTTTGTTAGTATTTACGGGGTAGGGTGACCACTGAGTCAGTCCATTCATTGTGCCGCCATGGCTGGCGGCTCGGCGACTCAACCTGTAGGTTGTCGCTGATGTCCCACCAGCTTACGATTGGAGATTGGTTCTATTGTGGCGCTCTTTGTTTCTAGTCTTTCGGCCAATGCTGCTTGGTTTCGAGCTTCATTGTATCTATCTCTCAAGTCGGCTTCGCTGGGGGCTGCGCATAGTGTACCGGAAGCATTGGCCATCAGAGGTGCAGAATGCAGAAGCGCCTAGAAGCCATAACGTTAACCGAGACGGCCTCTGACCTGGGTTAGGTTCCCACAGATGGCGCGCCAGGAAATTGCAATCCATAAAAGTCGACAAAAATATCCCGCGAACGCTAACATTGGCGGGGCCATGTCGAAAGCGGGAACATCCTTGGATGGCTTTCGCCGTAGACCGAGCTCCGCCCTCGTTTTTTCGCCCTGGTGGATCCGGACATACCTTACCTACACGACTGGTGTATTCCATGTATTCTGTGGAGGTTGCATTGAGGTTGTGATTACTGTACCGGTATCTGCAAGACCCTCAAAGTCAGCCGTGAGACGGCAAAGGTGGCGATGGCTTTCCCTACCTACCTCGGTACTACCTATTGTGAGTTTTCTTTTGCGAGTGGAACATCGCAATAGAGGTACCTTAGCTTACCACATAAGCCGCGCCAGGTTATCATGATTACATACGGTAGGTACCATGTGGGAGAGGTTAGTTCGCCTAGCTGCATACTGTGTACCTTACGTTAGGACCGTGCAAGCCGTTCGCCCTAGAAACATCCATGGCATACGCAGTACGGATATAGGTTAGACCTCCGTTTGTCTAGGTTCTTGTTTGAGAGAAGGGTAAACCGCAGACAACGCATCTCAGTCAATTGTGACACCGACAGCAACCATTTCCGGTCGTGAGCTGGCGTCGCTAGTACAGTATGTCAGTTCCGAGTCTGTGCCACCACCTTCAATCCCCCCGCCTCCCATCACCACTCACCCTCTGGCCAGACGGGAAGAAAGGGTACACGTCCACTAACAAGCATTAAGGTGGCACGGAATTCACTAAGGTAAGGTAGTTAAGGTACGTCACTCATCGCGCACTTCCTTCTTTTCTGCTCCTCTTCCTCCTGCCATCTATCGATTCGTTCACGTTATTTCTTCCTTTCCATCTTCCAACCCTACCCTTTACATTTATTAGGCTCGATTCTGTCTGGTTGACTCCTGATTGCTTGACCTCTGAGCTTAACTAGCATTCGAGTTGGTGTAACGATGGTTTGCAGCCCGATGTCCAGCCCCGAATTTTGAGTTGGGCCCCCCTTGTCGATTCTGAAACATGCTTCAGAAATAGCTCAGGGCAAGGGGCCTTGGCTTTTGGCTCTTGCACCTCCGGAGCGGAGACCTAGGCTCGAGGATTCGCTGCAGCCGCTGCAGCCGGCAAAGGTCCGTTGATCCGCTTTCTGACAACTGCTTGCACTTAGGAAGGAGGATAGTTACTGTACCTACTCATGTCACTCCGCCCTCTGATCCATGGACTGTCTACACAGTAGGCGAGATACGCAGAGTGTACGCCAGTACACAGTATGTGCATTCCATGCCTCTAGCTTTCTTGTGAAGTCAGATGTCGAGGTAGTGGACTTGAACAGGATGAGGCGCTCCATGAGGACAGTACTCTGCAGGCTTGGGTTGCCAAAGCAGGCGGCAAAATGTCGTTGTGCTCGAGGCTGTTTGCGGATCCATCATTCTCCTCCATCCTTCCCGACGGCACTTGACCAAGCACCGCCAAGGCAACAACATCACTGCACCGCCTTTGCCCCTCCGGAAGAGATGTCTACACTACACAGTACACAGTACATACCTACCTAACGAACTGACCCCGAGCCGTTGCGAGGCATCCACACCTCCTCGTCCCCACGAGAAGGAATCGCAAAAACTCCAAATTTTCGATGCCAGCGCCCAAGCGTGCTCGCCCATGCACAGCAGCCGTCTGTGCCTTACCCGCACGTATGTCAGGTACAGATGCAGCTACGGACATAGGTATCACACTTATCAGCCGGTGCATACCTACCTTGTCCGGTGGTCGGCCTAGGCTCCCCTGGCATCTTCTGAAACACAAAGCTTGCTGATTCAAGGTCTCCTCCCCCCACGGCAGACAGCATGGACGATGAACCACAGCCCAGGGCCAGGCTGCCTGGTATACTCCCTGTAACTTTGGTCGTCGGCCGTAGATATCCGTACATACACAGTACACACAGATGACAATCATCTCTACGCGCCAGGTTGTGTCGTGTGAACATGCAGGCGCAACTGCAAGTATGCTGGAGCTGGCTCGCATATGGCACTTTTGTTCTTGTCACAGCCAAGCGCGAATGTTATCGAGGGGGACGTGGCCTCCCTTTGCTCTGCTAGGTATCAGCTCTGCTGGTGCATTCGAGGTCAGACATGAGTCTGCCTATGTCTTCGAACCGGTAACCTAAACTCCCCGGCAATGCTATTCACTGCGAACACGGAACAGAGGCCGCCTCTCCTGCTGTGACCTCAGCAACACTCAATCGAGCTACATAGAATCCACGCAACGTGATGGGATTGTCTCCAGCCCAGTGAAACGCTCAGCTTCCAGGGGACAAAGCTGATCACAGACAATAGACCAAGGGGGCTCCCGGCGGCTCCCCAGGTGATAGCCCCGTACAGTGTCTTGTGCCACCTAGGTAGGTGTTTTTGTGTCGTTTGTCTTTCTCGCTGCGCAGCATACAAAACATCCCTTGAATAACTTACTCCATGAGGTCTCGGAACATTGTACTGCCAGCCAATAACAACATGCACTTCCTTGTTCAGGGTGAGGGTGCCAGGCCGGGATACGTAGGGTTGCAGTCGACGGGTAAGAAGTCAGTCATGTTTCAGATCTTCCGGGCAAACGAGTTGAGACCCCGCAACTGAGAGCTTAGCATTGTCGCCTTACCGTCACGGCGCGTTCATCTACTCTCACAAATGGGCTCCTACGTACTCATTCATGAGTGCAGTGGGGTAGAGCTACGAGTCGCCGATTTTGATTGGTGGTGTGTCTCAGACCTGATGGTGAACATCTTATTGGCAGCATGATCTTCTGGGAGCCAAGAATAGCAGCTGAGTGGCCGGTGAAATCGGCCGCAGAGGACAAGTGCCGGACACCAGTAACCACTGGCCTATCAGAAGCGTTCAGATCCCGCTCTGTACGATCCGGTAGTGATTGTTTGGCTGCCATGAGACCTTCGTTGGAATACCCGCCAGGAGGGTGGTGAGCATCTGTTGTTGTGGTTGCGCGCGGGGTGACCTGTTGCGTAATACCTTGAAGCGTTCCTGGCCATCTCATCAATGCAGCTACCGTGGTTACCGTGAGATCTGATCCGTGTAGCCGAGAGATCTGTGCTCATCTGCATGGGCGTGCCAATGACCGTCCTCTCACCCACGATGCTGATGAGAGCTGTTGTTCCTAATAAGTTGTGGAGGCAATTCTTGGGGAAGAGCTCAGCATATAACGGAGTGTTGACACTATTGTTAGCAACAAATATTTACCTTACCACGCACAAGCTAGGCCTATTCTTTACCTATGGTTGGCCATTCTTCCTCTCGAACCTTCCCAATCCTGCTGTACTACGACGTCCTCTTGCTGTTGAGTCGGCGCTTCCTTCCGAGCTGGTGGCTGGTGGCTGGTAGCAGATCTCGAGGAGGCTCGGAGCCCGAACGGTGCTCCGCTAGAGAGAAGGTGGTTCCAGCACAAGCGGAGCCCAAACCACCTGAACCTGGACAACGTCGTCGTATTTCCAATGCCGTTTGGTATTCGGCCCGCTACCTGCAGCAGAGATTCAATTGGTGTTCCTGGCAGACTGCATGAGCGGGGCGAACCTCGTTAAGCTGTACACTAGGTAGGCTCGATAGGTACACAGGATGTCTGTGCGGAGCAGAAACAAAAGCACCCCTGAGCAGAGAGCTCAGGCGTGACCTCATCGTATCCTTGCAGCAACAACAACAACACCAAGGAGTCGAGATTCGAGAAGCAGGGCGCCGCTCGGTCTCTACCGCAGAAAGAGAGCGGGGTAGCCCCGTTAGCCTGTCTGACTTACCGCGAGGGGAACGGCTGATGTCCAAATTCAGCCAGATTCGCGTGGGTGCAGAGTCCGAAACAAGCGCTGGTGCGCTTTCGTGATGGGGACTCAGGGATCAGGGAAAGAGATGAAACTTGACAACAATGTCGCAACTTCTTCCAGAAAAGCGGCATGTGCCTGGACCACCGCCTAGACACGGGAGCCGGCTTGAATTCATCAGACGACGCACCATGCCGACCGGTCCGGGGTCCGAACCCGGGTTAAGGTGTGCCAGCCGGGTACCTCCGTAGCCTAGGATACTTGCGGTTACCGAGCAGCTCTGAGTTTCCGGCGAATTGACTTTGTCCTGATAATAATTTCGTTCATATACACAGGAACAGGACGTCGAGGTGACCCAATGGATAGGTGAAGTTCCAAAGCTTGAAGCTTCACTGTCACCGTGTGCCTGGGTCTCTGGGATGCATGAGGCCTGAGTCGGTGCGCGCTGGCTAGCGGGCTCAGTCTGCTGAGTAACGTTTTCGTATCGTACATCTGTATCGGAAGGTAAATCGATACACTACATTTCTTGTATCTGGTATTGTATATGACGGCCAGCAGCGAACTCGTAGGCTCGTACCTGCATACCTACCTGCACCTACCAACATCTCTAATCAGCATCCAAAGATATAAGACCATCCACAGATCGACCAGCTTGAACCGGCCCTTCCCACGGAAACTACCGTCGTCCTGGTGGCCGATTCCCGCCCTGCTCACTCATCCTGCATGGTCCAGGGGCCGGAGCTTTGTCCTGGGGCGGTCGGACGGAGCAGCGTGAGGGTGGCACAGTGGCAATGAGCTACAAGGAGCTACCCCGGCGCTCCAATGTCAGTTTACCTACCCCGACGTTACTGTGTACCGACATGACTGAGCGCCCGAAGATCCTGCTCACAGCCGGCCGAGCCTGGTCCGGCCCTGTCCAACAGTTGCCTCCCGAGCCCCGACTGGCGGGGTCTGATCTTGACTCCAGCTCAAGCTATTCGCCTGTCGTATGTATGTAGGGGGACAAAATAGTTCCCACGGGAATTAGTCCATGACTCCATGACCGCGTACCTGCAGAATGGTAGAGAGATAGCGCGTTGCCCAGTCTGAGATGCTGGCCTCCTGCTCTCCGCGCATCACGATGTGATCAGCCGTACGGAGTAAACTTATCATAACTACCTTACCTACGCATAATGCTGACGGCGCAGTTACCCTTCTCTACCGGCTAGATCGGCTGTTGCTCACCATTGTGTTTATGTTACATTGATAACACACATGGTTGGGTGCTAATCGTAATGATGCTGCACTGTCTGTAGTTCCGTATTTGGACTCCAAATTTTGCGGTTGGGATGCTTGACAGGAAGTCAGGAACCGAAGACGGAAGACAGAGGGCAGTCACCAGTGACTTGAGCATGATCCTTTACCAGATGCGGACCGAAACCCGTCTTTACCCCTGAGCTCCCCTGCCAACGTTGTACTCGGCAAACGCGTTTTTTTTTAAGAGTTTAAGCAGCATTCTGCAACCAAAACAGAGAGATGATTACAACACTACACTACACAGTACATACCGACAGGACAGCCGGTACGTACATGAGTAGCAAGCGATGTTGCGTAGGTACATATTGTACAAGGGTACGACATATCATGACCGGGCGAGTCGGAACCTCTCCGTCTGGACACTCCTCCTGCCTGACCGCATCTTGCCCAACATGTGGTAGGACGACGACGAACCCGAGGGGACCAACAAGCGAGAAGGTAACTTTATTGGGGCAGCTAACTATGCCTGATGGATGCGATAGTTGAACCAGTTAATGACCCTCACACACTCCGTCCGCTCAGGGGTATCAATACGCTCAAGGCTCCCACACCTGACAACAATCTTGGAGACGGAGAGTTCGCATGAACGGCGCCCTTTCTGATTCATCAAGGACGAAAAGAATGGGATTGGGCGGAGATTAGATCGTTCTAAGCTCCTTCTCCATAGCCGTCAACTCCTCCCTAACCTTGGGACAGTAATGCTTCCGGAGAATTTCTCCTTCCCACACCGTAGTCGTAAATGGGTTGCTCCCCTCCACCGTCTCGCTCAGGGGTTTGTAGGTTCCGTCGCCCTTTCGCTCCTCCGTGTTCCACAACGCGCTGATCTTGCGGCCGTGGGTGTGCAACACATCGTGCAGCAGGCCCAGCACAGCCTGGCACGACTTCTCGGGCATCTGCAGCGCCACTGACATGAGCTGCTTCGTGAAAGCCGCGAGGCGTGAAGGCGGCACCGAACGGATGTTCCAGGGCGGGAGGAGCACGCCGCTGAGGCAGCGCATTAGGAGCACGGTCGTGGTCTGGAGGTTGATCTTGTTATTCCGCCGCTCGGTAGGGTTCCCCGACGAGGCGTCGTTTGGGTCGGTCAGGTGTAGGGATCTGGCACCTAATTCGACGTCGGGGTTGACGGAGAGGCTGAGGAGGCTGCGGTAGAGGTTTGTGATAAAGAAGGACAGGTCGAGATGCAGGTCGGAGCGGGCGTTATGCGCGTCCTGACCTTCGAGCAGCGCGAAGGCGGTGACGGTGCAGAGGAGGGCTTCTCTGCTGGTGTCGCGGACGACAGAGAGATCGTCCTCTTCTTGAGCTTCGCCACTCGCCCCCTCATCTCCATCTTCAGCACTTTCGCTCTCCCGGATAAGCTCCTTAAGGGCCTCGAGGAGGTCTCCGAAGAAGTCTTGGTTGATAAGGTGCGCGTACTTGGCCAGGCCTTCAAGCACCGCCCCCATGAGATGCGGCGTGCGCATCTTCAGGATCCGGAAGTATGTAGCGAATACGATCTTTAGAATCTCTGATTGCGTTTGCTCCCGCTCTTCGTGGCTGACGGTTGCATCGGCATGAGCCATCACCTTCTCGGCTTCCTTCTGCTGCTTGAGCAGCTTCCGTTCCCGTTTAGTCCGAAACTCCCTCTTCCCTTTCGGCCTTTTGCCATTCGACAGGTTCCCGGGATGGCTGACCTTATCTTGCGAAGCTTTGCCTGCAAACTCGGACAGCAACCGAAGGTGTAAAAACATGTTGAGGACACTCTCGTCAATGCGGTACTCGCGAGCCTTCATCATCTTCGAGAGCAAGGAGACTGCTTCCATCGAGGCCTTTCCATCTTCATCGTCCCGGAACAAGGTCTCCAGCGTTTGCCGGCACTTGACGAAGTCGTCATCCAACTTGCGGCTGCTCAGTTTCCGCACGAGTATCCTCAAGAGATCACCGCGGAAGTTGAAATGAGGCACCGCGTTTACCAGTGTGCAAGCACAGGTAAAGGCAATGCTTGAAATGGGAGGGCCCGCTTTCCGAGTTTCCGAACCCGGAGAAGCTGCGTGCTGTGCCAGAGTCTTGATGTAGCCATGATATCCCGATATTAGAGCTTGTTCGTAAGTCCGCAAGCGCCGGACTTCTTTTGAGAGCTTCTCCCCAGCTGCCTCCTCTGTCGCGGGCCGTATCCTATATCCAGGAATGACATCTTTGTAGACCGTCATCTGGGTAACGATGCACAGCTTCTGTATCGCGAGAATAGGTGACTCGCCGATGCGAGCCAATGCCTTGAACGCGCCAGGATGCTCTTCCGGGTCCTCGTTTAGCTGCGTTGCGATCTTCGCAAGCTCTTCCTGAGCCTTGCGGATTTGTTCCCGTTCGGGGATCTTGGGTTCTTCTGGAACAACGGCCTCGGGCTGCTCCTCGATGCCACCCTCGTCTCCCTCACTCTCAAGCCAGTCGGCATCGCTCGCTATCGAGTCTGCATCATCTTGAACCTGCCATGTCCCCTGGGCCGTCTTCACGGGAAGTCTGCCTCCCCCTTCGCTGGCGTTCTTCTTCGCTTCCTTCTTCTTGGCTTTCCTTGACCTTGATTCGTAGTCTTGTTCGAGATTCCAGTTGGCGGCATTCTTGAAGAATGCCTTCTGGATCTTGGCGTCTTTGTTCGTAGATTCGTGCCCGTCTTCCCCGGGTGGCGTTACCCTTCTGCGTTTCGAAGGGCGGGAAGCCATTGCATGTGTGCCGCGGTTTGGAGAGGAGCTGTCTGTCCTCTTGGCCTGCAATGTTAGGAAATTTTTCGACGTCGATAACGTTACAAGATGGGGGCCATCATGAGCCCACCATAGCCAAGTGGATTTATCCGTGACGTTTGATTGGCTCTTGGCCTCTTATCGGTCCCTTTGACCCAGAAAAATTTCTGGACAATGCTGCTTCAAGAGCGCTGCGAAGGAATATCCATGGATTTGCTGGGAGCGCATCGCGAAAACTGTCTCACGCCTCTCCAATAACCTGTTGTCCGGTTTCGACGACACGGCCGTATAATCTCTCTCCGGTGGTTCGGCTGCCACACGTTCTATCGCCAGTTAAACACATCGGATCTCAGCACCGCTCGTGAGGACCGCAGCCCGCCAATGGTGATTCCTCTGTCGCAAAAAAGGGTACAGATCTCTGGGAGGTGAAACCGCCTCAAAATGGCGACGTCTCTGGCTGCGCAGTTGGCGCAGATCGCAGCCAACTCGCGGACGAGCCTGAACGCCAAGGCCCTCAAGGCCACCCATTCCAAGTCCTTAATCTGGGAGCCCCGGGTCGCTGCCGGCCAAACCTTCGCCGAGATTTACCAAGTATGCTACGAGGGCTTCGAGGAACTCTGCCGTCTAGATTCGCGCTTTGCGCACTTTGGCACCACGTTGTTCAGTGAGCAGAGTCAGGAAGCGGACAGGACGCAGATGACCGCCGAGGAAAATGCGGCATTGGACAAGCGGGTGAACTCGTTCCTGCACCTCGTCGGGAGCCGGCTGCGACTTATGCCTGCTATCAAGGCTGTTGAATGGTTGATTCGGCGGTTTCGGTAGGCGATGCGCTTTCACATTCCCAAGACGTCGCTGACCAGGCTCCAGAATCCACGAGTTCAACACCGCATCCTTGATCACCACTTTCCTGCCGTATCATACCATTCCTGCTTTCGTTACGTTGCTTTCCATCCTTCCTGCAAATGTTCCGTTGGAGTACAGGTTTCTGGATCCCTACATCCGGTCTTTGACAAGCCCACCGAGAGCTGCGATTGTGCAGCAGGCAACAAACCGCCACGAGTTCCTGTCCGCCATCTCTCAGTACACTCTCGAGTCATGCAGGGCCAGGCAGGAATACCCGGGCCTGGTGTCTTTCTGGGCCGGCGTCATGGCTGAAGCTGTCAATGGCATGTTGGACAAGATGCGGTCAGGCAGGAGGAGTGTCCAGCTGGCAAACGACCACATCCTTCTCCAGCAGCTTGGGCCGGTCCTGAGCGAGGCAATGGTCATGAAAGAGGTCCCTGGGATCCAAATCGCGAGTTATATGATAGTCGCGATTTTGGCAGCGAAGGGCAGTCTGAACGACGGTGCGCTCACGGCTTTTATGGAACAGCTAGTCCACGGCTGGACCATTGACACCTATCGCCCGGGCCTTGTGTGCCTCTGCATCCTCGCCCAGCACCGATCGGCGAAACAGGTCTCCGGCCGTGTGGCAAAGGCACTCATGAAGGTCCAGGATCTGGTACCAACCCTGGTTGAGATTGGCCGGGAGCACAGGGTTGACAAGCTAGCGAACGGTCTGGCGCTCGCCTTCATTGACAGATTGTCCAAGAAGGGCGATGTCCGAAGTCTCCCTGCGGCCAATTCACTCCTCTTGGCCAATCTGCTGCAGGAGAAGCAGATCAAAGTTGTCTACAAATACATGCTTCTGGCAGCCCATCAGGTCAGTGACGGTGTCGACGAGGACGGCAGTATTCGAAAAGAGTTAGGCTCGTCCCTAGTCAGCTTGTCGCAGGCGGGGGGTGATGCCGGGGATGCCATCAGAGCTGCTCTTGAGGAGATTGATCTCAACATTGAAGAACTGGAACTCAAGCTTGGAGCTGTGTTCCGCCCGAAGCTCGCGGTTGAGCACAGCCCGGAGCATGCGAAGGAAGAAACGGTTCCAGCGACAGTCGACAGGCAGCCAGATCTGGATTCGGCAATTGAGGATTTATCGAAGCTGAAGCCTTCAACAAGCTCCTGTCTGTCACGGGGTTCGAGCGCCTTCTTCAGCGATGTCTGCATGGTTTTCCTGTCCGCGGTCGCAATCGAGGACAGTTCTGAGAGGTTCGATGCCGCACCGGCCTTGAGCCGTTCAGTTGCTCCGAGCAACCCATTTTACTTCAGCTTCTATCTGCGGATCTGGTGCGGGCCGTTCCCTACGCTGGCCAAGGTGGTGGCTCTGGACCGTGTCAAGTCCCGGTTAAAGGAGAGTGATTGCGCAGACAAGGATTTCCAGGCTATGATCCCATACTGCGTTGTTGCTCTAAGCGACCCAGCAAGGAAGGTCCGCCGTGCTGCAGCCGACCTTATCGCGGTTCTGGGGTCTCTAATCAAGAAATCCTCGGCGCGATCAAGGCAGCTCTGGGGGGCGACGGACCTGTATGGCAAGGCCGGTGTCCCTAATGCGCTGGACCACGATGCCCTTGAATCTTTGGTTCACTCGGTTCTCATTCCGTGCCTAGAGGAGTCTGTGCTACACGAGGACCATGTTATAGCGGCCCTTGTCAGCGCACTCGAGAGTCCGAAGAGTTCTTCAAAGAAGGATGCCGAACAGCGTCGTTTCTCTCACGCCACGAGACTCTCCATGCTAAAATTCCTGTGCGGCCATGCCACAGAAACACCGTTATTGACCGTCAAACTCCGGTTGCTTCGGCCACTCAATCAAATACGGAGCATATCCGGTACCTCCAGGACAGACCTTCTATTGCCCCTACTTCGATGGTGGGCTTCGATCAGCCCAGAGGAAGCTACCCAGCTTGCTGCTCGAGAATCGCTGGAAGAGGCTCTCATCGACGAGGCAGCCGTTGAAGTCGTCATTCCGAACCATGCCGCTGGCCTTGATACCTTCTTCCAGCTGATCAGCGACCCGAAAACGGCGCTTAGGCCGAACTTGGTACAGGCTATTTTTGGCCGCATCATCAAGGTGTGGCAATCGCTGAAATCGGACATCAAGTTCTTCACGGCCCGTTCAATGTTCAGCCTCACGCAGACTCAATCCACGGCGGAGCAAAGCTCCATCGTTATGGAGGCTGCAGAGCTTCTACGGAAGGTGGACCTCACGACGGAGATCCTGCTCGATCTTATCGACTCCTTACAAAACGACGTCAAGCTTGCGACCGAAAAACCGGCGAACAAGAGAAGACGAGTCAGCACAACGGAACAGAGCCGGAGCGTGGGCGTGCAGAGCAGTCCGGAGCTCAAGGCGGCTCTGAACAAGACTACCTTCGTCCTGGAGCTCGTTCAAGAATCCAATCCGGCAGACCATCCTGAATTACTGCCGATCCTCTTCACGACGCTGTCGGATCTCCATCACCTCAGCACGCTTATCGGCTCTGAATTAGGGTACCTCCAGAATTTAGTGCTGAGCTGTCTCCTTGCCATGATGCCGGCATACAAAGACAATAAGAACCTGACGATTGACGCATCAGTCGGCCATGGCGATATCCTGGCCACATGCATCCAGAAATCCACCAGTCCCGCTGTCATCAACTCTGCACTGCTTCTAGTAGCCAGCCTCGCGCGCACGGCCCCAGATGTGGTGTTGCAAAGCGTTATGCCGATATTCACGTTTATGGGCAGCTCGGTCCTGAAGCAGGCTGATGATTATTCTGCTCACGTCGTCAACCAGACCATCAAGGAAGTCATCCCGCCGCTGATCGACACGTTCCGCAAGAGAGGTCGGAACGTAGTGGCCAGTACCAAGGATCTCCTCGCCAGCTTCGTGACCGCCTATGAGCACATACCATCGCACCGAAAACACGACCTCTTCATCTCCCTTGTGGAGAATCTAGGCCCGGATGACTTCCTTTTCGCCGTGCTCGCCATGTTTGTCGACAGGTACGCGGCAACGGACAATATGATCTCGTTCACCACACAGATGATGAGCTCCTTCTCCGTTGAAACCCAGCTCCAGACTCTCATCAAGTTCCTGGACCTTATCAGTGACATCTTCAAACCGAAGCCTGCTCTTTCGAGCGTCCTTCTTGGCAGCGACGGGGCTGGAGAGAAAGATGTTCATCGGGTTGCCACCAAGCAGCTAAACCTGCTTCCATATCTGCTCGCGAACAAGCGCCTGAAGCGGGAGATCACGCAGTTGGCCGAGAAAGAAGACATGGAATCTGGTAGGATTCGCGATCTCTACGCCGCTCTTCTTGAGGGCATACTGTCGCTGGCCGGCACGGTCAAGATGAAGAAAGCCCTCTACAGCCGCTGCGGTGACGCGCTGTCTAATCTCCTGAACCTGCTCTCGATAGCCGAATTCATCAAGAGCGTAGAGGCGTTGCTTGACCGGCCGAATGTCGGCCTTCGACAGAAGGTGCTGCGGGCCCTCGAACTACGGGTTGATGGCGAGAGCACTGCAGATCCGAAGTCGAGGGAGGCCCTGCTCGCTTTTCTGCCGCAGTTGACTGCGGTTATCCGGGAGTCGGATGACATGAACTACAAGCACACGGCGGTCACATGTGTCGATAAGATCTCGGAGAAGTACGGTAAGAAAGATCTCGATGCGGTCGCCGCCGCCGCTACGACCATTGCAGGTGACCACTGCCTTGGCCAGTCGGAACAAAGCCTCCGGGTCATGGCCTTGCTCTGCCTGGCCTCGCTCGTGGATGTCCTGCAGGATGGCATCGTTCCCGTTCTGCCCATCGCAATCCCCAAAGCACTTGCCTATTTGGAGGATAGCTTGGTCGGCGAGGAACCCAACGCTGAGCTCCACAATGCTGCGTATGCCTTCATGGCGGCCTTGGCTCAGCATATCCCCTACATGATCACGGGTACTTACCTCGACCGGCTGCTGGCTTGCTCCAACGCCTCGGCGGCTGCGCAGCTGGATGACGAATCGAACGACAACCGGACTCACTGCCTTCAATTCCTGGCGAAGCTGGTTGACCCCAAGGTCCTGTACAATGCCCTCAGTCGGAACTGGGGCTCCGCCGCCGGCTGCGGTGTCTCGGTGAGTGCCTTATACCCAAGCTACGATGAAGTCTTCACGCTAATACCTGAGCAGGCTGTCACCGAATACTTGCGGATCCTGGGTATGGCGCTCGACAAGCACTCCAAGGCGGTTGTTGCCAGGAACGTTTCTTCGCTCTCGACTATCCTCCTTAGTTCTCTGGATCTCAGGCGGATGGTGGTTTTAGGGCAGGTCAAGGCTTCCATCAGCTCATTCGAACTGGACGAAATCGAGACCAAGACCAACGACGACGCGCTGAAGATGATCTACAAGCTCAACGATGCCGCCTTTCGGCCAGTCTTCTCTAGGCTCATGGAGTGGGCGTGGACCGGGCTCCCCAAGAATGATTCGGCTGGACGAACCCTACGGCTCTACGCTGTCTATGGCTTCCTCAACACCTTCTTCGACAACTTGAAGTCTATCGTCACCAGCTATGCCTCGTACATCGTTGAGAGCGCCGTCAAGGTCCTCTCGGCGACCGAGTTCAAGGATGCCCCCGAGAAGGAGCTCTGGAAGCGCGTCCTGTCCACGCTTGCTAAATGCTTCGAGCATGATCAGGACGGCTTTTGGCAGGCGCCGGCTCACTTTGGTGCCGTTGCACCTGTGCTGGTCGAGCAATTCCTGCATGCCGGGGCCATTGATGCCACCGAACATCTGGTTCCTGCGGTCGTGGAGCTGGCCGCCGCCGCCGACTCGCAGGAGCATCACAAGGAGCTCAACGGTGCGCTGCTGAAGCACCTACGCAGCGGCCAGGCGGCGGTCAGACTGGCGGTTGTCAGGTGCCAGCAGGCACTGACGAGCAAGTTGGGCGAGGAATGGCTGCAGGCGCTGCCAGAAATGTTGCCATACATCAGTGAGCTCCAAGATGATGACGATGAGGAGGTGGAGCGGGAGAATAGCAGATGGATTGTGGAAATTGAGGAGAAGCTGGGGGAGAGCTTGGACTCGATGTTGCAGTGAGTTGCGCGCATATCATACTATGTATGTGCCTGGCTAGGTGTAAGAAGGGCGGTGAGGTGCGGTGCGTAGTTGATAAGAGAATTGTGGAAGAGAAGATTTCTCGGATTGGAGATAACGTTAAATAAGGAGGGAAACAAATGCATTTGCATCTGCGCTGACTCATCTAAGTATAGTAGTCTCTCATGTGCATCATTTTGGAGTGATAATATGAAGCCCCTTTTTGACGTTCAACCTGTGACATCTGCTGAGACACCTACTCATCAACCTGTAGCAACTGGAAGATGCGATGGATAGTTCCCGTTGCCATGGAAACGGTCCGAGGGACAAGATATACAGTAGATGCGGTACCCGCAGCAGTCGTATATCCATGGACCTGAACTAACTGAAGCAAGTCTTCTGGATCTCCTGCCACCCCCAGTCCTGTCATATCGGAAGTGAGCGCGATGACGAGAACTCAGCAAGATAATGAGGTCAGACGGGACCCTAACCCGTAACATTGACCCTTGGGAATGGCTACCATAACACGAGAGAATGTCAAGCACTGCATAGGACAACATCCAACCAAGCTGCTTCGCTAATGACAATTCCTTTCAGAGGCACGAGTATGATATGCTTTATACATAACTCCGCGTCCTCTGGTTCATGTGAGAAGAGACGGGTGTCTGGATCGCCCTTGGCGATAAAAGAATACACGTTGTAGCATGTGAGAACCTAGGCTGAGGAGGTCGCTGTTAACAGCAGTAACTAAGGTAGCTTTGCATTGAGGCCCACTTAGACCCGGTCGGCAGTTCCCAGATAAGCCGAGGCTCAAAGAAGATCCATCAGCAATTGCAGTCGAGAGGTCCCGTCAACAGGCACATGTTGTGTCTCCGCCTGGGATTTTAGACCTATTCGCGCGCTTTTGAGATACCTTAATCAATCACCCTCCACTTAGGCGTGATATCTCGCCTTTGGCGACGCAATGGCTGGACACTAGAGCGCAGCGCCGTTGTGTTTTGATTCCAGTCAGTCCTCACTCGGCGTTTGACGATACCCCAAGCCGCGTGAAAGCACACGCACGCAGCTTGTCAACGATTACACAATGGCGTCGGATTCGGGCCATACATTGTATACGGCGGCGGACACACTTTCCAAGGCGCGTGGGCTCTCTGCGTCCATCTCCTCGCTCTCGTCCCCTGCTCATACCGGCCGCAACGCTGCGGCTGCGCACATCTCCAAGACATATCGCCAGGCGTCGACGCTCTTCCTCACGCGTCGTTTGCCCGAAGCACTGTCAACAGTTCTGCCCTTGGTCACCCCGCCCGCGTCCGACGATCCCAATGGCCCGTTTGAGCCTGCGCCTGTTGCCAAAGCGTCCCGCTCATCCAAGGTTAAAGTGTGGAGTCTCTACTTGACCGTCCTGAATGCGATCGTGGAGCTTGACTCGGACGAGGGGAAGGAAGCGTTTGGGACGCAGGAATGGAGGGCCCTGTGCCACAAGGTCCGTGAGGGGGAGGTTTGGGAGGAAGTGGTGCGCAACGGATACCATGGCGTTGAAGGGGACGTTGACGCAGAAGTGGTCATCAACCTGTACGCTCGCTCGAGTTCCATCACCCTTTCTAACACATGCAGAGCCGTATCTAACGACGATCTTAGAGCTACCATTCTCCTGGCCCACGCGAAGAATCAGATCCTCAATCAAAAACGTCTTGAAAATTACCTGGCCGCGGCCCGCAGCCCGAACCTGGACCTCTCCGACCGCTTCTCCGAATCCACTCCGCGCCGCTACAGCTCCCCAGCAGCCGGCAAACAGCGCCCCCGTGGCGGGCCCAGCGGTGCCGACACACCCCGCGATCTCAACGCGCGCGTCAAAATCCTCGAGCTCTACACCCTCCACGTCCTGCCACGGAACAGCGAGTGGGACTACGCGCGCGAGTTCATCAGCGTGAGCCCGGTCCTTGACGAGGAGCGCCGCGAGGCTTTTCTCCAAGCCCTGGACAGTCTGCGGGAGGAGCAGCTTGCAGCAGAGCGCCACGAAGAGGAGGAGCGGCTCAAGCGGGAAGAGGCGATACGTCGAGACATCGAGGAGGCCAGGCGGCTGCGGGCTGAGAACGAAGCAAGAGAGAAAAGAAGGCTGGAGGAGGAGCGGTTGAAGAGGGAGAGGGAGGCGGCGGAGAGCAGCGCCGCTAAGGCGACCGAAGGGGATTTTGGGCTTGATGAACGAGCGGCCACACCGCCGACGACGAGGAGCAAACCTAAACCGCCTGGCAGCCAGTCGAGCGCAGGCAGTAGTAGTATGTCACGGCCGAGAGGGCCGGCGCCTGGAAGGGGAGCCAGAGGCAGCGGGAATGCCGTTGCTGCACCGACGCCGACGCTGCTGTCAAGAGCAGCGGTGGTCTTGGACAACCTCCGGTTGCTTGTCGACGAGGTCGCTGGAGCCTTCAAGACTAACCCATACGTGCTGCTGCGGATGTTGGCGTTTGTCATTGGGCTGCTCATGTTGCTGAGCCGGAAAAGATTCCGTGAGAGGATCGCCCGGGTCTTGGGGTTGAGCTGGGGCAAGATAAAAGCCACGGCTGGTATGGGCACCAAGGTCAGCTATATCTGACCCGCAGCTGCGACGCGTCGGGTGTCAATTTTATTTTTTTGGTGGGGGGGGGGTCGGGGGAACAACTTTCCTTTGTCGGTGCTATGATGGCAGCGCGCTGGGCTGCTGATTTGCTTTCCTTTGTACCTATAGGTAATGTATGAGACGACATTGTATCAGTTTATCCAGGCCTTCACACATCCTAGTTCAAATAGTATCGGTTGGTAGATTCGAGCAATCTGGGAGAAATTCGCGGGGTATTCCTTGATATCTCGTCTAAAGTGTCCCTAATAAGCTCCTGAACGCCGCCAAACCTGAATGACTACCCCCGTTATCCACGAAGCCAGGATGCCCTCCAACGTTTCCGATAAATCGATACAAACGAGAACGAAACAACCGCCCAGACCCGGGCCACTCCGTCACTAAAACGTTGTCCGATTCGTTTTCTTTTGGTAGAATAGCTGCGAGGAGAAGACATGTCAGCGCGCTTTCCCGCCTTTGGGTTCCATACTACCGTGAATGGCGACTTACATCTGTCCGGGAACTGCCCAGGTTGATGATCTTGGGACACCCATCCCGGTCCTTCTCGAGGCGTGTGCACTCAAAGCAGTAGAAGGCGTCCGAGATGCCCTCGCCACCGCAGACCACGCACTTGTTCTGGTAGTTGCCGAAGCTGCACTCGTCACATATCCGGACGAGCGTCGTCGGCCGCACGTACGAGTCGCATACGGGGCACTTGCCGTCGCACTTGTCGCAGAGCCGCCCGATGGCAATGCCAGATTGTTTGCGGCACATCACAAGGTCGCTTTATGAGGAGAGGACGACGGTTAGCATGGCATATGGGAGGGAAAGGGGAAGGAGGGAAGGCGGCGGGATCACGTACGGGTGATGGCGAGACATGGTTACGGGCTGGATATGGTTTTCTTGTCTGCGCGCGTTTCGGGGTCGAAACAGAGAAATGAAAGGCCAGGCCGGTTGAGTATCGGGTCGTGGGGTCTAAGATACGAACGTTGTAGCTGCGAGTTGCGCTTGCGTGTTGGTCGCGGTCAAGATGTACTTATTACGGTAGTAGGTAAAATATCACAAGGTGGCGTATTTCCAGGGATTTCCGCATGGGTTTTCGTTACGTACGGCTGGCCAGGGTTAGGGTCAAATGCAGGATAAGTCCCTGTCTGGACTCTGGATCCACCCGATTGTTCCATTGTGCGTGCAACTCGACAGGAGCTTCCGTGGTTTGTGATAACGGATTCACAATGGCGCTTCATCTGGTCTGTACCTTTCTGGAAGAACAATTACAGATATTGATCACTGCTTAGTACTAAGGATTCGACGTCTGAATATCTCGTATTCCGCAGTCGATTGGAAGCAGAGTCACGCTTCCACCGTCACACTATTCAATTGAGATTGAGACGCGACAGAGGACTTTCGCGACCAGCACCCCGCGAGACGCTTGAGTAGTGGAAGCTCTCCGTCCAATCTCACCACCCGTACGGCACATCAATCCACCGGAGGACTAAATGGCAGAACCGGAAGATCATGTTACAAACAAGCGCAAAGCCTCGCCAGAGAGCAATTCGGAGGATGGCGCGGGCAAGCGCGTCAGGCTGGGAGACGGGGACGAGAATGCGCCTCGACTGAACACTGTTGACAGCGAGTTGAAGGAGGGCCAAACGAAGGATGTACCGCTTGTTGAAGAGGAGCAAGCCGGACCGGGTTCCACCATGTCACCTACAAGAGCAGATCCGAGAGAGCCCGAGCCCGAGCCCCCGCGCTCACCAGAAGCACGAAGGCCATCAGCTCCAAGCGGTCCTCCCATACGCCGAAACGTCAGTTTAGAGGAGAAGAAGCGGGGTCAACGATTGTTTGGCAGCCTGGTCAGCACGATTAGTCGGACCACGTCAAGGCCTCAGCAACAGAAGAGGCTGGAGATCGAGCGGCGACAGCAGGAGAAGGCGCAGCAACGGCGGGCCGAGGACGAGAAACGCAGAGCCGAAAGGCTGGAGCAGTTGAAGAAGACCCGGCAAATCGAGCAAATCAAACTCGACGAGCAGGTGGTATGTAGCCGGGCGTGCATTGTTCCCTGCAATCCGCAGCTGACCTCGGCGTTCCGTAGATGGAAACCCGGCACTCGACAATGTTGGCTATGGCGCAAAGTCTGCAGACCAAAAGCGAGCCGAAGCTCGTAAGTACAGGGCCGCCATCTCGTCGCCCATCAGTTTGGCTGACATATCCCCCAGTACTACGTGCCCTGGCAGCTCAGTAGAGAGCAAGAGGACATCGTCAATGACCAGATCCGTGCTACACGGGACATTATCGAGAAGGAAGTGCGTGAGTTCAAGACGCGCAAGGAGCAGCGATTCAAGGCGCTGGGCGTTTCTCCTCCCCCTAGGTCCCCCTCTCCTCCCCCTCCACGGCAGGAGGAGCAGTTGCCAGAACCCGAGCCAGATGCGAAGCCGCGGTCAAAAGAAGCCACGATTGGTGAGCCCGAACTTCCACCGCAAGATACTAACGCAGATACTGTGGCCGCAACACCTTCAAAGGCGCGGACGGACCATGAGAAGGAGCATGATGAGAACGGGGACGAGATGATGCAGGACGAGGAGGACATAGTGATATACTAACGTTCTTTTTTCACACCCACTCGCTTCGTTTTGCGATGCTTGTCTAAGCTGTAAGTACAGGCCGCTTTGTATTTCCTCGACTTTCCTGTAGCACTCGGTGTGGGAAGTACCGAGGCAAGCGCCAGATCCAAAGTCGGCAAGAGAACGGCGATAATATAGTACCTAGATCTATTCCCTTCAACCAAGCAGCACACTGCTTGTTTTTGAGAAGAGAAGATAGCACAGCAAACCATGTCGAGGTTCCAATGGTCCGTCGCATGCCTCGCTTGTTGGTCGCACTGCCGGCGTGCCCGCGGGTCCCGGGGAGAGCTCTCTTGGCGGAAGGGTTCCACCGGAAGCCGACGGAAAGTGACGTATGTACGTCGTAGGCATTGGAGAGTGCGACTACCTCGGACTATTGTACACAGTAGGATATACCTGCGTTGCGGGCCTCACGCAATCCCACATAGGTCGTTCGGTGAGCTGTACATACGGATACGCCGTAAAACATACACGTGTAATACGGCAACCTCGCTTTTCTTATTAGGTAAAGTGCGACTGAGGGATACGGATAGAGGGGTTGCGCAGCGTCGAATCTCACCCTGCTTCCTTGTTTGTGTGTGACCGCTCAGATTCGTGTCTGGCCTGATCCGGTGGGAGTCCGAGTCTTTCCTGCAACTGATTTGAAGGTTCCACATTCGACCCCTCTTATGAGTTACATATAGATGATATAGGAGGTCGAGGGCTTCATCTCATTTCAGTCTTCAGATCCGACTCCCCAGGGCACTCGAGCATTCTCTCCCACCGACCACACTCTTCCCAACATTAGCTTTCTCTGGCCCATCGAGTCTTCAAGGGGGGAAAAACAAGCCAACACCAAACCAGTTCTTCTCCCTTGCATCAACCATGGCATCCTCCGAAGTGGACAAGCTCACACCGACCGACCCTCGTGTGCAGCACCACACCTACACCATCCCCGCCTCCAAGAGGACATACCACTACCTGCTCGCCGAACCGTCCACTGGCGCCCCGGCGGCCGCAACGGTCCTCCTGGTCCACGGTTTCCCGGACCTTGCCTTCGGCTGGCGCTACCAGGTGCCGCACCTGCTGTCGCTCAACCTGCGCGTCATCGTGCCCGACATGGTCGGCTACGGCCGCACCGACGCGCCGCAGGAGCTCGCGGCCTACTCGTTCAAGAGCGCGGTCGACGACCTCGTCGCCCTCGTCAGCCACGTCCAGGGCAAGGGCGCCGACGAGCAGCCCGAGAAGTTCGTGCTGGGCGGCCACGACTGGGGCGGCGTGGTGGTGTGGCGCTTCGCGCTCTGGTACCCGGAGCTGCTCCGCTGCGTCTTCAGCGTGTGCACGCCCTTCTTCCCCGTCGGCGATGTCTATGTCCCCACGGCGGAGATGGTGAAGCGCATGCCCAGCTTCGGGTACCAGCTGCAGTGGGAGGGCACCGAGGTCGACAAGGCTGTCGTGGGCAGGGAGAAGCTCAGGGGCTTTTTCAACATGCTGTGGGGCGCGCCACGGAAGGATGGGGAGCGCATCTTTGACGCCGCGCACGGATTGTACCTCGACAAGTTCGAGGCGGATCAGATAGGGGAGAGTCCCCTGGTGAGCAAGGAGGAGCTGGACCATTATCTGGACGAGTACGCAGACCACGGGCTCCAGGGAGGGTTGCGCTGGTATAAGACGAGGAAAATCAACTTCGAGGAGGAGCGGGTGCTGCTGGAAAAGGGGAAGACCACGGTCACGCTGCCTTCGCTGATGGTGGTGGCCTTGAGGGATATAGCGCTGCTGCCGTCGTATGCAGTTGGGATGGAGAAGTACGTTCCGAACCTCGTGAAGAAGGAGGTGGATTCCAGTCACTGGGCGCTTTGGGAGAAGCCAGCCGAGGTGAACCAGTATATTGAGGAGTTCCTGAAGGGCGTCCTGAAGGGACAGCCCCTGAAAGCTTCCATCTGATCATACGGTGAGGGCAGATTGGTGGGTAAAAAGTCTATTACCTCTGACAGAATTACAACCACAAGAGAGGCTGTCTGGGAATCATTCTTTTGATGCTGCCCTTGATATGCGTTTTGAGAGTGCGCCTCGTATGTTCAAGCTCCCTTCTGTGCTAACAGTGCATCTTCTGTAAACAGCATTGCCGTCACGCTCTCCTTACATTAGGGCAACTTGGCACCATCTAATCCTGGCTTTCCGGGACTTTGGTATTTTAGTACAAGATGACAGAACTGGTCTGCGACAGTAACACACCTCCGGAGGCCAACAGGTAGGGATGTGTCTTGGAAGCGGGGGATAAACCAACTGAAGCGGCAGTGTTTGCGGGATAAACTGGGTGAAGGGTCAAGGCTCGTTCGTTCGAGCAACGCCCGGTCTGCAGTGTGCGTCTGCAGCTATGAGGGCGGTGCAGCGGCGATAGTGGCGCCGATATTTGTGAGGAATACTAGGTGCATCTGGCTCATTTGAAAGTGCGCTTCTGACCATCTACTGTGGGCACGGCTGACTTTGGCTTGTTTGACTTGCCGCAGATGTGGCACGCTGTTTGCATCGTCGTCAGCGGGCGGGAACAGGCAACTCTTGGGGCTCTCGAACTCACAGTCTGACCGGTAGGCACATTGATTGCAGTATGTGTGTCCCTGAGAGATTTTGGCCTTGCACCGGGTGCAGGAGCTCGAGTACTGAGCATATGGGTTCTTTGCCGTCTTGGAAAGTAGTTTGCTCTGAGAGTTTGGTCAGCAAGTCCTAACAGCAATAGAAGTAGCGTCAGATGCTCACCTTAGAGATGCCCGTCTGTCCGAGCGTAGCCGATTTCTTTCCAGTCGAGGTGGATGAAGACGCTGGGGAGCCGTAGTACATCTCGCTCTTCTTCTTTACCCCCGGTGTGGCGAGTGTAGTCTTGTTAAGTTTCTGGCACTTGGCGCAAACCATCCTGGTGGGCTTGGGCTCTCGCGATTATCAATCGATCGTTGATATGCTTCGAGTCAGGGATATAGCACTGAACTGTGATGAGACGGATGTGAGGCGAATGATAATCGTTGAATGAAAAGGAGGCGTTGAGCCTGTAAGACGAGATGAGGCAATGTCCTGTGGCTGAGGTAGGTGATTCGTCACCTCAACATGCGGTAAGGTATGGTACGATACAAGTAAGTACCGATGCAAAATTGTATTATACAATTGCAAGTCAATACAATACGATTACCACTGGCCCGGACGTTAGCGCATCAACCCCACCAGACTTTCCCAGGTTTCACCATCCCTCCCGGTGATACATTGTACATACAGTAAGTTACATACACATATACAGTATGTTACTGCTCGAGTTGTCCGCATGTGATACCACACCTGTTGCAGGGTATTGGGATACTAGTTCACACATAGAAGGCGCCCGACAATGCCTCCTTGCACATCATGGGAGTATGCTAGAAGACAGAAGATCGAGCATGATAAGGAGGCTCGGGAGGCCATGAATGGACTGTTGTAATCGGTAAATTACCTAGACCACTCGCATTTACAGCCACAGACATGTGGGAGGTGACATGCAGCGCGCAGCCAACCACACCGGACTTACCTGGTACCTAAGGTACCTACAATACTTACATGCATCGACCGACCCCTGCTTCGCAGCTGCATGAAGGGACAAATGCACCTTTTAACAAACACCATCTCGTATCATCATTTCTCGTTTTTCGGGCACCAGATTTCGCCAGCTACTACAAACGAGCCAGGCAACCAGGGAGAACTTCCTTGACAGTATTCCCTGGTTGTGTCCGATTGGCTTCAACAGCCGAGATTTTGCGCTTTGAATGCGCAGGGCCAACAGCGCGCGTTCTGATTGTGGCTGACAAGGCGCAAGCGCTGCTGCCCAGGACCGAAATTCGCAATCTTTCTGTTGAAACGAGGCTGTGCTTGCATCGAACACGACGCTGCGTCCCGTCCGACCCGCTAACTAGTCCAATTTCACTCTCGTCGACCCTGGCGGAGCCGCGACCTCACCTTCTTTTCTTGTCGCGCGCTGGTCTCGCCGTCACTCAATGCTTCGGCTCCCCGTTCTGACTTTCTCCTGGACCGAATTGCCCTGAGCGGCACTGCCCTCCGGCATGAGCGGCCGCCCGCCTCCTGGAGGCTCTTCGAGCGGCGCCCGAAACGACCTCCTCCTCGATCTCGACAATGACCAGCCCCTCTACAGCGCCGGGCAACGCTCGGCCCTGACGGACGATGACCTCCTCCACTCTTACGCCTACGATCAGGATGGTGCGCCATCGCGGCCCTCCGTCTCATACGACGATTTCGTCGGCTCCGGCCAACAAAGGCAACACGCGGCAAGACCCGCTCCGGCCGGATCCTCTAGTTCTGCATCGCGCCAGGCTGGCCCCTACGGCTCAGAGATGGGAAGACAGTACAGCCAAACGTCAGACCTTGGCAACTACCAAAGATATGCAGATGACTTCGACGACTACCCGGATGACACTGGCTCGTACTACCAGCATGGCGGCTCTCCTGCGGCCGGGGTTGGCTCGACGTCGGCGCGGGGAGAAGCGAGGAAACGGAACAGCGTCTTGGGCTTGGGTGGTGGCTTTTTCGGGAGAATGAAGAACAGGCTAGGGATGGGGCAAGGGTACTCCGAGATGGACCTTCCACTAACTGAGTCGCGCGCGGGAGGCGGGGCAGACGGCGCCGAAGTACCACCGCCGAAGGAGAAGAAGTTCGACATGGGCAACTTCAAGTTCGGGTTCGGGCGGTCGAAGCCGGATCCATCCACTCTCGGACCGCGAATCATCCACCTCAACAACCCTCCCGCGAATGCTGCTAACAAGTATGTGGACAACCACATCTCTACAGCCAAGTACAACATCGCGACGTTCCTTCCCAAGTTTCTCTTCGAGCAGTTCTCAAAATTCGCCAACATCTTCTTCTTGTTCACGGCTGGCTTGCAGCAGATCCCCGGGCTTTCGCCCACAAACCAATACACCACCATCGGTCCGCTTATCGTCGTGCTTTTGGTGTCGGCGGGTAAGGAGTTGGTGGAGGATTATCGACGGAAGCAGGCTGATAAGGCCCTCAACATGTCAAAAGCTCGGGTCTTACGAGGCTCCACGTTCACCGAGACGAAATGGATCAATGTTGCCGTGGGCGATATTGTCCGTGTCGAGTCTGAGGAGCCATTCCCCGCCGATCTCGTCCTTCTGGCCAGCTCTGAGCCCGAGGGCCTGTGCTACATCGAGACGGCCAATCTTGACGGGGAAACCAACCTCAAGATCAAGCAGGCGCTGCCCGAGACCTCGTCCATGGTGAGCTCAACTGAGCTGAGCCGGCTGGGCGGTAGGCTCCGGTCCGAACAACCGAACAGCAGCTTGTACACATACGAGGCTACCTTGACCATGCAGGCGGGCGGGGGAGAAAAGGAACTGCCCCTGAACCCGGAGCAGCTGTTGCTTCGCGGCGCCACCTTGCGAAACACCCCCTGGGTCCACGGCGTTGTCGTCTTCACCGGCCATGAGACTAAACTGATGAGAAATGCGACGGCAGCTCCTATCAAGCGGACCAAAGTGGAGAGGCAGCTCAACAAGCTTGTTCTGGTGCTGGTGGGCATGTTGCTGGTTCTGAGTGTCATCTCGACAGTCGGCGACCTGGTGATGCGCAGTACTATGGGCAATTCGCTCTCCTATCTCGCCCTCGACAGCATGAGCGGTGCCGCGGCCGTGGCACGCATCTTTATCAAAGACATGGTCACATACTGGGTGCTCTTCTCATCGCTGGTTCCCATCTCGCTTTTTGTTACGCTTGAACTAATCAAGTACTGGCACGGCATCCTGATCAATGACGACCTGGACATCTACTACGAAACTACTGACACGCCCGCCAACTGTCGCACTTCCAGCTTAGTAGAGGAGTTGGGCATGGTCGAATATGTCTTCTCGGACAAGACAGGGACGCTGACCTGCAACCAGATGGAGTTCAAGGCATGCTCGATTGCAGGCATCATGTACGCCGAGACGGTGCCTGAGGACCGCGTCCCGACCATTGAGGATGGCGTCGAGGTTGGCATTCACGAGTTCAAACAGTTGAAGGCGAACATCAAAGGCCACCCGACCGCCCAAGCCATCGACCACTTCCTTACATTGCTTTCTACGTGTCACACGGTGATCCCGGAGCAGACCGAGACGGGAGGCATCAAGTACCAGGCCGCCTCTCCCGACGAGGGAGCGCTTGTCGAAGGGGCCGTCCAGTTGGGTTACAAGTTTGTAGCTCGCAAGCCCCGTGCCGTCATCATCGAGGCCGGCGGCGAGCAATTCGAGTACGAGCTTCTGGCGGTTTGCGAGTTCAACTCGACCCGGAAGCGAATGTCGACCATCTACCGCTGTCCCGACGGCAAAGTTCGGTGCTACTGCAAGGGCGCAGATACGGTCATCCTAGAGCGCCTAAACGACAACAACCCTCATGTCGATGTTACGCTCCGTCACCTGGAAGAATACGCGTCGGAAGGGTTGCGGACGCTCTGCTTAGCCATGCGCGAGATACCGGAACAGGAGTTCCAGGAGTGGTATCAGGTTTACGACAAGGCGCAGACGACTGTTGGTGGAACGCGCGCCCAGGAGCTGGACAAGGCTGCCGAGCTCATCGAGCACGATTTCTACCTTCTCGGTGCCACCGCCATCGAGGATCGGCTGCAGGACGGCGTGCCCGAGACCATCCACACGCTTCAGGAGGCGGGCATCAAGGTCTGGGTCCTAACTGGCGACAGGCAGGAGACTGCCATCAACATCGGCATGAGTTGTAAGCTTCTCAGCGAAGACATGATGCTCCTCATCGTCAACGAGGAGAATGCGGAAGCAACGCGCGACAACATTCAGAAGAAGCTGGACGCCATCCGAAACCAGGGCGATGGCACGATCGAGATGGGCACTCTGGCGCTTATCATCGACGGGAAATCGCTGACGTATGCCCTGGAGAAAGACCTGGAGAAGCTCTTCCTTGACCTCGCCGTCATGTGCAAGGCCGTCATCTGCTGCCGTGTTTCCCCATTGCAGAAGGCCATGGTGGTCAAGCTAGTCAAGAAGTACCAGAAGGAGTCCATCCTCCTCGCCATTGGTGACGGTGCGAACGACGTCTCAATGATCCAGGCCGCCCACATCGGAATCGGCATCAGCGGGATGGAGGGTCTGCAGGCCGCGCGGAGCGCGGATGTCTCGATTGCCCAGTTCCGCTACCTCCGCAAGCTGCTCCTTGTCCATGGCGCATGGAGCTACCATCGTGTTGCCAAGGCGATTTTGTTTTCCTTCTACAAGAACATCACACTTTATCTCACGCAGTTCTGGGTACGCAGTTCGTCCGCTTCGCTTGGTAAAGTTCAACACATGCTGACTTGTGCCAGTACGTCTTCCAAAACGTCTTCTCCGGCGAAGTCATCTACGAGTCCTGGACGCTGTCCTTCTACAACGTCTTTTATACCGTCTTGCCCCCGCTCGCCCTAGGTATCCTCGACCAATTCGTATCGGCCCGCCTGCTCGACCGCTATCCTCAACTCTACTCGCTCGGCCAGACCAATGCCTTCTTCAAGGTCAAGGTCTTTTCCTCCTGGATCCTCACCGCCGTCTATCACTCTATCATCCTCTACGTCGGCGGCTCCCTGTTCTACATCTATGACGGTGTCCAGAGCGACAGCGTCCCAGCGGGCAAGTGGGTCTGGGGCACGGCCATGTACGGCGCGGTCCTGTTGACCGTCCTGGGCAAGGCCTCGCTCGTCACAAACAACTGGACCAAATACCACGTCATTGCCATCCCCGGCAGCATGGCCATCTGGATCGTGTTTGTCGCCGTCTACGGCACCGTCGCGCCCAAGCTGGGCTTCTCGACCGAATACTTTGGTGTCGTGCCCCGGCTATTCACGAGCCCGTCCTTCTGGCTCCAGATGCCCACGCTGGCGATTCTCTGTCTGGCGCGGGATTTTACCTGGAAGTTTAGCAAGAGGCTGTGGCGGCCCGAGCCGTACCACCATGTGCAGGAGATCCAGAAGTACAACATCCAGGATTACCGGCCTCGGTACGTTTTCCCTTCCCTCTTCTTTTTCCCTCACTCTTATCGATGGGACCCTAACACTGGTCCCTGCTGTAGGATGGAGCAATTCCAGAAGGCCATCCGCAAGGTCAGGCAGGTACAGCGCATGCGCAAGCAGCGTGGGTACGCCTTCTCGCAGGCGGATGAGTCGCAGACGAGGGTGCTGCAGGCGTATGACACGACCCAGCATCGGGGTAGGTATGGTGAAATGGCTAGTTCGAGGCCGCTACACTAGGTCGACATCGTGCTTGGTTTTGGTCAGAGCATATCCATCCTTCTTGGTTCTTTTAATGATTACTACGACGGACGGAAGGTGTGTGGATGGAGTACCTAGGAGGGTGAAAAGGGATGGTTCCTCTTTACCAGATGGGTTGCCGTTGTTGTTGTTGCTTGATGTATGTTGGGTATTTGAATCCGCAGTTCGCAGCGTTCGATGTGGTGTACTACCTTTGTGGTTCTTGGTTTGCACAAGGGAGTATATGTCGTTGCGCAGTCGATGGTCTTTGAAAGGATCTTGCACAGCCTGCTTTTTGGCTGTTGTACGGAGTACGGCCGAGCTCTTCCGTAGGCTTACGCCACAATTCAATGAAACACGGAATCTACACTCTCCTGGTGGTGCCAGTCAGGATTACAAGCCACGGTATACAGGGAGTGCCCCTTTCCACTTTCCTTTCGCTCTTTTCTTTCCTACGTGGTAGTCTTTGTCATTTGGGAGTGGCGGTGTCATCTCCTGTATTGTACAAGTACCTGATGGTCATGGATGGACCTGCTCGTGTTGCCTTTCCTTCCGCTCCAGTATTACGAATACGCACGGCGCTTTTCACAATGATGTTGAGCCATGCCACACACCACATGAGATTGGCGGCTTCCGTTCCTCAACCGGATCCATAGTGTATTGTGTGCCAGTGAACAAGTTACGTGAAGTGTCGACTGTCTGTCGGGACTGCTCCACCACAGCGGTGCTCGAACTCCGTGTGAAGCGGAGATCGGAGAAAGATCCCTTGCTCGGGCTAGGATGAATGAAGAGTGGGATGATCAATTGGGGAAGCTGGGGTTTGAGGTTAGAAGTGGGGATGATGTTCAAAACTGCACGGAGTCAGGAGATAACACAAAGCATTGTTTACAATGAGCTATCAGTTATTACTCCGTACCTACCTCTTCCATCCCTTTTCTTGTTTCTGTTCTTGAAGTGAATTCTTACTTGATCTACTGTACCTCTTGTCCCAGTTTGCAGCTGGCCATAGTTTCTTCTCGCCCCTCCTTCTCCCCTGCCTTGACAGCTCCGTGAGCGTGGGCCAGAAAAGTGTTCAACTCCTCAACTCCACCCCTTTTCTCCTAAAGTTCCAACTTTTGCGGACGATTCCCATGTCATACAATCTCCATAGTGCAATCCACTTCTTTGGCTTTGCATCGGCATTCTTTGCCCAAACCCCAATCCTCCATTCCCAGACCAACTTACTGTGTATTAGCCGCCCCGCAAGGTGGATCAGCTGGGCAATGGTCTGTCGGCGCGCCGCGTCGCTATCCCTGGCATCGTCAGGGCAAGCTGATACACAGATATTGTCACTCAGATGTGCGTGGCGGTGATTGTTCATGATGTCTGATAAGAGACTAGGGATGGTTATTAATATTACATCAAAACTCGTGAGAAACGGTGCCGCGCTGCCGATGCGTCCTTAATGCCCAGTGCCTTGTACTTGTACATGTACCGATGTCAAGGAGGGAACTCCCAGACCCCGTCGATGCCCAAGTGCAGTCCCATGACGGTCCCATAGAGACCAGTATATACGTTCCAAGGAGTGATCCTTGGAAATCACCCTCGGCACCTCTTCAGCGGTATGCCATGGATATCCGTCCGTGTTGTAACCCGAGTCCCAATGACGCCAAGAAGTGCCCAGTCGGATTAACCAATGCAGTGTTGTTGATGCTCCAAAATTCATGTTGCTTTTCCCAATTCCCGCTAAATCCACTTTTGAAGATAAACCCATGATGTTGAAATGGTAAAGAAAAAAAACATTAATTGATGAAAAGGAAACCTGCCGAGGATGTGACGAGCAGCAGTCGAGTCGTGCTGTGAACTGAGGACACCCGAACTTGCCGGGCCATCCGAGACCCAGTGTTGATTAAAGAGAACGTATGCAGGTCGTCCCAAGCATGCCCATGCTCTACCCCGGAAAGTGGCTGAATGCTTCGTGACCGATCAGGAAAGCCGGAGGAGACCCCGACTATTGTGTGGGGTAGGTAGCTCAGGGTTGTCAATTGGCGCCTGCTGACGACCACTTCAGAGCTAGGTACACCAGCTCTCATTGTACCTAGAAACTGTGACTGCCGCACACGTCGTACGACTAGGGACCCCCCGCGCCATGGGGTTGCACTGTGACCCGTAGGCAAAGCCCCCACGGGAGGAAAGGCGGAGAAGAGATGAGGATGGAGACGGAGCAACATGCAGAACATATGCGCTACCGACTCAGACCCCGTACCACAGGACATGGACCCAAATGAATGGCTGCGCCCGAGCTTCGGGTTTTCGAGACCCGAACTACCGTCCCAACATGGGCGTCACGAGCTCAATGCTCTTCGGTCTCGAGTACGAAGTTGGCCTGCGAGACGGCAACGGACGGTCGGAGCTCGTCCCGTAATAATCGCCGCTGGCGCCATGATATGTCCCATCGTATGTCGATGAAAAGGGTCCCATTGCCGGTTTGGTGTACGAATTGCCAGCACTCATCGCTGTGGTGCTCCGTGCAAACGGCCAGATGCTCGAATGGTAGGTCCCTACTACAGGTGAGGTGGGACTTGCCGGCCGGATCGACAGTGACTTGAGGGCTGATAATGCCGAAGTGTGGGTAACGGGCGGGGAGACGTGCGTCGAGCTAGGACGCGAGGGTGAAGCGCGGGGGATGATATCTCTGTGTTCCGGGGGCGCCGAATAGTACGGATAGTGGGTGGCCGTGTGGCTGCTGGAATATCGGCTCGGCGCCGTGGAGGTGCTTACGCCGTTCAAGTCATGCATGCGGCATCTTGTCAACCCGGTTAGTAACCATCTAGCAGGGAGCACCACGGTGTCACACTCACTCCTCGGAGCAGTACAGAACCTGATCGTCCGATGAGACGAATTGTTTCTCACAGATCATGCTGCAACAATCAACAACCGGTCAGTTCGGGCTTCTCCAAGCCAGGGATACACGGTGTTGCATATGCAGGAACGGCACTCTCCGGCGAATCCGGCGATCCGCGTCCACCCTTTCCCCGCCCCCAGCTTCTGTCTCTTTCCCGCGCCCACTTGGGCGTTTTTTCCGGGGGGGGCGGCACTTGGCATTGATTCACCTGCATGTCAAGTGACAATGCAAGAGGATGGAAACGGAAGTCTTCTGAGGGGAAGGGCCAGAGACGCATGCAAGTGGTGAAACACACAGGGGGGAGGACATGGGAAGCCAGCGAGACACAGAACGGTGTTAACAACATACCAATACTGCGGGAAGCTCTCCCTCTCTTCATCCCACCAGCGCTCATCGTCCAGCTCCTTTTCACGGTCGCGGGGGCTCTTGCCCAGCTTGGGGGCGTTTTGGGTGCTGGATTTTCTGGCCATTGGTGCAGGGCGAGATGAATGCTTCTTGTATGTTGGATCAGTTGCTGTGACAGCTTTGCGCACGTCCGTCAGCGACGTGTTGCCAGAAGCATGTCCGGACTTTCGACGATGGTGGTGCATTGGCACTCCCGCTTGATTGGCCCGAGGCCAGATGGTAAAGCTGCGGCTAGGTGCGCGGGGGACCGATCCCGGGAGGGCTACTGCTGAGAGCTTTTGGGGCGTGTGCCAATTGTCTGACTGAGTTCGTCGAGACTGAGCTCTGAGGAACTGGGATCCAAGACGGATATGCCCTATTTGAGCCCGAACCTCGTCGTTCAAGTCAGGGGCCCGGTAGGAGGAAAAAATTGCGTATCTGACAGGCCAGCAGCTGTGTCGTGTTGCGGTGGCAAATATGTACGCTGCAAGAAGAGTTTTTTCCCTGCAGTGTCGGTTGTCGGTTGTCGGCGGATGCTGGATTGGTGAGGTGGTATGCTGCTGCAGTGGATAGTTGCTCGCCGAGCCCACGAGTTGAAAGTAACCTAACGTGAATGGAAAGTGGAATTGTGGTTCACGAAGCTATCCAACAGGCTCCAGTTCGGGTATCGCAAGGCAGCGGCTCGTGAGACCAAGGCAGGATTGGTCAGACGACTTATTCCCTCTCGCTAACGGGAGTTGGTGACGGACCACAGCGTGGTTAGCCCAAAGCGCAATTCGGGAAGCTTGTGGTCTGTTCCACTCGAGCGAGACACAATCAATGCCAAAAGAGTGTTCTGGCAGAAGATCAATTGGGTCTTTCCAGGAGAGAGTGGGATGTGACAACAGTTGGTCGGTCGAAGGGTGCACAGCACGAAGCTCCGTCTTGCGTGACGGACGGGCCGTTGTAAGACTCAAGTGTTGCTTCTGGCCCCAATCAAAACGAGCGGGCTGGTTGGCATTCGTTGATATGGAAGAGAAGGAAGAGAGTTTGGCGATTATCTGAACGGACAGATAAAGATAGGTATTTTGTTTCCCTCGCTATCGATGTTGGATGACTCGTTCCCCCAAAGTGCAAGCGATTTGATCAGCCCCAGAAAACGGACGGGGCAGTTCCTGGAAGCTGCCGAGAACGGAGATCATCGGAGTTGGGGCCAGGCCAATCGTCTTTCACCGTCCGTGGTGCTGCGGTGAGCGTCCAGAGTTTGTGGTCAACGGACGGAACCTTGTCGAGTGGATACCGTGTGCGGAGCCAGATGACGGTGGGGTAGAGCGTTCAGTTGGTCAGGTCCGTTGCTTGTTGTTGTCGTTCGAGATACGAATAGTACCGACGAAAAGAGGATGAGAGCCTAAGAGAAACGCGAGGAGCGGACACGCACTCTTCTTGTAGGTCACGCTCGTCAGTCTGTCACATCGATTAGCTAACATACGCCCAGGGTCTGGCAGCATCCTGAGGGGCTGAGGACGAGGGGTTTCACTGGATCCTCGCTAGGAGTGTGGGGTGCTCTGGACGGGCGCTGCCATGTCTGCCCCTGTCCCTGCATGCCGAGTGCCCAGGGCGCAACAGGGTTGTGGAGGTGATGGTGTAAGCTTTTCGCAAAGTCCTGGCTGACTTCAACTGGCTGAATCCGCTGCTTTGTCTGGGTCGTTCCGCCAGTTTCTCCACGATGAGTCTGGTGACACATTGCGTGGGGTGGATGATGGCATCTTGAGAGGCCTAGACTGGTGCAAGACAAGATGTGCTGCCACAATGTTGCAAGAATGTTGCGATATTTCACACTGGATTCCGCTACCCCAAAGGCGATCCACCAAGAGCTGTGGCCCCAATGCTCGCACTCAATTTGAGTCCGTTGGCGTTCTTGTTACACGCTACCTTACCTTCCTAGGTCAGTCAAAACTGAAGGCGGCATCCCATCCATGGATTACTTTTGATGAACCTTGAGGACTGGTGGCCTAGTACCCAGAACTTGAAGTGAGCTCGCGCAGGGTAAGGCCCGGACAAGACACCAAGGTGCGGGCTTCAGCCAATAGCGTCATGCTACAGCTCCTGATGAGAAGGTGAATCGCCCAGCCAGGCACACGGGCCCAATCTGCTGGCCACGGGTTCAACGCTGCCGCGATAGCACTCCCATTAGCCATCACACCATGCAGGTCCTCGTCCAGTCGAAGCTGTTCAATGTCCCCCCTTCCTTTCAGCCTTCAGCTTCCTAGTTCCACATACCTCTCGGGTGAGAAAAATTTTTCTTACTTCATCAGCGACTCTGAGGTCTCCATGTGCGTCCAGCTTGTGGAATTTCAAAGGCGACCGATGACCTGTGCACTCCAGATATCACGCCATTAGCCTCCTCCGGTCACGACCTATGCGACAACTCCACTCAATCCCGTCTCGCACCGTGACCAGGGAGGCACATACGTAACACACCTGATCTCTTGGGGACCCTCCTGTCTTTACTGGTACGTAGCTATGTACATAAGGAGAGACGGGTTTCCGTTGTGCCCCAGCGTATTACATAAACAGCTTCCTATGCCTGTGGTCCTAATAGTGTAGGCATGGTAGCCTCAATGATGATGATTCCGCTGCTTCCGAAGTTCCGACGGTAGGAATACCCAGAGCTCCCGCAGCAATTCTGCCTGTTCTAATGCCATCACCGCCCACCGAATAGAACGGAAACACCAATCTGGTCTCGGACTCCTTTCACGTTGAAGCGTTCTGCGACAGAACCACTTTACGACCCCACAGTCGATGCAAACTCGATGCAAAGCTAGGTTCCGATGCAGGTACTCTGAACCAGCACATGCCACCACTGCGTGTTCTGGTAGTGCCGAGCACTAATAAGATGCTGTTTGGGTGCATCATCCGTGGCCCACTGGGAGAGCCATCCATGTATATTGTCGTACACACCACACTAGTGTGCCTACAGTCCCATGAGCAAGAGCAATGCAACCTTGGGCCATCCGAGAAGGAGAAGTTCATGTTAATCGGGCCTCTCCCACTTACCTCCCACCTGACGTGGGGGTGCTGTAGATACAATACATAGGTATGATTGACAGTGCCGGAAGATGAAGGCCGCCGAGATATTCGGCCCTTTGCATTAACGTTGGAACGTCAAGCTCATCTTCGCCGTTCGCAAGAAGCACATTTTACTTGTACTTCCCCTCCGCGTGGCTCTGTCTCCGACTAGTTCATATCCCTAGGAGTCCTAAGGCGACTTTCCACCCTCCAGCCATGCATAGGCGGGCAATATCAATGCCGCATCCCCACTTACCCGGGTAGTATCCTTTCCCGCGTATCGACATGTCGGCGCATATCGGGGGTGCTGTGTGAAGTCCGCGTCGGCGCAGGCGGGGACACTGCAACCCGTATGCAGCGCCGTCGGTAGCTGACCAAGGCACACAGTGGCTGACTACCACAGTATACTACTGATGCTACTATCGGCATGAATGACGTGCAGCCGCCCCCCTGCCAGCAGCTTGCGACAAGACATGAGGTGAAGAGGACCCCCATTTTGAGAAGCCGAATTATCTATCCGTACCCCACTCTTTAACGACGTGTGATCTCGATCTTCGGGCCGTTATCGTCATGACGGAATGCGCAAAAGGAAGAGGGTCTTGCTACTGTGGTGGTGGTGCAATCTTGTCGGTGATAAAAATTTTGTAGTCGGCCTGCTCGACGCCCAATTGTCGTTGTTCTGAGTCGATTCTGAGATAAGTATGAGAGACGGCAAGTTTGTCTTACTATATCAAACCCCACGGGTAACGGCGGCTGTTCAAGGCCACAGTAATAACTCGCGAGTCGCAAGTGTGCCGAAGTGGACACTCCGACTCCGTAGCATCGAAAGAAACAAAACAACAGCCAGACTCCTGACCCCCACACCGACATTCCCAATTGCTCCCCTCGACATTGATGACAGCGGCGTTCCGTCTTGTGGGCCGAAATGCGACAGCGACGATAGCCGGGGCCCGGGGCATGGGCTCTGATCGGATCCAAACCAAAAAAAGCCCTTATCGCGCAATCTAGGATACGTATAGTATCACAGATAAGGCATCGGTCGGATGGTACCTAGAGCAATATGTGGCCGCATTCTTCATCCGATCATTGTCATCTCCCACGAAAAGGTTGCCTCGAAGATAACTGGTGGAAAAGCCTCGGGCTCGGAATGAGAATCTTGTGCAGTTCATCTTCCCCCCAGCAGGTGGTGAGTGTGGTTGCGCGGAATTAAACTTCAAAGTCTGAACTCGGATAAAACCTTTGACACGCGCACGTTCTCCTCCGCTCGCGGCCCCACTCTCCGGCCGGAGTGTCTTCCGGAGCGGGTCGTGCTGTGGGATCCGGGCCCTTCCGGTCTCGCAGTCATCAGAATCCCGGGGCCGCGCACGATCAACAAACAGCGAAGCTCAATAACGGAAAGGCACCATTCCGATTCGGTTATTGGACATATCGCAAGGGTCTGAGAAAGATAGCCTCTTTTTACTTTTCTCACTTTTTTTGTTTTTGGGTTGCTGACAGCTCCTTGTTTCGAAGTCGTCAACCGATGGACGCCAGGTGGAGAGGGAAGCTGAGATCGAAAGCTGCTCATCGAGGACCCACAAAGTCGCTGAAACAAACAAGAGCATTTGGGAGAACCTGGAGCCCTGTGCTGACAATACGTACAGGAACTACCTTACCTTACACTACACAAGGAGAGTCATCGCGGCCCACCTCGATAGTTTGGTCTGGGTCACATGTAATTCCACGCTCCTCAAACCTACAAAGCTCGGCATACATTGTTCCCGGGCCCGCATCGAATCATATGGTACTATCTGTAGACTGTCTGCTGTCCATCACGCAATGCATACGCTACCAAAGTACTAGGGTATCACCGCCCTACGTGTAAAACTCCGTCGTGTCCGATCTGATGCGACTTCAAAGTCCAATCCCCCAGGAAGGTCTGGACCCGACCGTCTGGATCTTGGTAGCCTGCAGGAATCGGGTCTCTCGGTCTCACGGCAGGCCGATCTGGGTTGCCATCTTGGTGGGTTGTGGACTCACCGAGCTTTCATGTAATAAGGGTCCGGTCTACATAGGTACTAATCACTCGAGGTCTCCCTGAGTTATCTCCGATCTCCGTCGGAATCGGGATATTCAGTCGGGCATATGTAGAACAAATGTTCGTCGTAGTATCGGCCGAAGACCGGAGTCCTCATTGACGTACCTGGATACCTATTATGCGATGACGACTGTATCTGAGGTTCTTTGGCGACGCCTTCTTTTTCTCGGCCGATCGAATCTGTTGGTACGGAGGAGCCATCGAGGACGTCCGGTTCTTCCTATCCGATGTGCAAAAGTTTGTAATCGCAGAAAGACCTGGCAGATACACTATAGTTCTGGAGGTATAACAAGCTTAACGAACTTCAACATAGATCTTTGAATAGTACGAGAACCCGAACCATCTTGCCCTCTAGTAATCCTGTCTTTGTTCAAAATTCTGACCAGAAACAAAACGCATTCCCACTTCAAACACGCCGAGCCTCTGTGGTACCGACCTAAGTAGGTATATATGTATTCCCTCCGCTCAAATAACGCCAGTAAAGCAGAAAAGACACTAGTTAAACGGGAAAAAAAACCTCGTTTGGAAGTGTGTGTGTGTGTGTGTGTCAAGGATGATAAAAAGTCTGGTGCCTCGGCCGTCCATGTGCCGCATCCCAACCCGTGCTCTCCCCCAACCCATCAGCGCCAATCTCCCCCCGTCTCGGCTCACCACTCAGCTCCTGCGGCTCCATACTCTGCTGCTGCTGCTGCTGCTGCAAACCTGGCATTTGCATCACCGGCGAGTATCCGCCAAGCCCGCCAGGCGACGAACGATAGCGGCCCTGCCCGCGGGGACTCCCGTGAGCTTCTCCCCCCCTTCCCGGCGGCGGCACCTGTCGGCCGCCCGGGCCAGGAGACACTTGCACCCAGAGCCGGCCCTCCTGATCGATCTTGGCCAGCGGCACATCGCCTCCGCCGCCGCTATTCCCCGACCCGGTCCCAACCTCGGTGGTGCTACTACTGCCTGCTCCGTCCACCACCACCACCGCCGCCGCCCCCTCCGCCGCCGTGTTGTGGGCGTTCACAAGCTCGTAGGTCACCCCGTCGGTCCCCAGCCACGAAGTCACCCCTGGCCCTGGCGGCGGCGTTCCGACGGGTAATTCTGCCGGCCCCCTGTAGTAGCTGTAGCCACTTCCATGTCGTTGCTGCTGCTGCTGTTGCTGCAAGAACGGACTGTGTGAGTAGGGGCTGGCTGGGGTGTATGTCGATGAGGGCGGCGGGACTTGGAGGCTGGAGGTTGGGACGAGGCCCAAGGGATTCTTGGTTCTGGCGCGGCTCTGGCGTCGACGACGGCGGACGAGGCAAAACACGCCCAGTGCGGACGCTATGAGCGCTCCGGCGCCCCCGACGGCGATGCCGGCTATTGCGCCCTTCGAGAGCGCCTTGTCGCCGTTGTCGTCTTCCGGGGACCCTGTTGCTGCTGTGGGTATGGCTCGTGTCGGGGTGCGGCTAGGGAGGCTAGCTTTGCGCGTCATGAGGACGCGCAGATCGGGGTTGGCGAAGCCGGTGGCGGGGGCGGTCTTGGTTGCGCCTCCGTCTGCCGAGCCGCCGATGGCTTCGACGAGGCGGTCTGGGACGCTGTAACGGGTCAGGTTGGTGACGAAGAGCTGCCAGAGTTCTCTGTCCCGGTTCTGTTCGCCCATGTCAACGTTGTGAACGCCGTATTGCACGGGAACGTCGCAGCTATCGATCGTCGGGAAGGTGCCGCCAATGATGAGCATCTGGGCGTTGTCGATGACATTGCAGCTGAGGGAGTGGTGAGGGTACGACCCGGTGAGATTGCCATCGGCCGGGTACATCTTTATCCATTGGAAAGAAGGGATCGTCAGGATATACAAGTCGTCGAAGCCGGCTGTATCGGGGGGCATGCCCGCGCCACCGTATATGTAACTGCCTCCTGGTCAGACGCACGCTGATTACTAGATTCTTTTCGTGCCCGACCACATCAACTCACATATTATAGCTGGACTGGTCGGAGGCCCATGTCGCCCCGGCGCAAAAGCGCCTCCGCATCGGAGGGACCTGGCCACTGGCATTTTGGGTGTACCATTTCGAGCTGAGCACGTCATACAGGAAGATGTTTTCCATCGGCTGCCCGACCCAGGTGCCGTTGCCGTGGGGATCCTGCACGCCGCCAAAGTAAGCGAGCATGCCCCCGTCGCCTACCGGAATGAACACCATGGCTCCCTCGGCCCGGCCCAGCGAGTCCGGACCGGTGGCGACGGAGAAGCTGTTCGAGTCCATATTGTACTTCACCAGGTCAGACGCGGCAAGTGGGGGGCCCTTCCAGCCTGGGACGGTGTTGTTCGACTTCCATCCCCCGTAGTAGTACCCTTCGCCCGTCTCCGGGACGGAGACCCCGGCGCCCCACGAGACAGCAGCAAGATCATCCTGCGCTGGAGAACCAAACGAGTCCCAGCGGTCGTAGATGGCGTCGTAGGACCAGAGCGTGAACTGCGGAGAGGGAGGCTGTTGGTAATACTCTCCGCCGAAGAGGTAGAATCGCTTGTTGACATCATCGGTCCAGAGGGTGCCGCCACTGACGCTTGGGATAGATGAATTCTTGGTGAGATTGGCGTAGAGCTGGGGCATACGCCCGGCCCCCGGCGTGTCGAGGTCGTGGTAATGTAACCCCGTGTCTGAGACGCGTCAGTGGGGAAGGCGGTACTTGTAAAAAAAAAATAATAATAAATAAAGATAAAAAGATAAAAATACATCTGGACACATGGATGAGCACTCACTGGAGTAGTTTGTGGGGTACTGCGATAATGGATTATAGTTGATGAAGCCGCCGTCGATATACAGTTTCCTGTCAATCATGGCCGTCTGATGGCCGAACCGCCTGCAGAAGTTCTCGACTGGATCCAGCTGCGTTGACTTCTCGATAAACACCGAAAGCAACACCAACAGCAATATGCACGGAGAGCCGAGACGGGGCGAGTGCGGCCTCCAGCGGTCGCGCTCCGACCAGCCGGCCCTCCCGGGACGGGCCGCCGATAGTAGCGTCATCTCGGGAAGCAAGAGGCACAAGCCATATTTTGCCAACCGGAGAGCGATGTGGGCTTTCCAGAACCTCCGGACACAGTTGGCGGATGACGACGGCAATATCCTCGAACTTGCAAGGGAAGGAAGAAATGCTGTGGCAGGAGTCGTCGACCCGAGTAAGATCAGATTCAGATCAGCCCACGCACGATGAGTTGGGACACACCGCGACCAGTCAACGTGAAGTTACACATGAGCCTCTGGCCTTACGAATAGCGGGTCTCCAATTCCTGTCTTTGTGCGCCTCGAGCGCCCGGCGCGATGCGAGTGGCTCAGCTTACGGATATTATGCCAGCGTCGATCTGCTTTTCTGGTTCGCCCGTTGATGCGCAACAACAACTCTCCTCCGGCATTCGTGGCTAGATGCTTGTGGCGGTGAGGCAAGTAGCTACTCTAGGAAATGTTACGCTCTTGAGAGATCAACGTAGAGTGATGCAACGGGGAGTGATCGACCGGATCATCCCTCGGATTATACGGGCCCAACTGAGGAAGCACAACTGCACTTTTCACGACGAAGTCGAGCGTGCAGAGATTTGGGACAGACAATAAATCGCCGGGTTGAATGGCCCGTTGCCCTGGATGCTGTGTTCCCGTCATTCGGACGCCGGTCCAATGAGAAGATATCGTCTTCCATGGGGAGTCTCCGAAGGTATGCATCTACCCCTGTAAGCCGTCAGGCTGAGCAGGAACAGTAGCCAAACCATTGGCAGTTCGACTTGGTTGAACCTCTGGGTTGGGCGGAGCAGCTGTGTCGGCGTGCGACCGGCCAGTTGTTGCACGATGTGCGACGTCGTGTGGCTGGGATTCCGGGCAGCGCTGGGTCTGTATAGGCTTTAGTGCCAGTTGCGGTTTCAACCAGTCGAGACAACATACGGAGCATGGTGGACGTCTTTAACAAGGCGTGGCGTGAGAACTATGGAGCAGAAAACTCCTCTCGTCATATACCAAACTGAGGGTAGCCCGTGGAGTAACTCACAGCATCACCCATCACTTCAGTGTCAATGGACGCACCGAAGAAGACAGCCGTGAGCATATCTCGTTTTGTGATGCGCTTTCGGATCCTACTGCTTCAGCTCTGCGTGCCGTCCCGACCTTTGATGACCCCCATTCCCCCCTCTCGTCCGTATCATCCGTCGGAATAGGGCGTGCATCTCAGGGTTGGCGCGTCAACGTTCAGTTTGCTCAGCCTTGTCAAGGGATTGCGGATGGATACCGGGACAGCCGATGGCGTCGAGCCGGAGTATGAAAACAGGCACCTGGCATAGCTCTGCCGTATTCGTGCGGTCTTTCGCGTTTGGAGAATTCGCATGCCTACGCGTCTTGCGACCCCAAAACTGCTTGACCTGGCGGATATCTTCTCCGGAGCTACCCGGCCTATGCCTCCGAATCTGCACTTGCTCCGTGACGGCCGGCTAAGAACCTCGTCGGGAAATATTGCTTTAAAACTTGCCTCTGTACCTGGTACGCGGAACGCGTGGTTTCTTTGGAGCGAAGTGATTCAAGCTTGGGCGGGGGTTGTGCAAAGCTGGCAGGTGAGAAACGTCCCACCAACCCTCTTCGCTGGCACGCACGATGGACCTTCGTTGCTGCTAAAATACCCAGGGGTCGCCCCGAAGGCCGAATGGCAAAGCTGCGTGGCGGGCCGGCGGACTTCGACCATATGCTTCAGTGGGATGATGATCTTGCTTCAAACTCTGGTCTCGTGGTGTGAAGACAGGCACAAAACTTGAGAACCGGGACGGAGCGGGACAAGCTCCAACCACCTGGCGGGATAGTACTTGTACCATGTTGCCGGAAAAGGGGCAGAAGACAAAGGCAAGGGGAGAGGGCTTAGGCCAGGGTAGGATGGAAGGAACGGAGGGCTGCTTCCTGCTTAAAAAGGTTCTAAGTTGCTGTACCCACTCATCCAACTGCCGCGTGAAAACAGAACCCCTTATATCCCTCTACCTGCAGTATGAAGCACTTGATATGCTTTGGCTGGCCGTGCGTCCCTGTCTCAAACGTATGCAGCCTTTCTGTTGAGAGACTTGCAAGTTGCGACAAGACACACACGACCGAGCAGCTTGGCGTCCGATTTATCGCAGATACGAAGTTACGTTAGGCCGGCAATCTTGTCCCCACCACGGCCCCACTATGCGGTCCGCTAGGGAGTGAGCTTAACCGGTGGAGACCCGGCGGACGGAGCAGGACGAATTGTCGCGAGGGGACGATTTTGGTTTGGTTTTCGTATCGAGAGTGGTTGTTGTTGAGGATCATTCATCCACAGTCTCAGATGTGTACACTAGGTAGTGTAGGTTACGTTGCCTTTTTAGTATTGTCACGAGCATCGGTCATAGGGCATGGGCTTCTGTCTACGGCTCACGACCTTGGCCAGCAACAGCTGGAGAGGCGACTGTGTGTCTAGAAACATGGCCCGGTTCACCAGAACCACATAGGCCCGAGCTAGGCAATCATCAGCCTCATTCGTCGTGACTTGTTGCAACATCTCTTAAGGTATTTCCCTCTCTTGCCAGCCCCTCTTTCCCAAGATGACCAAGAAGTGACTACGCTCCATGGAGAGTTCTAATTTTCGTTCTTCGTACCGGTATTGTACACGTTCGATGCTGCTGCGCGCGCACGTAACCTGGTTTACAAGAGCCCATCCACCATCGGAGTCAATAAATGACTACACCTTCACAGTATTCCGTGGTGTACTGCGAGGTGTCAAGGCTTCTGCAATTGAACCCCTGTCGAGAACTGGGGGACGGAATTCAACGCACGGCCCACTTCGAATCTGTCGCAAATTTGCACCTACCACAGTAATTGGGGTTTGTGTCATTGCCAGGGGGACGGCATTCGGGGCGGTTCACCTTCCAACTCCGCCGACGGCCGGAAATGATCGGCTTCGGAGAATGCCTGTTTCAGCCTTAGCAGCCGGGGACTCGGTATCCGCAGGAACCGTGCTCCACGTGGCTTCGAGAAAACGCTGAATGATTGTTAGCGCGGATCTTACGACAGGGAGTTCTGCTCTTAACCCCGAAGCAACACTCTTAAACTAGGTACGAAAAGGGCTGATTCAACGCAGAAGATTAGAGCGTCTTGCAATAACCTAAAAGGCTGAGTTCATCTACTTTTTTTTCCGTAAAAAAGTTAGCAGTTTTGACGTTGAGATTGAGAGTTCATCACGGGGTAGACCCTGGTCTTTAAGTCAGGCGCTAACGAGGGTTGGATTTGGATCTGATGCTTCTCTTCCGGAACACTTTTCCTGTTCCTTTCGCAGCGCCAAGCAATGCCACAGCAGCAGCTGCCGACGCCCGCCCACCATATCGCACTCGTTTTAACAACGGGGGCAGATTATTACTTAGCCGCCAGAAGACACAGAGCCGGGAGTTATTATTAATCTATCAAAAACATCTCCTCGAACCTTGTAGTGTAGGGCTCAAGGGTTAGATGACGCGCGATCCCACGGTCTCCCATCGTCCGACTCTTTAGAAACGGCCAGCGTATCTCGCGCCATTCGGACCCTGTGTTCTCCCCGGGCCACTAATAGGTTGCGTGGTGGTTCGATTGTTGATTTGGCACAGGAGATGGCAGTAGCTGGATAAGCCCGAAAGTCGGATATATCGGACTGCGTCATTGTCAGCAAGAGGAACAGAGTAGTAGCCGCTCTCTGGCGGCGCGGGCTGATGCCAGGATCACCACGGGCACTGTGAAGGTGAAGAGGCCGACGACAAGACCAATGTGGGACTCTTTCTGAGCAGTCTTGGGTCAGATCCATCGTCATTGACTCATTTGGGAGGGTGAGCGATGCTACACTACTGTACTCGGTACGGAGATAACACTACGGGTTTCCGCGGTGGAGCCTTCGCCTTTCCATCAGCCCGGGGACGGGATTCGAATTGGTTCCTCTCATTGAAGATGCTGGATGGTGACATGGTCACTTCGGATTGCAAGTCTTTTCCGGCTGGGCCGTTATAAAAAGACTAGTGTAGTCACCCTGGTGCCGTTCCATTATCTCGGATCTTTTATTATCAGGTGGTTATCCGCTTGAGAGATCTGAGATCGTTCCCTCTTTTGTTGGCATCTTGTTGTTTGTTTGACGATACTTAGTAGTCACTTCTTGTTTTTTTTGTGCTACTTGTATTGTACATTCTATGGGGTTGAGTTGTTGAGATTCCAAGACTCTCTCTCCCCCCTTGCGCGATGGCAAGCAACCCCCAGTCATCGTCCTCCTCCATGACAACCAAAGAGGCCCCACGGGGCAGCGGCCCGGACGTTGAGTCTCAGCAAGACCGCAACGACGTGCCGCATTGGTTCCTCGTCCTTCACCCGTCCGGCGTCAGTGACGCGGTGCTCAACTACCAGTACCCCGGCGAAGGCACCCACGAGTCGCCGTACGTGGTCGACTTCCTCCCTCACGACGCCAGCAACCCGCAGCAATACAACCGTCTGAAGAAATGGAGCATCACACTGATCCAGGCCGTTGCCACGCTGGCGGTAGCGTTTGTGAGCACGGCGTACTCCGGCGGCGTCAGCGAGGTCATCCGCGACTTCCGCATCTCCACGACGGTGGCCATCCTGGGTATCTCGCTGTTTGTGGTTGGATTTGCCGTCGGGCCGTTGTTGTGGGCGCCTCTCAGTGGTATGTTTGTTACTTTGGGACCTTGGGTGGTGATGGAGAGAAAATGAAATAAATGGCATCGCTGACCGAGGCTGGCCCAACAAATGAACAGAATTTTACGGGAGACAAGTCGTGTTCTTCATCAGCTACATGGCCTTGGCAGCCTTCAGCGCCGGGGCCGCCGGGGCCCAAAATATTGAGACCCTGATCGTCCTGCGCTTCTTCGCCGGTGCTTTCGGCGCGTCGCCCCTGACCAACTCGGGCGGCGTTATCGCGGACATGTTCAGCGCTAAGGGTACGTGGTGCATTAACTACCCCTATCATGGTTTACCATTATTTATGTGTCGATAATGAGTGTCGCTGACCGTCACTTAGAGCGTGGTATGGCGACGAGCGTGTTCGCCATGGCGCCGTTCCTCGGACCGTCCATCGGCCCTATCGTGGGCGGCTTCCTCGGGGAGGCCGAGGGCTGGCGCTGGGTCGAGGGCCTGATGGCCATCTTCACGGGCACGCTCTGGATCGCGTGCGCGCTCTACGTGCCGGAGACGTACGCGCCCGTCCTGCTGCGGAAGCGCGCGGCGAAGCTCTCGCAGCGCACCGGCAAGGTCTACGTCTCCAAGATGGACCTGCACGTCAAGACCACGCGCGCGCAGCAGATCAAGACGACGCTGCTCCGGCCGTGGGTGCTCATGCTGCGCGAGCCCATCGTGCTGCTCACGTCCATCTACATGGCGGTCGTCTACGGCACGCTGTACCTGCTCTTCGCCGCCTTCCCCATCGTCTTCCAGCAGAACCGCGGGTGGAGCCCCGGCATCGGCGGGCTCGCCTTCATCGGCGTGGCCGTCGGCATGCTGGTCGCCGTCTCGTACAACATGTTCGACAACCGCCGCTACATGCGCGTCGTGGCCGCGCACGGCGGCATCGCCCCGCCCGAGGCCCGCCTGCCGCCCGCCATCCTCGGCTCCTTGCTGCTGCCCATCGGCCTGTTCTGGTTCGCGTGGACCAACGGGCCCGAGATCCACTGGGTCGTGCCCATCATCGCCTCGTCCTTCTTCGCCGCCGGCCTCGTCTGCGTCTTCCTCTCGCTCATGAACTACATGGTCGACAGCTACACCGTGTTCGCCGCCTCCGTGCTGGCCGCCACCTCGGTGCTGCGCTCCCTGTTCGGCGCCGCCTTCCCGCTCTTCACCACCTACATGTACAAGGACCTGGGCATCCACTGGGCCAGCTCCGTGCCGGCCTTCCTGGCCCTCGCCTGCGCCCCCTGCCCGCTGCTGTTCTACTTGTACGGCGCGCGCATCCGCATGAGGTGCAAGTTTGCGGCTGAGGCGGCCGCCGTGTTGGAGAGGATGCAGAAGGCGCACGGCCAGCAGCAGGAGGCGATGCCGCCGCCGTCGCCGGCTGGGCGCGGGGAAGAGGAGGACCGGGCCGTGCGGCCGGACGGATTGCCGGTTAGCGAGAGTCGCGCCGTGTTGAGTGAGGATGAGGGGACTGTGGTCGGGAGTGGTGATGACGCGGGGGAGAAGACGAAGTGAAAAAGGGGAAAGCAAAGAAAAGAAAAAAAAGAAATGAAGTTAGATAAGAGGTTTGGATGTTAACGGGTTTTTCTTCCCCTTTATCTTTTGCGACGGCGTTCTGAGATACCAATGTTGGGATCGGTTTGGCATCAACGCATATCGTCCGGATGCTATCTTGGATAAAACATAGACATAGACTGGCGGGATACTAGGGATACTCTCCTCCACCTTTACTCTTGGATGCTGAGGGAGGAGATCCGGGAATTTTAATAGCGCGAGAAAAAAGATACAAGATACACACCTCACTTATCCTTGGCTTCCGGGGACTCGGAGCTTTGCTTGGACGGAAAGTATGGCTGCCGTTGCGCATACATCGTCCGAGATGAGGTTGCTGAATCATGGCCACTTCCCTAGGGCGCCAATCGTCGGCTTCCTCTCCGGCCGCCAAGCCGGGCCCGCACCTTCGCATTCCGTTTTGGGAATGCGAGACATCTCTTTTTTGACGTCTGCCTTGAGCTGCCACCACATCTCATCCTCGTCGCCGGCGACTGTTGAGAGCGAGGTCCGATTTGCCAAGCAGGCATGCGCTGCCCTCCTCCGCCTTTCTGTGTGTAGGTGGTCGATAACCCGCGCTGCGTTTCTATTTTCCGTTGAATCGGGTTCGGCAGGACGAAACCTGCGAAGTTTGCTTAGTACATACGACCTCGTGTTTTCCGTGACTCGACCATTCTCACGGCCGGGCGAGGAGAGAAAAGCTGTGAGGTTTTAAGAGAACGAGAGACTCGAATTTTTCTTCGCCTCGTCGTATGTTGCACCATTTCTTGTTCGCTTTCCAGAGTCGGAATCCATCAGCTTCCTGCATTTGCATGGTACACGGAATTAACATCCCAATCCCCCCTTTATTATTGATTCCACTTATACGGTTATACCCCTGATTCGTCCCTGGGACCGGCCCACTGGGCGCTCCTATGTTTATGTTACACGATGAGTGCTGCACTGCGGCCCACCACGTTTGCAAACACATTTCTTGTGTCCCGAGACGGACACGCAGGGCCGGTTTTCAATATTGTAGGACCGGAAGAGCCTCGAAAGAAGCGGCCACATCGGGTATGTTGGCGCACGAGGGAGCGGAGGGTACCAGTCCTGATGCCCACGGCGGTTCCAGAAGGACTGTGGGAGAACAAAGCACATACTAACCCAATGGGACCCTAGAAATCAAGACTGGGGTGCATCCGATGTAAAAGACGCAAGGTCAAGGTGAGATGTCCCACGCTCCTGCTGCTGTCCCAGTATATCTATACGGCTATGATTATGCCAACATTGACACACCCGTCCCAACAGTGTGACGAGGGCGATCCGTGCAGGAATTGTGTCAAGCGGAAAGAGGCATGCGTCCGCGACAGGCCGACATGTTCCAGGCGGGACGGCGGGAAGTCTCCGCCGCAGACGCCGCCGCTCCTCCCCGAAGTGCTCTACTGTCCGCCATCCGAGCCGGAATGTGGTCCCGTCAACCTGCTGCATATGGAACTCCTGCACCACTTTGAGCGCCACACCATCCATACGCTACCCTTCCACGTGGTGTGGCCCAGGATGCTGCAGCTTGCCTTTCAGGTCAGTTGGGATGTCGAGTTTCTGTTTCGTCTATTATTCTTAAACTACTATTATTCCGGAACTGAAAAGAAGAAAACATGATCCGTCTCGACACACAGTCCCGGCAGCACACGTACCTCGTAAACGCCATGCTCTCCTTCTCGGCAGCACACCTCGACTATCTCCACCGGGGTGACAACCCGCGCTATCACCGGGCCAAGTACGCGCTTCTGGACAAGACCCTGCACGACTACCGCGAGGCGCTCTCAGCTCCCATCACGGCGGACAATTGCGACGCCCTCCTCGGCACAGCCAACCTGATCCAGTTTCTCATGTGGTCCGACATCAGCTTCATGGACGGCCAAGAAGAAGAAGAACAGCAGCAGCAGCAGCCACTAGACTTGTCAGGCGATCGCCTCTACTGGCTCTGCACCGGCGTCCGGCAGATCCTCTTTATGGCCTGGCCCCTCTTCCAGACCCCGCAGTCCGTCTTTATGCAAGTCGGCATGCTGCAACCGTGCATGGCGCTCGAGGACGCGGTTGAAGCGTGGGGGCTGAACTGGCAGCGCTACGTGCGCGCCTTCATGCAGCTGTACGATAACCCGCGATACCGCGGAGGACGGGACGCATTCCCTTCTTCCTCTCCCTTCTCCACACCGCAGCCATTATCCCGCACCTTACGAGACGACGATGAGGGACATGCGGAGGACCGGACGTCGCCATTGATAACACCATCACCAACACCGCCGTCCCCAAGTTGCTCATCCTCCTCCTCCTCACCGCCATCATACTCAGCACCCACCTTCTCCACCAGCAACAGCAACAGCAACAGCAACAGCAACAGCAATGGATCAGCCTACCTCGAGGGCCTGATCCCCAACCTCCCGTCCTCCAGCGCGCCGCCGTACAAGGTCATGACGTTGTGGCAGAGCTACAAGGAGGGCGAGGCCTACGTCAAGAGCGCCGGACAGCATGACGAGGCCCTCACGCGGGCCGCATACGGGCGGCTCGTGGCGCGGCTGGCTATTGCCATGGCCTTTGTTGTTGCCTCCTCCTCCTCTGATGAGAAAGAGGATGCCACTACTATTACTACTACTACTACTAGTCCTGGTGCTAACCGACACCGACAACAACCGCAACCGCAACCGCAACTCCCCCCGGGGGCAAAGCGCAGCAGCAGCAGCAGCGACATGGTGCGCTACGTATCCGTGTTCCCCATGATGTGCTTCGGCCCGCTGCTGGCGCTGATCTCGACGGGGGACTCGCGGATGCTGGTGGTGCTGTTCCACATCTACCACGCCGTGGGCCAGCTGCTGCCGGGGGAGACGTACTGGTGGTGTCGGAGGCGCGTGGCTATAATGGAAGCGGCCATAGGGCGCGAGCTGCGGAGCCGAGGCTTGGAGGTCTGCTTGAGGAGGCAGAACGAGCTCGTCTAAGGTACAATACAAATACAATACAATACCAGGTAGTAGTACCTTAGTTGGTCAATGCGGTTTTTCATGTGAGAGAATGGAACATTCACACCGCTCCGAAACGTAAAAAAAACTCTTCAGGTTCCCCTCATGGCTGCGACCTTTTCGAATGGGATGGATATCTTTTATATCGAAGCCTTCGTCCCCGGGTTCTTCCGTCCGATACGTCAATTCTACCAACATAGGTATCACCGTGGGTGCGAAAACGTATCACCTACCTACGGTACCTTACCCAGCCCATCGTTCGCTATACAAGTCACTGACCGTATCTTCTTCGAAGTAGGCTGTGACTTGTAAGCACACCCATCATGCAGAACATACCTAGTTATGCAAAGTCGCAACAAAGTATGCACCTCTCCATTTCTTATGGACAAAAGACTCCCGCTCTTGATAACTCCACTATAAACATGGACGGATGGAAGACCAGCCGTACACACAGACGCCGTTTTGCCTACCAACAACTCGCTTTTGTTTCCCCCCCACCTCCTTCTAGGCTCCAATGCTGTAAGGCGCTCACAGAATCACTTTGTAAGTAGCTGCCACCAAACAATTCCCCTCTCCGCTAAATGCAATGAGCACAGTACAATGCGATGCCACGATAAACTCAGGGAGGTAGGTGATGACAAGCCCCAACCAACCAAACACCGCCCTAGATGCGACCATCCCATCCGCGGGCAAAAACAAAGGGAAAAAACCGCTCAGTACCTTACTTACCTGACATATACCTCTCCTTGTCCCTGGTACAGAAACAGAAGAACGTGCCCAGACAAATTTAAGTTCACCTCCCGCCAGCGCTCTGTCGTCCCTTCTTTCCTCTAGTGACGACCATTTCTGGCTCCACCATTACTTCCTTCTCTTTCGCAGCCGCAAGCGCAGCCTCCTTTTTCTTGGTCACCTTCCTCGACCGAGCCGGCGGCGGTTCCTGGCTGTGCAAGTGCCCGATCTCCTCGAGCGCCATCATGTTTTGCCAGTTCATGCACCTATACCGCTCCGGTGCCGGCTCTGCGGGCGGCGCGACAATGGTCGTGACACCTCTTCCGCGTGTGCTCATACGTTTGTTTCCACCTGTTGTGGTTGCGATGGCAGTAACCGACGCGGCTCCATCCTCGTCGTCCTTTTCCTTCTCTGCCGCTGGTGCGAGATACTTCTTCCGATTCTCCATGTTTTTGACGATCTTGTCCCGGTAGTTGACAAGCTCCTTGCGCAGTTTCAGCTCGTTGACGCCGCGAATGTCTAACCAGCTGATAAGCTTGTCGACATCTTCCGGGTCGTCGTAGTAGCCCCACTGTGTGGCGTTGAACACGCTAGTGGCGCCCTCCTCGAGCTTCTTCCGCGCGGGGACCGTCATGCCGAACTTGGCCTTGTACTCGTCCTGGTACTCGGGCTTCATATCGATGTAGCCCTCACGCTCAAGCTCGTCCGGCCCTTGCACCCAAATACACCCGTTGGCATATCCCGCTGATGCCGTGGAGCTGTTGGGTAGGCCTCCATAGGGCATGCCGTTGCGCTCGAACCAGTAGTACCTGTTCCAGAAGCGATCTTTGCCGAGCACCCGTGTGCGGGGGCAATCAGCCTCACGGAGGTCGTTGTCAATGACGGCGATTTCCTGTTCGCATTCGGCAACTTCTTCCTCTTTCTTCTGGATCTCCTTAAGCACCCGCTGAAACTGCTTAGACTGCTTCGGCATCTTGGCAGCCGCCTCGGCCTTCTCCTTACGCTGCTGCTCCTGCTCGGCCTTACGCTTGCGCTCGGCCGCGCGGTCGTTGGCGCGCCGCAACTTTCTCGCCGGCCCGTCGTCATCCGTTTCTGGAACCTCATCGGAAGCGTTGGCGGGCAAGTCTTCGACATCAGACATCTTAACGTCCCCATTGGTTTTGGCAGGTTCCAGAGGAGGGCTTGGAGGAAGGTTGTCAGGCAAGAGGATCTTGCGCTGGTCATGGAGCCCCTTGAGCTCCTCAATTCTGTTGCTGCAGTTTAGCACCGGCATTCTGAAAAGGATTGGAAAGGGATTGGGGGCGAGGGTACTAACAACTGCTTCCTCTTCCTCTGCCACTCGATCTTTTCCTTTCTGTACCCTGTCATCGTCTCACTGCAGTCCTCCATGTAACCGCGGATGGCCTTCGTTTCCGTAGTGAGCATGCAGATGATCTGGAGTGCTTGGGCGCGGAAGTTGACGTCGAGCGTGGCGTATCTCTGGCGCACTGTCTCCCGGGAGGGCTCAATGTCGGTCGGGACCAGCTGCTGCAGGACCTCCTCGCAGCTCGCTTTCAGTCGCTCGTTCTTGGACAGTTGGTGAAACAGGCCAACCATGATCATTTCCCAGCCGCCGTCCTGGAAATCGCGCTTCTTGAGTTGCTCGATCCAGTCGAAGTCGCGGAGTACATCCTCTGCCCTATGCTTCGGCGCGTCCTCAGCCTTCTGCATCTCCTTCTCTGCGGCTGCAGCCTCTGCCGCTAACCTCTCCGCCTCCATCTTCGCCATGCTGCTCCTGGTGGCGCGGCCTGAGGGTTGCGGGTCTGGTTCCGGCGTGGGCGCAGTGCTCTCTTCCAGTTGCTCTTCTTCCTCCTCTTCCTCCTCCTCTAGTTCCGGCAGCTGGATCTGGACTTTACCACCCTCCGCCTCAGAGCTGACTAGGATTTTGAGAACCGCACAATGGATCTCCTCAAAAAGTTGAACAGGGGTCTCTTCAGAGTGAACAACCATGGCCTGCCGGTAGTCATCCCATGTGAAAGAGTCCAGTTTGAAGATCTCACAGTAGACGTTCAAGGTGTCCCAGGTCTCGAGCAGGGGTAGTGTCGACTTCATCAAGATGTCGTCGCTGTCGGGTGGCTTCGCGTCTGGCGCGACATCGACGGGCGGATCCTTGCACATGAACTTGAGTTGCGGCCTGACAAGCCCGCGGGGCTCAATCTGCAAATCTTCAATTGGATATTTCGGCGGCGGTGGGGGAGGGGTGGGTTCAGGCTGCCTAATAACAGGCGGAGGCACCTGGCCGCGGAGTGACATGGGGAACTGGAATGGGTTTCCGGGAAGCGGCAGGTGAACAAACTGGCCGGGCTCGTGCCCTCCGAACGTGCTGTGCTTGCCCTTGATCGCCTGCTGCTGCGCTTGAAGGGCCTGTTGTGCTTTGGATTTGTGACTTTTAGGCGCTGGCTTTAGCTCTGGCAGTCTGAAACCGGTCGGGCTGACAGGACCGGGAGACACCAGGGCGGGATCGAACTGTGAAGCCTTCTTTTGCAGCTGCAACTGCTTCCGCTCGAGCAGCTTGTTGTCGTACCGCAAATGCGGCGGGATTCGTGTGTCGATGTGGTACTTATCCGCCACGTCGTGCTTGACCAACCACGGTGCGCCATTCCATGCTTCCCTTGTCACTGTCTTCTTGATGAAGGACCGCAGGACTGCCTTGGTGAACACTTTACGGTCACGGAACATGTTGGAGTCGTCCACCATCACTTCCTGGCCGGCCCGGTCATCCAGGCTGACAAAGTAGCGCGAAAAGGGCGGAGCCACACTGCCGTCTGGGAGGACCTTGGCGCCGAAGCGCGTCTTGTCCCTCACGATGCCGTGAGATCTCTCGCCACCGAGTATATGGACCGTAACCGCCTCTCCAGGATAGTAGTCGTTTTTGAATTCGTCGTATATTTGGTCGACGAGCGTGTCAATCCGGGATACGGTTGAAAATTGGACGCGCCGAAGGATGGGACCCTTCAGAGCCTCGGGGAAAGCCTGCTCCACCTCGACGGCCCCGGCAAGCTGACCATCACACCCACCTGTTAGTTGTTCGTCCATGAGGAGGGAAGGGGCAATGAGGGCAGGAGGGCCGAGAATGAAGCTGGGTAAACATGGCATGCATACCTCGCTCTCGAGCGCGTCAAAGAAAGTGAGGCCAGAGTGCCCACTGATTTGGCAGATGAAGCGTCTCTGTTACGTGTGAGATGGCCATGCCCTATCGCCTACTAATGCGGATTTGACGCGTAGCATACCTGCTTGTAGAAGTCCATTCTGCTTAGGTGTCAGCTTCTTTCTTCCTCGCCTAATTCGTGGACATAGTTTCACGACGGGATGTGGGCCAACACGAACCTCGTCAAGTAATCTTCATATGTGAGGAAGACCTCACCCGTCTGGGGGATGTGCCAAACCTTTGAGGCAGGGATAGTTAGATTTTAGCTACGGCCAATTGGCCCCGGCCCGGGCTCGGCGGCTTCACATGAGCACTCACCTCCTGTTGCTCATCTTCGATCTCAGGCACGGGCAGGAACTGCACCGGCTTGCGCTTGAAGAGGACCTGGGAGATCACGTTAGCGGAACGGCGTTTCAGCGAGCCGGGAGAGAGTTCTCGTTTACCATGTCGAAGGTGGATTGGCGGTGGGGGAAGAGGGGAGGCGCGGGGGCGTCTTGAAGAGAGCCCGAAAAGTGCTACAAGGCTGATATCTCAGCCTTGTATAGCTAAATAAGCAGGCAAGTGGCGGGCTGAGTGCTGCTGTGAAGACGCGCTGGTTTGGGTGATTAGGACGCGTTGTGGTGGCCAGCGGCCTGTGTTGTGGCTGTCGGGTGCAATTCGCGGCGGATCGGGTGGAGAGAGGTCAGGTTTGGTGGCCACGCAGGAGGGTAGCTCACGGCGAGCATGCAAGGCTGATGACCACGGCTGAGGTCCAGTAAAAGGCGGTGCAGATGCTATCTTGCCCGTGCAAGTGGCCCGCATGTGGCCTGGGGCGGTCGTTGATGTAGTTGCAACCCTCGGGGACGTAAGGTTGAGCGAAGTAAGGAAAAGTGAGCGGTGCGGAAGTGGGAGGAGGAAAAAGTTCAACAAGGGGAGGAGGGAACGGCAAATGGGGAGGAAGCACGAGGCGACTGATAGGTCGAGCGAGCACTGCTGGCGTCCGGACCCGCCAACAGGGTTCCGGGGTGCTTCCCAGCTCCGACCCAGAAAGGGCTCCTGCTCCTCATCCGCACCCCGACCACCCCGGGGACCCTCTTACCGCAGCCCGCACGCTGAACATGCACGCTTTGCCCACGTTCTTGTACTCATCCTGCTCAGCTCGACGAGGGCTCTCTGCACGCCCTCGAAGCATCCAAATCGGGCCATTTCTCAATTGTTTGTGACCACAGAAGCATACATCAAATTTCATTTCATAAGGTAGGGGTCCGAGAGCCCCAGACAGGAACCCCCTTCGAGGCCGTCGGGGCACCGCCTCGCGTCTGTTTGACTGTCGGGCTCCCGCGCTGCTTGGCTCGGCGCACAAACTTGGAATCTTGCTATTTTCGAGATTCCTCGCATCTTTAACCACCTCAGCGATATGCAACAGCTATGTTTGGTCGTCGATTTCTGCTGTTGTGAACATTTGGCCATGCACCCCTCATCAATTCGCCATACTTGTTATTAGATACCTCAACCATCCATATATTGCCCTGCATAATGAAGGTACTTCACTAGCAGATGGCTGTCACCTTGAATTTAATGGTGCGCTTATTAGACTTTTGAGACTTGGAATATCAAAGGTCCATCATCCAATAGAGTTTTCTAGATAGATTTCGTGCTGAGTCTTGTCGGGATTGTTGACTAGTACCTCCAAGCTACCTACCGTGATTGTTCGTTACTCCTTTGCGGATAGTAAGTCCACATCTAGCGTGAGTGTGGGGATACAATCGCTTTCCCACAATGTACTCACTCGAATAATAATCCGGTGTAAGCTGTTGGGAGCCTTAAACCGCTTGTATACTCCTGCATCAGTTTTCTCGATAGCCTGGGTAGGTCTGCAAGGAGGTTGATGCACTACCGAAGTCCCTTCCTCCGCAAATTGTGGCACTTTGCGTGGCGTGGCCGTCATTCATCAGCAAGCGTGAAGCGAACCGTGTCCGTGTCCAGGTTGAAGATGGTCCTGTCAGGATGAGTGGGTCCAAGGCGAGGCTGAAAACGTAGGTTGACGTGCAGCAGCCAGCTGCAGCCTTGCAGAAGGGATGAATCTCAGCTTTCAACAGGGAAAGGTGCCTTAGCCAGAATTGCTGTATCCTATCCATCTTGGTCTATTAGTTGATATCGTCTGGACATGACTGCTGTGATGTTTTTGCTGATGGGGCCATGAGGCGAAATTAGATCTGACCCCAGTTGCGATGGAGCAAGCAGGAAGATCGGTCTTCCAGAACACATGTTAGGTAACGGCCATCATCCCTGTGGTTGGTACTTCTCTGTTGGTAGAAAATCGCTAACCATACAAGTACCGGTCTCTAGTGTCGGCATGTGGATCTGTGCAGGCCTGCCGACATTGATGACGGCCAATGAGAGATAGGTACCTATGCGACAGGGCTTGGGCAGCTGACTCAGCAAGGGGTAGCTGGTATATGCCTGGCAACTTGGAAGGAGGAATCACTTGAGGGAAATGCGGCAGTGTATCCGTAGTGTACCGTAGAACTGGCCTGAGCCGACCACCAGGATCGTATAGTTCTCTTTTTTTTCTACCTACCCTACGAAGTGAAATACACGACCATGAAGCCCACCCAGCTCCCGACTACTCCTATCGCCGAGTATGAGCTGGTGAACATCAGCGGTAGAAACTCGTAGCTTTTGCCGAAGACAATCTGGTGCACCAATGAGCAATATGCGATGAGTGGTATGCTGACCGTGATGTAGAGCGTGCTGAAGCGGTCAAACAAGAAGAACCTGGCCCGGCTCGACGCGGGCGCGAGGCGGTCGAAGGCCATGAGGAAGAGAATGAGCCAAAACACGGTGTAGACCGTCTTGATGGGAAATTCTGCCGGAGTGAATAGTAGCGGGAACAGCGATACGTGGCCCGCAACCGCAAGTGGTCGGAATGCGCCCAGATAGCGCCGGTCCTTGAGCGCGATGAGGCTGAAGGGGATAATGACAAGAAGGACCGCCTTCTCGTGCACATGCCAGCCAAACAGGAAGGAGGCATAACCGCAGAGCGTAACGGCACCGATGAAGTTATCCCAGGTCGGCTGGAAGAAGAGCTTCAACAGCGGGATCGTCTGAAAAGCCAGAGTGAGGCCAAAACACACTCGTGGTGTGACATCCGGCAGCACCGCGAAGGATGTATCTCCGACCAAGCCACGTGTGACGCTCTGCAGCGCCTCCGTCTTGACCGTCAGACCAAGTCGGGGCGCAAGGATAATCAAAGCGCGATCCACAAACGAGTACACGGCCCAGACATTCGGCGCCCAGTATGCATGACACAGGCCACGCGAAAAGGGAAAGAGCCGACTCAGGATTTGGGGGATTTGGCCCTGTAGTGCGAAAGGCCCGAACGCCGTGCCAAATATTCCTGCAATGCCGGCGCCCAGCTTCAGACAGTTGAGAAACTGAATCCGGAAAACCGACTTCGGAGACAGGCAGTACGCCCTGAGGAGGAAGACGAAGTACGCCGGCGCCAGGTAGAGGTAGATGTGCTTCATGCACAATAGACCGGCGAACAGAAGACCACTCCACAGCAGCGTTGACTTCTTGCGCGCCAGGACGAGCGAGGCGATCAGGATGCCATACATGCAGCCATTGTACTGGAAGTGGATGTGGTCAATGATGAGGAGACCGGGCGAGAGCAGGATAGATATGGCCGCGGCCTGCGCTGCTCGTTTGGATGCCCCATGCGACGAGTCTACGAACCTAGGAACGCGTGTTAGCTCAGAGTTGCCCCCCCGGTTTCGAGCACAAGGATGGTCATGCCGCGTACATCTGCAATGCATAGACTAGGAATAGCTCGGTGATGATGACGGTGGACCTCTGGAAGTATATTGTCTGCCAGCTATCGTACTCGAGATTGTACACCTTGAGCATGGCCGGGTCTACCAGCTTCGCGACCTGCGACATAATCCACTCGAAGTAGGCGAAGAACGGTGGGTAGTCGAGCGTCCATTCTGAAGATTTCTCGTAGTACCATTCCCATAAGGGCAGGCTATTGGTGATGGCAAGCCAGTTGCGGTGGACCTCAAAATCGGTCGATTTGCTGTTCATGCCCACTGTCAGACTCCTCTGGTTTCGAGTGCTAGGTTAAGCCGAGCAAGGCACGAGTCGGGAGAGGGGGAGGGGGTCGGGGGTAAGCTCACTAGGCTGGGAAGAGCAGAATCTTAAACGCAGCAGCCACTATCGCGCACTGAGTGAGTGAAGGGTATATCTCAGCCGTCATGATGGCGGCATATCGGGGGCTGCCATGCACAAAGCCGGCGATTGTTCCGTCACATGAATCGCGGTCGCCAATTGATAGGTGAATCGCACTGGAATTTCCATCCAAGCGGAGCTGTTTACGGATTAACCCAGCACGAGCCCAGCCACAATTGGATGCTAGCTAACGCCACATCCGGGGCGCAGCCACCTCCTCCCCTCTAATTCGGAATCTCGAGTCAAAAGCCTTAGACTGCGCAGTCGTTACGGATAAACAGGACCAGAACCTCCTCCGAAAGCATCTGAGGATGTTGTCTTGAATTCACCATAGGTTTCTGCTGGTCCCTACGGCCGGGTCACTTAGAACGTACTATCGAAATCCATTATAATGTATTTCTTATATCGTAACGTGAAAATCATCTGCATAGTCAACAATGGACAGAGGCGGCCCTATCATTCCCATGAGCTCAGCAAATGGGCAAGTTGGCAGACCTATATCAGAGCGTCTCCTCCTTCGGAATGATGCCAGTTTTGACCGCATGCCAAACAGCCGGATACACGGCCCGGGCATAGTTGCTCTGCCTCGCCAGGACGTACTTCAAAGTGATCTGGTGGTCCCAGCCCCGAATCTGGCCAATGTCGCCGTCGAAGGCATGCAGCACGTATGTGGCGGAAAAATCTATCTCCCAGCTCTCCATGCGGCCGGCCAGCTCGCGCTCGCGCAGCCACGCCAGCGCGTCCGTACATGTGTTCCTCCTCAGCTCCTTTGGCTTGCCCGCCACATCGTCCAGCACGCCGCCGGACGCAGCCGCGCTCGGCGTACCGAGGTGAGGTTGGAACAGCTTCTTCTGGTCCGCCAGCTCCCACGAAACAGGCGCAAACGCGCGGGGGTTCATGATGAGCACCTCACCTGGCACTGCGTCCAGCCGATAGGCCAGGTCGGTCAGGATATCCACGCCGATGGCCCATTTTCCATTGTAGAAAGCGTCCATGGCCTTGTAAACTATTTCGGCGAGACTCGAGTGCGGTTGCGATAGCCAAACCCCGTTGTTCACGTATCCGGTGTATTTGGGAAGGATGGCATAGGCCGCTCCAACGACATTCGCAAACCCAGCGTGGCGTAGGGGCGCGAGATCGCGCAAGGGCACCACATCTGTATCGAAGTACGCCCCGCCAAAAGTCCTCAGCGCGTCAGCCCGTATAAAGTCCGCTTTGGAGGGAAGGTTGTCGATTTCGACGCCTTTAGAGGTCACTCGTGGGGTCTCGACAAAATTGGGCGTCACGCCGGGGATGTTAAGCACGCGCTTGGTCCAGGTATCGCCAGAGGCTTTTGCGCGCTCCCACACCTCCGGTGCTGCGTCGGTGTGGAAGTAGATGCGGTCGGGGTGGAGGAAAAGATGTGACGAGTATACACTGACGAAGACCCTGAAGTCTAACGAGAGGACAGATGGGTTTCTGAGCAGCCAGACGTAATGCACAATGTTAGGAATGGCGGCGTCAGCTGCCTTCGTATCGTTGCCGGCGGCAGGCGATTCGACGCCATCGCAAGCATTCGCAAGCGGCTCAGCGGGGAACGTCGGGAATGTCGGGCGATCCGGGTTCCATGGCACCCCCAGAAGCGAGTAATTAGGAAGCTCGATGTTGACCCAGGCGTACTTGTAGCACGTCACGGCAACGGCTATGAGAGCGGCGATGGTGATGTTCCGGCGCCAGCTGCCTCGGTGGAGGACGGCAGCCAATGAGCGCATGATGTGGGGAAAACAAAAGAGTAGGGCTACCGGAGCGGCAATTACTAGTACCGTCTCTGTCAGATTGAGCGGGCAGTTCCCGTGGTCAGCGACCTGAGAATGTGTCGGAATGACACAAAGGCGCACAAAACCAGCTGTACCTACCTACCTGCCCGGTAGGTGTTGGCTGAAAGGATCTTCTCAGACTCCGAGTCCGAGATTTGCCCCTTGAAGACTGAGAACACCACGTCGTCTTGGCATTGAGTTTGACACCAGGCGTCCAAACAGCCGAACAGAGCCATACATGCAGTCGTTCTTTCCCTTTCCCTTTCATTTATCTGCTCTTGGTATTTCTTCTTATTTATTCTTCCTCTTCTTTCTTCTTTATCTTTTCTTCCCCACTTTTCTCCCCTTCCGCTATTCCGCCCTTAGCTATCTGTACCTTACTTAAGCCTTAAGGAGACTCGATGTTGCTGGGTTGGGGTTAATGGATACAGGCTATTGTCCCGCGGGACCAGTTGTCACAGTCCCAAAAAGCCAGCTCAACATTTAGGGCACTTTGTCAGATGAGCATAGAATTGGCTCTCAGAAGTTCAACCGAACTACCAATTCAAGCAACCACAAAAACACCCATCTCACTTCCACTACGTTGCGACTTGTCACAATACATGGTCCAGCTTAATGGTACGTACCTGTTACTGTGGGGCTCAGCCACACTTCGCCTTGCAGTGGAAAACCCTGAGACAGCATCTGACGACAAGGGTCCATGGGACATTAGCAAAGCCGCGGCGCCCTCTTGAGACTTGAACACGCTTGAATCCTGGGAAGCGTCTCAACTCTCACCACCTGTCATGATTACCAGATGTCCCATCTGCAATAGCTTCCAGACTTGGGCTATTGCCCAACCCACACGTTTGTGTCATATTCTACTTTCTTTTACCCCTCTGAGCGATTTGGCTGTCCTCGTGTTTTGAAGCTGTGCTGCACTCCTGGACCTTTATTTTCTCCACATTTGGTCAACCACCGGCCCGCACCGTGATTGAGAGAGCTGCAAAGTGTCCTCAACTGCGAGCGATTCTGCCGGAAACTAAAACCGCGGAGCCGAACCCCCCAAACTAATAAATAATAGCTTGTGCTGTGATTGTTCCATTGTTGGTCGCATCCTGCCATCTGTTCGACGCTCCAGGTCGTGCCCAGCAAGCCTGCTTCGACCGCTCAAGATGCGCTTGCCGTCGAGCTTCGCCGTACTTGTGGCCGGCTTAGCCCAGACGCAAGCCCAGTACCTCATCAATGAGCTCAGCTTCGGTCATGGCAGCAGGTAAATTGCTTCTTTTACGACCAGTCTGGATTGGATGGCTTGCATCTGCTGACATCACCGCGCAAAACTACAGGATAAGCCCCGAAGGAACACGATCGATACCGCATTTCTCCCTCCAGGGCCGACCCAATGTCCCCGAACTGCTGTCTAACAAGGTCATACTCACGCCCGTAGCGCCGGGGAACCAGCGCGGTGCGGTCTGGGGCGACAACACGCTCCAGCAGCAAAACTGGATCGCAGACGTCGAGTTCCGCGCCAATGGTCCGGAGCGGGGAGGTGGCAACCTCAACATCTGGCTTGTGAGGGATGGCGCGCACATCATCGGGTCGGACAGCGTCTACACGGCGGGGAGGTTCGAAGGCCTGGCGCTGGTGATCGACCAGCACAGCGGGTCCGGGGGCATGCTGCGCGGCTTTCTCAACGACGGCACGACCGACTACCGGTCGCACCAGAACGTGGACAACCTCGCCTTCGGCCACTGCACCTTCTCGTACCGCAATCTGGGCCGTCCGACGCAAATCAAGCTGCGCCACACCGAGACCAAGTTCAGCGTCGAGGTGGCCGGCCGTCTCTGCTTCGAGAGCGACAAGATCCGCCTCCCGAGCGGCTACCACTTTGGCCTCACGGCCGCCTCGGCCGACAACCCGGACTCGTTCGAGGTCTTCAAGCTGGTCGTGCTCACAGGGGAGAACAACAACGCCAACACCCACAACCAACAACAGGACTCCGGCAACAACCAGGGTGGCAGCGATTCCGCCGGCGGCAAGAAGCGCATGTTCTTCGGCCGCGGGGGCCAAAGCACTGTCGAGGACCCTTATGACAACGTCATCCCGGACTCGGAGGCCGAGTCCATCACGTCATCGAAGGCGCAGTTCGCCGACCTGCACAACCGGCTGCAGTCGGTCAACCACCACCTGTCCAGCATCTTCCGGTCGATCGCGCAGAATGCGGGGGTCGACGAGCAGCGGCACGCCGAGATGTCGGTCATGGTCGGCGAGGTCAAGGGCCTGCTGACGCGGCTCGAGAAGCTGGAGGTGCTGGAGCGCCGGATGGCCGACGTGGAGCGCGAGATGCGCTCGATGCACAACGAGATCAAGGGCCGGCTGGCCGACTCGGAGAACAGCATCAAGTACCACGTCAGCGACAAGCACGAGGCGCTGTCGCAGAAGGTCAAGGCGCACACCAAGAGCGGGCACACCAGGCTGATCCTGGTGGTGCTGGGCAGCCAGATGTTATTGATCGGCGCCTTTGTCTACTACAAGAAGAGAAAAACGTCGCCCAAGAAGTATCTTTGACTAAAAAGGGGCCGAGCAGACATTCTGGCCAGGGGCTTCATATCTAAGGTACATACATACAAAGGTGTGGCGATGTAAATGGGTTGGTTGCTGTGGTTTTACAGGATTGGATGCTCCATGTACTGTTGGAATCGGGGTTTGGGCGTTGTATGTTGCTGATTTTGGGTATTTGCTGCATCCCTTTGGGTTCGTAAGTAGGAGCAAGACATAACCTAACATACTGTAAATAGCCTGGCTTTATATGATATCCATCGACGTCGGCTTTCCGCCTGCCAACAGGATGGAGGTTCTGAGAAGACGCGGGATGTGGGTACATCTTATGTGCTTACTCTTCTGTCGTATGGCGAGAAAGATAGGAGACTGAAGGGTGGCAGAGAAGAAAAAGTGAGGTGTGTAAATTACCGTAAGATGAACTATTTGATACCTGACATGGGTGCCTTTGTTCAACTTCCCCGAGTTACACTACAATTGCATTGTACTAAAACCAAATCATACCAACTCTGAGACACGCCCCCACCTCCCCTATATCCAAACCCACAACCCCTTTTGTCCGTAAAAAAACATCGCAGAACGATACACACTAAGAACACTAAGCTGTACTTTTCGTTTACCCGCGGGCCTCGCGGATGATCCTGAGCATCTCCTCGCCCTTGGGCGCCGACGTCAGGTTCTCGTACCCATCCTTGGTGACCAGGATGTCATCCTCGATGCGGACACCTCCGACATCCCAATACCTCTCCAGGACGCTGGTGTTGATGTACTTGGCGTGGGTCGGGTCGTTGAGGAATCTACCCTGGATGTATTCGCGGCAGAAGTAGCTACGGTACAGGAAACCTTGGGTCAGTATTTCATACGCACTTAATAAAGGATAAGGGGATTAGAAGGTAACTCACATGCCCGGCTCGATTGTAACCACCATATTAGGCTCCAGACTCTGCCTACCTGTTTGCTCATATGCCGACTTTTCCGTGTCACCGTGGTACAGCAGAGCCAGCATATCGGCTGATACCCAACCCCGCTTGGGCGAGAGCTTTCCGCCATTCTTAAAGGTGTTCTCAGACACCAGGGGCGCCGAAAAGAGCAGCCGGTCCCGGCCGGAGACATCATGCACCTCCAGGCCGACGTGATGGCCCAGACCGTGCGGGAAGAAGGCCGCGACGGTGCCTCTTCTCATGATCTCGTCCGCGCTTCCACCGTGGAGGATGCCGAGGTTGATGAGTCTGTCGACGGCAATGGCGCAGGCAGTCTGCCGACGGAGTCTGTCAGCCCACTCTCCCCTTTTCATTTTTCCGGACACGGAAACCCATGGACCAGTCTCGGGGGTCGCCCAGGTTTACCGGTGTTAGGTACCTACCAGATGAAGCTTGTAGAACTTGACCCCCGGGCGCACCCCGCGGATGCACTCGGACTGCATCGCCTCGACAATCTTGTAGATGGCAGCCGCTTCGGGCGAGAAGGTGCCCGAGATGGGGAAGGTGCGCGTGATGTCGCTGGCGTAGCACTTCCACTCCGCCGCGGCGTCTAGAACCACGAGCTGGCGGCCCTTCAGCGGCTGGTTGTTGTCCTTGTAGTGCAGCGTGCTGCCGTTGATGCCCGACGCGGCGATGACGGGGTAGGCTTGGCTTTTGGCGCCCTGGAAGATGCAGCAGCCAAGAAACACGGACTCGATACCGCATTCGTTGTTGATATGCTTCAGTCGACGAAGCACCAGCTTGTGGGCAGCACTCTGTGGGATAAGATCAGCAAAAAAAGAAAAACACGGAAAGATAGAAAGCGGATGGCGATGATGGGCCTTACTGAGACAGCGTTGGCCCGCCGGATCATAGCAATTTCATAGTCGGTCTTAATAACTCGGGCCCTCTCTATGGCAGGTGCGAGCTTGGTCGGGCTGAGGTGCACCGTTTTCCTGCAGTGTCCGAGCGGCAGGGCCTGGTCTTCGCGCAGCACATAGAGTGTGCTCTCGGGAGAGAGGGACGCACACAGGGTCTCTTTGAGGGCGGAGATATACCGCACGTCGTCAACGTCCGAGCTGGCCAGGCACTGCTCGCGGGTGGGTGTTCTGCCGTACCACAGCACGGTCCGTGGATCTGTCCAGGGAATCCATAGGATGAGATAGTCCCGGCCGATGTCATAGGTGACGGCACACCCGGGAAAGTCGGCGCCCGTTATGTAGTAAAAGCTGAGACGGCGTTAATCCATAATAAATATGTGCTGATTGATGAAGGAAATCAGCAGTGCACCTACTGTCTGCGCTGGCGAAAGGCGGGGCCAATGTCCGAGTCCTCGTAGAGCTGCTCCTTCTGGCCAGCGAGATAGATCATGCCATCCGTGACCCCCAACTCCTTGGCTACCTTTCGCGCGTGTGTTTTTGCTACCATCAGGCGTCAGCACGGGGGGTTTGTGGCATGCACAGGGGGATGCAGTGGAAGGCATGGCGGCATACCTGGAAACTTGGCGAACTCCTGGTTCAGCGACGACGTTTGACTGCACGGCCGGGGAGTCTCCTCCGTCGTCGACTGGCGAAGGGGCTTAACCTCAATGCTTCTGTAAGGACAAGATCAGCACGCAAGCCTGCGTCACTGGGTGTGCACAGCTCTCGCCGCCAAGGGCTCGAACTCACAGCGCATCGAACTCGTCTATGACGACCAAGTCGTGATCGACTTCCATCTTTGGGTTGAGATTCGGTCTGGTTATTTAAAGATATGGAAGTGCTAGGTCCCAGATGTAGTGTTAGTACATATACATTGCATGATAAGACGATCAAAGCTATGGTTATTACGTGCGAAGGATGGTGACTAGGGACTTACAATTTGATCAAGCGGGAGAAAGAACGAAACGGATAGTGCAATGTCTCTATAGGACTCCAGAGAGAATGGTCAGTTCACTTCGAGGGAAGGATCGGGATGATAGGAAGGGCGGGAGGGGGAGTTAAAAGTGGAGGGGAGCAGATCAATGATGAGGTCAAACCACCTCCAGTGACAAAGAGATAGGCAAATATACGGATAGCGTCGGGCACATAGACCCTCGCACGACCCTAAAAATACCTAGTATAACCGCGTCAAGACGTATCTATGCGGAAAGGAGTTGAAGAAGTATAACAGATACCTCAGGTACGTTTCCGTAATTCTGTAACCTCCCTTTGTCTCTGTTGGAGGTTACGGTCCAATGAAGTTGAGAAGCTCCTACCCAAAGTGGTTGCTGCAAAGAAGTGTGGAACTCCCTGCCCTCTACTAACGGACGCGGTATTCAAGCAGGTATTGTAAATACGTAGTACTAATGCACATAGCTTGGTCGTATGTATTCTTGTTTACATGCATGACAGATTACTATATACAATACGACCCAGTTGCGCCCTTGGAACAACTTGACAAGCTTGGGGCGCGCCCAAGTTTTGGTGATGAGTTTAGGAATCAGGCTCTGGCTATCATGAACCCATTCCGAGTTGAACATAACCCAAGCTCACAACTACTGAACTCAAGCGTCGTCTATGAAATCTGATAGTCAATCGCTTCAATTGTAGAAGATGAGGTAACATACAGTACTGTACTATACGTGCGCCTGTAGCTATCGGACGATATACCACTAACCAACTCCGTAACAGTGTAGCACGTAGTGCGTTAGTATCTAAGCAGAGTAAATCTTATTCCCGACTCGTTATCTAAGTGTGCACTGCCGTGCGGTATACGAGAACTTGCGGTTCAGGTCATCATCACTGCACATCACATTATCAAGGGACGGGAGCCTTGGGCCCATCCCAAGCTCTTTCACATGTCATAGTATTCCATATCACCTCCTCGATAGTGTACTGTGTGAGCGTCACACATTTATCTTCCAAATTGCTTAAGCGGCGCCTTATGCCCTCATCCTCACACGCCATTCCTTTTCCCACGCCAGTCTATTTCAGGCACTATCGACATCGAGTTGGTGGTATCTCACAGGCTGTGCTTGTACCTGATATCTACAACCACTGGCACTGCAAGCTAAATTGCCGTAACCTTTCGCTGCCCCCGCTTTTCTCTCAAGCCATAACCCAAACTCTGGAAATCTATCCCAAACCTGCCCGGTTTTAAAGTAAGAGAAACTTGGCGGCGTTTCCTAACCCAAAACAGCCGGAACGTCCATGGTATAATCCTTCCTTTTCAATAAGAGACCAAGCATCGTTCCCTTTCCCTTCCTGCGTTCTATCCGTTTTTTTCCTCTTATTCGTTGGGGGGGTATCAAAAACGGGGGTTTCACTCACTAAAACAAGTCCCAAGACCCAAAAGCAAAGTCATTTCGTACATGCCAGGTCCCAAACCTAACCCCGGCCGTCGTCCCTCTCCAGACAGGGACCCGCGCGCCCTTCGGGGTCCATTTCGCTTTTCCGATGTTGGTAGTAGCCATCCAGCCTGGCGAAACCGCCTGGGTCTGACTTTCTGTCAGCATCTTCAGAGAGTTGATGGCCAGGCGTAACTGTCGGTGGGGCACGGACTTGACGTTTTTTCCTTTTTTCCCTCCCTCCTCCCCTTTCCTTTCTCCTTTTCGCCCCTTCACCTTCCTTCCTTCCATCCTTCCATCCAGCACACTTTAGAGGGCTTGCATTCACTGAAAGCCGGTGTTGCTCAGCATACCATCCCAATCTCCCTGAAAGCTGGGATCAGTCAGCATCTCGTCCATCATGCCGCCGGATTGCTGCTGGTGCTGCGGCTGATGCTGATGTTGATGCTGATGGTGCTGCGGCTGCTGGTGCTGCGGCTGCTGGTGCCCGTGGCTGCCATGATCAGGCTGCATGGCGAGCATCTGGGGCGAGTTATACATTTGCGCTGCCGCCTGGTGTAGCGCGTGTTGGTGGTGGGCTGCCTGCCTCTGGCTCTGTTGCATGAGATAGGAAGGGAGCGGGTCCAGAAGCTGGCCTTCAATGCCGTCATACATGTTCGGCATGTAGAACTGCATCGGGTTGTGAGCTTGGCCTGCCCCCGCCTGCGGTGGCTGGCTGCCCGGGTGGTGGTGGTGGCTGGCGGCGTCCACGAGCGGCTGGTTCGGATAGGCGAACGGGTCCTCCGAGGGGAACATCATGGCGTCCACCTTGTACAGCGAACTCGCGGGTCCTGCTCCCGCAGCTTGCCCGTGCGCCTGGAAGGTGGTGGTCTGGGCATGCTGCTGCCGGTGCAGGGTCTCTTGAGGGCTGCTGGCGTCCGAGCCACCTCCGGCCAGGGGCATGTTCAGGGGCAGGATGTCTTGCAAGTTGGTAAACGTCTGCCCGGCAAGACTGCCATGCTGCAGGCCGATGGTATCGAAGGAGGACGTTCTCTGCGGGGGGCCTCGTGCTTCTCGCCGAAGCAGCCCGACGGTCGGACGGATCATCTCCTCCGACCGGCGCTGGGGTGTGCCGTCCTGCAGATCCGGGCGACTCGGCAGCGTCACGCTGCCCGCCCGGGATCCGTGCGTTGGAGCGGGAGCCGATCGCTTCTTTGTCGGCGTTGGGCGGGCGTTCTGGTTCTTCAAATCTTTCAACCGCTCCGGCAGTTGCTCGAAAAGGGGCTAGAAGACACGACACACTGTTAGCCCGCCATCATCTCCTAGTCGACAAGTCAGAAGAACTGCGAGGGGGGAACCGAATTTACGTTGAGTGCGCTCGTGATACGGTCGGCAGCCAGACTGCGCTGGGCAAGACTCGCGATGGCGTCCCTCCCTGCCTGGGCGTCCGCCAGGATCTCGGCGGACCCTGGCTTGTCCGGATTCTCCAGAACGAAGAACACGAGGGACAGGATCGCAAAGAACTTGGTGTAGAGGATGAACCAGTACGGCCCGATCAGCGCCGCCTGCTTCCGGATCTCGATCCCGATGTGCACGATGTTCCGGGAGACGGTGATTCCGGCTGCCGCGCAGTTGTAATAGCGGTCTTCTACCTTCTTGCCGGCGGCGAAGCGCGGCGAGATGTAGTGAAGGAACGGCCTGTAGAGCATCATCTGGACATGGGCGTAACTGAACCGCAGGAGTGTCCGAACCCTGCCGGCGGGCGGTCTTTTGTCAGCGATCTCATGAAGCAGGGGAGGATCGAATAACAACACACACCGGATGACCTCGATCGGACCGTCGTGGCTCGGCCGCCAGTACTCCGGGAGCTGCGATTGCCATTCCTGGAGTTCCGCCTCAATGGCCTGGATCCGGGAGTAGTTGATCATGAACGTCGTACCGGCCCGTCCCGGCTTGACGCCGTCGTCCATCGCCTTCATCGGATATATGTCCCTGACCACCTTGGCGAGTATCCGCATGAGCCGGTTGTGCGCATTGAACGCCTGGAAGAAGGACGGCGTGCCGGGCGGCGGCATACGGATCGTCTCCCTGGTGATGTACTCGTCGTCGACCTCGGTCGGCAAGGGCTGGTCGACGTCCTCGTCATGCAGCAGCAGAGGGAAACCCAGGATGGCGGACACGTAAAAGTCCATCTGCCGCACGACGTGGAATACCCGCCGCCTCGTCTCGTCCTCGATCGGCGTGATTTTCTCGTGCGTCAGATGGCGATGCAGGCCCATGCGCAGACAGGATCGCAGCGCGATGCCCAGGAACGCGTAGCAGTCGCTGATGTTGGACGTTGCCTGCAGAAACAGGATCATGTAGACGAGCCCCTGAAGGGAAGCCATGTCGCGACATTCTGCCACATCTTGCAGGATCAGCCGCGCCGATGTGTAGTACTTGACCCTGGAAATAGGTGGGTCAGCCCGAGAAATAAAAAAAAAGGATAAAACGGAGAAATAGAATTGGTCACCGGCAACCGTTGTCTCACCCTTCATCCACCGCCGACTTGTACGTCCCGGGGCCGTCCGGGGCATTGCCGTCGCTGTCCTGCGAGACGTTATACACGCACCCCAGCGCCAGGACCGAGTACAGCAGACCCAGAAACCGGTGCTCCTCGTGGCCCCACGACTCCTGGGGCGTTGCGTAGAGCTTGTCCACCATCTCGTTGAAGCTGGGCCGGTGCACGATGCGGAGGAGACACGTGGCGCACTCCAGGGAGTAGTAGCACAGCGTGCGGACCCTGTCGAGGGGCGGGAGATCGTAGATGCTGGGCACGGCCGACGACTCCCAGGGCGACGCGGCACTCGGCCGCGGCGAGTCGAGGCTGAAGAGGCCCGGCGGTAGTGCCGGCCGCGGCAAGAAGGGGATGCTGTACTCGTTCCCCAGCAGCGTCTGAAAATACTCCTTCATGCGCCGGAGGAAGACGGCGCCGGACGAGATGCCGTGGAAGTCCCATTCGCCGCTCTCCTTGAGATCCAGCTGGCCGATGGACTCGATCATGGACATGATCTGCGGGTCCTCGCCGCTGCCGTCCTCGCCCGGCTGCTCCTTGACCGCCCCCATCTTCAGCTCCATGGCCCGGGCCCGGGCCCGCTCCCTGTTGCGGAACTCCTGCTGCACCGCCGGGTCCAGGTTCGGGTCGGTAAGGTCCACGTCCGGCATGAACTTGCGCAGCAGCGTCTCGGCCCGCCGCAGCCTCGCTTCCAGCGCCTCGATGTACTGCGGAGCCGGGTTCCTGCGCCGGTTGGACGGCTTATCGTAGGTGCATTCTGCGGAACCGGTCAGCACAGGCGAGCCAAGGGGGGAAATGGGAATTAGGGAATGGGGGAGCCCTCAAGGGCTGGCGCTGCTACTACTATGCACAATACAATACAATACAATACAATACAATACATACCATAGCTGTAGACCGAGCAGTGCGTGCACGGCTGCTTGCCATCGCACTTGATCTTCTTCCGGCGGCACTCGTCACAGGCCCTCGTCACCCTGCGGCGTTTCTGCAGCGGCATGCTCGGCACCTCGTTGCTACCGCCGTCCTGCGCCCCCGATGCATCCTCGGACTCGGGTTTGACGGAGCCTTGCGCCGGCGACTTGGCGCTCTCGGAGGGGGACGCAAATTCGTCCGGGGAGGAGCCGGCAGACTCATCGTCGGAGATATCGGGCGTATTGGCGGAACGGGAACTCTTGGACCCCATCATCGCCATCCTCCTCGCGGTGCTGCTGGGCCCGCCGGAACGCGGCGTCCGCGAAGCAGGCCGAGCTGGGCGTGCGGCGGTGCCCTCGTTGGCCGGTTCTGGCGGCATTGCTGTTGTGTCCTCGGTGTGGTGGTGAACGCGGCGGGATAGTTCACCGAGGTGCCTGATGGGTTCCCTCCGTGTGGATCTCTTGGTGCCCGTCTCCGTCTCTTGATGAGATGTCAGGACGCGGTGCGCATGTCTGATATCCAGGGGGGCGGTCCGCTGATGGCCAGTGTTCGCACGCCGCAGCCAGAATGCTAGTGGTCGGAAGCGCGCTTGACAGCAGAAAGAGGTTGGGGGAGAGCTGGCACATCGGTCGGAGAAGTCCGATGAAGCTTCAAAAAGCCGTGTGGGTTATTCACGCCAGACCTCAGCCTCCCAAACACGGGGAGGGGGTGGCTCTACGGAGCAAGGACCTTTCTCGTTTGAGCCGACACCCTGTCCTAAGGGACCCCGAGTGCCAGTGAGTGAGTGTCTCTCCCCGGGGCCGGGTCCGCTGGGGGCGCTGGGATCGCAGAACAAGTGGGTATGCAGGCGCGACAGGGGTAAAGGAGGAGGGGGGTTTTCGCTGCGCGAAGGAAGAGTCTTGTTGTACGTAGTCGTGTACCTATCGCAAACGCGCAGCGTATTACCTTGCATCGAGCAGGAAGCAAGACAGAAAGAAGTAGTCGGGGCGTCAGGGGCCGGTAGGCGCCCCGCTGTTTTCCCGAAGGCCCTTTCCCGGGACGGTTCGCAAGAGCGAGGGAGGGGTTGCCGGTGCCGTCTCCGAGCAGCGATCGAGCGAGACGAGGACGCTATAGGTTAGGAGACGGGCGTCGACGATGCTGATCTGACCCCTGAGGAGAGTAACTATAAAATCATAAATAGAAGGAAAAGTAAGTCCCGTGACAATCGACGATCTACGCGGGCTCAAAGGCTACCAGTTCCCGGTCAAATACGAGCAGGAGCACCGATAGAGAGAGAAGAAAGCGTCAAGCCCACCTCAGCTCCAGTCACATTCGAGGATCCCAGCATCAACAGTTGTGTGGTTGGATGGAAGGGAGTTGGGAAAGGTGTGTGGAGCAGCTACTGTATGTATTGTACAGCTTGTACATACATACATATAGTGTGTATACGCAGTAGGAAAGTATCCATGCTGCCCACTAGTGAGCCTTGCGCTGGCGTTCGCTGCGAATCCCTACATTGACTCCGAGTCGTGCGTGCCCCGAGCTCCGCGCCTGGGTGCGCCAACTGTAAGTTGAGGGAGCTTAGTCGCCGGCTGCCTGCGCGTTTGTTGCGAGCCCAAAGACCGCAGATGCTGGACGATTGCTTTCGGCTGCGCTGGGGTTCCGTTCCCAGCTCCGAGCCGTTCGGCTGCCTCCCAATGCTCATATGCCTGTACATATGGCTCCTTGGGTTGTCTGGCGCAAATCGAGGCCCAAGCCATGTCGGATGATGAACGCTACAAAATAGTTAGAAAACCACCGAACGGGGCGGCGGCTGGAGCGTGGCATTAAGTCGAACAGCATTCGTACCGCGGATTCGACGGGTATTATCGAGCTCCGCTCCACATTCTTCCGCTCTCCCAGACCAGGTATCCTTGGCTCTGTTGCCCTTCCATGCGTGTTCTGCTGCGTGTTCTGCGGCAGGAGGACCCTGTGAGCGCACACCGGCGAGTTCTCTTCAGGGACCCGAGAGCGAATCCGGCGGTAACCTTTGTCCACTCAGTGCTGAGCCTCTGACTCCCCGGGGCGTCTCCAGTGTCGTTGCTCCAGCCAATATCGTATGTATTCATGGTTACATGGTTATCCAACGAGTCCGGCTTTATTCCCGGGCCGGGATGGGCAAGCGAGAAGCGGGAGTGGTCCGCTCATTGCTAATGGGAGGGGCACAGAATTCTGATGGTTTGATGAACTGCGGCCTCCGAGAACGAACCGGGGTGTGACCTGAAGGGTTGGGGACACTGTGGGGCACACCGTGCTAGAAGAAGACGCGGATGGAACCACAGATCCATGGATGTTCCGTACTTTGCGAGGCGCACCTTGACCCTGGACTAACCGGCAACGTATTCTCTTAAAAATGATCGTAAATAGGAGCCCTAGTAGGTGTAGTGGCAGCTAAGAACATTCGTCCGTAGAGTGGTTGGATTATTTGGCGCGACACTGGGATGCATATTTTGAGTGACAGCCCCCGGCGGTCCTGCAATCCGTTGACAAACCGCATCCCAAATGTGCTGGAGGTGGGAAACGCACATTGGAGATCTGAGAAGTGTGGAGAAAAGCCATACCCTGCACAAGACGGCGCTAATGGCTTGGCTGACGTTGACCAAGAGGTCTTGGCACGCGCGAACCCCAGCCAAGCATTGCCAGGGACCAAAATCAGCCCATGATTACATCAGGCAGTGTGTAAACACACGGTGCATTCCGAGCCCGGAAGCAGACTTTTTTTTTTGTTTCTCCACGGGCGTCGACCGCCTTGCCGGTGGTATTTTGGAGCTCGGCGGCTGGGCGGCCATATATAGTGTTTTTACATAGTGGACGGAGCTATCGTGGCTATGTATGTCTGTATGGCGGGCTCGGTGGTCGGGGTTGTGTCCAATGTCGGTGGGTGGGTAGGTTGGTGGACAATGGACAGCGACCCTGGGCTTCAAGGTTGATAGCCTCGGAAATCCGATTCGCGGTCGGTTACTTCTCCCATTCCCAGTACATACCTCCCTAGTGTAAACTCTCCTTGAACGCCTTACCTTTTGGCTTCCTCTTTAGGGATTCCGGAGGGGCAGCCGGGGCTTTTCACTTTCGGCGACTGGGATACACTTCCACACCTATACCTACTGTGTTGTATGTACACAGTGCGGAATACGTGCACACGAGAGCAAACCCCGAGACTGATCCGACGCTGCAGATCATCTCTCCGTGCGCCTTCGGCCGGGCTTGGCTGGAGTCTGTCAGCCTTACAGTGCATTCGCACCCTTCAGCCGAGGGAAGAGCCACGCTGGTATCCCGTTCAGATGAGATCCGTTGACTACCTGAATAATAAATATAGATCGTGACGCCGTTGTCAGGGGAGGCAACCAGATACAGGTACCCTTAGATACCAAAACACGGTAAATATCACATACTGTGTAGATCTGGTTTTAATCCCTCCTTATCTGAGCGTGCCGCATCTTGATCGGCCCAGTGCCTCACATCGTTGCTGATAGGCATAGGAACTGCCTTATTTGGGAAATTCTTGAGTTAACGTAGCGTTAACGTTAACTCCCAATTGCACGACATGAATGGACATGAATGGAGGACCGAATTCTCACGTCGAGCGGGAGGTGAAGAAGCCAGGCGGAGTCCCACAATTTACCCCACCTCAGGCTTGGCTGCCTGCTTCCACACCTCCCCTCCTCGACCTTTCAGCCTTACCATCCACAAGTAGCTTCTCCAGCTTGCAAGCCTCGCCAACCTAGACGTCAAGCCCCCAGCCTCGTCTTGAATTAGCAAAATGGCAGACTCTCTGCTGCAATTCTTCACTCTTATGGATGACCAGGGTGGAGTCATTGTCAAAGGCAAGTCTCTTCTTGGTTGGCATGTCTTCCGTGGCATCCAACCTCGCGCCTGGCCGACATGGATTAACTCCGAGCCACAACGAGCAGAGCCGCCAAGATTCGACCTCGATCTTTATATTTCAAATTACAGAGGTAAGCAAACCGGATCTTGGCGAGCTTCGTCCTTCTGTTTGACTTCCAGGTCTAACCGTGATCCCAGGTCGTACCCGGTTCGACCGCCTCTTCCTCATCGGCCACAGCTCGGTGCCGTTATGTGTCGATGCCCTGAAAGCAGCCATCGCCGAAGCTAAGCGTGGTAGAGATACCCACAGATACAGGGAAGCAGTAGAGTGTCTGCGCATCGCGGCGCCGTCGGAGCCAGAGGCCACCTTTGACCAAAGATGGCTGCAAACACAGGAGGCCAACAACCAGATCGAGACGAATCGCTTGTTGACAGAGCTAAAGGGATATAAGAATAACCTGATAAAGGAGAGCATCCGGGTGAGTTTTGAAACTCTGCGGGTATACAACGCATCGCTAACCTGGGGTTCCCTCTTACAGATGGGCAATGAAGACCTCGGCAAGCACCTCGAGAGCATCGGTGACCTTAACGGTGCTGCTGAGGCGTACACCAAGATGAGGCCTGATGTTAGTACTCCCAAGCAGTTTTTGGACGTAGGGAAGCACCTGGTCCGTGTTTCAATACAAAGGCGCGAATGGGGCATGGTGAGTGCCCACGTCAGTAAGCTGGGTGGGACTCAACACGCGGAGGAAGAGAGGGCGGTCCAACCGTACCTCAAGGTTGCCCAAGGCATTGCGTTGCTGGGACAAGAGAAGTACAAGGACGCAGCGCTCAGTTTTCTTGCTGTCGATTCCAGCGTGTCCGGATCCAGCTACAACGAGCTCGCTAGCCCAAGCGACGTAGCCGTTTACGGTGGTCTCCTTGCCCTGGCGTCGATGGACCGCAAGGAGCTGCAGACCAGTGTGCTGGATAACTCGCAGTTCCGGACACTCCTTGAACATGTGCCACATATCAGGCGCGCCGTGGCACAGTTTGTCAGCGGCAGATATTCCGCGTGCATTGCCATTCTCGAGTCATACCGACCCGATTACCTTCTCGATATCTACCTCCAAAAGCACACTGCGAATATTTACTCCAAGATCAGGAGCAAATGCATCATCCAGTACCTCATTCCTTTCTCCTGCGTCAGCTTGGACACAATGGCCAAGGCCTTTGGTCGCCCTGACCAGGCCATCGAGGATGAGCTAGCCGAAATGATCCAGTCGGGCGCATTGCAAGCCCGGATTAACACCATTGACAAGGTAAATAAATCCTATGCACCACTCGAAGCTCCTCGATCTCCCGTGCCTTACTAACGCCCTGATTAGCTCGTCACGACCATAACCGTCAATCCGAGAGCACAAATGCAACAAGCAGCACTTCAGGCGGCAGAGAACTACGAGCGGCAAGCCCTTGATCGCCTCCGCTGGATGGGCCTGGTAGCTGCCGATCTCGAACTCAAGGGCGGGCGGAAGATGGGCGTCCAGGGCTTCCCAGGCCAGGGCGACTTCGCAATGGAGGAAACTCTAGGCTGAGTGGGCCGGCGATCAGCAAGGGTTGATCACGAATATGGCTTGGGGTCGATCTGTTCTCTTTATCCATGCATGGCACAGGAAGGCGAAGGGCGCATGGAAGCACCGAGGCAGATGCAGGCAGTTGCACGGGGTCATTGTTGAAAAGGATGATGATGGTGCAAATCACTGGATGCTGGGTTCCTGGTCGAGCACCTAGAGCCCATTCGCTATTATGATAGGACAGCATGATGAACGATTATGAAACAATAGCGGCGATACAGCCAGACTCAGATGAAAGATATCCTCAAGTTCTCGACCCAGACGGACACCTGGTTGGCTGTATATGATTATCATTTGGGGTATCAGATGGTATGTTTTGTCAAGTCCTGCCTTATGCCCGCCATCCTGCCCGTGAACTCAGCCCATCAATTGGCGAACATCCTCGGGCGGCCAGCGGACTTGGGCGAAGGTCAAGCACCGCTTGATGCTCTGTAGATACTTGCGGGTGACCTCGCTGCCCATGATGTGACCCCTCTCGCCGTCATGGAGCTTCTCGCGGGCGCTACGCTCGTGGATACCCACCATGGTGACACCGATTGGCCATGCCGCCTTACCGATACTCAGCCGCAGGTACCCGTCGTTGGCGTCGACGTAGCGCCGCTCCTGCGCCGCCTTAACGATCTCCACAATAGCTTCGAGGACGCTCTCGTCCAAGTCGCCCTGCTCGAACTTACGAAACAAAGGCTTCATCGTCTCCTTGCTCGACACCATTGCGTTGCGCGCCGCTTGGCCGGCGAACGTGTCCGCGTTGTCCTCCCGCACCAGCGCCGCATCCCATTCGCGAAGCACCATGTTGAAGTATGACGCCAGCTGCCGGAAGAGGAACCGCCGGGCTTTCTTGTCTGATGCGGGCGGCACCTTGTCGGGTACTTTCATGTCCTTCTCCTCGACCGGCGCGAGGGTCGTCGCAATCGGTCCTGTCGCAGCGACTGAGCCGCCTCTTGCCGTCTTCCAGTATCGCTTCACCCTGGCAGCATGATCCTCACCAAACAGTACGGCGGGTTCGCCCAGGTCCCTCAATTTCTTGACGAGCTCCTCCTCCACAATATCCGTCTCCTTCCCTTCGCCATCCAGTTCATCATCCTCCTCTTCCTCAACCTTGGCCGCGCTTTCCGAACCCTCCCTACTGGGCGGCAGCTCGGGAAGGCCCAGTCGCTTCCTACGCGCCCTCTCCTCCTCGGCCTCCTTCGCCTCCCTCCGCCGTCGGCTCTCCTCGGCCAGCCTGGCCCTCTTCTCCTCGCGCTCGCGCTTCTCTTGTTCGGCCTCCTCCTCGCGCTTGCGCTTGGCGGCGGCTTTTGCCGCGCGCTCTTCCTCGAGGCGCTTCTGTTCAGCCAGATAGGCGGCCTTGCGCGCCTCCTCGGCTTCCCGCCGGGATATGTATTTTGGGGCTGAGGAGGATGAGGACGGCGCCGGAGGTTTGGCCTTGTCGAGTTCCTTGGCTAGGAGCGCGGCAAAGTCCATTTTGAAAGTCGCGAAAGGCGTCGGCAACGCTGTATATGCTAGGGCACTGAAATCGGGGAGGTAACGGTTACTGTTAGTTGGATGCTCAGAGTCGATGAGACGGGCGCTGCAAGAGACTGTGGTGGATCGGGGTTGGGTTGTGGATGCGTCTCGAAGCCGGACCGAGAGTTCGCTAATACGTAAATACGGCGTGGGAAGGGGACCCACCGGAATTGCCCGCGGCAGGGAAGACTGCAGATAGTGACACAAGCACATACAGTACGGATACCATTCAAGTTCTCTTATTGTAGCCGATACAGTACCTTGAACGTTGCCTTCAAAACTGAGGTGCCTAACCCTTACTTGTTCGTCTTCACTGTTTATACTAGGAGTTTCCCGCTATAGTCCGGCATACTAGGCCTAGAATCAATCTTTAGTGTACCACAGCTTGATACTCTTGTTTTGATCAATTCTTCATTCGGCTGTCACCATGAGCACACCTGAGCTGAAGCGGGACGAGACGCCGCCGTTTCTAGTGAAGCTCTTTTACCGAACCGGTGCATTTCACAGGTAGATTGAGTTCCCCTCACCTTCCTTCATCAGCGCCAGTTGAATCCCGAGTGCTCACTCTGTCAGACCAGATGAATTCAACACACCATCCCTCCCACCACACCTTACCATCCACACCTGGAAGGACTGCACGCTGACCGAGCTCTCGCACCACATGGTCGGCGCCTCGCCACCCATCCTTCCAGACCCAGCAATCGGCACGCGCCTCGCCTTCCGTCTCATCTACGCGGACACGCGCGCTAGGCTCGACGTGCCCCCGCGGTACGTGGCTAAGGACCTAGGCAGTCTGGTACTGGGCGGAGGAGGGCCAGGGGCCGGGCCCGACGAAGGTTTCGCAGGGGACGAGCCAGATGACGGTGCCAAGACGCTGGCCGACGCCAGGTTTATTACGGGAGACTACATCAGCTGCGCGATCCTGCCACCAAACGAGCTTACAGGCGACGTCGCGCCTGCGAGTAGCGCGAGAATGGGCCGCGGCGCGGGCGTCGGGGAAGCGAGAGGTCTTACGGGTGCGCCGCCGCCGCCTCCAGCATCAAGAGAAAGGGACTATGGACCGCCAGGTGGTCTCCGTGGGCGGGGCATTAGAGGCGGCGGTACGAGAGGGTATGGTGGTCGCAGGTATGGTGACCGTGACGAACCATTTTTGAGGGGAGGTGGAGGGATGCCGCAAGGCGAATGGAGGAGAGGGGATATGCTCTCCGAGGATGAACCCTCGGGACCTGCTCGGTGGGGGAGATAGCTGCCAATCTGGCTCCCATTCCCGCGGGAGACAAGGAATGCATTCGATGTGGGGATTGAACATCGAGGAATAGAAGGATCGGATGAGAGGCTCACCTGCTTACTAGAAGTATGAGGGGATGAGGCATCTCCTCGACCCGATATGCCGGAAAATGCTGAGTCTGAGCTGCAGAGTGACGAGACCAGGCCATCAGGGGGTGATGGGTCTAAAAGATGGTGTCGTAAGAAAGGCAGGCCGATGTTCAGGACCTGCAGCTTGCGGGACTAACAAGGAAGAGGAGGAACTGCAGTCGCCGTATGAGGACATAAGAAACGAAACATCTATATGCACAAGGCTCAGCACTGGTATCAATCCACACGCTTGGCCACGGCTTCGCCATCTCATCATGGTGCTGACAATCGTACTTGGTAACGAAAATGGTATGATCCCTGACCGCGCGTCCCCTTTCCTTTCGTCCTGGGACGCCGCGAGGTCTATGTACAGTCCCTGCCACCCCAGCCGCAGCATCTCCAGTCATGCTCTTAGCGCTCGGAAATGATGTCGCCCCTTCGCTTCGCTCGCAAGTCCCAGAGGCCCTGTCGCAAACCAACGTCAGCACCGCTTCCCACATCCCTGAGTAGCGAAGCCGATTGCCCAGACTCAGATCCCACTAGTCGCCGGACCAGGTCCGAGGAAGAACTCACATCGGTCTTATATCCCAAGTACCCGATGATGCTTGGTACCACAAAGACGTACATAAACGTGATGCCTGCCGTCCGCTTGGTCCACCTGAAGTACTTGTACCGGTTCGTGATCATGTCTGCGCAGAGGTCAGCTACGGTCCATTCCTGACATCGGTTGTTCGGCGGGGTTTCGACGTACTCCCGAGCTTGACCAGGGCCGGGTCCATGGCCACCTCTGTTATTTGCGCCCAAATGTATTAGCTGATCCGGTGTTCCATGGTCAATTGAGGGGTTTCTCTCGGGATGAGCGCACTGTTATGCGGTAGGCCAGCCATCTTAAAATGTGAGCAGTCCCTCTACTTGTAGAACGGGCTGGCTGTTGTTGGGTCGACCGAGGGTGCGCTCGAATTTCGAGGTTGAAGCTTCGCCTGGTGAGCCGCTGAGGTTCGGAAGGTGCCGTCTAATCGGAATCCGTCTAGCGGTTGAGCTTGGCAATCCAATGGATGGCAAGGCGTGTTGAGTCACGTGCTCCAGGTCCAGCGGCAAAACGGTCAATATCTTATTGGTCAATCCCGCTTGGAGAATAACTCCTTCGCTCCGTCCCACCACTGCTTCACATGTTGGGATGTGGTATCCTGATTCCCACGTCGATCATGCATGGGGCCTGAACCAACGTTCAAAGACTCCTCACAGCTTTTGCTTCCCTATAAGTTCCAGCTTCTCGCTTTCATATCGGGTTCTGAAAAGGTGTCTCTCTCATCCGTATTCTGCCCCAGGGTACAGTAGTCTGAGTGGAGGACAACAGTGACGAGTCTCCGTGCCTCGGCTTAATACACTCTACCACGTCTACATGGTATTTTACCTACCTATATCTAGTCTAGCGGGCAATTATTGAACCAAGTTCACCTCCGACAACTTTCATCGTTCTCCAAAATCATTCATCGCCTTATCTCGTTGATTTGAGGTAACTGATTGCTAGTTCCCAGCAATGGCAGTGCAAGCAAAAGTCAAGCTACATTGGTGCGACCCCTAAGCGTACAACCCTCTAATAGGTATGCTGCTCACACTACCTATGTCAGGCTCAACGGGTCTCGAGCTCAAAGCACGCTATGGCTGCTTGAAGAACTCCAGATCCCATACGAGATCCAGATCTATCATCGTCAGCAGAATATGCTAGCACCGCCCGAGCTCCGGAAGATCCATCCGCTCGGCAAGTCGCCTGTCGTTACCATTGAATCGCCTGCATCCGCGGAGCCGGTCGTGCTTGCAGAGAGTGCTTTCATTGTGCAGTACCTATGCGACCATTTCGCCAAGGGCAAAACACTCGTGCCGCAGCGCTGGAAGGACGGCCAAGAGAACGAGGTGGGTGGTGAGACGGAAGAATGGATGCGGTACCAGTACCTTCTATACTACGTTGAGGGTAGTTTCATGGTTACTGTGTTTCTGCACTATATACTAAGCGGTATGCATCTTGCGACGAGGTATGCGGCCTTTATTGCTGTGCGCTAACAAGCTGTTGGTAGGGCTGGGCGGCAACAGAGTACCCTTCTTCATCCGACCCGTCACCGCCTTCATCGCAAACCAGATTATCGGCATCCTCGTCTTCCCCAACATGAAACGACATTTCACAATGATGGAGCAGTTCCTTGCGACGTCGCCCGGGGGTGGAGATTACATGTGTGGCCGCAACCTTACCAGCGCCGACATCATGCTATCTTACCCGCTCATTGCTGGAAAAGAGGGCGGATTCGATGCCATGGGCAAATGGGATAAGGGCTCTTTCCAGGAAACATTCCCAAGGCTTCATGCGTACATCGGGCGGCTCGCCGATCAGCCTGGATGGAACAGATCTGTGGACAAGATCCAGGAGATAGATGGCGACTTCTCCATTCTGCCCGCCCCTGGCAAGCCATCTGCACGCATGTGAAAGCGGGTCGTCGGTTGTTGGCCAGCCTTCACTAGTACTGCGTAATGTAACTACGGATAGCGGTCGCAGAAGAACCCTTTTCTGGCTGTGGCTGACGCTCAAACTGTCAAACTGGCTAACCTGATACCACATGCCAACATGGGGCCCTGATACCTTACCGAGCAGCCGGAAGAAGGCACGGGGTTCAAGGGTATTTTCATGGCGTCGCGTTCTGAGGCGGGGGGCCCGGAAATAAGTGGAGCCATCCCAATTGTCTCGCGCCGCGATGTTGTCTGGAGTTCGATGCCAAGCGGGTCTCGAACAGCTCGGACTGATCTGGCAACATGACGTCAAATACAAAACAATCAGCACGTTCTCGAGCAAATCATTCAAGAATTGATTTGGCGCATGTGCGACGCTGACAGCAGAGAGCCAGCAACTACTACTTAACGTTAGGCATCAGGACAAACTACGGTCCATACATGAGATTGATATGGGGCGATCCGCATCGGGTTGCTGCACCGCCGCGATGGGGCCTTTTTTTCATCGCATATCCCTACCACTGGCTACCAACGAGAGCACAAAGATACGGCCTTGCAGGGTGCCCGAACCTCCGAGCGACCCGATCTGTGGTCCATTAACCATTTTAAGCCTCAGCTTACTGCAGCGCCTTAAATACCACCATGGAACCATCTGGTTTCTACTGTATGGTAACGCTCGGGCTCCTGCCAGATAAACAACCCAAGCAAGAACGACCTGACTCGCGCTTTGGTGGGAAGCGAATGCCAACCAGGCACCCGAACTCTGATATCCCGAACCTGACCGTCATCGGCACCTTGACCTTTGTGTGATGGTATCGCGTGGACCCTGAGTTGCGATATTAAATCGGGTTCCATGCCGCAGGCATCCTCTGCTGCAGGTTTCCCATTATCTTCAGTTATGGGACCTCACGCAATGGAGGGATCGCAAGATCCGCCCCTCGTTGCGGTCATGACTCCGGTGCACGATGCAGCGCTTCCAGCGGAGGAGCGCGAGTCGCCACGACTAGACGGGGCTGAGGATGATGAGCTGGATGTTGATCAAGACGACGCCCAATCGTTCATGCAACCAGCAATCAGCCCGCTGGCCACGCTGCTCACGTCTCCGAGGATGCCGGCCGCTGAGAAGGTCGCCGCCATCAATCGTCAATCCCCGGGAGAACCGTTCGAGACGTCGGAGAGTGATGAGCCAAGTCAGGAGAATGCAGAAATGCTGGTCCCCGGCTACGGGAGCCAAGTGCCCGAGAGTTCGCAGGGCGGTCTGTCTCCCGTAGTACGGCTCCCTACTCCGTGGCAGGCCGGGCCGAAGCAGTTCCTGGTCTCAGAACCGGGCCGGTTCAGGTCCTCCATGGCCGCGGCGTTCCAGACGAGACAACAGCGCTCGCAATCGGTTGGGGAGAGTCTGAAGAGGCTCTCCAAAGCCCTGCCGTCCATCTCAATCCCGTCCGGCTTCCTCCCGAGCATTACGACGCCGACCTTCTTCTCTAGCTCTAGCTCGCCACCCAAGGACGCGCGAAGATCGCATACACATATGCCACCAACTCCGGTAACCTCGGAGACGTCATCCAGCAGTCGTCTCCCGGACGTGGCTCCTCCGCATGCGGCGCCGATCCAGCCTGATTCAGCCAGGCCTCGCACCCTGCGCCATACCGCCTCGGATGATTCTCTTCTTTACCAGGCGCTGTCTCGGGTGTCTTCGCTGGGAGACGACGAGCGGTTTACCCATGTCCGAGCGCAGGTGAATGTGCGATTCAAGGCCATCAAGGACAGCTTCGATGGTCCGTCGTTTAAGTTGCCCCAGATGCCCAGTAGGTTGTCCGATGCATGCGCCCCCCCCCCCCCCCCCCCCCGGGCCAGTGGACTAACCACGTTAGATCTGCTTAACGCGTCCCTGAAGAAGTCGCCGACAGATCCGCCGTCAGGTGTCCCGCGGTCATACCCTGTGCAGAACAGCCCACAAGTGAATCAGGATCCGCTAGACGCGGTCCTGGAATCATTAACTGGAGATATTGTGATTATGGGCGGGTACAGGGGCTCTATTCTGCGATCGGCCAAGCCTCCCCACAGGCGGCTGTGGGTACCCGTCAAGGTGCAGCTGGGAGTGCGAAAGGTCAACCTGGAGGTTGGACTGGACCCAGAGGACGAGGAAAACATGGAGAAGAGCATTATTGCGGACGGTATGCTTCAGAATATTGGCCCAGTCGATATCTCGAAGAGGCTCTTCAAGAAACTGAGGGACTGCGAAAACGCCCGAACCGGCAAGCTCAGAGTCCACGACTACGGCTACGACTGGAGGCTCAGTCCCCACCGCCTGTCCCGGAGATTGATCGGTTTCCTCGAGAAGCTACCGTCGAATCAGCCAGGTGTTGCCAAAGAGAAACGGGGTGCTTTGGTCATCGCACACAGCCTCGGCGGTCTTATCACGCGGCACGCCGTGAACCAGCGACCCGAGCTCTTCTCAGGCGTCTTGTATGTCGGCGTTCCACAGCGTTGTGTCAACATCCTGGGGCCGCTCCGAAACGGCGACGCAGTACTCTTCAACGAGAAGGTCCTCACCGCGCAGGTCAACTTCTCGCTGCGAACCACCTTCGTGTTTCTCCCCGAAGACGGCTTCTGCTTCGTCGACAAGGTGACCAAAGAAGAGTACCGGATCGACTTCTACAACGTAGATGACTGGATCAAGTACCGCATCTGCCCGTGCGTCTCGGAACCAGCCCTTCCGCCCCTCTCGCGAAGCAGCACTTTCGGCTCCCTCCTCAGCCTCTCCGACTCCCTACCCAGCCTCCCGCTCCGCAACCGAAGCAACACCGGAAGCAAGCGACACCTCGCCTCAGCCTCAGCCGAAGGCGGCCACTACTACCACCAGACCATGAATAGAGACCGGACCCTCGCCCCGCAGATGGGCACTTCCTCGTCTTACTCTCCCTCCTCGCCCACAACAACAAGAACAACCGGGACGACCTCATCGGAACAAACCCCGGGAGGAGGAACCTCGCAGAACAGCAACGCCGCGCGCGCCCGCAACATAGCTTACCTAAGCCGCACACTAGCCGAGACGAAACGCTTCCGCGCCGAGTTGGCACACAACCCTTCCCACCAGGAGGCCAACGCCTACCCGCCGCTGGCCGTGATTTACGCCAAGGACATCCCGACGACCTGCGGCGCGGCTGTCTCTTCGCGTGAGGCGATCGCGTGCGCCGACGCATACGACGACCTGCTGTTCGCGTCGGGCGACGGAGTGGTGCTCGCACGCGAGGCCATGCTTCCGCGGGGGTATGAGCTCGTCCGGGGAGGGCGGGTATGCACGGATCGGGGACATATTACCATGCTCGGGGACTTGGTGGCGGTGGGGAAAGGGTTGGAGGCGCTTGTCAGGGGCAGGAGGAAGGGGATTGGCCTGGGGAAGGGGGAGAGCGGGTAAGGAGGAGGATTGGGGTTTATCGATCACTTTTGCCCCTTTACCTTTCTTTCCTCTTTTCTTTTTTCTTTTTTTATTTTTTTTTTATTCTTTCCTTCTATATGGGGAGCGAAGGCTTGGGTTTGTCAGGCTCTCCGTTGTTAGCGGACGACGAAACTATAGGACGGAATGTATTGGATGGGCCTTCGGTTGGCGACAATGGATTTGACTTGGGAGAGAGCGAGCGCAGCGAGTATATCGTAGGTGGAGGCTATTTTGTGGTTGGCGTTGAGGGTATGGCATATCGGGTTACCGGGCGCTTTGATACCCGTCATATCTTGGGGAGGGTCTTGTAGAAGAAGCCTCGCTTGAATTAGACTCTAGACTCCTTTTCTTCAAGCCGGGCGACCGTGCATTCATTCACACCTATTGCGAACATTGTGTCCAGTTTACCGTGACAGGAAAGGAGATATCCGGGGTCGTCGGGTGCAACAACTGTAAGCGCTACGCTGACAGTCACGCACACTCAGCACAATCCGCACCACCAATTATATCGCTCCCGGTGCAACGCTACGGGCGCGTAGAAGCGCCTCTTGGCTGCGGGCTGCTCAGCCAATCTGCAGGTCCTATTCCTAGATTTCGGTACGGCAATGAGCGCGATCTGGCAGATGATGGAGGGACAGCAGTTACATTACATGTATGTTAGCGCGAGATCTCGTGCAGCGGCGCATCTCTCTCTCTCTTAAGCTTCTTTCCGCACCCACCCCCGGTACCCGGGCCATACGGAAAGCGTGGGGTTAAGCGCCCGCTCTCATTCTTTTTCGGCAATCCCTTTCATCATCTGCATCTGCATGCAGCCGTTAGGCTCTGGGACAGTTAATAATAATTGAGGACCGAGGGGGCTGATGGAAAAGAGAGTATTAGTATCGTGGGACATGCCCCCCGTTAGGTGCCTGCGTTCTGTTCTGTTCTGCTCTGCTTCCGACACTGGCACTGTCGTTCTGTTCCTTGCTGCCTTCTTCTGCTGGTTTCGTGTTGCACTGCGCTTCTCCTCTTGAGTCGTCTTCATACCCATTCTCTCTCTTTTTTTTTTTTCCTCTTGTTGCCCGATATTGGGTTCCCGTTCCCTTGAGCAGTGCTCCTGGCCAACACTCGACCACACCAAGCCAAAGCAATAGTTATTATATATAAAAAAAGATGGAAAAGAGCAGCAGTCGCTCCCAGGGGTCGGCATCCTCGTTCGAGGCCGACTCGACCGATCTCCACCTGCGATCCAAGATGCGCACCGTTCGCATGCTCGACACGGCCCGCGTGGGCACGACGGCGCTGGCGCTCCTGATGGGCCTGACCGTGCTGGGCATCTCGGCCAACACGCTCCGTGTGTACCGGGAGACACATGTCTCGTCGGACTTCCTGCTGCCGCTCTGGCCGGACGAGTTCAACGCCCGCCCGACCGTGTCGCTCGTCATTGGCAGCTCCATCGTGCTCGTCTCCAACATCGTCGCCCTGTGCTTCAGCCAGGTGCGGACTGTAAGTCTTTCTTCCCTCCTCCCTTGTTTTTTTTTTCTAGTTTAGGATCGTACATGTATACAGTACTAGCCCAAGCCGATGCTAAGCTAAAAAAACTACCCTCTCTCCAGCTCCGCGCCCGAGCAACAGCCCACACGTCGGTGACCTTCGTCGCGCCGCTGGTCGGCCTCGCGGGCGCGCTCGTCGCCGTCATCTTCTACTACGCCGTCAACGCGTCCGTGACGACCGACACCTTCCTCTCGTGGACGTGCCGCTGGAAGGATGTCTCCATGTCGCAGCAGCCGCACTGGGGCACGCTCTGCCAACAGAGCCACGCAGGGCTGTACCTGGCCATACTGCTCCTCCCCGTCGAGGTGGTTGCCCTCGCGCTTGCTGCGCGCCAGATGCAGCTCGAGAGGTATACGGACCGGTACCTGGCTGCGAGGAAGACACCTGTGCTTGCTTGAGAGTTAGTTAGTTAGTTTACCTAGTACTGGTTCTGAGACTGTCACTCCCTGAACTTTATAAAGGGGAAGAATGCTACGAAGGCTGGTAGGGTAAATTGTGGTTGTGGAGGGTTCTGTTAGGTTAGGTGACAGACGCATTCCAAGCGCTTGGGTTTGAGGCTTAGATGCCCCTTATGGCTGGCTGGTATCTTTTTGACAGGAGAGGGGGAACTCCTGTATGTATTATTTGTAATGGGCTAGGACGCGGGTGGCGGTAACTTCTATGTGCTCGGGGTAGGAATACATGATTTTGTACGACACGAGGCCGGCTCCATGACTCGGTCATCGACGTGTTCTGACTGAGGATCCGCCTCATCCATGGTGTGGGAGACATACCGGGCATGCAGACATGGTTTACCTGAAACCAACTGAAGAGAAATAAGCAAACCGCATCCCCTTCTGCATTGCTTCACGGCTGCCTGCACCGTGACAAACGGCTCTCGCTTGCTTCTTTGGCTCGAATCCGATGCACATGGAGAGTGGCCAGCCCTGAAGAACAGTGTCTATGCGGATTGCGGAACCACCGGCCGGTATCTCGGCCAACCCCCACGACAAGCGGCTGCTTATCTCGTCGGGGAACCGGCACGACCATTTGATAAAGTGGCCAGAGATTATCCTTCGCATCGCTTAAATCGACGCCGTGAATCTGTCTACCAGTCGCTGTTTGTTTCGAGTGATTCCGCGGTGGCTGCTTCATGTGTCACACATCGAATACGGCTCCAAATGACCGTGACGTTGCCTGCCATATCCCGACGGTGTGCCTCGTCGTTGTGATACCTAGCTCATCAGATCCGTTTGACCGATATCCGGTGCAGCGCGCAGGATGCGGGTGCGGATGACGCCTGCCACAACCCGTGTGGAACCATCGTGGAGGAAACCAGACAGACCTACCCCTTATCAAAGACAACCTGAACTGATTACGTGCCGGAGAGTATCCCAACGCTTCTTCAAGTTCCTAAAAGCCAGCAATTGTAGGCCAGATCCTGTTTGGTCTTCACAATGTTTGAAGGCATTCTCCCCATGGTTCTAGATCTCTACTTCCACCAACCTTGCGGTAGCAGCCAACGACCGAGCCACGATGGATCGAACGGCGGAATTTGGACCAAATAAGATTGTTCAGGAACCCCAGGCTGAACTGAGCTTCTTGGGGCGAAAGGGCCGTAAGGGTTCTCCTCAGCCAACTCCAAATCTCGTCGAAGGAAACCACCTCATGCGCAATATCGACCGGGCTCCGCCGGGCGACATCGTTCGCAGGGCAAGCAAGACACGGTCACGAGCGGACCTGCCCAGGCAAAAGAGCATGCGGAACTTCTTCGAGGACGCTTTCTCAACACACCCAAGCACTCCGGCCCGAGAGAGGGTCCACGGCGATGCCATCGTCATGGCAGAGGTCAAGACGAATGTTATCGTACGATTTTCGAAACCTACCCGGTTTTTACCTCGCTCATCAAACCTACTGCTCAGGCTTTGCCACTGACCTGCTTTACCTGATCCAGATCAGCGACGAGTTCACCTTCATCACGGAGCTCTCCTACCAGCTGTCGACGCGGTACCAGCGCCCGGTATCGTCCATCGTCGTCACCCTGCACCATGGCGCCTGCATGATCTTCGGCGGTTCCTTCGAGCCGGCCTACATCCTGTCCGTGTTCGCGCTGCCTTCGCAGCTGCTGCCAACCACCAACAAGCGGAACGCAGCACTGATACAGAAACACATGGAGGAGACGCTCGCGGTGGCTCCGGCGAGGGGATTCTTGCGCTTCGTGCCTACTCAGGAGGAGCACCTCGCGTGCAACGGGAAGACGATGGCGGGCGAGATTGACGAGCTGGAGAAGAGCCTCCAACAACAACACGAAGACAATGACGACGGGGTGAAGCCGCCTCCGGTAACAATGGACGAGGTGGTTGCGGGGGAAACAACGAGGATGAGGGCTAGGAAGATGTTGAGTGTCAAGGTAAACCCTCGGTGCTTCTTTTTCTCCTCTTTATTTAACACACTCCGGAGAACTGACGAAAAGCCAAGCGGTCCCTTGTCGCCCTCCGACATCCCGCAGCCGCCGACATTCCGACTCCAGAACCAACGCCGCCGGGTAGCGCCAACGAAGCCTTGCCTCGCCTTGGTGTATTCCACGGCACGGATCATCAGAAGGTCATCATCAATGGGCGGCAAGAGGTGGATTCGTCGGCTTCCCAACCGAAGAAATCGGCGCGGAGGACGAAGAGTTTCATGGCTGGCATCTTCGGCCGGTCTGGCAGAAAGTCGTCAGACCGTTCGTCCTTGCCGACAATTGCAGATGAGTGATAGGATCAGGGACATTGGGACATTTTGATTGCTGGGGATGGCGATCGTTGGCGGGCTCGGGTCAAAGTACGGAGTAAATAGAGTACTTCGTACGGACAATGATAGGGCGCGATGCCAAGACGAACCCCGAGTTTCCCAGGACCCCACTGCGGCCCTTACGTAATCAGGCGCCCAAGCCAGGGGCTAGCTGTCTCGGTGAATCCCCTCACCTGGACTTCACCATGATTTCTTGTACCACGATTTCCTGCATGTACTGCGAAGTACGTGTACGAGAACTCGGACGCCATTGAACCGGTACTAGTCCATCGTCGTCACCCTATTATTTCAACCTTTGAAAAACGCTGCGCGAGGGAAAGACTCGGCCGGGTCCCGACTATGGTTGACGGCTTCGCGTGCACAGAGAAGGCTGTCGTTGCGGCGGGGATTTAGGTTGTAACCGGCCGCTCCATGACTTGACGAGTCCCTGACCGCAGTGGTCAGCCAGCCATAGCCTTGTTCATACAACAAGCGGCAAAGGCACCTACTAAGATTGTTCGACTCGCAAAAGCAACGGTACTTTTCAATCATTTACTTACCACCATCACAACATTCCTCATTTCCGCCCACGATTCGCACGTCGATCCCGCCACCCGACCTCTCATGATCGTCTGTGACTTCTCACTGGAGGATCGAAAAGTTGAAGTCCCGCTCTCATTCGCCGGGCTTCCAGTGATCCCGATCGAGCTCTAATCACGCCCCTGTCCCTGGGCCTGCTTGGGAAGGGTCTGTTGACACCGGTCTCTCCTTGTCGGGAATCTGGGTTGTCTGGGGGAGGAGACACGACACGCACGTTCCCGGCCGTTGAGAGAGCGTTGCTTTGGGCTCCGAGAGCCCGCGGGGACCTACGGTCGCTCCGTGTTGCACAAAAATGGAGGTAAGCCTTCGCAATTTCGACTTCCCGTCCTGTCGATTTTCTCTTCCTTTGTCTCGCCGTTTCTTTCTTTTGTTTTGCGTTTTCTCTTTTTCCCCGAATCCCTGCAAGCGCAAATCCACAGCGCCGGGACCATGACACATGACCGGGTCGTGGTTTAGAATGTTCATTCCTTAGCTTCGGGCGGCTCCTCCTTCGCCCTGACTGAGCTCCTTCGTTCACCGGTCATTGGGACGCCACTCGGACACTCCGGCTAGTAGGTGTCATCGTCAGGTCGGGCAAGTGTCACACCAGCTCGCCCAGGCAGCGACAATTCGTGGTGCGGCACACGCGCACACGCACATACATACACACACGGATCACAGATCGCAGAGCAGGGCAGAGGCGGCGGGAAGCTCGAATCTTTAGTGGGCGCCCCCTGACTCACCACGACTCTTGCCGTGGCCTTGGCTCGTCCCCGTGGTGCTGAGCCACGGTCTATTCATTCCCTTGCCGCAATTCGCGGCTTGTCCCACAACCGGGTCGGTTCCTGGTTTTTATATATATAGGCAAGGTAGTCAGCACCCTTTGCTACAAGTCTGCCTTCCGCCAACTCGTCTCTCCACCTGGGAGTCTGACTGGTTGGTTGGAGACACGAAAGAAGGGAGACCAAAAATGGAGGGAGAACACGCAAGTGGCCACCGCTGTTGATGCTGGCGGGCTGTCCCGACGGCGGTGACTGGGTGGTCCCATGTCTTGGATAGGCCGTGGTGAGAGAAACTTCAGATCACCCTCGCACAAGCAAGCGCATGCGTCGAACCGCGAGTTTCTCATCTTGCTTTTTGTCTCAAAACTCCACGCAGCCTGCCTTCCGCGTCGGCCGCATCACTCGTCTGACGGCCAATCGCACACAACCACTCCCGAGCAGCAAACGAAGACCGACAGCCCGCGGATCCTCATTCTGCTCACCGTCTCACATTGTTGGCGGTCAAGACGGAGGCTCAGTCGCTGGCAGCTATCATCAGTGTGCGTGGGGTGCCATTACGGAGACCGCTCCGGGGTGCCTCTGCATCTACTCCTTGAAATCGTCGGCCTCGTTTTTCATGATGTCTTTTGCTTCTACTGAGGGCGGCGATGTGCCCGCTGACACGACTGGCGGGCCCTCTCGTCCTCGGCCCATAAGGTTTATCAGTCCAGCAACGCTAAATCTTCATCGTGTCTACGAACAGAATCGGCAACGGTTACAAAAGAAGGATGGCTCCAAGGTGCCTGACCCCACGACGCCTCAGACGAAGGGGAAGCCGAGGCTCTTGTTGATGGGCCAGAGGAGGTACGGACTGTTGCCCCTCGCGGTGTTCGTCGTGCTATCGTTGCTCACAGACCCGGCAGAAGCGGCAAGTCGTCTATATCCAGCGTTGTATTCCATAAGCTGCCTCCGAGCGAAACCCTGTTTCTCGAGTCAACGGCCCGGATCCAGAAGGACAGCTTAAAGTATGTTCAGAAGGCACAATACAAACCGCGATGCTGCTTTGCCTGTTACTGATCTCTCTCTTAGCTCTTTTATGGAATTCCAGGTGTGGGACTTCCCGGGGCAGATCGACATCTTCGACAACCCAAACTTTACGTTCGACATGGATGCCATCTTTGGGGAGATTGGCGCGCTGATATGGGTCATTGACGCGCAAGACGACTACCTCGAGGCTGTCGCGCGGCTCAACTCGACCATCCTGCACCTTTACCGTAGCTACCCGCATATCAACATTGAGGTCTTCATTCACAAGGTCGACGGCCTCAGCGACGACTACCGGCTCGACATCCAGCGCGACGTGACCATCCGCATACAGGACGAGCTCTCAGACCAGGGTGTCGAGAACGCACCCGTCAATTTCCACCTAACCTCCATCTACAACCACAGCATCTTCGAGGCCTTCAGCAAAGTCATACAAAAGCTGATCCCGCGCCTCGGCCAGCTCGAGGCCATGCTCACCAACCTGTGCCGCACCTGCCGCTTTGAGAAGGCCTACCTATTCGATGTGAATACCAAGATCTACATCGCGACCGACAACACGCCCGAGGACATGGCCAGCTACGAGATCTGCTCCGACTACGTCGACGTCATCATAGATTTTACGGAGGTCTATGGCTCCTGGCCGCGGTCGCAGCAGTGGCGCGAGAGGCTCGAGGGCGAGCCCTGGGCGCAGCCGCTCGAGGAGCAAGTCGCCTGCGAGTGGGCCGAGAGCGGCATGGTGCTGGCGGACGCGCGCCGGCCGATCATGCTGAGAGAGGTCGATCGGTTCTTGGCCCTCGTGGCCATCATGAAGGAGGGGTCGTACGACAAGATGCCGCAGATCAACATGAACGTGGACGTGGTCGTCAAGGGCCTGACCGAGTTCTTTGAGATCACCAAGCCGAAGGAGGTGGTCGGTCCGGCCCAGGGACTGGCGAGTCCTTGATTTCGCTCAGGGGGTGAAAAATTGGGTTCGGCCTCTGGATCGACGGGGGTCGTATATATGTTTCCGTCTGGACAGACCAGAGATACTTGTTCGATGAAGGTGTCCTGCGACAGGCTACTATCAACCCCCTGAAAAGGAAGAGCAGAGATATCACCCAAGTTACAGTATCATAGGATAATGAGTGCTTATGGACACCTGCGGGGCGTACGGCATTAGGTACCTTAATTGCTCGAGGGAGACCGCCAGTACCGACCGGTCCTACCTCCACCGTGATTAACTCGCTGAACACACAAGCAGCTCCCCAGGTTTTAACCCCATAACTTCTGTCTGCACGAATTACAAAACTGATCAGCCTCCAACTGCGTCGAGGCGACATTTCCATGGCTGCTTGGTTGCTTTGTTTCTTCCCCAAATGGAGAGCTAACCGCAGCAGAGAACTCCACGCAACTCTTCTGCTTCTTTGACAAAGTGCCAAGCTCACCGGGCCGGAGGCTAAATAGCCCGGATGTCCCATCTACGTACGGGTTCGAGTAGGTGGTAGCACGCAAATGCCCGGGGCCTTGGATACCGTAATTTTTCTTCTCTTTTTCCCCTGGGACGTTTGTCTTGTGTGACATTCCTATTATTGCGTGTTTGCCGGACCGCTCTGGCGGTAACCGTGGGCCAAACACCAACCAACCAACCAACCGGTTGGACCATGAGTACCTATCTACCTACTCAGCTGACGAGTATGCCACGGCATGCACATGCATGCTGTGTAAGGCACAGCCTCCTTTCCTTCTTCCCTTCCCCAGGCAATTTTTTCTTTTCTCTCGGCGCCGTGACAGGCATGGGGGAGATTGGGGTTGCCGTTTGTTGTATTTATTTGGTGAGCTTACTGTGGCTCTCCCATATTTCCCTACCGTCGCCCTCTCGGGGAAAACAGCAGGTCTCAAATTAAGTAGATGGTGTTTATGTTTATGTTGCCAGCTATCGGTCGACAGGCACGGCTCAGCAGGTCAGGGAGGTCGAATCGACAAGACTTGCTGCATACGCTGACATCAGTGGCTAATATTAACCAGCCTGTCGGTAACGGAGGGAGGCGCTGTGGTTTGAGATCTCAGAGGACGCCGAGAAAGACCTGGATTGTTCGCATCCATGGGTATGCAAGGGATGAGCCCAAGGTTGCGGATGATACCTTAGTACCCCTATGTAAAAAGTACGTGAACACTTTTCAGGGCCGGATCGAATCTGCCTTGCCCTTTCCATGGCAATGCTCACTCACACTTCCTAAACATGGATTAGACCACAGCTTCGGCGTCGTCACCGAGAGTTCTTTCCCGACTCGCGCGCAGTATCCGAGCCAATGTCTCACTCCCCGCCAAACTCACACGATCCGCAACAACCCCCAGGGCCCGACAGTAGCTAGGTCGCCGTGAACTTCGTCCTCTTTTCATCAACAAAATGCGAACCTGATCCAGTCGTATCACGCTTTGGGCATTACCTACTGTCCCTTAGTATTATGAATCAGCGATATGGAGGTCTACTACTAGTACTAGGACTGTCTCAGACCGTCCACGTAAGTATACCCTAACCCCTAAACGATTTCGAAGCTGCTATCACGTTCGGTCGTTCCGTGGGATCGGAAGATGCCGACGTCGGGTCATGCTCGGCATTCTCACACGGCAACCACAGTTCCTTCGCATCTTAAGGAACCGAGAACGTTTGCCGGAATGGAATAGTTAACACGATAATCAAATACCGTGGTAGGGACCTAGCTGGGGAACTTTCACAGTAGGGCAGCCATACCTGAGTTTAGGTAGGACCAACATCTCATGTCCGTGCCATTTCCAGCCAAGATGTCTTGTCATTGTTATTTTGCGGATCGCCAAGGCAAGGCAGCGACTTAGACGTGGCGTTACGGAGTACTCCGGAAAGAGGTCAAGACGAGAACAGGCCCTCCTTCTTCATTAGGCACCGAGAACCGAAACGATCTGTGTTTACACTCGGCCCTACTACGGGACCGGGCGGAAGTAGTTAAAGTATCCGTACCACCATATGTATGCATTGTTGAGAATCACGGCCTTGTTACCCCTGAATAGGTACAAACAGTTTGAAGCAGGCGCATCATTGCATCCTCCTCTACTAATCTCTCTGCCTTCGGCTCCGATCCGTCATAGCACTACAACACAAGAGTGTCGGAACTTTTCATCGCGCGAAAGAAATACCGAATGGAGGAAACGTTGCATCACTGTCGATCGGTTCTCGCAAGATTACCTACACCACGGTAACTAATCAGCGGGGTATCATTGCAACGCTGCCGTAACAGCTCTTCTACATACCTACCTAGATACCGTGATGCTGATGTAGATTGTATGTACGGTACAGCGTAGTCACAATCTCACCTGTATCTCGAGCCTCGAGAAGGGTTTTTTTTTTGTTTTTGCTTGTATTAGGTACTATATGCTTCAACCAAATTAAGCCAAACTAGCCATCCTTGAACAACCGATGAGATTGCGTGTGCATGTACTGTAATGTTTCCAGCCGCCATCCAGGGCGGAGACTTCCAGCATCGCATGCCAGTCGGTCGTGACGGCACGGTCTTTTGTTCGGAGGGATCGGAGCACTGCTCTTCGAAAAACCGCCCCGGGAGCAAGCCTTTGCCGCAGTCCCGACTGGCTTGGCCTCCCTCGAACCCGAATCTGACCATAGACTTGCTCAAGGCAGGTATATGGTGAAGCGATAATGGGATCGAGGTTGGCATGCGGTGAGATGATCCGCATTTGGCCCACCCTAAACCAAGCCAGAACTTCCAAACCCTTCAACCTTTCCTAACACCATCGACGCCGCATCAGCCCAAGTACCCCGAAAACCTTGACCTGACCTGCGAAGCAAGGGGGCACAAAGCTCCCAAACACAGGGCCACAATCCAATCCTGGCTAGCAGGCAAAGGTTGAGCCGTTATGTATCGGAGTTGTGACCTGTCGCAGCAGTAATCCCGTTCCGCGTCTCGAGTGATCGACGTTCGACTGCCAGGGGTAGTTTGAAGTTGCAGAAAGTCCCGAGCCGACGAGAAGAGTGATGCCCAGCAGGCAACCAGTTGCCCGCGATACCCAGTGGCTGTCTTTTCCATCTCTTAACGCTCAATCTCGCTCCGAATCCCCACTGCTTCCGAGTCGTACCGGCGTTCCATGCCAAGCCCTGCGGAAGCAGCACCTTGTTCTTGTCGACAACCAGTGTCTGCCTCGGTCGCAATATCCCAGCTATGCGTCGCCGAAGCTAGATGCATGCTCTCAACCGGCCCTGTCCCGAAGGGCATTCTCTGTCCAACGCGTCGTCGAGTTCCAGCCTCGGCGGGCGGTGAGTCATCCCTTCGTCCAGCATTATCCCAGCACCCAACGCGTACCGTGTCCGTTTCCGTTCGTCAGGTTGTGTCATCGTCCAACGTCAAGTTGAGCGTGGCGCCCCGTTTCGTCAGAAAGTCGTCGCTATTAGGTCGGGGTATATCCGTCATTAAGGCCGTGAACATCATCCATAAGAAAGACAAGGTAAAGGGAATCAGAACGAGTGAGCGGACGCGATGTGCCTTTGAGACACATGCTGGGGTATCATCCTAGACAGCCACCTGAGTCTTGCTCCCACAGGGATCCAACCAGAAGGAGGGGAGTGTGTAAAAAGGGTGAGGAAAATGAAAATGAAACTGAAACAAGGTGTATCTGAGCTCGGTCTCTGCCGAGGTTGAGGATTGCATTGCTGCATCTCGTCTTACGCCGAAACCGAAACCGCCTGTATCGCGCCCTCCGTGCTGTAAATGCGATCAAAAACCCACCCCAGGATCCGGCCATGATGAGGTTGAGAGAAAGTGAAAAGCCTGTGACCGAGCTCGCGGTGATAGCAGTGGTATCCCGAAAAAGCAAAAAGAGAAAAGGAGGAAAGAAGAGACCCGTCGCTCGCTGACCGCAAAACAAAACCGACCAGAGATATGCACCGAAAGGGATTCGTATGCTGAAGGTTGTGTCGCTCCATGCCCATGGAAGTGAGGAATTGCCGAAATGCCTCCGACGAGGTATGTGTCTGACGGGGTATCACCATCGTTGCGCTGAAAGTCAGCTTGGCGGCCCACGGAGTCACTTGTGACCGGCCGCGCTTCTGCTGGTGCGCTCACGGGGACCTCGTCACGGCCGGGTAACTTGTTTCGTAGACCGCCGGTGGTGATTGTCACATGGTTGTCGCGTACTCTTGGTACCTGTCCCAGCCGAACGAGTTGTATCCCACGCTGACTCCGCATTGAGGTGCAAGCATGCTGGGCAGCGGAAGATGGGGAATAGGCGCCGTCACCAGAGGTGAGCCGTAGTATAGCCCGGCTGACGAGTACGGCTGGCTGAACGCCGGCGGCGGGGAAGGTAGTTGAACCTCGCTCATTCCGATCGTTGCCCAAATCGATCCGGCAGAATCCGCTGTTGACGCCACGCTTGGGCTTGACGGCAGGATCTTCCACGACTCGACCGGGGCCGGCATCGTTGTCGGTGGTGACGGTTGAGACCACAACGCCGCGCCGACCGGTGAGCTCGGCAGGAGCGTTGGCTGGCGGATGACGTCGACAATCCTCGGCGGCGGCGGTAACAACGGCTTGATCAGGCCTAAGATGCTGTTCTTGACCTCTTCACTCTTCCCTCCGAGCAGTTCCCCCGCGCCATCCTCCTCGAGTCCCTCAAGCGCCGACGCATGTGTCCGGAAGACGAACTTATTAATGGCCTGGACAAAGTCATCGTGCAGCTTCTTGCACTGCTGCTCCTTCTCGGACCAGTCGTACGTGTTGGCCTTGGCGTTGATGCAGTGGATGTCCTTGTGGTACTCGATGAGCGCCTCGATTGTCTCCGGTGTCAACTTGTACGCAACCTCGTTCCTCAGCACCATGTCGACGTGGACGATATAGGCCTCCAGGTGGATGACCTGGTAGTTGAACAGGGCCTCGATCAGCGGGTTGGCGTCTTTCCTCAGTTCTGATTCCGGCGCCTTAGGGAGCAGCAGGGACGCCAGTGTCCAGATGGCATTTGGTGACGATAAAGTCTCCGTCAGACATCTCTGGTGTTGTGGTACGCTGTTGAGTGGGCGCTTGATCTTGTTGATGCGCTTGAGAGTCTGGGTGAGCCAAGGCTCAACCCTCGAGCCCAACACAACGTTCACCGAGGATGCGCGCGGAGCAAAGGCGGCCGCCGAGGCCGGTAGCAGCTGAGGCGGCATGATGACAAAGAGAAATAGGCACCGGGGCCGGCTCGACAAGGACCAGAGGGCGGCGGAGCGCTTGGGGGGGAGAGGGAGGACGGGCCGGAAGACGAATAGTAAATAAGAAACAAGGTGAGCAAGGTGACGAAGCTGGGCGGTCCCCAGAAAAGGGAACTAGCGTGGGCACCAGCAACGACGAATGAGAAGAAGAGAAAGGCGGCCGAGGAGCGTCGTGAGAGAAGGGAAGGGGAGGAAAGGGAGGGTGAGAGGCTCGTATTATTAGACTGAGTGCGAGGGTGGTGGGGTGTTATAGTAGCACCGCTCAGACTCCCGAGCCCGGCATGTAGGAGAGGCCGAGAAGGACGTACAAGTACATGTGATGTATTGTTCCGTACCATGACTGGCAAATTCCACCTAGTGTAGTACGTTAATAAGTCCAGGGAAGGTGCTGACCTCGAGCGAGCGACAGGAGGAGCGGAGAAGGAACATGCAGGTCGATGGTACCGACGACGCTCCATGGCCCGCTGGAGCCTGAGTGGGCAGATGCCCCCTCGGGCGGGAATGGAAGCCCCGCTTGTTGCAGTGCCTCGACGGGTGGCACTTTCCTCTTCCCTCCTTCCCGCTTGGCCTGCAAACCTGAAGGGGAAGCCGGTCCTTCGGCGGGGGCGCGATTGCTACAGTAACGTGCACTGCAAGCTGGAAATTCAGGTACCTTATTACAGTCCAACGACGTGCGCAACAGACATCCATGGCTTGCGCGGAGCCTCGGCTGCTCAGGATTCCACGGCTAGCGTCTGCACCTGCATCCGCGTGCGCCTGCTGCAGTTCGGATAATTTCCATGTTAACCTGGTGGAAGCTATCCTGAGTTCAGAATGCTGTTCTCATCGGAACAGCGGCCAATGACAGATGGGGCATGTACTGTACCTACAGACACAGTACACACGTACCAAACGGGGCTACGTGCTGCTGTTCATCCGTCGCCTGCCCCGTTCGATCTCCCGGAGGCTGTTCTTTGGGTACCTAGGTATTGCACTGTACAAGTACATACCGTACCTACCTTACCGAAAGACGAGGTATGATCTTGCGTATCCGTACCTACTCAATCGTGCTTTGGTCATGACAGGAAGGAACACGCAGGAGGACGGCATGTCGCCACCGACGTCGAAGCCGGTAAGCTGGGAACCCCTCTGAGGCTGTGCTGCAAATTTGCAGATGCACAATATGCTGAAAAACAAAACAACCTGGAAAATCCGACAATCCAGTCTTCTGACGAATGGGCCTGGGCCTCGGTCGCATGCAACCGGAGCTGAAAGCTGCATGCGGTCAACCCAGCAGCGCCACCGAGCCCGCCTTAGCAGCCACTCAGTACGTACCCAACTGCCAAGCCAGGCAACCAACTTGGGCCCCGCTAAAAACCGCCCCGACGCCCCGATCGGGGAATTTGTGACATCCACCAACAGTAGCCTCAACCTTCACGTCTTTGATGTGAGCTGTGCGTCGAAAGGTTGAACATTCTTCGGGTGAGTTCCATGGATTTGCAACAGATTGCGAATGCACACCTTCTAGTGTGCTCAGTGCAGTAGAGAGGGGCGTATGACGCGTCCAAAACGAAAAATGCGCGCGTGGGGTAGGACCTACCTGCATGAGGGGTTTGTGCCGCCGAAGATGGATCTAAGGCTACAAGCTGGCCGGTAGTTCCAGTCGTGCCAACGTCCGACAGAAAGCCGTACACATCCCAAGAGTCGAGGTACTATTACTGTACTGATCCATCCGGCAGCCACAACGGTCTCACTGGTGGATGATAAAAAGCGATGAAACTTGGTGTGTCCTTTAAGACGCCATCCCTCATTGAGGAGCCCAGCCCAAGCTGCCCCTCTCATAGTTATTGTGAGTTCTGACAGGTATTGACAGGTATGAGTAGATTAACCCAGCATTGCATGGTGCACTTTCTCGCCTAGACCAACCTGCTGTGCTTCCGACGGTCTCCGGAATGCGACCGGTCTCTTGGGGGAGGCCGGAGCCGCAGAGAGCCTCCGCTTGATATAGATAACCACCAATATCATGCACATCTTGATATTAACAGCAGGTTACCACTGGTGGGTTCAGAAGCCTGATGGTGGGCACTTGGCGACGTCCTTCTGCAAGAAGCTCGCCTCGGACAGTGAAGTAATCTATCTCACATGGGCCTCAGGCATCTCTAGCCATTCGTTGATGTCTTGTTGGATGGGACTGTTTTAGAGTTCCGGTAAGCCGCCATATGCGTTCGAGAAGAATTCCCAAGATCGTTTCGACGGCGCCAGCCACACATGGGCGAGGGAAACTGCCATTCGTCCTTAGTCAAGCCATCAGTCATGCTTTGGAGATTAGCATTGCCGCTTTCTGACTGGCATCACTAACCTAGAGCAGCTCCTAAGATAGGTCCTTCCAAGATCGTACAGCTGCATATGTCGTCGCAAGATCTCTGAGCCCCCCCTCACTTGAGTCAATCGTCTACTAGTTAGCGGCTAAGAGGCGCCATCAAGTGCACCAACTTGAAACGGAACAAGCGCGCGGAGAGGGTGGTTCCAACGTGCCCGCTCCTTTCCCCCGCCCTTCCCAATGATGGGGACAGGCAGTTTCCTGATGAGTGGCTTTTGTATCCCATGATTCCCATGTGGCTTTGTCCTCTGCCACACCTTGGCGTCTGGGACTATAAGGATCTAATGCTAACATGGTAAGCCGCGGGGTGAATAGATTGGAAGACTGCTGATGGCCCATAGCGTAGTATATACAGTATAGGGAGGCTCGTAGGTATGCAGGACTGCAAACGTGCGCTTGTCTCGACCACCGGGGGGGGGGGGTGGTTCTAGGAAGGAATGACAAGACTGGGTAGGTAACCCGCAACGGCGCAATAAGGGTGCATACGGTGGAGAGGACGAGAGAGAAACGTCAGCCAACGCCAGATTCTGGTCATGGATGAATCCTCTTGTCGTCCCTGCTAGTGTGGAAGGTGAGCATAAGGTGTGAGTGTTCAAACCCCTGCTATCGAGTGTCATTGGCTACCTGACTGACGCCCTCTCGGCCTCTAACTTGGAGAAAGACCGAGGCCACAATTTCTGATTGGACAGAAAAGTTCGAAACGTGAGCATGCGAGATGCCGCTTTTGGATGCTCGATGGACAGGTCTAGATGAGAGTTGCCGTCCTGTAGGCGGTTGCATCGCACGGTCCTCGAGTCTTACGGTACTGTGTAGACCAGCAGCTGAGTCTGCTGGTGGCTACCAAGCCCGCCAGGTTACCAGATATCAGGGTGAGAGCATGAGGCGTTGGTGATAAGTGAGAAGGGTTGAAAAGACGTTGGCAAGTTCCGTTTAGGGTTTGGTTCCTTCAAACAGGGGTTTCGACTGGAAGATTGAATGAAATTCAACTCATTCAGCTGCCTACTTAACCCTAGCCCTCACGCGAAGTTCAACCACCTCGAGTACCGTACTCGGAAGGGAACAGATTCCGACTCATTCTTTGCTCCCACCAAGCTACACATGTACCGTGACATCTTTCCATAGGGCGGCTCAATCTAGTTCCCGAGAAAGCACAGAAGGTTCGAAACATACGGTATCAATGCCCTTGTGGCTTGCGTCTCGATTTCTTGCCACCCCGGGCTATGCCGCGCCAAGCAGGCTGCTGATCAGCCAACGGCTTGCAGGCGAGTGAGGCGACACCCGTCGCTTGCCGCTCGGAGAAAACACATGACAGGCGACCCCGTCACTTGACCTTCGGTAGGCCTGTTTGCCAGGGGGAGATCCCGTGATGCCGACGGCAATCCAATTGCAGAGTGAGGAGTGTTCAAAACCAAGGCCTTACAACCTCTCCTTGCTTGACCGCGCCTGCTCCTCATTCGAGAGAAGCGCCGGCGCCTCTCGACGGCTCGAACGGCGTCGCCCTGGATCGCCGTGTTTGTTCCATCATCTCCGGTTTGGAAGTCATTGATAGGACTTCACTGAGGTCACTTGGAACTTTTGGCCGACAAACATGCAGCCAGTCAAGTGATTGCCCCTGCGGGAAGCAGCTCGTAATCATCTCGAGATGATGGTGAAACGATGCAGCTGACTCGAGTCGAACAGGCCCCTTCCCGAGCGCCCCTGACGACCATTGGGCCGGGTTTCAACGCAAGCCCGAATGCGAAGGGAAGTCTCGAATGCCATTGCATCGACGATCGGCGACAGGAATCTTGGTTGTTCAGCCCGACAAGGAACGAGGGAGGAGGAGGCTATCAGCGGGCGGGCTCGTTGTCAATTGAACACCAGGCGGAAGGAACCCCCCTCGAGACAATCGCACCCTGCTGCAACGGCAGTCGGCGTAACGGCGCGATGGCGAGCAAGCCGCATTTCGCCCAATGCCGGTAAGGCCTTACACTAGGGCCACAGAGAGTCGGTCAACAAGAACAACATCAGGCGTGGATCGTGGGCTGTGGTCGAAATTCGCCTCTTCGTCATGCAAGAATGGGATGAACAAGGGTTGGGATGACTCTTCGAGTCAGGTCGACCGCTACCGATAGGGCGGTTCGGCTGTTCGGAGCTTGGCCCGAGCAGCGGGCGGTGAGGCCTGTTGACGTCACCGTTATGGGGCTCTTGCCTCTAGCCAGGTCATACGTATGCAGAGAGCGAAGGAGACAAGCGGGAACTGAAACATACAGCTCACTAGCGACAAAAAAAACCTCTGAAAGACGAGCGTCAACAAGTTTCCATGCTTTCGCCTGTAACAAAATGTTGCGACTTGGATGGATTCACCGATCGGCAAGCCGAGGCCAGACGATTGCCGGGCGCAGGCCTTTCACGTCCGCCCCGCAATTGGGCCGGCAGCGGCACCAGTGGGGCAGTCGGAGGCAGCCGAAGTCATCGGTCCGCCTCAATGCGCTCTAGATCCGACCTGAATGTGGCAGCCACGCACGCCACGTAGCCCCCAGTTACGGCCGGGGACGCCACAATCAGCTTTCTCATCATGGATACCTGCTGGAAATTTTCGAAATATTTTCGGATGCGTTGGGGAGGACCACTCTGTGAGAGGCGGCAGGTTCTTTGCGCTGTGTTCGCCCGGAGCTCCCTCCGCCGTCCCCCAAGCCGATCCAATGCCCACCGTGGCCTATCTAGGGAAAGGCGAGGCCCATAAGCCGCGTCAGTCCTAAAACTAAGCACACGGCGAAAAATCCCATGTCCCAATGGATGACCAGTTCGCATGGCGGAGCTGCCTCGGGAAAGTTCGAGTACGAAATGCATGACGCGTATCCCTGCGGCAGCTTCGGTGTATTCATGACATCCCCGGACTTGGATCCAATGACCCTGTGAAGAGGAACTCCTGCCAGCGGCTGGGAAAAGGGGGCGACAACAAAGCACCTTCTTGATTTTACAGTAAGGAACTAGGCTAGCCTTTACGCTATCGTGTCCCACTTGCCCATCTCTAAGAGTGACCCGTGGATTCTCGTCCTTCCTCCAACTCGCCGGAATTGTTTCAGCAGCTCCGCAATACCTGCTTCGCCAGCCCTAGCGACCGCCACGGCGCAGAGCAGGATGCGAGCGCATGTTGCGAACACATGTTGATCCGCCGTCCACCCAACTAGCACGCCATCCTCCCTTTCTGCACGGCCAATGAGAGCATTCAGCCCGCCCTCCACCCATGCCTTCAGAAAGCCGAACGATCGGTCGTCCCCTGAATTAGTCCGTAGACTCTCAAAGGCCTCTCGCCATCTAACCGTTTCCCTGACCTCGTCGATGAAGAGGTTCTGCTCCTCGGCAGCGAAGAGCGAATCATCAAAGTCCATGGCCTTGCGGAGTTGTTCTTCGGCAGGAACCAGCTGAAGATCCCCCGAGTATGGCTGGCCAACCATCCTGCACACCACGCGGGCTCGAAACTCCTTGGACTCTCCGAAGTGCTCCCGCAGCCATGGGACAAGACTGTCAGCGGCCGTGAAAGCGATCGCGTTTGTGCCAATGATATGGGACGCAGCGACTGCAGCGGTCTCTCGGACCTCGTCGTCGTCATCGATAAGACTGTCGTAGAGCGCTGAGAGGGCTGGGAGGTATTCGACATCCCAGCGGTGGTGTTTGGCGCCGGTAAAGAAAGCTCGGAGGGCCATGGCGGCTGCATATCTGGTGTCGAAGGGCTGGCGAACGCGTTAGTCAAGAACTTCACAGACCAGAACAGATACTGGCATAAACATACCTGGTTCACCTCCAAGCACTCGCTGAGCATGGCTCCCCAACTCCACAGCCTTTGGCCCATATTCGGAACCTTACTATCCGAGTTACGCGAAACCAGGACCGCCATGATGGTCCCACTGGTCTCCGTGATAGCACATGACAGGGTAGGGTTAATGTAGCCGCTTTGAAGCTGATTCCATAGCCCATCCAGTTGTTCAACCATCGGGAGCTCTGTGAGGTCCCCTCGGCGGAGCATGCCGTCCATCAGTGGCTCAAGATTTAGGAGAGACTGAGCCTGAAGCTCAGGCGTCGAGGATATGGCGCAGGCCTCGAGATACAAACGGCATAGCCCTGTTGTTGCAGTCGGGCTGTCCGCTTGCTTCCATGCGTCTGGAATCTTCTCCAGGATTCTGCATGCTGTGTTGAGGTCCCTGCCGAGTATATCGTGGAAATAAGTCCGAAGACCTTCTACATCGCACCGCGCTGCAGTATCGTAGACCACTCGTAGCGAAGTATGCAGATTCAGCAGAGCAGAGGACGAGCTAGGTTGCTTTGACACGTCTTGCAAGGCAACCCTGGCAACTAGCTGGTGAAAGCCGAGACTGGAGAGGAGATTGAGGATCTCATGGTAAGCCGCTTGGAGTTCTGCGCAACCCCTGAAGGAATCACGGTTGCCAGAGAGTTGCTCCAGCAACGTCTCAAGCTGAACCAAATCTGCCGTGTCTGGGTTAACCACAAGTTTCCGATGTGTAGTCGGCATCCGGGATAGCAGGACCTACCTGATTTGAGGTCGACGCCCAAGTCCACCTTGCGTTCAATGACGAACCTGGCGGTCAGGAGAGCTCCATGAAGTCGATTTGTGCGAGTGCTCGACTTGGCGAGAAGTTCCCCGATCTCTTTCGCCCATTCCTCCTGCAGCAAGAAGGAGCAGAGCGTTCTGGCGGCTATCTCTCGAACATGCCAAAGGCGACTTCCAAGATACCCTTCAATGTGCTTACGCAGCTCAGAACGGTGCTCTTCGGGAGGACCCGCACGCCGGATAATGTCGAGTGCAGGAAATACTGCCTCGGCTGCACTGGAATTCGATGCATGATCTAGTGTTTCGCCCGCGGATCGCAGCAGACTGAGGATGACGCCCGGCAATGTCGGATACTTGTTGTAAGAAATACGGAGCGAATGGCCATCCCATCCTGACTCGATGGACGCCTTGCTCTCGCCTGTTCCCAGGAGCGAGTCAATTAGGCTCCTCAATAGGAGAAGGCCACAGTTCCGGATTGCCCAACTGGAGCTGGTTAGCGACACTGGCCTAAACAAAGATGGGGTGTCTTTTGACTTACACTTCGGACTTCAAGCTGGTTGCTGCTAAATGAAGGGTTCTGGCCAGGTATGCCTCGGCCTTTTTGCTCAAGAGTGAACTCCTGAAGATTTCTCGCAGGCAGTTGAGGGCATGCACTTGAGGGAGATTGGACCCGTCAGTTTCGGACATGCGTACGGGCCGTTTGCCAATCTCTTCAAGGGTCCCGTAGACCTCCTCAAAGGTTGGCGACGCCGCATTTGCCGAGAGGACGCCGGCAATGAGGGACGGAATGCCCGCGGACCGACGCGTGGTTGACGCCTGTGTCATGATGCAGTCCATCGCTCCCTGAGCAGACACGGTGAGTACATGTGTCGCTAGGCGGATCTTGCGGATCTTGCCGGACTTACCTGGTACCATTCACGAAGCAGATCCTCCGAGTCGTCGATGTCTGGGTATACGCTTCTCAAGTGCTGAGTAAGTTGACAACAGGTGGCAAAAGTATAAGACACGGTCGAGAAGGCCCCGCGATGCCGGAGGCTGGCGAGCTGCTCAAATGCAAGGTAGCCCGTCTCTCTGAACACATCCATCGGCGGAAACGGCACGCCAGGCGTCTTCTTCAGCCTCAGGGTTCCCACCAGGAGGCGCAACAGATTGCTGTCGGCGTGTTAGAGAGGGTATTCAGATTCCTCAAGGACAGGCATACCTTGATTCATGGACGGCGCGGAAGCTATAGCTCAATAGGTCTTTAGTGTCAAGCCCATCGATATCCTCGAGTTCCTCGGGCAAATGGCCTTCTGGTGAGTCGTCGCAGAGAACGTGCTTGACTGTAAGCCAGATCTGCTGGGCGCAGAAGAAGAGCCGTCGCTGGAGATGATGCAGACGTTCTAGAGAGTCGTCCGTATAGGTTTCTTTGGCCAGGACTTGCCATATGTAACTGCACTCCGTTAGGGGTCGGGCAACGTGAAAAGGGACCTATGGGCACCCCTGGTGCATCCTACAACAAGGCTTACCTGATTGCTGCGAAGTACGGATGAACCGGGCTCTCGATGGCTGCATGGCCTAAATCAGCCCCTGCCTTTGAGATCTTCGACTCAAGCCGATCAATAATAGACGACAGGAGAGAGATCTGCGGGTCTTGTCCATTTGTTATCGAACTGCAACGGAGGCCGTGCGAGCGAGCTGCTCCATCCGCGTGATCTGCCCGCCCGGTCCTGTCAGCGAGTCTGGTGGCTCGGAGGCTGATCTGCCCCAGAATATCGCGAAGATTTGGCGGGTTAAGGTCATCGGGTTCCCCGGGTTTCGACGGAAGCAAGCTCAGGAGCATAGCTGCGCTGTCTCTGACGTCGTCAAACGGATCCAACAAAAGGTCAGGAAGCAACCGAAGCCAAGTGAAGTCGGATGAGATCAACCGCGCGATATCTTCGTCGACGCCATCGTCAGTTGCTCCCGCATGTTTCCCAACCTTGAGAAGGAGAAGTGTGGCTTTGACTGCGGTTATGTGTCGCTGATACGACGCAGTAGGTAGAAGCTCGTTCTTCAAGAAGTCCATGTACCAGCTCAGGAAGGCCTCGTGGCGGCTGAGGACGGCTCTTGCTTCAGAGGCATCCTTTAGCGCGACCTCAGGCCCGGACTTCTTCTTGGCGGGCACATGAGGCCCGTCCTCGGTAGACGGGTGAGCCGAAAGACTCCTCCGCGCGACGGTGATAACGCTCTTTGCTCTCATAATAAGATTCTTGGTATGGCCAAGCACCTCGTTACGGACCTTAGCATCATAGTCTGCATGGAACGCTGCAAGGTGCTTCTTCAGAAGACCGAACGCAACATCAGAGAACGGCTTCGTCGTCGCTTGGGATGAGACTAGCAGTGAGAATGCGCTGGACCTGACCGATACAGATGGGTATGCAAGGAGTTTGTCCAACAGGCTTCCTTGGAGTACAATGGACTTCGCCGGCGAAGGGTATGATACGGCCTCGTCAATGCCTATCGGCTCATGTATTAGCATCGGGCTTATTCGCGCATCCCAGCTAACTTACTAGGTTCCTCGACTAGTCCATACTTCTTCCCCAGATCGAGGGAGGCCAACTGTAACAAAAGACCATGATCGGTTAAGTCACGGTCGATGGCGGTCAAAGGCTGACTTCGATTGAACATTTCCAGCAGTTTCAATGACGCATCCCGGTCCGTCTTGAAGATCGGAGCAAGCACATAGTTTCTAACATCCTCTAAGTTCTCTGGATTCTGGGCGAGGGCTTCCTGCAGCCACTGTCGCCAGACCTCGAGGGTGAAGTCTGGGGAGTCTGGGACTGTGGTGTCCTGTGCTGCTGTGTTCAGCCCACGAAAGATGTGAACAAGGCACTTCCCAGCCAGCGGGCAGACATAAGTAACCTCGATCCAGGAGAAGAGGTGGAAGGCGAAGGATCTCCATAGCAAGAAATTCGGCAGCTTAGCAGCAGCAGGCTCCACCTCCCTGTACTTAGAAGCGATGTCCGCCAGAGTGAGTACCCGCTTGTTCAGAAAGTGATCAAGGCATTGCAGGCCGGATTTTGTCAATTGCTGCGGGGACTTGCGGGCCACAATCGAGATCAGAGTCTCCAGGATGTGGTCCTTCACCGATCTCCCAACCTCGGGGCTCGGGTTAGCAGTGGACGAAGCAACAAGCACATCCAACACCAGCCGCAAGGCGCGGTGAGGATCGTGCTCATACCACTCCAAGTAGAAGTGGAAGAGCTCTTTCGACAGTGTCTCAGTAAAAGCCCATTGTCTTACTGCCTCGTCGCTCGACTTGGCGCACTGTTGGACGAAACTGCAGAGCTTGACGCAAGCGTGACCATTGCCATGATACTGCCTCGACTGTGAAGCTTCACGAAGCAGCTTCTGAAAGATTGCTTCGGCGAACCTGCTAGCTGTCAACTACCGTTGGGGCCGCGGGCGAGAGCTGAGATAGACTCACTGAGGCCGAGTGCCCTGCGATTGGCTCAACAGCCACTTGGTGATGGTGTTTGCATTCTCAAATACGCCGGCATCCAACTCAGCCAAAGCAGCTTCTGTAGTGCTGGGAGGCCCTTGGGGTAACTCCATGCTTGGCGGTTTATCCATCAGGATGAGAGGGGTCAAGCTACCACCTGTTCCAGTCGCCAGGGTCACGGAATTCCTGAGATAAAACAGAAAGAATCGAAGGGGAGACTATCACATATCCTAACCGCATGTCATAGCCGCCGGGAAAGTTCGATCATCTCTGCCTTGGGTGTTGAGGTCGCCCCCTGAGCCTACAAGCAAGAGCGAGGCAGAAATTTTGGGCTACCGACGGGTACGTACTTCTTTTTCCTGTTTGCCCGATCATGCCTCACCTTGACAGGAGACGAGATCGTGGGCTGCCACCACCACATTACAGCTCAACAAGACTAAGAACCGACAAGCTCCTAACTTGCCTCTTGATCCCGGTATTCCTTGGAATAGAGAATTGAAAAGCATTGTCACGGTATGCCGGTATTTGTCAGGGCAACTCCAAACATGCCGCCGGACAAGCGCCAAGAGGCGACGGAAAGCCCCATGTGCACGGGCCAGCTTCCGGGCAGGGCCGTAAATTTTTCTAGACTTATCGATCAAGATGGATGTGAGCCTGGCAGCAGATGCACAAGAAGCGACAAACAAAGCCCGCCAACGACCTGTAGCAGAACCATCACGCGGCCACGCACCCCTCATTCCATTCGGAACTTGTTGACTCAGTATCAAACTTCAATTGTCCGACTCTTCCAGCACAACCAAGATGTCCATTTGGGATGCGCTGACGGGACGCAAGTCCTCGTCGCAAACCTCGTCATCAAGCGCCCCCTCCGCGCCCTCCGCGCCCACAACTACAACGACTACGACAGGTCTCCAACCGACTCCCTTTGACCCCACAGCGCCACAGGGCGTTGACGCCTTCCTTGGCACCTCTTCCTTCGCCGATCCCTCACAACTACACCCTCTCGCGGGGCTGAACAAGGACACGCTAGACTACCTCACCCTCGAAGACTCAGCGCTCTCGGAGCTGCCCGGCTCGCAATCAGTGCTGCCGTCCCGCGGCTTCACAGATGATCTCTGCTACGGCACCGGCACAACATACCTGGCGGGCCTGGCGATAGGCGGTGCGTGGGGTTTACAAGAAGGGCTGAGGAAAACGGCTGGCCAGCCACCAAAGCTGCGGCTGAACGGTATTCTTAACTCGGTCACCCGGAGAGGTCCGTTCCTGGGGAACTCGGCCGGCGTCGTGGCGATCTGCTACAACTGCATCAACTCGTATATCGGTTACTTGCGGGGCAAGAACGATGCCGCCAACACAATCGTGGCCGGCGCCCTCAGCGGCATGCTGTTCAAGAGCACAAGGGGGTTTCGACCGATGATGATCTCAGGCGGTATCGTGGCCTCGGTGGCTGGTGCCTGGGCGGTTCGTCATACCCTGCTTCGTTGGTAGCCGTGGTCTCGGAATGGTGGTTGCTAACGTCTTCCCGTAGATTGTCAGGAGGGCATTCTTCCAAGGCTCAACCTCGCATGGCGAGGCTCACGCAACACTCTAGAGGTGTATTTGAATCCGCTTTGCCTCGCACATCGACGCGATATACGGCTTTCTTGGCCACTTTGAACCCACCTCTTTAATCTACTGAGAGCAGCACTCTTTCACAAAGCTGTTTTGTGTGTTTATGTCCCTTAGAGGACTGATGTGTACGAAACTGGGTCGGGAGGTTAAAGGAGCGGGTACGCATAGCGCAGGGTATCTCTCCTCCCCTTGAAAATCTGTATATTAGCGGCTTATGATCATAGAGTGCCTCGGTTGAACGCATAGGCATGCGGAGGTTTTCGATCACTCTGATGGCGGTGTCAGCACCCGTTGGCGAGCTTCGCACGGTGCTCACCAGTGTGCGTGCGGAAGGGAGTTTGAGGCGACGGACTGATCCTGTTTATTAGTTCATCCTATATAGCCTTCTTACTCTGTAGCGCAATACAGTGTAACCAGATATCACCTGCTTTGGCCACACCGCTCTGCCATCATTATTACCTGTCTCGGCATTCTCTCCTAGAGACTGTGACGACTGTCTCTACATTTTACCGCACCCATCTTGGGCATCATCTGACGTGCATTATTCTATGGATGGCCACGGGCCTCAGATCTAGCATCTTGACCCGTCAACCTCTTGAGAGCATCTGTTAGGATGCTCTGGCTTTGGAGCACGCGGCTTTCAAACACCTCGACGACACAACTTTTCTGAACACTATATGGTGCTTCCTGCTCACCTATGTCGTTATGCGCCCTGGTCTCGGTTTCCGCCCCCCGCTTCCATACTCTGCACCTTCCACCGTTGTTATTCTTTACTAAATTACTACCACAGTCTCACAGACCGGGGTGTGCTTTTCCTCTCTGCTCAAATCATTTTTACCACCGCATCCGGCCGGCCAAGATGGCGAGCGCGTCCCGACTCGACGAAGACACAGCTCAGGCCGCCTTGGCCAGGCAGATGATAGAAGAATTCATTTCGCTGCGGATCGCGCACTGGAAGACGAAGCAGCGCAGGATCACCGACCGGGAGGTTGCGGCCCAAATCGCCGCTCTGTGTTGGGATTACGATTCCCTCCCAGATCAGGGCCCGGGATGCCTCCTGCCCGATCGCCAGGGCGGCTACGTCTATGTCCCGTACGATGGTCGCAGAGAGGGTCTCCCGCCCGACATCCTGCGGCGCGCATTGAGTCTGGATCACTGGGAGAAGAATCCCGCGAATTGCCCAGTGATTCTCCAGATGGACAAACTTCTTGAGAAAGAGGTTGATGAGAAGTGCTTTTGGGAATTCCTGGACGGCGGGAACGCATCAGGGGTAGATTTCCACGGCAAGGTGGGTTACATAGCATTCCCCTTTTCTAAACATGTACATTACACGACCGACACTCGACTGACTAATATGATGTTCAACGGCTAGATCAAGATACTCGCCAAGTACCGGCTCATGAAGGGTGGTGTCGATGGTGTCGATGTATCACCCAGCCATCCCCGCATCCCGCAGTTCAAATTCGCCGTCACCCACGTCACCGAGTTCGGACGCGTTAAGATGCAGTGGTGCCGCCTTAACTGGGGCTGCAGCGAAAAGGAAATCCAACGGTGTCTCGACGCGGCTCCCAAACCACAGTATCGCCTCGACACAATCCGTGACCGTCTGCTCCGCGAACTCGGAAGGATCCAGCAGCCCGAGGACGCGGTCAGAGAGGCGAAGGACCTTGTCGAAGAGCTCAAATCGGATAATGTTGTTGTCGAGTACGAGGCGGAATGGTCCTATTTTCTGACCGGAAACCTTGACGAGGCAACGGCTCGCTTAGAAAAGAAACGCGAGTGGAAGGCCCTCAAGACGCCCGACGACGTCAAGTTGATGAAGTGCTCCAGCAACGAACAGGGGAGGTGGCCGATCATGGCTCGTGTAAGTTTACCTTATAACCCGTGTCCCTAGGTACAATACTAGCGTCACTAATAACTCATTGACTGACTCGTGCGGCACGACAGCCTTGGGAAATGCGCAACCACGATATATGCTTCGCGATCTTCAAACTCCAGCAGCGCCAGCTCCTCCACGCCCAGCAAGTCGAGAAAGCGGCACTCAATGTCAAGGACAAGAACGGACAACCATATTTCACTGGAGGCTAGGTGTCTTCCATGGATTACGCGCTGCGTTACCGGCCGGTAGGATGATTAGTTATATTGGCGTGAGCTTGGTGCTGTTGACTGTTTCGTTGAATCTTCGGGCGGTTAGGACGTTGGAGGCGTCGGGCTGGTTTAAACGCGATGGGCATTTCGCAAGCTGGGGCGTGACGAATTTGACGATGCCTTGTCCAGCGGCGGCTTGGCTTTTGCGGAACTTCAAGATGGTAAGGGTTTGAGTATCCTTCGTCCCTGACATATGCTGCGTAGAATCTCTTCGGTAGCAGGTCTTCCTTGCATTCTTAGCTAGATAATAATTGGCCGTTGCCCAACTCAACCGACGGACCACGGTAGGCCATTGGTAGGTGATTATCAGCCTCTGGCGGCGGTTTTCGTAGCCATCGACTTCTCTTGAGAGCTGCAGCAGACCCGACAGGGCGATGGTGATAGAATCCCTGAGCTGGGAGATGAATCAGATGGCAATGCTTTTGAATTTAGTAGCTCAATTCCGAAATCAACATGGCTGACGTTGTAACGCAGTATGCTCTGAGTGGCCAATTAAACTAAAAGGTGTGGCTGTAACTTAATGTTATGGAACAATGCCTTCCTCGCCAAAAAATCAGCTTCATTTTCTAACTTGCGTTGGTAAACCAGGTGCGGCTGATTTAACCAAACTCTTCACGGCCGGATTAGAGTTGCCCTAAGATCCTTCTGTTCATCCGGAGAGCGATGCTGCTACCTGAGTCAAGCAGTGCTCGAATATCATCATAGTCACCCGGAAGATGTGTCTCCCTTTCAGTTGCTTTTCATTCTCCAACGCGAAGTACGAACGTGGCAATCGCCTGCCCCAGCGACAGTACCAGTACGTCTGGAACGGTCAGGCCTGGGTCCTCCGAGACGTGGTGAGATATATTGATTTTCCTTCTTCAACTCTTCCCTTTCAAGGTCACAACGGTGCTTTCTACTTTCACACTTTGGCGACTCCCGCGCCACTACCCATGTACCCTATCTTTTGCACTGGGCGACGGATTTAATGGTGCATGCGGGCCAGAGCTCTTGCGTTGATCCGTCACTCCAAGCAGTGTCCGACCGCACAGCTGAGTGGTTGGGACAATCCTTCTGAGTGACACTGGGCTTTCGTCGGTCCATGCCACTAAAATTGCCTCTCCTTGCCAGCATTACTACTACCGGACCAGGCAGTCAGACTTGGTTCTTCTAGCGCCTGCAACACTTCTACCTTTCCCTTCACCACCCACCACTTTGGCTTGCCGACCCGAAGCCCCTGTCAACCGAGCAGCTACATCCTGGTAGCGATGTCCAGTAAGCGTGACCCAAAAGGAAAACGCCCAAGGCACGTGTCTATCACGGATGAGGAAGAGCATTCACCTCCACGAGCTGCATCACCTGCCGCTAGCAATTTCAGTCACAAATCACAAGAAAGCCCTGCTGGCGCCCACAATTTATCCGAGTCCCAATCTCAGCCACGGCCTACTACTCAAAACGGCAACCAACCAGCTGCGCCGGGTTCTTCTTCTGAATCGCACCGACTCGCAAGCCCTTCGACTGTTCTCCCAACCCAGCTTTCTAATTACCCTGGCAATCGGGGTCCCCTTTTCATCCTTCCAAGTCAACGAGACGGTATCACAATCCCACCCTTCACCATGTCGTACTGGCCGCCGGCTCCAGCTCTTGCACCTGCGCCTGCGCCTGCACCGGTCAACCCGCCTGACGAGCTAGGCCCACCCCCTCCTCCGCCGCCGCCACCTGCGATTCCCCCGGTGGTGAACCCTTATGGGGTTCACTTCCAACCCCAGGTTCCAGGCACGGAGAGGGGTCCAATCATCAGTCGCTACATCCCCCGACATGACCCTGCCCCCGTTGCAGGCTACCCAGGGCAGCAGATGCCCCATTTCCTGGTCAGTGCTCTGTCTGGGCTTTTGCCACTTTCGAGCGGATAAGACCGAATATTGTCCCCCAAATTCACGCTCTTCGTTTCATCATCCGCTTTGCACATCGTCCAAAATCCGACCGTCGCAAACATTCACTAACGCGCTCAATAGCCAAACGGTGTCCTGATGTCCCCCCATCTGCCGCTCCAGCAGCCTGGTGTTTTCGCTAGTCAGATGCAGGCCGTCGTGGTGCAGGAGCCGGTCGGCCCGCCGATGATGCTGCCAAACCAGTCCGTTCCCGGCGGCCCGCCGCTCATGGTCCCAGCCCCCGCCCAAACCGTACAGTTGCCGTCGAATGCCGTGATTGGGAGGCTTCCCATCAACCCTCCCGTTCACGTGGACCCCGCCATGGGCGTTGGCTTGACGCCCAATGAAGTCACGGCAAAGAACATTCAAATGGCTCGCGACAACAAAGCCTACGAGCCACAGGAGTTCCAACCCGCGGATCCCGACCCGTATCGGCTGTACTGGCTCCGGGAGACCAACGGGCACTGGACCCTCTTCCCTCGTCGCCAGATCGATCGCTTAAATGCGCGTTGGTACCGCAGCGACGAGGGTGTTTTTTACGCCGTCCGGCTCACCGATTGAGCCCTCTCCACCTTCTCTCGGGCTGGCGATACAGGCACAAGAATGTCTTTTACGTCATGCCACCTTCTAGTTAGAGGGGCTCGGTGTAGCCCAGCAGTATCGTGAGTTACCAGATCGCCGCTCTCCTTGTAATGTCTAAGCTGACAAACGCCTATCTCAGAGATGGACACGTCTATGCTCCGGCTACTTGCATCCATATGCACCCAGAGTCATAGAAGAGAAACTGACACCGAAGGGCGTTTTCATCGGAAATGGGAAAATGGTTATGGGATTGGGCGGGTTTGCACCATCGGCACTGATTTGGTCGGCTGGTTGGAGATTTGCTTGCGTTTCGGTTCTTGGTCTCTGGTTTCTTTGGGCGCGTGGATATGTGGGAACAATGTATTCTTCTTTCTTTTCCCATGCTACTGGCGATGATTAGTGGCGATATGCCAAGCCAGCAAGCCAGCAAGGGTATCAACAAGCGCGATGCACATGGTAGCACGAAACCTGCATGGCGTGTCGTCGGAGATAATGGATGAGGCTGAAAACCACGTGCGACTGCCCCTTGTCCATGTCCCTGTCCTGCGGGAAGCCACTTTCCTCGGCAATGTCGATCACGATCACCCCACCTTCAGTGATTAGCCGAGCTCGATCTAACCTCCCTGGCAATTACCCGACTTCAACAAATCTTATGTAGACGACTCGGAGTTCAACCACACTCTATCCTCCCCGTATCTTCCAGGTTACGTCTACCCACCAAGACATACAGGAGAACCACAGCTACAGAAGCCAACCCCCAAGATGCTTCTCATCGGCCTGACCGGTTCCATCGCCACGGGAAAATCAACCGTCTCCTCCCTTCTCTCCCAGCCGCCTTACTCCCTCACCATCATCGACGCCGATCTGCTCGCCCGCAAGGTAGTGGAGCCCGGCACACCCGGATACCGAGCCATTGTGTCCTACTTCGGGCCCTCCACTCCGGACCTCCTCGTCCCCGCCAGCGAGCCCGACAACATGCCGGAGCACGGCCCCAGCGGGCTGGGCCGCCCGCTGAACCGGCCCGCGCTCGGCCGGCGCGTGTTTGGGGACGGCGAGCAGCGACGGAAGGACAGGGCCGTGCTCAACGGGATCGTGCACCCCGCGGTCCGGCGGGAGATGTTCAAGCGTGTGATGCGCAGCTACTTGCGCGGCGAGAGGGCCGTGGTGCTGGACGTGCCGCTATTGTTCGAGAGCCGGCTAGATCGGTTCTGCGGGACGGTGCTCGTGGTGGCAGTGCGCGACCCGGCGGTGCAGATGGAGCGGTTGAGGAAGAGGGATCCGCATCTGAGCGCGGAGGATGCCGAGAATCGGGTCAGGAGTCAGGGGGATGTGAGGGAGAAGGCGAGACGGTGCGAGGCTAGGGGTGCGGGAAGCGGGGTGGTGATTTGGAATGATGAGGGAAGAGAGGAATTGGCCGCCGAGGTGACGAGGGCGATGGAGGAGATTGAGAGACACAGTCCGAGGTGGTGGAGTTGGTTGCTTTGGGCGTGTCCGCCGGCCGCGGTCATTTTGGCGGCTTGGGGTTTCTGGAGGAATACGAGAATCAATAAGGCCTGGCAAGAGCAGGAACTGAGGGAGAGGGCCAAGTTGTGAGTGGTCTCGCAGCGGTGGCCGTATATTTTACTAGCAGTGCTATCGGCGTGCGTGCTCCTGCCGCTTCCAGCGATTAAGCGACCTACGAATCATGCTCACTAAACCCAGTGATCATTCGGGCCCAAATATCCGTTGATATCTTTTCATCCTTGTCTAGCCATCACTTGACTGCAATCGGTGATAGCGAGATTCTCGCCGACGTCGGGTTCTACGGCCCAGCCTTCTTGCATAGCGCTCGGTATTGCCTACTCACCCCACATTCGGCCGACCGATCTATTTACGGCAAGTCGAACAGGCAGGCTCATCATCCCAATCAGCAAATTCAGGGCTCATCCCGAGTTGTTTGCCTTTCAGTGGGAACGCTGAAAACCCCGTATCATCGAAATTGGTGATATCGTTTCCCGCCCTCAGCATTTTCAGAGTCCAACTCCAGCTTCTCTAACCATATCATCGCCGCTATGCCTCCTCATTCTGTGTTCGAATGGGTTGTTGGGCGGAACATCAGCAGCGGACAGAGGAACCGCTCTTCCCGGAGAGAATCCATTAGGGTCGAACTTACCACAGACGATGAAACCGACACCGAGTCTATCACGGTCACTTACCCACGCAAGAACTCTTCCAAACGGAGCAAAAGAAAGCACAAGAAATCCAAGCCAGCCAGTCCTCTGCCGGAGAAAAGGGTAACCTTCCGAGACAGACCACTCAAGTCCGCTCTCAAGAAGAGTCCCCAGTCGTCCTCTTCCGAGGCATCCTCCGAAGAGTCGAGCGGGAATGAGTCCGATGTAGGTTCCAGCTCCTATGAGAGCAGTGATGAGGAGCCTCCGCCCAAGTCCAAGAAGAGCAAGAAGAAGGCCGAGAAGCCGGGGTCGACAGACAGCGCACCGAGCAGCACCAGCGGTGATTCCGAACCTGATACCAAGAAGCACCATAATTGCGGTTGCGCATGTTGTGTAGCCGGGCTGCTTCTGCTGACGAAGATGGAAGAATTCTCCAAGAGCGGCAAGAGCAGCGAAGTTCCGTCAAGCGGGGAAGACAAATCAGATCAGAAGGAGAACGAAAAGGAGAAAAAAGGGGAGACGAAGGGCAACGACAACGGCAATGGTAATGGCAAGGGTGGCAAGGGTGGCAAGGGTGGAAATAAGAATAATGGAAAGGGCGCGACGAATGGGAAGGGAGGGAATAAACGGAAGAAGGAAGAGACGGAGGAGGATACTGAGGCGACCTCGGGTAATGAGTCCTCTACAGCGGCTGAAACAACAACGGAGTCTGAGCCGGAATCTAGCAAGGACGAGCCTTCATCTGCAGGTGAGACGGCTACGGAATCCGAGCGGGAGCCAGCAAAGAAGAGCAAGAAAAAGAACAAGAAGAACAACCAGGTGACTAGCAAGAAGAAAGCACAAGAAAAGGGTGAAGAGTCCAGCAGCGAGGAAGATGAACCAAAGAAAAACGGGAAGAAATCAAACGGCAACAAGGCGAAGGGCGAGGATAAGACGGAAGGTCAAGAGAAATCCGAGAAGAAGGGCGAGATCGGAGAAAGCGCCGAGGACAATAAGACGAATGACGACGGAAAGAAGCCCGAACAAGAGAGCCATCCACATCTTCTCATGCCTGCCCGGCAGCGGAACCTCAAGGTGGAGCACGTGCTTGAGAATCCCGCCCGGGATGCTCCTCCCAACGCCTACTTCGACAACGACCGAAACGTCTGCCGAGTGTACCACGGACCGTATTGGGGTTACCCCAACAGCCACCCTTATCCGCCGGGGGGGCCCACCGCGCCGCAGTACCCAGCTCCGGGCTGGGTACCAGTGCCTGGGACACAGCCAATGCACGGTCGCCGATCGAGCGGAATTGGCATTCCGCCAGGATTTCCGCCGCCGCTACATCGGCCTCCTCACACGCCGTACCCGGCCTGGCCGCAACCATACGGGATGTTTCCGCCGGCCGGGCCGCCACCGTACGGCAACCCAGCCGTGCCACCGATGGGGCTCTCAGGGATGGCCGGCAGCCCCCATCTCGAGGCGCAGCTGCACGGTGGCTGGCCGATGAGCCCGAGATGGCATAAGAGGGAAAACGACCAGGGGAAGTCGGGCGATGGGAACAGGAAGACATCGGGGGAGCACGGCAAAGGCACTGGCGTCCATTGGGATCAGAGCGGCTCCGCGTCCCAGCCCAACAAGGATAACACCAACAGCAATGACAAACAAGAAGCCCAAGACAACAATAACAACGACGACAACGACGACAACAACAACAACAACAACGATAACAACAACTGGGGTGCCAATGACAACAACGACATCACTAACTGGGGAGACAACAACAACGATAACAAACCCAAAACCCCGTCCCCAAACCTCCGCCCCGATCCCACAAGCAGCATGCCCGGCGGCTGGCCCCCGAACAGCAACAATAACAACAACAACAACAGCAACAGCAGCAACAACAACAACAACAACAACAACAACGGGAAGGGCAACGATGACTGGGCTGCAGTCCCTCTTGGTGGTAACTGGGGCGATCCCTCAGCTGCTCAAGAACCCCAATGGTGATTCCTCCTCGCTAAGGTGCTCTCTCGCTTTGCGAAAACCACAAGGAACTGCCGGGTTGGAACCTCCACCACAGCCTGTCGACCATCTCCTATTGGGACTCAAGGCGCTTGCTTTCAAGGAAGCTTTCAGTTACCTAGCTGCGGTGAGGAACGGGGTCGATAATGTGATTGTATGTAGTATGGTACAAGTGCATGGGAAATACGGGGTACTAGTGAATCCGAGGGGTCGTACTTCTGGAATATCTTCCCTACTTGTGAGAGTTTGTATATCAGACAATTGTGTGAGAAACGGGACGCTTGCTGGGGTTAGGTCACCGGAGAGCAATCGGGTTCATCAGTCTGCAGGGGGCGCTAATAAGCAAACTTTGTCAACGTTTGGGCGATATGGAACTAGTAAGATGGGAGGGAAACAACACAGAGCCATTCATGAAGATCCAATTCTCGGTCGACGAGAGGTTATGAAGAGGAGACCCCACACTACACATTGGAATGAGCGGCGTTTTTACATCTTCACTTTAAACTCTTGCAACCTAACATGAAGTCCAACTACCATACTAAGCAGTTTCCCTTTCCCTTTCAGACCACCATCCATAGCCATGAATCAAAGCTTCTGTCTAAGACATGCGTGAAGACAGCGGTGGAGGGTAGAAGCCAGTAACTAAAACATAGCAAATTTTGTGCTTTTGCCTCCGAGAAGCCAAGAACAAGTGCAATATCAATCTGGGGAGCTCAATCTAAGAAGCCACAAAACCGCCAAGTATATCTCCCACCGAAAAAGGTCTACATGCACGGATGCAGCCCAAGGCTTACTCGTCATCCTCATCGGACTCCTCCTCAGCCTCAGCGAGCCAGGTGAGGAAGGGCTCGGCGGCCTTGCGAACCTTCTTGGAGGTGGCCAGGTCGACGTACTTCTTGGAGGCCTTGGAGCCCCACTTGGTGACGACTTCCTCGGAGATGAGATCGTGGTGGTAGTAGAGCTGGAGGATCTTGACGACTTTGTCGTACATCTCCGGATGCTCGCCAACAAGGTGGCCAATGAGACGCTCGGTGCCGCCGAGCAGTGCCTTCTCGTGGCGTTCAGACGAGACGATCTAGAGCGCAGTCAGCATCATGTTCCAAACGGATTGTTTCTTGAAAAGATACAAGTGTAACCATACCCTCTTCAGCATACCGGCACGCTTGCCGATTTGGTTGCAGATATTCTCGTCGAAGATGGTCTGCACCAGAACGAGGACAGTGCGATGCTTGGACTCAATGCCCAGCTCCTTTGCTTTGACGTAGATGTCGATGTCGTCGACATTGTTAACGCCCTCCTTTTGGCCGGCCTGCTCCTGGATCCAGGTGCCCAACTGGTCGTAGACGGTGTTGCCACCGCCCTCGCCCTCCTCGTCTTCGTCATCGCCGTTCAGAACGAGCTTCTGCTTGAACTCGCCGGGGAGCTGCTGCTGGCGAGCCTTCACAGCTTCCTCGCTCATGTCCACAGCCCATTCATCGTCCTTCACTTCAACCTTCTTGTTCTCAAGCACCTGAGCTTCGCTCTTGATCTTGCGGGTGAGAGCGTCGTCATCGCTCTCGAAACCCTTGTCGTCCGCAATCGGAGAAGCCTGGTCAGAGCCGTTGTCATCGCCTCCAGAACCGTTCTCGGCGTCGGCCTTGCCATTCTGCTTGGCCTTACGGGCGGCGCGGCGCTCGGCCTTGTCCTTTTTGGTCTTCTTGGGCACGTTCTTGAGGATGAAGCCACTGAGCTTCAGGCGCAGGTCGACTTCAGAGCGCTGGCCACAGGCCTTGCAGTCGAGCGTGATACGGCCGTCCTTGATGTGGACATCGGTCTCCGGGTTCTTGCACTTCTTGCAGAGTACGAACTTGCTGATGAACCCGTCAAGGAGCTCCTGAAGCTTGTTTGCTTCGTGGGCGCCGTTGATGATCCAGCGGTCATCAGGGGGGTCGATGTTGGTTTGAGCACCAAGCTCGAAGCCGAAGTACTTGATCAAGTAAGATCCAGGGCGAGCCAGAGATTGAGCGACGCTGCTGAGGTTGACAACAACGGTCTTGATGCCGTTGCCCTTGCCTTCAATCTTGGTCTGGAGGCGCTCCATCTTGTAGCGATAGAAAGGGTCGCTGACATCGCGGCGAACGTTCACGAGAGAAGCCATTGTTTGCGGTGTTGAGCGGCTGAGAACCTTGAGTGACTGGTTTGACTGGACGAGTGTCTTGAATCAGGCGTTGTGAGAGACGGGTGCGGGAAGTCTGAGAGAAGCTAACAGAGCAGACTGGTCGCGAGGGCTGTGAGAAGGGCGGAGCGAGACTGGGCGTCAGTAGGAGTTGGGAGGCGGCGTTGACATGAGGTAGACCTGGTGACAGTCGGAGGCATGCATTAACATTGAAAGACGACGACGCAGAGGTCCTTCAACCGTCAGAACTGATATTAGGACAACAGAGTTTCCGCGCTATGCGAAATGAACGCAGCTCGAGCGGGGGAGTGTGTCGGGAGACGGAGTCCTTGTCGTGCTGATACATAAACAACGCTTTGCCGCGTATCGAGCCTGGGTGTGGTATTTCGCTGTCGGCGATGCCGGGTCCGTTGGAAGAGAGGTGAGGAAGACTTGTTGCTGCGACGACCGCTCAATGTGCGAAATTTTCGCTCGTCGGATGCTCGGAGTTTAGGTGTTACAGAAGGAACCCAGGTTGGGAGGAGACGGAGGGGGAGTCGACTGCCCAGTTATTATGAACGAGGCAGCGAAGGTTGCAGAGACGCTGGTGCAGTTGGTGGATTTGTGGTTCAACTTTGGGAAACCCAAAGACAATGGAATTGGGGATGGGTTGGTCTTTAAGACAAACTGCGGAGATGTGGGTTGTCAGAAGTTTTCAAGTGCACAGAAGAGCGCTGAGAAATCTGTACTTTTGGTGGAGAAAGCAGAATCATCAGGCACACAGTGCTGAGGCGGAATCCGGATGCTTTTTTTGCCCCAAACCCCGCTTGTTGCAATATCTAATAGGTGGCAGCTAGAAAATATTGCCCCCAGAACTCCGCACCTTTTCGACTCGTACCATGTGTGTCATGGATCTTTGACATAATTTGAACTCTAGAAAACACAGAATTTGCGTGACTTGGCCACCGTCCCGCAAACTGAAGAAGGTTTGCTTTGTCATGCCAGTTATGAGAGCCATCCATTACCTAAATAGGTTGCTTAGGTAGAATTACCATACTCCTTTAGTTGAATATTCTTAACCCCTGGATGTTCCAGGCCTTGCATCTTGCTGACCCAACCGAAACCCGAAACACAATGAGCACCCCGCCCAACGCCCGATCCAAGTTGGACCCTTGAGGAATATACAATACGGATACCCATATGCCTTATTAACCTCAAGCCTCGATCAATTACAGACATATTGGTGTGGGCTATTTTCTTTTGAGACAAATATCAACGATCTCAAAGACGACAACAAGTTTGCCGCATCGTCGTCTTTGGCATGCCATGATATCTACTCCTACATGTAGGTACTCTCGGGTTCCTTGCAAGCCGGAACCCACGGTAATAAACGTCGGGACGTTCCGCGACGTGATTGGTAGGCCTGCTTTGTGGCACAGTATCGGGCCCATCGGTGTGATCGAGTAACCGCCGCCTCGCTCACAGTGGGCGAGAACGCCCGCGCAGATGTGGCGCTCGCCTTACTTTCGATCCGCCAAGTCCAGCGGCACAAACCGAAGCAAGCACTTCTGCGCCGCCGGTCGCGACGAGATCAGCTGGTCAGACATCTCCAAACACTTGGGTGTCATGCTGGCATCCGGCAGCGTGGTAAACCTGGAGTACACGGCCTGGAGCAGCATTTTCATCTCAGCGAGTGCGAGGCTGGCCACGTTCATTGTCAGCCACCGCCACCGTTTTGTGCAAGGTGAGGGCAACGCCATATAACTCTAGGTGGTAGGGGCGAAAACGTACTGTTTCCCAACGCAACCGCGCCCTCCGTTCGCAAAGGCAAAGAAAAGCCTCTTTCTCTCGGCGTCGCCCTTCGGTTCCAGCCACCTCTCGGGCCTGAATGTATCCGGGTCGGGGAACACTGTCCGGTCGATCCGGTGCACCGAATAAGCCTGGCAACTCACCGTTGTGCCTTCCGGCAGGAAGAAGCCGTCGATGGTGCGGCCTCCCGCGGGGACATAGCGGGGGAGAGACATGGGAATGGCTGGGAAACACCGCAGTCCCTCCATGACAACCGCATCGAGGTAGGGCAGCTTGTCGAAGCCGGTGCCGGGGTTGGCGAGCAGCTCGTCCTGGAGTCTTTTCTGGCAGTGGATCGAGGAAGGCTGCGAGAGCTCCCACATCAAGAAGCACAATGCATCGCCGGTGGTGTCGATGCCAGCGGCCATGTGGTCGAGGCATTCGGCAGCGATGTCCAGGTTGTCGAGATTGAAGGTCGGTGTCTGGAGGCGGTTGAGGAGCGTGAAGGGCGCTGTGCCTGTCCGGGCGCATGTGTCGAGGACAAAGTCGTCCGCTAGGGGCGTCTCCCGTGGCTTCGCGAAGAGGTAGAGGATATTGCCGAGTATCTTGTGTGCGGCAGGCCAGTAGTATTGGAACAGCCGGTCTGGGAACACCGGTCAGAGAACAGGGACCGAGTCGTCGAAGAGTTGCGGCTGGACGCACTCTGCAGACTGTCGTCAAACGTTACCTCACGCATGATCTCTTCATCCTTGCTGTTGTGCAGAGAATTCGTCCCGTTTGGATGGAACAGATGGTGAGTGACGCAATCGAAAGCGTATGCGTGAAGGTCTCAACACACGGCTGGGGTTAGAGAGGGATGATGGCCCAGTCAGCAGTTCAGGTGGACTCACATATCTAGGCGGTCTGTCAGTGTCTAGAGCTATAACAAATTTGGTGAAGAGGACGCACATAGAGATCAAGGCTTCCGCCCACGGACTCGAAACATCTCGTGACAAAGTTGGCTGCACGCTCAGTGATCCCGTCGAGAGACTGTGGCCGGACGATGTTGGTGTTGGCGTAACGATCGGCAAGTGTACGCTTTCTCTTTGCATGCTGGCCAGAGAATCTCCGTGTCAGACCTAACGGCGATAAGTTCGAGTCATCTTGTGACATGTCTCACATCATCCTTATTTAACGTGGTGAACATGGTCCTATGCCAAGTGCCGTTAGCTTCAACCTGTGTCTCTTCAGAGCCCCTTCACCCAATTCTAACCTGCCTTCTCCCGTAAACCTTGAACAAGTCATAGAACTCAGTCTTGTCATATCCGCTGCCCCCAGAGCAGTAGATCTCCTTCACAGCTGCGGCCGAGGCAAAGGCAACCTCGCTAGGGCCGACGCGGACGGCCGGCCCGTACTGTAAATGCAGTTCATGAATAAATCGGGTACGGTTTGCCCTGAACTCGTGCCATTTGAGGACCAGTGATGTGAACCTTGCATACCAGGGGCCCGGGAGCTTGTTGAGAGGCGAGACGATGGCTTGTCGGAGAATGGAAACGGCAAGGAGGATGAGGGATACCGGGATGAGTAGTGACGAGAGCATGGTGTTTACGGGTAGCCTATGATCTTGTCATGGCCTTTTCTCTTTGGTGTAGTTTGGGAGCTTGTATGGTGGTGGTGGTGTTGATAGTGTGTCTCAGATAACCACAGATGGTCTATCCGTAGTTCGGAGGGGTTACCCGGCGTGCACGGGCCCGTAGCCTCCGGTTTGCTCCGGTGATACGGAGTACCTTATCTACCGAACAATAAGCGAGGGGCTGCTGATTGCATTGTACTTTCGAAACGTCGAGCGCTCAACGAAGATATCGTCAAGACTGTAGGAAGATCCAATGCTGAATTTGGTAGTCTGTATCTGTAGGCAATCTGACAACCGCATCCGTGGACATCCGCCTATCCGTTTACCCTTCAAGTTATTCACTCTTCCCGCATGTGCCTACTGCCTGTTGAACCATGACATGCCGCCGAATACTGACGGGGCCTGAGGCGGGTATTGCTTGCCCTCTTTCTCGACCTTGGGCTCGCAGGTGCACCACTGGTCCTCGGGGATGTTCGCGAAGACCGAGGCAATGTGGCTACCACATCCTCTCCACGTCGTCTTGGCTATGAAAAGGGTTAGGGGAGAAACCGCATCCTAAAAGTCGTGGCGCAAAATGTTGACTTACAGCACGTTGGGCAAACTGCGCTCATGCACATGGTGTCTCGATGTGGGTCGGCGTGTGTGAGAAGACTGACGATGATAAGGACAAGGTACTAGTAGTAGTAATAAGGCAGGTACGGTAATGCGTACTTCACACGGGGTTGGGGTTGGTGCGGATCCGTAGGGTACTTGCGTCAAACTGCCTTACGGAGTCAACGTGAGATCGTGGTTTAGACGATCACTAACGTTATGTCCAATGCCGGGTAGCTTACGCAACTCCGTAGGCAATAACCAGTGGCTATTTGTAGGTTTTGAAATCCACGTACCTGCCCTCGAGCTACCTTAGTCGTGTCCGTGGTGTGGCAGAGAGGTCGCCGATTCTCAAAAACCTCGCATGACCGGGCCCACCCTCATGATCGCCGACCAGAGCAGTGTGAAGATGTGCGCGAACTACGGAAGCCGATAGCTGAGTTTGCTCAGAAACCCAAAAGTGGTCTGTGCACCACTGCGCCCACACCTTCCGGGTCTGGATTGAATGCTCGATACGTGCAGTGTGCAGTAGGCTAGCCATAATTGGCTTAGTGCCCTGGCCCACCCTCCCCGGGATTTGCATATCTTTTACAGCACTATAGCCACAGCCATCTTCTTCAACACAAGCCATAACATTCGCAGTAGGTAACCCCAGCAGCCATTTCTATCAACACCATTGTGACGAAACCATAGGCAGTCCTGCCTCTGAAAGGTTTCGCCGGTCGAAGGTATCTGCTGGTCGGACTGTAGGTCTCGGTGAAGCCAAAAGGTTCACAACACTGCAAGTCGCAATGTCTGCACAGTAGGTGAAGGCTACTGCTTGAGATATTGCTCACTGAGGAAGCTAGCTATCTGAATGAGTGACAGAATGATACAACTATATATAGCTTCTTCCCCTAGGTACCTTCGTACCTGGATCACCATCGATCACCTCGGCCCGGTGATCGTGGGTGAGCCGCTCACCGGGATCACCAGTCCCCGATTGATCTTGGTGATCCTGCCGTCCCTGTCGGCCATTGGCTCGGGGTTCCGGGGTCGCGCCCCACCCGGCCGTCATATATGGTTGGTTCATGACAAAGAAGCTCTGTAAAATAGAACAGAAGAAGGTCGTGGGTTCGAGCCTAACCTAAGGCACCTGTATAACCCACGTTACACTCGCAGCCATGGTGCTTATTGTAGCTTATACAATGTTGTTCTATTGTATTACAATGTAGAACACTTAGTATGACCGACAGAGTTTTCAGCTCAATTAGAAAGCGGAGTGGTACTATATATTACTATTAAGATTTTGCAAAGAATTGGTACGGCTGATGCGGCGGTAATGGCTATAACGGAGTTTTAGCATGTAAGCAGTAACGTTATATAGGCAAGGTGAAATGTGCACGGTTAGGGTGAGCATATATACTGCTTTTAGGTTTCTGAGCAAACTCAGGTGTCGGCTTCCGTACGAACCTCACCTAGCCCCCTTTTTCGGGGCCGTACTGTGTACGCTATATTTCGCTTGCTGGTACCCCTTTGTGTGTGTACCTATTGTTACGCAGCACGATTTATTTTTTTACTTCGGGCTCAGTTGGCTGGACATAATACCAACTGCGTCACGGTATCTGCACCCGGCACCACGAATCTAAGGTAGTCGCATATTCACATTGGATGCCCTCAAATCAAGCAGCAGTCCAGCCGTTGAAGCAGCTGCACATGGTACGGTATAGTATCAGAAAATCAAACAACATTGATGGTGGTGGGCAGTGGGCACGGTAAACCACCTCGCTTGCTTCACAGTTGCTGATGAACCATCCAGGGAAGGTGAGAAAGAGACCTGGGAGGCAGAGACCGGGGGCGCGTTTTCAATGTAAAGGGACATAAGATACCTTAGCCACACGGTACTAGTACTAGCTAGGCTCCAGGTAGGTGTCATTCGGTGAATATCTAACTAACTACTTAAAGGCCAATTCCCAGAACTCGCTGTATGACATGAAAACTCCATGTTCCATGTGCACGCGGAGATTGTGGGGGAATGTGCTGAGATACTCTTGTATCTCGCGAAGGACCATGGGCCATCTGGCCTCCTCGGATTCGTAGTTCACGGTGATAAAAACCGTAAGGGGGTTGTTTGAATAATTTCTGGATAATCCGTACGTGTAAAGGGTGAGATGGGTGACCTTGCTTGCAGTTGCCGAGTGCGCCTGCAAGATCTCGTATACCTTGCGTTCGATATGGCACTCCCAGTCTGCTCTGAGCGACGGGGTCCAGTCCGGAAGGTCTGTATACGTCATTTGGACAAGCTCTTCGGCAACAATTTCGACTGCGACATTGAGGTGTTGTAGCCGCGAGTGCGCGCAAGTCTGCGCATCGACAAACCGTTTTGCCTGCTTGACCGCGTTCTCCCAGATGGTGGGAGACGTCTGGTCCCAAGGGGCTACAGTAAAAACTGTAGGATCTCCGACCTCTTCGCGATCATCGTCAAAGTTGGTATAGTCGTACACCGCGCGGAAGACAAGCTCAGGAGGTTCTATTGGTCTGATGCCATGTTTGGCGAAGATGGTGGCCACGCCATCCTCTAAGCTTCGTCCGAGGACGTCCCGGATGGGCGTGCAGTCTGAATGTACCGTAAGAGTTGACATGGGCAGGGGCCGAGCTGGTGGTGCCGAGACACGGAACTCGACGTTGGAGACCAGAAACTCTCCGGCATCGCTGACGTCGGAGGAGGAGTGGGCGGTTCGACGATATCTTGCGAGGCTCGCCATGATAAGCAACATATGCTCGGGCTCCAGTCGGGGGGGAGGCGGGGATTCTGATTAAAGACGAAGGGTCTGACAGCTTATATCGGAGAGCTTATCTGAAGAAGACTGGATTTCAATTGAGGTGAAGGAACAACGTGCACGAAGCCTGGGCTGGGAGGGGCCAGTGAATTATATATCCCTTACGCAGGCGGGATTACTAGTAGTCCTGCAGAATCAGTACTGCTTCTTTTCCATTCGCCAATGCAATCGCCGCCACTTCGCACTCCTGTCGTCCAATGTTTGTGGCGCGTTAGGTAAGGTACCTAGGTAGGTAGGTGGGTGAGGGTAGCCTGTAGCTGCGCAGTCCTGTCGTCCAATGTTTTGGCGCGTCAACGGACTTGGGACGCGTATAAGTAGGTAGGTACGTAGGCATATGACTTTTACAGACTCGAAGCTTTGACGTCAGACCGTCAGACGTCCCCCGACGTATCAAACAAATCAGACCAGGAGTACCTTAGGCATGTGACTTGAGAGAGTTCATCGTCAAGGGTAAGGTAGGTCCGGTCCCTTCACGCGCCAAAACATTGGACGACGGGACTGCGCAGCTACAGGCTACCATCAAGTCAGCTCGACCCTCCATTCAGTTCTCGCCTACGTACCACAACTCCAAGCCTACTTCGACACCGACAATCATTCTACACTCGCAATCATTACGCACTAACACTGTCCCCAAAGCTCACCGCAAACACGCAACGTCGTTACCACCGAATCGTCTCGTCCGGCGTCAATTCCCGCATATTCTTACATCGGTCATGGACAAGGGAAACGTAGTGAAGAAGATAAGGCCGATGTTGTCTTGTTCTCAAATCAATGGGGATTGTATATTCTCTTCCATATGATTGGTATATGCTAGGGTATCTGCATTCTACAATTCCTCGATCCGCTGACTGTCGATGGTAATGAGGAATCGGGCCACCCGCTCTGCGAGCCAGTGCTGCCCGTCGGCGTTTTCCACCCGGTGATTCGCACCAGGAATGAGCCCACTGCACTCGCTGGCGACGCCAGGCTTGCAGAAGCGCTTCCACCTGTTGACAAGCCCGACGACGTCAATCTGCGGAGGCACCCATTCATCCTTCTCCGACGGCAGTATCAACACAGGCTGCTCCAGCTTGCCCCAAATGCTGGTAAGCTTCTCGTCAGACAGGTCCGAGGAGAAGTAATCATCGTCGCCGCTGCCCGCACCATCAGCGAATCTCCATTTCCCCTCTCAAAAATCTCCTCTTCTGCATGGAAGAGGAGCACTTACCCGACCCCAGCCAACGATAGCCATCGATACGCCGTCACCAGACTCCCCTTCCACCCCTTAGGCATCGCGTTCTGGGGCATGACCTCCCCGGCCTTACCCTCCTTCACCATCTCTTCCGCAACCCTCAAGGCAGCCGCCACCTCCGCCGCATCCTCCCCCATCGCAATCGCCTCGCGATCCGACACCGGGCCCTGCAGCACAAAGCCATCCACCCGAACAACCTCGGCGTCATCATCATCATCAGAAGCAGAAGAAGATTCAAACACGAACTTAGTCCCATACTCCAAGCAGTCCTGACACCCCGTGCTGTGGCCCATGAGCACCACCTTCCGCATGCCCAGGTCCCTGCGCAGGTACCGCACCAAATCGCCGATCTCGCGCGCGTCCTGCGCCAGGGAGCCGTAGCCGAACGCCGTGAAGGCGCTGGTCAGGCGCGCCTCGAACACCGCGTAATAAGGGCCTGCGACGGCTGCTGCGGAGGAGGAGGAGGAGGAAGGGGAAGGGGAAGGGGAAGAGGAAGAGAAGAGGCGCTCGGCGAGCGTGCGGACGTAGGGGATCGTGTGCGGGCCGTCGCCTAGGCCGCCTATGAATACCAGGGCGTTTTCCGATGCTGCCGCTGGAAAGTTGGGGAGGTGTTCGTAGGTTTGCATTGGGCTGGTCTTTCTGGAGGACGCCGAGGATAGGTAGGTGTGGACTTTTACCAGGTAGGGTTGGGGCGACGGGGCGGTGGGCGACATGGTGCGAAGCGGAGACCGAGCAGAACGAATTCAAAACTTCAAACAGGTTGAAGTGAGCTGATTGAAGGTAGATGTTCGGCTGCGTAGAGAAGATTCGGGGCTTCAAAGCAGTCAAGTAGGTAAACAATTGGAGTAGAGAGTACGGATAGGTACCTTAAGGTAGTGGGTTGTTTGTTGTGATGCAAAATGCAACGGGAGCCTATCAAATAGTATGGTAAGGTAAAGTACTGGTGGGTTACACAACTGCGGGTAACATTGCCGTGGTGGGGTAAAGGTGCAATGATTACCTGGTAGGTACCTTACCTATGTTGTCGATGAATGATGGGTTGCCACTCTGCTTACGGATCATATGCCTCTGAACTGGGAGTTTAAGAGTGTGGTTTTTGAAGGTAGGGCTAACCGGTCTGAGGACAACTGTCGAAGTCATCTCCATGTTGAATGCCTATGTATGTGACTGAAGCGCGCTCTATGAACCCGTGACATACAAGAGGCCATCCCTTAGAAGCATCACCAGTCATTCACAGAGGAGAAAGGAGAAACAGGTGTGAGCTTTGTTGGGTCGTATCCCCACCAAGGTAGCTGTGAGTGCTGGTCCAATCTTAGGGGGAGCCCCCTGAGGTATCCCCGCACTTGCTATCGACAGTCTGACCGATGGACTGCGACATCGACGACGTCCGAGCAGCGGAAGAGGGAGCAGGGGTGGCGGCGGCTTTCCAGACCAAGTGGAAGGGCTCTTCCTCCGGCGTTTCATTCAGCCATCTTGCAATGGCGGGCGACTTGGTGTGCTTGGCCTTGGGCTTGGACCCTGGATTGAAGGTGGCCCCGAGAGCCATGCCCTACACGTACCTCAGCTATTAGAGGAAGCTCAACCCTTATGATGTCTTCACTGGTATCGCAGGAGGTTACTGACCTGGCTGGGAGACGGCATGATGCTCGGTTTGGTAGTGTCTATCTCCAGTCTAGGAGGGCGTGCTGCCTGGCTTCGAGTTGTAATATGATGTGCCGTCTTGCAAGCCAACGCCGATGAGGAGATAATGCTTATGTGCCCAGCAACAGGATCGTTGCCTTGGCGGAGATGTGAAGAGAAAAGTATCGGGAGTCCAGGAGTAGCTCCTTTGTCGGGAGGTTCCCAGGATTTATCAAAGCTCGATGGGCAGAATGGAACATCCAGAGAGATGGCTTTCCTCCTGGACAGCCAGCGTGGTGAGAGCGGCTTTATGCACGGATTCCACAGTAGGGCCAGCCGTGTCGGCTGACGTATTAGAGCATGGTGCCAACATGTGCGATGCCACCGCGGGCCTCCCACGTCTCGACATCGCGCTAAGAATGTAGTAAGTAGGTGGTTTGCCACTCGCGGAGCCGTATGGCCCGTTTCAGCATCGTGAGGCAGACGGAGCGCAACAGTAATCGGCACACTACAGAATCCCGCTCTGCATAATGCAGGAGATGCAGAACGTCAGTCTGTGCCATGTAGAGACCTGATATGGAATAGCGTCGCGAGACTGGCGGCTGATGTGTCAACGATGTTTGGCCTGCGGTGCTCCCATTATTAGCAAGAGGGCTCAGCTTTCCAAATTGGGCAGCGCAGCGAAGTTCTGAAGTGCTCGACATTTCACGTGACAGCACTCAAATATGTGAGTTTGGTTGCCTTGTTTTCTCTTGGCAACAAGGCAACCGCCTTCTATCTGCCCGGGTCGAAATCAAGGGCGCAGCAAGAGACACAGCTACTCAGGTGGTCAGGCAGTACGGGCGTGAGCCGAAGCAACGGCGAAATGTTTGGGCTGCATGGAGGTAGAAGCTGGTTAGGATTTAAACCAATGACTAGTTATAGGAATAACACCCTTTTACCTCCGAACACTCTCAAAAGAAATCCTGAACTATTTTTTAGGTACTGGATGGGGACCGGATGACAGGGCGGCAAATTGCAATAACAATGTGATAGTTACTCCGTACATACCATAATAAGGTATTGATGTATAGTACTACCATAGTACCATCAGTCCGACTTAGGCTAGGTACAAGTACCCTGGACTTCAGTGCCAATATAACCAAGTTAGTTGTACAGATCTGTATATATGTGTTCTCGACAGCTGTCTGCGGATGACCCGGTCATTTGGTATACAAATGGTCTCCATGGTGGCTACGCTCTCGAGCTCGAGTGTTCTTTGTTCGCAGTACTACCCTAGTAGTTAGTACAATATAAGGCAGATACCAGTATGTACGCTACAAGTACTTTGCTACATCCAAATGCTTCATTGCTGCCTCCGTGGACCATATGTACGTGCATACCTACATAAACTCGGCCCTAAAATTGCCGACGTTGGACTTTGATCGGGAAAGCCACTGCAAAACGGGTTGCGTTGTTTTCGGACATAGCAAACAGGAGTGCGCCTTTGATGATTTGGTCCGCGGCCACTTAGGTAGTACGTACCTAGTTCTGTCCAAATGGGTTGTTCATTTCTAGGTTGTTTCAGGCTCACTGCCAGTAGCTCTCCTCCCTTCGGGTTGCACAACCGTGACCTTTAAGGTTAAACCTCGGCAACGCAAAAAGGAGCATCAGTTGACCGTCGCCTTGATTACGTCGGACTTTAGGGCGTCTGCTTGAGCTGAAACGCAGAACTACTACTGTACATACGAGCCGCCACTCGGGGTTTGGCATGCAGCAAGCACTGGACGCCGCACGCCAGCCGCCCACGTGCCGTCCTCATAGCCGACGCGGCATTCATTCGGCATTGTCCTGGGCACCCGTTACTACTACGGATTTACGAGTACTTGCGCCTCTTTCGGCGGTTCGGCATGCCGGCCTTCGGCCCTTCCGCTCAATGTCGTGATGACATAACCTGCCAGCCAACCTCAGACGTTGTTTGATTGCTCGAACAGGGCGGACGACCTAACGGTCACCTACCTCTCTGAGCACGATAAGTAACCTGGTACCTCCATTGAATCTCCGTGACAGCGGGGTTGGACGCATGAGTACCTAGTGACTTTAGGCTTTAGCAATCTTGGGTTCAACCGTTGGGATGCTTGACTTTGAACCAGGCCCCGGCCTCCTGCATCGGGTCTGAACCAGGCCCCGGCCTCCTGCATCGGGTCATACCCAGGGTTTACCAGAAGCAAGACCCGGGGGAAAGATGTTGGAAACCCTACCAGAGCAGGGATGAAGTTCTATATTCAAAGCTTTAAGAAACAGAAAAGGGATCTAGCTCTCTGCTACTATGCAACACATTTCATATAGCGTGGAATCCAGCGTTGGTGTTCCAGCCGCGCTCCCGATCCATGAGCTTGATTTCAGATCTCTGCGCTGTCTTCTATTCCGAACCTCTAGGCCCACATGAGACCGCCGGCAGGAGATAGTAGGTAGTAACTAAATCCCAAAGATAGAATAACATGGTTGTCAATTCATGGAACCATATTACGTACTGTCCAACGCCATCATATAATCAGATAGGGATCTCTAAGTTTGCCAGGCTCGGCCCGTCTATGGTGTGTTATAACAATGCACCTCAACAATCACATCACATGCAGTTAGTTACCCGATCGATACCAGAACCCCCATCCATCTTCTAGTCCCCATAAGCTACCACGACCCTTTCTCTGCCCCCTTCCCACCCTCCTTCTGCACCGCATGGATCTCTCGGCATCACCACATTATGGAAACCCACTAGCTAGTACTAGTTGTGAGCCACTACCCATTCTATTCAACCCGGGCCAGGGCAACCCCGAAATGATTTAGGCCATCATGCAGATGCTCACCTCCCCGTCCGCACGCCTCCCACACCGCCCGCCGCCTCCTCAGCAGCCAAGTCCCTCTCGACCATCTCGATAGCGCCCAGACTAGGGAATCGCTTCTGGAAGTCGCGGATATAATCATCCTTCTCTGCGGCCGTCATGTCCAGGAGTGCCGAGCCCCCGCCGCCGGGCAAGTCTACCGCCAGCAGAGCCTCGGTAGCACCACCACTGCTGCTAAGGACGGACGATGATCCAGGTCCGCCCCCGCCGCGTAGCTTGGGCGACGAGATCATGCCGCCCCTGCTAGTATTGACGAGAGGGACTTGCTTCGTCGGGGAGGGCGCCCGTACGGGGCCGCCCCCTGCAGCACCGATGTTGTTGGTGTTGCTGGTGATGGGCTGCGGGGTCTTGTTGTTGAGGTGCATCGGTTTGGGCGGCGCCATAGGCCGTCCTCCTCCTCCTCCTCCTCCTCCTGCCACTGTCACAGTCGAAGTAGAAACGGCAGTTCGGCCTGTAGCGGATGGTTCGATCGAGGACGACGAGTTTCCTGACGTGGGCGGGCGCTGCTGCTGCTGCTGCTGCCCACCTGTGATCTGTTGCGCGCTCGCACCAAGAGGTTTCCGCGGCACCGCGGGCTTTCCATCCGTGCCCCCTGGCTTAGTCCCCGCAATCGCCGTGTGTGCGGCGTCCGAGTAATGCCCGTACCCCTGCGCCGTGCGGGTGACGGTCGTCGAGGTGCGATTGCTCTCATCGATCAGGCTTTGGACTTTGTTTTGGATCGACGCAACGCGCGATACGCCGCCGATGCTCTTGGGCGGCACTGGAGGACCACCCCGCTGCTCCACACGCTGCCGGTACTCGGCTTGCGCAGCCGCCACACGGGCTTCTTCCTGCGCAAGCATACGAGCCTCTTGCTCGCGGCGCATCTCGGGCGTCATGGTCTCCCAGTCTTCCGCCTGGCCATCGTCGCTGCGGCCGTCGATTGCTTCGGAACCGGCGATGGGTGTCAGCTCGTGCCGTTCGAGGTCCTTGAGAGGTGATGGTGTGCGTGCCGGAGGGGGGCCGCTCGAGTTTCCTTCAAATCGTTTGAATGCGTCGCCGAATTTGCCGGCCAGGATGCTCTTGGTGCCAGCGCCAAGAGACGAGAGACTGCCTCGTTTGAGGTGTTTTGAGGCCCTGTCCTTCTTCTTCGGATCCGAATCCTCCATCGACCGGAGGAACTCGACGTTGCATTCAATGTTCTTGTCCTCATCTGGACTGGGCGGGAGACTCTTTTCCATGGAATGTCTTGGAGACGGCAAGGCTGGAGACTTCGATCTCAGTTCCTGCTCTCGCAGGAAGTCGAGATTAGATTCCAGATGTGTGCTGATCGGCCTCGGCCTTGTAGCGAGTCGCTGTCTCGACCCCGTCGAATCCACCTGCTCCATGCTCGGCCGTCCACCTTCCAAGGATGGTCTTGAAGACGAAGGATAACGCGTGTGTTGGGATTGAGGGACGCCTTGGTACGAGGCCGTCCGGACGCCGGCCCGAGACCCAGCCGCTCCTTCGCTAAGCAGCGGCGGACTTTGCCCTGTTGCAGGCGACCTGGGAACGCTGGCCGCTCGGTGGCGCTCGTGAGATGGGAAGCGATGAATCGGAGGAGGCTGAGATGATGGGTCTAGCGTCGGGGAGGTCATTGTCCCGGTTGAGACCATAACCGGCTTTGGAGGCGATTGCGAAGCCTGCGACGAGATCGCCTGGAGCTCAGGCGTGCTCGAGATGATGGCAGACGCGCGACTCATCTCGGGTTGTTTGGGCGGCGCGGGAGCGGACGAGGGAGGGGGAGACACGACGGCTGTGCCTGAAGGCGTGGTTCTGAACGCATTCGCTCTGCTGAAGTCCATGGACTGCCTCTGGCTGGGCTGTGTAGTAGGCACAGGACTGGGAGACGGCTTCACTTGGAATGCCTCGTCCGCTAACCGCTCAGCAACTCTTTGGGACAGGTCCTTCGGCTGCTGCGTGGAGGCGGGGAGGCCGCTGTCGAAGTCGAACTTCTGGCCCTTGTCATGAAGCAGCGAGAATTGGTCAAGGGTGGGAAACCTGGATGACAGCTCATCTGCGCTCGGAAGCGTGGGTCTCGCGTCGAGAGCAGCAAAGGGGTCACCATTCGTTACTTTGCCAGGAGATGGACTGAGCTTCGACGGAGGGGCAGGCTGGGACGCAGGCACCCTTCCTCGCCGCATGCGCTCGATCTCAGGAATCACCGGCTGCTGCTGGGTCGCTTGCCGGGAGAAGACAGCTCCAACGGTCGGCGGCGACTTAGGATATGAGTCTGGCGGGGCCTGATCACGTCGTGGAGGATCTGCCCGCGAGGTTCCGGAGTAGATCTAGGCGAGAATAAGCACGTGTGCCGCAGACAGCGCCGTGTTGTTGAAGTCGGTTCACTTACGTCTTTCACAGGAGGCTCCCTGCCTTGCATGGCGCAAGTCTCCCGCAGCACCTGATAGATGTTGGGCCTAGCCTGCGGACTCTCGCGCAGCATCCATGCTAGACGACTATCAGCGCTCAGTGACCGGGGAGAGCCCGTCCCAGTGGCTTACCAATGAGCCCCTTTAGCCTGTCGGAAAAGACGGGGTAGCTGGGGAACCTGTAGCTGGCATTGAGAATGGCCAACTGGCCCTGTTCCTCGAACGGGGTCGTGTAGTAGCACAGCTTGTACAGCAAGACACCAAGCGCCCAGATGTCGGACTTCTCATCGATGGGCTGTTTCCGGTACACGTCGACCATCTCGGGGCTCCTGTATTGCATCGTGGTATGCTTCTGCACGTCCTCGTCCATCAGACGGCATTCGGCGGCGGTTGTGGGTGCGGGGCGTGGCGGCGCGGCCGAGCCAAAGTCGCAGAGCTTGAACTTCCTGGTGGACCCGACGACGGTGATCAGCACATTCTCGACTTTCAGGTCGCGGTGCAGCAAGGGCGGGCGCAGGTAGTGCATGCACGCCACGCCCTCGGCGACGTCGGCGAAGATGCCGAGAATTTCGGGCTCGGTCAGGCGGTGCTGCAGGCGCGTGTTCATGAAGTCAATGAGCCCGCCGCCGTTGCAGTACTCCATCAGCAGGAACACCTCGTAGCCGCCGCCGCGCAGTTCCGAGGCGTGCGAGTCGATGTAGGTGACGATGGCGCGGTGGCCCTTCAGCCGCTTCATGGTCTCGACCTCGGTGCGCATCCCCCGCAGCGACTCCTTGTCCGGGACGGCCACCCGCTTCAAGACCGCCTGGTCCGTCCCATTGACCGGCGACGGAAGTTTGACCAGGTACACGTGTGCGAACCCGCCCTCCGAAAGGTACTTCTGGATGACGACACGGTGGCCGCCCACCTGAATCTTGGTTCCGGGAGAGAAGGTGCCGGCGGGCGCACCGGGAGCGGCCATCGGGGCGGGCGTGGCGTAGGCCGGCCCGTAGTTTGCCGGCCGAGGCACCGCTGCGGGCGCGGCTTGGCCGTACGAAGCCATGGGCGAGGCCTGTTGCTATTTTTCTCGGTGTCGGGATACCTCTGAATCGAGAGGAGCGGGTGCGGAATCGGGACGCGGAGAGAGCAAGACGAAGAAGCGGCGGTGCGGGTGCGATGGGAGTCGGGGACGGGGAGCGATGCCGGGTGTTGGGAGCGACGGGCGAGGTACGTGTCACCGAAAGGGGTGTTGTCGTGCGGAAACCATCTATGGGACACGGTGCATGGCCGTACTTCTCGCCAGCCGAGCAGGGAAAAGGGGCACGATTCAATCTTGGAATGAAGATGGGCAGCTCCCGGCCAAAGGGCTGAGGTTTGTTGATGTTGAATGGCCCATGCCAGGTATGGTAATCCGTACTGTACCTGCTGTCTCAGACAATGCCCGGGTCATCGACACCCTGCGTTGTTCAGGTGGGACCAGGTGGCATTCTGGCTTGGCAAGCCCTGAGCTTCCTCGACAGCTGGCCAACTGTGGGGTCAGATCGGAGAAGCTACGCCGAAGGGATACTTGCCTTCCAGGTTAGCATGTAACATCGGCTTTCAGGCACCAAAGATGCCTCTGCCATTTCAACTGCATAGGTACCTTACCTTACCTATCAGATACATGAACAACCGGGAAGGTATCGGGTAGGTGCCCGGGTACTTAGGTAGTTGGGCGAACGTCGTCTTGTCACAGAACAGAACACACTCGAAATGAAAGTACTGTCACAGCTCCAGTCTGGGAGTGTAATCACGACGGATTTGACCTGGGATTTGTTTCGAAAATTATCTAAATTCGACGTCTCGGCTCGAAGCTCGCTAGTAGCGAATATTAAGGTTGCGCCTAGCGGATCTCTCGAGCTGCTACGCGCATACCATCCCCTCTACCATCATCACTTATCCGAACCGCCTCGTTCTAGAACAGCGAGTGGAAGATCCGTTTTGGCAGGTTCGCCCATGTCCTCTCCACAATCTTGTCATCGTCCTCCCCTGGGATACGCATCCGAGCATTGGTCGTGAGGTCGATCTCGTGGGCCGGGATCCATAGCCTCCAGTCCCGAGTATAAAGCTTCCAGCCGATGTACAGGGCGAGGACAATGGGCGCGGCCAGGTACGACTGGAAGAAGACTTCGGCGTCGGGGGACGATTCGGTGTCCGGCTACGAGGCAAAGTCAGCACGATGCGGATTATCGGGCTTGATCTGTAAATGTGTAAGGGGACCTGCGAGCGGAGCAACTTACATAGAGGGAGCTGTAGAAGGTGGCAATGAGGCAGAGTATGTTGAGAATGAGGCCGATCCAACTGCCCCAGACACCAAAGCCTGGCTTGTACGGGATCTGGTCCAGCGTGTATCCCTGCGCCTTCCAGACGTAGCGGAAGCGGATGTGTGTCAGGCAGACGGATCCCCAGACGAAGAAGTAGGAGAGACCCGAGATAGCGAGAAGCCAGTTGAAGACGGTCGTGCCGTCCGAAGCAAGTCCGATGTACGCCAGCAGGCCGAACAGCAGCTGGACCACGATACACCAGATCGGACGGCCATGCTTGTCGATCTTAGCCAAGAACCGGGGCGCCATGCCTTGCTCGGCAAGGGCCTGCATGGTACGGGTCGAGCCGAAAGTGCAGGAGTTAGCGACGCTGATAACGGCAACGGTGATGACAGCGTTGAAGATTGACGGAAGCACCTGGATGCCGGCGTCCTGGATGGCGAGAACGAAGGGCGAGGCCTTGGTGTTGGCGCCCGACGAGTTCAGCAGCCGGTCGTCGTCAGAAGGGAAAATCAGGCCGACGATAAAGAGGTTGATGATGTAGAAGAAGGCGATACGCCAGAAGACCTGCTTTGATGCCGTCGGAATTGCCTTGAGGGGGTTCTCAGACTCGGCAGCGGCGAGGCCAACCAGCTCGGTGCCGCCGAATGCAAAGGCGGCGACGACGAAGACGCCGGCAAAGCCGTTGAATCCGTTCTTGAAGGCGCCGGGTTCGTGCCAGTACTTGGCGCCGATGTATCCTTGATCGCCCACGCCGCCGCAGTTGATGACGATGCCGAGGATGATGAAGCCCAGGCACGCTGCGATCTTGATCATGCTGAGGACGAACTCCACTGCAGCTTGTCAGCAAAAAGAACCACGACGGCATCCGGCTTGCTAATGATCTGCTGCTACTCACCTTCACCATAACCGCGAACGCCAAAGACCTGGATGATGCACAAGACAACTAGAAAGACGGTGACCCAGACGCCCATGCTAATGTCGTCCCGCCAGTACTCGATGGTGATGGACGCCGCGATGAGCTCGAACGGCAGAATGGTCAGCCAGGAGAGCGCGTAGTCCCAGCCCACGGCAAAGCCCCTGAAGCGGTTGTTGTTAGAATCTAAGAGAGGAATCGGACAGAGAGGGTGCCTGAGGGAACTTGCCATGAGGGATCGACGAAACGGACGACATAGCTGTAGAAAGCGCCATTCACAGGGTACAGCACGGCGAGCTCGGCGAGGGCCTGGCAGGTGAACAACAGCATGACACCGACGATGGTGTAGCAGATAACCTGGACCGGGTCGGCCATGAGCAAAGTTCGCTGTTTCTTTTCAGTGTTTCAAGACCTACCAAAGGTGCCGGCCCGCCCTTGGATAGTGCGCCGCCAGAACCGACGAACAGACCGGCTCCTATGGCACCGCCTGGTGTATCGAGTCTGGTCAGTGTTGTTCTCCGTTTATCTGCCACTAGAACTCCGCGAGGTCAACAACGGGGTCAAACTTACCGATGGCGATCATCTGCATGTGGCGGTTGCGAAGATCTCTTTTCAACGTGCCGCCGCTCATGCCAACCTCCTCATCGCGAACCCGGGAACCGGAGCCATTGTCGCCCTCGATGGCGTCTTTGGCTATCGATTTCTCATCCATCTGCGCCGCTTCTAACGTGTGTGGGACAAGACAAGGCGGCGATTTGGAAGTTCCCTGTCGCGATCAACGCAGAATGGGACTGGCGAGTGCTGGGGAACGGGGCAAGATATAGGGCGGGCAAAGCTAGAAGAGATCGCGATAAGGGAACATGGGAACGTTGTGGGATTATTAGTATTTGGTGCCAGATAGGACCAGATTGGCACTTGGCAAATCAACCCGAGGTAGCCTGTCCAGCATTTGTTGGGCCCCGTCCTCCGTGACATCGTCGTTTGTGTGATCCTGACCCCAAAACCTCAGACTGCCTTGTCCAATCGCCCCGGGGAAGCTGCAGAGGGCCAGAGCTGCATGCCTCGGCGGATGCGGTACGATCCCAACACGGCCCTCAAGGTTACCTTCTCCCGCCTGCCTTCCGTCGTGGTACGTGACACCCCATGCAGATCTCCCTGTGCTACTCCCTCATGGCCGCGTTTGTCGTGCGTTTGCGTTTGTTGGAGAGGGAATGCCCTCCGTCCATCCCACTCCAGAGTAAGTGACGCTTTTTTCCACATCGGACCTGCCGCCACGCCAACCTTATGTTGGTTAAGTCTAAAGTTCGATTCCTGATATCCGGGCGACTGCTGATTGGCCACCACGCTGCCGGTTGATGGTTCCATGGGGCCTAGATCGCAAGAGATGCGAGGAGCAAGGCTGTACGCGACACGGCCCTTTTGGCTGCACGGTAGTGGTTGGGTTAACCGATGCTGGAATGATAGGTTTAGCCTGTCAATCCGGCCCCATACTATTTGAGGCCGGGAATCCTTCGATATCGTCCTCGGGCACTTTCCTCGAAACGCTCGTCGGTCGCCCGTCAGGTTGCCGATAAGAAGGTACGGATGAGGAAGGTGCGCGAGCGGCAGCCCCTTCGCTCACATGCCGTGGACCGTGGACCATGCGTCCCCGATAAAGTTTGCGGCAACGCGCATCAGCCGTACATACTCTCAGAAGACGGCGAGACGGCTTCTTGACATCCCTCTCCCCTTTCGGCTGCCAGTGTGTAGAACTCAGTGCTGTGTAGGTAGGTGAGGTAGGTAAAAGGGTAGGAAGAGCAAGAAGCCTTTCGCTACCAACCTTACTATTCCGGCTCTCCGTTTCCGCCCGCGATACTGAGAGCATACGGAGTGCTACGTACATACGAACTCAACCTTATCACGAAATTCGTGCCACTGATTAGGATTTATTAGAGTATCTGGTGGGAGGATTAAACGTACCTTAGTGAATGGTGCAAACAAGCTTCTGCCGAGATGGGCCAGACTCTCCGGTTGGGGGAACTGTTCGCTATTTTAACCATGACGCTAAACATTTTCTTGCCTAGCGCACCTACTTTGGGGCTGAATGCCATTTACGCCATTGTCGATAGTCAGGTAACGGTGCATCAGGGGGTCAAATACTTCACGATAGGTGTTGCGAGACGACAGTGTCGACCATTCCACCTGAAGGCGGAGTACTACTCATTGCAGTGTCAGCAAGTGCTGTGCTCGCTGGCCGAGTCGAGATGGACTCAGCTTCTCAGACAAGAGCGGATTGTAATTCTCTTTAGACTCCGGCGTTATGTAGACCGGCTTCGTTCCGATCAAGCCAGTTGAGCGGCCTTACCTACTAGTACCTCAACCTTGCGGTAGATACGGTACCTTAGTTAGGCCACCATCCCGTCACCTCACTACCAAGCTCGCAAACACGAAATCGAAGCCCTCCACAACCGGAGCCTCCCTCCCCCTCTGAACCATCCCCCGCTCATACATAGCCAACCAGACGGCGTCCGCATTGACCGTCTCCAGCGCCTCCCTCAAACCGCCGTGCTGCGGCAGCACGTCCACCACCAGGCCTAGGATATCATCAAACATCTCGTCTTCCACCCTCACGTATGACACAATAGCCGTCAACAGGTCCAGCGCGGCCTCCCACACCTGCGACGCCTGGGCAAACCTCCCCAGCGCCGCACCCCCTGACGATGACGAAGTAATGACCCTCGTCTCCGACACGCCCTCACCGGCCCCATCCCGCACCGGAATGAGTAGCTCGTCTTTCGACGACGACGGCCCCGGGACATAGACTTTCTTCCTCCCTCCCTTTGTCAACGCATCCTCCCTCACCTTCCTCACCCACCTCCCCAACGATCCCGGCCCACCCCACCACTCGCTCTTGAACCTACTCCCCAAGAAATCCCCCGCGCCCTTACACAACCCGGCCAACGCTCTACATGCCGCGATGGAGACGTACGGCTCCGGATCGTGCAGCCGCGCCAGCACGACCGGCCAGACAGTGTGCACCAACGGCAGGAAGGCGTTCTCGTCCGGGGCAAGAGCCGGGCTGACGGTGGAGACGAGATCGAGTAAGGACTTGCGGAGGGTTGGCGTGGGCGAGGTGAGGTAATGCTGGGTTAGCGAGAGGACGCGGGTGAGGAGCGCGTAGGTTGGCGTCTGCTTCCTTTCTTCGAGCGCTTTGTCCCTGTCGTCTGGGGCTTGCTCCTCTGAAGCGGGGTCTGCTTCTGGGTCGGTATCTGAGTCTGGGGTGGGGCCGGCGAGTTTGTCGAGGAGGGATGCGGCTTGAGACTTTTCGGGACCCCATGGTTGCTTGGGGTGCGTCTCGGGCGGGAGGCCGTTGTGATCTTCGTCTGAATGCGCAGCTCGTTCGAGGCGTTTGTCCAGGGTCTTTAGGATGCCTGCAATACCGGGGCTCTCGGGTCGCTTCTTTCTGTGGTCAATAGTCTTGGAACTGGCGTCCTCGAGGAGGAGCATGTCTGACTTGACGCCCTGCGCAACTACTTCTGAAAGCACTGAGAATAAGCTCTCGACGAACGCGGGATAGCCATGGTAGTTGTCGAGCGCCGCAAAGATCGCCGCGACGACATCGTCCAAGAAAGGGATCAACCGGGGGCCGGTGAGTCGGATCAGCATGGTGAGAACTTTCGTCGACGCCGGGAAGATGTCGAAGGTATTCAGTCGCAGGGATATTGAGTTGACCATATAATCGGCGTTGTCGACGATGAGGTCGGACACGCTCTCGTAACCGCAAGAAGCGGCAATAACGTTTAGTGTTGTGATGGCGTGTCTCCGCATCCGAGGTACCTGCGAGCCAAGGAACGTCGTGACGGGATAAAGCACGTCAATGAGCTCCGGCCGGAAATCGAGCTTCAAGCGAGACGCAGCAAAAGCCGTCATTTCGAGCGCGAGGGCCTCGAGGCGCCAGTCGACCTCGACGGAGTCCGAGTGGGCCGACAGTACTGACACCGAGAAGTCGTAGAGCTCTCGAAATGCCTCTTCCTGATATCTGGATTCCCCGAGCGAGGACAAGTCTAGGAGGTCCTCTAGATCCGAGGACTGTGCATATGTCGCCTTTAGGAGCTCGAATGCCAGCCAGAAAGAAACGATTTGGTCTACGCCTTCAGAGTCCCGGACATGGCCGAGCATTGAGGTTGCTAGCTTCACCTGCCGGACCGCCGAACCAATGCTGGATAGCAAGGCGCTGATCTCTTTCCTCGTCGCTTTCTGACTCTCTAAATCGAGCAGGACCGGGTGGTATGTCGAGGTGTCCGTCCCAGACCTCACTAACTGGGTACTGGATGTGATGTCTGGCCCGGTATCATCCACGACTTTGGACTGCTTTGAGCCCTTGACGAGGGCAATGACACTGTCTCTAAGAGAATCCGCGAGAGCGTCGTCTAACGTGGATGAGTCCATTTGTAGAGCTGCGGCCAGCTTGCTGCCCCTGAGAATGCTCCTGATGGCCAGTTGCCTGGCCCGCTCATCGCTGGACTGCATGACTCGAGGGAGCCCGATAACCCAGTTGTATAGCCCTGCCTTCATGCTGTCCCCAAGCTCAGGATACACACCGGCAAGGTCCTGAAGCCTGGTCTCAAGACGGGGCTTCATGGCGTCCTCGTCTTCCAGCATCATCGCACTCTCGACCAGAATGGACCGACAGTCGGCTAGGGACGAATGACACTCATCCAGAAGGCTGATACAAAGCCTGTGCAGGGCGGATTGGATATCTTCGGACTCATGCGCGCGCAGCTTAAGTACCTGAGACAGGAGAATCTTGATCTGTGCGGCAGTCGCCTTCAACCACGCCGGAGTGAGTTCGTTTCTAGGACCGATACCTTCCTGCCCGTTGCCCGTCTGGCCCGCCGTTTCCTTGGAGCTTTCTAACTGCTTGAGGAGTCCCCTGACCTTGATGTCGGCCAACACGCTGACAAGGACTAGATTGAGAACCTCCAAGCATTGAAGCAGAACTCTTTTCTGGGTCCGGTTCGCCTGCGGCGGAGACAGAACCGTTGCTAATGCTGACACAGTGCCGGGCAGAAACCGGGAGAGTATAGAGCTGTCCCTGATGCTGACGAAAACCGTCCGGAGACATCGTGCGGCCTCGAGCTGGACCTGAGAGGCTACCCCCTCGGTAATGGCATCGAGCATGACCGAAACACTCTGGCTAACTGGTGGTGGCGTTCCACCTTCGGGTGCTGACTCTGCCGGGGCTGCAAGGTGGGAGGGTTCTGCAATGGCAAACAGAGCGGCTAGCGTCTGGAAGGCCTCGATGATGGTCTCTTCGGGCGTGTCTTGTTGTTGCTGGCCGGGGACACCGCCGATGACGAGTGAGAGGAAGATCAGCAGCTGCTGGAAAAGCTGCGGCGAAACCTTCGCTTTCCAGCCGTACTGGATGAGCCCCCGGAACAATCGGACGATGGCTTCAGTGACCCGAATAGCATACCGCTCCCTATTCCGGAGGAGTAGAGACAGCGGGAAGAAGACATAGTCGGCCAGTCGATCGTCTAGAATGCTGGAATCCTTGTTGGCTTGAACAGTCCAGAGGTCGATGAGCTCTTCGAGCAGCCTGAGAACGTCCCTCGTGCCGACATCTTTGCCTTGGGGCCGAAGGGCGAGTTCGGTGAGAGGGACACAAACCCGTTTCAACTGTTGCGAGGTTAGCAACTCAGACACTGAATTGCGTTGTTATTTGTTACCGCGATGAGAAACGGTGACGCACCTGCTGGAAGAACTGAGTCCGCTCAGCGGAGGGAGCAACGGTGGCCATGGTCCCAGCGACAAAAGTCACATTATGAAATAGAATCTGAAACAGTCATCTAAGGTAGTACGGTAGATGAGTAGGACTTTGATCCGCTCTCTTGAGAAATCTAATTTTGAGGTGAAGTCTCCTCTGTTAGGAGAGCGCTCTTCAGATGATGAAGTCCTGTTGTGAACGGACTCGGGTAAGGTACAGTCCGTACCTAAGGTAGGTAGGTACCTATGTAATGTAACGTAAAGAATATACGGTCGTAAATTACTTCATCCTGTAACGTCATTGCCGTATCTAACGCACTCACCCGACATCGTCGCCTTGCCAACTCGCAAGTCCAACCAAACCTGCACAAACATTCTCCAAAACCCACCATCTACAGTTCGCATTTCGCGGTCCCTGCACCCACCAACACAACAGAATGCCGCCCGCGAAAAGGAGAAAGACTGCGCGCACTGAGGAGGTGCAAGCTGCACCAAACCGCCAAGCTGAGGAAGAGCCTGAAGAGCCAGCGGCCGAACAGACAACAACCGCCAAGGATGCATCACCGCCAGCCACATCCGGACCATCATCGTCATCTTCGTCTCCAAACTCCGCAAACTCTACTCCAGCAGCCTCCTCCTCAACCGCCAACGCGGCCCAGGAACGTCTCGCCCGCTTCCGCGCACTTCAGGCCCGCGCCAAGGCCTCTTCGGACCAGAACCTCAAGGAAGCGACCAAAGAGTCCCAACGGCTAGCAGCTGATCCGAGCCAGCTCAATGCCCTCAACCGCAAACACGCGATCGCCTCGCACAAGCTGCTCAAGGCCGACATCGAGGAGGCGGGCGAGGACTTTGAGCGCAAGCGGGCGTGGGACTGGACGGTGGAGGAGACGGAGCGGTGGGACAAGCGGATGCGCAAGAAGGAGGCGCACCGCGACGACACCGCCTTCAAGGACTACGCGCGCGAGAGCGAGAAGGCCTACAAGCGCCAGCTGCGCAACCTAGGCGCGCCCGACCTGGAGCGCTACACGCGCGAGAAGATGGCCGCCATCGAGAAGGCCGCGGCGGCGGGCACGCTCGATATCGTCGAGACGGAGGACGGCGAAATGATTGCTGTCGACAAGGACGGGACCTTCTTCAGCACCGCCGACTCGACGGCCTTTGCGCAGCACAAGCCGGACAAGGCGGCGGTGGATCGGCTGGTGTCGGACCTGCGCAAGGCCGAGGAGGCGTCGCTCAAGAAGAGGAGGGAGCGGATGGCCAAGAACAGCGATGACGGAGGCGACGTCACGTACATCAACGAGAAGAACAAGCAGTTCAACCAGAAGCTGGCGCGGTTCTACAACAAGTATACCGCCGAGATCCGGGAGAGCTTCGAGCGGGGAACCATGGTTTGAGCGGGCGACGGTTCATGCGTTATTTGGTTATCGTTTATCATGGTCAGCGAACGGAGTTTGGGCCAGGGATCCGGATATTGTACAGTCTACAGCTATACATGGAGGTGACCACCAGTGATGATACATTGATTGATACATGGTATTCCCCCCTCAAAGCATCGTCTTCCGCCATGCCCTGCCCGCCAACTCCTCCAATTGCAGCACCTCCACCGGCCCTTTCACCTTCTCATCAGCGAGCGCTTCGACCACCGCATCCGCCACCGCATCGGCCTTGAGCGGCTTGGACCCAGCAGCGCCAAGGAACCCGCTTAGCACCCCCCCGGTCAGGCGGTTGAAGGTCGACCCAGCCATTGTCATCGCAGCCATTGGAATCGTAATCTTCCTCGACGGGTCATACATAAACGGCGCGCGGAAGAAAACCCCCCTCATCTCCGGAAACTCCCTTGCCACCACCGCCTCAGCCTCTCTCTTTGTGGTAATATACCTCGCTGGCAGCACGGGCGCGCCCCCAGCGGCCGAGATATACCCGAACGCCTCTACCCCCTCGTGCGCAGCCACTTTAGCCAGCAGGATGGCGCTGTCGCGGTTCATCATCTCGTAGGTCAGCTGAGCGGGCGAACTCGGCGGCTCGACGCCGGGCTCCTTGGCGCCCTCGCGCACGCGCTCCAGCGGGTTGGGTGAGGATGATGACGGCGCCCTGAAGGCCTTGGCGAGGCCGGAAATGGGGGACTCGCGGCCCGAGATCACGCCCTTGTAGTCGGCCTCGAGGAGGATGCCGAGGCTGTGCACGACGTAGTCGGTGTTGCGGAGCAGCGAGGTCCATTGTGCTGGCTGGAAGATGTCTCCGCGCTCCCAGGAGACTTTGTGCGACCAAGGGGGAGGGGACGAGGATGAGGCTATGGAGTCCCAGTGGGGTTTGCCGGAACGGCTGTTCACCAGATCAGTTTCCATGGATATGACGAGATTGTGAATGAGAGGAGAATGCCGGTCGTACCTCACTGATGTAACGTCCCAGTTCCGGGCTACGGCCGCTCGGCATATCCGTGAACCTAGGAAACCATTGCCTCCGAAGACGACGATTCGTTTTGTCGCCGACATTGTGTGGTTGTGTGGACTGCGCTAAGCTTATGACCTCAGCGGGACATGTGAGCTCTCCAGAAGCAACCTTGAGTCCTTGGCCCAAACACTCAGGTCATCAAAGTTGGCAATGTCTCGCCACGACCATTAATTGAGGTTATTGAAGCTGCTAAAGGGCCTTATGAGCGCAATACTGATTTCTCATGAGTTTACAGCAGCGTGGAGAGAATTGGTTATTCCTACAGGAAGGCTCGGGGCTTCACTGAGCTCCGGCCCAGAGTTCTGATGGGATCATGTCATTCTTCAAGCTCCAGGGGTCGGCAGTGCAGGGGTTGCCGGGGTCTGGAAGCGAGAAACGTGCCCCACATCCAAGGCTGACCCGACGGAAGGCGTTTGACCGAATATCCGAGTTTATTTGCGGCCTGCCCGCTGAGGACATTTGAACTTCTTATCGCCTTACCTTACCTTGCCTTATCAATCCAAGAGATCTTCACATGGCGCCTCCAACAGGGAAGCGCGTGAAAGGCGTGCAGATATTCCGGCCCTTCGTCTACGGCACCACGGCGCGCCCCTTCGACGAAAAGACGAACCCGAAACCCCCCGGCATCCCCGACGACCACACCCATTCCTGGACCGTCTTCGTCAAGGGCATCGACGATGTCGACATCACCTACTGGCTGCGCCGCGTGCAATTCAAGCTGCACGAATCCATCCCCAACCATGTCCGAAGTCCGTTGCCCTTCTTCAACCCCACCCCCTTCCCCAGGTTGTCTGGGCAGTGTCTAACCGCATCGCAAAATATGCAGTGATCGAAGGCGAGAAGGGCAAGCCCTTCCAGATCCACGAAACCGGGTGGGGCGAGTTCGAGATCGCCATCAAACTGTACTACGTGCCCGAGTCCGCCGAGAAGCCCCAGACGCTCTATCACCACCTACGACTGCACCCATACGGGCGCACCGAGGAAGAAAAGGAAAGCATGCGGCTGAACGGGGGCCAAGTGATCTCGTGGGCGTACGAGGAGCAGATCTTCAATGAGCCATACGAGCCCTTCTACGAGATCCTCACGTCGGGCGCGATGCCGCCTTCGTCGACGTCTGCCGCCTCCTCAAGATCGGGGTTAAAGGGGGGGAAGGGGAAGGACAAGGAGCAGGGGAAGCAAGTGGCTCGGTCAGAGGGTGGCGTACTAGATCGGAGCGCAATGATTCCCCTGACCAACCGGCCCGGGCAGCCCTTCAGTCGGGAGACGGAGCAGCTGGAGATCAAGAAGTTGAAGGAGGCGCTGGTGAAGGTGGAGGAGCTTACGCAGAAGACGAAGGACGAGGTACAGAAGAAGGAGCAGAGGTTGAAGGAGCTCAAGGCTGAGGCGGCGAACGGGTAGGGGTGCGGGTGAGTGTCTGGAAAGAGGGGCTGTGTTCTGTTTGGCGTGTCGGATTTTCGTCCATTACATACCATATGCGGCGGCAAAACTACAGAGCTACCTATGGCGATACTAATCAACGGGCAAGGCAGGTGTTCGAGGAGTTAGGGCTGGAGGCATGGTTGGGCTCGGGAGGGGGTTTAGGCTTATCGGCGCAAAAGAGCGTCGTGAAGCCTCGACTGCTGAAATCAGGGGCAGAGACCGCAAGCTAGGCAGCTACTGGAAGTACCGGTACAGCAAGAACAGGGGTAGAAGACTGGGAAATAGGCTTTCCAGGTATATAAGGAACCAAGGCCCCCAGAGTCTCAGACCCCTCAAGCAATCAATACAACCTGTGAACCCCTAAGTACAACATCGACGCCCTGGCGTTAGACATCATGGATCAGGTACATACCCTACCATATGCCCCAGATGTAGTAGCGTCAGATCATTCCAACACGGAGGTGCAAAGATGACGATGTGTCTGTCCAAGTCTGCAGTCTATTTTCTGTTTTCTAGAGATGGGATTGTCCAAGAAGTTCCCGTCCATAGACCCGCTATCCCAGCAGGGACTTCTACCGCACAGCAAATCAATACCTTCCGCCCGACGTAGTAAGCGCCATTTCCCTGGCGCACCTGATCCCACCACAGTACCATCGATCTGAAGACCGCCCCAGTCCCAACCAAAGACAAATGAAAATATACGGCAAGTGGTACTTTGTAGGCCAAACGGCCTACTTGTTTTCTGTATCCATATCCCACACCGCAAGTGGGTATCGAGTTCCTCCCTGCCATCTAACCTGGGATATACCGAGCCACAGCAAAACAATCTCAAGACTTCCTTCCCAAAACTTTTGTCGCCCACCCTACTCCAGACTCCCAGCAACCTTTTAACACATTAGGTGGTATTGTCACGTCCCCTTAACGCCAAAGGGGAACTCCCGAATCAAGGACAAACAAAGGAAAGGACAAGGAAACGTCAAAACGGAACAAAAGTTGCAAGATTACCTCGCCTCATATGCGGGCGGCGGGGTGTCGTCCTGGTCATCCCAGAACTGCGGGTTGCGCATCTTCTCGTCGTACACACGCCGCGCGATTTCACCCGCCATCTTCATGATCCAAGCCTGCTCCAGGATGACCGACGATGTATCTGACATGGGGCGTGAACGCCGCCAATCGGCCTTGCTGTCGATAGTCCCGGATTCCTTTGAAACTTCCTGGGGCCTGTGCTTCTCCGACAGTTGTATCGGTGGTTGCAGAGCAGTAACAGAGTCGTTGATCCCGGCCGCGGGTATCTGTGCATCGGGAGCCTTGGGTCGCTCACCCCTCATGGAGGGTCTCCGCGATTGCTCGCTAAGCTCCGGGGATCGACTGAAGCGCACCTTGCCTGACACCAGATCCTCCTCTGGTACTTCCAGGATCGGATGAGGCATGAGGGGTTCCGACATAGGAATGCCGGTAGAGGTCGTCTCGGACGTCTCGTCTCCCTGCTCGCTACCGAGTTCAGTCTCGGCCTTGCGTCGCAAATTCACCACGCGCGTCTTCTTCTTCCGGCCGGCCTTGCTGTGTCGCCCAGAGCCAAGGGATAAACCTGCGGTTGCGGAGTTGAGGTGGACCAGGGACGGTCTTGACGGTACAGAGCCATGGTCCTGACTTCCACTGTCCGAGAAAGTGTAGGTATGAGCACTTGTGTAAGATGATGACCTGGCCAGGTTTGGCGTGGAGAGCGGAGGGGAGTTTGTGTCTTTGTCCGACTGCCCCGCCCAAGCCCTAAACAAGACGTCCCCGGGAGCGGCAGTGTCTAATGACGAAGTCACCTGGGATCTTGTGAGGTCTGATAGTCGACGTAGCGTCTTTTGTGAGAACAATAACTGCGCTTCCGGTCCTCCATCAAGCGTCAGTTCTGATATCGCAGCAGGGTCGAGAAGATGCCCATGTGCGTCAACAGCATCCAGGGGTGGCGTAGCCAAGGGATTCACGCCGGGTTCATCAACTTCTTTGGGCTCCTCGTCCTCCTTCACCATCTGATCGGGGCACCACAGCTGGAGCGAAAGCCGGTGGATGATAGCAGGCAGCTCGTCCATCATCAGATCACGCAGCTTGCCCTCGATTGTCCGCTGGAGGTAGTCGCGGACAAACTGAATTGAGTCAAAGGTAGACGAAACCTTGAGGGACTCGAGGGGATCATTTCGGAAGACAATGGTCAGCCCCTTTTGCTTGGAGAAGACCAGGATGATGAAAGCCGACAGCTTGATCTCAGAAAGCGTGATCTGAAGCGGTATAGTAAGGCTTGAGGCGGCCGCCAGTGGCTGCGGAGATGTGAAACCTGGCTTCGCAGAGAGGTATGTGTTAAGGGGGTTGGCCTGTGATTGTTGCTATATTAGCCATGCTATACTCTCATCGGGTTTAGCGTGAATTCATGCGGGTGCGACACCGAATCCTTGTTCGGAAACTCCAGGTAATTTGTGACTCAATGCATCAAATGCCTGAACGAGCTCACGAGCTTCCTTGCTTCGAGAGGATGCATAGGTAACGGAATGTCCGGTAGCCTCTGCCCGCCCCCGTTGCGTTGAGCCAAACCGCGAACCCCATGAGAGGGCCAGTAGAAGGCACTTGCCAACCTTTGCCGAGCAATACGACCTTATCCAGAAGCTCCGGACCACCCGAACTTCCCGTCAAAGACCGAGTCTCGTGAATTCTTAGTTGTAGACGAGGAAAGGCGAGGATACTTGGAAGAACTCCTGCCAGATGTGATGCGTCCTTGCCAATAAGGATGCGTGACGGACATCCGCATATGCGGGGGATAGGGCTCGGAGCCGGAGAAGAAAAATAACCCACCTGGACTCTTGTTTTGAGCGTCAAGAAGGCGTCCCCCGAATAGCACATCTTGAATATTCCCCTGAAGCGGTCCTCGGCCAGGTCGCCAATCTCGAGAATCTCCAGGTCGGGCGGCACGGAGCCAAGGTTGAACTCGGTCACGATTATGTCATCGACAATGATGGGCGGCTTCGGCGACTTGTTCAAGGCCGTCGTCAGGAGATCACGGGCTCGCTTATAGAATTCCGCGTCGGCCGTCAGAGGCGACCAGTTGAAGTTGAACGCCATGTTGAATTGGCTCCCGTGCTAGAGACGCATCGCAGCCAAGAGTGATTGGGCTCTGAGAAGCCTGGTGTCGTGGGCAGTGTGCCGGATGCGGTGGCCGAAAATGGTGCAGTGCGAGTGTCGAAAAGTGTTGCTGTCGGTGTTGCCGGTGCGAAAGTCTGTGTGGCGATAGATGTTTGCACGGGCAGCGGGCAGTGTTTTGTTTCGTGCGGAAGTTGGAGGTTGGTGTGGAGGGATGACGCTATCGGACGACTGATCTGGGGAAGCAGTTGGGTCGAGCAAAATTTTGGCCCTTGCGCCGTAATTTGTGTGTCTCCTGACGCTCGGCCCCCGGCAGTGGGCTGACCTGGTTTTCGCGAATCGCGGTAATCTTTACCCCCACCAGACCCCGGTTCAAACCGCCCCTGCCCTATGGATACACGTCCCTTGCTCGTCTTCTAGATTGATGTTCATGCAAAGCCGATGTTACCTACCCCAAACGTAATACAACCACGGCTCAGCGTGTCAAGTCCATGCCGGCCTCCTCAGACTTCATCAACCAATACATTGACCTGACCGTTAGAACGCGTTCCATTGGCCTGACCGTCAGAACCATTTCTTCCCACAGATTGATCTCGCTTGACAACGTCGCGCCTTATCGCTGCCTCCTGAACAGAGTTGAAAATTTCTCGCACCTGAAGGCGCTTTTCCTTCACTCGAAGGCTGAGTGGCATGCGAAACACACGAGCGGTAAGGGAAGCAGTCGATGTCCCTGGCGTCTAATCTTGTGGCTTCTCCAACGCTCCAAGCTCGTCATTCTCCCCATGCTCATCACGCTCGGTAATCGTTAGGTCCCCAGAGTCATCGAGATCAGGGGGTATTTCGTAATCCTCATCCGTCGCCTCTGCAGCCCCACTGATAGCGCAACGCCGTGGAGATTCCACTGCATTTCCAGCAACTCGAAGCTGGGCAGGCTCTCCGGGTCTTCAGCTCGAATAGTGAAGGTCTGTCCAGTTCGAATAGCGAGACCACTTTTCCGGTGGGCTAGCTTCACACCCCAGCTCCTGTAGTCCACGAGACCGGCTTGGGCTAAAAGATCCTCGTCAGCCTTGATGACTGCCCGGGGCTTCAGGCTCGACTGCCTTAGCCAATGCCACTGTACCACAATCTCGTTCGGGGTTTGACGCAGAGGCTTCAGAGCAAACTTGGCTTTGTCAAACCAAAAGTGGAGTTGATGGTTCAACGAGAGGATGTTCTTTGGGGATTGCATGATCCCAGATCTCCGGTAATTTCGTGCCCAGGATGCAGCTCGATCGGCGCCCCAGAAGAGGGTGAGCAGAGATTCCAAGCCGTTGAACTGCCGATTCGCACTTGTCGCGAACGGGAAGATGTGCGCTGCCGCGGGATCATTTGTCCCGGAGAAGATGCAAGCGTTCCCATCCCGTTCTTTGGCGGCCGTACCACCGCCCCTCCTGATAATATCGGGAGAACTCGAGCGGCCCAGCTCCCGGGATGGAGGGGACACGGGCGGCTGTGACTGTGGCTGTGACTGTAGCTGGGCCTGTAACTCTGCAAGAACGCGACCTGTTGGGAAGTCTACAAGAGTGTTAAGCAAATGAGCCTGAGACGAGATTGTGTTGCAAAGCTTACAGTCTCTCAATGCGCATGTAGTCATCTCGTTGAAACCCATGCCGCGACCATCCAATCCTGCATAGCTAATGTCGTTCTGAGTTCCTCGATGGGTGCGACCATGAACACGGCGAAGAGAGTCGCATTCGGTTGGTAGCTAACTCGTCTCTGCAACTCGAGAAACAGCGCGCAGCGTACACCAACATCGGTGATGTAGTCGTCAACCGGTTCCATCTCAACCGGGTCGCCCGTCACAGCGTCCATGATTTGACGCTGGAGGCTACTGTGCAGCCGAGCAAATTGTTCAATGCAATCCATTGTCGAGCGGAAGCCTCAATCAAGGTGATGAGCTGCTGCAGATGATAGGTGTGGCAACCCGATTTGAGAAATTTGGGATCGAACCAGAGGGGAAAGAGGACACACCAAGTCCAGGGAGAGAAGGATCTTTCGTCGTGGAGATTTTTGATGATGACTCGAGTGATCAATGAGGAGAGGTACGGATACCTGGCCAATGGAATGCGATGACAGAATCGAATGTAATGACAGAATGATGATTCATGAATCATGACCGGAGCGTTCTGGCTGCTGGGAGACATTGATTTTTCTAAGAGTGGGTGGGCTGGCCGAAGCTGTACCACGGAGAATCCCAAGAACCCAGCCAGCCAAAACGGCAATTACCACTGTATGTTCGCACCTATCATGCTGCCCAATCCCTTCACACGGTGTTCCCCTATTCCATCCCGCTTGCCGTATACCAGCGGCAATGTCACCAGCGGCTCCATTATCCGACGCCCCTGTGTTACCTCTTTCAGCGGCCAGCCATTGCGACTTCATATTCATCGGCGAGGGAGCGTCAAACGTGGTCTTCGAGGTCGATGTCCAGCCCAATGACGAAAATAGCAGCATTTTCCGAGGTGAGACACCGCCCATCCTAGTCCTGGCCCAGGAAAGAAAGCCGTCTAATGGATTTCGCAGGACATCTCCTTCGAGTCCAGAAAGGTGGGACCAAAGCCCACAGCTATGGGGAGCTGCAAGAGTACTGGGAGGCGGTTGTGAAGCCGCTGTTTGAGCCGGCGGACCTGATTCAGCACCGACTTATCAAGATCGAAGATGGAGCGGTCATCTCGCGGTTGAACGCTGTCCTGGCCCAAATAGAAGACGCCCGCCGGCTCGATTTCAGAGGAAGCAGGGTAGCTATGGCCGCGTACGGCATGCTAGTTGAGGATATGCGCGAAAGTACGACATGGCCCCGTCACGCGTACGTTTAATTCCTCGCAACTCATCACTTACACCCTCCAGGACACCCCGATGACTTGACGCTGGAGTTCAAACCGAAATGGCTCGCCCAGTCCCCCAACGCGCCCGCATCAGCAACCCGCTGCCGCAACTGCGCACGCGAAGCGCTCAAACACCACACCAAGCTCAACGGCTGCCACCAGACCCAACGGACAACCCGGCCCCGTCGGATTCTCTGTCCCTTTGACATTCTTACCTGCGCCTCCTGCCCAGACGCCCTCTCCAACGTTGTTGCGCATCTCTCTTCGCTTGACCCCCTCGGCAGACCTCAAACAACCATCGCGGCCCAGTACAACCGTCTAATCCAGTGGCTGCAAACCAACACCATGCTCCCGCGACTGCGCGCCGCACAGCTGGCCAACGACCATACCGGCCCGCTCCGTGCCGATGCCCACGACCCCGATTTCCAACTAGCCATGACGCTGAGGGACTGCACCTGCTTCGTGCGGATCCCCGCAGATCCGGCCCTGCGCGTTGAGGCAAAGCTCGGTGACCTGGACAAGAAGAACTGGGCGGCCAAGCTGGGGTACTGGCAGGCGATCGAGAGACGGCTTATCGAGGGCGGCTATTACGAGGGCCGGGAGGTACCAAGGGTGGAGACGGATTGTCAGCTTGAGAGGCGGTTACTACTCCCAGAGGATGCAACAGAGGAGAGAGGAAACAGCGCGGCAACGGCGGACTAATAGACGGGGGTTCGGTAAATGAATGGGGGACTTAGAAGGAGCATGTGCGTTTAGTAGTACGATAAACGATAGAGCAGTGCTGTCGGCCTCATAATTTAAAGTGTTGTTATGTTACTTAGGGACCTACGGTAGATGATAACGTGTCTATCAAAACGAACATGTCGACCAAATGCTTTGCACACCCCATCAAGAACGCCATTCCCAACACGGCGGCCAGATCCAGTATCCCCAAGGCAAGGTACCCAAGCCATCACAACTTAATATGAAAACGCACCCGCAGCCCCTAAATTCCGGCGGCACTAAAACTCAACACGCTCCCCGCCGCCAGCCCAGCAATGAGGCACAAGCCCATAAACCCGCCGGCGGCCTCCCTCTCTTCCTCGTCCACCCACTCCCCAGCGGCCATCATCGAACTCGACCCGAGCCAGCCGTTCGTGAGCCCGAACGGGAACTGCACCAGCAGCAGATAGAACAAGTCACTCTCCACGACCGCTCCTTTTCCGTGCAGGTTACACAGCAGGTACAGCGGCAAGAAGCCGCAGCGCGCCAGGCTGATGGCGAACAGCGTCCGGGGCCGGTGGCGCAGCGAGACGGCGGGCAGCATGGTCGAGACGCGGCCGAGCAGGTCGCCCAGGTTCCAGAAGAAGAAGGCGAGCGGGATGAAGGCGCCGGGGGTGAAGATCTTTCCGCCCGATGAGGGGGAAGAGTTGACGGAGAGGATCTTGGCGGTGAAGACCGGGTAGAACATGGCTATGACGAAGCAGACGAACACGGAGCCGGCGAGCCAGCGGAGCTTGCGAAGGAGGGTGGACAGGGGGACGTAGCGGCGTTGTCCCTCCTGCTGTTGTGGGGAGGAAGCTGAGACACGGCGCGAGACGTGGGAGTGTCGGCGCACGAGGGGGATGAAAGCCAGCACGGTGCCTAGGGAGATCAGGACGGCTGTGAGGAAGTAGATGAATGCAGCGTTGCCGTCTTTGTTGGTCGGGGCTGTTGGTAAGGAGGGAGATTCGCGGCTCTTCTGTGCACGTGGAGGCAATCCCGGAGAGGAGTCGGAGAAGGCGAGGAAGGAGAGCATCTGGGTGAGTGGCGGGAGGATGCCTGCTACGCCCTGCCCGGCCATGATGGCTTGTGTGTACTCTGGGCGGCCGAAGCTGGCTGCGAAGGAGAAGGCGCCGTTCTGCATCAGTCCGGCTGCCCAGGCCGTTAGGGCGACCATGAGCAGAACAAAGGCGAAATATGCACGGGGAGAGGCGTCGACGAAGACAGAGGTGGAGACCGTCAGCAGAATGAACACGGCGGCACTGATAAGCAAGGCCGTGCTGATCCGGAAGGGGTAGTTCGCCGAGGCTTGGATGTTGGTCAAGATCAGCATCGTGACCAGGCTGACGACGGTGAATGTGGTGAGGATAGCCGACTGCGAATTATCCAAAATCCAGGGGTCGGACTGGAAGCGAGTTTGGAAGTAAGGGGCGGCAGCGAGGAACATGTTCCTGGAAAGGGGGTTAGCTCGATGGCCTGGAGCAACGGGGTACAATACATGCGGGTAGAACGTACCAAGCCCAGAGCATTGCGACCCCGATCAGGGCGAAGATGGAGTACTCGATCCATGAGAACGGCGCACCCTCTTCGTATGTTGACCCTGCAAGCGTCCCCGATTCGTCGTCTGCCAACGGCTCGTACTCAGCGGCGCTGGCCTTGGCCGGTGCGAAGAAGGCTTTAATACGATCCATGGTTGCCAATATCTCCCCTCCCTAGCCGTGCTGTGTATTTCCTGATAGGTATTGGTGGGTGATACTGTTCTCGACGGTCCAGACACGGTGTGTCGGCGGACAAGCTGACACCGCTGGATAAGGGAAACCAGTAGACGCCCTGAGGCGTGCTTGGTCGCCTCCGAAACAATTATTATCTCCCCAGGCTTTGCATCGTCCTCTTTTCGCTTAGGATACGCACGGGCTAACGGCGATGAACCGTCATGTAGGAATCGTGGAAGATTGAACCTCTTGATGGACTCGGAGTCTGAGGTCACAGGCCAACGGCACATGAGCCGGAGGGCGACTCGGGGTCCGGAAAGAAGTGGGGAAAGTGCATCAGTGCGCTTTACCGAAACCGGTTAATAAGCGTTGTTCCAGCATCCCGAAGTCCCAAATGGGGACCGTATCGATAACGTTAACGTCGACCTTCGGCCCAGTTCACTACCAACTACCTCATTTGTTAGTATGTGTCGTGTAGATTCAACCGGTCATTATACAGACCCTGAGACTTCCACGTCGAGCGCGTCTCACACATCGTTACTACATGCATGCGAGCTATGCCCTGTGGATCGATGCCTGGCTCGTCAATCAGAGACAATCATTCCCGCGATCCGCACAGCCGCCTCCCGAGCCAACTCCTCCTCAGTTGATTCTGCTATGATCGCCCTGTCAATATGCTCAAGCACAGTGACGGGAGTTCCTAGCTCCGCCAACTCTGATTGAGAGACGGCCCCATCCATCAATTTATCTCACAGGCTTCCCACCCAATCAGAGGAACTGGACCAGCTCGTTGGCGGCATCAGGCGGCCCATCATGCGGCCGCCCACGTGATTGTCGCTCCCTGCGACGCTAGTATGTCGTGCATGGTTTATAGACTGCGAAGAAGTAGGCGGCTGGTGGGTTAGATTCGCTTAGGCTGATTCAATTCTCTGGCTGTACTCTAAGGGTGCAAGCTAAGTAGAAACCGTATAACTACTAGTGTAGGCTATGACGCCTGGTATGCTGTCTCCCGACGTGCGCTGGCCATTACATTATTTGACTCTACGAAAAGATGATCTCCCTCCTCCCGGCCAACAGCCAGAATGCCGAGACTCACTTGTCCATAGGGAACCGGTCGGTGAACTGTAAAGTGTGCGTTAGCATGGTCATCATCCCTTTAGCTGCCTGCCGCCGGATCTGGGGGCGGGGACTCACCCTAAACGTGGCCAAGCCAGCCTCAAGCGCCTTGACAAGTTCCTCCACCGCTTTCTCGCTGTACACGCCCGCAGTCCCGGTCGGCACACCGACGCTCTTCAGCGCCTTCTCTGCCTTGCCCAGCGCACCAACCGGCTTGCCCCACCGGTACGCATCGATCAGGATCTGCCCGGGTCTGCCCGCAGGGAAAAGGGGCGAGGCGGCGGCCTCATCGCTACCAAACAGCCCCTCGGCCCCGTCAACCACCACAACCCCATCGAGCCCGGTCGCGTCCGCAGCAGAGTACGTCTGGTCCACCCCGCCGACAAGCGCCTCGGCGACGACGGTAACCACCACGCCGTCCGCGGTCAGTCTCTGCTTGAGCTGCGCCGCCTGGCCCAGCGTGGCGTTGCTCCGCGTGCTGGCCAGCACGCCGACCCGGAGGGTCTTGATGGTCGGCAGGGTGCCGTTGAAAATGGAAATCCCCGTCGTCACGTTGTTGTGGTAGTAGGTCTCGTCCGGCGCGGGCGCGGCCATCCCCAGCGCCTGGGCGACGCGCACCGCGACGTCGTGGCTGACGCGGTTGAGCTGGGCGAGGACGTTCTGCTTGACCGTGGCGGACGTGAGGTGGCTGGTCTCGAAGCGGATGGCGTTGATGAGGAACTGCTGCTCGACGGGCGTGAGCGAGTTGTAGAACAGCCGCGGCTGCGACCAGTGGTCGTCGAAGGTCGATGAGAGAGCTCGGACGAGGTTGCCGCTGGCGGTGCGCCCCGGAGCGGTGAAGAAGCCGCGACCGTTGGCCTGGTCCGCTTGCATTGGGAAGCCTTTGTTGAGGCTATTGGGGGTGTCTTATGCGAGCAGTTGTGTTAGTTGGGCTCTCCTGGAAGGTCGGGTGAGAGATTTGTCGTGGTTAGGTACTCACAAGGATACTTGTTGGTATGGATGAAGCCCTGGCCGGCGCCGTCACGGTTGTTGTTGTGGATCGGGACTCGCGGCATGTTGATCGGGAGCTGCTCAAAGTTGGGCCCGCCGTTCCGGTTCAACTGCGTGTCGAGATACGAGAAGAGGCGTCCCTGCAGCAGAGGGTCCTCGGAGAAATCGATGCCCCGCACGATGTGGCCAGGCTGGAACATGATCTGCTCCGTCTCGGCAAAGTAGTTTGTCGGGTTGCGGTCCAGCTTGATGACGCCCAGCTTGGTCAGCGGGGCGAGCTCCTCCGGGATGATCTTGGTCGGGTCCAGCAGGTCAAAGCCGAACGCCAACGCCTTGTCCTCGTCGACAACTTGGACGGCAAGCTCCCATGAAGGGCCATTTCCCGATTCTATGGCGTCCCAGAGATCCTGGCGGTGGAAATCGGCATTCTTGCCCGCGAGGACCTGTGCCTCTTCCCAGACCAGACTCGCCTTCCCTTGGAGCGTCTTGAGGTGCCACTTGATGAGCTTGGAAGAGCCATCTTCCTTTACGAACCGGAAGGTGTGAATGCCGAAGCCGTCCTGCTATGTGTCAGCGGACTGCTGCTGAGAACCCGAAGGCGGGAAGCTCACCATATGACGGTAGCTACGCGGGATGCCGTAGCCCGCCATGGCCCAGAAGAGGGTGTGCATAGTGCTCGGCTGGGAACTGAAGAAGTCCCAGGCAGAGTCGTGCGCAGTGGCGGCTTGGGGAATCTCATTGTCCGGGCTCGGCTTGACGGCATGGATGAGGTCCGGGAAGCGGATGGCGTCCTGGATGAAGAAGACGGGAATGTTGTTCCCCACGATATCTGGCCCAGATCAGTTCAGCTCTGATGAAAGAGTGTCACTGGGACTTGATAGTGCATCGTACCAAAGTTGCCTTCATCGGTGTAGCTGGAAAGACGAGAGGTCAGCCGAAGACACATACACCCACGGTGGGCAGACACTTACAACCGGGTTGCAAAGCCGTGGACGTCTCTTGCTGAATCGGCGCTGCCTCTGGAGCCAGCAACGGTAGAAAAGCGAATGAATACCGGAGTCTCCTTCCCCGCGGCACTCAAAAATGACGCGGCAGTGAGGTTGCTCCAGTCCCCATAGCTGGTGAAGGTACCATGGGCCCCAGCACCACGAGCATGGACCGCCCTCTCGGGAACCTCGTTGCCAACACCACGTCAATATTGTCTTGGGTCATGCATGTCTCACTCAGGGTGACCAAGAAACGACGTCAAAAGGGCTGCTGTACTTACCCGCTCATGGTCGAAGTGCTGGATCTTCTGGCGGAAGATGAAGTCCTCGAGCAGAGTCGAGCCCCGTGTGCCAGCCTTCAAGCTGAACTGTTCCTCGATCGGTCCGCCAACATCAGACGTCATGTAGCCGCTGCTGTCGTCGACCTTGTACTTGGCAAGGAAGTCTGATGCTTGGCTATCATCACGCTTCTGCCTCAGCGCAGCGGCCGGGTCGGCGAAAGGGCAGGCAGCCTGGGACAGCCCAAAGAGACTGCCCCACGCGAGCAGAGAGGCGAGGCTGCTGTGCATCGTGTGTCCAGTGTCTCGGTATCTGCAGTGACCGGGTTGGGACTCAGGAATAAATTGCGGTGAGTGGTACAGCAGACGAGAACCTGCTCTTATAACCCTGAGGCAGGTTGGCTAATAACTGTCGGAGCTCTGAAGCGAGAGAGAATCCACGTTGGCCGAGCCATCTTTTTAATACCCAGCTGGGCATGCAGATATTTCGGGCCGCAGTGATCTACGTGCTTCCAAGAGCAGCAGGAGCCTTCCACAGCAGGTGCGCCCTTGTACTGTGACTGATCACTAGTACAGTAATGGCCCGGGAGGCTACGGCAGGGCCAAGGTACGCCGTGTAGGGCAGGTACCACACCCAGGCCACCGAACCACGGCCCGGGGGGACATGGGATGGAGTTCGACGGGTCGGGTCTTGCTGGACCTGGTAGTCATAGCGGATTCCGATGCCACTGGGCAAGATACCTAGTTCAACACGGTGAATATGCCTTTCAGGTGCCATCTTACCGATGTACCGTACATGCATTGAGGCAAGGGAGGTAGTCAGCAGCCATTTGACCTTCACACCGGTTCGGTTGAGAGGTTGGCGTGAGTTTCGCAGCTGTCACCTACAGGGAAGTAGAAAGGAAACCAGGCGCGTCGACTCTGAATGTACATAATCCACTTAACATGGATGTATAAGAGCCCGCCCGGTTGGAATCATTTGAGACTTTTCTAGGCGTGCCGGGACGACCCACACCCTCCGGCTACACTACACGTGTACGGCGCTTGGTTCCCTGTACTAGTGTACCAGTGTATGTGTCGTGGGGGCGCCCGGGAGAACAGGACTGACTCAGCCTTGGTGCCTTGATTCCACATACACACCCAAGGGGTGATCCACATAATCTGGAGGTCGCCGCATCTCGAGCTGTGTAGTGTGTAGTGTACACGACGAGCGATAGCAAGATGGTCTGGTTGATTTTGGGTAGGGATGTTATTCATGCCTGCATGATTATGCACCCTTGACCCAATATAGGTAGAGTTCTGAACACTGCTGCAGAAGACGGTCTGAATGGTAACTGTGATCATAGCTAGGTACCTAGCGGGCCGACGTCGGGACAACCGGCTCCGGTCATAAGCAACACCCAGAGACAGCCTACAGTATTTTGTGCCAACGAGGATAGCGAGATTCCGGGTCGCTCGCTACTCGGGCGTCCCATCTCGTTTGACGCTCTGTACACACCTAGGTAGGTATGTATTGCACATACCAGTGTTATGTACTGCCTGCGGCAAGATGGAGCTGCTCTTGGTATCGGCCCGGCTCACACGGCTCACCGGCCTACGGATATGTACCCCTTATTAATAACCTCTCAAAACTACATATAGTGGGTCACGGTCTCGGCACCGTTACCGGGATATCAAGTACCGGCGGGCTAGCGAGGGTCGCATCGCATCGGAGTGGAGGTTCAAAATCCGGCCTGCGTCGAATATTCTTCTTGGCTGTTGCTTTCTTGCGCACTTCATGTCTCGGCTCAGTCAACCGTTGGTCCAGTAGATGTGCCCGCTTTTCACCTCCATTGTTGACCTCCAACCTTGGGAAGCGCCGAGCTCTCAAATTCCACTTATTAGTGTGGACTGGAAGCTTCGAAATGGGCTGCCGGATCCGCACATGCTGGGCCCCAATGGAGCGCACATGACAGTTCCTCTATGTATATGGGTCGTCCGAACTGATGACCGACCCTCTGCTGCGCAGTACACCGCCTAGGCACCCCTAACAACCAGAGAAATTCAGCCAACAGGAGCGAGGCCGGAGGGTCCGGTTACTGTGTACTTGCGTGGAGTATCATGGTTGCGCAACAACGGTTCGCCAAGCTCCGGAGTAGTATAAGATGTATCCTGGATGAGTCCCGGGCTATTGTATCACCTGCTAGCTACCTGAGCTACCTACGTACCTTAATTAGTCAAGCTGCAACAGCGATGTGAGATTGAGCTGACGAATCAGTCTTGCCTCATTGGGAACATCGCTTGATTCGCTTGGAACTTGGCATGCAAAGCCAGAAAAACAAAATCCCGCAAGCCCGGGGTTTGTGTGGCCGGACAAATACATACAATAACCATGCAAGAGCGGGATGTTTCGAAACAGCAGCACCGCGGTTGGAGGTTGATGAAGTCGATCATTTCCCATGGATGTGCCGATCGGATCCAGCGTGGGCTTTCGGGGCGGTTATCCACATGAATGGCACTAAGCCCCTCTTGAGCAAGGCCCCGGCTTGGCATTCCCACTCCTGCGGAGAAGAGGCAACATAGCGACCCCTAACCCTGCGCATGGAATCCGCTATGTGCGACGACTCGACCGACAACCAGGTCCCCGACTCTGCTCCGAATTGCGGAGATGGCAAATTGCTCTTTAGAAATGCCAACAAGAAGTCTACGTAATCTGGGCCAGGCCTGAACCTTGATGGACGATTCCAGGTTTGTGCTGTTGTTTTGGACGCTCGACAGGCAATATCGGGTGCGAGTCGAGCCAGAGACCGAAAACCCGCGGACAAGTCCGAGTCCCTACGACAGACTAAACATCCATCACATCCCGCACCGGCAGCACGCAGCATGCACCCTGCGTCCCTGTGATATGATTCCTAAACATCCCTGTCTGCGGGCTTTGTCCCAACCCGGTAGAGGTGTGAAGTTATGACATCTATTGCTTCCGCGCCAGAGCGGCTGGGAGAAACACGCCATCTATGTGAGACGACCTTCCTATCCTGTATCTTACGGTCTAGATATGCCAAAACATGGGTATCACCTTCATGCTTCCCAAACCCGTGAACCGGTGAACGCCAAACCATTACCAACCACGGTGATCCGTTGCCCGCTTTCGAATGCAAAACCAAACCAAACCAAACCAATATCCAATGCATCTCGTGAGACTCGATCTCACCTCTTCACACCCACACCGACCGAGCTTTTGTGATCTCACCTCAGCTCCTTGCACTCACCGCCTTCCCTCCCTTGCTTTTCCGTGACCCCCTTCCCAATGTGGTCGAATCTTCCTCGCCCATCCTTGCAATCTCTCTCTCCTCACTCGGGCGGGCTTCCTTCCAGTCTCTGCGTTACTCATTCCCAGCCTCTTCCAGCGGACTCCCTTCTTCCCCCCAAACGTCCACCAGCTGTCCTACCCCAACCCAACCCGCCTCCACAGCAAATCTCACCACGTCCCCCGCGCTGGGGAACGATAGCACGTCCCTCGGTGCGCCAGGATCGAGATGTATCCTCAGCTCCGCCGTCTCCTTCTTAAAGCTCGCGAGCTCCTTCTTATCGCCCCTGAAATGCGAGACTAGATACCCGTAGAGATACGCCAGCCACAGCACGTTGGTGTACGGGTAGTATCCCCTCCAGGAGATGGGCTCGCCCGTGGTCTTGGATGTCGGGTAGGGCGCGACGTGCTTGTTCGGCGGGAGATATACCCTGTCTTCGTGGATGAGGTAGGAACGCATCTGCCTGTAGACGCGGCACTGCGGTGCGTGGGTGGACTGGAAGAGCGTAAGGTCCTTCTCGAGGTCGTAGGCTACTACTTCTGGCGCTTCGGATGCTTTCCGGGCGGGGTTCGGGTCTGTGGCGCGCGAAAGGCCGTAGTCTAAAATGGTGATGTCGAGGCCGGAGAAGCCGAATTGAATCGGGCTGGAGGGGGGGCGCTTGCTGGTGGCCGGACGGACTTGGCGGATGCAGATGTTGCCTTCGTGGAGGTCGCGATGCTGGAGGTACGTTCAGAATAATGAAGAAAGCGGGAAGGGAGACAGGAGACAGTGGGGAGAATGGGAACTTACCTCGAATTCGATAAGAGCTTCGGCCCGCGCCAAGGCTAGTGCCGTGTGGAGGAAGACATCCCAGACCTGGCTGATGGAGGTCACCTCGAAGTCTTCCAGTGCCGTTCCGGCATCGCCCAGCTCGACAACTAGAAAGCGCGTCTCGTCCAGGTATCGGCTCGGCGAGGGATAGAACTGCAGCCGGTCCGGGTCTTTGCGCTTCATGCGGCGGTGGAAGGCCTGGTGCGTCTCGAGGAGGGCCTTTGGTGCCTTGCCCTTGACCACATACCGCTCCTTGTAGACGACGAAGCCGGGTATATCGGAAAGCCACTCGGAGATGCTGAGCTCGCCTCGCATGTCCTCCTCCGAGTGGGGCTCCTCGTCGACCAGGCCGGAGCGTTGCTGTGCCTTGGTCTGCGGCCGGATGGGCGATTCGAGCCGGATGACCTTGATGACGGACGTCCCGTGCTCGTTGCTGACGCGATAGACCTCCGCGTAAGAGGCTTCCGCAATCTTCTCTATGCCGTTCGCGGCGGGGCAGACGTCGTCCCAGACGAGCACGACGTCATGGCAGGACTCCTTGTCCTCTTCGTCCTCGCCGCGGAAACTGCGCTGCTCGACAATTTCCGATTGCTCCCCGAGTCCGTTGTCGCGCATGGCTTCTGTCAAGATCCTTGAAGACATACTGCGATTTCGTTCTTCTGCTGGGGGAGCGATCGTGTCAAGTCTAGTCGCTTGCAGTTGTTCCGACAGTTTGCAGACGGGATCTTGCACGTCAACATCAACATCAGGCCGTGTATGCATAACACCCCCGTGACGTGTGGCCCGCGAGGTCCCCTCCGGCGGCGATTCTGTCGTCATCTTGATCGGAGTTCCGGGCAGCTGGGCAAACAGCTCATCGGCCCTCTCCTTCCGGCTACTCTTTCCATATTTCCGCGTTGTCGTCGTCCGAGACATGTTTGAATCAATTATGGCGCTTTACCTAGCGTAACTGCAGCATTCTCTAATGACAGCGAGGGCAGCTGTTTGAAGGAAGGTGACATAATGTGTAAGTAGTGAGATGCCGCCTCCTAATTCGTCACTGTTTGTCCCCGCTGTTGTCCGGGCAACGGCCGGTGTTAGCTCTCGGCTGCCAACCTGCGGAATATGTACCTTACTTAGGTAATTTTAACTCTTAGAGTTAGCAAGAAAAAGAAAGAAAAAGAAAATATAGAGAGGAAAACTGAGCGGGAAGCAAAAGTGAGTATCTTCTTTCGGAGCCTGATAAGGAGACATACCTATAGTCGGACCCCTGAAAGTTTGTTAGCGTCTGACTTGAAGACCAGGGTCAGCCCCAAAATCTCGATCTCAAACGTCAAAACGGCCAACTTTTCTCCGGAAAAAACGTATAGATGGACTCAGCCTTTTGGATTATCATACGACGCTCTATGTTTTTGCGTTGAATCAGCTCTTTTCGTAGTTTAAGAGTGTCTTTCGGGGTTAAGAAGAAGACCGCTGTCGTAGGTTCCGTGCTAACCATCTTTCAGGGGTCGTAGAATGGAACGACGGCGAGATGAACTCAAATCCTTTCCTGTGGAACGTACCGTACCTTACCCCAAGCGGTGTGTGGGGCTTCCCCAAGATTCAATATATCGGGTCCACAAGCTGCTGAGCGCACGGGCCCCTTGAACCATTCACTTGATTTTCATCTCCCGGATGCGCTTCCATGTCTCACACAAACCCTCAAGTGCACAATACAATGGCGAGTGTGCTCAACAACCTCTTTGGAGGCAAGTCCGCAGCCAGCGCTCAGCCGTCGCAGGCTGGCGGCGACTCTGGTAGGTGCAGTTGATGGAGGGGAACACCTGGTGCGCGGCAGCTTGCTGCTTCTCTTCCAAGTTCGATATCTGCTCTGGAAGCTAATCAGGATCGTAATGCTCGCACCATTGTCCACTCAAGGTATGGTTATCTGACCAGTACAGTGTTGCTGATCCGTCGTCGTCGTGGTAGACTTCGCCGACTTCTCCAAAGGTCCCGAGCCCTCGGCCACCTCCGTCCCGTCGGCGGCCCCTGTGTCGCCGGCTTCGAACACTTTCGGCGAGGCCCAGCCCCAACAGACCCTGCGTCCGTACACAAAATGGTACAATGTGCATGAGCGCTACACGCTGTCAGACTTCAAGGCCGAAGGCATCATCCTGTCCGTTATCGCTGTCGTCCTGCTCCTCCATCTCGTCGGCGCCCGTCTGAATCGCTCCAAGGCCAAGAAGTGGATCCAGGCCCACGCCGCGCCCCTGACCTCCGAATTCGCCCTCGTTGGCTTCGCTGGGGTCCCGCCCATCGTCGCGGATAAGAAGGGCGATGAGTTGGTCCAGGCCCTAGCCGACGCGAACGCGCAGCAGGGCGAGAAGCTGCTCAAGGAGAAGAGCCTGTTCGAATTCGCCACCTACGCGACTGGCCGCGGCAACGTCGCCTTCCTTGATGTGAAGCTCACGCTTCTGAAGCGGTTCAACCCGCTTACCGTGTTCTTCGAATACGCAATGGCCTTCTTCTTTGATAGCGTTGCTCAGACTTACGACGTTGCCGAGGCTGCGATCTACCCATTTGACGGAAAGGAGGCGCTCACCGTACCCGGCCTCCCCGGTGCTGCTGAGCTTCGCACTAAGGACAGCAAGAGCTCCTTCGACAACTTCGTCTGGGCCATTGTCCACAAGGAGGGCATGAAGCAAGTCCGCGATGACCGCTACGATGTTTCGCTCACCGTCACCAAGGACAACTCCAAGCTCCCGAACTGGTTGACCGTCATGAGCGAGAGCGCCGAGATTACCGACGCTCTGCTTACCCCTGAGCTTGCTAGGGCCGTCGAGGCCGCGGGAGACCTGTTTGAGTATCTCATCGTCTCGGACCAGCCGATTGAGAAGCCCAAGACGTAAGCCCGCATGCATTACTGAGTCCATAACCCGGACGTTTCGCTAATACAAGAACGCTGCAGACTCAACGAGACCGTCCCGCGCAAGCGCATCTTCCTTAGGTACCGCTTGCCGCCTAACGATGACTACACCAACCTCGTGCCCCTTTTTAAGTACTTCCTGCGCCTCACCGACAAGCTCGTGCAGGTGGCGCACTTCCGGCCGGAGGTGCTGCGCAAAGTGAAGGCAGCGCGCGACTACGTGGCGAAGGAAATCCAGAAGGCCGACGAGGAGAGCAAGGCCGAGGAGCGCGCCGCCGAGCGCGAGCGGCTCAAGAAGGAGAAGCGCGACCGGGAACTGAACGCGCTCGACGCCAAGGCGCAGAAGAAGTACCTCGAGAAGGAGCGCGAGAAGGAGTTGAAACGAAGCATGAAGAAGCAAACCATGAGGGCATGATTTCCGCCATAAGACGGGAACCTATAGAGGCGGTAGATCGACGAGATTTAGGGGGGTTATTGTCTGGTGTGGTGGTCAGGCCTTGCTCAGGATATGTACGTCTAAGTTGAAGAACGAATCTGCGCATGTGCATATGCCGCAGCAATTTTAATGTTTATGAATGGCGCGATCGGGTTTCTACCGAGTAAGGTACGTAGGTAATTACTGGTGAAAGACTCAAGGGAAGTGGACAGGGAAGCAAGAGGAAGAGTGAGCCAAGCTATACTTTCCATTAAATCCCCTCCGCAGCTGATACTCTCCGCGGTCTCTAGACCTACTGCCCATCCCTGGCCAGGATCTCCTCAACCCGCTTCACCTTCTGGTCAGCCGTCTGAGCCTTGTCGGTTCTTGGTGGAAAGGCACAACTTGTGTTAGCTTCATCAAGACATCCAAATGTGTTTGCAGGTTTGCACTCACCGAGTGCCGGCGCGCATCGAGGTCTGCACCCTGACGGCGCCTTTCTGGTGCACCACCGTATGAGCCTGGCCAATAACCTTCATGACCTCATCCCAGTTGCCTTCTGTTTTACACGTCAACTACGTGTATTCCATAATGGACAAGATCTATGTGAAATCATGGGAAGACACTTACCCACTGTTGTGCCAGCCGAGTGCATCGTGTAAGACAAGCCGCTGGCTTTGAGCAGCTTCTGCACCTCGGCGACTTCCTCCGCGACCGAGGCGTGGCCGGTCCCAACCTGGTAGATAGATGGTGTCGGTGTTACTGAAGTGAAACGTGGGGGGGAAACAGAGGCTATCTATCGCATTGTAGATATGCTAATAATAAAGGAGCTTACGGGGACAAGACAGAAGTCTACATAGCAGTGGAACGGTGTCGGGACGTTGGAGTAATCGGTTGGAGCCATATTGCCTCGTTTGTGTGAGTCTGACAGGCACCTGGTACGTTGAACAAAATGGTTGTGAGGGCGCTTGAATGTGACGACGGGCCTGAAGCCGTGATGTCGGTAGGGATATCGGACAATCATGGATCGCTTGGAAGCTGGGGGGTTGCTCTACCTTACATACCTACATGGAGGCAGGAAGTTGGGTCTTATGTGGGGCTCCGATCTAAGTTGTGTTCTGCTGGCAAGAGAAACGACGCACCTCCACCAAGATTGAAGACGTCACAATAACGTGTTACTACGACAACACGGAAGTACTGCACGGTTCCAGACCGCTCTCTCGACTCTCGAGTCCGGTCTAGGCTCGAGACAGATCCCCGAATGTCCGCAAGCTCTTCTGGCGGCCGCGGTCGGACAGAACACAGACAACGGATACCAGGCAACTTTAACAGAGGAGACAAAACTCCAAGCCATGCCCGGTAGGTCCCACGACTGTTTTAAGATACAAACCTTAAAAAGAACGGAAAGGAATGTCGTGAAGGGGGTTAACTATTCCGCTGTCTGTAAACCGGTTATTATGGGTGCAGATCACAAGCTCAAGTCACTGCTGAACATAACGTCAAGACGCGATGTTCCCGGCGGCCTCAGGGCTGACTCTTCCCCTGCACCGTAACACTCATAAGTCGAATCGATAGCATTCATTCCAAAGTAAACCCATCGACCTATAAGGCTTCCACTAGTCGGACGTCGAATGCTCGAGTCTGCGTCTTCTCGGGATCGGTCAACAAATAAGCCCTATCTCCTTTCCCCGTATAGGCACCAGAGCTAACTAGAGAAGAGGAAAGTAAAGTCACTCCGTAAAATCCATAACACCTTCCATCATCCATCCCAGAGTCACATGAAAAGAGAAGCGTGGAGACCGTGTCACCGTGAAACAGACTCCGCTCCGTAGACAGCCGCACTGCCGACCCCGAGGCCGCCCAGGACTGCCAGGCCCCAAGCCAGCGATGCTGACTCCCAATCGAAATCATCGTCCGGTAGGACGTCGGCCAAGACAAGGTCCGCCTTCGCAGCCGGGGTCGGTTCATATGTCTCATCACCGGGAGCCTCGTCCAGTTCCAGATCTGGCTCCGGCTCCGGCTTGAGTTTGACCTTCCTCGGCCGACCCCTGCGTTTCGGCGTCTGATGCGTGTCTTCGTTGGCCGCCTCAAAACTGGAAATACTGGACACGCTCGTCTTCTTCGGCCGGCCGCGATGCCGCAGCCTCATGGAGAATCCAGGGGCATGGTGCGACGGCGACGCCTCAAGGGCAGCAGGCTCGGCCTTCGGAACATGGGACGCTGCTTTGGTCGCAGCGCGCCGCAGGAGCGTAGGAGTCGGAAACACCTGGCGGAGCATGGTTGCCACGTCTGTCCCACGGACAGCAGCCCACAGACCCAAACTCAGAGCGCAGAGGAGCGCGTCCTTTCCGGCACCGGCAACCACAGGGTGGTCGGTCAGAGAGTCCAGGATCTTCTCCGCCGCCGTTGCAGTCCGTTCCCACTTGGACCTCTTCACCGTGTCGAACGGGATCTTGATGCTGTGTCGGTGTTTGCGCGAGCCGGGCAGGTTGTAGAGCACGGCAGAGACGGTGGTCTTTGCGTACATCAGACCGCTTGCCGCTGATATGATGTTGAACAGCTTGCTGATGCCGGGATACGCGTCGCGCGGATCAGAATAGACGTGGCCCCAGGAAGCCGGGGCAACAGCAGGTAGTATCAGCGCGGCGAGAGAGAAAAGCTTGGCCAGGACCACCGTCGCGGGAAACGTTGGCTTTCCGGCCGCGATTGGGAGCCAGAGCAGTGCCGCGTAGTAGAAAGTCAAGGGGACCGCGATCAGAGAAAGCTTAGGCAACCAGTTCTTCGGCTTCTTTGGCAGTAGACGATGCACGAGCCGCGCGAGCCTAGCCATGTTAGTTCGTTCATCAATCAATCTCCAGTTCTGGGCGAGAGAGTCATACCTTGTTTCCCGAGTTGGCATGGGCACAGGAGCTTGGAGCATTGCCACATGAAACAGGTTCTGAGCGAAAGAGAGGCTGACAAGATGAGGCAGCACAGCGTATGCCCAGAGGTGCGGGATTCTGCGGCGTCGCCCTTCAATGGCCAGCAGCGCTGTCCATGATACCGTTGCGAGGTCTAGCTGCTGGCCCCACCATAGCCTTCGAGTCTGTTCGGCAACGATTTCCATGGCGTCCATGTAGACTGGAGTGTCGCTTAGCCAACGAGAAAGGTGCGCACCGGCCTCGCACATGGCATCTTTCGTGCTCAAGGTGCTGTTTCCAAACAGACTCTCTGTCGTGAGCGGCTCAACTCCTCTCTCAGACGCCCACACCTTGTAAGAGAGGCTTAGATGATCCAGGCTGGAAGTCACGGCAAACACCAGTCCGAGCGCCGCTAAGCTGCCAAAGGCGACCGTAAGCTTGCTCCGTTCCGCGGTGCGGTGTCGCGTGTCCTGCGCCGGTCCGAGGGCTTTATGGGACCGGTAAAGGCTCCGCCCAACCGTCAAGGACGCATACGCAGCAGAGACAATGCGTAGGCCTGCTACCACTAGAGGTAGGTACCTTGTGCAACAAGTCAGCTCTCACTCTTCTCCAAACTGCCTGAGGTGAGTTGGGAGCTTTACCCTGATTGAGTCTCAATGTCCACCGGCGCCATCTCCGTCGCTCATCAAGCTTCTAACTCGAAACCTTTTGAATGAAAAGAAAATGAATTGAAGGTGCAGCTGCATTTGGCAGCCTCCAGAGCCTCACTACTAGCTTTTGGCCTCGAGAAACACCAAGGCACTGTCATGGAAGCGCGTCATGCTCCCTGGAATAATAACAATGTGCGAGCTATGACGACACCAACTGGCAACCACGCCAACTCCCGCCCGCCCTTATCTTATCGCATTCGTACAGTCTGTGCGCGCCGCAAAGGACGTGGGTCCAGGGATAATTCTTACCATACGCAGTACAGGCCGTACGGCAGAGGCGTTATTTCGTGATCGTCTCCGTAAGTTTCACACTTTGATACTAGCTGTTCGCAAATACAGCACAATGCCTGTGGACAAGTGCTGGCTCAACAAATGGCGTCTGCTGCGTAAGAATGCCTAAAGTGGGAATATTGCAGTCCGCTGCAACAGGGAAAAGACTCTGCATGGCCGGTTTGGTCCAGAGGCCTGTACGCAACGCTCAGGGGAGGGCCATCCATAGGCGGGTCTTACGTTGGGGAAGTACTACTCGATTGAGAGGCTTCCTCGTACCAATACCAGGAGCAGGCCGCATCTCAGAGCACAGCAGGGCGATGATATTGTCCAGATATCAGCAGGCGCTCCTGGATAGGTGCTGGGGGCCCTACGACTGGTACACTGGCGGGGACCACGGCAGATTCAAGACCAACCTGGAATCCACAGGACGCGTGGTAGCATTCCTAACCAGGCACCCTCATGAGGGCTCGCCCTAAACGGTTGAAAGCCTCGCCCGACTGGGTGTGCTATAAATCGAGCTCTCACCATAGTATAAGAACGATACGAAGAACCACCAAACGTACAATCCTCCTGCGGGGTAACATTCTAACAGATGTGTAAACGATATCCTTAATAAGCATCAGCGTCCGGAAGCCCTGCCACCACTGAGGTGTCCGTGTTGAAGCCCAGTAGTCATCTTTGTCTCGCCATGTGTTGCCTGTCTTGAGGTCGCAAAAGACGAGATTGCCACCATTCGTGATCATACCGGAGTCGATCCTCCATCTCCTCCAAAGCATCTTCTGGTGTACACTCGCGATGGGGAAGCCCAGTGATACCCTGGTAACCCAATGAGAATCGAAACAGTTTCGAGAGTGTCTCGAGTAGAGATACAATGCTCTCTTCTGGCACATCCTCAGCGTTTGCGGGGGAAAAGCCCTTCCTTCCGTTTCGAAGCATGCCCAGCCAGATCTGCCCAAGAATGGCGGCAACACATCGCTCATCCGAATGCTGGCAAGCATTCTCAGGCGCCGTTTTAGCCGTAACCTGAGCGTGGAAGAAGTCAAGGAGTTCCTGAATGCAATACAGCCGGCGGTCTACGATGACACCTGCCACGGTTGATACATTGGGTCAGTAGAAGGATAGTAGCATGGGAAGCAGCAGCAGCCGGACGTCGCCCACCTGCAATGTCTACTTGGTCGAAGTTTCCGTGAACAATTTCCAGGATGACTCGCATGGCTGATAGATTGTCCTCAGGAAGGGACACCACCCACTGCCTCTCAGAGTTCGTCGAAGGTTGGGACTCGATCCAGGGTCCAAAAAGCATCGCTTTGAACACCGGTGAGGCGCGTCGCAAGGTGGCTGAGCAGACTTTGAAATCCCTGATCCCGTCCGTTCCGCCTGACCCAATCCGCAGAACCAATTCGCCATCAGGGTCGATGATCACCACAGTGGTGGGCGAGCTCGATGGAGTGTCCACCGTACTGTTCGGCTGGTCGGCATCTGAAGCGCTCATTTGGAATTTTGAATTGGCAATGGCGACAACATTCTGGGCGTTAAAAGAAGAAAGAAAACCTGTGTTGCGATACAATACCACCCAAAAAGAAGAATGGAAACTACCTTGACCTAGGTACCTTATCCAGTCGGTTGGGAAGTTCAGCGCCACACCAGTTAGCCTAGTCGGTAAGCACATCCTATATCATGGCAGGTGACGCCACGGAATAACACGGCTTTTCCACTTCTGCCTGTCGAGATATCATTACTAGTACAGAGTGCGAGGGGATCCCGCTAGCTTCGAAGTCGATAGAAGATGCAGTCTATCCATGTTCCTACCTGGTACATCGCAAAGAGTGGTGGATTCCTATTCTGGCTTCCGTTACTTTTCAGTACGTGGAAGAGACCGAGCGCCGTGGACCGTCTAAGTGACAGCTACCTACGTACCTTATTAGCAATCGTTGGAGTTGCCTCACATCAGTGACGCACATTGCAGGCCCTGAGCAGCGACAGGACTCGTACGAAATTCGTATCACTACCATCAGGGAAGTTCCTGGCCATGGAACACTATGACAACCACAATCCTGGCAGTACATGTCTCACATCCTCTATCTGCTAGCTTCATTGCCCTGGCTGTGCGTATGCCTGCCGGGTATCAGGAGAGAATTCGTGACGGAACCACCACTGGGCTTTTTGGGTGTGATTCTACCAACAATGGTGATCTCCACGTGTTCAAGACGGATTCTATAGCTTTAAAGAGCATTCTTCAATTTACCGCTCTTTGCCGGCAAGCATCACGCCGCCAACTAAGGGTAGGATATTCCGTCGTACTGGTTTTGGGTGATTGACAGCCATGAGAACACTTATAACTCATCGCACGCTCGGGCTTTGTGGTTCTCTTACTTTCGAGTATAAGACCCTTAGCCTCCCGTGAGCAGAGCGGCAAGCGGTCCTCGCTACCTCTTAGGAAGAATATCAGAGACCCGTGAGGTTTCGCATGCGCTCTTAAGTAGGTACCTGATATCCAGAACGATTCCCCTAGCATCGCCAACAGCCAGTATGTCGTTCCCCTCCTCCATATCCGGAACGACTCTGATTCAAGCACTGGAGTCAAGTGTCTTCCTCGACCGAAAAGCCTCTAAAGACGACTGAAAAACCACCTGTGAAGGAGGACGAGAAAAAGTGCAGGATGTGAGGGAAGAATTTCACGAGCGCAGCCAACACTTGTACCTGTTACTACAGTGACCGAGCCGACTGACAAGATCTGGCACGGGCGGATGGGTGTCTTTTGGAGATCCAAAGTATGACCTTTTTGGGTGGCTATTTGGGCTACGTAGTTCGCTGGGGTTGAAAGATGGACGGAGTCCGGAGATCGAACTTCCTCGCCCATTTGCTCGCTGGCATCGAACTCAGGAAGAGTCTTGATTTATCTTGATTTTAGAACCGAAACCTCTTCAGCTTTGCTAATAAGCGACTTTGTTATGCCTGCTTCCTTTCCCTTTTGCTAGGCTGTTGTGCGGATGGCAAAGGGTTCCTGTAGGAAAATGAGAGTCAGAGTTTGCCGCTTTACAGTATGTAGTATAGTAGGTAGGGTAGGGCGCACAATGACTAACAGGCTTGCCAGTCGAATTCAACTTCCCTCCACCAGCTAGACGCCTTGACTTGGGTGCCGCCTTTGAATCCCAGGTGGGCACAGTGATTGGCCTACCGGTTCCTGTCGGTGATCAAACCTGCATTTTGAATTGCCGCATAGAGAAGTGCCATGCGCTGCTAGCCGGCCAAGCAGCGGAACTGTGAGAGGGGTTTCGCCTGAGCGTTGTATGGATGCTATTATAACGAATCGGGAGGATGCATACGACCGCGGTTACGAACTACTAGTATAATTCGATAGGACAGCCAGAGTGACGCACGCCCGTCACGCATATCACTGCCGCTGATGAGACCCAATGGCAGGCACACAGATCACCAATTACCGTATCACATAGTGACTGTTACCCGTGGCGTCTGCATTGCTGCCCTCATCGGCGGGGTTGATGTTGAGAAGCCAGGGCTGGGATAAATGCATGGGCGCATGAATGCCCTCGATGCGCATGTGGTGTAGAGTCCTCCTTGTCGATTGAGTTGGTATCCCTTGAACGAAGTTGTTGCGGGCTCCTTCAACCCATGCTCAATAACATTGTGAAGCTGGGATCCAGGCTCAGAGTGCAGCAGAATCGAGCCAAGTTGTCGACGAAGTGTGAAAGGTGTAAGCGAAGCTCCTCCCTTCGCAGACATCGATCAAGAAACCTTAGGTCCAGTCTAAACGATACTCCTCAACAGCTCCAATCCTCACAATGATGGCGTTCTCTGGACTAACCATCGAGTTCACCCCTACATCTTGGGTTCTCATAATTCTGGCAGTCACCAGCATCGCCTATGTGGCATCCTCTTGTATCGCCTGGTGGCGGCTTCGCCACTTCGATGGCCCCTTCTCCGCGTCCTTTTCCTACGTTTGGCTCACCGCTGCCTTGTACGGCGGCCGTATGTATGAGCGGCTTGACGAGGCACATGCTCGACATGGCTCCGGGCCCTCGACAACCATCCGGATTGGTCCCAACGAGCTGCTCACCAGCAACCCAGAAGTCATGCGACGGACCGGGGCGGCACGGTCTCAGTATACGCGATCCGGATGGTACAAGTTGAGCACGGTTGATCCTTACATCCCCGCCATGTTCAACACACTCGACACGGCCACTCATGACAAGATCAAGGCCCAGACGGCGGCGGGTTATGCCGGCAAGGATATCCCGAGCCTCGAGGCAGATATTGACGCGGTGCTGGCCGAGATGGTCGATAAGATCCGGACCAAGTATGCGAGCGGGGATTCCAACGAGGAGGCGGCCAAGAGGCCGATGCTGGACTTAGCCACCATCGCGCAATATTTCACCCTTGATTCCATCTCCCAGGTCTCATTCGGAGAGAAATTCGGCATGATTCGGGAGGGCCGTGACATCTACGGCCATATCGATTTCCTCCACGAGGTCGCCTGGGTACAGGTACTTGTCGCCAGCAACCCGTACTTACGGACCATCATGGGATCGAATGTCGTGCTCAGCTTGCTTGGGCCGAAGCCGGGAGACAAGAAGGGAGCTGGGAGGATGTGGCGGTCCGTATCCTCTATCTTGGTTCGTATTAGCCCAGCCTGACAAAGGGGTTCTAGGATCGCGAAGCCGATTGTGGCGAAACGGTTTCGGCCGGATGCCAAAGACCAACCGGACATGCTAGTTCGTTGCCGTCATTCCTCTCTTAACCCCTGTTTAAGAGTTAGTACACTCTCTAAGAGCGGGACCTACTGACGCCTCGAAACCCGTCCCAACACAAACAGGGCTCCTTCATCCGCCACGGTCTGGACCAGCGCCAATGCGAGACAGAAGCCCTCTTCCAAATCATCGCCGGCTCCGATACCACGGCCACGGCGATTCGCTGCACGATGCTCTACCTCATGAGCACGCCGCGCGCCTACCGCGCCCTGCAGGCCGAGATCGACCAGGGCATCAAGGGCGGCAGGATCTCCAGCCCCATTACCAACGCCGAGGCCAACGAGCTGCCCTATCTTCAGGGCGTCATCCTCGAGAACCTCCGGCTCTACCCGCCCTTCACAGGCATCCCCTTCAAGGTCGTGCCGCCAGGCGGCGAAACCATCGAGGGCAAGCACGTGCCTGCCGGGACGCTGATCGCGCCCAACATGTGGTCGCTGGGGCGTAACAAGGACGTCTTCGGCCCCGACGCAGACGTGTTCCGCCCCGAGCGGTGGCTAGACAAGTCAGTGTCCCCGGAGGAGAGGGCCGAGATGCGGCGGGTGGTGGAGCTGGTGTTTGGCTATGGCCGGTGGGGGTGCGCCGGGAAGATGATTGCTTTCCTCGAGTTGAACAAGGTGTTCGTTGAGGTATGTCGTGTTGCCGTTTCTATGGCTTGATTCCGGAATCGGTATGGAGTGTGTGGCCTGGATGATGATTGTTGACAAAATGATGCGACCGCAGCTGCTCCGCCGATTCGACTTCCAGCTGGTGTACCCTTACCGGCCGTGGACGAGCATCAATTACAACCTGTTTCTGCAGCACGACATGTGGGTTGCTGTCTCGTTGCGGGAGGAGCCGCAGTCTGAGAAGTACTAGTAGGTCGAATACATTTATTGGGGACTGGCGTGCGGCTGTTGTGTTGATGCCTACCTGGTACTCTCGTGATTTCAGTTATTATGATGCTCGGGACTTTCCTTGGTTTCTCGGCGAGTGAATGGTGTATGGAATCTTCAAATCAAGCTGAAGGTTGATGTAGGTAGTTTGACAGAATCAATTTGAGCAGTTCATGTATAGTGAGAGGCACCGGCACAGTACCAGGCGTCGCGGTGATGAACGATGGTGTTCATGACCAGGCCTCGAACATAGATTGTACTGTACGAATAAATACCTCCCTACACTTTTGGTATGTTCTGGCTGTGTCATAGACGGTATTGTAATTTGTACCTTAGTATGTCAGTACTATTACATAGGTACACCGCATGGTGTGTAACGTTACGCAGTACTGAACCCGACCGCTTCCTCGCCAAGACTCCTACCCCTACCCTTGCTTAGCCTTGGTACTGAAATGGTTTCCCTTCTCACCTTGTGGACCAGCGTTCCCCAGACCCGAGGACGTCACACGGTTTTGGAGCTTCACAGCCCGATTCCGTGCTTGCGCCAAAGGCGGCGGCCTGCCAGAGACTGACAGCACCAAAACGCCGAAAACGCAGAGGTTCCTCAATCAAAACAGCAGGGGAAACATGTACCACCTCGCCAAGGGCCTCTACCGGCTGGCAACGAGCAAGGAGGGTATGTCCATCCCGCATCCCCCTTTTCAAGCGCCGCCTCTGATTAAGACCACTGGCATCCCCTGACACATTAACAGAATACTCTGTCCTTCTCCTCGGGCTCGACAATGCTGGCAAGACCACCTTCCACGAGCAAGTAAAGTCCATCTTCCTGCCCGACAACCCGTCCCCGAAGCTCAAAACCGTCCCCACCGTGGGGCAGAACGTCTCGACCATCATCCTGCCCGACATGTACCTCAAGATCTGGGACGTCGGCGGCCAGCTGTCGCTCCGCAAGCTCTGGCAGTCGTACTACGCGTCCTGCCACGCCATCGTCTTCATCATCGACAGCACCGACATCGGCGACGGCAGCCTGGACCACGACGACAGCTCCGGGCGGCTGGAGGAGTGCCGGCTGGTCCTGGAGGACGTGCTGCAGAACAGCGAGGCCGAGGGCGTGCCGCTGCTGATCCTGGCCAACAAGCAGGACCGGGAGGACTGCGTGGAGGTGGTGCGCATCAAGGAAGGCTTGGTGAAGCGCGTGTTTGAGGGCGAGAAGGCCGGCGGGATACGCGACTCGAGGGTGCTGCCTGTGTCGGCGCTGACGGGGACGGGCGTGAGGGAGGCGGTCGACTGGGTCCGGTCCAGGGTGAAGTGGAATAAGGAGAGTCGGCCGCCCGTCATGAGGTGAGACTAGTGGGATACATGACTCAGGAAGAGAAACTATGTCGCCGCCAGGTGTGATGCTCTGTCGAGGTGGAGCGCCCGGCGGGAGACGAGTCCGAGCAGCTGGCTCAAGACTTCCCATTCCCAACCCGGTCCCGGAAGAGTTTGGGAGGCTAGGACGGATGGTTGAGCCCCCGTCACCGGCTCATGTTGGATGAACATCGGAGAAGTGCGTCAAAAGCGAACGGAGTGACTCGCAGATGCACCAACATCGGACGAGACGGTCAAGATCGGCTAAGCGATTGCAGCGGTGGCTCTCGAGGACACCAGATGCCGTCCTTGGATATATAAGGCCACAGCTGAGACCGATTCGCAGGGTACCTCAGTAGCACAACAACCAAGGACACAGGGTGTGCGATGATTTCGATGACTCGGAAGATACCACATTTGACCAGGATTACAGCATGAGGATGTTGGTAAGCCGCAGGTGGACGCGGTTACGGTGGGAGCTGGCAAGTGAGCCCAGCAAAGCTAGAGTTTATAGCCCTTATTGGGCATCCCACATCTGACGTGTCATCACTTTAATCTGCGGTATTTGCCCCTGCTTCTCGCGCAGGAAACAACCATATCTCTTCCGGAGGAAGAAGCTTCTATGACCTCTCGTTGCTCCGCGTGAAACACGCATGTAGCCCGGTTGCCGCTGTTAGGCCCAAGACCGGGCGTCACGACCCTCCGTTGAAGCCTACTGTCAACCGCAAGCCAAATCTCTCTGTGAACGACCCAACAAGCCGCGGGTATCTCACCTAGCCCGATCCTAGAGCTTTCCCTGGCCGATAAGACATCCGTCAAAGAACGTGATGATCGTTAGGCCATGTCCGCACCCTTCTTCCACTTCGTCCAGCTCTTTTTAAGTTCCATGGGTCCCTCACCTATCATTATCCGCCTTCAACTGCGCCATAAATCCGCCCTTATCCCTCCTCTTCAAGTCCTCCGTCAATCTCCTGTCCATCAACTCCGAAAACTCCTTCACCTTTGTCAACGCCACGCTCGTGCATTGCAACAGCGAGACCGCATCTACCGGTGTCCCGCCCAGCTTCGCAATCTGGCAGATTTCCCCATGCTTGTTCAGGCTGACGGTGCAGCTACCCACCCGCACCTGCTCCTCCAGCCAGGTCGCATCCAGCACCGCAAACTCGCCGTCCTCCCCGAAGAAGCTCCACGTGACGCAGAAGGGCGAGTGCAGCCAGCTGAGCGGCACCGGCTCCCGCTCGGCGGGCGTGTACACGGTCAGCACGCCGGCGTCCATACTCGTGTCGGGCTTGCGAAAGTGACGCAGCGCGGCCACGACGGCGAAGCACGCGGCGTCGATCAGGTTGCCGTCGTGCGAGAGCACGTGCACGTCAACGCGGACGGACCAGCATTTTTGGCCGGCGACGAGGCAGAGCGATTCCGTGTCGAGCGCGCCCGAGCGGCGGACCGTCTTCTCGAGGAGGCGCGAGAGGAGCACTTCGGTTTCGGTCGCGCGGTTTACCTCAAAGGAGGGGGAGGTCATCGGGCTGAGCTCGGTGGCGATGGTGAAGATGCCGTCGAGAGGTCGGTCTGTGTACGGTACCGTGACTTCGGCTGTGGCTTTGGCGAGGACTCTGTACGGGAATGGTCAGAGGGGAATCGTCGCGTAGGAGCGCCCTTGCGCTTTTGTCGAGCGTACCTCGTCTTGCCTAGTGTTACGTCTGCGACGCCATATTCCTCGCCAAAATTGAGCTCTAGCGGCCGGTATTGGTCAAGCTCACGGCCGTCAAGCCGCAGGTTCTCTTGTAGAGCCTGTAAAACAAACTGCCTCTCATTGAGAGATGGTTCTACTTCTCGCGGCATCTTGATTGAAATCGTATTATGGTAGAATTGCAAGTCTTGGGTTAGGACATAGGTCGGTTCGACTTGTCTGGAGGGGCGTCTTTCTGCCGCTAGAGCCCGCCAAAACTTTAGCGCATTCTGCCACTGTGACGCAGGCGGTGAGTGCGATAAGTTAGCCTGGCAGTTACCCATGCACCCTTGCGGCTCCCATCTTCCAGCAACAACACCCCAGCAATCATAAACAGCTTCCCTCAGCAGCGAAAGCGTATACCTCTATTACAGAACCAGCAAATCCGATCCAGCAGTCAAAATGACTACAGCTCATAGGCCTACATTTGACCCAGTAAGCGAACGGGTGACTCGAATATTGACAAAGGATATGCTCTGCTAACAGCAGTCCCTAGGCCCGTGGAAAAGAAGCGCTCCGCGGACCGGCGTACCATCAGCGCCTCCTACCAGCATATACGCAGCTCAAGTTTAGGTACACGCGCGAACTCAGTAGACCCGCTCACTTGCACTTTGTACATCAATACTGACTGCTCCAGAAAACCCGGCCAAGGCGGTGAAGCCGACCGCACCACCCGCGACCTGCGCGCCGAGCTCGAAGCCGCCGAGGCAGCACACTACGCCAAGCTCAAGGGCGCGCCCATCCCCGGCACATCTTCCGAACCCAACGGCCCGGAAACATCATCGGCCTCGAACAAGCGGCCGCTAGCTCTGGGCGGCGGCGAGCGCGGAGATGATGAGGAAGAAGATGCAGAAGCGAAGCGGCGGCGCATCCTCGCCGAAACGCGCGACATAGATGCAGACGACAGCGACGCATCAGGCGGCGACTCGGACGAGGATGACGACGATAGTGACGACTCAGACGACAGCGACGACTCGGACGCCGAGCTCGCGCGCGAGCTAGAGCGGGTGAAGCGCGAGCGGGCGGAGAAGCGGGAGCGCGAAGAGCGCGAGCGGCAGGCGGCGGAGCAGGAGGCGCGCGAGCGGGACATCGCGTTCGGGAATCCGCTGCTGAATAAGCCGGATTTCAACATCAAGCGGCGGTGGGACGACGACGTGGTGTTTAAGAACCAGGCCAGGGGGACGGAGGATAAGGGGAAGAGGAAGGAGTTTATTAATGTGAGTTGACTTGTTCTGGCCTAGTGATCACCTACTCAGGGAATACTGACAGTGCTCTAGGACTTGCTGCGGTCAGATTTCCACAGGAGGTTCATGAGCAAGTACGTCCGGTAAGAAAGCGATCGGGAGGAGAAGGCTCTGAAGGCGAAGGCCAACTGTAATGGAAGCTCCTGTGACGGCGGGGCAGCATCATGGGCATAGAAGGCCGTGGAGTTCGGGACATTCGATAATCAGGATCACCGATGAGCATTCTGCGGCGAGCTTGCGGCGTATTATTCGGTCCCAACCCCCTTGACCAACAGCGTATCAAACCCGTACCATTAGGAGAGTGCCTAACTCCTCAATCGTCCGATACCTTACTCAACTCATCACTCCCCTTTCCTCTCACCTTCCCTTCTTCCGCTCCTCCAGATCCGCAACTGCGGCGAAAGCCTTCTGAATAGCTCTCGCGCTCTGCCAAAGCAACACTGTTCCCCCCCAGTCGTCAGCCTCCGTTTCCTAGAACCCCACTACATACCCCGGGGAAAGAGCTGGTAAAGGTTAAATTAGTAGTAACAAAGAAAATACTAGTACTCACAGCAAGGGACCAAAACCCAAGGCGCGTTCATGCCGACGTAATAGCCCCAGTAATACACCGGCTCGGGCCGGCTGTAGGAAATGCCACGCATGTGCTCCGCAAAGCCGCAGGTTCCGTAGTAGAGCGCCACGCCGTACAGGTGCCCGACGCACACGACGGCCTGCAGCAGGTGCCGGGTGCCCTGCTCGCGGGGGCGGCTGCGGGCGGTGAGGACGGCGGTTGCGAGGGAGAGTGGGCCCCATGTCAACTTCGAAGTTTGCGACACATATTAGTTACCTAGGTAGATGGGTTACACGGTAGGTTCTGATGTTGACGGAAGGTGCAAAAGAGGAAAAAGGTGGTTTTTCTTTTTCTTTGGGTGGTCACGTACGACGGTCAGGGTCTCGATGCAGAGCATGAACGGGTCCGAGGTCAGGTAGCGCGAGTCGGAGAGGCCGTATTCCTTCCAGAGCTGGGCAAAGAGGGACTGAGACGAGGGAACGGAGGCATGGTGCAGGACGAAGTAGCCTTTTTTTTCTCAAGAAGTTAGTCTTGCGTTGGTTGTGCGGGAGGTCTAGCCTTGGTCGAGGGATGGGGCGGGGGGGCATCTGCCTTCAAAGAAGCAATGGAGGAAACCGCCTGGTTGAGGAGTTAGCTGTGAGACCCATATCACCGAGAACAGCATGCAAATTAAATTATACATAATGCAAACCATCCAACTGTCAGTTGGTCTGCTCTCCTCAGTGTCGGGTTATATTGCTTTGACAGCGCAATGCATCCTAGGACGAAAACGCCCACGACAGCCCCGAAGGCGCTGAGGATAAGTGGCAAGCCGGTAGTGTTGAGCACATATCCCGGGATAACTGCGTCCTGGGGAAAATAGGGGTGCCCTTGCGACGGGAATATGGCGCCGGCTGTCATGGGTTCTGGTTCTTCTCGTTTCTTCAGGTTCTGCTGACGATGTGACGGGAAAGTCTGAAGCTGACCGCCCACAGTTCGATCAGCGACAAGGATTGGCCCTGGTAACGGGTACAATTTCCGCGATCTGTCAGAGGCATACCCTGTCGAGCCTGTCTGAGCTGCCAGCGACGTCTCTGATCGACATTGATACCGGTGAGGATACTCCGTAGTAGGTATTTATTTGCGTGTAAAGCATCCAAATTCAGAAAACAACCCCTGACAAGCCGCGAAAGGCGATGCAAAGCGTGGATACTATGCGATGGGGACCACCAGTTGTTTACCTACTGAATCGCGCTCTTAAATTCTCAAGGATTATTTAATCGTCAAACCCTCCCCACTCGTCCCTATCTTGCTCATCCTCTTCCTTTGCTTGCTGTCCACCTCCGCCATCAACATCCCCCACCTTCGCCGTCTTTGCCTTCTTCAACCTGGGCATCCCATCCGGCCCTCTCACGATCCGCCCCGCGGCATCCCTCTCAAACGGGCCCTCTTGATCATCAGCCCCCCCAAACCTCAACTCCTCCTCCTCCTCCTCCTCCTCCTGATCGCTGTCCGATATACCCAACTCAACCGCCTTCCTCCCCGTACTCTTCAGCGTCGGAATCCCATTCTCATCCCGCACAATCCGCCCTTGCGCATCCCTCACGTACGGGCCTTCCTCATCCCCCGCCTCCCCCGCCTCCTCCTTCTTCGTCTCCTCCCTAACAAAACAAACAACAAAAAACCCCATCACCCCCCTCCCATCCTCCCTACTACTCCTTACACAGCCATCCGCCACCACATCATCACCACAAGCCCGGCCGTCGCCGCGGACGGGCCACTCCCGCATGCCGCGCACCTGCTCCGCGCGCCGCAGCACGCGCCAGCCCCGCTGCCGCGCAATGTCCGAGCCCAGCGCGCGGAGCACGACCCCTTCGTTCTCGACGGCGTGCACCGAGCAGGTCGAGTAGGTCACCTTCCGGGCGGCGGGGAAGGTGAACGCGTGCAGCAGGATCGACAGCTGGAAGGCGGCCAGCGCGGCGAGGCGCGCCTGCAGCGCTTGGGGGCTGGTGAGCTGGGTTTCATTGCCTTCGTCGTCTACTAGGATGACTGCTGCTGCTGCTGTGTTGGTGCTGCTGCTGCTGCTGCTGGTGGTGGTAGTGGTGGGTGGGTTTGGCCCGGATGAGTCTGAGGAGGAGGAGGGCTGCTGGGGCCGTTTGCGTTTGCGGTTGCGGTTGGGAGGGGGTTTGCTGCTGCTTGAGGAGGAGGCGGAGCAAGAGGAGGAGGAAGTTGTAGTAGAAGGGAGATGGAACTCTGGCGTGTCGTCGCGCCCGACGATGCCGCTCCCCGAGCAGGAAGGGTCGAGCAGGAGGGCGCCGACGCGGCGGAACTCGGGCGCGTGCGGGTCGGTTTTGAGAAAGTCCTGCCCCGGGTGGATGACTGTCACCGAGTCAGAGCCGGCGGTCTTGATCATGTTCTGGAGCGTTTTGGCGCGGTGCCTGTCTTTCTCAAACGCGATGATGTGTTGGTCGCGCGCGAAGCCGCGTTCGTGCAGGATGCCGGCGAGGTGCGTCGTCTTGTTCCCCGGCGCGCTGCACGCGTCGATGATGTCGCCGTCTTCCGGGCGCGGATCGAGCAGGTAGGCCGGGAAGCAGGAGGCCTTGTCCTGCAAGATGATGGTGCCGGATTTGTAGGCGTCGGTCTTGGTGAAGTCTGTCCCGGGGGAGGCGGCTATCAGGTTGGGGATATGCCCGTCCAGGCAAATCACCCTTTTCCCCGTGGCACCGGCGGCCATGACCTCTTCGACGGTTGCCACCATCTCGAATCCCCTGAACGTTGTCTCGAGCTGCTCGTCGATGGTGCTCTTGAGCGTGTTCACCCTGACCCAGCGCGGGTGAGGCGGGCCCAGCTGCGCGTCGACCATGGCTCTGAGCGCCTCTACCGTGGGACACTTCCGCCGTATCCTGGCTCTGGAGAATTCGGACTGTATCCTGGCTTTATGCTTCTCAACCGCCATTCGTAGGCCATGCGAAGCAGGCAGGGCAATGCCCTTCTTGGCAAGCAGAAAGTCATGGACGAGGAGGATGGAGAGCGCTGGCGTGAGCTGTGCATGTCAGAAGGGAAGAAAACAATACGAGTGGGACTAAGGTGTACTTAGTACCTTCCGCTCGGTCTGCAGCAGCTGAGAGTTCTCAACCACCTCCTTCAGGACGGCGCTCCACTTGCTTGACTCGAAAGCCAGAGCATAGACCTGAGCCGGTGGTGATTTGAGATCTTTGTTGCCGTAGATCCTGGACTTTAGACTTCCGCCGTGTGTTGATGGACTGGTCAGAATGGACGCCGTTTCATGATAGAGCGACATGGTGGCGGTGGCCGGGGGAAGTGTTGGATGAGACTTGTGCTCGGCAATCAACAAAGCGTTGATATATCATTCACTCATACTATCATTCCGATTTCAGCGGCCTTCATAGCACAATTGCAAGATACCATATGCCGTCTGGCAGTCTCTCGGTCAGCCTGTCTCAAGATGAGAAATCGGACACGGGGAGACGGGGTGGTGAACTTTGTGTTGAACTCTAGTAGTTGGGAGTGGGAAGAGTGCAGTGATGGATCGCGGTGTTGAAATTTCCGCTTGATGTAACTGGGTTAGGGTTTTCTCAGGTCGTGGACTGCAAGCCCGCATTTACGAACCTGGAAGTTGGACTTTATCAATCACCGTCCTTCTCACCACCCAATCTATTGGCACTCTATACGTTTCTCGAAGAGCAACCAAAAAGCTGCCATCCAGTCGCGTTATATTGCGGAAAGGCAAGTCAGTCAAAGCTGCACGGGCTGGAAACCCGAAAGAATCGAAGTGATCAATGAGTATACAAGTCGAAGCGAAAAAAAGAGCTGCCGTGTAACTTTCGGCCTCGAATGTAGTAGCGCCTGTCCTCCGCAGCGAGCGTCATGTCATCGTAACAATCCAAAAAACGAAAAACCCCAGAACCTAAATTTGGTATCCAGCCTCTTTTATTCCCTCTAACAAAATCCGGTTCTCCAAATCCTCCCGAGCGAGAAAAAAATGGCCATCCACGAGCAAAACCCCGAAGAAATCTCTACCGCGACGAACGGCGCCACAGCCGGAAAAGGGAGGAAAGGGTATACGACCGAGAAAATCAAGTGACTTCTACGCCGCTGTCACCTGGAGCGTCTATCTCCGGTGGTGGTGGTGGCGGCGCGAAGGCACGCGCGCGTGGTGAAGGTAATGCCCGTGCTGGTGTCCCGCCGCCTGCCGCTTGCTCACGGAAGGAGCCTCGCCGCTCTTGGTGTAGAGCGTCAGGGCCCAGTCGCCACCGCACACCTCGCCCTCGTCGCCCTTGCAGGCCATGTGGCACTTGGCCTCATCCAGCTCCTCGGCCGTCGACAGGCCGTTGCCGCAGTAGCACTCGCCGCCGTACTCGGTGCCGGCGACGCTGAAGCCCTTGGAGGCGCAGTAGTTGACGCACGCTGTGTTGCTGACCGCCCCGAGCTTGGGGAGCACCTCGCCGCTGAGGACACGAGTGCTGTCATCCTTGTAGCAGCCGACGTGCTTGAAGCCGGAGATGTCGGCGAACTTGCCGCTGCTGCCGCTGCCGGCTTGCTGTGCGCCTTGGGTAGGGGCCGCGCCGTCTGCGTAGACCGTCTTGGTCTGCCACACGGTCACCGTGTCGTAGATCGTCACTACCTTGCCATTCTTGGTGGTGGTATGCGCCTGCACTGTGGTCTGCGGCGCGGCGACGGCTTGGCTCGTGGGAGTGTTGTCGGCAGCCGCGGATGGCTTGGCGCTCGACACGGGCACCTTGATGAGGGTGGTGGCCTCGGGCGCGGGAGCTGCGGCAGCAGTAGAGGATGATGCCTTCGCAGACTGCGCAGCCGGAGCCTGACTCGAGCTCGATGCAGCGGCCGAAGAAGACGAGGGAGCGACGATCAACGTAGGAGCAGCAATGGACGACGGAGCAGGAGCAACGACATCGCCGCCACCCTTACCCCAGCCTGCGAGCGGGTTGTTGCCGGGCAGCTTCTCAAGCTTGCCATCAACCTTCTCGTCCACGGGGCACTCGATGTTGCACGATTCGCTGCCGTCATTGACGCCGAGCTTCAGGCCGGGGCAGGATTCGATGCCAGCGTGGCGGGCATCGCACGTGTCGATGATGTGCTGGAGCTCCTCCTCATCCCAGCCCGAGATGAAATCGCCGTGGGCCGAGAAGCCGGTGGTGTCGCCGTTGGAGAAGACGAAGGGGCTGGCCTTGCCGATCAGGTCCTTGAAGCGAGGCAGGAGGTCGTGGGTCTGCCAGTACGTCTCGAAGAAGATGTGCGGGACGTGGATCCAGCCCTCGGGGCAGTCCTGCTTGCCGCCTCCCACGTCTTTGGGAAACTGCATGTTGTTCTTGTAGTCGGTTAAGCCGGCGGCCGGGTTGTAGCAAGAGGGGAAGTGAACATCGATACGCATGGGCGAGGCGTAGCCGTCACAGTCCTGGAAGGGGAAGCCGATTCCGGAGCCCTGGTTCTGCGGATCCTGGATGCCCGCCATGGAACCGTCCGAGTCGGCCGGCCAGCTGGGCGGGTCGAAGTTGCCGCGCGGGCAGGTGATCTGGACGGGCTGGATAGGACCCTGCGAAGGATCCAGCTGTGTCGCGCCCGTCGAGCTCGACGGCGCCGTCCTCATCATGGCGTTCCCGCTCACCATCTGCAAGCCAAGCGGGAAGGCCTTGATGTCGTCATTGGTGGGCTCGAAGAAGTAGTAGACGTTCATGTAGTAGAACTTGACCGGCTCCAGAAGACCGGTGGCGGGATCCTGGAAGTAGAGCGTTGGGAACCAGTAGGCGCTCAGGTCGGCCTTGGGCTTGGCCGTGGTGCAGCGGGACTCCTTGAGCGACTCGCCCGTGGTGTTGAAGCCGAAGTTGCTCGCGCCCATGACGGTGTGGACGTGAGACGAGGGTCCGCCGGGAGAGACGATGGGGTCGGCGCGGCATGTCGTCAAGGGGCCGTTGCCGTAGTGGTGAAGCACGGCGAAGGTGCGCTCGTCCTTGGCGGCAGCAACTGAGGCGACCAGGGTCGCTAGGACGGTTGTGAAAAGCATCTTGCCGACTTTCAGTTCTGTAATGGTTGGTTGTTGTTGTATCAGTTGTTCGTTGGGTCTGTTGTAAGTGAAGGTGGTCGATCTCCTCAAAAGCTGGCACGAGCTGAAAGTTATGTGAATACCAAGTCGCTAGGACCGGCGATACGAAGTGGTGCCCAGGGTGCCAACACCAGTTGTCACCGAAAAGAATGCACAGAACGATGTCTGTTGGCTGCTTGGTTGGCTTATTCCGGAAGCCGGGTGAAGTCGAGTCAACAGAAAGGAGGGATTGTGTGTATCAAAGAATGCAAGAGCGCGAAGCTGAAAAAGGAGAGACTGGCAAGACGCCCAGAGAGAAAGAACGTCAGCCCGGCGAGGTTGAGGAGAACGAGGGGAGATGAGGAAAAGTCGGGCCAGGGAGAGAGGCCCCCGGATGGGACTGCCAAGTTTATAGCCCACATCCCTCGAACAAACGAAGCCTGGGCCGTGGTGGTGAGTGTGGGACGACTCCGCTCACTTGCATGGGCGCGTTTCCTGGCAGCACTTGGCAGGCGGACTATCGGTGGGTATCAGCAACTCAAATCTCTTCAGCTGGTCCTGCGTAATATTGACGAGGGCTTTGTGCATTTTCGGTCCCGAAGCCAGTACTAACTACTACTAGTAGTTATGAACTATGGATGCCAGCTGGCAAACAGAGAAACTGGTTGGAAACTGGAACCTTGGACATGTGAGCTACATGTACATACACAGTACCTATCTCCGCCTCCCCGGTCGAAATCTAGGGGCTGGCCGCTGCTGGCCCCTGCTTGGCCCGTTTGTTTTCCGGCTGGCACTACACATGGCGCCAGCATCGTGCCATGCAGCCACTCTCACCAGCAGCCGCGCGAGGCGTCGGACAAGCGCCGGCCAGAGTTAGAGGGCATCACATGTGCCGACGGACAAAAGATAGGTTAGACGTGCCGCTGTCTGTTCACGCTCAGCGCGTGCCCTGGACGCTTGGGAGGAGGGGGTTGCTCCCGCCAAGGGAGCCGCGCTGTAATCCGTACCTGCATGTCGCAGATGCTGGGGCCCTGCGGTTGGATTGGATGGCGCGTTCTCTTTCCCAGAGCCGGGGCCGGGGCTGCACCCGAACATTCTTGTGTGCCTGCCGAGCCTGCGAGCCTGCTTTTGCTGACGGATGCAAAGGCGTCGGAAAAAGACTCAAGCTTGCCACATATTCTTCCTGGGCGAATTTTCCATCACCTTGCATCTGCTGCGCCCAATGAGATGTCGTCGATTTCGACGACAGGTTCGTGAAGACATTACAGAATTGTTACTCCGTACTCTTGCCAAGTTATGTAGAGAATCGGACCGCAAACACGCAGAGCAGCGCTCGCCATGGCATCGGAGATCTCAAGAAGTTCCCCTTGACAGCTTCCAAATGATGAACCTGTTCTAGATTCCCGTCCAATGTTTCCAAGCCTGCCAGATTCGGAGGATTTACGCACGGGTGCCCCCGTGTCAGATCCAGGCGGATCCAGGAACCCGTCCAACAGGCCGAACTGTGACTCCACTTTGCCCATAAAAAGTTCTGTCTGCTCAGAAGGGGCCAGAACTGGTAGCTTCGAGGACAAGAAACCGCACCCTTTAACCAACAACGAGGACCAGAAGCTGTCGCTCTTGCCGGGAGGGCGAAAACGTGAATGAGGGCCTAGTCGTTTAACTTTTTTCTTCGGGTCCAATTTGCTGCGCGGAGGAAGTTGGAGGAACGCGCCTGCAAAATTTGGTGTGGCTTGACTCTTAGGTGCTCATCCACATCGGGTTTAGCATGGGGTAGCTCTACGCGACATGGGGGTAGTTTTACGGCCCTCGTCCTCTACAACCCTTCGGGGTTTGTTTTGTTAGCCTGATTGACTTACCAGGGCACAGGCAAATCTGTCGATCAATGATATCACCACAATAGTAAGTCACTTTCCTAGCAATTTATATGGGGAACAACTTACTCTGCGATCGACAACAGACTCTCAACAGCCCCGTCAACGCAACACGTTCCAAACACCAAAGAATCACAGGTTCGACCACATACTGGCCAATTGAAGCCCCTGTTACTACCTTGCTCTGCTAGCTTCATATTGTCCCTTTCAGAGGATTGGGGCAAGAGATTCGTCACAGTTAGCCGACGTGGAAGTAGCCAACCGAACTTCCTCATTACTTCCATTTGCTGCCCGTTCCAGATGCGCGCAAAATCAACGACGGCTAGTTTGAATCCAACTTCTGGGCGGGATGTCGCCAGCCGATGCTAAAAACCAGTAGGCCATGGTAGAGCTACATCTGGGCCGCGGCGTCTGCAGAGTAACATGTCGTGCGAGGTCCCGACAGGGGCATCAACCAAGATTTTCGTCCCGGGCGGCATGCGTGTGTCGGACGTCTCTGGATGTACGAGTTGAGGCTGTGTCAGGATATCGTGCTCCCTAAACGATACCTAGATTCGTCGCCCAATGTCTGCCGAAGATCCCCGCGGTATTCGTATCGTACACTGACTGACTCGGAGTACGAATACTACTACCAGAGACACATGTCTAAGACGACCTCTCTCCAACTCCGTTCCGATGATGATTCTAAGCCTACCCTACCAAAAACACCAATGCTCCCAAGCAAACGCCGAACCAACGAGCAAGCATGCCTAGTGATACCTTACCCACCCCGGAGACTTTTTGGTATAATGCCACGCCCATGTTTACACAGTATGATACCGTCTCGGCATGTCCTCAGCAACCAGGAAGGAAGAAAAAAACAGGGAAAGAAGTGAAACCAAGGACAAAATAGGAAGGAAAGAAAAGGAACGGGGGGAAACGAAAGGACCAAGAACCGCTCTTCTCGTATTCATTCCAAGACCAACCACCGCACCGCGACTGCCCTCGCCCCCTCCACATCCCCCAGCAGATAACACAGCGTGCGCACGTTGAAGGCCGCCTCGACCGTGAGGTCCTCGCTGCCCATGACGCCCGTCTTTCCCGGCGCCACCTCGCCCAGCACCTTCCTGTAATACTCGACCGCCAGGCTTCCCAACCCAATTAGCGAGTAGGCCCGCGCGATGTTGAAATGCGCTTCCTGTCTCTGAGCTGCCGCCGCGTCCTCGTCGGGTAAGCTGCGGGCGTTCGCCAGCCGGTCGTGGTAGTACCGGAACAGGAAGGCAAAGCCTTGCGTCAGCAGGTACTGCCTGTTGTTGGCCTGGCGCTTGAGGGCGTAGTGCATGTAGGCGAGCCCCGTGCTGAGGTTGATGAGCGGGTTGGACGGGTCGAGCGAGGCGGCGCGGGCGAAGTAGCTCAGTGCGTACGTGTACGACGTGGTGGTGAAGAGGATGTGGCCGTAGATGGTGAGGAGGGCAACGTCGAGCGCGATGTCGGGGTCGTCGTCGGACCTAGGGCCATCGGAGCGCGCGGCGACGGCGGTGTTGTTGTTGTCGCCTTTGCGCATGACGATGTTGTCCATGGTCTTGATCTGCCGGAGGATGAACTTCTGCGCCGGGCCGGACGTGTACCACGACACGGGCGTCTGGCAGACGCGGCACATGGCCGAGAACATGCGGTACGAGTCGGTGCCCGGCATGTAGTCGCGCATGAAGTAGCGCGCGATGGCGACGCACGTCTCCTCGTCGCCCGCGTAGACGGCGCACGAGGCCCAGGCGACGTGGATGAGAAAGGCAGAGTCGGGCGCGGTCCACACGATGGAGTCGCGCGCGGCGTGGCAGACGACGTACGCATCGCGGTGCTGGCCCGCGCGGACGAGGCTGAAGGCGTAGTTGAGGAAGATGTCCAGCCACCTGTCGAACGAGATGCCGCGATGGTTCTGCGGGAGCACTCTGGCCGGCGGGCGAGCCGTCTGGTCCTGGCCTTCGGCGGGCGCGAGCTTCTGTCGCAGCCGCTCTTCCATCGCCGCCAACTTGAAGTTCCGAGCCGGCACAGCGGCTTGGCCCTGCACCAGCGGAGCGTAGCCTAGGAACTTGATGTACTTCTCCCACGGATAGAACTGCTTGTATGATCGGAAGTCGTCAATGAGCAGCTTGGCCGCCTGCATCCACTCGGCCGTGGCCTGCTCGTCGCCTGCCAGGGCGCGGTCCTGCACCTCCTGCAGACGCTGGAAGTTTCTGGCCGCCTCAGCCGCCATCTTGAGCTCCTGCTCCCTCCTCTTCTCGGCGTTGATCAGGCGCCGGTGGATGTAGTTTGACTTCCGATTCGGGTCCCTGGGCCTCCGCGGCCGAGGGGGTCCCTCTCTGGGCTTCCGCGGACCGCGTCGTCGCCGAGTCCCGCTGGCATCCAGGTTCAAGGCTTCTCTCACCAGCAGGAACGCCTCCTCCCGGCCTTCCTGCAATCCCTCGCCCTCGTACATGTTTGCCAGCTGTATGCGAGCCTCGATGTGGTCTTCGTCCTCCTCGATGGCCGCAATGAAGCACTCCTCGGCCGCGGCCTTCTCGCCCCGCGCCATGTGGTAACGGCCCTGGCAGACGGAGAAGTCGGCATCCAGGGCGATCTCTCCGGTCGAGGTTGCTATGTGCCGGTACAGGTCTAAGTAGCGGATCGCCTGGTCGGCCCTGTCACGATCGAGAAGCGTGACGGCGATGTCTTTGAGACAGTCCGGAAAATCCATGAAGTCTTCTTCCCGCGCAGGGTCGAGTAACTGCAGGTGCAGATCCGCCTCGTGCTCCAGCCCCAGCCTGCTCCGGTAGACATACAGCTTCGCCCGCAAGTCAACGGGCATCCCCCGACCATAGCTCTCCTGAGGGAACCGCGCGGGTTCAAAGCCGGGCACCACCACCCGTCTGTCGTCGTGGATGTCCCACTCCCTGTCATCGTCCACCCACTCGTCCCAGTAGCGCTCGGCCCTCCGCCCCAGCAGCCAGCGCGCAATCTCCTTGAGCTCCCGGGCGCCCTCCTGCCACTGCTCCAGGGTCGTGAAGAACTCGAGATAGATGCGCAGATCCGACCACTCGAACCGACCCTCCTCGGCCTCGAAAGTCCCCGTCGCCTGCAGATGGTCGATCAACCTGCGGTAGGCGCCGCGCGCGATATCCGCCCCCCTGCGCCGGTCCTTGACATCGAGGGCGACGTCGGCAATGTTGCGCACGGTGCGGATGTTCCACGGCTTGTAGTTCAGCGCCTTCTGGTACTCGGTCAGCGCTTTGCTCGCGTTGCCCTTCATCATGATGACGTCGGCCCGGCCGGTGCGGGCGATGATGTTGGAGCGGTCCGTCTCGAGCGCCTGCGTGTAGCAGGCATAGGCGCGCTGCAGCACCTCGTCCTTCTCGGGCGTGCCATCCTCGAGTTCCTCGAGGCACTCGAGCGCGTACTCGGCCGTGCTGATCCACTGCGCCACGTCGCGCGGCGTAAGGTGGGCGGCCGTGATGCGGCACCAGATGGCCTGCTCGCGGTTGCCCAGCGTCTCGTGCACCGTCGACAGCAGCATCCACGCGTTGAACACCTCGCTGTTGATGCGGATGATCTCGGACAGATGCGCAACGGTCCTGTCGTAGTCCTTCCGCTCGAACGCCTCGGTCGCGAGGGACATGCGGAATTGGATGTCCGGCGGCAGCTTGGCCGGCTTGCGCGGGCCGTGCACCCTCTTCCTGGGCTTGCGCCCCTGGCCGGCCGCCTTGGTGCGCCCTGGTGGCTGGTACGGCAACCCGGCCGCTTCGGCTCTCTGGCGGGCGACGAAGGCTTCCTGCTGGAGGTCGAACCGCTCGACCTCGGCGCGCAGCTCGAGCGCGTCCGAGTCGGCTGAGATGTTGCTCGCCACCTCGTCCTCGTCGCCGTCCATCTGCATGTCCGCTTCCGCCATGCTTCCCTGGTACAGGCTCGGATCAACCATCCTCATGGAAAAGTTGGGTGCCCTGCCCGCAGGAGGCTCGTCGATATCCATGCCGTCCATCTTGGTGTGCCGTGACCTGAGTTTCGGATCTCCTCCAGGGCATGTGCCACTTTCATCCAGCCCAGAATTCTGGTCGCACGCTTTAGTCAACCGTGACCCAATGTGTATTTCCCTTATCGTCGATAAACATGATTTTGAAAGGGCAAGGGGATGGTTTACGATGTCTTGCAAGTATGTTGTGGAAAACGTGAATGGGCAGAGGTTGTTGAGCTTTGTTCAATGTGGAGTTTCATTGCCAGACAGACCTTGTACTGAAAGGTGGTAATAAGTATACAGTGCTGGTGGCCAAGTCAGCTGGTGCCTACCTGCGCACAGACACCTATGGGAATGACGCATGTTATACGCAGCACAGTCGGATTACAGAAGGACCACCCCCGGATCGCTGCTAGGACAAAGTCCAGAAAGATTCAGATCTCAACAAATACCGACCCATTGAGGAGATAGGTGGTAGAAGGACAGCGGGCAAGGGACAGTTCACGCTCATTGGCATCACCCTAACAAAGTGGCAGAGAACTCATCGTGAATTAATCGACTCACGGAGCGGTAACAACGCCATCCCCCGTGTATAACCATCCCAGGTTGCTTTTCCTCCCTGGACCGTTGCCTTAATAAGGAAGAACATTGCTCATACATGTACAGCCAGCGAATCCACTGTTCCCAGATTGCAAGATTCTTGTGAGAAAACGCGCATTACGGTCAATTCCCAGAGATCATTAACCGCGGTATCGCTGCGTACAACCCCCAGAGCTCCAGCTTGAGCTCGCAGCCTCGCTGAAATATGCTTGGCAACGATGCTTTCAAAGACGTGATGTGATGCTGCTCGCTTAGCCCATATGCCAATCTATGTCGTTCCAGGCGCTTTACAAGTGAGTGGTTCCGAAACGGGTAGAGAGCCTCTAGCCCAGCTTACCCTCTCTTCTGGCCTCTGCACATGTGTGTCAGCATACATTTCTCTTTGTTAATCGGTGTTTCCAGCACCTACCCTTGACCTGCTCAAAGACCTTGAGCATCTTACGCCTAGCACCCAGTGCGTTGACGCCCCGCTCCTCCAGCTGCTTGTCGTCCAGCTCGATGAGGTCCGTCCACTTCATGTCTTTTAGATTATCCGTGTATTTGTGCAGGCGCAGGCTCCGCAGCCAGCTCGGGATGTCCTGCAGCAGCGTCGGGTCTGTCGGGTCCTCGGGGGGCTTGGACGTGCCTCTCCGGCCACGCGGAGACCGGCCACGCGCCATTTCCGAGTGGTCCGAGTGGTACCCTTCATGATGGCCACCCAAGCCAAAGGCAGCCAAATTAAGCGGAGCCAGTCCGTTGTTCATAATCGAAGGTGCTCCGTCATATGCGCTTAGAAATCCGTTATTCTGCGGAGAAGTGAAGGCCAAGGCAGGACCGTAGCTTTGCATAGCGATACCTGGCGAGTTGGGCCGCGACCGATGAGCCGCGAAACTCAAGTTCTGCGGCTGCTGCAGCGCCATCATCTGCTCCCGGCTCAGCTGCGGGACTCCGTGCTCGCTAACCATGATAGCCCCAGGGATGGCAGGGGCGCCCGGCGACAAGGGATTTTGCGCCTGGTGTGGCGCATCGTTAGAGCGCGCACGCCGATACTTGCGCACATCGTCCAGCGCAACGCGGTTGTTGACAGTCGAGAGCGCTGCCAACTTCATAGCCGTGGCATTGGCCACCATGTCTGCGTTGTTCCCTTGCGATTGGTTGAAGGTCGGCACCATCGGGGTGTTGACCATCGACGCCCAGTTGCCGCTCGCGCCATAAGGCGACAAAAGGGGCAGGTCGGCAAGCGACTGCTCCCCGGTGGTCAGTGTGGTAGACTGGATGTTGGTGTTGCCCGTGATTTGGGGGCGAGGAGACCGCAGAGCACCACTGGAAGGCGGCTGCACAAATTGGCCCATGGGTGCTTGGCCAGAAGAAGACTTCGGCCGGGACGCATCGTTGGGGCCCCACGGCGACGCCGGATTCTGTCCACTGGGATCATCCTTGGGAGCCGAGATTGTGGGGGCCACGAGAGAGTTCCGGTTATCCACCAGACTGTTCCTAGTCGAGGTGGGAGCATTTCCCGTCTGCTGGGCGAATTTGGCTTTCTCGGTCGCAATCGCCGCAGCGGCATCCGGGAACATGGCATTGATAGTCGATGAGTCAAGGCCAGACTGGCGCTTGACGTTACCGGCGCTCGGGCGTGCCAGCGAGTTACGTGCCGAGTCGACGTTCAGCTTGTTCATAGCATCGCTCAGACGATTCGACATGGGATCTGTAGTATCTGTGAGTTAGAACCGGCATTTCAGTCGGTTTCGAGGAAGACGGACCCTTATCAAAGTTGGCGGGCGAGAGCACGCCCGACATGGGGTGGTTCTTTCCCATTTGCTGCAGAACCTGGATGAAGAAACGAATCTGGACCTGCGTAGTCTGCTGGAGCAGCGCATAGAGAGCAGCCGTGCGCTCTGCCTCACTCAGGACACGGAACCACTGCTCAATAGCGCTCAGTTCGTCCTTAAAATCCTGATCAAGGGTGGCAGCAGCCATTTCCTCCAGAGTCGTCTCATACTGGTCGATATCGGCAATCCACTGCTGGGCAAGCTTGTCCTGGGCATCCATGTCCGAACTTCCTTGGGTTTGACCAGCTTGAGCTTGGCCGTAGAAATCGGAGGAGGGTCGAATCCGACCAGCGGCCGCCTGTCCGGAGAGGGCAGCCATGTCGGCAGACGCACGAAGACCGTGAGTGGTTGCGCCAACCGCGCGCGATGAAGGGGGTCGCAGCGACGAGACATTGGTGGCCTCGGGCGTGCTGTTGCGGTTGCTCATGATGTTGGACATGTTGAGCATAATCGGTGCGGGCCAGGAGTCTAGCTTCCAACGATTGAGCGGCTCGGGGTGAGAATTCTCTGAACGAGTGTGAAGTTGGATCAAAGCGGTATGGCTTAAGAATCGGTCAGAGCCAGATGTCAGGGAAAGCTGAAACAACGCTCGCGGCTGATTCACGGTTAGCTTACGCGAAGTTGCGTTCCGAAATCTGTGATTTCTCAGGGCTGAAAATTCATGCCGTATCACCGTGCGCATCCCATACGTACCGTGAGCACAAGATTGCACGTGCGCGGCGACTACTCCAGAATACCAGGCTTGCTGTTGCTGGGACTTTCGAAGTCGTTGTAGGAGAGAAGATATGCATAGACGCGAAGACTTTCGAAACCTCCTGCAGTAACCCGCTGGCCTCAAAGGAGGATCGAAATTTTCGCGAGAAATGGTTCACGGGAAGGTAGGCAATTCTGTCAGATGATTGCAGTTAGCAACAAGGGACAAGTCGGCGAGGCAACCGAAAGCGGATCTCGGAGCCACTGCAAGGCGCCGCGTTGAAATGGAAGCGAATGAATGAATCAAGCCGAGTTTTGGATGAAAACCGCAGACAAAGCCGTGAGACATTCGGTGGCAGTTGTGCAAGATCCAACAACAGCCTGCCGCTCCACAGCGCAAGGCCGAACGACACAAGTTCAGGCGATCGAGCGGGGAAAGGGCAGATCTCGACATACTCATTAAGAAAGCTCCAGACTATTCAGAAATCCGTAGCGAAACGAAGAGTGGAGGATAGACTGGCTCCGCCAGAACCAGCAGAGGTGACAGGCTCGTGGTTGAAGGAACACGAGGAAAAAGGAGACGAGACCCTCGGTGGTTGATGACTTGGAGGAACCGACGCTGGTGCAGCAAGGAAGCCAACGAACGAGCGGAACGGACGGGAGCTCCAGAACCTAAGCGAAAGGTGGACCCGAACCCTTCGCCCAGCTGAGGCTGCCGCCTCAGGAGTTGGCCCCACCGGGAATGTTTCGTCCACAATCGCCGGCCCCGCTTGAACCGTCAAGGCCTCGAAGTTCACAGTGTACGAGTATCTTACGAGCTTACCAACCTTTACCTCGCCTACATATTCGTGATGCAACCGAATCTCAGGAGACAAGGCAGGATCTTGGGGGCAGTTCCTCGTTATATATGCCTCCATAGTTCCCTATGTCACTCCCTACCATCTGCACCAGTATATGTCTGTGTTATGGGGTCGATGCGGGATCCTGCAGCCCTAGCGGCTGCCAAACAAGACATCCAGTGAGATCAGACAAGCGGCACATAAAACGACCCGACAGCACAAGCTGGATCTCAGTTACACTACCTTATTAGACCCTCATAGCATACAGACATACGAATACGGTACACAAGGACGGCATCTCGGTGGAGGTATTATAAGCTTACTCAGATACCCAATGAGCTCAGCGACGTAGGCGCTTAGTCCTTAGCAGATGAGCCTGGCAACGATACTGGTAGGTATCTGCTCGCTATTAGAAGTACAGGTAAACTGAGTATCAGTGGTAGAAGCCGGGCCCAAGCCAACGATAATGGCTGGATTGGAATATCGCCTAGCTTTCATGCACCGAAGTCTTTTGAGAGGAAGAGCGAAGGTGTTTGGTAATAGCAAGGCTTGTCCATCTCGGCACGAAAATAATCCTTCAGCAAATGAGCATGGAGAGAATGGCTCAGAGCTGTACACACTAATGCCGCCTGTCGTCTCGGACAACCCTTAGGATGCCCTCGGGAACACAGATCGAACTCGGGCGCGATGAGGGAAAGGGGCACAAGCCACGTGGGAGTCAACTGCTCCATGCAGGTTCGGAATCACAAACCTTAGAATCGGACCGGCCGCGTTCGAGCACACCCGGGGCGGAGAGCATACCGGCCGGACAAGTCCGCCTCGCCGTAGGAGGCCAATGCAATTCCGTTGGGTTGATCGAATGGCGCCCTAGATAACACCCGAAAAGCCGGCCCAGTAGCGGTGATGCAAAAATCGTCACCACTTAGAATCCCTTCTTCGTAAAGGTCATGTCCGAAGATGTGTCCTCTCCAACCGTCACGCGCCGCAAACAAGAAAAACCTAAGCCGTCTCCCTCTTGCCCTCCCGGAACTCCTTCTGCAAAAATACATTAGCAAACTCGTTGCTCGGTCATGAGTTGCGCGGACCGTTGCTTCGTACCAGGGCCTTGGCAGTGCCGTGGAGCGCATGCCTGTGGTTTCTCCGGAACTTGGGGTCGGTACCCTTCAGCGAGGGGTATCTCTGGGTCTTAGGCTTCTTGATGCTGTTGAGAGTCCCCTGTTAGCACTCCTCCATGCGGCTGCACTCCCGTGTTGACATCGGCGTACCCGTTCCGGTGCGCCTTGCGCGACTGGTTGTGCTGAGACGAGTTCTTAGACTCTTGAGAGTTTTGTCAGTACTTCGGCCTGAAGAGCGATCAAGGGGTGCGTAAGCTCACGTACTGGCCATTGTAAAGGATTTCGGCTCCGAACGAGGACGATGACTGAGTCTGAGGACTGGATGCGAAGCTCGACAACCGGGGAATCCTCTTCACGCACAAAAGTGGGAGAAATTTGGGCTGCCCTAATCTCGAATGGGGTGTGTGGCTGTGATGCGTGGCGTAAATGTGGCTTGACTTTGAAAGTGGAAACGGGGCTGCAACGTATCGTAATAACTTACAGCCCGATCTCACGGACTCTTACACTTGAAATTCAGGATGGTCCCGTCACCGTCGCTTTTATGTCGGCCTGAAGAACAAGATTGGCAGAAAAAGAATGAGTTGACCATTACGCCAAAACGAGATTCTATGGTGTATGCGCTATCCGTGTACAAATCCACCTCATCAGGCCTGATGGACTTAACGGATTATATTCAACAACGACCATGCTTTGCACAACCAGTAGCCCCACGGTCTTCCAACCACCGAGATTCGAATAAGCTGGTCTCTGCCCAAGATGTTCAGATGCCCACCTTGTGCCTATTTGGCGGTCATCGGAGTCACAAGCTTCGCTGCATCCGCCAGGTTCGTCGTTCTCTGGAGTTGACGCGACCGCACGACTTGCAGATAACGGACGAAGAGGACAAACATAAGTTCGACGCTGTGGACCATCGAGTCAGTTACTGCGCTCCCATTCCTCGTTCCATTTCTGGTTGCCAGGACATACCGCTCCTTGGTCATCATCAAAATACCCTGGACGAGCAGACCCTTGAGGATTTGTGGCCCGATGCCCTTGAACAGACTCAAAGGGCCTTCATTTTGGATGATGAACTGCATAACCTCGACAAAGCTCTTGAACGGCTTGCCTTGCCGCGCCGGGGGCGGCTTGGACTGTAGCCCCACCTTTGCAACAATCAAGGGCTGCGTGACGATGGTGGCAAGGGCCTTAGACATGGCGCCCAGGGCTAGCTGCTGTGTCAGTCCTTCCGGGCCTACAACAGGTCTGGTTCTGGACAGGCTCACCGAATGCCTCCCAGGGCGAGAGATTCTTCTTCCCCGGGAAGAGAACCTCTTTCAATCTCTCATAAGCGCCATATGTGATGGACGGGTTGATTACGAGCACTAAACTCGCCTTCAGTCCCCTCCAGAGGCCGCAGACACCATCTTCACCCTCAATCACCTCGCGGGCGGTCTCGATGAAGCCCTTCCTCTCCTCCTTGCTCTGCGTCTGTTGGCGGGTTGTGATAACGGCGACGGGTATTGTAAACAGCTGCGCGAGCGCGCCAGCAACAGCTCCAAGAGACAACTCGACAACCGTGGACGGCTGAGCTACTGCCTTGGCATATTTGAAGTATAGCGTGCGGACCACCGAGTACCAGTAGAAGTAGGCGAAATTTGTCGAGGCGACTCCAAGCAGAGAACCTCCCATGCCAGCGTACAGACCCGTAACACCCTCGGAAGAAGCAATTCTAGTAATGGCGTCCCACGTCGACTTGTAGTGTGCTTCGTTGGGATTTGAGTCGGCCTTCTCAGCGTCGCTAAGCTTTACCTGAACCTGAAGCTTGGTCTTGACCCTAAACGGCCATGCCGGTCAGCAATTGCGCTTGCCACGGACGGAGAGAGTCTTCACCCACAGATCCAGAGGGTACACAAGCGCATTGGCAAGGACCGCGCCCGCTGCGCCAGCCGTCGCTTTGCCCCAGGGCCCAATTGGGGCGGGTTTCGACTGCACGGCCATGGCTGTCTCCTCTGGTCCCCCTACAGGACTTGCCGGCGGTTACCGCACAGCGTCGTGGCCTCGAGCGTTGTCGCAGTGATCGGGGGGATCGAACTCGTACACTTCGGGTTCGGTACCTAGGTGGGTGAGTATGGTATCTTATCTACCGGCTTTAAAGCCCCACCGATGACGGCAGTTGCCTCGGTCGCGCGCAGGACAAACTGCGAAGTGAGCGCCGAGATGCTTAAAGAACTCTAAAAACGTAAGAAAACGGAGGAAACGAACACAAAAGACAAAACGAGGACGACGACAATGAATAATGCCGGAATAGAGACTACCAGCGACCCGTCCCCTGCAATTGCCTGAGACGGCCGAGGCGCAACCGGTCATGGTTGTGGGCCGCAGGCGATTCCACCATCGTGCGCCCGTGATATCGGTACCCGGATAACCTCGGCTGCGACTACAGTACCACGGCGGTCGAGCTCGGGGCAACGCTACAGCGGACTCTTCACGCGATCCAGCGGTCACGTCACTGCCCGGATCGGCCTGCAAGAGATCAACAGAATAACGGACCGCAGCATGCAACGATCCGTCCGGCCAAGAGATTCCGGAAGAAACTATAGCCAGCCGCCGAGTCCAAAGACACCATACAATGAGAGATGGCGATCGGTATGACATCCTTTTACGACGTTCTACGGATAGCTAGGATTTGTTGTCAGTGGTTTGGGGCTGCGTTTTCGTTGAAATGTTTGAAATGGGATACGGAGCATGGGGCCACAAAGGTGTTTATCAAGGTTTGTTAGTGCAAGTCGGGTGGCTTTACACACGGCACGCTTGCCGTAGCCAAAAGAATGTGTACACTAATAATGGAAGGTTTGTAAGAAGTTAAGCAAAAGGGAAATAAGGGTAAGAGAGAAGAAAAGTCAAGTAGAAAGAAAGAAAAGCTAAATACAATAATAGAAAGAAGAGAGGTAATTAAGAACGATGCTCCAGTGACGGCGACGATGGTTATACGGCATATTAGGACACTCGAACTATAGTCACGTGATCGACACTAACAAAAGTATTATCCTGGCACGCCTCCTTATCGGGATTCTCTCATCCTTTTTCGTAGTACTAGCCCTCACTTACTCAGGTACTTTGTACGGTACTCTTGAGAAGCTACGCTTCTGAGATGCAGTTTCGGAGGCTAAGGACAGCCGCACACAGTGACGCGTGGTTAGTGGATTGATTGGTCTTTGTAATTGTTTTGATCCCCATTATGTAGCCTTGTTGCACCCGTTGGATCTCACACTATAGCTTTGTTAAGTTCTTGTCATTACCTTATTTCTGACGGCCTCCAGACCGTCCAGCTGGCCGCAAACTCGCACCCCGCTTAGATGCAGACGGACGTGAAGTCTCTCAGCGTCAGCCCTCGATGGAGGCACAAGCCCTGGTGAGAACGGCTCGGTAGAAGGCAACAACAGCCTCGAAGGCCCTAGCGGAGCGTTGAGGTCTGACTGCGGCATTAGGAACATGAGCGCCGGGCCGGGAGGACGCAGGGAGAAGAGGCACTGAAGCATGCCATCGCCGCTGCCGAGCTGTACATGCAAGCGGCCAGCAATGCCAAGACGCCGCAAGATCGTAAGCGCCTGAGGCGAAAGTGCGCCGAGCTTATCGGGCTCGGAGAGCGTCTTAAGGCAAACAACACCAGGGCCTCAGACGCCGCCTCGCGGCCGCCCGCGCCCGAGTCCACTCGACCACTGACCACGGCCGAGAAGACTATCATCCTGAAAGCTTCGCGCCTGCATGGAACCGTCTTTCCTCCCTGGCAATCCGCCCCTGACCCGAGCAGCTTCTGGGGCGCCAGCAGCTCAGGAGCGCCTTATATGTGCGTGCAGCAGCCGTGCGGATAACTGCCAACCTCCAGGAGCCTAGTATTCGCTAACCCGTTTGATATCAAGTGATCCGTACCCTTTCACTTTCTCGGCGGAGCAGCAGGCTATCTTTGCTGGTTGGCGGCGGCCCGCCGACGTGACAGCCGGGGCCAAGGATGGCGGTGACGAAGGCGGCCTTGAGCAGCTCATGTCTGCCGAGGGAGGAATGGACCTGGCGCAGGACCTGGCGACCGATTGCTCCGTTGTAGCCAGCCTATGTGCCGCCGCTCGCCACTTCGGCCCTACCAAAGACTCGGTTAGCAATTCACCAGCTTGATGAGTCTGCGAAGACCAGATTCTAATCCGAGATAGCTGCTTGCGTCACTCATATTTCCCTTCGACACCAAGGCGATGCGTCCGGAGCTCTCGAAGAGCGGCAAGTATGTCTTCCGCATGTACTTCAACGGGAGTTGGCGCCAAGTCACCATCGATGACCGCCTGCCCGCTTCGAAATCTGAGCGCAGCCTGTACGTTGTTGATCGGCTCAATCCCCGGCTGATCTGGCCGGCGTTGGTTGAAAAGGCGTATCTCAAGATTCGCGGCGGCTACGATTTCCCCGGCAGCAACTCGGCCACGGATCTGCACGCTCTAACAGGCTGGATCCCCGAGCAGATCTTCTTGCAGAGGTGAGCCGACCCTACCGACTTTACGCTGCACTATATATGCGGGGCAGAGAGCTGATCTGGAACCTCCTAAGCGACGATTTCGAACTAGACGAGACATGGGACAGGATCAAGAGAGCATATGATGAGGGCAATGCGATACTGACGTTGGGAACCGGGAATATCCTGCCCGAGGAGGAAAAGGTGTTCGGCCTGGTGCGGGAGCACGACTATGCAGTCATCGACCTGAAAAGAGAGGATGGCTCTCGTCTGCTTCTGATCAAGAACCCGTGGGTCGACAGCCTGGTGTGGACCGGGGCCGGGTCTTCGGCAACGCTGAAGGCGCACACAGTGGGATCAACGCCCGAGCGCTCGTCGAACCAGTTCTGGATGGCCTTCGAGGATGTCCTCCAACACTTCGACTCTCTCTACGTCAACTGGAATCCGGCGCTGTTCGCGTACCGCCAGGACCACCACTTCAAGTGGGAGATGCCGGACAAGACCGAGGAGCTCGTCTTCACAAGCAATCCGCAGTTCAGCGTGCTGTCCCCCTCGGGCAGTGCCGTCTGGGTCCTGCTCAGCCGCCACTGGCAAGATGGCGAGCTTGAAATCCTGCGCCAGCGCAAGGCCGAGAAAGACCGCGGCGATGCTCCTCCCCTTGCTGCCGTTTCCAAACAACTAGGCTTCATGGCCCTGGCCCTGTACGCAGCTTCGCCCCCCGGGACGCGCGTTTCCTTGCCGGATACCCACGCCCGCCTGCACCAATGCCCATACGTCGACAGCCCCAACACCCTCCTGCGCTATGACCCGGCCCCCGGCGTTGCCCAGACTCTCGTCGTCACCCAGACCGAGCTTCCCTTACCCGCCTACTCCTTCACGCTCTCGTTCTTCTCCAACGATCCATTAACCATCCATCCCGCCCCCTCCCCGCTCCCGCACGACATCTCCGTCACCGGCGCCTGGGCCCGGCGCACAGCAGGCGGCAGCGCCGCCCACCCCAGCTACTTCACCAACCCGCAATACGCCCTCGTCCTGCCGCAGGCCAGCCCGCTCACCTGCGTGCTGAGCACCTCGGCCCGCGACCTCCCCGTGCACGTCGCAGTCCTCTTCGCTCCGGGCGGCAGCACCCCTCCTCCCAATGCCAATCCCAATGCCCACCACCACTACAACACTAACAACAACAACAACAACAACAACAACAACAACAACAATAACAACAACCCCCCTCAACGCGTAACCGCCATCTCAGGCCGAGACATCTTGTGTTCCAGCACCGAGTACCACCGCGGCTGCACCTCGGCCTCCGCGCCGCTTCTCGACGCCGGCACTTACATCGTGCTCGTCAGCACCTACGAACCGGGCCACACCGCCGACTTCACCCTGCGCCTATCCTCCTCCTGCCCGCTGACGACCATCAGACCCCTCCCGGCCTCGGACGCCGCGGGCAGGCTGCGCACCCCGGTCCCCGGCCCCGTCCCGGGGAGCTTCTTCTTCGCGGCGGGCCAGTCGCGCATCCGCGCGCGAGTTATCGTCGCCCGGCTGACACGGCTCAGCGCCCTCGCGCGGCGGTCGACTGCGGCGGCGGCGGCGCTGCGCGTCGCGCTGGAGCGGGGCACGGGTCCGCATCGGACCGTGCTGGCTGTGTCCGGTGAGGGCGAGTTCGCCGACGCGTCGATGGGGCTGCGGACCGGGGAGGTGGATGTCGAGCCGGAGGCGATGGGCGCTACTACTACTACTACTACTACTACTACTACTACTACTACTACTACTACTACTACTACTTCGGGAGGGTTATGGCTTGTGCTTGAACAGATTGGAGGTGCCGGGGACGGCGCGTATAGTGGCAGTGGTGGTGGTGGTGGTGATGGTGGTTTGCAGGTTGAGGTGCTGAGTGATGTGGCGGTGCATCTGGGTCAATGGGAAGATGCCGATGAGGAATGAGATTACCGGAGTAAGGTACCTTGATTCAAGTTTAGAGCGAACTGGTCAAAGACTGCTGGTGTAAAATCACCTAACGGACGAGGCAGGGGCTATACAGTGTGGCATCTAGTATTTCCGCTCAACTCCTTTTCGCCTATGGGTAACATTACATTGCGTGGGATAGTAGCTGGAGATGATGACAAGTTCCGCATCTGTAACGTGAAACCTAGTCGTATCGATGTCTGTTTCTCTGCTTCTCCAGGTAAGCATAACTAGATAATACAGCAAGCGCTATAGCTGTCTCTTTTTTTTAGCAACCATTGCGCACTCATTTGGAACGCCCGAGTATCCCTTTCCCTTTTGTCCGCAACTTAACTCTGCTCAGGACCGACAAATGCGTTTTGCCCCAGCGAGGCCAGATTTCCTTAAGACGGCAATATAAGAGGTGTCGTAACGCTTGCTCTCCTGTCCGTCGGTCCCAACTTTCATTTACCACCTCACCACAACTCACCAAGCCCTAATGTCAAACAAGTGGTATCTAAGGTGATAACAACAAACGCCGTAGACGCCACGCAGAGTCCCCATGTCGGCAGATGGATAGGGTACTACGAGAACCGGCTGGATGGGAGAACCCCAGCAGGAATGTCCCAGTCTCTAGTTGCCGTTCTCGCCAACATTCCCAGCTCGCCAAAGAAACGCCCATATACTAGTCATACGAAAAAAGAAAAGAAAAAAGAGAAGAAAACAAAAGAGTCTGTTGAAGATAAAATATTGAAGACAAGAAGAGAAAGTTGCGTCCCATCGAAGAGTTAAGCGCCGGACAATGACGGTTGACCTGTAGCCATCATGTCGGCGCACAACCTCGAGACCGGGCTGCGTATGTAGCCAAAATAAAAGTATGTGCAGACTGCAGAGAAAGCAAGCGGCCGAAATGAGCCTGTGCTACTGTATCTATGGCAGCGGATGATGGAACCCCCGGGGGGGGGGGTAGGAAATACAGCCCGGGCAGCGGCGTGTCGGTGAAGTGCTGTAATAGTTGCCACTGTGACTGTCCGGAATGTCAGCTTGGACCGCCTCGTCGCCTGCGACGGTTAGGCCCATCGGGTCTTTGTGCGAGAACATTCCGTAATAGAGGGTCGTCCTTGTCCTTGTCGGTATGGTGTACTCGGACATGCCTTGCATCGTGTCAGTTCCAATGCAGAACACGGGATGATGCGAATCCAGACTTGCCTCTGAAGATTGTCCGGCCGAGGATACTTGTGCTCTCTTTCCGGGCAAAAGGGGCAGACGTAGCCTGGAGACTCATGGACAAGACCATGCCGTATCATCTCGTTCTTGCGCTTGAAACCTTTGCCACCCTGACCCCGAGGACAACCCGGCACGGGGCAATAGTGCGGTCTGGCGGAAGAGTGCACGTTTGCGTGTGAGTTGAGTAGGTATTGTGTTTGGAAGGGCGCCGCCGTGCAGCCAGGAACCTTGCATACATAGGCCCCGACCGTTTGGATGCCGTCTATGCTCAGCCGGTCACGTCTCGATGCTGTTGTCGAAGAACCAGGTGGATCAGATCCAGGGTGCTCTGCGGCGCTGCCTGCAAATTCCGGGCGGCGATGCAGGCCGTTCAGCGGGGAATAGTAGAACCCGGGGCTCTGGAGAGGACCGGAGGCCGACTTGCTTGGAGAAAGCGGATCGCGATATGATTCGGCTGACGGTATCGGAGATGCGAGGTGGCCCTGTAAGGACGGCAGACGGGGCATGGGAGCGGGAGGGGAGCCGTGGAAATCGTGGTGAGAAGGCCTCCGGCTGTTTCCTGTCACAAGATTGGTGGCAAACTGATCTATATCTCCGAGCTGTGATCGAATGGATGGTAGTGTCTGGCCGTTGGTCTCCTGGTTCGGTGAGTTAAGCTGAATAGGTGGCAAGCCCTCACCGTGGCCGTTCGAGTGTATGCTGGCGGTTGGCGACTTCATGTCCATCTTCAGGGACAAGGGCGTGGCCCCCGTATCCCGTGGTGAATAAAGATTATGCGGGCTGTAGGGAGACGGCATTGCGGCTGCGGCACTCCGCTCGTCCTTCGAAGGCTCCGTCCGCCTCGTATGTATCGCGACAGGGGCCGGTGCTATTTGCGTCACCGCGCCAACAACATCATTATCGGTTACGGGCGGCGTTGGCCCTGCTTCGGGGGCCTGCTGAGGGTCTGTGACCACGGCCAGGGCGCCAGCGGCCAAAAACTTCAGGTCGATGGCGCCCTTGTCCCCTTCCTTAGGAGGGTCCGACGACATTTTTGGGTCACCGGAAGCTTCTCCGTGCGTGTAACCTGGCCTTCCACGATCTTCCCCGCCGCCGCCCCGCAGCCCGGTGGGAGCGGTGTCACCGCCCGGGGAGACCAAGCCCTCGCCCGCCAGCTCGGGGTCGTCTGTGTCTTCCTCGGTGTCTGAATCCAATAATGCGCTCTGGACGTAGGCCGCGGGTTCGCGCCTCTTTCCATCGAGCTGTTCGATCAGGAGGGCAACGCAAAACGGATTCTTCGTGACGCGATTCTTGCGCCTCTTGTTCCCGGGACTTGAAGGATGGCTGACTGGGGAAGCAGAAGATGACGAGGCCGGATCCAGTTCCGGTTGCAGCGTGGGACGGAGCGGCTCCAGAAGCGGGCTGTTCCTGGGTAATACCTCATCAGGATCGTACAGGTGGTCGTCAACTGGGACTTGTGCAGGATGCGGGGGAGCGGTTGCACTCATCGCTTCGAGTTCTACTCAGCTCTTTCACTTACGGAGCAGTGGTGCATCAGCGGGCCATCGGTAGCCGGGTGGTTGGCGGGGAGTCGACGTAACGGAGCCACGCAATCCCCAATTGGCCGGACCGCCTTGGTCCTGAGTGGGAGCGACGTCCTGCAAACTCCTCCCTTTTCCTTTCCTTCTCTTCCCGGGCGAGATTTCGCATGGGCCCGTCCTGAGTCTGTCGGGTGAATCAGGACACGGACAGTCGACGCACAGCGGCTCCCAGGCGGAGGCCGACAGAAGTGCGCGATGGGCAGAGAGAGAGCATATAAGAGCCGCAAACGTAGCGAAAGCTTGGCCGACCCGGCACGCCCAACACAACTAGAAGTTGAGTTGCTCAAAGCAGCCGTGTAGCGCCGAAAGAGGGAGGAGCGGAACAGACGCGTGACCGGTTGATTAAACGGAGGGGACCATATATTGCAAACTTGTCGGAAAGTGAGGGGTGGCCGGGTTCCCCTTCACAAGAATGCGGCTCAGGGAAGTAACGGCTGGGATAGGTATTCCGGCACCAACGGCGGAAGACGACAACCAGGGGATGCCAGCCGTACTTGGTTTGGTCGGTGTCGATGATGGGATGAGTTCAGTTAATTCAAGCTCGCTAGTGGCCCGCACGGCATACACACCCCAGGCACGGACGCTGTCTTGAGTTGACCCCGGGTCTCAGATGCTTTCGAACGACTGTTCTGATCGTTGGGGAGATCGGCGGCTCTTGGGACGCTTCCCTGCAGCGCGCGAGGTTCAGGATCGGAAACTTGATCTTGGCCGCAATGAGGATCCGTAGCCACCAGTGCATCCAATACTGTGTGCGTACGGTGCAAGAGCCGGTGAAAGCTCGTGCAATGGCAACTGGTTTGCTTGCGACAGCTAGCCAGGTAAGGTAATAAGAGTGGAGGCGGGGCGCCGAGCGAGCGAGGAGTCAACTTGCGGGGGACCGCTATGACCGAAACAACGACAAAAGAGCGCCGAATGTCCCAACCACCATGCAACAGCTGCAAACGAGCCAGGGGTCCGGGGCCAGGTCCGGCCGAAGTTCGACTTCCAGGATGGCACTGGCAAACTGGTGCCAAGGTGAGACGAATTGATGCTCGTCGGCGGACGTGCTCCCGGCGCCGTTCACCTTTTGCGGGAGCTGAGCCGAGAAGCTTGCGCTTGTGCGAGTGCGACGTTGGATTCAGAACTTGTCTGGCTGCCTCCAAGGGAGATGGGAGAAATGAGGCTCTTTTGCCGCTGCGGCCAGACTGACGGTCGGGCAGGCACCGTTTCGCAGATCTGCAGGCCACGAATATTCGGGTCTCAACCGCTGCAAATGATCAGCGTCTTCCGAGGCGAAGTGCACCACGGCTTGACCTCTCCCTAAGATCGGCTAGACCGTTGCAAAGCTTCACTGTGTCTGGTCGACGACGGGAGAGGATCAAGGGGCAAGGAGAAGCAACTTGGAACTGAAGAGCAAGACAACACAAGGCATGGAGAGAACAAGGCAGGTGGTCAACCATAACTCGGGAGCTTTGGGCGGGATGCACGGTGAATGGGGGCGACGGGGTACACCAAGCAGTGTGGGGACCCCTGGCCCGCCGTCCCGTCATCGGCTGGAAATACGCTTGCATTCCACCCTTTTTCACCTCCCGTCTTGGTTCCATGGTCCGTCCGTCCGTCATGTATGTGCAGAAACACGACTCGCAACTTCAACCTGAGGTGGAAAGAAAGGCGCTCACAAAGCTGAGCTTCTTCCAGTTTATCTTTGGTATGTCATCAGGTCGTGATAACCAGCAAGGCCGGGCTGTGGCGGGAAGATTTCGGGATTCCAGTCAGGGCAGGGGTAAATCCAAATACGCTCTCGAACGGCTTACTTGGGGGCTTCCTCTTCCATCGTCGCCGAGTTACCTATCCTGGGCTCTTGCCCAATCTCCCCGACTCCTGCACCCGCTCCTGCCCAATATGCCTCTCCTGACTCGCAAAATCGCTCGCACCTTCCCTACCTACCTGCTGAGAGCAGGGGAAAATCCATGGAATCCCACTGGATGGGCTTCTGTTGACGGCGTATCCCGCTGCAACCCTCAACCTTCACTTTCTCATTGGGGGCAAGCTGAAGCCGTTTGTGAGATGGAAACCTGTGGGAGTAGGAAGCCCAAAATTCTGCCGACGTTCCCACCTCGTATCACGATGCTGATACCGAACGTTATGGAGAAAAATGTCTGGCGGCAATCCATTCCTTCCTGGGGTTTCCGGCATGGCTGGAACCCGCATATCACAGTTTACAATCCCGAGACGATCCTATGAACGTAACCTTATCGATTTCCTCGCCCAACGAACAGGACGCCTCACTCAGGCTTCGAAAGGCTGCCGCGACTGCAGAACTTCCCGCCATACACAGTAGTACGGATAGCTGCAAGCACCACCCAGCCGCTTGTTGGAAGGGCGTGGTGGGCTGGCACACCGAGGGCCCTCTGCTGATTGGGAACCTGACCTGGAAGCCAAGCGAGGGCTCAGCCTCATCGGTCTATGCCGTTTTAACAGCAGCGTCGTCATGCTACACTAAGGGATACGGGTCAGTCCGAGATCCATGCAGCGACCTAACCTGCCTGAGCCAAGCGCAGCAGAGGCTCAGAGGGCTCCCGAGCTTTCGCACGGCAGCCTCAGATCTCATGTCTTTCTACACCCAATAATAAGTGAAGCGTCTTCCCCCAAAACGCGCGACCGGAGCCTTCGCCGTAGCAGCGATATTCGCTATGAGGAAAGGCCACGGGTACGATATGGCGACGGCGCCATGTCCGTTCGCAGAGGCCAACTCCGACACCGGCACCACCATCATATCCGTGACCAACCCTCCCGTCTGCAGGCACGGCACGTAGCGTTTTGTGGGGATTGCCTAGCTAGACGCTGCAGAGTGACCATAGGCTGCGAGGCAGCCCGCCCGGGAAATCCCCTACTGAAGAGGCCTCGTATGTACGAATATATACAGTACATGTGTATTGTATTCCGTACATGAGAGTACGTGGCTCCCTTATCTGGATTTCGCCCTGCTTTTCGGGCTTCCTCCGATGTGCGGCCTAGATGCCGCAGTTAGGGGCCGGGGCCGGCCGCCTTCATCTGTCCCTCTGTTGCAACGAGCAGGCCTCTTATGTCAGTGGCAGCGCTGGGCTGACGGGGCCCGCAAGAGGTTGGCTCTCCGCCTCCTGAGCCGCCGCTCCTGAGCGTTGCACCAAATGCGGCGGTGAGATTCGTCTCTGCCGCTTCGTACCAGCGATTCCCAGCAAAAGACCCCGCCAAATGCGGTGTGTCACCTGCGATGTATCCGTATCTTCATCGAGAACGGCAGTCGTGGTTGGGCAAAAACCAGCACGTGTACCCCGGGAGGGTGTCGTGCAGGGCTGCAGGCCTCGATTTCGAGTTTTAGCCGGCCCTTGCGTGAAGCGCCTCGACGCTGCTGTGTGGGCGACCTCAGGCGAGCCTCACTGGCCGATGTTGACTTAAAGGCCAGTGCAGTGACTCTGCCAGGGCACGCCATAAACCTCAATATCCAGGTGACTCCAAAGTATATCGGCATCGTGAATGACGACTTCTCACCACCCACATTTGTGCGGCACGGGAGTAGAGGTTGCAAGATTGCATCTACGGCGATTGCTACGGCGATTGACATGCTCAGCGATTCTTGATCCTCACCCCCCCAATTCGGGACAACATCTTAACCTCGACATAACGAGGCACCGGGCTATGCCAATGAGAGCTTCATGAACCGCTTGGGGAGTCCAGCTCCGTGTTCGTGGCACCAGTCAAGTGACACCAATCCACGATTCAGTGCCACCTGTTTCCTGAGTGCCGAGGTAACCACTCGAATTGGAGGAGAGGGGGACCCCTCCACGACAGCATGCATTCAGTTGCCTGCTCAGGACCCCCCATCGACCTGTTCTAAGCAAGGCCACTGCTAGGCCATTTGTTGCCACCATCCGCGTAACGGTCTAGGTACGCCAGCTGTGTCGTCCCGTCTAGTCCGTCTTCACTCCTCACTCCTCACTAGTACCAGTCCTTTATCAGGCGGCCGAACAGCAGTATTGGCACGTTGAGCAAAAGGCAAACGAGCTGGGAGAACAACAACGGGCCCAGACTGCCCAGGTTCGCATATATCCCCTTCAGTGTACAAATACCGACGCCTTTCATCTGACAACGCCGCCAGATGGCACCTCTCCCATCTGTGACACATGAAACCCTCCCAGGTCTCGTCTCGCCGCGGGTACGGAGTCTTGTACAATCGGTCACAGCATCCACCGCTATCTGCCCCTGAGTTGTATTTCTGTGAGACAAGACACACAACCGGAAATGGTACGGGGCGAGACGAGCGCCGCGAGGGTAGAGTGTCGTGCGTCATACTACGGAACCTTGTTGCTTGGAGTAGTGGGCTGGAGCAAGGCTGGGTTCTGGCTCTTCCTCACTGCCCTAGTCGCATTCCGGTTGAGCAGCAGGTGTAGCCCATTCGGGCGTATTTCATACGGAGAACTTCCACGCCTACTGCGGTAGCTTTGATGATTCAGACGTTCAATCCATGTATCTATCCGGGGAAGACGGCACCCGGGAGATGCTCATGCTAGGTATGTTCTCTCTCTTCGCTTCAACGAATTTGTTCTCAGGTCGGTGTGGGGCCCCATGAACAGTATCCTCCTTGGTTAAGTGTCTCTGGCGGAGTCAATGTGACGCCAACTTCTCTAGTTCAGCGAGTCAGGAAGCATGAGAATCTCGAGGTGCATTGGGGGGAGGGGGAGCAAACCACAAAGTCGGCCGGACCGGCTCGCGGACGGTGACACCCGCGGACAGGATCACGAGTACTGTCACTTGCCCCTTTCCCGCTGTGGCTAGGTGTCCCGGCTGCTGTTGAGGAAGGGGAGATGTTCCCCGCGGGCACCACTCTGAGCCCACGGAAGTTCCAAACACAAGAACTAACAGACAAACCAACCACTCCACCATGGACCAACGTCTTGAGGAATCGGGCCTACTACAGTTCTTTTGGGAAACAAGTTCCTGGCATTCTTCCCCAGAGTGCTGTACTGCCTCATACAAGGAGGCGGGACCGTTAACCTGCCGTACGTGGGCTAGTGACAATCGGCTGAAGGGTTCAACATGGGAGACGGCTGTTTTCATCTAGCGGTGTGGTGCATGCGTGTCTACATCTTCAAGTGGCGGTGTTCCCTTCATGCTGGCCTTGTTATGTTACGTCTCACCTTGTACTTGTACAATACAATCTGAGGGACCGTTGTTCGGGTATGTCGACCACGGAAACAATATGTCTCAGGTTCCCACCTGGGCTCTTCTCACCGGACGGTGTAGACATCTTATTCCTATCCTATCAAATCCCTCGGGGAATACCTAGCAACATCACATCAGTCATCACATAGCTTACACCCGTAGGTTAGTAGATCTGACCCCTTTCCAGGTACGCAACGTGCGAGTCCTGTAGGTAGGTGTGTATGGGGCCGAATCGTTCCTCATCACCCCTTTGCCCTTCTGTTGGCTACACAGTAAACGTTGCCCCTGGGAACAGCTCGAGATTCCGCAGGGTCCCCTTGTCCGAGATCATGCCCAGTCTTCACCCCCACAGCGACGTGGATTTAAGCTCTACAGAGGAAGGCAGCGTTTGCAACTTGCACGGCATTCTAGCTCGGGAATATACCACGAATACACAACCAACGCTTGTAGGGCAAAACTAGCCCGGGGATCGTAAGATCGGTTGTGGGCTTTCTCCTCACGTCGCGGCCTAGGTATTGAGTAGTGCGCCCGCTCCGGGCCTTCACTTTGCCTCGGTCGACCGGCCTAAGGCGGGCCCCCACAATCGTATGGGGCCACACCGGCAGGCGGGGTGCATTGGGGGGTATCAGGAACGACTTACTCCAACATCAGCATAGGAGCATGATAATATACCTACACATCATCATCTCAACGAAACAAGAACCATACAAGCGCAGCGCATGCTCTGTCATTGCTGATATTCACACATGTCCTATTTGAGTGAAGGGCTGAAGCAGACAACTTGATACTGGAAGCCTTCCATCCTCGAGAACTGAGAGCGAGTGAAGCAGAACGTCACCACTCACGGAATTCTCATGATGTCTGACCTACCGGCAACCATGAAGGCCGTTGTATTCCACGGCCCGAAGCATGTAGCCGTAGAGGACCGGCCCGTTCCGAAATGCGAGTGACGTACACTCCATTCAAGCCGTGCTCATGAAACTGACCTCGCATGTAGTGCAACATCCCAGGGACATCATCGTCAAAGTCCAGGCTACCGCCCTCTGCGGATCGTATGTTCACAACCGGCCCCTCTCTCCCGGCCCCACCCAACGAGGCCTGACCCCTGTTCACTGTCCGGGCAATATAGCTGACTGACCACCACCCAAGTGAACTGCATGTCTTCCGCGGCCACCAGCCGTCGGCCACGGGATTCATCATGGGCCATGAGTTTGTCGGAACCGTGGTCGAGGCCGGGGAGGAAGTCAAATCAGTCGCACTCGGTGACAAGGTGGTAGCCCCCTTTACCGTCTCATGGTGAGTCTCGTCCCATCCACCCCCGGAATTCCGCGACAATCAAGCAGCCACAATCGGCATCATAAGCCCCTTCCTTCCTTCTCTGGCACCGGGCTCCCTGCCTAACCAACCAACGCGCCATAGCATGGAATGCTTTTACTGCACCCGCGGCTTCAGCGCCCGCTGCGAGAACTGTCTCCTGTTCGGCTGCCCCGCCCTCGACGGCGGCCAGGCCGAGTACGTGCGCGTGCCGTACGCCGATGGCACCGTGGTCAAGGCGCCGGCCGAGATCGACGACCGCGCGCTGATCCTCATGGCCGACATCTTCCCGACGGGCTTCTTTGGCGCGCGGAATGCCTTCCGCATGCTGCAGCCGCAACCGGCGAGCGAGGCGACCGTTGTCGTGGTGGGCTGTGGCCCCGTCGGGCTGTGCGCCATCGCCTCGGCACTCGAGTACCGGCCGAAGCATCTCTTTGCGGTGGACAGCGTACCGTCGAGGCTGGAACTGGCGCGCAGGCTCGGGGCGGAGCCGGTGAATTTCTTGGATGGCATGGAGGTGATGCAGCGGAGGGTGAAGGAAGTGACCGACGGGAGGGGCGCCGACGCCGTGATCGAGGTGGTGGGGTTGAGCCCCGCGCTCAGAACGGCGTTCGATCTGCTGAGGCCGTTCGGCGTCATCAGCAGTATTGGTGTGCATAACGCCGAGGTAGGTCTCCTGGAGTAGTCTGGTCTTGTACGTGAGGCGATCTTGCTGAGTGGCCAGCAGATACCCTGGAACGGTAGTGAGGCATACGGGTAAGGATTCTTCCTTCCTCCAGGTCCAACACGCTCATCCACTGATCGGCAACAGCAAGAACCTGAGGATCCAGATGGGTCGCTGTCCCGTCCGGTCTGTCTTTCCCGAAGCACTACCCGTGTTGGCGAAGAACCAGGACAAGTTCAGGTAAGAAGGCCGGCGACTGAGTTCAGTGAGCGAATACCCGCTGACCGCGGCAGCTTCATGTTCGACAAAATCATGCCGCTGTCGGATGCCGTGGAGGGTTATGACCTGTTTGACCAGATGAAGGTGCAAAAGGTCGTCTTCGAGCCTTGAGAAGTGGTAGTGCCAACCAGTCGGCGCGATGCTGGGAGAGGAAAACCTCTGTGCATAATGTTGAGTTGGGGTGGAGGAACGAGGCAGCCTCAGTTCTGCCTGGGCTTCACAAGTCCATCATGTATCCAATAGTACGTGACGGTCGAGTCATCCTGGACTGTAGCGAGCAAGATGCGCTTCCCACGCTTCGGCCCTCTCCAAAGCCTCCACCGCGCATCGGTGCCGTCGAGATGGAGCGCCTCCTCGCGTGCGACTCCAGGCGGGACAGCCTCGATGGCATCAAACAGGGCCGCGAACTGAGCAGGCGACCATTTCTCCGACAGATGCAGCGGCAACACCCACTCGACCTCAGGTTCCTGTTGGATGGGCTTCCCTCGTTCCTTTTCAGCCTTGATGACGTCGACCTGCTCATCTGGATGCACGTAGAGCCGCTTGGGCGGGAGTCCGTAGATGAGTGGTCGCGGGAGGTTGGGCTGCTCGTGGGTTTTGACTTGCGTCCAGTCGTGCTGGTATTCCAGGTTATTCAGCACCACTTTCGAGAGAGCGGTGATATGGTCGGGCGAGGCCATTTTCTGGATTTGCTGTTGTGTTATGGCTTGTCGCTGTGGTCGTTGTGTTCGCGTGAAATCTCAGCATTGAAATTTCAGACGCGAACCTTGATGGATAGAAGGATAGAACTTAGAGGAGAGCAGAGTGGGGACAAGAGAGTATGTAAGTTACAGTATCCGTCAGTACGGCCATGGTCCGCCAACGTAATGATATGATGAACACTGGATGAAATTGAAAGCTAAGGTACTGTTATGAGTAATGCTCGTATAGAGAGCCATTCAATAATGCGCGTGGTTTGTATTCGTGATTCGATCCTGTATATGGCTTCAGAACCATGCTACGATAGCCCTATTCGGGGAGTAGCACATGTATATATTGTATCGTACACTCCAATACGGTTTGTGTACGTAACGGTATTCGTGTCGGTTAAGTTCACTGCGTCATCACATTGCTTGTATTTGCACTGTACGGTATCTGGAACCATCTTTCAGGCACGCCAGATGATCAGGCGTCAGCAACCTCAGGGTCGCCAACTCCAACTTCTACCATCGACTTAACGTCGACCTTGCACCGCATTTAACCTAGCAACCAGAAACAACGGTCCATAATGGGATCTGTACTGCTCCCTCATTTGCCCTCAGGCTGGCATGTGGACCAAGCAATTCTCTCGGGTTCGTGATTCATCCTTTGAAACATTTCTCGCTCGTTTGCTCACAACGGATATCAAGGCGGAAATCCCAGGTACTAACTTCTCATCCAGAAGAAGAGCGCGTCGTTGTGATTCGCTTCGGCCGCGATCATGATCCGGTGGGTTATCAACACAGTCACCCTCTGGCGTCTTCTGCAGGAAAGCTGATGATAAGTCTTAGGACTGCATGCGCCAAGATGAGGCCCTATTCAAGATAGCAGAGCGCGTCAAAAACTTTGCCGTCATTTACCTCTGCGACATCGATCAGGTTTGACTCTCTCGCTGATTCCGTTGCCCGGTTAGCATGAGCAGTGTCTAACTCAGTACAGGTCCCCGATTTCAATGCGATGTACGAGCTCTACGACCCGTGCTCCATCATGTTCTTCTTTCGCAACAAGCACATAATGTGCGATTTCGGCACTGGCAACAACAATAAGCTCAACTGGGTGCTCGAGGACAAGCAAGAGCTGATCGACATCATTGAGACGGTGTACCGGGGCGCCAAGAAGGGCAGGGGTCTGGTGGTCAGTCCGAAGGACTACAGCACGAGGCATAAGTACTGAGCGTCGTCACCAACATGCCAAGGTATATCCGAGCTCGTATCGAGAGCTTGGTGGTCCCTTGGAGTCCCTAACATCACATTTGCGAGGATGGAAGCAGGAGGTAGAGGATCGCATAAGACCGCTGCGGGCCTATTGACCACACGTGTGGGAGAGGCCAAGCGCTTTCGATCTGCTTAAGCCGTGATGTGACTCCGCCGGCGGGAGTGAAGGGAACGGAGCCGGAGGAAACGGTATTACCACCATACGCGTAGTCGTGACGTACCGTTGCGCAAGACTGAGACAGTCGTGGCCCCGTGTCACTGGATGAATTTGGACCCAGCCGCTGCTGTAGGCTTGGCAGAAATTCTCTACTCCCTGGTACACTCAGCTAATTTATCCTCTCAGCGCAGTATTATTAGTTATTTAAGCCTTGGAACACACTTTGGCCAAAATACTTCGTGTCGTTATACGCGTATGGATCCGGATCTTGGTTGGAGGAGACTTCCAGTTTGCTCCGCGTAATCTTGGGAGCGGCCAGACCCTATAGGCCCCCAGGATCCCCAAAAGGAAGTTGAGGCTAGTCTTGATTAGGCTAAGCGCCCCATAGCCTACCTCCGCGACCTGTCGTTACGTGTGGGGTGTCGTCACACCTGCCGCCCGCGCCTCTTTGACCTCCATGGTCGTCTGCGACGACTCGTTGGTGCCACTCCTCAGATTATTTGTTTCTGACTTCCGATACATTGTGCTTTGAACCAGATCCAGCTCACAGAATTTAGTCGTGCAGTTCAATCGCTTCCAATTCGCCTATGACCCCTGAATTTGTTGCTCCTTTCACTCTACCATCCTCTTCGCAACGACCTCTGATCCGAACCAAAGCCTAATCTCGATTTGCTCTTCCATAGAATGGACGACGCCACCCACAACGATCACCGCCATGGATCACAGAATCAGAGTGGCTCGGATGGCACGTCAACCATTCGAAGGCTGTCACAGGGACTGGAGGATTCGCGGCCACGCGAAGGGTCCATGGCCATGACGAGCGAGGGGGCGTCCTCAGTTTTCTCCGGGGATGCACAACTGGACGGACGAAGAGTGGCGCCTGAGACGAAGACGGAAGACCGAATGGAATCCGCAGATTGTACGGGGAAGCGAGCATCGAGCGTCGAGGGAGTATCGCGACCCTCAGAGATGGAAGTTGCCCCCTTCATATCTTCAGAAGAAGCCACTCTCACTGCGGCAAACCCTCGAAGATTGCCGTCCACCGAGCCGTTCGAGAATGGCTACCACTTTCCGCCAAAATACTCCTGGCAGGAGTCAACACGGCACGGCTTGAAGGCGTTCTGGAAGTTCTTTATCACACCGATGGGCTTCTTTTGGACCTTCTACGGTCTGAATGTCGTCGCCTGGGGCGGTATGCTGTTTCTACTCCTCTGCAACGCATCGCCTGCGATGTGCTACCCTACCTGCGACGACATCAACTCACCGCGGCGGAAGTGGATCGAATGGGACGCCCAGATCTTAACGGGGCTCTTTTGCGTGACTGCCTTTGGTCTCGCGCCCTGGAGATTCCGCGACCTGTACTACCTCCTCCAGTACCGGGTTATGGGGGAGCACGAGGGCCTTCGGCGGCTGGCTGGGATTCACAGCAGCTGGTTCCGGCTCCCGGGTACGCAGGAGATAGCCGTGGATGTGGGACCCGACAACATTCCTGAGGGTCTCCCTCGCCGCTTCGTCCCCATTCCGGAGAAGAGCATGCCCAAGCCCCCGTTGACCGGCATCCGGGCACCCGCGACCAAAGTGTGGAAGCTCGACTTCGTGATTTGGACCATGGTTTGGAACACATTTGCCCAGTGCGCTCTCTGCGGCATCATGTGGGGCATGAACAGATACGACCGGCCGAGCTGGGCGACCGGCTTTCTGGTGGCCATCGCCTGTGTCATTGCTATGGTGGGCGGCTACGTCATGTTCTTGGAGGGCAAGAAGGTCAAAAGCATCGAAGGCGTGCCGCTTACCGATCGGGACCTCGAGAAGCTCGCACGCGACCAGGAGTTGGGCATTACCCATTACAATAACATCAAGGACAAGAAGCCCAAACAAAAGGGCCGGGGTGACCCCGAAAAATAAGAAAACAGCGAAAGGGGATAGTACTAGAAACACAAACAGAGCTTAGGAGAAGAGTACCCATATGGATTTGCTAGGGTTATCTGCGGGAACATGAGACCGGTCTAATGGCGTTGAAACAAACACGGGGACACGGATAGAACGGCCGGCTAGCAGCACTGAGGTTATAGAATCTCGATGACGGTTACTGCTTCGTAATGGACTTCCATCACTTCGATCAATCACAATGAAACTTCCTGCTTGACCAAGCTATCTACCAATAATAACCCAAGGCTCATTGTATCCACATCACAGTGCCCGTTGGGCACCGGGCTGCGCTGCAAACCCCGCCTAAAGCCTAAGACGTGGTAAGGTAGGTGGATTGGGTGCCGAACTGGGCCAACTAATAAGGCACCTTGAATTCATACGTGTATTGTCATCCACAAGTGGTCGCATCCTCATATCAACCTCAAGCATGACATCTACGTGGTAACACACCACCTTAGGAGGTAAGGTAGGTTAGTCTATGCGTTTGGGATCCTGCCAGGTGACACTGGAGTACCCCGAATCGTCGGGCCAGGATGCAGCGTTGGGTTGAGCTGTTATCTACACTAGGTAGTTATCCTCTCTTGCGGTTTTCTGGGCTCGCCGGCGTCGACGAAATCGGACACCTCGGGTTGCGTTGCACTACACAGTACACAGTTGAGATCTGAGGAAGCTCTTGCAGGCCGATGTGACACGACCAACTCACCATGGTGAATGCCCATTCAGGTTGTGAGATGGCCGGCGCGTCCAAGGGACCCTGGTCCCACAGCAGGAGTCGGGGAAACTGCCGACCCAACCACCAACCAGGCCATGCCTATCAGTCAGCAGGGCAACCAATTGTGTGGGCCTTATCTGGGCTCCACCCAGCAGCGTCATGCGGCCGCCTTGTCTGCCCCGGCGCTCAACAAAGGCCGAAACGAAGGCACTCACCTGCCGCTGGGCTCAATCCTCGCACCTTGAAAGGGGACAGCGGCCCCTTCTTATCCTATTCATCACCAAATCGAGCTATCTTGTAGCTGGGAGGTGTGTGTCGCTTATTGTTTTGCCAGTAGCCTCTGCCAGGTGGCTTCAATTCCACCGACCCGGTGCCTTTATCCAGGCACATCACCTCGATCCCGCTCTCTCACTACCTATACATCCTCAACGGTTCCATTGCCCATACAACTCCCCGTCGCCACACCGCCAGCGACAATGGCGACCCCGGTGATTCCCGCGCGGGCCCTCATCCCGTTTCTGGTGGCCATGATGCTGTTCACCGGCGTCTGCAACACCCTCCTGACGAAGTATCAAGTAAGCAAGCAGACCGCCCCCTCGGCCGCTGCTGAGCTCACCTCCGCCCGAATTGCTAACCCCGTTCCGCCAACCAGGACAACCAATGCGTCCGCAACTGCGACGACCCGGACCCGAGGCGGCGAAAGCACTTCGAGCAGCCGGTGATCCAGACTCTGCAGATGTTCATCGGCGAGATGGGCTGCTGGCTCGTCGTCGGCCTGCTCTCCCTCTTCCGGCGCTATACCGGCTACCGCTCCTCGGCTTCCTCCGTGGCGTATGACCCCATTCCCACGACGGCGGACGACGACGAGAACAACCCGCGGACTGCAGCGGACAACGCCAGCATTCGCTCCACCACCGCCCTCAACCCCAGCAACGACTGCCCCCGCCCAGACCACGAAGGCCCCTCGGTCCTCCGCGGCTGGCGCGTCACGCTCCTCGCGCTCCCGGCCATCTGCGACATCCTCGGCACGACGCTGATGAACGCGGGCCTGCTGCTGGTGGCGGCCTCCATCTACCAGATGACGCGCGGCGCACTGGTGCTCTTCGTCGGCCTGTTCAGTGTCATATTCCTCAAGCGCCACCTGCACCTGTTTCAATGGCTCTCGCTGGTGGGCGTGATGCTGGGCGTGGCGGTGGTCGGCCTGGCCGGGGCGATCCAGCCGGATAAGAAGCATGCCGACCTGGGGGATGCCGGTAGTGGCGAGGAGGGTGTGGTGACGGCTGATGCGCTCAGGGTCATTGTGGGCGTGTTGATGATTGCCGGTGCACAGGTGTTCACCGCGACGCAGTTTGTGCTGGAGGAATGGATTCTTGAGAGGTCGGCGATTGAGCCGATTCGGGTTGTCGGATGGGAAGGCCTGTTTGGATGCCTCGTCACGTTCCTGGGAATGGTGGTGCTGCATGCGGCCATCGGGAGGACGGAGGCCGGGAGGTACGGCCCGTTTGATATGGTTGAGGGATGGCGGCAGTTCTGGGAGCACAGGACCGTGTTTGTGTCGAGCGTTCTGATCATGATCAGTATCGGGTGAGTACATCATCATCACTCGCTTGTTGGGGTTTGGCGAATGGCCGGACTAACATTCTCTTAGCGGCTTTAATTTCTTTGGCCTGTCGGTCACCCGCAGCGTCAGCGCCACATCCCGGTCGACCATTGACACCTGCCGAACCCTCTTCATCTGGATTGTCTCGCTCGGCTTGGGCTGGGAGACTTTCAAGTGGCTGCAGGTGGTCGGCTTCGCCCTTCTGGTCTACTTCACCTTCCTGTTCAACGGCGTCGTGCAACCGCCGTTCAAGTTCCTGCGCGTGCGTGAGGTCGAAGAGCTACTCCCCGAGGAGCCGGTCGAGCATATCTAGGCAGACATGGTGTGTTGCCTCACAACCTGCGTATATGTGTAGCCTTGTACGAGCTCAAGGATGTGCATCCGCACGGAAGAGTACGAGGAATGAAGCAGCTGTTCAGACCTGGTCGTGATACAACGGTACATATCAGATTGATGGCGTTCCGGGCAGGTTTGGTTAAAGGTTTGGGTTTATCATCTGGTCGGGCATATTCAAGTCGGTCATCCTTCACTTTTTCTTATCTGAGGCTAGAAGAAGAACAATCAACATCTTCAAGTCAACGGGGAGTCCAAGGGACTGTGATTCCCATTCCTGCAATTGTAGTATCGGGATAATCTGATGTGGGGACTATCTCGCCATGAGAGAGCGTATGCTTCCTCCATGTCCGTAACTAGAGTGCTCTGATGATGAACCAAACCAACGCGCCCGCCATGTGTTTATGCGTTCTGTCGCCAAATGCTACTCCTGCTTGTGTCATGCTTGGGCCCCGATCATAAGCCAGAAAAACGAAAAAAAGAACAAGAAATGGAAACCCAAGCACCCCTACACCAGAACTCCCCATCTGCAGTGATGCGCCAGTGTCCCCGGTAAAAAGATATGTGATAATCCACGCCCAAGCATGCGGTATCAGTGTTGCAATGATGACCTGGTATTGGCGCGCCCCCTCGCTTTCTCAGGGCTGCCCCGTTTCTTGTTGTATCCCTTTGAGCGCGAGAGTCCCCTGAGAAGACCCGACCGAGTCCGCATTCCCCATACTAGTTTACCAAGGAAAGGAGCTCGGCCTCGAGAATGAATTTGCCTTCCTTGTACTTCTCCGACGACTCGTACGCCTTGTCGTACTTCCACCCGACAATCTCGTTGCACATGCGGCAGCTGATGTCGCGCACCACGTGCCGGCCCGTCGTCATGCTGCGCTCGGACGGCTCGCCCGTCTCGACGTTGACAACCGAGTGGAACAGGTACGCCTTGCCGTGCTGGCCGCGGAAGTTCTGAGAAGGGAAGAACACGTTGGAGGTTAGTCATGGTATCATTCGGTGGTGGCGCAAGACGAAGAAGGGAGGCAGGAGGCGGAGTTAGGGAACGGAACAAAGCAGAGCGGGGGGACGGAAAGAGGCTTGGGTTGATTTACCCTGCTCAGAATGTCATCATGGTTGGCCAGGTGCGTTTTACAGCCCTTGCAGCCGTAGATGCGGTTGCTGTTGAGGTAAGTGTTGTACGCGAGGCCCATCGTGATCGCTGTTCGTTGGATTCGGCGTTGGCGGTGTCGGCGGGTTGTGGCGACTCCAGCGAGGGATGGCTACTAGTATGTACTCTAGTATGCTGTAAGAGCCGCCCGAGAAATGACTTTGGAACTGTAAGAGCTGGTTGAGCTGTTGAGGAATGACCGTTTTATACCCCCCTCAAAAGGTACGTCGATCAAGAGGCCAGCTGTTGAAGTGCAAATGTTTGAGCCAGAGAACAAAAGTCGAGACTCATCAGATGACTCGGACCTTATGGCATGAGGCGGACCTCGAATGTGGGCGGGCGAGATAAAGGAGGCAGAACCGAGCACCTGCGCCGCAAACAGCAGAGTGATGTCAAGGTCTAGTTACGTAGTAGTTCTCGTGTGTCTTGCACGTACCACACTGGAACGGAATATGCACGTCTTGTCACCCCGCAACGAAACTAATAAGCGGTTTCTGTCTGAGGCTGTGTCCGGCGGAATAGCGATGGGAAGGTCCCCGGCCGTGCCCGGGTCTTGCTATGACGGAACTGCGGTATCGATAACGACGGGAGCCGGGAAGGTCAGCCGGGAAGGTGGGGTAAGTAAACAGGGGGTGTACAATACAATACATAAGATACCTGTATTGTACGTCAGCACTCAGCACAGTATGGTCTGTAACATATTTTCATATATGATTACGCGAACGTATGTATGACTGTAATCTGTACCGACCTCCTTCACGGTCTGATCGACTCTTAAGTCTGGTAGCGACGCCAGGCCAGTATAAGATGATTATGTTAGTTTTCGGGGAATCACAGTATGCAATGCCCGATCTCCACTGCCTCCTCGACTGGTCGTCCGCAGCTGAGAGTTCAACGACAGACGACCAAGTCGAGGTCAAAGCAGCTAATAGTGTTTCTCTCGGCTGGGACTTCCGGGAGCATGGTTCGTCACAAACGCTCAAAATGGACTGCGGGCACTGGTGTAAGGGTTGAAGAACCAATGCAAAAACGAGTATATACTGATCCGCGCAGATTCGGAAGCGGGAAGACAAATAATGTACAAGAACCTTGTCCTCCCGATGCCAATCCTGTCACATGCTGAGAAAAGGACAGACAAATACGAAAAGATGCCCAAAAGCCACCGCCTTCTATCGAAAAAACTGACACAGTCTGTTTGACAGACTCAAACCCAAGGCTGACTGACCGTCGTCCTCTCTTATCCTCACCGTTCTACCACGAGAACGCCTCCTCCACAAAATCAATGTTTCCTTGATACTGTCTGTTCCTGACCGCTCTCCGCACCTCATCGCTCAGCGCCCCTGGGCCGCACACGGTAACGGCCATCGCCCCAATCTGACTCTCCACCTCCATCCCCAGGAGCGTATCGATGTTCGGCCGGCCAGGGAACATCTGCACCGTCGAGCTCGGGCTGTGGATCTCCTTGGTCGACCGCGGCCGGCTAACAAAGAGCATGATGCGTAGCACCTCGCGCCGTTTCTCCATCGCCAGCACCTCAGTCATCCACGGGCGGATCCACTCCAGGTGCTCCGGGCTCTGGATCGTCCAGACCATGATCACCTTGCGTGTCGCCACCGTGCCGTTGCTGTAGCCCGCCACGAGGTCCCGTACGTGTGGCACGGCCTGGGTGATGCCTACGCCACCGGCAAAGAGCATGACGGTGCCGTAAGAGTGCAGTCGGCTCGAGCCACGGTAGGGACCCTCAACCAGGCAGCGCGTGATCATCTTCCCGTCGGGGTGGGCAGCGGCGCGGCTGTATAGGGCTCCGGTGAAGCCGGTGCGGCCGCGTATGACAAAGGATACGGTGGTCTTGCGCTTGGCGAGCACGTCCTGGCGGCCCACGGGAAGCTTCTCATCATCCAGCTGATCGGCCTCGTCGCTCCAGGCGACAGTGAAAGGGTGGGATTGCCAGAAGCCGATGGTCGGCATGTAGAGGTAAGCGTGTTGGCCGGGCTTAAACTTCCAGGGCCGTGCCATGGTGACCGTGACGCGGCAGGCGCCGCCGGGGAGGGCCTCGACGAGCGTCTTGGTGCCGCCCGCGCCGAGGTTGCGGTAGCCGAGGCGAAGCAGGCGGGCAGCGCGGTCGAAGACCCACAGCACGACCACCGCATAGAGATACTTGAGCTGCGGAAGGCGCTTGAGGTCCAGGTGGTACCAGAGGCCGATGACGGAGAGGATCGCGAGGGCGATGTGGAGGAGCTTGAAGGTTTCGTAGTATGCATGCCGGAACATGCTGGCGGCCTGAATGGTGATGACGACCATTGAGAGAGTTGCCTACATTCCGAAATGTTAGCACAGAGCCCGCAACCCATTAGCGACGTAAGACTTGAGACATACAATGAATCCCCACATCAAAAACGGCACTTTGAAGATAGTGCTGAAGGCACCATCCCAGCCGTTGGTTGAAGCGCTACTGACGAGCCAGGCCAGCGTGTGGGCAAGGGCTTCCAGGGCAACGATGCGGCCCAGCCATCGGTGGAGCAGGTTGAACGTGTCGAACGACATTCCGAGAAGGTCGATGAGGGGATTGTTCCTGCCGGCCATCAAGAAGAGAGGGATCATGTTGACCGTGGCGAGATAACCGGTCCGGTTCCTCACCAGCCCTGCCACCTGCTTGAGCGGGCCGGAGTAGTCGACCGTAACAACGCAAAATGCCACGTTGGTAGCCAAATAGCCCAGCAGGAAGACGAGTTGCAGCCGTGTGGGCAATGTGCCGACGTTGAGCGCCGAGCTGACCTGGAACTCCCGATTGTGTCGCTTTCTAAGAATGGGCGCGTAGACGACGTTCCGCTTGAACCACGAGAAGTTCTCCCCCGCTTGTGCGAAGTACCGCTGTGTGTCGTTATGCAGGCAGGTCACGGTCCTGACATACCGGACCAGGAGCGTGGTGAGCCTCCAGCCAGCCAGCACAACCGCAACGGCACCGAGAACGACGAAGAGAAAATGCGCCAGCATCTCGTTCACCACGTCCGGGTCCATGCTAGCAGTGGCATCAGCCGCCCCCTGTCCATGTCCTGTAGCCGCTGCCGCAGAGGTCGCCGCCGCCGCCGCCGAGCTCGTTGGGGGAGCCATGATGGTTTGTTCCTGTCCTTCTAAATCGCTCCCTTCGCTCCGCCAAAAAAAACGTCTCTCGTTAGCAACTTTGAATAATCCGACTTGCTGATGCTTGTAGGGCCGGTGTCGAAGTCTCCAGGAATTCGTGCGGTATCCGCAAGTCGAAGCAACATCCAAGTTGTTGATGTATGTTTCCAAACGAAGGATCGCAACGGTTGCCAATGCTCGCCGAGTCCTGCAGGGGAGCTGGGTACTGTCGCCTTGTGGTTCGTAGCTGTGTCGCCTGGTGTTTGCCAAGAGGGATATGCAAGAATAAAGGTTGATATGAGTTGTTTTGTGGTCGTGTTGCCAGATTCACCTGCCCATATCTTATTCTTGCTTTCCTGTCTAGAAGAGAATGTGTTTTTGTTGGCTCCCTGAGAAGTCCTGGAAAGAAGTGAAGAAAAGTAGAAAGCGTCCAGCGGCAAGGTTGTGAACTGGAGTCCAGTTGTGAAGTGAGAAGCGTGAGCTGGTCACGATCGGTCAGGCACCCGTTGTTCCACGTCACGAAGGAAAAGAAGGAGCGTGATACAGAAAACACTCGAAAAGGCCAGCCACGATTAGGAGGGAGTTGTCCAAGAACAAGATTCCCGGGTCGGACACCGATGGAGATCATGACCCACGATCAGGGCTTGCAAACACTTATGAAGGGGCGGGTCATTTTGAGTGACCCCTCCGTCCGTCCCTGGATCTGGCATCGGCGCTGGGAGGCCCAGGGGTGTGCGGTGGTCACGGTTTTCACGTAAAGCGGGGTAGATTACAGTACCACAGCCACTCAGATCTCTCGCACACCGCAGTCACGTTCTGGTGCGTTCTTTCGAGTCCCCTCAAAATTCAGACGGTGTACAAAACAACATCCAACTTGAAGTTCATCTTACACATGGTTTCCACGATCAACCACTCAACAGCCACAGGCTCTTGTGAGTATCCTTCTCCCCATCCAGGTAAACCATTTCATGTTCCGTCCTCAAACAGTCACACTCGCAGCTCTAGGTGCGTGCTTTGGGTGGGCGAAACCTTACGCGTATGCCGCTGTCGCATATTCCAGGGACGGCAATTGCAGGTGTCATGCGCTACTCAGGGCTAGTGTATGTACACGTGTAGACTGGCAAAAAGCCTTCTAACAGGGCCGACTGTGGCAGCGAGCGGGCCGACATGTCGAATTTTGCGCGCATCTCAGGTTCCCAAACCGGTCCAAACCCCCGGTGACGAACGCTTCTATGCCAATCGGAGATAAGTTGCAGTTCCTGCATCGGCCAGTCCCAATCGGACGTGGCGAATTGTGATGCCAAGCTTGCCAAGCGGGCCATGTCGCCCTGCCAAGCGCTCCCCGTCCCGAGGCATCATTGGCCAAGCACTGAAACAACGCATACCCGCTTCAGGGGCCCGCGCATGATGCGGCTGGAATCTGGATTGAGACTTTCCGCTGTTCGACCGTACTATTATACTATGTACTTACACGTACGTGACGGACGGACTTGCTGCGAGTTTCGCAGTCCCTCTTGCCGGCAGCCCAACTTGGAATCGAGGCCGATTGGTAAGATAACTACTAAAGTATTCGCCAGTCGTCGCACACACTGGCCTGAAGCCAAGGAACCTATCGAGGAGCTACGCAAAAGTCGGGTCAGTTTGGAGACATCAGAAGGACGCCAAAGCGTCGAGCGAGGTGTGCGAGGTCAAACAAGGTTTCTCCCAGCGTGCCGGCAGCGGGCCCATTTCATCAAAATACCACAGTAACCGAATCCTCATTCTCCCTTCGCTCTCCACTCTCAAGCAATCAATACGGCACAGCAGTCGATGTTACCTCACATATATGGTATTCAGATGCTGCGAACAATCTTGAACAACCTCTACTACTAGTGTACGTAGATACCTGGAAAACTACCTAGCATAGGATGAAACAGACTCCGATACTCGCTGTCCTCTCCACCGACTAGCACAAGGAGAACTTCCTGTAGTCTCACCACTTTGCTCGCTCTCGGCAGGCAATGACCGACGGAAAAACTCGACACTGCTGATCTCCCGCTGAGATCGCTCTTGATGTTTCATCTGATAGCTGACGAGTCCAGAGCGGAGGCCGACGGCAATACACCACCAAGAAGGAAAGACTGACCGGAGTAACAACAGGGAGTCGGTCGGTGTCGTCCAAGGCGCTCCATCCTGAAACAAGCCCCCACGCGAGCCCCGACAACTCGCATCCGCGTCACTTATATATACCTTACACAGCACATCAGTCATCAGTGGATAATCAGAGTTCAACCGACCTGCCGAGTACGGGCTCCGTCAACCAACAGTTCTTGGGGGAACGACTAACTACTAGTACGTCACTTCAAAACCGACCGTCTCAGTACATACAGCAGGTCCGTCACTGCTTCGTTTCGCCCGCATGAGACTGAGGATAGCTGCATCGATATCGGCCACTGCCGTTTCAGCAAGAAACAGTCGAATGAGACGAAGTCGAAGCACAGGGCGTGTGGAGATAGTTACGACCCGACCAAGATCTACTACCCCGGACTCTGGTCAGAGCCCAAACACAAACGAGATTTGCTACCCACAGCTCGCGTCCCTGTTGATTCGTGGTGATGACGAAGTGGAAGGAAACCGGCCCCATCACTCGCGAAAGGAGGACCATGCTCTCTACGTGCTGTACGTACGGTGAGGATCATCACAGCGCATCACGTATATTAGTGCTGCACCTATGTACACTAGCTAAACATCAGTGGTGATGAATTTGTCATATCGATGTAACCAGATCTGAGACGAGGTCGTATCGGGTCGGGTTGCTCTGTGGGCAATGAAGCATTCACACACAAGATGACCGGCAAGTCATGAACTGAGACATACCTCGCCATTCCGGCGCTTGATTGGCAAATAGGTACGAATTACTAGGCGGGACAGTACTCGCTATCCGTGCCTTATTCTACACATAACACCTAAGATCCTAACCAAACCCGATCAGATACAGAGTAATGAGTACAGATTACCTTAGTCCAGCCCATTGGTATTCCTACTCCAACAAGTAACCAAGACGCCATCATACAAACATATAGAAACGGCAATGCTTCCAGTGCAAACGTAGTCCGTAGCCTGGCCCCTCTAAATGAAGCTCAGCTCATCGTCACTCCACTCATCCCCGAGACACGGCCTCTCAAGGGGTTGCACATACACCCGCGACGCCCGAGCCACCCGCTTCATAGCGGGGCGGAAGCGCGTGGGCTTTTTCTTGCAGAGCCAATTCTCTTTCTCTGAAGAAGCACAGCTCACACTGCCCTGGTGCTGGTCATCAAACGCCAGCTCGTCTCCCGCGCGACTTATCGGCCGCGATAGACGACGGGCGCGCGCGGCGAGGAAGCCGCCCGCAGGAACAGGCGGCGACGACGAAGAAGCGGGCTGCGGTTTGTCCGAGCCATCGGGATGTGGGCGCTTTCGCGATGCCGAAGTCTCCGACACTGATTCGCAGCGTGCGGCCGGCGACGCCTCAGTATTGGGCGAGAGGGTGCCCGTATCAGCCTCGTTGCCTGTTTCGTCTGTTTCAGATGCCGAGTCAATGCTGTCGTCGTCGTCATCGCCACCACCTGCGGTTGGAGCGTCGGGGTCCGGTCTTTCTGGCTCGGTTTCCGATGCAATGTCGCCCTGCGTGTCCGAGCCCATGTCGGTTTCTCCCTGCGCGCTCTCCATAGGGCATCTTAACCTCGACCGTCGCCGGATGCGGCTTGGCGGGCGGACATCAATCGCAGGAGTGGCAGCGACCCACTCGCTGATCCCGTCGTCCCAGCGCAGTCCGGAGAATGATGGCGCTTTTTTGACCCTGTTGCTGTCCTTCTTTTTGCCGCCTCGTGATGTCTGCTCGGGAGTAGTGCAAGCGGTGGCAGCCTTGGCTTGGAGATTTTCGGCGAAGTCAAGATCTCGCAGGTCGCCAGTGTGCTCTGCGAGCCGGAAGGCACAGTCGACGCGCATGTTGCTGAGCGCGGCGGCCGGAAGAGCCAGCGTCTTCAGCTTGTCGCAGAACCGTGACAGGTAGACGCGCGGGGCGAAACCAGTCCCACGGCCACAGCAATGCGAAACAGCGCTGATGAGGGCCATTGTCGCATCGTATTGGAGCATCAAGTCTGCCTTGCCTCGGCAGCTACGGACGCCCCTCCAGCACATCTCGACAGTCGAGGCCGAGGCCGCGTCGCCGTCGAGCGAGAGGAAGGAGCAGAGCGCGAGCAAGTACCTGCCGAGTTTCCGGCCGCCTTTCTTTATGTGCTTGAGCTTTGCTGAGCATGCGGTTACCACGTACTCTATCCTGCGCCTGATGGTGGCTGTTCTCGCTGTTGATGAGGCTTCGGTGCTTTCGCCCAAACCTTCCTCGCTCAGGATGACCACGGATCCCAGAGCTGCAATAGCACTGACTAGAGTGTTCTGCGGCTTCCCACGGAGCCGTGTTTGCGGCACGCCCCGTGGTCTCTTTGGCGAGGCACGGTCGCAAAGCAGTTCGAGTGTGGCGACAACGAAGTCCGCGGTGTCCTGACATGGCTTCATTTCGGTGATCCTGCGAACCGTCGACGGCCACAGGTCGGTGAAACTCTTAGTTAGGATCCAGTCGGGCGGGAGAAGGCCGTTGGTAAGCAGCTCGGTCATTATCCCGGGCCTCAGGGAGAGCCCGGAAGGGTCGCAGCTTGTGAGTATCCGGAGTGGTTGGAGCGCGGGTGTCTTGAAGAGGTCGTCTTCGGCAGATTGAGGCTTCGGATACTGCCGGACAACGTAAGTCTTGATCAGGCCCATGCATTCGGTGGCCGTCATATATTCAAGGCAGAGCCGTATTAGTAAGTCCGTCACCGGCTCCTCGATCAAGCCCTCCGAGACAGCCTCTTGGATGTATTGAACAGCATGGGCTTGCAGCAGCAGGCCAAGGTGTCTCCAGCCCTCAACGGTGCCCAGAGACTCCAGCTCCGAATAGACTTCGAAGGACAACCCGGCGTCCTGCACTGCAGCCTTTGTGCCGCTGTCCTCGGACGCCTTCCTTTCCTGGTCCTCGAGAGCGGCGATGTACGCCGGGACCTTGCGGAGGCACATGGCTAGCAACGACGCTGGCCCGGCCGCTCGACTTGGCCGGACGGAGGTGACCCTTAATAAGGCGTCGAAAGCCTTGAAGAGCGGCTCGTAGAGGCCGTGTCGCTCAGGATCAACAGTTCGGCGCAGTGCAGCCAGTTCCATCTCGAAGGCGCATTTCGTCTTGCAGCCACTCCCCACATGGCTGCACCGGCTATTGGCCGGGGACGGTTCCTCCTGGAATCGTGCATCTGGAGGCTGGGCCGGAGAAGAGGGTTGGTGATTCCTGACACGGCGGAGCAAGGGGGTGGGCAACACGACATCCTGGGCTGCCTTGTTGCCCGGTTGGCGCCGTTGCTTCTGCAAAGTCCGCGGAGGCGTGCACAACTGATTAGTTGACCGTCTTCTTCGAGACGCCTTGCTGGAGTATTTGCGGCATGGTCTTTTATCGTTGTAGTCGGAATCGGAGTCCGGGTAGCTCCGCTTGCCCAGCACCGTCCTCCGGGGCTTCGCAGACTGGGCGGAAGCGGCGGATGCGAGGCCGTTCTGAAGCAATGTGCGCCGCTCCTTCTCCTTTCTGAGAGCGGCGATATGAGCAAGGAGCGGCCGGAGAAGCCGGTGACATCTTGTGGCCGTCCAGGGCTGCGCTGACTCGGAAGCCAGGGTGCTAGCACTGTGTTTCGGGTGGTTGCGCTGCTTTGGCGATATTGAACATCTCGAATATTTGCCCTCCATGAGCGCGTCCGCTCACAGGGAAAATGGATAGCCAAAAGTACCTAGTAAGTACTAGTGCACTTCTTTATAATGCTGTGGCGGATGCTGAATGTGACAGAGGCGATTACCTATGGTAAGGCTGTTTCTACATGTTGAGCTTTTGTCGTTGACTCGTTGTTTTCATTCGTTGTTGAGGATCCCATTTGTTTACTCATTCCCTCTCTCGGTTCCAGCTGCTTGGGCCCACTGATGAATTCCGACTCTGGCCGACAGCTGAGTGGGGCGCTGCTATGCTCAGCGCTGCTCAGTACTAGTACGTACCCGCGGGGTTGTTCCCGCCCGTTAGGCCGGCGCCGGATCCGCATCATACACGTGTAGGACCGGCAGAAAAAAATAGTTCGGCTGCAGCACGAAAAACTTCGATATTCTCAAATGACTAGGAACAATCGTCCGTTCCACTACTCAACCACTGTCGTTTCCTTTAACTAGGTCTTCGGCAGCTTATTTGGATCTTCTTATCGCCCAATTGGGTCGTTCTCATCATCTGTTCCTCTACATTCGGCACATTTTTCTTTTGCTTCGAGAGCAGATCTGCACAGTGAGCCGGCCTTCGAATTTGTAGTCCCTGTTTAGTCCCTCCGCCGGTTTGCCCGGAGCTACCACGATATCACCCCGGAAAATAGACCTGAAAATGGCCGATGCACCGTCAAACGCCGCCGCCGTGACCAGTATGTGTTCCGGGCTGCCATCCATTAGTTCGCAGCCCCGCGTGCCCGACTGACGGAAGCCCCTCTCTCAGACAACCCGGCCTCGGAAACCCCCGCAGCGCAGGATACCCCCGCCGAGAACCCCGAGACAACTCAGCCGGCGGAAGACGGCGCGGAGCAGCCAGAAGGTGTGTCTAGACACAGCTCAACGCACACATGCCTGTCGTGATTGCTCTCTAACCGCTTCTCAGACGCCCCCTTTGTCGTGAAGGTCATCCTTCCCCACGACGACAAGCCGTTGGACCTTGCGGTATGTGCTTGACAGCCCGGATGGTGGTGTCAGGGCAGTACTAAAACCTGGGCCCAGATCTCCCCCTTAGAGCAAATCCACGAGATCCGCCAGACCATCATCGAGCACCCCGTTGCGATTCAGTATTCCTGCTTCCACCTCGAACACAACGGGAAACGCATCAATGACTTCGTGCTGGTCTCGGACGTCGAGGGCCTTGCTGCAGACTCCGAACTGCACGTTGTCGAGGATCCCTACACGGAGAAAGAGGCTCGGATCCATTTCATCCGCATCCGGGAACTGATCGGTGCCGCCGGAGACCGCACCGACACTGCACGGGGCATTCTCGCCGGTGTTTCGATACATGACGATGTCGTGGCCGCAGCCGCCGAGGAGGCCGAGAAGGAGGTGCAGCCGTACGACTTTACTGCGACGCCCAGTCTTTCCGTGCTCCTTCCCAAAGAGACGCCACCAGCACCTAAGACTGTCAAGCTGATCTCGCTATCGCCGTGGAACCCGCCCCCGGCGCAATGGCGGCAGAAAGGCCATCTGCTCTACCTCACAGTGACGACAAACGAGGGCGAGCAGTACCATATTACCAGCCACGTGGGGGGCTTCTTCGTCAACAACTGCAGCAAGGACAAGTTCAGCCCAACGCCCAGGACCGATGCGAAGGCTGCCTCGGCCCATTCCCTCTTCACCTTGCTCACCAAGATCTCAGCGTCGTTTGAGAAGTCCTTTGGCGAGTTCCAGCAGATCGCAAACGGCAAGGAGATCTTGGCAACGTTCCAGCTCGGCAACACCGTGCCTTCAGCGCCTTGGATTGTGCCGTCCTCCTCATCACCAACGTGTGCCCACGTTCCTGACCCGACGAGGTCGCAGGAAACACTCCTGCTTGGCGGTGCGGACAACGCCGATTCCCTGAGAGACTGGAACGAGGAGTTCCAGTCCGCGAAAGAGCTTCCCAGGGATTCCATCCAGGACCGCGTCTTCAGGGAAAGGCTGCTTGCCAAGCTCCATGCTGACTACTGCGAGATGGCTGCTCGCGGCGCCGTGCTAGTCGCACGTGGCGAAGTCACCCCCCTGAATCCTACTGAGGGCAGGGACGCCCAGATCTTCGTGTACAATAACGTCTTCTTTTCCTTTGGCGCCGACGGTGTCGGCACCTTCACTAGCGAGGGCGGTGACGAAGCTGCGCGGGTTGCCACCGGAAAGGATGTCCTCGGTGTGAAGCTTGTGAACCAGCTCGACATCGACGGCCTGTACACTCCGGGCACCGTTGTTGTCGACTATCTGGGCAAGCGTATTGTCGGCCAGAGCATTGTCCCCGGCATCTTCAAGCAGCCCGAGCCCGGTGAGACACAGATTCATTACGGTGCCGTGGAGGGCAAGGAAATTGTCGCCGCCGACCAAAGCTTTGTGCCGTCCTTTGAGAAGCTGGCCCAGTCGCTCCGAGTGAAGAAGCACCCGGTGTGGGACAAGGACAACAAGCGCTTCGACCTGGAGGCTAGCGTTGAGATGAAGGGTCTCCTCGGCACCGATGGGCGCAAGTACGTGCTCGATCTGTACCGCATCACGCCGCTGGACATTGCCTGGATGGAGGAGGGCGACCCGAAGGGTGCCGAGTATCCCCACCGCATGACGGTGCTGCGTCCTGAACTGGTGGAGGCTCTAGGCAAGCAGAAGGCTCGCGACTATGTCGCCGCCGAGCTACAGAAGCGCGGCGCGCTGAAACAGCAAGGCGAGGATGCCAAGGACGAGAAGCCAGAAGACGAGAAGGCCGAGGAGAAGGTGGAAGAAAAGAGCGAGCAAAAGACTGACGAAAAGACCGAGGAGAAGAGCGAGGAAGCCAAGCCTGAGGGTGCTGAAGAGACCGCTGCCAATGAGGAGAAGGACGAGGAGAAGACGGAGAAGGATAACCGGATCGACATGTCCAACTTCAAATTCGCGCTCAATCCCGATGTCTTCAGTGGCCAGAACCCTCAGACGGACGAGGAAAAGGAAGAGATGGCCAAGGACGAGCAAGAGGTGCGGGACGCGTGTGCCTACCTCCGGGACACAGTCATCCCTTCCCTGATCCGGGAGCTCAGCGAGTCAGACATCAGCTTCCCCATGGACGGCCGGCAACTCACGGCACTGCTGCACCGCCGCGGCATCAACCTTCGGTACCTCGGGAAGCTCGCATCCCTGAGCGACAACACCCGCTTGGCGTGCTTCCGTGAGGTCTGCGTCCGCGAAATGATCGCGAGGTCGTTCAAGCACGTCGCTGCCAAATACCTGAAGACGCTGCCTCTGCCGCTCACTTCCTCCTGCTTCTCACATCTCCTGAACTGCCTTTTGGGTACTGGACTGAACCCCAAGCCGGTTGCCGACATCGACGAGTCGTACCGGGCCCTCTTTAGCGAGGCCGATCTTGCGTTCGAGCAGGTCACGCCGGAGAGCCTGAGGGAGGAAGTCCAGAGCGAGACGGCTCGCCGGTTCAGGTTCGTCCTGCAGGATAGCTGGTGGAGTCAGATCAGGCACCTGCAGCTGCTTCGCGAGATCTGCCTGAAGCTCGGTCTCCAGATCCAGATCAAGAACTTCCACTTCATCCCGCCTGCCGAGCCTGAGCCTGCCGTGCAGACTAACGGTCAGCCCCAGGCGGCGGAGCCTTCCGGCAAGAAGAAGAACAAGAAGAAGTCTCGCGACGGGTCGCCAGCCAGGGCGCCCTCGCCCGTTGCCGCGCCACACACATTCAGCCCTGAAGACTTCGTCAATGTGGTGCCCATCATCAAGGACTCGTGCCCGCGCAGCGCGCTGTCGGAGGAGGCGCTGGAAGCTGGCCGCCTTTCCATCTACCAGAACCAGAGGAAGCTCGGTGAAGACCTTCTCCTCGAATCCCTGTCTCTGCACGAGCAGATCTACGGCCCGGTCCATCCCGAGGTCGCCCAGATGTACCATACGCTGTCTCAGCTGTACTTCCAGCTGGATCAGAAGGATGCCGCGGTGGAGCTGGCCAAGAAGGCCGCCATCATCGCTGAGCGGACGGTTGGCCTCGACTCGGCCGAGACTGTGTTGAACTACCTCAATCTCAGTCTATTCCTCCACCAGCGCGGTGACAGCAAGCTAGCGCTCGGCTATGCCAAGCATGCCCTCGACATCTGGAAGATCATTTACGGGCCGGATCATCCGGACACGATCACCACGCTCAACAACTACGCCGTGATGCTGCAGAGCATCAAGGCCTACCACGAGTCGCGCCGCTGGTTTGAGGAGTCCCTGCGCGTGTGCGAGAAGGTGTTTGGCAGGTCGTCCATCAACTCGGCGACGCTACTCTTCCAGCTGGCGCAGGCCCTCGCTCTCGACCAGGACTCCAAGGCGGCCGTCGACCGCATGCGCGAGAGCTACAACATCTTCCGCAACGCGCTCGGCCCGGAGGACAAGAACACCAAGGAGGCCGAGCACTGGCTGGAGCAGCTCACCCACAACGCCGTCTCCATCGCCAAGCAGGCCAAGGACCTCCAAGCGCGCCGCGCCCGTGCGGGCTTCCGCTTTGCCTCGCGGGGCGTGAGTGTCGGTACTTCCGCTACGACTGCTGGAGCCTCCGGGACCTCTGAGCTTGCGGGCAAGCCCACTCCTCCGCCCTCGATGGACAACAAAACCATCGATGAGCTAGTCCGGTATATCGAGGGCACGGACAAGAAGAAGAAGAGCACTGGTGGTTCCGGGGGTGGTGCCAGTGGCAAGAAACGCACCGGCAGGAGCAACCCGAAGCGGCGGGGCGGTGCCGGGGGTGCTAGCGCTTGAGCTACCAGCTTGCTAGGTCCTGCTAGACGCTACCTATTTCGCGTGGATTGGTCGCTGCTAGGTATCGCAGAGCAAAGCCACCTTGCCATCGTCACTACACAAGCTCTCTGCGATTTGCACAGACACCTCAAAACATAGCTGTATTATGTATCCTAGCAAACTTGCTCATTTTCTGTACTATAGATATGAGAGGCGGAATCGGGAAAAGGAAAAAGAAAAAAATGGGGGTATGAGAGCGTGGAGCAGCAGGTATCAGCTTCATGTTCTTATGTTTTCAGTTGGCTGGCGACAAGGGCAGAGCTGAACGGGCGGCATGCATTCCCGGGTTTCATTACCAGTCAAGGGATGCTGCGATGGGGGGATGGCAAAAGTACGGGGTGGGAAAAGAACAGACTATGGATGACTAACGGCGGGGAGGTATAGGTACCGAGCTCATGGGCGGCTTATTGGGTAGAAGGAGGGGAAGTTGAGCTGATAATGCCGTAATGACACACATCTTCGCTCTGCAACTGCCTCGACTTGAATGTCAAGATTCATCAGACCATATAGTTTTGAGGTCTCAAGTATCCCTTCCATACCTAGGCTGCACACTATCGTTCAAATCCAACTGACCTTGGAGTTGCTTTACACACCTATAGATGTGATTTGCCAATTTAGTTAGGTATCTAGAAGCGACGTGCATAGTCTCAGCACGTGTCGGGTCTATCACACTGTTGTTTACTTCCAGGTCCAAGTTGTGCTTGAACAGAGGAGATTTGAAACAACATATAATAATAATCTATGCCCGGTGGATTAAAGAAGGACGCGCACTCATCACATACACTTGCGCCGAGCGTAAAGGGCGGGAATCTAGGGATTCACAGCGAGTCCTCGAGGGACTTGAGACAACATTGACAACTGCTTTAGGAGGTCATGCCCTGGGAGGGCACTGTATGATATTACTGTGCCCGCCTCCGAATTTCTCAATCTCCATTCTTGGGCCCTTGCTGGTGATGACGAACAAAGGCAATGACGTGCACGTGAAGCCCCACTTTGCCCCGCCAAGCTTGAGAGATATCAGACTGTCATTGGCTACTCATCCTCTGTACCTGCCTCGCGCCTTTCAGTCGCCAACGCGAAAATCATCCCGGGGGGCAAGCGTGTGTTCAATTAAACAAATCCATTCCCACGAGACCTCACAATCGCATCGATTGTTCACATTCGTTGCAGACCCTTTCACAACAGAACGAGCTCCGTTTTATCTGCGTCATCTCGAAGGTGTCGGTGCTTATTAGCATCAATTTTCTTATCAAACATACGAAACATACTGGACATTTGCGCGCCCAGCAATCGAGGTGTCGCATTCAGTGGCAGGTTCGCTGCGGGCAACTTTGAATTCCGACCGAGCAGCCAACCTCTCACCCCAAGCATAACGGTCAACCGCACCGACGTCAACCCCTCCTTTCCGATACTTGACCCTATGATTTTAGCGCACATTCGCGCACACACGAGATGCCCGCGCAACAGAAACGTGCACAACGTGCTCGACGAGAGTTGCGCAGCGATGCAGCTACTGCATCTTCGTCGCCGTCGCACCCCTCAAAGCGACGCAGAGTGGTAAGACTTGTCTGTGCCCCGCGGTTGCCCACACCTTCCACTCTATGGCCCACCCTAATCACCGAGTCTGCGCTTCGCAACCAAGCTGCACTCTGTTCCATAGTGCTGACAATGCTGCTTTCGACTAAGACCGATGACGCGGCCATCGAATCTGCCGAGACCTCCGAGCCCATTGACGAGGGCGACTCGTCCCATGCTGCTGACCAGTCTTTGGTCGAAGATGATGACCAGCTTGTCACAAGGGTGACTCAGCATCTTATGGCTCCCGCAGTGCCAGTACAGGCCAGCAGAGATCACTCCAACAGCATCCATGAGGCCAAGGAGGAAGGAGTCAAGGCATATGCTAAGATCGCTGCGCTCGACTGGACCTACTACATCACTAAGCTTCAGGTCAACATAGGCCGTTCGTCCGAGCCCGCGCAACCACGAACAGACGATGACAACCAAGACCCCGATGCGGTGAACATAGACTTGGGTCCCAGCAAATTGGTTTCACGGCTACATGCCGTTATCTACTTCAACCGCGACCAGGAGAAGTGGTGGTTGCTTGTCAAGGGTCGCAATTCGCTCAAGGTGGATGGGACTCTGTGGAAGGCGGGCCAAGCTGGGCCCCTGCGGAGTGGCGAAGTCATTGAGATTGGCGGCGTGGAGATGATGTTCGTGCTTCCCATTGAGCTTAGCCCCCTGAGGATTGCTCAGCAATACCTCGAGCGGGCAGGCATCGTGAAGCCGGAATCTTCAACGGCTCCCTCGCGGACGACGCGCCATCCCCTTCCATCGGGAGATGGAACTCACTCAAGCTCCCCGAGTAAATCGTCACGCGCTCAAAGCTCACAAAAGCCCTTGGCTCCGGCGCCGCCTGACTATAAGCGACCTGGGACTCCGCCGTCTGCGCGGGGCCGTGTTGCCTCGGCGAGCAAGACCCAGCTTGAGACTACTCCGTTACTCATGAGCCACAGCGATGTGGATCTAAGCCTAGATGAGAATCGGCACATCAAACCTCAGTTTAGCTATGCTCAAATGATCACGCAGGCGATCATGAACACCCCGGAACAAAAGCTTAACCTGGCTGGTATCTACCACTATATCCAGTCTCGATACGCCTATTACAGGCATCAGCCCCCCAACGGCTGGCAGGTAGGTCTTTCCCAGAGCGTGCTATTGTTAGACAGAGCTAATCCCTTCACAGAACTCGATCCGACACAATCTATCACTGAACAAAGCGTTTGAGAAGATCGCCCGGTCTACGGATGAGCCGGGAAAGGGCATGAAATGGCAACTTGTCCCAGAATCCCGTGACGAAATGGTCCGCACAGCCTGGCGAGGGGGCCGCGGTGGTCACCGTGGCTCCTCGAATCCGTCGTCACCTAGCCAATTTAATTACATAACCTCGGGTCCCAGGGACATGGCTGCGAGGGACCCTCTCTCGGGTCGCAAGCGAAAGGTCTCGCCTTCGGGCTCACCCCAACCCCGTTCGTCACTTCGGGACTCGCACTTGACGCCTGTACGCCCGATACGGAAGCCGTTGCCCGACGAAGCCGGCGGTGCCACCGATGACAGTCCCCTTCCCCGCATCCGAAAGCCAAATATCTCAAGCACACTGGGTCTGGTGGAGAACGCACCTGGATCACCAACGCTGCCACCGTCGTACCCGCAAGAGGACAGTGCTTCTTTCGTCACGCCAGCACCGCATCGAGTACACCCCAAGTTGGCGCCCCCGAGCACGGCTCAACGGCCGAGCCAGCTCATGCCAACCAGCTCTCCAGCCCCGTTTTGGAAGTACCTCGATACGCCCGCGAAGCAGCCGTTCGATACCAGCCCGTCAAAGGCACTAGGCGGCCTTCCGCCTCCCAGTAGCAGTCCGCCGCCGCCGATGCGGAGGGCCAAGTCGCCGGTTCGAAGCCCGACGAGGGCGTCCAGCCGAGCGCCAGAGAATGAGTCGCCGAGCCCGACGGCAGATGAAGAGGAACATGGTTTCGATCTGACCAAGTAAGTTGTTGCCCCGTTCCTAAAACACGAGAGTTGGGTATGTGCAACAGCCAGCTAACACTGCGCGACAGGGGCTTCCAGAGCATTGGTAGCTATCATGCGCCTGTTAGCCATGGCCAGCAAGTGAAACCTGCGTCCAATGGTGACCTGTCCGCCAGCGGCAGTGCCTAGGTCGCGCACTGAGGACTCCGTTTCACAGATCTCGTCGCGCCGCCACCAGACCCGCCGCTTCATCCAACGGCGGTGCATACGCTTGGTGATACGCCATTGTCTCGTTCCATTCTCAGCATCTTTTACTCTGTGGCATACGAACAACAAGAAAAATATACTGTGAGCGAACCGTTTGGGCCCAACGCGAAGTGAAATATCCGGACCTCCCGTCTCAACAAGGTCGCTGAGGACATCTCGATACACCACACCTGTCTCGCAACCACCGCTTCTCGGTTTAACTCCCTCATCTTTCCTCTTTCATCTTTGGAGTGAGCAACTTAGCTTAGGTGCCGAGCGCATTTGTGGAGGATCCCTCCCACCCGGCTTCTGTTGTCATTCACGGCGTCATTTGTTGTATAGGCATATCAGGCGCTTGGTCACTGGGCCATTCGCTCTGCGTGGAGTTGAGGGGCCTTGGAAGGTTGGAGGCGTATTGGTTTGGTCACGATGGGTTGATGAATCTGCCATGGGATGGCCAGAATGCGCATGAGTATACGTTTCCTATTCAGTCTTTCCAGGAGTTAGTTGTTATTGGCGTCGGCTGGTATGTGGAGTCAGGTCCCGTGTACGGCTATCGGGACGTCGTATTGGCTATTGTAGCATTGTATCGGATGCGATGCGTTCCAACGAGGTTGCAAGGGTCATGAGGGGATACTTTGGGGGATCTCCGTCGATTTTGTTTGTTCGTCTCCATGCTTGATATGCAATGCTTGATGAACACTTGCGACTGTCTCCCTCCTACCTCCCGCTAGGACCCCTGATCGTCGTGGAAATTCCAACCTTGCTATCAAACATGCTCACTGCAATAAAAGACTTTGAATGCTACAGTGACCAGAGCCCGTTATTATCTATCCAAGTAGAGAAAGGAGGGCTGTCATCGGCTCGCAAGTCGGGTGAGGGATGAGAGATCTGTGTAATGTTGGGCTTAGGTTCCCCATGTCTGGTTGGACTTCCATCCGACTGGATGGATGTTCTTTCTTGGGGGCAGCAATCCTCTTGGTTAGTAGAGGTAGTTTTATTTCCAGTTTGTCAACTTTCAGTTGGTCAAAAGTACCTACTGCTGCCCTTCCTTGCTTTCTCGGCCCGAACACGGATAGTAGAGTCGTCGGGCCAGAATCCTAGATTGCAACCTTTTCCGGTCCTCGTGGTTCCACGCGGAGCCTGATACCTATTACATGTCAACATCATAATGGTTTCCTGTCAGAGCCTTGTTCCCGTTGCTCGCTTGCTGGTCAATGGTTTGCAGGGGTGGCCAGGGCAACCAAGGGGCCAGATCAAAGTGCATTTGAAAAACACTTCTTTTCAAACCCGCTCTGTGCACACATTTTCTCAACCAGGTATGCTCCTGTGTAAGAATGAATGGCATGTTCAATCAAGCTCGCGTCTTCACCCCGAGGCAGCTGCTCCCTCGCCTGCCGCGCAACATAGCTGCCTCCCGTTCTAAAAGGACAAGCTCTTCTACACAGCGCGCTGCTGAGAAAGTTGGAGCTGAAAGGGGCGTCCAGGCCATGGTACCTGCCTTTCTGACAGCTGACAAAAACCTACCAGATCAGAGAAGATGGTCGCGGTGGCCCTCATCATGGTTTACACCTTACATCAAGCGGCTTTGGTCGTTCTAGTTGCTCGGTTCCTTTCACCAACCACCACCCGCCCGCCTCAGCGTTTTCCTTCTTTGATTACAATTAAGAAACCAGGTCCTGCCCATGGCGTCCTTCTTCATCGGGGAATATCCGAGCTCTCGAGTTGCAGGTTCCCAACCTTGACGTTTGCGATCTGAAGGGCAAATAAGGGGCTAGAATCGTTGGCTGAAGGGGCAAAATACTAGTAGATTGATGGAAATGTGGGCATGAATGTATGGACGATGAGGTAACAAGACAACTTCTCGAATGAGGGCATTACGTCAAGATGCCGTACGCAGCCAGACATCAGACGAATACGCACGCACTCTATGCCGAACGCGCAAAGCTTGATCCAAGCTTTTCCCGCCACATCCTCTAGGTATTTAGACCCTCACGTCACAGGCGTATCCGCGGAAAGTGACCTTCCACATCCTTTCACATCGATCACAACCACTTGACTGACGCGTGAGATCGTCCAACACAAACATTTCCAACCCGGCTTCAAACTCATCTCGCGCAATGGCGGCATCCCACATGTTCTACTACTCCCTCTCATATCTCGGACTTTACCGGACCAAGCCAACGAAGCTCGTCTTCGTCGGGCTCAACCATGCCGGGAAGTCAAGCCTGCTCCAAAATTGTGCAGATCATGTGCCGGACTTCGCTGCGGCCACATCGCACACATCGCACCCCGGCTCAGACTCGGAGACGCTGATCAAGGGCAACGTTTCATTCACCACTCTCGACGTCGGCCGTCATCACCGAGACCGCGAGCTATGGATAGAAAGCATCCGTGGGGCCTTGGGTATCGTCTTCATGGTCGACGCCCACGATACTAAGCGATTCGACGAAGCCGCGGCAGAACTTCACGCCCTCTCTGCTGCCGAGGAACTTGAGGGAGTGCCGTTCTTAGTGCTAGGCAATAAAATCGACCATCCCGATGCAAGTACGTGATGATTCCCCGGCGTCTGTTGAAATAACTACTGCCGCTTTATGCTATTGCTAACCTGACGCATCATCGAAACAGTCACGACGGCACAGGTCATCCGGGATCGACTGCGGGTGGACGAAATTCAAAACCGGCCAATCAGGGTATTCATGTGCTCAGTAGCCGCAAGGCTGGGATACGGGGAGGGTATTGGATGGCTTGCAAGCAAGATATAGTAGGGAACAGGTGAAAGACTTATCTCAGAACCAGACTTCCTGGGCTGGTGCAGACCTAACACCATACACCCTTCTAATGTAATTACTTCGGGGGCCAACATCAGGGCTGCCACATTCCAGATCAGATGACTTCAATCTCAACGCCTGGAACTACCCGCTTACCCAATACGCCTGGCCCTACGGGAAAGAAAGATAACTTGAAAGTAACCTAGACATCAAGACAAGGGCCATCTCCCACTACGCCATCCCCCAATGCCCCTCCAACGCCTTCAAGGCCCCCTTGAAATCCGGCACCTCATCCGCACTCGCCGCCGGCTTGGCCCACCGCACAAACCCGCCCGCATCAACGGCATATGCTCCCCCGATCTGCCACTTGCTACCGCTTTCTGCGTTCCGGTTCCTTTGTTTGTTCCCGTCAGTTTCGCTCTTCCCACCTTTCATGCATGAGAGGGGAAAAAGGAAAACGAGAAAATGTAAATACAAGGGTTGTGCGTAAAAGTAAGAGCAGAGAGAGAGAGAGAGAGAGAGAGAGAGAGAGAGAGAGTGAGAGTGTGTGTGTGTGTGTGTTTCCCCTTACCAGATCCCCTCCTCAGTTCCAAGCTTCCAGGTATGCCACATCGCCAGCGGATTCAAGGCGTACCAATACGAACCCGTCCCCAGCCCCCAGGCATGGTAGAGCTGCCTGGATGTGTCGACGATCACCTGGACGTCCCACTCGCCTCCTACTTCAACAATCCTGCGTGTAGAGGTTGTTAGCCATAGGTAGGTAGTACCTAGGCAGCTACCTTATGCTTCTGCCTTGCTTGGAATCCGAGCGGTGTTGAGACCGAAGGTCGGGATTGAGGCGGTTTACGGCGGGGGAGTCAAAAAATAAAATAAATATAGAAGGCTAAAAATAAACAAAAATAAAAAGAAGGGGGGGGGGGGGGGGGGGGGGGGAGATGAAGGATCGGGCCAGTAGATGGGGATGGAAGAGAAGAAGAGGAAGGGAAGGGAAGGGCATACCACTTATCTGTATCCTTCTGCGACGACTGCGAGACGGCGATACAGTGGACTTCCGGGTGGTGATTTGACAGATCAGTGAGCAGCTTGAAAGTCTTCTCGGCGACTGTGACTCAATAAGGTAACTGGAAATGAGTGAGATGCCCCTTTAAAGAGAGATTGGGGGGGTGGGGGTTGGCGATGCAGGTGGTGGGTGAGCGAGCAGACTTACACGGGCAACCGCAGTGCCTGAGGAAAACGACCAGCACGGGCTTGTCCCGAGGAAACTGTACGTCCTTGCCCAAGGTTGGCGCACGGTCGCCTACTTTAGGCACGGGCGCTAGAACCGGCTGTTGTTGGGCCATTTATTAGAATCTAAGGTATGTATTGTACCTTAGTTATCTGGGAGTCTGTAACTGTTGTTCTCGAATTTGGCTAATAAGCGACGTGGAAGGCTGGGTATGAATATATTGTAGCAGGCCAATTCCGCTAGAGCCCGAACGGAATGCGCCTCCTTTTCCTCTTCTCAGTTCCGAGCTCGGTTGAAATGCTAGGCACCTATTTTACGTTGGAGATGAACGGAGGCAATTTTGTGAAGGGAAGCTAGGGGAATCAGGTGCAGAAGCTCTGGCTTGCCCTTGATGTCATTCGTGAACATTCTCTGGAGCTTACCGCCGCCTCTTCCGAAGGTGGGCTGATAAGATAAGCGTGTAAGTGAGCCCGCGTTCCATCTCCAGACTCCAGAGGGTCCAGCTGCCTGTGAAGCGGATATGGTACCACTTTTGATGGGTACTTGATGAAGCTACTGATGGAAATTATGAAACATTACATTGAATCTGTGAATCGTGGAAAAGCCTCGTCTGCTGCTGCTTCCCAGAGCAACGGCTACTTGAAGACCAGCCCAAGCAAGCCCTTCGGCCATCGTCATGTATGTATACGCCCTCTTCTCAACATCGTTTCCCAACCAGATCCTCTGCGCAAGGTTATAGATGATGACCAGCCTACACAGTGCTTCCTAAAGATCGCCCTTCAGCCGCGGGTATCTATCCTTGTGTTTCCCAGCCCAAGAGACGTTCAACCCCAATTGTCTACCGAAATGTATACAAAGATATGTGAATATACAGCGACGTCTCCCAGAAGTTTCCACGGCTCGGCCTACGCTACCGACACATGCTCGGCCATCACATCCCAATCTGCGTGTAACCCGCCAAGCTTCCTGAACAACAGGAGGCTGGTCCCATCCTCGTCGTCCGGCCCGATGATGGACGCATGCACTCGAAACCTCTCAGGCACGTCAAACGGCGCGTCTGCGCTGCGCTCCCCCGTCGTAGGACTTAGCTGGCCCAGACTTAGGCCCGAGAAAGGCTGGAAAGTAGGCATGTGCATCGCTAGCCTCTGCCTCATATCCATCTCCGCTCGGTGAAGCGGCGGAGACCGGTCAGATCCCATCGAGGAGGGTGCTTTCCGTGACAGCGACGGCTGCCGCGAGTGGGACCGCGAATGGGGCTGGGAGCGTGGATTGGATGGCAACGGCATGGCGAACGGGTTATCCTCCAACGGCGTGGGCGGTTCTAGCGCGATGCCCGGCGGTAGCTGCGAAGAGGTACCGAGGTCCCATGGTTCGGTTGGCTCCTCGGTAGACGTGCCAATATAAGGGGTCGATGCGGTGGCCGGGGCACCGTGGTCGTCGATCGAGGACGCGGTGGAAGGTGCGATGCTGAAAGAATGAGCGGTCGACCCTTCGGTCGGATCGAACAACAGCGTCGGGTCGATCGGCATGTGCCCTGCGAGGTCGCCTACGCTTGCCAGGTCTGCCGCACTCCCGGTAGTCGAGGGCGAGGAGCCGGAGGACGTCACCGGCGCCTGCGCAGTGTCAAAGCTGCCGAAGGGTGTCCCTCCGAAGGGTGCCCCATGACCAAATGAGTTGAATGTCTCTGGAAAAAGTGCATTTGACAGGCTGGCAGCCCATGGCACTTCACTTTGGCTGGAAGAGAGGGGTAGGAGCGCCGGCAGCTCGGGAGGCGAGGGGCGTCGAGATATTTGCTGACTGCTTGTATGCCGCAGATGCTTCTCCTCGAGCCGCATCGTCCGGTCTGCAATGTCGGCCCAAACGTCAGCCCGCCACATGTTCTCACGCCGCGTCGGGTTCCGTCGGAGGAGGTCGAGTGCGGCGCGTCGGACAATCGGGTGTCTACACTTGGCGGCCACGAAGTAGAGCGGCGCGATGATGTGCATGTCAAAAGTGAACATGGCGCTGAACCGGCGCGTGTCGGCTGTTGGCGGCCCAGGCGCTGCGGTTTCCCCCTGATTTGTGGGATGAGGTGCGAAGGAGTCAAGGAAATCTTTGGCCAGCGGGATGATGGCTGAGAAGGTGTCGACGAAATCGTCAAAGACTGTCTCGTGCTTGCTGAGCGCTGTGGAGACCCAGATGTAGGTCGTGTGGACGTGGATCTGGATCAAGGCAATTGAACCGGCTGGCGGATCCCGACATCTTGTTGACCGGTACAGCGAGAAGGCGACGTTGAACTTGGCAAGCTTCCTCAGGAGGCGATCCCGTTCATCCTCGAATTCCCGCAGTTGCTCGTCGGGAATCTCAACAATCTTGGCTGCGTGCGTCTTCTTGGCGAACCGAAGACACTCGTGCATAAAGTCATAGAGTACGTATCTAACCTCGTCTATCGTCTCAAATACCACGGGCACCTCGGTCAAGGTCTTGAGAGGCGTCGGTATCGCGGCAGCTTCGCCGCTGAACATGAGCAACGTGAGGCTCAGTCTTGTGTACATGGGCACCAGGTGCTGTTTGATGAGGTCGATCTCAGGATTCGGCGTCGATGCCTTACGGGCAAGCTGGCTCAAAATCTGGCCGCCCTGTGTGAGATGGAGGAGCGACGGCCTGTCCTTGCTCTGCATGAACTCGATGCATACAAAGAGAACACATGTCAGGAGGGGAACCAGCGGCCGCGCATCGACGGTGCGCATCTGGTCCAACAGGCAGGCGATAGCCCGGTTGTACTGATACAGGGCGAAGGAGCTCCGATCTTCCGAACTGAGGTAGGGAGTCATCGTGGCGGCCTGTATCATGCTCTCGTGCAGGCTGCTGACGGCGAGAATGGCGTGCTTAACGGCCGGCTCGGATTGGGATATCTGTAGAACCAGCACGCGCCAGAAGGCGCTGTCGAGGTCGCCAGACAGACAGGGCGCCGTGACGTGCTGGAAGAAGTGGAAGGCTCGCCTCTCATCCGACGACGCCCAGTCGTAGAATGGCGCCGGCGGTGCTGTGGGCGTCCGCATGTGCCCAACCTCGCTGACGCCCTGCCCGGCGGCCCGGCGCCGTCGTTGGGCCATAGTTTTGCCGTCCAGGTAGCCATCGCACCTTCGGCCGGTCTTGGTGCAGCGCATGCAGTAAGGCTTCGCTTCGTCGCATTTCACCTTGCGGATCCTGACCCGCACCAAAACAAAGTCCGAAGTCAGCAATGATGCCTCAGTGACTTGCGGTTGCTCCGTGCTTCTCCTCTCTTTCCCCACTCTCCGGAAAGTTGCCCGTCGGTTGGCACCGGCGGCCGGCGCCACCGGGCACGGGGGGAGTATGGCAAGATCCACGGGCACACTGGCACTTACTTGCATGTTATACAGCCGGTCCTGACCTTCTTGGATCCTTTCCTCCCTGAATGCGCGGGCTGAGCGCTCGAACCGGGTGAATCGTCGTTGAACACCATATCGATGCTTCTCCCACTCCACTTCCGTCGCTTGGATCCGGTTCCCTCGCGCTGTCTGATGGTCTTGTCCTACTATAGTAAGTGTGTTGATCGAAGAGTGGTGAGACCGAACAGGGTCCGAGGATAGACTTTAGGGCGGGGACGAGACGCGGCCAACGCCCCCCATATAATAAACGCAGGTGAGAGTCCCTCCAGACCGTCTTCTCCGATGGGTACGAACCAGGCGTGTTATTGCTTAAAATGGTCGTTTAAGGATCTGACCATGCCTGCCAGCCGGGGGTTCCGCCAGTCATGGGCAAGACGGGTGAGATGGGGCAGGAAGGGGGTCTTACTTGGAGGTGCGGGTCCTAGACTCCTAGCCTTAGCGGTACCCGTGGCCATGGGTGTGAGATTGTGCCGCACGGGGATAACCTATCACAGTAGTAGACGATTTGGCTGTCCCGGTCTCGCGGGCGAGTTGCTGGGCAGGGGTATGCACAGAATCCATGGTATCCGGCCTATGGACATCTACTGTGTAGTTGTACCACCCGTAGCTGAGTTCTGGCAGTTCTGCAGCACTGCGGCAGTGTTGAACGTTAATCGACCAATATGACTGTGAGCCTGGCACTGCCGATTGCAGGATCCATTTGACAGCGGAACGAGCACCAAAGAGGCGATGTCACTCTCGCTAACAAGGTAACTACTAGTACCTAGCACTTCTTCGTACGTCGTTGTACCGTAGCCAATGGAAGTGAAGAACACCGGCAGTCATGGAAGCAGAGTTCAAAGTACTTAAATACCAGGCAGTGCAGGTATAGAAGGGCGAAAACATGCTCGTTGGAAGTGACGTGAGGAATACTGGCCCAAGTTCCAGGTTCATCTTTCGAGAGTTGTCGCATATTGGGGCTGCTTATTGATGGGAGGCAGTGCTAGGTGTGAACCTTCCACGGATGGAAGGTACGATGCAGTGTTCTCGCACTTCTCGAGAACCGTTCCTTCCAATCTCAGCCCTGTTGCACCATGCTGCTGTGGGGTTGTGGTGGGCCAGCCCTAGGCTAAAGCCCGTCAAGCGCACGAGGTGGGCCCGGACTCCGGGGCCGTCAGGTCTAGGAAGATACCACTCCCCTACCCGTAACTGCCAATTGCCGGCCACATGGTGCCCGAAGCGGAGGGAGGCGCGGGGAGGAGAACCGGCGGCCTCGGGGTGAATCAATTTCTTGAACGATTTGGCCAGGACTGGACACTCTCCAAGTTCGATCAGATCTTGAGTATCAAGATAGGTACCTTACATATTCGTTGCATTCGGGGGTCAGTTGTGTTATTGTGTCCGTAATAGTAAGCGTTCAACAACGGAGTTATTACCTTATTTCCAGTCCGCCACAACCTGTACATACTGTACCTCGGAGACGAGATTATTAGGTGGCCCTTCCACTTCGTCCTGGCCATTTCAGGTCTCTTGGTAATCATTCATACAAGCATACTCTCGCTTGAGCCCTACGCAGGCATGGGGATTTACAGTCTGCCTGCAGTCACTCCATCCTGCAAGGGTCTTTTCTCACCACCCACTCTCCTGGACAGCGCATGCGCCCAGCCGGAAGAAGCTTCCATGTTGGGTAGCTGCCCTCTTTTCTTGGCGACGGAGAACGGAGATCAGCAGCACGCTAACGATCGAACGCCACGATGGGTCAGGTATAGGTATACTATGAACCTGTCTGCGCATCACTACCAGCGAACACGACCAACAAGTCTACGGCAACGGCTTCGGTGCGGGAGAAGCCGTTTGCTCTCAGTCGAGGGAACAGCTCACGAATTGTGGTGCCTGATCGGGAAGGGAGATTCGGCCATGCTACGCCTCCATGCCGCGTATGCTCCTCCGCACACAAGCAATTGCACACCAACCGGGACGGGGCGCTTCGTAGCCAATCGCATTGATGGAGGCGCTTCTGGACCGCGATACCGCTCTCGCTCGAGTCGCTGGTCATAACGGTTTGGTATGCCGACTTAGGTACTGTGTACCGTCTGCTGTCTCCCCCACGTGGTGCTTGCCCGGCGTACCAACGGTGGTGGGGCTGTTGGTCTCGCTTGCGGTTCTCTACATACCTAGTATTACGTTGGTACAACACTGGTGAATACTGCATGAGGTATCTGAACCTGTTAGGTGTGATGCGGTCTTCAGAGGCGTTTAGAATAATGATATCAGCCAGGCCTGACGACTCCATTGGTTGGTGGCAGCCAAATTTCCCGGTGAAGCTGTGCCACTTGGAACCGTCGTCCGATGGATGTCAAAGGATCGGCGCAGGGTTCCTCAGGTTGGCGGTGTCTTGAAGGCAGATATATTTCTGAAGCAGCTCGGGAGATGTGAAACCCGGTAACCTACTCGAATCAACGGCCTTATGTCCGCCCTCGCGGCGTTGTTGCCTGCACACTTCGAGAGCTTACTTGATGCTGGCCCCATGCCTTGTTCGCACCTCCCACGCCAACCACTTCGGGGGTTCGCCGCAGTAACTACCTACCTAATAGTCGAAGCAGTGTACTTCATGTTCGAGAGAACACCTTCCCATCGTGGCAGTCCTCCTCTGTCGTGGGGACTCTCCGCCGATGTGAAAGCGAGTTGTGTCGATGTCTGGTCGTCAACTACCAGCTAGATGACCGATGAGGTTGAGTGATACGTCGGGAAGGTCGAAGACCCCAGGTCCTTTACATACCAAAACTCCCCATAGACCGACACAAAGTTGTGTTCGCTGCGTTCATTGAGGCTTACTTGTGGCTATCTCTCCGGCCCGACATCGGTTTGTCCTGCAAGACCATCGCAAGTCGGTCTTGCGCCCAGGCACCGCATGTTTCCGTCTTCAACTACTCGCCCAGCAGCAAGGACAAGCTGTATGCGGACGGCAAGACTACCATTTCTAGCTCCAGTGTTACCTCAGCGATGGCTCATAGCGCTCAAGTCAACTCCTTGATCTCACCAAGACACTCCCGCCATGTCAACAAAGGGAGAAGTGTCATTTGGCGGTTTCACCCATAGACACACATGATTTGGAGAGGCTGTGGTACTGGGTCAAGGCGATCAAGCCCATATTGCCTTCTATCCGCAGAGCTCAGGTCAAGTGTATGGCACTCGGTACTCTGTGTCCGCAAGGACAGAAGGTTCTCAAGAGCAGCTCTGCAAGACGAAGTCTGGAAGCAGGAGTCTCGAGTTCCAAACCGAAACTTGCTGCTCAACTAACACGGCAGGTTGCCGGCAAACAAAACTGCGCCTAATAAGTGACCGCGGGACCATCTGCAGTCTGCAGTGGCTTTGACCAATACCGAACGTTTTATCAGTGCGAGTACCTTGCCATCTAGACAGACTGAGGCTGGTATCGATAGCAGCTAACTTCTGGGCTTGTGAAGTCACGGTTATTCGCGGGAGGTGAATGCCAGAATGGTGATGAATCAATGGTGTCGTCAGAGGCCTTCAGAGACTGCAGTCGCACGGGCACTCTATCTATGCGGTACGGATGCGCCATGCGTCAGAAGAGCGGATGAAATGAGCATTTTCTACAGTTCGATAGAATTCTTGACGCCATGGTCGCCTCAGCAAACGCCGCATTTACTCAGCAGGCTCCAAGTTTGTTGAATCGAAGCAGTTGGAACGCCCCGCTTTCTAAGCACCACGGCGAATGATTGGGCCCGAGCATCGAAGCTTTGGCCACATCTCACGTGCTGGCGCACAGACGTCGCCGCCCAGGCTCCGCAAGTCGTCATCTGTATGGCCGCCTGAAGTAGTTCGCCGCCGTTGCTCCTCCAAACCAGAGGCCAACCTACCGACTTAAATCGCCTCGAACATCCAACGAAGGCCGCCACATTTAAAGGCTTTCCTCACCACCAAAATTCTTCTTTCTCCCAAACGTCCTCCCCCATCAAACTTTCATCCGCTGCGTTGTGTGAGACAAACTTCTTCTCGCAACACTCTCAGCACACCTTTCTTGACCCCTCCATCTCCGCACTTCACACATCCGAGCGACAAGATGGCTCCCGAGCCTGATCATCACGAGCAAAAGAAGAAGGTCAACTTGACGTAGGTGACAATCCGGTGATGTCCGTACATTTTGGAGGTGCATGGTCGACTGACCAGCGATTTAGCGATGCGTCCGGTGCCGAACGCAAGGATGAGGATGACACGGCTACTGCCATCCTAAAAAAAAAGAAGAAGCCTAACCAATTAATGTATGGAAACCAGCGTCCAGGACTTTCTTGACGACCAGCTGACGAACGGTAGGGTCACCGACGCTGTTAACGATGACAATTCCATCATCGCACTGTCGAATAATACCATGGAGGCGCTCCAACTGTTCCGTGGCGACACGGTGCTGGTTCGGGGAAAGAAGAGAAAAGACACGGTTCTGATCGTTTTGGCGGACGATGATTTGGATGACGGCAGCGCCCGCATCAACCGGGTCGTCCGCCATAACCTGCGGGTGAAGCACGGCGACATCATCACTATTCATCCGTGCCCGGACATCAAATATGTGAGTATCAAGCCACAGCAGACAGCCTCAACCACGGTACTGACAGCCAAACTAGGCCAAGCGTATTGCGGTTTTGCCTATCGCCGATACCGTCGAGGGCCTCACCGGGTCCCTTTTCGACGTTTTCCTTGCTCCCTATTTCCGGGAGGCCTACCGGCCCGTTAGGCAAGGCGATCTCTTCATCGTGCGTGGCGGCATGAGACAAGTGGAGTTCAAGGTCGTCGAAGTCGACCCGCCCGAATATGGTATCGTGGCCCAGGACACGGTTATCCATTGCGAGGGAGAGCCCATTCAGCGTGAAGAAGAGGAGAACAATTTGAACGAGGTCGGATACGACGACATCGGCGGCTGCCGTAAGCAAATGGCTCAGATCCGCGAAATGGTCGAGTTGCCGTTGCGGCATCCGCAGCTTTTCAAGTCTATCGGCATCAAGCCTCCTCGGGGTGTACTCCTCTACGGCCCCCCGGGTACGGGTAAGACGTTGATGGCTCGCGCCGTCGCCAACGAGACGGGCGCGTTCTTCTTTCTGATCAACGGTCCGGAAATCATGTCCAAGATGGCGGGTGAATCGGAGTCGAACTTGAGAAAGGCTTTCGAGGAGGCCGAGAAGAACTCCCCGGCCATCATCTTCATTGATGAGATTGATTCAATCGCTCCCAAGCGTGAGAAGACGAACGGCGAGGTCGAGCGACGTGTTGTGTCTCAACTCCTCACGTTGATGGACGGCATGAAGGCGCGGTCCAACGTTGTGGTCATGGCAGCGACCAATCGGCCCAACTCCATTGACCCTGCTCTGCGGCGTTTTGGCCGCTTCGATCGTGAAGTTGACATCGGCATCCCCGACCCGACCGGGCGTCTAGAGATTCTTCAGATCCACACCAAGAACATGAAGCTGGGAGATGACGTCGATCTTGAGCAGATCGCGGCCGAGACACACGGCTATGTTGGTTCCGATATCGCCGCTCTTTGCTCTGAGGCCGCGATGCAGCAGATCCGCGAAAAGATGGATCTCATCGACCTTGATGAAGATACGATCGATGCTGAAGTCCTGGATTCGCTCGGCGTCACCATGGACAACTTCCGGTTCGCCCTGGGCGTGTCCAATCCGTCGGCTCTGCGCGAAGTCGCCGTTGTCGAGACTCCCAACGTCCGCTGGGAAGACATTGGCGGTCTCGAGACCGTCAAGCAGGAGCTCAAAGAGAGCGTCCAGTACCCCGTCGACCACCCGGAGAAGTTCCTCAAGTTCGGTCTCTCGCCGTCTCGCGGTGTCCTGTTCTATGGCCCGCCCGGTACGGGTAAGACTATGTTGGCCAAGGCTGTCGCCAACGAGTGCTCGGCGAACTTCATCTCTGTCAAGGGTCCCGAGCTGCTTTCCATGTGGTTCGGCGAGTCGGAGAGCAACATCCGTGACATCTTCGACAAGGCTCGTGCGGCTGCGCCTTGCGTCGTATTCCTTGATGAACTGGATTCCATTGCTAAGGCTCGTGGTGGCTCTGTTGGCGATGCTGGCGGTGCGTCCGACCGTGTTGTCAATCAGCTCCTGACAGGTAAGGCAGTTCACGTCAACCCTTCCCCTTCACTACCTTTATATTAACAGTGTGACTACTTTAGAAATGGATGGCATGACCTCGAAGAAGAACGTCTTCGTCATCGGCGCTACCAACCGACCGGAGCAGCTTGACCCTGCGCTGTGCCGTCCCGGCCGTTTGGATTCGCTCATCTATGTGCCTCTGCCCGATGAGCCTGGCCGCTTGGGCATTCTCAAGGCGCAGCTGCGCAAGACCCCTGTGGCTGCCGATGTTGATCTGCAGTACATCGCTTCTAAGACTCACGGCTTCTCTGGTGCCGATCTGGGTTTCATCACACAGCGTGCCGTCAAGCTGGCTATCAAGGAGTCCATCACCGCGGAGATCCAACGGACCAAGGAGCGTGAGGCTGCCGGCGAGGATGTCGAGATGGAGGACGAGGAGGATCCCGTTCCCGAGCTCACCAAACGGCACTTCGAGGAGGCCATGCAGATGGCTCGCCGCTCCGTCAGCGACGTTGAGATCCGGCGGTACGAGGCGTTCGCTCAGCAGATGAAGAACGCCGGTCCTGGTGCCTACTTTAAGTTCCCCGAAGGCGGCGCCGGGGGCTCAAGCAACAACGGCGGTGCGGCCAACTCGTTCGGCGATGCCGGTAACGACGACGGCCTCTACGACTAAGCAGCGCACAGTCGCCTGCGCAGTCCGGATAGGCGTGCTTGGCGCTATCGGAAGGAGGTTCTGACATCTTTGTGTATTTTAAGTTTTTCCTTGATAATCATGAAATCATGATTTCACGTGATTGATCGCCTGCAGAGAACCGGGGACAACACCACTGGCTACAGCTAAAGCTAGCTACCTTACTTCGCCTGTCTTTCCTGGCTAGATGGATGGAATCGATTGCTCTGCTGGGCCTGGGAGGCGGAGTTCGGTACTACCTTAGAAGGAGGTCCGTAGATCATGGGAAGACAGGTTCGTTCAGGTAGTGCACTCAAGGCAGTTTATAGATTGGGACCTATCACTATCCCCGTTTTGACCTCAATGCTTGTGGCTCACCCCTTATCTCTATGTGTTTGGCCTTGTGTTGGTTCACACGGCCTGAGCTGACAGTTTGTGTGGCCATGGGATCCAGCACCATCCTCCAGCCAGAAAGCAGACTAGGCATTAACTTACAGCATTTCTATTAAGCTCTCACATTACCTACCTTATTATATCAGACTTGCACCGGAGCGTGTATCCGTGGGCAGTCCGGTGGCAGTAACTTTGTGGAAGACACACAGGATGGAGGCAGCGGCATCAGAACGTGACACTGCGAGCTGAGATGCAATTCAAGTTACCCTTGCAGGAGGAAGATGTCGTAAAATATGCCATGTCGAACAGGGCAGGGTGGATAGGGAGCTGTGGCTTAAAGGGAGATATCATATCATATAGACTTGAGCCTTGTTGTTATTATGTACATAACCAACTAAAGCCTGAGCTGAAACGGGGGCGAAGTTTGTCTCCCCGGCATCTACCGATGACTACGGAGGACCAGGCATTCTCTTCAAGTTGAGAGATACTGACCAATACATCGAGCCTGGCTTCTGGGCGGAGACTGGCAACTAAAGGAAATCATGATCGTCTCTCTCATGGCTGATACTATTTACACCTGCTCCCCGTCCAATCTTGGTACTGTTCGGAGGGGTTATCTTTGACACGAGTCGGCATTACCGGGGCAAGCATGCCGTGCCCTCCTGCGCTTCATCATCTAATTCCCACCTAAATCCAGTTGAGTCTCCTTAGTGGTCCCCTTTCACAGCTCATCGGGTGGGTATCTACCGCATCAAAGCCTAGGACCTCTCCCCCATCGAAACGGCTCCGCTTAGTGGTAATTCTCGGTCGCGCCGCGCTGCTAGTAGCAGCAGCCGTCATGCTTTGTTGGGTTGAGGGGGTCACACGTGGTCGTCATTTGCGGTATGCTGTCGCATCCTGTATAGTCCCGCATGGAGAGAGAATATTGATCCGGTCGAACTTGGCTCGTCCCCTCGTTTGCCCCGGCGTTGCCATTCTTGTTGTTTTCGCCGCTGCTTGTCTCCTACCTGCGGGACTCGGTCTTCATGTCGTCCCGTTCTCGTCTATCTCGCAAACCGACTCCAGGCATTCGCGGGTTACCTTGAGTGCTTGTTCGACGACGGACTGGGGGACGGCGAGGCTGGGTCTGGCGTTGCTGCCGACGCCATTGATGCCTTCGCTCTTTCGGCCATTTACCCCACCGCTGCCGTTCTCCTCGGCATCCCCGTTGGCGGCCTTGCTGCCGTTGGCATTGGGAGACAGGGCCGTGTCTTGCCGGACGTCTTCAATGACGCGGCGCAGCAGGGCGGGGAAGGTGGTGACGTCTCCGGAGCGGAGGAGCGCAAGTGCGTGATTTTGTATGGTTGTGGGCCAGTTGGAAGGGTGGGCGTGCAGCGCGTGGAGGAGGTGTTCTTGGATTCTGATAGGGAGCAGCGTTAGACTTGTTTCGAGGTGCCTTCGCATGGTGGTGTGCCCTCGGAGACGCGCTGAAGACGAGGCAAGCTTACTTCGTAACATGGCCCTCTTTTATTAGTATTGAGTTGATCTGCGATCTCAAATCTTGGTCGAGTGTGGCTGCGGTGTAGTTGGCAGCCGACGAGGGCACCTTGACGGGTGTGGTCGGGTTTTGGCTCGACATCGTTCTGGCAGGGTTGAGGAGGCGAGAGGTACAACGTGCGGGAGATGGTCCGGAAGTGAAACTCTCTGGTGTCTATTCCGGCTCCAATCGCAGGCAAGCAGGCCAGGCTTTGTTGGCGTTTGCTTGCGTGTATGAGCAGCAGCAGCTTGACGGGACTCTTGCTGCTTCAAGTTGCACAATGCGGCGGCGCTGAAACCTCCTTAAGAGAGCTGGAGGACACCCCGACTATGCGAAACTGGGGTATCTGTATCTGAGGGCTTGATTACAATCGGAGCGTAGCCTGGGAGCAGAAACTGATAAGTCAAAGGTTGATAGAAGACGCGTGTGGCAAGTTGGCGGTTCGCTGAATGCTGCGCGAGGCTGTCGCTGCTCTAGCAAGGCTGAATGTAGCTGACTACACCCGCACTGACCCGTTAGTTAACTCGACGGCAGGCCTGTGCGCCTCAGCTTTGGCACCTCAGCCCCACTTAACCCCGCCCCACTTCCCCTTCGTGGCAGGAATCAACAAGTTCTGCTGAATTCCTCAAAATGTTCACACAAAGACTAACACTAAAATGTAGTTACACAATACAACGATCTCATATGGAGTCCAGCCGAGACTCATCGAGGACTGCTAACCAGCCCAGTATTACTAGTTCGGCACTTTACTACATCCATTGGCACTAGTACAAAGTACTACAGTACGTACGATACATACTCCCAGGACCCATTCTCCCAACCGTGACCCTTCATCAGTAACATAGGGCATGATAGGTGAAGGGGGTTATCACTTCATCTCTACCCGTGTCGTTTCGTTCTGGTTTATTCTGACCGGCCCCCCCTTTTGTCAGCCTTGGCACTGGGGGCACACCGGTTTGATGCCGTGCCACGTCGTCTGGCCTGCGATCATTCACAGGATATCAATATCATGCTGCCATGCTGTCTCGGCTGAAGGTAAAGCATAGTGGTCTCCAGGGCTGTCGGATAATGTCGGGTATTGACGCAGTTCGAGAGGCTGCTCGTTCGGAGACCGGCTGCGCTTACCACAACTCACCTGGTAGGTCACAGTTGAAGTTGTGGATATGTTGCGGACTTGTGAGATTGGATCTTTAACTAGTACACAGTAGTGGTTACACAGCAGCCAACAATATCGGTGCAATTCCTCCTGGGTTGGATCGTGCCACCTCATGCTAATGGAAGAGGGGTTCATGTGCAGTTCTAGGTGACAACCCCTGTCCTGCACAACCCCTTTTTTTCCCCAGATCTGTAGGGTGTAAACACCACCATCATCACCAAGGCGATGAGTGCAAGCTAACAATGGAGGTCAAGAAACCGCTACTCATTTAAAGACCCGGAGCCTAGTGAGACTTCATCAAAACCAAGGTACAGTACATGTATCTGCATTCCGTACCTAGGCAGCTACCGTGTTATACTTCTGACGCTTCCACTTTCTGGGTGCTGCCAGCTCCCAACAACGGAGGGCCCTGACATCCATTGACTGTACGGGCAGGTATCGTATGTACAGACAAGGCATTTTCTATCTGCAATCCAGATCCGATCAAATTGAGGGTCCGCCGACCTTGGGCGATGTATGACGTGATTTGACCATGCTAGGAAGGTTTTAACGACCATGACTTCAAGACTAATAAAGTACCAGGGGGCATTCTGTCTCAGGGCTGCATCCGGCTATCTATATGCCTATCTAGTACCTACTTCAAGGTATAGTACTTCGCGCACATATATAGCCCAATCTCGCACTTATTATTTCCCCCACCTCCCATATGCGAGGTCCCGCATTCTGCAAGATCCAACTCTGCGGGTCTGGTTATTAGCGCCGGTGGGCTGCCACACTGGCAGACGGGGTGTGTAGGGGAGGAGAGGGGTCCGGCATGTGTCCCAACCAGTGCCGTTGGCGTGCTGGGACGGGGCAAGGACGAAAGAGGAAGCGGGGTGGGCGTAATGGCTGCAAGTTGACCAAGGCAGGTAGTTGGTGGGTGTGTGAAGAACTGAAGATGTTGGCTGAAGAGGGGAGAAAATGGGAGACCACTCGGCCTCGCATGCATGCATAAAAGGTACCTTACCTTAGTCACATTATTTAGGCATCTGTAGGTGCCTTAGGTCGCAGTCCGTCTATTGCTAGCAATGAGCGCATCTGAGACAGGATGGATGGACAGGAAGGATTTCCTAAGTAGAATGAATAGCTTGCTTAGCCGCGACGCCCGCCGGGCCGCCATGTGGTTGGTTGGCGACTAAAATAAAGGAGGCATTACCGGGTCTGGTTTGTGTGGTGGGACGGGCTGCTTCACTGTGATTACGCTGGGCAGCTATACATACCTCAGCAACAAAGTGATAGAAACAGACCTGGTCGGGGCCGTGCTGGCGGACGAGGGCGATACGAATGGATGGAATATGCATGGATGGATAAGAGGAGAGGTAGGTAACTTCTCATCAGGTCGAGAACTACGAGAGTCCTCATCATAGGCGGGGGCCATCGGACAGCAAGACAAGCTATAATAGGACATACCTTAGGTACAATACGTAAGGTACCCAAAGAGAATATAGATGGCCTGGCGAGACCGTAGCTGCAGCCAACGCAACCCACAACGCAACGGCCGTTCTCGACCGCCTCCCGTAACATCTGCAGTGGGCCCCGATTCGGAAGTGGGCGGCTCCAGACTCGGAACAGGTTTCTGAGTGGTATTGTATTGGGAAACATCAATGATAATGACCCATTGGCGCGCTTGTTGTGTTGGTGGTCGAGGATGTGCAGTAGAGTGCGGTGAAACTGGAAGCAGGGGGGTTTGTATGAGGCTCTGCACATCAGATATCGTGGCACTACTAGCCTTGCTATGTATTTCAACCACAAACTTACATCGAAGAGCGCCAGCCTTCCCCAAGCCACGTGGTTGTTCTGCACTCTTATAAACAAGCCTATACTATCAGGGTGCTCTCAGAAGGCAACTCCATGTGAATAAATAGTCGTCGTAGAACTGTGTCATCTAAAGGGGAGGATTCCCCTGAACTAGACCCGTCATCCTGGGACTTCAGATGTGAACAAGCAAAAATCAGATAGATGGAGGACGCCGAAGGCGAGGTTAGGAGCCGCACATGGCCCTTCGCACAACAGGAATGATGCGATCTGATCACAGTTATAACCCACGTCCAGGATGATTTATGCTTAGGAAAGGCTGCGTAAATCCGTGAATCTGGAGACGACAATATGTGTCGCCCTTATAGAATGCCCAATGTCCTTGCATGCTGTATAGCCATTGTCATTCACAATGACTGGCATACGGGGACTAGGTGTGAGTGCTGCCGTAAAACAATGTGCGCCTTGCTACAATGGCCGTGAGCCTATTCGGAGCCGGAACTCCCTATTCAGCGGGCCAGGGCGGAGCGGACCCGCGCAGGACCCGGCGACGCGGAGCCCGGCGCGCCGGAGCACTATTTCTACCTCCAGCCCAGTTTCTTCTTCCGAACTTCACGGAAACCAGCAATCCTCACCAGAAGACCACCCAGCACACTACCCCTTTTCCTACAAGAATAACGATGTCGGACACGGCCCCCGGTTCGCCTCGTCGTCCGGAGTCCCCTGCTGCCCTGGTGGCGGAGGGTTCGGCTCCGGCCACCCGCACCACAACCGGAACAGCCGCCGCCGCCGCTCACGCTCCCGCTTCTGCTCCGCCCTCGCCGGTGCGCAGCACCACCACCCCCATCGCCAGCACCACCTCCGCTCCCGCTGCCTCAACCACGCCCTCTCCGCCCCCGGAGCTGACTTTCGCGCGGCAGCCAGTGCACCGGGCTCTGGGACCTCGCAGGAGCGAGCTGACACAGCAGCTCCGGATCCGGGCTTTCGCTGCCCGTGCTGTCTTCAACCATTCCGGCCCTGCCATCTATCCCGTTGTGCAGGCCCCCCCCACCCCGCCTCCCACTGCCCCGGCCACCGCCAACCCGCAGCTGTCCGGGTGGTCGACCGTGGTGGCCTCCCAAGCTTCGCAGACGGAGGAGGTGAACGAAGGTGAGTTGTCTATCTCCTTCATTCGTCCCAAAGTGCCTTTGGAGCTAGATAGGGGATGAACCAGAAAGGAGCGCCCAGGGCTCCCTTTGGGTTGTGTATTGGATGAAGGGGTCCGCTGCGTGTCACTCACCCGGCTCCATCATGTTGGGACTGGGGTGAACAACCATTCTTGGCACAATAGTCACGCATGCGATCTAGGGGCAGATGCTTTCAGGACCATTGCATGCTAACAGAACTTCACCACCGCAGCACTCCTCAGCCCCAGCGCGACAGTAGCACCCATCCCCATTCCGGGGGCGGTCCCCCGGCCCAGGAAGCGCCAGGTCAGTTGCTTTCAAAGACCTATGTGGTCTTCACTCCTGTGAACGCTCGCTCACACCTCTTCGCAGAACCCGGGCGATTTCGACGAGGAACCGTCGGTCCCGGGCCACTGGTCGCCCCGCCGCTGAAGAAAGAGTACGAACCCCCTCCTGCTGTCACGGCACACTTGTACTGACAGCTCACTTTGAGTGGAATAGGCGGACGATTGCTAGACCCGGAACATGGGGGAGGAGAAAAAAAAGGGGGGGGGGGGGGGGGGGGGGGGGGGCGGCGCTGCGAAGGAAGGGAAATGGTTCAAAATCTTCGAATGGATGGCGCCGCAGGACAGCGGCTGGAAACTTTTCTTGCTCCTCGGCTGTTTATATCAAGATACCCTGGTTTGTCCGAAATTCCGGGTTGCCTGACTTCGGAAATTGTGCCTGTTCGCAAGTGATATCGTGGATGGCTGCATGAGATGTGGTGAACGACGCTTAGCAGCCACAAAGATTAGACGGAAAGCAAGGGTTCGGATGGAAACCTCGCTCATCAGGGGGCATTAAGAAAAAGCAAGCTTCAAACAGCCCCAGGCCAGTGGCTGGCTCGGGTTCGCTAACCGGCCAACTCCATGCTGGTGAGTTGCACCCTGGCGTATTCGGCCGACGGAGGCCAGAGCACCAAGCGGGATGCGGGGGATCGTCAAGGACAGCTGGAAGATTCGATGATACCCCGGATTTTCTGGGCAGTCATGCGGTGGCATGCATACATACGGTGTACTGTGCCGTATGCATCTAGGCTTCCGTCCGGCGAGACTGGTGGACTGGTCTGAGTCGGGACTTGACGAGGCTGTCTCGGGTTCCGGCGGCTGACTCGTCACTTGTCTTTCCCACTCCTCTCGCCTTTCGCCAGAATTTGATCCTATTCACCCACGTGTCGTGATTCGTAAGTAGGGGAAGGTGAAGAAGGGGGTCAGACTGGATGAAAGGTTGTCAAGGGGTCGTCTGCAGCACTCGATGCAGGTTCGCTGACGGCACAGGCAGGTTTCCGTCCGGGCGAGTACATACATAGGTACATGAGGTTACGTGGGGTGTACGACCCCCAAGCTTCGAGGAATACTCCGGTATGCCGATGGGAAACCGGACACGGGCTTCGGCACGGCCTGCTTTGGGTTGGCGTTCGGCGAAGGCCGGATCGCGTCTGTACGGTACTGTACAGGACCCCCAAGACATGTTTGCATGGGACAGCGAATCGGGACTTGCGGCAGAAGCCGGGAAAGTACACGGGGCTTCAACACAAATCCCCATGGCATCCGGTGTCCCGCAAGGCGGTTGCGTAGCCGGGCAAGCATTGTCGGGCATAACGTTAGTCTGTCGCCCATGCTCCTCATGACACCAGAAACAGCCCCGCGACGTGCTGTGCAGCCATGGCGTGCGTCGGCTGTCTTCCCTGTAGTGCCCGAGCACACGTTGCTCGGTTCGACATGCCACATGGAAGAATTGTAGCACTGCCGAGGGCATGATAGCCTGCCATGCGGTCCCTAACAACTGGACCAGACCAGCATATCGCAGATCGGCGTCAACCCTTCCGGAACCTCAAGTTTGGGAGCGGTTTTGGGAGCGGTTTGGCATCCTGTCGGGCGAACATGTGGTTCCACTTCTTGACCGGTCGATTTTAGCGCTGCATTTGTCATGCATTATAGTTGTGTCGGTGAGCCTCCATGTCAAGGGGGAAGGATGAGTTGTCGTGTCATTGCATCCATCCGGCGCCCGGGTGTTGGGACAGCTAAAGTGTGGTTTTTTTTTTCTCTGGGTCTGGCGGGACGGATCCGCCAACGGCAACGAAGATAGCCCCAGGCGGGAAGCGGGCCTCGATGACGCGAACCCGCTCATTCTGGATGGCTCGCAGTGCCGTGCCAAGGAAGCAATCCGTTGTTTTTATACCCTACTCCATATGGAGCTTTGACGGATGAGACGACGCTGACCGGAAAGAGGTAGCCTCCGGAGTAATAACTACTGTGGTATGGCATTCCCGTCCCCGGCTGGGCTGCCGAATAGGGCCGCATGAAGTGAAGCGCGTTGCGGTTGACATGCTTGGTTAAACCGGCCCAGGTTCTATTCGTCTCCGGTCACGGAAGAAAATAATGTCTTCGTAGCTTGATTTTGTCAGGCTTGCCCCGTTTCTCCCGTCCCTCCCGTAAGGCAGATTAATTGCCTAGGGGTTTCCGTTAAATTGACACTGTTGGGTACGATGCGAAAGCTGCAGATGCCCGATCCCTCCTAAAGATGATGATGCTCTTCAGGACCGAGGCGCATCACGTTTTTGCTCCAAGACGGCAGTCACGCCATGCGGTCTGATGACTCCCGAGCTAAGAGAGAGAGTCTTGAGTGGGACTCCCGAGTCCTGGCAGGCTGTTTCCACCCGAGCTTCCAAGTGGACTTGCGCGAAGGCAGGCGCAGCTCTCCTCCTCGTTCCTTCCTCTCGAGCACTCTGCTGCGTCTTCCGTCTCCTTCACCTCGCTCTATCTCCCGAGTCACCCCCTCTCCTCTCTGGTGTCACATCTCACTTCGCCGGCCTGCAGATACGGTCACGATATTAACACACACGGGGCAGTCTCGCAGCACGCCGGAGCGCTTCCGGGCGCTTCGTCAGGACGACATTTGGCGCTCACGCCCTCGAGCTGATGCATCTTGCACGCCCCCATTTGTCTAGCGAGTCGTTCTGCGACTGTGTTTGGCTGCGCATAGCCAGTGCGGGTAATTTTTCCGCTCCACTTAGACGCTAGCCTGGCTCAACACCATGTCGGTTGCCGCAGACCACCTGATGATGTCTTGCACATCTACAGCAGCCGTCCGTCTGTGCTGTACTGAACCGTGCCATAGCACTGGGGCCCGACGGCCTTGACTGCGTTTGCCACAGCTTGTCTGCACGCGCGCTGTAGGTCGGAGCAAGCAAGCTGCAGCAGTCAGCGTACACAGTGCTCTGGTGCTATCAACGGATCTGCGCCGTGGTCACAAAAGGCGCTAGCGCAGCCTGCCCCGACCACTCCCGTGACTCCGGCAACGAGAACCAGAAGAGTCCTCGAGAGACCCCCGGGATTGCGGGGCAAGCGGGTACGCCAGCATGTCGAGGGTCGTGGACCTCTGCGCATGCATGCAGCTTCGCTGCAATCACTTCAACTATGCAAGGCGGTGAGAGACCCAGTATCCAAACGGACGGCCCGCGGCTATTTGAAAGCAGAGCCGTTTGGTTGGTTTCGCCGCCGCTCAGCGAGGTAAGGGAACGCTAGCACAGCACTTCCAAGTTTGCGAGTCTCCAGACTCCAGTTACCAGCTTCATCAGCAGCAACGCTAGCTTCTCCAGCTCCTGCGGTTTCCATGAAATTCAGTGTGCAAGCCTGGCAAGCCGCAGCCCGGTATGTCGGGTCCTCTGTATGTCCCCGCGAAGAACCTATCAAACTGCGGCGTCCTCGAGGTTGAGGTTCGGATGAACGCAGAAGATAGAGGCTAGGAGCCGAAATCTCGAACTCACCATCCGTTCCGGCCCTCATCAGGTCGACCTTTCTTTTCGCAATGCCAACCCTGCATCCGAGCTCATGATCAGAGGGTAGATAGCTTTGACAGGCGTGCGTGTTTGGCAACCCGTCTGTCCACGTCTCAAGAGGGCCCCCGTCCAGCTCTGTTCCCGTCTTTCGCACTTTGGAATGTCTCATATATCAGTGCGGCGATCCCGTCTTCGGCTCCGCGCCCAAGCTGTCCCAGCTTTGCCGGGGGGCCTCCACTATGTACTGGACTGTACTGTAGCTGCGCGCCGACCTTCGGTGCAAGTCGCGCGTCACGGCCGAGAAATGAGTCGGCCAAAAGGCGGGGTTAGTAAGTAGGGTCTCGTTTACGGCGGCGCATACCTCGACCCGTCTCAGGTTGCTGATTCTAGAAAAAGAGTACGGATGTACTGTACCAAGCTGCACGGTTGACACTGCAGGCTTGTGCGACATCAGCCAATTGATGGCGGGATTCTACATGTAGATGGTTACTTTGCACGAAGCTGCATTCTGCGAAGCCGCGGGCCTGGACCTCCACTCCACCCCAGCCCCGGCGACACTTCGCCTGCCTCTTCCTATTGGCCAAGTTAAAAGCAGGGGTAACCCTTGCAAAGAGCATGTCTGGGCTGTCGACCCCTCGCCCCGGTGCGGCTGTAGCGAAGCCTGGGGCTCTTGGCGTACTGCCATAAAAATCCCATCGTGCCGGCTAGACTTCACCTGCCACAAGGTGGACGGGTGTAGACATCAATTCAACTAATACCTTGGGAGCCCCTCCGCCGGCCCCTTCCTAGAGCTCGACTTCGATTCTCTCCATCACCAAACGAACTTCGTGCAACACGCTCGTTTTATTTGCCCCTCCTGTTTTGTGAGGTTCCTCGTCCGTCTCGACCGGTGGAGATCGTCCCTCGTGTCCAAGCAGTTCGCACTGCCCCAACAAGCACGAGGCCCCGGAAAAAAAGAGGCAGCAAGCAGTATCTGAGGCCGCCCGAACAGAACAACAGCAGGCGACCTTGTTGTAGATCTTGAAGCTTGCAAATCTCAGGTCAGTCAGCCGTCGATGACGAACTTGGGGTCCATGATCTCGACCTCGGGACCCGCTCCCGGTGGCGATAGCCACACCAACCCGTCAGCTGCACATCGTGTTCCCCACTACAGCCGAACACTGCCAGGCCACTCATGGTTGCCATTCGAGATGCTGACCTCAAACCATTGAAACAGCCCCTCCCCAATTGCCGCCACAACCCGAGGAAAGGCCATGAGCCGGCGGCCCTGCTTCGCCTCACCCTAATAGCCAGATCGACCGGGCCGACCTGGAAAGCCGTATGTCCACACACCTGCTCCCTCTTACCTGATACCGCCGCCACAGCGGAGTTGGCGGCGGGCACCACCAACCTCATCTCACCACCACCGCGTCTCGGCAACGCAACCAGTATGCCATGTTGCCTGCAGTAGCCCTTCCCGTCCTTCCTTCTTGTCCCTCCTTTCTCCCACACTCCTCCTAAACCCGCTCTCGCTTCGTCATTCTCCCTCCTCTAACTCGCCGCTCTCCCTCGCCAGGCCCTCAGCATGGACGCGCTGCTCGAGAACGGCGGTTCGGAGCAGAGCCCTAGTCGCGCGCAGTCGGTCCTGCGGACGGCGCAGCTGCTCTACCCAGTGGTGCTGCTGCTGGCTTTCATCATCTCGGCCGGTGTGCACACCATTGTCACCTCTAGGACCGAGGAGCAGCTGGTTGTCCCCAGTGTCAGGGGTCCCGGCGGGAAGCCGTTGCCAGTCACCAAGAAAAAGAGGGAGCAGGAGGCCTCGGAAGCCGACGAGGACAACAACGGCAACGAGGGCCTCGCTTGGACCGTGTTCCTGTATCTCACGGGCACCATAATCTTGTCCTTCGTTGCCAATGGCGCTGCAGTTGTCGCTCATGCCATGCAGTCTAGCAGGAATGACGGACTCGACAATGCGTGGTGGTGCGGCGAACAGACAATTGTACGTGTTTGTCCCGCAACGTCCCAATTCTTATGTTTCCCACAACGTCAAGGAGAGGGGCTGATAGAGTACGCAAAGGTCTACATTGTCGGGTCGACATTCCTCTACCTTTACGTTCTCATTACGCTCTTTGAGTGGAGAAACAGCCCAACTATTGTCCACTTTATCGTCTGGGTCCTCGGGCTCGTGGGCGAGATGGTAATCCTCGTCACCTTGATCCTGACCATCGCCGATCGAAGATACACGACGCTCGCTCCGAAACCCGACAACGGTACGGAATTATGGGACGTGGTCGACCTCGCCATTGCAGGCGTCCGTCTTTGCCTGATCGTTTCCCTGCTATGCCTCTACGCCGCCGTTGCGAGTAGGAGGCGCCTGGAAAAGCGTCGGTTCCATGACGAGGAGGCACACCGATCCGATGCGGACGAGGCGAGCCCGTTGCTCAACGGCAACGCGGGCTACCACAGCCATGCTAATGGACATGCGACTCGCAACGTACACTACGGCAGCACAAACGGGACTGCCCGTCGCAATAGCAGCCCAGATGAACAGGACTACAAGCCCCAGGACGAGGGAACCGCGTTCTACAGACCCGACAAACTGCCACACAAGACATGGTTCGAATACTGCCGCGGATACTCGGTCTTCTTCCCTTACTTGTGGCCTAGCAAGTCGGTCAGGCTGCAGCTCGTGGTCCTCTTGTGCTTCATCCTCGTCATTCTGCAGCGGGTGGTCAATATCCTGGTGCCGGCCCAGCTCGGTGTTGTGACGGATGTCTTCGACAACAGCAAGGGCGGCGATGCAGTGTGGTTGGAGCTTGCGCTCCTGATCCTGTACAAGCTGCTCCAAGGACCGTCGGGCTTGCTCGGATCCCTCCGCTCGATCCTCTGGGTCCCAGTGTCCCAACACACATACCGGGCGCTGACGACAGCGGCTTTCGAACATGTGCACTCGCTTTCGCTCGACTTCCACCTAGGGAAGCGCACGGGCGAGGTACTTTCGGCACTCAACAAGGGCGCTTCTATCAACCAATTCCTTGAGCAGGTCACCTTCCAAGTGGTGCCGATGCTGGTCGACCTCCTGGTCGCGATCGTCTACTTCTACGTCAAGTTCGGACCCATGTACGCCCTTTTTGTCTCCATCATCACCTTCTACTACCTCTACTTGACGATCCGCATGGCCGCGACTCGGGCTGATCAGCGGCGCGACATGGTCAACGCGGACCGGGAGGAGGAGGCTGTCAAGAACGACTCGATCATGTCGTACGAGACGGTCAAATACTTCAATGCAGAGAGGAGGGAGTTTGACCGCTACGGCGACGCCATCAAGAAGTTCCAGGAAGCCGAGGCCAAGGTGACATATGGCATCAACCACATGAACATGGCGCAATCGGTCGTGTTCATGTGCGGCCTTCTGGTCGCCTTGCTCACTTGCGGCTATCAGGTGTCGCGCGGCGAAAGAAGTGTTGGTGATTTCGTCCAAATCGTGACGTACCTCAACCAGTTGCAGGGCCCTCTCAACTTCTTCGGCACCTTCTACCGGACGGTACAATCAGCTATGATCTCGGGCGAGAGATTGCTCGAGCTCTTTAAGATTCAGCCGACTGTTGTCGACAAGCCCGGTGCGGAACCGCTCCTGGAGTGCAGCGGACGCATCAAGTGGAGCAATGTCGGCTTCTCATACGACAAGCGCAGGACTGCACTGCGTGACTTGTCCTTCGAGTGCAAACCTGGCACCACGACTGCGTTTGTGGGAGAGTCCGGGGGAGGCAAATCGACCGTGTTCCGCCTCATGTTCCGGTACTATAATTGCGGGGAGGGGAGCATCGAGATTGACGGCCACGATGTTAAGGACCTAACGATCGACTCAGTGCGCCGCTTCATCGGTGTGGTCCCGCAGGATACCCTCCTATTCAACGAGAGCTTAATGTACAACCTGAAGTACGCCAACCCGAATGCCACCGATGAGGAGGTCTACGATGCCTGTCGGGCCGCTGCTATCCACGATCGCATCAAGAGCTTCCCCGATGGCTACGCCACTAAGGTGGGCGAGCGCGGACTTCGGTTGAGCGGCGGCGAGAAGCAGCGTGTCGCGATCGCACGCACCATCTTGAAGAACCCCAAAATCATCATGCTGGACGAGGCTACCTCGGCTCTCGATGGCGAGACTGAACAGAAGATCCAGTCCAAATTGATTAGCGGCAAGTTTGGTCAGGATCGAACCCTGTTGATTATTGCGTAAGTCGCTCTCTGCCCGGTCTGGTTTGTTGATTTGGAAGGCTAATCATTGGGATGTAGCCATCGATTGTCGACCATCACCCATGCCGACCAGATCATTGTCCTTCATGCCGGCACCGTGGTGGAGCGGGGCACGCACCAGGAACTTCTCGCGCTCAATGGCCGTTACGCGGCCATGTGGGAGAAGCACTGCCGCGCCGAACGCGCTGCCGAGCACGCGCGCGATGCGACCCGGAAGGCTAAGAAGCTCCTGAGTCAGGCGAACATTGCTCGGCCCGGCGAAATCTCCGACGGCTACAACAGCATGGTTTCGTCAACCATCTTGCCCACTGCTCCTCATAGCCCGACCGCCACCGCTACGGACACGCATGACTCGGCATCCATCACCTCGAGCGAGAGCAGCAGCAGTTCGTCAAATGAAGGTTCCTCGAGCGGTTCGGATGGCACCCTCCAAGACGAAGCATGTGAAGAACACCATCCTGTCGGCCATCCGGGCGGGCATCTCGATGTACCCCGCCCACCATTATACTCGTTTCCATCGGAATCGTCTGCCGGCCGCTCGATGGATATACCCAGGTTTACCTGAACCTACCTTGGCTTTAGATCTGTTCCCGGCAAAACTAATACGCCGGGGGGCGCTGGACTTGGACACGGGATAACCGACCACTTCTCCAGCAGCTCCTGTAGCTGCTGCTTTTTCTGTTACAACGTCACAAACGGCGTCACTAATTCCGGCACCAACCCAGCGAGGCAACGCCTCAACTTTAATCCCGTCGACGAAGACAAGGAGATGACTTAACAGTATCTTTACAGACGGTTATGATGATGAATCTTACGACTTGACTTCAGATCAGCTCGGACATACGAAGAGGGCACAGCACACCTAATAGTCAGAGTCGACCCAACCTTGAAATCCTCACCTCAACCACCGCTGCCTCTTCTAGATGTGTGTTTATATACCAGTCCGTTGTTATTTGTTTTTGTTTTTCGCCCGCATTGGCCCACATCGATGGTCTAGGCCACAGCCGGAGGGGGGATGGTGTTACAAGAGACTTGTTTGTTGCAGAAGAGCTGCACCTTAATGATATATGAAATGACCATGATTCCCAAGCAGCATGGGGCGGCGTTATGGTCGATATCTGGGTTCTGCGGTCAGGCTGATGGGCGGCTGGGGGTAATGGGACAGGAGTGGTTTTGATGAGTGGAAACGGGGAACTGCATAGTGCCAGTGGCAATGGCTGGCTTGGAGGGGAATCGGTACCGGTGGCAGACGGGGCTCAACAAGGAACGGACGGCTGCCTTGCCTTACTACCTTACGGGCAGTACCTTACCAACTTCTACCTAGTCTTGGAATGTTTCTGCTTGCTTGGCCGGCTTTGTGATCTCGGGTCGGGAAGGGGCAGAGATGGCAAGGCGGTATACAAAAAAAAGGAAATATGATTGATTGATATCCATCACGTTGACAACATAATTCTGTTCTGAGGGACTGGGAGAGTGTGTGCATGTCATGACTGACTGTATCTCGAGGATGTGGGTGGGTATTGTATCGTTGATGAGCATCAATCGGGATGGCACTTGAGGGATGAAAAGTATGCGTACAAGACTGGTATGTACCAGGGAGTATTGCCCTGTGAGAGGGGCAACAAGCAAGCAGGTATGCATGCACATTCGGGGTAAACACACCTTGAAAGTATACCTAAGGTACGTAAGGGTGAGGGGGCCAAAAAGGGGCGCATCAGGAGCTTTTATTACATACGTCGCACCGAGGATATGTCGGCCGTTCTCCCGCTCTTCCCCGGGGGACTCGAACCATGTCCATGCAGGATTGCCAGCTTGTCCAGGGTTATTACCGGTATCTGCGTTTCCTGGACGTTTGGCGGGGTCGGTGAAAGAAACCTGTGGCTCGCTCATGCATGTGATGGGATATGCATGCGGGTGTTATATGTGTGTGTGCACCTGTACGAGTACTTACAGTGGGGGTAAACAGTCTAGATCCATAGGACTTAACTGATCTCGTCCCCTTCCGGTGTCAAGAACGGCCGGTGGGGGCCGCGTAAGCGTAGAGGTGAACCAAGTTTCCTATCTTTCCAGGCGCATTGTTTGTGATTGTTGGTTCTGTGGTGCTTGTGGCTTGCGTGGGGGATCCAGACGGGGCATTCTTTACTGAGGTATGTAAGGTACATACTAGTAGTAGGCAACCAGACCTAGGGTTGGGTATTATATATAATATAAGTACTCAAAGAGCCCTCGCTATAGCAATTGGGTGACGTGAGGTGTACGTGCATCATTCATGTTATTAATAAAAAGCTACCTATGCAAAAGTGTTATGCGATCCAGAAGTCAGAAAGCTGTACTATAGATGAACCCCCTGTTTACTATGCATGTCGGTGAGATTGGGGGCAACCGTGAGGTTCACTGACATTGCCCTTCCTGCTTCATGCCTACCCCTCTCTGTTGTTTCTTGATCGAGACGAGGGTGTTCAGGCGGGTTGTTTGGACTGGTACCCCGAGTCCGGATGCCCTGCTGCCCTGCTGCCGGGCGGTCGTGTGGTCGGGTTCGGTGATGGCTTGTGTTATGCATACCAACCTGAACTTTGCCGATGCGATGCCCACTCGTTCCCCCCGTCAGATGAAACCCTGCTGACTCCAATGAGGCCGCAACCCCGTCTCCCCCCCCCCCGGACCGAGCCAATCCGTTTCATTACGTTCGTCTTCCCGTCGTGACCCGCAGCCTCTTCCTTATTCCGTTCCCAATAAGCGAATGTATCGTTTCCCGGCCTGTTCCCAGCGAATGAAGATGCCTCGAGGTTGAGCGACGTTCCCAACCCGGTTGGACAGTGGTAAGAACAACCGGATCACCATCTCCAAAAAACAACGCCCCGGACACCCGCGCATTACCCCCGGCTTGCCCGCCGTGTCGTGACCATGCAGTGATGCATAGAGAAGCGAGCGATATGTGTTATCCATCCCGACGGAAATCGTGCGCCCTCCTCTTTACTCGCAGACATTACAACCCCGTCTAAGCAACATATCATACAGAAGAAGAAGAAGAAAGGATGGCAGAGGTAACTTTACCGCTGGCTCTTCTTGGCCACCCCGTTGGCAGCCCCATTGGGAGTCAAGGCAGTGGACTTCGCCTTGCCGTTCGCCACCAGCGGCGCCCCGTTCGCCTCCTCGGCCTCAGACTCCTCGGGCTCACTCCGATCGTCCTTGGCAACGTTGTGGACGACGAAACGATAGGCAATTCGGATGATGAAGAACAACCAGAACAGGTTGAGAGCCTGCAGGGCGCTGAGCAGGGCCAGGGTGATGACCTGGGAGAGCAAGCACTTGTACTGCTGCGTCTCCCAGTTCAGCTCGAACGGGCCGACCGTCCTGAACTCGGTGAAGAGGCTGAAGAGGATGCGCAGGTTGAGGTAGTGGCGCAGGTAGATCCACACGCACATGAAGGTGAAGTAGTAGGGCCCGGTTAGCCAGTGGTCGAGGTAGTTCAGGGTCTTGGAGGTCTATAAGGGTGGAAGAGTTAGCGAGGCGGCGGGAGGGAGAGAGACGACAGAGGGGGCACAAACAGCAAGGAAGAAATCGCTAATGTCGTGCGTGATATACACCGCCAGGCCCATGTAGGTGAAGTGGAATCGGTAGCTCAGGCCAATCAGCGCCAGACTGACGATATGATGGCAGACGAGCTCCTTGAAGTCCTTGCGCGGCTTCTCCATTCCCAGCAACAGCACAATAGCCTGCTGGGCCCAGTACGCGGCCTGGAACAGGTAGTAGAACTTGAAAGCGGCGTCGTGGGTCATGTGCGGGAAGTTCTCGTACATGCCGCGGGTGTTGAAGTACCACACGGGCGTGCGGCTCATAACCCACACGCCCACGGGCCCCATGATGCCGAAGTATAGCGCCGTGTACATCTGCTCCATGTAGCGTGCCTGCTTGCCCCGGGACCTGAGCCCAGCCCAGCGAGCCATGGGCCGCAGGATCTCCTGCATGATAAATTCGCGCGTAAAGGACAGCACAACGGTGTAGAAGGACACAAACGCGACATCCCACAGCCCCTTGCCGTATTGCGGTCGCTCATCTGACTCTGTCTGGGGCAGCTTGTACGAGAGGAAGAGGAAGTGATGGACCGGGTTGCTTTCGGACGGGTTCATGGCGTAGAGCGAGAGGAAGACGAGCAGGATTACAAGCGGTATCACCCAGGTGTGCTTGACGGCGATATTCTTGGCGCGTCGCAGAGCTGACCGCGCCTTCCGCCGCTTCGAGAACCGCTTGGACGGTGTCGCAGGGCTAGTCATCGGCTCCTGGTATCGGATCTGCCGTCAGCGCATTGCCTCGCGCGCCCTGCCTCCCTCCTGAGGAGAGCGTACCTTTGCGATGCCATTGAGATGAGCAATCCCCGTTGCTATGGACGGCGCCCCTGTATCGCCGACCCGCAATTCCGTCCCCAGAATGCTCGACTTCCTACGCCGGCGGGTCGCGTTCGCCTCCGAGTGCAATTGGCGATCCGCTGCCGAGGTGAGCGGCGGGAAAGGCTCGGTGCCGCCCGCCATGGTGGTTTGCTATTACTTTCTCACGGAATTCTTGTCTCAGGAGGGGCGGGGTGCTGCGGTGGTGGTTTGGGATCGGAATGCGGGAGCCCGCGCGATCACAGATCCTCTGAGTACGCGCCGCGAAGTGAGCTGAGTGATCGGGGGCACCACAGACGATGCGCGGCTGGGGTGTTATCGTCGTGAAGAGCAACTGGACGGCACAAATTGCACTTTGCTGTCAGCAGCTGACCTGATCGCATGTGAAAATTTGAAAAGGAGAGGAATGATCAGCCTGTCTTGGCTTCGTTGTTGGCTGTCACTCGAGCGGCGCAACTCCAGAAAATTGACTTCGGCGCGTCGTCTCCTTCCCGCCAGTGCCGTGACTCCGTCGGACCCTAGCGGTCTGCAAATGGAAAAATGCTAACTAGATTCGGTCTAGCGTACTTACCTACCACAGTTATGCTCTGGCCCACATTAAACCCCTAATTCATCATTCACGGAAATCGGAGATCGTTTCCTTCATGCATATGCTAGACAGGATACACGTATGGTTAGCAACCGGAGGTGGTTTTCCGCCTCTCATATTCAAATACGCAGTGACGACCGGCTAGAGTACACCAAATTTGAGAACTTTTCTACCGTGTCAGATCATGGCCCTGCAGAAACGCAAGTTGATACATTCATTAGCCAGAGGCGCATCGCATCGTATATCGAAAAGCGAAGATGGACAAAAGGAAAGCATTGGGAAGGGTAAATAAGAACATGAGAGCAGCCGTTAGATAGGGGATAGAGATACGGGGAGAAAGAAGCAAGGAAATAAGAAGAGAGGAGGAAAAGAACGATGCAGGAGCTGAGCACGACCGAATACAAATTGATCGCTTTTAGCTACAGGAAGTATAACTACTATCAATGCTGAGTTAAGAATGCTTATCAAGCATCATCTTGCCATTCAGTGCCATACACATCATTGGGTTCCGCATGAAATAGTGCCCCTGAGAACACGCAGCATGTCCTCAAATTCCAACAGATTCCAGCTCATCTTCGCCTTTCAGTTCTTGTTTATCATGACAGCCATGGAAGCAAATGAAGCGATAGCACAGCTGTAGCACAGCACCACGGGAGGAAGATTATGAACACTCGGATGCTCGCTTCCGATTCCTACATCCAAACCCACACATATCAAATCAAGTACCGGAGAACACAGCATAGCATATGTGAAATAGACTTATATATGGAGCAACTAGCCTCCCCCGTTTTGTTACCCGGACTGGCTTGGAAACATCGAAGCTAATCCCACAAATGATGTTCCGCTAAGCAGAGAGGAGAGGTTATAACATAGGTATATAATGCATCAGACCGTCTGTTACCATGCCGCCATATAGCCGTAAATGCTCAACAAATTACAGAAACCCCTAAATTCAAAGAAGTAAAACTCGCAGAGTCGATCAAGGAGGCGGCGTCCTAGCAGAGCCTTGACCGGTATCCAGAGGAGGGTCGGCAGCCGAAGTCAAAGCGAGACCAGACAAAGCATGCACAACTCTGCTGCCGGCCCCGGCGGTTTGCGGTTCTTCCGAGCCTCGTCTCGTAGGAGATACCGGCGGACCTGGCAACCGCCGGCCAGGTGTCCCGGTAAGGTATTCGGACCCTTGTCTACTGGTGACTGCCGGTCGGACATGCTGCTGCTCTGGTTGGGCCGCCTCCGAATCCTCGTCCTCCAGCAGCTGAGCGAGAGCCGCACCCGGTCGTGGCGGCGCGGGAATGACCGTCACGGGGAGGCTGTCGGTGTCGGGCGTCGCGCGGAACTTCTCACGCAGGCGCTCGGCCTGCGCCGCGGCGAACTCTTCGAGGCGGCCGCGAATGTCCCACTTGCCGCCATTGCTGCTACTGTCCTTGGTGACACTTTGTCTGGCTGCTGGCGGGACGGCGCGTTCTTCATCCTCTCTGCGCGTTCCTTGGCGAGGCAGTCTCTGCATAAGAATATGCCAGCGGCTTGATGAGGCTGTTGACGTTTGAGATGGGGGAATAGCCGGCCTCGGCTGCGGCGGCGTGCCCTCCCCACCGTCGCTCGGGCTCCCGTCATTGCTAGCGTGACTCGAGTCTATGCTGTTGTTTCGAGATAACGCCACACTATTCTGGATGGGTGGTGGAGTAGTGTGCGATGTGGTTTCTGTCAGCGGATGGTATCTGACAGCGTATACAGTGCTCGCGGCGCTGGCCGTGTCGGTGCGGCTGACCGGTGTAACTGCCGGTGCTGGCCTTGCTGGCCATAACGGTGGCTGCAAGAATCGTATCCTGTCGTGGTTAGAGGACTCTGTGTTCGTCGGGTCCGCAGGCTTTGCAGCCTTCCTCGGCCTGGACCGCGACCTGTATTTCGCCCTGATGGACGTGACCGTTGGCCATCTGTTGCTCTGTGTCGTGCTCGGGCCTTCGACCTTTCGGTCTTCGACACTACTGCCCTTCTCCCCGTCGCCACCGCTTCCCTTCCTCCTCCGCCTGAGCTTGCGATCCAACGGCGTCATCTCCATCATCTCGTCCCCGTCAAACACTTCTCTTCCCAGGATCCCATCCTTCTTCTCTTCTCGCTCCAAGGCCTCGATCCTCTCTACCCACTCCCAAACGATGACGCTGGCCGCCGCCGCTCCTACCCATCTGACGTATTCGCCCCATCCCGTGAAGTCGGGTTTGCAGATATCCAAGATGAAAAAGACAATAGGTATCAGAATGGCCAACATTGATAGACCTGCTACCAGACACATGTTCTTCATTTGCGGGTGCAGAAACGCATATCGCTTCTTCGTGAGGGCGTAATAGATCACCCAAGCAGCATACAAAACGCCCAAGGTAAGAGTAAAGAGATAGTTCAAAGCAGGGACAGCGTCCTGAAAAGCTCCAGGCCGCGTTACTCCTTGCTCTGTGTACAGAAAGCTGTTGAGTGATTGAAAGATGGTGTCCAAGGTGATCAAGGCGAAAGCGACCCATTTGATGATGTTCTTCTCTCGCTGGCGTGGGAAAAGGCGGATAAGAGTCTGCGCCTGGGCAAGCCAGAGAAAGGTCTGGGATATGATACGGATGATTTTCAGCTCGTTGCCGCCCAGAACCTCCATCTGCAACCGCCTCGCATTCTGAACGCCGAAGGAATATTGCTCCTCGGCAGCATCGAAGGTAGCGGCGCTGGCGATGGTCAGAGAGATAGCGACTGTTAGAGCCGCGATTTTCTGTAGCCATGGCCGTCCGCCAATGGTTGTACCGGTCCCTCCATTCGTGAAGCCCCTTCTTCCGAGGACAACGACCCCGCCGTCGAGAAAAGACCGCGGCGTGATGAAGAGTATGATGACCAAAGTGTAGGCAACAACCGTCGTCGCGGCCAGAGCATAACATTGAGGAAACGTTGAAGCGTAGAAGGGATCCCCTAAGTCCGAAATCCATTCATCGCCGGTAGGCAACGATCCCTCGGCCGTCTCATCAATTGTCACTGACCCTCCTCCGCCGTTCGCGATGATGGCCGGAGGTGCCACCGGTGTGCATACTGGCTTGAAAGCAGCCGCTGCGGTAAGAGTGACAAGTTCTCCATTGGGCATGGAGAGGACACCCCCTACGGGAAGATTGAGCCCCCCACAACCGCGACCGACCAGAGGCGTAACGGTTGGCTGCGCTGCGGTGGTCGTCACGCCGGCGAAGAGCTGTCGTGCCTCCATGGTTGCGTGTTGACGGCGGCTTCCGCCTGAATTCCTAGCTATTGCGCAATCGCCATGGAATTCGACTCCGTCGCAATCGTGGTGACACCCGTTGCGTGGATGAGCGATGTCTGCGCAGCGTGCCGCGGCGAGTGACCGCGCAGTCGCCGGTCGCTGCTGAGTCGCCTCGGCCCGAGTTCTAAATTCCTTCTCCAAGGGATTCCTGTCGTCGTCCTGTATCCGAAAACTTCGAATTCGAAGTCGCGATCGCGAAGGCCAAGATTGTGTCGTGCGGGACGTAGAGGCTGGGCGCCCAGGAATCGAAACGGCTCGGCCTTCTTGTCAGGAACACCGCGAAAAAGGAACAATCGTATTGTACGTCGGCCTCCTGCAGATCCCGAGCGGCGTCAGGGGAGTGGTCGTTTCGCACTGCACTTTAGGTTTAAATGGGTTCTGCTGTTGTCTTTGTGCTTTTCCCTGGACTGTCTCGAAAGTGTTTTGAAATTTGACGTGACGGCGAGCTGGATTGAACACCACAGGGGGGGGAAGATGGATTATGGGGGTGTTCAAGCAAGCGAAGGACAGTGCATACGTGGTCGACACTGTCCGAGTCAACGCTACCTACATGAAAGGTGGGGTGCCGTCCCCAGATGCAAGCTCTGGGTCGCCTGGAACCGGCCGCCCCGGACTTTGATCCGCTTCGAGATTCACCACCAATAGAGGACAGCTGCAGTGACCTAGCATTCACAGTCATATGTCAGGAGTAGCAGCACAGAAACACGGAGAATCGAAGGTAACGGTCACATGAGGGTCCCTAATATCGATGCCGGTTTGAACCGCGTGCAAAATGTCAACCGAATTTCTTCTGCACGCCGATAGATGAGGCAGAAGGTGGCAATTAATTAGCGCTTTTACATCCGGACATTTCTACCTTGCGGGGAAGAATCAAGCGAGAGATCGGGTGGGTGGCTAGAGTTGGCACCCATTTCGCTGACCTTAATTCTCGCACTGTGTGGACATACAACCTGAACGCTGCGAGTCGCCGTTCAAGGAAGGAGGCGCAGCTCGTTAGGCGAGACCCGTGCATTCGTTAGTACCAGTACCTAGGTACTATCTTCAACTGCAGCTAACTTTTGGGCTTCGTACCTCATGTCATCTTCTCCGATGTGTCCATGTCCATCGCCTTTCAAATCCATAGTCAACCCAATGTTGATCGCAAAACAGTTCGCTGTGTGCTAAACCTGTTCCATAACCTCTAGACACCGCGAGACTGCTATATCGACCGTCATAGGCTTCAGAAACAGCCCGGCGAGCTCGGGTAAGATATGTCTCGGGCTTACCTGCCTACGGATAGGATGGATAGGTAAGCTATGATGCTCGGTGTGGCATGTGTCGCATCCTTCAATAGATACCAGAGTACCTATCCCTCCCGCGACCATTTCCAGATGGACTGGTGTGCAAGTGCGAACCGTGACAGATGTCACCGACGAAATAGAGTGACCCGTTCCCTCGGTTACTACACCTCTTGCCGCTTATGTATGTAGGTAACCTAAGCACAGTATGTAGTACCTATCATGCGCTCATCCCGACAAATACCGATTTTATATATAGCAGACCGACACATGCAAGCGAGTCACCTCAGCATAGGGTGTCAGCAACACCTCCAGTCCATTGGATCCAATTTGCCCACACAACGCCACGACCACAGGCTCTTGCATGCCGCGGTTCTGTACCGCATCAGGAGAGAGCCCCAAATCTGGGGATGATCTAGCCGTCTACTGTAACAGTAGGTAGGTATCTTCAAGATCCCTTCCAGAATGTTTGATGCATCAAAGAAGCACTTGCCAAGCGGCCCATTCTGCTGGTATCCAGGCTTGGCAAAGGCTTGTCTGTCTCTCCTGGGGAAGCGCCTTGGCAACGAGCGATGCCCAGCCATTGGAGCCAATCCTCTGCGGCGTGAAACCATCGGGTGGACTTGTTGCACCTGCAAGCATTGTCTTTCTCCCCAGCCGACACGACTGACGGTTCGCGAGTTGCTACTTTGTATGTAGACAGCTGTGACAGCCTTGTTGGCTCGGTATAGACTACTACCTTAGTGTGTTTCTTATTTAGGCACATCCGACGGCTTTCGCACAGTGGACTTGCGTTGTGAGTGACGGAGAATTCCGGCAGCTCCGTAGAGTACAGTACTCCGTATAGCGACTCCAATGCTGATGTCGCTGGTCAATACTTAGGTTACTGCTTAAAATGGCATGAGCACGTCCCCCTCCAGGCTGTTTCAAGTGAGTGTCGATAGTATTAGCGACGGCAACCCCCTCTGGCCAGAATAAGAACCTGGAAGCTCAACAAGATCGCCGTTGGCCGGACCTCTTTTCTTTCTTTCTCTCCCATTCTCCACCTTTTTAGCTTCACTTTGATCGTGCTCTAGCTTTCCCTTTTCCTTTCATCCCTCTTCGATTTACCTTCCCGGTTCTTGTCACTCAAACAAGAGCAATGTGCGGTTCTTTTTGACTCGGGGAAGGATAGTAGCTTTCTTACTTGATTCACCCGAACCTCACCCGAAGACAGCGAACCTCGAGCGAATGGAAACGGACCCTGTAAGACGTTGACGCCGGATGGTTCACCTGTCAAGGTACAGGGAGCCAGACGAACCCCATTCCTCTACTAAGTCCTTTGTCTTTTCTCACTGGCATCTCAATAGTGACAACGACATGGATGTTTCAAGGTACATTAATACCTTAACGTATCTTGAGTTGATAATATAGCATCCATGTGCTGACACACCGTGGCATATGGTCCTGACGGCTCTCGTCTTTCGCGGACTCGGCACTACCTAACCCGCAAAGTACATGACGGGATGTTGTTGTTCCATTGTTTTGATACCCTGAAGTATCGCCTTTTCGCGGCAAGAAGGCCATATAGGGCCGTCATGCCTCATCTGCATCTAGCAGATACCTTGGCTATGGATCATTTGAATCCATGAATCATGATAGCAACAGCGAAGCGAAGGGCGGGGCAGCCGTAGAGCCCCGCCAACCCACAAGACCAGCCCTGTAGTCAGGTCCCAATTTGGTCCCGACTAGCCTGCCGTGCCTGCGTCTGTGGATGTCCACTAAAAACTTTCGTCTTCGGGACGAATCATCCCTTCCGAGGAGGGCCAGCGACCAAGACGCCAAATGCTCGACCCAGGATTTGAGAACTGTTCTCCGCCAGTTCTAGGTCTCCATGGTCTACCGGAGGACAGTGTTCTCGACTGCAAAACTTCCATGCCCCTGACTTGGAGCAACAGCCGGGCAAAGGAAACAGGGACCGAGACACGTGCCAAGACCGCCCGTGCTGTGACAATCACAGTTTCCCCATTCCGTCGCGAACCAATGCGGTGGTGGACGCGTCCACGGCGATACGCACTGCGCCCTCAGCAAAACCCGACACCACTCCCATAGGCCATAGTTAAGACGTTTCTCATTCTGCAAAGGGGCGAGAGGGGTTAGGATAAATTAGGTAGGTATGTACACAGTAGTGTAAGTCAGACTAGTGGATCGACTTCGATGCGACCCCTGGGCAACTCTCGGACGCCAAGCCAGCTTCCATCCACTGTGCCTTGCACTATACCGAACGGGGCGAGCGTCGCCAGCCCACAGCAGCCGCGGCTGGAGAGCATCAGGGTTTCTGTCCGGCATTCCTTTCGTCCCAAAGAGGCGCATTCTGCAATCGTTCCAGTTCTTCAATGTCCCGCGTCATTGCCTGCATTACTGAAACTCCCATGCGCAAGCACCAACCACATACGATATACTCTGGAGACATTACGGGGCATCGTTCACCATGACCCGGCCGCAGTTTGTTCGCGCTGGTATGTGTTGCGTTCCCTTCATCTCGCCTGCCCCTGGCCGTAGCCAAGCTCCTTGTGGCTGGGATGGCCACGCCCCGGCTTCCTCCTTTTGTGCCCCAGTCCGTGCCGCGCGACTGTCGAACTTGTTTTCTGGCTCTGACCATTTGCCATCAGACACAATTGACCTCCAAGCGCACGAGACACCGTCCGCCCAGAAGCACCACAGGCCGACCACCGACGGGTCGCTCGCACCACACCAAGCTGAGACGCTCCGTGAGGTCGCGGCGGAGGCTGCTGAGGAATATCTCCGGAGTCCCCATCTCTCGTGGAACGCCAACGCGGACGATCCCCAGCAACACGCCCACGTCTTCGATTCCGCCGCCGGTGGCCAACATCACGGTCTTACGGACAACATGCCTGTCGGGGCCCAACAGGACGCCCTGGCAATTGCCCAGAATGGTGGCCTCTCTGGTCACGACGCTGATGAGGCGGATTTGGACGGCGATGCGGAGGTCGACATGGAAGACGACATGGACAAGATCTCCAGCTCGCCTTCAATCGAGGATGGTGGGTCAACCCTCACTCTTGCAACTCTCACTTTCAGCAAGCCGGGACCCCTCTCGCAGCCGGCAACAAGGCATGGCCCGTCGGCTTCGCCTGATGTCTGTGACACGAGGTCGTCTTCACCATACCTTGCAAGTCCTGACTACATGCCATTGAGGAGAGAGGGGCGAGAAGCGGACGGGCGCGTGGTTGAGCAGTCATCTTCCTTTCCCATTAGAAGTCGCCATCATCATCTTGACGGTGAGTCCGAAGCGAACGGCAACACCGAAGACGATGCCTCTCACGAAATTTGCAGCCTCCCAGAAAATACCGAATACGACCGCGATGGGTTCTGGGCGGGTGCGAGAGACGAACTCCTCGCGCAGGAGGACTCTAACGGCGAATGCAATTGGGCGATCATTCCAAAGGTTGACAGCGATGACGAGGCGCAGAACAGGGAGGACGGTGACGACCTGACGGTACCTTACGAGTCCGACGACGAAGATGATGATGGCGACTTCCTTGGCCTTTCTGATACCAGATTCATCGACTCCGGCTGGGGTGGCGAGTGCTTACAAGACACAGAGGACATCGACTTCGATTTCGTCTATGCCCTCCACACCTTTGTGGCGACGGTCGAAGGGCAAGCCAATGCGACAAAAGGGGACACGATGGTCTTGCTTGACGACAGCAACAGCTATTGGTGGCTAGTGCGGGTCGTAAAAGACAGCAGCATCGGTAAGTAGCCTGCCAGCAAACGTTCGAAAATGATGCCAATCGTGACTCTTCCAGGCTACCTGCCGGCGGAACACATTGAGACGCCAACGGAGCGGTTAGCCCGGCTGAACAAACACCGAAACATCGATGTAAGCAAAGAGGGGATCACGCCTGACGAGTTTGTACTGACCGCGTGTAGCTTTCCATGACGATGCTCACAGACCAGGTCGACAAGGCCCGGGACCCGAATCCTATTAGGTCGGCCATGAAGAGACGGAAGACCAAGACAGTTCAGTTCGCTGCTCCGACATATGTTGATTATTCTGAGGCCGAATATTCGACCGAGGAGGAAGACGCGGAGGCTGAGCCCTTCGCACCACAGCAGCAACAGCAAGGGCAGCAGAACCAACAGTCTCAACACTCAGTCAGCGACCTGGAGATGGAGGATGAGACAGCCAAGGTCGAACCGTTGAAGCCGAAGTCGCAGCAGAAGCAAGCCAAGGTCGATTCCAAGAGGCAAGAGGCTCGCGGCGACAACGCTTCCTCATCAACCAACAATAAGACCGTGTCCAGAGTAGTCGAGGAGGGTTCCGAGCCCAGGACATCGTCAGATGGGCCCAAGAAGACAAGAGACGGCACCGTTCGGGACTCGTTCTTCAAAGACGACACTGTCGAGACCAAGAAGATCACACTCACTCCGAACCTGCTGCGTGACGACAACGGGCCACGGACGTCGAGCGAATCGAGGGAAATGAAGCAGCGTCCTAGCCTAGACAAGCTCGAGAAAGACAACGTACTCGGTAAGGACGACAAAAAGAAGAGAAAGGAGAAGGAGAAGGATAAGAAACCGGGCGGCCTGAGGGGCTTCTTCTCCCGGAAGGATAAGAAGTCGAAAGGAGACGAGGACGACGATTCCTTTGGCAAACGGTCGATGGAAGTCGACGCGCAAGAGAAGGACATAGAGGATGACGAATTGCGCCCATCGCCAGAAAAGGGGGCTCCCCAGAGGCATCCAAGCAAGTTGCAGAAACAGCAGCCCAGGTCTGAGCCGTCGCCCACAAGGAGATCAAACAGCACCAGGGAGAACGGCGTGGATGTCAAGGCTTTCTTGTCAGAAAGCAGGGTCAATAATGTCGCCAACGTTCCCCCGACCTCGATGCGTATCGTCGAATCGAGCCCGAAGGTGTACCCCGAAGCCAATTCCCGAGATCAACCAAGAGACCGCGATGCGTCTCCTATCAAGAGTCCGCTGTCGAAGGCTTCCAATGCAGAGGCGAAGCCGGCGGCGACCACTGCCGCAAGGTCTTCTATGGAACTTGATGTCTCTGACTCGGACGAGGATGCCACAACCGAGATGGCCCAGCAGTCTCGTGTGCGCGAGGATGCCGTTCTGCCGCAAACGCGACCACGGGGCGACCCGCCGGAAGCTGGCCCACCAGCCTCAAGGAGTTTACAGCCGGCAGGCAGCACATCTGCGGTCGGCACACCACATCAACAGACGACGGAGCGCCTGTCGGAATCGCCGGTCCAGGTCTCGCCGGTCAACAACAACCCGCCAGCGCTGATGGTAGACAACTCGAGCCAGGAAGAAGACCGTGCCTCACCCCGGTCGACGCCGTCTCCGGAGCTTATCGAGCACGAGGATGCCGACACGCCTGACCACAAGACCTTGCAGACCCCGTCGACGACGAGATCCGAGTCTTGGGATGACGCCAGCCTGCGCGCCTTCTTTGACTCCAGCTCCGATATTCGGGACTTGCTCGTCGTGGTGTATGACAAGAGCAATGTTGATCCGGTTGGATCGGATCACCCGGTTGCGAATTCGCTTTTTAGGGAGCAGAATGCTAAGTTAGCTGAGATTACAACAGTAAGTTTCTGCTTCTTCCACTTCCCGCCATGGCCGCGAACGGTTGCTGATAGGGATTCGTGACAGCGACTCGATGATATGCTTGGCGACTGGCTCGCTCGTAAGCAAAGATCAAGGGGCGCCGTATGAACGGCATATCGGCGCTGTGAGCTGCTGCATATCTGAACTATGTTTTTCTTCTTAGACTGCGATGGGCACTGCGTAAAGGTCCCTTGGTGGCCTTCTTGCTCACGCGTTACGACTTGACGCACGCCTTTCCATTCTATGCGCCTTCTCATAAAGTTTGTTTTTTTTTTTCTTCTTCTTTTTTCTACCCCTTTGAGGGCTAGGCCTAGGGACGCTTCAGATGTGGACTGGGTCACGCGGGAACGCTGCTTGTGCGGCGCACGGCAGGTGGCCGACTGGGAAGGGGTTTGGTTCAGAGTGGTCCTGTAGGCGTGGGACTGGATTTCGGAGATGAAAATATGCCGAGACTGGCGTGGCGGGCAACCCATACGTTTCTTTTAGTCTTCTTGTTTGATTACCCGTCATGATGACATGATACCCTTACAACAGAAGTCGATATGCTACTTGCTACCAGTTCATTGCCTATTAGATTCTTGTTGGGCACTTCTTCGAAATTCATATGCGGCGGGAGTCACCGTATGAGCTGTACATGTGGATACTACTTACACTTGGCACTCGGATTCATTGACCTCATTAGGTTTCAGGTAGCAGCGACAAATGGGTCGAGAATGGGCACCTAACTGGCCGTCTAGGTAAAGCGGGGTATATCTACGCATTCTTACACGTGTACCTGCATGACATAGGAGTTCTCGGAGTCTTGGGCAGCCCTTTGTACAGAAGTTGGTAGGTCGGGCTAGTTATATTCCCAGTTTTTACCTTGGCTAGCGGTATGCTTTAACAGGCGGCGGCACACAAACTGGTTCTCTTCCTTCACACCACCTCAGTTCTTGACATCCAACTCAAGGAAACATCTTCATCCCAGCACTTATAGTCTACTAAAGTACTACTACTCACTGCAAGAAGACCAAAGGATAAATAACCCATTCTCTGCCATGGCTTCCCTCCTTGGTCTTACCTCGACTTATTCGAGCAACTGGTCGTACTACACGGTAAACAAGCTTGCAGCCTATTCGAATTCCTGCGGACAATGAGCAGAGTACCTGACTGACGATTGCTCGTTCATCCTTATCTAGATCCCCGCGGCATGGGCTCTGTGCATGCTTCCAAACACTTACGCCGCCATGCTGGCGGGCAAGAACTTTGACAATGCCAAGTCAGCTGCCCAGTTCCATACCTTACATCCATGGGTTACTGTTTTATGACTCCCAATCAATCCACTCTCATAACTGACATCACCCACGCAACAACAGCCCCCGCAAGATCGAAGAGAAGTGTGCCAAGGATAAGTCTCTGGACAAGGTGGTATGTTCTTTTTGTTTTAATAAAACACAAACCTCACCGAGAGTGTCTGAGATACATAACTACCTTACCTTGACCTTGACTGAGCGTATCGATACTGACGATCATCATGGGGACAACAAAAGACACTCCGGCGCATCTCCCGCGCCAGAGCGGCGACGGCTAACGGATATGAAACCCTCGGGCTGTACGCGGCCGCCGTCGTGGCGGGCAATGCCGCGCGGGTGCCGGGCGAGCAGATGACGCGGCTGACGCTGGCCTACCTCGCGTCGCGGGCCGTGTACAACTACGTGTACGTCGTGCTGCAGGACAATGCCCGGATGGCGCCGGTCAGGTCGCTGGTGTGGGTGTCAGGCATCGGCATCATCATGTCGATGTTTGTGATGGCTGGGCAGGCGTTAAGTTAAGTTTAAATCACGGTTTTTTGAACCTCAGGGGAATGCAATGCAATGGGAATAGAATGGAAAGGGGGTAGCAGGTACTACTACTACTTAGGTCGGGTTTCGTCATTTCATGGTCCCAAAGAACAGAGCCGGGACCGTTTGCAATTAGATCCCGTATGATGTGGTTGCTGCCTTGCACGGCTGTATTTGACTCCTTGTCTCTTAACAGGACGCATTTTCGTCAAGTCATATCATATCGACCTCTATGTTTGTTCCTTTTCATCATCTCATGCTGAATTTCCTATCTGGTTAATCCTTATTCCACCCTACAGCATCCAGTTTAATATGAATACGGCTCACGTACCAGGCCCGCCAATCTTGGTGGTGATGATCCCATCCTCGACATAGACGCCCGAGAAGTAAAAGTCCTCGTTGGTATCCGGATAGCCGGACCGCGGCAGCTCCAGGACGCCCAGGTGCCAGTCCGCGCCGTTGGACGACGTCGAGGCCGACACAGGCGCAACGATTTGCTTCAAGTCGTCGCCGCCCTCCGAGTGCCAGAAGCCGACCTTGTTGGCGCCAAAGTCGATCTCGTAGGCAATGTTGTGCCACACGCCGGCCTTCCACTCCGTCTTCCAGCGGCTCTGCTGGCTGGTCATCCACTGCAGGTTGGCGTTGCTGGTGCCTTGCTCGCCGCTGATCCAGCCATACTTCATCTCGGTGAAGTGGCTCTCGAAAAAACAGATCTGGTGCTCGCGGTTGACGCTCGGCGCGTTGGTGTCCTTGCGCATCATGCTGAAGTGGTAGAACACCTTGCCCCGGTGGATGGCGGCTTTCGTCTGCGGGATCAGCTCGGTGCGGCGCATGTTCTGCCCGTTCCAGAAGGCCGTGCTGTCGAGCGTGAACCTGGCCCCCTGCCTGGAGACGGTGTCGTTCGGGTTCTTGTAGTCGGGTGACAGGTTGACGTATCGGTCAACCGAGCCCGAGCCGTGGATGTAGTACTGGTACGGCCCGACTTGGTTGCTCCACGACCAGGTGAGCAGGTCCCGCGAGGACGAGAGGTCGTTGAAGCGCCCGTCCCAGAGAACTGCGCCGTCTACTGCGGAGGCGGCCACAGCCGCCGCGAGGATAGACGATGCTTTCATCGTGTGGAGGAGTGGAAACTGGATTAGGGCGAAGGATGGCTCAGGTCAGAGAACGGGACTGGAAACGCCCGACCTGGCTACCACGTACTCGACCAGCGTCTTATACGAACTGCCTCCACACAATCGGGGGCAGTTGTAGATGTTCCCCGGCGGCATTTATATGACACCACGGCAGAACCCTACGGTACTGCAGTCCGCTTCCATACAGTGCGCCAGCTTCCTGCTGCGGATGTGAGCCTCCGCGTCTTATAAACCGGCCCGGTCCAGTAAATGGCGTTTGAGATATCCAAAGTTTAGCCTGTAACATGCAGTTGTGTCGTCCCGTCATTGGCACCCCACTGCCGCGGCTATCGAGGGATTGAGGTACTGTACTTCTGGAGTTGGACATGCTGATAAGTATTTTGAAGGAGCCAAGGGACTGGGTGGTACGGGGGAAGGAAGATTATGGACGAAATGACTCGAGGTGAGAAGGCACATCTTCGGATCTTGAGGACTCTCGAACACAGTGACCAATGGACGTAACATGGCCAATACCATACAGCGCCTATATAGCCCTAAGAGTAATATACTAGGACAACGAATGCTCCTTTAGAGTGATGTACTTGTGCATAGAGAGTAACCAGAAATCCATGATCGCGCCATCCAACCCCCTACTCATCCAGCGCCGAAACCTGATCCAAAGTCCTACGCCGCATCTTGCGACCCGTTAAATCGGAGCTTGAAGGCTGAGCACCGTCCAATATACAGACAGGCCCATACTGTACCTCTCGCACACCCCTACGATGTACTATATATCCACTTCCCAACCCACCTTAATACTCGCTCCCGCCAAAACTCTTACTTCTCGCCAGCGCCGCCCGCTCCAGACTCGCCCGCGGCAGCTGCTCGTACGACCGTGACATACTATGCGACGTGCTGGGCCTGCTGCCCGCCTCGCCGTCCTCGGCTGCACTCATCATATCCGTGGGCCCCGCTCCCGGGTCGTCACGGATGCGGTGGATGAAGTAAGCCGAGATCAGCACCGTGAGGCCGCCCAGGGCAAGCACGATCGCAATGCTGTGGTCCCCGGGCACGCCGCGCGGTTTCTGGAAGAAGCGGAAGATGATGCTGCTGGTGACGGTGGCGATGATCTGCGGCGCGGCAATGGCCATGTTGTGGATCCCCAGGATCACGCCTGCCTGGTCGGCCTCCTCTTCGTCCTTGAGCTCCCTGTCCTGGTTCTCGTCCGACGAGTATCCATCGAGGGATGTGACGCCGCGGCCGCTAGGGGAAAGATTGCGGTTGCGCTGGGCGTACTGGGCGCGGCGCATCTCGTCGCGGCGCGAGATCTCGGCGCTGATGATGGCCCAGGGAGCCCAGAGGGTCAACGCCCACGTGATGCCCACCAGGCCGATGAGGACCGTGGCGGCGGTGACGCTCCGCACGAGCACGGTGCAGAGCATACTGCATGTGAACAGGATCTGAGACAGCATCCACGCGCGACGGAGAGTAAAACCGGGGATGATCAGGTGCTGGAGCCACGACTTCTTCTCCTCGCTGTAATCTGCAAGGGAGCCTGGGGCCTCTCCGGGTGCCAGCGCGCCAACTTGCGTCTCATAAGTCGGGGCGATGAAGAAGGGTAGGAAGACGTTCGTGGCCAGGCTTACGATGGCAAAGATGAGCAGCGCAAAAGTCCCCTCTCGCGTGGCATCCTCGTAGAGCTTGTCGAGTTCCTCGGGCGTCATGTTGGGGTTTTGCTCCAGGTACGGCTCGACGTAGATCTCTCCAATATACGCCGAAGTGTAAAAGAGCATGGGGAAGAAGCCGATCCAGGCACAGAACTGCACCTGGCAGACCTTCTTGGTCTGCGGTGGGAGCCTCTTGATCGAGGCGAAGATCTTCTTGAAGAAGGCGAGAACCCCGGCCTTGTCCTTGGCCGGAGGTCCTTCAAGCCGTGGGTCCCTCTCGCGAATGAGGAGGCAGGACAGAAGCACCGTGGCACCAAGAGTAATGCTCGCGATGGCGCAAAGATCCTTGAACTGGCTATTGCCGAAGAACCAAAGGACCGCCGGTAGGTCCATGTACCCAGCGAGGTAGCCGGCGATATTTCCAATACCGACGAAACGACTAGCCATAGCATTTGCGCTCTCTTCGGAAAGGTGTCAGCATCCTGTTGAACATCACGGAGAGAGGGCGCAGCTGACCTTGTTGATGAGTAGGGGCGCAATCTACGATGAATGCACGAATCGCTGCTTGCACTGTGGTGGCTCGTCAGCCATGGAACCCTCTCAAAGCGGAGACATGGCGAGACCCATACCAGTGTTGATGGCGAAGTCAAGAACGTAGACCCAGAGCACGGCGGTGACAATTACCGAGTACTTGACAAAGTTCGAGTCGGGATCCGCCCCGAATAACCCGAGGAAGCCACTGACGATCTCCTTGGTCCAGGCAAGAATCATCAGGGAGGCTATGGTAGCAACGGTGCCCCCAACCATAAAGGGCTTTCGCTTCCCCCACCGAAGGCGGCAATTGTCGCTCAACATGCCAACGTACGGCTGCACCAGAGTACCCGATAGCGGCCCGGCGATCCACACCAAAGCCATTAGCGACTTGCTGAGGCCCAGTGACAGCAGGTACGGCGAGCCATTGGACATTTCGACGGACCAGGCAATCTGAAGGCCGCCGATGCTGATGGTCAGCAGGATGAGGTACCAGATGCTCTTAGTTCTCTGATGCTCGTCACCGCTCCCGACCGCCGGCTGGCCGTCCATCAGGCCATCGTCTTCGCCCGAGCCGGAGCTCGGAGACAGCAGCGGCGACTGCTCGTCGAGCCGATCTTGGTTCTGTTGTTGCCGTCCATGACCGCTAATCTCGTCTCGCATCTCGCGTGCTACCTCATCGCCGCTCTTCCTCGTTGCGATTGGGTGCGTTGTCTGGTCCTCGTCGTCTACGGGGCGGGCCCGATCCGGAAGCTCTGCTGATGACGACGTCATGCGAGGCAGGCGGCCGTTGCAGGTACTGTCAGACTCGACCTTTCCCACGTCCCGGCCGATAACTCGTATCGGTTCTAATTACGCTTGGTTGTGCGATGTTCCGGTCTCGTTTCGGTTGCAGCCGACGAAGCGTGTGTTATGTCGCGAGCGGGAGGCTACCGGGCGAGGCTGGGCGTGAGCACCGGCTCGATCGTAACAATCGTTCGAACCCAGCGAACAAAGAGATGGAAGGAACGGTGGCAAGAGAGTAAGGATAAAATAAGCTTCTAAAGTTGATAATGTCCTATATCTAGGATAGCTTGGACGCCCGGAGTCAGGCGGTCAAGTAAACGACTGCCACGAGACCGCGATTCGAGTGACGAGGTTGCCGTGCGGATGCAGCCCGGATGCAGATCTGCTGCTTGCCAGCCAGCCACTAACAGCAGGGCTGCCTGGTGACAAAAGAGAGAGGCTTGCCTACACAGTACGTAATTGCTGTATGCCCCTGATGCTTGGTCCACGATCTACAGAGTTGACACCAAGCGGCACAGGTCTGGAACAGTCTGGCAATAACAAATATGCAGGGCCGAGGGAGTGTTGAAGCGGCATTGGGAGTCTGGGACACAAGATGGGGTAGGAAGGTGGATGATTCTCTGATGGGATCCTGGCCTGTCAGTTGCGCCCCACTTCTCCAGTTTCCACCTGACACTGTGCTTGGAACCTTGGGTCCAGCTGCCAACTTCTCTCTCTGGAAAGTGATCTCTTGACACCGCAACGGCGGATGTGGAAGAACGAACGCTACCTACACCAGACTGTATCTGTCTGATATGCCCATGAGTGTCCTGCATCTGGTAAGACACCGACGGCCACATGGTGAGACTATCCTAAAAGCCATGTGTAGCACCGAAGTCGACGCCACGGGACTTCTAGCCAGGGGCGGCGTAATTGCACAGCAGGAGAAACTGCAGCAGGATCTTCAGGCTTGCTGGTACCTGAGTCACCGCAAAGTGCTCCATCCATATGTCGTGGCCGAGATGCCCAAGCCTAATAACGAGAAACATCATGAGAAGATGGCACGCTCTTTGAAAGGTCGTTCTTGGGTGGGGAGCTTGAATTCCATCCCAAGCTGCTGATCTGCCGAGTCGACCAGCGGTTCAGCCCCCATGCCTGATCCAACGTTGGCAAGTTGGCCGTCGATTGGCTGTTGCTTCCGTTTTGTGGACCCGCAATATGTGGGACAGTCTAACCAAGCGAGCCAAGGAAAGCTGGCGACTTCAATCGATTCTCACACTCAGGCTTTCGAAGCCGATGCGCGGCTTCAGATCAACCCAGGCCATTATAAGGCTTGCACTTTCACAGACCGAGTCCATGCGCTCTCGGCTTCCCGCCTATTATCACGAGACAGTATCGTGAATTGCTGTAGTCTGCCTTCTCGGACCTTGACCGCCGCCGCGCACAGCCGCGAGCGCGACGAGCCCAGTCCGGCACTCCACCACCATGCTTGCGCAAGCCCTCGCCGAGGGCCTTTTGGGGCTTGCAAGTACGCATATAACCAGTACAACACAGGATTCACAAAATGGACACTAATAACGTGTTGCAGAGAGAGAAGAGGAAGACCCCGCCGGTATGCCACCAACAGAACGTTGTCCAGTCGAAGCTCGAGCACAAGCACAAGCTAACCCTTGCTCCCAGGCGAGGACGCCCCGAAGCAGGAGAACAACGCATCATGGGCCATCTTCATTCTGATCATGCTGCTCATCGTAGCATTCTGCACCAGCTATACGATGCAGCAGAGGAAGATCACGGCTATCCACGAGACCGTCGTCTCTATCTTTGGCGGTACTGCCCCTCCTTTGTTTCACCTCTCGGTAACCTAGGTGCTGATCGCTTCTAGGCATGACCGTTGGCTTGATTCTGCGTGTGTCCGGCTTCGACTCGATCCGTGATCTCGTCAACTTCAACTATCAGTACTTCTTCAACCTCCTCCTGCCTCCCATCATCCTATCTTCCGGCTACGAGCTTCACCAGGCGAACTTCTTCCGGAACATTGGGACCATTTTGACGTTTGCCTTTGCGGGGACATTCATCTCAGCCGTGGTTATTGGCGTGCTCTTGTGGCTTTACACTGCCATCTCCTTGGAAGGCCTCGATGTATCGTGGACCGACGCCATCTCTGTTGGCGCCACCCTGTCGGCTACGGATCCTGTCACTATCCTGGCTATCTTCAACGCCTACAAGGTGGATCCGAAACTCTACACCATCATATTTGGTGAATCGATCCTCAATGATGCCGTTGCCATTGTCATTTTCGAGTCGGCCCAGAGTGCCGGCGGCAAGGGAGGGGGAATCGGGATATGGAGTATGCTGCACGGCACCTGGTACTTCTTGTCCGAGTTCTTCGGCAGCTTGGCCATCGGCGCCTTGGTGGGCGTTCTGACCGCCCTGGGGCTGAAGTACACGTATGTCAGGAGATACCCCGGCATCGAAAGCTGTCTGGTGGTACTGATCGCGTACGCGACATACTTTTTCGCCCAAGCCATTGGCATGTCGGGTAGGTGCCCGTGAGCCACGTAGTCAGGGACAGATGCTTACAATCTCACAGGGATTGTCGCGCTACTATTCTGCGGCATCACGCTCAAGCACTATGCCTACTTCAACATGTCCCGCCGGACGCAGCTAGCCACCAAATACATCTTCCAGGTCCTCGCCCATCTCTCGGAGAACTTCATCTTTATCTACCTCGGCCTGGCCCTCTTCACTGAGAAGAACCTTGTGTATCAGCCCCTCTTGATCATCGTCACGGTACTCGCGGTGTGTGCGGCGAGATGGTTGGCCGTCTTCCCCCTGTCCAAAGCCATCAACTGGTTCATCCGCTACCGGGCGCGCCGCCAAGGGCGTGAGGTTGCCGATGAGTTGCCGTACAGCTATCAAGCGATGCTTTTCTGGGCTGGTCTCCGCGGCGCGGTGGGCGTCGCGTTGTCGGCCCTCTTCACGGCGAAAGAAACCCAGGCGTTGCAGGCAACCGTTCTGGTCGTGGTGGTCCTCACAGTCATTATCTTTGGCGGCACCACAGCCCGCATGCTCGAAATTCTCGGCATCCGAACCGGCGTGACAGACGAGGCTGACTCAGACGACGAGTTTGACATCGAAGCCATCGGAGGTGGCCTGTACAAGCGATCGGACACGGGCATTGGATACAACCCGCGCAGCGCTGGCGCTCGCAGCCGCGGCTCAGTCCTGCCCCTTGGCAACGTCAATAACAATGCGAGCAGTGGAAGCGGACGTGCTGGAAGCGGTGACAGGAGCGGCTGGGCATCGGGGCATAGGTCACCTAACACGGCGGCGCCACTTCGGCACGGCAGTAGGAGCCGCAACAACAAGGGTTCCAGAGGGGACGATTTCGAGAGGTCGGAGCTGCTCGGCGCATCGGGGAGCAACACCGACTCGGACTTCGGCAGTGATATCGATATCTCGGACCTCCCGCCCCCGGCGCCGGTGCCAAGGAGTAGGGGCCACAGTCCCATGCTCACTCCTTCCGGTGACCCCGGCCAACCCCATGAAAGCGGCTCCTCGAGCAGGCACAATGGGTCAGGGGAAGGGCCAAGTCAGCACCAGCAACCCCTTACGGCTAGTGCCGCCTTTCGGCAATTGCTTAGCGCTGAGGATCCGACGGCACTGTTCAGGCAACTCGACGAAGACTACATTAAGCCAAAGCTACTGCTGGATGGGGGCACTGGGCGGGGCGGGGGGTCGGGGTCTCATTGAGCTGGCTCGTTCTTGCTTTGTGGTCTTCTGGTGTAAAAGGGTAATCGGGATACAAGGGGGCACTATCGATGGCGTTTGGTGTGTACCATATAGTGGAGGCCGCTGGAGGCCACAATTCCATGTTTGTAGGGCCGGTTAGCAAGGGATTTCTCTGCAGTTATCTCCATAACATGGGAATCTGTATGTCCGGTTTCGACTTAGCGTACGTTACTGACTGCAGGTTAGCTGACGCTCTATGATTACTACATTAACTGGTATGTACAGCAAACTGGGATGCTGCCAATGCTAAGACGTCGATTAGATGCTCACCAACCTGGAACCAAACACCCAGTAATTGAGCGTCTTTGGCCCAAGGTGCTGTCCCAATTAATTCCTGACGGCCAACTAATAATCACATCACATCAGCTTTGCGGTACACCAGCTGGCACAGTTCCTGCGCGTCCCGTTTACAGAATTGTAATCATTTTCTGATCTTCTTTCTCCCTATAGAGACACCCATTAGACAGGGTATATCGTACAATACAAGCAACCGTATAACCGCACTGCGAGTGCATTCATATCCCTGGTCAAACACGAACCATATGTACGATGCAATACGGTATCTCATAAGCACCAGGCTTTACAATACACCTCGTTACCATGCATCTATCTAACCCTCATGACCCGGGCGCCCTCCCCTCTCTTCCCCCCTTTCAAGGTAGGTAGGTATCCTTCCGACTCCTACTCCGCAAAACACACACCCACTCACCCACACCCTACCTTAAGACAATCTTCCCAACAACACTCTCCACCTTCCTAGGCCTCTCCTCATCATCCATCATCATCCCAAAACTCGGCTCCTCCGGCGGCAGATTAGGGATCCCCGGAATCCCCGGGTTGCCTGGCACCTGCCCCTGCCCCTGCCCCTGCCCCTGCCCCTGCAACAACACCACTGCTTTATCTGTACTACTGCTAGTAGCATTGTCACCTTGTGATGGCGATAATGGCGATGACGGCGGTCGATGGCGCTGCTGAGCGCGCTGGATCCGCCCCGTCTGCTGGTTCACCCAGGAGGCGACGCTCCGGAAGCGCGCGGGCTGGTCCTCGCTCGCTTGCGTGTAGACTGTGGAGCTTCTTTGGAGTTGGAGAGTTCGGTTGCTACTTCTTCTTCTTCTTCTTCTCTGGCCTGGTTCTGGTCGTGGTTCTTGTTCGAGATTATGCTGCTGCTGCTGGGACTGCGGCTGCGACATCCATGAAAAGCGGGCAGTGTAGGGATGAGGAGCCGCGGCGGTTGGTTGCGGAGGGGTGATGATGATGTTATTATTGTCGTTGTTCTTATTGTCGGAGTCTATGGTGGCCATGATGAAGTCACCGTCTCCGAAGCCTGACGAGAGGGAGGATACGTCAGTTAGGGTTCGACTGGGTTGACGGTAGATCGGATATGGCGCGGTGAATTGCTGGGTTGGAATGCTCTGACTGTTGTAATACGAGACGGGCGAGACACTGTTTTGAAGAATGTCATCTGGGTTGTTGCTATGGCCCGTCCATAGCGTCCCGAAGTGTGCTGCGTTCGTGGAGCTGAAGGAGCCTTGGGCTTGGTGGGAGTACACGGGGCTGTCAGTCAGGGCTGTATTGATCTTGAGGGGATTCCCGGTGCTGTACATGCTTTCGGGGTCGAGAGCTGGCAGCTGGTATGCGTTATTAAGCGGCAACTGGACGTTAGGGGTATTTAGAGGCCATGGTTGGGCCGCTGGTTCCGGCTGCTGAACTTTCTCCGAGCCAAAGACACCTTCCCCTGGCGGAATGACAGAGATGCTGGCTTTCTCGGGGTAGCTTGGTGGCCGAGATTGGGTGGTCGTAGACTCGCCCAAGCTCTGCCAGGCCCTCCGTCTGAAGAATGGAATTTTAGAGGGAACATCTCTCGGAAATGTACCAGAGCCGTGGATGTCCCCGTCCTTCCTCGACTTCCTCATTGTTCGCCAGACCATCCAGACGATAAAGCACACCAAAATGAAACCCCCTAATGGTCATGTAAGTCATGGGGAGATTCCGTATCGACATCGTAAGGAATTGCATACCTATTGAGCCAACCGAGATCAATACACGCTCAGCCGTCCGGTCCATGCCGACCTGTGGTGGCCCAACGCGGTTGCTGGTGCCGTTACGGTTATTGAAGCCTCTTCCGCCGCCTGGAGTGAAGAATGGTCTTTTAGTCGTAGTAGCCCCCCCTGAAACGGATGGCTCAACGCTTGAGGACGCATTGGGGGACTCGACTTCTTCCTCCCCGGCACCCGACAGGTTTGTTGAGTCCGCTACAGCGCTCGGTGTTATCAAAGGAATGAAGGCGGTAACGGTCGGATTCTCATTCACCTCGGATGTGGCCGAAGCCGTTACCGCGGGTTGGAGCAAGATGACACCGGGGTTGGAGGAGGTACTGGTTATCTCGGCGGTTGTCTGGGCAGGCACCGTTGTTGAAGGTGGCGTGGTTTCTGTTGATGCTGTGGTTTGCGGTGAAGTCGAAGTCGAAGGTGCGGATGTTGGTGGCGGTGGAGGAGACGTTTCCGTGGAGTTGACTGAGTTGTCTGGTGCGGCGTTGGTGTTGCCTGATCCATCACCGTCGTTTTTGCCCCTCCCAAACCCAAAACCGAAGCCAAACCCATCTCCTATCCTTCTATTTCCTCTGCCGGATCCCCCGTCCTCCCTGCGGGTATCGCTGTCGTCACCGTTGCCATCCTTCTCGCTGCCTCCTTTGCTATCACTGTTGCGGTTGCCGCCCCCATCAGAGTCGCCATTGGCATCGTCAGCGCCATTCTCATTTCCGTCCCCGTCGTCGTTGCCTCGGCCATTGTCTCCAAACCTTCCCCTCCCTCTCCCGCCACCGCCGACAATACCGCCGCTTCTTCCTTCTCCATCACCGTCATCATTCCCGTCATTGTTGCCATTATTCTTGCCAAACCGGAAACGGCGGCCGCCATTATCTGCGTCCTCGCTTCCTCTGTCCTGACGGGCATTAAGCGGGTTTGGTGGGGGTAGTCGGGCGGCATCATTCGCCCATCGTCGTCGACTATGTCCTGACCGACTGCTTAGAGGTGCCATTTCATCATCCCCTGGCATCCTAGAGTCATCCACAGCTTCAAATCATCAATCGGGTAATAGGGCACCCAGCCAAGTAGCAACCTGCGAAGCATGGGTTCCGTTTCCCGTCTTCCCAGGTCGAGACTACCTCGAAACCGACGAGTACTAAGGTGGTCGTGACACAACAGGGGAATGGATGACTGAACAGATGAAATATATTACAGAAGAAGTATATAGCCTCGAAGGACAATACGCACATAGAAGAAGAAAGAATGCGGGAAGAGCGGGAAGCCGGCCCTACGGAGTGAAATGACATGAGAGGATAACGCACAGACGGGAGGGAGAAAGGGAAAAAGGCGTCACGACAGACAGGTATCGGCACTCTCTAACCCAGGCCTTGCTTGAGATGCCCGTCGACTTGCCGCATGCCTTGCATGATGGACGGGCCCAAGCCCCAGCCGTCGAGTGCGTCAGGGGTGGGATCGATGATGGGACTACCAGCGGATGCAGCCGCGCCGAAGCAGGGACTGGGGACGACTCGCGGGAATATGAATTCAGCCGCATCTTCCCCCGATGAGATCCACGAGCCGGAGACGCCTCAGGGTTCCTGATTCCCGTGTCAAGCATCCCATTATGGCTAATGATATCTGCAGGGACCCGGGCGGAAGCAGAGAACGGAGCCGAGTTCTGATTAAGTCCTCAGTACCGGTTGGGGCGGACTTAGGAACATGGCGAGCATTTTGAGCGATGAGCCATAAAGCTGTGATGAACTGTACGCCACGGCAGGTATTGGGATGATCGAAAAGCCTCTGCTCGTACAGCCTCTACTGGAGACGTCCCGGCGGGATCTGATCAAGATGGCACCCAGTTCGCGTACCAGGGCCAAGCTGCAAGACCGCACAGGCCAACGCTAAATTGTCTTGGAATTTTGGAACCGAGACATCGAGTGCAGTGTTCCGTACGCGGGGAGCACAAGAGAACAGGGGGTTCGACGTCTCAGCCATTGAAGAGACGTTTCAGCGCAGCAGAGCCGAACCAAGGATGGCACCGTCACACACAGCAGTTGTGTTCACTTCTATGAGAACCCCGACACCACGCTGTGGAAGTGAGGGTTGTCGCATGCCAACGAGAACTGTCTTCTGCAGATCGTTCATAGATCAAACCGCTGTCGTTGCCGCGCCCGCATTCTCACCACTTGAATCTGTCGAATCACTATCGCGCGTGGCAGGAATGCTTATGTCCTTATATGGGTAAAGCCAGATCTTGTGTGAATGAGCTAGCACGTCAGATGTGTCCTGGTTTTGTGAGCTGCTGCTGGATCAAGTTACTCTGATGTCGAGCTAGACTCCCACCGCGAACGACGGGATTGCCCCGGGTCTTCGGGCCTCGGCCGGCTCGGCCCCGGCTGAGCATCTGCGCGCCTACTGTATATACATCGGTGTCTTGCCGAGGTGTGCCGAACTGGCACATATTGATCGACTCGGCAAGTTCCCGGCGATTGTATGTACACTAGGAGAGGAAGCAAACCACATGCCAAGACAAGCTTAACTCCGGTGCATACATACATACAGACAGACCGGGGCCCGAGTACTCAGGAGGTTGGTCCCGCAGAAAACGATGGCCCTCGCGAAAAGCCGGAAGACAGGGCTTAGGTTAACAGATAAGCGAGGTATGTGTGAGAGAACGGAACGAAGAGAGTTAGCTTAGAGGTTGGCATCGCACGAGAGGAAGTGACGCTTCGTTCGGCGATTGGCCGTTGCGGTCAGAAGGAAAGTGCGCACCCTGGTCGAGGCTGGAGAGCGGTGCTGCGTCTCTAGCGGAAGACATGTTTACGATTGTCTCTCATTCAGTAACCGTGTGTCAGACATAAAAAGCTCCATTGTCTACGGCTACATCCCTTCGAAGCGTACTCGAAGCGTGGCAGATAGTGAGTGATATGTCGTTGTTGTGGAAGTGGAGGTTTATAATAAAGGCGCAAAACCTTTGGTCCAGAACCTCTTTCGTCATCAAGGAGCCCTTTGCGGGAGCGCTGGTGGGGCTTGCGTGGGGGGCAAACTCGGCTCTTGAGTGGATGCATCACAAGAAGCCAACAAGCGGTCGAATCGGACAAGAGCGCCTTTGGCGGGATTCAACCATGAGAAAAAGAGTAAAAATGACAGGGGCCAGGGAAGCTCCCAGCTCTTATCTTAGTCACCGAATATCAGATTTGCGCCGCTTACGGATACTCCACGCAAAATCCTCGAGACTTTTCTGCTCAGCGCCTCTCCCTTCTCTTCATCGTTATTGTTTGCCTTGTACAGACAACGGCCCTTTCCTCGAGACCCTCTCCGCTCTACCCTGCCTCCCGTGCTCGCCAATTGAGCCCATGGCGCCCTCGTCAAGAGCTCTGAGCAAGCTCGCGGTGCCCCAGACGGGCGCCGTGCTGCTGCAGAACTCGCAGGCCGTGCCCAGACTGTACCTGCAAACGTCGCGCCGGATTGTGTCTGCGCGACCCGCGGTGCGGCAGTTTCGGCGCCTCTATACGAACGATGCCGCGCCGGTCCCGCCTCCCAGGAGGTCGCGCTTCCGGGTCTTGAGGTGGACGTGGCGGCTCGGATATCTCTCGGCCCTCGCCGGCGTCGGTTACATCGGCTACGGCGTCTACCAGGACCGGCACCCAGAGCCTCAGGTCGACCCCGACCCGTCCAAGAAGACCCTTGTCATCCTTGGTAAGACCTTGTCCTACCGCTCCCCGCGCGCGCGCCGTAGTCGGCCCCTCACTGACCCGTCGCAACAGGGACCGGTTGGGGCTCCGTTTCGCTGCTCAAGCGCCTTGACACCGAGAACTACAACGTGATCGTCATCTCGCCGCGCAACTACTTCCTCTTCACGCCGCTCCTCCCGTCATGCACAAACGGCACGATCGAGCACCGGTCCATCATGGAGCCGGTGCGGACCATCCTCCGGCAGAAGAAGGGCCGCGTTAGGTTCTACGAGGCCGAGGCGAGCGCTATTGACCCTGAGCGCAAGGTGGTGCGCATCTTCGACACCTCGGAAATCAGGGGTGACATCATCGAGACCGAGGTACCATACGACATGCTGGTGATCGGCGTGGGTGCTGAAAACGCGACGTTCGGCATCCCCGGCGTCCGCGAGCACTCGTGCTTCCTCAAGGAGATTGGCGATGCGCAGAAGATCCGAAAGAGGATCATGGACTGCGTCGAGACGGCGGCCTTCAAAGACCAGTCGGCCGAGGAGATTGACCGTCTCCTGCACATGGTTGTGGTGGGAGGCGGCCCGACGGGTGTCGAGTTTGCCGGTGAGCTGCAAGACTTCTTCGAGCAGGACATCAAGAAGCTGGTCCCGGAAATCAGCGACCGCTTCCGCGTGACGCTGATCGAGGCGCTCCCCAGCGTGCTGCCCATGTTCTCCAAGCAGCTGATCGAGTACACGGAGAGCACCTTCAAGGAGGAGAAGATCAACATCCAGACCAAGACAGTGGTCAAGAAGGTCACCGACAAGACGGTCGAGGCCGAGGTGACGCGTCCCGACGGCAAGAAGGAGACGGTCGTCTTCCCTTATGGCCTGCTGGTCTGGGCGACGGGCAATGCCGTGCGCCCCGTGGTCAAGGACCTGATGGACAAAATTCCCGCACAAAAGAACTCGCGCCGCGGCCTCGCCGTGAACGAGTACCTGGTCGTGCAGGGCACACGCGACATCTGGGCCGTCGGCGACTGCGCCGTGGCCGGGTATGCGCCGACGGCCCAAGTGGCCAGCCAGGAGGGCAACTTCCTGGCGCGTCTGTTCAACAACATGGCCAAGACCGAGGCGCTCGAGGAGAAGGTGCGCGAGCTCAGCTCGTCGCTGAACCTGCAGCCGGGCAACTCGGCCGAGATCTCGCGGCAGATCGAGGAGTACGAGCGCCAGCTGCGGCGCATCAAGGATGTCAAGCCCTTCCACTACAGCCACCAGGGCAGCCTGGCCTACATCGGCAGCGAGAAGGCCGTCGCCGACGTGACGTGGTTCAACGGCAACATCGCGGCTGCGGGCAGCCTGACCTTCCTCTTCTGGCGCAGCGCCTACCTCAGCATGTGCTTCAGCACGCGCAACCGTCTTCTAGTCATCAACGACTGGCTGAAGTCGAAGGTGTTTGGTCGCGATCTCTCGCGCGAGTAAACTCGGTGTGTTCGGGAGGGACGTATGTGACAGCGGCATTTGCTTGCTGTTTGGGGTTAAGATGTAATAAGCAGGACTGTATTCTCTGATCTCCTTTGTTTGTTGCGGTGGATGTTATGGAGTCTGGGAACTGGAGATACTTAGACTGAGGGCTAGACCGGGTTGGTACGATAGACAAGGGCAAAAAGTTCATGGCGGGTGTTGTTTTGTTGAGTTGACTTGCATGTCTCCGGGGACTCGTTGGTTAGGCGTCCCCTGTTCGCTCCTTGTGCTTCAACACTGCCGCTTAGTACATACGTTCTAGGCAGATTCGGGGATTCCGGGTATATATACTGTTAGGCAATGTCAAATGGACCTCTAAGCTTTTATTCTTGTTAATGGCAACCTGGGAACAAGTTACAGACTTCAAGTTAGAGTAGGGTCAATGACGCCAATAGGGGTTAGGGTTGAATGCGTGAATCTAGCCCATTCATCCCAATGCATCCACTTCAGGTGTGAACAACTTGAACCGAATCGGCGATGATGAGGTTGTCACGCCTGGTAACACTCATATTCCTCACATTTGTCAAATATGCATGAAATCATCACACTTCAGTTGGGCCAGCAGAGTAACTACCTGGCCACTCATTTCTGGAACACCCAGGTACGTTACGTTTCATTCCTCATGTCCCCTCAACTTAAACAGATCCCTCATGCTCGCGGCCAATGAACGATATTGAGAATGAATAACAGGAATCCTATTTCACCTACTCGGAAGACCAAGAGTCTCCCATCGACCATGACATCCACTTCCGCCCGGGGCTCACCCCCGACGGCACCGAGACCTTCATGCCGCGCACCGTCATCTACGACCTGAAGGGCGCCTTTGGCACCCTCCGCAAGATCAACGCGCTCTACGACGTCAACGAGGAGTCGTCTCCTCCTCAAGCCCTCTGGTATGGTTTTTTTCGTTTGTTTTTCACTGTGAACCACGATCTCCTTTTCCCTTCGCTGCTCTTTCTCTCCCTTTCTTCAACCGTCCGCATGATCTTTTTATTATATATATATATGTATATATGTAAAGAAAATACTAAATATTAATAACTACCAGGCACGGCGCAACAACAATCCACCGCGCCCCCGCCCTCCCAGAATCGGCCTACACGCAGTCCCTCAACGCGGGGCTGCCCCCGCCGCGGCCGACGCCGTCCTCGGTCCGCTTCTTCTCGGACTACGCCCGCGTCTTCTTCCACCCGCGCTCGGTCGTGCAGCTGCACGAGCACGAGCTGCACTCGTCGATCGCGCCCTTCGAGCGGCACGCCGCCGGCGAGGAGCTGTTCGCCGCGCTCGACCGGGAGCACGACCTGCTCGACCGCGACCTGCGGCCGTTTGTCGAGGAGGCCGACCACATGCAGGGCGTGCAGGTGTTTGCCGGGTTTGACGATGCCTGGGGCGGCTTTGCGAGCCGCTATGTCGAGCGGGTCAGGGATGAGTACGGGAAGGTCCCCGTGTGGGTTTGGGGTCTGCAGGAGAGGATGGGCGGTGTTGCGAGGGTGAGTCTTTTTTTTCTTTTCTTTTCTTTCTTTTCTTTTTTTTGTTTTGTTTTGTTTTGTTTTGTTGTGTCTTGTTTTGTGTTTTGGGAGAAAAAGTCTTACTGATCCGGGGGTGGAAGCGGGGGAATATAGGACAAACGGCTGTTGAGGCTGGCCAACAAGGCAAGGACCCTTACCGAGATATATAAGCAGGCTTCGGTTGTGGTGCCGCTGGCTGTGCCGGAACGGTTGCCTGGCGCTGGGATACAGCTCGACCCGGCTTCGCGGTGGCATACGTCAGCGCTGCTGGCGGCGGCCGTGGAGAGCGCAATGCTGCCGTCGAGGTTGAAGGACGCGGCGAGAAGGGAGACGATGGGCGGGATGGCCGACGTGCTGAATGCCATGGGGAAACAGAGCGTTGCCGGACTGCAGATGAGCTTCGCCCGCTCTGAGTCCAACGCACAGAAGGACACCAGGCAAAGGAGGCTGACCGAGGAACAGCTCTCGGAAGGCGTGCAGCTTGATATCCGATTTACGCCGTCAGATCAGCTCGACTTGTACTCCCGGTCTAACGGATTCGACAGGCCACGCGTGTTTAGCCAGCTGATTGCCTCGCGGGGGTACGGCGACGAGGAAGCCGAGCAAGCCGAGGAAGTGGAGATGGACGAGCAAGGACGGCGTGTGCGGCGGAGCGCTTACGAGCCTGTAACCAAGAGGTATGTTACAGCCGTCATGGAGAGAACACTTCTAAAGGACAAGAACTGACTCCAGACACAGCTACAACTCGCCTCTCAGATTCCCTGTCCTGGATAGCTTCCCTGAGATATTTAGAGCCGATGACGGCGAGGCACTGACGGGAGCTCTGGATATCACGACCAGCTTGTCGACGGATTCGTCTGTGTCTAGCCGGCTGAAGCAGCTGCGGACGACCGTGATCCGCTCTATTGGGCTGGAGGACCGTGAAACCCTCGGGAACGAGCTCATGGAGATGGCGGACGAGTACCACGAAGGATGGTCGAGCGGGAGTGACGACGGTGAGGATGATTAACACGCAATCACAGGATGGTCACTCCCTGAGTTGTTTGACTAAGTCACGTTTTGGGCAACGTCGAACATCTTATGATATATATGGCAAGATGCGCCGATTGACATGCACCACGATATATCATTCCGGATTTGGGGCGTTGCCGTTGTCAACTATACCTCCAGACGCTTCTCTCAGGTTGGGCACACCTGACTTGCCCTAGGATCGCTCTTGAGTGCATTTCGCGGTTCCGCTGTCACTGGATGGTCTGCAGACAACGGACCCAGCACGACACGCGCGATGGGCGGAGAACTCAGCTTCTTTAATGGGGCAGCTTGTGCCCCCAAAACCTAGTGTCTATTAGTCTAGGAAGATCTAAGGTAGTTACAACATTCCATACACATGCGAATCTGGCACATGTCCAGTCACCCGAATCGATCGCTTGGCCTTCCCCCGCCCCAACTCCTTCTGGACTCCCGCTCGTCCAACCGACGTTCGATCCCATATGCCCTCACTCGGTCTCCCTGGCTCCTATCCAGCTGCCGCAGTGGCCGTCGTAGTAGGCTGCTGCGCGGCGGGCGCTGTGCCCTGAAGATGAACCTGCCTCTTGGACGGAGGTTGCTGCTGCTTACTCGGCTCCTCGGATGCAACTCGCTTAAGGCTCCTCTTGGCCGGCCGGGGTCGCACCTCGCCGGGCTCGAACACATCGTCGGGCAGCGCCGTGTTCTTGACGTGCTGAATCGACAAGAACATAATCCCCTCCTCGTAAATATCGTTGGATGTGCACATGGCCTTCCAGTCGTTCACTTCACGCGACAGGTCAAGCGACTTGGCCTTCTCGTCCAGCTGCAGCCCGATGTAGTGGTTAGTTGTGTATATCTCCATTTCTTCGGGTCCGTCCTTCTTCATTTCCGGGATCTCCTCGAGCTTGACCTCGCTTTCGTCTGCGCCGGGCTCGGGCTTGATGTTCGTTGTCGCTGTCGCTGTCGCTTGTGGCTGGGCCTCTTCGGAATGCTCACGCTTAATCCGCATGCCGTCCTCGGTCTTCACTCCGGGGTCTTCCTGCTTTACCGATACGCCATCTTCGTTTTTGATCTCCTGTTTGATCTCCTTCTTGACCGGCTCGTCGCCATCCGCGGGCGGCTTGTAGAGGTATGCAAGGCTGCCGGCTGACACTACCTCCTCGAGTTCGGCATCGTTCTTGCACCGGTGAACTCTGTCATAGCCCTTGTTGAACGGCCGTGCTAGAGCGATCGAGGGATGCATTTCGATCTTATTGACCAGCACGCGCACCCTCGACTCGATGAACCCGGACCAGGCGTTCTGCGCCTTCTTGGTTCTGCTGGCAGAGATCACTGTGAGGTAATACCGGAAGCCTGAAGTGAAGAAGTTATGCTTCGTGAAGAGGTCTTTCCATGGTCGCCTACCCAGCATGATCTCTTCTGTTACCTGTGCTCCCTTCTCGAGCTCCTGTTGGATCACCGCCATGGAAGACCTGCCAATGTTGTGCGTAGCACACATCGACGGGTAAGACGGTGTGATTATCGGCATCCTGTGGTTCCTATCGCTAGGATAGATCTATGCTGTCTGTGTGAGAGAGGCATCAGCGTCAACCGGGGCCCGGGGGCAAAACACACCTTGGGATTCCACACGGGCACTCGCGTGACGGGGCACCCGTATTCGATGTCCTTTAGAAGAACCGGGAGAGGCCACGGCCATTTAAGCAGGATGTTGAAGAATTTGTTCACCACAACCGCACTCGTGGCCTTGGGATACAGCTGGCATACCCGAGCAACGAGCATGGCCCAGGCGACACCTCCAGGGTAGCCCATGATGTTGGCGTAGATGGCCTTCCGCTGCGCCCAAAGCTTGATGGCTCGCAGCGCGAGCTTGAACGTGGCCGGCTCAGGAACAAGGCTCAGGATTTCATCCGTCACTCTCGTTCCGTTCAGCGAGCGCACTTCGTTCTCGCTCAGGCCGCGTAGTAGATTGTTGTCGGCTAGACTCCAGTTTTTGTCGGCTGGCAACTGTTTGAGTGTCTGAATGGAGCAGAAGATAAGATCTATGCTGATGCCAGAGAACTCAAACTTGATGATTGGCACGAAGGCCTCCGGCACCGGGGTAAGATCCGTGATGGCACCGGGCGGCGCCATCTCGACAAGCAACTCGGGGAAGAGGCGGAAGTACTGATCTACCGTGACATACTTCGGGGCGACCACGAGGGTGTCCATATCGGAGCCAGGCCCGTACACACCGAGGCGGTAACTTCCGTATGTAAAAACCCTGCCAATAGCATCGCGGATGAGGAAGGTGTTCTTGGGCTCCTTTTCTTGCGCTGCCCTCTGCACGAAAGCATTCGTAATCCTCTCAAGCTGACGGAGAACCTCCTTTCTCTTTTCGGTCTCGGCTGGGGATTCAAAAGTGCCTTGCGCTCGCAGCTCCTCGTGCAGCGCTCTATTCAGCTGTTTCTCTCGCTCGGTCGGCAGTGCCGTCGAAATGGGCGGCGTCACGCCGTAGAATCGTTCCGACATGGTGAACGCCGAGCGTAGCTTGAAGTTCGATTACGCGTTTGCTAGAGGCAGGTGTGATGGGACGTAACCTCTCCGAAATGAGTGCGCGTGGTGTGAGAAAAGGCGTAGAGAAGGAATGGGAACTCGAAATTCGAAAAAAAAAGTAGGAGCAGAGAAAGGGCACCACCCTCACAGCATTCAAGTCATGGCATGGAGATGGCGACAGCGACAAAAGTGAGGCGTTAAATTAAGAAATGGGCACTCGGAATGACCGCCACAAGAGCTGAAGACCTCGCCTGCAAACAAACAGAGAGATAGATCAAAGGCAGCTGAGCCTCTGAGGTGAGATCGGATTGGCGCGTCTGTGGCAGTGCACGGGCCTCGAATGTGTCGCCGTATTGCTCCCTTACCACAGAGGTACTACGTACCTAAGGTAGTTCATAACGTTCGCACTGTCCAAGCATAATATCTTAGCGTAGTAGGTACTACCTAGTTAACTGTGTATAGAGGAATGCGCGGCTCTAACGTAACGGAATAACTGAATAGATTTACGAGCATCATATAGGCTACTTGGATCCAATATACTGGAATTCTGTATAGCTAGCCTCATGCCGAATTTCCATGTGTGAACGCGCTGCGGTTCGATACAGGACAGCGTTAGCACAGTTAAGGTAGAGTACCTACTGTAGACTAACGCTCAGATTGTATCACATGAAAACCAGACCCCCCACATCCCGTCAAGCCAGGTCAGCCAGGGAACTCAACCCTTCCAATGCGGCTGGGATTACCACCGGCGCAATTCGGCCTGCAACGATCCCTACCGGAGCCTCCAATGGGGACGAACAATGAGGAAAACAATACTGCTCTGCTTCATCCACGGCTTCAAGGTGCGTACCCAGGTTCAGGCTGGAATCAAACCTTTGCGGTCCTTCGGAGGAGGGTTAACAATAGACTAGGGGGATGAATCGACCTTTGGCAAGAACTATGCCTTCGTCGAGCATCTGCGCAAGCTGCTTGCGGGGGCTCTGCCCAAGGTAGACGTCCAAGCCGTGGTCTACCCCAAGTACGAAACTCGGGGTGAGCTCGGCGAATGCGTGACACGATTCAGCGACTGGTAGGCAGCCAGTTTATACTCCCCCCTCCCGTTCACCCGCACCGGCATTGCTAAGACAGGACCGACAACAGGCTCCTCAACAAGGTAATAGATCTCGAAGTAGCGGCCGGCACCCCGTCGCCGACCATCGACCCTTCGGTTCGCGTAATCCTAGTCGGGCATTCCATGGGCGGGATTGTCGCAGCCGAGACCGCCATCCGCATCTCATCCGAGCATCCCATCCACAACAGCGTTGATGAAGACAACCCGACCAAATCCTCCACTGACATGCCTCCTCCCCCCAACACACTCATGTTCCCCTACATCCAGGGCGTCCTGGCCTTCGACACACCTTTCCTCGGCATCTCGCCGGGAGTCGTTGCCCACGGCGCAGAATCGCACTACGCCGCCGCATCAACTGCCATTGCCCAGCTAAGCGGGCTGGCGAGTCTCTGGGGCGGGGCGAACCCTGCGAAGACGACTGCAAATGCGAAGGTCGCCGGTGCGCTTCCGCCTCCACAGCAGGGAACCGGAAACGCCGACAGGGGGAAAGGGAAGGAGGCGCCGGCAGCGGCGAGCAAGAACGGCGGCTGGGGAAGTTGGGGTTCCATCGCCATGGCTGCGGGAGCGATCGGCGCCGTAGCGGCAGGCGGAGCGGCGGCGTACCTTAACAGAGAACAAATCAGCCAGGGGCTGGGCTGGGTAACATCGCATCTGTCTTTCGTCGGGTGCTTGGCGCGTAAGGAGGAGCTGCGGCGACGCGTGGCATATATGGTGAGGATGAATAGGGAGTTGGGCGTTGGGTTCGGGAACTTGTACACGCGTCTGGGTCAGGCGGCGGGGTCGAGGCAGGTCAGCACCGTCAAGACGATCCTGGGGAGTGAGCGGACGTTTTGTGTCGTGCCGCAACGGGATCAGGCCGGGGATTGGCGGCCAGCGGTGAATGACAAAGCCACGGACGAGATCGGGGCTCATGTTTGTGAGTATCCTTGCCAACACGGGCGTCCGAAACTGTGAAACTGACAGCTTGCAGCTATGTTTGAACCGAGCGAGAATCCGGATTATCAGAAGCTGGCGAACGAGGCGAGGGACATGATCGCAAGTTGGCTTCGCAATGACTGGTACGAGAGTAGTTCGGCTGATGAGATCCGCTCATGAGGGTATCAATATGCTTTCCTTTGGGAGCGGCGGTTCTGTTCATGCCATAGACATTACGCGTTATGATAACCTTCCCCTGACGGGTTTTCTATGTCTGTTCCGGGTGCCCGTTTCAGTAATAAAGCATGCTCAAAACGCCGGACCGCCACCAAGCTCCGCAATAACCAGGAGACTTGGGGCAGCTGCCATTGCCCTGCATGGAAGCATCTATTGTGTCTTCTTCTGCGCCGCGGACCTGCCGACTCCGAGGTACTTCCTCCGCTGCTTTAACATGTGGCCATACAGAATGACCGAGCCTAGACATACTTATGTTAGCCCGGCTCTTTCCGACTTCACTTCTTCGTAGCTCACCCGGAATATACGACAACACCACCGCCGCGAGCGCGTAGGGGTACCAAGGTGCCAGGCTCGATGCAGGCCCAACAATCGCCCGCAGCGCCATAGCCACCTCGCTGCTGATGCCGACCGGATACAAAATCAGGAACGCGCTGTACCGCAGCCAGTGCAGCCACCCGGGGACGGCCTCGACCTGCTTCAGCGCAAAGTAGGAATACCGCATCACCTCGGTCAGGCTCCAGGCGCACAGCATCGACGAGTACCACGCGCTGGTGTTGAGCTGCGGGAACGGCCAGCAGACCGCCCACATCAGGAAGAGCCGGCTGGCGACCTGCATGGAGGTTGTGAAGACGGGGGCTGGGACGACGCCTGCGAGCCCGCTCGATAAATATGGGTCAGCTTCGGGGAAAGAAAAGTGGGGGAGGGGGCCGAAGACGGGCGGTGCCGGTAGATGAATAGACGCACCCGTGAGAGCATGCAGGATCTCCATGATCGCACACGTCTGCGTGATGCGTGTAAAGTTGTCGACCACCAGCGGCACGAAGAACGGTGCGCCCTTATAGCCCAGCACCGCGACCACCCGCCCGAGGATGGTGGCCCAAGCAATGGCGGAGGCGGCATTGTAGAGGATGAGGTAGGCCTTTTTGGGGCCGGAGCCGTTGGGTTTGGCCATTGCGTTGTCTGTCGCTAATATGCCGGTGTCTGTCGAGAGCAACGCCAGGACTCAATGCTGGGCTACCTTATGAGGTGTTGAGCTGAAGGCCGCCTGCAGGTTCACAGGTGAAACCAAAAAAATTGTTGAGGCGACGGCATTTTCCAACCTGGAAGTTCCGGCCCCTGTTCGGACGGCCCAACCCGTCGGCGCCCGCGGGCGGGTTGCTCCAGCTAACCGCTCTCAGTCGCTGTTACAGGGGATCCCAGCCCACAATTAGCGCTAATTTTGAAGGAGGCAGGTGCTGTGGAGATATGTCCGGCCGGCACGCTGGGCCGCTACCTTACCTCTAGCTCAGGCTAGGTTTCTTTCCAAGGATGATGACGGGAGGCTGTCCACGAGCTCTCCCTCAACCTTAGAAATTCCATGTGCCCTGCCCGGCGCCGTGGATTCTGAGTTGGATCTGTGTAGCAGGCGGCTTACAATCGACAGAAGGACTCAGGCCATTGGGTCCTGAGGCGGTAAGCTAGGTACTACTACCTAAGCGGCAAGTGCAAGCGCGACAATTCGTCATCTACATCAAATGTCAGGACGGTCAGGATCCTAACCCATGGGATATCAATCTTTGTCGACCCAAGTCCTGTGACTTCCCGAAACTCCGTTCCATCCATTATATGCCTTACTCCCTTCACCCGTTCCCGGTGTGACATCTCCAGTCACTGCCCTGCAGTGCCACGGGAGTACGTAAACAAGCTCCAAACCGGAAAACCGATCTGATCCCACATGGCTTCGCCGCCCCGCGCACGTTTACTTCTTCGTAACAGCCCGCCAAAGATCTCCCAGCCCCTTGCCACCAAACAAGAACTCATCCGAGTGCCGGCCACAGTAGCTGTGGGCGTTCACCTTCCTAGGCGGAACGAGAGGTGGTCTCTTCGCTGCTTGGGCGCCGGGACTGCTGCTGTCCTTCCGTCCCCACAGCAAGGGTGAAGAAGTAGAGATGGACGTGGGCGAGGCGTAGCAGTCGCCGCCTGAGAAGGTGCCGGATTTCTGGGACACATGTTAGTTAGCCTTCCACCAATGTTTCAGCTCTGGCGTGAGAAACCGAACACTAGGGGCATACCGCGCTCTCTGGGGACTTGGGCGTCCCTTTGACAGGGTTGGTAGCAGCCCTGACGGGCCCAATGTCGAGCGGGGGTGGAGCAGGCACGCGAGAGGAAGCGTCCATCGAAGTAGGTAGGAGGCTGCTGAGAGAGTTGGGCTAGTGGGCAGGGGCTTTAATAAGACGGCTAACCGAGCGGCCGTGCTGCAAGATCCAGGGACCGTTGCTACCGATCCGGATCTGATGAAAGCACTAATCGAGCACTTTCGGGAAGATCTAGGGGCGAACTCAGACGATGGTTGGGCGAGAAGGTTTGCACTGCCACCACCAACGGTGCGACCCGGACTTTTTAAAGTGCAGGGTGTGCCTGAGATGGGAGGGGAGTATGTGAGTACAGGGAAGTAGTAGCAGGGAAGTAGTAGTAGGGAGGGAGGGGGAATCGAATAGATAAAAGGAGGGGAAGAGCAGGTCCGAAAGGCTGACAGAAGGCAATACCAGAGAAGCAGCAGGCAGCAGGACCCGGCAAGGTCGCAAAAGTCCTACAGGTCCACGGGTATTTGTACCTTAGTATGTACGTACCATTCCCTACAGAGTACCTAACTTTCCTGGTACAAGTACCTACGACAGGTATCTGTGACCTAACCGATGAGGGAAGAGGAACTATGCATCCATAGGTAGACTCGCCGCCTTTTCCGTTCGATTGTTGAGTTTTGCTCATCTGGGCGTTCCCCCAAGTCTGGGCATTTTGCCCAGTGCCGCCCCAGGATCCCCGGCGTCAACCGTCATGACGGCGATCCGGTCCACCTTTCTCTGTCCACGTGTAGATCCGTCTGGCGAGCTGGACGCACCAGTTGAGGACACCACTGCGCCGCTTGTGGAACGGGGAAACGTCTCATCCACCCTATAGGGCTGCATGCATTCCGGTCCCGCCTCCCCCATCATTAGCCGGGATACGGCACAGAAACTAGCTTGGGATGTAACGTCGTGCGAACCACACACACAGCGGGGAATGTGGTTCGCAAACAGGCGACTACACTCTTGCTGTGTACAGCTCCCGTGACCGCGATAGATCATAGCAGCGTACCATGGCCTCCTGATTCTCACCGCAATAGGCGGCGATACCGAATCCCGCTCAACCAGAGGAGGCAGCAGGGTCCGGGACGACCCCGCTTCTTGATAGGTCCTCATGCATCTTACGGTGGTTCATAAATAAGCATCGCCGTGCTTACTGACGTTTCAGACTGATCTTTGGATTGGACCTAGAGCCCAAGGCCCCAAAGGTTAGTCACGCAGTCTGGTAAGCAAGTGTGCGGTAGCGTCGAACGCTTCGTCTGTTGGTATCTCCGTCTATCTAGTCCTTGTCTAGCCGCACTGCTGGATTCTTTTGGATGAAGTTGAGATCGACCTGGTGGCCGAGTAGCTCGCGTATGTTCGAAATGCCATATTTGATCATGGTTGGTCTCTCCAAGCTCAAGCCGAAACCGAACACCCTCATATCCTTGGGCAGACCCATAGCCTATGGTCTATGTTAGTCTTTCGGTTCCTGCTCAGTCCTTTCGGTTCCTGCTCAGTCCTTTTACGGTCAGAAACACATACCTCCAGCATTTCTGGCCTGAAGATGCCTGAGTTGCCGATCTCGATGAGCTTGTTGAGTCCCTTGTGGTACGAGAAAATCTCCATACTTGGCTCGGTGTATGGATTGTACCTGCGAGACAAGAGTTAACACCTGCGCGTCCCAGATGCTCCTTGGAATCTACTCACGCCGGCTTGAAGCGGAGGTCGGTAACGCCCATCGCCCCGAAGAACATCTCCATGAACTCCATCAGACCCCCCAACGTCAGCCCGTAATCGGCAATGACGCCTTCCACCTGGTGGAACTCGCAGAGATGGGTAGCATCGACCGTCTCATTCCTGGGCAACTGTGAGCATCGCCATCCTGGGCTGGTTTCATCGTTATTCTTACCTGAAGACGCGGTCGATCGAGAAATACCGAGCTGGACGGACACGCCCATCCTGCTTGTGCCCTGCCAGCTTATGCAACATGGCCGCCGAGACGGAAGTCGTGTGTGTCCGCAAGACGAGTCTGGCTCGAGTCAGCCAAAGACATCAGAGACTGGGCACATGGTTACCCACCGCAGCGATTCATCCTCGGACCAGGGGTACCGATACCCGATAGACCCATATTTCCCGGATTCGTGGACCTGTCTCACGTTCTGGAAATACGCCTCGTAATCCTGCTTATCGTCCGCAGACACCGGCGCGGGCCTGCCTGCCTTCGGCGGGTCTGAGACATAGAAGGTGTCTTGGAGGTCGCGCGCAGGATGTTGCTGGGGCACGAAGAGAGCATCGAAATTCTATCCCAACCCCAAAGTTAGCAGTCTAGCCGGGCCCCGAGTAGAAACCGTAACCACATACCCAGAACCCCGACTCGACGAACTGGTTTGTAGGCATCTCCGTGAAGCCCATTTCGAAGAAGATTTGCCTTGCCAAAATAGTTCAGCGATCAGAGACCTTTGACCGGAAGCATGCTTGGACGAAAACTAACCTGAACTCCTGCCGCACCTTGTTTAGGGGGTGCAAAGCGCCAGCGTGCTGATCGGCGCCCAGGGCATTGAAGTTGTAGGGTTTGAAGGTTGCCGTCTTCCAAGAGCCGGATGCCAGCATCTCGGCCGTCAGGTCTGTCTCTTCCTTCACCATCTCCAGCGCAAACTTAGGACCCTTGCTTATCCTGAAGGAGATGACTTTCTGCATCTTCAGCAGCTTGCGCTTCTTCAGGTCGGCAATGATCTTGGCATCGTGCGTGCGCTTTTCCTGAATCACCTTCAACTGCTCCCGGGTCACATCGTTGATGGAGTCGACCTGCAATGGGCGTCAATGCTCGGATCTCCAGCAAGATCTTGAAGTAAGACGGCTCACTAATGCAACGAGCTTTGCGCCATCCTTCTTGATCCACTTCTCCTTGAACGCCTTGCCCTGGCCCACCTTCGTCACCGTCTTGTCCCCGATCTTGCTCTCCAGATCCTGGATCGAGAGGCCGTCCATGGCCTGCCGCACCGCCTCGAAGACGCGGGCCTCATGGCTGCCATGGCTGACAATCACCTCGGCCTCGGGCTCCAGAAGAGCCTCCTCGCGCTCAACCTGCTCGTAGGCGACCATAGACCGGGACGCAAGCCGGTCGAGGGCGGCTTTGATTGACTCGAACGGGACATCTGGGAAGGTCTCGGTGGACGAAATCGGGTCTGCTTTGGACAGGGCCTGGAGGATGTCCGAGGTGAGGTCCCCCGCCGGATTGCTACCCGCCGGAGCCATGTTGTGCCAGGTGGTGTTGCTAAGGTCGGTAACCGTCTTCGAGAACTGCCAGTGTTGACTCAGACGGCAGAATCGCGGGGCAGTGGTGTTTAAACCCAAGACCCACTTGCCCGTCGCATCAATTTTAGGCGGGGTCAAAGACCGCTAGATGCATAACCTTCCTCTATAACGAAGTTTCATCGCGTTGTCCAAGAAACATATCGTTGGCTAGATCTGGATGCCTCTCTCGAGCACTGTCACCATTTGAAGTTTGGGAATTGTTATATTCCCATTTACGCTGAGAAAGTATTAGCGTGAGAACTGAACCGTCACAGCGATGGCTGGTTCGACCCCTCCAAGTCCCATTGTCAACCCTCTTGAAAGACGATAGCGCATGGGCGCGTTTCAGTGAATGGTGAGCTTGTGTGCAGAGTGGTTCGAAAAGCTTGATTTTTGGTGTCGGGGACTAACAGCCAGAGCAACAAGTCGCCAGCTCTTACAAAATGGTTTACATTCAAATGCAGCTTCAGGATCCAGAGATCCCACTCCTCAGACCGCACTAGTAGCGTAGTCAATTGGCTTTCTCGCAGTGTATTGATGGTACTGCCTTATCATATTCCCTCCCTTGGACAGTGGCTGTAATAGATACCGTTTCTGGTAAACGGGCGATCGGCTCATTGTTCCAGGTGTCAGCTTCCTGCTACGCCCAGTCATGGGAGGATCTGTAAATATTGCTGCCAGCGCGAAAGCCTCTGTTCTCGAGCATTAGGACCCAACATCTTATACATGCCCAGCAACAAGAAGCGCTTTCGGCACTTGCCTTCGATCCGCTGTCCCCGTCACAGGAGGCCAAGAGTGGAGCTCGGGTACGTTACCCGCGAACCTTGGTATCTCGTCCGTTTAGGGATCTCAAGCGGCAAGCTAAACGTGCTTCGACTGCAAGGGTTTCTGTGGCAGCTTCAAATGATATTGTCTACATACCGAAAAGTGATTAAATCTTGGACAGCATCTACCACTGCGGACAACTCAGGGGTCAGGGATCTAAGGTCGAGCCGGTGGTAATTTTTGAGGAGCAGCCTCTAGTTGACTCTGGGTTAACACTATAGGTGGCCGGTGGATTGATGTTGGCCGGCAGAGCCGTTGGATTCCTGTCAGAATTCACGATTCACGAGATGACTGGGCACTCTCTCGTATTTCTTGCACCATGGCGTTAGTAAAAGTGATAACAAGGAGGATAGGATGAAGGGCAAAGAAGCTCACAAGACGTCTGGGTAGTGGCCAGATCTATCATCTAAGAGTGGATCGGTGATCATATTCTTTCCACCCCTTTCTTGACCACACTTGGGTGCGCAAAACCCCGGGCTAAAATCGCAGTGCTGCAGTCTTCCGACCGGCGACAGACGTCCCATTGGACTCTCTCATCAAGGATAGTATTTCATTGCCAGGACCTTCGCCGCGCTCATCTACCAGCTGTGGCGCTGTGTTTTCACTTCAACATCCATGAGATCGAGGGAACCACAATGCCTATGCGGACGATCTGGCGAACAATGGCAGCATTACTCTAGATACCCAAAATCTGCGTAACCACTTAGAAACACATTGATTTGCTCCCGTAACGTTATGTGAAGTCTTGCGAAAATAATGCCCAACAGTACGGTGCCGGGTCTCATGCATTAAAAATTGTAAAGTTCGTATATCCATGTGCCGAAACGCTGTCCTACCCCGTCTGATGCAGCCTACGCCTTCGCATGATGTGCAGTCCATGAGCCGAGGCGGATAGCCGTCCAAACGCCGCAAGGTCGGCAGCCTTGTCCCAGTACCCAAGAGGCCGGAATGATATAAGAGCCATACCCATCATGTACAGAAGCCCACATGTCACGAGTCAGGAACCGCACCGTCCTTCAATCCTGTGATACGGTTTGCTGTTCTGGTTAGCACTCGGCCGCAAGCGCCTATCAAGCCTCCAAACTCACCGAAAGCCAATCCATTCCTTCCTGGATCCCCGAACCCTCCACCGCACTGCACGCCATGATGCTCCAATTCCTGTCCCTGAGTTCACCGAGTCGGAGCGCTTGTGAGATGTCGGCCGCACCCTTCGCCCCTGGTTGATCCTGCTTGTTCGCAAACACCAGGAGAGCTGCGTCTTTCAGTTCTTCTTCGTTCAGCATGGCCGCAAGCTCATCGGCAGCCGTCTGTAGACGCTCGATATCGGTCGAGTCCACCACGAAGATGACAGCTGCCGTGTTCGCATAATAACACCTCCAGTACGGCCGAATGCTTGTCTGCCCACCCAGATCCCAGACATTGAAGTTGAGCTTCCCGTATGTGACAGACTCGACGTTGAACCCGATCGTCGGTATCGTTGTTACGACTTCGCCGATCTACACTCCATGTTAGACACTGCGCCTTGCCTTGCGGCAGCGTGAAACCCACCTTGAGCCTGTATAGGAGTGTTGTCTTTCCAGCATTGTCCTGAGGATCATAGCCCAGTCAGTAATGTAGGGTGTCTCGGGAGGGTCAACGAGGAGCGCGAACCAGGCCGAGGATGAGGATCCGGATCTCTTTCTTCGCCCAGAACAAGTTGGACAACCAAGACACGCTTTGACCCATTGTAATGTCGCGGTATCCGGTGGCGTCTGAATGTTGCCGCTACGGGAGTTATGGCAGCGAGGCGCGCGGAGGGATAGGGTCGCGGACTTGGTTGGTCGAATCGACCGACTCGGGAGAAAGCAGAACAGAAAAGCCGGCAGCAACCTTGGTCTCGTCAAGCGCGCAATAATATAAATCAAGGCAGGGCGATCCAATACAAGCTCGAAAGCTCTACTGAGGTCCTGACTGCTTAATAACTGGCAGAACTTTCCAGTTTAATGCAACTTTGAATTCTTCATCAGAGGCCGCCGCTTGGTCGAGGCGTTCGGGCCCCTGTCGGAGTCGGAGGATTGGCAGATGCCCAGTGGGTCCGGGCTAAGTCAGGGAAAACAAAGCCACAGTCAGTGGAGTCCACGTCGAGCCACAGCGCATGGCAGACACGTGACTCAGCCACATTCCAATTTCTGGCCCTAGCGTGCGCATTTTCCGAAGCCCACACCAAAATATTCGAATCCAACCCACCCTAGGAACATCACGACATCGACATTGACTCGGTAACCTCGACATCGCAGCCAAAATGCCGGTACGTAACGGCACCCCCCGGTGGATTTGAGAAATCCCGTCGCATGCGACCGCGATTGCAGTGATGGCGACATAATCCCTCCAGGAGCGAGAGGAGGGGTATCAAGGGGACGGCAGCATGACATCCAGAGGCTAACAAGGCGATTCTCACAACAGAGCCACAAGACTTTCCGTGTCAAGCAGAAGCTGGCCAAGGCCCAGAAGCAGAACCGGCCCATTCCCCAATGGATTCGGCTCCGCACTGGCAATACCATTAGGTACGAAAGTCCCCGAGATGACCTGAATTACGCACGACGACTTTTCAACCCGCTTTGGCCGACGAGATACAAGTCCCGTGGACAAGGAGAACACAAAGGTATTAACACAGCTGCTTGAACAGGTACAACGCCAAGCGGAGGCATTGGCGCAAGACCCGCCTCGGCCTCTGAATGCCGTCCTCTTCCTCCCTCATTCGACCCAAACGAACAAGCCCCGATTCTCAACACGGCGAATCACCGTTATTCCCCACCTGGCCCGATAAACTGAACTCTCGAGTCAGTGCGACCGATGGTTTCGTTTTCCACCTGCTGCTAGTGAACGCAAGTATGAGGAGCAGACGAAGTCATGACAAGCACTTCCGGGGGGGGAAGCTCAAGAGCAGGAGCTGCCGCTACGAGAAGAAGAAAGGATGCAAGTGGTAGAGGGCATGGAGCTGCGTGTGCAGTCAGTGAAATTTTCGTCGGGCTGGGTTTCTCTTTATTACGCATACTTGACTGGGAAGTAAATGGGGGAAGCTCGTTTCACTTTTAACGGAGTATGCTATGGTACTTGAGGGTCAAGAGGAAAACGGAATGAGATATGCATTTTGTGGACCTTGCGAAGACGAGTAGTCCATATCCTCTCATAATACTCCGTGTGGCTGCCGTTCTAAATTGGCAAAAGATATCTTGTGTGTTGGGACCTGACTTGAGATCGGAACTCGCAGACAACTGCTACAAGAACCCACGCCTGCATTCCCTGTTGGCTAGGCCGTCATTGCTGCTCGAGTGTCAGTAGGTGGTCCAAGATGACACCATGACGGAGTTTTTATTTATGCTAGACGTGATGGCCGTTTGGGCGGTTGGGAAACCTCGGGATTGCTCCAGAAACCGTTCGTTGTGCGTAACTCGAGCGAGGCTAAGGTTGGAGAACTGCCGCCTCACCACTGGCCATGGTCCATATCATGCTCACAGGGCAAGTACAGGGGAACGGAATCTAATAATGGGACAGCAATGCCTATTCCGCTCTCCCGACCATGGCTGGGCCGTGTATATGATGCAGACCCGAATTGTATGACGGCAGACTAGTTCCTTTGGTCGTCTGATGAATCATCACCGCTTCATCATTGTCTGCACGCCATTCCCAAGCTGCCCGCATGACATGATATGCAGCAGACGCACTTTATCCCCAATCACAAAAGAAAAGGAAGAAAATCAAACACACTACCAAAACGCCGTGGATTGTCCCATGGTTTTGACCAGCACCGGAGAAGAAAAGGACCTGGAAGGCGCGGCTAAAGCTGAGTTCCACTAAGCGCAGGTCCAAAAGAGTGGGTGTTTGGTATTAGAACCCAAGGGTGTGTGAGATCAACGGTCCTCGGCCCACTCATTCTCCCGACGGATCTGCTCTTCTTCCTCAGGGGTAAAGTCGTTTGTGATGTTGAACGTCTTGCGGATCTCTTCGGGGGACTTGCCCTTAATCATGTTCGCAACGGTCTTGCAGCCGACATCTAACAGCGCCTTTATGTCGAGATAGTTTGCTGCCTACAGGACGAGTTAGCTCGGGTGTCCTTGCGAGGTGGACGAATGGTCGGGCCTTTACGCACCAAGATGATCTCGAACAACATCTCCTGGTCGACTTGCATGAACTTGGAGTCCCATTCATCGATGTCGGTCGTCTTTTTTCGATTATCGTTGTCGTCGTCAGCGGTCTGGACCGCATCGTTGCGATGGTGCTCGCACCACTCCAGCACCTTGCGCAACACTGGATCGTTGACGTTGGGGATGGGGATGGGATTATTGAGAGCCTCATCCATTAGGTCCTCGATCAGATTTTTGATGAGCATGGACCGCTCCGCGACCACGCGATCTGTGACATGATTAGGCGGGTCGATTCGGGGGGTTGGGGGGCGGGAGTAAGCAGGGTTGCCATACCGACTTCGATGTTCGTGCCCTCATTGCTGGTGAGCACGAGTTTCTGATTCTTATCCGCCGACATCTTGAGTGAACTCGTTATCTAGAGGAATTTAGATCTTATTTCAGCGTCCGGAGTGGAAGTATGTAGCGGCTCTGAAGGCGAATGTTGGTAAATGATGGTTTTACGGTTGAGCAAGATGGTTGTGATTGGAGTGGGGGAGGGGATGGTTTAATACTTGTCCCAGTGCAAGGCAAGCAACGTGCCTTCTGCTGCTAAGTTTGCGTAAATGCACTGGCGGCAATCTGAGATAGCGTGCGCTCGGACCGGATCGTCTGCTGAGTCTTCCCTGCCTAATAAGATACCTGATGTTATGAGGAGAAGAGAATGATGCTTCGATCTTTCTTGGTGTGAGGTCAGGTAAGGCGCTTTGGTTAGCGTGGAATGAGCGAGTGGCGGCTGCTGCCTCGAAAGGGCCCTCAAAAGTGGAGTGGCTTGTGGGTGCGGTCTAGATGCACGGACCTCCAAGCTCAGGCTCAAATGTGATTGCTGGCATCATGGTTACCTCACCGTATTCATAGGTACTACTGTACTAGTAGTTGAACATTCTTTGCTTAGAGACTTCCGTTATTCGGTGTTCACAGACAATTCGATGCAAACCAAGCTCGTCAGCTTACATCAACGATATTGACAATACAGTGTCAATATTACTCAAACACAACATTAGCCTACTCGCCTGCCCTTGGCCAGGACTGGAAGAATACCGAGAGACCGGGAAGCTGTGCAAGCGCCATGCCGGAACCGGAGCTAACGTTAGTATTTATTATACTAGACTGGTTCAAGCGACTTCCAGATCAGCTCGGCACTTTGGCAGGCACCTAAGTACCTTTATCTAAGGTATGTAAAGTTATCCCTCTCTATGCAATATGTGCTTTCAAGGAGTAAAGAGGCAATGCGGAGTAGCAATATCATGGCTGCTTGCAGACAGACGAAGTTCGCAGACAGCCGCGGCGAGCTCCTCGTTGCTTCGCGCACACGCAACTTGCAGCATGTATGGAATTATGGATACGTGCATAATTATGGAAGCCGGTAGTAGAGTTTGTTGAAAAACCCAGAAGTGGTCTGTGTTCCAATACACGCACACCTTCCGTGGCTGCATTGAATGCCGGTTTGATGCATCCTACAATAGTCTAGCCGTATAGGCCTAGTGCCACTGAAACATGCTCCCCTACTACATGCATATCTTCTGCACCGCTACAACCCTTGCTAGTATATAGCCACCATAGCCGTTGCAATTGAACTGTAATCATAGCTGTCGTAATTGAACTGCAGTCATCACATCCGTCGCAATTGAACTATATGTATCGTAGCCGTCGTAATTGAACTACATGTATCGCAGCCGTCGTGATTGAACTACAGTTATCATACCCGTCGCAACTGAAACTGCAGTTATCATACCCGTCGCAATTGAACTATAGTTACTACAATTAATTCTAGCTATCATAGCTAAGTAATATATATAAGCACTAGTATTTTGTAAGATACAGGTGTGGCTGATAGGAGCACTAATGGCCATAACGAAGTTTTAGCATGTAAGCAGTATGTAGCTAAAGTGAAATGTGCTACGGTCGGTGTGAGCGTATATACCACTCTTCAGGTTTCTCAACAAACTCACTACCGGCTTCCGTATTAATAATAACCGCAATCGGATTCTTCTAACTTCAAGTAACTTGGCGTGAGCTTGCTGAGGCTCATGTGGATCAGCGCATTTCCAGGAACGGGAGGCACGAATGCAAAAGCGCTCACAATCCCTGTCGCAAACAGGAGAGCCAAGCGTGGAAGAAACGAAGAACACACGTCGTCCACTGGCTGTCGCGGCCACCTCCAGCTCTCCCGACAATTAATAACTACTACGCCAAGCCACTTTTCTTACGTCTCGTTCCATCCATCTTCTTCCGGTTGAACCATACCGTCTTCCGATCATGACACCGTGGACTGCTGCCTCGACTTCTTGCTGGCTTGACCTTTTCCTCTCCCCTGCTTTTCCTGGTGATGCTCCCAGGCGCGCAGACGACTGAGCTGCGCATCCTCTCTCTCACTCTCTCTCTGATCGGATGCCTTGAGTCTGCGGCGGCAGTGTGTCGCTGCTAGCGCGCAAGTTAGTAAAAGAATATGTGGCGAAGAACATACCTCTTCCTAGTTCTGGTCCGGCTGTGGTTTGCGCTGTCGCCGAGTTACCTACACCCAGATGAGAACTTTCAGGGCCCGGAGGTTATTGCCGGTATGTACGGGCCGTGTCGACAAGCTTTCTGCGCGTGATTCTTAGAGGGACGGCGAGGCGCTGACAGTGGCGCGCCCAAGGGGAAATCTTTAGCTATCCCGTCCGACGTACTTGGGAGTTTACAAGCGATAATCCGATACGAAGTGTCTTCCCGCTATGGCCGGTTTACGGACTGCCGATGCTCTTATTGCGATGGTTGTGGATAGGCAATGGAAAGGACGGCGAGATACCACCCATCGCCGTTTTCTGGACCCTGCGGGTGCTCATGTTCATCGTCAGCTTTGTGCTGGAGGACTGGGCAATCCACGAGCTGATCAAGTCGCGCCGGCATTGGCGCCTTGCCGTCCTCCTTGTCGCGTCTTCATATGTGACGTGGACATACCAGACACACACGTTTTCGAACTCGATAGAGACGCTAGTTGTGGCCTGGAGTCTGGTGCTCATCGAGCGCATCGTGGAGAGCCCTGTATGCACCCCATAAGTATCTCTAGTTGAGAGCCTGGAGAGCCGTTGATTGACCGCAGGCAGCAGCGGGGTTCGGTTCTCGCCTCGACCGTTCTCGGAGTCGTCGCTGTCTTTGGGGTGTTTAACAGGATCACGTTTCCAGCATTCTTGTTAATCCCAGGGCTTCGTCTTCTGCCCTACTACTGGAAACAGTGAGCCGGTCCGAATCCCATGCGATGGGCATCAAGCTAACCGCACCAGGCCCGTCTCCTTGGTAGCGATCCTCGCGGCTGGACTCTGTACCACCGCGCTTGCGATCATCCTTGACACAGCGTTCTACAGTACCCATCCGATATCCTGGTCCGACCTGCTCCGAAACCCCGTCCTGACGCCTATCAACAACATCCTATACAACATCTCAGCAACCAACCTGGCGAAACATGGCTTACACCCGTGGTATCAACACCTGCTGGTAAACCTACCACAGTTGCTTGGGCCCGGGGCGCTTCTCCTGTTCGCGCGGCCAAAGCGCTCTTGGCGACTTTACTCCGCAATCTCGGGGATCGTAGTGCTTTCCCTCTCACAGCACCAGGAGGCTCGGTTCCTCCTCCCAACTGTGCCGCTTATTCTGTCATCCGTCCGTCTGCCCAGGAACGAAAAGCTGCTGCGAGCTTGGGCGGTCTCTTGGGTCATCTTCAACATCCTTCTTGGGACGCTGATGGGCGTCTACCACCAAGGCGGGATTATCCCGGCCCAAGTCTTTATGAGCAAGCAACCGGATGCTACACACGCTATCTGGTGGAAAACGTACATGCCACCGATATGGCTGCTCAACGGCAAGAATGAGGTCTTGCGCACGCAGGACGTCATGGGAATGAAAGGCGAGATGCTTCTCGCTGAGCTGGACAAGCTGGCGACTTGCGACACCCCGGCGGACAGGAGAAGCATGGAGTACCTGAAGGAGAAGAACGGGACGTACCTGGTGGCGCCACTGTCTGCGACGTGGCTGGACACCTATCTTCCGAATAAAGGGCTCGAAGGGCTGAGATTTCGCGAAGTTTGGCGCTATCAGCAACATCTGAACCTGGACGATTTAGACTTTGGGGAGGACGGCGTTTGGAATACGCTTTCTAGAGTAATTGGGAGGCGGGGTCTTGCTATCTGGAGAGTAACGAAGAGCTGTCCTGGGGCAAAGGGTAAATAGGACGTTAATGTGGGTGGAAGTTTGTATTTCATGAATGCAGCATCCGTTACATGTGTACGGACGGATCATGGATGTTCTTCGAGGACCCTGATGGCCACTGCTCGCCCGCAGGGATGATGAGCTGCAGAGTCCCACTCCCGACTGCGCGGCTCATCAGTGCCCCACAAGCTTGTCGCATTTTGGACTCTTGGGAGTCGATCGACTGACGGAGCCATTCTCGTTCGCAAATACCGTATTACCTATTTTAAGCTCTATCGAACCTCAAGACCACCGTGCACACAGCTGCTAGGCACGAATTTAAGTCCAACATGGGAGGTCTAAACTTGGAGGTGTTCAAGGTGTGTTTGCATAATCACTTTTACCCGGGGTACGACCCATCTAACCACACGACGCCGCTTCTAGTTCGGGATGTACCTCATGTTCCCCATTGGCATCATGTACTACTTCGGTACAAACCTCGATGACCGCTTCAGTGTCCCCGGCTTCTGGCCCAAGCCCGAGCAATCCAACAAAGTTCCTTACGATCGCGAAGAGATCCACGCGGAGCTCGAGAGGTTACGAGCAAAACGACTGTATTTGCGCGAGAAGAGGTTAGCCGCCGAGGCACGGGCTGCTGCGTTGAACCAGAATCAGGAATCCGCCCAGCAACAGCACGAGTAAACTCTCTTGTGAGGAAGACCTGTTTGGTTGATGGCCGAATTGGAGGAGGTGGGGACAACGTCTACCTGCATGACATTAAGAAGCGGCCGCTGATGATGATGTGGAAAATTACGGCGTTTACGGAATAATCTTTGGTCAAGCAAACTCGTATCTCGGATGACCAGACACAGAGGGTTATGGTCTATGGCTGTACTCTAGGAATACATCTATGCGGTTGATTTATATTGAATACTACTGTACAGATACATACCGTCTAATCGCGGTTGTTATGTGTCCAGGTTATCCTCTATCTTCTCCCACTCATCATCGCTCATGGCCCCCTTTGAGACGTTCGAATACACGGCTTGCACCTCGGGGTACTCGCGAAGCGCCTCGAGCAGCTCAGTAAAGTTGATCATCTCCTGCGAGGAGTCTAACTTGGTCTTTGTGTCCTCGTTGGCCACCCAGATGATATCCGAGCTCAAGATCTTCAGACCAAACTTGTCGCCAACCGCCTTGCACACCTGCATCGTCCCCGTTGGCCGTGTCCAGACAACAATGTTCCCGTCCTCGTCATTCTCCAAGTCCTCCGCCCCGGCCTCTATCGCGTCGTCCATGATGTGATCTGCGTCCAGCCCGCTCTCACCCTTCTCAAACACCACCCGGCCGAGGCGCGAGAAGAAGAACTTAGACGAGCCCGACGACCCCTTCGCCCTCTTGACCATCTGGTTCAGGTCCTGCAGAGCCCGCAGCTTGCTCTCGGTCTCAAGGTCAACAATCAGCGCGATGGAAGGTGGCATCATCGCTTCGAAGGTCAGAGGCTCGAGTGCTGCGCCGCCGGACGTCTTCCCCTGTCCTCGCGCGATAGCTGCTTCGATTTTGTCTTTCGGCACGCTGGCCTTCTTGGCTGCGGTGATGGCCGAGGCTAGCTGGGGGTTGTTGTTGGGGTCAGGCCCAAACACTTCTGGCGCGTGAGCCTCAGGAGACGGAGAAGCAGCGGGTGGATGGCGTACGCTTGGAGTACAAGGCGATGTTCTTGGTGAAGATTGTCCGGGCGGCATTCTTCTTGGCGTCGTTTGCCGCCTTGTCATGGCGGATCTTGCTCCATTTGTTATGACCGGACTGGAGCGCGGGACTCGAGACCAATGTGCGGCGGCATTCCGCACATATCAATGGGGGCTTTGCCGGCCGAGTTAGCGGAGCGAGACTGAGAGACCGGAACAGAAAAGCCATTGAGCCTAGATAGTAGAAGCACAGCGTCTGATGAACTGCTATTTCATTAGAGACATATTAGGACGGAAAAGGAGCCGTAGACAGCCCGGGGGAATTCCCGCCGGCGGATTACGAGCAAGAATCTTGAGCGCCGCTTGGAGGTGTTAATGGAGGTTATGGAAATTGATTTTAGCGCGCTGCCTGCCGGGACAGCAGGGCGGGTGCCAGGGGTGAAATGAGCGGCCATTGGTTGAGCTCCGGAGCTACCGTAACCCCACAACTGTTCTTGATGGTTATACCGGTATGGTAAGGTACTGTACCAGGGGCCCCAAGCATTGCGTGTTGCAACATTGATCTCTCGAGGCCCAGGAACAACCCGCAAGAATCAACCTCATATTACTTCACCAGACCGGCCCCCCATGGCCTCGACAGCAGGCACAGATGAGCGCAGTACAGTGAACGGCGACCTTCCGCGCACCTCTGCGGCCGCTGCAGCCAGTTCCAACCCCGAATTCGATGGCGCCAAACTCCAGGGGCTGCCGCCGGAGCAGCAGGAACTGCTCCTCCTGGGCTTCGTCTCGACCCTCAGCAAACATGTGCTCAGCCTCTCGCCCGACGACTGCACGGCCCAGCAGTTTTACCTGAAAAAGGAGGTCCTGAAAATCATCAACCTCTCTACCCCGCCTCCAACGAAGGTCGTCCGCAACGCACTCGGAAAATGCCTGGCGCATGTATTCGGGAAGGGAGACCGGAAGCTCCTGTTCGAGACAGTCAGCGAGCTGTCAGGCATAGTGTCGAGCGGGAAGTTGAAGACTGAGGGCGAAACCCGGACAAAACATGCCGCAGTTACCTGCTTGGGGGACGTGTACGCTGCAGCAGGCGACAGCGCTATCAACCTCCATCAGCTGGCCTGTTCCGCACTGCTGAAGCTCCTGAAGTCGTCCTCCAGCCATGCTGGTCTTCGCGCGGCCGTGTTCACCGCTTTGGGGAAAATCGCGACGATGCTCGGTGGAAGCATGGACGAGGCCATCGCCAGGGACATTTGGAAGCAGTGTCGGAGTTATGCCACAAGCGACAAGGGCTCGCTGGTTATCATCTCGGCGTGCCGCTGCTTGCGGTCTCTTCTGCGCCACACCAATTATTTCCGGACCTCGAGCGACTTTGACAGCTTACGGTCCTCCATGTTCAAGACTTTCGACTCGCCCTCCTCCCATGTACGTTCTGCCGCCGCCGACTGCTTCGCTGAAGCTCTTGTCAGGGGCTATTCCGAGTCCGCCGTGGGAGAGGCGCCCTTGGTATTGCTCAAGAGGTCCAAATCTAAGGCTGTGAAACGGCAATCTATGCCGCCCGGCGCGCTGCAAGACGAAGACGATATCCCGTCGCGACCAGGAAGCCCTGCGCCCACCAAGAAGTCGCAGGTTTTGGCTTTGTCTCTCGAAGACATACTCAAAACCCTGTCGATGCAATATGTCCGCATGTCAACCTCAAATAGAGCAAGGGCGGCAATCGCGATGTGTTACAGCGGCATGCTTCGCAAGCTGGGGGAGAGGACAGTGGAGATCAACTATACGCGCATTGTAGAGCACCTTACGGTAGACCTTTTGGGACATAGCAATGTTTCCAACAACCGCTACCGCCTGTTGATCTCAAGGCGAATGGTGGAAATCATCGTCCAGGATGTCATCGGGAAGAAGATCCTGGGGGAGTCCGGTCAGACCAGTGCGGCGAAGGCGCTCATCAACGATATCATCAAGAACTACCCCCAGGCGCTCAAGGAGAAACCGGAGCCAACCAAGCCAACGCTGGTTGTCTCGCTGAGCGCCCTCGCGTCCCTGATCGAGAGTCTCGGCTCGGCGGCCAACGGCTTTGCGGAAGCGTGCCGTGATGGCCTTCTCCAGGTGTTGCAGCATCCGAGTTACACTGTGCAAGTGTACGCATCGTCGTGCCTGAAGACTTTTGTGCTGGCCTGCCCGCAGCAGCTTCTTCCATGTCTCTCGGTGTGCATGAACAGCCTCAGTAGGGAATTGGGGCTGCTTGGCACCGGGCGGAGTTCTCCCCGCCGATGCATCGGCTTCGCTCATGGCCTTGCTGCCGGCCTCAGCGCGAGTCCGCAGCGGCCTCTCTACGGCTCGGTGGACATAAACAGCCGGGTGCTGACCATGTCCACGAATCTACTCAAGTCAAGTGGTAGCTCCGAGTTGCGTGTGGCCAGCATACAAATCCAGGTCGCCTGGACATTGATCGGCGGCCTCATGTCGCTTGGGCCCAACTTCGTCAAGATCCATCTCTCGCAGCTTCTGCTTCTATGGAAAAACGCCTTGCCAAAGGTCCTAGCAAAGGATAACTCCATCCACAGGAACTATCTGAACGCGTCTTTTTTGACACATGTCCGAGAGTGCGCTCTTGGTTCTATCCTGGCGTTCCTCGAATTCAACAGTCGCCTCCTGACAGTCGATGTGTCCAAGCGGATTGCCACGATGCTGCAGAGCACAACGGCCTTCCTCAAAACACTACCGTCGAGAAAGACAGCAGAGGATATCAGCGAGAGGTTGACGCCGTCCTTGCAACTACAGGATCTAGAGACCATGGTGCAGCGGAGAGTGCTCCAGTGCTACACGAAGCTGGTCAACATAAGTCCGCCTGGCGGCACCGAGGCTCTCCTGCAATCCAACCTTCTCACTCTAGCCATCTCGCTATTTGCTGACCCGGATAACTACACGCCCAGCTCGCTCAGCGCATCAATCGCCAATACGGCCGGCACCTTTGAGTCAGTCTGGGATGTAGGTGACAATTCCGGGTTTGGTGTGACGGGCCTTGTACGGGGCTTCAACATCAGACCGCTTCCAGGACAGCACGAAAGCTCTATGGATCGCACTCCTTCCGGGCGCGAGGGGGCCGAGGAGCAAATCGAAAGGCTCCTGCTCTCGCCCATCTGCGGCACGCTCGAGCATGACGCATCTATCCTCTACATCGGCAGCGCGGACGGACCGAGTCTACCTGATCCTGCGGCTACTGAGGTGGTCAACATGGCGATCCAACTTTTCGCCTTCGTCTTTCCGCTCACGCCGCCCAAGGTCCAGGAGAGCGTGCTGGAGCAGGTCACTACGTTTGTTGCAGCTGGGTCGTTGCAGCGGGATCCCGGTCGCAAGGCCGCCATCAACGTGAACGTTGCCACTGCTCTCCTCTCGATCCTGCGGGTAGCGGTCAAGGAGACAAAGTCGCCTCCGGGGGACGTGACCAACGCGGCCGTCGAGAAACTCATACAGGAGTTGCTCCGGGATTTCGTGCTGGATCGCGACCAGTATGTCCGGAGCATTGCATACGAGGCGATTGCTCGGCTTTGCGGCACTTGCGGCAATGCTTTCACAAACCAGGAGATTAAGTACCTCGTCGATACCATTGTCGTCAACCGAGAACCTAGTGCGAGAGCGGGCTGTGCGATGGCTCTTGGGACCATCCAGGCCAAGATCGGCAGCATGGCGGCCGGATACCATCTGAAGACCATCCTCAACATCCTCCTGTCCCTGTGCAATGACCCACATCCTACCGTCCACTACTGGGCGCTGGAAGCGGTCGCGCGGGTCTCGGACGCGTCCGGGCTCGGATTCGCAAACTACGTTTCGGCGACACTGGGAATGCTCGCCAACCTCTACTTCTCGGAGACCCACAACCCCGAAGTGGCCTTGCCGGCTACCATGAACCTCGAGGTAGAGTCTTCGACGTCAGCAGCCATCGCGCACTGCATTGACTCGCTCATCAATGTCCTCGGCCCTGATCTCCAAGACGCCACCAAGTCAAGAGAGTTGATCCTCACGCTCGTCGGGTATTTCCAGCAGGAAGACGACATAGAGGTGCAAAAGGCCAGTCTCGTCTGTCTGGAGCATCTCTCGTTGTACGCGCCGGGATATATGAACTTTGCGGAGTACGTCAAGACGCTGCAAAGCTATCTCAACTCCGAGCACACCGTGCTGCGTGATGTTGCCGTGGACGGGCTGCACAACTTGATGAAGAGGAACCCCTACGACGTCATTGAGGCAGCAGAGAAGGGGTTCGAAGACCAGCTGTGGCTCGTACTCGATTCAGATCCCGGACACGAAGGCATGCGCAACACCATCCGGAACTGGATGCGACAGACTTGTCTTGCGAACGCAGCTGCTTGGCTTGCACGCTTCCAGCATGTCCTCAAGATGACGAGGCCTAAGGAGACGGTTAAGGACACGGCCAAGACCAAGAAAGCCACTACCGGCATCGACCTCCAAGACGAAGAAGTCGCCGGGTTTGCGGCTGCGGCAGGCGGTGTCAAGGACGAGAAGGATACTCCGAGCGGCTCGGATGTCGAGCCTCTGCGGTGGCAGGTTAGCACCTTTGCTATGGACTGCCTGCACGACATCTTCATTCTCGTTGCCAAGGACGTCACTACCAACGGCGAGTCCGCCGCCCAGGCCGCGCTGCAGAGCAAGATCGCCGACGTCGTTCGAATGGCTTTCTCGGCCTCGACGTCCGGAGTCGTTGAGCAGAGGATATGGGGGTTGAAAATCATTGGTGCCGTGCTGAAGATGTTTGGGAAGACGCCAGACCCGGACTTTGAGGAAGCGATGTTGCTTGAGCAGTACCAGGCCCAGATCAGCTCGGCCCTCACGCCCGCGTTTGCCGCCGACTCTTCCCCTGAGCTGGCCGCCGAAGCCGTCAATGTCTGCGCCGGCTTCATCGCGACGGGCATTGTCACGGACGTTGACAGGATGGGCAGAATCCTGAAGACCTTGGTCAGCTCGCTGGAGAACTTCAGGACCGAAGATGAAAATGCCGGCATTGGCGACCTAAAGGGGCTGAGCTCGAATGCCCGGGTCATGGTCAAGATGGCCGTGTTCGGCGCGTGGGCCGAGCTGCAGGTTGCGAGCACGGAGCAGAAGTATCTGCTCGATGTCCTCAAACCACACATCGGGACGCTGACTCCGCTCTGGCTGGAATCACTCCGGGAATTTGCGCGGCTGCGGTTCGAGCCCGACATCTCCATGACGCTGGGGCCGCCCTCTCTGTCTGGCAGCTTGGATACAGTTTACGCAGCTCTGAACAGGGAGACGCAGCTCAAGTTCTACCAAGATTCGTGGCTGAAGCTGGTCGATGCCATTGCCAGTCTCATTGGGCAGGACAGCGAGTTCGTCTTCGACGCGCTCGACGGCAAGGAAGTCTCGGGCCCCAGTACCAGCGGCGGAGCCAAGGGCCCCGACATCAATTACCGGGATGAGCCAGTCGCCTTCTTCTTCGTGCTCTTCGGCATCGCATTCGAGGCTCTCGCGACCAAACCCGGGCAGAGCGAGTCACTCGCAACCCAAGAGCAGACGCTCGCCATCCTCAACGCACTGAAGAAGATCCTGCACCCAAGCGTGTCTGGCCAAGCAATCTACCGGGAGGCTATCTTCTCCGAGACAATGGACCTTCTGGACCGCCTCGTGCTTACCGAAGGGCTCGACATCCAGGGCGTGATAGTCGAGATTGCAAGGAACCTGTGCCTCGCTCATCCCGCGGCAAGGAAACAAGAGGAAGCCGACAACAACGAGCTGTCCGAAGATATCGAGCAGCTCTTTGAACTCACTCGCATCATTGTCCTGGTCCTCTCCGGGCTCCTGCCGAATCTCAGCGAAAGCCCGCAGCCCACACGCCACCAGATGACCGAGGAAGCGGTGCTACTCATCAAGACAGCACTCAACGCACTGGTCGACGCGGCAGAGGTATTCCCCGCCATCATCAAGACAGACCTCTACGCCTGCATCATCCACATCTTCGCCACCATCCTCGCCACGCCTTTCTGCCAGGAGGTGATCGTGCCTCAGTCCCTGCCCACTCTGAAGCGGTTCATCACGAGCATGTCCAATTCCAGAAAGGCTTCCGAAGGAGCCGATTCGCAGGCCGACACCCAGTTACTGGGCTGCCTGCGACGGATCTTGTCTATCTACCTGCATGCCCAGAAGCGGGACGCCCCGACATCGCTCACATGCGTCAAGAACTGTCTGTTGGCGCTTACGATCCTCTTCACTGGTGGGACAAACCACCTGTCGGCCAGCGAGCCTCTCGTGGAACGTTTCGTCGATGAGGTCCTTGATTGTCTCACGGATCGCATGGTATGTTCTCGTCCCCTTTTCCTCGCCAAACCTTTACTGTCACGTAGGCATTAAACACATCCCGTCTAATCATTTTTCGCAGACCGCTAAGATCGCCGCCAACTGCATCCGCTCCCTCCTCCTCCAGTCCAACCCCACGCTGGCCGACCAGTCCATAGCACGCCATCTCTTCCCGCGGCTCATCGCCTTCGTCACCAACACGGATCCGGAAGACCCCGAAAACGCCCGGGCGCTCGTGGCGCACGCGCTCTGCCAGTATGTGGCCACGCTCTCCAAGGACCACACGCCCATTGCGATGGCCATCGTGCTGCCGACGCTGCTGGCCCGCGCGTTGAGTGAAGGGCAGGAGGTGTATCGCGAGACGAGCGCGCGGTTGTTGGAGCTGGCGTCGACGGACCAGAGTGCGTTCCGCGGTGTTCTGGCGGGGATGAGCGAGGGCCAGAGGGGGTTCTTGGAAGAGGTGATCAAGAGCGGGAGGCAGGAGGACGGCAAGGTACAGAGGGCTGCTGGAGAGGCAAGGGAGCCGACGATTGCACTGAAGATGGATTTTGGCGGGTGAGAGACTTAGAACACGGTGGGTGGAAGAACGATAGAAGGGTTCATGCTCATGCTGCCATATATATAGGTATCTAGACGCTTTATGACGAAATCATGGATGAATATCTATATGCGCCCCCACCCCTGCGCTATGCAACAACGTTCTATGGTGGTATCCCGGTTTCCCTGATGTAGGCCATGCAGATCCACTGGGTTCAGTTCGCGGCTAAAATCTCGGCAGCATCGGGAGCAGGCGTGATGTCGGCCCTGCCGTCGTGCTTCTTCAGCTCCTGCTCCTCCCGCGCCTGCTGGTCGGCCTCCTTCTGCCGTTTGTGGGCCATGAACGTGGCATATCGGATCGTACCCAGCGTGAATATGACCATGAAGATGATGCCTATGACCGACCGCCTGATGAGCACCCACCGCAGGCCCTCAATGTTCGACTTGGAGTCGCTGGTGAGCATGACGCTGATCTTGTAGTTGATTTGTTGTATCTGCCAGCACATAGACACATGGTTAGCGCGTTCACTCCCTCACTCCCTCTCTCACCCAAAAATACCAAAAGAAAATAAGAAAAGATGTTTAGGGTCAAGGAAACATACCCTGCTCTCCACCGCCTTCTGCTCCTCCCGGACCGCCATCCTCCTGTCGTTGAACATGCCGCGCACGCTGTCGTTCAGCGTCAGCAGCTCCTGGTTGAGGCGCTGCGCGAGGATGTCGACCTCGTGCTGCAGGAGCGTGCGCTGCTGCCGCAGCTGCTCGTCCGCCACGCGCCGGTTGTTGTGCACCTCGGCGCTCAGCTCGCTGCACGCCGCCCGGAACAGGTACGTCTCGTTCTCCACGTCCGCCTTGGACACCAGCCCGGACTGCGCCGCGTCCAGGTTGGACGCCAGGATCGTGCGGATCGCCTTCATCGCCAGGATCGCCTGCGGCAGCGTGTACCCGCCCGCCGTCAGCTGCTTGACCAGCGTGTACGAGTCGAAGTGGTGGACGTATTGGGGCGGCTTGAGGTGTGGCGTCTTGTCTGGCGAGCGGCCGGTGTCGGTGGTGGCGGTGCGTGTTGTGCTTGTGCTGGAACCGCCGGTGGTGGTGGTGGTAGTCGTGTCGGCACTCTTGCTGCTTGACGGCGCGGGTGCATCTGCTGAGGAGGGTGGAGTCGTCGACGGTGGAGGGGACAATGAGTCCGGCGGAGGTCCCATATGTAGGATTTCGTCCATCGGGGTGCCCTTTTTGACCTGGGTGGTGGGATTGATGTCTCCTGGCGGGGGCAGCTCGATCGTTGGCGGGAGGTCGGGCGCCGGAGGAGGACTAGGCTGCTGCTGGCTTCCATCGCGCGGTGTGGAAGCTGGTGGTGTCTGGGTCGCCTGTGCCGTGCCCTTCGCCTCGTCTTTCCCTCCCGGTTTCCTTCCTTCGCTGTTTGGCTGCGTCTTCGGGGGTTCCTGAAACGCAAGAGGCTCTACACCCTTCCCGGCCCGCTTGGCAAAGCCAGCCTGTCTCCCTGCTGACGGCGTGGTGAACGGAGCGGCTGGCTGGCAACAGGCGGGCGAAGGGGTCAGCGGCGAGGGTTTACGACGGGAACTCCGCCCGGCGTTCGATGCTGCGTGTTCGCTCCAGCGGCCTCCTGTCCGGAAGAGGTGCGGGTACAGGAAGGTCAGACGGCTTGTTGCCATGGTGGCCGGGAAACTAGGGGCGAGGATAGGGCACGTCGTCGTCACCGATCTCACATGCCGTGATGCTGTGTTGGAGCTGAAAGCGCGATTATTTCGGGCCGGCAGTTGGGATGCATCCAGGGCCACGGGTCCGATCCGTTGTCGCGGACCCAGCCGACTTGATCCTTGGCGGAAATTTAATCGGCATGGTGTGGGGCAGCAGTTGATTGGGCCGGAACTGAAAGTTAGGTAGGTACGTTATCCGTATAGAACTTGCAATTACCAGGGCTTGGGATAACGTTACCATTACGAATCTGTACCTGTACGGTGTGCATTTGTGAGTGTTCAAGCGTAAGGTATGTTACAATACCATCCTTGTACTCGGGTTAGCTGGATCACGGAGACATAGGAACATGAACGGTTCATGGTGCTGGAATAACGCAAACAGCAGCCGTGGTATGCATCAGAATCTATGATGGACATAATACCAAGGAGCCAACGAGCAAGCCCGAATTCAGCTCCGGCCGATAGAAGCGTCCCGTGTGGTGTTGCAGTGTAAGTGCGAATAATTGCATATCTGATACTTACGTTTCAGTGTCCAATGAGAAGTTGACTCACAGGCACACTCGCAGAGCGATGACGGCTGTTGGCCCCCCCTGTCAACTCTCCGGTGAAGCTCTGACCTCGCATGGAATGAAGCATGTCTCACGACGAATCGGCCTGAGGTCTCATTAAATTGATTATGGCTGACCACCTATCCATGCCATTAAAACCATCCAGAACATAGGTAACCTATCAATCAGTCACGCTTTATCCATCTCTCAAATACCAGGTACAATACCTACTAGTTCAGAGCAGCAAAAGTCGCACCTGGTCCTTGTTGACTGGGCTACCAGAGCCAGGCCCATCCTGCTTCCTGTCTGATGAGTCTGATATCAACCCAATCCGCGCCTGACACAAAGCTCCTTGTTCCATCCGGCCAGCGCGTTGCAAATTCGCGGTTTGTGTGACAAACAGTGGGTTGTCTCGAGGGGCGGCCTGGTTTTCTCAATACACGGGCACCTAGTGCCACCTACGCTCTGAGTAAAGTAAGGTATGAATTTAAGCCACAACGTCCCCTTCCTTTTCCCGCCCTTTCTCCTAGATACATTTTACGAACTATTGCTCCCTACCTTACTTCTTTCTCACACGTCACATAGCTGCTCGTTGCAGTCAAGACCCCTTTCATATCAAAGCTTTCAACCCTGTTACAGTCACTTCTTTATCATCGCCATGAGAGTTCGAAGCTCACGCTTCCCCGACAGGAGACCGCTATCAACACTTGCCGATCCCATCGCCCCGGGCATGGACGACTCTCAATTTGGTATGTATCAATAAGTCGGCCACAACAGTTTAGTTGTTTTCGTCATCTAACGACTTGAGACAGATGCTAGACTCACGGACCCTCCTCTTGTCGCGAGGAACTCCAGCATAAAGTCATACACTACATCTCGGGCAACGTACTCGAAAGTCCGGGTCTTCTACAGGAAGCATCAGCATGCCGACAACCTTCCCACCTCTCCTGCACCGATTCCCCTTCTGGTCTTCATCCACGGGCTCGGTGGTTCTGTTGCCCATTTCAACGCTCTGCTTACGAGCCTCACCCCCATCGCCTCATGCTTGGCAGTAGACCTGCCAGGATGCGGCATCTCCGGGTTCGAGCCCCGAGACTGGCGTGCCTATACCACCAACGCACTCGTCGAGCTGCTCGAAAAGGTCATCGAGGACCACCGCGATGCGTCAGCCGGGCAGGGAGTGGTTCTGATCGGCCATAGTATGGGCGCCTCTCTCGCCGCTCTGCTCGCCAACCCGCGGCAACCGAAGACTGAACTTCACAAGCATGTTCTCGGCCTGGTTGCCATATGTCCGACTACAGGAGAGCTGATGGAAGCACGGGCACCCTGGTTCCGCGTAGCACTCTGCATCCCGGGCTTCTTTTTCGACCTGTGGAGAGCCTTTGATAGAATTGGAGGTCTTGAGAGCCCCAGCGTACACCGGTTCGTTGGCAAGTGTGCTGACGCCGAAACGAAGCGGCTCCAGTACATGTTCAACTGCCAGAGCAGGACGCCGGTCTTTCGCCGGATGGCATGGGGCGCGATCCCGGCGCGTGGCAAGGGCGTGGCTCGTGATGGGATAGCAACGTTGCAGACATGGGCGGGCCTAGATATCCCAGTGTTCGTGGTCGGTAGCGAGGACGATCAAGTGGTCCCCCCCAAGATGTCGACAAGATTGCCTCCACACTCGGGAAGAAGGAGGTCCCGCCCGAGCCCGAGATGAACGGTGTTGCGGACAGCAGCGATGACAGCGGAGATGATGCACACCAGACAGCGAGGATTCCAGTGCTGCCTCGGCACCCAAAGAAAGTAGTGGTCAGCACCAAGCTCCCCAGCCCAGCAGGGCACGGCCTGCTGTACGCCCCGCCGACTGTGCCCGTCCTAGCAGGGCTCATCTCGGACTTCCTGTCGACCAATGTTACCGGCCGTCTCTCCCTCGGTTGGCAGCTGCAGTACCTCTGCAAGGACGGGAAGTGGGACGTCAAGAACATCGAGAAGTGGCGGAACGTGGCCCCCGTGTCAGGGCCGATCGGCGGCGTATTCCGCGCAATCAAGACGCTCCGCGAGGTGGACGAGGAACACTGTCCGCGGGTGTTCGTCGAGAAGTGGGGACGCGTGGTCAAGGATGTCGTCGACATCTCACACGACAACCCGGTCTACGACCCCCGCGGTCTTGAGCAGGGCGGCATCCGCTACCACAAGTTCCCCACGCTATCCAAAGTGCCGCCCAACGACGCCGAGATTAGAGGCTTCATCGACCTCGTTGACAAGATTCGGACGGAACAAAAGGAGCGGGCCAGGGCTGAGGCGTGGGCCGACGGTTACGCAATTGGCGTACATTGCCACTACGGATTCAACCGGACTGGGTTCCTGATTGCGTGCTACCTCGTCGAGCGATGCGGGTTCACCGCGAAGGAAGCGATTGACGCGTTTGCTAAGGCCAGGCCGAATGGAATCAGGCATGAGCATTTCAGGGACCGGCTCCATGTCCGGTATTCGGGTGTGAAGAGTGAGGCTTGATTGAGTTGGCTGAGATCTGGGAGTTCGGTTTGGTGTATCATGTTTTGGGGTATTTGAACAAGGTTCTCTGGATTTAGATGGTCATATCGGTCGTTGGTTCAGGCTCAACGGGATAGAATGGGGACCGGTCGCAAGAGTCTGGGTAATTTTGATATCCCCAACAATTTTTGATTCTCTTCTTAGCTTTTTGTACACTATTGATATTACAGCTTCTTGGACATGATATCCCTGGTTACGCTTTGGCGACAGTCAAGAGATAACTCAACCCCATCTCACTGCCTCACACACCACTCTGGCGCAGCAAAGATCACAGCTCCCCCCGAGCTGCCAACCACGCAGCCCCGGAATCCGCCCAAATCTCATACCTCTCCACCCTACCTTGCTCATCAAACCCCAGCACATAGGTGAACACCTCATCCCAGCTTTGCCCTGTGCTCTTCCACGTGAACCTTGCCTCCCCCTTGACCGAAACTTTCCTGGCCTCGGCGTCCACGATGTACTCGCTAAAGCGCATGTTCTCGTAGCTGAGACATTCCGAGATCACAGAGAGGTACTGTATTAACCCTTCGGCGCCCCGGAAGGTGCGGCCTAGGAAGGGCGCTAGTTTGGCCAGGCCGTGCTCGTGGACGAGAATTCGGGAGTCGTTGCGGGTGAAGAGGGGCAAGATCTCGGAGGTTGGGCTGTTGTTGGCGAAGGCGGTGCAGAAGGAGGTTGCAGCCTGGAGGAGGGAGGTTCGGCTGACGGGGTTTTTGGTTTCTTGAGGCATGGCGGTAGCGCTCTAATCTGCAAGAGGAATTTCTGGGTGTTGGCGGTTTGGAATTACCTAAGTAGGTAACTGGTATCTTGGTATTCACAAAGTACCAAAAAGGTTCCAAGACTGCTATGTATGATCAAGAACACTGTATTCAATGAAAGGTCATGAGGGTGCATCATGTGCTCGCGCCAGACCCCTGTTCCCATCGACGTCATGCGCCCAGGCGACCCCGGTGAAGCATCCGAACTGGTGTGCCTGCAGCCTTAACTACCGATTGGGTCTTGGCCTATTCGGCCGGGGATGCAGGGGCCGAATAGGAGTCAACTTAAACCGAACGTCAGCCCCGGGTCCCGAGGGTAGGCAGCGGTCCCTTCTTTTGACGGACCAGCAGGTACCCCATTCCTACTAGTACTGCTCTCTTTAAGCAAAATGGTGTGTTCGTGCCAAACAGTCTACTTCCTCTGGCCGCAAACAAAAGTAAACATCATTCGCAGGATAGGCGCTAACACAAAACAATACAGTCCCCGAGGTCGGAGCGGACACCGCTCCTCGCGGACGACCCGAACAACCCCGATGACTCGACCCGTCGCACCGAAGAAGATGGTGCCTCCTCCCGCCGCACCGGTCGGCGCGAGGTCTTCCTCTTCGTCTGGGCTCTGCTGGCGACGGCAGGCGTGATCGTCCTGGGCGTCGTGCTCCAACACCGCACTTCCACCTCGGCCTCTCCGCCGTCCGTCATCGCACCAGGCGACCCCTCCGCCGGCGGACCGTACACTCTTCCGCCAAACACCAATACCCAAAAGAAGAAAAACCCAACCAAGCGCAACCTCATCTTCATGGTCTCCGACGGGATGGGGCCCGCCTCGCTCTCGTTGACGCGCTCCTTCCGGCAATTCACCTCGGACCTGCCCATCGACGACGTGCTCACGCTGGACGCCCACTTCTGGGGCACGTCGCGCACGCGCTCGTCCAACAGCCTGGTGACGGACTCGGCCGCGGGCGCGACGGCCTTCTCGTGCGGCAGGAAGAGCTACAACGGCGCCATCGGCATGCTGCCGGGCTACCGGCCGTGCGGCACCGTGCTGGAGGCGGCCAAGAGGCAGGGGTACAAGACGGGCCTCGTGGTGACCACGGACGTGACCGATGCCACGCCCGCGTGCTTCGCCGCGCATGTCGCGTATCGCATGCAGATGGACGAGATTGCGCTGCACGAGGTCGGGGAGGGACCCCTGGGCCGGAGCGTGGATCTGATTCTCGGAGGCGGCAGGTGCCATTTCCTTGCGAACGGCACCGAGGGGAGTTGTAGGGCGGACGATGTGGATGTAGTGGGGATTGCGCGGGAGAAGCATGGGTGGGAGTACAAGGGCGATCGGAAGGGGTTTGATGAGCTGCAGTTGGGGACGAACGTGAGCTTGCCGTTGCTGGGCCTGTTCGCGGCCACGGATGTGCCGTTCGAGATCGATCGGAGGCATATGGCCGACGTTTACCCCAGTTTGAGCGAGATGGCCAGGACGGCGCTGGCGGCGCTGGACCAAGCGACGAAGGACAGCGACAAGGGGTTCTTCCTCATGATTGAGGGCAGCCGGATCGATCATGCAGGTCACATCAACGACCCTGCTGCGCAGGTCAGGGAGGTGCTCGAGTACGATAAGACCTTCAAGATTGTGCTCGACTTCCTGGAGAACTCTGACACCGAGGGTGTCTTGATGGCAACGAGTGACCACGAGACGGGCGGCCTATCCACGGCCTGGCGTACGTTTTCTTTCCCCCTTTTCCCCGTCCGAACAGCTGTAGACATGTCGGTACTGACCCCCCTCTAGAAGCACCCGGCCAACTCCCCGTCTACGACTGGTACCCAGCCGTCCTCGCCAAAGCCAACGCTTCGGCCGAGCACTGCGCTCTCCTTCTTCAGCAGCACATCAGCTCCGCGCCTCCGGAATCCCAGCAATCCTTGATCAACTGGATCAACGAAGAGCTCGTCATCCGCCGCCTCGGCATCACCGATGCGGTCCAGGCCGAGCTCGGCGCGCTCGCTACCAACCCAGAATCCGCCACTGTCATCTTTTCGCGCATGGTCAGCGTCCGCGCCCACATCGGCTGGAGCACACACGGCCACAGTGCTGTGGATGTGAATATCTACAGCTCTGGCGGCGCATCGGCCGAGAAGATACGGGGCAATGTGGAGAACACGGATGTAGGGAAGTTCTTGAGTGAATATCTGGAGGTCGATGTCGATGAGATCACGAGAGAATTGGAGGACAAGATGCAGGCCGGGCAGACGGCTGAGAAGGTAGCGGCTCTGCAGGGAGGGAGGGCCGCCGCTGAGACAGAGAGCCATCCTACGGCGTGGCTGAGAGAGATAAAGGTCTAGATATGGTAAAGGGGAGCGTCGAGCGTAGCATATCCTGGGCGTTGGAACACATTATCAGACTACTACTAGTAATACACTAAATGTGCGGTAGCCCGCTGTGCAGACATGTCCAAGGCCAAGCAAACCCTGTCCGATGAGACCTCTAGGTGGTGACCAGCTCCCAAAATAACAGCACCCAAATTCCCGGCTGTCGAATCTCAGGCTATAAGGTGGCTCAGACCTGCTAGACATCGTCATGTATGCGTTCTGGAGTGTAGTCATTCTTATAGGTGATAACGAGAACGCGGAAGGCAGGGCTGCTGGCCTTCCAACTGAGAATGGACCAGAGGACCTCCTGGAAGCGCCACGTCTGTAGCCTATTAGCCAACTTGAATGGTATATAGAGTGTCGCAACATTAAGACGTACCGAGGGTACCTGATATGGGGCTCGAGATGGTGCGGCCGGTGGATGATGTTAAGGTTATAACTGTTAGACCTCAAATATACCTACGTACCCTATATACATGAATATGTAGTACGTACACACTATAGGATACAGTGCAATACATTCCCCTATCACTTGTATTTTACTACTGTACTTGACTGTATATGCACTAACAAAAGTAGGGTACTCCTATTATATAGCACTAAGCTAACCTCCTAACCTAAGGTATGCCTTGTAAATGTGCTATGTATGTATTTCATTACAGCCTTACACCCGGTGTCTGTATGTACGTACACATTACGGTCATACTAGCACTGTCGAATTAGCCCCGCTGCCATTAACGCGTCTCGTACCGAGTAAACGGTTGCGCCTTCCATCTCGAAAACCAACCCAGATACCTCAGACTTCGATGCGGATCAGCCGTAGGTAACACCTAGTGTGCCTTGTTTTCCCCTGCTCAAAACCCTCCGCTGTTCCTTAAGGCACCGAACACGGTATTGTATAGTACCTGGGTTGCAGGGAAGGCTCCCAACCTTCGTTTGTGCCCCTAGCAGGTGGTGATAGCTGCAAGCACCGTCCCGTAAGTCGAGGACCAAGCTTGCGACGAACTCCAATCCTCCACAGAACCGCGTCGAACCGGTCTGGCATGGTCTAACATAAATACTGCATGTGGGATTGTGACGGCGGAGATCTCTCGACATGGTGATCCTAAACTTTACCCTCAGCGAGGAGGGCGTTGCTGTACTCCACGATGCACTTGCCTGCATGTTCAAGTTCAGCGACGATGTCTGCTTGGAGGCGAGAAAGGACAAGGTATGAATTGCCCTTAACGGAACCACGTCTCGATCTGAGATATCGCTGGTTGCTGAACCATTGGCCGCCCTAGTTGACTCTGACTACGCTCAACATATCCAAGTCAGCGTATGTCTGCTTCTCCTTTGCCGCCAACAGATTCTTCTCGCGATACAACTTCGAAGGGGCACCTCAGTACCGGGACCGCTTCTTCTGCCAGTTATACATCCGCGTGCGTCTCTCTCTGAGTTCTCCTCAACCTTGTGCCGCTCGTCTCACACCAGCCACAGTCTCTCCTCACAATCTTCCGAGCTCGTCAAGCGGGCGGCGACCAAGCGCGGGAAAGAGATGCATCGATAGACCGCTGCGATGTGGCGATCGACGACGGCCTCGGCAAGAAGAGCCGGCTTGTTGCCAGGGTCTCCTTCAGAAATGGTTTGCCTCTCTCCTCCCCTCCCTCTTTACCATTCACACAGCTGCTGACCACCCTGTAGGCATCACGGCTTCGCACTCCCTTCCCTACGAAGTGAAGCCCCCCACTCACGCTAAGTTCAACAGAGACGAAGCAGGAAATCGCTGGTCAATCTCCTCCCGGACTTTACGGCAGCTGATGGATCATTTCGGCCCGGGCATAGAGCTCCTCGACATCAACACAGACGAGGAGGCTCGGGTGGTTAACTTCACATGTTTTACCGAGAAGGTGCAGAAACGCGGCGCTGTCAGCAACGAAGGTGCCATCACTACCTAGATGCCATGTTTCTCCGCCCCGATGCTAACAGAGACGCAGCTGTGCTCAAAAAGCCTCTCCACACTAACATTGCGGTCGAGATGGACGAGTTTGATGACGTCGAAGTCCAAGACAAACTTCACATCATCATCAGCGTCAAAGACTTTCGCGCTATTCTCCAACATGCCCAGATGACCAGCGGAGCCCTAACCACCAGTTATTCCCACCCTGGTCGTCCCATGAAGCTATCCTACGGCGCAGATGGTGTGCTGTGCGAGTTCATCCTCATGACCGTCGGCGAAAAGGACGCCTTGAGCCAGAAGCACAAGAACCCCCGAGCGAATAGCGTACCGAAGGCTGCTAGACCGGAGCTCGATTCAGAATCGCATCGAGCAAGCTCGGTCGCAGCAAATGAGAACCAACAGGAACCGCCGGCTTCTACGGCTACTAGTAGGCCCCAACAGCAGAGGACGCCTGTGCGGCCACGCCAGTCTGGATTCGAAATCCGGCCACAACCGATGCCGCCTCCTACAACGGCTCGATCCGATTCGCTGTTCGTTGACCGGGCGGAAGACGATGAGCAGTGGGAGCCGATAAACCCAGATGCGGACGAGGAGGAAGAGGAAACGGCAAGGTTGGAGTGGAACACCACGAATGAGCCGGTACTGTGCATCCCTCTCGTGCTTGCCCCGGGCGGTTCGCTAACCAGGAAGCAGAACCCGTCATCCATACGCATTGGCAGCTATCTGTCAAGACAAGCCGAAGCTCCAAATGTTCCTCCTGATCGCCTTGCTGCGGGACTTGAGCCGACTCAGCGGCTTTCTGAGGTAAGTGACACCGCTCGGTTTCGCTGTTGGGATGTGGCTGTAACTCGTCCGCGTAGGTCCGCCGTTTCGGTCTGTTCTCTCCCTGAATCAAGCAGAGCTGTAGCAGTGAACATCGGGCTGGCTCTCATTGCGTTGCCTTTGGCTTCTTGTGGCTTGAGAGATGTTGTTGCTTTGAACGGCCACCTCGTGGTTCACCTTGGCTTCTTAATGGCAATCCAACTTGTCGCACAACCAGCACCGAGCATCGTTATTTCCAATCCCAGCCCGCCCGAAACGATTCGATTATGCTGCCCTTTCTTCCCGTCATCACTGCGAACCGGCCCGCAGTTTCCATGTTCACCCCAACCCCAAGCCATGAGGTCGCCAGACTCGGTCCACGCCAGTGCATGCTCGCTCCCCACCGCCATCTGCGTGACACGCCCTAAATCCTCGCTACGTGCGAGCTGCCCGTGATCGTCCCTCCCCCAACCCAGCAGCCTCCCATCCTCCTTCAGCACATACACACTGCCCCAACCAGCGCCGACTTCCCTCCACCCTGCCAAGCTCCCTTTGTCGGGAGCCTCCGACCGCACACCCCACTTATCCGACCCCAATACGATCATCTCGCCCGTTTCGGGGTGGCCAAAGAGACAAGTAAACTCCCTCCCGCAAACGGCTTTCACAACCTTGAACTGTGTCCCCGCTCCTCCACCTTCGATCCCAATCCGCCGCGGCGACCACACCGCCCCCATCGCCGGCTCTCCAAGCTGTCCCTTCCTCCCGTTGCCCCACCCCCAGGCCTCGCCGTTGCTCAGCACCGCCACGACATGGCCCATGCACGCGGCGAGATCGACCACTCTCGCGCCGCGGGGCGGGAAGTCCGGGATTGGCATTGGCTCCGAGGTGCGGAGCGTGCCCTGGCCCAGGCCGAGCTCGCCTTTGGCGCCCGAGCCGAAGGCATAGACTCTGTCTTCCCCTTCCTCCGAGGAGTCGTCGTTGTCGTCGTCGTCGTCTGAGGTGAGCACGACGATGCTGGCGGACCAGGTGGCGGCTATATGCCGGATCTTGAACCTGCCGCTTGGCGGGAGGGGGGGTGAAGTCAGATCTACGGGCCGGAAGGAGGGCGTGGGCTCCCCGACGTGATCGGATGGTGGTGATGCGGGGCCGCATGCGCCGGTGCTGGCGTCTCCTGTCCAGAGAAGATCGCCTGAGGAGAGGAGCAGAAGGGTGTGGTTGCCTCCGGCTGCTATGCGGATCGGGCGTATGTCGTGTTCTGTATGGGGTGTGCTGTTGCGACTGAGAGGGGCAGGGAGGATAACGGGCTGAGGGGTGTCGACGTCCTCTTTGTGTCCCAGGCCAAGCTGCCCTGAGCCGTTGGAGCCGAGGGCTTGGAGGAGGAACATTTTGAGCTGCCCTGGAAGTCTATTTACTTCAATGTAATAAGGGACGAGTCGGTGCTGAGTGTGACCAGCAGATTGAGGGACTCAAATGAGGTTCCCCACGTGTAGAGACACTGTGCGACACTGTGGCTGCAACGGGCAGGTGGGTCCTAGAAGACCCCACTCATTTTGAACTTAAAATTTGAGCACCCAGGAAAATTTCTTTGTCAACTCTGCACCTCACCAACATCCAGAGCGAACCTTCAGCTTGAGACACAGTTGAAGGGAGCGACAGGTGGTGGTCGGTTGACGATGTGATCTGGCGACGAGATTTTTTTTGGCCTTGCAAATCAGCAGTCCACCAGTCAATAATGCTCAAGAGAACCATGGCGTCAACAATGGGGGCGTTTCCGGGCGCCGACGACTTTGTTGTCGGCCTCATCGGCATGGGCGACATGGGCAAGATGTATGCCCGGAGGCTGAGCAGTGCTGGATGGAGGTAGTTCTCACCGGATTCTCTCTGTTCCATTTCTCTCTGCTCCATTTCTCTCTACGTCCTAGCCAACGAGAGGCGCCATGTCTGACCGGCTTGGTGGTTGCTAATCTTGGGCTCCCAGAGCTGTTGTCCTTGGTAAGTTGATTCTTCTCACCAACGCTTTCCTCTCGTTTCCACAAGCACACCCCCCTCGCATATGATGACTTGAGCGCATTTGGCTAGAGTATCGCTCGTGGCATGACCGATCAGCCATTCTGGCCCCGGTCAGCCGCCGCGGGCTTTCCATGATGAAAAATCTCAGCTACCTTATCATTCTTTGTCTGAAGCATTCCACTCCAACATATTCCAACAGCGTTATTGGGGTTGGACATCGGCTGACTCGGACAACAGATATATAGCATTGTGCCCGCTGTTCTGGGAGATGCTAACAGCGGTACGTCCCAGGATCGTGGCCTGCGACAGAGAGGAAAAGTACGATGAGCTGGTCAAGGAGTTTGCCAACCATGTATGGCCGTGCATCTCACCTGATCTCCCGCTGCGGACCAGTGCTGAGATGCTGTGTTATAGAACAATATACAGATTCTCCGCAACGGTCACCTCGTATCCCGCGCCAGCAACTACATCATCTACAGTGTGGAAGCCGCGGCGATAGGTCGTGTTGTTGCCCAGTATGGACCATGTGTGTGCCGTCTCGATATATGCTAGATCGTTGTTGAGCCATGTCCATGACCAGAATTCTTACCATTGCAAACCATTCTCCAGCGACCCGCCTCGGCGCCATTGTAGGCGGCCAGACGTCATGTAAAGACCCCGAGATCAAGGCATTCGAAGAACACCTCCCCAGCGACGTCGACGTCGTCTCGTGCCACTCCCTCCACGGGCCCAACGTCGACCCGCGCGGCCAGCCGCTGGTGCTCATCAAGCACCGGGCCTCGGACGAGTCCTTCGCCAAGGTGGAAGCCGTGCTCGGCTGCCTCGGGTCCAAGCACGTCTACCTCACGGCCGAGGAGCACGACCGCATCACGGCCGACACGCAGGCCGTCACGCACGCGGCCTTCCTCTCGATGGGCAAGGCGTGGCACGCGACCAAGCAGTTCCCGTGGGAGGGCACGCGGTACGTGGGCGGCATCGAGAATGTCAAGATCAACCTGATGCTGCGCATCTACGCGCAGAAGTGGCACGTCTACGCGGGGCTGGCCATCCTCAACCCGGAGGCGCACAAGCAGATCAACCAGTTCGCCAAGTCGACCACGGAGCTGTACACGCTCATGCTGGAGGGCCGCCGCGACGAGCTCCGCGCGCGCGTCTACGCCGCCAAGGAGAAGGTCTTTGGCCACGGCGACAGCCCCAAGTGGGCCGACCGGCCCCTGCTGCCGGACGGCGTCGTCGACCGCTTCAGCCTCAACCCCAACTCCAAGGGCAGCGCGCCGCCCTTGCCCAACAACCACCTCTCGCTCCTCGCCATGGTCGACTGCTGGAGCGCGCTGGGCATCGTGCCCTACGACCACATGATCTGCTCGACGCCGCTGTTCCGCCTCTGGCTGGGCGTGACCGAGCACCTGTTCCGCACCCCGGGCCTGCTGGACGAGTCGCTGCGCGTGGGCATCGAGGACAACACCTTCCGCCGCGACGACCTGCAGTTCACCATCGCCGCGTGCGGCTGGGCCGAGTGTGTCGCGCTGCGCTCCTTCGAGACGTGGCGGGAGCGCTTTGCCGTGACGCAGAAGTTCTTCGAGCCCCGCTTCCAGGGCGCCGTGGAGATTGGGCAGGCCATGATCAGGGCTGTGCTGGAGAGCGAGAAGGAGGAGTGAATTGGGCCCGATTTGGGGGTGAGAGCTCGTGGGATGGAGTGGGCTTATGGAGGGTTTGGATGGAAGGGTTGGTTGTGGTTACAGTACTTACTAGTACTCACTCTATCAAGGTGTGTTGACTGTACAAGACAGGGGGATAAACAATGCGATGGTATCAACCAGGGTGGGAGGCGTGGCTATTTTCGTGTGTTCAAGGGATGGATGGTTCTATGAATTGATGCGGCCCATATTCTCTACTACCTTGATGAGCGTGATGGATGTTTCCAGACACAGAGCACGCCCGTGGATGTCCGTCCCATCGCGTGGCGCGGTTGAGTACACGAATGCATGCACGCCACTTCAACCTCTCCCTTTGCTTTTCCTTCTTCCCTTTCCTAGTCTTCCCTAAATCTATCACATACCATAAAAAAAAGGGCCGGCAAGCGCTTATCTCTATCCCAAATCAACGAAATACAGAGTCTGTAGACAGCCGAGCTCGGAACATGACACAAACACGCCGGCAGGATACCTTACACAACATGACAATAAGATCCCGTGCTGTCTCGGCTGCACGAGCATCTGACTCAGATCATTGATTTGCTCAGCACAAGGCCTAAAGGGGACACGGCAGGGAGCACGGCAGGATGCCAAGGGCCGCTGCTTGACGCTCCGGTGCATTGCGCAACCACGCGTCGTTTGCTGCCGTTCCTTCATTGGCGGTACTTAGCCAGAGACGAGTTGGTCGTCGAGGTACGGAAAGCAGCAACGAGAACCTCAAGGAAAGCAAATGATACTAGGTAGTTATGCATCGATCAAAGGACCGCATCTATTAAACTTGCTAGACCGTTAATTCATACCGTTTCTCTCGCACGGTAATATCAATACCTTGGCAAAAGGAATAATCCGAATTTTGTATAGCACAAAACGCCGCCCATGTCTGCCAAAGCCAGCTTCCCCGCACAACCATGACTGCTGCCCGTGGCTCTTTCTTTGTCTTTTTGTCTATTTTTCCCCCTTTCCAAACCCGCTGCGATTGCCTGTCTATACGCTACTCGCAATTGCCAACAATGGTAATCATGACCTAATCTGAGCCATCCTCTTGGACATGCTGTTGGCAATGTTAGCATCTCTTGTTTTGTTTCAAGGGGTACCGGGGAGGAAAACTTACAAATCATAGAACGCGAATTGGCTGGGTGAGCTGCCAAACTCATACACGAACCGACTGGCCAGATAGCTGCCAAAGATGGCTCGCAGGTATGTGTCCGGCACCCGCTGGATGATGGTGTCCAGGCCGATCTTCTCAATCAGCAAGTTGGGGAGAGCGTCCGCCAGCACGGCCCGGCGGACATCCTCCTTCTCCCACAGGTCAGAATGCTGCAGCTGCTCGTCAAGCGTTGTGATGGCCGTCGACAACTTGTCTGACAGGATTGACCGGGGCACGCCCGTCTGCTCGTGCTCGCGCCAGATGGCCTCGAACTCAAGCCGGGCATTTTCTTGGATCTTCTCCTGCACCGCCTTGACGTACGCCTTGTAGAACTCGGGCGCGTTGCCCCGCGCATCGTGGCACATGTGCTCGACGAATCCTTCGTCGTCAAAGCTGAGCGATGCGAGGACCTCGAGCGAGGAGCTGGTTACTCCGCCCTTGTTCGCGCTGGCGTCCTTGTACACGATGCAGCCGGCCTGCTCGAGTCGCAACTTGGCGTCCTGCGTGATGAATAGGTTGGCACCCTCGACGATGTATGGAACCGTCGCCTTGCCATCCTTGATGAGGTTGTTCGCCGAAACGAGGTCGATCGACTCAGGCCGACCGCCGCAGGGCACGAACATGTCTGTGAGCCCAGTGTCCCGGAGATGGTATGTGTTGCGGAACGCCGTCCCGTTGGCGACGATCTCTCCGTTGGGCAGTTTGACATTCGTGTCATCGCACAGCACCCTGTAGCCGTCCTTGGACAACTTAGATAGGTCAAAGTGCATGATCATTTGGCGCTTCTTCGCAAGCCGGCGCAGCTCCTCCTTGTCAATACCATTAGGATCCACGAGGACCCCCGAGCCGTCGACGATGGCAGTGTACTTTTCATTGCTGAGAAGGATCTCGTTACTTCCCAGGTCGCCGTCCGGACCGCCCGTCTGCATCTTTCTGACCGTCGATGGGTCCAAGTTCAGCTTGCGATAGATTCCCTTGACGTACTCACGGACCGACAGCGTCGTCATGCCGTAAGCATCGTGGGGAATGCCACCCAGCTTCGGTGATTTGCCGGTGAAGAATGACTTCCACCAAGGCGCCCCTCGGGCCCGGGCATGCTCGGTTGCCCAGTCGACCAGGTCCGCCGTGTTCTCATCCGGGCCCATGAAGAGAATTTCCTCCTTGCCGTAGAGATCAACGATGGGGTTCTTGATGCCCGGTGTCTCGGCCTTCAGCAGCAGATCCAGAATGCTGTCGATGTACTTCTCGAACGCCTCGCGGGCCTTGTCCTGCTGCTTGGGATCCAGCAAGATAACACCCTTGGAGCCGCCCTCGGGAATATCCTTGTTCTTGCGCTGCTGCGTGCTTGCCAGCCCGTAATTCTCATCGAACAAATTGCGGGCGTTGATCGAATATGCCTCCTTGCTGCGGGACTTGACGATGCGGATGCCGCCACGGGCAATGTCCTTGAAGCGCAAGTGGAAGCCCCGAGACTCTGACGTGATCACGAGGAACATGCCATAGAGGCGCTTTGGGTACTCGATGTCGGGAAGGAATGCAGGGTCCAGACGAAAACTCAGCGCTACCTTGGTGGGGGTGAAGTAGTTGGTCTTGAGGACGGAATTGTTGAAGGTGCGGAAGGCGGACATGACCATCTCCTCGTGCTCGGTAGATACCACCTTGGTGATCTTCTCCTTAAGCTTGGCATCAGACAGGACCTCTGTGGCCGGAGTTGGGGCGATGCGCTGGCGATCGAACCCAGCCCCAACCTTCAGGTGAACGCTGGCGAACGAGGCGTACAGATCACGGATAAGCTCAGGATACGAGCTGATGATCTCGAGGATGTAATCGGGAGTGAACGTCTCATTGCGCAGGCGCTTCTTCATCCTCGACAAGACCTCGGCATGCCCGTTGTTCTTGGGGTCAAGTGCCGCCATGAGCGAAGCGTACTCGGACCCGAGACGGTTCAGGAAGTGCTGCACGAAGACCCATACGCAATGGGCGTAAATGGTCTCCTGGAGGCTCAGCTCGCCGGAGGCGAACATTGGGTGCAGTTTGGTCTGGGGCATGCAGTAGAGAAGTGACACCTCCTTGGTGATCTGGTGGATCGACTCCTCAATCGGGGGATACTTGGAGTCGAGACTGGGAGCGGGCCGCAAGTAGACACTCATGACCGTAATCCCGTTGGAGAACTGCTCGACGTACTTGCGAGAGCTCGTCACACCGTAGTAGTGATAGAGGTCGCTCAGGGCGCTGAACATTCCTCTTGCTGTCCTCGAACGGAAGGCGACAACGAGCCTCTTCTCCCGTGAGCCTTCGATGTCGAAGACCTCGATGACTGGGCCAGTGCGATTGACCGCAACCTCGATGATCTCCCGGTAGATCTGCTTGGTGTTCTTGGTCGCCTTGGCGAGGAACATGCGGTCGCTGATGACCTCTAGCCTCGTCTCCTTAGGGTCGGCATTCGGCTCAACGAACTGGCACTGGTAGACAAAATAACAGCGCATTGTCGCCTTGGAATCCGCGTCCCCAATGACGCCGGGGGATCGGAACGTCTCGACACGGAAGCGTTTTGACGTGTCGCTGCCATCTAGGTACTTGGACTCGAGGCGATGCTCATACCGCGGGCCATCGATGGTGGTTTTCCCTGGCTCGCTTGTGTCGATGTAAATGGCGTGGTCCGAAGCTTCCATGTCTAGCCGGATCTCCTCCCGCTTATCCGGGCGCGAGAAGGCGGCGACCTTGGCGGCATACAAGGACGTGATGTGGTTGGCAACGACCTCGGGGTTCTCGAGCTGGAAGTACACGTCGTCGATGCCCAGCTCATTGTAGAACCAGGAGACCTGGGTGTCGACGAGCGCTTCGGGAATCCACCCACACTTCTGAATGTACGCCTTGACTATCAGTGCGTCAGCAAATGACAATAGCCCAGAACACCGTCGTCTCAGGGGTGCGGACCTAGCTTCATCTGCTCATTCTTGCCCTTGAACTCGGGGGCAACGTAGCCAACAGTCGCTGAGCGCAGGGTCCTGTGGCCGTTGCCGTTCACCTTCGGCATGGTAGGGTAGCTGAAATGCGTCGGCTGGGGCGAGGGATGCCTCCCCAACTCCTCGCCCTTGACCTTGTCAACTAGAGGATGGGCGGCGCCCATGGCTGCAGGGGAAGCGATCATGGTCTCGTCTGACGAAGTAAACGGATCCACGTATTCTGGAAAGCTAGCCACGGACAGGTCAGTCTTGATGGTCAAGCCAGACATTCGACGCCTGTCGCCAAGGGGACTGGCGGGTGACGGCTGGACGGCCACGCTCGCCATGGGGTTGGTGTGATGGTGATGACTAGGGAAGAGAAGTTGAGATAGAGAGTGACGCTAGTAAATATGCTGGGTATGGCTGGACTTTAGAGAAGAGAAAGGGAGGGAGGCAGTTGGCGTGTAGGCGGGGAGGGAGCGTCAGCTTTGTAGAGCGAGCGGGAGTAGGAGCGGGAGCATCGTGTCGGTATGTCTTCCTGTGCTGCTTGCTGGCGGCATCTGGCCGCTATTAAGACCCTGATGGCTGGCCGTAGCGTGCATGGTTGACGAGGGGGAAGGACAAGGTCAGTGACAACCAGCCCCCCCCCTGCCTCCCGTATCAGGTCAACAAGCCGCCAAATGCCGCGATCGGTCGATCCGGGAAGCCGCGAGCTTTGTGGCATAGGGCAGGAATGAAGCCCGATACGGCACATGGCATCGACATCGGCCACTCCAAATTGCCCATTGGACGTCGGCAATTCAGCCAGGTCGAGTGTTCCCGTCCCTGGGACAGGAGACTCCGGCCGTGGCTCACCGCTCCTGAATCTGTGCTCCTGCTCGCCCTCGGCTGTGGCTCATATCATGATAAGAGAGATAAGATGCTCCGTCTCCCAAACACCGTGCCCCCTGTTTCCGGGGTGTGCAATGGGCAAGTGGAAGGATTAAAATGGATAAGGTAGGTAGTGAGAGTGCTTAGACGTACCTTCGCTCGGCGACTCGGAAGCTACCTATCCAATTGACAAAGTGTGCTATCTGTACGCCGCTGTATCAATTCGGCAGCTGTCATTGCGAGGCAATTAGTACGGCATGAAACGGGTCCAAGCGGCGTAGGACGCGGCTACCGCCCGATAAGCCAGCGAGAGGAGTGTTTCGTTACCTCAGACAGAGTTGCGAGTGGCAAAGGGGCCTTGTTCGGGCAACAAGGCAGCTGTGACGGCCCGAATGCAAGAGTTCTAGGGATACGAGTGCTGCGGAATCACTGAAAGCAGGCAACCCAACGAAAGGTGTCTGCACTTCGAAGGAATATCTGGACTGTTCCGTTAGCTTGCCGGTTCTGGAAGGAATGCTGGGCCAGAACAGCCAGTAAGTGGATGATATGGAAATTGCGCAGTCGTCCAAAGCTTCAGGTCACCCATTGCGAGTAGATTTGACACTGAAAGGGTTCCAATTGGTTGTTTCCCATCCCTAGCGGCGACAGCAATGCGAAGTTGTACGGGTTAACTCGTACAGCCTTGCAGCTGACCGCGATGCTGTCTGGTGGAAGGGTGCAGTGGGACGCAGGAACGACGTCACTCGGGCAAGGGCCAGGGCGCAGGAACCGAAAGGGGGGCGTGGAAGCTTGGTACCTTTTTTTTTGCGACGATAGAATGTCGTACGGGAGATAAGGGTAGCCGCGATGTTTGGCCGGAGACGACTGATAAGGAAGTGTCTGAAAATAGACAGAGAGACCCGCCGTGTTGGATAGCCGGGTTATGTGGTGAGAGGTGAGTCAAGAGACAAAAGTTAATATTGAATTTTCAAGTTGCCATGGTGAGTAGGTGACAAGATGGGATGGGAACACCGGTTCATGCGACGGGAGTGCCACTCTTTTATAGTCCGTCATCATATTTCGAGTTGTGAACGGCGACAGCACGTTCTGAGGAATTCTCTCCAGGATTGGCACTGTACCTGTTCGTCTACTCCGCAGGCCTGTCAATTTTCAAAGGAAGTTGCCTGCGAAAACAAGTATCGTGATGCCATTGTGCGGCGTTCTGACAAACAGAAACCAGGGCTAAGCTAGATCGGGCAACTAGAAGTCGTCTGCTGATTGGGTCACAAGGGGCCTTCTGGTTCCTGAACGCCCAACAAAAAGGAGTACTTCAGTACGTACCTCACTGCCACTTTGGCATCGGTAGAACCGGGAGCGGCTATTCGAGGTTCTCGCGTAACGTACCCCGTACATATCGGTACCTTCATGTAGCAGAGTGGATATTCAGCTCGTAAAAACAGGAGCAGGTCCCTCGTCTGAGTCGTGTATTGTACTCTGCGCTTCCCGAATGTAAAGACGCAAGGGATTTAGAAGCAGGCACAGAAACCAATGGAGAAGTTGCACGTTCTAGAAAGTCCTGGGGAAGTTCGGCGTCACACAGTCGATTCTACGCTACTGTGTACGGTATCGTGGATACGTCTTGATGGGTCTCGGACTGTTGTATACCGTCGATCACGTATTGAATGCACACCGAAGGCACCGCAGGACGGTGCTGGTCAGCCACCGAAGGTGAATAAGTTACCGTACCTGAGAGCACTTTACTTGGCTTGCAAATTCACCATGTTGCTGGTGCCAGTATCTTCTAGTACTACTAGTATTGGACAATGCACGGACGACTTGGATGCGATATAGGGAGATAGGACAGGCATAGTAATCGATACACTACCAGACCTCCTATATGTACAGTATTATCTCCCTTCCGAGCCCCTGACCCGTGATTTTGCGCCAGCGCCAGCCCTTACACAGTAGACGTTCAGTTGGACATAACCTACATGTTGTCGTGTTGTGCTACCCTTCGTCTGTCACTTACCGCCTCTTACATTAATTAATCTCACAGACCTTGATGGTATGTACTGTACGGGTAGATCGCCAATCCAAAACCCCTGGCGCCGTGAAGGCCTGCCCTGGTTGCTCCCTCACCAGCTGGACACTCAAACAACAGCACGTGGACCTTCTGGGTTCTGGATGGCGATGCTGACGACCTGGGGTCGAGAGTCTCCTTCCGAACCGCGCAGACCGCGAAGAATCCTTTGATCAGAAGTGTCTCAACGAGGGCTGGTCCCGTGATTGCAGAAGTACGTAACAACTACAAGCCCCAAGCCGCCAGGACCCGGCTCCGCTGGTGGCTGGGGCACGATGCCCCGCCATTTCATGCCTTCCGAATTCCACGATTGCGTCTCCCATGAGTCCCATCAAGTAAAATGGGGGTAATGAAAACCACATTTGCTGCAATTCAACTCAACAACCTGTCCCCGACGTCGCACGGATCAGGAACCTGTACAAATTCGGTAATTCGTTTGCTTCAGGTGTGGAAGCGGTGGGAAAATACTGGAGTGGATGAGGGGCCGCAGAACGGCCTAGGACGTCACTAAAAGTTTCCGGCCAAGTCTTTCACATTGACCGCCCCAGTGCCGGTCAAAACGCGGGGCATTAACTGCAGTCCCGGATGGACCCCTGAGACAGGGCTAGACGCGGAGGAAAAGCTCTGTTGTCCTCGTGCCGACTGCCATGCTCGTTGTTCTGGATCGAAATGGACACTCGAATGGTCACGGGATTCGCGGGGAAATTGGCATTGGCAATTCGACATCCACAATTGTCCAACCCTGTCGTGCCTGTCCAAGGGTCAATCCAACTCCAAGCCTCTCCAGCTGCTCCACGTTTCCCACGTTTGGGGCTGCATCGACACGATTCGGCCCTGGAGAGTCGGAATTAGCCTAGGCGTGCCGGGGAAGCTGGCTCATCAATGCGCTTGCTACTGTAGGTACAGTAGTAAGGAACACCACCTACTCAAAGATCCAAAAATAAAAACAAATGAAGCAATTCAAGGTGCCAATTCCGCCATAGCTCGTCTACTCTGCAGTCCACCAACAGGGCTAGCTTTTACGTGATACGTATGTAGTACCTCGAGTTCTCGCAACCACGGCATTTGGATTTGGAGCCTTGGACTGAGAATCATTCCAACCTCGCCAGGTCTAAGACTGCCAGTGGACGCTTTCAGGACATCCGTCTCAGCGTAATGCCCAATTCGTTGACCGGCCTGCGCACTTCAGAGGGTATCATCTGACGCGAAAACCACAACGAAAATGCAGAAGTGTCAGCAAAGAGGCTTAAATGTGATATACTATAATCTCGCGAAGTCTACAAGTCCCGGGCCGGAGGCATAGGCTACGAGCTGTCAATATGATCCGGCCAAGGGCCGCAGAAACTCTCCCTCCTCAGTTACCTGGTAGAGGATGTTTCACCCGGTCAGCTCGGGACTATGCGGCTCGATTGCAAATGGATTCACTGAAGCCAACACAAGTGTTTCTGCATTCCCTTTTCATCACTTCACATTGTGCCACCACACGGCTCGAAAGATAAATGAATGGCCCTATATATCCCGCGAGACGACTTCCGGCATCTCAAGCTGCGAACATGCGCATTTTTCTTTCCCGCCTCAATCAATGGACACAGATGGCATCTTGCTGTTGGGCTACGCTATGAGGCCGCCAGCATACTTAAAATAGCTGAATCAATGTGTGTTCACTGGTCAGACCGTCAGAGGAGGCCCAACCAGTTCGGATGGCATGAACTCGTTTTCGAATTCCCGTCCTACACCAGGTAGAGGGTCTGGAGACAATGATTTGGACTCTAACGTATTTCTCCTCGGCTGCCAGGCGAACAATAGAACCTCTTCGGTACCGGCGGTACCTGTTGGAGCGGCCGGCAATAAGAAGAGGGGCGTGGAGGGGCAATCCCCCGGAGCATGGAAAGTTCTACGGATTGTTCTCCCGCTGATTGCCGCTTCCCCACCGTTCTTGGCGCGGCGCAAAGACCGGGCCAACGCCGACGCAGCCCCGCTCGAGCCCCGACTCGGTTCCTAGTGGGGCAATTCCTCCATCCACCATAGTGCGTAGGACTGACGACAACCCCGCGAATAATCTCCAAGCTCGGTCCGGCAAATGAAGATACTGTACTGCAAGCTTTTGAATAGTTACAGCAGTTCTTGTCTCCCTTGACAGGCTTTGAGGTACTGGATTGGGAATATTGGCGTCATCCTCGTTGCGAATCCTGTTAGCTGCTACACGACCTTCGACGCCTCCCATTACGGCAATTTTTTCCGACAAAAGTGATGAGCTCTGGTTCTGACGTTGCCAGTGCCAGGGAGAGAGCCCGCGGACTGGACAGGGATGACGAGCTGGCGTTTACCCGTCGCGAGTTCAACATCCCGACCAAGGCGCAGATAGCGAGTACCCGCCTGCCCGATTCAGGTGTGACAGCTCCGTTCCGTAGAGTAGTTTGAGGTTAGGGGCTAATGATCGTATCTGGTGGCTGTAGATTCGACAACACCTGGGTCGAATGATGATGCGGAGAGCAGATGTATCTACCTCTGCGGCAACTCCCTAGGCCTCCAGCCCAAGCGGACTCAAACCCGCATCAACCAGTATCTCGCAACATGGGCTGCCCAGGGTGTTCAGGGGCACTTCAAGCCCCTTGAGGGGTCACCCCTTCCGACTTGGGTCGATGCCGACGAACGGGCGGCCCAGCTCATTGCTCCGATCGTAGGCGCCTCGAGGGCGGAGGTGGCTGTCATGCAGACATTGACGGCCAACCTCCACCTTCTCATGTCTGCCTTCTACCGCCCGGATCTCAACGGCAGGCACAAGATCATCCTCGAGAGCAAAGCATTCCCCAGCGACCATGTAACCACCCCCGTTCTCTCGTATCCAATGTGATGGGACCAGCACCAGTCACTAACACGCAACCACTCTTAGTTCGCTGTCGAGACTCAACTCCGCCACCATGGGCTCGACCCGGCCACCTCCATGATAACCCTCACCTCGCCGACATCCCCGGAAGACAACATCCTCACGACCGCCGAGGTCCTCTCCGCCATCACCACCCACGCCTCCACCACGGCCTTACTCCTCCTCCCCGGAATCCAGTACTACACAGGGCAGCTCCTCGACATCCCCACCATCACGTCGCACGCGCACAAGCACGGCATCTTCGTGATCTGGGACCTCGCCCACGCCGTCGGCAACGTGCCCCTCTCCCTCCACGACTGGGACGTCGACGCGGCCGCCTGGTGCAGCTACAAGTACCTCAACGGCGGGCCCGGCTGCATCGGCGGCATGTTTGTGCACGAGCGCCACAGCGCCGTCACGCGGCAGATCACCGACGACAGGCCCGAGGAGGGCTACACGAACCGGCTGGCCGGCTGGTGGGGCAACGACAAGGCAACGCGGTTTGCCATGGCGACCAAGTTCCACCCCGTCAAGGGCGCCGCCGGGTTTCAGTTGAGTAACCCGAGCATTCTGGACATCACCAGCCTGTCGGCGTCGTTGGAGGTGTTTGAGCTTGCGGGCGGGGTGGGGAGGTTGAGGGAGAAGTCCGTGCGACTGACGAGGTTCTTGGAGGAGATACTCAACGGTATGGCGGAGGATGTGGGAGGGTTGTTTAGGGTCATTACCCCGAGCGATCCCCAGCAGAGGGGAGCGCAGCTGAGTTTGAAGCTGCAAGGTGGGTTGTTGAATACCGTGATGCGGGAATTGGAGAGGAGAGCGGTGATTGTGGATGAGCGGAAGCCGGATGTCATCCGGGTTGCGCCGGCTCCGTTGTATAACACGTTTGGGGACTGCGTCGCGTTTGTTGAAGCGTTCGGCGAGGCGCTAGCGATTGCACAGAAAGAGAAGCTTGGTTCGAGCTGAGACTAAGCTTGACGGGGCCTGTCCTGCATGTAGGTTACATGCAACGTGGTTTTAGAACAGAACATAGACGGGCAATACAACATGTAAGAGTACATTAGACCTGACAAGTGGTCGTCGCTATTCGGGAGCTTGTCCATATGCATTAGATAACACCCTATGATATCCGCTCACTGTCCTGTCTTGTCGTCTCTTGAATAGAGGTAGATTCATGAACTCAGGCCGATTCACTGATACGCTTCGTTCATTACTTACTCCTGGGAATCAGATGCTATCTGGAGCAAACTTCCAAGGACTGATCCCCATGGGTGGTCTTCAGAGCACTGACTGCCTATTTGCTGCCCTAGGATAGAGCACAGAATGACGACCGTTTTGAATTAGCAGATGAACGGTTTGCTTTCACCACAAAGCTAAGAAACCGCTGTGACGACAGATTTGGATCTGTTTGCAATAGGTTTGGGATCCATGACAGGGGCTGGAGTCGACACATAACAGGCATGTCGCGAGTCACGAACTTGCAGAGCTGCTTCCATTTGCTGCGCAAACAGTCGGCGTTTCTATCACACTGACCCGAGCAATATGACAGTATTTCTGCCCAACGCCCATCCCAATCATCGGTTGATCGTGCCATAAAGCCCCGGCGCCCGGTCACCCAGTGGCGCTCGTTGATTCACTCCCCGCTCAGTCCCAGAAACATCTCCCTTCCAAGCACCCAGAGAGACCTGACCCGTAGCTCAAGGCCGGTTGCTGCCCGTTTGCCCATGACGAAGGTGGCTGCAATTGTATTCCACTAGCTCGGCTGGGTGCTAGGCAATCGCAGACAAATAGCAAACCTTTCCCTAAGACCGCCTGAGATGCTCCGAAACACAGAAAGAATTTGCCCCGTGATTGTTGCCCATCGTTTAGACCTCCGTCGTGACCTTCGCCTTCGCATTGGTGACCTTGACGCCTAATTGCTTCGCCCGCCTAATGATGTCGACGCGCTTCCTCGAGGAGACGTTGGAGGCGATCCTGGAACCATGGCATTAGTCCTGCAGCTGCCAAAAAACGCCCTCCCATCACTGCACAAAATCGATGATCCTTTCTCGGTTCACGTTCACAATGGGGACTCCACGTACTCTGCGGCGTAGGTCTTGTTGTGCATAAGGAGGAGCTCGACGTCCTTGACGTTGCTGACGAGGAACGCCTTGTGGCCGGAAGGCATCATGTGGCGGGTCTTCTTGTTGGAGCCATAGCCGATCTGGAAAGTGCAAGAATCGGCCGCGTTAGCAGTTGTTCCTGGTCCTCCTAAACCGAGCATCCAAGACTATATCGGATCCCATGCAGCCCCCCCGTCTTCCCGCCCAGCAGCCGCCCGAAGAAAACCCAAGAAAAGATGCAGCCACGTACCGAGGGCATAGCCAGGTTGCCCTTGAACCGCCTCCGGACGCGGTTGTCAATACCCTTGGGCTTGCGCCATGCCGAGTCCAAGCACTTGAACCGGTCGCTCTGGTGGCGCATGAAGCGCTTCGTGCCTGCAAACCGACATATTTGTTAATACCTGCGATCCAAATATCCACCAGCAACGCAACTCGAAATCCTGTATCCTGGGCTCGAATGACGGAGAGGATGGGCGAGGAATCAATCGGTGGGGGGATCATCAGGACTCGGACGTACGCTTCTTCACGATCGGGATGTGCTTCTTTGAGGCAACCATCTGTGCAACTTGTTAGAATTCGCCAGATTGACGGTGATAGTACACTGAGCATAGCGAAATGGACACCTTACCTTGGCGGTCTTGTTGTCGGGTGATGGTCGAATTTGGCGTCGTCACGATCCGAACCTACCTGGAAAAATTCCGTAAATTGGTTGAGCTGGTGGGCTTAGGGCTGTGTGGAAATTGTTAAGGCATGCTGGTCTGTGCAGCATTTGCGGCCCACCACGCGCAGCGATAAGCGGCGAGGTGGGTCAAGCGTCTTATCGATAACGACGTTTCGACGTGGGGTTGAAGTCAAGTCGAACTGGGAGCAAAAAGAAACGGTGACGTTCACCGGAGTAAACGGATGGATCATCATGCATAAAGTGCGATCTCTTCTGGGATCTACAGATGGTAATTCTCAAATGTCATAGAATCGTGCCTGAGGCGATATGAGAGCGTAGCTAGCGGAGCTACAACCACGCCCACCACTGAGCCGCTTGTCCTCTGGACGGGCCGGGGGTATTGTTGGCAGATGCGAACCCATCCCTGATCCATGCCTCTGGCCGGCCGCCCAACGTACGGCCATGTAGAAGGCGTCGTTGTCGAGGGTGATGCCATAGCCATTTGAGCGGCTGTAGCGCATCAACGACTTTTGGTGCACAAGAGCTCGCCAGTCCGGCCTGCCGGACTGTAGCGGAGGCTCTGAGCCGGGACTTATCCTCGGCCTTGCTGAGCCTGCAAACATACTCGTTTCCTCCGCTAGTCATGGCCCGTCCGCTCAGGCGACGTTGTGCTGGTTGCGAAAGTACATTTTGCCCGTACTCTCTGCCATCACTGGGTAGCGCACTGCGGACCTCCTTCGTCGTCGTCCTCGTCCTCCCATTCACCGCCGTAGCGAGGGTCACCTTGGTGAGCACCCATCTTCGAGGAAGTTTGTTAGCATTACTTATTCCATGCCCATGATGCGGACCTGCCAGCAAGACTCACCTGCTCGATGTCTGCGTTCTCCTCGTATTGGACGTCATCCACCTCGTCGGCCTTGATAGGTTCCGCGGGAGGAGGAAGCAGCTTCTGCAGGGCCTCATAGTCGCTGTCGTTTGACAGCCAGCCATCCTCGGGGAAGTCGACCTTGACGACGAGGTACAGGTCGCCCTTCACCTCTCCCCTCTTCAAGGGCATACCCTCACCCGGAACCTTGAGCACGTCACCGGGGCGGAGAATCTTGCCGCGCGGGTGGTCGATATGGATCCCCCTGCCGTCGAGGTGCTTCAAGACGACGCGTGAGAAGCCGCACAGGGCTTCGGCGAGGGTGACGTGAAGATCGGCTGACAGATCGTGGCCGATGCGAGTGAAACGCTCGTGTGGCTCCTCGACGAGGTGGAAGATCAGGTCGCCCGGTGTCATGTCCGGCAGCTGATCGGCCTCCCCCTCGAGCACGATCCGTTCACCCTGCATGGACCCGCGGGGGATGTAGAGCTCTAGCGCCTTGGTCTCCCTGACTGTGCGTTTGCCCTTGCATTTCTTGCAGCGGTCTTTCTCCTTGTAGTACATGCCAGATCCCTGGCAGTGGTCGCAGGGGATGACTTCCTTACGGACGAGACCGGGACCAATCTGTCGGAACGCTTCTTGACGCCCAATGCCCCGGCATCGGTCGCACTGGTTGGGCTTGACCTTCTCCTTGGCACCGCTGCCTTGACACTGACCACAGATGACCTGCTTCTGGGCGGCGAACTTGACAGTCTTGCCCTTGTAAAGCTCCTCTAGGGTGACCTTATACGGCTGTTCCTCGTCAGGGCTGCGTCTTGGACGCCTGGGCCCACCGCCGGGCATGCCGCCCATGTTCATGCCGAACATTTGCGATAAGATGTCATTCAGGTCGACTTCGGCGCCTCCGGGTCCGCCGCGTGAAGGGTCGAAGGCAGCCATGCCGTGTGTGTCGTAGAGGTGGCGCTTGTCCTCATCGCGGAGAATCTCGTAGGCCTGCGTGATCGCCTTGAACTTGGCCTCCGCCTCAGGACGTTGGTCCTCAGGGACCTTGTCGGGATGGTGTATAAGTGCCAACTGGTCTGACGTCAGTATTGAATCCTAATGATCGCCCGAAGGCCGGCTTGAGAGGCGAAGTTCACCTTCCGATAAGCTTTCTTGATGTCGTTCGGGCTGGCGGATTTGTCTACGCCAAGGAGGGCTGTATATCATCGACAGGACGTTAGCTTTGGAGGTCGGTGCGGACCGATACCGCCCGACTGGATGGAAAGGCTGTGGCGTCGTACCGTAGAGATCAACGTCCTCGCCATCCATCTTTGCTTGTTCGCCGGAATTTATCAGATGATTTCGAAACTAGGGAAGTCGGCGGTTGCGAATTCGAGAACGTTGGGCAGCGCGCAAATGGTCTTGGTTGTTGGATGGTTTGCCAGAGGAGCGCTTGGGGTTGGGAAAATTTACCCAGCTTGAAGTTGCAAGAGGCGGTGCCCCACGTAAAAAGAAATGCGCTACGGAGTAGGTGACAGGGGTTGTTACAGCACTCGCTAAGACTTTTGGCGATCACAACTGAAAGAGGGTGGGATCTATATAGCAGGCGCGGCAGGGTCTCACACTATTGTTAGGTACTGTAGTTCTTTGAGAAGCGACAATTGTTCAGACCAGCCAAAGAAGGGAGAAAGTTGGAAGTAAGGCCCTGGGTTGTGCCTGGTAACTCGAGCGTTCCGTAGTGATGGTTTCCGAAGCCTTTCAGGCGAGGTTACTGATTATTCACTTGTCTGCCTGGTAGGTGGTTGAACCAGAATCGCTCTCTTTCCAACCGACATGCCACGTGTTGTGCTTGAAAGGATTCACGCTCATACGCCCGGACTCCAATTGCGTTCGTGATGAACTTCATTCCCTGTTCATTCCATCTCAAAAGACTCAAGGCAGGTATGCGTTCTTCATCACCGCGATCTCTTATCAGTAAGCCCCACGCTATTTCCTATCAAGGCAAGTACTGTACATGTACATACCGAGCCGGTGGCAGGCTGGCAGCCCACCGATCAGATCTGACGGCAACACTCAGTAAACCGGTCGACTGATGGGTCGAACTCGCCCATCAGAGTTCCATTAGCGTTACCCAAATAGATGTGTCGTAGAATGCTTATACCGGGCCTGTTTCAGTTGTTGTAGAGCGCCTTATTGAGTTTACATTATGTGCAGTAGCAGGCAGAGTTGACGAGGTAGCAGTCACATGACCGAGAGACGATTGTCATTTCCATTGGCTCCGTCCAAGAGCGCCCACTCTTCCTAGGAAACGGTCAGTTGGTGATACGGACGGACGGGAGCATTTGACGGGTTTGACCTCGCTCTGCTCTGCACTCCACGCCGTTGCTGCCGGGGAAATGGAGAAGATTGCCCCGAGAAGCAGGAGTGTCCTCCACAGGCGGCTGCATTCTGCTCGTGCGCAACATGGTGCTTTTGCTTTCAGGCAGCGCTTATCATTCTCTTCGTGCAGTCCCCGTCTCGCCAACAAGCAGTTGCCGAAGCCGGGGGACAGGTTCAAGCTGCCAGGGGCGTCATGTCGTACCCGCTTCGCACCTTCACCAACAGGGTACCTGCATCTAGGGTCTTTGCGAACGGCCCTGTTCAACTACCTCTTGGCCAGGGCCACGGGTGGTCGGTTTGTCTTGCGCATCGAAGACACAGACCAGGTGAGACCAAGACATGTAGAGCTCTAAGCCCCGTCCATTGCTCATCCAGCAGTAGACTCGCCGCGTAGCAGATGCGGAAGAGAAGCTGTATCAGGACCTGAGATGGGTCGGACTGTCATGGGATGAAGGTGAGTCCCGAGTCGACGGACTCCGACTCGACACAATGCTCACAACTCTGGCAAGGCCCTGATCGCGAGGGGCCATATGGTCCTTATAGACAAGTAAGCACTGTCTTAGCCCGAAGACGGCCATGAGCCTCGCGAGCTGACCGATACCAGTCGGAAAGGCTGCCTCTGTACAAAGAGCACGCCGATGAGCTCCTTCGCGAAGGTAAGGCGTATAGGTGCTTCTGCTCGCCCGAGGAGCTGGAGCAGCACAAAAGGACGGCCCACGAGTCCGGGCAACCGACCCTTTATCCGGGCACATGCCGGAATCTCTCGCTTGATGAGTCGGATGAGCGTGCCCATAACGGAGAGCCGTTCGCCATCCGGTTCAAGAGCTCCGAGGCACCGCCATTGGTCAAGGACATCGTCTACAGGCGCTTCCAAAACAAATACCCCGAGGACGACTACGTTATCATAAAGCGTGACGGTTTCCCGACGTATCACTTTGCCAATGTCGTTGACGACCGTCATATGAAGATCACCCACGTCGTCCGGGGAGCTGTGAGTCGAAGAAGATGTCTTACTCTACGTAACCCCAGCTGACTCCATGCCCCGTCTTGTTCAGGAATGGCTCATTTCGACTCCGAAACACGTCGACCTGTACAACGCGTTCGGATGGGAGCCGCCTCAGTTCGCCCACCTCGGCCTGCTTGTGGACGAGAAACGGCAGAAGCTGAGCAAACGGGACAACTCGGCCAACATCGCCTGGTACCGAGAGCAGCTCTTTCTCCCCTCCGCCCTCCTAAACTTCACCGTCTTGCTGGGCTCCCGTGGCAAAGGGGGAAGCGATATCATGACCCTGCAGGACATGGTCGACAACGTGAGTCGTACATTCCCGTTTCTGCCGAGCTCCTGTTCCTTTTTTCAGCACCTAAACCGCTTCTCCTAGTTCTCGCTCAAATTCAGCAAGGGCGACATCGTAGTACCCACGTCGAAGATACCCTTCCTGCAAGGCAAGCATGTCGAGCGCCTCGTACGAGAAGGCGAAGACCAGACCTCTGCCGGGCCTCTCATCAAAGCCTGTATCGTCGACCCCATCAAAGCCCAGATCGATGCCGTCGAGAAGGCCAAGGATGAGGGCCTCACGATGGCCCCCGGCGGCATCGAAACGGCATACATCGGCAGACAGCTTCCCACCATCCACCTCCTAGAGGAGCGTTTCCACAAGGACCTGGTAGACACGCTGGGCTTCTTGGCGCCCGGGCCCGAAACCCCGAAAGAACGCATCGAACGCAGCGTGTCCAAGCTAAGGTACTTTTTCTGGGAGATTCCGGAACGCGTGCTCGAGATCATCCTCCGAGAAAAGGGCCCCGTCGAGCCCGTCATCCCGCGCAACGAGCCCGGCAAGGTGGGCGAAGCGTTAGCGTGCATGACGGAGAAGATCCGCGCCGTGGACGAGAGCGACTGGAACCGCGATGTTCTGGGCAAGCTCCTGTCGGAGATGACCCAGGGGGACAAGAAGGAGTGGGAACGACGGTTCGGCCGCGCGGACGAAGCACTTGATGTGCGATCGCTCGTGTACAAGACCATCCGGTGGGCGCTGCAGGGCATGCAGAAGGGCCCGCCCATCCCGCCCATCATGGAGATACTGGGCAGGGAGGAGACGCTCAGGAGACTCGAGGCTGCGAAGCTTGTTGCCGAGGGATTGGCTGCGCAGGTGGATGGGACAGCCGCTACGCAAAGCGCTGCCTCCGTCGGCGGCCTAGAGAGTGGTCAGATCTAGGAGCAAAAGCAGCCCTTAAGCCGTGGTTCCCTCTCTGGGAGTGTGTAAAACAGTGTAAAACAAGGAGTTCTGTTAGACTAGACGCATGTACAATGCATGTACAATACCAACGCCAAGGAAGCATTCCGTGTCTCCCAGAGCGCCGCCTTGTGCCCCATCTAATTAGGTATTCCACGATTCATCAGTTCGTATCCGTATGACTTTTCTTTTCTTTTTTTTTCTCCCGGGCCTCAAACTCAAACCCCTTACCCCTCTCGTTCCCGTTAGGAACTAACACTACTGAATATCTGCGCCTTCACCTCCGCCGCCATCAGCCCAGCCCTCTCCTTAGCCGCAATCTGCCCAACATCCTGCACAAGCTTCTCGATGACCTGATCACCCGCTGCTGCCTTCAGACTACCAACACCACCACCAGCTGCACCTCCTCCTCCCCTCCCACCACCACCACCACCACCACCATCCCCATGGACCCTCAACCCACTACTACTACTACTACCACCATGACCGCCGTGACCACCACCACCAGTAACACCATCCATCAAAGCCGCCACGGCAGCCGCCGAAGACGCGGCTTTCCCGCCGGACCGCGACACGCCCGCGGCGGCGTCCAGCACGCGCTGGGCGACGTCGCACATGCGGCTGCTGGCATAGTCGCGGTTGCTCAGCAGCGGGTTCTGGGCTAGCGTCTGCACCCAGTACTTGTTCCACAGCAGCTCGAGCAGCTTGCCGTCGAGTGAGCTGCGGTAGTGCTCGACCTCGAGCGCGTAGTACTTGCTCGCGTGGGCGCCAAAGTCTTCCACCTTGGCCAGGGGCACGCTCTGGCTTTGGCTTCCGCCTCCGCCTCCGCCGTGCGTAGTATTTGTAGTAGTAGTGGTGGAAGAAGAAGCAGGGGGTTGGTAATCGTCCGGGTACGTGCGGAAGGCGCCGATCTCGACCTTGTTGGCAGAGACCGTGCGGTCCGGGTCGATGACGACGGCGACCATAGGCCCCTGTTTCTGCTGCAGCTTCTGGGTCTCGACGTCGATGCCCGAGAGCCAGCAGCCGTAGCCCGGGTGCGAGTGATACCAGCCGACGACGTTCTCCTGACGGGACTCGGCGCGGCAGCTTTCGAGGTACTGGATCAGGTACTCGTCGGCCTCGGCCTGCGCGTTGACGCGGGTCTCGGTGCCCTCGACGGGTAGGCGGAAGGCGTCGGTGACGACCAGGGCCGTGCCGTCCAGGTAGCCCTGCATGATGCCCATCACCTCGAGCGACCCGCCGGAGCGGGCGTGCATGACCATCTTGATGAGCGCGACCGGGGAGATGCGGACAGTTTTGAAGTAGTGGGGGTCGGTCATCCACGGCCGGGCCCTGTTGATCTCGACTTGGCTATCCGCTGTGTAGTTGAAGAGCGCATCGCGCTGGCGGTCGACCAGCTTGTCGGTTAGAGGGAGCTCTAAAGAGAACGCATTGCGTGTTAGCTGTGGTGTCCTTTGTATTGCCCGCTGTACCCTTAGAATGGAGAAAAATAGAACTGTTTACCCATTGTTCCCGTGCAGTTCCACAACTGTTGCTGAGACCTGCTTGAAAATGAACTGACCGACGTTGGGAGCTTTGGTGTAGAATGAAAGGGCATTGGATTGTCGAGAAGTCGATGGAGGGGCTGCCGCCTGGCGCCTGGTGAGCTCCGATAAGATAACAACCCTGCCGTCAAGGTGCCAGGATTGCCACTGGCAGGGTTACCAAGCAGCAGCAGTTCAAGTTACATCCTTAGATCAATCAGTGCCCCAAAGTCTGGTTCACATGGAATAGAGCAAAATGAACCGCAATGACGGCCGAGAACTAGATATTCTAGGTGAATGTGCATGAATATGTGCGAATATGTTTATATCAAGACCTACAGGTATGCAGTCAGCTACACCTTTTGTGTATTCGCTAGTCAGCTACAGCAAGCAGCCTGAGCCAAAAATCGAAACTCCCCCGATGTACTCCAGAAAATGCGATGACAAGGGATAACTGTTGCCTCCCCCCATCTCTAGGATATCGCCCCTCCTTTCTATCCGTAAGTGCTGTGCCGAAACATATATGATTCAGAGGGGGAAAAATGGAGAAAAAAAGAAAAAGTATATACCATCACCACCAATCCAGGTGCGTGCGTGGCATCTCTCACCTCGCCGACCGATTACTAGTTATCCTCCTCAGCGTGCCATAGCCCTCCTCTTCGTCGTCGTCCTCCTCCTCGTTCTCACCAATATTACCACCACCACCACCACCAGCAGCACCAGCCCGCTGCACAGCGGTATTCTCCCTCGCGCCCAACCGACTCGCCAGCGCATTGATCTTCTCTCTGAACCCGGCCCTGCCTATCCCCACAATCCGCTTCCGCTCCGGACTACTACTACTAGTAGTACTGCTGATAGTCGTAGTGACACCCACCTCCACATCCTGATGATGAGGATGAGGATGAGGATGAGGATGATGATGATTATGATTATTGTTACCGGTATAAATACTCGTATTCGACCGCCGCGGCGACGACGTGCTCAGGCCGCCGCCGCTGCTACCCGGCCTGCTCGTCTCGCCGCCGCTGCTCCATGGCCGAGACCAGCCGCCACTCGAGGTCGGCCTGAGCAGATTGCCAAACCCACCACCGCCACCACCGCCGCTAGTCTTGTTCTCAGACGACGACGACGACGAGGTAGCCGTAGAAGGCGGCATCAGGAAACTGGGCACCGCACCCGAAGCCTGTGTCTGGACCGTGACGTGGCTGGCGCCGGAGCGTTGGGAGCGCATGGACGACGCGACGCTGGAGGCCCTGCTGCTGGGGCGGTGCGGCGGGAGGGGGATGGAGGACGTGTTGGAGCGGCGGATGGACTGGGGCGGAGAGCGGGAGAAGTCGACGGGCGAGTTGCCGTAGAGCGAAGACGAGTCGTCGCCGCTGGTGCTGTAGTTGTTGTAGTTGCTGCTGTTGTTGTCGCGCGGCGAATCCGCGCCGGCTGTCGTACTAGCGAGGAGGACGGAGCTGGTGGCGAGCTCGCGCAGCTTGGACTGCTGGGCGGTGTTGGGGCGGTGCTTGGAGAACTTGTTGCCGATGATGGCGCCCGTGTGGCTGATCAGGGCCTTGATGACGCGGCTCTTGAGCGCCAGGGCGAGGTCCAGGTTGGACCACGTCTTGTTGCGGTACTCGATGGTCGGCAGGCGGAAGACGAAGTCGTGCACGTCCTCGAAGTTGCGGTCGCCTTTGCCCTTGTAGCTCAGGCAGAGCACGACCGAGGGCATCTTGATGTAGGCGAAAGTCATGTAGTTGGACGCGCGGTCCATCATCTTGGAGAGGTCGTCGGAATGCTTGGCCTTCTCGCCCTCGCCGTGCCCGCGCCGCAGTCTGAAACGCGATCCTTGTTTGGCCTCGCTGTTCACGGAGGCGGTGTCCTTGGACGACAACCCGGTCGACGTCCTGCCGATACCAGGCCGCGGCGTGTTCACGCGCAGCGAGTCATAGGACCGCTTCTTGGCCATGGACTTGAATCCCGTGCCCGATCGGAAGAGCCGGAAGGACGTGCCTTCGCCCGAGTGAACGCTCAGCGCCTTGTGCTGGATAGACGCTGCTGCGTCCGGGTCGGAGGTCAGGGTTGGCCGCAGACGGAGCTCGAGAGACCCGGCTCGCGTGGCGAATGGCACCCCGAGATGCTCTGGGTCCTGGTCGGCCGTTCCGAGACGGATCGATTCCTCCAAGGACTCGCTGTCGTCCTCGTCGTCCTCCTCCCCTGGCGGGGATTGCTTGATCATGAACGGCGAGTCGTTCTTGCCGTCGGCCACTTTGCCCCCGTCGGTGCCCGGGAAGATGTACTCGAAGAGCTTCTTTCCGATCTCGCGCTCGAGCTGGATCTTGAGCGGGAAGAGCGTCACCTCGACGTGGTCCATGACGGGAATGCCGGCAATGGCCTCGAGCATGTTCCAGTACACCCGGATCATCGGCTGCGAGGCCGGGTCAAACCCGCCGCGGTCGCCCTCGACGTAGGGCGCCACCATCACCGGGTAGATGGCGTCCGGAAGCAGGTTGAGACCGAGGATCTTGCCGACCTGGACGAGGTTGATGTGCGATCCGTCCGAATTGTCGATCCGGTCGTACTCGACGTCCTTGAGCTGCAGCTCGACGAGGGGCTCATTGTTGTCCCGGATCAGCTGCCACACAATGTCCTTGGCCATGAGGCTCCACTTGAGGAGGGCACTGCTCGTGGTGTTGTCGAACTTCCGCTGCGACGAGGTGATGGCCTTCATCATGAAGAACAGCTCGTCCTCGCACGCCGCCAGATCACGCTCCAGCACCAGCCGGTCTTTCCAGCCCTTCTTGTCCAGCTGCCGGGAGTGGATCTGGAAGTGCAACTTGATCTCCTCGAGCTGCCGGACGCGCTCCTGGAGCCTGATGACCATCTCGGGGACGCCCCTCAGGTCGCTGAAGTCAGAGGCGAGCATGATCTTCTCGAGCCTCTCGTTCCGCGTCTTCTCCAGCGGCTCGCTGTACATCAGGAGGTCGAGGACGATGACGTAGATGGCGTAGTACTGCGACGAATTGCACAGGGCGTGGGCCTGTGGGAACTCGACCCAGATGTTGTCCGTCCGGCTCTCAGTGGTGTTGGTGTCCTGCACGGCGGCCCCCGCGGCCTCGCTAGTGTTGACGTCGTCGTTGTACTTGAGACGCAGCGTGTTGAACTTGTCGTAGCGGAGCAGGGCTGACGTCTTCTGCACGACGCGCTTGAAGCCGAAGGGGTCGGAGTTGAAGTCGAACATGACCTCCATCGGAACCCAGGGCGGCCACGACGAGCCCGACGGGGTGCCGTACCGGTTGCCGGAATACATGGACACCAGCTGCGTCGAGAACCACTTCTGGTGCGTGACGAAGAACTGCGTGCTGTCCATGTTGACGAGGAAGCGCCGCTGGACAAGGCCGCTGACGTTATCCGACATCCGGCTCTTGTCGAGAACCTGGACGACCTTGAGCTCCATGCCCTTGGACGTCATGAGGACCACGTGCTTCTTGTTCTTGTCGCTCTGCAGCTGGATCTGCGGCGCGATCAGGCGGACGTGGTAGCTGTCCTGCGTCGTGAACTCATCGGCAATCCCGCTCGACAGGTCGGCCATGCACGGATGCGCGCCGTCCGGGTCGTCGGAGCTTGCGAACTTCTTGCTGTCCTGCAGGATCCTGCGGATCCGATCCTCAATGTCCTTGCCGCTGGTGTGGTCCGACCCGTTCGCGTCGGCGGTGGTGCTGCTGCTGCTGCTGGCGCCGGGGGTTGTGGCATTCAAGCTGCCGCCTTTCCCTGCTTTGGACTTGGTCTGCTCGTCCACCAGATCCATGATGAACTTGACTGCCGGCCGCGACAGGTAGTACATAAAACCCCGGCGCTGGCCGACCTGGTGGATGTAGCGCAGGATGATGTTCCTGAGCGTGTTGTTCCATTTCAGCTGCAGATTGTGGACCACAAACCGGTTTTTGAAGTCGCTCGCGAACTCGGCAGCGGCAGGCGTAGTCATGCATCCCTGGATGCTCTGAGCGGACCGTGACGCGCGAGATGCTTCATCATAGCCTGTAGGCTCTCGGCCGTCGTGGCTATCCGAGGGAGAGCGCGGCGTCATCTCGTCCAGCATGCCCTGCAGGAATCCCTTCTTCCCGTTGAGGACCCCGGTGTGGCGGGTTAGGAGCTCGAACTCGGTTCTGAGGTCCGAGTCTTCGCCGGCGAGGTCTTCGCGGATGAGCTGCAGTTCAATCTGGCCTAGGTTCCGCTTGTGCGTCTCCATCTGCTCGTCTAGCTGTTCCAGCCGCCGACGGATGAGCTGGGCCTGCACCCTCCTGGGGTCGTCGTCCTGGCTCATGACGCAGAAGTGGGTTGGCTCGTTGCCGAAGGGGCTGGTCCGGTCTGGATCGCCGTCGATCACGCCGTTGATGTCCGTCTGGCGGAAATACGTGATGCGCGGGGCGAAGGCCAGCGGCAGGATCTTCGTGTCCGGGTTCGGCTCGGTCGGCAGGATCCAATCCAGCTCCACGAAGTCGTCCATGTCGATCCACGTCAGATCGTTGTCGGGTATCGTGAAGCGAGACAGGTCCGTGCCGTCCCCTTCCTGGTCCGTGATGAAGGTTGAGAGGGACTGTCTCAGCATGGCATCTGCTGTTGTGGCTGCTCGGATGCTGGCTGAGACAGCGCGGATGTCTGCGGACACGAGATCGAGCTGCCCGGCGTGGATCTTCATGCCGCTCGTCCTGGTCTGCGTCTTGCGGCCACGGTCTCGGGTGTTGAACTCTTCGCGCCGCTGGTGCAGGTCGAGGATGAAGCTGTCAAGCCGGACCTTGATACCCGTCGCCGAAACAGCATTCTCGGAGTAGTCCTCGGCATCTTTGTGCTTGTATATGTGGCTGAGGAACAAAGGCGCGAGCATGAGGTTGTATTTGATGGTAGCGAGATGCCGCCCGAACTTCTTGCTGTTCTTCTCCCGGCCCGGCCAGAGAGACCCTTGCCGGATCGGGAGAGAGAGCGGCCCGGAGAAGAGAGACCACCAGGCGTAGAAGTGGGTGAAGAAGCGGGGAGTGAGGTGGACGGTGTTGTAGCTGCGCGACGGCTCGGTGATGGACCCCGACCACTCCCGGTCAACCGGGGCCCGGACGGCGACTGACAGATGGATGTGCTGGCTGCGGAACCCGCGGAAGGCGTCATACGGAATGCTGCCCTGCGGTTGAGCATGAGCATGAGCCGGAGACTTGAGCACGACCTCGTAGTGCGGCTTGAACTCGAAGCTCCTATTGCCGTGCTCAAGCGCCCGCTCAAAGACGAGGCCGGCCAGCCACTGCACTTTGCCCGAGAGTTTCACGACCACCTTTTTGAAGGAGGCGCGGGACGGCTGTAGGCTGGAGTCGCTCGTGATGCTCTCGTCCTCGCCATGTTGACGGCGTGCCTCGTGGACCTGATGGCTGTAATCCGGGACCGCCAGGACGTACTCGCCGCTGTCAATAATCATGAAGCGCTTGGGGTCGTCCACCGTGTTAATGCTCCACCTCACGTCGTTCCGGAAGCACATGAGGAACCCTGCACCGTTGCCCGTGATCTGGTACGGGTCTCTGCTGCCCTTCAATGCCAAGTGGACATCGCCGTCGCCCCGCCAAGCCACTCTGATGCGGGAGTGGAAGTTGAGCCGGATCTTGTCCCAGAAGCCGACCCTCTCGGAAGGATCAAGCTGCGGCTTCGTCATGGACTCGATGGCCATCATCATGTCTTGGATCGCGGGCTGGTACGACGGGCCCCATGTGATCCGCGTCGGGTTGGCCGTGTGGATGTCGATGCTCATGTCCGAGAAGGTCTTGACCGGCCCGATCGTCCTGCGCACATCGACCGCAAAGCTCCCCTCGTTGGACGCAATCGGATCTGGGTTGCGTGGCGGCACGATCGGGACCCTGATCTTGCGGGTAGATTCTTGGCCGCGGTATTCCTCCGCGATAACAAAGTCCGTTGTCATAGCAAGGGCCGGAAGCCGAACGGACTGGTCAGACTTCGTCGCCGGGACATGCAAGAACGGCAACGGGTAATCCCTGAGGGTGATTCTCGCTTCTCCCAGGTTCACTTGGAGGCTCATAGGGACGAGAAGCGCGTACTTCATGTCCCTCGGCATGCCCTTTCCGACCTTGTGCAGGAAGTTTGGAAGCTCCTTCATCGGAAAGGATGGTTTGTCGACGACGATATGTAGGTCGTTGATGAGCGCTGCCATGAGCGCGGGCCGCTGTGGAACCTCTAGGATCTTCTCGTTGTCGTCCAAGTCCTCGGGGATTTCGTCGGCACCCCAGAAATGCGAGCGGATGTCTTTGGTTGCATTCCTGGACATGTCATACTGCTGATCGATGCGTTGCTTCCAGCTCCGAGCATTGTGCACGTTCAGCTTGTGCCTTGCCTCGGCGATGGAGACGCGAGCGCTTCCGCTGATTGCTTGCGCACCGGCCTCCGGATCGTACCTCGGTGCCCGGCCGCGCTTGTGTCCCACACTGGCGGACCGCCGTTGGCGATCGGCGCTGCGGCTTCTGGCATGGGACGCACCGGGACTGGGAGGCCCGCCTTGCGGCGCCGCCGACCGAGCGCGCATCTTCTTAGCTAGCCCTTTCCTCGCTTCTTCTTCGTGGATCTTCTTGACCTTGACACGGAAAGCCTCCTCACGCGCCTGGCGCTGCATCATCTCGACCAGGCCGGCGCGGTAGATGACCCCCAGCTTCCATTCGAACGCGCCGTCTTCCAGCTCGAACAGGAAACTCTTAGTGCGGAAGGAGACTTTTGGCACGTTCTTGGGACCTTCCGGTCCTTTATCGAGAATATACTCGTTTGTGCCGGTCTTGAACCGGTGGTGGAGCTGTTGGACAGACTTGAGCGTGGTGACAAAGTTATCCGTAATCTTGTAGATCACCATCTCGTGAGGCACGGCCAACCGGATGCTCTCCGAGACGACATCAAACATGCGGTCCTCGCGCAGACCCCCGCCGGTGAGCTTGTGCCGTGACTCGCGGTAGTCCACTCGGAGGTTCTTGACGCTGACGATCCGAGCCCAGACCCTGCGCATTCTGGGAGCTTCGGCATACAGACGGGTCAGTTTCGCCTGCAGGAACGGGGCCGACCATCGATGGCGCCCGGCCTCCATGTTGTAGATGTGGAGCATCACGGGCGGTTCCGAAGGCAAGTCGGCCTTGACCTGGATGAGCGTGGCCCGGACGTCGACAGCGACCAGCTCGGGCGTGGGCCACCAGGAGTCGACGTCGTTCAAGGAAATATCGGGAACCACGCCGGCCGGAGGCGGCGATAGGTGACCGACTACCCGTCTCTGCGGCGACATGGGCGGAGTCATTGGTGGCTCCGGTGGCTCCGGCCGCTCCCTGCTGGTCCTCATGAAAGCCTTTCGCAGACTCGATACGGCCACGCCCACGGCATAGTGGCGGTACAGGGAGTACTGGACAAGAAGAGTCCTGATGTGCGAGTAGATGTGAAACACCGGGCCCTGGTGGTCGCTCAGCGTGGACAACGCAACTTCAAACTTGGGCACGTTTATGAAGGGCTCGAATTCCCACTTCTCTGCCGACTCGACCATGAAGACCTCGAAGCCGCGGGCGTGCAGGGATATGCGGCGACCGTCGCCCTCGTGGTGGTATTTCTTCCTGGGGGACGCTGGAATAGCCTTCAGAATCTCGCTTTCGGGAGACATCATGCCACGACTGCTAGCTCTCCGTCGAGAGGGCCGTCGCTGCAGCCCTTCCAGTCGCTGGGCACGGTACTCCGCTGACCATGATTCCAGCTGGATGGCAACACCTTTCGAGTCCTCCGAGATATCCTTGTCCACGCCCGCAACCTCGATGCTGCAGTCTGAACACTGCAGTTGGAAATGAAGGAGCCAAGCGGGCAACGCGCGCAGGAAGTTGGAATGTTTGGGCGTTCTGGAGACGGCGCGTTTGTCTGGCTCGACATTGAGCCGCAGCTGGCGTACGATCTGGCGCAGGCCGTCACGGATCTCCTCCCGAACCATCCTCAGCGTGAAGGTTTCCAGATTGCCAGTGGCAACGACGTGGACGTCTGGCGACGCGTTGAGCTGCACTTTCAGATCGAAATTCTCCGTCTCGAGGAGGTCGAATCGGCTCCCCGCGGAGGTTTGGTAGTACAGATTGTGCGTTTGGACTCTCATGGTCGCAGCCAGTGAATAATGCAGTGCCTCAACCGTTGAATGGAAGGACTCCATGTCCAAGGACACAGCGGATATGGAGGAGATAATAAGGTCAAACTCGTCGGGATCTGCCGACGACTGAACAGGCGGAAGCGCAATCCTTAAGACCGGCTCATGCATGGAGAATTTGATGTTCGCTTTGGGGAGGAGTCGCGAGATGAGCATGTGGCGCTGTTGTTGCGGGCGCGCCTTTGCCGGTTTGGGATTCCGTTGCAGCATCGCCAGAAGGAGAGGGAGATGCCGCGGGTCAAGGTCGACCGACGGAGATGTCACGACAGAGTTGGCAAAGAGGATGTTCGCATTCCGCTGCTCAGCCGTGCCCTCATCCGTCAGCTCTACCGTCTTCGACGGAAGTGTGGTCTTGGCAGTCGTGGTCGCCATGGGGATGTACATGATGCGCTCGGGTCTGCCGTGTCCATCATCGAGGCCGATCGAAATGGACAGTGCGGCAACCAATGCCTCGTGGGCGATATCCTTGGAGGGGAAGTACATCCTATGCGCAGCCGACTTCGGATCTAGTCGGTGGAGATCAATGCCTACTTCTTTCATGGAAGCAGTGAGAAGCATCGGGGAACCCGCGGGCCTGACGCGGTCGATCTTCTTGGTGAGCCCAACGTAGCTGACGGCAAACTGGACTTCTTTGATGCCTTTGAGAACCGAGCTGACAAGCTCCTTCGAATCGGACACTGTCTGCATCAACTCGCGGTTGGTGCTGCCCGGAACGTCAAGCTCCTGGAACACACGGTCAACAACGTCATCGACGGGCTCAGGCTGGGCATAGCCTTGCCCGATCTGGGATCTGATCTTTTTGTATTGGTCGAGGCTATGGCGCACATCGTCGTAGGGGATATGGAGGCGGCCGAGCTTGAGGGCGATGGCCGTGTCGCGAAGGCCATCAAGCGCTTCGTACAGGTACCCGTGGATGTTCAAGGTAGCGCTATCCAGGACCTCTAGGGCCTCCCCGCCTTCCGTACTGAATAGCACACTGCGGAGCGTCATGATCCATTCGGCTTGCTCGTTGTGCCGTCCCTTCTCCGCCTTTCCCTGCAGGAAGAAACGAGCGCGATCCACCATCTTGCGCCGTGTGTCCACCGCAACAGTCAAGCTGCCCATCTGCATGTTGCCCACTCCCGCGATGCTCACAGTTGAGTTGGTAGCCACCACGTCCACCATCCGGAGCCAGTCGACGCTCCGGTGAAGGCGCTTGATGCGCTCCTTCAGCCTCGTCAACCGTTTCCATGTCTTGCTCCGCTCATCCGGGTCGATCTCGCGGCGGACAGGCCTCGGCGTCTGTGGCGTTCTGGGGGTCGTCGGTTTGGGATCTAGCTCGGCAACGTCGGAGTCGGAGTCCCCGTCCGCGGATGCGAGCCCCTCAGCCTTAGACTTCTCCAGCTCTCCAATATCTATCGTGACGGCAAACTCGTCCACCACAATACTCAACCACGTCGGCTGGGCGAAGGTGGGCCGGTGGACGTTGAGGCCCAGGCCCCTGATCTCGATGCGTATGCCATCGCGCGGCGTGTAGGCGAGCCGCCGGAGCGAGAAGTAGCCAATGCGCTGAATGGATATCCCCGTAAGTATGCGGAGGACAGCGAACAGAACGAACGACGACAGGTAAAGGAGGACTAGAATGCCGAAGATGAAGGTCGGGTTAAGGAGGGCCATTTCGACCGCGCATGGGGCGACAGGTACCGGCGGAGCGCTCGTTCGTCGCGTAGCGAACCCGCCCTCCAATCCTCGACTAGACCGGGCTACGGGGGTAGAGCCAGATGTACGGCCCGGCCTTTCGTGTTTACTCGCGTGACATGCTGAGCAAAACCATCCTCAGATCCGTTCGTTCAGGTCAGGTTCCGTTGCTGCAACGCTGCGCCGTAGTCCCTAGTGTGTTCGTTCCGAGTCCTCCAACACTGCGGCGCAAAAATGGGCCGCTGCAAACGGTCTCGGAAACGGGGCACTAAACGCAAGTGCGACCGGTTGTCGAAGGGTTTGGCGTTGTCGAGGTATGGACGAGAAAGGGAGGGAGTGAAGTGCAAGCATCCATGCCAAGGAAATTGATGAACAGCTGGATCCAATTCGAGATGGGATGGAGTCTCTGAGATGAACCCCCACCGAAACATGCCAATCCAACCCAGGTTATTAGCCTCTTGTGCACATCAGCGCGAAACCCCGGGCAGAGCTTCTAGACCCCACTTCCAGACGACGTCGTCCAAATTGACGGTGTTTAAGAGCAATGAAGATAAAATAGGTACGGAATGAATATATACAGAGCTTAAGGTAAGGTATCGTTGTTCATTTCCGTGGACGCTCGGGGCCGGCTAACTTGTGAAGCAAGCTACAGGTGCAGACGGACAAGTGGTGCTACCCCACTGTGGGAGGAAACCACCAAGTCGTCTTGGCATTGCATTTGACGGCACAGGTGAGAACAACAAAGGCCGGGCAGGTAGAACAATGGCCGGGCAGCCAAACCGCCCAATAGTTGATGCATCTATCGCAATGCCATTGTACATACTGTGTTCCTTAGTAAGCCGCATTTGCCAGCTACCCCTTTTCTAAGCTCCTAGGTGCCTAGGCTCCTATGACGGTATGATACATTCAATAGGGTTAAGTGTGACGAAACCTCAGGCAGTCCTTGTGACGAAACCACAGGCAGTCCTGCCTCTGAAAGGGTTCGCCGGTCGAAGGTAACTGCTGGTCGGACTGTAGGTCTCGGTGAAGCCAAAAGGTTCACAACAATGCTTGCCGCAATGTCTGCACAATAGGTATGGGCTATTGCTTGTAATTGCTCACTGGAGAACTCCCAGAGTCCTCCATAACGAATGACTATATACCTAGCCGGTCCTGTTGGCTCGCCGTCGTTCGACGGCTACCGTGGTCTACCCTCGATCGCCTTGGGTAGGCGGCTACCCAAGTCTATCATGATCGCTCTCGCTCGCCGGCGACCCTGAGCTACCCAGGTCGTCCTTATGCGGCCGCCTGCGGCTTTTACCCCTGCTGATTGGTTCTGCCTGTTTCCGTCGTGCCCCACCGGGTCTTGCTATATGGTTGGTTCGTGACAGTCCTGCCTCTGAAAGGGTTCGCCGGTCGAAGGTACTGCTGGTCGGACTGTAGGTCTCGGTGAAGCCAAAAGGTTCACAACAATGCTATTTGCAATGTCTGCACAGTAAGGTAGGGCTACTCTACTGTTTGTATTGTTCACTGGAGAACTCCCAAAGTCCTCCAGAACGAGTGACTATATACTAGCTATTTCCTGTAGACGCCCGCGCTCGCCGTCGTCCATCAGCATCCATGCGGGGCACCCTGCTGCTTTGTGCTCTCTGATTGGTAACCCTATCGCCTGCATGGCCCCACCAGGTCGGGTTATATGGTTGGTTCGTAACATTAAGCTGGCTATTTGTGACACTCAATTCCATTAAACTAAGCCTAAAGAAAAGAAAGAAAAAAAGTTCTAAATAGCCGACTTAGAATTATATAAAGATATTTTCTTATTTATAGATTATATAACTTATATCCTACTTTATCTGTTCTACTAAAGAAGTTAAAGGTTTAACTACTAGTCAGAATAACACCTCTATTAACCGTAATATTTATAAGCTCCTAATATATTATATAATTAGTATTATATATATATATATATGTGATGACTAAATGCAATTAAATAGGGTCAAGCCGGCTGTTGTTGTCATTCTATTTCGTAAATCTAAGGTTGAGGAAAGGAAAGAGAAGTTCTAAGTCAGTGGCTCAGAACATTACACGAAGATATTCCTGATTTGTGGGTCATGTGACCGGTGCTCCACAACAGCCGTCAATTAGAGAGCTCGTGAGTTCGACCCCACTTAGACCGACACCCATACTAACCGTGACAATATATATATAAATAGAGACAGTATAGTTTACTAACTTCTATTATCCCTAGCATTAAGACAATACTATTAATATGATGAAACCTCAGGTAGTCCTACCTCTAAAAGGGTTCGTGTCATGAACTAACTATATATGGCGGCTGGGTGGGGCGCGACCCCGGAACCCCGAGCCAATAGCCGGCAGGGACGGCAGGATCACCAAGATCAATCGGGGACTAGTGATCTCGGTGAGCGGCTCACTCACGATCACCGGGCCGAGGTGATCGCTGGTGATCCAGGTACGGAGATACCTAAGGGAGGAAGCTGTATATAGTTCTACCATTCTGTCACTTATTCAGATAGCTAGCTTCCTCCCTTAGGTATCTTCGTACCAAGATTACTGTGACGGTGGAACCCACCGTACCATGGCACAGGCTATTGCTTAGTCATGTGCTGTGACGAAACCACAGGCAGTCCTGCCTCTGAAAGGGTTCGCCGGTCGAAGGTATCTGCTGGTCGGACTGTAGGTCTCGGTGAAGCCAAAAGGTTCACAACAATGCTTGCCGCAATGTCTGCACAATAGATAGAACTTTTGCTTGTAATTGCTCACTGAGGAAGCTAGCTATCTGAATGAGTGACAGAATGGTAGGTCTATATACAGCTTCCTCCCCTAGGTATCCCCATACCTAGATGTCCGGAACATTTGGAACAATTGTTGTTTTCGTTGTTCCATCTGGAACAACGTTCCTTGGCGTTGTTCCTTGGGAACAATCGTTCTTGGCATTGTTCCCAATCTCTCCAATCCTCATTGGTCCTTCCCGGCTTGTAATGATTGGACGCGGGCGCCGCCCGTCGACCATGCAGGTCGGCCCCCACCGGCCTCTGCAGGTTAGTTCATGACAATTGGACGGCCTTATTTGGGCATATCTATGGCTTTATCATGTATTGTATGGCTCTGTTGGGCGGTTTGGCTGCCCGGCCATTGTTCTACCTGCCCGGCCTTTGTTGTTCTCACCTGTGCCGTCAAATGCAATGCCAAGACGACTTGGTGGTTTCCTCCCACAGCAGCATTTCGAGACATGGACTCAGGGCTCGGAATTAAGAACGCCGAAAACGGGAGTGCCCAGGGGAGCACCACATGTCTGGGTCCCTCCTGAACTCACCCTTGTGTAATGAAAGTCAACGAGAGCATCGATTCAAGTTTCAATAATGGAGCTCGAATCGAGGGATGTATTCTGTACATATGATTACATGCAAACAACTGTTGTGCGCACGCACACTACCGTACAGACTCTGCGCTCAATAGGTACAGCCGACGAACCCTGCCAAAACACCTAGGCACTACTAAGTACTATTACTACTAACAACCCTCACTGCAACAGACCTCATCTCCCACTTGCCCACAACTCAACAGGCTCATTATTTGCCGCCGCATATTTGACCTCAAGCTCTGCCGGCCCGCTCCAAAGACCACATTGATACGCATTACCGATTTCTCCCTTCATCTGCGCATAATCCGGATACCCCTGGGCTTGTCCAGGGAAGACCGGCGGAGGATGATAGTGAGAATAACTGGAAGAGTCAACCGCAGCAGCAGCAGGAGGAGGCGGAGGAAGCTGAGGGTAGCCGCCTTGCTGCTGAAGCCTTCTCTTCTTCGACCGTTTCCGCAACACGAGGTACCCCAACAACACGACTAAAACAAAACCTAGCGTCGCTCCCACCGCAGTACCCCCGATTAGACCCGCCGGCGGCGGTGCCGACGACGAAGCTTCGCGGGAATCGCCATCCGGGGGAAGCGACGTCTGAGCGACATTGGTGGCATTGGCACTACTAGTAGTACCAGTGGTACTAGCCATGGCGGTAGTTGAAGACGCCAGTGCCGTCGTGGTGCTCTCCTCGGGCGTCGTCGACGTACTCGTTGCCGAGCTGAGCCCGACCGACGCCGACGATGTAACCCCCGCCTGGGCCGCCCGCTGGAGATCTCCATGCTGGATGTTGCAACGCACCACTTCGTGCGCCGGGAACTCTGGGCTGCAGCTCGTCAGGCGCGGACAGCACGCCTCGGTGGTGCCCTCGGCGAGGTTGGTGCAGGGCACCGAGTTGGGTTCCTCGCAGGCGGATGGCTGGTCGATGTAGCAGTTGTCGGTGGCGTTGCTGTTCGGAAGGGGGGCCAGGTGAGCATGATGATGATTACTAGTAACCAGAAGTTGAATGGGGGGTTGGAAGAGAGAACGAACCCGCCAGTGCAGCACCAGCCTTTCCCTAGGTATTGCTGGCAAGACGGGAACTCCTGGCCTCGTCGTACGCCTAGCGCCCGTGAGTGAGGGCATTTCAGAGGGTACTCCAACCCGGAGGAACTTACAGCAGAGCGTTTTGCCCGGGCTGCAGAGCGCATTGCTTGCGATGGGGCCGAAGGCGTCAGAGCACTCGTCTCTCCCATACAGGAGGGAGAATGCATCTTCATGCCGCAGATTAGGATCCGGAGGCATCACAAGTATCGAGTGCCCGCTGCCCTTGCACGTCACGTAGTAATTTAATGCTCCGTTCGGGAACCTGATGGGGCCGAAACCAGAGGTAAATGGTATTTCGAGCGATCAACAGCAACCTACGAAGGGCATAGGACGGCGGCAGAGGCCATGATGCCGACACCAGAGATATAAGCCTGCGGAACGCTGCCGCGAATGTTGTTCGAGGCCAACAACACCGGTCAGCCAGCCTTGCCAACGCTGGTGAGCCATCGCGAGTTCCTGCAGCAATGCATCAAAGCCATAGACAACAGTCTAGCACTGTGTAATATGCTAGTTGAGAGACGAATGATGAGCAAAGAGATTTAGCGAGCGCATAGTTATGAATTATGGAGTTTTGCATAGGCGCCGAGGTTGATGGTATGTTCTTGCAGGCACGCACATAGCGAATCGCGATGGCGTTTTGGTCCCGACCGTTTGGTTCTAACCGTTAACTTGATGCTTGTATCTCGCGCCCGCCCCTCGACAGCAAGACACTGCCCCTACCTTACTTTCATGTTGATGCGCCAGAAGGTCTCAAGATGTGGTTGGTCTGGAATAAGCGACCGCACCTAGAGTTGGTAGCAGGTTTGGCCATGACCAGCGACCACCGTGCCGTGCCGCTCGATGATGGCCGAACCCGAAGACCTCAGGAGAGTTTGTTCAGGTTATGAGTGCGGGCGATCTGGCTTTCCTCGTCTTGTGCTTGGTTCCGATTACTTTCAAATTGTCTAGCTTGTCGTTTTCTCCCTTCTGTTTCTGTCTTCCTCTAATGTATTTGTGATGATGTTGATGCACTCTAGGATAAGGGGGCCGGCTTCCCACATCATTCTCTTGCTTCCCATTGTTATACTGCTGGTCTGCAGTTGGCTTCTCGTCCTCCAATTCCACCTCCAATGGGGTTGGATCCCCTCTGTTGATACCCCCTTCGTACAACCTCCCCCGGTCGAGATCGTCGTAGCGAGTCTCAAGAACGAGGACACTTCATGGGTCCATCGCTACCTGCCGGGCTGGTCGCGCCGCATCTATATCGTAGACGACCCCTCGGCCCCCATCACGGTTCCCCGCAACAAAGGCCGCGAGGCCATGGTTTATCTGAGCCACATCGTCGACAGCTACGAGGCCATCGCCCAGACAACCATATTTGTGCACGCCTCCCGCTTCGCCTGGCACAACGACGACCCGGATTACGACGGTCTGGCAACTCTCCGCAACCTTCAGCTGGACTATGTCCAAGCCTCAGGCTACGTCAACTTGCGCTGTGTCTGGATCCTCGGTTGTCCTGCTGAGATCAGACCGCACAGTGACGTAGCCACTGACTGGGAGCTCGGCAATGGCACTTCCAGCTCTGGCCGTCCGCTCACAACAAAGGAGATCTACAAGCCTGCGTTCGAGGAACTCATGCCCGGTGTAGAAGTACCTCAGCAGATCGGCGTCAGTTGCTGCTCGCAATTTGCGGTGTCACGCGAGGCCATCCACAGCCGGCCGAGGGAGGACTATATCCGCTGGCGGAAGTGGCTGCTAGAGACGCCGCTTACGGACGACTTGAGCGGGAGAGTCTTCGAATATTTGTGGCACAGTGAGTTCGGCACGGTCCATCTTCCCTTGGTTCTCCGCTGACGATTTGTGCCGTCTAGTAATCTTCGGCAAAGAAGCTGTGTTCTGCCCCTCAGCAGCCGAGTGCTACTGCAAGCTATACGGGCTGTGCGATTTGAGATGCGACGAAAATCAATGCGATGGCCGATATGTCTTGCCGAAGTATTCCACGATGCCCCAGGGTTGGCCGAGAGTTGGCTGGTCAGGAGAGGAGAGACAGTTCGCTGGTCCGTTGTGAAGACAAATAAGCCGGTCAAATCGGCTGTTTCGCGACTAACCACGGATGGGGCCTCTAGACAGGCAGACTAGTGGCAGATCCATCTGCCAGTGAACAATCGGCAGCGGTCACAGGTAGACCGGCGAGATGATCCTGGAATGGTGAAACCCAGGACCGACCTTGCGTAGCAAGTTCTCCTTGGCCCTGATGACTGCTCTGACCGAGTAATTGCGGACGGCCATGAGGATGTGAGAAAGATGGGCATTGTGGAGATGGCAGGGCCATCAGGGGGTCGACGAACCCTGAACGCATGGGGGCCGCGATCTTTTCCAAGATACTAGAACGGGAGGTTAGAGGATAGCTGCAATAGCACGTGGGCGCAGACTATGGGACATACTAGTGATTATCGGATGACGTTCGTCTGTCCTTTAACCTGGTACTGAGGATGCTAGCACTCCTTACCAGGAAGTGCCTGGTTGCGCCTCTCTACTTGCGTAGTCTCTTGCTCTTTGGTCTGGCTTTCGGACTCGACAAGCTCCTTGATGCGGTCGTCAGTGATGGCTATGTCGGCTTCTACCCGAAGCAGCTGTTCCTCGAGGATCTTCTCGTAATCTTGGTCAGACAGTCTAGTGATGGGGTTGTATTTCGACCAAAACCCGCCATGAGAGTTAGTAGGAGCCCTCGCAGCCCACCAGTTGGCGAAGACTTGACCTCCTGCTCCATACAGCGAGAACATCAGAGCTCCTGGAAGGATGTTTCTCGGCCCCCCTGGGACATTGTCAGTGAAGAATGGACACTGATGGACTTGCGGGCACTCACTGAGCATGCCAGCCACAGTTCCGGCAACACCACCCGCCACGGTGCTAGCCTTTACCTTGTCCTCGCCGGTCCAGTAGTATTTCAGCCCAACCTGCCTAGCCGCTGGGATCTATGAGCGTCATATCGCAAAACCGAGGCGGTGGCTAAAACTCACCATAATAGCTAGAAGCCAAGGTAAACCACTGTCCTCCCGCGACGACCGAGAAGAGTATTGGGGGTGCAGACCGGATGATACCGGCAGCAGCTCCTGTAAACAGACCACATGCACCTGGAACATGTCAGAGGCTGAGAACACGCACGTACACTGGCTCTCGGGCGGAAGAAGCACCATACCAGCAACTGCACCAATTTGGAGGGAAGGGACGGCAATCTCCATGAACTCTGGCGGAAGTGACTGTCTCTGCCGTGGCAGAGGCTTTCCCTTTGGAGCTTCTTCTATGGATGATGCAGGTGTAGACGTCTGGGTCTGACTCTTCTCATGGTTCTCGCTGGCTGTAACAGGAAGGACTATGCGCTTCATTGTGTAGAGAAAAGGCAATTCCCAACCCGTCTATAAAGTTGCTATGTGTTGGAAGGTCCTCTTGTAATGATGTGCTTCAAAGACAAGCTGAATTAGGGCTGCCCGGTGATTTTCGGAGGACGGACGGCACAGTGTAGAAGGTTCAGGTTCAACTCCTTCGGAGTGCACCTCGATGTGTGAAGCTTGCGATCTGGGAATGGCAGAATGCAGAGCGCTGCTTCCCCATGAGGATGGGCTAGCCCGTTTCGAGCTTAGTGCCCTCTGGTGAGTGAGCGGCCCCGCACACCCCACCCCATTCTGAGCGGAAAAAAATGTCAACCCTGATTCCTCAATCGAACATTACCCTTGATAATTTTTTGCCTCCGCCGGCAACCCAAAACCACGTTGCCCGAACAAACCATTTGGTTGCGAACCCCTTATATTCGCTCATCAACCCATCCGCCCCCGCTTGTACAGCATCCGGAGTCCGCGCATTCCTGGTTCTCGCATCAAGCAAGCCAGTGATTATTCTTCTCCGGGGACCCGCTACTCCGGACAACTATCTCACATCGCGCTTCGGTGGTACATCGCAGCGCGTGTGGGCAAACCGCAATCATGGGTGAGTGCCGCCAGCCCCCCACAAGTACACTTCTGGCACCGCGGGAAACCCAACAACTCGTTGCGCTCGTCGCTAATACAACTATATAGCACCTAAAAAGAAGGAGGTCCAGAAGTTGTCGCTGGGCGACTTTCTAAATGATACCTGTAAGTTCCCCTCCATGCCAAGGCTGCGCCGCCTTAGGACCTTGGGTGCTACCGGCTCCCTTCCCTGATCACATACTAACACTGGCCTCTAGCATTTGGCGGCGGCGTCTCCTCGTGGGCCGATGAAGTCGAGGACACTTATGGTGAGTACAACCCCTAATGAGAGCCCAGTTGTTTTGTGCTGACTTCTGTTAGCATCCGGTACGCACATGTGCAAGTAACACTTTCGGTCAACAATGCTGACGGCAGCCAGGCACTCAGCCGCTCCCCCCTCCCGAGCGTCGCTCGGGTGGAATGAGCTCATATGGCGGTGGCAATGATCGAGGTATGTCATACAAGCCGCAGTCACCTGGGGTTCATGACTGATTTACGTTGTTCAAGGCTACCATTCGCTCCGCGACAATTTGCCCCAGCAGCTGCCCACCAAACCCCCGTTCACCGCCCATCTTGGCAACCTGTCCTATGATGCCACTGTCGAGACAGTCACGGAATTTTTTGAGGATTGTAACGTGACGAACGTGCGGATCATTGAGGATCGCGAACAGAACCGGCCGAAGGGTTTCGCTTATGCTGAGTTCGCCGACCTCGAGGGTCTCAAGACAGCCCTCACTCGCGATGGACAGACCTTTCAGGGCCGCAGCATCCGAATCAAGGTTGCTGATCCCCGTAAGTCTTACTCTTCACTTCAGAGATGTGCAACCAGTAGCTGATCCTCTTTCTAGCGAGGGGAGGTTTCGACAGGGCCGATTCGTTTCGTGAACTCGATTGGTCTCAGCGGAAGGGTCCTTTGGCTGATATCCCCGGCCGGGGCGGTGATCGACGTAATAATGATTTCAGCGAGCGTAGACGGGAATTCCAGCCTGCCGATGACGGCAAGGTCCGTGATTTCGGCAACTGGGAGAGACGCGGACCTCTGTCACCTCTGCCCCAGCAAGAGCGGCCCGAGTCTCGCGAGGGTTCCCGCTCCCGTGGCATGGATGCGCGATCCGAGTCGTTCCGCGGTAACAGGAGAGCCTCCCCGGCTGCTTGGGGCCCCAGTGAGGGCCGTCAGGATTCCCGCCCACCCCGTCGTGAATTTGCGGATCGCCCAGAGCGTCCCGACCGCCCGGAACGTGTTCCTACCGCTGCAGAGACAGTCTCCAACTGGCGTAGCCAAATGCGCCCCGACGCGTCGATCAAGTCGCCAGGCCAGTCTCGCGAGGGCAGCGAGGCACCCCCTTCGCCGGCTGCTTCTGCCGCTCTGCCTGCCGGACGGCCCAAGCTGAACCTCGCCAAGCGAACTGTTTCCGAAGCCACCGATGCGGCCCCTGCCACCTCTACTTCTGGCGGATCTAAGCCGAACCCGTTCGGTGCGGCACGCCCAATTGACACCACTGCACGGGAACGTGAGGTTGAAGAGCGGCGTCAGAGGGAAAAGAGGGAAGCCGAGGAGAGGGCAAAGGAAGAGAAGCGCGCCAAGGAAGCGGCCGCCAAAGAAGCCGCCGAGAAGGCTGCAGCAGAGGAGGCAGCGAAGGCCAACGGTGTGAAGGAGGAGACGCCTGCGGACGAGCCCGAGGCAAAGGCGGCCGACAAGGAGGCCACTCTGGCCGAGGCTACCAACGAGCAGAAGCTCCCCGTCCGCTCTCGTGAGCCACGGGAAGCACCCAAATCACGAGCTCTCGAGAGCGGTAGCTGGAGGCAGCCAACAGGGGAGCAGCGCATCCCGTCTCGCGGCGGCCATGGCGCCGGTGCTCCCCGGCGTGGCGGTCCCCCTCGTGGTCCTCGAGATACCGCACGGCCACCGCGCTCTAACGGTAGTGGTGCCGCCCCGCAGCCGCCTCAGTCTCCGAGCGTCGAGCAGGCGCCCCCGACACCAACTGTTGATGAGGATGGCTGGACCACGGTGCCCAATAAGGGACGACGCGGACAGGGCAACCGTGCAATCGTCTCGTAAACGCACGAACGAAGCCCCCAAGTTGGTTTTCCCCGCCCCATTGGCAGTGGAGAGTCCACATAGACTCCGGCGAATCTCTCGGCTCTTGCGGCTTTGACGACATCTTTTTCCTCTTCGTCTCACACCAATCGCTCGCGCACCCTCGCATCACTTCGTCTTTATTTGGGATAGGCCAGCATCGGGCCTATGAAGCTTACAAGGATATAGCGGCCTTCCTCTCAGAAACCGAGTGAAGTTGCCGAGTCTGCCACTTTCGGGATCACGGGTCTACCGCTCATCTATTCCTAGCATCGTCAGCCCAACATGGCTATCGACTGACATTGGCCAAGACGAGTGCACGGCTTGGGCTGACATGACTTCCGACTATACCAAAAAGTATGCATCTTCGTGATATCTTGGCCATGATGTTTATGCACAGACATGCGGCGCGAGTTTCTCGGTTCCTAAAATAAGTGGCCTCTTCTGCCCACGCGGGCAGCGGGTGAATGATATGGATGCAGGTTTCTTCTCGGTTGTCACGGGCGGGTGTTTCTATTTGACATGGGCAAAATCTCAGGTTTTGGAAGGGAGGGAAAAGAGGGGGGAAAGGGGGGGGGGGGGCGAATATTGCGTTAGATATGGGCAGTGAGGGTATGAATGAGACGCCCCCTCCACAGACAGGTCCTTGGGATTCCCACCTATCTCTTGGGCTTTTTGGGCATCTCACGCAACCTGCCCCCAACCAGTTCTACGTCTTCTATGTCTGGACGATTGTGGCATTCTTTATCGCCTTAGAGGACGACATGCCTCACGGAACCAGGGTGAGAGAGGGAGCTTTCTGGTTGGCTCCGGGCACGCTTTTAACGGCACCTTCAGTCTCTCCTCAGTTCTAGACACGGGATAGCAAAAGGGAAATATGAACGCATCTCACATACTCTTATATACTTCACGGCCGGTACTTTGTTTGTTGCGAGATTCTCTCTTCCAACCACTAGGTACCTTAGGCACTCGGGGCCATCGTTTTGACATTCATGAACATCCAAATCGTCCCACTCCAACGCCAGTATTTCTCCAGCCGTCTTTTTTTTTATCAAAGCCTAGAAACGGTTCCGCCCTGCCACAGAACAGAACCCCGTTGTTCCCCCGCATAAGGTTCGCAACTACGGATACTAGTAGTACTACCGCTTCAATGTCTTCTGCTTCTGCGCATCTGTCGCGACATTCCGGCCCTCCACCAGCAATCCCTTCCGCCGGCGCACGCCGTCCATGTACCGCTTCGCCACGTTCTCGCGGTCGCCGTACTCGCCCAGGTCCTCCAGGTCGTCCTCGGTGAAGGGCACCCAGAAGGGGTCCTCGTCGAGGATCTCGAAGCCGGCAAAGATCAGCTGCGGCTGGGCCGCGCCCGACGTCCGCTTGCGCATGTCGTCGGCGAAGCCGAACGACTCGGCCACGGGCAGGAGAGCCTGGATGGTGAAGAAGGGCGTGCCCTCGTTCATGGCCTCCGACTGCACGCGGCCCCGCCGGCGGGTGAGCACGTCGTAGACTCGGCCTAGCACTTCGGTCGACGCTTGAATCTCGCACGAGTACATCGCCAGCATCAGCCGTGGCGACCAGTCGAGGAACCCCTTGTGGATGGACTGCTGGACCGTCTTAATGACTTCCCCCGTCAGACGGCCCAGGCGGTCGCGCGCTGTGGCTGCCTCTTCGTCCGCGGAGGAGGGCGGAGTTACGGAGATGTCCTCGATGAAGACGGCTATGCCCTGGACGGGCTCATGGCAGAGGGGCCCGGAGTTGGTCGCTAGTTGAAAGCCGTAGGCGATCTTGTCGGAGAAGTGGTGCGGGCTGAGCGTCTCGTTGGCGGATGGGCGGATTTCGAGACTAGTAGGATGGTTGGCGTTGGGATTTAGGTTGAAGGCTTTGGGGATAAGCTGTTCTTTCGTTGCGTCGATGAGAAGGTTGGGGCCTGTCCGGCGCGGGCCGAAGGAGACGATGCGATCGACGACGCCCTTCCATGTGTCGAGACGGTCTTTCTCGCTGTCAAACCGGGCTTGGAGCTGCTTTCCAAGTTCTTCCGGAGAGAGGGCTCTGCGGCCTTCAGCGACATCGTCGTCGGCTTCGGCTGAGTCGTCTTGGGCGGCCCCGTTTTCTGCAGTCGATTCAGGAGGGGGGGATCCATCCTCCCCCTTCTCAGCGGCTTTGAGATCGGAGTATAACCGCTTTACGCCCGCTGCGTTCTTGACTAGAAAGTCGGTGACATCCCGCGGTAATGGTCTCACCCGCAGGGTGATGGTGACCTGCTTGGAGCTCGTCACGCCAACCACCACGCCCCTGCCCAGCTCCTTGTTGGCTGGAGGACGCATCTCCTCGGCACGGACGATGGTTTCGCGGTATGGCACAATCGGCGCGCCGGCTTGGATCTCGCATCGTGCGAACCGCTCCCGTAAATCTGTCAGGCACCGCTCCAGGTGCAGTTCGCCGGCAGTCAGCAGCACGTGCTCGCCGCTGGAGAATTGCTCATACTCGGCGCAAGGATCGCTGTGGACGAGCAGGTGGAGGCCCTTAATCATCTTGTCCAGATCGGCGGGGTTGTCAGGCTCCAACGCCACACGGACAATGGGGCGCCCCTGTAGGTTCGCGATACCCGCTAGGTTGATAGCCCCTTCTACCTGGCTGCAGAGGGTGCCCGACTTGAGGAGCCCGCTGTCTTCAAGTCCGCGGATGCCAAAGACCACGCCAGCAGGAACCGAATCCAGGGCCTCGAGGTTGCGGCCCATCAGCATGTAGAGCGCCGTCACTTTCACCTTCCTTGGTACCGGCTCAGCGAGCGGGTGTGCTGGTGAGAACTTGGGCGGGAGGACGTAGATCTCGTCGCCCACAGATAACTTGCCAGAGTAGATCCGCGCAAAGCCGATCAAATGCTCGGGTTCGGCCTGCTTCTCTTCTTCCTCGGGAGTTTCCTGGTCCAGTGTAGCCTCGGAAAACGTGGAAGCCAAGGCATCCATATCACTACCATTGCCCATGTTACCTTGCGCACGAGAGGCCTCAAGACGCTTCTTCCTGGCCAGTTCCCGTGCCTCCTCGCCGCTCATGGGTCCGCGTCGCTTGTTCTCCGGCAGCTCGCTCTCCTTGACAGACACCATCTTGCTGACGTAGGCAACTACCGGGTCCGATGGAGCCGTCTTAAACGAGGTGATAGCCTCCTTCACCTTTGGGTCGATGTGCTCTGCGCCTGGGACGTCTTCCAACAGGAGAGGGAAGCGCTCGGCCTGAGCCGCCTTCGGTGACGGCAGCGATTCCACCACGGAAACCAGCAACGCCACCGAAACTGGCAACCAGGAAGCAAACACCGTGGTGAGTAGCAGTTTCGGGTCTCGCGAGCGGAGGATGTGCGGAGGAATGGTGATACTGAGGGACTTGGTGATCTTCTCCAGAAGGATGGGGTCACCCTTTCCATTGTCTCCGCCGACGGTGGCCTGGTAGACTGCCCAGATCTGGTCGAGCACTAGCTGGACAAATATGGGTTTCAGGGAGCGGCCCTTTAGGTGTTTGGGTCCCAGGACCTTTTTCGTCTTGGGATCCAGGTAAAAGTTTCCCCACAGGACCTTCTCCAGCGCGCTGCGTTTGATGCCCAGTTTCTTTTCGTACAGGCCGGCAAACTGCCTCACCGTGAAAGCCCAGCCGTCGATGGCGCTGCCAAAGATGACGTTGTTCTTCTCGGGGGCGAAGTAGAGCTCTTCATCATCTCTTTCCTCGAACTGGAGCTCCCCCGAGTCGGGCTGTTGGTCTGCAAGCCTGGCTTCTTTGGCAACCGAAGCCGCAACGCGGGCCTCAATCCGCTCCCGCCAGTTGAGATCCTCCTCCATCCGCTCGCCTTGGAAGAAGCTCCCCAGCACGGCGTTGACTTGCTCCAGGAGTTTGCTGAGGTGCGTGTACGCCTCATTTGGCGTCATCTTCAACTCCGTGATCAGGCGATCGATCTTGTTGATGACGAGCAGTGGCTTGAGCTTCTCGGTCCATGTCTGTCTTAGCACTGTGACTGTCTGGCTACACACCCCCTCCACTGCGTCGACCAGAACAACAGCCCCATCGCAGAGACGAGACGCCGTAGAGACTTCACTGCTGAAATCTATGTGTCCTGGCGAGTCGATGAGGTTGATGAGGTATTCTTTCGACTCAGGGGCAGCCTCGGGACTCGACCTCCGCAGCATTGAAAAGTAAAGAGAGATGGCCGAGGATTCCATCGTAATGCCTCTGAGCTGCTCATCCGGCCGAGAGTCCAGGTACCGGATCTTGCCGGCCAGCTTTGGTGAGATGATACCATTTGTGGCGAGAAGGGCGTCGGTAAGCGATGTTTTCCCGTGATCCTGGGACACATGTGAGTTCTGACCCGATGCCGTTTAACCTAGAGTATAGGACCTTACAACATGGGCTAAAATGCAAATCTGCAAACCGTTGTCAGTGTCCTGTAACAGGAGCTCGGGCCAGGGAGGAACTTACATTTCGCACATCATCAGCATTTTGCTGGAGTTTTGCCAGCTTTTCCGGACTGACAACGGGCATCTTGGCTGATTTTGGAAGTTGAATCACAGCACTGGGATACCTATCGAGTGGTTGAAACGGGCTCGTGGGCTGATGTTGCCCTTAAAGGTGACTTTGTTAGGGGATAGGGGGCCGGGGATCTTATATGATGATTCCGGTGTAGTTGAGCGGCCTGACTAACACCTCGAAGACTGCCCAGCCAAGATTGGAAAGTGGGATGGTTTGGCGGGGCAAATTGGGGGATGATTGATAATGATTCAGACGATATACCGGATATAACGATCTCAATCCTCGACGAGGGGCATTTGCACATGTGAGCTGGTAAACTACAGAAGCATGTAGTGTGTCCATGATTAGAACTGATGGATACTTTAGTGAATAAGATATACTCAAAGTTCCGGACAGAGTCTGACGCTCGGTTGTTAATCACAACCTGCGTCCCGTTCCTAATATGTCATAACCGAAGCAAGACCGCGAAGGAAATCGCTTTATCAAGGCACACCAAACCCTAAACCGTTGCAGTCGACCACAAAACTCGAGCCCCACACCCGAGCAAACTTGAAGCATCTCAGGTCTTTGCGACGGCCCCGACAAAGGAAAGCAAGTGACAACAACGAGCAACGCTCCCTCGTCCGTCGCCCAAAGAATTGTTGGAGCTTATTCCCCTGACAGTTGGACAAAATGAGCTACCAAACCGGTATGGCGCCCGCCCGCGCCATCGAGGATGACAGCGATGTAGAGGAGGAGGCCCTGGTCGCCGACTACAAGGAGCAGGTGCAGTACGCGGGTGATATGGACGAACTCGACCCGGGCCTGCTCGCCCCACAGGCCGAAGATATCCAGGCCAGGCTAGTCCAGGCTGCGCAACCGCTCGATTATCAGGCGACCCTCGAGACCAAGTTCCAGAGCTACGACAACTACTGCGCCCTGTTCCACTACATCCTCAACTCCGAGGGCCCCGTCGACCTCGAGCCCCCATCGGTCAGTGCGCCTTGCTTTTTCTCCTCTGGCCGTCGCTGGGTTCTTCTTGCTGACTGCGGCGTGCGGTAGTATTACTGGGCGTGGGACGTGATTGATGAGTTCATCTACCAATTCAACACATTCTGCTCGTACCGGGCGAGGATTGCAAGGCAGGCCAACAACGAGGAGGAAGCCCAGATCCTGCGCGACAACCCGAATCAGTGGGGATGCTACAGCGTGCTCAACGTCCTGTACTCCCTGATCCAGAAATCGCAAATAACCGAGCAGCTAGCGGCCATGCGGCGGAACGAAGACCCCATGGCCGTGGCCGGCCCGTACGGCTCCAAGAACCTCTACCGCATGCTGGGGTATTTCTCCATCATCGGTCTCCTCCGGGTCCACTGCCTTCTTGGAGACTTCAGCCTCGCGCTCAAGACGCTCGACGACATTGAGCTGAACAAGAAGGCCATGTTCGCCCGCGTCATGGCTGCGCACTTCACCACCTACTACTATGTCGGGTTTTCCTACATGATGATGCGTCGCTACGCTGACGCCATCCGCATGTTCAGCCACATCCTGGTCTACGTCTCGCGGACCAAGAACTTCCAGAAGAACACTCAATACGACTCCATCACCAAGAAGAACGACCAGATGCTCGCGCTGATCGCCATCTGCGTTGCCTTCCACCCCACGCGCCTGGACGACACCATCCACACGGCGCTGCGCGAAAAGTACGGCGACCAGCTGCTGAAGCTGCAGCGCGGCGGGCCCGAGTCGCTGCCCATCTTCGAAGAACTCTTCAGGCTCGCGTGCCCCAAGTTCATCTCGCCGGTTCCTCCTGACTTCGACAGGCCTGAGGTCAACGTCGACCCCGTCGACCACCACTTGTCCATCTTCATGGAAGAGGTCAAGACCAACATGTGGAGCCCGACGATCAAGTCGTACCTGCGGCTGTACACTACCATGGACCTGAAGAAGCTGGCTGGCTTCCTCGACGTCAAGCCGGAGGAGCTTCGCTCGATGTTGCTTGTTACCAAGCAGCGGACTAAGCAACTGCGCTGGACGGACAACGGGCTTTTGGAGGGCGAGCTGATCAACATCAGCGACCTCGACTATGCGCTGCAGGGTGTAAGTTCTCCATGTAGCAACGTATATTTGCGCTTCTGACCATGCTGACTTCTCCTGCAGGATCTGATTCACATCTCGGAAGCCAAGATGGGTCGCAAGCTGGTCGACTGGTATCTGCGTAACCTGGCTCGCACCTACGCATGAGCATCGGATCTTTTCCTCTGGAGACGATGAAGTGGATGCTAGCAAGAGCCGTTGTCAGGCGGGGAAGGAACCCATCCCTTCCCTCTTCTGGACTACATTGGTCATTGCGTAATCATGGGATTGGGGAGTCAGAACTGCGCAGATCTTTTCGACAACATAGCATATCAGGCGTCGGATGGGCACGTATCAAAACATCAAGAAGCGGGTGGAAAAGCAAGTTGGCTGACATAGGGACGGTCACGGATACTCAGAGCATATCTTGGCAAAGTCCTGACTACAGTAGGTGGAGGATTAGGTCAAGCAAAGTCCGGGGGATCCGATTGCGCATCCTCCAGGAGGCGGCGGATTCAAGGCCCAGGCAAATGGGGGACAAGGCAGGCAAAAAGTCTGAATGACCAGAGATGATAGCGGTCACGATAGGGGCGTGGCCGGACAATGAAGGTGCGATTGAGACGTCCGCTCGTATCTCCCTCGGCCTCCCAATCTGCGCCGTGTCCGATGATAACGGTTAAGTGCTTTGGTCAACATGGCATCATGAAGAGCCAATCCCCTGTTTCATCCCGCGGAGGTAGTATGGAGCTGCCACAGTTGCAACCGTCGCACAGGCGGAGTTGTATGTTATATGTGTACTTGGTGTATGATTTGTACAACCTCACCGCGGGAGGGCATATGCCAGGATAGGCAAGTTATGCGCTCAGGCTGCGGAACACTTGGTGTTGCCGTGTCCGGCAGTCGGGAAAAGCCAAGCCAGCCAAGGCCGATGGCACTGGTACGACAAAACTCTCTCCCGTTACAACCCTCCCTGCCTCGGGAGGAACTCATGGAGTCGGGACATCAAGGCCTGCTTCCCCGGAGGATAGGAAAGGGGAGGGCCTGCCTTTGTCAGTGTCAACCTCTTCTTCATCGGGAAGGCTTGGTCCGAAGTGAGGCCTCCGACCACGAAACCGCAAGGTCCGCCTACCGCCCCGGGGGGCGTGTCCCACAAGCTAAACGGACTGGATGACGAAGTGACTGTTATTTAGTTAGTCATGATGCTGCCACTGCATGTGCTGGCTAGGCGGTCTTGGCTGCTTGGCTGACCTGAGGCGGCCGATAATAGTAATGTAGACGATGCAGCAGGGCACGTCAAGCACGCTGCTGGCGTGCATGCTGCACTGCAGTTGGTCTCGCGCCCTACATATATAAGGATATGTTTCTGGACGGGCAAGCCAAGAGACGGGCGGCCGATGGAAGTTTGTTCTGGGACTCTGGGTTGGTCGACGGCCGAGGTGGGGTGGCCCCTTGGCGTAGGCTTGGCGTAGTGAAGGGTTTCACAGTCTGGAAGCATATCCGTTGAGAAGCCCATGGATTACCAGATCTCTATCCAATGGCGAGTGCCATGTGTCTGGCGATATGGCATCATTGGATCAGCGAGGCCTGGTCCGTCTTGTGGCACATCAGATGCCGTGGATCGTCGCTGCTGTGATATGTAGTACATGTGTACTCCGTATTACCTGGACAGGTTCACAGACGGTTCGGATTTGTCTTCTTGGTTAGCATCCTCTGGCAAAAGAAACCGTAGACCAAAGTAATGGTGTCGGGTCGGCCGGACCTAGGTCTCAGGAGGCAAGACGACATTTTTGTCCTTAGGTTCCCTGTGGTTCCAGCTGTTGAGGTACTCTCCGTTCGTATAATATACTGCTTTTTCAGTGATCAGCTTGTACTACCTCATAGCAAGTCCTCCCATCTTTTCTCCCTAGGCATCTATCAAGTTGTGCTTAGCTTCGCTGCATGCAAGGACTTACGAATATTGGTCTCACCTCTCTTTTCCCTCCAGCTCGCGTTGATCGCCTGCTTCATCCATCAGGCCAGTCCACTCGGGAGTCGGGACCCGACGCATTGCTGAACTCTCACTTTAACCCCACCGGCCACTGCCGTTAGCGTTTGGCATCCTTGCTGGCGGGCACCGGAAAGCTGATCCCTGTCGCTTCCAAGACTCCAGACAAGAAGGCGGGCAGATTCGAGGATGCAGCTGCTAATGCGGGCGAGAGAGGAGGTGGCAGTGTCTGGGGCAATGCTTCCGATAATTGCATTACCTGACGGCTGAGTGCTACCTACTCGTGATTAAGGCCCCTGTGGACGGCCACGAGGTAGTACCCGAAGCGAAGGCGCTATCGTTGTCGCGCGTGTCTCACCGCGTCGCGTACCTTAGGGCCGGGAAACGGCACGGTCAACGGCAGTAATCGACCCTAGAATGCTCAAGGACGGGTCATCGGTTTGTCGTTGAGATGTTCTCATAGAGGTAGGTACTGCTTCGTTAAGCTTCTTGGTCGCTTCACCGTCAGCATCGAGGCTTTGAGGCTGCCCCTCGGTACGGTATTCACGGCTTCCATTGTTGCACTGGGGCGGCTGCCGCTTTCAGGCTGGAAAGCCCTGTGTTCCGTTCACATGGTGAGGTCCCCCGAAACGTACGCAAATCATGAGAGAGCTTCTCAAAGCCGGTAGCGAGCGGAGAGAAGGATTAGGTATTGACGAAACAGAAAGTTGCGGATTTGTGAGAGAGCAAGGCCAGGCTGCAGCTGGCGGTGCTGGTTGGGGTTCTCCCCCATGTCAAAGAAATCCGCACCACAAATGATAGGTAGTGAGGTAGTTTGAGAGATGGGTGAGTCTAGCAAGTAAAATCCCATCGAAAGAAACAGAATGGGAAAAAGAAACAAGGGAAGAAGAGATAAGAAAGTAAAGCTAGGAACAAAGGAAATAATGAGGAAGAAGAGAAAGGTGGGAAATAAAGAAAAGAAAGTAATAAGTTAAAGAGAAGAAGTTAGTCGTATCGATCCGCTGATAGCGAAGCTCGCTGTACGGCTTATTTTGTCCAGAGGCAGGGGCCCTACTGTGGTACAGAATCCGACTTGCATGGGTCGAAGCCTTCGAAGGTAAGGTAGCATCTGCCCGCTCGCCAAGACAGGCTGGAAAAAAGGCATGCAAAAGGAGTGACACCCTTGGAAAACCGGAGCTCGAGCCGCGCGATCTCACCACTGCCCCGGGTGCCTAATAAGACCAGCCAAGCATCGGCCTACACTATTAGTATCCCCAACTTCTCCCGGTCGACGCGCGGCTCTACACTAGCTGGCCTTCCATGTTCATTGTTCTGTGAACCAGCGTACGACCTACCTACCGAGCTACCTTACACCTTACCTAATGCGCTTCTAGCCAAGGTCCGAGCTCCTTCGTCCGTTAAGGTACTGCCCCACGGAAGCTCTTTCCGTCGTTCACTCAACACAGTGCAAGTCAGACTTAAATGATTCAAGAGTGACGTTCGTACCCGCCACTGCTGAGGCCGCGACTGGATTCCTTTCCTTCCACCACATTCACAACAAATACGACAAAATCGGCATTGGCGAATTCGAAGCTCGCCTTCCCGCCTGGTGGCCCGCATCCCTGATTTTCCTCTCCACCGCATTCGTTTCTTGACCGACTTCACCATTTATCGTCCGCCAAGACCTGTCCGCCAAAAGAATCTCGCCAGCTTCCATTACCACAGCTTGGTGCCACGGCGCCAGCTCTCAACGAGCTCGGCAGACTCCTCGAGCTCCATGCAAGTTCCCACAGGATAACATCTGCTGGCCTCTCTGCGAGGCCGTACCATTACTGGATAACTTCTCAAGAGAAGCGACGGTCAGCAAGGCTTCCGGCCTATGATGGCTGAGACCACCGACAATGTGGCCCGACTGACTTCATCTCCCACGGTGGCCAAGAGTCCCGACTCGGATGTATCACCATGCACGAAAGCGCCCCCAATATCTGTCGATTATTTCACGACCAGAAATGGCCGTAATGGTGGCCGAAGACTGAATGGAGCGTCCCCACCGCTTGCTACTGTATCCAGCACTACCACCTTAACATCCATCTCTGAGGAGTTCCAGAGGGACAGTTCACGACACTCCTCTAACGACAGCGGTTGCTCGTCTACCGGAGACCGAAAGTCCTCAGCCGCGTCCGTTACCTTCCGGCCGCCACTTAATCCGTCGCTACCCCAGGGACAGCCGCGGAAGATGGACAACCGGCGACTGCGCGAGTCGTCGCCGTCTCCTGTAAGGTGAGTCCTTCGTTCTCCCTCTTCTGCCTGTCCCAGTTGTTTTGGTGGAAACCGGATCTTTTTCGGACACAGCCCACACATTTCGTTGTAACGCAAACCCAGTGCCAAGTGGTGCTGCGCGCGAGACGTCGAGTGTGTGTGTGTTTCGGGTGTATCCGTCTCTCTCATCTTCCCGACGAAAGCCGCATGCATCCTCGCCTCTTCTCAGCGCCGTGTGATACTTGTCCTCACTGGCCAGTCAAGCGAGTGCCAAGCTACCATGCGTTCTGAGGTCGGAGGGAACAGGAAGATGTCAGTGAACTCGTCATTCCGATGTCGACAGTTCTCCTTCGGATCGTCTGCAGTTGCAGTATTTGCAGCCCCCGAGATAAACCGAAGAGAATCTCCCTAGCTCCCCAGCACCTGCTGTGGCCACATCATTCAGCGACGCACTAGCCCGAATGCCACTCAAAGCCTAAGTCGCGTGAGGTTCAACACGGGACCTGCATCGAGCTGGGTTCAGGGTTGATGGGGTCTTGCCTGATGAGTCGCTGGGCTGCGTCAGGAAAGGCGAAATACCGGGCCAGCTCGCCCGTCACTTTCGCACACACCTTTCGCCCCGCAACCCCACCATACTGCTGGATCTGGCTGGGCCGATGTCATGTTTCGGGCAACAGCCTAATTCCGTTAGTTTGAGGCGATAGTAGGGTTTTCCATGCCTGCTTTTGCTCGGCTTTTCCTATTTCTGTGGAGTTCCTGAGAGGCGAGATCTGGCATGACGATGCAAGTATGCAGAGATCACGATTTCCCCTCGTTCTTACATTTTCGGATCTCCAGCCCTGTTGCGTGGTAATATCTGTCGAGCTTGGGGTGCCTTTCAATCTCGCGTTTTTTCAGCTGAATTTCTTCCCTTGGACAAGTGCTCTACCTCTCCATCTCACTGCATGGCTCTTAATTCTCATTGACCTACTTGTATTTCACGGGCTTTCCCGCGTTTACATCTCACCACCTGACGTCCTCTCCGGAGCCATGTCCGCGCTAACGTCGAGTCCGCACCCGATCCCTAGGTTTGAGCAACATGTGGGTTTCGATAATCTGCCCGTTGGGGAAGCTACCAAGAACAACCCCTCGTCATTTACTCTGCAAGCCAGACACCAGGGCTACCATCCGTCGCGCAGGTCCCGCACTTTCATGATTGGGATTGACGAGCATGCCTATTCCGATTATGCGTTGGTTTGGCTGCTGACCAACATGGTGGACGATGGCGACGAGGTGGTGTGTGTGAGAGTCCTTGAGGGCCCTCTCCGCCCGGAAAAGAACTATCAGGAGGACGCGAGGAAGCTGTTGGAGGAGATCCAAGCCAAGAATGAGCTGAACAGGGCGATCAGCATCGTCCTGGAGTACTCGGTTGGGAAACTTCATGATACGTTCCGGCAGCTAGTGAGTGTTTCCAGCGGGCGATGAAGTTTTACCAACGTTGTAGTGCTAACGCGCCTGCGTGATAGCTGGGGATCTACAACCCGTCCATGCTGGTGGTCGGTACCAAGGGACGGTCGTTAGGAGGGATCCAAGGACTGATGAATACACGGAACTCGTTCTCAAAATACTGCCTTCAATACAGCCCAATCCCGGTTGTGGTGGTCCGACCCGACGACAAACGACTAAAGAAAAAGGAGAAGCGCTCACAGGATCCAGCGCGGCAGAGCTATGCCACCATGCTTGCATACAACTCGGGTAAGCATGAGGCCGACAGCGATGCCGGCAGCGTGTACGAGTTTTTGAAGTCGATATCTGAGGATGAGGAGGCGCACCGGGTCGCCGCAGCCATCGGGCTGCCAGCTGCATTTGACCCGACCATCAAGCCTTACACCCCTCGAGATTCTACCCGTCGCCGGTCCTCACCCTCGACTTTTGCCTCGGCTACGTCAGGAAGAGCCGCTTCCTCTTCCCCACCACTGACTCCGCTTCGCGGCGAAAGTGGGGATGAGGAAAGCGGCGATGAGGAGGACGAATTCGAGGTCGAAGCCGTATCGGCCCGCCAGGACGTACCCGATGAGCGGGAAGAGACCAAGCTCGAAAGGCAACGGAAGGAGCGGCTCCACGCTATGGAAGTCTGCGAAGCCGCTGCCCTGTTGAAGTCGGGCAAGTCAAAAGAGCCCGAGGATGATGAGGAGGACGATGAGTCCCAGGAGAGAGGGGCGGAAGATGTGTCCAAATCATAGGATGGCTTTTCTCCTTGGTGTCTAGGTGCGAAGGTTTTCTGCTTTTGTGCTATTTGGTCACTTTCTGGAAGGGGTATTGGCGTTACGGGCGCAAGGCGAAAATCTGGGCTTCTGCCGTAGCGGCCTCAGATATGTCCTCTACAACCTGGCCCGATCACGGTTCTTTGGGGGGGGGGGGGGGTCCATTCGAGCAGCAGCTTTGTCGTCCTTCAGGTCGTAGAGGCGCCCTCGTGCGGTCGCTGGGTCAGTGGGAAAAGGGGCAACGAAGATATCTACATTTTTTGTGTAGTTTCACTGCGTCGGGTCGGTGGCATTCTGCAGCGACTTTTAGACACTCTAGCGTGCAGCTTCGGGCAAGGTCGCTCTATCACGGGCTCCTCAGCGATGTTTGCATAACTGTATCGTAAATTCATATTTACCCCAGCAATTGGCTCTGTGACTCCGAGTCCGAAGAAACGAGAGGATGTGCTTAGCAACTTCTCTCCTTGTCTTCCAACCCTCAGAGTTTCGCTATAACCAGGCACAAATCTCAACTTGCAAGGGAGCCGAGACGTCAATCCGAAGACAACCTGGATTCTCTGGCACGTTTGGAAACGACACAGCCTCACAAAATGCAGGGCGGGGCTTGACATGGTGGGGTCCTGAAGTTGGCGGTGATGCAGGTCCACCTAAAGCTCCAAATCCGGGGTATCTGGCCCACATGCGGATTCCTCGAACGAGCCGCGCAAGCTTCCGTCCCTTAAAGTTCAGAAACAAACGCACGGCGAACAGAGACTTTGAGCTCATCCTGTAACACCACCATGACGAGCAGACCCGGCAGTCCGTAGTTTTTGAACCTTCACCCGGACACTATCTCGTCGTATAATGCTCCTTCCCTCCGACCGCCGCGATCTCGCACCAGCCGTCACCAACCCACGGAGGATTCCGACCCCAAACCGAACCGGTCTTCTTCCGCCACTACAACAGCCGCAGCAACAGTAAGGCGCAGAACAAAGGCTCACTATGCCGCTCCCAGACACAAACTCAAATCTCGACGCCGACGGAGCCTCGTGCGGCCCTTCCTCGTCCTGCTCAACAAGCGCCATCTCCACAACTCTCACCCTCTCCCCGGTCCTGCTCACCTTCCTCCTTGTCTCCTCCGTCTCCCTCACGCGCCTGTTCCCGCGCCTCGCCAGACTCCAACAACCACCTTCTTCCTCCTCCCCGTCTGGGTTACCAATCGACGACGGACAAGACCATTTCCTGCCCGCCTCCGCCCCGCCCTCCCTGCGCCAGGCCCACGCCGAGCAGGCGGCCCGCTCGCCTAGGAGGCGTCTAGCCGCGGCCGCGTTTGCCGTCACCTTGGGCCTCAGCGCCGTGCTGGCGGAGCTGATCCTGGCCGAGATACTGGAGCTAGAGGGCGCCGTGCTGGGCGCGCGGGCGAGGGCGGTCGGGCTGCGGGTCACGGTGCCGACGCTGGTGGTTATGCTTGTTGGGGTGCTGCCGTTTCTGGAGGTGCAGAGCGTTCTGGCCTCGAGGGGGTGGCGGTTCGGGAGGGATGGGAAGGGCAGGGTCGTCTCGAGGGCTGCGTGGTGCTTGCAGGGGGCTGTGTTTGGCGGGTGGTTGGCGGCGTTCTGGTTTGTTGGGAGGGTGGTCACGCAGTTGGGGTCTCCTGGGGCGGACGAGGATCTGTGGCGGCTGGCTGGGATGGCGAGTGTCAAGGCGGGCGGTGGAGGATTTGATAGCACGGCGATGACGATTGGGAGGGCAGAGGTTGGGAGGATCGGCGGCGCAGGGTTCGGTTCGACTATCGCTGATGTGGGGCTGTCACGGGCGTGTCTGGAGAGAATAGGCGTGATTGGGATCTCGTTGATGGCATTGCTGTCCGGGTTCGCGAGCGTGTCGAGTCCATGGCACACGTTTGTGGATGATCGGACGTATCGAAAACGGCCGATCACAGACGCCGATATTGCGAGGAAGCAGGCTGGACTGGACGCTACGAGTGAGTTGCTGCTGACAAAGCGGCACCGGCTGAGGTCGCTGCAGAGAAAGGCGCAGGCGGTGGCAGACGGGGTTGGGGGAGGGACCCCTCATGGGAGTGCGCCGCCGGCAAGTGGACTAATGGGCAAAGTCATCGGCTCGCTCAAGACGATCACCGGCAGCGGTGAAGCGGCCGAGATCAAGGCGCTCCAAATGGAAATCTCTGGCCTCGAGACTATGGAATCTAACCTTGCCGCATCCCTATCCCTCCTCAAATCACGCCAAGCCGCCCATGCCCGCGATGGCACCGCCTTCGGCCGCCTCCTCGCCGTCCCGCGTTACATCTTTGCCGGCTACTGCTTGTACCGGATCCTTGCCACCACTCTCACCACCCTCCGGCGCATGTACTATCCCTCCGCCTCGTTCTCCTCCTCCGATCCTATCAACCGCTTCCTGGGGCTGCTCGCTAAGCACTGGGACCCCAAGCTGGACCAGATCGCCTGGGCGCGCCAGATCTCCTTCCTGCTATCCGGCGTCATCCTCGCCGCCAGTGCAAACTCGGTCTTGCAGACCTTCAGGCTGTTCGCGAAGTGGGCGCCTGGCCTGTTGTACCAAGCTCAGGCGAACCTGGCGCTGCTGGTTGGGCAGGTGGCGGCAACGTACGTCATTAGCGCGGCATTGCTGATGCGGAGCAACCTACCTAAGGAAGTGGGACGCTCGGTCGGGGACGCACTGGAGAGCGCGCTAGAGCCCGGGTTCGTGGATCGCTGGTTCGAGGGGTGGTTTCTGCTTGCCAGTGCCGGGACGGCGGCCGGGATATGGGTCGGGAAGAAGGTCAGCGGCGGGTTTGGGGATGAATGGGACGAGTTTGCGGGCGAGGAGATGGGGCAGAAGAGGTCTTGAACTGCGAAGAGAGGCGTATTCTGGTCTTCTGACACGGGCACATATTCATTGTAATCAGCGGGTGTGTGTTTAAATAGATTGTGTTCAACTTGACCTGGCAGTTTGATATCGTTCACTGGTGGTAGACCAATGCTGTATGTGCTTTGGCATGGTCAGGAAGCAATGGGGGCTGTGGTACTAGTAGTCCGACTCTGTAAGGGTTCAAGGCAGATGGAACGGACTTCAGCCAGTCTGGCCAAGTAGAAGTTGTACACATGGAGCCATCGATATCACCCGTATTCTGATCCCAATATGGACAGAAAGCCCCAGCGCAGTAGGTAGCTCACTTGTATTTTAGTTCTTTCTTCCCTTCCTCTTACTCTCCTTTCTCTTGCTCTTCTCCTCCTCCCTACGGGTGCTCAAAAGGCTCTCGGATGACTACGAGAACTTGTTTGGTGCCTAGGAACTCCTCCACTGCATCGGTCGGCCACTTCCTGTTCCAAGATATGTCTGGAAGGTCGCTATCAATCGCAGGCTATACCCGCGATGTCGATGTCAAGAATCCTACGGATACTGTAGCTGATTCAGCCCTAGAGAGTGGATAGGAGTTCTCCATGCGGGGCAATTGACAGGCTGATTGACCAATCGCATGCGAGCCAGGGGCTCTTTCGGGGCTCCTCTCAAACGTGAGCCTTGTTTCGTTTCGAACCACACACGTCTCCTGTCCGACCTCATTGGCTCTCCTGCCATCCGGCGACAGCGCTGCAAACGATGCAACGTCTTTTACCGCTTGTTTCGTGCACCGCGAAGGTGTCATTGAAACGCCGACATATGCAGGGTAGACACGTGCAGTGCCAGCATGTCGCCGGATCACCAAGTCTTACTGGCTGGGGTCGAGCTTGCCAGATCCCAGAGAGCCCCTTTGATGATGAAAAGGGACTCGGGTCTTCCAGACTTCAAGTGAACCTGCAGTGGGGGGTTGCAGCAACTCGGCGAGTGCCTGGAGTCGCATTTCACTGGTGAAGGAAGCTGAATCCCTGATCGCTCCTTCCCAGGTTGAGTTTGCTATATCGAATCGAGCTCCGCCAAAGGTCTCGAGTGACACTGCAACGCGCCGATCGGCTTCCAGGTCGTTGCCTCGGCGCAATTCGCAATTCGCAGCTCCCAGGTCCTTTTCTTCCGTTCGCTTTCAATTGCAAGTCCTTTCCGGGAAAGTTGACCACCGAAGCTGGCCTTCTTTTTGAATCATTCGTCTGTTGTGCTTGGCTGTTTGTGTGCGCGATTGGCCGCTCTTCGTTTGACCACCACCACCATCAAATCACGTCGCACCCGCCTCTCGCCACCGATCACGTTACTGCCTACTGTCGGCTGCCTCGTTACTCCTGGCTAGCCGAGGGGATATAGGCCTGACAAGCCATCCTCCGACCTCTCCCGCCTTCTCGTCCCAGCTGCTGTTTTATGAGCCACGGCATGACGGAGTCCCGAAGAGAATAACCCTCGTCACCGGAAGCCATTGCGACAACCGAGCGTCGCCCAGTTGTTAGCTGCTTTCAGCCGCATTGCCCGCCTGCAATTCGTGTGGAAGGAGCACGGTCTTACCCGACCGATCGGATCTCCCGGTATCACGACTCTCTGACACAGATCGCGTTTCGGGTAGTCACACAGCGAGGAAATCGCTCCACCCTGCGCGACGGAGACATCCCGGCTACGGCTGCGATTGCGTCACAGCGTTCCTTGGCCGGTTCTGAACACTTGGCGAACGGGAGAGAATCTCGGTCAGCCGACGGTGTCACCCGGAAGAGAACGTTGAAGGTCATCGGCTGGAGACCTCCAACCACGACCGTGGTATAGCTCTTCTATCCGACAACCACTGTCCTCGTGGATTGTCAACAGCAGTTCGCGATGGCAAGCCAAGGCGGGCGCTTATCTTCAAGATGGGGGTGGCTCCTCCTCATGACATCTTCGACGGCTTCGGCCCTTTCACTCGCCAATGTCCAACCAATCATTCCGGCAACCGTTTCTCTTAGCTGTATCCTCGCCTACTACGCCATTATTCCCGACTGTACGGTGGACGACTTCGTTCGGGGAGATGCCTGCTCGGCAGCGTGTGTGGCGGGCCTGAAGAGGATCCAGAACAACATACGGGAGGCTTGCAGTGGCGCCGACATCCCGTCCGACTCGGTGCTTGGGCAGGTATTGAAGGGCAATCTGGTGGAATTGCTTTGTCCAGCTACATCGTCCGAACCCCCAACATCGAGTTCGAGTAGGAGTTCGACGGCGGCACCCACCACCGTCACGGTCAGGCGCACCTCAACAAGCACGCCAGCGCTCATTTTCACTACGGTTCGTTCCACGTCAACGAGCTCGACCACGTCAACGCAGACCGAGGAGTCAGACACACCCATTTCCAGCATCTCATCAACCGCTACTTCTTCAACAACCATTACAACAGCCGTCGAATCTACTGCCCCAACGAGTGAATCTTCAAGCTCGTCTCAGAGCGCAGCGACCTCGGCAGCGCCGACGTCAGGGGGCTCAGCAGACGAGAACTCGTCAGGAGGCGGGAGTCCGTTCGATATTGCAAGTAGCGATTCGAGCCATCTTGGTGCTCGTGGGATGAGTGTGGCATTCATAGTATTGGGTCTCTACGTAATACTTTTGCAATAATGGGGTCTGCGAGGCCTTGGGGACATGATGACTCTTTACACGTCATGGGTACTACGGGTTGGTGCTGGCTGAGGACGGGCGCAGGTAATCGATGGGACTATCGGAGGACAGTCATTGGGAATTGGGTAGAGCATGGCAGGTTGATCATGGAAAGCATGATGAAATGGGTCACGGCAACGGGCGCCGTGGGGGACCATCGAAGCGGTTCTCGTCTCACATCGATGATGAGATTTGACATCAATGGGAAGGCATGTAATTTACAATGATACCACAGCGTTCAATTCACGCCCCACGGGCTTCCCGGGCGACTTTACTTTTCAGAGAAAGAAGGACACACAACGTATCTAAAGGGGACACTGCGAACTGCGCGCAACAATGTACTGAAAGTGTGATACATAGGTATCCCGAGCACTCCAGGCGCCACCAGTTCATTTGTAGGGCTTTATAGACCGCATGATCACAAGCAAGCTAGCGTCCAACCCCATGCGCGCAGAAGCCAAACGCCATGGACGGTTCTAAGACTGACCTCCAGCTACGACAGAAAGGGTCCATTGAGTGTCGTGAGTGGCTATTCGAATCTGAAGTTGCGTCCTGGGAACCCTTCGTCTCAATGTCGAGATCCGTCCATCACGGAGCTCGAAGAGATCAGGATCCCATTCGCCATTTCCATCGCCGTCAACACGGTTGTCGAGGCCTTCCAACGCCGCGTGTATAGCAACAAGCAAAACTCTAGACCTTCCTTGCACCAAAGAACTGGACGGCAGTGTTGCAGACGCGATCCTGAGGTCGTGTTGCTTGGCGACCTCGATACCATCTTTGTTGATCATCTCGTTGTCCCACTTCATTCACGATCTCGTGGTACTGGCTGACGACCCCAATGTCATCCTTGTTGATCATCTCGTCGTCCTCTTCATTGTAGAGCCTGAGCTTGTTTTGGTGGCCAATTGCTCTTGTTGTGAACCCGTCGTCACCCTGGTGGTAGTTCCCGTTTGAGCCAAGGTAGAAGTATACGCCGCTATTGTCTTTCCATACTTCTTTCTTCAGCACCTTCCCCTGAGCCTTGGGGTAGAACCGCCGGTTTGTCAATAACCTCGATCTTCCACTGGTAGTACCCGAGCACATTCCCCCAAATGGGGCGGGCTGTGGTACCTTCGATAACTGGCGGGCCGTGTGCTCCTTTCGTCGTGATGCAGGTCCAGTAGTCCTTGGCACCCCACCCCCGATCCGGCCTCCGAAGTGAAAAGTGGCCGACCTTTGAGGCCAACCGGCAGTTGCATCATCTTACATACTTTGGAGAGTTGCCGTGTTTTCAGGACCCGTGGACATAACGACTGAGAAACCCCAAATCAAAATATTGGCGGCTGGGTACCTGGTATCTTAGCAGTTGGATTCTAAGTGGCTGATTGCAGCCTCTCTCTTCCGTTCCGTCTCTCATTCCCTCCTTCGCTCTTTCAGTCCCCCATTTCGTTTCCTCTTTCAATCCCTCCTTCTTTCCATCCTTCCCTTTCTTCCGGGTCCCTCTTACTTTCCCTCCTTCCTTCTCATCTTCCTCCCTCATGCCGTCGAAGCCCACAGATCCCTCAACTGAATGATTCCGGGGATACTCGCCAGCACGCCGACCGTCATTTCGCTCACCAGGCCCTTATCGCTGCCCCAGTGAAGCGTGAGCGGCGCCCACGCAAGCTGCCGCGCGGTCTTCTTGGCCCATTCGCCGCGCTCCGCCTTGGTCTTGGCGCCGAAGCCGCCGCCGAGTCGCTCGGCCGCCAGCTTGCCCAACTCGATGCCCACGTAGGCGCCCCAGAGGCGCGCGCTCCACTTGAACGCACGCCCCTGCTGCGCCGGCGTCCACGACATGACGCCCCGCGACGAGAGGTAGGCGCCGTTCTCCAGGGCTTGGAAGGTAACGCACAGGACGAGGCGGAGGTATTCTAGCGCCGCGGCTGCCTTGCTGCTGGATGGTTCCTTTTCGGCGTCCTTAGTGGAGGAAGGAGGAGAAGAAGAACAGAGGAGGGTCCGCCGGAGGAGGCCGCGCGCCCAGAAGTACATGCCCAGCAGCGCCCACAGCCGCAGGATCATGCGGGCTTCGCTGAGTAGGGAGGAGAGCGCGGACAGGCGCTTGGAGAGGAGCAGCGCTAGGGTGGCGGTTGCCGGGAGTGCGGTCTTGGCCCCTGTGGCTCCGGCGGCGGTGGCGGGGGAGGTAAAGACGACGGTTGTGCCGCGCGGGAGCGAGGCGACCAGGGCAATCCACTCGCGCGCGGAGCGTCGCAGGGCCGACTGTGACAGGGATGAGAGCACCGAGGCGCTGAGCTTGGACGTGTAACAGAGGAAGAGCATCACGGTATCGATGCCCGAAGGCGTAGCCAGGCATTTGTCGAGGCGGGTGAGGAAGGCATCGACGTTGGAGGGCAGCGCGGCCAGCAGCGCGCCCAGAGGAAGCGGTCGCCGCTTCGGGGTTCTTGCCGGCGGCGTCGAGGACGGGATTGGCTCGCCCGAGGGCAGGTCGGCAACCGGCGCGGCAACCGGCGCCTCGGGCTCGGGGGTGGGTATCGTTGCTGATGCGTCGGCCATTGTTTGAAGGCTGATACTATGTAGCAGGCTGGTGGTGTTGGCGCTCGAGAATTTCAAGTTGTTGCGATGTCAGATTGGATGTTGGAGTGCTACCACAGCGTTTGAAGCGGTCGGGTGCTGGGCGTACACATGTAATTGGGATTGGTGGAACTTAGCGGAGGACTTGGAGCCAAACTATTAGTTAAGGCAGCTCTCGGCGTGGCAACCACGTCAGTACACAAGCGGTCCAACCTGCCAGTCACTCGACCGCGACGGGATGGAAGCTCTGGAACTCGACACCCGGGCGGGAACAGTGTGAAATGGGGGCTCCGCGGTTCGCCGCTCGCTGCACTAGCACAGTTGCCGATACTGCAGCGCACAATGCCTCGGTCTACGGAGCAAGATGTTGACACTTCCCCACAAGTTCGGTGGATTCCGCTAGTCCCGAAATCGGGCTAGCTCCGGGGTTGCAGATGGGGGTGCCAAGACTACGAGCCATACCCCGAGGAGTGCACACACGCACCCTTAAGGTACTAGTAGGCTGGCTGGTAAGTATAAGCAACAACGAGTCAAGCGAGCAGAAAGATGAGATAAGAGAGAAAGGGAGAAGGAAGGACGCAGAAATTCTAACTTACAATTCGAATCTGGCTGATACGAATTGTTTTGGTGTACTAGTGCTTGCTTTGCTAAGGTAAGCTGATAAGGTACGTCCCGTCCCAGCTTCCCAAGGCCGCCAGCCTACCAACCTAGAGCCGGTTTCCGTTTTGGAAGTGAAGGAAGGGACTGGCATATTAACTCACTGTCAACCTTCCTTCCTGTGAGCTTCTTTTTTAATGTGCGTCCTTGCAAGCTTTTTCTCCCGCCGAGTTTACAATTACATCCCTAACACTCATGAAGTTTTGGCACGATTGGGGCTGGGACGATTTTGGAGATGATGAGGATGATGACGATGACTGGGATCCAAAGGTTACTAAGCATTCACATATCCGGATTACGCCTCAGATCATTGGCGATCTCCAACGCATTAAAAGCGGCTAGATATGGGAACGGCCGTGAAGAACTTCCCGTCACAGCAAGCAAACAGACATCAGACAGCGAACTGTAGCTTCACGTCTTCCCAACCTCTCCTCCGCCTGAAGCTCACTCGACTCGATCTACCACCCGTATCCGTATCCCAAGCCGGATGAGCCATGGCGCAGCCCGCATAACCAGCCCGGGCAGCGGGCACCGTGACGCCCTCGACGTCAAACAACAGCGAGACGGCGCCCACCATGCAGACGACCTCGGTCACGGCAAAGCGCCGACCGGGACAGAGGTGCTTGCCCCCGCCGAAGGGGATCAGGGCCCCGCGGCGCTTCTTCTCCTCGTCCGGCGGCGTCGCAATGAACCTCTCCGGGTTGAAGACCTTGGCGTTGGGCCCCCAGACCTCCTCGCTCAAGTGCGGTACTCCGTGGAACCACTGCGCGTTGTTCCCCTTCTTCAGGAGGTATTCTCGCCCGTCGGCGTCGCGCAGCACCGTGTCCTCCAGCACGCGCCGATAGCCGCAGAGCTTGTTGTACAGTCGCTGCACTTCCTGGAAGCACGCGCCGAGGAACGGCTTCTTGTCGAGCTCGGCTGCACGGATGGTCGCGCAGTAGTGGCTGCTGCTGCTGCTGCTGCTGCTGTAGCTGCCCTCCTCGACGACAGTAGTCGCCTCGAGGACCTCCTGCCGCACCCGCGCCACGTAGTCGGAGCGGGAAAAGACGTTAGTGAAGACCCAGGCCAGCGAGGGGATCGTGTTGATCAGCGACGTCCATGGGATGTCGACCTCGCCCGCTACAAGATCGCTCTCGTCGACCCCGATCTGGCGCCGGCTTGCCGCGCGAATTCTGACGTAGGCCGACACATCCGGTCCCTGGTCGTGGCCGACCATGTAATACTTGCGCAACGCCGCCCGGATGCGCCTGCGCGCTGCAACGGCTCTTGGGGCGAGCCATCGCGGGGCAAGACCCAGCGTCAGGACGGTGATGCTCTTGTCAAACTCCCTACAAGGCTCGTTAGCCTTTTTTAGCATTTTGCAAAGTTGACCCAACCCCAGTCCGTCATCCTTGATCTTTTGTAAGGAGAACACACACCACACATCATCGAGCACGTCCGGCGTGACCGGGTTGTTGCTGCCATACAGCGCCATCATGATCGCTTGCGACATGACATCCCTCAGCCAATCCGCCACATTCGGAATCTCATGCGCTTCGCCATCACCACCACCACCACCGCCCCGCCCGATGCGATTCAGCTCTGCTGCAATCTGCCCCAACGCCTTGCCGGCCACTCCCCGCAGCGGCTCGCCCGACAGGGACGGGTGGAACGCCTTGGTGACGGAAGGCAGGTAGCCCGGGTCCTCCCTGAACCTGTCCATCTCGCGCTGGCTCACGCCCAGCGCATTCTTGGAGAACAGCTCGATGAAGGGATCGAACGACAGGTTCTGGCTGCGCAGGCCCGCCGAGATCAGCGGGACCGAGTTGATGAGGTACAGCTTGCCGTCCAGCACGGGCAGCGTGCAGATGGGCAGATGTGATGCCTCGCTTTTTTCGTGTGTGGTTTGTTTTTCCCCAGCCGGTCAGCGCACACGTACACGTACACGCGCACACACACACACACCAAGCTTTTGGTTTTGGCTACTGGTATGAAACCTGACTTTTTATATGAATCAAAGGGTAAGGTAAGGTAGAGAGACAACTCACTACAGCCGCTGGAAATACCCGCCGCCTTCCCAGACTATCGAGAAGGCGTGTCCGATCAGGGGGATCTTAGGCCGCAGCACAGGCGGCTCGCGCGGGTCGTACGTAGGATAGAGCACCCGTCTGAGCTGGAGTATGAGGAAGGGGAGTAGTAGCGCGGCAACAACGAGCAGCGTGGCCGGTGGGATGTTGTTGTCTAGCTCGATCAGATCGGATGCCGCCATTGTGACCTGCTTGGATTCCCGAGATGCTAGTCATACATACTATACTGTACTGTATGTATGCAGGAGGCATTGGAACAGGAAGCCATTTATGTAGCTAGGCTCACAAAAAACCTGACAAGGGGGCCATCGGAAATGGCTGCAAAAGTTCCTGTCAAAAAGTCTTTGTTTGCTCCTGCGGATCGCCACACGGCTTCGCACTAAGGGCTGGTTGTGGGCTTGCAGACGGAGTCGCTCACGGGATACCAACCAGGCCGGGAAGGGGGAACTTCCGGTGTCATTCATTCGTCGACGGGCATCGAACAATACTATCATGTTAGTGGCGAGCCCTCACAAAGACGCCCCCTTACTTCCCTTCCTAACCGGGAGCCCCATCGTTGAAAAAAGAAGAGTCCTACGCCGAACCCGCCCGGTAGGTACCTCGTTGAGGAAACAGGGAGTCAAGAAAATAGAACCAACTCAAGAGAAAAAAAGGAGAAAGTGAGAAAGGAACATGGAAGAAGAGATGAAAATGAGAAACAAAGATAGCAACCGGATGAATATCCGTCCGGTCTACAGGTATAAATCCAGTGGAATCTACGTGCATGTGTACATGCTTTGGTGGCCAGAGAGACAGAGCTGGTTGAGCATACTTAAACTTTTGTTTTTGTCTATGAGATATCTCCCGGGGTATCACTAGGTACTAGTAGGTATGGTGCGCTCGCGAAAGGAAAACTGAACGCCAAAAGAGAACAAAGAAAAGGTGCGTGGCACCGGTCCCATACAAATACAATCTCTACCGTCCATGCTCACGGAAATCTCACCTCTGCCCAGCGCGAGTTGAACTGTGCAGTGTCATTGCTCCCACCCCGACCGAATAAAAAAGAAGGAAAAAGAAAAGAAGAACATACGCGGGCCCTCAGCGCTCCCTCTTCTTCCTCTCCTTCCCACCCTTCCCATACGAAGAAGGCGGAGGCGGCACCACAACGCCGTGCCTGCCCCCGGCAGTAACACTATCCCACACACTCTGGCCCACCCGCGCCGGTATCTTCCGGCCCCGCAGCCGCTGATCGATCAGCCACATGCCGACGACAAACTCCTCCTTGCCCAGCGTGCCCCTCCCTTGCCTGTCGACCAGGTCCCACACCTCGGCCAGCTCGTCCGGGGGTAAGCGGCTGCGGCTCCAGATGTCGCGCACCACGATGTTGACCACCAGCTCCGCCTCGGGCGTGCCCTCCCCCGCTCTACCTCTATCTCCATCATGACCATTATCATGACCATCACCATCTGGATGATGATCTTGACCGGAAGAGAAACCCCAGCCGGGGCGCAGGAACAGGCCGCGGTTGCTGGCCCACACGGCCTCGTACCGCCGCCGCTCGCGCGCCGTTACCTCGTCGCGCCAGCGCCGGCGCGACCCTTCGTGGTGCGCGTGCTTGCGGTTGCCGCCGCTGAGGAGCGCCTTGGTGGCGCTGCGCCGCCCGCCGTGGTGGTGGCCGTGGCCGTGGTGGTGGTGGTGCATGCGCCGGCGCGCGTCTTCGTCGTCCGACAGCGAAGGGTGCGGGCCGCGCAGCGTCGGGAGGAGCATGCTGCCCCCGGTGCGCTGCTGTCGTTGTTTGTGAGCGGCAGCGCCCTGTGCTTGCTGGGAGCGGACGCTCTCTGCTGTGCGCTGTGGCTGGAGCGGGCTGCGGCCACCACCACCGCCAGAACGGCGGGGTGCGGGGACCGGAGGCGGGTGGGACATGGAGTGGGCTGTTGTGGTAGACGTCAGACGGGACGAAGCCAGGTTGCCGGCGACGATGGCGTTGGTGAGGGAGCTGAGGGTCAAATTCGGCGTGGAAGCGTTTCGTGCTGGCAGATGGTGTAGGTCTAGCGTGGAGCGTTCTGTTTGGGCGGGAGGTCGCTGACGGGGCTGCGCAGGTCGGTCTGACGCCTTGCCTGCTTCTCTGGTTGGCGGCATCGCCCACGACTGCACCGAGGAGGCCGAGACGAATGTGTCGTCAGATGAGGCGGAGCTCTGCGACAGACGACGCAGTGTTGCAGTTGGCTCCTGACTTTCCTGGAAGGATGCACCTTTGGGACTGCTTTGTGCCCCGAGAGGCGCGAGTCGGACGGTTGATTCCGCCATTTTTGGGGTGCTTGACGCTCTCCTTGCAGCGGTAGGAGACTTGAGTCGTGGTGTCTTGACAGGAGCTTTTGGCCGCGGCGAAACGACTTTCGGAGGATAGCGGTGAGCGTGGGTAGACGAGGGCGTTGATGGGCGCATGTCCCTGTCAGCTGTCGGTTTTGGGTCTGCCAACTGCTGGCTATTAAGAGTGTCTGTCTGTGGCAACTGGCTCTTCCCATCAGACGATCTCAAGTTGCCACCCTGCGTAGGCAGCACCTTTGGCTTTGGTTTCGGTCTGGGTCTGGGCTCCACCTTTTGCTGTTCTTGCAGCGCCTTTTCTGCTCCCACCTGTCTGACCAGCAACGGTGCCCTCCTCTTCACGGGATCCACGTCATCCCGACCGTTTCTACTCTCGAACAGAGACACCAGCGAGGTGGTCGGCGGAATAGGCGCCGTGTCCGGGCCCTCCGCCTCCGCTCTCCGTTCGCCGGCTCTCGTACCCCCTAATCCCAGCGAACCACCCGTCATCACGCTCGCAGAGCCTACGCTCTGTCCCCTGCTCCGAGCAACCCTCCTCCCGCCCTCCAAGCTCGGCTGTGGGCTAGGAATCCGGACAGGCGAGGCCGACCTGCTCGCAGCCAAGGTCGCGGCAATAAGCGATGGCGACGGCGACGGCGATGCCGCGCTCAGCCTCCCACCACCCGGAGCCAAAAGGAGCGCACTCCCGTTTCCACAAGCAGCATGCAGCTCCGCTAACCTCTGCGCAACCATTCCGCCGTGCAAATGCCCTCCTCCTCCTTCTCCGCCTGGTGTCGGCCCCGGTGCCGTTTCTTGCACCGTCCCGCCTCTACCAGCACTGGCCCCCGTTACTTGCCGACTCAAGCCAGCTGTAGCTGTAGCTGTATTCCCCGATTCACCAGCCGATCTCGGCCGAGGGGCAGCAGCGTGCGTAGCAGCCAATAGCGCCCCATTGACCTTCTCTCGGCCTCGCCGCTCCGTCCCTTGTTGTGCCTGTCCTGCAGTATTCGTGCTGTGGCTAGCACCCTGTGCAGCATTGTGTGTCCTCGAAGGCGGGGGCTGAGGACCGCTGCTGCCTCCTGCTACCGTCTTCCTCTGGTTGTTATTGTTGTTATTGTTGTTGTTATTGAACGCGAGCGTTGCACCTTGCAGGGCGGTCGAGATAGCCGGGTTAGCATTGTTGCCGGATGCTGACAGAGCTGAAGCAGTCGTAGAGTGAGCAGTTGGTGCGCCGCGGCCGTGGTTCTGGCTGTTCCGAGTCGGCGACGGCGGAGGTTGCATAGGTGGACGGAAGAGGGAGCCCGAGCTAAGGTGAACAGACGGGCGTGAGTAGACGGCTGTTTCCCGGTCCTGTTGCGAGCTTGGATACCTCAGGTACCTTAGGTAGCTGGACAGCAAACAGCTTGTGGGTGCGGGAGCAACGAAGATGAGACCCTAAGGCGGAAGACGGGAGGGTTTGTTGACGGCCTCCAAAGTCGTATGATCTGTGTCGGCATCAATTGTGTTCCGTTGTTGAAAGAATCTCGGGCCTTAAAGAACGATACGTATTGGGGTTACAGCGGCTAACGTTACTTGGCCAATGGACGCCAGGGTGCGTAAGGCTGAGGCGCTAGCTCAGGGGTGATGGGTCTCTCAGCAGCAGCTCGGCGGGGTCACAGTTGATCTGCAAGAACAAGTGTAAATATGACATAGATCGGACTTCTACGGATACACCACATGCGTCGGGTACACGTACAGTACCGATGCAGCGTACCATAGTACAATACCTACGGTTGTTGAGGGCATCTCCAAGATCGTAGAGTGATCATTCAGGTAGGAAGCTATTGGAACCAGTGCGAAGAACCACCTATATTCTCCGTGACGAGTCGAGCAATCAAATAAACACAATCCTGCCCATACAATACCTCCGAATCTTGGGTGACCCTTTGTGAAGGAAGGATGTTTTGTCTCCTGCTCGTCTACCTACCCACGCTAACATAACCCAAACATATACATGTATACGCGAAAAACCAGATAAGCCACTCCATAATGAGGCTGTTGAATCGGCAGCCCGCGCCAGCCAGAAGAAGAGAAAGGCCACAATTACAAAAGAAGCCCAGACTCACTGAATGCCGAGACGAAAAAGAAAGAAGCAGGTATGTCGCATAATAGAGAACACGCAGTTGCGAACTGCATCCAACGCCTCGCCCGACCCCCCACAAGCATCCGACAACACAGTGCAGGCGACATCAACGCATATGGCTGCCCAATCAAGCAAGACATGTCGTCGTGGCCGCCGTAATTCATACCCGTCATCCCAGACATATACCAGAGCTCTGCCCATCAGGCAGCGTCCTCATCGGTCCACTCGCTCCCGGAAATGATCCGGTTGCCTTCGCGGTCCACCGTGCCCTGCCCGGCATAAGCGGGCGGGATGCCCCGATACCGCTTTATGTTGGCGGCTTGCGGCCTCCCGTAGATTGCCTCGGGAGTGACCCGCTTGCCCGCCGCCCGCGCGGCACGCAACCTCGCAAAATACGCGTCCGAAAGGTCCTCCTCTGGTTCCGAGTTGTCGTCATACGTCTCCCAGTTCTCAGAGCCCGTGACGACGGTCGATGTATTGGAGGTCTGTCGTACTGGTGGCGGCGGCGGCGCCTGCGCATACGAATGCTGGGTAGCCCGCGATTCTGGTCGCGGAGCGTAATAGTCCCGAGACGCCGGTCTGCTGTTTTCCTCGTAGGAATACCTCTCTTCCCTGTCGTCATAGACATCCTCCGGCTCAACCTGCCGGACAATGCTGGACCCCAGGACAGATCGATAATGGTTCACTGGCGTCTCCAGCTCTGGTGCCGGCAACAGCTCTCGCATCTTCGGCGGCGGCGCCCTTAGGACAGGATTGACCGAACGGACACTGCCCCCTCCGACCCTTGACTCTGGCCGGGTTGGGCGATCGGTGGAGTTACCGCCATGTTTGAGATTCGAGAGTGGCTGCCGCGCGGGAATTCGCGATGGGCTGCCCTTGTTGTTTGCCGGTGCCCCGCGGAGAGTCCCGTTTGACTTGGCCGTGTTCGCAGCCGGCGCAGTTGTCGGCGTCTTGGCTCCAACCCTTGGCCCAGACTTGATGCTGTTGACGCTTTTGGCCCGGCTAAGTGGGGCATTGCCCGTGCTTGCTTGCGTTGGCGTCGGACCAGGCGTCCTGGATCTAGGGCCCGGTGCTGGCTTCGGGTCCTCGCCCTCGAGACAGTCAAGATACCGCTCTCCGTGTACGAGAAACGGCCGGCCGTACTCGTCCTCCCACTTCTCCAGCGCCTTGCGCAACTCAGCTGTGACTTTCGGAAGTTCCTTCGCAATCCGCTTTCTCATCTTCTCCTCTCGAAGAAGCTTGCCCGGGTCCCGCTTTTCGCCCTTCTGACCGCGCAGCATCAGCCGCGACGCATCCTGACTCGAGGCTGCTAACTCATCCCGTTCGTGCACAAGGCTCTTGTGCTTATCAACGAGAGCGAGCGTCGGGGCACGCTGTTCTTTCAGCATTTCCAGCCGAGCAATCTCATGCTCGTGCGCCTCAAGAAGAGCGTCGCTGTAGACATCTGAAAAGGCAGGGGTAAACTCGAGCATCTCGTCCTCCGAGAGATACAAGGCGTCCCAGAGTTCCTGAAGCTTGAAGCGCGCATCTTCAACAAACAGATGCAGGTTCTGTCTCTTGAGTTCGTTCAGCCTGGCCAACTCATCTTCAAACTCATTGATCTGCCGGATGCCGCAACCGCGGTTGCTGTTCAAGAACGCCTTACGCTCCCTTTCCTCGACCCCCAGCTTTTCCCAGAGGGCTTCTACTGCGCTCCTGAGGTCCTTCAGGCGCCTCTCGCGGCTCTTTTTTTCCTCCGCGAGCTTGTCCCTCTTGGACCGCAGCCGAGCAATGTCCTCTTCGTGGAGACCGAGCTGTTCGGGCGCATCGCGACAGTACTTGACAATCGCGCCGTCCGTCTGCGCCTGCGGCGTTCCGAGTTCGGCCCACAGTTGAATGATATTCTCGGCTAGCGTCTTCACTGTCGCCACGCGGCGCGTGTACTCTTCATACACGCGCGTAAACTCGGCATCCAGCTTATCCACATAGGCCGAGGATAGGTCGAAGCTAGGCGGAATGGATTGGTTTGGTCCCGTTGGTGGAAGAGCCAGCTTGACGAAGCTTGGCTCGAGATGAAGCGAATAAGACTCGAGCGCTTGGGCCAGTTCTACTAACTGTCAGTTTCTATGTGATCTTCGTTACCGCCTCGGAGTGTTGACGTACTCTTGACTTCTTCATATCGCTCTCTATGGAGGCGGGCGATGTGCTTGTGTTTCTCCTTGAGGACCTGGAGACACCTCGTGAGAGGATAGGTTATTTTCAGATCGTCGTTGTCGTCGGGTTGGTAGCTCCGGCGCAACTTGTTTTCATCGAGAGAGGCTTCCATCTGCCGGATCGTGGTGATCATCTTTTGCGCTTCGTCGACCATCTCTTTCTTCTCTGCTGCAACAAGGCGCACTTGGTTATGTAATGCGTCGGACAGAGCCTCGAAGAGCTGTCAAGGGCGTCGTTAGCGAGGAAGCAGATTAGCTGGGTTGTGCGACAATCTGTCTTACCTCTGCCTCGCGCGCCTCGCGATCATGGTTGGGAACTCCAATCTCGTCAAACAAACCATGCAGCTGGTCAATTATTGTGTTGACCTGCTGTGCCAGATAGCTGGTATCCATCGTTGAGGCACAGTGCTTTAAGATCGGACTGAGGTTAGACGGACGCCGGGGAACTCGTGGGCTCCGGCGCCGAACTTCCAAAGTTTGACAAGGTGCTGTGTTGTCAAGTCCAGGGCAAGATTGGTTGTGGTGGGGTGTCACCGACCACAATGACGTGCAGCTAGCCTCTGCAGCTAAGTTCTGTTGTTTGCAAGCCGCGGCGTTATCTAAGCATGCCCGTAGTGACTGGGGTCAGCGCATCGCCGAAAAAAATATCAAGGCGTCCTCAAAAATGCCCGAATCGCATCAGAAACCGGCAAGCGGATGCTCTGCGGTAGCGGCAGCTTGACTTAGGGTAAGAAAGAACGATTGGGAAGAATAAGATCTCGATGGAGATGTTGGAGTGCGGGACATTGCTGTGTTTTCAGGTAATCATGGGAGTTGCACAAATGCATCTTTCGCGCCTTCCTTCTCGTTTCCAGGGCAACGGACGTCTGTTCCCGGTATCATATCACCTGCAGGTAATATCTTGGTGGGGCAAGGGAGGCTCGATCCGATCGCGCAGATCGCTCGCACTTTCAACCCCGCATTGGCGCTTACAGTCTCAGCAGTGCCCACCCGCCTTACCAGCTGAATGCTTCGTTTTCAAACTCTAGCGGGACATTCCATGCGCCGGATCGCGACGGAGACGATTTGAGGCATCTCAACGCACTATCTCGCTAGCCATCGACTCTTCTTGTCTTTGCCTTCATGGCTTTCCCGTTCAGCTGGCACCGGCCAAATCTCAACACCAGCCTCAGCTTTCTAACATCCCTGGTCGGACGAATTTCGCATGCAAGGGAGGCTCTGGCTGCGCGGCTGACTCTCACGCCATTCCGTGTTTGTACAGCTAGCAAGGGTGCTGCCAAGTTCAACACCCCCTTCCAAGAAAAACGTCACGCTCGAGCTCCTTCTCTCCGCCGGCATCAGGACGTCGGCAAATATGGGCACGGTGGCCTGCCGAGCTCATAGCTTGGACAGTGTCCCCCGATGTCCGGACAGCATCCAACGCCGGAGAAGCCACGTTCCGGATCCGGTGCGGTTACACCAAGTAGAACAGGACCTCGACTCGGCAAACGACTAACTAGGCCTTCCCGCGGGCCTTCGAGGTCTACTCCAGACGAACAGCAGATGTCGCAATGCGAATCGATGTCTTCTAGACTCTCCGCATGCGCCCCAATCATGGAGTCGCTCTTGACAGATCCGGATCTATCGGCGCTGGCTAACTGCTTGACACAGCTGTCAGTATGGTCCAAAGCAAAGTTGTTTTGGGTCACACATGTTACCCATGGCTTCAACAGCAAAAGCGTCTTACCTAAGTGGGCAGCACTCCAAGCGGCTTATCCATACTGGTGGCTCTCTTCTACTTCATCCTACCTGCCAGGATTGTTTCCGCCGTGATCTTACGAAGTGGGTTGACATGGTAACCACATGTTATACTCCAGGAGCAGCTCCTCCCCAGCTCCCCAACCGCATCACTTCAAGCGAGCCCGGACTCAATGTCCAATTCGTCCTGTCGCTTCTTCTCTTGCTCTTCGGATCCGGTGACGGCCTTTGGCATCCGATGCTTACTGATCGCCCAGCTGCCGAACCCCGCACTCACGGCTCCCAAAATCTCAATGCGATGCGGTCTGAGCGTCAACTGTTCCCACCCCGGGTCCGTTGAGACGGGTGAGGACAGTCTGCTCCATGCTTGTTTGAGCTCTCCAACAGCCTTATAGGCAGAAATCGATCTTCAAGAGTCACCTTCTGCAAAGCACTGCACATTGGCCAACCATAGCTTCTTCCGCCCCTACTACTCAAGGCCTATCCATCCCTCACCTTAGATGCCTCAAGCGGGTGCTGAACTGGTTGGGTAGGTAGGTAGCTTTTCATATGCCGCGGAGCTATCGAGCCGCATGTTCTTTGTGGCCAGTCTCAGAGCCCAGAAACTCGCAGAACCGCCAGTCTATCGCTGAGTCAAGGGCTTTGAAGTTACGAGTCAAGATCCGATGTCTGTGCCATGGTACCCAGGCCGGCAGTTGCCCCTGTTCCGAGCTCCCATGGCGCATTACCCCAGATCCTCATTCTGCCCTGCAGATCTTCTTGTTGCCCTCCCACCGGTCCTCGCATGAGTCCCAGTCCTTGTCGAGATCGGAACGACCGGCCGAGGTGAGCTTTCGTGATCTGTTTGTTTGATCCGCCACTATCGCAAGCATCGCTGGCTATCGTCTGGTGGTTGCCGGCGATCATGGATGGCTCTATAACGATGTAGTCCATGCTCTCTGCGCTGTCTGTCAATTCCGGCTGCATCGTTGGTGTCTACACCTGCCTGCTGTCTGGGGAAGCAGTCTCCTGACGACGTCTGGCCGTGACCACATTTACCCGTCCCGCTGATGTGACAACCCAGGAGTCATCACACATGATGACTTGCTGAAGGTAGTGGGCTTTGCCATTAGGGAAGCAAGAACCAGCGTTGTCTCCGTCACGAAGAAAACATGTCATGATGGGACTACAGTAGACAAGGCTGGAACAGCTCCTTTATGGCTATCGCTCCCAAAAGGCCATCGATCAACAGCTGGGTCTGCTATTATTTTACTTCTCTTCAGGATCAGCTGGATCAATCGTATTATCCCTGGGGAGTGCCAGCACAGCGGCTGTATAGCTGGGAGCTGTTGCTGTACAGTGCCGGTCGAGATCCGGACCCCAATTCGTTCACCTACCACGGCCGAGGTCTACATGCAATTTCATCTTGACACGAGACGGATTTAGCCGGCCAGCCTTCTACATGCGAGCCACACTAAGACGCAAGACGAGACGACTAACGGATCGACATGCAGCGTCACTCTCAGTAGTCGACCCGGCGCCGACCGAAGCCAGAGCTGAGAAGCAAAAGGCATAGGGACAACGTTGCCGGGAAACCACATCGCAATGGCTCCCAGAACGCTGGCAGTATCCGGCTTCCGTCTCAAGAGTTCGTTATGTCCTATATCATGACGCCTATTCCTATGGCTTCTTCGTGTCTTTCCTTCCGAGCTTCCTTTGCTGATGTCTCTTCCGCTCCTTTCCCTGACCGTCAGTTCCTGATGGGGGCTATTTCCATCTCACATATAGAGTCTTTTGTAATGAGATAGCGGCAGTCTTCGACAGCATCATGGACGCCTCGACCTTCTTAGCATTGCCCATGTCACCGGGCCCGACCGGGCCTCAGAGCTTTGCGCTCTTTGTCAACTTCTTCTTTCCCGCCCTGGCATTGCTCGTCGTCTCCATCCGGGTAGCAGGTAGAGTGGCGGCGAACCAGTTCGCTGTGGACGACTGGCTTGTTTGCATAGCCATGCTTATGTCCATAGCAGAGACTGTTATCAGCTTCTTTTGTATGTCTGGCATCCGAGTATCTTAGCACCCTCTGGGTATCATAATGAAACTGACCGGCCATAGTCATCAAGACCAATTTTATCGGCATACCTCCGGAGCGTGTGCCGCCCCACGACCGTACACAGGGACTCATTTGGGCATATGCTGTCCAGATCCTCTACAACCCGATTCTTGCGTTGGTCAAGTCATCCGTCTTGATCTTCCTGACCCGCCTATTTGGCCAAAAGGACGGGGTGCGGCGGTTCCTGCTTTGGCTCAATGTCGCGAACATCTCCCAACTGGTTGCCGTCTTCTTTGCCATTGTCTTGCAGTGTTTACCGATCCAATTCAACTGGGACCCCACCCTCAGAGGCGGGCGCTGTGTTGACCGAAGGATCCTGTATATCTCGACGGCCGCTTTCAACATCGTGACTGACTTCCTGATCCTCGGGCTGCCGCTGTGGATCTTCTCCTCTCTCAGGATTCCCAAGCGCACCAAGATCGCCCTCTTAGTCGTCTTCCTCCTCGGTTTTCTGTACGTCCGCCTTCCTGTTAGTAAATAATCCGTGATATCACGCAAACTAACCCAACAATAGCGTCACCATCACTTCTATCATCCGCCTTCTCCTTGTTGCCCAGGGCGTCTACAACGTGGGAATCTTCCCGAGCGAAGCCTCGACTAACAACGTCGGCTTCGTCACCTCGGCTATCGAGACTAACCTGGCCCTCATCACCGCGTCAGCGCCGGCCCTGCGGCCCATCTTCCGCTCGCGCGACCGCGGCGGCTGGTTCGCGCGCAGCGTCATGGCCACGGCCACCCCAGGCCGCGCGGCTCCTCCTACCACCAATGACAGCGCCGACGTCGAGATGGGCCAGGACAACCAACACAAGCCCTCTATCGGCTGGAACACCCGCAGCCACACCCACCGAGACAGCTCGCCGGTGGTAGGCAGCAAGTTCGGCCGCGGAGGCAGCCGCGGCGGCCGGAAGGGGAGCTACAACCACATCACTGGCCGGCAGCAGCGGCCCTCACAGAAGCCCATCATCCGGGTGCGGACCACAGGCCTCGCGGGAGCGGGACGGCACGAGCAGGTGCTGCTGCGCAGCAGCTCGCCGCGCCCGAGCGAGGAGCAGGCCATGACCTACAACGGCATCATGCGGGTCAGCGATGTCCGGAGGGAGATTGAGGGTATTGTTAAAGATATTGCTGTCGCCGGCGCGGGGACTTTTACTAGTGCTGGTACTCCCGTCAGTCGTGGTGCAAACCGGACACCACCACCACCCCCTAGGACGCCTAGAACTCCTAGGACCCCCAAACCCACGACGCCACCGAGGCCCCGGCCCTCGATGGAGACTATCTTCGTGGGCGCGACGATGGTGTCGCCGCCGCCACCCAGGCCCAGCACGAGCGGCAGCGGGGCTGGGACAATAAGAAGGGCGGCGCCGGCGCCGGAGAGGTATTACAGCGAGAGTATATACCCCGAGCAGGGGCTGGGTAAGGCAGGTGAGGAGGAGGAGGACGACGACGACAGGGTTTCGCGGTACCTTGGTCGCAGGTTCGGGGTTGTCACACCCCGGGGGACGACACCGACCTCGAGGGGCTGGGAGGGGAGCGGGCGGCCGTTCTAGCTGGTTCATACCTTCGTTGAAGACCAGTACCTAGTTATATATGTAGCTATGGGGTTTATTTCTTTTCAACTGTTCTGGCGCCAGCATAATATTTATATGTCTTTTGGCCGTTGTCTGTTCTGTTTACTTTGGGTCTTGGCTGGTTAAGGGGGTAATGGTTCGTCACAAAAGTCCCGCATACTAGGTACGCATCTACTGCACATAACGACCTTAATGTTTTTCTTGTATGCGATGAAGTAATGAATAGTTTGTTAGTCTAGTGCGGAGTATGTGTACGTTATCGATGATGGTGCACACCTTGGGTTTCTGCGTGGAGTGGAGAACTAGGTAGGTAGTACAGATTACAAGAAAAATGAAGCTAGAAATCACGCCGCAAGAGCGCATCGGAAGCAGCTCCACTGCCCGTAGCTAGCGCCCGTCACCTCGGCTTCTAGAAGAAATGAGATTTTTCCCGGGATTGGTGAGATCTTTGTCGATGAAACACCTGCCCGGGGCATCCGTTCAGAACTGGAGGACCGGGGGATAATGCGATGACGCGGGGCCGTACGTGAGTAGGCCGATTTCTTTGCATGGTTGCTACTTGAAATATCATATCGATGCATTTACCCATAGCCATAGGTAGCCTAAAAGTGCTTGTCAATAGGTGAGGCGCAGCCGAGAAGTACTTGTACAAGTACACAACCAGGTGTCGTGGTGAGCCTAACTGGTAGACCCGGGCATACCTGATTCAACTACTAATTCCACCGACGAAACAGTGGGAAAAGAATTTTCGAAGGTTCAGTTGCCCCTACTACAAGTAACAAGGCCGGGTCTACCCTGACTGAGAGTTTGCTGGTGGCGCTGGGTGTTGTCGCTAGAGGTTTGAGGTTGAACGGGCCGATTCTGGTTAGTAAGGTATGTAAAATCGCCACAGAATGGGAGTTGAAGGTTGATAGGTCACATGAAAATTGTCTCTGCGAATATACGCTCACAGCTTTCATGTCTGCATGTTGAGCCGAAGGCAATAGCCAACAGTACACTTGTTGTAAGGAGGTAACTTCCAGGTTATTAGGGGCGGTTTCTGGGCCGCTGCCGTTTCGGGTTCCGTTGCCGACGACTCCAAGGTTGTGCTACACCACCTGCGTTATCTCGACTTATTAGGCTCGCTCATGACCCGAGGAGCCATCCGACGTCATCTGGGAGGGCAAGCTGCTCGTGACACAGGTCGTTAGAGATTATCGAGAAGCAAGATAAGCCTCGTGGATGTGGTTGCTCTGTCTTGAGTCTGTCATACCCTCCATCTCTTGAGCATGTGGGAGCCTGCCTCATTGGCATGGAATGGCCGTGGCTAGCATGCAGCTGCTTCCTAGACGGGGAATCCCGACTGCCCTTATCAGGACCCCCCTGTGCGGCCTCTTCTCTGTGCGCCTGCTGATATAAGCCGCCGAAGCCGTCTCCGCCGTGTACGGTAGACCTGAAACTCGATGCGTTCTTTTTTGTCTGCCCTTTGTGGGCATGATTTCTGACAACACCAGCAGTGGCAGACTGTGTTAACGAAACGACGAAGAAAACGGTGAGTGGGACCCGCTATCATTTGTCTTTGGGCAGCGACCCGCCCGTTCGCCTCGCCTTACACTTACGTGCCGCTTGCCGTGTTCCCGCGCTAACTCTCGGAGCCTGGGGTCAGTGACGACAATCACTGCCGATCTCTTATCGCCCTTATCGCTGTTAGGTGTTCGTTCCATCCGACAGTATCTCTTGCGCTCCAGGTTGGATCCAAAGTTTAAGTTCCTTTTCAACTACTCACGAACGCCCGGTTTGCCCAAGGCAAAAGCCACCAAGTCTCATCACCAGTCATTCCGTACTGGCAGCTCTTTTCGCACCGGAAGTTAGGTCCAAGGCGGGTCGGGTGGGTCTTTGGGCCAACATCTTACGTTACCAAATCACACTGCGGCACGCGAGACATTGCCTGGCGGCATTCGGGGTCGCGTGCTGTGACTGGCTGCGCTGTTACAGTGGACGCCTGGCTCCCAGGGCCCTGAATGACACCGTTGCTGCAGTTGATCTGTGTTTCCAGTCAGCCGGATTACACGTACGCACACTGGCTGAGTCCCCTACAGACCCACCGTGTCGTTTCCTATGACGGGGTCACAGCATCTCTCCGATAACGTTCAGACGATTTGCGCAGCCACCACTTCCAGTTAACTCTCGTCCTAGACCGGTCCTATCTGCCCTCTCTCCATCGCCAACCCTTAGGACAGGAAATGAAGCTCGTTCTGCGGCCGACACGGGAATCAGTGCCTACTGCAGCCTCAACATGTCCACAACGCAGCTGAAGCGACACGGCCATGGCGTTAGGTCGTCGACTCCGAGCCCTCCGAGGGCTGACAAGACGCCCGCACGACCGATGAACGCCTCTACGCCAGTGCAGATTCCGGTAAGACCGAAGTCTCGAGACGCGGCACACCCACAGAAGGCTCATCGCAGCCACGGAGACCGGAAAAGTCATTCCTCGGCGCGGCGCCTAAGAGACACGCACTCTCCAGATGCCATCCCTCCCTCGGTCGCCGCGCTGCTGGCCATCACCAACATTCCTCCGCCGAAAGGCGGGCGGAGCATGCGGCAGACCAGAACAGAAAAGAGGATGACGGTGGAGTCGATCATCGAGCGGGCGCAGGAATCCGAGAAGGAGCTGAGTTTGAAGCTTAGCAAGGGCCCGATGGATATTCTTTTGATGGCGCCCGAGGACCTCGAGGCCGACGATACCTCGACCTGCGGCAGCGGTCCAGGTTCTTTCCTGTCGGCACGGACGATTTCGCTGGATTCCATGCCATCGTTGAGCAACTCGTTCACCACCGCCACCCTCTCATCATTCGAATCGCCCCGGACGCCGCCCAGGAGGCGGAAGATTCAGCCCACTCGACGCTCGCTGGAACCTGTTTCGTCACCGCCTGGGGAACTGGAGAATCACCCTCTGTCCTCTCCCGAGATTGAAGTCGACGAGCTAGATTTTAGAGTGTTTGGGAGTAAAGACGAGGCTCCGGATAAGAAGAGCTCGAGGCTACCTTTTAGACCGCTCAAATCGGCCTTCAAGTCGAATCTGACGGCATCGTTACGGGCCTTGCGCCAGGCCGCGCGCTCGTTTTCCAATCTGAACTTTTCGTCGATTCCACCAGAGGATTTCCTCACGAGGTCGATCTTGACGATAGATCCTCAGGTTCCGTATACCGACGAGCGCAGACCACCTCCGCTAGAGGAAGAACCAACAGCTGCCTTACGGCGCTACCTGAACCCTACGACGACGGCCCGCCTTGAGAAGCCCCAGACCGTCTCGTCTGGCCCCGTATTACGATCCTTTACGGCCTCTATCCAGATGCAAACATACAAAGTCCATCGGCCCCGCAGTGCACCCGCTTCTTCGGACCGTGGCCCTTATCCTTCGGTAGGGCCCTCCTCAACACCGCAATCATCGGAATCTTCGCAGCCGAAACCGGTGACGGAGTACCCCACGCCGGGGCCAAGGCAGCGTGAAATGCGCGAGAACCCCGATTTCATCAGGATCGCCGTCATGGAGATGGCCATGCGGAAGAGCGGCAAACTCAGCTCAAAGCGGCCGGGTAGGGCTCGTTGGGCGCTCCCACCGAGAAAACCCAGCACAAGGCCATATGTGATCGGGCCCGACGGAGTCCCTGCCCGATGGGTATCAGTAACTCACTGAACCCCGCGGAGATTGCTTTAACGCAACCTACTACCTGCTACAAGCGATCGTCGATCGTGCCTTGTCCGATACGATGAATGGGCTGCGAATCGGCGAACGAGTGCGCTGAAGCATGGAATACCGGACCCCGAAACGTCATCGAAACGGACCGGCGGGTCTTGGCATGCATTCAACCGTGCTGCGAGAGCATCCGAATCGGGAAGGACTCAATGTGAGGTGGGATGGAGGATGGAGGATCAACTGCTCTGCATCTCACCACCTTCTCTCTTCGCGATGGCGCCTCTGGGTTCGGGGACAATCGGGTTATCGCCAAACAGCAAGCCAGTTAGGGACAGCACTAGGTTACCTTGGCGCTGTTGTTCGGCCGGGGATTTTCGTCTCAAAAGAAGAATTCGACCACCATTTTCTACACCCACGCGGGATGTGTGGGGTGCATAACGAGCGATTTCGACGGCCTTCTAGCCGGCCACACTAATACAACACTTTCGACTTCTTATTCCCGCACGCACGGCGAAGGATTGGGCTGCTCTAAACCGGAGGATCCTCCGTTCAAAATCTTAGCCAAACGGTCACTTATTGGGCCTTATTCTCACACATACGATATCCTTATTGGCTTCACAGCGCGAGAGTTGCGATTTCCGGCGCGGGCGACCGCACTTCACCATTGTTGAGGTTATTTGTTTTTGCAGCATCACCAATTCCGAGGGCGCAGAGGATGAGAAGATTGCATTAGCTACGGGCGTCGGCGGTCATTATCACCACCATCATCAGCATTGTTGCATTTCAATTGCATTATCTGTCAGCAGCATCGGCGCGCGTCACTTCGTCCCAGTCCTCTTCACCAGACGCACACATTTGATTCATGTTCTTCTCATTTGGGGGGTAACGGCGCATAGCGGCGGATCGGAATGCTCCTGCCTGGCCACATAAGGGGCTGGTTCCAAGGTGTTTTTCTTTTTGCCTAGACGAGGAGATTCAGCATGCCAGGATGCGTGCGGGCGTTGCATCGTTCGAGATACTACACAGAGTACGGTATTCAAGTTGTCTTCGAATGGGCAGTTTGCATGTATAGATCACACAAACCACTTGTACTGGACGTAAAGGTATAAATGTGTCTTTTCGAACAGCAACAGCGACAGTTGGGACATGTATATTCTGTTAATATATCATATCACCTACTATCCTCAAGCTGTCGAGCATCTACTGCGCGTTGTTTAGATACCGTGCTGAATGCCCCGGATTTGGCACGCATCTGCCAGCCAGCCAAGCAATGTTCTCGTGGTAGTTACAAACACAACATGGTCTTTGTACGAGTAGGGCAACTCATGTACTGTACCTGCGTTGTGTAACACACCCACCCAAAGAGGCCCCTTTGTCATAGCTATGATCGATCACACCACATTCAACTTGTTTTTGTGATCCCAAGCGCGGCTGCCCAGAGTGTGTATGTGGTGCCATAGCAATGGCTTATGTTTGTGACTTGGTATGTACCTGGTATTATGTGTTCAAGGGTGATGGAGCATTAGAGCCAGTTGAGTAAAAGGTGGAAATGGACAGTTTAACCTCGTTCCGCTGTGAAGTAAAGTGTAGTAAGCTATTTCGGATCCCTTAATGGAGCGAGGCTGAGATCCAAAGTAGGGGAGTATTTGACCCAGCCGACCATATATATATATACATGTACCTTTTTTGATTCAGATAGCACCCACGATATATGCTCCAAAGAACAGGTTGTTACACATGACAATAACAAACAACACGACGCCTTTGGCAAACACCATTCGCGACTGGATTTGCTCCAGAGCTCTAAATATTCCCCTTTCCATACTTTTCCACACACATTCATATAGATAGATATGACGTGCGCCTTCCACACACCTAATTTCACTCCTCATCCTCCTCGTCCTTCCCAGCGCTACCGCCTTTCCTCTGAGCCTCAGCCCTCGCCCACTCCTGCGCCTTCGCAGACACCCGCTCTCTGCTCTTGGCGTCGCCGTGTTCCTCCTCCCACTTGGCCCACCTCCTGAACCAAGCCTTGGCTTGGCGGGGCTTCAACCCCTTTACTTTGCTTCCCCGCTCAAACAAGTCCCTCACGACGACCGGATCGGCGGCGCCCACCATCGACGGGGCCGTCTCCAGATCGAGCAGCTGGTTCCACAGGTCGAACTTTTTGGGGTAGGTCGCTAGCAGGCTCTCGAAGAGGGTGCGGCCCTGCTCGCGGTCGCCGTTGGGCGAGCGGAACTCGAGCGCGGCAAACTTGGGGAGGAGGGACAGGTAGACGTGCGAAGAGTTGCCCGTCGTGCTGCTGAGGACTTGGGTGGCGCGTTTGAGGAGCGCGCGGCCGCGCTCGGGCTGGTTGGCGACGGCGTGGAGGAAGTGGGCGTAGTTGGTCCAGACGTGGGCCGACTTGGAGCCGTACTTCTTGAGGATCTTTTCAAAGAGCTCGTCGGCTTCCTGTAAAAGGGAGGTGTTAGCAAGATGGCGGAGGCAGGGAAAAACGGTGTGTAGTATGATGGAGAAACCTGCCTTGTGCTTGCCGGACTGGATATAGATGCTTGCCAGCCGCTCGTGGATCTCCTGGTCGTCGTTGTAGGTACACGCCCGCTTGAAGACCTCCTCCACCGTGTCGTCTGTCCCATAGGCGACTTCCAAGTTGAGGTAGGCAACCCAAACGTTCAGTTTCTCTGTCTCCTCCTTGATATTGATCGTCTTGATCGCCCGTTCAGCCACTTGTCGCGCGCCGGCCAGGTCATTGACCTGCATTTGAGAGGCCATGTACGCGATCCACAGTTCGGACGAATCCGGCTGCCCCAGAAGGAGACGCTCGTAATCGCTGGATGTCTGCGGCCCGTTGACATCGAGCTCGGCCGTCTTGTCAACGATGACCTGCGGTTCCCGCCGCCTCTTGGCCTTCTTGCTTGGCCCATCCGCAACTCCGGCATTTGCATTGTCGTCCGCGTCGAGGGCGTTCGCCGTCCAGTCAAAGCCGCCAGCATCGAGCCCCTCCTGTGGCCCGTCGGCCATCTCAACGTCGCTGGCGTCCTCCACATCGTCTTCATCCTCGTCCTCCTCATCCTCCGAGCCGGCAATGAGAAGTGCCCCGCCGACGTCGCTCATCGCTTCGTCGGCATCACTCTGCTCTTCTCCATCTAGCGCTGCTCCACCGTCCTCGTCATCGCTGTCGACATCTATATCGTCTGCCTCACCGTCTTTGAAGTACGACGGCTTTAACCCGAGGCTGATGCGCTTCTTCTCGAGATCCACCTTCAAGACGCGAGCCTTGACGCGATCCCCCTCGTTGTAGAGTGTCCTCGCGTCCTTGATCGCCCTATCCGCCATCTCGCTGCGGTGGCACAGGCCCGAAAGATTGTCGGTGCGGTCAATGTCGATGAAGGCACCGAATTCCTCCACTTTTCGGACCTTGCCCGTCACAATCTGCCCCTCCTTCAGGTCTGAGATGGTCGTCGGCGGGACGTAGTCCTTCTCCACGACCGACGGCTTCAGGCTCATTTCGATACGGCCATCAGCCACCGAAATGATGCGCCCCTTGACCACCTGATCGACCTGGAAGTGCTCCTTCCAGTCCTTCAGGTACGAGTCGGAAAGATTCTTGATCTGGACCATCGCCACAACATCTCCTCCGAGAGACACGAAGAGACCCTTATCCGACACATTCTTGACGAAGCCCCGGATGATTTCGCCGACTTCGAGCTTGGTGCTCTTTGTAACCTCCTTGTCCTTGACGGGCAAGGATGAGTTGAGCACTCTTGAGGGCCGCATGGACAACCTCAGCCTCTTGTTGCTCTTGTCCATCTCAACGATAGCCACCCGTACGATCTCGTTCTTTGAGTGCACCAGAGGGTTCGCTTCACCGTAATCATCTGCGAGATCCGGCAGGTGGACAGGCCCCGCCACAAGCTCGCTGAGTTTCACCACGATTTGACGGTCATTGACCTTGGTGACCTTAGCATGCAAGACCATGCCTTGTTGCAGCTTGTCCCAGGAGAGCTCCTCAGCAGCGCCAATCCGAGCCGAGAGGTCGACTCTCTCCCTCTCCTTGTCCACAGCTAAAACCCGCACTTGGAGCGCACTGCCGACAGGGAAGCTCTTCTCCAGGTTCGCCACCTTGGAAAGATCGTGCGACGCCTCCGAGGCACTGATCCTGCCGCGGACATTTGGCGAAAGGTTCACCCACAGATAGTTGGAGGCGACGTTGTTGACGAAGGCAACATGCGTGGATTCGACCTGGATCTTGTCAAGGGACAGCGGCTCCGGGAGCGTGTCTTCCTTGAGATCGCTGGGCTTCATTGACAATTCCAGGACCGAGTGGCTCGATCGGTGTGTGATGGGGAGGAAACGGTGATTGCGGGCATCGTGGACGCCAAGGACGCGAACAGAGAGAATTTCGTTTGGCTTGAACTTTTTCAGCGGCCTCCTGGGATCCGGGATGTCCTCCCATCTATCGAAGACCTGCGACACGTCAATGCGTCCCTGGATGTTGTCTGCAATCTGGACGTTGAGTTGCGTCTCCTTAACCGATTTCACCCGAGCTTTGGTGAGCTTGCCAACAGCGAGATCATCGATGGAGGTGATGGAGTCGTCCAACGAGTTCACAGCCTTCTCGGTAGTCTTGGCCGACTTCTTGACCTGCTCGTCAGCAACCGATGGGATGGCGACTACTGTTCGGCCCAAGTCCTTGTCGATGGATGTGATTTTGACAAGAAGTGACTGTGACTTGTGCATTCCAAAGTTGGGTTTGTCCTGGGCATCGCGGGGAATCATCGACTTGGGAAGCAGAGCCGTCAACTTCCCTGCGAACTGCACGAAGACGGCAGTGGCGGTGATATTCCGAACAAACCCGGGAATCTTGTCCCCGACCCGCGCACCATCGACGCTGGCAAGAAGCTTTCCCTCCTTGCTGGCTTGGACGAGGCTCGGTTTGTGAGAGAGTGTGATGGACCGCCGGCTTTCATTCTTCTCGAGGACGACCAACTCCTCAAGCGTCTGGTTGACGTGGATTTTCTTGAGCGCCGACTGCGTCTTGCTGACCGACTTGTCTGTTAGATGTCCTACGGGGAGGATTGCCTTCAAGGAGCTGTCGGTGAGCTCGACGAAGATATCGTCTTCTGTTTTCTGCGTGACCTTTGCTGAAACCAGATCACCAATCTGAAGCTTCTTTAAGGCGAGTTGCTTGTCCAGGCCAAAGGCAGACGGATCCTTGCAGGAAACAATGAGTCTGCTGGCTTCCGGGTCGAAGCTGATGACGTAGACGCTGACAGTCTGCCCAACGCGGAAATGCTCCTTTGGATCGTGGATGTAGGCCTCGCTCATCTCAGAAACCGGCAAGAACCCACGGAGCCGGCCGTAAAACTGGACGATGGCACCGTGCTGCAGAACAGTCACAATGGTCCCGAAGGCCTGCAACCCAACCGCCAGCTCGTCGTACGACTTGATGGGCGGTGCTTCAGAGTTGACCAGCGTCTTTTTCAACGTCAGGCGCACTTGGTGCATTGCTGGGTTGGTGGAGAGGACGCGGGCTTTCACCTTCATTCCTTCCCTGAATTTCTTCTCAGGATGCTGCAGGTGAACGTCTGCAAGATGCATTTCAGGCACCAGGCCTGAGATTCCGTCCGCAATCTTCACGATGAGGCCCCCGAGACCGTCCTGGTTGATGACAAGCTTCTCAACCACGCCGGGAACCACTGCTCCAACCGGAATGTCCTCGATCCGCAGGAATGGTTGTTCAAGGACCTGCTTTTCAAAGGAGAGGAGGAACATGCCGTCGAACGAGTTGAAACCAACCACACGGCCCCGGTGGACGGAACCCACCTTGAACGGGCCGCTGTTCTCGAACAAACTGTCCACCTTGCCGTCCTTGACCCTGGAGATGTGGACGAATCCCGGGACGCCTTCTACTCCGACGTCGACATAAAGCCCAATCCCTGGCTCAACCCTCTCTACCGTGCATTCCTCCACGATTTCCGAGTGCGCGAGAATCTGGGTTGGCTGTGCTTCTCTGCCGTCCCGGCTTGCCGTCTTCGGTTTCAATGAAAGCACATGAGGCAGCATGGAGATGCCCAGCTTGGGCAGTTTTGCGGTGGGGAACGTGCATATGATCCTCGCCTTTAGACGGGAGCCAACTCTGTACTTTTCGACAAGATCAACCCCGTCGGGTCCGGCACCAGAGTGAACAAGGTCCGCAGTTACATCCAGGTGGCCCATCACCTTGCCGACGACGCCGTGTTGGGAGACCTCGGATATCAAAACATCGGCGGCGGTACCAGGCAGGAATGAGTCGATAGTCGTAGCTTCGGACGGGTTGTTCTTGGGGCTGCCAAGGCGATCCGACAGCGTCGAGAGCTGGGCAACCTTGCCGTTCGCGGCCTTTCCGGTGACGATGCAAAGTAAGACCGACCCTGGCTGAACACTCTCCTCTGGAATGTCCTTATCCAGCTGTTTCCGCGGCAGAAACCCCTTCATGTTGGACTCGGAAATACCAATGTCCATGACGAAGCCGTGATCCTCGACGCTGACTACCGATGCCATGAGCGTGCAATTCTCGACGACGTCCTGCTCTGACATGCCCGTATTGGCATGGGTGGGCTCGAGGGACAACCCGATGTGGCGCCTGCTCTTTCCGGGCGTTGACTCGTCTAATGTTGACGTGACATAGGCGCGCACATATTGGCCGACGTGGAACAGACTCTTGAGGTCGACGTCGTCGGCGCCGGTGTCCTCGTCCTCGGAATCATCTTCGTCGTCCTCCTTTTCGGCGCTCGCCTGCAGTCGCCGCGTGAGGGATTGGGAGATGGCGGTTATGGGCACATGGCCAACGAGATTGTTGGGGAGCGCAATGGCGAGGTCTAGGGCGTTGATGGCGCAGACTGTTCCAAGCACGAGCGAGCCTTTGACCAGCCGCTATAGTACGTTAGCAAGACGCATCCTCCATGTGTAAACATTGTGAGCGCAATCCCACCTTGAAGTTCAAGCTTTCCACCTTCACAGCATCCTCGTCTTTGGCAGGCTTGGTAGCCGTCTCATCAGAGCGCGACTTGCGCTTCTTTTTCTTGGCAGCCTTCTCTACCCCCTTTTTGCCCGTGGACTGCTCCTCGAACAAGACGTCCTTCTTCGCTTGGATGGCGATCTGCTTCTGCTCCAGGGGACTCAAGATGCTCCCGCCTCCTCTAGGGAACAGAGGCTCTTCCTCTTTCAACTTCGTAACCACGGATGCGCCGGCGGGTTGGGCATCGGACTTGGGCTGCTTTGCGGTCTTCTTGCTATCGTCTTTCGTGGATTCGCTCTGCTTTGCCCGTTTCGATGGCCGAGCTTCGGTCGCCGGGCGCGAGGACTTGGAGGTGCCATCGGGGCCATCCTTGCGCTTCAGAGCACCCATGGTACAGGATATGCTGCTTGCCTTGCAGCAGATGAGGAAAACCTAGACGAGCTACCTCCTCGACACAACGACAAGCAAAACCGCCTGCAAAGAATGCTAACTGCCAACTGACAGAGCTTCCCACCACAAAAATTTCGGGCGGGTCCTTGTCTTGGCATGCACGATAGCGATAAGCAAGGCGGTGAGAGAGGGGTGGAGGATGGCTCAGGGTGGGTGGACCGTTCTGCCAAGACTGCGATAACCAATGACGGGCGGGGTCCACTCAAAGGCCCTGGCGGAAGCTTGTGCACGGCTGATCGTTCTGGCTCGGCACCTGCTGGCTGGCACTCACATGCTGCCCGTTACCGTTGCCTGAGGGTAGAGCAGACAAAGCGACACGCAATCGTGAGTGTGATAGCTTCTGATGCCAATCTCTCTAGGGAAGTTCTTCAAATAGCTACAATAGCAAAAAGACAATTATAAGACAGATCGAATCCTTTTTTTCTCGATTTCTGAGCCTGGCGTCTTGTCTGTAGCCGGGGTTGGCTCCGATCCGACTGGCTGCTCATTCAACCCAATCACCGGATGACGTATCCGTACGGCCTCGGCCAACCAGCTCGAGCCAGGTTGGGGGAACCGGGGGTGCCAGCCACGCAGACAACTCAACAAAACAACATAGGCAACCGCAACAAGAAGATAACCACGACAATAAGCTGTGTCTATAACCTGACATCGCTGCACCGATAGTCCCGCACAGCAGCCCGCTCCTTTCCGCGCTCGACCTGCGCCATGGGTTCCCGCACGCGGGTTAAGCCCAACCCTGCCGCCGGATCGAGCACCGCGACTTCTTCGTCCGCCATGCCATCGCAGTCCTCATCTGAGCCATCACAGTCCCATGCCTCTGCCGGAACAAATGCCACCACACGTACCGTCACACCCCAAGTAGAGCCGGGTACCCCGCGAAGCCTGAAGCAGGGCGGGAGCGGCGATGGTACACCGACGCCCGTGCAAGGCTTGAAGCAGGTATGTGCCAGTTGTCGGGCCGTTCACCCAGTTCCGCTGCTTTGGCAGTTTCAATACAACGCCACCCGCTGGTGCTGATTGCATTTCAGGCTCATAAGACGCGAAGTTGGTATGGATCATTCCCCCGAGTGTCCAAGTCGGCAGCGTCGACCCAAGTGGCGCGGGAAACGATACTTGGGGGAACATCGAAGCCCCAGGGAACAGTGGATTTTAGCAAGTTCGAGCAGAAGAAGCAACCCGACGCCACGAACATCAACGAAGTGTCTTTGTCAAGTTCCCCCGCGTCGAAGATGCAGGAGGACAGGGGCAGCATGGAGGACCAACAGCGGGATACAGCCCCTCCAGCGGTTGAGGATCACACGAAAACCGAAGGCGAGACCAAGACTGAGGATGGAGCGAAGCCCGAGGACAAGACAAAGCCCGAGATTGTCGTTGATACGCAAGTGACCGGTAGTGGCGAGACGGAGCAGAGAACAGAGCCGGCCGCCGGGCAGTCCGCGGAACCGGCTGCGGAACCGGCTGCAACATCGCCTGTAGATCAGCCAACAACAGTGGAATCCACGTCCCAGAGACCTGCTTCTGGGTGGCTTCCACTCGGGTGGCTCGGCTGGTCGGCGCCGGCGAGCACTGAACCAAACCCCTCAGCACCCACCTCCGCTTCAGAAGCTGGTCGTCGAGAAACAGATGCACCTCAGGAAAGTTCAGCCACAACGAAGCAGCCAGATGTTAAGCCTCCCGAACCAGTCACCGAGATGCAACAAGCGCAAACCGCCCCTGACAGCGGTGAGACTCCCGAGCAGCCCCAGGAACAAGAAAAGGCACAGGATAAGGCTGGCGCCACTTCGAGAACTTCTTGGCTCTGGTCTTGGTCTAGTAGGAGTGCTCCTGCCCCTTCCCAGCCTGAGATCTCTCCGCCGACTGCCGAATCGGAGGCGCCGCCTCCCAAAGAACCTGAGGATGTCGCCGTACAAGATGTGCCAGCGCCTACTACTGAGCAACCATCTCCAGCGCCGAAAGCAGGTTCTACGTGGGCATTCTGGTCTCGCGACACAGGCTCGGCTTCCCAGAAACAACCGGCTCAGCAGGGAGAGCAAGGCCAGCTTGCGGTCATGGGCGAGCGTTCCGAAAGGCAACCCCAAAGAGCCAATTCGATGGAATTCGAGAGCGCACCGGTAAAGGAGCCTCCCTTGAAGGCAGGCCGGAAAGATGACAAGCGTGCCGACACTCTCACTACCTCGTCCAGGGAATCCTCGTCCAAGAGCAATAGCCGGGCTCGTCCAAGGTCTACAGAAATCGAGGCGCCTATTCCCGCCCGTCCTAGCAGTCCTAAAGCCGATACAGCAATAAAGCCAGGCCCCAAGACACCGACATCAGCGAAGGCCTCACCACCAAATCTATTACTTCCTTCTTTCAGTGGCACCTACAAGCTCAAGGATAACCCTTCCATCATAAAGCAGATCGCCCAGCTTCTTCTCAGGAGCCAGCAACCGTCGGCAAAGCATGTGTACTTGAGGAAAGAACCGCCCAAGATCAGGAAGGCCGTGGCGATTGGCGTCCACGGACTCTTTCCCGCAAACTACCTGCGTCCTATGATCGGGCAGCCTACGGGGACATCCATCAAGTTTGCGAACCACTGCGCCGAAGCCATCAGGAGGTGGGCTGACAGCCACGGCTGCGAGGATTGCGAGATCGAGAAGATCGCCCTGGAAGGGGAGGGCAAGATCGCCGAGCGTGTCGAGAACCTTTGGAAGCTCCTGCTGAATTGGATTGATCAAATCCGCAGTGCCGATTTGATTCTCATCGCGTGCCACTCGCAGGGCGTCCCCGTCAGCATCATCCTGCTGGCGAAGCTCATCGAGCTCGGTATTGTGACATCGGCGAAAGTCGGGGTGTGCGCTATGGGTAAGTCTGAAGATCTTCTATGATACGGAACCGACATAGGTAACTGACAGAGCGACTAGCTGGTGTCACGTTGGGTCCTTTCCCTGATTACCGGTCGAGCATGGGCAGACTCATGGGGACGGCAGCCGAGTTGTGGGAGTTCGCGGATCCGCAGAGCGAAGTTTCCAAGAGACTCGAGGCCTCGATAAAAGCGGTCTTGAGTCACGGGGCACGCATCACATTCGTTGGCAGCATTGACGACCAGCTCGTGCCGTTGGAGGTTCGTTTCCCTGTTCCGCATTAAGGGTTCTTTTGTAGGACACTAATAGTTGGCATATAGTCAGCCATTTACGCCCCGGCCCATCATCCGTACATCTTCCGGTCCGTCTTCATCGACGGCCGGATCCATGCCCCGGACTTGTCAGTCTACCGCCTGCCCCTCCTATCCCTTCCTCTGAGTTGCTAACAAACAGCCGCAGCATCGCCCATCTAGTCGGCTTCGCCCTCAAGCTCCGCAACCTCGGCGTCTCCGACCACGGCCTGATCCGCGAGCTCTCCACGCCATTGGCGGGCAGCCTGTACTCGGGCGAGGGCCACTCGCGCCTCTACGATGACGAGCGGGTCTACGACCTGGCCGTGACGCACGCGCTGGAGACGACAGACGTGGCCGGCCCCTCGTGCGAGTGCGAGGTGCGCCACAGACCGGGCCAGGGCGCCGGCGGCCTGTCGAATCCCAACCCGTACCACCTGCCCTGGATCATGCGCGGCTTGCTGGAGGAGGATTTCGTCAAGACGGAGCTGTCGGCCGAGACGGAGGAGCTGGTGCGCCAGTTTGACGACTGGAAGCCCGTCACCAAGGCGCTCAAGGATGTCAAGTACCGGCTGGAGGCTGTTAGGTCCAAGCTGTAGACCGTAGGGTTTTCATTTCCCCTTTCCCTTTCTCAAGGTTACTGGGGAGCACATATGGGTTTTTTTGGCGGGCAAGCGAACATGGGGTTGTGGGGAATGGTGTTAATGGTCAGACTTGGGATCGCATAGGCATAGGTATGGGACGGATGGGACGGATGGGGTGGGATGTGGTTGGCCCTAACGCATGGATAAGGTAGCTAGCTGGTTTCAAGATTCTTCGAGGGGAAGGGCGTTTTGAGGATATGTCTAGTAGATGGGCCAAGGTAGAACCTCCTTTGCATACATACATGATCCAGAGTCTGGGAAGGTAAAGATCTAACTTAGACATACATTAGCCTTAGTTAACCTATATTCCTTTAGGTACCTAGGTTATGACAGCGGCTTCTAGCGACCTCGGCCTTGCATTGGGAACAGCTACACACGCATGTACTGCACGGTGAATCTCGACGTTGAGCACGCTCCTTTCCCAGAGCTTTCAATGGTCAATCCAGGTCTATAGACACGCGGAATCGTTGCGATATAGTACACACTCCCGTCACGGCATCTGGTCATACAACTCCCAACCCTCGCAAACCCGCGGCCACATCCACAAATACATTACCGCCTCCCCAGCCTCCACTGATAAATCACATCCTGTATCTGGTCCCACGGCATCTCGGCCGTCTTGACGCCGTGCGCCGTCGCCTCCTGCAGCACGACCGTGGGCGCGCCGCTGCCCTTGCCCTTATTCTGCACCATGCCGCCCACGACCATGCGCGCCACCCTCCTCAGATCCTGGACCGTCAGGTCGTTGATCTTCCTCGTCATCTCGCGAACCGGGATCTTCCGCCCGTGCACCTGCACCTGCCGGCCCAGGTCCTCCAACTCGACCATGCGGCTCTCGAGGTTCATCAGTAGGCTGCTGCGCAGCTGGTTCTTGGCGCGGGCCACCTCGATCGAGTTCAGCGCCGCGTAGCCGCCGTCGAGCGTCAGCGAGTGCAGCTCGCGGCACATGACCTGCAGCATGGCGGCCGTGCGGCCCGGGTAGCAAGAGGCGGTGATGCCGAACAGGCCTGAGTCGGTGTAAGAGTGGTTGAAGGCGACGCACGACTCGACCCAGCCGTGCTGGTTCAGCACGTTGGTGTACAGCCGCGAGTACATGCCCTTGCCCGGCCCGCCGGCCGAGAAGGAGCCGCCGCCGCCGAGGAGCGTCTGCAGCGCGGCCAGCGCGTAGATGTCTTCGGACGAGATGGGAAGGCCCTCGAACGCGAGCTGGATGTGTGTGAAGGTTGGTAGATTGGGGTTTAGGGGGAGGGGCTGCGGCGGGAGGGAGAGGAAACCGCCAGTGTAGTGTGCCGGACGGCTCAAATCCTCAGCTGAGATGGGAGTGATAGCGGTGGAATAGGCGGAGTTGGACGAGGAGAGGTTCTTGAGGAAAGGGATCTTCGAAAACAGGCCGGAGTCGGGCGAGGAAGACGAGGTAGTGGATGTCGCGCTCGAGTCTGACACCGCCGAATCCAGCGATGTTTCTGACCCTGTCCTCGAGAGCGCAGCGTCTGAGTCCTTCATATCCCCAAAGTAACGCTCGGCCAGTCTGACGGCTTCATCGTGCGGCACCCCAGCAAATGCAACCACGATCCGCTCCGGCCTGTAAAAGGTGTCCCTGTACGCCTGGATGACATCCCGGTTGATGGCTCCTAACCTCTCCTGCGGGCAGAGCAATGGGTTCCCCAGCGTGTTATCCTTGAAGGCAGCCGTATGCACCAGCTCCGGCAGAATCAGCTCGGGCTTGGACCAGATCTCTCTCACTTCATAATCAGCCGTCTCGATCTGTTGCTCTATCTCCTCGTCGGCGAGTTTCGGGTCGCGGATCGTTTCGGCTAACAGGCCGACTGTCGTTGGGATGGCCGAGTTGAAAGTTGCCGCCTGATACATCATCGACTCTCTGGAGGAAGCGCACTGAATGTTTCCGCCCAGTTTCTCGACCGTCTCTATCATGTCATCCGCGGACCGCGAGCCCGTAGACTTGAAGGCTAGCCGATCCATAATGTGGCTCGCACCACGCAGCGAGTCGTTTTCGTACCGGGATCCGGCGTCGATATAGACGCCGACCCCCGAGAAGGCATCGGGCAGGTCCTCCGAGGCCACGCGAATGCCATTAGAGAGAGTTGTTATCTTATCGCGTTCTGTCGGCTCCTGAATCGATTGTTAGCCCACACTATCCCTGCGGGCACTCAACGGCGGAAGGCGCTTTTGCTTGCCTTGGGCGCACTTGAGGGTTTGCGGACTCTCAGTCCTGGGCCGACGGCGGTTGCGAGCGTCCTCGCCGGAAGCGACAGGTGGCTGGCTCTATTCGGGCTCCATGGCTGGCGGGTCCGCTTTAATAGCCATGTTGGCCGGCAGGATCTGAGCATGGCTGCGGTTGGCCCAACGGTGCGACGGTGCGACGGCGCTGTTGGATGCTGTCGCAGAGTTTCTCGAGTGGCACTGGGAGCCGAGACTGGACAAATCGACGATTGCGTCGCGTTTCTTGACGCTTATCGATAAAGTTAAGCATTTGCAGGCTTATCTAAGCTACCTAGGCTCCTTCAAAGCAAATTAATTGATACATGAAAATCAATCCACCACTTTCACAAGTCACCACAGCTAGGTCAAAACACATGCGATTTGAACACTAGCTATAATAATGGAAATTGAGCAAGAATGTAATGTTGTGAAAGGAAAGGGAGCAGCATGAAGTGTTTATTTACATTGTGTCATGGCTAATATAATTGTGGTGGTGAACTAAGAGACCGGTTTTCCTGTATCAATTAATTTGCTTTGAAGGAGCTAGGTACTGCAGCAGAGTGTGCTACTTACTGTGTTGGAGCTCGTGCCGGCAACAGCATTAGTACCTTACCTCTCTACCTACGTAGGTACATGTACCTGGGTACCCGTACCCGGCTCGAGCCGGCCCTCAGCACCGAGAGGCGGCATAATAAGTGAAGGACTTCAGAGAAGTTGATACTATAATGTCCAGAGAAGGTGAACCGCCTAGGACTGAGATCTCGCCGAACAAACACAAAAACGAATAAATGGTTTAATAAAAGGGGAACAAGCAACCAGAACAGTTTGACAGGGTTTGAGCAAGCTTGGCTGCATTTTAGGACCAACTGACACTGCGCCATTGATGGCGGGTCTCTACCTAGGCAACCTGGAACCTGAAGTCAGGGGGCAGGCGGACATGTGCGAGCATTGTGCCTGCCACAACAAGCCCAACAGAGGGTCAACTCATGTCATGAACTTACCATGGTGGTAGTTCAAGTTGAACACTGGGCAGGTCACGGTCTTTTCACAGTTGGTGTTACACCCGATCAGGTACCATCGGAGTTGACAACCGTGGGACAGCAGAGGTTCCTCGTCTACTGTAGTTTGTTTCCTGTCGACATTATTTCTTTCCACAAGCTCGGCGGATTCGAAGCGACTCAGACCCCCGCAACTGCGACCCCTACACTAGTGGCCCCCGCGGCCGCCACCGCTTACCTTGAGACTTGGAGTCGTTGGCGCTTTGTGTGTATTGACTGTACAATACATGCACTGATAAATAAAGAACAAAACCTGGCTGTCAATTCGACCCACTCCTTGCACCAAATTGCCACAAATGCGCTGGCCGTTCACCACTCTTTTATGTACTGACTGACGGCGGCAGCAACCGGTGATTCCAGACTCTCGAATCTCTTAGCGTCGCTGTGTCTACGTAAAGTGCTACCCCAGCGCTGCGCGTGGTTTCCCGTTTCCAACGGGAGCGCCGGCGAATCAGAGACAGGTCCCCTAGGTACGCCGCAGGTCTTTTTATCGACGACCAAGTGACATTCCCGCGGGCTAGGAATCAGGATTCTCCTCCGGCCTCCAGTCGCCTCTCAATGTTCACAAAACCCGCGGCCTCGCCCACATCTACGGGGTCTGGAAATCTCGCCATCTCGCCCGTGGCTGCGAACCCGGCGTCGTCGACACCGACAACTAGGAGTAGCCGACTCCGAGGCCTGAGCTACCTCCGCAACTATACGCAAACCCATCTTCTGTCTCGTGATCACGGCTCTCACGGCTCCCACGGGACCGCGCAGCCTGCGTCCCCAACGCCGTCACCTTCTACTGCCACCACGAATCCTTGGTTTGGTGCTGCCCGCAAGGAGCGGGAATCACCCGCCGGCACCGCCTCGGACAGTCACAGCAACCCCTCCCCTTTGTCTCGCGGCAACCGCTTGTCGCAACTCGTACCCACGCTAGCTCATCCGCTCGGGCTCTCGACATCGTTCTCCGAAGGAAAGGGTCATACTAGTGGTCCCACGGCTGGGGCTGCGTCGGGGAACCATTCATCGGAGTCATCTGCTTTCCCCTCTCTCAACGACCCAGACACCCCCGATCGGACCGCGGACGCCGCTAGGCCCATACCGCCAACTGACAACATGGCGAGAGCACGTTCCGCGACAACCGGGGACGCCGTCAGCGGCAGCCTCGACTCTCTACCCTCCATTCGCTTCAGTACTTTCTACGACCCCCGCGCTACTCGCCCATCGCTGAAGTTCGCACCTATTTCTAGGACGCTTCCGACGGGCAGGGAGGTGATCCGGGTGGGCAGATACTCCGAGAGGGATACTCAGCCCAACGTTCCTGCAAACGCTCCTTCGGCGGCTCCCGTGGGTTTCAAGAGCAAAGTAGTCAGTCGCCGGCATTGCGAGTTCTGGTATGAGGATGGAAAGTGGTATATCAAGGACGTCAAAAGTAGCTCGGGCACCTTTCTTAACCACATCCGCCTCAGCCCTCCTGGCACCGAGTCGAAGCCGTACCCAGTCAACGATGGGGACATTGTGCAGCTGGGCATTGACTTCAAAGGGGGCGAGGAGATGATTTTCCGCTGTGTCAAGATGAGACTGGAGCTGAACCGTGGTTGGCAGAACAAGCTGAACAATTTCAAGTATGTGGAAGCCGATAAGGCCTCTGAGACTGTCTAGGTACTGTTGCTAACAACCCGCCCGCTAGCCTGGCAACACACAAGAGGTTAAGGAATCTGACGACTGGTTCGGCCAACAACAACACGTCAGGGTCATACTCACAGGACTGTTCAATATGTCTGAACAGCATAGCGGTGAGATCTCCTTTCGCAGCCTTGTTCCGGTCCGATGAGGTGCTAATCGTCGCCCAGCCGTGCCAAAGCCTCTTCGTCGCTCCCTGCTCCCACACATGGCACTATAAATGCATTCGCTCTCTCCTGTCCGCGCCGTCTTACCCCATCTTCATCTGCCCCAACTGCCGTGCGGCAGCTGATCTCGAGGCCGAAGTTGAAGACCCTGAGGAATGGGAGCAGCTCGACTCGGACGAAGGCGCGGCGCCGCAGGACGGAGCGCTACTGCAACCCCCTCCGGCGGACCCCAGCAATCCAAGTGGCGCGGTCCCGTCTTCAGCTCCCCGGAGGTCTCGCGAGTCAGCACGCAGCGCTCGCTTCACTCAACCACCACAGCCAAACGAGGTTCCCGAAGTGGACATGCTCCTCGAGCCCGAACCGGCGCAGCAAGCCTCGTCTTCCCCACAGCTCGGCGGGACTGCCACGGCACTCCCCGATCCGACAGTCTTGTCACATACGATGTCGAATCCCATGCCCATCCCTGCCCAGCGCAGTATCCTGCCCGGCGATGGGCGCCGCGAGACAAGGACGCCGTCGCCCACGGGAGCGCCCGTGACTAATGGTCACGAGGGCCCCATCACGCCAAGAAACGATGCTGGTCCATGGGTGTTTGATGGGAGTGGTCTTAGGTTGGGGGTTGGGGGTGGCACTGCTGTCACCGCAGGGGATAATAATACCGCCTCACATCCATCAAGGCTTAGCAGTCTCGAGAGCGCCGTGCAAGCTGCTGGAGCCCGACTACAGCGAGATGGAGATGATATCTCCTAAAAGCTCACTTGGAGTCCTCGCGAGGTATGAGATTATTGTTAGGTGAGAAAAGTTCGACAGGCTACAGCGGGATGGAGATGATATCTCCTAGAGCTCTTGAAGTCTTTCCGAGGTATGAGATTATTGTTAGGTGAGAAATGTTCGACAGGCAGGCAGGCAGGCAGGTTGGTCTGAGTGTTGGGTGCTCGGAGGGAGTATATTAACGCAGTCATTCTCGTTTTTTTGGCGTCATTCTTTGCTGTTTCCTGGTGTCACTGCTATGATGTTTCTGAAGGGGTATAGTACAGACAAGCGGCATCACATAGCACATTCTATGGCGTTTCGGGTTGGCTTTGGTGGACTGGCTCTCGGGCTTGGAAGCGTGGAGGAGGTTTCATCATTTTTAGGGTCAATAATAGCAGGGCGGGCATTGTTCTTTTGGATCCTCGGTCATTGTCATTGCTGTTGATCATTTGTAGCGTCTTGCCACTCTGCCTAAGGTACCTATATATCCCAACTCCAATTCTGTGTCAAAACCTGCGCATGAAGGCACACTACTGCCAAAGGGGAGCAAAGACGGGCAAAAGCAGCGTGTCGGGTTCGCCCTTTTTGGAAGCCGCCACACTGCTCAGATAGGGCATGCCGGGGGAGGGTTCGCTCCAGGGGAAACATGGAGGAGCGAGAGCGAGGATGGGATGAAGCATTTGACCGCCGGAGTTCGATCGCCGGATAGGAAATGCAGGCGGCGAAATGAATTGAGAGCTTTCCTTTTTCAAGTGAGGCCAACGCTCTTTGGTCCTGGGTTACGTGCTCTCTGTTTGCCTACGTTTCGCCTCTCTTCGTCGATATCACCGCCGCTGAAGTATACCGCCGAGCTTGGTCTAAGCTGGGGGCTGTTGCCACCGTCATAGGAAAATTACTACCATACCTTATCCATAAACTGGATCAGCCACCCTAAGCAGTGCCTACCTTATCAGAGAAAACGTTCACAACTGAGTAGTGGAAAAACTTGGACATGTGATATCGAGACGCGACACTTCGTTCGGCAGACATAGACCACCTGAATGGGATATACTAGTAGTAGCATGGAATCGCCAAATCCACCTCAACGCTCACGCCTGCTCCGCACCGATGCATCTAAGACCCCAAACGACCTATTCAAGAGAAAGCGACATGCAGAGATGTAGAGCAGGGTCATCACTTCTTGAATACAGCCGCACCCAACCTTTCAATCTCCCTCCCCTCCGAGGTTCCTCTCCCCGCGGCCTCCAGCAGCCTGCTCCAAGCCTCGGCATCCTTGATCTTGACGGCCTCCTCGGCAGCCTTGACTCGCATCCCGCACTTCTCGTACATCGAGATCATCTGGCCTGGCTCAAGGCCTGTGCACTTGGGAATGAAGGCGGCTGCTAGACGGGGGTTGCCTGCTTGTAGTGTCTGGTTGAAGAAGGGCTGAAGGTGGTGCATGTTTTGTTAGGTTCAATCAGGATTGGAAGAAGGTGAAGGGGGTGGAGGGAGTCGAGAACGTACCTCCCAGCCTATAGGGCTCTTTCGCTGTTTGGATATTTCCTCGATCTCGTTCCAGTCCCGCTTCGCGACGAGGGCTTGGAGTCTGCGTTTCCCGGCGGTTAGTCATGACGGATGTGGGCATCGCGAGAGACAAGGGAATAAACCTACCGAATCCACCAGGCCACCTTCTCAGGCACCTTGAACTCACTCTGAATCTTCTTGGCTCTGCCGTGGTATCCGAGCCGGATCAGCTTGAACATGGTCTGGTTCACTGACAGGCCGGTGAAGTTGTCAGTCAGATCGCGATCAAACGCCTCCTGCATACGGAGCAGCGTGGTCGCTTCTCTGAGTGCGCCGAGCTCGAACGCATGTTCCTTGGTATTGTCCGAGAGCAATTTCGCCGCGAGGGAGAGCTTGTCGCTTGCCGTCCGGCTTTCGGGCTGCCGCAGGGCCTCGCGTATGAACACGGCTGCTCCCTCCGAGCGGCGGTCATCCTGATAGTACATATCCTTGAGCAGCGTGGTGTCTTCGCGGCCGTCGCCATCCCCCTGGCGCGCGGATACCTCAACCAACGCTGTGGCCGTGGGTCGGCTGTTGATGACACGGAAAAAGTCTGCCAGGGGCAGTTTGCGCTTCAGCTGATGCAGGACAAAGCAGATCAGGTCTGTGTCACCGCTCTCAATGGCCTTGTCTAGAGCCAACTCGTCTTCCTCCATGCTTAATAAGAGCGGCACCTGACGGCCAGCGCGTGGTTCATGGTTCAACAGCTCGGTGGCTAGCCGCCGTCTACCTTCGTCGTATGCTGCACGGGCAATCGCCTCAAACGAAATCCCCGGCTTCCCTGACAACTTCTCGACAATCTTCCTGCAAATGGTGTCGTCATCCTCAGATCCCAGCCGGACTTTGGCAGCAGCCCAGTGGACGTAGATTCGATCTGGCTGTAGCCGCAGGTAGCCGGCAATCCGGAGGGCTAGAAGGTATTCGTGACGATTTAGAAGGCGGGCGATGAGGCCCGACGGCGAGAGGCGCTGGTATTGTTCGTAGGATATGGGCAAACCGACCTCGAAAAAGCGGACGGCGTTGAGCACACGAAGGGTCTCGCACATGTCCACAAAGTCATCGCTATTGTAGATGTCGAGAACAGACTTGCCGAACGAAGCGGCCTTGAGGAGCTGTTTCTGCCAATGGACGCTAAATTCCTGGCCGGCGGCCTGCACACATGTGTCTACAGCCTCGACGAGGTTATGCCGGATCAGTTGGATGTTGTCATCAGCCCTCGGCGACTGCATCTCGAGCTGCTCGACAGCGTCTAGAAGGATGGATGCCGACGAATCAGCGCCCAGGCGGAACACCTGTTCGGTGACATCCGGTACCTTTTGGACGAAGTCGCAGGTATCATTGGCTATGATTCTGACTCCGTCGTAGTCTGTCTCTGGTCAGAAGAGGGGCAACGGGACAGCGAGAACTCGGGAATGGGTACACGCACCGGGAACGATATGCACCCGGCCACTATCATAGTAGAACTTGGCCAACGATCCACTTGGTCCTAGGAGGTGGACTTCGTCCTCCCATGCAATAACAACCGCGTCATTGCCGCACCACTCGACGTACTTGGGCGGGGTTTTGGACCGGGAGTCGTGCTCACTCAGCCGGGACTGAAAATCGCTAGTGATGACATGGACCTTGCCGCTCGTCGTGTAGAGCGCGGCGAACTTCCCATTTGGAGACACAGCAATGTGGCTGAAGGGGCCGATGTCCAGGAATCGGTCCTCACATGCACTAGCATCACACATGTAGATGGTCTCGTCGACGCTAAGCAGCACCTCGACCGACCGGGAGAGCGTGTAGGCAGGCGGGATGATGCTCCATGCGTGGACCTGGCCCTCCGGAGGTGTTTCCAGGAGCTTGGGACGCGGCTCGTCGTATGACGAGACCGAAACCAGCGCATTGTTTCTCAAGAGGGCAACGAGCCCGTGGGCATAGAACCTGCATGACTTGACGCCGGCCTCGTCGGCACCATTGCCCAAAGAGAATTGGGAAAACTCCCCCTGCAAGTCATAGTAGCACCTGACAATGCCGTCTGCCGTGACAACGAGGAGCTTTTCGTCCTCGGACCAGCCGAGCCCCTTGATGGATCCCTGGTCCCAGTTGATGCGGCGGATTAGCTTGCCCGCGCAGCTGTAAATGTCGATGCTCGGCTTGGGTGATCGCGTTGGTTGGAACGCGATCAGCTTTTCCTCGTCGCGGTAGAGAGCTAGCCCCGTTAATCAACACAACACACTGGAGCGTGGTCGGCCGGTTGTTCGGGCTTCGGGCCAACTCACCAATAGCACCGCCATATGGAGCACCAGCGACAACATAGTTGTCGAGGTCCAAGTCCTGGTCAAATACTTGGGTGTAGAGTTGGATCTTGCGGTAAAAGCTCTCACCAAGCTGTTCCCAGCCTGCAGTGGGATGAGCGACGTCCATGGTATGTCATCTTCCCATGCTTGTCATGAAAAAATGAACACTTGATTCTGAGGTGGTTTGTTGTTTGAATGAGACGTCGATGAAGCAATGGAGCTGCGCCCAGCTGCCTGAACGCTAACATGAACCTAGCACCGCTTCGCACTGTGCTGGCCCCTGCTTTATGCACGGGCCAGTGATGCCAAGGTCCACCTCACACCCTACATGGATACCCAGATCGCGGGGTCGATAGTGATGATAAGCTCTAGTAGCTACCATCAACAACCTCATTCCCCACGGGCTCATTGTATCTTTCGCTTCTCCCATTCTTTTGTTTGCGTGCATGGCTTTTCTGCTGCTGGGAGCCAAGCATAATGCCTGACTGGAGACAAGAGTATCTTGCCGGCATCAGGGATGCCGAAAACCAACACGCTGTCGACCAGGAGCTTATCGCGGCCTGTCAGTAGAACGCCCCGCCATTGTCCCCATTGTCGTTGGCCAGGGTTCACGGCGAACGCTCAGGTTCTATGATGTGTTTTAGCTGACCTTCGTCTCTCAACTACCTTCAGACTCCCAATTACTTGATCGGGTTTCCGTTCTCGAAGCCGAGAAGGCAGCTTCCCAGCTACAACCCGAGTCCGCAGCACCCTCAGCCCCTCCTCCGGCGCCAAGCAAAGGCTCACCAGCGCCAGCACCCACACCGACAAGCGACACGACCGACGACACCCCTCTCATGGCCCGCCTTCGCATTGAGCTTGCCGAAGCGCTCCGCTCAAAGGGCCAGTTCCAGCAACGCCTCCAAACCGCAGAAGAAGAACTTGCGCGTCTTCGCGCCAAGACAGCCTCGGATGCAAAGGCCGTTCGTGACCTAACGGCGGAACGGCGCACGCTCACCATCAAACTACGCGACCGCGAGGAAGAACTACGAGCCAAGAACAAGCTGGTGGCAGAAGTTCAAGACGAGCTAGCGGTGCTCAACATGCAGCTCGACATAGTAGAGAAGAAGCGGGCCGAGAAGGAGGCCGAGAACAAACAGCTCGTCGAGAGGTTCATGAAGCGGGTCGGGCAGGAGGCCGAAGCAATGAACCTGGCAAACGAGCCGCTGTCCAACAGGAAGAGGTAGGAGGGCTTGCGTGGCCATACTGTGAAATCGGGGAGGGGCTTCCCCACGCCAGGGCACAGGCAAAAGCAACGATGGGTTCTATTCCGAGACTGATCTCTAGCCAAGGTATGTACAACACACTATAAGTCTAATTCAAACCCTCTTGTTTACCAGCCTAGCTCTACCCCACCAGAATCATACACCAGTCTATACACAGATACCGCTGCAACGGGTATTCGCTTATCTCCGCAAACGCCTTTCCAAGGGTGAGCGACCCCGGCGTGAAGCGTCAGCTACCAACGAATGGATACCGACTACCCTAGGCCGACCAGCCCGAGCGGCCAAGATTATATTACTAGGTCTTGGATGAGCCTGATTCTTCATATCCAGTCGATCGTAGTCATCTCCGGTGTCGGCCGAGTCTAGCTACCCGTCGCCTGTCGCCACCGCGGGGTTCATGGTCGCCAGCAGCAACGGATCTGTACTCCTGAAAATGCATCGAGAGCCAGCAACGCAGCGCTGATTGGCGTACCAAGCAGGATCATTTCCTAGTCGAGATGCAGAACGTCCCAGGCGCGTTGGTCCAGCTGACGTAGTCTTCCGGATATGTCAAGTGCTCCACTTCTAGAATGGACGACGCGACATCGTTCTCGGCAATCTTGTTGTCATGCACAAACGTCTTGAGCGACACGATCTTGCACCCAATCTTGAGGTCCAAGAACATGTTGACGAGGTGGTCGTTGAGCTGCGAGGTGAAAGCCTGATTGTTGACCAGAACCACGTCGGCCCTCTTGAGCGCCTCTAGCGTCTTTTCGCTCCTGCGAAAATCGCCACGCTCGAGATGGACCTCGCCCGGCGCAATGCCCCAGAGTCGGCAGCGAGCCGTGAACTCCTTCTTTTGCGCCTCGGCAAGGTTGCACGCATTCTCCATCATCTCGCACCCCCAACTCTCGCATCCCCTTTCCAGCGCTGCTTGAAGCACCACGTTGCCGACGCCTGAGCCGAGATCGACAAAGACCATGTCGGAGGTCAGCTTGGTCCGTTCGAAGATGTCCGAGATGAAGGGGTGGAGGAGCTCCCCATATACGTTATCCGAGCCGTTTTCATACTTCGCAAGTAGTTCGACTCTTGGCGCCACGGTGCGGTCGTATACTTGGTCTAAGATGAAATCGACCAGTTCCTGAGGGACAATTCGAAGGGAGCCGACATGCTTAGCGATAACACCCTTCTTCTGAAGGGCTAAGAGCAGATTGTTGAAGTCTTGAACAGCAGCCTTAAAGCCATTCCCGTCGTTGGTGTTCTTGCTCTTCTCCAGCCGACGGCAGATGCCGCTATCGTGGTCAAGGAAGGGTTTCGCCTCCTCGTCGGTCAGGTATATTGTAGCCACGAGCTTCACGACCTTCATGATGTCGAGAGCACCGTCGATCTTATCCTTGCCCCATACGAGTTCGTACCTGAAATCGGTCAGCACTTCAGTACTTTCGACACAAGAAATAGCCAGCCCTTACCTCTCAAGGAAATTCGCCCCAGGATATCGCAAGCTCACACCAACGTCGTCCTGCGCCAAGCTCATAACAGGCTGACATTTGTCCCTCAGCGACGCGACATCAGCCGAATGCACGATCCCTAACCTGTCCCCGTCATCGTGCCCCGCCTCGCCTTGCCCTTGCCCACTCCATATCTTCGGATGCAGCACTCGCCGGTTAGGGTCCACCTCGGTGCTGGTGTGCGTCCTCTTCCGCCGCTTGGTCGGATCCAGCCGCTCCCTCCAGTCATCGTCGTCGTCGGACCCAGGCTCTGAGTCGCTAAGCGCGGGACTAGCAATCGCAGCAGGGGAACGGCTACTGGCACTGGCGGGGGTCCGGCGTTTCCGGCCGGGTTCTAACAGAGACGAGGAGGGGAAGCGCCGGCGTTCTGGTGTCGCGGAGGTGGAGGTGGCCTGTAAGCGCGTAACCTGGCCGGCGGATCCATTGCGCGATGCCTGCGGCCTGTTGTTGTAGTGCGCGCGACTCGACGGGGTCACGCGCCACCCTCCGTTTGAGGCTGCCTCGCTGGCAGCCTTACTTGCCCCGGCAGCATTGCCTTGTGCGGCTGGGTCGACAGCCTGTTTGACGATCCGTACTTCGGTCTTAATCTGGAATTTCGACTTCTTACCAAAGATACTCATTGTGTGCTATTTCTGCGGTGTATATTGTCGCTACTGGTACTAACTAATGTGCTGGCCGAAAGGTATGCGATTGCGCTAAAAGTTGCTTGGCTTTAATGAAAGGAGTTGTTGCAGATCGAAGAACAATAAAGATAAGCGCTAAAAATGCAGTATGTGATTATCGCTGAGAGAGAGAGACACACAACAGAGCAAAGTGAGCGCGTGATAACAAAGGCTGCTGAGAGTCGACGGCACGCAAGGATGTTGAGAGGGGACTTGGGATGTCGTCCGATCTGAAGCGGCCGTTCCCGTCGCGCCGCGCGGCTGACGCCAGGGCAGCCTGCAAGGGGTGGCGTTTTCAAAAGTTTTCTCGAAGTCATGTGACCTTCTTTGTTCCAGGTTTCCGGAAACGAAGGGTCTCTTCTAACTGTTCTTGGTATGGCTTGATGGAACCAGTGGCAAACGTTCGTCCCATCTTTCGGCAAGCGCTGCAACGTTTTTGCGACTTAGTGGAGATGCAATGGAACGATGTTATAACACTGTGTGTACTCTGTACAGGGAGGAGACATTTCGACGAAACTCAAAAGTGACTACCTAGGTAGTACCAAAGCGAGGCCGGCAGTCGATGGGACGCAGACACAAGACCGCGAGATATATACCGTACCCTAGCGTCTAGGCTCTGCTACAAGCTGTTGTGTCGTTTGTACCGAGTCTTGACCAAACGGGACCAATGTGATCTCTGATACCGATCGCTATGGAACCTATACCACAGTAAGTTAATCTATATTAACAGATATTGCAACAACCGGGTACGTATCACCCTTCAGCCAGCCCAAGCGGTGTTCAGGATTCCTGAATCCTGAGTGAGGTCGACAACCTCCTCAGACAAATCGTTACAACTAAGGTATGCGATAAGTGAATGATGTCTATGGTCTTCGCTATGCGCTCGACTCTTTTCCCTTCTCTTTCTGGCGTTGAGTCTATGTAGAATTCTGGAAGTCAAGTACTATTTTGGGATTTGCTGCTTTTCTTAACAGGTCTTCCATAGTACCAGGACTACAGCAACAAAAAGCCTGGTTAGTTAAGGTCTAGCGCTGGTGTTTGTCAGGTCTCTATCTCTACCTAGGCCGTGCTTGGTGAAGTTTGACTCGCGCATCAGCTCATATCCTAATAATGCATAACAGACCAAGTCAGTGTTGTTCGTTGACCGTTCGCATCCGCTCTCTCAAAGGGAAGAGCCTCAACGATTCAGATGAACGAATGGCAAGGAACCTTTCCCTTGTAGAAAAAAAGCCATATACAAACTCAGTCCGGCGATAGGAAGTCAAGCAAGCCAATCGAAGTAAAAAAAGAACACGTAAAAGGGAAAGGTGAAATCAAGGAGGGAAAATAAGAGGGACAGAAGAAGGAAAGAAAGAATAAGGAAAAGAGAACAGAAGAGAAGAGGTAGAACGAAAAAAATATACTAATAGTGTTGGCGGATAGACGGCAACGCTGGTGTGCGGCTTGTTTTGTCGGAGGGAGGCAGCTTGCAGCCGACTACTGGAATCCCTGTGGGGCTCGGATGCAACCACCCTGGGACCAGCCCCTGATGACGTCACAGTACGGATAGTTTCACCTCACTCAACGCTCTCTTGACGAAGGATGAACGACCCTCACAATGCAAGCAACCGCAACGAAGTACATGGTTTTGGAGAAATGGCTGACGGTTATAGAATTTCTTCAGCATGGAACGATTAGTTCCTCAAAGGGACTGGGCACAACATGTGTAAACTCGGGCTTTCCCTTTCGGCCAAATAATGCACCTGACCTCAATGTTCGTGCAAAGTACACGAATTGAGGATTGTAGTTGACGGCGATCCTAAATGGACTTATGACCGGTAATGACTTACATATTACAGTCGAGACAGGAGTCCTTGTCAATCATGGCCACCGCATGGTTTGTGAATGAAGCAGCAAAGCAGGTAAGCACTGGGGTGCTTGTGGGAGCGGTGACGCATTCCATACTGTACTGGTATTGCGCCTTCCTGTTTTCGAGCGCAACACACTTTCCCTTTGAGGTGAGGATTCGGCCCCGACCAATCTAAACCTTCCTCTGCTGTTGACAACTGGAAACCCTATGACGCATTCGAGTGCTACGTATGGTCACGTCACTCAAGCTTCATTCGTGAGCCACACTGTTGCCCGCTATTAAACAGCAGTCTCATGCGCGCTCTCCTGCGGCTGCTCCACTACAACCTGATTCTGCCTTCATTCCAGACTTTGTCTACTCTCTTCGAGGAACTAAGATACCACGGCGTTTGATACCCAAAGTCTCGCTCGTCTCTGCTACAATTACTTCTTTTCTTTTGATACCCAATCCAGCTCTTACCATTCAAAAGTCGGTCGTCCAACATGGCACCCCCGAACGTCAACAAGCCCGTGGATGTCAAGCAAAAGGAGGCGGACGTAAACCGTAAGCTCCAGATCTACGGCATCATCAGCGCCTTCCAGAACGGCAAAGTCCCTTCGGTTCGTGTCCTTCCTGCTCCAAGGGACCAACCTCATGGCTGGCTAACACGATGCACAGAACGACCAGATCGATGTCGCCCTGAACAGCTTCCTCGAGTCCAAGGCGTTGTCGAGCCCTTCCCAGAAGCTTTCAACGGAGGGACGGAAGCTTGTGGATGATGTCAGGGACGTAGTGACACAAGCCAAAAACCTGTTGCTGTCCAAGAACGATGGCAACCTCCTGCAAGATTTCATTTGGCAGACCCAGCAGTTTGACGCTGATTCTTTGTCCCCGCCCAATGCTCCCATCGATAAAGAGACAGCACAACGACACGGTAATCAGGTGCTTGAGGGTCTGCGCACTCTCGGAACCCTCATTATTACCAATGGACAGTTCCGAAAGCTTCGTATGTCACTATTTTGTCAAGATCCCGTTCTCAGAAAACCACATGCTGACACACCTGAAGTTAACGATGCAACCATCCTTTTCCGTGACATGGCCGGTGATGCCGCCACTAACGCCGCTGCGCGGGTCAGGCCCGGTGAAGAAGACCTGGCCCAGATCGACCGCCCAGCCGAAGATAACGTTTGGCACGATGCTCCGGACATGTCCAAGGACACGGTGAAGAGCAAACTCCAGGAGTACTATAAAGGCAACCCCAAGGAAGACGTTCGATCCGCTGCCAATCAAGGGACGTCCCAGGCTCACCCCTCTGGTTCCAATGACCCGGGAGATCTGGCAACCACCGCCGCGCAGGATGCCCAGCAGAGGGACGGTGGTGCTTCCGGCGTTGATGCGGTGGGAGGTGCCCAGTCCGCCAAAGATACGCTGAAGCGTAATGTGGACCAGAACATCGACGATGAGACCAAGGAGAAGGCCCGGCAAAGGCGTGAAGAGTACCGGGAGCGTCTGAAGAACTACTTCAACCGCAAGATGCCGCAGGAGCGTCGCGAACAGACCATCTGGCGTCTCAAGGTATGTCGGTTTCCGCCAGCTGTTGACCGTCCGTTTTAGTCTAACGTCAACCCAGAAAATGGTCCTCGAGTGCCAGCAGCACCCTGATTACTATCAGGCAGTCAACACCTTGCTGGACCTTGCCGAAGAGTACGGCAACCATGCGGACCGTCTAGCGAGGGGAGGCACAGACACCGTCAAGGGCGCTCGTTCTAACTTGGTCCAGGCCGAAACCGACCTCAAGGTTCGTCAAAGGCATCAGAAAATCACCAAGACCTTTTGCTGACAGTCTGCTGCAGACATTGATTGAGCGGTTTGCCAACGGCACCTCTACGGACGATTTGTGGTCGTCCATCAACACCGTCTACGACGACGCGGACCGTGACCCTCAGCTCAAGAATTGGTTTAAGAGCCTCAACAGCTTCATTCGACGGTGCCTGCAGGAGCAGGGCTACATCCTTGACGACGATTCCAACGCCCAGTGGCACCGCCTGTATGACGAGGGCAACTATCTCCTGCGCAACAAGTACCGCGGCCACACCGACCGCATCATGGACGAGATGAAGTTCCTGGCGGATCAGTTCGACCAGGACCCGCACAACAAGGCACTTGCGGACTCCATGACCAAGCTCTTCAATGATCTCGGGAACGACGAGAACGGCAAGCCGACTTTCAAGCCGCACTTGCTCAAAGACCTCCAAGACGTGGTCCTCCCGGCCATCTTCGAGAATGTTGCATACATCCCGGTGCCGCGGATTGAGTACTCGGACCCCGAGGTTGATGCTGTGATCGAGAATCTTGTTTTGGAGAGCGACAACTTCATGCCCAATGTTCTGGAGGTCGCCAGTGAGAACTACATGCGCTGGGGCCGGAAAAAGGTCGCCAGCAAGAGCAAGCATTCGATCGACGTCAAGGTGGCCGGCATTCAGATGGACCTCCGGGATGTGAGCTACTACATCAAACGCAAGCAGGGCTTTCCATCCATTACGGATAAGGGAGTAGCCAACTTCCTGCTGGCTGGAGACGGACTCATGTTCCGCATGAAGCTGTCGTCGCCAGATGAGAAGGATAAGCACAGCTTCTTCAAGATCGACAAGGTGGACGTCAACATCAAGGATCTGAACATCAAACTTGTCAAGTCCAACCACAAGATGCTGTTCGGGATCTTCAAACCCATTATGCTCAAGGTCCTGCGCCCCGGTCTGCAGAAGGCACTGGAGAAGGCAATCAGGGACCAGGCGGCGCGACTGGACAGCATGCTGTTCGAAATCAAGCAGGAGGCCGACCGGGCCATGCAACAAGCCATCAAAGATCCAGAGCATGCGCCCAATATCTACAACCGGTACGTGACGGCGGCGCAGAAGAAGATCATGCAGGGCAAGCAGAAGGCGCAGGGCGTGGCTGCGGACAAGAAGATGAACTATGCCGTCACAAAGGAAGACAGCATCTTCCCCAACATCCACCTGCCAGGCGGCATCAGCTCCAAGGCCACGGAGTACAAGGACCTCGCTCGCAAGGGCGACAAGTGGGAGAGCCCCGTCTTCTCCATCGGCAGCGCCGGCAAGAGCCGCGACATCCCGCCTGCGCCCAAGATCGCGCGCAAGCCGCACGCCGCGGCTGACCCGCACAAGAACTATGGCTACAGCGCCGATAACGCTCACGCTAACGGCGGCAACTTCTATGGACAACACGGTAATGGTGCTGGTAACGGTGCTCCGCCGCTGAGCGGTAAGACCCTCGACGGTAACTTCCCGAACCCGCACGGGAGTGCATTCCACGAGAACTCCCCCAATGGAGGCTTCAAGGTCAATCCGTCTGTTACCAACCCGGCTGCCCTCAACGCATCATACTAAGGGGAGAATGATGCTGCTACTGTTACTGGGCGGTGGTTGAGGCGATGTCACAGGGGCGAAAATAGGGGACGAGGAGGATGTACGGGACTATGATACCAATTACGGCGATGAGTTAATAATCGGATACGAACGGGATTGAGGGAGGTTGGCTTGTGGTTGGGAGGAAAACCCAGATTGATCAGTCTTTGCCGGAAAGGGGGGTAATAATATGTTCGGTTGGGCCCCTTGGTTGATCCTCTCCTTTAGCTTGATTTCCTAGCCATAGTATACCATCCATTGCTTCTGCAGAGCCTACTTGCTCGTTTGCACCCTCGTAAACTAGCTGTCATACTGAGTTTGCGCCGTGATACCTAACAAAGAAATGTTAATTAACACTAAGATGGATGGAATCCAGACCATCAATCACTGCCAAAACACCGTGACACGAGTGATGTCACTGACACCTGGGTTAGGGTTTTCTGTGTCCCTGCTGCCTAGAGGTCTTACATGCAAGCGCAGGCAACGACGTCTATGAACCCTCCATCTGTCACTATATACCCTAGGTATGTACAGTACTTAGCAGTTATTTGAGAGATTGGAACTCACGTACTTCTTCAGCCGATATTGACCTAGACTACTACTATTCAATGCACGATTGAATTGCCGTCACGCTCATCCAAATCCACATCTGTCCAAGTGTCAATCGTGCCGATCCAGGGAAACCAAGATGAGCAGCAGAACCAAACGCGCCAAATCCCCCGATGTCGACGCGATAGAGGAAGATGAGAAGCAGTACGGCAGCGGCCATCTTTCTCTAGAAGAGATCGACGAGCAGTAAGCTTCCCTCCGTCTCATCACCCTTAGCGGTAATACAACCCTCCATTCATAACCCTGGAGACTGATGTAATAAATCCAGCTTCCCCAACCGACCACGCAACCACTCCAAAACCTTCCCCTTCTCGGAACTCTACCTGTCCCTCTTCAACCCGCTGATCGACTGCAAGCCCACCACCACGGCCGCCGCCGCCGCCGTGCCACGCGCCCGGCGCGGGTTCAAGGGCAATGCGCCCACCAAGCTGTCGTACCACGAGCAGCGCCGGCACATCATCGAGCGCTTCATGGCGCGCTGGCGCGCCGAGGTCGGGCCCGACTTCTACCCGGCCATGCGGCTCATCCTGCCGGACAAGGACCGCGACCGCGGCGTGTACGGCCTCAAGGAGAGCGGCATCGGCAAGCTGCTGGTGAAGGTCATGAAGATCGACCGCAACTCGGAGGACGGGTACGCGCTGATGCATTGGAAGCTGCCCGGTGGTGGTGGCCATGGTGCGGGGCCAGGCGGTGGGGGGAGGTTTGGTGGTGGTGGTGGCGGTGGGAGTAGGAGCACGGCGGGGGACTTTGCGGGGAGGTGTTATGAGATTGTCGGCAAGCGGCAGATGAGGACCGACCCGGGCGCTTTCACCATCGCTGAGGTCAATATCATGCTGGACCGTCTCGCTGGCGCCAGCGGCGAGGCGGAGCAGCTGCCCATCTTCGAGGAGTTCTACCAGGGGATGAACGCCGAGGAGCTGATGTGGCTGGTGAGGATTATCTTGAAGGACATGAAGGTTGGCGCGACGGAGCGGACGTTCCTGGGGCTGTGGCATCCCGACGCCGAGGCCCTGTTTAGTGTCTCGTCCAGTCTGCGGAGGGTGTGCTGGGAGCTGTATGATTCCGAGTTCCGACTCGAGCAGCAGGAGACCGGGGTGACGCTCATGTCGTGCTTCCAGCCGCAGCTGGCACAATTCCAGATGACGACGACGTTTGCGAAGCTGATGGCGAACCTGGGGGTCACCGAGGAGGACCCGGAGTTCTGGATCGAGGAGAAGCTCGACGGCGAGAGGATGCAGATGCACGTGCAGGAGGACGACTCCGTGCCGGGCGGGTACAGGTTCGCCTTCTGGTCGCGAAAGGCCAAAGACTACACGTACCTGTACGGAAGCGGGCTGGAGGACGACAACTCAGCGCTGACGAGACACCTGAAGAATGCGTTCGACAGCGGCGTCCGCAACATGATCCTCGACGGGGAGATGATTACGTGGGATCCCGAGGTCGACAAGATGGTGCCCTTCGGCACGCTCAAGACGGCCGCGCTCGACCAGCAGAAGAACCCGTTCCAGACGGGGCCGCGGCCGCTCTACCGCGTCTTCGACATCCTCCTCCTCAACGACAAGTCCCTAACAGAGTACACGCTCGCCGACCGGCACCGGGCGCTCGAGCGGGCCGTCAAGGGCGAGCCGCGGCGGCTGGAAATCCACCCGCACGAATGCGCCACGTCGGCCGACGCCATCGAGCCGCTCCTCCGCAAGGTGGTCGCCGAGGCGTCGGAGGGGCTGGTGCTCAAGAACCCGCGCTCGCGGTACCAGCTCAACAGCCGCAACAACGACTGGATCAAGGTCAAGCCCGAGTACATGTCCGAGTACGGCGAGTCGCTCGACTGCGTCGTAGTCGGCGGCTACTACGGCTCCGGGCGGCGCGGCGGCAGCCTGTCCAGCTTCCTGTGCGGCCTGCGCGTCAGCGAGAACTTTGTGCGGTCGGGCGCCGCCGCCAGCCGCGAGAAGTGCCTCAGCTTCTGCAAGGTCGGCGGCGGCTTCAAGGCCGAGGACTACGCCGAGATCCGGCACCACACAGAGGGCAAGTGGCGCGACTGGGACGCGGCGAACCCGCCGTCCGAGTTCGTCGAGCTCGGCGGCGGCGAGCGGCTGCAGTACGAGCGGCCCGACGTGTGGATCCGCCCGCGCGACTCGGTCGTGCTCTCCGTCAAGGCCGCGTCGTTTGCGCCCTCGGACCAGTTCGCTATGGGCTGGACGCTGCGCTTCCCGCGCTTCCGCAAGCTGCGCCTCGACAAGGCCTGGGACGCCGCCATGGACGTGGACGAGTTCGAGGCCCTGCGCACCAAGGTCAAGCAGGATGAGAAGGAGCGCAAGGCCATGGAGATGGAGAACCGCAAGCGCAGGCCGGCCAAGCGACAGAAGCGAGAGCTCATCATCGCCGGTGCCGGGGACGGTGCCGGTGCCGCGGACCCGGCCTCTTCTGCGCTGCCCGAGTTCTTCGTGGACGCCAAGAAAAACCCCCGCCGGACCGAGCTATTCCGGGGCCTGGATTTCTGCGTCCTGTCGGAGGCGCTCAAGCCCAGAAAGATGACCAAGCCGGCCCTAGAGGGGCTGATCAAGGAGAACGGCGGGAAGATCCACCAGGCGGTGGACAAAGGGTCGGGCATGATCCTCCTGGCAGACAAGAACGTCGTCAAGGCGGCGAGCCTCAAGCGCGCCGGCGACGTGGACATTGTGCGCCCCAAGTGGGTGCTCGACTGTCTCGAGCAGACCGGGGGGGAGGGCTACCTCCTCCCCTTCGAGGAAAGCCACATGTTCTACGCGACCGAGGCGATGCGGAAGGTTGCCGCTGAGAGCACAGATCGCTATGGCGACAGCTACGCACGGGACGTAGGCGCGGACGAGCTGCGGGAGATTCTGGACGGGATGGACCTGTCGGACGAAGACGGTGAGAGGAGGACCGAGTTCGATGCGAACCAGTTCCTGAACCAGCTCGAAGAGCGCGGCCACGGCCTGGACGAGCTGACGAGCTTCATGTTCAGGAGGTGCCGGGTGCACTTTGCGCTTGGCGAAGGAGTGCCCGAGACGGCGGCGCTCAAGCTGGGGAACTACGTCCGGTTTGGGAACGGAGAGGTGGCGGATGACATTGACGATGACAAGATCACGCACGTCGTGGTGGTTGTCGTGGGGGGGAAAGAGGAGGACGCCGCAGCCTCTGAGAGGCTGGTGGCCGCCGATGTAAGGTACAAGATCAGCTCGAGGAGAGCGGTGCCGAGAGTGGTGTCCGCGAGGTGGGTTAAGGACTGCTGGAAGGAGGGTACGTTGGTGGATGAGGAGGCGTATGCCCCTACCTAAGGTAGTTAACGGTCGAGTGGCAGTGTAACTACCTACCTAAACAGGACTGAAACGAGTTTATAGCGGGTTATGGCACGAATGAAGGATACCACCTTATCCCCTGGAATTTAACACGCTTTGGCTTCGATGTATTGTATATTGGGGGGGTATAGCGTCCAAGAGTTGGCACTACCCTACGCCAAGCCCACAAACCATCCCGAGCCATCTCACTGGGCAGTCTGCGAGTCACAACTCTAGTACTTCAATCCAATCCCTGGCCTACCAGATACCTTACCTAGGTAGGTATCTACCCCTACTTGCCGATAGTCAAGAAAAGCCTGTCTCCCACATCCCCGATACCGGGCTTGATCATTCCGCGATCCGTCAACTCCGGGTCCACGCCGGCCAGCCAGATCTCGACACCCTCCGGCCACACGTCGGCTGCCGCCTTCACGCCGGGTGCCGCGCCCAGCACCGAGATCACAATGATGCGCCGCGTGCCCCACTCGCGCAGCGTCTCGATGGCCGCCGCACAGGTGCCGCCCGTCGCGATGACGGGATCGAGGATGACGGTCAAGTTGGACACCGACCCGGCGCCGCTGGATAAGTGGTTCGGGAGGTTGTTGTAGTACTCGACTGGGGAGAGGGTCACGGGCTCACGGTAGAGACCGAGGTGATGGACGGGGACCGGGTCCGGGAGGAGGGTCTGGATGGCTAGTGTGGGGGACCGAAAATCTTAGCAGGGCGGTGGAGAGGGGTATATAATAATATAGGGAGGTCGTGGTACAATACCTTCGACCATGCCCAGGCCGGAGCGGAGGATGGGTACGAGCGAGACGGCGCTCGGTTGTACGTGACGGGTTTCGTACTCGAAGCCGAGTGGAGTTTGGTCCTACCGTTTGCGATGTTAGACAAGTGAATTCCGATCTGATCTTGCGCGGGAGGTAACGTGTGGGAGGCGGTTGGGAGGTGACGAACCGTTGGGCCGGAAACACTCGTGAGCCCCTTGGCTAGCGCCTCGCAGCCCACGATCAGGGTAATGTCATGTATCAACGCCTTGACGTCTCTGGCGGCTGTGCCTTTCGACCGCAGCTGGCTGAGTTTCGCCAGCAGACAGGGATGCTGCGAGACGTGGACGTTGGGCGGCAGGTTGGACATGTCGGCGTAGGAAGGGCAGCAATGTATTATGCTAATCACAACTGGAACTGAGGCGGGGTCTCTAGGCTGGCCACGAGGCTGGGTTGGGGGTGCAGTTGACTTTCGAGGATGGGATTGACAGCTGGAACGGTGTATCTGGAAATGCCTGTCTATTACCTCTTATATGGTCCCGACTGCTACGTTAACTCCCGTCGGTAGGTAGAGGATCGTGCAGATGCTTGATTCGCTGCATGCGGGCAGGGTACTAGTATCGTCCTGCTTTGGCTGGACAAGTCACCCCGCCGCGGGGACTATTGTAGTAATGGGCTCTCTCAATCCGGGAAGGTCTCCCAGCTAACGGCCAGCAAAGGACCCATCTTGAAGCAAAGACGGCGATTGCCAGGTCCCGGAAAGCTCAGCCGGCTTTGTGGGCTGCAAGCTAGAGCAGATTGCATCTGTTGATTGTTCCTGCCTCCGCGTGACGAGATGACGGTGAGCGGACGGAAGCGGGGCTTTCAAGCTAAACAATGTTGGGACCATCACCACGATAAGATAAGCCTCATGCAGATAACCGGGTCTACCCTGGCCCGGTCACCAGACCCACTCGGAACTCCGAAGTACGTACCTCCATCGTCAGGTCCCGGTCGAAACCCGACGACATCTCCGGGCCCGTGTCCGCTCCAGGTCCAAATGACGGCAACTTCGGCTCGCAACAGAAGAGAGAACACGGGTGGTCCGGGGTCCCAGGGTAGCCATCGGTTGGCCTATCATAACGAGTGATTATGCCCGCCAGAGGTCACAAGCGCCTGGGATTGAGTCGACTCGACGAGACCGAGACAAGTCCGTCGCACGGCGTCGAGGTGTGACCGTGTGACATAGCAGAGTCACATCATCGGAAGGACAGGATGCCGCCTAGCGCACAGGATGGTAGACGCGCGTCTGCGACGTCCGGAGAACACAAGCCTTCGGAATCGTACGGCAACGTCGACGACTCGCTGGCACCTACGACAAATCTATCTCCGCAGTATGGCTCAACATTTCCTCCTAGGGACGGGCGGTGCCATTCGGACTTTCGTACATCTACCGCTTCCCAGGCCGCTTACGATGTTCCGGACACCTACGCCAACCTGGATGAAGCGGCAGGTGTATGGCCCGTGCAGAATCCACATGAGCAGCCCACCTATCGCTTTCGATCGCTAGAGCAAGTGAGGAGCCAGGAGCAGGACAGACGTCGGTCTCTCGCTGGGGGCCGTCCGCTGGAGGACGAGAAGCCACAGGGGGTCAGATTCGAGGTCTCCCGGCTCCTAACACAACTCTACACCGTTTCCTATCTCATTTTCTTCTCCATCCTCGGCACACTCGCCCGGCTCGGCTTGCAAGCCCTCACCAACTACCCGGGCACTCCCATCGGCTTCTCCTCCATCTGGCCCAACTTCGCCGGCAGTCTGGTCATGGGCTTCCTGGCCGAAGACCGCGTGCTCTTCGCCGACAGACGACGACGACAACAACAACAACAACAACAACGAGAAGAAGAAGAAGCCGCGTCCACATCCACCGACGGAGAAAACGGCAACGCCGCCGCCAAGAAAGCCCAGGCGGCGGCCGTGAAGAAGACCATCCCGCTCTATATCGGCCTCGCCACCGGCTTCTGCGGCTCCTTCACCTCCTTCTCGGCCTTCATCCGCGACATGTTTCTCGCGCTATCCAACGACCTGGACAACACTGCCGCGAGAAACGGTGGCTACTCCTTCCTCACCCTGCTCGCCGTGCCGATCGTCACCGTCTCGCTCTCTCTTGGCGCCCTCGTGCTCGGCGCCCACCTGGCCATCGCCCTCGCCCCGCTGACGCCGTCGCTGCCGCGCCGCCTGCGCGCCACGCTCGACAAGGCGGCCGTCTTCCTCGGATGGGGCTGCTGGCTAGGCGCCGTGCTCCTGTCCATCTTCCCTCCTCCAAGCGGCGGCGGCCATGCCGACTGGCGCGGCAAGGTCACTTTCGCGCTGGTCTTTGCGCCCCCTGGCTGCCTGGTCCGGTTCTATGCCAGTCTGAAGCTGAATGGGCGCGTCGCTGCCTTCCCTGTGGGCACGTTCGTGGTGAACCTGGCCGGGACGGGCGTGCTGGCGATGGCGTGGGATCTAGCGCACTCAGGCGGGGCTGCTGCTGCTGGCCAAGGATTGATCGGCTGCCAGGTGCTGGCGGGCGTTCAGGACGGGTTCTGTGGGTGCTTGACTACGGTGTCGACTTGGGTTGGGGAGCTAGCGGCGCTAAGGAGGAGGCATGCCTATGTATATGGAGGCGCGAGTGTCTTGGGCGGGTTTGCGGTGGTGGTTGCGATCATGGGAGGGCTGAGATGGAGTGAGAGTTATGAATGGGGAGCTTGTGGATAACAGGACGTCTGTCAACTCACTCAATTGAGACCGCCCAGCAGCTGAGCGGCGCGAAACTAGATCTTGTCTGTGAAACCAACAATTACGTATTAATGACGCCGTACTAGGACCAAGATACCTAGCAGTCTAACGAACAAATTCAAACAGCAAGGGGATTTTGATTATAAGACCTAGCCTCGTAGCAAATCTTCAAACGAAACGGTAGGAAGCCACACCGAAGGGTTCAAGGTTACGTACTGTCTAAGTGGCACGAGACACCTAGCCTCATGATCGCCTATTATACGCACTTCCTCATGAATATTAGCTCTTCTACGACGCCCAACGGCATGCCCACGTCTATGTATTCCATCCCGTCTAATACATCCAAATTGTGTCCGGTTCATCCCACCACTTTCTCTATCTCCCGTCATGCGTCCCCCCACTCCCCTAGGCCTCTTCCTCCCCATCGATCCAAACCACCACATTCGGCGGCACATCCCTCTCCCGAAAGAACCGCCTGATGTCCTCATCCGTGTACCGCATACTGAAGTGCGTCAGCACAAACACCGTCCGCGGCCAGCTCCTCACCACGGGCTCCAGATCCGCCCAGATGGTGTGCCTCGTGCGCTCAGCCTGCCGCCGGTGCTCCTCGTACAGGAAGCTGCACTCGGTGATGACCACCGCGACGCCACTACGCTCCTCCGCCGCCACCAGCCACTCCGGCCCGGCCGCCAGCGTCCGCGCGGTGGTGTCGCCCAGGAAGGCGAAGACGGGCGTCGCCACCGCCGCCGTGAGCTCCACGCCTTGCTCCTCGCGCAGCGCGCGCAGCTCGGCGCCCTTCAGGCCGCGGAACTCGGGCTTGAGCTTGTGCGTCACCGCGCTGAAGAGGTACCCCAGGCACGGCACCGTGTGGTCGCATGCGAAGGCGGTCGCCGTGTAGGGCTGCTTGGCCGGCAGGCGGCGGAGAGTGACGGTTTCGCCTGGCCGTAGCCCACGGGTCGTGTGCGTCTTGAGCAGGGAGTGTATTTTCTCTGTAGAGACTGTAGGTCGTTGTTGTTGTTGTTGTTGTTGTTGTTGTTGTTGTTGTTGTTGTTGTTGTTGTTGTTGTTGTTGTTGTTGTTGTTGTTGTTGTTGTTGTGGTGGTGGTGGTGGTGGTGGTGGTGGTGGTGGTTGCTCGCCGTTTGCGCCCGACTCTAACTCTGCGAGCTTACCACCCTCTCCTCCTGCCTCTGCTGGTTCATCATGATCATCATGATCATCATCATCAGACTCGTCCTCCTCGTACTGGTGATACGGCGATTTACTAGCAGGCGGCCAGATGCCACCCCCCTCGTTGAGCATCGTTTTGGCGTGGAGGTACCCGTCCAGCGCGTCCTTCATCTCGGCCGGGCAGAAGATGTCCGGCGGGTCACTGCGCTTGATGTACGCCGGGGTGAGCAGGGTGTGGTCGCTGTGGCCATGCGTGAGAAATATGTGTTTGGGCCGCAGGTTATTGATACATAAGCCCGCGTCGAGCAGCAGGTTGAGCTGCGGGACGATAAACGAGGTGTGCCAGGCGGCCCGGGACCGCCCGGTGAGTGTCAGGTTGTGATACGGTTTCGGAAAGCGCCATTCCAGGACATTGGAGCGGGGAGATTGTGGTAGCGGGGTCGCGAAGGTTGGTGACGCTGACGACATTTCGGGGCCGCTAATGAGACTGACAGGCGTCTCAAACGAGGTATGTTGAGCTAAGGTACGATTACTTATATGAACGAGAACGCGAAGATTGCAGCTCGCCAGCTAACGCTGCTGATTGGCCCAGCCACACGGTGCGAGCACATCCGGACCCCGCCTCAGCACTTGCTATAGTACTAGTATGTATCAAGAATCCTCGTCGGCCCCATAGTCGACCGAACGCCTCATATCCTTCTTTCACCGAAGAACTCAACTCACTAAAGGAGCCTACTCCAACACCTTCGCAGTCCATCATGACCGACGATAAAGGCCGAACCGTTACCATTTACCATGCCTACTGCCCCCCAGGAGTAAAGCGGGTTCTCGCCGTGGGAAGTAGTGCCTTCATTGGAGAAGTGGACGAGTTGACTGTGCTCAAATATCCACTGGCCCCCGGCGCAGACATGACCCGCCTTGAGGTAGAGAGGTAGCTATTCGAGATCATTGGACCGCATGAGCGCATCATCGCATTCAAAGGCTCCACGGACACGGGAATCTACTTGGAACGCGCCATGAATGGCACCGTGGCCGAATACATACTTGAATCCGGCAATCCGCTCCCTTCGGTCAAGCAGCGCTTGTGCTGGTGCCCGGAGGCTGCCGGGGCCGTCGCGTGGATCCATACTCGGCGAGTCCTCCACTGCGACATCCAACCTACAAACCTGCTTCTCGATAAGGATCTTCATATCAAGCTCGCCGACTTTCAGGGCAGACACTTATCGGAGGACGGCAAGGTGCTCCTTGATGGTTGGAGCGGGGAGCCCAGTAGGTTCTGTTGCCCTCGGGACGATGACTTCGATGCAGACGTCAAGACGGACCTCTTTGCGCTAGGGTGTACCATCTACTTTATTATGATGGGGTATGCCGTTTTCCCGGATATCATTGACGGGGAAGACGGATGGTATAAGCAGGTGGAAGAAAGATTCAGGCAGGGCAAGTTTCCTCGGGACAAGCATACTTGTAGTGCTGTCACCCTGAAGTGCTGGCAGAAGGAATAAGAATGCGCCGAGGAAGTAGTTCGAGACCTCCAAGTTCTCGGAGGGGAGCCGTGATTTGCCGGGCGAGCCGCTGGAAATCCAAGATTACCCGTTGCGTGCATTATCGAGGCAGCATGATCCAGGTCATCATCTGCACAATGGCATCTCCTTTTGGCTCGCACAATGCCCCTTCCTTTGTCAATGTTGCGTGAAGCATGCATGAATGTCTGCTCTATTCCAGCACACTGACTTACTGAAGTGCGTATCACCCTACTCGCAACCATAAGTCAGTCCAAAATTCACGTGGAAGGGATCTTGGATAATCACGTCCTGTCGTGGAACTGGTGCAGCAATGTTAAGGCTGGTCGTAGTGGCTGGTTGCCCCCTCTCTAACGATAATCCAGAGTGATCGGCGTACTTACCAATCCACCAGGGTTTAACCGCTGACACCGTGTAAAGTAGACGGGCCGTTGGCGATCACACCCATTGCCCGGCCGTGGCGCGCCGGTAGCGGTACAGGTGAACTAGTTGAGGTTGCTGCGGTTAAGTCATCACTGGAGGTTCATAAGCTTAGCGATGGCGAGGGAGCAGGTACCCAGCGCAGCTCGGATCACGAAGACCGAATCCACGTGCTAGAGCGCCGATTACGTCTAGCCCTACGCCTACGCGTAGCTATCGGCGACGGCAGTCGCATTTAGGAAACGGCTCGCCCTCCTGGGCTGCCAAGGCCGGCATGTCACCCGCCGTTGCGGCCGTCGAGTTGAGCTGATCGAAGACGATCAGCTCTTTTGCCGTGACGGGGCCGATTAAGTCCGTATGTTCGGCATCCGTTTCCGGCTTTATATACCAAAAGCGACTATTAGCCTTATAGCTAATGCTGTCAGCTAAGGCGTGGAAAAAGTGGTTTTGTCCTGGTTAAGAACTTATCCCATATACCTAAAGTAGTTAGTAGCTCGGCTGCTACGCCTTATAATTTGCTAAGACATATAAAGTAGGGCTATAAACGCATTTGGTTAGCTAGGAATATGATCTATAACGTGTTAGTAGAACTTGTAATCACAAGGCGATATTAGGATTATACTATTCTAGAGCCTTCTGAGCATACATAGAACTTTTATAGGCAAAACGTCGGCTCTCACCTGAGAAATCGTGGTCGTTATTATTAGCACAACACTGACATCAGTAAATAGAACGCCATGTGGCTTGCACTCCGAGTGAGTCAAGTCATGACCAACGGCTAAAATTCTCGTGTTCCTCACCAGGTATGGCAAGCTTGGAGTATTCCCTATGCTCTCTAGCTGCGGCTTGTCCCGTTTCATGTACTGTAGCGCTCTAACAATCAAAGACATTACTGCACTCGTGTCGGTCTGACACAGAACTAGCAGCGGGCGGATCGACGCTGAATCATAAGGCGCGCTGGCAAAGAAGTCTAGTCTAGAAGCAGCACAGCAGTCCGTCTACTACGTACGTCATGCGCCAAACGCGCCCGTATCATCACGCCTTGGCGGTCGCCTCAGTTGAATCCGCTGCAGCTACGGCAGTAGCCGACGTAGTTGAATCCGTCGCAGCTTCATCGGTTGCGGCAGGGCGAGTAGGAAGTGTGGTAGACCCCTGGCCCTGGCCCTGGGCTGCCTCAGCCGCTTGGGCCGCCTTCTTAAGCCTCTTCCGTTCCTTCTCTGCTTCTCTCGCTGCCTTTTTGGCAGCCGCCTTCTGCGCTTCCAGTTCCTTCTGCTTGCGAAGCTCCTCGCCCCCGTATGCGTCGCGCCATTCTTCGACCTTGGCTGCAGGAATGTTGGAAAACAACAATTCGGGCGTGCCGATGGCATGACCCGGCTTGAGCTCGTTTGCCTCCCAGGTATCCGGGATGTGCGCGGTGACGTGCCCCTCCTCACCTGAACCTTTAACCCCGAGCTGCCTGAGGATGGACCGAGCCTTTTCAGGCATATACGGGAAGAGGATGTTCGCCAAAAGGTGAATGTGGTTGAGAGCAAGGCCAATGACAGCGCGGCATCGATCGGGTTCTTCAGTTATCAGCTGGTTGCTGAGCTTGTTATCCTGTAAAAGCTTGTTGCCCAGTGCGGAGATACTAGTATAATCGTCAGACGACCGCCAAACCGGCATTCGTTAACTTGAGCGGGAAAACCATACCCCATGACTGCCGATAGCCCCGCTCGCAATTTCAGACCCTTCAGATGTGTGATGTACTCCTGGAGTTGTCTGTTCACCTCGTCCTTGTGCTCCTGGAGAGCTGGGAATTTGGAGATGTCGTACTCAGGCACTACACCGTCCATCTTCGCTTGGCAGAACTTGACGACGCGCTGGCACAGATTGCCCAGGTTCTTGAGCAGGTCGTTGTTGTTGGCATCGACAAAGTCTCTTTGAAGAAAAGTCAGTCCGGTTGAGACGGTGGCCATGTCGAACGTTGCGAGACTCACCCCCATTTGAATTCCGAGTCACTGGTCTCGGGACGTCTGGACAGGAGATAGTATCTCCAGATATCGGCGTCGATGCCGGTATCGCGAGCGTTATTGCCGAACACGCCCACACCCTTAGATTTACTGAACTTGCCGCCCTCGTAGTTGAGGTACTCAGTGGTAGACAGGTGCTTGACCTTGGTCCAATTTTGCCTTGTGCCAAGCTGAGAGGCAGGAAATATGATGGTATGGAACCTGGGTTTCCGGTTAGAACGTCTTCCGTTGCATGGCAGTTTTACCAGACCAAGATCGACTTACGGAACGTTGTCTTTCCCCATGAACTGATAGAGTGAGACATCCTCTGGGTTCTTCCACCACTTTTCCCAATTTGTGCCGTCCAGATTACCAGCATCCGTGTAAGTCTTGGTGATCGACGGATATCCAACTGCTTTCCGTCAGCAAAACAGGGTTCCGAATCGGCTCTGGAAATGTAGGTATGGCGTACCGCAAGCATCAAACCACACATAGAAAACCTTCTTGGCATAGTCCTCGTCAGACAAACCGTTGAGCCCCGTGGGAACTGCCACGTGAAATGGTTAGTCAACGGCCCGACGCCTGGGCAGGACGGCGAAACGTACTTGGGACCCCCCACTTCAGGTCTCTGGTAATGCCACGGGGCTTCAGGCCCTGGTCCAGCCATGAATGGGTGATGGAGACACAATTCGCGCTCCAGCCCTTCTCAGCTGTCTCCAGCCACGCCTTGATCTCGTCCTGCAGGGCGTCCAAGCGGAGATAGAGATGCTTGGTCTGGCGCCTCTCAGGGGTGGTGCCATCGAGCTTGCAGCGAGGGTTTATGAGCCATCCGGTCGCCTTGGTCTCCTGGTTTCCAGACGCATCCTTGTCCGGCTCCAAGGGGTCGAGGAGGTTGCCGCACGCATCGCACTACCAATGAATTAGCAACGGAGAAGCCTGCAGACTAGGCGAGGAAAATCAAACCTGGTCACCACGAGCGCCCTTGTCATGGCAAAGGCTGCACTCGCCTTCGACATAGCGGTCAGCCAGGAAGGATGAGTGAGTAGGGCAGTAGGCCTGGGTGGTCTCCCGCTGCTCGATAAAGCCATTGTTCCAAAGGCGAGTGAAGATATCTTGGACTATGCACGTGTGCTCCGGGGTAGGGGTGCGGCCGAAGACGTCGAAGTCGATCCTGAACCAGTCGTAAATGTCCTTGTGGATCGCGTGATACTTGGCACACAATGTGGCCGGATCCACGCCCTCGGAAAGCGCCTTTGTTTCTGTCGCAGTGCCGTACTCATCTGAACCGCAGACATATATTGTCGGGAGACCCCTCGCCTTACAAAACTTGGCGAAGACATCTGCAGACTACAGATGCCTGGTCAGCAGCTGGGAAAGAATATAAAATGGAGTAGGCGGCCCCTCCATCCTGAAGGAGCAGGGGTCCTTCGCGGGGTCAAAGTGAGATTTGGGAGAGCGAGTGAAATTACCAGGACACTGCCAATAATGTTTCCGAGATGTGGAACATTGTTGACATATGGTAAAGCGCTGGTGATGAGAATATTCTCCTTGCCAGGCAAGGGTAGTGTCGGGTTTGGAGTACTAGTAGCGCCCATCTTGAGTCCCGAATCCGTTGTCTGCTTGTGCTGTGGTGAAAATCGAGGGGTGTCTGGTTTGGCGCCGTTCGGTCGAAGCTCCGGGTCACAGATGCCCCTGAAGATAAAGGTGGGGTGAGTCATTGATACCAGATCGGTTAAACCTCGGGCACGGAATTTTCATAACGGAACTCGCTTATCCGTACACCCTACAAAAGGACCTCACAATCTGAGTCAGCACTGTCAGGCAGCGTGTTTCATCGCAAATTGCATTCGAAATCGAATTGAACCGGCTGGATGATTTCAATAGAAGCCCACTTCCAACTTACCGTCGGGCACTCGCAGCCGCTTGCTACCTGTTTGAAAATGTTGGGTCTACATCGTCCAACCTACCTTAGGTTCTAGGTACCTTAGGTACGATACCGTACGAATAAGGAAGCCTAGGTTACCAGGAGAACAGCAAAGCACCCTGGTTCATCACCACGGAGAGGAACATGGGATATTGACCTGCTACAAGCCGTGATTACAAGACGTAGTTTTACCAGGATATTAGAATCCCCATGATTGCTCGTGATAGATATGGCAGCCAAAGGGCAACATCATCGCCTGGATTCTATATCTCTGCGTGTGAGTCTTGATGTTGCAACGTTGTTTCGAAATAAGTGTCTGTTCCTGTAGGAATCCTCTGCTGCTCACGTCAAGTTCAAGCGCCCGCTAAGTATGTGACCACAGCATATACGGTAAAAGCCCGTTCTTTTGCAACAAAACCTAAGCCAAGCATGCAAACTAACCCTTCAACGCCTTGCCCGCTAGATGTTGACCAAGAAAAGGGCCTCCTACGGCGCCTGCCAAATGCAATGATATTGTGACCATGCCCGTATAACGCAGCTCGAGTAACAGAAACCCCATTCCCTTTCAAACCTTCACCAATAGAGAACAGATCATACCAGTTCCTCCTCCTCCCCTTCACTCGGGATCCCTCTATACTTCATCTCCAACACCCACTTGTCAGCAAAATCGACGCCCCTCCGCAACTTGGTCCCGGCCTTCTTCCACACCGCCTGCCCCAGCCCCATATCCGCCAGATACAGTTTCCACTCCAAGACCGAATCGTCCGGCACCGGCGCCTCGCCGGCAAGGATGGTATCGCCATCGTCATTTTCCGCCGCAATCATGGCCTCCAGCAGCCCCCGTTTCGGTGCGCCAATGGCTACCACATACCGCGGCTTGACGTACAACCGGTTGCCGTCGACAACGCTGACCTTGCCCGACGTCGGATCGACACCGCTCGGCACGTCCAGCGCTAGCACGAACGCCTCGTTACGGTTTGCCCATTCGATCAGTTCGTAGACGGTCGCCTGGTCGCCGTTCCGGAGCTCCTCGAACGAGATGGCCAGGCCGAGGAGGGCGTCGATGATGAGCATGACGGGCGCCGGGTTGGCGAGGCTGCTAAGCGAGGTGCGCGGCGTGTCGATGGTCAGCATCGGGATGCTGATCTTGCGGATGTGCTCGAAGAAGTCGCTCTTGGTGAAGACGCGGCCGCCGAGGTTGCGGTACAGTCGCACCTGTTGCTGCACGTCCTCGAGCAGGTCGCGCTCGCCGCGCTCGAGGCCGACCACGCACACGAGCACGTTAATCCCCTTGTTGCGCAAATGCCTGGCAGCCGCGACAGCCCGGCTCCCGGACTTGTTGTTGCCGGCCAGGACGACCACCGTCAGAGGCGCTGGGCTGCCCGTCGTCAGATCGACGGTGCCTGCGTGACGCACTTTGATGGCTGGGTCCGACAGCGCGGCGAGGGTCACCTCGGCGATTCCGCGGCCGGCATTCTCCGTCATCATCTCCTCCGTTAGCCCGATCTCGTTGTGAGCTATGTTCTCGAGGTTAAACATCTGCAGCGCCGAGACGGTCTCGATCCGCCGGTTTGATGGCAGCGCGTAGAGGCCCTGCGGAGCCGCCGCCGACGTCGGAAGCTGCTTCCTCTTGTCAGCCGTCGCAGTGCGCGACGAAAGTCGACTACTCGGCCGGCTCCCTTTAACGGATGGGCTGTGGTAGTGGCTTACACCAGAATCGGCTCTCCTTGGGCCAGATCCTGTCCTGGCCATCTCGGCGGTGGCCTTGCGTGACTGCGAGCGTCGGCTGGCTGTGCCCTTGCTCTCGCCACGCCGCGAGCTCTGCCTGCTAGACATGGCTAGGTCTCTATTACTTAGCCGCTCGCTGTTTGGCACCCCGTCGTCGGCTTCACTGTTCCAGAAATCGTTGGGGGTCTCCTTTGACGATGTCGGTCTATCTTTCGGCGGTTTGAGGATCGTGGAAGGCATATCCAGCACATTCTCAGAGTAGTGCAGATTCTTCCCGCCCGCAGTTCCGGGTTTCGGACGGGGTACGCGATTATGCGACACCAAGCGCTCGGCCTCGCTAACCTGATCGTCTTTCCTCATCTGCGCAAATAGATTCTGCTTGTCGAACTTGGCCAGACTGCCCTCAAAGTCGAAGTCGCCCATCTCCTGAACGTCGGTGGCGTCCTCAGAGGCCCAACCGTTATCAGGAAGCTTCCGGCCCTTGCCATGCCGCTTCAATGAGTTGAATGGTTGGAAAGATGGCGTGCTTTGCAGAATAGGTGTCTGCCTCCAGCCCTTACCCCTGCCCGCCGTTTTCGTAGAAGCGGCGGGTGAGGCCTCATAGTCCTCCTGTGCCGCTGCCTTGGCATTCCCGGGCTTCCGCGCTCGTCGCTTTTTCTTCTGCCCGACCACCTCCCCGTAATCGAGAGGGATCTCGGGACCCTCTTTCTCTTCGGCGGGTGCCACAGGTACATTGCCGTGATCAAGCTTCAACCCCTTCAAAGATGCGGCTGCGGCGACTACGTTTGTAGGTGTAACCTCGGAAGAAGTATCCGGAACTAGGACCGGGACAGTAAGGACAAGCTCCGGATCCCGCTTCTCGCTCGTATTGGGTTGAGGATGAGGTTCTGTCGCGCGACTCAATGAGGTAGCCAAGGGAGGTTTGCCGACAGCGACAATTGCTGGGTCCACGAACACGGCCTGTGGAAGCTTCTGAGGAACGGGTGCCGCCGCCGGGGGAGGCATACTTGGCTGGACCGTAGGGACGACGTTTGTGGGAGGAGCAGCGGGGACTTCCGAGATATCGGCGATGTCCGCTGAGGCGATTGTCATGCGCGGCTTCCACTCGTTGGTATCGAGTATCCAGACTGGTCGTCGGCGCATGTCAGCAAATGTGTTATAAGGCGTCATGTACTTGAGCTTGGAGGGGGTGGAACTCACCATTGCTGAGTGTCAGGCCCGCACCAGCCTCGACAGCGCTGACGGTTCCTTTGAGACGTCCCGGCGGGTCACCGTGCAGCGTGACTATCATCTGCAGGCCGACGAATTCCGCCATGGCGACGGGATTCTAGGCGTCAGGAAAACTGGAATCCTAATAAGAGAGGAGCGGAGGCTGGGCCGGGGTGTGTGCTTCGAAGTATTCGCTACGCCGTTGATCAACCGGGTGGCAGCGGATACCCCTGAGTAACGCCTTGCTAACACTGATCTGGACGACGAGGGTCGCCTTCGCCGTGGCTTGATGCGCTGTGGGATCGTAGTTGGGTTTATTAAGTTAGGAACCAGCATCGCAACTTTAACTTCCATCCCATGTTTTGCTTATCGATATGAAGTGGGTGGTACGGAGTCCCCTTTGTCAGGCGCGCGCCAAGAGCGAGTGGGAGGTAAATACGGTACAATACCTAAGTTGTAAGTTATAACACCAGGAAGGAAACCACCTGCCACGCAGTAGGTAAGTAATTACGAAATAATGTACTATTTAGGGATATATTTAGGGCCGTACGGAGTACTACCATGTGAATTCATATCGCAATGTCTAATAGGGTGACAGACATTGCATGTGTGCATCCGTTATAAATGTTGTTATTGACTGTGGGCTAGCTGTTTAATGCGGCAGGGTTTGTTAGGAGTATGTTCGTGGTCAGGTTTGGTTTGTTTGGGTTGTTGCTTGGGAGCGCTGCTGGTGCAAAACAAATCATTGGCGAACATCTACCCGTAGCCAGGCACGCCATGGTAAGGTAGCCGCATCAGGCTGGAAGATATGGCAATTTCATCCCAATGGTAAGGTGTCGGGTCGATTCCGTTCAGAGTAGAGTCTACCATAGAGTTCTGCATGTGAACTGCTGACCTAAGGCCATCGCTTGCCTTTATGAACCCCTTTTCTACCCGGGCCGTTGGCCAGGATCTTTCCGCTTGATAAATGATAAATACAAAAAAAATCGCCTGTGATTTGCCCTCCCCAGCCTTACACCAAATACAAGTACTTAGAACACCACAGCATGGCTGCGGACAGCCGCATGCAATCAACCGTACGACGCCATAGCCTCTTCCTCATCGGAACCTAACACCGATACAGGTTGCCGAGCAGAGGCCCCTGTCGACAACGTCTGCTTGACCGTATAGTTCGTGATCGAGCCGGCCGCCTTCTTGCTGATCGCCGCCTCGGCGCTGTATAGCTTGTTGTAGAAATCGACTACGCGTGGGTGGGCCATCACACTTCCCTTTCTGAAGTTTAACACCTGGAGGCCTTCTTGCGTCGTGGCGCGACTGAGCGCAACGTAGGCCTGACCCTTCTCAAACACCTTGCCCAGATCGACCTTGACACGCTCCAACGTCTGCCCTTGAGCCTTGTGGATCGACAGTGCCCATGCCAGGATGAGCGGAAGCTGCTTACGCGAAGCCTGTACCTCGCCTGTCGGCAGTTCCACCTTCCAGTCTTCGGGTTGGCAGAGGAGATCCCGGTGTGAGCCGTCGACGGCGTGGAAGCGCACCAATGGATACTCTCTGCTGTCGGCACTGGAGGCCTCGGCGAGCTTATTGGTAAACGCACGCACCCGCTTCGCCGCGTCTGACTCAACATCTGAACCATCCGCCAGGCCCTTAAGCTCAAAGGTGTCTTCGGTCATGAAGCCAATGACCGTGCCCAGCGAGCCGTTGACCAACGTCTCGTCCATGTTCTTGATCAACATGACCTGCGCGCCCTTCTTTAGCTCAATGGTCGCCGGTGCCATCATGTTTGCTAGAAGCCTGTCCCGGATCTTGGGATCGCCCCCGTCGATGGCATCGTAACGGTATACCTTGCCCGGCAGAGCCTGGAGACGCCTCTGATTAGAGGTTTCGACCTCGTTCCTGGTTGGAAACCTTATGGGAGAATATTGGTCAGTCTTGCAACTCGTACATAGGTTGGTGATGGCTCACAGTTCGGTAACTTCCAGTCCATCTTTGAAGCGCAGGGGCCTGCTGAGAGCCTGGAAGTTGCGCACAGTTTGGTCACTGATTCTCCCCAGCCGCATCTCATTAAGCATTGCAGCGAATTCTACAGAGTTGGTTAGCATGCGAGCAGGAAATATGAGCTTCCCGCTCTCGGTTTGACATACCGGGATCCCGTTGACGGAAGACTTCAGTTAAACCTATGGTATGGTCGATGGACATGTTCCAGGTCGCCGCATCGAATGCGAACTTGGACTCTCTCTGTTTGCCGCCCTCCGGCACAGGGGGAAGCTGGAAAAAATCACCCGTGATGACCAATTGGATGCCACCCCACGGGCGCCCATTATTTCGGATTGTTCTGCCAATCTGGGACAACTTGTCGAAGAGCTCGGCATCGACCATGGAGATTTCGTCGATGATTAGTGTTTTTGTCTTGAGCCACCGATTCTTAGCCTTGGGGTTGCGCCTGATCTTCTTGACTAGGGTATTGACGTCCTCTTTTCCTAGACCAATGCCGGAAAAACTGTGCAGAGTCATGCCGCCGATGTTGCATGCAGCCAGGCCCGTCGAGGCCGTGACAGCCACCCGTTCCGGGTCTCTAGCATGTTTCTTCTTCAGTTCCTGAATGATGGCGCGCATTAACACCGACTTTCCCGTACCGGCGGGACCGGTGAAAAAGACGCTCCTCCCCTTGTCGAGGACCAGGCTCTTAACGTGTCGCTGCTCCTGGCTTAGCGTGATCGCCGCTGATTTTGCCGTGTGCGACTTCATAGCTTCTTGCATGTCATCGGGTGAAGCCTCCACCTTTCCTGAGTTCTTGAGTTGAGTTTTCAACTGCTTCTTTTGCGCCTTGACTGCGCTGGCAGTGGTATCCCATGGCGTGGGCGCTTTCATTTTGGAAGCCGGCGTGGCAGCAGCAGCCTTGTGAAATGCTCGAGCATCGCCCTCTTCCTCCGCTGCCGGTCGGCTTTCCCAAGGCAGCTGTCGCCTTGACCTTTTACTTGCCCGGTCGCCGTCCTCGTCGTCATCCGGTGAATCGCGTTTGGCAAGTCCCCGTGCAGGTGGCTGAATTCGGGGTGACGGCGGTTCGAGATGCGAGGGCGATGATTGAGACCAGGACAACACGCTTGTGTTGCTCGCAGGCGGCGGGTCATGGTGTGCTTTGGCAACAGGTTGCGGTTGAGGACGGGGGTTTGTCGGCAGGGTTGGAACGGGTTGATATTCTAGGTCGGGGTCATCGCTGAAGTCATCTGCGTAGATTTCCACTTGCGACGCAAGTTCAGATGTTTTGGATTGGTTGTGTGGCAGGTAGGGTTTATCATCCATGAGCTCTACCACCTCGGAATCCTCCTTGAAGGAGTCCGACTTGCCGCAGAGAGACACGATTGCTTTGCGGCTGACACTTGAGGGTGGTGGTTTGAAGACGTTGGCTGGGTGATTTTGCAGCGGCTTTGTCGTTGCCGCTGCGTTCCTCGGGCCGCTCGAGGTTGATATATGTCGCTTGTTCGAGAACATGTCAACAATGTTGTTCTCTTCACGCTTTCTCGGCGCGGGCGATGGACTGCTGGAGGGAAAGAGCTGCTTCGCAAGTGCATTGTTGGCGGGCGTCCGTGATGTCTGCTTCGTCGCGGCCGCCTTGTACGTTTCGTTTGCCCTCGATAACATTGTAGTTGTGCGGGGATGGAGACCAGGAATCAATCCGACGGCATACACCTGTGCACGACCTGAGCAGCAGATAAAGTTCCTATCGAGGGGAAACGCTGCTCGACGGAGGACCAAACCGGAGATTCCAGTCATGCAGAGTTGTAACCGCTGTGGCAAGTGTTGCCTATGGTGCAATTGCCTTGCCGTGATTCAGGGAAACCCCAAGGTAGGGTTGCAAGCTGGTTGTCGCGTCACGAGAGCTTTCGCGTCGTTGGGTTCGCGCTTTCCAACCCGCAGAGGTAGGGTAGGGTCTGAGCGCGTAAGGTTGCTAAACCCTAACCCTACGGACCTGGAGGTGCTGTACAATACACCATGACTTGTCACATCCTGATTCCTTCGTAATACACAGTAATAAGACAACTACTAGTAATAAACTTACTGATGGAGTCCCAATACGAAATAACCATCGAGAATGTACGTTGAATATCTCCGGGGAAAACAAGCCTGGATTGCATCCACACCAGCACTTGCGTGGGACAGATTATCAGCTCAAGTTCGACTGCCTTCCTATGTACCTGTATGTATTGTGGCTTTCGATCCATCCAACCGGATCATCCCACAGTCTTGTCCCCCACGCTCCTGACCATGAGAAAACCCAAAGATGGAAAGCGTCCAGGCGCCACAACTCCCATAGCTGAACTACGTGGTCCGCTGGGAGGACAATAGACTTATTTCGGCCTCCGCCCTCGCTTTGGTATGGTTCTTGGGGTTATTCGATCTGCTTACGGGCCCGTCCATGGCGGTAGTCAGGAGGCCACTTCCCCAATATGCACGATGTCGGTACCGTGATTCTGTGAATGCCCGTGCTGACACCATGCGTTGTGGTTGGCGCTCCCATGCCAGGGGGTATTTGCTTTCTTCCAACGACCCCAATCAGCACTCTCTGCATGTTGTCTGAAACCAGGATGCAAGGAGCCCAGCTTGTGAGACCTCACCGCTCCCACACGGAAACCTTGCTGCAGAGCTCGTGACTTGCACCCATTTTGTGTCGGAACTGAATGGAACCTAAGGCGAACACGTGCAGTCCACCCGTCCGGGCGAACACATAGGTGCTGTGTATACAGTAAGTAGTAACCCGATGGTCTATGGTCTAGACCATTTGTAGACTGACACCAATCAACAATAGCTCGTCCAGTTGGGGCACCAAGACAAGAGGAAAGAAAGCAGGACGAAGGAAAAACAAGAAGGGGAAGACAGACAAGTTGCCATCATAGAATAGAACAAGCAAAATTTGAACGATGAAAAGTTCGACTCCCGGTATTTGTACATGTAGTTACTATAGGCAAGCAGATCAGATCAGCAAATGATCAAACCGCCAGCCTCACTTGCAAGACAAGGCTCCCGAGACATTCCCCAGGTTGCCCCGCACTCGACGTGAGACAAGGGGACACTGTCAGGGCCCAAGTATCCGGATGACACCGCCTCATCCTCGGTGCCCTCACTGTCCTGCTGGGTTACACTAGCGTTCGAAAACGGGGGTAGCCGCAGCGTGGGATGATGTCCGATGGAAGTTGATAGGTGAAGAAGGTACTCTCTTTAGGCAAAGGCTGTGAGTCAGCCACAGTTACACTCAAAGGTTCCGATTCATCGGTTGGCTCATGCCAGCTGAACCACCTCACGTCCGAGAACCGGCTCGGGATCCGGTGCCGATTGACAAGGCTCCAGGAAGAAAATCGGCATGCCGTCCAGACCAGTGGTGGGGCGGCGGAAAGACAGACCCACAACCGCGACTAGCGCCGTCTGCCGGCCTTCCCGCCGAGGCCGCCAGTGAGCCCGCCAGTGAGCCGCCAAGCCTTGCGGCAGAGCAGGGATGCTTGCAAAATCCTGGCAACGAGGTTGGGGGACACGAGTCGAAGGCTCTCGACGCCGGCCGGAAGGTTTCCATATAAAGCAGCCATGGATGCGCTTCCTTCCCCTCCGAATGGCGAGTCGCTCTCCGTCGACTTTTTCCAGTCAAATCATCAGTTGTTTGTTTCAAGAATCCCCGGGGAGAGCCGCGCACTGCCTAACCCTCGGCTGTTTGTCGCCGCATGCGACCCTGCATTCCTTTCGTCATCGCACATCGCACCTTTCGTTCCACTTTCGAGAACTGCACCGCACCTCCCGCAGATCCTCCTAATTCTAATTGCGGCTGCCCAAGTGCTGACTGGGCTCCGGGATCCCGGGACTAAAACTCTTCATCTTGCCAAGTCTCGCGTCACGGTTGGAACCCCCAAGGCCGGGTTTTGCCCCGTCTTGTCGGTGCTTGATTAGTATTGGCAGGTTGCTGTATCCGTCTCCCTGAATGTATCAATTGCAGTCCGTTCTTGGGCCGGATCTTGGTACTGAAGGGAACACCGAGCAGTCGCGGCTAATTGACGGCGATTGACGGGGATTGACTGCTGCTGCCAGTGCTGCGTGATCTGGACCTGAGATCTGGTGACGTCGCGCTTGAACCCCGTTCCTGCTCTCGCTCTAGCCTGGGATCTGGACTCCTCCCGCTTTGGTCCCACCGCCAGTCGAACGAACACCCATTCGAACTTCACCCCGACAATCTCTTGTTTTCCAGTGTCCTACCGCCGCCGGCCCTCGAACGGCAGGCAAAGGCCAACACGGTGGTAGACTATGGCGTGGGATCACCTCTCGATCACCAAGCCGCACCTGGTCTACATCATCCTCGGCGGCTTCACCTCCCTGTTCATGCTATGCTCGTCCTTCATCAAGGAGCGCATGTACATCGGCGAGGCAACCGTGGCCACGCTTTGCGGTGTGATCTTTGGCCCGCATGCCGCCAACCTCATCGACCCGGAATCATGGGGCAGCGTCGACATCGTCACGATCGAGTTCTCCCGCATCGTCCTGGTCGTGCAGTGCTTCGCGGTCGGCGTCGAACTGCCCAAGTACTATATGGAGAGACACTGGAAGTCCGTGGCCTTCCTGCTGATTCCCGTCATGACCTACGGCTGGCTGATTACGAGTCTGTGCGTCTGGTGGTTGATCGAGCCGCTGAACTTCCTCGAGAGCTTGGTGGTGGCTGCCTGCGTCACGGCTACAGACCCGGTTCTCGCCTCGTCAGTCGTCGGCAAGGGTAAGTTCGCCAAGCGGGTGCCGAAACATCTTCGCGACCTTCTCTCGGCCGAGTCGGGCTGCAACGACGGGATGGCCTTCCCCTTCGTCTACCTGTCTCTGTACCTCATCCAGGACAAGATGAACGCCCGGGAGGTAACGATGCACTGGTTTGTCTACACCATCCTGTATGAATGCATTTTTGGGGCCATTTTTGGCTTCCTCATCGGCTACCTCGCCCGCCACGGGATCAAGTACGCCGAGCAGCGCGAGCTGATCGACAGAGAGAGCTTCTTGGTCTTCTACTTTGTGCTGGCGCTGTTCTGCGCCGGGTCCGGTAGCATTCTCGGCGTCGACGACCTCCTCGTGGGCTTCGCTGCCGGTGTCGGCTTCTCCAACGACGGCTGGTTCACGCAAAAGACGGAGGAGTCCCACGTTTCCAACGTGATTGACTTGTTGATCAACCTGGCGTACTTCGTGTACTTTGGCACCATCATCCCGTGGGAGGAGTTCAACAACACTGAGATGGGCCTGCATGCCTGGAGACTGGTCGTGCTCGCTATCTTCGTCATCCTCTTCCGCCGGATACCCATCATGTTGGCGTTGAAGCCAATTATCCCCGACATCAAGACATGGCGCGAAGCCCTCTTCGCCGGTCACTTCGGTCCCATCGGCGTCGGCGCCATCTTCGTCGCCATGTTGGCACGGGGCGAGATGGAACACGACAAGACGGTCCCGCTCTCCAAGCTCCCATCCACCAGCGCCGAGCATTACACGTTGATCGCCCTCGTCTGGCCTATCGTCGCCTTCATCGTCGTTGCTTCCATCCTTGTCCACGGTTCTTCGGTCGCCGTGTTCACGTTGGGCAAGCACATCAACACGTTAACCATCACCATGTCGTACACGCAGGCGAACGAAGACGGTCCGTCCTGGATGAACCGCTTGCCTCGTATCTCGTCGCAATCTCGGTCCCAGGCAAGGACCATGTCTGATACGGAAGGCGAAGAGCTTAAGATGCCCGACTTCCCGCCGGGAACCTTGCCGCCAGTTGGTCTTCCCGGGCAGTTCCTGCGTCGCGTCCGGGAGGACGACACCAGCCGACATGGTAGCAGATCGTCCTCGCTGGCTACGCGACGGCGGAGGAAGAAGTGGGACGACGGCATCGGGCCGGGCGGTCCTATCAGCCAGTCGGCCATATTCCCCCAGCGGCGCAGCCAAGGGGAGCCGCTCTCACCCGGGCTCCCGCGGGAGAGCAGTGATCTGCCCAGGCGGGATTCTGCGCCGCTGTCACCCACCGAGGTGGCTCCCAGCGCGGGTGAGAAGGAAAAGGAGCCTGACCAGCCCTCGGTCGAGACTCCCGCGGAGACTCCTGCCAAAGCACCCTCGCCAGGGTCGCAGGAGAGCCCGAACGAGGACGAGCACAGGGGAGCCGTCGAGGTGTACGACGAGGGCGATCACATCGTCGTTGAGAACCACGACGGCGATGTACTCGCGGTCCGACCGAGCCACAACGAGAACTTGGCCGAGCAAGCCCAGGTTCTCGCGTCCAAGCTAAAATCGGAAGCCGGCCCGTCCGGTTGGACCTACGACGCGTTGAAGAAGCGAGTCATGAACTGGCGCCAAGGAGAGATCGAAAAGAGAAAGGGCAAGGAAGCGCCCCATAGGAAGGGCGAGCCCGCTCGGGCGTATCAGTTTGGTAACACGGTATGTATCTTGTCCAATTCTCTCGTCTAGTCCTCGGGAAGTGCTGACATTCCCGGACAGATCATTGTGGAGAACGAAGACGGCGAGGTCATTAAGAAGTATGACTTGCCAACGCAGAAGGCCCAAATACAATCGACTCTGGTGAATCAGGGTCTGAAGTACATGGGAATGGGTATCTTCGCCAAAGCCGCGGACAAACCAGGCGCTGCAGCTTCGGCCGTGGGGGAAGTGGCACAGGCACAGGCAGCTGCCGAGCGTCCGGCACAAAAACAGCGAAAGAAGAGCGTGGTTGCAGAACAGGACGACGAGGACGACGACAGGCATATTCGGTTCACCATCGGCGGCGTTGGCCGGCGGCTGACCAAGGAGGACTTCCTCAAGGAAGTGCAGAAGCTGGACAAGAACACGCGACGCGAAGTAGTTAACAAATCGGACGCGTCGCAGGGGCTCAAGGCCCTCGCCAAGCTTGACGCACAGCCGCCGGCCGCCAAAGCCTCCGGCCAACAACCGACCGTCAGCAGCAGGAAAGACCAGGCCCTTACCGCCACGACCGCCCCGTCGTCGCAGACAGACGGTTCGGGCAGCCAGCTTGCATCGAGGTCCGCTTCCCCAGGCACCAAGCCAGCAGCAGCAGCAGCAGCAGCATCACCATCCCCATCACCATCACCAGAGACACCAGCAGACAATGACGACGGGCCGGAGACGGAGGTGGAGCGGCGGCGGCGGTTGGCAGTTCTAAAGGGCGTTAGTGACGATAACGAGGAGCACGGCGAGACGGCCGCGGAACGGCGTCGCAGAGAGGCAGCGCTCGGCATGGCGCCCCACGGAGACGGAGAGGACAGCGACGACGATGATACCCCGAGAGTGCCTCCCTCGAGGAAGTCGATCCGCTTTGCGGATGCCCCCGGACCCAATGGTAGGGGGCGGGCACGAGAATGAGGGTTCGTTGTATAGCGCATAAGAAAGAGGATTGCATTCATCGCATAATATTGCATGGCATGGCGTGTTTGAAGTTTTTGGGAATACCTTAGGCTCGGACAGGCTAGCTTAACCATTTTCATTCGAGGCCGCTTGGGGTGAAAGAGTAGTCTTTTCATTGCTCTGAGCCTCGATACATCTCCGTGCATTGGTAGCGAGGATCAGCAATCGTTGGGTAAATTTAGAAAGAAACCTAGATCATATACCTAGTGTGTTTTGCACCTCATTCCTTGCCGGTGACTTGTATTAGTGATCAGTCCGGATAGTGCCGGCCGAACTGTCACCATATGGTGCGAGTCGGTCAATTGATAAAGCCCACCGGACATATAGAAGTTCCGCACCTTAGATCTTCAACGGCCTTCTGTGAGACAACACAAGTGGTGATGAATCGTATGGTGTTGTCGTGGATGACTAACTGCTAAGGTATGGAAGGAAGGAAAGGCACACAGGAAGCTCTGCGGGGCTGTATGGCGAATGGAGATGTGGTGCACGGACCACATCTCACACCTTCACCTGCAGTTCCGTGTATGGTCGAGCGGTAAGGGCCTCGGCCCCTGTCCAGTTCGGGCTAAAACAAAATGCGTTCCGCCTGATCACCGGAAGCCTGCGTCGGATGGATGGATATACCGTGATCAGTTGGTGCTGTGCACCCCGCAGATTGTTGTGGTAGTCCCTCCGGGATTCGCGTAAAGGACGGGAGCCTGTTGGAAGAATGGCGGGGATTCCAAGTCCGAATTCCGTTCCAATCCGTCGGCAACCACTCACATCTCTCTTTTTCCTCGGTGGCCGGCCTGATAATGCGCCCACGAAAATGTCTCCGGCGCCAGCGAGAGCCTGGCTCAGCTGCTTTTGATTGTTAGATATATAGAGTACTTACGTCAGTGAGGTCTTCCTCGTCATCTAATGTATGTACATGTCTTAGCCGGCGATACGAGTAAAGAGCTATAATCTGACCCCTTGCCCTTTGAAAACCGCCTTAACTACCAAAAGAAAAGAAACGAAACGAACTCAAGTCAAGATGCCTGGCGGCGTAAATGACATCACGAATTTCAATCCCAAGACAGATGTGCCAGACCTCTCCGGCAAGGTCATCCTCGTCACAGGAGGTGACAAGCCAGCGGGATGCATCGAGTTCGGCTCATCGCTAACCCCCTATATCAAACAGGCACTGCCGGCGTAGGAGCTGGAACCGTCGTCGAGCTCGCACGCCACAACCCAGCGCATCTGGTCTTCACGGGGCGCAATGCCAAGTCAGCAGAGGCTACTATTGCCAGCGCACGCTCTGCCGGGCCCGGCGTCCGCGCGACCTTCGTGGAATGCGACTTCGCCAACCTCGCCTCCGTGAAGACCGCCGCCGAGAAGATTCTCGCCAACCTGGACCGTCTTGATGTCCTTGTCTGTAACGCCGGCATCATGGCTAAGCCCGCTGCGCTGTCCAAGGACGGTTATGAAATTCATTTCGCCACCAATCACCTCGGCCACGCTCTCCTGAACTTGAAGCTCCTCCCCCTCATGGAAAAGACAGCAGAGCTCCCTGGCGCCGACGTCCGCATTCTCATGGTCACGAGCACCGCCTCGCGCGGGACCCCTCCGGGCGGCATCGTCTTCGACAAGCTCAAGACGACGCAAGAGATGCTGTTTGGCCGGTGGCTGCGGTACGGCCAGAGCAAGCTCGCCAACCTGATCTGGGCGCGCGAGCTGGCCAAGCGGTATCCCAAGATCCTGTCGTGTAGTGTTACACCAGGCATTGTGATGACGACTCTGGTGACGGACCTGAGATTTATGGATAAACTGTGGGTGTATCCATTTACCATCGGCCAAAAGTTGACCCCGGAGCAAGGCACGTACAACCTCCTGTGGGCGATTGGCGCGCCGAGGGACGGTATCAAGCGAGGCGCTTTCTACGAACCCGTTGGCCATCTTTCTCCGATGGAGACTCGGGCCAGCAGGGACTCCGAGCTGGGGGATAAGCTGTGGAAATGGACTAATGAGGAGCTGAAGCCATTTATGTGATGAATCATGGTGGGTGTTGTTACGGGCCATGATATCCCAAACTGGAACCTGGCAGGCAGCAGTTCTCAACTTCGGCCAGATCATTGAATGTCGTCTCATTTCCGTAACCACAAGGTCGTTATTATGTATATATGTACAATACGCAAATTATTTTGAAATCATGTATCACACACCGGTTTCGATATGATATAGTACTCCACAATAGCAGCTGGCTACTGGTACTCTATTACTATTCTCTACCGACCTCACTTACATGTTCTCTTACCGTAGTTGCAGACATCATCTCGCTCCATACATGACCTTAGTCGCTAATGTTATGACCCTTCTGGACTAGAGAGCATTGCAATACCAACGTCCGGCTGAGACCGATTACTAATAGTTGTTACATTCAACTTCGACGCTCTCTACTCTATGTCCCTGTCCCCTGTCCCAATGTGAACAAACCCACTTACTTACTGCGGAGCAGTTGGCAGCGTAAAACTTCTCATACACGGCTTTTCATTGTTCGAATCTGACAAAGATAGTTAGGCCAGTTTGGTTTGAGTGTAGTTCAGTCTTCCTGGCTTCTCTCTATTGCTCTATCTCCCAACCAGACTCTGACCTAGTAGTCTGACATAGTGGAATTTACGGGTACACTATGGTGAAATACAGTATGGATTATGAGATACTCAACGCGACGAACGGCGGCGGTACGGCTCCGACAGGGCGGAGCATCCCGTTTCTGACTGATCAACTGGGCCGTGCACTCGTCAGCCCCACCGTGTCCAATCAGAAGATGACGGAACACTTTTTGCGCGGCGACAAGCTCACACGGGTTCCATGAAATCTTGATCTATCACACCTCAACACCCAACTACAAACGTCGACAAGGGCGACCACACCTTCGAGTGCCAATCTCAAACAATTTCCGACCCTTCACGTCATCCAGCCAGACCCTTTCCAAGCACACTACACAATCCGCCAAAATGGTCCAACTCGTAGAAGTTGAGGACGAGCACTTCCAGCAGCAGCAGCCGGGCCCGGAGGAGGACGAGGAGGACTTCACCGACACTGGTACGGGCACACGCACCTCTTTCTTTCCCCGGATCCATATTCCCACCGTTCTTTGCCAGCCACCGAAGCACAACATCATCAATCAACCTTTGCTAACCCCGCCCCCCTTCCCCCCCCCAAAAAAATAGACTCCGAAATCTCCGTCGACTCCAACTACGATCCCACAGACGAGACCCTCGCCGACCGCCTGGCCGCCTTGCGGGACATGGTACCCGCCACGGCGCGCGGCTGGATGTACCACAAGTACGAGCGGACGACGTCGGCGATCAAGTCGACGCTGTCGTTCGCGGGGCGCGCCGCCTGGACCATCAGCGTCAGCGCGCTGCTGGTGGGCGTGCCGTTCGCGCTGGCGTACGGCGAGGACCAGAACTTCGCCGCCATGGAGCAGGAGCAGCGCATGCGCGAGCTCGGCGGCGAGGTGTTGACCGCCGCCGGCGGTGACGGGACCCAGCAAAAGGGCGGCATGACGGCCGAGGAGATCGGGGCTGCCCTCGGTGGTGGCGGAGGGAGGTCCGAGGCCAAGGCCGCTCTCTAAAAAAAGAAATATGAGAACAGGGGGTTCTGGTATAAAGATTGAAAGGGAGGGGGATGAAAGGGTGGGATAGAGGAACAGAGACGAATGGTCGTACGGCCCGTGATCAGGGAGGGGAGAGGACTCTCTTCTCCGGCGTATCTGGTCGATCGGGTTGGTTTGACCTCATCTAGCAGCGTCGCAGTCTTTTAAGACCTGGATTAAGACGGGCCGGTCAGATCGGCGGGTGGCATCGAGGCGGATGAGAGTCTCATCACTTCACTCACTCGACCGGCACACGACAGTTTTTCCTGCCGCGGGTACACGGAACACACACTGTGCGGCTACCTCCTCTTCATTGCTTTTCCCTTTCTGTATATGTATATTTGTCTCACTAGTCCCGGCGTGGACCCGGCGCGGAGGCCTCTCCATTGTTTAATGCTCGTACCTGGCATATGTTACCCATATCATTTAAGGTAGAAGCGGGGAAAAGGATGGATACCGGATGATGGGTGATGGGTGATGAACAGGGATGGGAAGATATGTAAATTACGTTATGACTCTCATCTCCGGCCAACGTGAACAAGGTAAACTCTTACTCCACCGTGTTAGCATACAACTATACGTCATTCATGTGGCATCCTTTTCAGCTTGGGGTAGATCGTGGAAGCAACGCACTGTCACGGTCAATCCTTCTTGAGCCCCCAAAGATCGAAGAGAAAGCCAGTCCAAAGCAAGGCTTGACAACTGCACCAGACAACGTCTGACACATCCTGTTCTGTACAATACAACTCACTAGGTGTAGCTACTTTGTACACAAGGGGAAACATTTGGCCGGCTAGCCCTCCTGGAAATCGACTTCATCAGCCTCCAAGTTTCCTCTCCCTCCTCCCGCCATTCCTAAATCCTCTCCATCTTGAGTTTTATTTTCCACCATATGGGAATAGTATGCCTCACCCTATCCTCAGACCAAGGCAAAGGCCAATAGAAGTAATGAAACATGCTGGGAAAAGCCGTCGCAGAGACAGTGGTATCACAAAATGCGGAAAGGGAAGGGGTGTCCGGTTGTACGAAGAAGAAAGGCATTTTCGGGTGCACATCAACAGCTGAGGCGAGAACACACCGGGTCTACAATTGGTATGGGAGAAAGCAGGATGTGGAAGAGAAGCGAAGAGGAATAAGAAGTAGAAAGAAGGCTGGTGTTGGGAGAAGGGGGTGTTAAACCTAGTAAGGAAATGTGTGGTTGCCGAGCCGTAGGCGATGCCCTTCCCTCGCCTGTGGAGTGACAGGCCGGTAATGGGCCGAGAGGGATCATGAGGGGGGGTAGTTAACATCCGAAATTGGAGTGGTTGCGGTGAGCCTCCTCGAGGACTGCATGATGGGTTAGCATCGACCCCTGTTGAGTGGACAACATAGCGACATACTGTGCAAGATGCTCATCTGACCGGCCCGGTCCTCGCAAGCGATCTGAAGTCCGCTGCCATCCACCAGGTCGAGGACAACGCTGTTCGGCAGCTCCTGCAGCTCCACATCCGGAGCATATGGGGGCTTGAAGTCGCTCATGTGGTACCGCTTGACCATAGCTCCGAGCCGGTCCTTGCTAGTCGGCAGCATGGCCGTACCCTGCACCGCGCTCAGGATCAGGAACCCTTGGCTGTCGAGGCAGATGCTCCGGCGCTTCCACAGGAGGTTGTCCGGAAACTGGACATTGACGTCGCCCATGAACGCGACGATGGTGGGCTGGGACTGGGCAGCAGCGCCAGTCGCGGTGCCGCCCCTGGATGCAGCCTCAACCTCGGCGGCGTTCTCCTCGGCCACGGTGGGCGAGATCGACGGAGCGGCATTCTTCCGTCCGGTCACGAGCGTGTTGGAGAGGCGCCGCATAAACCGGGATGCACGGCTGCCCTTGCTTTGGTTCGGGCTGGCGGGACCAGAGCTGCTGTTGCTCTTGGTTTCAGCGTCCGCATCAGCGCCGCCCTCGGCGGTCCGAGCAGGAGACAGGACCGTGGCATTCTGGTCCGTTGACGAGCGCCGGCTGCTGATGCTCAGGCGCCGAGCCAGAGAACCAGTCTGATTGATTGACGGCGGGCGAGTGGGGGACCGTGAGGGTGCGGTAACCGCAGGAGAGGCCAGACCCGGCGTGTTGCCCAGGTTATCTGTGGATGGCGACTTGGCGCCCTTGATGAAATCCTTCACAACCGTGAGAGACGAGCGGCGTCGAGGGCGCGGTCCATCGGAGCCTTGCTGGCTTTCAGCCTTGTCCTCCTGAGATTGCTTCGACAACCGTCGCTCCAACAAGGACTGCTTCGCCTGGACCGCAATTTCCCGTTCCAGTGTACGCACTGACCCGCTCCGTGACGGAGCACGGTTCTGTACATCTACCACCAACGGCGACTGCTTCAGCTCAAGGGGGCCATAATCTGCCGAACCTGGCTTTGGCTCGGGGCCTCTTGGATACGGCTGGTTGGGGTCTCGCACGATCCGGGCTGTCACCTGAACCGATTCGGGCCTGCCTCGGGGAGGCATTCCCCCTTCGAACATGGAAAGTCGATTCACCAAGGATCCGGCCCGACCACGTCCCATGACCCTGGTAGCATCGGGGGACGACCCCCTCGATGGCGGGGGAGAAGGCGTCTGAACCATTGTTAACGAGCTAGCCATGTCGGCCACGGATGCCACAGACGGCGGCCTCGACGGCTCCCGAGTGCCAGCTTTGCGGACGGCGAAGAAGGTTGTAGCGGGCCGCTCCTTCGGCGCCGCCGTCTCTACAGGGGCAGCACTGCCAGAAAGCTTTTCCAGTGCCTTGATTCGTTGCGCAATGCTCCCTCCCAACTTGGTGCTCTTGGGCCGCAGGTCTGTTGGCGTCTGCGGCTGAGAAGTCTTTTGCAGGTACGCAGCACTAGACGAGGCCGACCTTGGCGCGCTCACCGGCACTTCGCCGGGAGCCAGGTAAGAGCTGCGGACCGGGTTCGATGCCGTTCTATTAAAAGGCGGACGGGGCCCGTCGGGGCCAATCGTGGCTCTCTTGGAACTCGGATCAACCGGGAAGAATGGGGATATTGGCGACTTGGACACGGTGATCGGCGTTGCCTGCTGCACAGTTGCAGATTGCAACTCATCCATGAAGCCATCGTTATCCAGCATGCTGATGACCGAGCGCCGCTTGTCATGATCTGCGCCATCAAGGTCCGTTCGGATAGGCTCAGGGAGCTTCCTTCCCTTGGAATCCAGGCCAGACTGCTCACTGGTCTCGGTGGCGTCAGGAACATTATCCTTCTCCGGAACCGGCGGCGCCGATTCGCCGACGCGCCACGAATCCACATCCGGGGCTTGGGTGATAGGCGAAGGAAGACATTGGGTAGCAGCGCCAGTAGAAGACTTGGACTCCTGGGTAGAGAACTTGGAGAGGGGAATGCGTAGTTGCGATGACGGCGCCTTTCCCTCCTCGCCAATCCCGGCTCCAGCAGACCTTGTCTCCCGGGGATAAGGGGCCGGTGCCGACTGTTCGCCTGGCTTCGCTGGCGATGCATCGCCTGCACTCTTTTCCACTTCGGCTGGCGGTGCCAATACCCCGGACGAAGATGTCAACGGCGAAGACTCAGTAACCGTGTCAACCGCTGCTGTACCCGAGGCAACGGGTTCTTTCTGTTCGGCCCCGTCCTCAGGTGCCATGGAAGGGCCTTCTCGAGTTACACCATCTTCGAGCGGCGGCGCAGTGATGGTTGCTTGAGACTGCCTGTCGTGAGACACCGCTAACTTGCTACCACCGGCTCCATCTTCTCCGCCCTCCCAAGCCGAAGGCTGATGCCGACCGAGAGCCGTCTCGTCTGTTGATTCGGACAGAGAGGACGCCTGGGTAGAATCGCCGGTTTCCGATGTAGCCAGCGGAGAAGCAGGCTGGGAATCCGTGTGGGTATCCACAGAGGTATGGTCTGTACCGACGTCAACTCCGGAATCAGCCTTGAAAGCTGTGGCAGGATCATCCGGCTGCCCGTCATTATCACGGGAGGCCTCCTCTACCAACCCGGCATTTTCTGCTGTCTCAGCTTCCTGCATCTCCTCCGGAAGGCCGGGAGTGCTCGGCGCAGATGGTGTCTCGCTAGCTGGTACGTCAAGCGTCGACTGCAGGCTCATCAACTTCTTTTTCTCTCGCAGCTTCATGGCTTTCAGAAGCCGCGCTTTTTCGGGCGTCATGGTACTCTGCTTATTCGGAGGGGCAGCAGCAACAGGTGGGTTGACTTTGAGTGCTGCGGTGGCGGTGACTGCGGCTTGTGCGTCGCTGTTGGTGCTCGGTTCGGCGGATTCGTTGTCGACGACTTTCGAGTCCGTGTCAGCCGCAATTGCCGCCTGCAAACGATCCTCCGCCTGTTCTTTGATGGGAGATTCCGGCGCTTCTTCGTCCTGGCTTTGGGAATGAGAGCGAGCCTTTCTGGAGCCTTTGGAGAAGGACTTCAATCCGGCAGGTACCGTGGAGACAGGTCGGTGTGCCGCACCGCCAGCAGAGGAGCGTGGGCGCCCGGCGAGATCGGCAGAAGGTCTTGGGCCAACTTTCACTCGCGGCTTTGAATACGGGTAAGAAGTCGTCAAGTACAAGTCAGTTCGTGACGATTGGGACGACATGCGACCACCATTCTCATCAAAGGACTTGGTCGGCGACGACGGCCTCGGGACACCCGTGAAACTTGGAGGGTCGAGTTCACCGGCAAAGCGTGCAGCTTCTGGCAGCCTGGCAAGGTCCGCATTCAGCGTGACAGGAGGCTCGGCGGCCGAAACTGTCGGCGACCTTGGTCCCTCCTCCTCTCTGACAATCGACTGGCGCTTTCTTTCCCGCTCCTCTTCCTCCTCTTCTTCCGCAATTTCCATCAAGCGTCTCCGACGCAGCGAGCTTGTCGAGGAAGATGTCGAACCAGACGCAGCGTGCAAGGAACAAGCAGCTGAGAGCTTGGTGTCTTTGAGCTCCTTCGAATCGGCAATAGAGAAGGTGGTGTCATAGGGTGAGAAGCGGTCACAGACGGCATCGAAATGGACAGTCACTCGTGCTGCGGGAAAGCTGGGTTAGCTTTTGTGCTGTTGAAGCGCCAAGGGCTCGGGTGCTAGGAACCATACCTTGAATTAACCTGGAACAATCCTCGGGCAGGTATTTGATAATGACATTTCGCCGTCTGTATCTGAGAAAGCCGTACAGCGGCGACTTCTCCTCGTATTGTGATATGTTGTTTCGAATCTCAACAATACCGCCGTTGCCCCGGCCAAGCAGCTCGACTTCATCACGAGTGGCATACTTCAACAAGAGCCTGTCCAAGAATCACGGTCAGCATCGGCCAAGAGAGAGTGCTCAAAGCGCCAGTAAAGGTGCCACAATCTCCTTTCGCCTCCAGGTGGCACAAAAATATCACAAGCAACGAGAACGACAGATCAGGAACATACCATCCTCCGGGTTCCGCAACTGCCGCCTCATGGGCCTCCTTGACTCGAGCATCGTCCAACCCATTCAGCGACATCTCAGACCAGCGCCTTGAGCCACCAGTTCCGTCTCTTTTTTAATCCGCGACTGCGGGGTATAAAGATTGTATCTGATGAATCAATGTATCGGCCGAGTTGGCGTCGCGTAACTGCAGCAAACGGCCGGCTCAGGGGTTATCAGCTGCAGAGCTGCTCGGCGGACCCTACATGTAGCGATTGGCCCGTCGGAAAACGTGCAGTGAATGTTGCGAGGTTGAGGCACCCATAAACATGGAACGGATTCGCGCCAGGTTGCAGCAGATCTCAGGCGGATGTTCAAGGTCGGACAGCCGCCCGTATGTACATACCAGGCCGGGGCTTCACTTCCAGGTTCCCAAATAAACCGTGGAGCTCCAGGCCTCAACCGTTGTCAATCTTGGCCGAGAGTGACGCACCGACCGAGGGCAAGACTCCAACAAGAAGCGTAACACTGCTTCAATCAAAGAAACCAAGTGACAAATGAGAGTAAGAGTAAACCCCAGGAAAACAGAAAGGATAATGAGCGTGCTGGGTCGGATCGGCCGCTTCAGTGTCGAAGGGGCCAGCAGTGGAAGGCCGTAAACAATCACGGTCCTTCAAAGATGCGCCTGCTTGCAGACCAGACGACCGACGGGTAAGGGGGCCGACCGAAAAAGTTAGGGGAATGAGGGGATGCACTCGAAAGGAGGTGAATGGCATCCGCGAATTGGCAGTTCGCGAGAGATTTAGCGTTCCACAGGGGTCCAAGCGATGCCTGCAGCTGATTGCACCGGTGGAGTGGGCTCGTAGCCGGCGATTGTCCGAGCAGGGGTTGGACAGTCCGTCCATGCGGGTTTCTAGAAGATGGAACTCCAATGATTTAAAGTTCAAGTTGTTTCATGATACCTTAGCTACCAGCTTGTTAGAGAGGCAAAGACAGGCATTGGGTACACAATTGATGCCGCAAGCTCCAGCAACCTTCCGAATGCTTTTCCTGATCTCTCACAGAATGCCGCGCTCCCCGAAGTGTCCCAAGGGATGAGATGTTGTGCAGTCGAGTGGTCCTCAGTCTCCTCATCCTGAAGCTCTCCCCAGTCCCCGCGGTGGAGCCGGAGCCCCTGTCCAAGCAGCCTAACTGCTTTGGGAACCACGGTACATTTCCATGAGCTCGAGTCCCGTTTCAGACTTCTTGATGAGTGTGGCCAACAACCTCTCAGTTCGCATTTTGAAGGGTGATGACGGGAACACGGGCATCACCAGTTGCACGCTCTGGCGTTGCTAAATGTCGAGCACCCGACCTGCGCCTCCTCTACCGGGTAACTCTCTAAGTCAGGTGCTCAACGGAACCCTCGCTCGTGTTAATCCGGCCAGTCACATTGTACAGGATGGTCCAATACTATAACTTTGCCAGGAAGGAGACTTCTAGTTCAGCACTCCGTAGCAGAGCACGAAACCAAGTCCACGGGAAGGAAGAGAAAGAGTTCATTGCTTTCATGTTCCCTACACACTGGGTAGAAACCACCAACCTAGACACCAGATGTCGAGTCTGCCGTCCATGTTGGAGTACAACCCGTGCGAGCAACATATGTACACCTAACCTACAAATACTGAAAGCAACACAGGGACGTTGCCAAGGCATCCCCATCTACGCGCTCCTTGTTTCTCTTTCCGCCCAACCATTATTCATAGAGCTGCTTCGTTCCGTCATGCCGTATCCCAAAGGGAAACCGAATACTTCGTGCCGTAAAACAATGCCAGTGCTATCTTGACCCTCTGCCCCATTACGCAATCATAACAACTACCAACGCCTTCCCGCTACCGGCCTTCTTCAAAGGGAAAGGAGCTACAAGGTAACTCACGGCCCAAAGGTTGCTCAACGATTCGGCGTGACACCCTCACTTGTGCTCCTCAGCGAGTCCACCCTTGCCGTCTTCATTGAGCGGTGTCACCTCCGACGAGTCGTCGTCGATCGAAGCCGGTTCCTCCTCCACAGGCCCATCGATCACCGTCGGGGTGAAACCCTTGTCTCCGCTCTCGTGCGCCGACGGATGACCTTTGCCGCCGTTGCTCGCCGAGATTCCCACCGCGGGAGCGCCGCTCTCAGCAATCTTGGCTTTGGCCGTGCCGACAAGCTTCTCTGTCTCGGTGATCTTACCCGAGGCAGTAACAGCGTCGCCCTCGACGCCGATAGCCTTGTCCTTGTTGTTCTGGTTCTCAATGAGAGCCTGCTTGTCGAAGCGGACAATCATGCAAGAAAGGTTGTCCGTGCTGAAGCGGGAGAGCGCGTGGTCTACCAGAAGCTTGGCCGCCGCCACCGGGTCCTGGACGTTACGAACGAGATCGACAGCATCCTGGTCTGAACATACGTCCCAGAGCTGGCACAACAGTTAGCATACTCTCCAGTCCTTGTAAGCCGCTATCAGCCCAAGAAAACGTACCCCATCGCAAGCGATAATGAGAAACTCGTCCAGGTCCGGCTGAATGACTGTCTCAGTGGTGTAGGGATGCCCGGTGACGAGATCCTTAAGGTATGTGTCACCGAGAGCGCGGGTCACAGCAAGCACCCCATTGACTCGATTATTCAGTATCAATCCACCGGCGTTGGTGATCCGCTTTCCTTCGTTCTCGTCGCTGCCCTTGTGGTCGTAGGATAGACGCAGGGCCTTACCTTGACGGCAAAGGATGATTCGGGCATCGCCGACATTGGCAGTGTAAAGGACGCGTTGCCTAGTTGCCGTGTTCTTTAACCTCGCATGAGCTGCTTCTGGAGCTGCCAGTGACGACGAGGACGCCTCCTCAGACTTGGAAGCTTCCTCGGCTGCCTTGGCGAGCGCCGGTGCGATAGCTTGGGATCCGGTTGCGGACAGGTTGCTGGGAACACGATCCTCCCAGCGCAGCACGGCGATGGCAGCTGTGCAGCCGCTGTTCTTAAGGGGCAATTCCCCCAGCTGCTGATCGACAGTGGTGAAGGTCTGATCAAGCAGCTCCGGTATAGGAGCATTCGGGTTTTTCTTGATGATTTCCTCCAGGATGATGTGCAGCTTCTTCCCGCACCAGTCCGCTGCGAAATTGCCCGCATGTCCGTCGAAGATGGCAAAATAGCCATTGTCGGTCTCTATTACGTCCTGCTCCAGGACATCACCACCCTGTCTCTTGTCCGCATCGGCGCCGGGCGTGGGCTGCGTCTGGCTACCGCTCTCGGTCCCTAGCACGGGCGCTGGGGTATGTAAGAAGTTGTAGAGAAAGGCGTGGGTATCCTCCATGGTGCGTCTGCACTTCTTGTTCCTATCCTCCCAGACTCCAACTCTGAAGGTGGATCGCGGTCCCGGAAGGGACTCGCCAGCAGCGTTGTTGTGCTGGCCCTGGGGCACGGCAAGAGCTTGGTCCTGCTTGCCCAGCTTTTGCAAGGGGGTCTGGTTAGTCGTCTTTGAGTCAGCAGCAGGATCGCTGTTGTTGGCACGACTCCCAACTTGAGTAAACAGAGTGTTCTTGGCTTGGGCTATTAGGCTGCTGGCCTTGCCGCTCACCCCGCTGCTACGCCGTTTCTTCTGTTCAGCCGAGCTGGATGCACTCGGAGGGCTGCCATTTCCGCTTCGCTTCTCGCCGCTCGCAGCCTGGTCCGAACTCTTGATTGGTGTCGGAGATGAGCGGTCGGGGTCGCCGACGTTTGTTTCCGGAGAGGTTGACTTGCTGCTGCTCTTGTCGCCGCTCTTGTCCTTCTGGGCGCTGCCGGTCGAGTCGGAGGTAGCGGCCGTTTCGGATTTCGAGCCTCCGGAGCTCGAATTGACACCGAACATCCTATTCAGCAGACCTCCGTGGGAGGAGGGACTGCGGCGCTTGCTGCCTGCCAGGTTGGTGGGTGAGAGGGATAATGGGATAAGTTACGTGATGAGGCGCGCGAAGTAGCCGTGCGAGATCGAGCCGTATAAAGTAGTCTGTGCGGGTGGTGATGTTGCGATGAATACCTAGGTGTTGGCACCCGATGACAGTGCCTGATCCGCTAATGCGTTGCTGAATGCGCAGTTCTTGGTAGGCTCAGGTTGCTGATGCTCTTGATAAACTCAGTTATTTGTCGAAAGTCACACCAGAAATGCAGTCGCTTCTCGGAGAGGGAAGTTGCGGCGATGTTTGGCTAGCTTTTCTCTTCCGTACCTGGTGGATTAGTGCCTGGTTTTAGACGAGGGGTCTGATGATGCGGCCGGATGATGTAATGAGAGCTGCGACAGAGAAGCTAAGGGTCCAAATCCCAGTTCCAATTTTCCTTTGAAGGCAGCGCAGTCAGTTGGTAAGGATGGATCGCAGATGGGTACTTGAGATAATTAGAAACGAAGCAGTAGAGATCAAATCCATCCGCACCCGACGGCGCTGCACTTTGGGAAGGCTAGAGCCTGGGGCGAGACCCAACTGAGAGTGGGCGGCCACCTGCGTCGGTCGGAAATGCCCCTCCTCTGCTGTTGTTGTAAGCGGAATGCGTGACCAGGGGCAGGCTGTGCAGAAGAGTCTCATTCACATCCCCTGCACCTCAGTGTGGGGCTGCCAATAACTACCTAACTGCTCAGGACAAGGACACCGAACAGAGTATCTACATAAGGTACCTAGGTACCTAGGCAATGGGAAGTTTAAATGTCCCTGTTCGTCTTCTTCCAGAAGGATAACTGGAGGTAGGCAGTAGACTGCGTGGGGAGGAAGAAGTTCCCAAATAGTGTACATGGGTGCTTCTTTCTCAAAGGTATGGCAGCAAGCGCGTTTGATATTACCGCCGGTTCTCGGGTCAGACATGGAAAGGCCGGACTTGAAGCTGACTGGCCGTCAGATTACTCCCGAGTTCAGGTCGGCGCTTCAAGCTGTTGTGACCCAGCAATGCAGATGCAGGGGAGATGCAGCCATTACACTGATCATGATCCAGATCTCACTTCCTAGGTGCCTATCCTGATAGAAAAACGCTCATGCCTCATCAGTCCCATCTAATAACAACAGAAAACGCCAGTGCTCTGCGGCCAACACCTCAAGAGACCAAGGCCACCAGCTTTGTCGTCCTGGTTGCTGTCCGAAAATCCAACAAACCTCAGGTACGTCTTACTCCTTAAACTCCAAAGTGCCCTGCGCGCCCATCCCAGTAACACCATGATCTTTTTCGTCCATTGGTTGCAAAGCATGCATGGCGCAGATCCTAGGCCACGAGCTGTATCCCCAACAAGCTCTAACTTAGATAATGCATCATGCCCCTAGAGGGCCTCAACTATGGTCATGATACCCCAGGTTCCATGAATAGACGGCGGAGAGATTCCGCATAGCGTTGCGCAACCCTTTCGAGGGCGGCCTCTAGGGGCAGACAAGTCGCGGCGTTTGTTTTGCATGGTACTCAAGTATTACCATCAAATAGTCGTGGCAACCGCGAGGGTCTCGCTCGCCTCATCGTCTTAAGCTGTCGAGTCTCGCTTGAAGATCGTCGTCGCCTGGGTTTGCGCCGCCGCCGCCGCCACCCACCGCCTGAGCAATTTTGGTCTCCGCCACTGTATTCGATTGCAAACCCGAGGGGGTCTCGCCAAGCTAAAGCACACGGAGGGTCAGTAAAGGATGGTGGAGAAGATGGATAGGGGAATATGCATACCGCTTGGCTCAGATCGACTCCGATTTCTTCGAGTACCTGCTCCACTACCTCATCCCCCTCCTCCTCAAGGCCAACATCCATAGCATCGTCGATAGCGTCGTCCATCATCTCTTGCCGCTGCTCCATGATGTCGTTCTCGCGCTCAAATTCCATGGCGATTCGCTGGAGGGCCGGAAGATTCATAGTACGGTTCATGCTACCGAGCGCCATCGTCGCGCCTTTCATGGCTTGCATCATCTGCTCATTTGTGCGATATGTCTGGAAGCGGAACGATGTCAGACTGCGCGAAGACAAACTTCTTGTACGGTGGGGTCAAACTAACCTGTAGGCGGAGGGAAACCTTCTGCAGTTGACTTCTCATCCCGTAGAACTTCTCAATGTACCTAGTCGCGCTTAGTTAGCGGTTGACCAGGGCGCCGGAGGAGGGTTAAGACACACCTCCTGGTGCGGACGAGGTCTTTGGCCTGGACCTTGCAAGCGCCCATTTGGCCTTTCTGGGCGCTCTGGCGGATCTGGGAAATGAGTGTCTTCTCTTGCTTTTCGAGTTTGACCCTCTGTTGATCCAACTCTCGAATAGCCTTGTCGAGAAGTCGCTGGTTCTTGCGCAGACGCTCCGCCGGCGTCATGCGCTTGCCGAAAGCCCATTCAAGAATCTACGGAGCTGTCAGTCTCGCCCTGTCATTGCGCGGGTTGAAAACTTGAGGAACGCACATTCATGGTGGCGGTTCGGTCAACCTTGCCGAGCTGCACGATCGCCGTGACTACCAGATGCCGGAAGGGAGTATGAGAAGATGGTTGAAGTTGGCAATGCCAAGCGGCGGTTCGTCACTGGGTGATCAAGGCACCGAACAGCCTCATTGCCAAATGGGGAAGTGTGGTGCTCTGCGCGCCGTTACATGTACCGTAAGCGCACGGTATTTGGACATGGGACGGTTCGCGACGATGAGTTCCTACGGATAACGTTATTGCATGAGTGTTTCAACGAGTGCAACTCCGGCCACGTAGCGAGTTATGCACTAACCCTGCATTCCAGCTTGCGGGGGTCCAGCAAAGCTTACTCCCCGTTATTAGCGCAAGTGGATCTTGATAGGTACAGTAATGCGGAAGTTCATCCGAATCATGCGGTGGAAGGCGACGAAGAAAACCGGAAATTATACGACTTCAAAATTTCGACTATGAACTGCAGCGACGAGGCACCGTCAACTTTGCTCCGTCAACTCTGCTCGACCGTTGCTAATATCTGCGCCACCCACAATGAGCAAGGAATACTTTTCACCCAAGGGCAAGGCGGTACCGAGGTACGCCGACGATGACGAATTCGAAAGCGCGTCGAGTTCGAGCCGCCCGAGTGCCCCAAAGCCCCCAGCGGCATCCGCCGCACCCGGGTACATGACTGTTGGCACCGGCTCAACATCGCAATACGCTGCCCATCTTCAAGCGATGCTCGAGCAGGACTCCGGGTATGGCGGCAGCAATGCTGGTGACGAAGTAAGCCCATCAATGTCCGCTGCGGGTGCGTGGGATCCTGCGATCCATGCAGACAGGCCAATACATCCCCAGGCTTCCTCCTCACCAGCCCACATCGCGACCGCCGACCATCGCTCCCAGGCGTCAGCTGTTCATCAGCTCTGGTACAACCAGCACCGAGCGACTCTTGGCCGCGCCATCAGCACCGTCGTGGAGCTCTTGAGGGAGCTGCAGGAGAAGAACGCGGTATGGCCCGCCCACTATCCGTCAGTGCAGCGTGCTACGCTCGATGCACCCTCGCAGCCGACCTCAAGGCCGGGGATTCACCAAGCATACTCGACCGCTGGTGATCTCGCCATCGCGCCATCCTTCCCTACGCCGGCCCCTCCGCTCCGGAGAGCTATGACGTCTTTGGAGGATGTCCAGGCCGAATCCAGCAGGGCTGCGGAGACCAGAACGCCCACCGAGCCTCGACTCGTCACACCGCAGATCGCCCAAGAATTCTCGGTGTTCAAGTTGGACCTGAAACTCGGCGGCCTGCACCAGGCGGAGCTCGTGCACTCGTTGGAGAAGGCCTCGATTGCCTCGCTATTAGACGGGAAGATACAGTCGAGCATCAAGCATCTACAATCCCTCAGGGAGCGCATAGAGGATACGTCAAGCAAGGTACTGGTGACAGGCGATCTGAACGCGGGGAAATCTACCTTTTGCAATGCATTGCTCCGCCGCAAGATCCTGCCAGAAGACCAGCAACCCTGCACAAGCATCTTCTGCGAGGTTCTCGATGCGAGGGAGAACTGCGGCATCGAAGAGGTTCACGCCGTTCACAAGGACGCCATCTATGACCGCCACGATGAGTCCACCTACGACGTCTATTCGCTCAAGGACCTGGAGAAGATCGTGGTGGACAACACGCTGTACATGCAATGCAAGGTTTATGTCAAGGACGTACGGACCATCGATGAATCGCTGCTAAACAACGGCGTGGTGGATATTGCGCTTATCGATGCGCCTGGGCTCAACATGGACACCACCAAGACCACAGCCATCTTTGCGCGGCAGGAGGAAATTGACGTTGTTGTCTTCGTCGTCTCCGCCATGAACCACTTCACCCAGACGTCAACCGAGTTCATCAGAGCCGCGGCGGCCGAGAAGGCCTATCTTTTCATCGTGGTGAATGGCTACGACAATATCAGGGATAAGGAACGGTGCCAGAAGTTGATTCTCAACCAAATCAGGACTCTGAGCCCTGCTACGTTCAAGGAGTCGGCCGAGCTGGTGCATTTCGTATCAAGCACAGCTATCCCGATGGCGCCGGCTCCGCCAGGGTGTCCCGGAGGAGGCGGGTCTGGCAGTTCGAGTGGTGGCGGGTTCGACGATCCGGGCGATGACGATCCAAAGGGGAAGGGCAAGAACAAGGAATCGCTCCGCGACTTCTCGGCCCTCGAACAGTCCTTGCGCAGGTTCGTGTTAGAGAAACGGGCGCGCTCCAAGCTGGCTCCGGCAAAGACATACCTGATGAACATTCTGAACGACGTAAGCGTGCTGGCTGCGGTCAACACAGAAGTCGCTCAGTCGGAGTTCGACAGGGTCAACAAGGAGCTGCAAGAGCTTGAGCCTCAGCTCGAATCAAGCAAGCGGGCAAGGTCCGAGATCAGCGAGAAGGTTGACCAGACCATTGAGCAGACGTGCAAGGATGTGTACGACTACTCCCGCTCGACAATCAGCTCGGCCATCGCTCACGCCGGCGAGGGGAATCTCGGCATCCCGTACCCAGGGTTGTTCGGCGCATTCCAATATGCTGACGAGCTTAAGGAGGCCATGCTGTCGCAGATTGCGGCATCGGTTGTGCAATGTGAGGAACATGCTCGCACCAAGACCGTCGCCGGTGTCAATATGATCAAGCAACTTGGAATCCTCCATCTGGGAGATGAATACGAGAATCTCAACTTCAAGTCAGACGTCATGTTCCAGCACAAGAAGCATGCCCTGGCTCGCCAGGTGGATATTGCAACAGAATTCTGGGATTTCGTCGACTGGTCCACGCTGCTGCAGAAAGAGGAGAAGGCGGGCATGGCCTTGACAGTTGCTGGCGTCGTCGGTACGGGCGTGCTCAGTGGCTATGGCCAGCTGAATATTGCCTTCCGCGTTGCGCAGCTGCTAGGAAGCGACAACCTGCGCCGCTTGATTGTGCCCGGTGTCATTGCAGCAGGTAAGTCCAGTTGCTAGGTCAACATCCGCCCCAGCTCCGTACCACATGCTAACCCATTTTCACAGCGGCGGCGTCGGCCTTCTACATTCTCAGCCAGATCCCTCGCTCCCTCCCACATCGCCTCAGCGCCAAGATCTCAACGCAGCTTGCGGCCATGGATTATGTCCACTCCAACAGCAACCGTATCTCGGGCACTGTGCGCAAGGTCCTGCTTATCCCGGCCAACTCGCTGCGGGTCGGTCTTCAGCGCTCTGTCGAGCAGCTCGATCTCCGCCGCAACGACACGCTCAAGGTGCGCAAGGAGAGCCACGATGCCCTAAGATACTTCAGCAACCTTGCCCAGAAAAGCGCCCACCAACGCCGCCAGCTCGAAACGGTGGATCTTGACGCACATCCGCTTGGGATTCACAACGGTCACTGAGGGACGGGATGCTTTGTGTGATACCGCGGGCTTGGTATTCGGCGTTTGGAGGTGCTTGTGGTGTCAAAAGCGAACAGCATGCCACATGGTCAAACATGGGCATATAGCATTTCGGGCAACTCGCAGGGTTATCATAGGTGGCGTAAGTTGCTTGAATGATTCCCCCTGGCTCATGAACAAGTCGGGAAAGGTTGGCCGGTAACGATGGAACGAGACTCCGCTCGTTTATTTTTTTCCCTTATATAAGATGTCTCTCCATGTTAGAATACCTTTTGATTTGAGCGATAATGAGTACAAATGAGATTGCTGGACTGCATGGACGAGTAACCCTGTTATACGGCAGGCCGCTAATGCGTTGTTCCCGTCACCCTTCAGTGCAGTCCGATCTAAGTGCCCGTATTCCCGGATGGCCACTGGTGCCTCACTTTTCCATTGCCGTTTACCAGTTCCCTTCACGTGCTGCTCTATTCTATTATACTCACCCTCCCCCCTCTGAGCCAGTGCCGCTGACTAGATGGTATATGTATGACCGGATATCGTGCAGCTCATGGTAGCCAGGTTTTTTCGTCATGGAAAAGAGGAACCCTGACGGCCAGGTACCACAACCGTGCTTCCGCGTAACCCGATCGGATTGCCTTTCTACTCGCTCCAGAGAATGGCCCTCAGTCTCTTCTCGTGCTCTTCCCCCCGAGAATGACGTCCACGCCTTTCCTTACGAAAGCGCAGATCTCTGCTCAATTGAGCCCGAAGTGCCGGGCTACGAGGGCGTACTCGTTCGACAGAGGGCTGCCGAAAACGCCTACATCGTCCGTCTATATATATGTTTGATCCAGTCCCGGTGAGCTGTGCTCTTCCCAATGGTTAGACATCCCTTGCTGGGGCAGGACTTACACTCAGCACGACCACCGTCTTCTCGGCTTCCACCACTCCCCAAAGTGACTGCCCGTCATCATCAGCACGACGTTCTCGGAGCAGCAAGGCCGAAAACCACCACATAAAACATACTGGCTCTCAAACCCGCCATGGATCATCCCGGCATGGACATTGCAGCTCAGACACAGCTCCAACGCGAGTCCCGACCGCCGGACGATGTTCTTCTTCACCCTGTCACTCACATGGATGACGTGCCCGATCCGATCCGGCCGCCAGCCCAGCAGCATGTCGAGCTCCGCATCCGTGGCGGAACACTCGGCCTCGGCAAAATGCAGCGTCATGCCCAGTCCCGGAATGCGCCTCGCCTCTTCGAAGATGGGGACCCAGCGCCGGATCCAGCGGCCGGGTTGTCGCAGAGGTCGATGCCGACAACGCCGCGGCCGAGGAAGCGTTTGGCGAGCGAAAGCACCTGGGACGCTTGCGCGGGTGTGTGGCAGCGGTCGATCTAGAGGAGGAAACACCGCCACCACGAAGGGGAGACGCGTATCAAACATTTCCCACTCACTCTCTGTTGGATGTGCTCGTTCCCTTTGTCTTTCCTCCCTTCTACTCCGTTTCGAAGTTGGGGAATAGAAAGAATAGGTATTGTACCTAGCACTTCATAAGGAAGCAGCATCACGTACCGACAAAATCACTTTGGCCACCAACCTCCTCGGCTCAGACCTGCCTTCCTTTCCCTCCTCTTTTTCGCACTCAAACTCTTCGATGGCGTCCAGAATGGTCTGGACGTAATCAGCCTCCGTCAGCCCTGTGCCCGGCATAGCGCGGGGTGTGGTGCGCAGTTCGAGGTACACTACCCCGTCAGCAGCGAAGTCCCGGAGCACGGAGAGTGTGGCGTAGCGCAGGGTCGCCACGTCGTTGATGAGGTTGTAGATGTACGAGGAGAAGAGGGGGGAAGAGCTGTGATGAAGTGTTAAGTGTTAGATATGCCCATCCATCTTCAGAGACCTAATGTGAGCCTCCCCGGCCAACAGTCGTGCGTGCGTCTTCAGGTCATAGTCGTGTTTCCCTAGGGGCATCTCGACGAGGGGGTCTTGCAGACTGGTCTCCCCCGCGCCTTTCTTAATGAGCCAGATCTCGTGGAGGCATTGTCGGCTGATGCTGTCGCTGAGGTGGGTGTGGAGCTGTTTTCATTCTGTGAATGGGCGTTAGCTAGACACCGCTATCGTGCTGTTGACTTGCACTCTCGGCCGGGTGAGCCGCATTAGTTAAGCGGACTTCGTATAGCTGATGATACCTCAATTTTGGGGAGCGCCTTGTAGTCCACAGCGACGGTCTGAGAACTGGTCATTTGACACGGCGCGGAAGTTATTCTGTATATTGGCTATGGATGGATGGTTTCGTCCCTGGCTAGCATCACATCAGATTCAGCCCGGCCGTCATGCACTGGCGCCGCCTCCCCCAGACTCTTTCTACCGTGGCGCCGCAGAATGCATTCTGCTTCACAAAAAGCAAGTCCACCATCGGGAATTGTCTCATGTCATCGTCAGGTGAAGGGACCCCGAATTCAAAGAACCATCGATTCGGGACGACAGCCCGGAGCAGTGGCAGCCAATTTCCCTGGGCACCAGCCAGGAGTGGCCCCCGGTTTGCATCTCCCGTCTTTTCACGCCACATCGATGCATCTCGCAGGAAGATGGGATCGCCCAGAGCCTATCGGAGCAGCGTGGGTACTCCTTGGCCGCCATCTATCCCCATTGCACACTTTCCTCTATTCTTCCCTTAGGTTCGCCGGACTCACCGTCCGTCTCAACTATCAGTAATCCGTATGTAGGTACGGAATCGATTTCAAAGCCGCTGGAAAACTCCCGAGATTCGATTTTGAAGCTTCCTCTTGGCAAGCCAACCTTGGGCATTGGCCGACGTCCGTGCGCAAAGCTAATGTCCGGCTGTAGCTCCACTACTGCAGGAGGCTTGCCCCGCCGTCCCGACTTAGGTTATCCTTGTCGCTTAATAACAATTCGATACCGCAATGCGAGTGGCCCTCCGCGTCTCCACACTCCTCCCATAAGAATCCACCTTCGTGATTTCATGAACTTCGAGATGATCGGTGGGCATAAGGCTCCTAAGAAATGCTGGACTAGAACGGCGGATGCATTGGCTCCAATTGAGTTCGCTAGTGACCAGCCTGTGAGGCAGCTCGCCCAGACGCCGCTTGTCTGTTAACATTCGAGTTCCCTTGCAGCCTGCAATGCGCCCTGCAACGCTGGACCACGGGCCCTGGTCGTTTACCCCCCCAATCCATTCCCGAATCAGAGGTAGCGCAGGGTAATAATCGCAAATCCGGCCGGGCTCCCGTCCCACTCGCCGAGCTCCTTGACCATTCACGCTCGCTGCACCAAATCTTTTCACTCTCCTGTTATCCCCTTCCCCTTAAACCGCACTCTGCTTCAGGAGAACATCGTGACTGAGCATGGGAAAGCGGTCGCGTTCACTTCAATTTGTTTTCTTCTTTTGAGCGATACCCATTTACGGTTTTGCAGCCGCTTTGCCATCATCAATCCACGAAACCCCGGTCGCCAGCCCCAGTCTCCGCTCTTCCATCCCGTCCTCCGTAGTCATTTCGCTACAATACCTGTTCTCGCCTGCTCAGCTGTTTTGCCCGTCGCCGAGCACTCAACCACTCTAAACCCCGACGATCGATTTTGCGCTCAAACCTAAACTTCATCACCGCCAACGGCAACCTGCGCGTATTTTGCCAATCGCGGTTTGCGCATTCACAACAGAGATGGAGTCAGGTCGGCCAAGCGACGTGTCGCCAGAGGCGATGCAGGCCCGTATTCAGCAGGCACGTCGCGAGGCTGAGACGCTTAAGGATAGGATCAAGCGGAAGAAGGAAGAGCTTGCCGATACGACGCGTGAGTGCCACGGCGATCAATGCCTGGTTGTTGGATTGCGAATACTGACACGTATGATATTATCCAGTACGCGCTGTTGCCTCGCAAGCTCACGAGCCGATCCCCAAGACCCAGATGATGAGGACGAAGAGGACATTGAAGGGACATCTCGCCAAGATCTATGCTATGCACTGGTCGACCGACCGCAGGCATCTCGTATCTGCATCACAAGACGGCAAGCTGATCATTTGGGATGCATACACAACAAACAAGGTCCACGCCATTCCACTCCGGTCATCGTGGGTGATGACGTGCGCCTACGCACCGAGCGGGAACTATGTGGCCTGCGGCGGCCTTGACAACATCTGCTCCATTTATAATCTCAACCAGAACCGCGATGGGCCCACACGGGTAGCCAGGGAACTCTCGGGCCACGCGGGCTACCTATCGTGCTGCCGCTTCATCAACGACCGCAGCATTCTTACCTCATCCGGTGATATGACGTGCATGAAGTGGGACATTGAGACCGGCAGTAAGGTCGTCGAATTCGCAGACCACCTCGGCGATGTCATGAGCATCAGCCTCAACCCGACCAACCAGAACACATTCATTTCCGGCGCCTGCGACGCTTTCGCGAAATTGTGGGATATCCGTGCCGGGAAGGCCGTCCAGACATTCGCCGGCCACGAATCCGATATCAATGCCATTCAATTCTTCCCCGATGGCCACTCGTTCGTAACAGGGTCTGATGACGCTACGTGCCGCCTTTTCGATATCCGCGCGGATAGGGAGTTGAACTTCTACGGCGTAAGTATACCAAAAGATCGATCCCTGGCACCTCAATTCTAATGCATTGTCCAATAGTCCGAATCTATCCTCTGCGGCATCACCTCGGTTGCTACCTCCGTATCCGGGCGGTTGCTGTTCGCAGGTTATGACGACTTTGAATGCAAGGTGAGTTGAGTACCTGTCCTGTTTGGGCACCCATATGATGCTGACTGTTTGACCAAAAGGTCTGGGATGTCACTCGGGGCGAGAAGGTGGGCTCCCTGGTGGGCCACGAGAACCGGGTGAGCTGTTTAGGCGTGTCGAACGATGGCATAAGCTTGTGCACGGGTTCTTGGGACGCATTCGTAAGTCCCATTGTCTGTCATGACAATTCCTGGGGTCTTCAGTTGCTGACAGCCGCATAGCTCAAGGTCTGGGCCTATTGATCGCCCTTACGATGCCGATATGCTCTGCCTTACCGGATAGCCGATCCCATCACGCCACCTCAGAAGACTATCAAGTGCCCCCGCTTTTTTTCTTTGTGGTTTCTAATTCAACCTTGACGACACGCCTGCTTAATCTGCGACCCGGCGTGTGCAGGACGAAGTCACGACGCCCTTTTCCATCCTCCCGATACGCCTCGGTCGTGGCTTGGGAGAGCCAGCTAATCCAACTCAGCAACTCACGGAACATGACCGAATATCTCCGGGCTGCGGCGCCATTTTTCTTCATGTCCTTTTTGCCGATACTTTCTTTGCACCATAGTCGTTTCTGTGGCTTCGTATGGGCGGCTCCTGTATTATAAATGTTATCTTTGTTGCTATCTGCCGGCCAACATTGACCAAAATCATATGATGTGCTTGGTTTTCGGCTCTCTGTCTCGGTTCAGATTTGGCTAGTGAGCCAGAGAGAAAAAGAGAATCGTTGCATTTCTGAGGTCTGGAGGGGGCTTGTTAGATGTTTTGTTGTTCCGGGGTTACTGGCGAGGAGATATCACGCAAGCTTTGTAGGTCCGGCTTTGCAAACTTGTCATTTCGTACCTAACCAACGTTCTTAAACTATTTTCCATAAAGTGGTGTGATGTTGTGAATCATGTCTCTTGGTTTCTAGTTCTATTCGTACTTCTGCGTCCATCTGTTTCTCCCGCCAGTATTGTGTTAAGACAGTGCCGAAAACAGACTAAGAGACAGTTCTCTCTGGATCTTTCCTTCCTTCTGTCTTGTAAGGTATTGGTTGCCGAGCTGGTATGTATAAGATGGCGACGACAGATGGGGTATCTTCTTGCTCCCCCGGATATATCTAGGAAGCCAAAGGGAAACGGAAACGGCCAGTTAAGGGGGGCAGAGTGATGGTCTATACTTCTTTGCTTGGCCTTGCGTCCAGATGTTTTCCAATTTTGGTGGTCGCTCAAGGAGAAGGGCGGTCCTGGTTCCTCGGTTCTTTCAAGAAGCTACCCAGCCAACCTGGCTCGTCAGCTCGGTTTGGGCTAGACTGGGACACGGTTGTTCCTGAGGGCTTCTGCTGGTGGCAATGGGCGGTTGCTAGCTGTTGCTGGCCGCTTTCGGCTGGGTGCCTTCTCTCCAGCCTTGCCTATAGTGGATTTGCAACGCTGGTCTGCATGAGTCTCCTTCTCTTATATCAATCTCATATCCCCTTTTAAGTCAGGACTGGGTGTAGCCTCGCGCCTAGCCGCAACTCAAGCCTTTACGCAGAGCGCGGGAGAACCGTACGAGCTTCTTCAGACGTCGCTTGCCATCTTTCCACTGCGGCATTGAGTACCGTGTGGGGTGCCCTTCTAACAACTCACGAAGGGCCTCTGGGTGGCAGCAGCAATGATGTAGACGAGAAAACAAGTGGGATATTGGGGCCGGAACGAGTCAGACGCGCGTCCATATGACGGAACTACCTAAGGTACGCATCATCCGACTGATCGGATCTAGTGTAAGAGCTTTCCAGTCGAAGAAGACCACACGGAGCTATCGACGGAACGGCTACGTCGTCAACCAGTAATGCTGGCTGCGCATCCTGCCGGACCGAGTCTGCAGGGGTTAGTACAGTGTAGTGGCGGTAGTGTAGGTGATCCAAGCTGTGGAAGTCTTCTGGAAGCCTGGAGGTAAGCCGAACCGTTCGTCAACAAATGCGGACGACCCGCAATGCAGGCTGTCACCAAATGTTTCGGGAAACAAGGGCCTTGGCAAACCAGGGGGAGGATGAAACAGGGCATGAAACGCCAGGAGCACGGGCTCGCCTTGTCGTTATGACCTCAACTTCCAGCACGTCAAAGCAGTTCCTGCGCTACCAGATCTCTGGTGTCGCCGGGGTTCCCGAGCATCTACAGATCCTCTGCGCCCTTGGGCTTCGAATGATCTCTGAAGAATCACCGACGGTGTCTGCTTCAAGTCGAGCCGTGTCTTCCCGATGTCTCGAGTTGCCGATGCAACCAGGGCCACAATGTGTGATTCTAAGTAACGGTTAAGGAAGTATATGCCTGGTTTGGCCACTCGTGCTTCGTGTTGTTATCGGCTTGACATTGATCCCCGGCTTTTGTGTGTGGACAATGCAAGCACGCGGGGGAGGATCCCTTGTTGATATCCTGTGCCCCTCATAGCCCCCCGTCATCCGCCGCGATCCTCGCGGCCTCTACCTTGTAAGTGAAGACGTCGTCTTCCCACCTAGGTAGAGAGAGAACTCAAGATACGTACCGAGGTAAACTCGTCCCATTCCATTCTGAACCACGGAGTCGCTTAACGGCGCATAGAGATGTTTGTCGAGTACTACTGTACGGTAGTACGGATAGTGTAAGGTAGGTTCCATCATCCGAGTGCGGCAAACCCGTCCCACTTCGCATTGTTGCAGTCTTCATGATCCCTGTCAGCCACGCGACCACATGTAGTCCGCGCAAACCGCGCCTCTCTTCTGCTGATCCCACACTCCTTCGACATCCCACAACATCCAAACTCCCTTTCCCTTCGCCCCAGGAATCGCATCCGCTGCCCTAGTATAAATCGCCCGCTATACATTACTTGCGCACTAGGTAGCACCAGTCTGTTGACTCCAGGCTGCCGTGAGTACTCTACTCGGCACAGGTGGACGTTGCATTCGGCATCCCCCTTTTCTGAAACGGTCTGACGCATTGCACAGGGGACACCCATTCTAACCGTCCCCGCCCAGTTTGCTGTGTTCCCTCCTGCACCGGCTATTTTCTTGCAATCGCTTTTCGCAGCGCCCGAACGTGATCATCCCATTTCTCTTTGGTCAGCTTGGACGACCAAGAGGACGATCTACGGCCAGCCCACCCCTGGCAGCCAGACGTTCAAAGCGTGGCACGTTCCCAATCGTTCGATCAGTGACGCAGGTGCCGCTCCCACCTGCTTGCTTACTGGTTCGCACACACGAACGGTCACCTAGCACAGCCTGCCGTCCGGACTCGCCGCGCGCAACAGTGGCCCAGCGTGCCCTTCACCCCCTACCCCTGAACCCTGACCCGGGCCTTGTCTGGGGAACCAGCCGGACCCTATAAATCAGCACACCCTGTCAGACACCAGTATCCCCTCCGTCGTCATGCCGGACCCTACGCCAGCTCAGGAAGAGTTTGCCGCCTTCTTGGACAAGAATAGTCGCTCAGACCTTGACCGAATCCACCCTGAGGACCGCGACGCTGTGGCCGAAGAGTTCGACGACGAGCAAAGCGAGGACGAGGAAGACCGCTACCGGGCAGCACAGATCGACGCTGCCATGCGAATGCCCACAATGGACACGCGCACAGAAATCAGACTGCCTCCGCCGTCTTTCGACAGCGGCCGCTCAACCGGTGTGAAGGGCGTCATCGCCGACGCCAGGTCATACGAGGCTGCGCGACGCACAAAGTGGAAGGACAGAGTGCGCGCCGCACGCCGCAGCGTGTTCGGTCTAGACACCAGCAGGCAGGGTCGAAGCAGCGAGCTGGAGAGTGAGGGCAGCGGTGCTGAGGACCCTGACGAAGAAGAGTTCCTGAAGCAGTGGCGAGAGAGCCGGCGACGCGAGCTCGAGGAAGAGAGTAAGAACCCCGTGCGGAACAGAAGAACAAGTCCGAGTATCCGGCTCTACGGTCGCTTTGATCACGTGGATGCCCTAGGGTATCTCGACGCGATCGAGAAAGTGGGGAGGGAGACGGTAGTTGTCGTGTTTGTCTACGACCACGAGGTTCGTGTCATCCTAGGTGAAACGTCTGTTGGCATCCTGCAGACTGACCAGGTGTACAGTGCGACGTGTCGGCAGCCATCGAGTCTGCTCTAGTTCCCCTTGTTAGCACCTACCCGGCCATCCGTTTTGTTAAGGTGCATTTTGAGGACATCGAGTTCGACAATGCCGGTGTGCCGGCGATCCTCGCATATCGAAACCAAGGAGACCTGTTCGCCAACTTGACCGGCATCCTGGAGATGATTCCAGACGACGACGATTTCGATACCGAGTCGCTCAGGAAGCTCTTCATCCAGCAAGGCATATTGTAGGAGAGATCGGGGGCTTTTTGGCTTCTTTTACAGTGATGAAACACATCGTTACGTTGGTTACGGATCTGGGCCGGACTGGCACGCTCGCCCTGCCTTGCTGACTCTTACGGTTGGCCTGGCCATCTCGATTCTCATTTACACGTGATGATCTGGATGTGCGAGATGCGATACATGCAAAGATACCACGGTTGCAAATTTGGGCGGAGTTCTCCGGTTGACTGGTGATGGTTGGGTTCATGTTGATGCGGTCATTCTTTGTATAGTATTACAGTGTAACTCTAGGATACCCAAGTTCTGGGGGTGGTCTCCTCGGGTTAGCAATCGACGGGTAGAATTTACCTTACGCTAGTAGTACCTTATCACAGCATACCTGACCTGTATTCTAGCTTTCGACCCCATGCTAGCATTGCAGCCGTCATGGGTGTCCAGACCATAAGAAGTGTATTGAATGCCATACAAGATCCCCTTTCCCCCCCTCCCCCCCCCCCCCCTCTCTCTCCATAGCTGCATGGGGCAAACGTTAGCTGCTGGAGTAGACGGTATGAATTGGGGGGAAGGAGAGTCCTTCCATGCAAAGGAATACATATGTTGAAAAGCCGTTTTAGTAATGGTGATTCCCCCAATGTACCAAGCGATGATTCCCAAGATCAAATTCTGCTCTTCCGCTCAGTTACTGAACTTTGCTTGTATTGTACATACATATCATGCATTTGTATGGAGTAGTGTCAATGTTCGGTTTCTTGTTCCGGGCTCAGCCGGCTCCGATGTTGCATCCCGGCCCCAACATGTGCCAGTGGGCTGAAGTCTCCACAAACAACTCCATGGATGGTTGCAGATCCTGGGCGTCATATGTAGACTGGAAATGGGTTATCGCCAACAGGACCCCACTCATTATCACATAGCACCTCACATGACAGTATAAGCCAGCTCGGTTACTCTAAGACTGTAGAAGCTCGAATCGGACTGATTAAGGGAATCTCCGGATCACGATTTCAAGAGCTCATAATACCGGGTGAGCTGTGGTTAGAGATCTGGGACTTGCCACTTATAACCCCGCTCTGCCCCAATCGTCTTCCGTCACAGCCCGCTGCAGGTCGCTTCATTCCCGATTCTTCCTTTGCTCTATCCTGGACGTGCCTCTACACCAAGTCAGTCTCGACTGCCACCTATCGATATCTTTGCCATTTTTGCTTTCGCAGCCGCCGGCAAGCTCCTGAGTCTCTCAGAAATTGACACGATCCCCCCTCCTTTGCTAGGTGGCTTCCCCACCCCCGCCCGTTTAAGGCAGCTTCGCCGCCAGACAGGCAGAAACCCAAACTTGAACCAAGGACTTGCAGCCATTTGGGCTGAACTCGATCCATCATCATATCCGATTCGATAAAAAGTTCCATTGCACCTTCCAGTTAGGTAGTTCTCTCTGTTCCAGTCAACCACGTCCTTGTCTAGTTTTCGGCGTTGAATTCCTCTTACTCTTGCCCTTCATTCAGCCTTACTAGAGAAGCCCCTCCTTCCTTGTGCCGCACAGTGCATCCCAAACCCAACAGCTGCATCTTGCCTTCTCGATCCCTGCATACGTCAACTGCATGACTCGACTCAAGCACGGCTGGCATTTCTTCTAATGGAACCACAGACCAGCGACTTCCCACAAAACGAAATCTCAGCAGTCAGCGTCCGAGACGGTGATACTCGCCTCGCTGCGGCCGAACAGCGGCTTGCCACCTCTTTACCCATTCTTCGGTTTCCTCGACCACAGGGGAGTCGGCATCTTGCCAACTGGGTCTCCAACAGCTCTCCCGACATCATGAAGTCAACCATGTCCGACACCAGCAGTCTGACCGATTCCTCATACGAAATCATCCACAACACGGACACCGAGAGTCAGGATGACCGCCTGACCGAATCGGTCGGCTCGCTTTCAGTGCCGCAACAAGGTGACGTACACAGCTTAGACGGGTCCGAGACACCGTCCCACACAGAGTCGGACGACGAGTTGGATCATTCTCCTTATGTGCCATCCATCACGTACGCTGACCAGGCACTTTCAAACCCCTCCGGCCAGCTTCCGGCAACCAGCCTGGAATACGGATCATCCACTGAAGGATCCGGTGTCGTTGTCAGTGCTATCGAGTTTCCGGAAGAGGAGAGCGATGAAGCCGCTTTCTCAGAGAAGATATCGGCCAAACATGCCATTCGGGAGTTTGATGATATTGAGGCCATGGCGATCGCACAAGATATGGACCTCCTGCACGTCCCGAATCGTCTGGTAGCATCGATCCGCCAGACGATGTCTCACACATACCTGTCGACACGTGAACCCCTCAGAGTCCTCTATGTTGGCCGAGCCGATGCCCAGCGAAGCATCGTGCTCAAGATCTGCAGTGCCATGTGGGTGTCGCCGAAGAATACTCTCAACGGCCAAGACCCCTTCGGCCGCTACCATGAGGGGGTTTACAACATAGTGCCCGTCTCGTCTTTCGGCCCGGCCCCAGAGCTTGACCTGATAGAGGCATCTGCTTGTCAGATCAAGGTGGAGCACTGTATTTCCGCCGAAGCCATATGTGGTCAAGATAGCGCCCTGGGCGCCGTATTTTCCGTTACGGTCGAACACGAGAGGTCTTACACCTCCTTCCTGCCGCCGAGCGGCTCAGTCGTGCATCCGAAGTGGGATCTACCCCATGTCGCAGTCTTCTTCTGCGCCGATTCCGATGATGCAGAGGCCGAACGAACGAGGCATGCCGCGTGGTCCTTCATGAACCGCCACGGTGTCCCATGCGTTTTCATTGCTGAACAGCAGAACTTCTGCAACCGATGGGACCAGTACATTGACGAGCATGTACTCCATCTTTGCCTGGAGAGCCGAGATCTAGAGAGGCCACTCCCTCCACACCGGTTCCCAATTGACTACGCATCCTTCGCGAACATCGATTCTAGACAGATGAACCGGCACCTGGCCTATTTGACCGGACTGACCCAAGATGAAGAGACGGCTTTCGAGCAAGATACTTCAGCAACGCAGTCAATGCTGGCGGGGCTTCAAACGCAGAAGGCCCTTGGTAAGGCGAAGCGAGTCTTTCACCAGCTCGCCGAGCGCAGCGATGTAAACCGGTGGATCTGGGCTCTGCTCATCCCCGTTTTGGTTTCAATGGTTACTCCATTACTCTTCTCCATTTTCTCTGGATGGCCGCGGTCGGGAGGTCCTCCGCAGTTTCAGCCACTCTCTTCCGGTGTCACCCCTCCAACTTCTCGAGTGGATTCCGCTACCAGAAGCTCACCGGTACCGACATCTACAACAACAGTCGTGATAAATGTCACGTCCACCAAGACTGTCCAGGTCAGTCAGACGAAGCCATCGACTAGTGCTCTGGCTTCTGCCTTGTCTTTCGCTGGACTCCTTTCCGACACCCCTTCGGCTACGCCCGCCGAATCCGAGACCAAAAGGCCTGTTGACTCTACCAGAAGGACAGTTTGCTCAGTACGGGTCTACAGCTCGACGGAGCTTCTAGTGGCTATCCCAAGCCGTAACAAAGCGGTTTGGCTTGCGGACGGTGCAATCGACATCGACGTGCGTCGCAGTGACGGGCCCATTAAGACCAGGATTTCGTCTGTAGACGAAGGCGTCCTTGTCGAGCTCCCTGCGAAAGAAGCGTATGGTGTGCTGAATATCTCTGTTGTCACAACTCGGCGTCCCAGGATCAATGAGACATTCCAAGTGGATTTCGGCAAGAACGTTCTCGCAGAGGCTTTCGATGCTGGCTTCCATATGTTGAAGGGAATAGCCAGGAAGATGGAGCTGAGAGCCGGCGGAGTACCACACCTTGTCGACGAGGCTCGCAAGTTCCGGGAGGAGGTTGTCTCCACCATGGAGCACGCCTCGGAAGCTGTCCGGAGTCACACAGCCAGCACGGTGAAGCGGACAACGGATAACATTCGGGAACACGTGGCTCGCCAGCTTGAGTCAGCTGAAGCAGTCCGCGGGGAGGTCGGCCTCTCCATTCTTCGAGCGCAGATTGCATCGCGGCTATGGTGGCTCAAGCTTCAGGGGAAGACAGACGAGTACGCCGAGTATGCGCGAAACGCTTCTCGCTTTCTCAACATGAAGCACGAGGAGCATCTCAAGAATTGCGGCGACCCCAAGGGACAGGAGAAGAGCTCGCTGAAGGAAGCGAAATCATTCTTTGGCTTGCGAACCGGGATGTACAGCCCCTGGAGGAAGAACTGTGCGCGGCGTGATGACAAGGCCAAAGACGTGAACCCGCGTTACAGCGGCTGGGAACCTCGGTGGAGGAGGTTAATGGGGGCAGTATAAGCCTACATTTTTTTGCACGATTTTATGTCTACACCGGCATCTTTCCTTTGTGCCGGGCTCTGTCGGGATAGGTACACGGGAGTGGAGGAGGGAATATCTGTTTATGGGAAATGGCTATTGCTCCAGGATCAAGGAGCGGGGGGATATGGACTGGGAGTTGCGTGGATTTGCTTTGCTTAAACCTCAAGATCATATATTGAGTTGGCTCTTTACCGTTTTCGCACTTGCCTGTCTTGATTCTCACCAAGCCCATGTGTGATTATTCCAGAGCTGTGTCCCTAACTGTTGCTCGGCTTGGTGTCGCACCTTAGCATTCGGATCAAGCGAGTAACCTTGGGATGGCATCTGAGAATCGATACAGACCACCCAGAATGGATCAGAGCCATCTTCGAGAATAGGAGCGCAGAGTTTAATGGTAACATTCTCGAGTTGATGACTTGCAGCAATCGAGGCCTGGATGCTTGTGACAGAGATATAACTACGATCCAATCAGCATCCTCGGAGGGCGACTTGGCCCCACCGTGGGAAGCCCAAGCATTGCCGATTTTCTCTTGGGCTGCTGCCATAATAGTTTGGGGATGAGGGGCAGCCTGCAACGGGGCAACAACCACATCAACCTGCTGCTTACCTACTTCCCTGCACCTTATCCACTTTCCGCAACTCCCAAACATCTTCTGCCACGCCAGCTCACTGCAAGGAACACTGATAATAGTGTCCTTATTCCCAGAAGAAGTTGCAGCATTGGGTACGTTTCCTTCGCTTTCGGTATCCGTCGCGCCTCTGCCCCGCCGCCCCAATACCCCGCCTCCTTTCCGTTTTGACCAACTTCAAAATTGAGCCCAAGATATGGCGGGGGAGGGGCTAGGGGAGGGAGCACGCGACGATACAAATCGCGAACGCGACAGATCTTAATAAGGGAAGCTGGGATTGCTAACACGCTGGACTACCAGTATCCTTAGAACCATCATCGACAGGTTAGCCGTCAAAATGTCTGCCGAAAACGACAACAAGCCGCTCGAGGAGGTCAAGGCCCCGGAGGCGAAGGCCGAAGAGACGCAGGAGGTATGTTCGACACGTCAGCGCGTCACATTTTTTGCATGAGTTCTTGTAGGGTTCCGCCTCGGCTGACCCATACTGTTTCACCGCAGACTCCGGCCGATGCTAAGCCTGTCACCTCTTCTTCCGTGTTCTCCATGTTTGGTGGTGGCGCCAAGAAGGAGAAGAAGGAGGATGAGGATCGCGGCGATAACTCTGGCAGTGCCAAGGCTCAGCGTGAAGCCGCTGCTGCTGCTGCCGCCGCTGCGAAGGACGGCGAGGAGGAGGACCAGGCCCCAGAGTCCGACGACGTCCACTTCGAGCCCGTCATTCACCTGACAGAAAAGGTTGAAGTCAAGACCAACGAGGAGATGGAGGAGCAGGTCTTCAAGATGCGTGCCAAGCTCTTCAAGTACATCTCTGAAACACGCGAGTGGAAGGAGCGCGGTACTGGCGACGTGCGCCTGCTGAAGCATCGCGAGAACGGCAAGACCCGGCTAGTCATGCGCCGCGACAAGACCCTCAAGGTCTGCGCCAACCACTATGGTATGTACAGCCTGAGCCCTGCCGGTCAGTGTCGTTCTAGAGGCTTACCAACAATAGTCGTCCCCGAGATGAAGCTCTCCCCCAATGTTGGGTCCGACAGGAGCTGGGTCTGGAACGTTGTTGCTGATGTGAGCGAGGGCGAGCCCGAGGCCCTCACCCTAGCCATCCGGTTCGCCAACTCAGAAAATGCCAACCAATTCAAAGACGCCTTCTTGAAGGCCCAGAAAGAGAACGAGAGCCTGTTTAAGAAGGCGAGCGAGGAGACTGAGGAGACGAAAGCGGCCGAGAAGGAGGAGAAGGAGGAGTCTGCGTAGAGTTGGGAATTCTCTACTGGTTGATGGCAATGTTAAACTCAGGAATACCTACCTAGGCACCAATCATCCCCAACACACCATGCACCGTCTTCCTGGGGAGGAACAGGAAGTGAGGAGGCTGGCTGTTTCGGATCTGAACACGACCCCATGGACACCCCCCATCACAACACCCATCTAGTCAGAGCGGGAAAGGAGCTCATCACCCTTTTCTCACAAGAGAAATACCAGCGGATGTAGCTGTAGATAGACCAAACACCATTGAGTCGCCCTGCCTTTCACCATATTAATGACAATAACAACCCTGACGTGTGGCGCCGTGTCACAAAGGGAAGAGTAGAGAGAAGAGAGTTTGATGGCGAGCAATCAGGACAGTGCCCAGTTGAAAGGAAAGAAGCGGACAATGCACAGACCGGCCATATTATGAGCTCTCCTGTGACCTGCACTCTGAGCTATACTAGTTACTTGGTGGTTGTTTACTGCCACTGCCACTCGCTTTCAGCAATTTGAACCGCTCGGTTTTTCTCCGGCAAAACTTCGGAACTCTCCTCAACTCAACACCGTGCGCTCACAGTGTACATCACATTTTCACACGGTCTTTGAATTCAACGCCGCACAGCCACAATCAAAATGTCGGACCGTCGTGTCACTCGTGGCGCTGTGGCGAGACTTCTCACTCCAGAGAACGGTACGTACCAATTCAATCAGTCGAGTCGCGAAGCTCCGTCGTGTGGTCGAGGCATCGCGACGAGAGGCCGAGAACAATCCCACGTTTCCCCATTCCCACTCCGCTGCCTTTCAACAGTTATTTCGAATCGATCTTGGTCGCAATTATATTGCTGCTTCATCTCAACCAGTTTTTCCTTTCGTTTTGGCGCGGCCGCCTTGGAAATTGGGACTGTAGGTGCTGGGTTTCCTGCGTCCCTTCTGCCCGCGCTCAGATCAACCATCCCGCTACAGATGCAGCCGAGGCACTTGACGTTTTCAGGTTGTTTTTGATCGGGCGATCTCATACTGATATTGCCAACCTTTAAGACGAGATCCAGGTTCGCACTCCTGGAGTCCGCTCCACCACAACCACTTCTACCCACGGTAAAAATAAGAGCGACAAGAAGAAGAAGGCGTTCAATATGATTGTCGAGGTTCGTCGGACTTAGAGGAGTCAAGAGCGCAGACACAAAATACCAGGTTGGCTAATACGCGATGTCGAATCCAGCGTAAGATCAAGGTTGTCACCGAACAACACAACATGTAAGCACCATATTCGCGATGCGCTGGGCCGAAAGAGGGGAAGAGATGGGCTGACGGAGTTTAACAGCGACAAGCCAGCCGTCAATGAGGGCTTCCCCATGAAGGAGTGGACCGTCGAGATCTATATTCTCGACCAGGATGGAAAGGAGAAACCGGCTCGTTGTTTCACCAAGGCCGTTTATCACCTCCATCCATCGTTTGCCAATCCGGTTCAGAGTATGCATCCTTTACTATGCGGCTCTCCAAAGTATGTAATACTGACATGCCTGGTAGCGTTCATGGAACCCCCCTTTAAATGCACGAACGAAGGCTGGGGCGAGTTCGAGATGTCGATCGACCTCTTCACAACCGAGAAGGGCGGCAAGCAGACGATTATCCACGATCTGAACTTCGCGGCTCCTCAGTACGAGAACATTCACACCCTCACTTTCAAGAACCCGTCGCAGGCCCTGCAGGCGATCCTGCGCGAGACTGGCCCCCTGCCCTCCGACGAGGAGCGCAAGGCTAAGAAGGCCGATGGCGGAAAGAAGAGGAAGACTTTCGACATCGAGAAGCTGGCCGACGGCCTTGTCAAGCTGGGTGAGGATGACCTTCTGCAGGTCATCCAGATGATTCACGATCATAAGGATGACGCGACCTACACCCAGAACAACATCGACGCGGGAGAGTTTTCGGTCGACCTGTACACCCTCCCTGAGTCGCTGGTGAAGATGCTCTGGGACTACCTGGTAGGTTGAAATATTCTCTCGCTGTTTCGCTGCTTCCCCGTCTCACTCCCGTGCTTGCAGGTCAAACAGGGCGTTTTGACGGCCTGAGAGCCGGGTATCGCATCTGCATTCGGCGGCGTCTGGCGTCTAGGAAAGGTTGGGGTCGCGGGAAAAGCGGCTTGCTTGTATGGGTCCGTACCATCTCAACGGGGTGTCGGTTGGCATTGCAGTCTCAGATGAGGTAGCCTTTTGGCCTGGTCTATACGAACCAAGAGTTTCGAGATATCAATGACAGCCGTCTCGGGTGGCATCGGTTGTTTGAGCTTTACCATCTCGGCAACTGCCCGTCTCTCTTGGTAGGGTCTGTAGATGGGATGGTTTTCTGCCTTCGCAGCCTTGTCAATAATAGACACGGTTTCGTCTGATACTTGCCTTTAATCCATCGCTTTTGGTGTGTGGTACAACCTTGTTTCTTCCCTCCTTTGGGCCCCAGCGACATGCAAAGGCCCGCCGGGGTATAGACAGCGACCGCAAGGCGAGGCAAGGAGTATGCGTCCATCGAGGAAAGGCAACCTAGACCATCCGCATCCCGTCGATCACCTCTCCCAAGCATCCGGAGCTTACGATGCTGTCACCGCTAATGGAGAGCATGTGGACAGTAACGATTGTTGGGGTACCTAAGGTACTTTTAACACAACCGAGAACCTACTATCACCTACCTGCATATATCCATACGCTGGAAACAATCCTCTGGGGAAGGGAGCTTGCATGCAGCGGGCAGATCCGCGATCATGATGTGTGCTGGGTGAGATGCATGCATCCTTAGATGGATGGACAGCCCTACTAGACACACGTAGGGCATTGGTAGCTAAGATCATGAGTGAGTTGCTGGTTTGTTATTTCAGTTACTCCAGCCACACCGCTAGGTAAGGTAGGTACGCTTCTTACCTACCTACGCAGGGGAGATCCTATCTTCGGCGGTCCCGTCTTGTGCTCACCCAGCCAGTTGAGGAATGCGCTTGGAGTCCGCGTGACTTGGGTCAACGTGACCCTCAGCTTACCAAACAGAAAAGGAGTAAGGTACGGATTACGGAGTAAATAGGTTACGGACCGCGACCGCAAAGTACCTACGTGTAGGTACCTTACCTTGCCTTACCTAACGTAGTAGTGTGAATACGGTGCCGACCGTACTCTCTCGAAGTTACCGAGGCGAGGCTAACTCCCGTCTGTTATGACCTGTATTGAGAGGACCAGACCAAAGTTACCACCCGCTTAAATGAAACGCGGGATCTCAGACAAACTGCTACTCAGGTATCCAGTGTTACATGCTTTCTCTTCAAAAGTTCATTTCGAGAATTTCACTTATCAAACACATGCGGGCTCGACCAACATACGCCTTCCATTTTGAGTCCAAGCATGGGCCTGCAGCAAGGAAGAGCGCGTGAGCGAAATCCCACCGCGATTGTGCTGGAGCTGTGACCCAGTCTCGAGCCAGTCTCTCCCTCCGTTCCACCGCTGATTGGCTGACGACGTACCCCGCGAAGTTTCTGTGCGGTATCAGCCCCACCTACAAGCATCCTCGAAGCGGCGGAGCCCAGGACTCGATCTTCGATGGCCAAGACCCCCTCAACTAGCCCCGAAAGTAAAACTGGCCCATTCCCCGGATTCTTGACCTTTCACCCATCGCAAACCGCTTCCAGCCGACAAGTAACGTCGCGGTGCATGTTGTTGGCCGCCCAGCGGGCTCTTTGGGACGACGAGCAAGTAACATTTATGCCTTTCGATTTTCCGTATACCCGCGATGTCGCAGTACGGACCCCCAGGTTTACGGATTTCATCCCTGTCACCCATTTCGCCCATTGCCGCCTCGTCATCGTCGACCGGAGCGGGACCCGCCCTTCCTCCGCCGCCCTCCGCAAGGGGAGGTGGAGCCGGGCCGGGATCCGAAACATCGGCCGGGACGCCGTCTCAAAACGCCCATCAACCCCAGCCTCCGCAGCACAAGCGCGTCTACCAGGCTTGTATTCCGTGTCGCCGCCGCAAGGTGCGCTGTGATCTTGGTTCTGTCGACGACCCACACGACCCTCCCTGTGTCCGCTGCCGCCGTGAGAGCAAAGATTGCTATTTTAGCGCCACACGACGCAAGCGCAAGGTTGACGATGGCTCGCTGGACGGTCACGACAACGACGAGTACATCATCCGCAATGGCCGCAAGCAGCTGCGCCCCGGCTCACCACCGCCCCTGGACGGCCGTCTCTACAGCGACGTACCCCTCACTCCAGGGGGTAGCCACGGCCGATACCAACCGCTGAGGCGGCCGACGGAGTCGAAGAGCGTTCGTGGCAGCAGCACGGGCGGTGAGTTCGGAAATGGTGAGGCCAATACTCCTCTCGAGAACCTGGAGGCCCGGACTGTCATGCGGAGGGAAGTGTATGGGCCACACGACGCACTCGAGCTGCTCCTCAACGCGGCTACCGACAAGTTAGTGGTTCCTCTCAGTAGTGTTCAACTAGTTGCAGAGAAACCAAGTTGCTGACATATCCTGTTCAAATTAGCGCGTCTCATAAGCCAGATGATGACCCTGCTCCTGTGCGGAACACGACTCAGGTTAGCTCCCACCATGCTCATCACGACGCCAACCCGCGAAGGTTATCTAGCACCATCACTCCGCGGGCCTACCAGAGCCGGCATTTGTCACGGCCTGAGGGCCCGACAACCGAGCAAGCAATCGATCCAGAGCTGACCAAACGTCATCCGTCTACCGAGCCCGGCTATCATGAAGCGCTCGAGGCTTGGGGGCGTTTCCGCTTCGTGCGCGCGGGATGGTTCACCGCTCAAGAAGCTATCGACTACATCGACTAGTAAGTTGATGATCAGCGTATCTTCGCACCAGGTGCTGACGTATCGCAGCTACTACAAATACCTATCCCCTCTGACCCCCATCTCGCCGCCAACATTTCACAACCCGGCATCCCACTTGACCCTGTTAACAGAGGAGCCGATACTTACTGTGACGCTCTTGACGATCTCATCCAGATACCGCCAGTTGCCTGGCACCGGAGGTCACTGCCGCTCTCACGCGATCCACGAGCAGTTGTGGACGTATCTGAGAGGTATGATTGAGCGAGTTGTATGGGGCCAAGAAGCTTTCGGCGGCGGCTTCTGCGGCTCGGGAGCCGATGACACGCAAAGCTCCAGCACGGCCCCGTGGCGTGGTCTGCGCAGGGGCAGTTTGAGAACGCTCGGGACCATTGAATCTCTGCTGATTCTAACAGAATGGCATCCGCGAGCGCTCCACTTCCCCCCAAAGGAAGCCACAGATGAGCTGATGCTCCCTTCACATAACTCACCAGACCATACCGGCCCTGATGGGAACCACAAACCGTCGGCTGGTTTCGGCGGTCGAAGAATTGAGAGCTGGCTGGAGCCAGCGTGGCGCAGTGACCGCATGTGCTGGATGCTACTGAGCACTGGGTTGGGGCTGGCTTACGAGCTTGGTATTTTCGATGACATCGACGAGCTACTTGCAGCTGGGGCCATCACGCGGCCCGAGTACGAGGAAGAGTCCTACCGATTGCGGGCGAACCGCATCAAAAGGCTGCTCCTGATCTATCTTAGCCAGCTGGCTGGCCGTCTCGGTTGGACAAACATGGTGCCAGAGAAGTTGCGCAAGGCGGATCCTTCCTTGTCGCGGAGAAAGCGCCATTCAGTCGAAGGGACCACCCCGGGAACAAACCCGTCGTCTCTGTCAAACTCGTTCAACTACATCCCTGACTTGGAGCTAGACGATCAAATCATCCACTGCTGGGCGGGAATCAGCAATGCCATGCAACTCGGTAACGAGAAACTGTTCAGGTCCCGGAAGCACACTACTGAGATCATCCAGAGCCGCAAATACATTGAAATGCTGAAAGATTTCCAGCCCGTGCTGAAAGACTGGTGGAACCAATTTGAGCGCTTCCGGTTACCTCCCTATATCCGGCACATCCTCACTATTGAGTACGAGTACGTGCGAATCTACATCAACTCGCTCTCCCTGCAAGCAGTCGTCGAGCGTTGCACCAGTAATGCCGGCGGCGGCGACTCGGGCGCCGGTGGGAGCGTGTCGGGCCACTCCGGGCCGCAGCTGTCGCCACAGACGCAAAACTACTACGGCAGGCTGCCGCTGGGGCAGCTAGGTGGTTATGGTGCCGACGACCAAGAGTACGTGAGGGAGGTTGTTTACGGCAGTCGAAACCTGCTCCGGACCGTCGTGGAGGGCCTGCTCCCTGGCGGTTACCTGAAGCACGCGCCTGTGCGAACCTACTTCCGCATCATCAGCGGCGCCATGTTCCTACTCAAAACCTTCGCGCTGGGCGCGCCCAAGTCGGATGTTGAATTGAGCATTGGCTTGATGGACCAAACGGTGGACGCGCTTCGAAATTGTGTGGTAGACGACGTCCACCTGGGCATACGCTTCGCCGACATGCTCGAGACACTGACCAGCCGGTTGAGGAACCGGTTCATCTATGCCCCGCCAGCTCCCGTTTCGACGGATGGTAGATCGCCTGGCCCGACGCACGGAGATTTGGCCAACGGCAGCGGCACGAACGGGATGTTGGGACACAACGGTGGCTCCCACGATGGGTGGCTCAAGGCGAGGGAGGGACTCGGACCTGGTAGGTGCTCCTTCCATTTTGCCTCAATATCATCCAGAATGCCGCAGCTAACCGCAGCGCAGAACGGTCCACAACCCCGGCCAACATCTCTGCCACCCCCTGGGATCTCACGGCAGGAACTCTCCCCTACCCGACGGGATCGGCATCCATGTTTGGCCCGTCCACTCCCGCCGCCACCACGGGTCTTGAGAACAACGGCGCAAGCAACGGTGCTCTTCCTGACGGCCCGCTGTTCGACAACCCGGTCTGGGCCAACCCCAACGACGAGATGTGGTACCTGCCTACAGGGCCGGCTTTCTTCCAAAACATCGATAACAACGCTGTGTCGATGACAGCGGAAGGCGTGAATGTTGGCGGCATGGACTTGCTCGAGTACATGGCAATGGACTCGATGGACCACCATAGCTTCAACATAGATGGATCTGCTTTCTGACATGTTTACTGCTGTATGCACAAACAAGAAACCTTGACATGTTTATGTCCTGCCAACAGGGAGGGAACAAAAGAGTGAGTGATATACGGGAAAAGACAAACTTGCTTAGCAAAGAGCTCGGGCATCTTTCATGGGTTATGGACGTGAAAAGGAAAAAGAGAACGAGGCGGATCGTTTTATCTCATGCGAAAAGGTGTTCCGGGGCATTCTGGTGGTTTAACAACCTACTGTATTTGTGTAGGTACCTATCGGGCAATTGTCTTACCATCTGAGCGTCAAAATGGACCAGGGAGAGACATCTTTTTCAGCGGGATCTGGTGTTCAGCGGGTCGTAGCGTTGTTGCTGAGCGGATACCTGTTGTATTTCCTAGCCGGTCGGGTCATACTGCTACCCGGCATCATGTCAGCTCCTTAGTATTTACGAATTCTTATATTTTCGTGATTTTGCGGTGATGTGGGCTGGCAGTCTTATAAGAAGAGTAACGGTGGAGGAGGGTGAGTGTTGAATCAAGCGAAGCAAAAGTCAGCCTAAGCAAGGGAAGGAGAATGGATCGAGTAAAAAGAAGGGGAAAGGGGCCAGATTTCTTAGAGGCATGATCAATAATAGTCCACTCTGTCTTCTTAAATACTCAATGGTTGAGATGCTGCTCTATTGCCCCTGTATCTGGCTGCGCGAATGAGTAGCAAACAAGTGTACTAGTATTTCTCTAACTTCCAGGTTTATCCCAATGTGAGTCAGTTCGTTAGGGTATGTTCATTAAGGCATGTCTAGGCCCTTCCTTCGTGCGTCTACAGCCTCCATTATCTCTTACCTACCGGGCTGCTAGTTCAGGACTGCCTCATTAGCCCTTGCTGCCCACTCTCTGAACCAATCCAGTGCCTCCGGGTTGGCGACGCTGGCGTTCGTCTTGACCTGCATCCCGGAGAGGATCTGCTTGACAGCGACTTCGATCCTACGCCTCCTTATTAGCATGAAGAAGTCCACACATCGATGGAAGTAATTTTCGGGTCAGCAGCAAAAAAGAAAAGAAAAAGAAACAAGGAAAGTAAGAAAAGAAAAGAAAAAGAGAAAAGAAAAACAGAAACAAAACCTACTTCTTGCCATTGCCCGTCTTGGGCACGCCCCCCTTCGCCTCCTCGATCACGCCCGGCACATGCCTGGGACTTAGCTCACGCCGAATGGTCTCGGCGATGCCCTTCCTCAACGCGTCATCAAACACCTTTCCCTCCACCATGACCACAAACAGACAGACGGTCTCGTCGCGGTCCAACTCCCGCCTCCTCCCCACACACACCGCGTCGGCCACGTCGGCAGCAAAGAAGCGCGTCAGCACGTTGTAGATCTCGGCGCTGCCGAATCGCACGCCCGCGGGCTTCAGCACGCCGTCGCTGCGGCCCAGCATGACGAGCCCGCCTCCTCCGGCGCCGGTGTTGCCGCGGGGTTCGCACATGCGCACAAAGTCGCCGTGGTGCCAGAGGCCGGGGAAGCGCTCAAAGTAGGCGGCGCGGTACTTGTCCTGTCCGCCTTCCCCAAAGAAGGCCAGCGGCTGGCTGGGGAAAGGCTTGGTGCACACCAGGTCGCCGGGGCTGTCGGGCGGAGAGACGGGCTGTGGGTTGGAGGGGTCTGACGCCGAGTCTACGACTGCAATGGCCATGCCCAGCCCGGCGCACTGCACCTCGCCTGCGCGGACGGGCAGGAGCGGGCAGGGGGCGCCGAACAGGGAGATGATGTCGGTGCCGCCCGTGATGGAGGCGAGGTTGATCCTGGCGGGGAAGGCGTCGTAGACGAAGGAGAAAGTCGAGGGTGGGAGGGGCGATGCGGTGGAGTAGATGGCCTCGAGCGCGGAGAGGTCCAGGGACGGGTCGGCCACGGGGCGGACGTTGTTGGCCTCGAGCGTGGTGAGGTAGGCGGCCGAGGTGCCGAAGTGGGTGACGCGGAGGGCGGAAAGCAGCCGAGGGAGGGAGGCGTAGCCGTGCGGTTGGAACGGCGAGCCCGAGTAGAGAACCAGCGAGGCGCCGCAGGACAGGGCGGACACGCTCCAGTGGTGCATCATCCAGCTGGTGGTGGTGTAGTAGAGCATGCGCGAGCGGGAGGCCGCCGAGAGCGAGCAGTGCAAAAAGTGCTCCTTCTTGTGCTGCAGCAGCGTGCCCGCCGCGGTGTGGACGATCGCTTTGGGGAGCCCCGTGGTGCCGCTCGAGTACAAGACGTACAGCGGGTGAGAGGGCGGGAGTTGGGCGAAGGTCAGCGGCGAGTCTGGTGATCCACTGCAGGAGGAGTCAGGACACCGGACACATAGTCATACTAGTAGTCATAGGACACACAAAACCCCGAAGTGACTCACCATTTCAAAAACGCCTCGTACTCCTCCGCCTTGACCCCCGTTGCGCGCATCTCGTCCAGCCCAGTCTCGACATCCTTCAGACCTCTGATGATGACGACCTGTTCCAGACCGTGCTTTTTCAGCTCGTCAATCACCTCCAGCGTCTTGGCATTGCCGGGCCACGCCTTGCCGTTGTACAGCGTTGCGTTGTCGGCGAAGAGCACCTGCGGCCTGATCTGCACCAGGCGGTCGAGCACAGCGCTGACGCCGTTGTCTGGGCTGATGCCCGTCCACATGGCTCCGACGGCGGCGGCACTCAGCAGAGCGACCAGGGCCTGCACGTGGTTGGCAACAAAGCCAGCAACAACGCTGTTCTCCCCAACGCCGGCCGCACGCAGCGCGTTGGAGCAGAGGCGGACCTGGTCCCTGAGCCCGGCCCAGGTCGTCTCGGTGAGCTGGCTTTCATCCTCGGTGGCCGTGATGACCGCCGTGCTCGACTCATCGACCTCGGCATTGGCGGGGAAGAGCAAGTTCTCTGCAAAGTTGAGACGGGCACCGGCAAAGAAGTCGGGTCGGGGAAACATGGGTGCTTCAGGAGGCAGGACCTGGGACAGGTTTCAGCAACGGTGTTCTTGAGAAAAGGGGCTATAGGGGCTTTATGTAGATTCAATGGCTGCAGTCCAAATCGACAAGATTCAACAACGCACCCGGTCAAACGGCTTGGAGGCCTTGATGCCGGTGAAATGCCAGACCTCACCCCAGAAGTCGGCGATATGATCGACAGACCACTTGTACAGCTCCGGGTAGTCCCTGAGTTCCAAGTCGTATTTGGCGTTCACATGCTGGAGGAACTTCCACATCTGGGTCGCCCGTGGGTTTTCGTGTCTCCATAGTTCGGCGGCTGCCATTTTGTCGCTGACGGAGAAAGAGCGAATAGGGGGGATGGAATCGGGTATTAGTTATTATCTTGACCGTAAAAAGGATGGTCAATGGTCGATTAGGCGTTCGCTGCTGCGATACCAACGTGTTACTCCAACTTCGCAAGTGTAAAACAACGCCCGCAACGGATCCGAGGACCTGGGCCGGGCGTTTTGCTGTTAAAGACGGGATGAACCCACGCACGGATCGGGGATCTTGAACCGCATCGGGCGGTTCCTGCCCAGATTCCCGCCGAAAATTCCAGCCCCCGAGTTCCGATGCGGATTGGAACCCGCTGAACCCGCAGCCCTGGGACTGGCCAAAGCCGACGATTTCCACAAAATAGAAACGGTCAATGCAGGTACCCAGCAGCGAGGCGCACGTGCTACAGGATTCCTATCCCCTTCATACTGTGTAGTGGAAGGTAGGCACAGTGTTGACAACGTGAGAGGTGGTGGGCACCTGGGTAACAATGAAGCTGATGACAAGACTGACATGAGCGCCATGCCGTGGCTGGGAGTATAATGTAAGGAAAGAGACAGGGCAGATTAAAAGGCTTGTCTGCATTCTGTATTGGAAGGCTAACACAACGGGCTCCTTCTCTCCTTTTCGCATTCTCATGTCCTCCCCCCCAGGAGCTTGGGAGGCCGCCGTCACCTAGAAAGCTTTTACAGGGTGCTGCTCCTACGACTGAGCCGGTACTGCCAGGTCCGTGGGATCGTTCCATGCATTCCAAATGCTTGCGAATGCTGAGTGCAGCCTTCAAATTAGGTATTTATCGACCACTTTGTCAGAGACGAGGGGTTTGGAAGCACACTGCGACTCACGGCTTTGGACAATTGGGGATTGGAAATCTGGAATGTTTGCTGCTCAACACTCAGCTGATTCCTATGGGCCCTTTTCTGATCCTGCTCTGCTGATCTGCGGCACTTGGAACGTTGGTGTCCCTTAGGCTAGGTTCCTGGATAGCGCGCACGGGCCTTCAGGAACCAACCCTGGTCTGAGCTGTTGGAGGTGCGCGACTTCAGACGACCCGCGATGGCCAGCGCAATCGCTAGATATTGCTATGGCAACCGTGTAAATGGAAGGCATCCGGCCCATTCAATAACACTGCTCGAGGGAGTAAGGCTCAACTCTCGAGCCCATTGAACGGGAACCCTGCCCCCTGCTGCTTTTCGGGGGGATGGAGCCTGGAGGTCGCAGCCGGACCGCTCGGCATCGGCATCAAGAAGGTTATCAAAAAAAGAACCTCACCCAGGGGCAATTTGCGCGGACAGAGCGAACCGTCCAACGAGCTAAGGCGCAGGGCAGGTTCGCCAAATTGCGCCAGGGCTTCACCGGCAAGCATGGCCCCACTGTGCCCAGTTCCCGAGACCCCGATTCGACAATCTCCTAGCCCCTGCCCCGATCCGTCTCTGAGGTGAAATCCCGTCTGCGGTCCATATCAGCTCTTTTCCTCCACCGACTCTTCCTGAACTTACAACCTCTTCTTCCCTTACCCGTTAGAAGAGTGCCGTTCAGATAAAACACCCGGCGCTCAAGGCGAGGGCGACTTGGCCGGCGTGGTCCCTTCCTTCCTTCCCATCTAATTCGAGAATTCCGTCGATAGCTGCTCCCTCACCGCAACCACCCGGCCCATCCGCCGTCCCTTGCAGCTATCGACAGTGATTTTCGTTCGCCGCCAAAAGGAGCTCTCGGCAGCGTCTTGCACGCCATCCCAATTGGCTCAACGACTTCGTTAGAGACTTGAGCGGTCACCCAGACCAGTCGCTGGACGCGTGTGTCCGAGTCGGGTGAGTTGGTTTTCTTTTCTCCCTGCCTGCTCGGTAAAGACGCTGCGCCGTTTGCGTGAACTGGGACCCGGTGTTTCGAGTATGGAAGGAACGGCGCCCAGTGGAGCTGCAAAGGGGGGCTACCCTTTCACGTTGGCGCCGCTCTCTCCTGCGGGCTGAGCTAGAAGCTCTATGGGAGCTTGACTCTCACACCGCTCATGCAATCGACCTTTTGATCTCGTTTCGTACCAACATGATAACTTGCCCAACCGATTCCTGAATGCCTCACAGACAGCTTACTGATGAGCCCTTCGTTCTAGAATCAATTGGCGCTACCGGTCGCGATCAGCTCCCGTTCAAGGTGCCTCGAATCAGTTTCGGTGTACAGCAGCACAAGCCCTCAACGATGCCTCGAAAGCTCTCGAACCCCTTCTCAACATCAACTATGCCACACTCGGAGAAAGAACGTCGGCCTTCACAGTCAAAGGGCCGTCTTGCCGGCTTCTTCTCTTCCAGGTCAAGGGAGCAGCCGGCGGCGCAGCAAACCCCTTCGCACCATAAACTAGTCTCGTCCCAGATGACGGTCTCGACCTCTCCCCTGCCAACAATCTCGCTGTCCACATCCATTACTGGGGAGCTCAACAGCGACGAGACTCCGACCACTCTCTTTGAACCTCCCTCTACCGATGAAGCCAGGGCCCAAGAACGCCGCGATGCTCAGTTCGGCCCTCTGCTCGATCCGTCCCACTTATATGTGAGCGCCCATCAAGGAAAGCCGCTCGAAACGCCAGTCGAGGACGAGCCACCTTATTTCTACGTCCTCACCACATACATCAGTTACCTTCTTCTGATCGCTTTCGGTCATGCGCGGGATTTCTTCGGGAAGCGATTTGGTAACAAGAAATTCTACGCACCCATCAAGGCTGCCAATGGATATGCGCCACTCAATGACGATTTCGACAGCTTCTACGTCAGAAGGTTGAAGCTCCGCCTCGACGACTGCTTCGCCAGGCCGACAACCGGTGTTCCAGGCCGATACATCACGCTTATCGACCGCAAGTCGGACGACTTCAACCGCTCCTACAAGTTCACCGGCACCTGCACCCAGACTCTGAACCTCAGCTCCTACAACTACCTGGGATTTGCTCAGTCGGACGGACCGTGCGCCGACGCTGTGGAGGAATGTGTTCGCAAGTACGGTCTCAGCTTTGCCAGCCCGCGGGCCGATTCCGGAACGTCCGACCTTGTCATGGAAGTTGAACGCGAGGTTGCCCAGTTTGTGGGCAAGCCTGCCGCCATGGTGTTTCCCATGGGCTTCGTGACGAACGCTTCTTCCTTCCCGGCCCTCCTCTCCAAGGGCTGCCTCATCATCTCGGACGAGCTGAACCACGCGTCCATCCGCATTGGCGCCCGTCTTTCTGGTGCAGTTATTAGATCTTTCAAGCACAACAACATGGAGGACCTGGAGAAGAAGCTGCGTGAAGCCATCTCGCAGGGTCAGCCGCGCACGCATCGGCCGTGGAAGAAGATCCTGGTTGCTGTCGAAGGTCTTTACTCGATGGAAGGTACCATGGTCGACCTTCCCGGTGTCCTGTCGCTCAAGAAGAAATACAAGTTCTACCTGTATGTCGACGAGGCCCACAGCATCGGGGCGTTGGGGCCGAATGGGCGCGGTGTCTGCGACTATTTTGGCATCGACCCCGCTGAAGTCGACATCCTCATGGGAACTTTCACCAAGTCGTTTGGCGCCAATGGTGGCTACGTTGCGGCTGAGAAGCACATCATCGACGGGCTCCGGATGACCAACGCGGCAACCCTTCTTGGCGAATCTCCCACCCCGTTTGTTCTGATGCAGATTCTCACCTCGCTCAGGCTAATCACTGGAGAGGTTGCCCCTGGCCAGGGCGAGGAGCGCCTGCAGCGCCTCGCCTTCAACTCCCGCTACCTCCGGCTCGGCCTAAAGCGTCTCGGGTTCATTGTCTACGGCCACGACGATTCGCCCATCATCCCCATCGTGCTGTACCACCCCGGGAAGATGTCGGCTTTCAGCCACGAAATGCTCAAACGGAAGATCTCGGTGGTCGTTGTCGGCTACCCGGCCACGCCGCTCATTAGCTCTCGCGTCCGATTCTGCATCTCCTCGGCCCATAACAAGGAGGACATGGACCGCATCCTCGCTGCCTGCGACGAGGTCGGCGATATCTTGTGCCTCAAGTTCTCGACTGGCATCGCGGGCGGCCAGGAGCCGCTGCCTGCGGGAGTCACACCGGAAATGGAGAAGGAATGGCGTAAAGCAAACGGCCTTGAAGGTGTCGTCAAGCCCCCAAGGTGGAAGCTCGAAGACGTCATTGCTCGCGGTGTGGAAGATACCAAACATCAGCTGCGGTAAATGTTTCTGCGGTGGATGGTGTACATAAATCATTCGGGTTGTCCACGGCATATGGGGTGCGGCCGTGAGATGCCCGGCTTGTACAACAATGCTGAGCCGTGGCTGCCGCTACGCAACCCGGCGGATACCGGCGGTAATGTCTACATTTTGGCAGAAGGATGCTGAACTGCCCATAGAGCAAGTTACTAGCAAGCTCTGAGCATAGAGACCCCGGACCGAGAGTCAATACCCGGCTCCTAATATGTATTTATTTCAATTACACATCTGATAGGGACGGGAGTTGACATGCGGAGTTGGAGATAAGGGAGTTGGGGATGGAGGCAAAGATGCTGGTGGGAACCGCGGGTTTCGTGAGCGTTGATGATGATGGGATTAATGAAAGGATATATATACTGGAATAGACCACGTCATGTCTTAGTGCTGTATAACTGTAAACTTGGTCTCGCCTGCGCGTTACAACACTGGCGTGCGGCCTTTGATGTATAAGAGGTAGGTACCGTAACTTAGTGATTTCGAATTCAGAGCTGAAGCGCAAATGCGCAATACGTTCCGTGATTGCATTCCCCTTCTAATAAGCGTCACGTGGCGACGCGTTTCACCGCACCAGCGCGCTGTTACAAGTGTTATCGCGCACAAGCACCTTCCATTCTGCCCCTCCATGAAAGTCGTGTCACCCGACTTCTGTGCTTTTGAGTTTCGGGCAGAAGCTTTTCGCAGTTTCATTTCATTTCGCATCACTTCGGTTTCAATAACAATAGTGCCAACCCAAGCCTATTTAATCTACTGGCCTTTTTTACTACATCTTGTTGGCCCTGTTAAGGGCGATTACACAATACCTCATCTCATATTAGGTCGATACGGTCAGCATTTCTGGCTCTTTTCTCCTTTGGTAAGTCTACTCTGACCGAGCATCACCGCTCTTTGCGAAATCCACCTTTCTATGTTGGTAGTTACCTACCTTTCCGTCGCCATTATCGGTCACTAAAGGGCTCCTCGCCTGCTGCATCATGGCATGCATACGTTGGCTTTGAGCGGCCGGTTACGTGAAGCGGTGGCGCTCAACCGACTTCTGTTTGATGGCACAGCAGGCGGCGTGAAGCCAGCAGTATGTGCCATTGTACTTCATCACCATCGATACTAACTATAATTTTCTCAGCCCCGATAGCAGCAGCGGCTTCGGACTTTGCTGGTCCAATCCTTCATCTTGTGCGCGCTTTGGGGATGGCAAGATGGCTAAACCAGGGAAGAGAGAGAAACAGCAGACGCTGGAGGCCACCCTCGGTAAGTTGCCCGCTTCTTTGTTTCGCGACCGAGCAGGCTGCTTATGCTATCCAGGCCGACTTCCAAGGAGGCCAACCAAGAATCTGAGCCCAGCCGAGCCAGTCACGACGAAGGGCAAATCGGGAACGACTTCAGGGGGTCTGGCTTCTAGCTCGCCGGTGCCGCCGTCATCTTCATTCATCCACCCGTCACAACCCCGCTCGCCCCAATTGTTCGGCTCCACGAAGAAGCGGAGGCTTGTCGTGGATGACGATTCCTCGGACGAGTCGAGCGGTGAGGAGAGCGTGGCAGCAACTCCTGTGCCGAAGACGAAGGGCGGCAAGAAGCGTCAAACGCTGCTCTCGCCCGCCAAAAGCAAAGGGGCCCAAGAGGGTACTGATGATGACGACGAAGATGACTTACCACTTGTTCCTTCAACAATTAGGCGCAAGAGACCCACGGCGAGAGCTTCCGATGACAGTGGCGATGAGGACCAACCTCTACCCCCCTCCAATCGCAAGAGACGCCGACCAATATCCTTCAATGACAGTGACGGTGATGGCGACAGTGATGACCAGCCTCTAGCCTCCTCGCCCATCAAGCGGCGGCGACTTATTCGGCGAGGTGCAACCACTGGTCTCGCGAAGAAGGAGATTGCCGAGGATGAAGATGAAAATACCGAGCCGACGTCATCCATGACGAGAGCCAAGCGGACAGGGCGGAAGCCGCTCAACGACAAACAGAAAGCGAGGGAGCGGCTCCGGCGGAGGCGTGCCGGTGAAGTTATCGATGAGGAAGAAGAGTGCACTTCCTCCGAAGAGGAGCCCAAGAAGGCTCTGTACGACTCGGATTCCGACCACCCCGCGCTGAGTGAGTTCGAGGATGACGAAGAGGGCGTACTCGAGGTCAAGATCGCAGACGGGAAGAGCAAAAAGCGATCCAAGGCCAAAAAGACGAAGCAAAAGGCCGCCGACGACGATAGCGACTCCGACAATAGCAGTGACAACTTCATCGTGGACGACAGTGATGTGCCGCTTGGCATACCAGACCATCTGGAAATACCTCTGGAGCTTACACATCACTCACGTAAACCTTTGAAGGAGCATTTCCGGGACGTCATAGAGTGGCTCGTGCAATTCAAGATCAACCCCGGGTTCTCGGACAAGGGACACGCGCTGTATAAGATGGGGTGGAAGAAGCTTGATGACGAAGTAACCGGCCTTGCGCAGTCAAAGTTCACCTCATCTGTCTGGAAGAAAGACTTCTACATGGCGCTACGGGCCCGCCCGTACTTCACCATTGAAGTAGTCGACTCTGAGGATTTGCAAAACTGCGAGGCCTGCGGCAGGAGTGGCCATCCCTCCACGTAAGTTACCTTAGTGATTTCCACTCACACTGAACAGCCAGACCCAGCTGACCTAGAGCTTCTAGACGCAAAATCACTCTCACAGGCACCCCTTACTACAAGAACAGTGCCGACCTAAACCGGTTACTTGAACCGGTCGAGACGAGCAGCACTTCCGAAAGTTCGGATTCCGACTCGGACTCTGGAGACCTTGATGAAAACGGCATGCCCATCACGAACCAGACCAAGCAATGGCGTGTCGGGATTGTTTGCGGCAGCAACGCCGAGATGGGCCACAAGCTCCTGCACTGGAAGCACGATCTCCTCGAGTGGGTTGATGCCCGCTTGCACGAGGAGGGCTACATGGAGGGGTCCAAGCTGGCTGAGCGCGAGCGCATGACCCCTAAGAAGAAGCATAAGCTGGTCGATAAAATCCTCGACGACTGGGGCGAGAAAGGAACAATCAGGGCGCTGTATCAGGACTTCAAGGGCATGCTGGAGGATGCGAGGAACCGATCAACCACAGGAAAATATCGGAGATAGGGAGCCGATCCACCTTTTGGTATACCGCTGAGGAGTCGTCTTTTTCACGGTGTGCCCTGGAGTGACAGGTATTGAGGGGGGAATCAAGCGTTGGCTTCTTTCTTGAAGGAGTTGCGACCTTCTTGGGGCGTTGTTTTCAGGATCGGGGTTTGCTGCTACTGGAGCGAAGGGTTTACTTGTTAGAAGCTACTGTATGAGTTTTCCTGTATGGGTTCCCTAGTACGATACTCATGTATGATTCTTCTGTATGACTGTTCTGTGCAGCAAAATTAACATTTTTGTTCACAACCATTTCGGTCTTAGACTGGACCGTGATACTAAAGAACAACGCTATGTGCTCATCATTCCCCGTGCGAACGGCATCACGAAAAAGGCACATGTGCAACACATGATATAGAAGAGCAGTGAGCCGCATTGGATGCAGAGTTACTGAACATCTTCGAGAAATGTCCCTCCTGAACGGGGAGGGTTCGACCATGTATACAGGCAACGGCCTCCATCACATACGGTTACCTGACATGATCAAACACGGTGAGCGAAAAACGATGCCACCTCTTCTTCTCCCCCTTACTCACTACAAACTATGTATCAAGAAGGGAAGAGACACCACTTTGTTTTTTTTAAGAACCCTCTCCAAGCCTACACTACTCCCATCCAACGCAATGCCCGAATCCGACAACTCAAATCTGGCCCCCGATCGAAACACCGACCCGGCTCTCCCCTCCTCTCTCTTCCCCTTCAATTCTTTACATATACCGACATACACAACCTTCGAACACATTTCGACAACCAAGTCTTGTCCCAGATAGGCTCATTGAGGACACAGGAACCCCACATATATCCGTCGCTATGCAAACAGCCCCTCTCAATCCGGCTTACAACACCCCTAGCGCCTGCCTACGACCTGGGAAAGCACCCCTTCACGCACTGACCCGCCCTTGGTGCGCTCACATCCTAAATGATGCCTCCCGGCGGGTCATAGCCCGTCCCGGTGCCTCCTCTCGCCGAGGCGCCGGCTAGGCCCGCACTCCCAGGCGCCTCGCCGGCCCCGCCATCGGGAGGCGCCGTCTTCCGGAGCATGAACATGGGCTTCTTGCCCTCCTTATCCAGCTGCTTGAACAATATCAGAGGCTTCTCGTCCAACCCCAGGCACCGCTCCTGATCGCCGTAGACGATATACAGCGCGTACTGGTCCCACGGCGCGTTGATCTGGTATTTCTTGAGCGCGGCGGGGAGGACCTTGTAGCACGGGTCATCCATGCTGACGCGGAAGGACTTGAAGATCTCGACCGAGGCGTTGCTGCTTGCGCCTGGCGTTTCTGGGGCGGGCGTCTGCATCCTGCGCGGGGCGGTGCCGCTCTGTGGTTGGCTGTAATGATCGTTCGAGGTAAAGGTGGAGCGGCTTGAAGGTGTCGTTTGCTCGCCGCGGTAGGAGCGCGCGCCAAGCGTGGTGCCGGTCATCATGCCTCCGGTGGGCGGAGAGGTTGGGGATGGCATGTTGGGAGAAGGGTACGAGGGCGACGAGGAGCTGCCCGCATTCCCGTTCATAGCGGCCAGATGGGACGAGGAGAGAACGGCTCTTTCGGCGGCGCTCGAGGGATCGAGCGTCTGTTCGACGATGGACCGGTCGTGGCTCGTTTGCAGGTGGGTTGGAGATGTGGCCTTGGGTGTGGTTCCCAGCATAATCTTCTTGGTGGAGTACTGGCGGTTCAAACCTGCACTGCCCTGACCTGCTGTTGATGGTGTGGGCGCGGGGGGCGAAAGCGTGCTCTCGTACGTCTGACCGTTGTTGAGCGTTGGCAGCGGTTGTTGGGCGTTTTTGGCCAGCCGTAATGCGGGCAGCATGTCTTCCCGCAACCTCCTGAAGTCCTCAGTTAATCTTCGGAGATCCTGCTCAAATAATGCCATCCGCTCGTCTCGAAGGCGCAGCTGTTCCACGAGGTGCTTAATATCCTTCAGTGTCGCATTTGACGACTGTGCTTGTGTCTCGGCAGCTGTGGTTTGTTCAGTTAGTATGACACCCTCACATCTAGCAAACTTCGACAAGGACGTACTTGGCGGCATATAGTGATCAGGTTCGATGGGAACGTCCTGTGCCTTCTTGACATCGTAAACCGACTTAAGGATGGTCAGACGGTGTCCAACACTAGTGATCCCCATGGCTTTGAGATCCTCATGCTGCAGAGCCACGAGGGCTTCGCCGACGATGTCATTTTCTAACGCAAACGGGCGTCAACACGGCTGGTCCAGCGAACGGCAAGCCCGGCCCAACGTCTGCTCACCTATAAACCTGTCTGCATATTGTTGCACGCCTATGCTGGCAATGAAATCGGCGCATTCTTCGGCGGTCCACTCGGATATGATAGTTTCGGGTAGCCTGTCGGCGCTGGAGCGGTAGCCGTACGTGGTGGGTGTGTGCTCGGCTGATGGCGGGTCGGAGTCGATCGGGGAGTTCTCCACGTCGGTGGCTATGGGCGAGCTGCCATGGATATCTCTCTCGTACTCGTCGTCTGCATCTGACTCCGCATAGGCGGTCCCCGAGTCGAAGTTCATGGCTGGGTAGACTGGGGCCCTCACGGCCTGCGCTGCGGCGAGGGCCAGCGTATCGGATCGATCTTGCCCCGAAGGGAGCGGCCGACGAGAGAGGCAAGAGGTGGCAGGATGTTCCTTTCGGGACCGAGGACTCGGAGTGAGCTACGGTCTTGATACAGCGCAGGGGGCGTTGGTTCCAGCAAAGAGCAGCGGTGGTTTAGATCTCGTCGTGGGGTTGCGGCACGTCGATCGGATCCGTAGACGGCAGGCGGCAGGAACGGGCAGTGCTCGGCGACGGATTCCTAACTACTTCCCCCAACGGCCCCTCGATCGAGCAGCAAGGGTTATTGTGGGCTGGACTGAGGTGCCCGGCGGCTTGGGGCTATCTATCGTAACAGAAAGGGCGGCGCGGCAGCAGGAGAGCGAATGCCGTGGGATTGGCAAGTCGTCGATTGACGGCGGAGTGGGAGCTTCCAGTTGTTGATTGCGGGCGCAAGCGCTGCCGTACTCCGTAGCCGCTCGCTTGGTTGCTTGGAAGTGGTGCACTTCCTAAACCGTGCTAGTGTCAAATATTGTCCTCGCGAGTTCCAAGGTTGCTCCCCCTTGCGAGTTGCGACTTCCAGACCAGGCCAGGGGTCCCACCCGACCGTTGTGCCTGGAAGGCCGAACTTCACCCCTCGCCTGCCCGCTTTGCTGTGGCTCCACGCCTTATTATTACTAACTGATTGCCGAATAATTCATCAAGCTGGCCGCAGGTACAAACGGAAGCAGCGCAGCGCCAGGTCTTCCGTCTTTGATGCGCAAAGTCATGTGTGATTGAGTCAGTGTGACGACATATCGGGTCTCATGAGAGACTTCTTTCGTCCAACAGCAACATTGTATGCTCTTGCGACTGCTATATTGAACTCTATTACCCTCTTTTGCCAGGAGGAATCCCAAGCCACCGCCAATTATGGAAGCGGTTCATTGCGGAGCCCCGCCCAATGTTCCCAAATTTTTGTCAAAAGGCACCACAAAACTGATATACATTGTACGTAGGGAGTCATGAGGCTTCCATCGATCAGTGAGGACTAGTAGTCTTCATGAAATATCACTTGTGTCAGTATGGCTCGGGCATCCTTGTGTGGTCGGGCGGTATTGTATGGCTTGGCTGCCAACTTTCGGCGTTTCGTCTGATCTTTGATTGTCTGCTCGCGATTTTCCATTGTGTCTCGCATGCATCTGCACCCACAGCCTCAACGGGTGTTACCCTCGGCGATCCAATAGCACAGATCAGAGGGCTCGTCGTCACTCTTCCCGGCGACGAACCACGGCCCCTGCCCACGTTCTCGGACGACGGTTCGCCACAGATTCCGCCAGGGCCGCGTATGCCATGCAGTTCCAAGCCCAGCCCTCGAGCACGACCGAGTTGAAACCGCCAGGTGCTGGGCCGCCCTTGACGACCCCGGAGCACCCCCGCGTTTCACTTTCTGGCCGGGACGGCATCTCTCCCGCAGCGCAGGGGTGAGCAACTAGCAACTTAATAAGGGTCGGGTTCTCGAGCGTTAGGGTTCTCGAAGGGGGCAGGATCCGGGATGGTCCTCGGCAGCAACATCAGTTGTAGCAATCCTCTCCGGCCTCTGCGCAGTACGAAACCCGGGACACGTCGAGGCCTTGAGGGAAATTAGAATTAACATACCTAGTTAAGGGGACGGAGAACAACTTTATAGAGCGATGAAATACAGGTGCCATGTTTCATGACGACATGAACATATCGTCGTGCCGCGCCGTAACCACATACCCAATGTCCTAGCTATACACGACAACCGCCTGAAAAAAAGTCATCATCAAGTCATGATACCAAGTTGACCCCCTAAAGCTATACCCATTGGGCCCGCCACCAGAGTCTCATAACCGCCAGACCCCCGGAACGCTAATGCAAAGCAGCCGCCATAACTACCGTTCCTACAAACAAACAGCCCACAAGAACCAAGACTCTGTACATATATACATACATCCATACATACACATATATACATACCAACGAGCACTCCTACTACCCTACCAATGCGAGCTGCGCTTCTTCTGGATCTTGCTCCTCTCCTCCTCCGACCGCCTCCTCCCGTGCCTCTGCACCGCCGGCACCTGGCTTTGCAGCTGCTGCAGCTGGCCAGCGGCGCCCTTCCACAGCGCATTCAGCGTATTGAAGTGGAACGGGCCCTGCTGCTGCTGCTGCTGCTGCTGGCCCGACGGCTGGCCCGGCCGGTCATACGGCCCCGCGCTCACCGGCCTGGGCGGCAATCCCGGCGTCGGCGTCGGCACAGGCGGAGCGGCGAATCCGGAGCCAGGACCGCCGGTCGGAGGACGGTATCCCCAGGGATTGAGATGTTGTTGAGGAGGAGGCGGTGGGTGGTGAGGGGGATGAGACGCGTGTGGTGGTGGAGGGCCCTGCTGCTGCTGCTGCTGTTGGCGCGGCGGGAGAGGAGGCCGGTCTTTGGGCAATTCCTGTCCTTCGACGCCGTACATCTTGCGCAGGCGCTCTGTTTCTTTGGCGACCTCTGCTTCCCGCCGGCGCCGCTCTTTTTCTTCTTCCTCGATCATCTTCTTGATGCGTTTTTGTTCGGCACGCTCGGCCTTTTCGCGCTCGCGTTGCTCCCGCTCGACCATGGCTTGCAGCCGGCGGGTTTCGGCGTCGACCCCGGGACTCGTAGTAGAAGGGCCCGCGGTGGTGTTCCTCTTGGTGGGTGCCGATGTGGGCGGAGGGGGCTGGGATGGGGCGGCGTTTGCTAACGCTCCAGACATGGCGGTCGGTGTTGGTGTTGTTGTTGTCGTTGTCGTTGCCGAGTTGTTAGCAACCGCAACGGGGCGTGAGTTCTTCCTCTTGTTTCCATTGAGCGTTGGAGGTACGCCCTGGATGTTGAACAAGTCGAGCTTGGGTGTCAACCAGAACTCTTTGATGACTTCTGATCCCAGCAAGAGGACCAGCTCAAGCCCCTTGCGGTCCTCGATCTCGACGCGGTGCCAATTCGGCTGGTAGACGGTCAGGATGCTCTCGCGACTGGCTTTGAACAGTGCGACGGTGATGTCGGGCTCCTTGTTCTTGCGCGCCCCGAGTCTCATCCCCGACACGTAGCACGTCATGTCCTTGCTTATCAGCCCATCCCTCTTCCACCGGAACATGACGCGCGGGATCAGATCGGCGGCGGCCGGCGAGCTGTTCTGCTGCTCGCGATCCAGTTCGCTGGCTGTTGGCGTGGCGAATGTCTGAACAGGCAACTCGAACTCCCAGCTGTCGCTCTTGCCCCACGAGCCCGGCACCATCTTGACCGTCACGGACTGGTCCGGGTTGTATAGTTGCACCGTGAAGCTATCCGGCACAGTCGCCACAGCCGCAGCCGGGGGCGCACCGGCCTGGCTTTGAGCGCGGATCTCGGCAGCCGACAGGGTCGGTTGGGACCACTCCGGTTCTACTGTCACCTCCCCGTACACCACGCCGGCGTTGTGAGGGTCGCAGAGCGCGATCGCGTACTTGTTGCGCGATTCAGGCAACGCCGGGTCTGCCCGCCGGAGTAAATACTCGGCAGCCGGTTCGGAGCCATTGTGCGTAAAGTACAGGATGCTCGAGAGCGGGTTGTCGGAGGATGGCTTGAGTCGGAAAGTGGGTAGGTTCTCGTCGAGCATGCTGCTGGCGGAGGAGGTGGGCGCCTAGTTGACGAGGTCTCAAACCAAGACGCGGAGCTGTTGCGGCTTCTTAACTGTCGTTTTTGTGGCCGAGTTGGATGCCCCAGATGAGAAACTGCGAATCGTTCACAACAAGTCGGCGTCTCTTTTACACACTGCTGAGGATGGCAACGTCCCGGGCTTAACAGGCACTGACAGGAAACTTGAAAGGCTTCACTTATCAAAGACAAAGGAATGCTAAACGGTTAAGTAGGTGTGTATGTACAGTACAAGTCAAAAAGCTGACGAGGACCTGGTGGGTCAGGCCGCAGCATACCAAGGCCCTTTTACTCCTCAACGAGGCTGAGCTCAAGAGGCACGGGACAGATGGAGTAATGATTGTGCGTGTTGAGAATGAAACACCGTTGTTGAAGTCCTGTCAGTTGACCCCGCTATGTTCTCAAGACAACCGCCAAGCGAACGCCCCTGTAGCTCACGTCATCCTCCTGCAAGGGAAAGTCCCGCCCATTGCGTGGAGCGGGATAGTTCCTGAATGGTGGCACTTATTGACATGCGGTTGCTGAGCCTGATCGTTAGTATTATAATTACTAGTATGCATTAAAAGAGTGCTTAATGCAATGTATGTGCCCGACAGTTCTGCTTTGTTGGGTTGACGATGATAGTAACCGGAGCGCAGTCGCCAAATTACGGATGCCGAGGTGATGATGTGATATCCTGCCCCCGACAACAACACGATGGTAATGTTCGGGATCCAAAAAACATGCGGCTTGCGGATGCTCCTCCAAGAAATATTGTCAGGATCTATGTCCGGCGTATTTATTACTTGAGATCTCAAGTTGGTTTACCGGGCACTCGGTTTGGAACCGATTAAGGAATACCACGGGTTAGGGATACAAGGGAGCTGGGCGTGCTGGGGACTCGGGAGCAAGGAGCCGGTGCAACGCCCGACCGGGAGCTTGCCCCACCACGTGACCACACAGAATTCGAAAACTATCGCGGCACAAATTTGCTGGTGATTGCATTCCCCTACCTCGGACTTCAACCAAGTTTAGGACAACGAGTGCCGGTACTGCACAAAGTTGCCCATCATGTCTCTGGTGACGGGCGAGAAGGTACGTTGACATCCAGAATGGATAATACCTTCATTGCCTACGATTCCTGCTGTCGGCCGTCTTCCTGGATTGCCACGACTGCGACGACGATTAGGGCTCGACTTGGTCGGCAGACGCTGGATTGCTTTGAGGTTATATTCGACACGGTCAGAGAGACGCATGTCATAGGGCTGGACGAACATGATAGACCGGGTGGAACACTGTCACCATTGTGAGGGAAACTGCTCGCCCTCCCTCATAAGATGCGTGCGTCGACAACACGATTTAGGCCGTGCAGACAACATCTGGGAATACTTGGGGCTCGCCCGGCGCTGGCTACCACTTAATGACACCAGCTCTTCGTGGCGATCCAGGAACCGGCACGGCGACAGGAACACTCAGCAACTGCTGAAATACATGTCTTGAGGTGCATATCTTCAAGCGGAAATACTAACGAGTTCTCAGAGCAATTTCAACCACATCTTGCGTCTGCTCAACACCAACGTTGACGGCAAGCAGAAGGTCGTCTACTCCTTGACGTAAGCTCCCCTTGCGAATCTGGCCTTGTAAAGGAATGCATCACTAACAGCCGCGCTTTAGTAAGATCAAGGGTGTTGGTCGCCGCTACTGTATGTTCCCCGCTGGTTCTCCGAATTCTTGACGACCCCAGTGCCTAAGTCGCTTCAACAACACACAATTCGAGGCGTCCACAGTACTGACGGAGTTGAATAGCCAACCTCGTCTGCAAGAAGGCCGATGTCGACCTGAAGAAGCGCGCCGGTGAGCTCACCTCTGAGGAGCTTGAGCGTCTGGTCACCATCATCCAGAACCCCACCGCCTACAAGATCCCGGCTGTGCGTTTGCCCCTGTGTCCCGCGCCGTTGGACTAGACACTGACAGCCCGTGCAACAGTGGTTCCTCAACAGGCAGCGCGATATCGTCGATGGCAAGGACTCTCAAGTTCTCGCCAACAACGTCGACTCCAAGCTCCGTGATGACCTCGAGCGCCTGAAGAAGATCCGGGCTCACCGTGGTCTCCGTCACTACTGGGGTCTCCGTGTCCGTGGTCAGCACACCAAGACGACTGGCCGCCGCGGCCGGACCGTCGGTGTGTCCAAGAAGAAGGGTGGTTAAGCGTTTTTCTTTGGCGTGTGGCATTATTTGGCACTGCTGTGCTTGGCTTTTTGGCGGTGTTATCCCCAGGCTAAGGGGTGCTCATGGACGGCTCGGGTTGATTTTTTTACCTTGCGGGTTCCTCGGGGGACTCGCTGGATTGCTAAAGGGGACCACCATGATACACAGCATGACAAATGCGGGCGTGGATATGAAAAAGCAGTGAAATTGTGCCAACGAGACGTGCCATGATCAGTGATAGAATGTCCCGCCCTGCTTTTGGTGCCAAACTCCAAGAACCTGTCTAAACCAAAGATAGCATGGAAAAGGGTATCAGGTAGATGATCATTTAATCCTCATGAGTGACAGCCATGTCCAGAACCTCTACCCTCCCCTGACCTTTTGTCTCCCCACCTATGAAGTCTGACAACCCCTTGAAAGCGCCGGGTTCTACGAACCCTACAATCTCCCACTCTGAGCCCATCACATCCTGACTCTCAACCTGCTCGATAAAACTGAGGATCTTGTCCTTGACCGTTCCGGGCGCCTTCTGCTCCCCTTCCGTCCCAGCTTCTGCGTCCTTGCTACCCGCCTGCCCTTTGGGCGCCTTGACTGCCTGCTTCAGGACGTTGGTCGAGCAGGTAATGCGTAGCCGCATGCGCGCTCTTGTGACGGGGATCGGTTGGTGAGCGATGAGGGCACGCATCGCGTCAAGCGCTTGCAATTTGGCGCTCTTGGTCGTCACCACCCCTGTCCAGGTCGGTTTCGCCGCGCGGGGCTTGCTCTCACCCGCCTCGCCTGTTGCGGGGGTGCCCGTGTTGCTCGGGTTGTTGCTGCTGCCTTTGTCCTTGTCCTTGTCCTGTTGTTGCTGGTGCGCATTTGAGCTGAGCATGTCGAGTGCTTTCTCGATCATACCCGGCGTGTAGACGCGCTTGGTGCGCGGATCGACCAGCTTGCTGGCCACGATGGAGATCACTTCATTGTGCACTCGTTCCAGCTGGGCGGTGCGTTCTTTTTCGCCGACTTGGAGCTCGCCCTTGCGCAGGATCTCGAGGATGATGTCGTCGACTGATGTGTCTTTGCCGAACGCCTTAGCTAGCTCGGCAGATGGCGCGGTTTGGCCCTTGGAAACGTTGAGGAAGACGTTCGGGATCTGGAGCACATTGTCCAGGTCTGTCTCAATGCCGGAGCGCCATTCGAGGACTTTGTTCTTGTAACAGGCTATTTCGAAGCGCTTCTTGCCCTTCTTGAGGCGTACCAGAGAGACGTTGGTAAGTTTGATCTGGTTGGAGGGCTGCTGGATCACCATAGCCGCGGCTTGGGCGACGCAAAGGTGGGAGAGGGTGGGGAGTGACGCCGGAGTATCGCTGAGGAACTGCGGAGAGAAGGAGACCGCTGTCTCCGTGTGTATTGTTAAAGCTGTCGAGAGAAGGGTGGGATCTAGAAACGCGCGTTCCTGGTTTGGCAGGGTGTACTCCGTATGATGTTGCGATCTATGGTGTACGGTAGGTTGCCCTCAGAGGGGTTTATTTTCTTATCAAGTACATGCATGTACCCCGCCACGTGCCCGCCATACCCCGTTCCCGAGCGCAGCCGCACTGTGATTGTGGGTCTTCTTCCTACTGTATGTAGCCTAGCGAGCCTGGCAATCGGAACGCCGCCACTTGGCGGTCACTGGCGGTCTCGGCGGTGTACCTAACACATACGGTCATCTGCCAGTTGGAAGCTCTCCGCCACAGCAATATTAGTTCTTAACGAATAACTATCGGACGAGGCGAAAGTTTCTGAGGTTAAAGAATTGGAATATTGATTCTGGAAGTTCACCAACGCGCGGCATGCACGGAGAAATGAGGCTGTCGGAGCGTTATCAAGTTCGATGACGCAGCTGGACACTCGGCTACCTTTCCTTATCAAATGGGAAACAAGCCAGAATAATGAAGATAAGTCCTTAGCCCAAAAGCAGGGCGGATGCTTTTTTCTGTAGTATGCTCCGCCGCAACCGGTTCCCGTGATCAGGCCTGCAAGGTACCCAGGCGTGCCCAGGCACGTCCACCTGGGAACGGGCCGGGAGTGGCGCAACCAATGTCCTGCCTGGGTTGCCGCGCCAGCGTTTCCCCGACTCCGGCAGGTGCTCGTTCCCCGGGTGCTGTTTCAGTCAACACCAACCCCCCAAGCTCTTTCTTATCTTCCTCCTCTTTCCTCCCCCCATCTAACCATCAACCAAACTTATCATTGTATCTCTCACTTTCCCGTACTTCTGACCGAGTGGCACTACCATCTATCCGCTCTCACAATGAGGATCGCTGCGTCGACAGTGCTGTTCGGCGCTGCTTCCGCAGCTTCGTTCCAGCAGCAGGCCCAGCATGTGCTTTCAGGCGGCTTTGGAAAGGCGCAAGACGCCATGAAGCCCATTTCAGATGCCTTCGCTGACGCAGCTGCTCACCCTATCGAGAGCTTCGAGGAGGCTTTCCAGGGTGTCAGCGCCGAGACGAAGGCGCTCTGGGACGAGATCAAGCTGCTCGTTCCCGAGAGCGCCTTCAAGAATCCTTCGTGGTTGAGCAAGCCCAAGCCGCACCGCCGGCGCAACGATTGGGACCATGTCGTCAAGGGCGCCGATGTGCAGAAGGTGTGGGTGCAGGGTGCCGATGGCGAGAGCCACCGCGAGGTTGGCGGCCGGCTCGAGAACTACAACATGCGCGTCAAGTCGGTCGACCCGTCCAAGCTCGGCATTGATTCAGTCAAGCAATATAGTGGTTACCTTGACGATGAAGCTAATGACAAGCACTTATTCTACTGTGAGTTCCCATCAATAGCTCGCCAATAGCCATACCCCTGCTAACTCACCGCTATAGGGTTCTTCGAGTCGCGCAATGACCCCAAGAACGACCCGGTTGTCCTCTGGCTCAACGGCGGGCCTGGTTGCTCATCCCTTACTGGGCTTTTCCTCGAGCTTGGTCCTTCGTCGATTGACAAGAAGCTCAAGGTTGTGAACAACGAGTTCAGCTGGAACAATAACGCCAGCGTCATCTTCCTTGACCAGCCTGTCAACGTCGGATACTCGTACTCCGGATCTTCCGTGAGCAACACCATCGCTGCCGGCAAGGACGTCTACGCTCTCTTAACCCTGTTCTTCCACCAATTCCCCGAATACGCCAAGCAAGACTTCCACATTGCCGGCGAATCGTACGCTGGCCACTACATTCCCGTCTTCGCTTCTGAGATCCTGTCGCACAAGAACCGAAACATCAACCTCAAGTCCGTTCTGATTGGCAACGGTCTGACGGACGGTCTCACTCAGTACGAGTACTATCGTCCCATGGCCTGCGGCGAAGGCGGCTACCCCGCTGTCCTGAGCGAATCTGAGTGCCAGAGCATGGACAACGCGCTGCCGAGATGCCAGTCGCTGATCAACAACTGCTACGAAAGCGGCAGCGTGTGGAGCTGCGTCCCGGCTTCCATCTACTGCAACAACGCTTTGATTGGCCCCTACCAGCGCACTGGCCAGAATGTCTACGACATCCGCGGCAAGTGCGAGGACAGCAGCAACCTCTGCTACAGCGCTCTAGGCTGGATCAGCGACTACCTGAACCAGCAGTCCGTCATGGATGCCCTTGGCGTTGAGGTCTCGAGCTACGAGAGCTGCAACTTCGACATCAACCGCAACTTCCTGTTCCAGGGAGACTGGATGCAGCCTTTCCACCGCCTGGTACCCAACATCCTCAAGGAGATCCCGGTGCTCATCTATGCCGGTGATGCCGATTACATCTGCAACTGGCTTGGCAACCAGGCCTGGACCGAGGCTCTGGAGTGGTCCGGCAAGAAGGACTTCAACCACGCCAAGGTCAAGGACCTGAAGCTTGCCGGGGCTGACAAGGAGTACGGCAAGGTCAAGGCATCTGGGAACTTCACCTTCATGCGCATCTACCAGGCCGGTCATATGGTCCCTATGGACCAGCCCGAGAACTCGCTTGACTTCCTGAATAGGTGGTTGGGTGGCGAATGGTTGGCGCACTAGACTGCCACTGAGCTAGTGGCATCTGTGTACACATGGGACATGATACATATTTGAACGAGTATCATCATTGCGGGCCCTTGCTCCACTGAATGCCGGTAGATTGGTTTTCGCGTGTGATGACTAGCACTAGACCGAAGCATTGCAGAATATATTGGAATAAATACACTATTTTCTTTCTACATAAGAATGAACTATCGCATTGCTCTGGTGCTCGGTACAGCTTTCTCTTGAACGTGACCTTGGCAAAGCTGGGACTCTCTCCCCTTGTGATATTATGGAGGGAGGGTCTCTCATACCCGACGCCAGTTATGTATATGGCATGGCACGACAATTGGTTAAAGGGCAATAGTTTGTACGCAGGTTCATGTTCCACATATACACATCCGGTGTTCCTCCTACATGCCCTTCCCTTATCCTAGTAAACGACGCAAGCAGGCCTTCAGACAGCCGCGGCGGGCTCTTCCAGAAACGAAGCCACCATGGCTGCGATGCTAACGCGAGCCGGCATTGACCAATGATGCAACCCAAGGAGTCTGCACTTCCTGTCCTCTGCTAGGCCGTCCCTGCATCCTTCATTCCTGCCTTACCTATCTTGCCACTACCAATCCCCCAAGCCAAGGTATAATAAACCATGGAAAAGCCTACAACAAACCCATCGCACCCTGGCAGATCCAGAACGCCAACCGGCCATGAAAAATCAACGCCAACCACGCCACGATCCGACTAACCCTACCCCATTTTCCTTCTCCTCATCCTAGCCCACGTACACCACACCACATAACTAACCAAGACACTGATTTCCAAAATCGTGCCAACAAGCCTGGGGTTTGCTCCTGGCGTGTGGTGTCGTGGCGCCTATATGTAAGAAAAGACGAAGCGATAAAAAGGCCTGGCAGGGTAGCAGGATACACGTCTCTGCGTCCCACCACGTATCGTACACACAACAACCATATGTTTGGGTGATATGGCCCCATGGTTGCTTAACGTCGCTCTCAGTCCTCCATCATCTGCTGAGCAACACAGCACCGGGAAGGTCCTTCCTGTGTGCGTTCAACCGCTCATCGTCGTCTACTCCTAAAGCTTGGATAACCCCGGCGACGACTCGAAGGTCGTCCCGAGTTCGACAAACGAAGGGCCGCAATGGAAGCGGCGATAGTTTAGATGTCCGCCGCGCTTCTCGGCTCAGGATTGGCCGTGTAGCTTCTGCGGCTGCATTACCTTCTTGTTATTGCCGTATCCTCATCCCGTCTTCCCCAGGAGAAATAGCCGGGTGTTGGATGGCAAATGGTGCCTGTCAGGCCCTACCCTGCAGTATCAGCGGGGCTCGCGGTCTTATGTTTTCTAAACAGGTTCTGCATATTGATCCTGAACCGGCTCGGCTTCTTCTTCAGCTGTCTATTTTCTGGATCCGGCTCCAGGCCGTTTGTCTTCCCAGCTCCATTTGTAGCGTGGCCATTGCCGGGGGAGTCGTTGTGTTCCTCATGCAGCGCCAGAGGAGAACAGTCGTCAACAGTCTTAAAATCGGCCTGGCTCTTAGAAGCCGAGTCCGGGACCGTCGTCGTTGATTCATCTCCAGGAGGTGTGCTCGTCACGGGGACGCTGTTGGGATGTTCAAACGAATCGTAGCTCACGATGCTGGTCCCCTGTGTGCTAGGAGACAACGGCATCTTACCGGTGGTGGCACTTGTTGCCTGCGAGGCGCCCCAGTCTCCACTATTTGGCGCGGAACTGCCATCCGTCATCTCGCTGCATCTGTGCCCGGTTTGATCATGAGGATGGCCGTTGTCGCTGCTGGATGGTTCGCTGTGGCCGAAATCGCTTGTAGATGTAAAGCTGGTCACAATTCCGCTCACTCTCCGCCCACTAGGCGGCCGCCTGGAGCATTGATGTGGTCTTTGGAATGGCTCCGATTCCTGAACAGCCGTTGGGCCCACCGCGACGTGGGGTTCAACGACTCGAGGTACAGGCCCTCGTGTAGCTTTCAGCGGATGCACTTCCGTCGGCGGCTCTGGGAAAGTCGTGAAGGATAGCGCTTCGGGACACGGCTCGCCGTCACCGGCGTGGAGTATTGGCTCGCTTGGCGACTGCCGTTCTTGTTCTTGTATTCTCTTGAACGAACCCCTATTCTGGAGGAGCTGGTCCACGCAGTATTGCATACCCGGTAGGATATCAGCCACCCCCCGGAATAGGGGCACGGCGAACAAGTCCATGAACTTCAACTGGGATGTAACAAGTGAGAGGCGATCCCGTTTCGGTTCCGACATCAGAGACGTCGGGATAGCCAGCGCACGCTCCATCGTGCCTTGCCGAAGAAATTCGTCGGATAGGATATACATCCATTTCTCCGCGACGTCGAGCTGCCGTGCCTATATCTTGTGAGTATGGCGCTGGTGAGTGGTAGGACAGCTGCTGGCACTCACTACGTTGCTGATGTCGGCGCACTTCATGAGAAGAGCACATGCGGTCGCCGTCTGCTCGTATTTGAGCTTCTCATCCCACCCCTCGGTACGATCGTCGGCACGGAGTTTATCCTGAAGATCCTCCAGCTTCTTCATGTAGTCAAAGTGCAGGCTCATATCAGTAGCGAGAATCGAGCTGATCAGGAGATTACGCATCCTGCCATCGCTGAAAGCGGAGGGCCAGTATCTCCGGAGAATTTGCGAGTACGCAGCGCAGTGGAACGACTCGAGAACCGAGCGATCATTGTAGAGCTGTGCGAGTGGTGTGTTTAGCGTAATCAGAAAGCCGTTGTTGACTCCGGGATGTCCGACGTCGTGGCCAATTGCCGTTATGAGGAGCGTCAAGGCCTCAAACGGCCGGAGCAGCTTCGCAATTGGCGACTTGGGGTCGGCCTCGGACGGCAAACCATCGGCAGCGGGGTAATGAGGTAATGAACCAATCGACACTAGGAAGTGGAAGGTCGCCTGCAGGACATCAACCACGTGGCGGAAGTTGTGATATGGAACGAATTTGATATAGGCCTCCCGGCAGGCGAGCAGGAAGCGGTGTAGCTGGTCTGGGTGAGGCCATCAGCTGACTGCATATGGCCGATGACGGTAAATTTATATGAAGAGACATACCTGTTGATATCCGCCACGGCGCCAACTCAGGCATGGACAATGCATGCTTGAACATGACCATGGCCGCCACCACAAGTTCGTCGTCGGTCAACTCGTGCGCTGAGAAATGCCACCGACCCACGGCGGACGAGATTTCGGCCTGCTTCGCAGTAGATACTGGCAGACTGATACTCGCAGGCACGTCCTCAATCTCGCTCTCTGTGCGGCAAATGCGATCGAGCAGCTTCGACACCATGGCTTCGCGCAGATAAGAGAACGGCATCTCGTCGTTCACGCCGACCCATGAGCGTTTCCGGCCTCGACGGAGGGCGAGCAATGCTTGCTGATCTCGAGCGGCGTCCAGATGGGCGCGGTAGACGTGGACCTCCAGGTTGTTGATGCACTTTGCGTTCATAGGGCTCTCCATGACATCTGTGGCGCCGAAGTCCAGACACTCTTTCAGCATCCTCCTGTTGGCCGCCCTACGAGTTTCGCAGCTCGGGTCACCAGTCGGAAGCGCGACCACGGGAACCGTTACGACGAGTTTCGAGGAATTTCCGATATACGCCTCCGAGACTATCCTGCGCAGTAGCGCCAGTCCGTACAAATCCTCATCTTGGTTTCCGCTGTCGTCCGCAGCCCGAGATGACGGCGACGTCGAGCGCGATCTCTGCGCGAACTGGTCCTGGTACGGGGTATCTAGGAGGATCAGAGTCGGTTTCAGGGCCACCACTGAGGTTTCTTGGAGTTCTCGCAATCGCGTCAAGCACGCGACACCGGTGCTGCACAGATGTACTGTATCCGGCCATCAGTACTCTTCAAGGCGGCGTGGCGGGCGGCGGGCAGCATACCTGTATGAAAGATGTCCAAGAGGAGCTTCAGATTTTCAGCAACATGCGCACCCTCCTGCTGCGCAGCATCCTTTTCGCTGCGCCTCACGCACCGGTCCCTCGACACCGACCGGTCAACGTATATGACATCGCAACCGGCGTGCTCCATGGTGGCCCTGGCAAAGCGACCAGTCTTGCGACCGGGTACGCTTCCGCCACCGGGGTCTTAAGTGGCAGGAGAACCAGACAGGGTCCGGATATGAAAGCTGGCCTGCGGACTTTGCGCTATCGAGACAAGCCAAGCCGGAGAATAGATGGAGGGTCGGCCGGAATGCTGAGCGAAGTACTAGGACTGACTTTAGTTAGGATCGGATCGACTGTCTGCTCGATATTAGACATGCAGCGCGAAGAGATTTGGGGCGACGGGCGCTCGGACGACGTTAGAGGTGGTAATGGGGAACAGGGAACCTAAACCAACGGGCCGGTGCGCTGGTCGGAGGACATTGGGAAAGGGCGAGGCCCGTGTGCGACTCAAGTGACAACGGTCTGGGTCGTTGGACTGAGGCGCCGCAATGAGCAGTCATACCTGTGGAGTCTGAGGGCTGACGAGGGTGGGGGATGAAGAAAGCAAAACAAAGACAGAGAGACGGACTGGAAGTTACTGTACTGTACTGTACATACATTACACAGTTGCGGATTTGTTCTTGCTGCCGTCCCGGTGTGGCCTCGAGGTGTGGATTGGGCAGAAGTGGTCGAGGCTCCCCAAGTATACCTACTTGAGTGGCTGTAATGTAATGGTGTAGACTAGTTATGAGGTACGAAGCGTAAATGGGATCCGGAAGCTTGCGCCTCGAAAGAAAGGAACAAGGCAGGTCCGCGCTCGAGCCCATGGGGCGAATTTCGATCTCTCTTTGGCCCTAGTGTAAGGGAAGGAAGGCCGAATGGTGCGATTACCTAGGATCAAATAAAGGCGTTCTCCACGATTGGACTGGTTTTATGGGACGGTAACATAGCAAGGACCTCCCGAGCAGGTCGCCGTGCGCACACACGGAGAGGTTGGAACGACAAGGCGAATTGGACCAAATGGAGTATGTGGAATAGTGGAACATGGAAGGAGAATGAATTCATGAATTCATCGGGGGATGCACAGACATGTGGGTTCATCTCTCCTTGGTAGGCCAGTTAAAATGCGCGGCTGAGGTGGGGATTGTGCGTGAACGGGAAAAGATGCAATCTCAGGGATAGCCGGCAGGGACGCTCACTGGTCCATCGTAAACCCCTGGGCTTCTGGCTGTCTTCTCGAAAAACTGTCGAACGCGCTACTGCAAACCAAACCCCTCGACTAGCCCCGCCCGAGCAGCAAGGACGCAGGCCAAGTCTCCTGGGCGCCTGAGCGAGCACACGGTATTCCGTACATGCAGTGCCAAGTTGCCAATAATGATAAATCAATGAAACCCCGCTAGAACAATGCGTGCACTGCACACTCACAATAGGTAGGTAGTAACCAACAATGAACGTGTGTTGTCGGTGACTCGGGTTCCCTTCGAGCCTCCTTACTTCTCTCCGTATTCTCGATAAGGTTGAAAATTTCATAAGGTATGTAATAGGGTGGGGCCGGTCTTACTCGGGGAATGCCCTAAGCCAAGTCCTGATCCTTCATCCCAACCCACTGATGGAGTCGGGAAAGAACGTCCGTCCCATTCTCAAAACGACGCCATCGGCTAGGCGCATCAGGCCGTGATGTCTCGAGATGCTGGATCCATCCTGTGGACATGGCAGCATTGGAAGCCGCACAACCGCCTACGAACTCAGACAGGGCCGGAGGAAGCGAACGGCGTTCAAGAGCAACTCGTGTGTCGTGTATTGCCTGTACCGAGACAGACATGACAACCCAGAGCTGAAACATATACATACGTCCTCAACTCTACTACACTAATAAGCAACGGTAGCCTAGTCAACAAAGCAAAAACCGGCCCGAGATAAAGGCATCTTCTCCGTGCGGCTCCGCCGATAGTTTTGGCGGTTTCCCGCGACACGGTCGGCAGGCTCCTCCAGAACTCGGCCGTTCCCCACAAGCCCAGCCTTGGGAGTCGGGACCTTCTCGAAGCAGTCAAACCACGCGAGGATATCCCGCGCTATAAAAAGCCAAGCGTGCACGAGTCGCCGAATCGCCTCTGAATGGCCGTTGCGCCCGTTGTCCCCTGAAAACTGAAAATGGCATCATACTTGCCTATCCATTTCTTTGTTCTCATTGACTTAAGGTTTCCCAAGTCAAGAGACCATAGTATCAAGCTCGCGGGTTGGGTCGCGCCCTTCGATCTTTTAGCCGTGCCGCTTCCTGCCCCGAGCGTGCATGCTCCCTCCCGCTCTTGCCAATTGGATGCGTCGCGTTGTGCAGCCCCAGCGGCTTGAGCTTCAGCTGGCGTTGATCAAGCACAGGTTCAAACAAGACTCTCAGAGTCAGGTTGGCACGTATCCGACCTACATACATGTACTCCCAACCTATCACATCGCCAGACCTCCGCTGGTTTAGCCTCGGGGATAGTTACAGCACTGGGTTCATAGTACATACCAGGTACCTACACTACTAGGTGCCGGTAAGCTGTTCCTCCCGAGCGCCACTCCGGCGGCAAGGACCGCAGTTGCAACTTTCACTGCCCCGAGCCGAGCGTCGGGTGGTCGCCTGACACCCGGCACGTATTGTACATACCGTCGTAAATATATTATATGGAAGCCAAAGCCGTTTCAACCACGAATGCGTCAAGCAGTCTTTCCCTCTCGCAGAAGCGACAGTGTTCCCTTCCAGGTTTTGCTCCTCGGATGTGAACTGAAACCGTGTCTCCCAGATGCCCGGCGGAAACAAGCACCATGTACGCACCGGTGCGTATGTACCATATTTCTATCGTCCTCTGATATGCAACTACGACTACCGAAGACTTATAAATATCGCTCCCAAACGTCTCAGCCCCGTTGATCTCGCCATGATCGTGCAGCCGTAAAATCCAGGGAAGGTTGCGCATTACCAACAAATAATCCAGCACTTGTGTATACTCAATATATTTTCTTGATTAGTTTGAACTTGTCCGTTATATGTCCTCGATGCGCGTGCGGGAGATCCTAAGCCCAAAACAACCGGGCCGCCTTAGGGCTAGGTACCTAGTATATGTGTAAGTATCTTAAGTGATTTTTCCATAATGCACCTCCTGCGCTTTCATTCGACTCCCCAGGGCCATCGTATGAAATGCATACCTGGTATCTTCATGCTGCCTTAGCCACCCTCTCATGCTCATGCTATATAGTACCACAGCGGCATCAACCCCCCCGCAGATTGCAACTCACCAAGGTAGAACAAACTTAATAATTGCAGTCTAATCACGCTTTTGACCCAATGACTCATGATGCTCGTCCCCGATCTTTTTCTACATCTATACTTCATCATCCCCTCCGCCATGAACCCACTCTATCTACAACCCATCACACTTATTGATGATTTTGATGGTTCTCATTCCTTCCCAGCACATCCACGCATGATACTATCTTCCAATGCAGAGACGCAAGAGAAAACAAGGTCTGTGTGTAGCAGCACCGTCCACCCTTTGTGGTTATGTACTCGACAGGATAGCCAGTCCCGGACCCCGCCCAGAACTGCTGCTCGCTGCCACTGATCCCGAATATGAATGACCCAGCTCCCCGCTGAAGTGAATGGTGCTCATCGGTGGAAGGGGAGATACCAAGTCTTCATCATTCCCATGCAAGTGTAAAAAGTAACGAATAAGAGCAGGGTAGGTAAGGTAGGCCAGGTTAGGATAAGGTAAAGTCGCTGGAGCGAGTAGGTAGGGATAGGACGGTAATCAAGAAAAAGAAGTGATACCAGCACGTCCCATCCCACCTCTTTTGCCTCCCTGACGTTTTCCTATGAATGCCATAGCGTCTCGTTGTACCGGACATAGAAGACCTTGCCCGCCCGCGCTGCCGTGAGCAATCAAGAATAAAGGATGATTCGAGTAAAATAGACGGGAGGTGCCAAAGAAACACGATTGGACGGCCCAAAGTAACCTAACGCTATGTAACGCTATCCGGCCCTTCCCGCCAGGTCGGGAGCGTACCGTACCCTTCTCTAACTGGACGGTTTGTCCGCAGCCGCTGGCTGCTCGTCCCCATCGCTGACATGAATTTCCGCCACCTTATCGCTAGCCAGGTCATCATCCCTACCCGCCAGGTCGTCTACAAGCGGCACCTTGTGGACTTGCTGATTGACCCACTTCTGGGCGGCGATGTGGCTCATGTAGTCGTCCTGCTCATCGTCCAGCGGCGGGGGCGGCTCGTTGAACTCGGCGAACTCGGACATTGGCTCAGCCGGGGCGATGTGCTCCATATCACCGACCGGCGCGTCATCAAAGACGTCTTCGTTGACTGACGAGCCATCGTTTTGCGCCACGTCGCTGGCGATGTCGGCATCGGCTTCCGAGTTCGCTTTGCTCCCGAGGTTGGCGAAGCTCCAGCTGCTGGGACCGATGACAGAGGTCATGCCGGCCATGTTCGCGGTATCGTAGTCCGGGAGGGCGATGGCCTCGTCCTCGCCGTCGCCCTCGATGCTGTTGTGCAGCGTCTCTTCGTTGCTCCACGACAGCTGGGCGCCCATGTCTGTATCATCGTCGTCCCCGCGCCTAGTCCAGTTAGTTTCCTTTAGCGGGAGAGTGAGACCTGCTCCGGTCGAAGCGCTCGGCGATCCACGATGGGAGGAGCCTTGGCCGAGACGCTGACCTTCCCCCGAATCCGACATGTCCTCGTCGTGCCGGGTGTTGTAGCGGTCAAAGATCTCTTGAAACCTCGGACCGCCCAGCGGCACCTCGGACCGGCGGCGGTAGAAGAGTAGATACGCAGCCGAAGACACCACTCGCGAGGTATCGGACAGCTTCGAGACCTGGGCATCTGTGGGGAAAGTGTTAGTAAGATTGATTGTATACGCGGAAAGCGGCTCATTGGGGCAAACTCACCGTTGTACTCGTACCACTGGCCGTCAATGAAGTTCTTGGCAAAGGCCGTATAGTGTCCGCCACCCAGGCCGCCCCAGTGGTCATCGACAGCGATGAGGTCGTAGAGATGCTCCTTCCCATCTTCCTTGTCGATGACGCGCCGTGTCAAATCGAGCCCTTCGACCGGAAAGTCGACCAGAATGTCAAGCTTGTCTCGGCGCCAACCGGCAGAACTAAACCGCTTGAGGTGGACCACAAGGATGTCTGGCGTCTTCCAGAGGTCGAACTTCTTGCTTGCGCGGCGGTGTTCCTTGCAACGGGGGCAGTACCAAGTGTCCTGCTCCGACAGGATCTCCTCCTTCTCGAACTCGTCCAGGCAGTCGTCGAGCGAGATGCCGTGCTTCCTACGCATCTGTCGCGTCTTCTTCTTGGCTTCCAACGCAGGGTCCTCAAGCACCGGAAGGGTCTTGTATGTCTTCATGCCCCGCATGTCATTTGGCGATGTGCCGCCGAAGACATAGTCGAACGCCACCTCGTTCCACTCAACCATGAGGCCCTCGCCAATACCGATTAGAGCACCACCAGGAGGAACGGAATCCTCGGCGTCAGATGCCGACACTGCCGACGGCGGGAAACGGGCGCCTCGCTGTTTCTTGTTAAACCGTCTAATCTTATGGGCCTTCATCTTCTTCCCTCGGGCGGCGCTTACGTGTTTGTTGAACTTGGCTGGCCGTCCATTCAGATGCTAGAGATGAGAACACACGCACGGGTTAGCCCAAACTACCGCGCCAAGGATTTCTCCGGAGATGGATGTTACGAACCTTGGCTCCGGCTTTAGGGAAGTCGGAATCTTCATCACTGGACTCTTCAGCCATGCGGGTCACTAAGGCAGCCTCCACCTTCCCTAGCCCGTCAGCGTCGCTATCTTCAGCACCGTCCAAGGGCTCAGGACTGCGCATCTCTGTGTCCGACGGCGCCGGTTGTGGTAGTCTGGAGCTCAGTCGTGGCAGATCCACATCTTCGTTGGTACCATGCCAGCCAGTGGGAACGATGGTATCCGACTCCGCGAAATAGCTTAGGTCGAAGAGATTCTGCAGCTCCGGGTCAAGGAACTGGAGCGGGTCGATCCACTTGGGTCGCCGTTGCCTGAACCGCCTGAGCAACCGTGGCGAACTTGATGATCGCGGTCAGCTACCCGGCAACATTTGAGCGGCTTCCTTATCTCTGTATTGTACTTACTCGTCAGGCGGCGCGGAAGCGGAGGGTCTCCGCACATCCGCTGCGTCGCGCATCGTCACATCGACCAGATCCTCCTCACCCTCGACCGACTTCGCGACGATCTTAGAGTCGCCTGCGGAGTCCGCATCCGATGCACCGTTGACCATCTCCGGATCCGTCGTCTCTGCGCCGTCGCCGTCCTCAGATGTTGCAAGCTGCGACCATGTCGTGAATGTCGCAACCTTCTCTAAGATCTTGCGCCGGATAGCTTCCATGTCGCGAGCCTCCTCGGGCGTCACGACAATGAAGTGCGGCGGAGGGACAACTTCGGAACTCTTACGTCCATAGCGCTTTCGAGAGTTGGGATCTCGGGGGTCTAGACGATGGAGCACGGGAACGAGCATGTGTGCCGCCCTAGGATCGTCTGCCGGAGAAGGAGCATCATCCCCGTTGGGCGTTGACCTGAGCTTGGCTTGCTTGGCTTGCTTCTTGATACCGGAGATATTTGTTGGGGCAGCTTCTAGTTCGTGCACCGCAGGAATGTCATTCCCTTGAATCTCTTCTGAGACGGCACAGCCATCGTCGTACAGCTTGAAGAACTTGGCATGGAATTCTTCCGCCGCGAAAAGGCGCTCGACGGGTACTCCGACCCGCACAGAGATATACTGCTTCATCGCCCTGATGCTGCTGTTCTTGTCGAGGTCTACCACAATCTCGACGGGCGCATCGTTCAAAGGGTAGAATCTGACGCCCCGGGACCAGACATTGGCAACGGGAAGCGGCAGTGTGAGGTTGTTGAAAGGGTCAAACGTGATGCTGACCTTGTCACAGACGGGGCATACTAGGGTTGACTTGTACATTCCGGTGAACAGGTCGGCAATGACCGAGTCGTCCCGCTTTTTGGTGATATCCCAGACTTTGGCAGCCATCTCGCGTACCGCCGCAGGGTTGTGGACCATGTCGTCCGTAGAATCAGGCTTTTGGATGTACGGCTTTTTCCTGATCCGGTTCAGATCCTCTTGCAGACCATCGAGCAGGAAACCAAGGAATTCCTGGGAGTCTTGCTGCCCATACCCCGAGAATGCGGGGGCATACCGCCCGATGATGCTCTTGAAGTGCCGCGGCGCGACCGAGTTGGGGGCGGGGTCTTTGTAGATCTCCTCCAGCAGGCGTCCATACGCAATAGCAACGTCACCATTGTGTGAGAGAGGATTGTCTGGATTGATCTCCTTTTTAGCCTCGTGCGTGAGGAAGTATTTTGTGAGCTCTTCGACGCTCCTCACGCACTGCAGAGCCGAGTTCATGTAGCACGTGTTGCCCAGGTTCTGGAGACCAACGCAACCGATTGTACGTCCGGGCTTTTGCTGAGCCCTACCCCTAGTCTGGGCGCCCTGGGGCGCTGGGCTGTTCCGTCCGCTATTGTTACCACGGCTTTGAGCACCAACGCCGGCCGAGCTGCTCCGAGTTGCAAGGGTCTTGTCCTTGGTACCATTGCCCCTGAAAGTGGAAACGTACGCATCTCGTTCAATCTGCTCGTCCAGAACAAGGGTTTGATCGACCGCAAGGCCCACCAGCGACAGACTTTTCCTTCCATTGTAGTTGGGGTTCGTCGTGGTGTCATCGGCCTCCACCAAACCACGCTCAACGTCCTTCTCGAGCTTCAAGAACGTCTCCACGTCCACAAGCATTTCCGGCCAGGACCCCGGGATAGCCGGGGGTTGGGTGAGAATCTCCGGGTCACGACCGGGCGAATCGGGTGGGGTATTCATCCCGGATGGCCCAGAGCTGGGCTCTGTGGCCGGAATGGTTTGTAGAAGCCTCCAGACGCGGATCTTCCGGTCCGGTGAAACACCAGCAAGTCTTTTGACCTGTTTCAAGAAGTTATGATAGCCGGATGACGTGCTCTGCACGACTACGGGCGGCGAAGGCTTCTTCAACTTGATCTCCTGCTCGATCGGGATGGGGCTGTTCGCAGACCACAACCGGTGGATCGTAAACACCGGCGGATGGAACTCGAACTGGATGGTGGGGATACTCACCGCATCCGGAGCGGTGTTGTGGGCAAACCGGATGATGGGTGACTGTCCGGGGGCTAGACCGTACCAAGATAGGAGGAGATCCCATGCGTCCTTAGGAAATAATTCGAAATTCTCGGTGCCCATGCCCGGCTTTAGCTTGACGCATAGTTCTCCCGTAGAGTCTGTGAAGATGGCTTGGATGATATCTGAGTTGTCGACAGGTCCAACTGTTCCTCCTGGGGTTTCCTTGCTGGCATGCTTCGCATCCGATCCGAACGCCTGGGCCTTGCCGAGCCACTGCCTAGACACAAGATATGCCTCGTCGCCCTCCTTTGGGGGTGTCTCCGCGAAAGCCTTAACCAGCGTCTCGATAGTTTTGACCTGCTGGTCTAACGGGGGAATGTCTGTTACGAGAGCAGTCAGCATATAGTACGCCGAAATGGCGAGCGAGGCCGTGGTTACCGTTCCGCAAAGGTAGCTCCGCCTTCCCGTTGGGGACAGCAACCTCGGGGTGCTCGGCGGTGTCCTTTCCGCCATTCTCCTCTCCCGGCCCCTCCGCTGGGGCTGTCCTCTGAGAATCCGGGACCGTGATCATATCCACATCCTCCGCGGCGTCGGTAGTGTCTTGCTCTGGTTGCATGCTGGACGCCCTTCGCTTGAGCGGAGAGGAGGATCGTTTGGGCGTATCTTCGCCGCCACCCCTCAGAGCTCGGCGAACGGATTGGTGGAGAGGCGACTGGTTCCCAGCTGTCCCGTGATCCGGCAGCTGCAGGACTGGGCTGGAGTCAGCAAAATCGGCAGCCCGGTCAAAATCGACCGACAAATCGGCGGAGGCAGCACACGGGGAGCTCGCCGCCGAAGACGGGGAGTCGACGAAGGGCGTGCTCTGACTCTGCAGACGGGGCGGGACACCTGAGGGAGGAAGGGAGTCGGCACGAAGGTAGGTGGGCGTGCTCAGGCCAGAGGCGGAGGCGGCCGAAAGGGAGAAGGTGGGATCTGCGTCTTCTTCAGTAGAGGGTAGCACCAAGTCCTCAGGCTTGTTGTGCTCCCTGGTCGACTGGCGGGTAATCCTCCGTTTCTTTTGAGACGACGTTGTGAATGTACGAGCTGCTTGTGCAGCTCGGGGAATTTGCTATGTGACGGGTATGGCCGTGAAGACGCACGGAAGGGCGGCGGTAGGCAGGCGAAGAAGGAGGAAGTTGGCCGAAATGTCTAGTGTTGCTTGTTCAAGCAGGCAAGTGGAGGCGCAATCGTGCAGGTGACGGTACCTAAGCAGACCGAACAACACAATGGGGTTGAGCACCTAGGTGTCCGTACTAGCGGTGCATCAGCGACCAAGGACCAACAAAGTCGGTGGTCAGAGGCGGACGGCGAAGCAAGGCGTAGTAGGTATGCGCTGGCGCTGGCGCATTCCCTTGCGGCTTGAATGATGGATTTGTCTGCAAATCTAAGCACGAGCCTTGAATGAATGTAAATCCCAGCTCAAAATCGAGCTGGTGCAACACGGGCATGCGACCTGCAGACTGTAGTTGCACTTTTTTTCTTTTTTTTGCTCAAGAAGCAAAGGGAAAGTGAAGGTTCCGCTGTCTGTGCTAGCGTTGGTACAGCCCGAGCCCTTGCCAGTTGCCACCACAGTGCCTTTCTCCTACATAGGTATGTTGTTGGGGTGGAGCAAACCTGGAACTTGTCGATACACTAGCGAGAATTCTATATCAAAGAGGGGTTAGGAATAGTTCTTTTGAATGGCCAATATTCTATAAACCGGTGATGTACTGATATTTTCTCCTGATATAATCGATACTAAATCAAGGCTGATGAAGCAGCCTGAGTACTAGTGAGTACAGGCTTGCGTTTTGTTCCACATCAGTTGCAAACACTGATTCGCACTGTGCAGATTCTTAACCAGACACCCCGCCTTGAATCGCCCCGCCGATCTGACGCCAGCCCGCCGCTGCCTCTCCCGGTCGGCCTTGTTCCAGCCTCGCAACACGGCCCGGCAGCAGCTGCCGGACCAGCACACCTCATTGCATAGGTTCACACATCTACAACATCATTTTCTCGCTGCTAACCCGACTCGGGGCCTATGAACATACGAAAGAGGTTTAGTGTGATGTTTGGTTTGAATAAACGTCAAGACGCCATAGATTCGTGTGAGTGGAGCAAAGCAGCGCAATTATACATACGTCTATAATCATAAGCTGCCTTGTCGTACCCCGTCGCCAAGTCTCTGAAAGTGCCTACTACATAGGTAGTATCGATGTTAAGAGCCTAGTCTATAACGTGAGATGCCGTTGTATAAATAGGCATTGGTACGACTGTGTCTTCAGCTGTGGAAGTCCTCTCAGGGACCACCCAGGTGTGTCATAGTCTTCGTCACAACATCCCTCAATCTAGATGCCAAGGTAGGTAAACTTGCTTTGAGCCATTTCCTGCTCACGATGTGTCATGCCCTGCCGTTCTCCCATTCCTTTACCCCGACCTGATCAACAGGTAGTTAAAACAGACTGCGTGGTTTCAGAGCTTTGCTCCCAGATCCTCATATTCGGCAAGGTCCCTCAGAGGCGTGGCCCCGTTGCTGGCTGGAAGACCGGCTCTAAAGGACCGTACGTTGTCAATGAAGACGGGCGTGGTTCCGTTGGCTGACGGCGGTATGGCATCCTTGACGATGTCGCTTCCCGGTCCGTGCTCGGCGTGGATCTTCTTCCAAGCCTCTGCTGCCACGTCGATCTTGCCCTCCGCCACCTTCAAGTCGTGAAGGAGATAGTCCTTGAGACCAGCCACCTCCTTCTCCAGGTCATGGCCGGCTGCGGATATCCGGGCTTGCAAGTCGGTCGCCGCTTTAGCAGAAGCCGCCGGATCCAGCTCCAGGGTCTTAACCAGTTCTGAAATCTGCTTCGTCGAGACATCGCTCTTAGCCTGGGCTTCCAAGTAGACGGCCAACTTCGCTCGCGACGGCGAGCTCGGGTGGATGTAGTGATTGTAGAACTCGATCAAGTCCGCCTTGGTGAGCGGCTTGATGTGCGCCGCATCCTGCTGGGCTATCCGACGGAAGAAGACGGTCAGTAACGATGGGGATAGCAATCAGGCAGTGCGGGGCAAGTTCGTGTGCGACACTCACCATTATCAAAGGCGTAGAATTCCGAATGGATATGTGTCCAGTGTCGGTTGCTCTCCTGCTCCATGTATTTGAGCCTCTCAAGACGCTTGGCAATGATGCTGCGTTTATTGCTTTCGAATTCGGTCTCGGTCATCTCCTCGAGCGTCGTGGCCATCGTCTTCAGAAACTCCTCAATCCGAGTCTCCAGATACGGCGCCGTCTTCTCGCTCTGGATGAGAAAGTAGAACCCGTACTGAGTGACGCTGGTCATGGTGCCCGAGTAGACGATGTAGCCCAGCTGCTCTTTGGTCCGCAGCTGGTTGAAGCACGGTTCGTGCACAATCTGATCCAGGAGCAACGCTTTCGCCCTGAGATTGTAATCCCCCCGGTACCCCACGTGGAGGAAGTACTGGATACAGTGGTTGACATTGGCCGGGTCCTTGAGTTTCTTCTTCCAGATGTAGTTGGATCCAGGCGGGAGGGCCAAGCTACGACGAATCCTCCATTGAGCCTGGGGCAGCACCCGAGGGCTCAACGTGGACTCGATCATATCGGTCAGCTTGAGTGCGTCTTCCCTGTAAATGTTCCCATGGACTAGGACCTCCATGTGCATTTGGGCCAGCAGCTCCTTCTGGAACACGCGGACCGCATCGACAGTGATGTGTGGCAATTCGGCCTCGAGCTCCTCAATCACGTAGCCTTGATCGATAATGAGCCAGGACATGTAGTCGCCAATCTGCGTCCAGGGCGCCGCCAGTTCCCAGTTCCGGTACCCTCTGCTGACGCGCTCCTTGATGATGGCGAATCGGTCCTCACGAATCTCGAGGTCTCGCGTTGTCACGAGCACGCGCTGCAGGAGCACCGCGAGCTTGTCGTTGTAGCCCGAAACCTCAATGTAGAGACCGCGCGAGTCGAGCGTCACGGTGTATTCCAAGCCAGCCAGCTCTGCGTCATACGAGTACTCTTCCAGCGCATCCTTCACGAGGTCTGTGAACAGCCGCGACTTTACCCGGCCGGCCGCCGATGCAGTGGCCACCGGACTGCGGCAGCTGATGATCAGCGTTGCTTTCGGAACCCAGAACGTGTCGTCCTTCTTGAACCAGGTCCGGACCAGCGCATCGTTACGGACAATGCGCGGTGACAACGCCGGTTCCTGAACGTCCCTCTTCTCGACTTCGAGCTTGGTCGGCACAAACTGGTTTCGATGGGGGAGATGGAGCTTGGCGGTCCGATTCCCTGGCCCGCCGGCGGCGGCCTTCTTGATCTCGTCCATGAAGTCGGTCGGGATCGGCTGGCAGGTGTACTCGGTTCCGTACCACCGCTCCTTGTTCTCCCAAGTCCCCGGGAAATCGCGCGAGATGATCGTCATGCGGAAGTTGTCGGGACGCAAGTAATCGAGGCACTCCTTGATCAGCTTCGGGTCGAATTTACGCAGCAAGCTATACCCGCTGAGCAGATACTCTCTCGGGATCGGCTTCTGCATGAACGAGCTCAGCTTGCTCGTGAAGCGGTAGGACTGGGTCTTCTCCCTGAACCTGAAGTTGACCTCGGCCAGCTCCTTCTGCTCTTCGAATATCCATTCCTGTGGTTCAGTCTCCCGCAGAAGGGAAATATATTCGAAAATAACCTTGGCAACCTCTTTGTAATTCTTGAGTCCCTGGCGCCAAACAGTTAGTCTCTTTCTGCGTGGCCTTTCTCTGGACGCCCAGCTGCCCGTTTCTTACCTCTTCGGTTAACGTAATCTGGCACTCGAAAACGTCGGGTGTGCCAGGGCTGACAGGCCAGGCTCCCGCGTAGAGACCATTGGCCCAACCCTTCGCCTTGATATACGACATAATGCTTCCTGGGCCTTCATGGCCAATAAGGTGGCTGATATATCGGCTGGGCTGCGAGTCGTAGAGATGATCTTGTTCCATTAGGGGAAACATCAGGCTGAGTTCCCGCGTATCCATCACGGGCTTGGCGAAGATCTGTGTCCCGAGCTGGTCCTTCGTGAACGGTACCTCCTCCACCCATCTGTTGGGTTCCAGGTCCTTATTCCTGACAGACGAAAAGTGCTCAATGACCCAAGACTCCAGAACATCCAGCGGTTCCCTCCCGAGAACGCAGAGCTTCATCCGATTTGCCGAGTAGTGCTTCTCGTAGAACTCAATGAACTTGTCGCGGACATTGATCCCTTGCGCCTCTGGGGTCGTCTTCAGAGTCTCAAGGTTGCCAGTTGAGAAATGGCAAAAGGGATGCTTTGGGTTGGAGAGTGACTTCTTAAGCTGGTGCATACGCCACTGGTCGCTCTGCAGGTTCTTCTTGTTCTCTGAGTCTACCGCTTGGAGCTCGCGGTCCAGGGTGGTCTCCAGGAACAGCGGTTCAATGAAGAACTGGGCAAACCGATCCAAAGCCCCCAGGAGCGGCGACGGATTGGTAGCTGAAGGTTCCTCGTCATTCGCAGGTTTCGCAGACACCTCGAAGTGATAATTGGTGGATGTTGATGCCGTATAAGCATTGGTCAAGCCGGAGTTGGCTGATATGAACTGATGGTAGGCATTCTCGACAGGATACTTCTTGTTGCCCATGAACAGAAGCTACGAACCGCTCTTTGGTAAGTACTGGGATCTCCTTATCTCATCGTGGGATACCCTTACATGTTCGACCGCATGGGCCATTCCCGGCATGTCATCTTCATCGCTGAAGCTTCCGACGTTGACGTCCATGGCGGCGCTCGCCTTGTCCGTCTTGGGATCGTGAACCAGCAGGGCCTCCAGTTTGTTAGGCAGGCGGATGACCCGATACGAGCGGTCATCGAGAGACGGAGTCTCCAAGCGGTCTGTGATGACCTCGACCTCGCGGGGGCCCGGCATGTTGGCCGAGGGTTGGACTATCGAGATTAATGGAGACATGACGGAGTGTACGCGTAGGTCTGAGTAGCCGGCAACAGTCTCGGACAAAGGGCGGCTAGCAATTCAAATAAAGACCGGTTGGATGTTATCAGTCGACCGCCGGCGGCAAGAGACTTGTTGGGACAGTTTGAAGGACTCGCAAGTCCGCCACGGAGAACGGGCCGGTGGAGACGTGATTCGGAGTTGCCGTTAGGCGCAGAAGGCCGCGATGTGGGGAACTAATGCCCAGCAGCAACCACTCAGGGATGTTACCGACAAGTTGGGTTCCCAGAAATGCCGCCTGGATTGATGTCGGATGTCGCACTGGGTGAGATGGTATTGTGGGATCGTCGTCCGCCTTATTGGGCCCTGACCCGCTCAGCCCAAGTCAGACACTGACTGATCACTCAGCCACAGCTACAAGCGGTCTCTGTGCGAAGAAGATGCACTCATACCTTTGATGTACTGTACCCGGTGTGATGCGTGGTTGTTCACTGGAGTTGCTCACTGGAGAACTTCGCCAGGAATCCCGGGCGAACGAGTAGTGCTTTATTATATGTATACTTAAGTACGCGCAGGCTCACACAGTTACGGCATGTGAGAACCCGGATGGCCAAACCCCGTTGGATAACGTTAGGCCCACTGCCACGACCAAGCCAGTGCCTTTCCAATGTTCCCATGGAGCCGCAGCGAGACGGCGCTTGGGGAAATTGAAGGCAGAGAGCCGTTTCCTTTTTGACTACTTAGTACAGGATCGGCAAGGAGGTCGGATCGATGGAGAAAGCTTGGGTGCAACATTCTGGGGAGGTTTAGTACTGTACACTAGGTGCAGCAATATGGACATGACAGGGGGCAAGGGCCAGGGGGCGGACGTCTGCCGATGGACGGATCTGGATACGGATTACATTTGTAAGGTACAATACCTTACAATACATAGTACTAACTCAGAAAGTGTATACTAGAACACCCACAAGCATGGCCACATTCGAAATGTGCAAAGCAGTGTTCAAGTTATTGACATGAAGCATGTATGCCAAGCACCTACTATTAATATGTACTTCGTTTCCGAGAACACTGAAGCGTTGAGCCAACGAATAAGTCAAGTGTTGTACATTACATACAATACATATAACAGCCTATGACACTGCAAAGCACGATGCCATCTTGTGTAAGTCCAGGTAGGACGGAGTACACCATCCAAATGTTCCAAGGTACCTACACCACAGTAATCGCGCAAGCGACGGCGAAGGTGAGTGCAGTGCCCTGGGTGTAGCACGCAGGAGCAACGTAAACGATGGGACGTAAGGAAGGGGCGCCGGCCATGTCGAAGGCCACTGTTCCGGCCGGCGCTAGAGGAAACATCCATGGATGTTCTCTAGGCAGAAGTGACCAAGAGAAAGATCAGGTACGGCGCTTACTTACTTACCAACTTACTTGGCCAGAAAGACTGGCCAGCGAGCCGCTGCCAGCGTGCACCGTGAGATGGTTGGTTTGGGCAACGTTACTAATTCCTCCAAAGGTCTCGTCCATCTTACTCCCATCACAACAGAACCTCCCGAATGAAGGTCCTTCGCTACCGTATGGCATGGGATCTTATAACTCAAATACTGTAGATGCTGTGTGTTGGTAAGGGCCGGAGCAGTTGAGATGTATGTACCGCCGTTGGCGACAAAATACAGCCCGAAACTGGACTGTTTCGGATGCTTCGACTGAGTCAGTTGAGCTTCTCCGTCCCACCTTGTCTCCCAACCGGAGTGTACTATGCACCTAACATTTTCTACCTTATTCCATAGCCGCCGCCTTCGTCCGGCCTTATTGCCTTCGCTCGCCTCAGACGATCTCATTTTGCGGTGGAGCAAAGGAGCCCGACGTCATCCGCCCACACTTCCGTGTTGCTCTCGCAGTCTCGGCGCTGCTTGCAGAGGTCTGCTCCTTCGGGCAAAGAGATGCGGTCCGTCGTACTGTAGCTCACCGGTGCAGGCAAAGTGCACCCTTGGACGACAACGTCGAGCCAATCCGACAATCCGGTTCAGATTGGGCGGTGTTGGCGAGAATTCTTTACCTTCCGGCTGTTGTGCACCCTACAGTCCGTCGAGCTGAGCCCCGCTGGTGATATAGCTTGCAGCGGCGCATCGTCGGACTGTCATTAACAGCGTTCCGTTGCAGCGCAGCATCGGATCTCGTCTACCGGGACTACTCGCCGGATACATACAGATACACCGCACTTAGACTGCAACATCAGTACCGCGGACACTATCTGCGCGTCCCCGAAAGACACCCCTATATCAACGTCGCTGTCGAAAGCGCCGGTCGCGGAGTCTCCTGCCGTGCTCTGATACACCGGCTCGGAAAGAAGCCGTGAAGAAATCCATTATCTGCTCTTCCGCCTTCTCCTCAGACGGAACATGGACGAACCCTCCTCCCGACGTAAGAGCACATTTCTTTTGTCAGTCCCGAGGACGTATCTCTAGCAAGAAGATTGAGGTAGGAACGTAGAGCAGCCCGGAAAGCCCAAAGAGTATCTCGCCAACACCATGACCCGGTGGGCACCAAAGTCTGACGTTTGCCATGTGGTGGGGAAGCAAAACACATGATACCGCGACTCATGCGACCCGTTCTGGCGTCCACGGTGCGACAATTCGCGATGCGACATGGTCATCCAAGCCGAACCAAACTCGGTTCGAAAGCGGTTCGAAGAATATCCATCTTTCCCGCCTTTCCATCCGCTTCTTGATTATCCTTGGCTTGGTCAGGGGCGGGCGGGCCAGGGGTACGGAGGTAACAGAAACTGGAAGTCAACCTGCATTGCACCTCGTTTGGGAATATGCGGGTCGGCGCCTCGAGATGGTAATTTATGCAGGCGGACCTCTGTAGCAACCCTATTGTCTGCAGGAACCCGAACTGAATATCGCATCTATGGCACCAGCCCACCGACAGCCACCTTGGCAACGGCATTGCGTATGCGGAATCGCCGAGTATGCTGCTTCATCTGGACTCTGGACAGCGCTTCGGTATCCCAAGGGTGGTCACTGATGTAAAATATTGTACGTATACACATGAAAGGGCCACGTCCACTCCAGATGCAAAGTCGAGATCATCCTTCTCACCGAGGAGCGCTCGGTCATGCGCGAGTAGAGAAAGCCTTGCAAGGATTGATCCGGGCCGATATCGAATTACCCTCCCGCGATATGTATTAATCTTCCTAAGGATGGGTGACGCTGCGATTCCCACGCCGTTTTCCATTCCCTTGATAGCCACACGGCCATGGTGTCGAAAAAGACCGAAAGCGTTGGCGAAGCCGTCTCGTCAGGGCGAAAGCCCAGTCCCGCGGACCACCACGTCGGGATCTCGAGACGAATCCAGCCAGATTGTGAAGACTTTACCCGGGTCGAAGCCCACGGCACGGCTGGCTGATCGCCTTGCAGAGAAGCGTAGGCCCCCTGTAATGGCACGGTTCAACGACCGTAGACGGCGGCAAAATGGGACAGCCTGCATGCAGCTGTTCTGCCTGGGTGTTGATATAGAGTTCAACGTTCTTTCCCTTGCGTTGGAACCCACAAGGCCATCTTGATGTATCCCATGGTGATTCGCGGACTCCGAAACTAGCCCCCTTCGCGTATTAGCAGAGACGACGGATAATTCCCCAATTCAGCCTCCCTGCCGGGGATCAGGCCCTGAGGGCTCAGAATAGAGACCTCGCCTTAGTTCAGCCGTCAAGCGCGCTCGTTTCAGCTCGGTCCGCAACGCGTTGTCGCTCCGAGACATGGAAACACGTAGAGATCTCGCATACTCTTCTGGGCCGGTTATCTCGAACTGCCCGGTTCCTGCTCTCCGGACCAGATATTGTGGGATATCGGTTGTAGAGGCTGTATTCACTGAACGCCAGCCCATTATGTCAAACCCACTTGGAGCATGGCCTAGGTAACGGAACAACCAGGCATAGAAGGATGGTCAGTCGAGAGAAGATCACAATAGGAGGACACCAACACCAGCAATGCCGCCCCTTAGCGCCGTTTCTTCGGGCAATCGGCAACTTTGTGACCGGTTTTCCCACAGCCGTGGCAGGAAAAGGTTGTTGAAGAGGGCCGGCCAAAATCCTGCCCGCCTGCCGAAGATATCGAGGTCAGTTTGTTCAACTTGATCTCTTTCTTCCGCCGCTTTCCGGCAAGCTGCTGCGCCTTCCTCCGTTCTTCTTCTCTTCTGCGAGACACACTGGATCTGGCCCGCTTCCGCTCTTCGTCGGCCAGGGTAATCCGCCGGCCCCGGCCGGGCTCTCCGGTTGAGACCGGCGAGCGCTCATCTCCAGAGTCTTCCTCAGAGCCGGAGTCGGAGTCAGAATCAGAGCCACTGCTGCTGCTTCTGTCGCCCGCTGCCTTGGTAACCTAGTGGATTGGTCAGTAATCGCTTGAACAACGACTCTTCTTCGTAGACATGCCTTTGATTTCTTCATGTTGAATCTCTTGATCTGGGGCTGGACAGGCATACTGCCCATGTCGAACGGGTCGTCAGCCTCTCCCGACGTGCCTGCGGAGTCGATCTGCGCAAAGCCGACTGGAACAACGTCCAGGAGCGCGCGAGGGCCGGTTTTCGGCAGTGTCAACGCGCCTTGAAGCACCCAGTGCGAATCACCCAGCTCGGCTGCCCGTTTTTCTATGGCCGCCTTGCGCTTCTTTTCTTCCTCCTCAATCGCAGCTTGAATTGCTTTTTGGTCATAGAGTGGTGTCGCTGGCGAGCTGGCTGCCGATGGGCTGTGGGCAACCTTCCGTCGCTTGGCAGAGCCATCGTCAGTCCTTGGGGTCACGGGCGAGCCAGCTTCCGGAGTGCCCGCCGCCGCTGCCGCCGCCGCTACCGCTGCGCCTCTCTGCATGAACTTCATCGTCATGAGACGAGAAGACATCGTCTTTGGTGTTGATTGCTTCGCCATTGGGGGCGGTGCCGCTGCTGTTTTCGGCGGCATGGTTGTCGCTGTGTAGAAGTTTCGTAAATGGATTTGGTACCTCAGCCCTCTGTATTATTAGGAATCTGTGTTAGTTAATCGTTGGCGCAAAATGCCAATACACTGCCTTCAAGTCGCTTCGTCGCTCAACATTTAGGTACGCAGAAACAGTTGAGCCGATAAAGTTAAGAAAAAAAGGTACGGACCTACACAGTAGTCGAGCTTATCGACGATGAGTGCACATACCACTGTACGTATAGCACTCGCCAATCAGAATCTGCGGTGTCTGGTGGTCCGTGCTGCCCTTGCATCGCAGTGGCCCGAGAATCAGCCGCGCAGTCCACACCTCAGACGCTCTGGCAAGGAACCTCGATTGACAACCGAACTGACGTTCACCTCCGGGTCCCGGTCCGAAGCCATCGAACCGCAACTCAATTTCCAACCACAATGTACGCCACGCGATTGCGGGTAGCAGCCGCAGCTCGCGGGCTGCCGCGACATCTGTCGAAGAAGCAGGCAGCGGTATTCAGCATGACATCGCGCCAATTGATCGAGTCCCCAGCTGCCTCGAAAACCCCCGCTGACTCGACTGCGTCGCCCGCGATGCCAGAGGCGACGACAACGACGACAACCGCCAACACCCAGACGGCGCCGCAAGAGACCAAGGGCCCAGACCCGATAGCCGTCGTGCAGGCGCCGAACCGCGCCGAGGTCTGGTCCCGCAGCCAGCGGCCGCGCTCCGTGGCCATGACGGGACCCAGGTTCGAGCAGACTGATTTCGAGCTGCAGGTGGGTTTCCCCGCCAAGGATTCGAGAAGGGAGAGGGGAAAGAAATGACGGCATACTCATCGGGACTACTTCTCTAACACCGAAACAGCCCCGGCCGTACGCCGCTATCGAGCTCATCCACCAGCAGCCCGTGCGGTGGACGCACGACCGGATCGTGGCCTGCGACGGAGGCGGTGGGCCGACCGGACACCCCAAGATTTACATCAACACGGACAAGCCCGAGATCGCGACGTGCAACTACTGCGGGCTGCCTTTCGTAGGTCTACCTACGGTTCTTTTGCGTGAGAGGAGGCGCAAGCACCGGGAGCTAATTCTGTGGACAACTGCAGGCAAACGAACATCACAGAGAACACCTCGAATCCCTGCCGGAGACATCGTATCCGCTCTCCGCGTAGGATGGGATGGTGAGGGGTTGAACGGTGAGATTGGGTTACCCGAATTGTACATATGTAACTGGGCCAATAGATGCATGCTGTCTCATGATGTTTTCGTCACATTGAGACCCCTACGAGTGTGCAAAATGTGGCTAAAGGCTGGCCAGATGCAGAGGCAGGCCGATGATCGCTTTAACGATGCAGATCTGGGTCTCCCCAGAGGCTGTGGCCGGGTTCTGAACGGTAACCTTCTCCGGACTAACTGGCCGCAACGGTACCCATGTTCTTTGATAAGATTACTAGCTCGTGCCTTACAAAGAGTGACAATCTTATCTCGTCAGGGCTGTCACGGGTAGACGGTGGAGAAGATCTCAAGCGTGTTGTTCGTTCCACTTCATCTTCCGGTTCTCGGCCAACACTGTATTAGACAGCTAGTACATCGTTCAAGGCACTCTCCTCCCACCGCAGCTTTCCTCGCTCAGTATGAGACGGCCAACACCACTTACGCAGACCAAGGCTAACAGAAAACCCGTACCACTCAACAGCAGATCCGCCTTCACGTCTCAGTCGAGACACCCCACAACAGGGGCATCGATGCTAGGCAAACGATGCTCCATCGTATTCTGGAGAGCCTGCTCTTCGCAGATGAGAATGTCTGCATGGGCAAAAGTGGTCGGATAGTCCCAGGGATACGTAAAGTTCCTATGGATCAGTCAGGAAACGTCAGCCGGAGCTATTTCTCAAGGGAAGGAAGCCAATTAATATTCCGCCACCTTTCCTCAAACTTACTCATTGTCATGGTAGTGGTGGACAACCTCGATGGTGAAGTTGCCGGGATGCCAGAAGTTGACCACGGACGACTTGATGAAGGTCCGTTGGTCGTTGACGCAGGGCCGGTAGCCAACCACTGGATTGCTGCCGTCGCCGTCGGCGTTGTGGTGGGTGTGGCCGTCCCAGGACCAGTCTATTTGGCAGTCGCCGGAGGTGAGCTTGTTTTCCCTCACCGAATTTGGGTCGAACACGTGGTCTTTGACAACAACGGTCAGTTTCTCTGAATGTTCTCTCACGCTGCTGTATCCCTGTCTGGAAGGGGCAGTGTCTTACATGTGAGATTGCACGTGTAATCGGCTGTTGTATTGGGCCGGTTGCAGAGGATATGGAGATCGGTGATGTTCCAGGGCGCAAAGTTCAACATGGACACATCCATAACTTGAGCGCGGTTTCGGTTCGTAATACCAGGTTCGTGGAGTAGGGCTTCAAGATGGTTCGGCAAAGAGTTTACCAGCGGCAAGGCCACGAGGCCCAGCATGGAGAGGATGTGAGAGGCTGACGGCATCGTGTTGGGCACACGGAGGGCGACTCTGCTGCTGGAGCACCGGGTTGGGCCTGCTTGACGGGCAAGGACGAGGCAAGGGAGAGGGAGCGGAACATGTTATACTTGAGACTCGGGCTGCGGGATTCCGCATCATCGCGGAATTGTAACAGCAGTACCGACAGCTGTCTAATCGTGGAACTTCCACAAGCCAAGTTGAAACCGTGCACGGGTGTGAGACGAGGGATTCTGTTCAAGGTACGGTGCACGGACAGTGAGTCCAGACTTCAGATACTTCGTTCCCTAGCAGCCCAAGCTGGCTCATCTGGGACGATAACACTAGTGTGCCCGAAGATATTGACAGAACACGACTAGGCTTCTCGGCGACGAGTTGGACCAGCTCGGTCAGTCTGTACCAGACAAGCACCAACATAGACTCGTGTCCACAGAACTGCCTCGGCTCGACCATTCATGTCTCAACGAAGCTATGACCGCAACGACCTACGTATGCCACGGGCGTCATTGTCCACGCACACTTGGTAGGCATTTGCCTATCCCAACTACCACTTCCTGTGATATCGCCTGGGGGTTGCTTGCTGTGGCACACTCCAACACCTGTTTAGACATCCCGAGCTGGCCGCAATATCGCCACGCAGCTGTTGCTTGTGGCCTCGTGATGGCAAGCACAGGGACAGTGACTCAAGGTGACAATCCGAGACATATCGTCGCTGTGCTTCCTTCCTGCTGCCCAATTTGTGCCGTACAGGTAAGTGACATACTGGTCTATCCTTGCTCTGGCCAGCAAGTTGCCACACTGACACCCTCGGTGTGGTTTAGATTCTAGGAGACCCCTAGAGGTGTATCCACCAGGCCAGATATGTGATACAAGCACCGCCAGAAAGGGCCCATATCAGGGGCAGTGACCGAGGGTGTCGTATGGAAAGACGATTTCTGGCAAGCCAAGTGAAGTTCGCACTCATCTGGTTCAACCATGCCGGTTGGGCTACCCTCCCCGTTGTCTTGTAATCGCTGAATCAGATGCGGAGATTGGAATGGAAGCCTCGTTGGCCGTTACGAGCCCGAAAGGTTCTCCAGACGACAAGGCAGCGACTATCAGTGTGCGACGGTAAACTGTGATAACACGATAGAGAGCGGCCATTCCGCGTTGCTTCAACCCGGGAGGTGCTCCAGGACATGACGGACAAAGCTAGACTTCTTCCAACTGAACTGCATTCCGAAGCGGTATTGACTGCGGACAACTTCCTGAGTCGGGGCCTTTGATAAGTAATCTGGCCGGTCTTGCCGCCCAGCATCTGACAACTGACAAGCTCGAGTCACTTGTGGTTTCCATATGCCTTGCGCAATGGTGGTGCACGCTCAAGTGTCCACATAGACGATGTAACACGGCGGTACCGGGAGTCTGTCGAACGAGGAGGAGGAGAGCTCCAGAGACGGTCATCTCATCGACTTGGAAGACATGCCGGTCGTATCATCGCAGTATTTCGACTAAGGCTTGTACGTACTGTGTCCATCGGCCCCCATCTCGATGGCTCACGAATTGCCAGGAACAGAGAACAAAATGGCTCGTCAGAGCCCATGCCACGCAGTTGCAGTGTTGCACTGATCTGAACCAAGGATACACCGCTGTCTATAGGATTGTGCGTCCCTGAGAAATGTCAATCCAACGCACAGAAATCGGTTTTCGTCCCGCCAGATATTAAGAAAAACCTGTTTAGTTTGCCCAGATTCATGTAGCGTAGCATTCAGTGCTATCAGCTGTATTGTAATCCTTGATGTCGACTAGAGCTGATAGCCATGGTGCTGCTGCTTGCATTCAGCACTCATTACCAGGAAAGTCGACCGGAAGTTGGAGCTTGGGCCCTGGCCCATTGCCAACGTTAGCCGCTGCTATTCTTAGCTGCAAAAAGCGCCTAGGATTTCAGGTTCGAAGGACCAGATCCACATACCGTTATCCCACTGGCCAAACGGGGAATGATCTGCGAAACCAGACTGTCCCTGGCGAGCTTTAGCTTGTCCTCCTGTCTGGTGGCTAGCCCTTTGAGCTGCCTGGTCGAGGAACATCTCTAATAGGAGCGAATCTTTGATATAGAGTTCCCACCGTAGGTAAATTTGCAGCAGGTGAGTTGCCGCAGTGGTGCACTCGTCACATCGTGATATATGTAGGTACTTGGCAGCCAAGTTGTGCGACGCAAGCGGGGTGATAACTCACCAGGGCTGAAGGTGGGGGGCTCATGCGGAGAGATTCTGTTGGGGCATCAGATGCGATGCTACCGATACGGTCAACAGCCCCTGGAACTGCCATAGCTAGTAATATCTTATAACTCTCGATGCGCCTAGAAGAATTCGATGACAGCTTTTACTAATAAGGCATTCAGAGAGGCCCGGTTTCATCGATCAGATAATAATCACGGGCGTATCGATACGCTCAACTTGGGCAGCATCCAGCATTGCCCAGTCAAAACCGGGAATGGACTGCATGCTGCCGTCTTGAAGGCGGCGTCATCTTTTCAATGGTCGTTCGTCCATCGAAACAAGGAAACCCCACTTCTCCCGACGATCAAAGTGAGCCGGGCTCAGTCGGGTCCGTATCTGTCCTGTCAGCACCAAACGCAAAGCTTGAGTCTTCGTATGGTAGATCTCCTTTGTTGGTCCTGAGCCTCTGTTCCCCAGCCGTCAGATCCCCGCTATGCTCCATGGATCATTTTTCAAGCTTCAAGGAGCCGCGTTGAGTTCCCTTTCCCCATATAGGGAACCGAGAGAAGGAGAGTGCATGTATGGAGCCTTCGGTTCCCTTGCACTCAGCTCTAGTGATAACACGACCTCGATAGGTAGCGATAGTGTATAGACTTGGGTGATGCTCCTGATATGTGCAGAGCACAGCCCCAACAAGCTCTCGACGGAAGTGATATCGTCGTCGTCGTCCCGCCCCTGACCCCTGTCTGCTGCCTTGCCAGGCCACTGGACCCTTGCCGAGAGCCCCCTGCCTTTGGTGAGGGGCAGGTTGACAAAACAGCCCCCAGCATGCTGCACATTGGCATCCTCCATGCGATTTCGTCTCATCTCTCCTCCACACGACCCAGGCGCCTGTTCCAGTCGCTAACGTCCGTTGCGCGCCGACGGTTTGCTTCTTCGCAGCTTTGGAGCCGGTGACCCGCTGGTGCTGGGCGTACCTAGGCCGCTGTTGTTTGCGACCCTTGGTTGTGCGCTGCTCCCCTGCGTTGCCCGTCAGTTGCTTCGTTTCGCTTGGCTGTTTGGACCACGATTGACCTGTGTGGCCTGCGCTCTTTTTTAAACGCTTTCCTGTCTCTGCTTCTCCAGGCTCCCCCGCACGTCCGCCGCCGTCCCGCAGGCCCGTCCTGGCCCCTGAAAGGCAACTTCCAGCGCAAGACCCTCCGTCGCACGAGGGACGGCGCTCGCACTTCACTGTCCGGTCGCAGCAGCGACTGCCTCCGAAGAGCAGCATCCTAAATCCACGGACGCAATAATGCCGTCCAGGCTCCATTGGGCTGGAAAGAACAACCGCTCTCAGCACAATCTCGTTGGACCGACGGGTGCCGAGGATTCGACAGCTGCCGCTGCTTCTTCGGTGCCCGCGTCAGTTGGTGCGCACCCCTCGAGTGCGGGTGCCGGCGCTGCAAACCCACCCTCAGCCTCGCCCAACCCGGCCTTCAGCTCCAGCGAATCCTTTCAGCCCGACGGCAATCACACAGCGCAACCCCCTCAACCGTCACCACACCTCGTCAATATCTACGGCACCGGTGCCACTGCCGGCGGGCCCAATTCCGCCGCCCTTCCGGCGCAGTTGCAGCACTCCAACAGCGTGTCAGGTGTTTTTGACTCGCGCCAGCGCGAGCAGCAGCACGACTTCGCCGACCAAGTGACGCGTTCCCAGTCCCATTCGCACCGCTACACCCAGCCCTCCCCCACCTCAACCCAATTGCATCTCCAACAACAGCAGCTCCAGCATCAACCACAGCTACCGCCAGGATCTTCCTCTGTTGAGGATCTTTCAGCTCCTGGCCACCAGAACATCTCGTCGCCTATTCTCGGTGTTCCCCAGCAGCTGGTCTACGCTCAGCAGCAGCAGCAGCAGCAAGTCCAACAACCCACGACCTCGAAAACCAAGCAGTCTACGCGGCGGCTGTTGAATTTTCTCAACCCTCGCGGCCAGGACTTCGCACCCCAGCCGCAGCAGAACTCGTACAACACTGGTGCAGATCCAACCCGCAGGAACTCCAAACGCATCAGCCTCCCTCCGGCGACATATCCTCCGACCATCCGGACTGGTGTCTCTCAGGTCTCGCTTGACCAGCAGGAGCAGCTCAACTGGCAGAATCAGCCCGCCGCTACCCAGCCATCCACTCTGCAAGGCGTAGGAGAATTCCACGAGTCGCACGCAATTGACCGTTCTGACCAAGAGTTGCGACTGCAGAATTCTCAGGACATAAGCCGCCCCACGATCCGGTCCATTCCCCCTTCGGACGCAGAGACGTCGCCGTACCCAACTGAGGACACAGGATACAGGCAACACCGGGCCCACGTCCAATCGCTGCCGCCCCAATTGCAGCACCAGCAGTACGGCCAGGCCATTTCTGACACGCCCTCCCATCAACAGCCGCCGCCGCAGTACCAGTTCACAAACCAGCAGCAGGCACAGTACCAGGGCGGCAACCAGCACCATTTCTCGGGCCATCTTGTCAACCCGCAGCAACAAAACCCCGAGACCGTGTCTCAGCTGTCGCACGAGTCGCCAGTCACAGACTCGGACCAGCGTTCTGCCACTAGCCTCCCAACACAAACGGCGCAGACATCGCCTGCTGTTAACTACCCGACGCAAGCACCACAGGATCATCCCGGACGGCAGAACCCGCCGCCCGGTGCCCAAGCTCAGGCCCCGCAGCAGCAAACCATGGCCCCACCTCCCGGCGGGCCGCCCCCCGCACGGAGATCGCAGGACGCAGAGAAGATGCGCGACCAAGTCGTGCCCCCGCAGGGCCCCCCTCCCAACTATCGGCAGAGCCAGCAGGCCAACATGAACCCTTTACCACAGCCGCCGAACGCGGGGCAACCCAACCCAAACTTCCGCGCCAGCAACGTGCCGAATTCGAGCCAGCAGTTCGAAGGCCAGGGAGACGTCCAAGGGCGCAACAGTCCGCAGCCTCCCTCTAGCGAAGGTCGGGCCGGCGAGGACCCCGAGAAGGCATTTAAGGATCTTTGTATGATATTTCGCAACCCGTTTGCAACCTCCGTGCACAACCCGGCTGACCTAAGTTCCAAAGTGACCAAATACAAAAATGTCAAGCGGCTCTATTTCGAAAACAAAAAGGAGATTGAGCAATTGAATAACCAGGTAGAGCAACTTCAAAACGCCGTGGCCAACCAGCGCATGTCGCAGAGCCGAACGTCGCTCGACGACAACGAGTATACAACGCGCTTCAACCGGCTCAATGGCGCCATTAACAACCTATCATTCAATATTCGCAAGGACTGGAAAACGCTGCCATCGTGGCTAGATCGCTTCGTGAGCGCCGACGCTCTCAAGACGGGCAAGCAAGAGATGACAGCCGTCGGCCGAGCTGTCATCACGCGTTGGATCGTAGAAGAGATCTTTAACCGATGCTTCCACCCGGGCCTGGAACCGGAACTTAGCAGGCAGCTGAAGGTTATTGAGCATAACATTAGGCACTTTAGCTATACGATGAGCAGCCAGGAGGAGTTTGACGCCTTGACAAGCAAGGTGGTGAGCTGGCGCATGGCCACGCTTGAGGGTCTGCAAGATGTGCTCCGGAGCAACGACAGTGTCAACCACAGGAACGACTTCACGCGGCGCGCCACGAGCAATCTGACTGCCTGTCTCTTCCAGCACCTGACCGATCCGCCCCCCGCCGGCGTCGACGGCAGCGCGAGCATGATCGTCGAACTCGCTGTCGGCATCGCTAGTAACCTTCCGCTCGAGAGCCGCGACGTGGCCATCATTTACCCCTTACCCGAGTCACCGATCCAGCCGGAGCTGATGGAGGTGGAGAAGACGGGCCTGCCGGCGCTGGAGAACCGGCCCTCGGACGCCAGCGAAGAGGGTGCCGGAGACGATAGTGGCGGTGGCGGCGGAACTACTGGCTCTGGAGGTAAGAATGAAGGACCCAACAAAGACGGCGGCGGCGGTGGTAAGGATCGGCGCGGGGACAAGTTGAGATCGGGTATGTTGAACGTTCTGGGGGCGGGTGGCGGCGGCGGCGGAAGCGCGCCCGGCAGCAGGAAAGGCAGCATTGCTGACGGTAACAACACTCAAGGAGCTCCTCCACCAACCAAGGACCCGGGCAAGGTGCGCTTTGCCGGATTCGTAGCCGTCGAGGTTCGCGGCAGGCAGGTGCTGGTTAAGGCGCCGGTCTGGACGCTGGGCTAATTTGGGCTCTTGATTTTGATTTCCGGGTAAGGGTCGCTATAAATGATTATCGGCAGGCTGGGCATTTACCTTTCTTTTCTGTCTAGGAGCCGGTATGCGCATGGTTCTGGCGGAAGGATGACAGGAGGAGGGCCTGGCAAGCTTGGAAGGCCTCGGGAAAATGGGTGGCGGGATGGGGGTTATGGGGGCCGCTGGCTATGATGTGAAGAAAGAACATGGAATGTGTGTTGATGGTATCCGGTTGGAACGGACTACCAACTGGCAGAAAGTTCGAGGACGGAGAACGGTCTGAAGAGAGGTGGAGTTTTTTGGACGAGCTCTGGGTAGTTCCCTCGCTTCTTGCTGACGACTGGATGATATACCTCCTGCGATGGGGGGCGGATAATTTCTTGTCTATGCTGTGCATGCCTGTATACCCTGGGTATCTTGCGATGACCGATGGCTCGGACGGCTAATTGGTATCTGGCTGAAGTACATAGCATACCGTACTTACCCTGCCTAGGTACGGGTAGGTTGGGTGGCTTTATGTGCTGGTATACCTCCTATCTTGACGATTGTGGAGGACTGAAAGCTCTTATCTGCACACCGCTTTCCTCCTTTGTTCGCAAAGCTGCCCCTCCATTGCATTCACCCCGCCATGGTGGCAGTACTACTAAACTCAAGTCTGGATTCTCGAATTCGAGACCACCTAGGTACGATCAGCATTCGACTCTGCCTTGTAAAGACCAAGCAATCCCCCACCCTCCCTCGCTTCAACGCAGATTCAAAGCCGTAATAAACATGGCCGATTCAGCTACCCCAGCGCACCTCGACCCTTCCGACCTCGGCACAAAGGAATAGTGAGTTCTCTTCTTCCCTACCCCATACTTTCTCCCCCCCCCCCCCCCCCCCCCCCCCCCAAATCTCACCTCCCCTTGTTCCCCCATTCTATAGACGCACACTAACTAAACCCATCCTCTCCAGCTGGGACACGCTCTACGAAAAGGAACTCACCAACCACGCCGAGAACCCAGCCGACGAAGGGACAGTCTGGTTCGACGACTCGGACGCCGAGCACAAGATTGTCGAGTTCCTGGAGAACAACAACATCACCAGCAGCGAGCTAGGATTCAATCTCGACCGCGAGTCCGCCGCCGTGCTCGACCTCGGCTGCGGCAACGGCAGCTTGCTGTTTGCGCTGCGCGACGCCGGGTGGAACGGCCGCTTGCTGGGCGTGGACTACAGCGAGCGGAGCGTGGAGCTGGCGCAGCGCGTGGGCGTCTCGAGGGGCGTGCTGCGGGAGGAAGAAGGGGAGGCGGAAGAGAGGGTGGTCGAGTTCAGAGTCTGGGATGTGCTCCGCGGTGCGCTCGACGATGTCCGCGCAACGACACCACCACCACCACCACCACCACCACCAGCAGCGGCGGCGGCGATGACACAAGACAAGGAGGGAGAAGGGGGGAATAGCGCAGCAGCAGCAGGGTGGGATATAGTCCTCGACAAAGGCACCTTCGACGCGGTGAGCCTGTCGGGGGAGCGTGACACGCAGGGGCGGCGGGTTTGCGAAGGGTACGGGGAGCGGGTGCTGCAGCTGCTCCGGACGGGCGGGATATTCGTTGTCACGAGCTGCAACTGGACCGAGAAGGAGCTGCGGGACTGGTTTGAGACCAAGACCGAGGCGCTACCCGAGACCGGGGCGAGGCTGAGACTTGCTGGGAGGATAGAGTACCCCAGCTTCAGCTTTGGCGGCGTCAAGGGCCAGACGATTAGTACCTTGTGCTTTGAGAAGATCCTAGCTTAGGGGTTGTCTGAAAGCGGTAGCGGAAAGGAATTGGATACCTAACGGCTCGCAGAAAGAGAAAATACATTTCGTGGTTGTGGTACGCTTCGTATTGTCTGGTAGATCTCTACCTAATGCGAACCGGCATTTTGCCCTGGCCCCCCAGATAACGCTGGTTGACGCGCATAGCTTCCCAACCGATCGCCGTCCTTGGTCTATGAGCAGATAACCACGCAGCCAGCCCGGACTGTACGATATAAATTCGAGGCAACATCTAGCGAAATAGAGATGGCGGAGGAAAATGCAGAGAGCAACCCAGACCGGTCTCAGGCGCGAAAGGACGGGAACCAACTGGATTGCTTCATTAAGACTCTCTCTTCTATGGTGATGTGTTCATGGGCTCTCCACCACCTGGGGCCGCTCCCGTCGCCGCAGCTGCCGCCATGGTCGCAAAATATCGCACGTCCACATCATCGTCCTTCTGAAGCTTCTCCAAGCTGGGCATGATCCGCTCGTCAATCAGTTGCTGCCCTCTTGGAGACGCCGTGAACGGCGTCCCGGCCTGCTCGAGGGTATAGATGGTCCCTTGGTCCGGCAGCCGCCGCAGCACGCCAATCAGGGCCTGGTATGTCTTCGCGACATTGAACCGGATGTTCGGGATGTCGTCGTTCGTTAGCTTCTCCAGCATGGGGAGAATCGACTTGGAGATAACATCCATGGTCACGACGCTGGATAATGTCTGCGTATCTCGTCAGTCACAGAAGTCAGCTTTGCTATGCAGTAGTCCGTATCTCACCGAGATTGCGAAGCACGTTGTCATCCTGTAAAGATAGTTAGGGTGGCCTCCCATCGCCATAACCTTTGGGATGATGGCCTCGCTGGCCCACTCGACACCGAAAACCTCGGTAAGCTTTTTGAGATTGTGGGTCGCTGCCTCACGGATGGAGAAGACGGTGTCGCCGAGCCAGCCCATGCATAGCTGACTGAGCTTCTCGTCGAAGAACTTAACGCCAAGCTGGCTGGCGAGGAGGGGCATGTGGCCGATAATAGCTAGCCGTACACGCCATTGCTTGTCCTCGGCGAGTTGGACGATGGCAGGCAGTAGGGACTGCGCAAGCAAGTCGATGCCAATGACTTGATTTACCAACTCCAGTTTGGAGATGATGTGGAGGCGGACCTCGGGGAACTCGTCCTTCAGCATCTGGAGGAACATGGGCAACAAGTGATCGATAGTCCTGTCAAACGTCAATAACCGGTCAGCGGCCTCCCCACAACACCTGACAAGGCGGACATACTCTTGCTTGCCCAATATCGGGGCTAAGCCGCTGATCTGTGTCCCGAGGGCTGCACGGACGTGTTGGGACGTGTCCGACACCAGATTCTCAACGGTGCCCATGATCTCGTTGAGCAAGGTGTTTCGGTCCACAAGTGCGCAGAAGCCAGGGATCTGGCCGGCAATGGCTGTCCGCACCTCGGCTTCGTTGTCCTTCAGCAGTTTTACGAAAGCGGGCACCAGATCCCTTGCCACAACCTCCTCGTCGACAGCCTTCGCAATCTGCAGGTTGAGTTAGCTTTGTATCCGATAAGCCGGTCGGCTTTGAGCTAGCAGACCTTCTCGAATCTGTCGGCGATCATGTACCGAACCCTCCAGCTCTTGTCTTCTATTAAGCTGCGCAGAGATGTCAGGAGGACACCGTGACTCGCCTGCTGCTCCTTAGGGACGACCTCTGCAATCGAAATCAGCACCTCGACAGTAAGCAACCGGACGCTGTCCTGGTCGTCCTGAACAAGGTGCTGGAACATGGGAATCATCTCTTCAACGACAATGGCGGCAGGCATCTCCTTCACGAATTTGGCCAGGTTCGTGGCAGCCTGGCGACGAACCATAGGCGTATCATCGTGGACCAGCTGGCCAAACTGCTGCCGGAGCTGTGCTTGGACAGGAGGCGAGACTTTGGAATACGGCGCCGTGTACAGGCCGCAACCGGAAACTTTGGAAGTAAACCAGTCGGCCTTCGAGAGGCGGATCGCCAGAGGGATGAAGTACTGTTCCACTTGCTCCGAGGAGAGCTCGCCGCAGATCTTGTTCAGCGACTCAACAGCCTGCAGAAATGGGCGTCAGCCAGCCCCAACCCTTCACCACCTTCATCACGACTGCAGCGTCGCGCATACCTTATCCCGCACGACGGGCTCCTCTATAGCCGCAAGGTTTTCGAGGGGGGAGAGCAGGACGTGACCCCACTGAGGACCGCCGACGTAGTCGATAAAGCTTCCCAGCTCCTCGCTCAACGCGACGAGAACCTCATCCTCATCCTCGACAGACTCTGTGGGCGGCAGAGGTTAGCGACGGACGGCAATACCAAGCGAGGCGGGGCAGGCTGACCGTCAAGGAAGGGTATCAGTTCCTCGCGGGTGCGTTCGGCGCCCAAGGCGAGAGCGATGGTTGACAATCGGTGGATTGCATTGAGTCGAAGCAAGACATCGTCGTGCTGCTCACGGTGTGTTAATGGTTGGGCCGTAAAGGTGCTCGGGAAGGGCTCCGTCACCGCCATACCTTCAACTCGTCGATGAGGACGGCGATGGGGTAAAGCTCATCGTTGGTGTTGGTCGCGTCAGCCATGGCGGGCGACTGGAGAATAGGAGAGAGCGGATGGGGTGTCGCAGAAAGGGTTGTTGTGTTTTGCGGTATCTGTGGAATCAAGGCTGACTTTTTGGGCGGGAGCTGGGCAGGGCGGCTGGATCGCGTGCGGGATGTGATGCAATGGGAAAGCGGGAGCCGACCGGGCGTCCTTTGCACACAAGTGGGCAGTGGCCTAATGAGACGAGCAGTGCTCGTTTCCCCCTCGGTTTAGCGTCGCTGGCAGCCGCGACAGGTCGTCTCAATGTAGAGCTGTAGCAAAAGTGCCGGCAATCATGACATACGCTAGCAAGTGTCAAGCAAGAAAGCGAACGGTCCGGTATGTTGATGGAACTCACAGACGGCTGTTGCCAGCTTTTAGGGAGTTTGATAGGATTCCAGGTTGCAGGTTGCGAATGCGAGGGGGAGGTTGTGCAAGCTCCCTCCACTCAGAACGGGGTCAAGGCACGCCTGTTTGGTTCAGTACAGTTGCGGTGGTCTGTGCGCTTTAGTTGAATCTTCATTGATCTACACAAGCCCAGCTCAACCAGAGGTGGGGTGAATCAGGGGAGGCGCATTGGCTGACTGGGACGCGACTCGATGATTGCTCGAGAACGCTGAGGAACAGGTTGCTTCTCACTCATATAGTACATACTTCGACTGCAAATCCATGGGGGCTAGCGCATACGCTTCACTGAAAATCATTATTCGCTAGGTATGCCCCAAAGTGATCGTTGGACGCTCTAGTCCATCCAGCTATTCCCACAGACAGCGCTGGTTACTGGACATTTCATATCCCTGATTCCTTTTTCCTGCCTCCCCATCTAGTCTAATGCAGGGTCCTCATCTCCTGCCCGGAGTCGTCATCTTTCGGTGCCAGCTTGTCCCTAGTTACACCGGCGTCGTCGAGGGTGGCCTCAGCGAAGCTAGGAGAGTCATTCGATCCCGTGTTGTGAGCACCCGGCCGATTCCTACCCGAATTTGCGCTCTCTCCGCCACCGCCGCCAAACATGACCGTGCCGATGCCCAGCCCAGATATCCTGTCCTGTAATGTCCCAAGAGCACCGGATATGTTGCCTGTACTCGCGCTACGGTTCATCGACGCGGATGTCCTAGCCTCTGGCGTAAGAGCCTCGTGAGCACTCTCGACGCCGACGAGAACCGACTTGCTCGCCGCCAAACCAGGTGGTTCGGGACTAGCTCCTGACTGGCTTTCCGCGTTGGCACTGTCAGGTGGCTCGGCCAACCCTGACGCGGCCTGGTAGGCTGCAACACGCTCCGCTGTGGCGATGGAGGCATTGATGGCACCGTTCATCTCATCATCGGTGCGTCCGAAGACCTGGTGCCACCATCGCACTTCGCTGAGACGCGGGAAGATCAGACGCTCCCGCCCCTTGTGGTGGTCGTCGATAACCGGGTCATATTGGTCATTTGTGAACTCCTGGCGACGGCTCAAAAAGTAGGCCCAGACACTGCGCGTGCGCTCGCGCAGCTTCGCCTGGTGGCGCTCTCTCTCGTTGTTGAATAAAAACGTGCCGTACTGGCAGGAGTGAACGTGGTAAAGCAGGCGCCGGAGGAAGCGCTCGTTGAACTCGAAGCGTGTGGGGTGTTGTCGGAGAAGCTGGTATGTAGCGTCGAGGAACTGGTGAAAGACGGGTGACACTTCCCTGAGCCTTGTCGCCTGGTCCTCGGTGACAGGTGCGTTCGTCTGTTTCGCTTCGTCAACTGGCACGGGATCCTCGGTATCTGATGTCGGCATGTCCTTCTCGCCGCCCACGTTTCTATTCCAGAACCGCCTCGCTGTCGCTAAAACATTCTCGACTGCATCCCCCCGACCCTCACTTTCGCCGGGCCGGACCGTGGAGCCGGCTAGCGGGTCACTATCCACCGTAAACCAGCTTTCATGATTCAAGTGACCCGACCGCAACTGAAACATGTGCCCAAACGAAAGCCAGTCCTTCTCAACTAGCACAATGAAACCGTCAATCGTGCGGTAGTAGGGATCCAGCATCAGCTGAGCCAGGGCGCTGAGCTGGCTGGTCCGATCCCAGCCGTCTGAGCAGTGTATAAGCACATGAGAGTGCTGGATGCCAACCTGACGCGCGATGATAGCCGAGCCACTCAGGATGCTGCTGATGTGCTTTATCCATTTGCTCTTCTCGAGGAGTTCACGATTGGGTGGAAACGGCGAGACATCCGAATCCTTGATCGCGCTGACGACTTTCTCTAGCGAGTCCCGCATGACATGAATATTGTCTATATTCAGGAAGACCTTTTTGGCAAATCTGTAATAGTCCATGTTCTCCGACCCTTTTCCTGCTGCCTGCATGGCAAGAGAATTGAGCAGGGGCCGAGCGTCGACGATCAAGTTGCGCTGCTGTGCACCGTAAATTAGTCGCTTTCCGGTCTTCTCGTCGTACTGCGCATTAGCGCCCACAATCAGCTCATCCTCCTGCCGCATCCGCTCCAGCTCTGATAGCGACAAGTCCGCATCGGCATTATCAGCGCTCAAATCCACCGTGCTGGAAGAGGGACTCCTGTCCGGGCCCGGCGGAGGAGAAGCGGTGTCCAGACACTCGACAGAGGCAGAGAAGCAGGCTCCAACGAGGCGCTCATCTTGAATGCTGCGCTTAAAGCGGAGGCCCACGAACGGTTGTGAGCTGCGAGTTATCGTGCAGTTGTTGATTGGGTGAAGGTACGTAAGAGTTGGTATTCGGGCACGGGACCGGAAGTTTGCTGCGTATTTAAGTGTGCTGTCCGATATTTTGGACGGCACCACTAACAGAGCCGGATAGGTCGGGGAGAATGTGTAGTCTTTGTTGATAGTAGATATCCTCCAGCCCAAGTCCGCAGACTTCTCGCTGATGCCCTGCCGCTTGAACTCCGCTCTCACATCGTACAGGCTCCAGCCGTCGATCTTGTTCTCTGGGGAGCCCGCAGGGGGGTTGTAGTTGAAAGCTAGGAGGTCTTCTATGCTTCCCAGCCTGCACGTCCTTGCTCGGATGAACTCGAACGCATCCCGCGCTTGCTTGTCATCGGTAAAGTTGAAGCAGACGTAGGTGAAGTCCCTAAAACGGATGCGTATTGACGAGGGCACGCCACTTGAAGGCGGTGTCGGTCGCAGAGTGCATTGAGAGATAACGTGGAACGCGAACCAGACCTGCTTTACGTGCTTCTTAAGCTGTGCTTCGGTAGACGTCTTCGATTCAGGGGGGAACCGGAAGACGAGGTGGTAGTCGCTCAGCGCGACATCACCAAGCTCGGGTTTCCCGCCTCGCAAGGCCTGCACGTTGGTGTACACCTGATTTGGATCTTAGCACAGTCCCCCCGAATCTGCAGCGCAAAACAACATACGTGCTTGCTCTGCGGCGCGGACATGACAGGGTGGTTGGAACAGCGCTCCTGTATGTTCGCAAGGACGGCTCAGGAAACAGGGAAGACTTCGGGTGGTGCGCAGGTGACTATCCTATTCTTTCATGGAACAGCGACATTGAGAAAGAGAGTATTATGGCAAGGCATCGTCAGCGCATGCTAATAGGACGCTTGGATGCTCTTTCTTGGTTGTCGTGGTATTAGTAGGTCGTTGGGGGGACGGTCGGCGCATCACAAGACACCTTCTCAGTTCCGCCTGCCACCGCTTGACGTCGACAGTGCCCCACGGGAGGCGCGGGCCCGAGCTGGCAGCCGCAGGCCACCAAGGTTGGATTTCGCTCCTGACACACCCCAGGCTTGAACAGCATGCACCCCTCATCCGGATTTGGCAGCCGCTGATTGGCTCTCGCAAACCCTACTCCACCCCGCGTCCAGAACGGGCACGGTGCACAGGAAGCCCACCAAGAATTCGCAAAAAGCAGTGCGCGAGTCGAATTTCCCCAATTTGAGAAAAAGTCGGGTGAACACCACGAGCAGGCCCTGCCTCTACCTCCGCAACGGTTGAACTTTCGAGGAGTCTCATCGCCAAATTACAATCATGGCTGTTCCCGGCACCCAGATGTAAGCAGTAAAGAACCCCTCATAAATCGTGGTGGACAGGACTCCGGGAAAGTTGGCGGCATCCAGGATTCGAAGTCGCTGGCTGGCCAGCTGCTGCGGATGTATATTTGGAGGAGGATTCAAGACTGACCGTCTCACTTTCTGCAGCTCCAAGCGGAGAAAGTTCGTCGCCGATGGTGTTTTCTACGCCGAGTTGAACGAGTTCTTCCAGCGTGAGCTGGCCGAGGAGGGCTACTCCGGCGTCGAAGTCCGCGTCACCCCGACCGTCACCGACATCATCATCCGCGCCACACACACCCAGGAGGTCCTCGGCGAGCAGGGTCGCCGCATCCGCGAGCTCACCAGCCTCATCCAGAAGCGGTTCAAGTTCCCCGAGAACTCGGTCTCTCTCTATGCCGCCAAGGTCCAGAACCGCGGTCTTTCGGCCGTCGCCCAGTGCGAGTCGCTTCGCTACAAGCTCCTTAACGGTCTCGCCGTCCGCCGTGCTTGCTACGGTGTCCTCCGCTTCATCATGGAGAGCGGTGCCAAGGGTTGCGAGGTCGTCGTTTCCGGCAAGCTGCGCGCCGCTCGCGCCAAGAGCATGAAGTTCACCGATGGCTTCATGATCCACTCCGGCCAGCCGGCCAAGGACTTCATCGACAGCGCCACCCGCCACGTCCTCCTCCGCCAGGGTGTGCTCGGTATTAAGGTCAAGATCATGCGCGGCAGCGACCCCGAGGGCAAGGCCGGCCCTCAGAAGACGCTCCCCGATGCCGTGCACATCATTGAGCCCAAGGAAGAGACCCCGGTTGTGCAGCCCATGAGCCAGGACTACGGCGCTAAGGCTGCGGCTGCCCAGGCCGCGGCTGAGGCGGCCCGTCAGGAGGAGCAGGTCGGTGAGGAGGAGCCCGCCCCCGCCGAGCAATAGGAGAGCGGCGGCGGTGGTGTTGTGGCTTCTTCTCCCGTTGAGCAGGTCGCTGAAGCCGAGGATGTGCCCGCCAATAATGAGTTCGCCAGTGGTAAATTTGCTGGTGGCGATTTCGCTGCTGGTGACTTTACCGGTGGCGACTTCGCTGGCGGTGATGACGCCGGTGGCGGTCTCGATTGGTGATGCATGTCAATGCATGCTCTGACTGGGAGATTTTCTTCGAGCGCGCCACACGCTCGACAGTATGGTTGCGGATGGATGGGTCACTCGGCGTCAACTTTGAGCATATTGCATTGAGTCTGCGAAACGGGAAAACGGACGGAATGGTGCTTTGGAGGGTGAATTTGTAACTTATGCAGACAAACCCCATGGGCATGGCAGTCAACGTCGGACGATCCTAAACTCGCCGGGATGAATGGAGTCTCTGAACAATCATTCCTTGGATTTCAATTGTGTGCATTCATGGCCATTGGACTTGGTCCAGCTCGGTAGCATGAGCCATGGGCAGTTTGTCCGACAAGTGCGTTCGTAATGCGGCTCCTGTTAACGTTACGCTGACGACTTGAACAGTCCGATTTCTCGCAACTCAACTGGGTCTTGTTACAGAGGAAGTCTTAGCCGATGAAGAAAGCTAATACTGTACAGGACAACGGCTAGGACGCAGTTCGAGGCTTGAATGAGAAAGCCAACTACCTTAATTCCCAAGATTAAACGCCTAATGTGTGCTGTTTGCTCTGCTGCCCCCTTGCCTCACTGCCAGGTATTTATGCGCAATATCGTGAGTCTTCTTTTGGGGCATCAGAAACGTCCCTTCCACTCCTATTTCCTTCCCTTTCCCATATGCCTTCCCTCCGTCCATAAGAAACCCCCTTCGCCCCGTTTCGTTTCATAGGCCCGGAACTCCTTTAATATTAACCCCAAGAAGACTGAGACTAAAATGGAAATGGAAAAATATACACGGCGAGAGCCACGCCGAAGCCGCCCCCGTGCGCCCGGTTCCTGCCTTTACTCTTGCTCGTATCCCTTGTGTCGCACAGCCGAGACGGATGCTGTAGACGGAAGGTGTCCCCGTACTTTGCCCGTGGTTTGCGGAAGCCAAGGTTTTGTGTTCTTGTGGCAGGAGAGTGGTGTGATGTACCGACCAGAAGTCTGCATGCATCTAAACTGTTGCTAGTCCGTTACAGTCCCAGCGGGGGCCGATAATGGCTACAAGAACGGTTTGTCGGCTGAAAACGATTGATCGGGGAAACGTGCGGTGGCTTTCGTGAGACGAGGGAATAAACAGATGCGAAACCCGGCTCTGACGCTGACGATTCAAATAGTGATGAAGCGGAGCGATCACCTCTCGCCGGACCTCCGATTTTGTAGCTCTATTGACTCGTTCGCGTTCTTGACGCTGAGATGGCTCCCGTTTGGTGGGTGGCCGTTGGAGCGCGGGAAACCACTCGGAATCATGGGCGATCGCGGGTCGTCTTCTTCGTCGGTGTCCTCGGCAAGGTCGTTCAACCCAAAGCCGGCGGCTTCCTCCTCGTCGTATGCGCGTATCAGCCCTTCGCGGTCACCGGCACGATTGCTGCCGATGCTCATGCGGTCCACCTGCGACCTTCGGGCCTCCATGCTCATCCGTGTCTGGATGCTTGAAACCATGTCAGTGCCCGTGATGTCGCCAGCATTGCGCCGAGCTAACGATTTGGTGCCGTTAGGGTCGGTGCGGCTGAGGTTGAGCAGGTAGACTCCCGTAAAGGTGACCAGGAAACCACATATCAGCGAGAGTGTGTTGACGGCTTCGGTCGTGTTGAATCCCTTGAAGAGAATAAAGGAGGCGCAGAGCGTTGCTGTGGTGAACGTGACGTAGTAGAGCGGATTCACGCTACCAGGGGTTAGCATAGCCAGACTTCTGCAGCTCAAGCCCGGGAGCCTTACATGTTCGTGGGGAACTGGCTCAGAGCCTTGTTGAAGTAATTCATCTGGGTCAGGATGCAGACCGTTGTGATGATCATGAAGACATAAGTCGAGGGGTACACGAATTGGTTGTGGCCCCCAAGTGTTAGCTTCAGCGCGATGCCAAAGGCCTTCACAGCCATGACCGAAATTGAGCCAACGGTCGAGCAGATGCTCAGGTAGATGAGGGGATTCCTCTTGCCGTAGACCGGGGCGACCTTGTAAATCATAACGCCAGCAAAGATGCAGACAGCGAACGAGTAAAATAAGAACCCTTCACTGAAGTTAGCCAAGGCCAGAAAATGATAGAGAGAGCCAGAGAACATGCCTGGCTGGAGCGCATAGTTGAGCATCTGATCGATCCTCTCAATATCCTCGTCAGGCGGCGCGTGTAAGACGATAATCACGGCGCCAATCAAGCAGATTGCGCTTCCCAATTTGCCGAGCGTCCCCAGCTCTTCTTTGAGGAAATAAGAGCCAAGCACGGCTCCTATCAGCACTGAAAGAGCACCCAGAGGGGTGACGAGAATGGCTGGTGCGAAGGCGTATGCTGCGAAGTTGAATATCTCTCCCAGCACCACTAATAAACCGTCGTCAGCAAACTTGGTTCCCGTCGACAACTGGGTTGCCCGTACAGCAGATGATGCCCGCCCACCACATAGGACTCCGCAGATAGACGAAGCCGTCCCCCTCAAAGCCATGTCTTTCCTCTGCTTGCATTAACCCCTGTTTTAAATGATTTCATGGTTAGCCGGACCCTCCTATAGGTGGCCGAGGGCACTCGGGCTCCGTAGCGCGGTGTGTTCGATGTGGAGGTCACCATACTTTCTTGGTTATCACAAAGCTAGTACCTGTCAAGCGCCCGGTTAGCGCCCCTACTACCATTTGAGTTTCAACGTTCGTGCAATCAAGGGCCTACCAATGGCTAAACTTGAGGTCATGGCCAGTGCCAGACCGATATACCTGCCAGCAAAGTTCGGAATGTCAGCAACTTCTGATGCCCTGCAAGACCGGCCCGGTTCGCCAGGGGAAAGCCGTACTTGTCTTCCAACATTTTCTCGACAGAAAAGTTGAAACAGTAAAGCGAGTGTAGAGGCAGCGAGTATAGCACTGCCAATCGTGTCTTTCAAGCGCGAAAGCGACGGACTTCCGAGGCAGTGATCGAGAGAGGGGCAGCGGCTCGCGCCGGGCGAGGCTCGAGGAAGAGCAACGAGAATCAGCGAAACCGTTGCCAGGGACACATCCGTGTATTGAAAACGGCGCCACAGGAGCTGCTGTTGGGTGATGTCGTAGGCTTCGTTTCGTCCGTTTGCCTGTTTGCGCGTCCGGCAGAAAAGGACAGATACCCGGTCGAGTCTTTGTCCAGCGCTAAGGTGCGCCTCGTTAGGGTGTTGCGCGCGGCAGCGTTGCTCCTTGCTTGCTGTGGCCGTCACGCTGAACTTCGAGAACGTTGCCGTCGTCCAGAAATGACCGAAATCCCTGTTCTGTTCCGTGCGACGACGATGAAGTGGCCAGCAAGAAGGTCTTTGCGCCTCGGCGGGCTCCAGTTCATTCCAGCCAAAACCCCTGTCTGCGCTGAGTGGTGCGAGGAAAGTCTGGGGTCGGGCGGCGGTTTCAAGAATCACGAAGCAACCCCTGTCGGAGAGATGTGGCCCCTAGTTGGCGCGCCCTGCCACGCCTGCCCTGGCGACCAGCCCATGTGGTGTGACCAAAAATGGCAGTCTCTTGCACATGCTTGGCATGCCATCAATCATCCCAGGAACTCGAGCTCAGCCACGAAGATCACAGATTGAATCTCGAGATGTCACACATCGGGGTTTTGCTAGGTCCAAATAAAGAGGTGGTTTCAATTCCCCCACAACCCGGCTAGCTACGACGCTACACTACTAGATAGCTTCAAGTTACTGTAAGAAATGATTACTCCCAGTTGCACACGTAAGCAACTTCCATCCACCCTCTTTCATGGAAGAGATTTCCAGATCATGAGCCCCCCAAGCCCCCTTCTTTGTGGGCCCAATTCCCGTTCGAGCCACAAGTCCACGTAACTCCTCCATGCTGTTAGGTAACGTTACCGGTAACCCTAGTTCTGTACGAATCCGTACTGTGCAGGGTAGGTCACGAAACGCTTCAGTCCAACTACTGTAGTATTCCGTACTGTGGTATATGGTTAAAGCAATTTTGTCTAAGGACTCTGTTTGTGGCATTTCGATGCTCATATGTGTGACTTATCCATTATCCGTATAGCCAACGAGCCACCTAAGAGACATTCCTGTTTTAGTGTGAGACAAAGTTGCGAATAGTGGAGATGGCCACAACCCCTTGAGGCACGGAGATTTCAACCCGCCTGCATGCTGTCATGGATTCTGACATGATGATGTTTACACAGCAGGTAGACTCTTGAAAGCATCCTTCGACTCCGGTCTTTGTAAGACATTCTGTGCGACGTTCCCTGGAACTGTGTTGTCGAACTTGCAAAGCATCTCGTTGCTCGTCTATGCTGTAATCTCGCCTCCATTCATAATACACCGATCTCTTTGGGCCAACTAAGGTAGGTAACTGCTAATACACATTTGAAGAGCAAAGAACTCCAGCGTTCCTTGCCCCGTCCCCTCCAGAGCCCGAACGCCTTGGTTTGTCAACACACCAATAAGGTGAAATATGATCAAAAAAGAATGCCATCACTCATGGATGGCCACGGAGAATCGAAAACCAAGCTAATGCCCCCCTCCAGCGCAGCTCTCCAAGCTCCAACCGTACATCAGTACAAGCCCGAACGTTCAGGTTTGAACGCCTGGTGGGGAGTTATTGGGACTCGGCTGTCCTCCAGAACAGAGCAGTCCCTCCAAAGAGACGACGCGTGGATTGGACCGAGACTCAAGACTCCCATGGACATAACCTCAACACCCATCCATGGCATCAAAGCCTTTCCGAGATCGCCCACTCCGGGGTCCTCTGGATAATCCTACATATGAATTGTTGGTAGAGATGCTGTGGTTAGGCGGCTTGTTGAGCTGCTGTTCTGCTCAATGTCGAGGTTGATAAATCATGATCTTCAGCGGCTATTGAAGCGCCGGTGCATATAGGCCCTGCGACCGGCCTTCACCCCAGATGCCGACATGCTGCACCATGGGTTGCTGATTCTGGTTGACTAGGTAATGTTGCCGCTCCTGAAATCGTGATCGTCGAAACCTACCTGTCGAGTTTCCGAGGAAATGTCGCGCGAGCCTCGTCGAGATGTTACCTGCTAGAAGAACTAGAAGGGGGAAAGGGGATGAAAACAAATGGGGGGGTTCCAGGGGTTGGGGTTGAAATCAATGCGTGGCTGAACTACAACCCAATCCAAATCAAGAGCAAAAGAATAGGGGCGCTGTGGCGAGTCTGCCGTTCAAGTACGACGACGCTTGTAGTCTGCACCGGGTCAGCACATGCGCATCCGTTTGGAAGGAGGCCAAGCCAGCGTACCGGTCTCGTCGGCAAGACTCTCTGCCTCGTCAGTCCTGCTTCGTTTTCCCGCAGCGCTCGGTGGAGTCAGGGCATCCTCTTGCGCCTCCACCGAATCGACGTAGTCGCCTCCGGACGCCGGCTGTTGCTCGTACTCATCCTCATCGTTCTCCCAATCAATCTCGTCATTGTCGATGCCAGAGGCCGCCGCCGACTGGTCAAGGGCTTCATTCCCCGCTGCTAATGAAGCATCTTCGGCGAACTGTTCTTCGTAGTCGATCTCATCGCCTTTGACGGTTGTGCTCGTGTGGACAGATTCCGTTTCTGCTGCAGCAGCGACGTAGGCTCCGTCCTGGTGTTCGTCACTACTAGCCTCGTGGGCCGTCTCGAGGACAGGTGGCTCTTCGTTGGTTACTGCATCGAGAGCTACGTTTTCCGGGGCGTCGTAGGTAATCGTGTAGTCCTCATACGCTTCATCCACACCACTACGAGTTGCGGGTAGGCCAGCCTCATCATCGAGCGTGAGAACGAGGTCGTCGTCTTGATGGACATATCTGTTAGCATCGGCCTTCAACGCGGATCTCGAGTTGACAGAAGCCGCATCCTGCGCTGGAAACCCCGGCGCCGATGATGGCGAAGAATGCTTTGAGATCGCATGGGAGATTGGTTCATGTTCGTCATCCGAGTAATCAATCTCCCACGGTTCCTCCTGCTTCGGCGGTTTGCGCTGCAAAGAAAGAAGGGAAGCTGTGGAGAGGAAATCGGGATAATTACCGTTTGTGGCCTGTTCCTGTTCATAACCGCCATTCTCGGGGGCAGAAGTCGAATCCATTGCGCCGAAACCTCCTGGCTCGGCAAAGTCGTCGCCATCCTGTTGTTCAGTCGATTGATAGCTCTGCTCACCGGATACTTCGAGCGCAATCTCAGCGTGAAGCGAGGATGCTACCTCGTCCTCTGCTGCCTGCTCGTCCCAGGCTTGCTCATCATCTTCGTAGCCAGCATTCGCATGACGAGGGGAATCGCCGCCCAAGTCTTCATCACCGGCAATCTCCTCTGCGGGGATGTTCGGAGACTGTGGTGCAGTTGCTCCGAACTGGAGGTCCTGCTCCTGTTCCCCTGTCGAGTCGTCCTGGAAATGCGCTACTTGAATCTCAGAGTCATCCTCGACCTCGATATGTCCGCCAGCAGCATGGTCGGAGGTTGCTGCACTGACGGCATGCTCGTCCTCCTCACGATATTCATCCGAGCGTCCATCGCCGAACGGCTCATCCTGCATTTGTCCATCATCTCGGCCATTAGCCTCGGCATCCTCTTCCAGGTGTTCGGAAATCTCAGAATCCTCTGCCTCGCTGTGCCCCCATTTAACAAGCTCCGCCTTGGTGAGTAGTTCTTGGAAATGTTCCTCGCTATCCCGCCGTATGATCAGGTGGACGACAGGATCTCCATGCATCGAAGACGCCGTGGAGATATTCATCAGTGTGGCATGACAATCAAGAATCTCACGGAAGCTGCGATTCAGGAATTGCACGTTCGACCGTTCACCAAACTCGAGACCAAGAGGGTCAAAAAGAACCGCTAACTCATCCGTTGGCGCTATCTCGTCGGAGATGACGGCCCGGATAGCAGAGAGGAACTGTGACAGCGGACGATCGAGCTCTCGGATGTCGGAAAGGAAGTAAGATTCAGGATCATCATCTGGAGTCCCAAACAGAGAGTAACACTCTTCGTTGTAAACAACTTCAATGTCCGGGACTTCATTGGAAGATCGCGTGAGATCGTCAAGCGCATGTTCTAGGTCCATGATCCGGTGATCTGTAGCGTACTGGTCCTGGGCGGCCTCATTGGCATCATTATCGTCCAGGTTCTCGCTTTCTACATGATTGGCCGAGTCCTCTTCGTGTACGCCGCCAGACTCATCTTGCAGTTGACTTCTCTCAGCAGCATCTTCGAAGTTGGCGGTGTCTTGGGACCGGGAGTCGTCCTCCTCGTGGACTGATGGTTCAGAGTGGCTTCCATCAACCGATTGGGCAGAATCCATACGACCTTCGGGGACGGCAACGGACAACCCAGCTTCCATGTCGCGGGTCTCTGTTATGCTCAGGTCGGCATTAATGTCCGTCGCCACGAGATCATCGTCCTCGTATCCGATCTCATCTTGGTACTCGGCCTCAACCTCGACAACAACGCTGGGGTCTTCGGTGTACTCGCCCGTTTGGGCTTCCTGGTCACCCACAATCGTGCCGTATGCATCACCGTCTGCCGAGCCATGCTTGAGATAGGACGCCAAAGACGGTGCATCGTCGGCGACGTCCCCAATGAGCACGTGCTCGACTTGGTCGTATGTCTCTTTTAGCCCGAAATCGACTGTATCAGCCTGGATCCCAACATTGGGATCGAGCTCTAGGTGGTAGTCTTGCTCTAGCTGGTCACCGGGGCCAGGCGCCACTGATATCCCACCATGCTCCATTTTCGATATTGTGTGATCGATGATTGATAAGCGTAAGGGGAGAGCCCGTGCAAAAGCGGTCGGCGTATAACGGACAACTTGCTTTACTACCCGGGCCTTCTCTGCATCGTCTACAGTCGCTGAATGCTGGGTCACCTCGGCAAACGCTCAGTAGCGCGGCGAAGATTCTATCAATGCGATGGACAGGGTAGGCTGGTGCCGAAGAGACCGAAAACGAGACGTCGCACCAGGTCTGACTTCGCGCTGTAGAGCAGTCGTTCGCGAAAATAGGAGTCTTCCGTGTACTGCGATGCGCGTTCGTATTTGAATGTCGAAAATGGTTTGGATCATGCCTCGAAGGCTAAACCACTCAAAAAATTCTCCGGTCTCAAAGACGGGAAGGTCGAAAAGGTCGATAGGCAACAACCGACGGCGCAAAGTCGATCAATCGCCAAACTTCAGCCAAACGAGATGCGGTCTCAAATGGAGATCATGAATCCTCGCGAGACGTGAGCCGGCACAAGGTAGGTAGTTGATCGAAGAAGAACGACACAGTAGTAGAGGAGAGCTTCCAGTTACTGGCAGTGACATGAAAGCGAGAAACGCAGAAATCATGGATGTGAAATGAAAGTTGAAGTTATGGTGTGGAACTGCAGCAGCTCCATCAGGTTAGCACCAACGCAGCCGCAACTTTGCAAGCTACGGTGGTGGATCAAGTTGGGCTGCCAGTCAGGTGGATCTATGTCCTGCCAGCTGTCAGCCCCTTGGTCCCAGCCTTGCCGGAAAGCCAGATCAACCACACTGTATCACAATCCACAATTGGGAGCTGCTGTACGGAGGTGAAGCACAGGCAAGGCTCTCACAACACACTCAACACGATCCTCACCAGCTGCAGGCAAAATGGTAGGCTGCTTCCTCATGTTTGTAGACATAGTCTCAATTCTGACAGAAGCATTAGGTTGTCCTTGCGGCGTCCATCTGCACCCGTGGTGGGAAGGCCGTCCTCGCGCGGGCATTCCACGACATCAAGCGGTCTCGCATCGAAGCTCTCCTCGCATCGTTCCCCAAGGCGGCAAACTCTGGCACCCAGCACACGACGGTCGAGCAAGACAATGTCCGATTTGTCTACCAACCGCTAGACGAGCTCTACATGGTGCTCATCACCAACAAGCAGTCCAACATCCTCCAAGACATCGACTCGCTGCACCTATTTGCCCAGGTGGTCACCAGTACCTGCAAGAGCCTCGACGAGCGAGAGATTCTCCGGAATGCCTACGAGCTCATCAGTGCTTTTGACGAGCTGGTGACGCTCGGTTACCGGGAGAACCTGACCATCAGCCAGATCAAGACATTCCTTGAGATGGAAAGTCATGAGGAGCGGATTCAGGAGATCATTGCCCGGGTGCGTCAGCGCGGGTTCCTGCAGACCACAGTCCAGCCACTGACCGAGCTGTACAGAACAAGGAGTTGGAAGCTACCGAGGAGCGGAAGAGGAAGGCCAAGCAGTTGGAGATGCAGCGCAAGGAATCGGGGAGGAGCGGTCGCAGTGGCGGCATGGGTGGCCGGCCGCCAGTATACCCAACATACACCCCGCCAGTACGACCCGCTATCACCGAGACATACGATACCTACGAGGCGGAGAAGAACAAGTCCAAGTACGCAGCGCGTATGCCCTCATTCCCCGAGCGCTTCGAGCTAACCGGAGCAGGTTTACTGCCCCGAAGGGCAAGGGCATGCAACTGGGCAAGAAGTCCAAGACCACAGATATGTTCGAGCGTGTGAAGACAGAGTTGGGGCCCGTGGACGATACGCCACTTGTTCCCGTCCCCGCCCCGTCTGCGCCGGAAGCGGCCGCTGCGGCCCGGATATCGTCGTCGCTAGACCGCGATGCGATCCATGTCACCATCAACGAGGCCATCAGCGCCAAGCTATCCAGGGAGGGCACGCTGAACTCATTCTCCATAAGCGGGGACCTAACACTGCGCGTGTCAGATCCCTCGCTCACTAAGCTCAAGCTGAACCTCAGCGCCACCCCGTCGCATGGTGCGCAATTCCGGACGCACCCTAACGTAGACAAAAATGCCTTCAACAGCTCTAAAACCATTCAGCTGGCAAACCAAGCGCGGGGTTTCCCGGTGAACAATGCAGTGGGCGTCCTCCGCTGGCGGGCCACGCCTAAGGTGGACGACACCAGCGCGCTGCCCATTACGTTCACCGTCTGGGTCAACAAGGGCTCCGAGGGCAACTGCACGCTGACCATTGAGTACGAGCTCTCTGGTGGCGACACGCTCAAGGATGTTAGCGTGATTGTGCCGTTCACAAGTGCCGAGCCATCCATTTCCAGCTTCGACGCTGTCTACGAGGTGTCGGGTGACAGCCTGGAGTGGGCGATAGGTACGGTCAATGATGAGAACCCCAGCGGGGCCTTTGAGTTCGAGGCGCAGACGGACGACGAGAACGAGTTCTTCCCGATGCATGTGCGCTTTTCGAAAACCTCGCCGTTTGTGGACGTCGATGTAAGTTCATTATGGCCCACTGAAGTGGACAAGCGCGACCGCTAACCGAGCTCACAGGTCCAATCGGTGGAGTTGATCGAGATGAACGAGGAGGTGACCTTCTCCAAGGACATCAAGTCAGTTGCCGAGTCATATGTAATTGAGTAGTAGACGCTCTGAGGAGAGCGGCTGGCAGGATGACGATCAATGTTCGGTGTTTTGAGCGGGCAGGTGTCTTTGGAGTGCGGGCGTGCTTAGAGACACGGCAGGAAAAGGCTGTAGGCTGTAGCTGTCTACAAGACCTCGCGATTTTCATGGGACTGCGTACACAAGCTGTCTTGGCTCTTATCTTGAACTCCCCTGGAACCTCTCAGTCCCTTTTGTCAACAATGGGCCGCAGTCTGAATCAAGCGCTGCAGTTAAGAGTGCACCAAGTGCAGTGTTGTGAGGCACAGTGCGAATATCCTGGTCGCCCAGTCAATCAATTAAAGTTCTCGCGCTTCACGCACCTCCTCTAATAAACAAGACCCTGACTACAGCATGCAGGAACGACCGCCTAAGGTACCTTACATGAGTGCTCTGCAGCATCAGATGGTTTGATAGCAAAGAAAGTTACCTACTATTTCTACACCTACAAGGCTGTAACATGGCTTTGACAGCGCCATCCACCCGCCCTTGCAACCATCACTGTCACTGCTGATACATCATAGCCGTCGAAGCCTGTGTTTTGGAGATAAAAAAAAAAAAAAAAAAAAAAAGACACCCAGGCCATCACTACACCACCGATTTGAACCACACTACCCCAGTACTACCATTCGAGATATGGCAGCAGCAACCAAGAGGGACATGACAGCCCCCGGCAGGCTCCCAGAACTCCAACTCTTTGGCGCCACCGCCCTCTCAACCCCGGTCACGGGCGGCCACATCGCCTGCAACCCGGCCATCGATCTGACGGCGACGGTCGGCGAGGCTAACACCACGCTGCATGTCTGGCGGGCGGGCGACCAGCTCGTGTCAAAGCATGTGGAACGGGGGAAGAAGGTGGAGGCGGTTCGGTGGAAGGAGGATGGTAATGTCTTTTTTTTATTTTTCCTTTCTCCTTTTTTTAACCCCTTCCCCCTCGCTTTGTACTTCTCCTTATTCTTTCGGTCTGAGCGGATGGGAAGCAGGATAGATCATGCGATCTGGTACTGATGCCAAAGGATAGGGCAGTTCCTCGCGGCCGGGTGGAGCGACGGAGTCGTCAGGCTGATGGGTCTGGAGAGCAGCAAGGCGGTGCACCACATCCGGGTGTGCGAGGCCGCGCAGCAGGCGACGGCGGCGGCCTCCAAGATTGAGTTCATCGCTTGGGCCAGGAATGTCACGGGCGAAGGGAGATGGCGCAGGAGAGAAGGGCGGAGCAGCCGGCGTCAACAAGAGAAGGGCATCCTGCTCGACGGGGACCGCACGAGCGATGTGGTCGTCGATCTGCCGCATGAGCTGACCTTCTTGGAGGTGGAAACCGCGCTGCCCAAGCTGAGTCCGCTTCCTGTTTCGGGCGGGTCTGGGTTAGTGCTGCTGCTGCTATTCATCCATTTTTTGGTGAGGCGTTGATTCGTGGCGTGGCTGACTTGGACTAGGGACGACATGTTTCTGTTCTCGACGACGGCATCGCTGGAGTTTGTTTTCCGGCCGTGCAAGGCAGAGGACGCGGACGATGTCCATGTCATGATCGTGGGGACAGCTGATGGCGGGATCCATCTCAGCATCTATGACTCCTTCGTAATTGGCACGTTGAAGCCCTCGCCTCGTGGAGATAGGGTCTTCCAGCTGTGCGGGCACAGCTCACATCCGGAGGCGTCGACTCACATGCTCCTGCTCCGACCGCAGGCATGGGACGGGGTGGCGTTGTATCTGGTGCCTATGGACCTCACGTTTTTGCACCACTCGCCTGTCAACCTGTCGCTGCTAGCATCTAGAACGACGACGCTCCAGAACCTTCTCCGCTATCTAAAGCAGACGCAGTCACACATGGCCGCCGAGTGGAAGTCAACCAGGGAACTCCCGGGGAAGTTCATGCTTGCGGTACAAGACGACTTGAAAAAGATGCCGAACGGAGACATAACTGTTGTCCAGGCACTGTATCACACGGTAGTGACGGGCCACGTCTTCCCGGCCGTAAAGGAGTGGCTCGTGGACAGTCTAGCTGAGCGAGTGAGCGTCGTCCGCAAAATGATGGCGAGCGACGTTACGAGCTGACAGTGTTTCTTAGGGACACAAACGTTGGGAGAAGGCCGTGGTTTCTGGGCTCACCAGTCTCCGCAGCCTGGTGCATGAGAACTTCATACCAGCACTCGAGAGATGTGGCGTCGTTCTCAGCCGCCTCCTCGGCATTGCCCGTTTCCACGAGCCCGAAGAGAGGATCGGGTTTGACGAAGCCCAGATCAACAAGCTCATGGATATCGTCTCGTGCTTGATGCTGGTTGCGCACAGGGTGCTTACCACCGTCATGGATGAGCTGGAGCACTTCAATGCCTTCTCGACCTGGCTGCGGTTCGAGATCGATAAGCAAGCCTCGTCATCCGTCAGCGAGGAGATTACGGAAACAGAGGCTGCGATGGACTATGCCAAAGTCCTGGTGTATATCCAGCACTACCTGACTAGCAGCCCGCTCGCGCTGTACTTCGACGAGACTGTCAAAGAGGACTACATCAAGGATCAGGAGATGATTGAGCCAGGCTCATCTCTGTTGGACCTCCTCGACAGGCAATTTCAAGAGCAGGAGGCCGGTCGACCCTACATGAAGGTGCTGCCTCGAGTAGCCTTCCTGTTGAATTACCTGACTTCCAGGGCCAATATTGTGTTCCAGGGCATTGCCGAGGCAGAGAAGCAAGGCGTCCACTTCGGCCAAGCGTCCGAAATTAGTATTGGCAGAAAGATCTGGAAGCATGAGCTCTGGACGAGTCGGCCCAAGAGAAAAGCGGGTTCCTCTAATCATTGCCTGCGGTACGTGTGTACCTGGCTAACTAGTCGAGTATAGGGTGCTTCGGCTGCGGTATTCACCGCGTTGGTGCCGGAAGACGAGAAGTCTAAGAGTGCGTCTACTGCGCCCCCTCCGGATCGCCCCCTTAGCAGCTGACACGTTGTCTAGTCTACATTATCCGCTCCGACGTCCCGCTTGAGAATGGTGTTGGGCGTCCAATCCCGGCCACGACTTGCGGTCTCAGCCTGCCGGACGACGTAACTGTTGTTGACATGAAATTTCTTGACGACAACAGTTTGTTAGTCCTCTGCAGCCGATCAGGTATGTTCTAGACTCGGAGAGGAGCGGGGGAAGTTGGGCTGACGAGCATCCAGATGAACCAACGCCTGTTCTCTTACGCATTGCGTACCAGTCGTCCCACTTGTCTTATGAGAACTACACGCCGGGGCAATGTCCATCAATAATGGCCCTCGGTGAAGAGACCGGGGTGTACTTTGCATTCTCCCGGATATCTGGCTTCACCCCTGCCCAGATGGAAGTCCAGCGGGCGAGCAAGGCGAGAGGTGAGATTCCTGCCAGAGTCTGTCTCCTGGGCCGGGATAAGGCCATGTACAGGACCTATGCGCTCCCCGGAAACCTGCGCAAAGAGTCTTAGCAACTCTAGCGGACACCGTACCAGATGAAAGAGGCTCGATACTTGAACGTAAGGTGAGCTGGGAGCGGTGATAGCATGGGAAATTGACCTTGATGAGATACGAAACATTTAAATACCCCCACTGCGACGGATATGCGGTGTAGATGGAATAGAAGAGATACATCAAATAACTCTTGCCATCGGTCCTGTGTAAGTTGTCCACAGTAACCTATACGCGTATGGCGGCGTGTATTGCCCCTGAACCGCTGTCTGGCCAGGGACATGGACAAGGGGCCTAAACTCAAGTTCAACGCCACACAACACACACTTTCAATAGCTTGAAGTGTGAAGTGATGCCGTACGTTACACAGACAGGTCCCTTCCGTTGCCGGAAATAGCGGACTCCATGGCAGGAGCCGCCTCTTGTTCGCTCTTCCTCTCTGCATCCCATGATGATAAGCACCACTACATATGCGGAACAACTTGGAAATCCCGGAATACGACCCAAGAGCAAAACACAATATATAGGATCGCCATAAACAATAACCACAAACAAAATGGCCAACAAGTCGACCACCTCTACCGAGACCGCCGTCCCGGCAACCCCCGCAACATCCGCCCAACCCCTCTCCAACCTCCCACAGCTCACCCGCATCGTGACGGGCCACAACTCCGAGGGCAAAGCCATCGTCCACACCCACGGCCCCTTCACCTGGGCTCCGTACGACGACAATAACCTGGCTTTCTCAGTGCCCTTCACAACCTCGACATTCCCGCCGGACCTGAACGACGACGCCGACATCGCCGAGCACGAACAGCTCATGACGTCGGGCAAATTAGGCCTTGTCAACCCGCGCGGCACGGTCCTGCGATGCGTGGACTTCGCGCCCGGATACTCGTGCGCCATGCACCGCACGCAGAGTCTGGACTACGGGATCGTCCTCGAGGGCGACATCGACATGGTGCTGGACAGCGGGGAGCGGCACTCGCTGAAGAGGGGGGACGTGGCGGTGCAGCGGGCGACGCAGCACCAGTGGGTGAACAGGAGCCAGACGAACTGGGCCAGGATGATCTTTGTGCTACAGGACTGTCGGCCGCTTGTGGTGGCGGGGAAGGAGATGGGGGAGGACTTGGGTGAGACGGGTGGCTTGCCGCCGAGTGGGAATTGAACCAATTGTTAAGGTAAATGGAGCACGGAACTCTTGTCGAGGTTACTACCATTCTTAGCTACCTAAGTTAGTGGGTCTTCGCCTCAGGTGCCATATATTTCTACGGCTTCGGCCAGCCCTCCTGCAACCAACTTTACCCCCGTTTTCATAATTGAAAATTGAATAGGCGGTTTACATAAGGTAGGTAGGTACCTTACGTGTACCATAGGTAAAGCCACTTAAAACGGTAACGGAGAACGCCAGCCCACAGCGCGGCTGTCAGCTCAACCGTCCGCCAAGCATAGCAGTTATTGACCCCTGCTGCTTTCACCTGAAACACGGGCAGCAACCCACGTCATTGGGTGCGTTGCCAACAAATACGGTAAGCAACTGCAACTACTAGTACACGACAATTCACGGCCATCATCATCCAGGTCAATGCTGCGTACCTAATATCACTTTAATTTGGACCACATCATCAATACACAGATTGAACACCTCTAGGAAAATGCAAATGTGATACCAGACACAACATCACTCGAAGGCAACCACAGCTGTGTAGCTCGAGCAGCTGCTTCCGAACTACGCATACGCCACCGTGGTCCCGGCCCCAGAAACTAGAGGCATCTGAGAGGATCCTTAGATGGCCGAACCTACAGTTCCGCCGCCGGCGCCCTTCGCAAGGCTGAGACCGTCGGCGACGATGCCGGCAACAATCTCGTCTTCCGGGCCTGCTCCGGCATCCCAATCCTCGTCGCAACCATCTCAAGAACAACAACAGCCACCCCGACCGCCCAACACCAGTCCCGCCATCCCCGTGACGCTCAACGAAGCCGCTCTCGACTCGCCCACCTTCCGCGCGGCGGCAGTGCACTTCTCGGAGCAGCTCGACGCCATCGAGCGCTGGCTCGACAGCTACGCGCGCAGCACGTCCAAGCTAGTTCACGACATAGTGTCCCTCGAGGACTCGATCAACGCGTACCTGGCGCGCATCTCGCCGCCGTCGATCGCCTCGGCGGCCGACTCGCCCGTGCTCGACGCCGACTACACGCTCCCCGCGCTGCGGCGGGCCGGGGACGGGGCGCGCGACTGGTGGACCGGCGTGCTGGGCGTGGTGCGCCGGCTGGAGCCGCTGGGCGTCGAGCCGATCCGGGCGTTCCTGCAGGGCGAACTGCGCACGTTCCGCGAGGTGCGGCGGGCGCTCGACGCCGCGCAGAAGGCCTTCGACGGCACGCTGGCGCGCTACGTCTCGCAGAGCAAGACCAAGGAGCCGAGCGCCCTGCGCGAGGACGCCTTCGCCGTGTTCGAGACCCGCCGCACGTACCTGAAGGCGAGCCTGGACTATTGCCAGATGGCGCCGCAGGTGCGCGCCGCGCTGGATAAGCTGCTCGTGCGGGTGTGTGCGGACGTCGGGAGGGAGATGAGGAGGTCTGCCACGGGGGCCGTTGCTGCAGCAGCAGGAGGAGGAGCAGCAGCAGCTCAGAGCGCGTGGGCGGACGAGTTGGAACGGATCAGGGGGTGGGCGAGGGAGATGGAGATGACCGAGGGCCTGTTCAAGAGGGAGCTGCAGATCGCGAGGAGGGATATTGGCGAGAGCACGCTTGCTGCCTGCAAGCCGTCGCGCGAGTTGGAGGACTACAGCGTCTCGACGGTGCCGTACCTGGGCTCGAAGGGCCCGATGAGCATGGAGCAGCGCAAGGACCAGGTTGCCGTCATCTCCGAGAAGCAGGGTTGGCTGTTCCTGCGGCTTCTGTCGGGCAAGCCGGTCAGGACAACGTGGGTTCGCCGCTGGTACTACTGCCGCGACGGCATCTTCGGATGGCTGGTGCAGGGGCCCCAGGGCGTGCTGCAAGGCGACGAGATCGGAGTGCTCCTGTGCAGCGCCAGACCGGCCGTGCAGGAAGAGCGGCGCTTTTGCTTCGAGATCAAGACCAAGACGCAGACCATCCTGCTGCAGGCCGAGACCCAGGCGCAGCTGATCGAGTGGCTCGAGGTGTTTGAGGTGGCCAAGAAACGGGCGATCGAGGCCAGCATGGGCCGGGACCAGAGCGCGCTTGCCGGGAGTGCCGATCCGGCCTTCTCCATCACTCCGCCGTCGATCCCCGAGTTCTCTGCCAAGATGCTCGACAACCTCGACGAGCCGGGCGGCGTCTTCGAGAAGCAAGCAACGCTGCCGCCCCCCGGTCAGGACGGGGCCTGCCGCGTGCGAGCTTCGACGCGCCCCCTCGTCGGGCCATCACCACGCACCTTGGCCGTGAAGAAGGCGAGACCGGGCGGGAGCATGCGGCACGTATTATGCAAAAGCTGGATCTGCACCGCAAGTCTGCCTTTGCGAGCTCGGTCGACGCCTCTAGCTCTCTCACGGTCGCCGCGGGCATGATCCCGAGCGTGGCGACCTCTCCGCAGCTCGGGCAGGCTCCCGGCCCGCCTGCACTCCGCCTCTCTAATCCCCTGCTGGATCAACACCCGGGGAGCCTGGCTCCGATAACGCTGGCTAAACCGCCCGTCACAACGAACCTTGGCAAGACCGCGGTCCTGGCAAGCGCAAACGCGGGAGCGGCTCGTGCTCTACCGAGCGCTGTCCTGGCCAACTACTGGGGCAGCAGTTCCTACACATCCTTGTACTGCCCGCGTCCCGAGACGCCGTACTCTCCCAAGCCCGATATGACGGATCCGTTTGTGGCCACGGCCATGCCGCGGACTCCGGGCATTGAGAAGACGCACCCGCCGCTCAGTCTCCACAGGAAGACGGTGAGCGTGGATGCCACGGCTTCGGACATGAAGGCGCGAGAGAAGGGGCCGTCCGATCAGTTCCCGCCCAACTACCCGCCCGAGCTCAGGGCGCAGTATGCGCAGTTCAGGCTGTTCTTCCCCACGGCACCGGTGGACGACAAGCCGGTGCTGGTGTTCAACGCGGCCTGGTCCAGCGCCTCGGCCGACGGCAAGGAAGGAGGCATGGCTGGGAACGGACGCATCTATGCCACGCCCGACCGCATGTACTTCTACGGGCACCAGATGGGCCTGGTCGTGGCGTATGCCATCAACCTTGACAGCATCGCCGAGTTGACGGCGGCACCGGGCCGCGACTGCGATTTCATCTTCCTGCATCTGAACCAGGCGATGCAGGACATTGCCTACTCCCGGATTACGATCAAGGTGTTCCTGGAGGACTTCTCGCTACTGCAGTTGCGCCTCACCCTCCTCGTCGACGACCTGCAGGCGGCCGAGCCGATGGAACCGGCCGAGATCATCACGGCGCTGAGCAACCTGACCAGCGGGTCGGACGACAAGCGGAGCCCGAGCGTGGAGAGCTGGGAGGAGGTGTTCTCGGACACGCCGGCCGACAATGGCACGCGGTTTGGCCGGCCCATGCTGGGACGGGCCCATGAGTCGCACAGCAGGCACAGGCCGTCTTCGCGCGGCGGCCCAAAGAAGGCGGTTCCCAAATTCCAGCTGCCGGCGCACCCCGTGGTGTACGAGCCACCGGACATGGGCAAGAGCGTGGCCGAGCGGCACTTCGAGATCAGTGCCAAATCCTGCTTCCACGTCCTCTTTGGCGACAAGAGCTTCGTCTTCCCCAAGCTGTACTATGAGCGAGGCGCCAAGGACATTGCGCAGGGGCCGTGGGAGCTGCAGGACCACGGGCGCATGCGGCGGCAGTTCCGCTTCACGGTGAAGCACGTCGACATGCTGGGGCGCAAGAAGGCCGGCGACGTGGTCGACACGCAGACCATTGACGTCTTCAACGACCACATCACCTACGTGGTCACGCACATCAAGACGCCGTGGCACCTCCCGCACTCGCACGCCTTCCGGCTTGTCACCAAGGTGGTCATCACGCACCTGGCCAAGTCCAAGTGCAAGCTCGCCGTCTACACCAAGGCCGACTGGTCCACGACACCCGCCTTCGCCAAGAACATGGTGCAGCGGCAGGCGCTCGACGACGCGGCCAACGACGCCGAGGAGCTCGCCGACATGGCCACCGAGCAGGTGCGCAAGCTGGGCCCGCACAGCCGCACCAAGCGCGCCATCCAGCTGTACGGCAACGTCGGCCAGCAGGCCCAGGTCGTCGTGTTCTCGCCCGAAACCATGGCGTCGTTGTCATTATCATCATCATCGTCATCATCATCCCCAGCCGAGGGTGGCTCCGGCGGCGGCGGCGGGCAGCAGAAGTCGGGCGGCGCGGCAGTGCGCCCGCGCACGCTGACCGACATGATGCTCGAGACGGGGCGGTCGTTTATGGAGAGCGCCATCACGAGCGTCATGATGTGGGCCTTTGCCGCGGTGCGGCGCATCTTCAAGATTGTCACGGCCAACCGCGTGATCCTCCTGGTGCTGGCCGCCAGCGCCGCCTACAACCTGCTGGTCATCTCGCAGGGCACCGCGACCTGGTGGGTCGAGCGCAAGGCCTCGCGCTACATGAATCGGCTGGGGGTCGGGCCTAACCTGGTCATGAGCAAGGCCATCTACCTGGCGGATCTGGAGGAGGCCGCTGGTAAACGCGCGGCGCCGGAAGGGGAAAGTCAATGGTTGGTGTTTTTTTTTTCTTTTTTGTTCTCTTTTTTCCTGTCCTTTTCCTCTTGAATCCGTTGCTAATTCTGCACCCGACAACAGCTACGCGACATTCCAGTCCCTCCTCAACACCACCACAGTCAGTCTCGACGCCCCCTACCAAGACGCCGCGCCGGTCTCGCCGTCGGCCACCATCGCCACCACCAGCAAGGTGACGGCCCGCCGGCTCAGACGGGTGCGCCAGCGCATGGGCGCCTATCGCCACGACCTGCTCGTCGCCATGCGCGTCATCAACAGGATCGAGCTCGAGATGGTGCAGTCTGAGTGGGAGAGCTGGCTGGCCGGGGAAACGCGGCGGTGCGAGCAGGTCAAGGAGTTGTTGCTCACTGGAGACGGTATAAGTACGAGCAGCGGAAAGAAGGAGAGGGCCGTGCCGCCCGTGCAGAGTGTCATTCATGGACTGGATCAAGATGGCAGTGGTGCTGGTGCTGGTGCTGGTGCTGGTGGAAAGGAGCGGCGGGCGGCGCTGAGGGAGTGGTTCTCCGAGTATTGCACGAGTTGCGCCGAGGAGCAGAGAGCGGTGCATGAGCGGATGGGGCTAAACTTGTGATTCGGTTCCGCCACCTGACTTGCATGGGTAGGTATGTATGTACAAGTACCTAGGATAGACGGCTTGGTGGGATGGATGGACGGACGGATTCATTGGGTAGCGAGCATAACAAGTTGTAATCATTCGGCTGCATGGCGAGTAGGCGCATAGTTAAATGATAAGTTATTTTAATAATTTTCCCTGTGTTCACGAGGTGCGGATATTTGATGTAGTATAAGGAGCTATCGCCGTCGGAGCAGCAAGTGGCAGCGGCTTATAAACCCGGGAGTCGTTCCTATCCTTTTTTTTGCTTAACAGCCCGTGCAGCCTTCCGGGGGCTTGTCTTTTACTGTCACGGTTTCCATACCATTCCATCTAAAGGTCGAAGGCAGATGGTATCTGAGCTAAGAAGGTAGGTAGTCAGCGTGGAAGGAGGAATCCGCCCTGTCGACAGACGAAGCACATGGGAACCATTCCGACAACGGGCCATCTGCCTCCCATCACAATCTACCTTACCTAAGGTACCTATTATGTCATACATCATCCAGTTCCTTACCTAGAAACCTGCATTCTCAGCGCCAGCCTCGTGTTCCTAATAAGCCTGCCGTTCCCATTTATCAAGGTAGTCCTCCAAGCCAAAAGACGCTGGCGTCTCCTTAGTGGTTTCTCAAGTGGCAACGGCTCAACTCGATCAGCCCACGTCATGGTCCGATCGCAAGTCCGCGCTTGGAAAGCCCTCGTCGCGCTGCATTTGCTGGCAGTCCCAGGGGCCCGCGCCAGGCCGCAAGGAGGGGGGACCACGTCAGCAGCGCCCATGGCGTGCAACAACTCGCCCGACCTATGCTCCCGCGCCTACAACAACATCACCCACATGGGCGCCCATGACAGCGCCTTCCTCCGCGACGCCACCACGGGCAACAGCATCTCGGGCAACCAATTCTTCAACGCCACCGTCGCCCTGTCGGCCGGCATCCGCATGCTCCAGGCGCAGGTGCACCTCTCCAACGGCGTCCTCGAGCTGTGCCACACCTACTGCGCGCTGCTCGACGCCGGTCCGCTCGACGCCTGGCTGGGTCAGATCAAATCGTGGCTCGACGCCAACCCGAACGAGGTCGTCACCCTCCTGCTCGTCAACTCCGACAACCAGCCGGCCTCCTCCTTCGGCGAAGCCTTCGAACGCTCCAGCCTCTCCGCCTACGGCTTCACCCCCTCTTTCTCCTCCTCCTCCTCCTCCGGCGGCAGCAACACCAGCAGCGTCATACTCTGGCCAACCCTGCAGCAGATGATAGCAGCCAACACGCGGCTGGTGACCTTCATCGCCCCTTTGCGTAACAACAACACGTCTGACCAAGCATCATCATCACACCCGTACCTGCTAGACGAATTCGCCCACGTCTTCGAGACGGCCTGGAGCATCACCTCGCTCTCGACCTTCACCTGCGCGCTCGACCGGCCCGGCAGCCTTTCCGCTTCTGGCGCTTCGGGCGCGCTCGCCGCCGGCCTCCTGCCGCTGCTGAACCATTTCGCCTATGACATGATCACGCAGGACATCCTGGTGCCCGACGTCGACGACATCGACGTCACCAACAGCCCGAACGAGACCGAGACCGGGGCACTGGGTGACCATGTCAGGCGGTGTATGGCCGAGTGGGGAGGAGGAGCAGGAGCAGGAGCAGGAGCAGGAGGAGGGATCAAGCCGGTGTTTGTGCTGGTGGATTTCTACGATCGCGGACCTGCGATCGAGACGGCCGATCGAGTGAATGGCATTGTAGGGCGGACCGTAGGACGGGTGAGTGAGCCGGGGAAGTCTCACAAGAATCTTGGGAGGAAGTTGGAGGCTGGTGGTGCCGCCGTGGCGGCTATGGTGTTCGGTAGGTTGTTGTTGGAGTTTGGTTGGGGCGTTTGAGGGCTGGTGATCATGCCAGTGGGTTCTCAACTTAATAAACGACTGAGGAATGGTTGATTTTCGATAGGCAAGTATCTTGGATATCACGGCGTTCAGGAACCTAGATGGGTGGAACTTTCCTTTTCTCGGTGCAAGCCGCCTTCGATACTGGGTATCGTCCCACAAAACAGAAATACCCTCTCTGATCGTGACAACGACAGAATGTTCAGAGCGCAGTGAAGGGGAGAGAGAGAGAGAGAAGGAGTAATGTTGCAATAGAAAATTACGAAATCCCCCACAGCGAAGAGAGAAGGCCCCGTACTCAATACATTGCAAGAGTTTGCTCTCGTCTAATACGCTGCAAAGAAAGGCTTCGCGCGCATCCTGGCTCAAGAACAGCCGCAGAGCACCATGGCTGAACGAATCAGGCAAAAGACGGTTGGACTGGAGAGTGAAGGGAGGGTAGAAGAGGACGCTAGAGATTCTTAGGAGAGGAGAGGTCACGGCGACCATGCATCGAGTGATACTGGATGTATGCTGTCGTCGTGATTGAGACCTGGAAGTCCTCTTTTTTTTCAACCAGCACAAACGTTGCAGACAACGTTGGCGGGCAAAGAGAACAAATACTGATTCAGATTGCCGGACGCCCGGTGTTGATGAACAACCTTGGAATGAAGTGCTGGATATCTCCCGTAGTTAGCGGGAGTACTCGGCACGCACTCTTTGCCTCGGCCGTCGTAGCAGACGGCACATTGGCTTTGCTGGAGTTGCAATTCGTAGGAAATTTTCGATGGAGCTCGAACGACATTTTGATGAAGTCGCTTTCACTCGTGTCTCCAGCTGCGCACTAAGTGCTACAGCTGTCAGCCGTTTGCGTGTTTTACTTGAATCAGGGTTGGGGTTATAGCTCTATTATGTCTACTACACGCAATGTCTGTGCGGGTGTGTCTAGGTACGCTAATTGCTTCTCTCCTTCTCCCAATGTCAGCATCGTCGTTAACGGCTGTACATCAGTCAGAGACCTATGTCTCTGTTCTCGGTGTTGTTCTGAGGAGTGATGTGGTTAGAAGCATGGTATCAGGCGGAGTAGCCCTCCACCTCCTCAATGTGAAATATCAGAGGCCAGTAATTGAATGGCGAGGTTGGTTTCGTCCGTCGTCCCACCAAGTCGAGCATCTAGCTCACAGGTAGATCATGTCCTCACGTTTCGCTGGAGCATGTTAGCACAAGACGCAAGCCAACACCGCTCCCTCACGGTGGGGAGTAGGAAAGGAAAGGGGAAGGGATTTGCTTACGGCCTGTCCCAATCCACTTGACGGGCACGCCCGTGAACTCCTCGACGAACTTGACGTATGCCTGTGCCTGCGACGGCAGGTCCTCCTATCACGGCATCAGCAAGCACCCAACACATCTTTGGAAGCCAGAGGTAGGCGTACAAATCTCTTCGTAGCGGTCGTCGGTGTTTGCCAGCCCTCAAATTCCTTGTAGACGACCTCGCACCTCTCGAGGAGCCCGAGATCGGCCGGAAAGTAGTCAAGCTGCTCCCCGGTGCTAGGGTCCTTGTAGGCGACTGCAACCTTGACAGTCGGGAAGGTATCGAGGACGTCAAGTTCTGCAACGCCTTTAGTAGCTCGTCACGCCAACGTGCGAACCCAGTTACACATAGGGACGTACTAGTCAGGTTCCACGCCGTGTAGTAGTTGACCGACGCCGAGTACTTCAGTACCACGAGGTCTAGCCACCCGCATCTCCGTTTCCTGCCGGTAGAGACACCCCATTCCCGGCCGATCTCTTGCAGCTTCTGGCCCACCTCGCCGACATCTTCTGTCTTGAAGATGCCCTCGCCTACTCTTGTCTGGTTTCCGTTAGTGGAGCGCACAAAGGAGTGCGTCAGGGTTTGTTACGAACTGTGTACGCCTTGGCAACACTGAAAGAGAGTTAGCAGATACTCGCAGACTGGTCTATCAGGTAGAGAACTAACCCGATGATCTCTCTGCAGCGCGTATTGTTAGCCAATGGCTCAGATCTGAAGCTTATCCGTGGCAACTCACTTGATCTTCCTTGGGTTGATTGCTAGCCCGGTAATGACACCGCCCAGCCCGGTGTTGCTGCTGGTGACGAACGGATATGTGCCTTGAGAAGACTGTCAGCCCATCCCTCACTTGGACCGTGCTGCAGCACAACAATCCCACCATAGTCAATATCCAGCATCAATGCGTTCGCGCCCTCAACTAGGATCTCGACACCGCTCGCCTGGGCCTTCTGCATGTAGTTGACAGCATCGACAACAAACTCGGGCAGGTTCTTGCGATACTCCCGGAAGCGAGCAATCTCCTCCTCCACGTCGTACTCGAGCAGGTCACCGAACCTCTTCTTGTAGCCGGCCGCCAGGTGCCGCAGCTTCTTCTCAAAGTGCTCCTGGTCGAAGATCTCGTGCACCCGTATCCCGTTGCGGGCGGCCTTGTTTGAGTACGAGGGGCCAATACCGCGGCCGGTCGTGCCGATCTTCTTGTTCGCGAGCTCCCTCTCCTCCAGGCCGTCGACACGGGCGTGCAATTCGAGGTTGACCTGGGCACGGTCGCTAACAAGGAGGTTTTCGCGCGCGTGCTTGAGTCCCTTCTCCTCCAGCGCGGCAAGCTCCTTGAAAAATGCCTGTGCATTGAAGACAACGCCCGAGCCGATCAGGCTGACGCAATCCGGATTAATGAGGCCCGAGGGAAGAAGGTGGAAGCTGGCGAGAGAAGCGAGGTTAACTCCTATTTCACGGTGAAAGGCGTGGGACCAAGGGGATCGCACTCGTAGGACACGCCATTGGCACTGCAAGACACGGTCAATTAGCTTTTGTACACCCCTGATATTCCAGATTGGCAACATACACAACAGAGTGGCCCGCATTATGGCCACCTGCGGCACGAGCGCAAACCCGCGCATTCTGGCAGAGAATATCACTGAGCTTTCCCTTGCCCTCGTCCCCTAAACGCAACGTCTCGAATTAGCGAAACCTCGCAAGAGACCAACCACTGCAAACAACACCCACCCCATTGGGAACCAAGAATGATGGTCACCATGTTCAAAGAAAGCCGAAACCGGCAGAGAACCAGTCCCAATTCGCGATCTGATCGAGCAGCGAAGAAAACTTTGGATGGGAAATTTAAAGCGCTCTTCCAAGGCTGCACGCGGGGTTTCGCGGGCAATCCCTGACCTGAGTCACAGATAGTAACTTAGGTACTAGCCGTATGTTAGCCTCAGTTGCCAAACGCGGGGCATTTTCAGCTGTGCAAATCGCGGGGCATAAAAGCTTGGCTTCCCACTTTCAATCCCGTGTCTCCGGCTCCGAAACCGGGGTTTGCCGCGGATGTCAGACAGTCAAACATGAAACCACACAACGGGAGGTTTACATAGCAGGCACCTGGTACATTACATACTGGTTATTAATTCCCTTTCCGGAGGGGAAGCAGCACCATCCTGAACAGTTCTGAGTTGGTCTTTCATTTGGCCTTTCAGTACCGTACCTAATCGTCATAGGCAACTGCGGCCTTCTTGCGGCATGTCTTCCGCTGCACGCCATCTTCCTGTCAGCTCAGCCGATAGATCAGCCAACCATCGGTCTGTCCGGTTCCATAGCCGAGATGGATGTGAGACTTTCGGGTTCTTTACCCGTACACATCTGTCCTCATGCGTGCCAGACTCCGCAGAGCCCGCTGAGATCAAACGGGAGACGGCGTTCTTGTATCAGAGAGAACGGGCAGTACGCCCGCCATATTCCGAAAGGCAAACGGTGAGATCACGAAGCAACAGCTCCCGGCCTGAGACATGTGTTGCCTTGAGCTCGGATGGGGGACAGCTTCGCTCTACTATACACTGCATCGCAATTAAGCTACCTACTCATGTTGTATAGAGACTCAATGAGTTGCTGACATGTCCATGACCGGACTAGAGCTCTCGCTAAGGTTAATATATCTGTAAGGGAATTATAACTGGAGTTGTTCGTCGCTATCTAGGACACTTGGTGGCGATCAAACCTCGGGACGCTCAATCCGATAGGCTAGTATGTCAAATAAGTTCACAGTTGAGGCTGCAAGAAGATGTGATGTGGAACGCTCTGGCTTTGACTTTAGGTACAATACCAGCCCAGACCATTGGGGAGGATGCGGTCGCCGCCTACGGTCACGTTCGTGACTGAGTTGGGCAACCAACAGCGACGCTTAGCTTTATTCCCAACTCAGCTATCACCAACATAATAAGCTAGTCCGCGGAAGGAGAATCAGGCCTATATCTAAAGTCCCTTGCTTTGACGCAAGATACATTAGGAATGAGGTCAAGAATGGAAGCTTTGTGTTGATCAGGTCCCCTCATCTCACCTACACTCCCACCTCAGCTGAGGATTGCTTCGCAAGAACCAATAAGGGAGTCAAACATGAGCAAACCATACAAGCAGGGGACATCTCAGTCGCTAACGATTGGACAGGTCCTGCAATCAGTACCTTTGACGCATGCTTGATTATCCAAGTGGCAGCAGATAGAGGTTCGAGTTCTCTACTGCTTCCGAGTCATCATAGTTGCACATAAGCGGCAAGGTTTGAGCTGGTATAGGAAGTATTCTCAAGTACCTAGGAAAGTTCTCCAACCCCCAGTTCCAGGACGGGCAGTGAATGCTACGCATGGTGTAGGATGCGATCTCCTAAGCTCCTCCGGAGTCCTTGTGTGAACTGGCGTTGATGTTGATTGACTGAGCAAACACCGAGTTTCTATGCAAGCGAAAATTTAGATTGTTATCGCCATGCTTCTACAGTCAAATAGAATACGATATCTGCATCCTGTAGTTCTGTTGTTGAGAGCTATTAGTACTACTAAAGGAGCCATCTTGGTCGTGATCGTGGTGTCTGTGTCCTAACGCATTGACCACCACTTGCCCTTTATGACAATCGCCGGTCGTATCAGCCAATCAGCAACACCCATTAGCCACTTACACAGTAAACACGGGCGTCCCCGGCGGCTTCGCTTCTCCTCTTCAACCAGCCATCCAACGCCATTAGAAGCGAAATTTGCACTGTCGACCCTCACACAGTGTTGACATCTTTAGAGCTTCTCTGGACATTGCTTACATCGAGTCCCATTCTCTTGCATGTGAGAACGAGTTGGTCGGAGAGCTCGGAAGCGTGTGTGGGGTCCGCCCACCGTGATAAGACCACACGAGCGTTGACCGGCAGTGGGAGTGTAATTACGCCGGGACAGGCCGGCATTGGGCAAAGATTGTGAAAGATTGCAGTCAATTGATTATGCCGACGCTTGATGGAGTCTTTGGCATGTAGCCAGCCACTATCACATGTTTGCATTTCAGGGTACCTTCGTGGTTAAGGTGAAGACGGAAAGATCCCGGAAGAGGAAGGTGTCAGGCGTCAAAACTCTTTCTTCTCTTCCTGTTGGATGTCGCACATTTTGCGGACCGTGGGCACTCGCGAGCTCGGCATTTGAGCCAAGACATCAAGTCCCAGAGAAGCGGGAAGTTGGAACCTGTTGTGCAAGCCTGCAGCCTCTTGAGGCTGTTGGGGATGGGCGGAGCCTTTTTGCATTTGTTGAATCTCGCTGACCAATGGACGCCTTTTAAAAGCAACCATCGCAACTTCAAACACATCGCTAGTACTGTACCTCGGTATCAACTTTTCGATGAGCCCTATCGCCACAACTGGCATTTTGGATGTGGATAGGAGAGCACTTTGCCTCCGATCCCTTCTGATGGGTTTCTGGCATGTGATCCAATGCTCAGAATCTTGTACCGGCGGTCGGTTTGTTCGCACGATCCGGCCACAATCAGTCATTTCCTCAGTCGCGCCTCGCTGCTCAAGGTACTCTACGAAAGCCGGAGCCACGGGTTCGAGAAAGCACCCTGGTCGCTCCACTCGGCCGTGACTGCTCCAGGCGGGAACAAACAGCTACACCGTGTAGAGTGCTGAGATCTCGCATCCCGCGGCCATCCGAACTGACTCTCCGCTTTGCCGGGCTGCAATCGATGTGCCTCGCTTGGGTACCTAGTGTAGGGCCGACGTCGACGACACATGAGACGTGACGCTACCAGCGTTGCGCCGAGCCAATTGAACGCGCAGTTATCCCAATGGCAGATCCGCCTTTGCCTTGCCGAGCAGGGAGGCCTATCGCCCGATACAGTACACTTCTCCGTTACCATGCTTCAAACTCAAAGACCCATCACACACAGGCTGATTGATCGATCTTGGAGTCGGCAAGCTCGCAAGGGATGGGGCATCGCCAGGGAGAGCAAAGAGAATGCCAGTAGGGTTAAGAAATATTAAACATGTAATCACTCTTCCGCTTCATTCCGGAAACCGCTTTCTCTCTGATTAGATCCTCTTTTTACCCTTTACCCTCTCTCTTTCCCTTAGCCCGGGTTTTCGAGTGAGCTGTTCTTGCCTTATTAGTTCCGTCTACCTAGCTCGTCGAGCTTTCATCATACACAGTAAGGATTTCACTACCTAGGTTGCTTGACGTCTCTGGGTGGCAAACCCTAGTGTGACGTGCATATTGGCGGGAAAAGCGTTGGGGAAGCTCGTCCCTGTACAAAACGATTGCACGACCAACACGCCATTCTTCTCCTTGGAAACGCTTCTACGCTTGACAATACCGTCTTGGATCAGCCCAGAAGTCGCAACCATGGCGTCGAATTCAGTAATACTGTCGCTGCCCAAGTCGTCGCTATTCCGCTTCCCGCCCAACCCCAACTCGGGATTTATACCGCCACCGCCTACCGGCAGCACGCCGTTCGCCCCGCCAATCGACATACCAGACAGCATCTACCACGCCGTGCTCGATCCGCGAGTGCCCATCACCATCGCCGCTGTCTATGCGGTTACCGCCAAGGCGCTCAATGCCTACAACAAGTCCACCGGGAAGAGGCCCTGGGCCATCAGCAAAACACTCGCCTTCCGGTGGTTCGTGATCGCACACAATGTGTTCCTCGCCGTCTATTCGGCATGGACCTGGTGGGGGATGCTCGGGACCATGCGTCGGAGCGTGGCCAGCCCTCTGGGACCCGAAGGCGTCTCGGGCTTCATCGATTCGATGTGCCAGATAAACGGGAACGCCGGGCTAGGAAACGCCGCCTTCTTCAACGAGCAGACCAACTCGTGGCAGACGTACTCGCCTGAGACGGTGCTGGATGAGAACGGCATGCCGAGCAGGTTCACCGCTGGGCGCATCTGGAACGAGGGTCTCGCGTTCTACGGCTGGTTGTTCTACCTGAGCAAGTTCTACGAGGTTTTCGACACCCTCATCATCCTCGCCAAGGGCAAGTTCAGCTCGACACTCCAGACCTACCACCATGCCGGGGCCATGATGTGCATGTGGGCGGGTATGCGGTACATGTCCGTGCCGATTTGGATCTTCGTGTTCTTTAATTCATTCATACACGCTATCATGGTAAATTTGCCCCCCGCCCCCGCCCCCCCCTCCCGGCTGTGGCATGTCGGCGGCACATCGTGGCGGGACCGGATGGCTGACAGTACGCGCCACAGTACACATACTACACCGTGACGGCATTCAACATCCGCGTACCCCTGTTCATCAAGCGCACCTTGACGTCGATGCAGATTACGCAGTTCGTCGTGGGTGCGTCATGTGCCATGGTGCACTCGTTCATCAGCTACAGCATTCCGGTCATCACGGCCTCCCAGACCGATGCCCCCGCGTCTGCGGCTTCCGCTCTCGCCAACGGCTCCGTGGTCGCCGCCACCGCCGGCGTGCTTGACAGTGTTAAGGGCACCTACGCACGCCAAGCCATGCCCTGCATCACCTCGAGCGGCGAAACCTTTGCCATCTGGCTCAACGTCTTTTACCTCGCCCCTCTGACCTACCTCTTCGCCAAATTCTTCGTCGAGAGCTACCTGCGCCGTAGCAACGCCGGTCAATCCAACCCGACTCGCCCAAGCGCCGGAGTGGCAGCCCGCCGCCTAAGCCACAACGTCCAGCTTGCCGAGAAGGCTGGCTGGGAAGCTGCCAGGAACGTGGAGCGTGAGGTGTATGGCCAGGGTAACGAAGAGGCGGTCGTTACCGAGGAGACGAAGAAGGCGAACGGAGATGCGGGTTCCATCGGCCGAGTGTTGCGGAGTAGGAAGTAAGGGTCTGACGGCCGCCCAATGTCCAACAAGGGGGCAAACAACTGCCGGAGGACGAGACGGGCTACGCGGCCACAGCCAACCTCCCGATGCCAAAAATTCCTTGGTTGGTAATCGGGAACTGGCAACCGACAGGGATACTGCGAACCGACAACGGAATTACAGCTGCTTCCCTGTCCGTTCAACCGATCTAACGGTGGCCACGAGATACTATTTCAGCCCGTCAGGAGGGGTTTACGAACCGTGTCAATGAGGTCACGAATAAAACGAAAGGAGCGCGCACACAAGAGCACTGACACTACAGGCATCTATAGGGCTGCCTGTCGTTGAAGAGCGAAGTTCACATACGGGGAGGGAGACGAGATGTGCGCTTGTATTTCGGGCAGTCAGCGAATTGGTTTTTTAACGTCTGGTCAACATGGGATTGATGAGGAGCACGGCGCCGGTGATAGGAAGGGAGCATTGCATTACGTGCGTTGTGTTTATTAGTCTTCCTTCAGCACAGTCCTTCATAAGTGCGTTGATCGGTAAATGGGTCGGAGGACAGGAGGCAATGGAAGGCGAAAAAAAGTCTTTTGAGTTTTGTAAGATTTACCAAACAAGGCAACTCATCGTGTGATGTCCAAGTTGTCCAATGCGGTTGCTTACTGCAGTGGTGGCGTCCACTTCCTGATGAGCATGATGCGGGCAAACGACGTTATTCGACAGCATACCGCAGGAAGATGAGGACCTGTGGTACTGTAGGTCCATTGGCTCGAGATTGGCTTGAAGATGCTCATTGCTTTCAGGGTGAATAAAACCAGATCGAAGTTGAAGTGATGGAAGATCTTCCAAGATTATCGGGGCACATTGCCAACATTCTGAAGCCAAGACAGATTAACCTCCGGTGCCTCCGAATGTCATCATCCTCATCTTCAGTCCATCCTCATGCTCGTAGTGCCATGCCATGCCATGCTATGCTATGCTATGCCATGCTTGAAGGGATATGCAGCACATCCAACCTAGAAGCTTTTCTAGCTTCGTGCCTTAGCAAGCCATCAACTTAAAAAGCCAGAACCACGTCTATGAAACGCCCCTCCAAACATAACGCCTCGCTCCGGGACAATGCTCCAACGAAACTGAGTCGCCGTCCCAACCATACCAAACTCGGGGCCGAAGATCGGCCATCAGGATATGTTGACAAGACCGTTTGTCGTCCCTGAGGCCAGGAAAGAAATAAAACGCATGCAACCCACATGACTCGACGATGAGATGTTCTGGAAATCATCCACTGACCCGCCCAAAACCATGAGAGGGAAATGTCGCCTCTCTCCCGTCTCTTCCATCAATGCCCCCCCATTACCAACAGCGCGGGTATATCCTCCTCACAGTCTTCGCCCTCGCCTTTCCAAAATATTGCAGGGTGTAGGAGAACGACCGGGGATGCCACCCAAACTCCGCTCCCGTTGCGGCCCTGGGAGTCTAAACCAGAATGAAATCGAACAATCTATGCCCTGGGCCCCCTTTATATTTCGTTAGGCCATCCTGGTGCCGGCCATTCCCCGACGATGCAAAACGCTTCTCATAGGTCTCCTCCCCCTCTGGACTTGCTCCGGTATCAGGCCGCTGACTGTTTCCGGTGGTGATGGTCAATGTCTCGATATCGAGATTTCGGATCGATATGGATCCAATGTCGCATACTGTACGGAACAGTTGTTGCTTCGGCTGTTGCTGCGAGTAGGGGTATTGCCGGGTAGCATCGGGAAGATGGTAAGTGGCCTGACGAACGACGTATTTGCCACCACCCGGCGGCTGCCTGCCAATAGACTATTCGCTTCCCCCACCCCCACCAAAACCGCCACGGCCTAGAAGGTGCTCCAGTTCCAGTCCCGCGGGACGCTGTGCGCCGCATCCGGCACGTGCGGCGGCACCTGCAGGCCGTTCAGACCGTTGACCGGCGAAGTCGAGACGGGGCTGGATGAAGAAGCAGCGCCATGGATGAGTTGTCCGTGGCCATCCGAGTGCAAGTCTCCTGGCGTCGACGCCCGCCGCCTGTGGCTGTTGTTGGTCATGGCTAGGCTGCGCCACTCCCTGAATTGGGCATAGCAGTGGCCGCACGCGCGGCTGGGCACCCCGCGCGGGTTGAAGTTGGCGTCCTGGTCAAGGGGGATCTCGAAGGCGCTGTGCTGGTCGCAGAAGATGTTGCCGCATTTGCGGCAGTGGTGGCGGCGCGTGAAGTAGCTGAAGTGGCGCTTGCAGGTCGCGTGGTCGCAGATGGTGGACTCCTGGTCGGGCTGTAGCGGGGAGAAAAGAGATATGAGGTTAGTACCTGGTTATGATTGGGATTGGGCGCCCGGGACGTCATGCCTGGGACGAGGGAATCAACACGCACCTTCCAGTGCTCCCGCGTTGGCATGCCCGTGGGCTTGGGAAACTGCTCGAGGTCCCAGTCGTTGCTGGAACCTTTGGTGCTGTCGCCTGTTGATCGCCTGCTTAGCCGTCCGAACGCGCTCAAGCCTCCCAGGCTCATAAAGCTGCTGTTCGGACGCAGGCCCTCCTCGGTCGCCCCATCCTCCTCCTCATTTTCCAAGTTCGGACGAGCCGGTGGTTCTTTGGAGGGAAACTCGGTGGGCCGCAACACAGCCGGGACATACAAAGGCCGGTTGCGGTTTTTGGATGCCGTCGGCGAGATGCTTCCGGCTCCCGGAGTGCCAAGCGGGGAGACCGGCGTGTTGTATGGTGTGAACGCGGGGTGGGTGGTGGTGATGGGAGAGGGCTGAAAGGAAGGCAGTTGTTGAGGGCGGTACTGCTGTCGTTGCGACTGTGCGGTCGCGTAGTAAGGGGTGTGCTGGTGCTGGCCCGGAAGCCGTGGCGTCATGAAATCGGTCGCCATGAGGGGTCTCGGTTGTCGGTATATATCTGATTATTGCGTATGTCGTGCAGGTGACGGCGACTGAACAATGCGGCACAGCGCCTGGCGACCAAAACGGAGGGACAGTGGGGGTCAAGGGTAACCCGCGCCCAGACAGAATCGGTCTCCTTCTTCAAGGGTCCGGTTGGAGGAAGAAAAGGGGCTGCTGAAGACTGCTTCGATTACGTAGAATAAAAGTAGTCGGTGGCGGGAGACTCGGAAGAGCCAGTAACCCAAATCGAGAAAAGGGCAGGGTGAAAGTCGCAACAGCGCAGCAACTACTTAAAGTACCTTGTATGTAGTAGGCACTTAAGGGACAAACAACAAGGTCTGAGAGGTGCCTTGAGCGTCGGAGTTGGCGGAACACTCCCACGTCCAACTCGGTCGGTTCGTGAAGTTCAGGGTCAAGCGCAAAGGGCTAGTCGGGTAACAAGGAGCAAGAGAAGGCTGACAATGAGCACGGCGACTGGAGGTGAAGGCGAGACAGAGAAGGGTGTTATCTTTTCTTATTACAGGTGGGTCAAAGCACACCGAGTGTGACATGGGCAATCCCTCCCGGATCCGACGCTGGGAGACACCCAGATCTCTCGGGCTGGGCAAAGTAGCGGTGGAACCGAAGGCAAGAAACTTGGGAGCTAAACTTGATGAGGGCCCATCCGCTCGTGCGACCTTCCCTGCTCATGGACATGAAAGGCAACTGCTCTCATGCGCTCAGCTAGGAGTCGTGGGCGCTCGTGGGTAACCAACCGACTTCAGCCCTGCGCATATAACGTTGTACACGTTGCAAGTGCGCACTTCTAATCACTTACAGACCTTTTCGAATGGTTGCGATTTGATGTCCCAGCCTCGCGATGTCAAATCGCGCGTTAGCCGTATGGGGAGCGGAAGATGCCCCGGCGATGACAATTGAGTATCCCGCTAGTGGCTTGCTCCGTGTTCGGAAAAGACGGAGCACACTGTGCCGTCGCAACGCTAAAAAAAATGCCCAGACACGTTCCGCACACGCATGGGCCGGAGACCCCTGTCGTTGATTAATCGAGGCCTTGCGCCTGGATGTTCTTCGCCCCAAAGAATACAATGTTAATTAACTAAGTAGTAGTCCTGCAACTTCCGAGTTCAATACTCAAGGAAATACTAGTAGTTAGAGCTTATAAACTCAGTGAGCACATCCGAAGCCGTAGACATGACAGTGCCGGTTGGCTACGAGGACTTGACGTTAGGAAGTTCCTAGAAGCGTCTTCACTCCTGTACATATGCCTTGCGAAGGAGCAGTTGCAGATAGGCACCGTAAGTACCGCATGCCAGGTATGCAGTTACTGGGGGTCTTGGTGTACCTGGCCCAAGCTCCGGCAAGCGTCGGCGGCGGGGAAGGGTTTGGCCGAGGTAGGCTGCGCCACCAGGGCACTGCACTGGACCTCTAGTCGGGTCTGGTCTGGACAACCGACCGACAGACTTGCGAGGCAGCCATCGAAACGACACGCGTCTCGGCGGTGAACCTTCAAGTTGCGACAACGGCAAGCAATTCTACGCAGCCTCTCAATTTTGACAACCCGCTCTTTTCAGTGATCGACCCTTGACCGTGATACGAGGCACTCATCGAGCCGGCGTCTAACTTCCCCCTCAAGACGCCCCACATCCCCGAACACCCCCAAGCCCATCGCCGACCCGACGACTGTTGCGCCGGGTCCATTACTGCGCCGTGCCCCACTAACCGGCTGCTTGCTGTGCCGTCATCCGCCGAGTGTTCCGCGAATACCCACTGAAGACAAAGAGTTGTCGCCGCGATGAAGCTCTACTACGTCGGCGTACGTTCCATACGCCCTGTGCGAGAAGAAGCGGCCGGCTAATGGGGGTGTTAGGTCCTCGACAACACCAAGCAGCCTGCGGTGCAGCTATGTGCGGCCCACGAGCTCAGCGATTTCTCTAGGTTCACAAGAAATGAATATGGGAACTTCATGACCATGATCAGCAAGACCGTGGCCGAGCGCACGGGGCCTGGCCAGAGGCAGAGTGTCGAGGAGCAGGGTGCGTTGCAAGGAGGCTGAGCTTGGGAACGCCGGCTCGCTAACTTCCGGCTAGACTATGTCGTTCACTGCTATTCCAGGTCCGAAGGTGTCGCGGGTGTGGTAATCACCAAGGACTACCCCAACCTTGCGGCGCACAGCGTTCTCTCCAAGCTCATGGACCAGTTCCTTTCCGAGGTCCCACTCGACAAGATCCGCGCCGCGCAGAAGGATGGCGACGTCTCGTTCCCCGCCCTGCAAGAGTACTTAAACAACTATCAAGACGCGAACCAGGCGAGCAGTATTGCCAAGATACAACAAGAACTAGACGAAACCAAGATTATCCTCCACAAGGCCATCGACAGCGTACGTTACCCCTCCTCGACCCTCTAGCGGCTGCAAAGTGAGCTAAGAACGTACTGACTACGGATAGGTCCTACAACGCGGCGAGAAGCTAGACGACCTTGTCGCCAAGAGTTCTGACTTGAGCGCCCAAAGCAAGATGTTCTACAAGTCTGCGAAGAAGCAGAACTCCTGCTGCGTTGTCATGTAGGGGATTGGGGGGGACGACAAGCAGATATATTCCGCCAACCTCTTCCGAGGGAAAGGAACCACCTCATTACGGAGCTACGTGCAGCTCGGGCCCGGACATGTCCCCCCCCCTACTTGTCCACGCTTAGCCGCTCTCATACACCATAGAAGGTTGGAGGTGGGAGGTTAGCGGGGAGGGCTCGACCCAGTTGCCCAGGCCTGATCGATCGACGCTTGGATCCGCTCCTGGATTGGCGCTGAGGTTGTTTGTGCTGCTCACTGCATTTGGTCCAACGGCAGCGGAGCGTTTCACATCGGCATAACTGTCTCTATACGGTATGGTCAGGAAGCTGTTGAGTGCGTAATAGAAGGGAGCCCAGAAGTTACGCTCGGTGAGCAAATTGATGTCATGATGATAGCGCTATGAATATGCCAGTCACCAATCAGCTGCGTGAACAAGTGTAGATACCTGCAGAACATGGTTCGACCAACTTAACGTAGCCAATGGTAGATATCAGGTTCATCGTCAATCTGCTAAGATATTGTATAGGTTAGCATCGCGAGATCGCACACCGTGCGGATTTATGCCACGGATACCAGTATATGCATCTATCCAGTGTCGTCACGACCCTCCCAATCAGGTTAGGTGCCTTCGTTTAGTTACACTGCATCCCACCCTTTGGTGACATGCCGCGCGAGGCGCGAGTCTCTCAAGCCTTCCCATTCCACTTCACCGACCACTGCTTTGTCTGAATCATGATGATGCCGATCAGGCTGGGACAAGCAGCACTGATTGGTTTCTAGCGCATGTTTGTAGTTTTGTGGCAAGTCTCTTATCTCCGTTTGAATACCGTATACAGTAAGTCTGATCGATCAATTGCCTCGGCTTCTCTGCTCCTCCAGTAATACAGTCGCTTTGTTTCCCATACTTGCCGCGTTGACCAGAGGTGTAATAAATGCCAATACCCAAGGTTCTTTCAGCACAGCACCGGAGCAGAGGAGCGTCGTGGTTTGCCGAAATCCCTTGAAGCGTGGAGATCTCCAAAGACCCCTTGTCCCGCCAAGAGTTCACATGCATGTGCTTGGCTCCACCGGCCAATGACTTCTTTGGGTATGGCCGTATGGGTATCTAAATAGCTTAGCAATGATTGGTTTGTTTGAAGAGAAGGTTATCGCTGGACTGTGATTGGCTTTGCTGAGGGCCAATGGGTTCTTCGTCGCGGCGAGGCGATTTTCGGGGCGAGAGGCTGCGGTCGCGTGGCAATTTGGAGGGGAAATCCCGCGTGGTTGGATGTGGCTGAAGGCCTTCAGTAGGGACCTAGATCACCACTTGCGACACGCTGGTATTTGCATGACCTGTGTTAAAGCAAGCAGGGAGAAGAAAAAACTCTCAAGTTAGTGTATTAACGTTACATAAACTCGCAAAAGTGAAGCTGCGCTAACACTTCTCTCTGCAACAGCGCTTGTAATCGGCGTTGCCTCCGACTGAAGGACCACTGTTCTTGTTACGTCATGGTAACGTCAAATGAGCCAGTAGCGTTGAAGAAAACCCCCTAAGCCCGGGGCGATGGTGCGGGAGGTTGCTTTCAGCGACTCTCAGAGAGCATGCGACCCGACTTCCGATGTCGACCGTTGGCGGCGGCGGCGATGCAACTTTGGAGACGGGGCAAGGGGCAAAGCCGCGAAGGAAGATGGCGGGGCGAAGGAAGCGAAGTCGCAAGAAGGCATTGGAAACCCCCAGTCAGGGGTCGTCGACGACAGCTTTCGTCGGATCGCCTGTTTCCGCTACTGTGCCAGTCAAGTCTTGCGGGGAACAACGGCAGGTCCAGAGTAAAGCCCATCCACCACCAAGTCAACAATGTCCTTCATCCGCCTGTAACCACTGAGAGTCCAGATACACGTCGACTGCGACTTTGTACGGAATACCGTTGTTTGTTACTCAGATAAGCAGCCGTCCTCTACCCGTTGAATCGAACCGTCAACCCTAATAAACATCATCCCTCTCCCCTTCAACCCACCGCCCACTCTTGCCCCCTTCTTTGAGAACCACTCTCAACCTTTCAATAACCATGCCCTTGTCCACCGCCTTGCACATATCATAGACAGTCAACGCCGTGGCACCCGCCGCGGTAAGCGCCTCCATCTCGACGCCCGTCTTTCCATCGCACGAAACCGTCGCCGTAATCTCGATCTCACTCCTGCCCTTTCCCTCTTCTTGGTCTTGGCTCGGGTAAAGCTCGACCTCGGCGTGCGTCAGCGCGATGGGGTGACACAGCGGGATGAGATCGGGCGTGCGCTTCGCCGCCATGATGCCCGCGATGCGCGCCACGCCGAGCACGTCGCCCTTCTTGATCTGGTTGTCGCGGATGAGGGCGAGGGCGGTCGGTGAGGAGAAGCGGACGGTGCATTTGGCCTGGGCGATGCGTTTGGTGGGGGACTTGTCCGAGATGGAGACCATGTGTGCCGCGCCCGTTGCGGTGACGTGGGTCAGTCTGGGTTTATCCGGTCTGGTGCTAATGCTGTCTTCGTCGTCATCGCGGGAAGGGCGTCGGGGACTGGTTGAGAAGAGGCGGCCGTGGTGGTGGTTTGTGCTAGTAAGGCTAGGAGGGAGAGACTCAAGGGGAAGAAGGAATGGGAGTCTACGAGGTGCGGAAACGGTAGGTAGTAAACCGACTGGTTGCCATCGCATGTGAGCCCGGGTGGGATGTGTGCATGTCGTCGATGGATCTACATGTCTCCTACTTAGCTATGTCCATATGTCTCACTCAAACCCCCAGGTATTCAACCAATGCGACGTGCCCGGTCAACCCATGCAATGCGCCAAACTCCTCTCCAATGCAAGAAAGGTATATGAGAAAGACAGAGAAAGGCTGTCACCCACCAATCAATATCATCGGCCGGTTCTTCATGTGCTCCAGCTCGCCGATGCCTGCGTGCTTCTCCTTCTTTCGTTTGACAGCCATGCCGATGACGTTGAGAAGCTCCTCAGAATTTGGCACAACTAGAGGTTGAGGATCGGAAGGTGAAAGACTTCCTATCCTTTCCATCGCCGCCTGCCGTAGGGATTCTAAGGCCGCCTCGTCGATGGGCTCCCCGTTGTTCACCGTTCTTAGGATGTCCCGCAGGGATACTTCTGCATTGCCAAACAAGCACACCTTCAGATTCCCATCCCCAGTAATCCGAAGCCTGTTGCAAGTGCCGCAGAAGTTGTGGGTCATGCTCGTGATGAACCCAATCTTCCCAACAAAGCCGGGCACCTGGAAGGTCTTGCTCGTGTCGTTCTTGTGGTCCGCAACCCGCTGCAGGTCTGTATATCTCGAGCGGATCAAGTCCAGCATCTCTTGATAACCGAACATCTTGCCCTTGCTCCATTTGTTGCCATCAAATGGCATGTACTCGATGAAGCGCACTTCAACATCCTTCTCCCGTGTCAGCTCCACAAAAGGGAGGATTTCGCGGTCGTTCAGCCCGCGCATGACGACACAGTTTATTTTGAACTTGATGCCCGCTCCCGCCCGGTTCAGTTCAAAGACGCGGTCGATAGTCTTCTGAACGGCGCCAAACCCTGCCCGCCGCGTCATCAGCTGAAACTGCCACGGGTCCAGCGTGTCGAGCGAGAGGTTGACGCCCGTCAGGCCGGCCTCGACCATGGGTTCCAGCTTGCGATGGAGTGAGAGCCCGTTGGTGGTCAAACACAGTTCCCGGAGCCCATGGGCGCGCAACGCCCCAATCTGCTGCATAAGGGGTACAATATCCCGTCTGACCGTAGGCTCGCCGCCAGTGAGCCGGATCTTCTTCACGCCCTGCGACACAAAGAGCGACGAGAGCATGACAATCTCGGGTGTCGTCAGAAGCTCTTTCGGGGGCGAGAGGGGTACGCCCTCCTCGGGCATGCAGTACAGGCATCGCAGGTTGCAGCGCTCTGTAACCGAGATGCGCAGATAGTCATGTTGGCGGTGGAAGTTGTCCGTCAGGAAGTCCGAGAAGGGCTTGGCATCCCGGATGCGGTCCCTACGGGAGGGTAATGCCGAGCGCACAGGGAGCGGGGCCGGGCCATCGTTTTCTGGATTTCGAACCGGAATCCCGCGGTCGGCTGGCGGTAGCACAGGCTCGATTGCCTGAGCTTCAATCACCGCGGCTGCCGCACCAGATGTGACACGTCTCAGTTGGGACGAGACAGGCTGCAGCGTTCCTGGCCGGGGCCAGCGGGCGACGCAGCGCACTGCCGCTGACATTGCTTGATGCTTCAGCCGGTTCCGGTTTGACGTGTGTCGTGGAAATTGCGCAACGGTTGGACACGGCGGCGCATGTCGTGGAATTTACGTATGCAGTCCACAGCAGTCAGTGATATCAGTGATATCACCCCTCACTAGGTAGTGTCGCAACTTGAAAGTTGGAATACGATAGCTAGCTCCCGACCACGGAGATCGGCAATCCAGGGCACTAGCAAGGGGTGAGTCAGCGACTTAGGTATTACAGTACATAGCGATAAAGGCGTCCGCCGATTGACGAGCCGCCCGGAGGCGGAGTGGGTCACGCCTCGAACAGGTCTCGAAGCCGGACCAAGCTCAACGGTTGAGCCTGACCAATGGGAAACCTTACGTAGAAGTGGTGGCCTGCACTGACCCTATCTGGCAGTCACGATCATCCGCGCAGAACGTCTGGAGCGGAAGGCACCGGGCGAGAGTCAGCACTCGCAGAATCAGCAAACCGGTGTATTCCATTGTCGTCAATTTTGAAGTCGTACTGATTTTCACGTTTCCGGTTTCTCCTGCCCGGGCCAGCCCCGGCAAAACCCACGATGCAGCTTTCAAAACCATTAAAATGTGAGATACCTTAGGACGAAACAGCTGGCTACCTACAGGCCGCAGGTGGAAATTCCTGGACCTCCCAGCTAACAAGTCAACAGCTTCGGCCCATTCCCTTCCGAGTCCAGATGGCAAACATATTGCGACCATCTTCTCTTCCGTTGTCAATGTCCGAGCCGTGTGTGGACTCCAAGTGGTCAACGTGATTGAGTTAGGCCAGGACTTCGCAGGCCCAGTTCTTAGCCTCCAATGGTCACCTTCTTCCCGACTTCTGCTCATCGCTGATGCCGAGCGGGTGCGAGTGGTGTCGGCGCTGGACGACAGCTTCAGCGCGACCATCCGGAACCATGCCGCTGCCGGGACGAAACCAGCATACGTTGGCTTCGGTGCAGCAGACACCGAAGTCTGTGTCATCTCGTCACTTGGTATCAAGCTCTCCCTGTTCGATCTTGCATCATCCAAGGCGGTTGAGATTAGCGACCCCAAGCTATTTTCTGCCTCGTCTGCGTCCAGATGCTTCTCTTTCCGACCTGAGACACGTCATCTTGCGCTGCTGACGAGGGTAGCGGGTAAGGACATGGTGAGCATACACAGCTATCCAACAAGAGAACTGCAGAGGTCGTGGGCGCCAGACACAATCGATGCGCAGGGACTAGCCTGGAGCCCAGATGGGAGGTGGCTTGTGGTATGGGATTCGGCTGCCCAGGGCCACAAAGTGGTCTTTTACACGTCTGATGGCCATATCTTCAAGACCTGGTCCGGTCCAGCCAACCCCCCGCCGGAGGATAGGGACTTTGCGCTCGGGCCGGGCGTCAAGTCGATTCAGTTCTCTGCAGATGCCCGGCATCTTGCCATTGGTGATTTCAGCAGGTCTGTCTGCGTCCTCAGCATGGCGTCCGTCACTCAGACAATGCGGCTACGCCACCCGAAGACTCTTGTCCCTCGGGAGACGCTCCAGGTGGGTGGTGGATGCACAATGCCGGTTCTTGCATGTATCTCAACTCACCTCGCCGTATAGGTCTGGCAGGAGCAAATCGGAGTCTCGCAAGCAGGACCGATCATCCACACGTTCTTGCGGACCACGCAGCTGATCTCCCCAACGCCTGCCCCACGGGACCACTCAGAGCCAGGCGCATCTGGCTGCGCCGCCATTCTGTTCGACACGTCCTCGGCGCTCGTCGCCACGAGGATCGACGACTTCCCGAGCACGGTCTGGATATGGGATGTGCAGGCTGCAGAGCTCCGGGCCGTGCTTCTCTTCCACGGAAACGTAGCCACCCTTTCGTGGCACCCCCATATCGCAGAAACCCTGCTTGTCAGATGCGAAGGCGAACAGTACAATGGCTTGGCATTCGCTTGGGATCCCCTTTCAGAAGGACCAAGAACTATCGACTTTGGCCAACGCATTCCTGGGGCCAGGGCCGGTGGCAAGCCGCGGACCCTGTGGCTTGGACTGGACGCCCGGAGCCCTCCCTCTATATTCTTCTCGGACGCACAGAACTACGTCCTTGCATGCCTTGGCGAGACGGACCAGGCACCGGCTCCATGGGGTGACCTGGAGATCTCGGGGCCGGTATTTTCAGCCCACCGCGAAGAGTCTCCTCTTGAATTAGTCCCGGCATCTGGGACTAGGCCTGAAGTGCCAGAGCTTGACGAGGACGATTACAGCGAGTTAGAGGATACCTTTGTGCACAAACGGTAACCCGTGCTGCACGGCATCTAGTCGCCTCCGCAAAGCTTCCTAGGCTGTTCCCCTTCAAAACGGATTGCATCTTCAATATGTGTCCGGTGCGGAAAATTCGAGTGAGGCGTCATCAAAAGGGCTCTCGACTACATCATCCCAACCGCCGTTGGCTTCAGTTGTGGTGCAATCTCACGTACTCTGTATGCAAGACCTGTTTCATTCGGGGGACCTCGACCACCAAAGAAGCCGCCTTTGGCATTTCGCTGGAAGGCGGGACGGAGCGAGAAACCCCGCAGATGGCTCGATAGGATGATCTTGTTGCTTATTTTTGTTGCTTTTTCCCTCCCAGGGAGAGTGGGGTGAGGATAGAGCCAACAAGATCGCTGACCGCAGGATTCTTGATCTTGTAGATCCAAGGATTCGATTGGTCGCCTCCAAGCAAAACGATTCCCAGGAACCTGGGGAAAGGACTTGAGCGTCCCCAACAATAAAGTTACAGCCATGTTTGCCCTCTTGAGGTCGTCGACCGAGAGTTCCGGACGCTTCCATCGGCCGTTCGGACTGAACTGCTCTGCGAGGGCGCATTGGACCAGCGAAAACCGCGAGCATCTCTCAATGCTCCCTCGTTTTGCCCGGATGTTACTCAGCTAACCGTGGCAAACATCATCACGGGCTATGTCGAGACACGCAGACGGCCGGGAACCGACAGGACCCCTTCCTGGCGGTGAGTGCTTACAGTTCCGGGCATCTTGGTGTCTGCCTCGAGAACGGGCGTGGAACCGCGCGGCTGCTCACAAAACGCAGTTGAAGTGGCCAACGGCATGAGTGGCGTCGAGCTCAGGGAGGTGTCACACCAGCCTGACTTCTTCCCGTCGATGCAGCGGCTCGTGCAAGCCTCCGCGGGGCTAACGATGGCCTGCCCCTTGTCTGTGGCCCGTCGAGTCTATCACACACCCGAAGTCATCACCAACCGCATGTTTGATGACTCGCATCGCTCCTGTCAAAGTCTCAGGATATATTGTTGGCACTTCGCACCCGGTCCTTGCTGTTGGGTCTGCGCCTGAGTCGGTCCGGTTGATTGGTGACCGGGGGCAGGGGTTGACGCCACTCTGAGCTTGCCGCGCCCAACAAAGTTCTGTCGAACAACATAGCGGATGCTTTCTTAACTGTTTGGGTCGCTGTCTCCCTAGGCAAGTCTGGATATACCGGCATGCCGTGCCGCTGAGGCGCCTGGATCGTGGCATAATCGGATCCGGGATGGCCCGCGTTGCGTCGCTCGAATGTCCGCCACGCCCGACGGACTGACCCAGATCTGGCCGGATCTGGTTCTGTCATCTTGGGACTCGAAGGCTGGGCAATATCAGATGTGACAGATTCCTCGCTCCCGGACAACCCCAGATACTCTGCTGGCCCCCGCTCTATACCCCCGAGTTTGCGCGGTCCTCGCCGTCCTGGAAGAGGAAGCTCCCTGATGTGGAAGGTTGGATTTTTTTTTTGGACTCTTCAACCCAAGCAGGCGTCAAGATTTCCCCGGATCTCCCGAGTCATCTCATTGAACAGCATGTGATGCTTGCCTAGCCCAACGTTTTCCATTCTTCACCGGTGTACAGGACAGCTCCGTGCCCAGCACGCAGATAGATATTGTGGCCGCCACTCTCGCCTTGCAGCCGTTATTCGCAGATTCCCATGTTTGCCTCCTCGGGAAGATAACACTCTAGCTCTGCCTCTTCCGGCACTAAACAACTGCTTCTGTTGTCGGTCGCTTCAGGTCCTTTCGTGGATGGCGAGTCGCTCCTCTCCGTATACCAGACTTCGCGAAAGTCGGCCAAGTCTTAAGCGTGTCATACAGCACGAAGCAGTTCCGGTACACGCTGCAATTCAGTAGTGGTGTGCCTCAAGTGGGCTACCGCTGCGTCATAGCAGCACGACGCCCCCTTTTGTTTATATTTTGTCCTGATCAAAGTCCTTCCGCGGTCAGCTAACGGCAACATGCATCGTTACCGCGCTCGCAAGAAAAGCCTGGTGACTGTGACAGTGAGGCCGGGCAGCGAAACGGGTATATATTACATCTTGGTTGCCAACGTACGCCATACACCCCGTATCTTTATCTACTGAGATGTATTCCGCTGACTACCTGCTCCCAATGTGCATGCGTAGCTCGCCCATAGCACAACATGGAAAGACCTTAAAGCTTTCACTGCGCAAGCCTGCGAGGTTGACCATGCGGAGGTCTACCCGCCCACCTCCGGCTTCGTTCGGGTAAAAGGGCGGTCCAATTTCGAGAGGGCCTTCAGTAAGTCCATTATGATGTCCTCAAACCTATGTTTGTCCAGAAGCTGTACGGGTTAGTCTAACAGCGACTGCCTAAGAGCACCTCGATGGCAACACGTTGGATTACCGTGCTCTCCAGGCCGATGCCAGGAACTCGACCCAGAGCACCGTGGTCAAGCTTTCCCCGACAGACTACCATGCACTCAGGATCCTTCGAGGCGATAGCAGCAAGATCTTTGTCAAACCTGGGACTCCAACCGCCGACTGCAACGTGCCAAACCAACCGTTTCCTCAGGGGCCAGCGGCAACAATGAGAAGCCCCTCCTTGGCCCATCAGGCAATCGGTAGCCCTGGATTCAACATGGCTCCGCTAACCAGCATGCCGTTGGGCTATCCTGCGGTGCCTCCCTCCTATGTGCCTCCCGAAGGGCTGCACGCCGGAGCAGCTACCGCGCTTTCAATGCCTCCGGGCCCTATGACATACCAGGTGGTGGCTCCAGTTCCGGGTCCGGCGCCGGCCCACGGCTTCTCCCAGCAGGTAGTGGCCGGTCATCCCTTCCTGATCCCACAGCCGATGGGATATCTGACAGGGTCTGCCGCCCCGCAACCTCTGACCGTCCAGTATCCGTACTTGCCCTCACCGAAATACTACCCGGAAGAAGGGCACGACATTAGAGGACACGGCTACGCAGGCTATGTCCAACCAGCGGATTACACTTACTCCGCCGGATATGGCGAAACCCTGCCCACCGGCTCAGTCCTAGAAATGTCTGGGTACGCAACCGACAGGCCGCCGTCCAACGTCGCCGTCGTCGTCGTCGAGCAGCGGAAAATCGTGATCCTCAATCTCGAACGCGAAACCCTGTCCGAGGCGGTGGTTGTGCACCTCATCGCGAGACACACGGCAGGTCTCGGCACCGTGCCCGGAGAAATCGAGGGGGTCGAGGTGCCCGTCAACAAGGATGGCCGCGCTCGGGGCATCGCATTTGTCACGTTCATTTCGGCCGAGCTCGCCAGCGTAGCCATCGCGGCTCTGGATGGCCGAGAGGTGCCCGGCGGCCGGGGGAAGAAGCTGGAGGCGCGTCTGGCTGAGGGGGTACCGCCAAGAGGAGGAGGGGGGGGGCCCTCCATATCGTCAGGAGGAGGAGAAGGGCAAGGGCAAGGACAAGGGGGAGACAATACCAGTCAGCGACGTGGCGGCAAGGCGGTCGGAGGCAGCAATGGCACCACCGGCGAGAATAAAAAGGATTCCTCTGGCAAGCCGTCGTCGCGCTCGTCGCATCCGCAGTCCTCCAAGGCCCAAACGCGTGGGGCCGTGTCGTCGTCCAACATGACGGGTGCAGTCCCACCGCGTGGGCCGGCGGCTTGGTTGGCAGGTGGAGGTGCGAATAATGGGACTGTCAAGAAATGCAAGGAGGAGCGGCCGGTGATTGTGAACGGGAGCGGGGGCCGGTGGATGGAGAGACTGGCGGCGCCGGTGGTGGTGAACGGAAGTGCTGGCAGAAGGGGATACGGAGGCTATCGAAGCTGTCGGCCTTGAGGCAAGTCCGGTGTTCTTCGTATCTTATCCTAGGCTTTGCGGCGCGGCAAAATGTGGGATGGCGTTGGGAGATGGAGTCATGGTGGGGGGGGGGGGGACGCTCTCGGGTGTATTGTATTGTACAATGCAGAAGGGCGATCACGAATCTTTGTTCCATCAACCTATCGAGGGTGCTAAAGCGGCTTCAGTCTGTGATTTGGGACATGTTCAGACTGAAGGTGCAAGGCAGCTTTGACGGCTTCTGGTAGCCCGTGGACGACCGCCCCAGTTCATCCAGCGCAAGTCCGTCATTCTGTTTCTCTCCTTTTTTGGTTTCCTTCCTGTCTTTTCCCACGCGACGCATCTCAGCATGGGAGCGGTCAAACATGCCCCGCAGAGATGGAAGCCACCTTAGCATGAGCCTCGACTCGGCGGTCCACGCTGAATCTTGCCGCTCCTGATCGACGAATGCGATCTGATTCCAAGTACTCCCGAATGGAGTGATGCGCGATGCACACATAAGTCTTGGGGAAAAGGGGCTGTTCGTCCCAGATTTCGCGAGCTTTGTGGTACTCCGTGACGAGTCCTGGGCAGAAACGCCATATGTCAGTCTTGTCTAGCAGTCTTCTGTCGTCGCCGAGTTCCACCGCGAGCGCATCGATTAGTAACTTCTTCTACCGTCAGGGGGGCGTGTGGGCCATGCAGAGAAGGTCCAAGATCCACTTTGCTACGTCTGCCGACTCGTCGTCAATGCTCAACAACATGCGTTCGTACGTGGCGTCCAGTGTCCGGGGTGGCGAAGCAAGCCGCTCGTCGAGTTTGAATCCGGCTTCACCCCAAGGGCGGCGGCGTTCTAGTGCAGAAAACTGGTATTCGACCCAGAGGAATCTAGACACGTCAGGTCAGGGAAGGCGGTTTTCTGTTTTCTTGTCGTTGCTCAGATGAGGCAAGGAGAGACTTACACACCGTCTGCGCCGTCAATGAGCGCTCTCTCGATCTGGTCGAAATGCTTTTCCCATTTTCGGAGTCGGCGATTGCTCCTGAGGTAAATACCTGTGAACAAAGGACGCAATGTCTGCACCCACCAAGTCCTTCGCTAACGGGAGTTATAGGACTGAATAAATCGTACCAGAATTAATTCAGACGCTCTGATATAATGCTCGGGCTTGTAATAACACACGGAATCGAAAGATAAACAAAAAACACATCGCTCCAGATCTCGTATCATACATCCTTCCCACCTCCTAGGTAAGGTAGGTAATGCATTCATACCTTACGTTCCCCGCCATTCTTTATTTATTTCCCCCCCTTTCCAACCTCCCCCTTCTCCCTCCCCGCCCTTGGTTCCAACTCGGCAACATCATCCACCTTGATCCCCTCCCTGCCCAGTCGTGCCACTAGGCGGGTATTCTGGCCCTGCAGCTCGCCGACCCGCTCGCGCAGCATCTCGACCTCCTTGCGCGCCACGTCCCGCTCCGCCCGGACCCGGACCAGCTCCATGGCCAGGTTGGCCCGCTCCTCGCGCTCGGCCTGCTTGCGCCGCCGCTGCTCGGCCTTGCGCTCCTCGGCCGCCCGCTTCTGGGCCAGCCGCTCCAGCTCGCGCCGGAACTTCTCTTCTTGTCTGGCGATTTCGCGCTCGTGCTTCTCGCGCAGCTTGGCCAGGGCCTGGTCCTCTTCGGCCTCTTTCTCTTTCGCGGCGGCATCGGTGCTGTCGGCAGCAGTCTCGGTGTTGGTGTTGGTGTTGGTGTTGGTGTTCGTGTTCGTGGTGGTCTTGTTGCTGCTGTGTTTGGCCCGTCTTCGCTCGAGCTTCTCCTCGGCTTTGCGCATGCGGCTTTGGAGCTTGCGCAGCTCCTTTTCGTGCCGGGACTGTGCCTGCGAGAAGCCGGCCGACGGCGTCGGCTCGCGCGACAGGGCCTGCGAGGTGGTGGCTTCGGAGACGGTCGAGGCGGCGTCGGTCTCGATGTTGCTGGTGTCCTGGGCGTTGTTGCTGGGAAGGGGGTCGTCGGGTGGGGAGGCATTGTTGCCCTCTTCCGCCGAGGCAAAGCTGGCTTCGGAAGTGGTATCGCTCTCGTCGTCGCTCAAGTCCGAGTCCGTCGCTTGGGATGACGGGGCGAAGGCGGCTACCCTGTTCGCGACCGCCGAGGTTGCCGCGCCGAGAGCCCCGGTAAGCATGCCGTAGATGCCCCCGGCACTAGCGGGCAGCGATTCCTCGTGGTGATGGTCGGTCCTGCCATTGGGGAGTTGGTCCTGCACCGAGGCAGTGACAGGGGCTTGCCCTGGCTGATTCTCCTCGGTTGGCGACTCCCCGGTGGGTTTTGTTTCCACGGCATCCTCTTGGGGTCTGCGTGGTTTCGTAACATCTTCCAGCGTCTGCGAGGAAAGCCACTTGAGGAATTTGCCCGCGTCGTTGATTATACCCCCTGGCGTGCCCTTCTCAACCATGAACTTGGGCACGCTCCCGCCGGGGTCGCTGCGCGTGACCATCAGCCACTCGATCGCCATTTCCGTGTCAGCCCCATCAGCATCCTTATTCGGCCGAGTCCTATGCTCCCCTTCCGACTCGAACCCGGTCCCCTTGGCGCCATCTTTGATCTCGTCCCTGCTCAGTTCGATCGATGACCTCGCCCTCCGGATGGGCTTCTCCACTGGGACCTCCCGGATCAGCTCAACGGACTCGTACGTACCGCGTATGAAACCCGATCGTGGCGGACAATCCGGGTGATCACACGGTCTCGAGACAATCATGAACTGCCTTGGGGTGGGACGATCCTTCCCTTCACCACCTTTACGACCCCATTTCTCCTCCCTGGGCATCATAAGCAACGTCACAAAGTCGCGCGGCGTCGTCGGTCCCGGGAAGCGCGCCGAGACATGATACACTAGGTAGTCGCTTTGTGAGCCCATCAGAATCAAAAGTCAAAATCCACACACACAAAGAAAAACCAGCCAACTTACAATCCAGCTTCCCCGCTTCCCCTTCCCACCCCCAGACTCTCCTCTCGCCCCCAATACCGCGGATATTCCCCGTCCCGGGCTCCTTGCCCGGTTCTCGCTCGACCCGGGCAAGCGTCTCCTGCATCTCACGCCTCAGCGCCGCCTCCCACAGCTCGAACGTCCCCGCGGAGCGGTGCAGGCTCCGCCGGGCAAACCACGCGTACTTGCCGTCCTTGGCCGAGAGCTTGTACATGGAGATGTTGTGCGGATTGTTGCTGCCGCCCTGGGGGATCTTGAGGTCTTTCCACTCCTTCTGGAGCTTCTTTACGGCCTCTGTGTCCTTCTCGTCTCTGGCCGCCTTGGCTGCTGCTGTGCCGCTGGTGTGCGACTGGGAGGTGGGAGAGACGGCCGCAGAATCGGTGTGCGAGCGTGCCCGGCCGCTGCCTCCTTTCCCGGCGCCGGCTGCGGGAACCGGTGAGCCTGGTGGGCTTGGAGTAGGGAGCGACTTGATGAGAAGCTCGGCGCTGGCTAGCGTCGAGGAGACGAGTTCGTCGAGCGAGGACGGGTCGCCGGAGGAGAGATCCTTTTCCCAGGAGAGGGCGCCAAGCGCGGCGAATGGGGAGTGGTGGGACATTTTGAGCTGCCCCTTCCTTCGCTTCAGGTTTCTTTCCTTCCTTTGATCGTCGTGATAGTGCTGTTCAAGTTGTTGAATGTGTGGCGATGTCGCATACGGCAGCAGCTGTCTTCAGAGTCCCGAGTATGCAGATTACTTCGCGATTCGAGATAGAGAGGTCTCAACCGTCGGCTTATTACGGCGCAGCGGGGACCCGAGTCGGTTGGTATGATGGTTGACGGTGGGAACACTCCAGGGTACTCGAACAATACGCGGAAAGGTGTGTCTGGGACTGGTGTAAGTATCTCGAGCCTCAAGCATAGAGTAACTTGGCGACTGTTGCTTACAGTTTGGCCCTGGTTGTAGCTTGCACAGGAGCTGCAGGATGCAAGTGCCAGCTAGGTAGTTCGCTTTCTGTTTTCGCTTTCTGAGAACTCAATTTCCTATCGTTCAGCACATAAGCAAAACTCAAATCTATTCGGCCTGCATTGTGCTGGGCCGCTGGTATACCTAAGGCACAAGTGCCTTACTTTTATCATACTGGTGTCTCGCCCGAAACTCCTGACAGAGTCCCTGTTTGTTTAGCTGACGTCATCTCTAAGGTACTGAAGGTAGCCAAACGTTAGCGCCGACCCCTGAGCCGTGGAACGTCACCGCGGCGGAGCTGCCCGCTGCAGGCCTGGATTCTTGCCGCGGCATTCAGGGAAAAGGGGCATTCACTCACTGTCACTTTAGCGCCGCACTTCCGCGTATAGGGAATTGAATACGCGAAGTCAAGAATGCAACGCATCGATCATCCATACACTACGGAGTCTTAGTAGCTTCTATACTTCTAAGCTGCCACAAGCAGCGCAGCGTACAAGCACATGCTTCCATATCACGCACTCCCATACAATCCAACCAAGCAGTCCATTCATAAACCCCGTTTTTGTCCCAACCCAATGCCGCTTGTTCAGCTCCAAACCCTTGCCGCCGTAATAGCATCGCTCAACCAACACCCTGTAGCCACCAATTAGAAGCTCTCCAAGCAAAAAGCAAACCCGAGCAACTCGTATTTTGCCACCATGGAGGGACTTGATGACTCGTCCTTGTTGCAATAGTACGGAGGTATTGAATCTCGAATGTTGAAGGTAGCCGCCCCCTCCACGACGTCTTCGTCCTCGTCATCCTCTGCCTTGTCCGCCGGGTATCTGGAACAGGGTCGGATTTTGATGCACTATCACCTCCTTGCTTCATCCTCACTCACAAGGGTGACATGCCTCTTCTACCCGTCAAAATCAGCACTTCCAAGCGCCCAATAACACCCCTAGCCCCAAGCAACGTTCGGGGACAGTTACTGCATGGTCTTCAAGAAACCATCCAGATCAAAACTCTCTTCATACTGCGTGTTGTCCCACAACTCACCCAGCCCTTCGAGCCAGGCGGCTTTCTTGCCGGGCTGCCGGACGTCGCCTGTCTCGATGTCCACCATTTCCTCTTCTCGGCCCTCGATGCTCTCCTTACCCTTCTCCGTAATGAGGTTCGGTCCCGAGTCGCCAAGGTTGAAGAGGTCGAGGATCTGGTCCGTGTCCATGGTGGCCAGTCCTGCGTTCTGCTGATTGACGACTGTGCTGGCGACGTCGATCTTGAACCGCTGCAGGCTGAGAATCTTCTCTTCCAGTGTGCCGCGGGTGATCAGTCGGTACACATTGACTACCTTCTTTTGCCCGATACGGTGGGCCCGGTCCATGGCCTGGAGGTCTTTCTGCGGATTCCAGTCGTGCTCCACAAAAATGACCGTATCGGCTCCCGTGAGGTTCAGCCCAAGACCGCCCACGCTGGTCGTGAGGAGAAGGACGTCGTACGAGGGATCGCTGTTGAACTTGTTCACGATATCCTGGCGCCGGTTTGCCTCGACGGAACCATCGAGGCGAAGATACGACACGGACGGAAGCATGCTCTTCAGCACCGTGTTCTGCACCATGTCGAGCATCTCCTTCATCTGACAGAAAATCAGAGCGCGATGCGGCTTGATGGGCGTGTACAGTGGGTCGGACGACTCTTGGCCCTCGACACCAATGCCGCAGTCGACGAGGAGATCGCGGAGCGCCGTCAGTTTAGGCGCATGCGCCGGGTCCTCCAGGCTAGTGTTCTGCTTGGCCAGGAATTTCTGTGTGTCCTCATATGCCCTGTGGCCAGGCTTCATGACGAGTGCCGGCGAGTTGCAGAGCTTGCGCATGTACTGCAGCGCCTGGAAGATGTGTTGCTTGGCATCTTTATCGTCTCTTCCGGCTTGCTCCGAGATCTTCTTGCCTTCTCTCTTTGTGAAATCCTCGAAGAGCTTCCGCTGCAGGTCGCTGAGGTCGCAGTAGTAGTTCTGAAGGATCTTGGGCGGCAGGTCGTTGAGCACCTCTTCCTTGAGCCGACGCAGGAGGAACGGCAAAACTTGTTTGTGCAGTGCCTCGATGGCTAGCGCGCCGGCTTCTTGCTCCTTTGACGAAGCTTTGCTGTACCGGCTGTTCGCGATCGGCTTTGCAAATCGGTCGAGGAAGACCTTTTCCGCACCGAGAAAGCCAGGCATCAGGAAGTCGAAGAGAGACCAGAGCTCGAGCACGTTATTCTGGATCGGTGTGCCTGTCAGGATGAGTCGGTGATTGCTAACCAGTCGCTTGACCGCCATTGAGATCTTGGCTTTCGGATTTTTGATCAAGTGGCCTTCATCGAGCACGACGTAATTCCAGTTATATTTCTCGATCATATCGATGTCATTCCGGCAGACGTCGTATGAAGTGATCACAATGTCGGTCTTGCCAAGCATATCCTTGATAGCTCGGCGCTCAGCTGGAGGACCGACGTATGCCGTCACGCTCAGGAAAGGGGCGTATGTCTTGATCTCCTGTTGCCAATGCCCAGAGAGAGTGGGCGGGCAGACGATGAGGGATGGAAGCTGTCGGACATCCGGCGCACCGGTCTTTGCATATTCTTCAGCCCGCTGGTGGTGGTCGCTTGCTACGATGCAAATGGTCTGCAGTGTCTTGCCTAGACCCATGTCGTCGCAAAGGATTCCGTGCAGATGATACTTGTTGAGGAAGTGGAGCCAATTGACACCCTCTTGCTGGTAAGAGCGAAGCTCGGCCTTGATGGCAACCGGAATCTGGAAGGGTTCAACCTTTTTGGGATCCAAGAGCTGCGCGATGAACGTGCGCTCTCGGTCCCGGCCCCTCAACAGCTCCTCCGAGAGACCTGGGGGATCGGGGATACCAGCCTCGAGCGGAACCAGCTTGACCAGGGTGGCAAAAGACGTTGTAGCGATCAACCTGATTTCATTGTCCGAATCGCTCATCCGACCCAGCACTGGTACGATGAGGAAGATGACGTAGGGGAGTATGGCGTCGCCCATCACAGCGATGAGGTGATAGATGGCCTCGATGGCGCCCTGGCGGACGCTGAGATCCAGAGGATTGTTGATGGACGGCAGAACCTTCTCTACTAAGGCCGTCATGCCATCCACCGTGATCACGCTGCATATCGTCGCTATGCATTTGGCTGCCATGTAGCGGAACACAGACAAGTCGGACCGCAGAGCCTTGATTACGAGGGGGACCTGCCGCATGACGAAGGAATGGAGCGCCGGATGAAGCGTCGGCGTCATGGTCCGGATCAGAGACATAGCGTCGACAATCTCCTGGCCGAACGTGTTCTCCGGATCCCTCGCCTCCGCGGGGAGGTCACCAGAGAAGGCCTTCACCAGAGGCTCCTCCATGAACGTTTGCAGGCTCGGAACCCGAGTGAGGAGATCAGCACCAAAGGTCTGTGAGAGTATCTCAAGTGCTTCTTTAGCGCCGCGGCGGGTGATGCGCGCCGCTCTAGCCTCTCGTGCAAACTTGGCTGCATCGGGGTGGTCGACCCTGTCCTCCTCCTTCTGCATTGACAGGATGACGTTCGTCTTCATAGCGTGGTTGGGAAATTCGGGCGTTTCCGCGACTTCGACGCACGAGAATTTGACCAAGTTGGCGACAACCTTGTCGGCAGGGTTCCGGCGGCCGGTCTCGGTCAATAACTGGACAAGGCGCGCAATCGTCGCCGCAGAGCGGCCCTGAAGCTCGTGATTCTCTTCGGTCTTAATACTATCCATAATCGCCTTGATGAGAGGACTGGGTTTCTTGGGAAGGAACTTCATGGCAACCAAAGCGCAAGCAGACGCAGCCCGTATGCGAGCATCACGGGCCTCTTTGGCCGCCTTGGCTTCCTCAATCGCTGCAATTGTTGCGTCGCGGGCCTCGTTGAGCTCTTTAACGGCAATCAGACGTTGACCGGGCGCCATATACTTCTTGAGCTTCTCAAAGTCTTCGCCCACGACCTTCTCCGCATTCGCGACAGAAAACGCTCCGGGGCCCGCTTCCGGCTCGCCTTGTACCACGACGGCCAGGGTGGGAAGCCTGCTGTTAGAGACTTTGCCGTGGTCACGGAAGAGGTTGATGAGCTGCTGCGACTGCGAGCGTACCCGGTGAACATAGCTGACCAAGTCCCGGTAATGTGATGGCCGATCGTGGTCGATGATATTCTGCAGAGGCTCGATGAACTGTGCGGCCAGGTCTGGCGTGGCGCAGTTCTTCGCATACTCATCAATGACCATAGCGGCGGCAAGTTGGGTTGACGCGAACGGAGATGAAAGACCCTGGAGGATGCCGCTATCATACGAGACCAACTTGGAGGGCGGAACTAAGGACATGATGAGGCCCATAGCCCTGGCTGCTGCGACACGCGAGCGGATCAAGACATCCATGCCCACAAGGTCAACATCGCCTTGGATCATGTGCCCATCAACATCATGACTCCGCGCGGGAGCGGGAACATCGTCCACCTTTGTCGACTTCCGCCGGCGCTTTGTGGCTCTCTCGCCCTCGGGAGGTGACGACCGCCTACCGGCTGTAGAAGCGATACCCGGAAGGGAGTATGTTCCGCCGGATGGCTTCTGGAAGAGGCTTGCGTTCATGGGGATGGGGTGCCGCGGGACACCAACGGGGTGGAGTGCCAACTGCATCAGTGGCTCCACGTGGGCCTCGAACTCATCGGCAAGTACAGCTGGGTTGTCAGAGAGTGAAAGCACAAGAGCATGCCACAGCTCCATGGACATGTTGAGCGTGTCCTGGTCTCGCTCGACCAGTATGTTTTGGAAGACGAGGCGGAGGATCCGCCCGTTGAGCCAACCTTGAGAGGCCTCGCCCCCGAGCTTCGCGAAGGTCATCAAAGCTTTCAGCACGGCAAGCCGCACGGAGGTGATGGTATGCCGGAGGAAAGGATAGAGTCTGGGAACGAGGAGAGTGAAAGACTTCTCCTCGTCTTCGGAAGCTGAGACTTTCATGGCTTCCAAGACTTCAGGGAAGCTGCACAGGGTAGCGAGCAAATCCATGATCTTGCCAGTCGAGGCACTCAGATCATCGCCAAGGTTGGACAGGCTCTCCCAGACGATGCCGATGAGGTCGTTGAGAGCTCCTCGGCGCATCGTGACGAATTCCTTGGCCATGGGAATCAAGGTAGCCGCGCTGACTGAGCGGACATCATCATCCATGTCACCCAAGCCCTTCATGACCGAACGGATGACTCCGTCGATCATGTCGCCGTCCTGAAGTAGGAGGTCCTTACGCACGGCGACGACGTACCTCAGACCCACCATGCCTCCGTGACAGACGGCCCAAACATTCTGCTCCAGTTGCAGGCCCTCCTGCATCACCATCCGATAGAGCATGCGGTAAATGGCGTAGACAGAGGTCGCCGGAATATGCCGAAGGACTGAGCCAAGGGTCTGGCCAACCGTCTCCCTAATCGGGGCAACGGATGTGTCGGAGCTGTAGTCAGTGAACTTGTCCAGCATGAGGACGCAGCAGAGCCGGCACGCCAGGTCATCAAGCCAGTGGCGATTGAGATCATTGTTCTGCTTGCGCGGCCTGTCCTTGCGCCTTCCGGCGCCTGCGCCATGAACTCGCACGATCTCCCTCAGGCCCATGGCCGCGCCATGGCGTGTCTCCCACTGCGAGTCAAATAAATCGACTTTGAGAAATTCGCAGAGCCGCTCGAATGGCCATTCGGTGCCCTCCATGCTCTCATCAGCCTCGAGCTCAGACTTGATCGGTAGCATGGGTCCCTTGAATTCGGACACAACCTTGGTTTCTTCGTCCACGTCGGCAGGGCGGTCGAGACTGAAGTAATCGGACATCTTCCCATTCTTCTTGGAGTCGGCATCCGGCATCGGCGTATCGTCAGCAAACCCGTCGGAGCCTGCTGTTGTCGTTCTGCGAAACGTCAGATCACCAAACCCGCTCTTGCCTTGAGCGGCTTTCTGCGCCTCCCGCTTCCTTTTTCTCTTCAGGACGTTCAGCTGTCGTGTGCTCAGTTTACTTTCGTCCTGGTTTAGCCCCTGGTTGTCATTGGTGCTATCCTGCCGTCCAAGCCCGATTGAACCCGCAGCCTCGTGGGGCGTTTCAGGGCTGATGATTTGCTCGGCAAGTACGGGCACCTCGTCGTCCTCGAAGACCCGACCAAGCAGACCCAGCCTGCCATTCAGCGTCTTTTTCTGATGGCACAGCCGTTTCTGGGGATCGAGGGCAGCGAGCGCGTAGTCCACGGTACCGCCGCGAAGCAGAGGCCGCCCATATTTGAGAACATTGGCGATGTCTAGGGTCTCGAGGCTGAAGTACTCCTCTTGATCGAAGACGGAGTTTTCTTGCTCCTCCTTCTTAACGGAGCTAATGTCACCCGCTGGTTCTGCTGCGGAAATTGCTCCTCCTTCAACTGGATTGGGGTCGTAAAGCGGCGCATTCTCGACAATCTTCCCTATCGCCTTGGCAGCGGTGCTTCTGGTCTCCCAGTCCTTATGCCGAAGATAGGGGACAACCCTGGATAGGAGGTTGAATAGCTCCTCGGGGTGTTGTTTCTGCCAGTCGGCGAGCTGGTTGACAGCAGTGTCCCGTATCAGTCGGGTGCTGCCCGTTTCAAGGATGCTGCAACAGAGCTGTTAGTATCAACGACAACGGCAGCAGAGGGCGCCATCAATCCGAGGCCAGCCCTATCTGCTTCATGTTGCAGGAGACCACTTACGTAACGAGCCGATCAAGCCTAGGATTGGTTTGTTAGCAAGGCTTGAATCTCACTTATAAAATCGGGATCTCCACTCACCGAGACGCCATTCTTGTTTCATGTCAACGAATCCCTTGATAAATGCTCAGGTAATGACCACCATGGCACTGCATCTTCGTCAGCATTGTCTTGCATCTTGGTTTGACCGGCCCCACTGGTAATCTCTTGGACAAAACAACGAAGCTTCTGAATACAGAAGGCTCAAGGAGGATTGATGGTACGAATAATTGGCCACCCTAGCCAGAAGGGGGTAGAGTTGTTTTTGGCCCGGTGGGAAAAGCAAGGGATTGGCTGAACGCACCGTGAAGACGCGGTAAGGAAAGATTCTGGTTTGCCAAAACGGGATGGTGGGAGCGGAATGTAATGAAATAGCAAGGGGAAATGCGCCGGGTGACAGCTGCCGAACAGCTGGCAAATGACTCTTTAACATACCTGGCCGAAAGCAGTTCTTGAGGAGAAAATGGCTTGAAGCTGGTAGACCGAGCGAGCGTTGAGAGAAGTTTAAATACTCCTACATCACATCATATTAGTCTTACAGAAAAATGACTCTATTGCAACATAGAGAGTTGTAAATCTGTGAAGGCATCTTGCGTTGGCATGAAGCGCATACCGTGAGATAGGTACTTGGAGCTGGCGAGGCCCACTGTGTGAGGTGTGGCCGCAGGCAGCGGTGGGATTGGCTGTTTGCACGGTGTGACGGTGCCAGCGGGGTCGCGAAATTTCTAAGGCGGAGCTGGAGGTAGGTTTGCAGGCGCAGGCAGCGGGAAGGAGATGCGGGTGGAGGGCAGGCGGCTGTCTATAAGGAAACATTGGTTTAAATTTATAGACAGCGGGCTGTTGTTCCCAACGCTCCTCCCCCGGCCCTGCACATTTTAGCGCCATTCTTACACCCCTGTCAATGCGCCGCCCAGCCAGGCAAGTCCCGTGCCCATCCCGATCCAACGATCCGTCGTCGACGACGGGAAGGGCAGCCTTCCATTCGGACAGTACCTACCTTACCTAAGGTATGTACGGGAAACTGAGAGCTTGGTGGCCAATTCTTTCTCCTTTCTGTTGCCCGTCTTTTGGTATCGCCGGTTGTATGCAGGGTGGATCACTACTATCCATTCATGTCCACGCTCGACCACAATCTCAGCAGTCTGAAGCCCTCATCGGGCATTTCAAAATCCAGGTCCCATCCCTTGGAAGCGGAATGGATCATCCCGACTCCCGCCTGTCTGTTCGCCTTCTTGGAGAACCTGACGTAGTACTTCACTTGAAGTGTTGAACTTTTGTTCGGGTTTGCTGCAGACAAGTCCGTGGCTTCCCGTCGCACCGTGTAGGTACAACATGGACAAGGGCGCGGTTTCCGTGGCCATTCAACAGTGGTGAACCATCGCCAACGCCTCGCCCGCGTTACCACTACCCAAAAAGGCACCTACACAATAATGCATATCCAAAAGTGGAAATGTGTGATCTTCGTGACGGACCTAGAATGATGTGCATCCTTGACACCTAGCAGGCAGGAGCGAACTTTAGTCAAGCGCCTACTATAAATGTTTGCAAGACCCCGTTGCAGCACCGCGACAAAGAACCTACTTCGGGCTCGGCCACGGCACGGAAAGAGACAAATGGACAGCTCACGGATTCCAGCCGAGCCTTCTACCGACACATCTTTGCTAATGGCTTGGAGAAGAGAGGAGCGAACTACATGTTCAAGAGTGTTCCACGGATCACTAGGTATGGAAATGTACCATAGAAGTGATCGCCCGAATGGATGCATAATTTGGTACCTGACGCCGGATCATCTTGGAAGTTGGAAAACGCGTTGGACCGGACTGCGGATTGGGCCGTTGTCTCCCGAACTTTGATGCAAGGGTGTGCGCCATTGTGTCTGAAAAACCACACTGTGTTTGGAAGGTAAGGTATGCAGGTCAATTTTCTTTTTCTGCAACAACGAAAACACAAGGGAAAGAACGGAAGTAAAACAGATGTTGGAGTGTTGAGAGAGGGAAAATGCAGCGAGAGATACAAAGCATTCCTAGACTCTCAGCCCATCCAAGTCTCAAAGATGACGTGCGAAGTCCTAAACCAAACGCGACCTGAACTCGGTCGTGTCACGTGAAGAGTTCAGTTAGTCGAATGCATGCAAGGTGGGCCCGAGCTTCTACGAACCAAGAGTTGTCACAAGCGCGACAAGACGCGTTGCCTGCGGTCCCCCTCAGCGACTACTGTGTATCTAGCATCTACGGATTCGTCGCACAATAGCCACCCGAAATGCAGAGAGCAACAACCGCTCATTTCCACATTTCGCCCCAGCCTTGATCCCCAATCTTGATGCGCGCATAGGAATCAGGACCCTGACCGCAACGTTTTTCTCTTGGCGTTTTGACTCACCCGTCGAGTCGACGGCGCCAGCGCAAAGATGCATATCAAGCAGATCATCATCCAAGGCTTCAAAAGGTGCGCCGAGACCCGCCAGAAACGCTGGATTTCCAGTCCACTAACAACCGCGTCGCACAGCTACAAGGATCAGACAGTCATAGAACCATTTTCTCCAGGTACCAATGTCATCGTCGGGCGCAATGGTTCGGGGAAGAGTAATTTTTTCGCTGCGATCCGATTCGTCCTCAGCGATGCGTACACCAACATGAGCCGGGAGGAACGCCAGGCCTTGTTGCACGAAGGGTCAGGTTCCGCCGTCATGTCTGCCTATGTCGAGATCATCTTCGACAACAAAGACAAACGATTCAGCGAGCCGGGTGACGAGGTCGTGATCCGCCGGACAATCGGCCTGAAGAAGGATGAGTACTCGGTAGACAGGAAAGTCCAGACTCGTGCCGATGTGCTCAAGATCCTCGAGACGGCCGGTTTTGCGAAAGAGAACCCCTTCTACATCGTGCCCCAGGGCCGCATTGCGGCGATCACCAACATGAAGGAGTCCGAGAGGCTGAACCTCCTAAAAGAGATTGCGGGGACCAACACATACGACGACCGCAGGATACAGTCCCTGAAGATCATGGCCGAGACGAACAGCAAGCGTGACAAGATCGACGAGACGCTGGCGTACATCGAGGAGCGCCTGAGCGAGCTAGAAGAGGAGAAGGATGAACTCCGCGATTTCCAGGACAAGGACAGGGAGCGAAGGTGTCTCGAGTATGCGCACTGGCACCGCTTGCAAGCGACAAATGCGGAGACGTTAGAACAAGTGGAGGAAGCGAGGCAGGGCGAGACTGGTGCATCGAGCAAAGATCGTGTGCAACTCCAGAAAACGGAGAAGGAGATCGTCGTGCTGGACCAAGAATCCCACGAACTCAAGCAAAACCTGGATCTGCTTGCCATGGAACGGCGACAGCTGGACGACGACCGGAGAGATGCCGCTCGAGCGCGCGCGAAGGCGGAACTAAAAGTGAAGCATCTGGATGAGACCCGCCACACACGGGAACAGGCGCAGCAGAAGCAGGAGGCCGAATTACAGGAGGTTAGGCGGAAAATCCAGACGGCCGAGTCAGACCTCTCCAAGATTACTCCCGAGTACGAGAAGTGGAAGAACCAAGAAGCCCAGATCAGACTGCAGCGGGATGAGGCAGTAGCGGGCAAAAACCGCTTGCTGACCAAGCAGACACGGAGTTCACAGTTCAAGACGAAGGCGGAGCGGGATGCTTTTCTCAAGCAGGAAATCAACGACGCCACGACGTCGTTGGCTGTGCAGAAGGCCAACGCAATAGATGCCCGGGAACAGGTACATGCGGTCGAAGCATCCATCGCTCAGCTGGAGAAGTCGATCCAGGACATCCGCCAGAATATCGAGGGCTACGGTGGGAACCGAGTATCGCTCGCCGAGAAGCTGACCAAGGCTCAGGAGGCCCGGGAGCAGCTGCACGAAGAGCGAAAGAGGCTCCGGCGGGAGGAGGACAAGCTCGGCTCGCTACTCTCCAACACCAGGGCGGAGAGGGATCAAGCAGAGTCGTCGCTGTCCCAGGCTATGGACTCGGCTACAGCCAAGGGTCTCGCGTCCATCAGACGGCTAAAGCGAGAGAGGGATATTCCCGGCGCCTACGGCACTCTGGCGGAACTGATGAATGTGCCGGTCGAGGCATACAAGTTGCCCGTCGAGCAAGTCGCTGGAAACAGCCTATTTCATTACGTTGTTGACAACGACAGAACCGCAACCATGCTTTCCGACCATCTGTACAAGACGTATGGCGGACGTTTAACATTCATGCCTCTCGAACAGCTACGGCCAAAGCATGCCAAGATGCCCAGGGCGTCGGACGCGCAACCTCTTATTAGCAAGATTGAGTACGACCCAGCGTATGAGAAAGCTTTTCAACAGGTGTTCGGCCGCACCATCGTCTGCCCCAACCTGACCGTTGCATCTCAATACGCCCGGACTCACGGTCTGAACGCCATCACGCCAGAAGGTGACACCACCAACAAACGAGGTGCAATGACTGGTGGTTATGTCGACGCCCGCAAGTCACGCCTCGACGCCGTCCGACGGGTCAGTCAGCTGCGAGACCTCTATGAGCAGCAGCTGGCAGACATCGACAAGATCCGGAAGGAGATAGAAGAGATCGATCAGAAGGTTACGAGTGCCAGCGGCGAGGAGCACAAGCTCGAACAGCAAATGCGCCAGTTCGAGATGGGCTTCGAGCCACTCAAGATGGAGCTGCGGACGAAGAACGCACAGCTGGAGCGCGAGCGAGCTCACCTTGAGGCGGCCGTGGAACGGCAGACCCAGGTAGAGAAGAACCTCAAGGACCTAGACGACTCGATCTCAACCTATCAGGCGGAGCTTTCCCAGGACTTCAAGAAAGCCCTGACTGCCAGTGAGGAACGGCAGCTGGAGGAATTCAGTGCCGAAGTACATCGGTTGCAGCGTGAGCTGAAGGAAGTCAGCAAGAAGCGATTCGAACTGGAAGGTCGCAAAAAGCTCCTCGAGACCGAGTTGCAGAGCCATCTCCGGCCACAAGAGGATCAATTGCGAAGCCAAGCCTTTGAGAACTCGACGGCCGGCGGCAGCGAGAGCTATAAGGAGGCGCAGCGGGAGCTCAAGAAGGCGCAGAGAACCATGGTCGAGGTGGAACAGCAGCTGCAGGAGAACGAGAAGGAAGTAGAGAAGGTGAGCGGCAAACTCGCCGACCTCGAAGCTAAAATGGCGCAGAAGGAGCAGGAGCTCCTAGAGCTTCAGAAGCGGATAGAGCAGCACCAGAAGAAAATGGAAAAGGCTATCCAGGCAAGGGCCCGCCTTGTTCAACAAGCCGCCGAGTATGCCAAGAATATCCGGGATCTCGGTATCCTGCCAGAGGAGGCGTTCGGCAAGTACGAGAAGATGAAGCCAGAACAGGTGAGTAGAGGTGTCCATCGGTGGAAAAGTTAGGGGCTTCATCCGACTGACGGCGCCAGATTGATTCGAGGCTCCGAAAAGTCAACGAGGCGCTCAAGAAGTACAAGCACATCAACAAGAAGGCCTTCGATCAGTATAACAGCTTCACCACACAGCGCGATCAGTTGTTGAAGCGGCGGAAGGAGCTCGACACGTCGCAAAAGTCAATCGAGGCGCTGATCGAGCATCTCGACCAGGAGAAGGACGAGGCGATCGAGCGCACGTTCAAGCAGGTGTCGAGGGAGTTTGCCACCATTTTCGAGAAGCTTGTTCCTGCGGGCCACGGACGGCTCGTAATCCAGCGCAAGGCAGACCGGGCGAAGAAGGCCAACGGCAATGCCGACGACTCGGACGAGGAGCCGACGGGCGTGGAGAGCTACACGGGCGTAGGCATCAGCGTGTCCTTCAACTCCAAGGTCATGGACGAACAGCAAAAGATTCAGCAGCTCAGTGGCGGTCAGAAGAGTAAGTTCTTTTTTTTAGGCCAGACACGATCCCCTCCTCTCCCGTCCATGCTTGCTTACGAGTGCGGTCGTCCAGGTCTGTGCGCTCTGTGCCTGATCTTCGCCCTCCAGGCAGCCGAATCAAGTCCATTTGTCATCTTTGACGAGGTCGACGCCAACCTGGACGCGCAGTATCGCACGGCTGTCGCCGGCCTGCTCCAGTCCATCTCGCGGGAGCAGAAAACACAGTTTATTTGCACCACTTTCCGGCCGGAGATTGTCCATGTCGCCGACAAGTGCTATGGTGTCACGTTCCACAACAAGACGAGCACAATCGACTGTGTGCCGACAGAGGAGGCGTTGAATTTCGTTGAGGGGCAGAAGAAGTGAGGGACGGTGGGGCTTACCTGGTATGTAATTGTGTTACTGTGTTGGTGAGCTGGTACTACACGGTGGTCAAGTAGGGTTGATATGGATGGAGCTACATCTCATTGTGGATTTGCGGATGGGGCATCGCTTGTACGCTCAAGCGGCACCCGACGGTTGCCGGCGTTGGAGGGGCAGGTGCCTGGCAGTAGCTGTAAGGCGAGGACTATCTAGCTTGCTCCTACAGCGGAGCGGCTATATCCTACGCGTCTTTTAGCTTTCTTCAGCGCATATTGAATACCCAAGCTCAGCTGAGCACTGGTAGGGCGCTGGTAGGGTAGGGCTTTCTCGACCTAGCTTGTCGCCCATTCGGAGCTGAGCTCTAGCTTCGATATCATTCTGCCCCACTGCCGCTCTAGACATGCGATTCTAGAAGTTACCCCACCATTATCGGGACGGGAGCTGTTCAATGCACACTCAGGTAACTTTGCACTTGACCACAACACCCGACATCTCTGGAGGTGAACACATCCGAACCGTGCCTTTTGCGTGGCTCCTATTATTTGTAGAACCGAAGCCAGTTGACCAGTACTAGGCACCGCGGGCACCACCGCGAACGGGCACAATGCCGGTTGACTACAGCAAGTGGGTATGCCGGCCCAGCAAACTCCCGACCCCTCCTCCGTCTCGTGTCGAGCACAGTTGACGCAGCTGACTGGCCTGCCCAGGACGCGCTCGAGCTCAGTGATGACTCGGACATTGAGGTGCATCCCAATGTCGACAAGCGATCCTTCATCCGTGCGAAGCAGCACCAGATCCACATGGAGCGCGAGCAGCGCAAGCACCAGATCGAGACCCTCAAGTACGAGCGCATCATCAACGACCAGCTGATCAAGCGCATCTCGTCCCTCCTCGCCGCTCTCAAGTCCCGCGCATCCGAAGCCAAGACCAGGAATCCGGGCGAGGTGGCCTTCCAGGCCGTCATGGAGTCGGCGGCGGGGCTGGACCCCAAGGACGACCAGCCTCCCCCGCGCCCAGCCGGCGTGCACAACGCCGAGGAACCCCAGCCCACGTACACCAAGATGATGGCGACGCTCCTCGACCAGGTGAACAAGGCGCTCGACGAGAAGAAGCTCGAGCAGGACAAGAGATATGACGGCATGGTGGCGGAGATCGAGGACCACCTGAAGAAGGTCACGGATCTGCAGGGCGATCTGATCAAGAAGCTCGCCGAGCTCGAGCGGGAGGCATCGCGCAAGATTACCAGCGAGAGCATCCACACGGGCTTCGACAGTTCCCATATCAACAAATCGAAGTCATCATCCTCGGGCGCCGGGCCCGGCGAGTCCAAGGTTGAGCTCCTCAACCCCAACTTCGCAGGGGCCTCCTCCCTCCCCGCAGAATCCAGCTCCAAGCCCGGCGACAACAACAACGCCGATGACAATGACGACGACCAAGAGATCAGCGCGTCCCCGCTCGCGCGCCAGTTCGCCCAGATCAAGGCCAGCGAATACCGCGAGTCGGCGGCCTTCCTCTCGCAGCACCCGGAGATCCTGACGGAGAAAGAGCACGAGGGCCTGCTCATGCTCGCCTTCGACGCGCAGATGGAGAACCGGGCCGACTACGCGCGCAACTGCGTGCACCAGGCGCTGCTCATCCACTACTGCCGCGCACTCGGCCGCGACGGCGTCGCCCTCTTCTTTAAGCGCGTCACCACCCAGGGTCACCAGGCCCAGGAGGTCTTCCACAAGGACGTGCAGGACACGTACATGAAGATCAGGACGCGCGCGAGGGAGATCGTGCTGCAGCGCGCGAGAGACGAGGCCGAGGGAAAGGGCGGCGTGGAGCAGATCCAGCTGCATGCTGTCGAGCCCGGGACGGTGATCAACATCCGGATTCCGGAGAAGGGCAGCGAGGATCCCGAGGTGAAGAAAGGGAGGGAGATCTTTGAGTCGTTTAGTCCTGAGATGAAGATGGCGTTGGAGTCGGGCAGTTTGGACGAGGTGAACAAGGTGCTGGGCGACATGAAGGTCGATGAGGCCGAGGAGTTGGTCGGGAAGTTGGGTGAGGTAGATTGACCCGGTTCTCCGTTTCTTTTCGCTATAAATGAGGCTAATTTTCTTGCGCTAGGCGGGGATTCTGAGTCTCGAGGAAGAGATTATCGATGCCACCACCGAGGAAGGCAAGGAGAAGGTTAAGAAGCTTGAACAGGAGAGGAAAGAGGCAGCAAAGGCTGAAGAGGCTGAAGAGGCCGAGTATGCTCCAGATCCGGAGTGAGGGTTGTGGGTGGTGGGAATGGGTGATTATGTTTAGTCTTATATCCAACCTTGTGTGCTCGCGTCTATCCGGAGGGATGGTGTGCATTGAATGTGATGTTCTTTCTTTTCTGTGTTTGGTGGGTTTACTTCAACCTTGACCGCGCTTTAGATGATCACAACACTCATCGTGAACTTCAGTTGGTCAGTACCTCGCCGCACCTTCTCACCAACAAGGCTTTGAAGCTGTCAAGCAATGCGACCGCTAAGAGTTGCAATTCTAGTTTCCCGTCCTCTTTTCATCCGTTTTGGGAGACCTCCTTATCTGGATAGCTTATGAGCGAGACCGTCTCTGTTACGAGCTTGCTACGAAACCTCTACATATTCATAAGTTGGCGCCGAATCCTGCCCTTTTTGTCGACACTCTTTTTTGGGTTCCGTCCGACAACCCCGGCGGCTCCCTATCCCTCTTCACCTCATTCCTTACTCTTTACCTCCCACCTTGTTTTATTCATCACATTCACCACTTCGTACCCTCACCTTCTTTCTCAGACCTTCTTTACACCATCACCTGCCATGGCCTCGCTTCTTGGACTTCGAGAAGCTCCACCACTCGGGCACTCGACGACGACTGAGCGAAGTGCAGGGCTCACCTTCGCACAGTTTAGCAGCTCTCACACATGACCAAAACAAAGTCATGGAGGAACCAACGGGAATACCTACCAGCCATGCTCTCTCTCAAGGCTGGGGTTTTGCTGGAGTCGCTGATGACCAGACATCCGCAAACGCGGTTGACTCGAGAGCCTCCCAGCTGCCGTCACATCAAGATGGGGACGTTGCTGGCACGGCAAACCCTCAAGAGCCGACCCCGAAAAGTCCTAGCTCAGATACCGTACAGGGCCAAACTAGTGACGCTACGGCTCCAGACGAAGCTTCACAAATGACCGGTTTGCTAGCCCAACTTTGCGGTCAGGGGGAACTTGCTACTGACCATCTCCACAACATACAGCGCCAACAATTCCATCCGAAGATACAAATACTACAGTCTCAGCCAACCATGAGAGCTCAGATGAAGAGGAAAACGATATTCTAGCAGCCCTCCACAGATGCAAAAACAAGTGTGACCATCCATCACAACTAGCAACCAAGCAAACACCGTCTTCCACGGGCGGCCTGGTGGCTAGCACGGCGCGTACTCCATCCCCAAATGGGACATCAGGGCCTGCTTTGATTGGCAATTTGGGGCATGATGCGTCAATAGCCGCACTCGGTGCTGAGGGGTCTGGCAGCGTCGAAAGAAGCCATTTCCTGAAGAAATATGACTATTCCGGCCGAAAGCGGGAAGACTCCAAGGCAAACAGTATTAAGTCCGTTGCCAAAGCGCAAGAAAAGACGAGAACCAAAGAAGCATGTACGGCCAAGCTTCCGACCAAGCGACGGATTCCCGAGATCATAGATCTCACCGACTTTCCAGATGACTCTGACACAGTATCACCAGCCCCCCATCGCGAAGCCAAAAGGCGGAAACGCGATGAGAACGGCCGCGAGAAACAACAACACCAGGAGGAGTATAGAGGCTCCCATCAGCACAGCACCGGTCGGACATCAAGCCAAGATCCCTTTGGAAGTACCCAACGAGAGCCCCGCCGGCAAGCCCGTCAAGAGACCCATCTGGAGCCGCCTCCCGCAGTTCGTCCACAACTACGCCAGGAGCACCGTCAGGAAATCCAGCGGGAAATCCAGCGGGAAATCCAGCGGGAAATCCAGCAGGGCCCCAACACCAACAGACCCAGCTTCAACGAGTACAGTTCAACCACAGCAGCCGAGAGGGCAAGGAGAAGGGTCGAGGAACTCAAAGCCAAACTTACCGGCGCCCGCGGTCTCACAGCAGCTGGCCGTCGCCCGGCAGTTGCTACTCCTGAGGACGACGCGGCCTTGTTCCAGAAGATCGCATCCAAGCAGCCCGTCAAAAGAACAACCCAGGTCATATCCAGCTTGCCGAACAGCAACAGGCAGCCGACTTCATCTAATTTCCCTGGAGCAAGGCACAATGTCCAACCCCCATCATCCAGCCAGCCGGCCGGGACCCGACCATGTCTACCTCCACCGCCGGCCGGCAACCACCGAGTCGCGCAACTGACCCAGTCTCGGATCCTCAACATGCAACCCGAACGTCGCATGGAAATCCTCCCGTCGGCCCAAGCCCACAGCGCCCACATCCCCCACCGCATCCGCCGCCAGCCACGCAGTCCCGACCGGGAACCAGGAACCCAACTTGTCTCGCAACCAGCCATCCACAAAGAGCGCCAGCGCGAGACGGTGCCAATCCTCAAAGCCCTCAGCCCAGACCGCACGGTGATCCAATACGCAGTCTACCGTACCCGTCCTTTTACGCCTCGCACTACCGCCGCCGCGACCGCCACCACCACCACCCGCGACCTACGAAACCAACGGGGAGGCAGCGAGCGGGCCATCCGCTGCAGCGCACACCTCTCTCCAGCACAGGCCAACGCGGACGCGGCAAGACGACAGGACGCCTTGCGCAAGGGCGTGGTCAGCAAAGCCTGGCGGATGGTCCCCTCCTCGTCCTCTCATTCCTCGATACCGCCGTCGTCGTCATCATCATCATCGTCATCGTCATCCACGACAACTGCTGCTGCTGAAGATCATCAAATGCTACGGTTGTACGAGGGGTGCGTCTGGTTCGAGAGAGGGGAGGTGCAGTTCTTCTGGGTCGGCGAGGAGGCGCACGAGCTGCGCACGCTCGTGTCGTCGGCTTCTGGCAGTGGTAACGCGGTTGAGCAGAGTCGTGGTGGTGGTGGTGGTGGCCGGGATGATGCCGGGCTGGATTTGGTGGCGAGGATGGGCAGTTGGTGTAACGCGAGGGTCGATAAGGCTCCCGTGGCGATCTACAGGCGGAAGAGGTTTGATGTGTGGTCGATGATCTACTATGGGAAGGAGGTGAAGAAACGGACGGGTGGCGCGGGGCCGAGGATTGTCTTCGAGTGTGGGGGAGATGGGGATGGTGTTGCGGGAGAGGAGGAGAACGGGGCAGAGGATGGGGACAGAGGATGGGGACAGAGGTGGGGATGGAAATGAACGGGTGGAAACGAGGACAGTCACACCGACGACGGTCAATCTAGTCTCGAGCAAGAACCCGCACAGGCCAACGAAAACGAAACAGAGGGAGGGGCAGAGACAGAGCAAGAGCAAGAGCAAGAGGCCGGAGAGGCTGACGGCAGGACAGATAACGGCCGCACCAGCCCCAGCCCCAGCCCCAGCCCCAGCCCTGCCCTCCGAACTCGAGCCTCATCTGCTGCGACCGTCAACTTCTCCTCGCACATGAGCCTCCTAGACCTCGTCGACATCCCCCATGGCGCTCCACGGCACTTACACCACCCGCGTGCAGGCCAACCGGGCGGCGCTGTCCACCTTCCTGGAGCTCGCCAAACCCAAGAACAGCAGGATCGAGGACCATCACCACTACAAGTACAAGGTCAAGCCCGGCGTCCGTGAGGCTTTCGAGGAGCGTGGCTACGGCGAGAGCAACTGCACGACGCCGGCCATAATCGAGTGGGATGCGCCGATGGGAGGGGTGCACCGGTGGGAATTCCTGCGGCTTGTGGTGCAGGTCGTGGAGAGCGAGCTGAAGGGGCCGGTGGATCTCGGGGACATGGTGGTCGAAGGGGCTGAGGCCAACGCCAGCGCCGGTGGAATCATAAGCGGCATGGGAAACACGGAAGTAACGGGCGACAAACCGACGCGACCCGTGCCGAGGACGGGGCCGGTTGCTGCACTGCCGAGTCCCGTGGAGGAGGGCGACGTAGTAGTTAGCGAGGAGGAGGAGTGAAGATTGGTGTGGACAGAGATACTAGATGTATGCTACGAATAGGAGTTGTCTCTGAAGTTCGTGGAATACTGGCAGCTTGAATCAATCTAACCTACATTACATCTGCATTACCAGCAAGGAGGCCCAGTTAGTTGGGTGAAAGGAAGTTGATGAGAGGCGCTATATTGCATATCCTTCGGTGAGATTGATAGGCAATAGATGACTCGGTAGATATATGATGAACACGACACTCTATGGAACTCGTGTCCTTGTCTGCATAAAGAGATATCGCCTATAACGTGAAGGCTAGTTATGCTTCCCCGAGGCTGCTGCTTTCCAATGCACCTCCCCTGACTTATGGGTTCAGGGGTCAAAACAGAGCGGGCTATCGACCGGGCAACGAGAAAATCAGAGTCGGGGACCGTGTCTCCACTGCAGTAACCAGGTCTGTAACCGTAAGCTGCGAGTTGTAGGAAATATGTCATGAATCCTAGAGCTGTACATACAACCGTGGACACTAGGTTAGCCTCCCAAGAAATCGCGGGCATTGGTTCGAAGAAATGGCCTGCAGATGCTGTGCAACGTGCAATGCCGAAGAGCTAAATGTATTTTTCGGGGCAGGCTGCTAGCTTAACCTTTTTGGGCATGCAGAGTTAGCGGGCCCCGCAGCCGTGGAACCAACCGGCCCTTGTCCAAGAACGGCCCAGACGTCATCAAGCAGTGAAACTCCAAACCACATGATTAAACTCGGCAGCTGGGCCAATTCACACTGACAGGTTCCCGGTAAACCCTCTGACGGCCGGGAGAGTAACTGATATTCCAAGCGGTTAGGTTACCAGTCCCTTTTGGAAAAGCAGTAGCCACTATCCTTGCCTGTGACACCCAGACGCGAGAAGTAAGGGCCGAGACCTGTGTCTTAGTACCGGCGGTGATCAGCCGCCCGCCGTCGCCATGGCGAGCACGACCATTGATGAGGACACACCCCTCCTATCCGCGACCGCTTCGCCGTCCACCGAAGTCCCCCGGCCATCGAGGCCTCCGCGAACGGTCACCTTCAATCCCAACCCCGTCACGAAGACGATCGAACCTGAAACTGCTTACCACGGTACGCGGATATCACATCAACACCGCGCGCCAAGTTCCCCTTCCAACTCGTCGGCTATAAGTACGGGTGGACTCGGCGGTGGCCCGCCCATGCTCTCCAATTTGAACAGCAAGCTACGCAGACGCAACAGCCTTGGCGGTTTGCAGGGTGGACATTCGGTCGGCGGCCTACCGCTGGTCGCTGGCCCAACGGGAGCTTCCAAAATTGGCCCACAGCGTAGTACCAAGAACGCCCAGAAGCTCAAACTTCTACCGAACCCAGAGCTGGAAGCCGATAACGTCGACGAAGAGAGCGGCCGTGATGTCTACTCCCAATATACCCGCATCAAAGACCCGACCGCACGCCGCGATGCTGCCCGCCTGGGGAAAGCAGACCGTGACAGGTTACCGCGTGTCACGGCTTACTGCACGGCGAATAAATATCAAATGGACGGATTGCTGCGCTTCTTGAAGGGGAAGGGTAAAGGAAGAGGAGTGAGTCCGAAGCTGATCGACGAGTGCATCTACACGCCGTACAGCTACAGCTCAAAGCAAGCAGCTAGCTCACGGCAAGAAAGACACCTGGCAGTTCACTCCACACCGGAAAGGCGTTATTCAACGGGGAGCCTGGCCGACTTGCCGAGCGAGAGCAGCCATTCCGCCCTCGAGAATGGTCTGCTCGAGAGGCAAGAGATCGCCGATGACATTTTCGTTGACCACATGGCCGACGAGAACGCAGTAGCCAGCGATACCGCCAACTTCGACATCCACGTGCATACGCCCGAGGTTTTTCTCTTCAACTATGGGGTGGTGGTAATATGGGGCATGTCAGCGGCACAAGAGCAGCGCTTCCTCAAAGAAATTGACAAGTTCGAGGTGGAAAAGCTCGCGCCCGAGGACGTGGAGACGGAGAACTTCAATTTCTACTACACCCATGAGTATCAGGCCCGGATATACAACGACTTCATCACCCTCCGTGACAAGAGCAACTATATGACAAAGCTGGCTATCTCCCATGCGCTGGCACAAAGCGTCAAGGTCGGCCTTTCCCTTCCTTTTCTCCCCGCCTCACTCGTTTGGCGATCACAAACCCCCATCTAACACTCGTGCTTGTGACAATAGACCTCCCTATTCGAGGAACTAATCGCCACCACTATCGACACCTGCAAGGACATACCCGCCCAGCTCGCCTTCACGGGCAAGATCGCTCTCTCGCGCTCCGAGATCAACATGCAGATCGGCGAGCTGTTCATCCTCCGCATCAGCATCCACCTCAACGGCTCCGTGCTCGATACCCCCGAGCTCTTCTGGGTCGAGCCCCAGCTCGAGCCCGTCTACCAGGCCGTCCGGAGCTACCTCGAGATGGACCAGCGGGTCGGACTGCTCACGGAACGTCTGGATGTCATTGCGGATTTGTTGGCCGTGTTGAAGGAGCAGCTGAGTCATGGTCATGGGGAGATGTTGGAGTGGATCGGTGAGTTTCTTTTTTTCATCGCTTACGTATTCGTTCCTTGATTTTCCCCTGGGTGTTTCCCCGGCTTCTTCCACAGGCTCTTTCTGAGTTGACATGGTTTGATGTTTGCTTCGGCTGACTTGACTCTTTCTCTCAGTAATCGTCCTCATCGCGGCCGAGATATTGGTGGCGGTGGCTAATATCATTGTCGACTTGTACATCGGTGTCTAAGTCGCGGGCGCAGGACGACGCCAAGGAGTACCCTGTTGTTGGGTTCTGGTGAGGAAACACGGCGCTTTCCCTCCTGCTGGCATCCCTTGTTCTCTGTCACATACTTCTGCCGCTGCCTCCGACTGGGTTTATCCCTTTCGGCTGCTTCGGGCTTGTCGTCTCGGATGGCGCCTTGGTCGGTCCTTGTATCATGGGAAGCTTCATGAGGCGGATTTTAGGCGCGCAGACAAAACAGCACCATCTGTACTTTATTTGTATACTTCCTGAGCACTACATCACCTGTACCTAGTAGAGACCTTATTCGCAGCTGGGGTCGGGACTGTACGGACAAAGATAACCGACACCGAAATGAATGTCTACCTAGCTGTATGAGGCACAGGAAGACACTAATTCATATCTCGCACTTTCATTCACTTCTCTCCTGAGCATACTGTTACACTTGGAACCATAGCATCATCAGGGCGGCAAGAGATGAGACAGCGGGAGAAGAGTAAATTCTGGAAAGGTATACGAATGTTAATCTCAGCGCTTCATGGTGTCTTCACGCAAGGCAACGTGGCAAATATCATGACCAGCGCGACTTTCCTGTACACTACAAGAATCTCCCCAGCCAGCCCCGCCGATGATCCGTTGCAAAGGAGGTTGGTGGTATGGGCTCCCCCCTGCCCTGAGGGCTTTACTTCGAGCTGCCGGCCGAATGGGCAAAGTTTGCGGAGAATCTGGAACCGGCGGATCAGTTCTGCGTCAAAATCCAAGCCTTCCAGATGAGCACAGTACTGTCACGAATTTTCCCAAGGCAGAAGCAATTAGGTACAAGTAGATTAACCCACGCCGTGCGCCTATCCCATCCCACAATCCCGTGAAATCCTGACTGAGCTCAGAAGTACAAATACAGGAAGATAACACTGGCCCTTCCTCAACAAGCAGGCCAAGCTCAACGAAGCTCAGCAGTAAGGGCCGCCTGATTATAAAAAGAGGAGGTTAAAAGCTGTGTAGCATCTCCCACTGACGATGTTGATGTCTGAAATAACCAATACCAATATCCGCCGAAGACCGATCACTCTACTCGTCGGGCTTCTCTCCCTGCGTCTCCTGGTCTGTGTCGTAATTCGTCATCTCCACATCGTCCTGCTGTCGTGATACATTGCGCCCCTCACCACCCGCCGAAGCGCCCCGGGGCCGTTCTGGATCGGTGGAATCGGCCTTGCCGTTCCCCTCATCCGTCTTCGCGCTATCTGACGACGCCTTGGCCTCGGCGTCGTACGCGTCCTTCTCCTTCTCGTACTCGGCCATCTGCCGGTCGGCGAGATTCTGATACTCCTCGCGCTGGCTCTCCGGCAGGTCCTTCCATCGGCGCGAGAGCTCTTCCTCCGTGTTGGTACTGCCTTCCGCGGCCTTGTCTTTCAGCGACGGCCTAGTATCATTGCAGTACAAATCGAACGCGTTCCCGGGCTTCTTGGGCGGACCTTTATGAACGCCGTTGGCCTTGCTATCCCCCAGCTGCGTGCCGGAAAACGCGTCTGAGCTGGGCGACTGGAGCAAGAGGTTCTGGCTTATAAAGGTCGATCCCGCGCCCCCCGTGCTGACAGAGGATGGCGCTTCAAGGTTGGTGAACACCGAGGGCTTCCGATGTCCACGCTTAATACGCAGCGGCTTCTCCTTAGGCTGTGATGGCGGATTGACGGTGTCAATGATCGTTGATCCGCGCGGAAGGGGAAGGGCGCTGTTGGCGGACGACCGCCGCCGGAAAGAGTTGTCCGGCTGGGAACTTACTGTCGGCGGTGGGCTCGGGCTGCCGTCTGAATCCTCCACATTCGTGCTTGTCCGCTTGGCGAGCTGCTCCAGCAGGAAGGCTCGCTCTAACCGCATCTTCTCAACCTGGCGTTTGAGGCGCGCGAGCCGCAGTCGTGCGGCATCGTTGGCTTCTTCAACTTCGCTTGTCCGCTGCTTAAGCTGGATGCATTTTCGGCGATACGCTTCCTCGACCGAAGGAGGGAGCGAAGGAGGGGCGCTGGCTGGATACAGGGAAGAGCTAGTGTCAGTAAGATCATCCATTGTGGGCATAATGAGAAACAGTTGAAATTGAAGAGGATCGGGGATGCTTTGTTGGTGCAAGTAGCAAGGACGCTCGGCGTTAACGTACAAGGTGCCATCTCGACGAAGTGACTTCTGGTTTTCTCTGCGACGCTCGCAGAAACGAGAATCTGGTTAGAATTAGGAACAACGCGTCGAATGTTGATGCGCAAGGTGTGTTGATGAATGTCGTGGCTAGGCAAGCGCAATGAAACTGGCTGAGTTCGCTTTTGGATTGGATTAGTAGAGGTGCTTGATGGAGGAATGATGAGAGGGTGGGCAGAGACGCGGCGCAACAAGGCTGAGGCGCACGCTGACCCACGTCCAAGACGGAAACAGGGGTCCATTAGCGGCTCCTCCCATTGGGCCCGGCGGCTGCGGGGCTCAAGGCTGCCATGTCTGGACTTCGATTGGCTTCCCAACTTTTTTATGGGTGTGCCCCCAAAGTGGGCAATTGTGGAAAGCTCGACTTGTCGCCGGTTGACTTGGGAGCAGACTACACCTCGACAAAGCGCACGAGAACCTCTGCAAAGCACTGCAGCGACAATGTCGCTCAATATACCCAGCGCGCCGAACGCCGGCTTGTTTAAGCAGGGCTATAATAGGTGAGTCGTACATGCATCTTATACACACCTCCTTCGTTATTACCCCGCCATGAACGGCGCTGCCTGCTTCGACAGCAAACCGCAGCAAAGCGAAGTGCTGACCAGCTCTCTTTGACCCCAACCATAGTTACGATGCTGAAGATGGAGCTGTCCTACGCAACATCGATGCCTGCCGGGCCATCTCCTCGACAGTGCAGACGTCGCTGGGCCCGTATGGCCGTAACAAGATCGTCATCAACCACCTGCAGAAGATGATCCTCACGTCCGACGCCGCCACCATCCTGCGCGAGCTCGATGTTGTCCACCCCGCTGCAAAGCTACTTGTCATGGCCAGCCAACAGCAAGAGTCAGAGATGGGCGACGCGACGAACCTGGTCATCGTCCTTGCCGGGGAGCTGCTCAAGAAGGCGGAGGATCTATTACGTATGGGGTTGAAGACGTCCGACATCGTTACCGGCTACGAGCGCGCGCAGAAGATTGCCCTCGATACGCTCGAGGAGCTGGAGATTGACAAGGTGGAGGACTTGCGGTCACAAGAGGAGCTAAGCAAGGCCGTCCGGACTGTCATCGCCAGCAAGCAGAACGGCAACGAGGAATTCCTGGCCAATCTGGTGTCTGAGGCCGTGTTGTCTGTGCTGCCAAAGAACCCCGCCAACTTCAACGTCGACAACATCCGCGTCGTGAAGATCATGGGCGGCAGTCTAGACCAGAGCCGCGTCGTGAAGGGCATGGTGTTCCCCAAGGAGCCGAATGGATCAGTTAAGAAGGCCAGAAAGGCCAAGGTCGGCGTCTTTACTTGCCCCATTGACATCAGCCAGACCGAGACCAAGGGCACCGTGTTATTACACAACGCCAACGAGATGTTGAATTTCAGCAAGGGCGAGGAGGAACGGCTCGAAGCGGCCATCAAGGAGCTGCACGACGTCGGCCTACGTGTCGTCGTGGCGGGCTCCACCGTCGGTGAGCTGGCCATGCACTTCCTGGACCGCTACGGCATCCTGGTCATCAAGATCCTCAGCAAATTTGAGCTGCGAAGAGTGTGCAGAGTCGTGGGCGCCACCCCTCTGGCCCGCCTCGGCGCGCCCATGCCGGATGAGATGGGCAACATCGACGTGGTCGAGACACAGGAGATTGGCGGCGACCGGGTGACCGTTTTCAGACAGGAGGACGAGGCGACAAGGACAGCGACCCTGGTGCTTCGCGGCGCCACGCAGAACCACCTGGACGATGTTGAACGGGCTGTCGATGATGGTGTCAACGTCATCAAGGCTATCACCAAGGACGCTCGCCTTGTCCCCGGTGCTGGCGCAACAGAAATCGAGCTCGTCGAGAGGATACAGGCGGTTGGCGACAAGACGCAGGGGCTGGCACAGTACTCGATCAAGAAGTATGGCGAGGCCTTTGAGGTGGTGCCACGAACTCTGGCTGAGAGCGCTGGCTTGGATGCCACCGAGGTTCTCAGCCGGCTATATGCTGCGCACCAGAAAGAGAGCGGCTGGTCCACCGGCGTTGATATCGAGGTGCGTGATTACGACTCTATCCGTCTATCAGTCCAAACTTCTTTTGCTAACTACCCGCCCAGAACCACGATGATACTGGCACACTCGATGCCGAGGAAGAGGGCATCCTGGATTTGCTTGTGACCAAGCAGTGGGCTATCAAGCTCGCGACGGAGGCTGCCAGGACGATCCTCTCTGTCGACCAAATCATCGTTGCCCGGCAAGCCGGCGGGCCGAAGCCCCCTGGACCCAACCCGGTAAGTTCGCTCGCCGCTGATTCCCGTGTTGAGTGCTGCTAACCGAGTCCTCTTTCGCAGAACTGGGATGAGGACTGAAATTCAACCACTTGACTCGGGGGTGTATGCTGGTCGCGCGGAAATGTCGGAAAACGGTTCGCATATGTTTGGGCTTAGACCGAGGGACCATAATGTCAATCGTAGTGTCCAAAATGACATTATTTGGACCCGGATCTGCTACATATAAATTGACGCAGACAGGTAACCCCCCCCGGTCCTATATTACATATGCCAACCGTCAAGATTGTTTGCTTCGAGACTGCTTTTGCTGCACGCTACCTACTCTCCGAGCTCCGGGGTGAATCTGGACAACCATCTAGTGGTGGAGCTCTTGCCGCCCAGCGTCCCGGGTGAGTCCATCCTTTGCTTCTACGGTACAGTGCATCCACCAAGGCAGTCAGCCATCCTAGGACCACTCGGCCGTTGCGTTCGGTTCTCTTCAGCAGGCCAGGCTTACCTCTATTGCCGACCTAGGGATGTACATACATGAAAATGTGGTGTATGTCACGTTTTAATCGTAATTATTATCTGCTCGCTTCTACATCCGGCTGTTGAGTTAGTTTTAGTTTCATGGCCCAGATTTGGTGCGTAACATCCTGTATCGATCGCTGTCCTCCTCAGGTATCTGGGAGGCTCGTCTCTGGGCTGCCTGATTGCGGGCTATGCCACTTTAAAAAGCGTGTGTATCCCGCCGGTGCTGTGGCCTTGCTCTCTCGCATGAGCTCATGAACTGACGGCCTAGTCTCGTCGACTTCGGCTTTGCCTGTCCGAGTATGTCACCTTGCGTTTTGATATCTCCGAGCTCCCAGGGATGGAGAGCAGGTCGAAGCAGAGGCGTCCGGCAACAACACCCACGGGAGCCAGACTAGCCACTTAGCGATTCTCAACCCGTGCGGGTAGTCCATACTCCATATGCTGCATATCACACGGTCCAACGCACAGACAGTCGACGACTCTCCCATGGCACCCTCTCAAGATGAGAGCCACATATATTACACATAGATTGGAGATTGGACGTTGCCATGGCACGCTAAACGCTGCGCTTGGACGGATTCGGACACCGTCACTATGGCTGTCTATGTATGCACGTTACAACGGGTGAAAGACTAGGCCATACTGTGCAGACTTATAGCTCGGGCCCATTGTCCCGTTTCCCATTGTCCTCATGGAAGAGGTCACATCAACGGCGGGCATTCCAGAATCGGCCTACACCGCGGCATGCAAGAAGGCTCGGTTTTGCTTTCCTGTGGAAATATTCGTTTGCCACAGTCGAGATCCCTCCCGCCGCGAGGGAGAGGTCGGAAGACGAGTGCCCCGGAAAGCAAGCTAGTGTAAGCCAATCCCGCAGGGAACGTTGACCACGAGGACTGAACAGATCGACGTGAATCCTGGGTTGGAGGGTCCTCAGGAGGTTCCTAGGGTTGCTAATATTCCAGACTCACAGTACCCAGCCACGGTTCTTCGATATCGTGATCGATATGCAGATCTCATTGATCATCGCTCGTTTTGAAATTGGAACCAGAGTTCCATTGAGCCGAGATGGTCTATGAGCAAACACAGCTACATTCACTCGATTGGGTGGTCAAGAGCTCGATCTGAACTCAACTGGCGTTCTTCAATGATGAGAAATCCTCACAACTTGTTATTAGTGTTGTCTGATGGACTTGATGAGGTTGGCCCGACAGATGAGTCCCCTGTCGTGGAAGTTGAAACGGAAGTCCCGTTGGTTGCGGGAATCCTGTGCTGGGATTCTACCTGGCGTGTGCACGGACCAGAGGCCATGTACAACGGTGCCTTACCTAGCAGCGTTGCAATGGCCTTCCTTTGCTGTAGCGCTGTTGCTGCACTGCAACTTGAAATCCCCGCCGTGGTGCCATTTTGCTCTTCTTATTGCATCCCTCTATTGCATCCTGTTGGTGGCTGGACCGCTCCGGCCTCAACACCCGGCAGTCGAACTTCGCTTGGTAAATTGAGAATTGGAAGGGGATATTACTGTGTAGGGGCGGTGAGCTCTTAGGTTTGTTGCAGTTGAAGAACAGATGTAAACCATTGATGCCTAGATCGAGGTTTTACACACAGTAAGGCGTCATGAGACTTTGAATGGAGTCGTAGAAAGATCGTCAACACAGCAGCTGATTCAACGCTGATCTCCAAGGTAGGTGGAGTCTCTAGCTTCCATGAGCCTGTGCGGTCTCCTAAGGTTGATATGAAGTAAATGGTGCCGTAATGAGTCAACAACCAATTTGTGTGCATGTACAAGTACGATGTGATGGTTGGACTCGCAATGCCGGTTGGTTAATGTCAGTTAAGTAGTATCTGTAGGACTGTCGCCCCGCGACCTCCGGTCGGTACCGGGGCCGGGTTCAACGTTACGGCACACTAGTGTCTGGGAAGTTTGTCTGCTTCAGTACATAGAAGTATGTACTTCCAGAAGGCTGAAACAAGTAGGACCTGTGGCTCCTAAGCCCGTGGATGACCTCGTCAAAGTTTGAAACATGGTGAATCTTGCTCGAAAGAGGTCGCTGCTGAACTCCCACTGCAGCTTGCTGTCCTCTCGCCTAACTGCCTATCTTACCTTGCCTAGGTTCCTACCTACCATGGAGCTTGCTGCTTGGTGCTGAGCCTGAGATCGAGACGTGATTGAACTCTCGGCTCCCCGCCATTTTACGATTCCGTATTCCCAGGGATTCATCACATCATGATCAAGTTTCACGATGTAAGCTGTGGCCCCCACGGGAAGAAAAAAGCAACACGGAAAGAAAAGAGCAACTCCCCGGGGCCCGGTCTCGCACCGTTGGGATGGTGCCGTGGGTGTCTCGGACGGCCGACCGAGGGCGTCATCTAGGTACTATGTACAGGTTGGCAAAAAAGCTCTAATAAGAACACAACGCCAGCTATAGCGTGACCGGCTTCGAGGTTGATATTTAGAGAAGTCAGGTCTCTGTCGTTGACATCCGCCAAATATACGGTCGGTTGTAGGCTTGAGCAGCCCAACTTGCGCCCGCTCTTCCCTTACGTTAGATGGGGTGGCACAAAAGAGAAAGGGGCGATTCCGATTCGGCTCCCAAACCTAGGTTCCCATCGTGAAGAACGATCTATGTGGGGATCGATCGAGTGGACTGCCAAGCCCGTTCGGCGGCTTTGGCCATATCTTCCGGCTCCGACTCCCACCGCAGCGGTGCCGTCGCAGGGATGGACTGGATCTTTCGCTTTGCCTCTGCGTGGCTCGACATCGTCGAGCGCGTCTGCCCTCCACTCATGCACGACTGCCATGGCTTTTGGGAAGAGGAGTGGTTCTAGGCTTCTAGCGTCTTTCCAGGACTCCAAGCTCGCAAACTTGACCAGGTTGAAGATGGCTTGTGGATTCTTTGGGTCCAGCTATTCGCGTGCCCGCATCACAGGCTACATAGCAGGCCCCACCTTTTAAGAATCTACTTGGCCAGAATAGGAGGATCTATTGATGTTTGTGCACTGACGGTGCCACGGCTCAGCTTCTCCGATGCACAAGGGGCCCGCATCTTCAGCTGCAGAGAAGCAGGTCGGCCTGGCAAGTGATATGCCGAAAGCCGTCCCTCACAACTCGCTGATACGTACATGGACGTGTAGTAGAATTGGAATTTGTATACGATAAGGTACATACCAAGATAGGACGGTGTTGGATGAGTACAGGCTGCCCTAGAGTCAGATGTGATATGTAAGGGAAGACTGTAACTTTACGGTAAGGTATTGCTGAGTGGAGGGTCACTAGCCTGCGCCCGTACACGTGTAAGTGCCTCATGATACAACAGTAAAAGATTGTCATCTACATCAGTAGACTACGGTTTACATTACTTCGTTGGTCTCGCTGCAGAACCTGCAACCTATCATACAAAGCTGAGAAAGTCCGAACTTGAACTGGAGAGATCGTCGTGATATTTTCCGATATCGAGGTTTGCAAGCTAACATCTATGCACCCCGACTTGAGCGCTGCCTGATGAGTGGCTAACGGTTAACGGAGCGAGGTGACGCATTGACTCAAAGTCACGGCCACGTGGAAGAGCACTTCCAGAACGCTGCTAGTGGCAGATTTTCTCGGCCTCTTCCGTCGCCAGCTGAGAACTTGTGAATGTGATATATATCACCATGATCACCACTGTCGAAAGCCGTCGTTCGCAAGGGCGCGTACTGCCCAGGAATTTAAACTGAGCAACGTGGAAATTATCCTGAAGACCTTCGATTCCATTCTTCGCATCGCACGTGGACTGGCTACCCTCTGCACTAGCGTGGCGTAGGCAAACGGATCGCCCTGATAGCGGCCCCTTAACCGCCAGCCAGGAAAGGAATGGAAACGGGGCAAGCTAGACCAAGTTCTCGGTCGATTCGTCAAGGTAGATGCCCATTTGTTCCCCAATCTCTCGGTTGTATTATGGGCACGAAAAATTCGCTGTCTGTCAACCATCCGTCTTTGACCCAGAATGTGATGATTGAGACCCCTGCAATTCTGGTCAAATTTAATCCAGGCATTGGCCAATGCCCTTGAACCCGGTCCATGACTGAAGTCGTCGGTGGAGTGGTGAAAGTGGATCGACCTCCAGGGAACCCCACCGCAGAAAGCATGAACGAGACAGCAGGGACATGCCTCACCCCTACCACTGAATCCCCTATTCAACTCCCACAAGCCCACTTGACCCAAGGGGTTGGTTGTCACTCGCTTCATTCTCAGGGCCTCCCGTCCCTACCTTACTCTCCTTCCACCTTATTGCGTGATGCAGCAGAATGCAAGACCAACGTTGTCTGGGATAATCACGATTCATAATTCTGTATTGCACATTTAGCCTACTTTGACTTCTGGACGACCCTGTCGACCCATGAGCTCGGAACCCTGTAGCGAGCCTTGTACATACCTTGACCAGGAGAACTCTCTAGCACCCGCAAAAGAGGTGTACCAGCGCGACAACCAAAAGCTGCGGAGGACGTGGCAAACACCCACGCCACACCGAATAGCATCGTTTGGCAACTGCCGACGTGACTCCTCGCCCACTCTCTTCTACTGACAGCAAGCCGAGAGCTTTCTGGAACGAATTGCGCTTCCGCCTCGCTGAGCCGCACGGGATCGAGTGGCCGAAGGTACAAGTACCATCGGTCGTGACGGAAAAGAAGAAGGGGTGCAAGTAACCGGTTGTTCCTCGCCCCCGAGAACATCGCATTTTCGAAAGCATAACCAGCAAAAAACCCGCCGATCCAGGCTCTCCGCAGTACACTATCCGGACTTATTCGTGGGAAGGGAGAAGATTCTGGAGGTTTGGCCTCAGACGCCCGGTTTTCTGCTTGAAATCAGCGCAGCCATGACCCGCGTCGCATCCTGGGATTTCTGGCTGCATTGTTGATACGACGCCTGAAACACCCACCCTCTAGGTGTGGCCCAAGGACAGTGCGGCACCCTCCGTCCGGGACGGGAGTAGCGATAGGTACTTGGATGGTCTGTGACAATTCCGAGCCAACGCGCACAGGTTCTCCGAGAAGATCAGGAGGACGGAATACATTGCGGCACCGAGGACTACGGTCTCGCCGCCATAGACGCGCTCAGGCTCACCTCGCTCTCGCAAAGACCGGACGAATCGCCGACCGAAGCCTAGGCCGCCGCAGGCGCATACCTACATATCCCCTCCATGTTCAGCAGATCGCATCGATCTCGCCACAACGGGACTCGGACTTTCACCACGCAGCAAGAGAGGAAGACGCGTGACGCTGATCGGTCGTTACTGGCCGAACTTGGACTCGTCCGCGCAGATTCACCCACGGCGCGGTTTAGTCGCCACAGCGCCACGAGACAAGATACACACAGGCCGACATACGACTACGCTACCAGCATTGCTTCTGCAAGAACGTACGGAGCACCCTCTTACCCGGAGAAGAGTAGGTTCCTTGTTTTCTGCACCGTTGGTTGCGTCCCCGTTGGCTACGCTCATTCGACTGCGCCGTATCGCCGCCGCTCGTTGCGCATACTTCACGCCGTCAGGGGGGCGAGGAACCGGCACCGCGAAGTTGTATCGTTTATACGCCCAAGGCAGGCGGCTAACCCGTGCCGGACACACTAGGTCTCTCTATCGCCTCGGGCACTCTGCGAGCACCATCACATCAATCTTCACCCTCAGTCAGCTCCTTCGAATCGCATAACGGCAGCACGAGGACCACGTCGACAGCGCCGAGCACGATGAATTCGGACAGGAGCCGGTCGCGCCGAGAGCGCACATTTGTGGGGAGCGAGTGCGCCGTCTGCGAAGAACCGCTCGAGCACACGCTGCGTGGCGAGCGGATACTGCAGTTCTCATGCGCACACGTTTCACATGAGGCATGTTTTTATGAGTTCATCCGCGAATTCGAGTCGCAGTATTGCCCCACATGCAACTCGCCACTACACCTCGATACAAGTCGCGGGGGGAACATTTTGGATATCGGTAAGAACGCTGAGGCCCGACTGTGTTACAGCTGTTAGAGAAGACCGCACGCTAATGAGCGGACTGGCAGAGAAAATAAGCAACATGGTACGGGCAGTATCTGTAAACGACTCGCGGTCACAGGCTACGCCTACCCCAACGCCGCACTGGGAAGATCATTCGGGGAGGCCACATAGCCGAGGCTCGAGTGCCCGGCCAGGCGTCCCGGGGTCCGGCAGTCTGCGGGATGGGACGCCCAGGAGTGGTCTGCGGGATAGCCGCGACAGCCGGGAACGCCCGCCGTCCGAGCCTCGGTACAACGGCCGGGGACATTCGCGGAACGACAGCGAGGCGACGGGTGTGGCCTCTTCGGGAGGCTACCCCGAGACCACACAGAGCGGGCCACCGCGGCGGCACGACTACGACGTGCAGGCCATGGAGACGTCGCTGGCAAGTCCCCGAGCTGTTACGCGGAACCCTATCCCGGCACCAACCGTCACTGTCAGATCTGAATTCCCGACGATCAGCAGATCGCGACAACAGCAGACTCTGACCTGCCTGGTGACTGTTGAGGTTCCGGATAGCAAGTGGCGGCCAGACCCCGAGGACCTCCAGGCTGCCGCGCCACCCGTGGTGCCGTCGAGGACGGAAGAGGCTTTCGCGCGGCCGTCGTCTCCTGCCCGGAGTGCCCCTCGCTTCGATCCTTACGAGCCACCGGAGGTACTGGCCGAGGTTACGGAGAATTTACGCAACCGCGTGGACAACTGGCATGGATTGGATTTCGCCCGCTTTGGAAAACTGCGGCTCTACGGGACACTCCGTGTGGGCAAGGATAAGGTTTCGTGGCAGGAGTTGGAGTGCTTCCTCTTCGCCGAGATGCTCATTTGCGTCAAGGAGAAGAAGGCAGCCGCCCAGCCGCCGCAGGGACAGTGGGGAGATGCCGCTCCACGCAAAACAGGCCGTTGCACGCTTAAGGGGTCGATCCTCATCAAGAAGCATCTCAACGAGGTTTCGGAAACCGGCACTATTGACGAGAATATTCTGACCTTAAACCTGACGGTTGCGGAGCTGCCGCAGTTCCATCTGCGGTTCGATAACCGCAACCAACTCAAACTCTGGCAGCAGGCGCTTCTGGACCTCAATGCGCTTGAGACATCACCAGTACGCAGTCCCGACTACGACCGAGGCGAATTCTCCGAGGCGGATGAGGACGACTGGCAGCGGACGCCTAGTTCTGGCCGGCCACAACGCGTGTCGTCGGTGGCTTCGTCATGGGGCGGCGCGAAGTCGGCAACGACCGCCCCGACCGAATACACAAGCTTCGCGCGGAGCCCGTTGCTGCCATCCATTCACGTGCCCGTCGACGTGGTGGTCGTCGTCCCCATCTCCGCATCGATGCAGGGCGTCAAGATCAACCTAGTTCGGGATGCTCTCCGGTTCATGGTGCAAGCACTCGGCGATCGCGACCGCATGGGCTTGGTGACCTTCGGGTCCTCTGGTGGCGGCGTTCCAATTGTTGGAATGACTACCAAAGCTTGGCATGGCTGGGGCAATGTCCTGAGCTCGATCAAGCCGGTGGGGCAAAAGAGCCATCGCGCAGACGTTGTTGAGGGCGCCAATGTAGCCATGGATCTGCTCATGGGGCGCAAGTACAACAACCCAATCGCTACGATCATGCTCATCAGCGATGCCTCGACATCCGATGCCGACAGCGTCGACTTTGTAGTGTCACGAGCAGAAGCTGCCAAGTATGTTACCACCCCCTTTTTATTTATCTCGTCAGAGAACCGTCAGAGCCTAACCTATTTCTTCCAGAGTTACTATACACTCCTTTGGTCTGGGTATGACCCACAAGCCGGATACCATGATCGAGCTCTCGACAAGGACAAAGGCGTCGTACACATATGTCAAAGACTGGATGATGCTCCGAGAATGCCTGGCTGGGTGTCTGGGCTCCATGCAGACGCTCTCGCATCAGAACGTCAAACTAAAGCTCAAGCTCCCCGAGGGCTCGCCAGCCAAGTTCCACAAGATCAGTGGTGCGCTCCAGATCACGAAACGTGCGACAGGCCGTGACGCAGAAGCATCTCTTGGCGACCTCCGCTTCGGCGACAAGCGAGACGTTCTGGTGCAGCTTGTCATCATACCGGACAACAGCTCCCAGGAGCAGCTGCCACAGGACGCCTGGGACAACATCGTCTCGGGACTGGAGGCTCTGGGCGGTCCGGTGGACCAGGACGAGCAGAGAACCGTTTCGGTGGAAGAGGTGCCCCTGATCCAAGCCGAGTTGAGCTGGGGTGACATCCTACGAGACGGCACACTGCAGCACACGCGGCCGAGCCTGCTCGCCATCACGATGCTGCCAGCATCATCCAACTCGAAAAAACCGTGGGGCAATTCTCCCCCTATCCCTCCCCACCCCCACATCGTGCAACGGCGGATGGAGCTGCTCACGTCCGACATGTTGACCCGCGCGTTGACGCTGGTCAGCAGAGGGCAGCACGACCGGGCGCACACGCTCTTGAATGAAACGAGGTCCATCCTGAAAGGCCTCGGTAAGGGCGGTCTCCCACCGGTCCCACCGGTCGCTCCTGGAAAGTCGCAGCCGTCGACGCCGCACCCAGCCACCGACGGGTCGCCAATCATGGCCGGCACGCCGGACAGAAAGAACTCGCCGTCCCCGACCGCCGGACCAAACACGACATCAGCGCCTGGCTACCCGCCACCGTTGATCCCGCGCAGCCGGTCTAACGACGGGCTCGGCCTCGGCGGCATGGGCACAGCGTCTGGGATCGACGCCAACACTGTCGCAGCGCTCGACGCCGAGCTCGAGTCGAGCCTGGAGTGGATCAATCATCCGGCTGTATTCGGTCGCGACAGCCGCAAAGCCGTGTTGCAGGCCATCAATGTCATCAGCTCGCAGCGTGCTTTCACATTCCGCACGCCCATTGAGAGCCTGTGGGCCGGCCGGATCAGCGGCGTACGGCGGCTGACGGAGAAAAGCCGGGAGTTCCAAGAGGGGGGCGGCGAGGGCGGGATTACGGAGGAGACGTAGGAGCGGCATCCGTCCCCGCGGCCCACGCATGCAAGGCCATGGGGTGTTGACATTCTCATTCTATATAGCTTCCCTTTACGTTGCGGCACGGCGGTATGCGCCACACTTGCGCAGTTGCTTTTGGGTTAAGGCTCGCGTTTGAAGATACCATTTTACCATTCTACTTCTGCCTTTTCACACATAGATCTCTTCTTTCTTCACCAACCAGCCCTCTTCCATGTTGCCCTATCATCTATTTTTTGACGCCCCTTTCAATTCGGTTACAATTCTGTTCGCGTTGCTTCTTTGGAGGGTACTCTTATCTGGACACTTTGCGTCGCCTTTATATATAGGTGGTGGGTGGTAGTCGTCCCTAGGGTTTCGGGCAGGCTGATTCGGACGGTGTTGGATGGGATGTCAAATCCGGCGTCGAGAATCCGGGAGGCAGGACTGGGAAATGAGAGGATCCGAAAGGGGTGGTTTTTGAGCGTACAAAAAGATGAGATCTCTCATGTTTTATGGCTGTGTATATGGAACATGATATGCTCGTGTACGGGTATTGTCCTTTGTGCGGGCGTTCTGCTTCAAGGATGTATGTTTTCCGACGCTACATGAAGCGGCAATACTATATGGTGTGCAATACCGCCCTATACAATTCGCGGGGTTGAGTGAACGCCCGAGTTGGACGAGAGGGAGGATGGGAATGGAAATCTATATGCGCTCTCCCTACGCCTCTCGTCTTCTACGTAGCCTACCTCTCGTCGGTAGACAGATTCAGAGCCTTTGGCGATCAGGTGGACTTTTCGACGGTGTGTTTGTTGATCGGCCGGACTAGATCTCTTACAGCGCGCTAGTATTGTGTACACTAGCAAGAAGGCTTCACAGACTTTTGTGGAGGAGATACAGATTGATGTTCTGGAGGACAAGAGCCCATCTGGCTTGAAGTGTCTTCCTCTTGCAGTATAAACCTCGGCTACCTACCTCAGCGGTTTGCAACATGCCCTCGAACAATCCTCACCGGATCGGGTCCAGGATGATTGGCGGGCCGAGCCGCAGAAGCCAACCGGATAGGCGCGTAACTTGGGGATCTGCGGACAGGGAAACCTGGAAAGACGTGAGCTGGACCAGAGCAAAAATATAATATAGTACTACGGCCTACTTACACTTATTAGTACCTGACTTACACAAAATTCGCCGCATAGTCTTACCGTCCAGACATGGATCACCTTGATGGGCGGAAATGCGTCTAGGCAGTGGACGGGAACGAACTGCCCACCTCGGGACAAGGATATCGGCGCGAACAAGCGATTGGACCCCAGAGCCCACTCTTCCCATTTTTATCAGATGATATTGATAATCTACAGCCAATCATAGCGCATCTCCCACCCAAGATCACGCAGGGCGCAACAGCCTGGTGACCTGGCAGCCCCGCCTGCCTGCCACCTCAGACGTTTCTCGGATGGGACTCGGACTTTGGGTAACGCGATGAGGGGCGTATGTTCAAGTTGGGCAGGTATGTTATGGGCAACGGTAAATGCCTCGGTTGCTCCTTCTTTCTCTGTCGATTTTGCCCGGATTTGCTCCGTCGAGAGCAGAACGCGCCGAATGAGACGGCCAGTCAGCTGGGCGAGTTTCTGAAACCCGCATTCGATGTGCGCGCGTGGGGGAGCCAGCTGAGGTTACCTAAGGGGCGCAGGTCTGAGTCAAGCAGTCGGCTGCCTACCTAGCTTTCCAGTTTACACTAGGTAGTTCACGGCCGATCTTACCGATCTACATCTTACTTACTACGCCTAATGGCACACTCATCTCTCCCCATCGGAACTTCGACCATGGTTTATCTGGTTTCCAAATCCTCTCCTTCTCAGCAGCTTTATTCTCCACCACGGACCGCCCCAACCCCGGCCGCGGATTGATGGGGGGCTTTACGGACTGTCAGTCAACAAGGCCTTCCAGGCTGTCAGGAGCGCCGTTTACGGTGACGGCAGCCACGAATGCCGGGCCGAACAGGAGGAATAGCACTTCATCCCTGAGACGCCTGAACGATGATTTCAACCAGCGACGAAGACGCGCGGACCCTCCTCATACCGGGGCAATGCGACATACGTGAATACGGCGCAGTGCCGACGGCTGTTCCGGACAGCCCACGCAGCAGTAGCGCTGGCGACACGGCCTCGGATGTCCAAGACGGCGTGAGACGCATCGAAGCCGTTTCGCGGACATGGTCGAAATGGGGGCTGGTGATTGCCTACATGAGGTTGGTGGGCTCGCATCATGAAGACAATAGACTACTCACAGGAGCCACTAACCACCTATGCTTATTTAAGCATCTTCCTCATGGCCTTCACCATCTCGCTGGAAGGACAGGTTACGTACTCCCTGGCCGCGTTTGCCGTCAGCTCCTTCAATAACCACTCCCTGCTATCAACCGTCTATGTCGTTCAAGGGGTTGTGAATGGTATGAACCCGAACTCTTATGAGCGGCATATTTCCCACTGACCCGAGCGATCTAGCCGTCATCAAGCCGCCCATGGCGAAGATTGCAGATGTCTTCGGCCGACTGGAAGCCTTCTGCTTCTCTATCTTCCTCTGCGTCCTGGGCTACGTCCAGATGGCCGCCTCCCAAAACCTCGAGACATACGCGTCGGCTCAGATCTTCTACTCGGCCGGGTCGACAGGCCTGCAGATTCTGCAGCAGGTATTCATCGCCGACACCAGCGACTTCCTCAACCGTGCGCTCTTCTCCAGCCTGCCCGACAGCCCCTTTCTCGTGACTGTCTGGATCGGGCCCGCCATTGCTGCGGCCATCCTTGCCAACACGTCCTGGAGGGTTGGCTACGCGATTTGGGCCCTTATCCTCCCGCTCGCGTTCCTGCCGTTAGCCATGAGCCTGTTTCTAAACGGCCGGAAAGTTGAAAAGATGGGCCTGCTCGTTCAGAAGCGGCATGAGGGCTCCGCCACAACCGGCACATCCTCGCGCGCAGCAGCAGCAAAACGGCTGTTCCACGACCTTGACATAGGTGGTACCCTCCTCCTCTCTGGCGGGCTCTCCTTGATCCTCATTCCCCTGACGCTCGTCTCGCGTTCATCCTCGGGATGGCACGATCCGAAGCTCCTTGCCATGATCCTCACAGGCCTGGTTCTTCTCGTCCTTTTCCCCCTGTGGGAATCCCGTTCGCACCTAGCCCCCCACCCTCTCCTCCCGCTCCCGCTCCTAAAGTCCCGCACGTTTTGTGCCGGCTGTGCTCTCGGCTTCTTTTACTTTGGCGTCTTCTACATCGCCGTCCAGCCCTACTTCTACTCGTACCTCCTCGTCGCCCTCAACCTGCCCGTCTCGCGGGCGGGGCCCATCACGCAGACCTTCTCGTTCGCTTCCACCATCGCGGCCCTGCTCGCCTCCCTCATCATCCGTCGCCTTTCCGTCCCGAGGCCGCGACCCTTCATCCAAGCCGGCGCGGTCCTCTACACCGTCGCCATCGTCGTCCTCCTGTACACGCGCACGCGCACCGCTTCGATCGTGTCCCTTTTTGCAGCGCAGACGGCGCTCGGCGCTGGGGCCGGGCTGATGCACGTCGCCACGCAGCTGGTCGTGCAGGCCGCCGCTAGCAGCTACGATCAGCACCATGGCCACGGCCACCCGCAACAATACGTCGGGGTTGCGACTGCTTCTTTTCTGACGCTCGTCCAGGTCGGCGCTGCCGTGGGCTCGGCTGTGTCTGGTGCCGTTTGGGGCAGGCTGGTCTCGGCCAAACTGACCGAGTATCTCCCGGAGCACGTCAAGGGCGAGGCGAAGAAGATTTATGCGAGCGTGGTGGTGGCGTGTAGCTATCCCTGGGGCAGTCCCGAGCGAGAGGCGATTGCGCGGTCGTATCAGGAGACGATAACGGTGTTGCTGTGGATTGCGCTGGTGGCGTGCGGACCCGTGCTCGGAATGGCGGCATTGGTGGAGGATTATAGACTCGATGAAACAGGGAGAAGGAACAACAGCAGGGTGGAATTCGGGGAGAATGAGGCGAGACGGTTCAGGGGTACGTGGTGGTCGAAACGGTGGAGCCAGCCTAAGGGCAGGACTGCATCCTTCTCTGTTTCGAGCGTGCACAGCTAGATTGGTTCGGCATTTGGATATCCAAAGTTCGACATAGAGCTTCTCTGGATGATACCCTGGGTTCGCGTAATTGCATCAATATACAACATTTACTTTTCAAATAACCGGCACAAGCGCAGTGACGTCCCGGTGTAGGACGCTCACAGATCCGTTGGCGACATCTTCCCGGCACCCATTCACGGTTCTAACCGCTTCGTCTCGATATGGAACCCAGCCTGGTTCAACCGTTCAATGAACGGCTGCCCAAGACAAGCAGGGGTATACACGCCTCCAGGTAGACCAACATCCTCCTGAAGGAGCGTAGCAGCAGCCTCAGCAAGGAAAATGCCCGTCACTGTAATCTCTGTCAGCTAGTTATCCCATACAACCAACTCATCATCAACTTCCCCAGGCTACGAGGAAAGAAAAACGGACTCACGGTAATAAGTACTGCCCCTGAACCAAGCGCGACAAAACGCCCCTTCCCGGCCAGCACCATCGACATCCGCATGCGCAACGCCGCGGTACTCGATCTCATCCCCCTTGGCAACCTCCGCCTCCGGGCCCTCCCCGGGCTGCGTCACCATGCGCGCGACAATCCTCCTCAGAAACGGCGTCGCCAGCACCAGCCGGAACACGATCAGCCCAAAATGCAGCGCCATCCCCGTCAGCCAGTTCCGCGGCCGCATGTACTCCCGGAACGAGAAGTGCGGGCCGTAGAACTGCTCCCTGCGCGGGGAGGGAAGCGTCGAGAGCAGGCCCCAGGTACGCTGCACCGTCGCCGCGTCAGTGGCTGCCGCGATAGAGGTGGTCAGCAGGCCCAGGGAGGGCACGGTCACCAGGCCCGTGAGGCGGCTGAGGAGAGAGGGTTGCGGGGTGGTGTTGGTGGCTGGCCGCGGGACGGGAGAGAGCGCAAACGGCGTGTAAGCGGCGCGCAGGTCGGACACGCTGAAGTTGTCGAGCAGGGTAAATGCTGTTGAGAGAGTGCCGCCTGAAGGGGCGGATCTGTCATACGTGGGGTGTGTTTAGTTTTTCAGTCTATGGGATGAGGAGGGGAGAGGGGTTTGGGACGCCGGATCATACTTGAGGTGGTGAATGGACACGGTCACGTCCCGCGTGGTGGAGGAGAACTCAGAGCGGATGAAGGAGGCGAGTGAGAAGGTGACGAGGTCCGGCGGTGCCGACTCGATGCCGATTTGCGGGAACATGAGAGCTCCGGACTGCTTGGCGGCGGCCTCGTACTTCTTGAGCATTTTGGCCACAAAGGGGACCTCGCCGGTCACGTCAAGGTAGTGGGTGCCATTCTCGGCACAGGCTTTGAAAGCATGCTCGCCTAGCTTTCCATAGGGCCCGACGGTGGTGATGAGGATGAAGGTCTTCTTGGCGAGCCCGGCGAGGTCCTCGTCCGTCAGGCTGCAGATCTCGATTCCGGGTTGCACACGGTCCGGATTGAGCTTCTTGCACTCGGCCACCACTTCCTCCAGCTTGGATTGAGAGCGTCCTGCTACTGCCCACTTCAGGTCGGTGGGCAGATGCGTGGTGATGTACTGGGCCGTATACTTTCCGGTGTATCCTGTAATCAGTCTGTCAGCTTTGGTTCAGCCGCTGGCGCCGCCGCTGGATGCTTTAATGGTTACACACCAGAAGCACCGAACACGACCACATCGAACTGCCGGCCGTGGACCTTGGAGGGCATGTCGAAGTGGCTCTTAGACAAATGTGTATCCGCTGGAGGGATGGGCTTGGGGCTACTCGATGGCAAACGGACAGTCGAAGAACTCTGAACTTGATACCTCAATTGGATATTCTGATCAACTCAGGAAGAGCAGCCTCTCCAATTTAAGGGCAACGAAACACTCGATTTCATAGAATAGCAAAGAATTCGACTTTGGCAACCAAGCGCGGGAATCGCCGGTCTCGACCCGCTCGTTCTCCCTTCAACCACATACATCATTGATTCTTTTTTCATGATCCCCCTGCGATCACCCCAAAATGTACGAGATCCGAAGCACAACCGGAAATCCCGCCGTTCCAATGCCATAAGAGGAAGCCATTACCGGCATTGGCAAAAGAGCGATCCATTTTCGACAGCCATTCGCTGCGAGGTGTTGCCCGGTGATGTTTCCAAAAGCTGTTTTAGCCTGGAGGAGAGGCCGAGCGAGTTGACGGGACTTTGACGGGACCTCGGAGGTGGCCAAAGCGTCAGGTCAACCGAGAGAGCCCCACAACCTGGATGCCCTCCACCCCGCTTCTTGCCCGCTGGCACTTCCTCGGGAAATCCGTTCTGCCAGATCCCGCGTTTTTGCAGCCCGGGCCCCCTGTCGCACACCAGAAAATTACCGTGCACATTTCTCAAAATCGCCGTCGCCCGCCATCAGCGAGTCGCCCATTTGGAGATCAAAGTCTAGCACCCCCTTCTAAGCAGTCAAGATGTCTAAGCGCACGAAGAAGGTCGGCATCTCCGGCAAGGTAAGTAATCGAAACCGTTCCCAAATTCTTCACTGGCGTGGTTATGGCCGACCGCTGACTCTTGCGATATAGTACGGCACAAGGTTCGTGGCCAATATCTCCTAGATTGTCTCCCCGATTTGCCCTCCGGATTTCAGTGTTCTCGGTGCCCGATCGGTCGTCTGAATGGAGCCTCGTCTGGACGGAAACTGCTGGCCTGGGTGTTGTGGACGATGCATGCAGGTTGGGGTGCATTCTGGGAACCCTTAGGCAAATGGGAAACCTGCACTCAGCTTGCAGAGGTCTGGAGACAGGAGACGACAGTGCTGGCTCCAACCGCCAACGGAATGCGTCGTCCTCTAGCTCTTTCCATAGAGCTAGCACCCAGCGCTAGCACTCCGGAGGCTCTGCGGTGAGGAGATCCGAAATCGATCGGACTGCCATGTGGAGGGCTGCAACGGAGGAAATATGGAAGTTCGACAGATGCTAACAGCAAAGCTAGATACGGTGCCTCGCTCCGTAAGCTGGTAAAGAGTAAGTCGGAAAAGTTGATCATCGCGAGAGTTCGCTTCAATTACTAACTGTACCACAGAGCAGGAAGTTTCCCAGCACGCCAGATACACTTGCAGTATGTGCCCATCCGACGACAGACACTCGCCACTGTAGTGCAAAGAGCTGCCGTCAATATGCACAAAGCGCCCTCCCGAGAACATATACTGACGTCGGCTCTTTGAATAGCATTCTGCGGCAAGAACACTGTTCGGCGGTCGGCGGTCGGCATCTGGTCCTGCAAGTCCTGCAAGAAGACCATGGCGGGCGGTGCCTACTCTCTCTCGTGAGTTTACCTTGGTTAACCCCCCACACCGGACACGCGTAAGCCTGACCGACATTTTAGGACTCCTGCTGCGGCTGCTATGCGGTCAACCCTCCGCCGTCTCCGCGAGATCACCGAGGTGTAGAGGCAAGGGAAAGGGCGTGTTTCTGCTTCTGGGTTTGGTGTCATGGAAAAGGGCAACGGAGGTTCTGCGATACACTTTCAGCCGTTGGGAACGGCTGGTCGATCAATGACAATTCTTTAAGCAACGACGAGTCCACGGTCTCGTTTCACGGCGTCGCTTGTATGATGTGGACGGGGAACCGAACCGGCACCGCGGCTCCCCATTACGACATTAGCTGGGGAGAGGCATCGCGGTTGCCGAGTTCTAGACCTTGCGGCTGCCTAAATGAACCATGACACTTTATCTCTACTCGTTTGCTCTGGATGTGCTCTCTCTCAGTAAAAACCCGCTGTGTCGACGGGCTATGGCGTCGTACACACCTTGCTTCCCTCCGGCCCTGCCATGTCATGTCGCAGTGTCCCAAGGTAAGTAGATCTGTAACTTATAAAGCTGGCACCTAAGTTCAAGAACCCACATGGACCTTTTGCTCCAGCAGCTCCATGTAGGCCTCTGTCTACGCGGCCATCAATGACGATGACGTCTCGCAAGCCAAGAGGCTGTTGCACAAGTGACCGACGGACGCCATGAACGACCATTGAGGTCAGCAACTATGAGATATACATCATAAATCTAGTTTGAGTGGCCTATGATAATCAACTGCACCAGCGTCGTACCTTGGAGGTAGGTCGCTCTTCGTAGGCCCTCATACCGTAAGTCACCCCCGTGAAGCTCCGTTCCATATAAAAGATGACTAGCATGTGAGCCCTGGTCAGCTTCTCCAAAATACTACCTGACAGCATCTCAAGTTCTCAACGGTCAGAGTCACAAGGCTACATCCCGCTGGTATCATTGCCTGGCGTCTGACTTGTCGCCATGCCACCAAATCCAAATGCACCTATCCGATCTTCTTGCCCCAGCTCGGCGTAACCAGCTGCCCACAAATCATAGTCCTCCCATGCCTTGTCCGTTAGCTACATCGTAGCTCCGCGATCAAGAAGAAGCTTGACAACTGCTTCCTGGACCCCCAAGGCGGCTTCGACAGCCCAGCTAAGTGGTGTCCGGCCATTCTTATCCGCTGTGTTTATCGCGGCACCTCGATCAAGAAGAAGCCTCAAGACTGACTCGTATCCGTGCCTTGCAGCCCAGCTAAGCGGTGTCAGGCCATCCGTATCCGCTGCTTCGATCGCGGCACCTCGATCAAGAAGAAGCCTCAAGACTGACTCGTATCCGTGCCTTGCAGCCCAGCTAAGCGGTGTCAGGCCATCCGTATCTGCTGCTTCGATCGCGGCACCCCGATCAAGAAGAAGCCTCACGACTGCCTCGTAGCCGTTAGCGGCAGCCCGGCTAAGCAGTGTCCGGCCGGTGGCATCCGTCGCGTCTCCTTTAGCGCCGTGGTCAAGGAGAAGCTTGATAATGGTCCCGCTGCGATTTTGGATAGCTAGGAAAAGCGGTGAATGCCCATTTACGTCTGAAAGTTCGATTGAGGCGCCACGATCAAGAAGAAGCCGTACAACTGCCTCGTGGCCACCCCCGATAGCCAGGCCAAGTGGTGTCTTGCCAGTCCCGTCCGACATATCTATTGGAGCGCCGTGGTCGAGAAGAAGCTTGATAATGGCCTCATGGCCACTTTCGACGGCTAGGCTAAGCGGTATTCGGCCGGCGGCATCCGTCGCGTCTCCTTTAGCGCCGTGGTCAAGGAGAAGCTTGACAATGGTCTCGCTGCGATTTTGGATAGCTAGGAAAAGCGGTGAAAGCCCATATACGTCTAAAGGTTCGATTGAGGCGCCACGATCAAGAAGAAGCTTCACAACTGCCTCGTGGCCACCCTTGATAGCCAGGCTAAGCGGTGTCTTGCCAGTCCTATCCGACATGTCTATTGGAGCGCCGTGGTCGAGAAGAAGCTCGACAACATGATCCTGGCCAGCAGTAGCGGCTTTGTGGAGGAAGAGTTGGTCCTCCAGCCTCGATTTCAGATCGAGGGTGACTGCACCGGTTCCCAAAGCAAAGCCTATAAGCACTGTATCTCCTCTTTTTGCCAGGCAGTGTAGAAGATTTGTACGTCGCGGAAACGAGAATTCGCGGCTGATGGCCGTATTATCCTTGTTTGGCTCCCACTCAATGGCACGCGGACAGCTTCGTCCATGATATTGTTCCAGGGCTTCCAGCATGGCTGTGACTGCTTCGTGACTACCGCATGCCAATGCTGCAAGTATTGGCGGTCCGTACCGCTCATCTTCGATGTCAAAGGCGTGCTGATTCTGGTCGTGAATGTGGATTAAAGCAGGAAGATTCTGTTCTGCGAGAAGATAGAGAAGGCTTGGTGCTGACTTGTGTCGGCGGTTGTCGTACGTAGCGCAAATGTTGCCTAGGGAGATCAATCTTGCGAGCGTAAGCTCACGGAGGAAATTGACCTGGCAGATTCCAGCGGCTTGTGCTGTGTCGGCATGCCATAAGACCATCTCCACAGCATACTGAAGGAAGGGAAAGACTTCCGCCGTCTTCTGTCGGAGTTCCTTGCCTTCCGCGGAGGAAGCTTTAGGCAAGGGATCGGCAATGTCGAGATGCGAAGTGATGTCGGTCGCCGTGATGTAGGCGGCGCAGTGCTGCTTCAAAAGATCATGACTCTGGCCTTCGAATGTCGTCCCAAGGTCTGACCAAAGGACACTCAGCCCTTTCTCCTTCAGGAGGAAGTCTCTGACCGATTCGTGGATGAACTGGACTGTGGGGATCTTGGATTTGGTCATCTCGGCGAGACCCTTTGACGAGTTCAAAACGAACCTTTCGATCGTATCCGGAGGCAGCTCACGCGGATCGTAGGCCGAAATATCTGCGGGATCCGTCCCCGAGAGAATGGCAAAGTAGAGCTCGGTTGGCTTGAGAGGCCTTCGGGCGAAGAGGACCCACTGGATACACAGAAGGAGTTCGTGTCTGTTTCTTTGATCGCGGGTCAGAATGTCGCGGAACAATTCATGGAGGTCGGCAGGTATCGTTTTGAGAGTCCGTTGAAGATGGTGTGGCCCACGACCTTCATCGTGCTCCTGGTTGAGGATTCCTACCACAAGCACCACCCACATGAAGACCCCGGCAGACTTATCTTGCAGATCTTGCCGTATCCTCCCGGCGAGAGCAGTCTGGCCAATACGCAGCTCACTGTTGATGTAGTCGGTAATGTCCTGGTCGTGACCCTCCTGACCTTCCAGGATGAACTCGAGCCCCTTCGAGATCGTGATGTAAGGGTAGTGCCGACTCGAGAACAGGACCCGAAATTTGATTCCGAGGGGAATCGCAAGGTCACCCAGACGCTGAAAGAAGGCCACCATATCCCGCACCTCAGCTTGGTCGCATTCGTCCAAGGCATCAATGAAACATGCCACGGCGCAATCTGCAAGCGACTGGACAGCCTGTTGAAACAGGTCCTTCAAAGTTTCGATGCTCCAGGCGTACGTACTGCTGACGTTCCAGCTTGCGAACCCGAGGATGGCGAAGACATCCTGGAGACGGGGCACCCGTTCGAGCAGCTGCAGCAGCAGGGATCGGTACATGCCAGCCGTGGATTTCTCCAAGTCGACCCCCCTCGCATTGAAGAAGAAGGAGATCACGGTTGTGTCCTTCATGGACCTTCGAGCATTGGCAAGAGCGAACTTCATCAGCGTAGACTTCCCAGTTCCAGGCTTTCCTTTTAACCACAGAAATCCATGGTGATCGGCGAGTTTCTTCGGGTCGAGCCAGTCAAGATACTCTGGCTTCCTCAGAAGCCACTTGCAGGTTTTGCTGTGGGCGGTCTTGATGGACATCCAGCGGGCGTCGACTTGGTCGAACCGGAGCGAATCGAGCAGGGCCTGTTGCTGTTCCTTGCTGAGAACCTCGGTCATCGGGACCTTCACCGGTGTTTCGTGCTCGAGCCGCACTGAGTTTGTGATGTGGCTGACCGCGGCTGCTACCTTCTTGAACTCAGGGTCATCGTACCCCGTAAAGCGACACATATCCATGTGGTTCCTTTGGATGTGCTGTGTCGTTTCCACCTCGGGAAGGTTAAGGTATGATGATGCATCTTCGACAACCTTTTCACATTTTAGTCGGGAGGACACATGTTGGCGCTGTTACAACATACCTTTTCGCCGCCCAAGTATTGGATACCGATCGCCTCCTGAAAAGAGTAGATCGTCCAATTCTGCTTCCTGACAACTGGGCCAAACTCATCCCGCAGTTCCCTAAGACGTTCACTCGACGGCAGAAGAGTAGCGACTACCTGTTCGTTGACTTGAAAGCCTGCAGCCTTGATGAGCTTTTCCGCAACACGCTGCAGGAATCCGCGAGGATCGGCGCCGCCATGAGGCGTGCCAAAAAAGATGATCCCCACTGTGGAATCGAAGACGGATCGGAACAGAGGGCGAGATTGGCAGTTGGCTGATCGCCGTAGTGTTTCCTTAACAAGTATGCCCCCTAGACTATGGACAATAAACAGAAGCGGTCGCGTATCGTCCGAGCGACGGTTGGCTTCCAACTCCACCAGGAAATCCCAAGCCATCTCGTAGACGCTGCTCTTGTTTCCAGGATGGGCAAGAGAATGCGTCACTCGGGTGTCGTATCCATACGTCAGAACTCGTGCGTGTGGCAGGACCGTTGGAAGAAGGTCCCTTGGCCAGTACACTGAGGGGTTGCTGCTCCGGCTTCGAGGCAAAGGGAAGGACATCAGCTTGAGTCTCTTGACTGGCCGTTCCGATATATTTTCGCCGTCTTCGGAAGCCGGACACTGGTGGGTTGACCGTGGATCGCCTTTCGGGTGAGTCCATGTCCGCTCAGGATGGCCGGTGAATCCATGGACGAAGACGACGCTATGATGCCATTAGATCGAAGACACGTTGTTGAGAGACGTAGATCATCATATACTCAAGTGAGGACTTCTCGGGCTCGAACAAGACGGTCAACCCGGTCGGGTGCACTGGTTCATGACATGAACAACCCATCTCCCATTGCCGCCAGCTGCCTCCAGGCTGATTGCAATTCCTTGGAATCAACAGGGGCGGCTTCTGAAGCTCTTTGAAAAGAAAACACTCAAATCGGAGTCGAGGGGTGTCTGGTGCAACTGCAACGGGTGGTGCGATGTGTCTAGGCTTCAAGTTCCATGCAGAGCACCTCGATGCCCGACGACCAACATCAACTGAAGGGTGAACACAAGGAGCCAGGAACCGGAAAAACAGGCACTCTGCCCTGATAAGGTACGGTGGTACACCTAAGGTACTTAGGCCTCAAAGACTTGCACTATAACCCGGGCATAAGCTGTAACGTGCAATGTAGCCCGAGTCAGCTTGATGCATGAAAGCACTGCCACTGCGCCCTCCCACCCAATCATGGTTATGCAGATCAAAGAACGAGGAACAGTCCCGTCGAGTACTGTACTACCGTCAACAGTCTTCTGCATCTCGGCCCGCGAAGCAAAGCGAGCGCTCCGCGGCCGGACAGAACAATGCTGTGTATAAGTTGAGCTCATCCGCCAGGGCGTGGAGTTTGAGAGATCAGACGCGGCCGCGAGGGGCGGCGCATACTAGCAGTGCTCGGCGGCAGCCTCGCTGCCGGCGGGATGGGGAACCTGCAAAGGTCACTTGAAGGAGATTCTGATGGCGTCGAGAATATCATGCGTAGTGGATGCCTTGACCGTGGAGAATACGTGACCGGCGTGTGGGGGGATGAGTCAGGAGGCAGCAGGAAGTTGAAGATGAGAATGAACTTGGGGGGTTGTCCGGTGCGAGAGCAACAGTCAACAAATTTACCGTACCTTGTCGGCCCTGGGGGATAAAACTGCTACTTGGTGCTAGTATCTCACATCCCTCTGAACTCTGACGTTGTCTTCTCAGAGCATGTATAACGACCTGGAACTTGAACCAAAGAAGTCGTGTCGGGTCAGCTGGTCCCGGAAATGCTCGCCGGGCTGGCGTGTGGCTCCATTGTCACTGCTTCAACCCCTGCTCTAAACGTGAACATTGATTGGATGGCGCCCTGGAGCTGCGCTAACACGGCACGAAGCAAAAAGGGCAGAGGGCACCTTTCTGAATGCCAGCTGCAGCATGTCTTTTCCTCTTTTCACTTTCCTACTTCTATTTCCACAGCGCAGAGTTCGCCCCTCTCCAACTTGGGAAGCTGTGACTTGTTTCGCGCTGGACCCTAGCACACCACTTCCACCGGCTTGTGAACCGCTGCTTACCTGCACCACAACCCACTCTCATACTCATACCCACATTGACCTCAGGAACAACCGCACTACCTACCTAGCTATTGCAACCAACTCCATATAAGCATCACAGCTCCGCACATCACAACAACCTAGAACATTTGGAACAGCAGAATGCTTTAATTCACACTCCTGGAAGACCACCACGCATCAATACGGCTGGCGAATCCAGGACGATACTACGGATACCATCGAGACAATTCTATGATTTCAGGACGCCCCCTCTGTCTGAACCTGACATTTCGTTGCTTTTACATCAGCCATGGCTGATCAGTGCATCGTCTGTCTGGAGCCCCTGGACATCGAGCCCGGCACGACCCCGCCGGCCCCTGTACAACAGCTGAAGGAGCAAGAAGAACAACTCGCCATTGACGACTCCGGTGCACTCCCGAAGACAAACGAAGTTGCTGAACCGCAGCACTCCAACCATGACAATGTAGCGCTGATCGAAGTCTGCGGCCACATGCTTCATGACAACTGTCTCCGGGAGTGGACCGAGAAGGCCAACAGCTGTCCCATCTGCCGCCAGACCTTCCATGTTTTCAACGTCTACGACAAGATTGGAGGTGAGTTCACCACCCCAGCCCGGTGCAACTGTCTTCCGGGGGGGGGGCATTGTTAGCTAATGTGTATGTATATGATTGCAGGTAAATTCTTGTCCACCCGCCGCGTCGAGGACAAGAAGCAGGTACCCGAGTTCGACCCGAGGGCATGGGCCGACGAGCCCCCCGAAGAGCCAGATCTTCCCAGCAGTCGCTGCCCCGTGTGCAATTCGAGCGGAGACGAGGAGGTGTTACTCCTTTGCGATGGCTGCGACGCAGCGTATCATACGCACTGTATCGACCTCGACGGCGTCCCAAGCGGGCCCTGGTTCTGCATGGAGTGCGTGGACGCCTTTGGACCGGACATCATTGAGCCTGTCGACATCATAAGGAGGGAGGGTGGCCGCCTTGGCCCGCGCTATTACTTCCCGCGTACACAGGCCAGCATGCGACGTGCTAGACAACGAGCTCGGTCAGATGAATGGCAAGGAGCATGGGGCCGCATCACAGGCCGCATCTGGGATGCACTTGAACTGGACCTAGATTATCAGGACGATGAAGATTCAGTGGTTTTCGAGGGCCTACGCCGGTCACAGCAGTTGCAGGAGCAGGAACGGCGAGAGCATGAGCGCTGGCAACAGCGCTTGAACATCGCCAGCCGGCTGGGTGCTCGTGAGGTCTTTGCAAACAGCATGCCTCAGTTTGTTGCTCGTCCCCTGCCACCGCAACAGTCCCGGGAGGAACGGCTCGCCTGGGGTGCTTTGGAGAAAGCCAGAGAGATGGAGTCACGAAAGCGCAAATCAAGATCCGCGACAGCTGAGCCGAACGAGGAGGCACATCACGAGCCGGAGAGGAAGCTCAAGCGACCCCGCACGAGACGCTTGCCCCCTCAAAATGGTGAATCCTCGTCATCTGCAGCTAGGGATGCTGAACCATCGACCCGGCAAGAACAGGGGAGTCATTCGACTGCATCAACCGAGGCGCAACCCTCGTTCCTGGCTTCGCTGCTCAAGGAGGTCGAGATGAGCACGCCATCGGATGAGGAGACTCTCAGAAACATCTTTGGTCCTATTCCAAGTGTTAATGACGCTCCATCGCCGGCTCGCTCACCCTCCGTCCACAGACAAGGGTCAATCACACCGCCAACGCACCGCGCAAGCTCACCCCAGATGACGCTGAGTTCACACATTGCCCCCAGATACCCGCCGCCGAACTATTCGCCGACAAGGGGGTCATCGTCGAACTCGGTACAGCATTCCCGATCATCCTCACCACAGAGACCTGCTCCGCAAGAAGGCAAGTCCTCTGCCGACAACAGCGACGCTGAACATCGCGGCCGCCGCAGACAACAACAGCCTGGCCACCACAGCGTACTGGAACTCAGGCAGCCACAGCCTCGACGGACGGAGAATCATGCACTACCTAGGTCGCAAAACACGTCTCCTGCTCGAAGTCCACTGCCCCTCGAGGTGAAGGAGAGCATCAGTCGAATTGTGCGAAGCGCGTTGAAACCGCACTGGCGCTCCAGCAAACTGACCGCGGAGCAATACGAATCCATCAACCGCGAAATCTCTCGCAAGATCTATGAAGAAGTAGAGGATCCAGGGGCGGTCAACGAGGAGTTGAAACAAGGCTGGGAAAGGAGAGTGACCCAAGAGGTGGCACGTGCCGTTGCCTCGTTGAAGGCTTGATCGAACTATCCCGTATATCCCCACTTTCACAACGGAGCACATTACAGCATGGCTGGCACAACATGGCGCACATTGCATGGTCATATGGCATATGTGGTTATGCTCGGGGTGGTGGTTTACAAACGACGTTTCTTATTTCGGCGGGGCATCGGAACAGTGGCGTTTCATGGCATCGGGACTGACTGGATGATCTGGTGCAGGGGGGCGGCAATGGAATCTGGTTAGAATACCCCGGCGGGCGAGATTTGGATGGCTGGGTCGGATGGGATAGGACTATAACGGGCGCCAGCGGTTCACATGTTGCTATCCGGTCATTTCTGTCCTTCAGCTGGGTTATCTGGTCTCTTTTCTCCCCTCTGTGTTATCGGCGTTGAAAGCGGAGCTTGAGCATTTGAGTTAGATTTAGCCCTAGGTATTTCTGGTGAACATGCATGCTGGCAGGCGCGCAGGTTGGCTTCCTGGTGTTTTGGCATGGAGCAGGTTGGTCTGTGAACGGCCTAGAGTGGATCGCTGGTTGTTTTGGTGTACATTACCATTGGATTACTGAAGGTCCTGGTGTGCTTGATGGCCACCGAGACGGGTTCGGAACAATGATATTGGCACCGCTCTACCTCCGATTCCATCAACTTATCCGTACCAGACGAACATTCAAGGGTGAGTCGCTACCACTTTATACCGCTGCTGATCGCAAGGCTGGCGTTGATCAGACCTTTCCAAGATCCACAGCAATATCATGGGTGTCCTAGCTGTACAATCGATACTCACTTTCTGTCAGTGTTGCTATCTATAACCAGCTAACTGGTTATGCGCATTGGACAAGGTTCATGCTGTCTGGCGACACCACGACGAGGTGCTGGCACGGGGAATTCACATCAATCGCGGTTGTCGATCGGGATGTCCTTCCCCGACTCGGACACAGTTTTGCGAACGATGAAGCGTTGAGGTGTGCCGTAACGAGGAAATTGCGGTGCACAATCCTCGGCTGAGGGGCGGAGTTTGTAGAATCTCGGGAAAAGGAGAGGCGAGGTGACACAGAAGCTACGAACGGGGGAGATAATAAAGGAAGGAGGGCTTATTAGGGGCCCGAACAGCAGGACACTACTGCTCGGTCCGGCGCGCTCTCGACATCTCTTGAAAATCCGTGGGAGGGAATAAATCTCACGCCATGTCGTATTCATAACCCGCAGCGCGTCTCCATGGTAAACAACCTCTGGCTGGTAGACCGATGTAGAGATTGACGGATGGGCATACATTGTTGCCTGTCAACGAGGGATCTTGACTCTTGACGGATCATAACTTTCTCCTGCCAGCCAGTCTTGAAGCGGCGCGGTGAGCATCACCTCGTTCATCCGTGACTCCTTTCCGCCTCAGGAGACTCACAAGAGGTAGGTCAGAAGAAGCCGACATGAGCACACACAACGGCGCTTCAGTTTCAATGATTTATGGGGAGACCGAGATATATCAACATCCTGAGCAGTGGCTTCTCATGCCACCTGCTTGAAATGGCCAATGGCCATAGACCAGTTCCTTTACATGTAGGATTTGAAGTCAAAATCGGCAGTCTAAGCATGGCAAAATGTGAGCAGCAACTATCTAACAGCAACCCGGTAGAAAATGGCCTCTCGGCGCAGGCACCGCTAGCGAATCAGCTGCTACATCTGTCTGGGCACCGGTAAATGATCAGGACGTTTTGGAGGTGAGAAACAGGTCTTGATGATAAGGATTGGTGCCGTGGTGAGAGAAAAGGAAAAGAGAGAAGTTTTGGCACTTGGCCGACAAAAAAGTCAACCATAGAGCTGGGAGAGGGTCCGTGCGCCACAGCCGGCGCTAGCTCTAGTAAGGAAGGCGGTGTAAGCTTCGGAATCAAACGAGACGGAAAAGTGGATCTCCGCTCCGGACATGGAAAAAGTTCACGGCTTTGGATGTCGCGAGCAGACGTTAAGAGAGACCCTGGGTCACATATCGAGAGTAGCCCCGGACGGCGTTGGCACTCGAGCAAGTCACAACGCCATGATGTCAGCGCCGGGTAGAGGGTCAGCCCTGCTGAGGAGTGAGTGGTCCTCCTAGACAAACTACGAAACCCAATTGATTCAAAGAAAAAAGCTGACCTCACTTCCGCAAAAAGGCTCGAGTAGAGTCTGCGCCCAGTGCGCTCGCACAACACCAAGGAGAACAACAACAGCTCCAAGTCCGAGACAGCCCTTACCAGTTCTCCCCTTACCTTTAGTTAGCGGCCGATATTATGCCGCCGAAGCCGCCTCCGCCTCTGCATCCTCATCACCAACAGCCCCCGCGCCCCCACCCCCCGTAACCACCTCCTCCTCCGAGACCGAGACCGAGAGCGCAACGGCGACGGACCCGCTCCGGTACAAGATCAAATCCTCCCTCATACTCACGCGGCCGCCGCTGCTCACGCGGGAACAGACGCCGTTCGAGTCGGCTTTCTACCTCTACCAGAAGCGGCTCAACGAGCGGCTAACGGCGCCGTTCTGCTCCAAGTTCTACTTCAAGCAGGACACGGCAGCCGATCTGGACTGGCGCATCAAGTTGCGCGAGCGCCACGGCGTGCCGGCCAAGGACATCGGTCGGTACAACCCGCGCGGCCGCACGGCGTGGAACGACGAGGTGCTCGTGGGCAGCAAGACGTCGGACCCGCAGGAGGTGGTCGACCGGCTGCTGGCCGACGCCGAGGTACGCGTCAGCGAGGACGGCGAGCCTATCGCCCCCGAGGAGCGGGTGCCCGTGGAGCGGCCCATGCCGAGGCGGACCGAGGCGGACGAGAAGAACGACGTACGGCGGCTGGATCGGAAGCTGGACCGCACGCTGTACCTGGTCGTGAGGAAGGGCGAGGGCGAGGATGCCGTGTGGGAGTTCCCCGGCGCGATCGTGCCGACGCAGGAGACGCTGCATGAGGTGGGTAATCCGGCGTTTGCTTGTCCTTTTTTTCCTCTGTGCTCTTCTGCATGTAGAGTGTGCCCGCGACTGACTTTCCTCTTCTCTCGCCAGACGGCCGCTCGTGCCCTCGCGGAAGCGGCCGGCGTCAATATGAACACGTGGATCGTCGGGCGTGTGCCCGTTGCTCACCACATCGTCAAGCCCGTGTTCCGCGAGGACGGCAAGGTCGCGGAGCGCGGCCTGAAGGTGTTCTTCCTCAAGGGCCGCATCATGGCCGGCCAGGCCGACCTCAGCGGTAACAAGCACGGCCTGACCAACTTCAAGTGGCTCACACATGAAGAGCTTAAGGAGGTGCTGCCAAACGACTACTACCACAGCGTGCGGGGCATGTTTGAGCTCAGGTAGACAGCGGCGTGAGCAGTCTCGCCGGAAAGCGAGACGGCTAAGCCCGACAAGGCATAGCAAGTTATGGCGACTATCTCGCCCTGCTTGTTCTGTATTGTAATCTAGAAATGTACCTTATGTATACAACATGGTGAACTCACGGCCTGGTCTTGGCCATGGCTCAGCTGTCTTGCTGCTGTCGGTACGGATGGTTTGTGAACGACAAGCTGTCACAGCTACGCCTGAAGATCCTTTTAAGATCTCGTCAAGACCCTGAACCAAACAGATTACTCTATTATTCGGCTCGTATTCTCATACATCGGCGCAGAGTACCTAAGACAACCCATCTCCTGCCTCCCGTTCTCTCCGACCTCTTATGCCCGCGTCAGGTCCATTACCCCAGCATCCCCCAGCCAAAGCCTGTTCCCGTACCTTCTCCAAACCTCGCTGTCCCACTGCGGGATCAAGCCTATCGCGGCAAGCCTTGATCCCGGCCTCTCTCTCGCGCCGCCAGAGGTAGCAGACGGGGTCAGTCCAGGAAACAGTACGTCCTTCCCCTTCCCAAGAGGTGAAATTGGCGCTGACGCTGACGCTGAGCCATGCTGTTCCTCAGCCTTCCGTCTCTCCCTCTCCTCGTCATCCAAGCTCCACAGCAACCGGGGATTCCTCAGCGTAACCTTCCTCGCCAAACTCACAAACACAACAGCCGTCATCCAGCTGCCGAATCCAGCATCGTGCGGTACCGCCCCGCCGACACTACTCCGCGCGTCGAACCGGGGCTCGGGGGGAACGATGGGTAGTCGACCACCGCCCTGGCCGCCCACCAGCCCGTAGAGCGCTTCCAGGTTCTTGCCCGTGCGGAACCCCAGCTGGGAAGACAGATGCCTGGTGTCGACGATCCTGGGGAAATGGGCGTGGAGGTCCCTGCGGAAGGCCGTGACCTCGGTCGGGAGCGGGCACAGGAAGGTTTGGACGAGGAAGCACAGGTCCAGGAGCGGGTTGTGGCTGATGAGGACTGGGCGAGGTCCGGTCTTGATGCGGGATTCGTGGAGGCGCAGGTCGGAGCGGAGCTGGGTTGCGTGTGCTTGACTAGCTGAAGTGTTGCTGCTGCTGCCCTTGTTGGTGTGTTGGTGCGAGAGAAGGACGTCGACGGGGATGGACTGGGTGAAAGAACCGCCTACCAGGCCTTCGATTACATATCGGAAACCTGTGTTGTTTTCATTCTCTCTGTGTTAGTGGAAGACTGGCAGGTTGATGCCGGTCAAGGAGATTGAGGGTAGGGGGGTGGAGTGCGAACGATACATGCCTATTTGTCTGACTACGGCCTCACGACGGTGTCTGTACTCCCCGTCCCATAACTGCACGCCGGGATCAATTCGAGTCAGGGAACTGGGTCGGTCGCCTGTGTGCAAGAGGGGGGAGGGGAGGGGGTTCCTCACGTACGGCACGCTCCTCTGGGTCCCACTTGATGACTTGGGCAAGTGCATTGCTTCTCCTGAGAATCACAAAACAGCTAGGGAACTCAGTCCGGACTAGCCGGCGTATCACCCAAATGTGGCTCGGGAGCAGCTGCTTGGATGGTCCCTCTGGATTTGTGATGAGTAGACTGTCGCCCTTGGTGTCCTCCGTGTCAGCCAGGATGGTTCGTTCTCTCACTAAGACTTCAGTCAACCACGTACTGGTACAGGATTCGTCTCAAGCCAATCTGAGATCTCACTCCGCGTGTCGTTATAGAATTGTCTAGTCCGAGTATCGAGTGCATGGCCCGTATACGCAGCACTCTTCTGCCTGCCGTTAGACAGGTACAAGCTGTTGACCAGTTCCTCCTCTGAACGGCTCAAGTACGGAACGCCTTCTGAAAAGGCTTTCCCGAACAAAAGGTTGTTCTCCTTGAGAAGTAGGAAGCTTTGGTACGACAGAACTACCTTCCGGTCGATGAGCCCTGCCAGAGCTGCGCTGGGCGGAGTGAATTCAGGGGTTAGGTAGAAGGTGAAGGTCTGCGCCCGGTATGCTATCGTTGTGTTAGCCATCTTTTACTGGAGCAGACTGTCATCGATGTAGACAACCATTCAGCTCGCGGTCGTACGAAAGACAGGTCAAGCCGAACTGCAGGATTTGAAATGTCTTAGCGGCCTCGGCAGCAAGGTAGTAAGCTGCTGTCTCGGTATGCTCGACTGCCTTACTGCTCGAGCGTCCGGAGATCGCCGTCGTTTCCATGCTGATGGCGACATGGTCTGACAAGGCAATTGCTTCGAGTACGACGGGTAGTGTCTGCCAAAAGTTTAAGCGGTTGACGTCCATGGCACGAAAAGGTAGAGAGCCGCAGGAATGGATTGTTTTTCCTTGCAATAGTCGCAGCTACTCCCTGACACAAGGGAGTACTTAAGCTAAGGTACTTTACCTAAGGGTTGTCCCCTCCGATCTTGGAAGGTGCATTCAGGGGCGGAGGCATGGCATTGTGCCTCTGGCTCTCTGGCTTGGACTCTCCCCGTACTTCGCTGTACAAATGATGCCGGCAGTACGTACTATACGTCAACAACCAGGCAGCCTCGCAACAAAACTCATCAATAAAAAAGTGAGCAAACTTGACGAGAGAACCAGCATGTCTGAAACAAGAGGCAAGCATGCATCTACACTCACAGAAGAAGGACAGTGGATGGCAGCTCCAATGGTTGCGTGTGTATTGTACCTACCTGGGTACCTACTTCCTAAAGTCTCCTAGCACATCTGGTTCAAGGGAAAGACGTACACCAAGCCCCTTGAAGTTTAGTTGACCACAAATATGGCAAGCGAGACTATATCAACATGAGAGAGAAAGTAAAAGAGAACAGAGTAGGAGTAAAAGAGAAGACTAAACGGAAGGGGAAAAGGAGGAGAAGGAGGAGAAGAAGAAGACGAGGAGGGAGATGTCGAAATTGATGAAGTCGGGTTGCCTTAGGTGAAGAAGGACACGACGGGAAGGAATAGCAGCTGAGATGGACATGTGTGTACGGTCTTTTGCCGCCAGAATCTTGGATTCAGTTCGCACTACGGGGAGCCCGGGGGCTCGCGCTGTGCGAGCACGAGATGGGAAGGCGCGAATTGAGCAGCAGGCATAAGCAGTCCCATGAAAGAGGGTGAACCGTAAACACTGGGTTTACTGTCTGGTTTCTACGTCTGGGAAGGGCCCCGTTGACCTGAGAGAGCACCACGTCTGGCAATGCCAACAGCTGCCCCATTGGCCAACCCTCATTCATGCAGTTCTGATATACAGTAAAAGCAGTGATTAACCATGGATCCCCAACATCGTCCGAGCGTCGAAAGCGGTGCCCAAGGCGGTTCCCGGGCTGGTTCGGGTTATCTATCTGATGACTCGGATGCTTTTATCGCAGAGATAACAAAGAGAGCAGGGAAGGCAGAGAGGAAATATTGGGAGATGCCTCAGCCGCTGCGAACATTTCTCCCAATCCATCCCGAAAATGACCCATACGGGTCCAAGAGGAACGCGCAACGCATCCTGCAATCGCGGTTGCCCGCCGAGGTTGGCGGCTGGATTCGCTCCGTCGAGGGATCCTATGTATGTCGCTGCGTCCCCGGTCTTCTTGTCTTTCTTGTCTTTCTTGCCTTTCTTACCTTTCTTGCCCCGGAAGCTTATGTGATCCATCAGGGAACCGGTTTCAGATGGTTGTGGGCTCCCATGACGCTGGGCCACCCGCATCACGAAGCCCTGTTCGACGCCTCGCCGTTCAAGAAGGGCATGTACCTCCACGACGCAACGGGCCAGTGGCGGCCCGCCCGCCTCGATCGGAGCCTCGTCCCGTCGTGCCCCGTCGTCGTACCCAAGAGCGCCTGTCGCTTCGTGCTCCCCTTCTACGATCCGTGCTCGACATTCGCGACCAGGCTGGCACAGCGGGATCTCAATCCCACACTCGTCATCGACGAAGACGCCCACGCCGCGGCACTGATCTACCTGTGCGGCGTGGTCCGGCTCGGAGACAAGCAATGCCAGCGCTGCCAGAAACGGCGGATCGGGACGACGACACCGCGCGACCCCATCCCCGTGTGTGTCAGTGCGGCGCCTTACTTCCATGGCATCTGCGCGAACTGCTTCGCCAAGGGGGGCACGCTGCAGGAGAGGTTGAACCGTTGCAGTCTGTCGAAGAAAGTGGAGAAGACGGAACAAGCGAAGCTGAACCGTCTGGAAGGACCCGGGATGCTGGGAGGATCTTCCCCACCGATTGTTGGTGGGACCATCGAAGAGGTGGCGTTTGCGGAGAACCTCCTTTAGAAGAAGGGCGTACCACGTAGGAATGGCGGTCTCCCAAACACACCACCAGTAGGCCGCGCGCCGAGACCGAGCGGCCCTAGTTCCGGGTGAAATGAACGAACACAGGTTACAAGAGCAGGTAGGAGAAGCCAGACCACAGCGGATAGATTTGGCACTTGGGTAAAGTGGTTAGATAGTAGGTATCATCAGTCATTAGTAGCACAGCGAATCATCAAAGTCATCATCCACCCTCGGTGCCCGATACCTCGTGTATGTTTGCACCCCGGTTGCCGCACCGGTCCTCCTCGCCAGTCCCGGCCGCGGAGTGAACGGATTGGAGGCCGTCAACGGCGCCGCGCCCATATGCACGCCAGAGTCCCTCCGTCTCCTGAGATCTTCCCTCCCCGGCTCACGGATCTGCAGCTCTCGTGCTCCCTCCTCCTCCACAAGCCTCTCCGTTTCCCGTCGAAGCCTCTCCGCCCGAGCCCTTTCATTAGTCAAGTCCCTGTCTCGGCTTGCTCCCCCTCCATAGACGAATGCACGTCTTCTTCCCTGATAGCATGGCGCACCTCCCCGGAATTGCTCATCATACAGCTCCTCCTTCTCCTCCTCTTCTTCACGATCCAAATGGTCCAGTGGCCCCTGTCCATCATCATCATCTATCGACACTCTGAGTCGGAGCCGACCCATGTCCCTCTCTATGCCTTCCCTATCCATCCCTACCCGTGGTCGAACGTACCCGTCCTCCGGCCGCACGAGCCGGACGCCTGAGCGTGGCCGAGAGAGGACGGGAGCGGAAGCCCTGTGGGGAGAGACGGGATCCCTGATGATGCGGTCACGCCCTCGGTTCCTACTATGACACCGTCCGTGACGTCGGTCGCCATCTCTGTCGAGACTCCTACTCCGCGTCCTGTCGGGGGTCCTAGCCCTTCTTCCCCTCTCTCTGTTCCGGTCCCTCCCCTCCCGGCTCCCATGGCTGTCCCAGCTTGAGCTCCTACTTCTAGTTCTACCCCTATTCCTATTCCTGTTCCTGTTCCGATTCCGGCTCCGAGTTCTCGTCCTCCCCCTTTCCCTTTCCCTTTCCCTCGACCTCTCCAAACTTGTGCTCCTGCTCCTGCTCCTGCTTCTTCTACTCCTATCCCTGCCACGACACCGGCCCCTATTAGCATGGTCCCGATCACGTTCCCCTTCCCGGCCAAGGTGATCCCGGTGGATGACTGTCAGCGAACCCCTCGGCTCGGGCTGGGCCGCCGACCCCGTAGCGGCTGCCGCAATGCGCTCGGCCATTCTGATGGCCTCCTCGCGGCTGTCGGCGCGTCCGGCGGCATAGGCATTGTCGTAGAGTTGTTTGGGGTCGAGGGACCCGCCCGGCACCGTTGCTGTGGCTGCGGCTGTGGTGTGAGTGACCGCGGTGGCGACGGGAATCTGACTGCCCGGTGCCTGCGGCGAGATATGGTGATGGACCTGATGGTGATGTGCTGGAGGTGGCGGGATGTGTTGATGATGATGATGATGGCCTGGGGCGGGGGCCGCTTGTGTGATGGGAGCTGGGCCCCTTACTCCTCCCGTCACCGCTGCCGGATGGACTTGCACAGGTGGTGGAGACGGTGCAATTGGGATCTGGGCGGGAGTCATGGTAGCTGGCCTGGAGGGGAAAAGGCCAGGTCGCGGGATTGGAGCCAACGCTGCTTGGTGTACGACTGGTTTGTGATTAGGGCTGAACGCCGGTGGGCGCTGGTCGTGGAGGCTGGGCCGCCGCTCGTTGGAACGGTGAGGCTGGATGTGCACTGTCCCCTGGGGCTGACGGCGGCCGTCACCGGGAAAGTTGGGCGGGATGCCGTAGTGCGCTGGGCCTTCTCTGAACATTGGCTTGGGCGTGTGGGCTGTACGGAGGTGTTCATACGAGCCCTGGCTGATGTAGGAAGAAGTTGTCGATGGGGATGTGCAGACCGTGTCCTCATCCTCGTCGTCGGAAAAGCCGTCGGAGTAGACTGACTCGTCTGTTGAGCTGGGTGGGGCGCGAGTGCGCTGATGGACGTGGGGCGAGGGCCGGGGCTGGAAGGGCTGCGGCCTGCCAGTGGTGTTGCCGTGTTCTTGTGGCTTGCGCTGGATGATGGTCACAGGGGGTCCTCTATTCTGAGAATGGCCGGCCTGGGCGTGGTGGCCTGACGGACCGGGACCTCTGGCGTTGCCGGGCCTCTCGCCATGCATGTTCTGCTGTGGCGGAAGTGGGCGCGGCGGTGGATGCGGCGTTGACTGCCGAGATGGTTGCGGAGGGGGAGGAGGGGCAGCAGGCGCTGGGTACTGTGCTTCCTGCGGCCTGGCCATGGCTTGGGCGTACTGCCTGATTCTGGCCTCCCGCTGGGCCTCGTGGTGCCGTAGCATGGCGATGGCGTCAACATCCGGTCGGGGAGCCCGCTTGAAATAGGCGGTAAGACTGACGCGCTCCGTGACAGCCTGCTTGATGTCTTTCGATTTCGAAGCAGGTTGCTTGACTTGCTTTGAGACCACTCTGCGATGCTTCTCCTTTCTCCGATTCTTCTCTCTCTCCCGCTCACGCACCTTCCCCTGCTCCTTAGGCTTAACCTCAATCCGGTCGTCGAGTTGAGCCAAGGTCGTTTGAAAATATTCGTTGTCGTATTGCTTCTGCAGGTCCTCCAGCGCCATCTCGATCTGGCGTCTCTCTTCTTCGCTCAGATCCCCTTTCTTCTGCATGACGGGGATCTTCGTCCGGTTGAGTTCACGCACCATGCGTGCCGCTTCGCGCTTGGAGATGCCGCGGTCTTCGATCCGCCATGCCCGCTTCCAGGAGGGCTTGCGACGTGAGCCATCGCTGGCATAGCCGCTGTCTTCGTCGGCTCTGGTAAAGCGAAACACAAAGTACTGGGATAGCCTTTCACGGGCCTTCTCGGCCGTCAACGGTTGTTCCTTGCTGATGTCGCAGATCTTGACAGACGTGTTAGGTCGGGCCACATAAGGGGCTGTTTGTGCTGGGTATTGCTGCTGCTGCTGCTGCTGCTGCTGCTGAGGTGCCACTACCGCAGGACCCGCCCTAATGTACTGTCCAGCGGGCTGCTGAACATGGTGTTGTTGGCCACCAGCCGACTGAGTATTCATGATATTGGTTGCTTGATGACCTCCAGGGCCCGGAGATATGAACTGAAGCGGATAACGGGTAGCAGCTGGGATGTTTGGCCGCCCCTGCATGGCGATGTGGCCTTGATGTGCCTCAGGCATCTTGACGTACAGGGGGATGAAGGTGGTGAAAGGTCCTTCAGAGTCCTAAAGTTGAAAAGCCGAGCTGAGAAGGGGAAGGATACATTCCACTGCTCCTGAGGTTGGTAGCCGGCTGTCGGAGAGCGAGGAGATGGACTTATAGGGGTGGATAGCAAGGGGATGGGGTGAAATTGTCTGTGAAATTGACGAAGCACGGCCAAGTGATGGCCGAGATCTAGGAATGGTCTTCACTGCTAGGTAGGGATCGGGGGATAGCAGAGAAATCTCGGGGGAGTTTCAAGCTGGGGAATGCGGAGAAGTCCAGAAAGAGGCCAACGACATGGGAGCCGGGCAAAGTTGTTGATGTCTTATAATGTTGGCTATCCTGGCTACTCCAGAAGTTCAGGGATGTAGCCGCCCTCAGATACTAGGTATGCAACAGATGTAGGGTTACCATGAGGTGTGCATGATGCAAGAGTAGAAGCAAACAAGGGTATAAGTTAAGCCAACAAATTGGGCGCCCGACATTCGTGCCCTGGTACCACCGACGATCTGTAAGTTAGAATCGTGTCCGACGAGATCAAGCCATCGGGAGGCGACTGGATAGACAAGCATTGCCGCTAGTCCGGCTTTCTAACCGTCTGACGGAGCATCATGTGGTTTCTCAGAGCGGAACGCATCATGCAAGTCAGTCTCTTCCCCAGGTACAGGATACAATCTGAGATCCGTTCTAGTCAAAGGTCAAGTCTCGGTGACTCTCGAAGCGTGGTCGCGCCTTCCTGTTGTAGAGGGCGGACCGCTGACAGCACAGCCTTTGACGAAGCGAGCCAACATCCGAGATGGCAGCCTAAGATAGCGGTCAGGCTGCTTGCTCTGGCCGGGTAGGAGACAAGGCAACCAGGACACTCAAGCCGGGCAAAGAAGTGGCGTTCAGTGGTTCGCTAAATGCAAGCAGCAGCCTCGCGCTTCCTTTCCCCCCTCCCTTTCCTATCTGATCAGCGGTGCAATATGGCCTGAGCCTAGCTTCTCTTGTCTGTAGTTTGTTTCTCGATCTCCGATTGCTTACCTCGGTCTGCTTCCTTGAGCTCCCGTGCGGCTCTGCTTCGAGCGAGAGGACTCGGCGGCCACGCACCGCTCGTGGCGCAACACTTGTCGTCCCACCTTGCACAACGAGCCCAAGGGTGGTGCCGATAATGGGGAGTCCCAGATGCAGGTGGTTACACATGCATGATACGTCTCAGCTCCTGGACTATTGACCTCAGCACCTTGTCAGCATCGCCTCATGCATGGTCTTCAGTTATCAACCACGGAAAGTAGGAATGCCTTGATTTTCCAAAATGCGAACTGGAACTGCCCCTCAGCAGCCTCGCTGTCCCTCGGAGCTTAATTGAAGTGTGAATTGGCGTGGAGCACAGCCTCTTTGTTGCAACCTCGTAGTAACCAAGCTAGGCTGAACACCGACAGGTGCAAAAGCCCCTCACTTATTAGCCTCTAAGGGTCCAAGGTGAAAGCAGCTGCTTGACTTTCCCGCCATGCGGCTCTGGTGCTTCACCGGTTCCCCTTTTCAATCACCGGAGCCCTTGCCACCCACGTTCAAAGTAGTGTCCAGATGTAGCTGCCCGAGTAGCGTCTAGGCATTCCAATTTGGGATGCGTTGGCATATGCATGTCCAGCTCCATGCGGAGAGTGGTTCGCCTACAGCAGTACATTCCTACCTCCCTATGTACATGTACGACATTGGACTGCAGAACCTATCCCCGCTTCTCGTCGCCCTTTGCCCGGCTGCAGACTGCAGTGCATTCGCCCACTTGTCGGGCGTAGCATAGCCTTGTGCTTATGTAAATGGGGTGCTTTGCAAATGGCACGCATGAGCTATGCCTAAGGTCATACAATGACGTCCAGGCCTTTACAAGACTCGAGAGGGGCAGTCACACAGAAGTGGTGCATCAAGCTGAAGGCAGGAAGAATGTCGGAGGAGACCACGATTGAGGACGGAGCGGCGAGCTGGTGACGGCAGCTTCAAATCAGTGATTGGGCTCCCTTCCTCTATCAGCATTTGGCACTGACTCTGAGACCTTCCGAACAGCTGCTGATACGAAGCCGTTGCCTTGTTCAGTTGGGCTCCGGGTTGTTTCAGGCTGCTGGTGGCTCGAGAGCATGAACAATACCCATGTTGTTCGTGTTTACAGCCTTCATGCCATGGAGAGACGCTGCCTCGGGGCAGCCACCGACAAACTCCTAAAGGTGTATCAGGAAGAGATACTGAACCCACCCGCATCCCCAGTTACACTTCTTTGGGAGATGGAGCGAAAACCTCCCTTGACCTTTAAGTGCAGATAAGGACGGTGGCAACAAAGCAACCCCCAATAGAAACTTGCCAGCAGAAGTGTACTCGGTGTTATCAACCTTGCTGGCTATGAGAGCCTTGCCTCGGTTTACACACATCTGCTTTGTGTCGTCATCATTAAGTCGTGAGGCGTCTCATGACTCGTTTGCACAGCATCCCCTAGATAGTACCAATCTTATATCTTCCAAGCAGATTTTGTGAAGCGTCATCTGTCTTTGTGACAATATCGAAAGCCCTCACTGCTCCTTTTGGAGACCGAGAATGACGATTGACAGCCTGAATTAAAGACTACCGAGATGCCCGGCCTTTTTGGAACATGTATCACCACCATGGCTTGTATGTTGTGCACCTTTAATGGAACCCCAACCTTGGACTGTCCCAGACGTCCATCAAAAGGCCATGCGTTGGAACCCCCGGCTTCTGATCCGAGCCTCATGGCTTGATATGCCGGTTGACCTGGTGTTACTAGCAAGGGACATCACTGATCGTCACGTTTGAATAAAAGGCTCCGAGTTCAAAGTGTCTAATTGCACAGGGAATCCTAGACCTGTTCCGGATGGCCATCTAACGCCGATAATAATAACCTAAGCCTTGAACATTTTATGAACATGATGTGGTTTGCCTAACAAGCCCAATCGCACCCGTCCTTCTTAGACTTGCCGTCCTTGCAGAACTTCTTGTCACACTCATTGTCCTTCTTCGACTTGCCGTTGCTGCAGGACTTGCCATCACACTCATCATCCGACTCCTCGTCATCCGACTCGTCATCATCATCGCAAGAGTGGTCACCATCGCAGTCGTCATCAGAGTCGTCGTCCTTCTTGCCACCCTTCTGCGCACCCTTCTGAGAACCCTTCTGAGCAAACCAGTGTTTCCAACCGTCTTGCTGCTTGTCAAGGCAGAACTTGTTGTTGCCCTTGCAGTCGCCGACATTCCCCTGCTTCTTCTTGTCGGAATCACCTTGCTTCTTCTTGTCGGAACCGTCCTGCTTCTTCTTGTCGGAACGATCCTGCTTCTCACACCAGTCCTGCTCCTGGCAATCATCATCGTCCGAATCGCTATCGCAATCCTCGTCCTCGCAATCGTCCTCGCTATCGTGCTTGTCATTGTCATCGCCGTGCTTGTCACTGTCGAACTTGTCGAACCCAAATGGACAACCCTCACCATCTTTGAACTCAAAGGGCTGAGGAATCTGGGGCTCGCACGAAGCCCAGGCGAAGTTGCGCGGGGGATGGGCAGGGGCGGGGAAGACAGGAGGGAAAGCAGCAACGCCAACGACACCTTGGTGACCTTGCTGATCGTGGTGACCTTGCTGATCGTGGTGACCTTGCTGATCGTGGTGACCTTGCTGATCGTGGTGACCGTGGTGCTTGTGCTGCTTGTGCTTTCCGCCGGGATTGACGGCGGGTGGGGGGATGATGACGGTGCGAACCGTGGTGAGATGGCCCTCAAAGACCCAGCAGGAGTACAGGCTCTTGGTGTTGTGAGAACCGCTGGTGCGGCTGTACCCGTTGATTGTCAGACTGGAGCCGTTGAGGTTGATCTGGCCAATGTTGCCGTGGCCGTGGCCGATGTTGCCGTGGCCGTGGCCGATGCTGTCTTTCCCTTGGCCGATGCTGTCTTTGTTCTGACCGATGTTGCCGGCGCCCTGGCCAGTGGCGCCCTGGCCGATGCTGTCCTGGCGTGTCTTGATGTCTTGGCCGTTGTTGTTGCCTTGGTCTTTGTTGCCCTGGCCGTTGCTGATGCCCTGGCCGTTGTTGCCATGGCCATTCTTGCCCTTGCCGTCATCATCATGGAAGCCGATGAATCCGCCATTCCTGCTGTACCCGACAATCGGACGGCTCCAGGACTGAGAAAAGTCGCGGCCCTGCGGCCCGAAGAACTAACCAGCATTGTCAGTATTCGGTCCACAGTTGTGTGAACCTGTGGGGTGGTCAACTTACCCCAAATGTGTTGAGAGCGTCATTGTCTGTCGAGTCGTACTTCACGCCCCATTCCCGGGATGAAGTGATGAAGCGGTCAGGGCGCTTGGATGTTGCAGGCATGGGCCATTGCATCTTGGTCGGCAAGGACTTCCCGTCGATCTGGGTGTAGCCGGCGAATTCCCATGACGTGTTTCCGAGTGTGGCCTTGTCGGGGCCCCATCTGACCTCGACCTTGCAGTTGACAGAGTGATGAGTCTGGCCAAGCACCGGCAGGATTGCCGCCAGCTGTGCCATGGTGGGAGGGGAGTCGTCCTTGATGATGTAATTCCAGATGAAGGACCATACGTAGCCTTTGACCGTGCGGACAATGCCGACGCCGACCTGTCCGATGGGGATGTTCTTGTTCTTCTTCTTGTGGTGGTGGCCATCGTCGGCGAAAGTCCCGAGAGCTGGGATGGGGATGACCTCAGTCTCGGCGACTTCAACGAAACAAGTGACGCGATTCGAGCCGTAGGCAATCTTCGGACAGGTGTCCTTGTTCTTGTGGCCCGCATCCCCAGTCACGACAGACCAGGGGAACAAGAGCGAGGCGACGACGCCGGCCGAGAGCGCCGACTTCATTGTGACGGATGATGATGTGATGATGGCACAACAAGTCTGTGAGTGAGACGAATGGGCAAGAAAGACAAAACTGGGAATGATGGTATGTGATGAAGACCCAAAAAGAAGATGAGAATGTTGCTTGGATGCGGTGACGAAGACTGCTGCGTGATGGAAGAGGAAGAAATTCAGGAATGGGAGCAGACGGGAAGTCCGAGGCTTATAATGCCCACCCAGCAGGACACGCACTCCTTCCGTGGCAGAATTGCAAGATCGGGAAGGGCAGGCTCAGGCAGGAGAGTGGCGCCAGCAGCCTGCCTAGACGTTCAAGACGGGAAGGTGCACCAAGACATCGAAGGAAGTCTCGGGCTCGTGAGCCCCCGAGCTTGCCTGCGAAGACGGGGTGTGTCAATGGTATCTCTGCAGGAGCGCCTGCAGGTGTTCACCGTTGATGAGGTCTTTGTGCAGGAGCCCCCAACTGTCGTCGAGCTGTTGGGAAGGCGCCAGGGTAACGACGCGGCCGACGGACGGTGGAGGCAGTCGTGCGATCGCACTGGAAGGCAAGAGGTACCCAAGGGACGCCCGACGCATGATGTGCGAGACAACGACGCCGACACCGAAGGCTTTTCCCTATCACCAGATCTCTCATCAACCCATTGGAACTGTCCGTAAGATAAGGCACCCTGCCCTGACATGTTCAGTTTGGAGATGCCTCAATGTCACCCCTCTCAACTTAGTAGTTGACAGTTGTCGACACGACTTCTCAAAATACCGATGGGACAGAGCGAACAGGAAGCCCAAATGGCCATGCACCCGGAGACGGCAGGAACGCAGCTCCCAGATGCCGAGGCTCGGTCCCGAATGATCTCGGCTTTGAGTCGCCCCAGGTGCGACTTCCGCGGCCTGGCCGCACCGTGACCATCTCCGCGAGTCCCCCTGTCTCCGGTCGTTCCTTCCTAGGGTCATGCAACTTCAAGAGTCCAGAACTTGAAGCCCCAGACTGGATCTTCTCGGTGGCAGGGACCGTTGACTACACGGCGACCGAACGTCGAGGTTGCCGACCACGCCATTTCCTTCAGTCAATGGATGCCGTCGACTGTCAGATGCACCTGCCCTTATCAACCCCCTAATGATGTGGAGGGACGGAGGTCAGGAAGCGGTCCGGCGGGAAGTTCCCAAGATGCCCGGTGATTTTGAGAAGCAAGAGCCTGCCTCCCGCGCAACGGGATTGTCCATGCTTTGAGACTGAGGCAGTCGTCTCCCAACCACCCAGCACCTAGTTCATGGCACCGACGTGGGCACTTTGTCCCTCCCGCGCACGAAGTACCAAGTATCCAGAATCCTGTCCTCGTCCGACCCCGTGCGCTGCACAAAGCCGCTGTAGAGCCTCCACCCGTAACCTTCCAGCGTCTCGAGCAGACGCATCAGCATGATCCTCATCTTGACACTCGCCTCGCCCCGCGAGCGCCATGGCCGCCCCTTCATTTCAAACTCGAACGAATCGTGACTCCATCCACCCTTCCCATAGTACTCCAACTCCTCCAACACCTTCTTGACCTCCGAAATCAGCACCCCCAGATGATCGTGGTCGGCGTCCATGCCAGACAACCCTGCCCCATCCGCATCGTAGACAACCCGGAGCTTATCGGTCCCCATAGGCGCCAGAGAAAGCCATTCCACGGCCGGCCGCGGCGCAACAACATGACGGAAGATGAGCGTGTCCTTGGCCGTGTAGCGGCGGCTGCACAGCAGCGGCGTGAGCAGGTCCCAGCCGCGGGTGTACAGGAAGGCAAGCACGTCCCGCAGCAGGCGGATGCCGCCGACGTGGTGCTGGGTCCCATAATAGCCGAAGGGCTTGCCCCTGACCTTGTACTGGTAGGATTGGCTGAAGCTGCCATGGGATTCGAGTCCGGATGGCCAGGAGGCAAGGATGACGGACTTGAGAGCCGACGTGATGTCGGACGGGAAGCTAAGGAGGCGGATGGTGTCGGATTTGTGGAAGGAGAGGGTTGCATGGGTGGAAGGAGCAGGAGCTGGTGCTGAAGGGGAGCTCGTGGTTGCGGACATGGTGGACGATGGTGGGAGCGGTGATGGAGGGACAGATCATGAGTACCGTGGTTGTCCTATGGCGTCGCAGCGGAAGAACTCGACTGCATCTGTTGAATATATCACTCAATCCAGGCGTTGGCCAAGCCGGCGGGTGGCCATACTGGTTTGAGAATACCGAGATGCACAGCCTGCCTCACTGCCAAGATGCGGCCCATCGACGAGGCAGCTTCCGAGGCTACTGCCACCTAGGTAGTCGTATTGGTCGTAGCCGATTGCTAGTGATGTGCAAGGTGAAAATAGCAGGGTCACAGTTAGGCTTTGCAGGACCGTCAAGGCGCACGTTCAGTCCGTCTAGTAGTTCTTACTCAGCCCAAGTAAGGTGTCAACAAGGAAAGAGTGATACCACGGATGAGTTCTGCAAGAGCACCGCACACGTAAGGAACTTTGACCACCCGCATGGCACCTATCTCCTTGAATTCCCTAACCGGGCAGCAGAGTCTTTTTGCTCCTTCCATACGGCAAGAAGAAACCGGCAGTTGTTTGCTTGGCTGCCTACAGATCAAGCCCATGACTGCCCCCTGATCCGGCGTTTGTGAGACTGGTCCAAGTCTGCCGTCGCCGGCGCCGGAACAATAAAGTCAATGCACGACTCGTATGTCTGACCCTGGCCCAGCCAGTACCACTGAATGACCTGTACCGCGAGTTTGTGTCAGTTCAATACCACCCAACCCGACCGGCTGGTTCAGGGAGATCTCACACAAGCACCAGCCTCGGTGCACTTGCCCCCCAGCTCCGGGATCGTGACGCTGAACTTTGTCTGGTCCGCTGGCGGGTTGGGCGAGGCCGCGTAGTTGTCGGGCCAGGACTTCAGGGGCGTGCCAATGACGCTGTTGCTGGCCGTGTCGACGACCGAGACGTTGGCGTAGCCCTTGTGCGGGATGCGGATCCAGACTTGGAGGTCGACTGCCTGTCCCGGCCTGTAGCTTTGCACGTTCCCCGCGTTGTCGGCAAACTGATAGCCCTTGCAGAGCCAGAGGTTGCACTTCTTCGGGTCGTAGCCGTTCTTCAGCCCGCCGGGGTTCGCGCGGAGCAGCGCTTCCGGGTACGACGTGTTGTCGGCCCGGTAGAAGTCGGTCATGGTCTTGCCGCATGCCGCCTCCGTGGCAGCACCCGGTGTGCGTGTCGCTGGCTTTTGAACAAGGCCGTGTGCCGAAGCCTGGGCGGCGAGCCCGGCGAGGGTCAGTAAGGATGCTACGGTGAATTGCATGTTGGTTCGATTGGATCTAGTGAGATTTTCGACGGGGCCTCAGGACCCAACCTCAAGAGTGTCCATCTAGAGATACCATCTTCACAGCGTCCGGAACGGAGGGCTTTATCATTCGTCCCATGCCGTCCTTAGTCCATGCTTGAGAAGACGGCTGCACGGAATCTGGGCGGCCCGGGTGTTTTTGCCTAATGATCCCGTTCCTACATAGTGGTTGGGGTTCATAACGGCCACTGACAGCGAAGCAATATATCACGGGCGTTTGTGGTAGACAAACGTGGATCGCGAGTTAATTGCCAGACTCTCGGCAAGCAACTTGCCGGGATAGAGTACTCCGTACTACTCGTGCTGATGATGCCGGAACGGCGAACTGAAGGTTTGCAGACGCTCCCAGTTGGGAAGGTTTTGGTCAGGGCTCGCTGAGTGCGCAGGATCTTCCCCACGTTTCCCAGCCAAGCTCAATCCATTGGACCCACAGTCAGCCCGCTGGCAGGGGCCAAGCTTGGTCTCCCGGCAACCAGCTGTTGGCCTTGGCATATCCGATTGTGGCAGGGCCAGCTCATTGAGGCACACAGGTCATGCAGGTTCAGGTTTTCCCGGGAAACTGGAAGCTGGCTTGTGCGTGAAGGAGACGACGATGATGATGTCGTTGTAGTCTATAGCGGGACCATATTTTCAAACCCGCCGGCGACGAATCTCTCGCAAGCATTGCCGATCCGCAGGACAACAGTCCAGCTTGTTTTTGATACGGAATAAGCCCGACTGCCCCGCCATTCCTTCCACCGCTGGAACCCATCAACAAGACGACGCATGAGACCGTGCCCAGCGCTGCAGCGACCTCACTCTCTTCCACAGCTCCCCATACCCGACGACGAAACGTTGGTAGTCTCTTCGTATATTGCTTCTTAGCCGGACCTGGGCTCCAACGGGGCCGCGCACCGCCGCCATGGCGCCGGCAGACAATCTTTCGCCGCCGGGGTCGAGTGCCTACTCGTCCGACACGCTGACGGTTGGCGACGGGACATGGGACTTCACCAAGAATACGTTCCTTTTGCCCAATCTCGTGGGGTTGAATTTCGACACCATGCGGTACAATGGTAAAGAATGAAATTCCGGGCGCAGACCAGCAGTCGCAGAAGCTAATCGTCGACCGCAGGCATGGGCAACCGCTTCTCAACCCTGATAGAATACCACTCACTGATCCTTGGCCATGGCGTACTCGCCGCAATGACCTTCCTCTTCATCGTCCCCATCGCCGTGCTGCTGGCGAGGTTCTACACCCGTCGGCCGGGAAGCGCCGTTCGCTACCACGCCTACCTGCAGGTTCTTGCTGTTGGCCTCACGACTGTCGTCTTCGTCCTTGGCTTCTTTGCCGTCGGCCCTCCGCGAAACTTGACGAATCCGCACCATGGCATCGGCGTTGCTATATACGTTCTGATCCTGGTCCAGCTCGTGGGCGGTCGCTTTGCCAGGGGGCGTGTCGGCCGTCCCTCCTTCATAGTGCATATGCACCGCTGGTTCGGCCGCGCCATCGCACTGCTAGGCATTATTCAGGTCCCCTTGGGTCTTACGCTCTACGGTTCGCCTAAGGTGCTCTTCATTCTCTACGCTACCTGGATGGGATTCCTGCTGTTGCTTTACTTCGTTCTCGATTACCGCGACCACGGGAGACGAGAGTGGAATAGGGGCTCCGCCCACAGTTATGTCGGCGAGGAAAGCAGCCGTGTGACGTCGAAATCAGGCGGAGGAATGAAGTGGCTCGGCCCGCTCGCTGCCGGTGCTGGCGCATTGGCGATTCTCCGAGGTCGCAAAAAGCATAGAGATACAGAGAGAGGGATGAGCCGCACCCCGAGCCCTGTGGATCGGTCCCACGGCGGACGTCAACCGACAGTCATCTCCTCGCGGCGCGAGTCCGACAGCTACTACGACGAGAAAGAGCCAGAGCGGCATCGTGCCAGCGGTGGAGGCGGCTTCATGAATAAGATTCTTGCGGCCGGCGCCGGCCTGGGAGCTGGCGCGCTGGTTTCCAAGATGATGAATCGGGGAGACAGGCGCCATGATGACGAATATTCGGCTGTTGCGACAGACACGCCAAGCCGCGTCCGCAGGCACCCGCCCAGAAGCGAGTTCACTGACTTCACCGAAAGCGAGTACACAGAGCGGACCGAGGACATACGGAGGCACCCAAGCCGCCACGAAAAGGAATCATCAGTGCTGCCGGCGCCTCGTCCCCCTGCGGGCGGGAGGCCACCCAGACCTATGACTCCACGACGCTCACGTGCTGGAACCTCGGCCCTTGACAGTACTGTTGATGCCTCGGATTATTCGTCTTATGTCAGCCCTTCTCGCAGGTCTCCTGTTGAACAAAGAAAGGGTGGAGGGGTGGGTAAAGGGTTGCTTGCTGGGATTGGGTTGGGTTTCTTGGCCAAGATGGGCAAGGACAGACGAGATAGGAGAGAGGAAGAGCGGCTGCGGTATGAAGAGGATAGGCGGAGAGAGGAAGAGGAGGACAGGCGTGCTGGCCGCCGCGTCTCGAAATACACGGGTGATGGTTACCCTAGCCCGTCGAGACGCGAATCAAGGCGTCGCCCACACCGCCCACGCCCTCCTCCATCGGGGGTCACCATGACGGAGACCTCGGTGATGTCGGACGAGTCGTCGATCGAACCACGCGGCAGTACTCCGTACGATCCTGTACCGCCAAGCAGTGTTCGCCCGACTCCCGGTGCACCTCCTGTGCCTGGAACTCTGCCTGCCACGGCTCCGGTCCCGCCTCCGGCACCTATACCAGCACCCATTTCCCAGCCAGGCATGGCGTCAGGGCAACACACCCGATATGACGTGTCGGAGCCGGTTGCAATGCCACCGATGCCCAATGATCCTCATGGGATCTTCCATCATGACTCGGATGCCAGCGGGACCTACAACTCCCCCAGCAGCCGTCGGCGTAGACAAGATGGCGACTCGGCTGCTGCCGCCGCCGCAGCATCAGCCAGCGCGCTTGCGCTTGCAGAGGAGGAAGAACGACGCCGGCGAGGCGAGCGCGCACGCGACCAGAACTCGCAAGCGACCACAGCCCCCGTTAGTGTGCGCGTGCGCGTCCACGACGACCGAGACCGCAACATCACCCTGCGGATGCTCACAGACGAGGAAGCGCGCCGCGAGCAGATGCGCCGCAGGCGTAACGACTCGGTCAGCAGTCACTCCGGCGGCGAGACACCCACCAACCGGCGCTACCGCCGCGACTCGTCCAGCCAGCGGCGCGCCGAGGCAGCTGCCGAACAACGCGTCGAGGCTGCTCACCCAGCTCCCTCCGCAACTGCCGAAACGCTCGACAGCGAGCCGATTGCGCCGCTGTCGCCGCCGAACCCCGCGTTTGCGAGACGTGCCGGTGGCGGGAAAGACTCGGCCTATTACTCCGGAGCGCCTGGTGCCCATGGCAGCCCAGGGGTGGGGCCGTCCGGCGCGATGCCTTCAGCGGGAGCGACTGTGTCAAGCTTGGCGAGTCCGGCAGGCTTGATGAGCCCTGGTGGAAGCCATGCCACGTTTACGAGCGGGCCGCTTACGGATTCGGCCGCGGCAGATAGGAGGAGGCGGAGGAGGCTGGAACGGCGGGACGGGAGCCGACAGCCTACGACGGTGGACTTTTCGTGATCCTTTTTATACCTTACTGTTGCAGGTGGCTATTTTGAGGCGGTTGGTTGTTTCGATGTACTTTGGGCGGGGGTTGCAATCTACATGGTGTTGGGAATGAGAAGATATTGAGAAGATATGAGGAAGATGACGTTTTGTAACCTTGTGGGTTTATGAAGGGACGATGGATGGAATGTTGGGATGAGAGATGCTCGGTTACTCTGTGTAAAGACGATCTTGTAGGAGATGCGGCGGGATGGTCTGCCAGGATGTGATGAAGGAAGAGCGGGCAAACAAAACTCCTACTCAACTTCCTCAAGCGGCAATAATTTTTCCTAATATACACTGCGTTGACCTTGTGAGGAGTTCTCTCCGGATACGTCGTCGTAATGAAGGTCTTGAGAACAATCTTATTGATTATAGTGTGCGTGATATACATCTTATCTGTCAGGGTGGAATACCGTCAGAAGACTCAGAACCCATCGCAGAGGATTACCATGATTATCACCATGTCAAGGCCAAGCTGCCCAGTGATATTGTAATAACGGAGAAGGTAATACGCCAGTACGCTTGCATTACATCTCTTACTGAAAATATCATCCCGGCACTGTGCCCCGCATTTTAGACCCTACACCCCGCTGTCGTCCAGAGAGCTCAGACGCGCCGCAGACTAGGGAGCGCGACGCGACAATCGGGGCAGCATCTCCATTCCCGTCAATCCGGAACGGACATTTCACCTTGCAAGACTGAGAACGAGCATTTCTGCTTGCAACCGCAAAATTGACACAGCACAGCCTTCCAAACTGAATTCTCAAAACGAATTGATCACTGCTTGGCTCTCCTCGACAATGCCATCTAAGCAGGATCCTCCTCATGGAGCGCAGCAACAGCAGGACACCGAGATGCTCGACACACCACAACTACCACCACCACCACCACCACCACCACCACAAACAGAAACAGCCTCTGGTCAAGCAGATTCCACGGGCGCCTCCGCCTCCGCGCCGGAACAACAAAGAGAACAAGAACCCTCCTCCGACCCAGACCCTCCTCCCCCACAAGACACAGCAGCCCCAATCACCCCCGGTCCCCGCGCTGCCCGCCTGCAGGCGCTCTTTGCGTCCACTGCCAAGCACACGCTGGACAAGATCAACCGAGACAACTTCGCGGCATGCTTTCCCACCATTGCGGCGCGGGCGCCGGGGACACTGGAGTTTGTGCAGCGGCAGATGGTTGAGAGGTTGGGGGGGTTATGGAACGTACGTCTCCTTTCTTTTTTCTTTTTTCTTTTTCCTTTTGGGGGAACTTTCTGGCTCCTGGAAGATTTTGGGGTACCGCATTGAGATGGCCTGGGAGAGGGTTGGCTGGGCTTTCCATTTTCCGCAAACTTCTGGTTACAGCCAAGTTGCTCTCTTGCAGCGTATGAATGCACGCCTGATTGGGTCGCTGGTGCTGACTGGTTGACAACAGAGAGAGTTCGAGACGATAATGTCCAACAGGCAGGTTGTGGCAAGGCTGAACGAGTTGGAAGGGTTGGTCGGCGATGCCGCGAGGAGGAGACTGGAGGCTGGGGACGGAGCGGCGCCACCTGTCGCGTACGTTGTTCATTCTTGTTCTCCCCGCTCCCCCACCCTTTCAACGTGTAGTTTTGACAGGGGGCTGATCCGTCCTATATAGACCGCACACGCTCCCCGCGGAAACCATCCTGTCCGCTCACCTCAATCCGCACCTAGCCCACCAGCGATCCCAGCTCAATGCCAAACTCCAAAACACGCAGGCCTCGAATGCAAAGTTGTGGGAAGAGATCCAGGCGCAGCGCTCTGAGATGGAGGCGCTGCTTGCAGGTGTCGAGAAGATCCTACGTGATATGGATGGGGCGAATGTGCTGCTGGGCGAGGTGGTGGAGGAGCTAGCCGAGGAGACGAGAGGTGCGGAGAGGGATGTCATGACCGTCCAGACTGCTGGGACACGATGAGATGAGGTTATGAGGGATGCGGTTGGGGCAATGGTGATGAGACAGGAAGGTATAGGGCTTGGGACATCGAACCAACCGGGTTTCGATGCGGCTTTGGGTCATGCAGCGAAAGCTAGGAAAACGCGGTTGCATAGGAATTGGCGTTTAGGGGCCACGGATGTTTACGGATATCAGGTGTTGAGGGCCAGGTGGGATGGCGTTCGGCGGAATTAAAGAGAAAGACAAATCAGGGATTCAAAAGCGGTCTACAAAGAACCAAGCAGAACTCGGTGATGCAGTCACCGCTTTGATCTGTCTCTGTTCGACTGTGTCTACAGTGATATCAAACTGGAGGCACCCGAAACCGGCATGGACCTTTCCCCTTTCACCCATTCCGTGCAAATCCACTTCAACCCCTGAAAGGAAATGTGGTATATGATGCTATAGCCCGCCCAGCCCACCGTCTCGAGATATTCAATGCCATGCTAAAGTGGTATGCAAACAAGAAAGGACTAGCCAGTCAGATGTATCCGATGCTCCGCCTGTACCGATAACTCCACGCCGTTAATGTGACAAAAGGAATAACCAAAGAGGAGAACGGAGCAGACTGCTCAGTTGTGCAAGAAGATGACAACCAGCTACCGTAGACGCCATTGCCTCGGGAACGGCCATGTCGGTTTACAGTAGTCTGTTCTCGGGCATAATGACCTGCCACGGCCCCATGACATCCACTTCGCCGTAGGCCGGCGGCAGCACGCGGACCATGCGGCCTGTGTTCCAGTCCACATACCACCGCGTTCCCCTCGCAATTACGTAGTTACTCTTGCGCGGGCTCTTGAAGAGCAGCACGGAGTAGCAAAGGCGGGCGTATAGCTGGTCGTGAGTCAAGGTCCAGTGGTGCTGTGGCTTCCACTTGCCCGTCACCGGGTCGATGCTCTCGTTTGGATACGATGTGGTTGACAGTCTCCCAACAACTGGGTGGTCGGTTCGAGGGCCGTGATTGGGACCGCCCTGATCATCCCCTCGGTATGCAGAGTCTGGTGGTTCGCCGCCCTCACCCTCACCCTCGCCCTCGCCATCATCCTCGTCTTCATCACTCCCTTCTTGCCTCCGCTGCTCGGTGAGGCGCTGGAAGCCGATGCTATCTTGGGGCTGTGGCCTGTGGCCTCGTAGCCACCGTATCCTCTGGATCCTTGGTATGCTGAAGTCTCTGGGGAAGTCTCGCTCGTCGATCGGTGACGAGACATGGATGGCAGCGAATATCCCGTCCAGCCATTTGACAAACGTTCCTAGTTCGACGCACGACAGTAGGAATTGGTCTGTCTCTGCCCGCATGCGGATGACGTACCGCCGCCTAGCTTTGGTCAGCAATTATCTCTGAATAGGGGTCCGCGCCCGTGCTTGACGGCGGAATGGTCCAACGCACTTTCTGTAGTCGGCGGCAATGCCGGCATCCGCATGCAGCAGTGTGTAGCTCTTCTCCAGGGTCGACTTTTTCACCCATGGCGGGTTGTCGGGTGATATGTCCGGACCGTCGTTTTTCGACGACCACCATCGCTCCTTCTTGACCGAATAGAAGTTGAGCGCAGTGCCGCGCAGCTCGACGTACACCATCCTCCAGTCACGGTACTCGGCTCGCTTCGTGGTTTCCTCGATCTCCATCTTGCGCATGAACACGCCCTCCAGGTTGATGTCGCACGAGTACTGCGGCAGCACATCTTCGGGTAAGCTTCCAGAAGACCCCACAATGGCAGCTGCGAGCGTCTTCCTCTGCGCTGCGATGGCCGCCTTCATAGCCGACTCGTAGCTCGGCGGCCTGGCGGGCCGCGACGTCATGAGCTCCCGGTAGAACATGTCCTCCTCCATCGACATGCGGCGCGGGCGCCCGGACGACGCCTCGCAGCCGGCGCTGTACTGGGAGAAGGCATCGCTGGGTCGTCGAGCCATGGGACAAGCGAGCTTCGGTTTGCGATGCCTTGAGCGGCGCTGCTGCGCGCTACGGCGGCGGCGGCTTCGTGTGGATCCGGAACCAGACTGATTCTGTGGCCCCCTCCCCCTCCCCCCTCCTCTCTCCTTGTCGGTGTTTCCCTTTGGTTGTGAGCACTGACTCACTCTCCTGTTGATCTGTTCCTCTCCTGCATGGCATGCCCGGTCCTTATGCGCCGCCTAGTGGTGCTTCAGCAGGTAGAGTGAAGGCGCTGCTCGGATGTCACAATGCTCTTCCCGACAACACGAACCGCGGTTGAATTTGACGGAATTTTCGCCCAGGCACTGCCTCTCCCACCCATGCACCAAGTCTGAGTCCCTCAAGCCGTCGAGGTATAATATGGGAGCTGAAATGAGATGCCAAGGCGACAGGGCATGCCGATTAGTCTGGTAACTAGGTAGTTCTAGGCGCAAGCAAAGGCTGCAGGTCGTTCAGGGGCAAAAGACGCCAATGCAGAAGGCAAGAAGGTAGAGGTGTATGTAGGCCGACGCCGCACGGCTTCGGAACTCGAATGATCGGAAGTCTAAATCGGGCCCGGCGGATTTAAGAGTGAGAAAGGCAAGAGAAGGCCCTCGCGTCTAGTAGGTAGGGAGCGGAATGCGACGGGCTTGACAGAGTGGAACGTGGGACTGGGTCACTGGGAAGAGTAAGATGGCCCACAAGGTGCTCACTGGACAACCAGGGTGAAGGCGACGATGGAGACGGACAAAGTGACGGGAAGGGGAAGTTTTGTGCCAAGTGTACCTCACAATTCTCAATAGGTAAGGAAGGTGCGATTGCCCAAGCATGACTCCCGTCCTTGGCGATGGTTGAGGGGCTGAAAAGCCAACCCCGGGCTCGTCAGCAACAGCACACTGCAGTTTTAATAAGAGCAGGCCGGTCGTTAAAAAGCACCCGCACCCTTGCAATTCCGTACCAACTAATAACTAGGTGCACTTGTTCCAGATCAATATACACCTAGATCTCCCATGAGCTCCCATTAAGGCAGGCAGACTTGTAACGAACATTATTAACTGACCGCAAGGGTACTGACCGCCGCTTGGTTCAATGTTTACTATTGCGAGGTGACAGCGCCCGTAGACACAAGTGGTTCTGGTCGGTCTGGAATTCCGAGAGCTTCCCGTTACCAACTTGGGCGAGTAGATAGGAAACTTACCGAGTGGAAGTGGTGGGAAGGTGTGATGGTGTCACAGCATTCTTTTACCCGGCTGGATCGCAGAAGCCGTTGGCGCTGTCCGCAATCAGCTCTCTATCAAATTTCATTCGGCTCCGCGTCCCCCTCCCGGCACTGGCCAGCGCCTCCTGTTTTGCATATATTACGGAGAGTACGAACACCATGTTGTGCGATGGCCGTCGGGACCCACCATCATCAATCATCTCCGTCTCTGTGAGAGTTTCTTCCCGAAACATACTGTAACTAGCGTTATGCCTCTCCGCCATCGCGATGCTGCCCTCGTCCAAATGCTGGTCGATGGGCGCATTGCAGCCGCGCCAGCCAACCACCGAGGCGAAAGTGGATTACCACGCAGCCCGGGCTAGGCTGTTCCAGGTAGGTGGTTTGGGGTCCTGCATGCAGTTCCGTGCCGGGGTTCAAGAATTCGGGACCGGTTTCGCGTTTTCCTTGGGCCTGGATGAAGAAGGAGCTTAACGTTAGGTGTCTTGGCCCTAATACCAACCCTTTCCGCTCTCTGAGAGTCGATGTCTTCGCGGGGTTGGAATCCGTGGCACCTGAAATGTGTAGAATGCACGGAATGGTCCTGTATCTTTTCCAGAAGGCAGATACCAGGTAGGTACACTTACGTGCCCTGCAGTGCCCCGAATCTGGGCTTCTGGCAGTGCCGTGTGGCGGCACCTTCTTCCAAGCTCTCCATATGCGACGGCTGAACTTGGCAGGTCGAAAGAAGGCTGATTAAACCGCCTCCGGGATAGAATCACTCAGGTAACGTGGGACAATCCTCCATATCCACGGGTGCTAAATAAACCGCTGAGACCTGGCTCTCGCAGTTGCTGCAGTTTTCATGATTTCGCTCGTCTTGATCAACGATTTCCGTTCCTCTCCTCCGTCCTCCAGGGTTCGCAGCACCCGCGTCATCTACTATCGAGGCTGAACCGTTGGTGGGTACTAGTGGGCCCAGACCATCGATTCACTCGTTCAAGTTCCGTCAAAGGGCGCGTTGACCGTTTGGGAAGGTGGGAGCGCGGCCTCGCCAGGCCCGGCGTGATCTTCGGCAAGGGCGCCCATTGCCTCTTTCGCTCCCGCATTTGGCTGGCCGGGCTGATCGTCGCCAGACGGGGAAGGCGAAGAAGTTTTGTTCAGCGAAGCTCGCATGAACGTTCGAAGTATGTTTTGGATGTACAACTGGAGAACGGGTGACTCGACCCCTGACATTACACTAAGGTTAGAGAAGCTTCTAGTATTTAAGTATTAATTAATACCTCAGGTAACTGTTGGTTTGGAGGGGAATTGGAGCCCGACGATGGACGTCTTTTCTTTCAAAGCCCCGATGTCGCTTGGACTGGAGCTCGGCGCCGGGATGAGTTGAGCCCCGGATCCCCCCAAGCTTACTGAGCTAAGCTGCTGATAAACACCCTTAAAACGCATGTGTACTAGGACCTCGGGTTTGACAGGCCTCGACCTTTCCGGAACTAGAATGGCTGACCCGCAGCAAACCTACTGTGTAGACCGTGAAAACCGTCGTGGAGCCCTAACTTCTTACCCCTCGTCGACGGCCTCCTCAACGGCCGAGAGACTCGAGACACAGCGTGCCGCGGTCATGGAAGCGATCCTCTGCGTTGAGGCCTTTTTTTCTCTCTCTGGGGGATGCAGAAGCGGCAGAAGTAGTGGGAAACTCGGAGTTGCAGCGTCGATCCTCGGGAGTTGCACCGTCGCATTGTCGATCTCCAAGGACGATCAAGTGACGTGAGTGCCGTGAGAGCTGCGCAATCCGCAACACCACCGGTATCGTGTGTCTTACACTATACTCCTGACCCAACGCAGGATGTGGGGTGTCGATCCTATTTGGACAGGAAAGGGAAGTCTACTACCTTCCATCTACGCCGTCTGTATCAAGGCGATCTGTGTCGAGCATCTATCGCTAGCCCCGGGACTCGGAGACGCATTCGAACTCCCAGTATCAAAACATACACAGTAACCTCTGGTGAACTCTGCAGCGCTGAGACGTGCATCTCCGTCGTAACTCATATTCACCGGTCAGGAGTGGTGCTGTCCTACGCGAACATGACGGCAAGCTTCCTCAGGCTTACTGACTGATAGACCTACCTATCTTATCATCCTCCACACGGGCGTTCAATGGAGCGATGTGCGAGGTTTCCTATCTTCTTGGGCACCAGGATGAAAACGTGGACAAGGTCGACAAAAGCATGGGCACTCGGGCAGGCAAGAGGATGTGCGTCGGTTCCTACAGCTAGACATTGAAGACGCAAATAGAGTCTGTCGGCAAGGACAAAACAAGCATGGGGAACGTCCGGAATCAGTATACGGAAGAGCATCTCAGGTCTTTACCATTAACCGTCATATCTACCCAGGCCCCCGGCCGACTGCTGTCCCGGAGTCCTTCTGCATATCCGCCTGCCCGCTAACTCTGTACAGGAAGGGATTAGGAGAATGGAGGGAATGTGGCCTGGCAAGATCCTGCCCTCGTCTCCATTCGGGGCGCCGTGTCCAGATGAAACTTTCGTAAACGTGAGAGCCCTTTGTTTCCGCCCCCAGCGCCAACGATGACGAAATCAACAGTTCTATGGTTGATGGTGAGTGCGTTTGAGGTGGACGGCGAGTGAAGCAAATACAGAAAAAATGCTTCGCGTCAAGGAGCAAAATAGAGCACACCCTCAAGGAATAGGAACAGAGCACACCTCTTTGCCAAAAACGAAACGTCCATAGTGCTTTTGACCGGTTTTCCTTTCCTAACCTCATTCATGATAACCCCGTTACTCCATGACGCACCAATAAATGCCTTCCATCTCGCAGAACCCCTCCACCAGTGATGTTGAGACGAAAAATAATGAAAAGACCGAACGGCAACCACTCATAGCCGCAGAAACCAGACTGGATTTGTCCCCGTCGACGGCGGCGGTTGGCAGTTCGGAACATCACGCAGTGGTCGCCAACTAGGCAGCACCAACCTGGGGAGTTCCCCGTCCACGGGGACCGCCACCGCGGCCCCGGGACTGGCCGCCAAACCCGCCGCGGCCACCCTGGCTTCCGGTCCGGGACGACTCGTATCCGCCGCGCCCGCCGCGGCCGGCACCACCCCGCGCCGCGTTGTAGTTGGCGCCTCCGTACGCGTTGGCTTTCGGCCGGCGCTGCTCCACGACGATGTTCTCGCCGTTCACGGTGTGGGGATTCGCGGCAACCGCGGCGCTGTATCCCGCCTGCGTCTTGAACTCGACAAACGCGCAGTTCTATGTAGAGGTTAGTCAGATCATCGAGTGAATTTGCATGGATCATCTAACCTTCTGGCGGTTGATGTCGAAGTACGCAAGCTCCCCGAAGCTGGTCAGGTGGGCCTTCAAGTCCTCGTCTCTGACTTTGTCCGTGACATACTTGATGTATGCCATGGTGCCCTCCTTCTCGGTTGGAGCGGCAGCGGCGTGCGGAGCGCGGCTCTGGCGCTTCGTCTCGGCCGTTTGCCACTCACTGCCCTGGTCTTTTGGAGCGGCAGGCGCCGGGGTGCTCTCGGGCGTTGCGGCGCGCGCGGCGGGCGCTGCGGCTGGCTGAGGGGCGGCCGGTACCGGAGCACGTGGCTGAGCCGGAGCCGGAGCGGGAGGCGTGGCGGCCTTGGGAGCGGGAGCGACAGGACGCTGTGCTCCCGCAGCTGCGGCCACGCGGCTGGCCCAGGACATCGGCTTGGGGGGCTCCCTGGGCTTCTCAGGTTGCGCCGGTGCCGGGGTCGGGGCCGGAACCGAAGCGGGTGCAGCAGCGGGAGTGGGGCTGGGATCCTTGGGTTCCTCCGGCTTCTTGACGTCCTCCTCGGCGATCTGCTCGACAGCCTTCTCAACGTCGGGTTGGGTCTGTGTCTCGTTGGCCGGGGCGGAAGCTTGTGCCTCGGCAGCAGGCTCGGCGGCAGGGGCCGCGGGAGCCGCGGGGGACTCAACAACCGCCTCCTCGAGCTTCTCGGTCACGGCTGCAGTGTCCAAGGGGGCAGGATCCTGCTGGGTAACCTCCTCAGTAGCAGGGACCTCGGTCTTTGCTTCGGGCTCGGCCGCAGCCGGGGTTTCCCCAGCGGTGGCGGCGTCCTCAGCACTCTCCTCCTCAAGGTCCTCATTGAGGTACCTCAGAATATCGTTCAGGACGAAATAGCCCGACGGCTGCCGTGCAAGGACGAACGTCTGTGCGAACTTCTTGGGCTCAACACCCTTGTTCGCAATCTCGCCAATGACCTGGATGACGATGTTGTCGTTCGAGGCCTGCGAGTCAAGGTTTGTGATCCGGACCTTGCAGTCCTGGAAATCCAAGGCCTTGATGCGGTTTTGAATGCCCTATTGCGCACGAGTCAGGGCCGGTAAACTCACAGGACTCGTCGAACTTACCTGTCTTCCGACAACCACATTAACCGCTTCGGCCTCTTTGCCGCAAACGAACTGTGCGTTCTTCCCGTAGTAGAGCTGCCCCGAGAGTCAGTAACGTTCCATGGTAGGATTTGAGAACGATGGACTTACATGCAGCCTGCTAGGCGCAGTGCTCACGGTCTGGTAGAACTGCTCCACGAAGTACCAGCCGATCACATTGGGGTCAAGCTGGTCGACCGAGTTCTCGGCATTGGCCTGGGCCTCTACTGTTTGGGCCGAAGCCGCGTACTGGTCGTGGTGATTAAGGTTTCCGTTGGTCGCCATGGCTGTGTGTGGTGCCGCGGACGGAGAAGAAGATGGTAGTGTTGTCCAAAAGCCCCGATGCCAAAATTGTGCGCGTGGGGAGGAGGAAGTACCTAAGGAGGAAGGGTTTCGGTCGCTTGGTGAAGGCGAGAGGGGATGGATATCTGGGCGAGAGAACTCAGCAAAGCTCAGGAATCTGGGTTCGATAGATTATAATAGAGTTCGTACAAGATTGTTACGGGAAGCTTGATGCTGAATCAGATGGGCACCAAAGAAGTTATGGTATCTGGCCTTGTGGGTGGCGAGGAAGGCACAGACGCGTAGACCCAGGGAGAGCTGCAAGTTCTTGGAGAAAGCGCGGTGGCAACGTGGTGAACTTATGGTGCACTGTGGTAGGTAATCGCCGTCACGATTTTAAGAGCGGGGATGGGGAAAGAGCAGCTTGCGGGCAGAAAATTGATATTGGGGCGGCCCACAATCTGCAGACAGTGCAGAACTGCAGAGAGCACGGAGTATCCTTGCCCCCTTGTGGCATCCCGATGCCACCCGCTGCCAGCCTTAGACGATCGAGAAGTCGATGATGCTCTGATACCCATTGCATGACCTCACGACTTGGCCATTACCTACGTAATGAGTAGCTCGGCTAGGCACCTACTTTTGCTTCCGACCCTCCAACTTCTCTTCCCGGGAGGAGGTCCGATCGAAATCTGCATCACAGCTCTTCGCCCCGCTAAGTGAATTTGTGGGACCGTCACCGGCTTGGCCCCCGGGCCCGGGCCGGTTCCAGAAGCCACAAATGCAGGGTTCGGCTGCCGGCATGCCTTTTATTATTAAGCTGTCGCTGATGGGCATCGGGTAATGATTCGCTTGAGTCGACCCGTAAACCACAAGAGAAAACAGAGGAAAATACAGGGTCGTTTCTAGTTAAGGACCGTATCTACCCATACATACAAAGACATCGTACTGTAGGCTGTATTTGATCCTTCCGAATGCCTTCTATGAATAGCACTAGTATTAAATAGAGGGAGGTACAAGTCTATCCTGGCGACACGTGCAAACCTAGAACTTATAAACCAACAACTAGGTCAAACGCATCCCAAGCAGATGGTCACCGCACCTAATCTTGGTTTATACTGCTCCCATCAACCCGGCTTTTATACTTCTTCTCCCCAATATCATCGTCCAGCCTCCAAGTCTCTGCCAACGCAAAAGACGGGTCCGGCTCCGGATATCCGCCGAGGGCCTTTCGGACCTTGAGAATCTCCTCCCTCATCCGCCGCGCAACCTCTATCCTAATCTCCTGCGCCTCCCTGCCATACTTCAACTCATCCGTCGGCAGGTCCCCTGGCAGCAGCATGAGTTCCCTTCCTCTGCCCCGTCCTCCCTTGGAAGCAACCCTCTCCCGCTCTCGCTTCACCAACCCCTCCCAACGCCTCCTCAAATCGCCAAAGGTCGCCTCATAATCCAGCACCTCGCCAAATGCCACCCGTACTGTCTTCCCGATTCTCGGCAGAAAGCGCGGGAACCCCCTGTCCTCGGGCATGCAACGCTGCGTGCCGTCGATGAACATGGGCAGGACGTCCGGCGCGGGGTCAGACTCGAGGATGAGGCGAGCCAGCCCCCACTTGAAGTAGCGCAAATCGGTCGACGCGTGCTGGTGGACGCAGCCCTCGGGGAAGACGTGCACCCAGGAAAAGCGGCGGTGCAGCGGGTAGGCCAGCGGGGAGATGTGGGTGTCCTCCCCGTTTGTGCTGTAAGTCAAGTGGGCGGGCGGCAAGGCTGAGGAGGGAGGGGTCGACAGCAGGCGGATGGCCTCCCTGACAACGGGCTGGAACGGCCCGCCAAAGGGGGAGTGCTTCAGCCGGTGGCACGGGAGGACTTGGCCGTGTGTGAAGAAGGTTGAGAAGAGTCTGAAAACCGGCGTATTAGCTAGCCATTGCGTGTGAGGAACGCGGGAGGTGGTGAGGCTTGCTTGTTTTTGAAGCATATATCTGCCGCCCCGAGGGTCCAGCGCAAGTTGGATGGATCGAAGGCGTAGCTGAGGGGGAGAAGGCCCCAGACAACGGGGTCGTCGAGTCTGGTTGGAGGCATGATGAGAACTGATGCCCGGCACTAGTAGCTCGAATTCATAACGGACACTCACACGCTAATGTGGTTGGAGACTACGGCAGGTCAGCATGTGGTTTGGACATTGGGCTAAACTCATATCCCCACCCGTCAGGAGTCCGCGCTCTCTCTTTGCAGGGTCTTTACGGCTGTCTAGCAAGTCGAGGAACCGTGATAGGCCCGTCACTTCCACCTTGTTGAATCCGTACAAAAAGCAGCGCGATATGACGCCCGTCATCCCCATAATCATGGCCGATTTCAAGCGCAACGAAAGGCTTGGCGGCTGTGAGGCCGGCGCCGGTGACGCCATTGTCGAGTTCAGTTTGAGAGTGTGAGAGTGAGTCGTAAAGCCAGATCTTCAAGGTCTGCCAGTCGGAGATTTACATCGCTCCATTGCCGTCACCGTTGACTTTGTCGCACTAAAATGATGATTGAAGACCGAGGGCGCTCTTCGACATACTAGTACTAGTGCAAGATGAACTTCAAGTGGAAACAGAACAAAATGGCGTCCTCAGCCGAACTTATTCACCGCGCCGTTTGGTTCCACCAGCAATTGTTGGGGCTCCAACTTCAAAACAAGGCTTCTGCCGAGACTCGACCCCATGCAGCACGTGTCGGGCAGGGGTTGTTTTCTACAGTAAAGTCCAGAACGCTACAAAGTGCTTGAAAGCTTTGCCACTGCAATGGAATTCCGGTAAAAACAGGGTTCCGACACAGTATACGCCTCTCACGAAGCTACCTACATTAGGTACCTTAGGTAGGGCTGTGGGGGCTGTAGCAATCTAGAAGAGTACAGTTTGGTAGTGGTGGGGCTTCTCTTGTCTCGATTCTGACGGTAAATTTCACGCTCTTTCCCGTCACTTTACGGAAATAACGTCACGGATGAGGATGCCAAGCAGTGCACACGCCCCGCCGCCGCTTACCGCGCCCACTCGCTCAGCCGCTGCTGAACGTCAAGGCTAGAGGGCGGATGTCATTCGAATGCGGCTGGGGTAACTTGTCGTAGCGAGGGCTTGCCTCACCAAACTTGGACTACATACCAGGTACATACGGTAACTATCCATCCCATTGACAATGGCGCATAGTAAGTAGCCAATCACCTTGCCGAACGGTTGACGGGCATGCCAATCTGACCTACTAGGCAAAAGGAACACGAGCCGGCCCATCTTCACGTCGCACGAACGGGCCATGGCCCGCGCGGCCTGGGGCTCCTCGACGGCTCGCCTCTCTCGGGATTCGTTCCTGCCCTTCGCTTCGTGCTGGCTGTGCCTCGAGCCCGCCATAGATCCCGTTGCCTGCATGCACGGCGATGTTTTCTGCCGCGAGTGCGCCCTCAGCAATATCCTAGCCCAGAAGAAAGAGATCAAGCGCGCCGAGAAAGCTCGCGAGCAAGAGCAGCGCGAAGCCCAAGAGGAGAAGGCACGCCGAGATGCCGAGGCTCAGGAACGTGCCATACGAGAGTTTGAGCTTACCCAGGCCGGTCTGAGTATCAAGAGAGGGAGTACAAGTGGTGCCGGGAAGGGGGAGACGGGGCGACCTGTAGAGCGGGAAAGTCAAAATGAGATTGGGAAGGGCGAGAGCTACGCCTCAGAGAAGAGCGCCGTAGCAGGGGTGAAGCGCAAGTTCTCGCTTGACCCGGACGAAGTCGGCCGCATCGCTGAGGAGGAACGGGCAAAGGCGAGGAGAGCAATCGACGAAGAAAAGGTGGGCGGACTCTTGCCTGATGGTCTCACCCTGCCTCCCGCCCCATTCCCTCCTTCCCCGCCACTCCCTCCCCCTCTCCCACAAACAAGCTGACACACAACCACGCAGGCGTCAAAGGTCACACTCCCATCCTTCTGGTCACCTACGGTAACACCGTCTTCAAATAGCAACAACGTTCTGCATGAGACAACACGAAAGGCCAAGACGCAGCCGGTGTGCCCGGCGGCTCCAGAAGACAACCCACACCACTATTCACTACACACACTGGTTACAGTCAACTTCACAGAAGAGGTGGACTCGGATACTAAACAGCCCCGGCGGACCTGTCCAGCTTGCAACAAGGGTCTTTCGAATTCGTCCAGGGCGACGCTGGTGAAGCCTTGCGGGCATGTACTCTGCAAGAACTGCGTGGATCTATTCATGAACGCATCCAGCGGAGAGCCGGTCCGCTGTTATGTCTGTGAAGCTGACATCACCGGGAAAACGGAATCTTCTTCGAGAAAAGAGGGCAGGACTGGGAAGGAGAAGATCCGGCCCGGCTTGGTCGAGCTCCGGCGTGAAGGGACAGGCTTTTCAGCGGGCGGTAACAACCAAGTCAAGAAGAACGCAGTGACGTTCACTGTTTAAGACGTGAGAACCACTCCAACCACAGACATTCTCATAGAGAATACATTCCGCCCTTCAGGGGTCAGAACACGGGACAATGCTGGATGTAGCAACGTTGAAGTGGAACAGGCAGGAAGGCCCTGCGTTGTGTTGACACGGATGCTGGTGGTATTAGCAAGGCACTTGCAAGCGAGACCCAACCCTAATAAAAGTGCAGTGCCCAGCCAGACCCGAGTCAGCATGATCGTGGAGGAGCGGTGGTGGAAGTCCCAAGCATGTCAGCCCAAGACCCGCACTCAGGTACTAATTGGTACCAGGAGTTAAAAGCGATAGTCGAGGGGATGAATTTCGTATATGGTAATTCCATGGGGCCTTGGAGAGCAAAAAGAAGCCAGCCGCACTTCCTTGAAGCTCACTTGATGGACGAGCTGGGAATCGAACCCAGGACCTTTCGCAACGACCAGGGATCTCTCGAAAGATACAGGTGATGCTAAGCGAACGCTCTACCAACTGAGCCACACGCCCTGTGATGAAAGTGGAGTGTCACCACGGAGGTGATGGAGACATTGGAGTGATGCTGGTCATTATCAAGTTCTGGATGAGATCTACAAGCAGCAAAGGCCTGGCGAAATCAATGCATACCTAAGTGAATGAGTCCCTTATAGAACGGGTTGTCCCCTATCCTTACAGCACTAGAACACACCATACAAGCTAGCATGAGATTGGCACCAGCAAACGCCGCGGTCGCGGAGTCTCATCCGAAACCAGACCAGACCAGACCAGACCAGACCCAATGAACCCCAAGGAGCCAACCCAAATCCCCTCGGGCTCCGTCTCCAGATATACGCCTGCAATGCCCCGTACCACTATACTACCGAAGGTGCATGCAAAGAGAGAAACGAGTAACCGATAGAAGCAACTGATACCACGGGCTGGTTCCGAGAAAGGGAAAATGGGAAAGCAACAAAACTGGAAGAGAGGCTCGAGGCGGTACACAAAGAAAGGAAGCAAAAAGGAAGAAAGAAGAGATGCACGATGTAGGGTATAACCTCAAGATTGAAACCAAACGCCATTGTAAAAGCCGGGAGATGGAACTGAAGTTAGCAGCATCCTTGCTTAGCCAGCCGCCCCCCGTCCGCCTTGCTGTTCTTGGCCGCCTTGCTTCTTAGGCGCGGGAGCCTTCCGCCTGCCGCCCGCTTTCTTCTTCTTTGTCTGCCCCTGAGCAGCAGCCAATCCTTCTCCTTCCCCGGCTTCCCCCGCAGACGCGGGAGGTACGGAAGACGGAGCTGGCATGGACGAAGACGCGGCAGCCGCTGAGATGTTCTGTTCTAGGCTCTGCTGCTTAGACGATGTGGTCTTCCGTTTTCCACTAGCTCTTTTCTTTTTGGCCGGCCCTTGGGAAGCACCCAACCCTTCCGCCTGCCCTGGTTCTGGCTCAGGAGGGACCGCCACGAAAGAAGACACGGCAGCCGACGGAGGATTGTGTTCTTGGCCTGGCTCCTTAGACGAGGCGGTCTTCAGCTTCCCATTCGCTCTCTTCCGCTTGGTATGCACCTGAGAAGCACCGGGTCCTTCCCCTGCTCCTCCTCTCATCCTAGAAGGAGCTGTAACGGATGAAGATGCGGCAGCCGGAGAGGTATTCAGAACTGGCGACGATGTTGATGCCCTCATCCCCGTGATTGCTCTAGCCAGAGCTATCGCCTCTTCAGCCGGCTGAGTGAACAGGGGCTCAGTAGGTTGATCTAGTCGCTGGGGAGTCTGCACCTGTCCCGTCTGTCTCAGCTGGCCTAGCCCCAAGGCCGTCACATCGGTGGCCTGCGCCTGCATCGGCAACTGTAAGGGAGTTGGTGGCGTCATGCTCGGGCGGGAAGTCGAGCCCATCGCTGGGGTGGATCGTGCCGCAATGACTCGCGGGGGCTGCTGTTGAAGCGAACTACTTGCAGTTGCGGTGGGGACAAGGCGGCTGTGCGAATACAGACTAGGTCCAGAATTACCGGGTTGTCGAGCTAACGGCACGCTCTGGGATCGAGAACTCTACGCTCGACCGGTCACCGATGGCCGTCGCTCCGACGGTCCCCCGAAACTGAAGCTCGAAGATCGCCGCGAGAAGTCGCCCCCGCCCCCCACGACCGCGGGATCGGGCTCACCCGGTGCATCCTCAGAGTCGACGAGGCCTGGGTGCCCCTCGGGAAGTCGCTGGGCGCCGTAGCCGACGACCTTGAAGATGTTGACTCGTCCTCCGTTGGTCGCGGTTTGTAACTGTTCGTGGAGGCGTGCTAACTGATACTGACGCTTAGTCGGTGCGAATACAGGCTGCGGCACGACCGGCTGCGGGTTCCAGCAGGCCAGGGCTGACATCACAGCAGCTGTCTCCTCGTCACTGTCGACTGTCCCTGCGTTGGCATCGTCCTCGTCCTCCAAGGGCGCGTTGGCATCAATGGCGGCCTTTTGCTGCTTCGCTTGGTTCTTCTTTTGGTAATTGGCCAAAAGCATGTCGTACGGCAGCGACCGGCCAGGGACAGCGCGTTTGGCGCTCATACTATGGCTTTTGCAGGTGAGGGACCGCGCGCAAGGCTGGCCATTAGGCAGGATCACGCCGCACTGCCTCTCAACGTCCACGGGTCCCTTTGGCTTCGCCGCTTTCGGTTTGGGCTCATCCTTCTTTTTCTTGGCCTTGCTCTTATCAAGCTCGCTTTCGGCCTTCCTCTTCTTGCCCGCGACATTCATCTTCTTTGCCTTGCCCGCTGTTTTGCCGGCGCTGCCGTCCTTCTGCTCGTCGTCGTCGTCGCTGTCGCCGTCGCCCCGGGCGGCACCGTCCCCTTCGGCCTTGCGTGCCTCTTCCTCCCTGGCAGCTTCCTTTAACCGTTCACGCGCCTCCCGGGCCTCCTTCTTGCGCTGTGCTTTCTCCTTCTTGATCCTCAGGCACTGCGCAATATGGTCCTTGGCCGCAGATCGCGTGATGCCCTTCTTGCAGTGCTTGCATTGAAACATGTCCGGAAGATCTTCGAGGGGCCGGCCGGTGCTGAAGGTTTCGCGGCTGCTATCATCGAGCTGGTTGATGACAGGTCCGGGTGACGTGGCGGTGATTGCACCTTCTTTGGGTTTCTTCTTGTCGTCTGCAACAGCTTAGTTCGACTCGTTTCAAGGATGAACGCGTGGTAAGGCTGAATGCGTCGCACCTTCAAGAACAGTGGCCTCCTTCCAATTGCCAGCCTTGACCTGTTTTGGCGCAGCTTTCTTGAGTTTGATTTTGCCGAATGACTGTGGCCCCGAGGGAGCGACGGAGTTTTTGGCCGAGGCGACCTTGATGGTGGCCTCCTCATCTGGAAGAGAATGGTTAAAACTTGCGACGCGAGAAGGAGCGCGTGTCGGATCAGGCACACCTTTGCGCGATTCTATCGACGCCATAACGGGATAATGATGGTGTTATCAAAAGCGTGTCTCGGTGGGCAGAAGCAACACCGACTATGGAGAACCACAGGAGAGACCAGCTGGAGCCGACACATAGGCGCTGCACATTTCCAGTTCAAGTTGGCCTTATGTTCTGGCGCTAGTGTGGCAAGCGAGTACTGTGGTATGTTAGCGATGAGGTGGTGTTGCGGCGGACGTGGAAGTGGAGCATTGCGGAGGAAATAAGGTTATCGATAACGTTGGCGCATCAGGGTGTGCACAAATCAACTGAGAGGTGTGTGCAGTATAAAGAGCACTCTAAGTCTACACTCTACAGAGTCACCTAAGTCGAAGCCTGCAGCATGCACTACGGATATTATATATCACAATATTATCATTAAGGCCGTATTACCTACCATCTATTTTCTCAACTGCTGGTTCTTGCCTTATCAGGCGATTCCGAGCTCGCAACGGCGCAATCACCTCCTGGAGTTCTGGTAGAGCGAGGATCGGACTGGGCTATTACGCGCAGAGCTGAGTTGCTCTTTGCCCTCGTTATCTTGTGTAACACTTCCTTCAAAACCCGAGGCCAAGAAAATTGCGATACCGTAAGAGCTGTCTCTACTGCTTTGAAGCTATACATGCTAAGAAAGCCCGTCTGGCCCGTCCGGTTCGCTGCAGCCCCATTCACTGCCACTCAAGACTGGTCGTCTATTCGCGCTGGCAGAAGAAAGAGCACCCAAGACACCCTTTGAACCACTGGCACGCCAAGTGGCCTGCTCCCCGGCGTATTAACTCCCCAAGTTCGCAGAATGCAAGCATTATGTCAACGCCCACAACTCCCATTAGAAGTTGCCAACCTGATGCGGTGGCTGAGACCAAAACGTCGTTAGATAAGTTATGAAGTAGGATCAGCTTAAGCGCCCTTTGGCACCCAACCGTCTATCAGAGATGTCTCTTGTCTTTCCACGGCCTGCAAGGATAGCCCGTGTTCTTATGCAACTGCTGCATATGAAAGTAGGATTAGCCGCAGATGGTGTCTGTACCATTTGCGCAAACGGATACTCATCCTGTAACATCGCTATTGAGAATTCTTGTGGAAGCCGTCCTTGTCCAAGCACTGCTGGCTAGCGCCACCACTAGTAACCGCCACCGTAGTTGCCCTGGCTTGGCACAGGCTGGTATCCTGCTTGAGGGTGCATCATCTGCTGTGACTGAGGGTGCTGTGGATGCTGCTTTGGCCCCGGTTGGCCCACAAGCAGATCGGCAAACCACTGGTGCGTCAGGGCTTCGGACGCAGAGATGCGGAGCTCCGGCCGGAGCTGCAACATGCGCTGGAGCAGATCGATGCCGAGCGGGTCGATCTGAGGCAGGATGCTGCTGAGCGGCTGCGTTGCATACAATTGCCACGTTGTCTTGTACTCGGGAAACTGCGACAAGCCTGGCCAAGTCCTCTCGGTCGGGGTCCCCATGATACGAAAGATGCGGATGATCTGGTCCTCATTGGTCGTGCCAGGAAACAGAGGTCTTCCCGAGAACATCTCGGCCATGATGCAGCCCGCGGACCAGATGTCGATGCTCGTGTTATATGTCCTACTACCGAGCAGAACGTCCGGCGCCCGGTACCAGAGTGTCACCACCTCATTCGAGAAGGTATTGACAGGGATGCCGAATGCCCTGGCAAGGCCGAAATCTCCCAGCTTGAGCTGACCCTTGGTGTTGATCAAGAGGTTTTGCGGCTTTAAGTCTCGATGAAGCACGCGGTTCCTGTGGCAGAAGTCGATCCCTTTGAGCAGCTGGTACATGAACGACTTGATGACGGGGGGCTTAAGCGCGCCCCTGTCGCCTTTTGTGTCCATGTACTTCTTGAGATCGCAATCCATGTATTCAAAGACCAGCATCAGCTTGTTCTCGGTGTGGATGACATCGTGAAGGGCGACAATGTTCTCGTGCTTCAGCTCTTTCATAAGGGATATTTCGCGAATCGCCGTGCTTGGGGTGCCCTCCTCGGAGTCCAGATGGATTTCCTTGAGAGCGACCAGCTCACCCGTCTGGCGGTTGCGGCCTTTAAAAACCTTAGCAGAGCGTTAGTAGAGGGCGAGCAACAAGCTTTCCACCGAGGATGCAACGACTCACAGTTGCGTATGTCCCCTCGCCGAGCTTCTCCAGTTGCTGGAAGGAGGCGGCGTGCCTTTTGCCGTCCATGGCTTCTGTACGACGGTGTGAATCCGTGCGATCGGGACTGTTGTAAATAGCGAAGCGGGCGACCGGCGGCGGTCGAAGGTGAGATGTGGCTCGGGGACCAAACAGCACGCTGCCAGCGGTCGTGGTCTTGAGGAGGGGACTTGGCCGAGTACCCGGGAGCGCTGTCGTCTGAGAGTCTTGAGAAGCCGTGGTGAGGAAGCAGAGATGCCCCGGGGCCTCTGCAAGAACAGATGAACGGTAGCTGGCCTCGGGCTTTGGCTCTTGGGTGTCGTTTCTCTGCGCTTCAGATTCGTTCGAAGAGAGGGGCGAATCGGTGGTGATGGTGGTGGCGGGACCCCCGCAGTTGTTTGAGGCTCACGTAGGTAGGTCAGGTAGGTGCTACTGTCAAATGCAGAGCGGTGGTGAACGGATAGAATGCCAAAGACTCAAAGTAAAGATCATCCGTCTGATGGCGATCCACCTTTAACGTCGAGGTGCCTGGGCCAAAGCTGGGTGTGGATGTCTGGAGATGTCTCCGTTTCAAAGACAACCGAAACACATGCGTTAGGCCGCTGGCTAGGCCACGAGTGCCAGGGGGCCATTGCAGCGCCCTAGTGCATTTTCAGTTAGGTAGTGTAGAGAGCGTGAGGTGGCCCGAGCGCTGCTGGACATGGACGGGCTGACGGGATCCATGGATGCCCGGCGACTCCACTCCCTTGTCTGGCTGGCCAGTGGCCACAGCTTACACGAGGCTCGACAGGACCGTGATGATGGGTTGGGCTGAATGAGAGTGTCTCTGTCGGGCGGGTACTTCTAAGCCATTGTAGGAAGTCCTAGGTGGCTGATCTCATCATCTCAAGACTCGCTGCAAAGAGGAGTTCATGCGGATCCAGCAATTCAGTAGGTTTCACTGGCCGGCTCACGCCTGAGCTGTCACACCAGAATGATGCTCAGTGAGGTGAGCAGTCTATTTTTCATTCGCCTAACCTGCGCACCTCAATACTCCGAGGGACCAAGCTACAAGTGAGAATAGCGTTTGTTCATGTGTCGGTACGATGGCTGACAGACCTCCACGGGGCCATCCTTCATGATATCAGCAATCAACAAGGCGGCCAGGCTTATTTTATCCGAGGTCATACACCAAGGCCAAATGGCTGCAGGTCAACCCGAATAGCCCGAGGTTAGGTGACGATCGTAGACATGAAGTTTCGTTCCAATGGCCCTACACAACCCGCATACTCCTCGTCTTCGGGGCCTATAACGTCCCCTTCATCTGCCCAAGGTGCAACGAGAAACAATAATGCAAGCTGAGTGCTGTTCTCCTCGGCATGCACAGGGCGTGTTATGGCAAAGAGACATCCCCCTCTTCGGGACGCCATGGAGCGTGATCATGGATAGAAAATGGCCGAAACGCATTGTTCCCAGCCCGTGGAAACGGCCTGTGGAGCTCCCGCTCAGCCTTGCGGTTCAGTTTTCTGCACGTCCATCCATTCCAGTGTGAATGCCGTGACAATGCGTGTCCAGTCTTTGACGGTTGGGATGTCCAAGTGATCCCCATCATCATCCATCGTGTGCCACACTTTCGGAAAGGGTGAAGGAATGAGGTGCAGCACGGGGGCACCCCTCCTCATGAAAGGCACATGATCGTCGCCGACGAAATTTGCGCCGAATTCCGTCGCCATCTTGCCGCTCTCCGGCAGAAACGGTTTGCCGTCGGGGGGTTGGCTCTCCAACATGCCCATCTGGCGCAGGCGGCCCTCGAGCGCAGCCATGCGCTGATACGCCCAGTGGGTGCTCTGGAAATACGATGGTACCGCGGGGTTGGCGGCGCCCAGCAGATCCAGCAGCACAAACAGGCTGATCTGCCGCAGCGGGTTCCGGAACGTCGACATGGCCGGATACACCGTGCCCTCCCACTCCTCGGCGAGCGACCTGGACCCGTACAGACTATCCGTATCGGACCAACTCACGAATGCCTCCTCCCCGTCCAGCAGCAGGATCTGCACTCCCACATCCTCCCTCTCCCTGGGATCTTTTTGCTCCACCGCAGCCCACATCCGATCCAAATACCCATCCACCTGGCGCGCAACATCCATCAGCATGGCGCACGGCGCGGCACTGTCCGTCGCCCCGATGAACCCGGACGGTGTAATCTTGCTGTCATAATGCGCAACCAGCGTTAAGAACCCCGCGGTTCCCGGGCCTCTCTTTCTGGTCCATGGCGGTTCTCGCCGGAGAATGATGTTCGCGAACGGCAGCTTCCTGTCCCCCGTCGCGGGTGTGGTGGAGGTCGAGTTCTGCCAGAGGATCTCCCAGTGTGGGAGGTGGGTGCGGAAGAAAGTGAGGAAGTGCTCTTGCGCCTTGATCTGGCCTTCTGTTCCCGGGACGCGGGGGATTAGGAGGGGCGAGAGGAGAGGACCGGTTTTGGGGTCGTAGTCGGAGGTGGAAGGGGCCGGCAGAGATTGGAGGAGGAGGTTGGACAGCGGGGTGTAGGCTACTAGTAGGGTGGACGACAGAAGGGTGAAGAGGAGGGCGTAAAGGCGCATGTTGGTTAAGGGGATGAGGCGGCGGCAGAATTGTTCTTTATTCTTTGAGCAAGATCCTCGAGGCTTGCTGCGCTCACGAAGTCGCGATGGCTTGGCTCGCGTCGCTAGCTTGGGATCGTCGCGACCATACTATGCTTATGTCTTGTGGCGAATCAGCCAGGTAGGAATGCAGCTAGGGATGGAGTGCACTTGCATCATAATAAGTGCAGGGTTGGGATCGTTGGAATGCGCCGTCGAGATCAAAGGGAAGAAAGAGCCGTCCCCGATACTGGCGGATTGGTGTTTCGCTGTCCTCCGACAGATCGACACGGTTGTTCCTAACCGCGGATTGGTCAGTACCCCTAGCAGGTCATGGGTAAGAGAGATCGCCGTAACGGGGATCCGAAACGGCCTGCCGGAGCGCTGCCGGCCGACGGGCAAGTGGGGCCAACTTCTGCCAGCAATGATGTTAACAGCTCAATGTCGACATGCATCGTTCACCGTTGCGAACCTGGAAGGCAAGTCCAAAACTCTCGGACGACCGCAGGCAAGCCTCTCACCTTTCAATAACCGTTGCAATTTCATGGATCCGTCTGTCTCATAAGCCATAACTCAACTTACTGCGATTGTATCCCAACCAGGCCTTCCCAACCATACCCCCTTACCATGAGCCACCCATGCCAGCCGGGTCCGTGACTGCCACAACGCAGTCATCGTTGTATCATACCTACCTAGGTATACAAGCACATGTGCTAGAGAACCACTCTCAACTATCCACCCAAGCCCACCCGGTCAACGCCATTAGCCAAGCATCCGAGTCACGCTGGGATAGGAATCAGGATGCGTGACGTTAAGAGAACGCAAAGATTAATGCACCATTGTATCCCGCCCCGCATAATCAGCTTCTATCATCGACACGTCCTCTCACCGCCTTTCTCCGCTCCATCTCGTCTTCCAACAGCAGCCGCTCCGTAAAACTGCGTGGCGTATCTATGGAAGGTCTCGCGAGGCCGCCCGGACGATAACTGCCCAGATCCTCCCGCGCACCGGGGTCGTGGATGCTACCCACGAAGAAGGGGACGTCCCTCATGCTCGCAATCTCGTCGTACAGCTTGGGGTCCTTGATCGGCGCTATCGTCATGGACCTGCCCATGTACGACCCAACGCTATGCTCGAAAAGCGCTGCAGAGGGAGAGACAGGTGGAAGCCCTGAGGCCTCGTCTGATTCCTCTCGAGCTGCGGTCCGTGGGCGCCTACCGGGAGTCTCATCCTCCTCGTCTTCTGGTTCCGGGAGGTATTTAGGCGGCTGCCTCTGGGCTTGAGGATTGGTTCGTCCTCCTTCATCCTCAAAATCAAAAAGCGAATCTTGGTCGTCGTCGAGATGAGGTTTTCCGTTTGCTGTCAGTGTGGCAGTCCGGGATGCCGCAGGGCTGCTAACCGGCTTGGCGAATGGCAGCTTTGCGGTTGGAGACGGAGTCTTCTTCTTGGGTGCCATGGAGAGGAACTCCTCGTCGGAGGCGTTCCCATCCTCATCGTCGTCGTAGATCGCTTCCCGTTCCTCGATCGGCGAACCGAGGAACTCGCGCCTAGACCCGTCGTCCAAATCATCCGCCTCACTGGACGCTTGCGAGTCAACCTTGGTTGCCAAAGCATCCGTCGCACTATCTTGCTGCTTCTTGCCATTCATTTTAATGGGCTCCTCGGGATCCGGGTTGACTACTGTCCAGGTTGTTCCTTCCTCCAGCGGACTCCGGGTGAGTGCCTGTAGAGCTTGCGTCGATGACACCTTCCTTGGTTTCGGAAACAGATCTTCCTCGCCTTCGACGTCCAGCAGCGAAGTTCCGGCGTACGCAGTTGACTCATCCTCGGTGGCGACCGGCCGCGCCACAGCCTCGGGCTGAGTCCCCGCCCCACTTGCTTGAGCCGGGATGGCAGTGGATGCCTGGGGAGAAGAAGACGCTGGAAACACTTCGTGGCCTTCAAACTCAAAACGCACCCGGCGGGGGCTGCCCTTATTGGAGCTAGTAGTAGAGGGCCTTCGTAGCGCGCTTCGCCGCGCTTTCGAGTCGCTGTTGGAAGACTCAACTGACGACGTGGACCTGTCAGTTGACCGCCGTACTGGATCCGGCCTGCCTTGGTCATCGGTCGAAAGAGACCGCGTGGACTCCTCCACCTTTTTCACGTTGTCGGTGGACAGTGGCAATGACGATCCTCCTGAGGCAGGTGGTGGTGATGTCGGAGGGGAGTGGTAGGTGCGATGGTTACTCTCAAGAAGCGGCAGGTAATTGGGCGTGAACAACCCATGAAACTCCTTCTCTCGTGCATGGATGCTCCGTGCGGCTTCCTTTGGGGTGCCCGAGGTATGGCGGAGAATGGGCGGGGGCGACTTCTTCCGGCCGTCCCAGGCATTGTGATCTATCGAGGGTGATTCCAGCATATCGCAGCTTAGCGGATGCAGCGCTGGGTATTTGCCTGTGGACATGGACTCGGCAATGGCTTGGGAGACCTCATTTGAGATGTGTTCTGGGTAGCTTTTGAGACACTCGTCCATGTGCTTGTGGAACTGGGCCAACATGTCACGCTGGTACGCAGCGACCTTGCCGTCGAGCTCGGCGAGCTTGTCGTGGAGCTGCGCCACGAGCCTCGCGGAGTCGTCCATGATGCGCGCACCTGAATGCCGAAGCCTGGAAGCCTGGCGAACCCTTATTATTAGCGATGCGCGTGACTCGATTGATTGGTTATCTGCAGGCCGCAAATCATGTTCCGCGCCTTTGTTTTGCTGTCGTGAAACGTCCGCAGGACCGCCGTGATGGGCCAGATGTGCTTGCAGATCGCTGGAGTTGGGGAATGGCCGTGGACGGATAGAGTTTGGTGGAAGAAATAAGTTGTGTGCCTGCTAGCGCTGGGGAAGTGGTGGTGAGGTACAGATAACGTCAATGGGCAACCTTCGGATCACTTGCGGGTTCCAGAACCCGTCGAGACCTCGATTCCATCCCGCATGGCGCCGGTAGCCGGCGCGGGGTGTGTGGCTTGGCCAGTGGGGGCGCTGCTTGTTGAACGAAGGAGGGGCTTTTGTGGGTCTTGGAGCCAGCGTCCTGGGTGAGGGGTGCGATCGATTGGTGATGCGCATTCCTGAAATGCAAAGTCGTCTGCACGTAATCACATGCATAGCACACAGGCCATTCAACGAATTGATCTGCCGGTCAAGCCTCGAATATACTTGTGCCATCGGGCAAGGAGAATCTGCAACTCTGAATGGCCCGAACTTTCCTTAGAGCCGCCAAATGGGATGGATGGCAGCAGATTCAGTATCACGAGTGCATTGAAGCAAGAGGCGCATTCTCGGATACGATACGGAGTGGGCCGTGCGCTCTGTTAACTCTGTGAGCAGACGGTGTATAGGACTTGCATTGGTGAGCGCAGATATTTCCACCAGGAAAAGCTGTGGAGTTGCTACAGCATTGTGCACCTGACCCTCAGCGGAATAAGGCGCGAAGTTGATCCCACTGAATTTCCATGCAGACGCATCATTCCTTGCCTGGCGGGCATGGCTCGGTACGGTGGGTTTCAGCTTTGGGGATTGCTCAGTTATACGATCTGGAATACCCAGCTACCAGCGTCCTAACTCCCTCTTTGACCACGGTATCCCCGAGGTCAGTGGCTGACTGGATACTACATCAGAGGCCTCAGGATGGTCGGGGCAGCATCGTGCCTTCTTCAGGTAAAGAACGGCTATATCCCTTGAACATCATTCCCATCCAGCTTTCCAAGTACAAAACAAGAAAGATGTGCACACCGTGACATTGTAACAGGCTAGATTTCTGTTGTTCCTGAATGTGGCAGCGAACACTTGGCTCCTCTGGTCGGCAACCATTTGCCGAGTCCAGACAGTATAGTACTATTGATCTTAAGCTTTGTCGTCTGGGCGAGGCGGAGGAAAAACTAGGTAGAAGCACTAGAAGGCTAGGCACTGAGGCAGAGACTTGGGGGGAAAGCCCTACAACAAATGGAGTTGGTCCGAGAAGAAAAGATCGGCCAGAGGAGCCCAAGGACGCACAGCGCCACCTCTATCCATCCGAGGGACTGTCGCAAAAAGATGATCGTCGAAGAGCTGGTCGGCCGAGACACCGCGAAGAGGCTACCTAAGGAACGCTGCCGGCCTCTGAGCGACCTAGGCCTGAGGAAATATGCGTCAACCCCGACGGAGCTCGCGCGGGGTGTAGACATTGACGGCCGTAATATTGGCCCTCTCTCTTGACAGCTACTATCTCTGGACGCATTTTAATGACGTATCTTTGCCGGGATCCGAACCGGTTGCCGCTTTCATCGTCCTACTCTCCAAAGCAGATGTTGCCACTATAATCATAAGTGGCCTCCTTTCCGAGCACCACGAGATGGAACCCTAATAAGCCCCTTGCCGACTCTACAAACGGCGGCACCGGCGAGACTCTGGAGCGCGACTTTTGATCCCTCTGGACGGAATCGATGATCCTGGTTCTCGTGAGCCCGATGAAGGCAAGGGCCGTGTGACGTGTATGAGGGGAATACACCAAGTACGGGCGTCATCTCAATCCAAAGGTTTCCCACAGCATCCGTGGTCGTATAAAGTAATTGTCCTGCGCACTCGGACGAGACACAACAACCGCCGTTGCTATTGTAGCCAACACCGTGCAAGTTAGGCTACTTAGGTACTAGTAATCTCAACCGAGATACGGGGCGTTAATATTGGATGCAAGAGACGGCAAGAAGATAGCCGACGTGGGCCGCCTGGCCACCGAGGGAAAAGGGAATAGTGACGGGCGAAATGGAGGAAGCCAAGGGACCAGATAGAGGTGGCTTGGTCACCGATGGCTGGGATGGACAGATTCGACAATAGCAGCCAAAGTTACGACAATGGCGATGATTGATAAGCGAGGTGAAGGATAACGAGCTACGAAAAGAAAAAAATAACTTGGTCAGAAGAGAAACCAAAGCGAGAAATTGATGGAGGAACATCGACCGTTGACGAAGTATGTCCTGGGCAGTACTGGAAGCAGGGCTTGGTCGCTGGGTCCAGTCCGACTGGAGCTATATACCGACAACTCGAAACTGACTGACAGCCCCTTCGATGGGAAAGTAAGAATTGTACACCACGGCACCATATGTATTGTTGTATATATATTGACTGTGAACCATGCAATTCGGCGTTCCAGTTCCGCTGTCTTTCAAAAGGAGGTTGCCTTGGATTGCGGCTCAAATCATGCTGCCAAGCCTGGAGAAGCAGACCCTGGCAACGATCGAGCTAAGTGAGGCTGACCGCCTTCCTCTTCGGGTTTATTTCATTCCTACCGACCTCCTTGAGCTCACGACTTCGACTTCTGCTTGCTACATCAGGAATCAGCTAAAAGCTTGCCAGTTCACCTCAATTATCGCAACAAATTAGCGACTTTGAAACACCGACCGCTCTTTCAGACGACAGAAAATCACACTAACTGTAACCATAACGAACCCGGCCGTCACAAAATGTCGACCATCACGCCGACGGCGCTGCAGAGCTCGCAGCCGCCCATCATCCCCCTGCCGTTCAACGCAAACCAGCCTGAAACGATCCGGCTGTACCCGCTGTCGAACTACACCTTTGGCGTGAAAGAAACTCAACCTGAGGAAGACCCGAGCGTGCTGGCCCGTCTGAAGCGTCTGGAGGAGCATTATCAGGCGCACGGCATGCGCCGCACCTGTGAGGGCATCTTGGTCTGCCACGAACACAACCACCCGCACATTTTGATGCTGCAGATTGCCAACGCTTTTTTCAAATTGCCGGGAGACTACCTGCGGCCGGAGGATGAGGAAATCGAGGGTTTCAAGGCCCGTCTCGACGAGCGGCTCGCCCCCGTCGGCAGCCTTGGCGAGGGTAACAAGGCCGGCGACTGGCAGGTCGGCGATTGTCTTGCGCAGTGGTGGCGGCCGAATTTCGAGACCTTCATGTATCCCTTCGTGCCGGCCCATATCACACGTCCCAAGGAGTGCAAGAAGCTTTACTTTATCCAGCTGCCGCATTCGAGTACGCTCTATTCCCTCTGATTGCTTGATCTTGTTACCCTGCTAACTCGAGTTGTGCCATCTACAGAGGTCCTGAGCGTGCCCAAGAATATGAAGCTCCTCGCAGTCCCGCTCTTTGAGCTTTACGAGAACACACAGCGATATGGGCCTCAGCTCTCCGCGATCCCTCACCTTCTTTCCCGCTACAACTTCGAATTCGTGGATGAGAACGGCGACGTGGTGGCCGCCACGCCAGGTGCCGGGGCGGGCGATGGCTATGTGCCCCGGACCAAAGTTCTGGCTGGCGGCGACGACGTCGATATGAAGACGGAGAACGGGACACACTGATCGGTATCTCCCAGTCACTTATTTCGGTTTATCTCGGTTGAAAAGGGCGTCCGGCGTCTGGGGACAGGCAATGCATTAGGTAGAGATTTGCCACTGGAAGGTAGTGGTAACGGTTCCCGCATGCCCAATTTTCAGAGAGGGTTGGTTCGGAAAATACCCGAAAACTCATTTCCAATGTCTCCTCGTTCATGCCTTTTCGCCCTGTATAGTGGCGACTATCTTGCGTTGGTGTTTCATCGCCCGGAACTCGAGGTACCAGATTCCCTGCCACGTTCCGGTAGCCTTGGCCAAGTCAGCCCCGTTCGACTCACGCCCATCTCAACGGCACAACTACTCACCAGCTTTCCATCCTTGATTGGAATTGTCACACTTGCCCCAATCAACGCAGATTTGACGTGCGCGGGTAGGTCGTCAGGTCCTACGTGTGCGTGGATGCTTAGTGAGCTCTTCTCTATGAAACTCAAACTAATACCAAAGGTACAACACTAGAGAAAAAACGGGAAAAAAGGAACGAAGAACGGGAAGAGAGCGAGGAAAACACAAAGATAAAGGCCGAGAAGCGGATGAAGAAAAAGCATACCTTCCGCATCATGCCGATACAGCGCCTCTCCATTCGGCCCAGCCTCAGGCACGATCCGATCCAAGGTATCGCTCATGTCCGCTCTAACATCCTGTCCAAGCACATCAACCTACTGTTCCCTCCCCCCCTTCGCCCTCCTCGAGCACAACACAACACTTGCGAATCATAGAGGGGGAGAAGCATACCTCATCCCAATTCTCATTCAAACTCAACGCGCAGCTGGTATGCTGCACGAATAGGTTTAGCAGCCCCACCTTGTACGACTTGATCTCGGGCAGCTCCTTGAGTACCGTGTCGGTGATAAGGTAAGAGCCTCTCGAGCGAGCAGGCAGAGTGAATTGTTTCTGGAACCACATCGTCGTCGTCCGCAAATCAGATCCTTGGGATGCTATTGGGTTTGGCTGGTGGTGGGAAGGGTAAAGAAGGCGGCCGGGCAAGGTCCAGAAGAGGTGAAATGCGCTCGGAAAAAGCGCCAGTAGGAGGAGAGAAAAGAGGACGATGGTCGTAGTGTTGCTTGTCGTTCCGGTTGTTATTGTCGCTGTCGGTGACCGTAGTGGTGAGCTTGAGCTTGAGCGTTTCGGAGGCATAATCGGCGACCGGGCGGGAACTGAAGGAAGGGCGCGCTAAAACGTCATGGAAGCGGGAGGCTGTGGGTCTTGGTAAGGCACCCTATTGGCGGAATCACATTGGAAGCTTTTGAGGGAAAGAGTGTGATTGATGCAAGTAATGCATGAAGGTTGTACGAACTCGACTTTGAACGTTGAGCTTGTGGAAGTGATTAGAACTCAATACAGATACTACCTTGATTAGCAGGTTTGACAGATGGAGGACGTGGTTACGGTGGTACTAAGTAGTGATACGAATAAGGGACGCAGTGTCTGACGTTCGGTCTTCAACAGGCGACGTCATACTTCGAGGTTGGATCGTAACTTTGATATCCAAACTAGACAGCGACTGTTTCCCAGCGTATAAAAGCCGTTCGACAACGTATTCGCGATATAATCCGATCCTTCGCTAGGCCACACGTTTGTATGAACATAAACGATCGATGGAGCAGACACTGTTGCCATGGTTTCCGCTTTCACCAGTTTATTTACGGCAATAAACGCGAGGCATATCCGTACATAGTACTCCGTAGTGGTGTAGTGTAGTGTATTGTACCGACATAGAATTAAGCTCCGCCTTTGGGGTGGGGTACTGTGGAGCTGTATGCAGCAGGCACCCTTGTCAATTCCAAACTCTCTCTGGTTTGCTGACAATTACACGGCGCGTTGGCCACCGCCGGCGAGACGCTGACTTTTTTCTTTTCTGTCTTCTGTTTTCCACGCGCCTGTTGCCCGTGACTCTGAAGACTCAAGCCGGACGACTGAGTTCATGCGTTAACCACGAAAGAGCTTTTGTTCCACTCGACGTTGCCAATCAACCTGGGAGCTTTCGCAGCGGCCGTCCTGATCGAGGCCCACAGTGACGTTCGCCCTGATTCTATATTGCCGAATCCGCGAACCGGCTTCAACACCAATTCACGAATTGCGCCGTGACATGACAGCCCAGAACACTTCCTCAGGGGTATGATATCTGTGCCAATGGGGCAGGCTGTCTTGGGCGACGGCCTTTGGGCCTCGCAGCAAGATGCGCAAAAGATCATGTTCGAGACCGGTTCTTTCACTGGTTATCGGCCCGGCGTATTCGAGCTCGGGAGCGGTTATCTAAGCGCAGCGCGTGTCTTCAAGCAGCCGTTTTGCGGAAACGAAGAGGGATGGGGCCCCATGAGTCCGTTTCGATATGACTTCACGCCGTGCTTCATCGACGTGTGGGTGGCTACGGTGGCGGCGTTTGGCATCGTCGTGGGTGCGATTGCCGTGTGGTGGTTGCTGAAGAGGAAGCAACCGACTCCGGTGTCGAAGGACTGGCACTTCTGGACAAAGCAGGTGGGTGTTACTGTGCCTTGTGCTTAGGGAATCCGCGGGGCTTGTGCTGATGCCGGAATTAGACTCTACTTGGTCTTATTATCGCCGACATTGCTGTGCAGTTGATCCTTCAGATCATCAGTTACCAGGAGATCTGGTACGGTGACTTCCGGGTCTATACCACGGCAGCTACGATCCTCTCGCTTTTCGTCATCTTTGCGATTCAATGGCTCGAACACTCGCGATTGCGCAACGCTAACGGCGTTGTCTTGTTCTACTGGCTGTTCCTCCTGATCGCACTCGCCGTCAAGCTCCGGTCCTTAATTTCTCAGCAAATATACGCGAAGAGCCTCCCATACTTCGTGGCCTACTGTGTGGGGTTCGGGCTTTCCGTGGCCGAGTTCTTGCTTGAGTGGCTGTGGCCGAAGAAGAATAGCACATACGAGGCGTTGATCGACGAGGAAGAGTGCCCGGTCGAATATGCCACCGTCTTCTCTCTCCTCACCTTCTCGTGGATGACGCCCTTGATGAAGTACGGTTACTCCACCTTCCTGACCGAGGATGACCTCTGGGCCTTGGCCAAGAATGATAAGACTAAGTCAACTGGCGAGGCGTTCGAGAAGGCATGGAAGCACGAGCTGGAGCATCGAAAGCATCCTTCGCTGTGGCGCGCCATTTTCCGCGCTTATGGCGGCCCCTACGTGCTTGCAGCCGTCTTCAAGATTGGCAACGACGTATCCCAGTTCATGCAGCCGCAGCTCCTGAGGTTCCTGATTGCCTGGGTCGTGTCCCATCAACTTCCGGGACAGGAGCCGCAGCCCGTGATTAAGGGCGCTGCGATTGCTCTGGCCATGTTTGGCGTCGCTGTCTTCCAGACTACAATGATCCACCAGTATTTCCAGCTAGCATTCGTTACTGGCATGAGGATCAAAGGCGGCCTAACGTCGTCCATCTACAAGAAGGCGTTGAAGCTCTCGAACGAGGGCCGGGCGTCCAAGACCACGGGAGACATTGTGAACTACATGGCAGTGGATGCTCAGCGGCTTCAGGATTTGACGCAGTTTGCTCAGCAGATATGGTCTGCGCCGTTCCAGATCATCATCTGCATGTTGTCGCTCTATCAGTTGGTCGGATGGTCTATGCTGGCAGGCATCGCCGTCATGATCATAATGATTCCAGTCAATGGCATGATCGCTAGGTTCATGAAGAATCTGCAGAAGCAACAGATGAAGAACAAAGACGCCAGAAGCCGTCTCATCGCCGAAATCGTCAACAACATGAAGAGCATCAAGCTCTATGCCTGGGGTTCTGCTTTCATGAACAAGCTCAACTACATCAGGAACGACCAGGAGCTGAAGAACCTGCGCAAGATTGGTGCCGGCCAGGCGGTTGCCAACTTCACCTGGTCCACTACCCCATTCCTTGTCTCTTGCTCGACGTTTGCCGTGTTTGTGCTTACCGAGGACAAACCTCTAACGACAGATATTGTTTTCCCTGCTCTTGGTAAGAGTTCCGCGGTCGTCTATCTGGCGCGACTTCTAGCTGACCTTGCTTCTCACAGCGCTCTTCAACCTCCTCTCCTTCCCGCTGGCGGTCCTCCCCATGGTCATCACGTCGATTATCGAAGCCAGTGTTGCCGCCGGCCGTCTTACTGCGTACCTAATTGCGGAAGAGATCCAGTCGGAAGCTGTTGTTGCGAAGCCTGCTGTTGATGCTGCGGGCGAGGAAACCGTGCTCATCCGCGACGGTAGCTTCTCCTGGAACCGCCATGAGGACAAGACCGTTCTGAAGGACATCAATTTCAGTGCCAGGAAGGGTGATTTGTCCTGCGTGGTAGGCCGCGTCGGAGCGGGTAAGAGCTCTTTCTTGCAGAGCATCCTCGGCGATTTGTGGAAGATCAAGGGCGACGTCGTCGTCCACGGAACGGTTGCCTACGTCAGCCAGTCGCCCTGGATCATGAATGCCACAGTGCGCGAAAACATCGTCTTCGGCCACCGTTACGACTCAAATTTCTACGAGAAAACGGTGAAGGCTTGCGCTCTGCTGGACGACTTTGCCCAACTCCCTGATGGGGATGAGACATTCGTTGGTGAACGCGGTATCTCCCTCAGCGGTGGCCAAAAGGCCCGCGTTGCTCTGGCTCGTGCTGTCTATGCGAGAGCCGATGTCTATCTCTTGGACGACTGCCTTTCTGCCGTCGACTCCCACGTTGGACGCCACATCATCAACAACGTCCTCGGCCCGAACGGTCTGCTCAGCTCAAAGACAAGGATTCTGGCTACGAACTCGATCCCTGTTCTTGTTGAGTCAGATTACATCTGTATGCTCAAGGATGGCGGAATCATTGAGAGAGGAACGTACCGGCAGCTCATGGCGATGAAAGGAGCGGTCTCCGATCTGATCAAGACCGCCGGCCAGAACGAATCGGGCCAGAACTCATTGATTGCATCGCCAGCCGAGAGTGACAGCGAAACCTCTACCGTTATCGAGGCGTCGAGCAACAGCCAGGATAAAGAGGAGCTGGAAGAAGCGCAGGAAGGATTGGGCACGCTTCAGACCATTAGGCCCAGCAATGGCAGCTCTTCCTACCAAGCGCGGAAACCGCGGACTGGAAGCATGGCAACTCTGCGGCGGGCTAGTGCTGCGAGCTTCAAGGGGCCCCGCGGTAAGCTCCACGATGAGGAGGCGAACCCCAGCAAGACGAGGCAGGCGAAGGAGCACTCCGAGCAAGGCAAGGTCAAGTGGTCGGGTATGTAACCCAGGTAACCGTCCGTTTGATCCGCTGTGCTAACACCAGGGGCCAGTCTACGCTGAATACGCGAAAACCAGCAATCTCGGGGCTGTTGCTGTCTACCTGATAACCCTCGTCGCGGCCCAGACGGCGCAGATCGGTAAGTCGATGTCCCTCTCTCTGTGACATGTGTACTGTGCGGTCTCCTTCCAAGCTGCCTCACCGAGCTCTGCGTCGCGGACCCCCTCACCGCCGCTTACTCGCGGTCTTATCTCGCAGAGGACTCTGCAACCAAGAGAACATGCGTTAATACGGGCACTTGTGGCACCGCAATGCTAACGGAGTCCCCAGCTGGAAGCTACTGGCTCAAGAACTGGGCTGAAAGAAACACCGAGGCTGGCGGCAACCCCGACGTCGGCAAGTACCTCGGCATCTACTTCGTGTTCGGCGTCGGCGCTGCCGCCCTGACGGTTATGCAGACGCTCATTCTCTGGATCTTCTGCTCCATTGAGGTTTGTGGAGACTACCTAAGGAATACCAGGACTGCGGACCAGAATGAGGCTCACATGTGGTTCGCATAGGCATCGCGCAAGTTGCACGAGAGGATGGCGACGGCTATCTTCAGATCTCCCATGTCTTTCTTCGATGTTACGCCGGCTGGCCGCATCTTGAACAGGTTCTCGAGGTGCGTATCTGGCTCTCACCCCTCCGCCCTCCGCCCTCCCCCCTTTCCAAACCTGCATACTGCCTTCCTTATTTCTCACGGGGTAGCACGAACCTCCTGCTGTGCAAGGGGGCTTGAACCAAGTGGCTCCAACGGTGCGGGAAGCAGCAGCAGCGCCAGCAATGCTGTGCTTCCGTAGCACGAAATGCACATCCTGTTTCTCCACCTTGCATGTCAACAACCACCTCAAAAACGCCTCGGCAGGATGCTGACCGTTTTGCGCCGCGACGACTAGTGACATCTACCGCGTCGACGAGGTACTTGCGCGGACATTCAACATGCTGTTCAACAATCTGGCCAGGTCAGGCTTCATTCTCGTGGTCATCTCGGTCACGACGCCCCCGTTCGTCGCCCTGATCGTTCCGTTGGGCGCCATGTACATCTGGATTCAGCGGTACTACCTGCGCACATCGCGAGAACTCAAGAGATTGGACAGCGTGAGCCGCAGTCCCATCTACGCGCACTTCCAGGAGTCGCTGGGCGGCATCTCCACCATCCGTGCGTACCGCCAGCAGGACAGGTTTGAGCTTGAGAATGAGTGGCGGGTCGATGCCAACCTTCGGGCCTACTTCCCTTTCATCAGCGCCAATCGGTGGCTGGCGGTGCGGCTCGAGTTCATTGGCGCCGTAGTCATCTTGGCGGCCGCCGGCTTCTCCGTTGTCGCCGTCGCCAACCACGGCAAACTGAGCGCGGGGGCGGTCGGCCTGGCTTTGTCTTGGGCCTTGCAGATTACCACGTCTCTGAACTGGATTGTGCGTCAGACGGTCGAGGTGGAGACGAACATCGTGTCTGTAGAGCGCGTCCTCGAGTACGCGCGGCTGCCGAGCGAGGCCCCGGAGATCATCCACCGAAACCGTCCAGCGGTGAGCTGGCCGTCGCGAGGCGAGGTCGAGTTCCACAACTACAGCGCGCGGTACCGCGACGGCCTTGATCTCGTGCTAAAGAACATCAGCCTGGACATCAAATCGCACGAGAAGATTGGCGTCGTTGGACGCACGGGAGCTGGGAAGTCTTCGTTGACCCTGGCGCTCTTCAGGATTATCGAGCCTGACACGGGGTACATCAGTATCGACGGGCTCAATACGTCCACCATCGGCCTGCTTGATCTCCGGAGGCGTCTGGCCATCATCCCACAGGATGCCGCTCTCTTCGAGGGGACCATCCGGGACAATCTCGATCCGGGACATGTCCATGATGACACGGAACTGTGGAGCGTTCTTGGTACGTCTTCTTGCGCCATTCCCTCCAATACGCTGTTCACATGGCCTTGCCGTCTCATCGGGTTACACAACACATCACTAATCTAATTTGCTTGTCGCACAGAACACGCTCGGCTAAAAGACCACGTCGCTTCGATGGAGGGTGGCCTTGAGGCCAAGATACACGAAGGAGGTAAGCAGTGCAATTCTCCGCGTGGTGTTTCCGTCTTGGTTCTTTTTTTCCCTCGTCTGTCTCTCTGCGGTTTCTATCGGCTTGTGCGTGTGCCGTCGTACCATGCCCCGTCCTTCACGTCATCTCCACTAGCGTGCTATTCGGGCCTGATCGAAGTTCGATACGGCCGGCTGCATCGCTGCATGCTATAACGGCCGACGCTGCTTGACACGAAGGCGATGCATGCCCAACCTCTGGCTCAGGCGCCATACGGTTGGAGAGGATAGCATGCCATCCCACCCTCCTTGGTCAGGAAACGGAAACGGTAGAAGAAGGGCCAGCAAGACAAGATCGACACCCGTCTTGTCACACTCCCGGCTTGCCATGTGTCCCATCCCATCTTGCGGGTATTGGATGCGCCACCCGCACACAACCACTTAGACCCGTGCAGGATCTCCGATGCAGTGCACATGCTTGGGACACTGGATGAGCCGGACTCCGACCACGACCCATGCTCACTTTGCTAGCTTTGCTTACAAACTTGCACTCCCGATCCCCCACCCACGGCGGCGGTTCGCTGTCTGTGCCCGGTACCAAGCGGTTCTGGTGCGCGGCCAGCCGCCCTACCAGTCCGGCGTCACTTCTCAGTCCCGACCCAAAGATGCAGGATTGCAAGATTGAGATTCTCCCTTTGTTGTGACGGGATGGGGGATCAAACTTGGCGAACCCTCACCCAGTCGCGCTTCTCACACAGCCACTCGCCTGCCTTGTGTGTACCAGTACCAGCCACTAACCACACATGTACTACTAGGCTCGAACCTCTCCCAAGGACAACGCCAACTCGTCTCCCTCGCCCGCGCCATGCTCACGCCATCCAACATCCTCGTTCTCGACGAGGCCACGGCCGCCGTCGACGTCCAGACGGACGCGATGCTGCAGACCACCCTGCGCGGGCCGCTGTTTGCCAACAGGACCATCATCACGGTGGCGCACAGGATCAACACCATTATGGACTCTGACCGGGTGGTTGTACTGGACAAGGGCGAGGTGGTCGAGTTCGATTCACCCGCTGAGTTGATCAAGGCGAAGGGGGTGTTCTGGGGGCTGGTGAGAGAGGCGGGGTTGTTGGAGGACTGAGCTGAGCCAGCAGCTTAAGGTACATGCATGGTATTCTCTGGCTTAGTATAGCGCAGAGCTGAGGGAGGGTGGTACCCAACCGCTGTAATGCTTGATGGATACCACCTGTGTGAGCGGGGGCGCACCACCTAACTGTCGGGACCACAATGGAAAAGCATCTAGACTATCTGCGTCGGGCCATTTTTGGACGGGTCTTGAACTGTGTTGGTGTAGTTAGACCTCTAGCTACTCGTCTAGATGTGAGTAAGGTACATGAATGGCACAATACATGCAAGACATACCTGCCGTTGACATGCATCTCACCACAACCTTCACCGCCATCATATCACAGTACTTGGGCCAGGTACCAAGAGGGGGCTATCGTCTCACGAGGCGATGAACAGGAGAGGCCCCCATGCTTGGCAGGCAAATCTCATCCGGACCGTGGAGAGCCAAACAATAAAAAAATAATGATAAAATGAAAATAAAACATACAGATACAAAATTAAGGCAGAGTTGGTAGCGAATCTATTCATACCATACCACAGCGTTTGTTTTGCCGTCTGACGCAGCATGAACAGTCTCGTGACCAAAGCATCCTGCTGTGCACCCTCCATCGGCAGTTCCAGTCCAGCCACCACAAGAGTCCGAGAGTTGGCCTTCATGGAAACTGTGCTACTAATGACAAGAGCCATGCAGGTCCAGCCAGCCAACCCAACCAGCCGGCGCGGAGGAAAGATGGTGCTCGTTCCCGGCGGCTGATTAGATAGGCAGATAAGATGGCAATGAAAGATGGGATGGCTGGCAGACGTCTGGAAGGGTAATAAAGATACAGGTAATTAACTACCTAGTACTAACTACTAATCCGTAGATGGTAGGTGCAATACCTACCTAGTTGGGGAAGGTAGGACCTCTCCCAACGCAGGAATCGGAAGACCTGTGCCTAGGCACCGTATGCAGTGTAATCCGTATTGTACTGTATATACCTACACTGCAACTCTGTAGCGTTTGCAGTGTAACGTACATACCTGAGCTTATTCGTCTACGTCCGCCCGTCCCCGGAATGTATGACGCCAGGGCAGGCTCGAGCCACTGGCTCAAGACCCTGCTGGTCCGAGTCGATGCAAACACATCTCCTCCCCGATTGGAAGTTTTCTGTCGATGCCCAACCCCCCCCCCCCCCCCCTTCTTGCCGGCAGAGGACAGATGGGGTTGCCTGTTCAGAGCGAGAAGAAGAAGGCTGCCAACCACGGTCCTCGCAAGCAAGTCCCCGAAAGATCCTTACCGCAGTGACTACCTCTATGCTTGCGTCAGCCTTCAGGGTGAGCAACTGTCGGTCCCTGGCGCTTGAGGGGAGGGGCTCTATACTATACACGCTCTCGGAGGACATTGCTTGATTCAGCCCGTCGAGAGCACTCGTGGGAGATTCGGCGACCAGTTCCTGGCTTTGCACCGCCACTTCCCCCGGGAATAACGATGAAGGCACCTTATACGGTTAGGAGATGGGTGCAATTCAAGCCTGCGGTCGATGAGGTCGGCGAAACAAGCTCGCGTTAACTAGTCGGTTGAAGCCCCGATGCGCAGAGAGGACAGCCTTCTCCGCTTCTCGAACAGCGACCTGTTTCAAGCGCCGACAAGATCGCATCTGCCAGTTGAAGTGGAAGCCTTGGAGCGTCAAGCAAGGATGAGCTTGCTTGTTGGCGTCTGGTTGCCCGGGAGGTGGTCGTGCGGCCTTGTCGAACCTCCGACGGCATCGTCTCGAGGATACCCGCCATGCACTAATGATTCCCGTCCCGTCGTCCCTACTTCCATAGGTAGTGAGTGAGCGATCGCAAGGGCTGGCAAGGGCCGTTCCGAGAACCCGGTAGCTACTACCTACTACTGTAGCGCATCGGACGTGCGGGCGCGGTGAGAAGTGAGAACAGCAGCAGCGCTCGGCCTTTCCAGCCGCCGAACTGCACTGATCTCCGCCAAAGCCTACCCTAGCGCGCCTAGGCACTTAAAGCTGAGGCTTGTCGGATGCATCTCCTTGTTGCACGGTATGGAGCCCACAGTGTCGTACTGTACGGAAGTCATTTCGTGCTTCCGGCGGCTTTCCTTATAGTAGTGCTTCCCGCGCAGCATTGTCGAGGCTCGAGAAGCAAACCTATTTTCCGTGTGGCTGGACGGGATGTTTACTGCGGGGTTGGTTCGATGGAGGCGTTGGACTAAAACGGTAATTAATAAATCAGCAGTCAACGCTTCGATCTTTTTTGATGGTGTCATTGGTGCCCTGTCGGAAAAAAAGTTTTGATTGCTTCTGTTGGTGTGAGCATTTCCGAGGTTTCAGAACAACTTTGATCTGAGATGCCCAAGATGCAGATTTGGGCACCCCACAGCGATCCGGGTCAAGCTTCCAGACCCCTCCCGGCCCCCGGGTACTGTACCTGAGGGCCCGCTCCTGGAGATTGCGTCGCTTGTTGGGTCGCTCCTCTCAAAAGATCGATCGACTTCGTTTTCCGTCTCCATGCGGCAAAGCTACTATCTTCGCGATCAATCGGCTGCCACCCGGTTCCCCAATAGCATCTGCAGTTTTATTAGCTAGGGCTCGTACATTAGCTGGTGGAAGGAAAGCTAGCGGATGCAAAGCAAAAGCACCGTATGTAACGTTAACTATCGCTTGATAGTAGGATCCTTGCAGATGGGTAAGAATGTGGTAAGGTACGGAGTGATCGTACTGTAATCCGTATCCCATATCGGCCCGTATTTACAAGCTAGTACATCCGTATTCATTGCTGCTCGGCGCTCATACCGCCGTTAGATAATACCCATTCCCCGACCTGCTCAGGAGCCTCGAGCTTTGGCATGGTTCTCGACGAGGTAACATTCATTTTGATTTGGGAGTCCAAGCGGATGGTCTCCTAGCATAACAGCTGCTTAGATATTGCGAGATACTAGCGGTGAACACCGCAGCATACGGTAGGTAGGTAATCAGCCCAACAGCGCAGTTCTGCACGACGGTCGCTTGGAGGCATGGCAACGCATCCGGAACGGAATTGGGAAATTATACCAGGGATGCCCATTGTTGTAAGAAGCTCGAGATGGATCTCGATTTCATCGGCAAGGTGGGTGTGCATGCAGTAGCTCGGCAGGTCAAGTTAGGTTGCCAATCACCAATCAGCATTAAGTCAGGTATTGACCTTATTAACGGACTAATTGAAACGCAGAGTACACGGGTAGAATTCTTGTCTTCTAATTTTTTCGGGTGCTTGTGTTGGCTTTGGTATTGGGACGTAAAGTACGGACGTACCAGTTGAGGAAAGTGGAAGCGAAGAATGCTATATAGAGCACCTGCAATATTGTACCGTTGTACGGTGTATAATACACGTATGTACATACATTACTGATAAGCTACAGCGTATCTTACAGGTACTTACCAGATAGGACGACGAGCGGGTCCACATCCTGGCAGATCGTGCAAATACAACTCCAAATCCAACAAACTTCCATCGCCAGAAAATTTATTCAAGTCTAGCTACCTACCTATGCACAAAGGCTCCCAGCCAACGAGTCTGACTGTCCTGCTTCACCATGTTCTCTTCGCTTTTCTCATATTCCGATTAACTCAGGTATGGCGGTCGCGCCCGACAGTGCCCGTTCCAAACGTCCTCAACAATCTTCAAGGGTTGTTTTGTCGCCAGAGAGATACAACGCAGCTCTCTGAATTGTTCCTCCCAAGATGGAAATATACGCGCAGTACATACCTTGAGTGTGACTTGTATACGCGACATAACGTTAACGGACAGGCTGTCGGAACGCTGCGCCTGGGTCCGTTCCCAGACGCGCATCAAACGCTTGGCTAGTCCCAAGGTAGTACTTCAAATCTACTTTTTCCAGTACATACAGTGCGACACCCCGCCAGCATCAACAGCATCTGCGGTGCGAGCTTTGCTTGTTTCCAGCTTGCAGACAACATTGGCCAGTCTGCTCCGGCCGCCCTCTAGTGTGGCGTTTCCACGGTCTTGTAGTACCTTGAAGTGGTGGAAGTGATGTCGTGTTTGACGCTTTCCATGCCTCGTCGTGCATACTACCGCGGCAGCTGTGCGACTGAGTTCGGTCGACAACAGCCTCTATTCGCCTGTATAATTCCGTGCTTGCCTCCTACTCTCAGACTCCAAGCAGCTCCTCGTTCTTTGCCTTTTGTGAACTCGGCGACTTCGTGATTTCGATAAGGACAGCGTTCTCCCTTTCATCTGAGAGAAGTATCCAGAGACAACACGGCCTGCTGCCCCACACATACCCTACAGCCACGACTAATACCGTCTTGCTGTCTTGGGCCCCGGACCCCCCTTCCTCTACACCGTGTCAGACCCCGTCTGACTCCCACGCTATAAACGGCATCGACCAGAGTGTTGGCTCCTCCTATCCTCTCTGGCCCACCATTCGAAGGTCAGTATTGTGGGCGTCATACCAACTCCCCCTTGTGCTCCCAGGGAGCCTACTCCCGGTCCTGACGACCTGCGGCAAGAAGAACCACTAACGAAGCGGTGCAATCAAGCAACAGACGCTTCTCTTCCCGCCACTGTGGGACTGGTTGTGACCCTTGGATCCCTGCGCCCGCCACCAGAGCAGCTCAGCCCGGGTCCCCGGGAGTCTCTGGTCTTGTCGTTGACTTATTTAGTGGCCTCCACCCTGTCCGTGGTGATCTTCCGCGGTCATTGATTGGAGTTGGAGCCCGTTGCTGACATACCGGTCGGTACCTGTCTTCCCACTGGAAACTACCTGAGACTTGCAACTAATCAGTCCCAGGACCAGGACCAGCAACGGAACAGTTTCGTGAGCTCTTCTGGGTGTCTTGGCAACCGCCACTCCTCTGACCTTGCCTGCTCGTCGGTAGAGGTGTCCCAGTCAGCCAGCTCCATCCAGTGATCCTTGCGCCCAAGGATCCTGGCCATAAGAACCAAGACGCCTCTCCAAGTCGGCTCGGTCCTTTGGCGTGACTGGAGGTAGGGGGCGCCCACCACACACACGAGCTCATTCTCAGACACGCACGAACCAACCGCATAACGCTACCCTAACTACTACACTACGCCACATCTTCCACGCTTTCCCTTCGGAGGACCCAAGCTGCTATCTTCAAGTGGTTAGTGTCGGACACCCTGATGTCTCATTGCTGCGTAGAGGGACAAAGAAGACTGATTGCACGGTCCCGTGTCGCAGTCCATTACTAGTACTTACTATCGAGCGGCGGATATCGCTGTCTGAAGACTGAGCCCCTATCTCGTCCATCTCCACCGCTACCACAAGCTGCCGACGCCTTCGGTCTCGATCTCTGACAACCAGCCCGTCAGCTCGCTTTGTTTGGCCCTGGTCAGACGCGCAAGTTCGTCTGACACTGCTGCCTCGCCATCCCACCGGTTGGCCTCCTCTGAAAGAGAGGATCACCAGCATTTGCCGAGCTTCATCTAATCGAACCGGCTGGGACTTTCCGCAAACCCCGGCACTTAGCCCCAGCTTGAGCCTGGGTCCCTGGAAGCCTCGCGCTAGTCAAGCTTCTAATTTGCCAGTTCCCGTTCCCGCACCTTATCGGCTTCAACCTCCAGGGCCCACTACGGTAGACTCCGTGTCTCACTGTCACCAGCCCCAGGCCCCTAGCCCAACCAACCAGGGTGCACCTGGGCCGTAACGGGCAGGATATATTGCGAAGCTCCCTCTGTGTGTTTGTTCCGGTCAAGGTCGCTTGACCGTGTCCCATCTTCTAGACACTGCTACTCCACTTCGACATCAACACCTCCTGCAGCCACCCACTTCGATCTGGTCCACATCACCCCCTATCTTGCCGAAGTCAGTATATACAGGCACCATGGTCACTGTCCACGGCAACGTCAGCTACTGCCCTTCCTGCTCGCGCCAGTGGGAGGCAGGCAGGAGTGTTCTGGACCAGGTCATGGAGGACGCCAACTTCTCGGAAGCGAGAAGTTCTCCGCCGATGGTACGAGCTCCCATCGAGACCCCGTTCTGCAGCTTCTGTCCGTCATCAAAGGGTTAGCTAACCATGACCCACCTAGACTGTTGCCAGGGCACTGCGCCAGCACTGCAATATCCCCTACGAGAGCTTTCTTCTTGCCGTTCACCTGGGCAAGGGCGGTTTCGTCTATTTCTCCGGGCCGAACTCCATCCCGGAAGAAGACATCCGCAAGATCTTCAACAGGGAAAAGTTCTTGAAATATCAGAACTCGACCTCTTCACGTACGCCATGGCTGGAAGGAGGATGCAGGTTCTTCGTCGCGGTAGTCACTGACCTAAGTCTCAGGGGTGAACCTGTCGCGAACGTACGATCAGGACCGCTACTACCAGGGCGCGACCGGCGGCGGCCACTCTGCCATGGGCGGCTTGCGCGTCGATGAGCAATGGGCGCGGCCACCGAGACGCAATAAAAGGCCGAGGGCGGGCATGATACCGCGCGACCTGGAAGATGTGCCGCCGGTCATCGCGCCCTCCAAGATCCCCATCCAGATCGGCGACGAGAACGCTGTATGGAAGTTCTACGAACACCGCTTCAAGTGCATCCAGCAGACCGCGTGCAAGATCATGGCCAAGCCCATCATCAAGTTGATTTCGCCGAAGAAGCAGGCCAACAACCCGTACACCGGCGGCGACCTCACCGCGCCGGCGTGGTGGCCCAAGCCCTGGGGCCCCGGCGAGAAGGACAAGGTCCGCCATGTCGAGCCGGACCATCAGTGGAAGAAAGGTTTGTTTTGCACACCCAACCGTTGCGCCGGCGTGTTTATTTGGGCCCGATGATCTGACCGAAGCGGCAGAGCGGGTTATTCTTCTGACCCACATCGTAAAGATGATAGTCGATCCGGAGAAGCAGCCTCCGGAGATCCAGCGGCTGGGCGTGACCGTGGCGAAAATCGAGGCCGTTACCATGGAGGCGCTCGCGCCCTTCTTCGACGACGGCAGCAAGCCCAGAAATGCGAACAAGCGGTCCATTTTGAAGGAGCTCTTCAGGGTCGCCAGGGCGGAAGAGCGGTATAGGAGAAAAGAGATAGGTGGGGCTTTGTTTGCTCTTCGAATATTATCGCGCGTTGTGTCTTGGACGATAAACTGACCCGGCTGCCTCAGATGGCACCAGCTTCATTAACGTCACGGCCGACGATATGGTCATGAACTACTGCTTCGACGAGGACGACGAAGAAGAGGACGAAGAGGAAGAGGCCAGCGACGTGAAGGAAGAGTACAAGTCCGCCAACCTGACCAGCACTTCCGCCGTCTCCCCTAGCAGGACAATGGGCATGGCGCCGGCCATGCTGCCAGCGCTACCGCCCGCCACAACCAGCAGCATGATGGCAGCCCCGGTACAGGCAACGCCGTTCGTCAACAGCCTCCCTCCGCGCAACCATCAGTTCGGCGCGCCGATGCTGCCCTCCGATCTCCCCCCGCCGGATCAGTACCACTACCCCGAAAGCGGCAGTCTCGTCGCCATGGGCGGCCAACCCCATCTGCAGGTCCACCACCCAACAGCGGCGGACGTAGAGATGCACGACGTGCTGGCCAGCCCGCACCAACAGCAGCAGCACCACCACCCCCAGACCCTGCACTCCAACACCAACCGCCGACCGTCCCTCTTCACGCCCACCACCGAGTTCGGCAGTGCCTCAACCTCGGCCATGTACCCCAACCCCTGGGGGATGCAGTCGCCGTCGCATCAACAAAGCACGCCCAGCACCACAGCGACCGCTTCGCCCGATGCGCAGCCGCTCTATGCCTACCCGACAGCCCACCATCACCACCATCACCACCAACACCACCAACACCATCAACACCACCACCCAGAGCAAGTCGGCCAACAAGCTCCTCCTCCTCCTCCACCCCTACCCCAGCCCCTGCCGCCGCCTATGTCGATGCAGCAGCATCCGCCACAGCAACAGCAACAGCAACAGACCGGGAGCCCGTACGGGGGGCATTACCATTCAGCGTTTGACACGCTCTCTCAGCAGCAGCAGCATCAAAATTATCAGCAAGAGCAGCACCAGCTCACGACGCCCTTTCGGGGTGGAACCATCCACCTGTCCTACCACCCTCCCTATCAAGGAACCTCTGCGAGGGGCCAGGGACTACACGGGCAGGGGCTCTGATTGTGTGCTTGAAGGGACAGTACCTACACACCCGGTTTCATGTGTCAGGATCATAGTTCAGGGTTAGGTATTACCTGGGCGGGCATCAATGTCATCAATGTGGTGGATGAAAAGGGGGGGTGGTCTAGATTGCTTTGATTTGGTTTGGTTTGGTATGGGTTTGGTCGGTTCAGTTCCCTCAACAAATTATTCAGATTTCTTCCCCCCCCCCTCTCTCTCTCACTCTCGCATAGCAACCGCAACCCCCCTTCGTTCTCCTTACACTGCGCGTTCCCTCTCTATCGTTATGCTCTTTTTTCCCCTGGTGCGCAGCAGGGTTTGGTGGTGGTGTGGTCAACCTTTTCTCTTGAACCAGAGACTAAAAAGGATTGAGAAGGTGGAGGTCAGGTCAAAACTTGTCTACTTGGCTTTGGAAGTGAAGACGGGTAAAAAGCGAATTTTTATGTCGGTGGCGACCTGTTTTTTTTCCCTTTTTCTCTCATGTCTTCGGAGGGAGGATAGTTTCTGAAATCTTATGATGATGAATGGGCTATAGATTGGAAGACGAGATGCCCCCGGTGGGAGAGATGAGATGGTTTACGCTGGAGTCGAGTCCTGTTTCTTTTCTTATATTCTCTCGTTTTCTCCCCTTTTTTTCACGGTTCTTACTTGGGAGGCATATTTACACCCCAGCTGGTCGGCACTGGCTCATACCGTGACTGGTGTGTTAACGCGGATACCCAGGGAGGCCAGAGTCTCTTTTCCAGTCCTTGCCGCGAATGTTTATGGAGGAGAGGTACTACTTCTCTCTTTGTGTGTGTGTGTGTGGGCCAGGGAGCATACCCTAGAGACAGGATGACAAATCCTTTTGATTCTGGAAGTGCTACTACCTTGGTAGTTAGCAAGTCGGTTAGTTTTTTTGGTGGAAATTTAAGCCTCGTGTCGCTCTTTCAGGCATCCCCGTCTCCCTCTTCCTTTTTATGTCGTGAATGGCAGCAACGTAGCAGCAGGGTTTCGGATGCGGCTAGGGGATCACGCAAGTTGGAGCAGTACAGCAGCACAATAGCATACTCGGTCGGTGATTTCTCAAGGCGAGCGACGAGTGGTTGAGGAAATTCTAGTTGGCTGACTTCTCAGTACTGCTAGTAGTACCTTTCTTTGTTCTTCGCTCCCTAGTCATTGTTGAGTTGCCACGCCGCCCTATTTACCTACGTAGTGGTACCAACTATCAAGTGTCCCAGCCGCTTTCCTCTGTTCATCCATCATCGCTCTCTCTACGTTATTACGGAAAGCGGTAATGTGTAATGAGGACACATCGTAGACACCAATGGATGGATGCGTTTTCGCCCTCACGCAAGTCATGGGTCAAGAGCGCAGTCTGGACCAGACAGAATTACGATATCCGCTTCCTCGGGACCGCTGTTATTTTCACATACGCACGAATACACAGAGTCGTATCTAACGTTGGCCAATATAGCCAAGTGCCGCGAGAAGCGGTCAATATTGGAGGAGGGGAGGGAGTAGCATGTCTGTAGGATGGATGGTGCATGGGCGACTGTGTGAGCTGGGGAAAAAAGGGGGCGAAAAGAAAATTGATCTGTAGTTTCCGTGGACGTTGACGGAGGTATTTTAGAAGCCAAACAAACAGGCGGTGCGCCATTTACTTCTCCTGCTGCAGATTATTGACGCCGGGGGTGTGCTGTGAGGTTTCATGTTCTTTGTCGGTCTGGCCGGGGGGCTTACCTTACCTTATCCTATCCATACCATACCTGGTCCGTCGGCAGCAGCGGCTTACGGGCTTGTGCTGCATCGTCGTCGTTTGCCTGGTTGGGTATAGCTTATCCGTACAGTCGCGGACATCGTATCGTATTCTGCTCGTCTCCCACTCCCCAACTCTGCCCCCCGTTTGTATTGTACATGTACTTCCCGAGGATGGGCAGTGCCAAACCGCAGTGCTCGGGCCGAAGATGAGAGATTTCTTCGCCTCATGTACGTAAGTAGCAACAATCTGCATCGTGCTATCGTCCGCGGAAGCGGAGAAGGGGAAAGACATGTAGGCGAGGAAGCAAGAAAGCAAGGATAGCATGTGGTTGACTGGAGGCGGGTAAGTTCGTCTTCAGCACAACGCGGCGAAGGACGCTGCATATGACGATCGGGTGGCGTCTTCCTTCTCTCTCCCGCTCCGGATAACTACCTTACCTTACCCTTTGCCTGCCCTGGTACTCGGGCTCCAGGAGGTATCCGGGGTGGGCTCCAACTCACCTCCCCCCCCCCCCTTTCTGGCCCGTATCATGCCATGTCAGCCCCGTTGATGATTGATCACAGGCTCGGTCCACTGAGCTACCGTCGGTAGCCGTGTTGCTGCACTCTTGCATGCATGCGCGGATCTGTATCTCTCGATCCTTCCGATACGCGATGGTCATCGTAGATGTCGGACTTGGTTCTTTTTTTTTTCTGCATGTGGAAATGCAGCGTACGTGGTTCCGGGGTGGGTGGGACCAGAAGAGATGCCGCTACGGCGTCGGGGATCGGCCCCGGCAGGTTGAACTTCTTCTCTTGTGGGGTTTGTGCCATTCGGGACGATGCTGGACATGGGGGGCCAGGAAGCGGGTGGATGCAGGAGGGTACGGCAGCTGAAGAAGCTAAGGGGGGTTGTGCATATGCACTGTGTTCTGGATTCCGTCTGCTTCCTTGCGATTGAAGCGCCCGTAACTCAGGTAGATGGTGAGGTATCTTGTCTGTATATGTAACGGCGCAAGAACGATGCCGGGAAACGGTGGTTCAAGAAGTGTCTGTCGACAGCTCCTTGCTCAATGGTACTACCGTTTGTTTAGCCTAGCACATGTACAATACATAGTACTAACCTACATACACCCACCTCGAGAGCATGTAACGTGTCAGACGAGATTTCCGTTCCGCCAAGTTGCCCTGCCCCTCAAGTCACCTTACACAGCTTCCCGGCTGGCGGTGGCTCTTGTCGATGATAACTCGTTTTTGGATACCTGGTTAGGTGGTTGTTGTTGTTGTTTGCTTCCCTCGGGGGTTTGTCCCGATCCCCACGGGCACGGCAGAATGAAATCCACCCTAGCCTTGTATAAGCTGACCGATTTGAACATATGGCGTGGTTCATCTCTGGGACGGTATCACTAATGGAGATCTGAAGGTTTCTAACATTGTCACTCACAGAGTGGATGGAGAGCAGCCTTTGCTGGTGGACTGTTTTAAAGTCAAGGGGTGACACCCTTCCCATCCTCCTTTCAGTCTTCTGGCCAAACCACATGCTTAGCACAGTTGTAGTTCCAGATTCTCGAGGGGCTTCGCTGGCGAGAGCGGCTAGGACACCCTCTGCAGGTATCATTCCATGGCAAACAGACCAGCTCAGCAGTGGCGGCCGAGTCAATGCGGCTCGAGTACTACTGGCTTCCATTACCTTTTCTTTTCTGGATTCGTGCATCTGCACGGATGACCTATTCTTCCGAGTCCTGCTTGTGCCGTTTGCTCTTCGAATTGTGATGCTCAGCTGGTGCAGATGACTAGCTCCCGTAGCATGGGCGTCGACCGAAACATCAGCTAAAGCTGCGTTTGCAATTGTGATAGCTCCTTAGTACGACTGCTTGTTTGCGACCGCACCCAGTCCGCCGAGTCTCTGAAAGTCACCGAGTCCTCCTTGAAGACGATAAAATGGCCCTGGATGGACGGTCCAACTATACTGCGAGATAAAAGGTCAATCAGCGCAGCTTTAGCCGGGTTGGGCGGTGCATAGCGATGTTGCAGACTCACTCGCTGGGGCAAGACAGGGCGAACGGAGTTGCAGAGGTACCCATAATTAGACCCGGATTCTCACAAGCCTGCGTCCTAGGGTTACTCGGTAAGGCTTCCAGCTTCCGGCGGGGCGCTCCGTCGGTGCTGGGCCTTACCTCGTGTGATAGGAAGGGCCGGGCGGTGGCGCTTGGAGGAGCGAGATATATCGGGGAGAGATGGATGACGCACTTCAGTCCCCGTTGCTGGGCCCGTCATCACCACCAACCTCTGGTTTGTCCTGTGCACCATGGTCATCCTTATCCTCATCCTCTTCCTCACCATCCAGCTCATTCTCGTTACCGTCACTGTCCCGTCCATCCTCATTCTCATCCTCATCCTCACTCTCCAGACCGCCCCCATCACCCTCACCATCCTCGTCCTCACCCTGATCCTCATCGCTACTATCACTACCATCATCCTCGCCCCTCTTTCTCTTCCTTTTCCTGCCCTTCCTCCCCTCCCCCCAATCCTCCTCCGCCTCCTCGCCCTTCCTCACAAAAACATAGCTCCTCGCCGGCCTCTCCTCCCCCTTCCACGCATGCCTCGCCACCTCCCCGCGCTTGTTCTTCACCACCCCGAGCGTCCGCGCGTGCCCGTACCCCGGGTAGGCGGCCGCGACGAACCGGAAGCTGCGCTGCACCTGCAGGCCGGCGTGCCGCGCCAGGTCGCGGATGTTCCACAGCGTGTACGGCTCGCCCTCAAACAGCGTCACCACGATGGTGCCGCCCGGCGCGAGCGAGTGCTGCGCGCGGCGGAAGAAGTCCACCAAGAGTTCCTGGTTGTGGCGGACTTGGCGGTTGACGTCGGTGGACTTGCCGCCAGTGTGCGGGAAGTTGAAGATGATGCGCTTCATGGCGCCTTGCCGTTGTTGTTTGTTTTCTTTGTTGCTGGTGGTAGTGGTGGTGCTGGTGGTGAAGGGCGGGTGCAGCTTGCGCGCGTCGATGCCGTACAGGAGGCGGCAGTTCGGGTTGAATGGGTTGTCGATGACGGCGATGTTGGACGACACGTGCGGGTACTTGGCCGAGAGCTCGGCGAAGTCCTTCTCGAGCACCGTCGCTGTCACGTCGGTGCACTTGTGGTGGGCGATGAGCGATGCGGCGAATGAGAGGTCGCCCTCGCCGACCAGGAGGATGGAGTCGGCCGGGGAGAATGGGATGGTGGGCTTCTGGTTCTGTTGAACTCTACTATTGTTGCCCGTCTTCTGCTTCTTTGCTGCTGGCGGGCCGGCCCCGGGCTGTGTCTTTGTCACCGGCTTCGATCCCGGCCCGGACCGTGACCCTGGCGCGACCTTTTTCTGAGCCTGCTCCTTGGCTGCCTTGGCGGCATGCCGCAGCAAGCCGTGCCGTTTGCCCATGGGACGGGCGTTCGTGGGTGTTCAAAGGAGAAGGGGGCCGCGAACGTCGTTCGGAGGACTCGGGGCAGCGCGGCGACGACGGCAGCGGCTCCGGGCGGCCGGAAAGTCGGGAAGTCGGGAGGGTCCTAAACTTTAAAGTGTCAAGGGTCATGGTGGGTACCCCGATGGTCACTAAAGCCTCCTTATTGGACGGCTGCTGCCAAGCCGGCTCCGGAGTTAGCAAAGCTTTGATTGCCTGTTTGGGGCTCGGCTCGGCCAGCACTGCACGACACTGAACAGCGACGACAAGTGAACGGTCAGTTCGGGATACCGTGTCAAACAGCGGGCGGTGGTGGATTGTAACACTAGTCTCACGCACTGCAGACGTCTTTCCTCTTCCTTCTGCTACTATGTGCAGTACCGCTTGCAGTTTGAGGTAAGCCCTATGTTTCTGATTGACGGATTGGAGTACAAAGACAGGCACGGCGCCCTCATAACCCCCATTTACTCCAGCGGGGCCAATCCGTGGCGCTCCACTCTGAGCGAACCCAGAGACCAAGCACATAGTGTAATGGATAAAATTCGACTTTTGGTCGGAAGACAGAAGGATATACGGGTATGTGAGTAAACAAAGCCGATCAAGCGTGGTGAGGGTACTGCGATGTACAATAGGCTTGGGTTGGTCACATTCCCCCCTCCCGGCCGGGCACATGGCACCAAACAGCAATTAGACACGAGTATGGAGGACTCGGACCGTACACACATGACTAGACCATGCTCGCTTTCTTACCATCAATGAAGCGGGAGAGCTTCCATGAACAGAGAGCAGACCAAGTCACCTTCATATTCAAACCCAATGTAAGGCAATTGTATGGCCCGGCTGCTAAACACTCATGGTTCATCATCGCCTCATCGCTGAATGGCGGGGAGTACGGTAGTGTGGAAGCTGTTGAGCCGTTCCAGCACACGTGACCATGAACGTACATACAGACCTGAATAGTCTCGTATACCTAGACCGAGAAATATAATAGCTTGCATCGTAGAACAATAGGTAGGGCTGCTATGTTTGACCTTTGTGGCCTCTGAAGCATTGAAAACTGCTAAGGCGGCCAACCTCCAGTTCCTGATTTGGAAGGAGATCGGACGCTCTCATTGGTCGGTGACTCGGTGCCGCCGCAAGTGGATAGCAAGGCTGTCGGTGGTGCAGCGCTGCACCGAGTGGGTGTGCAAGGGTTCGTAAGGTGACCGGGGTCCGGTTGGCCTGGGTCCTGCGCCGTCTGTGGAAAACGAGCGGCAGCGTGGGCATCGTCTCTTATTATTGTCAGGCCCTTCACAATAGGCAACTGAATGCTTCACAATAGTCGATGCTGCGGCTACCTTACCTAAGGAACAACTGCTAAGCACCGTGCTATTCACATAATTCTCGCCCATTCACTCAATTAGTCTCCCACGTCCGCATCTCGGATCGGGGGGGTCTACTTAATCTTGGGTCCTCTTCTCTCATCGTCCCTTTCCTCCCATCTTTGCACCCGCACCGCATGCACCAGTTCACACCACTACATTGGACTCGTCTTATCTCGGTTCCGGTAGCACTGTTCACTCTTCCAATCTTTCATTGCCAACACTTGTCGACGTGTCGGCTCTCATCTTACAACTACAAGACGGGTCATCTGTTGTTGTTTGATCGCAAGCACCCTTTCCGGATTTCCTCCGCCTCTTGTCGGCGTGCTCCGCTGCTTCCGCTGGTCTTTACGCCCGCAAGCACCGATCAACGCCTTTTTTTTGCTCATCACCTATTACACCCCCACAATAACCATCTCCCTTTCCAACATCTGCTCGCAGCTCTGACCACTTCACCGTGTCGGCGGACGGGTCATGGAAGCCTCGGGCCATCCTTTCAAGGTCGAGTCAGCACATCCCCCTTACACCTCGCCCACCGACATCAGCGGTGTACGTCCTTTATTAGGGCTCGGCATTAACGGCAATTCCAACCTCAACACATCCACCTACAGAACAATGAGCCAGCAGAGCTTACCCGCAGCCGACGTCCCGGAAATGGATGACGCCATGTCCGTGGACGCCCCGCTCACGCAGCATGCCAGCCCGGCCAGAGCCCCGACTGCCACGAGCAGCAGAGGCAGAGGTCGCGGCCGTTGGACTCGCGCCAGGAGCGCCAAGGTCACTAAGCCAGCCCAGCAGAGAGGCGCCCCCGCTGGCCGTGGACGCCGCCAGAAAGTCTACGACTCGCTCAAGGTCCAGGCCGCCCACGAACGGGCCCAGGAGCTCAAGCAGGCCTTCGCAGCCGTTGGGAAGTTGGTCAAGCCGGCCATCCAGGAGATTGCCGACCGCTCGATCAACGAGCTGCTCGAGGACCCGGACGCGCACAAGAAGGTGCCGCAGTACGACGCCATCCAAGACTTCCTCCGCCAGCGCCACGAGGACACCATCCGCCAGTGTGATGAGAGTCTGCGGGAAGGCATGGATATGGCAAAACATGTCTACGAGGCCGAGTGTGAGAAGGTGCACGAGACGTTCAAGGTGAGTACCACTGCCGCCCCCCCCCCCCCTCGGCCATGGCCAGCAGCACCCTCATCTGATTCCCGAACCAGATCCAGCTTGGCGAGTTGTGCGAGGATAGATACGGCCAGCTCCTCCAACAGCTCGACATACTCGAATTTCTCTATGATAACGGGCTGCCCGTCGATGTAAGTTTACCTGGGTGGTTTTGCGTCCCCTACGTCCGTTCATGGTCGGCTGACTGCACACGCCGAAGCTCTCTGCGCTTCCCGACAATCGGTATATCCTCAAGAGCATCACCGAGGACGAGGCCAGATGGCAAGGTGTCTTTTACCAGACACAGGACGGTGTCGAGGTCCCCCACTCGGGCAAGCCCATCTCCGAGTTGATGACCAAGCCGCAGATGCCTCCGCTGGACGCGACCAAGCGGACAGCGGATGGACAGCCCGAGAGCCAGCCAGGCCCCAATGCAGCACACACGGCTGGCCTGCTCGGCGCCGCCGAGGCCATCGAGGAGAGCGCAGCAACGACGCCAGATTCGGGCTCCAACGCGGCGACCCCGCCGGCGGCGGCGGCCGAGCCGGTCGAGGAACCTGCGCCAAAGCCGGCCAACCAGCGCCTCTCCAGCGGACTAGGAACGCCTGTGGACGCTTCCGACCTCCCAATTCCCCGAGGCGCGACAGACCCGGACGAGTACGGTGTTCGTCTCATCTCGAGACGACCCACTCGCCTAGATGTTCCGAACAACCGCATCATGGTGCCCAACCACTTCAAGTGGATGGACTACGACATTGGCTTCCGCGACTCGACCAATTGCGCCCAGAAGGGTGCCACCAAGCAGAGGCGGGGCAAATACCTGGGCAGGCCCGAGTCCAACTACCTGTTCCTCGACCGCAGGGTCGGCATCTGGGATTCGACCCTGGCCGAGGGGGAGCTGGACGACGAGTTGGTGGAGCACTTCCAGCTCCATCCCACCCTCGGTATTCCCATCGTGGGGTCTAAAAACAAGTGGGCGGAGCCCGGCCCTATCGTTAGCGGCTGGAAGCCCGTCGTCTTTGTGGCCCCGAGCGGGGAGCGCATCCATGCGTCACGGACCATCGCGGCCGCGCGCGTGGATGATGACACGGCCGAGGTCGAGATGAAGATGAGGTTCGCCGAGTCGACGCGCCGGTTCTGCGAGCAAGAGGGCTTCTCCCAAGAAGAGGTCACCCCCGACCAGGATGAGGTGGCCAGGAGGCGGAGCGAGATGTTCACCGCGATGTTGACAGCGCGGGGCATGGACCCCGCCCAGGTTGCCCGGCAGAACCCGGCACCGGTGGCACCAGCGGCACCCGAGCCTGTCGCCGAAGACACGACGGCGTTTGCGCAGTTCGCGGAGGAGGCACTTGGTGCAGCCGCCAGTATCGAGGCGGAAGAAGAGGCCGCACGCACGGCTCCAGCCAAACGCACCAGGACGTCCCGTCCCTACGATGCCATCCGGGACGTGTTCACCGAGGAACCGGGCGCACAGCAGCCCTCGCCGCCTGCTACTGCTATCCCAGAGGCTCCTGCTCCCTCGGCCGTCGACACGTCCGCCCTCTCGTGCCTTGCTGATGTCGTGTTGGAATCGCAGCCCACTGCTCCCGAGCCGGTGCATTACAGTCAAGCGCCGCCGAATGCGGGAATGAGGCCCGCTGAGTACGAGCAGCCGCAGCCCGAGTACCGCCGACCGGTCGAATATCAGATGGCCGAACCTTCCCGCTTCGCTCGCCAGGATATGGCTCCAGCGGCGGCCGAGCCGGCTCGAACCTTTAACGACTTCCTCCGGACGGCCCTGAACACCCCTCCTCCGGTCATGACGCCGGTTCAGCAATACTCGACTATCCAGGCTGCGCCTGTGTCTGCTCCTCCGCCCGCGCCCATGTCCGTTCAGGCACCCCAAGCCCCGACTGGCCGCACACCATTCTCGAACACGGGCACGACGAAGGCCCTCCCAGCCTTGCGGCCTATGAGGAACTCACTCAACGAGCCTGCCGCTGTCCCCGATTCTCAGGGCAATCAGACCCTGCATCAGACCAACATGGTGGCCTCGAATAGTGGCGCATACTTTCCTCCCGCGGCGAACCGTCCCTATCACAACGGATACTCCTTTCAAGAACCGGTGTACTCTACACAGCACATCATGTCGCAGCAACCGCTGGGCAATCCTCTCCAAGCGCCTCCTCTCGCAGGCCCGCCCATGGGATCGGCACCTGCTCGGCAAATGAGTCCCTATTCGGTCTCGCCTCCCCCTTACCACCAGCCCGTTGCTCCGCCGCCGCTTGGTCCAGCCGGCCCGCAAGCCCCTATGCACCTACAAGGAGCTCCGCAGGGCCCTACCTCAGCGTCCGTACAAAACACTCGTTCTCGCCGGGGAAGTTCCTCGGCCTCGTCAGCGCCTAACCCGCCGGCGCCGGGATCATCGTCCAAATACCGCAAGCTCGAGCCAGCGCCGACACCACCCCATCGCCTTTCATATTCGGGCAACGGCCAGGAACTGCGCACCGTGCCGTTCGACTACCGCGAGGCGATCAAGGACTATAGCGCCGTCGAGGCGCCGCCGCGGACCGGCCCCACCCAAATACGAGGGTGGACGCATAATAATATCAAGAAGCCCGTCGTCACCGCCCGGCCGCCCTCTTCTTCCTCCCGGGGTGATGTTGTTGCCGGCGCCAGTGCTAACTTTGATGAGCCTTCTGCCTAGAGTGCAGGTGGCAGAGGTGGTACTCGGCCTAGTGTCTTCGCAAGCGGCAGGAAGCGCACAAGAGAAGACGATTCTGAGGAAGAGGGACAGCAATTGCCAGCGGCGAAGAGGAGTAAGAAGAAGGCGGCTGTTCTCGGCCTTTCTTATGCTCCCCTTCTTGACCCGGTCTTGATGCAGGCGTCTGTTTTGCGATCAGGCCGCAAGCGCGAGAGGGAGGATGATCCAGAAGAACCACAGGGACAACCAGCGAAGAAGTTGAGGGTAGCTGGTCCTGCCCCTGCTCCGGCCCCTGCTTCTGGCCCGCCTGTGGCATCGACGCTCATCCACAACACGGAGCGCGCAAGAACAGATGAAGATGATCAGGAGAGACCACTGGTGAAGAAGGTGAAAGTGGCCGGCCGCTCTCTGACAAACCGCCTCTTGATAGTCATCTCCACTCGAGCTCTTTCTTCAGCGTCCGTTTCTTCAGTGTCCGCTTCTTCAGCTTCGGCTTCTTCAGCGTCCGTTTCTTCAGCTTCCGTCCCTCCCGCTCGCTCTTCTGATCGCACCGAAAATTCAAGCGTACAAGATCTCAGTGCGGAGGAGGCCTCGCAGAATGGCAACGAAATGGTTGACGGCTCCAGGAAGTACCTAGACGGGGAGAATGTCTACGATGCAACACCGCCCAGCTCCCCTCGTCTGCGACGAGTCGTACCCCCTGTTTCTCGTAAACAGAGCGACAATGGGGAAGTGAGCGCTCCTGAGCCGCCCACCCAAGCGAGCACGGTGCAAAGTGCGTCACCCCCCCGCGCACCAGAAGTTGAGCCTCTCCGCGAGGAGGAGAGCGAAGAAGTCCACATGGACCCTGCAGCAAATGAGAACTCCGCCCTAGCACCAAAGCCCGCTGCGCAGAGGACCGTCTCGCCCAGGAAGTTGAGGTTACGACCAGGCCGCGCTGCTCCACAGGCCAGAGCGACGTCCTCTCTCACTTTCTCCGACGAGAACGAGAGCGTGCAGAAGGAACCGGCGGCAAAGGAGTACACCGCCCCAGCATCAGATTCAACCACGATGGATAACAGCCGACCCAAGAGAGCAATGACACGATCCGGGCGTGCTGCCCCAGAGGCCAGGACCCCTAGCACCCTCGATGAGGGGAATGAGAATCTCCAGAGCGAACCGGCGATGAATCACACCGCCGCCCCAGCACCATCAGAGCCACCCGTGCAGAACAGCACCGGGGTCGAAAGGAGACCGAGTCGATGGTCCTCGTGGCGTACTCCACTGCCTAGGGATCCATACCCGCTACGGAGCCGTGGAAAGGCTAAGAACACGGATGCATGAGCGGGCTCAGCATCAACGACATCTCCTAAACATAGCACACTACAAACATCAAAATGAAGGAAGGAGAGAGTTACTGGGATGCCCCAATTGACGATTGTTGTTGTCCTGATCTTGGAGAGGATCTTGGACAACCAGCGGTATGGGTGCCTCACATGAAGTGCGAACCATGCCATACTATACATCGCTGGGGATGTTGGCGAGACAGAAGGAGTTAGAGAGCGAGAGACTTTGCGGATTAAGATGCGCATGAGAGAGGAGAGGAAGAACCTGCATCGAATAGGATGGGAGTCGACTGGTTGTCTTCCATCACGCATGGTATGCTGTGAAAACTGAGGAATTGGTCAAGCATTGATGGGTATCAAAAAGTTGGGACTTGCATTGGGGGGGATCTGCTGCATGGTTGGCCGGCTGGGTTTACATGAGGTAACTTCAACATTCGGCATCGGCATCGGCATCAGGAATCAAGCATCAGGCATCAGGCATTTGCAGAGGTGGATGATACATACATGGTTTATTTGGAGTTTCAGTTTTCTGAGGACATGGTGTTTCTTGCTTTGGGGGGGTGATGGTTTGTGCTACGTATTGTATCGTACATCTGTGCACCTGTCAACACTGGCCAGTCCAAGGAGATCCGCTAGACAAATCCAGTGAATTTGACAGCGGGTTTCCTCCAATGACGATCTCTCCATGATGTTGTTTACTTGGTCCCACTGATCTCTCCGGGTGCATGGACACGAAGTTGATCCCAGTATATTGCCTCGCCTTTGGACGGTTGATTCCATGTTCCATGTCCCACAGGAAGATGGCCATTTCATCGAACTTGGACGACTGTGAGGGGCGATCGCTCATGGCCAAGTTGGCATCGTACTGCCTCGGGCCCCAACTACAACTTTACAGCACCCCAGGCATTCCATCTTCTACGAGCCGGATGCTCTTCAGAGACGGTACGGTACGGAAGTTACAGGAACTGGACACGAAGCGCAGCAAAACAGGACACTGAGAGCCACGGCAAGTAGAGGAGAGCTAAACTACGCGTGATGCGGTATCTCAGCTTTTGCAAGGACCCAATCTCTGCCAGACAATGGGCGCCCAGGCTGGCCTTCTTGAAGCCAGGCGTTCCTGTCTCATCATCCTGTGAACTATCCCTTCCCTGTTCTCCGCGTCGCGGCCATGTTTGTATCGTCCTCCGAAATCTCGAGCATCGACTCCTAAGGTGGCTGAGTAGCTCAAAGGGTCTCCCATTCAGGGCCTTAAATACTCGTACAAGTTCCCACAATATTAAGTCTAACCTGACTTAAACCGGGGCGACAGGCACCCCGTCCATCGCAACACCCCCCGCAGGCCCGACACCACCCGCATCGGCACCGGCTGCGGCCGCAGCAGCAGCAGCAGCGACAGCGTTCGTATCGACGTTTGCCCCGGAAAGCGGCAACAGGCCCCGCCCCAGCTCGCCCTCAGGATGCAGCGCAAACACATTCGCCTCCATCGCCTCGCCATCAAACACGACCAGGTTCTGCACGGGCTGCTGCGTCTGGCCCAGCACATTGATGACGTCCTGCGCGAGCTGCCCGCCCAAGACCGCCGCGACCGGCGCGATCTCGGACCCGATATTCTGCAGGAAGGAGCGCAGCACCTCGCTGCGCAGCGTGTCCGCCGGCAGGCCGAGCGCCTTGTGCTGCTCGCCGCAGAGCATGGTGAATGCGGCTAGGGACTCGTGGTCGTCGCGCCGCGGCGGGGCACCGTACGTGGACGTGTATTCCCACAGCGCCCGCAGGCACGTCAGGATGGGCGTCACGGCGCGCCGGCGGCGCGGGGAGCGCAGGATCTCCGGCGGAAGGCGGGATGCCCCCGACGCGAGCAGCCAGGTTGAGTACACCTCGCGTTTGGTGACTAGTTCAGTGGTGGCCTCGTCGCCCGGTTTGGGCTGCACGGCGAGCACGGCGCGCGTGCGGGTTTCTGGCCCCAGTGGCGTGGGCATGTTGGACTTGGCTCGCGAGATGACGAAGTCGTGCTCGATCAGGTCGGCGAAGAGGAAGCCGTAGATGCCGTGGCTGCCGGCGGCGTAGAAGGGGCGGTTGTTGAGGCGCGCGGCCGTGTTGATCAGGTTGAGGGTGACCGGGTCCAAGTCGGTGGCGATGACGATGTCGAACGGGGCGAAGAAGGACGGTGGTTTAAGGCGGACATCGACCGTGTCGACGTACACGCGCACGCGAGGGTTGAGGCGCCGCAGGGCGTCCGCGCAGGCTGCCGCGCGGTTAACACCGATGGGCGTGCTCTCTTCCGAGAGCAGGAATTGCGCGCCGAGGTCGGCTGGCGTGACCGGCTCCGAGTCCAGGATGGTGAGGGAGCCGATGCCTGCGAGGACGAGGTTCTTGGCAATCTCGTTGGCCAAGGCTTTCATGGTGATGAGGAGGATGTTGGCGTTGCGGATCTTCTCCTGGGCTTTCATCCCCCACAACCGGATCTGACGGTCGTAGAGTGCGATCTCATCTGGCGGGAGGTTAGCTGCGCCCTGCCTCGAGCCGAGTCACGCTGAGGGATTCACGTACCGGCGCTGATGTTGTTAGATGGCGCCGGCACCGAGCCGCTGGCCTCTGAATGTGATTGCATGATGGGAAGTGCGGCCAGCTGGGCATTTTGCCTATCGCCGGGAATGGTGATCGGGGCGTGAGGTTGAGACTGTTGATCCATCGATGTCAAAGGGAGAGGAGATCAGTTGCAGGCTTGTTCAGCTCCAAGGAGTCTCACGGAGAGTGGATGGGCTTAAATAGATGAACTGCAGGCATGGGAAACAAAGGTCTTGAAACGAATGGAGCTTGGTGCTTCGGATTCGGGCAGCTCGCCAGATCAGCTGTTGTGCAAACGGAATACGGTATCACGATTTGCTGCAGGTTGAAGGGAGCTTGCACCAGGAGATAGTGAGATACTGCGAAGTCCCGACTGCAGTTGAAGCCCTTCAGGTGCCCAAAATGCGCCAGCGGCACCCCCCGACCAGCTAGCAGCCTGCGGAGATCGACCGAGACTCTTTAAAACTCCAATCCCACGTTCAATCCGTCTTGCCCCGCGTTGGTAAGAAACTTGAGATGCCGGTCTTATGTTGCACTCACAAGCTGGGGCAACGAATATGTCGATACGTTGTTAATGAAGTTTAAACTCTAGGCGTGGCAGTTGCTGGAACGGTAAATTGCCGCGCGACGAAGGCTTGGCGCGAAGGGAGTTTAAGAAGTACCGATCTGCAGTGACTGAAGCAGCGTAGTGGTGGAGTACCTACTAACAATTCCAGGTCGGCATAGTCCGCACACAGTATGGGGCTGTTTTAGAGCGTCTCCTTCTTTCCATTTAAGCACTGTATATTAGGGTTTCTTTCTTTTCCCCTACGATGCCATTATAGCTTTGTATCTATACGTTTTAGTAAACGGTTACCGCTGTACTGTTCTAAGTACTCGTGAGGTTTGCCCTCAACTCTTCCGAATGTCTGTCACACTGTGCAATTTGCAAACCGCAGTAGGCGATCCAGAGCTTGCCCCAAAAGACCCCGCGAAGCGCCACGCACTGCAGACTGCAGACCCGACAATTGACAAGGGGCCAGAGTGGGCGACTTTCAATCGTCGACATCCTGTCCTCCCCACGCCGCTCGACATCCACTCGTCTTTCAACAGTCAGTCGGTTTCTAGCTCGCAACCCCAACACTCTTTGCATTGCAGCGGGTAACTTCAACCTACAATCTTCTCTGTTCTCCCAGGCTGCGGCTCTGTTGCCTCATGGTCAGTCGACCCCGATACATCCCGCTAAATAAGCCAGCTTGATTATCGGTCACCTGCGTGCGCTTGTCATGGATGCTTGCCCGCCCCATCTCTGTCTGGTTAGGGCGACGGCAGGTACCACAGTGGCCAAATTCGAAATCCATTTGCATCTCTGCTCTTTAGCTTTTGAACTAACCTTATCTACAGTCTGGCAATCGTCTGCCGCCGTTGGATTCAGGAACTTTGGCACCAGGAACATTTCGAGCCGCCGACGGGACCGTCCACCACTTGAGCGAGTACCGTCTCCCTCCCAATGCTTCCGAGAGGTTGTATACGGTAATTCAGCAATTTCACCGCGATCTCGACAGGCTTAGTCGGCAGCTGTTGGCTCCCACGAACACCACCGACCCTGACTCGGCCAGGATGGCCTCCGGGGGAGACCGGGACTGGCGATCAAGACCACCAAGGTTCACCTTCACTACAGACCCGCAACCGCTAACTCCGGGCGACGCACTGCCCGGCACCTCCAGTATCTGGTCCAACCCGCCATCTCTTCCTCCGCTCCGCTCACTCACTTCAAACCGCCCGGCCATTAACCCCGCTGACTCTGGGTTCCGCTCAAGCCGCTACCGTTCCATCAACCAGCGAACGGCCGCTCAAAGCAGTGGTTCTAACCCCCGGGACGACCTGACTAGGAACTTCGACGACACTAACTGGCAACTACGAGCGTTGCTGAATTATACCAACCACGCCGACATGATGCCGCGTCCGGCACCTGCGATGTCGCCACCCCTGCGCGGTGACGACGTAGCCGAAGAGAACCCCCGCATCAAGCGTCGCAAGCTGGACACTCATAGGACGGGCTCGGGCTTCAAGGCCCTCCGCTACGGCAAATACGGCCAGCTGGAGCCAGGCCCGCTAGCCATGGAAATTGTGAGCTGCGATGGGGGCTTATACTCGGACGAGCACTCATACGCACCCGCCAACATCCTCAAGAACGACGCGTCGGTGTATTGTACCAAGGGAAACCGTTGCAACATTGTTCTGAAGCATCAAGATGGCATTGTGTTTACACTTGACGAGTTAGTCATCAAGGCGCCCGGACCCAGATTCTCATGCCCGTACGTTGTGCCATTTGGTCGGTCCTTTGCGATTCTCTATGCTCACTGTTGTTTACAGGGTCCGTGAAGGTATGGTGTTTGTGGCGATGGAGTCAGACGAACTCCTTACTCGTACAGCGCAGTATCAAATTCAATACCTGCCTGGCCGGAGCCAACGGCGTCAGGTCGTGGTTGCTCGCCACGAGGAGGACGGCAGCCGCGTCGTGCGGCTTCAGCCACGGTCCGGTGGGGCGCATGACTACGGTCTGGAGGACGATGACATGGATGACATGGATGACGACGATGATGATGATGAGGACGAGGATGAGGAGGATGACTATCGCACGGCCCAGATTCCGCCCGAGTTCACGGTGTCACCATCCCGCTTTAGCGTTACTACGGAGTACAGCGATGATGAGAACGAGGGGGATCACCACCATCCCCGGCCGCCTCCCCGGCGTGTTTCCCGGCACACGCCGAATCGGATCGGCCTGCTCGCCTTCGAGAGCGACAGCAGCGATGAGAGCATCTCCCTATACAGGCATTGGCCTCCCCAGGAAGAGTTTGACCGTGAGAGTGCAAGGGCCCGACGCCGCCGGTACCGGCGGACGAACGCCCAGGCGAGCGCCCGCGACATGACGCTTGAAGAGGCTCAGGAGGCCTCGCAGATCGCGACGCAGGAAGCCGTGCGGGCCGTGGGCGGCGGGCTCATGGCCCCGCTGGCGCACTTCTTCATCGAGAAGGACAAGAACAAGTGCATCATCCGGTTCAACCCTCCCGTGAGTGCGCGATATCTCCTGCTCAAGATGTGGAATCCGCATCAGGACCCGCATGATGCGCCCAGGAACATCGATATCCAGGGCGTTGTTGCCAAGGGGTTTGCAGGACCAAGGTTTTGTCCCGCTGTTGAACTCGCTTGAGCTCAGTCAATCGTATATGGGAGGGTGGGACGAGATGGTTCTGTTTCTGCTACCTGAGGGGTTTATTGGCGCTCCATGGTTTGCTCCGGTTTGGGATGGTTACGGTGGTTCAACCAGGTCGGACTGTTCAACATATGGCTACCTAGATGCGAGGATTGGGCTGGCGGCTGGCGTTCCGGCTGGTGACGGCTCAAGATTGGGGTTCCTAGATGGATTTCTAGGTCTTAGATACGGCATGTGATAGATATAGCATGGTCTATGGTTTGGTGGTGTATGGGACGGTAGGGGGTCTTCCGTGTACTGAGTGAAATGAAGTCTTTGAGTTTGAGACATACTGACTGGCCCGGAGGGGATCCTACTGTGTATTTGTATCTATACTGCCATTTAGGTGCCTTAGTAGCATGTGCGCTCTGGGAGCCAATTAGACCACTTTTGCTGATGATTCATAGTGAATGTGCGAACAACGCGGGTTGGCCGAGTCGCTGAGTCACTGATGAACCTAGCGCCACCTACCGTTCGTCGCCCTGGCTAGGTCGGTGCCTGAGTCACCGGGGGAAGAGATAGTCGATGCTGAAGCAGCGGAATCTTATGTCGGGGACAGGAAAATAATCGACTGCTGGTGTAATTCATTATTTCCATTCGTTGTTTGGGTATTGGGCAGTTGAGAGCAGTGTCTTCCATAGAGAGCACGTATTTAGGTACTTCCTGATTTGGTAAGCTCACAGGCGGTATGTACGCTTCGTCCAGAGTCCAGACTCTAACCGTGACCGATGAAATACCGTATGTACCTAAGGTACCTATGTATGTTCCTAGAGCTACCCAGACTGCCACTGACTGTCCGGGCATAACATTCCTTGGGTATGACGTAGGCGCAAGTCCTGATTTCACAGCTTAAATAACCAATATGAATGGTGATACAGAGGAAATAGGGACCGGGGTACACGTATAAGTAAGCACTGGGGGGCGAAGTCTCCCACTGCTTAGCTTCGCTGGCCCCACCAAGCTTTACGGAGGACATACAATTCACCTATATCTATCGCTTTTCTCATTGCCCCCACAACCTCGACATCTGCAAGCAATCCAAGCAACCCTCAAGGCGATTGACCCCAAGGTCCCTCAGCGATCTCCAAAGACTCTATCTACTCATTCCTTACCTGAAACCGAGAAATAACAGGCGATCAGCTGACCCAAGTCATGGCTGTCCGAGCACAATTCGAGAACTCCAACGAGTAAGTACTTGCCCCGCGTGACGATCCATGCCCCGCGATGATATGCGATTTTGTGCCGGAATGGTTGGACAAACGATGCTAACTACAACGCAGGGTTGGCGTCTTCGCCAAATTAACAAACTCATACGCCCTGGTCGGCATCGGCGCGAGCGAGAACTTTTACAGCGTGTTCGAAGCCGAGCTACAGGACATCATCCCCATCTGCAGGACAACGATTGCGGGCATGCGGATCATCGGGCGGTTAACAGCTGGGTATGTTCCAAAGAAGCAGAATGATCGAAAAAAAATGTGACTGACAGTACTTTCTTGTGTGTCTAGCAACCGTAAAGGCCTACTCGTTCCCACAACCACAACCGACCAGGAGCTGCAACACCTTCGCAACAGTCTACCGGACGAGGTCAAGATCCAGCGCATTGAGGAGCGGCTGTCGGCGTTAGGCAACGTGATCGCGACCAATGACCACACGGCCCTCATCCACCCTGATCTGGAGCGTGAAACGGAGGAGATCATCGCCGACGTGCTCGGCGTCGAGGTCTTCCGGCAGACCGTCGCCGACAACGTCCTCGTCGGGTCCTACATGGTTCTCAGCAACCAGGGAGGCCTCGTCCACCCCAAGACAAGCATCCGGGACCAGGACGAGCTGAGCAGCCTGTTGCAGGTGCCGCTGGTAGCGGGGAGCGTGAACCGGGGGAGCAGTGTGATTGGGGGCGGGATGGTGGTGAACGACTGGATGGCTGTCACGGGACTGGATACCACGGCGCCGGAGCTCAGTGTCATTGAGAGCGTCTTCCGGCTGACCGAGGGTGCGGCCCCCGGGGCGGTCAATACCAGCATGAAGGATACGATAGTCGAGTCATTTTACTGAGAAGTTGGGGGCTGTATGGAGTCGGAAAGAGTTTTGGGGGTGTGGGATATGGTGAAGGCGATGGTTGAATGCTCTGGTGTCCGCGATGAGGCAGGCACAATGCTGGCAGCGTGCCGCATAGTGGCCAAGTACGGCTTGAGCGCGATGGGAATGCCATGAGTGGACCAACTAGTGAACGGCATACCCGTCTGGCTGCCTCCCACCAATAGCCCTGCCAACCTTCTCTCATGATCTGCATTTGGTGCCGTCAGTGACCGGTCTATGTTAGGCTTTAATACGACTTGGACTGCCCGAGTCTGCAATCCAATGTGCTGTGTGTGTAGTAGAGGGTTAGGATCCTGACTACTGGACTCTCAGTGACAGAAAAGTGTGATAATTGCCTCCAGTCCTGCTGAAGTTATTCTGTTAGGTGTCACATTCTCAGTCAAGAAAGGTTACCTCAAACTGCCTTCGGTATATGTGCATATCCAGCCCCAGTTATCGTGGCAAAGGAATTACAACGAGCATAGCCCACTGCAACTGGCCAGCTTGGAGCTCACCGACCACCAAGCTCACAGGACTCTAGGAGAAATGGAATCTCTACCCATTGAACAGGGGAATCGAAGTGCTCGTACACAGCACAGAAGCTTTCTTCCCTGACCGTCGTGTGGCCACTGCATTTGTGCAACACCGTACCACAGATATGAACCATTCGAACACTGTGTCTGTCCATTTCAAGCCGTGAAAGTCATCCACCTACGGATAGTTTGCCTTCGCTCACCAGGGGACGGGATTTTAGTTTCGGAGCCAAGACCATCACAAAGCGGGGCCGGCCCCACGGAGTAGACCGAGGACCCTGGCCTGCCTGGCCGAGCCCAACCGGGAAGGAGAGCTCCTGTATCGGGCTTTCGGCTCTTGTCCAATGTTCCTCGCTTTCCTTCATGTTGTTGCTAACCAGCTGCCCTGCTCCCAATTTCTGAGTGCAGCGCAGGCGCTCATATCCGACAACCATTCATCAACCTCCGCTCGCTTGTGATAGCCTGCTCTACCTACACTTTATCGAACTAGCCGTCGAGTGTTCCACGTGTCCATGCTCTTGAGTTAGACCGGTCGCTTATTAGCCCCGTGATTTCAAGTCGCGGTCGATCTTTCTCAGAACTGAGCTGCTACGTGCCTTCCGCCCAGTTCAGGCCGCAGCATCGCTCACGGCTGTTGAACGACGTACGGAATATTCCTGGAGGTTACCCCATACAGCGCTGGTGGTCGCATCATCGCCCCTCGTCTGAATTATTGGGATGTCCAGTGCCTGCGCAAGGATACAGGAAGTTTGCCGCAGGTTTCCCCGGCCAAAACGAAACGAGAGCAAACGCGAGATTAGACGGCGCTGTGGCGATCCAGGGTCCGCCCTAGAGGATCCGAGACATTAACCCGTCATGCTAAGCAACGACCCTACCTCGTCCTCCCCGCTCTCGTCCGAGTTGCACCTCCCGTCTCGCACTGTACCTGCTCGCGCGTTGCCACCAGACACAGCTGCCCTGAATAATGGATACGTTTCCCCGCGGTCGCAACACGAGACAAGCACATCAACGACGCGTCCTTCACCATTAAGCCTGAACCCACCACCGCCGTCACGCTTATCACTTCCACCGCTGTCAGAGTACCACAGTGGTTTTGCCAGTGAGGACTCTGGCTCGCCCTACAATCCAGCAAACCATCGCAGGCAGCAGTCCTTTCCAAATCTGGTGCCGTTGGCCTTGAGGAGCAGGTCCCCATCACCCACCAAGAAGACGGAACCTAGGCGGTCCTCGGAATTCATGCCGTACACCGGTGACGGAAGAAGCAGCGCGAGAGCGGCGGCAGAAGCACAACGCGGAGGAGGCGGGGGGTTCATTAAATGGCTGAGTGGCAGCAGTGGGACGGCGGACGCGCCACAGCCGTCCCTGCCTGCGGATGCCCACACTACGCAAACGGCATTGAAAGATGCCGCAATGCCAAACAGCACAACTCCCAAGACCACCATGACAACGGCATCCCGCCTCATGTCGGTCGTGTCCTTGCGCTTTGGGCCTACGACGCCCACCAGCCCTGCAGTCGACACCGAAAAGTTGTGCAACCTCGATATCGAGGCAGCGCTCTTCCCCCACGGCTCGCCTTCGGACGGGGACGCTTTCTCTCCGTCAGCTTTCAAAAACCTCCAAATGAACGCCATGGGCGTCCTTACGAAGATGCAGACAGCCTTTCGAGAACAGACCGTGGTCCTCCGCGAGCTACAAGCCGAGCAGTCCGCGCAGAAAGACGAACTAGAAGAAGCCGAGACGCGTGCGCGGCACCTCAAAATGCAGCTCGAAGACATGGCACGCAAGGCCCAGGAACACGAGCAAACGATCAAGTTGCTTATGGAGGAGCTAGCGGCGGAAAGGAAAGCAAGGGCGGAGGAACAGCTCGCTGCTGCTGCTCGTCCTCCTCCTGTCCCGCCTTCCGAACGGGCATCGATGATTTCGGAGGATCTGGGGGTGGATGATGACCAGCGGCAGAGGAGGATGAGCCACAGGAAGAGCTGGAAGAGTAGCCCGTCGTGCGAGGAAGATACCGACGAGGACGAAAACGCGAGCGCTGAGAGCGAGAGCGTGTTCTCAAGGTGCCGGAGTCCCGGACTGCATTTGCCTGATGGTCCTGGGACACCCCATGCAAGGAACCCTACCGGTGGATCAGTGAATGTCACTCCAAAGCAGAAGTCTGGACAGCAGCTGAGTGCTTTTCAGAAGATCTTTAAGGGGATCTCGGGCGACTCTGGGGAGAATTCAGGGGCGAATGGGTGTGCGAATTGCAGAGGACAGGATGCTAGCGTCGCCTGGAACACCGTCAGTTTACTCAGAGACGAGAACAGGCATCTCAAGACAAGAGTTGGAGAGCTGGAAGTTGCTGTAGAGGGGGCCCTAGACTTGGTGAACGGCATTTGGTTATGAGTTGCTCAGCCTGGCCGGATCCGCGCGGCCCCCCCCCAACCCCCCCCAACCAAACTAGAGTTGTATATGGTGTTCGGACATATGGCGTTATATAGCGACGCACTGGCTGGTTTCTAGCCCACGCTCTTGCATTGTATTTGCATCAATGGCTACCTTGCGACATAGATCGGGTTTCCCCGAATGGATTTCGGTACTCATTTGGATAAAGGTTAATGGACACAACAGATAAGCTGCATCCATGGCAAGCTCGCCAGTGTTTACCGGTGCCTTTGGCCCAAAAGCTCATTCTGCTCTTGTCTAAAGCATTACACTCGGTACAAGCCGTTGTCTGCGCTTAAACTCTCACCTCATCCCACTGGCCACTTTTCGCAGGCTTCACGATGGCTGTCGTAACTGCTCGGGAACAACAGCTGCCTCGAAATGTACGATGCTATTGGGAACGGACGCGCAAAACGGACGCATCCTTTAACTTCCACGGTTAGCTCCCCTTTCTTAGGGGTATGTCAACAATCCGTTTGACCGCAACCATCCCATGTGTATGCGCCCTCACGTTCCCCCTTGCACACACAGACGTACGCCACCCAGCAGCCTACTTTAAGGCAGGCTTCCTGCCCACCCAACCCTGAGCTGATCTCCCCTTGGTCAGTCGACTCAATGAGCGCTTATTCCATGCTGCCCGCTGGTGCTGTGGTGATCGTCCTTCATGAAGAAGTGCTCGTACAGGCAGTAGCCCGTAAACGCGACTACCGCAATGCCAAACCCCGGTACCGAGTTCTTGAACCGGTTCCACCGAGTGAACTGGCCTGTGTACCGCCACGCTTCGCTGAAAACGCGGGATCACGTCAGAAGCCATCCTTCAGGAGGAAGTGAAAGCACTGCGGGCGGGGTGAACAAACTTCCGCTCCCAAGGATCGTATTTCGGGGTGCGCGTCGCGGCCAGGAACTTGCGCATATCAAAGCCCGTGATGTTGGGCTTCGGCTCGCCGTTGTCGTAGCGTAGTATCCTAGGTAGCAGCGGAGCCGGTTAGTCAGGGCGGAATGAGCAGGCATGCGCAGGAGAAGAACGGAGAGTCGGGTCGGACCTTGAGGGCTGCATTGTGGCGCTGGAAATTGCTTGTCGTCGGCGTGCTCAGCAGGACTCCGGGGATTCATTCACAGACGTCGCATCGCCGAGTGCAGCAGTGGTTTGAGCTTCTAGGTGCTCTCATCGGGCTTGGCCAATGCCAAGCCGCTTAGTCAAGGAGAATGTAGTCTGTGCGTTTGGTGGGGTCTGTGCGGCGCTGCGGCTGTGGTTAGTTATCCCCAGCCCTACCTGAAGCCGTAGTACGGGGCATGATGAACGAACCTGGTCGCCGCTTTGATTCAACCCCTCGCGATCTGACCAGTGCAGCGAAATCCGACATTTTTCACCGCAGAGCGTCACCTCGACACTTTCAGTAGGCAACTTCACAACTATTTGCAATTAGCGGGATTTCTCGACCGAATCCGACCGCAGGCGCAGACCAGGGAGTTCGACACGTCTGATCTCGCGACTTGTCCCTGCCACCCGCAACCTGCATCCATTATACCCCAGCGGAGGGACGGGAATGGTCCCTTCAAGACCCGAATCCGACACTGCGCTTAGGATACAACCTGCAAGATAGGCTAGAGATCGAGAAAAACAATATAACGGGCGCCGCCACCACGCGATGCCTCTGCCGCTCAACCGGTTCGCCAGCGGGCCCAGCACGCTTTCCTATCACCAGCAGTTCCCTACGCATGCTCAGCACGCAGCGAGTCACCCACCTCCCCTCGGCGGGACCGCGGCCTACCTAAACGCCCAGGTAGGCCAGGTCAACCCCTTCTCGGCGAACGGCAACCTCCTAGGCCTAGCCAGTGGCCTCAATGCCGGCGCAGGATTCAGTGTCGGTGGCGACGGGGGGCTAGCAAGTCATGCCGCGCGCATGGGCTTTGCGCACGCGGGAAGTCTGCAGCAGCAGCAGCAACAACAACAGCAGTCCCAGCAGCAGCAAGCGCTTCAACAACCACAGTCGCAACATGCCCAGCATGCCCCGCCCGTCCAGCATCCGCAACACGTGCAGCAGCAAAGTCACGGCTTGATCGAGCATGCGACACGGATAGCGCAGAAGGGACGGATAAGGGAGGTGTGGAAACACAATCTGCACGAGGAGATGGCAAACCTGCGGGACCTGGTCGACAGGTATCCGTATATCGCTATGGTGGGCTGACTTTGTTCTCTCTGGGGACGCGGCAGAGAGAAGGGGGACGTAGGCTGACAATTGCCCCATGACAGGATACCGAGTTCCCAGGAGTTGTGGCGAGACCTATGGGTGGCTTCCGCGGAAAGAGCGATTACCATTATCAATGTCTTCGGACGAATGTGGATCTGTTGAAGGTCATACAGATCGGCCTCGCACTCTTTAACGAAGATGGCGAGCAGCCGCCAGCTCGACCAAGCTCTACCGATTCGGTAGATCTGCGGAGGACGAGCAACCAGGCCCCGTTGCCGTGCGCTTGGCAGTTCAACTTCAAGTTCTCGATCAAGGATGACATGTACAACGAGACCTCAATCGAGTCGCTGCGACAAGCCGGCATCGACTTCGCGCTGCTCGAGCGGGACGGCATCGACCCGCACGAATTCGCCTCTCTGCTCATCCCCTCAGGCCTGGTCTGTTTCGAGAATGTCCGTTGGCTAAGCTTTCACGGCGGCTACGACTTCGGCTACTTGACCAAGTTGCTGATATGCCAGCCCCTGCCCTGCGATGAGGTCGAGTTCGACCAGATCATGAAGCTCTACTTCCCGTCCACGTACGATGTTAAGCACCTCATGAAGCACGCCATCAAGCTGCTCAACAGCGGCATGCTCACCACAAGCGACCCCAGTGCGACGGAGATCCTCCAGAAGTTCGAGCAGAAATCGGGTTTAGAGCACATCGCCGAGACGCTTAAGCTGAAGCGAGTCGGGAGCGCACACCAGGCCGGCTCCGATAGCCTGCTGACAGGCCGCGTGTTCTTCGAACTGCGGAAACGGATTTTTAACGGAGAGATATCTGACGAGCATCTCGGCAAGGTCTGGGGTCTCGGTTTCCCCGATTATTCCATCGGTGGTGCCGGCATCACAGTGGGTCCGCTCAACGGCAACGGCAACGGCAACGGTGGTGCCCAGCAGCAGGTTGAAAATACCCCGCCGAATCACCACCATCCCCCCAACGGAAATGCCCTCCAGAACGGCACTCCGAGCACGCCTAATACTGGTAGCGTCAATCTGGCGGGCACACCAGCCCCATCCTCCCATAATACCAATGGAACGACTTCCGGTGGCGGCGGCGGAGGCCCTATGACGCCAGGAGGCGGCGGTGGCGTGTTTGGTGCGTTTTTCGCCGGGAACGCGCGGTAGATAGGATCAGGGGGGCTTGAAGACCTGGCAATATATGGTTGTGGTATAGGCTGTGCTGGACGGATAGGTAGGCGGCTCAGGACAAACGGTGCTGGTTCTTTCCTCTGGTAGTTGTCCCTTATGCTCTCTCCTTTTCGCTTATCTTTTGGAGGTCCGCAAGGGGGGCTACGATACCCCAGAATACATTACGCGTCCTTCGCTACCGGAGACGATGCTACATGCTACATGTTTCGAGTGGCTGTCCAGATAATGTGTGAATCGAAGAAACAAGGGGTTCACTACACTCGGAGAGGACGGAAGCGAAAGGGTGCTTCTACTGGGGAACCAATTCCTAATTCCCTAGGGGTGGCCATTTATTTCTCTTGATGACCTACTCGCAACCAATGCCGCCGCCCTAGACTACGTCCACACACACTTGGATGGCAAGGACAAGATTCTCAGCATTGGTAGCCGGGTTAACTGTTGATGATTCGAGCTGTGATGACACATGATCCAGTATCATCCGCGCATGAGTGGCATGCGCTCTCTGTTTGCATTATTGTGCTGCTTAACACCAATCTTGAGCTCGCCAGTCTCTCTGCAGACGCTGTTATTTTAATGCTGAAGTCGAGTTGGGAACCCTCACGCGTCCCGAACGCGTATCCCTGCCTAAGCCGACCGACCCCCCTTCCCGCTATCCGTGCATATGATCCAAACCGTACGATGGAAATAACAAGGCTAAGACCGCCCAAAACGCCTGGACATGCACCGCCCCCCCGGCGCTGTCGTTATCCCACTACCCATTTCCGCTCCCGCCATCCATATACGTGATGTGATGCATTACCCAGTATGATTGAGTGACGACATCAAGTGACGAACACCTTCCTCAACTCGTCGGTAGAGTACACCTCCCCGGTCACGAGATCCTTCACCTTACCCGGTGCCAGTCCAGACTTGGCGGCGTACTCTTCCAGGCGCTCCTTGCCGTACAGCCGCCCGTTGGGCAGCAGCATCAGGTTTTGCTCGAGCAGCCGGCTCTTGCTGTGGTGGGCGTAGCGCACGTGCCGGGCAAGCGCGTTGAGCTCGGTCGAGCAGATCGGACAGACGCGCGTCGTCAGGGAGGCCGTGCCGTGAGGGTGGTAGTGGGTGTGATGTGCTTGGTTTGGCTGTGCTGATGTTGATGATGATGCCGATGACGACGACGACGATGTTGTTGATGTTGAGGTGACGGTGCCATTTGCCGGTTGATCTTTGTCTCGCGCCTGTACCTGAGTCTGCCGGTTGCTGTGGCAGGCCGGTGTCTTGAGGGCCGAGAGGCCCGAGGAGAGGGCGACGTGCAGGAGAGGCGTCATGGGGAGGTTGAGGAGCTTCAGGTAAGCCTCGACGAACGTTACCGCGAGCTTTTCCCACCGAGAGGGACTGTAGAGCGAGGCGTACGGCTCGATGTCCGTATCTGGCATGTACGCCAACAGCCCTGCCATATTCCTTACTTCCTCGGGGTGAGTGTCGGCGTACGGGTAGATGTACTTCCTGGCGTGGTTGATAGCGAGCATTTTGGCTTGTGGCCCGCTGCGCATCATGTCGATGTATTGCTGGCAGCGGAGCATGAACTCTAAGCTGGACTGCATTCTGCGGAGCTCCTTCTTGTTCTCATTGCACCATGCCAGAGCCTCCTGGACCTCGCCGCCTTGGAGTGACTTGCGAATCTTGCTCATAGTCACAAAGGTTTCGATGTCGACTAGATCCTTCATTTGTCTCTCGTCTGCCAGCGCTATTGCCGACGAGTCGTAGCCGTGGCGGAGCATGTAGTCGACCAGGAGGCGGTCAAGCCGCTGCCGGGACCAGCCCTCGTATTTGACATCGTCAACCGTGTCCAAGCTGGCAAGCTCGCGCAGGTGGGCTATACGTGCGTTCAACTGGCGGTATATACGATCCTCCTCTTCGGCGGCGGTCGTCAACTTCCGTTTCAGTCCGCGCATCTTGGCCAGCATTTGATCGAGGTTTTTGACGACATCTTGGGGGGACGTCTTGCCGTTGAGCGAGCCATTAGCTGTCTCTTTCAGTAAGTCCTTTACGGCATTCGAACTCTTATCAAAGGGGACGTGGAAAGAGCGGAAATTCTGGCGAAGAAGTTCATATGGAAGACGCAGGCAAGGTTGGTCCTATTGCAACGTCAGGCAGTTAGCGAAACCGTTAGCATACCAGAGTCGGGCCCAATGACGTCGTCCTACAAGAAGCAGGTGGTTGTCGTGGTTGATTCTCGCCGCTTCATAGTTCGCCATGGCTGCGATTCTGTTCCCAGTCTCTCAGACACTTGAGAACTCCCCAGGTGTCAAGGCGTTGCTCTGTTGGAAGTTGGACTGTGTTTGGTACGAGCATGCGACGACCACTAATGAAACGGACGAGTACTAGCAACTGCTTGCAAGGAACTGATGAGCGAATGAGGGACCTCAAGATCACAGTGTATAGTACAGTGTATACAGTGCGTATAATACTCCGGAACTACACGGGCGAATAGGTAACAGCATTACCGGAATTAGAAGCAAGAAACGAAGAATAAACAGAGCTTGGCGTCAAAAGAAAAAGGTAGCAGACTAGCAGTAGATAGGCATACCAAAGAAGCTGTCATTACTACTACTGTGTTCTACATGTAGGTCTGCGTAACGATTCAACATGGCAATCACGAGATGACAGGGCTCTATGAGGACCCTAACCCCTACCGCTTCCATACCCCCACTGCGGCCTTCTAGAGTGAGTTCCTGTCTTACTCCTGAGAATCCGTTCGACGAGGCAGAAACAGACAACAGAGGCTGGTTTGAAGCAGATACAGTATCTATGGATGGCTTAGGCATCTTGTGATATGCCCAGAGGGTCTAATCATGTGCCAACCTGTCTCACTGCTCCTATGGTCAGGAGGGGTCGTTGCTATGTGGGGCAGCGCAATGAGTACTAGTACGGTCTTATTACAGACTCGGAACTTACACACAACAACCACGGATGACAAAGGGGGAGTGGGCCGTTGTTGGGGAATAGTGGCAATATCGCTGCGCTCTGCGTCTCGAGGATCGTGGTGATGGTGTGCATGTGGGCGGCCAATTGCATGCACGTGCTAGGATGGACAACACTCGCGAACAATTGGTAGTCATTCAGAAACCAGGATAAAAGCATTAAGAGGGTCAGCGACTAGCAATGTGCTATGTTTTCTGCAACTCTGCAAATCAAGCGAGATTGACAAGCTGATGCATTTCCCAGTCTACATTCTGAGGTGAGTTACGTCGAGAGGAGAGGGGAGAGGAGACAGTTCGTGCTGATCATCACTGGTGCATGCGCAAAGCGATTGGCCCGTGCATCCGCTCCTGGCGACAGACCCGCATTTTAAACCCTCAGGCTCTCAGCTCACATGATCTTCCCTCTCACCCATCTCCTTTATTACGACGGTCGGTATCAACAGTCCTAAAAACGGGCAGGCCAACTTATTTGCCGGGAATAGGTATGCGCATTTTCCTAGAGTCAAAAAATCTTCGTTTAAAATCGATGCGCGATAACTTTCGCATCGTGGTTTCAGGCGTCCGTGGGTCCTGGCTGACTTTCGCAGCGCTCGTCACGTTTTCCGGCACGTTCTTCACATGACCTCGAGCTAGACCTGGCGTTACCAATCACAACGAGTACCTGTAGGTAAAGAATCCATTCACAAGACCATCTCTCCTCAAGAGCATGAACCATGCCTACCCATCCACTCCCACACCATGACAACCAATGCATCAGGTTGGGCGCGTCACCGCGGTCATTCACGATGACAATACGCGCCGCAGTCATCTCTCCAGTGAGAACATGGACTGAAAGCTGCATCGTGTCATCGGCCTCAATTCATACGGCTGCTCCCAGAGTGCATGGACGCTATTAGGATACTCGCGACCTTCACGGGCCCTCCTGATCATCGCGCTACGCGCCTTTCTGTCTCGGGGTATGGTGTTGAGGGACTTGAAGTCTATGTCCTTTGCAACATGGCATGTTGTCAAAGATTACCCCTGATCATGTGTGCACAATGTCACAAGAACCGTTGAGAAGCCCGTCACAAACCACTCAACACTCAAAACTCCAAGCACGTCATTAACGGAGACTGACCGGCTCACTCCAGGATTGACGGTTTCGCAATCCACCATGGCCGCGTCTGCCAGTACACATCCTGATCTTCCCGAAGTCCCAACCACGCCGGGGCAAAAAAGGAAAAGGGCAAGCGAGTCCGCCTCACCCGATTCGCGCCGTAGCAAGCGTGGTGCTCCGACTGCTCCAGCTTCAGCTCCAGCTATGTCGGTCCCAGAGTCTGATTCGCAAACGTTTCTGGGGGACACGGTGAGCATCGCGCAGGCCGCGCATGACCATGTAAGCGTAGACGACTTCAGCGCCCTCGCCCAAGCTACCGTCTCGGACCACAACGATGCAGCTGATACCAGCAACGCGTCAAACACGGCGGCTGCGGCGTTGAACATGTACCCGTCGCTTCATGTGCCTCAGTCCACCGAAGAGACATTCGCAAATCAAGCCACGCCAGAGTCTCACCACTCTGAAAACAGCTTCAACAATCATTCTGTTAGCCAGCCGCCTACAGATGGCTTGCCTTTACCCGCTCCCCCCGCGCCTGCGCAACAAACCCCTAACGGGGCGCAGCAAGAGCAGCGGTACAGCGCTCCTCCCAACGCCAAGCCTGCGGTTGGCTCTGAGGAATGGCATAAGATGAGAAAAGATAATCACAAAGAAGGTAAGCTGCATTCCCTCATCTCCCTGGAGACTTTTCTGACCGCTTGTTAAGTCGAGCGCCGCCGTCGTGAGACGATCAATGAGGGTATCAACGAGTTAGCAAAGATTGTCCCTGGCTGTGAGAAGAATAAAGGCTCAATTCTCCAGCGGGCGGTCGCCTTCATCACGCAGTTGAAGGAGAATGAACAGCAGAACATTGAGAAGTGGACACTCGAGAAGCTGCTGACGGAGCAAGCCATCGCCGAACTGAGCTCGTCCAACGATAAGCTCAAGCAGGAGTGTGACCGGCTCTACCGGGAACTCGATACCTGGAAGCAGATCGCTCAGAGTGCGGGCTTGCAGCCGCCGCAGGAGAAGGAGGAGACAGGCTCCAGCAGCTAGTACTGCCCCGGTCCTTCGGCTTCTGGATCTGATGTCCTCTCTGCTCTGCTTGTACCTGCAGATCAGGCGCTCGCCGGATTGCAAGTTGGCAACAGCCAACGGGGGATCTCGAGCAACAACCCGGAAATCGATTGAATATTCATCCTGTGAAGGAGGCAGCACTCGACTTTGAACGATGCTCCCTCACAAAACGCTAGCTTTGTCTGGCTTCCCAGGCTGGCGGTGGTGCTTCGAGTAATGAGGCCCTCAATCCCGGACCCGGTTTTCGATCGCGCTCAGCGCCTTTTTGGCAGAGCTTCAAAACACACACGGAAACTTTTGTCCCACCGGTTCATTCTCATATCTGTACGACTACGGGGGATATTCTGTTTGTTACCTTGTAGTCCTTGAGGTAGCTCGCGTGTGTGTACACCTACCGTCACCAGGTACCGCTCTGGCCTGGTTGGGGCCCTGGTGGCCAGGAAGTTGCTTTCATGTCCTTTCTCTTTCACTTCGATCCTCATGGGGGCGTTTGTTTTAACGGCTCCACGGCAGTTGCTGGTGGGATGGTGGACATGACATAGGCGGTGCGAGTGAGATTTGGCGTTGGAGGACCTAGGACGGCCGCCCTCGGTTTCCTGTTATTAATATCCTGACGGGAGACGGCCCCGTTTTTCTACATGAAAGACATCACATATAGCTGCAGTATTGCCTTAGCAGGCTTTTTTGCTTTTCCTGACCCGTATGCTAGTGGGATGAGGCATGATGCTAATGCAAGCGAGCATACCTATACAGTACGAGTAGATTGCATTTCCCGGGATTCCTGTCCAGGCAGTCCGTTGTCTACCAGGTAGCGTCGTTATTTTCGGCGCTCAGGGGCGTTGGACTAAGTGGACTGATGTGGATTGGGAATACGCATATCTAGGTGCGTACTTGTTCACTTTAGTATCATGCCATTGCGCCGCTTATTTCCTAATGTCAGAGAGCGGAGTTGGGGGGCGGCAAGTCGGAGGTACGGCGGCGGGGCTGCCGGGTAATGGGTGGGCTGATTCCACTCCGATCACGGGCCGGCCTTGTCAATGACAACGGTGCGCCCGAGACCGTGTCGTCCCCGCCCAAGCGCGCTCATAAGCATTGCCCAGAACCGCCCTGGATTGCCAGCGGGGTTGCCCGGCTGACGGATTGCCCATAAAGGTTCCCTGTCTGCTCAAAAGAGTTCAGAACTGGTCGCTCTAAGGACAAGAAACCGCCCCCTTTGAACAGCAAGAAGACCAAAAAAAGGTATCGTTGATACAGGGAGGCGAGAACGCGAATCTAGATTTAGGGTTCGAAATTGCTGACTTAGTAGAGTCTACACCACATATTGAAACATAGTACAACGTTCCTGCTGTAAATCAGGATGCTTTGTTATGGAAACGCTCGAGTCTTGATGGTGATCAACTGGATCACTTTCTTCCATTCGTTGATATTGAAAGTCGCTGAACCGGATTGACGTAATGGACAACCAGCAGATAGCTAAGGGCACGGCAGCTTCCCCGCACCCGAATGCATGTCAACCGAAACCCCCGGGCAAAGCCTAGCCATCCAGGAAGGTCAGGGGCCCAATTGATAGTTCGGAATATAAGCCGGTGATATCCATTGGCAAAACAACCATTTGTTTTCCTGGCCATCCTGTGGAGTTTGCAGAGCTCCTCCTGATTGAAGAGAGGAAGCATCTCGTGGGGGCTTCTACTTCAATCAATCGAACCAATTAATCCATTTTCCCTCAACGAAGTGCGCGTGGCATTGCAGACTCGCAGGTGTGGGTGGGACAGACGGAAGAGCTACAGAAGGACAGGATATAAGGACACGACATCATGTCGGCGTGGCGGGCGCTTTGGGGCAGCAATGCCCTCTTCCGCGCAGCGTCCACCAGCCCCTCGAACACTGCCCGACTCTCCAGGACCGTTCCCGTTACTGTACACCACGCGCCCCGCCGTGGGTTCTCCGCCTCCTCCCGTACCATGTCGTCCTTCTATACCGGCTGGGAGCCCGAGGGCCCCTCCGTCAAGACCGAGATCCCCGGCCCCAAGGCGAAGGCGGCCATTGCCGAGCTCGACAAGGTGTTCGACACACGAAGCTTGAACATGCTCACCGACTACTCCAAGAGCGCCGGCAACTACATCAGTGATGCCGATGGCAACGTGCTGCTGGATGTGTAGGTTAAGCGCCACACAGCCTACGATCTCGCCCATGTGCAGCTAGCTGACTCTCCGCTGTCTAGCTACGCCCAGATCGCCTCCATCCCGCTCGGGTACAACAACCCTACGCTACACAAGGCCGCCCAGAGCGACGAGATGATCAATGGCCTGATCAACCGGCCGGCTCTGGGTAACTTCCCCCCAGCAGAGTGGGCCGAGATCCTGAAGACCGGCATCCTCAGGGTCGCCCCCAAGGGGCTCGACCAAGTCTTCACTGCCATGGCTGGCTCCGACGCCAACGAGACCGCCTACAAGGCCGCCTTTATGTGGCGCCGCCAGAAGGAAAGAGGCGGTCCCCAGGTGGAGTTCACCGAGGAGGAGATGAACTCGGCCATGGAGAACAAGTCTCCCGGGGCATCACAGCTCTCCATCCTGAGCTTCAAGACCGGCTTCCACGGCCGGCTCTTCGGCAGCCTCTCCACCACCCGCTCCAAGCCCATCCACAAGCTCGACATACCTGCTTTCGACTGGCCGCAGGCCACTTTCCCGCAACTCAAGCACCCGCTCGAGCAGCACGCCGCCGAGAATGCCGCGATCGAGCAGGCCGCGCTCGAGGAAGTCGAGCACCTCATCCTCAACTACCACATCCCGCCCGCCGCCGTCATCGTGGAGCCGATCCAGTCCGAAGGCGGCGACAACCACGCGTCGCCGGCCTTCTTCCGCGGCCTGCGCGACATCACGCGCAAGCACGGCGTGCTGCTCATCGTCGACGAGGTGCAGACGGGCGTGGGCGCGACGGGCCGCTTCTGGGCGCACGAGCACTGGGACCTGCCCCACCCGCCGGACATGGTCACCTTCAGCAAGAAGGCGCAGACGGCGGGCTACTACTTTGGCAACCCGGAGCTGCGGCCCAACAAGCCGTATCGCCAGTTCAACACGTGGATGGGCGACCCGGCACGGGCGCTGCTGTTCCGCGCCATCATCGACGAGATCGAGAGGCTGGATCTGGTGAAGCACACGGCGCGCGTCGGCGACTATCTGTTTGGCAAGCTGGAGGCGCTGGCGGAGAAGTACCCCGAGGACTTCCAGAACTTGAGGGGCAAGGGCATGGGCACGTTCATCGCGTTCGATAACCCGCGCCGGGACGAGTTCCTGGCCAAGGCGAAGAAGGTCGGAATCAATATCGGCGGGAGCGGGCAGCGTGCCGTGCGGCTGAGGCCGATGCTCATCTTCGAGGAGAAGCACGCCGATATCCTGTTGGAGGCGCTCGAGAAGATTGTGACATCCTGGTGAGAGGTCTAGGCTAATGAGCATGGGATGAGGGGGTAGCTTAGGAAAGAAATACATCGCGTCTTGTTAGCCGGCGGGGAGTTTCATAATGGCGCCGAGCCATCCGTAGGTCGACATTGACGATGCTGTTATGCTGAGGCAATAGAATGCGGCTGGTGGGGTTCCTTGCTCTTGGACACCGTTGGGCATGATGCGGAACTGAACTGAAACAGGCGCGTCTGACACATACCGAGGGGGACATCGGCTAGTAGAGGGTCTCCGCTTGAAGAAGACAACGTACGGAAAACACATTGCCATTCCGTTTCTGCGGAAGACGTCATCTCGCCAGCTCTGATCAATTTCAGCAAAGTACACCCTCTCTTGGCTTCGGTGTCCGGCTACATTCATTCGCCCTACCGTGGAGTTAGGCCAGGAACATGCGTGCGTTTTCCACACCTCCCCCCTCTTCTGGTGACGCCTGAACAACGACAAGAGTGCAAGCACGAGATGAGACAGGCTGTGCGCCCTTCCCCCTCCCTTCGCCCAAGAAACAAGTGTACATTGCAAATCGATCGCGCTCGACGCCTTGATTTGGACCCAGCGTGCCATCCCATGCTGCTGTTGCAGGAGACGGTATGAAGCGAAAATATATATGCCAAGCCCTGGGCCCAATACTCCTTTTTCCGTCCTTCGGTCGTCCCTCCGAACCGAGCCATGTTTGATGCACCTGTCCACTTATGCTCCGAAATAAAGGACGATTAGAACTAAGTTATCTGAAAGAGAGATACATCCCCCCACTCCACCGACCCCATGCGATAACTGACTCCAAAGTGTCCCCGATGTACATGTGAATTTTGGGATGTCGCCCCTGAAGGAGCGAAGATCTGGTGACGGCGACGCGAGGTGCTTTGCCATCCGCCTCTCTCGCGCCATGCTTGCCATCGCAAAATCGCAAAAGAGCAAAGCCTCGAAGGCGGAACCAGCCTATAGATATGCGGGTATCGAAGCCTCATGCTTTGGTCCAAGGTAGACAGACAGCATGTCTTCTCCTAAGCCCGACGTCTCTGCCCCGATGGAGGCAGAACGGCCAATGTACGAATGATGATGGTATGTACGCTCGGGCGTCCATGCCGTCTGGATCAGCCACCCCAGTTTCAGTGACTCAACACCGGCCGCTGCTGCGCCGCTTGCCGTGGCCCGTCAATAACCATATCCATCTCGGCGCTCTCAGTCCCGGCTGAGCCATTCACCACCACGGCCGCGCCATTCTGAAGCTTCCTTTCTTCCTGTGCCTGCGCTTCATCCTCCGCTCGTTGAGCCTCTTCGTTCTCGCGCATGAGGGCTTCCTCCTGTTCGCGCATCGAACGCTCCTCCTCGGTCGGCGGGCTGTCTGCCGACGGAGGCGGCGGCGGGGTCGGTGGGGTTGGGACAGACGCGGGATCACCCTCGCCGTCGGCCTCGTCTTCCTTAACCCGCTTAAGTGACGGCGTCTCGGAAGGCGGGACGCCGTCCTTGGGCGACTCAAGGTGATCCTCGTCACCGCGCTTACGCTTGCGTCCTCCGGAGCTGCTTGGGCTGCTCTCTGCCACATCAGACATAGCGTCGTTGGCCTTGATAGGGCTCGCAACTGAGCTTGTGGCTCCTCCATCTGGCTGTGATGACGGCCCAGGGACTGACTGCCCAGCTCTTTGGGCCTTCTTTTTTTGATACTCGGTGTATTTCACCAAGGCGCGTTCAAAGAAATCCTGGGCGTACGTGCGGACCTTCTTCGCCTGCTTGGACGAGATGGACGTCGGGTCCTCGACCCGATGATTCTTATAGTCTGAGGAGACCAGCTTCTTATTCACTTCCCGTGCGAACTTCTTCAGGTCCTCCTTGGGGAGCTTTCCGTGGAACTTGTCCACCACATGCTTCACATGCGGGAAGAGCTTGACAAACTTAGCATATATGTGCGACAACGGTTGGGTCAGGATACTCACTGTGTTCTCGTAGATCTTCATCTGCTTCTCGATCGGCAGAGAACGCCACTTTTCCTTGTTTGGCTCGGCCGCGGGCGTGCTAGACCGTTGCGGTGTATGACTTGCTGAATGCCGAGGCGTCGGCTCCTTTGTTAAACTGTCAATGATATTCTGTAGAGTCTTCTGATCTTGCTGTGCCTTTTCGGAAACCTTAGAAATCTTCACTGCAGGTGCTGAGGGACGCTGCCACTGCCTCTCGCCATTCACATTGTAAAAGTAGTACTTCCCTGTGTTGTCCGTGGCGACAAACCAACCATCTGGCAGGTTGGATGGGGGCACTTTCCGTGGGCGCTGTCCATTGTAACTGGTATTTCTCTGAGGGACGTTGCTGCGGGGACCGGTCGGAATCACGACATTGGCAAAGGGATCCACCGGCTTTGTCGGCTCTTCACGGTCCTTGTTGCGACGCTCCTCCTCGAACGTATTGGCAGCGACGGGCGCCATGCGATCGTGCTTCTTCCGGGGGATTCGATACGCCGTCTCCAGTTTACCCCATTCCTCGAGCAGCCGCTTAGCAGCCGAGGCGATTTCGTCGTGCGAGGACGATGTCAGTGGCTGCACCGCTGACTCGATATTGGAATCCGAAATCTTGTTCTTCGTGATACGTGGTAGTTGGTATAGGATATCGAGAATTTGCAAAACGACGTTCGTGTCTTCCCTGAACGTGTTCAAAGTGGTCTTGAGGATTTGGTAACCGTGCATTCTCACCACCCTATGGCGAACATGCTCATCCTCGGTGGCCTGGAGACGGGAAAGAAGTTTGACCGCGATCCACTTTTCCTTGCATTGCATTAGAGAGGCCATGACCTTGTTGACACCGTCCTGGTCAAGGGCACGGGGCTGGAGGCTGTTGACGTATTCCTCGTCGTCCTCCTGGGCCTTCTTCTTGCGGGGTTTCTTGGCGACGGCCGTGTCCCAACTGTCGCCATAATCGATGCCGAGGGCCTCGATTGTCGCGAGGGGCAGCTTCGTGGCACGTTCCGTCTGCGTCTTGCCGCCGATGAAGCCAACGCAGTTAGGCTCACCGCAGTAGCAGGGCTGTGGATCGGCGCCATAGCGGTCGACGTTGTAGTTAAACACCAGCTCCTCACCAGCTCGGATCCTGCGCGCCGCAAAAATGCCCATGCGCAGCTTCTCACCAACCACCCACTTGTCCACATAGCAATTTGGGTTGCAGGAATGGTTGCAAAACCTGCCGAGGTTTCCCTTTTTGGTGGCATCGACGAATTCGCTCTTGGTGAGCGACATAAAATAGAAGTGCTTGATGCCCTCGTTGTCGTACTTGAGCATCCGGCTGCGGAAGGTGGGTTCATTGATGACCTCGCCGATATATTCAAACACGAAGTCATTAGGCTGCAGGTCAGTGTCTGCCCGCAGGCCGAAGCCCTTCTTCTCGGTCTTGATGACCGAGACCTTCGCATACTGCTTGCGTTGGAACCGCTGGTTCTGGCAGCCCTCTCCACAATTGCAGTCGCCGTCTACGCACTCGATTTTGGTGGCTCGGTTGATGCAGTCCGAGTCTTCACCACAGGCGTGGTTTTGGTCGTGATCTACCAGGGCCGAAAGACGTTTGTTAGGGCTGGAACACCACTAACCGACGAGATCTGTGGAGGGAGAGACTTACGCCAATCTTCGGCACAATCGCAATCCAGCGCATCATGGTCCGATGAACCCATGTTCCGCGAACCGTACAGGCAATCGCTGATTACCTGGAATGTCCTGCACGCATCCTCGGTCGAGTCTGGTAAATCGCCGAAAAGAACGGGGGGCGACTGTGGTAGTTTTTGAGACATTTTACGCGATAGCTTCGGCATCGTCCCGTTCTCAGGAGTCGATGCACTCTCTGGGGTGGCTTTTGAATCGTCGAGCGACATACTGGATGCTGGGGAGTCGATTTTGATGCCGTTTGGGATGACCGAATCGCTCGTGTCCTCCCTCTTTAGCCTCATCCCGTTAACTTTCGGCCGTTCTTCTAATCTCAACCCCATCACCGTGCCCGAGGCACGTCCATTGCCCTCCATGGCGGCCGATGCGTGCGCGCGAGGTGGCAAGTCGCGGGTTGGCAGCCAGAGGATATGGAGAGGGGAAACGGGCCAAAACGCGACGGGCGGAGAAGAGCGAAAAGAGGTAGAGATGACGATGTGAAGGTGGAGCTCATAAGGGTAATGCGCCGCTCCAAAAGGTCGCGGGGGAAAGTCGGGTTCAGTTTTGGGGAAGAGAGGCGTGAGAGGGATGGCAGGCGGAGGAAGTTATTCTGCTGCGCGCCGAGCTTGCGACATAGCAACTGGCACCTCCTCCAAAGCCCGGGGCGACGGGGGCGGGTCCAAGCGAAGGCAAAGGGTTGAACGGTCGCCGCCTCCTCTGTCGTATCCCGAAAAAGGCCAGGCACCTGGGAACTCTGACTGTCTATACCGCTGCAGTTTCCATCCCACAGCCCGATTGTGAAGTGAACCTGCCGCGCTGTCGCTGCAAATACAGCAGTCCGCTGACGACCTGGGAAGACGCTTATCATCACAATGTCGCCAAAGTCCAGAAAACGGAAATTGTGGGGCGAAGCCACTTCTCATCGTCCAATGAGAGCTGAACTACGCTATCGGGACCGACTATGTTCCGGCGCGAAGCGCCAACGATGGGAGAATGCCCTGTCGGCTCCGCAGCCGGCGGGCGGCCCTGCTTCCAGATCCTCAGATACGTACACTCTAGTTGGGCCCACCGTGACCCGACTGCTCGACGAAGCAGCACCCATCCCAGTTCTCAGCATGGGAATTCCCTTGAACTCGTCTCTGAGCTTGCTCGCCTTCTATTCCTGTTGCTTGGCTAAGAACGTTGTTAGCAACTGAAGGATCTATAATAGTAGCGGTATCCTCACCTGTTTACATGCAGCCTTGAAGCGATTGGTCTTCTCATATACCTCGCCTATTGTACTCATCCTTCCCGAGAGCAAGAGGCTTTTCAGCATCTCATCCATCCGGGTGGGCCATGAAGCTTGTGATCCCACGGCGAATAAACTGTTCCCGATGGCACTTACTGTAACAGAAATGCCAAAGGCAGGAACCCAGCACATCCGGTGCTGGATTCACAGTCTCACTGCAACGCGCACCTCGGATGAAGGCAGGGAACCTTGATTTGGGTATTCTGGAAGTGATCAGCTTAATCCGAGCCTCTGAGGTTTCAGACATCAAATCCCATAACAATTATGCCTTTGACCCGGGCGTGGGATAAGGCGGTGACCTCCATTCCATCACCCTAGTTGTGTGGCTTCTAGGTTGGCATCAACATCTCCCACGGCATCTCGGGACGGAGCCCTGCAAGTCGTACCGCAGCGGTGTGCATGGACATGCAATTACAAGCGACATCTAACGGCATGGCGACCCAGCCCAAAACTGCCTTTCATATAGCCCGTAACCTGAGAGAACCAGGAAGTGCCTACGATCCGGTGCCGATATGCCAGCTCATCGTGCAGGAGGCGTGGTGGAGCGGTGCCCAAGACAGAGCCCAAAACCAAGCATATAAGGGCTCTTCGCAGCTCCCGTTCACGATGAATTCCGTAGTTGAAAGTCAACGAGTCTCTCAACCGACCATCGTATAAACTATCGCCAACCCCTTTAACGTCAAAGACCCACCGATATATGGGGCAGTGCGGCTCTTCGAGAACAGGCGGATCGATGCTTCGAAGCCTGTGTGATCGTCGACCGAAACACTCAAACATGGCCATTGGTGAGAGCTTCTCAGCGATGCAGCCAATGGGTCGCCCAAACGGGCCGTTCCCACCTCAGGCCGGTGGGTACCCTTTACAACTTTACAACGGTATAGAACCAATTGGGCTGAGTCTGAGAAAAAGCAGCGACTTCACCTCAAGCCTCTTGTGCGACGAGGCAAAGGTCTCTCGGTCGAGACCGCGGGCGATGACTTCGGCGTGCTTTCCGTGGCTGTCGCTGTCACATCGAAGTTGGGCTCCTGATCAGGCCGAAATCTGAGGTCTGGAGACACCTTCCCCAGATGGGGCCGCACCCTATCATCGGCGGGCAGGAGCCATGGGGGGTCACATGTGCAGCTGCACGTCGCTTCCGGATGCAGATGGTCGGCCCGTACATCAATCAACGCCATCGGCAGGTCTGCATACAGCAAGTTGTGAGGCGCTGATGCGCTCCGCCGCTGCAAACCTGCAGTGCCGGCTGCGGGCCAGTTGTGCGTTGCTCGTTGGAACACCAAAGGGGACACCCACTCTGTGCAAGTCTCCCAAACCGGAATGGGAGATGTCGCTGTGGTCCAGGGAGTCAGAGGACGCCGAAATGTTGGCCAATCCCTCATGGCGAGTTGAGGCGCTGTGTGCTCCGGGGCATGGATGTGTGAGCGATCGCGTCGAGGTCCGATGCTGGGCACCGGCCCTGACCAAACCTCTTGGGGTTTGGCGGATGCTAGACTTCTCTAAGATGTCTTAGGTCGATCAACACTCTTCTCACTTCACGCAGCACGGGTTGTGTAGAACGTCCACACCATCCCGCCCTGATTCGGCCGCACGCTATTAGCCACCTGAGCAGTCACTTGATCGCGCTGCAGCTGCATGCTCTGTGGGACACCCAAAACGATCTGAAAGAAAAAAAACAAACCAGTGGTCGCGGATGCGCGACACACGCGGCAGATCAATACATCGCACAGTTCTTGATCGCTGATCATGCTAGATCTAGGTGTTAATCCAAGAGGAAGCCCGGGATGCTTCGTGCGCCCTATGCAACCTCTCTGTCGGCTGTTTCCATTCCATCAAAGTTCACACAAGCGCGGCGGGCCGAGTCCAGGCTTGGGATGGGCGCTGAGCAAGGGTTTCGGTGGGACTCTGGTCGCTTGTTGAGCAAGGTCCAGGGCTCCTTGGCTTGCTCCTTCCCCGACGAAAGACGCGCGCTTCTGCCGGCTCGCGTGTCTTTGCCGCCCTTCCCCCCCTAATCCGCCTGCCTGTCAACCTCTCGAATTCCCGACGTGCCAGCGTCTTGAGGTTAGCCCGATGTTTTCTTTACACCGGCCGGCACCTCTGCGCTGATGGTCTCGCCGCAGGCAGGTCTCGACACTCGTTTGCTTACTCCGTCGGCCGTTCTTTCTTCTTTTCCCTTCGGTAGATGCTGGGTGCGAGCATGCTGCACAAGCACCAGCGAGTCGCCCTGACGTTACTGTGATAAATACCTACCTTACCTGGTACCTGACTTACCTTTACCTTGCCATACGGACAGCTTCGCCACTGCTGCTGGTGCTGCTGCGACCCCGAACTCCCGTCTGATCACGAGCGGTCTCACTGATCAGGCTCTTCTTCTCGAGTGACGTATCATTTCCGCGCCGCCTTGTCAAATGACCGACCGCCACCAGCCTATGTCACATCTCTTCCTCTCTTTGCACTCTTCGCTTCCACGGCCCTTGGACACCGAGGTTTTACCATGGAGTCCCTCTTCAACGACGCTGAAAAGGTACGTAACTGTTCATCGCGCCGTTACCCAAACCCCCGCTTCATTCTCGCACATGACTTAACTAGACCTGTCGCGCAGCGCTTCATTTTGGCCGAGATGATCAAAATCAGCCAGCTGGACGTTGGTATTTTGGTGAGCTTCATCAAGGCGCATGGGATAAGGCCAGACTGGCTGCACATGCAGCTCCCTGGAGGTATGCCTCCCTTCCGACGTTGACGTCACGTTGATATTACCGACCAAGTGCAAACTCCTGACCTACCGTTGCAGGGCGCACCTTGAGTCAATGTCTCCACGCAGCAGAGAGCATGCTCGAGGTACCGATGCAGCCTCCACCCATGGTATCGCCTCTGAAGCGCAAATCGCTAGGTGACTTGGACGACTATGTCTCGAAACGACAGGCAGTCGAATCCCCGGGCGAGTCATCCCGGCACGGCATACCCCCCAGCCCCGGTGTGCAGCACCATTCGCAGCCGGCGAACGTTCAACCTCGCCCGAATGGGAACAGTCCGGCTCCGCTAGTCCCTAGCATCTCGGCAGCCCCCTACAATCCATCCTTGACCGGCCGTAGACGCGGACGGCCACCGAAGTCGGTGCAAAATACATGGCAGTTGTCATATCCACCGATCGCTCCGTCACCCCCGATCCCGGCTGTTCCTCAGCCCCACAGTCCAGGTGTGCACGCTCACCCAGCCCACCAGGGGTCGGTCCCAGGGCCGTCAGAGCAGAGGCTGAAGAAGAAAGCGCTGCCCGAGATCGCACCGCGACCAACTCAAGGCATGCCTAGCCTGGAGCCGGCCGTCAGATCACCAGCGGCGCCCGGTGCAGATTACCAAAGCTGGCGGGAGGAGACATCGCGTCGGGATTATTACCATGTCCACTCCGCCGAGGCCGCCGCGCGAGAACGGTCCTTCCCATCACCCTACCCGCAAATCCTACCCCGACCACAGAGTCCGCACCCACGCCTCCCTCCGGTAGAACCAGCATGTCCAGCAGCGCCAACGGAACCAAGACGTTACGGGGAGCCACCCCCGATGGCAGCTTCGGAGCTGGCGAAGAACGCGGGTCAGACATCGGCTGGGGAACCGATCAAAACATGATTTGGGGTGGACGGGACCGACTGCGACGGGGCCTCCGTGTATCAGCTAGCGGCTATACCCGGGTTAATGCCTCGTTTCCGGACGTAAATGTACGCAGGATATAACGAGAAGGGAGGCCTTTGTTTTTGTTTCTTTCCTTTCGCTCCTTTCGCGGCCAAAGACGTTGACTTTCATCGGGTTTCCGGTGCATTTCCCTTGGGGTCTTATGCAGCTTGGCGTCTGGCACGGCAGAACGGCAGAACGACAGCATGGCTGCACGGCGGCTGATCGATTAGAATCCTACGATTCCCCTATGTACCTTATGCTGCACGACATTGACGAACGGCTAGGAGCATCGCATGACACGAGCACGGCACTCTTGCATCTTTTCATCACGAGAACGACGTCCGATAGATGGGTTCACGGGGAGCCAGCATCGACCTAATGCCGTCCTTTTCACTACTTCTTCCTTTCCAACAGGTCCGCTTGTTCTCATGTGCTGCTCTGGGGCCCGCACATGCCTTCTCAATCTTTCCATAACTCTTCTCCATTCACACGTTGTATTGTACATGACGATGAGCACCTCCCAGAAGGGATCACAAACTTGAGAACCGCCCATGGCTGGAACAAGAGAGTGTTAGGATGTTCGCCACGGAGCTGTAAGATAGATGTACTGGGATCTGTGTGTGGGGGGGTGGAGGGGTTCATCTCAGGCGAACGGATGAAGATCTAAGCCATAATTGTAATTGTATTAGCGGAGATAGCCTTGTTGGTTTGTCGGTCTTTGGCTGGGCGGAGATGGGCGTTGGGTAGACACATGCCCGGTGATGGATCTGTGTTTCAAAGAAGCCTACGAGCTGCTAGGTTGCCAGTGCCTAGTACCTCAGACAGTGATTCTGCACTGCAACGGTTTTGCAACCGTATTCACCCCAGTGGCCCTGTTGAGAGCCCCTCCTCGTCCCCCTGATGTCGGGAGCCGGAAAGGTTGGCTAGAATGGACAACATCTGGATGATGAGGTGGTATACTATTAGTAGTAGTTGCTCCATGTTGTCCGTATCTTTCTTCGCCCAGCAAGATGAGCATGCCAGGACTCGTAGCCACCTCACAGCCCCTTCCCCTATCCAAGTTGGCAGCAGCTTCAGGTTGTATGGAGCAACGCCGCCATCAGTACCAATCAGGACAGGAAAATCTCTCTTATCGCTACGACCAACCAAACGGCACGGAGGACCGTTGAACGGCATGATGATGTCTTTGCCGTCCAATGAGTCCCTCCTTGGCCAACCACTTTTTGGGTCGGGGCACTGCCAATAGGAATCAGAGGTTACATTGTCCCAGCCTTTGGTGTATTGCACAATACGTAGATACCATCCTATCGGTCTTCTTGAACTGGCACTTGTTAGCCGTAACTGCAAAAAGCCCTCGTTCAGGCCGGGAGGGCTAGCTAGGAGTTTGGTAGTCGCTTCAAGCAAGGACCACCAAGGCTTCGGTTACAAGAAGGTCAATGTGATGGCAGTGAATTGTCGATAAAACACCCATGCAGGTGGACTCGCCTTCTTCGTTACCTGTTGTTCTCTCCGGCGTATTTTCAGCAATTCGCTCATGGCAGCAGTATCGTGAACGTGGCTCAGTCCAGTACACAGTGAATACGGAGCTCTCTGTTGACATGGGTCAGCAACCTCGGGAAAGACGTATGTACTGGGCGTATCGCCAAAGGCATAGACATAGACTAGGAAGATGTACCTTGTACATTGATTCTAGAAAGCATCCTTAGAGCGAGCCACGGGTGGCTGTCACTATCGTGTTTGTTGGTCAAATTGAGCACTTAATGTACACTTTTTCGAAGCCAAAACCCGCATTAAGAAACAACTTGTGCCCAGTTACTCATAGCTGTTCCTTGTTTCCAAACCCAGATCTGATCTTGGACTTGAACATGCTTACCGACAATACCTATACAACGCCTCGACACAATGGTCCTTGTTATCCCCCTGACTAAGTTACTGATCCGGAAGTGGATGATGTGATACTGAACTCGATCCGCTCCCTGCAGCCCCTTGTCTTCATGTACTTAAGAAAGAAAAGGTCCGTTATCTAGGGTCTTAAAATAAGTCCCATAAGAAGGGGATTGCAACCTGCGACCAGAAACAGGAAGGAAGAGAGTCCGGAAGCTCAAAGACATATACCACAGCGATAAGGCACCAACGCTTCATTCCAGATCGATCATCACCTTGAAGATAGGTATCTGCACCTACATAGTCGACCCCTATCATCATCGTAGAGAACTAGGTCTGCTACCGCCGCTACAACAACAACAACCCCCGCTGTCATCCGGGCCGTATCACTAATCCGGCTTGTCTTGTCTTGAGCATGAACAATGCCCTGGCTGCGAGCCTCAGCCGATTGTGGTAAAGAAATAGAAGTTCTCATTGTTCATACATTCCACACTGTCGGTACGACTTCGACCTTGAGAAAGGGGGTCGGCCGGTAGAACGCTGGGGAAGAGAATCTAGTCAGCTGATTGACTACTCGTTGAGCACCTCACAAGATGATGGAACACTTTCACCGTCTTGGACGATCTACCTACTACTATGTAGGCACTGTATCATGTATAAAATGATCGTTTGCGGCCGTTTCCGGCTGGCTTGAGCCGCTGTGAAGCTCGTTCTCGAATTCGAGGCGACGATTGTAGGAGAAGACGAGGATGGGGCGAGAAGGGGTTGTCAGTTGTGAGTCCTTCTATTAACGCTGGCCCAAACCCTCCGAAGCGAAGAGGAGTATCCTCTCTGTACTTAGCCACCTCAAGAACGAGATGATCGTCTGAGATGAGATCGACCTCCGTGGGTCGACTACCTAGGTACTCCTGCTTCCAAAGTTGTGTGAAGGGCGATGCCAGTTGTTTCAGGGTAGACAAAACAACGTGACCACTGATGCCCCTCGGACGCCTTTGTTATTGTGTATTAGGAGTCTACGTTGAAAGCATCGGTTTCAGAATGGACGGGGTGTGTACTAATGAAATGGGTTCGGATGGACTCCTTTCTTCTGCGCCGCGGAAGGACTCCCTCCCGTCCGTCGTTTCATCCGATGACTCGAAGTGCCGTGCCCCATAATGGTGGGATGGAATTACACCCCTACAGTTAACTATGTACACAGTCAAGTCACTATAAAACTTACCTTAGATATGATGGTCCAGATGCTTCTCGGCCAAGAGACCACGGGCAAGAGATGACACAAGACCAGCAGCCCCTCCAAGATTCAGCATTGGGGTGAGCGTCAGAGCAGCCAGCGGAAGGACCTACCCAAGGAGATGACCGTCCGTCACCGTTCCAACAGTGTTTGGTCTGAGGGACTTATTAGCAGTCACTGCGTAAGCGCCAATCCTTGACACGGCGACAGGGAGTGGAGTTTGGGCATGGTTATTCCGCTCAAAGAAGCCCCCCGTCCCATGGCAAGCAATTACTAACTGGACAGGGAGGAAGCTCTTGCGAGCACTAGAAGAGCTGAAAATGCCTCGTCCCTTTGACGTACATGAAAGAAAATCATGAAAAAGAAAGTGGAACAAACCTGATGGCAGGGGTGTTCCGGCATGAGGCCGCAGGGGCAGCGGGGCATCACGAGGCCGAGAGGTTGACGACCTCACCATGGAACTTGCCGTGAGGTGTTTCCGAGGGGCTACGACCAAGCATCGGTCCGTCGCCTAGCTGGGAGTTGGAAGCGAGGGAGATACGTAACTAGACGAGATGGAAGCCTCAGGCAGGCATGAGTTGAACGAACTGCACTCAGCAGCTGACAAACAGGGAGGAGGCCTGTCCGGCAGCTGCAGGGCGGAAATGAACGGAGCGCCGCGCTTGGGTTGGTGCGGCTGGATCAATGCATGTCAGACCAAGAAAAAAGAACGCCCGCTCCCCTGTGGAAATGTCTGTGCATACTGCATACTAGTGTGCTGACCGCCCCAGGACACCAGGTGGGAGGGAAGCAACCTGGAGCCTGGGAGGAATTGGAAGACGGGGAGTCTGGGAGCGGACGGAAAGGGAATTGGCGAATCAGGAACTAGCCTGCGGCTGGTGCGGCAAGGAGAGGCGCGGCAAATTTGTTGACTGTCTGCCTTGTACGAATGAAACCTCAGGTAGTCATCATGGACCATGAATGCACCGCTGGCATCATGACTGCCAGCCGCAGTGCCAGCAGGAGACGCTTCACAATGCGACAACAGCGAGATGCCAGCGCCAGAAACTGTTCTTCCCAAGCCTCGAATCGGCTATTCTTGGGATGAGGAGCCGTTGAATCGGCCCTAACCTGGAACCAGATGGCGGAATCAGATTGTGGGGCAGAACCCATGCGATCGGCATGGCTTCGGTAAACGTTCGGTCTGGTACCTGGCGGGCTCGAGCCTGGTACCTGCGTCTGGTGTAACCGTAGCTCGCTAGCTAGACCAAGTTGGGCAGCGCACAGTTATTTTCGGTTTTCTTGTCACCACCACAGCAAGTGAGAGGGCCGAGGGTCGCATTATATGGTAAGTAAGATAGAGAGATGAACGAACCGCAAACCTCCTTCTGCCACGCTGGCCTCACATCCCCCGGGCCATTACAGGATACCGTTCGTTCATACCCTAGCAGTCGATTCTCCTCAGTCTTTCGCTTTTGTTTGAGACTACGAAGCCCTATCCAGATTCCCCACACGGTTTGCTTTTGGCACGTCTTGGCGTTTCTGGAAGCACCTGGCAGGGGGTCAGTGCGTCTACGCCATTGTTTATTTACGACTTTCCTTTATCGGCTTGGTAGGGAGGATTGTTTCCGAGGAGGAGCAAAGCAGCTAGCTGTCAGGCAGCACACAGCTTTCATTAAGCAGACCATGACATATGCATCATCAAGAAGCCGCTAACTTCTTGATGCTGGTCGATGACGACAGGTTGATGACAAGGCGAAGAGACATATGCAGCCGAAGAACCCGAAGCTGTCATCCGTCCAGGATTTTGTCCCTCGTCGACGTACATACTGTAGCACCGCATACACTAAACAGTGGAGTGCTGTGTGGACTGAAGGAGAGCCAATCGCAGGCAACTTGACGCTACATATTAGGGCAGGTATGCAGTCTGGGTGGTGTACCGGTACAGTGCACAGCGTAAGTTGAGCGGTGTTTTTCTGCAGTGATCTACTTGTAACCTAATCACTCTCTGTAACGCAAGACTTGTTCGAGAAAACGGACCTCTTCGCTGCTTGATTGCGCGACTCAGCTTTGTGTTGAGTTGACTGCTCCAACCAATTCGACTTTGAAGGTGTTAATCGGTGTCCTCGACTTAGGTTCCGGTTGGACGGTTTTTTGCCGACCTCGTTGGAACCATGCCTTCTACTGCTGGATGCCAGATAGGTTTCCCTGGAGAGCCACAACTGCGAACGATTGTTTGAAACGTAACTAACCGTCAGTCCTCCGCTCAACTTCACTCGAGACATCGATCGTGGTCGATCGACTCAATCTTTCCTCCCTTGCTCTGTTTCTCGCCAAGCCAGGAGCTTGGCCGGTGTTCTGGAACACCCTGGTCTCTGTCCGGTCCCGAGCGGGATACGATCACGCACGCAGCAAGGGTACCCCTGAACGCCCCTCCGCACCCAGGCTGCCCAGCAAGGCACGGCAAGTTGCAACCCAACCTGCAGTGGCCGACAACAAAGGCCCCAAGGAAACTCCACGCGATGCAGACGCGTGCTGCTTGTGTACATGCGGCTGCTACATTTAGCCGGGGGAGCCCACATGCGAGCGGGTGGGCGAATCCCATTTTCGTTTTCCATTTTTCAACCTTCTTTTGTGTGGTCCCTTTCATCCAACAGCAACAAGAGGAGATTCTTCGTTTGGCTCCTAGCATCGAGCTCCTTGATATTAGTTCACATATACCGGCACTTCACTTACAAGACCAGCCCTCTTCACTTGCGTCTCCTGATCCAGCACTATCCACCGTCGAATATCAGACTCGCTCCGGCATTCCAACCAATCGTTAGTCAAGCTCACGCTGAGCTTGTTGACACCTGCGGCACGGAGGAGCTGGAATGCTGGTGTCTGATTCAGAATCCAGTCATCACTCGCAAGACGGCTGGTAAACAGCAACCGGCTTATAACGTCACTGCTTCCTGGCACTGCTTAGGCCCGAAGCTTGCTCAGAGCGTTTGGACGTTTCCGCCTAGGGACCAGGCCTTCAAACACGCACTGCGGCTGGCCGACGAACAATCAACGCTTATTCGGCTTCTGAAAGAGCAGTCGAACGGTGTAAAGGAAAGCTTGTGGAGGGTTTGAAAGAGGGAGGAACTCGTTAGGCAGGAGGTGTTTGGGCGACGATTCCGGAGGCCTGCGCGCTGGGTTCCCGTTTGCGATCAGTCTTGAACGCCGGGGTGGAACGACTTAGCCCTTCTCGTACCCTTGGTATCCCCCAATTACTTTTTCGTCCCGACCGCTACCCCGGGTTTGGCATTCTGGTGTCCTGGGGATATGGCGATCCCGCACACACTCCCCGCCGCGCTGGGCGCGATTTCATTCCTCCCGACCACTGCTATTTTGGGCATTCAGATCATCCTTGCCCGGTCACCGGCGGATCGGGCATCAACAGTCAGGATAACTGCCATCGTCGCCGCGACATTGGAGGCGATGATCTTCGTTATCATACCCTGCCTTAGCCTATCTCACATCGCCCCTTGGGCGCCGGGTTCTGGGCTGAGGGGTTTCAGGAGTCTTTGGTTTGGCGCAGGCCTAGTGCTGTGCACAATTGCCTCGGCGATGTCGGTGGCGAGTCTTGTTTGCCTCAGCCGGGTCGTCAATGACCCGCTGAGCACCATACTGGGGTGGAGGGTTGGGAACTTCTTGGTTGGATCCTCGGTGGTTTTGGGGCTTGCGTTTGCGACCCAAGCCGTGTTTTTCGCCTCCCACGTTGTCGTTGGGAGACTACATGCGGCTGAACTCCACGGTTCGAGTCGCTCTGATCGAGGGAGCAAACGACTAGCCCCGCGCATCAAAACGATCCCATACCATGAGACGGCCCCTATCTCATCGAAGAGCCGTGGGAATGTATCACTAGACTCGCAAACACCTCCTGGATCGATCGCCGGACGTTCAACGACAGAGACTATGAGCTCGATTCGATCGTCGCTCTCGAACGTTGTTCGGCCCATAACTTCCAGGACGCGTCTGTTGTCCGCAAGCAGACAGTCCTTGCGCCGGTCGGCCTCTCAAGATTTGCCCGGTCTTCGCGAAGTCCGAACCCGTTCAGTATCAGATGGATTCGATTCATGGGACACCTCGTCTATAGCCCCGGAAAACCGGCAGACGGTACTTGAGTCGTCCTCGCCTCCACTCGGCCGCTCCCTCGAGACCATTCCCGCTAGCCCCACAGTCAGCAGAAGCTCCAGTCCGGGCACGCCGTTGGACCTCCTTGAGCCGCCACGGACGAGGAGGAGGAGTCGGAGCTACAGCCCTGTCTCGACCAGGACGATTGAGGCACAGCGGGCTGCGTTCACGCAACAACCGGCGCACAGCGAGGCCCATATCCACCCTCTTTTCCGCTCAGACTCGCCCATTCCACCACCCAGTGCTACGCCTGGGACAGTTGTCGTCGCCGCACCCGATGCAGGAAAAGTCATCTCGGACAGGCAGAGCATCCGGAGTATCCAGAGCATGCGTCGTCTGCGAAGCGAAAGTCTCCCAACGGTCCCAAGTCCCCTCAGTCGAGCCGCATCCCTGGACTCGTTCCACCGAAGAGCGGAGAGCAACTCCCCAGAGATTCGCGAAGAGATACGAGAGGAAGACGAGGCGGCGGTCGAACGGAAGATGACGCCGCCAATCCCCGACTGGATCCTCGCCGCCGGCTCTCGGTCTACCTTGACAGTCTACAACGGCCACAGAAGCCAAACGCCCGGCGAGGGCGGGGAGAAGCTCGATGCGGCGCACCAGGTATGATCATTGGTGGACAGCCGGTGGCGGGATGGTAGAAGTCTCCCGGTCGGCGTAACAATTACGATGCTATTCGTTAGCCTGCTACGGGTTCATATCCTATGGCCCTATTTTCTTTACTACTGTGTTGGAGTTCTTGGGTGGCTTGGGTGGTTTGGGTGCAAGATACCATGTTGGTGATTACCTTAGCGAGGCGTTGGTCGGACGGAGAGGGGGCAAAAGGATGACTACGAAGTCTCAAAGTCATGACAATAGTTGTTAAGAGGAGACATGAATAGAAGATCTATCAGCACATATCAGTTCAAGACACTGAGAATTGCATCCATCCATCGACATCAGCCTAAGCATTATTGACTGAAACAAGAATACTACCAGGTAGGTATCAATGCTGGGAAGTGCTCATGTATTGGAGGAGTGTTGTGCAGGGCAGCCAGGCCTCTTTCGCCTCGCTTTTTTGCCTTCAGCTTGCACAAGGAAAGTGGGGCCATCCCACTGCTAGGCGACAGTCAGCTGCGTATGCCCCAAATGCCCCCCACCACTTGACTCCGCTCCAACCTAAAGCTTGGGTTGACGTTCTGCATTCACCCAACCCGCCGAACCGCCAACGCTGGTCTGCACACTATCTTGGGGTTTTTCGCCGTCACGTCGTAACCAGAGCCCTAGAAACAAGTCGTCAGCAAGAAATCGCCCATCATGAAAATAACAATCAAGGTACGTTGCGCTTGACGGAGCACACCTCCTGCACCATTCCCGGGTCGGGAACTGGCATTCGCGCACCGTGCTGCCTGGCTGCGTCGTCGCCATCTTACTAGCCGCTTCGTACCGATGCTGATGCTTCATTGCTTTCATCTAGGATCTCAAGCAACAGCGCTTCACGATCGAAGCTGACCCGACCGAGCTCGTCAGTTACCCCTCTTCTTGCCTACGATGCTCTCCCTTACCCCACCACCGCCGTCGTGGTACTCACCGGCCTCGCGCCATCACCTTATCCGAGCCTGTATTTCAAAGGTCGGTGCTGACGGGCCATAGGTCTCCTCTCTCAAGCAGAAGATATCTGATGAGCGGGGTTGGGATCCGAAGCTTCAGAAGCTCATCTACTCCGGTACGCATAATAGCTCTGCTCCGCTCTGGTGCTCGATCATAAGCTCACCAAGCGCCAAAGGCAAAATTCTTAAGGATGAGGACACCATCGAGTCTTACAAGATCGAAGAGAAGGGGTTTGTCGTCTGCGTAGTCAACAAGGTGCGTACGAAAGGCCCCAGAACACGAGAGGTCGGATGAGGTTGACAGAGTTGCAGCCGAAGGAGCCTAAGCCGACTCCGGCCGCAGCGCCAACCGCCCAGGCATCGTCCTCCGCCACTCCTGCTACTCCCGCGCCCGCGTCTGCACAGGCCTCAACGCCCACGGCCCCCGGTGCTCCCGCGCAGACTTCTACCGCTGCCGCTGCCGCCCCCGCTACGCCGACCAGGTCCACCAATGACCCCAATGCTCTGGCTGTTGGTCAGGCCCGTGCCGAGGCCATCGCAAATATAGAGGCCATGGGCTTTGAGCGGTCACAGATTGACGCCGCTATGCGCGCCGCCTTCAACAACCCTGACCGTGCGGTGGAGTACCTTTTGCAGGTGTGTCTTCTTCCAGGGCCTTGAACGGGTTCTCACTTGACAGGTCTAGTGGCTAACTGGTATTAAGGGCATCCCTGAGAACCTCCAACAACCCGCCGCTCAGCAGCCTGCTCCCGCTGCCGCGGCCTCAGCCCCGGCAGCGGAGCCGGCAGCGGGTGGCGATGACGGTAACGTGAACTTGTTTGACCTTGCTGCCCAGCAAGGTCGTGGTTCTGGCTCACGAGGCGGCGCCGGTGCTGGTGCTGCTGGCGCAGCCGCCCAACAGCAGCTTCTTGGGAACCTTGAATGGCTTCGCGATAATGCCCAGTTCCAGCAGTTCCGTCAGGTGGTACAGCAACAACCCCAGATGCTCGAGCCCATTCTACAACAGCTCGGAGCTAGCAACCCTCAGCTCGCCCAACTGATCGCCCAACGGCCCGAAGAATTCCTGCAGCTACTGAGCGAGACGGGCGGTGACGACGATGCCTTTCTGCCCCCGGGGGCTCAGCAGATCTCTGTGACCGAGGAGGAGCGCGACGCGATTGAGAGGCTTGTCCGCTTGGGTTTCACTCGGGATGAGGCGATCCAGGCGTACTTTGCCTGCGACAAGAACGAGGAGCTGGCGGCAAACTTCCTTTTTGACCAGCCCGACGACGATGATGCGCCCATGCAGTAAATAACGGATCTCGTTTTCGGAGTTTCCGGTGAGGCACGTAATGGTTGCCGGGCGTTAAAGCTTAGGCGGAGATTCGGACGCCATACTGAAATCTGGACTGGATTTCTGAGCTAGGGAACCTCTGCTTCCCGCGTTGAGGATGGACGGCAAATCGGAAAGCGTGGGCACACATAGGTTGATTTCATCGATGGTCATGAAGCACAATATCCTCTCACTTTACTTCGCCCCGTTTGCAAACCCATGGTCGTGTTCTGCAGATTGATGGATTGGGAACCACTCGGGCCTACCCCTTCCATACTGGAAGGGGGAGTAACCGGGCGACCTTGGGATTCGGATGGGACAAACCGACCTGGAGAAATGGGAGGAAGGCCATGCGCTTGCCTGCCTTATTTAGGTGACGAGGCTGTATCGGCCAATGAGGTTGGGGAGACTCGGAGACGGAGTTTGTTCCTCTGAGGAACCCGAGAATAAAACCGATGGATTCTAGCAATACCGCTGGCCTTTATACGAGGAATTATTGCTACCTCTCAACTCCTAAGGCGCTGATTCGTTGCGTTCCCACAAAATGCTATAGTGTTCCACACGCGTTCAGCAAAAGACGCAATGCTGTCGGGTCACTAACCCCCTTTTCCGTCTCACCCTCTGGTGACCCAACCAGCAATCTTTATGTTCTCCAACCTTTAGCCCCTCTCCCTTCATAATAGTAAACGGGTATCAAAATCGTAGGTGGCGTAGAGACCATTTGTTACCTGCCCCCCACCCACCCCTCCGAGTTGCCACCACTGGCAACGAGCAGCACCGGATGTATTGCCCCTTGAAACCCCTGGCATCGCGGTTTTCCTCGAATGCACCAATTCCGTGGTAACCTCTGTGACGCAAACGCAGATACGAATAGGAACGGCAAGGGTTCGCGCGGTAAGAGATAAGAGAAATGGAAAAGAACAACATATCAATGGAAAGCGGAAAGAAGACACCAGAAGAGGCTGCGTTTCAAAGCCCCACGACAGCAGGCCCTTTCTTCTTCCTGCCCCTCCCCTTCTTCCCTCCGCCTCCTTCCTCGGCCGTAGCATTACTCAGCTGGGCCAGCACCTCTTCCTTCTTCCGCCTGATCTCCTCCGCCTGCTGGTCCTCGAGCTCCTTCTGCTTGGCCTCAAACTCCTCCTCGGCCCGCTTCTGCTCGGCGTAGATGGCCTCGGCCGGCTCGTATTCCTGGCCCGTGGCCCGCTGGTAGTGCTCCATGTCGATGCTGACCGTCTTCTGTCCGACCAGCGCGGCGTTGATGCGCCCCGGATTGAGGCGCTCCTCGCGGTTGAACTTGAGCTTGATGTGCTTCCGGGTCTTGCCCTTGAACATGCGGCAGATGGTGTCGAAGTCGGTGCCAAACGCCGAGAGGGCTTGGTAGAAGAGCTCGGTCTCCTCGTCGGTCCATTGCTGGGGTTTTAGGTTGCGGCGGAGGTAGGTCGCAGTGGTGGTGTGATGCGTGAAGTCGTTCTCTTCGACCTCGAGCAGTAGCCCGGCTTCCTCCCGCGCGCGCGCGTGCCGGTCAACCTGCAGGGAGCGGTGGTCGAGAACGATCTCCCCGTTAATGATCTGGTATTGCTCGCCTATGGGGGCGCGGGTGCCGCCGTCGGAGGCTTCGGCGTCTGCGCTCTCCGGTGTGTCTGTGTCTGCCTTCGCCTTGGTGTTGGGATTTGAGGACGATGTTCCAGTACACGCTTCACCGTTTGTTGCAGCGTCGTCGTCCTCTCCGCCCTGTTGCCGCTTCCTTCTCTCATTATATCGCAGCCGCTTCGCCCGCTCGCGCTCCATAAGCTCGTCATGGAGGCTGAACTTCTTGCCGATGTGCATATCTTTGGCAAGATCGGCCATCTTCACCTGCGTGATGTCAATCTCAACGTGTTCGGCATCTGGTGGCGTGGCCTCGCGTTGTGGTCTCGGAGGTTTCCTTCTAGGGCGTGTTGAATTCCCTTCGCCATTCTCTCCGGCATCTCCATTCTCTGTTGAGGACCTGCTGCGCTTTCGGCTGCGCGATGCTGCGGGAGCAGCTATCTCCGCCTGAAATGTTTCCTCCCCCGGAAGCGGAGCAGCCCTCTTCCGCAGCCGCTTCTTAGCAGGAGTAGGGGTACTGTGTTTGGCGGAGTCCTCGACAGCCGCAGCAGTTGTACGTTTACGGCCCCGCGCTGGTTTTGTAGTTGTGCAAGGCCCTGGAGCAAGCGCAAAGGTCGCCTCAGTAGTCGGCGGTGCTTCCTCGCTCACAGCGGCCTCGACGGGTACCTGACCATCTGTTGCAGCTTCTGTGGCGGATCCTGTCGTGGAGGCAGCCAAAGGTGTTGGTCTCGATGGTGTAGCCTCTGTGCAGGAGACCGGGATGGCTGTCGAAGCAGTTGCGATGTCAGGGGAAGCGGTAGCTGCAGAAGGGACTTTAGGGGCAGCCGGTTGCTCCCTCGGTGTATTGTTGCTACTAGCATCGGCATTTGCTGCCGGCGTCTTTGATGATATAGCCTCCTGACGGGTCGGATCTCCCTCAGACGAAGCCTCCTGGGGTGGAATGAGTGCTGCTGTGGCTGCGGGCCGCTCTTCCCTCCGTTCCGTAACATGAACTGGCGATTTCGAGTCGGCCTGCGGCGCTGGTGCCGCCACAACTGGTTCTGTCTGCTTCTCCTCTACCTGTGAAGTCGTGTCGGCATCGCTAGAGGCGGTCTCTGCCGGTACAACGATAGGGGCGGTGTTGCGGGGTGTGCTTAGGGTCGGATGCGGGGCAGGCTGCGATTCAGAGGAAGATGACTCTTGCGGTGCTGGTGTCTTAGAGGGTTCCGCGGTCGAGGGACGTTGTACAGCCTGGGATGGAGCGCCAGGTCCAGAAGGCGGACGGCGGACAGCAGCCTTTGGCTTCGGTTTGAAGCCGGAGTTCTTCTTCAGCATTGTGTCGATTTAATGCCCCGCGGCGCGCTGCCGTTTGCTACCGAGAGGAAGAAACGCGGGCGTGCATTTGACCGGAGCTTGTTGGCGGGGGAGAGCGGTTGGGCTCCTTGTTTTAGACGGACAGTAAGCCACTGAAATTCAGGTGCAAGTGGCTTCTTTATTCTTGCAAGACGAGGGTGTGTACCGTGTGTTCAGTTGGGGGAGTTCGCGAAAGCCGCCACACGCAGGCTAGCGCGGGCACCTGCAACGTTATCATTCGACATGCAAAGCGGGTGGAAACCATGTGAGATGAGAATTGGCGGGGCGCTAAGACCAAAACGGTTAGCGCTCTCCTGCAGCATTCGACCGAACACCAGCCCTCCTTGGCTGAACGTGGAACTGAAGGCCCAGTTCTTTCACTCCGTCCTTTCTCTTCGCAGAACTGCAGGCTCCTTTTCCAGCACCGGCTCTCGCATTTCGGCTTTCATCAATTCGCTGGAGTGCGCCGTCGAGTTCGGGAGGAAACAGGTTGCCATTCCTACGGTCTCTCCTAAGCCTTCAGTTCATTTTCGTCCCTGACCTGTCGGCCTCGTCGCTGCTCTTTTTTCTGATGCGGATTGCCACCTCTCGGTTCGCTCAGCCCGGTCCTGCCACCTTTGTCAAGATGGAGGACAGGAAGAGACCAGCGTCCGGCGCGGTCGATGACGGCGCTCCGCCCAGCAAGCGACAAGCTGTTAACGGCAGCAGCAAGCTGAAAGACGACTCTGGCGACATGAAAGAAGAAGCATGGATTGAGGTGAGTGTGTGTCACATGACGGTTCCCCGCGCCGTCATCATTCCCGCCATCTTGCCTCGGGTTAGGCGTGTGCCTTCGTCCGTCGTGCCAATGCCGAGGCTGTTCCTGGCGCAACAGCAGGCATCAAACGCGACCGTTTCTGTCGGCTTCTCTCCGCCTTGACCGTGGCTAATGCGCGGCTTGCTGGCAACAGCACGCCCGACTCCTCTCAGGCCTCTCTCTGTTCTCAATGCCCTCCTCCTTATAATTACTCAGCTACCTCTTCGCTACGATGTATATGGAACTCTTAGCGTGGGATTCGAGGGGCTGGTCTGGCTGACATGGGCATGTGCAGGAATACCAAAAGGGCGCCATATTCCGCCAAATGCTCGAGTACAAACGCGAGAAGCTCAGCCTGGAGAGCCGCGTGCAAGAGCTCGAGAAGAATGCCGTTGATCACGACGACCACATCAGGATAGTGGACGCATGGGTACTCCAGGTACGTCCCGTATCTGGTAGTTACGCGAATCACGCTGACGGTGCCTAGTTATTACAAGAAATCCAGCTGCTTGTTGAAGGGGCCGTATCATCGCACATCCCAGTAAATCTGGCCCCAGGTTCAGCGCTCTCTTTCAAGGACAGCAAAGAATTCCAGAGGCACCTCGGTGACAAGGCACAGACTTTAAGGTCACATACAGATGGTATCCTAAAACGACTCACTGCCGCGAGAGGCGAGGTCAACCCGGAAGTAGCTCAGCTCGAGTCGCAAGTCAAGTCGCTGCTCGCGCAGCAAAAGGAATTGATCGTCAAGGTAGACAGGCTGGAAAAACAGAACGCGTCCCTATCGGAGCAGTACGACAATGCCACTCTGAAGGCTTTCAAGGCAGAGCGGAAGCTGGATCGAGTCAAAAGTGCTCAAGTGCACAAACTAGAGCAACAAGCACTCGCTGGCGCCACAGCTCATCCGGCATCCAAGGACGAGAGCGGTGCTGGTTCTAGCACGTCCAGTGGCGATACCGAGGCACTCAAACTGCAGTATCAAGAGGCAACGGCCATCCTGGAGAAGCAAAAACAGCAGCTCGAAGCTGCGTTATCCGAAAATAAGGCGCTTACGGAGGAGAACACTTCCTTGAAGATCAAGAAGGAGTCCCTGACGGACGAGGAGTATGCGCGAACAGAGGTGTTCAAACAGTTCAAGGCACAGAACGAGGACCTCATCAAACGCATCAACCATCTCGAGGCGACCAACAAGGTGCTTCGCGAGGATGTGGAGAAACTGCGTGGGGAAAGAACTGAGTGGAAGAGCAGATTGGAAACGGAGGCGCAAGTCGTTACCTTGGAGCTGGAGGACCAAATTCAACAGAAGGAGCAAGATCTCACCCGCATCCGCTCGGCCCGGGACGAACTTCTTGCCGAAGTCGCCATGCGGAAGGCCAGCCAAGACCAGGAGAAGCAGGCATTGACGCATATGAAGGAGCTGGTTGATGCGCAGCGAGATCGTATTGCCGAACTCGAGTTGGAGCTTGAAAGGCTACGACCAAACGAGGTCACCAGCATGCCGGACCCACGCCCGAATCTCGAGACCTTATCCGTGGAAGCTCTGTGGGAACAGTACTCGAAGTTGCAAAAGGACTTTGAGGCCATCAATAAGGAGCTACCGCTCTTGGAGAAGTCATACAAAAAGTCAATGGCGTTGGCACACGGGAAGGTCATGGAATTCCAGGCGCTCGAAGACCGAGTTGCGACGCTCATAGCCGAGAAGAGCAAGGCGGACCAGAAATACTTTGCGGCGCGGAAAGACATGGACATCCGAGGAACCGAAAACCGGACATTGCGGGCACAGAACAACAAGAGCTCCGACATCATCATCCAGCTCAAGGAAGTTGAGACGCAGAGTAGGGCTCTTATTGCCAGTCTTGAGAAGCAGATTGCAGCGCTGAAGCAGGACCATTCGGCGGCCATGGCAGAAAGGAAGAGGTTGGAGCAGTTAAGTGCCGAGGCGACACGCAGAGCAGACTCGTGCAAATCGCAAATATCCAGTCTCACGGACTTGGTGAGAGCAAAGGACTCCGCGGTTGCAGCAATGAAGGAGCAGCTCTTCAGATTCGAGACCGAGTTGGAGAAAGCAAAGGTCGATGTCAAGGAGATCACCAAGGAGTGCAACAAGTGGAAGGTCAAGTGTCAGAGCAACTCGTCAGAGGAGGAAGAGGCACTCAGGGTAGGTCGAGTCCCGTCTGGTTGTTTTAGACATACAATGGCTGACCATGTCATAGACTTTGGTGATTTGCTCCGTTTGCCGAAGCAACTTCAAGAACACGATACTGAAAAGTTGCGGCCACGTCTTCTGCAACAGCTGCGTGGATGACCGGCTTGCGAACCGCATGAGGAAGTGCCCGAGCTGCAACAAGGCGTTTGATCGCTCGGATGCCATGACTGCACATCTGTGAAGCTTCCCATCTGACGACGTCGTCGGACCTCGTTCCCTGACTACAACAACCATACCATTGTGCTTTACCACCCTTACACAACGAACCTGCCCGGTCTCCAACGTCGACTTGCAAGAGAGCACTCCATTACTGAGAGGCTCGATTTTGATCCCGGCCTTCGGCCGACAAGAGCATCAGCAGGAGAAAAACAATCACACCCCCGTTTTGGAGGTATCCTGAGCTCATCATCTACCCCGTTCAACCATGCAAAACCAGCATGCGTTAATTTAGCGTTCACGGTTTCCTCCATGCACACGGCCGGGATCTTTTGATCGTGGAAGATGAGTCAATTGCTTACGTGAAGCTCTGCAAACAAGGCGTAGCATGCGACCTTGCCTTCGCAAAAAATTGTCATACACTGCATACACCAGGCACTTAACGACTGTCAAGGACAAATCCTGCGACTTCTGCCCCTGGGAGCCCGGAAAGGACGAAACATACCGCACAATCATGCGCAAACTGTTGCCAAACCATGGTCAAGATGCCGACTACCAAGCTGTATAAGGCTACGACAGCTCCGACATACGGGTTGCGCGAACGACCTACACGTTGTCGGAGATACGGCCGGCCTGCCGTCTTCGAGGCTGCGACGATGAGCAGCCGGCAGCTTATTTCGGCGGCCGAGCATCCTTCAGACTGCAATTCTATCTTGCGAAATCAGAAACCTCTTGCCGCCCTTCCATTTTGACCGGATAGTTCAGGCGGAAGCTGCCGCATGCGCTTGCTCTGGAGCAGCGCGTGACCCCACCAGCAAGCGCGGCCAGTATGTATGGGCGGCGCCGGTGCGAAGAATCCACGACCAGATGTGTGTACGAGGTGGGGAGCTGTTGGATTTTGTTTGTTTTCTTTTACCAATTGTAATCTATTTATGTGAGATTAGGTTCGCGCATGGCGTGTGGAACTGTGGACCGAATTGAAACCTGTGAAAGCGAGAGGGCATTTGCTAGCGGTCACTTATAATTTGCAAGAGCAGGATATAGAGCCGGAGTTTGGGAGGGGTGCGGGTACGATAGGGACGAGGATACAGAGCTGCGGATTGTGCATTCTTGGTTCTTGGGTACAGCAGCGTCAGCGACGACTGGTGGACCCGTATCCTGTGCTTTCGTGCCGTGGTGCTGAACCTGAGCTGCTCGAACTGGATGACCTCCCACTGCCCCAGCCAGAGCCAGAGCCCCAGCTTCCAGCACCGCCACCCGTACCGTAGTTGCGATCATTGTTCCTTTGCCCGCGGTTTCCTGCCATGTAGCCCGCTGCGGCACCGCCCGCCAGCCCAGACCAGAACCCAGGCCTCCACCCTTGCTCAGTCGCCGTCGACGACGATGGCTTAGGCCCCGATCCCGGATACGGCGGCGGTGGATCATCCCATCCACCACCACCACCACCACCGCCGCCGCCGCCGCCGCCGCCGCCAGGTCCCCAACCAGGGCCCCATCCACCGCCACCACCACCACCTCCTCCTCCTCCTCGTCTCCTCCTGTTCTGCCCCCCGCCAACCCGAGAATTCTCCCTTGCCCTCACGCAAGCACTGTACACAATCCACCCCAGCACGCCAACAAACACCAGCCCAAACAGCATCTCTGCCCACCCGACCTGGGCATTATCATCATTGTCTCCTCCTCCTCCTCCTCCTCCACGCAGCAGCTCGGGGTATTTCCGCTCCCCTTCCTCGGTCAGCCGCACGGTATACTCGACCCCGCAGCTGCCCTTGAGCACATAGGCGTCGTCGGCGTGGTCGTACCCTTCGCAGATGACCTCGGTGCGGTCGAGGCGCACGGTCGACGGCACGGTCGCCGCGCACGCCCACTCGATGTCCTGCGACGTGTACGACGACCCTTGGTTGGTGCAGCGCATCGTCTGGATCGGCTCGGCCAGGCGGCATAGGGCCCGCAGGGAGAGGCATCGCAGCTGGGGGATGGCCGGGACGCGGCGCGAGGTTGTCTGGCCCGGGGAGCGCAGGGTGAGTGATTTCACCTATTGGAGGTGGGGGGGTGGGACAACCGTTAGTTGGCTAGCTACTAGTACCTAAGATAGGGGGAGGAAGGGGGAGAGTTTGTATATACCTCGGAGAGGAGGATGGCATCTTTCGGACGGGCGGCGAGGGTGGGAGACGAGAGGGCGAGCAGCGCAAGGAGGATGGGGGAGAGCGATGGGTCGAGGAGGCGCATGTTTAGGTGTTTAGCTCGCTCCGGGTCGCGCAATCGTGAGGTGATTGTATGCGTTTTCCCCTCTTTGTTCTCCCTCAAAATATATCCCTTTCGAGTGCGATTTTATGCCGGTGAGAACGAATTAAAGCGTGTGGTTGATCAGTTGGCAGTCGAAGCTGATGCGTTTGACGTAAGGTAGTAGTCGAGGTTGGGTTCGCCCGAGTTGCTGTACGATACCGGGAACGACACCGCTTGGAGAGCAAGTGCTGAAAACACCAAAAGGACAGCTGTCAGTTTCTGCCTTCAAGGATGGCCCTGTGTATTGGCTGCCATTGAGCTCGAGGCTGAGAATAATGGGTGGCAAGTGCTGTTCCTCGGCGGCGGTTCAGGTAGTCGGTGCGGCATTGGGGGTGAGTGGGGGGGTGGTTTGTATGAAGTTCACAGAACCAATGCGATCACCCCTTCCCCTGGCTTTTGACACGTCAGTCACCAACTGGCAGACCAAACGCTACCTTATGGAATACAGCGGTTCTATCCACGGACATGCTCTCTCTACTTTATCTGATGGCATCACTTACATTGTCTTGCATATGGTAGGCACTCTCATTAAGAAACATGGACTTTGGGCTGATACTGATATTAGATTGCTTCCCACCACCTCAAAAGTGAATAGGAGGGGTAATAAGATAGGTAAGGTAGTTCAGGTGGTTATATACATCCGCTCTAGTCAAAAAGACTGAGTGAAAGGAGATTAAAATCGCTGTGTCTAAATGCGCTGGTAAAATCCCCATGGAAAGCCACCGTGTAGGGGAGTCTCATCCTACAAAATACACGTCACAGGCGTCCGCCGTCTATGCTCGATACGCCCAAAACGCCTCCCTAGATGGTATCCATCATGAAGATCCCCCCAAGACATACATTAGGCAACCACACCCTCCATCACCTGTGCTTCTCCAAGCTCTGCAGGTTCACCAGCTCAGCGTACCGCCCATTCTTGTGCATCAGCTCGACATGCGTGCCCTGCTCCACGATGCGGCCCTGGTCAAACACGTAGATGATGTCGGCCTTCTGAATGGTGCTCAGCCGGTGCGCCACAGCAATCGTCGTCCGCCCCTTGGCCGCCTTGTCCAGCGCCGCCTGCACAACGTGTTCGCTCTCCGAGTCGAGGGCGCTGGTGGCCTCGTCGAGGAGCAGGATCTTGGGATCCCGGACCAACGCCCGCGCAATTGCGATGCGCTGCTTCTGCCCACCACTGAGCAACGCGCCCTTGGATCCGACGACGGTGTTGAACCCGTCGGGGAGCGAGAGAATGAAGTCGTAGATGTTGGCTTCCTGGCACGCGAACTTGATCTGCTCGTCCGAAACCTCGTGCGGCGCACCGAGTAGGATGTTCTCCTTGATCGTGCCCTGGTATAGTGTGGGCTCCTGCGACACCAAGGCGATGAAGCTGCGGTACTCGTTGACGTTCAGCGTGCTGATTTCCTTGCCATCCACGTAAATCCCGCCAGCCAAGGGGTCGTAGAAGCGCTCCAGAAGGGCGATCGTCGTCGACTTTCCGCATCCTGACGCGCCCACGAGAGCAACGTATTGGCCCGGCTGGATGTTCAGGTTCAGGCCGCGCAGCACAGGCTGCTCCGGACGCGTAGGGTAGCGGAAATGCACGTCGCGGAACTCGATGTTGCCCTCAACCGCCTCGATCTTCTCGCCGTCCGCAGCCCAGGTGTCGATGATCGGCTTGCGGTCAAAGAGTGTCTTCAGCTCGCGCGACGCCTCGACCGCCTTGCCCATGTCCGGGGCGAAGCTGAAGACGGATCCGGCAGACTGGGCGCCGAAGATAACAGACGAGAACACGATGAAGAACTGGAACATGTCGTACTCGTACTTGGCAATCAGAGTGCCGCCGTACCAGAAGCCCAGCGCAAACGCGAGGAACATGAACGACTGAGACGCCGCGTACAGAAGGCTCGACTTGAGTACCGAGATCAGACTGGCCCGCTGCTGGATCGCGAGGTTCGCTCTGTACTGCGCGAGGACGTCCTCTTCGCGAGTGAGCGCAGCAACAGTGCGAATTGCTGTGATGGCCTCCGAGGCAAAGCTCGCCGAGCCGGAATAAGCTTTTTTCGCCCGGCGCTGATAGTGCGCGAGCATCCAGAAGCGGAAGAAACCGCAGCCAATAACTATGGGCATCGTCGCAATGCACACAAGTGCCAACTTCCACCCTATCGCGAGGGCAACCGTACACGCGGCAACCAGCGTCGTGAACACCATGATCAAGGTTCCCAGCGTGGAGCCGCTGATCCCGGCGACATGAGTTGTCTCGGTGCTGAGGAAGGACGTGAGCGCGCCGGCCGAGTTCTCGTCGAGGTCAAAGTATTCGACATCCTGGCGGAGCATGGATCGGAATGACATGTCGCGGACCCGGTGAATCAGACGCTCGCTGCACTTGGCGAAAAGAATGCCCTGAGCAGAAAATGCGATGAACTGGACGATGGCGAGCATCAGGTACATGAGGCACCAGAAAGATGCTTCGGACTGGATGTGGGGGATCGTGGCCGGGGTGACCGGTACGGAACTGTGTTTTTTTGGTCAGCTCGGTTCATGAAGGGCGCACGATGGCAGACAAGGAAAACACTTACAGAGCACTGATGAGCTTGGCGAAGAAGACAGCTTGCGTCGGGTTACCACCACCGCATATAGCAGAGAAGAAAAGACCAATCAACATAAGCTTCCACTCCTCCCTGTTAAAGCTCGCAATCACCTTGATCAGGGTCCAGAGGCTGTAGTTTTTCTTCTCATCCGTCGTCCGCGCCGCCAACGCCATGGAGCTGGCGCTGTGCTGCGACTGGCTCTTATGGAGCCTGCCCTGAATGTCATCGTCGGGATCCTCGGGAACAGCACCGCTTCCGCTCTCCTTGTTCCTTGTCGAGGCTTTGCGTATAAGGGCTTGTTCCTCTTCCTGGTCCATGGCTTCCTGCTCCTCGGCCGTCATCTCGTTCACTGCCGCAATGGCCTGAGCCGTCACAAGCTTGTAGTATGCGCCGCGCTTCTCCAGGAGTTCGTCGTGGTTGCCCTGCTCAACAATCCGACCTTGGGACATGACAACAATGTTGTGGGCATCCTTGATGGTCGACAGCCGGTGCGCAATGGTGATGGTGGTACGGCCCTCTGAGGCAGCTTCCAGGGCGGCCTGCACAACACCCTCGGATTTGGTGTCCAGCGCACTGGTCGCTTCGTCCAGAAGAAGGATCTTGGGGTCAGAAACAACGGCACGGGCAATAGCGATACGCTGCTTCTGCCCACCGCTAAGCAAGAAACCGCGCTCGCCCACATTTGTCTCGTACCCTTCCGGGAGAGAGGTGATGAAGTCATGAGCATTGGCCTTCTTCGCCGCCTCCTCAATGAGCTCCTTCTGCTTCTCGGGGCTTTCCTTCTCCCACTTCGTCCCAATCAGACCATAGCGGATATTTTCGAAGATTGTCGTGCCGAACAGGGTGGGCTCTTGGGACACAAGCGCAATTTGTTGGCGGAGCCAACGGAGGTTGAGGGTCGAGATATCCACATCATCCAGGTAAACACTTCCCTCCAGCGGCGAGTAAAACCGCTCAACCAGGCCGATAATGGTCGACTTGCCGCTTCCAGAGGCCCCAACAAGGGCTGTGACTTTGCCGGCAGGAATCGTAAGCGAGACATCGTCCATGACAACAACCTCGGGCCGCGACGGGTAGACATGCTTGATGCGCTCCAGGCGAATGGTGCCAACCACATTTTCGAGCTTGGTACCCTCTTCGCTGGACGGATCGATCGGGGACTTGCGGTCAATAGTACTATATATCTTGGCCGCTGCGCCCAGCGCCGTCGTGAAAGCCTGGAGGTTGGGCGCGACGTTGCCAAGGTTGAAAGCGCCGATCATGACGCTCATCATGACAATCAAGACCTTGCTCAGAGACACGGACCCGTCAACGAGGAAGCGCGATCCCATCCAGAAGGCCAGGCCGTAGTTGAGATAGAGGATGGTCATCATGCCGGCAATCATGGTGGCCAAACTAGCCTTGAGCTTGAAACCGAAGATCTCCGCGCGAATCAAATGGCTGTCGTACTGCTTAGCCAAGCGATCCTGTGTGCCGAAGGCGATGGCATTGCGAACGCTGCTGATGACTTCCTCGGCAACCGAACCTCCCTGAGCGTAGGCGGCGATGTTCTGCCTCGAGAATTTGACTATGAACCTCGAGCCCGTCCCCATGCAGAGCAGCAGGGCAACCACGGTACTCAGCAAGATGAGCGTCAACTTCCAGTAGCTGACAAACCCAATGACGAAAGCGGCGACGAAGGTTGCCACGGCCTGGAGCGTTAGCCCGACCTTCTCAGAGATTCCCTCTTGGATGAGATTTGTGTCGGCTGTGATGCGTGTCGTGACCTCACCGGCACCGAGTTTGTCGAAGAAACCGATGTTTTGCTTCATGCAGCTCTCGAGATAGTGCTCGCGGATCTTGGCGCTAATGTGCTCGCCGGTGTAGATGAAGCCGACAGTCGCGACGTAGGACGTAACGAACTCGGCAATGGCCAGGTAGACGAAGTAGAGCACCAATCTCCCCAGCTCGCCGGTGAACTCGTCGTAGGTCATGGTGGTATTGGGGCGGAAGTAGTCCTGGAAGGTTCCTTGGAGGTTGCCAAAGACGACCGTCATCAGGGGAAGGGCGGCGCCAGAGGCGATGGCACAGATGGACGCCACAAATATGATGATCAGGTCATTGCGGGAGGAGTAGCGGTAGAGCATGGCCAATCCCACCTTGACATCGGGCGTGTAGACCTGATCCCTGAGGATCTTGGCCTCGTGCTCGGGGAAGTGCGCATAGGGATCCTCATCAGTGTTGGCATCCTTGGCCTGGACGACCTTGCTGTCGGCTTTGGAGAGATCCACGGTGCGCTCCTCCTTGTTGCCGTCCGTCGACTCGCCGTGGCTGGAGCTCTGCCGAGACGGACCGCCGTTCGGGGTGGATACCGCCGTCTTCTCGTTCAGATCGGCCGCCATAGTGACAGCGGGTGGCGTCGCGCGGGACGATGCCGCCGGGCGGGGTCAGCTTGGCGTTGATCTGCGTCACTCAACCTTCAGAAGCTTGTGAGGCTTGAGACACACGTCTGCAATAGCACGAGCAAAGTGCGCCCGAGGTGACCTGCGTAAACCGAGCAGCTTGCTCGATGTCACTCGATTTATTGCATCAGTGGGTGCTCAGAACTCGAAATTGGTTTAAGGCTGGAGAAGGTGCAATAGGGACAAAGATTAAAATTGGGTAGCTGTGTAGGTGAATAAAGGCAAAACAGAAACGAGAGGCTGTGGGAAGGAACGATCTATTAGCACCCGCGATCAAGGAGGCACGTATCCGGTGTTATATGAGCTTAAACCCGCGCCGGACTCCGTTCCCTTCCCGGTTCTTGTTCATAAAAATGACCACTGACGGGCAGGACTGGTCGACGGCACAGACAAGGGTCCTGACGACCCAACCAAATCTCTGCTTACACAGTACATAGGGGGCGGGCGTTCGCACGTCCACCGGCCCGAGTCCGCAGACGGGGAATGAAAGGGAAGAACACCCGTTCCCAAGATCCACTGGGCAAATTACGTTGTACTGTACACGGTCCGGGTGGGGCCTAGGGGTGACTTTACCGAACCCGACGCACAATGCGAAAGCGAAATGAGAAAGTTCCTCGCTACACATGTGAGGCCCCAACCAAACCCCGCGGATTACCTACATTGTGTGCAGAAATGGAAGCGTATTACCTATAGTCTAAAACAAAGCGTCCATTGACTGTGGAAGCGGCTCGAGTTGTGCTCAGTTTCATCGAGCATCTCGGGTCTTTCTGTGATGTTCTACGGTCTCGAGTAGTATCGATTGATTCCAAATTGTTCTTTCTGTTCGAGTACTACGTCGTCACCGTATGACGCATTCGTCAGGAAGGATTCTCAGACGCTGTGCAACCATCCCTATGTACGGAGTACGGATATCAAAATTTCATCCGTCAGGCAACACTTCGTGTACACAACACAACGTGAGCACAGCCGCTATGCTTGCGGAGCGAGTCGGGGTCACGGGCGTTTTCAAACTCCGAAGTGAGGTGGGGGCTTGTTTTGCCCGATCAAGGGACCAACAAACGAGTGTGGTGCAATGATTGCGGCCGCGGACGGCTTGGGATCTGGAACAACTCTCAGCTACTCCGTATTGATATTCGATAGGGGGCCTAATCTAGCGCGCCAGGGAAGGCGTTACAGGTTCCATGCAGGCATTCTGACAGCGGCGATCATCTATCAGAGTTTCGTCACGCCGCGGTTATTGTTACACTACATACACGGTTGACGTGACTCAACCTGCTCTTCGGGTACTGAGCATTGCCGCGCAGGACAGAACATACGAGTTGAAGCTCGCTTTCAGCGTTGAGTCACGCTTCTTCTTTCTCAGCCTTGTCTTGTATTGTATGTATGTATTGTACAATGCACTCCCTTTTGGGTCCTTTACCTATTCTTAGACTTAGCCCCATGGGGATTGCTCGGTCTCGGGGGAGATTGAATTTGATCAACGGACCGACCCGAACGCGAGCGATCGACGGGCTTGCCAGATAACCTTCACAACAACCCCTCAAGCATCATCAGAAGATGCTCAGAGATTGGTGGGGGCCGGCTGACAAAACTCACAGGAATGGAAGCCGACCTGTCCAGAAGGCATTCTTTAGTGCGCATTTCCTCCCATCTACGATGCGAGGTCAGAGTAGCACCGAGTCACAGCTACAGATTACACGTACGCCAATTCCAAATCCCTGATACCCATGTGTTCGGAATCTGTAAGACGGGATTCTGGAATGGAGCCCGTATTACTCCCTGGGCCCGGGCCCGCAGCGCCTGAACTTGGCGGGTTGGAAACACCCCGCATCTAGTAACTATTTGCGGCAGCGGGTCCTCTCAGCTCAGCGTTATCGTTATCGATTGAGCGGGGGGTTGCGACACCGCCCAAAAATTCCCCTGGCAGAAAAAAACGAAGGTCAACGTTTCGTGGTTGAAACGGATACAGGTAACAACTGCCTTAGCGAAGACTTGCCTTCTGCTTACACCTACAGCGAGAACCCTACCTCGCCCAGAAGCCGAAGTTCTCTCGTATCGCATTGCATTCTATTCTTGATCCGCAAAAACACATCGTCCAATCGATCTAAACAGAGCCTGCCACAATGCCCAAGTCAAAACGAGCCAAGGTCTACCACCTCACGCAGGTGACCAAGAAGACACGCGAGCAAAAGGAGAAGCTCTTTGCCAACATCCGGGAGTGCATCCCGCAATATCAGCACTGCTTCGTCTTCAGCATTGACAACATGCGCAACAACTACTTGAAAGACGTGCGCCACGAGCTAAGCGACTGCCGGTGAGCCCTCTTCTCCCCTCCCCTTCCCTCCGTCCCTTTCCGTGCCTTTCCCCATCAGATGAACCAGTGTAAAACTAACCGCCATGCGACCCCCCTTGCCGGTAACCAACAGCCTCTTCTTCGGCAAAACAAAACTCACCGCCCGCGCGCTGGGCACCACCCCGGAGGAGGCGCAAGCCGACGGCCTGCACCACCTGACGCGGTACCTGTCCGGCAGCGTGGGGCTGCTCTTCACCAACCGCTCACCCGACGCCATCACGTCCTACTTCGCCAGCCTCAGCTACGTCGACTTCGCGCGGGCGGGCAGCGTGGCCACGCGCACCGTCACCGTGCCCCCCGGGATCGTCTACTCGACGGGCGGGGAGGTGCCCCCGGAGCACGACGTGCCCGTGGCGCACACGCTGGAGCCGGAGCTGCGCCGGCTGGGGATGCCGACGCGCATGGTGAAGGGCAAGGTGTGCCTGGGCGGGGACGAGGACGGGGACGGGATGACGGAGGGGTACACGATCTGCAAGGAAGGGGACGTGCTGGACTCGCGGCAGACGCGGTTGCTGAAGCTGTTCAGCATCTGCTTGAGCGATTTCCGAGTGAGTCTGTTGGCGTACTGGAGCGCGGCGAGCGGGGAGGTGACCGAGTTGGAGGCCGGGAAGAACAGGAGAAAGGAAACGAAGGCGGATGGGGATAAGATGGACGAGGACAAGGAGGATGAAGAGGAGGACGAGTGAAGGTACCGGCCATGAGGACTGCGATAAGAAAAGGGATTTGTGTCTTGAGTTTCAGTGTGCATATAGGGGTATTTTTGTATGATACCATAGCTTTTGTGGGCTTGGGTTTTCGGGTACTGGCGTCTAGGTAACGCGGATGAAGAAAACAAACAAGCAGATAGAGCATCTGTCATCTTCGGTCACTTACCGAAGTCTGCCGCTACAAGGTCACCATGGAGCTAACATATCTGCTGCTTCAAGGTAGCAGCAGCGCTTCATGAGACACTGGGGCTGGTCCAACCTGAACCCCTAAAAACTGTATCATACAGGCTGAGTAGAAGCTTGCAACAACACCCGGAAGACAAGCTAGCATATCCCCAGGCCAGTCGAGAAGGAGACAAACAAGTTCCTTACCTCTGACCTTACCTTGCGTATATGATTCTCATTTCAACATCCATTATTACCTGTGATCGGTTCCCTTTGCCCGGTTTTCCACATTGCGTCGGGAAGTAAATAAATACAAGACAAAGAATCATTACCTTCCCAAAAGGCTCTCTCGTTCAACGCTGAGACACGGCAAGCGTCGAAGCAGACGCTCACTGCAAATATATCTTGTTTGGTGAGGCGGGCATGAGCTGCATCGGGCTGCCACGAGTCCAGACTTGACGATGCTCCGGTGGGTGATTAAGAGGTTACCTCGGCGATCAAAGAATTCGAGCGGAATCCGCTGATTACTGGCCGGGTCTGCTGTCTCTGGGCGCAAAATGGGTTGTAACGAATGCCGGCTTACCCTCATTGTCGAGATGGAGACGAATCAGGGAGACGAGAGCAAATGACAGGGAAGAAAGTGATACCCACCACAAGACACCGAAGAGTCTTGTTAGTAGCGTCGGATCCTTCTAGGGTCGGATTCGTAGCCACCACCCTCGTAGCCGCGTTTCCGGGAGTCGTCGTAGTCTTTAGGTCGATCGTAGTCTCGGCCGCCGGAGTACCCACCATTCTCGCCGCGCGGGCGGATAGGCTCCATGTTGCTGCCAGACTGTCGGGGATTGCGATCGCGGTAGCCTCCTCCAGATCTGTCATCATATGAGCGTGAGCCGCCATCACGGCCATACCCGCCGCCTCCGGGCCCGTCCCGTCGGTTATCGCGGCCGCCATAACCACCACCACCAGGCCCGCTTGGCGCGTTGGGAGGCCCGCTGGGGCCGCCGAAACCGCGATCGGCTCCACGGCTACCAAAATCGCCACCCCTGCCAGGACCGCCAGGGCCAGAGCGGAAGCCACGGTCGCCGCCAAAGCCGCCACCACCGCCTCTGAAACCGCGGTCCCGTCCCCTGAAGCCGCCGCTAAAGCCACCCCGGTAGCCACCACCGAAACCGCCAGGCCCCATGGGTCTAGGCATCGCCGCCTTTGTGTACCCGCGGCCGCCTAGACCACCGCCCAGGCGACGTGGCTTCCAGCCCTTGACTGTCCTACCCCTTTCGACATCAACCTTGATGCGGCGGTCCTTGATCCGGATGCCGTCACATCCGTCCAGAGCAGCTAAAAATGCGCACGCGCCAGATGCGCCGGTGTCAGTAAAGCCTTACCATTGAGATACTACCTTATGTGGTATGCTTTGGGAAAGGGCACGAGGGGTGAACAGAAAGGGGGAGGCAAGGACTGGCAAGCTTGAGGGCCATGGGTGTCCTGGGGCGCGTTGCGGCAAGCGGTAGATGAAGGTGCTAGAATCAAGGTGGCAGCATTACCTCTCATATCCTTTTCGCGTTCGAACACCACGAAGCCGTAGCCGCGATGCGGTTTTTGTTTCTTATTGCCCTTCTCGTGGGCATGAGTGTCACGAATGATGCGGATCTGTTTAGTGTCAGCTTGATGATGTAGGTGGCCAGTATCTGGAGGGCAACGCACACGCTCGATCGGACCGAAGCGGCCAAACTCGCGCTCCAAATCCTTCTCGTCAGCGCTGTAATCAAGGCGCGCCACAATTAACGTCTTGAAAGCGTCGCCACGGATGTTAGGATCTTCTTGCGGTTTATCTGTCCAAGATACGACGCGTCAGTAAAGCAGGAACGCGCCAGATCAACGTAGGGTGTGGCTAACAGTTCCTCGGCCCCTCGGTGAGCATCTTTTCCACCTGAGCCTGCTTCTCGCGCTTTTTCCGATCGCGGGCCTCGAGCCAGCTTTCAGTAGGATGGTATTCATACTCGCGCTCGTACTCGGCCAGCGCGGGAAGGTACTGAGCGACACCAGAGACAGCGGCCGTTCTGCGTTGCTCAGGGGGATGATCGCATGGTGGCACCCAGCGCAGCGGTGGCCTGGGCGCGAATAGCGCGAGAAGATTTGGCGGGAGCCGATCGGTCATCGTGAGGGCTCACGACGAGTATCTGTGTTGTCGATGACTGTAATAATCGGAGAAATTCCAATGACGGATCGCGCAGACTTTATCTTCGTAGTTAAAACGCGGCTCTGTGGTTTATAGGCTATCGAGTCGCCGCAATGATGCGTGCGGGCAAGGCGCTGATGATTGATGATGGAAGCAAGTCAAACAACCGCGCAAAGTTGCTACGGCAAATTGCCAGAAAATGCAAGCTCGCGATGAGTGGAAGCAGAGGTGCCGTGGACTCGAGCCTAGCTTTTCGCGCCGCTGGTTGGCCCGTGCTTCCCAATTGAGAGCCAATCACACCATAGAAGTCCCACTTATTCTTCTGCCGTCTTTGAACCGGACGCTGACCATTTTCTGCCGCTGCAACACGCCGAGCCCAGATCATGCTCTCCGGACGACGGCGACGACGATGACGGTAAGGGCACTACAGCAGATCTCCACCGGCCGGGTAAGGACAATTGTGCAACCCTGAGACATTCCAGGACTCGCACTAATAGACTGCGTGCCAGAATGGCGTCGGTGCCTTCATCTTGCAATGCAAGAAGATGAACTTCCACTACTGCGACTGGGCAGGTAGCTCAAGGGGCATGAAGTACGCTCGCCGCCTGTTTTCCCACTTGAGGTACCCCGTTCATATATTGACCAATTCAACTCCAGCGGCTTCATCAAGTCCCTCCTCCCCAAGTTCGCCGCCGCCCACCCGCAGATCGAGTTCACCGTCTCCCCACGGCCGGCCAAGCATCCAGTCATCGTCGCCCAGTACATCAACGGCCGCGAGAAGGCCATCTGCGTGCGCAACATGGAGCCCTATGAGATCCTCAAGAAGGCCGAGCTGCTCCGGGACGCCAGCGGCGAGAAGCTCAAGAGAACGACCAAGCCGGTGACGAGTATCAATGAGTCCGTCAGAGGCATCTGGTCCCCGTACCACGGCGATGGGTTGCGGGTATGAGCGTGTTTTGTATGATAGGGCGGGCTTGGTTGCATGGACTGTAGGGGTACAAAATGGAACAATCACAGTACATCACTGCTCGATGTGGAGTTACGGCGAATGGCACATTCCCTCGACAGGGGCTGGGAGCAAGTGAAACTTTGTAGTATTAGAGAGGCTTTTTTGGGCATTTCTATATCCTTTTCGTTATGTTCCAGTGCCAGGCTTCCTTTTTCCTTTTTGCCCCACGATTCCGGGATGAGCCTTCCACCGGTCTTGGTTTCTCTGCTGACAAGACAACCTCACTGGTTCGAGTTGATGATATCCACGACTACAATCAGGTCAGCTTTAGCAACAAAGCGCATCAGAACGTTAAAGAACAACTCACACTCAGGCTTCAGACTGGCACCGCCAACCAGGAAGCCGTCGATATCCTTCTCCTTGGCCAGGTCCTTGCAGTTCTTGCCGTTGACGCTGCCGCCATAGAGGATCCGGGTCGAGTCCGCAACCGCCTGGCTGACGTTCTCGACGAGCCACTTGCGGATGGCCGCGTGCACCTCCTGAGCCTGCTGGACAGTGGCGACCTTGCCGGTGCCGATGGCCCAGATGGGCTCGTAGGCGATCACGATCTTCGCCCAGTCGGCGTCTGAGAGCTTGGCCTTGAGGGCGGCCAGCTGGCGCTCGACGACGGCAACGGTCTTGCCGGCCTCGCGCTCCTCCAGCGACTCGCCGCAGCACCAGATAACGCTGACGCCGCCGTCGACGGCGGCCTTGGTCTTGGACGCGACCACCTCGTCCGTCTCGCCCAGCAACGTCCGCCGTTCGGAGTGGCCCAGGATGGTCCAGTGGATGCCGCTGTCCTTAAGCTGCGCCACGCTAATCTCGCCCGTGAAGGCGCCGTTGGGCTTGTCGTAGACGTTCTGCGCAGACACCTCAACGCCGGCTTTGGTGAGCTCGTCCCGCGTGAGGTGGAGGTAGAGAGCCGGGGGTGCGATCACGACCTCTGCGAAGGACAGGGGTGTTAGCCTGTTGCTTGTTCGAGGCTTTGCTTTCCTCCAGTGCCACGCAGTTAAGGTAGTTGACTTACCAACATTGGAATCCAATTGAGCCTCGTTCAGGTTCTTCACAATGCTCTTGATGGACTCCTTTGTCCCGTTCCTGCATGTGGTGGTCAGCCTAACCAGTCCTTGGGAGCTTCAACGCGGGGTTTTGCAGCCCATGGCGGGGTAACACTGCTCACATACATCTTGAAGTTACCACCGACGAAGAACTTGCGAGCCATGGCGGGCAGTTATGTCTTTAGTATTGAGGTGATATGGTTTAAAGGAAGAAAGGGCAGAGGCCGCAGTGCGAGAGTCAAGCTGGGAGAGTTGGGTCTTGAGGAGAGCCCGAGAACAAGATGGTCTGAGGTGGGTCGGGAGCTTGCGGGACTAAAAGGTGGTGCCAGCTCTGAGACTTGCTAACGCCATGTGCGACCTCGACGATCCGACTCAACCCACTATGGCACCTGCAGATCAGCCTCGCGATCTCAGTGGTGACAACTAGTTTTGAGGCTTTTCCTCCCTCCTGGTCTCTTACGTTATTTCTCACGAGACCGTACACATTGGGCTTGCTAGTTGCTAATGTAGGTTCTGCTGACATGCAGCTTATGCTGAGGTTCCACCCGCCGAGTGTACTGTCTAGATGAGGTGTGTATAGCACATACAGAATAGATATTCCCCCTTGCCAAACATGCCCTGTCGTGCACGTATCTCCCCACAGTATCCGCCGGGGTCCAATGCATCCGTGCCCGGAAGCTCCGGCATCGCCCGGTTATTGAGGTTCTACCGGAAGCCGGATATGGGCCGTCAGACCCATGATCTCCCGCGTTCACGTCTTCCGCTCTTCCGGCACTCCAGCACGGCCTAGCGTTTCACGGCGAAAAAGCCACCTCTTGGCTTTGCTACCCGGTCTCTCCTTAGGAGCGTCTCCCTTAGGTTGACCGCCTGCTTCTTCACCTTGGGCGCTAACCTCGAGTCGCCGGTGCCTTTCACGACCCGGTACGCGGTCGATCCTACTCTTTTATCCTTTGGAAGCTTGGGGTCACGGAGCAAGGTCTGCTCCACGGCTCCCAGTTTCCTTCGCTTGTGCTTCAGATGGCCAGTGGAGCCGAGTTCCTGAGAGACGTCGTCCTCATCGTCCGACTCAAGCAGTTCAAGAGGGAGGAGCTTAGGTGCTTCTTTCCTCTTCTCGGTCTCTGGCGTGGCGTCCTCAGCGCTAGGCGAGGCATCGTCAGAGCCCCTCCTTTGCCTAGCCTGTTGCTCGGCCCGTTTCCGCTCCTCAGCTTGTTGATTGAAGAATGCAGCACGCTCCTGTCGTTTCCGCTTTAATGCGGCGGCTTGTCTATGAACAATATTAGTATGGCGGGATGTTATCTTCTAGAGGATTGAGCTCAACCTACTGCTCAGCCGCTTTCGCAGCAGCTTCTGCGGCTTTCAAAGTCTCTTCTTGAGCGGCGTGTGTGGAAATGGCCTCCGGCGGTGCATCGTCATCGCTGTCCTCGGCCTCATCCTCGTCATCGTCTTGCCCAGGTGCGTCCGCAGCCTCCGGCTTGGACGCTGGCCTGGGAATGCTGCTCTCCATAGGGTCCCTTGAAGGGGCTTCTCTCGGTGTGACGAACTCATCGTGATCACTGTCATCGAAAGTGATGCGTTTCCCCACGCTTGGTGTGTTGAGAACCTCTTCATTCCCCTCCTTCCCTGCTGTGTCCTCGGCCACGGCCTTCCTCCGCCGCAGCGCTGATGAGGTGGGTAGTGGAATCTCTATGCTGACATGTCTGTGCTTAGCGGATGGTGTATCTCTAACCCGCACCGCCAACTTAGATGAGGGCGAGTTCTGATCCTGGTCGTGTGGCAGCTCGTCCTCCTCAGGCTTGTCGATCTTATATTTGATGCCGGCTGCCCTCAGTAGTGGTTGCTCAGCGACGTCTGAGATATCGACGGCCGGTTCCGGTACCTCATCCTTCACTGTGTCCTCCACCTCTACCTCTGGCGCCTCAGGCTCCGAATCGGATGAAAGCTCTATGACGGCCGCTGGTGCTTCACTTTTCTGAGACGCTTTCTGCGCCGACCGCCGGGTTCCTACCATAATGTTCGGCAGTGACGTGGTGCCCAGAATCCTATAACAAATAAACCGCCAAGGTTGTCCCTGTACGCAGTAATCGGCGTTGAGTGCCTTTGCGAATTCCTTGATTGAGGGTAACGGAAGTGAATTCATGAATGAGGAAGTCCAACCAGGGACTTGCGGTTCCTAAACTTTTTTTGACTGCAGGGACCTGTCCAAGCGTAACGGTACCTGATTGGATAACACCATGCTTCCGGTGCAAGGTGTGGGTCCAGATCTCTTAGTGTGGGACCTCTCAACTGTCAATAACAACCGCAACCCCGATACACCATGACAATGGGCATCCAACAACAACTACTACTAGTACCAAAACAGAAGAATTGCACTACCTCTATTTAATTTCTTGTTCTGGCCGTCTTTCAGCAAGTCGAATCAATGCCATTCCGTTGTCACCCCTCACCTAGACAGCTTAAACCAAGACGTCTCAGCTCTCAGCCATGTTCTCACCAAGAGCTACAATACAAGCCAAAAGGGCTGTGCGAGCTCTTCTCCAGAACATCCACCTGATCCATCCGCATCACCACCAAAATCTCCCAGGTCGCCAGTATGCAACGAGCCTCAGGAACGCCAAAGGGCAACCGTTCCGCGCCCCTTCAGTTCTGAAGAAGAGCCGGACCACATCAAATCCAACAACACATCGTCAACTATTCCAGGAGTCCGATATCCCAGCTCTCAAATTAATTCAGGACTTCCTGTCTCATCCAGAGCAGCGCCTGTATCGATGCATAAGCGCAGAGGAGTGCCGCGATGTGGCTCTGCGGTTCGCTTCCGTCGCCAGGGGCCCCAAAGAGAGCCCGGCTTGGAAAGGGGCGCTGCTAAGGGGTATGACCCAACACCACAACAACAGGCACCAGCCCACCTACTTTCTTACCTCCTGAAGAAGCTAAGGCCGCCCTGCAGACCACAACATTGACCCGCGAACCCTGTATTGCGCCGCCATACCGCTGATCGCGCCGCAGGGCGGGCTAGGCAACATCGGCAATTACATGCTCATGACGGCGTCAAGCTTGGGATACACACCCGCGACGCTCTCACTCATTCGCTCTCTTCTGGATGCCAGCGACGAGCTCTTCCCGCGACTCAAAGCCAACCTTGGCGACGCAGTAGTTCGTTTCATCCAGCTGGTCCGGACCGAGAGAAGCCCCGACGTCCTGACCTTGCGGGGGCTTTGGTTGCTGCGTGAAGGCCACAGCGATGCTTATGCGTTGAAGTATTTTGACCAAGCTCTCGAGGCAGCGCGGAGGATCCCCGATGGTGACGCTGATCGCCAGCATACCCAGCAGCAACAGCAGCAGCAGAGAACCGCATCAACCCGCGACCCCAGGTGGACATTCGAAGGCTCCTGTCACCTGAAGCGCGGGCTCATCCTGGCCAGGCAAGGGCGGACGGATGAGGCGATAGCCTCATTCAAGGTTGTGGCTCTCGAACTGGACCTTGCCGACGGCTATGTGGAGTTGGCCAAGCTGCTTCCCCCGGACGCGCCAGAGCGGGAAAGCTATCTCTTGAGGGCCGCTCAGAGCGGCAATTCTGAGGCCTGCCGGCTCCTTGCGCTCGATATGGCCGAGAAGGCAGCCAATCCGAGACTTCCCTGGAGTGACCGCAGTGACGCTGCGGGTATGGCCCATGAGTGGTCCCAGGTTGTCGTGGACCCGAAAGGGCGGGAGGAGTTGGCCGCCCAAGTGGCGGAGAAGGCGAAAGCTGTTTTTACGGGAGCACAGAGTGGCTTTCTGTGGAAGCTCGCGGGTTGACCTACGGGCAACTTGGTGTATAAGTTAAGGGGATGAATATCGACCGCCTTTCCATGGTCACCATTACATTCCAGCGCGTGAAGCGCTTCTTGACATGATCCGCACCTACCTGGGAGCTCGTGTTGCGTCCCTACTGCTGGGCACTGGTGCCATATACATGCCAGTGCCTTATAAACCAGGAGCCGGTCATGGCAAGTGAGGTACTGATACCCTTCCCAAGCATAGGCTCCGCCTTCACCCTTTTTTTTCTCTCTCTCGAGATTGATTGGCCCCCAACATTGCTGGCTATAAGCACTAGATGGCTGTGGGAAGCTCGAACAGGGTTCCTTCAACTCACATTTCATGATCCGAGGGTCCATCCGTAACTCGCACACAGTCTGGCTTCTCTTGATTATTTGATTACCGGTCAAACCAAGCTGACACTCATAGCACACAAAAACAAAAGTATATCAGACAGTACACCCAAAGAATTCCGTTGTCATCATCCGCAACCCATAACACCGAAGCACATCCATTTATATAGCCCTGCGCTCAAGTACCCAGGCAACCCATCATCATTTTGGTATCTGGACCCGCGGCCGTAACTGGTGCCAGCCGAAACGCCAAAGCATCGCTCTCCTTGCAGGTCCCGGGCCAAGGAGGCAAGTACCCCTATTTCTTCCTTTTTAGATCAGCGAGGTAGGTAAACCCCAGCTCACACCTCAACCTCCTTGATCATCCTCCTCAGATCGGGTAACGAGCACCTCCGCTATCGCAACGATTACCTCTTGGCCCTCTTCTTGGCCCTCCCCTTTCCCTCGCTACTGTCACCGCCACCGCCACCATTGTTCCCACTCCCACTCCCGCCGCCATCCTCGTCGTCTCCATCCTCATCTTCATCGTCATCATCCCCTTTACCACCGCCACCCACCTCCCGCTTCTCATTCCCCTTCTTGATACTAATCAAGCACCCCTGCTCCTTCAACCTCTTGGTCAGCGGCGTACTGGCCCTCATGCCGGGGAAATCCTTAGCGTTATACACCTGAAACGCATCGCTCATAGCCGTCGCGACAATAGCCGACCTGTCGCCGGTACACATGCGGGCCGGATCCAGCACGACCAGGGCAAACTTGAGGCGGAAGGTGCCCGGCGTGCGGCAGCTAAGGTCCGGGAAGCAAAAGAAACATCCCTCCTCGCCCTTCTCGTCCAGCCCGACGAAAGGGGACGCCACCAGCGTGCCCATCAGCCGCCGCTGCTGCCGAAAGTCATCGGGCATGCTGGACATGTCCTTGGCGCCGGTCTCGTCCCAGATGGAGCAGTGCACGACTGAGAACTGGTGGCGCAGTCGCCGGGCGTGCTCGTCGGCGCTGAGGGAGGGGTCGTGGATGGTTAGCTGGACGATCGGGGGCGGGTCGATGACGCGCCGATCGCGCTCGCCGAAGCCGCAGCTGCGGGCGGCGAAGGGTTGTTGGCGGACGGTGATGCGGTACTCGGAGTTCGGAGGGCGAGGAGCAGTGGTAGGTGGAATCGGAGGGTTGGAGGTGGTTGCAGGTGATTTGGTGGATGTGTTGTTTGTTGTGGTGTTTGAGCCATTCTCGGGGGTTACGAGGTTCGATATGCTCATTGATTTTGGTTCTTGTCGTGGGGAGGTGCTCGGTTGAGTGGTTGGCGGACTTCGGGGTAGTTGCGGAGGCCCGGCGTGGCTGTTGGGTACTAGTGAAGGAGAAGAATAGAAGCCTCTTGAAGGGGCCTTGGCTGATACTGGGACTAAGGCGATATCCTGTGGGTACGGATTTCCTCTTGATCGTGGAGATGGCTGGGAGACGAAAGAGTGCGGTATTTGGCCCTGGCCATTAGCGCTCATCTGCCTCATCCGCAACTCCTGGGCCATCTCTTCGGACGACCTGTCGCTAGCCGTTGACGAAAGCGTTGGGGAATGCCGGATGTCCGCCGGTCGCCTCGAGAACTGGCGTGGCTCATTGTGAGAAATCGTGAACTGAGGCGGCGTCTGCCCTACGGGCCAAGGGCTGGCATACTCCGAGTATGGTGCCGGCCTCCCGCTGTGGCAAAGGGTCTCACGGCTGTTGGAACGCACCGGAGAATGACTCGATGCCAAGCCCGGAATCATGGTGGCCATGGGAGGCAAGCTGGGAAGCTGCCTTGTGTGGACCGGCTGTTGGAACTGCTCTTCCTGGGCATAGTGTCCATGCTTCGGGGCATATGGGTCGTCGTAGTCGTGGCGACGATGAGCCATACCGTCTAACTGGGTATGACGGCCAAAGTTATGGTGAGCGAAGTCGACCGCCGCAGACATCTGGGAGTGATCCACAGAGGAACAGGTTGTGGCTCGGTCCTTGCAGTTCTTAGTCAGTCTGTGTCAGTCTGTGTTGCTCTAGGAACCTGCCGGTGCGTTCAATGGATCGGCAGGGTCGGGCAGCCTTACAGGATGGGCTGCGAGAATCAAGCAGCCACTGACACGAATCCAGCAGCCGGGTCCTGTAAGAAGACGCCTCACCGGGGAAGACTGAACCGCGCGCTAGCCTGATTAGACTTCGACGGCGCAGCCCCGGGGACAGATTAGCTGCGCCGGGCCCTGGATCTACAGCAGTGGTACTCCGAGGCTGCTCCAACAGGCTCCGCTTGTGAATGAAGGAACAGCCGATCAGTTGTCTCGTTGCGCCTGCAGGAAGCCACGTCGAGTTCTGGCCACGGATAGTACTGAGCCACAACTGTTGGTCAGGAGGCGGTGTCACACGTGGGTATCCTGGGGCGACGATCGTTGTTTTCGCCACTTCTCCGGGACGAAGTGAGACCTGGTTGTTGTACATGTACAATGTGCCGGGGCTTATAAAGAGTAGCGCGACCAGGTATTGGTGGCCAAGCAACACGGCCTCGACCATCGAACGTGAAAGAACCGGCAGCTCGTTCGCTTGTTGCTCCACGATGTCAGCTGCAGGGTCCTGCTGTCTTATATCGTCAAACGCTCGGCTCTTGAAAGATAGTCCGGGGTCGTTTCCGGCACGTCTTGGGAAACTGTGCAGCCCAACTAGGATGGCAGCTAGATGTTGGGGTAGCAGTAAGTCGGAATGGGCTAGTGCAATATGGCAAAGCCGGGCTACTGGGCCATTGTGGGAGATTGAGGGGGAGACGCTAATATCAAGAGGGCGTATCGGCATCCTCCTGGTCCCCAGGGCGGAGGAGCCGGCCAGTTGTCTTAAGTATGTACTCGGTTGCCCTGACTGGCCAAGGTCCAGAGAAGGCCGCAGATTGCCCAGCAGGGATATCAGGGGACGACGATCGCGACAATCCACCAGGCGGGCCAGCGGACCTGGTCAGCTCCGGGGCCAGTTGAAAAGTTCCGTGACTCGTCTTGTCTTGCTAGTGCGCATAACCCCGGGCGTTGGCCCAGGAAACAAAAAGGAATGTGTTTTAGAAGGTACTTGGAAGCCATCGAAGGCCAATGCCGGCAGGGGGGAAGAGAATGTGTTGCCGGGGTCGGAGTCGATTGGGCTTGGGTTGCTTAGTGAACTTTGTGTATATCCGGCCCGTGTCACGGCACGATGATACATGACCAGTTGGGCCCGGTACTTCTGGCCTCGAAGTCTTGGACATTCAGGACCAGCCAGATGGCTACCGTCTCGCCCGATGTGACCCCCGCCAGCCCACTCCCGTTCCAACCCTCCAGGCGTGGGCATCAGCGGAGCAGGGGCTGTCCCCAACCTACCGTTGAAAGAGCAAATACCCCTACGGTACGCTAGACTGCTCTATAGAGCTTCCCCCTCGCACGGTGGACTCGGCGAACAGCCGGCAGCTCGTTAGGATGCACCATGCAACAAACAAACGGTCTGTGATATCCGTATCGACAGTCACCTTGAATAAGCAAAGGGCCACACAGACAGCGTGGGTGCCATATGGCGGCCTCACGCTGCCAGACTGTCTGTGCGATGCGTGGGATTGCGAGGTTGCGAGTCATTGCAGCCCAGAATGTCGCGAAATGGTGAGCCGAGACAGGCTGAACTCGAGATCCAGCAGCAGGCTCAGAGGTGAAACCAAGCCAGTAGACTGGCGCATGAGTCCACGGAACGGGTTCGTGTTTTCCCTGAGTCTCGCCTTTGCCCAGCTGCACTGCAGTAACAGCCGAATGGCTCTTGGAGTGCTCGTAGCTCGTAATGTACATACCTAGGTAGGTACGCAGTACTAGTTAGTGTAAGAGAAGGACTGGAAGAAGGTGCAAGGCCGATCTGCTCGGTGAATGTAGCATTTCCACACTTGGCCGGAGGCAACCCTTCCACGACGATTCCTGCCTGACTGGGCAAGTTCTGCCGTGCAATGCTTTGACTTCCAGGTTGGATCCTCGCCATCGATTGGATGACTAGGGCCATTCTTTCCGCCTGCAAGACCGCAAGAAGGCGACACCTGCCAGTGCAAGGGAAGGAGCGTTCCATCGACCCAGATAACTCGACTAGGACCCCAGTTCTACTGTACGTAGATTGACCTTTGTCCAAAATCAAGTCACGGGCTTGTGGCAGTAACTTTGTTCCGTTTCCCATGCATGTATTTATGGCTAACGTACCTGATAAGGTAGGTACCTTCCATATCTTCAACTTCCTTCTCGTCTTCAACCTGTTCCTTGCGTCTCCTACTCCAGGTGATCCTTCCCGTCCGCAGCTGTCATAGTGCACGTTAGAATCCTAGAAGTGGCTAAACTACGGTTCCTGTATCTGTGAGACACTGTAGTCACATCCGCCTCGAGTTGCATAGGATGGCTGGGCGGGTACCCATCCCCGGTTCCCGGCCAAGTCACGACATGTCCGCTATTGGAGCGCTGTGTCCTGATAAGGTTGCACAGGCGATCAACCCCAGAAGTCCGCCTGTGTGCTGCTCGCCTCGACTAACAAAAAAACAGCCGTGCCGCCCCTCTCTGACGGCTGCGACGCTCCCGCCTACTTCCCCGCAAGAACCGGGTCTTCTAAAACGCTGGGGGCGATTTCTCGGTTCGCGAGTTTAACTTCGTCAAACCGTATTGATACTGCGTGCCCTCCGCCTATAGGGATAAATTGACCACCGTTTGTGTCACGCGAACCATCTGCCGGCTTTATGTTGCATATGAGGAGCAGGACGCACATCAAGGAGAAACCGAGGCCGTAGTTACAACTTACGAGTAGGATTTGGCACTCGGACAGCGGAACGACTGACTCAGAGAAGGGAGGCGACAAGGTCGACAATCGACATGCGTGGGAGCAAGCATTAGATGTTGTGGGCCCCCGGTCAAGCCACACCAACGCCATCGCGTGATTTACGGCCTGTCCCCTCTTCGATCCTCATCTTGCAGCAGCGCGGGCAGATTTCGGAAGAGCCACGCAAACATACAGTATTCGGTTGGAGATTGCTTCTGGCGTACACCCACGCCGCCCAACAGCATGGCATTCTTGCCGACGATCATCCCACGTAACCATTGTACACAGTATGTCCTGCGGCTTACTCAAAATGCCATTCTGCACTGACGGCTCCGCTGGTCTCGAGTCGCCCGCTGATATTTCTACTGTATTTTAAGCAAGGACTGCATATTCACCTCTCGCGGACTGCTGCCGTTACCCGGGATCCGGTAGCACATGCCCGCCAACACGGCATGTGTACCAAGAGTCGCGCAGCTGCAACATCACCAACCAACTGTTCAGTCTCGAGACGCGACGGCTGAACGCATGGACCCGAGAACCCGAGGTGGAAAGATATGTCGCCTGGTGACAAGCAGCGGAATCGATGACGAATGTCGAGTATTTGTGAGAGGGATGCAGCCCTTTCAACAACAATTGGCTTGCGGCAGGCATGCAAGAGTCTTGGCCTCGACACAGGAGGATACCTGCGGTTTACTGTGAGGCGATACGACTCTGAATCCCGGTTTCCCTCTGCGCCCCACACCGGGACAGGCTCGACACCTCCGGCTTCAATGTGAACCCTGCAGTCGCTTGCTGTGCTTTCACCTTTCATCAAGGAGCTTAACTGGTATTGGCACACATCAGATCATGCTCAGCTCCGCTCAGCGCTTGGCAGAAACTGCCGTCGGCGATGGTGTCCCGCTTTCCAGCGTGCAGCTCGTATGCCTCCACAAGCCCGGCCTTCACCCGAGCTACGATACAGACTGTACCACGACGCAGCTCAGGCTACAGTGTGACTACTGTGTACGGAAGGGTAGGGCGCACAGACTTCAGCTCTCACTTGGCTTATTAGCGACACTGGCCCCTCTTAGCTGGTCCTCGCTTTCGCATCAAGGCGGGCCACGAGTTTGTATCTGCGAGCCTCGCTGATCCACAGCGGTGCATCAGATACTTCTGGTGGGGGAGCTTTGTGCAGCCTGATGCCATCGGAATTCTCTATACCCAATGTTGACCGGTCCGGAGGCCATGTGCTTTGGACGGCATGGCCAGAAAGGAGCTCCCCCAGCGTCAATGCGCCCAATGTCCTCTTTCGGAAATGGGGCTTCAAGATTCCATGTGGAGCTTGATCCTTCCGTCGCGGTGGAGACTCGGCAACCGGCGTGAACTTAGCGTCCTCCGTTCTTGGCCCGGCCTCCCGATCCCGCTTGGCTCCACTGCGCCTGGATCCCCGGTTCATTGTTTGCCAGGCAGGAAACGAAACATCGATGAGCGCTGACCAGAAGGTTAGTACATCCACACTTTCTCGATTCAAAACACATCAAAGGCCATGAATAGCCTTGGCCACAGCATAAGATCGAACGCCGATGGACGACTACAATCAGACCTACTATCCGGTCTCGTAACACCAGTGGTTGTGGTTATGATACCTTCCGGAAGAATGGCCGGTCCGCTGCCAGTGTCTTGGGGCACCACAGACTGAGTACGTCCTGGGCCCTGTTGCTGCCTGGCCTTGCCAGCCTCGAGGATGCTAAACATGGTTCGTTACAACTCCTCAATCTATGACACCTTCCTTTGGACCTTCGATACTAACGCAAGTGCCGGGACGAAAACGAGGGATCTAACCGCAGACATTCTCCCTCCTCGACAGTATCTCACCCACGCGTCCCGGAAGCTTTGTATTTAGAGTTGAGCATCGCCAATACCAACTGACAGGAAGACGACGGCCCTTTTTCGGCGCGACCAGAAAGTGCTATCCGTCTCCCCTGACCGGACACGGCACGGGAATGGTTGTCCTTTTGGGGTCGAAACAGCCTTCCTAATCATTTCATGAGCAGTCACAACACAAATACATTCCGCAGACTCTCCCACCCAGCGCCCCTTGTTGATCTGGGTTGAGTGCCACAGAAGAGCTACATCCTACATACAGGTCAGGGAAAGGTCCCGCCCTCCTATCACGGCTCCTTTGCAGTAGTACCACGGCCGCTCGCTCTAGGAGGGACGCTTACAGTTTACTAGCTGGCAGCCAGTGACACTGGCGCGCAGCTTCCAGAGACGGTTCCTGCTCCGCCAGCGCGCAGAACTTGTCGTGCTACCCTTCTCTGTGCTTACTGCACGAGCAACCAATCTGACTAACGAATATGGGTTGCTCCCCGCGAACTCGTCTTCCGATGATTTGACGCCCACGTGTCTGGCAAACCGCCGTTCTTGCCTTGTTGATCGGCCTTCCGGACGCCACCCTGGGGCGTACGTCGGATATCAGAGTTCAAGCCAAGCCTAGTCAATACTGACACAATGAGGAAACTGGATGGGAAGTAGCCGAAAGGAGCCCGCCAAAGCAAAACTGTCCAAGTGGCTTATGTCCCGGGCGCAGGATGCAAGGCTCTGGTCTGGTTATCGAGGCGGCACGCGGTCACTCTAGCAGTGTGCATAGACGGCATGTTAAGGGCGGTGCTTAAGTGCCAGTCAGCCAGTCAGTTAGCCATTGACCGTCTCAACGCATTGAGCATTTGATTGCCAAGTCGTGCGCTGGAACATCCATGCGCCCCAACAAGCCAGCGAGCATGGCACGCCTTCCCCGCGTTCGAATGCAGTACTACCCAAGTGCTTTGGCAGGACGACATGACAGTCAAAGCTTCAGACGACGATGTGTTCGGCTATGGATGGGTGATTTTGTGCTACTTTGATAGATCCCTTCGAACGTCCGAGCACATCAGCCCCCTGGCTTTGCGAATCTACCGACGCCGCTGATCGCCGGTAGTTATGAAGCTGCTCAGGCAGGTTTTCTTTTTCTTGAGAAATCTCTCCGGATGATGCCGTCGAGCGGCTGAAATGAGAGCCGCCCACCCCCAACGCGCCAGCGCCCGTTCGCCATCCTCGCAGAGTGTTTAAACCACCTTGGCTTCAAGTACTTGTCGATGCATTTCCAGCGGGCTGTTCATCGTAACAAGCACCGTCCCGGTTACGAACGGTTGTGGCGTAGTGTTGCCGTTGGCTACTTCCGTCTTTGGAACTGTTCACATCAGAGCTCGCAATGTTTTCGCCAAAGGCCCGTTTTGCAGAACTGCCCGGTATCCTCTCCATCTTCTGGAGAGAGCTCTACCAGCTTGCTTCTGTGGTGTTACCGTGGCCACCCCTCAGCGAACGATCCCAAACCCTGTATCGACTTCTCAACGATCCGAGTTACAGGGGTTCAGGAAACAAGAGCCGAGATGTTGCATCGTCAGATGCTACCTTCCGGCATGTATAAAAGGAGATTTGAAACGGCGGCTAATTCTTCCCCGGACCCGGGGATCAATACACAAGCGGTTCCCCGCCTTAACTATCCACCAATGTCTGATTAAGGTTCATCTATCCGACGGCGTTTTCGAAATCTCAGAGTGAAGATCACGGAGGCAACTGCCAGCGATTGACCAAGACGGCACCCCAAGCAAACTGTTGAGGAGTCTCGCGTCCCAGTACGGAGCAGGAACGTCCCGTTTTACCGCAGTAAGCTGATCACGCGCTTCACTGCCGGTTGTCGATCACCACCGGAGGTTCAGATGAACTCGTTCCCGAAGACGTTAGGAGGGCGGCAGACCGTTGACATCCCGGGACCCGGGGAAGTAGCCCCCGCATTCGGCTGTCGTCAGAAATCTGACATTAAATCATCCAGGCTGGCAGGATGGAAGACCGGGGCACCGCGATAGGCGAGAGCCAGAATCCGGGTAAACTCTAGCTGCGCCCCAGATTCGTCCGTTTTCGTCCATATATAATACACTTGCCGTTCCTGGCCATCGCGGAATACCTTCTCGACTTCATATGGGGGATCTAGCCGGAACCAATGGCCGGATCGGCATACCCTATGTTCTAATATGAAATTCTCCAGGTTCCGGGAAAGGACCGAAGAAGTCTCTTACACGAAATTGTACATAGCTACATACCAAGCCGGTTCTGGCACCACGTCATAAACTTCGTCTTCACAACCGGGGATATATCTGAGTGCTTTCTCCACTCGCCGCCAAGGGAATCTGCGAGGGGTCTCCTTTCCGGTCTGGAGAACCGGATTCGCAACGTTACCTGCTCTTCATTAAATGATGCCGTCGTCTCCCATGCACCGACATCCATCTACCCTCTCCTTCGTGAGAGGAGTCTGTCGCGGGATATGGGCGCATATGCCTCTAACATCTTGGCAATCCCACTTCCTTTTTCCCTTCCAAGTGCCGGGCCGTATTACTTTTTTTCCTGAAAGTATCCTTTCCGGTGAACTGTGTTAGCGCCACTGCTGGGAGCAGCCTGATGTGCTGGTAGCCTAGGTACCCTCGGTCCAACACACTAGAGTTTCTCTTGCGCTGGTGCAGCATGAGGACTGTATCGCCAGATTTCTATTTTTTTTTTTCGGGATGAAAAATTAAAGCCGGAAGCAAAGTACTACCGTCATTCCTTCTTTGGCATAAGCATTGAAGGATTATGTGGCTTTGAGGGGGCGTGTCCGGTGACTGCGCCCTTGATTCGCCTGTACAGGGCGAATCGAGTCTCAGCAGGCGATGGGAAGACGACTAGTACAATACCTACTCGCTGACACACTGATATTCACAATCTTTTGGCGAGGAACCGAGAGAGAGTTGCCTCCGATATGTTTAAAAAGACGCGGACTCTGTCTGGTCTGCGTCATTCCCGTCTCTTGGGCTTCTTGAATTACGAACCAGAAACAACCCGGTCCGCATTGTGTAATACTAGAGGATCTCTCTTGTGTGCTGGCTGTCTATCCGGGTCCCCTGCCTTGCTGTTTTCGAGACATCATGGGCTTGATTACCTTATCTGGGGTCGAAATGACGGCCGGATCTTCTGGCGCCTGACTGCAGGGGACAAACAAGCACTCCAGAATGGATAGCTCTGGCTTGGCCCGGGTTCCCAAGTCGAAAGCAAAGTACACGAAGCGCATTGGCTATCTTCCCATACTTGCTTTCTGCTGCGAATGGTGTCATGGTTTTCCGCCCATGTATGATGATGAATGATATGTACCCGGGAGGAGTGCTTCTCGCGCCTGTTGTGCAAAGGGGGCACGGTATGTAGGATGTGCTCTGTAAAGCTGGCACCCACCTCCTAGTTCAGGACACTTTTCTGATGTATCGGGCATGCGATATACTAATGCCCTGGTCCAGCTCATCTCTCGGGAGAACAATACAGAGAGCTGGCGAATCGTCAGTGTGGAACGCTACCAGTGGTCGTTTCGCCACGAGTACCTACCTGGGCTGCCTCCGTGTTCCAGTTCCAGTGGGAAGTCTCAGTACTTGACCACAGCTTGGCGGAGATGTTCCAGTGTGATCAAGAAGAGGCACCATCTATGATCATCATCAAGCCACAAAAATTGATGGCAAAGTAAGGTAGCTTTGACCCAACTGACCTCAGAGGGCCGGTAAGTAGAATGTGGCTTAAGTCATCGGATACCACACTCTCACTACATGCGTGTTCGCTCTTCATAACCCGGGTGTCAACCAGCGTGACGAAACTCAGAGGGATGCTCATGAACAATCTTGCACACTCGTAGTAGCTGTGGGTTGCGTGAGTTAGTGGAGGTGGTCAGGGATGCCGAAGCTGCGAAAAGACCAAAGCTTAGGCAAACATACTAAATGCTGGCACGATGATCTGTATAACATCTTTTACGGTGGCATATGCCGGCATGAGCATTCCACGTGGCTGGTATAGCGTGTTCATCCGGACTTTTGGGTGGTAGGTGCAGTTGCTGTCAACGAGAGTGGCAGTGACAGGTGAGGAAGCCCATTCACTCTTTGTTCCAGGGCCCGGTATAAGAAGGCTCACACAGATCATGCACTCTTACCTCCTGTCCTTTAGCAATCTAACCAAGTGCTCCAGGAGCAATAGCATGCTTATCAACAGTACCATTGATACCATTGATACAACTGCACAATCCTGTGTGTCTCTCAAGTCGACAAATCTAAGGGGCCTGTTTCTCTGCACCAACACACAAGGTCCAGCTCCACCAGGAAGTCGAAAGAGGTCCGTCATGTGCTGGTACCGACCGTTCGTCTACCGCTGTGGCTGCTCCGTCATACACACAGACTCTGCCTTCCTTGGCCCTTGCTCATGGGCATTTCTGGGCCAATGCTTGGGACCGCACGTCCTGAGGCCCAGGGGCTTGGGATACTTGTGGCCCATCCACGACCCAAGCATCCTACGGATATACGGTGGCTCTAGCTAGGTCTTGGTGCGCAAAACGACAGCAACACCAATACAACGCTGTTAATTGTCTTCCTCAAGTCGGCATTGTGACGTGAACTTGACAGGACTTAAAATGACCATGTCAGGACATCAAGGGGGTCTGCATTGTACGGACTATCCCGCTGGCCTTAGTAGATGGGCTTGAATAGTCTAGAGAGCCGCTGAGATGGAATACACTGTCGGTTAGATTCCATAAAACCTGCAGTGTTTGAACTTGCCCTTTGCTGATCTGACTGACACGCGGAAGTAAACAAACCCCTGAGTCCGGGGCCCACAAATACTACGAATCTTTCCCTCTGCTATACAGGCGGCAACCAGCACATCCTAATAACATTGAGCTCGACATCATGGAGCATCCCAACGCTATACTAATACAATGGAATGTATTTACCAGCCCTGAAAAAAGGAGAGGTGTAAGGTCCACGTAACCTACGAACTCGGGCAAATTTATTTTCAAACCACCCTCACTTATTCGTGCGGTTCCCTTGGGGCCTCTTCGCACAAAGTCCAACCTCCTCTCTCCGCCTATGCGATCCACTGCTCATCAAACATGCTGGCAATTCCTGCCCCGAGGCTCGAGTAGAACGGTAGATGAGAAGATGGACGATGCTTAGCCTGTGACTAGGTACCTAACTACCTCTCCGTTTGCTCCCTCCCTTCGCACCGCACCTTTCTTCGATATTTCCGAAACTAGACTCAGGTCACCCAGAGCTCGGGAACGCTCGTCTAGTCTCTATAGTAGATCAAGGCGAAGACACTTATGCAACAAGATTCAATAGGTACTACTGAACATTACATACGGTATCAAAAAAACGCAGCCAACCCCATAACCGCCAGTTCCAACGCCACGCTTCCCAAGTGTATATACAGGAAGGATATCATACGATCATAAGCCAATGCTTTGCTGCCAAATGCAGCAGGCAGAATACCTACCTTACCCTACCTTACCCAACCAGCACACTTCTAGCAGAGTCCCCCATCCGCAGCAGCCACATCCATGGGAGCCGGCCGCCGCCTCCAGTTCTTGCCCAGACCAGAACCGAGTCCCGAGTTGTCTTCACAGCCCTCTGTCTCTTCCGGAAATCCAAAACCTAATAACACCAGGCTCCTTGCCAATACCCTTGTAAAAGAAAACGGCCCTAAACGCCCCGCCGAAAGGAAAACGTCAGGTAGCCAACCCAGCCGCCATTTTATCTTCCAACCGTCCCAGAAACGAAAAAGGTCCCAGGGGAATTATATATATCAGGGCGTTCAAACTCGTTTAACGTTTCGCACCGTTTTCGATGTGGTGCGTAAGACCAGAGCGGGGCTTTCCGAAACTCACAAACCCCATACAACACCACCGACCACCACCGCCAGTCCCGTCGCAACCCACAGCGTCGACGAGCGCATGGCGACCCGACCAGACACGGCCCCGGAGGCGGGAATGACCTCGGCCGCCAGACTCTCGTTCACGAAGCCCGGTCCGCAGATGGTGTTGACCTGCTTGGCGGCCTCGACATAGGTCCGGGCGATCATCTGCCTCCGGTCGGCGGTCGCGGCCTGGAACTGCGCCATGGTCTGCTGCAGGCAGTCGCCGCAGGCGGGCACGGTGGAGCCGGGCAGGGTCCTGTTGAGCGGGAGGAAGTAGAAGTAGGTCGTCGAGTAGTTGGTGCCGTTGGTGACGGCGTTGGCGTAGCAGTAGGCGCCCGTGTCGGGGTCCTTGAGGCAGCCGGCGCTGTAGACGGGTGCGTAGGCGGCCATGGCGAGGTAGGCGTCCACGACGGCCGGCTGCTCCCGCTCGAAGTCGGCGCCGCAGTTCTCGGGCTTGGTCAGGTTCTGCGCCAGCTGCTGCATGTAGTCGTTGCAGAGCGTCACGTTGGCGGCGCACGTGGCGTCCAGCGTTCGGGTGATGCTGACGGGTGTTCTTTGCGCTTGGAAGAAGGACTTGGAGTTCTGTTTTTCCGGGTGCCGGGGGTTAGCTACTAACTATCCTGGGTCACAACGAGGATTTTGCCTTGGTTAGACTTACATCGAAGAGCATGGACAGGGGGTAGCACTTCTTGAATGTCGGGTCGTTGAGGAAGTTGTTGATGAAAATCGGACATGGTGCGGGCTGGCCGTCTGGTCCCGCGGTGAAGTTCGATGCCAGGCTATCGAGGATGCTGGGAAGAGGACTGGCAGAGGCAGTCGTGCTTGTACTCGTTGGTATCAATGTCCCCACGGCAATAGAGAATGTCGTGGTCACCGATCCGCCTTCTGAAGTCCTGGACGGTTGTGAGGATTCCGTAGACTCTGGCGATTCCGTCGTGTGCTGTCCCCGCATCCTCAGCCCCCTGATCTCCTGCTCGGGTAGCACGTTCCATCTCTGGCCCTCCTGAGACGGTGGCGTCTGGTCGTCGATGATCACGGTCTCGACGGGCGCCGCAGGATCTAGGGCGGCAGCCAATGTGTGCGAAACGAAGCAGAGGAGAACAGCGAGGATCACGGCCCATGGTGTTGGCTGCCGTCTGTGTAGTGAGGGTAAGTGGCGGACCGGCCGTGGTGAAGTGCCACCGGTGTGGCGCGCGGGGATTGGCATTGCAGTGGAAGACATCGTGTCGCGGCTGCAGGGAAGAGGCATGGAAGCCGGTGCAACATCACTTTGTGCGACGCCTTCCAACGGTGTGTATAATAACGAGAGACTGCGCCTCCGGCTGCCTGGGTCAGACAGACAGATCGGCGTCGGACTTGTGGGGCGAGAGCGGAGCGGAAACACTCGTTCACGTCGAGGTTGTCGTTGACGGTTGGTGTTGACCGTTGTTGCAACCGATGCTTCCCCCAACTCGCACACACGCGACCCTCTTATACCGCTCCGTCTAGATGCTCGGTCGCGGGCGGCCAGGCGCGGGAACCCATCCACCAGGAACTGGAGATGAAGCGTCTCGAAAGTCCAATGACGAGCTCGTGCTGGCGTTGCCAATCGGTTGGTCAATACGTCTGGTAAGGGCGCTCCGGATAAATATACGCAATGCCGAGCGGGACGAGGTCGACACCAATGGGACGAGGGAGGTGGGCAGTGGAAATTTGGGCGGTAATGCCACTGCCCAGTTGGGAAAGGAGACCGTAGCTGACCAACGCGTGTAAAGTTGGAGAGGCCAGGTGTGCTTCTTCCAGCTGCGCTGTGTGTCTTGGCCGCTGCCTGTACTGAGAATCTCCAGAGACGCTCGATCGCGAGACGTTGCTGACTGAGGTGTAGAAAAGGCTAAGAGCGTTGGAAGAAGCCTGAAGCAGCAGAAATGGTAAAATAGAAACAACACGCGGCACAGCGACAACGGGCGAGAACAAAAGTCCACCCACGGTCCACGACACGATCTGCTCCAGGGATTGGGCCCCCCTGATGCACTGATGAACGAGTTGCTGAATCCACCCGACTCCACCCTTCGGCCCGCCGGGGTGCCTGGACAGCAATCACGATCGGGTCTCGCTGGGCCAATCGCGCACTGCTCTGCTGCCGGCGTTCGGCGCGGTGGGTTGCGGTCGGGTGGGTCGGGGAAGGCCGCTTGACTGCGTTGCTCCTGATGCAGTCTGGGGGCTTGTTGTAGTTCATGGGGGCGCCGTCTACTATTGATCTGCCTTTCCCTCTTGGGGGTGGCACACCAACACCTCCACAAGACGGCACGGGATGGCTGTCTGATACTGATGATAACCATAGCTCACGCTGAGTGCCGCGCCATCACTGCTGTGCCATCTTTGCAGTGCTGTGCCAGAACGCTCGTTCAGAAGGGCCAGGCGGCTGAGTTAAACCAACTCCAGATGAGCTCGAAATTATCAGACGGTGACGAACCAAGGGGGATCAGATGAAGATTCATCCGCTAACACACTGCAATTGTTCTTGCCCAGACCGGTAGTGTACGGTAGGGCAGAAACCAACCTGGAAGTATTAAAATCTTGGCATAAGCGAAATATCATTGCCCGCTGATTAAATCCAGATCGGGATGCATTTGTTACCTTGTCAAATGCAACCGGTTGGGGAATCTCGGGATCTATCAGACAACGGGACGGCGCGACTTATCCTGGCATCATCATTTTATGCTGCTCCTGCTGCGAGAGTCCAGTCCTGCAGGGAGCTGCTCGTGCCCCTGTTGCCACCGTTTTTCTGTCCGTGATCAGCGAGTTCTTCCACGTGCGTGTCCACGATTGAAGAGGCCGGATCGGAAGGGAAACAAAATGTGCGGTCTCGTAGTGAACTATTATCGGTTGTCGGTTGCATCTTTTCATTTATTGATTCCACTTGCGGATCTCGCGGCTGGACCATTGGCCGGTCTAAATTGGACCCACTTTTAACCCCATTGCCAAATGCAAGCCCGGCGGCCGGTCTAGACTCTGCGCCCAACTCTGCCCTACGGGAGACTCCACGGTGCTTGTTCCCTGTGCCTGCTCAGTGATCACCAAGATCAGCGTTGGAGAATCACATCTTGGCATAACCGCCATGTGCAACGTGGATTTCCATATTCAAATCCTGTCGAGTTCGGTAACCACACAGATCACTTATCACCCGGCGATGAGATGCATCCGCAACGATTCGCTGAACAGAACCTCGAATAGGTGCTCAACGGCCTCTCGAGTATGCACTGTACACACGTATTATCTGTGGCGGTCCTCTCAGACAGGAGCCCCCTCGCGTCGCACGACTCACGCTTCATGTTGACACGTCCTTGTGATACCCAACACTCAGCCGCCCGAGAGTCGCACAACACGACGACATGGATTGAATTCATTGTCTCCGAGAGGATCAGCTCGAAGGGCTTCTCTGCAGGGTCCCGACAAGAGCCACCCGTCCAACGGCCATCTTCCGGTGTTGCGCTAACATGCAGTCCTTCATGGCCAGAACCAACAATCATTGCCGGCGGTTCCGACGAGAACTCCGACAGGAGGATATGGATATGCTTGCTTATGCGACCAAGTCGATTCGATATTAACGGAACCAATACTCTCGCGCATCTCACTGCACTGCATCAGTCCAGACTTCCCGACAAGAGAGCAAATCAGGCGATGAATCTCCCGCATACCTATAACGAACTTGGTTGGATAACTATAACACCATCCTTATTACCTACTACCATGCAATCTCTGGCTCTTGCTGCCTGCTGCCAAATCAGCGTCCTTCGACTAAAAGCGTCTGACTGCATCAATAGCCCGCTTCCTCTCCTGCTGACAGGATGCTGATTACACGCAACATTTTTCCAGGAGCGTCAGTCAGTCAATATTGCGCCTGTGCCACATCTGAACGGAAACCATTTCGAGCCAGCTAAGTAGGTGCTCCTGATTCCAGAAGCGTGTCTTCTAAGGGAAATACGCGTCAACAACTGGGGAGCTTATGTACCTTGGTATATATGACTGATTCCAATATCCCCGAGACCCCAATCTGACGCCCCAGGAACCACATAGACTGCAATGATACGCTTCCCCCGATCAGGAGAACGACCGCTTATTGTCTGTAAAACCTTCCGCAGTAGATCGCTCAGTGGGACCCAACAAGAGCTTCTCCGTCCAAGTCCCCGAAGCGCCCACAATTCGGCGGGAAATATCGCCAACGGGCCGGGAAGGAAGGGAGAGTCTGAGCTCACCATATGTCACCCACACACGTCAATAGATAGAATACCAGGTAGACAGGCAGGGTTGAATGAAGCATAGAAGCATCCAATCACCACCACTTTAGCCCAACATACAATCCATTTATGTATCATGATGTATTAGACCATCAGTGAGCGTGAGCCAACGAAGCCAGCTTTCTAGCTGTCTATCACAGATGATATATAGCATACACCGTACAATGCAATGCATTCATGCCGCGCCGTATCCCGTCGTATACTGTAGGTAAGGTAGGTAATAACCTGGGTACCTTGGGGTAAACCACACATTTCCCGTCCATAACACCCGCAACGGCATCACCATTCCCAACATCGGAAGGGGCAAAGCCATCGTCTCCGGTGTCCATGGAGCCAGGTACGTAATAAAACATCTAGGCCAAGTAGGTCAATACCGTCCCCTCGCGGTCAAGGTAATCCTTGTCAATTAACCTGCGCAAGCGCGGTAACGTTAGCAAGCGAAGCCAAACCCACTAGTACATACAAAAAAGGAAAAGAAAAAGCCAGGAGAGCGACGAGAGAAAACTCACTTCTCGATATTGGCCTTGATATCCGCCGGGTCCATGGCGCCCCTGCTCTTGGTCTGGTTGATGACCTCGGCGACCAGTTGCGGCTCGGTCAGCTTCTTGCGGCTCTTCATGATGCGCACGATGGCGGCCTGGGTCTCGAACTGGCGGTCGGCGGCGACGCGCTGGTGCGTCTCGCGGTTCTCCTCCTTGGTCTCCTTCAGCTGCACCTGGTTGATCTTGACGCGGAACTTGGGGTCCGTGAAGGCCTTGTTGACCGTGAAGGTGTCGGTCGGGTTGACTTCCTTGCCCCGCGGGTACTTGGTCAGCACGCGGGCCTTGCCGCAGGCGAGCGACTGGAGCGTGCGGTCGAGCTCGGCGCCCTGCAGGCCGGTCGAGTGGGAGATCTGCTCGTACGCGAGGACGCCGGCCATGCTAGTTCCGTCGGTGTCGTCGTCGACCTCGTTGAAGAGCACAAGGACTGCTGCTTGGGCGGCGCTGACGAGGAGCTCTTTCGGCCCGCGGTTGAACTGCGCTTTGATGACGCAGTGCGCCATGTTGTGCTTCCAGGTCAGCCGCCGGCCGGTGTGTTTGGTCTTGTAATACCTGGTGAAGGTGTTGATCTGCTCCGCCACCTCCTTCGGGAGCAGCACCTTCACGTCGGGGAAGGTCGGCCACGCGGCCGCGGAGAGGATATTCACCGTCAGCTCGACGCTGCTGGTGTTCTGCCCGGTGCCGGCCAGCCACTCCTTGTACGAGGCCATTTCCTCCTTGGCCAGCTCCTGGTCCTTAAACATCTGCTCCAGGTTATGCGTAAAACTAGATCCGCACTCAACCTTGAGTTTCGAGAGCATGCTCCGCTCGGCGTCTTGGCTCGCGCTCCGGCCCAGGAGCAGCCGCCGCGCCAGGTCCTTCTTGTAGAAGGCCTCAAAGATATCCTTGCCTTCGATGAAGCGGAACAGCTCGAGCCCGTTGTCTAATTGCCGATCTAGCTCCGCATCTTCATCGGCAGTGCTCGCCATGCCGCTCCTTTCGGCCTCGGCTCTATCCTTGCCATCGGATAACAGCGACGCTGGAAGTGACTTGAGACCCCCGCGGAGGAGCATGTCGATGTACTTTGCGATCATCTCGCCAACCTTGGACGTGCCTGTGTTCCATGTGGACGCGCTCTTTTTGTCATTGATAAAATGGCCGAACGACTCCCTCAGGGCATAGGAGAAGACATCATCCTTGGAGAAGGCGTCGCGGATCATGATGTCCAGGGATCGCCGCAATTCCAGCAGGCGGATGACCATATCATCGCCCCGCGAGGTATCGCTAACGACGGCGACGCCCGTCTGGCGAATGTACTGCTCCCAGGGCCCTTTCAGGCGTTTCTGCAGGCCAGATAGCTTCAACAGCTCGTACAGGGCCGTCATTGATTCGACGTCATGCGCTTCAAGCAGCCTCGCGACGCTGCCGCTGTCGAGTAACTTCTCCGAGTACTCCTCGATGAGGACGCGGTGGGCATCTTCCAGGAGCTGTCGCTTGGTGGTGCTTTCAAAGTTGAACCCGTCGCACCTCGCGCCCTCCTGTTCCAGCAACGCTCGCACATAGCCGATGTAACCCTTCAGCTCCGACCCGGCGCTCGCCTCGCTCGCCTCACGCTCGAACGCCCAATGCGACCTGTCCAGAAACATGGGCTCAAACGCCTTGCCGTAGACCCCACACAGCCTCAGCATCGCAATCGCATCCTTCAGCAACGCGTCGTCCCGTCGCTCATCGATGCGCCGGTCGTAGTCCACCAACCGACACACGCCTTCCAACACGGCCTTCCCCTGCGGCGAGACGGCCCCTCCCTTGACCGACCCAAAGACCGCCTTCTTGAACAGCTCGATCCCCATCTCATTGATCCCCTGCTTCCCCCTCCCGCCCTCGCTCGGCAGCATCCTCAAGTACGCCCGATCCAGATAGCTGTACAGCCCCCGCACAACAAAAACAACCTCGTTCCACCGCCTCCACCTCCCGACCACTTCCCTCAGCAACACATCCCCGGGCCTGTCAGCGCTGCTTTCCCAACCGTAGGAACCACCACCGCGCCCGTCATCATCATCATTCTTACCACCAGTTTCCGCATGCTGCACAGCAGCGGCATACTTCTCCCACAGCCCGCGCAGCATCTCCCGGCCATTGAGCCACGCATCGCACCGCGCCCGCAACCGCTCCGTCAGCTCCTGCGCCTCGCCCTTCCGCACGATGTCCTCGACGCCGCGGTACAGCCGCTCCATGGGCTGGGCGGGCGTCTTGCCGGCGAAGATGGCGGACAGCGCCTCGTCCAGTTCGGTGTATACCCGTTGGTAGTAGGCGGTTATTGATGCTGTCGGCGATGACGCACTAGTGGATGCGGAGGCAGCAGTGGTGGTGGTAGTGGTGGTAGGAAAAGGGCGGAGGTTCTTAACGATGAGCTTGCGCGAGCCCAGGTGTGGTTGGAGGACGGTGGCCGGCCGTTGTTGTTGCGGGTGGTGATGCTGGTAGCTGTAGGAGGACTGGGTATGGTGGTGGTGGCGCTGAGGGGCTGGGCTGGCTCCGCTGTTGCTACCGGGACCGGTGAGGTCGATGATCTCCGGGCGCTTGCCCTGCACTTTGGCCGACATTGTCGATGTTGTTGTTGGCGTTGCGATGGTTGTGGTAGGTGAGATGTAGTGCTCGGAGCGCGGGCGCTTGGAGTCGGGTCGGGCAGTGGCGGAGCCTTCGTTGCCGGATGCGAAATGAGGGCGGGTCGGGTCGGGGTCCGAGTCAACCCGGCGTCGCCTGTTGGTCGACGAGGGAGCGGACGAAGAGGGAGACGGGGGCCGGGCGGAGGTTGCGGCCTGGGGAGAGGGCGGCATGGACGGGACCCGCGCAGGTCCGGCTGCGGGACGGGGCGTCTTCTTTGCGAAAGCTGCTTGGGTGTTTTGGCCTGCTTCAGATATTCGTGAGCTGCAGCCGCCTGTCGTCACGAATTTGAGGCGAGTGCTGTGAAGATGTCTACTACTTGTGTGGTCAACGCCGAGAAGAATTAGTTCGGTATGTCTTTCGGGCCGCTAGGGTTGGGTTTAAGAGGGAGGTTTGTGAGATGCGGCAATGACGGAGTTACGTAAAGCTTGCGGATCGGATATCTACACTGTGTGTCATGGCTGATGATAGCATTCTAACACCGTGCTCAAGTTCCCACTCTCACCACCGTCTGCGAAAATTACTGGTACAACTTACAAGTACCGCAATACTGTACGGAAGAAGGTGGTGTACTATACAGGTATCTGCCCAATACCTCCATACACTCCTGTACTCATCCACACTCATAGTACCGCTGCATCGTTTTCAATCGGTCCTGCCTCCAGCCCAACGGTGATATAACTTGGAACTATACCAAGCCTAATCGGATACACTGCCTTGGTCAACCTCGCGGCCCCAGCACCACTCCACATCTCCTCCAGTAACTATCGATACATCCGGCTCCGTGTTTCTCAAGCTTGGAAAGGGGGGTTGGCCAAAGTCCTCCTCCGCCTCCCAGCGAAGCTGCGTGCGCGACGTCTCGGTGAGAAGCTTGGACACCGATTCCAAGGTTGTCCATGAACACGGCGACCCTCTTGCGTGGCATTGCGGCCAGCCTGCCGTATTCGATCTTGAGGTCGCCAGAGCTACCTAGTGTGAGCCACGGCTGTCGCCTTCCAGACCCGAAGAACGTATGGAGCAAAGCGTGCGTTCCACGAGCTGTTCAACTCGATGCGCGGTGGACCGGCCTGGCCCCCGGGCTGTCGCCGGTACCGAAAATGGTCGATGCTCGGTTGCAAATGTTCCACAGTTCCCATGACTTCCAGCCGCGGCATGCGTAGCGCGGTGTGCGCTGCGGCCTGTAATAATAAATCTATGTCTCGAGCGATCTTCGTTGTTGTTCCTACAGTCTCCGGGAAGTTGTGTCCGTGTACCTCGTCGTCTGGGGCGTACCACTTGGCGTTCACGTCCAGAGGGAACATGTCCTTGACCAGCAGCTCTGAAGTTAGGGAGATGCGTCTCATCCATGTCCATGTTGTCCGGGCCGGCATACGCTAGATATCGGAAATCAGGAGAAAGTCATCTTCGAGCTTTTTGATACGGTCCTTCCCGAGTCCGACTATTACGTGCTGCCAGATCTTGCGCTCAAAGAAGGCCTGCCAGCCCCTGCAGACTGCTGCGTACGGGGCCAGACGGGACCTCTCTTGTTTGCTAAGCTGCACAACGTGGTCGAGCACCTCGCTCTTCAGCTTCCTGGGCAGGCCAGTCCATGAAGGGTCCTGCGGTTGCGTGTTCGGGTCCATGACGGGCAGGTTGAACGCTACAGCTTTCGATTAAATGAGCGAGAAGTGCTTGTCGCCTAACGATGGTTGACAGTCTTCAAGTGGAGCTTGATACAGGTAATCAATGGTAAGACTGACACTGTGGAATGCTGTCTATGTCGGTTGACTAACGGTGCAGCGTTTCCAGCAAGTGGAAGGTGCCAGTGAGAATATTCTGCGAAACTTCCGGGTTCGTGGTTGAGCAAGGCGCCTACCCGTAACAGAACCCAATGAACTGGACCCGGGCTCGGGCCCGGAGTGGTACAAGTCGGGTGCCATCCATTTTTCCGACTAAGAGCAGATACTAGGACTGAGTTTCCAGGATGTGACGGGCAGGTGCTTAGTACTACTAGGCTGGTCTGGATGGGAGAAGGAGAGCTTGGAAGCTCAGGAGGTCAGCGGCATAATATCAGGGTTAGGGTCTTTCATCGCACCATCCCAGATGGGAAGTTGCGTTATTCAGCCTTCTACCCCACAACTTCCCTTCGACCCACTACTGTTGGAGCTATTCCCACAATGATCCATGATCCATGGAAGAACATTCGATGCATCTGCAGCCATCTGGGCTTGTCTCAGGAAAGCGGGTCTGGGAACCATTCACCCGATTTTCGACATTCAGACGAAGTCGACGTTGACCTAGACCCCCAGGTTCCCACGCTTGGAACTCAGGGACACTTCTCTAACATCTCTAACTCCGGTACTTTATATCCCTCCTGCAACGGGAGATATCCCTTTGCGGAACCCTATTAGAGACGGCCTTCCATCAACAACCAGAGTGACGGCTTCCTTGCTCGGGTCGATGGTCTTGGCATAAGTCTCTGCTGGCTCCGTTTCATCTCTTCTTTCCCTTTTTCACAGACAATCGACGAGGTTCAACCGGATTTCGTTCAACAAATGGCACCACCAGGACCTTTGAATCTCGATGTCGAGGCCATCTCGGGCATTTGTGGGTAGGTGACTCTACCAAGTTCCTTCAAACCCGCTTCTCTCATACAGCAGACGTATTTAGTAACCACCGACCAACAGCTCAATATCAATAGCATGCTGGGTCTTTGTGTTCTCGCCGCAGATCATTGAGAACTTCCGGCGCAGCAGCGCCGAGGGCCTCTCGATCCAGTTCATCGTCGTCTGGCTTCTGGGCGATGTCTTCAACATCCTGGGTGCCGTGCTGCAAGGGGTGCTCCCCACCATGATCATCTTGGCCATCTACTACACGATAGCCGATATAGTCCTGCTGGGCCAGTGTTTCTACTACCGCGGGTTCACGCTGCGGGACGATGTCACGCAGCCACCACCGAAGAATCCGAAGCGCAACGGCAATGGCAGCGGAGCTGGGAACTTGCGTGGCGAGCCGAACGAACGCACCGGGCTGCTAGCCGCTGATAACGCCGCCGCCACCACCGCCGCCGCGACGCACCCAGAACGGTCGCCGTACTATCACAGCGCCCAGGATCACGAGCGAAGGGGCTCCTGGACGCACCTGTCGCCGGCCGTGCCGCTCGTCAGCGAGGAACCCGTCGCGGCAGCAGTCCCGCTCCGGCCGACGACGCGGCTCCAGGCTTGTGCGTTCAACACGCTGGCCATCCTGATGGTCTGCGCAGCTGGCGTCGCGGGGTGGTGGCTGAGCCGGACCGACGGGCAGCATCCGGCTAAGGGAGACGATGGCCGCGGCGATCCTCTGGAGTTCAACCTGCTGGGTCAGGTCTTTGGGTGGCTGTGCGCAGCGCTCTACCTGGGATCCCGCGTGCCCCAGCTGCTTCTGAATTGGCGGCGCAAGTCGACCGAGGGAGTGTCGGTTCTGTTCTTCTTGTTTGCCTGCCTCGGCAACCTGACATATGTACTATCTATCCTGGCATTTGACCCGAAATGCGACGGAGACCAGGGGTGCGAGCCGGGCGAGGCGGCGCAAATCTTCTTGCAATATATACTGGTCAACCTCTCATGGTTGGCTGGCAGCGCCGGCACGCTGCTGCTAGATTTGAGCATCTTTGTACAGTTCTTTTTGTACGACAAGATGGAAGAAGACGAGAGCAGTGATAACGAGAGTATGGACGAGGAGGAGAGCATTGAGGGTGATACATGGGATCAGCGGCCTGTTTTAGAGCGGAACAACACTGGGTATTAGTTACCTCTACATCACAGGGACACACGAGGTCTTGGGAAACGGTTTCGAAACAAGGATTAAAATACCACATATGTTTTTTTTTCACAGTAATCTACCGCACAAGTACACGAGCGCAAAATACGAGAGTGCATTTCTAAACTGGAATGCTGAAACAGAAGTGATCTCTATCCAACCGCTAACTGAAACTGTCCCTACAGCCATCCCAACCTCTTCCATACATAGCTCCCACCTCCAAAGAGAGCACTGGCCCCTGTAAAGGCGATCAAGCCGCCATAGCCGCTGCCATAGCCGCCAAAAGCCTGGCCCTTCCACGGCATGCCCTTCACCAGCGCCTCGCTCAACGGGCCCGAAATCACGTTGCCCACGCCACGGCCCATGGCGAGGAAGGCAAACACCATGCTCGGGTCGGCCCACTTCCCGTGATCGCTCCCGCTGCCGTCGCTGGTGTCTCCGGCGACGTTCCTCCGCGTGATCTCGCTCATGACGCCGGGCCAGGCGGACGTGTAGGAGCCTGCAAACAGGCCGTAGACGATGCAGAACAGATACAGCACGGGCAGGTTCACCGACAGGCCCCACAGCACCAGGGTGCCCAGCGTGGCGCCGATGGTCGACACCAGGAAACACGTGGTCACCTCGAGCCGGTCGATCAGGCTGCCCATGAGCACGCAGCCGAACACGCTGGCGACGTTGACCAGCATCATGGCCACGACGGCGGGGAAGGGGCTCGCGCCCAGCACGGCGCGCGCGTACGACGGCAGGTAGATGCCCGGCAGGAAGAAGCCGACGGCCTCGAGCACGTTGAAGGCCTGGTACAGCATGAAGGGCCGCTGCACGACGAAGCGCAGCGAGAAGGGCTTGGCGTGGCGCGCCGGGGCGACGGGCAGCCGCGGCTTGACGAAGTAGCTCAGCGGCGCGGTCAGCGCGAACACGGCGCAGGCGAAGATGCGCAGCGTGGTCTGGTATCCCTGCGCGTTGAGCAGCCACTCGAGCAGCAGCGGCAGCACGACGCCCGCGAGCCCCGTGGCCGACCACATGATGCCGAAGGCGAGCCCGCGGCGGGCGACGAACCATTCCTCGAGGTAGATGATGCACGACGAGTAGGCGATCGACCCGCCAATCGCGTAGAGGATGCCCTGCGTCACGAGCAGGTGGGTGACCGTCGTCGAGAAGGACGACAGCGCCAGCGCGAGGCACATGATGAGCAGGCCGAAGATGGTCGAGTAGCGCGCTGCTTTGGGGAAGCGCCGGTGGAGGCCCATTACGAGCGGGGTGTCGAGGTACATGATTCCCTGGGGAAACATAGTGTCAGATAAAGCATGGATTTTAACCTGGAAAAACAAAATTGGCTGAGATCTTACCAAGGCGCAGGTGCCGACGACGGGGATGTTGCTCGCCCCGATGAAGGGCTCGTGGGTGCTGTAGTAGTTCTGGAACACGCCGAAGGAGTAGCCGAAGCCTAGAATTGTTGACACAAGGTTAGGAACTGGCGCTATGTGGCTCATGCGATGCTTGTTCTCAAAATTCCATACCCCAGACGAGCGCCTCGATCATGAAGCATGCAGCCAGAAACAGCCAGGCGTCCTTGCCGCGGTCAACAGGCGGCAGGCTTTGCATCTCATGTCCGTGGCCATCCTCAACCTGGCGTTCCGGACTGCTTGTCCGCGGCGACTCCTCGGAGGACTGCAGCTCAATCGCTGTTGTGACTCCCACTTCGGACCGCATCGTGGGTGTTGATGGTCAAACTAGGTGACGAAAGTGGAAGCGCAAGACTGAACTTCACCGCTGCTCGGCAGGTCGTCAACAAACCAACAAAGCTTCCCCGGCGGTGTTGATAAATTTATCGCCCCTCGCCCCCTGTTTCCGTAGGATCCTACAGACCGCAACGTCACCCCACACGAATTACATTCGCGCCCTACGCATTCAAGGACGATCCGATGAATCGACCAATGGATAGACACTGGAAGCGCGGATCTGTCGCCGTCAACCATCAGGAGCGGCCCCTCTCAGCGCACCCGGCATGGGCGATAAAAATGCGAGACGGCGAGCCGAAGTCGGCTAGCGCGCAACCTCAGTGTGGATGGCTGGATGGGTCGGCCGGCGATAACGACCCGGCCGACTGGCGTCGTCCCCGGGGGCCCGACAACGGAGGCCGGGGTTATGCGGGGCTTGAGATTCTTAAGTGGGGGCCTTTAACTCCGTATCCGTGCCTATCCGCCGCTTCCGTCGACACTCACTTGTAGCCCGAAGCATCCTGGCACATATATAGGTATAATACGAGTCGTATGTCTAGCAATGTGTAGGCCGAAGAGGGTATTGGCGGGCGAACAGGATGAAGAACTGGGCGTGCCCACCTAAGTTTGGGAAGCCAGAGGAATAAGACTATGAGTGGCGTATATGCGGGGAAGCCTTGAGAGGAACAGTGAGCACTAACGACCATCAAGGAAGGTCTTGGTGTTCAACGGTATGCCTGCCTTACAACCAGGTATCCCCCTCGCATACTCGAATTATCATTGATTCAGTTTCCGTGAAGAGCAGACAGTTCGGCGTGTTTGGCGGGCATTGCATGCCTCCAACGAGGCGGGCCGCGAGGACAATGGGAGATGTCTCCGATAGCGAAAAACTGTCCCCACCTTTTCCCAGGGGTCAGCGCCAAGTTGTATGTAGACCCCTTGTAAAGGAAAGATTACCGTAATGCGGGGGAGCCGAGGTCTCGGTCCGCAAAACCTGGCGTGCCGGGGAAAGCGAAGCCGAGGACAAGAACGAGGCTGTGATGTGATATACAGTCCTAGTAGTACGTAGCATCGACCCTCTTTCTTCAAGGTCATATTCCAAAAACGACAGTGAATCCCGTATCGCCTCGACATTTGTGTTCATTACTCCAGAGATTCCATGTGCGCTGTGCGGTCCGACTCCATTACATACATGACCTTGTAACAAACAACACGGCCCCTTATCACTCCGTCGGTTGTACTTTACACACTTGCTGTGTAGTACAGTATCCCACAATGGCCTCCCCGCCAGTTATCAAGCTCGAATACAACGGCCGGCTGGCCATCATCACGATTGACAACGAGAAGAAGCTCAACGCGCTCACGCAGAACGACTACTACGACCTCGCCCAGAAACTGCGCGAGGTAGCCACGCACGACGAAGTCTACATCACGCTTCTCATCGGCAAAGGCCGGTACTTTTCCGCGTAATAAGCCCTTTCCTTCACCGTTCATTCTCAGCCTCGATGCCTCATAGCATAACTGACCCGATGATTTATATAATGTAAAAGAGGCGCGGACGTGACAGTCGTACGCCCAACCTTCCCCACCTCCTCCTCCCCCTCCGCTTTCCAGGGGCAAGACAGCGCAAGCCCACCACCCGCAGAACCGTCGGGCCACCGCGTCTTCCTGCAGAACTTCGTCGCCTTCAACCTGAACATCGCCCAGGCCTTCTACACGCACCCCAAGATCCTCGTCGTGGGGCTCAACGGGCCGGTGGTGGGGCTCTCCGCCGCCCTTATTTCTCTAGCCGACTTCATCTACGCGGCCCCGCACGCCTTCCTGCTCACGCCCTTCAGCTCGCTGGGGCTGGTGACCGAGGGCGTGGCGTCGCGCGCCCTGGTGCAGCGGCTCGGCCTGGCCAAGGCTAACGAGGCGCTGATCATGAGCAAGCGCATCAGCTGCGAGGAGCTGGCCGCTACTGGTTTCGTGAACAAGGTGTTTGCCGAGTGCGGAAGGGGCCCCGGGGAGGATGAGAAGTTCCGGGCGCTGGTGCTGAGGGAGATTGATGAGCGGTTGGGCGAGCATTTGGTGGGTGAGAGCTTGTTGGGGATCAAGAAGCTGATTCGGCAGCCCGAGAGGGAGGTCATGGATCGGCAGAATGTGGCCGAGGTGTTTGGCGGGTTGGAGAGGTTCATGAGCGGGGTGCCGCAGGAGGAGTTCGCCAAGATTGCCTCGGGAAAGAAGAGGCATAAACTCTGAGTGAGGGGTTACGATGTCTTGTATTAGCTTCTTTTGGGTGCTCTATGTCAACAAGCCGAACAGCAGCGCCGTCCGCTTGTAGTAGTCCTGAGCCGCCTTGGCCAACCTCTCCTTGGCGGCAGCATCCAGGCCTGATCTCTGATAGATGGTGTCCTCTACCTCCTTTAGTGAATCTTCGTCCGGCGCGTGCTGGGGCTCACAGAACTGCCGGAGGTAGTAAAAGTCCATTAGCCACTGCACGAGCAGGTCTCCCCGCTCTGGGTTTTCTTCGCGCTTGTCGTTTGTCTCCTCGGCTGGCAGATCTTCCACGTATTCCCCCACAAGGTTGGGCCCATCTAGGGAGTTGAGGGCCTCACAGAAGGCCGTAGATATCCCTCCGCTTAAGCGCCGCTTCAGAGCAGAGACCGCCGCAGGACTCCACAAATCTGCGCCTGCTTTATCCATGGCGACCACCAAGTCCCTCAAGAACCTGAAGACCCCCGGCGACGGCGACCCTGGCAGCGCCGGCTCGCCCTCCCACAGGCTTCGTCCGACAACGCTCTTCAGCGGCAGTGTCCGAAACTCCAACTGCTCCCCGGGGAAGATCGTTGCTACTACGTAGTTCTGAAGCTCCGGCACCGTATTCAAGCCGAAGTTCTTGACTGCCTCCAGATCGGGAAGCTGGGCTCGAATGTCCCTGAACAGTCGCAGGAAGTACATGGCAACCCAGACACTAGCCGCACCTCCTGATTGCTTAACCCACAGCATCCTGAGTTGCTCGTTCAGCCGGTAAAACGCGCCAACCAGTAAGCGGTGTAGATGCTCGCTCAGCGCGAGCGGGTCATCATTGGAAAGCAGCTTCTGACGCTCCTCAATCGTCTCTTCGTCCTCGATCTCGTCGACGTCGTTGTCCCACCGCTGCCGCTTCAGCTGGTCCACGACTTGCCCAACATCGTCGATGACACGAAACCAGGATCTGTAGCTGTTGACCGCCTTGGACACGGCATCATTTCTGCCGTCCAGCCGCGCCACCACCTCTTGCGTAAACTGGGACGCGCCGTTGGAAAGGTCTGTGTCTAACGAAGATATATTCCATAGCCTCCGAGGGGCGTTGGAGACGCCGTCGCCGAATTCGCCAAGGGCTGCGGACACTTCAGAACCGACGAGGCGCAACTTAGATACCTTGGCTTCGAGGACTCGTAGCATCTGCTTGTTGATGACATCGCGGAGCTGGTCCAGCATAATGGACGGGTCGAAGCCGCGCGCCTTTCCACCCTCGGCGATCCAGAGCTTTAAGACGCTCGTGCGCAGATCCACGATAGCCTTTAACTCGGTCATGCTCTCCAGCGCCTTCTCGATACCCCGCAGCAACACATCGCTTCCCTTCTTCGCCCAGTCAGCGAGCAGCTCCCTGGCCTGCTGCGCATCCAAATCGTCGTGGCGGATAAACGGCGTATAGAACTGAATCTCATCGCCGCACCACCTCTTGTGGACATCCAGTCTCAGCCCCTCCATCTCCTTCAGCGAGGCATTCTCCAGCAGCCGCTCATTCTTGAGCGCAAGCAGCGCTTCCGTAAGCTTGTGCGGCACCAGTGTCTGCACATCCTGCAGCGTCTTGGTGTACAGCCCCAGCGCTCGGAGAACATCCTTGGGCTGTCTCGCCACCCTCTCCTCCTCGTCCGCATCCAGCGCCATCGCAATGGCCTTGGCCCTCGTGCGCAGAAAGTGGGCCAGCACATCCCTCGCCCCGGAGCTCGTAGTCAGACTGTAAGCGCTCAGCGCCTTCAGCACATCCCCCTGCTTCATCGCCTTGCCGCTGGCACTCCGCAGCACGGTATCCACACTCCTCATCAGTCGGGCGTGGTGGACCGTCTCCAGGCGACTCCTCGCAATCTCGATCCTCGCATCCTCCTTCTGTGTCTCCTCGCCAAAGCTCTTGACCACCAGCCTCCCAAGCACATACAACCGCGCGGCGAGAACCAACCTCTCCCCTCTCCCCGTTTCTTGACTTATAACCTCCGCTCCTCCCTGCCTCGCCGACGACAACAACCCCCTCAAACCCAGCAAACACCCCTCCAGTAACCTCCCCCTGGCCACACTTCCCACCTCCACCACCTCACTTCCACTCCCATCCCCACTAGCAGTATCAGTACCAGTACCAGTACCAGTAGTAGTATAAACCCTCCCCCCGGTCCCCTTCACAAACGCAGCGAGCCCCTCGGCCTTGTGCACGATCACCCCCCGGCCACAGCGGCCGCCCATGCCGCCCAGCGTGCTCAAGACATGGTCCATGTCGCGGTGCATCTCGGCGATGGTGTCGGCCGTGCCGAGCAGCTCGCGGTAGGAGCCGCCGACCTGGGTGCGCAGGCGCGAGGCGATATCGCCGACCTGGCTCTGCAGCGCGTTGTGGATGGCGCGGATCTGCGGGAGCGTGTACTGCGGGTGGTGGGTGGAGGAGAAGAGGTCGGCGGAGGAGGTCAGGGTGGAGAGGTCGAGGTTTGGTGGGAGGTTGGCCATTTTCTTTTTGTCTGTTATTTTTTGGTTTGTAGTTTGTGCTTTTTCTTCCGTGGTGATTTGAGGAAGAGTCGGGCGGCTTGCGGGAGCTACCTTTGTGTTGTCCTTGAATGGGCCATTGAGGGGGGTGGTATCGTCCTTGTTCTGGGAGCAATTGCTGCGACAGTGGTGGGCGGGTGGTTGAATCGTGTTGGAGTTGAAGTTGAAGCATGCATAAGATGGAGCGGTTGAACAAGCACTAACCCTAACCCCCACAGCCCACACTTAACCTCGCGTGCCATTTCAGTCAAGGGCTGTCAATCATCCCAACAACAACACAGATTATCAACACGAAAGAGTCGGAGAGTGTGAAACCAAAACCACCAAGAAACACACGACGCTATGGAAAGCTACACTCCGATTTAATATGATGAAAGAGTCATGGTGAAGAAGAGAGACCACGAGAAGCGGTTGCTGGATTTGCAAATTCAGGCGGGTATGTGCTTTCAGGGGACGGGCTTCAGCGGAGTGAGTCGCACTAATAGCCATTCAACAACAGAGAAAGTGTGATGAGATCAGAGCTGGCTGCCGGAACTGTGCCAAGAGGCGTCTTGAGTGCCCTGGCTATCAACAGCGCCTTCGGTGGTCTTCCAATCACGAAACACCGACACCAGTACAGGCAAATGGTTCTGCAAACTTCATGCAGCTTGTAAGTGCTGCAACCGAGTCTGTTGTCTCCTTCCCCAGCGTCACTACAGACCCGAACATCATCAGCTCTTCAGTCCCGGACAGCAGTAAACCCGGGCCGTCTCTTCACGGTGTCCCGCAACCCGGGGACCTCTTCTCAACTTGGTGACAAGGTAGCACGGTGCCAACGGGTAGTGCTACTTCCGACGACGGCCAAGACGACGCTCAAAATGATGTCCAAGATGATGGTTACACGGCACTAGATCAGAACGTCACCAGCGCCTTCTGTCCTGTCACCACACCAGAGCCCGCCACGCCAAAGCCAGCGGGAGTACCGCTGCAGAGCGAAGATTTGCAGCCAACGCCTCCGTGCTTAGAGACCCGAATGTTCGCCCCGCCGTCTTCGGAAGAGCGTCGCACTCCACCGGCGACAGCAAGTGTGGCCACTAACGCAGGTACGAGCAAGGCTTCAGAGAGGGCACCTAAGGGTCTCTCTATATGGAGATGGACCTGAAGCAGAGGTCCATGTTGCTCAACTCTGTTCCGGTGAGCGGGCGAAAGCCCGATGGTTATATAACCCCTACGTGGGGACAGAAGCAGTTGTGACCGAGCTACTGCCGCTCAACTTTGTTGAGGCCAGCTTCATGAAGCTAGTCCCCGACAGCCTTTTACGGCAACGGGAGGCTAAGAATGCTGCCCTTGCGGCTCATGGGGGAGGGCCGAAGCCCGAATTCCGCTCGACATGAGCGATGACCAAGAGTGTTACACAGTAAATTCTGAGCTTCACGGAAACCGGATTAGATCATTGTCTGTCGGGTGTAATGGCCGATAGCGAGAGAAGACGAAACAGTAGCACTTCCCATAGAGGAGAATGAGGCTTTATGTGACTGAGGTACAGATCTGTCTTATCCGCCTTGGTGTAACAACGAGGTCTCCAGCTGCATACCCTTAAATATGTTATACAGCGTCTTGATGACCAGAATCTGACCTTGACCGTCGACGACAATTACTCAGCACATCACTAATAACTCAGCGACATTTGGCCAGTGAGAGTGGTGCCGCGGTGACCCCGCAGTTGAAATATCGCCTCTGTGGACCTCACTGATGTTCTCACTGCACATCGCAACTTCTCTGGGCTCCGACTCACCCTTGGACATCATCAAGTTGCCACACAATACGGAACGCCGCTGTGTTTCACAAGAGCCAAGATATACCGTATTCAACCGCCATCCTTAAACCATCTAATTGCCTCTCATTTATCTTTACCGCCATCTTACCGATTCACTCACTCATCATTCTGAAAAGGCTCACCTCTCTCACATACTCACAAAGGAGGGAAGAGAACTCACCACCACCAAAAGAAAACATGCCGACCCCAGACCTGCCGACCCTAACCTTCGCCGACTCGGAGGAGACCTCCCTCCTCTCCCGCAAATTCGGCCGCGAGATCGCAAACTACTTCTCCGGCAGCCCGCTCAACCGGCTGTCCTTCCTACGGGCCGACCACGACTTCCTGCGCGCCGCCTTCGCCCACTCGCGCGCGCGCTTCCTCCTGCTCAACGCGCTCGCGCCGCTCGTGCAGGCGGCCGACACGGCGCAGCTCGCGTTCGCGACGCACGCCGATGTGGTCGCCCTGACGGGTCCCGCGGAGAGCGGGGGCCCCTTTTCCCGCACCGAGGAGGAGATGGTTGCGCAGTATGACTCTAGCGAGGAAAGGGTTATTGTTGTGTTTTTGGGCGTGGATGAGACGAGTATTTTGGATGCGACTACAACTCAGAGTACTACTACTACTACTACTACTACTACTACTACTACTACTACTAGTAGTAGTAGTAGAGAGGAGGAGGTGGAGGAGTTTAGGTATAGGGACTTCAAGGGGACGCCGTACTTTGCTGTGGACGTCACGCCGCGGGGGAAGCTGGCCGGGGCGGCCGAGGGGGTCATCAACGCGATGAAGGAGAAGGGGTTTGCGTTCCACGATCACTCGCCGAGGCATATGGGCTTGCACGCCGGGCAAGGTGAGTAGAACTACCTACCTACATTCTCCACTCCTAGGGTAATCAAGGCAACTGGATCTACCGTTTCTACTAACACGAGATGTGCGAAAAATAAAACAGCGGCAATATACGGCCACGCCCGCGCGCTGGTCGACTGGAACACGCGGACGCCCTTCTGCGCCCAGTGCGGCCAGCCCACGCTCTCGGTACAGGCGGGCACCAAGCGGGTGTGCCCGCCGACAGACCGGGCCGGCGGGCAGGTACGCGAGCGCAAGCCGTGCGCCACGCGCGGCACCGTGTCGAACCACAGCTTCCCCCGGACGGATCCGACCGTCATCATGGCCGTCATCAGCGCCGACGGCACCAAGGTGCTGCTCGGCCGGCAGCGGCGCTGGCCCAAGTACTGGTTCAGCACGCTGGCCGGCTTCCAGGAGCCCGGCGAGTCCATCGAGGAGGCCGTGCGCAGGGAGGTCTGGGAGGAGAGCGGCGTCAAGGTGGGGCGTGTGGTCCTGCACAGCTCGCAGCCGTGGCCGTTCCCCGCGAGCTTGATGATTGGCGCTATCGGGCAGGCGCTGCCGGGAGACGGGGAGAAGATCTATCTCGGGCATGACGCCGAGCTCGAGAGCGCCAAGTGGTTCCCGTTGGAGGAGGTCAAGGAGGCGCTAGAGAAGGGGGCAAGCGGCCTGGGAGAGGCGGCGCCGGATGGCTATGTCGAAGGCGCGCTGAGGCTGCCGCCGCAGACGGCCATCGCGAATCGTTTGATGACGGCCGTCGTGGAGGGGTGGTGGATTCCTTCGAGGATGTAGTTCTACGGTTCGGAGAGAGCAAGCCCATCTTAGACATGATATCCGCAGACCTGAGGGATAGAATAATGAAGAGCATCTGAAGAACGGACGACACACGCTCAAAAATCAATGACTCGAAGTCGGGCATAATTGCAGGAAACAGCTGAACATCTACAGCGCTCCTGGCGAGTGCCGAAACCAGCCTAAAAGCGATGCTAAATATCCCACTTCTCGAAGGACTGAGAGTCACCAGATTGACCCAGTTGACCCTCAATCGGTCTCAATATGCCAACCAATCCGACCCAAAAGCGGGACAAATGGGAAAGCGGCCGCCCATCGTAGGATTGTATCAACTTGACTGAGCCCTCGACAAGACGTGCGGCCTCCATGGTGATGCCATGTACCCCCGACGCTAAGGGTGAACAAACAAACAAAAGCCATGTATCAGCATCTCGTTCTGGAACTTGGCCCAGATCTTGGATACAGCACTGCCCTTGAGGGCTTTTGTATCGAGGCGCCGGCATCTACATTAGGAGAGCTCCGTCATGTTTTAAAGATGTTGGTACAGGGCGTTGTTTGTTTCTTTGTTTGTTTGTGCACCCCTACGTCCGGGGTTACATGGACATCGCCATGGAGGCCGCAAATTCTGATCGAAGTACATACAAGTCACACAGACACAGGGCAAAATTCGATTCAATCCAATCCAACCAACCCACTTCAAAACTGAAGTTGGAGATGAATGGAAAGAAAAAAGGAATGTCGAGACCACCCCACCGTCACGGACCTAGCGAAGCGCCGTCCGCGGCTTGTAAAGAGGGAAGAGGTGATCAGAAGCATTGCTGTTGGAGGCCGGGAACGGAGGAAGAGACCCATGGGAGAGATCGAATAACCCTCAGCAAGCCACATACGTGGAGCCGCCAGACCAACAAGCAAACACAACGTGCTCGCCCAAGCTCACTTCACATGGCGGTGCAGTGAGATGGGCGCTGCGTTGCGCTTGCTTGCTGATGAAGAAGGGAAAAAGAAAAAGAAGAGGGAAAGTGAATCGGCGGCTGAAGTTTTTTTATGGCTGGCTCGTTGCATGTGGTGGGGTCGGGCTAAGAAGTGGGGAGGGGCGTGGGTGCAGTGATTGGCCGATTAGGGTTACCTGAATTATCTAGGCGTCAGGTAGGTAATGTAATCCGTACATAGCGCAGCTTCCTCTCCGACTCTTGACGCTTGAGCAGTTCAGCTACGAGTAGATCTGCAAGTGCAGTAGCGATGACTACCGGACTGCAAGTTATAGCGAACCGACCTGGGAGATGACGAGACGTCATGTATCACATCAATCAATCATAGGGAGACATCATTCACAGAGCAGACACAGATCTCATTTCCACCATGCTATCATGCTATGCCCCGTGAAAAAAAACCCCCGAGACGACCCCCAGGAGCCCCGAGAACCGCATTTAGTAGAGGCGCTTGGGAGGCGACATGGTAGCCTTGATGGTCAGGCTACCAACGTTCTGCCAGCCCTTCTTCAGCAGCGAGACGAGGTAGTTGATAGCCAACATGATGTTGGCGACCAGCTGGTCCTGGGTCATGCCAACGTTGCCAACAGCGACGCCCATGCAGAGTACCTTCTTCAGCTGGAACTTCACGGTCGACTTGACCTCGTTGATCTTGGCGCTGAGGTCGTCGGCGTGCGAGACGGGAGTTGGGAACTTGCCGGCTGCAGAACAGAGTTAGTGATTCGAGTTCGGGAAGTGTGGAAGTGCTTGGTTCGAAGCGGGGTTCGTCCATACCCTTGGAAAGACCAGGACCCAGCAGACGGGGGATCATCTTGATCAGCGAGTCGGAAGCGACGAAGGCATCGTACTTGCGCGCCAGCTTCTTGATCAGCTTCTTGTTCTTGTTGAGCTTCTTCAGGTCGTCGGCGCTCATGGCGTCCACGCCGCCGTGCTTGGCACGGTCGATATCGTGCTGGTCACCGAGGATGCAGATGCTCATGTTCGGGCGGGGAACGGTGGGCAGCTTGACGGTGCCGGAGAAACGCTTGTCACGCTGGGGGTCATAGTTCTTCAGGCCGATCTGGAGCTCGACCGTCTCCAGGAAGTTGCGCTTCTTCGTGTTGTTGCTGTACTCGAGGAGATCAGCAACGTGCTGACGCACACCGGCTGCAAAAACGGTCAGTATGTCGTGTACCGAGAAGGTGAGGAGTCGTCGATGGTTTGGTGAGCATACCGACGGTGATCTTTGACATGTTGACCGTCTTCCTTTAGAATTTCTTCGAAAGGTGTGGTTTAATTGCGTCGTTGACGGTAAGCTGCCGAGTTCGATGGTTGGAGGATCGAATTTGCAAATGTCTGGGGGAATTTGTGCGATGGCGGGGCAGGCCGGCACGCTGACAGCTGGCGGGCGCTTGGTGGTGGGCCGCCTGGTAGTGCTCCACTATTCTTTCGCGCAACGGCGCTACAACCTCCCTTGCTCAAGTCGCTTTGCATCCTTAGATTCCCAACTGCATCTGAAGAGTGCTCGCTCATAAATGTGACAGGAGTGTATGTGGCTCTCGATGGTTAATGGGTAATTTTTCCAGGAGCCCTCACTAGGTATCTTAACTTCGTGACCATCCTGCCTGGGACGATATGCGCACAGCAGCTTGCTGTGGATTGCCCTAAGCCATCGCTGTGTGCTCCCTCTACATTGTCTACAGCCATTCAAGCCCGCCGCCCAGAGTCGTGAATCGACTACGGACGGTTGCAAGATTCGCTTACGCATTCCAAGGAGTGGATTGACTGGGTAGCGTACCCATTTGAACGTTTCCAGGTCCTTCTACTGTTCCTTTCGCCGGTGATTTCTTTGTTATTCACTATCTTAGCTAGAGGATGAGAATAGCGAAGAGGGTGGGAACCGCGACGGGGAAGAGTCGGAGTCGGAGTCGGAAACACTCTAAGGCATGGCTCGACTGATCCGACATACCAATGGCGTCTCTGAGCCTAAGAGAGGCATCTACGACATCGTTTCGAGACACGGATCCATGTAATTGGCAGGACCAAATCACCAGAATACGCCGTCGTCAGCTGGAAGACCCAAGGGAAGCGTCTCACCATTAAGCTCGCTCTCTGATGTCTGCCCATGATGGCGATGGGCGACACATGCCTCAGCGAACAGTACTCTCCTTGCGACAGTTGGAGCAAGTTGGCAACGACAAACACAGCATACGTTCACAACACATCGGGCAAGCGCACGAGGCGTCTGCCAAGGGGCGCGGCCCTTTGGGAGCCCTTCGAAGCTGCCCCGGAGGCTCAACAGGACCCGCCAGCGTCTTACGAGTCACAGACTCTGTGAAATATTAGGCCCAAGATGTTATCCACGCGGCTCAGAGCGACGCATTAGGGTACATGGACGAAGGGGGCGAGAGTTGGGAGACACCGCGCGCAGGACCTAGTGTGCAAAGGGCACATAGTCCTGCCCCCTGACTCTGACACTGGCCGTGGGAAGAGGAACGTGCGCGCCGTCAAGCTGACCAAGGTCGGTCGCGGCAAATACACCTTCACCAACGCAAAGGGCAAAGCGACACAGACGACCAAGGACGAATGGCAAAAGGTTGATGGCGGATATGAGTGTTCAGGAGAAAAGCACGTTTACTTGACAGAGAAGTTACCATAAGAAAGGAGGGAAGAACGGAAGCGAGGAAGAGAAGGGAAGAAGGGAAGAGATGGCATTCCTTCCTAGCCCTGTTGCAAACGGAGTAACCAGAAAAGGGGAGCTGCGCGGCCCCTCCTCCTACAATCAAGCCTCTCCCACCTCGTTAAATCCGCTCACTGCGACCTGGATAGGGTAAGGCACATACACAACGCTCAAGTACTGATAACAATGTGTTCATGGAAACTCCAATCTCTCTTGTGTCCTAGGCGTCGGTTACTATTAATTATATCCATTATGGGGGCCATGATTCCCTGACAAACAACAAATAAAGCAACGGTGCGTCAGACGTGTTTCTTTTTCTTCACTGATCCCTCCCATATGCATAACCTCCCCCAGGTTTCAAGGTTCTCCAACTGCCGGCGGTTGGGACGCAAGTGTACTAGCGAGACATAGAAAAGGAAAGTCAGGATAGTCCACTCAGCCCTGCAGATCGCCGTGTTGCGTCGTGCAAGGTGCTTGCTCCTGTCTGAGCCTGCCACCAACTTTGTCGCAGAGAACTCTGTTAGTGAATGGAATGCTGGGAGATCGAGATGATACACGAGGAGCATTTACATGGGTCCATGGGCCACGATATCTCGACTGGCTTCTCTTCAGATGGCTTGGCGGGAGCTGGACTGCTATGGAGGACGATATCGGTGCTCTTAATAGTCGATCCCATGGTGATGGGGATGGAGCTTGGGCTTGGCCTTGGACTGGAAAGTCCCACAACGAACAATACGTTCCAGGGAAGTAAATGAGCTGGTTGGAAGGGAGCAAGCAGTATGGGAAGAAGCGGCTTCGGGCGTGGTGGTGAGGTTGTGGATGGACGGCCAAGTTTGGGGATGGACTATCGACACATCTCTTCATTCTTCTCGCTGCTCGCTCTTCTCTTATACACAGGACCGTCCCTCTGTTTTCTGTTGAGCAGACAGAACCTGAAGGGATCGCCTCTTGGTGTTCTGGAGGACACAAGACACAAACTGCCGCATGTCCAACCGTGCCACGAGAGTGAATCCGGTTGCAAGCGACACATGGTAGGGTGGATAATAGCCGCCTTCAACCAAGGGTTGTGCCGCATCAAGCAGCATCACGACTCACTTGCGCCCTGATTCGGCCCCTTTGGCTCATGGCAGCGGTCCAACAGAGCATCTCCCTCGTCCCTAGTCTGGCAGTCGAGGGCTGATGAGAATGAAGAGCCTCTTGGGTACACGATGCTCCGACCTTGTGCCGCATAGGGAAGATTCGGAATGGCGATGAAACCGCACACAGAAACCGCACACAGGGAGGGATGAGGTGAAGCGTACACAGAGGCGATTGCGTTATGAATATCCATTGGTCTCGAGCGAAGAACCTGATCCAGGTATTGCTGAAAGCAGGGTCGACAACCTGCTGGCAGTCAGGCTTGTGAACCACGAACTCTCGCACCTACAGACCGGACCGCCAGATGCCATACTCCTCCTGGACGGGGTCAGCAGAGCACGATCGGAAAATATATCAGAGGCAACAAATGCGTGGCAGGGCATCCTTCCTTCGCCATAGCCGAACGATTCAAGCACGGTGGTATACGTATTTACCCAAGTCCTATGGTCTTGACTGCCGTTCCAAGGGAAGCCTGCTCTTTTGCAGGACGTTATCCTGTTCTAGATGTCTTGGACCATGCATGTTGTAGACAGCCAGATCGTGGGGATCCTGTCAACTGAACGATAGCAGTGTAACCGCGAGACACCTTGACTAGGTATCAAGGTAGTAGTAGCTGGCACACACATGGGCACACCGTGCCTGCACGTCGCCGTCGCCAGCCGCCGGAGAAACCAACACATCACCCGAATCGGGGGAAGATCTGGAGCTCACGCAACGGAAGCAGGCAGCATCCTTCCCAATGCAGACACCACAATACTTTTTTCGGTCAGAGGCATGTCGGGACAACCCGTTGCCAGCATCCGTGAGATCGAGAGCCCGCGGATTCTGGTCCAAAAAGGAAGAAAGCTGACGGAGTTAGAACCAGGATACTCTAGCACGCAAATATGACCGATGCCGAGTGGGCGAATTCAAAACCGGTTGATTAATCGTGCGTGTGAAAAGTGTATGGAGAAAGAAAAAGGAGAAGTTTTGAACCCAGCCGTCGTTCGAGGTAGAAAATATCGCACGAGCCAGGCTGCGCCGGCCAGACGTCGGACCGGCAGCTGCCTAGTGGCACGGACCACACAAATCTCAGAGCAGCCCCACTTCCTCACTTGAAAAAATCACCGACTGCAAGTTTTTCCCAAACCTCCACGACCGCCTGTAACCACCCAACACACCACACACCACACCGTAACTTATCCAAGATGCCAAAATGTGCGACCCTCCACACTCTCGTCTGAGCGACGACGTTGAGGTCACATCGTCCTCCGTCACTATCCACCAGGAGCACAGTCGCTTACACAGGGTTTCTTTTTGTTGAGCGTCTCGGCGCATTGGGCACCAGTGTCGTGTGCCTCTCTCTCGTTGCAAGTCTTTCGGCATACAACTCATCGAGCCACTCTCTTCAAGCAGAAGAGACCAAAACCAAAACCCACAATTTGCCTGCCTCTGTGCTCTTTCCGTGCGCAATAGGTTAACTTACTATATCGTTCGCGTGGAAGAAGAACCCAACGGCCTAGACAGCCAGTCCAATCCACCCTGCTGCCGAGTGGTATATACATCGTGCGGTAGCGGGACTAACACGGACAAACATCTCATAACAAATAGATACATCCTATCTTTGGGCACAAAATAGATGCGGTATCTTGGTGCACTTGATCACCCCGCCCATGCTACATTGTTGTCGTCGTATCGTTATCATCATGAATCCATCATGTCGCACATGCTCTCTGTCTGTATATCATCTTCACGGATATCGCGCATCTCTCCGCCAGATCACCCATCCACACCTCCAAGCACCAATGGTATCTACACAGTATACTACCTCACGTCTTCCCATCAAAGATGTACCTCTCGTCGGTGAAGGAGAGCAGGAACTTGGCCGCCAGACGGCCCTCGTAGTTTAAGCCCACGTTTCGAGGATAAGGGTGGTCCTCGGTGTTTGGCAGGATCGGGTCCGTCGTCAGGTAGTCCGTCTCGGGCCCTAGAGCGACGAAAGCCAGTCAGTCAGCATTGAAACGAGAAAGAAAGAGAGAGAGAGAGAGAAGAAACCCACAGCCCTCATTGATAAACCACCTCAGCTTCCGCACCATGTCGGCCGCGTCGCGGTCCAGGTCGCCGAGCTCCAAGCTCGAGTCGTCGACCAAGGGGTTGAAACTGCGGGCGGCAGCATCGCGCGAGTGGGTCTGGTAGATCTGGTGGAACTGGAAGGCGAACTGCTTGAAGGGCATATTCTCGATCTGACGGTTGACGTCCAGCACGAAGGAGCGCTTCCAGGCCGGGGCGTAGTGGTGGCGCAGGTTGATCTCGTTGTCCGAGATGACGTAGACGTCCGCCGCGACCTCGACCGTCTCCATGAACAGGCACAGCACCAGGAACGCGGCCAGGCAGGGGGCCCACTCGCGCCGCAACTTGGGCTTGAGCGACTTGCTGAAGTTCTCAAACAGCAGCACCATCTCGCGGCACAGCATCTCGTCGACGACGGCCTTGATCTGCCTGTTCAGCACGCGCGGCGTCACCCACGGCACGCCCTGCGGCACCAGGCCCGTCGCCTGCAGGTCGGCGATGTTGCGCGGCGTCAGGCACAGGTGCTGCCGCATGACGAAGTGCATGGCATAGATGGACAGCGCGCGCCGGACCATGGGCACGTCGGCGCGCGTGGCGTAGTCGTGCACGATGCGCAGGACCCGCCGCGGCAGCTGCGTGTGCCGCAGCTGCGGCGTGACCAGCTCCGCATACCGCGGCTCGTCCACCATGGCCTGGACGTACTCCTTGACCCGCTTCTTCAGCTCGCTCCGCTGCGCATCCCACGCGCTCCCGTCGTCGCCCATCTCCAACCCGATCGGCGCCGCGCCCCGCGAGTGCAGATCCATCGCGTTCCGCCCGACCGTGACGTGCCAATGCTGCAGCACGTCCGGCGTCCGCGCCGTGAAGAACTTGGCCTTCACCTCCAGCACCGACCGCTCGCCAAACCCCAGCCCGCTGATCAGCTGCACCGTACACGGCACCTCCACGCCGCCCACCACGAACCCTTCCACATTCCCCTTCACAAACTTGACGATTTCCTCCTTCCTCAGATGACCCCTGATGAACTCCGGGAAGAGCACGCCCGTGAAGTCGGAAAACTGCCAGCACACCACCTGCGGAACCTGCTGCGCCAGCCGCAGGCAGCTCTTGCAGGGGCGCTCCTTGTCGCACCGCACCTTCCGCGCGTGGCAGCTGAAGCAGGCGCCCATGCGGCGCACCTGCAGCGCCGACTGCTTGGTGTCAGTGGCCAGGGGCCCCTTGCGGCCGCGTTGGGAAGGGCCCCGGGAGAGCGCGTCGAAGCACTCGAACAGCGACGGGTTGGTGCTGCCGCCTGAGGCGCCGGCTTGTTTGGAGGCGCGGTCGATCGAGTGCGGGGTGACGATGAGGAATTTCGAGGTGGTGGAGGAGGCTGATGAGGTGGAGGAGGTGATGCTGGAGGGGGAAGGGTGCGGCGTTGCTGTGATTGTTGTTGTCGTCGTCGTTGTTGTTGTGGTTGTTGTTGTGGTGGTGGTTGGTTTGCGCTTTTGGATGCGGTTGGAAGTGTTGGCTTTGCGGCTGGGGATGGCCTTCGGCGCTGTTGTTGATGATGTGCCGGAGGTCGTGGCGGGCGGTGATCGGCTCGGCTCGGATTCGCGCTTGATCTTCTTGGCCGGTGAGCTGGGGCTGGCGAGCGCCGGTGGGCTGACGGAGGCCGAGTGGAGCGAGGGCGAGTACGCGTGGGATGGCGAGGGCGAGACGAGGTTGGGGTCTTCGAAGATGAAGATGGGCGACGCCTCTCCGGCAGGGGGCGGTTGTCTGCTATTATTGGGGGTTTGATGTCTGGCCCCGAGACTCACGATCTGCCAGGGCGGCACATCAATGGCCTGCTGGTTCTGGTGCGGCTGCGAATCTAGGGAATTGATGCTTTCCGTGTGTTCCACGGGCTGGTGTTCCTCCAGGATGCTGGTAGAGGAGAAGGGGTTGAACACGGCGTCCAACTCTGCGGGCGTGTCAGCGTGCCACATACCCCGGTCTGGAACGTTTGACCGCATACCGTCACCGTTCAGCTGGTCGTTGTACATGAACGCTCCCGTCGCCAGGAAATCCAGACCATGCTGCGACAGACCCTGCGTGGGGAAGCCCACATCTCCCAGGCCGTTGTTGCCGCTCAAGGCGCCACTCGCGCTTTGCTGGTCATAGTCCCCGCTCAGTGGCGACGGCAGCGCAGCCGGCGACGGTTCCAGTTCAACGAGCTGTCCATTCCCCAACACTGCCCATGAGCTACCCAGACTGTGACTCGCCGGGCTCGCGATGAAAGGGCCCAGCGACCCGGAGCTGGGGTTGCTGATCGCCGTCCAGAAGGCCTCATCCGGATCGCCTGTCGAGTCGGGCTGCTGGATGAACTCGAAGTCGAACCCTGAAATCGGCGACGCACCCGAAGTCACCGATGCCGATGCCATGGCTGCTGCAACAGAAAAGTATCCGTCGCACACCAAGTTCGCGACCACCTCCTGCGATGCTGTGCCTGTTCTGCCCTTCCTCTTTCTCTGTTCAACACGCCCTGTTGTTTGCCTCCCACAATCCTGTTACCAACCGAGACGGAACTTGGAGCGTACACACCGGGCTGTGTCCTGTGCGGCGTCCTCGGTCAGGAGTAGCGAAACGTCGCTCGGGAAGTAGACTTGAGTTTGTTTGTCCGCCGTGACCGGGACCCGTGTCGCCGGCGTGTGAGAGGGGATCGAGACACAGACAGCCGTGTACAATACAATACAAATCTGGGGTCGCGTAATACGTCCCCCCGGGCCGCTCGATCGACTCTTGAACTACGACGGAGGGATTTCACAGGATAGCAGAACTAAACGTAGCATAAATTCCTCCTATGTAGGTCGGGAACAGATGATCAAGACCTCGTCGTGGCGGGGCCAAGGCCGTCTTAAAGGGCCACCACCATGGGTCAATTCCCCCAGGCCACCCTCACTCAGCCTTGGAAGGGGCTAAACTCGAATGAGCGACCGAATGGCAGGGCGATCGGAAGAACGTGCGGACCGGGGGTTGTCGGGCGGTCGGGGCCAGTTCTTGGCGTAATCTAGCCAGATCCGGTTACCGACGACGCCTGCCTGGGAAACGCTACATGCTGCCGTGCACACCGAGAGCGTTCCGGAGGAGGGATATATAAATGTGCTGTGCCCTGCCGGACGAAAAATTAAAGTGAGGTCTGGCTGTTCCTGCCAATCGGGTATTAGGCGTATTCCGTACGTTGAACAAACGATTAGTTCATGTGAACCCATTTGCGAAACGCGAGCAGGTGTAAGTGGTGCTCATGGAAGCGTTGCGGTGCCCAACTCCCGAGTCCCGAGTCGCTTCCATTGCATACACCAAAACGACGCACAATCAACAGTTGCAACGCTCAGCATAAGGGTAACAGCTAAAAGCACAATTGCCTGACCAAACCAAAAAACCACTAATGCCATGCCATCAACCATCTCGCGAGACCTGGTCTAGAGTCCAGACAAGACGGTGCCTCCGTATCAGCAACAACAACAACCGATCATCAGATGGCCTCCAGCTCCCTCTATCATTCTCCTGACAAAGGGCCAGCGTTGAGCTAGAACACAATGCACTAGACAGAACGCGTAAAACATTTGACTGAACTCGAAATCAAAACCCAAGTCTTCAGGCCATACGGCCTCTCCCCCTTGAAGTAAAAGGATGGTGCGAGAAGAAATAACATAAAGCAGCGAGACTCGGGCAACCAAACAAAAGCAGATAGCCAACCCATGCTAGAAGTAAGGGTCCCCGGTCCCCTCAACCTCACGCGTATTTCACATGCTCTCCGCCCATCGGGTCGGCGGATACAAGAGAAAATGAGCAGCACCCAGGAAAGAGTCATGGGTCATGAAGGAAAAAGACAAGACTGTGGAAAAGACAGCCCTCTCCGGGCAGGCTGAACCGGCAAGACCGCTCACTCGTGTTTTCCCTCATTTCTCTCACCCAAAGCCATTGGAACCTACAGGTAGGTAAGGTAGGTAAGAATGCCGCGAGATCCCAGGGTGGTTGCAGCAGATAAACATGAAAAGAAAAACACATAAAAAACAAAAACGTTAATCGTATCCCCAATTCCATCAACCGTCGTCCAATAGCTTAGTCCCGCCCCATCCGGCAAAAAGAGGGGGCAAGCCGTGGAGGGCGTTAAAACGTAAAACGTAAGCGTGAGCCGTGAAGCATTGTCGTGCAACGGCCCCGTCCCTAGGTAGGTAGGCAAAAACACAGCGTGTGTGTGCCCGTTGACATCAAGTCCCCCCGTTGTGGGCCATACATTTCAAATCCCGGGGCGCGTCAGGAAAGACGCAGTGTACAGTATGTATCCGGCATCCATCCTAATTCTAGAGTCCGGAAAAGTGTGCTCCGCAGCATGGCCGCTGCAATGTCCCAAAACAAGACGGGGAAAAAGAGAAAAAACGTTGGTGCGGTTTGGGCATTTTTTTTCAATCCCAACCAAAATGACCGTACCATGCATGGGCAGGTATGGTGAAAACGTATGATGAGAGAATGCAATTCTCTTTGGGGGGGTCCCTTTTCTTAGCGGAACCTCACGGCAGCAGAAGCAGCGGCCGCTGCGGCGACCCGCTCCTGGATGCGCCGTTCCGTGGAAACGTAAAGCCTGTCAAGGTAATCCTGCGAGGTAGGTAGGTATGTTAGCTTCAGTCGGTGTTCAGACAGGGCAGAATCTGTTTGCGGCAAGGGAAAGAGAAGCGGAAGAAAGCCCCCCCCTCTCTCTTAACCCCCCTTTTCCCTGCCTGTCGAGGCGGGTTCAATAAAAGAAGAAGGAAAGAAAGAAGGAAGGAAAGAAAGAATGAACCGTATAAGGAGCAGACATACCATAGCCTGTGCATCCTTCAGGATCTTGGCGACCTGGATCCCCGCCGAGATCAGCTGCAGGATGTTCCTGTCATCCTTGAGCGGGCGGCTCTGGTGCTTGGCGGCGTGGCGCATCTCGAGCGAGTTCTCCAGGATGGTCACGAACTGCTTGATCTGGCCGTTGTACAGCACGCGCGCGGGGATGCGCCGCTTGGTGGCGAGCCGCTTCAGCAGGTACACCCACTCGGTCCACTCGCGGTCCTGCGGGCGCTCGACGGGCCGCATGTCCTGCGTCAGCGGGATCGGGAACTGGTACTTGGCCACAAAGTCATACGCGCACTGCGACAGCCGGTCGTTGACCTGGTTCAGGACACTATCCTGCTCTTGCACCAGGAGATGCGTCGGCAGCCGCGGCAGCTCCCGCTCTTGCAGCGCAATGTACTCCGCCGGCGGCCGCTTCAGGAACTGGTGCGGGCCGTCGAACTCGTCCCGGTTCGACGGACGTCGCTGCGAGCGTGGCCGCCCTCCTCCGCCTCCTCCTCCTGCTGCTCCTCCTCCTCCCGGGCTGACCCTGCTCTTGCTGCTCGGCGCCGCGGGGCTGGCCATGGCATTGTCCAGGGAGTAGTCAGAAACGCTCGGCGAGCCAAGCTCATCCATGGAATCGGACGGTGAGTACCTTCCCTGGTAGTGCCCTTGGTTGTTTCCAGAGTAGTTCGACTGTTGGTCCCAGCCCCAGGAGCCTTTGAACGGAGCTTGGATGGGAGCCGCGTTCGTGTACAGCCCCTGCGTTAGCGGGGAACTGCATGCCGTGGAGAAGGAGAAGGCCGACGCCTCGTGGGATGCTCGTCCGAGCTGGCCGAGGCCTCCTGGGGCCAAGCTTGTTGGGGGCATGTTATGTGCAGATGCAGGGCCTTGTGTGTACGACACGCTTTGATATCGACCGGGTTATTCTTGTTGTCCTGAAAGGGGGAAAGAGGGCTTCGTCTGTTGTCATCTTACCTTTGCGGTAGAGACGGGGTGCTTCCCGTCTCAAACCTGGCACTGTACAACGTATTACTGTAGATCGGGCTTGAGTCCGCCGTCAGCTGCCATATGCTCCTTTCCTGATGGTTGGTCTCGAGGTTTCCCCCCCACCTTCGTGAAGAAAGCCACCGATCGTTCGCCATGGGGGCGGACGGGCGGTAGGCAAAATCAGCCATGGTATCCTCCTGGTTTGTTCTGGTTCTTACTCCCTCGGAAGCTTTCCTTTCCCGGCTGGGATCTCCAAAGATTGGTCTCCTGGATTTGGCGTATATCCGATCACGGCAATGAAATCCTGGTCCTCTGGCTGGAATGTCCGGGAGAAGAGCAGATAACAGAAAACAAAAAGGAGAACAACCCCCCGGATAGCAAAGACTGCCGAGATGCTCAGCGTCAGTGCAAAGGGCAACCGAAGAAAAAGCCTGTGACCGGGAAGTCCTGGGATATTTGGCCTCCAAAAAGCGGAAAGTAGAGCGGATCCACGGAACAGGTGAGGCTTCACCGGGATGTGTCCTTCGGCGGCGGTAGCAGCAAGTAACCTGGAGGAACGGTCGTCCAAAGTGAAAGTGGAGTTCACCAAACTTAGTATTTGTAGTGTGGTACCTTTTCCGGCGGCGGGGAGACAACGTGGCTCTGTTTCAACGACAAACGTTGACCGGCCAGAACAACCTGGAAGGGGAAGAGAGGCTGGAAACAGTCCACGAAGGACACTTATATTCCCCGCGTTAGGGCGAGGTGGCAAGGTTGTTGCTGTCAGGGCTGGTGCGCGTGCAGGGCAGCAGATTAGACAGCCGACGGCAGATAGGGCGGTACTACGAAGTATTAGTGCGCCGCCGAGGCCTTACTGAGGCAGACACGCACGCTGTGCCGCCTACTGTATATGGCTCGCCTAAACAACATTGACCGGGAATCTGGAGAACAGAAAGCGGGATTGAAGGCGTCCCTTGCGCGCTATGAAGTCGCGCATACAGTGGTCGCTTCGTGACCTGCCCGCCGGTGTGGAGAAACTGGGAAAGGGGACAGTTGGGCCATGACGAGCGGGCGCCAGCGGTCTCGCCATTAGAGGAGTAGGAATCCGTAGATCAATGCAACGCCCGTCCAATGGCTTTGCAGGGCCTGGGATCCGCCTTCTTAATTCCTCTCGCAAGTCTCCCACAACAAGCCCGGCGTCTGCCATGCTGAATGCCGGAGAGCACGGTGTGGAATGGTTAGGGAAGCACGGTTGGGCGCCGATGGGCATTCGAGAAGGTCTGCGCTGTCGCCCAACGCCTAGCCAACCTGCATACAACTCGGCAATCGTCATTGGTGCCAGAACAACCCTCCGTTCCGGGGTAGTGGCGGTGACGGCACGAGATGATTCGGAGCAAGCGGGGAGGGTTGGGCAGGAACATGCTTCGCTGGGCGAGCCCAACCATCTCACAACCCTCGCAACCTGTCCTGGTGCCACGCATGATGCGCCTAAAGCCACCTGGACCACTCCGCTCTCGAGGGGCAATGTCCATGTTAGCCTGCCGCAAGTTGCCACGCGTGCCGGTCTGGTAGCCCCGAGCGTCCGCATGCTTAAAGAGCTCGACGTGGCCGAAATGCGTCGTCCGTTTGCCAGACCTGTGGCTTCTTGTGCGAATCCGGCATGGCGGTCTGCAAAATGACAAAGGCGGCGCAGTCCCCGATGCCGAGAAAGGACAATTGACAAGAACTTGCCTTTCTTACACTTCACGTGCGTCTCAGAGCTGTGCCCGGTCCCCCGATCCCCTTCGAGCTCCGACCGGCCCGGAGCTCTCTCTGCGCTTATCGGCACTCCTTCGGCATACAAGTCAAAAACCTCGGCGACCATCCCATCTTCTGCAACCCAAATTCCTCGCATTGCCTCAACCTGGCCTCGGATGTTTGAAGGAGATACTTTTGATACTCTGCGCACCTGTTTGGGTGCACTTTCTCCAAAGTGCGCTTGGTCTCAAGTGCATGAACAACTCTGGTAAGGTAAAATGGCAACAGTATGTGCAAGCCTCTGGATCCTCACCCTTCCGGCCCTTCGACGTAAGTCCCATCTACCGGTATGTTTCCGGCAACCATATGGCCGCCAATCCAGCCGGATTAGAAGGAGCCGAGGAGTTTGGCTCGCCTTCCATGTTTCATTCGTTCGTTGGCAGGCCCGGTGTCAGGACAGAGCAGCTGCTCATGAATGATGACATCACCTTGGCAGAGCTTAAAAACGAAGCATGAAACCCCTAAGCTCGCATCAGAATGACATAGTCTGGACTGCAGCCCATCAACTTCCTGGCGGAAAACATATCGGTTTTCCATGCTAAACCGAGCTCTGTTTTCAAATACAGCTACCGGAGCCTGCCCAAGTTCCTCGGATGGGAATTGACGTGGATTGCCAGGTAAGCCATATGCTTGGTTTCCCCTGGACAGCAACCGGCAGAGCTCGACCATCGTCAAAAGGATCGTGATGAAGCAATGCCAAAGCTGGCAATGTGAGAGCCGGCTCGGAGGCATTGTCAAAACATCTACCGGCTGTGAAGTCTGAGGAGCTGGATAGATCTGTCACAGGTGAGTGTATCTCAAAGGGTTCCCCTCTTCGACGATGCAAGAGTTCAGGTCCTGACACTCAAGAAATAGTAATAAACCTACCATCGGCGAACAAACCTGCACTGACCTGGAAGTGTCAAAAGGTCCCCCGTCAGCCTTGGAGGGACACTCACACCTCACATCCTGTTTCACACGCCTGTCTTCGGTTGAGTCCCGGAGAACCCGGTCCTCAGCTGAACAATTCCATCGACCCCTTTTCGTCCTGGGCATGGACGGCTTGGGTACTTGTAGTGTTCCTGCTCCTTCGGGCTGTAAAGCAGATCACTGCCAAGAGGTGTCATGCTCTGAGTCACCGCGGCTCTCAAGAGCCCAACCTCCGGGGAAAGTGCGTCGGACCTTTTGAGCTGTGTGAACAATTCGAGGTAAGTCTCCATCAATCTCGCTTTCCTGGATGTTAAAGTGACATGGTGTGTAGCAGGACACATGCGCCAGCTGGCGTTGTCAATGTGCCCCGCCGAATATCCGCGCGTACCATCAAGGTCCAAAGACTCCAAAGTTGGCATTGCTGTGTACTTTCATCAACCCGACGCCAGTGGCAGGACGTCCATGGCATGTCCCTGACTGCAGGCGGATGCGTCGAGGGGATATGTGTTGGCTGGCGACTCGAAGCCTCCTCGGTTTGCTGGCACTTGGATGATTCGTAATCGAGCGAGGATCAGCCGAAAAGAGTCTCCAGGATCAAGGAGCAATGCTCCATGGGCTTCTCTCAGCAAAAGTTCTCCTCCATTCCCTTGAATGTCCGCGGCTAGCGCGGAGAACACAGCACCAAGACCGACAGCTGCCACCGGCATACCTACACCAGGTTCGCATACGTCGGCACACCTTGCGTTATGTGAGTGGGATCCAGATCACCTGAAACCTAACCTCTCATTGCAGTATGTGGTCGAACGACGCGACCAGCCGCAGCAATCATGGCATGCCACACACTCAACAGCATGGCAAGTGAGGCGACCATCCAGGCAACAGCCCGGCTTGAGCAACACGAGTGGACGCAGAGCCGACTCTCAGAAAGCAGCAAGCCCATGTCCCCAGTTGCCCCAGATGAAGAGTTTTGCGACAACTGGCCAACCTTGAGCATCTTCCCCTCAATGGGCAGACATCATTGCATTCAGACAGACGCAAATGACTGCAGCAGAGGCTCTGCTTTGCCCCATTGGACAAGGGAAGCGCTGTTTCCATGCACCGTTCGCAGTCCGCCTATCAAGCTCGGGGCGGCGGCAGAGCGGGCACTGGTAGGATAAGCTGGGCATTCTCTGACCCGAGGCGGCCGTTGGTTCGCAACGAACGCGGGGCTGTCGCCGAGATCTCTTCGAACGTGTCGAATGTCGCGGGGTCGAGGCTCTCAGGAGGTCGCGTCTCATGGCGACCGGCGTGCTCCTGCTTGACCTCGACGGCGGCAGAGCAGTCGGCGGCACACACAGTTTCCTGGCCGCGCATTGCCGACTGGCACTTCAGTTGTTCCCTTCGCCGTGTTGCTTCTCGACGAGCAATCCCAACACGATAGCCCGCAATTACCGAAGCAGCGTCGACCCTGTTCCCCTCACCAGGTGGTCTGGGGGATGGGCTAGCTCGTCTGCAGTGATGAGTTGGCATTCGGTCTGCTGCACCATGTCCCTTGTAAGTGTCGCAGGCTAGCCGTCGTCGTCGGGCTTGATAGGTCCGAATTGCTTCCCCGCCCCGCCGAGCGCGCCCACAGTGAATGAAATCAAGGAACCTGCACCAGTCGACAGCGGTGTGCGACGCGGGCTGGCACGCCCTGACCTATGAGAGTTGCAGAAGGTCTCTGCCAGCTCAGCTTCGAGCCAATGTGACAATTTTTTCACGCAGCCTGGTGGTGCAGCGCGAGCGCAGATTGGTGAAGCGAAAGTGCAGGAACTGCGGAAGACGCGGAAAGACACATTGGGATGAGCAAGAAGCAAGGGATGGAAGCGGGGCGCGAAATATCGTTGGATGCACGGGCAGGAACGACCGGGGAGATCACCAGGATTAAAACCCGACTGCCCCCTTCATTGCCCAACTGGATGCTCTTTCCTTCCAAACTTCTCAGCCGAGAGCCCAACGACCCACACGAAATTTGTGCCCAACACGCAACGACTCGGACCATTCCGCTCCTGCTTCTCTCGCGGCCTTGTTGCCCACTTATACGCCAATTCCTCGCCCAACCTCACCACCGTCTTCTCTCTTGTTTTCTTGCTCAGGCCAAAACTTGCTCCCCCGCCCCAGGACTATCTGCTGTACAGCAGCGTTTGCAGCACGAAATCGCAGCCCAGGAGGATCTTCATCCATCTGCCACAAGGATTTTGACACGCGGGAGGCCCCGTTGCTGTCTTCATCACTCGGATTTGAGCAATCATCTTGCTCTGAAAAAACCCAGGAATGTCCGCCATGATCATGCCCAGGACTGAAACCATGGCTGGCTTCAATCACATTGAACTGGACGAGGTTCACACCCCCTCGAGGTATTTTGCTTTGCTTTCATTCTGTTGCCCTGGGAGGTCCTTTTGCTTTTTGGCGTTGTGTTCTTTTCTGAAGAATCTTGTTGCGAATCAAATCATGTCTTTCCTACTTCAATTTTGACCCGCCGGCCACCTTAGTGAGGCGAGCCGGACAGCTGCCGACGTTCACTTTCCAGGAGAGCCACAAGGAGCCGTTCAGGATTATGCCCCGGATTTTCCCTGGAGCCAATTGCTGGTCACTTTTCTGCCGTGGACTGCCATGGATTGCCGAGGATTTCTGAGCCCCAGGGTCTTGATCCCGACTCGTCCGAGTCGTGGATGGAACAGAACAACCCACGAGTCTCGGCTCAGATGGGTTGCTTCTAAAACTGTCATGATCAACTGCTCATTCGAGCCCTTGGTAAGTATTGCCCGCAACAAGCGCCGGACTGGATCGTTTTCACAGATCTCGAACCCGCTGGGTTTCCCATGGACACCGTCTGCTACTGCTTTGCTCGTCCCTGAGGACCATATCCCCCTTGGACAACGTTAGGCGGACACCTCTTTTCTGTTTACTCGCCCTGGACTTCCCTCGTTTGCCTTTTCAGCGAAAGGACCCCCCTGCACGGCACCTGACACCAGGTCCTTTCCACGCTCGATAGGCTTCGACTTACTAGCAACATGGGTTTCTTTGCGCCACTTGGACCGCTGGTCCCTTCTGCCTGAATACGGAGACAGCCGACGTGCATCACGCCGCAGTGTCGGGGGACCATGGAATGCCTCGAAAACTGCGGAACAATATGGACTTGCGACAGGCTCCGCTTTCCCTCAGCATCACTTCCAAGGAGTCGATATGGACGCCAGTGTTCTTCGTACTGCCAGTGCTCTTATTCCTGTGCGGATGTTCCTGGACCTCTTTTTTTCTCAAGCCAAGGATCGCTGAGGGCCACAATGCTTTCTTGACCGGATTTCCTGGCTCCAGGCCAATGTGTCTTTTTCCCTTTTCAGATCATGGTCTTGCACTCCATCTCTGGAACTGGATATCCACATGCTCAGTTTGGTTTGTAGCCATCCTCTTGAATGATCAGTAGGACCATCCACTAACATGTCCCGCAGGAACAAAGTTGTGCCATCTGATGCCGTTTCTTTTCATCTTTTCTTACCCTTACTCGACAAACCGTAGCTGGATAGACACTAACCTTCACCCAGCGACTACAGCTTTTCTGCTCAGCCCACTATGCTTTCCAATGCTCCCGGCATGTTTTCCTTTTGTCAAACAGGACCAGCGGACCTGGCCGGTTCGTCCTGGGATGCGACAGTTGAAGGGTCACAGAACTTCCCCGAGCTTTCAGATGCTGCGGACTATTACACCGGAGAAGCCGAGGATTTTGTTCTTCCTTTCTGCCAGAACACCCCAAAACCGGACCAGCTGGATGCCATGGATGACTTTCAGACCAGATGGGCTCCCGCCGTCGCAACCGAGAGCAAGGCTCTGAAGGCGGAGCCTATGCGGAGAGGAAGCTCGCGCAGCTCGACGGGGAGCAACAAGAACAGGACCATCAGGGCTTCCGCTGCATCGGCCAAGAAGACCCGGGCGAGAGTCCAATCGATTCTCTCTCAAGCGTCTTCACAGATGTCCAAGCTTGACATGTCAAGTAATGCCCCATCGGCCTACGGTCAGGGCCGCATCATGGATGTGCAGCAATACCTTGCTCAAGACCCGGATGCGCTCTCCGTCTCGCACCAGATGAATGGCGCTGCCTTCTACCCTGGACTCATGGGATACCAGGATGGTCTTCCCTACACTGGAACCATGGACGCTGCTATGGAGCAGCACGTGAACCCTCAGGTCTTCGATGCTGGCCTCATTGCCGCTTCACCTCACTCTTGGGGCTCGCTGAGCCCCGTTGATTCCAGATTGTCTTCTCCCGGATTTCAGGAGGGAGATGATGTATGGTCCGCGGCACCGTCCGCTTCGTCTCCTGCGAGTCAAAACTCGAACTCACCGGCCCTGCCAGGCCAGTCACCCAAGTAAGTCGCCGTTCGAGACTGTATGTTTCCTAACCCTTCCTTACATGTTCGCGTGCCGCAGGATGAGCCGGAAACTGGATGGATCTCAGTTTGTCACCTCCGAGGACCTGCACGCAAATCTGGTGCCCGCCATGGGAGAGGATGGTTTTGCACTACCCCACCCTGCCTTCAGCTCTCGCCGTCCTAGCGGCGAAGGTGAGTCTGCGAGGGACCACTATCTCTACAAGAACGCGTTTCCCCAAGCGGACGGCCTGTTCCACTGCCCATGGGAGGGCCAGGCGAGCTGCAACCACAAGCCCGAGAAGCTCAAGTGCAACTACGAGTAAGGATCAGTTGTTCCCTAAGCTCCTAGAGTTGTCCCGCTAACCACCTATGTACAGCAAGTTTGTGGACTCCCACCTCAAGCCTTACCGCTGCAAGGTCGAGGGTTGCCAGAACGCCCGGTTCTCTTCTACTGCCTGCCTTCTCCGGCATGAGCGTGAGGCCCACGCCATGCACGGCCACGGTGAGAAGCCTTACCGGTGCACGTATGAGGGCTGTGAACGCTCTATTCCTGGGCATGGTTTCCCGCGGCAATGGAACCTGAGGGACCACATGAGGCGCGTGCACAACGACAACGGCACCGCGGCTCAGCCACCTTCTCCTCCCGCCTCGGGACCCACCACGGCCGTTCGGGGCCGCAAGAGGAAGAGCGAGGCCTCGGAAAAGCAGACCAGCCAGGAGAAGCCCACCTCTCGGAAGTCCTCAAACAAGGTTGCGGCGGAGCCGGCCACCACCGCTCCTAAGCAGCCGGAGATCGTGGCCCAGCCCGAGATTGAGCAATGGTACGAGCACCAGAAGGCCCTCCAAGCCTTGATCCAGGGATGCGTCCAGCCGGACGATCTGCAGAGCCTGCAGTACATCAAGGATGCACAGGACCGCTTGACTGCCATGGGGAGGATCTCGCAGGGACTCATCCAGGGTTCCTACCAGCAATCGTGGATCGGTTGAATGACAGTGAGTCAATGCTCAGTCCGCTAGAAAATGGCTACGCAGCTAACACTGTGCCTTCAGCATGGTCTTTTGAGCGTCTGAATACGGTCTCCGTCAGATGTGATTCAGATTTCTGCAAGTGCAGAAATCGCTCCATTCCCGCGTCTCCTGCCCGGGATGCCGCCGGACTATGTGGAATTCCAGCCTTCGCGGCCCGCCCATGGTCGTGTCCGGCACGGCACGGCGCCGTTTGCCCGGACAGTAGGGCCGGACCACCCACAGGACGTCAACGCTGCCTGACCTTAGCAACGTGATACCGATATCACATTCATGTGGATCCAAGGTCCTTGGAAACATCGTATTGTGTATGCTTCGCTTGACGGAGCTGCCTTTTGAGCTGTTTTGGGGGTAGGGATGGGAGAGGACACGTCAATGGTGACAGTCCAAGAGGAGGGATAGCAAGAAGAGTGATGAGGAAAGCAGAAAGCGGAGGGACCATAAAATGGATCCCTTGATGGTACCGCCTCGTCCAAGATACGATGGCAATTGGGAGGAAGGCTATATGGGTTATGACTGATGACTGATGACCGTTTCCTTTGTCCTTGGGTCGGGTACTTGGGCTTTTGGTTCGGACAACTGGGCTTGTAGGTAGACGCCTTTTAGGCAACATGGGACTTCTTGATAGGTCTTGGGTTTCCGGCGTTTGATTGGGAAGACATTTGTACGCCTCAGGGCAACATAGAGTAACAGACAGAATTATTCTTCCAGGTTATGGAACAGGACTTATATCTCAGATGTCTTCGGAATGGGCGGTTTGGTGGCTAAATATGTGTTCCTTACTAGCGTTCTCTTTTGCTTTTATCTACTCTCCGCTTCCCCGCTAGTAAGTACCGGTAGCTTCAGGTAGGATTGTCTGCAGCTGGAATCGAAGATATTCGATCTGTCAGCCAAGTGCCTCGTGACTTCACAGTTGGTAAGAACCTAGGAAACGGAGTGCTTTGTTCGGAGAGAGGGAACGTTATTCCCAACTGAGCTACGTTCAATCACTCCATACCGTATCAAAAAATCAAGGTAATACACCGCCATCCTTACCTGACTTACCTTGCCCTTTTCGAGTGGCGAACCGAATAGGGAAAAAGCAGGAGCAGGGCCGTCACGTTCACATTCGGCTGAAGCGGGGTTGCGTTCTGTTCCGTCGTATATTGTTCATTCCCTCTTACCTGCCTACCTGCCATCTCTTCGCCGCAAAACCGAAACAGAAGTCTAGAAAGGGGGAGCAACAAGAACTGAACTGAACCATCCCCGCCCTTTTTTTCCGCCTTCCCCTCCACATCACCCTACCTTACCCCTTCATGGACCCCCCTCCCCCCTCCCCCTCACTCCTTCCTTCCCCCAGCGAGCTGACTGACTGCCTGACTACCTACCTACCTTCAAGGAAGGATATCCTCACCGGGGAACAGGGTCCCGTTGGCGATGGCGGCGCGGTGGGCGCGCGCCACCATGCCGTAGGCGGGCAGGTAGCGGTCCAGGTAAGGGAGCAGCTCCTTGGCGCCGGGGGTCTTGCGCCAGTCGCGCATGAGATCGCACACGATGGAGAAGAGGCTGACCACGTTCACGCCGGCGCGGATGAGCTGGTCGTTGGAGATGTCGCGGATCTGTAGGTGTGTTATGGTGTGGTCCTTTTGTTTGAGAGGTGGGGGGACGGGAATGAATTGAAAAAAAATGAAACAAATAAACTTACTTCCTTGGTGGTGGTGCCGCTGGCTTCTAGGTTGGCCCAGACGGAGTAGCCCTCGGCGCGGAGAGACCGAGCCAGGAAGGCGGTGCCTTTTATTTACATACATACATACATGGTCAGTTTTACTCAGGCTTTCGGAAGAGGGGAAAATAACTAGGGGACGGAGTGGAGGGGGAGAAGGGAGGGCGGGGGAAAACTCACAAACATCGGTCACAATACCGGCGATGATGATCTGCTTCTTGCCGGAAGCCTTGACGGCCTTGCGGAAGTCTTCGTTGTCCCAGGCGTCGACCTCGCCCTGACGCTTGATCAGGGGCGCGTTGGGGTACATCTCCAAGATCTCGTTCGGCAGAGGGCCGTTCGGGCCAGTCTCGGCCGAGGTGCTCATGACGACGGGGATGTCGAAGACCTTGCCGAGGCTCGCGTGGGCCATCATGCTGTCCCGGTAGAGAGTGGCGTCCCAGTCGCGAGCGAGGCTGTAGAGACCTTCCTGGAGATCCAGGATGACGAGGAGCTGGCGATGTCAGCATGGCATTCAGGTCACTTGGGATGGTGCTCGCGGCCGTACAGAGTCGTTTTTGTTCAGACGCTCCCAGGCAAAGCTATCAGCCATAGCCGAGCCCGCGAGCGCGGCAGACAACAGGGCGGCACCGAACTTCATGTTAATAGACTGGAGCGATGGAGAGAGGCAGGATGTTCGACTTGGGAAGATCTGGTGCTGGTGAATACTGCGGGCTCTGGGCTGATCTCGAGTAAGATGGCATGCCGCAGACGCCCCTTTTATAGACAGGTTCTCCCCTTCCAACGCTAACCACTGTCGACCCCGACCAACAATCCCCTCGTCACCGTCACGATGTGAACAGCAGCTTCCGCTGACATCGTCCGTGGTCACAGCTGGCATGCGTCTCGTAACCGTCGTCAAAGCATTGCCTAATCCCCTGCTCAGCAGGATCCGAAGCCCAATTCCCCTCCAGCGTCGCACTCTGCATGGAAGCGAGGCCGGTCATGACTGTGACCGCTATCGCCTAGTCCCGTCCATCCATCGCCATCGAGATGCTTTCCCGGTGTGAGTTGAGGTCGCAAAAGGCGGAAGGAGGTTGTTTGATAGGAGCGATGTGACTACGCCGAGCTTCCGCTTCCCCACATTTCCCGCTGTGTCAGCGGTGCCCAAGCAATTGCCAAGCGTGCCAAGCGATCGCCAAATATTCTCCAAGCACGATGGAACCTGCTCGGGAGGTCGCTGAATCAGCCCAGCTTGATAGCCGCTCGTATACCACAACGTACTAGGGGGAAGGCTGTCTTGGGCTTCATGTCGCTTGCCGGTTTTGCAGTGATATGCAAAGATCTATCTTAGTGTTCACACTCGAGCCGGGATTCTACTGCCGCTACGGATATAAGCACATTTGATCTTGAGTGGTGGTCTGTGCTGGAGTCCCGTCGACCCCACCGTGCGAAACAACCGGCCCGCAGACCCACACTTCCCCAATTGCTCATCTCATTCATCAACTTGCCATGATAGTCAACACTTTCCCTCAGAGTAAAACATGCGAATTGGGCGGTCTCCCCCATTTCCAAACGCATGCGTCTTCTCAGTTTTTGTAAGACTTTTCTGAGCTGGCGAGGACCCAGCTCCTAGCCAGATTAGCTCATGACGGAGGACGGCATATATCTGCGGCAGCAGTGTCGAGTCTGAAACTGTCTGGCGTTCTGCCAAGCCGTCCGACACAGTCTCTATCGCAAGGACTGCCGCCGCTTCGATTGCATCCTCCTGTTTCTGCTTGTGCCACATCTGCCGGCGCGCAGAGTCTCATACTACGAGAAGTGCCTGTCAAGCGTTGGGATTGGCAGGAGTGAGGCAAAACATAGCAAGTCAAGCAACTATGGGTTCGCGAGTCAGGGATGAGACTTTAAGTTGACGACCATTGCCACCAGGTGCTGGTAAAACATGAGAGTATCCTCACCCCTAAAATTCACTCTTTTCGGATGGATGCGGCTGATCTCTACGGAGCTGTTCGGCAGCGGGCTGTCTGAGACTGCTTCCCACTGGTACGCGGTGATTCATTTGTTGCAGTTTTTTTGGGAGCGCAGTTTATCGTTGTCTTCATTTTACAAAGATTTATCATGAAGGCCTCATTACCACTACTTCCGCTCTTTGCTCGCCCGCTTCTGGGCCACAGAGACTCAAGTCATGCTGAGATATGCGGACTCGAGCAATCACCTATTCCTTTAGTCAGCCCGGTCTGCCTTGTTGATCCGAATTATGCTGGGTTTCAAAAGAACTCCAGCAGGCTAAGTCGGCATTCCTGGACACAATCGTCGCCATGTTCCAAGGGCGAGTGGTCAGAGCAGCACATCTGCGTCTTCACAAACGCATCCTTCGCCGGGGGAAGAGGGATCTCGCTCGTGACAACGTCCCGGCGAGCCAACTATCTCGCCACAACCCCCGCATTTGTTGAGCCGGGAGTGGTCGAAGGGATTAACCGCGGCCTCAGCTCAGCCAAAGCCGAGATGAGAGAAATCCCAGGCAAGGGCATGGGCCTGATAGCAACAGCCCACATCCAACGCGGCGAACTCTTGATGGCCGAGACCCCGTCGCTCATGGTCGACTACCGCGCCTTCGACGAGCTCAGCAAGGAGCAATACACCTCCCTCCAAGCCCACGCAGTCCGGAACCTGCCTGCCCCGCACAGCGCCCTAGTCCTCAGCCTCTCCACCCACACAACCAACACCAGCCACCTCACCTTTGAAGAGCGCATCGACCTGGTAGCGTCCACCAACTCCTTCGACATCGAACCGGACGACGGCGACGACGCCGACCAGCACAACAGCTTCTACTCCCTCTTCCCGGCCATCGCCCGCTTCAACCACGACTGCCGGCCCAACGCAGACTACCGCTTCTCGCACCGCACGCTGGCCCAGTACATCCACGCGGCGCGGGACATTGCCCCCGGGGAGGAGCTCACCCTCTCGTACATCAACCCGCTCATGTCGCGCGCCGAGCGCCAGGCGAGGCTGAGGCAGTGGGGGTTCGAGTGCGCCTGTCCGCTGTGTGCGGTGGATGGGGATGTGAGGCGTGAGGAGTCGGATAGGAGGATCGAGAGTATCAAGAAGATCCGTGAGGAGTTGGCGGATTGGGACAGGGGGAGGGAGAGCAGCAGGGCGTGTCCCCAGATGGCGGAGCTGTTGGTCAGTCTGTACCGGATGGAGAGGCTGGATACGATCATGTATGAGGCGTATATGTTTGCTGCGCTGGAGTATAATGCTGCCGGGGACCCGTGGACGGCGGTCAAGTATGCGCGGCTGGCGGTCGAGTGGGGGGTGCCGATGGTTGAGGAGGAGGATGAGGAGCTGGCGGACGTGAGACAGCTGGCGGAGGATCCGTGGGGGCATTGGAGTTGGTTGAAGAGGGTGAAATAGCTCACCAGGAGGGACGGGGAGGGTAGGATGGGAGAATCCGGGAGGTGTTTCAGTGATATGACTTATGATACGGTTGAGGCGTTGTAGGTATAAGCCCCTAAGCCCTTGCGACCTCTGACATATGCCCAGTTGTGTAGCATGTCGGATATCGCTTTGGTATCACAGGATGGGATGAGATAAAGCATTAGATGGTATTGTACATCTTGTATATACCTGACATACTGCGAGACATGAACAAATGGCGTCGCAGGAGATTCCTAGGGCAACTGCCAATCTCCAACACTCTTGCTAATAAAGCCCTTCAACTACGTCTCCGAACATTTGAAGCTGTTCAGTTCTGGTCTTCTGGACCTAAGGAGATAAGGTACCCCGCGCCCCACTTTGTGATGTCAGTGGCAGACTCCATCCAGTCAGCCTTCCTTCCCCTCGTCGCGGATTCTGCACGCAGCATCGCAGACCAAATTTCACCCCAAATCCGAAACATACATCGCCATGGCCGCTGACCCTCCCAAGGCCGACCCGGCCAAGGCAATTGAAGCGATCCGCGAAGCTCGCCCGCCCGCGACCGACCGCTTCACGTACCTGACCATCATCGAGGCCAACCTCTGCCGCGAAGTGCTCCCCACGCTCAATGAGGTCCTCCAAGACGCAGAGCTCACCCAGGAAATAGGATGGGACTTGGTGAACAACCTCGTCAGCCTGCCCGGCGCCGAGCACTGTCTCGAGACGGTTGCGCGGCTGGGCAATCCACGAGAGGTGATCCTCAAAGTGCTCGAGACGCTGGAGCTCTTGCTGGGCGAGGGCGAAGAGGAGGAAGAGGAAGAAGAAGAAGAGAAAGAAGAGAAAGAAGAGAAAGAAGAGAAAGAAGAGAAAGAAGAGAAAGAAGAGAAAGAAGAGAAAGAAGAGAAAGAAGAGAAAGACACAGAACAAACGGTTTCGCCGACACACAAGTTCATCACCCTCCTCGGCATGCTCGCCATCCTCCATAAGCGCATCAAGACCAAGTATCCCAGCCGCTTCCTCGCGCAGACCCTGCAAACCGTCTACAGCACCTACCGCCCCAACCAAGAGATGACCGCGTCGGTGATCAACCTTGTGCACAGCCTGTCTGGCCAGCGGAGACCGCCGCTGCCGTCGAGGAAGTCCTCCGTAAACGTGGCCAACCCGGATCAGGACGGCGACGCGTCCAAGAACGCGCCAGATCCCGAGGCTGACAGGGACGAGCGGGAGGACGACCCGACCGAGGTTGCGCTACAGCAGAAGCTGCTGCTGAGCTTTGCGACGTGCATTCTGGAGGCGTACGTCAATGGAAATGACATGGCGTGGGCGGCGAGGCTCCTGGAGTTCTACAGCCCGGACAAGATCGTGCCGGGGAGGAGGACGCTGATGGCTGCTTTCCGGGAAGAGCAGGAGCTGCTTGCCAGGGATGCTATTGTTGGGAAGCTAGTGGTGAGTGTTGCCGCCTGCCGGCGTGGGAACGACGACGCGCTAACCTCTCGCAGGCACTGATCGGCGACCTCGGTCTCGACTCATGCTCGAAAGACTTCATCCACCAGCTCTGCGACGGCCCAATGCACAGCGAGCCGCTTTCTGAAGCCGGCGAGCTCTCTACTCCAGACAAAATTGCCCTCTCCACCGGCGGCTGCGTCTGCCTGCTCGCCTACTGGGTGTTCTCGTCCACCCTCTTCGACGCCGCGCACAGCCAGCCGGAGATGCGCATCTTCCCGGAGCACTTTGCCGTGCTGGAGAAGTTCCTGCAAGACGACGCCCACACCCAGATCCAGCGATCCGTCGGCACCATAGAGGCCCTCCTCGCCCTGGGCCTCTGGCTCCAGTCCAACAACCTGATCTCCGCCACGCCGACCTCCCCGCTGACCAACCCGACCACCTCCCCGGAGGACTCAGCGTCCGATTTCATGCGCTACATCCATCTCACCACGCTAATAGCCCTCTACCACCCGCAACTCCAAGCCCGCAACGCAGCCAGCGTGCTCGCAGGCCTGGTCCTGCACTCGGACCCGTCAGACGACGACCGCCTGAAGATCCTCGAAGATCTGCTGGAGAACTGCATGTACGCCAATCTCAAGGCGCGGGCGGTCGTCTGGTTGCGGGAAGAGCTCATATCCGCCTCGGCGGCTCCATCCACGAGTGGCACATCCACCCCGCGACAACAACAACAGCAGCAGCAGCAGCAGCAACAGCCACAAAATCTCTTCGCCACCCCTCAAGCCCTCGAGACAGTGCAATACGTCGTCTTCCCCTCGTTGGACTCGCTGCTCGACCTGCCGACGCCAGACCTAGTCGAGTTTGTCGTGGCGAACATGCCCTTCCTGATGCAGGCTGTCAACTTTGCCGTCTTCCTCTGGGGTTCTCTATCAGGCGATAGCAATACTGAAACCGCTAGCAGTAGCAACAGCAGCAACCGGTGGAGGCATGTCCTGCCCGCGAACATGGAAGCTGCCGTCGAGGAGAGGTGGGTTAAGCCGCTGAGGGAGGTGGTGGAGCGCGTGGATAGGGAGAGGAAGAGCGGTGAGTTTGGACAGGAGGCCGTCCCCGTGGAGATGGGGATTTTGGAGGGAGAGCTGAGTCTGTTGACGGAGCGAATCTCGCGGCTGGAGGGGGCCGGGTCGGGGGCCGGGGGTGTCAAGGCTGGCGCGTGACCATGATATGATATGATGGCTTGGGGTTTCATCCTCCCTGATTCCAGGTTGAGGTAGGTAGGCTACCTTACCTAGCAGGGCACGTGATGGGAATCATACCTATCTTGCCAGCTAGCTTGGAAGGAGAGAAGGGCTGGCGGCTCGGACTGGATCGTGGCGGATGACAGGAGGATAGTATATGGGGATGGGATTTTTTTGCGCGAGGTTGCTTTGCTTTCTTTTATGTGATCTAGCGGTTTTTCACTGCAGGTGTGGTGCGGACAAGTAGCGTGGTAAAACAAAACGGCGACATGCTGTCCTTATTCTAAAGAGGAGTTCCCTTCTCTGGGATAGGTAGGTGAGGCGGACGATGAGCCCGTTGTGAGAAGGTGTAGTGTATCATTGGGGTGTTTGTGTTTAGATTCACAGAAAGGGAAACCAGCTCAGCTCCCGTGCTGATCCGAAACCTTTAGGAAACTACCAGGTAGGTAATTACCGTATATATCACCCGACAGTTTCACCTGGTCTCACTCTTGCTCAAGACGCAGGATAAGTCCTACCTACTGCATAATACGTAGGTCCTGTACGATGCCGGTAAAAGTAAGCCTTTATCTTGTCGACCTTAAGACACTGTCGGAGTGTGAGTGTGAGCTGACCGTGGCGATGAAGATGCGATCGTCGTTGCGTGACTGCCTGGTTTCGGAGATACCTACCTAGGTATACGATACAATCCAACGTGGCTCTGGAATACCACCTCATGTCTGAGAGCTGCTAGCCCGGAGCTCAGCAATTCAACCATCCTGGTGTATTACTATAGAGCCGATGTCACTGAAGCTGGTCTCGACCCTGCCCCATCACCCCATCCAGAGGCGCCAAGCCGGCTAGCGCCGAGCCTAAAATCGAAACCCCTGGCGAGTGCCAAAGCCATGATGTCATCGCCAGCCAGGGGTCAAACAGCCGGAGCTTTCCTCACGCTACTTACCTTGCCAACTGCAGGAAACGCACGTGTGGACGAGTGATATGACCGCTCATTGCGGACTGGTGTTATAGCTTGTTCATATTAAGACAAGCACACTTTCGCTCAATGTAGTTTACGTGCTGGGAGCCTGCCACGAACAAGCCAGGGCTGCTCGGCAGTTGAGCAAGGGCCTCGGCACTACGTCAGAGCTACACATGTGCCCAGACTTATTAATGGAAGATGATCGCTACCTACCTACCTTACCTATCTCACCTGCTATATCCATGGTGAGCGACATTACACGAGCAGGAACGGTGCCTTGCCTCGAAAAGGTTTGCTCTTTCCAGTTCCAGCATTTTCCCGTCAACACTGGCTTTTGAGACGATTATCAGAGAAGGGAAGTGCAGCGTTGCAGTCGGCATCGCCATGGTCTAGAAGCGATCAAAACCGACATTCAACCTTCTGCCATAGCTGGAGCGTGTACCTACCGAAATAACCAAGGCACCTCTAGAAGATCCCACACAACCAGAACGAACCATATATCCCACCGTCCCACCTCCGGAGGCCGTCTCATAGCGCAATGCCTACACCATCGGACCCCTCTCCCGAGGGCAGCGAGCCACTTCGTGTGGTAACAGCGCCCCGGGATGGTAGCCATGCCACCGTCGTCCGCGATGCGGGGGGCGACATCATCTACCCTTCCTATGTCCCACCCGAGACGCAGTCGCCAACCTCGCCAACCACATTAAAAGGGTCCGCCACTGGGCCCCCTCAGCAGGGAGACAACACGCCTGCCGTCGTGATGCGGCAAGCGGGGACAAATATCTCGACAATGGACCGAAAAGGCAAAGCCGAGAGCGACTCGTCGTCGTCCGAGTCTTCGTCCGACGAGGATGAGAGCACGAAGCAAGCTCGCAGCAAAAGAGCGCGAACGAAGAAAGCGAAAAGAAAGAAGAACGCAGCAGACGACGACGACGAGGAACGCTACCGCCGCTTCCGCTTCGGCAACGAGCACTACCGCACCAAGGGCCGAGTCAAGAGCGACGGCCGCCTGAGCCTGAACGTCCTCGACACCAGCACCACGGGATACCTAGCGAAGGCCGTGGGCCAAGCAGCACGCAAGATGGTCCCCGGGACTCTGGCCAAACCCCCTACATCAGAACAACAACAACAACAACAACAACAACACCAACACTCAGACCAGCAGCCGCAGCCGCAACCTACGCAGCCCACTGCTCCCCCCTCATCAGAAAAAGCCCGCCCACCGCGCCTGAACATAGTGATAATGGTGATCGGCTCGCGGGGCGACGCACAGCCGTTCCTCAAGATCGCCAGTCTGCTGCACACCGAGTACGGCCACCGGGTGCGCATCGCAACGCACCCGGCCTTCCGCGACTTCGTCGCCAAGGACTGCCCCGGGGTCGAGTTCTTCAGCGTCGGCGGTGACCCGGCCGAGCTGATGTCCTTCATGGTGAAGAACCCGGGCATGATCCCGACCGTGGAGTCCATCAAGCAGGGCGACATCCAAAAGAGGAGGGGCGCGATGAAGACCATGTTCCAGGGCTTCTGGAGGGCGTGTATCAACGCCAGCGACGGAGAAGGGGATGCGAGGAACGTCGGGCTGTTGAAGGAGCGGGATCCGTTCGTGGCGGATGTGATCATCGCCAACCCCCCTTCGTTTGCGCACGTACACTGCGCCGAGGCGCTGGGTATACCGGTGCATCTGATGTTTACTTTCCCTTACACCCCGACGGAAGCGTTCCCGCATCCGCTGGCGCTCATCAAGCGGAGCAACGTGGAGGAAGGGTACACAAACTGGATTTCGTATCCGCTGGTCGAGATGATGGTCTGGCAGGGGCTGGGCGACCTGGTGAATGAGTTCCGCATCAAGACGCTCGGGCTGGATCCCGTGTCGACGCTGTGGGCGCCGGGCGCGACGTATCGCCTGCACGTGCCGTTTACCTATCTCTGGAGTCCCGGCTTGGTGCCGAAGCCGCCGGATTGGGGGGACGAGGTGGACGTCGCGGGGTTTGTGTTTCTCGATCTGGGGTCGTCGTTTGATCCGCCCGAGGAGCTGTCCAAGTTCCTGGAGGAAGGGGACGAGCCGCCCATCTACATCGGGTTCGGGTCCATCGTGGTGGACGACGCGGACCGGTTCACCAACATGATCTTCGAGGCAGTCAAGATGGCTGGCGTGCGGGCTCTGGTGTCGAAGGGGTGGGGTGGGTTGGGGGGTGACAGCCTGGACGTGCCCCGGAGGTGTACATGCTCGATAACACACCCCACGACTGGCTCTTCCCCAGGGTGCGAGCCTGTGTGATCCACGGCGGCGCCGGGACGACGGCCATCGCGCTAAAGTGCGGCAAGCCGACCATGATCGTGCCCTTCTTCGGCGACCAGCATTTCTGGGGGTCCATGGTCGGCAACGCCGGCGCGGGCCCAGACCCGGTGCCTTACAAGAACCTGACCGCGGAGAAGCTGGCGGAGGGAATCAAGTACTGCATCACCGGCAAGGCAAGGGAGGCAGCCGAGAGGATCGCGCGCGATATCGAGAAGGAAGGTGACGGGGCCATGAATGCCTGCAAGGCCTTCCACCGGAACCTAGTGCTCCAGGGCAAGGGGTCCATGAGGTGCTCGCTTCTGCCCGACCAGGTTTCTGTGTGGCAGATGAAGAAGACCGGCTTGCGACTGAGTGCGCTGGCGGCCGAGTTGCTGGTGGAGCGAGGGCTGGTGTCGTGGAAGAAGCTGCGGCTCACGAGGCACACTGAATGGAACGACTTTGAGGGGCCCGGAGAGCCGCTTACTGGCGTCGCGGGCTCGTTGATGTCCTCGGTGGGCGGTATCTTCGGAGGGATCGGAGGAGTGCCTTATCGGATTGGGAAGTTTGCGAAGAAGAGGAGGGAGAAGAAGAAAGCGAAGGAGGATGGGGCAGGCGGTGATTCAGGGGGGAATATACCACAGAACCCAGGAGCCTCGGAACCTAACGGTGATTCTCAGCAGAACGGCGACGTCCCTCAGATCGAGACCACAACAACCCACGCCATCGACCACGGCACATTGTCGAGAACAGCGACCGACCCGTCCAAAGAGGTTGCCCGCCAGGTCGGCCGCGGCGCCGCCAAAACCGCGACGGCCCTCGCCCGCACCCCGGTCGACCTCTTCGTTGCGCTCGTCCAGGGATTTCACAACGCCCCGAGGCTCTACGGCGACCCCACCGTTCGACGGCCCACTCGGGTAACGGGAATCCGCTCCGGGCTGCGCGCCGCGCGCCGCGAATTCGTGTACGGCATCTACGACGCCTGGACGGGCGTCGTGCGTCTTCCCGTGCGAGGGATGCGCGAGGACGGCCTGCGAGGGCTGATCTCGGGCGTCGGCATGGGCGTCACCGGCCTCGTGCTGAAGGACATTGCTGCGGTCTTGGGGCTGATCGGATACCCGCTGAAGGGGGTCGTCAAACAGCTCGAGAGAAGACGGGCGCCGCTCAAGTACATCCGGAGGGCGCGGGTGGTGCAGGGGACGAGAGAGGTGGAAACTTTGACTCAGGAAGAGAAGATGGAGAAGGTGCAGGAAGTCATAGCCGGGTGGCAGCTGATGAGGCGGCTATGGCTGGAGATGAAGAGAGCCGAGAGAAGGAAAGCGAAGGGCTTCGGAGGCAGGCTGGGCGGGAGTGCCAGGGGGTTGAGGATGAGCAGGGAGTGGAATACCGTGTTTGAGAACGTGGAAGTAGCGCAGAGAGCGCTCCATGCGCTAGAGAATGGCGAGGGGCTCGACCATATCCTGGAGCAGAGCAGCGGGGTGGTGGGGGATTCGAGCCCTGTCGCTCTCAAAGACGATACCACCACCAGCGGCAAGGTCTCGCCCGGTACTACAGACGACAGCCCGGCGTCCGGTTCGGCCCACGACTCGGTGGCACACGACATCGAGGCTCAGGACCACGCAGCAGCAGCACCGGAGGACGAGGACGAGAATCCCTTCTCGACGGCTACTCCCGCCATCGTTGAGAACAAACTCGAGAACAAAGACGAGATGGCAGAGCTTAACCTGCGAGTCGCAGCCTGATCAGCTCACGGCGCGAACCCCCCGGTCTTTTGATCCGCTTTTTGGCATTGCAGCCGTCAGCGTGCATCGTCTGGTGCCTGCTGTGCCTGTCGGGAGGGGTTACCACATGGCGTGGGCGTTTCGGATGGGACAGGACAGGACAGGTGCGGCGTGGCGCCGCAGCCGGTGGGCATCTGTCTCCCCGTGAGCGGGACGATGTTTCCTTCGTGCGGACAGAGGATAATGCATGGGATACAACCGGGCAGACCCAGTCTCGCGACGAATTACTATGCTATAGCTAGTTTTCATAATGCAGTTAATACCCTTTGTAAGTTAAGGATGTTCCGTTACTGTCGCCGCGCATATTGTCCCCGTGCACCTACCGGAAGGAGACACAAGCGTCGAAATGATCTGGTTGCGGAGCTGAACGGCGAGACCGAGACCACGACACTATCGCCGTTGCAGTGCCGCAACACAACAGGAAGAACATGCACTGTAGTATTACATTCCCAATGCCGTCAAACGAGTCAGGACAGCCTTCGCTGACTGCATCTTTGGTTGAATGTAACAATGTGTCGCTGCACTACGACGAAGAAAGTTGCTGGTTGGGTTCGGTGCATTCTCTGGAACGCAGCGATCTTGACCCCACCCTGGCTGTGGCTCCGCAAAGTTTCGGCGACCGAGTGGGGCAAACAGGTGGAGCGCAACGTTTGCCGAGAACGATCCCATCTCTTGGCAGGGGAACATGGGGCTTTATCCCGGGCACTGTTCTCGATCGAAGTCGGATGGATCATGGATGAAAGTCGCTCCCTCCTCCGGATCAGAACGATTCTACTACACCACAACATGTGCTGGATGAGCTTCCGTTTGTCTCTTTCTTTTGCTTCCCATTGTTGATTGAAGCTAGATGATTCTGTCTCCTCGAGCCGTATTTAGGTTCTGAAGGCAGCTGCGCCACCTGCGGCGTTACTGTGTGACCTGCCGAAGCGCTCAGCCAGAGCATCATGATCAGCATTATTGGTTACTTGTACGCTGAAATTGGCCGCTTCGGCGATGCTGTTTATGGCACCACCTGCTGCAAGAACCGGTCGGAGAGGACATACCTATCTATACCTATCCAATATGAGAAATAGCATTGTGAATTGACTCTCCGGGTAGAATTGCGTTGCCTCTGCTAGGTTTTAGCCCCTGTCATCTTACACCCCGGCCTAGCCTCCATACGGTAGTAGTTTGATTGCTCCTACGCTAGCGCCGGGACTGAAGGAAGCTTGGTCACTCTTGTTGAATCGCTTGAATCCTGCCATTGTGATAATCCCATGCTTCCCAAACCGCCACCCAGAACCCAATTCTCTCGTTTCCCGCTCAAGCTACATCCACGGAGCCCTGGAACACCAGCGAGAGACATGCCGCTCACGACATAGCTAACACGGTAGTGACGACGAGGCCAGTTAAGCCGGTAATGACAGAGCAAGACGAGACACAATGGCCGACAGCCCAGTCCATCCGGACCTCCACCCGTCCCCAAACATGGCCAACGCCAACGCCCACGCGCACTCCAACTCCCTCCACCTCCCCATCCAAGGCGGCCCCGGCCACGACGACATCGAGCTCACGCCGACCAGGCGCCCCTTCCAAGAAGAAGTCACCAGCCCGTTCCCGGAGGTGATCGAGCGGTCAAGGCTCGCGCCAGAGGTAGTGCCACACTCTACCCTAGAACTAGCGCCGGTCGCCTACAGGCGACCACCACCACCACCACCACCACCAGCAGCAGTAGCGGCGGACCTCAAGCGATGGGAAAGCACAAAGTCGCTGAACAGCCACTACTCCACTCCGCCGCCATTCACACACACACCACCACCGCCGCCGCGTCCTGTGCTGGGGTATGGTGGTCATGGCTATAGCGACCTGAGCAACAGCAGAAGCAGTCCGTATGATGATCGGCGGCCGTTGCCGTTGCCGATGATGGACGCAGGTGCGGCGGGCGGGGACGGGGACGGACGGATTTGCGGGATGCGGAGGCATCTGTGCTGCATCGGGTTGGCGATTGGCGTGTTCTTGCTCGTGGTTGCTATCGCGACCGGGGTTGGGGTGGGGATTGGCACGCGGAGGAAGAGGTTAGTCCCTGTTTTGTTATGTTTTTTTTTCTTTCGGTTTTCTTTATTATTTTCGCTGCATTTCTTTTGACATCTCCGGGGCTTCCTTTCTTCTTCTCCCGTCCGTTCCCGTGCGGTCCCGTCCCGTCTTGGCCGGTCCAAGCTGCCGGAACGGGACCCGGTGGGCGGGCCAGGGAGTTCCCAGGCCCGGCCCCACTTATTACCCAACGTCCCGGATCGCCCGAGGGCATTATCCAACCTTTAACACAATAATAAGATGCGGAAATACCCTACTGACTGACTGGTTACAGCAGCGATCCATCGCCTAGCCCGTCATCAACTCGCACGCTCCCGGCTCCGACAGCCACCAATGCGCCGTCGAACTCCAATGCGATGATGGCCTGCCCGGGCAACAACCTCACCATCTATACCTCCCAACAAAAACCCCAAAAGAAGTGGCTGCTGATGTGTGGTCGCGGTAGGTATTCACTTCCCCTACCCTTCCCCCTTTGGAGTTTGGACTGCCTGCCTCTTTACCCCTTACTCTGTCTCTTTTCCCTCCCGACGCATCTTTCCCTCACTAACTAACCGCAATAAACCGGCCGGGCCTGTTCAGATTACAACTCACAACTCAGCTTCACCGTGGACATGTACAACACCGTGGCAGCCACCCTGTCCGACTGCCTGGACATCTGCGCCGGGCAGGACGGGTGCGTGGGCGCCGGGTGGGGGCGGAACAGCTGGAACGACGGGCGGCCGACGTGCTGGCTGAAGAGCCAGCTGGGGCAGTGGAACGACGCACCGAATTGGTCGTTCTTTGTTGAGGACTCTGGGACTACGTAGGTCGTGTCATGGATTATTACTCTGCTGCTTAATTGAGATGTGTGTTTAATTTTATTGTGGACTTGCCCAGCCCCAGGGGAATCTCACTTTTTTGGTGGGGGTGTCGAATCTTGAAGGGCAACAGCGTTGGTGGAATTACCTTATGGCCTGGGTTTTCTCTTTTCTAATAAATATCGTAGAAGGAGCAGCGAGTCTTTTCTTCGTTGACGTGGACCGGCCATGATGGGATCATGCTGATGAAACGCAGGGGAGAGGGCAACTGGAAGGTGCGGCGGCATATGGATGACGATGTACTTGAAGTCGGCACGGTTAGTGATTAGAAAAAACTAAGGCTTGGTGGAACAGAGCAGAGCTCGATGGCAGGCGCAGATAGATCACAGCAGTCGTCCCATCAAAAGAGAGAGTGTTGCGGGTTGGAGGACCGTCAGATACCTGATAAGGGGCCGGTAAATATCAGAGGGAGAAAGCGAAAAAAGAGAGGCTACCGCGAATCGAACATGTGGTCCTACAAAGTCCGCAGCAGGGCTACCCACGCGGAGAGTGTTGGACAATTTTTCACAGCTCGACCACTACGCCACGAAGAGGTTTCGTGTTGTGGTGTGTGCGGTAGCGGTGGTGGGTTGGAAGGAGAGCCCGGCCCTCGGCCTTATATGCCTGGGACTTGGTACCTGGGTACCTACTTGTCCCTTCCTGCATTAAACCAGCCCGCCTTGATCATCCAGTAGAAAATCAACCCCGTCCATGGAAAATCACCTACCTACCTTACCGCGCCCTCTCATAATAATCCAACGGCAACCCCAACGCACGGCATTGCTCCCCCTCGGTAAACCCACGCACCGTCACCGACCTCGGCCAATCCAGCACCCTCACCCTACCCCTTCCCCTGGTACTGGGCTTCCACCTGCCCTCCCCATCAACATTCCCCTCCACCACCAACCTCAGGGTATTCCCATACCCCCTCGCCCGCAACCACCCCAGATCGGGATTGGGATCGCCCCCGCTCCTCATAAAACTCACAAACGAGTCCAGCACGAATTGCTCAAACGGCAGGTCCCCTTCGTCCCGCACCGGCAGACCCTGTCTGGCCAGGTTCCCAAAGACGTAGTACAGCTCGCCGGAATGACATCTCAGATATGGCGTATGAACCGGGTCGCCGTGCGGGTGTGTTTTACTCGTCTTTTTGTTGTAGGCGGGCGAACAGACGTCGAGGTCTGGCCAGCCGGCGGGCTGGTAGGTCCTGTTGAACTCGTAGTAATACACCGAGGGGAAGCGCCCACCACCACTCTGGATTGAGGAATAGACGGTGGCTTGGTCGATGCAGCGGAAGATGCCGTCCGTCGCGACGCGAGCGGCCGAGGTGAACAGGTCGAGGGTTGCGTTGCCCGTCGTGGGGAGGACGGGGAAGAGTTTGTCGAGCGTGGTGGGCGGCAGGGAGGGAAAGCCGTGTGATGCGAGGTAGGCGGATTGGTTTAGGCTGGTTGTGTCGTTGTTGCTGGAGGGATAGCCGATGAAGGGCGCGCCGTCGTCGCGCGTGATGCCCATCATCAGGCTGACGTTGGACGGCGGACCACCACCACCACCGGTGAGGCGCAGTTCGGGCGTGGTGAGGTAGGTACCGTCCACGACCAGGAAGCGCGCCGGGTTGGCCAGACCGGTGAGGGCGTGCGGCGGCAGCGCGCGGAGGCAGTCGACCTGGTCCTGGGTGCAGTTGGTCGCGGCGAGGATGGCGTCGGCGGCCACGGCGACCTGCTCGTCGATGGTGTAGTACCGGCTGTACGTGGTGCCGTAGTTGATGCCCCCCAGGTTGCTGAGCATGATGGCGCCCGCGAACTTGCCCTCGGCCTTGGGGGAGGCGAGCAAGGCGCGCACGCTGGCGGCGCCCGCGGACTGGCCGAAGACGGTGATGCGGTTCTTGTCGCCGCCCAGGGCGTGGATGTGCTCGCGCACCCACTCGAGCGCCGTGATCTGGTCGGCCAGGCCAAAGTTGCCGTTGGTCTTGCCGTCGCGCAGGGCCAGGAAGCCGAGCGTGCTCAGGCGGTAGTTGATGGCCACCACGACCATATCCCCCCGCGAAGCCATGTTGCCGCCGTCGAAGGTTGCGTCGTTGGCCGTGCCGCCCGTGAAGGCGCCGCCGTGTATCCAGAAGGCGACCGGCCGCAGCGTCCCTTTTGGGGGAGCGGCCGAGTTCGGGTTGGGGAGATACGGCGTCCACACGTTGAGGAACAGGCAGTCCTCGGTCCCCGTGTCGGTCCCCTGAGCGCATTGGGACCCGTACTCCAGCGCCGAGGCAGCTTCTCCGGAGCCCCTGAACAGGGTCGAATACGTGAACCGCTGCGGTTGGGCCGCGTAGCGGATCCCCAGGAAACGGAAGGACAGACGGTCCCGGAATCTGCAAAAAGAAGAAAGAAAGAAAAATGTAAGCCAAGTGTCTCTCGCCTGTGGTCTTTCGTGACGCACCCTGTGAGAGTCTGGTTGTTGACATCCACGCTGATCTGCCATCTAGCGCTCGTGTCCTGCGAGCTCTGGGTCGAGAAGGGGGCCGAATTCGTGCAGAGACCCGGGAAGCGCGCGTGAGCCGGTCCGCGGTGGCGGCGTCCGGCCATGTCAACGGCATTGACGCCGGCGCTCGCCGCTGCCCAGAAGCTGGACGAGGCGTTGGCTCTCCCTTCATACTGGAGGTATTCCGCGAACGCCGGGCCCCTTGCCGCCGCAGGCCGCCAGAGCTGCTCGCCCAGCTTGGCGCACACGTCTGGTGCGTCCTTGTAGAGCTTGGCGTCCGTGACGATCACGACCTCTGTGCTGGCTGATGCTTCACGGAAAAGGTCAGTCAGTTCCGTCTCTGTGTGTTGAGGAGGCAGATACCGGACAAAAGCAGCATTATGCCGGCATACTGCATACTGCATACTGCATACCCTGGAGATCATTGTTGCTCAAGATGGTCAGGCTCGTGTCCAGACGCCGCAGGGACTCGCTCGCACCAAGGCTGGCGAGGGCCGCCAGTGCCACCCCGACCAGGTGCATCTTGGAGAAGGTGGAGATGCAACAGGGACGGAGACGAGATCTGGGCTTCCAGGAATGGCGGAAGGATAATCATGTAATGTCTTGGGGTGAAACTTTAATATGACGCTTCCGTCCCCGCGGGGTCGGTACTCGGGTAGTGGCAAGCCACCGGTCCTCCAGTACTTCCGTCCCTTCGCGCCTGTTGCCCCTTTCTATGTAAGGTGCATCTTGCTGGCGGCTATGGTTATTACTATTTTGTTAGTGGTGCAGCGGGAGAAGATTATCCGCGGCTCGAGATTCCGGATCCAAACCCAATGCTGGAATCTGGGCCAAAGAGACGTCAGTATCTCAGCCGGACCACCTCCCGAAGCGATCAGGTTGAGGTTCTTCCCGGCTCCAGAGGAGAATCATGCGAGTGGCAGACCGGGAGTGACATCGGGCCTGAACTGTGCTGAACAGGCTAAATGGAGGATGCCCGCTCCGCCTACCGGGTTGCACGGACGACCGGGTGGGGATTTTGTTTCCGGGCTTCTGGGACGGAGTGGGTAGCGATAGTCGTCATTTCTTAGCATACTAGTACCTCTTAGTAGCTTTGTGTAGAGACTCTAGCTCATCCGTACAACCGAGCCCGCGACTCGATCATATCCACTCCCCAGTCTATGGTAGAGCGCGGGCAATGTCATTACTATATCTAGCCGGCTAACGACGTCTCGGGCAAGGTCATCTACATATAATAGTAACACAGCTCGGAATGGAACTGGGAATCGCCGGACTACACTGAGGCAAGTCTCGAGCTCTTCAAAGAGTTCAAATCCCGAGGTCACTGACCGGCTCGGCCGGCTCGTCTCAAAGAACGAGAGCTAGGCGTGTGGACATTGCGTCAATGCTCTCGGACGTACTTGTTTCCCTCCATCCCGCGATGCGCTCCCTAGAAGCAATACGTTTTGTACATGTATTATCCCTGACTGCAGTCTCCCTTGTGAACTGCATAATGTTAAGAAACCATTTGGAACCGAGTCTATTTATTTAGTTGCTTTGACGTCACTACTAGTACTAGCTACCCCTTGGCCTTCCATGTCTGAATTGATATGATGGCTGATTCTGGTGATGTGAGAAGACCGCCGCGGACTCCTTAGACTAGACACGGCAGGGAGTGGACGATGAATTCCGTTCACTGCTCGTTTCCATCGCTCGGAGGCATATGAAAACGATCTGCATGACCCAGAAATGGGCAGTTCTGAACCCATACTACCAGTGTTCACAGTTCTGGACAGTACTATACCGATAGCTACTGATGTCGTTATTTATATGGACTCTCCTTCTCGGGTAGTCCTCAAACATTCAAAGAAAACCGCGGACTTGAGGTATTATGCCAAACTACCCCCTCAAACTCTCTTTCCTCTCGTTCTCTGGCCCTTCCACAATGCCGCAACAATCCTCTCTGAGAAGCACTCTTGGAGTTTCCCGCCCAAATGAATCGTTGCTCGGCTTCAGGGTTTCTGGACAAACTTCTCGGGTACAACGTGATGTATGGCTGGCGAGTTGTTCTAAGATGGCCGATCCCTCTCTTACGATGAAGGCTACCTGGTGTCTCATGGAAATTGAGCAGTTGGTAGGCTCGCAAGACTGTCTTGTTCACGGATTGAAGAATCCGGGAACCGAAATCAGAAGCTTGTCGCATGTGCTTACCTCGACCCCTAGGCCGGGTTCGCTGATATGGGCTTAGGTATGCATCTTTTGACCTTACGTAATGCAACTAGACTTATGACATCGGCAGAGGGATCGGTCTTTGAATTTGATGATCGCTTGGAAGCTGACCTAATTACCTCTTACATGAACCCGAAGGTTGATAGCCATGCACTCACTCGGTAGCTGCTCACATCATCCTCATCCTCGAAGGTTGCATTCCAGAATATTCAAACCTTTCATGCTCATCTCAAGAGACCAGCTTGGACTGCAACGTCGGCGCAAACGACCGCATCGATAAATGTTGTAAACTTTGCAGTCATGGTAGGATCAGACACGGTGGAAAGAAAGACCTCGGCACCTCTTATTAGAGATGAGCGTTCCGTGATCACGAATGAAAACATCGAAGCAACACCGACCCTGACCAGTCTCGGTCGAAGATATGGGACACTTAAAAGACGAACTGTGTAGCTTCCCTTCTCTCTTTTTGTCTTCGGGCGCTTTCCCCTTTTTTTATCTTCCGAGTCATTGCAGCATCCTTTCTTTTTCGCTCTCCATACTTGCTTTTCGCAGCTGGCCTGCTCGGCATATGTAAGTTCCCGCCGCATGATTGGCTCTAAGAGGAGGAGACGTCTCGTATCTCCTCATGAGCCGAGCGCCTCGTGACACAGGCTTTCTGATATTCGCTTCCGCGATCAGACTCGCATCCGTATCGATTTTCACAGACGTAGTAACTAGGTAATTTGAAGGGCCCTTGTGACTTGACAAGCTGAAGACGGTATTTCCCCTTTTCACAGAATTCAGAGTACGGGGTATCTCCAATTAGCGGAACTTACCAGGTATTAATTCACAGAAGCGTCCGTGCTGAGCTTCGTCGCCGAGTGGGGTTAGTGGGCGGTCGCCGTGGTTCTTCACCCACCGTTGAGTTCGAGGTTTCATTCTCGCCGTTTGAGCTGCAAGGGGCGCCAATCAGAGATCCTTTTGATTGTGCTTGCTCCGACTCTGCAGTGCGGGCTTCCATCCGCGACTGGGGCCCGCGTCGGGGCATCCATCGAGCTCTCGAGACCGAAAAGGCGGTGTCTCCTGAACGCTCGAGATGCTGTCTTCGCCCAAGTTGATGCTCTGAAGGTCGATGAGGCGCCTTCAAGGCAGCTGTTGGTAGAAAAATTGATAATTGCCTGCGATCTAGGTCAGAAGTTCCCGGTACAGCACAGAATACCACCCAACTCGAACCCTGGTGGGGACGCAGCAGACACCAGGGACCGGGCAGCAAGAAAACAAGCGCGTCGGAGCAATTGAAGACAGGCGGGAGGTGACAAATCGTCGCCGTGAGCAATTGGCCTTGCTGCCCTTCCCCTGTCGTCTCATCAATCGGCTGTAACCCCTTCCTCAACTGCTCCTTCCACCACTTCGCCGTCCTGCCTTGATTCTCCCCGCAACGCCCGCGCTTTGAATCCGAAAAATCGTCTGATCTGGCAGATCTGGTCGCCGACCATGGACCCACAACCCGGCTCGTCTTCGGTGTCTAGCGAGAGCCCAGGCACCAGCACCCCAGCCGCACCGGGCTCAGTCTCGTCATCAGTTCCGTCCGTGACCGTCGCGGCATGCTTGGGATGCGTAAGATTTTCAACCAGTCCTCTCGCGTACCGTTCTTTTTATGATGCTCGTTATTTTATTACCTATGCGGTCATGTGCGGTGCTGACCAATTGCTCCCCGATGCACAATCCCATAACAGCGAGGCAAGCATCTCAAATGCGATGGAAACACCCCTTGCTCCCGCTGCACCAGCGCCGGCATTGAGTGTCTCTACGTGCCCTCTCGCCGGGGATACAAGGGGCCCAGGAGGAACACGGCGCAGAACCCGAACAAGCGCCATGCGTCGTCCTCGCCCGAGTACGCCGGCCCGACGGGGAGCTGTCCCATGCTGCTGGGACACGGGGGCGTGTCTCTCGCTCCGCAGACCCTCGCGGGCTTCAACCCGGCGATTGTGCTCCCGGACCAGCCCCAGCTCACTTATACGGCGCCCGCCCCGCTGAACAATGTCCACCTCTACACCCGCAACCCGTTCGCGCCAGGAACCATCATGACTGCCGACACGCTAGCCCTGACGACCGCCGCGGCGACTACGCCGGCCGCGCCCCCGGTCCAGCCGCCGGCGCCGACGCTCGCGGAGCGCTGCTTCGACGCCTTCTACCACTACTTCCACGCCGGCCACCCGTTCGTGCTGCCCAAGGAGTACTTCCTGCGCATGCTCAAGGACGGCACGACGCCCAACCTCAACGTGGTCATGGCCGCGATGCGATACATCGGCTCGCTGTACGTCGACGCCGGGCCCGCGCGCGCCACCTACCTGGACGAGGCCATCCGGCTCTGCTACCAGCCCGGCACGGCCAAGGACGGCTTCCTGATTCAGGCGCTCCTGCTCATCATCGTCGGCCTGGACGGGCAGTGCAACCAGGCGCGCGCACGGGAGCTGCTGGCCGACTGCGAGCGCTTCGCCATCGAGATCGACCTCAACAAGCGCGAGTTCGCCACCCTGCACGGCCGCGGCAACCCCGTGCTCGAGGAGAGCTGGCGGCGCACGTGGTGGGACCTCTACGTCTGCGACGGCATGATCGCCGGCGTCCATCGCGTGACCAAGTTCCTGCTCTTCGATATCCAGGCCGACGTGGGCCTGCCGTGTGAGGAGCAGCAGTATCTGTCAGGGGTAAAGCCAAAAATGCGCCCCGTAGAACCCCAACAGGGGAGTGCCTAAACCAACTCGGCTAACCATATTTGTATTTCCCAGCGTATTCCGCCACCCTCGTACATGGAGGACTTCGACGACCAGGACTTTTCCGGGGAGGACAGAGAGTTCTCGTCCTTCGCGTACCGCATCGCCGCGGCCCGCAACCTGGGGCGGATGATGCGCATGCCGCCCGTCATGTTCCCCGGCGACGAGAACGTCAACCGGGTGCAGTCGCTGCTGAGCAACTGGCGGATGCACCTGCCGGAGTCGAAGCGGGACGACCTGAGCAAGAACTGCCAGCTCGACGAGATGATGTTCCAGGCGCACTTCATCACGCATGCGTAAGTGATTTTCTTTTTTTTCTCTGCCGCGTTTTACCCTCTGTTCTCCTTCTCTCTCCTATCATTATTATTCACTCCATCCTAACTCGGTCACCAAAGCTGCACCATCATCCTCCACCAACCGCTCTCGCAACTCGACACCTCCCCGACACAGGCGGTCAACTCGTGCGCGCCGCATCGGGCCGTGCCCTCGGGCGACGTCTTCAACACGCACACGCGGCACACCCTGACGGCCGCCTCAGAGATCTCCAAGATGATCACGCAGGCGGTGCCCATCACGCACCACACGCACTTCTTCACGTGCGTCATCACGCTGTCGTCCATCGTGCACCTGTCCAAGTGGGCGCTGTACTTTGTCGACGACGAGGACCACCTGCGGCAGCAGATCCGGCTCAACATCGGCGCGCTCAACCGGCTCAGCAAGGTGTGGAAGGCGGCCGACACGGCGTGGGGCCAGGTCCGCGGCGTCGCGCAGGAGATCTACCGCGAGAAGAAGGCGCAGCAGATCAGCCCGGCCTTCTGGGTCGGCTTCACGCAGGAGCAGATGATCTCGTCCATCAATGCCGACGAGGGCATCATGAGCGAGTTCAACAGCGTGGCGGCGCAGCAGCAGATGTTGGGGAATGGGCATGCGCATGGGCATGCCCATGGCGCCGGGGTTAGTCAGGGGTAGTACCTAGGTACTACAGCACATAAGGTAGGGGGTTGTGTGTTTGGTGCTACCTTATACTATGGCATGGCATGATTGGATTTGGGATGGTTTTTGCCAGCAGGTCTCGGGAAAACGGAGTTGGGGATTTATATTTATTTCGTCTTCGGCAAAAGGTATTAATCATGAGAACCGAAAATACTGAAAGGGGGTATATATACTAGGAGCATCTTTTTGACAGTGGATGGGAGGAGCCTTATGAAGGGAGAGTTATTATCTGTCCGAGCTCTCTCATGGCAAGCGTTGCAAGCTATTAGTGCCTACTACCTTTTCCGCGCTGCAACTTGTGTATATCGATCACCTTACCTGCTCCAGAGTACTTCGGTCCAGGTCTGGGAAGAACTTGAAAAGTAATCCGCCCTAACCTCTCTTACTTACTGTCTTGTAAGGCAGTCCAGGAGGCGGACCTAGTCGCCGAGAGGATGGTTCGATGTTTAACCCACTACCGTACTAGTATTTTCCTTGTTCCTCTTTGAAGAAATGAAGACTCGGGGATATAGCGGAGTGTGGTGGGGTGGGCGAAGTCTGGGCAGTCGCCGACGATGGGTTGGTGTGGTAGGGCTGACTGAGAGGCAGGGACAGTTTGTGTCTCTCACTCGGGCGGCGATCCCGGGCACTCGGCAAACACCATGCTTGGCTCAGCCCGGCCTGCGCCTCACCCATGGGTCTGGCGGTGACCTCGCTGTACATAAGTACTGTACGTACTAATGGATTGCTACCTACTAGTGTACAGAGTATGTATGTACAGTACACTACCTAATAACGTTAACTCCGGAGCAATCCGTCTTGCCCCCGGCGTAATCGGCGAACCCCATGGGTCTGATTCGGCGCTAGTATGCTGAGAAGCTAGATCCGATTCAGCTGCGGTGTAAGCGGGCTCTTCGTTGTGCTAAGGATTGCAACCACACCAGTCCAGTCTGACATGCACATGCATTGGTTGGCTCCCCCGTGGCGATAGGTTCCCGCACATTACCTTCACATGGCAGATGCACATTCTTCGGGTGAGGTCAAGCCTTACATGTATACAGAAGTAATAATAGGCATCAGACCCGGGGAAGCTGGAATGGTACCTAAGGCCCATGGGCCCGTGGGTGGCTACCGAGTCAGCCCGACAAGGGCGGGCGGCGTTATTGTGTGCCAGATTTCTGATTTTGAGTTCTGATCTTTTTGCAAGACAGGGTTTTATGAAGGATGACGCTATGTGTATGTCGAGGTTAGTGTGTGAAGAAGGTTGCCGAGATCTGAGTATTTTCTACCACGCCATTTGGCTGGGCATACGCCAACTGGACCCCGAGAAATCAACCTCACAAAAAGTACCTATCTAAGATGGCCGTCGACGTAGGTGGCCTCCAGTATATTTTAGCCATGGGTGGTGCCTAACATACCTAGTCATTCTAGATTCTCCTGTCGTTGTCATTGTTTTGAGGGGAACACGCCCGTGGTCTTCTCCCATTATAGCTCCTCCTCCTCCTGCGACTTCACCAGCCGCTTTCCCCCCACCAGGCCTTTCGAGATGGCAGCCACAAGCATATCCTCCTCCACAACCTCCAAGAGACCACCGCCTACCGACCTCGAACAGGGCATCGCAGCCGACAAGTTTTTGCTCAACACAACCGTCGACACCCTGGCCTGGAAGGGTGTCACGGTAACTGTCAAAGATAGGGAAACCAAGCAGGCGAAGAACATAGTTGACAATGTCTCAGGCCTGGTCGAAGCCGGTACTTTCCCCCCACCCCTTCCCTTTTTCCCGCCCCTCTCAAACTAACCAACGCAACCCCCATCATTCCAGGCGAGATGCTAGCCCTAATGGGCCCCTCCGGCTCCGGCAAGACAACACTCCTCAACTTCCTCGCCTCGCGCCCCAACAATACCGGATCCTCCTCCTCCTCCTCCTCCTCAACGTCGGGAACCGTCCTCCTCAACGGCAGCGCCGCGTCCCGCGGCAGCCTGCGCGCCGTGTCGCGCTTTGTCGAGCAGGAAGACGCGCTGGTGGGGGCGCTGACGGTGCGCGAGACGCTGACCTTTGCTTCGCGCCTCTCCTTCTCTTTCGCCGGGTGCACCACCAGCAGCAGCAGCAGCAGCAGCAGGGAGAGGGTGGCGCGGATCGAGGAGCTGCTGGAGGCGTTTGGTCTGCGCGAGCAGGCGGATACGCTGGTGGGCACGCCGCTCCGGAAGGGGATCAGCGGCGGGCAGAAGAGGAGGGTGGGCGTGGCGAGCCAGCTGGTTACGGGGGCCAAGGTGCTGTTCTTGGATGAGCCGACGAGCGGGCTGGATTCGGTTGCTGGCTGGGAGGTGGTGCGGTTCTTGAGGGAGGTCGCTAAGCGGGAGAGGGTGAGTTCCGTTTTTTTTCTTTCTTTCCCTCTTTTTTTAACTATACTACTCTGCGGTGAGAGGATGGATGAGGGGGGAAGAAAACATGTTGGGCTAATTGGAAGGCAGTTGATTGTCGTGGCGTCGATCCACCAGCCGAGCACGGCGACCTTTAACCTGTTCGACAAGCTCCTGCTCATGTCGCACGGCAAGACGCACTATTTCGGGCCGGTCGCGGGCGTGCCGGCGCACTATGAGTCGCTGGGCTACGCGATGCCGATGCACGTCAACCCGGCCGAGTTCCTGTTGGAGATGGTCAACACCGACTTCGCCGCGGACAGGCAGGCGGCCATGCAGCGGCTGGCCGAGATGCAAGACGCCTGGGCGCGCTCGACACGGGCGAAGCAGCTCGCCGGTTCCCTGGCTGTGGTCGAGGAAGGAAAGGGGTCAGGGGCTGTGGAGCTCGACGCCGCCGAGAGGAGACCCGGTCTGCCGAGCTTGGTGCTGACGTTACTGCACCGGAGCTTTGTGAAGAGCCGCCGTGATGTCGTGGTGTACGGGATTCGGCTGGCCATGTACACTGGTGAGTGTTGCCCTGAGGGCTTTTCGAAGACCGAGTTTGAAGTATTCACCCACCTGCACAGCACTGGCCATCATGATGGGCACCGTTTGGTTGAGGCTGGATGCCACACAAGAGTCCATCATCCCATTGATCAACGCCATCTTCTAGTAAGTTGCCGATACCATCCACCTGTGAATATCCATTAGTGCTGACAGGCCGTAGCGGTTCCGCCTTCATGTCGTTCATGGCCGTCGCCTACTGTCCCGCCTACCTCGAAGACTACCTGCAGTACATCAAAGAGAAGCGCAACGGGCTGTACGGCTCGACCGCCATGCTCCTGTCCAACTTTCTGATAGGAATCCCTTACCTGTGTATGCCCACCGTAATACTGCCCCTGAACCACCCTCCACCCATGCTGACGGCCGACGGATGCAGTCATCTTCGCCCTCGTCTTCTCCTCCATCTCCTACTGGCTCTCCAACTTCCAGCCCACGGCCCAGGCCTTCTTCACCTTCGTGCTGTGGGCCTTCCTTGACCTGCTCGCGGCCGAGAGCCTAGTGGTGCTGATGACCTCCATCTGCCCGTCCTTCGTCATCTCGCTGGCGCTGGTGGCTTTCGCCAACGGCCTGTGGATGAGCGTCAACGGCTTCATGGTGCCGCCGACCGTGCTCAACGTGTTCTACAAATACGCCTTCCACTTCTGGGACTACCAGAAGTACGTGTTCGAGAACATGATGGTGAACGAGTTCGGCGGGAGGGTGTATAGCTGCGGGAACGGATGCCAATGTAAGAAGAATTCCGGCGCGTCTAAGTCACCTGCTGCTGCGGCTTTCCGAAGACTAATAACAGACCGTACGCAGGCATGTGGCAAACCGATCTCGCCGATCAATGCCTGATTCGCGGCCAGGGAGTGCTTGACCAGTATGGTTACAAGCCAGGGTATATGGGCAAGGACGTCGGTATCATGGTGGGCATCATTGTTGGATACCGTCTTGCGGCATGGTTGGTGCTGAAGTTGAAGAGGTAAAAAGGAGCTTCAGCCCGAGTAGATTTTGGGTTGGGGTTAGAGGACAGCTAGAGCTCTCACGAGTTAGGGTGTCACTAGAAGAGGGTTAGGGCTAGACTGGGCGGATGCGGTTTTTCTGGAGTACTAGTAACTAATACCTATGGTAGAAGCGCTTACATTTTTAATTTGGAAACGTGATCCATCGAGCCCAATTGTTTCCATCTCATGGTTAGGTTGAATGATCCCATTTCTCTGAGCGGTTGACCAGAAAATACGCAGATGGCAAGGCGCTACCAGTTACGTACCGTAGGACACGCTGATAACGGTGGTCCCACTTATCGCGTGAAAGCGTGCCGCTTTGGCGTTAGCCATCCACGCTAGAACCGGGAACTGTCCCCTCGCATTGCAGAATCCAGGCAACCTCAAGGCATATCATACCGAGCGGTTTCCGGCCAGTATGGAGCTAATAACGTCACCCCTTACGACGCTGGGTAGCATATCAACCCCAGACTCCTTCTACACGGCGCGGGGCTCAGGCTCGCCGGCCAATCCCGCTGACGAAACCGGTCTCAGCAGCCTTGCCGATGAGCAGCCCGCGGACGAGCCAAGCTATCGCGACGCAGTGCCGCTTCCACACGAATTGAAATGGCACTGCCAGATTCATCTTGAAGAGCGTCTCTGTGCGTGTCATCCCTTTTCAGCACCCTTTCAAAAAGGCTTTCCTCACTCTAACATTCGTATTTTCCCTCGCACAAAAACAGACACAGCAGCAATCCACATCCTCTCCGGCCTGCTCAGCGATGGCACCACCACCACCGCCACCACCAACACCCGACACCATCGCCAGAACAAACCCAAACCCGCGCGCATCCCCCCACCCTCCCAGCTCGCCCTCCTCGCAACCCTGCCCATCCACCCGTCCTTCACCTCCCGCCCGCTAGAAACCGCCAACGTCCACGCCGCCTCCCACGCGCTGTCCTACTTACGGAGCCTACTCCGCACCGTGGGCCCACTCAACGCCAACTTCCGCGCCGCCCTCGACTTCCGCTCCTCCTCCACCTCCACGCCCAGTTCCCACTACCCCCCCAGACCCAGAAGGACAGGACGAGTAAATGGGGGCGGGGGCGGGAGCGGGAGCAGGAGCAGAGGCGGGACCCCGCTCTCAGGCGACGACGACACGGCGTCCGCATCCTCCGACTCGGACGCGCTCGGCGGGCCGTTTGCGTCCTCCCAGCTCGTCTTCCGCCGCGCGCCCGACTTCTGGTCTGTCCTCGGGTGGGCGTTCCGGTGCGCGGCGGAGCAGCAGTCGCAGCCGCAGCAGCAGCAATCATCAACGTCGTACGCGGTTCGCTGGCGCTATTGGCGGGTGTGGCTGGAGTTTGTGGTCGCGGTGCTGGAGGCCGACTGGGACGAGCGGTTGGCCCGCGATCAGGAGGAGAGCGATAAGAGGGACGGGTATCCCATGCTGAGCGGCAGCTTGCTGGTCGCGTACCTGGACGGGCTGCGGCGAGAGCGGAAGAATGTGGTGCGCGAGGTGCTGCGGGCCGTGTTTGCCTTCTGCGACGCCGAGAATCTCGCGTCGGACAGGGCCATGTACAGGGAGGTGTTTGAGAAGGAGACGGTGGTGGGCCAGTCGGGGAAGAAGAGTAAGCGCAAGAGGGCCGGGGAGGCCGTGGTAGATCTGGAGAATGACCTGTTTGGGGATTACCTGGATGAGGACGAGTTCACGTCGGATGAGGAGGACGCGGAAGGGGAGGATCTGCCGGTGCCGAAGGCGCGGCGGAAGCCGGGGAGGAAGCCCCGGGGCGAGGGCGGCGCGGGCTCCGCTTTCACCCTCACCGACGACATCGCCGAGACGGTGCCCTTTCGGCTACGGATATTCCGCCTCCTCTCGGCAGCGTCCTACTACCTCCCGGAGACCTTCACGCCGGTCGACGAACTCTACGAGAAATTCACCGACGCCGTCCGTGGCCTCCCGCTGCCCATGTTCCGCCTCTTTGTCGCGTCGCACCCGCCCTTCCTACCCGCGTCCGTCCAGGTCTCGTTCCTGCGGATGGTCATCGAGGCGATGCTGCCGCGGCACCCGGACCCGGCCGACGTCGATCCGGAGTGCGAGTCGCGCCACGGCGTGACCGTGCTCATGATGGAGGAGTGCTTCCTGCCGTTTGCCGCCAACCGGGTCATGGCCGAGGACAATGCCAAGCTCTCCCTGGCACTTGAGAGCTTGTTGTGGTTTGTCTACGCTCAGATTGGCATAGAGTACTCGGAGGGGCTGCGCAGGGCGGTCGAGACGGGCATCAAGGCAAGGGAGCAAAGGATCAAAAAGAGAGCGGCCGGTGCCGCGGACAAGGCTGCGCGGGAGATGTTGGCGCGGTCGGCGAGGAGTCTGAGGGTGTTGGTAGATGTGGTTTCGGCTATGGGAAGGTGAGGGTAGATCCTTTCTCTCTGTGGGTGTTGGATGGCGTGTTGGTCTCGGCTGGGGTTGGGCTGGTTTTGGCTTTTTGATACCCGTCGTTGGCCACAGAGCCTGCGGCACTTGCATATCTAAGTGTTATGGTTTGTTGGCCCGTCAGTTATACATTACGGTTTTGTATGTTTGTTGGGTTGTCCCAATGGTCGAGCCCATCCTTGCGGCGTGAAGTGTGGTTGAGCATACCCGCCTACTGGCGCAACATCGGTCATTCAAGCTGCTTGCTTGGAACTCCAGACACCTGTTGCCACTGTCCGAATATAAATATAGGAAGCGAGGACGCTAACTCATTTAGTACATAACCGCCCTCTTCCGAGCCATATTTCCTCGATGGTCATATGGCTGGTCACCTTACATATACGAAGACCAGTTGAAGACCAGGTGAGATGACCTACCTCATAGGTTCCCATATACACTGTTGTACACTGGCGCCCACGTTATCACGGCATCCTGAGACCCTTCCTCGAGGGTGGCGCCGTGTTTCCTCTGAGCACCTGCATGTTATCCAGCTGCTTGGTCAGTTTCGACTTCCTCGGTCTCAGGCCTCCGACCTTTCAAGATATATCCCTCTTTGCGAGTGGGCGCCTCATTTCTTCGCCTTCGGAGCAGGCTGCCAGGCCTGCGGCTGCCACGTCTCGCTCGGCCCGCCTTTGGCCTGCTTCCACGGATCTGGCCTCTCGTCCCCGCCCTTCTTTTGCTTTTCCTCGGCTTCTTGCTGCATCTTCTTCCACGTCTCCTCCCGCTGGATGACGGCCTCATCATCTCCCAGCGTAACCGCTGCGGCATCATCATCACCAGCCTTCGTACTCTTCGTGACCCCCGTCCGACCCGTGGCGTTCATCTCGCCCAGCCGCGCCCTATCCTCGGGCTTACCGGGTCCTGCTCGCCTACTGTCCGTCCGGAACGGCGGCTCCCTCAAGCCCAGATTCGCCCTCCCCTCCGGAGAGGACGGCGACGCAGGACCACCCTCCATGGCCCTGGGCTTCGCCTCCCACCGCGCGTCCGCCTGCGCCGCGAGCAGCCTGATGCGCTCCTGCCGCGCCACCTCGGCCTGCTGCTCGCGGAGCGACGGCGGGTCGGGCCGCGTGTGCCGCAGCCACTGGTGCCAGGCGGGCGGCACGACGACGTCGCCGTTGTGCGTGCCGCGCGGGTAGCGCACGATGCGCCGCCACCGGACGGGCGAGAGGTTCGGGTGCGTCGGGCTCGGCGAGGGCAGGCGCGAGCCGCGGTCGAGGAATTCCCAGTACGTGTTCCCGTTTAGGTCGAGGCCTGTGTTGAAGGGAGAGTGGAGGGGTTAGTAGTGAGGCGGGATGCAGGGCTTATTCAAGGTAGTGGGTTCATGCTAGTTGGTTTGTGGTGGGTGGGTTTCGGTCTGAAGATTGGCTGGGCGGATGCGCACGTACCGACGAGGAATTGCCGCCGCCATGGCAAGCGCAGCATCTTCCACTTGTACCACGCCCGCAGCAGCGGGGAAACTGGTGGGTGGGACATTGCATGACCCTACACTGGCGGAATGGAAACTCGGAGCTCGTAGTACCCTGAGAACGGGTAATTGCGAACCGTTTGTTTCTGAGCTGGGCTGCTGTTCCCGCTGCTCGTGTCAGCAGACTCAACACCCATCAGTTCGCAGCTCAGGTGGATTATTTTTCTGAAGCTACCATAGCTCCGATGACGTTGTTGCCAAGCCGGCAAGAACGGTCGCGGCTGCTAGAGTCGAGCCACATTTAGCACAGCCTCCCCCATCCCAGATGTGGCTGCATCGCACCTAAGCCAAGTCGAGACCCCACGTTCAGCGGGTCCTGGAATGCGTGTAATCAAGGCAATACCAAGGGATGAGTCTCTGTCAACCAAATCAACAACACAGAGACCTCCCCCGGAAACGCCAGCACCCAGACTCGGCTGACCCGGCAAGTACTTTTCAGAGACGAGCTTGTGCGATCCATTTATCATCGAATCGGCTGCCGACAGCTCCGGTGCCCCCGCGTTAGCTCTCCTCTTCGGCAGCCCCGCCATTGGAAGCGTCGACGCCGCTCGCGCCTGAAGAGCGCACTTCGACTTCCAGTCTCGATTTGTCCGGCGCAACCGCTCTCTGGCCATAACACTGTCGTATCGCACGAAGTAGCGCGCCATGGCGTCGGTATCGTCATTGGACAAGGACCTGCGCAGACTGCGCCTCGACAAATACACGCCGGCCGCCGCGAACGAGGTACGACAATGGATCGAAGGCATCCTCGGCGAGCGACTGCCGGACGACGATCTGCTTGAGGGACTGAAGGACGGCGTGGCGCTGTGCAAGTAAGTGGTAGGCGCAGTCAGACCGGCAACCCCTGCCTAACCTCATCTCTGACAGACTCGTCAACCTCGCCATCGGACCGCCCGGCGTCAAGTTCAAGAAGTCTCCGATGCCCTTCGTGCAGATGGAGAACATCTCGCACTTCCTGCGCGCCTGTCAAGCCCCGCCCCTCAACCTGCAACAGCACGACATGTTCTTGACGGTCGACCTGTACGAGCAGAAAGACCCGGCCCAAGTCCTGCAGTGCCTCGGCGCCTTCAGCCGTGCCGCCAACAGCGTGAACCCATCCGCCTTTCCAACGTCGATCGGCCCGCGCAGCTCGCGCGGAACTGTCGTGAGCCCCCAGGCGACGGGCCCAACGACGCCCACCGGCCTCCGCGGCCGCGCCACGTCCAACGCCAGCAACGCGTCGTCCTCCCTCTACGGCAAAGGACCCGCTCTCGCTCCCGCCAGGACAGGCGACTCTGGCTCGGGCCGCTGGAGCCCGACGAAGTCACCGTCTCTTGGCGCTTCCAGTCCCCCCGCGCCCGTCAGCAGCTGGAGCAAGAAAGAGCATGAAGGTGCTACGGCGCCCGCCTGGAACATCGCGCAGTATGGGTACATGGGAGGCGCTAGTCAGGGAAACTTGGGCATCGCGTTTGGCGGGCGTCGGCAGATTACGAGTGCCGGTCCCCACGTGCCAAGCCTAGCTGAGAAGGAGAAGAAGAGGAAGGAACAGGAAGCCGAGGCAGAGCGCCAGCGACAAGAGGAAGAGCGCCGGAGGAAAGCCGAGATTGAGGCCGAAGAGGAGCGGGCCCGGCTGGAGGAGGAGCGGAGGTGGGAGGAGGAGACTCGCCGTCTCAGGGAAGAAGAGCGGCGGAGGATCGAGGAGGAAAAGAGACGATGGGAAGAAGAAGAGCGCCAGTGGAGACTGACCGAGGAAAAGCGGCGTCGGGAGGAAGAGGAGGCAGAGGCCCGGTTGAGAGAGGAGCGCCAAAAAGCCCGCAACCAGAAGAGTAACCCTCAGCTGCGGGGCCAGTTCCTCAGCCAGTACCAGGCTGAAAAGGAGTCGCCAGAGAAAGCACGGATAAGAGAGCTCGAAAAGCAGCTCGAGGAAGCGCGTCGACGTGAGGCCGAATACGAGAGAGGGCGCCAGGGCCGGTCGCTCAAGCCAGGCAGTGGTGGCGACAAAAAAGCTCGATCCCGGTCACGCAGCCGGGCCGCACAGCCGGTCTCTAGGCAAGACTCCTGGAGTGTGCGTGACGAGCGCAACTTCATAGCCGCCCAATGGAAACAGCATCAGCAGTCATTAGAGCAGCACGACGAACAAGACGAGGCTATGACACCTCCTCTCCCAACTTCGCCCCGACCATTACCGGACCCGACCGTCGCGGCCCTCTCCCCTAACAAGGTTAAGACCCACAGGACGGGTGAGGCACCGCCGGCCCTGCCAATACGGAAACAGCACACCGGCTCGCGACCACTCCCCGACCCAGCAGCCTACGCATCCACCTCCCCCGAAGCATCGCGACAGCGACAGCAACCAGCAGCACTTTCCCCCAAGCCAGCTTTCCAACCCCTTCCCCAGCCGCCACAACAACAACAACAGCAGCAGCAGCAGCAGCAACCTAGCCCCAACATGTCCCGCACCGACCGCTTCCTCGCCACCAACCCCGCTCCAGCCCCAGAGCCGGCCAAACCAACTTACTCCCGCGAACTGCTCGGCGCCACCGACGAGCGCGACGCAGAAGACCGCCGCCGCGCAGCCGCGCAAAAGAAGACAGCCGCCGGTGGGTGGGCGTCCAAGTCCCTCCTGGAGCGCGAGATGGAGCTCGAGCGACAGCGGCAGCGGGAGTGGGAGGAGGCACAGAAGGAGATGGCGGCCAAGGCGGCGGCGGCGGGGTCGGCCCACGGCGTGGACGGCATCGGAGGCGGCATCGGCGGCAGGTGGGACGTCAGCCAGTGGACGGGCTATACGGGCGGCGATAGCCAGAACCGCGGGGCACAGGGCATTGGCGCCGGCAGGAGGCAGATTGTTGGGCCTAGGCCGTTGCCGAATCCGCCGAGGTGAGCGAGGCACGGTCCTAGTCTCAGATGATGAAAGAGGGGGGGAAGGTGGGTTTCGTATGTCATTGTCATAGCATTTTATATGCTATGCCAGGGATCAAGATTATAGCCCCTGCGGGCGCGATTAGGATTAAGGGGAGGGAGGCTTTGTCCATCTGCTTTTGGAGTACAGAATACCTCTCGTTCAGCACAGTTTGTTTCGGGGTTGACCGACGGTAGACTGAACAAGAGATAAATTTTAATTACTTTATGGCACATCGTCTTTTCTTTCTCATGTCCTTTATGGGGTTGGTTGTCTGTGCAGGGGAAGTATTGGGGATAAGGTTGACTTAAGGTAGGTATGTTAACCATTGCCATGTTTCCCAGGTCAAATAAGCCAGGAGAGGACCACCGGGAGCCCCTCGAAAGTTGAACTTCGTACATGGATTATCATCGGTACAAGTACAATGTATAATACAGTAACATATGAGACAAGATGTAAGGTATGTACATCTGAAGCTTTTAGAATCCCAACCCCGAGTAACATCCATCGCCCACCCATCCCATCCAATCCAATGGCATGTCCTCCCTCCCTCCGTGCTGTTAACCTAAGTGCATGGATTCCGGCCAGCCTAATTCGAACCGACCCGCTGCGCATACACATCATGTATATGTATATGTACTCGCCCCGTATAACCCCAGCCCTCGCCAGGCACACAGTACACAGCATCACATCGTTACTGTGTCCGAGGCCACATGCGTACGATACTACGCATAACAGACATAAGAAAAGGTTTACAGTCTCGTAGGCAGCTTCCCGGCCGCCCCGTTCAGCCTGCCGTTACCGCTGCCGGATCTCCAATCCCACTTCCCCCGGTCAAAGTTCTTAAAGCGGCCGGCGCCGAGCGCCTCGGTCACTGACATCGGCTCTTTCTGGACTGGTACCAGCCTGGGTGAGGCATAGTACGGCGTCATTGGCTTTTTGATGTTCGTCGTCGTTCTCGATGGTGGCGAGATCTTTGTGTATTGCGTTTTAGAGGTGGCGGTTGATGATGAGGGAGAGCGAGGGGGAGGCGGTTTGATTCTTGTTTCTTTGATGATCTCTCTGAATTCGTTTTCGTCGTTGCATATCTGTGCGCGGATGAAGCGCAGCTCGGCGGTTGGGTCCGAGCATTCGGCTTCGCGGAGTTCTTGCATGACCGGTTTGCGGGGGGTGTATGGGATGTTATCCAGCTTAGGGGCGTAGTCTGGGTTGGGAACAATGGACTCGTCTAGGCGGGCGGCATCGCCCTTCGCGAGCAGAGCGTGGATGTCAATGCTTTCACCCGGTGGGATCGGGACCGGGTTCGAGGGCGTGACACAGTCCATGTCGACTTCCTTGCGGAGGACCCGGTCGATGTCAACGGCGGAGAAGAAGGCGCAGCTCTGCGGGAGGTCGTGGATGCCCACCTGCTGGGCGAACATGGCGCGCGTCCAGAGGTTGGCGACCTGCAGCGCCATGGCGGCGCGGTACTTGTCGTGGTCCTGCACGAGGTACCGGATCTCGTCGTGCACGGTCAGAGCGAGGCGGGCAGCAAGATTGAAGCGCCGGATGAGGTAGTCCATAGCGACAATGAGTAGATGGAGGTAATCGACGCCACTGGATTGGATGGCCCAGTTGATGCGCGAAGTCAGATAGCCGCCTTTGCTGATGAAGCTGGACTGGAGGGCCTCGGTGATGCCCGCGCCAAGGACCGGCGTCCGTGGCCGTTCCTGTTCGGCAAACTCTTCCAGTTTGTTGAAGACGAACGACTCAGTGCCGCCCCGCCAGAAAGGCCGTTTATAGAGGGTCTTGCTGTTTGTCTTGGTACCCTTGGTCGCGGCGTAGAGTTTGGTAGCTATACTGAGAGTCTCCTGCTCGCTGAGGCTCGGGTTGAATTGTCGGAGTAGCTGGCCGGCGAACTTGAGACCGGCGCCGTAGATGCGGCCGTAGTTGAACACCTTGGCATCGTTCCGGGTGATGCCCAGGATCGACGCCGTTCGACTGTGAAGGTCCGTCCCCGCAGCTTTGGTGCCCTCGAGTGTCATGAAACCAATGGCATTGCCGCCGTGGATCTTGAAAGTAGCATCGCCAACCACCGAAGCGATCCATAGTTCCTCCGAGTCGACGTCGGCGCCAACAAAGACATAACCCGGCGGAGCGCGGACCATGGCTTTGAGCTCGGAGCCGACGCGGTTCTTCTTGGCGTTAGATGCCGTGAGCCATGTGTTCTCAACGGCGCGGCGGGTGATTGTCCCCATGGGAATGATCTGGGGCAAGATAAAGCCACCGACGGGCGGCGCATCTGCATTCGGCTCGCCATCCGATGGAGAAGGTTGTGCAGTGGCGGTTTCCGGTAGGTCATCTTGGTAGACTACTAGCTGGGACCTTATTCTTTCACGCGCACTGATCCAGTACGAGCAGGAGGCGTTCATTTCCAGCGCTTCCTTCGCATAAGGGTATTCAGATGTAAGCGTCCCCTTCTCAAAGTAGGAGAGATACCCTTTAGCCATCGGGGTGGCACACCGTGCTGTCGGTCCGTCCTTATGCGGCAGCCTGAAGTACGAGTTTTCTCTGTCTTCTTTCAGTGCCGCAATGGGCTCCTCGGAGAAATCGCACGCCACCATCTGCCGTTCCGTGTACTTCGACGCCTCAGCCCGCGGCACCTGGAAAGTCCAGCCGTGCTTGTCAGACCAGAAAAGCGGGTGGCCGTCCCAAGACAAGCGAAGGAGCAGCGGTGCTATCCTCGTGCGGACGCTGAGGTTGATGGGGGCGTCGCTCTTTGGAAACAGATCCTTGTACCACTTGGGCATTCCCGGCTTCTTCTGTCTCGCCGCCGGCCGAGGTGGGTCACCTTTCTTCTTCCCCTTCACCATCCTGATATCCTGCCCAGACCAGTCCAGTTGCTTCATCCAGGGATCATTGCGCCATTTCTCAGGGTCGTCCTTGATTTCCAGAGCCTTTTCGGCCAGTAATATCAGGCGCTCCTGAACGGCATGAGAGAGTTTGAGGTACGTGGCTTCCGCATTCGCGAGGTAAGAGTCCCACGACTTGTTGACGGGCAAGATCACAGACGAGAGGTGACGCAGCGCGGCAAAGCTGACAGGATGAGGGCAGACACGGAGGAAGTTGGGAAACACGATCTGGTAGACACGGTGCGTGACCACGACATCTGCCGCGCAGTACGTCAGTAGCTCATCCAGCTTTTCCAGCACCCCTTCCCGGTCCAGTTCTCCGAAAGCATTTCGAAGCTCCTTGTCGATGGATATGTTGAGATGGAACTTAGCCACGTCGCGAAGAGAGTTGATCGAACTCCGCTCCACCCACAGTTCTTCCTCTTCTGCCGTGAAAGCGCGGTTGTTCAGCAGCTCGGTCAGCTGGACGCTGCTAGAGTCCTTGGCGATCTTGTCCCGCAGCTCTCGGTTCTTCTTGTGCTTCATCCAAGTGGGCCGCTGCTGCGAGCACATGCCATTGACAGCGACGTGCAGGGACATTGTATCAAGAAAAGAGTTTCGCGTCTGTCGAAGATCGTATTCCTCCAATATCCTGGCCCGATCATACCCAACGTTGTGTCCCACAATGACCCTTTCTTTTTTCGGGTCTCCAAGCGGGACCAGCTGACGGTAGTTCTCCGTCTCTCCCAGCAGCCATGGCGACAACCACACATACCAGGCGTCAGGGGTGGCAGCACATGCCATGACGGCAAACGGGTTCTCCTTCCACATAACCTCGGTGTCGAAGACAAGCATGTTCCCTTCAGGCGCAACGCCGTGCTCAGTGCGCCCGTCGGGATGGTATTTCGTCCATCCGCTCTGGCGCACCCAATTCCTCGGTTTCTCTGGCAGAATTGACCGGGCTAATTGCTTCGCATGCGTCAGGAACGGTTCGGCGGCATCGACACCCAGCCTGTGAAAGTGTTCGTCGAGGGTTTTGCTCTCGCCTGCCAACGGCGGGAGATCGAAGGCAATGGGAGGCGTGTTGTCGGTAGTTTTGCCGAGCAGGTCGTGGCGGCGCAGGTGATCGCGCGCGAGCTCGACAAGCTCCGGCGGGGGCGGGGAGGTGTTGCCATTGGGGAACAGCTGCTGGTAGATGCGGTCGCTCAACTGCTGAACGCCGATTTCGTTCAAGCGAGCCGCGCAGGGTACCGAGAGGTTCCTGTCAGCTACACTCGTCGACTTCCACCGTCGCGGCGGGACTGCAGCGGGACGCCGCCATGGCCGACCGGAGGCGCTGTATCGCGCAAGACGGGCAAAGCTCGCAGCGGGCGCATCTCCTCCGGGACATCGGCGGATCAAAATGAGCATTCTGCAATACAGAGCGAGGGCCGGCGCCGCGCTCACGACATTGTAGCCCGAGTTGGCGGGTCCGGTTTATTGGAACGTGATGTCGAAAAAGTCGACTTTCGCAGCCGGCCGCGACAAATCAGCTTGGTGTTCGATGCAGATGAAAAAAGATAAGGGTCCCACCAGATGACGCTCTCTTGCGCCGGAACTTCCCGCACAACCCTGGATCAGAAAAGACCGTACACAGTGTTACAACGGTCCAAACCACAGGGACTCGAAACGGAATCGGTTTAGGAAGAAAGGTAAAGTAGAAGAATTAAGAACATCTGTATAAAGCGAGAACAAGACTAAGGAATATAACATAACACTATCCAATACTTGCAGCTGGGTGTTCCTGCAAATCCGTGGTCTGAGATGTGAGTCCACCTCACACTAATGTACGGTATCTGTATGGACTCTATGGGCAGGACTTTCTGGCCGGAGGGAGCCGCGGAGTATTCACAATTAGATTCGGAAGTTTGAGCTGCCGACGGTGACCATCAGCTTGCCTTACAAACTCCCCTTTCGGTTGCTGGTTTTGAATCAGGTGATTGATGCTAAAGATTTTCGTTGAGTATCCGGATCTCCAAAGTCCGGTCTAACTCTCTACCTACCTAGGTAGCTATCCCCGCCTACCTGTACCTACTGTGTACAGTCTCGAACCGTAGCTGGTCTCCGGTCTTCAGCTCAGAATTTACTATCGCTTGTTCAACATCCACCGCAGCTAGTACTGCTAACTCTGCTCCATTGGTACGATTTCATAACTGTACAATACCCAGAAGCTCCCGTTTTTACCTAACCGCGTGACCTCGAGATGGAGTCCACGGTAAGTGTGTGAGGGGCAGCCGGACAATACCCGGACCCGAAGCGGGAAGGACGAGCGGCCAACCTCCGCCTCCGGCCGACCAGATCACGCCTGCCGTTTTGGGTATCACACCCCTACACGTGGAGGTCGTTGTTTCCTGTCTTGCATCGCCGTTTCCTACGGTTAGCTGCTGCCACATGGAATTGCTTTTTGCATCCATCATCTTAAGTCCCTAGACCTGGTCCTCACCGGTTTCCTACTTCTTCGAGACCAACAAGAGGAGCTCGTCCGGTGCTCTTGATTTGAAGTGAGCGTCCTCGATCAGGGACCGGGTACAAAGTAAGACCTACCTCGTGCCTGTCGCCACCGGAGCCCGTAGCTTCATTTCGGACAATTTACCCCAACGCATGTGTGACACCATCCGAACTCTCGGACTCTCGGAATCCACTATAACTTGGGCGGTTCTGAGATGTTTTCCAGGGCGCCCGTTCTCTCCCCGGAAACCTGTCTTCCTTCGAGGTAGCATACCTAACCGCACTTATACCATCACAACCTGATCTATCTACAACATCCGCGCCTTAGGTACCGAAGGTAGGCCGCGGCTCGGTTGAGCTCAGCAACCCTGTCCGGCATCCCAGTGGTGTTGTGAGTCTGTTGTCACACAACGGCTAAGGCAGCCTGCAACCGCACAAGCAGGGAGACTAGAGAGATAAAAAACCCCGGAGGAAAACCATGGGGGACAGCTTCTTTGATGGCACGCTAGATGACTTCTTTGGTATGTTTCCAGACCAAGACCATCGCCCCGGAGACAGTGGAGGGCAAGGCCGAAAGCTTACCGCACGCTTCATCCGACCCAAGACCATGGCTTCTTGGAACTTGCAAGTCAGGCCCTGCCTCTGTCCCCATCTCCTCTGCGGCCCTTCAGAGATTCATTCGCCCGGACGGTGCCAGTCGAGACCCGGGCATTTTCCCAACCGGGAAGGGGAGACCTTACACGTATGGAAACAGTCCGTCCCGCTTCGCTGTTTGACGGTGGCGGAAGAAGCATTTTCCCGCCCAGGCAATCTGGGCCGGGGCTTGGCGCTGGCTTGGGACCCACACTGGCCGCTGGAAGGGCCGAGGCTTCCTATAGGCCGTCTCTTCGTCCACCTCGCGGAGCGCTGCTAGAGACGGCGAATCCGGCACGCCTTCAGCCGACTTCGCCCTTGCTCAACGCTGCTTCTCAGAGCGCCACCGCTTCTGCAACTTTAAATTCGAGCCGCGGCGCATTTCCCTCAAACTCCGCCCTCCAGTTTCTCCCGAACCCACCTATCAGCGCAGTTCCGCGCCACCGGAGCCGCGGCGATAACCTCGACAGCGACCGCTTTTCTCAAGACCCCCTTCGCCGCTCGACCCAGCCTCCAAGACTGCCGCAAGAATTCGACATCCCCGCCGTCGCTGACCCCTCGGGACGATCGGTTCGCCAAAGAGCAACGCTGTACGACAGTGACGACAGCGTCCCTTCGGTAACGCCTAGCGTCCGCTCTTCACCTTCCCCAATTACCACCATGTCGTCGAACCCACGGTCTAGGCGCAACCTGCGCGCCGGCGACCTGGCGATGCCTTCAGCGCCCAGCCAGGCCGGTCCTTCATGGATGCATCCGCCGTCCGCTTTTAGCACTGTAGGCGCTACGCCCGCTCAACTGGCGCTGCTAACGTCATATCGGCCGTCAGGCCTGTCGTCGGACCCCGTAGTCGTGGCCGTCAACAAGCGCAAACGGGAGGCCGACGACGACCTCTTCGGTGATAATGGGCTTGAGGACCCAGAGGTAGTCGACTTGGTGGACAAGGACGAAGTCCCAGCCGAGATTCTCAACAAGAAGGAGAAGAAATGGGTCAAGCTGGGCGCCTTGGACTGCGTCATCTGCATGGACAATGCCACAGATCTGACAGTCACGCACTGCGGTAAGAATGCCGTTCGTTCTACCGCGCGAGTACAGCAATGAAACTAACAACCCACAGGCCACCTCTTCTGCTCCGAATGTCTTCACTCGGCCCTCAACATGGACCCGTCCAGGAGAATCTGCCCCATCTGCCGCCGCAAGATCGACAAGCTGCCCGGCTCTGGCAAGTTCAGCCGGGGCGGAAAGGGCTTCTACCCGCTCGAGCTCAAGCTGATGACCAAGCCGACGCCGAGTGCCAGCCATGAGCAATCCTAAGGATGCCGAAACTTCATACCCAACCCGGCTACCTACATGGAACGTCGTCGAGTTAAGGTTACGCGCCATGGGCGGGCTTGACTACTTTGGGCCGGCATTCCAGATTTCCGGAACTTCCACTTGGGGCTCTCCGGAACCATCTTGAAGTTCCCGAAGTCCCGCTTTCCCAACCTGTACGTGCAGGATCGTCTGTCTACAGGCACAGGCGGACCCAGGAAATAACGAGTTCATGACATACTGCGAAATTCCTTTTCTGTTTTTCTTTTCTTCTCGGTCTCCGGCAGGAGTTACGCGATTGCGACGTTTCACGAGACTCGATAATGGCCCTTTCTGGACAGGCCCAAACCCTTTCCTATGGATCACGAATCCTGCAAGGCCAAGCATTCAACCACTCACTCCGGACTCTACATTTTTGACTTTCTGGTTTTTTCTCTTTTTCCGAATTTCACGCATGGATGCCAAGGACATGGACAAAATGCATGGAATGGGGGAATGGCATGGAGGAGTTATGGTTGCGATGTGACAATACCCCAACGAGAGAGGCATGGCGCATGGTAAAACTCGGTATCGGGAAGAACATTTGCACAGGATCAGAACGCGGGATTTTCTCTCTCAAGGCTCACTTCATGGCGGGTTAGACCGAGAAAACAAATCTGCATAGCGGTGCGGCATAACATCTCTCGGGGAATAGGGTACGCACGGTTCCTGCGTAAACTGGAACGAACGTATATGAACTTTGTTTCATACATGGGAGGATACGCTGGTGATGAAGGATGTTGATTCGGATTCCGGGTGCATGCTCTTTCCGACACACTGTCAGAAGGCAGAGCGACAGATTCGATGTAGATAATGCGCTTGGTGGGCTGATGATGTGGAAGTCCCGAATGTCGGTGGTACAAGTACATTGATGATTGATCCCAGTGAGCCCCTTATTAGCTGCTTTGGTCTATTCAAGACATGACAGTGACTACCTAGTACAGCCCAGTGACACGAGCTTTCGTCGTCTGATCGCATTAAGCCTAGCAAAAAGCAACCTTTCTCTAGCAAGGAAACTTTCATTCCCTCCTGGAGACATTCTTCCACATTTCCCGTCCAACCCCCCCTTCCCCTAGCCTTGCAACAAAAACTGATGCAGCCACTCTGGATCCCTCCGTCCAGTCAGTCCCTCCTCAATGGAAAAGCGTCGTGTTCACGCTGGGCTTCTCAGCAGGGACCTGGCCGGACTCAAACTGCAACCAACCAATCAACCAACCCAATGTCAGTCATCCCATCCATCATGATCGTCGTGTTGTCAGGAATAGTTATAGAGGGGAAGAAAGAAAGGGGGTGGGGAAAACATACCTCCAAAAACCCCGTCGCAGTAATCAGCAACATAAACGCCTCTGCCAACTCCTCCACCCTTTCCTGCAGCACCGCCTGCTCCTCCGCATCCCTCACCCTGGAAGAACGCAGCACATCCTGATGATGATGATGTTGTTGTGGTGGTGTAGTTAGCTGCCCCCCACTACCCACAATCCCTATCCCCGCGCTCCGCTTGAGCGTGTGCACGACCAGCATGCGGTGACTAGTCAAGAAGCGGCGGCCCTGCACGACATTGTGCGCGCCCCTCGCCAGCACGGCGGCGCCTACGATCCGCGCCAGCGCTACTAGCAGGGTGTAGTGCTTCTCCAGCGCGCGAATGTCCTCGGCGTCGACCTCCAGCTCCGGGTCGGCCGCGAACACGCCCGCCAGCTCCAGCGCGCGGAACAGGCCGGCCTGCAGGACGTACTTGGCGCCCTGGCGGGTCTGGGCGATCTGCAGGAGCAAGGCCAGCTTGGCGGTCAGGTAGCGCTCCGCGTCGGCGGCGGCGTCCTGCTCTGGGCTGAAGGCCTCGGCCTTCCGATTGTGGTTGAAGAGGAGGTTGGTAGTGGTTCTGTTGCGCAGGCCGGCGGGGACGACGGCGAGCCAATCGGCGAGGATGGTCTTGAGCGAGTCGACGAGCACGCCGATGAAGTTGAGGCGGTTGAGGGACTCGACGATGGGTATGTCCTCGTCGGTGGAGCGCGATGTGTGCACCAGCGCGCCGAGGAGGATCATCGCGGCGGTCTGGCAGGCCGTGTCGCTGCCGTAGGCGTCGTCGCAGATCACGTTGAGGAGCCGATCGCCGTGGATTTGGATGGCTTTGAGCGTCCTTGTGCGCGCCGTTGCGAGGCTGCGGGCACTGCGGTTGTGGGGGGCTGCAGTGTCTCGGTCGACGACGGCGGTCAGATACCGGTAGCAGATGCCGTAGTAGAGCGCGCGCAGCTCGGCGCTACCGGCCCATTTGCCGATCGAGCTGAGGCACACTTGGAAGAGCTGAAATAGCTTGTCGCTGATGAGGTTGCCTACGGTGAATTTATCCTTGCCCAGGCCGGATATGGTGTCGTCCTCGTCATCGTCAAAGTCGAGCTTGAAGAGTAGCACCTTGGCGACCCTGGCTAGTTCAAACGCCTCGGCTGGACTCAGCGTGCTGTAGGCCTCCAGGGTCGGAAGAATGGCTTGAAGAGCCTGCAGCAGGAAAGCCATCTTCGGCGTGCCCTTGAGATCGTTGGCTTCGAACATGACCAAGAGCAGGTTGGCCCACGACCCGAGCAGGGTGATTCGCGACGCGCCGAGCAGTTTCTGGCGGTTGGTGAATGTCAGATACTCGACCAATAACCCCTCTTCCTTCTCGATAGCATCTAAGTGCTGCTGCGACGCCACCTGAAGCGTGTCCCTAAACTCGTTCCGCTTCAGGGCGATGGTCTCCCGCACTTTGCGTACGTCGTACTGCAAACCAGCGTCTGGGTGTTCAACGGCGCAGGGTCTGAGGTTGAGATCCTTGTAGAAGACAAACTCCGGGGTCGGGATGTCCAGGGTCGGATCTGAATTCACGAAGTCGAAGAAATCGAAGATGTTAGGGAGTGTAAACGGCTCATCGCCGTCGAGCTTGATCTGCCCATTCAGGGCGTCGAAGATCTGGCGCTTGATCGCGGGGATTCGATTCTGCGTGACACTGCAGAGCTCCTGCGCGATGTACTCGAAAATCATAGCCCGCGCACCGAGGTAGTCAATATATGCCACGGACGCGTTGGAAAGCATGAACTCCGGGTTGCTGGCCTCCACGCCATCCCATCTCAGATCTGGCGCGATTTGCAGCTCCTTCATCAACATGTGGAATCCAAAGTTCGTCAACCTCAGCTCGTCCATGACCAGCGACCCAGAGAGCGGCGACTTCCAGAGGATCTGCAGGATGCGAAGGATTCTGTGCTTTAGAGTGATCAGATATCCGCGCATCCCAAGCTCCTCGTCGCACACAGAAAGGCCGATGATGACGTTCAGGAGGCTGTGAAAAAGCGACTTCTGCATGTCGAATGCGCCCCTGGGCTCGACGCTGAGCTTGTTAAGCTCGCAGCGGAAGCCTAGCAGCAGATGCGCGATTGTCGGCTGATCCGGCGTAGCCCGGAGACACCCGTAGAGGAAATCGAGGATAAAGAGCTTGACCACGTAGTCCTCCGACTCGGCCATCAACACCGGATCCAGAGTGGCAGAGAGACTTGCCGCCAGAGAAGCGGCAATGCTCCGGCCTTCGTCGTTCCTCTCGAGCTGAACGATCGCCTTGTTCCGGTTGCCGAGCCGGCCGCCGGTCTCGGGGTTCCATGCGGAGATGATCCTAGGAGAGGTAGAAATCTTCTCGAGCAGCTTCAGGCAAGCCAGCGTCAACTCGCCGTGGCCGAGATTGCAGTACTTCCCAAGGTCGACCACCAAGCCCAGATGGCTCAGAATGCCGTCCTCGAAGGCCGTGTACGCAGCATTCGCCACGGACGCCCGCCGCTGCTCAGGTTGCGACTGGATCACCGGTCGCACAAGGTGCAGGTAGGTCTCCTGCAAGTCGAGAACCTTGATCATGACCTGGATCCCGCGCAGAATGCTCTGTACCAAGGGCGAATCCGGGGATGCACTGCTCAAGCTGCCGGGGTCTTGGTGAATAGTGCGGATCAGGGCAGTGATCACCTTTTCGTTGAACATCCACTCCATGACACGCGCAAACGGATGAAGGCGCACGTACGCGGCTAAGTCCGTGGTTGGCATAGCCACGTCGATAGCAATATTGCTCTCGTTGCCCAGGATGATGAGGTCCTCGTTGAACGTTGACAGACAGGTCAGCGCAAACTCGAGGCAGCTGAGGCGCAATGCCCGGAGCTGGGCAGGGTCAACGAGATCTTGCGACTTTTGGGCGAAAACCTGGAAAACAAAGTCGACATAAGGTTCCATGCCGGGCATGCGCACATTGCTCCCCAAATTTTCCGGAAAGGTCAGGGAGTCGTTCAGCCCGTCGGGGCCTTCTAGGGGCGCGAAGAGTGAGTTGAGCAGCTGAATGAAGGCATTCGCCTCCTCGAAGTTATTACTGAGCTCATCTAGCACTGCCTCCATGTACGCTTGGGGAGTCAGAGGTTGGCCGAAAAAGGAGACTCTCTGCGCCCCTCCGAGAGGATTGTTGAGGGTTCCGGTCGCCCATCCGTCGACGTATTTCCACAATGCTTCGTTCTCGAAGACCTGCTTCCTCGCCATCAAGGCCTTGAGAACGTAGAAGATGCAAGCCCGGAGCCGACGAGGAATCGCGCCATCTGCGAGCTTGCACATTGTGTCGACTAGGTGTAGGTCCTCATCCATGATCATCCTTTGCCGAGCCACTTCGCTCTCTGAGACAAGCTTGGCGATCAGTCGCAGATAGCACTCCAGCATCAAGGCCGACTCTGGCTCGGTCTCAGCCAGGTCAGAGCCGGGCTTGCCAGGGCGTTGTATGGCGTGCGTTGGGGCCTGGCTTGGTCTCTCGGTGAGCTTGTTTGTGAAGTAGTCTAGCTCCTTGAAAATCTGCGACCATGTCAGAGACTGGGACCGCTTCATCTTGCCAGTTGCTTGGTGGCTTTCATCCAGAAGGAAATTGTGTGCCGCGGTAGCGCACTCCTCGTTATCTGAAAGACACTGGAGCATTTCGCAAAAGGCGCTAACGAGCGGAGTAGATGCTCGCCTCGACGCCCACTGCAGAAACCCCGCAAGGTTGCTATCCGGGTCCTCCCAGAACGACATGGCCGCCTCCGGTCTGCCTTCATAAGCGTACGAGATGATGATCAGGAAACGCTCTAGGTCGAGGTCCTGCTCGTGGTTTGGGCTGAGCTGCCGCTGCTCGTCTTCCTCGGTCCTCAACTTCCTGAGTATGTCTGGAAGGTTGGAAATGGCGGCATCGATAAAGCCCTCTAGGCGTACCATCAAGCTTTGCTGCAGAAAGTGGCTGAAGGGAAAAGCGTCGGAGGCCAGAGGAGGGGATTTTCGTTGGAGCCACTGTCGCATTCCAAGACTTGAGGGATCCTGCCATTCTCGGGCCCTGCAGTCGGCGGCCACCGACAAGATGAAGTCAAAGGCGCCCTCTTTCAGAGCTTCCATGAACTGCTTGTTCCTCTCCTCGTCTTCTTCATCCAGGTTGATACCTCGGAGGTCGTAGGTCGTGTCATCGAGATACCATCCGCTGTGCTCGACAATCCACCATGCCTTGGCAACGGCTCGTAGGTTCGGCAGGGCCCAAGAATCGTCGTCGTCAGGCTTGCAGACAATCCGATTTAGTTGACGCGCTTGTTGGAGGTCGCCCACCCCTTCGGGAGAGCCAAACACGGTGATGTAGGCAGCAAGGACTGGGAACAGGTGGACTGACGTATACACATAAGCCTTCAGCATATTGGATCGTGGGGGTGTAGTTCTATCATACCAAGGAAGTGATCGTACTTGTCGACTCTCTTGAGAAACTGGAGGAACTCCTGGAAATCACCAACGGTAGCGTGCCGCTTCTCGACGGCGGCGTGTAGAATTGCCGCCAAGCACTCATGCTGCTCGACAAGACTCAAGCGCGAGAAATCGAAGGTCTCTTGATTCTCCGGTACCCTCACAAGATTGCCCTGCTGCAACATGCTCCGAGCGTGCGCCTTGTCCATCGTATTCTGGAGCATGGACCTGACACTCTGCATAGCTTCCATGCATTTCGGCACAAACCGCTTTGCAGAGGAGTCAGGCTGTGACCCAGGAGGTGGTACGCCAAAGATCTTCTCTTCGGCCAGGGCCCCAAAACCATCTTGTAGACCCGGCTCCAGCTCGTCGTCGGCCGCTATCTCGAGGCACAGCCGCATGCAGTCCAGCAGATACCGGCGCTCTTGGTGGAATCGGATGACTCCGCATTCCCATAAGGGGCGGCTCTGCGTCTCGGTGTCGCCCTCTGCATCGCAGTCCAGTAGTAACCTCGCCGACTCGAGTTCGTCTAGATCAAGGTCGTCGGCAACTTTCAGACAGTCGTTGATGAAGTCGTCATTAACGGCGTACTCCTCGTCGCCGAGCTTTACTTTCCCTAACTCAAGTATCAGCATCGCCTGTTCTTCTGGACAAGCCGCGATTCGGTGCGATCCCTACTGGTCCCCAGCGATTGTCTGTGGGCCGTGTTCCGCCCAGGCTTGTCGGTCAGCTTCTTGAAGGCATCCGTTTGCGCATCCAGAAGCTGCTCCAGCAGCGGCAGGCCCTCGTATCGATGCTGCCGGACGGCAACCAGCTCCGCGTGCAAGGCCTGGAGGGCCTCGAGCGCGCGCAGTTCAGACATGGTCGGTGGGGGGAAGCGCCTCAGCGCATCTCTTCCAGCTGGCTTCGCGGCTGCGTAGACGAGGTCGTGGGCACCCAAGTAATTCAAGGGTTCACAGGTTGTGGGTGGCGAGCAACGGTGATCGACGCTGTAACTCTGCTGCAACCGTTGCAGGTTGGAGGATCGCGACCAAAGCTGTCCCGCGTTGAACTGCCTGCCGATTGGCGCCAGATGGTGGTTGGCAGTCAACAAAAGAATTAGGCGGTGAAGCGTTCTGCCGTCCCCAGCAATGTGCAGCTTCGCGAATCGCGACTTCCCCTTGCAAGTTGCCCAACAGTGGGTGCACTGCTCTGGTGCGTGATGGTCATAGCTCCTTCCACAGCAAATAACTTCCGCCTTGAGGCGATGTAACGGGCTTGTCCGAATTCAACACACATGCTACCTAGCTGGGAGCCTAGATGACATAGCCAGTGCAAAACCACCACCTTCAGTACTTTCATCTCAATGACAGGTTTGGGTAGGGTCTCGGAAACAGCGTCGGCTTGAACTGCGTGCTTGATCACCAGCTGCCAGTGTTATTCTGTACGCAGTTCTGGCCTGGGGCGACATCCTCTCGCATGTAGTCCCATGCTTTTTTTGCCCCATTGCAGCGACTGGCAGTAGTCCCATGCTTCTGAGCCCTGTCGTTGTATCCATCCCAAGTCCGGACACATGAGTCGAACTTCGATCTTTTATTGCGGCAAGAGATTGATGGGTCTTTACCGTGGTTGTGGTTTTAGACGGAGTCAGTCCAACGGCGCCTCTTTTACAAGACGGTTCCGCTACGAGGAGTGAAGCGCCTGGGTCAGGGTTGGTTCCCTGATGTACAAAGCAACAAACAATGCCGCGGGTCAAGAGCTACACCGGTGACGCCATCAATTTCAAACAGATCGCCGGTAAGTAACACATTGGTCGAGGGACCATTCGAGTGCAGTCTAACAGGAGAGAATCACCAAAGGACGCCTCACCAGTCCAACAGCCACCACGCGCAAAGATGCCGTCGAAGGTGAGCCACAACTGCTTCACCTTTGGGCCAATTCATAAGTTAAACTAAGTTTTCCTCGCAGATTTATTGGCCTATTTTGAGGCGGTTGATAACGGGTCTCAAAGTCAAAGGTGCCGTTGTCACACACTCAAACGTCATCTCCTTGCGCCGCTGTTAACCCAATGCAGGAACCCCTTTGATGACAAGTCCTACCACTCTCTCTACGAGGCGCTATTCGGTTGCGCTCTGCTGGAGAAGGAGAGCTACTTCGGATCCAGAAAGTCAATCAAGTCCACTGCCAACGCCAGTGCCAGACTGGTCAAATGCGCCGAAGCCCTGCGCATGGCCGTCCGCCATGGGACAACCACGATCAAGCGCAAGACGGCCAAGGCCATTATCGACCACATTACGCAGGTCCTTCCGGGGCCCGAAGGAACCTACATTGCACCTCTCCTCAAGGACTACGTGAAGGCTCTGGGCACCCTCCTTGATTTCTCGGCAAATGTCGAGCACCTGGCGGCTTTCTCCGGTGAGAGCTGGGAGACATGCGTCAACTTCTGTGTTGAGGCTCTATCCCGCTACCTCGAGTCGGGCGACCGAGACAGCGGGTCTCTGTCTCGCGCCTCCCCGGCCCCTGGATCGACCACTAGATCCGGCTCCGTCGCGGTAGCACAAGGATCCGGCCAGATTGGTGGTCAGATAGCTCTCGATTTTTTGACATGCCTCAACTCACTTGTAAGCGCCTCAAACGCGCCGGTGCCAAGGAAAGCAGACAAGATCTCGAATGTGGTGCTGCAGATCCTCCAGCTCCGGCAGATGAGGGTTGGCGAGCTGCAAAAAGCTGCCTTCTCGACCTTCAATGTCATCTTTCGGCGCATCCAGGCGGATGACGTCTCACTGGCGAAGAGACTAGTCAGGGGCCTAATTCCCCTTGTTTCCCACTGGTGGCAGCCTCGAGCTCTTTCCCGAGACGCGATGCTGAACTCTATCCGCGACGAAATGCTCAAGACCATCTACGGAACCCACCTGTATGTGGAGAGTCTACTTCGCGAATCCGCCGACGACTCCTTTTTTCAGGATGTTGAGGACCTGCTTGATGCCCTGTGGTCCGACTACTCGAGACGCGAGGAGCGTGCCCGGCTTCAACTGGACGATGTCAGCTTCACGGGAATGCGTCTCCCTTCAGATCACCCATCCACTGCCGTCTTCAGCCTACGCCCTTACAATCAGGCGGGCGAGCAGAATTGGGTTCTCTTGGAGAACCTCGCAATCCTAGAAGCCGCTTACTCGCGCCACTCTCAGCGAGTCCACAGCCAGCAGCAGCAGCCCGAGAATGGCCAGCCCCGGAAGAGGCGCCGGGTGGCCGGTAGCTCTAACAGGATACATCAGAAACTGCAATCCTTAGATCCGGCTGTGCGGCTGTCCGCCCTGCAACTCATTCCGTTCCTATCCAGGCAAGAGCAGCTATCTCTAGAAGATACCGTCGAGGCCATTGCAGACTTGTCCAAGTCAGTCACTGCCAAGCAAAGCGTCGTCGCCTCTTGGGCGATGCTCGCCTGTTCGAGGTAGGTATTCAAAGAATCCATTATTACCAAAGCTTAAGAAGGCTAATTAGTCGAAGTCTGGCCGCGCATGAAGCGTCACGGCATGCGTCGCTTTGCTCGTCCTGGAAACAGCTTTGGCAACTTGGTGTACGGTCGCTGTCTCTGCCTCCTACGAGTCGTGCTGCCTGCGTGCTCCTCCACTCGATACTAAAGGCGAACCTCGTCCCTCGGCATGAACTTGCGGACGATGTCAACCAGATTGTCACAACCGCCGACATCAGCGGGCCTTCGGTGCTGGTCGATTCGTCCCTCGTCTTGATGCTGGGCTTGCTGCGCCTCCGCAACAATATGTTCCCTAACGCAAGCCAAGCTACGTCAAACCACATCATCCGGTGGGTGTTTGTCAGGTGGAGTCCTGGTAAGTCGAGCTGGTGCAGGACCGTTCAGCCGTCATTCTGACATTGTTGGCAGCCGAACTGATATATGCCTCACTCCACGCAACGCATGCCACGCCTTACGACCTTGTCAACCTTTTGCGGGCGTGCTATGGAGCTCCAGCCCTTACCATGGCAGTGCCACTACGTTTGTTTGGCGGTCCCATCGCTCAGTTCTGGAAGAGCCAGACAGAAACCCACGCGTTCATACGGTATCTGCTTCTTCTGGATCAAGAAGACGTGGCAGCACCGGCCGCCGAAACGCCGTCGGCCGAAGAGCAGCCGGCCGAGTCTCAGCAAGTTGCTGATCCAGCGGGGTCCCATGCAGCAAGACGGCTTGCGCTCGAGCTACTTTATCCGAAGATCGAGGAGCTTCAGCAGCTAGCAGACTCGTGGCAGAAGCGCGGTGGAGAAGGTGCAATACCAGTTTCGGCCGAGCGGCTGCAGAGCATGTTGCTCGCCTGTCTCACTGGGTCTCTTCTGCTTCCGGAGCTAGTCAACCTCAACTCTTCCATGTCGAGGGACCTCGAAGCAGCGCTCTTCAACATCGTTGACGCCACGCTGAAAGTGATACTGGGTACTGCCGCGAACGAGCACTTTTTCGACTTACTTCTGACGTCTTCGGCTCCGTACATACCGCCCATTACCGAAACGGAGCTTGTTTCGTTGAAGACAGAGAGGCCACATCTGCTGAGATTGTTCGGCAAGCTCTCTAATGCTTTGCACGAGAGATCTCGTCGGGAGTCGTCTCTCCGTCAGCCCGATGTTATCGATATCGACGACGAATTTGAGTCTCAAACGAGTCAAAGCAGTACAGCATCCAAGAAGAAGACCCTGCCCAGGAGAGACCTGTTGCTGTGCCATACGCCTGAAGCATTCTACCTGGAAACAAGCCTACGGATACACCTTCTTGAGATCGTGCGCGGAGACGACGGCGAGATTGGCCGCATTCCAGAGTCCATCATTGACCAGCTCCTTGAACTTCCTGAGGAGCAGTTCTTATCCTGCCGGCTGTTCATGCGGGAGCTCTTCACCTCGGATGCCGTGACCCCTCTCGAAACGGCCATGAGGATCCTGGAAGCTGCTGGGCGCATAATTAGTCGCGGCGAGTACACCTGCTGCGAAGTGGCGTTGTGCAACTGCCTCGATATCATGGATAACTTCATCAGTATGTGGACCGAGGAGGATGTCGAGATGGCAAACATGGCTGGCGATCTCTACCACTACCTGGTGAAGAACTGCTTACCAAATAACTCCCTCTCGGCCGCCGCGCAAATCCGACTGTCCAGCCTGCTCTTGCACCTCTTGGAGGTCAAGTCCACTTACGCCTCTAGTCTAGGGTTGCCATCTGCCCGGTCTACCCTCATGAGCATCCTGCAAGACGGAGCCATGGAAGTCAAGTACTTCATTGGCCGCAACCTTCCCAAGATCTTCGGATTGTACGTCCTGAAGACACACGACGAAATCTTCGTCGACGTGTTGGAAAGCCTGCCCTCGGACCCAGAAGTCAGCGAGGGGATCGCATTTCGGCTATTCGTCCTAGCAGAGCTGGCCTGTCGATGGCCGACGCTGCTGCGCCGTTGCATCTACCATATCTTCGAGACGCCAGGGAAGATATCCCAGTCCGAAAACTATGCAGCCAGCTGCCTCAAACGGATCTCCCGGACGTTGCGACTCAGTGGACCTCAGGAGTTATTCAGACTGTTCGCTCCTCAGCTGTTGTACACCTGGCTAGAAGCAGACTCCATCCAGGAGATCCCGTTCAGCATCTTTGGCTTTCCAAGCCTCCACGATCTACTCCAGGAAGCCCAGACGGAGGCTGCCGCCATCATGATCATGCGTGGTCAGGAGAAAGCGGCCCTGGACTTGGCACAATCCCTGGGTCTGACTCCCGAACAGATGGTCCAACAAAGCTTCACCAGAATCATAGCCTACAGCATCGCGCACGACATCAGCATCCCAGGGGGTGCAGACTACGTGACAGGGGAGAGTCGGCTCAGGAGGATCCTTGGGAAGGAGGGCTTCCTTTCGAACATCCATCTCAACTTCGCCGACATCATAGCGACCTTTTTCGACACCTTTGATCAGGAGTACCCCATTGAGAAGACCTTCCGGCGAGATGACCGGTTTGCCTATGCGGCGAATGCCATGGACGAGATCAAAACACTGGGCCACTTACCCGCCGCATTACCTCCGAATCAGCAGCCGATGTTCAAAGCGAAATATCTACCGAGGGAAATCCTTCATCTGTGCAGCCGGACCCCGTACGAGCCGGAGACACTATGGACACCAGCCCTCGTCGTCTTCGTGGCTCGCAAGCTGCTGAACACCATACACCCCGCGCTAGGACCATTGCACGCCTGCTCCGTCCTTCGCAAGATACGCGTGATGATCTGTATGGCGGGCGACCATGCGACATCTGCGTACCCTCTGGAGATGCTTCTGCATTCCCTTCGGGCGTTTGTGGTTGATCCGGAATGCGCCGACGATGCTTTAGGCATCACCCAGTATCTCATACTCAAAGGGGGCAACCACCTTAAACAGACGCCCTCCTTCCTTGCCGGGTACGCGCTGTCTAGTCTGGCGGACCTCCGCGTCTTCCTCGAGTCGAGCCAGTCCAGCACAACGCAAGAGAGCCAATTCAAGGCCACTAAAACCAAAGCACAGCTCTTCCACTCGTGGTTTTCCAAGTACCTGGCCAACTACGACTCCCCTGCCTTCCAGGACGACGTGCAGAGACAGGCTTTCAAATCCATCACGCAGTCCGCCGCTCATATTCGGGCCTCCGGTAATGCGGAGAAGGGGACACACGAGAGCAACCTGCTCCTAGAAATCCTAGAAGACTGGAATCGGGAGAACCGGCTGCTGAACGAGCCGGCGCGTGATGTTGCGCTGTCGATGCTTTGTGGCGTCTTCAAGGTGCCCCCGTCAAGCAGGCTCGACGTTATCGAGACAGACGACGACGCAGTGAATCACGGCGCTGTTGTGTGGAAGAGCTGCGCCTCCCAGCGCCTGAGCGGGGAGTACCTAGCCTGGGCAGGACGCGTACTCGGCCGTTCGTTTGCGGCCTCCGGTGAAGTGCCGGACGAGTTGTTGCGTGAGTCGCACCTCAACGAGTATCGCAGGCTGTCGTTGGACGTCGGCAGTTCCGAGGAGGGCCTGTTGAATCTCATTGAGGCGCTCACCGTCAGCGGCGACTGCTTCACGGCCGGCTTGGCCGAGGCTGCACTGCGCACTGTGGTTTCTGACGCCGTCGGCGACGAGGACCACGACCTTCTTAGCGCGTGCCAACAGAGTCTTTCCGAGTCGCTGCTGATTTCTTCGAACTGGGACCCGTATCGCACGCCGCAATCGGACCAATTCAGGGTCGAGTCTCCTGCTGAGGCGGAAGTGTTTTCGGCAAAGCATCTCGAGAGCCCGAATTGGTCGCAGCAGCTTGCCACCCTCCTCGCTCAGTCGGTACCGGAAATTGTGACGCTGAGGGTGCTGCCTCCGATCCTCACCAAGGTCAAGGGCTTTGCGGAGAGGGCTTTCCCCTTCGTTGTTCACCTGGTGTTGACATACCAGCTGGACAAGCAGCAGGGGGTCAAACGGCAGTTCTCGGAGGCTCTCAGGGAGTGGTTGAAGTCCACATCCGATGCGGCCAAGGAGAACTTAAAGCTGCTGATCAACACCATTCTCTACTTGAGAACTCAGCCACTGCCTGGCGAGGCGTCGATCGCAGATCGAGGTCACTGGCTGGAGGTCGACCTGTCGAGCGCGGCTGCTGCTGCCACGCAGTGCGGCATGTTCAAAGTCTCCCTCTTGTTTGTCGAGCTGGCGAATTCCGAATCATCAAGAAGCTCGCGGCGCTCTTCCGTCAGAGAGATTGAGGACTCCAGCGAGATCCTGCTGAGCATCTTTGAGAACATTGATGATCCGGATGCCTACTACGGTCTGAACCAGGACGCTTCGCTCTCCACCGTCGTGTCCCGCTTAGAGTATGAGAATGACGGGAGCAAGAGCCTCGCTTTCCGCGGCGCACAGTATGACAGCCACTTACGGGACAGGGATCCTGCCTCGAGGCGCGACGGCCAGGCGCTTATCAAGGCTCTGAGTAGTCTTGGTCTCGCCGGCTTGTCCAATTCCTTGCTTCAGACCCAGCAGAGCCTGGACGGTTCGTCAGACTCGCTGGAGGCCACGTTCACGACCGCGAGAAGGCTCGAGATGTGGAACCTACCGGCCCCGTCGAAGACTGATAACTGGGCTGTGACGGTGTACAAGGCATACCAAGGCATGCAACAGGCCGCCGACATTGATACGGTTAGAAGCGTGGTTCATGACGGGTTGAGGAGCACCGTTCGGCACCTCACCAACCATAGCCTCAACACCTCGACGCTGCGCCATCAGCTTGGAGCGCTCGCGGTGTTGGCCGAACTCGATGATGTCTTGAACGTCACCGATCAGTCTGAATTGCAGCATGTGCTGGAAGCCTTCGAGAGGCGATCAAAGTGGATGATGAGTGGGCGGTAAGTCTTCCATAAGGAACAACCAGGGGCAGCATACACTAATTAACGCAGGTACCCCGACGTGAGCCAAATTCTGTCCTGCAGGGAGACCACACTGAGCATGTGGAGTCAACATCACAAACTGAGATCGACTCGGTTGACGCCAGCGGAGGCCCGGCTCGTCCAGGTTCGCGGCATGCTGCTTTCATCCGACATCTTCCGCTTCCACCGCGCAAACCAGGAGACCCTGAACCTGTCAACAACGCTTACGGATCTTATCCCTTCGAGTCAATCGTTGGGTCTCAGTGTTGATGCTGCAATCAAGATGGAGGCGGCCAATTCGCTGTGGGACCACGGGGAGATGATCTCTTCCATCCGGATGCTGCAGAACATCGACAGAGACTCGTCCCTGAAGAAGCAGACGGTGCCTGTCAGTCGTTCGGACCTGTTGTCCAAGATTGGATACCAAGTCTCTGTTGCGAGGCTGGAGAGCCCCGACAGTATCCAGAAGAAGTACCTTGAGCCAGCGCTCAAGGAGCTCCGAGGAAAGGACGAAGGGAAAGAGGCCGGCCAGGTGTTCCACCAGTTTGCCATGTTCTGCGACGAGCAGCTTCAGAATCCGGATAGCTTGCAGGATCTGGCGCGCCTGAAGAACTTGAAGAAGGGCAAGGATGAGGAAGTTGCCCAGCTGAAGGAGCTGATTGCCAACTCCAAGGATTCTCAACACAGGAACCGATACCAGAGCCATCTTGCGAAAGCCAAACAGTGGCAAGACCTCGACCAGCAGGAACTCCGCCGGGTAGAGCAGACTCGCTCGGAGTTCCTCAGACTCAGCTTGGAGAACTACCTGCTGTCGCTGGCGGCATCTGACGAGCACAACAACGATGCATTGCGCTTCATGGCACTCTGGCTGGAACAGTCGGAGGAGGACGTCACGAACGAGGCTGTCAAGAAGTACATCGGCAAAGTGCCTACGCGCAAGTTCGCACCGTTGATGAACCAGCTCTCCTCGCGTCTGCAGGACCAGCCGGTTCTCTTCCAGAAGCTGCTGATCGATCTGGTCTACCGCATCTGTACAGACCATCCCTACCACGGCATGTACCACATCTGGTCCGGAGCCAGGACGCGTGTCAATAAGGATGACGAGGTTGCCGTCTCCCGCCAGAAGGCGACGGACAGGGTGGCGAAGGCGCTGACCAAGGCGGATAAGAAGGTGTCCCACATCTGGCCGGCAATCGACCAGACGAGCAGAGCCTACCACGCACTGGCCATGGACCGCGACCCGAACAGGTACAAGGCCGGCCAGAAGATCGCGATCAAGAGCTCATCTGTCGGCCAGAACTTCCTGCACATCATGGCCAAGTACCCCATCCCGCCGCCGACGATGCAGATCGCGCTCTCGGCCAGCCAAGACTACTCGGACGTGCCCATGATCCACAAGTTCGAGCCCGAGATGTCCATCGCCTCCGGTGTGAGCGCACCCAAGATCATCACGGCTGTCGGTACCAACGGGCAGCGGTTCAAGCAACTTGTGAAGGGCGGCAACGATGACCTGCGCCAGGACGCCATCATGGAGCAGGTGTTCGCGGCCGTTTCCGAGCTCCTCAAGCTCCACCGCACGACAAGACAGCGGAACCTCGGGGTCCGGACGTACAAGGTGCTGCCCCTGACCTCGTCCTCCGGCCTGATCGAGTTCGTCTCCAACACGATCCCGCTCCACGAGTACCTGATGCCGGCGCACGAGCGGTACTACCCGCGCGATCTGAAGGGCTCGCAATGCCGCAAGGAGATCTCTAACGCGCAGACAAAAACCACCGAGACGCGCATCGCCGTCTACCGCAAGGTCACGGAGCGCTTCCACCCGGTCATGCGCTACTTCTTCATGGAGTACTTCCCGGACCCGGACGAGTGGTTCCACAAGCGCACCGCCTACACGCGCACCACGGCCGCCATCTCCATGCTCGGCCACGTGCTGGGGCTTGGCGACCGCCACGGCCACAACATCCTGCTCGACACCAAGACCGGCGAGGTCGTCCACATTGACCTGGGTGTCGCCTTCGAGATGGGCCGCGTCCTGCCGGTGCCGGAGCTCGTGCCCTTCCGCCTGACGCGCGACGTGGTGGACGGCATGGGCATCACCAAGACCGAGGGCGTCTTCCGCCGCTGCTGCGAGTTCACGCTCGACGCCCTCCGCGAGGAGGCCGCCTCCATCCAGACCATCCTCGACAGCCTGCGCCACGACACGTTGTACCAGTGGTCCATCTCCCCCGTGCGCATGGCCAAGCTGCAGAATGCGCGCGGCTCGGCGGCAGCAGCAGCCGAGGGCGGGGAGGAGGAAGACGGCGAGGAGAGTGCTGCTGGTGTGGGTGGCGGTGCGGAGGGGGGCAGGAGGGATGGTGGTGGCGGGGGCAAGAAGGCGCGGTCGTCGGTCAACGAGCCCAGCGAGGCGGATCGTGCCATCGAGGTGGTCAAGAAGAAGCTCAGCAAGACGCTGAGTGTCATGGCCACGGTCAATGACCTGATCAACCAGGCGACGAGTGTGTCGAACCTGGCGGTTTTGTATTCTGGTAAGTTTAAGTTTAGGGAGTTCTCTTTTTCTCTCTGTTCCGTCGGCCCCCCCCCCCCCCCCCCACCCAGTCGTGATATGCTTGTGAGAGAAGAGAGTTGCTGACGCGCTTTTTCTTCTTCTTCCGTTACTAGGCTGGGCCGCATATGCTTGAGTCAAACGTAGGGGGTGTGTACGGTAGATAATTTAGATGGGGGAGGATATAGCCAGACTTGGTAGGTATTATTTGTTGCTCGTGAAAATGGAACAGACTTTGCTCATGTCCTTCTGGCTACTAGCATCCAAATGTCTGCTGGAGTCAATCAATTGTTATTGTTGTTGTTTGCGTGTTGACATCCACCATCCGGCTAGCCATGTCTCTCTCCATTCCATCCAATACAAGCCTACCTAGGTACCTACCTTAGATAGAGTTCCCGCCAGCCGCATCTCTAGAGGACTCAGGTAGTAAACATACCGTATGTAGGTACCTACCTAGATAATACTGCTCCTCTGCCACCACATTGTTATACGGATGCATTATCAGGAAAGACGGGCAGCGAAGTTCGCACCTTCTCGGTTGTTCAGCATATCCACCCGGGTGATGATGGGCTTCGATTTCTGAAAGCGGCAAAACCCCCAAGCCCCACTTGCACCTTCATGCTCTGGATAGGTAGGTAGGTAGGTATTGTACACACAAAGGTGCGTTTGCCATGTAGGTAGGTACCTTACCTTACCCACAGTAGTAAACACCCTAAGAACAAACCAGTTTCTCACTGGTCTCCCACCCCTTGTAGATAGATTCCGGACAAGCGGACGGAGAGATGTTGCATTGTCTTGACAGAGCAGGTGGGTTTCACCCTCTCACCCCCGCCCCCCCCTCCTCCCCTCTCCTTGTCGACGTCTTGGCTGATTCCTTCCTCGTTTCCCAGATCACCACTCCCCCCGAGAGCTCCTCCTCCCCTCTCTGCCTGGGGTTAACAAAACCTTCTTCTTCTTCTTCCGGGATGTATTCCTCCTGGCATTATATCCGGGGCCATCACCCACCGTACCGCTGCCGGGGAACCGAGTTAAGGTGCAGTGTGTCAAAGACCTTCGCAAAAAAATGATTGTGTTGTGCGTGTGCCGCGCGGAAGCCGCAATTCATCGAGACCTCCTCCCCCGATGACGACGGACCCTTCCTTCTTCTTGACAAGCAAAACCCAATGCTGTCTTTCTTTCTCTCCTTCTTTTCCATTTCAATCCGTTCAAATCCATCCATCCAACACCATCCATCTGTTTGTTGTTTGTTTGTACACCCATCCAGACTTCGGGGAAAAACAATAAAAAAAAGAAGAATAATTCCCAAACACACTTGTGATACTGGCCTCCTGCACTGTACTGCACCGTATCGTATCATACCGGTCTGGTCGCCTTCTCATCGTCCGAGCTAGTTATTAGCGCCCCCACCCTCTTTTCCATGCCAGACTTCTTTACACACACGCAACTCCCGACAATGAGCAAGCGGGGCCTCGGATCCCATTGAAGCTTTACCCCTGACCCCCCTGCCCCCTCGCCACCCGCGCCATGACCTTCTCCCGGTGCGTGCGATTCTTCAGGTGGACCTCGAAGTTCATGACCGTCATGTCGGGCCCGGCCGTGTACGATTTGCCCGGGCAGTCGCGACAACGGATCCGGGGCAGCCAGGCAAACTGGATGTTGGAGGGGATCGTCGTCGTCGTCGTCGACTCGCCGGCGGGGAGGGAGAGGGGCAGCTGGACGAAGGAGTTGGTGTCGGTGTTGATGGCGCAGTAGCGCATGATGGCCTCGAACGAGTCGTCGGGGTAGGACTTGTGCAGGTCCGAGAGCGCGGTGGTCAGCCATTCTGGGGGCGGGGGCTGGAAAGAAGGTGTAGACACATCTGATGGTTAGTTATACGATGACCCTTCTCATATGGCGTTGGGTGGGCGGGTGTGGGTGTTTTAATAGACAGTAGAGGAGTATTTTAGGAGGGGTAAGAGGGAGGAGGAAAGGCTACCGGTGGCTGGTTCGGGGCGGTCCCGTTCGGTCCGGGAGGAGGGGCCGGCACGCGGCCTAGTTGGCCTTGCGGTTGGAGGGAAGGGCCAGCGTTGGGCTTTGTCGGGAGGTGTTGGGTTGATGCAGACGGGGTGGATGGAGGACCCATGGAACCTGGGCCGGTGGAACTCGGAGCGCGTTGGTGAGCAATGGTTGGCGTTGCGCCTCGTGGCGCCCTTCGTCGCATGCCGAGGTCTCGCATGAGCTGTCTCAGCCTTGCCGGGCTGACTTTAAGCGTGAGCATATACTGTTGCGGCTCTTCGGTCTGTTCCCGCGTCGCTTCACGCCCGAAGCGACGTGACGTTCTGGTCTCGTGGTGGTGAATGACAGCTTCGGGAGTCTCAGGTCGTCCGGGGTTCGCCATGCGCTGAACGGCCGCACTGGCGGCACCGCGCATCCCTCTAGTCCTCGCGGTGCCCTGTAGCTGGGACATGGCTGGGGAATCGGGCGCCGAGTCATCACTATCTTCAGAATCAGACAGATCGCCATCGCGGGCTGCCCTCTTGCCCCTCCCACTTAGACCGCCGCCCAAGGACCGTTTGAAGAGACGGCTCTCTTCGATGTTGGGGGCAGCGCCGGGTAGTACCGAGGAGACGATCGACGTGCGGATGGTCCTTTGCCTCTCCTTCAAGTCTGGGAGCTGAGGGCCACCGCGACGGTTGATCGACCGCTTCTGCCGCCTCTGCTCTCGCGAGAACATGGTCTCGCTCCTCTCCAGCTCGGCTTCGGTATTCTCGTACAAGTAGGGCGCGTAGTCTTTGGCTTGCTGTTGGGGTCGGAATACGGAGGGCAGGGGTGATGGAAGGAATGCAGCCACGAGGTCGGCATCCTCAATCGGTCGGCCGTCGAACGGATGGCCGATGCTGTACAAGCTGCGCGTGAACAGCTGTGTCTGTTCGCGTATACAGTGCGCAATCGCCGTCGTGAACTCGCCTGAAAGTGACAGGTCGCGTGCCATGCCAGCGGCGAACTCTTCGGGGGAGTTCATCGGGTTATTAATGTCCCATTCGAACTGATCTACCAAGGTGTGCATGCCAATTGTAATATTGAGCTTGATTAGTATGCGCATCTCGTCGTTCTTATAGGCGGAATACGGGAGTTCGGGATCCAGTGCGTCTTCTTCAGTGTAGGCAAACGGGTAGAAGTCTATCAATTGCTCGCGCATTTGTTGAGCCACCTGCTCGTAAACTGACTTGTCGACGGACGGATTGAGACCCATATCCTCGACTAGCTGGGCCGCGAAGTGCTCGACGGAGATCAGGCGCTCGTGGAGGTTGAAGGTAAAGGTGTCGCGCAGTTTGATCTTGTCCCAGTCGACGTCTATCCGGATGGGCACCAGCTCCTCGTGCTGCTCGGCCTGCTTCTTCAGGTCCTTCTTGCTGAACTTCACAGCGGGCGTCGTCCTCTTGCCGGGGCGCGGCTTCTGCGAGGGATATATGATCTTCGTCGTAGTCCCGTTCTCGGTGTAGCCATTGCCGTACCCGCGGTAGCCCTCGCCGTAGAGTCTCGAAGGATAACTGGCATAGAAGTCCCTGTATGTGCGGTAGTCGCTCGCGCGTGCGAGCAAGTCTTTCGTGTCCTTCTCTAGCCGGATCTGAGCTTCTTTGAGGGCAGATGTATGAATCCAGTCGCGTGTCTGGAAGCGCTCGACAACGACCTTGTTGAGTGACTCCTTGTCGCGGCCAGGGATTGCGGGTGTCGCATCGACCTGGGGAGAGGTCGAGTTGGAAGGCGCGACGCCGGCGGTGATTGGTGCCGAGATTGAGGGCGCGGTTGAGGATGGGTTGTTTCCTGCGGGTAACGGTCCGTCACCGTCGCCGCCAGCGGTCGACGATGCAGACACCATCGAAGCCGCCATGTCGGCAGGAGTAGAAATAAGAAGTGCAAGCCCCAGATGCGCGCTTCGTCTAGTGTCTCGTTCGCAAACACCGGGCCGTTTCGGTGTCAAAAGAAATGATGTCGTTTTCCGGGGGGCGTTGCGCTGTCGAGCCCAGCTCAGTTCGCGGTGAGGCTGGCGCCGGGACGGGATGCGCGCGAACCTGGAAGGCTGGAAGGTTTGAGAATCTGGAAACGGCCAAGCGCGACCAACCAATGACATGCTGGAAAACCTGGGTCGAGCCTTGAAAGTTAAGCTACTTCCCAAAGGGTTGCTCCTAAGAGCGAATGGCAAGTACCTGTGACCTCCTTAGCTCTTGGCACTCCTGCCCCTCGTCAACCGCAGCTTGAGCGGGAATCAGCGGAGCCCAGCACTGCCCAGGACACAAACAGGAGAAACCCCCTCCCCCGCCTTCACAAAATCAAGCTGCAGATCAAAATCGTCACGCGCCCCCGCAGGTTGAGCTTGTTGTTTTCCTCCTCTCTCCTGACCCCCCTGCTGCGGTCCTGTTTGCAACACCCGATATAAGAGGATCATTGACGGCTACTTGCTGTCGCATTGTTGCCCAACATGGCGACCGAAGCTCAAGAAATTGGTCAGTTAGCGAGGATGTCCATGTTTCCCAGCTCCCGTCTGCGAGCTCCCTAGCTCTTCCTGTTCGCCGTGTCCGGTGCATGCTCGTCATTCTGGCCATCCTGGAAGCTCAGATTTCTCCCGAAGCTGCCCCTGTCCGAGCCCGGCTCTCCCGGTTGTTCGATTCCGCGAAGCACTGCCCCTCCGAAGTTGTTCGTACGGAAGCTCGGTGCTGATGCTTGTCGCAGACTACACTCTCAACAACCCCGACACGCTTACCAAGTATAAGACGGCCGCCCAGATCTCGGAGAAGGTGCTGGCCGAGGTGTCCAAGCTTTGCGTTGCCGGCAGCAAGATCGTCGACATCTGCGAGAAGGGAGACAAGCTCATTGAGGAGGAGCTCGCCAAGGTTTACCGCGGAAAGAAGATCACCAAGGGTATGCGGACACTACGCTCCTACTAGGGTTGGCAATGGGCTGATTATCATACCTTAGGCTTTTCCCACCCTACGACTGTCTCCCCTGCCGCATTTGTGACTCCCTACACGCCGCTCAGATCCGACGAGAAGGAGGCCGAGGTTGAGCTTCAGGCCGGCGAGCCCGTCAAGATCCAGCTAGGAGCGCAGATTGACGGCTTCGGCTCCATTGTGTGCGATACCGTCCTCGCACCCAAGCCCGACGAAGCCCAGGATGTCATTGAGGGTCGGTCGGCCGACCTGCTGCTGGCCACCCACTATGCCAACGAGCTTCTGCTGAGGTTGATGCTGCCCCCCGGCCTCCTAGCCCAGGGCACCGATGAGGAGAAGGCGAAGGCGGCAGCTGCCAAGCCCCCAACGCAGGCCAAGATCACAAGCCTACTTGAGAAGGTCGTGCAAGCCTATGACTGCAATCTCGTCGAGAGCACGACGTCGTGGCTCTTTGATCGGAACGAGATCGAGGGCAAGAAGAAGATTGTGATTGCTCCTGGCGATAACACCAAGGGAGAAGGTGTTCCCGAAGTCGGTGAGGTGTGGGGTGTCGAGATGGGCGTCAGCCTCGGATCGGGCAAGGTCAAGCAATTCGAGCAGCGAACCACGCTTCACCGCCGCACTGCCAACACGTATGCCCTGAAGCGGCCCACCTCGCGCAAGATTCTCTCCGAAGTGCAGAAGAAGTTCGGCACCTTCCCGTTCAGCTTGCGCCAGCTCGAGGATGAGCGTGATGCCAAATCGGGTGTCATTGAGTGCGTGCGCGGCAACGTGTTCCGCCAGTACGAGGTTACCGGCGACAAGGACAACTCGCCTGTTGCCAGGTTGCTTACAACTATTGGTAAGACCATCCGGTGGGCGAAATGAGGCATGTCGAGGCTAATCATATGACAGCAATCACCAAAAACGGCATCACCAAGCTAGGTGCCCCTCCGGCGTTGGATTTGACCAAGGTAAAGAGCGAGAAGAAGCTTGAGGACGAAGAGATCCTCAAGATTCTGGAGCAGCCGCTGTCCCGGAACACGGGCAAGAACAAGAATAAAAAGAAGAAGAAGAAGCCTGCCAAGAAGACGGCTGAAAAGGATGAAGAGGAGGAGGAGAGCGACGATGAGTAATGCCGCCAGGTCGAATGGCACTGGATTGGAGTGGAGCAATCGCCGGCGGAACTACATAAATGATAAGGCTATCGACGATTCCTCATGCTCTCGGGTCTCGGGTGCACTCTTTACGTCAGGCATTGTGAGAGTTGCGGGGTCACCTTTGTAAGGTTACGGGGCGGTCAGAGGGAGGAGCGATTGCGAAGGGAACGAAGCTAGGAGGGCCTCGATTGGGATATCTTTCATGCAGTCGCCCGAGGTGCTCCATCTCCTCTCCGGTGCCTGTCGGACCTCAGCTAGTGAGTGAGCGCCCCATCCCGCAGGAGGAAGCCGGGTTTACTTAGTCCGCACAAAATGCTGAGACACACTGTTCGTACATTATACTATGGAGAGGCCACTGTGGTGCGCGATGTGGTGACCAGTGGTGAGTCGTGACGTGTTGTGGCAACAAATTGTCAAAGCTGGTCTTCATCTGATCACAACGGCGCCAGCGGCACACCCACCAAGTGGAGGGAGAGGTATTGGGCACCTCGCTGACGTTGTCGATGTGGTTATTGTACCTATTGTGACGTGTTGACAATAGCAGAATCCCTGACCAACAAGAACTCGCCCCCCTGACCAGAGATGTTAAGAACCCCCCCTAAACCATGTGTTTTCTCCCATCCCCTCCCACTTCCTCCATCTCCTTCATCCCCGACTCAGTTCTTCTCATCCCCCACACTCACATACTCAACCCTGCATCTTCACTCAAAAATCGTCCAAGTGAGCAAGCCGGGTAAAAAATAGAGTACAGAACGCGTCGCGACCGCGCTTTCTCGTAGATTCAGGGGCCACCCGCCAAAATCAGCGCGACTTACCCGAGAAACCCGAAGCTGGTGAGAAGAATCATCCAGAACAGAAATAAGCAGCCTTGTTCTCGAGGCCGTGACAGCAGGATTCAGAGTCTTAATCCGTGGTGCATTTTCGTCAAGTGGTGCGGGAGGCACGCCGCAAGCTCAGCAGCCACCCCCCCTGGTCGGTCACCCACTGCACGCATCACCCCCGAGAAAGCTAGGATCGCTGTCTCGCTATCCCCTTTCCTGCGTTCCCGCCCTTCCTCAACACAATAACGCAGCACGCGTGAAGACGCCCAAAACGCGAAAATTTTCGCACTACTTTTAATTATCGGAAGATATCAGGTATGTCTCCATAGAGCTATTACTTTGCAGCCATTCTAACTCCGTTGCGCAGGCACGAAAAGGGCAGACTGTTGGTTCGATCAAAGAAGGGGGCCATCGCGGACGAGTGGGCTGCTGCCTCCTGGTGCTCCTGCCGTTGCGCGACGCAACCACCCCAACTTCGACTATGTCTTCAACACCACCAGCTTCGTCGAACACGCGGTCCACACGATCGCGGTTCTCGAGCCCGCAGGTTTCTACAAACGGTGCATCCGACTCCTCGTCGAGGACTAAGGGCGGCGGAAACGGCGGTGGCGCAAGCGGGACCGAACGACAAAAAACATTAGACCAGTGGCTCGAGCCCGCCGTGCAGGTCAAAGCCAGCTACGAGGAAGCCGGCTTCGTGCGTCACCCTCTCTTTAAGGAAATGGCCCCGCTCGGAACAATGCCAAAGGCCGGCGTGCCAAAGGCCGGGATTTTCAAGAACACAGCGCCAACTCCGACCAAAGCGCCTGAGCAGCAGCCGGCACCGGTCCGTAAGATTGTTCTCAAACAGAAGAAGCCCGCTGTACCGCCTCCTGCGCCGGTAGAAGACGAGACCGAAGGGGACGAGACCGAAGAGCAGGACAGCTCAAGCACGGAGGAGCTGCAGGATGAGGAGGAGTACGATGAGGTTGCCAAACAGACGGCGACTAAAAATGACACCAAGACTCGCACGACGGCTGCGACACAGCGCCAGCGCCGTTCCATTGCGTCGGAGGAAACGGACGACGAGGATTGGGCGCCCGCAGCACCGGCACAAAAAGGTGCACGGCGGAGAAGTCTATCCAGGGCAAGCAGCCAGAGGTTGCAACAGCGTGCAGGGAGTGCAAGTGAAGGACATCCGCAGACCGATCGGAAAGCTTTCATCGGCAAGGTGGTGGAGGTAGCCGTGGACGAGGCCCTCTCCCATTTCCGGTACCCCACAGCCTGGGCCCTGCGCACCCTGTACGACGAAAATTCGGCAAACGAGGATTTTCTCGACATGATCGAGAAGGTGTTTTTGCAAACCGCAAACGCCGACATCCTCGAAGCATTTGCCCGACTCGTCCAGTCCAGGAAGAAGGAAGGCCGGAAAAAGGACCAGGCCTACGACTACTTCGTGCCGCCGTCCAACAACAGCCGTGCCGTGCAGCCGCCGCCGCCGAAGCGAGCACCCTACGGCAGTCTCGTCAAATTTGACTTGGCTGGTTTGCGTCCCGATCGCGGTGGCAGGAAGCCCCAGAAACCGTCGCGGCCGGTGAAGGCGTCAGAACCAGAACCGGAAGCAGAGCCGGCACGGGAGACCAACCCGGAGGCGGAAGGCGCCCCTTCGCGCAAAAAGCGCAAGTTGAGGAGGCAGCACTCCGGGACGTCCTCGTCGTCTTCCAAGATGACGGGTACCGATGGCGCCAGCAGCAAGGCCACGACGGAGACTGTGTCGCGGAGACGGACTCGGGCACGCTCAGAGTCCAGCACTTCTTCGCTCTCCAGCGCGCGGTCATTATCGCCGCCGGAGGGGATTGAGGCCGACGCGGAGGGTGAAGAGTTTGAGGACGCCCCTTCGCGCAACAGCCCAGTCCCGGCGCAGCCAATCACAGCGACGAGGCGGCGTCGGTCCAACGCACCGCGCAAGGGCCGGAACGTGTCACTCTCACGGCCCTTGTCCTCGTCCGCTGCGTCGACCCCTGCGCCGCAACTGCAGGCCAACGCCGCTGCTCCTTCGCAGCAAACCGCGCCGTCACAGCGGCAACCCCGCGCGGATGAGCTGCCCTCGCCAGAAAGCGATGTGGAGCAGTACGAGATGCCTGCCGTGGTCGACTCTCCGCTGTTTCCCAACCTCAGCACCAAGAGAGGTGGGAAATCTCATGCTGGCACCCCGGTTCCTGTGCCGTCGTCCGCAGTGGGCAGGTTGGACCCGGCAGACCCCAAGGTGCGCCTCCGCGAGAACGCTCGGAAAGTCACCAACAAGCCCCTCGCGACTAGCAATGTGAGGGAGAGCTTTCGGCAGACCGAGCTTCAGCGGGTGCACGCCGAGGGGCCGGTCACACCGGTGCCGGCAGCGACGGCGGTTGCATCTTCGCGACCGCGGGCTTCTCTACCGCCGGGACGCCAGACGCCAGCGCCGAGGGAAGGACGCAGCACGCGCTCCGCCCTCAAGCGGACCCACGAGGATCTGGACGAGCAGACATCGCCGACTGCCGCCCATTTCCCGGGATCCGAGGCTGCGTCCACGGCGGCAGACTCCCGTGCTGGAACGCCGGCATTGCGCACGGCGAAGAGACCAAGAACCGGGCTTCGGGTTAAGAACTCGTAAGTGTCGCAGAGCCCAAATGGGACCGAGACACAAGCAGTCATTTTTTTTTTTTTTTTTTGCTAACACTTTCATCTATCTAGGCCGGTCAAGAAGAAAAACGGTGCGGCAGGGATCCCTCGTCCCAGCGGCGAGCGCAGCAGTCCAGTGGGCAACGGCATCGCTGGCCAACAGGTACGAATTGAAATCATCACCCATCTCATCTTCATTTTGATAACTTCCTTCCTCATTCCCCTTTCATTATCACCGGTTTTGGTCCGGAGCCAAGGTTGGCGCAAGCGCATCATCCTGCTCAAGGAAGGGGGAGAGGGTTGCCTGGGCACAGTACACGTACCCCCAGCATCTCAGTCCACCCAGCAATGAAAAAATGTGGAGGGGGCAACCTTAGTGGCAAGCTCCCGTGCCTTGAGCTCCCGCTGTCTTTTTACCGAACGACTAGTAGTTTGCGACACACAACTGCCAACTGCGCCTTGCATGGAACGCATGATTACTGACTTGGCACACCTCCCACAGGACGACAACGACGACTACTGCTCGGCATGCGGCGGTAACGGCCAACTGATCTGCTGTGACGGCTGCACCCGGTCGTTCCATTTTCTCTGCGCAGACCCGGTCTTGATGCAGGATGCCATGCCTGTTGAGTGGTTCTGCAATGTCTGTCGCGCGAACCGCGATCCTGCGGCCATCCCTGTTCATACGGGCGCCTTTTCGCTGTTGCAAGAAAAGCTCGATATCAGAAATTCGAGCGCATTCTGCCTGCCCCCGAGTATCCGGGATCTCTTCGACGGTGTTCGCACCGGCGCCGATGGCGAGTACGAGGAAATCGTAGCGCCCGTCAAGCCGAACCGGTATGTGCTTTGCCACATCAGTTTGCCCCCTAGCTTAGTTCACGCAGCTGACAGCCCCTACAGGAAACGGAAGAACGAGGAGGAACAGGTCCCCGACCTCTTCCGCGTGCGCGATGCGGAAGGCAACGCTGTCATCTGCCACGCCTGTCAGAAAGGCAGCTCATCGGACCGCGCCATCATTCCATGCAGCAGCTGCGGTCTTTTCTGGCATTTGGACTGCCTGGATCCTCCACTGGCAATCCCGCCGGTTCTGCGCACTTGGAAGTGCCCCCTCCACGCTGACGAGATTCTGCCGAAGCTCGTCGCTCTTGGCCCGGCCCATAAGCACCGGAAACTGAGGAACGCCCCCATTGTGAGGCCTGCCTTCAGCCGTGGCTACGTCAACAACGGATACATCGATGTCCAACTTGACGATAGCGACGATGAGAGCGGCTGGAGGGATTTGGAGACTTTCGGTCGGACCGTGCGGCTGCCGGAGAAGGGCATCAAGCTCGACTTTCTCTCTCGGTAAGTGCCCCATACCTCGCTTCAGTCGAGCTTGTGTGCTGACCGTGTGTTCTGTAGCGCCCGCGGCAACGGCGTAGCAAGGCCGATTCCTTCGCAAAATGCCACCGCGCTCACCGCACCGACCCCGATAGAGCAGCGGTCGCTAGAGGAGCAGCAGGCCGCCCTCAATTTGGTGCAGCTTGGCCGCGGCCAGGATGAGGGAATTTCGACCCTCGTCGATGCGTTAATTGTTAGTATGGAACTCCCGTAATCTGTCTTCGCAATACTGACCCTAGTGAAGGCCCAAGCCGATCCGACCGTCATTGACCTGATGGCTCGTATCGACCCCAATCGCTTGGAGCATAGCCGGCTCAACCATATGGACCTCCAGGCCCTGCGTGCCGTCCTGGCCAGTACAGAGTCGATGGCCGAGCACATTCGTCGCCTCCTGAGTTCAGCCACGGGCTCCGGCGCACTGGAATTCGACGGGGCAAAGAGCCCTGCCTCTCCCGCGACGACGGATGACGTGCCGGCCATGACCCAGGGCGAGAAGACCCCGGCCCAAGGCGACCAGTCCCCCGCGGCACCCCTACCTCTGGAAGGCACTGCGCCCATCGCGAATGGCAGCCTGCCCGTCCTCCCGACGAAGACGAGCTCCATTCCGGTGGACGAGCCCGTCGTGGTCGAGGCGAATGGTGATGGGGAGAAGGCACTGGGAGAAGGCCCGGATGGTGCCCCTCTTGAGCTTGAGTAATTTCAGCTCATGGATGATCACTGAGAGACTACAAGATCTCTCAGCACCGACGGCTCATTCTCCCACGACCAGGTATTACTACGACCTGGCGTGCTACTCAATACCTGTCACCATCCCGCGGTTCCGGCGCAACTGCAGCCTTCACGACCTCGGATCTACAGGAACCCTCCTCGGCCATCGACCACTCGGGCGGTGAGACACATGATGAGCTGGCCTCGGCTACACGGGGCGAAGGGGCCAATAAGAATCCGCCTCTGTTTTCATCTTTTCCTTCCACTCCGCATTTCTGTTTTTGCTGTCAACACCATGTGCCAATAGCGATACGATATCACCGTCACTTTTTTCACTCGCATATTTGATTGTCTCATGGCTCGGTTACACTGGAACGATCTAGGCTTCGGAGTTGAGGCGCGGCTGGGATCCCCTTTATAACTTTTGCTGTTTTACTCGGGACTGGGGAACTACAGCTTGACTGGCTGGGTTTTGCACAATGGTGTGGCACCGGTTTTCTTCCTCTGGCGATTGCGATCCCTCCGCTTTGGTATCTTCTTTTTTTTCCCTCCTCGGATTCTTCCGCACGACATAATGTCACGTGGCCGATTGATGTTGCCCATTGCTATGAGCTACATCAAGCCCTGGATGCCGGACTACTGTTGGACTTGGACAGGCTTAATCATCAGGCTGTGCTGTATTGGAGGCGGGCTAGTGTATATACCTAGCTTTCACCAGTCAGCTAGCAGTGCTCGGTCTGAGCTGGCAGTGGATATCTGATGTTCTGGAACGGCGGAAAAGAGAGACTTTAGGAAATGTATGCGGCGGCATCACTTAGATGGACAGGGCGGGCGGAACAAGTCTGCGATTCGATATTTCACTTTATGTGGTATGCCTGGCTTTTTATGCTAACAATCCGTCCGGGGATGGGCGCTGGGGGGAATTTTATGTGGACGGGAGGGGAAGAGTAAGAGGTCATGTTAGATTATGAAAGCAATGGATGTGTTGCTTCCGGTAACTGCAGTGAGGTCTCAGATACCTTGCCTAGTGAGATCTGTATGTATGTATTGTACAATAAATACGAAAATGTCTTAAGATGCCTCTCCCGATCTTGCGAGCACATCCAGCTCAGGTCGTATTACGCGCCCAATCTTTGGGATACTAGTAGATACTGTCTGTGAGCACCCATGCAGCGGGCATGTCTTAAAGCAACCTCACTGCCCTGACCCGGGACCCAGCCGGGCTCACTGTCTACCTAGGTAAGTAAGGAGCTGGGCTCCTACTTCTAGCACTGCCGATCATGAATACGGTAGTTACACCGTACCTCATAGATAACTATCGTTGGCGTGGCATGGTGGGTTCAGTTAAGAAGAGTCTGTCTCGGGGGGGAGGGGGGGGGGGGAGGAGTGGGGATAAGGGGAACGGTCCTGTAACCCTCTATCTCGTCATGGTCACCTGTCAACTAGGTAGACCGGGAGCTGGATTCGGCCGCTTTGGGAGACCCAGCGAATAGATACAATACACGGCAACCACAAGACAAGTCAAGCAACAGGAGAAATGTATGTACTTGGACAAGGTAGTGAAGGATACGACACAACGCTCACAGAAAACACAACTTGGGAACAGCAAGTTCTTTCCCAGTGCCATCAACTTTTACTTGTAACCGAAATATCTTTCTTGTCTCACTAATAAACAGCATACATACACATATATTAGGAACGGAAAACCCAACTCCAACTTTTCTCTTCTTTTGCCTTGCCTCGAGACTGAAAAGTAGAGGAGGGGAGCAAACATGTCAAAGACGAAGAATAGAAGAACAAAAAGCCATTCGTTTGCAATCAAAAACAAAACACCTTTCCCTATGCCATGCCCGAGGGAACATGATTGAGAACGAGAAAATTAAATCTAACCAAACAATCCTTCCTAAAGCATTCGTGGTTGGTCAGCGAGAGAGCGAGGGGGAAGAGTAAGCCGAAAGATGTTTCCACCCCCCCTGAACAGTACAGTACCTCTCTTCCAAGATACCATACAACCTCCCCCCAACCCAAAAGCAAACCGAGCCCTCAAGAGAAAAAGAAAAAGATCTCAAAAGAAAACAGAACTGAGAAGAACAGAAAGATCGTCTGCCCCTCTCTAACCAAACTAGCTCTAAATGAGTGAGCCAACCCCTTCGCGCACGCAAAGGGCCATGAATCACCCCTTCCTCCCCCTCACTCTCCACCGGGCCGTGAGCCATCATCTATCTTTACAAGGTTAGGTAGTAGTAGTTAAGAGTAGCAGTAACTTGACTCGGCCACTACTAGTGTTTAGTTTATCCCGCATCTGCAATTCATGCCCCGTTGATTCATTTCATCTCTGTAAATCTCAAAGATCGCGAAGCATAACTTAACCTTCTGTTCTCTCCCAACATCCCAAACAAGATATTACAACAAGATTTTTGCTTCACTGACGGCGCTGAGGACTCCGCCCTCCACGTCCACGCCGCCCGGGATTGACCTGTTCCTGCGGGTGCATGTACACAACCGGCTGCATCGGAGGGCCGGAACAATACCCAGCAAACACTCCCTGCCGCCCCATGAACGCGGTGGCTGAATAGGGCGATCCTGGAGCGGCGGGGGGCAAGTTCGGAATTGCGACCGACGGGATGGGGCTACCGTTCATGGGCTGCACACGGTACCGATCAAGCGAGGGGCTGCCGTTCTGGTAGCCGCCGTAGCCGGCTTGCATGGCAGGGTAGTAGCTGCGAGACATCATGTTCTGCTGGATCTGCATCTGCTGCGCTGCGCTCGGGTCCATCGCCGGCGGGTTAGAGGCACTGTACATGGGACCCTGGGCGTTGAACGGCGGGAATTGATCAACGCCTTCGCTGCGTGGGATGCCAAAGCCCATCTCGTAATTGGCCGCGTTCGCAGCAGCATTAAGCGGGTTGTAGTACTGCGGGTTGTTGCCTCCGCCGTACTGCCCAGCCTGCTGTTGAGCGAGCTGTTGTTGCTGCTGCGGCTGGTGATGATGTTGAGCGCCGGCCGTCTGACGTGATCCAGGGCGCTGCCGCTCCGAGTTTCCGTGGTCGCGAGATCCACCGCCGCTTCCTGCTCCACTGCTCCGCGTCGACAAGCCCACCTCGTCCATCAGCCGCTTGTAGCCCTGTCCCGGCTGCGCTTTGATGCGGACCAGGACAGACTTGACGATCTCTACAACCTGGGTTCTCATTGCCTCATCGAAGAACGGTGTAGTTAAGACCTTGAAGATCAAGGTTGCGCCGCAAGCATGGTCGCTGAGGATTGCCTCCAGCACTTGGTCGTTCGCGGTGAAGAAGAGCGCCTTCAGAATAGTGTCCCTAGCTTCGGCCTCCGCCTTCTGGTTGATGACTTTCAGAACAGTCAGATACGCAACCTTGTGAGTGCACAGGTGCACGAGGTACGGAACGAGCTGAGGCGACAGGACGGTCCGTCGTTGTGGGAATGTGCAAGTGTCAAGGAACCAGGTGAGTAGCAGAGCACCGTTCGCGTTGGTGGCGAGCTGTACGCTGTGCAGGGCAATCGCGGCCGCCAGCATCCTCTGCTGGTCCTTGCTAGCGTGGTGGCTCTCGAGACAGGCGCGCATGGCGCGAGCACCGTATCGCCCTTGGGCGATCTCCCACATCCTGCTAAGCATCGTCTCGAAGATGAAGTCGTTGTAGGGACTCCCGAACTTCAGGCACCCTTGCAAGACGTAGTTGCCGTACTGGTCTAGGAAGAGAGGGATCGTGTACGGCCGCAAATGCTGCACAATGAGGCCCATCTGGTGCGGCGTCTTGCAGACGTCGATAATCTTCTGCGCCGCCCACGTGCCGTTCTTATGAACGCCGATTTCCGCCATGTGAGGCGCAATCTCAGCCAGCATCGAGTCTCGGACCTCGTCGGAGCAGTGCTCGAACAGCTTCTGGACAACCGTGTTGCCTAGATAGTCAGATGAGAGCTCGGCGATCTCCGGAAGCATGTCGATGGCAATGTTCTCGATTTCTTGCTGGGACAGTGACTGGTTGTCGATCCTCTTACGGATATCCCGTAGTTTTGGCGCGTCGTGCACCCTGGTGTGGGCCGGTTCCTTGATAGGAGGGATCTCGTCGATGAAAGCGTTGTACTGAATCGCTTGCTGCAGGCTCATCGAGATGCCGTAGCTATCTTCCTCGCTGGCCCCGAACTGCTGGACAATCTTAAGAATATCCGCCGTCATCTCCCGGAGAGGCGGCACAGTGGGCGTGGCGTTTCCTGCAACGGTAGCCGAACCAGCATCACCGGACGCGCCGGTACCAGCGCCTTGACCGTTCTCCTGGCCCTTGGCGAACGGATCAGGGCTGGGCGAAGGGACGGCTCCGTCATGGCCAGGCGTGCCGGTGCTCGAGGGCGGCTTTGCAAAGTTGATACGGATGGGGCCGGCGCCGGGGAATATCTCCTTGCCGTTCATGTTGGCTTTGGCCGCGATGGCACTATCAACGCGCTCAAAGTTCACGAAGCCACAGTTCTTGTGGGTCAAGACTCTGGCAGACACTATCGGCCCGTAAGACTTAAACATCTCGGTTAGCGTCGACGTCGTGGTGGACGTCGGGATGCTGCCGAGCCACAGGGCGCTTGTTGGCCCTTCCAAACCCTGCTCGTCGTTTACCCCCAGCAGACCATTGCTTCGGCTATTTGACCCGCCCAGGGACAACCCGGCAACAACTTGCGGAAGATCATCGTACGCCTTGTCCTCCGGCAGCTGCATCTCGGCCGCTGTAAACGAACTGTCGAGCCTCGAAGGGGTCGGAATGTAATTGCGGAGCATGCGAGACTGCGGAGTGTCGAGAACGCCCGCTGTTCTTGCACGGGGACGGCTGATAGCTGCTTGGCTCGCAAAGGCTTGGACGGCCATGTTGTGGTTGTGGATCGCTGCATTGGTGGCAGCTAGCTGGTCTTGGAGCTGCGCATAGTGGCTCTCCATGATGGACCTGGCCTCGGCATCATACTCGTCCTCTTCATCGTCGGCATACTTATCCTTGTTGTTTACAGAGTAGGACCGGAACCGGTTTGCAGCTTTGGTCAGATCGGCGTAATTCGGGATGTAAGGCGTGGCGAGCTGGGCGCGAGGCGGTTGTGGGGTCTCCGCCAGGCCAAGGTAATCCAGTGTCCTCATATGAACGTCTGTCTCCGCATTTCCCTCGCGAGAGAACTGCGACTGGGCTGGAGAACTAGGCCCGTTGGAGCCAACGCTCGCGATACTCACCAAGGTATTGCCCCTCTCCCGGCTAGTTGGATTCCAGCTGCTGAACATGGAGGGCCAAACCGAGGAGCTCGTGTCGGGAGCGTGAGCAAACGGGCTCCGTTGTGGCATCGAACCGGCGCGCAGTCTCGATAGCAAAGTGGAGGAGCCCGGGGGGTCGCTGGGCGGCTGCTCGAGCCCTGGTGACGGTGACTTGAAGGGAGTCTGCGACGGACTTGGCCGGGACGTCTTGGAGGCTAGGGCTGGTATGCCAAGCAAGGGATTGCCGGCGACGCCTGGCGTCAGTCTGGAAGGCAACGTCCCCGCGCGAGTCCGCCGAGTCTGCGGCAAGCTGTCCGGGGTGGGCAGCTGTGTGAAGTCGGGGAACCCATCAGTAGGCGATTCGGGGATGTTCTCGCGGAGCGGAGTCGAATTCCCGCTAGTCGGAGGCCCGCCCCATGGATTCAACGGCAATCCGGAGATGCCTTCTTGAGCCTGGATTTCTCTCGCACTGTGTTACGTGTTAGTAAACAGCCGGTAATCGATCTTGGGGAAGTGGGGAGTCGTCTCACCGCTTGGAGAACAGGCGGCCGGAGGCTGCCATCTCATGCGAAGGCGAGCCGGTACCGGAACGCGATGCGCCCGACATCTTCGAGGTGGGCGTCGGGCCTGGAGACGAGCCAAAAGGCGAGCGAATCGTGCTGCCAGCCGACTGTGGATCGTTTGGCGAGGTGGTAGTGGGTGAATTCGAGCGGCCCTGGGCAGAGACCGCCTTCGGCGGATGCCCGAGATTCAGAAACTGGTTTGGTCTAGAAGTCGACATTATCAATTATCTGATTCCAGTCCTCATCAGAATATAAGTGTTCCCAAATCTCGCAGGGCAGTAGTGCCGCCAGATGGCTGGAACTTTAAGGCGAGCGGCGAATTTCGTCTGTCGGCTCGGGTGCAATGAAAGACGGTGCGGCAAACGTGCGCTGCTGCTTTGACGCTGCAGTCGATTACCGTGCGAAGATGGCGACTAAGTAGAAACAGATGTACTCTCGGTGGCGGCCCTTATGACAAGGAGAGGAAACGGGCTGCGATTACAACAAGGCCGATGTGAAAAATGCTGACTTCGGGGCCGTAGGATGGGGAGATCGAAAAGCGCGTTGTGCGTTGAGGAAGTGATGGACGGTCTGCTAGCAGTGATGCAGCAGAAAAGCTGAGGAAGTTCCTGGGACCTGGACAATTTGGCTTGGCCTTAACGTGGACTTGACTCCACCTCGATCACTGAGGTGCTGTGGTTTTTTGGTCTCCGCTTCGCGGAACAACATAAAAACGGAGGGGCAAGAAATCGAAGGCCTCTTCAATATACAGACGTCATTCGATAGAATGAAGCCTGGAGAAGGGTAGGACGATTCAGCAAAGGAATGAAAGTCAGAGGGGAAGATCCGTAGAGCTATGGGATGCGGGAATGCGGAGGAGAAAAAGAAAGATGCCCAGAGTGGTTTGGTTCAAGCTGAAACACCAGTCGATGGGGGCAGATCCGGGTACGTACCTACTGTATGTCATACGGATCTCTCGTCTCATCAGTCGGCGGAATAATTTGTGTCGCGTTCGTGGCTTCTCGAACGAGGTGAACGGGCACCTCGGGCGACGTTGGAGCGTGCCACAATGCCGCCACTCCGTCAGCGTCATCCTGCCCACTGGGCGTGCCCAAAAACCCGCGCACTGTGGTCCCATCTCCACTCACAACCGACGGGGTGATGCCACACGCTGTCATGACCGTCCCAAATTCCGACGGATAGATTTCGCACCTAGGTATCTGAGTTGTCGGCCTGCATTCATCCCTTGCTTCTCATGTCGGTCCAAGAACACAGTACCTACTCGCGGTGTGCCACCCCGTAGACATCTACGTCATTGCTGCGCAAGCAGCGGTTCATCTGATGTTCCCTCGAGGCCCACCAGTCCCAACTGTGGAAGTCGTGATCCCACTTCGCACTTCGCACTCCGGAAAACTTACACGATTTCGTGCCACCACACGCATGCAGCTATCCATCGACAACCAACCTGATTGCAAGCTCGGCCAGCCCAGGCTCAGCCGTACCTACCTGGGATGTTCGCTTGTGCCTGACGGGCCAACGGAGCGAGACTTACAGTCGGTTCTAGTGGCGCATGTCCAGCCAACCCCAACTTTGTCTCCTCGTGGTGGCTTTCCCTGAACGCGGCTGGTTGTGGTTCAGTTCGTTCCATTGCTACACATTTCTAGCTGGATGCCAAGCATCTGTTCCTGGAACTGCCCGCTATATATACAGTCAAACTGCACACAGCCCCTTGACGACAGTCAGCTTTTCCGACACACATCGTGACGGCGTGATTCTCTTCCTTGAGACAATGTTAGCCCCCGATGTGCACACTGACGACAGTACAGGCTCAGGGGCACGACATGCAGGACCGAGGCTCGAGATTCGAGCTGCGAGGTAGCACCTATCACTGCTGATTGGCCACGCAGAGACCATCAACTCAGGGGCTCCGTCAACGTGACTTTGAGCGTGATCAACAAGAGTGCCTTATTAGTACGTAGTACATGTAAGTTAGTACTTCATTTGCTGCAACAGACAGCGCCCAGAGCGCCTACCACGATTCTTGATCCTATACTCCATATCTTGGCAAGGAGATCTTAAGATGTGCCCTAACCTTGGTGGGTTCTCAAGCCCGAATGAGCATCGCATGGTGCTGACCACAGAGCGGATCTCCTGGAAAATCTGAAACATCCGGCCAACCTTCCTTCATTCGTTGCTTCATCGTTTGTCGTCCGCTAGCGACACACCCCAGCGTCGCGGAGCCTGAGCCAAACGGTGATGGCGGTGGATCCTGCCAACCCGTGCCCTGCGCCTGCCTAGTGTACCAGGCACGGCCACAATCAAGGCTCTGGGGGGCACCACCGACACCGAGGGGGTTGTTCCGATCATTAACCGCCGCTTGCTGAGCACACCTAGGACTGGATCACGATTCGCGGACTCTTTTGATGTAAGGGAGGTCCGGACGTGCGCACCCCGGTTCCCTTGCAGCAGGCCCCGCTTCCCCGGTGAATTCTACGAGCAGGAAACGGATGTCGTCGGGACAGGAACACTGGTCTGACGCCCACGAATGCGTTTGACCGTCTCGAACTCTTGTTAGCTTCGAGGACTACACTACTGTTAGAGAATTGTGGGATCTATGTCTCGATCATTATGTTGCTCGCTATACATAGACAACGTAAGCTTATTCACGCACCAAGTAGCCGGGCATAGATTCCCCTGAGTTGCATTGAAAGCGGGCAGATCACAGGTCGAAGCATTAATCCGCGGCCTTGACGATCAATAAACGAAACATCCCTATGATCAGACCCATCCAGTGGTACAAGAGGTTGCTGCCATCATCGACATGGACATGTACAGCACCATACAATCTAGTAGCTTTATTATTAGACCACTGTATGCTGAAACCTCCTTGCATACGGAGTAAGCCACACCAAGTCAGTCACCAACAGTCTCTCGTTGTCTACCTACCTAGGTACGCGGCCCAATCCAGCCTACCAGGTACTACAAGGATCTCCATCGACACTCCACACCTCAGCGAAACAAGCAGACCCAAGCATGGAGCATTGCACTGCATGCTTCCCCAATGTATCAGATTGAGAAGGGCGAATAAGGCTGGAAACAACAGGGTGACTACACAGTACGTAAAATACACTCTTGCGTAATGGCAGGCGAGCATGAAACACGATCAGCACTCGGGCGACAATGGCAGACAGAACAACTCCATGTAGAAAGAGCTACGAAGGGTTTCCCCCAGAGTTCATGAACCCCATCTCTCAGCTGGAGCGGATTCAATTCCCTAAAAAACGAACAGAAGATCAAGAACAACAGAATCCGAATCGTTGAATAACGGTACCAGAGTATCTGAACACCACCATCCCGAACCCCCAACGCCGATTGGCTTAGACTTCGAGTCCTCCTCCCATTCTCCTCCCCTCTCGGGAGAATATGGCATGAATGGGCCAAACTGAGAAGAGAAATCAGAACTTTTCAGCCAACAACGGAAAGCGGAGAAGGTTGCGCATACACGACGGGCGGTAGCTCCTGAACTTGACCTACCTTACCTATCAGACACATGCAGAGTGCAGAGAGAACAGTGGCATAGCATGGCTTCCCCGTCCTAAGAAGCTATTCCCAGGTACCTATTAGCCTTGGACCTTTCCCTCCGCTCTATCACCAGACCCAGACCAAGCAAGCCAGCCGATTAAAACCCACCCTGAGATGCGCACACCGTCGTCCCCGCCTTTTCTACCGTTCTCAAGAAGAAGACATCCAAAACATGGTATGTCCTTCCCCATCTGTCCGAGTCTGCCAAATCGAAATCAACCATGTTCATGCAGATCATGCCATTTCGAGTCATGCTTGTCCTCCTCCTTCTTGAACTTTTGCTCACGCACTGGTGGTATATATTGCTTATTTGGCGACCCTCTTGAAAGCAAGCAGATCCGCCAGGCTCGCCAGCGGACAGCCGTGCTTCAGGAACTCGTGATTGAGTAGTTCCTGCGCCGACGCGCGGCTCTTGACATCGACGCACAGGCAGACCGAGAGGAACGCCTTGAGCTCCTTGCTGAGCTTCTCGGGCTTCTTGAGACGCGGGGTGCCGTTCGTGGCGATGAGGTAGAGGGCCTTGAGTGGTTCCTCGTTCAGGTAGGGGGGCTCCGACTCGATCATCTCGATGGCCATGATGCCGAGCGACCAGATGTCAACCTTGGGGCCGTATTCCTTCTGCTTGACCACCTCAGGTGCCATCCAGTACGGTGTGCCAACCATAGTGGCACGCTTAGACTTGGTTTCAGTGAGCTTGGCGCAGAAGCCAAAGTCAGCTGGTGACGGAGTTAGTCACATGTTCAACCTAGTATGTTCAAGGACAGAGGTAAGGTGTCAACATACTGATCTTGACGTTGCCTCGGGCGTCCAGGAGGACGTTGTCACTCTTGATGTCGCGGTGGATGATGTTCTGCGAGTGCAGGTGCTCGAGACCTTGGCACGTCTAATCGGAAGAGTTAGATAGAATGCAGAAAACACGTGTTGGAGAGAGCCCATACCTCAAGGCAAATGGTCGAGATCTGCTCTTCTGTAATAATGGGGTTGTTCTCAATCACATCCGTCAGAGCGCCACCCTCCATGTACTCCATGACCACCCAGAGTTCCTTCTCGTTGTCCATGAGAAAGGAGTCGATGAAGTTCACGATATTGACATGCTTGTTCTCACGCATGACCAAGATCTCGTTGACGATCAGCTCCTTCCGCGGTTGATGGGCCAGATCCATTTGCTTGATGGCAACGCGGTCGCTGCTCGACTTCGCAAGATGCGAACCCCCCGGCGCGCCTGGTCTGAGCTTCTTGGCAACATACACCGAGCCGGACGCGCCTTGGCCGATCTTCTTCTGTTTCGCGTACAGCTTGTTGGGGTCATCCTTGGAAACCACCTCCCTCAGCTTCGCCATCACCTCGTTCTCCGACATGGTCGACATGCGCACATCTTGCTTGCGCTCCGACGGAGCAGGCTTGGAAGTCAGGGCGGCTTCGGCGGCCTTAACGGCATCCGACTGGGCAGGCTTGTTGACATTCAGGGGCTTCACCGGCGCCGGCAAGCGTGATGGCGGCTGGGCTTGAGGTTGGCCGTTCGGACCGCGCGCTGCCGCTCCATTGGGATAACGGGCAGTCACTGAGGGACCATTCGCCTGGTCGGGCCGCGGTGGTCTCTGAGCTTGAGCTGTGGGATCGCGGACCGAGTTGGAGCTGGTCTGCTGTGTTAGGGGTGGTCGGGATGTAGGAGAAGAATTGCTCGGCGGAGCAGGTGCTGGCCTCTGTGCCCTGAGCGAAGGGGCCTGCTGGGGTGCCTTGGGCGCTGCTCGTGTCGGATTATACCGATCGGTGGAGGACGGTGAGGAATACCCGCCGCCAATCTCCTGCTGAGCCAGTGGAACCTTGGTCTTGGGCAGCGACGCATTATAAGCCTCGAGCTCCCGACGAGCTTGTTCCTCTCGCTCTGCCCGTTGCCGTTCCAATTCCCGAGCCCGCTGCTCTTCGCGCAGCCGATCCGCTGAAATGTAATTGGGCGCAACACTCTGCAGCTGTTGCATCTGCGTCGCTGTTTGTTGCTCGACCACTGGCCGGGACGGAGGGGCAGCGGCTGCCTGAGAGGACGGAGTCGTAGAATATGAGGGGCTCCGCTGGATGGGCTTCACCTGTCGAGGCGGCGCAACCGAGTTGCCGCTCTGGTAGTTGAACTGATCATTCTGGGGCGGGCTTGTCGGTGATTGCATGGGCATTGGGGAGCCATAAGGGTCGTTCTCCGCACGCTTCATCATACCGGAGTAGAAGTCAAGGACTTCAACCACAGCCTGGGGATTCTTCTCCGCCTCCTCTCTGGTAATGGCAGACGAGTTAAGCAACCTGGTCCACTCTTCTGGTAACCCGGTAAACTGGCCAGTCTGGGGGTTGAAGCCGACATGGACGGCGTGCGAGAAGTTGGACGGGTTGCTAACACCGCCCGGGCAACGCGCATAGATGCAATCAATCCATTCGTACAGCTCGTCGTCTGTTTTGACACAGATGCGCAGGGATCTCACTCCGTTGTCATCGTCGCCCGGGGGTCCAGGGTAGGAGTTATTCAGGTTCCTCCTGATCTCGAAAACGGGGTCGCCATTGTCGTCGGGAACTCGATCGACACTTATAACGTCTGTAAGCTGGATCTTGTACAACCACTTTCCGTTTTCGTTCTTGTGAAAATCTAAGATGTCCTGGCGAAGGATGAGGTATCTGCTTTTCCATTGCTGGAACGGGTTCTTGCTTGGTAGGCCAACGTAGCCTTGCTTAATGATGGCGACCCCGCCGGAGCCGTCGAGATTGTTGGATCCTTGCCGTGAAATCGGCAGGGAGATGGTCGATCCGCTGTATGTACTCGAGACTGGGGAGGCTATGCTCAAGCTCGACATACTGTTCGCCAGGTTCACATTTGGCATGAGACCCAGACGAGGCTTATCTGTCGGTGGTCGGGGTGCGGGGCCGGGGTTCATGAATTGCCCGTTGGAATAGATACTGAGAGTGAGAGCAAGGTTAGCCTAGGTGTCGGGCAGAGCATTGTAGGGGTCGCCGCCGCCGGGGAGGTTCAGCACAGAGGCATCTCCGTAAAAGGGAGAGCAACCAAGCGGCCCCGGCGTGGTCTTCACCAGCGGAACCCATATTGCACCAAACCGCCAGCAGAAGGCCGCTGGTATTGCAGCTGGCTGACCCGCTGTTCATGAAGTACATACTTGTTGTAGCTCGACATTTTGGCTAGCGCGAGGTGAGATTACTAGAGAACTCGTCGTGATTCTTGCTGGTACCACCACGTGAGACAACGTCCTCAGCTGCAGGTGGTATGGACTGTTCTCCAGGCGCATGAGTTAATGTCTAGACAGAACTAACATATCGAGCAATATGCGAATTAGCATACCAGAAACCTTAGGACGCTTTTCAGACAACGCCGAGAAAGTTGCGTCCCCGATCGAAGGTGGAGGGGCTAAGTGTAAGACCAGGACTGGACACGCTCAAGTCGACGCTAGAAGCGCAAAACTTTATAAGCTGGGCGGCAACGGGCTGCACAGCGTGCCTCGTAGACAATCGTCGAAGATCGAGTCGCGCTCGGCCGGTAGAAGGTGACTGGCGTGACAGAGTGATCGGTTCAGAAACGACCGCACAATCGGGCAGAAGACAATGGCAACATGTGTGAATTCAACGGGACAATAATCCTCAACGCGCAATCGAGATATTTGTTCCGTTCTTAACGTGGTTGGTTTCCTCGCTGGACGAAGCGGTGGGTGGCGGTCAATCGATCGGTCGGTCGAGACGCTGTTTGTTCGGGACCACCTAGCATTCAGGAGATCGGGCGTTGCGCTACGTGTACGTGAGTAGGTAGCGAGTGAAGGAAATCTGTACGCTGCGCAAAGCCAAGCCGAGAACGAAATTCCCGTCAGGGGAGTGCTCAAATCTCGGTGTTGTGGCGCGCAAGCACAGAAAGGAGAGTGTGCTGCGGTTAAAGGTGGATGGATGAGCCTGAGTGATTGACAATGAGACGGCGGTTCGCTTGTTGGGGTGGGAGTTCGGGTGCCCGGTGTGGAGTCCCTGAGGCTGGAAAGGGTTTGGCGAACACATGCAGGCTAGGGGGAGGGGTAAGTTTGCGCCGGGTCGTCTTTGGAGGTCAGGGTCAGGGGTCTTAGGAAGCTACACAGCGTCATGTGAGGGTCAGATATTCAGCCGTGGTATCCCCTTATCCGACTGTCAGACCACCACTTTGCCACTTACGGGCACTGCAGAACAAAGGGATTGGCCGCCCAAGCGCGGTCACTCACGACGGTTGTAGCGGGTTGTTTTGGACCCCATGACAATGGGGGCAAGGGGCTCTCAAAACTTTACTCCGTATACAACTGGGGTGCTTGAGCGACTTCCTGTTTTCTAGACGGCTGCCTATTCGGGCTACACCCCAGCTTCCTTTTCAGTGGCTCCTCCATTGATGACCATACTGCATAAGTCCACCGTCGATCGAGTAAATAAACCTCCATCTTGGTCAACTCGCTGGTTATCTACTAGGTATCCGTACACAGTACGCTCGGATGATGGCGAACTGAAGCGGCCAGGAGGCCAGGATACAGGTCATATCTGTGGGGCTAAAGGGTGAGATGGAACGCCCATTCATCCATGGATACCTTGTATGCGATATTCCACTCTCTCTCCTGCGTCTACCACCATCAGCCGTAGATTTGTCGACCTTACACAGTAGATAGGTACTGGACCTAATCCCCTACTCCGGAATTCTTTTGTGAACCTTACTGTGTAACTCTGATGTAGGTAGACGCCCGTCCGAGTCCCTTCCCCGCGGCCGTTTCACAGGCCCGGCTTGGCAGAGGTTTCTTGTCGCCGGAGCCCGGCATCGCAGCGTCCCATTCTGCCTGTGAGCGGCATGCCGTTTCAGGCGGTGCGGATCAGCGTGCTCGGGTATGCAAAGATAGAAACTGAATACAGCAAATCCCGTGTGCTGAGCGCCGCGGCTGAGAACTTGAATTGACTGGGCATTACGGATACCGGAGTTTAAGTTACTATGTATTGTATTCGTACAATACGGATACAACAGTACAATACATAATGTTAAGCCGCAGACAAGATCGGCACCTTCGCTTCTCCCTTGCTTCAAGTTTGCAGCTTTCCCTCCACCCCCTTTTCGAGTCCCCACTGATTCTCTGCCTGCAGTGCGATGTTTCTGATTGAACTGGAGGTGCGGATCCGGCTGTCGCAGGATTCTCGAGCCGAATGCCACACAAACTACAGTACATAGGTACATACTGCCATTTTCTGCCGAGCTTATTACTCTGGTAGTTGAGCGGCTCATTACTAGTAGTACAGGACAGCGAGTATTGAGTGCTGCAGAAAAAAAGTCCATAGTATGGAGTTTGTAGGAATGAAAGCATGGTTTCAAAGGGATGTGCTGTACGAGCATTGGTGTCCTCGGCCCGCAGGATCGATGCAAGTCGCCGGCATCCTGCAGTTTTGACCAAAGCAAGACTGTGTACATGTAGAAACATGCATGCTGTGGGATGCACCGAAGAGATCAACAACACGCTGTAAGTCAAATGTCTCAAAACGTTGCGTCCAACAAGCCCACTTAGGGCTTTTGCAGAATACCTAACTGTCTCCAATGTTTCAACCGTTGATAGGGCAAGCTTCCCCTGTTCGGTAGGGGGTACCGAGGGCCGTGAGATGTTACACTGGGCCATCAAAGATCGCTTCGGGAAGCAGAACTAGCCAGCTCCCACGTTGTCTCGCTTGATTCTATTGTGGTATACGCTCAGGGTAAGTCTTGACATGACTAACAAGCCAAACCAAATCCCCTTTCCACCTTTTTCCACCATACTTGCCGTGCCCCTTACCGAAGGGTGAGGTCGACGTCCTGGCCCTCAAAAAGCGGCAGCTCGGTCTCAATATCCTTCCACGCCTTGGTGCCCTCAACAAGCGCCCGGATAGCCTCGATGATCTTGTCCTCCTCGGCGCGGACCTGCCGCGTGCTGTCACGCTCTCTGAGCGTCACGGTGCCATCCTTGATGGTCTGGAAGTCGACCGTGACGCCAAACGGAGTGCCCAGCTCGTCATTTCTGCTGTACCGCTTGCCGATACTGGCCGAGGAGTCATCCACACGGCTGGAGATGCCAGCAGACCGAAGCTTCTGGGACAACTTGCGCACGGTAGGCGTGAAGTCCTTATTGGAGGACAGAGGCACGATCAAGACCTTTGTAGGCGCAACGGCCGGAGGGAAGGAGAGGACCTGGATGGCCGTGTCAGTTTTGTCTTCGCTGGATATTCTTGCATTCAGGAGAAAAGGCAACTTACACCGCGCGCCTCATCACCGCCTTCGCTTGCCCTAGTCCAGTAGTTGTGCTCGATCAAGGAGTATAGTATCCGGCCGATACCGAATGACGGCTCGATGACGTTGGGAGTATACTCTCGGATGTTCTCGACTCGTTTTTGCCATTTAATAGCCAGCAAGTCCTTGTTAATCTCGACCTTGCCATCGGCAACGCCCGGCACGTTGATGACGACCTTGCCGGTCTCTTCCAGCTCCTTAGCAAGCTTGCCGCGCTCTTCCTGCGTGGTGGCCATGACGGCGGCCTCGACCGCCCTACCATCCTTCTTGAAGAAGGGACCGAATTTCTTCCTCTCAAGCTCAATCTCCCACTCCTCAATGACCTTGGGCTCATCCAACCGCTGCCGCACGATGAGAGGCGCCCCGGTCTTCTTGGCGTGGACCGACAGGTCGTAAGCGCTGCGGTCGGCGCAGCCAACACACTCAACCCAGCCAGACGAGGTAAGGAGCTCCGCATCCCAGCAGTCGCAAGCATAGTGAGCCATCTCGTTAGCCATGTGCTGCCGGAAACGGATCTTGGTCTGGTCAACGCCGATCTTCTTGAGGAAGAGGTGGATGCGCGCCAGGAAATAGCCCAGGGTCTCGTTGTCGACCGTACCCTCCCGCACGGCTTGACCGATCGATACCCTCTTGGTCTTGGTCGAACCCGATAGCTGCGTGTGCCGGTCGAGGAGCTCGAGCTCAATGTCCTCCACCTCGTGGAACCTGTGATGCTTCTTGTGGCCCTCGGGGTCGACAAAGTGCTCGATCTCAGCCATCAGAAACTCGCGGACACGCAGAAGGCCGGCCCTAGGCGAGATCTCGTTTCTGTAGGACTTGCCAATGGAGGCAGAAGCGAAGGGCATCTGACCGGTGTTGAACTCGAGAAGCTTGGCGAAGTTCAGGAACTGGCCCTGGGCAGTTTCGGGCCGGAGATAGCCGGGAAGGTTGCTGCTAGGGCCAATTGACGTCTGGAACATGAGGTTGAAGGCGACGGGGGGGCTCGGCTGCGCGCCGGTGGCGGGGTTCCTCAAGTCGTACTTCTTGATGAGCTCACCCAGCTGCTCGCCGTTGTAATTGTCGATCTGTGCCAGGACCTCTTCATACTCTTTGACCACAGCGTCGTCCAGCTTGACTGCCTCGTGGCCTTTGGCCTTCTTTTTCTTCCTCTTGGGGTCCTCCTCCTTCTCCTCCACCTTCTGACCGCGGGCCTCTTTGTCACCCTTTAGCCGCGCCTCGAGGACGTCCTCCACAAAGTGGTCGGCACGGAGGATCTCGCCGTTTTTTGGGTCCTTGCACATCCAGTCCGCGAACTTGTCGACGTGGCCGCTCGTCTTGAGAACGTCGTGGGGTGTCAGCACGCTGCAGTCGACCTCGAGCATGTCCTCCTCGAGGATGAAGTGCTTCCGCCAGATATCGATAATATTAGCCTGCAACGCGCAGCCTGGCGGGCCGTAGTCGTAGAGGCCAGCAACGCCGCCGTAGATTTCATACGAGGGTGTGTAGAACATGCGCCGGCGCAGCAAGGACTCGAGGGACGCCTTGTCGAGCGGCTCGCCCTTGAGGGTCGTCGCCGTTGTGGTCATCTTGGGTAGCTTTTTCTTGGATGTGTATTTTGCAAAAGCGTATGTGCGCGGGGCAGACAGAGCGAAAGCCGTAAAACTGCGGACTGAAAAGACCACCTTCGGGGTCACAACTCTGCGGGAGTTGAGCGCAATACCAGCGAGTGGTGAGAGGAGAGGGGTGGGCAGAAAAGGCTTCATGAATTGCAAACCTGCGGTTGTTTTGGCCCAACCAGGTGAGTCACGGCCCTTTCCCTCCTGCTAGATCCTCTTTATTGCCCCGATTTCAGATCCGGCACTAGGTGCTTGCTGCACTGATTGAGGGGACTGTCACAGATCGCCTCCACAAGCACACGGGCATGCCGCAGAGGACATGCGCCATCACCGGAAATTTTCAATTAGCCGCTATAACTGCCCCGCGCTCAGGCACCGAACCTCGTTAAAGTCAGCGAGGGGCAGTCCAACCCTGCAAGTTGCAAGGTTGCTACAGTGGGGCTCTTTGCACTGCATGGATGCAATTCACTCGGCTCGGACCCAGAAAAAAGTTTGGAGCTTCTGATAGTTATCGGACTTGTCCCAACGATAACAGCGACAGATCGAGACATCCGCGACAATGGGGCCCTCGAGGAATGGGCGAGCATCGTCTGGTGGCTCACTGACTCTCAAGACCGCCAATAAGCTCAAACGACAGCAACTCTACGTTCAGCAGAAGAAGACGACTGGCAAAGCCCGTCACGAGGAGCGGCACCGCAGACGCAAGGAAGAAGCCAAGGACCCCGAACTGAGGAGGCAGCGGCTCGAGCAGAACCAGCCCGCGAGCATTGACAAGAAGAGGATATGGGACGAGGTTGATGACGACAGTCTCGGTGCAGTGGTGGATGTCGCCCAATTGAAACGACGGCGTCTGGAGCAGGCGGAGGCCGCAGCAGCAGCAGAGGCGGATGCAGTGACAGAGGAAAATGCGGAGGAGAAGGAGGATGACGACGTCGACAGCATGCTCGGGTCCGATGATGAAGAAGACGGTGAAGGGAACGATGAGGAGGACAGTGGAGAGACGCACAGGGAGCGGGCGCAGAGGCAGCCCAGCGTCGCTCCGTCGACAACCTCCACAGCGCTCGACCTCACGCCCGATGCTCTCGCTTCCCAATTCAAGTATCTGTTCAGTGAAGAGCCGCCAGCGATGCCCAAGATCCTCGTCACCACTGGAATCAATGGGACTGTCCACAAGGAGGCGCAGGAGATTGCGTCTGTGTTCCCTAATGGTCAGGATCCCTCGGGGCCAAAACGATTTGGATATTCGAAGCTGACATGTCCCGCTCTAGCCACCTACATCAGGCGTAGTGCACATCGTTACGGGCACAAGTACAGCGTGAGGGAGATTGCCAAGTTTGCCAAAAGTCGGTCGATTCCCGCTCATGATGTACCTCCCCCCCCAAAAGATTACTAACATTCTTTCACCAGACCGAGGGTACACCGCACTACTGATTGTTCACGAGGATCTCAAGCGGCCAAGCCAGCTGAGCGTGTGCCATCTGAACGAGGAAGATGCCCCCCCTGGCCCGACGCTCACATACACCATCCGGAACTATCAGCCAGGGAAAGTAATTCCCGGACACGGCAATGCCACGAATCACTATGTAAGGGAACATATTCAGGCCCCATGCACCCTGCACTGCTAATGAATCATGCAGCCGGAGCTCCTCCTGAACGGATTCAAGACTCCCCTCGGTTTATTGACTGCCAAGTCCATGAACACCCTGTTCCCACCGAGGCCCGAGATATCTGGTAGGCAGGTGGTAACCCTGCACAATCAGAGAGACTACATATTTTTCCGCCGCCACCGGTATATCTTTCGGGAAGCACGGCCGACGGAGAAGAACGTGGTGGGTGCGGATGGCAAGGAGATGGAGGGTGTGAAGGGGATCCGCGCTGGTCTGCAGGAGATTGGGCCAAGTAAGCTACTCTCCTGCAAAATACGGTACGTAGAAATGCTGACATGTGACAGGATTTACCCTCAAGCTGCGCAGAGTGGACAAGGGGATAGGAAGAGCTGGCAGCGAGGGCGACGATGCGCTGAAGTGGGAGTGGAAGGCCAAGATGGAGAAGAAGCGGACGCGCTTCAATCTGTAAGGAGACAGATCGTGATACCCAGAAGGCTGCTCAGAGCGATAATCTGCTCTGCTCATCGATTGGGGGTTTTGGCCCTGTCCAAACTAGTACTACTTAACCTCCCAGTGCGTGAATGAACCGTCGACTATCGGCGCGGCGATCTCATCTCCCACCCAAGGGCACCTCCCGTTTCTAGTTTTCCTGCAGCATTATAACCGAGTATCTACCGAGCAGTCAGCCGGAACTCCTCCGTCCCTCCGTCCCTGTCTCCCTGCATCCCTACACGGCCGAAGACTCACGCAACAATTTCCCCAACAGCAACGCCCACGCCAACCATCCCCTGACCCTTCGTCCGGAGCTCAGCAGCACCAGCGCCCAACGGCTGCTGCCCGACCAAGCTCGCCCCACGACTGACGCCGGCCAGCAGGTGTCGGCGAAAAGGGGGGGTCGCGTAGAGCAGGATACGGCGGCGGACAAGGATAGGGGAGCGCCTGGCGGAAGAGCAGCTGCTGATAATGTCTGGAGGCGTGCAGGCCGGCGGTAGGAGGGCGCCGACCCAAAATTGTGTAGAGTGACGAGGCGAGCGTGCCGGAGAAAGGGCGAGGATGATCCCTAGGGGTGTGGTCGTCGTCGTCGTCTGTACTACTACTGGTGGTAGTAGTAGGAATTTTGATGAGGAGGTTGGAAGGGGAGGGGGGGCAGGGAGTCGTAGTAGGATACCATGCCCCACGCCTACGCAGGCCGGGATGAGGGCCAGACATTGCACCCCGCGGCAGGGTTGTGTGGTAGAGGAGGAGCGTTCAGCGCGGCCACGGTCGGGTTCAGGAGCGTGTGCGCGATCTGGTACAGGGTGACGGCTGAGAAGGCCAGGGATAGGTTGGGCAGCATCATGTTGAGGGACATGGCCAGGGAGAGCGGGAGGATGTCGAGGAGGTGGATGCGCCGCGGGTTGAAGAGGGCGATGGATGGCCGGGAGAGGACGAGGAGGGTGAGGTAGGTGATGAGGAAGTGGAAGGCGGCGAAGGTGAGCTGGGCCAGTTCGAGGAACGGGTCGGAGAAGATTGCTTTGTTGGTGAAGACCTAGAGAGGGGTTAGTTGGGGTTTCAGGAGAATGAATCCTTAAGGGGTGGCTTCTTGCAATGCCTATTGTTGCCAAGGTGTTGATGGTCATCCAGATCAAGCCCGAAGTGAATGAGCTTGTGGAAGAAAGCTGATGCTCCTGCTTCTCCTTTGGAAGTAAATCGTCATCTTCGCCGATGCTTCCACTCGCTAGGTCCTCTGGCAATATTTGCTCCTTCTCGTCGTTACCAGCTTGAGTTGGTTTGGCCGGTTCTGGAGACATCACGAGGTTTCCGTTCCGACGAGGTGAATAGGATCTCTTCTCGGCCCAGCATTGTCGTGCCCTTTTGATCTATAGGGTAGGAGATCCAGTAATAGCTCGGTAAAGTGCCAATGGCTAACCTGAGTCACCACCCGGCTTAGACCATGCTTTACACTTTGGGGACGAAGATCGAGGTCTTGTCCTCTCTCGGTTCAGGACAAATTGCCATCCAGGTTCAGCCCGTCACCGCGAACACACACTATGAGCGAACACAGATTGGGTATCATTCACATCTCAGCCGAGACGACCGCTCGAGGGTCGCATACCCGGCCGGGGCACATTCTATGTAGATACATTGTGTACATAGCACAACCACTCTATATAAATGTGTCTGGGGGGACCGGTAAACCTTGAATTGCTTCATCACACACAATTGCTGATATCGAGAGAGTAGGTAAGCACCCGAAGGTCAAGAAACGCTGCACACCTCAGAGTGAGCAGCGAGTTACAAGTAGAATCAAAACGAAGAAGAGCAGAGAAAAGAGAAAAAGGATCGAGAACAAAGAAGAGAAGAGAAATAGCAGAGATAATAGGAATAGAATACGATATAGAATTTCATTCCGTTCTCTGGGTGTAAGTCCGCCTGTCAGCAGTATTGCGTGGGTACGGACTCTTTTGGCCAGAGCGTACTGACTCGAGAGAGTGGGCCTGAGCACCCGAGATCAAGGCATGGCTCGTCCCATCTCTGGGGTGCAGATCCAGGCTAGGAACAGGCGAGATCGCATGGGTGACCATCATTCTTCAACAATTCACTGATGAAGGCGCAATGGAGCAATGTGAGCAAAAGGGCGCCGAAAACGTTTCGCAACGATGCCCTGAATCCAACTGAATCTCGGCGATCCCACCCTTGCTTCATTTGACGCCCTTCCGTCAGTTGCCATGTTCGGACACGAGCGGACAAATGCCACCAACGAGCTGTGTCAGTTCACACAGAATACCTAGACAACGAGTACTTCATAGTATGGAAATTCCCCAGCAACACGTCAAATAATTCGCCTGTCCTGACTGTGGATGGTGTATCCAGAGTTTCTTTCTTTTTGGCCGACTGGCCTCCTCTTGGCCCGCAAAAGGGTGCACAGGGAATTGCATGCGACTGCGCGATATCGCAGTCGTGAACAGACCATGACCGTCTCGAGTGGGTCATCGTCACCAATTGCAGCTGCTGCGCAAGGTGAGTGTACCGGTCGCACACCGAGGGGACATTTGCAAGGAAAGATGTAAACAGGAACACTGACACTGACACTTGTATTCCGATAAGGCTTCGGCCGCGCAAACGGCTTCTTCGAGGACTATGGCGTATGGAAAGAAGCGCCGGTGCTCATTGGCACCACCAAGTTTGAGCCTCTGCCGGATGTCAGGAATATCATGATTACGGGAGGGGCTGGGTTCATGTATGCCTGCCATTTCAAGAGACCGCCGTGGGCTCAGGGGAAAGTGACTGACTAGGTGTACCTCTGCAGAGCATGTTGGCTGGTCCGGCATCTCACCCTCACATACCCGCACGCCTACAACATCATCTCGTTCGACAAGCTAGACTACTGCTCGTCTCTCAACAACACAAGGATACTCAACGACAGGCGGAACTTCACCTTCTATCAGGGCGACGTGACCAACCCCTCCGAGGTGGTCGACTGCCTGGAGCGGTACAACATCGACACCATCTTCCACTTTGCCGCCCAGTCGCACGTGGACCTCAGCTTCGGCAACTCGTACACCTTCACCCACACCAATGTGTACGGCACCCATGTCCTGCTTGAGAGCGCCAAGAAGGTGGGCATCCGCCGCTTCATCCACATCTCGACGGACGAAGTCTACGGCGAAGTCAAGGACGACGACGACGACGACCTGCTCGAGAGCAGCATCCTAGCGCCCACCAACCCGTACGCGGCGAGCAAGGCCGCGGCCGAGATGCTCGTCCACTCCTACCAGAAGAGCTTCAAGCTGCCTGCCATCATCGTGCGAAGCAACAACGTCTACGGACCCCACCAATACCCCGAGAGTAAGTAATAAGCAAGCGAGCAGGCGAGCACGCAAGCCCCTCTATCTCTCCCCTCCCATTCAGTTGCCCGCCTCTCACAAAACCCTCCCGCAGAAATAATCCCCAAATTCACCTGCCTCCTGGCGCGGCACAAGCCGGTGGTGCTGCACGGCGACGGGTCGCCCACGCGGCGGTACCTCTTCGCGGGCGACGCGGCCGACGCCTTCGACACGATCCTGCACCGCGGCCAGCCGGGGCAGATCTACAACGTGGGCTCGCACGACGAGATCAGCAACCTGGCGCTCGCCCGCAAGATCCTGGCCGAGATGGGCCTGTGCGCGCCGCACGCCGGCCCGGACGAGTTCGGCCGCTGGGTCAAGTACACGCACGACCGGCCGTTCAACGACCACCGCTACGCGGTCGACGCGACCAAGCTCCGCCGGCTCGGGTGGGAGCAGAAGACCAGCTTCGAGGAAGGGCTGAGGGTGACGGTGGAGTGGTACCGCCGCTTTGGCGAGCGCTGGTGGGGGGATATCACCAAAGTGCTGAGCCCGTTCCCTGTCGTGGCCGGGAACGAGGTGCTCAGTGACCATGAGCCGGTGTCGGATCATCCGCAGCTTGGGCATGATGAGGGGAGGAAGAAGAGGGGAGGGGAGGCGGGGGTGAATGGTGAAGCCGATGGCGATAGGAAGGTGAATGGTGAGGTGAATGGCAATGGGAAGGCGAGTGGTGAGGAGTGTTAGGGTGGGATATTGTTTTTGGTTTGGTAACTTTGGTCCATCTCGGAAGACGGTTGAGGATCTTGAGCAGGCTCGGATAGCGGCTCGGGGATTCCCTTCTAACCCAATGACCCATTGGTGAAGACGGACGGGGCTTTGTTTGTGGTGAGAACGAGTACCGTAACTATACCTTAAAATTCATTTGCCGGGTTAATGATAAGGCACGCCAGTGCAAGCAAACCGAGGCTTTGGTTCGCCGGGAATAGGCAATTTCCTACTGGTCAGGTTCGGGCGGCTCCGACGATATTTCCGTCATAATGGTTGCATTGTTGGAACAGTTTCGCTCGGTTGTTTGACCGAGGCTTCCTGACATGAATCGCCGCTCCCACCGGACATGGAAGCGGCGGTGTCAGTCAATTCGGGCAAGGTGGAGTCCGTTTACCGTTAGCTCAGGGGAACCTCAGGCTCCCAAGGGAACTGCTCTGCGGGGCTCACTATGAAGATCTTCCCAGTTCCTCTTGACATCGCTGATGAAATGACTCCGGGCCGTTTGATGGGTTTTTCTAAACATGCCAACAGCATTCTGAAATCAAGAGAGAAAGCAGTACAGTCCAGCATGCCTCCATGATATCAGCCGTTCCGTTGTCTCGGAACCGATTGATCGGGGTGAATTTTCGGCAGATGTTGAGATCGGCCCGGCAATAGGGCAAAGCTCCCGTCTCATCCGCTTGTGACACCCTCGAACATGCTACCGTCTTTCCCTCCTGCAGCTCCACATCGGCGCATGGACGAGAAGACAAGCGATTGGGGCAACCGGTTTCTCGTTTCTCGGCCCAGTTCCAGCGCCCTGGGAATCCTTAAAATTTGCTGATGACCGGGCTGGGTCGGATCGTGGCAGTCTCCCGTTGGGCGCTTGGAGCGACTCGTGCAGACCCCGATCCAACCATCCAACATCCTCGTGTTCCGCGGCCCAGCGCAGCGCAACCCACCACCGTCGACCACCGTAGCGAGCCGTACCCGTACACAGTAGACCGATGGATTCGGGACAAGGTGCTAGCGACGCAAGCTCCACGAGTGACGAATCGTAGTGTTCACAGTAGCGGGACGGCCATACCGACACTTCGCTCTGCTCGCTGATCATGGACGGGCTCGAAAGATTCCACAGCAATGCGCATCCATGCTGTCGGGTCGGATACCGTCTGCTTGGTTGAGAGGTCGGATGTGGCATTTTCCATGGGCAAACATGCCAGGCTACCCGGGTTTTTGGCGGGCATTGCCACGAGCCCAGCTGGGGTCACGAGAGATGTTCACCGAGCTTCCAGTGCCTGACGCCTCCAAGGCGGTGGAATCTCCACGAGGTCCAGGCCGATGAGGGCTCTTTCCAGCGGACACGCATACATACGCACAAGGCAGGTCAACGTAAACGCTCACCTTGTTCTCGGACGACGGTACGGAATAGATGATTCTCTCTGTCATGGCGGTTGACCTACACGTGTATTGTCCAGGTTTGATTGAACAGAAAGCAGTCATTGATCAAAAGCTACCATTGGCAAGGAACATGACTCGAGTGTCCGCCGCCTTCCGGGATGGGTCATGGACCCGTAGTAATTCTCCAAATGTCCTCCCCGCCGAATGGCCGCTCGAGCCTCCTCGAGGATCGTTCGGCTCTGCAACCCTGCGTTCCGCCCCGCTTAACTGGGACCGCGGAACCTGCAATGGCTAACCCGTGCATGACGGAGCAACCTATCGGCGCTATTTTGAAGGTTCTGGCAGGTGCAATGCGTTCGACATGATGTCTCAATAACCCGTTCCAGATGGGAGCAGGATGCGCTGGCAATGGAGCTAGCATTAGGTGATGCGAAGAACATGATGGAAGACGGCACACCGGCTCCGTTTTGCAGGTGTTCGTCCAGTCTCGAGGTTGTGCCTGGGCGGCAGGCGCCAGCAGGGCCAACCCAGCTAGCGTCTCCGTACACACTAGGCTGAGGTTTGTCTCAGTGTCTGGTACCTGGGCTGTGGGGCCCAATAGTTAGCGGGCAGAGCAGGGCGCTCAGTGGCATACCGGCGCCGGCCAAGGTCCGGCTTTGCTCATCAAGTTGCATGTCTGGGAGTTTATTTATTAATTCGCGCCGAGCCAGATCCTCCCGTCTGCCGCCCATCCAGGTTCCCCGAGTCTCCGACCCTCCAACAGCTCTCCAACCTCTTCCCAACTGCCTGCGACGAAGCACAGCAGCAAGACCAAGTCAGCATCCCGGAGAAAGTGGCTAATAACGGAGCAGCGAGTGCGCCGGATCTCCTCGCTCAGCTAAACCCCTCAGTTCGACCCTAGCCACGATCTTCCAGCGCAGCTGATCTCCGCACCAATTTCGGCACTTGCTGTGTGTACTTCGGCCTGCGACGGATTAGCCCTGATCCACGACAGCGCGCTTCTGGTCCGCGGCCAGGCTAGGTTCTACGGTCGGTATCACCGTCGCATAGTCGCATACACCCTCGGCTCGCATGCGTTCTCGTCGATAGCTTGACAGGATCCCCTTCGGACACTCTAATGGGGAAGCGGCGGCGTCGAGCGGCAATCGCAGACTTACAGGGCGGACTTCAGAATACCTTAGGAAGCAATGAGTTCAGGACAAGCAGGAAGCTACAGCAGCGGAGCCTACAGCGGAGCGCAGGACGGGCCGTCGAGGGATCATTCAACCACTCGGCGGCAGAGAGACACCACACCTCCCAGCTCTGGCGCCGCCAACGGCTTCACCTCGCCCCAGGTCCGTTTACTGTTGGAGCAGCAACGGGCGGAGGGGACGAAGGGGCTGGAAGTGGAGGAAGACGGTGACGAGGACATTGACGTTGACGACGACGCCATCGAGCCGGACGCGGACCTGGATGAGGACAACGCCCGGTCGGTGTACGCTATGAGCATGTATCCCGGTATCCAGCCTGGCTACCAGGTCGAACACCCATACGAAAACGGACACGACTCAGCTACAATGTGCGTCGTCCCCTCCTCCCTCCCCTTGTCGAAGCTGTTCTCGAGAGTGTATACGGGTTGAGAGCCAAGACCAGAATACTAACCGCCGCTCAGTTCCTCGTCACGGACATTATATGCCGAGGATTTCGATTTTGTTGTGGAAAATGGACGGCAATACTGCGGCGACTACTTCCTGCCAATCGACCAGGTCGAGCAGACGCGCCAATATGTCATCCACCAGGTCTACCTCAAGCTCTTTGACCTCGAGCTGACGACGGTGCCGCTGGAGGACCCGCGCTACATTCTCGACGTCGGCACGGGCATAGGCGAATGGGCGATCGGCATGGCCGAGAAGTACCCGCGGTGCGAGGTGTTTGGCACCGACATTGCGCCCATCCAGCCGACGCACCAGGTCCCCTTCAACATCGAGTTCAACATCGAGAACGCCGAGGACGAATGGATCCGCCCGGCCGACACGGTCGACCTGGTGCACCTGCGCAACATGGAGGGCGCCTTTTCCGACTGGGCCTTCATCTACAACCAGGCGTTCGCCTGCCTCAGACCCGGCGGCTGGATCGAGGTGATCGACTGGGAGGACTTCTTTGCCGCCGCGAACTGGCTCTCCTTCTTCCCGGAGGGCTCCGCGCCGTACCGCCTGACCAAGGCGACGCTCGAAGCGGCCGAGATGGCGGGCAAGCCGCGCGACTCGCGGCACCTGAACAAGGACCTGCTGATGGAGGCGGGCTTCGTCGACATCAAGGAGTCGGTGTACGACCTGGGCATCGGATCGCGCGCGAGCAGCAGCTACGGCAAGTTCTGGCTGTTTTCGATCGTCACGGGCTTCGAGGCCACGTGCCTGCGCCTGCTGACCAAGTACCTCGGCTGGGACGCCCAGGAGGTGAGCGAGCTGTGCGAGAAAGTCGCGCACGAGACCAAGAAGGTCGCCGACGACCCGGGCCGCGCCGACGCCTTTGTCGTGAAGTTGCGCGTCGTCGTCGGCAGGAAGCCAATGGTCCCCGGCCAGTGGACCGCCCAGACGCTCAACGAGTGCGGCGAGATCCGGGACTACAGCGGGGATGAGAGCACGATTGGCGGCCGGACAATACGGTCGGACGAGACAATATGAAAGTTTGAGGGGAGACACAGAGAACCTAAGACTGGCATTTTTTCGCCGCGGTCAGGGTTGCGGTTACTACCACCTGGCGGACATTTTTGAAGCTGGCAGGATGAAAGGTATTCGAAGCAAAAATGAGCAGCAGGGGGAATTCCCACACCTCATCACTGCATTCCTTTTTATGGTTACACACCTGACCTATTTCCATTCTTCTTCCTTTCTTGTACACTGTAGATACCCGGATGCTTCTTTCTATGTAAATAGCTTTCCTTAAGATTGATGACTATGTAGATGACCGCCATTAGCTGATAATGCTAAGAAAGCAGATGCCTTGCTTTTCTACAAGTGATGCCCCAGTTGAGTCGGGTCTGGCTCGTGCCACGGAGCGGGAATAAGACCGGGAGCCCGGCAGGTCCAATCAGAGCCGGCAGTCAGGGGCTGTCCATCCATTCACGGCCGGCAGTGTGCCGCTGTGGGGACGGGAGCTTTTGGGCAATGACGGAGCTCCTCCTGCATGTCACACCTCCAGCCACGTACTTGCACACCAACGACGAGCTCTGAGCTTACGACCAGGGCAGCTTCCAGTCACGGGCACCTTGGATCAGGCAGCTTGCGGTCTTCCACCTCCTTTTATTAGGGCGCATTCTGCCAGCCGCCTAGATCCTCACGATGCCGAGTGTCTGATTTCCAGGTTCCCGCAATCCCTCACGATGGCTCTCGATCCGTCCAGCGGCTTTGCGGCGGCCGAAGCCGTGGCCGGCCTAGCCGCCGACGCAGCGCTGCCCATCTTCGACGTCCTCCCCGTGCAGCTGCAGTTCTCCATCGCAGCCGACTTCGTCGCCGGCCAGGCCGCCAACAACGTCCTCGTCATCGCCCTCTCCAACGGCCGCATCCTCCGCATCGACCTGAACAAGCCCGAGGACATCGACGGTGCGCTTCTTTCTGCCCCCCTCGCCCTCCCCCTCGCCCTCACTCTTCCCCATCCAATCTCACACCCCGTGCTGGCTTCCTTATTCTAACCCTTCTCCCCCATTCTCTTCCGCTCGTTAGACATCGACCTACCCACAACCAAAAAGCCCTCCTCCTCCTCCTCCTCCTCCGAAACCGGCGTGATCCGGCGCATGTTCCTCGACCCGACCGCGTCGCACCTCCTGATCTGCACCTCCTCCGCCGAGAACTACTACCTGCACTCGCAGTCGCGCCACCCGCGACCCCTGGCCCGCCTGCGGGGCGTCACCATCGAGAGCGTCGCCTGGTCACCGCTGCTGCCCACCTCGTCGACGCGCGAGATCCTGTTGGGCGCCGCCGACGGGAATATCTACGAGGCCTTCATCGAGACGTCGACCGAGTTCTATCGGAAGGAAGATAAGTATGTCAAGCTGCTGCAGAAACTGCCGGATGGGCCGGTTACGGGGCTGTGGGTGGATGCGCTGCCTCCGCCTTCTTCTTCTGCTTCTTTTTCTGGTGCTAATGGAGGTGCTAATGGAGGTGGGAAGGGTGCTGGTGGTGGTGGTGGTGGTGGTGGTGGTGGTGGTGGTGGTGGAGGGGCAAGGGGAGAAATGAGACGGGTGATGATTGCTACGCGGGAAAGGCTGTTCCACCTCGCGGGGAAGGTGGGACGCGGACATGACGGGAGCGGCTCGATTTATTCGAGGCTGTTTGAGAGCGAGCAGCCCGTGGTGCACGAGCTGACGCGGGCGACGGCGGCGGCCGCATCCATGCTGGTTGTCTCGCCCGATGCGGCCGCCGAGGGACTGCCGCGGTTCTCGCGAGAGGATGAGGCTCCCGAGCGGGCGTTTGCGTGGCTCACCTCCCATGGGGTGTTCCACGGGAAGCTGCTGGCTCATGCCGGAAGTGGTGCTGAGCTCGGGGCCAAGGTTTTTGCTGAGGCGAAGCTGCTCCCGCGGGCGCAGCTGGTCAGTCCGGAGGGGGCGGGGCGGAAGCAAGTGTCGACTGAGTATATCGATGCGATTGCGCTCACGCAATGGCATGTTATCAGCCTGGTGGGCGGCAGGGTGGTGGTGGCGAACCGGCTTACGGGGTCCATCGTCTACGACCAGACCATCCTGGATCCCGGCCAGAAAGCGGTCGGGCTGTGTGTGGATCTCCAGAAGAACACCTTCTGGCTGTTCACCCCGCAGGAGATATTCGAGATTGTCCCGCGGGACGAGGACAGGGATATATGGAAGATTATGCTACAAATGCAGCTGTTCGATGCCGCCCTGCAGTATGCGCACACTCCGGCGCAGAGGGATGCGGTTGCTATGGCATCGGGTGATTACCTCGTCAGCAAAGGGCAATACGGTGAGGCGGCGGGCGTCTATGGCAAGAGCAGTAAGCCCTTCGAGGAGGTGGCCCTTGCCTTCATTGACAACGACCAGCCGGACGCTCTGCGAAAATATCTCTTGACTAAGCTAACCACATACAAGAAGTCGTCCGTCATGCAGAGGGTGATGATTGCGGCGTGGCTGGTGGAGGTGTTTATGGCGAAGCTCAACTCGCTTGACGACACCATCGTCACAGGGGCAGAGCTGTCGGACACGCTGAATCCGACGCAGACGCGAGAACAGTTGGACGCGGTTCGCGCGGAGTTCCATGACTTTGTGAACAAGCACAAGTCGGACCTCGACCGGAAGACGGTTTACGATGTCATCAGCAGCCATGGTCGGGAGGAGGAGCTGCTCTACTTCGCCGACGCTGTCAATGACTACAACTATGTCCTCTCGTATTGGGTTCAGCGAGAGAGGTGGTCGGAGGCGTTGAAGGTGCTCAAGCGGCAGACGGATGCCGACGTGTTCTACCGGTACAGCAGCGTGCTTATGACGCACGCGCCCACGGAGATGGTCGAGATCCTGATGCGGCAGGGCAACCTCAACCCGCGGAACCTCATCCCGGCCATGCTCGAGTATGACCGGCACTACAAGGGCCCGCTGGCCCAGAACCAGGCCATCCGCTACCTCCAGTACGCCGTCAACCAGCTCGGCTCGACCGACGCTGCCGTGCACAACACGCTCGTTTCCATCTACGCCTCGCACCCGTCCCGAGACGAGTCCGCGCTGCTGTCTTACCTCGAATCCCAGGGCGACGAACCCAAGTTCGACCCGGACTTCGCCCTGCGGCTGTGCATCCAGAACCACCGCGTGCTGTCGTGCGCGCACATCTACACCAGCATGGGCCAGTACGTGCAGGCGGTCAACCTGGCGCTCTCGCACGACGAAGTCGAGCTGGCGTCCATCATCGCCGACCGGCCCATGTCCAACCCGGCCCTGCGCAAGAAGCTGTGGCTCGCCGTGGGCCGCAAAGTCATCTCGCAGCAGTCGGGCGGCAGCATCAAGACGGCCATCGAGTTCCTCAAGCGCTGCGACCTGCTCAAGATCGAGGACCTCATCCCCTTCTTCCCGGACTTTGTCGTCATCGACGACTTCAAGGAGGAGATCTGCGCCGCGCTCGAGGATTACAGCCGCAACATCGACGCGCTGCGGCGCGAGATGGACGAGTCCAGCCAGACGGCCGCTAACATCAAAGTCGATATCGCCGCGCTCGACCGGCGGTATGCGATCGTGGAGCCCGGGGAGAAGTGCTATGGCTGCGGGCTGCCGCTGCTCAGCAGGCAGTTCTTCGTGTTCCCCTGCCAGCACGCCTTCCACTCGGACTGCCTCGGGCGGAGGGTGCTGGAGCAGAGCGGCGAGGCGAAGGCCAGGCGCATCAGGGAGTGCCAGGTGCAGATCAGTAAGGGGCTGGTTGCGGGCGAGAAGAGGGAGGCTATGATTGCCGAGTTGGATGCGTTGGTTGCGTCGGCCTGGTAAGTTAATTTAACCCCTTTTTTTTTCTTTTTCCTATATTTAACAGTTTGGTTATTGGCCCATGTTTTTTTGCTGACGGTTTTGGGGGGGTATACAGTATTCTCTGCAGCGACTATGCGATTCGGAGGATCAATGAGCCGTTTATCAAGGAAGGCGAGGATCAAGAGGAGTGGGCTCTCTAGGAGAGAGAGACAGAGAGGGATCTGATCGGAGAGACGGGGCCATGGGTAGACGTTTTGTCTGGTGAAACTGTGTGACGGAGAGCTGATACCCGGTTTACTACTGAATGCTATGTATGCGGAAAAACGCCGAACTATATACATGAGCTTTTTTCCCAGCGCGGTGCTGGCTACTACATGCCATGCCCATCTCCTCCGTTGCTGGTCCTGACCAAAAGCCTTAGGTACCTAGTAAAAGCACTCGGTAACACCCAGCGTCGACTTGCTCAGCATCAGGATGGAGACGATGACGCCATACAGCCCCAGCACCTCGGCGAAGATGAGGATAAGCACCATGCCGACGTACAGACGGGGTTGTTGTGTGCTGGCGCGGACTACGGTAGTTGGGCAGCGTTAGCTTACTATTATCATCATCGTCTTTCTCATCTCTCCTTTCTCCTCTATCTCTGTCCCTGTCTTGTTCTTCATTCCGAGTCTAGTAACTCCCAACGGCTGTTTTTTTCAGAGATGGAGATGGAGAAGGATATGGCTAGGCAAGGGCAAACTCACCGCCAGCATCGCCCACAATACCGATCGCGAACCCGGCCGCCAGCCCGCACAGTCCCACCGCCAGTCCGGCGCCGAGCTGCAGGAAGCCCGTGTGCAGGGCCATCTTTTCGACCAGGTTGTTGGAGATGATCACGGCGGCGACCAGGCCGTAGATGGAGATGATTTGGGCCATGATGGCGCAGAGCCTAGTTATTTTTATTTTTATTTTTTTTTTTGTTACTTTCTTCAGTTCTCTCCTTTTTTGTTTTCGCCTTTACTTGTACTTACGTGTTCTGCATTAGCTTGTCCGGGCGGATGATACCCGACGAAAAGATGGCGCCGGCCGACTTGGCTGTTCCATAGCTCGCGCCGATGACGGTGAAGACGATGGCGCATGCGCAGCCCAGCGCTCCGAAGAAGGACTGTTTGGGTGGTAAATGGGGAGGAAGTGTTGGTTGAGAACTTGGGGGGAGGAGACATACGGCGTAGACTGGGCTTCCTCTTGACGTGTTAGTTCATTCCGCGGGAAGCAAATGGGGGTTGTACTACTCAGATAGAGTACGAGGAAAGGAGAGGGTGACGGCAGTAGACATACCACCGGTCGAGACTGATGATGTCCATCCCTAGTCGCGGTAATTGTGTGGCTTTGGCGCTGCTAAGGCCAGTTAAGTGTTCTGAAGCAAGGCAAGGTATCCCAAGTCTTACTCAGGTTGAATGTACTCCGCTCCCTCTGAGTATGGATGCCCATCCACAGCCGGTGTTGATGGCTTGGATTGAAACTCTGACGAGTAGTGTTACACCAAATAAAGCTAAGCTATGTATCAAGGAGCGAATTACGAGAAGTCAAAAGAGGAGTTGACGTTGGACTTATTATGATGCCATGGGTTACTGTCTAAGTATAGCATATTAGGTGGGCAAGGCGAAGCTGACGCGTCTCTGCAGCTGACTCGAAGCTCAACAAAGCAACAATCATTGACGGCTCTGCCAATCAGGAAAGCAGCACCCTTGAGTCACACACACCTGCAGTTCCTTCAGCCTTCGGCTCATTCGTGGTAGTATGATGTCTATACAGGGCTAGTCACCACCAATAGCGCCATGTATCATCAGAGGTATTCCGATTGTGTGTGTTCTTCCACAGCGGCTGGACGCGAAAGCCTTGGCGAACTGGATCAACAGCGACGCCCTGTATTTGACCCCCATCCTGTGTGCCAAGGAGAAGGACATTGTCAATCCCTTGATCACGTTGTGTGTTGTATGAGACGCTAAGGTATTGATTTACCGCGTTCACCGTTGGGTTGTGCAGTCGATCGACGTCCTCCGAGTCCCGTAGTCTCCAGCCAAAGTCCCTTTGTCCCAACCCAAGGTTTTTCAACCGAGCATAGGTAGTAGGTATGCACAGGCAATATCCTCGCTCTGTCCCGGCCAATGCAACAACTACGAATGCCTTTTGTTAGCCCTCATGATGCTGGTGCAACGCCGATGCCCTAGGTCAGGTGGGCAACAGAGATGACTTACAGCGTGGGACTTCGGTCCAAATCACAAAGCTGTCGCCAGCATGGACACACCCAGCGAAATACGTGATCATCTACTCCACCGACAGACTTGCGCCTACTAGAACCCTCGGATCAGTCCGAGCCTTCGGCATGCTTCTCCGCTGGTAATGCTTCTTCCGCCGGAAATGCGCTATCCCTGTTCGGCGTTCTTGCAGGACTCGAAAACGCAGCTGCGTCTTGCCCCCTTCACCCAAATCTTACTACGGTCGCTGCCCGGACACCCCCGACGAGTCTGGACAGGCTGCTGGGAGCATGCGGCACATAGTCTAGCTATACTTTTGGGGTGGGAGACGGCAATCCGCATCAGAAACCTTACCACATAGTACAGCTGAGTGTAAAGCACGCCATACTCCCCAGCCCATGAAGGCAGGGCATGCTAATACCAGTACAACTATCAGGAAAGCATGGAGTTGCACCCAAGGAGACTGCCAGATCGGACGTTTCGAAAGCAGATCGTTCGCCTCGGCATCACTCGCTGGGTGGATCGACGGCGAAACCGCTGTTGAATGTTCGATCTTGGAAACCGGGAACGGATACGCCTGTGTTGGCCACGCTGGCGACTTCTTCTCACTCTCGAAGGAAACAGACCCAGACAGCATACAACGTCCAGAATGCAAACCTCAACCAATGCACCGGCAGCCTAGCCCTACGGTAGCCCCTTTGTCTTGTGGTCGCCCAACATCAAACAATGTCGGGGGCAACTGCTGCAGCGTCTATGGTAGACGGTACTGTCGCAGCGTTGGTGCAGGTTGGTTGGGCAAGAGCCGAGCTTCCATGTGGCTCGTGGGCGAGATAGTTCGCTGCTGCTCACGTTGTAGCGAAATGTCTGGATCCGGGCGCGTAAGTACTAGTAGTTGGTATATCCTGTCATTGCCTCCGTTCTCAAGCCAACCTGTCGCACGGCCAATACGGCACTCCCAGGCCTTCCATTGCAGGTAACAAGTATCGTTTTGCGCTGTGACAAACCAGGGAATATCCAGAACGGCAGCCTGAACTTCGAATATTGATAGACCCCCGACTCATTCATTTCCAGATGAGCTTCACAGTAAAAGCCGCCTTGGGTCCTTGGTGTATTAGCGTTAGTAGCGGCTAAACGTATTGCTTCTCTCATCGCCTCGTGATATCAATTGGCTGCCGTGACTATATATATGACTGCGCTTGATGAAATGCGCAGACCGTCCGAAGTGTTTGATTTCCAGTATCTGCCTGGTACTTAGGTAGCGCATTGGGTCGTTTTTTGAATTTCGGTGGTTTGTAGTTTCCCGCCAGTTGCCCATTGAGAGCAATACAAGACGGACAGGCCCTGAATACCGGGGTTTAAGTAAGGTATGTCCACGATGAGAGCAAACATCCCAAGCTTCCATCCCCCGTGCCTCCTCCAGAGTACCCGGTCGCCGTTGACCCGTGATGTGGGGTCGGAACGGAAGAAGGTGGGGTTCCCGTTACGGCCGGGACTCCGTGAGCTCCATGTACAGGACAGCCCCTGAGGATTGTTAGCGCGGAACCTACGACAGGGGTCTTCACAACCCCGAAAGAACACTCTTAAACCACAAAACAGAGCTGATTCAACGCAAAAGGATAGAGCGTCTTGCAATACTCCGAAAGGCTGAGTCCATCAGTACATTTTTTCCGGAGAAAAACTGACCGTTTTGACGTTGAGATTGAGATTTTGGGGCTGAACCCTGGTCTTTAAGTCAGACGCTAACGAACTATCAGGGGTCCGACTGTACTGCACCGGTATTGTAATCTGGACTATCTGTCAGGGGTCAGGTAGTGTATTGTTCCCGAAGGCTTGGGCCCCGAAATAGTGCATCAATCTTAGGGATCCAGAGCCGCGCTCCTCTCCTATCACGTCCTTAGTCCCTACCTTCCAGTACCTTGCGGGTTGCTACAGAGTAGAGCTTGGTCTCATGTCTATATCTTCAGATTTATATGTAGTTTGCCTCTATTTATCCCCTACCTACTGTCTGCTAGCGTCTGTATGTACATACCTACAATGTACTTGTTTTCAAGTCCCCGCTGATGTACTAGTAAGGTATTGTACAATACCTGTATTTCCATCCCCTCAGACGCGCAAGCCTGTCGCGCACCCAATTATGATCTGACCGCCGAATCCCCGCGCCAAGCTGCGGATGTCCCGCACACCCGGTATCAGATGGACATCCTGGGGTGGTGTTTCACATGCTGATGAACAGAAACCCCGTTGACCTTTCGGCATTGCGTCTTACTAGCAACTGCTAGCAGGATTTCCAAATATTACTAGTACTGTCTTTTGGCTGGCATCCATATTCTCATATCCCTTGGTGTTCTTGTGACTTGCCGTGCGGCGGGAAGTACACTCAGTGTACCTACTTGTAGCATCAGATAGGGCTAACAGCCAAGGCGGAGTGGGGCTCTTGGCTGCAGCCGCTGCCGAAGCGGAGCCAAGGCGACCCGCTCAGCCGCTTCATGCCTTCGACAACCGCAAGTGGTCAATGCCGTCAGCATGGCCGCGTCATTCTCTCCATCCCATATTCCGAGCCCTTCCTTCGAATTACGTCGAGCAAGGCTGATATATCCTATGACATCTTCGGCTCTCAAGATGCGTCAACATCACCCTCCATGCCTGCGGCGCTTGTTTCGTTGCTTCAGCGTCAAGGAGGCCTTACAAAACCTAAATGCATTCACACCTTTCCAGGAAAGCCAATATCAGTGGCATAGGTAGACAGCCGTGCGGCTAGAATCCCCTCTTAAGTAATGTACCGTCTGATGATGGACCCTGAAAGCGAAGGCCCGGGATGGGTAAACTTAGCTGCAATCAGGGTCCCCCGCTACGGCTTTGGCTCCGTCCGTTGGATCCCATGTATGCGCATCCGCTCGGTCCCCCTCCGTTTCGCCTTGTATATACCAACACTCAGCCCCATCGCCTGAGCAGTTCGCCACCGCGGCCACCTTATATACCATCCAACCTACCTCGTCCATTCCATCCAATCATCCAAAATCACCCACATTCATTCTGTTCTCAGTAGCATACCCAACGTGCCACTCCCACTCGTTTACACGATCCATCTATCGTTTATCCAGTACACGCTCCGTTTTGACACACATGAAGACGACTTTACTATTTGCCGGAGCGGCCTTGCTCACTCAGATTGGAAATGGCCTATCCGTACCACGGAGGCGGGATGGATTGAAGGTGGTTGGCTTGCCGACCGAGAGACGGGCGGCCCGGAATCCGGTACACAGAGACGAGCTGCGGAAACGAGGATCTCTCGCCGTAGGGATCGACAATAAGGAAACAATCTACTTCATCAACGCGACTATCGGCACGCCAGGCACGTCGGTAAGGTTACACCTCGACACGGGCAGCAGCGATCTGTGGGTCAACACTCCCACCTCGCAGCTTTGCGCAGAGTCCAGTGACCCATGCCGCTTTGCGGGCACCTACACGGCAAACTCCTCGTCAACGTACGAGTACATCAGCAGCTACTTCAACATTTCGTACATCGACGGCTCCGGGGCAAGTGGAGATTACGTATCCGACACAGTCACCATCGGCGGCCAGAAGGTGGAAAGGTTACAGTTCGGTGTCGGTTACTCCAGCGCCAACACGCAAGGGATTCTCGGAATCGGCTACCCGGCAAATGAGGTCCAGGTCAACCGCGCCCGCCTCGCTCCCTACAAGAACCTCCCCGCTCAGATGGTGGCTGATGGCTTGATCAAGTCCAGCGCCTACAGCTTGTGGTTAAACGATCTGGACGCCAGCACAGGCAACATCCTTTTCGGCGGTGTCGACTCCGAAAAGTACACCCCGCCATTGCTCTCCCTCCCCGTGGAAGCCGAATCTGGCGTCTACTCGGAATTCATGATCACCCTCACTGATCTCACGCTCGGCAACACAACCATCGCTTCTGACCTCGCGCTCGCGGTGCTCCTCGACACCGGCTCCTCCCTAACCTACCTGCCCGACAGCCTCGTCCAGAACATCTACACGGAGATCAACGCCGTCTACGACCGCAACATCAGCGCCGCCTACGTGCCGTGCGCCCTCGCCTCCGACAGCACCAAGCGCGTGGACTTCACCTTCACCTCGGCCACCATCGCGGTCGAGATGAACGAACTGGTCCTCGACATCTTCACCTCGACGGGCCAGCGCCCCAGGTTCTCCAACGGCGTGGAGGCATGCGTGTTCGGCATCAGCCCCGCGGGGACCAGCATCAACGTGCTGGGCGATACCTTTCTCCGGTCGGCCTATGTCGTGTACGATCTCGATAACAACTACATCTCGCTGGCGCAGACCAGGTTCAATGCCACCGCGACGAAGGTGCGGGAGATCGGGACGGGAGAGGATTCGGTTCCCGGGGCCACCAAGGTGGCGAACCCTGTGCGGGCGACCGAGGGGTTGAGGGCGCCCGGCAGTGCTACTGCCCCCGAGGTCCCGGATTCCCAGGGGGCGAAGTTGGGTGACCGCAAGCGCAAGTCGGTGGCCGCGTTGATCCCGCTGCTTATTGCGGCATTGATTTTACTGTAGAGGACCCGGGGTGGTGTGCAATGTGCTATACGGCTTGGTTTGGGTTTTCGATCCATTGAATATACCACCTACTGCATTTTGGTTGGCGTTATTGGCCGTGGGTCCGGTAAGAGGATATGGGGGTCAAGGACTCGGAACGGCGTTGGATGTTTGAAAAACAGGCTCTGCATGGTTTGGATCGGTTTTGGATTTGGGAGCATGGCTCATGCATGTAAAGACTTCTTTTAACCTCATGGAGATGGGTCAGGACTGAGATTAGAACTGTATGATATGATTGAAAATTACGCATTCGCAATAGCTTGTACGGAGACGCATTTCATCCGGTGCCCTCCACACCATGTCGGCATGAATGCGCCTGCCATCTCGCTCTATCAAGGCACGGTGTGACGACTCAGGCCCACACTGTTGTCCGTACGTGTCGCTAGGTCGGAGATAACTTTTAACTCCTGGATGCCGCTTAGTTACATCCGGGCTGCGATCATTGGCCTGTGACCCACCCAGACGACATGTCTCGCAGGCCGTTGCGTCCCCACCACGCACAGGGTACATACACACAGCACAGAAGATACTACTCGAATGGAGAAGGCTGTACGAACGGCAGTAAGAGCCCGGCTATGGCTCCCATTTCTCATTCTTCTGCGTAAACGGAGGTAACGGAGATATGCGTCGAGGGCCTTCTCGGCTCGGGAAAGAACAAGAACCCGCTACCGAGTCTCCTGGTTCAGGTTGTATCCAGCTGTTAGAAGAACCAAGCTATTCATCCTTCGATGTCGATGGACCGTCGATTTGTAAACTGGGCATAATCGATCCGTCCCGCTGCTCCGTGTAACCCCCCGTAGCTTCATTGTGGGGTTTGTGAACTTGTGTATCTCCCTGGTGGATGAATGATTCATACTACCCCGAGCTCACACACTGTAACACTAGAGCAATTGGTCGTGGAGTTGATGATTATGGGAAGCCATGAGTTTCTTAGTGCCGGAACCACGAAGAAGCCCGGTTCCCGAGCAGTTAAGGCGTATATAAAGCCTTATCTGAACGAGTTTCAGCTCGGCCAACTGTACAGACAGCTTCATCATCACTCTTGCAGGTCGAGCCCTACTCGAGTCGCAGGACCCAGCGTTCGCTGAATCTGAAGCCCCGATACCAGAACGTCAATCGTGAATATGGCTCCAAAATACGCCAAAGACCAGCCCGCGGGTTTCACCAACCGCATCGAGCGTGTTGCCATCGTCGGAGTAAGCCTCCTCCTGCGGAACGGCACCCTCTGTCTCCCTTCCCGGGACAGTCAGCGCTGACACGGTACTGATCCTGTTCAAAATAGGCTGGCGGTCATCTCGGGAAATACTTCGCTCAAGAACTGGTCAAGACTGGTCGCCACACGGTTACGGCCTTGACCCGCGTCGGAAGCAAGAGCCAGCTCGCCGACGGCGTGAGGGCGGTCCCCGTCAATTACGACCATGAGAAGAGCCTTGTTAGCGCCCTGCAAGGGCAGCAGTTTCTCATCATCACCCTGCCAGCCACCGCCGCTCCGGAGACGCACTCTAAGATCGTGCAGGCCGCCGCCAAGGCTGGCGTCCCCTACATCATGCCAAACTATTTCGCCGGGGACTTCGCCAACGAAAGGCTCATGAACGAGGAAATGCTGGTTGGCAATCCTGCTAAGACCTTTGCGGAGATCGAGGCGACGGGCGTCTCGTCGTGGATCGCCATGGTCTGCGGCCTGTGGTACGAGTGGAGCTTGGTGCTGGGCCCGATCTGGCTCGGCTTCGACCACCAGAACAAGAAGATGACCTTCTATGACGACGGCACCACCAAGGCCAACCTCACCAGCTTCGAGCAGTGTGGGCGCGCGGTGGCCGCTCTGCTGAGCCTCAAGGAGCTGCCGGACGACGAGGCCGACACCAGCCCGACCGTGAGCAGCTGGCGCAACAAGCCGCTGTACATCTCCAGCTTCCTGATCAGCCAGAAGGACATGTTTGAGAGCTGGAAGCGGGCGACGGGCGAGACGGACGCCGACTGGACGATCGAGTACGAGCCCGCCCAGGAGCGCTACCAGAGAGGCATTGCGCAGATGCGCAGCGCGACGGACCCCTTGTCCAAGCGCATGGGCGCTGCGACGGCAGCTTTTGTCAGGCTGTTCTTCCGCAGCGGGGACGGCGACTATGAGAGCACCCGCGGTCTGGCGAACGACGCGCTTGGGCTGCCGAAGGACGACTTGGATGAGCGGACGGCAGGCGCCAAGAAGATGCTCGATGAGGGCTTCGTGCAATGGGTGTTCTCGACGACTCTCAGCGCCGAGGATCACAGTGAATTGGCACGAAAGAAATGAGCAAAGATAATTGAGAGCTATGTAGTGGTCGGTTTTAGTCAAACACTCGGACTATTTTGCTGGAACTTTAGTGCCTCAAACAGCACTTGGATCTGGCGCATGTGAACATTCGATGCTGCCTTGAAGTCCGAGTCATTACTTGGGGGTCCGAGCGTTTTTCACTGAGACTCCAAAGCGCACGTGACTCCGTGTTGCACAGAAGGTGAGCCTGCCTGGAACCCTGGGGCCTGGACAAGGTTAATAAAAGCCCCACATTTCTACTAGTACTGATGGGTCTCTTGGTACTTCGTAACTTCAACAACTCAAGGACCAACAACTCGCATCAAGATGGCATATGGCGCAGGGAAACCGCTGGCCTCTCCCGCAGGCAATGGCTTGCTGGACAAGGACGTGGAATTTCCCAAAGGTCCTGAAGACACCATCTCAGCGCTGCGCTGGTCGCCTGTGGGCAATCATCTGGCGGCCTCGTCCTGGGATGGCAAGGTCTACATCTACGATGCCTCAAACTCGACATCAACTGCCAGTATCCGGGGCGTCGCAGCCATCACTGTCGGCGCTCCTGTGCTCGGCTGCGACTTTAGTAAGGTAAGTCCGACATGACGTTTCTAACCCCACAGCTCCCGATCGATCCAAAGTATGAACAAACACGAACGGTTCCAATATAGGCAAGTCGACAATGACTGATCTGGCGATACTTTGGTGGACATAAACTAACACTGGTGCAGGACGGAACCATCGCGGTCGGCGCAGCCGCAGACAAGACCATCCACCTCATGGACCTCAACTCGAGCCAGACCATGAAGCTGGAAGGCCACACCGCGCCTGTCCGCACAGTCCGCTTCGTCGAAGTCCCCTCCGCCAACGCGCCCATCATTGCGTCGGGCTCCTGGGACAAGACCGTGCGCTACTGGGACCTGCGCCAGCCTCAGTCCATTGGCACGCTCCAGCTGTCGGAGCGCGTCTACGCCATGGATGCTGCCGGGCCGCTACTCTTCGCCGCCACAGCCGACAACCAACTCCACTTCGTCGACCTGCGCGCCAACCCGCTCCAGCTGTGGAGATCCACCAAATCCCCGCTGGCGCGCCAGACAACCGCCGCCTCGGTCTGCTCCGACGGTTCCCGCTGGGCCGTTAGCAGCATCGAAGGCCGGGCGGCGGCCCAAGCCGCTGATGAGAAGGATAAGAAGAGGTAAATCTCCCCCTGACAAACCCCTACCTCCATTCCCATCTGTAAAAACAAAAAAGAAAACGGCCAACTAACCCCCCCAAAACAGGTTCCAAGACCTGACCTTTAAATGCCACCGCGAACCGTCCCCCGCCAAGAAGAACCAGACCGACGTCTACGCCGTCAACGCCCTCTGCTATTCCCCGGCCCACAAGGACGTGCTCGCCACGGGCGGGTCCGACGGCACCTATAACGTCTGGGACGTGGTGACCCACCGCCGCCTGCGCTCCTTCCCCAGGGCGAGCGGGCCCGTCACGGCGCTGAGCTTCAGGCCTGACGGCATGGCTCTTGCGTATGCGGTCGGCTACGATTGGTCGAAGGGGTACACGCACAACAAGCCTGAGACGGAGAAGAAGATTGTTCTGCGTATCCTTGGGGAGGCGCCCAAGAAGTGAGAGCGAAGCGGAGAGGGGAGACTGGGTAATATCGGGACCTGGTAACTGTATTTTCTGTGGAGGATTATGGGCTATGGACCATACAGTATCGGGGAAATGGACTGGCCAATGGGATGGCAGAGCATAAACTGCTCGCTCAACGGAAAGGCTTGGTGAACATGGGATCCGGAGGAGGCAGCTGTTGATTGTTGGATTCGCATGGTCCTGTGAGCTTGTTGGAGAGGAAGGGAGGGTAGTGTGGGAGCTTGATATTCCTGTTTTTCTGTTTCCGGGGAAGACCTCAGGGCGCACAGCGTGGTGGGAGAGCGAGAACATATCATGTGAGCATGGATTGAGTGGTTTATGAACTAGGGCCTCATGATGTCGGGCATCAGCAACAGCGAGGTGGAATACAGATTGATGATGATTCAATTGCCGGCCTGTTCTGCAGCATAGGCCGCGCGCAAAATACAGCGAGATTCCGAGATTCTCTTATTTCCACCTTGCTCAGCATCTCTGCATTCCAGGCGCCAGGACTTCACATCAAGGTACGTAAATAGCAACATGAACCAGCAGAAGGACACAACCGTAACATAGCAGCTCTGTTTAATCTCTCTTTCTCCCCCCTCTATGCGTACCTCTCTCTCCCTCTGCCAATACCTCTTTATGTGACGTCTCTGTGTGCGCAAAGTTAGGTAGGTACCTTAGTTCATGAAACTTTTAAACCCCCTTCCTTCCTCCCCTGTACCTCCTGGTATGGTATGGCCTCACAAGTTGAGAACAGACATGAGAGGAGCGCGAGGAGGAATTAAAATAACAACGAGTCGAGAGAGCCCATCCCATCACATCATACCATCTCTGGCCAGACCAAGCCCCAACCCAAGATCAGCCATGACCGTATATGCTCAACGAGTACCAGACAAGACAGACACACAGCAAAACCGGCGGACTTTCTCAGCCCCTAATAGACACAAAAGCAGTACTCGAAAAACAAGACACATTGTCATCTGCCGGAGCCCGAGAGTAAGGTAGTAGCAAGTTGAGATCAGAAATGGCGGTTATTTTACCATTTCTATCATATCTCTCTCCATCCACAACCCCTGGGGAATCGCATGTTTCAGGCAAGGCGGATGTATCCTCCTATTTTTATGTCTTTCTCATCAGAACCCATCGCAGATCAAAAAGCGCGCAATATCCCATTCCCGGAAAACTAAAAGAATAAACATCTACCATGGGCAAAAATATGCCCAGGAGAGGTCCCCGTGTAACTCCTTCCCTCCTGTCTCTTCTCTTCTTTTGCCCCGATTTTCCCATGTCATTGACCCAGTAATCGACAGTGTCCTTTACAATTAAGATACCGGTTATTTGTGCGTATTTGTCAAAAGTCGCATGGTACAAGAAATGTATGAGATGTTCCCCCGCCCCAAGGAAACTCATGTCTTGTCTCACGTCTTCAGTTCGTGACCAGACCCGAGGGTGCCCCATGTCGTCATCAATGAGAGGAGGATGTCTGGAGAACCGAAGCAAAGCCCGTGTATGTGTGCGTTGCTGAATTAGAAAGGGTCTAACCCGAAAAAAACCTGCATGGCCACGAAGGAAAAAGGCGAGAGGCTCTTAAATTAGAGTTCGCTTATCTGTGGCTGGCCTGGCGTGACGTTCTCTCCGCCTTTGCAGAGTTGAGTCTTGGCATGTTCGGCAGCAGCCTCGGCACCGGCTCCGTTAGGGCACGGTGGGCAGCTCGATGGTGTGCTCAAGGGACTGGCCGAGTCCATGGTCAGGTTTGGGGTTGGAGCCGCCGAGTTGACATCGACGCGCAGCCCTGGAGATGTAGGGGCGGTCGACGCTGGCGTGGAATCTCTCGTGCGGCCTGCGGGGACTGAGAATTCGGAGATGACTCGATCAATCGCCGTGGTCTGCCTCCCTGTATTTCCGGCTTTCCGCAGCGATTGGAGATGCGCCCTCAACTTGTCAAGCAACACCTCTCTGTCCTGGGGCTGAAGGTTCTTGACCAATTTTTCTTGCGCATTGTCAGCATCGCAAGAAATACGGTATGGTAAAGTGCGGAAAGACTTACGAACGACGTAGTTCCCATATTGATCCTTGGTCAACTGGAAGAGTGGACAGTTATCATCTCCACCGCCGATGAGCTGGTCCCTGATCGCCCGTTGTTCCTCGACCGTGCCGTAAACGATGCACTTCTCGACCACATTCGACGCACATTTGTTTCTCGAAAGCGTCAGAAGCTGGGGGATGACGAGGCGGATAATCCGCGAACGGTCCTCGGCCTTCCCCTTCTCGATGACGTGCTGGACGACATAGTTACCGTAGGAGTCCGTAATCAGTGTCTGGGCCGAGTTATGCAACTCCTGCGTCACGACGGCCTTGTCCGCTTCAGTCCCGTGCTCGAGAATCCTCTGGATAACCCGGCAGCCGAACTGGTGGGAAGCGAGCTCGCATATGCGACCCGTGAAGGCGTCCATGATGAACGCGATGTGTTGACGTGGGACCAGCGCGATGGCCTGCTGGACCACGTGGTTTCCTTGCTGGTGCTTGGCCAGATTTACAATCTCTGGCTCCAGCTCCTTCACCAGCTCGGCCTGTTGTTCAACCAGCAGATGTTCAAGAGCCTGCTCTCGGTTAGCTTCGGCGAAGGCAGGTGCAGGTTCGCTCTGCGGATCACTTACCTTTTGGACGACTCGGCAGGCGTAGGCCTGCTTTGAGAGATCGACCACTTTGCCCTTCATTGCACCCGCCAGCACCTTTTTCTGGACCTGATTCCCGTGCTCGAAGAACCTTTGGATCACGTAATTACCGAACAGATCCTTCATCAGTTGGATGGCATTTGGCTCAATCTCCCGGAAGACCTGGTCCTTCTCATCACTGTTCGCCGTCTCGAGTTTGTGCTGGATGAAGCGCGAGCCTTGTTGATCACCGCTGAACTCGGTAATGTGCCCTATGATGTCCTGTAGTCCTTGTCAGTGAAGTGTCTTGTCTCCGAAATCAAACGAGGGTTTCCTACCCTGAGCTCGTAGCGTCTATTTGACTTCGGGCTGGATTTGTGGAATTCGTCCAGAAGCACACTCCTGAAGGCCTTCCCTGGGTCCTGGTCTGCGGCTGGACGGATCGGGACCGCGCCAGCCCCCAGGGCGAAATGGGCCATAGGCATGGCAAAGCCCGGAAGATGAGCGGGGCTCCCTGGCGCGGGAAATTGACCGTAAATTTGAGTATAGTGGTCATACCCTCCAGTGTAATACGCGTCTTGGAAGAAAGGCATTTGGGGCTGTTGTGTGAAGGCCGGTCCTATGCCTCGCCGACCGAGGTCTGGGCCCATCCTCACCTCTCGCGAACCCGGTCTCGACCATGGATCGGCAGTGTCTGCTAGGCCTCTGGGACTGTTCAACGCACCGCCCACGCGGTAGGCATTCCCAGAAGGCGAGCTTCGGCCCACGATAGAGCCTCGCTTCTCGACACCCGTGCCGATCGTATACGCGCCATGTCCCTGTCCGCTTCCCCAAGGCTGCGATCCGGGGTTGAATTCGAAATTTTGGGCCCCGTTCGTGAACGATAGAACGTTCGATGCGCCATCCACCATTGCGCCACGGCCGTTGTCCATCGTCAGCCTCGCAAGGGATTCAGCTAGCTGTTCATCAGCCTGCCGCCCAGCATTCGAGTCGAAGCCTCTCGTGTTGTGCGAGACAAACGAGGAGCCGGCGAGCGATGGTCGTTGGGAGTGCCTGCCTGGTGCACCAGGAATGCCATAATTGTAATCACCATACGGGTTCGTATGGCCGTGGAGGTCGGACTCGGGATGACTCGAAACGGAGTTGCGTGAAGGTCCGCTTCCAACTGCGTTCAGCATCGACGACTCCTGTGCCTGTCGCTGGACGGCCAAGAACTTTTCAAGCCTATCGACATCGGCCGGCTTGAACTGGCCGAAAGGAGCGAAACTCTCATCGTCGTCCTCATAGCCCGGGAAAGTGGAGACGTTCTTGAAGGCATTGCTCGAGGAGTCGAGGGCAGATGAAGGCGTGGGCTTTGAGCCCAGCAACCCTCGGGGGCCGATTGCTGAAGTCGCTGTATAATACGCAGTATTCATGTCCTGACCGGAGGCATCGGACCGGCTTCTTGGGGACGTGTTCCCGGACAGAGTACGTGACTGTGTGTTGTCCGCTGTATTCCAGGTGTCCGATCGGCCGGGCCACGGATCTGCTTCAGATGTGGCAGCAAGGGCGCCGGACCCTGAAGGGCCCGTCAGGTTGCTAGCATCTGTAAACCCGTCAGGCCTCCTCACATCCGATGGCAACAGCGATCCGCGTGCCGACGAACCTCTGGGCGCAACCGCGTCTCTGTTCCTAGCAAAGGCTCCGATGGCGCTGTTATTCCATGGGCCATTTGATGGATACGGCCCCATGGAGAATCCGCTTGAGAGCTGTGGCGGCCTTTCGGTGTTGTTCGACATGGTGGTGTAATTCGGTAACCGACTTGGCCGTGTCTGCTTTGGTATCCGGAGGTTAGCTCGCTATGGCAGATGCGAACGTGACAAGAGCCTGGTGCGGCTCGTGTCCGGGAGTGGGCAGAATGTTGCCAAATAGGGCGCAATACGGTTATGATATTAAGAAAGGAACGTACCGTGTTTGCCATTATCGGCAATCGGAGTGTGCTGTGACCTTAGTGTATAAGGTGGGTATCGTGGTGGAATGGTCGTGGATGTATGGAAGTTGGCACGGAAGCCTGTCCGGCCAAGGTTATTATAACGCGGGTAGCTGCAGGCGTAGCTATCGAACGCAACGCAGCGTATGTGCCGCCGAATGAGTTGACTTCAAATGTATTGACGCCTTGGACTTGGAATATATGTGCCGGGTATCGAACGAAGGTGTGAGATGTCGGAATCGATTTTGGGAGGGGCTGCGAAATACTTGAAGTGAAAGTCAGCACATCGGAACCAAGCAGCTGGGAAGGGCGGTGGTGTGGGGGAAGGGAGGGTTGGTAAGGCTGATGTGTCCCACACTGCGCGCAGCGAGAGCCCGGAGGTAGGTGGGGAGGGGGATGGTGCTCCGAAGCCTGGCCTCTTCACACTCCCTTAGACGCAAGGGCGCTGACGGTGCTTGGGAGGGACGGGCGCGGTCGCGCGCGTGTGAGTCCCGTGTGGCATGCAAGCACTTACTGCCCTTATTACTGTAGGCTGTAAAGGAAGCTGCCGCAGGGCCCACACACCACACACCCGAACACCCGATACTTCTCTAATGAGATCTTTGCGAGGTGCACGCAGTGCAGATGGGTAAAACGGGAGAAGGGCGATGCGCCGTGTGCAAGGGAATAAGCACAGATGGTGGAGGATAGAGAGAGATAAGGCATGCAAGTTATTAGATAGGGAGAACCAACCTATGTTAAGGTGACCGACTTCACTGTCCCACCTCGGGGCGGCCAAAACGAGAGAGGATGCCCAGCTGTCGTTATTAGCGGTGCTTTCGAGAGAATGCAGGAGGCGACCAACGCCAACCGGCGGTTGGCGACCTGGGAGGAGGGGCCCTTTTCCCTCGATGGGAAACGCAAGGCGACCAGGGGGTGGGATTGGCAGGGATGAGCTGCGTCGAGTCTGCGGGTCCAGAAGCTGGGCAGGGCAGGGCGAGCACACGACAGGGTAGGACTCGGAAAGGGAAGGCTCGAAAGTGTCAATGTGTCGGCCGCTTAAAAATGAGGGCCGGGGTGCGCTAAGATCCAGCTTGGTTTGAATTCGGGGGTTCCAGCGAGGAGTGGACGATGGACCCCAAAAGCCGTTTTTGTGGGGGAATCTCAGAGCCGGCGTCTCAAGTTCTGTGCCTTTTTTTAGGCAAGTGCCTTCCAGACCCGTGGTGGAGCGGGATGCGGCAACTTGTGAGATGATGGAAACCTTAACGTTAACTTTTAAGGTGCTCCTGACCTGCCCTGACCAGGAATCGGATGCACCAACTTGATTGAGATGAGATCCAGAACCAGTACTGCAGCGAGAGGAGCCCGTGACGCTGTGAGTGAATTGCGAAGAGCCTGATTGTGGATGCGGGTTCTTTTCCTTTCTTTATTGAGGTCACACTGTTCACTGATCGGCAGAGCGTGGCCTGCTCCGTCTCACTTGTGCACGTAGCCGCAATTGATGTTGTCGCTGTTGCGAAATCGTGTTGCATTCAGGCGTACACCCGACAGTAGGCTGCGCCAAGCGAAAGCAGCTGGCTCCGGGCCGTTCAAGGCAACCACCCCGGTGAATGGGTCTTCCCCGGTCCCCACACACAAGGCTGCAAGTGCCGTGGCGAGATGACAAGAAAATGTTGTTCGAGACTCCCGTTGGCGGTTGGCGATAGCGGCCGGTGGAGGTTTAGGATCGCAGTTGGGAACAAGACGAGAAGAGACGAGAGAGATTCGCGAGTCGAGGTCCTAAAGAGCCTAGATGTCATGCGGGCCACCGAAAGCCCGCTAGTGACACTAACCGGGGCGACGTCTTCTGTGTGCAACACCTGTTGGGACTGCAGCCAGTGGAGAGAGATGTTGTTGGTAAAGCTTTTCCCTCATCCCCTAGCACCACTCGTCATTCTCCAGTCTGTGCGTCCGTGGGTTTCTTTTCGTGCAGCGAAAGGGCAACAGTATCGCACCATGCCCAACATGCAAACGCTTACGGCCGGGGGGTACACTCCACCACTGAGACTCGCGCTGCCGTGTTGGCTGACTTCGCCGTCCCAGATGCAAGGTTGTTGGCGGTGATGTTGGATGTCAAACTGGTTGGGCGGCTTCTGGGCCAGTCCGGAAGCAAGCGATTGGCGATCTCGAAGCACAGGGGCAGGGGGTCCACGCTCAATCTGAGTGATCTGTGCCGCTATGCGCCTTCGTTTTGTTTGTTAGCTGAACGCATCTACATGTATATGTTGGCAATTAAGATTGTTTGAGCTAGACGTCAATACCTACCTACTTACACAGTGCTCAGTGAGGTGGTTGCAGCCGAACTTTGAAGGGGCGGGTGATTCCACTGCAGTCCCTTCAGATCCCCGAGGTATGCCGAATCGTCGCTCAGAACCAATTCTTGACAGAAGAAAATGGAGAAATAAAGAAAGGCCGGCGCGCGTATGCTCAAGTGGATTTGTAGTTCAGAAGAGTCAGGAATTGTATGTACACATACACATACATATCCAGTAGACCAGGCTGTTGTCTCCCTCAGAAGCCAGAACAGACCGGGGCGCAGACATAACTCCCTGTGAGCCAAGGGAACTCACCCTTCTAATGTATGCAAACCTCGTGCGGCACTCTCCCTCGGGAATCGACATAATTCAAAGGACTGCTCTACACGTGTATGTGTATACCTAGTATGCAGGAACGTACGAAAACGGAAACGGAAGTCTCCGATCTGCGTGTAAGGAGACAGGACAGCATCTGCATAGCGTCAAGATAAGACAGTATTATGTCAGTGCAACCATTTGCCCTCTCCTTCATTCTAGCATCTCTGTCTTGTCCAGCAATAACACCATTGGCATGGAGAACAATAGGGAGAACCCAAAAGCGTCCTTTGTACAAGCCTGGTGTTCGGTGTGTCGATGTGTGACCATGCGAGGCAAGAGATGTCATCACCGTGACCATCTGCTCCTATTCTGGAAAAGTTTCATGCCCGTCAACACGCTAGTAGAGGAATGTCCTCATCTCCGCTGCTGTGGCGGGCCGAGAACTCACGGCGGATCGGCACAGATGTCTTAAGTGTCTTAACCCGGGCCCCCACGATCGATCGACCTAGATGCGTCTCTGTGCACACTGGCCGTGAATCTGGGGAAGACCAGGCCGCCTTCCGCCATTGTGGTACCTGCCAAAATCTTAACCTGGGATGTGTCAACTCTGTATGTACTGTACATAGGTACTGTAGGTAGCTTCTCCTGAAACAAGCGCAGCATCCGCTCTGCCGCCCTTCCGCCTCTGGGTCTGGGGCCGCCTCCCGTCCCAAACTAAGAGAGTTGTGTGCAACTCGAGCCAAATGGGCTCCCCCATGCACAGCCCCCATTCTCAAAGACTTCCGGCATCCGGTACGCCGCCCTTGTGCGTTTGACAGAGGCGCTCTCTAAGCCTTGACAACAGGTCGCCAAAGTCCAGGTCACCCAGAGCTACACCCGAGCACAGCTGTGTAGGGGTGTGGATGTCTTGGATGGCCAGGGTTTTGTGGCCGTGTTTCAGGAAACGGAACGCCAACTGCGACAGCTGGAAACAGCGCAGAACACAACACAGCAGCGATGCTCCGCACATGCTGCCTGGCATCGCTTGCAAGACATGTCGTTTTGAGTTGGGTATTGGCAGAGCGTGACTTCATTACACGGCCAGCAGCTCTGCCATTTGGCGGCGCCGACTTGCAGGATCTGAAAGGGGCACGGGACACCTATCGGGAGGTGAGAGTGTAAGATTGGCCCGGCCGTTGATCTTTCAACCGTCCTCAAGACCTACCGGTGCCGACTTTGAGTGTTGACAGATATATCATTCTCCAGCCCAGCGCAGTCGTTTGGCCAGTACATAGCTCTACCTTGGTTTGCTGTCGGGTAAGCTAACCTACGTCCTCGGCTTTGGACAGGTTGTCGCTCGTGATAGAGGCGGTGCTAACGGACTTAATGGTAGTGGCTCAAAGTAAACGATTGCGTGATACACGGCGAAAACCTAACAGCACAACCCTATCTTGGCTGGTTGGTGGCTTGGGACGACGGAGCCAGGATATGAGTTGGGTTCACTATGATTGAGACTTCCGGTCGGTTCCGAAGAACGGTAACGGGCCTTGTGTCCTCGGTAAGTGTGAAGGGAACACGTCAGGCAACGCACCATCTTCACCGCGGACAAGGAGGCAAGGCCAGGCGAGACCGAGACACAGGTAGCAGGATGAAGCACCGAGATGTCCCTGTGCTCGCTTGCCACACGGTCCTTAATTTCTCGTCCTATAACGGTTTTGGTGTGCCACCGGTTGAGGCAGAGCAACTGACATGTGAGACGACAGCGTTGCTGACCGGAAACTATGATGCCATCTCCGGGTGTGAAGTCCATGACCATAAAAAGGCGGGCGGGTATCCTGAAGTGCGCCAAGGGTGGCAAGCCGGAGCGGCCCGGCCACGGTTGCCATATATGCTGGGCCGGAATCATACTGGGAGAAGCAGAGCTTTCCCGTTCCGCTCATCTCATGCGTAACCAGGTCCTGGGTCAGTTCTGATGGTCGTACTTAAACAGCCGACTGCTTCCGCTTCGCTTGCCGAAGAGGATCCAGTACGTTCAGCTCTCAGGCATTCGCTTCTGACTGTAGGGCAACAGTCATCCGCAATGTGCCGAGAGGGAAGGTGATCAATGCTGAGGGGTTGTCGCCACTAATGAAGTCCTGTAAGAAATCGATAGCTGTCAGGCGGGCAGATAAATCCTAGGTCAGTGAAGAGGGGAAGTCCAGGACTTGTCTCTCTACGAGGAGAGAATGGGTTACAGCTTCGACGATTCAAGTGTCTGGCGGTCACACCTCTCACGATTGACTGCCGTCGACGCAGCATATTGAATGATTATGAGGCGGCTGATTACCAAAAGTGGATACTGAGCGGCTAACTCGCTGGGCCTTCCAAAGCGAGACAGGCACAATGTTTGTCAGCTACCTAGCTGCAAGAACAACTCTAAACACAGCATTGACAAGCAACCACATCATCAATGTCAGATCGGGAGCCAACTCGATCACTTGGCTTTTGCTTTCCATCTTCCAGAAATGCAAAGACGACCGTTTTCCCCACCAAAGTAATGAGCAGTGGATGTTTCTTCATGCTGACCAGGGGACCGGGCGGGGTGCTTCTGGTCTGGCCCTGAAGATCTCTGCCAGAGCTCTCAAAGCACGAGCCAGAATCGGCAGCTTGCCAACAGGGATTCATTGGACGGGCGTCAAATTGCACCCCACCTGCGTGCTGCCAATCGGATGGTATCATTGGCTAATCGCAGAATTGGGTGGGGCGGTCGACCCAAATTCAGCAACGCGTTAGCGCTTGTTGTGGGCTTGCTCCCCTGGCGAAGCGGTGGACAGGAGACCGAGACATTGTGTGCAAAAGGTCTCGCCATCTCTCCTCACTGCTCTTTTCTGCTGTCTCTGCATCTCACCGGCGTCACGGCTAAGGGATTGCGTCTGTCGTTCTTTCCGTCACTCTTTGCTCCCTCCCTCCTCCCGGGAACCGCTTTGGTATCGACTTCACTCTTTTAGTCGATTTCCGTTCCGTCCTTAATCGATGCAATTCCCCGTGACACGCGCGAGATTTAACGCGGCACATATACAGTCGTGAGTTTGTTGAGAGCCCATTCAATTCCTGTAACTGCCATGTGAAGTTCTCTGGACAGGACAGTCTAAGTAATGGGAATGATACTAACCATGAGTGCCGACCTACAGTTGAGCAGTCCATGCACGATCGTTTTATAACTGCAAATCACGCATAACGACATTCCTTCAACAACAGCACACTCATTACTCACCATGGACTCATTCGCAAGACTCGTCGCTCGGGGCAGCGAGCAGACCGACGACAAGAGCTCTACCGTCAATCTCTTGATCGCGCTTCTTTGTGTTGTCTTGTTCGGCCTCCTGGCCCTCGCTTCGCTCGTCCTCCTCCGGAGGATGCGCAGGCAGAAGAAGATGATGGAGGAGACACTGCCACAGTACCAGGACGTCAAGCGGACCGGCAACCACCGGGGCCTCACAATCCAGACGAGCGGCGGCAACGGCCGGTCAAGCGTAATTGTTGTCAACGGCGGCGGCCAGCCCATGCTAGCGAACCCGCACTCGCCCCCACATTCACCCGACAACGTTCCCGAGATCCACATCACCTTCCCCGACGAGCAGGACGAGCAAGGCCGGCGGAAGAGCGGCCGGGTGGTTGTCGTCAGGGTTGGCGAGACGACCGTCGGGCTTGAGCCTCTGAACGAGGAGCAGCTCCCCGCCTATGAGAAAGAGAGCAGCACGCAGTTTTACTCTGTCGACATCGACAAGATCGGCGGCTTGAAAGAGAAGGAGTTCCATTAAGCCGCACCCCGCCAAGTACTCGGGGAGTTCTTGCGGAAAAAGGTCTTCTCGTTCGGCACCGAAAACGAGCTGGCAATCCTTACGATTTCATGGGCGTGCGGAGTTGCGAGGGACGGACAAGGGGGAAACGGAAAAGATACCATACAACTCGCCAGCACTTTTCTTTTCCTTTGATTCGCGGGCTCTGGCGCTCCTCCCCCCATGCATTTTGACGCTTGCCAGGGGGAGGATACCATTTTTTTTTCGTGCCGATCGGTTGGGGAGACGCACAAAACAAGGGAGAGCCTTCCGTACATAGGCCGTGATGCTGCGTCGCCGGGCCACGTCCAGTCGACAACGGATGTTGCAAAGGCAGGGTGGAGGAGAGAAAGGGCGCACAGCTATATACCTTCGTACATATATCTGGGAACGCATTGATCGGCAGCGTTTGGGCGGGCTTGTGGCATATTTGTACGGACATATTCTCGTATTGTATAATTACTATTCCACGCCCGGGTCGTCCTGCCTGGGCTTCTTTACACACTCCTCATGCTCTACTTGGTGAGAGCTAGGACTCTCTTGGTGCTGGAGTCTTGTTGTGCTGGCCCCCAACATTATGCTGTAGATCCGTAGGAGGGTTAAGCTTAGAAGAGTACATATGGCAACGGATTTGCCGCCAAAGATGATGTGTTGCCATTTTTGTTTCCTCAAAGGAAGTGGTTCGTTCCGTCGCCGCCATCGAAGAAATTGGTTGCGAAGTGAGCCACCAAAAACTGAGGCAAGGACGGGATGTTGCTGTAATGCATGGATGTACTTCAGAGCTCCGTAGAGGGAGAAAGAGGGAGAAAGAGGGAGAAAGACGCAAGAAGCAATGTGAGAGAAGCCCATGAAGTTTAGACATTATGTATTGTATGTACATGTACATTCAGCGGGCTGTTACAAATTTAGCAGTGTCCCCGTCTATGTTCGCCCTGTCCAGTACGCTTGACATGGAGAGATATACAACAAGTAGGCGGATAGATACATACCTTAGACAACAACGCCCAATGGAACCACACCAAGTCTAGGCAATCCCATCTCTAAGGTAGGTATGTACACGTGCGAGAGAGAGAACTCACTCGGCCCACCCGAATACCTCCCCAATGGCCATGGTATTACACCTCACGCCGGCCAGGGACACCACGATCGCCACGACATCGACCACCAGCAGCACCACGGCCGCCGTCATGAAGCGAGGGCCAAACACGCGGTACAGCATCAGATGCCTTCGCAAATGCCCCGCCCACGCCATGGTTGCCAGGCTCTCCACCGCAAAGTAAGCCACAAACGCACCCAGCGCGCGGCTGACGCTCTCGAGCAAGCCCTTTCTCTTGGGCCCGGCCTTCCAGAGCACGAGCAGGGGCACGGCCGAGGCGGCAAGGATCTGCCCGGCAAAGGTGTTGAAGGCGACGACGAGGGGGCTGTACGGATAGCGGATCGTGAACAGCGGGATGAAGGCGGCGTCCCACTGGATGGTGCTCAGCACGGCCTGGTGGCCCGTCTTGAAGAAGTGGAAGGTGCCGAGGACAGCGAGCATGACGGGGCCGATGGGAGACGAGGTGGTGAGCTGGTTGAGGTCGAGGATCTCGAGGAGGGCGAGCATCTGCCAGGCCATGAGGCCCAGCACGCCGCCGCCCATGGGCTTGGACAGCAGGATGCAGGCGGCCAGCAGATTGAGCGGGAGGAGGAGGTATCGCGCGCCGTGGGCGTTGGCGTAGCCCAGGATGGCGACTTGGGCTCTGGACGGCTGCGTGGGCGACGCCGATGTGACGATGGAGACGCAGGGGGGCGCCCACACGAAGGCTGTGGTGCCGGCTACGAAGGCGAGGCCCAGGACCATCTGCGCCGTGTAGACGCTGATGTTTTTGAGCGTCTTGTCCGGGAGGCCGCGGATCCAGTTGCCGTTGTCGGCGGCGTCGAGCAGCCAGTACAGCGCGGACATGAACAGGCCCGTGCGGAAAACGTAGCCGATCCAGGCTGGGGCGAGACCCTCGTACGAACGCGTGGTCTGCAGGTAGGCTTTGAGGATGGACGGAAGAATGGCGGAGACGAGGAAGGGGATTAGCAGCTGCCACGGGGCAGAGGTCGACGATGTTGCGGAGGCGTAGTAGGTCGAGGTGCAGTACGGTATCTGCTCTTCGCGGCAGAGCTTGGAGAAGGAAGCAACGCGGCCGAGCACGATGAAGACGACCGAGTGGTAGATGGCCAGATACCGGTCGGCCCGGGAAGGCAGCCTCAGCGCAGAAAGGGCGCTGACGAAGCCAAATGTTGTGATGAAGAACAGGAGGATCGAGTCTTCCCAGATGGTGTACGAGTTGGATGCGAAGCCAACAGACTGGCTGACCGTGAAGACAACGGCCATCCATCCCCACAATGTCTTGGGCAGGACTCGCAAAACGGTGTCCTGCGCCTCGTACATCCGCACTATCACCGCCGCGATGCTCGTCAGGGCTGCAATGCCAGCGCCACGGTACCAGTCGCCAACCCCCGAGACGAAGGAGGAAATAACACCGCCGATGAAGCCGGGTAGCGCACCGACAAGTGCAGCCGAGACTAGGCTCTTGTCGAGGGTGTCAGCCGGGGTGGACGCAGTGTCTGGCGTAATTCCCTGGAGCTCCAGGCTCTTCTCCGCAAGGTCCAGCTCCTCGTCGTCAATGACGTCGTCCTCGTCCCCCTTAGAGACATAGACGAGGAGGGCAACGACCCCAAGCGCCATTATGCCGATGCCGATACCCATGTTCTTGAGGTCAAACCTCGCCCACAGAGCCTTGCATCTGTGTAGCGTTTCCGCTTGGTACACAGCGAAGGCCGAAAAGATGGCCGGCCAGTCCTGCTTCTTGCCCTTGGACACAAGCGCTTCGGCCGTTTCCCAGAGCTCACTAGGCGAGCCAGCCCCTGAAACCTGCTCGATCCCACGCGCAGTGAAATAGGCACTTTGATATCGCTTGATACCCGCTGCAGTGACTCTCTCGGCCGCAGCCAGATTCGCCCATGACTTGCCGGCCGCTCCAGCAAAAGCCTCTTCGATTGGCCGTCCCAGGTTGTTGAAGGGGATGGGGATGCCCATCAGCAGCGCCAGGGTGGGCACCAAATCGATCTGGTTGACGGGGCGGACCTTTGCCGTAGCAGGCGGTGTGGCATATTCGGGTTTCGTCCTGCCAAAGATACCCTTCGGAGAATACATCCACAGCGCGGCCTCGACCTCGTCGTCGCTCTCACCCCCGTGGTCACCCTTGCTGTCCATGCCGTGATCTCCCATCACAATGAGCACGGTCCTATCGTCCATGGTCGCCGCGAGATCCCGGACGAAGCTGTCCATCTGACGCAGCTTCTTCGTCATCTCCGGGTGACTCGGTCCATAACGATGGCCGGCGTGGTCAACACCCAGGCAGTGTCCGATCAGGAGGTCCCACTCGCTCTTCCTCTCCATCAGCGGGAAAATATGCTCCATGACCCCATTATCCACCGTGTGCAGATCCCAGACATTGAAGCTGTCGTACGCCCTGCTCAGATTGGCCTGGAAATACCCCGGAAACAGCGCCTCCCACGTATCATCCCCGAGATGCACAATCCTCTTCCCGGCATCCCGCAACTGCATGAGCAGGTTGTCCTCATCGATGGCCGTCCCGGAGAAACTGCTGCCCACATCCACAAAAGTCGGCAGCGTCCCCGTCGTCAGGCCCTTCAACCTCTGCAGCGTCGAAGTAGGCGGATCGGCGATGAACGGCCGCAGGAACGCCCTGTTCGGCTCCCGCACCGCCGTCTCCCACAGAAAGGGAAACGCGTTGTGGAACAGCTCGTCGTCCTCCACGGGCACGGTGAAGTCGTAGCGCAGCGCGTCGATCACGACCACCACGGCGCGGTCGAACGTGCGCGGGTGCCAGCACCCACCCTCCACCGTGCCCTTGCCCTCCCACGCGGGTAGCAGGTCAACAACAACACCAGCAGCACCACCAGAACTCGTATTCACTGCTGTCGGCGGCACGTCGCAAGCCGACTTCTCCTCGAGCACGAGCCGCGTCAGCAGGAAGCCGCTGGTGAAGTAGGCGATCCCGACCGCGTGCACGCACAGCAGCCAGACCCAGAAGGCCGCGGTCCACGCCCAGCGGGCCTGGTACGCTTTCCTGCGCGCCGTCTCGAGCCGGGCGCGCCGCCGTTCCCGCTCGCTGATCTCTCCTTCTAGCCCCTGGTGCTGTTGGTGCTGTTGTTGGTGTTGCTGTTGTACGCCGGTCGCCTTGCGGTCCGCATCCTCAACCTCCTTGGCGCGCTTGGCGGCGGCGAACTGCGCGGCGATGGTCTTGTAGTCCGGCGGCGGTCCCTTTTTGGGCGTCGGGTTTGGAGGCGGCATTGTTCGCTGGACTACTATAGGAAAAGGGAGAGGGGAAAAAGGGGACGGCTATCAAGTAAAAGTTGGCCTGGCGAAGGCCAAAAAGAACGGGAGCCGAAACCCGACGCCAATGAGGGACGCGAACCAGAAGTTTGAAGGAGCAAAGGCAATAACACAGTGCTGAATTTGGCTTAAGGGAGGTCTCTAGCTGCCATTGAGCTCGTGACTATGCAAGCACAAGCTATGTGAAGGGAGGGAGATGTGCCATTTCGGGGTTGAGCGGTAATATTCGAAGGTCAGAAGTCGGGAATTTCCAGAGCTCCAGCAGAAGCTATCCCCACCTCGCTGTCATTCGCGCCGAGCGCACTCAGTCAGAACCCTAACCCTTTGGTTGGTAGCCATCAAGGTATACGTAGGGCAAAATAGTACTAATTATACTGTGTAAGAAAGTCGAAAATAATAATGTCTCCTACGACTTTCTGGAAGTGCTTCTTATATCCTCCAAGCCTATTTCCCTTTCTCTTTCTGAAGTGCATCCATACCTTACAGAAACGTCCTCACCTCAGCCTTTGCGGCTTACTGGGCAACATCACTCGGCCCAACCTGGTCCACAACTGTCACAAGCATCCGAAAACAACGATTGCTGGGGCACCATGTAGTCGTATTAAGCAACATGGCTTTATCGAGAACTACCCCAGCTCCTCCCAGCCAGTCTGGATTACCTCCACACGCGCGCTGCTTGGTGAAGGCAGACCGTCCCCATCTCATGACCAGGAACATATACACACATCTTGTTGAAGATGCGGTTCCTGACGACCCCTTGCCCAATTTGACCCGAAATCCGATTTCCCCTCTTATTAAAATCATCAACACCGAACCCGATGAATTTAAAAACCATTTTTCTCATCCCCTTAAACGCCGAGTTGAGAATGGCGACACCCCCCCGTTCCCGTTATGCTATGCTAGTTGTTGAAATCCGGATCTCCCTTGTTTTTGACCTACCAACGCCGAGTTGAGAATGGCGCGATCGGGGTATCATCTATCGTTATCCCATTTTATAACCCGCTAGAAGACCCCGAAATGCTGAATCATGCTGTTGAAAAGAAATCCGGAAAAGCATTGTTTTCGGCAATCGTTAAAAGCGACGAAGGCCATGTGAGCTTTGCGCCGAGGCAATTTAGGCCTTGGTGTACTGCTCACGGAAGTACTTGGCAGCATTCACCATGTGGGTGAGCGCGCCCTTGACCTCATCCCACTTGCGCGTCTTGAGACCGCAGTCGGGGTTGATCCAGAGTTGCTCAGGGCGGACTGGTTGGCAGTTAGCTTTTATGCTTTTTCACAGATGCAGTTGATGTGGTTGGTTTGACTTACGATACGGGAGCATCTCCTGGATGCGCTGCTTGAACTCCTCGAGGGGAGGAACACGAGGGCTGTGGATATCATAGACGCCAGGGCCGATGTGGCGGGGGTAGGCCTCGTCGACGAAAACCTTGAGGAGCTTGGCATCGGACTTGGAGTTCTCGATGGACAGAACATCGGCATCCAGCGCAGCAATGGCGTGGAAGAAGTCCTGGAACTCCGAGTAGCAGAAGTGGGAGTGGATCTGCGTCGAGTCCTCGACGCCGGCGGTGGCCAGCTTGAAGCTGTTGACGGCCCACTTGAGGTATGCGTCGCGCTCAGAGCCCTTCCGCAGAGGAAGACCCTCACGGAGGGCAGGCTCGTCGACCTGGATGACGAAGATGCCGTTCTTCTCGAGGTCGACAACCTCGTCACGGAGCGCCAAAGCGAGCTGCTGGCACTGGACGGACTGGTGGACGTCGACGCGGGGGAAGGACCACCGCAGGCACGTCACGGGACCAGTAAGCATGCCCTTCATGGGCTTCTTGGAGACCGAGGCAGCATACTTGGACTCCTTGACGGTCATGGGAGCCGGGCGGGAGATATCGCCGACAATGATGGGGGGACGGACGCAGCGAGAGCCGTAGGACTGCACCCACGCGTGCGTAGTGAAGACGTAGCCCTGGAGGCGCTCGCCAAAGTACTGGACCATGTCGTTACGCTCAGGCTCGCCGTGGACATAGACGTCAAGGCCGAGCTCATCCTGAATCTGGATGGCAAGGTCGATCTCCTTCTTGATGAAGTCGTCGTATTGCTGCTCGGTGATCTCACCCTTGGTGAACTTGTTCCGCTGCACACGGATCTCGCTAGTCTGAGGGAAAGATCCGATGGTGGTGGTAGGGAACAGGGGAAGGCTCAAGTGCTTCTTCTGCTGAGCATACCGAGTATCGAAAGGAGACTTGCGGTTGTGCATCTCATCCGTCACCTGAGCCTGGCGCTCCTTGACCTTGGGGTCATTGGTGCGGGTCGACTCGGCGCGCGACTTCATGGCGGCAGCGTTGGCATCAAGCTCCGAGCGGACAGACTCAGGGTCAGTCACAGCCTTGGCGAGGATGGCAACCTCCTTGACCTTCTCGCAGGCAAAGGAGAACCACTCGTAGACATCAGCGGGAAGCTTCTTCTCGCTGGCGAGGGTGTGGGGGGTATGGAGGAGGGAGCTGGAGGTGGCAACAATGACGCGGTCAGGACCAAGCGCCTTGACGGCGGTCTGCAGGAGGGCGAGGGACTTCTGGAAATCGTTCTTCCAGATGTTCCTGCCGTCAACAACACCGGCAGATAGGATCTGCTTGGGGCCGAGCTGCTTGATAACAGGCTCAAGCTGCTCGGGGTTGCGGACGAGGTCGACGTGGAGGCCCTGAAGGTTGGCAAACGCCGGGAGGACGTCAAAGTTGTGGACGATGTCACCGAAGTAAGTGGCGACGATGATGGACGGAAGAGCGCTGCCCTGGGCGCCGATGGCCTCGTAGGCAGGCTTGAAGGCCTTCTTGATCTCGTCACGGAGATCGAAGACGAGGACAGGCTCGTCGATCTGGACGCTCTCGGCGCCAGCAGCCTTGAGGGCCTTCAGGAGCTCGATGTAGACAGGCACAAGCTTGTCAAGGAGAGTGATGGGGTCGACAGAAGAGCCACGGTCAGCCTTGCCGAGGGCAAGGAAGGAGACAGGACCGAGCAGGACAGGGCGGGTCTGGAAGCCGGCCTCCTTCGCCTCGAGGAACTCCCGGACGGGCTTCGGGTCCTTGGCAAGGGAGAAGGTCTGGTTATCCTGGAGCGTGGGTTTGACATAGTGGTAGTTCGAGTCGAACCACTTGACCATCTCAAGGGCAGGGACGTCCACACCGCCCTTTTGGTGGCCACGGCCCATGGCGAAGTACTCATCGAGTGGCGACAGCTTCTGCTTGGTGTACCGTTCGGGGACGGCCTGTCGAAGCAACGGACGTTAGTCTTCAGATACGAAGCAATTGACCTTTCAGGTCTCGACTCACATTGAAAAGCTGGATGTGGTCGAGGACGTGGTCGTAGAATGCAAAGTCATTGGAGGGGATGATGTCGACACCGGCATCCTTCTGGATCTTCCAGTGGGCGAGACGGAGCCTCTTGGCCTCAGCGAGGAGGTCATCTTGGGAAATCTTGTCGGCCCAGTAGGCCTCGTTAGCCTTCTTGAGGTCCCGAAGGACTCCCATACGCCTGTGCAATTCCTGTCAGCACACCGGCGGAGTCATCATTGACCAATTGACTTACGGGAAGCCCAGAACCGATGACTGAACCATCTTGAGGCGGGGGGAGGGGTATTAGGGGTCTGAAGAGCTGTAGCAGTTTAAACAAAGACCTCTTCCTGGGCCTTCTTCTGGAATTAGAAGAAAGGATGAGGTGTGAGAGGAGGTGGGTAAGCGGGGATGAGAAAGAAAAAGGAAGAGGAGGGAGGGACGAGCTGAAGGGAGGAGGGGAGAATTTGAGTCTGTCAGATGCAGATACGGAGCTTAGGTGGGGTCCGTGATCGGTGGGGGAACATTCCCACCGCAACTTTCGGAGCCCGACTGCGTTAGGCTAGGAGGGGATGTTCAGTCTCGACCGTCGATTTAAAGGTGGGGTACGGAGTACACAGTGGTCGTTGTCAGAATTGTCAGGACCTTCACAACTGTGTAGCATAAAAAAAGAAGAGGTCGGGTGCTTTTGTATTCAGGGTCTGCCCTGATGAACTGGACATTCTGTCCCCCTGGAGGCCAACTCTTGTTGCTCTTTTGCTGTTTCCCGGTTGACTTGGTCTGCCCTTGCTTTGCCCCGCCTCTGGAGTGTGAGAAGTGTGAGCGCTATCGCTGTTGCAGATGGTGTGATTGTGCGAGTCGGCCAGGTTTTCACTCGCCTACCATTCCGCGCAAGGCAAGCCCATGAACCTGGCTCGGACAGATTGCCCTGCAGGACGCTTATTACACCGACAAACGCCGCGGGCCGTTTTTAGCGTAGTGCCGTCGACAACCTCACTCCGGACACGTATAGTTTACCGAGTACCATCTGCACATCGTACTGCAAACCGATCTCACCAGATTCTCAGTCTTTTGACCTAAAGCTATAAAGTTGCCGGTGAACCCCGTTCCAAGTAATAAAACTCTCCGGCGAGCGTACGTCGAGGACTAGAACCAGTGTCAGGGGCTGCCCTCCAACCTGAATCGACTTTGCTTCTTCTGGCCAATCAAAATTGAATAACATTGGGAAGCGTCCGATTCTGATGCCAAGTGGAAAAGTGCAACAACCGAGTCCCTCACCAAGTACTGGATAGTTGCATGTATTCAAGTGATTGGGGCCGTGCACCCGCGCAGCGAGCTATCCGATTCAGCAGTCCAATCAATTAGTTATTGGAGCTCGAGCCACCAGCCTTCCAGCCAACTGGGCGACGTCCAGCCTTCCAGGTTGTACGTACAGGCGTCGTCATCATCGTGGCCGTTGTCTCTAGAGCCTGGACGACATTCCTTCAACCCTCAGAGCAACCTAATTGATAATCTCCCTTCGTGGTTTCTTCTCTTCGCTCCGCGCCAGAAACCCCGCAGACGCACGATACTGACCGCGTGTGTTCCTGCTTGCCTGTGCCCCTTTTCCGAGTCCCGCTCCCGGCCGAAGTCGACAACGCCGGCATCATGTACTCGAACCCCAACTCCTTCCTGGGGGCCAATAGCCTCCGCTCGGGGGCTCCGCAGTATGGAAATTCGTTCATGACAGGCACCGATCAACCCCAGCAGCAGCAGCAACAGCAGCCCGGACCTTTCGCGCCCCAAGCGACGGGCTTCGCCCCGCAACCGACCGGCTTCGCCCAAGCGCCGCTTCAGCAGCAGTACACCGGTTATCCGGGCTTGCAGCCGCCGCAAGGCACGGGGCAGCTGCAGCCGCAGGTCACCGGTTTCGGCCAGACTCCGCAGCAGAACATGTCCTCTGCCGTGCCTCCAATGCCCGCCATCCCCCAGCAGTATCAGCAACAGTTCCAGCAGCAGCTTCAGCAACAGCCGAGCCCCTTCGGCGCCGGACCAGCGCAGCCTGCCGCACAGACACTGGTACCGCCTCCGGTGCCCTTAAAGCCGCAGGCTACCGGCTTCAGCGAAATGGCCGCCTCTTTCCAAACTGCCGGCGGCGCGCGGCCGCAGCCGGGCGCAGCTCCGAGAAAGGCGAACAAGGTTCCTAACATTCGTCTCTCGTTTATCACGGCCCAGGATCAGGCCAAGTTTGAGACATTGTTCAAATCCGCCGTGGGCGATGCGCAGACTACCATGTCAGGGGAAAAGGCGAGGGACCTACTTCTGCGGTCTAGGCTAGACGGAGACTCGCTTTCCCATATTTGGTGAGTGGCAGCTCTGAAGGATCATGATAGCCCTTGGGAAATCGCGATACTAACCCTGCGTCTTAGGACGCTTTCTGATACCACTCGGTCGGGAGAGCTTCACTTCCCGGAGTTCGCCCTTGCCATGTACCTCTGCAACCTGAAGCTCACCGGAAAGTCGCTGCCAGCTACCCTTCCCGAGAACATCAAGAACGAGGTTTCAAGCATCGTGGATATTATCAATTTCAGCATCGCTGAAGAGTCGGGGCCCAGCCCGTCCACGGCTACCAGCGCCACCGTACAGCAAAGCTCGGCTGCTCCTCCCGTTATTCAGCACCCGCAGCCCCAGCCCTCGAACTCACAACTTCTCCAGGCCCAGATGGCGGGCTTTCCCGCCCAGCAGACCGGGTTCTTGGGCCAGGGCCTTCAGCCCCAGGCTACCGGGATGCCGCAGGCCACCGGCTACACTGGTCCCCGTCCGCCAATGCCACCGATGCCGACAGGGTTCGGCTCCTCTCTGTCGCCAAATGCCGGTCCCGGCGGGATGATCGCGCCGCTGAACGCTCAGCCCACCGGGCGGCCTGGCCAGTGGGGCCTCGTCAATACCCCCGCGACCGGCCTTCCGAACATCGATGCTTTGCAGGCGCGCATGATGCCCCAGCAAGGCCGCGAGCAGCAGAACTTCACCACGGCCGGGCTGCAAGGAAATGCCGTGATCCCCTGGGCCATTACCAAAGATGAGAAAACTCGATACGATGCCCTGTTCCACGCCTGGGATGGCCTGAACAAGGGGTACATTGCAGGCGACCAGGCCATTGAGATCTTCGGCCAGAGCGGCTTGGACAAGCCCGACCTCGAGCGCATCTGGACGCTCGCGGACAACGGTAACAAGGGGCGTTTGGATATGGATGAATTCGCCGTGGCCATGCACTTGATCTACCGCAAGCTCAATGGCTACCCAATTCCTAACCAGCTACCTCCCGAATTGGTGCCTCCGTCCACCAGAAACTTCAGCCAGTCCATTGGAATGGTCAAAAACCTGCTTCACCAGGAGTCAGACATGCGAAAGAACTCTGGTGCGGCGTTGCTACCACAGAAGACGGGCGTCAGCTACTTGAAAAGCCACTCGTTCAAGGGAGCAGGCGGAGCGTTTGGGGGTAACCGGAAGGATGCCACCGTATTCAAGTTCAACGACGAGGAAGTGGGATACCGGTCCAGCGCACGGCGTAGGGTTGGCGGTGCGTCGCCTCGGCCCGAGTCCCCAGCATCTGTCGGATCCAACGAGGAGTTGACGCTAGATCAACTGCGGAAGAAGATCAAGGAGAAGCAGGTCCTTCTCGACGCCATGGACTTTGCCGACGAGAAGAATGCCGAGGAGGACGACATCCTCGATAGACGGGATCGCCGCGAGGCCGATGAACTCTATCGTCGCATCAGGAGGATTCAGGAGGATATTGATAACCACCCGGATGCCTCTTTGATCAGCGGAGACTCGGAGGCCGAGAGGCGGGCTCTCAAACGCCAGCTGCAGAACCTGACCGACAGGATTCCCGAGCTAGCATCTCAAGTCAGAAAGACCGAGAAGGCAATCGCGGACGCCAGATTGGAATTGTTCCGCCTCAGGGATGCTAAGGCTCACCCGGGCAGTGCCGCTGCCATCATTGGAACAGGCCCCGGCGGCGCGATTACCGAGTCTGATAGGCTCAAGGCACGGGCCAAAGCTATGATGCAGCAGCGGACTGCTGCCCTGACCGGCAAGAAGATCGACGTGAGCAGTGACTTGGACGCGGAAAAGCGACTCGAGGAAGAAAGCATCAAAGTAAGGACTGAGAAAGAGACCAATGAGAGGATGGTCCGGGACGTCGAGGACAGCGTGCGTGACTTCGCCAAGGGCATTGAAGACAGCCTCAAGGAGGGCGGTCAGGACGCCACCAGTGAGCATGAGAAGCGCCGGTGGGAGGACGCTCTGGGCGTCGAGGACGAGGTCAGAGATTTCATCTTCGATCTCCAGCGGTCTAGCCGTGCTGCGCGCATCAGAGCCCAGGATCGACAAGGGGGCCGGCCGGCCGCTCAGGAGCCTGTCAGAGCCGAGGCATCCCCGGTTACCCGCGTCGAGAGCCCGTCGACGACTTCCCGCACTCCCACGCCAGCATCTGCGCCCGCCACAGGCGGATCGTACTCATCGTACAAGACCCCCGAGGAGAGAGCGGCTTTCATCAAGCAGCAGGCTGAACAACGCATGGCTGAGCGGCTCGCTGCGCTGGGCATCAAGCCTCCCGTTAAGCCTGGCGAGACAGCGGCTCAGCGAATGGAGCGCGAGCGAGCCGAGAGAGCCGCCAAACTGCGGCAGGCCGAGGAAGAAGACGCTCGTCGTGAAGCTGAGAGACAGGCAAGGCTCGCCGAAGAGCAAGGTGTTCCGCCACCCGCTCCCCAGGCTCCCAAGGTCGAGGCCAAGAAGCCTCCTCCGCCCCCAGCGAGCCGTAAAGCGGCCAAGACGGAAGACAAGCGGGCCGAGGAAGACGTCTCCGCGAAGAAGGCCGAGGAAGAGCGCCTGGAGCGGGAGCGTGAGGAACAGGAGCGCGCTACTCGTGATCTTGAGTAAGTCTTAGGTAATCGCTGCTCTACGGCTTGGTTCTGTGCTGACTTTGGGACTTAGGGAGCGCGCAAAGGCTCAGGAAGAGGAGCTTGCTAGGGAACGAGAGGATGCTGATGCTCGCCTGAAAGCGCTTGAAGAGCAAGTCCGCCAAGGCAAGCTGAGGAAGGAGGAAGAGAAGCGGAAGAAGAAGGCGGCATTGGCTGAGGCGAAGGAGAAAGAGGCTCAGCTGGCTCAACGCCGGGCCGAAATCGAGGCGGCCCGGAAGCGCGAGGAAGAGCTTCGCAAGCAGCTTGAGGCCATGGAGGACGAGAGCTCGTCGTCGGACGATGAGGGTCCGGAGCAGATCACACCTCAGGCCTCGACTCCGACTATGGATGACAGCCAATTTGTCGACCGCGAGCCTGAGCGAAAGCCCACGCCGCCGCCGCCAACCGCGGCCTCTCCGCCACAGATTGTCACATCCAGCCCTCCTGCTGCCGAGACGGAAAGCCGCAACCCCTTCTTCAGGATGATGTCACAGTCCTCGGAGACGGCATCGCCTGCGCCTCCTGCGCCGGCACCGGCACCTCCGGTGGCGCCTCCGCCGCCGCCGCAGTCTGATGTCTCGACGAACCCCTTCCACCGTATGACGCAGGCTGCTGCACCGGCAGCCCCGTCTATCCCGGTGACCAGACGACATGTTGATGACGATGGCTGGGGCTCAGACAAGGAGGAGGAAGAGGACGATTCGGACGATGACCGGCCCGGCGGCAACAACGCCGCTCAGCTGGCATCCATCCTGTTCGGCACCATGGGACCCCCGCGTCCGCTGTCCGCAACTGGTGACAAGGCCGCCGCCTCTCCGCCCGCGAGCTCTCCGATTGCGCCGCCTCCGCCGCAGCCCGAGTCGGCGCCGCCGGCAACGACATCCCCTCCGCTGCCGCCCCCTCCTCCCCCGATGCCAGGCGCTTTCCCAACCGCTCCACCTCCGCCTCCCCCGCCTCCCCCACCGATGCCATCCGCGGGGGCACCGTCTGCGCCTCCCCCGCCGCCCCCGCTTCCCGGTATGGCTCCGCCGCCTCCGCCGCCTCCTCCGGCCGCGGGTGATTCGCCGGCTCCTCCCGCTGCTGGCCGGCCCGCTGCGCTCCTGGGCGAGATTCAGGCGGGCAAGGCCCTGAGGAAGACGGTCACCCGAGACAAGAGCGGGGCAGCTGTGGCTGGCCGCGTACTGGATTAATTTATTGGTTACATGCTGTGCGCCCGGCAGGTGGGTAGCGGTGTCGGAGAAGGAATGGAGCTGAGTGATAACACGAGTTGTATAGGTCGCCAGAGTGCCAAACAGGGGAAGAAGTGCGTTGGTTGGGGATGTTGATCTTTGGCGTTGTATTCAGTGTGGGTAGCACTCGGTTTGTGAGGTTGTGCTTAGATTCTCTACGTGGTGTGTACCTACGTAGCCGACCTCACCTGCCAAGTTCCTCCCGCTTTTTCACCTTACATCTTACCTAGCGTACCTAGAACAATCCGCTTCAGCTTTTACCTACTACACCTCCGTCATTCAATGTACAGTATCATTTCTCCTGCAGTCGTGTGCGTATTGTGTGCATATTGTGATATGAAGGTGACACGAGGCAGTCAAGCGGCGAAGTATGTGATGGATAGGCACAGGTAGGTAATTACCATCGTCTTGGGGCCGACCTACCGGTTCCTCTCCCTATCTGTAAGGTGGGATCTTGCAATCTACCGGTATACAGTCTAGGGAGGAAGGGATAAAGGAATCACGCACCCGAGGCGCAGTGATTAGCAACATACCAGGGCAACAGCCTGTTTATTACCTATCCCGTGGGTCCTGAGTCCATACCGGTGCGGCCTTTTCTCCCTTTGAAGTGCCTCCCTTCGGTCCCGACGGTGTGGACGAACGGGGAGGGGAATGAAGGGGGCTGAGGAGAGACATGGCGGGTGCTACCTTTGTCTAGTTTTATCTCTTGCGTGCTTTTGCCCTTTTGGTGATCTCTTCGTGAAGGGTGAAGAGCAGAATGAACTGCCGTTTTTCTTTCCTTTCGGGATCTGGCTGTTCCTAACATGATACCTACGATGGGCTAGTTGCTAAATGGCTGGGGGGTTATCTAGCCCGCCGCATGCGTGCATATGGAAAAAGTACTACCTACTCTGTAGTAATGTAGGTTGGGTGCCATTCGACCTACAGTAGCAGTGTCAGGCATCGCTTTGTCTGTCCAGTTTGGTGTTTTCGGATCTCTCCGCTTGGATTGTGGAGGAGATGGAGACACAACAAGGGGTGGACGATGCACGGGCGATGCTCAGTCCTGGGGGCTGTGCAGCAGATCGTGATGCAACGGTGCATGGTATGGTCAGTTTCTCTGAAACGCGCTTGAGCAGGTCTGGTAAGGGCCGATGCAATCCATTTATCTGAACTCAACCCCGGCCGAATCTGGGGATAAGATGGGCGGGTTGGGGGCGAAGGGATGCGATGCCCGGCCATGGCCTGGAAATGTTTCATCGAAGGATCGCGGGGCTCATATGTCGGCTGCTTCTTCAACTGCGCTGCTCTGTTCCACCGTGGATCGCACTGGGGAATGTTCCTATAAATGGGAACGTGGTACTGTTAGGTACATGTACCTAGCCTAGACGTATGTATAGTGACAGGTGCTAATTGTGGGATTCTTCAGTGACGGTCGGGGCTCCAAAGTGAGTCTTAATTCTAGGGTGTAAGGGTGAGGGAAGAAACGGATGAAAGAAGCATCAAAAGCTCAGAGCTGCGTACATTCCACAGGTTGGTGTTTGCTGGATAAGTTTGGTGTTGAGAGCTTTGAGAATTGGCCGCAGGGGCAGCCTTTACCGGCTGGCTTGCACAGGTTCGGAGCGATTCACCGAAGCCCGCTGCAAGTTCTTTCGCCGGATCGGGGGCATCGCGATCTGTAGCTGGGGAGGCCTGCTTCGTTAGTGCGCCAACTGCCTTGGCCGATGATGTCTGGTGTTGCCGTGTCGGTCGCTTGCAACTTGCAACCTTGGATTGCTGGTGCCATTTGTGGGGTCTAGAAGGCAATTGGCCGGATGTTGGGAACGGCGAGAACGGAAAGCCATTCGGAGCCAATGATGTCACCCGCCGGTCTGTCTCTCAAACGTTGTGAATGTAAATCACCTCCCTTGGCCGCGAAGGGCCAGACCATGGGGAGGGGGCTAAGGCTGGGTGAAAGCCAGCCGATTCTACAGCCCATACTTCGTAGATAATTCGACTTTGGCAATGCAGACACCGGCCGGCTTTTTGGACCAACTCCGGTATGGAATCTGGTCTGTGGCATCAGATAACTAATGGGCCTTGGGCACATAATGCAGCCATTAGGAAAGCGTGGTTGTGAGGCACAGCTCGCAGCTTCGGTGTCGGCGCATGAGGCGCTGGGCTTGAATTCCGGGCCGCAGAGCTCAGAGTTTGAGGACGGCTTCAGACCCACATATGCATTCTGATTGGTCGGGAGACGGGAATGGCGCGACTAGACGCGAAGTCTCGCGTCCAGTGGATTCATCCGGTAAACAAATGCATGCAGCTGCTGTGATCCCATTGGCTCGTACAGCCGTAACTCGGCATCACATCTATTGCGTTCAGCCCAACCAAAGACCCCCAGTCCGAACTCTGCCGAACATCGTCCTCCAGCTTCTTCATGGCTTATTATACGCTGTTTCCCTATGAGCTGATGTTTCTATACACAGTCCGGTGATTGCGATGCCGCCTCCAGAATAAGATATGAACCGAATAAAAACTGAGCTTGAGTCCGATCAGGTCCGCACATTCCTTCAATACCTTAGCTCGGTTTGCCGATAGTTATGGGTACCTAAGCTTCACCTCTTCTCTCAGTGTGTTCAACGCTGTGAACGAAGGCTTGTCGGCCGACCGCTCGAGATCAAAGTTGTGGGAGCCTCTGCCGCACCCTTGCACCTGGCGCTCATACATCCATGTCGGCGGTCAGCCTGCGTTGCAACCTGGTCCAATCCGTTTCCGTCCCTGCCTGGCGTGGGCCGATACTGCTAAAGATACCTTGCTTAGTTGTAGAACTACCAAATCTAATCATATGCAGAAATACCTTATCATGAGCGGCTTGTAGTGGTCACGGTTCGGGCTACGGTTAGGACTCCGGCTTACGACTAGGTACTGTAGTTTCTCCAGGCCACTCCAGGCACCTACGAGAAGAGACAAATCAGGAGTGTTGCTTCGCATGCTCGGCATGCTAGGGCATGGTAATGTACGAGTCTGACGACGGGAGTTGTTAGTGGTTGCCAACCTTTTGAGTGCGCACGTCGCTTCCGCGTATGGTTAGACACCCAAGGGCAGACGTTCTACACAGTCTAGAGGTAACACCGCGCTTGGGTCCACTTGGCGGAGGTTCTTGAGCAGCGTGGGTGGTGTGGTGAGCTGGCAGCAAGTTTAATCTTTCGCTTGCTGCACGCCCACAAAGGGCCACAACCCATTCCGCCAACCAAGACTCTTAGTTCTCCCTCCTCCCGCCCTATGTGCCTCCCACGTCAGCTGGGCTCTTCCCGCCAAATCTGATCGTCTCCCAACTCTCTTCACACATCTCCAGGATCAGTGGAAAGCTTGAGAAACCGCCAATTGCTACACTGCGCGACATCATTTTCATTCTAGCATCGACGATCGCCAACGATTTACGATCATCCGATTCGATATCTAGTTAGCGCTTCACCCGACTCGACCTCACATCCCTTGGTACACCGCCTTCCCCCACAACTCGGTAATTAAACCTGCAACGCAGTGGAGGCAAGAATCAGCCTTAACGCACCTCAGCCCTCTCTTCTGCCATCCTCGGGCTAGACTCCGACTACCGAATATTTGCTGCGCCCATTCGGCCTGTTGCTGATTCGAAGGTCGCACACTCCTGATCGCATCGGCGGTTCGCGGTATCGAAGTTACCCCCTCCATATCAGCGTGCGGATCCCGCGCGTTCAAGCTCGGCCTCAATGGCCAGGCCGTTATCACGCTCCCAGGCCGCCGAGCCGTTTCCAATCTTCCACGACTACAATCAGCCAACCCCGATCATCAGCCACGCGCCAATGCCGCCAGCACCAAATGCCGCGCGACAACCGCTCCAGAGCGCTGATGCCAATGTTGTCCTCAACCCACCACGGTCGACCGTCGCGAAGCAGTCGCCCTCGAAGCCAACTATGCGACTAGCCAATCCGGTCCTTGCCGCCCTCAATGCCTCAATTGACAAGACTCTCGGCATGGTGCAAATGATGCCACCGAGCAATGCGCCGCCATCGACGGATTCGCTGGTGAAGAGGCAACCGATCATGTCTCGGTTCAAAACTGTCGCAAAGAAGCCTCAGCAGGAGCCAATCGCGCAACCAATGGGCAAAGACAGCCACCATACGCCGATATATCCGGCCCCGTCACCGGCCCAGTTCAACATCGACCTGGGCAACTTCTATCAGAAGCCCTCTGGGAAGCGCGTTTTGATGGAAGCGGCGCCGATCCAAGAATACAGACCAGCAAAGAAGCAGAAAACCGACGAGTCTCTCTCCGCCCAGGACTCTGCTTACCCGCCAATCATTGACGACGGCACGAAACCAAACCACAGCTACGCCCAGCTGATCGCCATGGCCATTGTCCGGTCGCCGCAACAGCGATTGACGCTGTCGCAAATCTACAAATGGATTACTGACACGTTTGCGTACTACCGAACGAAGGACGATGCAGGGTGGCAGAATAGCATTCGGCATAATCTCAGTCTCAACAAATACTTCGTCAAGCAGGAACGGCCGAAGGATGATCCGGGCAAGGGCAACTACTGGATGATTGAGCCGGGCTGCGAGTGCCTGTTGCTGAAAGAGCGGCCCTCGAGGAAGTCGGAGGTGCCAACTGCGGAGAATATGCCCGTCATGTCAACGCGACTCGAGCCCTCTCAACCGCAGCCGCCTCCGTTGACGCGCATAGCCGAACCGACGTTACCTCCTCAGTTCTCAGTACCTCCGAACATGGTCACCGCCCTACCCCCGCAGCCTTCGCAGCAACCTGCTCCCGCACCGTCCCTGCCCGAGATATCGTCGGACGCCACCATTCCCGCATCCGATGCGGCTACGATCGATGAGGGAGTCAACCTGCCTGACGAGAAGGAGTTACCACATGAACCCGAGTGGTGCTCGCCCGAGCCGCTGCCGCTGCATTCGTCGCCCCCCATTCCGAGGCGGTTGGAGGCTTGCCATAATGGCACCCCGCCCTCTCAACGACAAGTGCAGCCGTCGTCGGTTACAAAATCCCATCGCCGGCGAAGATTTATGTCAATGGACGACAGCGGCTACATCTCGTCTCTGGAATCTTCGGTCATGCGCCCGCAGCAAAACGCCAAGCTTCTCAACTCTGAAGCTGACCGACCGCGTATCAAAAGGGGACGTGCCGAGGAGGAGATCGCCCGTCTCCGCGCCTCCTCCTACGATAGCCCATCCAAAGGACGGTCATACGGCTGCCCTCCGCCATCATCGTCACCAATGCGGCAGACGTCAAGCGCCGGGACTGGGCAAATGCTGCCGCCGCTCACACCTGCAATGAAGCTTAAGGCGCCACCAAAACCCCCACCATCCGTCTCGCCCAGCACCAACCTACGATTACATAGGGAAAGCATTCAGTCGTTGGTCGAGTCGCCGTTCAAGCGCCTGTCTGCGTTACTCCCGGCGGGCGACAATACCGTGCAGCAAACGCCTCTTGGCCTTGATACCGATCTGCTGTGGTACGACCTCGAGCGAGCAAGTCACAACACCCCGACTTTCGACATCTTCGAAGATGGCGCCGATTTCCAGTCCTACTTTGCGTTGACTCCCACAGCGGCCCCCGGGGCCCTGGGCTCTCCGGTTAAACGATCAGCGAGGAAACAACGTTTGGAACGGTCGCAGTCCACGAGCGCGCTAAGTCGGGCTCCGAACTCGGCTCGGAGCTCTTGCAAGTCAAGCTCATTTCTCAAGGTATCGAACCAGGCAATCCACTTGGAGCTCGAGACGCCAAGCAAGGTTTTCGAAGGGCTGCTTTCTTCGCCAAGCAAGGTCTTCCTCGATTTGCAGTCGCCCACCAAAATGCCCCTCGGCAACGAGGAGAACCTGCAGTCATTCCCCGGTGTGTCTCTGGACGACCTGCATACACCGACCTTCCTTGATGAGAACGAGTTCTCCGGCTTCGACATACTTGCCGGTTTCGAGAAGATCGGCTCACACAATGCGCAGGCGTCTCGAGGTACCGTCAGGCCAACCTCTCAAAGCTCCCTCAATCGTTCATACAACACCACGCTCTAAGCCGCTTCCATAGATGCCATGGCTGGGCACATGGGCTTCCATCTTCTACGCCTGCACTTCGTTTTCAGCATTGCATTCGAGAGATGCTCACGACTGTTACGACTGATCAAGACGGAGTATACTGCATCACTTCCTCGTATCTGTCTGATTCGGGCTCAACCACGAAGCTTGTTGGGTCACCTATCACTTTGGCCCATAACTCCGGGCCAAGCGTCTTTTTGCATTTTCTCCCAGGGACACACAGGGCACGATTGCTCGTGCGGCGGCTGGCGTTTTTTCTGGACGTGGTGTTTTACCGGTTTATGAAGGAAGGCATTTGTTACGCTCTCACTGACGATAATGGGGAAATGTCTGGATACGGGGGTTGCAGGTGATATACAACACCACACGGCCGGAAAGGGTGCATAGCGTTGGGATTGGATTGTTAGCGTTCTTGTGTCAAGCGGTGGTGTTCTGTATTGCATTTTCAGATTCGGATCACTTTCAGGGTTTCATGAGCGGGTGGCTCGGCAGCTTTGGTTTGTTGTTGGACTAATTGTTCAGGATAAGGGGGACAGTGGTTTCTTGAGGGAGTTTCCTGAAAATGGCAAATGACCTATGGGCTTTTTTGTACCCTATTTGTCTCTTATTCTTTTCTGCGATCAATATATTTTTGTATGATCGCTCACTCTGGGCTGCAATCCTGTTCCGTGGACTTGCTAGGTGCTCTCTCGATGCCGTCTGGTCTGATCTAGGTCGTACATCCTCATCCTGAACTATTGTACTCCTCTGCAGCCTTTACTCGCTGTCAACCGTGCGCGCCTTCGTCCTTCCATTAAGCTATCTAGACGGATCTCCAAAAGAAGCCAGCCTATCAAACATGCGCAGCCAGAGTAGCCAAAGAATATTCCCAGGTAGTGAATGCCAAAACCCAATGACAAAGTCTAACCCATATTCCGCTGGTAATAGCCCCAAAACGCCATATCCCATACCCGCTTCGCGAGTGTTCCTAGTCACGATTCCCATCCAAGCTTAGACTCCCATCTCCGGAAGGGTATTGAGCCCCATTATTTTACTACACCTCCCTCGTCTTGATCCAAAACAGCCAACCCCAATCCCTTCGCTCGCCCCACGCTTGCGAGCTTTTTTTTTCGACACCATGAGGAACGGGCCCTTCAGGGTACGCGGCGATCCACGCCCCGTACCCGGTCCCACAACGTCCGCAACCAAGCGGCAACGCCAGCAGCAGCAGCGTATAAACCAAGGCACTACCTTCGCAAAGCGCGCCCGGCGACCTGCGCCTAGTAGATGCCCATGCGCGTCACCCACTGGGTAGCGGCCCCGACACCCGTCCTTGCCACAAATCCCAACCCTGGCACAGCGTTCGTTGCCGCCTCATTTTGCTGCTGGTGGTGGCTGCCACTACCACCTGGCCCGCCCACGTTGATCTGGTAGGGGAAGGGATTCGATTCGGAATTCATAATGGGTGGGATGTGGTCTTTGTGGGCGTTGGCGAGGGTGACTGCGTTGAGGATCGTGTTGCGGAGGGTTGTTTCGGAGGCGCGGCGGACTTTGGCGCGTTCTGTGGTATCCGGTTAGCGGACGTGGATATATGGGTAGGGGGCTCAAGAACGAAGGAGGAGGGATACTAAGGAGTGGGGATGAGGAAGTGAAGAATGAAAGAACGTACCGCTTTCTGTTCGAGGATCGGCGACGGTCACCTTGACCGTCCAGCTCTCCCAGCAGACCTCGTCATCACCACGGATGGCGTACCAGGTCTTGCGCCGGCGCTTCTCGAGAAATTGAACCGTTATTTGGCCCCGGCCTCCGCCGCCGGAGCTTGAGGGTGGCGTGGCAGTGCCTGTTAGCCGTGACGGGCCACCTCGGCTGTCGGAAGAAGTGATATTGTGCGATTGGTGCCGCTCGGATTCGAGCTGGCGCACGAGCGCGGCCACGCGCTGGTCAATGAGCGTTTCGATCTCGGCGTCGGGGACGTAAGCTAGCTCGATTCCGAGCACGTCGCGGGTCTGCGGGAGGACGGTGGGGAAGTAGCGAAGAAAGAAGATCGTCTGGAGGATCCCTGGTAGTGGAATTATCAAGTCAGTGTTACTGTGGTGTCATCGAGTTGCAGCCGGTGTGGTTCAGACTGAAGATGCGGTTGGCGTGGTGTGGAGGGGCAATAAACAGCAGAAACCCTGCGCTTTGGCTAAGCTTACCACGGACGACATCATGGACCGAGCTGGGGTCAGCAAATGCCTCAAGTATGAATTCCGGGGGACCCCGCTGATCCATTGTGAGACGTTTTCGGAGTGTTGATAACTTGCGCTGTGCGTGTGTGTATGTAGATGGATGTGGTGAAAGGGGGTCGTTCTATGTATGGAGGGGCGGCGCAAATGACAATTGAGGGGCAGCTGGCCTGGAGCGAAATGAGCTGTGACGTTGCCTTCCTGCGTTGTGGAGTGCCGGACGGAAGCTTGTTGGATGAGCTGGAAACATGGGCCTACGGAAAGGGATGGTCGATTTGTTGCAGAAGTGATGCACTAGCGTACCTACCCAGGTAGGCCGAGCCAATTCATATACCCAGCCAAGAACCCCATCAGTGTATGTACTTGTATGTACGGAATACTAGTGTACAAGTTCGCACCCGCATCTAGACCTCTGAAGGTTACATCATGACCCGTCACTATGATGATGGAAGAGGAGGTGGAGGGGCATGCGAGGGCCCAGACTGGACTGGGATGCCTCTCTTCTCGATGCGGGTCCTATCTCATTCCGCCTGAGAATATGTGATGCATTACAAGATTACACGGTAGCCTTCTTCCAAATGCCGACGCCAACCGCACAGCTCTCAGACATCTTTTTGTCACCGTGACCGTCGAAACGTTGGATGTCCCGTGCAAGAGCGAAGATCGGGCCCTACATACTGTTCAATAGACTGATGGCCTGGAGCAATCTTGGACGAGAAGTGGCAGCCAAAGGTTAGGTTGCATCCGTCACCTCTCTTTTAAGTTTGCGCTGGATCAGCCCTACGAGACCCACCGAGCCGAAGTTGAACAACGGCCTATTGACACTGTTGATAACTTGATCTGGGTGTCCACTGGTCTGGTACCGAAGATTCCAGGTTGTTGTTGCTCAAGAGCGAGTACAGTAGAGTATCGGGGACAACAACCTATGGCTAGTAGTGGCTGCATAAATGGCACCTAGACGCATTACTGTATCTCGTTCTGATATATGGTGTTTGGCTCGGACAGAGCAGTGACTGAGAAGAAGCTGTGTCGGCTACGGCGCTCTGAGCGAGCTGAGCCCTTTCTCACTCTTTTCTAGGAGCACAAGAGGACTTCGATGTCATCGTCCAGCGGCGAGAGCCCTAAGCCTGAGTTGGTTCCACCGACCCAAGAGCACATTGTTGGGGTACGGGTATAGTACCTACGTAGTAGTGGATGATGAGACCATAACGGAGGCAGCACGCCCAGGTATGGATCGTTGTGGGTCCGTACTAACGGTTGAGGAATCTTACGATGCAGTACTTGCCAGCTGATGAGGATTGAAGAACGATTGGACGACGGTGAATTTATACAGATAGGGCATACAATTGACTAACATCGCGTCCCCCCATCTGCACAAGTAGGCTGACTCGAAGGGCGTCCGACGGGGGGAGTTAATTCATCCTTCAAGATTCAGGGTCAGGGTTAAGATCCGCTTCATTCGGGTTCCACACCACCCGGACATGGGTGGCACCGGTGGCAGCCCTATCAGATGCCTGCCGAGCCGAGGTTACGGACGGGACGTGTCTGCAGCAGCGGGCAGGGGCCAAGCAACAATTGGAAGGCTGGGCAGCAGCGGTAAGTTAAATGATATTAAACCCAAGCCAACTTGCAGACGGACTAACTACAGACAAGCACATGCTTCCATTGCAGTAGCCAGAGTTCGATACTGCCGAAAACACCATGCTCGCAGCAACGCGACGATGGTTCAGGCGCAACCGCACACCCATTGCCATCGGCTTGGGCGTTATCGGCGCCGGTTATGTCGCGACAAGCTATGTCCTGGGCAAGCTGCGCGATGCACGCGAGCGCATGAGCAGCGATCGCATCGCCAAGGAGAAGTTTGTGCCAACGGTCTTCACATTGCGCAGGCAGAATTCCCGAGTTGAGCTAACGGCAGCACTCTGCAGTTTGCGTCGCCGCTTCGAGCAGAACCAGGAGGACTGCACCTTCACCGTCCTCGCTCTCCTCCCCACCGCGACCAACAACATCCTCGAGGCTATGGACACGGAGAAGATCTCCCTTGAGATTCAACAGATAAAGGGCTCGGCAGCAGCTAGGACTCGCAGCATCGGGTCCACCAGCCCACCCACCGTGTCCGAGGCAAACGCGACTGACGACGACGGCCGCAGCATCATCACGGTGAGCGCCCAGAGCGAAGCCGGCGTGCACACGACACAGCTCTCGGTGGCAACGCCGCCATCCGCTACGGGCCCGGACAGCGGGACTCTGGGAGGGCCGCAAGGGACACTCTCAACACCGCCAAAGCCACGGAAGACTAAGCGGCAGCTCTGGGGTGACCTGACAATAAGCTGTACGTTACGGGGGCAGGAGGGTATTGTCGCAGTCGCAGGCTAACGCAGAAACTGCTACAGCAATCACAAGAGCATACACACTGCTCTACACTCTCGGCCTTCTTACCATGCTCACCAGAGTACAGCTCAACCTGCTTGGGCGTCGGAGCTACCTCTCCAGCGTCGTCTCTCTTGCGACGGGCGGCGCCCCAGGAACCATCAGCCTCGAGAACAACGACGACGACAGCCCCGAGCAAGCCTACGGCACGGACTTCGACGTCAACCGCAAGTACCTTACCTTCAGCTGGTGGCTGCTCAACCGCGGCTGGGTCGACGTCATGCACCGGGTCGAGCATGCCGTGCGGCAGGTCTTCGGACACCTCAGCCCGCGCGACACGCTGACGCTCGACACCTTCTCCAAGCTCACGTGCGACGTGCGCAGCCTGGTCGAGGGCAACAACTCCGCCTGGCTCCCCTTCCTCCTACCGCCACCGGACATGGAGGAATTCGTCCTCCGCGAGTCGGGTGTCCTCGACTCCGACCCGTCGGGAAACCCAACGGACGCAACAACACCACACACTACAGCCCCTTCATCACCAACCTCGGCCGCCTCCCTTCGTCGCCTGCTGGACGAAACCTCGGACCTGATAGAGTCCCCCGCCTTCTCGCACGTGCTCACCCAGCTCCTCGACGCCGGCTTCTCCCTCCTCCTCGACCAGAAGCTCGTCCAGGGGGTGCTCGACACGCCAGCAGCCGCCAGCCTCGACCCACTGGGCGGCAGCACGCTGAGCAGCAGCCGCGCGGTCCCCCTGCCCAAGGTCCTCAGCGTGCTGGCCCGCCAGGCGCACGCCATCGGCAACGGCATGCCCAACGAATACCTGCAGGCGATGGAGTCGGTGCGCGACCTGGAAGGGTTCGCCGCCGTGGTGTACTCGAGTAACTGGCAGGCCGAGATCGTGGGGGATGATGATGACGTCGCAGGAGGAGGAGGAGGAGGGAGAAGCGAGGGGAAACAGGAGCTGGGCCAGCAGCAACAGCAACAGCGACAGCAGCAGGGTGAAGAGGAGGGGCAGAGACAAAGACAGGGAGGGGACGTGGTGCAGGAGAGTATGGTCATGGTAGATATACCACCGCGTGCTGAGGAAAATAATGATCCCCAGGCAAGTCTGTTTGATAGTGTTTGGGAGAAGGCGAGTGCTGGGAAGTGATAGGCCTCTTGAGGCTGTAACGCATAGGAATGAGTTGATGACTGAAGATATGTACTATTCTTCCATTGACGATCTAGCATGGTTTGTGGTTAATCGGGGACAGACAGCGGGCAGGTTAAGATGGAACGAGTATATATCAAGAACATAACAAAGGTAATCACATGTGGGTAGCAGGTTAGCATAGGCAGAGAGATACAAAGAGTACATGGATGCTGACAGATAAGGGAATTGGCCGACACTTGGAAGTACTTCACAGCGAAGGCTTCGCCAATGGGCCCTCCGCTTGGGGTCTTAGCTAGGCCGCTCAACAAGATGTGCAAAATATGCTTGGTTGTGTGTTCCATGGTTGGCAGTCTTGCCATCGTTGGGTATCTCGATCTTGCCTTGCCTGCTTGCCTGCCTGTTGCCTCCCCGATCCGGCTCTGAATGTGCCTCCGAGAACTGTAGTACCGGCGGCTTCCTCCAGGGCGCTGCTGTGGCAACTTCCAGGTTCTTCCCTCAAAGACACCAGACCAACAGCTCGGCATTATCTCTGCCGATGCCCCTCACCACTGCTGGCGCTCTTATCGCCAGAATTCGCCAGTTGTGGGCTAATTCAGAGGCCCTAACTGCTTCCAAGGCTGAGGGCCATGTCCTACTCGTTTTCCTCGTCTCTCGTGATCGTTCACATAAGCCCCCTAATGAACTGGTCCAGCCCCAGCTCAAACAACTCATTCCTCACGCCGGCCCCGCCCTTGTGTTCGACCGGCGAGAGCGGATTCTTCACCACTGAAATTGTACAACCCCCCCATCATCAGCGATCATTGCCACGAAGACCCACCTCGTCCCCCCTCGGGGGCTCACTGAAGAAGAGGAGCAACATACCGTACTCAACCCAGAGATTGATATATATCTGGTGTAGCACGTTGCGCATGCTCAGCGTCGCCGTGTCGGTCAGCATCACCAGACGCAGGTTGCTCGCCGTCTCGTAGTAATGCAGCTTGTAGTTGGCGGTGCGGTACGCGACGAAGGCATCGTCGTCGCCGCCCAGCTTGCGCACCATGTTGCGCAGCGAAAACACGGTGCCGAAGATCAGCTTCGCATCGTCCGCCGCCGTCTTGGCGGTCGCCGTCGTTCCATTAGCAGCGCTGGTGTGGCTGGGCGGGAGCCAGGACTTGGAGTAGATGCATTCCGCTGGCGTGAGGGGGAATTGCACATTGTAGTTAGTGGTTTGATTGCTTTCAACTTTGAGGTATTCCCCAAGGGAGCTGTGGATGGGGAAGAGAGAGGCGCATACTGTGCCGGTCGAATATGTAGAATGAGTAGACGACCATGGCAGTGATCTGGTGGGGAGGTCCCTGGGGCGAACGAGTTCGCGCCGGGGACGTGAGACTGAGAAAGGAGTGGGATGCAATCGTAGCCCCAACCAGGCCGCGATGTTGGAGTCGGCGCGCACACGTCGGGTCCCTTCAAATCGGATGGGAGTCGCAAAGCTGCCTGCTGATTGACCGGCTATGCGAGCTTCTTGCCATCACCCCTGTCACATGCAAGATGGCCTTGGCAAACTAAGGTATCCGTAGCCTGTTCAACACTTGACACGAACGGCTAAGGAGACTGCCCTCAGTCGATCGAGCGCAGGCCGTTCCATTAGTACCTTGTATCACTAACATAACATGCAGTTGGATATCTGGTCGAGTTGTTGCTTTATTAACCTGCTGCTGTCAACGTACTGTCAGGTTGTTATCTGTTGACCGCAATACACTAGAAAAGCTACCTTACCCGGTTATGCGGTGCAGTCCGTGCGTCTTCCCTGTGAGGCTCCAGACTGGGCCCGGGGCATCGCTGGCGGGGTAGCAGTGGGGTTGAAGGGGGCTCTTCTACTCGTGTACCGCGAGATTGGCGGTTACGGAGTACTAGTACTGGCCCCCCAGACGAGGGATGGAAAGCTTCCGTTGACCAGAGTCTGGACTTGTCGAACATTTCCTGGCATAGCGTCAATCCCCTCGTCAGGAAGGGTTCGGCTGTAGGTACTAGGTGAAATTTCCTCGGGTCTAGCGAGGCGTTCGAAGGTATCGCCCTGCAGATGCCCATGCCAGGACGTTTGCCCGCTCGTTTTGTGGCCATTGGGGAGACGCTAATTCTACTGCTGCCCCGTTCTTTGGCGACTCGGATGTCTGTTCCAGTTGAAACTCAAAGTCTGCTGAGATTTCGACGGTAACAAAGTCCCCATTCTACCCGGCAATAGAACGACGCAAGCGCAACAAAGGGTACCGTACTTTAGCATTGTGACACGGGATAGCATAGCTCGATCGACTCGTGCATCTCATTCCCATCCCCGCGTCGGTAGATTGGGTGACAAGGGTGTCACCGTGAACACCTGCCATACTTATACTTGAAGGCCCAATCTAGGTTACCCCTTCCACAACGCAGACACTTTGTTACTCTCTCTTTTTCAACCCAGCGATGGCCGATGAAGAACATAAACATCCGCAGATCCAGCCCACCTCATTCACCTTGGCGCTGCGTCCGAAAGCAAGCGACAGAGATACAATGACCCCACCAGCGCTCACGGCGTTGCCTCTGGGTTTGGCCTCGCCGGGTATCTCAGTCGAATTCCATGGCGATCCCGACGGCGAGCCGGCTCCGATGTATCCCCAGTAGGTGTAGGTGCATGCTTGTCTCTGAAAGGCTCATTAACACATGACCGCCCAGTTCCGCACCGCCACATGTCCAGAGCTTCCCCAGCCCTCTGAGACACCATCGGAGGACACCCTCGGCTCACCGCGAGATCAAGGTGTGTTGCTGTCGCTCTTTGCCCCGGTCACGGCGAGTGGGTGCTCAGACATCAATCACATTCAGGAAACCCTCAATGCACGGTCAGATTACACCAATGAAGACTCGGAAGGACGGTCGCACCGACGCATCAACCAGTATGTCATCAAGGACGAAATAGGGCGCGGTTCATACGGCGCTGTTCACCTTGCTACTGACCAGTTTGGGAACGAATATGTGCGTCATGCTCTCGTTAAGCATGCAATGTAGACTGTCGCCCGATGATTTGTCACTGACCCTCGTCGCAGGCGGTCAAAGCATTCTCCAAAACACGGCTCCGAAAGCGAGTCCAGTCAGAAATCCTCCGCCATGGGCCAAGGCATTCTCGCCGCTTTCCTCGGGCTGCCGGCTTCGGCGCGCCGGATGCGCCCATCACCGGCTTCTCGGAAGAGCGAACCAAGGAGGCCCAGGACGCCCTCTACCTCATCCGCGAGGAGGTGGCTATCATGAAGAAGCTGAACCACCCCAACCTCGTCCAGCTGATCGAGGTGCTGGACGACCCAGAAGAGGACACTCTGTACATGGTCTTGGAGATGTGCAAAAAGGGGGTCGTTATGAAGGTTGGTCTTGGTGAATCCGCAACCCCCTATCCGGAAGAGACCTGTCGTTACTGGTTCCGCGACCTCATCCTCGGCATCGAATACCGTGAGTGTTCCCCCGCTCGACCTTGCAGGTGGTAGAGATACTTACGCCGCAGATCGCAGTGCACTCGCAAGGGGTTGTCCACCGCGACATCAAGCCGGACAATCTCCTGCTCACCGACGACGATGTCCTCAAGATTGTAGATTTTGGCGTGTCCGAGATGTTTGAAAAGGCCACCAAGGAGATGAGGACAAGCAAGTCGGCCGGCTCGCCGGCATTCCTCCCTCCCGAGCTCTGCGTTGCGAAGCATGGTGATGTATCGGGGAAGGCAGCCGACATCTGGTCCATGGGCGTATCCTTGTATTGCTTCCGCTACGGAAGGATCCCTTTTGAGCGTGAGACCGTCTTCGAGGTGTACGAAGCTATCAGGACCGAGACCCCCAGGTTGCCTCCCGACGAGAACCCGGATTTCATCGACCTGATGGGGAGGCTGCTCGAGAAGGACCCGGAAAGGCGGATTACGATGGCAGAGCTTAGAGTGAGTCCATTTCTGCCGCTCCGAGTATGGTGGATGCGCGAGCAGAAAAAGAAATGCCCTAACTCCTTTTCCTCAGGAACACCCATGGGTGACGAAAAGGGGTACAGACCCCTTACTCAGCGCCGAAGAGAACTGCTCCGACCCGGTGGATCTGCCCAATCCGCTTGAGCTAAACCACGCCTTTACCAGAAAAATGAGCCATCTGATATACGTTGTAGGTTGCCCCCTCACCTAGCTAACGGCCACCTACCGCTGTCCACTGACAATCCCCCAGATGAAAGCGATCTCCAAGTTCAAGTGTCTCCTGAATCGCCGGCCACCCGCCCAGCAGAAGGGCAAAGGCCGCCCCGACGGCACGTCGACAACCGCATCACAATCCCCGCCTCCGGAAGCCAGGCCATCCGCCGAAGAATCCACAGCAGAATTCGCCGCCCGCGTCCTCCGCGAACGCGAAGAATTCTTGGCCAACGGCGGCAGGGCCAGCTTCGACCAGCTTCTCAAATCAGCAGCCGATCCCAGCGCCGCCGCAGGAGCTGTTACTGTTGCTGCTGCTGCTGCTGCCGCTACGGACCAGGCGCAACAACAACAACCCCCTCCCCTCTTGGGCATCGGAACCGGCGGGATAGACGACTTCTCCGGCACCGCCGACCAGGCCCCGGCAGCCGACATCGTCTCCGACTCGCCCACCGTTGTGGACTTCAATGTCTATGACCGGGCGTTTGAGGCTGAGGTGGAGCGGATCAAGCGCAGCACAAGTCGGCGTGCCGGCCGTGCCGGCCGTGGCAAAGTCGCGGGTGGTCCGGGGCCGATTTATCAGACGAGGTTCTGTGGTGGTAGTGGTGGTGGTGGTGGTGGCGGTGGGTATTCTGCTACTACTGTGAATGCTGCTGTGTCGGGTGGTGAGACCGAGAATGTATCGGCGGCGCTGGGGTGGGGTGCCGGTGAGCGCAGCACCCCGAGGAGTCTTGCCGCTGCTGCTGCGGTCGCCGGGCAAGTGGAACAAAGGGGTGGGGGGATGAGGTTGGCAGATTTGGTGGCACAGGCTATGGCTGGGGCCTCCAGGAAAGCTGAGCCCAAAGGTCGTCATGGTGAAGCAGAGGGGCAAGTTACTGTTCCAGGCCGTGAGGCGAACTGAGCAGGTGCTTGATCCATAAGTCGATCTTCCGGATGGGAAGTAGGTATGGCGCTCGGGATGGGGTGGCTGCAAGACGGGCCCCGTGGCTTAATCTCCGTTAACGATACTGTGCGCCGTGACAGCGGCAGGAAAGAAGGGGGTCAAGCTTGGAAATGCATTGTAGAAGCTCCAGCTGAGTTTAAACGGTTAACACATCGAATTGGATGGATACCCAAAAAGAAGGGAGGATAGAATGAGTCTCCCATTTGTTCATGGGCCGTTTACCCCTTAAAAGCTCGCCGAGTGTTCGTGGAACGCTCCCAGGCACCCTTAGCTGAGGTGCAGTGCACTGCCACAACCCCTTACCGAAATCTCGATAAGGTCTTGATTATCGCGCTAGAGTTGCCGACACTGCGGAATCGGGTAGTATGTGTAATGTTAGGTAGAGCACCTTAGCGACTAGACATAAACTCCATGGTGAGTGAGACATCGGTGGTTTCAAGCTCTTGCGATGGCAGCACCTCCCATAACACTGAATACCTATGTATAGACGAATGCCGTTTGTACAGTCTTGCATTGTTGTTTTGATTCGCCCAGATGTCTGCCACAGTAGCCACGGCCTTGGCGAAAGCTTGTTCAAGTTAGCGAAAAGCTGAGGCTGCTAGCTTAAATAAACAGTAAAATAACTGCCTGCATTTGAGGTTGCCAGCTGCCTTGTGAAACCATAGCTAGATGTCAAGCTTGATTTCCGCAGACGTCGGTTTGGGTGGGGAGCCGCCCCTGTGGCGTACCCAGAGTGAAAATGCGCTGTGTAACACACGCATACTGTATGCAGTCTACAACATCACACGCACCATGTGCAAGTTGGTGCAAGGCGTTAAGCTGATGTGCATGGCATCACCCTGGAAATTATCGTCGAGTTCTCAGCGAATGTCTCGACCACGTGTGGACGATTCCGTCTGCCAACCGAGAGAATCAGGGCCCGAGACAAGGGTCGGAGATGCAGGGCATTCGGCCCTCCGGACGCTCACCGCAATCTGTTTCCGGGAGACTGAGACAGGGCGTACCTATTCCATTAATATGTGGCTGAACTGGGCATGGAACCGTACCGGGTATCATGGACTTCAGAGATTGCCCGGCATCGGGCTCAAAATTTGAAGGCCAAGTTTGGAGCTGCGGTGAAACAGGCCGCTACGGTTATCTGGCGGTCTCCGGCGCTGGGCAGGGCAGGGTCACGACCAGCGCCAGGCCGACCTACTCCAGAAAGCGTCTGGCGAAAGAAAACACGGCGGGTTTTCGTCCAAGGAACACAGACACGAAGGCGGTCGTTATGCGGACAACGACTCTACCTTTCGGCACCAGACAGCCGGAGATCTTGGAGGTTGAGCCGGTTTGCAAGACATTGCCAAGACTGTCGACATTGTCTCAATCAACCCGGATATCAATAGGCGGTGATGGGCAACGGAAGCGGCTCCGAGGGCTGTATGCACGCTACCATATCATGACAATTACGTTTCCCGCACGACCTCAGTGGTAGCGCTCCGCGACCTGACCAATGATCACCCGCCGGAATTTGCGTCAAGATGCTGACGATTGCTGAGTGAGGAACATTGCACCAAAACCCAGGTGAATTGGGAAAGCAATCCGGAGAAGCACGGCGGCGGAGAAGATGAAGACCAGAAAATGCCTCATACAGGAGAGCTGGCGCGGAAGAGTGCACAACAATCGAGTGGTGGCGGTCTGCTGCAAGACACTGCCCATATCTGCTGGTGTGCACGCAGGGCTTGCCGTAGCGTGCAGCGTGAGCAGGGAGCTCTAATAAGGGTTTGGCCGGGCGCCGCGAGGACGCATATGCAATGCAAATTGCAGCATGGGTGCTCCGTATGCTGGGACAGGACGAGGGGGGTTGGTGTGTGGTGACCCAGGAAGTCAGTCATTGGCAGAGGAGGCTGAAACTGATCCATGGATATCGGTCCAGTTGATGTAGTTCGGAGCAGTCCTGAGCCGTCCAGCGGTCAGCATGTGACACTAACGCGGTCTTTGCGAGGGTGATTCAATGACGCGCGAGGGACGCCGACTCTTGGGATTGGATTGGAACGCCAGGAGGAGAAATGAGAGGAAAGAAAAAGTGGCCATATGCGCGGCATCTCGCCGGCCGTCAATTCTCCGGCGCGCGCAGATTCCATCCTTCGGCCCTGTCTCCGTCAAGCTCCCCGCAACGAAAGCCGGGAGGCCGCCAAAGCACCCGGCACCGGGAGATGCGAAGATGGAGTCAGGTGGAGAGGTAAGCTACTGCCAAGACTGATGGAGAGGTCCTGAAGTGGATACAATCGTCTGCTAGAGAACGTCCGTTTGCCAAGGTCACGTCCAGCCCTGTGTCGCGCCGTTTAATAAGAGGTATGTGTTGGCTTCTATGTCGTCCGCATGCTCGTCTTGCATAAGAAAACGGGGGATGTTGTCACCCGGGCTGAAGGTGTCCAGTTGCGAGGGGTTGTTACACTTTAGACGGGTATTGCGACGTTAAATAAGGTACGCATGCCTGGTATGTAAGTACACACTACGGATACTCGGTATTTGGCGATCCACAAGTTCTTATGCCACTGGACGAACGCATATGGAACGCCGAAGAGGAACGGAGCATGGCCGTGTATTTGTGATCAGCTCCAGATCCTCATGGACTTGAAAGATTAGTTTCAGGAAAAAGAAGAAGCCGCGGTGCGGCCCTGGAATCGCCTACCTACCGGTAGGTAGGTATTTCGACTACGAAACAAAAGTTGCAGGCCATATCGGCGGGCGAAAGCAGCTGGCAGTACTCCGTAATAAGCGGCAGTAAGGGAGATCACCTCCAGGGTTTGGGTCCACCGACCGTTCGCTTCGGCTCTGACATGGGCTTGGCCATTGCAGACGTAACCGCATGCAGCAACAGTCTGGGATTGCATCCTTTCTGCTAACCAATGTTAGCTATGAAGTGAACAAGATGCGGTCAAGCAGCTGTGTAACCCGGACTGCAGCGTCAGTGCATTGTGTGGCGAAATCGGCCTGTCAGGGCCCTGTCACTTGCGTCTTGCGGTTCTACATGTATAAGGTCTCGGGAAGGTCCACAGTGTGTACAGTGTGCTCTAACCGTGAACCGCGATTATGTAGTGTATCCGTATGTATCCGTACTCTGGAAAACTGAATCCCTGACGTCTACCGCTCCACAGCAACCTCGAGCTGAGGAGGGCGCAACTATATCAGAGGCTCAAATACGTACCTAACGTGACTCGCACGTTGGCTTTGCGACGCAGAGGACAGCAATCCAGCTGCCGGTCGTTCTCGGACTGATCTTCCAATACATAAAGCTCTCTGGTTGTTGCTCCCAAGCTGCGGACCGTATCGTTCTTTCAATCCCCACTGCCTCGGACCATTCACCAGCACAGGCCTTCCAGGACGGCCGCCACTGTCCCGGCTAACGACTACACTACGTAGTCCCTTTATTATTAAAGCTGTACCGACACTTTCCAGCCCTCCTTTCCAGCGCGCCCGCTAGGTGGGTCCATCCACTGTGTTAGGGCCGTGCCCGTTTCCAGGTTGCCGACCTCACCAGCCTACCTACTCACCACTCGGTATCCACCACCGCCATCTCCGTCATCCCCATAATTCCATTCGCAATCACCCGACAGCTTTTGCCCCCATTTCAAGTTGCCTGAGAGTGGTCCAGCACCTTTCAAGGCAAGAACACTCTTGACACCCTTGGCTATTAAACCTACCAAACCACAGCCAGCTAAACGATTCCACCAGTCGATCAGTCAACAGCTGCACATCCTGAAGTCATCCTCAATAACCCGCTTCTTTTTCTAACGCTTCCTTTTACACCATGTCGAACCTCGGCTTGCCCGCGCAGTCATCTGCCCTTGACTGCCTCTATTAACAATCACCGACTGTCCTCTGCTCGCGTCTGGAGGCATACCACGGACAAAACTCGACAGACTAAAAGCCAAGACCACGAAGAGTCGAAGGCCTACGTCTACCTTTCCGACAAGTTACCTACTGTGAACCTAGGAACAACATCCATCCGCCTCAAACCTAGCAGCTCACCAACTCCACCCCTCTGCACCCCACTTCTTTCACTATCGACTTTGGATTTTCTCACACCTACGGATACATTTTCAACCAAATTTCTCTCCGTCTACAGAGAGAGCAGAAGATCTCGCGCACACGACGACTGCTGGTTTGTCACCGCCAGCTCAACGCGACACCGGGCTCTGCCCACTCATCCCAGGCGTTGCTCGCCGCCAAGATCGCTGACGCTTGCATAAGCGCAGTGATTGAAGCCCACATCTTGCCTTGCAGCGCCTTGCATCGCTCACCCAGTGATCGGCCCCTGCATCACCACTTCTAATTGTCAGATAGCCCCTCGTGGCAACATCATACGACTCCTGGAAAACCACGCTCTCTTTGCGTACCATCATGGCCGCCTCCAGTAACTCCGTGGCGTCTGCCTCGCCGCGCTCATCACAGCCGCCGTCGGTCAAATCCATCGAGGTTTCAAAGTCGCCAAAACTGAACGGCCAAAATGGACAGACGGTCACACCAAATAATGGTGCCATCGAACAGCCCCTCAAACCCGCCGATAAGGCTTCTATGAAGGACCGGTTAACACGCATGTTTTCTGCCAAGGACGTCTCCCAGCGCGCTGCAGTGGCTGAGACAAACGACAACGCCGCCCAGGCCAGGAAACCCCAGAATGGGGTTTCAAGCACGGCGTCGCCATCTCCCAGCAAGGTGGCAAACGGGAAAGACGTCAATCTCCAACGTTTTGCCCCCAACCAGGACGTCCAAGGCGGTCACGAACACCACCTGAAGTCCAGCCGCCGGCAAGAGAAGTTATCGGACATGATCAAAGCCTTGCTTGGCAGGAAACCAGACCAGCAAGCGCCCGACAATGATCTCTCCTTGGTGTCGAACTGGGTAGACAACCTGAGGAAAGAGAAAGACCACCTAGCGTCGGACAAGAGGATCAACCCCAACCAGTCGGCAACTCTGGTGGAGAAGTACGGCAAGTGCCAGGAAATTGTGGGGCGGGGTGCCTTCGGGATTGTGAGGATCTCTCACAAGAAGCTGGACAATGGCTTGGGCGAGAGACTGTTTGCCGTCAAAGAGTTCCGTCGGCGGCCCGAAGAGACTGAAAAGAAGTACAGCAAGCGGCTGACCGCCGAGTTCTGCATCTCATCGTCGCTCCGGCACCCCAACGTCATTCACACCCTCGATTTGCTCAAGGACTCCAAGGGGGACTACTGTGAGGTCATGGAGTTTTGCGCGGGCGGCGACCTGTACACGCTCATCCTGTCAGCCGGCAAGCTTGAGGTGCAAGAAGCGGACTGTTTCTTCAAGCAGATGATGCGCGGTGTCGAGTATATGCACGAGATGGGCGTTGCCCACCGCGATCTGAAGCCGGAGAACCTCCTCCTGACGACCCGTGGCGCACTGAAGATCACCGACTTCGGCAATGGCGAGTGCTTCCGCATGGCTTGGGAGAATGACGCCCACATGGTATCGGGCTTATGTGGCTCGGCCCCGTACATCGCTCCCGAGGAGTATACTGCTAAGGAGTTCGATGCTCGCGCCGTCGATGTCTGGGCCTGTGGTGTCATTTATATGGCAATGCGGAGCGGCCGTCATCTGTGGCGTGTCGCCAAAAGGGACGAGGATGAGTTCTATAACCGTTACCTCGAGGGCCGCAAGGACGAAGAGGGTTACGCCCCAATCGAGCAGCTGCATAGGGTACGTGGCAGATTCAGCTGGCTTTGGCCGAGCGCCCGTCATGTTGTTGTTGTTGACACCCCGCACCAGGCTCGCTGCCGGAACGTAATTTATTCTATCCTAGATCCCAACCCCACGCGGAGAATTACCGCATCGCAGGTTCTGAAGTCCGAGTGGGGCCGCGAAATCCAGCTCTGCAAGGCCGGCGAAGAGGGCCTCTAACTCATGCCCCGTCAGGTGGGATGGTCAGTGTGAACCCAGACTCGTCAGGCGCAAGCACCATCACCGCACCATCCGACGGACGGAACATCGTGAACAGTGTTTAACGTTGCAGGTTAAACAGCGCATTACTTACTAACTCTTCGATCCTAGCCAAGGTTGGCTAGAATCTCATGCTTGCTTACCGCCGGTTGTCGATACCTTCATGATATCCGCGAGCACGCTACAACAACAGCATTACTACGGCAGAGGCGATGATGGTTTACTGAACTCATGGCAGTGGATGTCTTGATCCTGCCCAGCATCGGAGTTTGGAGCTTGTGGGTTCTTGTTCTTATTACTTGTCTGGGCGGTGTTCTGTGTGCTTTTTGTTTCCCCTCCCATGTTTAGCTGTTCTGCCTTTCAGGGGTGTCTTTGAGGGGGTAGGCAGTCTGCCTTTTGTAGCGCTTTGGGTGGCCTAAATAAACCTGATAATTTCAAAGCATTCCCTTCCCTAGCAGTCAATCTGGTCAAGATGGTTCCGGTTCGGTGGCTCCTCGGCTGCATTCACATTGGTTGCGGGTAGACGGCGAGGCAATCCGGCAGTCGGGATGGGTGAGGGCGTCACTGGGAGGCTTTTGTCGACGTTCCGGGAGCGGAGATCACATTGGTCTTCTTCCCTTCTTCCTGTACCGTACCTTTTTCGCTTCGCCTCAGTATTCTTTTATTAACGTTACCATGAATATTTAACTCTTTAAAGCGGACCAGTTTTGGTCCAGCTAGACTAGTCAATCTGATGTGCCAAAAGCTCAGGTTCTTGTTCCTCCTTAGTCTTTGTATCGAGTCATTGATGACAGGCTTCTCGAATAGACGTCTTTCTTGAACCGTTTCCCTGGTACCTAATAGTATGAAGCTTGCCAGGGGGTGCTTTTGCTGGCCCCGTAGGGTTTGCTATTTCTCGCTCTCAAATAGACGACCTAGAAGCAACATATACGTAGCACATGGAAGGTAGACCATGGAAGATGCTGCAGGTCTTCAGCTGCAGCGGACGTTTCACACGAGGTAAGTGAAGCAGAAGAAACCAGATACATCACATGTCTTGGGTAAGGTACGTTAGTGTGCTCTACATCATGATCCAGACCGCAGCAAGTTCAACCCGAGTCCTCGGCAAGTACACATATCATGTCGTCGTTGATCGGCCCGTGGCATAGAAACAACACAACACTACCTACACTCATCCCCTGGATCCACCAAGAGACCTTCCACATTTAGCCAAGCATGTTCATTGTCGATTGAGGAGTCAGGTTGGGGCTATAGAACAGCCGGAAAGGAGGTGATTATTTTGGACCCATCTCGGGCTTCCAACGCATACTTAGTTAGGTACCGTCCGTTCCCTATATATAGGCACTTGAGCTACTTACCATAACCGCCTTTGCAGCGTTTCCCAAAGCCATAACGGACCAGGTCCAGAATCGATGGAAAGAAAGGACTACACATGACTGAAAGAAATGGAGCAAAATGAGAGCATCATGGTTGTCCCTTTTGAGATCGCTGATTACATCACCGTGTCCCAAACATACCAAGCTGGAGGAAACGAGAACATCCGAGAAATACAGAGCCTGTATAGCTCTCTCTTGTCTCCCAGCTATTGATATCCTGGGATTCATATAAAGCTGAGAATCGACAGTGTCCAGCAACAAAGGAGGAGTGACATGAAAGCAGGGAGAGCGAGAGTTGAGAGGATGAGGTAGGTTAGATAAAGGCATCAACATCCACAGGAAAAAGTGGCTCTCAAACATCCACGCGAGACATCAACAGACACGTATGCCCTTACGCCAGCCGACATAACCCCATCATATTATAACCAAGGAGAAGATTCCACAAGGCCCCCTCCTATTCCCTCCCTCCACCCGCACATCAAGCCAACACCCATCCCTAGCCCATAAGTTCCGACCTCAATCTCGGACAGCAGCAACGCATGAACCCGTGGATCCGAAACCGACATCAACATCACCTCTAGAATTCCTCCAACACCAAGCCTTCCACAGCCGACAAGAGCAAGATCCAGTAACTAGCTCGAGGGACGAGGGGGTGGGCGGGAGGAGAGGGAGATCAAGGTCATGAATGGAAAAGATCCCAGGCCCGGGAGCACAAAGCCAGGAACTCCTCCTTCTTCGCCTCGATCGTGTCGGGGCTGTCACGTCCCTCGCCGAACGGGCCCCTCCTCGCGCCCATCGACGAGAACGGCATCGGCGCTGCCGGAGCCGGCCGTGCCCCGTTACCCAGCGGCGGACTGCCGCCTTCCTCGTACTGGTCGCGCCTCCGCTTCATGGAGCTGGTGGGAGCCGCAGCAGTAGCCGTGGGTGGTGCGGCGGTTGGGGCGGCCGGGCCTGGTGGCGGTGGCGGTCTGCTATGGTTATGGCCTTGGTTGCCGTGGGGATGTTGATGGTGATGGTGATGGTGTGAGGCTTGGTCGCGCGCGTGTGGATGCGGAGGGGACGGCGGAGTTGGGGGCTGGTGGCCGCCGTACCGTACTAGCTTTGGGAGAAGCTCTGGCCGGCCGCCGGCCAGCTCAACCTGGGCTTCCTCGGCCGACTTGTACTCCCTGGAACGGGTTTGCTGTGGTGGCGGAGGCGGGGGGTGGTGTGGGGATGGAAGGGGGCCTCGGTTCTGGTTCTGGTTGGCAAACAACGCGTGGCCGCTGGAGTCAGGGTGACCGGAGAGATTCTGCCCGAAGACGTCGGCAATTGGCGGGAGCCGGTTGTTTGTCTGGGTGGCGGGCACGTGGTGGATGTGCGACGTGCTGGCCAGGTTCGAGGGTTGGTTGGTAATGTGCCGCGTCAGTGGGTGTGGGTTGTGCCTCCCAGTGAATGACTGGCCGAGCGGTGCGGACTGGATAACCCTCTCGGTTGCGAACTGCTGGGGCGACGGCGCAACGATGCTCAGACCTGGCGGCGCACCGCGCTTGCGCGCAAGGCCCGGTGTCTTGGCAGCGAAGTGGCTTCCGTTGCTATCCTTCTCCGAGCCGTCTCCCATCTTCGCCGACTGCTGTTGCAACCTCGCCTCGATGATTTGTCTCTGGTGCTCCCGGACACTCATGCTGCGGTTCAGCTGCTCCTGCTCCGTGGCGTCCTTGGGAACGAAGCCTGGTGATAGGCAGGCGATGCCAACCTCTTGAATGCCCAGTGCACCCTCTCGCGCGGTCAGGGGCCGCCCAGTGGCGGGAGACACAATACTCGTGTTCCTGGAGAGGTCCAGCTTTTTCGGTCGGTGTCTGGCGGTGGGCAGACCCGGGGAGCCGGGCTCCTTTTTCACAATGATTTTTGGCCTTTCGCCATTCCTAGATCTGTGCAACGATGGACCCAAGTTAGCAAAAGGTCGATGAGGCGAACGGGATCAAATCTTCAGAGGTGCCTGGGCTTGCTTACGCGCTTGGGGGGACGATTTCTGCGAGTTCACCGCCGCACCAGCCGCCCTTGGGCTGCCACTCCCGGACCGTGGTGGTTGTGCTGCAGACGCATTACTTGGCGCTGCATTTGCTGGCGGAGGAGGCGGAGGAGCAGCTACTGTCCTCTGCGCAGCCGGGGAAGTCGTGGTAGAAGGAAGGTCAGAGCCATACGACGACGGCCTATCATGGGGACCCGGAGACGGGGCCATTGCAACTGCTGTGCTCATGTTGTCGGTTTGTAGTCGTGGTCGCGCTAGTGCGCTGGGAAGAGTTCCGATGAAGAACCCCGTGGGTAAGGCCGGAGGGTTTCCAGAGCACACCGGGAATTTGGATGAAGCAGAAGCGCCTCAAGATAAGGATTGGGCGGAGGAAGCGACGCTGCGGCGGGAGGTGGCTGGGTGTTGGCCCGAAAACTAAGATCCTCTGTGCTTCTTTTCCTTCATCCAGTGCGAGACTATTAAAGGGACTGCTGATGAATTCGAATCCAGGCGGAAGGAAAAAAAGGAAAAGAGGCGGAAATGGAAACCTAGAACCGATGGCACGGCTAGGCCGCTCGAGGCCGAAGCGATCTGCGATCTGCTGTGATTAATTGTGTGATTATCGAGCAGGCCCGGAACAATAATTCGAGCTGCTGGTCGTTCCGGCCCGGGCGCTTCGAAACACTCTCGGGCTGGTGTCACAGTGTGAAGGGCGCACCTTCCCCTTTTCGGCCACTCAGTGGAGGTCGTAAGCCGAAATCTGCAAGCTCCTGCGTTTCGTGTAGGGCTTGGAGCGCGCTTGTTGCAATCGCCGAGTCGTCGTCGTGGCGAGTTGGCTGCGAAGCACAAACGGACTTATTATTGAAATGTCTCCTTTGATCCCTCGCCGATATTATTATCTTCCTTTTCCCTCGTCTCAATCCAGGAATGTCTTTCAGCGCCGCGGTTGTTTGGCCGGGGTTGGTGGTACGGACTAGAGACCAGGGTAGGCCAAGTCCACTATCAAGCAGTGTTCGGATGTGCGTGCCGAGGACTGGATGAGCGACAGGATTAACGTTAAATCCAGCCACGCCGGTAGTGGAATACAGATGTAAAAGGAGAAAACCGTCCAAACCCCGCGGGGCTTGGAGGGCGGGCTGGAGGGATTAAAACGAAAGACGTCGATAAGCCTAGGGCGGCAGGGCCAGGGGCTGCGTCAGGAAGGCGATGCCCCGGGGTGAAATACCTACCTACCGCGGATGAGGGGCTCTGTGAGACGGTGGCGGGAGCCTTATTTTAAGGGGGCACATAATAATCATGCCCGACGACGGGACACCTAATCCCGGCATCTGTGGCTCTGTACGGTGGTTTTTGTTTACGAAAGGGGACGAACCAGTCCCTCCCAAAACTCCTACGGAAAGAGGGTGCGGCAAGTTGCGCGTGAGAATCACTGTTGAGAATCCGCACATGTGGTCCTTGAGGTATCAGGCAGGTTGGAGCGTGCCTTTCCGCTGGCTCTAGTGTTTGAGATTTGCGGCCGTGGAGCCCTGAGTGGAGCTTGGGCCGCAGCTAGTCCCTGTAACATATTCGTAGCCCCCCTTGTTGATGAGATCGTGTCCCCGTGATTGTCGATGGTTTGGTGGCCGCCTTGCGACCGGCTGCCTGCGGTGCCCAGGGGCGCTGTCGAGCTCAAACGGGCCACTGGAATCCCGATGTTTGCCTCGATCCTCCAGAAGGGGTTGCAAGTTCGGAGGGAGTGCCTTAGTTAAACCCTCACGTCGTTTTAGATTGAGAGTGCTTGCTCCTGTTATTGGTAGAACCGCGAGTGCACCGTTTCTTGACCCCTGCTCGCCCAGACTTCCATCTGCAGAGCACTTCGCATCCGCCAGCCGCGACAGCGCCGCCTGAAACTCGTCTGTGCTGCGAGGAGGGGCGCAGAGTCCCATAATGGAGACGGAGACAGGGGTCTAGTTTGCTTTGACAGCGGAGGTGGGTCACCACGCGGCGCCGGTAAGGTCTCCAGAAATTGAATGCCTCATTGCCATGGACTTTCGAAAGGATAATAAATGTCCGTAAAGGCATGTTTTGGTGGCAGCCATAATAAATCAATCTCGAACCTGCCCTTCTAGCTGAGACACACGCAGCCCAGAAAACGGGCTATGTGCGACCTTCTTCCCGCTCCGGTGAAGGTAGGATGGTCAAGTTGCATGTCCCGCTTCGCCAATGCGGAACCATGGTTGCCGTCTGCCGGAGTAAATATATAGTTCAAAAAGCATGGGTTGTCGGTTTCTCAGGGCTGTTTCAATGGGCGGACTGTCTCGATATCGAGACTGGCATGGCGACGACAGAGAGTCTGGAAAGGACCCTTGTGATGAAAGTCTTGACGACTTCAAGTACTGTGCAATGTGCAAGGATATTGTGCAGGTTCGATGTGAGTGAAGGTTCTGAACCCATGGGCCGGACTCTCGTTGTTTCCCCACACGTCACTGCAACATCCGAGGACGTCCCGTCATTATCAATACTCTCTCCGTTACAGGTCAGACCGTCAGCCCGTCTTGCCCTTCTCAGGTCTCAGCTGTCGAAAACGGGCATGTCGGCTCCCGTCAGCATATGACAACACCCAATGGATGCATCCAAGAGTGAGCGAGGACATTTGTTGATTGGTGTTGAAGACAATGGCCAGTCTTGTTCGATCGTCCAGACGTTCTTTGGATTGGAGGGTTGCAAGTCTACGGGTTGATGTTGCTTCGGGTTGGTGATCGGAGTCTCAATTCTCTGCCGTCAAGGCGTAGCCAATCAACTTCCGTTTCCCGTCTCGTGGTTGCTTGCCCTGAGACGGCCGGACGATGCAGCGAATGGAATCACGCACGTTGTTACCTACAAACTACCTTATCCGAGTCGCCTACTGAACACGAGCCTCAGCTCTGAGTCTTCTGAGACAACCATGTGAATACGCAGTACGGGCATACCTACTGTAGTATTGCCGTTCACTTGGCTCAAATAGAAGAACCAAGGCCTTGTAGACACGGAAGTCGCAGCGTGGCGACTGGTTGGCATCAGTGATACTAGTAGCGTCTCCCTCGCTCATTCCAAACCGACACCGTTCAATGGGCGCCCATTCTAGCTTCCCAGCTGACTCTTGCCCATGCCAGTGTTTCAATATTCTGCACACGATGTGGCATGCAGGATGCTTACTATGATCACGGACAAACCGCCAAGGGGAGTTGGTGATTGGTATACCACTGGGTTGGGTTGTATTCTTGTTGGCTGCCGCTGCCGCCGTGAGGGAGGAGGGGCATACCTACGTAGCCGGAAACACCCCAAGCCCCAATTCCTGTTAATCGAAGAAGTGCTGGGGTTTTGAGATATGGCTAAGCGATGCCTATTGCCTTCAAAGTTCCAATTCAGATGTGCAGCTTCTGCAGTCCTGCCTGTGGCGTGTCCATCGACTCAACACGACGATGTCCGTGCTGTTCAGGCACGTAGGGCTGAGACGAATCTTTGCTGCGATGAGCGGGGTGGGCGGGGCATTATGGCGGGCCGCTAAGCAAACGGGGGTCCATGCGCCACCTACTACCCGATACGTAGCTCAAAATTTTACCGAGATATCAAACTCCAGTTTCGGTATATTGCACCTCGGTGACCAAGTCGCAAAGCCACAGGTAACGCAGTTCGCACTCATTTCAAATGCCGAGAGCCAAGTCCAAGAAGGAGGAGCCTGTCGAGGCCGGGTCGGACGTCGCCATGGAGGAGGCGCCACCGTCTCATCAGCCGGAGAGCAGGGATGATATGTCGGTCGACCAGGATGAGAATGGCGACGCGGAAGATGTTGAGGACGAGGAGATGGACGAAGACGAAGAGGAAGAGGAGGTTCAACGAGTGAGGCTGGTATGCCAAATCTCTCTGTTTCAGCCTTTAGCCTGTGTGGACGCTAATCAGATGTTCAGCTCCCTGGCTCAACACCGACTGCTGCCTCATTTGAGTTTCTCAATGAGGGCCACACTCTGGGGAACGCTTTGAGATATGTTATCATGAAGAAGCAAGTCTTGATTCAGGACCCCGACATCCTCTTCATTCACTAACAGCCCCCTCAGCCCTGATGTCGAGTTCTGCGCATATGCCATTCCACATCCGTCAGAGGCAAAAATGAATGTCAGAATCCAGACATTTGGTGAGCGGCCACTGCACTCCGGGGATAAACAAACCGGTGTACTAACAATCTCTCCAGAGGGGACGACCGCGATCCAGGCGCTAGAGAAGGGGCTGCGGGACCTGCAGGAACTCTGTGACGTCGTGTCGGATAAGTTCATTGACGCTAGGGAAAGGTTCGCGGCGAGTGGTTCTTCGTAGATTTCTTTCATCTCGGGTCAAGCAGGGGCGGCGTTTGGGCGTGGCTTGGGTTAGATTATGCATCAACGGGACCAAGGGCGGATGGTGTACACGCGACATATTTGGGTGGAATTCCATAGTGGTCTCTATACACTCAGAGCAAGAGGGTACAACACCCATCCTAGTTGCGACCCTGAATAATTGCCGTGAGCGCGAGACTCCCGAGGTTGGGCAAACCTCGAAACTCACCTGCAAGAACCCCTCGATGAAATTTGACGGCAATCTCTTCTCCCCCCTAAAGTTTTCTTCTTTGAAGAAGGACATGATGTGGTTCGTTTGGCGCCAGAAGTTCATAGTCTCCTGTAGCAATCGGGCGTCAGCCTGAGGAGCTCGAGATAGTCACGGATATGGACCGCCGGCCTCCTCCCCCTGGCTCCCCCCGGTGGCTCTGTCATCCCGAACCGTTCCAATCCCGGTCTCTCGTATCAGCGGCCTAACATTCAGCTTACCTGGTAATCGGCGTTGCTTTGTTGTAGAAGAATATCCACCACAGGCAGCTTGTTAACGTATCGGTGGCGCTCAAACTCCTGCCTGATGCGGGATCGAATCGCGGAAACGGGCTGTGGGACCGAGTACATCGTCTGGATTTCGGGTGCCTAAGCATGATTCTGTTAGCAGCGCTGACGGTGTGGACCACGTAGAACTGTCTGCCGCAATCTGGTATCGTACCGCGCGAATCCAATCTCGATATGCCGCAAGCACCCTCCGCTTCGCGTCCGACCAATTCGCCGCTGCTGCTCGTCAGTCGCTAGCCAAGTAGAATTCGAAAACGGTTCAGAACTCACACTGCCTCGCCGTAACGGCGAATTGAGTCGGTGAGATCCCCATGACGGCTGAAGTGTATGTTGTCGTTCGCTACTAGGTTGAAATCACCCTTTGCTTGGTTGGACGTCCCATTGCCTGATGCTGAAGCTTGGACCATCTCTCTTGCATCGTCATGCCCCACATCCTTCTGCAGTGAGCTTGCTTAGTCATACTTTCCGAATTCCATGGCGACCTAATACCGACTTCTGTACGGATTAGAAGTTGTAGAACAACCGCGCCATCTCGAACAGAGACAGCCGATCACGAAATCGATTCAACTCCACACGCACCAAACTCTACAGCTGTAAGGAGCACCTTCTCGAGAACTTTCCCAACAGCAAATCCAGGAAGTCATGCCCGCCATCCGTCATGCCTCCAAGCGCAAGCCGCCGCCGGACGGCTTCAGCGACATCGAAGAGGACCTGCTGATCTTCAGCAACAAGTTGAAAGATGCGCTGAACGCGCCTACAGACAACATCCCCAAGCACCAGGCGCAGTGGCCCGTCTTCCAGATTGCACATCAGCGCAGCCGCTATGTGTACGAACTCTACTACGAGAAGGAGGCAATCAGCAAGCAACTGTACGAGTGGCTGCTCAAGAACGGGTACGCCGACGCGATGCTCATAGCCAAGTGGAAGAAGCAAGGGTATGAGAAGTTGTGCTGCTTGCGGTGCATCCAGACCAAGGAGACGAACTTCAATTCGACGTGCATCTGCCGCGTGCCGAGGGCGCAGCTCAAGGAGGATCAGGAGGTGCAGTGCGTGAGTTGTGGGTGTAGGGGATGCGCTTCGACAGACTGAGGAAGCCGGGTTGGCGATTACGGTGGCCTTACGGCGGGACGACTAGTGATTGATGATACCAGCTTTTTTCTACGGTTATGGGAGAGATATCATTGGGATTTGGGAAGTGTGTAAGAAATCACCATCTGCCGCACAGTTTTACCTTGCATGAAACTCATACATATGACAGAGACTGCACGGGACCAGATGTAACAAACAAGCCTTGCTGGCCGGTGGATTAGGTCTACACAGTATTAACATGCAAGGAGCGATAACTCCTTTCGTCAGTATGTTGTCCCCAACCTAAGTGCAGACTTTTACATCGTGTCCCATGCTTATTTTGAATAGCCTCAAACCGAAGTGTCTGCTCGCCAGCTAGGAGGCTACCGCTTAGCGAAACCGGCCTTCTTACCTCGGCCAAAGCGGACGCTCATGGGTACAAACCGGAGCGCCGCCATGGCGCCGGCGAGGTCTTCCATCTCTTGATCCGGCTGCTGCTCAGTCTCCTTCTCGGTCGAGTCAGCCACGACATGGCTATCTGCAGATGCTTGGGGTTGGTCAGCAACTGGCCGCTGTCCTTGGCCTTGAAAGGAGCCTCGAGGTGATGGCATAGCGCTGGTTGATTCCCGACGGCGCCTAGGCCTCTCCTGCAACAGGGACTGCCGTCCATCGATGCCTTCACGCGTGATGGCGAAGAAGAAACTTCTGGGATACATGTGCTTGTCGATCAGGTGCATCTTGCGCTTGTGAGGCGTGGTGCACTTCTTGTCGCATCCTTCCACAAAGCATGAGAACTGAAGCGATCAGTCGGCGCGCTGAGAAATAGAGTGGGCTGATAACCAAGGGGACACTTACAGTCCGCTCACCTCTCTCCTTCCTCACTTCGGAGAACGAGTCGTGCGTCTCCTCGATATGAAGGCTGAGGAAATGGGCCGACGGGAAGTTTTTACGGCATTGCAGGCAGCGGTTGGTATGCTTGTCTCTGTAATGGGTCTCGTAGTTGCCATATGACGAGAACTGTAGGGGCTCCTTGTGGGGCGGTAATGCGCAGTATATCTTGACCTCTCTGTCTTCCTCGCTCTCGGATGTGTCAAGCTCGGCGATTTTGGCGGCGGGCGGCAATGAATCAGCGCCGTTGTCGATGATCTGTTCCAGCCCGCTGCCGTGGTCATTTCCATAAGTGGCGGCCGTATTTCGAACCACAGTCGTGGCTTCCTCTAGAGGTGCCTCTTCGGGTTCCCGTGGGCGCTTCATTCTCCATGCAAGGTTTGACTTTGAGAAATTGACGAGAATATGGTTTGGGAGAAGAGTTACATTCAGCTGCTCTCTGCCTTTGAGTCAAGCTGCGATGCATTGCGCATGCTGCTTGTTTTTGTGCGACCTTGGAGGTCTGGTAGTCGTATTGTATTATAGTATGTCTCTTACAGTTCAAACCCAGCTCCCGTTGATCCTGCCATGTGCATCATAGGAGAGAGCTGGCGTCGGACAGAGTTCAAAAGGGTGCATGGTATCCGCAAAATCTTGCCATGTGCACGGCTGCAATTGCTGACTCGCAGACTCGGCCCAACGCTCGCCCGAAGTTTTGCCAGACGAAATCCTCGTTCGCGTTCCCGGTCCGTAGCCGCCTCCGTAACGACTACAAACCGCTCTAACCGCCAAGTGCAAGGAGGGTGGCGACAACAGGGAGTACACTACTCTAGCCGCCATGCGCAAGAGGGCCGCCAAGCACAACGTGGCATACAAGAAGGAACCTCCTCCCTTCGTGATATATGATACCGACAGCGGTGTGTGCGAGGACATGATCATCTGCGCGTCGACTGTCGACGAGCAGCAAACGTGCTATCTCGGAGAGAATCATATGGGGCCAAGTACAATCCTGGATTCCGATTTTCTAGGGCATGTCGGCCCCGCCCTTCTCGCTCTGTAGATTGCAAGCTTCAGTGGGTACTATACCACTGGGCCTCTCTCTTCTAACTACCTATCTGTACGTAGGGTGGGAAAGAGACAGTCACTCGTAGGTAGATCGAAATATACTGCCCTGCACTACTGTATCTTTGTTGCCGTTGACTGTTGCGTAGCTATACTGCGCAACTAAGCATATCTTGTGCCCCGTTACCTACTGTAAATCATGGTGTCTGACTGTTGGTTTCCAACAGCACGGATCGTTGATTGCCGAGAAGTGCCTCTCTAACCCCTGGTGGAGCAGACAGTTCAATGTCGTGCAAGACTCTCACAACCCCTGTTAGAGCACACGGCAACTCTCCAACGTCTCTGCGAGCCCGCTAGGTGGAAGTAGCTATATATCAATGCCCCCCACGTCGATGGATGCGTTATGCTGTGTCAGCTCCCACTTGCGGGCAAAGTAATGAACGCTGCGTCTGCTGCCCGGCGCTGGCGGTAGGAGGTCTTCGGGTCGGCCGGCACACCACTCGCTGCCTACATACTCCAAGAAGCAGGAAGTATTGCAATACAATTAGGCATTGCAGAGACAACCAAAGCACGCTCATATTATTGCCTCTAGAAGTATCCCAGTAATCCCGAGCGATCGCACAAATCCGCAACGTTATCCCTCCTCCGACATCCTTGGATCCTTGCGGGCTTCCTCAAGGATCCCCTTCACCCGGGCGTACAATCCATCATCCTCCCTCTCCAACCTCCCGCCATTTGGAAACACAGCTTTCCGTAACCGGTTGACCCAGGGCACCATCGGCTGGTAATAGGGTGTAAAGTTCTTTTCTGCGGCTCTGATAAAGTCCCCTTCATGAGACACCTGCCCCCTTTTCTCCGTTGCCAACAAGTCCGTGCTGATATAATTCCACTGGTCAAACTCAGGAACAACCCTGCTCTCCTCTGGCCCATTGCAATAAATGCATATCCAGTACAACACCCAGAAGAATGACTCGATGTCGTGCATGAACGAGTGCTGCTCGCCCAGAAGCGCCCCGATGGCCATGAAAGCTCTTGTTCCGGTCCTTCCCCTTGCCCCCGAGGCGTGCTCTCGTTGCTCTTTGATGGCGAAGTCAAGATCAATCAAGAATGAAGGCCAATAGTGGTTGCCGTAGTCTTCATTGATCATAAGATTGTTTATCGAGATGTCTCTGTGGAGGATACCTGCGTTGCGTAAGGACTTGTGTCCTTCAATGCAACCTTCAAGCGCAGTAAGCAGGGCCGATCGAGACCTCGCCTTGTAGATAGGCTTTCCATAATCGTGGAGGATAACACGTCTATGTACCCGATTTGGAAGGGCACCTCTGTCGGCCTTCGTAGGGGATGCCGAATAGGGTCGCTTGCTGGGCGGCAGAGAGGTGCCAGTCTGGCTGGATGACCGCTTACGGCTAGCGGTGCTGTTGTGGCCTTTCCGTAGAGCATCCACCGCAGTTATACCCGGCGAAAGTTCTAGTTGTCCTGGCCGGTAATTTGTCGCCTCCGTAATGTTTAGGCCCCCCCGAACATTGCTCCGGATCTCGTCGACTTTGTCACGGACAAATACAGTCTCGTGGTGGTAGTACCGGGCAACGTTGACCACACCCTTGTCAGTCGCCTCTCTCAGTAGCTCGCCCTCTTCCTCACGCTCTGTATACTGCCAAGAATCCTTGATCACAAATTCGATCCGTAGGTCGTTTTCACGATGTGCTTTCCAGCAAGTCGTTGCCCGGCCGGCGATGCAAGGTGCCCGTTTCATCAATTTGTCAATGACGAGCCGTTCTGTCTGACCGTTCCGCTTAACCGTTATAAGCCGTTGGCCGCCCTCCGTAGTAATCGTTGGGTCGAAACCAAGCTGTTCCTCGTTCATCCAAAGAAACCCAAGGACCGTAGACAAAAATTGCAAACCGTCTTTGTTAATATTAAACTTTTCGGACGCGATCCCTCCAAGGCGGTCAAACTCCCATATCCTCATAAGAGACCCGCAGATAGTAAATCCCAAAACGAACCGACGCGCGTCTTGAGCGGTGAACACTTCCCTAGCGTACCTCCCAAGATCAAGCCACGACTTTGATGGATTGTCAGCGGACGGGTTGCTCTTTAGCTCTCCGGGTATTAGGATCTGTGACCAGTGGCATCGAGAATCCTTTCCTGCTTCGGGGTCATCCAAAGCCAACGTCCAGTTTGCACTCTGCTGTAGAACCCTGAACCGGCTTGTTAGGCTGGGCCAGTGGCCGTCGCCTATTGGAGTTGACATATAGTCTCTTGCCGATACTGCTAGCTTCTCGACTAAGTCGGCGAACCAGCTTAATACACCATCCTGATTCGCATCTTCCGGCCATCCACTCCAACCTTCATTGAAGAGCGGATTGCTACCTTCCGTGCACTTCTTGAAAATTGCCTTAGACGTTACGTCAAGCCCTGCTATGCCTCCAAAGTATGTTTCGAGGAAACGAGGAATCCCGACATAGAGGGGACCAAGCTCCGACTTAAGGACCTTGTCTATATCTTGGCGGTATTAAGAGGAGGTTGCAAAGCTGCTCGTATTGTGAAGCCATGAGGTCTGTTGGAGGGAAGAGGCCATCGGCCGAGGAGGCGGGGTGGATTCGGTAACGGCGTCGTAGACTCGGTCCCAGATGAGCGTATCATCACGATGGTCGGCAAGGGCTACATTTAGGAGAGGCTTGATGCGGTCGAGGTCGAAGTTGTTAGAGTGGACAGCGGAAGTGAGCCGCAAAAGGTCGCCGAAAAGATCCTTTCCACGACTACCAGAGCGGAGTAAACGCGAGGCCCGGAGGCTCTGCAGTGCTGAGAGAAGATCAAGGGCGAGATTTTGGACATCGGCATGCCGGTTAGAAGAGCATGCGGCATCAAAGTTATTATGCTGATCCTACCCTCGAGGTCGAGCTGACCGAGCGCGTCGAGAGTGGACGGAATCCCCCTCTCTGCGCAGACCGTATTGAACGAAGCGCGGAAGGCATTAAGGCCGCTCCCGATGAGAAGAAAGCGGAAGAGGCGCGTCCTATGGCATACTGGCTGCTTGCGCCAGCCACCTAGCCACTTCGACTGTGCCACGACCCACATTAGTTAGCGGAATTGTCGGACTAACTTCACAAGGCAGGCAGGGCAGGCAGGGCAGGCAAGGCAGGCAGGGCGGGCAAGGAAGGTAACTAGGCGGTCTGGGCAGGCATTTTGACAGGGAGACAGGCATTTGGTGGCATTTTGGGCCATAATGCCACTAAAATATACATGCATTGGACGGTGGTTTTAAATCGCTTTATTGGGCCATAATATGCACTTCAAGAATGCATCGTTTTTCATCATCTTTTTGGTGGGCTTTTTGCATATGTGCCAGTCTTGCGCCCAGTCTTACGTCCATTTTTCGGCAGGGTAGCGAGCTGGGTGTATTTTTGCTGCAAAATTTGGTAGGAAGCTACTTGGCTGGCGCTAATCCCAAAGAAATACGGTGGATTTAGTGGGGGTATACGGTGGATTTTAGTGACCTCGAAAAAAAGAAATTAACGACCAGGTCCAGATTCACGTTTTCGCCCTCCCGGCAACAACGACAGCTTCTGGTCTTCGTTGTTGTTCAAGGGGTGCGGTTTCTTGTCCTCATAGCTACCAGTTCTGGCCCCTTCTGAGCAGACAGGGAACTTTTATGGGCAAACCGTACGGAATACTCTGCAATCAGCCCCACAAAAAGAGCAGGGCTTTTGATGAAAGTGTGCCTACTGATTGGCCAAGTAGCTGGTGCAAGAAAGATGGGGATACATTTTGTCACTCAATATCATGTCACTGGCTGTGGCAGCTGCTGCGCGGATTGCTTCCATTTGAACCGCTCTATGTTTTGTTGCGCCTCGTCAATCCCGCGTATTTTGGTTGCATGCCTTCGCTCGAAACGCATAACTAACACCGACTTCTGGCCGGTTTTGGTTTACGATTCTCCTCTTCCAATGCGCTCCTCACCTTCCGCCGCCGCCGAACTGCCAGCTGCAAGCCGCCGTGCCCCTCGTTGCAGCGCCGACGACATCATTGCGTCAAGTTATGGACCGCCTGCGAACCACGGCCTTTTCGACAACTGCGTGTGAGCTTCGGCCATAGGCGATAACTCCTTTTATATAAGCGCTGTGTTTCCAAACATTGGCAGACCGTCTGCTCGTCGCTAGGACGCTTTGATCGGTTGTGTCGACCAAGCGATGGCCGCAACACCCACGGCAACCACGGCTACAATGCCGTCCACGGATGACGCCTGGAAGTGAGTGGCCTTTGGGTCTGGTGCTTTGTCATCTATTCGCACTTCGCGAGCCGTCGCCGTGATTTCGTGATTTCGTGATTTCGAATTTCGCACATTCAGCCGTCGGCATTGCGGGGTGCAGGCCTTAAGCTTGCTAACCCGACCTCCCAGAGCGGCGCAGAAATTACGGGCCGCGATCCTCAAGGAGTTGGAGCACATTCAGACTGCCGGCCCTGGCACAAACGAGCTTGCCCGCTTTGAAAAGGTCGAGAAACTGATGGAGACGTGAGTTGGTGCCGGCATCGCTTCCAATACTGTGCCATGTTGGTTGACAACGGCGCCAGGTATCGCCTTCGATGCATGGAAACCATTTGGCTCGACATCCGTGCTGCGAAGGAGAAGGGCGCCGAGGATGCTCTCTGGCAGGTCCATACCTTCGTCACAAAGGCCTACCGGAAGGTCCTTGCTAAACTCCAGGGCAACGACCATGTCGTGCTCAGACGGAAACTTGAGAAGCTCTACTCAACCAACCTCAAGACGGCGCAGTACTTCTACAGAGGATATCTGCAGCGGACTTGCGCCCGATATGACATGAAAGATCTCAGGCGCATTGCTAGCCGAGCCGAGCTTGAGGAGATGCCTGTGCCAGACAAGGACAAGGTTGATCCCACGGCTGCGCAGGTCCAGGATGTTGTAAAGTCATCGTGCCATAAGACGCTCATCTACCTCGGTGACCTGGCAAGGTACCGCACGCTCTTGCGCCCCAAAGACCGCAAGTGGGAGGGCGCTTTGGCATATTATCAGCTGGCGAACGAGTTGGTCCCCGAATCTGGATATGGCCACCACCAATGTTCGGTGATCTTCGTCGAGACCGAGGACCATCTCGATGTTGTCTACCATCTTTACCGTGCTTTAGCCTGCAGCATGCCGCACCCAAATGCCCCGGCAAACCTGGAACGCGAGTTTCGTGATCTCCAGAAGCGAAAGAGCGGCAGCACCCAACATGCTCTGCTGACTTGGTTTGTTAAACTCCACGCTTTCTATGCCCAGGGCAAGGAATTCGCCGAGCGTAAGGAGCTCGAGAGCGAGGTTGATCATCGCTTCGCTGTGGCGATGAAGACGGGAACGGGCTACGGCTCAGACATGGATCTGTTCAAGATCGTTCTGATCAACATTACTGCGTTTGTTGCCGCTCAAGACAAGATCCGTGGTAGGAAATCACCGTTAGCCTGCTGCTGGTGTAATATCACTGACCGAACATAGCAAACTGGACCGAGGAGGGATCCATGGCCTGCCAGTACATCCTGCTTCTCAACGTCCGAATGATCCACGCGATTGCGCGCTTGCTCGGAGAGGAATTAGCAGATCTCATCAAGCGTGCAAGCACAGAGGTTCCCGCTTCTGGTTCCGGTGCTACATCCCAGGCGGAGAACTCGATGACCAAGTTCACCCCTGCATTCAACCGCGTCCTGCCGCTGCTACGCATTTACATGGCCTGGCTTTGTTACTACAGCTCGCAGCTGGTTGAATTCCAGGCTCACCTGGAACCGCACTTTGGAACTATGTGCACGACGCTGAGCAACACACTCACCCTCTTGTTTGAGTTGTTGGCGGTCAGACCACAACTTGGAAGCACCGTGCCGTGGCGCTTTCCTGAGGATGAAATGACTCTTGGCATACAGTGCCTCAATGGGCCAGAACTGCATAACGGTTGTCAGCTTTACTACGACGCATTTACGCTCAAGCCCAAGCCGCCCCGTGAAGACATTTCTGGTGCTAACCACACGGCTGACGACGTCACATTCACTCGTGCGCTCGACGTTCTACTGTGTGCGCTTGATGTATCAGCACCGGAGTCAAAGTTCCCATTTACTACCTCCACAGCCACGAAAGGATCCCGGGAGCTCACGAAGTTCGTATATCTAGAGGGCGGCAAGCCGATTCCTACTCCAACCGTGCCACCCATTCAGCACCCGGAGCCTACGGACGTTCCGACCACCGCTGAACAGGGGCGCCAAAGGCCAGTTGTGGCCCCGAGTCCGTGCGAGTCTAATGAACTTTCTGAGGATCGGGACTTCTATGGGCCAGATCTGCGGAAGGCTGGGAAGGGTACTTACAGTAGCAGAGGTGGAGCCGCTACCGGCACTATACAGGCAGCACCTGCTACCGAGTATCCGATCGAGAAGCAGCTGTTCCAGATACTCAACGACTTCATGGCGCCACCAGAGTCTTCCCACGCGGCCAAGCCCGAGACGCCCGGCCGTTCTCATGCGCGGACAGACTCGTACGGAATGGGCTCTGCGGCAGTGGCTGAAGCCTTTGCATCTGGCGACTCGGCCAGTCCCGCGCCTGGCTCGGCTGGGATGAAGCCAATTCCGACTCTACCTTGGGACTACTTCTACAAACCGGCACCCGTTGACCCGGCTCTACAGCAGTCTGGCTCTAGCGGTACGGGCTCTGGTTGGGGGCCCAATGGTGCAAGGTTCTCTCGCCCGGCGAGCTCTGGGAATGCGGCGCAACTTAGAGCCGGATCAACTAACAGCAATCCACTGCGTCAGATGCATCAAAGGTACGACAGTCTGGATCAGGCAAGGCTCGGGAACCAAACGGAGGCGCTCCGGTCTCTGCACTTGAGCTCGGACAACGTTGGCCAGTATCAGCAGGGCTCTGCTAGCCAGGGAATGTGGTCAGGGGCCCTCAATGGAGAATCGACCACTGCGCGGGCAATGCCGTCCAACCCTCTACAACAGAGTCCCTGGCCGTCTGCCAACCCATGGCAAACGACCTACGGTCAAAACCATTCGCCCAACAACCGAGTGCCCAACTCGTCCTTTTCGAGCCTTGAGTTTTCTGCCAATACCTTGAGCCTCCCCCAGGTCAATAGCCCGTGGGGCGTGCCGACGGCAGCTCAGAGGTTCTCTGCGGCGCAGCAGTCTCCATCTACCTCTGCCTCGCTCGGCGTCCATCCCGGTGTATCGGCTTCGTCCTCGTCCGGCAGCAGATTTCCGAGCGCCTACGCCGCTGCAATGGCCGGCGAGCCAGCCGCGCAGCGTCTGACTACTCCTTGGCCTGATGCCCGCCAGCCGCGGTCCGGCGTGAATCCCGCACTTGCGGGAGGAGACATTTGGGTGAATCCGATCCGAAACCCTGCCGTGAGCCAGACGGCGAATGGGGAGCCGGTGATGCAGGGCATGCCCAAACGCTGAACGTTGCGAGTCACTTATGATGTCCACTCCATCGTTCAGGCATGGCCGTTCGCTCGGTATTCTGCCGTGTTTAATGGGTCCTCTGCGACACCCGGCAGTAGTGGGAGCCAGATCACCAGTCTCTAGGGCAGAGAACAAGGCGAAAGGAGCTGTTACGACTGGTCGGGAATTGGCCGCGATTGCGACCCCAGGGAGACGGATTCGTTCCACCCACACTGTCCTTGCTTGGTCTGCATACAGCGGGCGTCTAAGGGCTAGCCCGGCCCTTGACTTGGCAGGACGTCGCCACATTGCGTTCCGAAGTGGCCTGTTTGTGTGCAAAAACAGCTTCTGCGCTTCGCGGGCCAGTTCAGTTTGCGAATTTGGGGGCGAGTGGGTGGAGGAGAAGAACAGGCTGATATTGAGGAAGTACCCTCTCTCTGCTCCACTCTATCTTGTCCTCATCCTGTTTGTACTGTCCATCGTTCCCCGGAAATGCGTTGAATGCATCTGCTGAGATGCAAGCTGCAGGTGGGAAGTCATCAAATTGAATCTCTGTTCTTGAACACACACATTCACAAGGTCATCAATGTGCCTGCTTTCTTCGTTTCCGGAGACACGCTGTGTACAGAAGCGAAATGATCAAAAGCCAGGATGGAGATGGCATCTTTAAATTCATCAATCATAATCCAACGATGCTTCATTCCCGTTGTTGAAACCTCTTGTCTACCCTTGCCTGCCTGTATTTTCCCTTGCGCCGCATATGCCTTTCAACGCCTGGTGTGCCAAACCGAGGGAAGGTGGAACTTCCCCTCTCTCATGACTTGGTGTGATTATGTGGGAAGATTCTGATGAAGTTTCTTCTGCCTCACTCACTCGCTTCCTTACTTCTGGCGAGTGTAAGTCTGCTTGGGGAAGGGGTAGCTGCGATGAGTGGTTAGTCCTGCCGTTCTGGCATTCATGAGTTCATGAATAGGAAATTGTATGCTACGCAAAATAACCACCCCCCAACTCCTGCTCGCGGCTTGCATTTGAGAGGTGTGTGTGTGTGTGTGTGTGTGCGCGCGCGGACGAAAGAGGACTTAGGCATGGGGTAAGAACTTACGAAGGACCAAGCTCCTGAATGCTCAGCCGCGCCAGCCACTGGCCCATGTCAACGCACTCATCCAGCGGGCGCCCCTCGACGACACCGGCGCAGAAACCGCCGGCAAACGCATCGCCCGCACCGTTGGTATCGTTGATCTTCTCTTTCGGGATTTCGTGCACCGGGTACTCCTGGACCTCGTCCTCACCCTGGACCGCGACGACGGTGGGGTCGGTACCCTGTGTGATGATGGCCACGCGCTTGCGCTGCGTGTTCGCCTTGGGGAGGTTGGCCAGCGCCTTGGCAATTTCCTTGACGTCCGTGATGCCGAGGTTGTGAGACTCGGCGTAGGCTGCGGCCTCCGTCTCGTTGCCGATCACGTAGTCCCAGTAAGGGGCGGACGCATCGAGGGGCTCCTTGAAGAATTGCGGGATGAAGGGGGCGGAGAGGGACAGGATGAAAGGCTTGTTCTTGGTGGCGGCTTGGTTGGCGAGCTCCATGATGGCAGGTGGGCAGACTGGAGGATGTTTAGCCATGAGAGCCGGTGGGGGGAAGCAAAAAAACCAGGAAAACTGACCAGTGAAGTGGTAGCCGCCAATATAAAACGCCTCAGCGTTCTCGACAAGGGCCCAAATGTCAGGGCGCTTGAGATGCTCCAGATCGTAGTGGTTGGCGGCACCCAGATCGGTGCACATGCTGCGGTTGTGACCAGTGATGACGACGCCGCAGCGACCCGTAGGGATCTTGGGATCAACGCGGTACTCAACACGCAGACCGGCCTGCTTGCAGGCGTCGCGAAGGATGGCGGCGTACTTGTCATCGCCAGCGCCACCGAGGTAGACAACACTGTTAGGAGGGAGCAAGTACTGGGCACCGCGGGCCGTGTTCTGGGCAGCGCCGCCGGCAATCAACTTGGCATCGTAGTTGTTGAGGAGGTCCTCATAGATGCCTAGGTGCTTCGGCTCGGCCAGAATGGCGTCATTGGCCTTGAGGTCGTACTTCTTCAGCAGCTCTTCGTTGCCGAAGGCCTGGATATCTGTGGGGAGCGCTCATGTCAGACGGGAGGTTTCGGAGACCGAGACTGATGATAGGGGAGAGTATGCTTGGCCGCAGAGGGGTAATATCCTTCTGCCCACTCAATTGAAGGCAACGTAGCTTAAACTCACCGAGGAGAGGGTTCTCCAGGCAGAGTAGTCTGTACTCCTTAGTGGACGCCATGTTGCTGAGCCGGCGGGTGCGGTGAAGGGTGTTGTAGTAAGGGAAAAGATTTGGGCCCCTCTTTTGTTTCGTTGAAGAACAACACCAGCTTATCCTGATGCGGGGCAGTGAAATGGCGGGGTTCTGGAAGCTGCTACCGCCGTGTTCGGCGAAAGCTCTCTTGGTGAAACCACAGGTGAGAGGCTTGGCAAAGACGCCAAAGTTCGAACATACCGTCGATCCTACTCTGAACATGACGAACGGCGCGAGGTGAGTTATCTGTCACTAACTTACTGACATTTGAGAGAAGGTCGGGGAAAGCTCGCCTTAAGAAACACCTCAAAGTAACTTATGTAGGACATGTGCCCACATTCATTGACGTCAGGAGATGGGCCGCTGCACGGCGGTCAATCTCGTCCTTTCGTTTATCCCAGGGTGACGATGTCAGCCGATTCCTAACCTCCGCCTAGACCACGCCGCAGTCACGATTCAACTATGATGCCTCGCTTGTTGCCCCGGAAGCGAGGAGTGCGTGCCTGCTTGATTCCCAAGAGTGGTCCTGACTGCATGTCTCGCTCGCCTTTGATCTGGCGACCCCGGATATTTGAGTACATTGCCCTGTAAACAAGCCTCGTCCCGGCCGCCTTTGGGAATCTTCCATTCATTTCACGGCCATGAATGCTTGCATGAAAGAGCAAGTCTCCCGTCCGCCTTCGCAGTCCCATAACTACAAAGCAGCAAAAGACCAATGCAATCCGATGAACCCCTTGCCCAGATGTAGAACCATAAAAGCCTTTACTCCTTCGTCTTCTGGGTACCACGCAGCAGACCCGTCCTTCTCGCAGCAATAAGACCCGCCTTCTGACCCTGGGCGGCATACCTCGAGATGGTCGACGCCTTACCAATGTGTTGATGGTTACCCTGTAGCGCCTTGTCAGATATAAAACGTTCCCAGGCCAGCCTCCAGATTCTCCAGCACTTACACCACCGTGGGGATGGTCAACCGGGTTCATGGCAACACCGCGAGTCTTGGGCCAGCGGTTGCGCTTGACAGCGAACTTGTGCTTGGCGCGTGACGCCTCTGTAACACTCCTGTCAGAATCCTGATCCCACGCTTTTCCCCATAGAACTTCCACCAGCGGCCGCGGTAGCACGTACTCAGGAGAGGCTTGTCTGTCCTGCCGCCACCAGCGACGATACCGATCATGCCACGGGCGTTGCTGCTGACGACCTTCTTGGCGCCGGACGGGAGCTTGATACGGGTCTTGCCCTCATCGGGGTTGTGGCCGACAACAGTGACGTAGTTGCCGGAGGTGCGGCCGAGAGCACCACGGTCACCGGGCTTCTCCTCGACGTTCGAGACGACGGTACCTTCGGGAACGGAAGCGAGGGGCAGGATGTTGCCGACGGTCAGGGCCGCGTTCTTGCCAGCGTAGACGAACTGGCCGGTGTACATGCCCTCGTTGGCAATGAACGTCTCGGTGACCTTCTTAAACTTGTAGGGCGAGTTGAAGACAACGCGGGCGAGGGGCGCACCACGGCCCGGGTCGTGGATGATCTCCTTCACGATACCCCGGAGGTAGCCATGGCGCTCTGCATAGTCGAGGCTGCGGAACTTCGCCGGGGCCTTCCGCAGACGCGTGTTGGCAGTGAAAATGCTGCCACGACCCTTACGCTGGTTGCGGATCTGGATTCAAAAATAGTGGTCAGTACGCTCTCCAATGCCCAACTTTGCCGACTCATATATCATTCTCAATTCGTAGATCGCTCGGCATAGTCGACGTCTCGGTGTCGGATCTCGTCGAATGATTCGGGTGTTGGAAGAGCAGAGTTCACTTACGACGCGACCCATCTTGCCCTTCCTACTTGGAAATGTGGAAGTGACGGGGTTGACTCGTTGATGAAGGAGGTTGAGGTTGCGACACAGAAAGCTCCAAATCAAAGAAGCGATAATTTTCCCAAATTTCTGTGTGGATGCAGCCGCCACAGCGGACTGGTGTGGCTTGCCCCAGCGAGTGCCCTAACTCGGGGAGGCGGTGTGGCGCTTTGAAGTGGGTCCACCTAAGCTCTGCCGTCATCGGTTTCAAGTGTCAACACCAAGATGGGATCCTCCTTCTGGCCAAAGAAAGCCGTCCATGAATCATGAAGCCAGACGCACGTATGTACGTACGGTAAGGCTCAAGGAACGAAAAGATGTCATTCCGCTTTTCATTTTAATCTCTTCTATTCTCTTTCCCTTCCACCTCCTTATTCTGTTACCTTCATTCGTTCTCCTTCCTTCTCTGCTGTTTTGCTCGATCCGTCGCATAAACCAACGGGGTCTGCCTTTTCTGTACGGAGCTTTGGCCCAGGGTGGGTCGCTTTGAAGGTCGGAGTCAGCACTGGCTTTCCATGTTGTCACTCCGAGAGCAACGCTTTTAAAATGACCTTTTGTGATCGTGTTTGAAAGATTGTCAATATTTGAAAGTCCACTAAAAATGCGACTATCCGCCGCAATCTCAGCATTCCAGTTGACTTGGCCGAGCTACCATCTACGTCGTCGACGGTGCAGGTGACAATTGTTGGCTGACTCTACACTGGTACCTTACTACTAGGTACCGTCGCTAGGTACCGTCCCTACCTTCGGACGTGGATGGGCGATCAGCTGCCGCGGCCCGAACATGTGCCTTGCTTGAACCTCATCCTCTCCGCCTCACGACGTCGCGAATGGACGTTCTCCAGCATTCAGGACATTGAGCATCAACAGCCAATTCAATAAGCTATACAACCGATATGCAAATCCCGTGCTGACATCTATTGTACTTGGCTTCTTGCTAACAAAAGTATAGGTTCTAAATGGTTACGTGTTTGATGAATCGCCTTCGTGTTTGCTTGAGACTTTACTTGGCGACTTCGTGGTGTCCCTACGATTAATCGAAGATAGACGCGTGGCTCTGCTGCGCGGGGCCGGTCGCAATCGAGGGATATAGGGCGCACTCCTAACGCTGCTCAAGCGATTGAGAATACGGGCCCTGTCCATTCATCACTGAATCTCGAAACACCCAACCACTGAGCGGATGTTTCTGCAATATTACAGGGCTGCGTTGCAAGTGCAATGCGCTTTTCGAGTGGCCAGTGCCGGTTGCTGTCATGTGTTTTTTCCTTGCTCTGCGCTGTCCGTTCCCAAGAGCAGCCGATATCTGGTCGCCGCGGTTGCGCCTGTCTGCGCAAGTCTAGACGAGCGTCACTTCATCTCACTGCGTACGGTGTGGCTGAGGGAGCAACGGAGGGTTGTCCAACGCGGCTGTGGAGATGATGCGTGGGTGGCTCCTCCGCGCTGGTTCTGCTCAGCTGCCGCAGAATCTAGGCTGGGAACGACCCGCGCTTGCAAGTCAAAAAAACCAAAGAAGGGGCGCTCGAGTCGATGCCAACAGAGTAGTCGGCAAATACAGCTGTCTAAGGTTTTGGTGAGGCACAACACCACGGTTTTGGAGCTGGATGCGGAGAACAACCCGGTTTATGTATGGGCTTCACGGCGTGGACCGGTTTTGTGAGGGCGAATCTGCCGGCACCGCAACCCTGCTGTCCCACTACAATGTCGACCTCCGTTGTCAACCCCCGGCGATTCTGGCACCGGCTCGACTAATTTACAGCAGGAGCTCTGGGCCGGCGACCGGTGTCGGATGACAATCTGTCCTGCCAGCGCTTTCACTTGGCAGAGACTGGGCACATGCGTGCTTGAGGAATGACGCTGGGAGAGCCGGTTGTTGAGGTTTTGGCCAGGAGAGAAAGTGGGCGGCGACTTGTAGGAAATGGCGGAATGGAGGTTGGCACGGAGCTGGGCGAGGCGCAGGAAGAATGGCCTTGATGGCTTGCTTTCTGCTGGGCACTGGCAGCACGGGCAGCCTTGTCGACAGGAAGTAGGATTATAACAGATGCCTAACCTGATTTATATTGTATGGATTCCGCCTATCACGTTTCCCGGCCGAAGTGAAAGGTAAGCTGGGAGGGCCCGGGCCGTTGTCGCCCAGTACGTAATTTCTTGCAGCCGATCTCTCCATCAACTTTAGTTCTTCACCCTTCCTCCACTTCCCGTGCCAGGCCTTCATCTTAACAACATCCACCGACCAAGGCTGGCAAACCAACGTTAAAATGGCCGAGGACGATTCTTCTGAGTTATCTTCGATTTCGTCTCTGTCGGAGCCGCCTTCAGAAGATGAATTCGATATCCAATTAGAGGAGCAGCATGGCATCCTGAAATTCTTCCACAAGGTCGACAAGAACCCAGCCTTAGAGCCCAGGGAAAAGACGCCGCCGAGACCCAAGCGGGAGCCCTCTCCGCCACATGAATACGTCCTAGCAGATAACCCAGACATTGCCGTACGTGTCTACGCTGTTCATTCGCGTTTCCACCGCGTGGCAACGCGAGAAATCGCACCCTCAACCCGCCAAACTCGAGGCTAACGTTTAGGGCCGCAGTTTATTGTCATGTTCCGCGCGCGGTTCACTGAAGCATTTCCGAAGAGTTTGGCGAATTTCGGACCCCAAGAGCTGGAGCGCGATGTTGTCGAGCCGATTCCAGGCGAGCGCGTCGAGCACTTTCTCTGCGCGCTTCTGAGCTTGCTCTTGAACCGCAAACAAGATGTCAAGTGCGTGCCTCTGTTGAAAGGCGAAGAGGAAGGACCGGTGACAGATATACTGACTCTACTTGACATAGACCTGGCCATTACGACCGCGCTCTCCAAGAAGCCATACAGGTGCACCAAAAGGAATGGGCGAAGGACTGGGAGAGTAAGAACCCACTCGCAGGGCAGGCAACATTTTCCTCAATGACGCCGGTGCAACGGGTATGTACCATCTCCTGGCCTCTCTCACAAAGCACTGTGTGGCACGTTGGCTCTTTGGCAGCATCTGTTAGGTTCGGGTCGGTTTGCTAACATGGTGTCACTAAGCTCACACTATTGCGCACCCTCGTACAATGGACTCTTTCATCGTCAGACGCGGTCAGGACGATTATCAGCCAGCAATACAAAAGCCGACACGACGACGATCTCAACATCCCTCTTAGCGTTCAGCCCTGGGGTAGCGATGGCGACAAGCGGCGATACTTCCTGGTCCAGGGAAATGACGACACTTCGTTCCGCGTATATAGAGAAAGCAATCCGGCTGGCTTGCAGAGAACATGGTGGAGCGTTGCTGGCAGCATTGACGAACTCAAGGCGCTCGCCGAGAAGCTTGAAAACCGGGACGGCGGTCCAAAGGCGAAGACCTTCGCGAAGAGGATTATGAACAGCATCCCGCTATTTGAGGCGACAGAGGAGAAGAGGCGGCGCAGGGAATACCGGCAGATGCGCAAGGAACAGTTCAGACGACCAGAGCCTGGCTTCTCGCTCTACGAGGGTCGCACAAGAGGCAAGCGCATGAAATACACATACTCAGACGACGAGGGAGACTTCTTCTCAGACTCCACAACACGCCGTTCGACCCGCAACACCAGGCAGCACACACCTGCGGAGCCCAGAGGCCCAGTTACAACTGCCAGCGGCCGGCAGGTTCGGGCGCCGAATCGGCTGAACGCGGAGAACGCGAGCGACGGGGCGCCAAGTGCCAACAACAGCGTACAGGGAGATGGCGAGCATCCGGATATGAAGTCCACTACCCGCTCGGGGCGTCCTCAGAGATCCGCCGCTGTTAACCACGGCATGAATGGCTGGACAGCTAGGAAGCGGAAGAGCGAGGAGTATGAATCTTACGAGTCCGAAGAGGAGGAGGGCAGTGAACCCGATTTTGGGGACGATGAGGAGGACGAGCACGTCCCGGACGACGAGGAAGAAGACGAAGAGGAGTTTGAGGAGGAAGACTTGATGGACGAGGAGGGTCTAGACAGCGGCACGCACAAGTCTAGCTTCATCTTCAAGTTCCCGATCAGAGTCGCCTTTGACGAAAACAACAAGGTGCGGCAAATCCCCGGTCCACCGGTGGTAACCGAGAAACACAAGCGCCCTAGGGCGGCGCACCGAAATGTGGTCGTTAGCGATGAATCCGAGGCTAGCGACGCCAGCCCTGCGGAACCCCTCGTTACGGAGCCCGAACCTCCCGCCGCCGAAGTCATTGCCGTCGCCACGAAGCGTATGACACTGGCGGAGCCCGCCGACAAGGTGGCCAGAGCCGATGTCGTTCAAGCGGCTGAACCAGCGGGGAAGTCGGGGGATGATGCAGATCAGCCTATGACGAATGCCGCGGCGGTGGTCAAGTCACCTCCGACGCCCTCGAGCCAGCAGACAACCTCCATGGCTTTTAGGGGCAGCCCCGAGGTTCCCAGGTCTGCTCCTCTTTTTGCCGACATAGACCCCGCTAAGTGACGGGAATTTTGGGGATGTATTGTTTCTTAACGAGTCTGGTATGAGAAAGGCGTTCGGCACTATGTTAGCGCATGCGGCAGAGCACGAGAGAAAGAAGTCTAGCGGCATGAAGGCATTTGGGCGGTCTGTCTCATCCAAAGACGGAAGGCTCTTGGGCTACGGGAGTGGGCGGCAAAACGGGTTTGTATCTGATATGCCAGCAGACTCTTGGTCCGTAATAGATTTGTTTTATCCGCAACATTCTAGCTACCTGAGAAACCCAGGTTTTACTTAGAATGCTAAGGGCTGCAGAATGACGGGCTATGTTGAGTTCTGGGTTGGTATTACCATATGCCCCTCTACCACGCCCTTCTCCTTACACCGACCTTCCGTTCGGGTGGTATGGGCCAGTTGTTAACTCCATACCACCACCTTCTCACTCTCGCCCCGATTGATGACCCATGGATCTGTGCATTTCGGTTCCAGTACTGCCATCCACAGATAGCCAAGTTGTAGAGGATGCCCTGCACAAGCGGCATCATGACCTGTTGCGCACTAGTATTAGCCCAGCTTTCTTCTCCCCAGCCTCTATCCCATTGGACTAGGGACAGGCCGAGTAAGCAAAAGAACCCTTACTTGATCCCTCACCGTAATCCACCCAACCTTCCACCACGTATCCGCATTCCGTATGCTCCACAAGTAGCTCTGCTCAAAGCGCAGGTCGGGCATCGGCGGGAGGTTGTGCCGCCGCGGACGCGGCGTGATGCGCGATCTGTAGAACTCGTCTTCCTCCTCTTCCTCCCCTTCTGTGCCCTCGGTCACATCATCAATGCCGCCATCGTCGGGGAAGACCGGCTCGAGGCGGACGGGCTCCTTCTTAGAGGTTGCTGTTGACGGGTTCAGATCGTGTTGGGGCGATGGGTCGCGCTGGAGATGTGCGGTTTGGACCGTCTCGGCTACTTGGAGAGGCAAGGAGCTGGCCATTGCGCCTTCTGTCTGGTTTCTGAACGACTAGTGGCAACTTGAATCTACCACGTTGCGTGGCTTAGTACAGAGCTGAGTATTGTCGGTCTCGAGGGTACAGTGGGTCGAGGTCGAGATGCTGTTGAGCACGACGAGGTCTTTGTAACATCAACGCATCATCTGGTCAAGCTAAGAACCCCACCAGATGAGATGAACGCAGCTAAGAGAACTGTGGTACGGATACGTAAGGTAGGTACCGTTCCTAGTATGTATTGTACAATACAATACATACTCACAGTACAACCCCAGTTTAAGAGTTTGATATAGTTTAAACACTTGGTGGAGTTTTAACTACTAGTACTAGTACCTTACAATCCTCAAGGCTGCGCAAGCTTTTTGCTCGTTCATCCTCGGACCTATATATATGTATACACTAATAAACACTTGAAGTGAACAGGCTGATGCAATCCCATCTCAACCTCGAAGAATGAAGCAGGCCCCACATCCTTCACAGGAACTGACGCCAAACCTGGCCAACAAGCTGTTCGCCAGGGTCCGGAACCGTAAAGACCAATGACAGATCGATTTAGGCTGCCCAGCGGGGTCTATGAGCCACTGAGCGCCACTCAGCCCCCAGCCCATAAAAAGCTTCATCAACGGCGAAACCCCTCTCACATTAAACCCCACCACATCCAGAATTCAGGTTTCAAAGACGAGAGCCTGCTACATTAGAAAAACGAACGTCTGCTTTTCTCTTCGTGAGGAGGGGTTAGGCGAGATCTACCTTCCAAGTTTTTGTTTTCGCACCATCCTTCAACATGAGCGACCCTAACGCCAGCGAGGCGGAGAAGAACGTAGGTCGCGCGCGAAATTCAAGGCTGGCACCACAGTTGTCGCTGACAATCCGCCCGACAGATTGAGATCTGGAAGGTGAAGAAGCTGATCAAGCGCCTTGAGGCTGCTCGTGGAAATGGCACCAGCATGATTTCCCTGATCATCCGTAAGTCACTCCGCCATTCGGCACGGGGTGCCGCACCCACCTTAAATGTCGAACGCCGCTGACAAACCCCCCTTGTCAGCGCCGAAGGACCAGGTCTCTCGTGCAGCCAAGATGTTGGCTGAAGAATACGTATGTTTCTCCATACTGCCTGCCACAGTACTGGGGCCATTCTAGACGCGATCTAACCCGGGTCAAAGGGTACCGCGTCGAACATTAAGTCGCGTGTTAACCGCCAGTCCGTCCTGTCGGCCATCACATCGACACAGCAGCGTCTCAAGCTGTACAACAAGGTCCCGCCTAACGGCCTCGTCGTATACTGCGGTGAAATCCTGACTTCGGAAGGCAAAGAGCGGAAGGTCAACATCGATTTCGAGCCTTTCAAACCCATCAACACCTCCCTCTACCTCTGCGACAACAAATTCCACACCGAGGCCCTTGCCGAGCTGCTCGAGTCGGACCAGAAGTTCGGCTTCATCGTCATGGACGGTAACGGCGCGCTGTTCGGCACCCTCAGCGGCAACACCCGCGACGTCGTCCAGAAGTTCTCCGTCGATCTTCCCAAGAAGCACGGCCGTGGTGGTCAGTCCGCTCTGCGTTTCGCGCGTTTGAGAGAGGAGAAGCGGCACAATTACGTCCGCAAGGTGGCCGAGTTGGCGGTGCAGAACTTCATCACCAATGATAAGGTCAACGTTGCTGGCATTGTCCTGGCCGGTTCTGCCGACTTCAAGAACGACCTCAACGCGTCGGACATGTTCGACCAGCGTCTGCAGGCCAAGGTCATCAAGGTGGTGGATGTGTCGTATGGCGGTGAGAACGGCTTCAACCAGGCCATCGAGCTGTCGTCCGAAACACTGGGCAATGTCAAGTTCATCCAGGAGAAGAAGCTGATCGGCAAGTACTTCGAAGAGATCAGCCAGGACACGGGCCGGGTCTGTTACGGTATTGAAGACACGCTCAAGGCGCTGGAACTGGGCGCTGTTGAGACGCTCATTGTCTTTGAGAACCTTGAGGTCACCCGCTGGGTGCTGAAGGATAGCAGCGGCAGCGAGATCATTCTGCACACCACCAAGCAGCAGGAGCAGGCCAGCCGGGACAAGTTTATGGACAAGGAGACGGGACAGGAGATGGAGGTGGTCTCGCAGGAGTCCTTCCTAGAGTGGATCGCAGAACACTACAAGGATTTCGGCACAACTCTCGAGTTCGTCTCCGACCGGTCGACCGAAGGCAACCAGTTCGTCAAGGGCTTCGGCGGCATCGGAGGCATCCTCCGGTACAAGGTCAACTTTGAGCAGTTAGCCGAAGTGGACGACGATGATGACTACTATGACGATTGACAGTTTGATTCCCTCGTTGAGCACGAGGGACACGGAACCGAAGCCATCACGTCCGAGCCGACGAAACTGCATGCCGACCAGGCCGGCGCCGCGCCGCGGAGCCCGGGGAAACTCCCGCTCGCCCAGCGGCGGCTGTTGAAGGGTTTCAAGGAAGCCCCAAGTCACAGCCACCAGGTGTCGCGCCCCAGCCCGCTCCGCTCTGTGATGACGGCTTCTTGAGTTGAGGCGGCGGATTAGGAGGTGCGTCGGGATTTTCCATAACCAGCACCCCCTCAGGCCTTTGCTGATATCGTTTCCGCAGGATGTTTGCCCGTAAGACCGGGAAGTCGGACAAGGTCATTGCAGGGCATCAGTCGCAAGATTGATTTGGACATGCTTGGGGACATGCGCTGGTCGGGGTAGCGGCAGCTCCTGGTACGCGGACAGTCGCTCCAAGCCACGCAGTGTCTGTTCGATCTTTACTGTCAATCCGGTATATCGTGGAGAGAGGTAGCTAGTGGCAAATCGACGCTCGTTTGAGAAAATCCTCCCGTTGCGGTGACTACTAGTATAGGACGATTTAGTAGCCCGGTGAATGCGGTTAGAACCTCAGGCTGGTGTCCATCACCCCCTGAGGTAGAGGTTTACATGTGTACCGCACCGAAACGGTAGTAGAGACAGTGGAAGGCCGGAGCCGAATTCGGCTGCTTTTTCACATCCTGCGGGGCCTCGCGCGCAATTTTCAAGAGTCCGATAGTGCAAGGCGGGGTCTGTGAGTATTAAACTGATCGGCCCGCTCAGGGGCGACTTTCAAGCTCCGGTCATCGAACCAACTACTACACCGTTACCTCGTGTCAATGCCCGAACTATCCTCGGCGCAAGTTGATTTGACCGGCTCCTAGCAAACTTGTCCTCGTTTTGGCCGCCTCTGCGCTGATATGCTCATGTAGCCCCGGAAAGCTAGGGTGGCCATCATTTCCACTCACCCGTTATGGCAACACCGGGCATGTTGCACGGCCCAAGGCCGGAGGACCACAACTCCAACAGGGCCGTCGCCTTCCTCGGCCCCCTCAATTCCTACTCGCATCAGGTATGAAAGGCCTCATTGTTGCAGCTTGCAAAGGCTCACCACCCCATGTAGGCCACAAAAAATGCCTTCGCCGAGGACAGTTGGCAGCTTGAGCCAACGGGGACAATAAAAGGTTCATAATGACTTCGTTCATCCCCAGCCCCAGCTTCGCCCAGTATGAGCAGCGTGTGTTGACTCCCGGGTGCAGAAGTCTTTGATTGCGTCCAGTCCAGCCGGACTGCCTACGGCGTCGTGCCCTTCGAAAACTCCACCCATGGCACGGTCACCTTCACGCTGGACAGCTTGGCCGACCGCGCAGGGGAGTACGCAGATGTTGTCGTCTGTGACGAGGTCTACCTCGACGTGCATCATTTCCTTCTTGGCCGCTTATTATCACCACCACCACCATCATCATCATCATCATCCCCATCGGCAGCGGCATCGGCATCGGGACCACCATCATCAGCATCAGCATCAGCATCAGCTCCAGTACCAGGAAGGGAAGAAGAGGGAAAAGAAGCCAAAAGGGGCGTCCCGCTGTCCCCCTTGTCCCACATCCGCCGCGTCTACTCGCACCCACAAGCCTTCGGCCAGACGAGCGCGTTCCGGCACCGCTATCTGGGCCACGCGGAATCCATTGACGTCAGCTCCACCTCGCGCGCCGCCGAGCTCGCCGCGGCCGACCCGGCCGGGGCCAGCGCGGCCATTGCGAGCGAGTGGGCCGGGAAAGCGGCCGGGCTGGACGTGCTTGCGCGGTGCGTGGAGGATCGCGAGGATAACACGACACGCTTCTTCGTCCTCCGCAGGCGGGAGGGAGGAGAAGAAGAAGAAGAAGTTGAGCAGGGAGGGGGCAATCCGGGTGGGAACGGGGTGCATCGGGCGTATGAGGGGGGCAAGTACAAGAGCCTGGTGTCGTTTACGGTGCCGCATCGGCGGGCAGGAGCGCTAGCGGATGTGTTGGATTGTTTTAGGGCGAGGGCGCTGAACTTGACCAGCATTAGCAGCGTGCCCAGCCTGGATGCGCCGTTTCAGTATCTTTTCTTTGTGGAGTTTGAGGGTAGCAGGTATGATGATCCCGAGGGAAGGGTCAGTGGTGTGTTGGGGGATCTGGAGAGGGTTGCCGAACGGTGGAGGTGGTTAGGCAGTTGGCAGAGCGGGAGGCAGAGGGAAAGGGCGTGAGCATCAACTGCTTGAGTCATGAGGGGCCACACAGCAGCAAGAGTTTAGATACCAGATGGGAAAGGAACAGGCAGAACCCTAACCCCGGTAACTAGTATCCGTACTGCATATCTCACCAACGATTCTCATTCATAACCCGACCTCATCCAAACAACACCACCCGTTCAGACCAAACTTGGCTTATACATATCCCATGTAATAATGCGTTCTCTAGTGCTCTCCCCGCTCTTTCGCCTTCGCAACCCACCACATCACACCCGTCACTGTCTCAAACAACCCCAACTCCTCGTCCCCAAAGAAAGCACCCTCAATTTCTCCTCCTCCTCACCATCGCCAACTCCCGAATTCAACCCGGACACCTACCTCCTCTCCGCCCAGTCCAAATTCGCCTCCCAACCGCCAACCATCATCCCGGACATCCTCTCCCCAACCCCGTCCCACTTGCTCACCCTCTCCCTGGCAGACCACATCCCCTCCCTCTTCCCGCCCGACCATGCCCTCAAGAGACGCCTACCATCGGCCCTGGCGTCGTCGTCGCCGGCAGAAGGAGAAGAAGAAGAAGAAGACCTCGTCCTCCCGCAGGGCCATCACATGGTCTATTTCCCCCTGCAGCTGTCCCCCTCACGACTGATGCCCGACGGCACCGACCCGGCGCACTGGCCCGGCGGGCCGTTCCAGCGGCGCATGTGGGCCGGCGGGGAGGTGGTCTTCCGTCCCGGCTGGGCGAGGGCGATGCGAGTCGACGGGAGGCGGGCGGTGTGCGTGGAGAGCGTGGGGGCACGGCCCGTGCTGAGGCAGGACGACAAGGTGTTTGTGGAGGTGCGGAGGCGGTATGGGGTTGGGGAGAGGGACGAGGCGAATGGTTGTGGGAGGGAGCGCATGTCGGATGAGGAGATTGCGAGGAAGATTGTGGACGGGGACGGGGATGGGGCTGTGATTGAGGAGGTCAGACGGTTGGTGTTTCTGAAGAGGCGGCGCGAAGGCCAGGAGGATAAGGCGGTGGTGGCGAAGAGGGCGGTCAAAGGTGAGGTTACTGCTGTTTTTTTCTTTATTTTCTCTATCTTGGTTATGGATACTTTCGGTGGTTTCTGGCTGACCGACACCAATCAGCCTCTGCCATACCCGAATTTGTCTTCCCCCTCAAGCCCGACGCAACCCTCCTCTTCCACTTCAGCGCGCTCACGTACAACGCCCACGCCATCCACCTCGACCCGGACTATTGCCGCAGCCAGGAAGGCTACAAGGGCCTCCTCGTCCACGGCCCGCTGAGCATGGTGCTCATGCTCTCGGCGCTGCGCGGTTGTTTGGCGCGGTTGCAGTCCCAAGCGCAGAAGCCCCGTCCTACTGCGGCCCGCAAGAGCAGCGCTCCAGGGGAGGAGGAGCAGCCATGGAAGACGCCTTATATCAAGTCTTTGAACTACCGCAACCTTGCCCCGCTCTACGTGAACGAGGAGATGAGGGTGTGCCTGCGGAGGACCAAGGCAGAAGGTGACGGTCTCCAGTGGGATGTGTGGGTTGAGGGCCCTGACGGCGGGCTCGCTGTGAAGGGGCATGCCGTTACAACGGATGTCGTCCAATAGCCAGTCAGGCAGGGCGTGAGAAGGGTGGTCTATAATGAGCTTTCCCAGACAGATGTCATGATGTCCCAACCAACTGACCGTTCACAAAAGGCAATGATGTAAAATTACTGATTACTACTTTCCAGTTTTTGATCTTTGGGTATCTAGATATGCATGTATCCTACAAGCGCAAAACACCGTCCGCTTTCCCCAGCCCATCCATACCTTACCACTATTATACAGTATTTACAGAGACATGCGAAATCGCATGGGCCAAAGTCGGCGCAGCCCAGAATGTTTCAAAACACGGACACGCTAAACGTCAAACCCGGCCGCACGGAAGTCATCCATCATCTTCCGGAACAGATCATCATCCCCTTCGAGCCTCGCCTCATGGGCCGGCCCCGTCGACTCGTCCACAACCCGGATCTGCGGTCGATCTTGGCCCGGGTCCTCCGCTGGCGTCTCGACCTCCGACACTGGGTCCAGCGTCTCGGTCGGGCTCTCCACCCCTCGGAGAACAGCATCACCGTTGTAGCCGGCGTCCCTGTCGTGCTGTGTCGGGGATGGTAGGGCGTGGTCAAGCGCGGCCTCGAACTCCTCCAGGGATATGGACTCGATGGAGATCGTCGGGAGATGGAGGGAACCCGCCGTGGTAGTGGTATTCGCGCGGGCGCCAGAGTTTCCGCTCGATGGCGGCCTAGCCGGGCCGGTGGGGGGCGGGGCCAAGTCCAGAGCGTTCCAACCGTCCTCGTCCGAGAGCAGGCACATCCCCGAGCTGTTGGTGCGCCGGTGGGTGTGGCGATGGGGCGACAACGGCGCCTCCTCCTGCCGCGGTGAAGCGGAGGATGACAATTTCGCCTCCGACGCGGCACGGTTCGCTTGCAGACGCGCCTCGAGAGCGGCAAACTGCTTGTCGAGCACCTCCCGCAGCAGCGACTCCTCTTCCTTCAGCAAGTCCCGGATCGCGACCGGGTTGGGGTTCCCAGCGGAGACGGTCCCCTGTGCCGAGAGGGCTACCGACGAGGGCGTGCGCTGCAAGCCGCGGAGGACGTTTCGCCAGATGGCGCGACGCTCGGCATCGGGGAAGGGGAAGTGGATGAGGGAGCTGTTGGACTGGACTGAGTCGACCAGGAAGCGCAGCGAGGTCAGGTTGAGGTTGTTGTCGCGGCAGTCGACCGCGAGGAGCGTGTTGTTCTCCGCGAGAACGCGGCCGAGAATGCCCGCATCGTCGTGCAGGTTCTGGTTTCGGATCCGGAGGTGCGTCATTGTTTTGTTCAGAGCCATCCCGCTGAGCGAGCGGCCGAAGCCCTTGGCTAGCTGTCCATCGTCGAGCTTGCCGCTAAATCCGGACAGGTCCAAACTCCTAATGGACGTGTTGCGTGCAAAGAAGTCGTGGAGCGTAGTGACCAGCTCTTCGCTGCATCGCCCGTGCGATGAGGGCGATGGGGCAGTGCCTGCAAGGCTCAGGAGAGAGAGGTGTTTTGTCTCTGTCAGTGCTCTGATCAGAGATAGGTAGTTGCTTTCGTCTCTAAATTCTATCATCTCGATCTCAAGGCCGGCGGGGCCTTTCTGCTCCCGAATGGCTGCCACAAGGTCTTCAATCCCGTCCTCGATAGGGTTGCCGCTAAGGCTGAGATGCACCCCGCAGTTCTCACCGACGGCACGAAAAAGTCTTGCTGCCTGTGAGCCTGTGATCCCGCAGTGGTTGAGAACTAGCTTGTGAAATCTCAAGGGTTGTCCCGTGTCTTCCCTAGAATTTCGATAGTGGAGGAACTGCTCCAGGTCCTGGAATGTCGCATCGTCGAGCTGGAAGCTGGTCAGCAGATCAATCTAGGGGGGCCGACTTGGCAGTAAGTAATGCTAACCTTATACCCGGAGATGTTGAGCTCCTCCAGCCGCTTCATGCATTCAAGCGCCGTAAATGGGAGCAGCGACCCATCCATGGAGCTCTCAGCCTGGATGGTACCACTCAGGTTCAGTTCCCTAATCTCGGTAAGGTACAGGAGCAGTCCGGGTAAGACGTGGGCGGGAAGGCGGCCAGGATTTCCGGATACGGAGAGCGATTGGAGCAGTCCTGTGGGCTCAGAGAGAGGCGACAGGATCATGTCCCGGAGACCTGCATCGTCGAGGCCGCAATACGACACATCGAGGGCTTGGATGGCTCCTATCTTGATCGTCTCCGCTGCAAAGCACGAGTCTCAGCAACCATCGAGACACTTTCAGGGGTGGGGGGTAGCCAATGCTTAATCTTACCAAGGCCGTCAACGTCGGACGGAGGCAGGATGTTCCCGCTGATGATGAGGCGGTTGCATTTCGTAATTCCCGATTTGAGTAGGTTCAGAATCGGCGCAAGGAACTGGAGGCTGTGGTCCTTGTTTTCATGTTGCGCCAAGCGGGAGGGAAGAGATCTGCTGCAGTTCCTAAGGTCGATCTGACGGAGCGTCTCGGAGCAGAAAGCCAAGGCGTGGAATTCCTGATGCAGTACGGGACTAGTTCTCAGCACCTCGATCTCTTCAGGGCCAAGAGCAACACCTGAGGAAGTCAGCAGATGAGCAACGCTCCCGAGGCAACGGAGCTCTTACAGGTACGGCTCAGGTAAGCGATGTTCACTCTCCTAAGCGTGTTGTCCTCGAGCCCGTAAAGCACTGACAAGTCGACATCCCTGAATGACAGTGAGTTGAAGTAGTCGTTGTATCGCAGCGCACGCAAGACCGCCAGCACCTGCAGGGGCGAATACGAGCCACGCCTTGCAGGAAGCAGCCGAAACTCGGGAGCAAAGCGCGTCTTCCAGTTGATCTCCCACCCGACAGACTCGCATCGATATGCCGCCAGATACGCATCGAGCGTCCGCTTGAAGCACCCAAAGTCTTCCTTGGGCACAAGATACTGTGGCTCTTTCAGTCCCGAGACGAGAAAGACCTCCCTGCTTTGCCACAGCTGCGGCCAGGCAGGCTTGAGGAAGCGATCTGCGGTCCCAAACGCGCGAGTGATCTGTCGATAGTAACGGCTTGATAGCTCGAGCGTAACAGGGGCTTTGAAAGGGTCACTGGCTTCTATTAGCTCCAACGTGGGCCCTCCAGCTCTCGGAATCACAACATCTTACCGGAATGTGATGTTGAAGCGCTCTTCATGGAGTTCCCAATTCCCTTCAAAGCACTCCAAAGTGACCAGGCCGTACGTCTTATGTCGGCAGATGGGGTCTCCGGTCTTCGGCTTCTGAATCTCAACCAGATGGCAGAAATAGGTCCCAATAACGAGGTAGAACGCAGGGCCTTCCTGAGACTTTTTCGTAGCATCCTCGAGTTTGGGCATGTATTCCCTCCGGGTCTGGCCCCGTGGAACAACCGGAAAGATGTCGGGCTTGCGGTGCTGGGACTTGGGCTCCTCAAACTCATGCACCCTGTCTAATAGTGCCTTGACGTTCCGTGAATGGAGCGCAGAGTCGTTCTCGTCCTGGTGATCAGCCCGCATGGCTCGGATGATGTGGGCCATCAGCTCGTTGCGTTCGGCGGGACTGTGGAAGAAGAAATCCGCGCGGCAGAACAAGTGGCTGGCGAGTGGGTTCCTCCACCACACTTCGAACCCGAATGATGTGCGTACGTTTTCTTCTATGAAGACAGACACGATTGAGGCCACTGGTACGACGAGCAGCGGCTCGGGGGCCGAGCTCCTGGTGCCATGCTTTCCTCCACCTTCCGTCGCCAATCCCGGAAAGAGCGCGAGAGCATCAGCGCGGTTCTTCGCCTTGACAAGGTACTCTCTTGTGACCACCAGATACGGCGTCTTGGTCTTCAGCAAATGTGTGTCTGACTCGAGCGGGCCGAAACCCTCGATATGCTGCGTTTCCCAGTTGACAGTCGAAGTCGAGGTCGCGTGGACTAAGCTTAGACTGTCGGTGGTGGAGAGAGAGAATCGACTACCGTCGGCGGAGATGGTCGAGCCACGGCGACTGTGAGGGCCGAGGAGAGACGAAGAGGACGGCGGTCTCTGTTTTGATAGCCTTCGGCTATGGTTGGGAAAGCTGCTGGCTCGTTCGGGGGCCAGATCCCGCTCCGTGTTGCTGAATGAGCGCCATGGCCGCCTTTTAATGGAGCTGAGCGAGAAGGTCTTGTGGTCGCTCTCGGGGTTGGCCAGGGAGCTTGGTACCGTTGTTCCGGAACCAGTGGAATCGGACCGGTCGAACTCGGGCACGCTCGTGGCTGCCGTGGGGCCGGGTCTCTTCATGACCTTCAGGCCCGGAGCAGCCATCACGGTGGGCCTGATACCATGCGTGGTCGTCTTCGATGCAGTGCGTCGGCGGTCCGGAGACGGCGTGTAAGATGCAACAAGGCACAAGAGGTGCAGGAAGCGACCGATGGAGTGGTGAAACGAGCTTCAGGTTCGCTATCTTGTCGTTTTCAAGAAGGGGCCGGATCTGATGAAGAGAAGAAAGATGCAAGTGCAGAAACTACGGTCGAAACGAACTGCCACTTGCTGCTCAGGGGACAGCAGCAAAACGTGAGTACCTTAAGTTGGAAGCTCGGATCACAATCCGCGATCGAGTTTGGATGGGGCCACAGTCCAGGACACGGTGCACACTGGAGGTACGGTAGCTTAGGAATATGAACGGCGGATGGGAAGAAGATTGATTCAGTAACCGATTAATGAAGCGAAGGAGAACTGGAGAAGACAAGCTACACAATTGTGGTAGCTACCACTTGCCTTCGTATTCCACCCCGGAAATACCTTCGGCAGCGGGGCGCAATTCGATCCAGGGCTGGAAGCATCGCTGCGGAGACTGTCGGTCGATGCAGGATGATGTTATCACACAACTGTCCAGGGAGTTTTGCTGGCCAACAGCATTGATGCTCAGATCCGTGCCGACCGGAACCCCGCTGCACGAGAACGTACCAATCGGCCGGTGCGGTCATTGACAGGGAAGCCAGTCTGAGGTGGGTGCAAGATCCGAAAGAGCAGTTGTCGATCAAAAGCTGCTAAAAACCCCGTCTGCTGTCTGCCGTCTGCTGCATTGCGTCCGTGAACTCATACGATGTGCAACAAGGTTTTCCAACCCGGCTCGACGCTTTCCATGTACATCGGAGGGCAAGAGCTTTGCCTTTGAAGTAATAAATGACCCTATGCGTTTGTTGTGCAATCAGTAACCCGCCACACCTGCGTCGATATTGGTAGACTTTTTGATGGAAGCTTCTATCGCCAAGAATTAATTTCAGATGGGCCTTATTATTACCGTTGCAGTCAGGTGCCCAGACCAGACTTCCTGTCCCTGACTGTGGCGCAAGCTTCATGTGGCTTAGTTGCCATGCGGTGTGGCTCAATACCTGGAGGTTAATGTAATGTATTGTACAATACTACACCGATACTACGGAGTACAGTACATAACATACTTCACGTCCCTCGGTTGAGTTTGCGGTGACGGCCCGTTGTCCAACACTTTGTTTCATGTTTAGATAACGATCACGCCTTATTATCTTGTGTAGTTAGTTACGTAGGTTAGTTGACTTCCATGAGCAGCCCCACTTCACAAGGGACGGTGTGCCTCTCTGCCTCCCGCGTGAAGAACGGCTCCTCGCAAATGTAGCTCCCTATGTGCAAGGATTTTCGTTCGAGGGGTTACCTAACTTACCATGTTTGTGATGGATAGCCGCGCGTCTTCTGACCGGGACCCATGAATACCTTGTACCCGGTAGGTACCTCTCGCCGGCCTACCATCTCGCCGACTCCCTACTACTGTGTACACTGTCTCCCCCTGAGCAGAACAATTGATACAGGAAAATCAATCCACCACCACACAAGTCACCACAGCTAGGTAAAAGCACATGCAATTTGAACATTAGCTATACTAATGGAAGCTAAGCAAGAATGTAATATTGTAAAAGGAAAGGGAGCATCATGAAGTGTTTATTTATATTGCGTCGTGGCTGATGTAATTGTGGTGTTCTAAGAACTGTGTAGGGTGCAGGGTGGGCCGACAAAAAAAGGTCAGCGGCACATCATCGGACCGTGGGTGCCGACTGTCCATATCGGCTGCCGTGCCAGAAGCTCTTCCAGAAGCTCTTGCTTTCCAGGCGCCGCTGAGCCGGTCAACACCAGGCCATGAACCCGATGACAAAACTTGAACTTCGTGCTCGACTTGCAGACCGCTCCTTGGACGCGACGATGATGACTTCATTCGCCGCTGGTCCATGCGCTGCCTTTGTGGTAGGCTTGTTAGCAACTTGCCTAGGAATGCCGAGGAGCCACTAACGTTAATACATAACAGAGCAAACCGGGGCTGCCTTGTCGGTGGTTGATGAAACAACTCCCGTTTCATCGCCATGTTTTTGGTCCGCTTTGCTCAACCTGAACTCTCGTCCATCCCGCTTGTGAACGATTGCCGCCTTGTTGCTTCCATCCTCCGAGATTATTCGTCCCACGAATAGCATACCTGCAGTCGTCAAACAATTCATGGCTATTATAGTACTATACATTCACCTCGAGCTAGAGGGACGGCCTTCAAGAGCAATACAACAGAGGCACTGAAATGACGGTTGTGCGGAACTTTCCTCTTGCCTTGTTCTCAAATAACTAAAAGGCGCTGCGAAGCTTTTCCGTTTTTGCAGCGTTGGTGCTAGACGGCTGATGGGCTAACAAAGAGCTTCCGTAACATGACACAGGTTAGAGGTGGCCTCGCTAGAAGACAAAGCCAACCCGCCGGTGCCATCTTGGTCCTTGTGATATATTCCGAGACGGCTAGTGTACAATACATACGTGATGAGGCTTCCTGGATCCTGACACATGCCGTAGTTATTCTAGACTCTCGTTACCGACAAGCGCTTTGGTTGGCCCGTGCTTGGTTTCATTTCAGGGGTCAGGCCAAGCGATGCGGAAGCTGCTTTGATGGCCTGTCCAATCCGACGTCGGCATTACTGTGTAGTTAACCTTAGGTGCCCCTCACCTTGACCTTTCGGAGGAAAGTTTGGAGGCGCGGACACCACACATTCGCTCCCGCCGCTGGACGTTCCCGAGCCAGCGCCCATCATCAGCCTGAATTAGCCCATGCCTTTCTCTCTGCAGTGAACCCCTGGCTGCGAGCCCCACTCATCCTCAGGGAATCCCTCATGAGAGAGCATGTCAGCGACCGACCACGCCGCTGAGCTGTTCCCGAGAACTTTCAGTTTCTCACTCTTCAAGCTCGCTGGTGTTTCGCCGTGTTGCACAGCACACCGCGTCAAACGCAGCTCCGTTGGCGGTCTGTGTTTTCTTTGTCTAACGGACAGTAAGGTCCTCCGCGGCCGCTTCAGCAGCCCACGCAGCCCGTAAAAGGAAACTCGCGTCATACTTCAATTCGCCGTGCCTGTCTAGAACCGACTCGGCCAATCTCACTTCTTGTCTGATTGCCAGGCGGAGGTCAACCGAACCCGGAAAAATACAATCTGCAAGACTGCCTCAGCAACCGCCAGCTTGGTTCTCCGCCATGGCGATGCTTGCATCGAAAACGTTCCCGGCCTCGCTGGGCTCCCAGCCCTCTGGCATCGTGGCCACCGCACCGCAATCTGCGTACCAACCTGCGAGGCGAGCCGCGGCAGCCCCAATGACGACGCAGAATTACGCCAGCCCGACCGAATCCGAGTTTGACGACGTCGATGGGCCCGATTCAGTGAAGAACTGGGACGAGGACAGGGTGTGCGAGTATCTGCGGAGCGTCAAGTGCGGCGAGTACGAGAAGGTGTTCCGCAAGAACCACATCAATGGCGAGAACCTGCTGGAGATAGACAAGGAAGTCCTGAAAGAGATGGGCGTCGAGAAGGTTGGAGACCGGGTGCGCCTATTCTTAGGTATCAAGAAGCTGCGGACAAAGACATACGCTAGCCAGAGGAGGCGGCATAGGGTTGGTCACCGACGCTGGATGCTAACCATACATGTGGCTGAGCGCTGACTGTTGCGTCCAGGATTCGTTTGCTGGCCTTGACGCGCAGTATGTTCCGTCGTCTTCCTCGCCTCGGCCCCCCGCTGCCCGCACGGTAGCGCAGGCACCGTCAAACAAGCGGTATTCTCGCCAGTACGATATCTCGAATGCTGCTCACATCGCCGATAACTCGAAGCCTTCGTCAAGACCTACTTCGCCGCTCCCGAGCGCCGACTACAAAACCAGCCGTCAGCGGTATGCGCAACAGCCGTCGTATGCCGGTCAGCCCACGCCTGCCTCGGCGAGATTTCCCATCTCTCCGCCCGAGCAGTCGCATTCGGGACGGTTGCACACAAGAAATCAGTCCAGTATGGATGGCTCGCTGATGGCCGCCTTGCCGCCGGGGCAAGACGTTATCCGCGTAATTTCTACAGGCGGCCTGACCAAAGTGGTCAAGATCGCTGATTGCAACACAATCGAAGAGGTCATGCGTGTTACACTCCGGAAGTTCTCTTTGAGGGAAGACCAGGAGAGAAACTACTGCTTCTGGGTTCTGAACGGCGTCGATCCGGACCCGAACCAGTGCCGTCGCCTGGGTGATACCGAGCTGTGGAGAGTCATCAAGGACCACACGCGATCGGAACGGAACCGCTTGATCCTCAGGCGCGTGCCCACCGGAGAACCAGGACAAGCAGAGCTCGAGAGAGCTGCGGCCATTGCTATGGAGGAAGCGCTACAAAATCAGCAGCGCGTCATGGAGAACATGGACAAACGCAGCCAGCTGAAGGCACAGAAGCTTCTCGGCGAAAACTGGGAGACAATACAGCCTCCTCTTTCACCTGCCTCCTATCAGGACCGCGAAAGATACAATACCGCCAGAGACCTAGAGCGGCCAGCGGTAATCGAGACGGCCCGTGCAGTCCCCCGCCGCAAAGGCTTGCTGCGTCAGTTCGGCGGGCTCAGGCCGCCAAGCGAGTTGATTGCCTCCGATCTCACCAGCTACTTCCCGGATCACTCTCGGGAGGCCATCGATAGGACAGCACGCATGTCCATGAGACGGTCCCAGCGTCTCAGCAGGGTCAATCATCGCCTTAGCGTGGCGAGCACATTGAGCTTCGCTTCGAGCATCCAAGATGTGCCGCCGATCCCAACCATTGCCGACAGCTGGCTGACCGCTTCCAACCAAATCGCCAAGGTTCGCCCACGCGAACCGCGGTTCGCCCAATACCGAGACTCGGTCGCCTCTTCGGTGCTTGATACGTTGCAGGAGGAGTCATCGTCGATCGAGCCCAACCGGAAATCATACGTGTCCTTCGCCGACAGTGGTTCGGATACGGCTGCGCTGAGCATCACTGATCCGGACGGCAACGTTGTGCGGCACAGTTACTTTGACGGGAGCACGACCGGCTCTGGCGGCTCTTCAATACAGGATGTCAACCAAGCTCTTACCGAGGACGGCGAGGATGCCGACGAAGAGCTACAGAGCTTCCTCGCTGGCGAGTCTTGGGATGACAGCAAATGGATGAAGGGCGCGCTGATCGGCCAGGGTTCCTTCGGCAGCGTCTACCTTGCCCTTCACGCCGTCACGGGCGAGCTTCTCGCCGTTAAGCAAGTCGAGACGCCGTCGCCTGGCGCGAACGGCCAGAACGATTCGCGGAAGAAGAGCATGATTGAGGCCCTGAAGCGCGAAATCAGCCTCCTGCGCGATCTCCGCCATCCCAACATTGTGCAGTACCTCGGCTGCGGCTCCTCGGCCGAGTACCTTAACATTTTCCTCGAATACGTCCCCGGTGGCTCGGTGCAGACCATGTTGAACTCGTACGGCGCGCTTCCAGAGCCGCTCGTCCGCAGCTTTGTCCGTCAGATCCTCAACGGCCTTTCGTACCTCCATAACCGCGACATCATCCACCGCGACATCAAGGGCGCCAATATTCTGGTCGACAACAAGGGCACAATCAAAATCTCGGATTTCGGCATCTCCAAGAAGCTAGAAGCCACCAACATCCTCAACGGCGCAAACAACAACAAGCACCGCCCCTCCCTGCAAGGTTCGGTCTTCTGGATGGCGCCTGAGGTAGTCAAACAGACCTCCTACACACGGAAAGCGGATATCTGGTCGCTCGGCTGTTTGGTGGTCGAGATGATGACGGGCCAGCACCCCTTCCCCGACTGCACGCAGCTGCAGGCCATCTTCAAGATCGGCGGCGCGAAGGCCACGCCCACGATTCCCGAGCACGCGAGCGACGAGGCCAAGCAGTTCTTGGCGCAGACGTTCGAGATCGACCATAATAAGCGGCCCAGCGCGGACGACTTGATGTTGAGTCCTTTCCTGACGCCGCCCGCTTAGCTCAGTGGGCGTCTCGCTTGGACAAAACTTGTCTAGATATTGCGCTAATCTCTTCTTTTTCTCTTTTCATCTCTTCGCTTCGTCGACACCCAGTGGTTAGTTAATTGCATTTGCTTTTTGCTCTGCTTTTTACAGGTCATGCGGAGCAAAACTCTTTCTCCGCTTTGGTCTTGGAGATGTACATTCTGTCCTTCTACTTCTTTTTGGTGTATATGTGCGCAGACTCTCTTTCTACTGGGTAGACGCGAGCGTGCGGAGATCTTCTGATGAATGTCACGAAATGGTTTAGTATGGCCCGGATGTCGGATACCTATTGAGGACATTGGATGAAAGGCCAGAAACAGCTTTGGCCTTGCGGTGGTGTTTGGCAAGGATAGGAGTAAAAGTTTGTGATGTAGTACAGTACACACATGGATACATGGTATCTGCTTGTCAAACTGAGGTTGCGAATGCAATGATGAGTTACCGGCATCTTGGTTACTAAAAGTAGCCCTGGCCGCTCCTTTCTCTGTGATTGCAAGTGGCCATTACGAAGTACTAGTGAACACCTGAGGTAACTCTATACCTTACGGACTTGTTGCCTGCGCCGTCTCACTTTATGTGTTTAGTGTTATCCCTCCTACCATCCTGCACAGCTAGAGTACTCTCTGTAAGGTAAGTGACAGAAAGGATTGCGGCGCGACTGCTGTGGTGTGCCAACCTGTTCACGGGATCTCCTGATGACATGATACTCCTTGAACGTTCTCGGACAATGCTGGAAGAAATGTGATTGCCTGTCCCACAGCGTCCATTCTTAGACATCCTCTTGTGTGTATCTGAATGCCCCTGCTTGCTGTGAGGCACGTAACTCTGACGCAAATCAACTCATTCCCCCCCTCCACCTCCCTTTATCTCCTTTTCCTTCCAGTTTTGTGTTCTTTTCTAGATGTATGATTGGTAAGCTGTCATCAAGTGAGTCGTATGGAGCGTTGGTCCTTGGTGTGCTTCCACATGTACTAGATGAAAAATCGGCAAGATATACATATCAGTCGATTAGCTGGATCTACCAAGCTCACCACCGCCAAGACGGGCCGCTGAGGTCTGGTCTGATATGCCGATTCTGCGTTAAATGGGGAGCATATTAAGGTGCACGTGGCATGTTGCTATATATATATCCTTTGACATTACACTGCATGTACGCTGCTGAACTTGGAGTTGCAGGGTAACATTCTCGGGATGTTAATGAAGTCCGGTGTATGTACTGTATGTACTCTTGGAGGCGGGAGGGGAAGCGGGAATCCGTCGCCGCACGGGGTTATAGGTTACAACCCGCCTAGGCCGGAAGTGGTTGAAATGAATTCTTCCCACATTCTGGAAATCGTAGCGAGGGTGCCTGTAGTCAATATTTGTTGACAAACGGTTGGTTACTCTTGGTACATGTCCCTGGACTTCAAGGAGTTGCACCCCCGGTGATTGGGCCGTTGCTACTCAACAGGTCATAGTAAGGGATAGCATACTTCTATGACACAACTAATTTCAATCACTACTTCGTGAACTCGGAAGGAATGGAGATAATTTGTACATACCTATGTTCTTAGTCAACCTAGTAACCGAATCGGGAAATGGCATAAACAATCCTTTTTATGCCCATTCAGCGATTACACTTACACAGGTCTGCAGCGCCAAGACCTTCCTAATCCGTCGTCACCCAGGTCAAGCCGCATCGCCCAATCTACTGCTAGACTCGACCCTTTGCTTCCTCCAACCCAGATCCTATTACGGCGCCATGTGTGTCTTGTGCAGCTTCGCCTTGATCTTGTCCTTCAGACTATGCTTCTCTTTACCAATGTGTTCACCCTCCTGGCCATGGCCAACCTCTTTGCCGTGGTGCACTCCCTTTTCGTCAAGAAGTCCTATAATAAACCGTCGATTAGCACATCACGCTCACTCCGCCTTGAGACGTACGCGTCGGAGCACAAAAAAGAAAATGCTCCAGCAGAAATAACTTACGGTCAGCCTCTCTTCCCGCACCAGGTCGGGAAGCGTCGAAGTCTCCACCATCCGCCTTTAGCCCACTCGAGTGCACGTATTCTTCACCTCCGACTCCTTTGCCCTTCATGGCCAATTTATTAGTCCCCTCAACTCCACCGCCGGCCTCGCCGCCAAGACTCTTGCCACTGTCCCTTCTTCTGTGGCCCTCCACGCCTTCCTCCTCCTGTCCAGCTCGCTGAGCCAGGTCTGAGCTCGCACTCCCAGTCTGCGGAGCCGATTCGGACTTGGCCGCTCCGGCATCCCAGCCGTGCTCGCGGGCTATGTCTGCGAGCGGGCGAGGGCCGGGACCAGAGGTGTCAATGTCCGGGTTGTCCTCCTGGGTTTGGGGCTTCGCCTTCTGCTCGTCACGTACTGGGACGGGCTTGCTGACGGTGGGGCCGGTAATGACGTCGGCGGCGGCGGTGGTGGTTGCCTGTTTGTTGGACTTTTCGGATGGAGAAGGAGCAGGAGGGCGAGTGTCGTTTTGGGCCTTGGTGGAATCATCGCGCATCGAGATGGCCGAGGGGGCATTCTTGTCCGGGCCAGCGGGGCTGGAAGGCTGCTGCTCCGCCGTGCGGGCTTCCTCTTTGTGCGGTTTCTCTTCGGGCTCCTTCTCCATCTCATGAGGCATCTCTTTGCCAAGCTTCTCTTGGGTTCCCGGGATAGTGGCTGGCTTCTGTTCGTGCGATGGCTCTGCCTTCTTGCCGAGCTCGGGGCCGGGCATCGCTGCTGCGGCTGCGGCTGGGCCAGCCCCCGGAATTCCGCTTGCTGGTTTGTCCGGCGTCGTGCCGCTAACTGATGCTTCGGTGCCCTTCCTCTCCGTATCTTCCTGCTCCCCAGCCTTCAGGGCCGCGTCGTTGGATTCTGCTCATGATGTGTTTAGCACCACGTCCGGTTCAGTACGAACATACATAGTGGGTTTCTCTGTTGAATTGTTAGTCCAAGAGGCTCGGAAAGGTTGGGTCGCTTCGGTTGCCTACCACCAATGTTTCCAGCATCATATGGCTCGCCTGCGGCCACGTTGCCCATCTTGCCGGAAACGGGTTCCTCGTGAGACTGGCTCTCGCCCCAAACGGCCTTGGTGGCCGTTTGGGCAGCCGAGGATGCCGTCTGCGCAGCGGAATGGGCAAGGTTGCTGATGGTTTCCATGATGTTTGTTAAATGCAAATCCGGAGATCTACTTGGTTTGGTGATGAATCAATCGTACTGTAGTTGCTTCGGCAGGGTATAACGGGACTCCTTAAGGACCTAGGTAGGGAAACTGCAAGCTGATATATGTGCATTCAACAAGCTCCTTCATGCTACGCTTCTTCGCCTCAATCAACCACGGGGGAAGGAGTGACGTATGATGAGGGGCTCGATCAGGATCGGTAACAACCCCAGAAAACTGAAGTAACGTTTTGTACTCTAATTGTACGACACGCAAAGCCACGGATACGGCCATGGCACGCATTGATGTGCTGCCAGCTGCCCGGTATATTATGTAGTATGCTACTGAAATTCGTGTATATATAATAGGACTTACATTACTGTCTGCAAGCAATATAACCTTGGATGAAGAGGCATCATCAAGCTAACCACATATTTGGCCGTGATACGCGGCCGTCCGGATCTGTTTATGAGCTCTCGAAAAACTGAAGCAGTCCAATTTCATCAGACCACCCGGGCCTCTAATAGAAGAGCCGTACATTCAATACGAGGCGGTACACCTGCTGTCTCGAAGCAAACAAAATTGACAATATCTGGTAAAAGCCATCGAGAGGCGGATTGGGCGAACATGACGTTGATGGGCTACATCTGACGTAATCCCGTCGATCCGCACCACGGAAATGGCACCTGTCACGCGAGGTTGCCATGCTCTCGGCTTGCCATGACAAAAGCTTATGGTCGCTTGGCTTTGCAATGTCTCAACCTGAAAACCATGGGGCCGTTCTGTCTAGACTCGCGAGAGTCTGAAGGTGCTGCAGACATGGCGTATCCACTGAGTCAGTGGTGCAAAGTTGCAAAAACAGAAGGTCGTACCCGGAATCGAACCGGGGTTGCCGGAATGTCCTGAAGGAATCAGAATCCGGAGTGATAACCGCTACACTATACAACCGTTTGTCGTACAACCGACTGTTGGTACAGCGATACTGAGCGCTTGCTTATAAGGAATAGTAACCGATCACATTATGATCGTAATTCGTTCATAACACCGCAGCAGGTGATTGCGGCGGAAATAGAAACCCGGGCAGTAGGTGGTTATTTTGTTGAATTTACACCTCCTTGGAAACATGAGCTCTAGGACATGTCAGGTTCGGAAAGAGAGTGAATGCGCTACAGATAATGCAGCAGTTGCATGGCACCTGGGCAGTAGTAAAGAGCACTTGCAGGAGTGCGGCGGCAAAGCCTGCGGCCGTATATTGCGTCGCGACCATAACAACCACAACCCAGCTGCCCTCACAACTTGACACTCTTGACCAAATCCGTCTTGATGCCCGACATCTCGCCTTGGTAGCCGCCCCGGCCCTCCCCACCCTTGTACACGGCCTTGATGCTCTTCAACTTCTTCTGCTTCTCCTCGAACTTCATCCTCTTCTTCACACGCGGGTTGCGCACCTCCTTCTTGCGGTGCGGCGTCAACCCCTTGTTCTTTTGGATCTGGTATGTGATCTGCCGCTTGCCGTCGGGCCCGATCTGCTCCGTCTCCACCACGCGCTCGCCCTTGCGTGCCTGCGCGAGCGCCTCGTACCGAGCCGCCTTGTCGGCCCGCTTCTTCTGCGCGCCCTGCGCCACCATGTCATAATACTCGTCCTCCTCGCCGCGCACCTGCTTGGCCACGGCGGCGTCATCGCCATCGCTATCGTCACCGCCTAGGTCGGCACCAAACTTGCTGCCCTTCTTACCGCGATGTTCCGCCTCGGCGTTGAGACGGGCCTGCCGGTCCCTCTGCGAGTTGGGTTAGTAGGATGTTCTGGTACGTGCTCCTAGGAGTTCAATGTATCACTTACGAGTCGTTCGCGGTACGGAATGTCCATATCACCACCGGCGTCGCAACCAGCGCCAGCACGCTTGTTGGCCTTCTGGACGATCTGCGAAGTATAGAACTTTAGGCTCTTCTTTCGGCGGGCCTTATCGGCGGCGGTGCGAGCATCGAGACTCTCCTCTTCGCCAAAGTCGGACCGATTATCGTCGTTGGCCGCATCAGTCGACACCGCAGGCGCGGAAACCGCCTTTCCGGCCTTTTTGGTGCCCTTGAGCAGCGTTGACAGCTCTGCCAGAGACTGCTCGACAGCCTTGGCTTTCTTGGCCTCCTCTGCCGCCTTCTTCTTGTTTGCTTTGATCTCGGCCTTGGAAAGTTTCTCGGCTTTCCGCTTCGGTAACGGCATAGCATCCAGCATCTCAAGATCTTCCTCAGGTGGCGAGAGCATGCCGGTGCTCGGAGCAATTGACGCTTTCGACTTGAGGTGTTTGACCTTCAACCACGCTTCGCGGCACTCCACAAGGGTTTCCATGACCTCATGATCCCTGAGTTCTGACGGGGTCAGAGTGCCCACTGACCCATTGCTGTCTCGTGAAGGGGATGTCAGAATAGCAAAGTAGCTCGCCAACGCAGCAACGTAGCACCCGGCTAACCAGGACTTGATCACTTCCAACGACTTGGCAGGTCTCCCTTCAGCTTCCTTTTGCAAACTGGGCAGCATGGGCTGCAATTCCCTGAACTCGTCCACCAGGTAGTCGAATTCGGGATACCGAGTCTGCAACAGCTTGTACCTCTCCTCGGGTCCCATATCGTCTGTCACCTCGACCTCCTTCAAGACTTCTGTCACCACCTCCTGTTCTTCCCCAGCTTGTTCTGTCGGCACTAGCCATTCGCTCTCGTCGAAGGCGAAATCGGCCTCCTGCATCTTAGCCAACTTCTTGGCTTGAAGCCGTCGGGCTTCTGCCTCTTCTTCCTATAAAGCGTATCAGTTACCCGCTCGCAGGTAAGGAACGGGTCTTCGACAACATACCAAGGCATCCGCTTCCGTCTCTATATTATCAGCATTGTAGTACTCTTTTTTTGAGGCGCCCCACCAGCCTTCATCTCCCTCCTCTTCTCCTCCCTTGGCTTCCTCTTCAAACACATCATCATCCGGTGCGGCAACCTTCCTGGCCCCCTTCCTTTTCCTGTCGACTTCCTCCTCCTCCTCCTCTTCCTCACTCCCGTCCGACTCGTCCTCCCCAAGGATCTCCTCGTCCGAGGCCTCTAGGAATGCGTCTTCCTTCTCCTGTCTTTTGAGGCGCTTGGAGCGCGGCTCGTCGTCATCATCTAAGCCGATTCGATCTTGGTTTGCCCAGTACTCGTCCTCAGAGTCGGCGACATCTTCGTATGTCTTGATGGTAAGGCGCGCATCTTTGGGGTCAACTTCACGCGGGCCGCTGGGCTCGGGATTGCGGGGGGCTTTTCTCTTTTTGGCCATTGTGACAGAAGGAATCAGGTTACGCGACCGCAAAGCAAATCGTAGTCTCCTGAGTTTGTGCCTGTAATAAGGGAGATGCTCGGCCGAAGGGGACGATATGTGTTGCGCTGTGTCTGCGGAAAACGATGGATGGGTGTGGGGTTCGTCTTGAACTTCCCGCCTGTGGCAGAAACTTTTTTATGGCCGTTCCACCTCAAGGAACGAGGCCGGCTTGTGGTCCCCACCACTCCCGCGGCTCGCCCCGCTTACATGCAGCTCCTAAGACCCACTGCGCTCCCCGGAGTCTGGGACCAGCAGAACCAATCGTGCCCCCTGTGTACTGTGTAGGATGCCGTGTATGAACAACGAACAAATGTCCCCCAGTTCACTTATTGATCATCAATGGCAACTTAAAGCTCGCTCATGGATACTTTGCAGCGGCTCGGTGTCCCGTCGCGCATTGTCACCACCGGAGGACTCGGTGCGCTCTTAATCCTCTTCGCAAGCATGGCGATATTCGGCAGAAAGAACCACATGCCAGTCGAGGGCCGGGTATGCTTATATTTCTTTAAGCTTCTTATCAGTAGTATGTAAAACACCGCTAACGCCAGCCCAGACGGTTCTCATTACCGGCGCCTCCGAGGGTATGGGCCGCAGCGCAGCGATCCAGCTCGCCGCCAAAGGCGCGAACGTGATCCTTGTGTCGCGCAACATAGGCCGTCTGGAGGAAGCCCTCGCCGAGGTCAAGGCGGCCGCTTCCTCACCGGCCACCCAGCGGTTCACCTACATCTCGGCCGACGTCTCTGAGTTCGACTACGCCTCGACGGTCATTGCCCAGGCCATTGCCTGGAACGGCGGCCAGGCGCCGGACATCGTCTGGTGCATCGCAGGCATGTCAACGCCCATGCTCTGGACCGACGACGCGGCGCTATCAGCTGCCCGCCGCAACATGGACGTGAATTACTTCGGCTCGGCCGAGATGTCGCGCGCCATCCTGCGCGAGTGGCTCGCCCCGGAGAACAGCACAGGCCCCAAGTCAGAGCCCAAGCACATCATCTTCACCGCCTCGGTACTCGCGCTGTTCGCCATTGTCGGCTACGGCCCGTACTCGCCCTCGAAATGGGCGCTGAGGGGTCTTGCCGACACGTTGGCCATGGAGCTGAATCTGTATCCGGATAATCCGGTCAAGGTGCATGTCGTCTACCCGGCCACCATCACAAGTCCTGGATTGGAGAGAGAGAACCAGACTAAGCCCGGCATTACGCTTGAGCTGGAGAAAGATGAGCCGCCTGAGACGCCGGACACGGTGGCGAGGCGGGCGATTGCGGGTTTAGAGAAGGGAGAGTACTTTGTTGCCGTGTCTTTTTTGGGGACTTTGATGCGATGTGGTGTGATGGGTGGGTCACCGAGGAACAGCTGGGTATTTGATACGCTTCTAGGGTGGTTAGTGCCGATTGTCTACTTTTTCGTGCTCAGAGGCATGAATGCCCAGGTCAAGGGGTGGACGAAGACACATGGTCATCCGGCAATGGGCGTGAAGAGGACATAGCCCTGTTCTTAGGATGCGGCGCCTAGTTACATACTCAGAGGACTAATGTGGAGGATTCTATCATTTGGTTGCAACCCGTTGGTAATGGCGGCTTATATAGCTTCCTTGCTTACTTTATTTACATTCACATTATATTTATGAACATGTACATCTTCTCTACAGGAATACTCGGGTAGTGCGTGACCAAGCGGCCCTGAATGCAATGCTCCTTCATACTGAACCATGGTGTGCATTTACTGCAGCTTCAGGAGCGCGCTTTTCCCTGGCTCGTAGTAAAGGTTTCTGTCCGCGTTGTCGCCCCCTTCGCGGACCATCAATACGACCCGTCAAATCTCAGAAGCAGTCCGGGCCAGAAGCATACGCAAGGTAAAGATCATTCCAATCGCCCGAAGTAGAGCGTTTGGTTAGAGCTTGCTTGCTACAGGTCGCCCCTGGACAGTTTGCTCTAAAGTTGTTTGAGAGCAAAACACTGGCATGCTTTAAATCTACCTGGCCGACGACGGACATGCGGAAAGCGCCGCACCTCTGAGACTTATTTACAAGCAATTTGTCAAAGCAAGAATGGAAAGCACATGGAGTTTGTTAGTTAGAGCAAGACTTTTGGATGATCATTACGAAGATTCAAAAGAACTACCTGGTGGTGCTTAGCCGCAGAACGTTCCATTAATTATAAGGAGCCTGAGTTCAAAAAATGCCCAGCATCATTCCCCCTGTTCGCAACTGATGAGATCGAAGTTACACAATACCCACGCCGCACAGACCATCTGCATGCACGGACATTTTTTTCAACCCAGTTCGATCGCTGATTGGACAACACCCCACTCCGCCAGTCCGCCACGCCTCCGTCGCGGTTCAGCTTCCGCTTCAACCTCACCCTCCGAAAATACCAGATTTACAGCTGACGACAGCTGCGCATTCTCAGCGATCCTGACACTAGCATTAGCCGCGCCTGGGAGCATCTGGAATACTGGATTCCGGTTGCCTGGCTCGAGCATGAAACCGTCGGCCATCCGGTCGCAACGCAATAAGGTGACCAAGCCAACCCCTCCGGCACGCGGCCGCGTCCCGCGCCAGGTGGCGGGACAACTGGCTGCGCACGAAGCCCACGCACACGCGCAAGCGCTGGGCGGCGACTTAAAGGCAGACCCCGGCTCCGTCTTCGACGAAGCGGCGATGGGTGCCCAGGACTATGCGGCAGCCGCCGCCGCCGCCGCTGCCATGGAGACGGACCTCAACGAGGATGCTCATGGCGAAGCCGAGGTCGAGGCCAACATGGAAGACGACGACGGCCCCGGCGGCACGTCCGGCCTAGCGCCGCATGTTGATCTCGCAGCTGCCAACATGATCGCCAACGGCAACGGCGCCGGGAGCGCCATGTCTCAGCCCGTCCAGGAGCAGCTGCACGAGATGCAGCAGAGCCTGGCACATGCCCACCACGCCCAGCATGCTCATCAGCAGCAGCATCACCCGCACCAGCACCCGCACCAGCACCAGCATCAGCCGCCGGCGCAAATGGGCAACGCGCAGCAGATGCAGCCGGGACACCATGCCCTGGACCCGTCAATGGTGAAGACGACAGAGGAGCTCGCAAGGGAATCTGGGTACGGCGAGCTCAACGTCGAGAGCGCTCTGGCCAAGAGACTCGCCCGTGAACCAGGCCAGCGCCTCGCCCAACAGCGTAGGCCAGAGCAGGTTCTCAACCTAGCGCGACGCAGTAACGTGGAGGCCTTGTTTGCCCATATCGCTGGAGTGCCGGCGCAGGTTCCATGCAAGAACTGCCACAAGGGTCACGGCCCTTGGACCAGTTGCATCGTCGTCGACGGCCAGATGTGCGGCAGCTGCGCCAACTGCTGGTTCAACGCGAGCGGAGCGAGATGCAGCTTTCATGGTATGCCCGTACCTACACCCCAGCTGGAATCAAGCAACTCCTGACATTTCCCCGTTCACAGAGACCCGTAATCCTCAGGTTGTCACTCAGCACCCGGCAATCCTGCCGGCCAGTGGTGCCGGTCTTGCGAGCGACCCTGCCTACCGCTTCGCCGCTACTACGCACCCTCTCCTCCAGTCCCATGGCGCCGCTATGGGAGGCGTCAGCCATCCCGGGGCATTGTTGACTAGCAATCCAATGCTGCAACAGATGGTGAATAGAGCCATGGGCGAGGTCCGCAATGCTGACAAGGCTACGCGCCAACTTATGTTGATCGATATCACCGCGAAGCAGCTGGCCCTGCAAATCGCCGACTACGAAGAAATGGTCGCCAGTCAGGATACCGCGGGGGGTCATGTTCCGGGCCAGCAGGTCATGGGCGATGATGCCGGAGCTTAGAATCTCTCTGGCGGCGCTAATGCTTGGGGTACTACGCCAACTCCCTTTACCGGGATGGGCTTCTCGTAGGCACAGCTCCTTTGGGTTCGCGATAATGGACCGGAGTTGCTTTGGCGTGTTAGTTACCACACACCGGACAGTTTTCCCGGCAACGCGGACTTCAGAGTGGGCACCCATAAGAAGGGACGGAGTCCTGCCGCGGGTTTCAATGGCCAGAATGATGACTAGGTGCCAGTCTGAGGCGAGGCGGGACAGTCCCCGTTCAATTCCTGCCCACCAAGCTACGGCCTCCCCGGACTATTGTCTACGACATGAGATGCGAAGCATTACCTACCTTTCTGTGTTTCTTGAAGGCAATTGCCACTCCGTTTACTTCGACTGCCTAGCCCGGCACGGCTGATTATCGATTATTAATATGCATCGGCCGCCGCCAGCCCGTTTCTTTCCGTATTCTCCTGTCGACGATCCGGTAGATCAATGCTAACCCCTCGACACTGGGCGGGTCTGCGAGGAGTTATCGTGCACATTGGGGCGAGGGGGAGGGAGGGGAATGGGCCCTGTTGTCCAGCAAGAATGATGAAACGGACTGTCCGAGAAGGTGTTTCGAATTTATGGTCAAGGAGTAGGGCTTTTGAAAAGCTGGGCCTGGTTTGGTTTTGTCTTTCTGACAGTCGTGCTTCCAAAATATATACCTACACGAGTGGGTGCATTTACATTACCTTAGTCCGCCGGTGCACAATGGTGTTCTTTACAGTGTGCTCTCGGTGTAGCGAATGAATCGTTTGTCCATTACTGTGCTCCTAACTTTACACCTCGAAACTTTCCGCCTTCCGCAAGCAACCCGTCCGTTTCAACCCATCTCTAGTAGGCCTCACTTCCGTACGGTTAGAGTGGCAGAAACAGAAGGAAGTGAAGAGGGGAAAGGAAAGGGGGAATAGAAAAGCAAATAAAACGAAGAAGGAAAGGCAAGGAACAGGGACGAACAGGCCTAGGCCCTCGCTGTGAGACGAGCAATCGAACACTGAACCTCCTAATGCTCCAGAACGATATAGCCAGTGTCGCACCCAGAGTGTCAGTATAATTGCCGAATATAGGCATGTGGCTAACACCGTCAACTAGTAATGCCCGGGGATTATGGGTCAGAGCTAGTACGTCAAACCCGCGACAGATGAGAGTACATACAGAGCTAAATCGAGCGATGGACTATTTCTTGGTTTGTGGCCGTCAATCACTCTAGTCAGACGACGATGATGTTTCCATTTCCAAGAGTCGCCACCATCCATCAGCTCACGGCCGAGCTTGACAGCAGCATGTCTCGCCACATTGCAGACTCCAGGGAATCGTCGGACCATATTCGATTGCGAAGGACTATAAAGCATTATACTATGTATGTCGCTTCGAAGGACATCAGAAGCATGCCTCGGAACACTCATCCTCTGACGCTATGATCCAGAGAAAAGCAGGACCATAAGCACTAGCACATACACTACGGTACTTACAATTGTCAGTTTGAACATAGAATCCATGGTTCCCTGAGGTTGGGTAGGGTACGTAGTTCGTCTATCACCCATAGCACGCCATGGCACCCGGAAAGCAGAACCAAGCCAAAGACCAAGGAAGATAAAAGGTAACAAGTGAAAAGGAAGTCGGCGACTGAAGAGAGACAAGGAAATAGGTAGAGACCCGACTGGTATATGCCCCCACTCACCCGCCATCTTAAGACAGGCCATTCTCCCTCCAACCCTCGACCCTTCACTCCGGGAATCATTGCCTTATTCCTCCCTTGAGCACGTTCAGGCATCCCGCGGTCTCCTCCTGCCAGATCTGTAAAGTCAAGGTCTACTTTACTTCACACCGTTCATCCAGCGATTGGGAGGGCGGCTCTCGTGTTGCCGTTACTGAAAACAAGAGATAGAGAAAAAGATTCATACACAATTCAACACCAACACCAGACTCATTATTAAACAAAATATTGTATCCTTCCTCCCCAATAGCATTTCCGGCTTGCTTATGCTCCTATATCGGCCGTACACAGCTCCGTTTCGGTTTCATGATCCGGCCATGGGTGTGGAGGCGGTAGATGGGGCCGGCGCGCATCAGACGGCGGAGTGTCATGATTCCGCCGTTCGTATATGCGATCCGGGAGGGGTATCTTCGAGGGCAGAGGCGGCGTATAATCTGGAAGCGCGGCGGTACGACACATTGTTGACGGTATCCGCTCAGATGAGACCGCAGAGACGGAGGTTTTCCTGAATGATAATATCTGGCATCAAGTCAGCATCATTCTTGATCGTCTTAGCCAGCTGTTGTTGATAGCTTACCATTCACCGCAGCCATGACGAAGCGGATTTGTGTCGTGTCGGTCGCGCACGTGAAATGTGTGTAGATCTGCTTGCTCTCGTGCTGGTTCAGGCTGACAAAGCGGTTCAGGATGTAGTCACACGCCGCGCCGTAGTCATCGCCTCCTTCGTAGTCGGGGAAATAGTTCTTCATCGGGCTGACAGGCAGCTTCTCCTTGAACCGATCGATCTTGTTCAGGAACAAGATGATGGATGTCTTGATGAACCACCTGGAGTTGCAGATAGAGTCGAACAGAGTGAGTGCCTCCTGCATACGGTTGACCGTCTCATCCTCGAATAGCAGCTGGTCGTACTCGGAGATGGCAACCAGGAAGAGGATGGTCGTGACGTTCTCGAAGCAGTGGATCCACTTCTTCCGCTCAGAGCGTTGACCACCAACATCGAACATCCGGTAGGTGAGCTCGCCGATGATGAAGGTTGTCTCGGTGATACCGGTCGTCTTGACACGCGACCGCAGGACATCCTGGTCGTTGGGCATGTAGTCAGGCGCAGCGATCCGGGCGATGTTGTCGAAGTAGCTGCAAAATTGTCAGTGTCAAGACATGGAATCGAGCAATGCTGCGGGGACCTACTATCGTGCAGAGTCATTCAACTGGTACTCCCTTGATCGCTTGAAGCAGCTCTGGACGCCGGAATCCCGCCACAGAGCCTCGATAGCATTGCCAACCTCAGGCGGCAAGACGTCGCCCTCAATTTGTGCTGGTTGCATGAAGATGGTTTGAACGTGGTACTCCATCCTCGCGTCCGCCAGCGGCAGCTCTAGCGATTCCATTGCCTCGAGGATCACGCGCATTGACTGCACCGTGTTGCTGAAAATAATCTCCTTGAACGATTCCCGCTCATCGCGAGAGTAGCCACCCTCGTGGATGAGCTTCATCTGCTTCAGAATCGTTGACTTTCCAGATTCACCGGCACCTGTGCCGAGTTGTCAGCTCCCGGCGAGCGAAGGACGGCGTTGGGGTAGGAATTATTTCAACATACCCAAAAGCAACATCTTGATTTCATTGCGCTGTTGCATGCGATCCTTCTTCAGCTGGTTCTCAATCTCCTCGTTCCGGGCCTTGCCCTCCTTCTCCTCTGTGCTCATTCCGCAACCCATCTTGGCGATCTGTCGAAAAGCAAAGGAGCGTGTGAATCGAATGAGGGTATCAAAACGGGTCTATCGACAACGAGAAACGTTAGTGAAGCTGGGTTAAAGTGAGGAGATATAATTGCGACGTCGAAAAAGGCACATCATCTGTTCGGGAACGAATCTGCTGAATCTTGCGGGCAGGCTGCGACGCAGGAAGCCAGCGGCAAAAGCCATTGGCAAAGGAAACGGTATCGCGAGGGTTGATCCGTATACCACAGAGCTTTTGAACGGAGTTCGAATGGCTGAAGACGGCATGGGCAAGAAGCGGCATTGGCTCTTACCTAGTTCGAAGATGCGCGCCCGGGATTTTCCTTCGGGGCTTCAATCGAGCGCGTAGCCAGCAGCAAAACAGAAAGAACGACGCCGAGGACAAGAAGTTCGAATTACGCCGATACGAGCGACAGAGGGGAATCGTCCCCAAGGCAGTGACAGACGCAGGCTGTGGTCTCACTGCTCGCTGATCGCGGGAGTGTGAACGGTCGGAGTCGAAGGAAGGACAGGAGGTGGGAGGGCTGTTCTGTTAGTTAATGTTAAGGAACGCGGAGCATCCACGCTGAATTTCGGGGGCTGCAGTGGCCCTGGCCTGTCTGGCGAATCATATCTTGGATACGCAAGATGGGTGGGGCGTTCCCCATCGCTCACTGGTCCAGGGCCTCGGGCAAGGGTGTCAGAAAATGCAGGCAAAGGAGAATTACGCCCCTGGTAACCATGAGACCACCACCCTCCTTTGCGCCGTCAAACTTTGGAACTGGATATACCACCTATCAGAAATCGCAAGCTGAGACGGCCACGCCGGGCTCTGTTATATGCGTACCTATACTGGCAGTTCGCTGGCTTACGCCTTGCGCTCTGCAAATCAACATACGGAGAGCAGTAAGGAAGCAACGGGCCAAGCGCTCGCTCGTGAGAAAGCACTGGCGCTAATCCCACTTTGGAAACGCTGGATTTCAATGGTGCAAGGGACGGGCCAAGCTAACCGAAAAGGTCCTTCCGAGAATTGATTATCAAGCTAATTGAAGATGTCATGCGTTTAAGATCATCAACAAGGGGAACAACCGACCCGATTATTGTCTCGATGATATATGACCGCCGCAGCCCAATATGCTTTGTTTCGACGTCCACCGTTGACTCACCCTTGTCTCTTCAGCTTCAACAACTTCCCGGCATTGTGAGACGTACTATTCATGCCATTCATACTTGCTTGAGGGGCTGGCCGCCATCGCATCCAGTCCTCAACACACTCGAACTCGCCAGAGTCTTGTCAGCCCCTTACGGATCACGATACATCCTCGCCACCAAGTAGTCCAGCCCAATCACTGTTTACTACGCGATCGATGACCTCGAACCTTCTCAGTCAAAGAATGTCCGGCTGTTTCGGCGGTGGATGTGTGGATGACCACCGACCAAGCTAATCAGCAGACTCTCAGCTTCATAACCGTAGCTAACGTCAAGTCACCTACCACAGTAATACCGTACACCTTTCAAGATCAATGCCCGTGCTTATACTTCCTGCTCGCAAATGTGGCGAACCGCTGTATTTTTCGAACCTCTAGCCTTCTTCGTAAGGGGCTTCATCGAGACTCTTGGGCTGCAGGTACGGTGAACAGCTTACAATAAGTTGAGGATCAGGAGCAGCCTTATCAATTACCTGAGGCGTAACTATGTGTCGTCAAACACACCGTCGACAAGGACGTGGCCCTCCGTTTGAAAGTCGATACGTTCCCGCACTCGTCGGGTTTCATACTCCTTGTGTTATATGTATGGCCCTGTTAATATCAGTCTCTGCTTCCTGGAATTTCCTCATCCAAAACGCAGAAAGATCCTATTACGTTATGCTGCCCGGGAGTTGCTATACGTACATATCGTCCACACAGTGACTTGGAGAGCATGATGATTGTCCTCCTAGCGAAACCTACTACCTTCCGCAGTACGATCTTTCCAGTTCTCACTAGCCACCCCGCAAATGGGATCGACAGTTGGTGACCAACCGATCAAGCAAAACAGCGATCGTACCAAGCCACATGGGTGTCAGAATTCGGAATAGCAGAGCCGGCCATGTTTGTATGATATTTATATCTGGGCTACTGTAACTTACACCTGTCTTGCGCTAGCCTACCGTGGTCGCAACCCATCACGAAATTACGGCAGCCCTGGACATATCACCACAGCACACAGGAAAGGGATACCTCCTCAAGACAGACCGTCGCCCTGACCGGCCGAATCGACGCTAAACCGGTGGTTAATTTCAAACCTTTCCTGCGATGCTGAAACTATTGGTGGGTGAGCATTGCGATCCTTGCCTCGAGACTCCGTCGCTCGCTAGAAGGTGGAGCAAGCTCGTGGTAATCCCCCCACAACCCACGACGCTTGTGCCTGGTCTGCAAGATGATTCGGCATTTCCCATCGTGTCCATCCCATGCCCAAACGCACCGCAACCCTGGGGAGCAGCAGCCGGGAATTGTGGTTGGCAGGGTGGTTTGCTTTTTTGATTGCCACATGTCTTCTGCGAAGAATTCCCCGCTGATGCTACATCATGACTCGCGTGATGATGGGAGTTCGGTGTTGCGGTTTACCGGCGTGACCGGGCGCCGGGGCCTACAACAGGCACTCTGGGAGGCCCAGACTGCCATCCCGTACTAGGCACGCAGGAACCGCGTAGCTGGTAACTCTCTTCCATGTCGTCGACACTAGTTACCGGTACTCCAATGCGGGACTGCTGTACTGTGGCAAGGAACAGCACCATTTTCACGTCCGAGCGCGACGAGACAAATGGACGGAATGCCCGTCCCCCTGTTGATCAGCCAGCTCGGACCAGGATTCTGGGATTGCCTGCACGGATAGTCCTCATTCATCACGCAATGACCACTTCGACATAGGTTGTGTCTTTCCACGACTTTCTCAGATCATAGTGGTTGAATTACTGTGTTTATTTAGTTCGATTATAGGAGAAGTTATGAACCGTAATAAATGCAGATATCCCCAAAAATGGACGCGAAAATGGTGCCGAAAGGTGCAAGCCCACCATCGTCTTTTTCCGCTTTTTCAGGTCACCTGCAGGGCGACCACCCCGCTTCATGCTTGGCGTCGGTGGAGAGGCTAAGATGAAACCGGTAATGTTCTAGAAGTAATCTTGGAAGCCGATACCTACTCCCAGGGAAGGAAACCTTGCGATAGAACACGAAAGAAAAAGGGGCTCGCATCCAGTCAGTCTTCCTGAAGGTGTTCACCTTTATGTTATGATGTGATCACTCTGTGGAGGATGGCATGGCGTATTAAACAGAGCTTTGTTCTGTGCCTGGGTGTTGTGTTTCAGACATGAATTCTCTTGAGTCTCATAACTACTAGTACTATTGAGACCCCATACTCAGCGCTCTCCTCGTGCTTTCAAAGTGATCAGATCATAAATACCAGCCATTTGCAAAAGACGGTTGTTTCGATCTGTTACCGCACCAAAACCTGTGCGTCCAACTGGCGCATGACTTCCAGCTGTCAGTGTTGAGTCCACCAACTGAAGTTTGAAGATGCCGTTTTTTTGAGGCGGCTGGATGGCTGGCCGTGACAGGGGTAGGCGGCTAACACTAAGCGCGCCGATTGTTTGTACTCGCAACACCAAGACACCTACGTACTCTCCTCTGCGTACTTTCCTTGGCGCGATTCTTGCTAGTTCTGCTTCATCATGGCGTCGTCTGCCATACCCCTGACGAACTTTGGCGGGCATGGTATGAATCCCCCTTCGCCGCCCGCAATGCTGTAGCGGATCCTCTGATGCAACCCGATACAGCCTTCAATCATAGGACTAGCACAGATATAGAAGCTGAATATGACCGGCTCCGTGACCTGGCACGGAGTGAAGGTGACAAGAAGAAATCGTGCTTCGAGCGGGTACGGCGCCCGGCATTACCGTGACGGAGGAACAGTTCTGGCTGACTCGCTGCGGCTGTAGGCACATGAGGCCTATGAGCGCGGCGATGGCGCTAGGGCCAAAGAACTTTCTGAGGAAGGCAAGCTGTCATGCCCTATCTGGAACTTATTTTGGCCTGACCATCACCCCAGGCAAGCACCATCAGAGGCAACAAGCAGAATACAACAAGCGGGCCGCCGAGTTCATCTTCCGCGAGAACAACGCGCCCGGCCGCGTCGCAGGGGACACGATAGACCTCCACGGTCTGTACGTCGCGGAGGCCGAGGACATCCTCGAGGAACGCATCCGCTATGCCCGCTCGAACGGCCAGGGCCATCTCCATGTGATCGTCGGCAAGGGAAACCACTCGACGGGCCGCGTGCAGAAGCTGAAGCCGCGGGTTGAGAAACTGTGCGGCGAGCTGGGCCTCAACTATGCCACCGAGGAGAACGAGGGTCGCATCTATGTTGACTTGAGAGGCGGCCAGGTGGATGCCCCGCCAGCACTCCCTCCCCAGCCCGAGGGCTACCAGGAAGGGTACGGAGCGGGCCGGCCTCACGCTGATGGAGGCGGCTACCATCAGCGTCCTCCACAGCATCACCAACGGCCACAGCAGCAGCAGGAGGAGGAGCAGGACCAGGACATTCTGACGAGTTGTCTCAAAAGCTGCTGTTTGGTCATGTAGCAGGGTTCTGCTCGATTGGTCCTATGTGCTTTGGATGGGTGTGCACTGTTGGGAGGTATTGGATGAGGAAGTAACGGTTGTCGTTGTGGAATGCTGGTCGGCTGGCTAGGTATTGGGTTTCTGGCAGAAAAGACAACCTAAGAGCGCTGCAGGTCTGCGACGGCAGCAGCATCTTCCGGTCTGGTCTGATGTCGCATCATAATGCCCTGCATGAACTCATGAGTTTATCATGGGAGTTGTTAATGAAGTGGCGGCTACTACTAGTAGTACTTAACCTCGCCTCGTGCCTTCCCCAGGGACCTCCGGCACTTCCATTGCAATTGCCCTGTACCTAAGGCAAACCGTAGACGATTGCCCACCTAAGGCTGGTAGGTACTATGCCTGCCTTCGGTAGCCTGCATATCTCCAGGCCACCTTGCCATCCCAACTTACACCCAGTCTTTCTAAGCCGCTGTAGAGGTGACGCCCATCATCTGACCCACCAACACACCTCAACTATCCGTATACATCATCGCCAGCTTCTGCAGCTTCTAAGCCAACCATAGCCGCCTAGGCGCAAGATCGTATTTTTCTACGCAACATACAGCTTTTGATATCTGCCCCCTCTGCAAACGCTCCAACCAAACTCTGCTTCCCCTGTCGTACAAACCCGACGCAATGGCAAGACCAATGAATAATCGACCACCGTCCTCACCCGCGACCAATCCCTTCAGCGCATTCGAGCTCTCCATAGCAACCCAGTTGGAAATCGGCCTACTCGTTCTTCCCCTCGCTCTTGCCGCCGCCATCGTCCACGCTAGTGTCGTCATCGTCTTGTTGAATTTGTGGGCCGCCGTCAAACGACGACGCCGCGGCGGCTATGCCGGTGGCATGGTACCGCCGGCTTTCTGGAATACGAACGAGAGGACGCCGACGGATAAAGAAGAGGGGTTGTGTGAGCAGGGCCGGCCTTTACTTGGGGTTCATCTTGGGATCGGTATGGGCTATACTCATGAAGACGATGCTGATGATGCTGCGAAAGAGAAAGGAATGCGGGTTCTTGGGAGGGTGAAGATGATGAGCCAAGGTGTTACCTCGGCTGTGCGGGTCGTGATGACGGGGCTCAGGAGGCGGGTGTTTGCGAGGTGGTCTGCCACGTCGAAAGCGGAAGACAATGACGTGGAGTTTGGGCTTGGCGGGGGAGACAACGGTGCTGGTGACGGCATGATCGGCTGGGGGTATAGGAACAGGCGGGAAGCGTGGGATTCAGCGAGGGGGGCCGCCGGCGTCGTGGGTTGGCTTGACCGGTATTCCGGACCTGGGTCCGGGGCCAGTAAGTGTCTGATGCGGAGAAGAGGGTCGTTACGGAAGTCCGCGGGGATGGAGTGTCCAGTGTGATGGGCTCGCAAGGTGGAGGGTTGTGTGTCCGGAGTCGGATGTTGGTGTGAGGCGCCGGTTGATATACCACCGCTACCAGTAGTCTTGGGTTGAATCGATTCTGCTTTTTTAAGGTACCGGAAAGTCGACAGAAACATACCATAAGCTCTGAGCAAAACAAAGGAAACATCGCATTTTTATGCCTCTAAGTCGATTCGTGAAACAGAGTTTGTACAGCCAACTGCTTGCCCCCCGCCTCGCACTCTCCCTCTCCTTCTGCCCTTATCAGCGGACGGAAGTTTGTTCACTTGTGTCTTTTCTTCGACCGTCACCTTGTCAAGGTTCTCCTTCGCCCCACTCGATCAAGCTTAGGCCTGCCTCTTGATATCCCGCGCCGCCTGCTTCAGGCTGTAGTTGCACTCCTCGTACGCACGCCCTGCGCCAAACCCGACGCCCACAAAGGCTGGCCACGCCCTCCTCTTGAACAGTAGAACGGAGAAGACGACACCGAATCCGAGGCCGAGGGAGGACTTGATAATCAGGTTGGAGAGGCAGCGATCCCACTGTTGACATATGCGTCAGTCTCGAATCGAGTCCGGTGTGCCGGGAAGGAGGGGTGGCAGGTGGCCTTGCTGTGGTGCTGACCTTTTCGTTCAGAAGCGCCTCACTGACTGGGCGCGACACAGCGCGGGAGGGCGCCGAGGGGGTGGTGGTCTCGGCCATGGCGGCGCAACTGTGTATGACGTGACCCGGTTCACCAGCTGCGGAAACCAAGCCAGATGTTGCATTAGCTCTAACTGTTCTGTTCCGAAGCTTCTGGTGGTGCCATACCTTCTGGCGAGCAACACAATTGGCGCGAAGGAGTGAATGCGACCGGCGGTGGTAGGTGCAGAGAGTGGTACCAAGTCGAAGCTATTTTGTTCCGCGTAGATGATCGGGTGCCAAGAGCTCTCAAAGCGCATTTACAAGCTCGGGTGTTGCCGTTGTCTCCCGAAGGCGGTGAGGCAGCAAGCTACAGGGATTGCAGCTGCGATTGACGATGAAACGGCAGAATTCTGGAATTTCTATCAAATCGTCGGCACGTGGGGTGAGTAGGCATGTGCAGGTGAATAGGAAGACTAAGTTAACTTATTTCCACGACAACGGAACATGAATTAGCGACCTTGCACTAATTCAGGTTGCGATGAGGGACCATAGTAGTAGGGTACTTCAGCTTTGCAGCTTTATCCTCTATTGCCGCCATACTAATTGAGATGCAGACCCGTGAAGCCGCCCTCGTCAGGGAGGTCCGCGCACTCGACCAGGGAGATGTTGAGACGGTACCGGAAAAGCTCGAACGAATCTGGGATATTCTCGATGACTACCATGGAGGTAGCTTTCACGCAGCCGAGGAGATGTTGCTGCGATGGCTCTTGAAAAGCATGACCGGCTCGTCACCGAACGCCGAGCGAGTCCGACGATACCCGCGGGCCTGGGACATTGTTGGCACGGTGTTTGCCTTGATTCCTCTATTCTCCTTGGCCAAGTCGCTGGCGGACCGCCGCTTTGTTGGTATCCTGCAGCAGACACTCAAGGAGATTGCAGCGCCGCAGCAGGAGGGAACCGAGGCGAATGGGCCTGATTCGGACGTTGAGATGGCGGACGCCCCGGCTCCCGAGAGCACTGCCAATTTCCGGAAGCGAAAACGAGCCGATACTGCCAGCTTTGATGTTACAATTCAGAAACAAGCGGTCGGCTGCCTACAGACTGCCGAAGCCGTCTTCGAGGCCATTCGGATCCTCCTCTTTCGGTGCGACGTCAGGTCTCTGGACGAATCAGCTATCCACCGGATGGGGGCCGAGCATGTCAAGACGCTTTTCTCGTCGTCTGCAACTGAAGCCATGGGGATCCTGGTTCCATGGATCACCGTTTGCGGGCTTGCTCTGGATCGGCCCAAGGCTGGGCTACTCAAGGAGCAGTGGTCGTGGCTGTCCATCTTCGCGGCTTTGTGGGAGCTCCATCTCCAGAGTGCGACCGATGCGTTCGAGGTCGCAACTCACTTGTCTGGCTTAGCTACTCGCGTACTCGGTAGGCTCACCGGATTCTCAAGGCAGATGGCACGTGGCGTCGACACAACCGTCCAGGAGCGGTGGGCGCGTGACCTGAGTCGTTTCTTAGCGCGCAACATGATTCTGCCGGCTAGAGCAGCCTTTTTGACAAAGGGAAGCCAGGAAGTCGTGCAAACTGCCGTTACCATGTCCAGTGCCTATGCGCATATCACGTTTCCTGTCCTGTTTGATCTCGTCACCAGATCACCTCTCGAGTTCGGTGGCAAGGCGTCCAAGAAAGATTACGAGACGTGGGTACAGGTCTCTTTTGACGCCATCCTGCATGCCACGAAGAATGTCAACCGTGAGAACGGTTTGGCAGCGGTCAGGATGATCATGGAAATGGCGGCCGAGCGTGACACGCCCCTGTCGGTCTCCAGTCTCCGTGCCGTGTGCATGGACTACGCCCTCAGGAAGGACACTTATGAGTGGAGTCTACTCCTCTCCATCATCAAGCTTAATCCCGATGTCTTCCTCGTCTCTGATGAGGGGAAGCAGCTCCTCGAACGTGTCCTGGAGAAAACTAGAGAGCAGGGTGCCCTTGATACGGAAGACTCAGAAAGAGCCGCGCAATTCATCGTCTTGCTTGCAGGCGGGTATGCCCAAGCTCATGAGTTGTCTAACTTTGTCAGGGTCTGGCTCAAGAATCTTGCTCCTTCCAAGTCCAAGGAAGGGCTTCAACCGCTGTGGGCACGGAAAGAACTGGCCAATGCGGTCGCCGGGCTAATCCAGTCTTCTCTAAATACTACGCAGCTCGTGGGAGTGCTAGAATGGCTCGCATCCCAGACAGCAGCAACGGAGAGCATGGCTAGGATCCACATTCTTGAAGCCATATCGAGCGGCATCTCCCAAGAAGACTTCATCGACGTTGCGAATATGAAGATATTCGACGGCGTCTTCCTGGAGAGATATTCCAAAAAGGAGTCCCCAGCTATTGCTGCGTGTCGATGGCTGGTGGCCTCAAAGACAATCGCCAGGGGCACACTCGAGGAAGCTGGCCGTGTTTGGCCGCAGATCAGCTCCGACATCAAGGACATTCTTGAACGCTCTCCGCTGTACCGTGAAGATACATTTGCTGCTTTCAGATGCTGCGTGTCAGTCTGGCTTGCAAACTATCCCGGCGGTGCCCATGAGAGCGAAGCAGCTGCCCTGGTGTGCTCTTTCATGAACAAGCTCCAGGCGGATCAGGAGCCGACGATGAATCTGCATTCTCCGGAGAGAGGAAATTCCATCAACAGGAGAACCTATGTGTATTGGGTTCTCTCTGACGCGCCTCGATTACTAAGGTAGGATTCTAGATTCTCGCCGCCCCTGGGTAATGGTGCTAATGCTGCTCAGTCTGTATATGGAGAGGGATACGGACGGGCAACTTCCCAGCGCGATACCCTTCTTTCCCAGTATATCTTCCGGGACTGAGCCTGGGACATGCCTTGATCATGATTTAGAAGTCTCTCGTCTGTTACTGGAACGCGAGAGCAATGTCAACAACCAGAAACTTATGGGTGAGCCTGACTAGCACAGCCATGCTGTCATTATCCATTAACAACGTACAGACCGGTTGATCGCGATAATGATCTCGTGGATGGACGCCGAAATCGCCGTCCAGTTTCTCCTCGACACGCCAATCGAGACACTGTCTAGATCTCAGCGAGAGACCGCCATGAGCTCAATAGTCTCAGATCTAGCTGGCGGCAAAAAGTCACGGGCTATCGGGGTAGAGCACTTGGGTTCGGTGCTCAGCCTCATGGTCAAGCTGATGTCAAGACCGACTTTCTACGAGGTATGACTGAGACTCCGATGAGTAGTTAGATCGAAGCTGATGGGATTACAGGGCATGAGCTTCTCCCACCTCGAGTCGATAGGGCAATACCTTTTGAAGATACATAAACGCTCGCACCGCCGTTCCGCGGAAGGGTTGGCGACGGATGTAGTGTCAAAAGACCGACGCAACTTCAAACTACTGCAGCAGCTGGCGAACCTTACCATACGGTATGTTATTTGACGGCTCGCCACCAAGATCACAGCTAACCCCCGGTAGCCAAATGACAAGTGGTAGTTTTGAGGAACGTGAGAGGGCATATCTGAAGGGTGCCATCTCGGTGCTCCAAAGCCCATGCGAGGAATCGGACGCGGCGCTGCGAATTGTCCTGCTGCATGCTTTTATCTCCACCGTGCGGGCCTCAAATGCCGTCAAGAAGCTGGAGGAGGACGGCTTGGACTTCTCCAAACTCCAGGACCACCTCATTCAAATATCCCTGCCGGCTGTCACAACCAAAAAGCGAAAGGGGAGGAAGCTTCTCACACTCATCATAGCTCTTGAGGCGCTGGGCGACCTTGATCATGGCGTCGTGAGGCAAGCACTTTCTGGCACTGTCCCTTCCTTGCTCGAGGCAAGTGACTCGCTGCTTGGAAGCGGTGTCATGGTCGGCTGGGAGGTTCGCATGTTCTTGGCGAATCACTTCCCTGAAGTTCTTGTGTCACCGCTGGAGGTCAAGATGCCTCTGGAGGTCTCGGCAAGTGCGGATGAGGCTGAGGATGAAGAAGCAGAGCGTGGCGAGCCCGCTGCAATGCTAGACAAGACAGCTTTGTTGCGGTATGTCGATGCGGTAACGAGGACTGCCGACGAAGACACGAAGCTTGGCTACCTCAAGGAACTGTTGCTCCAACACAGCGAGACCCATGACACGCTCCGTTCCAAGCTGGTTGTGTTCCGCTTGATCCAGCACCTAAAGGGTGAGCCAACTTAGCATCCCGTTAATTCTATCACGGAAACATGCTAACATGCCAACGCCTCTAGGCCTCCAACCATCCGACTCCCCCGAGCATTTCGGCCCAGCTCAAGCCCACAGCACGCTCTGCCATCACCTTGTGCAGACAACAGATCCGGCCATCTTCCTCCTCACCGCGAAGGCTGTTCGCCTTCTGCTTGACCAAAACCCGGCGTGTATGACACAGTGGAACATCGAACTCACCCTCAGCAGCGTCTCGACCATCTCCGCGCAGAGTTCTACCCAGTCGCTGATCCCCGAGACACCAGGCATCTACCCGGCTCTCTGTCGTCTCGTCGAGATTGTCATCAAGCGTCACAGGAAGCGTCTCGATGGCCATTTTCACATCCTTATCGTCGCCCTGCAGTCCCTCCTCCGCTTGCTGGTATCAGTGTCTCACAATTCCACCGGTAGCAGCACCAGCGGCACCAGCGGCACCAGCAGCACCAGCAACGAAGTAATTCGTCACTCTTCCCTCTGGGAAAAGCACGCAAAGCTCTTCGCCCGCTTGCTCACGCTCATCTGCGAGCCCACGGTTGCGTCCGTATCCCGCTCTCAGACGAGTGGACTCGACTCGGAAAAGGACAAGGCGAAGCGCTACGCCGGCCAGTACATGTACCTGGTACTCATGCAGTACGTCAAACTACAGCTCGAGTACATCGTGCCACACGGGGTGCGCGAGGCGCTCGAACCGGGTGTCTACTCCATCATGGACATCACCACGCAAGACGGGATGAAGATCATGAATGACGGAATGGATCCTAGCGGACGGGTTATTTTTAAGGAGATGTACAAACAATACCAACGGTTCGGGAAGTGGACTGGCGTCTGAAGGGGTTAGGATACCCAAATCTATGTGCTCCTCTATCTACATGGTGGAATCAGAACCGTCATTCAACTGATATTTGGAAAATGGCACAGGAAGAGCACATCTGCCGCATATCGCAGCTCTGTTTCTAAGTCCTCCCTTGGCTACTACGTGCCCCCCGTTATCCTCTGCCACCGTTGCGCAAACTCCCTGATCCCTCCCTCGCCGCCTAAACTCGCATCTACTACATCCTTGGGCAGCTTATGCGCAGAATACTGAGGCGACGAGAAGTTGTACGCCGCGGGGTCATCTTGCTCCACTAACCTTAGCTCAGGCTCATCCGTCTCCTCTTCCTCTTCCTCCCTATCCTCCTCCTCCTCCTCTTCCTCCTCATCGATGAGTCCTTCCTGGACGTCGTCGGAAGAGGCGGATCCAAAAAGCGGCCTCGCAACCCTTTTCTCCAACAACTCCGTCCAATCGAAGAGCAAGGTATCCGTTCGCGGTGCCCAGGGATTGATATCTATTAGCCTTGCTCGGCCCAGCCTCACCTTCTTCTTCCCTTCCTCGTCGTACTCATCCTCGCGATCGTCGTCGGCCTCGGGGATGTAGACGTCGAACACGAAGCACGTGTCGGGAAAGGTGAAGCGCATCTTCTTGAAGAGCTCGCTGGCGCGCGCAATGATCTGTCCGCGCAAGGAGGGGAGGAAGGCGTAGTAGTTCAGGTCGCGCTGCGTGATGGCTATGAGGTTGCGGTCCTTGACGAAGCAGCGGAACTCGAGGGAGGGGAGCGGGTTGAAGAACGTTCGTAGCACGAGTACCGGTCTGAAATCGGCCGTGCTGGGACTGGCATGGTGTGACGACGGGTTGGATGATGGCGATGGGACCGTGTCGTCGAAGGCGTGGTCGAGGTCGTGCGAGATGAAGGAGGACGATTTCAGGAGGATGTACACGTCGTTGGCGGAGGTGCATTTCATTGTGTTGGGGTGGCGCGAGATGAAGGTGGCGTCTTTCGGGGACGACCAGTTCAGTTTGGGGGCTGCGGCGCCGCCTAAGGAAGCAATGGCCGAGGTTATCTCGGCGTGGAGGGCCGGGAAGAGACGGTTGGGGGGTTGACGACGGGTTGAGGCGGAGGGTTCTTCTTCAATGTCAGAATCCGAATCGGAGTCGTCGTCGGCAAGATCCTCGCGAGGTGGTGGGGGGTAGGCCGAGGTTGGGAACGATGGTTCCCAGTCATCCTCGTCATCGTCGTCGGACGCGGCTGTACCGTCGTCATTGGCTTTGTCGGGGCCCTCGTCGGCAAGGATAATGCCGTCTTGGCGAAGGTAGGAGATGAACTCAGGAGTCAATGGAATGATGCGGGAACGGATACATGATGTGCGATATCTGGAGCTGTTAGCTTGTGGTGTATTCTGAGCATACTCGAATCGTTGCGCACTTGGGAAACCAGTAGTCATAAGAGCAGTGGAGGATGTGGTCTCTTGTTACAGGGGGGAAACGCAGTTCGCCTTGTGCTGCGCTTCCCGTCTGGGACGTCGTAGGTTCTATGCCAGGCATGATGCAAAATGATCTCGGGGCTCAGACCAGCCGAATTTGAGGATATCCAGGTCTTCAACGTATGTGCAACTGGGAAGATTGTCAAAATACCCCAGCATCCGAGTCTCTGAATATCAACCTGGAGGCAATGTGTGAGAGAGCCTGAGAGTCATGGTGGGGGTTGACAGAGAATGACACTGCAAAAGGCTTGAGCAAGGGTCTGCTGCCCCGCATTTCCGGGGCTTTTCTGCCGGCCATTACGGTCCTCAGGCCTGCGGTTCCATTCCTCACCGCCTTCTCAGCTATGTCCCTATCGCCTCAGCATTCCCGACGACCATACGAGGCTCGATCAATCATTTCCCTATTCCAGATCACCAACATACTGCCAATCCGAGTTCCGAAACATACTACGCCAAGGCAAACATGTCTGACAACGTCGGCCTCGCGACCCCGCGCGGCTCCGGCACGTCGGGGTATGTCCAGCGCAACCTGGCGCACATGAAGCCACGCGACATGGCGGCGCCCTACATGCGGCGAGACCCCGAGACCCTACGGCACAAGCAACGCCAACCAGATAAGGGCCTGCTGGACCACGAACGTAAGCGGGAGGTCGAGGTGAAGGTGTTTGAGTTGAGGGACAAGCTCGAGGAGGAAGGGTGCGTTTTCCCCTCCAGTATTGTGCACCTAGTGTCGGAAGATGCGGAAGACTGATGCGAAGTGGCTTAGGGTTGAGGAAGAGGAGATCGAGTCGAAATGCGACGAGTTGCGCAAGAAGCTGCTCGCTGATCTAGAGAAGAAGGGAGGCGCTGGGGTCGGCCCAGCGCCTAGAAGGACCTTCAAGATGCACCAGATCCATGAGCAAGCCGAGGCCAAGATCAAGGAAAGCGAGCGGCTGAGACAGGCGCTGAAGATCAGTAAAGACTATGAGGAAGGGAGCCATTGGCGGAGGCAGGAAGAGAGATTGAAGAAGGCGCTAGAACAGGAGGCAGCAGGGGAGAAGGATGATGCGAGGAGCGAAAGGGATAGGGATAGGTATTGATTGCCGGGAGATACTGGGGTAAAAGATTCGGTTTGGACTTGTACTCTGCATATTGGGAGCGCATACGGAGGCGTTTTGGCGTCTTGGGGGAATCTAGGAGTACCTAGGGCACGGGGAACATGATCTTATGTCCAGACGCTCTTGCAATGTAAGGTTCAAGTCCAGCTTGACAACGAGTGGAATTCACCACTGCGGGAACAGGGCACGGCGGATAATAAGCCATCAATGACAATTGCCAGTGGCCCATGGTGGTGTGTGCCACCCTCCGCCCAACCATTTGTTGCTTGCTACTGGCCTCAGGCTCGCCTAAGGGACATTGGGAACTGAGCAGCACCTCATCACTCATAAGGTCAAGCTGAATGTCAGGTCCTCGGTGACTTATCAATGGCACGCTTGTCACATTGTTGGGCTAAGGCGATAGTTGTGTTGTTCAAGGATAATGAATGGTAAGTATCGTTATTTTCATCGCAACTCCGAGACTTGGACCTCGCCCTACACAATGCAGGGGGCAGCGAGGGGTAAGTTACGCGCCGCACGATGGGTCAGACATTGCTTGATACTGCATGCAGTGAGATCTATATGCCTGTCCTCTCTAACGCTGGTATGTATGTATAATAAATACATACGGATCCGTACATGTGTACATACTGTGTATGTACAATACATACATACCTACCGGGTACGATGCATCGCAGGACCTGACCCCAATATGTGTAACATCGCAGGTATCGTACGCATAACTTGTAAATACAGGCTTGTATTATTGTCTTGACGATAACAGCCGAGTCATGACCCCTGACATCCTCTTCAGGTTGTGTCGTCTTCGTCTGCAGCACTGCATGGATACACGCACCAGCCGAACCAACTTACCGCGCGTAAGAATCGGAAAGTGCGGATTTGCTTGCATGCGCAAGGGCCACATATCGAGGACCTCCAACCAACTTGCCAGAAGAGTGTTCAACTGCATATGCGAGCACGGGCTTGCACTACAACTGAGTGGAGCGACTCAAGCGGGAGGGGGACGGGCCCAGTGACGCACGAGACACGGAAAGAAGCTGGTTTGTGCGGGACGGCCGGTGAATGGAGTCCTTCCTAGAGGTGTGTTATATGTCTGGAACAGTGTTTTGGGAACCACGGGTTGCTGGATAAGCGTTTGGCTGACCTGCAACCGTTGATGCTGTGAAGTATGGGTCATCACCGTTGCATGTGCCGAGCCACAACTATTATGAGATCTCTCAAGTTCCATGTGAGCGTCACAGCAGCTGAGCAACTTACCAGGTGCCGTCTGCTCGAAGTTCTCGTGGGCCAAAGGACAGAGCCATAGCACACATGAAATCCGAGGAAGGGCACCGAAAAGATTCATTTATCCATACCTTATAAAAGATACCTAACAATACAGTAATATTACGGCACTACAGCCAGTGATTTTGTCACTTACACCGCGCTCAATACTAGTAGTAAGGTAGGTATGGGACGGTAACGTTACTGTGTGGTCGGCAGGGGCGGTTCCATGGATGCAGGAGCAGTTCAACCAAACTGAACCGGACAAATCACCGCCCAGACACAAGCGGGCTGCGGCCAACCTGCAGCCAGTATGCACCAAGCAGCAGACGAGCGGCATGGACCGGGTGAGATGCGAGAACCGCAACTCCACGGAGATCAATCCGGGGTGATCGACATTATTATACTGTGAGGGAAAAAGTCAGGGAAAAGCACACCGGCCTATGTGGTATTCATCTCATACGCATTGCACTTGAGTGTACTAACGACTTCTAGGGAGATGGCTGAAGGGTACCTAGGAATGATATCTCCTTTTCGCCTCCTATTTTGATCAGCAAAGCACCATCCACTGACCACGAACCCTGCCTGTATGATCCAAAAGAGAAATGCCGTTCCTATCACCAGCCATAAGCAGCTACCCGCACATTTCGGGCTTCAAATGTTCAGATTTCTGAATCCTTGCCTCCCAGCAGTTCGGCCCTGTCTAGACCACCCGCTCTGTCCATGTCGCTCATCCTCTGTATCGTTATGTATGTACGTTAAAGTATGAACATGTTGGGTCGTCTTGCACACATGCTGCCCAGATCTTGGAACACCAAGCCCGTTTCTTTTCATTTCACAGATATGTCAGCCCGCCCGCCATTGTGTCAAATGACCACCACAGAGGCAGGAACATAACCGGCCCGGCCCTCTCCGTTAGAGTACTGAGCTCTGGTTGGGCCGTATCCATGAAGGCAATCCGTCGACCTTTGCCCCGATCTCCATGAAAGCGCTCCGAACTCCTTCCCCGTTCGGAGCAACCACGAAGCCAAGAGCGCAGCAACGATTGACAGGCTCTTTCACTCGCACAGTAACCGCCTTGCTAAACCGGTGATGTAAGTTGACAACAATCGTTGTCTGGATCCAAAAACGTTGCAGACTCGGCTTCGCCTCGTTCAGGAGCACAGATGTCCACTTGCACAACACCGATGGCATATCATCTTTCACCGTTCATAGGAATCCGGACTCGGCCAACACTCTGAAGCAGCAGCAGAGTTAACAATGCGTTCACCGTCAAGCAAAACAACAAGGGAAAAATGAACAAAGGACAGAAAACGTGAAACTGCCCAAATCTACCTACCTCACGATTTTCTCATCTTCCCTTTCCCGAGGTTCAATCTGCAAGCTCTTGTCGTACATCTCGTGCACATCGCCGGCGGCTTGCATGTTGCTTATTATGTAATCCTGCAGCTCCGGCACCGGCTGCAGAGAGTAGGCAACGTTCTGGTACTGTTGAATGTCGCGGATCACTTCGGCCGTCTTTGCCCGCTTGGCAAAGTTGATGAGGTTGGTCTTCTTGATAAGGGATGGGATGCCGTCTTCAATGAAAGTGAGGTCTGTCAGGTACACACCTGTAATGGGCCATAATCAGCATCAACAACGCGAACGCCTCATGCAAGTAAGTCAGCTTACCAAAGAAGGGAATGCACGGGGGGTTCGCAGCGTGAAGAGCCTCTCTGTAGTCGCCAAAATTCTTTGTGCTGGCCATCAGCTTGCGCATGGTTTCTAGGGTTGCCTGGACGCGCTGTGGAACCTGATCCCACGTCCGCTTGAGGCGAGCAATCGGCGCGGTGCCAAGGGCAGAGATGATCGAGGTCAATGTCGAGAAATTATTCAACGTCCGGCATTTCTGTTATACGATTAGCCACCTATACACAATAGACAAAGGGAAAAGGGCACATACATCAGCGACTGAGACAAAGTGCTTGATGACGACAACTCGTTTCCTGACATCGGTCTGCGACAAAATCATCTCGGCGACCCAGTTGGTCATTTGGTTGGAGTGCAAAATCAGGGCCTTGACGTTAGGGGCGGGTTCAGGCTCTCCTTCGCCAACCTTCTTCTGCCACGTCTTGTTGAGGCATTCCGTGGGCCTGATTTTGCCATATAGCCGCGACTCGATGATGGTGAGTTGTCGAGCAAACTCGGTAACATCGATGTCGAGGAACTTCAACTTCTTCATATTTTTGGGCATAATAGGTGCTGGCGTGTTCTGGTTGACCGTTTGGATCATTTTTCGCCCGAAATTGTCTCTGCCGTGTAACCGTTGTTCCAACAGTGCCATCAGCTGTGCCCCCCCAGGGGTGTCCGACGTCCTGATCGTGTCTCTGGTGAAATTGTAGACCTCACGTATGAGCTGCTTATTCTCCTCGCTGTACTCTTCCATCCAGAAGCCGTCGAACCAACTCTTGAGGGTATTAACCACACGGAATCGGACCGGTTTCTGCTTCTTCTCTCGCCAGAGGTCGTACTCTGCTTGGTTCAAACCCTCGGGCGGCTGGATGGCAAACCTCTTGACCAGCAATTCAAACAATTCCCGTGCTGTAGTGAAAGACCTGTATGTGAGGAGGAAAGTATCTTTGAAATTTGGATCCAACTTGTCGTGACGCGTCAGTTGCTCTACCAAAGCGAGCAGCGACCCCCCCTTGACAGCCGGAGGGACGACTTTGAGGTCCCATGACAGATCGTTTTCGTGGTCCATCTTCAAGTATTCGGGCACTTCTTCGGGGACTTGTGCTTGCACCACCGGGGCGGGATCTTCCCCGAAAAACCGTTTCATCTTTGACGGATCGCCCTTCCGGTAGTTGGGGGGTAGAGTCTCGCCCTCTGTAAAGGATTGCGATCCCATCGGCAGCCCTGGCCTTACTAATCCCCGTGATTCTGTCCGCTGGTGTGGCCGCTCATAGGGCATCGTCTCAATTCTCCTGAGTTGTTCCCGCTGCACGACTTCTTCGCGTACGATCATCTCTTGTTGCTGTTGAATAACCATGGAGACCTGCTCAGAGAGGAGCTGGAGCGAGAAACCGATGTGTGACGAGTTCGTCTCGAGCGCCCGCGCGCATTGCCGGACATACTCAAGCCGCTCCTCCAAAGCCTGACCCCTCACTTCAGACCACTCATCAGCCAACGGTCCGGCAACAGCTTGGCAGCCAAGCAGCAGATCGGAAATGTTGTCGTAGAGACTCTGTTTGTTGGTGCTGAAATCGGTGAGCTGGGGCGTCTGGAAGCTGTTGCCCAGTAATGAGAGATCAATCGACTCGATCATGGCGATCCAGGGCTTGAACATATCGAGTACCTTGCCTCCGGCAGCGCAGACAGTGTTGCCGATCATTTCATGCTTGTATGGAGTGACCACTTTGTCGGTGATTATGAGGTTTTTCTCGAGCTCTCGTATGCTAGACACAAGCATCCGTTTCAATTCATCCAGTCGTTCTAGTAGTTTGCCATCGAGAATCGCTGTCGGTTCCACATATCCTTCCTCGTCTTCGAGGAAATTGGTGGTAACGGGATCGCGGGGACTGAGGCCATTGTTTTGCCAGCTACCACCGGCGGCCGACCCAATGACGAAGCCCGGAAATAGTCGTGGGATCTCTTCGCCGCGCTGTTGCTTCGCAACTTCGATGTAGCTATACACCCCAAGAAGAACGCCATCGGCTTCTTGCAAGCATTTCTGGACAGACTCGGCATTTGGCCAATCGGCAGCCGCGATGTGTGAGGAGATCACGAGCTTGGAGAACTTGGACATCATATCCCGGAAATGAGGATAGAGAGCCTTATTCGTGGAGATGATAGATGGCTGTCCGGAGTGATTGTCGGTCGTGCCTGAGCCGGCAGCGAGGAGGAGGCGCAGATGATCCGATATATCCTCTGCTCGTGCCACATACTCTGACCGGTTGCCGTTCCGGATGGCATGTCTATAGAGATCGACGGCCTCCCTCATACTGGTAACCAGTCGAGTCCAGGTTAGGGGCGGCGCGCTACCGTCGTCAAAAAATGAGCGTGGAATGGTTGCCGCAGTGGGTAAATTAAATCCAGTGCTCGTGAAGGACGTTGCGGATGCGACCATGGGGGCAGAGAGGGTGCTGCCATTCGCATACGTCTCGCTGCGTGATTTTGTTCCGGTGGCATGACCGTTCATCGAGTCCATCGAGGTGGAAGGCGAGAGGGTGTCCTTCGCACTGGGTCGGCGTGCCGCGCGTGATGTGTTCCTCAGGGCCTCTCCCTCCAGCTCGGATGCCGAGTTCACGTCGGATTCCTCCTCTTCCTCCTGGGTCAGGCCTCTCGCGATCAGTTCGGGTGGCGGTCTCGTCCTATCTGGCATGCTAACATTCATTCGATCTCTCGGTCCTTCGTTCAGTGAGGAGGGGGACTCAAGCGGAAGCTCCAGCCTACTTTCACCAGTCATGGTGTTGTAGTAAAATAGCCTGCCATCCGGGGTGGCTTGTGGGATCCAAAAATCAGCCCTGGATCGGTCTGTGTCATGGCCCTCGAGCGGAAGTCCCTCATCGTGATCGGATACGTCGTCATCATCCAATCCTTCCTCGTAGACCTCTTGCTCGTCGTTCTCTTCATCCGTCTGCTCAGCGTCGCCGCCGTCTTCCATCTCCGGCAATTCGTCCGGACTCGGAATGATTTCGCAGTAGTTGCTCGGGAACCAGCCTCTGACGCCATTGATAACGCCATCCCACCATCCGCTCTCCAACCGTGTGATGACCTGAATAATGTCGCCTTCATGAAAGCTCAGGCTGGTCCTGTCGTCAGCCTCGTAGTCATAGAGGGCACGCACGTACATGGCACCGGGCGGTGCCGTGCCAACCACTCCGTTCATGATGGAGGTTGTATCGACCGTGAGATATGAAGCGTAGGAAGAACTGTCGCCGCCGGCGCCTGCCGCGTCCAACGACGTCGAGTTGGTGGAATCGCTGTAATTGTGGCGATGTGCCGCAGAATCCGGGTAGGAAGATGAAGACGAGTTCTGACCCTGGAGTGCCGACACAGGCGTCCGTGTCATCAGCATGTTGAGGTTATCGTCAAGACGAGCAGAGATGACTCGGAAGAAGAGCGGTTGATTGACGGGGGTCTCTGCTCGCTAAATGAGTGGCCCGTAAAGCGTACAGGGCGGCTGCGACCACAAAGTCTCAGCGTTGCAATGCAATCTCAGTCTCGAGGCACCCAACAGACTTCGCGTCGATACCCCAACGGACGTCGTTCGTGTGCGGGCGCTAGATAGCCTTGCGGATAATCAACGACAGCCGCGATGGGCGATCTGACAGGCCGGTGGAGTTCGCTGGTCAAGGCGCCGGGGAGGTTGAGAGAGGTGAAGGAAAGGAGTGCAATTCGCCCAAACTCCCGCCTCGGCCGAATCGCAAACCGCTTCAAGGAGGGTGCCTCTCCGCAGACTCGCTCCCCGCGCGAATCAGAAACTATAACAGTTCAGTCCTCCCTTTCACTGTTGTGGATGACGCGCATACAAGTGCCTGGCCTCCCTGCGGTCGGCGGGCTAGGGGTCGAGCAGATTCGCGGGTTGAAGAAAAGGCGAGGTGTCGGGATTGGCGAAGGGGCCGTTCGCTGGCCACAACCTCACCTGGGCAGTTTGCTAGAGCGGGGTGAACAGGGTAGGGTACGGTACCGCCCGCATAACTCCTTCCAAAGACGGGAGGAAGGGGAGGCGGGGCGCTCGACCGCAACGTTCTGACTTCCTCTCGCACAAGAAATGGATGTGGTGTGTCCCCAACTTGAACCTTCAGCGCCTTACTTCTCGCGGCGGGAACTACCAGGAAGCACATCCGACATTCATCAGCATCCTACCGAAGTAAGCAAGGCCGGAGGTACCACTGTCCTCCTTTTCGATGGCGGTAGTACCACCATTTGTGAGCCACATTCCATATTGGCCGTGCAGATGCCTTGTGCGGTCCTGCTTCCAAAATGGGTCTAATGGTCTTGGCACCGGGCACCCCTTGTCGGCCCCCTCCAATTTATGCAGCCGAGTCCTCGTACACTACGGAAGTATGTATAATACAATACAAGTACATGTCTGTGTCCAAATACGTATTACCATGACAGGCTCGGTCATACGTTATCGTATTATACCTAGCTGTATGTATTGTCATACGTTCGATACCTCGGTTACTGATCCTCCTGTTAAGCGATCGCACTCGCGGCCCTCGATATCTTCCGTGGAACTCTGTGAGAGACCAGTTAGCCCGAGTAACGTTATCAACCGAGATCGCCCAACAGCAACCAAACACCACCCGATTATGATAATCCAGGGTTTGTTATTTCGACTATACACGTAGATGCCGTTCCTAGGTAATCCTCCCACTCCCGGTGCGTCATCAGTTTTGCGTATGTAACCAAGACCACAATGTGGTTGTTAACGAGACCTCACTTGTGATCTGCTACTCTGGGAACCTTTTCGAAGTTTCAACCTACCTCATAATCAGGTACTTTGAGCAACCGAAAAGGTAGTACGGTCAGGCAGAATTTCGCTTTGGACTGACCCATCCAACAAGCACAACCACAAGGGACACTCGCCATTTGACTCGCCTTCCTATACGGAGTATTCCCAAGGCCCCCGATCAACTTTGTCCACAGCAAGTGCTACCTACCTAAGATATAAAGGTAGGCAAGGCAGGCTGTATGTGTGGACTGTCCATACATAAATATCACAGCTGGTTGCCCCTTTCTTATTCATGACGGATGGAGCTTATCTTACGTCTCTCACTCATGTTGTCTAATCCATCTCGAGTTACGGCTCGCTCAGATTTCCAGTCAAAGCTCTTAAGATGCAAATTCATGTTTTCCGTATATAAATGATCTCTCCTCTCCGGATGAAGTTTCTTGTTGACTGGACAGCACCATTGATGTCTAGCAACGCCCTGTGCCCGCCTTTTTGTTACAGAGCATCCTAAGGAGGTAAAGCGAGCGGTCTGTTGCGACTTCGGTTTCGGTATCTGACGTGTTCTAGGAAGTAGTTCTCATGCGAAGATCACACGCACCTTTGAAGCCCCAACTCTGTTGACGACCAGCAGGGGTTACTGAAGGCTTGAACGGCTGATGAGCTCCCTTGGATCAAACCCATTCACGAGGTAATTCGGCTCGACCCTTTCCTACTGTGTTCGCTCGGAGTGAGGTGCCTGCATCAGTTGGATGGGATGTAGGGTGTGACCTCTGGGAAAGCAGACGACGCGTGGGCGGGCTTCCTTGGCAGGGGCAGCACGCGGGTGCCTCATCACATCGTCAAACTCAGAAGAGATGCGTAGGAGTTGGGCAGCAACCAACCACGACATGCACGTGTCCCAAAGCGACCGCGCCGGAAGACCAGCCACACACCGGAGTGGCGCCAGCCTCCGTGTCTGGCGAGCCTCGTGACCCGGCGCTCCGCATCGGCGTGGGGCTGTCAAGCTGGCCGGCTCTCGGTTGTCGCCAGCAAGTCGGCGTGGTACCGAATGGAACGGTGCGGTGGTACGTACGGCCACCAGCTGAGTAACACGTGTACCGCTGACAACAGTTAGGCCGTTTTCGAGTGCCGGCCGCGGATGGCGGTGTCCGGACCAGCCGGGACGGGGTACGGCAGGCGCACCATCGCCGTTTGGGACGAAATGCGCCCGGATCGCTTGCATCAACCCGAATCTTGGCATTCGCCAGTTGGGAGGTAACTAATCGGCGGTTGCCCCGAGCAAGGGATCTTCCGTTTTATTTTCTTCGAAAGGTGCGGTGAAGGAAACCCAACGTTCCCGCTTTGTTCCCCTGACCGGCCACCTTGGTACGTCGGAAGATGGCATGAGAATGGCTTGAGGGAATCTGCCCGAGAGTCGGAGAGACATTCGTTGGTTCTCGGTGATCAGGCGTTCATGCTAGACAGGTCTGAGTCCATCCTGCACAGGACTAACGAAGAAACCTCGTCTCCATCCGGGTCACTTCCGGACCTCAAACACATGGCCCGAGGCCGAGGGTTCGGAAATTGGACCCATCAGGGGGCCCCACCTCAAGGCTTCATGCGAAACGCCTTGGGCCAGCATCGCAGGAGAAGCAAACAGGCACCATCGTATCAGAGAGAGGGAGAGACCACGAGGGGCTGCGATTCTGACAAAGAGCAAACGCCCTGTGAGAGATGAGAATCGAACGCCGGTCTCAGCGCCTCATCAGCATGCCACAGGCATGACATGGGGCTAGCGGGTGGCGATCGATGGTGGTTTTTGCATGCTGAATCTCGATGGGACCTCGATGGTCGCCGAGCGCGCCGTCTAGCCAGGGGTCGCCGCGTCCTGCCTTCCCTCGCTTCCTTCGAGAAGAGTTCGCCCCAGCCTGTCGAATTCCGAAACTCGGACCATTTTGTCCAAGAACGTTGCAGTTAACTGAAGAATTAGTGTGTGTGCGGTTGCGACCAGCCCTGTATCCGGTTTAGTATGTACACTAACGTTATTTACTCAGGCATTCCAGATCTGATTCCCTGACGTGCCTGATAATAATGACTGACCAATGCTCCAAATTCTTCTTGCAAATGCAGGGGGAAAGGGGTCGGCAGCCATCCTCCTCCGCCTTTTCTGGGTTTTATCAAATTCAAGGGGGTCTTATTGGCGTGCCACCCGAAAATTCATCGTGCCGGCAGAAAAAGCAAACTGCCCGGGATTGCGAAGGGCTGAAAAAAAATGGAGGGGCAATCAACAGTTCAACTCAGCAATCCGGGGAGTAATTGTTTGGTTCCCCTCACACAGGCCCAGCACCTATCTACATATCACCATGAGCCCGAGTCTTCTGATCTAGAGAACCAGCTTCTTCCCGGTCGCATGCTGCAAAAGTGCGGGACGAATTGAGACGGGATGGCTGCGGGCCGGTCGTTCTTGCGACCGCACTCCAAATGTCAGGAGTGGAAGTTGCTCCCGATGCACGTTTAGCGTAAGTGGGGTGGTGGGGACGATTATCGAAGGTTCGACAACAGGAGGGGTTGCATTCCCAAAGACCAGCCTGATGAGCCGGGAACTGCAGATGTGGCTAGCAACCGGCTTCAACTTCCGCCCTGGATTAGCGCAATTTGCTGACAGGCGTGGCAGGCTGACTGTGACACCGTGCGCGCAATCTGCAGGAAAGGCATGAAAAAAACTCTTCACCCGAGCAACGGGGCCTGCTTGCCCGTGATACGGGATCTACAGTACACAGAGATCGCAGTCTTTATGTGGGTATGCTTCGCATCCTGTGTATATCAGCATCGCAGAGCAATCAATGTCATTCCCAGCCGCAAACTACGAGGCTTGATCGCATGTCGCGACTCCGTTCTCTCGGCCAATGGAACACGCCAAGACACCAAGACTGACCGGTCCCCGCCGAAGCGGATCGTGGAGCGCAGCATCGCAACCACCGCACAGATGGGATTGACGATTCTTGAGAGAAGGACCTGATGGTCTGATGACAACCTCTCGCCAAAGAGGGGGAGGGGCTCAAGAATGCGCGGGCCGGGGTTTGACCCCGCTAACTTTCTAACCCACAGCTGTTGCACGAAGAGATGCCCGTCTTCACAAGGTTGGTCTGTGGTCGGTGGTCACGGGACACTTATTAGGTTCCAAGCATGTCAATGTGGCACTCTCCATGCCACGAAGATACTGGCTCTGAATTTTGCATGTCGCAGCCCTACTGCGGCATTGCCGTGCATATCGACTACCTCCACCCGTGGACCTCATTTAATAAACGGCACCCTTCAAAGAGACCACTATTTTAGGCATGACTGGACAGGAGAACGTGTTTGACGGGAGCATGATGGTGGATTACCTACGAAAGGCCTTCCCGACGTCTGTTTGTGATGTCCCGCGATGACAACGCAACACACTACGAAGCTCAGACCCACTGGTTCCCAAGCTCTTGCAGCTCCGATCTCCACAAGTGCTCCTCGACGCCAAACATGCACCATGTGGCGGTCAGTGACTGCCAATGAGACAGGTATTCGAGGCCTCAAAGCTAGCATCGAGAGCATCGAGGGCTACTGTGTTGTAGAGGGGGGTTGGTTGCACGGCCACAGTAGCATCTTTGAGACTAAGGCAGGAATTGAAAGAAGCAACCGTGGTGGGTTCCAGGGAGAGATGAACGGGGCCAATTTCCGTTCTCCCAGACGCGCCTCCGGAAGCTCCGTTCTCCAACGCGATAGGAGCAGTGTTGCGCAAGCTAGCCGATCCATGCGAAACAAACTTGCTGCTTAGGAGATGTACATGCTCCTCTAACTTCAGCTGTGCCCCGCGGCCCTCCCCAAAAATCCACCCCACCTCATCCAGCAGTACCTTACACAACGAGTAAGCTAAGGTACAGCTTCCGCGGCAACTATTAGTACCTTGACATACTTTGTAAGACCTGGCCAAGAGCTGTCAAAGCACCTCTAAGCGCTCCTCTCATGCGATAAAAACGCAAAAACGGAGGAGAGAAGTGTGTTCTGTCGAAAACACCGAGACGCTCTCACCGCTCTGTCGAAAAGCTGCAGTCACGACAATCGCTCCAGGCTTAAAACAGTCGCGCTGAGAGGTAAGTCACTTTTAATGTGGATCCCCAACCACTCGGTGGGGCCAGAAGTGCTCGTTCCCGGCCTTAGCTGGGGACGCGAGCCGCTAGGCCTAATCGGGACAAAGCAAAATTGTCCCACCTCTCGTAGGCTGCTAGGGTGGCAGCACCCCCACCTGCAACTTGGCGCAGCTGGCAGTTTCCATTCCCCCTCCACGAACCTCCGCAGGCCATTTTCCCCCTCTCGTCCCCCCTTCTTTCCCGTCATCAACCCCTCCCACTTTCGACTTCGCACCCTCACCACATTCAAAGCGGGCACGCACTGCACTGTATTATCAAGTCTTCGCTCTTTGAAGCGAGACGACATACCTGGCTAATTTGGCGAAGGCCATCTTACTCAACCCACCAACTAATCCATTTCCATGATCATATCACCAATGAGCAGTTACACGATTCAAAGTCCGGAAGACACACTTTAAATCCCACGGGAGCGCGCGAGCGAGCGAGGATCGAGGAAGGAGTCGGGCGATCTCAACTATCGTTCTGTGAGGAGGGTTGCAACACCACTTCCGGGCCGTTGTCATTGTCGTCGTCTCCGTCAAATCCGCACTGCACAACCGAGTCTCGTTTGACGTGCAAACGCGACGATCTCCAAGATGCCTGGCGCAAGCGTGGCAGTCATGCCATCCCCAGCAGCATCCGCGCCGACTGCGCGGAAGGCACCACTTGCCCCGGAGAGAAAATACAAGTGCCAATTCTGCAATCGGGCCTTCAGCAGGAGCGAGCACAGAAGCAGGCATGAGCGTTCCCGTATGTCCATCCCGTCTGCTCTTTCGCGTCGAATTTAACTCGTCGCAAATTAACAAAGGATACAGACACGAAAGAGCGGCCGTTTAAGTGTATGAAGTGTCGCAGCACCTTCGTGCGACGCGATCTTCTCCTCCGCCATGACCGCACCGTCCATGCCAAAGATGGGGGTGTTCCCCTCCACAGCGATGGCAAGCGTCGCGGTGGTCCTAAGGCTGCCAGGCCTGTCAGTGGTCCTTCTAAGTCTGCAATTGCCATTGACACATCGGCTCTCGAACAGCTTGAGGCCAGTAGTGACGCGATACTCGACGTGGAACACGCTGCCATGCTTATCACCGGCTTTCAGCACAACACGTCGGCAGCGGCCAAGGACGGGCACTACGATGGCAGTTCGAGCATGGGTTTCTCACAGGATGACTCTACCATGATGGAGACCTCGGTGACATATTCTAATGGCGCAATTGGCCTGCCGCAGTGGGATAGTTTCGTGGACCAGCCGGAGAACAAGGCACATTCCATCGACGCGACTGCTTCGACCGCGTTTGGCGCCCAGACTCCCGGCCATTTAGCTCCTCTTGTCGGACAAAGTGCGAACACTGTTCCTCCAGGCTTGCAGGCCATGATCAACTCCCTCCCGCCATCAGGCGCCGTCACTTCAACTTCGCAGTCGCTGTTTGCGCCGCAGCGCGCGAGTGCCCCGGCCGACGCCTCGCAGCCGCCCGCGGGATTCAAGGCTCCTCAGGTTATCAATGACGAGGAACGCAACGTGATCCTGGACAATATCCGCAGCGATGATAGCGAACATGCCATCCCAGATGGCTTCCGTCTCCCCAACCTACCCTCTCTGAACCGCTTCCTGGCGACCTATTTCGGCCTGTTCCACCATCACCTGCCGTTCCTGCATCCGGCCTCGTTTGAACCAACGCAGGTGTCGCCTGCGCTCCTTCTGGCAATCCTCTCAATTGGCGCCCTGTACGCCTTCGATCAAGAGCATGCGTACATGCTCCATATCGGATCCAAGGTGCTCGTCAACCAGTTCTTGCAGAACAAGGAGAACTTCAGCTCCCGGAAGTGCCCGCTGTGGACGATGCAGAGCTCGCTGCTCAACATGATCTTTGCCAGCTGGAGCGGTGATCCGAAGGGTCTTGAGTGGGCGTGCTCCATCAAGAGCCTGCTCGCCAACATGGTCGCTGGGAATCGTTACGAGCTGAAGCTTCGGCAGGAAGCGCGTGAGGGTCGCTCGCCGACGCGCGCTGAGTGGATCGAAGACGAAGGTTGCCGCCGTACATACTACGCCGTCTACATCTTCTTCGGTCTTCTGACCCTCACGTACAACCACACGCCGGCCATCAGCTTCAACGAGTTCGAGGACCTCCAGCTGCCCTCCACCGAGGCGCTGTGGAACCTGAAGGTTGTCGAGGATGCCTGGCAAGATCACCTGAAGGCGTCCCCTGTCGTGACTTTTATGGAAGCGCACGACAATCTTTTCCAGGGGGAGATACTGAAGTACAGCGCCTTTGCGACGCGTGTGATGATCAACGCGCTCTTCCTCGAGGTCTGGTATCACAAGCGCAGCCCTGAGGCGTTGCAGGATGTGGTTACTGAGTACAAGCTGCGGCTTGCTCTCGAGACATGGGAGAAGTCCCTAGATCTATGCGAGCCCGAGGCTTTTGCGGTGCCGCTCAGCGCGCCTCACAAGGGCCATCCGCTCATCTTCAATGCGAAGGCTATGTTCCGCAACGCGCGTGCTCGGCTGGAGGTGGACCTGAAGACGGTGCAGGAGGCGCTACGATACCACGACTCATACGAAGTTGCGGCGGCCATGTCGAACGCGAGGGACCGCGTGAAGCGCTCGAGCGAGATGCTCAAGGTCATTCAGGAGTGCTACAACTGCATCGAAACTGCCGTTCTCCAGGGCGTCCGCTGGGTAGCCCGTACTTCGCCGACCAACTGGAGCATTGAGCACCCGCTGTGCGGCATGGACCTCATGATCATCCTTAGCTTGTGGCTGTATCGCCTGGAACATGACGAGGAGCCTGCAACTGAGGAAGAGCAAGTCATGTACCACCGTGTCCGCCAGCTGTTTGACAAAGACCTCGACGAGACGTATGTCACGCGCCTGAGCTCTGTCGTGGCCCGTCTATGGGGCTCGATGCTGGACGAGGTGGTTGTCTGGGGGTATGTTTTTCTATTCTATCTGTTGCAAGTCAAGGGGACAGAACACCTGCTAACAGTGCCATACAGAATCACTCGTCTGATGGGCGAATCCTTCCGCCTCCATTCCCAAGCGCTCGTGGGTTATGTGGACGATATTGCTGCTTCCTCAAGCGTCTCGACGCCGTCTATGACCTCTCAGGGTGCGGACGAGGACAGCGTGTATTAATTTGACGAAGTTGATGAGATTTCTTATTTGACTGTCGAGTATGGGCGGGGTTTCCTAGGGCATATACCTCTCTGCGTTTATCTGAGGTTTTCTCTCTTTCCTCGTTGTGGCGAGCGCTTTCCGCTGGCCAGGGTTAGGCGCCCGGAGGGGAGGGAAGAGGGGTGTTGGGGATTTGATTTCCTCGCGCATTGGTTTCCGTCTCGTTTTCTTTGCTGCATTTCTCTTCTTCTGCATATCGTTGGTGGGATCGGCAAATGGGGGGCAGGTTTGGTACGGTTTCGCATCCAGAGTGGTCCAGTGGGAGGGCCGCCGCTCCCGCAAACCTAATATCTGCACACTGTTGGCTGGTCCATGTGGAGGGCTATTTTTCTTTTCATTCTTCGTGTTTCATTAACACCACGTAGTGACTTACTAATTTGCCTTCACAGCCTTCTTCGCACTTCGTGGTCTTCTTTTTCTTCGCTTCCTCTGATACCTTGTTCGATATACTATTTCCTTTTATTTTTCCCTCCTACCTCTCGATCTTGCTTATGCGTTCTTTTTTTTTTTTTTTTTTTTTTTTTTTTTTTTTTTTTAGTTGGTTCTATCTGTTCTGCTTTATGCTTGTTGTACTAGAGATGGGCAGGATGAAGGCAGGGAGGTCGGAGGCACGGCACGTCAGAGCAATGATGATGGGTGGCGGTTGGAGTGTTCGTCGGATGGGATTTCCTATTGCAGTAGTTTGTTTGGGCTTTTTCCTTGGCGCAGACATAGCCGTGCAGAGCTCGTTATAAGAACACCAAGATTGACACCGATTCTCAAAGCTCATCTGTCGTGGTTCGTCATGGGTCAACTCGTTTCATTTAATCGATGGATGGTGCAGCACACATACATACATATCTTACCTTAGATATCATATCATTCAGCTACTACCAGTCAGGATCAATATGCATCTCCACTATTCCAATAATGCTGGCTGTAACTGAGTGAGCCCTGCTGTCATTCGTTCTGTCAAGGCTGCCCTTCCTGCCTCGCCTGCCCTGGAAGCTCAGAACAGTCTGCGAGACAACATGGCATGAAGATCACCAGGGGAAGGGGCCAAGCTAAGAACACCCTGAAGACGACTGATAGCAGCTCGCCATCTTGTTCCTGTTCTCGTACTCGACCACCCACGGGTTCCTGCATCTTCCACTTATTCGCCCCTATTCCCAGCTTTCCGTTGCCTCTGCTGGTTATGTCTTTCCTTGTCAAGAGCCGGGTACCTGCAGACTCATTTCTTGGTAACCGAGTCCTTGGCCTCCCCCTTTTATAGAGAATGAAGAGGTTCGAAGCCCTGTCGGTTATGATCCGAACGCTAGTTCAGAGTTGCTATAGCTTTTGCGGCAACTACTAATGTGCCTTTGGTACTTCGTTCTTCCTCCTGCTAATTCGATTTGGCGTGCCGTCGTGGTCTCTGAACCAGTCAGCCGGAGTCGCTTGCCCTTCCTCAGCTGGTGTGACGGGTTTCTACACTGCGTAACACACATTACACAGCCATCCCTTCTCGAAGAAGAGAAACGCCACCTGAGCTCCCAACGCCCAACTCCCAAACAACAAAGCCAGCAACCAGGTGCCCACGCTCCATACCTACCTTGCCTATGCACCAGCCATCCTCACCCAGACCATGCCCCTCATGATTGTCGCTGCCCTACTATTTTTCTGCTGCTACGCCGCCATGGCGCTCGCCGACTGCGAATGCGGCTACACGATCGCCTCCCCCCCCAGCGAGAGCAATGAGAGGAACGGCGACAACAACGGTGTCCTCCTTTTCACCGACCTCCTCGAAACAGACTTCACCCGCCTGGTAGCAGACGACGACAACAACAAGAATAACATGGCGTGGGACACGACAGACTGGGCTCCGCAGGCGTTTAATCTCACTGCGCAGCGGGCCAGGGGCAAGTATGGCGAGATGTTTGACGTGGGGAACGTGGGGTTTCATGGTGGTGGTGATCAAGGCCAACAAGAGCTGAGGCTGGCTGTGAGAAGCCAGGTGCTGGACGGCATGGTGCCCGTCGCGGAGCTAGATACGCGCCGGCTGGACATCTTCTGGGGCACGTTCCGGGCGTCGATGAAGATCTCGAAGGTGCCAGGGACGTGCGCCGCTTTCTTCTGGGTGAGCTGAAGAGGACCTAGCAATGGAGACGAAAAAGAAAATGGATTAGTGGACGCTGGTGCTGACGATTTACTTGCAGTACTTCAACGACACGCAGGAGATCGACATGGAGTTCCTGACCAAGGACTTCAACACCTCCAACAGCAGCTATCCCGTCAATCTCGTGCTGCAGTCCAGGGAGGCCGCGCTGGCCGGGTACGACGCATCTACGACGGGCAATTTCGTCAAGACCTACCTGCCGTTCGACCCGACGGACGACTTCCACGAGTATCGCATCGACTATCTCCCGGGGCGGGTATTCTTCTACGCCAAGGGCGTGAAACTCGCCGAGATGAACGGCCCCGCGGTCCCCTCGTCGCCGGGACACCTGATCCTGCAACACTGGAGCAACGGGAACCAGTACTGGTCTGGCGGCCCGCCGGCGGAAGACGCGGCGTTGGCGGTCCGATATGTCAAGGCCTACTTCAACTCATCATCCACGGCCCGGAGCCAACAAGACCGGGCAGCGCGGTGCCAGGATCCCGCTGCGCCAAACGCAGTGTGTGAGATTCCCGAGGTGACTCCGACGAATGGGAGCGCTGCAGACTGGTTCTTCACCGAGCACGGGAATACGACCAGCACCCAGACGAATTCGGAGGAGAGCGGGTCAGGGGAGGAGCGTGGCCATCCATATCGGCTTTGGCGTTGTGTTTGCTGATGAGCGGGTGGGCGGTTGCTCTGTGATGCGTTCGTTGATGGACGGTTGGGTTATGCATCGAGGGATAACAAATACAAGCGAGGTCATTCTCTCCACACCCTAATACAAGGCGTTTGCTGTATCAATATCAGCCCCTAATATACATGTCTTGCATACAAAAACCCCGAGTGGCTGGTTGGCATACAGCAGCAAGCAGCAACCGCACATCAGCAGTCTCAAGAAACCATCTCGTCCGTTAAAGCAGGAGTAGAAGCTCGACTGTGTACGGGTATGAACTGATGCTAGTTAAAGGATGAAGCCAAAAACAACAGACAGTCCCACTTCTGCCCCCCTGAGCATCGAAACCGTAACCGGCAGCGAAGCCACGGCATGTCACAAATCGTCGTAACTTGGCCGTTTCCGTCTGGTATCTGCCAGAGTAACTTCCATCTCCCTTCCAATTCCCAACGCGCCTGCCGGCCACCATGTCCCTGCTTGCATAGGTGAGGATCCAACCCGCACATAAGCTATTCGTCCTCGCCATCTGAAGCAGCCTTTTTCCTCCCTCGTGTGACTCGGGCCCCTGTTTTGGTGGGTACAGGCTTATCATCCTTGGGACTGCCGGCCTTCCCCCTGTGTGGGATCTTCCCCTTCGTCGTAGCCTTCGCTTTCGACGGGGCAGAAACAGCAGCGGCCTTCGCTTTGCGATTGTTCCGCGACGGTGGTGGAGGTGAAGGCTCTACGTCTTCCTCGTCCCCCTTCTCTTCCGCGTTCTTCTCTGCGGCATCATCATCCTTGTCTTCATCCTTCTCCTCCTCCTCCTTGTCGGCATCATCCATATTAACATCGATCTCCTCCTCTGGCTCGGATAGCTCACTTCCCGACTTATCATCTTCGTTCTGATTCCTTGCGGGGCGATTTCGAGGCTTTGCCGTTTTGACTTCCTTACCACAACCAACGGTCCCGTCCTCCACCTCGTCTTGTCCATTCTCAGACCCCTCTTCCTTCGCGTCGCTCTCCTTGCCAGAGCCCTCCTCCTCTCCGCCATCTGACCCTTCACCGTCCTCGCTCACGTACTCCCATTCGGCTACCCCCTCAAGCATCTCCTCGTCATCATCTTCTGAGTCACGTTCAATATATGATTGGTTGTTCCTCTGCCGACCGCTGCGCCGGCGCTCAGAGTCTGCCACGAGGGAGGGACGCCCCTCAGCTGACGCTTTCTTTGCTTTGCTCGAGGCAGTCTTCTTCGTCTTCGGGGTAGCCCTGGATTTCTTGTGAGCTGCGCCCTTCGCTGCGGCTTTGGATTCCTTTGGCTGGGTGGAGGTTCTGGATTGGATGCGCGCCTTCTTGGAGGCTTGGTTGGATTCCGCGCGGTCGTCAACGGATTTGCGCTTCTGCGACAGCTGTATTAGATACTTCCCTCAAGTGGGAGTGAAACGGGGTGACAGTGTCTTACCTTCTTGCGATCCATCGCCCTGAGGAGTTCGTCAAGCTTCTCATCAATCCCGTCTGGCACGAACTGCTTCTCCGCAATGGCCTGCGCCTCGTCGTGCGACCTGAGCGCCGTATACAGGCCGACCGGCAACCCGACCTTGCCCGGATAGACTTTGAACACCCAGTTCTTCTTTTCCTGCCATTTCCGGATGACCGCTTGCGCCAGATCGCTCAACACCTGGTGCTTATCGCTACCCGAGTCTAGCGCATCTTGTGTCTGCTTAACTCGCTCGGCGTACTTGTAGATCAGGCCCAGGTTGGATTCCGTCGCGACAAGGCTCACATAGAAGAGTAGGTACCGGGCGTGGTCGACCAATTCATCCAAATCTGCGCTGTAGTCAGGATGGTGCGCGAGGAGAGATAGGAGTCGTGCCATGACGGCCTCGAGCACGGGCTGCTTGTTCTCCTGAAATTGGCGCGCCCGCGATCGGATCCAAGTCTCGGTCCGCTGCTTGAACTCCGCGCTCGGCTCAAACGCCATCAGGAAGACGATGGTGTAGAACCGAGACCGCAACTTGTTATCTGCGAGGTACTTTTGCAGTTTCCGGACAAACCCGTGACGGACCTCTTGGACAGCATCTTGGGTCGTGAGAGCGAGGGCGTCAAAGTCTTCAGCGGAGAGCATCTCGTCAAAATGCTTCAGCCTGCACAGCTTGAGAAGCAGCTGTGCCGCAAGCAGTCTCAACCGTGACCTGTGGTGCTTGGGCGTCTCCTTGGTCTTGGAAAGCTCCCCCTTCGACCTTATCAACTTCATGAAGAGTTTCCAGACTGGTTTCGCCTTCTCCTTCGCCTCGTCAATGTCGTCCATACTCCTCAACCTGTTCGCGAGAATCTTGAGAGCCAGACATTTGGCTTGGCATTCCTCGTCCAGCCGTGCATCGTCAACCCAATCTTCGTCGCCGTCACTGGCGTCCGTCCGCGTCTCGAGAAGCACTTGCTGGACCGCCATGTTCAGAATCTTATCTTCCGCATCTTCGGTGACCTTGGGCGCGAGGAGCTCAAGCAGGCCCACGACGGCAAGCTTATTTAGAAAAGTTTTTGACCCATATGTCCAGTCTTTCAGAGTCTTTGTGAGAAGGTCGGTCGCGCTGATCATGCTGTTATCGTCCTTTTTGGCGAGCAGTATGTTCACCGCATACTTGGCGGCTCTTGATGGCTGGCCGTAGAGGGCATAACTGATCATGGTCCGCCTGAACTCCCTGTCCACCGGCACATCCTTGGGGTACTTCTGAGCGTATGCAGAGCAGGCCTTCAAGGTCTGGACAACTGCAGGATCATTCACCTGCGTCGCTGTGGGAGCCTGATCAACCAGATCCTTGCAAAGCTGTCCGATGTGTGTCTTGAATAGGTCCGGGTTCCGCTGAGATATCTCGGTCAGGATTTCATGGGCCGCCGCTCCCATGCCGTCTTTGTCTGACCTCGAGTATTCCATGATAGTAGACAAGTGGCTGCGATTGAACAACAGACAACCTGACCGGTACAGCAGAGGTAACAGTGTGTCGCGAATGCCGGGATCCTTGCTGGTCTGGATGCGCTTCATCAGCTCCTTGAGCGCATTGTGAACTGTCTTGAAGTCATGCTCTTGGCCAACGACGTATTTGATCAGGTTGTAGTTGCGGCGATCGTTGATCTTGGCAAACCTATACAGATCCTGCTTGGTTTTGGCGTCGTCGGGGAGAAACTGGGCGATGTACTGAATTGTCTTGTTGAGATTGGCAGTCGTTTTGGTGGCATCCCCATCGATGACGCCTCCGTTGAACAGGTCGCATTGCTTTATGTACGACTGAAGGACATGGGCGAACTGTGGCTGCCTTGCTTGCATGGCAAAGAAGGCTTTCTTGCCCGGGTTGTCGAGAGAGCGTACCAGTAGTAGTATCCTCTCCGCCCGTACCGCGTCTGGGTCAGGAGCCGGCGTACCTAAGCTTTGCGATTGTGAATTCCCGTTGGAAGCGGCATTCTTGGGACTCTTCTTTTGCGGCGGATACGAGAGTGGCACGAGGCATTCGTAGATGACGCGGTCGAGCAGGACGTTGAGCTCGAGATCATTTGCGTAGAAGGCATTGTAGATGCGGCTCGGGACAGCCCCGAGAGCTGCCGTGACTGCTTCGTTCTTGGCGAGCAGCTCTCCGGTTGCGACGCCCCAGAGCTTGCCCAGAAGGGACATGGCGGCAACTCTCACAGCCGGCTTCCTGTCACGGCAGCGGTCGGCGAGAGTGGACAAAACGGAGCCCTCCTTAGCGACACCTCCGTTGGCCCCGAGCTTCATGATAACGTCCCGGAAGCTGAAGCACTCGATGGCCTTGACTGCAGCTAGCCTGACCTTCTCATCACTGTCTGAGAGCTTTTCGCCGATGCCCTGAATCAATGCCGTCTCATCTTCGCGCCCGAGCCCGATCCAGCCAGCCGACGTTGCAACAATGTAACCAACGGTGGTCGTCCAGGCAGCACGGATGGCTGGGGATTTGTCATTCTTCCTGCTGAGGAAGTTGTGGAAGGTCAAGTTGTGTGCTTGTGAAAAGGAGATGGCGGAGAGCGGCGTCGTGAGGACGTTTTCGGCGGGAGCCTCGGCTTTATCGTCTTCATCCAACATGAGGGGCGGATAGGCAGCCGGGTCCAGCGTCGGGGGAGGCGGTGGTCCGGCTGCACCAATACCTGATATCATGTCACCCAGCGTCTCCGTCGCAAGCTGGCGCAGGTGCGTGTTGTCGGCAGAGAGCTCAGCGTCAATTTGAGGGACAACATTCTGGAGAATCTCGGGCGCCGCCTTCCAGATCTCCCGGATAAGCGTGTGTGCTTTCCTCAACTCCCTCAGATCTGACTCGGACGGGCCAGCGGGGCCTTCCTCGACGTCGTCTCCATCCCCATGGACGCCAGACCTCCCGGCAAAGCTCGTTGCGTCCACAATAACGTCGCTGAAATACTGGCTGACGCACCGGGCCATCTTATCGGGTTGCTCGTGGCACAGCTGCTTCACCATCTGGTACGCCTCCGGTTCCTCCTTGGCCAGGAGCGTGGCCTGATTATCGTCGATCTGGACGTGGTTGTGTCTCTCCCTACCACTGCCAGGAGGGGCAGCTCGGAGAAATTGGGCCATCATGACATCCACCACCTTTGCGGGGAGACTGGCCGCGTCGTCTACAAGCAAAGCCAACAACTCTTGCATGTTATGCTCCACATCCCTCGAAACCTGCTCTCCGGACGCCGACTTTGACCCTGACACGCCATCAAAGATGGTAGAGAAGAGGTGGAGCAGGAGGTTCTCACTCCCGTCCACGTCGTTCAGTAACACAATACTCTTGATCTCGGCCAGAGAGCGCAGCAAATATACGTGCTGGTTGTTGTAGGGGTTGGAAGGGTCGAAGAGGGAGGGGATGATAGAGGTGACAGTAAGATTGAAGAAATCCTAAGGGGGCTCAGTTAGCAATGGCAGTGCCGGCAGTCGCTGCCGCAATAGGACCAATATCAAACCTTCAGCTGGGACGGGGTAAAGGGCGCGTCAGGGGCGCAAAGTCTGAGGATATCGACGACACAGCAGGCCGTATATGCCCTCACCCCCTTGTCCTTGTGATTCAAGAGCTGGTGTGATGCGACATCCTTGGCGACCTTGGTGAGCGAGCTCTGGTCGGTGTTTTCCTGATCCAAGTCCGCCAGCTCCTTGGCCAAACGATCGAGCCTCTTTAGGAGCGTGTCGATGGGAATCGGCTTTCCAGGTCGCCATGTCAGTGGCTCGTTGAACTGCAGCTGCGCCATCCCGGTCTGCGAGTCCGGCTCCTCAGCCTCAGCGGCCGCGCTCCGTCGAGGCGCCATGGCACGCGAGGATCTTCAGTGGTGTTGCCGAACTGTTCAGACCAAATTGCGATTGCGTGAATGATGAGAGTTGAATCAGGCGTGAGGCGGACAAACGGGAGCGGGGGCGAGTCGGCGCACAGCAGCGCGTGTGCGACGTCGACTGGCAATTGGCGCTTCGCAGACCTGCTGGAATAATCGACGTGCGGCAGACCGATTGGATTTGCCAGTGTGCCGCTTCTGGGACCGCGCTACTCGCGTCGTGGGATTGCGCTGGGCCGCGCCTGGTAACTCATCGGCCTGTGGTAATGGTGCTGGTGAATGGATGCTGTCGTGCTGATAATTATCGGAGAAGTGGTCAGTGCTACGCGCTTCCCGTCGCGTTGCGCAGCGCAGCTACCGGAGCATGAGTGGGACCGCAACCTTCACACAAACACAGCCAATCCTTGCACGCCTTGCTATCAACCTGGAAACCACCAACATCAACCGATCAGATGCTGCACAGTACATACAGTGATCGGCCCCCAGAACACTCGGGCATATCCGAATACTTGAGAAAAGCTTAACATAAATCTTCCATACCCATTCAGCTATCCATACTCCTTTTCTGGTTAGCTGTCTGGCTGTCCACAGTTGACTAGCAGACGGTATCCGACTGATGGCTCTGATCTGCCATTAATAGACAAGTGGTATCTTACGTGGTGCTGCCCTAGGAAACGACAAACTTGATAGAATGTGCACCTTGCTACCAATATGGCCCTTTCTGTCCGTTGTGTGACTGTGTCAACTGCACGATCTTTCGCCATTGGCTCTCCAGAAGACAGTGAAGTGTCTTTTGCTTGGTCTTGAGCACCTGGATGCCAAGAACTCAGGGGCATTGTTTACCTTTGTCAGTAAGCCTTCTACCACCGATCCTTTCAGCTCTTGGTACAGTATCTCATTCTGTAACTGTAGCTCCGTCTTTGGAAAGTACTTTGCTTTGAGAATCGTTCTCCGTGCTACAGTTTAGCCTGGCATGTGACTAAGGTGTTCTCTGAATCACTTGAAGTAGGGAGCTAGAACGGAATAGATTGGTTACGACCTCCAGCAGCTTTCTATACAGGGAATCAAGAAGTGATGCCCCGGCTCACTTCCTTATGACCGATCCCATTTCATTACAACTTAGAGAGGTAGTCTGTCAGTAATTCTGACTAACATCACTCTTGTGGGAGAGCATCGGGTGGTTCTTTGCTGCGCTCTGGGGTTCGAGTACATGACTGCTCTGGCGGTTGAATTACTGTTGGTCAGCAGACAGAATACCAAATGGACAGAAAATGTCTGACTGCTGCTTATATTCTTCGGGGCATATACTAAAAGCTGATGGAAACTTGCAGCAAGGATCTGGGTGGACTAGCAACACCAACTTCCCTGAGGAGTGAGTGAATGATATCAGGGGAAATGGAGTACTCGTCTTGGTCAGGCATATAGAGTTCTATCTGAGAAGCACCATCACAGGAGCTTCTTGGTTCTCTACCGTTCTTCATCTGCAGATGGGTCGTCTGTCTTGTTTTACGTCTGGGGAAGAACCTGGGCTGAGGTCTAGGAAGGAACTGGTATCGTAACCCATGTGTGCCAAAAGTCGGTTACTGATTTTTGGAACACAAAATCTATTTACTTCTTGCCTTTTTCGGTTGTGCAGCCATCGAGCAGGCACACAATTTCCTAATCACTCGCACTCTGGGAGGTTGATAAATTGGCACATCTCGAACTTCACTCTGCCTTTCTTCCTCCAACCACTACAACTCGATCCACAACAATCTCGCGCGCAACCATCTTCCATCGTCGATACAAGTCATCTGCCCGCTTCAGGCATCGTGATTCAAGTAAGTAATATTTTCCTCTAGTCCAATATCTCAAATATCGCACGCCGAGAGGCGCCGAGAAACGCCGAGGCAGGCAACGGTTGGCCGCCGTCGCGATGAGGGCGAGCAGGAAGTTTCCGGAACATTTTCTTGGCCGGGGTAATCTTGTCGACCCCTCTAGTCGTAGTCGAGGCATCATAAGTTGTTAAGAAGCAGCAGTGTCACGTTGGGCCATCTCCTTGAGCAGCCCAGAACAGATTCCAGCATGCTTGTTTTATCGACTTTGCTTCTCTGGTCAACCTGGTCAAAAAGAAAGATCTGGCATGAGGCTCATCAGACTAACAGATATTCTACAATAGTCGCTCTGATCCTCATCTCGAATGCACGTCGACATGAAGACCAACGAGAACAACTCGAAGGGCCGCAAGGCCAACCACACGGTTCATCACGATGACTACAGCATTGTGGTCCGGACAATGAGGTTCATCATCGCCAATATTCTGGTTGCGTCCTTGTTTATGGTTTCCTGCATGAGCGTCCATATGATGAGTAAGTTCCTCAGAAATATCTCGGTCTGCTCAGCGCTAACACACGAGTCCAGCCAACACCATTGGAGTTCATGCGGCTGAGGCCAGTATTACCAAACCTGTCCAGCCCAGCGCGGTCACTGCCAGGGGTCTGGCTCTGGACGGAGCCAGCATCTCCGATTCAGCAGCTTGTACTCTCTCGTCTGCCACCACATATCCCGCTCCCTCTGTTGGCTATGTCACCTACCCCGTGTCCGAGATCAATGGCACCGTGATCGTTGTCGTTCCCACCTCTACGTGAGTTTCCCACAGAAGAAGGCAAACTGAATCAACGACCGAAGCATAGGTACTGACAAGACTTCAGCCCCTCGGTCGAGGCCTCGTGCATGCCGGCACAGACTGTGACTGTCACGGTTACCGCCAGTGGCACCACCATGGCAAGCTACGATGCCATGTCCGTTGGCGGTGCGCCGCCTCAGGCGAGCGAGTCTACAGTCAGCACCACTAGTAGCCTAGACTCCACTACTTCGTCTGAGCCCACGCCGACCGTGGAAGCGACATCTAGCAAGGCGACGATGACCTCCACCGAGTATATCACACTCACCATCGGCACCGTCACCACCTACTACGTGACCGTGAACGAGACCACCACCAGCACCAGCTCCGACGATGAGCCGGTGACCGTCCCGTACAATCCCACCGGCATTGACACAGCCGGCACGACCTGGACCTACTACACGGGCACGGGCACGGGCACGGCTGCCTCGGGCACGTGGGTCATTGTGACCCCCACAAACAACGGGACGTACACCAAGCCGACGCACACGCCGGCAAGCAGCGTGATTAGCAGCGGTGGTAGTGGTAAGGGTGCCGGCCGCGACGAGCGCGACCGCGCTGTCAAGAGTGCCTTTTACTGCATTGTGATGAGTGCGGTTATGGGTGGTTGGTTCGGAATTCTTGCTTGAGCTTTGGGTTGCATGCATTCACGGGAAGGGCATGGGAAATGTTTAGTGTTATGGAATAGAATGGAATGGAATTGGAGTGGACCGATGGATGATGGATGAGGGATAGTCTGCCTCGATTGGGAGGCGGCTTTTATGGTCAGATGAATAAATTCCTGACTGCGATCGATTTGTGCTTTTCTGTCTGCTCTCTTTACGTGGTGATCTTCGCTGCTGGAGTCATGGATGTGTCAAATGACAAAGGGGGTTTTCTTGTGTAGCTGGGCTTGACTCTGTAGTTGGGCTGGGCGGACTTGGAGGCTCCTGTTGATTTAGTTGAGCCCATACTCCTAGGTGGTTGTGTCTGAATTACCATACTCTTTGAACTTAACTGGTGCAATCATTGATGTGATGGCCATCCAAGGTTCGGAAGCACGTTGTGACGCGTAAGGGCGCGGAATCGCGTGTGATGGCGTGTTAGAAATCGCGAGCGGCCCTGCGGTGGGCTGAGATCGCATTCTTCGCTGATGCCGGCTACGGTTTACACATTTGGCCATTCGACCTCACCATGGAGCAGAGCTGTTGAAGGTGGGAACACCAATATTAATATGTAAGCTACCACGACTAGTCAGACGGTGACTCCTTTGCCCCCTAAACGCCCAGATTAGACACCCAAATATCGCGCCTAGCCCGCTGTGCCGCCGGGCACCCTGTCACATCGCTGTTCCAAGAACCATCTATAGCCAAACATAGAGACCAGATTAATCAAAAACCCCATAACTATAGCCCTAACCTGACAAACACCGTTCTGAAACCATCCCACGCCCAATCCCAGTGCCACCCGGCTAATGATCACGATGCTGCTGTTGCCTCATCTTCCAGCCATCCTTTATTCCCTTGGCTGCTGCCATCAGCTCCCCATCACTGACGGCATCCTTGATGCTCTCGAGCACGCTATTGACCGTGCTGACGTGGTTCGCCTCCAGCTTGTCGTCCCTGAACCGATATAGCCGCCATCTCTTCTGCTCATCCAAGCAGCACTCGATAATACGGTCCTGCAACGGGTCGCCCCAGCTCTTGAGCGTCTCCCATTCATCCTCGGTCAGGTACAACGGCTCCTTAAACTCGTCGTACGATGGCACACCCCGCTCGTTCCCGGTGAATACGAGCAGCCTCGCGTCGGGGACGCTCTCGTAGTCCACGAACGGCTCCGTCTGGCCGTCCGCCCTCTCGAGCTCGTTGGGCTCCACCAGCGGGAAGTTCAGCTTGAGCCGGAAGTCCACCGTGTTTTCATGCGGCGCCTTCCATTTAAGAATGTGTGGGTCGGTGCCGAATTGGTACGGGCTCGTCCGGCAGGTGAAGATCAGCCCGTCGTTTTGGTGCTTTAGACTCGGTAGCACCTCGCGAAACATCATCTCGATCCCGTACGAGAACTGCATCTCCTTCATCTCCACCTTGAAGGCCTGGTACTGGAGCTCCTCGGGGAATGCCGCGAATAGGTTCTTGTAGGGTTTCATGACGTGCTCTTTGAAATACCCAAGCCGTTTGTCGAGGGGCTTCGACAGCAGGTCGGCCTTGCCGTCAAGCGCGAGCAGGTCGAAGACGAGGAATTTTGGCTCTTTGGAGCCGTCAGGCAGCGTGTCCATGACCAGCTCCCCATCGATAAGCGTGCCGGTGTGGAAGGCTGCGCGGTCATGCGCCAGCGGGAAGTGCAGGTTGCGTTGGTGCACCCACCAGTAGTCGTTCTTACGGTCGATCAGGTAGTGGCACTCGCCGCCGTGCTCGTCAGCGGTTAGGTAGAGGAGATAGCGGATGCCGTCTGATTTTTCGCAAACGTAGTAACTATACAAGGTTAGCCAAATCGCTCGCAAACAGGAGAGCCGCCGCCCAGAGAGGGCGCCAAGCTGTAGGGTCTTACTCTTCTTTGCGCAACTCGTCCAAGTGTCGTCGGGCAAAACTGACTGGTTGCGCGCCTGGGAAGCTGTATGAATTCCGGCCCAGCAGGTTTGCCACCTCTGCGCGCAGTTCTCTGAGCAGGTCGCCGGGAGCTTTGATGCCCGGGTTCGCGATGTCGCGGAGCGGCCGCGCACTCTCGTCCATCGTGAATGGTGGGTGTGCACAGAAGTTGAACGAATCGAGAGAGTGGTGATTTATGAGAAAGCGCCGTTGAAAGTAAGATCTGTCATATATGATGTGAGAGTATGATCAGTTTGATGTAAGTTGGATGAGCAGTCACTCCAAGGAACTGAAGGAGGAGGCGTTCCTATAAGAGCTCAGGTTCACCAACTCGTTCATCAACAACCATCTTACCTTCTGTTTTGGTACCCACCACAGTGGTCCTCACCACCCTCCCACATGGGGTGGGAGGGACCCACCAAGCAGGGGTGGAGACAGCCTGGAACCAATCAAATACGTGATGCTAAGGAGCTGCGTTACGCAGCGCAGGGTGGCCTGTGCAGCACCGGTCGTCATCTTTCTTGGCAGCTCCAGCTGTGCCTCGCAGCGCCTGGCCCAGGAAGCTCCGACCCACTCAAGAGCAACTGCAACTGAGATCTTGAGGCAAGCGGCGAATTGACCTCACTGCATCACCCACCATCTCCCCGTTTCACCTCTGAGCACGGGAATTACGTAGACATCCGAAGCAGCATAATTGAGCAGACATACTCCCAGCTACAGAGGTACGCGCACAATCAAGACGAAGAGTACCTAGTTCACCAAACCCTGACGCATGACGCAGCCCCGCGATACAGCTTCTCGACCCTTTGCGCAGGGCTGTGCATGAGGTCAATTCCGGTGTTTGCGCCTTGACCTCCATCATTACGTCCATCATTCTTTCATCCGATCTATGTGTGGATGCAGCTTTTCGTCCGAGCTTTTTTTGTGGCAATCATCGGTAGACGAGCAGCAAGATGTGGAATGACGAGGATAACAACCCTTATGGCGGGAGCTTTGAGCGCAGGGACTCCTTTGCCTCTTCCGCTAACCCCTCCTCCCCCGTCACGCACGACTGTGAGTCTCTCCGTGGGAACCCAGGGCGTTTATGTACTTCGACCGTCGAAACATAATGTGGCCGCCGGAGGACTTGGAGGATGTTTCCCTTGAATCTCCGAGCGAGGATACTGACGAGGACTGGGAGAAAGTCGACCCCCATCACGATGCGCCCAACACCCCATCCTCCACGGCGGAGGAAGCCCCGCGACACGAGTCCACAGATGCCGAGAGTGAGGAGGAGGAAAATGCCCGCTCCCAGGGTGAGCTCGTGCCCCGGCGCAAACCCGGTGGTTACGACAGCCGCGTAGAGCAGATGCTCTACGAAAATCCCGAGCTGCCTATCTTGATTACTGACGCCGGGAAAAGCTCGGAGAGCGGGCGGTATATCGTCTACACCATCAAGACAGGAGTAAGGCTGACTTATGTCTTGCTGTCGGTTGAATCAGACACTGACCAGGATATCTCCAGGAGCTTATGGTGCGCCGGCGCTACTCAGAGTTTGCCTCCCTCAGGGATGCGCTAACAAGGCTGCACCCAACCCTCATCATACCGCCCATTCCAGAGAAGCATACCATGGCCGATTACGCCGCGAACCCAACGAACGCAAAGCAGGATCAACAGATAATCGACCTGCGGAAGCGCATGCTCGCGGTGTTCCTGAACCGATGCCGTCGGATGGAGCAGGTGCGAACAGATGGTGTTTGGTGGAGGTTTCTTGACCCGAATTCGAGCTGGGTAAGTTGTGGGCTCCTTAAGAACCCTAGGAACGGCCTCTCGATTAATACGTTCTAGAGTGAGGTGTTGCACTCCCATCCCCTGGCGTCGATCCCCAAATCAATCATGAAGGCGCCTCCTCTAGACCCCGCCAACCCTACTCCTGGCCACGAGTTTCTCCCCGTTCCAGGCAATTCGGCAAGGCTGAAGTCCGTCCCTGCTCCATCTGTAGCAGACAGCACAACCGGTACGCAGGTCTTCGCTCGTTTCCCACCGGAAAGCAGCTCCCTGAGCGAGCATGAGCTCGACCCTTACTTCACCGCGTTCGAGGCGTCTATCAGGGAACTGGAGGCGCTCCTCATGGGCTCCATGGAGAAGGTCAACCGGCGGACACTTAGCCATTTGTCGTCTTTGGCCTCCGACCTGTCTGAATTGGGTGCCAGATACAACGCTTTCGCTCTCTCGGAACCGGCCCCATCACTCGCGCCCGCGATCGAGAGGATAGGGCAAGCAGCCGATTCATCATATATCGCCACCGAAGAGTTATCGACCTCGCTGGGGGCGAGTTTTGCCGAGCCGATGCGCGAGAATGCTCAGTTCGCAGGCGTCATTCGCAGCGTGTTACGGTATCGACTATTGAAGCGGGTGCAACAAGAGATGACGAACGACGAGCTCAACAAAAAGAAGATGCTGCTGGACCAACTGGAGCAAAGCGAGGCTGAAGCCAGAAGGATTGAGGAGTACCTAAGTGGTAGCCAGCAAGTACAACCACCAAGGCGCTCGACCAGTACGAGGGAACCGCCGGCCCATCGCCGCGATGTCGGTAACGAGGACACCGCGTCGATTGACTCGGATTTTCCCCCGACACACGGTGATTTATCCTCGGCGCCGTCCGCTAACGTCGGAGCACCGGAGAGGCCTGCTGCTGCTCCAAGCCATAGAAAGGCACCAAGCGCGGCATCGATTACCGGTAGGATCTTTGGTCCTATTCGGCATGCTGTCCAGGGGGTGGTGGACGCCGATCCGGAGAAGACGCGACGTGACACGATTACTAGGACGAGAGAGTCGATTGCTCAGCTTGAGCAGGCAAGGGTTGCGTCGGCTCAGGATGTCAAGGATGCGAGCGCAAGCATTCTCAAGGACCTGAAGAGGTTTCAAGGAGAGAAGGAGGATGATTTGAAGCGGTATATGGTGAGTTCCTCTGCCAACTTGAGGGGTTTCCGAAATACTGACGATTGATGCAGCTTGCCTACGCGAAGAGTCAGATTGAATGGGCGAAAAAGAACAAGGAGACATGGGAGGAAGCAAAGGCAGAGGTTGAGAAGATCGACGAGTCGTAGGCGCCGGTTCTTTCAATCTCACCGGCTTGCAAACGCCGTGCCTAGACATAGAGGCCCGGTAATACCAAGCTTACTTACCTTATAATGTGTTACGATAGATACCTAGGTATCCCTGGACCAAACATGGAAGCGATGCGTGGCCAACAACGGGAGCCTTTTATTAGAATGAGTAGTGAGTATTGTATCTCATAATACTCGATCCTGGACGACATAGCTACATTAAGAATCAATGTTCCTTGCACCTGGACTGCATGTCCCTTCTTCAACTGTTCTTGCCAGAGTGCTTCCGATCAATCTACAGAAACGGTGCATGCACAAATGAACCACGTCCTAGAGATGGATAAAGTGCTTACATATCGTGTACAATACAACATAAGAACCAGACATGCCAAAGACCCCCTTTCAGGCACTTTCATCCTTGCAACTGCCTGCCTGCCTGCCTGTATTCATACGGGTAGCCATCCCAAGCCTTTATGATCCCGGCCGTGGTGCTTGCCCAACTCTTCACGAGATGTCCCGGTCCTCTAAAGCCCAGGGTACATAAATCCACACAATCACTTCTCTGTGTATTGGCTCAGGAACCTTGACCGGGTCTCCTCCCTACTTACCTAATCGTCACGCAGAGCATGGCGTATCAGACGGAACACCTCAAACAAGGATGGAGTCGGCTCCCTTTGTCTTCTGGCTTGCGAGCGGCGCCTGCTACCGCTCGGTGCACGCCGAGTTCGCGAAGGCCTCCGTGCGCTCGAGTCACGCGGCGGCGGCGGTGGCGGCGGTGTGAACGTGCGCCCAGGGTTTCCGGTACTACTACGCTCGAACGACACCTGCGCTCGGCGGCGTTCGGGGGTTGGGAATTGTATGTCTGGACTTGGCTCCACTCTTCTGAATCTGGGGCGGGCGGATAGAGAACGCTGCCGGGGTAAGGGGGACAGCGAGATGGAATCTGAAGGTGCTCGACGAGGCGCCGGGCCGCGATCGTCGCGGCAGCTGCGCCTCTCCCTGCTCGGTTGCTGGTTGGCTTTGTGACGGGGTTCGGGCAAACCTATCGGGTTGCACACGGCCTCGTCGCTCGAATTGATGTAGCTGGAACTGTAGCTGATTTCGGACTGAGATGCGGAGGAGCCGCAGCGGTGTGAATGCTGCTTGCGCACTGGTGGTTGGTTCTGTCGTGGGGTTCGGGCGTGGTCTTCTGCTCGATGATGGTTCACCGAGGACTGCCGGGCCCTTTTGCTTGGGGACTCCCTCGTGTGACCTCTTGCACGCCCGTCTGTTTTCGGGGAATCTGGACGCGGAGGAGGGGAAGGCGATCGGATTCTGGCAATGGTAAAGGAGGAGGAGTTAGACAGGGTCCTGGCGTGACCAGGTACCCGCGGTTGTCCGCCCCAGGAGAACCAACGCCGCCGCTGTCTCTGATCCCTCGCCAGCGGGGCTGCTTGCCGCATTCGTTCTTGGTTCACCCGCGGAGGTCTTGACCATGGGTTTGGCTGGGGTGTCCAGGCCGGCCGTGTCGTCTCGTCATTCCTCTGTTTGGGGCCGTAACGCTCAAAGTTGCGCGAGGCGGCGTGGTTAAAGTACGGAGGGGGCACATCTGGCGGGTAAGGGGCTGTCGCTGGACCTGAGCCAATAGGGACTGCATACTGCGTAACTGGAGGAGGCGCGGGGGGCCAAGGGACTGGATGTCCAAACGGTGGTGGAGGTGGAATGGCCGAAGGCGTAGCAGCCGTCCAGAAGATCGGGGCAGGAGGCGGTGGCGGCAGCACCGGCGGCGGTGGTAGCAGATGGATTTGTGGAACGCAAGCAATTCCAGCTTGTTCAGTTGTCTGATCAAGTTGATTTTCCTCCGTTTGAGTGGATTTATTGTTCCCTTTCTTTCGTCTCGCTCGCGCTGGGGCCCTGCTGTCCGTCGTGCCGGCTTCTTCATTGCTCGGCGGTCTAGGCTCACGGTAGAGCGTGATTGAGAGTGTGTTGGGGCTCCTTCGCGTCACTTCCCACTGGCCATGGGTCGAAGTCCGGGCCCCATTGTTACCGCCATGCTGGCGGTTGGGTTTGATCTTGAACCGCCAGTACAAGTAGCCCAGAACTGCTACAGATGAGACGGCGACGAGGAGGATGCCGGCCTGCGTAGCGTCGCTGAGGCAGTCCCAGCCAGAACAGCTTTCACTCTCGGCTCGTTGGGCGACTCCCTTCCCGAAATGGACGCCGGCAGAATAAGGCGGCGGCGCCATTGCTAGCTCGTGGGTGGCAGCGACAGCCAGTATCAACAGGATGGCGAAGCGACTCGGTGGAGGCCTCAAGGAGTAGATGGACAGGCAGTCAGGGAACTGGATTTGCTGGTATTATCGCTGAGTCGGTGTAATCTACAGTGAAAGAAATGAGGGAAGAGAGGGAGCGAGAATAATGAGCAGCCACTTATCGCGATAATAACCGAGTAGAGTTGATACCCCGCGTTCTGCAGAGCTGCGAAGACAACAGAGAGCATCAATATCGTTCCAGGCCGGCCGTTAGCACACAATAGCCGTGATCAAACATGCACCAATCCACACTGCCAGCCCGTGGAGCTAAAGAAGCCTCTCTCATGCCCGGCCTACGTAGTTGGAGGCTTCTCACACCACTGCTCCCACTGCTCCCACTGCTCCCACTGCTCGATGTCGACGGCCCAGTCATATGTGCCTAGAGCTAACCACCTGTTTCCTGACTTACGCAAGGAAGCCATTGAACCCCATCAGCATAGGTAGGTACCTAGGTAACCAGTCCTTCAAGTAAGGGACACCACAGAGCCTGATGTCCAGAACTCTGCTAAAGCCGCGTTCATCCCAGGCCCACCGCCATCTAAGTTAGTACCATATAGCCTCCTCCCGCATATCCACGATACTTCTCGCTCGGGGATGGATTGGAGACATTGGGGCGAAAAGGACATCCGTATAGCTCCAGCTGTTAGATCAAATGTAAGCTGTGCCGTGAAAATAAAGGGTAACATCGTCACAGTCTCTGAAGCAAATTGGTGTGAAGCATTTGGTTCTCCCGGATCATGAACCTACCTCGTGCGGTGAGGTGAACTGCTGTGATAACAATAAGGATGAGACTGCAGCCTTGTTGTGGAGGTGTCGTTGCCCATTTAGCTTGACCCAATCAGAGAGCTGCGGAAATGCATGGATCCTTGAGATGGTGATTTTCCTGCAGGGACCCACACCTCCCAGCAACCTCTTCGCGTCACAGGCTATTCAGCCTCATCAGCAACTGCTCCATTCAACCCCAAGTGGACCGCTACTGTGGTACTATTCAGAGCTGGCATCAATAGGGAACAATCCTTAGGAACTGCTCACACCATTCCCGAGTTACCTTCCTCTTCCCACGAGCTGCCATTTTTTCTTGATTTGCAGCACTGCAAAGCAACCATCCATGATGCGTCGCTAGCGACCGAGTCGCCACCACGTTTGATTCCGGAACGCCTTCAATTGATTCCGGAACACCTTCTATGAACTTGCCGTTTTGCTGATTGCTTCGCTCTTTGCGACTTCGCGGACGACGCACAGGATACCGCCGGCCTGTTTGTCAATTATCCTCAACTGGCGGCGGCTTGCTTTCACATCCTCGACGCGAGATTCTTCGCGCTGGACGCGTTAACTCAAGGCACCATGGCATCGACTGTTCTGAACGGCGGCCCTGCGGGGCCCGCGATTGGCGCCCCGAAAAGCAAGCGCTTCTCCGACATCCCTGCCACACTCGACATCCCTATGCCGGATGAGATGGAGGTGGAGATTGACCTTGAAGTGCTGCCTGACGACCCGACCGAGCTATGCACAGTCTTCGAGAACGAGCATTCGCCCCGGATATACTGGATGACAGTCGCCCTCGCGTATGCGAAGCAGAACAAAATCGACTTCGCCATCGAGATGCTCATCCGCGGTGCCAATGTCCTGCAGGCGAACCAGCGGGAGAAACTCAGCATCATTACTTGCCTCTGCTGGCTGTACCTGTGGAAGAGCAGGGAGGCGCCCAGAGTAGCCCCCGAGGGCTCGTTAGTCTCAGAGGCAAAGACAAAGGAATACTATCTTCAGTTAGCCACGCAGAGCCTTAATGAAGCATCGAGGATCAACCCAGCCTTCCCGCCGCTCTTCCTAGCTCGTGGTGTCCTGATCCTCCTGAGGGCCTCCCTCCAGCCACCGTCCAAGGCCCCCGGGTCAGTCGATTCGAACAAGGCAGAACAGTTGCGCAACGCCCTAAAGTCGTTTGAGGAAGCAATTCGCGTGTCTCAGGGAAAGAATATGCTGGCGACCATGGGGAAGGCGCGTGCCTTGTTCTCGCTTGGGAAGTACCCAGAATCTCTGGCTGCCTACCAAGAGGTGCTGGCCAAGATGCCGGACATGATTGACCCGGATCCGCGTATTGGTATTGGCTGCTGCTTCTGGCAGCTCGGCTTCAAAGATGATGCCAAGGGTGCCTGGGAGCGGTGCTTGGAGATCAACCCAGACTCCAAAGTTGCGAACATTTTGCTGGGTCTCTACTACCTCGACGTCAGTGGCCATGTGCCGATCAACAGCCCCGAGTTCATCCGCCTGTACAAAAAGGCCATGACGGAATATGCCCAGAAATCTTTCAAGCTTGACAAGAACCTACCTCTCGCCTGCGCCACATTTGCCGGCTACTTCCTTTCCCGCAAGCAATTCACGAACGTCGACGCCCTTGCCCACAAGGCTATCCAGTATACGGATGTCAACGCCGTCGCCAGTGATGGCTGGTACCTCCTTGCCCGAAAGGAGCACTACGATGGTAACCTGGACCGCGCCAGCGACTACTACCGCCGTTCCGACGATGCCCGGGGAGGGACTGAGCGCGGCTTCTTGCCCGCCAAGTTCGGGGTTGCACAGCTCTCCGTGATCAAGAACGACCTTGGTGAAGCGAAGCTCCGCCTGGAGAAAATGATCCAGCAGTCCAAGAATTACGAGGCTATGGTTCTACTAGGTACTCTGTATGCTGAGGAGGTATTCGCCAACCAGTCCGCGGCGGTGAAGGAAGACAAAAGCGCCGAGGGAAAGAAGGCCGTTGGACTCCTGGAGGGCGTCCGTTCCGCTTGGAAGGACCCGAAGAAGAACCTCGCACCCGATGCGGCCGTTCTACTGAACCTCGCCCGTCTTTATGAGAGCGACAGCCCGGATAAGGCGTTACAGTGTCTCCAGCAGGTCGAGCAGTTGGAGATTGATCAGGTTCCACAGTCAGAGTATCCTGCGGAAACGGCGGATGAAGCGGCCACCCGCGCTGCCATTCGCAAGCTCCTGCCACCACAACTGCTCAACAACATCGGCTGCTTCTACTCGCAGGACGGAAAGCATAGGATCGCTACTCAGTATTTCCAGGCCGCTCTTGACTCTTGCGCTCGCATTAGCGAGACTGAGAGCGAAGTGGACACCGACGCGCTTCTGACGACGATCTCGTTCAATCTCGGTCGGAGTTATGAGTATGAGGGTGAGATAGATAAGGCTATCGAGACCTACGAACATCTGTTGAGCCGCCACAGCGACTACACGGACGCTCGGACACGGCTCGCCTACATCAAGCTGCGCAAGAACCCCAACAAGGAGGGCCCCGACGCGGTAGCGAAGCTCTACCAGGAGAACTCGGCCGATCTGGAAGTCCGTGCCTTGTACGGCTGGTTCTTGGGCAAAGTGAACGCCAAGAAACGACCGGCGAACATCGCAGAGGACCCCGAGCAGCGCCATTACAAGCACACCCTACAGAATTACGACAAGCACGACCGATACGCCCTCGTGGGCATGGGTAACCTGCACCTTATGTCCGCTCGCGAGATGCGCCGCGAGACGGAGCAGGACAAGCAGAAGCGGAGTGCTGCGTACAATCGTGCGGTCGAATTCTTCGATAAGGCGCTGCAGCTGGACCCGAAGAACGCGTATGCGGCCCAGGGGATCGCCATCGCACTCGTGGAGGACAAGAAGGACTACAAGAACGCCCTGCAGATTTTTATCAAGGTACGCGAGACGATCCAGGAGGCACATGTTTACGTCAACCTAGGCCACATCTATGCCGAGCTGCGACAATTTAGCAAAGCCATCGAGAGCTACGAGATTGCGCTCTCCAAGGAGGGCAAGGCTAACGATGCCGGCATTCTGTCGTGTCTTGGGCGAACATGGCTCAATAAGGGCAGGGCAGAGCGAAATCTGGACGCCTACAAGACGGCATTGGATTATGCGAAGAAGGTAAATCAGTTCTGCGCTACACAATCCCTACCTAGTCTTGATTTACGCTGACCATCCTAGGCCCTCGCCGTGGCGCCCGAGCAACTTCACTTCAAGTTCAATGTCGCCTTCGTGCAAATCCAACTCGCCCTGACCCTCCACGCCATGCGCGACAGCGAGCGTACTTCCTTCCAGTTGGAAGAAGCCGCCGATGGCCTCGAGTCAGCGATCAAGACCCTCGACGAAATTGCCGCCTCGCCGTCGCCGCCCTACCCCAAACACGACATCGAGCAGCGCGCCAACATGGCCCGCAACACGCAGCGCAAGCAGCTCGAGCGTGCCCTCGCCAGCCAGCGAGAGTACGAAGCCAAGAACAAGGAAAAGCTCGCCGCGGCCCTTGAACAACGACAGGCGGAGCTGCGCCGGCGCGAAGAGGAACGCCGCAAGGCTGAGGAGGCGGAGCGCGAGCGGCAGGACAAGATCCGGAAGGAGCGCGAAGAAATTGCCGCACGCGATCGGGCGCTCGCCGAGCAGCGCGCCGAAGAAGAGCGGGCGCGACGCGAGGCTGAGATGACGACAGACCCGGAGACGGGCGAGAAGGTTAAGCGGCGGAAGCGGACGGTGCAGCGGCGCGAGCGCGACTCGCGGTCCGGCGAGCCACGACCGGCGAAAGGCGGCCGGAGATCGCGCAAGAAGAAGGCTGCCGATGGCGAGACAGACGGCGAAGACTCTGGCGCTGCTAGTGGCGGCGAGAAGAGACGCCCGAAGAAGAGGCAGCGGCTGGCCAGCAAAAACGAGTCGGCCAAGTACAAGTCGGCCGAGATCGTGGTGGACAGTGATGAGGATGACGATGGCGGGTACGGCCGCGGTGAGGAGGAAGAGGATGCGCTCGAGAGGGCGGAGCGCGCGCTGCAGAGGTCGCAGCGGGAGTCCGGTACCCAGAGCCGGAGCCAGACACCCGCGTCTGCGACGGAGGAAGAAGACGAGGGTGCCCGGAGACAAGCGCGTCGTCCGCGGAAGAGAGAGTCCTCTGCAGCGGACGGGGATGACAACGATGCTGACCGGATGGACGTGGACAGGGAGGAGGCTCGTGGGGGCCGTGAGCAGGCGGACGCGGGTGATGCAGAGGATGAAGACGATGAGGAGACTGTGACGCGCAGGTCCCAGGCGAAGAGGTCTCGTCGCGGGCGCATCTTGGACGAGAGCGATGAGGAAGAAGGGGAGGGCACATCCCCGCCTGCGGCAGCTCCAACCCCCGGCGCGGCCAGCGGTGGTGAGGAGGATGGGCGGGCTGATACCAGCATGGTTGACGCGGCTGATGAGGAGTGAAGGCGACGGGGGTTTCTGCTTGTCGCAAAGAAGGGGAAGGGACTGTCGAGACGGTAACATGTATTGTATTAATTTTATGGCTGAACTGGGTGAATCGGTTTCTAAATAGACACCTCGCTGCAGCAGAGGGGGTGATTATCGAGCGTCTGCCTTCGTTTCGGTCCCCTTCGTCGCCATGGCACAGTCGACATGTATTATGTCCAGCAGCTGCAGGGTTCGTACCCTCTTATGTTGCACCCTGCGACCTTGTGAGCTCTTGCACTTCCTATATCCCTACAGTACTAAGCTTTTTATGTCCCAACTCATCCGATCAACCTAAACCGTCGGCCGCCCTTTCTCTACTCTCGATCCTTAAGGTCGGTAATAATGTTACACCAACACCCTTTGCTTTCTAAGGTATCTATCTCATTCTAACTACAAAAGTACAATTACTGCCTGCCCGCTATGATATGCCGCAGAGCCTCGCTCCAGTCCCAAGCATTCTCATTCTCATCCCCCTCCCCGTTCCGGTGGCCAAACACCGTTCCCAAATGAAACAACCTCACTAGAATCAGCTCTTCCTCACCAAGTGCATCGACGTCTCCCTCATCTACCAGCCCAGCTACATCCGTCAGGCAGTCGTGGTACACGTCGCGGGGGTAGCGCTCGTCTTCGCTGAGCCGGCGCTCATTCGCGTCCCCTATCTGGGACAGTCGGTCGCCGACCAGGCAGAGGAAGATCGCCACTGCTTTCACGGCCCTGCGGTTTGGTGACGATGGTGAGGGCGGCGAGGCTTTACCAGCCACCGTCAAGCGCGGATCGATATTACTAGTAGTATCGAGGGAGAGCTGTGGCTGTGTCGTTACTGCAGTTGCTCTACCCGCGAGTGGATTCGTCTCTCCGCCGTCGCCGCTGCTCCCGTGACGACGGATTATTTCGGCCAGGTGTTGGCGAAGTAGGCCCAAAAGGACGCTATAGCCGCCCAGATTGCGCGGCCAGTCTGGGAGTAGCTCTTTGAGGCACAGCAAAGCGGCTACCCGCAGGGCGGGCTCGAAGTGACCTCCGGGTCCAAGCGCTGTCGAGGGGAGGATGGGGATGGAAGCAAGTAGGCGGTGATTTCTCGCGTACCTTCCTACGGGTGAGGCCGGGGTGTCAGTAGGGAATGGCGAAGAGATCTGAGTTGAGTACGGGTTGCTGGCCCCAGGGTCGGGTTCTTCGGCGCGAAGAGGGACCGGCTGTGCGAGTAGGGCGTGCATGATGGCCTGCCATTCTTCTGTGAAAGCGTGGGGTTCAAAGGCCACGGTGCCGACGTACTGGTAGGCTAGCCGGACCGCGGAAGTCAAAATCGAGAGTGAAATGAGAGACGCAATGATCTCGGGATCGATGTGCAGTTGGCTTAGGAGGGCGGATAGTGACACGGATGTTTGCTTGCGCACATCGAGAGACACCACATCGGAAACGGGGCTTGGGTCGTATGAGCGAACAAACGGGAGGCAGGGGCTTAAGGCGAGAGCCGTGGCGCCTTTAAGGTCAGCGCTGGAGATGGGCTCGTCAGCTGCCAACTCCCACTTTGAAAACCAAAGGCGGGACTCACGTATAGATCTCTGCCAACAGCCACGGTGGCAGTCCAGACAACCCCCCATTTAGGTCAAGTACTTTCCGTAAGCCACTCATGTGGAGTTGCCAGTGATCGAGACGGCCCACATAGCACTGGCCGGTAGGAGTGGTCAGTCACGCTGAAAGAACGCTAGCATCCGTAGATATTAGGACCGCACATACCCCCGTCCATGCCAATGTTGCGATACAGTGCATGGTTGCCGCGTCGGCTCCCTGGGCCTGGTTCAATTTCTGGTTGAGCATGGCACATATTTTAGATATGTGGTACGCGACGCAATCGGGCCGTGGCTCTGAGCTGATGATTGCTTCCGAGATGCTCCCGCACATGCGCACGCAATGCACAGCTGCCCCGTCCCCGGTGACCATCGTGTAGAACTCGCCTGTTCTAACCGGGTTGTACGTCAGGATGTCCTCAAATGGATAGAGACAACGCAGTGTGTGGTCGAATTGGCGCTCGAATAGCGCCCAGTTGTCCTCAAACGAGCAGGGATCTGGCTCCGGGAGATCGTCTGCCGGTGTATCCATCGCTAGACTGTCGAGATTCGGGTCTGTTCTGAGGATGTTCTGGTACAGGCCCGGGTCTTCGATTTGGAACCTTTGCTCTTCCAACGGCGTTGCAGATGGCTGAGGCGGTGTTCCAGCCCTGGATATCACCGGCGACCTTTCTCGCCTAGCGGCCCTCCGTCGCCGTCTACTGCCCTGGGATGCGTCTGAGAGTTCCGGGGTCTCGACATCCCTCCGGTGAATCTCCGGTGCCTCGTTTCCTGCCCCAGTTCCTTCCTCGACGAATTTGATCTCGCGCCGCGGCGAAGGCGACCCAGTCGCTTCCGGCACTGTCGAAGAACCCGATCCACAAGGATCGTGCGGAGATGCGTTGACGAAGGAAAGACCGTTGAACCTTTGCCGCGAAACCTGCAGTCCTCGACGAGTCTTGATCAGCTTCCCATCCTTGATTGTTGCGTTGAAATGGTCCATGGCCTCGACTCCAATAGGCACTCGTAGCTGGCGTGTGACATGCCCAATGGGACAACTAACAGACACGGGCTTATGGGAACTCTGTTTGCGGTGCGGACACCCATCTCGACGCGGCCGAGAGCAGGATAAAGTATTCCTGAGGAAGTGGACAGCGTGCTTGATTACCGTTCTCGTCCGTTCGTAAGGCCCGAAGCGGTCGCTGGGGTTGTGTCCCCAGACACCCCGAACACCATGCTCGCTGTGCCTCGTAGAGACTTGTGATACTGAATCGTTCCTGGAGACGGCTGAACAACACCTGCGGTTAGTAATCCCTGGGGCTAGGTGGTTAGCTCGCGGGAAAGCAGCCTTCGGTGACGCTCAAAACTCGGGTTGACGGGCTAGCTAAGCTATACGAGGTAATACTACCGGATACGGGGGGCCTCCCGCATACGGTAAACGAATCAAGACTTGACTTCCACGCGCTGCCAAATTTGTCCGATCCCATGAGTAATCGGCATGCCAACCAGCCTTGGATGCCCTGGCATGCCTGGTTCCCTGAGTGATGGTCTCGTACCCTGCTGGGCCGAGATTTTGGCGAGCCAACGACACGGGTCGCTGGAGGGGCGATCCCATGGATACGCGCTGTTTACAAACAGCTGGGCTTTCCGAGGGTACAAAAGCCTTTTCGGAATGATGATCAAAGAGCCCCTCTATTGGATCTTTCGCGCAGGGTGGCGACGCAGCCACTGCCGTCCCCGTGACTGACGGGCCGGGCCTCACGTCAGCCTTCTGGTTTCTGGTAGGTCTCTAGCACCGACCTGCCGTTCGCTCGTACATTCGGAACGGACAATTGAAACGTCTCTCGGCCTCAGTAGAAGACCTCGCCCCTCATCAGCACGCGAGCAGTTCTGTACAGCTGGGCCGAGAGGACCTCGCCACCTTCGACCTTCGTCCCCACGTCCAGCGTGCCACTTGGATGTCCGATAACAATGGAATCGCCCTCGAGCATCCCGACAGCAAGCTGGTTGGGTATTGTACCCTTCAGCCCTGCGGCGGCACCAACACACAGTGCCAGTGTCAGCGGCACAGCCTTATGTGCCTGCCCCATCGACAGAGCGAGGCACCTGAGATTGACTCCCGGGCTCTGCTGAGCAATGTTCGGAGGAAACACGACAACAATCTTGGGAACGCTCTCCGTTCCGGGATCCAGGCCCATCATAGAGGCGCCGGCCTGACGGATCTGTTCCAGGCGGACCTTGAGCCCCCTGTTCGCTTCGACTGCGGGAGGATCCAGATATGCGGAGTCCTGGATGGCCAGGTCGGAGAGCCGAACAAATACGCCTGGGTTGGACACATCGACGAGAGATGCTTCGACAGTGGTCCCGTCGGGCAGAGTAAGGGTATCGACAACGTTGCCTGTTGGTAAGGTCCGGCCGGTCTTGGCACCCCCAGGCCTGAGGAAGCTGAGCGAGATCTTGGAGTGCTTCCCGGGCACACCATCCATCTCGTAATCACCGTGGGGCCAGTACCTGGGCGGGTCTCCAACAACGGGGAATCTCGAAACCACCACCTTGGACGTGTTGGTGTTCAAGATGCGCACTACGCCCGTGCGTGCACCTGTCTCGGGGTCCTCTTCAACTCGGCCTAACGGGCAGGGACCGTCGTCGAAGCCGACCGGGCCAACGATGGACGACATGTTCCCACAGTTGCCTGCCATGTCTAGGCTGCCGTCCTTGACGCCAACCTGCACGAAAGTAAACTCAACATCGGCAACATCTTTGTTGGGGCACGGCGCTAAGACGCATATTTTGGACGTGGACGAGATGCCTGAGCCCATGCCGTCAAGCTGACGTCCGTAGGAATCCGGTGAGCCCATGACCGCAGGGAGGACCTTGTGCCATTCGGACGCGGGCGGCAGGTGGTGCTTCCAGAAAACAAGACCATTGGATGTTCCCCCTCGGGCAAAGATGGCAGGCAGCTTTCGCAGAGCAGGGGAGTGCAGTTCCCGTCTCGCCTCAGCATTCGCTGCGCCATGGGATAAGGCGGGCGCGCGGCAAAATGATGACGAGAGATACCGCCACATGACGAAGTCAAATATCGGCTGTTTGAGAAGTACGCGCATGGGAATTCAGAGTGCAGTGGCCAACGTCAGCTCTATCCTGGGGAAAGAGCGATGACTGATCACACGATTGAAGGGGGGACGCAGTAAGCCCTAACCCTAAAGGATATCAAATCCCCATGACCCTCACCCCGAAAGCTGAGCCGTCTCTATAACTATCACAATGGAACCTAGAATGGACCTCGGCATTCCCATGTTTCAGAGAACCGGGAAGACGGCAGGGAGAAACGACAAGAAAGGCCAAAAAGATAAGCCTCGATAGGACGAGAGTGAAGCCGGGCCAAAAGGTTGGGCACCCGGGGACCTTCACAGAAGCGCATCTTGGTCAATGCGAAGCGAAAATCATACCACTAGACCATGCACCCGTAGGCTTGATTGGATGGATGTTATGCCAGTTGCAATTATCAAGGTCTTCTGTAGCAGAGGAGACCAAGAATCAACCCTTCCCATCTGTCGCCGACCCATTCATCGGAAGAGATATTGGGCGGTGGCTGATACATGAACCAAGTTCCTGATCATTAACTTTGTGATTGTGGGATGGCGATAGCCCAGATGGGAGCTCAGAAGGACGACCAGGGAAATTTCATACACGACGAATCATCGAAGACCCATCTGGCCAAGTTCTATACTTTTGGCCGGTGAGAACGAAGAATATCGAGGCAATGGCAACGTATAGTACAGCAGTCCAGATCGTTGACAACTGGAGCCATCGCTAACTTACCTTATCCATGGCCGAGATATTCGTCTCGCCAGGCTGTAACACTGTTAGTTCTTCACGTTGCTCACAAGGCCAGGAGAACTCACCTCCAGGGATCAGCGCCGCGGCATACATGGCCAACGAGATGGGGCGCAGATCCTCGTCCGTCGACTCCTCAATGTAGTGATGCCAGAAATTCACCACCGCCTCCACCCCCTTCTCCAAGTCCTCACCCACCCCATAGCACTGCAATCCCAAGCATGTCCCAAACTCCCTGAACGCCAGTCGTCGCGACGCATCCCTCGCCATCAGACCCTTCTTCTCGTCGAACATGGTCCTCGCCATCTCCAAACTCTGAGCGCCCAGCGCCGCCGCCCAGTCCTCGTCTCTGAAGAAGTGACATATCCACAGCCCCATGCCCAAATCTAGCGGATCCCGACTAGCGTGCATTCGGCCGCTCCGGCTCATAAGCTGTCTGTAATCCGCGATCTCGCTGCCAAGCACATCCGAAGGACCCTCGTGCAACCGCCCTGCCGTGTGCTGCAGGAGGCGGTAGACCACGAAGCCCGTAGCCGCGTCGAGGTGGCCTTCGGAGGGGACGAGAACGGAGTTCATGTCGGTAGAGACCTTCCAGACCATGCGGAGGGCTTGGCCATCTCGGTGGATAACGAAGTGCGGGTGGATTGCTTTGGCAAGCTGCACGGCGAGCTGGTTGTACTCGCTTTCGCCAGTTGCGACGGCCAGGCGGTTGAGCGCAAACATCCAGAGCGTCAGATAGTGGTGGTACTGGCCGTCACAATCGCTGCCGTGCTCCGAGAGCTTGCCGATGCGAAGGCCGCCATTAAGCGGCTCCGCGTCGGTGGCCCGTGGCAGGCGGCCCGTACCGTCACGAGTGCGGCCGAGGACCTCGTGGACGGTTCTAGCGAGCCGCTTTGCTAAAGTGAGGTAAAGCGGGGAAGCTGTCTCCTGAGACAGCGTGATGAAGTTGACGACCCCGAAGGCATCCGTCCACAGATACCGGCCGCGATGGCCCCCAGCACCGGGCTTCTCTGGAGCGGTCCACTTCCGCGCAGCCTCTTCAGATACATGGTCGAAGGGTCCGTAGACCAGCTTCATCGCCTCCGTGAAGCGGAGCACCTTTGGATTGCTAGCCATCTTCGTCGACAGAGATTCGGAGTCTACCGAACATGAAGCCAGGTTCCCGCAAGAGCGAGATTGTACACTATAGCCGGCGGAAATGATTGACGTCAATTGGCGTGACGAGTGTTCTAGACGTCCAGAGACAGTCGACCGCCAGTGGTCAACAGGCGATTCTCACGGTATCTCACCATCACGTCTTTTGTTGCGGCGTTACTGATCCATCGAACATGCTCAAGTCAAGTGCTGCTTCGTTGGCGTTGTTTTGAGATGATATCTCACTTGCATCATCATCTTGCTTTTAATTCAATAAAGATCACTCTGCATGTATTGTACATTCTGTTTTCGTGATTCAGTCGGGTCCTCCAAAGTCCAAATAGCCCAACGATGGTGCACTTGCAGCCTTGTGGGTCACACTACATGCATCCTGATCAATGATGTCACGCTTGCCAAGGCGCTAATCCTTATTTGGTTAGAACTTTCTTTGCGCCCCTCGTTGGCCGCACCTTTGCTACCCCGCGCTGCTTGAAGCTTCGAGGTGCTTCTGGCGTATGCAGGAAAATCGATGAGCTTTCTTGCTGTTACTCGGAGTCAGGTGCTAACAGTGGTGCCATCTTCCAGCTTCTGGTTCTCCTAGTATCCCTCAACATTGCAGGATATATTCGAGGCTTTTCTCATTCAAGGCATAGACCTTCTCGTCTTCTGCATTTCACTCGGACCATAAAAGCGACAACATCAATCGCGAGAAAAGTAGACAACCAACTGACTGGCTGCCTTAGCGCAGATTCCCAATCGGAGCCTGACGTCACCCCGAGTTTCGTCAACAGAAACCAAAACCGTCTTGACTACAACGGAACTGAACACAAAGATTCGAGACATTAGTCTCGCATCATAATTTCACAATGAATTCCAAGATGGAGTTCACCGACCGAGCCAAGAAGGCATTGGAAGATGCCATGGCCCTGGCCGAGCAGTACGCACACTCACAGCTGCTGCCCATTCACCTGGCCGTCGCTCTCCTAGATCCGCTTCCCGACCAGAGCAAAGACTTGCAGAATGCGCCGCCGGGTACCACCAGCTCGCTCTTCCGACAGGTTATTGAGCGCGCCCACGGTGATCCACAGCTCTTCGACCGCGCGCTGAAAAAGCATCTAGTTCGGCTGCCGAGCCAAGATCCCCCGCCAGAGTCCGTCTCGATGGCCCCGACATTCAACAATGTCCTCCGCAAAGCGATGGAGCTTCAGAAGGTGCAGAAAGACACCTACATTGCAGTCGACCACCTGATCACAGCCTTGTCGGAAGACATCTCGATCCAAAACGCCCTAAAGGAGGCCAACATTCCCAAACCGAAACTGGTGCAAGATGCTGTAACAGCCATTCGAGGCACGAAGCGCGTCGACTCGCGAAATGCGGACACGGAACAGGAAAACGAGAACCTTGCCAAGTTCACCATCGACATGACAGCCATGGCGAGGGAAGGCAAAATTGATCCCGTCATAGGCCGTGAGGAGGAGATTAGGCGTGTCATCCGCATCCTCTCCCGTCGTACCAAGAACAACCCTGTCCTCATTGGTGAACCTGGTGTGGGAAAGACAACTGTGGTCGAAGGCCTGGCCCAGCGCATCGTCAATGCTGACGTTCCAGACAACCTGGCATCCTGCAAGTTGCTCTCCCTGGACGTCGGCGCGCTGGTTGCCGGCAGCAAGTACAGAGGCGAGTTTGAGGAGCGCATGAAGGGCGTTCTCAAGGAGATTTCGGAGTCCAAGGAGATGATAGTCCTCTTCGTCGACGAGATCCACCTGCTCATGGGTGCCGGCTCATCGGGCGAAGGCGGCATGGATGCTGCCAACCTGCTCAAGCCCATGCTGGCCAGAGGACAGCTCCACTGTATCGGCGCCACCACCCTAGGCGAGTACCGTAAGTACATCGAAAAGGACGCCGCCTTCGAGCGCCGTTTCCAGCAAGTTATCGTCAAGGAGCCGTCCATCCCCGAGACCATCTCGATCCTTCGTGGCCTCAAGGAGAAGTATGAAGTTCACCACGGTGTCAACATCGCAGACGGCGCTATCGTTGCTGCGGCAAACCTCGCGGCCCGGTACCTCACCTCTCGGAGACTCCCCGACTCGGCAGTCGACCTTATCGATGAGGCAGCCGCTGCCGTTCGGGTTGCCCGAGAGTCGCAGCCCGAAATCATCGACTCGCTCGAGCGCCGGCTGAGGCAGCTGAAGATCGAGATCCACGCCCTGTCCCGTGAGAAGGATGACGCATCCAAGGCGCGGCTCGCCCAGGCGAAGCAGGACGCTGAGAACGTTGAGGAGGAGTTGCGACCGCTCCGCGAGAAGTACGAACGAGAGCGCCAACGGGGCAAGGAAATCCAAGAGGCAAAGCTGAAGCTGGAGAACCTTCGTGTGAAGGCGGAGGATGCCAGCAGAATGGGCGACCACAGCCGCGCCGCCGACCTTCAATACTATGCCATTCCCGAACAGGAGCAAATCATTAAGCGGCTCGAAAAGGAGAAGGCTGCTGCTGACGCGGCATTGAACGCGAACGGACCCGATGCCGGCGGTTCTATGGTCACCGACGTCGTCGGACCCGACCAGATCAACGAGATTGTGGCGCGCTGGACCGGCATCCCCGTGACGCGTCTGAAGACGTCTGAGAAGGAGAAGCTGCTGCACATGGAGCAGGCTCTCTCCAAGATTGTGGTCGGTCAACGGGAGGCCGTGCAATCCGTGTCTAATGCGATCCGGCTGCAGCGGTCTGGGCTTAGCAACCCGAACCAACCGCCGAGCTTCCTCTTCTGCGGCCCGTCTGGTACCGGAAAGACGCTGCTCACAAAGGCATTGGCAGAGTTCCTGTTCGACGACCCGAAGGCCATGATCCGCTTCGACATGTCCGAGTACCAGGAGCGGCACTCGCTCAGCCGCATGATCGGTGCTCCGCCCGGCTATGTCGGCCACGATGCTGGCGGCCAGCTCACCGAGGCACTCCGTCGCAAGCCGTTCTCAATTCTTCTGTTTGATGAGGTCGAGAAGGCTGCCAAGGAGGTCCTGACGGTCCTGCTCCAGCTGATGGATGATGGCCGCATCACGGATGGCCAAGGCCGCATCGTCGACGCCAAGAACTGCATCGTGGTCATGACATCCAATCTCGGCGCCGAGTATCTGGCTCGACCCAACGGGAAGGACGGTAAGATCGACCCGACGACTAAGGAGCTCGTCATGAACGCGCTGCGCAATTACTTCCTGCCGGAGTTCCTGAACCGTATCTCGTCCGTCGTCATCTTCAACCGCCTGACGAGGCGCGAGATCCGCAAGATCGTCGATCTGCGGATCTCTGAGATCCAGAAGCGGCTCTACGACAATGACCGCAACGTCATCATCAGGGTCTCGGAAGCCGCCAAGGACAAGCTTGGTGCCGCCGGCTATTCGCCCGCCTACGGCGCCAGACCGCTCCAGCGCCTGCTTGAGAAGGAGGTGCTCAACCGCTTGGCCATTCTCATTCTGCGGGGCAATATCCGTGAGGGCGAGGTGGCAGAAGTTGACGTCGTCGATGGCAAGGTCACTGTCATTCCCAACCATCCTGAGGGTGATGTTGAAGACGAGGAGATGTTGGACGAGGACGAGGCGCTTGAGGAGTTTGCCTCAGACTCCATGGATGAGGATATCTACGGTGATTGAGGACGTGCATGAGTTAGCGTAAGCGAAGAGGGAGGCATGAACAAGCAGACTGCTGCTCGGATACGATTGCATCATGATAATGACTTCTGGCGTTGGGAGCGTGATTAGCATGACATTGGGTCTCTTGTATGTTTTGTAATGGATATGCGGGTTTAGTTCACCGACTAGTCGCTGGGATGGGTAGATGCGGGATAGATCTCTCGGGTTGAGAGTAAATGCAAGCTTAACGTTATTATTAACAATCCAAGTGTCGACGTGATCATGCAAGGTAAAAGTGCCACGCCGTTTTGGTAAGCTCCAAGCTTGCTTTACTCCAGTGTACAATCCGTAGGAAGTCTAGGGACTAGGGAGCAGGGACCCGGTCGCAACGCTAAGCCCCACCTTTTGTTGAGAGTCCCCCCTCCCAATTGGTTCAACGAATGCCTCCAAAAAAAGTTCGGGTCCAGCAACGCGGAAGAGCATCGCACACGACATGCCTTCCACGTTCCGCCCTCACCCTCTCTAAACGCCTCTGAACCCTCCCTGACGCCGACTGACCCTACAATCTCAGTGGCCGAAGTAGGAGGAATCTCCGCCGTCGGCCGGCGACCAACCAGTAGCACCATGAACACTTTACGACCACTGCCGCTGCTGAGCCGGCTCGGCTTCGGCGCACGAACAATAGCGGGCGTGCGACACGCCAGCACAGATGCAACACCCGCTCCTACAACACCAAGCGCAATACCGGTACCGGTACCAGCAGTCAGCGGCGCACCAAAACAGGGGAAAGAACGGAGACCGCGGTCGATCCCACCACCCGGCCATGGAGAGCGCCTCTGGGTGCACAACCACATCACTGCAGACCTCATTGTCTATTCCTTGACACCCGAAATGAAGGTAAATAACCCGCACAACCATTCCACCCTCCCACCTTTCGCCCACTCACACCCGCGCTGACCCATCTTTTTCTCTACATGTAGAGCACCAAAGCCTTCCGACAGTTCGCCTACACGGGCAAGAAGCTAGTGCCCGCCAAGCTGCGCAAGGACTACTGGCGGCCGATGGCGGTGGTGGAGTTTGCAGAGGGCAAGGGAGAGGTGGGCCGCAGCGTGTTCCAGAAGCTGCGCGAGCTCAAGAAGCGGCACTTGCTCGAGTGGGAGGACGAGGCGCTGCTCAACATGTCGAAGCGCGAGCGCGGCAAGGCGCTCAACGACCAGCGCGGCATCGCCGTGGCCGACATCGCCCATGTTTTGGCCGGCAGGGGCAAGGGAAATAAAGTTGTTGTTAGCGAGGAGGATGAGAAGAAAGCAAAGAAGGGGCGGGGGAACCACAAGGACGGGGAGGTTCCTTTGGACGGGGTGGTTGAGGTGAAGAAGGACCAGGATGCGGCCGAGAAGGTCAAGTTGCACCAGGCGACGGTTTACTGGGCGAATGAGCAGGACAAGTACTTTGCGCAGGAATGGACGGAGAACGTTATCCATGTTGTCGGTTTGCCGGAGAAGGGGACGGACAAAGGGGAAGATGCGGTTGAGCCCGCGGCGTCCGAGACCGAAGCTGCAGCCGAGGCTCCCAAGGCGGAAGCGGACTGAGGTTCTCAGCAACGGGGACGGATGGCGAGGGGAGGCCAGGGTCAAACAGAATCTCTGCATGGAGCAGACTTGCTGCTCGATGGCGTGTCTGAAATGCGGGTACTGTACCTAGGTATATTGTATTGTAACATGTATATCACGTCAATGCATAGAAAGGCAATTTACAGAGCATGCCTGTAATATTTACCCGCGGTATGGTGGTACTGTACCATGTCGATCTAGACCTAACCCAAAGAATGCATCCCAAGACGGAAGATGGCCTTTGTCCAAAGAAACGCCATAGACCATGAGTGCAAAAGACCGGAGATGCTCCCAGTCAGCCACTTCGGCATGACATACTCCAGCGTGACCTTCCATCGCTCCCGCTCCAAACTTCGGGCGCTACTACTCCCCTTCGCTCGTGATCTGGGTTCCGGTGCTGTACCTATATCCTTAGAATGTCATCAAGCAAAGTGCAAGTCCTTAGGACCAACAACTTTTGGCAAAGGACTTGAGGTACAGATAGTCGTCCAGATTTTCATTGACACACGCCCGGATGGCCCTTTGACCCTCCTCGCCATACTTTTGCAGCCACTCCTCGTCCTCTTCCTTTTCTGTCGGGATTTTCTGCCTGATGTCAGGTATGCGCACACAGAAAAAGGGAGGGAAATCGAATTGACCTTCGCATGCGTCCGAGGCCGCAACGCTGTGCTCGAGATGGCGTCATCGTGGAACCCGTTCCACTTCTCAAACGCGTCCACCGCCATCTTCTGGCCTTCCTCATCGCCCCACTCGAGCATCCCGTCGTGGTAGTCGATCCCCACGTCCTCGCAGAACGCGCGGATCACTTCCGCGGGCTTGTCCAGCAGGTCATCGGCGTCCACCACCGTGATCTTGATGTCGCCGCTTGAGCTTCCGATGAGGCCCTCCGCCATGAGGTAGTCGAACAGCCGGCGCAGCTCGTCGTAGCCGGCCTCACTGGGCATGAAACTGTGGAAGCCGGTCTTGGCGGAGAGCGGCGGGATAGTGCACCGATAGTAGGAGGGGATCGCGCGGCGCGGGTGGCGGATGAGGAAGGTGAAGTGGAACTTGCGGAGGAGCTCCAGAGGAATGACCGTGGGATTGCGGACTTGAGGATCCCGCGGGGAAGCGCCGTTCGGCGTTGTGCCGTCCGAGGCGTTGCGCAGTGACGGAGCGATGCTGGCCTCCCGCCCTTCTGGCGGAAAGAGGTAGTGCGCGATGTCTTTGATGAACACTCGCTTGCCCTGTGTTGAGTAGGTTAGGAATACTACTCGTGAGAAGGTGATGTATTCTAGGGGGTTTGCTTGCCTGGCTCTCGGGAGGATTGATCAACTGATCCATGACGTCTTTATATGTGGTGTTCGCAAAGCCACTCTCGTTCCTGGCCTTCTCGTCGTTCTCATACCGTTGGCTCAGCCGCTCGGGGCCAAAGTAAAAGGCGTCTCCAAACGGCTCGTGAACGCAGTGGAGGATGTCTCGCCGAGTCATGAACACCCGCTCGAAGGCAGTCGAGCAGGCTCTGGGGTGGGTTGCCACAAAGATGGGTTTAGACGACGTCATGGTGAGGATGAATATAGTATTGACCAGATACAAATGGATTGCAATTAAGGAAAATATGCCGTGGAGAACTTCGAATGGGAGTTGGGGATGGACGGAATGTGGGAGTAAAGGGAGGCAAAGCGAAATAGAGGTGAAAAGAATGGATGAGAAGGTCCTGTTCTTCGGGCGCCCGTCAACTTTAAATACCCTGCACATACGGATCTTTAAATCACCCAGGGCAGCCATAGGTAGCCGAGATCCGACGACTGATGATTTTAGCCCTACTATACGTCAATCGCCCGTACACAATAGGGACTTCGAAACGAGCTACACCCGCACGGCCCTGCGCCCCACGCAGCACGAGATCCGAGGACGGAATCAAGGCGCACTATGAGCGTTTGAGTCTCATCAGGGAGGGGACTTAGACGTGTCCGAGCAAAGCAACGAATAAGACAAATGGTTTGAATCCATGGTGGGCATCTTTGTAATGGGTTCGCTCGGCAGCCTGCGAGCCATGATCCCTGCTTTTCGATTCAAGGCGTGGGTTTTGGTGTGGGGGGTTGATGCGAGATCTGAAGCGATCAGGATCTCATTGGTGTGGATGTGCATCCTGAGATGCATTGACTCGCACGTGTGCGGCTGTGAAGCAATAACGGCTACGAAAATGCGGGGAGCCGACTGATTTGAGCGCCATTTGGAGCGTCGCTTTGCGGCAAGACTTTCCTTCAGCGTCGCTCGTGGTTGAAATGTGCGGCGAGAAGTCGGTTTGTATTGTTTTGGATGGTGACGTCACACGTGAACCCTGACCTGGGGACGCTTTGACCACCTGCAGGGAACTTGAAGGGAAGGCAGCTACTGCAAGAAAGCCGTACACCCAATTCGCACCGGCAGTTAGTGACATACACGATATGGAAGGGGGTTCTGGATCTGCAAATGGAATCGAAGAAAAAAAGAGAAAAGAATAAGATGAATGGCATTGACCATAAGAAAAAAAAGATAAACAACATCGGGTAGTGTATTAGCAGCTCGGATGAATCTAGTTACGTCTTCTAAGGCCTGGAGAACGTTCGGCTGAGGAAGCTCAGTGTACAGCCTTTTCTGACCAGATAGAGCCAGAGTCGAGACTATACATCGCACTCTGTTCTCTACGTCGGGACCAACGTCATGCTCTTAGGTGTGGAAATGTGACCGCGGGAACGCCAAATCCCTCAGTGAGGATCTTCCAAGTCGACGCAGGTCTCTTCAGATTTGAACTGTACGACTTCCTTCTTGCGAGGATGCACACTACACTGTGCGTCTCACTATGCGGGCGCGGCAGCACTACTACCTCAAGAATGTGAGATGTTCGGCCTTGTGCGGTGAGACTGCTCAAGGTGATGCATGTATAGAATACTAGTACGTTGCATATACCTTTTTTGCCATGTCCTGAAGTATGTAGAGCTTAGAACTAGAATTCAACATCATTCATTTCCAGCTCCGGGAGGAGCACTCCCTCCACAAGGGCCGGTTCTTCTAGATGTATTCGGCATTTGCGATACCGCCACGTCTCAGTCCCTAAATATCATGCATCTTCCTTGATTACAACCATACGGCACGGATGATCCTCCCATCATTACCACAGTCCGACGAAAGCCCGCGTCTAAAGGCGCACTTCCCACTGTGGATGACGATGATTATTGCGACTTCTTTTCGCTCTCTGCCCTCGCTTCATGGCCCCCCCTCAAATACACGGCAACCAACTTCCACACAACCCATACAAACCCGAGCATCACCGCTACCGCGGTTCCGGTGTTGACCCAGCTCGCCTTACCCAGATCTAGTACCGGCACTCGCACCGAACTCACCAACAACCGACTGCTACTGTCAGCCGGTTGCGGCTTGACATGCCAAAACACCGTCCCGGCATTGAACAAGCCGTCATACCCCAGATTGGCCTTCTCAAAGGGGTTGGGCGGGAACTCCGTTCCCTCATCGGCCTCACAGGCCCAGAACACGACAGGGTACGGGACATCGATGGTCGAGTAACCGCCCTGTGCGGGCGTGAGGTACCGCAGGTGGAGCGGTATTTCAGCCGTCCACTGCTGCATGCTCGAACCTCGGGGAGACGGAGGTGGGGAGAGCTCAACCAGGACAGCAGACCCCCATTGTTGCATCACATACTCGGGTGCTTCGAGATCCACAGGCTGGGTGATGTATCGCAGGGCGGTGAGGTTCTTAGAAGTGAGATAGAGGGGATCGGACAGTTGATACTTGTCTGCGAAGACTATTCTGGGCAGCGTGAGGTAAGCGTACGGGGAGCAGCGGGTATCCCCGTCGTCATCGTGGGGAGGAGACGAAGAAGGGGGTTGATTGGAACTGAGAAGAAGCTGTAAAGTCGGATGGAGTCCGGTTGGAGTGAGAAATCGAGCTGAGAAACTGGATCTGGCGTCGCGGTGGCGTGAGGCGAAACTGAACATGGTCGGTGAGGGCTTCGAGTCTTGGCCGAGGACAGTGAGGAGGCCTGAAATCCCGACTTCGTGCGCCTCCAGGGTCTTCGGTTTGTCGACGGAGAGAATGCCTACTTCAGTTCGGTATTGCGGACGCGATGTGGCATGCACCGGCTGGCGTTGGTAGGGCCAAAGGGCGGTAAGACGGATGACATGCTGAGCGGCGTCATATGAGATGTCGAGTGAGCTGGCTCTGATCAGGCTGTCTAGCCTGGTAGAGCAGGAGGTGTCGTTTTCTGGACATAAATTGATCTTGGCATAGTCAATGAAATGTGATAGGCTGTCAAGCGCCTGGAAGTACTGAAATGCCGTCGACTGAGTGGAAGTGTCCCGGGGTAACGATGTGAATGATTCCTAACAGCATGTCAGCCGACATACTTGAAGCTTTTCTCTGGGTGCTCACAGCAGGAGTTGAGCAGGAGATATCTCCGAATAGCTCGCTCAATGTCGTACATAACCTATTTCTGCGCCGGGCATCAGCAGCACGCCGGTGATTGCCGGAAGCTCGGGGCTGACATACGACATCACATCTTCAGTCCCAGGAGTTGTGAAGAGGTGAAAGCCGGGAGGCAGCCTCGCAAGCAGCGGGCTAACAGCGTCATACGCAGCTTTGCTGACCCATCGGATATGCAGGTTTCGGGTGTCGCCGAGCAGAACTTGCAGCTCCAGTGGGAGCTCACGGAGGGCAATGGTCAGCCTATCCTCGAGAGCAGCGTGTATCTCCGGCCCACGGATCGTGCCACCCTCGATGGTGATCGCGGATGGCTCTATCGAGTCGCCCAGCTTCTGCACATATGTGATACGTTCGCGCATGGTTCCAAGATGTATCGACGTGCGCGTGGGATGAGGTCTTGTTGAGCCTCAAAAGTCAAAAGGGCGGTCTTGAGTCTCGGCCTGTGCCAGCTGGCCGAGCTGGTCGAGGTTGTGCTTCCCCAGATGCTTGGCTTCGATCATCCGATTGGCTATAGTGTTGAACCCACGCGGCCGGAAATCCCCCTTGCTCCTTCCCAAAGCAACACCGGGACAGGACAGCGCTAAACCCGAATCGGTGACCGGGAGGCAGCCGCTCAGCCCTTCTCGGCGGGTGCCACCCGGAAAGCATTCTGAAGATGGAACCTGCCACGGACAGACACGGGCCAAGGAAGAGGGAAATCCCCTGGGCGCGGCAAAGAAAGTCTGACAGCACACTTTCTCTCCTTCCCAAGCATTGACGGTCGCATTCGAGATTGGAGGAAAGAGCAATGAGCCGACCGACGCAGCACGGATAGAATCTCGAAACCCTACCAATCGCCGAGCAAGCGAGTTAACGTTACCGAGTTCCACTCCGTATGTCCGACGCCGTCCCGAGACCCTCTCCGGCGTACTAAGGGTACCGGGCCTGAGATCGTGGACTCTTCTTAAGACGTTGGGGCCTTGGGCCTTTCCACGCACCATGGAAGAGTCTCCATCCTTCATGACTCTCCGGACGAGGCGCCCAGCGAATGACGAGAGCAGCATGAGCTTAAGCAGCGCCGATTCTGCCATGTAGTTTTTATTTAATCAGGACGGCCTCGATCGTACCCTGGCCTACGGCTCACTGACATCCGCTATTGTAGTACGGTTCTGGCACCGAGGGCTCTCCTTTGGCCACACACGACATCAGCCGGGTGAGCTATCATGTCAAGCACATCGAGAGCTTCGCCCAGGCTCTTCAGGATGTGAGTAAAGACACTTGCTGGAGAGAGCGGGCATCCGTTGGACTTCGCTTCTGACACTTGAAACCGGCTTGCAGTCGGCAAGCAGGGCATTCCCGAACCGCGGCCGCGCAACCCAGAGGTACTCCAAAGTGCATGCGCTCATGCTGCACTGGAAATCCGATGACTTGTTTGTGTTGCCCGAGCTTGAGGACCTAGAGAAGTGCTTGCGCGAGCACTACAACTACGAAACCGACATCTTCTCCATCCCCTCCGAGAACTCCCATCTGGAGCTGATGCTCAAGATTGGTGATATGGTCAAGCAGCATGAGTCTGATGACACGCTCTTTGTGGTCTACTACGGCGGTCATGCCCGGATAGACGAGTCACGGCAGAGCACGTGGTGTGCGTAAGTGTTGTATCCGTCAACAGGTTCGTAATCTTCTCGTCTGACACTCATCAGCAACCGGCGTCCCGGGTCACCGTGGCTCCAGTAAGTCCTAACAACTGTCCCTCCGCCCTAAGTGGGCAAGACCAGTGCTCACCACCTCCAATAGATGGTCAGCAATCCAGACACTCCTCGAGAGATCCATCTCAGACGTCTTGATCCTCCTGGACTGCTGCGCTGGAGCCGCAAGCGCCACCTTCCCTACAGGTCAGAGCATCACCGAAACTATTTCCGCCTCTAGCTGGGATGCCATTGCCCCCGATCCGGGCAGGTATTCATTCACAAATGCGCTCATCGAAGTGCTTGAAGAATGGCGCCAACGCACATTTTCGGCCGCTATGCTGCACGCCGAGATTCTTGCCCGCCTGAAGCACCCTCGGCCCATCCTGATCAACGGGAAGCGCTTCGAGGCCCGGTCCACTCCAGTGCACTTCATGATGACGTCGAACCACAAGGCACCAAGCATCGAGATATGCCGACTAGTCCCCCGCAGCCAATTGCCGCCTTCACCCCCGGAGGAGCTCGCCTACTGGAACCGCCCATCTCTCCCGAGGATGATTGAAGGGAGGAATCCGGTCGAGCAATACCCCTCCGTTCCCGACTATCGGATTCCCACCACGTCCGAACCGAACGAGGACGAACCCCATGTTCTAATTTCGTTAGCGCTTGAGGACGACCAGCGGTTGGATCTGAATGACTGGGAGACGTGGCTTGCCGCCTTTCCTGCAATCGCAAAATACGTCAAGGTTCAAGGCGTTTTTAAGAGTCATTCCACACTCCTCTTGCTGTCGCTCCCCATAATGGTCTGGGATTTCCTCCCTGATGATCCCGCATGCTCTTTTGTGGCTTTCATCCGGTCAAACAACCTCCTCCAAGCTCAGAAGTCCAACCCGGAAGCAGTGGACTCGCGCGTCCCTGTTGCCAGCGAAGGTCCGGTTTCAACTTCAGCGCGCGACGATGCGGAATCCTGCCTGTCCGGAACTACGTATCAGCCAACGGAGAGTCTGAACATTGTGAGACGCGGGACGGCCGGCTCCGGCGTCAATCGAACTTCTTCGACTGTTTCTGCCCCTTACCGAGACCCGGCAGCAGACTTCAGGCCGTCTCCACAAGTTGAGAGAGCCTCGCGCGAGAGGTCCTCGCAGCCATCAGTGGGATCGCGGCTAAGGCTTCAATCCTCAATGGCCAGTCTTGAGGGGTCTTTGAGAAACGTGCCCTCTACAACTTCGCTAAGCACGCTCGAACGTCGCCAACTTGGCCCACTGTCTCTGTCAGGGGGTATCGGCAATGATTTTGCATCTCCCACTGAAGGAATATCAAGGAGGATGATTCTCAATCGATCCCGCACCTCGAAGAAGTCCGTCTTTTTATCAGGCCAGGACGTCCCACGGGGCCAGGAGATGGCTCCACATGTCATTCGGCGCCTGGAAGATTACTTCCACAAGGATTCGGATCCAAGCGTTGCTGTAGTTGAGCATCTTGCTTCGAACCTTGGCGTCGAGACATCAGACATCCATGTAAGTTCAAGTCCCAGCGGCACGAAATGGGCCCTTGCTGACAAGTTAGGTCTGGTTTCACCATCGTCGAGAGCAAGAGCGGATGACATTCAACCTGCGGAACCTCAGGATAGAAAGCCACCAACCCCCGGCCGAGCGTGGGACTCGCATGATTCTTCCGGGGCATCTGAACAGACTACTCGAGATATATCCGTCCAAGGGCATCCTCCTCGTCGACCTGCGGTCATCGACGGACTTTGAGAGATCGCACATCCACGACGCCATTAACCTGCGCGCGCCTATGAGCTTCATCGAGCACACCTCGCTCGAGATGATCGAGGACACATTCATGGATGACCAGAGTCGTCGCAGCTTCAGCAAGTGGTCCCAGTGCAAGGCGATTGTCTTTTACGATCGGGTCATAGAATTCGACTGGGAATGCCCGGTCGCCGAGGCCTTGTATTCCAAGTTCAAGCAAAGAGGCTGGCAGGGCCAAGGCTTTATTCTCAAGGGCCATTACCGGGAGTTCTCTACGTCGTTCGACAAGCACATCAGCGGGGCAAAGATGACCAGCGAAGCCAAGGAATACCTTGACAGCCTCCGACAGCAGCCAACTCTCACAGAGGTAAGCAGCTCTTCACCCTCAACGTCCATGACCGGTTCGAGATTGACATGATACGTAGGAGGAATCAACGAGGCGAGAAGAAGAATACCGCGAATGGCTCAATGCGTTTACAATCCAACACCGCGTGCCGACCGTCGACCTCATCCCTGCCCGGAAGCTTGAGCGGATACGAGCTGTAGAGCAGCACCAGAAGGAGCTTGAGGTAGAATTTGAAGCGCGGTTTCCAGCGTTGTATAAGAAGGCACAAACCATGCGTCCTTACCTGACCTTTGAGGAATCGCCATCGCCGCCTCCCCGGTCACCCCCTCCCCCTTTCCCCAGTGATTCACGGTCATCTCAGCGCTTCAAGGACGTTGACTGGGCTGGAGCTGGGAAAGAAGACGACGACGGCGACTTCGATCTGAAGAAGGGGCCGTTGGTTGGCCCGCTTGCAAGCGGGTTGGAGAAGATGCTCGAGGCCGGCAAGTTATCGCGTTCGGCTTCCGGAACTCCTTCCCCCGGCTATCGTGAAGACTACCCCGAAAAGGCAAGGAAAGACATGTACGCCGATGATTACGAGAATGACTACGACGAGATTGATCCGAAAGGTGAGGGGTTGAGGAATGACCCTGGCTTTCAGAGGGCTGGGGCTGTGGGCTCTGAGGAGTCTAGGCCCGGGAGTGGGCTGAAAGTTCACGAGAGGGCCGGAGTCGAGGACACGTTGAAGAAAGCGGCGAAGAAGAGGCCGCAGATCTGGGAGCGATGGAGAAGCGGTGGGGGCAAATGAAGTGCAACATGATTATCCGGACGGTGAAGTTCTTGGATCTTGAATAATTTCTGTTGCCGAGGACGGCATGTGCGATACCAGAAAGGAGTTTAGGGGGTTCATTTTCGACGACGCGGAATTTTCTGTTGGTGCAATACCCAGCCGTCGCCTTGCATATCTAGCGAGCATATATCTTGAAAGTCGAAGCAATATTCTGCACATCCGTTTGTGTCTCGAGGTACATGCTATATCCCTGTGTCTTCATCTATTCTGTCACCATTTGCTTCGGAATATGAATGAGTTTGTAATAGCAAGCCACCAGCTGGAAGCGAACGCAACTTCTTGATCCCACATTGCCATTTCGTCGCATTATTTTCCGAGAAGAGATGCCAGTCTCTGCCGCAAAAGCAACGACATCTCTAAGTTTGCCCGTCTCCCGCGGCTGAGGACCGAGCGTCAAGTTCGCTCCGGTGATCCCGGCTCCATGGACGGCGAGATACGCAACATCACCGCCAATGCTGGCCATTCCTTTCACACCAGGCATAGTTACTCGGTAACAAACTCTCCGTCCTATCTCTCAAACTGAGCTCGGCGGTTTGACGGGGGCGCGGTAATGGGTTCCATTTACCCATTAGTCCGCCCACCCGCCGGTAAAGTCTTCCGAGAAGAGAAACACTCCCTTTAGCAAGATAATCCAACTGACGCTCTGCACCGTCGCCTTGGCCCAGGCCTGACTCGTTGAAGCCTAACAGAGAATCGTCGTGTCGAATGGAACGGCGAACGGCCCGTATCATATGCGTCTCATGAGGGATAATAGCCAGTTCTGCAGAGAACTGCGCCTTCACCAAGCTCCAAGTATCAGCAAACAATCAGCATGTGAAGCCCCTAGCAGGTTAAAAGAAAACGAGTGGACTATCACACACCATCACGATCCGTATCTCACCTGCCCAATCGCATCTGGCATACAAAGAACCTCTTTTCATCAACAGACCTGTCCATGTCCCTGTCCGTTGCGATTAACATGACTCGGCCCCAAGAATTAACCACGATCATGGCAGGCGGCACATCTCTTGGCAAGTGGGAAGTGAATACGGTGAACAATAAGAGAACCGTATGCGGCAGATACAACATCGTGTATTCACCGAGGTATGGCCATCTAATCCCGTGCACGGAGTGACATTCCCACCACTTATGTACAACTACCGAAGTTGTAATGAGTAACACCTCTATAGGTATAGTATCGACGACAAGTCCAACCCGGTTTCTACCTGCTTCCCCTGTCCCGGTGTACGCGTTGCTATCATCACAGTCGCATTCAACGGTGACGCTTCAACGCCAAAGTGGTGCGTGCATACCTAGGTATTGTACGTATAAGTTGCGATTATATAGCCACATGGTCAGGGGCGCGGTGCGATGTGGCACGATTGGTTATTACATAGACATCTATACAAAATCTCGTAAGGCTTTATAATATATTGACTGCCAAGGCAGGGATTCAGAATCGAACGGTTTCCTTCCCCGTTTCCTGGTCCTGGCTTCTTAATGTTCCTGATATTGACGTGGGCGCGCAGATCAGAAGCGCGGGGTACGTGGCAGTTGAAATGTACGGATCATGATATTGTAATATGGCTCTGGGCACCTTATATCAGCCATCCTTGCCCATCTCTGGCGTTTACACAGAGGACATGGCGGTCTGTCAATGCCTTACTTACCTGTACCGGCGTCCATGGTTGCCGGCAAGTGTCATTTTTTTACATGGCAGGCAATTTGCGACTGGTCATGCAGCTCGAAGTCCAGGGACTAATTGCCTTACCTTGCACTCGAACTCTCAATAACACTCTATCCCGAGGGTAGATCCAGTGCATGCGACTGCCTCTCCGATATTCTACAGAGGGACGACTTTGGCCGAAGTCTCGAGAGTTCGGAAGATTCCGTCTTGGCGGACTTTAACATCACCGGGCAGTTTCGACTTACCGGTCAAGCAACGCGTTGTCCTGCGAGTCTAGGTAAGGTATTGATTCGTAATCGATATATCTACAAAAGATCATGTATCCGAGGAACGCAGACCAACCTGGAAGCCACAGGCTGGCAAATCGCAGACATTGTCCAAGTCGAGCCGGACGGTAGCAACGAGCGAAGGAAAACAAGGCAACCTTTGCCGATTCTCAAATAGTGCCTTATTAGTGCGGATACCGGTCATTAACGCAGCGAGATCGACACAGTGCGAGATCTTAAGCTGTCAAAGTGACAATTGCTGCCCCCACACGCGCCTTGCCGTTCTGGGACATTGGCCGTTCCTTGCTGCCCACACCACTCGGGAATTGACTTTTAGCGTACAGTTCAATTTCTAGCGGCAACCTCTCAGAAACACCTGCCCAAACCAGCCAGCGAAGTTCTACCGAGTCCGGCGGTCCGTATACCTAGACACATTCTCTTTGGCGCGCCTGACAATCTGCTATGTAAGGTTGTAGTATGCCCAAGCGGAACCCTCTCACCGAGGCATTTCCAAACTGCAAAGGAGAACAACGCCCATGACACACTTGAGAAACAAGAAGAAGAAAATAGCAGGCTTGATGGAACCAAATCGCCGATCAGCTAATAAACATGCAGAGAAACAGATCAGAGCGACTGCGAGTTTGACGTTCGGTTTCACGGGAAGACATGCCGGCCCACCCGAGCCGCAAAGGCGGAAGAGCAGGCTGGATGCGGCAGCACGCTCCGATGGCAGCCCCTGTCCGTGCAGGAGATGACTCCGTCCTTGAGTGACTGCTGCAAGCGTAGGACGGAATATTCCATGTGGTGGCCCCCTTTTCCGGCCCGTTGTCTTGGGTTATTACGGACGCCCAAGCCCCGCCATCCCTTCGATACCTACGAAGTACTACCTCTGTGAGACTCGGTGTACAATACAAGGCAAGGCCAGAAGAGCGACGAGGCGGGTAAAACAAAACGGAAATTGCCTGGCCACTGTGGGGAATGTTTTACTCACCTCACATTACCTCTGATGAGCTTTTTTGCCCAAGCGGTGGTCTAGAATTGACTACTATCAAGTGTCATTAGAGACATAGTGAGAAGGAGCGTGTTAAGGACATTCACAGCAGCATTAGCGCTGCCGCGCGGCATCGGTTCCTGCAGCAGTCTGATAATCTCATCAGTTACCGCCTGATTAATCTATGCATGTCAGGTACATGCATACATGCCCTTTCTGGAGAGTCCATTGTTGACGTGATGAAGGAGCTACGGAATAACGTTAGGTGGGGTTGGAGATGCGGCATTCCGGGGATTCTGCGCCCCACACTTCCAACTCCCTCCTGAGGCAGCTGGGCATCAGGCGATAACGTTAGTTGACATCTGCAAGCATCATCCGCCAGGTTTCGGTCAAGGGGATATGTAGAGCTGTTGACCTGTCATTCATTCCTCAGGCTGCCGCCGCTGTGATGTCACTTCGCGACGGAGACCGGGCGACTCATGAGATCCGAGACGGCCGGCTGAGGGCCTGTCATACCGACGACATTGCTAGCCCGACATGGAACCGAGACACACAGTCTGCATCCCCAATCTTGACTCTTTTTTTTTATCACGAGGTCTTGTCATACGATAGACTCTAACAAACCCGCATGCGGGAACGGAGGCGTCGGACCGATCTGTCAATCTACCTGCCTACTAGTATCATGTTCAGCTATACTAGAGTTGCAGTTGAAGAAGTCGTTCGAAACAACCTAGAACCTTTTCCATACACTATCTACCGACTCTACACTACGATGCAGGTAGCGGGGCCTCGCGAGAATTACCTGATACGGTTAAGCTCGTCTTGCCAGGGACCCTTGTGGGTGGGAAGGGGTTCGCCGGCGTCTCGCCGCCGCGGCAGGGCTTGCCGCATGCGCAGGTTGACGGACGGAAGAAAACTGACTGACAGGTCCCCACCTTCTTTTTGACACAGTGGCCCGAGACCAACGGCCGCCGCGAGCCTCGAGGAGAACACGGAACCGGATCTTCAACAAAAAGTGACCACACCGCCCCCTGGTCGACTGTCAGTTGACATGGGATGTGGGCGGATTTCGATCGTGTTCTCCGTTAGAAGTGGGGCTTGCGGCCTCGACCTCTTGTGGTCTTCACTTCTTCATTTTGTGTTCTGGCACGGCACTTTCCTCGTTTGGGACACATCTTGTGGCTTGGATCATGATCCACTTCAGGGGGAAAGGGTTGTTTTAACTTTTGAGTCTTTGACGGCTGTTTCTACTCGGGCGGACATTCGAGCTCAGCATTGAGCGGTGAAAGCTACACTAGGGGAACAACAGCATCTCACGGCGTCGGCCGAAATCGCTTCATCAAGCTTGCCTTACACCTTCTGCCACACCCCAAACAAGCCAGTGTTTTGGCCGACCTCTATGCAGCACTGGTCCAGAGAGGCGTTGCTTAACAGGCGACTGTGGACGACGCTTCGTGTGTCCCTTGACCTGGCATGAGACCTCAGCAATTTCGAATTCTCCGCCGTGGTTGCGAACGTCCCGTGGGTGGGTAGCAACAGCTCAAAACGGGCGACGCGCAGCAGATGGGCGTCCGGCTGTATGCTCACGGATATGTACGCCGCCGAACGGGGGAACATCGCCCGCCGGGTGCTTTTGTCCCGGCTGAGGTTTATCCTTCGGTGTTGGGATATTGAGATGGGGTGCCCATTCTACTGTATGTACTTGTACAGTACGACTCCAACTTGCGGTCGCACAGGCCCGGCCAGGCCCGTTGCCATCCCGCCGCTCGAGTTCAACGCTCGTGTCTGTCTGCTCACGTGTAACGCGGTGATCGTCGTGGCAAGCGCGCTCCCCGCGTGCAGTTGCCTATTCTGTATCGGAGATTTCTGCTGCATCAGCTCCCACCCAGAAAGGGGGTGCAAAGACCGATCCTTTGCTTCAGAGCGACCAGGATGAACTGTTGAACCTGAAGCACTGGTTCGGCATTTCTCGCCTCCTGCTGGTCCATGTCTACGGAGGCTCCCTAGCCTTTGAAAGGCCACACAGAGATTCATCGCGTCGGATAGCTGCCGTGCATTACCTTGCGGTGAGACAGCAAGAAGCAGCCTGTTATGACACCCTCTCTGATCGTACAGAGCGATGTATGTTGTGGCGTTTTCGGCCTAGCCATGTCTCGGATGCCAGATCTTCGGGGCCACTGCTTGAATCTGACAGGCCGAAGTAAGTCTTCGAGTCGACATCGCAGAACACGGCAGGTCAGCCTGGTTTGTGAGAGGTCTGGTGAGTACAGGTAGTAGGAAGGCTGCCTAGTTGGGCACAACATGCATGTTTTGGCGTGAGGTGCAACTCCAACACTCACCGCCAAATCTGTAGCACATACCTACATACGAGGGCACCAGCATATCTACCTACCGGTCGGGCACGCGAACTCGTCAGTCCAAGCTCACCGACAGCACGGAGCCAACGCCTTCTTGCATCCCGATATTTTGGGACTGTCGCACGGCCGCATTCTCCGGGCTGGCCGAACGAGTGCCCCATCGGCATTTCCAGCACTGAAACGCTGGCCTGATGACAAGGTCGAAGTTGGGAAAGAGGTGCGGGCCCACGTGCCTAGGTTCAGCCCGTCCAGGAGCGAAGGGAAAGAGGCTGGCCCGAGTTCTCGAGTGGGTATCACTGCTGTCTCCTAGCCCATTCCTCATTCTGTGCCCCTTCTCACCCATGTTTCATCTGATGTCATTGACAACAGCCTCGACGGATTCCGCCTCTGTGGAAATCGGGAATCGAGTCAATTGACGGGCGGACAGCACACAATCGACTTTTGTTGCAACTGCCCAAACGGGCAGCCAGTGTTCGTCACCGTAAATGTACGGTGTCTGCTGTGAAATGCAGGAATGCTTGCGTGGGGGACAAGCCGAGGCGACAGCATCCCTGCTGCCTCCCCCCGGCAGGCGGATCGACCCACACAGTCTCCAGCTCCCGATTGACATTTTGACAGGCCTCCCCCCTCACCTTACACTTTGGTTATGCGTATATCCTTAATAACGTTAGCGCTACCTGTCAACATGCATATCCCCTTCCTCGACCACGAACATTGCGTGTGTCTGGCTTCATTAACTAAGACTCAAACGCATTCTGGTCATACTAGGTTGAGAGACGCAGAGCGTGTGTTGATGGAATCATGCCACCTCCTGACCAACCTCTCTTACACTATCAGGCCTGAGCAATATTGAACACTTCCCGTTGCATCGGCTGTCACTGCCGTGCTCTACTACCGATAACTTGGCCCCGGCGCCTAGTCCGGGGGCCTGTTAAGTTCTAACGGTTCGTATGGTGCACAGGGGGGTGTGTTGTGGACCGGTTTCTCCGATCCCATGCTACCTTACCAGGCTCAGGGTTCGGGGCCACAGCCGAAGCGGGAGCTAAGGTGCCATGTCGGTAGGGGGCGTCAATGTTGCTGCTGGTGGTTCCAGGCGCCCCTTCCATGGGCCTGCAGTTTAGGTCCTTTGCCTGATCTTGATGGACGTGTAGCCAAGGTGAAAAGTCGTCGATGAGCCTCCTCCGGATATTGCTTCTCATACTCCCAACAAATGCTCTCTCGACAGCCAACGACGCCGATGTCCTCTGCTTAACCGTGTCGATATTGCTTCCGTTTATTCTAGCAGTTGCTTTCCACGTTGCCTTAGCATAGCCGGGTCTACACACTACAACGTCGACGCCCGCTCATCAAGTCCGTCGAATATCCTGCAGTAGAGCAGTTGAGAGCTCTCGTTTCTGTCCTATCCACGGCATACCAGTCGGCTAGCCGTCAACAGCGTTTCTTCATCACCCAAGCTTACTACCCGGCATTGTTTTCGTGGCGCCCTTGGTCACCAGACATTCCACTTGACGTTGCCCGTGGCATTTTCAGGGCCAGCCAAGGGCTAAGACTGCAATGGTCATGGCCGCCTTTCCTTATCACCACAACACATACTCACACGGCGGATACTATGCGCGACAACCCAGCCACAGTGTCTCCATGGAGCCGCTACGGGACTCGAGGAGAGCCAACCTTCCGCCCCTACGCGAGGTAGGTCACCGTATCAACCTCCCAGCGGGCTGCTGATCGGCTAATTGGCCATAGCTTCTCTCACGCCTTGACCAGATCGACCCCCGACCTCAGGAAACCGGCCCCAGAGGCTACCCGCCCACGGGTCCGGATACAGCGAACGGCAGCAGCCCAGCCACACCTCAGGGTCACTACACACTCTCGCCACCGCAACCCCACGAGCTGAACCGGCCCAAATGGTTTCAGACTCAGGAAGAGAGAGAGAGCAGGGATCATTGGCGTCATTTGCCCGGCCGATACCCAACACCGCCTCGAGACGCTCCGCCGCCTGCTTTATCGTCCTCCGCCCCCCCTCCCCGGCCGCCTGTCGACCGGTGGATGAGTTCTCCTTACAGCCAGGGGCATCCCGACATCCAGCGGGGACCTGACATCCCCACAGACCATAGCCACTCGAGATTCGGATCCTTCCATGAAGGGCACGGCCCAGGGGGGTACAGAAACGAGGAGTATTGCGACCGGCGGTACGACCAGGGTGGTGCCTACGTTCACGGGCACTACGACGGCGTAAGGGGTGGCAGCCAGATCTACGACGGCCGCGGATACGACCCACGCCCGTCGGGCCCGGGGTCAGCAGGAAGCCATCAGCCAGACTCTCCCGCGATCCCTGCTCACCAAGCGAGAGGGAAGCGGAACCGGCCAAATCTGCCCAAGGAAGCGGTCGATATCATGATGGCCTGGGTAGACGACCACATTGAGAACCCGTATGAGCGGGAGGACAGGCCGGAGCTGATACGGCGGACGGGGCTGGAAGAGAGTAAGTCGTTGTTTTCCTCCCGTCAAAATATTCCACAAGACGCAGTCTTTTGCTCACACGAGACCTACCTTTTTTAAACATTTCAGGACGGGTAATACACTGGTTCACCAACTTCCGCCGCCGCAAATGGCACAAGCATAGGGTCGACTTCTACAGCCGCGAGGTGAGCAAGGCGAAGGCGGCGCGCCACGCCGCCGAGGAGGAAGCCGCGCGCAACCCGCCCTGCTCGGCCGCCGCCGAGGCCGCGCGCCGTGCCGCCGATGCCGCGGCCAGACGTGCCGCGGAGGCGGAGGCGGCCCGCTCGGCGGCAGAGAAGAACTACCTCCGCGCCAAGGAGAGGTGGGAAAGCTGGGAGGATGACCAGAAGCGGAAGCGCGGGGCCGAGCGGGAGGTGAAGAGGAAAGCCGGGTTGTTGGTTGACGATGACTCGGAGGATGATCTTGATTAGGGGGGGCGGTTGATCCGCTGGTGTTGTGTCCTGTTTTTCTTTCCGTCTTTCTTCTTCTCTTTAGGCCCTGGCGTTTGGTGTGGAAAATACGGCGGCTCGGGCCGGTCAGGCGGCGTAGTCATTCCTCGGAGTTGTGGCGCTGGCATCGGCAGACGGAGAGAGGACGACGGCACTTGATGGAAAAGACTCCGGTGCGCTGCGTAATGTTTTATTTGGGATGGGCCTGCGCACGTACAGTACATACAATCATCGTGACCTTTCAGGACCCCTAAGTCACATCATCGCGCTGCTGGCGCTCTTCGCCGGCAAGGTGCCCTTGCCAATGCGTGCACACCATCAAGCAATTAAACACTTGACCGTCTTGGGACAGCATCCCAAGCAGGTAAGTTTACCTCAAGCAAGGCAACCCATTAGATAACGTCAAAAAAAGAAAGGAAAGGGAAAAGAAAAAGAAAAAGGAAAAAAAGAAAAGAAAAAGAAATAACGTAGAAGAAAAGAGGAATGGAACTAAAACTTAAAACAAAAAAAAGATTGATCGTAAAGAGCTGATAAACCAGCCACGGACGAGATAATCTATCTATACTACTATTACTGAACTTCATATCTAACCATTTTATAATAGGTTTCTAAGCAGCTTTAAATATTACCTAACCTAAGGCAACCTCTTAGTACCCTATCCGATGGACCTAATGATCTATCTTTCTTGTACAGTATCTCGATCGCCGCATATGACGAAACCACAGGCAGTCCTGCCTCTGAAAGGGTTAGCCGGTCGAAGGTATCTGCTGGTCGGACTATAGGTCTCGGTGAAGCCAAAGGGTTCACATCACTGCAAGTCACAATGTCTGCACAGTAGGTGAAGGCTACTGATTGTTATTGCTCACTAAAGAAGCTAGCTATCTGAATGAGTGACAAAATGGTAGAACTATATACAGCTTCCTCCCTTAGGTACCGGTGTACCTGATTCTGCTGGATCGATGATATCGAACACCGATCTCATAGATCCGTCCTGGCTCGACGGGATCGAACCTTTTCTGATTGGTCCATCTAGGACCATAATGATTGGACGCGGCCGTCGCCCGCTGACCATGCAGGCCGGTCCCACCGGCTTCTGCAGGTTAATTCATGACACCGCATAAGCCACTTGATAAAAGGCTAGCCCACATCAGGTAGTAGTATATATACTATAGAAGTAGGGGTATAGCTGTTAGAATTCTTTGTGATACAATACTTCACGTTCTATAGGGCCCGCTTATATAGTTAGTTATCGGGCGCTACTTTACGCTAGAACCTTTAGCTATTATAGGTAGTTTTGGCAAAGCTGTCTTACACTTTCTGGTCACAATCCGATATAGTGTAACGGCTAACATATCGCGCTTTCACCGCGAAGCTCCGGGTTCGATTCCCGGTATCGGAGGGTTCTACCTTTTTTAGACCTTGCTATAGCGCACATTACCGACTATATGTATCGTACTCTTATAGACGGCGAGAGCAGCCTGCCTTTACAGATAGCTATATATATATAGCTACAGATCGTAGCATCGTAGTATCTTAATATTTAACAAGAACTCCTTTATATATTCATCAAATTTTAGCAAAACTTAGTAAAGCTACTAAGGATGTCTATTATAGTAGGAGCGCGTTAGCGCTGACCACACCGTAGTCAGAACTGACCGGCATAGTAACGGGGGTCACCATCACTCCCATGTACTTGAGTTAGAAACTTCCTCCTGCTCTCACCTCAAAAAGGGCATCAATCTTACCACTGTCTGATCTTACGCTAGAGTTCAATCAGTGCATACATTCCAGTCCTCGCCTGACGACTCGGAGGTAATCCACGTTGCAGTCTCGCGTTATAGATAGCCGCACTGCCGTCCGGCGTTACGGATGGCAGCAGGAATCAGGAAGACTTGCTCTATATTCTAAAGAGTGTAACTAGATACCTCTTCCTTATAAGAGTTACCTAGATTCAGGTTTCCTTGTTCCTTCCTTGTGTATATAAGTCTTATCCTGGTGGCGATGCTATAATAGTACTACCCTCCGAAGTGCGCTATATCTAACGACATTTCAAGTATAGGTAGTAGGTTAGTTGAGGAAGGAGCTCTCGAGGACGGCTATGTCCTGGCTATCCCGCACACTTCAGGTTGCCATTTGAGATTGTTTCATATTGAGAACCGTACCGAGAACGAGCGTAGATCATCTGTCGCCAACGGAACCGTTGACTTATATCAGTCTCTACTTATCCTCAGCCATACTTGACACTTGAAACCATGTCTGATTCCGTGATCCCTGAGCCGACTACGCCCCTGAGAGATCTGGCGAGGCGTCACTAGGTAGTTTACAGAAACCTCTCTCAGCATGTTCGGGACACCATTGGGGACTACGATGAACCCGTTGTTCGAGGCCCAAGCTACGCCGAAGCCGGGGGTCAGGCCCAGGACATCGTGGACAGCTACATTGATGTGGAGTCCGAAGATCTTTACGCGCTGGCCCCATTGTTGCACGAGGTGAAGTGGCTCCATGTAATTCGTGATATGGTCTGTATGGTTGCAGATCAGCGGCGCGGTCAAGAGATATCCGCTGCCATTGCTTCCGCTCCTCTCGGACATCAAGACCACCCAGGGAACTCGGCTACCAATGTTTCGGCTCCCTTTGTTAGAACTGATGTGCTTACCCGAATGCGCAATCTTTTCGTGAAAGCAGGTGATGATTATCATTTTCATTACTTCGAGGGAGCAAGCTACGAATCCCTCGAGTCTCGGGACCAAGTTTTCATTGATGAGTTTATCACTGAAACTCAGAGAGATCTCGCGGATGAGCTCAGTGACATTATCACCGACCTTGCCTCACCCGGAAATGGACAGCAACTCATCGATATCTTGCGGATACATGCTGTAGATGCAGCTCGAGCGATTTCCACAAAGAGGAGAGCCGATAAGAGAGAGAGTCTGCGTGCCATCGGTTAGCCTTCACCGCAGGCTCAACGACAAAAAGACTTGCAGGAATTCTTCTACCAGCAATCAGCATGGGAAGAGGGTGAGGTGCTTGACATAGAGCTCGCTAGTCCAATCCCCGGCGATGCGTCTGTGCATGTTGGTCCATCGGTCGTACCACCAGATACCCTGGATCCCGCTCTTAATGACCGGGAGAAGATATTCTACCTCACCTTAGATATCGCCGCCAGCATGACCGAAAAACCCCATGAAGCGTTCGTCAACGTAAACGGTTGGATGGCGCTTTTCCTACTCCTAAGGAGATATCGTACCGCCGATCAGGAACATCTCCAGGGCTTACAAGAGAAACAGGACAACCCGCTATATCCTGGGTAGTATCTAGGCATTGGCAAGGACCGTAAGGATCTCAAGTTTTTCAAAAAAAATACATCGGACAATCAGGCGACACTATCCGATCACGAGTACATCGGCATCGGAATGTTGCAAGAGCATTGCAGGAATTCTTAGCAACTGGGAGAGCTCTAGAGGATTTTCCACGGCGTAGAGAGGCCGTTTTACTCTATCGACTTTGGGCTGCGAAGCCAACACGGAACTTCAAGTTCATCTCCCTCGGAAGAGACGTAAGCGAGTTCGATGTAGCCGGCAAAAAGGCCTGGTTGAATATCGTTGAGATGTACTTCTCTCTGATGTTCCAATCCCTTCAACCAGAAACCTTGAGGAAGTATCTCGGAGCTGATGCGCTAGAAAGCCCTGACTGTGGTCTCAACGTCGCTCTACCCCTTTACCAAGGCTAGAGGAGCGATGCAATAACTGCTACCATGGCCTGTCTGAAGTCCTCTGACCCGGAAGTCGTGAGCTTTGCTAGAACCATCATGGAGCAGAATCTCAAACTCGGAATCAAGAAACTCGAAAGTCTGAACTGGGCTCCGATCACGCGCGCGATGCGGAACAAAACAGGGTATCGCAATATGACCTACCGCGATCCCGATCCTTCGCAGGGCGACATTCCGCAGGTGCCTGTGTTTTGCAGGCAGTGCGGATTCACAACACTGGACACCACGCCTGTCTTCCACATCTACACTGGCGCATATGTCGTCCGGAAAGGAAGTTGTTACACATGTGAGCTGAATCCAGGCGACGTTAGGCATGGTCGCAAGCGTGCACGGCGGATCCTCTACCCAGTGAACCCGATTGCATACATCCCGTGGTACCGACTCCAGAGGCCGTGGCAGCCCAGTTACGCCAGTCCCAGACTCAATGCGCTGGACGAGTTGCCGCCGGGACTGCAACTGGACAAGATCCGGCCGAGGGATCAGGGGGTGTGACTTCTCGGCAGCATCCTGCCCAGAATCGCTCCTCGATGGAAGACAGGCATGATGCAGGCCCCTCTACCACGCCGGGCTTATTACAAGGGCAGTCAAACATGGCCCACAAACACGATGGCGATGACAGCTTCGATATGAGCAAGGTGCCACTGTATCGTAAACCCACGGTGCAGTCCAGAAACCTAGCACGCGCGTCGTCACGGTTCCCCCCGATCCTCGAGCTGCCTACCTTCGATCTTGAAGAGAGCCCCGAAGAGGAAGACTCCAGCCGCACAGTCCCAGGAGTCACTAATAACGCGCAGGGCACAAGGACTCACATAGACATAACCGTCACCACGCCGAGCCGATTGACAGCAACCCACGCACACGTTAACCCAGCAGCCGAAGGCTCGAATGCCGTTGTCAGTCCGGCCCGTGAGCCACTTACGACCCCGGTCCCCCCTCAGGTGTCGTCAACAGTCATATCATCGACGCAGGCGCCGGCCGCAGGAGCACCTACCACAGCACCGACCAAGTCCGTGCCTTCCACAGCCGCGACCCAGGAAACTGCATCCACAAGCCTTGGCCGCCCAAACAGAGGCATAGACGGAGGAGCGCACGTCTGAAGCGCCTATTCCCAACCATACATATGCAAGACGCCTGCAAGACGCCTGCCAAACGCGAACGAACACCACCGAGACTGCCGCGGCTTTCGCCCGCTCGGCGAGAAGCAGGTCTTCTCCTTCCTCTGAAGGGGCTCGGTCAGCAGATCTGGACGACGCCGACGCAGGAGATCGTGGCGCGTTGCCGGGCCAACGGCATGGAGTATGACAAGGCTGGGTGACCTGGTGGAGGAGTTCAGAATTGTCGTCGGGGGCTGTTTGGGCGTTGTGGATGCGGAAGGGTGGTAGGTGGGATTGGTGGAGCGGGCCGGAGAGGCGGATTGGGAGGAAGGGATCGCTTCCGAAGGTGTATAAAGAAGAATGGAATTGAAGAGGGGAGAGACATCAGGGTTCGCTTCACGATGGGTTGAAGAGTGCGGTGAGTTTGGGAGGGTTCGGAGGGCGAAAGCGGGAGGTTCGGTCACCCTGCCAGGAACGGATTTTGATGAGATTGAGGTTATTCTTAGCGATATAATGCTCAATACATTGCTTCGTCGTCGTTGATGAATACCCCTCTGAAGTATCTCCCCGTGAGGTGAATGGTGGTTCGCCCAGAGGAAAGATAAAAGGCAGGAGAGGAAATTGAGACAGGAAGGAAAGAAAGAAATAAAGAAAAACGGGTAAGATAGAGGAAAGATGAAAAGAAGACAAAGGAGGAGGAGGAAGAAGGAAAAAAAGAAGAAGAAGAAAAAGAAGAAGAAGAAAAAGAAGAAGAAGAAAAAGAAGGAGAAGAAAAAGGCTATGGTTAAAGGAAAGACGACACCTCTCCCAGGACCAACCCCTTTGCCCAACTCCCATTCTTCTCTGGTGCAAGACTAGAGTACACTGTACGGATGTAGGAGCTAACCCCATCCCCTGGCTTGCCATTGGTACTTTGACCGCATCTTTCTGCAATCGCTTTGTATAAGCAATATGGTTGGTACTGATGATAGGTACTTGTGTCAGTTGTCTCGATGTCATCCGAAGACAACTTGAAGTTCTTCATGCCTTCATCGTATGACCAACCTGGGCCTCCAAAGATATCGTATAATTCCGCGTAACGGGCCAAAGGTCCCCTGCTTGGTCTGGCACAGGTCTTTTTTGGAGGAATCCAGACACCTGATAGGCTGAACGCGCCAGATTTCTGATAAGAGCAGCTGCCTCAGTGCTTGGCAGGTTCTTATCGGCCTTCTGGCTTAACCAGCCTATTAGATCCTCGCGATTCCTCAAATCTGGTCTGTGCCAACGCATGCCTGACAGGGAACCTTTGGCCAGTTACGCGGAATTATACGTGCCGGCCCGCTCCGGGATTCTGAACCGAAAGCGAACGGAGGCTCAAATAACGTTTATAGGTTCACTCACCTCAGTCTCATTCTACTCTCGACGTACTGCAAACCCGGGACTTACTAGAAATGTTCACCTACTTCCTCGCTCTCCTCCCAATGCTACTCTACTTCTCCAACCTCGCCGTGCAGGGGCGGTTGGGGTAGGATGGGCAGTTCCATGGTTTGGGTTGCCGACTCAGACAGAACCTCTGAGGCGGAGGGAGATGGCGGAGGGAGAGGCTGGACGGTGGAGAGACCGAGTTTCCTTACTTGAACGCGAAGGGGGGTCAGAGGTGGTGTCGGTTTGTTGGCTGATCCTCCTCAGTCTGGGGAGGCGAAGGGGGTTAATAAGGAGGGGAGGAGGAAAAGAGTCGTCTTCAAAGTTGTGCCTGGCAATGCGGTGTATTGCGAGAACTCCATGGCGGACGGCACGGTTATCAGGTGAAACGAGGCAACGTGGCATGCTGGATTGCCTGTGAAGAAAGGGCGGTCAGGGTTGAGTTGGATGTCTGGAGTTGTGGAAGGATTGAATAGGGGGTGTTGCGTGCAGGAGAGTAAACAAGTCTCGAATCTTTGATGGAACGCAGCAATAACCAATCTCAATGAACTCGTGAACATATATCGGGGACGCGCGGAAGCCGGGTTCCAAGGACGCCGTGGGTGCCTACGGAGCCGCTGCCGGTCAATAGCGAGTGGCCGGAATCCGGCTGCATTGTAGGACATCGTAGGACGTCGTAGGACATCGTAGGACATCGTAGGACATCGTACATCGGCCATTGTTCCATTCAGCTTGCCGTGGTGACGCAAAGCGGTTGCGTTTTTATTGTTCACGAGACCAATTCTAGCGACTCGTCCCGAGTGAGCCATAGCATAGGAAATGACAGGAACGGGAGTTTCAGGATGCAGAGAAGCACGGCGCTGGCACCAAGGTGTTGTGCGTAATGCCTAATTTCAGCGCTGGCCGGAATTGGCAGGCGTGAGTCACCAGGCATAGCGAACTGGAGTAATTGGCGCCTCCTTCTTTCCTGAGGCTCGATACTGCGCGACCTGAGCGAGGCAAGTTACCGTCAAGAATCTACATCCTCAGACAGACCTTATCCATCAAATCAAAGCCTTATGCTGCCTCAGTGAGTCACTTTGCATCATCCAATTTTCAGGCAGGTCTGAGGGTAGCACAAGCCTGCCGCCTCGTCCGAAGCATCCGCGTAGCAGAGGTACCCGCTTAACTTCATTCGCTCGGGGGTCGGACCAAAGACCATCCGCCTAAGAATCCCGAGACCCTTGATCCGGGCCAGCCCGGCCGAATCCGGTATTAACGCGTCGTAACTCCTCGAACGCCAGGCAGATGTCATAGCCAAGGGTGACGAATATGGCGCGGATAAGCGCAACGTCGACGGAGTTATACAAGGGCTTCGGGGCCCGGGGCCGCACAACTCGTGGTCCGATGTCTTTCCAATCACTCTCGTGGCCGCCCCCTCGGCTTCGGTCTCGGACTTGGCAATACCGCAGCGCCACAGCATGTCAGTATCATCACCCGAAGATGTCACGTCTGAAGCATCAGGTCCCGCCGCCACGGCTCCGGCGCACGAGCCGCTCGCTTGTGTGAACTGCCGGTCCCGCAAGCTCAAGTGTGAGATGGCCCTAACCGGATGAATTCAAGCTCCGTTGCTGAACGTATAGCGATCAGGCGACCGGCAGAAGCCAGTGTGCAGCAGGTGTGCGAAGGCAGGTGGCGAATGCGTGTATCCGGAATCCCGAAGGAAGCCGGCGTTCAAGCGGAGAAATGTCAGGGAGCTCGAGGAGAGGCTAGGTATGCCGTCGCGACCGTGTTTACCAGCTTTAGCATGCGTTGCTAACTCGGACCCTAGCCCAGGTGGAAGGCCTGCTCCGGAGTGTCGGCAAACAGCGGGCGTCCCAGTCGGCCCGGCCTGATGGTGCCGGATCGGAGGGTTCATCGCCAGGGGAACTTGGCGGAGATGCCTCACGGTTCGACAGGCCTCAAGGCAGCCCCATCGAAGGGGCGATGCCGTGGTTCCCGTTGACCCCGAACGAGGCTCCCCAAAGCCACCCTGGCGAGCTGCTGGGTCTCGGCCAGTTCGAGAGCCTCCCCCCTTTCGAAATGATCGAAGACCTGTATGTGCCGACAATGGCCCCTCTCACCAACCTCCATGCTGACAGCGTCGCAGCCACGCGAAATTCTTCTCCACCCAAGACACATTCTTGCCTATTATACACCCGGGCAACTACTTGCGAGCGTTCCACTCCCCGCCGCATATGCGCCCTCCCATGTCTCTTCAGTACGCCATCTGGACCGTCGCTGCAAACGGAGACCCCAAGTATGGACGCTATCACGATGCCCTGTACCGCCGTGCCCGTCAGTATTTGGAAGCTGACGAGTTGAAGGTTTGCAAGAGACACTGCCTTCTTTTGGTGATCACCATCCGCTCTAACACCGCCTCAGGGTCATGGCGAACACTTTATCACGATTGGCCACGCCCAAGCCTGTGCGCTTGTCGCAATGGACGAGGCCCGTTGCCTCCTGTTCACTAGAGCGTCAATGAGTTGCGCTAGATGCATCAGGCTAGCCGGCATGATGGGGCTTCACCGGCTCGACAGTACTCTCAATGAAGAGGAGGCGCCCATGGCTCCTATGATCACGCCACCGCGAAGCTGGGCTGAACTCGAGGAGCGCCGACGGCTGTTTTGGGTAGGGTACTGTATCGACAGTTACGCAGGCATCAGCGCAGGGTGGCCGATCCTAATCGACTTGGACCTGGTAAGGTTTTTTCCACAATGAGGACACAAAAACATGCACCTCATTGCTAACTGCCATCAGGTCACCACGTTCTTGCCTGCATCCGAGGAAGCATTTACCAGCGGTGTCGAGGAGCAGTCTGCCACGCTGCAAGATGCATTTCGAGGCTTCAACTACTCGAAGTTTGCTGGAAACATCGTCATCTGCCGTATCTTCGCCCAACTGATGAAACACGCTCATCGGCCGATGCCCGATGACCATCCAGAGGATCCGGATTCCGGCGCCTTTTGGAAGCGCCACCGCGAGCTCGACAACATGTTGTCCAGCGCATTCATGTTTCTACCCGAGCGGTTCCGGCTCCCAACGAACATACGCGATCCGCTCGCCGTGCAAACCAATCTAAACCTGCATGCCGCCGCTATCTGCCTCCACCTTGCCGCATCGGAGAAGGCTGAGAAATTCAAGCTCGGGGGTATACGGCAGGCGAGCCGGACCAGGATGTTGACCGCAACGCAGGAAATTCTCGACATCATCAAGGCTACCGCCAGCTACTCGAAGACCCAGTATCAAGGTCCGCTGACGGCGCTTTCCCTGTATCTCGCCGCTTCGGTATACATTTCGCAGGCAAAAGAGACACCGGACGAGTTCGACAAGGCCAGTTTCGGGCTCCTTGTCGACTGCATGAAAACAATCGGGCATAAGCACGTCATCACGCATGCTTACCTAAACCAGCTCAAGCTCGACATCGAACGCAACGGTGTGCCCGTCTCGGTAGAGGGCCTTACCCCGGCCGCCGAGTGTCTCAACAAACACCAGAAACACCTTGGTCAGCATAACATTCCGCACCTTGGTCATCATGGTATTCCGCTTGTGGCGCGAGGGCCGACATCGCGCCACACCAAGGTGCAGCCGCCACTGCCAGGCCGCTTACCCCTGGGCGCGCCGCAGGGCACCATTTCGTACGCCGGCAACATGCCGCCTACACCGTGGTCTAACTTTGTGGGGGAGATGGAATCCTCCCGCGGGACCGGCGAGAATGACGGCCCCGCCAGCAAGCGGATCTGCACCACAGCCGCGCGAAGCTCCGGGGTCCTGACTGCCACGGAGGCGCAAGCAACCACGCCTGGTCCCTCCACGTGGCTGGGAGGGCGCCGTGGACAGGGCTCTGTGGCTGCTGGTCCTCCGGGCCTCGATCTATTTGACTTCTCCAGCAGCAGTAGCTGGTCGTACACGACAAAGCACCACATAACCGCTACATTGCCCCATCGGACGGGCTCACCGGCCATGAACATCCGGGCGGTATCCATCGCAACATCCAACCCAGTCCCCGATTTTACCGCATTCTCGATGCCCGGCTCGGCGGCGGGTGCATCAGTACCATTTCCACTGATGCCGGCAGCTGGACCTTCGACAACTGCGGGGCTCGGGCCGGCTGGCAGCTTTGGTATGGACCCTCCTGCTGGCAATACCGATGCCACCACTAGCACCAATGCCGACAGCAACAACCCCAATCCAACACAAGGACTAGGAAATCTCGGTATTTTCGACAGTATAGGTGATTGGGACCTGTCAGACCCCCAGTCGATTTTCGGCATGTTACTTGACATGTCCGCCGATGACTTTGGCGCCACGTCACAGGAGAGCAATATGGACCCCTGGGCAGCGCTAAATAATGCCGCTGGCGGCAGCAGTTCCGCTGCAGGCGGAGGAGGGACTTGGGATTCTAGTGGCGCCGGCGGTTCTGGGTCTGTATAAAGCAGACAGCTCATTTCCCACCGAGCAATGAAAGAGCTCCATGAAGGTGGCTTGTGCTACTATTACGGACATCTCCCCCCAACTGCACTGTACTATATCATGACTTGGGAGACGGTGTACAACAGCATGGAGTTCAGGATAGATATACCAGGGTTACTACGGATATTCGGCATCGGACGGATGGACATACATAGGTTCGGATGGGCGCAAACGGGGTTGTACATTAGGTGGACTCCAACCCTCCTCAGCATCGGCATATCAGATCTCCCATCTAATATAACCATTAAGACAAGGTTCTTAGCAACAATACCGCAGTTGACCCGTTGCTTGGCTTAAGCAGTTTCCCCATGTCTTGGGTTTTCCAAATAGACATACGGTCGTGAACATGCTGGCGGTGACAACGCCAGGATGAGAGACTATGAGCTACAAACTTGGATATGAGGGTTGTCCTGCCTTTTTATGTTTGGATTGTACATATTTCACGGCTTAGAACGCAAAGACTTGGTCCTCCAGCTTGCTAACGGGCCTGGCCTTCTTGAAGCCGAGGCTCTCGGTAGCCTTCTTCAGGCCGCTAACCATTGGTGGGGGACCGCACAGCAGTATCTTGACGTCGTCCGCAGGCTTGGGCAGCCATTTCTGATAACAAAACCCCGTTAGCAAAACAACTTCTGTTTCTCTGCGAGGAAACACAACACGAAACTGGCTCTTTCGTCGGATGAACGTACCTGAATCATCTCCGCCGTGACATATCCCACACCGCCCGTCCACCCGGCGGGCGGCTTGTCCAGCACATAGTGCACCCGGAATCCCTTATCCTCCTGCGCCAACTGATCCAGATCTTCCTTCAGCAGGATGTCCTGCTCGGTGACGTTCGCAAAGATGAGATCCACCTCGGTCCGGTCGCCAGCTTTGCGCCCGCGGATGATCGCCTTGACCACCTGCAGCATGGGCGTGATGCCAGTGCCGCCCGCGATCATGCCAAAGTGCCGCACCATGTTGGGCGTGTAGACGAACGCGCCCTTGGGGCCCTTGACCCGGATGGTCTGCCCGACGGCCAGCGAGGCCATGTGCCGCGAGATGTTGCCCTGCGGGTACGACTTGATGAGCAGGTCGAAGTAGCCCGGCTGGTGGTCGCCCGAGATCGGCGTGTAGGAGCGGACGATCTCCTTGGTGGTGCCGTCCGGTTGCGGGAGGGCCGCGCCGATCGAGATGTGCTGGCCGATGGGAAGGCCGAGGATCGAGTCGGGAGCGGGCAGCGCGAAGCGGTAGCTGGTTAAGGCAGGCATGGTTATTAGGGGAGGGATTGTTTGCTGTGGGGTTGAGAACAGACAGTGACTACTGTTGACTTACATGGCCACATTATGCGAGACGATGGTTTTCTCCTTCAGCTCAAACTCCTGGAAAGCGTCGGGCTTAAGGACCTTCTTGGGGGCTGCAGACAGTGTCAGTAATCTCGGAATTCCCCCGTTTGATATTCTAGGAACGCACCAGATCTAAGATACTTGATCGCACCCAGGGCGATCCCCAGCAACAGAGCGTATGCTGTCCACTCCCGCTTCACGATGGCGGTTCCCACCACGAGGAGGCCAACAGGGATGTATATCCCGTCAACATACTTGCGGGCAAGCAGCGAATCGGCCATTGTGTCTCGTCTCTCCTCCTCCTGCTCTCAGCAATGGCGTGGTTGAGGTCTGACGGACGTAGGCCGGAAAAGCTGAGCGAGGCCAGGGCTCCCAGGCAATTGATGAAAAAGGAGTCGAGAATGGAGACTTTATCGGCGCACGGTGGTGGGAGTTTAAAGTGGGCCGATTCTCCTGCGGCTTACGCCCGAATTCTGCTGGTCGAGACCGGGGTTCCCACCATTTTCCGGGCTGCCGCTGCTTGGTTCACCGTTCAACAGTTTGCGGGACGGGCAGTCATTCCCGAGCCGACCGCTCCGATATACGGCAGTTGAGGTGGTATTTTACAGTAACCTTACACTCTGTTGACTAAGATACAGTAATAAGATGCGTTCGATACACTCCTTCCTGCATGTCAGATGTTTTTGCCGTTTTCTTGTACCGTCCCATCAGTTTCCTACGCTCGGCAGCGGTAGCCTTATTACTTTTGCATCTCGAACTCACTCCTGGAAATCACCGGGGTGCTCGCCTGCTAAGTCCTTGCCACAGGCGGTGTTTGGCAGGCTCAATAGCGGCGGAATCTTAAACAAACACCAGGCGGAACCCCGCCATTCAACTACCAGGACCCCGGGTAAAGACTTCCAAATGGGCGAGAACGTGAAGGAAGAGGCGCCGTTTCCTCTGACGGATGTGGACAAGTGGGTGCTCTCGCAAACGGACGAGGAATTCACATATCACACTTGGGATGAGCTACGTCAAATCATTCGTACGGCCTCTGCCTTCGTCCCGCTCATAATCCCTCACACCCCATTTTGAGCACTAACACACCTCCAGAAGACAACCGGCTCGCCGTGCTCAAGAGGAAGCCCTCCGATCTCCGGAGATACATGGACTGGACCACCAAGACAAAAGCCGAGTACGGCAGCATGACCAACTTTCTCATTGCCCACCGTCTGCCCAAAGCCTGGGGTCCGCCGCCTTTCACGCCCGCCTCCACAATACCGTTTGCAGACCCATCCGACTACCGTGTGCTGATCAACGACTGGCCTTACGGCTTCGTCGAGGGCATCACCCACATTGTAGTGTGGTCACGCACCCCGATTCCGACTGACAATACTGTCGGTGACATGACACCAGAATCGAGGAAGGTGGTGGCCGAGTTCATCAAACGGTACTTCATAGATAGGCTCGGCCATGGCGCAGAGGACAAGGTGATGTGGTTCAAGAATTGGGTCGCCCTCCAATCCGTCCGCACGGTTGACCATATTCACGTCTTGGTTCGGGATGTCGAGCCTGCCGTCTTACAGGAGTGGACGAGGGAGCTGGAGTGCCATAGATCGTAGTAGACGGCGGTCTGGCGTAGAGCGAAGCAGGTTTGTTTGTTTGAGAATGCCAGGCTTATGCTGCTCGTCGCTGCTTTCGATTGCCGGCTGGAGGAGGAGCGTTCGCGCCAGCTCCGGCTCCTATCTGTGCCATTTGCTTCGCGGCGCCCATCATGCCGAAAGCTTTGTACGCGCCATACGCGGGGACCACGCTCCACAAGAACCATGCCCAGTTGCCGAATAACGCCACAAGAAGCGCAGTAGCCCAGGTCACCCAAATGACGTCGAACATATACTCGGTCAGTCCGGGAGCGGCGAGGTCCTCACCCGACGATTTGAGTGCTTTTGTCTCGGGATCATAGCTGGGACGTCCGGTGCGTTCTAGCGTGAATTGGCAGAGGAAGCTGGGAAGCGAGAGAATGAACCACAGCAGGAGGGAGCGCGATCTGAAGACGAGGTGCAGCAGCAGGAAAAGTCCATTAACGATGAGCGACCCTATGTGGAGGTTATTGAGAGCCGCCGAGTTTGATTTGGCCCTGTCTTTGCGCGCTTTTTGGGCCATGCTGTGTTGTGAACTTGGGCAAGCTGGACAGCTCGCGAGTTGCAACGTGGATGTTGTCCAAGTCAAGATGTGGAAATCAAGTTGATTTCGACACTCTCAAGTTGCGGTTGCTTGGCGCCCCTGCCCCTGCCCCACATAGCCCCAGGAGTCACTCACATCAAAGCTGCCGGCCCAAGACAAGCGGCCCTTGTGCTGATTCAGTCTGTATAACCAGAGTACCTTGATTAGTAGCAAGCTCATGCTGGTGTACGTCTAATTTAGGGTGATGCGCTTTGGGATCTTGAGCCTTTATTGCCTGTACGTTGTACATTACATAGACGAAACTGAGAGATCCCAAAATTGTGGCTGGAAACAGTGGCACAGCAGGCCCACTTACCCATGGGTTGCTCGGCAGGCTGCAAGCGCCTCAGCGTCACAACGCGTAGCCAATCCGACCGCCGGCTGCCGCGCGGACCACAAACAACGGGAGACCAGGGCAGGGCAACGACGCTGCCACCTAGAGTGACGCTTCGACAGCTCCCCAACGAGTCTCCATACAGACAACAGAACACCCAGCCGCCTCTTGGCCAGAAATTCTGGGTTGGGTGTTGATGGGTGGCTAGTTCTCCATCAACAATCGTGACTTCCTACGTTTTCATTTTTTGGAAGTCATGTCTTTGGAGCCCGGGAGCGTTTGACCACCAGCCTTGCGGGTCTGCATCGCTGCCTTTGTTTTTCGCATTCCCTGTCGTCAGAAGTCACTTCCAGGTTAAGAGACGATCAGAACTAAGGACTCTGCAGACTTCCCCACGATCTGCTTAATACCCAGCGATTCCATTGAGCCATCAACTAGCATCAGATAGACATTGCGCGTACGGTTCCTCCACAATTGTTTTCGTCTTAAATCCAACAGCTGCATCGACCATTGTTCTCGCCCGCCACCAACAACGGTACTTTCGCCCATCACCACATAAGCGACCTTAGGATTCGCCTCTGCTTCCGCGACCAGCGATTCACCTCCTCTGCTGTCGCCGACACCGGACCCATCCCATGCGAGGCAGGCGCATCCAGCTTCAGTCGATTCTTAATTCGAGCGACCCTATGGAATCTTGTCGATAGCAACCGGAACCTCGATTCGCACACGAACCTTGGCGCAACTGTGCCTTTCTCGAAATGGCGCCGACGAGCGCCGCGGTTGCTGGCTTATTGAAGCAGACCGTTTATTATCATCTTGATAATCTTTCTTACCAGAACGCTCTCTTCTTCGCCGAAAGACTTTTTGCGCATGATCAGCGTTCGCCCGAGTCCGCATTTCTCCTCGCCCTCTCCCACTTTCACCTCGGCGATCCTCGGTCGGCATATGAAGTCAGTAAACCCCCGGGCTGCCGTGGCGTACATCTCGGGTGTTCTTTCGTCTTCGCACAGTCCTGCTTGGACCTGGAACGGTACAAGGATGGCATTACAGCTCTGGAGAAGGCACGGCCGTTGTGGTCGGCCAAGTGCAGCGTTGGGAGGCACACAACCTCGGCCAGGGCACCATACCCCGATGCAGCTACAGTAAACTGTCTCCTCGGCAAGCTATACCGGGCATACGACGACAAGAAAAGGGCAATACCCTGCTTCGAGGATGCGCTGAGAGCCAATCCGTTCATGTGGGACGCTTTTACCATTCTTTGCGACATGGGCGTCAATGTGATGGTGCCGAACATTTTCAAGCTTAATGACACTTTTGCTCGCAGCTTCGACCAAGACCCGGGCATCATACACGTCGATTCCAGTGGAGGCCCTCCTGAGCCTTTGCAAAGGAGAGCTGGCATCCAGCCCGTCGGCCACGACGGTGATCCGTTCGAGGGACACCGGTCAACGGCGTTTCAAGACGTCTCGAGCAACAATATGCTGTTTGTCAATCCTGGTGAAAACGATTTGACGTTCAAGCTTAATACGGCTCCGAGATATGCGGCGAACAGGCATGGGACCGATGGGATGGAAACTCCGACTGGCCCTACCGCCGCTCCCGACGCCCAGGCGCCTCGCGCCGGCCTCCCATCGGAGCCACCATTGGCTCCGACTCGCCGTACGCGGGCAACCCAGGCCTTGGAACCAAACTTCATTGATGTACCGCCAAAGATGAGCTATCGCTTGGGCTCCAGGAAAAGAGAGAAAGGTCAAGACCAGATGGCGGATCCGCCAGAAGTGGCCCCACGAGCGCCCGCGTTTACTTTATCAGCACCAGAGAGGAAACGGACAGCATCAGGGCAGCCGATACAGCCACGCCCGGCCAACGGCGAGGAACCGAGGAGGAGCGCGAGGCTTAACGTGGCTCCCAGAGCAGCGTCGTCGAGGGTCAACTCCAATGCCCCTACGATTGGTACGACCACGAACCGCGAGTTGAGAAAGGCTAGGCCCCCGATCTCAAGGATTGCACGCCCAGGTTCCAGCGGCACCGGCGTCGGCAGGGTTGTTAGTGGGAATCGGAAGCCTTTGGAGGAAAACAGTATGGATATTGACCAAGCTGAGGTTCCGCGGTTGAAGGAGCCGTCCGTTCCGCTGGCCAAACTGGTTGAGCCTGAACCGGTGAGGGCAGACGAGGGGCTGAAATGGATCCTGGATTTTCTGAAAAAGATCGCATCCGGATATCGCCTCTCGGCACAATTCCAGTGTCAAGAAGCCCTCCATGCTTTCTCCTCACTCCCTCGAAATCATCAGGACACCCCATGGGTATTGGCGCGGATTTCCAGGGCCCACTATGAGTTGGCTAACTATGCAGAGGCCGAGAAGTTCTTCAGGCGCCTCCGTATACTCGCTCCGACGCGCCACGAGGACATGGAGGTTTTCTCCACAGTGCTATGGCAGCTGCAGAAGAAGACGGATCTCTCGTTCCTCGCACACGAGCTCATCGAGGCGGTGTGGGATTCACCGCAAGCTTGGTGCGCGCTAGGAAATGCGTTCTCTTTGGCGTGCGACCACGAACAAGCGCTGCGATGCTTTAGACGCGCCATTCAGCTGCACCCAAGCTTTGCGTATGCGTATACTTTGCAGGGACACGAGCACGTGGAAAATGAAGAATACGACAAAGCGTTGGTGGCATATCGCCAGGCAATTGCCGCTGACAAGCGGCACTACAACGCATACTACGGGATTGGGAAAGTCTATGAGAAGCTGGGAAACTACGAAAAAGCGCTGAGCCACTATCACTCCGCGCTGCAGATCCACCCGACGCATGCCGTCTTGATCTGCTGCATGGGAACGATCCTGCAGAGACAGAAGCAGATAGTCCAAGCTCTTCCTTACTTCACCAAGGCCGTCGAGCTAGCGCCTCGGGCGCCGGAGATGCGGAGCAAGAAGGCCCAGGCGTTGTTGGTGACCGGGCAGCTGGAGGAAGCAAAGAGAGAGCTCCTGATTCTCAAGGATATTGCGCCCAACAACGCCCAGGTCCATTTCCTCCTAGCCAAACTTGCCAAGACGCTTGGAGATAAGAAAACGGCGGTGCGGCATTTCACTATAGCGCTGAGTCTCGATCCGAAGGTATGCATGCAGGAGATCCCCGGAGGTCAAATGGGATACTAACTCGTTTGCTAGGCCAGCGGCGAAATAAAGAACGAGATCGGCGCTCTTGAGGACGAGGACTGTTTGGACGACTCCATGATGCCTTGATGCCCATCGGTGACGAACGCCACAACAGACGCCTAATCCTACGATTCCTCATGGTTACCAACAGAAGAGCCACATACTCGACTGAGTATTCCCTCGTGCTTGGAGGCGGCGTACAGCGCGCTCGACGCGTTTGGGAGGTTGGAAGTGCTTTTCGGGGCGGCAGTCCTTTTTCTTTCGCGGCGAGGGCGGCATTTCAAAGCATGGCCGAGGCGTTCCTGGAGAGCATTTTGATGCTCTGCTTCATGTGGTGCCGCATGGGGCTTGGGTCGGGGTTATGTACGAGTACCTCAGCATCGCATTGGCCGAATGTATAGTACGGGGTTGGTCGGCGTCAAGATGGGAAACGGCTGGGGCTTTTCAGAAGGGGGGTACAAAATGGCTAATACAAGACGAGAGTCTGGGTTTCTCTGGACTTGGGATGCATCCTAATAAGAACAGTGCGGCTGGCATGATTATGTGGTAGATCTAACAAGACCGGGTGCAAAGGCTGCAAACTGCGTTGCTGCACTCAAATGATTTACACATAGAGGCTCATAATGGTCCTGCAGACCAGACCCCTTCAGAGTCTCCTTAAACTTGCTTTCTCTCAATCGGCCGCGCTATTCGCGTATGCACCTGATGAGACGAAACTAGGGAAGCTCGGACCACAATACTAATCCGGCAGCTTGGTAGAGAAGCTCGGGCCGCATGAATGCGGGGCGCTGCCAAGTCTCGAGCGAACCGTGCAGTGCCGCAGACAGAAACAAACCGACCAAAACCGTGCCGATTCCACGCTTTTTTGGCGAACGATTTGAGCTGCAATTCCCGGGCCAAAAACGCAGCATTTTCAAGCAAGAATCACCAACAAATCCACATCCGAAACGGGATTAGTGCCACTACCGCCTAATCAGCCCGGACGACTATTTAAGGCCACCACCCATCCCCTCCCGAACTCTCTCCAACACCACTCATTTTACCAATTGCGTGCGTTTCGTCAATTATCAACAACATCAACTTTTCATCGAATCTGACCATAAAACCATCACCAAGACACGGTAATCATCATCAACATGACTGGACGTAAGTTTCACCTATTTCATATTGGCCTAAGGGTCGTTGGCGACATGATGCGCGCACTGCGTCGTCACGGGTGGCCAGTGGGCGGTAGATTGTGGGGGTGGATGCACGCGTCGACGCGTCGTATTCAGTTGCTCGCACTATCGCTTCGTCCCGCCCTAGACACAATGCTGCATCATCGCTAGTTGCGATACACGTGTTTTCATTGATATAGAGGTCGATAGTTAATACTGACGTTGTTTCTCTTTAGGCGGCAAAGGTGGTAAGGGTCTCGGCAAGGGCGGCGCCAAGCGTCACCGCAAGATTCTCCGCGACAACATCCAGGGCATTACCAAGCCCGCTATCCGTCGTTTGGCTCGCCGTGGCGGTGTCAAGCGTATCTCTGCCAGTATGCATTCTCCCACATCCCATGCCTATCCTTGCCAGGTTTCTAACGACGTCGACAGTGATCTACGAAGAGACCCGCGGTGTCCTCAAGTCGTTCCTCGAGAGCATCATCCGCGATGCCGTGACCTACACCGAGCACGCCAAGCGCAAGACTGTCACATCCCTCGACGTGGTCTACGCCCTCAAGCGCCAGGGCCGCACTCTCTACGGCTTCGGTGGTTAAGTCAGCTGCTAGCCTCATCTTAAACTTTGGCGGTGGTCTGAGGGGTGCGTGGTTTTATCATCAAGTCTGATAGGAGGACATCTTTCGCGCTTGTTTTTTTACGTCTGGCGTTGGGACGGAGGTTAGGCACAACTCGGGATGGTTGGAGGAACGACAATGGCGTCTTTGGGATGGTGATTACTCGATGACAACACATTTCACTTGATCATGAAGATCTGCTCTGCAACATTGGTGACTGCGAAGTGCGCTCATGCGAGATTACCTGAACACATAACATCGTGGCATGACCGTAACAACTCAGATTGGTATCCTTTCCTGACCCGGCGGCTACAAGTACTTCCTCCCCGCAGCCGCAACCCTCTGCCTAAACACCGGACTCCGAATCTCCATGTTGACTTTGTAGAATGGGCTCATGATCGCTTTCACATAATTCTCATACACCTCGGTAAAGAAGTTCTTGATTGCCTCCTCCGTCTGCGGGCTGGTCGGGTTCGCGCCCACCGAAGTCGAGTTGCGACCTGAGCTCGCCCCGCCCGCTGTCGCCGTCGGCTGATGCAACAACAGGAATTTGACGTTGCCACCTGTCATGAAGCAGGAGATGTAGTTGGTGAAGAACCTGTCGATTACTTTCAAGTATCTGCGTCGCCCGTGTGTATTAGAAGGTGCTGCCAGGCCCGCAGGTTGGAGGGGGAGGAATACAGCTGGCCATTCGTCCACTGCGCTTCTTCCACAATGTCCAAACTGCTGTGCAGAATGAACTGATTCAGGTGCCGGGCCTGCTCGCTGAAGCGGGCTTGACCATCGCCGCCTTGCTTGCTCGTGCCGAACTCGTACTCGAAGAGAGGGTTGTCTTGAGTGCCGATTATTGCGAAGTAGTAGCTCATTGTCCCAGTCCGGGCCTTTCCCCCTTCCTTCCACCTCCGAGATCGAGTCCAGTGTTGGATATCGATGGCCTGGGCGTTACCGATCGATCATCCGAGCTGCGCGCTTTGAGATCCGGACACGCAAGATGTTATGCTGTGGTGATGACCGGTCGCATGCGGATACAAGTTCATGAAAGTCGTGGATCCCAACTGGGCGGTTTAGCTCGAGCTGATTGAACTCCGGACGAGCTAACGCTGCAAGGGGGCCATGCAAAGTGGGTCGCAGGGCTGCACTCCATCCAATGGTCAATGAGATTGGGTTGGCGTTGCGACGGGGAGAGCCGCGATTTTTTGCCGGCTGTCCTCCGAGTTCAAGTTAAACAACTTCCCAATCCACTCTTGCGGACCGGTTGCAGCTCCGACCGCGACAAACATGTTCGGGCCCTTCAGAATCACAAATTCCCTAAGCGGGGGGCTTCTATGGTGAGCACTGTGTTCTGCCTTATACCATGGAACGGTGATGATTGACCTTACATAGGAAGATTCCCTGGCGCCTGTCGCCGACACAGAAGGCTCGGCAACGGAAGCGGTTACGGGCTGTCGACCAGGTCGTCGAAACGCTGAGCAACGCGTTAGCTAAGAAGGGCGAGACGCTTAAAGCTCTGGAACGGTGGAAGGCGGAGATGCCGACCGAGGCGCAAATGCTCCCCAGGGACAAGTACACAATGTTCGACCGGAAAGCCAAGAGGTATCGCAAGGGCATTCACAGTATGCTATTCCTTTACACCGATTGGTACGATCTGCGCGACATTCGACTGACAGTTTGCCTAGAACTCCCCAAGTGGACACGTGTGTCGCAGAGAATCAACCCGCCTGGTTTCTAGAAGACGAAGCACGATGCAAGGTTCTGGCCTGTATATCCTCTGTACTATACCGATTGGGTGAGATGGCGTTACGATGGTATTCGGATTCGGGATGCAGCACTTACTGCAGGGAAGATATGCGGGTTCTGGACGAAGACGCACAACTGCTGCCACTTCCAAGTCGGGATATTCGAGGTCATGAACAAGATGCCAAATTAACGCCGCTGCGGTTCCCGGGGTATTGCCATTTTCCCATCAAGTCCTACACATTAGTCTACCTCCGTCTGGATAAACGAAATCATTTCGTCCGCCCGTACTGCATATCATCCTGGTCGTATTCCCTTCCTTCGCGCTCCCTCATCCGCGCCGCTTGAATTGCCCGCCCAAGACCGCCACGGCCTTCGTCGTAATCCTCGCGGTACTCATCACGCACCTGACCTCCCGACTTCCCACGTCCATATTGCCGGCCCTCAGTGAATCCCGGATCCAAATCCGTCCGGATGATGCGCTCGTCCAACTTGGTCCCGCCGATGTACTTCATGCAGTCGAGCGCGTCCTGGTGGGTATAGTACTCGACGAAGCAAAACCCGCACGGCGTCTTGTTGAATCGGTCGAGGCCCATAACCAGTCGTTTGATTTCGCCGCATTTAGAGAAGAGCTCGTACACTTGCTCTTCGGTGGTGTAGAAAGACCTGAGAACCGTTCGTCAGCCCGAGCATTCTTTCACGAGTCGCTATTGCACACAGCTTACAGATTACCAACGTAGAGGGTTGTCGCATTCTTGAGCGGATCCTCCTCGGGTTGATCGTTCTGCATGTTCCTATCTTCGTCCCCATCGCGCTGGTCCTTGTCGAATCGCCGGCGTTTGTGCTGCGACGCCCGCAAGTCCAATGTGTTAGACATTTGCCATAGCTTTCCGCAATTGCATCGCATTAGCAACTCACTCTATTGTTGAAATAGGCGCTCGGCTGGTCGAGACGGTCGACAGTCGCTCTCCATTGCGCTGGTCCTCGCATTTTCTGATTCTGTGTCTCTGGAAGGGTTGATGGCTTCTGAAGCTTCGAACCGCGTTGAAGGTTGCCGCAATTGGTTGTTTCGATGTTATCCGTATCGCTGGGGTGCTGCGCTGGTAGTAGGTCAATGGAAGTGGGTCCGGCTACGACTGAGACGCTGCATAGTGGCAGGGGTCTTCGAGTGCCTGCCCCAAAAAAGCTGTTCAGCCAGCGCCAAGAGAACGCGCGAAGGTAGCAAGTCCTGGCTCTCCGCGACTCGTGAGAGCTTCCCAACCTCGCCCAAATTTGCACTTGTATGAACGTCAGCTGCCCAATTGCCGGTGAAATCTATGAGCTGTCTTTGGATTGACACTCGGTATAGTTCTACTTATTGACATCGGCTACTAGAGTCAACACGTTCTGTCAAGCGCAGATGCCCAAGATCAAGAGCTTTGCGCCGAGTTGGCTCAACGAGCCTTCTCCTGGCCACAAGCTGTTTGCGCAATCAAGCGACGATGCCAGGTTTTCCACCCCCTTGGCACACGGTAAAAAGGCGAAACCGGGGCCGCGGCGGACGATAGCGCGACGGGGCACTGAGGTCTTCGTTGCCGCTGGGAAGGAACTACGATGGGGTGATCTTGTCTACCTGAAGGAGTCATGGGAGACAAAGCAAACACGGTCTGGTTCAGCGACCCGGATTAAGAGAGAGAGTTCTGAAGACTCGCTCGATCAAGACGAAGAGGGCTTGGCAGACGGATTCCGGGTGAGTGAGGCGCCAAGGCACAAGGCTGGAGGAGTTGCGTTAACAGATCGCAAACACTAGACCATCAAGACGCCTGTTGCCGATAACATCCGCCAGTTGATCATGTCCCCGAACCAGGAGCTTCTTGCAGTCCTGACCGGCCATACTGTCCACATCTGCATCCTGCCCGATTCCTCCCATCTGTATGCCAAAGACACCACGCCGTTCAAGCCCAAGTTCTGGACCGTCGGACCTACTACCCACGTCACCTCCCGGTCGGCAGTTGTCTCCGCTTTGTGGCACCCCCTAGGCGTCAATGGGACATCTCTGGTCACAATCACGGAAGACGCCGTGGTGCGCGTTTGGGAACTCTCCACGGCTGACCGCTGGACCTTTGACGCGCCTACGCTTGCAGTGGATCTGAAGAGGCTGGCAGATGGCACGTCTCTGGATCAAGACTTTAGCGTCTCCACGTCGGCCACGAACAAGGGTTTCTCGCCTGATGCGTTTGATATGGAGGTGGCAGCCGCATGCTTCCCGGCTAGGAGCTCAGGGGGCTGGTCGCCAATGACACTGTGGGTAGCCATGACATGCGGCGACGTCTACGCTCTCTGCCCCCTCCTCCCTCAGCGCTGGGCACCCCCTCCCACACTGATTCCGGCCTTGTCCGTGTCCATCGTGGCCAGAGTCGCGGCTACGGAGGATAACCCGGAAGCCTCACCCGAGGCGCGGCTTCTGGCCCAGCAGCAACTCGACTGGATGTCCGACTTGGACAGCCAGGAGCCTAAAATTGTCGAAGGCAGTCTAGGAGAAGACGCGGTGGAGGTCTATACGCGGCCAACGCGGCCGGGGATAGTCCCAAAGCTCCAAGGTCCGTTTGAGTTTGACCTGAATCCAGAAGACGAGCAGGACGACGAGGTGGAGCTCAAGGATATCTACGTCATTGGGGAAAAAGCGAATGTGGCAGATCTGATGATGGGCGAGGAGGAGGAGCTGGAAATGGAGGATGACGACCGGACTGGTTTGTCCCTTACGGTCATCTGCCTCCTCTCCACCAGCGGGCAGGTCAAGATCTGCCTGGACGTTGAAGGTGTTGAGGCCCAATGGCTTCCCCCTCGATCCAAACAGAGGTCGAGGCTTCTCGGCCCGTCACCCACGATCCCCTCGCTACTGACCTTCCAGACGTTCGACACACTCAAACCTGTTGAGGTCATGCCCGAGAGCTGGCCGATGTTTACCGGTGACGTTACCTCCAGGTATTCGTTCTACGTCACGCACCCCGCCGGAATTACTTATGTTTCTCTGGTGCCATGGGTCTTCCGGCTCGAGAGCGAACTCGAGGGGGACTCCGAGGCTGGTGCGGAATTCCGCATTGACCTTCTCGCCAAGGGTCAGGGATCAGAGCGGGAGCGCATCTACACGCAGGCCCGCGGCCAGAGTGACCTTGCCGCAGCCATAGCGATCAAAGATCCGGACCTGGGCTATTTTGTGCTCTCTGCCACGCGTCGCGACCCCGTTGTCCTTTTTTTCGACACACCAGAGGAAGATATCATGCCCAGAGACTCCCCAGTCATCATTCACCAGCAAATAGAGAAACCACAGCCCCCAGTTGGCTGGGAGCCTCGTCCGTTCTTCCATCCTTCGGAGGTGCTAGATCGCAGGAGCGCGATTCCCGCATGGATTGACCACTTGAAGACGGGCAGACGGCGGCCGCTATTCCATCAAGAGGTCCGGCTCTCGATGGCGACACTCGAGGTGTTCACCGAAGGACACAAGGTGATCTGCAATGAGGTTACGGATCTCAACGACGCCGTCGCGCAGCTGTTCAGGAAATGCGAGGACCTTCAGCTCGAGCTTAGGAAGCAGATCGAGAAGGCCAGCGAGGTGAAGCAGCGCGTTGAGAAAATCACTTTGCAGGATTCGTCAGACGACGAGCCGGTCTCGAATGACTTGCTCATTCAGGACCGGCTACGAAGCGCCCGGGAGAAGCAGAAGCAACTGGCAAGCAGGATGGAGAAGCTGAAGCGGACCTTGGGCAGGGTGGCGAACCGCGAGCTGAGCGACAAGGAAAAGGCATGGGTAGAGGAAGTGCGGGCGCTTGAGGGCAGCATCCTAGGACCCGAGGCGGATCAAACATCACCGTCGACGCCTAGGACCAAGCAGCCCTGGAAACGATTCGAAGAGATCAAGGCGCTTCGGGACACCCTCATTACTCAAGTGGAGCAGCTGCAGAGATCGCGGGAAGGCACCGCTGATGCCTCGCCCACGTCTCCGCTGCCTAGCCTGAAGATCCCGCCCGAGATTCGCAAGGCCAAGCTGGCGCAAATCATTGGCTTGTTGGATCGGGAGACGGCACTTGTGGACGGGGTGAAATCGCGGATCGAGAGACTAAGCCTTGGATAGGAGGCCCAATCGGAAGCCACAAAGGGGAGAAGTGGGATTTGAGAGGGACAGAGAAAGCCAAGGTGTCCCACAACCTTCGTTGTCTTGACTCAAGGGAAGGATAACAAGAGAAATAATTTGGAGTTGTTGTATACACAGCGTGGATTGTGCGTCGAGACCGCTCACTGCATACCCTAATAAGTGTTCCTCTTGGTCTCGGTGATGGGCTCCGGGCCACACATCATGCAGGGTTGTTTATTCTGGACGGAATTCCTATTTGCGAGATCGCTCTAGGTTTATGTGCATCTGTCCAATTGCTATCCTGCACTCGACTCGGCGCGCGAGGACCGATGAAAGTCAAGCGCTTTCCACAGCCAACGGCCAGGGCTGAGCTGCAGCAAACACGCACAAGGTCGGTGCAACCGAAAATGGCTGCTATTAGGTTCCGAACCTCACGTTTCCCGACTTGAGCACCGGATACTGGCGTATGATCCCGGGCATGCCGAGGTCTGCACTGCTCCGATCTGGCATGATGACTCGCTGCTATCTCGAATAGCTGAACTGTCCTGCTGTCCTCTGCCCGGTCCCTCTCGCTTGCAGGCAGCAGGAGGCATCAAGATCGACAAATCTCAGAAGTTGATGAATCTCTGGGATTCGTGATGTCAACGATCGAGATCGGTGCACGGCCCGAGCGTATGTATCCGTATGTACATATCTTATTCAGCGCTCACTGGTTTGCCGAAAGAGTCCGATACAGATTAGGTACGGAGCACAGAGCTACACATGGCTTCACACCGACCGTGTCACCGTTTTTCCGTCCTCTCTTCACCCGAGCGGAACTGAAAGGTTCGGAAACGCAAGGTTACAAACAAAGACTGCGAAGGCGTGTTGCTTTTGGTATCATTTCTGTGTCTGGGAAGTCCCACACCCATTGTGCATGTAAATGGATGCACCCTGCACTGACGGCCGCCTCACTTTTAGATCTTGTCGCACTGGCCTGCTAACGACGTCAGTCAATACATAGAAGGTCGCCTTGAGTCAGACGGACACCCACAAGCCAAAGCTCTCAGACGACTATAAATAATGTTCTAGATTCCGTCCTTGTCTCGGGCTTTCCCCCCCCCCAGACACTCACCTGCCACCTGCCCCGGCCTGCAAACCCCCAAATGCTAGTACCTTTCTTCACCCCTGAGTCTTACATACTAGTTACTTCCAACCAACAAGCAAGCCCACGCACCGAAATGGCCCCCGGAGCTTCTTCAGTCCCATCTGACCGCCTGCGGGCTCAGATTCTTGGTGAGTGGTCCGCTGACTGCAGGCTCTACATGGCGCCAGCCACTAACATCGCTCACCGCTTCCCAGAGAACTGCGCGTTCTTCAGCGAGCTGTACGCTCGGTTTTGGCTCATCGTCTCCAAGGAGCCCCTGGGTGACTTCAAGGCCATTGTGGTGAAGACCGTGGACGGCAACCGAGAAGCTGTCCTGTCGGAGAAGGCGCCGTCTTATCAGGACGCTCTGGAAGCTTTGTTTGTCAGGTCCGCCGAGGCGGTGCAGAACTACATTGCCACCAACGGATTCGCCTGCGTGTCCAACATTGGAAAGCAGACACCCAAGCACACCGGCGGCCATGGTGGCGGCGACGAGAGCGACACGGACTCCTCGTCCACCGTCAATTTGAGCGAGTGCGAGTCGCTGTCAGATGACGAGACCGTCTCGGTCACTTCAGTTGGCCGGTTGAAGAAACGCCGCGGGCGCAAGGCGGACAAGTCAGCCAAGACGGCGAGCTCGACGAAGGCCAAGCCGAGGCAGCCACGGTCGAGAGCTCGTTCGCCCTCTGTCCTAACAGACCGCGCGCGTTCTCGCTCGAGCAGCTCTAGCTCGTCCGGTGACGAGCTCCACTACGGCCCACCGACCTTACCCTCAGCTTGTGCTCCCCACGGAGGCGCTGGCTGCCGCACGTGGCCACTGCGGGCAGTCCCCACGACTCCCTGGCCGCTCCCCAAGGCTTCCTCGGCTTTCACGGCAGGCCATCCGCCGCCGCCGCCGCCCCCACCACCACAACCCGCGTCTGCAGGCGGGAACCAAAGCTCTGGCTCAGGGACGGCGCCCGCTCGCCCACCCCCACCATCGTTTATGGGCCTCAAGCCTCCCGTCGGCCAGCCTACCAGTGTCACTCCGCTTCGCGACGTGATCCTCGAAATCCGCTGGCGCGGCCACGGCGAGCGCCGCGTGCTCCACCAGATGCCGCAGCTCTCGCTGGCCCGCATACGGGACGCCGCCCTGACAGAGGTCAGGCGCCAGCCGAGCACCTGGCTCAACGCGCCCGGGTTAACCTCGCCTCATGTCGGCAACTTTTCGCTGACTCGGAGGCTGAGGGCAACCGTCAAGGACATGGTCCTGGACGGGGTGGAGTACGGCCTGACCGGGTGGGCTGGGGACGACCTGACTCGATTGATAGGCCTCCTGCGTCCCACTCGTGATGGTCCGGGCAGTGGAGGAGGTCTGCCAAAGTTCGAGGTTGAGGTGTGGGAGGACAATAGCAACACTTCGGCCCACGGTGAGTGGGCCGCGGCACTTGAGCAGCTCCGTGACCCGATTCAACCACCTGCTCCTCCTCCGGTTCCCTGGGCGGCCGGGGGACGGGGCCCCTCTGCGCAGAGGCCGATGCAGCCGCCCCACATTGTGAAGGTTGATGGCTGCTACCCTCACAACCAGGTTGACCATTGCTAGCCACCCCAACCACCGATTGAGCTACCACTGGGTGGTCTCGTGGACGACACGGGAACACGCCAAAGATGAATGGATCAGCCGCAGATCGCTGAGGCTTGACACAACAAATGAGGCTTGAGTGGCGTCACCCCGGCGATCATCGCGTTTGCTGCTGCAGTGTTGTCACACTCGGGCGGCAAACCACACAAAAAACACAAAAACCGATCTCAGAGCCTAAGGATAGTACCGCTGAGGGTGGAAGGGGCGGTTGATGGTAACCACACCATCAGCTTCCCATGTCGAGAGAGGCATAGGGGCTCAACCACGCTGGCTGGGTGCTCTTATGGCAACTTGGATCAGCGAGGAAAAACACATCTGTCTGAGTTGAACACTTTCCATCATATTCGGTTACGATTTCTCTCTTTTCCTTTTACTCTTGAATATTATGCTGCCCATTTGTACCCCATCCGCTGACTACCCTCCTACCTTACACAACAAGGTTGAATTCATCCTTTACCCCCAGCACCCCCGAGCCTTGTCACTTCATGTTTGTGCTTGCTCTTTGTTTCAACTTTTTTTTTTTTTTTTTTTTTTTTTTTTTTTTTTTTTTTTTGGTGATGGAGTCAGTGATACAGGGTGACTATGCCGCAACAAGGGAGCGAGATCTCAACCCTCGTCGAAAAGCAAAACTGGGAGGGAAGGAAGGAAAACAAAGAATGGATCCACGGAACAGATAGATTTTACCAGATTATCCCCGATGCCAACTGAAATCGTGTATAGCATTTGCCATCGAATAGGGTATGTGTCCCACCCCGTGCTTGCCCAGCTCTGGCGACTTCTTCCTGTTGCCCCCCCATCGCGGTGTTGGACACGGCCCACATGCCGAAGTCTTGTCTGGTACTGCTTCCACCCCTTAGTCCGATCCGACTTGGTTGCATTATGGTGCCACGGAATAGTCAATGGTTGGATCAGAGGTAGGAATCTGACCCCATGCTCGCCTCATCTCTTCCTGTTCTTCTTTCCAGAAGGAGCCATGCCGTGGTCCCGTGCCTCTATGATCTTCTCATTATGAGCTTAGCGACCACATGTTTTCATTAAGCGTCTGGGACACCACGTCCAAGTAAACAGGACCGACCTCACTATCCAAACTCAGATAATAACAATGTATGTCAACATCACATTTGTCTTCTAACAAATGCTCTGTTATCGCTTACACCCACGTGGGTCACCAGCCCCTCGTTACCGGCGAGGAGATATGAGCTTCCGCGGAGGGCGTCGCCCCCGAAGCTGTATATCCCGCGCAAAACTGAACAGAAGCCCCTGAGCTGAATCACAATAGCCGGGCGTTGACGGGTAATGCATCCATCCCGTTTCCCGGGGCCAACACCGTGTGCCTGCTTTTTCGGACGAGAAAAACGTGCTGTAGCCAAGCTCACACCATGCGTGCCACATACGTAAGCCCCCGACAACAATCTCATTGCCTTACCTATCAACGTTATCGCCTCGACGGGATGATGTGGGAAAACAAACTTCATACAGTCAGGACACTCACACCTTCCAAACACTCGCCTTATTTGCCCACAAAACCTGTCTCATATGCGTGGTCTAACATCTTGCCTGCCTAGTTTCGGGTCAAGTAACCGATAAGAAATGGAGTCGACGTTCCAAGGATGGATCAGTTTGCAACTGTCATGGGATTGGCTCACTCAAAACCGTGCCGACTTGCATGCCGTCCCATGCATACCGCCGTCGATCAAGCGACGTGAGGTGTCAAAAAATGAGCCAGCCCGCCGGTTTCCGCAGATGAAAACAACTCGCCTCGAGTTGAAGTACCGAAACGGACTATACGTAAAGGGTGCATTGCGTTTATCTATTATTCCCGTCTTGTCTGTTATTAAGGACCTATCATCATCAACTATTTGGGGCCTTGGCGATAACCACATCCCGGGAAGTGACCTGGAGAAGATTAAACACGGGCTCTTTGGCCTCGGACAAGCTAAGTGAGCTCCTTGGACCATAAAACTCCTTTACCTCGCTCCTAGATTTCCCGGCTGGGCTTTTCAGCCACTGCATTGTTGGCAGGCGGAAGAGGACTTACACATATGTACTTATGCCCATATGTGAATACTTGTATGTACAGTACACACACCGTGACGCCGGTCGCCACGAATAGAAAACATGGCAAGCCACTGCGCAACAATGCGCACGGGAAACCTGCACTGCACCACAGCATGCCAATATGGAAGAAGTGCCGAACCTCGAAAAGGCTCCTTTGACCCGATCTCCCCTGAACTCTCGTTGGATCATTTTTGGTGTACCTTGAGTACTTCGTACCTACCTGTGCATGCTGCAAGCTGTCAGTCACATAATGTACGGTAGTTTGGGTCTGTTGTGGTTTCCAAACATGGAAGGTCAGGCTGCATATCATCTCTTGCGTGAGGCTGTCTAGTCTGGAGTGGTGAGACATGGTCTCGTTCATTCGTTCATCATGGTCACCTCATCTCCCTCCTCTTGGCAACATGAAATACACAACTTTGTGCAGAAGATTGGAATTGGAATCCTAGGCAGTGACTGCCTACCCTTACCACAAGTCCGCTGTGGTGTATTGTATATTGTACATCCACATTGCAACGTCACAATGCTACATGAGAAAAGCCCGGCACTGAAAGTGCTGTATGTACAAACTGGACATGCAATCCATGGTCGGTGAAGACGTGCGTGGATGTTGTGAGAGGGTGAGATGGGGGCATGAATGATGACTATGTGCTTGAGCCGTCGCTGACACAACAACCACGAGTGAGCTTCACTATCCCTGGGATATACTCACACAAGGCCTGTATTAAGTGTGACGGAATGGAGTCTCGGCTCACTCTCCTAAAATTTTCAAGCTCTGTTCACTCAACTGCAACTTCACCCACAGTTCATCTTCACATAAAGTCACCTGACTGATCAAACCGGGTCGAGAATTAATGTGTGACCACTCACTGAACCTCTACGAAATTTGTATGGAACAGCAGACATGTTCACAGATCCATGGCAGACACAATTTTCACCAGACCAAGATCAAAAGTGATGGTGCCTAGATTCCCACAGACCCAACCTGAAGGTGTACAGTCCAGGTACCTAGTTATAGCTAGTTCAAAGCACCATGATGGCATCACCTCAACCACAAGTAATCCGATATATCCATCCCTCAGCAACAGACTTCTCTCTCCAACCGACCGGTCAAGCCAAGCCAAGCCGGATCTGCTGCCGCCAAGTTCCTTGTGTGTCTTAGGCCTGCTTATACAGAGGAGACAGATCAACAGACAGACAGGTAGATAGATATAGCCCCAAAACCCTCACTTTGCCTCTCAGACCTCGGATCTATCATGCTTCGCCCATCGCCCAACCGCAACGCCGCCCGGATGTGCCTCGATAATCAACATGCCGCTTCGAGAAGCAACGAAGGCAACACCACAAAGTCAAAAATGTCTAGCCTCTTGATTACGACCACGTCCTTTGCTGTAGGGGCTCGCACTGCCTTGCCTCCCCGTCCGGTAGTCTAATAGATCCCTTGTGTCCTGTACTGGAAGGTATCGTAACTATTTTCCACCCCGCGTCAGCATCATTTCACACAAAACCTAAATACGTAGTTGATTGAGAGAGTGTGTGTGTGTGAGAGAGAGAGAGACGGAAAATAGAAAGCACTCACAGCCGTGTATAATAACTGCCCAACGACTTGCCAATCAGGTCTGTCTCGACGAACTGCTCGGCCTCGTCGGCGCTAAGCTGGAGCTGGAACCGCTGTCTCAGCGCGGTCGTGACCTGCGTGACGCCGGCCCCGAAGCACGGCATTTTGGACTCGCGGCCCATCATGGCCACCAGGTCGATGATATTGTCTGCTGAGCGACGGAGTGCTATTCGTCCCAGGGCATCAGTTGTCAGGAAATGGATTTTTAGGTAGAAGGAATAGATAGGTAGGGTAGATAAGATTGGGGGGGTAAGAGGAAAGAGACATACCCTGAAAAGCCTGTTTGCAAAGCTTCTTATAGTCCTCAAAATCCTGCGACGCCACGCCCCCCAGCACATCCACATATTCGTAGGTAAGCTTGAACGGCGCCGCCTCAAACCCAACAGAACCGGGCGAGTTGGACAGCATGAACCCGAAGTCAATGTGGATGATGTGGCCTTCGTTGTCAATGAGCACGTTCCCATTGTGCCGGTCCTTGAGCTGCAGGACATACGAGATGACGCTGTACGCAGCAAGTGACCGCTTGAAGGCGTCGACGCCCGCCCTGTAGGCCTCGCCCTCGGGGCGGCCAAAGGCCTTGAGAAAGTGGTCCTTGAGGGTGGCGATCCTGCGGCGGGGGTTCTGCCCGGACTCGATGGACGCGAGCGTCAGGCTCCGCTTGATGGAGTGCAGCGACACGCCGTTGGCGATGGTCTCGATCAGGCCCGACGACTCGCCCGTCACGAGGATGCGCATGAGCTTGACCCACACGGGCACGCCCGCGTCGACCCAGATCTTGTGGCACACACGGATGAGCTGGCAGGCGAAGGCTTCCTGCCGCAGGTCGGAGCCCGTCTTTACGATGACGCTCACGAGGTCCCAGTTCTTCATCCAGCCGTACGGCGAGGACTTGCGGATCCGCTCCTTCTTCGTCTCCCAGGCCTCGCCGAAGACGGCTGCGCTCGGGTCGTCGCGGTCACCCTTCCGCTGTAGGCCGCCCGTCTTGATATCGTTCTCCATCCTGTCAATCCCCGCGTTCGCGTTAAGATTGGGCTCGACGGTGGCTGCGTCATCGGCGCCGCTGCCTTCCGCTCCGTTGGCTCCGTTCGCCGTTGTGGAAGCCGCGGTTGCCTGTGCCCTGGCGATGATCGTGTCAAATGTTGGCCCCTGTCCGTCGTCAAGGTCGAAGCTCTGCTCCTCTAGAGATTGCATGCTCGCGATGATCCTGGCCCTGATCGCTGCTACCTCCTGGCGGGGCCGCTTGCCGCTGGTCGCATCCAGCTGCGCCAGCATCTGCGAGGCCGTCCGCATGTGTACCGCGAGTGCTGAAAAGTCTGGCTGGTCAACGGAGTTGTGGCGCGGGTTGTTGAGCGTCATCCTCCTCCTGGCAAGAGGGCTGATCGACTCGGAGGAGCCGCCAGAGCTCCGGGGCGTGACCTTGTCTGACGCAGCTGGTGCGGGTGTGGTGGTGCCGGACAGTTGCAGAGACTGGCTCGATTGTGGCAGTTTCGGCACGAATACATCATCATCCGACGGCTTGAGCATTGGCGAGTTTCCTAGGTCGCCGGACGCGGGCTCAAAGACGCTATCAAGGACGGGCTCTGGTGCTCGAGAAGCGGGTTGTATGCTTGGTCCATCAGTCAAGTCGAATATCCGCTTGCGGGTCCCTTGTTCTGCCAGCAAAGTCGTGAGCAGCCTTTGGTTGTCCTGCGAGTCAGGATCAAAGCAGAAATCATCGCGGAGGATCTCGACCATGAGTAGATACGGCACCTTCTCGGCACTGTTCAGAACCGTGGCCTCAGCCGGGTTGAGCCGGACGATCCTGTGATGACGGCTCTTGGCCGGGGAACCATCCACCAGGTCAGGGGGACAGATAACCGGGATGTCCACCTCGGCTGGTAAGTCCCGGGCGATGAGAGCCAGTTCCGCACGCAACGCGCTCAGCCGAGCCGGTTTTGGCACCACCACGAGGCGGTTCGAGATGTCCTGTAGCGCTTGCAGGAAGGCAGTTTGACACCGGAAGTAGTTCTGCCTGAGCAGGCGCGTCTTTTGCACATTGGTCATGTCGGCTTGGTTGACTAGCGTCTTTACGCCGTGCGAGTTTCTCCTCGGCGTGGTTTTCGGGGGCTGTAAGCCGGCTGATACCGGTGTGGTTGGCCGCGTGACGAGACGGGGCCTGGAGTCCGGAAGAGGTAGCGAAGCCGAGCTGAGTCGCGCATCGAGAGCCAGACTCTCAAGGGTGGTGGTCGCACTCTCTCTGTCCTCATGCTCCCGTGGTGTGGCCTCTACCACTGAAGATCTTGAAGAGGGTCTGGCTCCTTTGGCTGCTGATCTTCCCACCGTTTTCCCAGATGACTTACGCGGGCTCGTCTGCCCCGGAGCCTTGATGTCCTGGGCACTGACGCTGCGCCCGTCTTTTGCTCGCTTCGACCGGGTGGTCCCAGCAGTAACTGTGTGCGCCCGGGCCGGCACCGTCTTATTAGCAACAACGGCTGGCTCGGATATCGTCTCGACAATGGGGCGCGGTTTCCGGGCTTGCGCGACGGCAAGAGGGCCAGCCCAGTGCGGCAACATGGGACAAGCTATGCTCGCGAGAACGAAGCTGCCCAGGACCGTCACCGGCAGGACATTCTCGGTGATCTTCTCGTTCCGTGCGCTCTCAGAGACCCCAAACACAATGTGCTGCACCTTGTTGTAGACCCTGCGACAGGTCTTGAAGGCATCCGTCTGTGGATTTGACGAGAGATCGTGCAGATAGGTTTGAAACAGCCAGAATGTCTGCGGGAAAACAGCATCATTAGTCGTCCAGCCTCGCCCTCAAGGTGGCGCCAGGGGTAGAGAGGGAGGTTGTCGAACCAGAAGTGCCGCAGTGACCGACTCTTCGCACAGATCCAGCAAAAACTCTTCCAAGGCCATCGACTCATTGTCGACGCTTATTATAAGGTGGCATAGTTGCGGGAGGAAGAACTCGATGTCCTCGTAAGGGAACTGGCGAAGCTTGCTACACAGCACATAGTGGATGCCGATGTGGTCGGCATAGCGACTGCAACGGGGGCGGGTGGAAAATGTCAGCGGAATGCGCTAGGGAAGCTGCCAGACCGACGGGCACACGCACGAGAGATACGACACCGAGAGGAAGGGATTCTGGTTGAAGACATCGCTCTCGAGGAACCGCTTCAGCAAGTCCCAAGACATTTGTTGCGGTCGCGTCTGGGGGTGGGGGCGGCTGGACTCGGGGGGGCGCGGAGGGAGAGATCAGACAGTGGGGGGGAGGTAGCTCATGGATGCTCTCTGGTGGTGCTGATCATTGACAACTCGGCGTAGACTTTGGGGACTCGGGTCGCGCGCAAGGGCTGCAGCATGGCTGCCTTCGGCCGTCCGTTAATGAGTGTGACTGTCGTCGAGCGGTCTCGACACGTTGGAAGCCGGAATCGAGGTGTGCAGATGGATTGCGAGCTGTCGATTGCAGGAACCGTTGAGGACAACTGAGCCAAAGCTCCATTTGGCCATTCACGGGGGCTCGCTCCGCTGTCCTCCGCGCTCCTTACTGTCTATGGCGCCCCACACCTGCCGAATTGTCCGGCTCGGCACCCCGACCCTGAGGCCATCTCCTAACCATATGAATGGATGGATTTCGTTCATGATCATGCGCCCGATTGAATGACATGTCGCGCAGCACTTAACCGGTTAACAAGCATCCACGATTTCCTGCGACGATATGTTTTTGAAGATATCTTTTTGTAGCCCTCCGCCTAAAACAGCGGGGGAAGCCGTTGAACCGGCCCAGTGGTCCACTAAGCTGAAGCCACATTCAGGGGTTCCATGATCCCGAATTCAGGGGTAACGTTTTTGGACAATGAAAAAGCAGTCTTGTTTTCTGCTACAAAAAACTCCCCAGACTCCGAGTCCATGTTGGATATCACTCATGAAACCGCAAATTGTTTATATCAGCCAAAACCTTTCTTAAGCCTCAGCCCATTACCAAACAGACTGCTTCCTTTGCCGGTTCCACTGTCCCTGCCTCTTGCGCTTCTTGGGTTTAACCCTCTGCGACGTCCAATTAGTCAGCACGCATACCGGAGAACAAGGCTCGTAAGAAGCCGGCTCACCTTGTACTTCACCCTCTCGCTTCCATCAGGCATCTGAACGATCTCGTGCTGGATATGGTAGCCGAACGCGGGCAGCACCTTGGCCCAAACCAGCCAGTACCCTGTGCCAACGGCCAGCAGGCTGGTGCCGAAAGTCGGCATCACATAGAACGGCACTTGGTCGAGGAGACCGTTCTTGATGAAGGACGCCGCCTGCACAAACAGCAGGGACACAATCCAGAAGATGGTCAGAAGGGGCGAGCTGCGGAAGGTCGTCCGCTGCTCCGCCCACCGTTCTGAGGGGGAGAAGTTGAGGTAGACGAGGCCGGCGGCGAGCAATACTGCGGGTCTACGTAAGCATGCGGGAGAAGAGGGCCGGCAAGGGGAGAGAACAGCAAACAACACTCACCCTTGATCCAGTTGCCGCTGTACACGAAGACGTTTGTGACGAAAGTGTAGACATCCGGTGTTTGAGATCCCAAGATCAAAGCACTGGTAATGATCCAGTGCAGGAAGATTGCCCCGGTGGGCGCGTTGAAGGGCCAGTCGCTGGCCCAGAACCGAGACCACGGCAGCACGCCTTCCTTGGCGAGCTCCTGCTTCACTCGCGGCATAGCAAAGGACTGCGCAAAGACATTGCCCAGCGCCGAGAGGGCGATGAACAGCGGCAAGACATTTTTGACGAAGGCACTCTCGCCCCACACATTCTCAAAGAACTTAGCCGCGACGACGACGTGCGAATCGGCGATTTCGCTCTTGGACATAGCGGCGAACTGGACTGCCGTCAGTACGGTTCGCAAGCAGCCGTCGTTGGCTCTCTCACATATGATATGTTGGCCAACAGATAGAGCAACGTCACGACCGAAACTGCAATCGGCGCCGCCCTCCGCAACGTCTTTGGCGCGTTCCGGACTTCCGTCAGGACCTGGGACTCCGTCAGCATGTGATCAATGATTCGCCGGTTTCCTCTCCCATGGGTAAGGATGCTAGCAACCCACATAGTTCGCATTCTCCCACCCGCTGTATGCGTACAGCACTTGCAGCAAAGCAAGCGCGTACCCGCCAGCTGCCCCCGCGGAGTCACTGCCGTCAGGCCTGATCCAGCCCGGACCGTGGAAACTCGAAAAGTTACTAGGGTTGGGCCTGGGTGCTGCCGTCCTGCCGGCAAGTGCGGCAAACCCGGTGCAGACGACGAGAGTGAGTAGGATTAGCTTGAAGGAGCCGAGTCCATTGCTCAGCCAGATGCCCCAGCGCGGTGCGAAAGCGTGGATGAGGCAGACCACTGGGAGAATGTGAGCTTTGAAGTCTCATCCAGGGACAATGATGGCCAGACCGACCTGTGATGGCCGCAATGGCGATGCCCCTGTTAAGCCAAGATCCGTCTCGAGGGTCTCCCGTTGCGGCGCGCAGCAGATAGCTGCTGAAGCCAATGCTATTGCCGGTCGAGATGGCAAACAGCACAAATTGCACTGGACAAGAGTTAAGTGATGGGGAGCCGTAGAGGGACGGGGGGCACGAACCTGCAAAAATGCATGTGGCCAAATACCTTGGCCTTTGATACACTCGTTCTAGCTGTGAACGAAAGACGTAGCGTGTTAAATAAACGTGCTGCAGGCATAGCGAAGGTCAAGCATGACTTACATAAACCTTTTCGCCCCCAGAACGCGGCAACGCAGTTCCATACTCGAGGTAGACGAACAATCTAATAAACGTCAGCGCCGACGCGGGACCGAGGTAACTGTCGAAGTTCATACCCGCTTCACCAAGATTGAGTCAGCCAGAAGGTTCCACACGCAGCGCAGAGGGTGAGAAGCTCACCAAAATGTCATGAAGCCGCCCAACACCCAGAAGAGCAACGTCCCCCCGACGCTGTTGAGGGAGTATATGATGGCCGAGGGACTGGAATATATCGCCCCGCCTACCACGCGGTTGATGATGAGGAACGCCGTCGACCAAGTCCCTAGTTTCCTGTCTGCACGTCCATCATTGTGTTAGGATACTCGACATTGCCATCGTTTCCTTCCGGGTGAAGACAAGGAAACCAGACGAACCCTCGGGATAAACAAAGTCGTGGTAGCCATCCGACTCGTCGTCCTCAACAGGTGTTGCTCGGAGCCCATTGCTGTAAACAGTCCCGACATGCTCGTCGGTCACCTGGACTTCCGGGTCCCTGTCGGCCACGGGCTGCTCGAATATTTCGGGTTCTTGCATGCCGACTCTCTGATCGGGACGTCGCCGAGCCTCTCCCCAACCAATTCACAATAGATTTCCCTTGAAATGGGAGCCTGCGTGGAGCCCTTTCTTGTCCGGCTTTGATACCCGTGCTGGAACTTCCAACCAGCAGGATGCGGAACACGACGGAGCAGTCGACCTCCGACGCGTCTTCCACCGCCGTACAAGAAGAACCCAACCCTTGCTGTGGTCGTAGTTCAGTCCTGTTAACTACCTCCTATAGACCATTGTCCACCCTGGGGAGGGGGGCGCGAGGCTCTGGAAACGCCTCGGTCCCAGACACCGCTGGACAAGGCTGAGGTGGGCCGACCCCGAGTCGGAGAGCTCGTTCAGCAGAAGAAGATGGGTTCTGGAACTAAAACAAGGCGGGTGGATTGGCGTCTTCTGGTCCCTTAGACAGATAACTAATAAGGTAGGTAACCAACAAGGTCGTATCAAAAAGCGCAGTTCGAACTGAGACAATCAGTCCCCAGTCAGACGAGGCAGAAAGCAGAGCCTCATCTTCCGCGAGACAGCCAAAGTCCCAATCCGGGAAGCACCAACAACAAGGGTATCGGCGTCCGCCGAGCCCCAAGCTTCCACAACCCCCTGCCCTGTCACCGCCATCCTTTTTCTGCAATCTTGCATCCAATCCGCGAGACAGAAAACCGAGCCCAGGCCCCAGGGACAGTTTGCGGAGTCGGCCAGATTGGACACCCCACCTGGCGGGCTGCAAGAGATGAGGTGAGTGGCTGCAGGGCAAAAGCGAGCGATAAGCGGGTGACGCCGACGGCGGGGCCAATCCTTCTTACCCCAGAGAATGGTAAGATAGGAAACATACGGGTGGGTCGGGTCATCAACAGGCCGGAAGGTGTGGTATTTAATATCGCGAGGGCTGGAACAATGCATCGGGAAAGATTTAATTGTCACCGTTTCCGTCTCTCCCTCCATTCCCACAACATGAACTGTTCTGGCTTCGGATTGCCATCTCTGACGGCGACGATTTGACTTTGGCAGGCAAAGAGAGCCCCCGTCACTTTAGGGTTCGGATGATGTGGATCCCATCAAGGAACGAACTGCCAAGACCTTCCATGTTCTTCCCCACAGCATTTCTTGCCTACGGTGGATGCCCATTGCCCAATGCCACTCGCTCATTCTGCTCGCGTGCCTCCTTGCTCGGCTGGGACGGTCCACCCCCTCCAACCGCGGATAACATCGCATTTCAGCTCGCGGCCGAGCTGAGAAACAGTGCTCTAAGCCGGGCCTACCCAAGTAAGGTACCTACGGTACACAGTAGGTAGATGTACAGGATATGAGTTCAAGGACAGACTGCCGGGTTTGGAGGCTTACTGACGCGGCTCGCACGCCACCTCATGCAGAGGGACCTGCAGGCATTCAATATTCCACGCCAGCTAAGCTGACTGCCCCTCAGCTCGTCCAGAGTACCTACACAGTAATCGCCTCGCCTGTCTTCGGTATCACTGGAGAAGCGAACCAGAAAAGCTGACTCTCTGTATCTCAGCGGTGATTATTTTGTAAGTGGTAACAGTAAAAAACGCCAACAGCCTGTCCATCTATCCAGAGGCAAAAAGTGTCGCGTACATTAGTGGTATCGTGGCACATCAGTGTCCATAGTACAGGAGAGAAAATCAGACCCCCGATCACATGAAAACGCCCCGTGCCTGACGCCCCGTAAACACAGCGGACTCCATGTCCACCTGGATGTGGTTCAGCCGTGCGCGTTGGAGTCTGCGCTCCCTCATCACTTCGTCCCATTTACGGATGAAGTTGTCCTGGCCTGCAGGTAGGTGGTCAGTATGTGTAAGGTATGAAGGAAGACCTGCCCGGTCCGCGAACGTGTGACGTACTTGGTGAGTTCTCAAACTCAATCTCAAACGTCTTGTACGAGTCATAATCGGATCCGACGTCTACATCGACCGCCCTGCCGTGGATATCGAGGCCTGCCGGTTCGGAGCCACATTTCGGTTCTAAGTGTGCTGTTTAAGCAGACAGTCAGTATGCTTCCCTGGGACAAGAGCTACTGGTAGTCATGTTTTCATAACCCTACCTTTGACCCACGGCCACCGTGACCCTTTTCTTGAAAAGGGCAGCGGGCCCTTCCTCGGCTTCAACTTCACCACTGTTTGTCCTTCGGCCTTGATCTCCAGATCATCCGTAACTGTGTCTAGGTTAGCAATTACTGTACTCAACTCCTGTCACGGGTAGGCTAAACACCGTACTGAAAGCGGTAATAAACTCTCCTGTTCGGCCCAGATACAACATCAACCTCGAGGAGCTCGCGACAAGCCTTTCCCTTAGCGGGCCTGATAGTGTGGTGCCGGCGGTAACGAATGAGGCCACGTCTGATTGGGCACTCCTCCGCCCTTCGAGTTCATGCCAGATTTGCAGTCTAGCGCTGGAGTACTGTGTGCTCGACCGACTGTTTGCTCTGCTGAGCGTCACCATCCGGACGCTACCAATGTCCAGAACGACCTTCTCGCCTGTGAGCTTCGCTTGGAAGTCAAAGAGTGCTGTTTACTTTTAGTTAGTGCCTAGATGCCTGCCTCGGTGATCGATCGGGTAGCATACCCTTCAGGCTAGAGAACTGGTAGATGCCACTTGGCCTGCAGTTTCCCTGCGAAGCCTGCATGTAGCCATTCCCCTTGTCGCTCTCCTTATCGCGGATGTACACGACGTTGGATAGCCGCTGGTCGTAGGCGTAGGCGGGGACAAGCTGCGCATTGCTTGCTTTCACTACATCGGGATTTGTTAGCAACCCTGCTGTCAGGGGCGAACTGTGTGAAAAGGAGGACCCACTCCAATACGTTTCAGACTCGCGATCTACTCTGCAATAGAATCTGAGATCGTTGGTAAGGGTGTTTCGAAACACTTTCAGCAGGCTGTCCCGGAAGACTGGTGCTGTCAGAGTTTGGGCGCTCTTGACTGGTCTAAGTGGAATTAGTGGAACGTTCTGTCACATCCCCGTTCCTGAAAGATGGCTCACCCGTCAAACACGAGAACCTCGCCCGGTAAGACATTATCCCGGCCCGTACTTGCACCGTCACTGAAAGTCGAGGCCGCAGGATCATGCACAACTACAGGCGTCAGAGTATCGATTTCGTTCGTAGCAACCTGAACCTGGAGATAGCTCGGTTGCTGTCCCATAAAAGCGGGCGGCGCTGATACTGAGGCATGAAGCGGCGGGTAATGGTGCCCACTCCCGGTTCCTTGCCCGTCCCACACCTCCCTGCTGGGCGAAGCTGGTGACAGCGTCGGCGTAGGATCGGCGTCAGTGTAGGAAAACGTGATTGGTGTAGAATCTTCCATCAGTGACGGAAGCCCGGTAACCGCCACTGCCATCTGCCGCGAGCTCTGGAGGTGAGCATAGGTTTGCGCCGTGTATTTCGCGTAGTTGACATTCGTCCAATACTGTGGTGCGGCACCTGGGCTGGCGTAGTCGTAGTCCACCCCGTCCGACGCATAATCTGGTGGAGGCGGTGGCGGTGGTTGTCGGTGTTGTGGTTGTTCTTGTATGTAGTCTGTTGTTGGGGATGTTGACAGGCCGTCGGGACTCGCCGGACTCATTAGCATCCTTGGACCAACATCGGGATCCGTCAGGGTCTCGGCGGCCTGCACCCCTCCGTCCGACTCTCCATATAGTGGCGTTGCGCCGAAGCGATCGATGCTGAGGCGCGCCATCATACTCGTGACTTCGTGGGCAGCGGCAGTGGGCGCCGGAGCCGGGACGGTGGTCCCAGCATACTCCGGTTGGGCCGGATGTGCGCCGGGGGAATATGAGCTCGCACTTGACGGACCTCTTCCCCAGCCTACGGCATTATAGGAAGGGTTCTCGTATGATCGCGATGTCGGGAAGTAGGATGGTGGGCTAGTAACGGGAGTTGCTGAGGTTGGCACGCGACCATAGGCTGGAGCGGGATCTGAGACGCTTTCAAAGCGATAGCGGCGGCCGTTGGACGTCACAAAAATGCTCCGGTCGGCGAGCTGGGTCGTCGCATCAAGAGTGGCAGGATCGAAGCCGCTTTTGAAGAGGTCGGAGAAGGGGATGGTTGCTTCGTCGTCGACGGGCGGAAGGCTGGGAGCCGGGAAACGACCCTGGGCTGGCATTATGGACCTCGCCGCACAAACCCATCACCGGCCATGACGCTATCGTTCTGGCACGGAGATTGAGGGGATTGACACCTCACATGTGTGCCTCTCCGCACCTCTCCGCCTGAACATAAGTTATTGTTGGTCGGGAGGGTCGCACGGGGATAGACCTGGAAAATAGATAACCTGGAAGAGACAGGGGGAGTGCGGCGCTGAGGGGTGGGCAACCGAAAAATAGCCTGGCTTGGGGACGGTTAGGCTACCCTTAGCTTCCTTCCTTGCCCGGGGCAGCGCTGGGCCGCTGGGGAAATGCCGCCGTCCATCTATCCAGGGCAGCTGCCCGCCCGACCTTTCAATGCCCAGCGCTGGGGCTCCCCGACTTCTAGGTAGTAGGGCCCGTCAGATTAAGCCGCATCTTTAGTCGGCTAGGTATCTGGCAACCATTTCCCTTTGGCGCTATTCGCGGTGCTGGACGATAAGGTTGACCGCATTTCGACCCTCTTGCTAAGGCACCTCCCACCCTAGATAGTGCAGCCTGCAGCGTTGATCGCTCATTTGCCCAGGCATCACTGTCCGCTTGAAGGATTGGACATCCATGGATGGTGGACGGGAATCGGACGAGCTTACCTGGACCGTTCTGAACCGGCCATTTCGGCCCAGGGAGGTCGAAAGCAGACCTCATCCGCTGCAATTCAATGCAGACGAAGTTACTGTGTATTGTAGGTACCCGGACAAACTTCGAAGGACGCATTGGGGGGCTTATCACATTTCTAGCGGACCGATCCACAGGTATCACACCACCTCCCGATAACATTCCGCCTTGACCCACCAATGTTTCTATTGGGCGAGAGACAGCTTACCGGTAGGTAGTACAGTAGTACCTACCTATGTACCCTCCGTCTACAGCCTGCTGAGCACTCTCGAAGGAGGAGAAATCCATAATGTTTATCTTTACTTCAGCATGTTCTTAGTTCGATCTGAAACCTCTAGCAAAATACCCACCCAGCATGCCGCCCGCTGACATTCTGCTCGCCTTCTGAGCATGTAAATGTCTCGCTACATAGTTCGTGCAACCTTGGAAACAAGTTGACCATTCCCAACGCCTGCTCCCCGTTCGTGAATACACCATACGGTTCAGTCCAACATGTCGTTTGCTGCCATCGCCGTACTCACCGAAGACACGGCTGAGCAACAATTCGTCCTGTTTGCCTCAACCGTCTGTTCCATACCCCCCCATTACTGGTCCTTCTTCTTCCTCCCACCGCCACGGCCTCTCCTCTTGGGAACCCCATCACCCCCCTCCTCCTCACTCTCACTCTCCGCCTTCACCTTGCTACTCGCACTCTGACCTGCCGCCCCACTGCTGCTAGCCTTCCCCCCCTTCTCCTCCGTCTCGACCTTGCTCACAATTTCCCTCAAGAAGTCCCACTGATCATCCGCTTCGACGACCTGCTTCAGCATCTGCGCCGACACCCGTTTCGAGTTGCGCTGCTTGGCCACCTCGGCGCTCTTGGTCACCAGCGCCACCATGAACAGCTCCAGCGCCTTGCCTACCGCGATGGGAGTTTGTTGCGCCACCTTGCCAACCTCCTCATCCGCCTGCATGATACGCTTGATACGAGCCGTGGGGAACTTGGTCCTTACTTGGCCGGGTTCGACAGTGGTTGAAGTTGAGGTTGAAGCTGAGGGCACAGCGGAGCCAGCAGCTTCATGTTTAATGTCCGGAATGGCTTCAGAGGCAGTCTGGGAGGTTACTGCGGCTGCAGCGGCTGCAGCCGCGGCTCTCCTCGGAGGCATCGTGTCCGGATGGTAGCTCACAAAATCGTGTTGGACCTGGCCTCCCGGTTGTCTCTGTCCGGTACTAGGTAACGTGTTGTCGTAGTGCTGACGCACTTGTGATTGAGCAGCGGTAAACTGAGAGGTCTGTACTGGGAATGGCTGGTGCTCCACCTGTTGATACTGATATTGAGAACTGGACTGAGAGAATGTCTGCCGCTGAGGCTGGGGGAACTGTGTGGCCGTGTATCCGGCCGTGTATCCAGGCCCAGCTTGGGAATATCCAGGGCCTGGGTAACTTTGTGCACGTGGCGGATAGTAGTATTCGTGTTTCGCGGGCTGTGAATATTCTACACCGCCGACAAACCCTGGTGCTTCACTGGTGTTCGAGCCGTATGTGGACCGTGCGTGAGCGAGGCTTCGTGGTGGTGTGGCGTAATTCTGGCCTTGTTCGTGAGGCGCATGCGCTTGAAAATTATAAATGCTTGAAATGTTGGACTGGGAGTGCTTCGAAAATAGCTGCCCACTTTCAGATGCTGGTTCCGCCGGTGGAGTGGGGCCTGCCGAGTAGAAGGACGAAAGGTCCGGGCTTTTAGGGGCATAAGTGCCGTCATCAGACATGATTTAGACTTTCAGCTGAAAACAAACCAAAAAAGACACCTTAGCAATGAAACATCAGTCTCAGAGGCCCTGATTCTGATATGTGATAGGTGGTGTCGTCTGTAAAGGTTGGGTCTTAATCTTTGTGGTGGGGCTTGCGGATCCGTTGAATCGCTCATGCAAACCGACTTGAACCGACACAAGGGTCGGGGCGGGGTGTCGGAGCTACCTTATACAAAGTAACCGGGTAACGGTCAGGGTTCTTATACGGGAAAGCTCTGTGCCGCTAGTGTAGGTCAAAGACAAAATGACGAAGCTCTCATAGGAACGCGAGGAGGGGCAGGCAATATGGAGGGGTAATTTGGGGGCGGAGCTAGGGAGGATTGGGCAAGTGGCCAAACAGAGAAGGGATAAAACGTGGAATAATCGGCAAGCGGTTGCTGGGGAATTAATAGGCACGGTAACATACCGTATAGTTAAATCACTACACAGCAACCGTACATCCTAATTCCCGCAGGCAGTTACATATTTATACGATGTTGAGGTGTATAGGACAATTCCCTCCTATCTAGAAAGAATCTGGGAAGTCCGGATGCTGCCCGATGCTCAAATTTGCCCACATACATAAGGCACGGTGCATATACTGTATAGAAGATACTGTATTTTTTGGGAAATTATGGCTAGCATTATTGATAAATATACTACGGATGTAAACTCGGCGTGTCAAGGCCAGGAATTTACCCGCAGCCCCGCCACATTCTGCGCCTCGTCACCATGCACTTGACAACGGATTGTTCCGAGCTATCTACAAGCCTGCTGATCGAAATGAAAGATGTCGGCATCCTCACCAGTCATCACTGTGCCGCGACCGCCTGACTCCCATCCCTCGTCACAAGCTTGAACTCTTTCAGCCACCACAAGGTAAATTTGTGCTTCTCTACACTGGTCCCATGCTATATCCAAACCCGCCGTCCATGATGACCTTCAAAGAGCAACATGAAACCCTCCAGAGGCCAGAACTCAGCGTTGAAGAAACCGAGCTCACGCTCTGGGGTCATCTTCGCTCAGATGCCCATGATGGCACAAATAACTTGATCTAATCTGAGGACAACCGCATTCAGAGTCTGCTTGCCTGCACCCTTTTTTTGGGATACGCTGTCTAACTTGTCCGTCATAGGCAGAAGCCCGTCCAGCCGGCCCCCCTTGCGACTGCAGCAAAGAATGAGCAAGCAATTGACCGAGCTGTTCCTCCGCCAAGGTGAACACGGCATTCTCACGGAGGCATAAGCAGAGACGCGCCCAGGAGAGATCGAAATCGCGAATCCAGGCTCCTCCGACTTCGAAAGTGCACTGCTCACACTGCTGGCAGTTTGTCGGTTGTCACTTAGGTGAGGTAGGTACTCGGAGAAACAAGCACAGGTGAGCGTTAGAACCGCGGATCTCTGCCGACTGGGGTGCTGTGCCACCGTAGACGTGCTTCTCTGCCCTCAGTACGGTGTCTCACCGACCTGTAGGAGGGGCAAGAGACAGGAGAAAGGGCTATATAACTCCAGTGCGGCTGGGCTCTATGTCCCGAATAGCCCATAAGCTAACAGCGAGGTCAAGAGATGCTTAACATGGGAGTATACTCTACTCTGTATGTTTACAGAACTGGGTTTCTCTTACCGTACGTCCTCCTTCCGAGCCTTGAGCTTCAATGAGAGCGATGTTAGTGGTTATCAGACATCGGTAGCTGCCTACCACACAAGATAGTGTATAGATAACCCCAGCCTCACACGTATGCAATTATCCAGGACGTCTGGCACTTTCCCCAACAGCTAGTCGATCAAGGATATTCTACTGGTTCCGCGCGACCTTCAAAATCCTCTCCTCCATCTCCTCAAACGCCCCCAGCATGTTCCCATACTTCTGGAAGACCCCGTCGCGATACCCATCGTCCACCTTCTGGATCGCGCCCTCCTCCTTCCACCGCTTTCCGATCAGCTCATCAAACGTCTCGCCTTCGGCCCGCTCAAACGCCCAGACAGCCTTGTAGGCCCCGCCGAGCGCGCATGCATTGCCGCCCACATCCAGCTTGTACACGCCGTCGGCGCCGCCCAGCACATCGCCCATGATGCGCGCAATCGCCGGGTTCAGCGACCCGCCGCCGACGAGGTAGATGCGCCGTGGCTGGGCGGGCAGCCCGCCGGCGGGGCTGGTCACGAGCTTCTGGCTGCGCAGGCGCATCGACAGCGCCTGCGACTCGACAATGATGCGGGGATCCGTCTCGGCCGGCCACGCCCGGTCGGCTTCCTGCAGCGCGCTGCCGTCGGCCGCGTTGCACGTGTAGCGCCAGGTGCCGGCGCGGATGTTGGGCACGATCTCGGGCAGGTAGAAGTACAAGCCCAACTTGGCGCGGTCGGCGTCCGAGCGGACGTCGAGGGGCGGCGTGGCGAGGGCGTGCTTGTTGAAGGTGGCCCAAGGATCGGAGGAGGAGGAGGAATCTGCGGGTGGCTTGGGCAGCGCGTCGCGCACCTTCTCGCGAGCGAGACCGCCGTTCTTGTAGCACAGCATGAACATGTACTGGCCCGGGGTGGTCGGGTGGTTGAAGAAGTGATAGCTCGGGTCGGGCTTGTAGACGGGCGTGCTCATGAGGAAGGTAGTGCTGGTGCCCAGGCTGACGATGGCGTCGAGCGGGCGGAGGGGCAGCGCGAGGATCGTGGCCGGGTTGTCACCCGTGAAGGGGGCGACCTCGCAGTCTGGGCTGAAGCCGTACTTGGTCGTGAAGTAGCTGCTGATGCGGCCCATGCTCCCGCCGCCGTCCTGCCGGACGTCGCCTAGCTTCCTGCGCAGCTCGGCGACACCGTCTTTGCCGGCTGCTAGCTCGAGCAGGGGCTCGGACCAGCTGCTGCCCTGGATATCCCAGAGATTCATGCCGCAGGCATCGCTGATGTCCATTGGTGCGACGGCCCCGAGGAATAAGGAGGCGAGAAAGGAGGAGACGAGCGATATCCGCGACGTAGCGGCGTACATGTCGGGAAGCTTGCGCTTGAGGCGCATTATTTGCGTGCCAGTGAATCTCTGTCGAGGAAATGGTTAGTAAAGGTCAGTAACAACATCCATCCTGTGGTACACCAACATGATGCGCAGCACTCCCCGTGACCTCGGCCAACCGCTCCGCCGACCCCAGGTGGGCATCGAATCGATCACACTCGGCCTGGGTGCTATGGTCCTGCCAGTTGGGCGCATACGGATGCGAAAAGGCGCCTGTCAGCTGGTCAACAAGTGCTTTATCCGCCTGCAGACCACCGAGCAGAGTCTCTGCCTGCCGGCTCCAGTAGACGCTCCCGTGCTGCTGGCATGAACCGCTGATGCCTCGGATCCGGCTCAGGGGTGTTTTCTTCTCCCGCAACCGTTGCAGCACCAGGTCTAGGGATTCGAGCCACATGGCCACGGGAGCAAAGACCTCCCCTTCCTCATCGTTGAGGAGCACGCCCTTCTTGATGCCGTACTTGGCGCCGAAGTCCTGGTCGAAGTCGACTTTGGCGTCGGAGACAACTTGAAGGTCGGACTGCACAACAATCGCTGGGCAAGGAATTTTAGCCAGGTTGACCGAGCTGCTATCCGTCTGTGGCTTGAGGCACACCTTTGAGCTGCTGGGTCGACAGGTCGAACCCCAGGTAGAGGGGTCCGTCGCCCATTGCGGCGTGGGAGCTGCTCGGCTAATAAGTGAGTGGGAGAAGGGAAGGGTATATAAGCCCAAGTCACCTAATAAAGACCGTAAATCACAATTTCAGCGAAACATCGACACCGCAGGAACAGTTCAAGTTACAGTTCGGCCAAGTAAATAAGCTCTCACGATCGGACGAACAGAAGGGGATCTGGTCCCCTTTTACTCGACCCCACGTGGGGCAATGTTCGTCATAGCCTGATCTTCGTTCAGGTCAACAACATGTACCGTGGCGGGGCACGCCGGCACGCTGCCCCGCCAGGAACATTGAGCAGCCTCGCCTGGAGACATTTAGCCTAATGTTGAGACGTGGTCTCGACCAATGCCGACTCCCGTCGGTATCGTGTAGGCCGAGCGGCTGCGAGCTGGCGGGGCTCGGGCAACAGACACGATTGCCGATGCCGCTCTTACACAGCTTCTCGATGAGTGGTTTACTGTTTAGTGTAGTGCAAATGTTGATGACTTGAGACTGAGCTGCGCAATGGAAGTAGAGTAATCTGTGCATGATAAGTAGTGCACAGAGAAAATCTAACTTATTCCGCCCACAGAGAAGAGCGGGGAAGACAATACTAATGGATCCCAACTTGAAATAACCTGCTAGGTAGATCTGGGGTCCGACCCTAACCCAGAATAAAGCCGGGCTGCCCAGCAACCAGCTAAGACGGACCCCTGACACAATGACGGATGCCAATCTGATACTGCCAGCTTGCAGAAATGCAGCTGCAGCTCCTCCCAATGGATCGCTTTTAGCAGGCATTTCCGCGCCAATGGCCAGGCCAGACCCAACCACTGGCGCTTGAGCGAGAGAACACCACAAAGAAGACATCCTGACGCCGGCCCCATCTGACAACCGCGCCATGGAGAAGCCAGAACCCAGCACAGCGACCTGAAAAAGTATGCGCGATCCAGCGAGTTGGGCGAGACGAATCGCGCCGGCCTTAGTGTTGCTGGGACTCCACGCAGCCGGTGCCAATGGCTCCAGGTCCACACCGGACCCGGCCGTGACCGCCGCGCCGGCCGCCGCAGAAGTGTGCGAATTCAGGACGATCAACTATATCACGCATACATTGCCGCAGCAATGCTTGCGCACGTCGTGGACGAGTCCCGCCCCTACTGCCACCGACGACGACAACGACAGGGCACAAGCAACCGTCACCGTCACTGCCACGGCAGCTAGTGCGAGCTCGGGCGCAGCACAAGACAATGCCACAGCGCAGGAGCAGGAGAAGCAGGAGGAGCTGGCTGCCAGCTCCTTCATGTCGTTCGAGGAATGGAAGGAGATGATGCTGCGCAAGTCGGGTCAGGACCCGGCCAGCATCAAGGCGCACAAGCAGCGCGAGCACCGCGAACGGGACCCCGCCATGAACAATGGGGATGGCGACAGTTTTGGCGAAGAGGGAGAGATTTCGCTGGATTTCGACGCCCTGGCCGAGAAAGTGTCCGAGATTGCTTCCTCTTCCTCCTCCTCGGGCGGGCCGGTTCCCGATACCAAGGGGGAGGTCAAAGAGGAACCGGTCCTCTACGACAACGGAAAGACGCAGTACTACCGGAGCAAGGATGCCGGCAAGACCTGCAAGGAACGTTTCTCATACTCATCCTTCGACGCTGGGGCAACGGTCCTCAAGACCAGCCCGGGCGCGAAGAACGCCAAAGCTATCTTGGTCGAGAATAAGGACTCGTACATGCTGCTGGAATGCCGCGCCAAGAACAAGTTTGTCATTGTCGAGCTGAGCGACGACATCCTGGTCGACACCGTCGTCCTGGCCAACTTCGAGTTCTTCTCCAGCATGATCCGCAAGTTCAGGGTCAGCGTGAGCGATCGGTATCCGGTGAAGTTGGACAAATGGGTCGAACTGGGCACTTTCGAGGCACGGAACTCGCGAGATATCCAGGCGTTCCTCATTGAGCATCCTCAAATCTACACGAAATATATTCGAGTTGAGTTCCTGAGCCATTGGGGCAACGAGTTCTACTGCCCCGTGTCGCTGCTTCGTGTCCATGGCACCCGCATGCTGGACACATGGAAGGAGCCAAGCCACGACGAAGAACCGGAGCAGATCCAGAGCTCGGCTCAAGAGCCAGTAGAGGAGACTCCGAAGGCGCAAGAGCCAGCGGCCAATGACACCTCAACGGTTGTCGAGAGGGATGAGAACACAACCCAGGCCGTCACAGAAATGGGCCTCACACCTTGGCGCCCCCTCTTTCCTAGTAGTTTCTCACTTGATATGTGCGAGTTGCGCTCTCCCACGACGGCTGACCCCACTCCCGTTGATTCCGGCTCAAGTAAACTACAGAACATGCCTGCTGGGGCACCCGATACGGTGACTCCGCGACAGTCCGCCGTGCCGGGCGCTGATGAAGGGTCCCAACCCGGCAATTCCTCGTCTCCGCAGTCTGCGTCTCCCGAGGCTCCCGTCTCTCAGGGCCAGTGGACGGCTGCACCGCCTTCTCCTTCTCCTTCTTCTCCTTCTTCTTCTCCTTCGACACCTTTGCAGGCCGGCAACAACGGCACAGCAAGTCACCCGACCCAAAGACAGTCGGAAACCCGAACGGACTCCGCGGATGGCTCGTCATCCGCGCCCACGACCACGTCTCGCAACAAGACCACCTCCGTCTCCGCTTCCCCCTCGGCCTCACCCACCGTCCAAGAGTCCTTCTTCAAAACGGTAACCAAGCGCCTCCAGCTCCTCGAGTCCAACACCTCCCTCTCGCTCCAGTACATCGAAGACCAGTCGCGCTTCCTGCAGGAGGTCCTCCTGAAGATGGAGCGCAAGCAGATCACGCGCGTCGACGCCTTCCTCGACAAGCTGAACAGGACGGTCCTGTCGGAGCTGCGCAGCGTGCGCACGCAGTACGAGCAGATCTGGCAGAGCACGGTGCTGGCGCTCGACGCGCAGCGCGAGCAGTCGGAGCGCGAGATCGTCGCGCTGACCTCGCGCCTCAACGTCCTGGCCGACGAGGTCGTCTTCCAGAAGCGCATGGCCATCCTGCAGAGCGTGCTGCTCCTCTCCTGCCTCGTCCTGGTCATCTTCAGCCGCGGCGCCGGCAACAACAATAACAACAATAACAACAACATTACCAGCCTGTCGGCCGCCATGCTGGACAACTTCCCCCCTTTCCCTCCTTCGCAACAGACATCCCCCTATAACCGCCGCTACGGCTACACAACAACAACGGCAACAAACAGACCCGGGTCCCCCACCGAGGTATCGTCATCCCTCCCAGGCTCGCCCCCCAGGTCCGGTCCGGATGATCGGCTCGCCGCCTCCGCCCTCCCGCGACGTCTCTATTCCGCCGCCTCTTTCAAAGACAAACTGCTGCCCCTGACCCCGCCATCGGAACACAGCAGGGAAAGCACGCCCGCCACATCCCGCAGCGACCGCGACCGCGATCTCAACCCCAGCAGCCCCGAGACGTCCTTCTATAGCCGGGAAGGAGACAGGGAAGAAGGACGACGAAGAGAAGAAGAAGAATACTGCCAAGAAGAAGAAAGAGAAGCGGAAGAAGGAGGGGAGGTCACACCATCGCGCCAGGGGGGTATTGCTGCAAACCGCACAGCAGGGAAGCCAGTGTCATGCTCAGAAAGGCCCGAGGAGATGTCGTCCATCGAGGTAGTCGATTTCAGTCCGTCATCATCTGAGACCAACCCCGATTCGCAGGGAATAATAGAAGGGGAAGAGGACGGTGAAAGGCGAGAGAGCCCGACTTCTTCATTGAGAGCTCGACCAGCATTGTCGCATTTGGGCGGTGTCAGAAAACCGCTGCCAGCGCTGCCTGAAGATCCGAGTTGATGGGTGATGACGGTATCATTGATGATTATCATGAGCGCCTCGATCTAAAGTCAGCATAATACCATAATGAACTCTAGCGCGTACCTTGTTTGTCAGCCTGATTCATGTGTGATGGACCAGAGGAATTTAGAATGATGACGAGATCAAGTCACGCGCACAAGGCATTCATGCCTTGAGAGAAGAGCAACGTGGGATTAAAAGCTAACTCAGCGGGCCAAAGCAATGTCCGGATTTCCCAGCTAATATACCTGTCCGGTGCATGTGCGGTCTCCTCTGAACCACTCAAGAGTCAAAAACAGGCTCTGCCGTATGGGCCGAATTTCCTAGACCACCAAGGCTTCAGAAACCCCTTCGGCGTAGTCCAATCCTCCCGTCCGGTCTCGTCCCCTCGCCTGTCAATCTTCCCTCTCCCTTCTCTCTCCGGTGCTCCCTCATTTTTTTCTCCCTTCTCGCAAGCCAAGTAACACTGGTATAAGCTGTGTGCCCTTCCGCCGCCTCCCAAAATGAGAACCATTTGTCAACGAAGTAGTCAATCTTGAATAACAGCAAAAGAATCGCGAAATATACCGTCCTCATCGCCAAGCAAGCCAGCCCTAATCAATACCATGGCATTAGCGGCGTCCGTGATCTTCACTGGGGAACGAAAAAGCCGTGCTGCTGGATGTGAGCAGCGTAGTCGTACTCCTCGAGGGCGGCGAGTCTGGTTCCACGATCGTACTGGGAACGGCGACGGCGCTGCTCGTCACGGAAATGTTGGCCGGCGTTGGGCGTGAAGAGCCCTGACGCGAAGACATCTTAGCAACATAATCGGGAACAGGGCCAAGTGTGCTTGCGACTCACCAACATGCTCAGCATTCTCGCAGCTGCGCTTCATCTTGGACTGATTGTCAGGCTCGGGGAACGGCTCCTCCTGGCCCGCCAGCTCAGGCCTAGGTCCATTGGTCGTGTAATAAAGCTACGTTTGTCAGCTGGAGTGGAGTGATTGACTAGGGCGAACTCACCTTGGGGCGGTAGTGAGGAGCCTCCAGCATGACGGAACTGTTACGGAACTTCTGGACCAGGCAGTCCTTTCCTTGGATCGCTTGGACAGGTCAGCGTTCGCTTATGGTTTCAGGGTGCATTGTGACGACTCACTGGCATAGGAGATCTCCGCCACCTTGTCGCTCTTGAAGCAGTTCCAACGCTGGTTGCCGCGCGCATTGACGAACTGACTCATAATTAGTTTCCACGAGCTTTGGCGTAAGTGTAGCGACCAAGGGGACGAGGGAATGGTAGCAGCATACATCGATGATATCCAACGGCTAGTCACTAGTTAGCGGTGACAGCTCTCCACGAGTGGGCGGGGATCACTTACATCCACGAAGTTGATGAACGCATAACCAACGCTAGATGTACCATGTCAGTGGCTGAAACCGAAGGGAAACTCGGCCGGATAGCAATACTCACTTGCAATCATTGGCGAAATCAATGCGCAGATACATGAAGTCGTACTTTCCCCAGCTCGATTCATCAATGATCCGCTTCAGCATAGCTTGATCAACTTTGTTGGGGATATTGCGCAGCATAATCTGCATGGGTGAGCTACTGTACTATGTGCGATCTGATCGGGACGGGGGTCACCTACTGTGGTACGGACATCGATACCCTCCCGGATACGATTAACGTCGACATGATTGTGGTGACCGGCGTTGCCGTAGTACGGGGACCTGTTGACTCTGGTGGCATTCTGGCGACGATTGTCCAGACGTCCGTAATGCTGAATGCTCCGCGGGCTGCTGAAGTCACCGGTCATGCCCATCGGCGTCCCCGGGGGCGTGGTATACAAGGGGCTCATGACTGGCATGCCGCCAGACAAGGGCGAGATCGGGCCCATCTGAGGAACGTTCGGGACACGGGTGGGAGTCTGGTTAACCATGAGTCGATTCGGTGTCGAAGTGGTGATGCCGGGGTAGACAACCGGATACATGGCGAACTGCTGCGGCGTGTGGAAGCCGGCAGAGGATTGAACAGCACGGCCAGCGGCGACAATTGCGTTGGCCGGGTGGGCGACTTCCCAGACACCACTTCCCTGGAAGACGTTGACGTTTCCGACATTGCGAACCGGGGTTCTAGGAGGGTTGCTCGCGAGGAGGCTGAGATCGACAGTCTGAAGCGTTCCAGACTCTAGATCCAGCTGGCACGGTGTCAGAATGAGATTGACTCCCTGTGAAGGTTACGGTTAGAGATGACCAAAGAGAAGATAGATCCGATGACTTACGCCCACTGTGGCTCCGTTGAACCTATGAGCAACCCAAACCGCAACTTCGGTGTCAGAGAATTCAACCACAGCGCGGAAAGCGGAGTCGTTCGACTCGCTCTGGCGCAGAAGCGCGAAGACCTCGCCTTGGGTTTCGAGCAAGGTCTGCACTACCGTCTCAACATGGGCGGTGCCAGCGTTGGCACCTTGACCGTAAGCGGTAACCTGCAGCAGGCAGTCGAAGACTGGCTCAGCGTGGCTAAGCTGGCCGCACACCTGGCACTCGTGAGCATGGAGATCTAGCGTCAAAGAAGAGAGGAGATAGGTACCTCGTTGTACTCGTTCGGGACAACGTACTCAGCGCACCAGTCAGGGGAGCCAAGCTCAACGTTGTCATGGGCATTGCGAGCGTCCCGGACATTTGAGAGGCGAAGATAGACTTTGCCGTCGGCTGCGACCGCGTAGCTCTTGCCCTGGCACTGTGATCCGAGTCGCTCCAACTTCTGTGTAGGTTGGTTAGAAACATGCTGAGAGGTAAACAGGGGGGAGTGGGTGATAGCCATACCGCAAGATAGCCCTCAATATCCGCGAGAGTAAGCGCGCCAGAACGAGAGTAAATGACAAGGCAACGAGAAATCCCCAACTGATGACTGAATTTGGCGGTGGCCTGAGCCGCGAAAAGCTGGCGGTTGGTATTCAGACCACCATTCGGTCCAGACGGCCCATACAGAGAGCCATGGGCGACAATGGGAACAGAGACAGGCCGGAAGGCAGAGGCGGTTGGCGACAGTTTCTGATCTCCCTTAAGGGTGGTGCTGTTGGAAACGAAAGGATCCTTCTCAGAATCACCAGCATCGCTGAAGCCCTCGGGCTTGACATGAAAGCGGACAGCGCGGTCAGAGGGAGCGCTCAAGGTGAGCGTGTTCAGTGACTTATTGGATCTGGCCGAGTTCTCATCCGGAGAGAAGACAGTGAGTCTGGTCTCCGGTGTGGCTTCATGCTTATACGAGTCGCCACCGCCACTTGATGAATGGGGAGAGGACAGATTGAAGGGAGGATCTCGCACCTGCGCCATGGTGAAGAGTGCGCTGACAGGCTTGTCTCGCTGGGTGCCTTCTTGGTGACGCTTGTGGTAGTACGAGGAAGTCGACTCAGGCATACAGCCGGATGGGACCTGACGAGAGAAGAGAGTTCTGAGGGTATTTTTGCAGTCGGACCCTGAAGTGAGGAAGGAACTGAAGAAGACGTGGACAATCCAAAGAGACCCCGCAAGAGAACTGATGGACGGCTCCGAATTTCCAAAATTCCACGCGATGGGGGACCCCAGAATTGGAAGGCGCGTAGGATGGATCGGTGGTAGGGAAGTGCAAGTTCCTGAGGCAGGAGCTTGAGAAGAGAAATGAATAAGGAAGGAGGACCTTGCCGACTGGGCAGTTGCGACCTTGGAGATCGGTGGACTCGAGCCTGAGGGCAAAGAAGAGGTATGCCACCCGAGACCTCGTGGTAGTTGTTTGTCGGTGGAAATCAACTGGCCTGAGAAGAGAATTGGGAGGTGGGTTTTCAAAGAAGAATTCGTGGGAACGGTTCTCCTTGCACCTGGAACTTTAGGGCTTATCCACGATGTGGTTATGCCTGATTTGGTGTACTAGGAGGCTTCCGGAATCCTTCTCAATGACGGGACAAGCTGCCCCTCGATGGGAGACGAAAGGGTGATGCGGAGCACAGACCGGGACCGAGATTCACTTACATGTAGCTGTCCAGCAAAGCACAGCCTGCAGGCGCCTCCAGGTACGGCTCTGGAAGTGAAGCTGCCGAAGGAGAGACCGGGTGAAGACCTTGATGCTCTTCGAGTTTGGTGGTCTCATCTAAAGCCAAGGCCAAACAAAAGATGGTGCAGTATCTGGTGCCGGGAGGGTCCATGGTATGCCCCCTTGTCATGGAAGAGGTATCTCGGACGTAGTGGGGACCGGAAACCAGCAAACTATGTTGGAGTCTTGTCTCAGGGAGTAACGAGAGACCCATCTCCTGGGGAAGGTTTGGATTCTGGCGGGCGAATTCAAAGGTTGAAAGGGATCCAACATTGCTCTAAACTCTTTAATGTTGATAGTGATTGTGACTAACAGCAACGACAGGCCATAGTGAAGTCCCAAGTCAACCACTGGCTTTGGCGTTCTGATTAACGATATAGGCAGTCACTGTGCAAGATAGGCACCTGTATGTATATATGAAGCATTCATGGTGGTGGATCAAGGCCGCATCAGCAATGCGGTCCCAGTCGTCTGCACACATTGATGCTGCAAGGACGGATTTATGAGAAGTGTGAAGTTCTATTACAATTCCAGGAAACACTCACGCCTCGAACCTTGGCAGGTTCTTGTGTGAGATTAATCTACCAGGTAGGCTTCTTAGGTGCTACTAGTAGTTCTTGACAATTTCTTCGTGAAGGAAAACAAGAGCATATAAAGGGAGAATTTAGTAGGCTAGTAACTCCGTGCCGATATTCCTGTCTTACCTAGCTTCGATAGTAGTATGTAATACGCCCGACAGTTCTTGCCTTGAACCGCATTAGGATCACGAGGATCAATTCTGTGATGCTCCCGAGTGTCGTCGTGCCATGAGAACTACATGATTATTAACATGTCTTCTCTCTTGCCCTTAGGTGATACCGAGAGAGGCAATCCCGAGCCGACTCTAGAACCCTAGAGCTGTTTGAAACAGCTCAAAGCTGGCTCATCTTCGTTTATTGTTGGACTTGAGGGGAGAACAAGTGATGTCGGTGGTACGATTTGGCTGGAGGGTGGCAAAGCAAGCTTGGAAGACAGGTTATCAGGTTGCGGAAAGATGTCCGGTAACTAAGATTGCGATAACTCCATTTTCAGAATTTGAGCTTTTTTTTGATACCAAGGTATAGTAGAAGGTGATGTTCGTGATGAGTGCTATGAAGCCTGATGCCAACGGATCAGAGAAGGGATTGACGCACAGACCACCGGTTCCTGGGACGCCGCAGATGCCCGTCCTCCTTATTAAGCTAACAGCGTGCTGTCGGCATGACAGACGAGCTCCAAGCCACAGTTCCTGGGACGGGTGCCAAAGCCAGTCTACTCCGCTTGGACCGGAGCTTCCGGGGACATCTATCGACAGTGACCGGCGAACTTGATGGTCGCAACCCAAAATGCCGAGGAAACCCCAAACGTGGGACGACTACGACTCGGCTGTCACCCAGGTTCGTTGATCGCGCCTGTTCCTAGCGGGCTTCAATTCTACCTAGAGTCCATGAATACTTAACATTTGCCTTTGCAGATTATCCTCGCGCCGTCTGACTCCGAGTTCCTCGACCAATTAATTCCTGTGCTGAAAGATGCGTCAACAAGCGGCCGGATTGGGTCGCTCGTGCAGAGCCTCTCCCAGTATGCCGAGGACCGGGAGGGCGACATTGAGCGCATCGGCCTGACCAAGCATGAGGAATTCTTGAGCTCCGTCAATCAGCTGCAGGAAGTGCGCGAGGGAACCGTGGCCCTGACATCGGAGATCTTGGACCTCAACCAGTCGATTCAGGCGAGCACCGAGAAGCTCGCGGCGCAGAAGCAGGCACTGGTGAACACGCGTGGTGTCCGCCAGAACATCACTGAGGTGTCGAACGCTCTCGAGGAGTCGCTCAAGATCTTGCACGCGGTCAACAATGCGCATGATCTCATCAGGAGGAAGAAGTACTACGCCGCCCTCAAATCCTTGGAGGACCTGCAAAACGAATACTTGGTGCCAATCATACAGAACAAGTACGCAACACAGTACAAACTTGCCGATATGATTCAGAAATCCATTCCAGCCTCTCAGAAGGCCATATCCGAGTTGGTCATGTCGGATCTGAACACCTGGTTGTTTCGCATTCGGGAGACATCACAGTTCCTTGGCGAGGTCGCTTTCTTCCACACCCAGGAGCGGAGGGCTCGGCAAAAGGAGAGGGTGGAGGCAAACGAGTTCCTAAAACGCTTCAAACTGAATTCCGCCATCGAGCTGGTCTTCGACGAGAGCAACGACTTTGACGTTCTCGACAACGATGTGGTACAGGTTGACTTCACGCCCTTGTACGAAGCGTTGCACATCCACGATGCTCTTGGCAAGATCGACAGATTCCGTGCTGAGTATTCAGCGACTAGGCGGCAGCAGAAAGACCTGATGATACCCAGCAATGACAACATCTTCGCCAATGATGATGACGATGCCTTGAAGGAACTCTTGGAATGTATTGCCGGATTTGCCATCGTCGAGAAGGCGACTATGCAGCGTGCGCCGCTGGTCCGCACGACCCTTGATGTAAGCGGCTGTTGATTAAGTGCAGGAAATGGACCCTAACTTTAGCCAACAGGTCGACGAGCTCTGGGATTCAATGTGCCAGGCCGCAATCCGGATCATTTCAAGATCTCTAGATGGCGTGAGCAACGCGGAGCTGCTGCTTAAAATCAAGGAAGACATCGCCCTGTTTATCCAGACAATGGAGGTGAGCTCTTCCTCCCCGCGGTGCTTGGAGCTGCTCCTGCTAACGCGGTCAGGGTTGGGGCTACTCCGCCTCCTTGGTGAACAACTTTCAGCTTGTGCTATTCCACAAGCATGCTGAGTTGCTGCAGCGTCGCTTTGGTGAAGACTTTCAAGAAGTAAGTCAGCCGCTTTGGAGGCATCGGCTGTGGCTGACTGTTTGCGGCAGATCGTATCAACGGACGACTATATGCCCATGGCCGTCAGGACGCGCGAGGAGTACGACGAGGTGCTCGGTATGACCTGGTTTGTTGACGAAAGGACTCCAGAGGAGATAACGTATGTGTCTGGGTTTAGCTTCCGAGGGTGCTCTCTGTTCCGGGCCGCTAACGACCCGCAGGTTTCCTTCTGTCTTTCCGTTTTCCCAGATGTATTACCTCTGTTGCAAAAACATCAGAAACTTCGCAGACCAATTCCTCGACTTCACTCAGGAGAACTTCGATCACCCCAACGTCGTTGATGAAACACTCAGAAGGGTATGCAGACCCGCTCCCACTCCTTGATGCTTGACCTCCGATCTGACCGTCGTACCTAGACCCTGGACGAACTCCTGACCGATATCGTCTGCCAGTTGCTCGTTGAGCGGCTAAACTCCCAATACCTCGGACAGATCGTGCAGATCCTGACGAACCTGGAGCATTTCGAGGTTGCCTGCCAGGAACTAGAGAAGTTGTTGATCCAAGTTCGATCATCCACCTCAGCAGGCGGACCGGTGACTCTGAGAGCAACGGAGCAGTTCAGGAGCCACAAGAAGACGGCCGAGAAACGAATCTTTGAGCTCGTCAATTCCAAAATCGACGACCTCGTGGACACATCCGACTATGACTGGTGAGTATCAAATGCAGGTTCCCGGACTCTCGGTTCGGCACACACTGACAACCGCATAGGACTGCGACAACAAAACCCACACAGCCCAGCAGCTACATGGTTACTCTGACGCGCTTCCTCGAGAACCAGATGGCCTCCACCCTGCTGGGTCTCCCTAGAGAGATCAAAGAGCTCATCTACTTTGACGCGCTCAGCCACGCGGCCAACAAGATTCTGGTAAAGCATCCTGCTCCTCCTCCCTACTGTATCCCGTGGAACTAACAATGCTCGGCGTAGGCCCTCCCGCTATCCCCCGAAGTCAAAAGGATCAACCCCAACGGCGTGGCCGCCATGGCCCTGGACGTAGAGCACCTAACAAGCTTCGTTAGCAAGTTGGAAAACGCCTTCATGCTCGAGCAGAACCTGGACGAGCTCCAGCAGACGGTGGCGTTGATGCAGTCCGAGAACCACGAGGAGTTCTACGACATCTCCATCCGCAACAAGAAGTACGGCCGCGTGGATGCCATGAACGGGCCTATCTTGCTAGAAAAGTGCGTATCTTTCGGAAGAGCAAACATGGAAGGGTGATAATTGTGTGCTAACGGTTCCTACCAGGCTCACGCAAACGGTCGAGAGCACAAGCCGGACGGCGCCGCTCGCCAACTTCCAGTTCGGTTCGCGCTTCGGCTTGAGATGATGCTCCTACGGCTTCCCCATTTCCATTTCCCTACCTACGGACACGACGTTACGAGAATGATGTCGGATTGGCCCTCATGAATACGGGATGATGTGATTGAATGAGAAAAGTCATAATCTGGTCGTGAAAAGCCTAAACCAACAGGACCGCCTATCTGCTCCGATCGGAAACCCGCAGGGGGAAAATGATCCTAAACATACACTGCCTGTTTCCTCGTGAGAGCAAGGAAACAGCATTGTCCCCGAAAATACCCAACCTTTACTTGCGCCAGACCCGGATTCGCGACCGTATTCAACCATTACCCCCCTCCTCGCCGTTCCGCCACACCACCCACTCGCCACCACTCGCTCTGTTGGGTTACCCAGCGTCCATGATCTAATTCGACGCTCCACATCTTTCACAGGTGGAGGGTCCGAACCTGGATACCTTGTATCCGCCAACACTCCGACTGTGCGCCGTTGTTGTTTCCTCAGGGTATCATGCTAGGTCCGGTAAACCCCCGGGCCCTCCCATTGTTTTGGGCGTCCAATCCCGTCGGGAACCGCGCCACCCACTCGGGGGTCCGCTGGCACTTGATGCTCATGAGGCGGCACCTAGGCGCTCTACTGGTCGAGTTAGTTTTGATTCGTCAGACTGCGGAATGGAGCAAGGCCAACGATTCGGGCCAGAGGATGCATTCATACCTGCTGGGGAGGCATCGCCCCATAGTACATCTCGTCGACGTTGTACATCTGGGCTTGCGGCTGGCCATACGGGGGAGCTCCCGGCTGTACTTGACCCGCGTACATGGTTTGGGGCTGACGGTAATCCGCTTCCGGGCCCATGCCGTGACCGAGGGTATACTCGGGCGCAGCCATCTGGTGTTGGCCGTGATTCGGGGCGCCGACGCCGGGGATTTGGGGCTGGGGTGCAGCGGGTTGGGCCGCGGCCTGGTTGCTTGTCCGCTTGGCGTGGGAAGAGGCTTCCTCGCGCGGGACGATGTCGATTAGGAAGTCGAACATATCCGACTTGGCCAGCGCCGAGGCAATGTCGGACCGCTGGAGAGTCCGCCGTTTGTTTTCCTCCGCATGTATCCAGGCCCGCATGGTGAGCTCGGTGATGAAGATGTCGCAGCCCTTTGCGAACAGGATCGGCGCCTCGGCTGAAATCATCTTGACTTCTGGGTCGGCCTTCATAACCTTCTTTATCCGCGCCAGTGGCAATTGATGCATCTTGTAGTCGTGGGTGTCGCTTTCAAGGTGCTGGATGGTGTGTTGCCAATACGCAGTGAGGACATCCTTGTAATGGCCTGTCAGGCCCTGGTGCACATTCGCCCATGTTCCCGTGTACAATTCGGAGGGCGCGAAGCCTTGTTGAGAAATCTAGAAGATGACATTAGCATCTGGTTTATGCCGTCGGGAGGAGAGGTGTTAGTGTGTGTTGGAACATACCGCTGAGCTGGCGCCATAGTGACCACCATGGCTAAGGTCATAAACGGGCATCTGCCGCGGCTGCTGGCCATGCTGGCCATGCTGCGCCGAGGACGGATTTTGCGGGTCCATGATATGTCGCGTCCCGTCGTGTCGGGATATTTTATTGCTTGCGCCTCCTTCCTATGCCCCGATTCCTCAATTGCTACACCAAGGGATCCCGAGCAAAACGCGAGTCTGTTTCTCCGGCTGCTCCGATGTCGCCCTGCTTGTCTCGGTACTTATTGTTTCTCTTCGGCTACTGATTCACGCATGCCATGTTAGCCCGCGCATTTGTTTACTTTGCTCAACTCGGTGCCATTCTCCGGTCGCAACCGGCCTCCCCTGGATGACCCTTTGATTGGGCGGATTGATTGGATGATTGGATGGCGCGTCTAGGGAGGGGAAGCGAATGGGTGGAGTTCAAAAAAGGTTGTTTGAACGACTCCCCTACCGCGACCGCGAGCCACTCAGCTCGCGGAGAGCAGTCGTATGAGATGATTGGTGAGATCTGAACGGGCGGATTGGTCGAAGCTCGAACAGTAGGAGACTGGAGATTGGCGCAGTAACTGCCGGGGTAGAAGTTGCAAGTGAGATTTTGTAGAACGTACCTTGAATGAAGCCCTCGCAACGCGGGAATTTGACAGATAACTTGATGTTTGGAAGAGTGATGATTTGTTCAAGCGGTCAGTCAGCTTCGGAAAGGTTGGGCATCAGCGGGCGGACAGCAGGCTGTGGCGCAGGTCCGGCTTTCCAGGCAAAAATACGGGCGGGGGATTGGCTGTCTTTTTGTATCAGAGCTGCCCAACCGGCAGACAGCTGACTTGTCACCAGCCTCACTTCTTGCCTGCCTTATGACGGCATACGCTAGCCACCTCACGGACACGTGCGTGTGGAAACCGAGCTAACATCAATGTTTTTCCTTTGCCGAAACGCACAAGCCAGATTGTGACCCAGGCCTAGGCTGGCGCTGCAGATCCACTCTACCTACACAGAGCCCCACCCCAAATTTCTATTTTTCTATGAGCAGTTCTGCAGCTCTGATTTTTTGATTCCGCTGAAGCACTCCAACGGAATCTTCCCAGATCCTAACCAGGACTGTCGCCTTTATCCAGGCAACATGACCGCCACGCTTGGCTTGCCCGACGATGAGATCGATCGTCTCCTCTCGGAGGCCGAGGCTCGGCTTTCTGGTAACTGCAGCCCAGATGCCGCGGGCGCCATGACTGCTACGACGGTTCCGGCAACTGTTGCAGCACCTGTTACGGCGTCTGTGGCGGTAACTGCTGGGGAACATACAGCAGTTGCGGACAAGAAGTCTGAAATGCTGTCACTTCGGGTTCCCCAGCTTGCCCAGAAGAAGAAGGTATGCTTATGGCTCTCCCCTCTCCACGTGTTCTATGATGATAGCAAATCCCAACCTTAATGACGCTGGCAACATCCCGTTATGGGGCCTGAGCTGGCACCAAAATGATTACCTTCATATCATAGTTACTCTGATTGAACACCCCTTGGCTCATTCTATTTGCTCGCTTCGTCGGTTCAATATACTCACCAGAGATAGGGGCCCCCAGATACACTCTCGGAGTGGTACAACCTACCTCGCACAAACTTGACGCCCGAGCTAAAGCGCGACCTCCAAGTCCTGCGGATGCGTGACGTGGTTGCAATGGGCAAGCAGTTCTTCAAGCGAGATACCCGCAAAGACTTCGTCCCCGAGTATAGTCAGGTGGGCACCATCATTGCTGGGGCCACTGATGGTATTAGCGGGCGCCTGACGCGCAAGGAGCGGAAGCGGACGATCGTTGAGGAAGTGTTGTCGGGCGAGAACGTCAATAAGTTCAAGAGCAAGTACCAGGACATCCAGGTACAGAAGAGCAGCGGGAGGAAGGGGTACTACAAGAAGCTGGTCGCTGGCCGGAGGAAGCGGAACGGATGAAGCGATATTAGGGGTATACTTGCAACAGTATCCTGCGAGCGCCTTCCGGTTGGTCACGCGCGCTACTCATATTCTCCGTCTGCGCCATGCGGCACCTCACCACCACCAGGGAGTTCACGAGGCGAAGGCCTTGGTATTTCGGGCTGCCCCAACGCCGATGCAATACCCGCCGGCGCAGTTCCGGCTACCTTGAGCATCTGGAGTCTGTCACGTAGGCCCAGATGACGATGTCTCTCCGACGAGCTCCAGAGCCTCGAAGACAGAGGTCGCCCTTAGGACAGATGACCCACCTAGGTAATCACATTAGGCTACATCTTGCTACGGCAAGTCCAATACAAACAAAACGTCGAGTCGACTTGGAAAAGTACCTTGTTTTCTGCTTCTGAACCTGAAGTGCAGGCTGTCTGCGGGGGTGATGTTTTTGGCTGAGCTGAAGTTCTCGGCGGGTGCTGATATCGATAAGAACCCTGACCATTCGCGCGCCAAAAATTGGTGCCGCGCCAGAGCGATCCATCCGAGTTCGACATCCACCACAGTTAACGGTCACGCAGACATGAATTCACCCCGGTTAATAAGGCCATTACGGCCTCTAGTCCAAGGCCAATGCGTAAGACTGGATTAAGTGCTATCTTAGCTCAAAGGCTTTATCTAACTCCATATGACAGGCCCTCACAGCACCTCGATCGGCCGTGGTCGGCGTCCCGCGAGCCTCGACGCAGCCTCGCACCTTTGCTTCGGTGTGAGTAGCAATGTCATCTCGGCGATGCCCTCGGCTACTGACAGAGGACCGGTAGAGCCGATGAGCCCACTCCCGCAAAGTCGAGGTCAGTTAGCCCAGCACGAACTCCATCCGACGACCATGCACCTCCAGCCCCTTCGAAGCCCCCTGCGAGCCAGACACAAGGAAAGCAACTAACGTCGCAGCCAGCGCCCAACCAACCGCCACCCAATCTGCCGCGACGACCAGCGACTCCAATGCGACGCGCGTCTCCCGCATGCCCCGCGCCCTGGAGGCGCTCTACCTGAAGCCGCTCCGGCGGCAGGCCGAGTACGGGGTGCCGTCGTGCGACCTGCAGCTGCGGTCCTACTCGGTGCGCAACCTCGAGTTCTTCTGCGACTTTGCGCTGCGCGCGGCCTACTACCTGAACCTACCCGCGTATGGGCCGGTGCCGCTGCCGCGGCTGGTCGAGCGCTGGACGGTGCCCAAGTCGACCTTCATCTTCAAGAAGAGCCAGGAGAACTTTGAGCGCATCACGCTGCGGCGGCTGATCCAGATCCGCGACGGCCATCCGGAGACGGTCAACCTGTGGCTGGCGTTCCTGCAGAAGCATGCCTACTATGGGATCGGTATGAAGGCGAATATCTGGGAGTTTAGCAAGTTGGGTATGTGTTTGCTGCTTTGCTCTTTTGCTGTGCTTTTTTTATTTTTTGTTGTTGTTGTTGTTGTTGTTGTTGTTGTTGTTCTTGGTATGTGCCTAGTGAGGGTATCATGACTAATGTGAAAATTCGCAATAGGCGTTGGGAAGGAGATGGACAAGAGCATCCAAGAGACGGAGAAGCTGCTGGAGGACAAGTGGGAGCATCTGGGCTACATGGAGAGACGGCCCGAACACAGGGCCAAAGGCAAGGAGCCCGGAGAGCACCAGCCTCCGGCCGCGGAGCTTGCCGAGTACCTTGCCGCGGAGAGGAGGAGGGTTTTTGGCGGGCGGTAACGCTAGTTGTGTGGTGTTTTAGTGTATTTGTAGGAAGAGCTGAACGGCATGTATGCAGTATTGCATGGACGTGTATGGTACATTACTGGATACATACGAATACTGCAGCTTATGTCCATCACTTGACGCTTCCTGTAAGTTGAGAGGCATAACAAGTCAATGTCCAGTATAGTGCCCAGCTGTTAAGCCGAATTGCGTCTATATGACAACTCCAAAATATCGCTCTAGTTGCGTCTCGCTGGCGGAGGGAGGGCGCCTGAGGCCGCCTCCTTTTTATTTTCCTAGACCCACAATAACTTCACACACATCCAGTGTCTCTCATCACCACGCCACGCAGCCGACGGAGGCGAGGTAAAGGGCCGACATACAACGGCCCAGTTAGCTCATGTATAGTTGGGCTGGAGAAACGGGGTCGGCGTATTTGTTCGTTTCATCTCAATGCATCATCGGTGTAGTGTGGCCCGCAATGCCTGGCGGCATCTTAGTCGGGTGCGCGATTCACACCCGCCAATACGAAGAAGGCTAGCATCGACAACGGCCGCAGCGGTCACTACAACGGTACCGAAGCAGCGTCTGACGCGGCACTTCACCTCTGGGACAGACCATGATGATAACTCACAAGCACCACTTTTCTCTTCGCCAAACGGGGGTGGAAAGAACGATGCAACGGCAGAAACGGCAGCTGCTTATGACGGGGATGGGATGGTCATCTTCTCGGGCATTCAGCCGACGGGCGTGCCGCACCTTGGAAACTACCTCGGCGCCATGCGCGAGTGGAAGCGGTTACAGGACACGGCGCAGCCTTCGACGAAGCTGTTCTTCTGCGTCGTCGACCTGCACGCCATGACGGTGCCGCGGCCGAGAGAGGAGCTCTACGAGAACAGGATCCAGATGCTGGCCGCCCTGCTCGCCATAGGGCTCGACCCGAAGCGCTGCACCATCTTCTTCCAGTCGGCCGTGCCGGGCCACGCGGAGCTGCAGTGGATTCTGAGCTGCACGGCGTCGACGGGCTACCTGTCGCGCATGACGCAGTGGAAGAGCAAGATGCAGCTGGGCGAGGACGCCTCGCTCAACAGCGCAAAGGCGAGGAAGCACCTCAAGCACGGCCTCTTCTCGTATCCCATCCTGCAGGCGGCCGACGTGCTCCTCTACCGCGCCACGCACGTGCCCGTGGGCGAGGACCAGCGCCAGCACCTGGAGTTCGCGCGCGAGTGCGTCACCAACTTCAACCACGCCTACCGGACGGACTGCCTCGTGCCGCCCACGACGCTGATCTCGCCCGCCAAGCGCGTCATGTCGCTCACGAACCCGCTGCAGAAGATGTCCAAGTCGGACCCGTCGCCCAAGTCGCGCATCCACATCTCGGACTCGCCCGAGACGATCAACGCCCGGATCAAGGGCGCCCTGACCGACTCCGTGTCCGACACGGTCACGTACGACCGCGACAAGCGGCCCGGCGTGGCCAACCTGCTCGAGATGTTCGCCAGCTTCGACCCGCAGGGCCGCACGCCGGCCGAGCTGGGCGACGAGATGCGCGGCGTCAGGATCGTCGAGCTCAAGGAGATGGTGGCCGACGTCATCTGCCACGAGCTGGCGCAGGTCCGGCAGGACTATTTGTTTTACACCTCGCCCGAAAAGAGGACGCGTCTCCGCGACCTGGCAAACTACGGGAACAATAGGGCCGCCGAGGCCGCTGCCGAGACGATGGCGCTCGTCAGGGAGGCCGTCGGGCTGAATTCGATATGAGACCGGTTTATCGATGGATGAGTGGGTGATCGGCTTTGTAACTGTACAATAAGATAGATATCTCTAGGACGTGTAGGCTTGTGTAGTATAGTATGGCAAAGTGTTGATCTAACGTCCGGGACAACTTCTCGCTCTTTGGCTTGGCGGGTTGTCCAACAACGCGCCAGAGTACCTACACACTGGTACTGTTGTTTCCCTCACAGCCCAATATGACCATGCCCCCCGGTAGCGTCTATGTACAAAGACACCCCATTAAGGGATACCTAGCCGCAATTCGTTTCTCAAGTGCTTCCAGAGGGGCCGTCACCTCTGAACTCTGTACCTCACAACTGAGAGTTAAGACGGATGAAGGACACAACCCTTTACGGGGGCCACAAAGGGATCTCCACAAGATGTATCATTGCTGGTGCTGTGACAATATACCATACAGCCTGTAATGCCCTTAATTATCCATATGTCCAGCATCAAAGTCCAGCATCGGCAGCTTCACCCACAACTAGTTACCCAACCTCGAATAATGGCACGGCGCCAACTGAATCATATTATTCCAGCGGCCCATAACTAGCCCATCCGGTCTTGCATCCCTTACACCATACGGTCTGGTCACTCTCTTTACTGGCTTTGTAACCAATACCATCACAAAACTCTTTAAGCCATTTTCCTATTTCCCCCCCGGACTACACTCGCTATCAACCCTTTCCCAACTTCAAACCCGGCCCCCCTTCCCCCAGGCTCTCACTTCCGCCCGGCCCCGCTAAGAGGCATACGAGAAGTTGGACCCACGACAGGCCATCCAGAATTCCCTGACGACCTGGTTCGTCTGGCGCGATCCTCTTAACCTGTGTGCGCGCGCGGGAAGTGATTAGTTAGCAGACAAACTCGTCGGCAAAAAAAAAAAAGAAAAAAAAAAGAAAAAAAAGAAAAGAAAAGAAAAGAAAAAAAATAAAAAAAGAAAAAAAGAAAAAAAGAAAAAGAAACTCACCCAACAACCCTCCTAAGAAACATCTCCCTCTCCCCGCGGCCGACCCTCTCGGCCGCGCCGCCCACGCCAAACAGCGAGTCGTCCAGCAGCGCCTGACGCAGCCAGCTCTGGGCCTCGACGCGCGTCGTGACCAGCCGCTTGAGCGGCTCGCTCAGCTTGTCGAGCTCCGACCGAGCGGCGTGGCCCCCGATGTTGGACACGAGCGAGCGGGCGAGCAGCGGGCCCAGGTGCGACATTGCTGCGCTCAGGGTTTGCTGGATCTCATTATTATTCCCGCTGGAGCTGGAGGAGGAGGAGGAGGAGGAGGAGGTGGTGGTGGTGGTGGTGAGGGAATCTGGTTTGAGGGAGATGAAGTTCGCCTGGTTTTTGCCACACCCCCCACCCGAAGATACTAGTTAGAAAAAGGTACCCCGACAAAGTAGGGAGAGGAAAGCAAAGGAGGGGGAGGGCGCACCCAGAATTCGGCCGCTGCCCCCTTGGGGAGGGGCTCTTTGCTGTCGAGGACTTTGAGGGAAAACAGGAAAAAGAATTCGACCAGCGAGTGGTGCGCTGGATGGAAGACGGCTTCGGGGTATTTGGACATGACTTTGTCGACGAAGGAGATGCCGTTGAGCGAGACCTCCGTGTCGGCTTCTGGCTCTGAGTGTGGAAGTTAGAAGACGGAGACGGAAGACGATGCGGCATGGTAAAAAAGACAGAAAGATACCTGGCAGAGCCTGGAGGATGGAAATCACCCACGGCAGAAGCCGCCCCAGCTGCGCGGGCACGTAGACCTTTGGTCCGCGATAGAGGCTTCCGACGAACGAGCAGGCGGTGCTCAGCAGAGTGCCAATCCGCGGCGTCTCAAACCGCTGCTGGACGAAGTAGTCCGTCACGACGTCCGGCGGAAACACGAACGGGCCGAGCTCTGTCTCGGAGAAGCCGGCGCGGAAGATATTGCAGATGATCTCCACGACCTCCCCGCTGGCGTGGAAAACCCGTTGCACTTCCACCAGCACCCGCATGATGTTCTCTTGCAGGCCGGCGAGGCTTGTATTGCCGTGATGGGATGGCGGTTCGCTGTCCAGGTCGATGGGATGCTCCTTCACATCCTGCATGCCCTTGGCCATGCTGGCGAGGCATCTCATGGACCGGAGGGCAATCTGCAGTGCGATCTCCTCGACCGGCGGCACAGACTGCGGATTCGGTGGGTCGAGCCCTCGGAGGAAATCCGGATGTTGAAGGTTCAGCAGACTGGGGTTTGCCTTGAGCTGGACAGCGAGCTCAAAGTCTCGCTTGAGGAAGTTGTAGAGCTCCTCAAACATGCCCAGTCTCTGGGTTTCGTCTTTGATGGCCTGGATGATAGATGCGATGGAGAGCACGATCCTCTCCTCGGCCAGCGAGTCGAGCACCTGGCTGCTGCGGATGCTCTGGTAATGCCTGATAAACGCGCCGGCCTCCCCGGTGAGGATCGAGCGACATGAGGAGCAGAGCGTAGAGATGGAGCGCGCTGACGGGCCTCCAAGAACAGAGTCGCCCACAGCAGCAAAGAGCAGGTTGAGCACATTCGGCAGGAACTGCGAGTTGCGCTCAAAGTACTCGCAATACCGCTCGATCAGGGCCAGTCCCGTCTGCCGGAGGCGCAGCGGAATCAGGCCATGGCCCTGGCCCAGGAGGTCGAGGAAAGGAGAAGCGAAGACCTTGCTTAGCTCGGGGTCACATTTGGCGTCGTCCGAGATACAGTCGGAGAGCGCGCCGAGACAGAAGGCCGAGGCCTCGAGCTCGGGCCACGACTGAGCCGCGAGGCCCTGCAGGAAGAGACCGACGAAAAAGGAGACGAGGCTCAGGCCTTCGAGCGTGAAGACGGACTGGAGCATGTCGGTGACGTCCTTCCTGGCATCGCCGAAGGCCACGCGCTCGGTCGAGTCCCATTCCGCAAAGGTCTCGGCCGGCGGCCACTGGATCTTGCGCCAACAGTTCATCACCACAGCTTTGAGGTGCTGCTCGGCGTACGGTCTCCAGGTCTGGGCGGCCTGCTCGTCCGAGTATGTGGAATCGATCATGGTCTCGATGAACGTGGACCAGAACTCGAGCGCAGGGACGAAGATGGTGTCCTCGCCCACAAGGTAGCCGTCGGCAGCGAGGAGCCCACTCAGGCTCTCCAGAAACTGCTGCGAGCGGCGGTCGGTGCTATGCATGAGATCTTGCACCTTGGCGTCTCCGTAGGCCAGCATCAGCAGGCCGAACGCGATGCCGTCCTCGTGGTGATTGCCGTGGAGCAAGCGCCGGTAATGCTCGGCAGCCCAGGGGCTTTCGAACAGCGAGGCGAGGGCATTGTAGTGCTCGTTGGTGAAGAAAGCGGAATAGTTGGCCAGCACGTCGCTGAATAGCTCGGCGGTGGGCTGGAATAGGCTGTCGTCTGCAAAGCAGTTAATAGCAGGGCTGACGAGCTGCCTCAACTGGCCGACTAGCTCGGGGTTGGGTGATGCGCGCTGCGCATACAGAATCCAGGCCTGGTCATAGTCAGTTGTGCTGCCTCCGGAGCGTAGACTGTCTGCTGCCTGCTTCATTTCATCCAGCGGCGTGGGCTCACCTGGAAACAACTGAGGGCGTCTCCCTGAGTCTTCAGTTCCGGCTTGTCGGGAGGAGGTTCGAACCCGCGGGCGAGAAGACAGGCAGCATCGGAGGCATTTTTGACCAGGCGACCATGTACCTGGATGCTGGTACGGTTAGTCTCATATAGATATATACCTAAAAACGAGCTCGGAGCTTAGTATTATTATTACTCACAACTTGGGCGCCGTCATATCCGTCTTGCCAACCTCCTCGACAAGCGTGGTAGCGAACCATATCGCCACATTCAGCTTCGGGCGGTCCAGCTTGGCGACGAGGATATCGGTCTGGAGGGCATCGTCTAAGCTCTCCACGGGAGCTCCCCGTCCCAGATCCAGGCAGTAGATGAAATGCCGGATGCAATTGGGCCACAGGTGCGAGAAGTGCACAAAGTAGGTGACCAGCGCCGAGCACAGCTTCTTGGTCACGAAATTAGCTGCTCCATCGACAAGCGACTGGATGGTCCAGCCCATGATGCTTTCGAGGAGGCCCCTCGCATCGTCCTCACCCAAGCCGGCACTGTCCCGGTTGAGTTTGATGATGACAGTCAGGGCGGCATAGAACCTGATTTCGTCCTCACGGTGGGCAATCAGGCTCTGAGCGAGCTGCCATCCCTCGGGAGACCGCTGCAGCCGATGCAGAACCTCCTGAATCTTGGAGATGGTCTCGGGAGGGTTTGGCTGATAGAGTGCTCGGATTAACTGGCGAAATTGATCAGCTTCAGTTTCTTTAGAGAATCCCAACCCTGTCCTGCCCCTGCCATAGCCCAGGTCACTTACTGCTTCAACCTCGGCGAGGCTTGTCGGCAATGGCAGCTGCTCCATCGCACCGTCGGCCATCCCGCCTGTTAGTGCTGGGTTAGTATATCACCGGTCAAGAAGAAAGGCCCGACAAACGGAGCAGCTCTGCAAACAAGCAACGTCACTTAAAAGCTACGCTTTGAATCCCATGGCACAATGCGGGGTTGCTGAACTTCAAGCGTGAGAGATTTTGTGTTTTGTGTTTTACAAGTTCATTCTTCGCAGGGCACTTTCAATCTTTAAAAGACACTTGCCAGGTTGGGACTTCTTCTCGAAGCAACCTGAAGTTTGAATGGCCATCGCCTAAGTTACGCCGCAGGCACCTCAGCGGGTCCGATATGCTTCTAACAGCAACTTCAACTGCTCATTCATCAACAGTGAACAAACGGCCGGAACCAAGCAACTTAGGTGGTGTAGTGGAACCTTCGCTGATGAGTTCGCGATAAGTTAGAGCATCTCTGTGGATGTAACCCTAGAATGGGGGCGCTGAGGGGCCTGGTCGTGTATGCCATGCAGTTATCCGTTGCCCTGCCGATCATCGCCCGCAGAACGACTTATTTGGTAGGTACCTAGGTAGCTTAATATTGCGATAACGTTATGCACTCTTCACAACCTCGCGTACAGAATACCTACTTTAGTCTTCCATTCCCGTCTCTCTGCCGAGGGAAAGACTGATACTATGGCAAGCCACTGCAAGAGAAGGAGGAGCTGTTGAAGCTCCAAGTAGGTAAGGTGGGGTACCTTCCTTTTTCTAAAGCTACCCCGCTATGGACGTCACGGTAAGTAAACAGCGGGGAGCCACGGCCCATGAGTGGGGTTCTGTATCTGCACCTGTGACGGTCACCTTAAACCTGCGTACCTCCCGTTGCCGAATGAGAAACGCTATCGTGCATCCCGCCTGCCTAACTCGACATTTACCTACTCCGGCTTGGCTCTGACTTGGGCCCGACACGGTTAGGGCCAAACCTCCGTTGGGGAATCCATGTGGCACATATGGGCGCGGCATAGCTCGAACTCGGCCTCCTCGTTGTTGCTGCGTTCCCTCCCGGTCTCCCTGTCTCGATCCTGCCCACCCGCTTCTGCCATTGCTTTGCTTAGAGCTAAGAGGAGATTTCAAACCCAGACTGTTGGCTCACCCTCAGTTGAGGAGATGGAGACTGTCGACACAACAGCGCGGCTGGCCGCTCTGCGGTCGCTAATGAAGGAGAAGGGCGTCGATATCTATGGTATTCTCTCCCCGTCACGTGGGCCTGGGCTGTGCCGATGACTGACGATACACCCGCTCCGTAGTGGTACCGTCCGAGGACAGCCACGCCTCCGAGTACATTGCAGCATGCGACGCCCGGCGGGCTTTCATCTCTGGCTTCACCGGGTCGGCGGGAACCGCAGTAGTCACACACACCAAGGCCGCCCTCGCCACCGACGGCCGCTACTTCAACCAGGCCGGCAAACAGTTGGACGGCAACTGGCATCTCCTGAAGACGGGCATGCAAGATGTCCCGACATGGCAGGAGTGGACGGCCGGTGAGTCAGAGGGAGGCAAGACCGTGGGTGTCGATCCGACCCTGATCTCGAGCTCCATCGCCGAGAAGCTGGAAGAGAGCGTCAAGAAGAGCGGGGGTGCCGGGGTGAAGGCTGTCAGTGAGAACTTGGTGGATTTGGTTTGGGGAACCGACAGGCCTCCTCGCACCAATAACCCTATTGTGCTCCTACCGGAGAGGTATTCGGGGAAGGACACGGCAACAAAACTCAGCGAGCTGCGGAAGGAGCTGGGAAAGAAGAAGGCCGCTGGCTTCGTCTTGTCAATGCTTGATGAGATCGCGTGGCTCTTCAACCTCCGCGGCAGCGACATCGACTACAACCCAGTGTTCTTCTCGTACGCCATCGTTACGCAAGACTCGGCGACGCTGTATGTGGACGATTCTAAGCTGAACGAGGAGTGCCGGAAATATCTGGATCAGAACAAGGTCTCGATTAAGCCTTACGATACCTTGTTTGCGGATGCGAAGGCCTTAGCCAGCGCCGCAGAGGCGAATAGCGCTTCTGGCTCCTGCAAAAAGTACCTCGTATCCAACAAGGGATCTTGGGCGTTGAAACTCGCCCTCGGAGGGGACAAGTTCGTCGACGAGGTCAGAAGCCCGGTTGGTGACGCCAAAGCTGTCAAGAACGACACGGAGCTAGAAGGTATGAGGCAATGCCACATCCGGGATGGCGCCGCGTTGATCAAGTACTTTGCCTGGCTGGAGGATCAGCTTATCAACAAGAAGGCGGTCCTCGACGAGGTGGCCGCTGCTGACAAGCTGGAGGAGCTGCGCAAGGAACAAAAGGACTTCGTCGGCCTCTCCTTTGACACTATTTCATCAACAGGGCCAAAGTGAGTATCCCGGTCGTGGAAAAAGGCGAGATTTCTCTGCTGATGACGCTCCGCAGTGCTGCCGTTATCCACTACAAGCCAGAAAGGGGAGCATGTGCCGTCATCGACCCGAACGCCATCTATCTTTGCGATTCAGGGGGTCAGTATCTGGACGGCACGACCGACGTCACGAGAACGCTGCACTTCGGGACCCCGTCACCCCAAGAAAGGAAGGCCTATACGCTTGTGCTCAAGGGCAACATTGCGCTGGATACGGCAGTCTTCCCCAAGGGCACGACCGGTTTTGCCATCGACTGCTTAGCCCGGCAGTTCCTCTGGGTAAGCTGTCCAAAACCGATCAGTAACAACTGCTAGACTGATCGTCGGGCTAACACAACCCCCAGAAAACGGGCCTGGACTACCGCCACGGCACAGGTCATGGCGTGGGCTCGTACCTCAACGTTCACGAAGGGCCGATCGGCATCGGCACGAGGAAGCAGTACGCCGACGTCGCCCTCGCGGCGGGCAACGTGCTCTCCATCGAGCCGGGCTTCTACGAGGACGGCGCGTACGGCATCCGCATCGAGAACCTGGCACTTGTTCGCGAGGTCAAGACGGAGCACTCATTCGGCGACAAGCCCTTCCTCGGGTTCGAGCATGTCACCATGGTGCCGTACTGCCGCAACCTTATCGACGTGACGCTGCTCACCAAGGAAGAGAAGGAGTGGCTGAATGAGAGCAACGGGCAGATCCGCAAGTGCATGGAGGGGTACTTCGCGGATGATGCGCTGACTAAAGCGTGGTTGGAGAGGGAGACGCAGCCTTTTTGAAATCTATCTATGTAGCGATTTGACCGTCGAGTCGAGTGAGGAATATGATTGATTATCAAGGCTGCAAGCCGGCGGTTCGTCAGTTCGTCTATGGGCATAACGGCGCTCTTCCCTGCCATGAAAGGAGAAAACCCCAAGCGGGAACCACTATTCCCCTGAGAAGGACATGAAGGCCGAGAGGGCAAAGGCCAGGGCGAACGAGAGCTTGAATGCCATGTGCCGGTTCAGCGCTGCTAGGACTGGTGACGATTTGGCGCGGTCCTTGAGCCTGAGGTATCCGATCAGGTCTATCCCGTTGCGCGCGGCGATCTGGTAAGCCGGGGCGGGAATTAGGGCCGCTCGTGTCAGCAGAATAGCAGTGGTGGAAAAAGGGGGGGCAGTCCCCTTGCGAATAGGAACAGAGGAACAGGAGATGGCATTCATTGTAAAGCGCAAAGAACTCGAGTACACTGACAAACGACGGCCCAAAGGGTGATATGAAGCGGAAATCGGGATGGTATATGCGAGAGACATGTGAACAGAGACGTACCTGGATAACCGCCATCCCGATGCCTGCTAGTAGGACAAGTGTTTTGGAGAAGACGCTGACTAGGAGGCCTGCTGCGAAGCCTATGTATGGAGTTGTGGGTTAAGTTGATGATACACATATTGGGTAAGGAATAGAACAAAGTTAAGCGTACCGGACAGGCTACCCCCAGAGAGCTGCTTGATCGTGTCCGCGTCGAGGAACTCTTTCCTCCCCGGTTCCTGGCCACCGCTTGATCGCAAACGTGTTTGGGATACTGGCACACTGTCGAATCGCATGGGCTGTTGCCGGTGGACTGCCACGAGGCCGGTGCTGAGGCCGAGGCCGAGACCGAGGGGGAGAGCGGTCCGTCGTAGGGCGGTGCGGGTTAGGGTCCGGCTGAGCCGGAAGGTGGACGTTGGTGATGCCATTTTTTGCCGTCAATCGGATGGGCTATGACACCTCTGGCCTGTCTGTGAATTGTTTCAGACTTATGGATGCTTCCTGTATTTTGATATCTTGGCTCGGAAGCGGGTTATATGCAAGTGTGGAGGGTTGGTGACCGCCGGTTGGAGCCAACGCGATGCGCTGGTTTAACTGTACAGTGTGACGTAATCGGCTAGGTACTGAGGAGATCACTGGATTGCGCGACAAAGTTCGCGTTCTCTTGACGCGGAATAGGAGGTGTGGTCTACAACAACACATCCTACCGGTCTCGAGTGCGGGAACTCAGGTTTATGATCAGTGGCCCCAGGAGAACAGTGGTTGATTGCAAGCTCGAAGTGAGTCAAGAATAGGGTTCTCCCGTTGCCTGGCTGGTACCCCTGGGCCGCCCACACCGTTTGTGATGGCCGTGGTTATGAAACTCAATGGCGATGCTGCCACAAGCAATATAATTTGATAAAACATGAGAAAAAGTGATGCTACCGCGAATCGAACATGTGGTCCCACAATCTCCACAGCAGGGTTGCACACACAGAGGATGTTAGACGATTTCTCACAGCTCGACCACATCGCCACAAAGATGTTTCGTGACGATTTGTGTGCGGTTGCAGGGGGTGTTGGAAGGAGTGCCCACCATGGGAACTTATATACCCGTTCTTTGATGTCACCACTGCGCATTGGGCCACGGCAGCTGCCTCACCCTGTCTCACCTCCCTCTGGTCTGACCGTGCTACGTCCTCATCCTCATCCAGACCACCTCACCTCGGCAGCAAAAGCCCAAAAGAGAAACTTTGGCGATGCCGCCTTAACCCATGAACTGAACACCAACATTGGATACCACAGTGATTGCAACCGAAGTAAGTTAGTCCAAAAAGAATTACCGTAGTAACCGACTCGGCAACCCTCCGTAGAGGGAAGGTTGCTCAGCTACAGGTCGAGGTGCGTACCTCAATTGCCAGGCAGCCCTGGCCAGTGCGAGTGAGTTCGGTTCTGGGTCGGCCAGTGGTCGATACCGAACCCGCGTGCCCGCTAGGCCCAGCCCCCTGGGAAGCTGCTTGAACATGCCTGTAGAAGGCTTGTATATCAAGGACAATTGCCCTTGACGTTGCTCGGCTCACGTGGAATCAATTGCTAGTCAAAAAAAGCCCCGGGATATGATCTCTTTGCTTGCTACAAGGGTAGCATGTCCCAGTCTCGTCAGGTATAACAGCGTCTTCCGTTACAATCACATCATTAGGTAGCCCATCACATTCTTGTACATCTCCCTGATCGTCACCCTCATATTCCCCGGCGTAGCGGCAGAAAATGTAGCACGAACGTACCGCCCCGACGGAGGAGAACTCAGTTAGACTGGCACTTGGCCTTACCTGCCTTCCTTCCCATTTCTGGCAGCCAGTCGTATTTCGTGGGACAAGATGGAATCTGAGTTATGACAGTCAACGACCTCTCGACAACTTTAATGCGACGAGGGCTGATGTGGCAGCAGCCAAGACGGTGGCCATAAGAAGGCTAGTGTATGTCGGGGCGTACTTGGAATTGCCAGCGTCACTGTGTGACAAGGAGGCGAGAATGGAGTTCCTCGCAGCTATTGATGTATCAGCTGCACCCCGTTAAGGCTACCAGAACAGAGAACATTCACCTTTCAAGTAATCAACAACTTGCTTGCATCCGTCGTACTTCCCACGCCAGCACTTCGTGATGATGCTGCCGACAGCCCCTAGGGACTTGGTGTCGGGATATTGGCCCTTGGAGTAGCGCGAGCGAATCACGCTGTCAGAGAGCCCAGCATATGGCGGACAGCCCGTCATCAACTCGTAGTTTGTGGAACCGAGCGCAAATATGTCACCTTTGCGGGACAGTCCGCGCCCTGGGCAGGTGTGGCTTTCATTTGTAGCGATCAGAAGCGGAGAGCCATCGAGCGAAGACCCGGCGAAATCTGCTAGCTTTGCGTCAAGGCGCCAGTCAATTAGCACGTTGAAGCCTTGGACGTCTCCATGGATGACACCGCATTCGTGAACGAAATCAAGAGCTTCGGCAACCTGGAGCCGACCGCATCCTAGTCTTCTCATCGGCGGCGTTCTCGTCAAGGTATGATCGGACGTTGCCGTGACAGACATGATCAAGGCGGATCCCATGTTTGAAGGTTCCGTAGAAGATCGGGATCCCTTTTTGGCCGCCGCGCTCGATGAAACGCTCATAGATCTGTCGCTCGATGTCGATCTCTGGGGAGTGGTCCCCATCAAGCCGGATTTTGATGACCGTTAACGTGTGCTTGTCAAGGAGGACTATTCCACTGTTACCGCCTCCGATGTAATCTTTAAAGTCAAAACCGGTAGGGAGATTGATGAGACTGGTATTGTCTGCCATTTTGAACGTCGAGGTGCTGGAATGGTCTCTTCTCGAAGTGAGAAAAAGGGGCTCAAGTTGGAATGGAAGCTTTGCACTGGGATTTAGAGTCCCAACGTGCCACTGGTCCAAGTCAGGACAAAGTCCCGTCGTCGTTTCACACCTAAACCGGGATTCTAAGCAGATTCAACAGAATGCAAAAGTGATGGAGGAAATTAGTTGCGTAACTCAGGATACTGGCAGCAGAGCGTTACGGCCGTTGCCTTCTCATTCTTGATAACCGAGCGGGCCGCATTGGATTACAAAATGGATGGAGTTGTGACATATATTCTAGGCGTTGGGAAGAAATCATGTTCCGGTACGCTAATTCCCATTTTCATCGGGCAGCGGTTTAGAATACATAGCCCTCTTCATCTCCTACCTTCGGACTCGTGCTGTGCAGTGAACTTCGTGTAAGTCAACCCCGAATGCCCCACAGTACCTATACGAGCTCGCGCACAGACCACTTGGAACTGCCGGCATCCATGATCCGTCCGGGTTCGCGTGTCAGACGCGTCGTTTGAATCTACAAAGTCATCCCCCGCCAAATATTCGCCATCCCGGTTTCTCAACCTACCTCCGCAATTGACACCGGAAGTAACCCTGTTGATCCTTTCGACACCCAGCCTCGCAAGAGTCTACATCCTGTAACGGACAATGCCTCGACCAAAGCGATCGCGTGTCACCGCGACGCGTCCCACCAAGGCGCCGTCACCACGCGCTGAAGAGCGAAATCAATCGTCTCCGACGCCGCCCGTCGCGGCGAAACCTGCTGTCGCTCAACCCGAGTTTCCGAGTAGTGATATTTACGATGTGAGCGACCGCGAAAAGGAGCGCATGAGGAAGCGCCGCGCTGCTGCCGAGGCCGCGAAAGCCGACGAGGTACAGCCCCGTCCGCTCACGACCGACGACCTGGGGCCGGACTCGAAGCAAGCGAAGGCGTTGGAGGACTCGAGACGCAGGCGGGATGAAGCGATGAACCGATTGGACGATCTCACCTCCACGTCAAGGCCGGATGAAACGGAGAACCAAGCCGTCGAGCTTGAGATCCAGCCTCGGTTGACCGACGCGTCAGGACTGGATTTAGACAGCGATTTCTTCGGCAACCTGGACGATAGCTTGGATGACACAGAAAATGTCATCGAGGAGACCCGTACCGGTTATCGCTCAACAGACACTTCCTCTATCAACGTTGCCATGTTCAAGCGCCGACCCCGACAGTCGAGTGTTGCTGGGAGAAATGATGGGCCCATCCGACCGAGCAGCAGAGGACGACAGACCACGCCGAGCATCAGCACGACTCTCACTTTCGGTAATTTTAGACGACGTGCGCGCGAGCCTAGCATCATTGGGACGGCACGCAAGGCTCGGACGGGGCGATCTCAGTCGGTGGCTTCGCAGGCTTCAAGGAATGCAAGTGTCCTCGGAGATGGCGAAGATTCCGGCCCCGAAGGCGAGTCGACTCCCATCGACAAAACACGAAGGCAAACACGTGCCTCGCTTGTAACCAGCGGTTCTCGGGAGGGGTCACCCATTTTGCAATCGCGCAAGCGTAAGTCTCTAGAGAGCCACGAAGATGGTCGCGAAAAGAGGCCAGCCCTGGAGTCGGATGATGCAGACGCGGAGGAAATCCACCAGTCAATTGAGGTGGATGTTGAGCCTGGTTCGAGCCTACCACGTGGGCGCAGACGCACTCGAGAGCAGGATGGCTTCTCAACCCCAGTTCCAGAGAACGATCCGGATATGGCGCCTCCTATCAGCAGTTCATCGGAAAGCGGCAGTCCCGTCCCGCTACCACCTCTGGACACGCTCGCTCATCGCACCTACACGCGCAAGGCTCCGCCAAGAGCAGCAAAAACCCCAGAGGCTATGGACTCCTCATCGGACCTCTCCTCTCCCCCATCATTGACCCATTCACCCAATTACGCGCCACCGCCCAAGGCCATCCCGAAGCCGAAGGCGCCACCGCCCGAGAAGAAGATGACGACGGCAGATTTAACCTCGCTTCTGCCTCGCCGGCGTCAGAAAGCTTCCAACCGTGATAGCGGCAGCAACGACCCGTTCGACCTAGACACGTCAGAAGACGACGCTAGAGCGGTAGATGATGAGAATGAGCTTTCATATGTCGATTCCCGGGCACGGAGGAGGAAGCCGCACCGGCCCTTAAGTAAGGCAACAGCCAATGCTAAGGGTAAGGCAATTGGGCCCGGTAACGGTAACGACAAAAGCCGCGCCCGGAGGACCTATGGAACCCGTGGGGATGACAAGGAGAATGAGGAGGTTGAGGAGGAAACTGTCGTCGCCAGTGATGGTGAAGAAGAGAACGAGGAGGCGGCGGAGGTGGATCTTCCTGATGAGGAGACCAGCCAGGTGATGAGAGAGCGCATCGGCGAGGAACTCCAGAAGGCCGCTAAGAAGTTCAAAGAGGTGGATAAGTGGGAGCTGGCATTCGAGGTCGTCACAGAAAGCTCTTCGCCAGACCCGGATGCCCGATGACGGGTTAAGAGGGATGTGATAAATGTTTCGCTTCGTTTTGGCAACGTGTTAGGTTATGATGACTTGGCTGGAGTTGATCAGCAGACTCATAGCACCAGGGAGTGGAGAGGTCAGGTTGTTTGTATTTGCCTACTTAGTAGACTTTGCTCTGGGTATAAGCGTTTGCTTGAAAGGCGGGTAGTAATGGCTTCTCTGATGCGAACCCCAGATGCTTGCTTGCGTCTTGACAAAAGCTGATGCCCATGTCGGTTCATCCCTCGTGATCTAAGTGCAACGGTAGGTTCCGACCCTTACAGGCAAACCGCTTTCTCTGCACTGGACCGCGTTAATCAGCAGTGTGCTATGATTTCATCGCCAAGCAGGCATTCTCCAGCGAGCGTTCAACAACAGGGAGCAAGTTCGCAACCTGGTTGGAATCTCTCAGGGCCACCGTAATGGCATCTGGCAGCAGCCCCTGCATGTAAAGATTCTGCCATTCTGTCAGCGCACCCACACTTCATCATATCAGAGGAAGATAGAAAGCAACCACTCACCCGTTTGACATTCTCAAACGCGTCCTCCCGCGCCGTGTACTCCCGAATCACCACCTCCCTCTCAAAGTCCACATACACCCTCGTATCCCTCACCCGCACCAACACCCCATCTAACCTCATGAACAGCCGGCAGAGCAGCAACATCCGCTGCTCCATGACCCTGAACTTCACGCTCATGATGCTGATCCCATTATCATCCAACTCACTCTCATACAGCACAACCTCGTCCGCGAAGAGGATTGGATCCCTCCTCTTCAGCAACTCAAGCGGTATCTCCTCCGCCTCCTCTCCCTCCCCGCCCTTAATTTCCAACCCCCTCCCATCCCCGGTTCTAACCTCATCCCCGACATACTTGGCCGAATAGCTCCAGTCAAAAGGCTTGACCACCTCCTTGATATCCGCCGCGCTCGTCTTCTCCCGGCTGCTGCTCCACTCGCGCGCGTACGCCACCCGCAGCATCCCGCCCTCCCCGGTCTTGTCGACCGTGTCGAGCGCCGGCTCCGCGCTGAAGGAGATGCTCCACCCGGACGGCGCGTGCGTGATGGAGACCAGGTTGTCGCCAAAGATCATCTCGGGGATGGGGATCCCTATGCGCGCGGACATGGCGTCTATGGGGCCCGCTTTGAGGATCGGGAGCTTGCGGGCCGAGATCTGGAAGGTGCCCTGCGTGTGGCTGCGGGTTGCGAGGGTGAGTGCGGAGGAGGAGGGGTATGGCTCGAAGGCGGCAGCTGGGGGTTCCATTTTGCGCAGTTGGTGTACTGTCAGGCTGGCCTTGGGTCGGGAGTTGTTTCGTGCGTTGAGCTCAAGTTAGGTGTCGCTCGCCGGAACGAGCAGTAGCTGGTAGAGGTTGAGTGTTGTAGTCGCGCGCAGGCGAACGGAAGATTCTCCGGGTTGCTGCAGCCTCGTCTAGGCTTGGGAGCTGGCGATGTGCTGAAGAACGGCGCTAAAACTTCGCTCCTTCTGTACTAATAGGGTCCTAGCTGGTCGGGAAATCAGTATAACCAATACACTTTGTGTAATAGGATTATTGTTTGTGCAGCTTCCAGGGTCAACGAGCTCGCGATGGCGGGGGTTTAAGTTGGAGCTGTTCAACTAAGTTCCATTTGGCGGGGCAAGCTTGGAGATAAAGTGGACGCAGGCTGGTCACCGTTTAGGTATTCCGTAAGTTGCCCACATCAATTGCCTCAACTGTACGGTGCCAGTGTAATAAGGGAAGAATTAAGTCTATCAAGCTCCATAAAATCATATCTTGGATGATGTACGGCAAAACGTTTTAAGAACTATTAGTTACCAACTTGCCCATATCTTGCGCACAGGTAGGTCCCTATGCAGCAACATGGAAATGATGTGCTATTGCTATTAGTACTCCGTACCGAGGCATACGCAACGCCGAACTTCAGATATTTGCCCAATACCTGGTTCTCCGCAAGGACGTACCCTACCATTCATAGAGGACCATTCCGAACTGTATGTAGTGGTTTCAGGTTCAACTTGTTGAGGAAGTGCGCCGCTGAGTCGCTGTAACCATCGGAAGCGGTGGAGTACCTAGCTTAGCCGCGGGTTGCTAGGCAACGGCGATTGACGTCCAGGGTAAATAATCCCCATAAAGTCGCCCCATCCTGGCATCTCCAATTTCAGGTTGCCATTTCGAGGCAGCACAACAGCGTCAATAATTCTGCCGTCTGGCCAGCGCTTGAACACTATCCCATCACCGGGCATCTCCCTACCCGAATTCAAAATGGCCACACGAACGCTGGAATCTCACTTCGAGCGGCTGTCCGTGACGGATGAAAACGATCCCGGGGCGACCGGTCGTCTCTATCAGAAGGCAAAGGTATGCATTTATAACGACAGCTTTTGGCCTTGCCAGTTGCTGATTCAATCACGTAGGCCGTCACTTCCTCGAGCCAGCTTGCGCACAGTGCCAGCAGACCAAACCTGTACAAAGTTGCTCTGCAAGCACAAAGTACCAACACCGTTACCGCCACCGTCACTCTCCCATCCCAGGCCGCTCAGTGGAAGAGCTCGGCCATCCCAACTAACCTGGCGTCGTCGCCAAAGAAGGATAAATCGACGTCACTATCATCACGCATCTCCGACGATGCTGAGCACACCTACGTCGACCAACCTCTCGTGCCCAAGCAGTTCCACTTGGGTATGTTCGAGATTGGGCGGCCACTCGGCAAGGGCAAGTTTGGACGAGTGTATCTGGCACGCGAGCGCAGCAGCGGCTACATCTGCGCACTCAAGGTGCTCTACAAGTCCGAGCTGCAGCATGGATCGGGCGTGGAGAAGCAAGTGCGGCGCGAGATCGAGATCCAGAGCAATCTGCGCCACCCCAACATTTTGAAACTCTACGGGCACTTTCACGACAGCAAGCGCATTTTCCTGATCCTCGAGTTCGCGGGGAAGGGCGAGCTGTACAAGCACCTGCGGCGCGAGAACCGGTTCCCGGAGTGGAAGGCGGCGCAGTACATTGCCCAGATGGCGTCGGCGCTGCGCTACCTGCACCGCAAGCACGTCATCCACAGGGACATCAAGCCCGAGAATATCCTCATGGGCATCCACGGCGAGATCAAGATCTCCGACTTTGGCTGGAGCGTGCACGCGCCGAACAACAGGCGCAAGACCCTCTGCGGCACGCTGGACTATCTCCCGCCCGAGATGATCAAGTCCGGCAGCAAAGACAACTGGTACGACGAGAAGGTCGACCTGTGGAGTCTGGGCGTGCTGACGTACGAGTTCCTCGTTGGCGAGGCGCCGTTCGAAGACACGCCCATCATGACGCAGAAGCGAATTGCCAGGGCCGACATGACCATCCCGGAGTGGGTGAGCAAGGAGGCCAAGGATCTTATCAGAAAGGTATGCCCTCCGCCTCTTCCGCAATCCCTTCTGTTCTTGTCGCTAATAGAGCACAGCTTTTGGTGCTTGACCCTGAGAAGCGTCTCCCGCTTGAAGAGGTCCAGAACCACCCTTGGATCATCAAGCACTGCGTGAAAGGTGAAAGGGCCTCGAACAGGGAGAAGTCGCTCAAATAATGCCCGGAGCCGATGGTTTTTTCTTGGTCTGCGAGTTGTTCTAGGAGTAAAGAATAGGCGTTTGGGAGTCGACGGGGAAGGTCAGGTTTTGCCAGACATTTCGAGTTCATTGCATATAGCGGAGTTTTAGCGGGTTTGATCTTGAATGCTACAGCTACAGCGCGGGGCTATGACCCGTTGGATCAGCTGTTCCGTCGTGGACAAGTTCGGTATCCATAATATATACATTAGTACATACACCTAGGGCGTAGCTACCCAAAGAGCCGCCCGGCTAACAAGACGTCAACGATATACCTCTTCAAATGGCCGTTTATCCGAGAAACACGAGTCCCACACCTCGTTGACCACCTTGGTCGCATGTACGTCGTCCCTACACGCCGGTCTTGCCATGACCGACTGTATCGCCCGCATCCGCACGCAGTTCTGGAACTGCTCCGTCAGCTTCCAATTCCCCCTCACCATCGCCTCTCTCGTCCAGCGACACTCTCCACTCAGCATCGACGCTCGAATCTGTCCAGGCACAACCAGGTCAGCATCCACCAGTTGTTCCTCTCACCCCATCAGGAGAAGGGGGCCGAAACGAACCTCAGTACACGCAGCATGCCTGAGACTTTTTGCTCCCGCCCAATCCACCTTCCACCTCAGATGGTCCCACGCATGCACCATCTCATGCGCGAGGGTGTCCTCCAGGTGGCTCCTGTCCCGCATCTCGTTCGCGCAGATCAGGATCCCATGGTCCGGGCTGAAGCCGCCGCCCTGGCGCACGACGCGCCCGTCCTCGGCCACGCGCGCGGGACACCGCCGGCACACGACGTTGGTCTCGTCGAGCGTCCCGTTCAGGGCCGACACCTTGTCGCGCAGGAAGCGGATGACGGGCGAGTACTTGAAGAGGAAGTCGCGGTCGGCCTCGCAGCGCGCGCAGTCCCGCGCCTCGTTGGCCTTGTATCGGTCTTCGCGGTAGTGCTCGATCCCCTCGGGCGTGATCTGGCCCGTCAGGATCTTGAAGTAGTTCATCCACCATTTGAGGGAGGGGTCGTAGCCCGTGCGGGCCGGGTCGTTTTCGAGAAAGCGGGGTAAGGGTCGAGAGTTGGATGGTTGTTGGCTCTGCTGTGGTTGTGGTCTTTGTTGGTTGGTGTCGCCTTGAGGTGCGAAGGAGGAGGAGGCGGGGGGTGATGTTGACGGTGGTAATGTAGCCATTGTGGTAGGGAAGGGAGAGGTGGTCAGAGACGGCAATCGTCTCCAAATCCTCAATCCCTGGAGTCTGATGAAACTAGTGGTACCAGCGGTTACCAAGGTCAGGTTTCGAGTCGGGTATGAAGCGAGCACGGTTGGTGTCGACACAGTGCCAAATACCAGGTACCTAGGTATCGTTGTTGTCGTCCGAACTCGAAGTCTTGTCGATAAGATCACAAAAGTTATCCGCTAGCAGGGTGCCGGCAGCGGCTGGCCCACAGATGATCGCTTGGCACGCCCTTCCCATCTTGTCAGGCGGTGAAGCCCAGCAGAAGGGCGCATTGTTTGACCCCGGAATTTTTGGGGCGCTCCCGATGTCGGCCAATTGACAGCTCACGAACTGGCGAATGACTCCAGTTTTGGCATTCGCTGATAGACAGCGGTCCCCACTGATCAGATGTGAGCCCTGCAGCTTGCATCGTCCAGGTCCAAAATTACAGCACCCCTGGATGGTGCCCGAGAGACGAACGCTATATAATGGAATCAAGTTGGAATCTGTGTAAGAGAGACATCCCTCAGATACGAATTGATAGTTCTCAAAGCGGTGTCGTACCTTCAATCATCTCCTACTGACTTCTTAATTGTATATCTTGCAGCCATGAGGGGCCCGCGTCCACTTGGTGTTGTGATAAAATTAGGTGAGTAATACATCATCAAACACAGGGGCTTGTGTTACTGACACATTTACCAGGAACGAGCTCGATTGTGGACGAAAAGACTCATGAACCCCTCCTCTCAACTCTGTCATTGATAGTAGAAACGGCTGTGAAGCTGAGGAAAGATGGGCACAAGGTGATAATTGTGTCGTCTGGCGCCATTGGCGTCGGGCTGCGGCGGATGGATGTGGAGAGGCGGCCAAAGCATCTGTCGAAGCTGCAGGTAGGAGGCATGATCGACACGGTTGGATGCGGACGCTCACAATCCTGATAGGCACTTGCCGCCATCGGCCAGTGCCGGTTGATGAGTCTCTGGGACAGTCTGTTCAACCATCTAAGGCAGCCCATCGCCCAGATTCTTCTCACACGAAACGACATTGCCGATGTAAGCAACTTCCGAAGCCCTGTCCGTGCCCAATCACTTATACCATCCGACAGAGATCAAGGTATCTCAATGCTCAACGGACGATCAATGAGCTCCTGGACATGGGCGTCATTCCAATCGTCAACGAGAACGACACGCTGGCAGTGTCGGAAATCAAGTTTGGCGATAACGACACACTCTCTGCCATCACCGCCGCCATGGTCCACGCCGACCTCTTATTTCTCATGACCGACGTGGACTGCCTGTACGACAAGAACCCGCGGACCCATCCTGACGCCCACCCTATTGAGGTAGTTGAAGATATTGGGTCTTTGGTAGCAGATGGTACGCACCCCCTTTTCTCTCCTGCCGAGAGACCGCTGTGTAACAATTTGCAGTATCAACCGCTGGTTCGTCCCTCGGAACCGGCGGCATGTCCACCAAGATCGTCGCCGCCCGCCTGGCCACCTCCGCCGGCGTGACAACCGTCATCACGCGGTCTTCCAACCCAGGCAACATTGTGAAGATCGTCAGACACATCCAAGCCAGCCGCTCCCCGCCGTCTCTCGCCACCAAGGCCAACCAGGCTACCGAATCCACCACCACCGATGCTCAGCAACAGCAACAGCAGCAACAACAACAACAAAACACTGCCGGTCTCCTCAGATCGGTGTCATCAACGACCTTGGCACCCGACTCCCGCTCCAGCACTCCAGCGCCCCCGAACACCAAGATCCCGCTCCACACCCGCTTCCTGCCCTCCCCGCACCCGGTGCGCGACCGCTACTTCTGGATCCTCCACGGCCTGCGCCCGCACGGGACGCTGTACATCGACCAGGGCGCATACAAGGCGCTCCTGGGCAAAGCCGGCCTGCTCCCCGTGGGGGTGGTCGACGTGGAGGGGATGTTTGCGCAACAAGAGGCGGTGCGGCTGTGCGTGGTTGATAGGAAAACGAGAAGGCGGACGGCCGCGGAAGTTGGGGGAGATCCTAGCGACGGTGGTGGCGGTGGGAAGTTGTGGGAGGGCACGGCGCACGAGGTTGGCAGGGCGCTGACCAATTACTCGAGCGTCGAGATTGCGCGGATCAAGGGGCACCAGAGCACCGAGATTGAGGGGATCCTCGGGTACGCGGACAGCGAGTATGTTGCGCCGCGGGAGAGCATCAGTTTCTTTGCCGGCGTCCCGGGGGTAAGGGAGAGCAGGCCGGCGACGCCGGTCAGGGAGGTTGTGGATGGTAGAGGGATTGGGGGGTATGAAGTGGAGGGTACGGTGTTGTGAGGAATGGGGTTTTTTTTTAAGAGAGACAGGATTGGAGCAAGGTGGATGGTGATGATAGAGAAAATAGAGCATTTCCCAGGTTATTGGTATCTCTGAATGTAAAGCTGGCTTGAACCTCGGTCACTAAATCAAAGTCCGCCGTCTCTTATGATTGATCCAAGACCCTCTATAACGCCTGACGCCTGCCTATTTCTTTTTTCTGACCATATCTTTTCCGCAGGCTCCCAATCAACCGGCGAAGAGCGTATCTTCGTCACGGAGGTATTCTCCGCAGTCTGCTTGCCGGAAGCACACAATACCCGTGGGATCTAGCCGCCTCGCCTCCGCCGTACTCCTCGCAGTCTAACGGAACATTAGCCAGACGAGTTGGGAAAGGGGGCCAAGCCTCGGAGAAATCTCATCACTCACCACTCCAAACCCAAGCGGGATATCCGCCATACTATACACCACACAGCCCGAATGCTCAGGGCAGTCCTCGGACCAGCGCCCGACGTGCGCTTTGACCACTGTTCTCCCAGCTTCGATTAGTATCCTGCGCTCTCTTCTGTGACTTCCCAGCTGGTATGTTGTTTGATTGTTCGAAACGCACCATTCGACCCATACAGAAACGGCTGCGCCCCGTTGTCCTTGACCCAGATCTTGTGCCTTGCGCCGGACGCGATGATGGGCAGGGCCGTGATGTGCAGGCGGAACTTGCCCGTCTTGGTCATCTTGCCGAGACAAGTGCCGAGGCTGAGCAGGGCATCGCGGCTTATGCTCGTGGCAAGGTTGGCGATCGAGAGCTTGACGTAGTAGACCTGTTGTATGGGGGGGGGGGCGCAAGGGGCTATGTTAGATGGGCTGGATGGAGGATGGAGAGGAGAAGCGGAGGCTGGCGTACGCGAGAGTGGTTCAGGCGGAACACATAGCGGTCGCCGTCTTCTAGCGGGGCGATCAGGCTTTTGAGGTCGGACATGTAGTTGGCTAGCTGCGAGGTTGTGAGCTGCGTGCGTTCTCACGGAGGGGTTGGGTTGTTGGGACGCGAATGAAGGGAGCGCGGGAGACGTTGGAGCGCTGTACCTTGTCCAACACCGTCTTCATTTCTTCGTCTGTTAAGGCGCGCATTTTGGCTACCGGTTAGGCGTTGTCTGTTGAGAAAGCTGTTGTGTTGACTGGGGAACCTCATCGATGAGCTCGTCGATGCTTATCGCAGGGTCTCGAAAAAAGTGAATCTCTAATCGCAGCCCCACATTGCATGCTCGCTTCGGTCCACTTTTACCCGCCTCAACTCGACAACCCGAGTGGCATTTGCTCCGAGGATCTTTCCACTCAAGTGACCCACTTCTCCAAGCTAGGACCCTATAAGGTTGGTTTCCAGCCGACTGAATGTAACACATATCACATAGGCCCGCTGGCCAAATGGTAAGGCGCCAGATTTCGGCTCTGGAGATTGTGCGTTCGAGCCGCACGTGGGTCGTGAGTTATCTTTTTTCCCTCTGTTTCTGACCCAGAACCTTTTTTGCTCGAATCAACAGAGGACTGATGAAGTCAATGGACTCATTTCTCTCCCGCTACAAAGGTCGCGCTGTCTCGTGGGTGCGTGACCGGTAGGTCATCTTCCCGGGGACACGTTCGCTTGCCGTAGGTATACAGATGGTCCAGCATACAGCGCCTACACACTCGTTCCTGCGACGCGCAAGACAGTGCTCTCAAACCTACACGATGTGATATTTCTGGGCTTGCGGATTCGGCTCCCGAATTCAGGCAGGCCATGGTCCAGGAGCACTCGAACAAACCGGGTTTTCGGGTCGCGACGATACCTTCCCGTTTGGCGCTCGCTGTATGCAACCTTCCCAAATACCCGGTGCCCACTCGCATCTCCAGAACATCGAGCCGATTCCCTGATCTCGTCAGCGAGCGCGGGGCTGGCTCTTATTCCTACCGTAGCTCTCTTTGCAACGTTAGGTGTCCCGCCAAGCCGAACAGCATGACAAAACCCCAGCTTCCTGTTGGTCGCCTACTCCGGCCGGGGATCCGGACGCCGATAGGAGGTTCAGGATCTCGGAGGCCATGTGCCGCAACACTCATTTCTGGAAAGGTCTCGGCACGGCGGGACAGCAAAGTGACCAAACCCCAGGAACCTAGGCTGGGCACTCTCCCAAATTCACCGCAGGACCGATACCTAGCCTGGGCACGCAACGGGACGGCCCTGCCATTGCCCCTTGCCCCTGCAATCAGCGGGAGCTCTATCCGAGACGGACGAGGCAACAGGACAAAACCACCACTTATTACACAGCACAGTACACGCACCTCCACGCCTCACGGCCGCCTCCACGCGAACCAGGTTTGGTCTCACAGCAACACCCGGGGAACTTGGCATGTGTCGGCGATGGCGCTTGCACGCTCGCCCACGCCGGGATTGCGCAACTCTCGGCGTGTTGTCCCTGTAGTCACAGTACCGACCGTGTATTAAGAGTATAGTCAGCTTACCCATCCACATGCGCTTGGCCCGGCCTTACCCATACGAATGCCCAGCCTATTCCTCCAATGGAGCATTGGACGTTGCATCGAGTCCGCGATAGCGGACAGGGTTGCCGCGTCCACCTACCGGACAGTTCACCTTGCCCCCATCCTTCGTTGGGTCCTCCACCAAAGTTGGAAGCTCGGCCGATGTAAGGCATGTCCCTAGCCTCCGGAGTCCGTGTCGTATCTGGGGAAGGCGCCTGGCGTGTGGGGACCGCGGGCTTGAATAAAAGGGAAGCCACGCCCTCGGGAGCGGGCGTCTTCCTGTACATTCGTCTGCCGGCAGAGTCGAGGCGAACCTGTATCAGCATCCCAAGATGAAGACCTCATCTCGGTTTCTCGGTGCCCTGGCAGCGGCCGCGTCATGTGAGTGGGAGTCTGTGACCGTTACGAGTGCATCTACTAGGATTCATGACTGACTGACATCGACATCCGACATCTGTAGTCGCGCCGTCTGCCCTTGCGCAGAACAATGAGCCAGTGACATTCACTGACCCGGGCACCGGCATCGTCTTCAACTCATGGGGTCTTGCCAACGGGGCACCCCAGACCCAGGGAGGCTACACCTTTGGTATGGCTCTGCCTTCTGATGCTTTGACGACCGACGCCACCGAGTTCATCGGGTACTTGGTATGTTATGTCCTGCGGGCGGCAGCACCATCTTTCTTCCCTCGAAGCAGATGCTGACCGCTACCAGCAATGTGCGGCCAAGGACGAGAAGGGCTGGTGCGGCATCTCCCTGGGAGGACCCATGACCAACTCGCTCCTCATCACGGCCTGGCCGAACGAGGACACGGTCTACACGTCGCTCCGCTACGCGACCGGATACGCCATGCCGGATGTCTACTCGGGAGACGCCAAGATCACACAGATCGCGTCGACCATCAACTCGACGCACTTCACCTTGGTCTTCCGGTGCGAGAACTGCCTGCAGTGGAACCAGGGGGGCAGCTCCGGCGGCGCCGCGACCAGCTCTGGCTTCATGGTGCTCGGCTGGGTGCAGGCGTTCCCGTCGCCCGGCAACCCGACGTGCCCGGACGAGATCACGCTCGAGCAGCACGACAACGGCATGGGCATCTGGGGCGCCGTGCTGGACTCCAAGGCGGCCAACCCGTCCTACACGGCCTGGGCTGCCAAGGCGACCAAGACCGTCACGGGCGACTGCAGCGGTGCGACGCCGACGGACGTCGTGGGCGTGCCTGTGCCGACGGGCACCGCGTACGACTACATCGTCGTCGGCGGCGGTGCCGGCGGCATCCCCATTGCCGACAAGCTGAGCGAGGCCGGGAAGAAGGTGCTGCTCATCGAGAAGGGGTTCGCCTCGACAGGCGAGCACGGCGGCGTTCTCAAGCCGGACTGGCTCGCGGGCACCCAGCTCACGCGCTTCGACGTCCCAGGCCTGTGCAACCAGATCTGGGTCGACTCGAAGGGCATTGCCTGCGAGGACACGGACCAGATGGCCGGCTGCGTCCTTGGAGGCGGCACTGCGGTGAACGCCGGGCTGTGGTTCAAGCCCTACGCGCTCGACTTCGACTACCTGTTCCCGACCGGCTGGAAGTCCAAGGACATCCAGGCGGCCATCTCCCGGGTGTTCTCGCGCATCCCGGGCACCTACGCGCCCTCGACCGACGGCAAGCGCTACTACCAGCAGGGCTTCGACGTGCTCGCCGGCGGTCTGAGCAAGGGCGGCTGGACCAAGGTGACGGCCAACGACGCGCCGAACAGCAAGAACCGCACCTTCTCCAACTCGCCCTTCATGTTCTCGGGCGGCCAGCGTGGCGGCCCTCTCGCGACCTACCTCAACACCGCCAAGAAGCGCAGCAACTTCGACCTCTGGCTCAACACGACCGTCCGCCGCGTCGTCCGCGACGGTGGCCACATCACCGGCGTCGAGGTCGAAGCTTTCCGGAGCGGCGGCCGCGTGGGTACCGTGAACGTCACCAACATCTCCGGCCGCGTCATCCTCTCGGCGGGCACCTTCGGCAGCGCCAAGATCTTGCTCAGGAGCGGCATTGGTCCCGCGGATCAGCTGCAGATCGTCAAGGCCTCCACGATTGACGGGCCGACCATGATCAGCAACACGTCGTGGATTCCTTTGCCGGTCGGGTACAATCTGGATGACCACCTCAACGTACGTTCTTTTTTCCGACGTCTTAAGAATGACATGGTGCTTAGATGCTGACGTTGTAACAGACTGATACCGTCATCTCCCACCCCAACGTTGTATTCTACGACTTCTACGCCGCCTGGACGGACCCGATTGCGTCGGATAAGACGAGCTACCTCAGTACGCTAGCGTCCGTCTACCCAGTTGCGAGCTGAAGAGGCTAACGTTCCACCAGACTCGCGCACCGGCATCCTCGCTCAGGCCGCTCCCAACATTGGGCCAATGTGAGTTGATCGTCCCGCATGGTCGACCCCTTCACAGCGCTCAGCTAACAAAGCACAGGTTCTGGGAAGAGATCAAGGGCGCGGATGGCATCGTCCGCCAGCTGCAATGGACCGCCCGCGTGGAGGGCAGCTTTGACACGCCCAACGGCCGTACGACTCCCTTTTTTGTTTTTTATTTCTTTTTTCATTATTCCTTCCCAATCTCCTCTCCCATTTCATTCCTAAGCTAATCTCTCTTACCCCCCTGCCGCAGACGCGATGACCATGTCCCAGTACCTCGGCCGCGGCGCCACCTCGCGCGGCCGCATGACCATCACGCCGTCGCTGACGACCATCGTCTCCGACGTGCCCTACCTCAAGGACCCCAACGACAAGGAGGCCGTCATCCAGGGCATCGTCAACCTGCAGAACGCCCTCAAGAACGTCGCCAACCTGACCTGGAACTTCCCCGATCCCAACACCTCTGCGCGTGACTATGTCAATAACGTAAGATTCTTTTCTCGAAATCCTCCCATCCCAACTACTGTAGTGTGTATACCGCCCCACTAACCCCGTTTTCTTTTCCTTCTTTAGATGGTCGTCTCCCCTTCCAACCGGCGCTCCAACCACTGGGTCGGAACGGCAAAGATCGGCGCCGACGACGGCCGCTCGGGCTCCGGCTCGGCGGTCGTCGACCTCAACACGCGCGTGTGGGGCACCGACAACCTGTTCGTCGTGGACGCGTCCATCTTCCCCGGCGTGCCGACCACCAACCCGTCGGCCTACATCGTGGCCGTGTCGGAGCACGCCTCCCAGAAGATCCTGGCGCTGGCGGCGCCGAAGCCCGTGGCCAAGTACGGCCAGTGCGGCGGTCGCCAGTGGACGGGCAGTTTCACGTGTGCCGCGGGGACCAAGTGCACGTACCAGAATGATTACTACTCGCAATGCTTGTGAGAGCATAGTATGTAATTAAAGCAAGTGGAAGAAGAGGTCTATGATTGGCAAGACAAGAAGGGGAAATTATTCGGGGGAGATTTATTAGTTCACTTTCGTTGTCCATAGTTTGGTTTTCTCGAGGTACATAACTTTGAATTTCAGTTCTCTGCGGAGGTGCATGACATCAATATACCGAACTGCGATCCCTGTGGAGGTGTGCGTACTCCGTAGATTTCAAGTTGATAGCTAATGTAAGGTAGCTAAGGTAGCTACTCCTTGCCTACTGGAACATCTTAACCGCTGCCTCTGCTTTGCCCTGTTTATTATCCGAGAATCCCGACACCCCGTGCCTGTAGCAAATCAACCGTTGCGATGGCACATGTCACAATACGACCCGAACACATCAAGACGAAGCCCAGACGTTGCTTCCATCATTAGGTAGTTATTACAAGAACGAACATCATACATACATACATACATACAAGAAACATTACAAGAGGATCTCAATCAACGCCCCCGATCCCCTAGTATCCCCGATTGCTGCCACCAAAGAACGTACATATCAAACACAGCCTCAAAACAACCTAAATCATCCAGAGCAGAAAGGCAAGCAAGTCGACAAATAACCGAAACTACCTAGCCAGCCATGACCTAATAATCCTCCTTGATATCATTCAGTCCGTACCAGCAAGTGTGTTCAAATACGACCTCATCAAGCCAGTAAACCGGGCCCTCGCGGCACTTGGCGGAGCGATGGGCCGCCTCTAAACGCGCCACCTCCTCGAAGTTGAACTGCTCCTCAAGCAGCTTCTTCACCCATGCGAGCTCCTCCTCAGATTCTTTCTGCTCCTCTTCCAGCTTCGCATCACCGTTCATCCGGGGATGCTTGTGCTTGACAAAGTAGCTGAGGTACAGGCGGTAGTACTGCCGCTCGCGAGTCGGGTCGGTCGGCTTCTTGTAGATGGGGCTGGCGGCGTTGTCGACAAAGTCGTACGCCGTCTCGGACACGAAGCGGTTGGAGGTGCTGGTCAGCAGCATGTCGAGGAGCGAGTAGCCGATCTTTTTGCGCCGGTAGTCCGGGTGGACAAAGACGTGAATCCTGGCGGAGGCTCGGCTGCTGCCGCTGCCGCTGCCTGCGAGGCCGAATTGCCAAGGCGACAGGAAGGCAAAGCCCAGAACTTCGTTGCACTTGTCCTGTTCGTAAAAGGGAACCTGGCCGAAGGGTGATAACGAGACATTGGTGGTCTTGGGAAACCTCTCCTCCCTGGCTGAACCGCGCACGGCGACGAGGAACGGCATCCCGCGGTCCTTGGTGGCGGCGAGAACTCTCTCAAAGTTCGCGCTTGACAGAGGCTGGGAGTCGAGTGTCTGTAGGCCGTGCTTCACCTCCCAGTTGTAGATGTGAGACACTGTCAGCATGTCGGCCGGTACAGCCGGGCGCAGGAAGCAAGCGATCCGTGGCACGTAGGAATGATATTCGGGCGCCGCAATGTGACGCTCCTGGATCTTCTAGACCCGATGTCGGTCCATCGCCGCCCGTGTATCCCCCGCTGTTTCTCCCGGCGAGATTGAGTTCGTGCTGGTACTCCAGCGGCCGGTATGACGCGAACGTCGCCATCGCAACCGCTTTTTTATCTCAGCGAGCGAGGTACCGTTCAAGCGCCGCGACTCCAGCTGTTTGTCGATCTTGGAGTGATCGACCAACGTTTCTGGGTACTCAACCGGCGCCATGAAGAAGCCAGTGTTCGTGTTTATGTCACATCGCCAATGCTCCACGCGACCCTTAGTCCCACGGAGCGAGGCGACGATACCTTCCGGGATGGCATCCATCCACGCCAGGATGAACTTGTCGAGGTAGGAAGGGTCTCCGAACACTTCGTTGTGGTCCCTTCCGTCAAGGTCGCCCCAGTTGTATTTTTCCCAAGTGTTGTCGTACTTGGCGAGGCTGTGCTTCAGTCCGATGGCGTTCCTTACGTCGCCATTACCGCTCCGCCCACTGCGGCCCGCATCTTCTTCGTGGCCAGCACCCACCTTGGGGTTATCCAAAGCAGGGGCTGTACCCCAGGATGCCGGACCGCTGCCACCCGCTACTGGTGACCATCCTTCCCAGCCGCCGTCGTCTTTGTTACCGGTATTCGACACCGGGACGCGGGGCCGATGGCCCTGGTGGTAAAGCGGGTGGGTGGAGGGATCCAAGATCCCCCTTTCAATCCGCAGCGCGTCCCAGTAGTTATACAGGACAGGCTGCGGCCGCTGGGCGGTCTCCACTGGCCTGGGACCCCGAGAACGTCGCTTGCGCGATGGAGTTGCTGTCCTCCATTCGTTCTCGGTTTCGTCCTCTCCCTGGGGTCGGCTTTGAAAGCCGATGGCAGCCAAGAAGTTGTCGGCTACCTGGGGTGAGTCGAAGTCGCTTACTGCGATACGCCCAGGGGTGGTGGTGCGGACGGCCATGGTAGTGGCGATGTATATTGGTTCAATGAAAGAAGTCCCTAGCGAGAATGATCCTTCGAAAGCACGGCGAAGTGTGCTGAGAAAGAGCACAAGATGCTGCACCGAGCTGGCGTAAGAACTCGGAACTAGGTACCCGACTGTGAAGGGCGGGCGATTTGGCTCAAATACTTGAGAGGGGAATTTCTCGACAATCAACTTAAAGGACGGGAGGCAGCTCGACGCGCTTGATTGCAAGCTTGGCGGGCCGGAAGATGAGAGACGTGACTCGGTTTGAGGGTTGGTTTGTATTAAGTCGATGTGGGATGATATAAAAACTGTGAAGTCGGTTGGGAAGGAAAGAGCGTCTGACGAAGTGACCAAGTTGTGTGAAGAGGGAACTTTGGGTTGGCTTGTTAGCAGAGCTGTTCGGGGTATAGATATGTCTGAGGAGAAGAACGGAATCAGCCAGCTGCAATTTTCGCCACTACATTGCTCGGGAAAAGCCCTTATGGTACTGAATGGTGACGCGTACAGTTCATATGGCACTGTCACAACTTGCCACCTTGCCTGAGGCTATCAGTGTCGTCCCAACTCGTTTTCACTCAGGTCCAACCAATCCAGCAGCTGGGTCCGATCATCTCATTTACAGGTAAGAGGATGACGTGTGCCTTAGGCAGGGAGACTGTGTAAACGTACACCATGATCATTCAACCGTGAGAAGCCGGGGGCCGAAGAGTGAATGACTACCGTACCTTCGTCACGGTTTGCCCGGTTATCTGATGCTCGACAAACTGGGACCTCGATAGGTTAGTAACCAAAGCTTACCTAGGTACGTTTCTACTATTATCATACTTAAACTACACATCGTACTGTCAGAAGATTCAAAAACGGGTCATCAGACACTCGACTCTCTCAGGCACGAGAAACGAAGTTTTCATCGTCCCAGAAATGGAATGTCCAGGGTATCTCTGGAGAATCCGCATAACATTGGGACTGGCGTGTCACACGCGGTGAAAGCAAGGCAATGTTGGAACACTGCCAGTTTAGACACAGCGCAAGTCACTGAGTTTTCTACTGCTCTGGCCGCCCACGTATTCTATCTCGTCTTAGTTCGGGTGCTCGGGCATCTCATATTGAAGCTCTTATTGGTAAGTGTGTGTTGCTTGGAGGACTTGAAGATGGGGGACGGGGAAAGCGATGGCCAAAGCCGCTGTATCTGATGTACCTATGCATCGATGACGTTTTGGTCGGTATTCTGCCGAGGACTGGGACTTTATCTACCTAATTCATGCAAGTTCATGAGCTGAACTCGTGGGATTCTATTACCGACACAAGTTCATGAATCATCATAACAACCGCCACGACAAATGCTGACGTCTACCACTGGTACTCAGAATGTTTAAGACGGCATTCCTATGGCCATACCTGGCGTTCAAGTTGTTTGAATATCGTCCTCATATTGCTGCATATTGCGTGCTAGAAATACACTCAGTATCAGCCGTAGGGCCTTGGTAGTGATCTCAACGTGACGTTTGCTCTGGCATTGCAATTGGAAGTCTGAGTCCTGCGGCCACCATGTGTGAATACGTACCTAAATAAGGTAGGTACTTCTTAAGGTGGTTTGGGCGTTTCGTCGTTAGTGCAATACTAGTAGTTTCTGTCCACGATGAGGTTCTAGTGGTGCTGTTACTGCTGTGTACAATACAACCAGAACAGCGGTTGTGTGGAAACAGGGACGTTACCTGAAAGGTGGGTCCCCCACTCCCCGTCCAGTCTCATGGGATTAGTCTTTCAGGCCGAATCGCGTCACGCCGTCACCCAACTCTAACATCGTACCGAAGCCCCGCAACAAAGATGCTGTCCATCCTGCGCAAGGCGAGGCTCAAGGACAAAGAGCTTCGGATCTTGATGCTGTGAGGCTCTCAAGAAGTGCCGCTCTGGCTGGGATCCGAGGGTGCTGACCAAAATACAGGGGTCTCGACAATGCGGGCAAAACCACTATTGTCAAGAAGATAATGGGGGAAGATATCAACACAGTCAGCCCCACATTAGGTTTCATCATCAAGACCATCGACTATGAAGGGTATGTTGACCAGCTTCTCAAACTATGTTGCGTCCATTGACTCGTACCGTGTTCAGCTACAAACTCAACATTTGTAAGCTCCATGGTTCTGAAGTCCATCTCAGGCTCGTCTCACTGTGTACATGGATAGGGGATGTTGGCGGCCAAAAGACGCTGCGCTCATACTGGCGTAACTACTTTGAAAAGACAGACGCCTTGATCTGGGTTGTCGATGCCACAGACAGGTTGCGTATCGATGACTGCCGCGACGAGCTGCACGGCCTTCTTCAGGAGGAGGTGAGCACGATCGTTTCTACGTGACCACGGGCGCCGGCGGTTGACAAAGCGTGAAGCGACTGTCAGGCGCAAGCCTGCTGGTGTTTGCGAACAAGACAGATGTCAGAGGCTGCATGACTGGCGACGAGCTGTCAGAGGTTTGTATCCGCCATTATTAGCCCGTTCCAGATCTGATGAAGTCTAATGCTCAGACTCCCAGGCTCTACGGCTCGGCGAGATTCGCACACATCGATGGAACATTCTCCAATGTAGCGCAATGACCGGGGGGAATCTCAAGGAAGGCCTGGCTTGGGTTGTCGAGGATGCGAAGGCCCGCCTCTTCCTGTACTGACCTCGACCCGTTGAATGGCACCAGCCAGTCCCTCTTTTGTGCCGGGTTGGTCAGCTCCAACATTGCCACAAACCGGCTCCCAGTTACTGTGGCAACCCAGAAACGACAGCCCAACGTGGGTCTTCAGGCAAAGCTCCGGTGAGGACAAAACAATGGCTGTGAGGATGAGTGGAAAGGGAGAGAAAGATGGCGGCTTGTTTACGCACGGAAGTAGCCTTCTCCCAAGGAAGCACAGATGATGGATGAGGAATATCCTGAAACAAATGTATTTATTTGGCACTTCGAAGGTTGCATCAACTTGCACACAATGCCGGTGTTGAGGTCACCTGGTCATAGCGCCGGGAGAGCTGCACAGGGCTTGGGCTGTCGAGAGACTCGGGACGGGGGCTTGCTCTGGCCTATCAGCGGATGGCGTAGGCTGACACAGCGGGGCGATGGGATCCCAGTTCCCCCTGCCGCCTCAGGCCCTGTGGATTCGGGTGGGCACATCGAGCTGCCCCTCTGAGTCTCCATATGTCTGTTTTGAGCTCCGAGGATTCGGGCTTTCACATTGATTGTTGACACCAGTCCGCCCTGGGATCCCCGTCGACAGCTGCGTGCCGTTGTGCCCCGAATTTAATACCTCAGACTCCGTTGCGTGTCATGCCGAAGCCCTTGTCTCGTAACAGTCATGTCCGACGAAGTTTCCGACTTTCTGCGCTCGGTCGAGTTGCTGAAGGAACGGCGAGAAGAAGAAGACGAGGCCAGGTCGCGAGAGCTTGAGGAGAAGATTCTACAGGAGAAGAAAGAACGCCAGGCGCGACGTGCAGGTACGCCAATCCGCTGCCAGTCAGCACCTCACCCCTCCATAGCTCATCACTTCAGTCGATAAAAGCTGGAAGGGAAAAAAAGCTGGCGAATCGACGCGCGTGCCATGCTGCACTGCGCATCTGCAAGCTGGAATCACCAGTCCGCTGCCACTAGAACTAGCTTGGGCACTTTGCCTTGGATGGAATCACTGACAGTTTGCCTATCTCTTCACCTAGAGCGCGCAAGATCAATTTCACCACAAAAATCATCCCCTGCAAACACCCCGCCGCCAACTGCCCACCGCAGGGGCAGCGTCCTCGCGTCGGCTTCTGACGGCACAAGTTTGGCATCACCCGGCCCTGAGAGCACTGGGAGTCCCAGGCAGCGCGCCGGTGAACTGTCCTCGGAGATCATGGAAAGCACAGCCGACTATTCGGGCTCGCCTACCAAAGAGAACGACTCGCCATTCGAGTCGGATATCAAGCGCACCAGCCTGACGATGGGCTCGCCCTCCATCGGCATGCCGGCGGCGCGATCTCCCCTTTCGTGGCAGAGACGACCAACCTCACAGGCGTCGGACCGGCCCAAGAGCAGACCTTTGTCTATGGTAGCTGCCGAAAACGCCGCCCGTAACTCGCCTGTCCTCGCCGAATCCGCGCCAGCGACGGAACAGACGATGTCACGCGACCAGATCGCTCAATCTCTCGCGGGGAAGGACCCTTCCTGGTTCCGTCAGACTGCTGACCCAGGCCGTGGTTCCGCAGCATTCAGGAAGAACCAGGTGGAGGACCAGGACACAGCGGACATGTCTTCTGTACGCACTCAACTCCCTGGTATGTCCCGAGAACCGACGATAGAACCACCCAAGGAGAGCCCGGGTGTTCGACCAGTGACGCCTACCACCTTGCCAAACAACCGCGGATCACCACTCCCGCTGACCGGCTCGCAACGTCTGGATCCCCCCGTTGGTGACGGCTCTGAGGACGCGGATGCCCCTGCTCTTAGTCGCCAATCCATAACCTCGCCTCCAGGCCGGACGTCACCTACCAGGCCGGTCTCACCCACCAAGGGAATGGGTGGGTTTGTGCAGAGCGCCATGATGAAGCGTTCTGACAGCGTCAAAAGGTGGAGCGTCAACTCTCCGGCTGGCTTGCAGCGAGTGGATTCTGCTAAGTCTAATGCTGTCGGTAGCTTGGACAACACGCAGCGCCCCTCCACCCCTCAAACCCGCGCACGTTCAAAAAGCATGCTCAGGGAGGGGCCGGAGACAGTTGTATCGTTGCCAGCTCCGAACGTAGACAATGAAGCCGAGGATGAGAAACCGGACATCGATGGTGGCTCGGTCGCGCCGGCAGAGGCGACAACGAAGGAGGAACAGGAAAAGACAACTCCACCAACAAGTCCGTCCAAAACAATGGATCCAAGGCGATGGAGCCCGACAAAGAATTCCAGCTGGCTGGAGGCCGCTCTGAACAAGCCTGAATCACCGAAAGCGAAGCCGACTTCGCCTGCGCCAGCCCAACCGGCATGGATGGTCGAACTGAATAAAGCAAAGGCGCAGAAGGCAAGTGCTGATCTCGCGCGGAGCGCTTCTCAACACAAGAAGCCTGAGATCAAGACTGGTGGGCTTATGAGGTCTACGCCTATGGGCGCGAGTCTCAAGCCAAGCGCTTTGAGCGGGCTTCCAGCTGTGCCGCCGGTATCAACAACAAACAAGCCGGCCATTGCCGAATTGCGCGGCAGTCTTAGAAGGGCCTCCCCAACGACCGAGGGTCCAAGCGAGAGCCCTGGAGATGCCGTAGCCGCGGCTAAGGATAAACTCGAGTCCCAGTCAAAGAAAGATTTCCGTGGAAACCTCAAACCCCGAGCTCCGCCTCCGGAACCGCAGTCATCGGAGCCCACCGATGAGCTGAAAAACGTCTTTGGGAGTTTGCGGAGGACAAAGACGCAGAACTACGTGGCTCCCGATGAACTCAAGGATAACATCCTCCGAGGCAAGGCGGCCCTGAATCTCACAGGTGGACCCAAGAAGACAGATCGGAAAGACGACTTCAAGGAAGCCATTCTCAAGAAGAAGGAAGAATTCCGGAAATCTCAACAAGAAGGCCGGGGCGTCTCAAGAGCGTTGAGTTCTGCAAGTGAAACGTCTATCCCTGAGGGGATCGCAAAGAAGCTGGAATTGCAGAGGACAGGGACATTCTCCAGGCAAACGCCAACTAGCCCTGAATTCCCCCTCCAGAGTCCCGTACTCAGCGTGTCAAACCGGTCCAGTCATATCTCTACAGGATCAAAGCACGATGTTCCCGCTCTCGGCTCAGGGGTCGCGTTGAAGGCTTCGTCCGAGCCGGCACTGTCGACCACGCTCCAGAAAACAACAGACGCTCCAGGCCGGATCCAAAGCCGAGTGGGAGGTTTAGCAGAACGCTTCAACCCCGCGTTGGCTGGTCTCATAGCGAGAGGCCCCCCATCAATCTCTGGTCCATCCAAAGGCCCAGGAGCATCAAGTGCTTCCGGGTCCAAGGCAGCGGAGAGTGGCGAGCCCGCAGGACCTGGCCCTCAACTGACCCATATGACGAAGAATCGAGCCCGTGGCCCTAGGAGGAAGGCTCCAACCTCCGTCGCTGCGCCAGTCGATGCGGCCAAGGAGCAGGCAGGGGAATCAGCCCCCGAACCAGAGAAGAAGCCAGTTATGTCACCTCTTGAGTCAACCCGGAAGCTGCCTTCTCCTCCCCAAAAGCCAGAGCCGTTTGGGCTTCCGAAGTCCGAGACCAGTTCGCTTGTCGGTTCGAGGAACTCATGGATCCGAGACAAGCCGAAGGCTGCTGTTGAGATGGTTTCTTCGGCCGACTCATCTACAGGCGTGTCCAAGGAGGAACCGAAATCAGTTGGCCAAGCCAACACTCCGCTCAAAACTCGACCACGCTCTCCAACCAAAGTCCATGAGCAGGTGGCAGCCCTGGCAGCCCTGAATCAGCAGCTGCCAAAGCCTGCTGAACCGAGGGGTGAGGCACCGCAGCCCGCTTCACCCAAGACCCGGCCGCGTTCTCCGACGAAAGTCCATGAACAGGTAGCAGCCCTGGCGGCCTTGAGCCAGCAGTCACCAAAACCTGCTGAACCGAGCGGTGAGGTATCGCAGCCTTCTTCGCCCAGGAAGCTCGACCTGAAGAGGATGTCCAAGTTTCTCGATGAACAAGCTCCACCCGACCCGAAGCCCGAGCCGGTCAAGTCCAAGCCTTCCTCGCCGGTCAAGGACCGTTTCCCTGCTCTTGCGTCCCCTCCCGTTGAGAAGCAACTGGGAAACGACGCCTCTGACTTGAAGCCTGCGCTTCCGATCAGGAGCGGCACGACATCATTCGGTGGAGTTGGCTTGGGGTTGACACAGCCGGCTCCGGCGCCGAAGTTGGCAGCCGAGAAGGGCATCGAAACTGAGCAACCACCGCCAGTGCCCGCTAAAGTGTCGAAGCCGCTTCCTGCACCTCCCGCTGCAACCTCTCCGCCTATGACGTCTCCCCGCATACCTTCCCCAGTGCGCTCACCTGGCAAACAGTCCTCAGATGTGTCAGGTCTCATCAATGAATTTTTCGGACCAGAGCGGCCGCGGCGGAAGTACGCGGCCGATGCCGCCGAGATCCTTATGAGGCGGCCGGTGTCCACCGACAAGATCCAGACGCAACGGGCACAGCTGATCCAGCTCACCGCCGACGGCAAGAGGATCCCTGTGCCCTCGCATTATGAGCGGGTGCTGTTTGAGCGCGAGATGTACATCTGCCCGCACACGTACATCGCCGTCACGGGGAGGAAGGTCAACGAAGTGTACTTCTGGGCTGGCGACGAGGTTCCCCAGTCAGAGGTGGACGATGCCCATCTCTTCGCCGCACGAGAGGCGAGGTCCTTTGGCGGGAAGCTCATCAAGTTGCTCCAAGGCAAAGAGACGTCCGAGTTCCTGCAGGCTCTCGGCGGTATTGTGATTATCCGGCGTGGATCGAGCAATAAATATGACTCGCTGGCGCCAAACATGCTCTGTGGTCGGCGGTACTTAGGACAGGTCGCCTTCGACGAGGTCGACTTCTCTCCTATGAGCTTGTGCTCCGGCTTCCCCTACCTCATTACCCAACAAGGCAAATGCTACCTCTGGAAGGGGAAGGGCAGCAACGTGGAAGAGCTGGGGTGTGCCCGGCTCGTGGGCATGGACCTTGCCCTGATGGGTGAGCTGCTCGAAGTGGAGGAGGGTAGTGAGCCGGACAGCTTCTGGGCTATCTTTGGCGGAATCACACGGCCAAGCTCGGCGGATCACTGGCGGCTGAAGCCGAATTACGACAAATACTGCGGGAGGCTGTTCTGCGCCAGCGCTGGCGACAAGGAGCAGGTATGCCTTTCTCTTGCTTTCCTCTGAGAGAGTTGGAGGAGTGTTACATACTAATGGGGCGGCAGATAACTGAAATATCGCCCTTCAGCCAAGCCGACCTCGTAACCTCCAATATCTACGTCCTCGACGCCTTCTTTGAGATGTACATCATTGTCGGCGCCCGCTCGCAGCACCAGTACGCCGCCTTCCGGAACGCGCTGGACTTCGCGCAAGAGTACGCCATACTGGCAGCGGGCATGGAGGACAGGCCGTTTGTGCCGATCTCCACGGTCGTGCTGGAGGGGATACCAAGGGATATGAAGAGCGTCTTCCGGAAATGGAGGGATGCGGCTAGCCCGACGGTCATGCACGTCTCCCCGCAGGCCGGGAATCCCAGTTCCGGTGCCGGTGCCGGTCCGCAGAGGCCAGGCGGGCTGAAGCGAGGAAGGAGTCTAAGAATTGTGCCGCTGACGCAGGCGCTGCAAGCGCTTTCGGAATAGACTACCACGCTGGGGGTGGAGGGTGGAGGACTCCTTTTTTCTCCTTTTTTCCTTTTTTCATTTTTTTTTTTTTTTGTGAGATAGTGTTTGGCTGCTTGTCCGCTCATCGTCGAGGCGCGTTGTACGGTGTTAGCATACTGGGCCATTGCATTGCATCGCGGTCGGTTACTGGTTGTTTTCCGGCGCCGGAGGCTCTTTGTTAAATGGTTGTTGGCATTGCCGTGTGAGGATTTGGGTGTTTGCAGCAGGCTGGAGTTGCAACGGAAAAATCAAAATCACTAATTCTTTGAGAGAGTCCTCTTGCGTAGCAGCGCGACAACACCTGGAGTTCAGCATGACCTGGCCTACTCAACTTGATGGCCAATGCCCACCGCTCCGGGATAGTCCACTTCCATCTTCAGCCTTCGATTTCCGGAAGGCAAGCAAGTAACCCGCTGGTGGACAATCCATATGATTCAGTATCAGGGTGGCACGTTCCGGACCAGACCCAACGCCCAAAATGCCAGCTATGCCTCCGGTATCAAATGTTTAGCCCAGCCCTTCCCAAAAACCTCCCAAACGCCGGTGAAACCCAATCACGCCCTCTGATTCAATCACTACTACCGTCCAACATTAGCGTCCCCATTTCCAACCTGTCCTTGTTGTCCTCCCCTTTCCTGACTCTGACCACGATCCCCATTCATCATCAGACCCTGAGCCTGCTGCTGCTGCTGCTGCTGCTCGTCGTCTGCCACACCGCCGCCGCCGGTGGCTTCACACACGCGTCGCACATCGTCAGAGAGTTCGGGCATCTGCCGCGCCAGCTCAGCCGCCAGGGTGTCGCGGAAGTCGCGGAAGGCGTGCATCTTGCCGCGCGCCAGCTGGTTCATGCGCCGCACCAGCTCGACGAACTCGCGCGTGTAGATGTCCGGGTTGCGCCCGTTCTCGACATAGCTGATCAGCGGCTCGGGGATGCCCTTGTTGGACTGCGGCGGGAGGAGGGTCGCGGCTTGGTGCACCTGGTAGAGTGATTGCGAGAGGGCGAGGCTAAGATAGGGTGTTAGGTTAGGTTAGGTTTTTAAAAGGTGTTGGAGAGAGAGAGAGGTGGATAGAGGGAAAAAAGGGGGTGGGTAAAGGGGTGTGGAAGAAGAGGTTATGGACTTACATATCTTGCGCGAGAGGCTCGCGGGATGAACGGCCGCCTGAGTCGTAGTTTGACACTTGGACGAGGATCTGGAAGAGGTCTTGGATTACGTTCTTGATGTCCTCTGCCCTGAGGTCAGCTCGGTCGCAAGATAGCGGACGGGCCGCGCAGACCTTGGGTGTTTTGCAGATCTGGCGTTATTGGCGCCATGATTTTCCCACTGTGAGGTTGTGGTGCCAACCAAGTCAGTGATATCAAAGAACACACCAGGTTAGAAGGCTGGAATGTTTCGAGGTCGGTTGCAGCGAGCTGGACAAGGCTGTGGTTGTGGAGGTCACTCGACCCCGGTCAAAGGAAATGACGCGGGACGATATCATTGGCGGCTAGGCCAGCTGTGGGGCAGCTAGCCGGGGCAGCAATGGCAGCCTTGCGAGCCTTGTAAGTTTCCCTGCTCAAGTACCTAACTCAACTCTCAACTGTCTCCAACCTCCACAAGCTGGCTTCCCGGAGGACTTAGTTTCCCCATTACCGGATATACAATCCCAATGTGTGTAGAGATGTGTTTTTATGTCACTATGAGGTTGTCCACGAACAACGAGCTGCACGGACGGAAGCCCGCCTGACCCTCCTGACCAACAATGCCGGACAAGGGCGGAGAAGGGATCTGCTGGTAAAGGGAACAGAAATATGAACACTAAGCTTTTGAATAATATACTGAGCTTGCGCAGTAGATATAAGCTACCAGACCTAGGTATGGGAGGGAAGCGCTGTGCTGGAAAGATGTTTCAGATAAGCTACACTACGCTGCAGTATCACACAGAAGACGAGTTGCTCTTGAAGAATGGCAATCTCAAATAAAAGAGCAATCCGCTACTAGAACGACATGACGAAACACCCGTTTTCTTAGACCAACAATGCGATGCCAGTAAAACAAAGAACTGACTGTTCTCCAGAGCCAACGCCAACCCTGCATTGCCATCCATTACCGGCCGAAGAACGCTTGTCAAAGCCACTATGACGCCTTGACCCACCAACCAAAGGGGCGAAACCGTACAATGCAAATACCAAACAGGAAGACCTAGACAACAAGCATCCATCTCAGACATCCAGGGAGTTTCAGACAAGGCCATGTCCAAGCTACAGACAGTGGAGTCACCCACGATGCCACGGAGTTGCCCCCAGCATGCCCCTTGCGAAGATCAACCAGTCGGTCCGTCAGCCATCCTTGCATATAGAACAGGCGAGGCGAGCCAGCGCTTAATGGTATAATGGCGAAGAATGAAGCGGGCGACCAGATAAGAAGCCGTTGTAGGTAAGACAGCCAAAGAGAGAGAAAAGATGGCGGAAGCCGAGACGATGTCATTATCATATGATGCCGCTGCGTTGTGTTGCCGCAAAGCCGAGATTCTCGGTCACCATATCTTCAAGCGGGTAGCCATTCTACTTCCGCATCTTCGGACGCGCAAGCATGTTCAGCCGGCTGAGGCTGATCCCCTTCTTCTTAGTGGGGCTCGGCGTACCCGGCGCCGTGCGGTTCTGGGCAGACAGCTTGCGGGGGCTGCTGCTCAGAGCGCGCTTAACACTCGCCGTTCCGACTAGACGCGGCGCTAGGAGGGCATCGCCCTCCGGAACCTCCTCCTGCTTGCGTTTCTTGGCCGCGCGCTCCGCCGCCTCCTGCTCGGCTTCCTCCTCGTCCGAGATGACGCGGTGGCGCTTCTTAGTAGACATGCCGTGAGGCAGCGCCAGAAAGACATCCCGTGGCGCCTCATTCTCCTTGTTGAGGCTCGAGCTGGAACTAGAAGCCGGCGTGGGGAAGCTGCCCGGCATGGTTTCGGCGGTCGGCAGGATCGAGGGGCGGACAACGCGCACGCTGGCCTGGCCAGGTGAAGAGCCGAAGGATTTAGTGGTGGCACTGCCAAAGCTGATAGTATGATCGCTGCGGAACGTGAAATCGCTGGGAACCGAGGACTCCACGGCGCCGGCTTTGAAGGACTTGACGGGAGGCTCGGGTAGGGGACGCTGCGCTGAAAGATCTGGATACGACACGTCGTTGCTGACACCCTCCGCAATCATGCCGTCGAGAGACGGGTAGTGCACCTCTCTCATTGGCTGGTTGCTCTTCGCCTGAAGCAAGCCGGACTTAACGGGGGAAGGTGAATTCTGGGTCAGAGCTGCACGCTTGGTTTCTGGTGTGAAGGAAACATGCTTCGCAAGCTTGCGACCTGGGGTCGTCATGGGGACAGGGAGACTAGTCTTTTCCGCGCACACCGGAGCCGGCGTCTTGGAACCAAAGGCTGAAGGCATTGGCAGAGCACTCTTGGTCTTGGACCCCGTTGCCTTGCCCCGGAGCATCGCTTTGACTCTATCAATTCGGCTCATAGGACTCTTGACTTCGGGCGCTTCCGTCGGCTCTTTCTCGGTAGCCGGGATCAAGGTTGGGAGCTGGCTCGTCGTGGAAGACCGAGGAATCCCGCTGAGCGTGGCTTTCGAGGGAGACCTAGCCAGCGAGGTTTGGGAGGGTGTCTTTACACTGGCTGCCCTGGCCAAAGACGACTTAGTCGGTGTCGAGAGGGATGCGAGGTTGGACTTGGACCGGGGGATGCGCAATCCAGCTGATCTAGGAGCCGGGATCGAGCTTCCGTCACGCGAGGAAGGGCGTTTGCTAGACGCGTCTTCATCAACGCGCTGCCGAGCGCGCTTGGCGGGAGCCACAGACTCCTCTCTCAGCTCGGTGACGGCAGAGGCCGGGGTTGGCTGTTTAGACTGAGATGTCTCGGGCTCGTCAAGGTTGGCCTTCGACTGACTCCGCTTGACACCTGCCTTGAGTGGCGTGGTCTTGCCTGGCTGGAACCTGAGTGCAGAAGGGTGGTTCTGGATCGAGTCCATTTTCTTGAACTCAGCCATGTGGGCGGCACTGAAGCGGCCTGCCTTTCCCTTCGCCCGAGCAATCTTGCGGCCGCCGACTTGCTCTTCCTCTTTCTTTTCTGCTTCATGTTGCGCTGCCACCTCGGGCTTGTACTTGACCGCGTCCTTGCGCACCTGCTCCATCAGCTGCTGGGCCTCGGCACTCAAACCGAGATCTGCGACGGGAGTCGGCTTTGGCCGATTGATACTGAAGGTGAAAGGCGACGAGGGCGGTCTAACGCGAGATGGAGTAGTGTGGGCTACGGGGGGAAGATTGTCGTCGAGGTTGGCAGTAGGCCTAATGTCGGTAAACCCCAGGCGTAGGGCAGATGAGGGAGGTCCCATAGTCGGGCGGACCTTGCTCGGATGCATCTCTGACATTGGCGGCTTAACGGGCGATGAGCCACCAGGAGTCTTGGGGTCCTGGACCGGAGAAGAAGCGGCGGGATTCGCGGCATTTGTGTTTTCATCGGGCGCGACCTCTTGGGTGTTATCGTCTTGCTCGGCCACAGGAGCTAAAGTAGGAGCTTCTTGAGGTTCTGTGGCCGGCTTTGATGCCTGTGTGCTTGTTAGCGTACCTTACAAACAGGCAATGCGGACGCGACCGGGCTGTCGCTGATAAATGTTTACTCCTGGGCGACGCCGATTGAATACCTTTGAGAGGCTCGCCAGACGCGCGGAACGGCGTGCCATGGTGTCTAGCGATTGCGACAAGCAAAATTATTCGTGTTGTAATTAGGACGGACGCGAAGTTACCTGAAGGATCAGGGGTTGGGAAAGCAATAAAGAATCGGTTGGGCGCGGAATGAAAAGCGCGATGGGCGTGGGGTGATGTTTGATTCGTTGGTGTTGGAAAAGTAAACAAATTGAAGTCAAAAATTGGTGACCGTGACGTAAACTCGCGACACAGTATAGTGAAGCCAGTGCGAGCACCTTCCACACTGTCTCCTCCGTTTCACCTTGCGAAGTTGGGATACGTTTGAACCTCAAAAAGACAAGAAAGCATTTTTTCAGCTTCTTACCCTAAACAAACGTGACATTAGAGAGAATAGAGACCTCCTTCACTTGATGGCTTGCTGTGTATACCGCAACCTGCCGCGTATCGGGCGGGTTTATCCACGTTAAAGACATGTCGAGAGATCTGCCCGTGTGATGATCCAGAAACCATCATTTCTATGAAGTTGATACAACACCAAACATGCAAGTTGATCTGGTTGTCATGCTTGTGACAGCGAAAAGCCCACCCTAGGCCAGAGAGGCTCCGTCTCCGTTAAGCATAGGAGGGGTGTCGCACTGACACAGGCGTGTCGAGATGAGGCTGTTTTGCGCCTTTACGCCGGGTTGATGCATCGAAGATGTCTAGGTGATTAGATCGTAACGTGCCGAGCGGTGCTGCTCCATTGCTGTATATTTAACTGCAGTTTAACGTCAGGCGCAATTACTTTGAGCCAGTCATCTACACAGTGATATACTTGTGTAACCGTGATACCTTATATCGGTAGCATTGAGTTAAGTTAGGTACTTTTCATGTCATGGGTACTCCTATGCAGGATGGAGTCATCAACATCAATCCTCGGATATGCTTTATGGTTTGAGCATGGGCTCAGTGTGCTAGGTGATTGATCGCTCCGCGTAGTAAGCCATGGGAACTCATTAAGACGAATACATAAATAGTGTCGTAGTCAACCCGCAGTCAGACACGCTGCGATTATTCGACATCACACGGATATTCTGCGGACGTTGCGTGTCATGATGGCTCCCGTCCAGGCTCGGTGGAGAGAGAACCCGAAGTGATCGGCCGGCGATTGCCGCCTCTGAGCTGGCCCCACCCGGGCTGGCGACTGCGGGGAAGTATTCGGGCGTGGCGGGGCGATGGTGAACCAACAACTTGAACAGAACAACAACGATCGACAGGTTCGGGGCGGCCTGCTGAAAGTGGTACAAACTAGGCGACGCAGCGCAGTCCGGAGTTGGACGTCGTCAGCTACTGAATCGCCATTCTAGGTAAAATGGTCCTGTGCAATACGTTATTGGTCGGTCACTCCGCGGCATCTGTAAGTCACTGCCCCAGATGGACAGCAGAGCAGCACTGGAAATATTTTGTAGACTCCGTCATACAAAACCGCTCACATCGATTGCTTTGGCGCTTAATACTGTGATGCTGAAATAGGCACTCCGTAATTCTATACGTATGTAGGCTTTCATCTTCTCAACTGTTCGACCTTATGATGCTCGTATTCCAATTTCGCGGTTAAAAGCGGGGGGAGCTTCAATTGCCAAGCCCGGAGATGTTGAATCTTCAGTGGTCACCTGAGCGAGTATCCAATGTGATGCAGGGGCACAGAGATGCAGAGTTCTGTCCCGGTTGCTGTGAGAGGGCTGGTGCTTCCCTCTCCACCCTGAATGGCATGCTAACGTTATCCTTTCGGGATACCGAAGTCGGGCAGTGGTTTGCGACCGGGATATGCCGAGAACGAGAACTCCAATGTGTAAACGAGGAGAGTGGACTGTCAAGTGCGGAAACACCCATATACCGTACAGCGAAGGCCACAACCAGATCACAGCGTTACAATTATCTGCAGCTCTGAGCCATAGATTTCACACCCGGGCGGGCGCTCTGTCATCGGAGGAAGCCGGACGCATATATGCTTCGATTCTTCGCACCTCCTTCCGATCATTAACCGGCAGAGCTTCCACCTCGAGTTGACGGCCCGGTGCAAGCAAATATATGACGCTTATTGCGGTTATCCTATGTCGGTATCAGTAATTTATAGGTGTTTCTGTTACTCGTTCCTACACAGTAGGTTGTCAGAGCTAGGATGCATAACGTTATAGGTTGATCAGCCGGACGGCTAAGACAACTCTAATAAAAGGGCCAGCAGCACTTCGCCAATCTGATAGTTATATACCTACTGCCTTGCCGACACCAGTAGAGGTTGGACAACACTGCCGTTAACCGCTGGCCTGCCGCGCCAGATTTGCGATGCATCCTCTGACAATGAAGATTCTCTGTCTCCTTCCCAACGATTGCTGTCTCGCTCCCACGGGTACGGAGTACTCTTGGGAAGTCGATCCTGGTCGTCCCCAAACTTGGCTGTGGCCAGTGCTTGACATCCGGTTCTTGGCCGTCCGGCACTAACATGCAGGGCCAACGTCGTGATGGGGTTCACCCGCTTCTGGCCGTCAGGGGCAATGCCGGGGCAGTCCCGACCTTCACCGACGTGCACTCCTGTCCACCAACATTAATTCAAGAGTCTAGATCCCATGGTCAAGCAATCGCGAGTCGCGGTGAACAGGTGGGAAGCTTTCCCGCTTTGGTCTTTCGGTGTGCCGGAGCTCAAGTGTGATACCTGGCATCGTCCAAAAAATCGCTGGAGCTTCCATTCGAGCTGTCCACACTGCACAACTTAAACCTGGCTACATGTAGGTACTTGCACAGTACGGATCCCTACAATACATAGCGACCTCAGTTTAGTTGGGCTGGTTTCCAGACTTGTCAGTGTGACATCCCCAGCAGACGTTGCAACATGAGGTCCCGGCCAAATCTTCAAGCTCGTCCACGGGGTCCTACTATATAAGTAAACGCTGTTTCGAGCAGAGCTTCGAGTCGATAGGTCCAACATTGGGTATCCAGCAGAGAGCTAAAAGTGAGCGGTCCGGTTTCTCATTGGTCAGCTTCTCGGAATCGAAGTTTTGAGGCATGTTTGTCCAGTTGAACAGAGCAGGAAGGAACTTCCGAGGAGCTCGCGTGGACTCATAGAGCCTGAGGTGTGTTCATCGAGCCTCCAACGGCAACTGAACGGTCAATCCGTGGTTTGGCCTCTCTCTGGTTAGAAACATCAGTGCAGATTCCTTCTTTCTTTTTATTTTACCTTAGCGTAAGCCCTAAACATCATGATATGCACCACGAGGTCGTAGTTTCAGCTTACAGGGCTTTCGAGCACTCTGCGATATCTGTTCAAGAAAACTCGGAGCTGGTAGAGTTCCGACAGCACTGGTCCCTTGAACGAGCATGATGATGACCGCGGAGTTGGTCCAGAGAGAGAGTTGGCACATGGGTCTGAAGCCAAGCCAAGTGCAGTTTTTTGTGCGCGAGCTGGCCCATCTTGAGCCAACGAGCTAGAACCACCGAAGCCGGCCCTCCCGCGAAGCGGGACCACACACCTTGACCGGGCCAGTCAAGGTGCCCAAGGGTATCGATTCGATTTGCGAATCTGCAGGTCGACTGAACCGGCATCACCGTTCGTTCGCTCGGCACCGCAGGTGGGCATTTTCTGAACGGCAGGTCATCTGTCTAGGTAGGATAGGCTGGATGGGGTGGATACTGGGCATCGGCTGATGGACCGGCAGGGACGAGCACGAGTCGGAAGTTGTGAACCGCAAGTCGGACGTGCTGCCGAACAAGATCGCATGGCTCCTTAAAAGCCACCGACAAAACCACGATTCGCACGGATGAGACCCGGATTTTAAATCCTTCGGTTCTGGACCGTCCAGCTGGGAGACGCAAAGAGCGGGAAGCGCAACGTGTTGAGCGAGGATCTGGCCCGAGGAGAAGAAGAGTCCAGGTGACCTGGTTCAGCCCAGCATCGGAGCCGGGGATTAGGTTCGGTGGCTGCACCTGGCTATTTGTTCCTTTGACCCTGGGCAGTCAGCGGGCCCCTCCCACACTAGGCCGACATTGCATTACATAAAACCCTCCGTTTTTCTCTTTTCTTGACACATTCTCGACCTGTCATCGACCTTCTGCTTATCTCTGGCCTTCCAGCGTCGCCCTCGACAATCTGATTTTGACACACAAAATCCGGGGAACCGCCTCGATCTTAGCCTTGCCTTATCGCCGGGACGGATCACAGACCCGGTCCAGCCTGCCGGATCCCGCGAACGCAAACACTCCTTCAGGTGGCGCACTGATTGGTGCTTTCCACCCTGGATCCGACGTTCAGATAACCTAATTCCGGACCGGTGCGTTTGTTTCGGATATTTTCTTGCGTTGCGTGGGCGACAGCAAGTCAGCTTCTGCCGTCGACCCATTGCACCCGAACGGTGGTTCAGGTGGTTGCAGCGCTCGACATCTCGCATCGCACCACTGCTGTTGCCCCGCTTACAGGGCCGACGCCCGCTAGTGTCAAGGTGGCACAGGGTAGTGGTAGCCGCTAGGTAGCTGGTGGCATCACAACTTCGGCCTTTGGTGGTGGTGGGAAAGCCTTGGAAAGGGTCCCCTTAGCAGGAGGACCAGAAGCTCTCACTCCGTTTCTTCGGACAGTCAGAGATATGTCCGATAAGATGTCGGTCGACAAGAAAGACCCGTCCAAAGATGATAGCGAAGATTCAATGGAGTCAAGCCCGGAAGGAGAGGCCCCCCCTGCGCCTCCGCAGCAACCGGCTGAAAATCAACAACCGAAGCGAAAAGGGGGTCGCAAACCGGTACGTTTATAGTGTCGCGGCCCGATTCTTCGTCTTACCCTTTCCTACCTGGGCATGCTCCCAACGCCTTTCATCTCATCCTATGGTCATCTTGAGTGCACATGTCTGAGCTGTTGCTTGCGCGCATGTGCTAATGCAACCGGTAGATCTATGCCACATCTGAGGAGAGGAAGCAGAGAAACCGCCAGGCCCAGGCGGCTTTCCGAGAGCGTCGGACCGAGTACATCAAGCAGCTCGAAGAGGCAATCCGAACTCACGAACAGAATCTGGCCAACCTGCAGGCCGCTCATCGTCATGCCGCTGATGAATGTTTGATGCTGCGTTACAAGAACTCGTTGCTGGAACGCATTCTCTTGGAGAAGGGCATCGATGTGCAAGCCGAACTTCGTGCAAAGACCGGCAGCCCAAATCTTGGCCCGACTCATGTACCCCAAAACTTGGTGCAACCACCGCCGATCCAGCGGGCCATCTTGAACAGACATCACGCCCGCAGGTCGCAATCTGGCATTGCGCCGAAACTGGAACCGGGCATTCCCGTGTCCCCGTTACCGCCTCCGATCCAGCCAAACCCCTCGGCCTTGTCACCCAGGCACCGGCAGACGCCTTCATCTCACTCCGGCTCGCCCGCGGGGACGACCTCCTTCGGCTCCCAGCATGGCGCGTCTCCTGCTGCATCTGACCAGATGAATCCCCCCGTTCGGCCGTCAATGCCGCCTGTGACCGCGATGAAGGCACCTCCACCTCACCTCGCACCGCTCCATGGTCTGCCCGGTATCCGACAAATGCAGGTACCTGGTCTCCACCATGGGCCAAGCCATATGAGAGGGGGCGTTTCCGGGGGGACTCAGTTCTACCCTACGCCCTCCTTCCAGAATCACATTGAGCAGCTCGGCAAGTTGGCCCGTTCCATTTCTTTTCCCCATTGCATATTCAATAGAGCTTTGTCGTCCTAGGTTTTAATGCGTTAGCTACAGAACAGGAATACGATGCTGCCGCCGATATGATGGAGGACCCGGGCGACACCCCAGATACGCCAAGCGGGCCCGGCCCCTATCCCGGACCATCCTACGCGGGGGAACCACAGCCGATGTCACTGGCATCCCCGGTTTCGACAGGCCCGCCTGCCGGCCATACCATCGCCGGGCAGTCACCGATCGACCATGGCGCCAACAGCCAGCAGCCCACTTATCCATCGATGACGCAGCTGCTAGACCCCAGCTATGACTTCGATCCCTTCGGGTTAAGCGCAAGCATGGCCTTCCCGACCCAATTCTCGTTTGACACCAGCAACATGCGCTAAGCCAGTCCGATCGAGTCGTGGCTGAGGGAGCAAGGAATGAGGAGCGCCGGCACGGCTGGCAGTAGTTCGTTTTGCGGCCGACGATCCGCATCGATTCACGGAGACCGTGGATCCCAAATCTTGCTTCATAGGATGGGCTACGAAGACCAGCAGTTGAAGGGGCCTGAGGTGAGGAAGGTCCAAAAGGGTAGAAGAAGATCAACGAAAAATTCGGCACGATTTACACCCGCGCCTCACGACACCGGCTTAGAGAACGGTTAAAAGTCTTTTTCAGATACCCCAGAGGAATTTTGCATTGCGCAGCGAAAAACGGGTTTGCGAAAGACTGATCCCCATCTCTGCTCAGTTTCGGCGGCGGAAAGACTTGAGTTGTCGCCTCGCAACACGCTTGGTTTCCTTTCACCACAATACGTCCACGGATTCAAGGGGGACAAAGAACAAAATAATACCCACAAGGGAGAGTGGCGTACATTTGGGCTGGCATCGTGTGTAAAAAAATTTTCGGCGTTGCATTGTTACGGCCCAACAAAAGTTTTGCTCTTCATGCTCTGGGAGATAGGACGAGGAGGACGAGGACGCACGGCACAATAGCGGACAAGGACGAGGACGACCCTAAGGTCACGATTCCGATGGCTTCTAAACAACAACGGCATGCCAGCGGACACCGTTACGGTCGTCTATTCTCGTCTCCTCCCGCAATTTCTATTATCACTGTACTGGCTTGATGACGAGCGGAATCAGCCCTTGACTCCGTGGCCGGGTTGGTTGGGGAGGAAAGGGAGACAACACCCCGTGCCGTCGTCCGTCTCGGCCTCTAAATTCAAGTCACTTGACACCTCCCTTTCCGTCTGCATTTTTATCACTTCATGGGATGGTGTTCTCTTGTGTTCTGTGAACACTATATGGAAGACACCCAAAACTCCCCTTTTTCATTGCTCCTCTTGAAAGGGACGGCGGGTACATGGGTGGCAACGGAAAGCTGCGAAATTGATATTGTATGTATTCAATCATCCGTTTATCCTCCGGACGCGGCGGCGGGGTACATGGTAGGTTTCCCACTACCTGCATAGCTGCTTTGTATTACATTCCCTCCCCATCTACCTGTCGTTTCCTTTTGATTTGGATTTGGTAGTATGAGGGAATTGGTTACGCCCTTCACATAAGATTTGACAGAATACAGATATAGCTTGTTTCAATAGTGGCTGTGGAACCGAGTGTAGCCGTCATCGAAAGGCTTTGCTGTGTTGTCGAAGGTGTGTCTCTAACTTCATCAGCGGGAGCAAGGCACGACTGATGCGTCATATGAAGTAATCTTGTAGTGCTGGCAGTGGCAATAGCGATGGCATTAGTCATGATGCGCGGGTCTTCGCTGAGAAGAGGTGTGGCAATTGTTTTCACGTAGGAGAGTATGGCGGCTCCAGGAACTTCATGACATCGTGGATGCGGCTCTCGTTGAATTGCGCGATGACACTATCGTCGGGTAACAAACAACAACCTAGAAAGCCCTAATAACAAACCTTAGCTACCCCGCGCACTGAATTTTGAAAATGGCAACCGAGTCTTCAAATTGTCCAAGTGATGTTCTCCGGAGTGGGTCCACAAATGCCAGTGCGCAAGTGCTTCGCTATGGCCACACCATGGGTGAGAAAGAGCTCTTGTAATTGTCTTGTATGGTCGAGACTGACTGAACAATGTGAGCGTCGAGCAGACATGGTCTTCATTCTGGCACCTACTGGCATTCTGTTAAGGCATTACTGCTGATATTCTTGGACTTCAGCTGCAGATATAATATTGGACTCGGTCAAGGAAGAAGTGCAAGGAGGAAGAAGTGCAAGGCAACCGTGACGCCTACAATAATGTTAATGATGTAATGGATGAGGAAAGGTGATCTAATCATACGGTAGGGTGGCGCTAAGAGGAAAAATGGCTGCATATTTGAGCTCAAGCCACCACCGTACTTGCCGTGCAAGCCAAAGCCCCTCCAATTCTTTTCCAGTTGCTTACCTTACCCCAGCGCAAGAAAATTCCGTCGTGGACCCCGGCAAGTTTGCAACAAACAAGCCCACCGAACCAGGGCTCGTCCGCGACGTACATCGCTTCACCCACCATCCCATTTCGATTTCTTCACCTAGGAGTGTGGTAACATCAACTTAACGCCTTGAAAGGCGACAACCGCAGCGGCAAGATGTCTGTCGCTCATCAGGTGCGTTTTGACTTATGTACTGGAGCATAAGAGCTCGCCGCTCCACCTTTCCATCCACACTTCATCGTAGGAATGTGTATCCTGCGAACTATCGCGCAATTATCGCGGGCTGGGAAGCGTGAAAAGATGCGGCTCCACGACTTCTTTAGATGAGAGACTGACTTGCCGGATTGCTTACAGAACATTTTCGACGTCCTCGGTTGGTCTTCCTGAGGCTCGATAGACGATCCTTTGCCCCCGCCGACGGGATGAGACTAACAAACTAACTTTAGGCAATGACGAGGAGTATCCCCCAACTCCCGCCGCGCCCGTGAAGACGGTCGAAAAGACATCAACGCACACGACGAAGCGCAACACCGATGGCCTGGCTCCTTCTAAGGCCCCTACCGCGACCGGCAACCGTCGGGGTGCCGCCGTAGGCGGCAACGAAGCTGGTGCGCAATCCCCCGGGTGTCATGGCGTTAAGCTGGAATGCTCGTACTAACTGCTATAAAGCTTATCGCGATCGTAACGCCGGGCGCGAATCGAACCGTGCCAAGCCCGCGAGACCCAACGACGAAGCCCCTCGTGGTGGACGCCGTGGTGGCTACCGTGGTAGGTGGTTGGCCGTGGAGTGTCCGACATAGGGTGCAGTATAGCTAACTATGCACCCTGCAGGCCGCGGTGAAGGGCGTGTGGGCGGTGATCGTCACCCCACCAGGAGTGCTCCTCAGTAAGCTCTATCATGAGATCGCGCTGTCCATGGATTGTTATTAACATCCTCCCTAGCAGCAACTCCGATAAGCAGGCTGCCCAAGGATGGGGCGCCGAGGAGGGACAGGCCGAGCTCAAAGATGAGCAGGCTGGCGAAGAGATCGCCCAAACCGAGCAGAAAGAGGCCGAGGCGGCTGGCGAGGCTGTCGCGGAAGAGCCAGAGGAGAAGCACATCACGCTTGACCAGTACCTGGCTCAACAAGCCGAGAAGAAGCTGGCCTTGGAAGCCGAGGCCGCATTGAAGGTCCGCAAGCCCAACGAGGGCGTGAAGGACGACAAGTGGAAGGGCTTCGCTCCCCTCACCAAGAAGGAGGAGGAGGAGGAACTCTTCGCTGCCCGCGAGGGCAAGGCCAAGCGTGAGCGCGAGCGCAAGCAAAAGCAGCTCCTAGATGTCGACATTACTAGGTATGCTGCTGAGCCCGAGCGCACCCGCGGCGGTCGCGGTGGTCGTGGCGGCGCCCGTGGCGACGCTGGCCGTGGCCGTGGCCGCGGTGCCCCTCGTGGCGCTCCTCGCGGTGCCCCTCGCGGTGACTTCCGCGGTGACTTTCGGGGTGGACGCGGTCGCGGTCAAGAGAACGCGCCGCTGAACCCCAACGACGAGGCGGCTTTCCCCAGCCTCGGTGGCAACTGAGCGCCCCCGCGCGCCATGCAGGGCACTCTTCACGAGCTACTAGACTGAGAGTTGTGGAGTGTGCCAGGCCAAGAGGCAAGAGGATTAGCGACGATGGACTCGGGCGGATGGGACAACCGGCATTTATGATTGGGCCGTGGACAAAAAACGGGACAACTTGATGCCCACAGACCTTTCCGCGTACGAAAAGGTCCATCGCCAACTCTACTAAAACGAAGGAAAAGGTTCCTTCTCGTTACTGCAAAAAAAATGGTTTTGTCTGACATTTACCTGGTTCATGTGTGGTTCCGGAAAATGGCTGGCTGCTTGGGAGTACAACGGGTATCCGGCAGCTTCCATGGTGACCGTCTTCTCTGACATCTCTGTACGGACGGGCATAGTCGGTCGAATTAAGATGTTTATCTCTGCCGTCTACATTCCATGTCCGTTGAATGTGGTGTTGTATGTACCCCGGGAGGGCACCGAGACGCTCATCTTTCAATCTTTCCTGAGCATGTAGGTGTAACATGTAAGTACTCTGGGAAGACTTATCAGTCCACATTACCCCGTCGGCCACCTCGAGTTGTAACCATCTTGATGCCCAGTTACTATGACTTGCCCGCCTACCTAAGCAAAAGTTCGCTGACCATCCTATGTCAGTGACAGCGAAGACAATGAAGGATTATAATGATTACGGACTTGCCCACCTGAATGATAGATTCGGGAATTCTGACTAGGAATGCAGCTACTGGTAGTTGGCTCTGTACCCCGGGACCGGCATCCAGTATCTGGTTCACAACATAAACCGACCATACTCATGAATTGCATTTGGGATTCTGTCTCAATGCGCATCTAGTTCCGAAAGGCTCTTGGCCTGATGTTCGTTCTTACACATACATAACCCCTATGGCCATTTGTTGCAGCCCAGGCCTCATCTCCTCTTCGCAGCTCGCCCAATATCGATCCCAATACTTGCGAGCAGCAACAACCCATTAAAAATAGCCATCAAATAGAACGGCGCGCCTAAAGACCACGAATCAAACAGATAACCTCCCAGTTTCGTCAGTAGCAGGATCGCAGCACCCCCACACCACGAATAGACGCCAGCAACCGACCCCTTCAGCCGGACTCTCGATACAGTATCCTCTGGCAAATCGGCCGGGTTCTCCAACAAGGGCGCGGTCTCATTCTCACCATCGGCCGTCTCAATCAGCGTCTCCTGGTCGCCATCAAGGGTGGTCAGCACATTCACAATGTCAACCTTCAGCACACCCCGGCCCAGGGAACCCAGACTGCAGACGATGGCGCCGATCTGGCTGATCCCGATCAGCGCAGCGAGGAAGAACACAACCGGACTTCCTCCGCGACCTTCCACATCCTTGTACTCTGGGCTCGAAAGCTGCGGGAAGGCGAGATAGCCCGCAATCCCAAAGACCGTGGACACCACGATCGGCCAGTTCACCCTGCCCGTCCGGCTTGAGAGGTAGCCAAACAGGGGCGCACAGACGAGCCCGAAGACCTGGGCCACGCCGGTCAGGATGGAGGCCAGAACGTAGGCCTGGCGACACTCCTTCTTGAGCTCGGGGGATGGATCGTTGGGGGAGCCCTGGCAGAAACCGTTGCGGATGAAGAAGGCATTGACGAAGAGTGGGAGAAAGAGCGAGATGGCGACGGTCGAGGCGCGCGCGACGAAGCCGCCCAGGTAGCCTAGGGCGATTTCCGAGTCGGTGAAGCCTAGGGTGATCGAGTCTTTCAGGAGGTGCCAATAGGGGAGGACCTTCTGTGGCGCGGGACCATTGTCAGTTCTCGGTTATGCATGCTGGGAGTGAGGGAGCTTGTTCTTACGTTTCTGGGAGCGAGTGGCGCCTCGGAACCTGCACCCTCTGGGGTTGAGCCTCGCAGACCGAGAAGCGCCCGCCATCCTTTCCCTTCCTCTCCCCTGAGACCGCGTAACCCGAAGAAGACGAAGATTGCGACCAGGAATGAGATCAGTCCAACGACGTAGAAGCTGTATTTCACTGCGTCGGCTTGGGTGAGACCTTCGATAGTGCTGAAACGGGCCGGCAGCGGAAGGAACAGCCCAAGCGCAACAAGGGCGCCGCAGCCTGTGAACAGACCGACATAGCCAGCCAGCGCCGACGGCTTCCCCGTGTTTCCCGAGCCCGTGGCTGGTTCGCCCCCAAGTTGCGGGGAGTAGCTGGCCTCGTGTTGGAAGCACTCAGGGGTGATAGTCGCCTCGGAGTCGACAGAGAGGGCGACACTGGGCCTGCCACTTGGTGATGATGGCTTGCGTGTACTCTCGGCTGCACCGGTCTCGTCCGTTAGGGATGGAAGAATGGCAGTCACCATAGTGGCCCTGAGAGGATATGCAGACTCATCAGTACACCATGTCCTGTCCGCTGCCATCCCGGAATTTGTTTGCCTTCCTTCACGGGCGGAGGGACACTTACGCAGCTGTAGCGCCAACCGCGAAGAAGGTTCTGGCGAGCAGCAACTGCGGATAGACATTGCGCGCCTGAACAAAGAGGAACAGTGCTAGGCCAATAACTGCGTATCCGGTGACGGCCACAGCGCGGACGCCGCTGCGGTCCGAGACGAGGCCCCATATGGGACACGCAACGAGGGCTACTACTTCGTCGACAAAGCCAAGCGTCCCCACGATATCGCCCACACCATGCTTGATGCCAATCAGGTCTGTGATCACGAACGAGACACTGCTGTTGAGAAAGACAAGGAACGAAATGCTGAACAGGGAGATCCCCAGCAGATACGTCAGCGCCTGGAGCGGTGTTGTCGATTCCGAGAAGGGCAGCCGCCGTAGCAGCCTCTGGCTAAACGGCATTGCGAGCAAAGGACTTGAACCAGCGGTGTTCTTGACAGAATTGGATCAGTATCGCTGTGATACTGTTTACATGGCGCCGCGCACACGTTCTGTGGAACTTCCCGATATCCTGGCATCTAGATAACCTGGAAGTTCTCCTGTCGGATCATGTCGCTGTGATCTTGTTCCCTTTACGTATGCCCAGCTCCGGCTGTAAGCGGGGCAACCCGACAGCGCCGGAACCCCCTGTCGACCCATCACAGGCAGGAACGCCCTGCCCCGCGATCCGCTATCAAAAACCCCTAGCCCCACCGACGTCGGAGTCAATTTCAAGCCGCTATCGACGGCGACTTTTCACCGCCCTCCCTCGTTTCCTGCACAATATCAGGGTGGTTGTAATTGCAGGAGACGGGCGGCTAGAACCGGCTAATTCGGGAAAGGCGACAAAAAGGGCATTATCTTCGCAACTTCAACCCGGAGTTGGGCGCTGCTATAACTTCTTCCGTCGTCCAGACTGCGGGAGATTGCGAAGGCCTGTCGCAAACATGTCGGCTTCCCTCCCAGGCGGCCGGGCCCTTCCCGAATCCCAGTACGACCTCAGTACATACTGGGGCCGGGTCAGGCATACCGTTGGGATCACAGACCCGAGGTGAGAACGTTCAATGGGCGCGGGAAGAGGGTGGATGCGCTCTGCTCGGTACGCGGTCACTACGTAAACGCCGCTGTCCCTCGGGCTTCTCTGGAGCATGAACTTGGGAGCCCATGAGCCTACTTGATGTATGAACAAGGGCTGACCACCTCGTCCACTTTGCAGGACTCTGTTCGTCGGCCGCACCGGGCTCGAGCAAGCCAAGAATGCCCTGATCGCATACAAGACGGGCCAAATAAAGGAGATGACGCCTGAGCTATGGAGGGCCAAGAAGATCGTCGACTCAACGCTGCACCCGGATACCGGCGAGCCCGTGTTCTTGCCCTTCCGCATGTCCTGCTTCGTGCTGTCCAACCTGGTCGTCACGGCAGGCATGCTGACCCCCGGTCTCGGTGTACGTTGTTTCTGCTCCCCTTCCCCGGCCCAGCAGGCTAACACGTCCCTCTCCCCCACAGAACCGTGGGACAATAGCCTGGCAAGTTGCCAACCAGTCGCTGAACGTTGCGATCAACTACTCCAACTCGAACAAGTCCTCTCCGCTCTCGTGGTCCAAGATCGCCCAGTCCTACTTCCTCGCCGTTACCGCGTCCTGCTCCGTAGCCGTCGGGCTAAACAGCCTCGTCCCACGCCTCAAGAGCCTCACCCCCTCCACGCGACTCATCCTAGGCCGCCTGGTCCCCTTTGCCGCCGTCGCCAGCGCGGGTGCCTTGAACGTCTTCCTCATGCGCGGCGAGGAAATGCGCACGGGGATCGACGTCTTCCCGGTCGTGTCCAAGACGAAGGCCGCCGCCAGGTCAGAGGGCGTCGCCAGCCCAAGCCCAAGCGCCGTTGCTTCTCCACCTGCAGAAAAGTCGGGTGCCGAGCAGCAGAGCGAGGGGACGGCAACGGAGAGTCTGGGCAAGAGCAAGAAGGCCGCCACCATCGCCGTCGCCGAGACCGCCGCCAGCCGCGTGTTCAACAGCTCGCCCATCATGGTGATCCCGCCCCTGGTCCTGGTGCGGTTGCAGAGGACGGAGTGGCTCAAGAGGAACCCGCGCTACACGACCCCTGTCAACCTGGGCCTTATTCTGCTGACCAGCTATGTTGCGTTGCCGCTGGCGCTGGCTGCGTTCCCGCAGAGACAGAAGATCCGCGCGGAAAGTCTGGAGGAGGAGTTCCATGGACGGGGTGGAGAGGCAGGTCTGGTTGAGTTCAATAGGGGTATTTAGAAGGTGGGACACGGTGCACATATCGGTGGGATCTGTTCTAGGCGTTGGGGCACTACTGCGGCGAGATTCAAGACGTTAAATATCGGGTACGAATATTTGGCCCGGTTAGCGGCTAATGCGTAAGGCAGCCTGGGTAGAGCTTGCTGCATAGCATAGCTTGAGGATTCAGGGGAAAGGCGAATGGGAATAGAAGGCCTGGAGTTGCTAAAGTGGGATCGATTCGAGCCAAAACTACTGTTCCCAGAGATCTAAGCAGCTGCGTCTGTGAGAAAGTGGTTTCGTAAGCGCCGCGACCCGTGGTTATTGCTTCAACAGCAACAGATATATAACGCATATCCTATCTTAAGGTAGGTAGTCAGTGAGCAACAGATCGAGGTTCCGCGTCTCGCGCATATCATTTCAGTAGCTGAAGAGACACTTTCTGAGCGGTAATCCTCCCTTGAAACCGGGACCCGGCAATATTTATTTCGAGTCAGTGCTGCCAGGGCTGAGTCGGGGCTGGAAACAATCGGTACGGTTGTTTCACGCATCTAAAAGGGGGTCCGCGCTGCGGTACTCCGTCCGGCGATCCAAAGCAACCAGAGACAAAGCTAAAATAGGTAAAACAGAACAGGAATCCCTTAAAAAAAAGGCTGCTTATTCCCTCAAGAGAAACGGAGTATTACATCATTTCGCTTCCAGCGGGACTCAATGCGCCGCGCAAGAAGCACGAACGCATCATACATCCCACTGCCAACCCCTATTACGCCAATCGCGCGGAGGGGACGCTGTTGTCAACAAAGGGTCTCCCCTCCGGCTGCCTGATGCTCGGAGAACGTCAGCCGGTTATACGTAAGGTACTTCCCAATTGCCTTCCTAGGCCGTGTTACGATAATCAGTGCGGGAGCGACGGACTGTTCCATCAATGACCCGCAATGAGCGAGACGGGCGGGACGCAGATGAAGTCACTGCCCACCCAAACCGATGCTTATCTCCATTCCAGTGCTCCGTAGGGAGTTGAATGTCAGGCAGAATTCACATACTATAAGCAGTTCTTGCATCATTGATGAAGGAAGGGGCTCCAGTGCCTGGGCTTCGTGGTGGGCCAAGGCAGGCTCAACCGTCAACACTACCAGGTAAAAAAATGGAGAGCATCAGGCCAAGGCACGGCCCATTCCAAGGGGAACCGGTTACCTATATACTAGTAGTTAATAGTGAGGGCTGAGCCATTGCGACGCCTCCATTCGCTCAGCGCGAGTTAGGTTTCTTTCCACCTGGGGAGAGCGATTGGTTGAAGTCGATCGCATTCGCAGCGCCCGAGTCGTGGATCCCACAGCCCTTTCCACAGCCCGCGGACGAAAAAACCTCACATCATGCCCTGGGTTGCGGGCAGGGAAATAGAATACCGCTATACGTAATATATACTATATGGAACGGCAATGCGTTTCTATTTTCTATTTACATCTCGCATCGCCTCATGTCTGATCTTCTGCGTTATTATTCCGATTACTTGTAGTGTACGGATGGTATCTTTCAAATCGGAAATTCGGTAACGATAACCAAGGGACCTAATAACAGAGGCAGCTGAAAGCCCGTATGAAATGACAAGGAACGTCCAGTAACATTGCGACAACCCTTATTAGTTATTTATTACTGCATTGCCAGGGCATCCTTTACGCAGGGCACCGTCGAAGGCAATGTTTGTTACCTACCATTGGATGTATTCAATAAACCCCGTAAGTTACTTCCGTAATCGGCAAGTGTCCCGGGACCGTCGAGTACAGCTCTGCCTCCCAGTAGGCAAGCATTTACAGCTGAGCAACGGGGTCATTACTTACTTCCATAGTATGCAAATGGTTAGAGATTCATCTTCGGCATCAAGTACGACCGCATGCTACCGACTGCTTTGTCGGCAAAACCACGCCACTTATCCAATCGGTATTGACGGGCTTGCCCCTCTGAGAGGGACCCCGATGTTGATCTGACGATGATACAGTATCGGTAATAGTAGTAACACTGTCACTTGGCCCTGGGCGAGACCCCGCACGGCAGCGAGGCTCGCAAGTAGTGTATCGTTGCCCTTGTCGTCCCAGTAAACTGATGGCAGACGAACCATGGATCACCCAACAGCGAGAGTGAACACCGGAAAGTCGGGACAATCACGATTCTCGCACTGTGGCCGGGAACCTGCCCCACACAACCTGAGGTTCGGTGCTGACTGCTTTCATCACGCAGGCGCAGCGACGGCTTCCTTGTTGACGGCTTCCCTTTTCGACTGGCCGCTTGAAGCCAACGTTCAATAGTGTTTTAATTTCCATCTGGCTGGAAGGTGCGATTGTCTAGATAGTGGTTCAATATCGAACATGAACTTTGACTGCCTTTGCTTGTTTTGAATTTCGTAGAGGGCTGAATTGAAGCGTGCACTTCCAGAGAAGTTGGCCCAAAGCAAACCTGAATTTTGGCTGCAACACTCGCGAGCGTCGGTCCTCGAGCGAAACACCCCAATCAAAGCAACCCTCGGCCACAGCGGAATTCTGGCTCCCTTTTCACAAGGGCTACCAGGCTCTGCCACCCACAACACAGCGTCGCAGAGTCGCAGACTGGGTCCGAAGCCACCCGACACACAGACCACTTGAAGGGTTCAGGATCGTTTCCCGCCTCCGTCCCTGGCGTGAGGACGCGGCGAACCTCCTTACAATCGTGACAATCTTCCTTCTCCATTTGACTCTGGATGGTGCCCCCCGTTGCGCACATTGTCAACGGTCCTTTGGATCAAATGTCAGCTTCGTCGTCAAGTTCTGGTTACAGCTGTAGCAGCGACTGAAGGCCACAGCCTCCGCGACAGGGCTCCCTTAATTGGGAGAAGACAGGATTCAATCGCCCCCAACGACCTGACGTTATTCACCAGTCAGATCCGCTGGCACCAAACGTGATCCAGCTACCACCTCCGCTTTTGCCGCGCCTCTGGCCCTCATCTTCGCCTTCACCATCTCGCGAAGTACTTTCTTCGCATTCACACGGATCCCAGTCGCGAACCAGCGAGAGCGGGACAATGTCGACGCCAACCACGGCCACAGCAACGCTGCCACACTATAGCGGCCACCGTTTCCGCTATCCACACCACCAGCACCAGCACCAGCAGCAGCCGTCGTATACCCAGCCGAATACTTCTTCGTACCGGCAGCCCAACCCTATACTCCCTCCGGTCTCTCGTCTGGCCTACCCATCGCCCGGCTACTCGTCTTCTGCGAGCCACGCATCGGCAAATGGAATAGCCGCGGTGCATTTGGACCATTCGAGACTTGCTCCGCAGGAAACTGACCAACTCTTCACCACAATGCCGCCCGCAAACCACCAGGTACAAGCCCAAGCACAGACGCAGCCTCCCCGCAAGAGGCGGCGGCCGGACTGGGACACATTCTACAAGAATGGCCTGCCCAAGGAAGTCATCGTCATTGAAGACACGCCCGAGCCAGAGCAGCTGAATGGCGCAAGCTCCTCGGCACAGCCGCTGAGCGGGCGTACACTCGTCGCCGGGGACAGCAGCGTCAATGGCTCGTCAATGAAGAAACGCAAACGAGACGATGATTTGACGCCGTTCGACCCCGTGCATCACAGTGCCATTGCCGCGTCCCACACACCAAGCAAATCTACAATAGCGAGCGATCGGACAAATTCGGCCATCCAAACAACGGCAGCGACATCCCTGGGCTCGCTGTCATCTAACGGCCAATACGAGTATGATACGCAACCTGGCCAGAAGCGGAAGAGAACGACCCGGCAGCAGATCGCCAACGAGACAAGGCGGCGAGAGGCCGCAATAGCCAACGACGCCCTTGCCCATTATCGGCCGCCGCCGTCTCCTCCCAAAAAAGCACGGGACGTGCATATCAAGGTCATACCGGACGTAAGTGTTTTTTTGTCGTCACCCTCTTTTACGGTGACATAGCCGCTGACTGTGACACTTCGGCCGCCGCCAGCCGCCGCATAGCAAGAACATCCGTGTCGACGATGACGATGGCCACTACATTGTTGTCCCTGACAACGATTTGACAGAACGATGTAGGCCTCCCTGCAAGGCATTAGGAACTTGGCATCCGCCTGGGAAGACTGGAACTGACGGACTCGTAGACCAAATGGTTAAACTCCTCGGACAGGGCACATTCGGCAAGGTCGTGCAGGCAAGGGACAGACTGTCGGACAAGTTGGTCGCCATCAAGATCATTCGCTCTGTGCAAAAGTACCGCGAAGCGAGCAAGATCGAACTGCGGGTTTTGGAGACGCTCAGAGCCAACGATGAGGAGAACCGGAACCGGTGCATCCACTTTCGGGATTGCTTCGATTACCGTGGACACATTTGCATCGTCATGGATCTTCTCGGCCAGAGTGTGTTCGACTTTCTCAAGAGCAACAGCTTCGTTCCTTTCCCAAACAGCCAGATCCAGAGCTTCGCTCGGCAGCTCTTCACTAGTGTGGCTTGTAAGGAAGTCCCTCGTCGGAGACTCTTATGGTTGGTCGCTGACTTCCGATAGTTCTTCATGATCTGAATTTGATACACACGGATTTGAAGCCGGAGAACATCCTCCTGTGTCACAACGAGTACCAGACCTTCACGTACAACCGGAAAATACCATCGTCTAGTACAGCGAACACTCGCACGGCTAGTCAACGTAAGGTACTGCTGGACACGGAGATACGCTTAATCGACTTCGGCTCGGCTACATTCCAGGACGAATACCATTCGTCCGTAGTGTCTACTCGCCATTACCGGGCGCCCGAGATCATCCTCGGCCTCGGGTGGTCTTACCCCTGCGACATATGGAGCATCGGCTGCATCCTGGTCGAGTTCTTCACTGGCGACGCCCTCTTCCAGACGCACGATAACCTCGAGCATCTGGCTATGATGGAGGCCGTGGTCGACCAGAGGATAGACGTGTCCTTAGTCCACCAGGTCAACCGGATGACAAGAAACGGCGGGAATCCCGCGTCGAAGTGCGTTATCCCAACCGCGATTCAGACCCAACAGGGGGCTAATACAGCACCAGGTACTTCAAGCGTCTCAAGCTCGACTACCCGACTGCAGAGACGACCCGGGCTTCCAGGAGATTCGTCAAAGCGATGAAGAGGCTTCCGGTAGGTTATAAAGCAAAGCACACTCCTCATTGCATCGCAGATTTACTGACTGACGTTGATAGGATATCGTTCCTTCAACGAACAAATTCCTCGAGCAATTCCTGGATCTGCTTCAGAAAATATTCGTCTATGACCCTGCTCAGCGCATCACGGCCAAGCAGGCGCTGCAACATCCCTGGTTTCGGGAAGTTGCACCCCAGGACGATGGGACCGAAGCGGCACGGATTCGCGCTGAGAAGTTGAAGGCGCGAGAGCGAGAATTGTCCGCAGCCCGACTTGCCGCCGCGCAGGCGGCCGGGCATGCACCGATCATGGAGGGGCGGGCGATACGAAGGTGACGGCCGACGATGATGGCATTGACCGTAGCACATCGGTACTTTGATCACATCACCGAGTGCGAGCGCAGAGGGTGATTGAACAGCCGAAAGAGCTTCTAAAAAATAACGATGCGCAACTGTCATGAGTTTCCAGTGGGGCATATTAGTTGATGTTGAACCTTGGGAATTTAAAGGGCGTTGGTTTTCGCGGCGTAGCAGCAAGTTTTGCTATCATAGCAGGCGGGGAGCTTTTTCTTCGGTATATGTTATCTCACTTATGGGTTCACCGTCTGCGTGTCGCTCTATTGGACCCGCAAACATGGAATGGAAGGACGAGAAGCAAGGACGAGGATGGGTATCCAGTTATCGTCAACCATGTGTTATAAGACAGGCATCATAATGATTCGGGATGGACAAGGCCGCCGGAGATTCTTCCAGTGTCATAGAAGCGGGCTTCCCCACACGCCAGCAGCAGGCGGAGGCTGGACGTATATAGGCGTGACATCTTCCAGCGATGACTGAATGCACCGATCAAGCATAGCTGGCACCGCGACTGCGCTTGCTCGGGGAGAGATCTGCGTCTGGGACTGACTGAGAACAGCCCAGCATTGTAGGGGTCTCGTCCCCCTTCTGCTCTAGAGGTGAGTGGAGGTTTCGGTGTCCCCAGTCAGTTCCCATCCAGCTTCTAAAGTTGTGTCTTTGTTACTCACCTGCAATGCAGACCGTACAATGTTAGAATGGCTTTGTCCACGGCTTCTCCCTGGCTCGCACCACATAGGCCGCTGTTCATTATCACCCCCTTTGAGCCCATGGCTGTTTTCCGCCCTCGAAGACCATGCTCGTATGGACAGACATGGTTGGAACCGTAACTGAACTGAACATCATAGGCACTGATTTGAGCTCTTTGTGTGCTAAAGACTACTAATACTACCTATCTACCAGCGCCGGCTAGATCTCTTGCTTGGGACGATCGTCACTCGCAACGGAACCCCGTCTAGACGTCCATCTACAACGACTCACTCAACCCAGCTCACTCACACAGAACAAAGCGCAACCCCAAACCAAAATGGCACTAGACCTGAACGCCGACATCCTCGGGACCCTCGACCGCTCAGCTCTCCTCGAGTTCGCCGCCTTCCTCCGCATCGCCCTTCCTCCTCCGGCCGCGTACACCTCCCCCTCCCCCTCCCAGAGCAACACGGCCGTCCTGCCGCAAACATGGCTCGACGCCCAGCAGTCCACCATAACCACGCTCTCAAGCGAACTCCTCGCCCGCGGCACCGTTACTACCACCGCCATCGCCATGCTCTCGCACTCATTCACCAGACTCTTCCGCTCCAACCACCACCACCACCACCACCACCACAGCCACCTTTCTTCTTCCCCGATCTTGGGCGGGATGAAGTTATGTCCGGCCCACAAGAAGCTCGACGCCGACTTGCTAACCCACTGTTTCGCACTCCTCGCGGCCGAGGTCTCGGTTCGGTGCGACGTGCTCAAGGGGTATCTCTCCTCCTGTCGTCGTCGTCGCCTCCACCACGCACATTCCCACCATCACCAGAATTCCGAAACGGCGGCGGCGGCACAGGCGCGGAAAGAGTTGAAAAGGATGGTGGAGGTCCTCAGCGGCGTGGCCAGCTTGTACCTCTCCTCCGAGCAGTTCGAGCGGTGTTTCGGCAGCACCAAGCCCAAGTATACTTTCCAGAAGGTGCAGAGTGGCTGCCCGGCGTGTGTGTTGGCCGTTGTGGGGGGACGCAGGGAGGTGTTGGTTGCGCTGCGGGGGAATATGCTCGGCAGAGCGAAGGGCAAGGAGCCGAGGTTGTTGAGGCTTGTGGAGGCGTGGATGGAGATGTTTGGCGGCGGGGTGGGTGTGGAGGCCGCGATAAGGAGGGAGAGTGATGTGCTTGCACAAGAGGTGAGGAATGTTCGGAGGGTGATGCATGAGAGGAAGGTGCAGAGAAGGGCCAGGAAGGGTAAGGAGGAGGAGGACGGGGGCAAGAGTAGGCACCGCGGTGGCATGCCGGCGGGCGCGAAGGTGGTTGATGGCGTGCCCATGCCCCAGGTCAAGGTGTATGGGGATCATCCGCCATCCCACAATTATCCCGCCTTCGGGCTGGATGGCGCGCGACGCTCCGACGACCTTCCTGCCGCTCGCAGGGACGAAGAGACGGGCCAGTGGGATATTTGGCCGTCTTCCGTCTCGTCCAGTTGTTCCTCCTCCACCTCCGTCGACTCTGACGCCGAACTCAACGCAAATCGGGAGTTCCTCCCCGCCCGCAGGCACTGGCCTCAAACTCACCGCACCACCACCCAACGGAATGCGAGCCGCCGCGAGAGCGAGAGCATCTACAGCACCGCTGGTGCGGGAGCCGTCGACAGGCCGAGCTCCATCCTTCGCGACGCACCGCGCCCTAGCGAATACACCGACGTGCGGCTGGACGATGACGAGAGCGTGAGGATCTTCCTGGACCAGCGCCAGTCCCAATCTCAGTCCCGGTCGACGCGCTCCCGTCGGCAGAGCCAACAGTCGACGAGCACCGACTGGGCGGATTTCTACTTGAACTAAAAGAAGGTGAGGTGGCGAGATGGTAAGCTGACTTGTCTTCTGTTTAGACATCGAGCATAATGCTGGTGGTACCCGAGAGGAGAGGTAAAGGAAAGACGCTCTGTTTACTTTTCACCGAGCTCTGGGTCTGTTGTTCCCGTTTCCCCCTTCTCCCCTGTCTGGTTACTCGACTGCCTCTTTTACAGAGTTCGTCTGCTACACCAACCAGGCGACCTTTCCTTCTTACCTTGTCAGCTCCCTGTATCCATATTTACGGCGACAGGCCAGTTTTGGTTTCCTTATTATGTTTACCTAGTAAGGTAGGTAAGTACGCCCGTCTCTAGCCTAGTAAAACACACATAATGGGAACCCCGCAGATACATAGAGTGAGTGTCTCTCGCTTGTACTATGGTATCTTTTATCTTACGACGATTTGATCTTGCAGACCGACCTGTGACCTCTCATGACTGTGCTCGTGCCCAACGGAGCTGATAAAAGGACCCGCTGAGAATACTTTGTCCTAAATAGAAAGTAGCAAACATGTTCACACATGCTGAATTGCCGTACTCGAGGTGAAAAAAAAAGGTTTTATTATGGATGGTGTAGCACCTAGAGGAAGCCTAGGTCCAGCATACGAGGTGTGTTGCCCCCTGAAGACGGAGCTCCTCGTGCCGCTGCAACCCTAACCCCGATCCCGTTGTTATCTTGACTCTTCAGTCCCGAGGCTCACCGCTTTCCCATTCAAGCAAGTCGGCCAGAATTTGCCCCGCAGATTAGTTATTGCGCAGGGCAAAAAGAAGGACCAGACGCGGTCAGAGAAAATCAATGCTTGTCTCGCTGAAGAGGTCCCTGCGGGAAGCGTGATTGAGGTTGAGTCACCGGCCAGATTTCTGTTTCAAGCCAGACCTATGAGAAGCGAGGGCAGGTCAGTTGTCGGATGGATAATTGATATGCAGGAAAGAGGGTGGAGGTGTCCGGACCCTGAATCCCCCGAATAATCAATAAATGTCTGCGGCAGCAGCGACGCTTGCGCGGGTCTCGTCGTCCACACCAACAAGCCTAAAGCCGTTGTCGCTTCGCAAGGCACCGTTGCGGGACGTGCTCCCGAACTGGAACGCGCGAGGAAGGAGGCCGTCGCCGCTAATCCGAATTGCTCGCCCGAGTCTGCGGCTGCCGCTGAGCACAGTTCCCACGTCGCTGTTCCCGGACGCCACTGCCTGGCCGTGCAGGCGCGGTTGGTTCTTCGGGCGGGACACTCCCCGCTTCATTCTGGTTCCCAATCCAGAGCACCGCCAGCAAGCAATCACGGTCCTCGATCCGCCAAGCGGCATGCTGTGCTACGTGCAGATCGTGAGCACCCCGACGGCGGACACGCCGGGGGGTTGCTTGATGCTGCACTTCGACAACCGCCGATACCTGTTCGGCCGCTTGGCCGAGGGCACGCAGCGCACCATGGTGCAGCGCCAAGTGTCGCTCGCGAAGATCAGCGACATATTCCTCAGCGGCCGCATCGACTGGCATACGACCGGCGGCCTGCTCGGCATGATCCTCACACTCGCCGATCTCAAGGCCACCTCGGTCGCCGCTCTCGAGGAAGTCAACGAGGAGCGACGTAGCAAGGGGAAGAAGGCTAAAGACCTGAAGTCGTCGTTCGCGGCACATCTGAATATCCACGGCGGGAAGAACCTGGTGCACATGCTAGCGACCGCCCGTCCCTTCATCCTCCGGAAGGCGCTGCCCGTCTATCCCAGGGAGCTTCGCCACGACCCCAGATCGGGCGAGAAAGAGGCCGGGCCAGACTACGAAGACGAAAACATCCGCGTGTGGTCCATCCCGGTATCGAACGAAACGTCAGACGCCGCCGGCACCTCTGAGCCCCGGTCGCCCAAGAAGCGCAAGCTGAGCCCGTCCTCCGACACAGACGCCGGGGCAGGATCGAGTGAGGAGGCCGATCAGGCAATCAGGGAGGCCGTCGTCAGGGACATGTTCTGTTCCAAGTGGAACTTGGACACGCTGCGCGAGATGCCGCTCCGGGAGGTCCAACTGCCGGCCAAGATCTTCATCAGGAACGACCAGGGTCACCTGGAACAGTACCAGGGTCCGGACGCCGAGTCGGCCCCGGATCCGAACATGAAAGTCTTTGTACGTCTTCCGTGGCCTGCCTCTAAAGTACAGCATCTGCCCTCGACGGAGCCGTCCAGGGCATCCATGTGCTACGTCGTCAAATGCCACCCGCGGCGTGGCAAATTCAATGTTGAGGCCGCCAGGGAGCTCGGCGTCGAGAAGGTCAATTTCAAGCTGCTCACAGCAGGCCAGAGCGTGCCTGGGAAAGACGGTATTACCGTCACTCCGGACATGGTCCTGGGAGCTACGCTCGAGGGCCATGGCTTTGCGGTTGTCGACATCCCGTTTCCGGAAGTAATAGACGACCTGGTCAGTCGCCACGAGTGGTCGAACCCCGAGATCATGAACGGTATTGATACCATGTACTGGATCCTCTCCGAAAGCATTTCTCTCGAGGACCCCCGGTTACACCAGTTCATCCAAGCGCGCCCGTCCATCAAGCACATCGTGCTCGGGCCTGACATGTGCCCCAATCTCCTGGCGCTGGAATCTCCGGCCAGCCAGCTCATCAAGATGAACCGCGTTGATGAGCAGAGGTTTCCCTTCCCGGTCTTCGATGCCAAGCCGCCGACGGACGTCAACAGGGAACTAGGAGCAGTCGCCGAGCCTGCGCGATCGGGCTTGAAGTTCCAGCTTGCTCCGAAGCAGGGGTTCCTCACCGACCGAGTCGTTCCTCTGATGGACACAGGGAAGCCGATTTGGGAGCTGGCGACCCACACCCCGCAGGTACTTCAGCTAGCCAACACGGCGCGCCAGACTATCTCCAAGCCCGAGTTCCTAGCCGAGGTGGAGACCTCGCAGCGGGACCTTCCAAGCCCGGAGACGGAGATCATCCCGCTCGGCACCGGCTCGGCCATGCCGTCCAAGTACCGCAACGTGTCCGCCATTCTCGTCCGGGTCCCCGGCTGGGGCAGCTACCTCTTCGACTGCGGCGAGAACACGCTGGGCCAGCTCCGCCGCAGCTTCGGCTTCCAGGGCGCCGACGACGTCCTCCGCGACCTCCGGGCCATCTACATCAGCCATGCCCATGCCGACCACCACCTGGGCACCATCAACGTCGTCGACCGCTGGTCTCAAGTATCTGACGGCAAGCTCGCCATCATCGCCTCGCCGCGCTACCAGTCCTTCGTGCGCGAGTTCCAGTCCGTCCAGCCGCTCCGCGGCAGCAACAACCGCCTGGTTCACGCCAACCTCCGCCCGGCAGCCGCGGGCTCCTCCGCCAAGCCCGGCACACTTGCCAAGGCCTACTTCAACGACGCCGACTTCGACGACGACCCGACCTTTCCGACCAGCCTCCCGCGCATCGAGGCCGTCTACGTCGACCACTGCTACGAGGCCACCGCGGGGGTGCTAACCTTCCCCGACACGGGCCTCAAGATCGCCTACTCGGGCGACTGCCGGCCCTCGACGCCCTTCGCCGAGCTGGGGCGCGGCGCGCACTTGCTGATCCACGAGTGCACGTTCGAGGACGAGCTGGCGGGGGACGCGCACGCCAAGAAGCACTCGACCCTGTCGGATGCCATCAGGGTGGGCCGGGAGATGCAGGCGCGCCGGATCCTGCTGACGCATTTCAGTCAGCGGTATCCCAAGCTGCCTGTCATCGATGAGGCGAAGCTGGTTGGTAGCAATGATGATGGTGAGGATGGGGAGGATGGGGAGAGGGGAAAAACGGAGAGGAGGGATGTGGAGGTGCTGTTCGCGTTTGATATGATGCGGGTTAAGCTGGGCGAGTTCAAGCAGGCCAAGCAGTTCTTGCCGGCACTCAGGGAGTTGTTGAAGGTTGAGGAGCCGGAGCAAGCTGATGAAGAGTGATAAACTTCTTCTTCTTCTTCTTCTTCGGTTCTGAATGAGTGCGACTTGGGTTTTATGGCTGAATGGGTACAGTACTACTTGGTGAAATATAGAACGGTGGGAACAGTGTATTCTGGTTTGACCGACCATCTGATTGTTTGTATCTACCGTATGTACAGTACAATAAGCGGATACCTTATGCTTGGGATGAGAAAAGGAAAAGGGGGGCTTGGAAAGAGGGATAGACTATGGCATATATAGAGAAGATGGTTGGGACAGGCCTCACATGCATCTATCTGATGATATTGCAGATCGATCTGTGGCGCCAATTCGGAATACACAGTATTTCTCTTTTGAGGGCAGCGCAGTACTTAACTCATGTGGTATACTCCGTACAGCGAGCATCCACGCATCCCAAGGTATATATATATATACATACTCTAGCCAGGGCCACACTTTTATGCACGTATGCCCTGCATCCCGCTCTCCCCCTCATCCCCTCCGGTCTTGTTGTGTATGTGTATGTGTATGTTTATGTGTATGTGTATGTGTATGGCATTTAACAAACTCCACCTACTTTCTCTCTCGCTCTCTCTCGTCTCTCTGCCCTTCTATTTCATCTCCCTCAGCGCCGCGCGCACAATCCCCTCCGCCTCGGCAATCACGTCCTCCCCCCTGCGCCAGGTATACAGCTTCACCCCCTGCGCGTCCAGGATGTCGTGCGCTCTCGCCAACCGCCGCAGCCAGAGATCCACCTTTTTGTTGTACGTTGCCCCCATCGCCGCCCCGTTATTGGGCGCTGCCACTGTGTCTGCGAGGCTGGCCGGGTATGTGCCGGCCACCACTGACGGGAGGGGTTCTATGTCCGTGGTGACATCAAGGCCTGCGTTGGAAGCCGAGATTGCTGGCTGCCGGGATGCCGGGGCGGTACCCCGTCGCCGCGGCGGTGGAGGCGGAGGAGGGATTGGTTTGTTGGGGTGGTTGTTGTTACTACCGGTAGTGGCGGAAGGGCCGCCGCCGCCCGCGGTCCGGGGTCGGACGAGCGGACTTTGGCTTCTCTGACTGCGGAGATTTGCTTCGGAGGGCGTGCTTCGCAAGGCGGCTGGTTTGGCGGGCCGTGGGGGAGGAGGCGGTTTCTTCGAGACGCTTTCGGCGAAGGAGCTGGGCGTGCCCGGTTTTGAGCCGGGCTGGCTGTTGGGCTCTCCGCTGAGGTGGTTTCGGGTCTCGGCAGAACTGAGCTGCACAGGCTCATCGTCAAAGTCGATCAGCGTGCCCATGACCGGCCCTGTTGTTGGGGCGGAAGCAGTCGCTCGACGCGGTAATGGCGGTCGGACATCCGTGAGATTGTCACCGGCCGGGTGATCCTCCGGTCTGCCTCTGGTGCTGTCCTGCCTGCTACGCTGCGCCGGGTCGACGCTGAACGAGGAATCGAAGAAGCCCGCATGGTCGGGCGTGGTGACGTCGCGGATGAAGACAGCCAGGACTCGGCCAGGGTTCGCCAGCGCGAGCTCGGTGTACACCTCCAGGTCGGCCTCGCCGCTGTCGCCAACGAGCAGGAATTTCCTATCGGGGAAATCCCGGATGATAGCCTCTAGCGTCCCCTTCTTTCTTTCCGCGACCGGCTCGAAAATACCCTGCAGCATGCCGCTGTACTGCTTCAGGTGGATCGACCCCTGGGGCAGGCCGGCCAGGTGGAAATAGGTGGCGAGAACGGGGAACAGCTGCCACGGGCTGTTGGAGCAGTAGTGCACCTTGACGCCCATCTCGTGCATTCGGTGGTACCATTCCCTGACGCCGTCGACCGTCAGCTCAGCCAGCTCGCGGACGAACGTGTTCCGAAAGATCTCACGCGCGCCCATCCAGATGTTGGAGCGCTTGATGGTGTCGTCGACGTCGCTGATCAGGCTGACGCCCCTCGACTCGATGATCTCGACGGGCCTCGTGGCGGACACGTTCTCATTAGCCAGCACCCTCACGTCGGTCGGAACGAACTCCAGGGCCACACGGGCGCTGAAGTGGCCCGAGTCGTCCGTCATGACGGTATGGGACCGCGACTGCTCGTCGTTGTAGAAGAATATCGTGATGGGAATCTGCACCAAGGGCGTGGTCATGAATGGTCCCAGACGTGCCATGAGGTTGGCGTTCGCGACGGCGAGCTCTGCCTCGGACATGTCCGCCGCTGACATGGAGGGCGTCCTGGCGGTTAAGGTAGGAGATGGCGGTGGTGACACGGCGGAATGCGTCGCTTCTCCCTTGGAGTCGTTGGGTCCCTCGCTGTAGCCGCCTCTATTCGCGACCTCCTTTTCATCTTGCCCGCGCTTCTCAATCTCACGAGCCTCTCGAGCGATCCTCCGCTCCTCTCTCTCCTTCTCGTGCTGCTCGTGCGAACTCGCCGACGGTTCCTGCTGTGCCATCGGGGGCGGGATCCCGCTGAGCCTCCTCGCGAGGCCGATCAACATGCGATTGCGCCGGGTCATCGGGCCCTTGTTGGGCATGTAGATCCACCCCCTCACATCGACATCCACCACAGCCTTCTCATCCTCCATCCTCGCCCACTCCTGCTTCCAGTACTCCTCCTCGCTCATCCCCGCCTGCGCAGCATTCGCCGCCTGCGCCGAGTGGCCAGGCGGGAACCTGCCCGCCCCGCCAAACTCGCGCACATGCCTCTTCGCGTACGTCGGGAATAGCACCATCTGCTCCTCGCCCTTGGTGGCAATCGCCACGTTCGGGAACGACCCCGGAATCGACACCTGCGAATCCCCCCACCGCTCGACCCCCCTGACCCGCGTATTATTGTACTGCTCTCTCAGCTCGCTCGCAGCCGCCACCCCAGCGCGGTAGACGCTCCCCGCCACGGCAGCCAATTTCTTCCGCCGCGACCCGCGCTCGGGACCAACAACCGGTGCGCCAAAGCCCGCCCTGGTCCCGTACGCCCCGTACCCATACCCGCCGTACCCATACCCGCCGTCGCCGCCGCGACCATGTGCTTGCATCTTCTTCAGCCTCCCTTGGTCTTCTCCGGTTGTCTGGGCCCGTGACGCATGCGGCGCATTCCCCTCCTCCCCAGCGGCACTCCCACTGCCCTTGCTCACGTTCCCAATCCCAGTTGCAGTCTCCGCCACTCTCCTTACACCTCCAGCCCCAGCCCCAGCCCCAGCCCCAGCCCCAGCCACGGCCACGGTCCCCGTAGCACCAGAACCGAGAAGTAACCTCCGCCCCTGCCTCCTCACAAGATCAACAACCCGTGTCTTGTCCCGCCTGCGCCGCTGGCGCTCGACAATAAACCGGTAGATGCGGCTCTGCAGGCCGAGCTTGTAGCGCGGGAGGGTGTCGAGGCGGAAGCGGGCGAGGCGCTCGCGGTAGTGGTCGCGGAAGGAGGGCGGGACGAGGTACCGGAGGGAAGGGGGCACTAGGCAGCGGAGTACCGAGGGTCTTGGAGGGGGTACGGCGCGTTGTGCTGGGCGATGTATGGGGGAGGGTAGGAGGCGTTTGAAGGAGGGTCTGGCGCTGGGTGGTGGTGGGGATTTGAAGGGAGCCAGGTTGGTTGGTTATTTCTGCTGGTTATCGGGCAGCGGATCGCGTGCGGGAGAATGACGATGGGGAGCGGTTGAACTGAATATAATTGCTTGCGCAGGTGGTGGGTGATACAGTGATGCGAATGCTGGCGCAGAAAGAAGCACACAAGTTTTGCAATGCTAATCTCGTCGCCAATGTAATGAAAAAGAAGGGAATACGGACATCAACAAGATTGAGTATGCATGTTTCGAATCCGCACCAGTCGTCGCAACATAGTGCGACTGGAATTCAACTCGTGTCGGAGGTAAGGACAATTGATTGTCGCCCAGATCGGCGCCGGCGCTTTCCAGGTTACGTCAAGCACGTCACTTGGCTGGGGAAGCTGTTCCTACATGTGGGTCCTCTGCATTTATCACTTAGGGGCTGCGCTTACAGTGTACTGATATCGCCCATACCGTAATGACACATGTATTTACACAACGCTTGGGCGGTGGGATGCGTAATTACTCCAAGCTTGGCCATCAACACAGGTCATTACACACGAGCCCGCAGCAAGACAGGTAATCGTATCACAAGTTAGCAAAAAGAAGACAGCAGTTGTAACAACCACGTAAAACAACAGATTAATTTCTAGATATCACTACCCTTATTTCCTCCCCTTCCTCCCCGCCGGGCCCCTCTTCGGCTTCGGCTTCCTGACCTTCTTCAAGTTCAACACCGCCCCCTTGCCGTCTCTCTCAGCACGGCCCTTCTTCCACGACTTACCCTCGCTCCTCTCCGCCTTAGAGTCGAGTCGTTTCTTATCCTTGTTACTGAGCTTGCCCTCGCCCTTCTTCTTCATGGCCTCGCGCACGCCGTTGAGCTCGGCCCGGCCCGCCTCCTTCGCCTTCTTCTTGTCCTTCTCCGTCTCGAACCATGTCCGCTTCGGCCGCGACTTGATCTCCTCCTCGTGCATGATCATGTTCTCACCCTTCTTGACCTGCATCTCGACTTGCGCGAGCTGCTTCTCCTCCTTCTCCTCACGCAGAACCTCCTCGATCTCGTCCTCCATCTCGTCGACCTGGGCCTGCCACTTGTCGGCGTCGGCCGGGTCGATCACTCGGCTGATGATCTTGGCGCCTTGCGCCTTGCCGGCCTTAACAGCCGCTTTCACCACCTTGCGGTCTGGTTCTGCGGCCAATGTGACGGCAACACCGCTGCGGCCCGCGCGCGCCGTACGGCCGACACGGTGCACGTAGATTTCGTGTGACTGCGGCGCTTCGTAGTTGATGACGGTATCCACGCCCTTGATATCCAGACCACGTGAGGCAAGATCGGTGGCAAGCAGGTAGTTTACCTTGCCGTCTCGGAAGTCCTCAACACTAGCAATACGCTGGACATCTTGTCAGAATCCAGTACAGAATGAGTGGGTATGGAGTGGGCATACCTGAGCCTGATTCATGCTTCCGTGCAGCTCTGCGCACGAAAGTCCTAGGAGTCCAAAGATGATACGCGTCCGGTGGGCAATCTTCTTCTGCCTGAAGAAGATGATGACCCTCTCGGTGTACAAGGTCTTGCAGATGTGCACCAAGTACCCCATGCGCTTCTCTTCCCGTCCGGGCCGCAGCCGCACAAACTCCTGCGATAGAGTGCCGGCTGTTTTCCTCTGCGAATCCACCATAATCCGGGCGGGCTTGTTGAGCCCCACGCGAATCAGCCTGTCGACCGACGAAGTCATGGTGGCGGAGAACAACATGGTCTGGCGTGACTTGGGCAGCGTCGTCAGGATCTCGTTCAACTCGTCCGCGAAACCGTCCTCGAGCATCCTGTCGGCCTCGTCGAGCACGAGAATCTCCACCGTCTCGACGGCGAAGCTGGCCGAGTTCCGCATGTGGTCGATGAACCGACCCGGAGTAGCAATCACCACATCCGGTCTCAGACGCAGCTCGGCCTCTTGCACTTTCAAACTGAGACCGCCAACAGCAAGGCAGAACTTGATATCTGTGTGGCTCGCGAGCTTCGTAGCGACGGCGTGGCACTGAATGGCCAGTTCACGGGTAGGCGTCAAGATGACGACTCTCGTCGTCGGGACCTTCTTAGGTCGGTAGAGTAGACGTTCCAGGATAGGGACCACAAACGCCGCTGTCTTGCCCGAACCCGTGACGGCGCCACCAACCACATCCTTGCCCATCAGCGCGATGGGAATCGTCTTGGCCTGGATCGGCGTCGGCTTCGTGAAACCAACCGAGGTAAGACCCCTCAGGATCGGCCGCGAGAGCGACATGGACTGGAACGAGGACAAGTCGCCCTTCTTGCCAGGCTTGTCCGTCTCCTCGGGCGCGGCAAAGAATTCTTTCCGCTTAGCCGCCTCCTCAGCATCCTCGTCCTCGTCATCGTCTTCAGAGTCCGGCGCTTCATCATCAGGATGCTGCACCGGCGTGGCAACCGAGTCATCGTCCGACGCAGCCTCGTCCCCGCTTTCCCCTTCCTCCTGCTCCTCCTCCCCATCTTCTTCTCCATCGTCCATCTCTTCATCCTCCGCATCGGACCCGACCCCCATGCCAAACCCATCGTCAGCAAGCACCTCCTCATCCAGATCCACCTCCCCATCCACATCATCCTCTTCACTCTCCTCCTCATCTTCTATCTCCTTGTTATTCCCATCCTCCGCTTCCTCCTGTTGCGCAGACGTAGTAGACTTGTCCTTAGCAGACTTCCGCTCCCTCCGCCGCCGAATAATCTCGTCCAGATCCACCCCAGCCCTCTGACCATTAGTACTGGAAGGAGCCATGCCCTTCTTGGCCCCCTCAAACCCCCACCCGTCAAACTCGGCCTCGACCGCGTTCATGCCGTCGACGGCGAACTCAAACTCCGAGTCCATCGCGCCGTCGTCGGCGTCCTTTTCGCCCCATACCCCGCTCGGCCCCTCCTCTTCATTCTCATTCTCCGCTTCGTCCTTTTTGTTTTTCTTGTTGTTGCCCTTCTTCTTGTTCTTTGTAGAGGAAGAAGAGGAGGAAGCGGTCTTGGCCTTCTTGGACGGCCTTGTATCGGCAAATTGTTCGTCTAGCGCTTCCTCTTCGAAGGGCACCGGCTCGTCGTCGTCGATGGTGTGGATGAAATCGTCGTCCATTGCGGGGCTCTTTCGTTTTTGCGAGGGCGTCATTTTTGGTGGGATTGAGGAGGCACAGCTGCGTCTTGTAAAAAGCTGCTACCGGGTTAGGATAGATCGGGAAGGTCGTAAGGGGAAGGTAATTGGCGTGATGGCAATGGCGGGGCGTGGTAGAGCGAAGGAGAGAAAAGGTAGGCCAAATTTTTGGGATGGGAGCTTTTTCTGCCGGGCGGTGAGAGGGTCCATCGGTGGTTTGGCGGCCGATCTACCCGTGGCTGCGGGTCGGCTACCTAACGTACAGCAGGGTCAGGGACCGTTGGTTACATGAGCCCTGGAGCTGGTCGGTTACTACTACCAGGTACCTAGGTATGTTCCCCCGATGATAATCGAGTCTCAGATTGTCGGTTTCACAGCAGGATTCACATAGATGCTGTTTTGATAAGAACAAGTACCGTCCGCAGAACCCGTCTCATTTCTCCTGGTTCCCGTAGTTCGAGCTAAATAAATATCGAAGGTCGGCTTGCAGATGGCTCGAGATGAGAGTACCTCTTTTAATGTGAAGCCAGATATGGTATATACCTGATATGTCTGCTCCGACATGCAGACCCGAAGATCTAAAACGCCCAACGCCTTGCCAATGGTATAATGCTTCCTCCTCTTTCGATACCCAGCCCAAGTGCGGTTCCACAGTATTTTCCTCCTGCCCGGTCCTCCTCGGCCTATTAGGTAAAGTGTTTAAAAGGTAGGTAGGTTTATGTACCCAGCTCTCCACTAGTGCCGCTTCGTTGCATTGACGTTGATGGTCCATGGACCATCACCAATGTCACCTCATGTTATGGTACGGCTGGCCCAAGTCGTAGGACTCGCCCTCCTGCCGTGTCGGTTTGGCGGCAGTGGCCCGCGCCCTGGCCTTCATCATTGAAATCTCTGCATCCGAGAGCAGGAACTTCTGCTCGTCGATCTCCCTGTTGTTTCGGCCTCCGCTGGACGGGCCGGCCTGTGCATGCTGCGGCTGGTACGGACGGAACGGTAGCTGCGGCTCGCTCCCTGGCGCGGCGCCAGGGAGCTCGTACTCGACAATGTCATATGTAGAGTGGTAGAATCCGTCCTTTGTGGGCGGCAGCTCGGCCTCAGCCTGGGGTTCCGCCAGCTTGCGAACCGCACCCTTTTCCATGGCCTCAAAGTCCTCGGTCGAAGCGTACGGTGGTAGCGGGCCCATGGAAACGCCCAGCAGCGGGGAGTCGGCTTCCCAGGAGAACTGACGCTCGTGGGACGTTGCGGAATTCGCTTCCGCCACCTTGCGGTTCATTAAGGCCTCGTCGGGCGGGACGGTAGGTGAGACTACCAGCGGGGTGGGAGTGACTTTGTTCGGTCCATACGAAACCACAAGCGGCACGGCAGGTTTCTTTGGAGGCGACGGCTTTGAGACGGGTATCGGAGACGGGGGAGGGATGCTGAAGTTGGTGTAATCAGAGAAGTATGGCACCGCCTCTGTACTACCGGGACTTATTGGTGTCACCGCCGGGTTCGGAGCTGGTTTCGGGGTGAGGCGGGGCGCTATCGTCGGAGTGACCGGGTTGGGCCCGTACGACACCACCGTCGCCGCGCCGGAGGCATTCAGCTGAGCTTTCAGACGCGCAGCCGTGAGCTCCTCCCGTTCGGTGCTGCGCTCGTATGTCCAGAAGGCGCCATTGTGCGAGTGCGTCGGCGACTGGGCCCCCGTTGGCGACGGTGAATGTGTCTGTATGGTTGAATGGAGCGAGCGTACATCCTCATAACCCGTCGAGCCTGGATAGCCGTCAAAGACAGGTTGTATGGGGCATAGTGGCTCGTCCGAAGTGTTTGACGACGCGCCATTTCGCGTCTTCTCTGGGCCTTTCCTCCCGTTACGCCGGTCATGGCCCGTGATGCCATTTGTCCCATCACCATCCTGCCCGCGGCGCCGGCGTCTGAAATACAGGAAGGCAGCCATCGCGCCGATGGCAATGCAGATCAGTGCGATCCCGATGCCCAACGCCGCTTTGGCTCCGGCGTTGAAGCTGTCGCCTCGGGAGTTGGGTGCCTGGGAATCCACGGCTGCGGCTCTGCGTGCTGTCAGAGGGGAAGTCGTCACGATGCGCGTCCGAGTCGATGTTGGCCTGTCGTCCGAGTCGTGCTGGTTCGGCGACAAGATGAACAACTCGCTGAGGGTGCGGCAGTCGCCAGACGGGGAGGTCAGTTCAAACCAGCAGGGGTCGTCCGAGGTAAAGTTCAGGAGAACATGTGCGCTCCCATTAAATGGACTAACATTGTCGGCGCTGAATTCTGTAAGGGAGCACAAGAGTATTAGTTGGTGGGTCAGCAAGGCTTGCAGTACGCAGTCAGTGGCAAGCGACGGCCAGCCACGCCCGAGGTAGAAGGGGAGAGAAGGTGATTGAGAAGAGTGGACTGAAGCGTTGGAAGGTGGGTTCGACGGCGACTTGGCGCCTCAGACGGAGGGGGAGGAGAAGGGGAACGGGACGGCACTAACTCTGTATTGCCGGCCCAGACGCGCCACACCAGCATGACAGCGCGGGATTGGCAAGGTTGGAATGGTAGGTGATGATGATGGTGTCGAGATAGGACAAACTGAGACCCCTTGTTGGGGACAGGAAGTGTGCTCCGCAGTTTGCGCTCACAATCCCACTGCCCGTCAGCGGATTGGGGACCGCGCGGCGCCGACTGTTCCGCAGCCTAGCAGTCGTCTGTTTCACTGTCGCCATCACCGTGGCGGCGCGAAAGAGGCGGATCTAGTCTCACGGAGACTTCGACACGTTTTCAGACCATCACAAGGTGATACACGACAAAACTCGACATTCGGTTTGGAGCGAGAATGCGAGCGACAGGCTGGCGAGCTGGGGGCGGGATTCGGTATTCACTGAAGCAAATGATTGAGACTCGCTGAATCTTGCAGCGTGCACCAGGGGGTTCGATGCTGCGTGCGCGGGAAAGGAGCTGCTGGACGACGGGGCCCATGAGCTGAAGAACGGAGAACTGGGATTGGACGGGCCAGGCGAGTAAGAACTCGGGGCTGCAGTGCATGGATGGGCTGCTTGAGCCTTGGGCCCTTGCTACCGCATGAGCCACATGCACCCACCCAAACGGCCGAAGAGCCGGAGCCGTCGTCAATCCGAAAGCATCCAATCCTTCTGCCCTACGGATACGGAGCCTCCCTCCTGCCCTCGACCGTCCTTCCATCCACCAGGCTGGTTCTCATGCGCCGCTGCGCCGCTGTAACGCATCAGTAGTCCCTCGGCTGGTGACAGAGCCCGCCCAGTCAGCCTTGGCGGTGTCCTGTCCGGGTGCTGATTGATAACTGACAATCAAACTCAGCAAAACGAGCAACCAAAAGTAGGTAGGTACGAAGTACTGTATGTGCATGGCGCTGACCATCCATAATAGGTAGGTATGTATCCGTAGCCATTTGCAGTGCGTCCGCCGATGCACTGCGCCAGTTTCTCGGTCAACGAGTCCAGCCCTTCTAAACATACTGGAAACAGCGGGGGTGTTGGAAGGTTGCAGCTCCACGCCAGTCCCTCAGTGACCTCACCCCATCTCAACCCGACTTAGGTATTGACTTCATATTGATGAAAGTTGCCACTTTTCAGTTTGTGCCCGCAACGGAACATGGTGTGAGTTGGGTAAACACCCGGCAAAGCGTTGACCAAGGCGAGCCTTGTTGAGCCTTGAGCTGCGCCGCTCCAGAATTAGCGCGAGAACGGGTGAAGCCCGCGTTAGTCTGCGGCGTATGGCGTCTAGCATTGGCCTCCGATTGGATGAGAGATCCGCGTATGCCAAGCCCGTTTCATTTCTGTCAGGGTGCCTTTGTTCTGCAGACGAGTGAGTCCAACCTGAAAGTCGGACAACACGGTTCTGCAATGCGACGGAATGGGCATACTGCATTGAATCCAAGGAACAAGGCTTGGAGAACACAAAAGACTTTCTCGGGTGTCGCTCCCATATAAACGCGTCCAATTTCATACCAGGTACTCATTTTGCCTTGTAGGCCCGAGCGGAACTGCGGGCCCAAAGTCCGTTCAACCTCGCCATTCGGGAAGGCGCAGCTCCGCAGAGCTCCCGCAACTGAGCTCACAGCAGTCTCTACCACAGTAGACTTCTGAGTCAGAAGTGAAAATAGACCTGCCTTAACCACGGAAGTGCTGGAACTTCGTCCGTGGATGCCTCGACTATGCCGGGTTACATGCGGCCTTTCAAGAATGTCATTGCTTCGACGTATTTTTCGAAAATCAAGATCCATTCACTTGGGAAGTTAGGATTTCAAACTGACGGACGGATCGAAGAGAAGAGACTGTAAACCATGTCGCCGAGACCCGGAGACTGCTAGCTAAGATGTGCACAAGACCGAGTATTCCACCTATAAGCCTAGAAGTTGTCCAGGGATAGGTATTGTACGACTTCCGCCCGTTCTCCCTTAAGAAGGAACAGTGTTTGGAGAATACTCCTAGGCTCTTTGCCATGCCATCTTCTTCCCTACCTGATACTTGGTATCCATGGAATCCTCATTCCAATGAAAGGTTTTAGTAGCTTCTGTCATATATATGTCCCATAACTACCATGCTCTGCGGCATGGGCGCCAATGGAAGCGGCAGGAAGCCCATGATTCTCACCTTGCAACGTCGCATCTCTCTTATGAGTTGTAACTCCAAACCTCCAGATTCCTCACCTGATACAACGTATCTGTGCTCAAGTCAGCAAAGCGTAAGTGAGGTCACATAATATTTCTCCCGGAAACGGGAGAGGCTGCAATGGCGGCCGTTCCGAGTTCCGAGATGTGGGGTTTCGGACGCCACTGCATCCTAACTCTCAGTCACCCCGCCAATACGGCATTCAGGGGCAAGGCCAAACATGGCGGGCGTTGCCAGGGACTGAGAAAGACACACGGAATTACACACTCAGGTCAACTGGCAGTGGATGGCTGGTCCTACCATTGAGAAAAAGCCTCTCTCCAACATCCCAGGTAGTTTCCTACCTACCTAAGTCATCATGTCCCTGTTAAGTGGCGGGTTAGTACCCCGAATCCACCCCTCCGTTCCGCGATCCATTATCCGACGGCAAGCGCTGTCCCGGTGGATTGTCCCTCCCCCACCTTGTGCTTCCGGTCCCGATTGCCGACTCGGACGCTGTCCGCCGCCAGTATATACCCATTCCCATTCCCAATTCAGATCATGTCTCTCCACGAAACCACCAGGTAGTAGTACAGCACGCCAGACCAGACTGCAACAATGGCAGCCGAAAGGACCGCCAACTGGGAGAAGTCCATCCAGCGCAACCCGCACCCCGACTTCAAGCAGGTCGAAGCCTCGCGCCCACCGTTCGACTCCTCCACCGCCTTCCACTACACCCAGACCCCAGACCCAACCTGGACCTTCGGCGCAGGCGCGAACTCGACCGTCTCCCCGGATGATGAGGCCAACAACAAGAAACACATCCCCATCGACCCCTACGCGCCCGGGCGGCCAGCAGGGTTCAACTACAAGCTCCTGATCTCGGCCGTGGTGCCGCGGCCGATCGCCTTCCTCTCCACGCGCTCCGCCGACGGCGCCGTCACCAACCTGGCGCCCTTCAGCTACTTCCAGCTCATCGGGCACGACCCGCCGCTGTTCATCATTGGCTTCGCCTCGGCGCTGGAAGCGTCGCGCGCCAAGGACTCTCTGCGGCTGCTCCACGAGCGCGGCGAGTGCGTCATCAACATCGTCTCCGAGTCCTTCGTCGAGGCCGCCAACGCCACGAGCATCAACGCGCCGCTCGGCGTCAGCGAGTGGGACGTCAGCGGGCTGACGCCGGTCTACGACTGCGAGACGGTGGGGTGTGCGCGCGTGAAGGAGGCCGTCTTCTCCATCGAGGGCAAGCTGGAGAGCGTGCGCGAGTTCGAGAGCCGCGCGACGCCCGGGAAGGTGTCGGCTACGTTGGCGGTGATTGAGGGGACGCGCTTCTGGGCGCGGGAGGATGCGGTTAATGAGGACAGGAATATTCTCGATCCTGCAGTGAGTTAAACCGAGTGCCTGGTCCCCCCCCCCCCCCCCCCCCCCCCAAAAAAAAAAAAAAAAAAAAAAAAACCTTTCTGAAGAGCTTGGTTGCGATAGGGAGATAGGGAGAAAGAAGGTATAGTACTGACAACGACTGTGATTTAGGTCCTGAGACCGGTCAGCAGGTTGGGAGGGATTACTTATGGGAGGGTGACCGGAGGGTTTGAGTTGCCGAGGCCAGACTTTGAGAAGGACTTGGGCGGTGTTGAAGGGGCGAAGAAGCTGGAGAGCAAGAACTTGCCCAACTAGGTGCATGCGTATTAGGGGTCAGCACCCTGAAATGGCTCCTCGAGAGACGTTGGTCTGCTGCTGCGCCATAGAAGATAGAAGGAAACGGATTAGACAATGGCAGCAATGTTTGGGTCTATGCTGACTGATCCTTTCACCCAATTATCGTCTCGAGCTATACACCCTAGAAAACTAACATACAATGCCTGTCAATTCATCTATCCATTCATCCTTCGTTCGCCACTCAATCAAGCGCAGCACTTGCCCCCAACCCTAACCGGATACATGAGTGACGGTGGTCATTTCTCCCGCCTTTGCTCGAGGGCCGTCGAGTATCAGGTGTACTGCCGTTATGGCGGCGTTGTCAGAGGCATCCACTTTCTATGTATGGCGAGAAGGTAGACCTCGCTCGGCTCGGAGGATGGATCCGGGAGCGGGAACTTGGCGTTTTTATAGTACTCAAGAACGTCACGCGGGTGCGGCGCCTCGGTACCCCAGTTGACGAGGGTGCCTTTGACCGGGAGATTGCTGTCGGCTGTCTTGGAGCAAATGCAGGTCCAGTAGCACCCCGTGTGTCCTTTGGCCATTTCTGCCATTTGCGTACGTTCTTTAGTGCTCCCTTTCACCTTCACCTTCAACGGAACATCAACGGTGGTAACCCTCTGGGACCGGAAGGTTCTCAATAGGTGCCTAAGACTGCTGGCTGGCTGCGAATTGCTGGACGGGGTTCGAGACTCGGCGAAGGGGTAGCAAGGTTCCTTGCATTTGACACCTCATCCCGCTTCTTCCGGATTCTCTTATCAAGTCCCTCGTGGAACTCCCAGGCGATACCGACCGTATCCAGAACCCAGTAGGAGGCGGACCGTGTCCTCCTCAGATCGGTGTACTCGCTGTGCATCATAGCATCGCAAAGCCGCTCATTGACACCCATGCTCTCTAGGGCATGTTGCCAATACGCTTCGGGGGGCCATGATGATGTCCTGACCGCCTTTCCCTTCCCCATCGGATACCCACTCGAGGGACCGTCTCTCGACTCGTTTATCGTCCATAGGTATATAGCTGGCGTGTCCTTGGCTTCTCGCAGCATCGCCTCTTGTATAAGGTCGAGGAGTTTGAACAAACTATCGAGCGAAGATTGCGCTCGCTCAGAGACCGGCCGTCTGTGATCATGGACTGCACGGTCTCAGACAAAAACCACCAGCGGTGGCCGAGCACCCCATGGAGGTGCTTCAATTGGGCGACGACTTGATTATCGCCTGGCGAGAACTTGGTGATCGCATCCGGACCGCCATAGCTCGGCTGGAAGTCCTCCGCGATCAGATCTGTCGCGCTCAGCCCCGGTGGCATGGTGAAGTATCTGTCTATACCCCCCGTTTCCTAAGCGAGGCGCATAAACGCTATCCAGTCGACTACCCGGTTCTGGGCGGGGGTTGCGGAGGCAAACCCCAGCGCCTCCTTTGGAATGAGGCGGATCATCAGCCACGCGAGCCGAGTCGCCTATGGCAGGGTTGTGAGCCGGGCAGGTACTGAACTTGCTGAGGCTGCTCGTCGATTCCAAAGCTCGTACATACTTCAACATGGTCTGAGCGTACTCGCCGAAAGCCTTGCCGGCCTTGCAATCGTCGACCGTGTACCGACAGTGCAGCATCTTCTCCGCGGCTTCGTGCGGGTCCATCTTGAACTTCTCGAACAGACCGAAACGCTAGTCGTAATCGCATTACCAGCACCCTCCAGCTGTTCCTCGCTCTGCTTCCCCCAACCACCGTGATTCATTGGCACTATCTCGAACCCCCGCCACAACCCCGACAGGGAGCCGCCGAAGCGGTTGCTTCGGATGCCCAACGACAAGCGTGAGGGAAATGGGATCAAGGCGACCTGAACAATGATAACAACGAAGAGGAAAAAAGACGGAGAAAAGACGAGATAAAGAAAAGAAGATCGGGATTGGCTACCAGCCCGGCACCGGAAGCCGTTGAGTCGCTATCCGTTCTTGTTACGAGGTATGACCCGTCGTCCACTGTGACATAACCGTGTTCGGGTTATCGCCGTCTTCATTGAATCCGAGCCAGAAGAGGGCGATGGCCGTCATATAACCTCCGCGTTCTATCCAGTCGACAATAAGATTTGATGTCAAATCTTCCCCAGCAGTCCTCTGGAAGTATAGGGTCTCGGCTAATGGCAACCTTCCTCGGGATTGACTTATAGCATAGGGCGTCTATGACTCCTCTCTGTCCGAGGATGATGCCCGACCTGCCGTTGGGAACAGACGCGTTGTTTTGAAGCTTTCCAGGATGTTGAAACAACCGTCTTTGATATGTGGCAAGGGTTTCATCAACTGAGGGTGATTTGCATCCTTGATGAGAGGCAAAAAGAACCTCTATAACAAAGCTCTTCCTTGACGCTCTTTGAAGAGGTGTCCTTCTTGGCTAGCATCAGGCCGAGGGTGAAGGGGACTCAAATGAGGGCGGCGGCGGAATTGTGGTGGCCACGGCATCGTCCCAACTAAGGTAGAATTCCTCCATCTTCACTGGTTACTGGATATGTATGATATTCCGGAGTCGGACAGCAGGAAAGAGTAAGCGTTCTAGAAAGCCGAGAAGACAAACTAGATTTCCAGGTAGATGGCTTTGCTATCCTTCAGCAGGGTGATTACGACGGCTTGCGACTATAGTCGGCATCTGTACGCTCCCAGATAAGTGAATCTAGAGCGGCGAGATTTGAGGCGGGGATATGCGGGATCTCCAATCCCTCGAGTTCTCTCGTGACAAGACAGGGCCGCGACAACGAGTACTGGTTGTACCTCTAAGGTTTGTTTCTAGGGATAGTTTATAAATGTTGCGTTCTAGCTATTATCCAGTCTCTGCGATGCTCTTGGATAATATTAGTCCCCACGTTGGGTTTAAAGGCTAACTCGGAGAAGAACGATACTCACTTGTCTTCTGCTTTGTGTCGATAGTGTAAAGAGCTCTGGATCATCGAGAAAAACGACGGCCCTAGAGATCACCTCTCCTATGGCACATAGTTCAAAAGTTCATTAGGAACAGAAGATAGAGAGAGTATGCTCGACAAGAACAGACAGGTTTATCTCGGGACGCAGACTCTCCGACCGCATCTCGGTGCTTGTGGAGTCGCCGATCCGACCGTCGTGGAGGTATTGTAGCTCGATGCCTAGGGTTTGTGTACTTACCAGCCCCAAAGACCGCGCCATCGCCAGGGGAACAAGCTTCCCCCCAGTGTATGGGACTGGTCAACTGAAGGTCCTTGACGCGTCTTGGGGAATCCCGCAGGACCTGGTATCGGATATCGTAGCGACCCTGACAGGAGGATACGGTCCAAGCTGCCTCTGCTGAGCAGTGCTTTCTCTTTCCCTTCATCTCTTCCACATTCCTTTCTTTCCTCTTTTGCCCTTGCTTTTCCCTTCTTTCCCTTTTCCTTCTCTCTTCTCCTTTCGCTTTTGCTCGAGACTGAAGCTAGCAACAAACGCGTGACCGGCACGTAAACACGGGCAAGGCTCTCAGAACCGGTAGTCCTTCCCCGCCTCACTGATTTCATATATAACCCCCAGCGAGGCAACCTGCTCCAGCTCGTTTAGCTGATCCAGAATGATCTTCCGCGCCGGCTCCCCATCAGCCATGCTCTCCTTAACGTGTATAATCACGACTTTCAGTCCCTTGAGCGCATTGCTGAGGTCTTGATCCTGGCTTAGACCTTGAACTTGGCCGGGGCCAGCTTCTTCCCACTCCGTTGGAAGACTGCACGATGACTCCCTACTGATAGTCGTGCTGCGGAGCGGGTGCGATCGTGGGAAGGTCTTGTGGCGTGGCCGGCCGTGCTGGTCATGGTCATACTCAGACGCGGAGCTAGCAGGGGAGCTGGCTCGACTACGTAGCCTAGGACTTCTCCTTGCCGGGACGGAGCGGGCTACTAGCTTTCGCCCACGAAAAGCCTTCGACTGTGACCTGCTTTGCCGCTTTGCAGCGGTTTCCACGGACTTGTCGTCGACACCCCTCTTGCGCTTTGGGGCCTCTCTCCCTTCTCTGCTCTGCCGCACAGCGACCACCTCTTCGGCCAAGGCTTTCATCTCCTCGTTGATGTACCGCGGAGTCATGTGACCGAAGAGCTGTTCAACGCGCCGTGAGTTGTCGTAGCTGCACTCGATAAAGATCGCTGCAAGTTTCCCATCCACGATCCTTGGGGCGGCCTGCTGCCAGATCTTGCTGTTGCGCGGCTTGAGGCTGAGGCTGTCCGGTTCGACGTCGCCGAAGATGAGTATCTCTCGGCCCGTAGCGACGTGCTTGATGAAGTACACCGAGCTGTTGGACACGCAGGTTTGCATGCGTTCGTCCTGCTCAGGGACAGCGACGGGAGGCGTGAGATTGCGAGAAGGAGGATATGGTACGATTTGTGTAGGTCCAACTGACGATGCGTCGAAGCTGTGGTGACGAGAGCCGATACTGCCACGAGAATTGTGCTTTTCGATGTAGGAGCCGTGACTGACGCTCCACACCTTCACAGCAAGGCCAGTACAGACTTCAGTGTATCCTATCCCGTCTCCCTCACCAGCCAGAGGAGATCCGCCTTCCACCAAGCGCATGTACGTCACCAGCCCCGCCTCGCTCAGGTCCGGCCATATGACATTGTTGAAGATGTGAGTTCTCAGGCCGTCTATGGTATCCGGGAGGGCAGCTATCGTCTTGGGCTTGGAGACCGCTATCCTCTTGTGCGTGGCGGCCGGGGGGCAGGCAGTGTTGATAACCATCCCGGCGATATGATCGAGATGAGGATGGGTTATCAGATATGTCTCGATTAGCTCATTGTAGATGTGCGCTGCGTTTGCCTCTGCTGTGGCATTTGGGATCTCAAGTCCGGCGAAGGGCCCTGTCTTGAGGGTATGTGGAAGTGGGTTTCCGCCGCTCTGCCCAAGGTTCGCCGGCTGTGTTTGTTCCAGGATAGTTTTGATTGCACTGAGGTGCACTCCAGCATCAACCGCCATAACTGAGTGCCGGCGCCAGTCGGATGAGATTGATCGAACGAGCAGCGCAGTGGCATTGTTTTCCAAGGGTCCCCCGCCAGAGCCCTAGAGCCTTGTCAGCTTCAGCTGCCATGCCATGTCTTTCAGTGGATAGCGTGCTCCAAAATTCCGATCATCCTTCCACTTGACAGGATCGAGTGAACAGGTGAGCAAAAAAAAAAAAAAAAAAAAAGGAAGAAAAAAAAAAAAGAAACGGGGCGGAACAAGGGGAAAAAGGGAAGGCAAAGAGGATGTGAGTGTGGTCTTGTGCCACCCTTGCTGGCAAGATCGAATGACAAGGTATGCACTTGTTTGAACCTGTTCTTTGAACACCACATTTTCCTCTTTTTCCTTTATTTCTTTTCTTTCTTCCCTTCCCTCTTTCTTTCACTTTCTTCACTTCCTTTGTCTTTCGTCTCCTTTCGTCTCCCTTTCTCCTTTTCCCTCTTCTTGGCTTCTTTTTTCTTCCTTCCTTTTTCCTTTTCTTTGTTTCTCGGACTTGGGTAGAAGACTTTGTATTATCTCGATCTGTGCTAGGAGCTTTGGGTGCTGAAGAGATACACGACACAATGACTGACTTGGCCACTGACAGGGGTAAAACTTGCCCCTTGTTTTGTGTGTGGCCCATGCGACAAGGATGTGCCAAACAAAGGGACACGCACCTTGGAATAACAAAGGAATAGGGGACAGCATGAAAGCTTCCGTCCGATGTGTAAGACACCCAGTTGCCTTCGAGACTCGACTCTGGCAGTCGAGAAGATTGTCAATGGACCACCCGGCGGCCCTTGAGCCAATGCACCGTTACATACCAGGCCCACTGGACCGGTACTGCTAAAGAGCGCCCGATTTCCATCAAGGGAAAACAAAAGCAACTGACAATGGAAAAGACAATGAAAAAGACGATGAGGCAAGTTGCATGGTCGCCCATTGTTTGACTCTCGGTCCACTCACCAGAACAATGACATGCAACGCAGGTTGAGGCGCAACGGCGCCGGGCGCCTCGCCGGGTATGGGACTCGCCATCGCTCCCCGTCAGAACCTGAATTGTCGGACGCTGCAGCGGACGGGCTGTTTGTGGTTGGCGCGGCCGATTAAGGGCCGGGTGCCTTGATGCAGTGCGTGTGATATCGATGCAATGCTGTTGTGCGACTGAAACCTATCGACGTCACTGGCTTCGGAAGTCTGACGGACCTGCTGCAGCGAACCGAGATGCAGTGGTGATGGCCCTTGTCCAATGTGCGATGGAGACGCCCTTCTTGGTGTTCGAATTTCCGTAAGCCAAGGCGACGACAGGTGCCAGACTTGCGACAACGGATTTTCGAATAACGTTGAAACTGGCTGTGGTTGTGTCGTTTGGGAGAAGATAGATTGAGAGAACTTGAAGATAGGGATTGCTCTTGAAAGATTTGTGTGAAGAGGTTGGACGGGAAAAATTGTCGGACGAGGGCTGCGCCTTCCACCGGGCTGAGGCGAGGCGCGAGTTTTGTAGCATCCCCGTCGGTCGTCCTCTGGCGCATGCCTGTTCCTTCCAGTTGTGGTGGTTGCCACTTCCCTGCAGTTGGCGCCCGTGCGCGCCGCTGAGCTTGTGGACGTTGAGGTGAGTGTAGAGAGGGCCGTGGAATCGAGATCCCCAGTAGTTTAGAGTGGATCTCCTGACAGTCTGTGAGACATGGGATGTTGTAAGATGTCGAGGTCGAAGGCTTTGTTAGTTCGAGTACGAGGGTATCACGGCTTGAAAGAGTTGCGACGACGCATTTCACGTCCAATCTTTGAGCCAAGACGCGCCTGCATTGCAGAAGCGGCTGAGGTGGGTCTCCATCCCATGGTTCTTTTCAGCACCAAGGTAGCCCGTCATGCCCAGCAAGGTCGACCCTACGACGACAATAGCGCTTCGGTTCCTCGATGCGTGGGCTGAATTAGAAACAAACATGAGCTCTACTATTGCATTTACGGCCTTAGAGCGTTCCACGTCACGCGATGTCGGGGCTTACATACATACGTATATAGGCCGGAGTGGAAGGTGCTGATATCGGAGGCCCACATTCGGCGTCGCCGTCCGCTCCAGGCGGCTCCAGCCGATCCTCCTCCGTTGAGTGGTGGACTTGTCGGGAGGCCGACACAAGTAGAATTAACCGGTGCGTTCTGCATTTTTACCAGATATTCAGTCCATCAAGCTCACAGAGGCGTATGATAATACGCCATCAAAAGGTACGCTTATCAGGGGTATGCTGTGTCAAAATTTCATCTCAGAAAGTCCGATGTTTCGCGAAGTCAACTTGTTGGCCTGTGGGTTCCTCGATTCGCCAATCTGACGATGATCCCCGCCTCCACACGAAGCCTGCTAGGATGGAATTGACTCTTCCAATCACGACGTCTCAACCCAGTTCTCCCCGCAGATCGGACCTGCCGTGGAGGTTACATTGCAGATATACGTTGCGATTGTCACATGCTGGTATGTATCAGCTCATGCATGCATGCTTCATGGATGCCATTGGACATCAAACATCACCAGCTGAGTGCATTGTTTTACCACCTGTTTCTCTCCTCGGTTCATTCATTCAGATCTCTCAATATGGCAGGATTATAGGAATTACCAAATCCAAAGCGCATATATAATAATGTAGGAGAACAGGGAGGGGGGATACAAAAGCAAAATTGATATTCTATATGCAAAACGCCTCTTCTATCTCTAAAATACCTTGGAACCCAAGAAGTAACAGGAACAGTCTACAGAATTCTTACCTTATATTACACCACCTACCTACCCTCAGTACTTTTTGAGGACGACTTCTTAGAGGCGCCTTACCTTAATTTACTACACCACTTACCTTCCATCCTCACCTGAAGTCCATTGTTGCACAATCAGAAAGACTGCGCCTTCTGCTTCCACCCGTTCGGCGTCGGCGTGAGCCCTCCCTGCGCTTCCCGCCGCCGCACCTGCTCTTGGATGTCCACGAGTTGCCACGGCGTCAGCCCCAGGATTTGCTGACGTAGCGCCTCGCGCCGCTCGTTCAGCGGGTCGGCAGGAGGTTCGGCGGGAGGGTCGGAGGGTTCGGAAGCCTGTTCCTGCTCTACATCTTCAGCCTCCATCAAGTTCCAATCAAATTGGGAGAACTCTTCTCTGTACATGCCCGGCGTGGATCCCGGCGTGGTGGGCTGGCTGTTCGGGTCCGACTCGTAGTTTGAATCAACAATGTCGTCGTCCCTCTGCGACCACCAGTTGTGCTCGCGCTCTGGCCCCTCTGTTGGACGCGTGGCGCGGCTGAACGCTGTCTCGCCCGTTTGTTTGGCTACCCGCTGCCTCTTGGGGGGCCGAGACGGCGCCTGGCCATCGGACGACGACGAGTCCGACCCGTCGCTGCTGATGTCATCGCTGTTGTCTTCCTGCCGCTTTCTCTTGCCCGCTTGGCTGTGCTGGGAAGGAGGGTGGTTTCTGACTGCTTGGTTATCGCTGTCGCCGTAGTCCTCCGTGCTGTCTACCCGACGCCGCTTTGCGGGCCGAGACGATGACTGGCTGTCGTCATCTCCCTCCTGCTCGTTACCGGTGGCTTGGTTTCGCTTCCTTCTCCCTTCCCCCCCTGCTGCAGCATTCTCCGCTTCTTATTCCTCTGCTGGCACAGTTCGACATACCTCGCCAAATCGCCCATGTGGATTTCGATATCTGCACTCCCTTCGCCATTCTTTCTCCGTTTTGCCCGCGTTTTCTCCCGTGCTTTGGTTTCTAACTCAAGGTGCTTCGAAGTCAAGGCGTATCCGAGGGTCTGATTGTGCTGTTTGTGGTATGGACCGTCAAGTCCCGTATAACCCGGGTGAATGTTTTTGAACAGATCAGCCCGGTCCTTTTCGTTCTCAACCCATTCGTTATACGTCCGGATCATCTCTTGATGGTCTCTCGTCACAGACATAGTGTTCTTCTCCTCCCGCAGAAAGGTTCGGGTGTCGGGACGAATCTCGAAGCCGAGTTGTCTGGCGCCATGGTGGATCAGGAAGCCCAGGTCAAACGTATTCTCAAAGCAGTGCAGGTGCATGTAGGCCGCGTTATGATACGGGTCGAGCGACGGGTTGGTCTGCGGAAGGTCCGCGCCGTCCGAGAACTCGTCGAAAGCGAGACGCCAGAATCCCTTGGAGATCGTGTTGTGTGGCTCTACACAATCTTGCAATCGACATTTGCCTGACTTCTCCCCGTTTACGAACCGGTGTTTGGACTGGGCGGGTGTATTCTGAACCCACAAGATCAGGCGCCGGTTCATGGGGCTCGGGTGCGCCCACCCGCCCAAGAATAACTCGATCTCGCGTTTGGTTAATGTTACCCAGCTCAATTCGACAGTCGGCCGGTCCCCGACCTCGACGTAGTCGAATACAGGGCGCATGTCCTCCTTGGAGGGCCTTTTTCGCTTCTTACGGCGGTCTTCCCTTTCAGCCACATTGACCTCGGGCCCCCATCTTCCCAGACCCTGCGGTATTTGGTAGTAGAGAGATGGCTTGTTCACACGCTTGTGTATCTCTGACCTTTTGTGAGAGATCTTGTAGACATTTCTGGGATTCGGCAGGTCAGGCTGCGGAGGCCCCCGTGGTGTCGGATTGGGGATGGCGTGGGGTTGCGTAGGGACGAGTCCCCCGTTGGGAATCTGCCCCCCTTGTCCCAAGGACTGCTGCAGCAGCTGGTAAGTGACGCTCTGGACTTGTGAGCTCACTCCGTAAGGCGAAGGCATGGCAGGGGCTTGTCCAGGCGGCAACGTCACATACACATTAGGAACGCCCCCACTGCCAGGGAGGCTCCCATACTCAGTGCGGCCCACAACATTGGAATTCTGTGCGCCGAAACCCTGCCCAAGATTGCTTTGCGTTGGTTGGACCCAGTTGTTCTGCGTAGCCTGCCCTGGGGCTTGCTGCGTCTGCGGCACGGGGTTTTGGGGGTACAACATACCGGACTGGTCATTGCTGGGAGGATGTTGTGACATCCCATTACCCGGGTATCCCACAAACATGGGCGCATTGGGCATCTGCTGGCCGGCCAGTGGAAGGGATGCCGGGTTAGCGACTGCGTTCTGTGGAAGGCTGGGAACCTGGCCGTTTGGAACCGTAGACGTCGGGGGGAAATGAAAGGCGGATTGTGCGTCTTGAGCGGGATCAGCGCCAGTCTGGTCGTTGCCCTGCTGGTGTTGTTGTGTAGGATTAGTTCGAGCATTACCGGCAACCTGAGTAGCAGACGTCTGCTGCGCGCCATCAGAGCCTCCATGACCGGCAACAGGGGCTTGGGCAGCATCCGCCTTGCCCGAGTCTGGGGGGAACGACACCCAGTCCTCGTAGTCGAAGGACGTGCTCGAGTTAGAGTCCGTGTTGTTGCCGGCCATGGTCAAGTTGTAGTGGTTCGAACGGTTGGAACGGGAGCAATTCACACGGTGGAATTGATGTTTGAGATCGGGATTGCTTGATAGCAGCTTGCTTTACAACTCGAGAAAACCGTGATGAGATTTGAACGTTTAATATGTGACGACGAACAGTATTGCAATAGCCTCACGCTCCGAAACCAAGCCCTTATATATAATACTTCCTTCTGTAGTCTTGGACAGGCCGACACATGTCGAGCACCGAGGAGGTAGCCCGTACAATGGCATTCAAGAAGAAAGGCATTGTGCCGGATACTGGACAGCCGGCATATTTTTGGGCCAAGGCAAAATCCAAGCCCAAGGAACAAAGCAGCGCCAAGATGCTGAGACCGAGTTTCCCTTATTATGTTTGAGACAAACTGGAACAGACAAAGAGTAAAGCACATCGACCGGAGTGCGGCCTGAAACGGCAGCGACGTATCACTATGCAGGGCCTGTAGACCAGTCAGCGTCTCATTTGCGATATCGAGGGCAGTCAAGTTGTTGAAGAATTGGCAATGGTCAGGTAGAGCTCAGCGTTGTCTCAACATAGAAGTTCAGAACAGGTCTGTGAATTTGCGTCGATTTCATCATACCGGGGCCGTGGTGGGCAACCCGCGAAAATGCGCGAAGAGAAAGAACGAGGGATAAAGAGAGCTTACCATTAGAAGGGGAGCAGAGTATGGGATGCACGTCCACCTCTCGTCGTCGATCAAGACTGATAGCTACTAGTACCTTATGGGAATCTTACCAGGTCGACGACGATGGACCGAGACCACACACCTCCAATTCCTGCTATCAGTGGAAATTTTGCGCTCGATTTGCCAGAGAAGGGGAGATGTCTGTGAGAGAGCTGTTCAAGTTTGTTTTCCCAAGAAAAAAACACGAAGATGTATGTTCAAGGATGAGCGGATCCAAACGCGCAAAATTTCTTCAGCGCATCGCAACCGCACCTTTCGGGAGCCGGATCGGGTCATTGACCTGCCGAGTCGACCTTACCATTCTAGACTAAATGCTCCGTTTTTTTTGTACGTCCACGTGTGTGTAACGTTATCGTTGAAGAGTGAACCTTTCCATCGGCGATACGAGATCTGCCAATACACCGCTCCCAACTCTTCGTAAGGTAGCGTAACAAATCAGTATATTGTGTGATTACCTACGCAGAGACCAGTAGTCTGAAGTTGGACCGTTTATAGCCGGGCGTGATCGTAACAGACTTGATCACCTCAGCACAGTGAGGGAGCTTCAAACAGGCAGTACTGTACTACACCACATATGGTACTTTACGTACTACTGTCATCTTCGTACAGATACACGGTACTCATGGTTAACGTTAGTAGTAGCGGGGGGGCGGGCCCTTGGCGCATGCGAATGCAGGTTGGCTGGGCAGGGGTTGAAGCAGGGTCAAGCCGAGCTGCCCGACCTCCGAGCAGCGGTCATTGGTTTCCTCGCACGAGCCAGGCTCAAGCCAGGGCAGCCCCACCGACCCTTGCCGTCTGGCGCCATGTCCTGACCTTACACACCTATACGACCTCTGGGTCTGGTTAAAACACACATCTCCCCCAAACCACTACGTCACAGTTGACGAGCCGTCATTATCCACGACCTGAGCAAGCCAGGCAAGCGTGACTCGGGCAGTTGGCGCCCGAGACAGCGGAAGTCCTCTTATGATCGGCCGCTTGTAGTCCCACCCGTGAAACCGCGCAGGGTTCAAAGGTGCCTCTGTCTCCGCACTCCTTCTTCGCCCTCTACCGTTTGCTGGCGTCAACACCGACACCATGGCCGGACTCAGTCCCGACTTGCAGGAAAAGCTGGAGGAGCTGGACAGGGAGCTTGAGGTGTGTGGGCATGGGCTACAGTTTCCTTCGTCTTCTTTGGTTCCTCTTCACTTGTCGACTCTTGTGTCTCGTGCCCGAATCCCTCTGCGGGGCATTGGTGATTTGCATATCCCTTTCGGTGTCGTATAGCGGATGCTTTTGAGAGAACCCCGCTGACAGATGGCTGTGTGTCTATACAGGAGGGAGATATCACTCAGAAAGGGTACGGATGCTCTTGCCCTACGCACCACGCTCGTCTAGCTTCCACCACTCCGCCCATGCGCGAGCAGAGCAGCAGCGCGCTAACCTTGCATCCTCTCCTTCAGGTATCAGAAGCGGCGCACACAACTCCTGTCGACGTATGGAATCGGCGAGGTGGAACCGAGGATGGGCGGGCTGCGGATCCATTCCCCCGACGACTATGAGCAGGCTCCATCCGGAGACCATCGGGCCGCGTCGCTCGCGGCTTTGAATGCCAATACTCCAGCCGAATACCGACCGCAATCTCCATATGAGAATCTCGACTCGCACCCTGCGTCTCTGCTGGCCCCTGGTGGCTCGATGGCGGAAGCCCGGCCTAACCTGCGGCAGCACAACTCCCTCTTTCTCTCCACCACATCCGTCAATGAACCCTCCACACGCACGGGCACCATGGTATCTGGGGACTACGCCTTTAACCCCGAGCACCACATCGGGTACGCAGAAGAGCCGCAGCAGCATGCCTTTGACGGGAGGACCGGGACGTTGCTGGATTCTCAGGCCTACTTCTCAGATTTCGCGGGGCAGGCCTACGATCCGGCGACCACGGGAGAGTACGGGGGTCCTCAGCGATACTCAACAGGCGATGCATTCTCCCCCACGGCAGCCATGGCTCCGCCCATGCTCACGACAGGCGACTTACCGCCGCCAGAATCTCTCCAGTTCATGATGCCTCTTGAACCGCGCGAGGTTCCCTTTGCCATCCACGATCCGCACGACGACAATACTCCGATGTCGAACTTTGACAACATAGCGGCCGTGCTGAGGCACCGAGGCCGCACCACGGCAAAGCTTCCAGCATACTGGGTCCTGGATAGCAAGGGGAAGGAAATAGCTTCCATCACGTGGGACAAGCTGGCAATGAGGGCCGAGAAGGTGGCGCAGGTAATCCGCGACAAGAGCTCGCTGTATCGCGGGGACCGGGTTGCGCTTATCTACCGAGACGCCGAGATCATCGACTTTGCCATCGCGCTGCTGGGTTGTTTCATTGCCGGGGTGGTCGCAGTGCCCATCAACGAGTTACAGGACTATCAGAAGCTCAACTTGATATTGACTTCTACCCAGGCACATCTGGCATTGACTACCGACAACAATCTGAAGACGTTTCAGCGAGACATCACCGCCCAGAAGCTCAATTGGCCAAAAGGAGTCGAGTGGTGGAAGACCAACGAGTTTGGCAGTTACCACCCTAAGCGGAAAGACGACGTTCCTCCTCTGTCGGTCCCGGACTTGGCTTATATTGAGTTCTCTCGGGCGCCCACAGGGGACCTCAGGGGCGTTGTCCTCAGCCACCGGACCATCATGCACCAGATGGCCTGTCTCAGCGCCATCATTTCGACCGCCCCCGGTAACGGGCCGGCAGACACATTCAACAGGAATTTGCGTGACAAGAATGGCCGTCTGATCGGCGGCGGTGCGAGCAGCGAGATCCTGCTCTCCTATCTGGATGCTCGGCAAGGCATAGGCATGATCTTGGGCGTCCTCATGACTGTGTATGGCGGGCACACGACGGTTTGGATGGAGAACAAAGCCGTCGAGGTACCTGGTCTCTACGCCCACCTGATTACAAAGTACAAGCCCACCGTGATGGTTGCAGATTATCCCGGCCTGAAGCGCGCGGCGTACAACTATCAGGCTGACCCGATGGCCACGAGAAACTTCAAGAAGGGCATGGAGCCTAATTTCCAAACCGTCAAGCTCTGCTTGATCGACACGCTTACTGTCGACAGCGAGTTCAACGAGCTTCTTGCCGACCGCTGGTTCCGTCCTCTGCGTAACACACGGGCGAGGGAGGTTGTGGCACCCATGCTCTGTCTCCCTGAGCATGGCGGCATGGTGATCAGTGTCCGTGACTGGCTCGGCGGTGAGGAGCGCATGGGCTGCCCCCTGAAGCTTGACCTGGGGCTCGACAGCAAACCGGAGGACGAGAAGGACAAAGAAAAAGGAAAGGAGGATGAGAAACCTACGCCAAATGGGTTCTCAACTCTTCTCGGACAGGGCACTACCACCACCACAGAGGAACGTGCGAAGTCCGAGCCGGGCGAGGTTCTTCTCGACAGGGAAGCACTCAAGACCAACGAGGTGCTGGTGGTAGCGATCGGAGAAGAGGCCAGCAAGAGGGCGTCGAGTGAGCCCGGAACCATACGGATTGGCGCCTTTGGTTATCCGATACCTGATGCAACCCTTGCGGTGGTTGATCCTGAGACTGGACTTCTCGCGTCGCCGAACAGCGTGGGCGAGATTTGGGTCGATTCTCCCTCCCTGTCTGGCGGCTTCTGGGCCTTGCCGAAGCACACTGAGCAGATATTCCATGCCCGGCCGTACAAATTCGAGCCTGGCGATCCGACACCAACGCCGGTTGAGCCCGAATTTCTTCGGACTGGTCTCCTAGGCACTGTCATCGAAGGCAAGATCTTCGTCCTCGGCTTGTATGAAGACCGCATCCGACAGAAGGTAGAATGGGTGGAGGATGGCGGTGCCGAGAGCGCAGAGCATCGCTATTTCTTTGTCCAGCACATCGTGGTCAGCATCATGAAGAATGTGCCGAAGATATTCGACTGCTCGGCCTTCGACGTCTTCGTCAACGAGGAGCACCTCCCTGTCGTGGTGCTCGAGTCCCAGGCGGCTTCGACGGCTCCCATCACCAGTGGAGGCCCGCCCCGTCAGCTCGATACGGCGTTGCTAGATTCCCTTGCTGAGAGGTGTATGGATGTTCTGGTGCAGGAGCATAACTTGCGAGTGTACTGCGTCATGATCACGGCGCCCAACGCCCTGCCGAGGGTGCTAAAGAATGGTCGCCGAGAAATCGGCAATATGCTCTGTAGGAGGGAGTTTGACTTGGGCAACCTTCCATGCGTCCACGTCAAGTTCGCGGTTGAGCATGCGGTGCTGAATCTGCCAGTGGGTATTGACCCGGTCGGCGGTATCTGGTCACCGATGGCGTCCAATTCGCGGGCGGACCTCCTCGCTCCGGCAGACAAACAGTATTCAGGCATCGACCGCAGGGAGGTGGTCATCGACGACAGGACATCGACACCTCTCAACAACTTCTCGAGCATTACAGATCTCATACAATGGAGGGTAGCGAGGCAACCGGAGGAGCTGTCCTACTGCACCATCGACGGTCGAGGCAAGGAAGGCAAGGGCGTGACCTGGAAGAAGTTCGACATGAAGGTTGCCGCCGTTGCGGTCTATCTGAAGAACAAGGTGAAGCTGAGGGCTGGCGACCATGTCGTTCTCATGTACACCCACTCGGAGGACTTCGTTTTCGCCGTCCACGCCTGCATAAACCTCGGCGTCATCATCATCCCTCTTGCGCCCATGGACCAGAACCGACTGTCGGAGGATGTTCCGGCCTTCCTACACCTGGTGTCGGATTACCGGGTGAGAGCGGTGCTGGTGAACCAGGATGTGGACCATCTCCTGAAGATGAAGCCTGTCGCCCAGCACATCAAGCAAACAGCGCAGGTGCTCAAAGTGTCGATCCCGACTATGTACAACACCAGTAAGCCGCCGAAGCAGAACAGCGGTCTGCGAGATCTTGGTATTACCATGGACCCCGCCTGGGTCCAACCAGGCTACCCGGTTGTTATCTGGACATACTGGACGCCCGATCAGCGGCGGCTCGCTGTGCAACTCGGCCATGACACGATCCTGGGCATGTGCAAGGTGCAGAAGGAGACATGCCAGATGACCAGCTCGCGCCCGGTACTAGGGTGTGTTAGAAGCACGACGGGCCTTGGCTTCATTCACACCTGCTTGATGGGCATCTACATCGGCACGCCCACCTATCTCCTATCGCCCGTGGAGTTCGCCCAAAGTCCCGCATCCCTATTCTTGATCCTGTCGCGGTACAAGATCAAGGACACGTACGCCACCCCGCAAATGCTCGACCACGCCATGAACATGATGCCGGGCAAGGGCTTCACCCTTCACGAGCTGAAGAACATGATGATCTCAGCCGAGGGTCGACCACGGGTTGACGTCTTCCAGAAGGTCCGCATGCACTTCGCGGCGACGGGCCTCGACCGGACTGCCATCAACACGGTCTACTCGCACGTGCTGAACCCCATGATCGCCTCGCGGTCGTACATGTGCATCGAGCCCATCGAACTGTGGCTCGACCCCAAGGCTCTGCGACGCGGTCTCGTTTATGTGACGGACCAGGAGCGAGAGCCCAAGGCCCTGCTGGTTCAGGATTCGGGCATGGTGCCGGTCTCGACCCAGATTGCTATTGTCAATCCCGAGAGCCGCATGCTGTGCAGCGAGGGCGAGTACGGCGAGATATGGGTGGACTCGGAGGCGTGCGTCAAGGCGTTCTATGGCTCGAAGGACGTCTTCGACGCGGAGCGGTTTGACGGGCGGACGGTTGAAGACCCGACTATTCGGTACGTTCGTACCGGAGACCTGGGGTTCCTCCATAGCGTGCGCAGGCCGATCGGGCCGGGCGGTGCGTTGGTCGACATGCAGGTTCTGTTTGTGCTGGGTAGCATTGGTGAGACATTCGAGATCAACGGTCTCAGCCACTTCCCGATGGATCTTGAGGCCTCGGTCGAGCGGTGCCACCGTAACATCGTGCCGGGCGGATGGTAAGTGGTGCTGCGAATTCGTTCCCTTTTTTGTTCTCTCGCCTGACTCTTTTCTTATAGTGCCATTTTCCAAGCCGGTGGCCTGGTGGTGGTGCTCGTTGAGGTAGCCCGCAAGGCCTACCTCGCGTCCATGGTGCCCGTCATTGTCAACGCGGTCCTCAACGAGCACCAGATCGTTGTTGACATCGTGGCATTCGTCAACAAAGGCGATTTCCCTCGCAGCCGCCTCGGCGAAAAACAGCGCGGCAAGATCCTCGCAGGGTGGGTGAGCCGTAAGATGCGCACCATTGCCCAATTCGCCATCAAAGACATGGACCGCGAGGCACTGGGCCCACCGGGGACTTCCTCGGGCGAGCACTCATCTAGCGGCCAAGGCGGCGCCGTCGACCCTTCCTCCAACGACCAACATCGCGGCAGCCTGGGTAGCTTCCGCAGCTCTAGCGGCGCACCGACCTTGTCCGGCAACCACGGAGCGGCGAGCAGCTCTCTGCGAAACGTCGAACCAGCCCCGCGGATCCTGGAGCACCGCGAGCTCGAACAGCAGCAGCAGCAGCATCACCATCACTACCACCAGCACGACCAGGGTTACGATGGCACGGCCATGACGCAAACCCCGGGGCCGATCGAGATGCCGGCGGATGAGCGGGATATGCCGTTTGACAATGACCAGACGCCGACAAAAGGCCACAGCCAGTATCAACAGCAACCGGGGCTAGGACTTCCAGAGCCCTCGGTCCCGCATGGGTTTGAGCTGCCCAGCTTCGATCGATTTGGAGAGGATTCCCACGACGGGCCGCCTCCCGCGGTCGAGCCTAAGCCTGGCAGCTCAGGGACAGGGACGACCGGATATTCGCAGGGGCCGCCACAGATTAGGTTGCCTGGTGTGGACGGGCGTGAGTCGCTGGATGATTGGGACTTGAGGCCCGGGAGTGGGAATGGAAATGGGGGGTTGGGACAGGATGGAGGCGAGGATGACTGGACGAGGGACGCTTATATGTCGATGAATCTTGCGGGGACACTTGGCGGGAAGTGATTTTACATCAAGTAGAGAGGGTGGGCTTGTCTTAGATATGAAAGGCAGTTGGATGTTTTGTGGCTTGGCTTTGTCTGTTTGTTTGGGATATCCGACTGATACCTATGTAGCTGGCATTCGCATTTTGGCATTATAATAACATGGGCTGTAGGTGTGGCCGTGGTTGGAGAGGGGTAATGATTGATGGTAATGTAGTAATTGTGGTTTTGTCTATCTACCTATCCAAAGAAGTATATAGAGTTTGATGAATAAGGGGGCGTCGAGTGGGATGAGGCGGTTGAGGATGATGCTCTGGCTGAAGTCACTGCATTGAAGCTTGAGCTTTACATAGATGTGCAACTTAACCCTATATATTCGGATAGGATATAGAAGCTTTTATTGTTTAGTAGTTTTTCTCTCGAGTACATTACTCCGTAGTGTTATGCAGTCCACGCATTTGCTTGGCAGGGTTAGAGTTCACAGCCCAAGCAAGATCAATGGAGATCCTTCCCCACTTGCGGCAACAGCGGCTACCTAGATCTCCCATCTAACGTTACCGCCGAACTGCGTTCAGGTGCTGACGATGCGCAGCATCATGGTTGCGCACAGGAGGACGAGGACAAGGGAATCAAGGGTGAATACCTAAGCTTACCATCGCAGATCCCACTCGCTTCGTCCACCTTGTATCGTATGTACTGTACAAATATACCTGTACTTCGCTTGTCGTCCAACATGTCTCGGCACTGGGGTGAGATGCGGGAAGCGAGTCGCTCTTTTTGTTGGCTTTTCTGTCCTTTCATCCATGTCCACAGAAGCCGACATTCGACCTGCAGCCAACAGCCTAGGATCAACGCCAATAATGGGAAAGAGCAGAATTTTACTGTCAGATGCAAGATTTGACCGAAGACGGGGAGACTGGGCCAGATTGGACCGGAGCTATTGGGACGCTCAGTAACAAAGAACCTACCTACCTAGGTGGTATATGCAAGGGACCAAGTGCAGCCGCGGCACAGCCGCTTACTCGCGCATGCTGCGCCTATCCTCACCCATCTCCAAGCGCCGTGCCTGAGGATCTAAGGGGGGATTCCAAATGAGTGTGCACAAATCTAGGTGTCTAGGATAGATACGTAAGTCCGACGAAGCGGACGGTGCCCGATCGAGAGGTTACTACGGATGTGATATTGCTTGCTGAGGTGAGAGGTGTGCTGCTGTCGGGACTTGGGAGGGGAGGGGTGGTCAGCACATGGGATCGCTCTTTCCTTATCCCACCAAGCTCGATGTAACCCTACCGCCGCGGCTCACGCCGGTTACACACCCACAGGACATGCTCAGATTTTGCCGTCCTAAATGGCCGCCTGGGATGAAATGCGCGCTCGGATGCAACCTGCAGGACTGTGCCGCTGAGAGTTGAGGCCCTGGGAGGCAGGACAGTGCAGGACAGGGCCGCTTTCACCCTTGGTCTCCCCCGTCCTCTCGGTTCATCCCCCTGCGGGCGTTTGCTGTCTTTCTTTCCTCTCCCGGCCCGTTCATTTCTGCGCTTCAACCCCCCTGCCCGCGGCCAGTTTCTTCGACCTGCTCCTTCCATTGCTACACTGCTGTCGAAATCATTCACCGCGGCCGTTTCCTTTCGAAAGAGCTTTGTTGATTGGGGGATCGCAATTGAGGGTTTGGCGGACTCACACAGACGAGCCATGGCGCCGTGCCTGGGCCCCGCACTTACAAGCATCGCGGATGGCTCCTCCTCAGCACGGGTCTAGAATTTCTAAATGGACTTCCTCCCACACCCCACCTTCGGCGTCGAGCCCTTGGATATCCCCTTCGTCGCCGACACCCCTTACGTCTTCGGCACCGATTTCTGGGACTTCCCGAAGCTTCACGGCTTTGGCGACCAGTGGGCCAGCCTACCTGCACCACGCCTGGCCTCGCTCGCGCAGTCATGGCTTTACTTCGGGACCATCTCCGAGTTCCTGGGCAGGCCCATCGACTACCGCGAGTTCCAGGTCTCGCGGAGCGTGTCGGGAAAGCCCCTGCTGCCGCTACTGGACGAATGGTTGGCCTCGCACGCCATCACGGCCGACGGCCCTGCGGACCGGGGGGATGCGGATGAGCTGGAACAGCGGAGGCAGGTGCTCTACGAGCATGCCAGGTTTCTGGATGCCGTCATCCAGCTGGCCGAGGACTTCGACAAGGTCTCTCAAAGCCACGTCAAGCCCATCCCGACGATCATCCTATCTGTCAAGGTTCTCTGCATCGCGTTGAGAAGCATGCTCTGGCACCTGGCTCGGGGTAATGTCGATGACACCCTCATGTGGCCGTCACCCGCCACGCGCAGGCGCCGGGAGCTTGTACCGGCGGCCGACGCTCCCGGAAAGCAGACGCTCTGCCCCAGCGCGCAACTGCTGCTCGACGTGCTGCGCCTGCGCGGATGGTGTCCGTTCTACGCCCGCAAGGTTATGACTTCATACAACTACGCGCTGGCTTATTACTTCACCCGCCTCTTCCGGACCTACTCTCCGGGGCTCAGTCACGACGGGTGCTCCGATGACGAGTGCGTGGCCAGCAATGTCGACATCTTCAGCTACGTCCCGAAACATGCCCGCGGCGGCTGCCTTTGCCAACCCAAGTCCGTGCCGATGGATCAGATCCGCGCCATCATCGAGGATGGCGGCATTCCGCTGATCCGGCTGAGGGGTTCATCCCGGACCGGAGTCAGGATCGAAGTCACCCGGATGACTGCCAGAACGCGTTTCGTTGCCGTGTCCCACGTGTGGTCAGAGGGCATTGGCAATGCGCACACCAACGCGCTGCCCGAGTGCCAGTTGCGGCGCCTTCACGCGCACATCAGCAAGCTGAAACCTCTCAGGAGGGATCAGGGCGCTGATGTGGACTTCAACCCCCTCAGCTCACTCGATACAGGTTTCCAACCGGCGATGGCGCGGCGGCCGAAATATCTCTGGATCGACGCTCTCTGCATGCCTCCGGGAGGCTCCACCGCCTTTCTGAGACTCCGGGCTATCAACAAGCTACCCGCCGTGTATCAGGCAGCCGACCGGATTTTGGTTCTGGATTCGACCCTAGAGCGGATGTCAGTTGCGGACTCGGACAGCCTCGAGCAGTTCGCGAGGTTCATGGTGAGCCCCTGGATGGGGAGGTGTTGGACGTTCCAGGAAGCAGCCTTGGCTTCAGCGTGCGAGGTTCAGTGCGCTGACGGCACCTTTGACGCGTTCTCACCACAAGCCAAACCGAGGCTGACTGTGCCCCCTGCAACGGCCCAGGGGCGACGGAGTGCTTGGTCGGATGGGCTTATGCGGCCTGTGGACTTCTTGGGCCGGAAACTGTTCCGAAAGTCAGAAACGCAGTCTATGCAGTTGTTGGGCGGCCAGTCAACGATGGGAGTCGATACCAGCACAGCAATGTTGGCGAGCCTGACCCGGTCTCTCAGCCAGGAGTTCCGGTCAGCGTTTGCCAACGGCGTCAAGCCCAGCAGAACTGCCCTAGGGGAGGGCAAGCTGGCTCCGGACTTCTGCACACTCTTCGTCCAGGTATGGAACGAGCTGAGCAAGCGGGCAACGACAGTACCAGGCGACATGCACATCATCATGGCGAGTCTGCTCGGTTTCCACACGGAGCCTATCATGCGATTGACCAAGTCGGCAGAGCGCATGTCTTGCATTCTACGAAGCATGGATGGGATTCCCATGTCCCTGCTCTTTAACCTTGACGGACCAAGACATAACCCCGCGAAGAACCATCGGGATCGCTGGCTGCCACTCTATCCCTCTCGACAAAAGTTGACGTTTGGGTCCACGTTCACGAATCTCCGGTCGGTTAAGGACGATCTGTATCTGCCGAATAACAGCGTCAGCCGGAAGAAAGTTGCTGTCTTCGTCTGCACGGGCGCGACCGATCCCTTCTCCTCCTGCGTGTTCACCCTGCGGGATACGTCTTCTGGCGAGCAGTTCTCTGTGGTAGTCCACCGGCATGAAGGGGAGATGGATGAGTTTGCGACGCCGGATATCGGCCCCTACTGCATAGCCATTCAACTGGAACCAGAGCTAGGTTACAGACCGGAGGGTTACATTGATGGGTTGGGCGCTGTTCCCAGAACGTTTGCTGGTGCACTATTCCGTGTCCGACGTGTTGTGACAAATGTCAAGAGGCTTTATTACCACAATCTCGAATCGGAATATGAGAGCTCCTTTGAGCTGATCGAAGATGATGCGTACGGGAGCAGCAGCAGCTTGGAAACAGCGAACAAGACGGCGACGAACTACCTGGATGGGAATCTGGCTCTCGCATTCTCGGATCACGAACGAGGGATACTGCGGACCGTGTACGACTGTCCACTCACGGTGTCTTGCACACCAAGCGGAACCGACATACTACACTCTCCGTCGAAGGAAGGGCCGACGTTAGCGGCGCAACCACTTCCTGAGACCTGGCAGGTGGTTCTCGAGCGAGGTCAGTGCTGACTTAGCTTTATTAATACGTCTACTTTTTACTTTGCATAGCTAACTTGTACTCACAGAACCGCCAACCTCAACCCCCCTCCCCTCGCGCCCCTCCTTCGCAGAAGCCATTACCCCCGTATCGGCATACCTAACCGTAACAGCCCTCGACGGACTCGTCGCAAGCGGCTGCGTCGGGCTCGCCATCGCCATCTGCGCTACCATGTTCTACCGGCTTTCCCTCCTCGCCAAAGCCACCATCATCGCAAAACTCATCTTGCATTCCCTCTTTCTCATTCAAATGTTCCTCTTCCCTGGCGTCGAGGTGCGTCTGGTCTGGGACGTCCTCCATCTTGTACTGGTAACCCTCTACACTTTCTCTCGCGTCGGCGGCGGGGTGGGCAGGATGGACGCTCTGGACTGGTCATTTGTAGCGTGGGCGTTTCTCGGGCATACCGTGGATTTACTTGCGAGGTTGGTCATCCAGTGGGTTATAGTGCCGAGCCTGTTCGAGAAGTATCTTGCCTCGTTTGATGGGGATGCTTTTTGTGATGACCAGGAATCGGGGTACAATGGGAAGAAGGGGGCTGCTTCTGCTGTTGGGGGAAGGAGAAGAAGGAGGAGGTCTGGGTTTGTTGTTGTTGCGAGGTCACGGTGGTATCATCGGGCGAGGCTAAAACTTAGGTGGTGGCGGTATGGTAGTGGTAGGTATAATGACGAGGAGGGACAGGAGGAGGTTCATGGTGGCGCTGGCGGTGGTGGTGGGAGGGATGAGGTGGCGGCATATGGGCGCTTAGAGCAGCATTTGCTTGGGGATATGAAAGGACGGGTATGATGGGTCGATTTACTGTTCCGAGGAGCGGGCATAATGTTGTTGGGGATTTACAGGTCTAAGGAAACGGTCGATACCGATGGCAGCTAAAAAGCCTTGGATGGGATGTTGGTTTGTTTACTGGGCCATGTGAAATAACCTTGGCGTTCGTGTCCGTATCTGTGAATATATTGTCTAATGATTGATCAACTGTGTGACTGATATCAGAGTGCATTGTACCCAAAGAGCAGGGCAGTTTCACGGAGAGTAATTGTTCAAGTAACCTTTGCCTGGATATTTAGGTCCAGCGCTTCAACGGCCAATGGCCTCACAGTGCAACGTCAACATGATCCTCTCACCGGTTGCGGACATTGACAGACCAGTATTCACTGAAGCACGTGTTTGGTGGAGAGGCACATACCGACACGGAAAGGTTATTAAAAGAGCGTACTTCATGCTACCTATCATATATATTATGTAGCGCATCAAAATCCTAATCAAGGTATCCCTCCCGCTGCAATGCAAATGCATGCTGTGCTCTGCTCCGCCATGCAAGGTATAGTATGGTAAGTACGTAAAAGTATGTGTGACGACATGATGTTTGTCATGTCATATGGACAACAAGAAGCCGAGATGATTCGAAAGAACCAACAAAATCAAATGCAATCTTTCCTCCCTGAGATGGCGGAGAGGGGAAAGGAAAGAGAAAAATCCATGGATATATCCTTCTCAAGCCCCCTTGCCCCTTCCCACTTCTGCTGCCGTCACTTCATCCGTCGTTTCATCCCCTCGTTTCTGTTTCCTTTGCTTCGCTGTTTTCATGTCATGTCTTGTACCATGTCGTTTTCCACCCGTTCCCTTCCCCCCTTCTCCCGTTTCGTTTTCCTGAAGTGGAATACTTGACCAAGAAGCCATGTCGTCATGTTGTTGAGGTATCGGAATCTGGTTAAAGCAGGACTCGAGCGTTGTACCCGGACCTACTACTCCCTCTCTGCGGCTCATCCACCTCAAAGACCCAGCACCTTTCTTTCGCCATTTGGGGGCAAGAGCTGAATCATCAGCCACAGGTGCCGCTCATGAAATCGACGTGATAAAAGCCATCGAGCAGTAACCGACTGTCGAATTGAAGAGATCGAGGAGTTGGAGTGGAGCGACGCTAACCATCCCGGCTCGGCCCTTCGGGTCTTCCCCACGACCCGCTCAACCACCCCACCCGAGCGTATCCAACAACGTCTTGGACTCCAAGCTACTGAACCCAGCCACGCCGAGTGCCCTGACCTGGCTGCTCCCCCGGAGTGCCGCCAAGCCGCCGGCAATCTTCCACGCCTCCTCCTCGCCAACGACAAACAGATAGCGCTTCCCTTCCTGGTCACGAATGGTAGCCCGCAGAAGATGCAGGCCGTCGGGCTTCCCGCTCCCGGCCTTCCTGCACGCGCCGCTGCACGTCCGCCCGAACTCGTCAATGTACGCCACGGCCTCCTCCCCGAGCATTGTCTTGGTCGCGCCGCGCTCGGCGCCGCGTCGCGCACTCTGCGGCATGGTCTTGAAGAACGGGTGGTTCGTCGGTACCGAGCCGGGGGTGTTGCCCGCTTGCGCGCTGACGGCATGCACGGGACACCAGACCTCGACCAGCTTCAGGGTCCAGGCCTTGATGTCCCACTCGCGCTGGGCGACGCCGCGGACGTCGTCGTCGACGAAGAGGCCTGCGCTGGTGATGCGGAGGATCAGGCCGTCTGTTACGGGCCCCACGCCGGAGATGAGCTGGGAGGCCGGCGTCTTGGAGAACTGGTTGAGGTAGCCGTACACGGCTTTGATGACTATCTTCTGCGGGTCGTTGGTTGTGTAAGGGCCGCGGGTAGATGGGGGAGGGGTGGTGCGGGCTGTCGAATGGGACGGGGCCCAGGAGGACTCGGAGAAGTCCGAGACTGACTTTTTGCGCGCGGCGGGTTTCTTGGGTGTGTCATACGGTCGGTAGGAGTATGTGTCTTCTGTGCCGGTGGCGGAGGCAGAAGCTGTTGATTTGGTAGGGGAAGGCGCCGGTTTCGTCGGGGAAGGTGCTGGCTTGGTGGGGGACGGAGGTGCCTGGGACGGGGTTGACCTGGACGGCGGAGGAGTAGATGCTGCTTGAGACGGGGCTACGCTGGGAGGCTTGCCATTCGGCCACATGCTCGTCTTCTCGCCCACGGACGAATAAGCGTAGGCTGTGCCCTTGCGCTCGTTCCTCGCCTTCTCCTCCTTCTCCTTCTCTTCTTGCTCTTTCCGCAGCCGCGCCTCTTCTTGCTCCTTGCGCAGCCGCGCCGCCCGCTCCTCGCGCTCTTTCCGTTCCCGCTCCCGGGCAGCTAGCCGCTCCCTTTCTGCTTTTGCCCTCTCTTCTTCGCGCTTCCGTGCCTCTTCCCTCAACTTGGCCTCGCGCTCCCTGGCCTCGCGCTCCCGCGCCTCTCTTTCTTTGGCCTCCCGTTCCACCTTCTCTCGCAATTCCCTTTCGATCTTCTCTCGTAGTTCCCTTTCCAGGCGTTCTTTTTCTCTCGCCTCTTGCTCCTGGCGGAGCTTCTCCTTAAGTTCGCGTTCCCTGGCTTCTTTTTCCCGTCGCTCGCGTTCCCTAGCCTCCCGCTCGCGGAGTTCGCGGATTCGACGAGCTGTTTCCTCCTTCTTCTTCGCCTCTTCCTCCTTCTTCTTGGCTTCGGCCTCCTTAGCCTTGCGCTCCTCCTCTCTCCTCCGCATTTCCTCCCTTGCCTTTTCCCAAGCGCCTTTGGGAGGGGGCTCAGTCTTTGGGGGAGCCGGCTGTGGTTGCTGCTTTGGCTCCGGAGCGGGTTTCGGCTGCGCTTTCGGCTGGGGCTTTGGCTGGGGTTTCGGCGCTTCTTTTGGCTCCTCCCGTTTCGGCTCTTGTGGTTTCGGCTGCGGCTCAGGCTCGGGCTGAGGCGGTGGAGGAGGGGGAGGAGGGGGAGGTTGAGCTTGCGGTTGAGGTTGAGGTTGTGGTTGTGGTTGCGGTGGCGGTTGCGGTGGCGGTTGTGGCTGCGGCTCGGGTTGTGGTTGCTGTCTGGGCTGCGGCTCAGCTTGTGGTTGTTGTCTGGGCTGCTCCTGCCAGGATTGATACGGACCTCCTCCGCCGCCTCTTGGAGGTTCGTGCTGAGGCGGAGGAGGAGGAGGCGGCGCCTGGTTCGGTGAAGGACCGTTCTGCGGTGGAGGGTTATATCTCCACGAGTTTGCACCGCCGTATCCTCCCCCGCCGGGCATTTGGTGACCTCCATGCCCGTTACCCTCCTTATTCTGCTGGCCGGAGGGCTCCGTCTGATGGCGACCCAAAAGAAAAGCCGCAATTCCAACACAAGCCACCAGAGTCACCCAAAGCATCATCCACATTTTATCCGGACTGCTGAACAAACTGGCCACCATGGGGCTGGCGAGGTTGGACATGATGACGACGGCCAGGGTGCTGACCACGCCGGCAGCAAAGCTGTTCCATTGTGGCTTCAAGGACGGAAGGTAGAGGAACCCCGAGCCAGCCGAGTGTTCCGGTATGATGAAGATATCGTACTTGCCGGGCGGCAGACCGGAGCCACCGGCCGTTGTCCTGGGATTCTCCCCATGCGGAGGCGGAGGCGGCGGTGGCTGGCTCATCTTTTGTGAAGGGCCAGTAGGCCCAGAAGCGCAGGATCTTGAGAATTAGTGGAAGGCCAGTGGTAAATAGAGCTATCTCGAAGCAACCATCGTCATAAGGTCATGGCTGCTGGACATGAATGAATCGGTTAGCTCCTGCGACAATGAGCTGAGGACGACGTCCCCAACGGCGGCGATAGCTCTTGAAATCTAAAACTCACCACGAGGAAATGCGAACACCACAACGCCGGACGCGCACAAACCAAAAGCCGCAACCTTGATTTCGCTCAATTTCCAAGCGAGGAGAACCAACAGGGGTCGTTTAGGTCAGACCTGTTTCTTTCGGCACGCAATTAGGACAGCTGCGGTGCTGGTGTCGTCGAATATTTCGGCATTAAAGGTTGTTCGAACGGTGCGCTGGGTTTTGAAGATACAAGGATTCCTCTTCGCAGAAGGTTTGCGCAAAGCAAGCAATGGTGGCCTCTTTGGAAAAATCCGGGCATGAACCTCGTCTGTTTACTTTGGTACAATACCTAGCTTCTTGGCCAGTCGGCGGCAGAAGAAAATGGGGTGGCGCACGGTTCATCTGCAGCCCAATAGGAACCTTCCATCATAGGGAAGTGACGATGAGGCACAAGCCATTTTCCCGCTTTCCCGCCTATCCCGCGCCTCTGCAGCTCTGCCGGGCCATCCCGCTGTCATCTCGACTTTAACATTCTTCATTCTACACGGCAGTCTTGTCGTGCGGGAGTTGGACCTGCAATACAAGCTGTCTGAGTTCAAACGAACTCAACACAAGCTCTGAGTCCTGACTCAGTCTCCGCAGAAGCTACACCGTACAATCAAAAGCTCGAGGGTTTGACCCGGCGCGGGAAACGCGGTTCCAATCATTTCCAGGGAAGACCATGCTAACGTTATCCGTACCTGACGCCGGGTGGCTGGAAGACCCTGAGAATTCGGGCTGCGTCCATTCTTCAGCGGCCCGCTACCACGGTGATAACATGAGGTCAACACACCCCCTCTCTGCTTCTTGCGCGGGGCACATTCGTCGTCTCAACACGCGTCATGCCGAGCCAAACAGCGAAGGCACCAGAGCAAGGTGCAAAACAAAACCGCGCAACGTACATACATCGCAAATCCCCTCTTTTGGAGGGGTTGGAGATGCCTTATCAGCCATCCAATCCGACGGAATTGCACCGTTCATCAACTTTGAAAGGCCGTGACGGATCCGCTTGCACAGCGAATCGCGGGTTGCAACAAAAGGACCCTAGCAGTTCCCAACGAATCCGCAGCTCTGGAGTCGTTTACAATTGTGGGGTGGAGAAACGAACCCCTGCTCGTCCGAACCAGCCACCTCGTGGGCTCACCGGTCATCGTCTCGAGATCGTCTCTCAATCCAACTTGTGGTCGTTCGGAATCCAGTGCGCTGGAAACTTGGAGAGATCAATGGTGATCATGGTGTCATCGAGCGCAAGCGACGAGCACTGTGACTACAGAGAGTCTGCTGCTCCTCTGTTTACAAGAAGCGCCTGCTACGTTGCTGAGCAATGTGAATCTGGTGGGGTGACGTTCGTCAGACCGCCAGCTCATCATCACCAGCCACTTCCAATGAGGGGCACACAAGTCTTGGCTTCTTATCACCGTTGAAATGACATAGAATTGAACCCCTCATTGACAACGGGTAGGAAGACATCACATTGCCACAGGCGCCTGCAACCTGATCTGGACTTTTACCCCGCGGAGCCGCGGAGGCTCAGAATGACGGGAGCAGGTTGGACTGGGAACCGCTATGAAGTCTCACAATGGACTCACAATGGGTAAATTGCAGTCGGAGTCTCTGCAGTATGTTCAAGGGTATCCTTCAAGTATCTACATATGGTGCTCAGCAGAGTGCGGCATGGTGGGTTCGGGACCGAAACACTTAATTCCTCCCTGGTACTGACAAGACCAAGTCAACTGTTACGTGAATGTCGGGACGAAGTGTGACCACCCAGGTAAAGTGGAACTGTAATGAAAGCTCGTTGTGACGTATATTTTGTCTTGTACAAGTAGAGATAGAACCCATGAACATACTTGCTGTGCTCGAAAGCCTTGTTGCAACTCCAAGGCACCGTAGCAACTAAGGTAACCAGCCCGTTATATACCCTCTGATCGTATACCGAATGACCAAGGACACTCAACTTGGGGGTAGCACCAAAAGCATACCCAGCTCGACAAGCCAAACCAACGCCCCGCACACCTTGGTTAGGAGCCACTCTAACAATGCCATCCCCTGAACGCCGGCCAAAACAAGTTTAACCATGAGCACCAGCATGGTGTCGACTACGCCGCCTCCCTGCCCCTGCTCGTCCATCTTCTCGTGTGGAGTCGCTGCGGCAGCCATCCCGAACGAGGCATTACCGACAGAAGCCGTGGACGAAGCATCATTCGTATCCGTACCCGTATCTTCCCGGGGAGGCGGCGGTTCCCGTCAGAGCTGCTTGGCCCGCCTGTTGGCGACGGCGAGCTTGCGCTCCAGGGAATCCGCGCCTTCCTTTGCGAGATCCAGCTGCCCCAGTTGGTAGGTAATCTCATCGTTGATCGCAATGGCGTGTGTCTTGAGTCTCTGAACCGTGCTCCCAATCTCGTTGACCCTCTCGTCCTGCTCGCGCATGTCCTCCTTCTGCATCTGCAGCACGCCCGTGTTGTCGAGCTCCCTCGTCCGCTCCGTCTCGGGCAGCGGCCGGCCGATCGTCCTCCCCACCGGTCTCCGCGCACCAGTAACGCCCAACTTGGCCCTATCACTCTCACTCGCAACACCGCTTGCGCTCCCGCCACCTCCGCTTAGACCCTTCACCGCGAAATCCGACACGATCCTCTCGAAATCATCCCTCTGCTTACTCGCAACATCTAGGAAGTCCTTCCTCCTCACAAACTCACCCTCCCCCAACCTGCCGTCCTTCTTCATACTATTCAACCCCTCCTTCAGGACAAGTAACAGATTCCCCGCCTTCAACAGCGCCATCCTCGCCTTCGCAGCCGCCGCCCTCCGCTCAGCCGGCTCCTTAGCATCCTGGTTCTGGCTCAAGACCCAATTCGCCTCTTTCAACAACTCCCTCAGCTCCTCGCGCAGGTCCACCCAACGCGCCGGATCACTCGCCGCCGCCAGCGTGGCATCCCTCGTGCCCGCCACAGGCTGCGCCCGCCCGTCGACGCTCACGCCCGACACCGACGCGCCCGCGCCGCTGGGCAGGTTGAGAAAGGCCCGCCAGGCGGGCGTGTCGCGCCACCGGCGGTCGGGCGGTTCGGCGATGGCGCGGAGGTAGCGCTCGAGCCCGACGCGGCGCTGCTCGGTGAGGGCCGGGGAGGAGACGGTGGAGCGGAACCAGGATTTGGACGGGAGCGGTTCGGGCGGCGGGGAGCCGACCAAGGAGGTCAGTGCGTTGTGCAGGGCGACGAAATCGGAGTAGCGCTTCTGCACGACGAAAGAGCGCAGCGGCAGGCGGAGCGTGATGTTGTACAGCGTGTAGGGCTTGGAGCCGTCGGCGGGCGTGTGTAGGCTGGTGGTCGGGATGGAGATCTCTAGTGGCGGGGCCATAGCTCTCTTGCTCTAAGAAGTGCCGTCCGTTGTTTTTCCCGACAGTGTGTTGGGACTATGTGTCGATCGCTACTCGTGGAGTTGGGGGACAAGCAATTGTCTTGGTGGCGTGAAGGTTGCGTAGTTTGGACCGTCGGTCGGCGATTCAGAGCGCCTTCCCGTTCGAGAGCGGTAAGGCTGATGCTGGGGGTTCCTGAGTGGTCTTGGCGGGTGGGAATGGGAACAAAGAGAAAGGAAAATTGGGTATCTCTAGAGTGTAAAATGCTGAAAAGAACAACCGCGAGAGACGAAATGTGGATGGATGGATGGATGGATTTGAAGATATTGGCGGTGCCCGAGGTCACGCAGTCGCTGGTGTCATCGACCTGCCTGCCGATGCAGGCCGGACCCTGTCTGATCGTTCCCGGCGTCCCGCCCCACCAGACCCGAACCCCTGCACGTGCGGCCGTTCTCAACAACTTCCTCTACGGAATACTACCTACGTAGGTAGTGTACTCATGACAGCAAGCTTTTACCCCTGTGTATTCGCTGCTCCCAGCAGGTCGCATCCCCGGCAGGCCAATGTCGACTGTGCCATGTATTGCATATAATCACCCCAGTAACTAGAACCATTTCCAGGCCTAAGGGAAGCAAAAGAGCGTGTGAACTACGAGGCCTCGCTTGTGGGACTGAATGCGTCTAGGGTCAAGGGGAAGGCGATGTGCAGGGAGAGTCTCTTCATCCGGAGAAGGGGAGTCTATCATCGTGGACATAGAATCAACAGGAGAAGGTTGGAAGTGACCTACCGCGCCCAGGAAGACGGGGTTTGCGTCGTTTGAGCAGTTGTAGAATATGAGGATAGGGTGCGACAGTGGTAGAACTGGGGGAGCACCCCGTATTACGCTGCTCTACCTTGGCAGCTAACCACGCCAACTTGGGAGTTCGGATACTGTTCGTGCACAACTGATCAATCAGGCTCGACCCAACCATCCACACACGGGCCGCTAAGAGGCTCTAACCAGCCAATGTCAAGAAACTCACTGCCTAGTTCTTACAGACATTGCTGCAATTGCGCGGGGGCTATGCTAAAACAGAGCCAAAGATGACCACGGAGCAGCACCAAACGACGCATGGGGTATAGAGGGCAACTGCATACCAGCATATAAGCCCCTTCGGCCCTTACCAACCTCAAATCTGTATCATATGCGTCATGTGCTCGGGACATGCTAACTGTCCCGTATTACCTTCGCCAGAAGTCTTCCCCGTCCTCGCTCGACTCCTCTAGACCTCGTATCATCGATCCCAGCACCAGAGTCGTCCCTTCCTAAAACGTCTCCTGGTCGTCAACCTGCTCCGAGTCGGGGATCTCAAAGCCCTCCTCGGTCGAGTAAAGAATGGTTTGGATCTGCTTGATCAGCCCATCCTCCTGCTTGTCCAGCTCCGGGTCCTCCTCAATGGCCTGCTGGATCAGAAGTTCGATGTCGCGCAGCTTGCTGAAGTAGAAGTCGCGCTCCCGCTCGAGGCCCACGACCGTCTCCTTCAGCGTGTTGTTCTCCTGCTGCAACGCCGCCGTTGCCGCACCGCCGACAGCCTTGGCACCGACCCGAGGGCCCGTGGTGGGAGTTGTACCGCCGGGCCGTCGTGCAGCACCGCTGGGCGCCCGCGGAGCCGGCCCGGTACTGGGAGGCAGCGCGCTGCCTTTCCGTCTGCCGACAGCATCGTAGTCGCCACCCGGGTAGTACTGGTCCCAGAACTTCTTGGTCCACTGCAGGAACTCGAGGTTGTCCTGCATCTTGCACTTGACGAGCGACTCGACGGGGATGGAACGGTCGATATGGTGCTTAGTGAAGGTGTCTTAAGCGGTGGCGTCATTGTGAGTATTCCTCCGTGGGGCTAACAGCAGATTGGACGAGCCGGGGAGTTGGCAAAACATACTCTGCAGGATCTTGAAGTTCTGGATGTAGGCATATTCGGTGTTGACGTTGAACTTGACGCGGGACATGGGCACATCCAAGAAGATGCTGTCGTACACTTGGCAGAGGGCCGCGCTGTTTTGGCGGGTTGAGTCGTCAGTATGGCCGGCACTGTTTCCGTCTCGGACCCCTATTGCGGGGGAGGGGCTAGGTGACCTACCCTGTTCCGCACTGCTCGACCTTTGTGATGTTGAGCTGGAGGAGGCTGTTGAGCCATTGGATGAGTTCTTGCCTGTATCAGACCCTCTGTCAGTCGGTCTGCTGGAGCGTGTCTGTCGCGATCAGGGCGCCGCCGAACGGGAGAGGGGAGTCGGGCAAGAGACGAACCGAGATTCTCCCATCTTGTCTGATGTTGGTGCTGTAGGGTATCCGAAAGATTCTGCGAGGAGGCTACGGTGAGGAGGAAAGTCGCAAGCGAGTGGCGGGCGGGATTTGCGGGAGGTCGTTTGTAAACCAAGCTGTAGGCAGCGATAATATGAATGGAGCTTTCTCCCAATCGCAGCCAGTTGATCTTCGAAGAAATCAAAACCGAAAATCGGGCGTCGGCCAATCAACCATGGTGGGGTTGTCCTGGGTGAGGCGCTGTGAAGCATTCGACCCTAACCCTCAGCTACACCTCCCTCTCGTCCTTTGCTCAACACCCACCATTGCATCACCTACGGTATGACTACTAGTACTACTAGTACTACTAGTACTACTACCTCCCCCGTGCTCCCCAAACAAAATCACACTCTTCACCCCATTCACACCACAACCATAGCCAAGAAAGCAGAATCCATCTATTTATCCTCCCATATGGGCTCGCAACTCGACGTAATATGTTTGTTGATACCTGGATTAATCGCGTCCTCGAGGCTGGCGGGAAGACGTTCATCATGCCTGTAAGAACCCGATTCATTGCCGACTGCGGCACCAATCTTTACACCGAAGTCAAACAAGCAGCAGCGGCAGGCTAGCACGGCCGACCCAAACAAGGATCTAGAGACGACGCCGCGTCCTCCTCTCTTGTACATTAATTCGCCCTGCATACCCATCCCCTCCTCTTCATGGCTCCCTGCCCCAGGACTGACAGTTCTCCAAATCCAGATCGAAATCAGAGTTGGGACAACCTCAGCGAGGTCCAGTCCATCAGCACCGCCGACACCAGTGGCGCATCGCGATCCGGAAGAAGCAGCCCTCGCAAGAAGGAAGTCGCGCTCCGTCGCACCCACGAGTGGCCCGTCGCCCGCGTCAACATCACTCAGCTTAAGTCGATCCCTGCTCTGTTGGAAAGTCTTGCGCTCGATCTGAAAAAGATCGTAGATGGCAGGCAACCGCTGATCCCAGACATTTTTCGAGTGAATAACAGCTATTCCTACTCCTCACTTCGCCCCTCTGCGACTTAGCGCTGACGTTTTGTCTCACAACAGGAATCCATGAGTGCCAACGCTGGCATGCTCGACCAGCCAAACCCTGACTGGTTTTATACTGCGAGAGACGGACAAGAGGAGCTGAGGGCCGTACATCGTCAGATGCAGAAGATTTGCCGAAACAGCTTAACGTGCATGGACAGATTGGAATACGAGCCTGCGTGGAACGATATGGTACATTTCCACGTTCTAGAGGACGCCCTCGAGGGCCCAAAATGTCGTGACCTTCCGGAATATCACGCTCTGCCGCACGCTCAAGGCGTTCCATGATGATGACCCTGCACTACGGGAGAACAAGGTAGACTACGGCATCTTTCTCCAGCCAGCACGAGGAGATGACGGCCTTGCCGAGCGCCTTTCGGACCTAGCGAGCGAGGATATCGACCTCACCCACTTCACGCTTAGCGACTTCGCACCGACCCCACTGGCTATTAGCATCAAGACTAAGACTCTCCAGGCTAAGCCGACCGAGGGCTCCGTGCAGCTCGCCAACTGGGTGCGCGCCCACTTCCGACAGCTCGCTAGGCTTGTCGAGCGCTGCCACCACGATCCGGACTACCAGTTACCCGTCCTCCCCATCATCTACGTCTACGGCAATACCTGGAGGGTGGACTTTGCGCATCGCTGTGATGGAAAGACCATGATATACGAGGGAATGAGCGTCGGCGACACGCACACAGTGTACGGATGTTATCAGGTTTGTGCAGCGATTCGGCGGCTTGCCGCTTGGGTCCAGGAGGACTTCCGGAGATGGTGGTTAGAAACTACGAAGCTGCCCATGTAGCCCTAAGTTACGCCATTGTCGGCCGGTCCCCTGAAACGTCGTTCACACCTAAAGAGAATGTGGTCAAACCGCCGGCGGCGGGCTCCCCCTTCCCGCCGCGAAAGCCTCCCGCACCGCCTTTCCTTCGGCGCTCCTCTCCCTAATCACGGCTACAGCCCCTCACCCAGCGAACCATCGACCTCGCCCGGGCCGGCATGAGTAGCAGTCGCAGATGAGTACCACATACAAGCACATGCAACTGTCCGGCGGCGTTGTACGCATCAAGGCCTGCTTAAGACGAGACTCCACTTTGGAAGCCCTAGAGCCTAGATCGCTCACGTTGAGACGATACAATGGCCGCTTCAGCAGCCGATTGTTGATCAATCGTTAACACGGAGATCCCCTCTATCTGCTTCCCCGTTGTCCCAATAGCATGCACCGGCAAAGCAGGAAGACTAGGTGCCTTACCTAGCTATCAAAAGATGTAGGTCTGACAACCATCAGCCACGAGACCGGCCTGCTCATTGGTTGGTCTGCACTTAATTTTTTTCCCACGGTGTATCAGAGGCGTCATCTGTCGTGGTTTTAGGGCTGGGGAATGGGGACGGATTTGGAACATATAGCACAAGTTACCAGGTACTAGGTAGGCAGGTGCTGTTAATTCGTACTGCTTTGGTTTACATGCGTGTCAGGGCGTAAACATAACCCCAGACGGACTTGACCAGAAGGTAAACAGCCACCTACCGCATGATCACAAAGTTGATTGGGACGGTAAGGTCCGGGTTTGAATGAACCGGACATATTCCACTTCTGTGCAGCTCGTCGCCGAGCACAGGACGTCGGTCGAGTATAGTGCACTTCCAATGGGGACTGACACTGCTCTGCCATAAATTCAGGGCGGCGCGTACAAGTGCATAATAGTCTGCGTCAAACTTAATGGTTGACAGACTGGGCGAGTGCTCTAATATTAAACTTCCCGAACTGGGGATAAGGCTTGGACGCAGAAAAGGCGTCTGCCCTTGACCTGTTGACAATAGGCCTTTAACCTAGAGTTAATTCTTCGATGAGGTGCTTTTGGGTAGGTCTGGATCTGCGTTGGGTTGTACGGAAGCTCGACGTAGCACGTGTATATCTGTGTCGAATGCTCCTCGGGGAGTTGCGACAAATCGGCATCGAATTGTTCCGTATTACCAGCTGCCCTCAATGACCAGGTCCGTGGTCTGCGTTGCTTTTCCCTCAAAGCCACCTACATAACCCTTCTGGTACTTGGTGTAAGTCTCGATAATCGGCTGCTTGGTCAGTCGCTTCGCAGGCGTCGCATCCACAAAAGGGTAGCCCTTAGCCCCCGTGTCCTGGAGATGATTTAGTAAGGGGGACCTCTTACCCGAGTACGTCTAAAATGTCGCCTTCGCCTTTCGGGTCCCAATTGTGCAGCTTCACAAGATTGGACTCGTGGGTGCACCACTTGTACGCCCAGTCGTTGACTTCATCGACCATGTTCGTCTGGCGACGTCCGGAACGCGAGTAGGGGTTCGAGACGCCCTCGTTCTCGTCGCAGACGAACCTGTCACCAATTCGGTGTGTAGAGTTCGGCCTCTAGTGATGAGGAGAAGTCAGAGAGAAGCCAGACAGCGACGTCGTCGCTATGGTCAACGCCGCTGCTGTCATCAAGGCTGTCGTCGCCGCTGTCCCCGTCATTCCCGATATCGACGGCTTTGGTGGCTTCATGACAGCAGGAACTCCCTGTCGCCATGGAAGGAGAAGTCCTGGTCGACGGCGCCGGGCAAGCCGACGAATGTCCACGTGGAGCATCTACGGCGGCGGCGGCATACCGCCAAGGATCTGCAGAGACGCCGTCGCTCATGGCTCGTCCAGAGCCGCCAGATGGAAAAGAGAAAGGAGCATAACTTACTTTACCGTATCATGGCGCTTCTCAAGTCAGCATACTCGGGTATCGTAGAGGCTACCGGAGAAGTGACATCTGTTGCGGGCTCCGGCTCTTCCTGATTCTCCTTCTTCCTTTCCTAGTCGGAGGCTTCACTTTCGTCCAAGATGACATGGATCAATTTGACGAGCAGAACTCTGGATCAACAGCGTGCCCAAGGAGGTGGCGGACAGCATAAGCGACAGGAGAAGAAGAGACAAGAAATCATTTCGGAGATTTGCTACACGGAACGAGACTTCGTCAAGGACCTCGAGTACCTCCGGGTCAAATGAGATGAAATCAGAAGCCTCAGGCAAGCCCTGCCACGACGGACACGGCCCTCATCGACACGGATACCATCCCCCAAGGTGTGACGTCTCCAAAGCTGACGCTCGACGTCTTTGAAAAGAGATCTTAATGCAATGTACCTTAGTTACATAGATGACGGCAACGAGGAGGAGAGGGAGGGGAGGTGGGTGGGGGGAAGAAGGGTGGTGGTAGGGTGGTGGTGTTATGCCGGAGGATGAACCGGCCTTTGAGGAAGTGCTTAATGGATCAAAACATAAATAAGGTATGCTCCGCACCCATTGCTGTAAATCTAGATCCTAACGTGAGTCAACCCAGCCTGCTTGCCGCTTCCTGGCCGTGCGTCTTAACTCTATACACTGCAGTATTTGAAGGTGACCAGGCATGCCGGCCTCCTGCTGTATTTGTTATACCGGAAATGAAGAGGCCACGGCAATGTTTGTTTAGGTATCACGCAAAGATATGTGCCAATAGATGCAATGACATATTATGCGGGGTCTGAGAAGTATATAGATACTTGCTTTGAATCTACACAGGTGAGAACAGAAGACACTTGGCGGTAGCTTCGGCATGAATAGTTCCTGAGAGAGCGCAAGTCAGCGGAGTCCCCGTCCCCATCACTGCCTATGCTTCCCCACCTTCCCCTAGTACTCTTCACCCTCCCTTGCCACCCTCAACTTGGCCCTGCATACTATTACGATGCCCTTCAAAACAATCCTGACACAGCCCCATCTCCCACCTAATTTCAACCTTTCCCTTCCCCTTCACCTCCTCACCTTCACCACCACCCTCCTCTTCCTCCTCCTCCTTCTTCTTCTCCTCCTGAGCAGAGGTAGCCAAAGACGACAACTTACCAGTACCAGCACTAGTATACCGACAACCCTCCTCAAACCCACCCTGCACCACCCTCCCGCCGGTTCTTTTCTTATTATCCGTCGTCGTGTGCTTCAGCTGGTAGGCCACGCAGTGCTCCCACACGGTGGCGTACGGCTCCCACACGCGGTGGCGCTGCCCGCCGCGTGGCGAGCTGCGCGTGTACCACCCGGTACCCACGAAGCCGCCGCCGCCGTCGTTGACGGCGGCTTCGGCGCGGATGCGCAGGCACGCCGCGTGTGGGCAGCATTGCGGATTGTTGCGGTCCGGGCACACGCAGAGGAAGTGTTTGGCGATTTGGTGGCACATCTCTTTCTCCTACCTTCCGTCGTTTTTCCTTTTCTTCACACTGTGGGATTGGATGCAACAAAAAAAGGGAGGAGAAATGGGGGCGGGGGCCTTGAGGGGGTGGGGAGTAAGGGGGGATGATAGCTGTTGTTGTTTGTTCGTTTTGGTTGTGAGGGGGGCCAGTGGTGAGTCTGGTGACTCTGGCGAGAGCAGGCAGAAGATGGGCTCTTATATGTACCAGACGCCTTGCATTGTGTTGGTGGGTAGTGTCATGCTGTTCAGTAATTGCTTTGTTCTGTGTAGCAGTGTGGTGAGTTGCAGTGGAACAATCGCATTGTGTCGACAAAACTGCAATTCTCAAACCGGCCATATAGAGTGACCAGAGTAGTCTGATGCATTCCAGGTCAAGCATAGCATATGATACGGATGTGGTAGTGCCGAGATGGTTGGCTCTAGAATACCTTACCTATACCTAGATTTGAGACGAGGTCTAGCGGATGACTGCCGGCGACTTCCAGATCAGACCGATCAGTCACTGGATGCTGGGTGTTATCCGAAAAGTGCCGAAGCTTTGTGCTTTGTCTCAGCCTAAGTAGGTACTCACAAAGTAGAGCGCGTCACCATGAATGGAGAAGTTAATAGTGTTGTCACCACTGGTAGTCAGTAGGCAAGTCCATCATCTACGTTGACTCGTGTGATGAAGGAGTACTCAACCGGCTCTATAGTCTATATTCGCTGCATTCCCAAGCTTGGTTTGCTTTAGTTGTCAAAAATCATCTAACTACTGTGGTCGCCTGCATAAAGAAAACCCCATAGTCAAGTACCTGTGGGTCACAACACTCGACGCGTTTTGACCAATCAGCTGAACTTATCGAGCCCCCTGTTTTTTCGACAGCCATCTCGTTCTCGTTAAACGCACTCAACGCAGTCATCGCAGTTGACGCACTCAACGTAGTCAACGTAGTCAACGCAATCCAGCAATACAATAGCACGGCTATAAGGGTCAAGTGGTACGAAGCAGTTGACTACCGAACAACGCCAACGCATTCGAGTCTTATACTTCGATATAGCCAAAAGCCAAGCTAAGATCCATCGTATCACTGGCTATACTAAGGCCTAGATCCGGACTATAATTCGCGCTCCTGATGCAACTGCCTACTAGAGTACTGGCCGGCCTCGGATATTAACGCCAGAGCAAGAAGAAGAGCTTATTCAGTTTGTTTGTTCCAGCAAAAAGACTCGTCGAATGGGCTTCCTCGAACTCTCGGCTATCATCTTCGCTGGGGTCTTCGGCGTTTGGGTGATCAAGCATGCCCTTTATCGACTCGGCTTCCGCCGGCGAGTTGCTTATAAGAAGCTACCGATTACCGAACGAACCTGGCAACTCCGTTTAGCTTAGGCGTAAGAGTATAAACATTGGACCCTTAAACAATAGGCAAAGATCCTTTGGACCGATGAGACTTGGGTTACTGGCGGGCTATATCGGAAGCAATATGTTACCCGGCGGCAAGGCGAATAGTGGGATCCTACTTGCATTGTGGAAAAGCATTAATATAAAGGAGGCTGGATGTTCTAGGGTTGCTTCTCTAGCTTAGGTAAAGGCCCTGGACTCTTTTGGGAAAAGGACTAGGGGAAGATCAACGCTGAGACGTACCGTGCACGAACTGTCCCTATTATTCATAGCTGGATATAGATATATAAGGCATAGCTTGGTGAAGATCTAATCTTGATGCAAGATAGTGCTCTAGGGCATATAGCTGCAGAGACGAAGGAGGATCTTAGGGAGAGAGGCATTGTTATGATAGAGTGGCCACCTTTCTCACCAGACTTGAACCCAATTGAGTCCTATTGGAATTGGATGAAGGACTGGATTGAAGACCGGTATGGCCTTGAAGAAAGGCCCTCGTATGACAAGCTTCGCGAATATGTTAAGGAGGCTTGGGAGGCATTGCCGGACGACTACTTGAAGCAGCTGTTGGCCTCAATGCCAGAGCGCTGCAAAGCTGTTATTGCAGCCAACGGGATGCATACAAAATACTAGCTAGTGGTTTGGTATATTTAGTGTAGAAATAAGCGGGTATCATTGCCTGAATCAGCGAGGGTACCCCGCATGGAGGTTTTTATTACCCATCATACCACAGTAAGCTGGGTGAGCACACCCAGTCCGATCTCCGTTTTGAATCACGGCTGCCTCACCTGGGTATCAAAGTCGCCTTGTTCCTCTGCTGTTCTCATCACTGCGGGTTAGTGTGTTTTGTCTCTGAAATTGAGCCTGTTCCTCCGCCCCACAATGCCGAGCGAAAAGGGGCTTATATCTGTAAGGGACTTCTGTTTCCTGATCGCATTGCAATTCAATCTTAGAAGCTAAAGTGACCTCCCCATGGAGATGGGTCGGGGGTGGTTGTAAACTGTAGAACGGTTTTTGATGCGTCCCTCTTCCTACCCTTGCTTTCCTCCAGTGAAGGGAAGATGGAGGTGCCGGCGTCGCTGCAGATCAGGCGGAAGCCAGTTGCCACTCCGCAACCACCCGTTGGCCCCGTTCCGGACCCGGAATTCGTCAAAAGGCCGCCCCCACTTCCGGACCGGCCGGCCGGAGACAGACTCCGGCTCGACACGCAGTTGCCAACCAGGCCGGTTTCCCGCGGCGCAGAGCCATCGCTCCTGCAGGTTCCGGGCCACCGCCTGCGCCCACAAACTAGCATGCCCGAGCTCTCGCGCTTCGCAACAGACTCTCAGCCGCCCAGCCCATTTAATGCTGCTGCGCCAGTGCCTGCCGCGACTTTCGGCCCCGGCATCAGCGACAGCAAGAAGAGTTTTGTTCAGGCCGCCCTCTCCGAAGCACGCCACTTTGCAGGCGGACTGATACCGCATCCGACCGAGTCGACAAAGCACTACACCATCCTCCGCCACTCGCCGCCGCTGATCTTCTACCGCGGACCAACCACGTCGGTTGCCATTACCATCTTCAGCTCGCCCGATCATCCGCTCCCGAATGACCGCACGCTGTGGCTGCAGCAACGCGGCTTCTCGGGCGACAGCGGGATGAAGATCAAGGCTTTCTTCAACGCCACCGACGACTGGCTGCATGTGACACCCTCGACGCAAGTGCACGTGGACCAGCTGCCCCCAGACACGGAGCGCACCTGGCAGCGGGACATTGGCAAGGCTGCGAAGAAGTTGCTCAAGGACAAGGGCCACAAGAAGGCCCACGTCCCGCGGGAGACGCATGTCATCCGAATCCCCGAAGCCTCGGACGACGGGTACTTCCGTCTCATCCTCTGCACCGGCAAGGGCACGCCGTTCGAAAGCAGCGAGAGCAAGTCTCGGTGCAAGACTCTCTGCACCAGTCCCATCTTCCGCGTCGCCAGCGCCTCGGCAGACTCGAGCGTGTTCCGCGGTGCCTCGCTGAGCACCCTGCCCCTGGAAATGGGCGTCTTCGTGGCATCCGTGGTGGCCACGACCGCCGTCGATAAATACACAGCCCCAGTCAAAGAACCGGTGCAAGCCGTGCTCGACAAAGTCCGTCCCGGCCTGGTGGCCGAGACTGTCGGCAGCCTCGTCGCGGACGAGTTGAACGAGCGATCTGCCGAACGGGACGCCGAGCGCGACCGGGCCTTCCACGTTGCCCACCAGGCCCACGTAGCACGCGCCGTCCTCCAGGCAGACAGCAACGCCACGGGCATCCACGCCATCGGGCCCGACTCCGGCCCAGAACCGCCGTTCCCGCTCGAGTTCCAGGGCAAGGTCGTCGCCGGCACGGGCCGCAGCCAGGCCGAGCTGGGCATGCCCACCGCCAACCTGGCCGGCGTGCCCGACGAGATCCGGTACCGCCTAAAGGGCGTCTACTTTGGCTGGGCGCAGGTCGTGCCGCCCAAGAAGCAACAAGACCCGCGGAACCCCAACCTCGAACCTTACTCCCCTCCATGGCAAAAAAGGCAGTGGCACGAAGCGATCATAACCATCGCGCCCAGCGCACATACCCGCCCCTCCGTTCTTCCCAAACCAGAAGTAACAATCCATCTCCTCAACTTTACAGTTACAGGCACCACAGGCACCACCGGCACCGGCACAAATCTCAGCAACAACCACACTACCAGCTCTTCACCCGACCGATCCCTCCTCCTCGGCCTCACCCTCAAAACGCTAATAATGGGTCTCCTCCGACCCATCCCCCTTCCACCACCACCACCCCTCTTCCCCCCGCACCTCTCTCCTCTTCGCGAAAGGCCGCTAGATGCCTGCTCACGAGACATCTGCCTCACCCTGGTGAGCCTCTCAGACGAGCGCGAGAACTGGCGGCCCGGCGCTACCCTTCTGAGACTGAGACAGCAGCAACAGCACGAGGATGATGATGATGTCCTTGAGAAGGTGATGGAGGTGGAGGGCCAGGTGAAGAAGGGGATGGGGATGGTGCCCGGTATGGCGCGGGTGCAGACCACCATCTCGAAGGTGGTGGTGCCGCTGCAGCATCGGGTGGGCATTCGCGGGGGTGGGGAGGAGGATAGGGCAGGGAGGGATCGGGTTTTGGGGGTTGGTGGGTTCTGGGTTGCTCGGTGATTCTTTTTCCTTGTTCTTGCTTTTAGGATATTACTAACTTGGAAGGGGAAAGAGAGAAGGTAAAGTGAGAGTGGGGAAAGGAGCAGATTCTACGTAACAGGGGATGACAGTTGGTGGGCACTCCCAAGGTAGAAGAAGACTTGTTACTCTTTGGGTTAAAGGGGAGTAATTGTAATCTATAAATCATTTTCATTAGTCTGATAAACAGGTAGCCTGCCTACCGAGCCTACGTAGTAATTACCTAGACAGCGGCTTAGATATCCCAAGCACACTGCCAGTGACCGACCTTCCTTCATTAGGAGATCATGTCCTGTCGGCCCGCTGTATCGCTACTAAAGTCGGTCATCAGGAGTATAACCTCCAAGGTCCGGTATCCCTTTCCTGGATGCTATTTACCATGGTGGGGGTGAAATGCACGAGGAAAGCAGCAACCGTAGGCACAACATTTGGGGAAGCACACCCGGTCACTTTTTTTGCAGAAACAGAGAGTCCTTGGATAAGTGCTTCAAATATCGAGATTCCATAAAGGGCGGCCTCACCATTCAAGCCAGCAGCACTCCTGAGAGGCTACATCTCTGTCAATGAGATAGCTCCCGAGATCCGCGTGGTCCCGATGCCAGTAACTCCATTGTGACTCTCCTCCACCGATGGACTAAACACATGAAAACACCTTTGAAAACCCCTTCGAAGACCGGTGCCGACCCAACGATAGCCATAGCCTCGACACAGCCCGTTGCAGCAGCCCCCCAGAACTTCACTCCTCAGAAGTAGAGGGAACCACGAGCGAGTACCTGGCCTCAACCGTGACGCCACGGGACTGGTCCACGATCATGCGCGAGTTGCCGACAAAGGTGCCATTCTCCAACGCCTTGAGCGACCGGTCGCTGACATTCAGAGTCACCCACGAAGCTGGTACAGAAGAACCCAAGGTTTGTCAGTCCACATGTGCAAGGGGGAGAAAAACAGAAAGTAGTTCCTAGGTTAAGTACTCACTTGAGAAGCCAAACCGAGTGGTCTTCGCATCGGGATCCAGTAAGAAGATCTTCTCCACGGACCGAGACATCTCCATCACGCCGCCGCTGCGGATGTCCAGAGTATGGCCCTTCTCAGTTCTGCACAGTGCACACGCGCACCCACTAAGTCAGCTTTTGGGCCGGCAGGAGAAAGGTAAGAAAAAAAAGCAAAAACTAAACCTAGAACATACTTTGCGATCAACCGGATGTCAACACGCGCATGTTGCCTGTCATGGTCCATGGTGAACCAGTCGGCGCCGAACGTGAGGATGCCGTTGAAAGCCGGCGCAAAGCCGGGCACGCTCTCGATGGTGCCGTGAGCGACCTCCTGGTTAAATTGGGTTTCAGCATTAGTCGAATGCTCCTGTCGCGGTAACGCAAAGACATCGGTTGGAAACAGCGAGCGACTCAGCGTACAAAGTGGATGGCGCTCTGGCCAGTATGGATGGTACCTGATGAGTTGATTGTCAGTCAGAGAGTGACGTTGGGAAGAAAGAAGTGAATGGCAAATGGAGAGAGAGGAAAGAGGGCAAACATACCAATGGGACTGACGTTCCCGATCTTCGCCTTGACCACAAAGGCAGGCTTGAGAGAAGGGAATCCCTTGAGCTCCATCGACGCCGTCATCGTTGCGGAGATTGCTTGGGCAGTGAGTGGTTGGGTTTGTTTGTTGTGTGTTGGCTTCCAGATCGGTGGAAATACGTGGGAAGTTTGTCTTGTTCGTGATGTGTTCTGGTCAGAGAAGAAGAAGGAGCTTTCTGTGATGGGCAGGCACTGAATGGAAACGCCAAAGTCGGCGCGAGCTGGGACCGGAGTATAGCCGGAGTTCCGAAGTTCTCTGGAGGACTCAGATACGCCGATTAGGGAGGGCCTTCCAGCGCGTCGAGCGTGTCGTTCGCGGGCCATGGCTGGTTACGCGTGCAGCGCACAGCGCGTCTAAATGGCTGGCTACCTGGCTTTACGCATGAGGCTCATGTTATCAGCAAACGCCTTCTTGGGAGGGGGGAAGTTGAACGATAAGGGGAAAGAGCACTCAACTGCCAACGATGGCGCAGAGTGGGCGTTGAAAGCAAGATGTGGGCAGGGTAGTAAATAGCCAAGAGTGGTTGAGGTTGAGGATTCCATATATACAAAGTCTCAGTGGAGATCTTGTTCCTTGACGGTGAACCGAACACATCCCGACGTGGAGAGATTTTATGTAGAGTGTGCTCACGCCGTTTGCTTCAGTCCTGATCATCTCGGTTCGGACATATAGCTTGCGTGGTCACTAGCCCGGGGCACTTGCATTAAGGTTTGTGCTGCCCCTGTCGTTTTATGTTTGTCACCAGAACGTGTGCCGCCAATTACATGAAATGGACAGGACTTTGTTCAAGAGTCAAGAGATGGCGTTTTTGGAGTATGAGACTTGGTCCATCCGGAGTATAGCCCATGTAAAACCCCATCCCCAAAGGCAAGAAGCTACTAGTCGTAAGGAAGGGGAGACGAGGGCCGAGGCGGAAACATGGGATACAGTCCCCAACCATTATTGTCCTAAAAGGCCATCTCTATAGGTATAAGGTAAATCATCATTATGTGAGGCAGAATAAGTCCGCTTTCTTTCCCCTGGCTGCATACCTTAGGTAGCTATCGAAGGGGGATGCCGTCTCTTACTCCTGCCAAGGGAAAGCTGTTTCCATAACAAACTTACCTTACCCTTCCTTTGTTGTCTGACCGCTCTCCAAGGGATGTTGGCTAATACTGTACCGGATCACCTCAGGAAGAAAAGTACTGTTGCCACTTCTTTCACCTGATGAATGAGACAAAACCTCGGGTATTTATGCCTGCTGCAGGAAGACGTCGCTCACTACGCAACAGGAGGGCCACTACAAGCTCCACCAGTTTTATGTTGAACTCACAGGCGAGGACTGGACCAGAGAGAAAAGAGGAGGGTTATCCACCCGAGAGTGAGACCGCCATGCGGGCCCGATATGCCGCATGGCCGCCTGCTAATAACGCCGAGATCACCAGTCTCGCTCAGCAGGCAGCACATCGGCACTCAAGCCAGCAGTCTCGATGGGTCATGGTTTGAACCGTTTGCTTTGGCTACATGTAGATAAATAGCAGTAAGGCTGAGGGGCAGCTGCTCGCCGACCCTGGATGGTTGAATTCGTCACTGATCGCTTCCCTTCTAAGAGTGGAATTGCTTTCTCAAGCTGTTCAGTGTTATACTACTATCCTCTCACTAAGGTACTTAACAGGTAAGGGAACTCAAAAGCGATACCTGTGTTAATCGAGCATGGAGATCAAGTGCACAGTGACAGTCAGAGCACGATCTCATTGATCCTTCCAATGTCTTCCACCGCAGGTAGACCAAGTTCCTGATCTGCGGATGCCAGATCTTTTAACCACCTTGCATTTAGCTGCGGCTCGGCATGGCTTCCACCTCGCCACCACATTCTGCTGTCCGTTCCGCCTTGTCGGCCCGGCCTCTTGGCGGGACGTGTCATGGTTTGTTCCGGCTCCGGAAAGGGATGCTCGATGGAGTGCGTGGCCGCGAAACCTGCACTTCGCAACAAATGGCAGCCAACCTAGTGAACCAGCCTTCTAGAACCTCAACCCAACTATCAAGCCCCCCAAAACCAGGCCAGCTTGTCGTCCATTTATTGTCTTTGTGGTCTCCCGCCAAGAGCTGACGTTCCCACGATTTCCAGAGACTTGGCAAACCTGCGATTCCCCTGGTCCATTTCCAGGAAAGCCGTCATTCCAAAATTGGGACGGGACGTCGTCCGCCGCTGGCCGGGTTGCTGGGACCGTTACACACGGCACTTCCATTCCGCATTGCCGCATCAAATTTATCCAGCATATTAACCGAGTGCGAATCCACCAATTGTCCCTACCACAGTGCCCGGTTTCGAATGGCTTCACACACCCCGGATCAAGCCTTGGGTCGCATCCATGTGGAGAACCACGCCCGATTGTGTTCACGGGGTTCTCGCGAGTGTCGCCGAGCGGCCCAGCCCGTGGGACTCGGCCGGAACTGAATCGAAATTGGAGGACCGACGGAGCTGTAACAGACCGTGGCGGTCGCTGCCAGCGCAGAATAGGAATCGTCGGCGCGGCTTGGTTTGGTAGGTATGGGGATTCAGGATTCCAGGAAACAGGGCCGAAATGGCGCTGTACGGAGCATACATATAAAGGTCGAGTCGATGGCCGTTTCAAACATCACCGCTGGCTTCCGCGCTCCTCCATCCTCGCCAACTCGGATCCCTCCAGCTCAGCAGCCGCCACGATGAAGTCGCTCACCATTGCCGCCCTGGCAGCCCTCTGGGCCCAGAACGCGTCGGCCCACGCAACCTTCCAGCAACTCTGGGTTGACGGCGTCGACTACGGCTCGCAGTGTGCCCGCCTGCCGGCTTCCAACTCCCCGGTCACCAATGTGGCTTCCAACGATGTCCGGTGCAATGTCATCGGCACTCGTCCCGGTGCCAAGTGCCCCGTCAAGGCCGGCTCGACTGTCACCGTTGAGATGCACCAGGTTCGCACCCGCTCGTTTTCTCACCCCCTTTCCGGGCTTCTCAGAAGTTCAAAACTAACACACATCCTCAGCAACCCGGTGACCGCTCGTGCTCCAGCGAGGCCATCGGCGGCGCCCACTACGGGCCCCTGATGGTGTACATGACCAAGGTGTCGGACGCGGCCTCGGCCGACGGCTCGACAGGCTGGTTCAAGATCTTCCAGGACACGTGGGCCAAGAACCCGTCGGGCGGGTCCGGCGACGACGACTTCTGGGGCGTCAAGGACCTCAACAAGTGCTGCGGCAAGATGAACGTCAAGATCCCCGCCGACCTGCCCGACGGCGACTACCTGCTGCGCGCCGAGGTCATCGCCCTGCACACGGCCGGCAGCCCCGGCGGCGCCCAGCTGTACATGACGTGCTACCAGCTCACCGTCACGGGCGGCACGGGCACCGCCAGCCCGGCCACCGTGCTCTTCCCGGGGGCCTACAAGGCCAGCGACCCGGGCATCCAGGTCAACATCCACGCCGCCATGTCGACCTACGTCGCCCCCGGCCCGTCCGTCTATGCCGGTGGCTCCACCAAGCCCGCCGGCAGCGGCTGCACCGGCTGCGAGTCGACCTGCGCCGTCGGGTCCGGGCCGTCCGCAACCGCGCCGAAGCCCACGTCCTCGCCCTCGGCTACCTCGGCGCCCGGCGGCGGTGGTGGCTCGGGCGGGTGCGCTGTTGCCAAGTACGGCCAGTGCGGCGGCACGGGCTACTCTGGGTGCACCAGCTGTGCTGTAAGTTCTGTTTGTTTATATTTTTTTTATTTTATTTTTTTTTTTATTTTACCCACCGCCCATACCTATCAATGGCGATGATGCTAACGTCCCGCGTATGTTAGTCCGGTTCGACCTGCAGCGCTGTCTCGCCTCCTCACTACTCGCAGTGCCTCTAGCTTCCAAGTCGGTAAGGAAAGGGTGTCGCTCTGAGTCTCGGTTGAGTCCTGCTAGAGCAAGTCTAAGGCCGACACAGCACATGACCCAACAGGCGGGGCAACTTGTGAAACAGACAAATTCTTGTACATAGTTTGATCTTTTGCAACTGTGAATAACACCTGCATTACATAAGTGCAATCTGCTGTTGTGTGTATCAGTTGTATTGTGATACCGAGTCGGTCAGTACCAGCTACACGTTATAGCTTCATACGAGCCTGCAAGCGTGTAGTATGCCAAATTATCAGCGCTCGTCTCCCGGAAGACGAATTCCAAACTTGGTGGTTGAACTACAGTAAAGAACATAGCTACTGTGAATAATATGATCAGTCGGTATTCGATAGTAGGGCCCTGATATGATGGTATAACATCGAACTTCGAGCTTCGAACGGGAGGAGCCACAATGGCCTAGGTAATAGTCAATAAAACAGCAGTTGGGCCAACCGGCAGGCAAAGACGAGAATTACTCTACCTCAACAACAGTAACAGAATACTACTGGAATGATGAATGAGGGAACGACGAATAGCCTCTTAGGGTTAAACTTGCAGCCATGGCTATCACAATTGGCTCAATGGTCTAGTGGTATGATTCGCGCTTCGGGTTCCACCCAGACTTGAAAACAAGTCATGTGCGAGGTCTCGGGTTCGATCCCCGATTGAGCCCCATCACTTTTGCCGGGTATCGATGTGCCTTTTAACTACGCTATCCGTAACTTACTTTCCGTAATAATCTTCTGATTAACCTGTTATTAGCTTATTCTTATGGCTTCTATAGTTTCATTTTTTACTCCTTTATTATCCTCATTTGCGAAAGAGATAGGAAGCTTACGCCAGGGGAAGAGTGACCCTGGAAGTTTATGGTCAATAGAACAGTGATCCTTCTGACGCTATCCTGCCTTGAATGGCGCGCTGTTTGTTCCTATCTTGGTACTCTTAGCAAAGAGACAGGAGATGAAGATAGTAAAACAATGAGGAGCAGAAGAACCCAAATGCCCAATCCCAAGATGCTAAGAGACCTTAAATGCCAACCCAATTTCAAGCTAAAAAGAAAAATGTTGAACTCGTATCCTCATCACATCCCCATCTGGAACTCCCCCTTACGCCTCTGAATCAATCACATCCCCCCAAGGATCTCATCGAAAGTGGTCGCCCTCTTCCGCGGCGCGTTGGTAGTCCCCGGTCTCGGCCGCGGCCACCGGTTCTGCTCTACCACAGTCTCACCACTAGCGGTTGACGCGGCCCTTGACAGCCTTGCATCCTCGCCCCGTCTCACTGGTTTCAAAATTAGTTCTAAGGTTTCACTCAAGAATTTAGGCTGACTTGGGGCTAGGGTTGAAGCTAGTACCTTGTCGGTGGTGATCTGCCGCACCCGAGGATCTCCCGCCTACGGTTGCGGCGCGGCGAAGGCCGGCCGAATCCCGCCTGGAGGACGACGTTGACGATGATGAGGATAAGAAGCGGGCGAGGCGGGATAGCGTGCCGGAGCGTTTCAGGCCGCTGCCGCTCTGGGAACCTTCGGGGTTGGTGATGTCGGAGAATGAGGTGGCGGTGGTGCAGATGCTTCCACGGATGGTGCTGCCGCTGAGGCTAAGCACGTCTGCATCGTCGTCCGGGCGGGGGAGGGTCTTGTTCACTGGCAATCCCGCCGGGTGGGCTTTGCGGTGGATCTTGGCTTTGTCCGGGCGGGTGAGAGCCGGGGCATTGTCCTTCTCGGAGAAGTTGTTGGTCTTCTCGTCGAGCAGGTCGTCGGAGTCGGAATCGTGGTAGTAGTCGTCGTCGTCGTACTCCCCCTCGCTGTCGAGGGTGACGCTTGGCAGTGGCGGGGCTTCTGACTGCACTCGGTGCAGCTTGCCGTAGCGAACCCCTGGCGCGCCCTCCCAGTAGCTGCCATCGCTGTCGCGGTAGGTGTAAATCTGTGTGTCGGCGTCGTAGGCTACCCGGGTCATCCCCTCGGGCAGGCGCTCCTCGTCGGTGTCGAGATGCGACCAGCGGCCCATGATGATGGTGGGTGTTGAGAGTGTGGTGTGATGTAGATCGATGAATAGCGAGCGCAACGCAGCGAGGGGTGTTGCACCGGAATCTCCACTAAATAAGTTACGCTCTGCGGAGGGCTGGGAACAACCGAGTATCTTCGAAAGCGGTTATTTAGGTATGGAGGGAGAAGCCTCTGAGCTCGCGCTGTTTCGCCAGTCTGCCGGTCAGGCCCCGCGCTCGGACCACCATCTCGTACCCTCGACTAGCTCCCTGGGGCCTGGGCGCTCAGTCCGGCCTCAACCTCAAACAATCAAGTTCAAACCACCGCTTCACTAACTACCTGAGCTCGATCATTCCAGTTATCTGACCGCTCACCTTTGTTTGCTGCGCTTCTTTAGTCCAGGATCACTCACTTCCTATCGGCGGTTCCCCAACCCGCCCAGAGTCCAGATTGATTATTGCGCACTCGAACTACGCCATCGAAATAATCACACTCCCGCGGGCCAGGCGAAAACCGGAATGTTGGAGAGAGTGTTGTCCATGCTGCCCGACGTATCGCTCACCCAATATGACTTCCTGGATTCATCCTTCTTCAGAACCGAGGACGACGGCGCGCCCATCCATCGAAGGCTACCGAGTCCACAGGAGGTGCTGGACGCAAGTGGCGTGCCATCGGGCTACGACGGAGTCCGACACTTCCCGGAGTTTGAAGGCCCAGGTTTGTTGGTCAAGTTTGGCCACCCCTCCCGAGTCTCCTTGGAGGAAGCATTGGCATTGCGGTTCATCAACAGGGTGCTCTCCTCCGAGATTCCCCCCCGAGGTGTTCGGCTGGAGGTCGACGCGCGATTCGGGTCACGAGTCAAATTTTATCTACATGAGTTTCCTCCTTGGCCAGACACTCCGAGAGGTGTGGGAGACTCTCAGCCACGAAGACAATGCCTCCGTCACCCAGCAACTTGCAGACATCGCAGGGCGCTTGAGATCGGTGGAGCTGAGCTCTACTATCCCGTTCATTGGTACGTGCTATCAAACCTACCTGCTGGTCCGTCTCTTGACTCATTCTGTAGGTTCCCTGAACCAAGGACCCGTCCAAGACATCTATTTTAGCCCAGATCAGCACAAAGGGCCATTCACGAGTCCTCGAGAGTTTCACGACTTTGTCCAATACATCTCTGAAGCTCGGAACCCCCTTGAAGACAGAGACGAAGACCTTTTCCGGCCCTTGCTACCAGATACAGCACGAATTTGTCTCACCCATGCAGACCCCCATCTTGGCAACATCCTTGTTCTCCGCTCTCCGAACGGAGGCCGATTCGGTGTATCGGGGATTGTAGACTGGGCACAGGCTGGCTGGTACCCTGACTATTGGGAATACTGCAAAGCCATGATTGTCGGACCCTACGGCGACGAGTGGAGAGATGCCGGGTGGCTAGACAAGGTGCTTCACCCAACCGAGCACGAGCTCGACGCTTTTGAGGCCGTTGAACAGTATTGGAACTCCCGATGCCCATGATGGTGCGTTCTCAAAAGTCTGATCAGAGCAGCTGGGAGAGCTCGACGCGTCTCTATGACGACGGACGAGATGGATGGGACGGCTGGCGCACAAGCGCAGGAACTGCGGGTTGGCTTGCTTTCCCCTTTGGTTGAGATCTACTGTCAATGAGATGCATTGCCGCTGTTTGAGTCCCCCAGCTACCCTGCCAGACTCCAGCGAAGAGCAAAATGTCCCCGGCACCGCGAACCTTGGCCAGATGGAGGGAGCAACAGACGTACGGGCTGACTTGCGCGGCCGAGGATAGACCCAGCGGCACAGATCCGCATGGTATTGCTCAAAGTTGCACCGGTCAGTAGGTGGCTTGCACTCCCGACAGTGTGCAGGCCGCAGGCCAACTGTACCAGATGTAGAGACCCTTGTACTTAAGCATACAGCACCTCGAGTTCTTGGGATGTGAGCGGCTTGCGAAGCATTTCTTGGTCTTGAAATTAGGACACTCGACCCCGGTTGATGTGTTGTATCTTGACGTATGACTAATGAAGCCCCCCGAATTCTCAGACCAGCCGTGCCGGTGCACGCGGCCACCGCTATGCTCGACCCGCGCCGCCGATTGCTTGATATAAGCGCGCGATTGCTTGATTTTCGTGGCGTCCTGGAAAGTAGTCTGCAACCAACAAGACCCACAAGTTCTCAAATCATCGCCAATCAATCCAAGAGCCGCGCGCCTAGACAGCGGTCCCGGCATTCTCCCGCGAGACCCATGTCGCGGCATTGCTGCCCTCATTGTGAACTGCTCTGATACCCTCCGAAACGGATGACTGACATCCTATCAGCTTCGTGCTGGAGGCCGCTCTGACTTCTTGTGCATACTCCAAGCGTGGCGAGAGGAAACCGAATCCTGCCGCTGCTCACCAGAACCGTGACTGCGTTGGTCAAGTTGCCTGTCTCCCTGGTTTCACACCACCTCATTTACAGACCAGGAATCCACTCTCAGCGCCTAGGCAATCTCAAAGTAGCGACACGGCGAGATTCAGCGCGCTTGTATTGCGACAGGGTCATAGATCCGTTTCACCGTGAACGGGTATAAGTGACCCAGACCTCTCCGACTGAATCCCCCCTCGCTCTCCCACCATCCACCCGGCCCAAACACCTTCGTCTACGTCTCACTGCCCTTTGCCCATGGAATACCTGCAGCTTCGTTCCCTTCTCGCACTTCGGTCAACCCCAGAGATCTTTTCAAAGGCCTCTCGTCCTGTTTATCTGTTCGTGTATGGACGCACCCTGAAGTCGCGTGGTCACTTCGCCATTTTCGTCCCCAACGCCGGATCTGGTTCCAAGTCCTGAGTCCACCGTGTTCTCTCGTCCACGTCCGGGTCGAATGTGGACTCTGGGCTAGCTGGGCTTTTATGCGCAGCTGTGGATTTGGAAAGAGCAATTTCGGGCAATAGCTCTGTCGGACAGGGGCGGTTTTGGACAGCTGGCATTTTGTATAATCTAGGGAGTTAACTAAGGTAAAACAAGAATTCATTGTGCGCCTGTCTGCAGTTGCCACAGGGCCAGCACCTTACACGTTTGTCGGGATGGAAGCCTTTGAACCTGTGGTACAGTGCCGACAGGTCTCGAAGATATCTTTGGAGTGTTGCTAAGCTTTCGATTCTAGACCTTGTCTGCGCATAAACTAGTGAGCAAATGCGTTGGCACTGCCCTTCTCCTCCTAGGAAAGTGCTTGGAGAAGGGTCTTCTAATCGTGACAATTGGGGTCTCGAAAGAATTCGCAGAAGTTGCGCTGTCGTTCCTCTGTAACGACAATGTTGACTATCGTGCTATCGGCACGATCAGGTGGTAGTGGTAGTCGACTATTGCTACGGTAGTAAATCTCGTGAAGCTCAATTGCTGTTAATGGTACCGCGGCTGGGCGTTCCCACTCGTTCCGCTGCAGAACATGTGCCCCGCCCGACATGTACATACATACATACAGTATTTATTGAGGTGGTTTAGACTTCTGAAACCTGAGGCCACCCGCCTGCCAAAAACAGCAGCCCAAACCACGGCACAAGGTGTTTTCCTGGAATATGAGGGGCAATCGACGAGGGCGAGATGTTCGAAACCCAGAATGCATCACGTGACCCAGCATTGTCGTCTACGCTTACTGGGGGCCACAAATGAACCTGACAGCTGTTCTTAGGGGCTTCGGCTCATTTCTTCTAGGGCCGCAGTTTCAGAGGTTCGATTCCATCCAATGTTTACGTCAGGTGGACAGTCTCGTGTCACGAGCCGTGTGGCGTCGCGACCCTAGCCTGATACATTACTACTAGATCAGCACCGACCAGCAATTTGAATGCGACTAATAACCCTAACCTTCCAAAATCGTTTTTGGTCAACTATAACACATAGTCGCCGGACCCCGATCCAGGTAAGCGTACTTTGGATTTGGTAATGTCTGTAAGGCCCGATCCAATACCCATGTTGCAGGTACGGGGCGGGCGTATTGCCAGGTCTGCCGTATATGGTTGACATGTTGAAGGTCCACCCGAAGACCACACCAAATATGCCTCTCAGATTCCTGAAAGTGTGATACATCCTACGTTGGGGTGCAAGTCATAGCAGCTAACGTCAAACTAACCCGGAAATGCCTGTGAACCAAAGTAGACGTTCTCATGGCTTCGTTGGTTGCAGCACCGAACCTCCATACTCGGGGGCCGGTAGCCTGTAGGTATCACTCGATGAGATATGTCACAAGGGAGCCGGGTATATAGGTACGGAACCTATATGCCCAGAGCCCCGGAACGGCCGTTTGCTATGCACGGGTCGCTCCCTAGGATATATTAGGGTGGTCCCCTTACCACCATTTGCTCCTTGGCTCTTACTTAGATAGAACCCTATATACTCTCTTCGTCTATGCCTTTCCGTGCGCTCCACTACCTGCGATTAGATACCAGTGATGTACGGTGCGGCGAGGATCGTTGAAGCGAGATCATGAAGACATACAGTCTCGGCTACTAAGCCCTATTTCCAGAACTCTTTGATAAGGAGCTGGGGAAGTAGGTCGGAGACTCGGACCTTGTTCGTCCTTGTCTGCATGATTTAGCTTCGCAAAGGTATAGCCGTTCGCCATGTAACCTAGGCCAGCAAGAGTGGTAGAAGGCTCTGATTTTCAAAGCTTCTCGCTTTTGGTGTGGTTTTTTTTTTAAAAAAAAACCTGGAGGTACAATACACTCCGCAACTGGCGATCAAGTTGGTATGGGAGGCAGGAACGAATCACCAGCTCTTTCCTCCATTGCCTTGAGTTCGAAGCTTTGAACGGTGCTTTGATTCCTCGGTTGAACGTTCATGAACTCTTGACTTGTATAGACCTGAAGAGTATTGATTCAACCCTTATTTCTCAAGGTTCATGCGCTGCCTCCTTCAGTCTTTATACGTCATACATTATACGCAGACATTAGCTCGGGTTCTAGCGATGACTTCACACTATCGACCCCTCTTGCCCAGGCCTGGACCCGAAATCTTTGAGATGAATAACGACTGTGCGCAAACCCCCGTGTTCCGCAAGACGCTAACAGGGGAGATTCTAATATGGCTTGAGATGGCTGCCACAGACGCATCACAGGTGTACCCGACACCGCCTCTCGATGAAATACCGGATGCGCTGCCCGACATAGAGACGGATGCTACAAGCACATTCACGGAGCTCGCAACACCCCCTCTCTACGAGATCCCGCCTGTACTAGCAATCGACACACCACAAGACCTTGCAACACAGCCTCTCTACGAGCTACCACCGCTACCGGCAATCGACACGTCAGAAGAACTCGCGACACAGCCTCTCGATAAGATACTGGATGCGCTGCCCAACATCAACACGAATGCTACAGACACATTCACGGAGCTCGCATCACAGCCTCTCTACGAGCTACCACCTCTACTGGCAATCGACAAGTCAGAAGCCTTTGCAACACAGCCTCTCTACGGGATACCGCCTGTACTGGCCACAGACACATCGCAAGACCCCGCAACACAGCCCCTCGATGAGATACCGCCTGTACCGTGCTACCCCAAGAAGCCTATTCTCCACGGGCCGAAGGGCTTGCACTCGTGGGAAGCCTTCATCCGCCGAGAGCTCGGCGGAATGCATCTCGAGCCTCTTGTGGACTGCACGGATGAAGAGCTGGCCGACCTCGCCGCGAGATGTCCCGAGGAGCACGCCCTCAACGAGGACATCGCCTTTTTGATCGTCGCTCGGCGTCTTGGGACGGGCATTAGAAGGCGCTTGAAGAACGAGCGCGACTACCCAATCAACCACGATGGGAGTAGATCTCCGCACCAGACCGTCAAGGAACTGTGGACTCATGTCTTTGCCCTCTGCTGTCCGTCCCGCGACGAGATGTGGGAAGAGCTCCGGACAATGACGTTGGATCGGACTCTCCACGACTACATCAACCGTGCGCTGTGGCTCCGGAGGCAACTTCTCCGCCTGGGCGAGTAGGTCCCGGATGGCCAGATGCGGGAGTATGTCCTTCGAGGATTGAGGCATAATCACGGTGACCGGGGTTGGGTGGACTTGCTAGAGGACGAACGTCACTTTCAAGATGTGCTTGTGCGGATCAAAAGACGAATCAACAAGGGACCGGGATAGTACACCGCAAGCTGGCTCGCTTTGGTATGCACAGCAAACTAGAGAGCCTGCCGGTAATCCCACTTGCTTTATCCCCCTAGGGGTGGATTCATGCCATGGGTGATTGGCAATGGCTTGGTCTTGGGCATCGGCGGTGGTCCAAGGAGTGAGAAGACATAGTCTATGCTGTACTCTTACCACTAGTGTCAGACACATCATGTTAAGTCGAAGCGAGGGTTGCTCTCTAACTCATCGCATTTCCTACGATGTATATGTCATCCGGTCCCATACTGGCTCCCTCTGGCGAAAATAATTCGTATACGCCATTGCCGTCAGTCGGACAGCTGCAGCTGCTGACACAGTATCTTCAGTTCATCTAAATCCTCTTTCTTTATTGTGCTCCATTGTTATTTCCTCGCTCTCTCTTTTCCCGTCGATTGATTCCAATGTTGAAATTAACTTGGTAGTATGGCCGTTGTTGACCTCGGGGAATCGGGTCCCAGCAGCATGATCGGAAGTGATCAACACCGGCTCATGAGTAGCCCAGGCCGCTGACAGCACACTGCTCTGCTGTTTGAAAGGTGATACCAACAAGTCACAAAGCAGAGAATCGAGAAAGAACCCCAAGAAATATCAGAAGTAAGACAATATGAAACGAAGACGTAGCTCGTACCAGCAAGAAACGCTTCACAACCCTTCATCATCCCATTCCTCGTCAAGCTGGTCAATCAGCCTGTTTTCGTCGTCCCGGCTCCTGCGTCTCCCGCGTGGGGAGCCCGACAATGTGTGGTAGCCCCTCCGCCGCGGGATCATCCTGGCGCATGACGACGTCAGGATGATGAACAGGTCCTGGGACGGTAAAGGTCAGCAAAAAATTCGTTTCTACACAAGTTCCTCCAGGGCCTTCAGCGGCCCAAGAATAACCGGCATGATGTCCACACATACCTTGACAAAGCTCCAAATGCCCGCCCACAGGCTGTAGTTGGGCAACTGCCGCCACCCGCGCGCGTGCGTGACGGTGCGCTGGTAGAAGACGCCGCCCATCACGTACACCAGCACCGCGATGAAGAAGATGATGGCGAAGACGCTCCCCGGCCCCACGCTGCCCGGCTTGTGTGGTTCCGCGCCTGCGCACGCGTGCTGCGAGCGGACCTCGAAGAAGTAGGCGCACTCCTCTGGGTCGGTGCCGACGAAGGAGAAGGCGGTCGGAGTGTCTGGGTCGTGGTCGCAGAGGAACGAGATGGTTGCTGATTTGCGGCGTTTGTCGTCCTTGTTCTTCTCCTTCTCCTTCTCCTTCTCCTTTTCTTTTTCTTCGTCGTGTTTGTCCTTGTCCTTCCTGTCGTCGTCATCGTCCTCATCGTCGTCTTCATGGCTGCGTGGCGGCACCCAGTCTTTATCGTCCTCGTCATCGTACTCGTGGTATTTGTACCTCGCGCCTTCATGCACGCTGGCGCGCTTGTCTTTGCCCTTGTCGGGGGCCTCGCACGGTGAGCCCCCTTTGTATTGGAGAACGAGCTTACGCCCCCTCGGGACGAGCTCGCCTGAGCTTTGGCTGGAAGGGGTATGATTAGCTTCGCCATGGCCTTTAGCGCAACACGGCAGGGGGTGGGGAAGCCTTACCCCAAGGAATAGACCTTCCCCTTCGTCTGGTAATATGCGCTGACGTTCTTCCATAACGACTTGTCCACTCCAACAATGTCCTCCACCTTCTTTACGACCGGGTTGCAGATGTTGAGTGTAAAGTTATACCCGTAATCCCACCCCCTGGCCACATAATCCTCCGTAGGCACGCCCTTCGGCACCTTCTCTCCCTCTGCGACAACGACTGCCGCGTCGGGCCGCAGATCGAAGAATGCGCCGCTGGTCGAGGTTGCGACGCACGGTGTTACCACCGGCGTGGCAGTTGCGGGGGTCTTGTCCGGTTCTTCAGCGGAAGATATGCTGATCAGCGCAGCAAGCGCGAGGACAAGACCCCGCGATGGGCTCCGAAGAAGCATTGTCGGGTTGTAACAGGGAAAAGGCAGAGATTCTGAGTCGAGCTGTTGTGGCCGCAGCGCGATGGAGGGGCGAGGTGCGCGCCGTCGCGCTAAGCGAAGGAGGGGCACGGAACTGGGCCTCTCATTCAAGGAGGAACTGGGATACACGTTTCGACAGAGGCAAGGGAGCAATTGACGACTCAAGTGGGAGGCCGTTGAGTCTTGGACAGGACAACTTGCTCGCCTGGGTTCGCGAAACCGTTGGAAATGCCGGGCAGGGCGTTAGCTGTCCTTGTCGCACCGGCACAGAGAGCCGCTTATTATGATTGGCGCTTGGCAGGACGCGCAAGACGGCTCTTCAATTCCTCCCGTCTGCAGCTTTCTTTCAAGTCTTGAACACTTGCGCGAGTTGAGCATGGTAACCGCAAAGCTTCCGTACAAGACGCGCTAACAGTCTTCCTAACAATAATGACCAGATTATACCATAGAACAGCGAGATATATCCAGATCCATGCACATGGTGAGGTACGAAGTACCTATCTACCTGTGGCTATGAAATCGGGGGAGATGAGGTAGCCGTATCGGTATCTGAATCAGTGAATTCGGCCCCGACCAGACGCATGGACCATAATGCCAAGGCGCGGGAGAACAGGGGTAATGGCTTCGCCAAAAGTTCCACCGTTCCTGTCGTCATTGGACATTGTGTACATCAGCTCATCCGGATCGCGCGTGTCCCGACTACATGTAGCATCAAACTCGAATAACGCAAATCGAACGAGCCGGATCACTGAAATTCCGTACCTTGGCTTCGGCGCAGAGATTTACGAATGCACTGTCACAATCGTTGCTCGGTTGTCTGACTGTTGCACATAAAGAGAGGCTCGCGCAGCATTCGACGGACGGTCTGCAAAGCTTCAGCAAACGCCCGCGGCAGCAACAATAGCAACAATGGCACCGAAGAAGAAGGCGCAGGCTGTCACGGTGTCTAAAACACACGGCTATGAGTTCTTCGGCCCGTGAGTGTCTCCATCTCTGCTCCTACATCATGCGGTTGATGGCTAACAGATTTCAGGCCTGGTGCTGCGGCCATCAGCTTCGGCCTGCCCCTGCTGCTCTACGCCTTCACATTTGCCTGCAACGACATTTCCGGATGCCCCGCGCCGTCTCTCCTGCATCCAAAATCGCTCGACCTTGACGTTCTGAAGAGAGAGGTGGGCTGGCCTAAGGATGGAGTGAAGGGTCTCGCGAGCTGGGAAGCGACTGGTTGGACCCTGGCATACTACCTCTTCAGCGCCGTCCTTTACAGCATCTTGCCGGGGACGGAGACTGAGGGAACGGAGCTGAGAAGCGGCGGGCGCTTGAAGTACAAGTTCAATGGTTAGCCATTCAAGACACAGAACCGTTGTTGGCATATTGGCTAACCAGCGCAGCCTTTGCGTCTACTATGTGCACGCTGGCCCTCTGTGCCGCCGGCACCTTGGCTCAGGGCGCCCAGTTCCCGCTGTGGACGTTCATTACAGACAACTACCTGCAAATCCTTACCGCCAAGATTCTGATCGCCTTCTCTCTCGCGACGTTCGTCTACGTCCGCAGCTTCAGTGTCAAGCCCGGCAATCCCGAGTTCCGCGAGCTGGCAGCCGGCGGAGTCACGGGGAACATGCTCTACGACTGGTTCATCGGGCGGGAGCTTAACCCCCGTGTCACCCTCCCGCTCATCGGCGAGATCGACATCAAGGAGTGGATGGAGATCCGCCCGGGTCTGACCGGCTGGATCCTGCTCAACTGCGCTTTCGTGGCCAAGCAGTACCGCACCTTCGGCTTCGTCACCGACAGCATCGTCTTCATCACCCTGGTCCAAGCCCTGTACGTCCTCGACGCCCATTTCATGGAGCCCGCCATCCTGACCACCATCGACATCACCACCGACGGCTTTGGCCTGATGCTCTCCTTCGGCGACCTGGTCTGGGTGCCCTTCCTCTACACGCAGCAGACGCGCTACCTGTCCGTGCACCCGCAGTCGCTCGGCCCGCTCGGCCTCGCCACCGTCAGCGCCATGCTCGTCGCAGGCTTCGCCATCTTCCGCCTGTCCAACAGCCAGAAGAACGCCTTCCGCACCAACCCCAACGACCCCAGCGTCGCCCATCTCAAGTACATCGAGACCAAGGCCGGCACGCGTCTGCTCATCTCCGGGTGGTGGGGCATCGCGAGGCACATAAACTACCTGGGCGACTGGCTGCAGGCTTGGCCGTACAGCCTGCCGACAGGAATGGCCGGGTACACGATCCTCTCGGCGGGCACCATGGCCAAGGGCGCGATCAAGATGCTTGACGGCCGGGAGGTCCTTCCAGGGGAGGCAAAGGGGTGGGGCATGATTTTCACGTACTTCTACATCGTATACTTTGCCGTGCTGCTCATCCATCGCGACAGGCGGGATGACGAGAAGTGCTCGCGCAAGTATGGCGAGGATTGGGAGAAGTACAAGAAAATTGTCAAGTGGAGGATTGTGCCGTATGTTTATTAATTGGAACCTTGATGGCGGTACTAGGCACCACAGTGGTCGGTGACAGGGGAACCACGAGCTTGGAAAATCCGGGTGGAGGAATGAAGAAAAGAGGTGGTGAGATGTTGATGATTGTCGAGGAGATAACCGGATTAGGTCACCTGCTTACGGTGACTATGGATCCGGTACTTCGTATTATGGAGGTAATAATTTAAAATGTAATATGTGCTTGGTTCCAGAGCTTGCTTGCTTCCTCAGATATGGAAGTTGTGAAATGGGAACTGGAGACAGCGCTATGACTGGGGAGCCGGGAGTTGCGTATTCTCCATTTTATGGAAAGCGGTGAGGAATCCGTGCCAGTATGTAGTAACGAGCTGAAATTACAGTTTGCACGTGACTCGCCTAACGCATGGACCGCTACTCAGATTGCACCTGCCCAAGTTCCGTTCCCACCTGCGATTCCTCCTAACATCAAAACATAAGAACCACGCCACCTGCAAACCCTGAGCGACCATGTCAGACGTCAACATTCAGTGAGATATCCTCGATTTCTGTAAAAGCAGAGATGGATTGCTGACCATCTAATTTTTCTTTTTGCGGCAGGGCGCTTCTTCAGAAGCCGCGCAATGAGTGCACGTGAGTATCTCACCCTCTCTTATCATAACCTATTTGCAAGCGGAATGAGATGCTGACGGTTATATTCATGTTGTCAACAGCGAATATGAGATTGCTCAACTGGTGCGTCGTGCTCTTGAAGGGTGGTGCTGATGGTGGTAGCTTTTCGCTCGGAGCTAACTTCTTTCTCTTGGGCAGGAACAATGGGAGATGAGCAATGGCCCGCTGTCACTCCTGCAGACGGCCGTGCGGAGCCATTCGCAGGTGCTCATCAGCATTCGATCAAACCGCAAGCTGTGAGTTAGAAGATCGGCTTCGAGCCGCGGGGGCCAAAATGCTGACCTTTCATTGCCTAGGCTTGCGAGAGTCAAAGCTTTTGACCGCCATTGCAATATGTGAGTATCGCACTGCTACTCTGGTCCATGGAAGTCTCACTGATGTTTTCATAGGATCCTAGAGAACGTCGTAAGTACAGGGAACTGATGATTACAAAGAACATCCTCTTTTGCCATAGTCTCCTTCATCAGAGATTGCGTCGGATGAAGAGATGCTGATTGTTTGCTCCACAGAAAGAGATGTGGACTGAGACTCCCGTACACAACGGGAAGAAGGGCCGGCCGGTCAATAAGGACAGGTTCATCAGCAAGATGTAAGCCCGCTCTCCATTCCCGGTAGCTCACATGACTAACATTGAGTCAACAGGTTCCTGCGTGGTGATAGTGTCATCATTGTCCTCCTGAGCTAAGGATGTTCAAAGACGATTAGCCTATGGAGAATCGGCGGTCCAAGCAGGAGCATCTAGAATTCACTTCGCTCATGCAAGCACGGGCAGCGCCGCCAGCGGTTATAGGGTGCTGCCGATCCTGGCATTTCTCTGACGGTCTGGTAATAGAGAGATACCAAAAACAGAGAGGTTAGGCGTCCTTCGTCAGGCGTTCTTTCATATGCGGGCTTTGGTTGTCAAACTGAATCATATGTACTAGTTTGGTCAAATATCACTTTGCATTTTGTTGACATAACGTCCTACTCCTTATTCAAACCTGAGTGTGCTACTTTGATCAGGCAATACCCATCGTTCTCTATATGATCTAGGAACCTGGACACTTCGTTTACTGAATGAACCCCGGAGGTCTATCCCTTTCGCAGTTTACCGCCGCTGCCACTCAAGCCAGCCTCTACGCAGCCCTTCATCGATGCCGGCGCCGACAAGAACGCCTCGGCCTGGCCCCTCTCACATACCCTCTGACCACTCGCACCGTGGCGTGCGGCCGGGCGGAGCCTCATGACAGGTCCCGCCGGACTACCTATTCTGGGGCAGCTTTCCTGGAATCTTAAGCCCAACTTTAGCCTATTCCTGGCCGCTCGTCTCTCGGCGGGTTTGTTTCGAGTGGCACGAAGTGATGCAGATGAGAGCTTGCCGAGCAGAAGTTGTTCACTCTGCATCCTTCCGTTCGGCTTCTCATCCAAGGCGGGTCGCATGGTGCCTATCCCCGAATCTCGAGCCCAACTCCTAGCCTATTCCAGACTCTGCTTCTCTCGGCGGGCTTGACTGACTTCTGCTCCACAAGTCCTCACCCGGCTCTCAGCTTCAAGGTACGTCCGCACAGGTACCTGCGCCAGAGTCTCAAGCCCTACCACTGGCCTATTCCGGTCTGTTCTTTCTTGGAGAACTTGACTCACCAGTGTTCCGCAAGCTCTCACCTTTCCTTGGATGCTATCAGCATCAAGGCGGGTCCGCCCCCTCCGGAAATCCCGGAGCCCAACCACTAGGCCGTTCCGGTCTGTGCTTCTCGGCGGGCTTGACCGACTTCTGTTCCGCGAGCCCCCATACTTTCCGGCTTCAACTCTTCACTTTACTCTCCTCAACTTGACTCCCCCTCCTTCCGCTTTCCATGCTGGCCGTGTACCTTCCCGGCTATCACCTTCAAGGCGGGTCCGCACATCCCGGAATCCCGGAGTCCAACCAATAGCGTATTCCGGTTTGTTCTTCTCGGCGGGCTTGACTGACTTTCTGTTTCCGCAGGCTCTTACCCTTTCCTGCTTCAACTCTTCAAGTCACTCTCTTCGACTTGTTCCTCTCGTTCCGCTTTTCATCCTGGTCGTGCCTCGCCAAAACTCGGGAGTGCTTGGTCTCAATCCTTCATTGACTTCCTCCTCTCTTGCCCTTCTCCGTTTTTACTCTTCGCGGAAAGGCGGCGGCTTGATCATATTCCGGCTCAGTTCTGCTCTGCGCAACCTTCTCTCGCACAACACCATTGACCGACCCTTCCCTCGACCTCCGCTTAGCCATTTCGGCACCCTCGCCTTGTTTCTCGAGGAGTCGAGCTCGGGTCTGGGTTTGATTTTCTCGGTCCCGAGGGTAAGTGAATATTCTTCTCCTCCCTTCTCTTCTCAGTCTGCTTGCTTCTTCGCCGAAACGGCTGCTGGAATACATCCCAGCTCGGCGGTTCCCCTCTGCGCAACCTTCTCTTGCAGAACACCACTGACCGACCTTTCACTCGGCATCCGCTTAGCTATTTAAGAAAGCCTAGGTAGCTTCGTCTTCCCCGGGTCTGGTCTGGGTTTGATTTTTTCGGCTCCTGAGGTAAGCGAATCTTCTTCTCCTTTTCTTCCCAGTCTTCTTGCTTTCTTCGCCAAAGCGGCTGATGAGTTCTACTGCCTTCTCTCACCTCGTTGTCGGCGTCAGATCCACCTTACGTTGCCTTCTCTCACGGAAAACAACCGACTCTCTGCGCGGTCTCCTCTAGGAACCCTCTAGATTTGTCTGCATCAGGTCCGGTCTGTGTTGCCTTCTCTCGCAGAAAGCAACCGAGTTTCTACGCGGCCGCCCCTTGGAAGGTGGTAGCTTCGAAAGCATAGCCTTGCCGAGCAAGATCTGGTTTAGGTTTGATTTTCTCGGCACGTCGGGTAAGTTGCCCTTTTTTCTTCCAGTCTCCATATTATTGCCTTGGTTGAAGCGACTGCTGGATTCTACTGCCAGCTCTCGTTGTCAACGTGGAGGTATCCGTGTCGACGAGGCCGTCTCCATCGTGGTAGGACTCTTCTGGCACAGGTATACCAGGTATAAGCCTCTCTCCCCGACGTTCGGCTGCCGGGGAGTGAGCCTGGAGCGGCGATATCCTTGCAGAACTATGGGCGGCATCCCCACATCACTGCGATATGCTCTCGGACAAATACGTCGAATATTGTCTCCCCTTTTACATAGAACGATCACCGCTCATTTTGCTTTGCTATCTCAAGGACATGAGATTATCTAACTAGAAGAAGTCCCGTCCAGAATCGCTGCGGATAGTCGCGCGCTTAGCGTGCTTGCAAGGGTTTCGTTGGCCTTAAGGGGGACGCATTCTGGTTCTGGATCTCACTTCCAAAGCCAAAGATGTCTCACTGGTCAACTCGTGAAGGTACGTTAAGGTGTCTCAAAGATTTAGCAGGTCTGTGCCGCTTATATATAAGGCAGACTCCAGCTATAATGTGGAGCAGGCGGCGGCGTTCAGAAGTATTCTGAACCCGTCGCGAGTTTCCGGCTGCCCGCCGCCGGTTCACCCCCCTATGCCGGGCGCCCCTATTCCGGAGTTCAGACCCGTCGCGGCGGAGGCGCCACATATTTCCGGTTTCCCTCCGCCTGTTGGCCCCCGTCTGGCTGGAGGACCAAACAGTTTCGGACAGCCACCCCATCTCCTTGCTCCTGGCGGCCCGGCCTATATCCGGCAAGAGCCGGTATACCATGGGCTTCCTTACATCAACCAAGAGTACTATGCTCATAGGAGCCCATTTGGCGAGAGGCTGGTTTGTGGCCACGGTTTCCGTGGATATGACGGCGGGGGCCCTATGTCGCCGGGACTGATGATCCCGCCCGACCCGGACGCACTGCCCTCCCCTCGGCCTCACTATGTTCTGCCCGATATGGGCGGCGCGATTCGGGCTGAGAACCCAACCCCCGCCGATATTATGAAGCGTGTCCGGGATATGGACAATAACTTCAGGGAGTATCAAGAGAGAGTCGAAAAGATGCGGATCGAAGACCGAACTCGGTCCGATAAAAGGGACAATATGATGAATGCTTTGATGAATGAGATCAAAGGTAAGTCGATCGTGGTTCTGCCACTCCGCCGCCGCTAGCTAACCATAGTTTTGAAAAGACTTGAAAGCCCGCCTCGCCGCTGGTCCAGTGGGCAGCGCTATCCCGAATGCCAATACTGCAGCCCCGGCTGTGTTGAGCGTGCCTGAGCGGCAAGCAATGAGATCCACCGTTCAACCTCAACAAAGTGCTGCCCAGGATTCCTCCACCGATTCAGACACGCCCTTGGTCGGAAGGAAGCGTCCATCGCTCCGAAAGCAATCAGCTTCCACCCAAGCACCGAAGCGCGCAAAGGGACAATCGGTAAGCATGGCTAATAATGGGCTTGTAAGTATGCCCAAACAGCTCGCTCCCGTTTCAGGTTTTCTAATATTAGTATGTCAATGGACAGCAGCGACGGCTGGTCTCGGACCACCGCCTCTTTCCCTCCCCTTCCCTGAGTCGCGACACTTCGTCACTGCTGGTGCAGCAGTTCCAAGGCGGAGGAGGCGGACTGCTGCAGCCGCAAAAAGATCTTACGAGCCTGCGCACGCGCATCGACCTGCTGCCATCTATTCGCCCGGACTCGGATTTCCTGAACTTTCTTAAGCACATCGACTGCCGGTACGAGGAGGACCTGCTCTGCCTGAAGAAGTTCTGCAAGGCGTCGGCCATGTCAACTGAGATCCCTATCTATACCGAGACCGGCCGGTCCAAGTTCTACTACATCCTCAAGGTCGGCGGCGCGCTCAGCTCCGCCATCGGCGGGAACCCGGACAACCAGCCGGACCAGCCGGAGCCCGACGCGAAGCAGGCCAAACGGCTCGGTGTCCTGGAGCTGCGCCTGCACGAGCGCGTCCCTGAGGACGTTGCCAGCCGGTACCGGGCCCGCTATTTCATGCCCCTCGGGGAGGTGTATCGCGCCAGTCGCTCCAGCACCAAGGCCGACGAGGTGCAGTCCACCAACTTCTTCGTGCTGATGGACGTGACCAGCCCCAAGAAGAGCATCTGGCTGGTGTTCCGGTACGAGCGGCCCTTTGAGCGCCGAGACGGGGCCGGCTGGGGCACCGTCACCTTCGACACCACGAAGCCGCTTTTCGGAACGCGCATCTTCGACATGGTCTGCCTTCTAGAGGATGTGCGGGACTGGCCTGCACCTACGGCGGAGAATCCGAATCTGGAGATGGTAGATGCGGAGCGTCTCGCAGAGATCATGCGATCCACGCCGGCCCACCACGAGGTCCTGCAGCCGGCCTTATTTCTCCCGGTGCTGACGGACTTGAGGAAGGTGACGGAGGAGGGGTGGGAGAAGCCGCACGAGGATGAGAGAATGGAGGAGGAGGAGGAGGAGGAGTGATCGAACTTCGGAGCATGGGAGAGGTTCCATTGCGATCACCATAGGTCATTTAAGGTACCTACCTACCTTACCTATGCGGGCCTGTACATTTATGTAACCTAGCGCAACACCATCAGCGCGTCGATGGCCGCCAGCAGAGCAGACTCAGTAGACTAGTTAATGAAGCCACTGGCGCCCCTTCTTTCTACAAACAAGTGTTTCCACGGGAGTACTCCCAATCAGTGGTGAAGTCTACACCGTATTTCCTTGCCCGATGGAATCGCTTTTCCCAGAGGACAACAGCGTCATGTTTTCGGGTCGACGAAAGGTCATCGAGCGGCTCACATAGCCAGCTGGACGTGCTCCTGTCGATGGAGAACCGCTCTGTAGCCGATACCTAACCTAAGCAACCTTGCCCAAGAGAAGCAAAAGGCGTGTTTGTCCGGGTATATCAATCAGGATTAGGTTCGATTCCTAACGGCGCTGGTTCAATGGTCGGACTGTTTGGTGTATCTAGGCGTTTCCTCGGCCCTATCCCAGTAAGGTACCTAGTTATCCCAGACCGTAGTGTATCCATTGTCTCCACCGCAGTGACAATTCCCCAACATCATGAAGGTTTTCCCCTCATCGATGTGCCCACAGTAACCTGATGACAGACTAACAACACTAGAGCCTGTCGCAGATACCTGTTTGCGCCCCCATAGGTAGTGTCAAGCATCCAGTTCCGATGGCGGAGGGGCAGTATTAGTAAACAACATGTAAACGGTCCGACCCTATGCGCTAAACAGGGAGCCGCCGACTTGGTTGCGCCGAGGTTTCGGCTGGCCGGGCTGGCTGCCGAGAACATGGGAGGAGCCGGCAGAAGGTGGAGGATTTCGCGGGGTGCGGGGAAGCGGAAGAAACCTGGAATGTGGGGTAATGAACCAACAACCACATACATAATAACCTGGAAAAGGAAGTTGGATAACATCTATGTTGGGTTTCTACCTGTCCTGAATACCTGATATTTGGGTTTGTGCCAGGTCATGAGAGACCTTGACGGATGAAATGGGGGCAGTTGATGTTTCTTGGTCGTCTTTATGCATTTTCACACTTGCACGCCGTGCACTGCAATGTCATGATGCAATGTCAGAAGCTCGACCGACGGGCCCGAATTGCTGGCACCACTTTTTGGGGAATGCCGATCTCAATCCAATATTCCACTCCCACTCCGACGTTCCCACTCATCGGTAACCTCCGTGCTGCTTTCCGAAAGGCCGGCGACACGAGGTGGTAAGTGGGTGACGCAGCAACATGCAGTGAACATGAGAGTGGTTTGACGGCCTTTCCTATATTAGGCAGGTACAAGAACTTGCATGGCTTGGTGCAGAGTGAGAAGGTGACATTCTGTTTTCACCGGCCTCAGCCCAATGTACAGCCGTTAAACGTCGCTTACAACACGCAGGCAGCAGTGATCGTACAATTTTATGCCGTTAGTTGCCTTCCGCATGCAAGTCACTAGGTTCATCAACATAGCAGTCGGGAAATATACGGCACCTATGTACCTTAGCTACGGTAGTTGGCTTCCATTTGAGGCTAGGAAGTGCTTGGCCATTCCATCAGGATCCAGGAAGCCGTTTTTTCAGGTATTTCCGTATTGTATGTACCTACTGTAGTGCAGTTCGTTGGTTTCCAGGTTTCTACCCTTTCTCTCCCTCGAGCCCCTCGTCCATCCGGAAGCTGCCCGTGATGATCTACCCCAATAATTACCAGTAGCGTACCTGCGCCAAGGATCGTGGAGCTTGGGCCATCTGTAAGATGACCTCAACCCTTGCTTCCCGCAAGCAGATCGGCCCTTTTCCCCAGCGGGTGTCCTCACCTCATCACGCCCGGACTTGAAGCGATGCAACGCAGCCGCCTTTTCTGCAGCTGCAAACATTCCCGATGAAGCTCCCGACAGCGTGGAATTCGCGCGGGCAGCAACTCATGACCCCGTATGGTTACTGGGCTGGGCTGCTACCATGGTTCCGGCAACCGGCAAGAGGTGTAGCGCGGCTACCATGCCATTCCACGGTCGATCCATCGCAGATCAACAAGGGCGCGGAGGTGTAAACAGGGCAATCTTGGGATGGTAGGGCGGGCTTATTATATAAGAACCTGGGCCGCTGCCACAATGTCTCACCTCGTAACCTTCCCGACGGCGATCTCTGCATTGTCTTTAACAAACCTCTGGGTCACTGCAGGTGAACAGCTTACAGCCGGATCTCAGCTCGCCGACGGCCATGAAGTCCGCTGTTGCGCTTTCCTGCCTGGTCGGCAGCGGCATTGCTGCTGCCGGCGCAGTCAGATCAACAGATAAGGTATGGCAACACTTTGTCGCAATATAGCTCCTTTCCTACTACGTCATCATCCCGATCGCTCAAGATTCAGGTACCGTGTTGGGATGGTGTTACCCCTTTCATTCTACCCGCTCCCACGTCGTCGGATCTCGCTTGGTCTTCGCTGCGCGGGAAGCAATTCTCCCCGCTGCACGCCTGTTTTACCCCCAAATTTGGTCTGCGGTTGAGCGTTTGGCAGTCCACAACCAACATGCAGCTCCAATATGCAGCGCAATTGGTGCTCGCGGTTGCAGTCCAAACGTCACTGGCTAACGACTTGAATCGTCAACAGCTCGAGAAGAGGGCGACACTCGCATATTCCCCTCCCTTCTACCCGTCGCCATGGATGAACCCCGAGGCCGACGGCTGGACGGAGGCGTATGCCAAGGCCAGGGAGTTCGTCTCGCAGATGACGCTGCTGGAGAAGGTCAACCTGACCACAGGTGTTGGGTGAGTTCCCCCACGGTTCTGTCATCTATCTCGTTGGTGACTCTGAACAGTCGCATGCTGACAATCGCAAAGCTGGGGTGCGGAGCAATGTGTCGGCCAAGTAGGCGCGATTCCTCGCCTGGGTCTCCGTAGCCTGTGCATGCAGGACGCTCCGCTGGGCATCCGTGGGACAGACTACAACTCGGCGTTCTCCTCGGGCCAGACTGCTGCCGCCACCTTTGATCGCGGTCTGATGTACAGACGCGGCTATGCCATGGGCAAGGAGGCCAAGGGCAAGGGCGTCGATGTGCTGCTCGGACCCGTCGCCGGCCCTCTCGGACGCATGCCCGCTGCTGGCCGCAACTGGGAAGGCTTCTCCCCGGATCCGGTCCTGACGGGCATCGGCATGATGGAGACGATCAAGGGCATCCAGGATGCTGGGACCATTGCTTGCGCGAAGCACTACATTGGCAACGAGCAAGGTATGCTACCGACCCGCATTGGCTTCCCAGGAGCACGCTGACAATTCATTCTTTCATTCAGAGCACTTCCGGCAGGTGGGAGAGGCCCAAGGGTATGGGTTCGATATCTCGGAGACGTTATCTTCCAACATCGACGATAGAACTATGCACGAGCTCTATCTCTGGCCCTTTGCCGACGCGGTTCGTGCCGGAGTCGGCTCGGTCATGTGCTCGTACCAGCAAGTCAACAACTCGTACGGCTGCCAGAACTCTAAGTTGCTCAACGACCTGCTCAAGGCCGAACTCGGCTTCCAGGGCTTCGTCATGAGCGACTGGCAGGCACAGCACACGGGCGCCGCAAGCGCCGTTGCTGGCCTCGACATGACCATGCCGGGCGACACCGTCTTCAACAGCGGGCTCAGCTTCTGGGGGGCCAACCTCACCCTCGCGGTGCTCAACGGCACCGTCCCTGCGTACCGGCTCGACGACATGGCGATGCGCATCATGGCCGCCTTCTTCAAGGTGAACAAGAAGGTCGATGAACTCGAGCCCATCAACTTCTCCTTCTGGACCCTGGACACGTACGGCCCGCTCCACTGGGCCGCGGGCAAGGATGTCCAGCAGATCAACTGGCACGTCGACGTCCGCGAGGACCATGGCAGCCTCATCCGCGAGATTGGCGCCAAGGGCACCGTGCTCCTCAAGAACACCGGCTCCCTGCCGCTCAACAAGCCCAAGTTCCTTGCCGTCATCGGCGAGGATGCTGGTCCCAACCCCAACGGGCCCAACTCCTGCGCTGACCGCGGTTGCGGCGACGGCACGGTGGCCATGGGCTGGGGTTCCGGCACGACCAACTTCCCGTACCTCGTCACGCCCGATGCCGCGCTCCAGGCCCGGGCGGTCCAGGATGGATCGCGCTACGAGAGCATTCTGTCGAACTACGCGGCCGCGCAGACGAAGGCGCTGGTGTCGCAGGACAACGTGACGGCCATTGTCTTTGTCAATGCCGACGCGGGTGAAGGCTTCATCAACGTGGACGGCAACATGGGCGACCGCAAGAACCTGACGCTGTGGAAGGACGGCGACGCGCTCGTCAAGAACGTCTCGAGCTGGTGCTCCAACACCATCGTCGTCATCCACTCGCCCGGCCCTGTCCTGATTACCGAGTGGTACGACAGCCCGAACATCACGGCCATCCTCTGGGCCGGCTTCCCGGGCCAGGAGTCGGGCAACTCCATCGCCGATGTTCTGTACGGCAAGGTCAACCCGGCCGGGCGCACCCCCTTCACTTGGGGCGCGACCCGCGAGGGCTACGGCGCCGACGTGCTCTACAAGCCCAACAATGGCAAGGACGCGCCGCAGCAGGACTTCACCGAGGGCGTCTTCATCGACTACCGCTACTTCGACAAGGCCAACACGTCGGTCATCTACGAGTTCGGCCACGGCCTCAGCTACACCACGTTCGAGTACAGCAACATCAAGGTCGAGAAGGCCCACGGCGGCCCGTACAAGCCCACGACCGGCAAGACCGCACCGGCCCCGACATTCGGCAACTACTCGACCAACCTGGACGACTACGTCTTCCCCGCGGACGAGTTCCCCTACGTCTACCAGTACATCTACCCCTACCTCAACACGAGCGACCCGGAAAAGGCCTCGGCCGACCCGCACTACGGCCAGACGGCCGAGCAGTTCCTGCCGCCGCACGCCACGGACGCATCGGCGCAGCCGTACCCGCGCGCGTCCGGCAAGAACTCGCCCGGCGGCAACCGCCAACTGTACGACGTGCTGTACACGGTCACGGCCGACATCAAGAACACGGGCGCGGTGGCGGGCGACGAGGTGCCGCAGCTGTACGTGTCGCTCGGCGGGGCCGACGACCCCAAGGTCCAGCTGCGCGACTTCGACCGCATCCGCATCGACCCGGGCAAGACGGCCACCTTCCGCGGCCAGCTCACCAGGCGGGATCTGAGTAACTGGGATCCGGCCGTGCAGGACTGGGTCATCAGTGAGCACAAGAAGACCGTCTATGTTGGGCGGAGCAGCAGGAAGTTGGATTTGAGTGCTGAGTTGGATTAAGGGGGAGGGATTCTATGAAAATTATGACTCCTAGGTGGTGCTATCCACCGCTCCCCCTGAGACGTCTTTTGTAGTTTTAATCAGTAATAATGAAACCCTTTGTGAGAGAATCTTAGAGATGTAGTGCTTGATGGTGTCCTGTTACTAGTACTTGTGAGCAATGAAGTGAAGATCGGAACGTGTCCCGGAACTGGCAAGCGCTGTCTCTGGGCTCTGCCTTCCGCTTCGAGTGGGTTTTGCATCTGTCAGACTCGGTTCGCGGTCGCACTTGGATCTTGCCTGCGCATCCTGAAGGTCGATCACATTTATTCGGTTTGGACGCTCGTCGTCGTGGATTATTCGTGGTTACTGGCATCCTTCCGTCATCTTTATCATTCGTACAGCACGATACACCTCCGCACTCCTAGTCGACGACGGTTGTGCCTACGTTCAAACAGTGACGTTCCTTAGGTTACCATGTCATCACCTATGCTCTCACCGAGATCTGAGAACTCGGAGACAGAATCCGAGGACTGGAATCTCCCCTTATGGATCTCGCGCCTACGGAGGCTTGAGACCCAGAATGACGAGGCTGAAGCGGGTCACAGTGACATGCCGCAGCCGAGTAACACTGTCGCTTCCGATGCTTCTCAAAACAATAGTATCTCCCTTACAAACCTTCCGCAGCCCGGCATCTCTCTCGTCGTCCCAGCCAGTAGCGGGATCGCATCTGACTTCGTGCTGACAACAACAAACCCTCGCAAACGCAAGAGAGAGCGAGATACACATCCGCGCCACCAAGACGACTGGACCGATGTTTCCACTCCCGATGATGACTTAACAATCTCTGAAACAACCGACAGCAATCCCCCTCCCGAAAAATCCAATGCACCACCGTTGCCCGACCCTCCCGATGATGATATCCTCTCCGCAAAAGAAGGCGTCTACCCCCCCGACAACACCGCGATCGAAACCGTTTTCCCCCTCGCGCGCGACGTCGCCGTGCCCGCCATCATGCGCGCCCCGCCCTCGCTCCTCACCACCGACATGCTGTTCCCCCAACACCCGCCACGACACTGGACCCCGGACCAGGCCGAGGAAGTCGCGTGGTGGATGGCCGACGGGCTGCAGTGCATGATCGAGATGGGGGAGTCGGCCGGGCGGGAGATACGGCGCGTGGAGCCCGGGGGGCCCAGCCAGGCCCAGGGGGCCGATGGCAAGGTTCGGACCGTACGGCCGGTGGCCTATGTCACGTACACGTGGGAAACGAGGGTGGATGCGGCCGTTCATATGAATCGCGCGATTACCGCCGAGGACATGGCCACGGAGGAGGGCGGCAGGGAGCTCACGGCGGAGGGGATGGGCGCGCCGAGTGTGATGGATTTTGGGGGATGGTTGCGTATGGGGTTGACGTTGAATCGCCAGAGGATGAAGGTTTATTGGGGGGAGGAGTTTGTGGAGGGCACGGTGTTTTGTCGTGAGTGCTCGCTCGATATTATACCTATCTCCTCCCCTTTTCCATCTTTTTGTTCTTCTTTTTCTTTTCTTTTCTAATGTCCTTATTGGAACATATGTGGCGCTGACTCTCTACCGCCAAGGAATACTCCAGCTGTTTGTCCGTCCCGACTGCTAGCGCCAGGGGTATGCGTCACGGCTCGTGAAGGGCATCTGCGCCGAGATGGACGAGCACGGCGCGGTCGGCTACGCGCTGGCGCCGACGCGGGGCGCCAAGAGGCTGTTTGAGAAGTTTGGCTACACAGCGTACCCTCGATCCAGCCAGGGGAGTGTCGATTTCAGAATCACGGTCATGACTCGCAGGCCGACCCCTAACCCCAAGACCACCCTTGAGCAGATAGAGGCCCGTATGGCCGTGCTGAAGCTTGTGGAGGAGATGATGAAGAAGAAGGGAGAGGGTTCCGGCACAGCTGCTAGCGAGCAGGGTAAGAAGAAAGCTGGGGAGGGGAGCGAGATGGCGGAGAGCGAAGGGGGCAAGGAGGGCAGATCAGTGATCATCTTAATTCGCAGACGCTCACCCTCTTGAGATGGGGTTGTCTTGCTATCCCAGCGTGTCCAGTAGGTCATTAAACAAAGCAGAATGATACACCGCAGCGTTTTCCTTCGGTCGAGTTGCCTCCCTTAGCTCCTTTGAGCCATATGAAGACGTATACGAAACACCAACATCCGCTGAACTTCCATTCCAAGAAGATGCAACGGAGTCCATTGAGCCTGTCGAGAAAGCAGGCGACAAGCAGGAAGAGGGAACTGGCCGTGCTGCTGTTCTGGGGTGCTAGCACGGGAGAGCCCGCGCGGCTGACCTCGTGAGGAACCTTGGAACGTAGAGACCACGAGCGTGGGGAGCGTCCGCAGAATGGCGGGAAGTTTGGTGTGCGAGTAATGCGGCGGCCCCTTTTCGGCCTTATCTCGCACCACCGCAGGGCAGTCAGTAGGTATATGGGCAACATCATACAACCGACTTCCAGCGGCGCCACAAAGCGGTCAAGTCATCATACCCCGGTACCCTCACACGCCACACTCACAGCGTCGTAGACCCTCTTCCCCCGAATTGGCCTGAGTTTGATTCCTATCGTATAATCATACCTATCCAGTGAAGCTGAATCCCTGGTGGAGGATTTTCGTAGTCACAAACCTCATTTGCCACAATTACAAACTCAATGGGGAGCTTGGTGGTGAGGTCTTTGCATCCTATCTTGTATAAGCTCTTCGCATCTTTCAGCTTCGAGGTTTACTTTCTTCACTGCAAGGCTCGCACAGATTGCTGGGAGACCCAGTAGCCCAGCTCGGGGTACGCAAGGAGGGGGTGGAAGTACTGTGGTAGTAGGGGTAAGTTTGGGACGATATTGTAACCACATTCGGCCTAGCGCCTATGCCACACCCCAATACCTGCTATTCCCAGTTTGATTTGCCAGCCATTTCCGCCCGCGCATTCAAATCGTTCAATTGAAGTATCCGAATGGCAATAGAATATATGGTACTAGTAATTGAGTGTCATGTCGAAGTGCGATGTGTGGGTGCGATGCGCAGCACACATCATTTTGGGGGTCGCTAACCAGATTTGGTTAAATACTGTCCCCGGGGTCTGAAGCTGACCTATCCCCTCTCCAAGTAACTACCTATTGTCCCAAAAGCATGTCTCTACATAAAACTTGAAATCCCAAATCCCTGGATCATCTTGTCACAGTCAGCACTTCAACTGAGCAGTACCACCTCGACAGCAGAGCAGTGGGAATTTTACTATCACGACCACAAGACCGACACTATACTAGTACCTACCTTATGTATGGTCTATTCAGAACCCGAGGCCATTGTCTCGGTATGAACAAAAATGTTCTGGGACTATGTCTAACGTACATGATAAGCGAGTGACCCAGACAAGCGAATGACCCACTCTCCACTACCCTACAAACATTATCCTCAATTACAAAACAACAAAACTATCAACCAACTACAATTACATCAGAAACGGGTGAATCAGATGCTTCTGCAACCTCCTGGCAAGTGCGGGCATTATGACCAGGCTTGCCGCATACACCACAGCACCGAACCTTCGTACGACCCCCACCAGCACCACTACCATCCAGCTGTGTTTCTTGCATTGCCTCCCCACCTATAGCCCCCTGGCTTACCACCTCCTGTGCCTCCTGCACAGTAAGTGATCCTCCAAGCCGCACACGTGTTTTTTTGGCTCTCCGGCGCTTGCTTAGCGCCTCGTTAGCCTTGCGGAGCGAAGACACCTCTGCCTGAAGGAGGGCCACCTGGTGCATTACAGCCATCGTACCCTTGGTAAGCTGGTCCACAGCAGCCAACATTGAAGTCGGGGAGCTATTTTGATGGTTGGCAATGCGAGTCTTGATAAGCGTTGACTGTGACTCGGCTTCTCGAGGGTTGTGTGGTGTCTGGAAGACCCAAGATTATGCAGTGCCCGGCCGTGAGGTTGGGGGTGTTGGTGTACGAAGCTTGATATCTAGCTTCGAAAGCACCCTCTCTGGATCGTATGGCACAAGGCCAGCCCCTGCAAAACCGCCCTGTATATTTCTCTTGGTGATAGAGGCAAAGAAGGCCGTGCGAAAGGCATAAAGAAACTCGAGCTTGCTTATATGGTTGATATGCGCGCGTACCAAGTCCTCGATCTGGCGACCGTACGCCTGCTTCAACGGCCCAAAGCAGCTAACATCAAGTGGCTGGAGGAGGTGGGAGGAATGTGGAGGCATGCAGAGCGTGATAATGTTGTTCTGCTGGCAGTAGAGCTCGAACTCGGTCGAGTGGTGGCTTTCGTGGCCATCGAGGATCAACAACTGGTATTTGCCCTTTGTCCGAGGCGCTATATGGTAGTCGAAGTGCTTGATCTAATCAAGGCCTACTACGTTGGTAGTCCAGCCGTTCTCGGTGGTTGCGATACGCCAGTCGGCCGGGAGGTTGTACTCGGTGTACTAGTTGACGAGGTGGTATTGTGCGGCCAAGATGATGAACGGAGGGATAGCCTAGCCGAGAGCATTGACTCCCTAGATCACTGTTGCCTACTCGCGATTGCCAGGCTGGGCCAGCTTAGCCTTGCTCCGGCCATCTGAGGTTGTAACAACCATACCCGTAAAGATAATGCCCATCATAAACCCGGTCTCGTCAAAGTTATAGACATCGTCATCCATAATACTATACTTGGCCTTAGTGTTCTGTACAAGCCTAAACCACTTGCGAATAACGTCTGGATCTTCGCATCTAGCCCTCTGGTAGTCGTATCTACGTGTATATCGCGTATAGAGCTCTGGCCGGCGTTTGACGAAGTTATAAGCCCAGCGTTTGCCAATAGGGGGCGCGTCGTGTTCGCGTAGTAGTTGGTTGGCCATATCTTCCATACCATATAACCTAGGCGGGAATACACGTGCAGATAGCTCATTGATATATTGAACTATCGCCTTCTCTTCTAGATCTGTGAGCTTGCGCGAGTTGGCTGGAAGATCGTATCGTGCAGGCTTGCCGGCGCGTCGGCGCCCCAGGGTCCTACGGTCAACCCTATAGATCTTAGCTGCGGCTCGTTCGCTTAGATTCTTGTCGTTTTGAAGAGCTTGGAGAGCCAAGATTATCTGGCCTTCTTTTGAAGTAGAGGGCATTTTGGATGGTAGAGGAAATTTTGTTGTTGAGTGCAAAGATGTCGCGTCGTGTAGGAAGTGGGTCATTCGCTTGTCTGGGTCACTCGCTTATCATGTACGTTAGCACAACGACACACCAAGCACAGGAGTTCGTTCGGTACAAATGGACGTTTCAATCCGCGCTGGAAAGCATGGTTCTCAAAGTCGCAAATCCCGGCCCCGATTGGAGCTTTCCACACTTCCCAGAACCCATCACGAGGATCTAGCGTCAATCGCCGGATGGCTCGCGAGCTGAGGCGCCGATGCGATTTCCGCGACCTCGACGACCTTTCTGACCCTGAATTCAACGATTTATATCTCGCCGTCATATCAGGGTCAACTGAAGATTTCGAGGCCATGGATGGCGCACCTCTGTCTCTTCTCCATGGCCAAGGGAACGGCGCCAACTCCACCCAGCCACAGGCATATAATCGCCGATCTTCATCCTAGGAACCTTTCAGCAGCAATGGAGGTGGAACGCTTAGGCGGGGAGATGGCCTCAAAATCGCATCCCGGAACTTGCTTTTCTCAGCTCGCGGCGCGGCAGCGCGCGCCTCGGCCGCGATGGCCCATTTGCGGACCATGTTCGGCCCAGAGCCTCGCAACCTCGTGGTAATGCTCCAAGAACTCCGCGATGAATCACTGGAAGCTATCCTGGAGGATGAGTGGGCCCAGCAAAACTTCGCACTCTCCGATACGGATCCGCCATACTCCGATTACGCATATCCCGAATTCTTTGACGAGGAACTCAACCTCCAACGCAGTCGATATTTCACTCTCATGATGGTTTCGCGGAATCTGCCAATATCGAACTGTTTCCGTGTCCCCATGCTCACTGAAATGGAGAGAGATGCCCTTGTGGTTGACATTCCCGTATCCGAGGACCACCACGGCCCCGAAGCATCGTCATCGAAACGGTCACTTCGCCTATGCACGACGCACCTTGAATCACTCTACCAAGGAAAAGACCTTCGTTTTCGCCAACTCGCCCAAGTAGCAGCGCTGCTGAAAGGAGACGACTCTCGTCACGGGGAGGGGCAGAAGCAGATCTGTGGCGGACTGGTGTGTGGGGACATGAATTCGGGTGATCCGTCCGAGCATAGCATACACCGAGCACCCGAGGTGGGCCTGAGGGACGTTTGGGAGGATGAGTCGGCGCCGACACCGCCGGCTTTGAAGCCCTTCCAGAAAGATCTCACATATGGCAAAGCCAGGGGGAATACATGGGGCTACCAATCCAGCCGAGCTTGATCTCGAAAACGGTTGGACAAGTTCCTTTACACAGGGTCCATCGAGACCTTTGCGCTGAGTGAAGAAGCTCAGGACACCACTGGAAGATTGGGTCGCTTTGGGATAGGGCTGAAAACTAAAGTCGGGTTGGATGATATCTGGGTTAGCGATCACTTTGGGATCACTGTAGGTATTAGGGTCGTCTGAGGGCTTTGAGCCGCCCGTGGACAGATAAGTTCTTGTTTTGCACGGCAGTAGATATGATGGATATCAACCCCCCCCCCCCAGTAAGTAGGTCACTTCGAATACTACTACTACTTCAACAATCCAGTCACACCCGACCATCCAAAACGTTCATCAGTTCCAGGGTATCAGTGTAATCAGTGCGCAAACCGAAAGTCCAACCGCTTACAGCCCCTTTCCGGGCTGTTGCGCACGTAGTCGGCCCGCGCCGCCTCGGTCATGGCGCGCCACGTCACATCCTTCTGCTTGTTGCGCCACACATAGTACGCCTTGGTGGAGAGGAACAGCAAGATGGACAGGATGTTGATGGCCAGCAGCTTGGTGTTGCCGTCGCGGTAGTAGGGCTTGTCGTGGTCCACGTAGATGAAGCTGTAGATTACGTGGCCGATTTGCACCGATATCTTTTTTTTAATGGAGGCGTTAGTGCAGGTATGTATGTACGGTATGTATATCGGTGGAGAGAGAGAGAGTGTGTGTAGGGGAGGGGAAAAGGGAGAAGGGAGAAGGGAGAAGGGAAAAGGAGAGGGAGATAGGATTTTTTCTTTTCTCACATTGTACAATGCCGAGGCGACGGTTCGCGTGCCGACGTTGTTGGCGTTCTTGGAGACCCATGCTACGTTGATTGCGTGGCAGTAAGGGTATGACAGCAGGACGGTGATGAGGGCGTATGTGCCCCAAGGATCCTTGATGACGCCCGGCCAGAAGCGCAGGGCGATGATGCAGGGCAGCGTCCAGACGTTCTGCAGCACTGCGACCAAGGCTCGCTGGTTGAGCCACTCGGACACGCGGGTAAGCAGGAGAAGCGTGATGATGTGGAATATTGTCTGTGAGAGAGAGCGCGGAATCGGGATTGGTTAGCCAACCCACTTCACCTTAGAGCCCCCGAGAGTATATGATACGTGGTACTTGGTATGACTTACATTCGGAATTGTCAGCAGGTTTGTCGTGAACGGATTGAAGCCCAGCGTCCTCAGCGTCAATGTCAGGTAGGCGTTGACAGGGCCCTGCGGGATGAAGCAGATGATGCCGATGGCGTACAGCGGCCAAAGGTCATACTCCTTGAGCACCTCCCACAGACGGCGAGGGGTGATGGCCTCGCGGTTGTGCATGTCGCCCTTGGACGGGTCGTCCCGGAGGACGCGGTTGACCACGATGGCGACCTCCTTGTCGGTGAACCAGCCCTTGGGGCGGAACCAGGCCTTGGTCTGCACAGCCGATGCGGGCATGTTGAAGAAGGACACGAGTCCGATCACCAGGGTGATGAGGCCCTCGACGAGAAACAGCCACTGCCAGCCGGCCCAGCCATGGACGCCTCGCAGGTGCAGCAGAGCGAACGCGAGCAACGAGGTCGCTATCGTTGTCACCGACAATGTTGTCCAGAAGTAACTGTCGCCAAAGACATCATCCGTCAGCTCAGGTCAAGAGGGAGGGGAGGTCTTGGAAATGTTAGGTAATTTGGGTGTTGTCACAGAAACTGACCTCAACCTGATCGGAAGCTCACGGGACGTATAAAAGTATGACAGCCATAGCACAATGTCAGGTATGAAGCCGCCCTCCAGCAAGCCAAGGAGCGCACGGGTCGCAAAGAAGCCTGAACGGTTCTTCATGACACACTGCGAGATGGCCACGACGGACCAGAGGACGATCTGGATGGGGATCCAGCGGTCGGGGCCGAGCTTCTTGGAGACCAGCTGCGACGGCAGCTCAGCGAGAAGAAACGCGACTAGGAATATCACCGTCCCGTGGTTGTAGTCTTTGTATAGTGAAGAAAGAATCAGTCAGCACAGTGGCCAAACACCTTCAAGGCCCGTGTATGATGCTGCACAGAGTACAATATACAATACAATAACATACCATTGGTGTTGAGCCCCAAGTCGTCGAGAAGGTTATCGGCCAACGCCTGCTGCAGATTCCCGCGGTCGACCTGGAGCGCGAAGAACATGACACAGGCCCAGGTGCAGATGCGCCAGTCCAGCTTGCGGATGACCCTCTTCTCCTCCTCCTCCGTCCACGTCAGGGTCGGGTCGAAGACATGGCGGCACTCGTACTGCGCCTCGTCGTAGACTTGCCGCCAGTGGGCCGCCACGTGTGGGTCGAGGAAGGGGTTCTCGGCAAGGTCCTTCTCTTCGGCTTCCTCGGTCCCGGAATCCTCGCTGGCAGAGGCCGACTCGAGTGCGGCCATGTCCTTGGCGTCGGAAACAGCATGCTGCTTGTCTTCGAGGACGTCGGTGGGACTTCGTTGTGTGGAACTTGCCATTGTGTTTTCTTTTTTGGCTTTCCCATGAGCTGGCTCTACCGCCGTTTGATGCCGAGGAACCGATGTGTGCTGATGAGAGTGATTTTGTACATCCATGGGAGCGGCTATCGGGTGGTGACATAGTATATGTAGAACATCGGCTTCACCTTGCCACCTCCAGCAGGAGACTGTAAATCATTCCGAAATCTGGCAGTATATGGCGTGATTGGCCGGTACCTGCCCGGATAGGTGTGCCCGTCCATGGACAGGTCACTCTAGCAGCTGCCAGGAAACGGTTGTTGACATCGGGAGGCTCGAAGGGGGGAAAGGTATGCCGTCATCGCCACTTCTGGCCCGAAGTATTGGCCACTATCGCGCAACGCCGACAATCATCGTGCTGGGACGTGGGGGTTGTGGGACCAATGCACCCGAATGGACGGCCTCGGCGTCGTGTCGTGATTTCTGCTTGCATGAGACGATATCATAGCGCATATATGAATGGCTGAGGTGGTGCGTAACCCTTGCCAGGCCGTCTGCAGTGTTCGCGAGAGTTGCTTCAACAGTGTTCAGGGTCGCTTGCGTGCTACTATATGCTGTCACATACGATAACGTAGGTAGGCTGGTTAAGGTACTGTACCAGGTATGGGCTATGGAGACTCCTCGGGTTTTGCGTTCGTCATTCTATACCACGATCACACCATTCCACCCCACTCTCCAACGAGGTTGTACGAGAGCTAGGAGCAGTATAAAATGCGATAAGCAAGCCGCCGACAATAATTCTGACTTGACTGTGGCAATGAACGGGGAATGGAAAGAATGAGGAGACCTTCGTCAAGGCCTTTAACTGTTCAAGTTGATATCTAATTGACCGGGACCCCAGTTCGTAGAAATAGGATAAACCGACGGAGACCATGCGAAAGACGAGGCTCAAGCTTACGCCCTACAGATAGACAGCCACGTAACGGGATGATAATGCTCTCTAAGTTCTTAACTTAGGTTAGCATACATTCCTGAACCACAATGGGGTACCTGGCGTAGATGCGTACTAGTACCTGCTACCTAGGTAGGTATTCCGCCGAGTCGGAGCCCCAGATTTGCTGCTCGTGGTCGCTATGAGCTTTTCTGGTGCATCGAGGTCTCGGAGATGAGTGAGTGTACTGTTGATTGTATGTCTGCCCAGCTCGAAAAACCAAGTGGATCGACGCCTGACGCACAATGTCGGCTCCTCGTATACACGGCATGTATCGATAAGATACTTTGTCGCCTCCTGCGTGATTTACATCTCGCGCAGGTTTCTATCAGGGACTGCCATCGTGTGGCAGGGCCGTCCATAATAAGTGTGCCGGCTCGCCGTGCAAAAACCCTGGCTCGCTGGAGCGAAGGAGCAAGTCGCGGACACCTTGTCCAGCTCGATAGGACGATCCATCTAATGCGGTATATCGCGGCGATAGTCGATTCTTAAGCCTCTCTCGTCCATTTCTCAAGAACATTGATCGTTATTCTCTCCGAGCTGGATTACACAACGAGTCTAGGTCCTTCAGCACTTATCTTGCTCAGCGATTTCAGGTCCGAAATCAATGAATTTCATCAACGGCTATACCAGGAAAAGGCACGTAGGACGGGGCCAAGATTTCTAGAGGCGATGGTAATAGGAATCCAGGGTATCTATAACTGCTTGCCTAGTCTAAGTCTCGAAGGAAGGTTCATTTGAAACAGGAAGTTGACAGCGCCGGACTTCAGTTTACTTCCATTGCTCTCTTATGCCGGTGTAGCTCATTCCTTTCACTCTTTGATCTCTACGATGCCTCTGCACATCTTCAGGAATCTCTCTCGATAGTCATCCGGCGTGGTGGTGATGCTCATTGGGCCATGCTTGCTGATCAGGACGTTCCAGAGCTTAATCAAGAGCGTCATCATCTTAGCATGGACCTTGTGCTTGGCCCAGAAGAAATCTAATATGGAGGCGCGGAAGATGTACTTCCCGTCTGCCGAGCGAACTCCCGTCCTCCATGTCGGCGGAGTCGGCGGAACTGATGGTGGTTGAGACGGGACCATGCTTGATTCCGCAGGCGAAGATGCCGAGGCAATAGTTGGCCCGGGAGCGCTCATCCGGACGAGAAAGAGGGAATAGTCGACAGCATTGTGCTCGGCAAGCAGCTTGGTGTCAGCATCCAGACTGGAGAAGAAGTCCTCTGCTTGCTCCCGGCTGAGTACGATCTTGTCGTGGAACTCGTCCGCGAGCTTACTCTTGGTCGCCTCACTGGTGAGGGCGCCGCCTGCAATGTCTCTCTCGGGGTAGAAATACGATGTTGGTTTGAGATCCCAGTGCTCCCATTCCGCTTCGCCGCGCTTCTTGGCCTCCTCCCGCCCGTACATGATATTGTCCATGACGATGTGGTGGGAGGGCGCGAAGCCAAATATGCGCCCTAGCGAAAGGCCAGAAGCAGAGATAAAGTCGCAGATGCGGACCAAAAGGGACCGCGGATTGGCTGCCATGTGCTGGACGTATGGGGTCAGGAGGTCGTCGCAGAAGAATGAGTGTTCGGAATGCCGTGGTACAGATTTGACCAGGTACTTCTGATCGGCGGTGGAGTAGAAAGTCTGGGCCCGCGCATTGTTAGCTGCACTGCGGCGTCAACCCAAACCATGTCGCGTCGGGACTCACCGAGCCTGAGAATCCCATATCTCCGATCGCCTTCAGACCCTCTTCCCCCGCCTCGCCTTCGCCAGGCCGGAACGATCTGACGTAATCATCATCGCTGACATCCCAATGCCTCCGGCGAAGGTTAGCAAAGTCCGCGGGGCGAACCTTGCGCAGCACGAGCTGGTACAGGGAGAAGAAGGCAGAGAAGAGAGCTAGAAGTAATGCGAGGGGGCTGCTGGATTGCCTCTTCCCCTCATTCGCTTTGAGAATTGTCCGCACGATCGATCGCGCTATTCTTTCCTGTCGGCCCATTGCGCTGCTGAACCTGTAGCTCACTGGGAAGACTGCTGTTCCTGACGGTCATGCAACTGATGTTCAGGGCGCTGTGACGAAAGCACGGAGGGAAAGGCCCATGAAGCCCAATGACATCACCGATCTGTCTTCAGTGGTGGGTCTAGAACCCACGTGGTGGCTGCAACGGCATGCCAAGACAAGCCCCACCCCTGTCCTCAACGACATCTCAAGTTCTCAACACCATCATGTCACTCGATGATGTGGAGGGATCACGGCGGACATTCAGCTGAAGCAAACTCGCACCATGTGTTTATACTCCCACGCCTTCCTTTATCCGGTATCCATATCCTGCCATTTCCTTCAGACTATACCCTCTCCTGCAGTCCCCCAACGCACACCGAACCGTACCCTTAGTCCCTTACACCAACGCACTATGCGACCATCTACCGTAACGAGGATGACCTGATGGAGGATTAGCGCTACTACCGCAGGATGCTGTGGGATAGGAAGACTTACTATGAAGAGAGGTTGTCGAGCTTCGGGTCTTCCTTTCGGCGGCGGCGGCATGCAAGCCAAGTCGACTCCAACATTCTCAAACATTCACGCAGTGGAGGGAGACAAGGAAAAGGAAGGGAACATACCAATCGATCCACACCCCATCCTCCGATCCTCCCATACCGCCTCCTTCCTCCTCTTTTAACCAACCCTATCCAGCCGTCCACCCGTCCCATCCTCCCATACCACCTCCATCCCTCCTCTTTCTATCAGCCCCAATTCAATCCTCCACTCCTTCCCGTCGTCGTCGTCGGTCGTGGGCGACTCCGCCGGTGGGTTGTCGAGTCGTACGCGGCGAGTCTTGCGTTGCTATCGGGCCGAGCCACTCGACGGGTGTCGCCTCGGGGGGGGGTCCGCTCGGTCGCATCGCCATGTCGGTCGCAGGCGGAAAGGTGTGTTTTCGAAGGGGCGACTTCACCGGTGGGTTGTCCACGAGTGAATTGGACGCGGGGAGTCTTGCGCCTCGTCAAAGACGTGGACTTACCAAGACACCTGGCCACGTCCAGTCCACTCGACGACAACCGACCGGTGGGTGTCGCAAGGCGCGTGTCGGCAGGGTCGGCGTGTCGCAATCGCAGTCGCAGTAGTGCCCTGAAGAGGATGTTAGTATACTGTTCCGACCATAAAATATTTATGTCGCTGCTGCTGCAAATGAATGTTAGAGATGTTGGAGTGATCTTGTCGTAGCGCGCCCCGCGAATTGCCTATGTGAGAAGAACTGCGTTAGTATCAGTAAGTGAGAAAAACGTTGGATGAAGACAACGCCACTCTATTAGAGGGTTCGAGGGAGTAGTTGTTTCACTGCGGTAATTGTCAATAATCATCCGGTCTTTGAGACATAGAAACATGGGAAGAAATGAGGCAAATGTGGCGATAAAATAGAGAAACGGTTTGCCCGACATGTAGGGAGTAGATGAACAGAGGGAATATGAAAAGGTCGGTCGGTCAATCAGATTTGCGGCGAAGAAAGTAATTGAAGGTTAGGATCGGCTTCTGGACGAGACGATGACGAGGAAAAAGGTGATAGGAATAAATGATGGAGGGGAAAATGATGGATGGAAGAAATATGGAAAAGTCGGTCGGCCAATCAAGTATGCGGCGAACAAAGTAATTGACGGTTAGGATGGGCTTCTGGATGTGACGATGATGAGGAAAAGGGTAATAAGAATAAATGATGGAGGGGAAAATGATGGAAGGAAGAAATAATGGATGGAAGAAATGATTGAAGGATGGGCTCAACGATGGGGTGATGATAGACGGAATATGACGAAGAAGGATGGGATCAATGAAGAGATTGGGTGGACGAAGTCGGTAGCGGAAGGAAAGGATGGAAGAAGATAATGTATTACGGCGATGGAAGAAGCAGATGAAGATAATGAGCGATGACAGCGATAAAAATGAAAGATGGATGGAGAAAAAAGAGTAATTTTGGGACTTACTCCCTGAGAAGTTGATGGATGAATGGCAGAGGAAGTATATGGTAAGGAGGAAGAAGTTAGGGAGGATTGGTGGCAAAGGGGAGGTCATTTATAGATTTCCAGGGAGTGGTTAATGGCCTCCTAATCACTCGGGCACCGACCTTGCCCATTGAATTGAAATTCGCACGTCAATTATTTTCTCATTTTTCAAAAAGACGCGTACTTCCGCGAGTAAGTTGGGAGCTGGACCCGCGTAATCGACGCGGTCCACGCGGTCCACGCCGTGATGAGGAGCACTTGGTAGAGGAAACATGCAAAAGCAGGCCAGGGGTAGACCCCATTCTGCATTAGGGGGCGCTATCAGTGGCAACATGTGACGTCTATACGTGCATTCTAGGTACCTTACCCACGGTGACCAGCGTCTACCATTGGGGACCGAGTATGCCGTGTGTTTCTGCGGGTAGACGCTGGGTCGCGTGAACAGCGCATTGTCCATCAGTCCATTACGGTACCCGACCTTACCTACGACGCCCATGTAAGTCAAGACCTCAATACGATCTCTGCCAACAGACATGAGGAATACATACATCATCAACACGGTCACCTGCAATAGCGTGCAGTGGAGTGTCTTCATGCACTTCAGCACAGTCATAGGCGCCACTGAGCCCGCGCAGGAACTCGAATTACCTACAAGGCATTGTTTTCGAAGCCTGACGTACCTCTGCCCCCATTATAAACAAAGGTCGCGAGTCGGGAAGTATTTAAATTTCAAGGCTGGGCGAAAAGGTGGCATGTCATATTGCCTACTTCTCTATGACCTTGGTATAGTAGCTTCCAGGTTTATCGGCTGTCCTTTTGCGGGACCGACATACTTCCGTTATATGCCTAGGTACCTGAACCTGGAAGGATGTGAAGACAGAATGGGGCTAAGTAGTCCCGTCATTTGGCACAAAAATCATGAGTTCTTCTCCATAGACCCTGATTGATCGAGGACGAGGTCCACGGGTATGATAGTACCTTAGGTGTGATAGGTTTCCTCCATTTCCACTGAAACCATCTAATCGTTAACAGGGGTATCACGACCTTTGCGCTGCCGCGTCCCCGGACTTCTATAAGAATCACACGATGTGCCATCTCAAGACGCTGGTCCCTATGTACTCAATTTGCCTGCTTCTCTCCCATGTGCTTCATATGCGCATGGTTGGTGGGTGGCAACAACTGGTTTTACGGAGAAGCGTAAGAGCTCGAGGTGGTTCCAGATTGCCTTTACTGGTACTGCTACTTTTACTGGTATTGTTACTGTCAGGGATCGAGTCAGCAACCCCGCAGCAGGGCTCAGGCTCTTGGCGGAGCCTGCGCAGTGACGGAGAGCGGGCAGTAACTCGGGGTGTGGCAGGAAGCGCAAGGTGGCGAGTTTGATTCGGTCGCTTGGGATGTCCGGCGAGTGCCTGACCCGGAGCCTTCCACTAGAGGCCTTCCGGTTTGTGGTCTTACCCGTCAGGTCCTCCAAAGGACCGAAACACTACTGGAAACCGTCCGCCCAGCCAAGCTGCAGCTAGGGCCCTGGGGGAGCGCGCCGGTGTCAGATCTCCCCGCAAGTTATTCTGGTGACGGGGAATATCCAGAGCAGCTACGCGATGTGGAGTCTCAAATGCAACACAGGCGACTTGGAATTGAAAGGGTTTCAAGTGACATTCCTTAGAGAGGCTCAAGCTCGGCGCTGAGCCGTGCACTCGGGATTCAGGGCGCTGCAATCCGGCGGGACTCCGTTCCACGAGTGGCTCTCTTGGCAGAAACGCGTCTCCCACTCGGCGTTCAGTGTCCCAAGTGCTCTCCACTTAGAGGTTCGCTGTACCAAAATTAGTTCATCTTCCTGAGGCTCGCATGTCCTCCAAACGGCCGCTTTCTCCAGCGGTAATTCCTCGCTTCTAGCCCCATTACGCCAGCCATGTCATTTTGGCAGCCTCAGTTTGCATGTGGTCGTAGGCCGCCCTTTTTCTCCATCATCTACGGGCAACGAGTGGAGCAGTATGTGAAGCAATAGCCTCTCTGTTCCAGTCCATCCTCATCAGCCAAGCTGGTGGACGAAGCGAGACAACGCAAGGGGAAAGGCTTGAAAAGTCCAGCTCTCATGTTGGTGTCAATCTCGACGTTCAGACGGCTTTGTAGGAGCGAATGAACGACGGATGCAATGGCGGTACGATTATGAGAGACGTCGAAATGATGTCGCACGCTCTTCAGAGGAATTAAACGGAGAATGCCTATAGTCGTTGCAGACGCGCGATCGTGCATACGAGGCGTAGCAAGGTCTGTTCGACTTCTAAATTGCTATAGCTTCAACATCCGCCAAAGTCGTTGAGGGAGACGCAAAGTCAACGACCGCAGTTCCTGGTGGCAAGCTGATGGGACGCTGCATTGACCACCAGCTTTCGATGTCAGGACTCGGGGTACGAGTACAACACCTAGTTGCACTGCGGCAGAGCCCATAACCTGTTGCGATCCCAAAAACGGAAACCGGCTCCCGTGCTGGGAACCTTGAGGAGAGTGCAGTGGGCTTATGTATGGCCCCGCAACACATCTTGCTCCATATTTACATCTAGTGCGAGCAAGTCCGGTACAGTTGTTCTTAAATATAAACACGAATAGGATCAGACTTTACCTTTGAATATCAACACAATCCCTATCAGCAGGAGTTAGACCTGCGACTGCGACGTTGGAGAGACCGGCTTGGGTTGGAGCAGCACAGCGAGAAGCTCGAATATGGGACGAGTCCAGTTAGATGTCGTTGAATTCCAAAAAGGGAAATCCGGGAGATTGTTCTCGAAGCCAGGTTTTGGCCGTTGGGTCTCGACTGGCGCATATCGTCGGCTGACTCGGCTTTGTTGTGCCGGGTCACAGGCCATCATCCCACATCCCACACTCCACGCTGTTTTGACTTTTCTTTAGACGTTCCCGGCACCCCCCTGCGCCCAATTCCTCATTCCAGCCTTTTATTCCGCCATAGTTCGCTCGGTAAACGTGGTGTAGGTCTTTTGGCCAGTCTATTTTAGACGCTGAATCCCGCGAGAACCAAGAACACTGCCCCTGCCATCGACCATAACCGTTCGCTACCCCGCCCCCGCCAATTGATCCAACACGCCACACATCACTCGATCGCCACGATGGACGGCCAGCTCTCTCAAAAGGAGCCACGGCCACCAGTGCCGATTCTGGAAGCTCCAAAGCTCAGCGTCAAGATGTCAGCGACCGAGCTAATCGGCAACACGCCGCTCGTCCGACTGAACAAGATCCCGCAGTCGCTCGGCATTGAGGCCGAGGTATATGCGAAGGTTGAGATGTTCAACGCCGGCGGGAGCGTCAAGGACAGGATAGCACTGCGTATGATCGAAGAGGCAGAGAAGAGCGGTCGGATCAAGCCTGGCGACACTCTCATTGAACCCACCAGTGGCAACACGTAAGTACTGCTGCTGCGCGAACCGAGTCTGCATTTGCTTACAAGAACCAGTGGCATTGGCCTTGCTCTCGTCGGCGCAATCAAGGGCTACAAGACCATCATCACCCTTCCCGAGAAGATGTCTGCCGAGAAGGTGTCTGTCCTTCGCGCCTTGGGCGCTACCATCATCCGTACGCCGACACAGGCTGCCTGGGACAGTCCCGAGAGCCACATCGGCGTCGCGAAGCGTCTGTTGAAGGAGATACCAAATTCGCACATCCTGGACCAGTACTCCAACCCGAACAACCCGCTCGCCCACGAGTTCGGTACCGCGGAGGAGATATGGGCACAGACCGGCGGCAAGATCACAGCCATTGTCGCTGGTGCGGGAACGGGAGGCACGATCACCGGTATTGCCAAGGGCCTCAGGAAACATGACAAGAACGTCAAAGTCATTGCGGCGGACCCGCACGGCAGTACGCTTGCGCTGCCGGAAAGCCTGAACCAAGAGAAAGCGAACCTCCCATACAAGGTCGAGGGTATCGGGTACGATTTCATTCCGGATGTGTTAGATCGATCTCTCGTGGACAAGTGGTACAAGACCGACGACCGCGAGTCTTTCCAGCTTGCCAGGCGACTTATTGCCGAGGAGGGCTTGCTCGTAGGCGGTAGCTCCGGCAGCGCGATGGCGGCCATGATTCAGGCGGTGAAAGACTTCGGGTTTGGCAAGGGCGATGTGGTCGTGGTCGTCCTCCCCGACAGCATCCGATCTTACCTCTCCAAATTTGCCGACGACGACTGGCTGGCTGCCAACGGGCTCTTGCCTAATGATAGCGAGAACGTCGATGGGAAGGACGCGGAATCGCAGCCCAAATCCCCCATACCTAAGCAGAGCACTGCAGACCCCTACAACGGCGCGACTGTGAGATCGCTTCGTCTCAAGCCGGTGACATCCGTTCTCACCACGAGCGCCTGTTCGGAGGCCATCGAGATGATGCGGGATAAGGGCTTTGACCAGCTGCCTGTGCTCGCGTCGGCAGGTGGCAAGCTGGCCGGCCTTGTCACGTTGGGCAACCTGCTCAGCTACATCTCGCGCGGGCGGGCCTCGCCCACGACCCCCGTTAGCGAGGTCATGTTTGACTTCGGCCGCATTGACGAGGTGGTGACGGACCCGCGGGAGTTTGGGTCCGATCTGAAGAAGAAGAGCAAGAAGCGCAAGTTCGTGGAGATCACGATGGAGACGCCGCTGTCGGCGCTGAGCCGGTTCTTGGAGTGGAACAGTGCCGCCGTGGTGACGGAGAAGGGGGCCGATGGATCGAAGCCTGTTGCGGTGGTGACCAAGGTCGATCTATTGACGTTCATGGTGAGACAGAAGTCGTGAAGAACGCTGGAACTACCAGCGAATGGAGGTTCTTATCCGTTTTGAGAAGGGGTGCGTGCCTAGGACTCAACATCTAATGGTTGGTTTGGAAAGCGAGCATATAGTCGGCATTAGACAGGGCTCAACCCGTGCAAGTGGCGTGTCCGCGTAATATACCCATCTAGACAGCCATCTCGCAGTACTGCCTGCCCGCATTATGTCATCATTGATTCACCATTACAACGTCTAGATTTACACCCGGGCTCCATTAAATCTGTTAGATCCTCTCCCCGATCCACTTCCACCACTTGTCCGCTCCGGGCCCGTCCCCGATTACATTGCCGCCGATAACCTCCACCTCGACATCAAACTCCATCATCTCCTTGAAGGTAAACTTCTCGTTCCCAATCCCGCCCAGCCAGTTATCCAACTCATCCACCCCACCCGCAGCATCATCCCCTCCCACGCCGGAGTCCAAAAGCCCCTTGCTTCTCGCCTTGCGGATGCGCGCCAGCTCCGCCTCCAGGTTGCTCTTGACCAGCGCCGCGGGCAGCGCGGTGAACAGGTCCAGCTTGTTGGCGGCCACCAGGACGGGCACCGACGCGGGCGCGCGGGAACCCGTCCGCCGGTGGAAGCGCTTCTGCAGGGTCAGGAGCACGTCGTACAGGTACTCGGCCGTCGCGGCGAGCGCGCCGCTGTCGCTGTCTGCGAGGGCGGCGGCGTCGACAAGGAAGATGACGGCTTTGAGCTTGGACCTGTTGATCTCGGAAGATGATGAGGACGACGACGACGAGGTCGAGGGCAGCGTGATGGTTGGCGTGGTGGCGGCTAGGCGGGACAGGGCCTGGTTGCGCAGCTTGGGGTGACCCGGCGTGTCGACGAGCAGGAAGCGCTTGGCGGTCGCGCCTTGGGCGTCGAGGTCGTCGCGGTAGGAGGAGAGCTGGTTGGGGCCGGGCTTGGAGACGGCCAGCTCGACGGCCGAGGAGACCTGGGAGGTGTGGGTTTGGGCGACGGGGGTGTTGACGGTGTATTTTCCGTTGCCTTGGGGTTCTTGGTTGTGGTAGAGGGGCCCGCGCTCGAAGAGGGTCATCAGGGCGGTTTTGCCGGCGCCAGACGGTCCGACGAGGAGGACTGAGGGCAGTGTGGTGTAGGGTGTCGTGGCGGAGAAGATTAAGTGCAGGATGATGGGGATCAGGAGGACGATGGCCACACCAGCCAGGATGACGGTTGGCGACGGGCTGAGCGACGCCTCGAAGGCGGCTTTGAGGGTCTCGAGCGTCGGCATCTTGTCCATCTTGTCTCCTCCTGCCTTCGCGGTGTCTGTCGTCGAAACTGGTCGCTGGGAAGCGTAAATCCGGTCTCGAGATGCAGGTCAAGACGGCCTTCTTGTAGTGCGGTTCTGCTCTGACTTGGGCCCGGCTCTCAGCAGTTCCGGCGCCGAGTTATCGGTTCATTGTCATCCGATCGTCGCCGGATCGGATCATGGGAATTTTAGGTGTGGATTATTGTCACGTAGCATTTCGAGCTCGCCAAGAATTGGAGAAGCTTAGCATTACCGCGATACCGGTAGACGGAGGTTCGTTACACAGGTGGACCGGTGAATCGAGCCGACCTCTCGGGATAGACGTGATATGACAATGACCAATTACTCCTACGAATAAAATCTTACTGCCGGGGGACTGTGCAACGGACCCGGTCAGCGTTGCGGTATGACATTAGTTCAGAATCACGGCCAACTTAAGCCTGAAATGAACTTGATGGTGGCGTTCTATGCTTGTTACCGCCATTACATGTGCGTAAAATACCGGATAGGGTCCTCGAACCCACAAGGCAGCGTTAGTGGGACGCTTACCACCCTTGCAGCGGCTGCAGAGGCAGCCTTCCGCTGCCGTAAGACAAATCAGATTTCCTCCGAATCAAGACTGGGGACCAGCGTCGCCGTGCACCTCGCATCCGGTGTGGTATTCCTGAAAATACCTATATCGAGCTGAGAAGCCTCGCCGCAGGGTCACTTCAAAGGCCTCAACGCTTAGCCGGGTGAAACAGTAACTAGTTGGCGCGCCGTTTGCGCCGTCCGCCATGCTGCAATTGTCTATTTGAACCATACTACACACTTATTCCGCGGCTTCCCGCTGCCGTAGCGCATCCTCCTCTAACGAGACATATCCGACGATGGCGCAACAACAAGATGCCTCCGGGCCACCTGCGACGGACGGCGCCCCGACGCAACCGCCATCCAAATCGGATGCCGCAACACCGAAGTTAAGCAACGACATGGAACTCGGCAACATGCCGAACGAGCCAGCCCAGAACGACATCATGCAGATGGCTAGGATAGGCGACATTTCGGGCATGGAGAAGCTGTTCGAGACGGGCGACTACGATGCGACGTACACGAACGACGAGGGCATCACCCCGCTACACGTATGTTCTCTCTGCACTGACGAGCAAGGCGGCGCGGGACTCTGCTGACAGACTCCCTCCTTCAGTGGGCCGCCATCAACAACCAGTATGCCATGTGCAAATTCCTGATCGAGCGCGGCGCCCCGATCAACAAGAAGGGAGGAGAGAGCGTCGCGACGCCGCTGCAATGGGCGGCCCAGCGCTGCCACTACTACACTGTCCACCTGCTCCTCCAGCACGGCGCCGACCCGCTCATCACCGACGCCCAGGGCTACAACACGCTGCACATCAGCACGTTCAACGGCAACCTCCTCCTGATCATCCTGCTGCTCCACCAGGGCATCCCTGTCGACGTCGAGGACAGCTACGGCCACACGAGCCTGATGTGGGCCGCCTACAAGGGATATCCCGCGTGCGTCGACGTCTTTCTGCGCTGGGGGGCCAGTGTGCATGCGAAGGACGAGCAGGGCTTCACCGCGCTGCACTGGGCGCTCGTCAAGGGCAGCCATGGGTGCATCCAGAAACTCATAGAGTACGGCGCCGACCGGTTTGCCAAGACCACAACGGGCAAGACGCCGTCCATCACGGCAAGGGAGCTGAACACAGCTGCGGCATGGCACAAGGCGCTGTATGAATGCGGCTATGACGAGGAGGGGAACGCCATCGTGCCGAGCTGGCCGGGGGCGAGCTACTTCTCTAAGGACCGGAGGGGGTTCACGACCAAGTTTTTCTTCCTATGGCCGTTCGTGCTGGTCTGGGCAACCCTCGTCATCCTGGCCGGCATGCCTGTATACGCAGGTATTCCGTTCGGGCTTCTTGCAGCGTACACAATACAATGGGTGGGCAAGCAGGTTTTGGTCTATGCACCGCCCGATATGAGGCAGTTTGAGAGGACGGTAGGGCATTACGATCCCGGTCTTTTCCCGGAGCACTGCTGACCGTTCTTGTTCTCAGCCTTGGATGGCCGGCATCTTCGCTGCCTCCCTATTTCTGGTTGGGCTCAACTGGCTATTCACGGTCTTCCCGAATACGGCTTTTGGAGATGGTGAGTTCATCCGCTCCGGTTTTGGCCGTGGTTCGGCGAACTGACTTCCATGAAAGGTGGGACGTGGTTATGGAACTTCCTATTTGCCATGTTCGTTGGGCTCACAGCTTTCTTTTACGCCCGGTGCATGGTCGACGATCCTGGTTTCGTGCCCAAGCTTAATGGCATTGCCGAGCAGAAGGCCGTTATCGATGAGCTGATCAGCATGTGGAAGTACGATGAGGCGCACTTCTGCGTCACGTGTATGATCCGGACGCCGCTCCGGAGTAAACACTGTCGCAGGTGTCAGCGTTGCGTGGCCAAGCATGACCAGTAAGTGTCTCCTGCGTAAAGCTGCTTCCATGTTGCACGCTAGCTAACGCTTCGTCAGCCACTGCCCCTGGGTCTACAACTGCATCGGCGTCAACAACCATCGCCACTTCTTCATCTACCTGATCAGCCTCACCTTCGGCGTCCTGAGCTACGACCTGCTCACGTATCAATGTTTGTCCTCCCTTTGTCCCCTCCCTTTACCTCGCCTCGACACTAACCTCCCCGTCAGACTTCTCCACCCTCACGCCCACCGCCTCAGAAGAGTGCAACATCCTCTCCCCGACACTCTGCCGGATCATCAACGCCGACGCCTACAGCCTGCTCCTAGCCATCTGGGCCTCCCTCCAGCTGACCTGGGTCAGCATGCTGCTCTTCGTGCAGTTCATCCAGGTCTCGCGCGCCATGACCACCTACGAGAACATGTTTGGCGTCAACCACGCCCGTTCCGCGGCTTCCCTAGCCAGCGCATTCACCTCCACTGGCGCGCCGCTCGACCCCGGATCTGTCCCGCCGCCGCCAGCCGGCTCGGATATCGGGCCCCATGCGCCGTCCGACGGGCACCACGGGCATCGCCATGGTCGGCACGGCGGGTTCCTAAAACACTGGGGCCGGTTGCTGGGTGTGGATACCTTCATTGAGACGGCGCGAGGCAGGGGTGCCGCGGCGGGCGGGAACAGGAGGAGTAACCGGAATCCGTTCAGCAGGGGGTGTTTGACGAACTGTAGGGACTTTTGGTGTGACCCCGCGCCGGTGTTTGGGAGGCGGGAGACGGGTGCCGCAGTGCTGGGGGGAGCGCCGGTGAATTACACTGAGATGTACGAGAGCCCATCCGTTATGGATCTCCTCGGAAGCGGAGGTGGAGGGCGCCGCGCGGGCGGGTATGAGGCTGTTGCTGGTGAGGAGGTTTGAAAATGAATTGGAATGGAGTCAGGGTAACGGGGTGATTGTCAGGAGTAATGATGAGTCAATGACGATAGTGGCAATGCTGTATTGTATACACAGCTTTGTTGTATTACCTCTATGGCCCCCTTGGGTTGGTTTATTCACCAGGAGACGGATGACCTCCTCTCCTCCTTCTCCTTCTACGAGGAGCTACTACCCATAAAGAACCGATCAAACCACCGGACAGCCTGCAAAAACGCCTGCTCCTTCGCCCACCTCTGGTTCGGGTCCGACACGTTGGCCCGCACTCCAAACCCGTGCTGCGTCTGCGAGTACAAGCTCACCTGGTACGGCTGCCCGACATCCACCAACACCGCCTCGGCCTGCGCCCGCGCCTTCGCATCGAACATGTTATCCCCGTCCGCGGCGGCGATGGCCACCGGCCCGGAGATCGCCTTGATCTCGCTCGCCTCCAGCAGGCTCGGGTGCGCGGCATACCCGACGTCGATGGCGGCACCATTTCTACTTCTGTCTGCCGCGAGGAAGCGGAAGGCGTAGCGCCCGCCGAAGCAGTACCCCGGGGCGGCGATGCGAGTGACGTTGAGGTGCGTGCGCAGGTAGGCGATGGTGCTGGCGATGATGGGGTCGGTGACGGTGGCGTTGTGGCGCGCCAGGAACTCGGTCGTGTTGAACCCGGGCACGTTGAGGTCCCCCGGGGCCGGGTCGCCGCCGAAGAGGTCCGGTGCGATGGTCAGGTAGCCGGCGCGGGCGAAGCTGTCCGCTAGTCTGGAGCCCCCGGGGGTTTTAGTATCACGCGTTTAACGGTATGTGGGGGAGGGGGGTGAACGAACAGCTTGTTCTCGGGCAGGATGATTCCAAAGACGTCAGTCAAGTAGAGCACGGCGGTGCCCTCTCTTGCCTTCGTGCGAGCCGCTTTGCTATCCGGTTTGGAGATGTACAGCGTGACTGAGTTTTGCTGGTTAGTGTGAAGCCTTTCACACCCACAAGGACGTTCTGATTTGGTTTCAACGCTCAGCTTACTGTTGTTGTACACGACTTCCTTTCCGACCGGTTGACCCGAGTGAGCAACGATGGATGCGTCGAGGCAGCTACTGCTGCTGGGCTTTCCACTGCATCCCGCTATCGCCCCTCCAAAGAGGAGCAGAGCCGTTGTGAGGACCGATGATGATGAGGCGCGCATCTTGCTGACTCAGTCTCGTCTGCGGAAACGGAATGGTCGTGGTGAGGAGGATATCGATGAAAGACTGTCCTTCTTCCGAGCAACGTCGTGTATGACCCAATTTATATGATATATCTGTGCCAAGGAAGATCTCTTATTTTTCCGTCAGCTCAATGATTGACGGCTATAGATTCCCCGCGCCTGATTGCTGGCAATATCCCCGCGATTGATGTCGCGAGCGTCTTCCCGTGCTGGGACCTTGTCTTTCGGACTTACCACACGGTGACTAATGAACAGGAACACCTATACCATACATAGTAAATCTGTCGGGATTGTGCCCCTGTCCACAGTTGCACTGCATATCGGCTGCTGTATCGGGTATCCTCCGTCCCAGTTGCTCGCCGAAGGTCTGAATAAGCCGATAGTCTTGGCAGGGCTGCTGGAGTTAAGATTGATATTTGCGCTTCCCTCCGGCTGAGCTCCGTGGGCCGGAGCCGATGGACTCCGTATCGGTGTGGTGAAATACGAATGAGCCAGTAGGGGGCTGCAGACAGGTCATCTCGGCAGCATCTTCATCTCTTTCTTCCTTTTCTTTCCGTGCTGCTTGACCACCCCTTTTGCTCCTTATATTCTCTCGCGTCTCGCTTGTCTTCTTCCTCTCCCTCCTTTGTGCCTTTCTTCTTTGGCACAACGCCATGGAATGTGAGTACAATGATTACTCCCAAGACTCAACTGAGAATCTGGGATACAAAACGATCCTCTGAGTTGCTTCTCCGCGATTGTCATCAGCGTTTTGACAACGTTGAATGGTATCGGCCTATGAGGCTATGCCTCTCCCGCCTCGCGTCTTCGCTCCTGATCCTGACGTGCGCGTCTTTTCTCCAAATAGCGCAGTACGAGATAAAGAATCGAGAGCCCACTTAAGGTAAATATCACGAGGGTAAAGGCGACCTGGAGCTTGAATGGGATCGATGGCTGGTTGTTGCCATGATTGTCGTTGCTACTGGTATTGTTGTTGCTGCTGTTCCCGATCGAGTTCAGGCAATCGGGATCCATGGTGCCGGCAGGGGATTCAGGGATGGGGAAGTTTGGGACGTCCATTCCTGGCCGGCCTTTGGGTGTCAATAGTAAAGCGCAGAATGTGACACTGCGACAAGGTTGGAGTTGACAAGGGGCTGAAGACTAAGAGAGCAGAACGCGGAGTTGGTTGATGTCACCGAAGAGATTGCATCATCCAGGAAGTGGTTGCACATTGATAGTATGGTGCCTGGCGTAGCTTGTGGTTCGATTTTAACTAGCGGAGTTGGCCGGGTCGAAGAATCAAGATTGATGTAGAGTCATCGGTCCTGTCCGCACAAGTTGTTAGCTTGTGGAACGATTAACCTTGATGGTCACTTCCACACCCGAGCAGTACCCTGTACACTCCGAAGGGCTTCATCTACGTCCTATGTCAAGGTATGGTCTTCCCCGTCGTCTTGCACTTTTCATGGAAGGATCGAAAGGTACGCGTCTACAGTTTCAGTTGATGACTCACAACTTAGAAGTCATTCTGACGCTACCCTTTGTTTGAGCAGCCATCCCCTAGCAACAGAAAATATTTCAATCCACAGGAATTGGAGTTCAAGCTCGCTCTGCAGCTGTATCTAACAGCCACCTCGCCTAGCATTCTATCGCTGACGACTTCTAAGTTAGGTAGGTACCCAGGCCTCGCTTCTCAAGCTTCACCTACCCTTTCAGCGCGTTGTCCCTACAGACTTTGCAGCATAGTCACAAAGAAGTCCCCTGGACAGGCAATTATCGGAGAACAATCCACAAGGCGACTAAACATATCTAGAAGATGGAACACTACAGTGCTCTCTACTGTGGGACCACGTCAACTGGTGGGGACTGGTATGTCCATGTAAGACGCCGCCCATAGTATCGTCACAGTTGATCAGGCGGATGGTTCAAGTCTTAGCACCTGCTGGAGTTGCTCCAGCATCTCCTTGGTCATGGTCACCTTTACCAAGCCAGATCCTTCCAGCCCGTTGGAGGTTGCCACGTCGGGATCCGGGTAGTACCAGCAGGCAATGGCCATGATGGTGTAGACAACCTGCGCCATGTCAGTCCCCCTATTCATTCACACTACAAGGTACCACAGCTTTCCGAATCAAACAAATGCTAACACACGTACCACAAGCAGTGCCCCCTCAAGCCAGTTGGATTCGCCGTCGCGGAGAAAGTTGCCAACGACCAAAATCGACAGGACGAGCAGGCCAATCATGAAAATTTCAAAGTTGAGGTCCAGCGGCTTGCCCATGGTCCAGGCGACCATCACGACGAGCGGGGCGTTGAAGAGCGCTGTCTGGATGGAAGGGCCGAGGCAGTGGTACAGCGCAACGTTGATCATGCCGTCTAAAGAAAAAGCAAGGCTATATCAGCACGAGTATTTGTTTGGCGTGGAGCCTGAACATCACACGAGCCGCACTTGGTCGTAAGAGTTACTCACCCCTCGCTTCGTCAATAGCAGTCAAGTGCTCCGCGGCCTTCTCGACAAGCGGCAGCAAGATCAAGCCGAGGAACTGGTCCGGCACGCCGCTGCGCACGACGTGCTCGATCTCGTCCACCAGAAAAACCAGCAGCAGCGTCACGCAGACCAGCGACAGCACCAGCGCCACCACGGTCTCCGTCATGGTGAACTTGGGCTTCTGCAGGTCCTCCTCGCGGTCGGCGTCGCGGTGCTCGTCCATCTCGATGACCTCGTCAAAGATGCTGTGCTGGCTGCTAGCGCAGAACCAGACGTACAGCACAAAGGCGAACATGAGCGCGATCGACGCCGCCCGGCTGATCTGCAGCACGTCGGCCTGCAGCTTGCCCTGTGTGAAGCTCTTCTCGTGCCAGACGACGACGACGGCCGACTCGGACGCGGCCTCGTTCTTGAGGGCCGAGTAGAAGGCGCTGGGGATGAGCAGGCCAAAGGCGGCGACCAGCAGCAGGCCGTTGCCGACCTCGGACACGACGGCGTGGAACTTCTGGTTTGCGTGGCGGATGCCGCCAAAGAAGAAGCACAGGCCGAGGCAGAGCAGCAGGTTGGTGAGGATGCTGCCGAGGATGGCGGCCTGGATGACGGGGATCAGATTGCCCTCCTCGCTGCTGCTGTCGTTGTTATCGCCCTCACCAACAACATGGTTGGCGATGAGCACGACAAACAGGATGATCTCGACGAGGGACCCGAACGTGGTCTCGATCAGGATGCCGGCCACCTTGTTGGGCATCTTGCGCGCGAACTCCTGGCCGGCGAAGCCCAGTAGGTTGGCGGCCGGCACCATGCCGATGTAGCTCGTCGCGAAGGTCCATAGCGGCGCGTTCCCGAGAAAGTGTAGCACGATGGCGATAGGCACGAAGGGCCAGAGTACGTTGACCAGCATCGACAGCTTGCTCGAGCTGCGCCAGAGCACCGACACGAACTGCCGCGGGTGGAAGCCGCTGCGGCCGCTCTCGCCCTCGTGGGCGGTCATCCCGCTTCCAGGGGAGTGATGAGGGAGAAGCGGTGTCGCCTCATCCCGGTCGCCTGGGTGTTGGTGAGCTTCATGTCCCGACGACATCTTTGAGTGAATGAGTTAAGGGAGCCGTCGCAATCAGGGGACGAAATCAATGGGGTCGTCAAGAGTCATTGAGGAGGATACGAGGAGCGTCGAGCTGTGTTCCGCCACTGTCTACTTATTAGAAGGCTGGTTAACTCTAATCTATAAGCTCCTATACACTTGCGGTAGTGGTTAGTAGGTTGCTAGGAGAAGTTAGGATGTTTCGGAACAATCCCTTTGCCATTGGTGCCCGCTCTGCAGGTTCGTCGACATCTTGTCTTGGCTCCAAAACTTGGAGGCTGGGATCTCTGGGCAGCACAACAATTGTCCGCCTTGCTAGGGCCTGCTCCGTACAGTGATAAGTCCAGGTCTGGACAGACAGTGGGAATACATCACTCGAGCAGAGAAGATGCACAGACTTAGGTACCTTGTACTCATATACCCTTCTTGGAGCTGGTGACTTATGTTTCGCCTCGGCCTTGTTACCGAGATATAAAAACAGATCGAGCCTGTCAGCCTGAGGGTTGGTGTTCATATTGTATTGGCTGTGTTCAAGACCGGAGTTTGTTGAAAACATCGTGTGGAGATCCCCTTTTGATTCACGACTAGAGATTCTCATATCAACTAGTTCGACCGAGTAGAGATGTGTAGGCAACAAGATCAGAAGACGAGATAAGCTCAATCCACGAACAGAAAACAGAGCCAATCATAAAGAAACCGACCTCCTCCACTTCCCCAACCCCCGTCTCAAACCGCGAGCAACTTGAGATAGCTAAACTATAATCGTGGTCTTAAAGGTGCAGCAAAAGTGGCGAGAGGCTGGACGGCCCGTCCGGGCACATCGTGCATAAACAAGCAGAGCAGGTTCCCAGTGCCATCAGTTCAGCACCGGATAGCTGCACCGAGAGTTGTCAACTAAACGACCTCTCGAGTGCCATCATCATAAACCTTAAGTGTGGGAGTCTGATTTCCATGTCAGCAATGGCCTGTACCGCCTCTAGGGTCCCATTTCCAGTAGACTTACGATATCCATGCCATGCATTTCGGCGAAACGGCAGTTGTTGCCAAAATAGCACGACGTCGGATTCGCGCAATGATGCCCGAGATTGCAGGACACCTCGGTGCAATGGTGGCCGGAGCTGCAAACCAAGTTTCGCGTCTTATGTCGCAGCACGAGCATCTCCGATGCGGTCAAGGGCTCTTTTCCGTGGTAAAAGTTGCAGTTGGGGCTCTTGCAGTTCTTCATTAGATACCATCTGTTGCAAAAGTTCCTGCCGTTGGCGTGCATCTTCTCCTCAAACGCCCTCACTGCATTAGGATCCGGCTTGGCCAGTGGCACATCTACGCGTTGATCGTTTTTGTTAAATGTGATGTAAGGACGAGAGGCGGTTGTCTTCTTATGGCTGGCAATGTTGATGGTAACGGGAGCGTTGCTCCGGCCGACTGTAGCGTAGCTGCTGGTTGAAGACTCGGGTTTAGTCGTTGCAAGCGACGCGTGAGGTACAGCATTTGGCGAGGCCGTCGGGGCGGGGCTCGGCAAGCTGGTGACCCCATTGCCGCCATGTGGGAGTGGAGGAGAGCTTCTGGAGCTTGTATAGAACGTCCCAGCAGTTGGCGGAGGCGCGAATCCCGGCGGCATGGCCGGCCTGGATGGCACAGGCTCGGACCGGAAGACCGATGGGAATGAGACGCGCTTGAACGACAGCTTTCGGAAATCCGCCGCCGGAGGAGTGGTCTCCAGGAGGCAGATCTTGTGGTTGTTGCGGAAGGATTCGAGGAAAGTGGCGTAGCCGTTGTCGTGACATCCGCCCAAGATGAGGCATCGGCACTGGATATTCCTCTCCATGACTTCAAAAAGCTTGCGGACTTTATGGTCGGCTTGCTCCTTGCCGTAGCCAACATCAGTAAAGGAGAAAAACGGCTGAGCACGGCAGAAGCCGCGACCAAACTTGGTCAAGGCGGCATAGTCGGTAATAGGAAGAGTGCCGGACGCATGGAGAGCCCTCGACAACCCATCGACGCTAAGGACGACGTGTACGAATATGATGTCGATGTTCGACAAGGCTGGGTTGTCGTGGAAGTAGGCCTTAAGTCGTTGATGTAACTCGTGGGCGGCTTCTCCGCCGCCCTCCTCCCCCCGGGCAATAAGATCTTCGCGGAAGACAGCGCCATCGCCATCGATAACAACAAAAGCAAAGGGAGATGATTCCTAGACAGATGGTTACTACAGGCGGTGATAATCGAGGATAAACCCGGAAGGGAATTCTCCGCAGGCAGGGGATGCGGAAGCACCCAGCTTGCTTGGAAGCAGACCGGGAAGCTGCGGGTCTCGGACCGCACCTTAGGGCGGCATCTTATGCATGGGTTTTGCAGAAAGCGCTAGGGTTAGGAAGTAACAAACAGAGACGGGGACGTACTGCAGCAGATCTAATAGCACTGAGCTCTCTCTCCTGCATGCGGTGCTCCTTTTCCCAAAGCACGGCGGTGCGTCTTTCCCGGTCGCATTCGGCACATTTGTCCTGGTAGCGTTTAAGGAGGTCCATGTAGCTCATGGCGAGCTCACGTTCGATGCGGTTTCGCTCATGGGCTAGGTTCTCCCATGCTTGGTAAGGCGGGATATAGGGCTGCGCGGGGTCGAAACCCTCCGATGGCCCGTCGTAACGGCTCATGTTGGAGATTCAGTTTAGTGGGGGAGACAGCGACAGATGGTGACGTTCTTGATGATCGATGGTGGTTAAAGATGGGAAGAGGGGCCCGAGCTCCAGGGGCGGGATAGTTCGGCAGCCTGAGCGTTTGTGTCCTGAGATTGGCAGGCACAAGGAACTGGAGTTCGCTACTTTTAGTTAACCGACTTAAGGCTGTCGAAAATGCTCTGGACAGCAAGCAAACGCAACACCGAGACAGGTGAGGACTCAAAAGGAGCTTTAACCAAGAACAGAAGAAGTTGAAGAGGGGCTGCGTTGTATCTTCAGCTGCGAGGGAAGGCACAGAATGCGAAACGCCGGGCCGGCTCATCTCAGTCACCGCCCAGCCACGTGATCATGTCGCGCATGTCCTGTCGCGGCGGGTAGGGTTAGTGCAGCCTTTCCCGTCTCACCACTGTCCAGCGGACCAGCGCAGGCTACCTTACCTAGAGGCCCAATAAATGACCCATTCTTAACATGTTCAGCCTAATATTTCGCTGTCCGTAGCGCGCGCATTCTGGACATGCAACCTTGGAGCGAAGCGAAACAATTTGCCGCCGATTCACTTTTCGAGGGCTCAAGTTTAGTCTCAGGTGCTCAGCCACAGCTTTTGGCGCTTGGCAGTTGTGTGCAGGTATCTATGGAGCACCACCCAACCCCGCACCCCTTTTAGCCAATCAGATACCATACACAACACTAGCGCCAGCTGGTCTAAGCCTAGAGGGAACTTTTTCGCGGCTTTTATCATCGAGCCTATACTCAATACGAACGCCACCTTTACCCTTACCTCAGTATTAAAAAAAGCTTAAATTTTAAAGATAGAGTTATTATAACCTTAATCATATAATATACCCTTTTTACCCCTATATCCAATCATTACGAGTCAGAAAGAACCAATGAGGATTGGGGAGATCAGGAACAATGCTAAGGACGATTGTTCCTGGGGAACAACGCCAAGGAACGTTGTTCCAGATGGAACAATGAGGACAACAATTGTTCCAAATGTTCCAAAGATCTAGGTACGGGATACCTAGGGGAGGAAGCAGTATATAGTTCTACTATTCTGCCACTCATTCAGATAGCTAGCTTCCTCAGTGAGCAATACAAGCAATAGGCTCTATCTATTGTGCAGACATTGCGGCAAGCATTGTTGTGAACCTTTTGGCTTCACCGAGACCTACAGTCCGACCAGCAGTTACCTTCGACCGGCGAACCCTTTCAGAGGCAGGACTGCCTGTGGTTTCGTCACAATTTAGAACAATGCTTCTTAGTGTTGTTCCTCCTAGTTCGTAATGATTAGATGCGGGCGCTGCCCGCTGGCTATGTAGGTCAGCCTCTACCGGCCTCTGCAGGTTAATTCATGACACCTTATTATGAGGGCCGTCGTTCAAGGCTAGGGTCAAGCCTCTGGTGGTAAACTGACTGCATTGCAAGAATATTGAACTTGCAGGAGGAAAGAAATCCTCGAGACTGCAAGGTAGGCTTTAAATACAGGATGCGAGTAGGTCTGAGCTTGCATGCATAATTGTGACGAAACCACAGGCAGTCCTGCCTCTGAAAGGGTTCGCCGGTCGAAGGTATCTGCTGGTCGGACTGTAGGTCTCGGTGAAGCCAAAAGGTTCACAACAATGCAAGTCGCAATGTCTGCACAGTAATGTAGGGCTGCCTTACTGCTTGTATTGCTCACTGGAGAACTCCCAGAGTCCTCTAGAACGAGTGACTATATACTGGCTATCTTGGGTGCTCTCATGTGCTCTATAGAGCTCCCTAGGGCTTAGTGTTCTGTTGACTCTATCAAGAGCTTCTGTTCCTTCATGCTGATTGGCTTAGCTCCCTAAGCTCTCGTCTGCTCTCTAGAGCACCTTAGAGCTCCTTCTTATTGGTCCTGAATGATTGGTTCGGGTGCGCCCTGCGCCACCCGGCGGGTTGTCCCACCTGCAGCTGTCCTGTTAGCTTAATTCGTGACAATAATGTAATGGAACATGCATAATGAATCATCACTTAGTTATGATGAATCATTATACATACAAATGATATCATCATCATGGTCGGTGCGTTCTGCTGTCACAATAGGTCTAGGGGATATATTTACTCGGTTAGAAATATTAGCCTCTTATAAAGTGATAACGTACATGATAAGCGAGCGACGCAGATAAGCGAGCGACGCACTTTCAGTGCGACGCGCCTCCTCTAAACTTTTCCACCAAATACCACCGCAACAAGCCATGCGTAGCCCCTCAAAAGAAGCCAGGCTTCTTTTAGCCCTCGAAGCTATCAAACAGAGCGAGAATCTCAGTATCCGGGCGGTAGCCAAGCTATACAACGTTCCAGAAGCAACGATTCGCCACCGGCGCAAGGGACGTGCTGCAAGACGCAATATTCTAGCCAACTCGCGTAAGCTCACGGATCTAGAAGAGAAGTCAATAGTTCAGTATATAACTGAGCTATCTACACGCGCATTCCCACCTAGATTAAGTGGTGTGGAAGATATGGCCAACCACCTACTATGCGAACGCGACGCGCCCCCTATCGGCAAACGCTGGGCTCACAACTTTGTCAAACGCCAGCCAGAGCTCCGTACGCGGTATACACGCAAGTACAACTACCAGAGGGCTAAATGCGAGGATCCACAGGTCATCAGCGAGTGGTTTGCACTTATATGGAATACTAGGGCTAAATATAGGATTGTCGATGACGATGTCTACAACTTTGATGAGACTAGGTTTATGATAGGTGTTATCTTCGCGGGTATAGTGGTTACAACCTCGGATGGGCGTGGCAAGGCAAAACTAGCTCAGCCTAGTAATCGGGAGTGGGCGACTGTGATCCAGGGAGTCAACGCCCTTGGCTGGGTTATCCCTCCGTTCATCATCCTAGCCGCACAGTACCACTAGAGTAACTGGTACTGGGAGTGCAACCTACCACTTACCTGGCGCATTGCAACCACCGATAATGGCTGGACTACCAATGCAGTAGGTCTGGATTGGATCAAGCACTTCGATTACCATACGGCACCTCGAACAAAAGGCATATACCGGTTGTTGATCCTCGACGGCCACGAGAGCCACCACTCAACCGAATTCAAGCTCTACTGCAAGGAGAACAACATCGTCACACTCTGCATACCTCCACACTCTTCCTATAGGCTCCAGCCTCTCGATGTTGGCTGCTTTGGGCCACTTAAGCAGGCATACGGTCGCCAGATCGAGGGCTTAATGCGCATGCATATCAACCACATCAGCAAGCTTGAGTTCCTCTGTGCCTTCCGAGAAGCCTTCTTTGCTTCTATAACAGAGAAGAACGTACAGGGTAGCTTTGCAGGGACTGGCCTTATGCCATACGACCCAGAGCGGGTGCTTTCTAAGCTAGATATAAAGCTTCGTACGCCAACACCCCCAACCTCACGGCCCAGCACTGCATAACCCTGGGTCTTCCAGACACCACATAACCCACGAGAAGCCGACGCACAGTCAACGCTCATCAAGACTCGCATTGCGAACCATCAAAATAGCTCCCCAACTTCAATGTTGGATGCTATAGACTAGCTTGCCAAGGGTACGATGGCTGTAATGCACCAGGTGGCCCTCCTTCGGTCAGAGGTCTCTTCGCTTCGCAAGGCCAATAAGGCACTAAGCAAGCGCCGGCGTGCCAAGAAAACACATATGCAGCTTGGAGGTTCACTTACTGTGCAAGATGCAAAGGATCTACTAGATCAGAACGCCGTAGGTGGGGAGGCAGTGCAGGAAACGCAGCCGGATGGTAGCGGTTCAGGGGGGGCTCGTACGAAGGTTCGATGCTGTAGGGTATGCGGCAGGCCTGGCCATAATGCTCGCACTTGCCAGGAGGCTGTAGAATCATCTGATTCATCTATTTCTGATGTAATTGTAGTTGGTTGCTAGCGTTGTTGTATTATAATTGAGGATAGTTGCTGTAGGGTGGTAGAAAGTGCGTCGCTCGCTTATCTGCGTCGCTCGCTTATCATGTACGTTAAACTATATAATAAGTAAATTCTTATATTATATTTAAGTATATTTAAATCTAATAAATAGCTAGGATTAAGAATAGTAATATATATATTCTCCTACTCCGCTATGCCTAGCTATTTACAAGGCGCGCCGGACCCTCTACTGCTATATACAAAAGAAAAACCGTACCATTCAGGCTGGGTAAAAACCTTCGTCGGAAGTAATAGGAAAGACATGGTTTCAGTGATACGCGCTGCTACAAGTAAGGAAAAAGGCCTTGGGAAGGCCTTAGGCCAACGGCTAGTAGGGTGCTAGCCTGGCTAAGCCGTAGCCACGGGTGTGGCTAGCTGGGCTCTCTAGCTTCCAGTTCCTCATCGAGGTTCCAAGCGAGCCTATATTCCCCTAGCCGGCCCGAGTCCATTAGCCAACCCAGTACCTTCTTCAGAAGTCTTCGGTTCCGGTAGCCTAGGCCCTGTAAAACAAGGCTAAGGTCCCGGTAGGTGCGTATTAGTTGCCTAGGCCAAGTTCTTGGTATAGGTGGTATAGAGCACCAGATTACAAGATGCTCTACTGTCTCTCTGGCTTCTCCGCATTCGCAATAGGGGGTAGGCTGGTTACGGGCCTTTTGTTTGAAAAGGAAGTCCCGTAGGCCTATAGCCCCTGTACGAGCCTGTACTAGTAGGCCTTAAAGTCTTTAGATTATCACTCTACAAACGTGCTACCTAAGCGTAATCGCGAAGATCCGCCTTATAGAGGTAATCTAATCAGAGAGACAAGGCCAAACCTCTCTACTGGACCAAGCATAATAATACTAGGCTATAGAACTCCAAGGTTTGCACCTTAAGCCCTCTACAAGAGGCATAATACTTCCTCCCTCTTAGATGACCGACACGTACGTCCGTCCTCTCCGGCCGGCTATACTACTCCTTCAGAGCTATAAGTTCCTTATAGCAGCGACACCATACATTTGATCCCCAGCTATAATACTCTCTAGTACGTCCTATCGGCGGTTTCCTCCTCTATCGTACGCCTCTGGCTAAAGAAGCACGCTCCCTGCTGCGTACGATATTCCTACGGGTCCCTCGCCAAGGGAATAGCTATGTCTCTCCTATAGCCTAGGTACAAGCCAGGGCTATATCTCCGTCATCCTCCTCTCGGTCTAGTATAGCCGCCACGGCCCACCTTCCACCAGGCGCAACCCTGACTTCTAGCTTCCTATTGCCTTGCTAGGTCTCCCTTATAAGGCCGACCGTGTCTTGTAATAGGCCGTTATACAAGCTGCTACGCCGGCGTAGCTCGCTCGGTCGCTCTGCTATTAACCTGCCCTGATCCACCTGCTTCGCCTCCTATCCTCAGATCCAACTATAGTATTGCAAAGGGCAAAGTACCTCGTAAAAGGGCCTGGCCGCCCGTGTTGCCTCCCTTAACAAGCCCGTATTCCCTCTCTCTCCTGCTCTTATAGTTAGTTGTACGATCGGTTGGCGATACCGGCTTTCGCTCTATATCCTCGTCGCTATATAACTAGCCCTCTAGCGTTCGTCGCAGGCGCCCTTAGAACCGGGCAGAGCCGGGGGTGCCCTATCTCTTCTTCAAAACGTTGAAAGAGTCGGGTGGTTTTCATACCTAGTATCCCCCTAGTCTTATAAACTTATTGTAGGTAGATTATCGTAGTTGTCGTCAATGGTGGTCGTTATATAGGGTAGTGCGGGATTTTCGGTATACTCGAAAATCCTCACTTTCTTATTGCGAAAACCAACAATCTGACAGCCACATGGCCGCATAGAAGCTGCGTGTCGCTACAACCCCTTGGAATCGAAAGAACAGATCACAAAGGACCTAATTCCCGATTTTTGCGATGCCCGGCCGCCTGTGTAGGCGGCCCCCGATGTTTGTTCACTAGGAAGGGTAAGAATAGTAATAGTTATTACTATTAAACTTGTTATTACTATTTATAATTATCTAGTATAGATGATTAGATACTAATAGCTAGTATAATAAAGGTGCTACTCTTTAAATACTACTAGAAGAGGTATATAACAGTGGAACGCACCGACTATAATGATATCATTTATATGTATAATAATTCATCATACCAAGTGATGATTCATTATGCATATTCCATTACATCATGCATGCAAGCTCAGACCTACTCGCATCCTATATTTAAAGCTTACCTTGCAGTCTCAAGGATTTCTTTCCTCCTGCAAGTTCAATATTCTTGCAATGCAGTCAGTTTATCACCAGAGGCTTGACCCTAGCCTTAAACGACGGCCCTCATAACACCTGTCTAAGAATTATATTACTCTAGAGATATAGTTCTATAATCTTAGAAATAAAGTTACTTTGTTTTAGAGCAAAACTGTCACGAATTAAGCCAACAGGACAGCTGCAGGTGGGACAACCCGGTAGGTGGCGCAGGACGCACCCGAACCAATCATTTAGGACCAATGAGAAAGAGCTCTAGGGAGCTCTAGAGAGCGGACGAGAGCTCAAGGAACTAAGCCAATCAGCATAAAGGGATGAAAGCTCTCGATGGAGTCAACAGAGCATCAAGCTCTAAGATGCTCTATAGAGCATATGAGAGCACCCAAGGATAGACAGTATATAGTCACTTGTTCTGGAGGACTCTGAGAGTTCTCCAGTGAGCAATTCAAGCAGTAGCCTTTATCTACTGTACACATATTGCGACTTGCATTGTTGTGAACCTTTTAGCTTTACCGAGACCTATAGTCCGACTAGCAGATACCTTCGACCGGCGAACCCTTTCAGAGGCAGGACTGCCTGTGGTTTCGTCACACTGTACCACTACCATCCGGCTGCGTTTCTTATACTACCTCCCTAACCACAGCCTTCTGGTCCAGTAGATCCTTTGCATCTTACACTGTAAGTGATCTTCTAAGCTATACGCGTATTTTTTTGGCTCTCCGGCGCTTGCTTAGTGCCTCGTTGGCCTTGCGGAGTGTCACGAATTAACCAACGGCAGGCTGCAGGGCAGACGGCTGTATATAGGGACGCGGGGGCGTCCCGAGCCAATCATTTAGACAACTAGGCGGACTAGTCAGGGACAGGCAAAGGTGCTAAGGTACCAATGTCGCTGAGCACTCTATAGGATGTAAGCGATCAGAGTGATTAGGGGTATATCACGATGAGCACCTAGGTGCTTATCCGAATCGAAGCACTGAGCGCCTAAGAAGATAGCTAGTATATAGTCACTCGTTCTGGAGGACTCTGGGAGTTCTCCAGTGAGCAATTCAAGCAGTAGCCTTTATCTACTGTGCAGACATTGCGACTTGCATTGTTGTGAACCCTTTGGCTTCACCGAGACCTACAGTCCGACCAGCAAATACCTTCGACCGGCGAACCCTTTCAGAGGCAGAACTGCCTATGGTTTCGTCACATGGAGCGAAGAGACCTCTGACCAAAGGAGGGCCACCTGGTGCATCATAGCTATTGTACCCTTAGTAAGTTGATTCACAGCACCTAATATTGAAGTTGGAGAGCTGTTTTAATGGTTGGCAATGCGAGTCTTGATAAGCGTTGACTGTGACTCGGCTTCTCGAGGGTTGTATGGTGTCTGGAAGACCCAAGATTGTGCAGTGCCCGGCCGTGAGGTTAGGGGTGTTGGTATACGAAGCTTGATATCTAGCTTCGAAAGCACCCTCTCTAGATCGTACGGTATAAGGCCAGCCCCTGCAAAACCGCCCTGGATATTCCTCTTGGTGATAGAGGTAAAGAAGGCTACGCGAAAGGCACAAAGGAACTCGAGCTTGCTGACGTGGTTGATATACGTACGTATTAAGTCCTCGATCTAGCGACCATACGCCTGCTTCAATGGCCTAAAGCAGCCAATATCAGGTGGCTGGAGGAGGTAGGAGGAATGTAGAGGCATGTAGAGTGTGATACTGTTGTTCTGCTGGCAATAGAGCTCGAACTCGGTCGAGTGGTGGCTTTCATGGCCATCGAAGATCAATAACCAGTATTTGCCCTTTATCCAAAGCGCTATATGGTAGTCGAAGTGCTTGATCCAATTAAGGCCAACTGCATTGGTAGTCCAGCCATTCTCGGTAGTTGCAATGCGCCAGTCAGCTAGGAGGTTGTACTCAGTATACCAGTTGGCGAGGTAGTATTGCGCGGCTAAGATAATGAACGGAGGGATAGCCCAGCTAAGGGCATTGACGCCTTGGATTACAGTCGCCTATTCGTAGTTGCCAGGCTAGGCTAGCTTCGCCTTGCTATGGCCATCCGAGGTTATAACCACTATGCCTGGGAAGATAATGCCTATTATAAACCTAGTCTTATCGAAGTTATAGATATCGTCATCTATAATGCTATACTTGGCCTTAACGTTCCACACAAGGGCAAACCATTCGCCAATAACCTTCGGATCCTCGCACTTGGCCCTCTGGTAGTCGTATCTACACGTATAATACGTCCGGAGCTCTAGCTGGCGTTTGGCAAAGTTATACGCCTAGAGCTTGCTGACAGGGGGCGCGTCGCGTACATATAGCAGTTAGTTAGCTATATCTTCTATACCACGTAGTCTCAGCGGAAAAGCTCGCTCAGATAGCTCAATTATATACTGAACAAGAGCCTTCTCTTCGGAATCGGTGAGCCGGCGCGAGTTGGGCGTAGTGTCGCGTCGTATAGGCCGGCCCGCTAGTCGGTCTTGCAAGGTTGTTCGTCGAACGTCGTAGTACTTCGCTGCAGCCCTTATGCTTAGTTTTTGGTCTTTTTGTATCGCTTCGAGGGCTAGGTTTATCCTAGCCTCGTACGAAGAAGAAGACATGTTAGGTTGTAAAGAAAATCTGGTTTTAAGCGCGGAAGTGACGCGTCGCGGGTAAAGTGGCCGGCTCGCTTATATGGCCGGCTCGCTTATATGGCCGGCTCGCTTATATAGCCGGCTCGCTTATAAGATACGTTATGCGATGTAAAGGGTTGGGTTTAGCTCTTCCCGACATTTTGTGTCCTTCTCTCAACCCTTTTCAATATGCATCACTCTGTAAAGACTGCTGCTCTGTATTTTCTTTGTAATTTTATCTTGTTTTATCTTTTTTTCTTAGAGTATGATATCTTCGTCTCCCTCCAACTAGCACTCCATCCCCGCACCCCACCCCCCCGACATTAGTCTCCTGAACAAAACAACCATCCCCAGCCAGCCCGTCTCCGTCCCTGCCGCCTAACCTAGGAGTTAGGAATCTTCCTTGTTTGCTGCAAAGCGGCAGTGCATTTTACCTCCGGTAGCGGTCGTAGCCATCGTAATCCCGGGATGACCCACCGCCCCCGGTTCGGGTAGATTGGCCTTGTGCTACTCTCCTTGAGGCATCCTCCGGTCGACGCGCCGCGGGTCTCGTGCCTTGCTGCTGCGAAGTACCCCCATAATAGGGCGTATTGCCCGCGTTTCGGGTGTTTCTGTCGTCCGCCACACGCAGCCGGCCCATGGCTTCCGTGACGCCGCCAGTACCGCCACGAGCACCACCACCGCCGCCACGAGCAGCCGCTCTCCTGGCATCGTCGCGCTTCCTCTCCACCTCTACCTGCGCCATTTCCGCGGCGATCAGTCGCTTGTGCTCGGCACTCATTCCTCCGCCGCCGCCGCCGCCGCGACTCGATGATGCGACTGGCCTGCTGCTGCCCTGCGCCGCTGGTGCCGATCTCTCACTGGACATGGGGTACATTATGTGTCAGTGATGAAAAGCTGTCTGACAATGGCGGGGTTGGTTTGCTTACCTGGCCTTCCACGCTGTATACAACTTGGCGATGCTGGCCATCTCGGCCTTCTGGATCTCCTGCAGCTTACTCGCGGCCTCAATTGCTATTGGACGCCGCTCCCAGTCCTCTTGTGTACAGCCTAGGTACAGCCTCTGCAGATCAGATGAATATGTCTTAGGAAGATTGCCCCGTTCGGAATGGTGCTTGAGGAAGCGCATTGTGGACAGCATATAGATGCACAACCCAAAGCTGAAGACATCAGCCCACGGCGACTGGTCGTTATTGCCCTCTACCATTTCGGGCGCGTTGTAGGCGGCGCTGAACCCGCCCATCTTGGTTGCTATTCCGTGGTTTGCGGCGGGCGCCGCATGGTCGTGCGCCAGGCCGAAGTCGGTTAGCACGGCCAGCCGCGGTTCGCGCAGAATGTTATACGCCTCGACTAAGTCGTCCCTGTGGGCACTGCTAGGGCGTCCCTTCCTCTCCAATTCCCATAGCGCTTTGTTCATCCCTGGCGTGATCTTCTTGGTTAGCAGTATGTTGTCTGGCTTAAGGTCGCGATGCTGAAGTTTCCTTCCGTGGATCTCGGCCAACCCGAGGGCCGTCTGGTAGGCTATAGTGGTAAGGAGCAGTGGATGCATGACATCGCCGTTGGATACGATCTTGCCGCCCAAGTTCCAGGTGTCGCCGCCCGGAAGGAGCTCCATATAGATATATGCAGTACCGTCCCTTGCATTATACGCGGCGTCGTAGATCATGGCCACGTTCCGTGCGCCCCGGCATGCCTTGTACCAGATACCAAGCTCCCGCTGCTGGTATACTCTCATAATAGGGTCGTGGTGGGCCTGAACGATCTTGCAGGCCATCAACTTGGTGTCCAAGAACGTCAGTATTCAGGTTCCCGCTGTCCAGTGCTGCTCGAAGCGGATGCCATACCGTTCCAGTGGCCAGCTCTTCCGCCTCGTAAACAGCGCCGAAGCCTCCTTGGCCCAGCTTCCTACCCAGCCTGTAACGGTCATCGTGGCCGGAGATTTGTCTAACCTTGAGACTGGGTTCTCTGCTGCTCATTGTAGCGTGTGCGAAGTACCTAGCCGGGCCTGGCTAAATGTTCACGGCGATTGCAGGGAATTGATAAAAGACTAGAATTGAACGTGAAATGATAGGATGAGCAGTGCCAGCACTGCTGCGAAAGAAAACGGAATATGGATGAAGCGGAAATAAGTCGAACACCGGTTAAACGAAGAGGAAGTGTCTGGCCAGATGGAAGTGCTGAATGAGCGCTCCCGAGTGCCCTTTATACCCCTCTGCGTATGCACACTGCTGAGATGCTGGCCAAATTGAAAAAGCTGTAAGTCTTGAGAATCGGTCGGCCAAACCCATGTACATACTGTAGACATTGCGGATTGCAGTGTTATGGACCTCTTGGCTTCACCGAGACCTATAGTCCGACCAGACTACCTTCGACCGGCGAACCCTTTCAGGGGCAGGACTGCCGAGGTTTCGTCACACTATTATCTAAATATAATAATTCTTGTCTGCGTTCAATGGTTGTTGAGATATCCTCTGTTAAAGATATAAGTAGAAAATGTAGGTGGCTGGGTTTAGTAGGTTGTATGGAACCGTTTGACCCCTCACTGTAGCAGGCCGGGATGCTACGGCCTCGCACTTATTACACTAGAGTACATAGGTACCTACTAAAGGTTGCACAGATCATGAAGCCGTAGAACGAGTGTAATGGCCTAGGAGAAAAAAAGAACAAGAAAAGGTCAGATGACTCCATCAAATTGGAATCAAGGACGTCTCGTGTGATCCAAGATGACATGTTCACCAAGAGTTACGGATAGAGTCAGTACTTACATACCCTACGCGGCTGTGCCGCTCCCGGCGCTCCGGCCTCTTCGGTGGGTCTCTCGCCGCACCCCCAATCCTGCCCACCCCGGACGACTCTGAAAAGTCCGAGACAAGTGCTCGATCGGTCCTTCGCGTCCGAGGACCCGGATTCGTCTCCACCACTCGCCCGGGGCGGTCAGAAACACGTGCAAGAAGTCTCAAGATGAAGCCGGTGACCGTCCCTCAAGCCCAGCGCTGAAATAGTGGGGGTTTTAGTTCCACACGCTGTCTCAGTACAGTGCGACGTGCCATAGAAAAGCATCGGATGTTCAGAAGCAACCTTAACGCCGGTTGCCAAGGTAAAGTAAGGTACCGGATCTGCGGTTGGGGCGCACAAGCTATGGAGGTTGAGATTTCCCGGAAGATATCAAGCTCAAGTACCTAGTGATCGTAAGAGGTACCTATCTAGTTAATAACTAGTAATGCAAACCTGCAGACGAGTATAGTACTATAGGCCTCTTGTTTAGCTACAATGGCCAATGATAACCTGAACACGTCCCGTTTCGACGAGACATTTCCTATCGCTTGCCATCTCACCTAGGCAGTGTCATTAGCTATAGGTACCTAAATAACGCATCGACCAGCGAAAGTAGCCCAAGCCGGCTGTCCTATCCGAACTCAAGTATCGAGTATCGACGATCTTTGCACGGTCCCTGCTATCTCCTCTCTCCAAAACGGCTCTCAAACCTCCTTTTCATAAATACTTAAAGGGGAAGGAGAAAAGAAGACTCCGGGCCATTCCTACCTGCAGATAACACTGAACCTTTACGGTTGTGGTGTGGAAACTAGAAAGTACGACTAGAGAGTGGAGCTGGTCTTAGAAGCGTGTAGAGTTAGAGCCCTCTAGGCACTGGGCAATTCATCCTTCCGACCATTTACATGACGCTTCTTTGCCTGACACCATAATCAATTTGGCTCTGGGCTGGTGCCCTGTCGTATCAGTCAGTCAATTCCATGTTATCGTGGTCCCAATCGTCAATTGGCCCTGTCCCTATCTTCTTCTGTTTTCTGGCCTATCTGTCGCCCGACTTCAACCCTTTTAGCAGCGTTTGCCGGGTTGCAGATGGCGTTTTTGGAGGTGCAGAGAGTAGAGTCTTGGAGACCGTCGATCAAAAATAGACAGACATCGTCAACTTATACACGGCGGTTTTGGTATCAACTTAACATGCCGGCTCGAGATACTTCGAGAAGTCGAAGGGTTTGGCAGGACACGGGATACGGCCCGCCGCATGCAGCTGCAGTGATATAAAGCCAAGAGATCAGCTACTGGTTGGTGCTGTTTATTGGCGGCATAGATTTGGTCTAGCTATTGCCAGGCCTTGGGAGCGGTTATAGTGATATAAGAGTGTTATCACCATATACGGTCGATGCGAGATGCCTTTAATGACGTCTCCCTGCACGCTCAAGTCACGACTCACCTACTATATAGACGTATGGACCCAAGACCCATATGTCTACTAAGGCTTCTTACCACCCTTATACTAGCTGCTTGTGACGGTGGAACCCACCGTACCATGGCACAGGCCATTGCTTAGTCATATGCCCGGCTTCCGGTGCATGCATGCATGATTGGTCAACCTGGTTGGTGCCCCACCTTCCACATCTGGGCACATGCCCCACATCCTGTATCTAGACTTCTTCGCACCTTGCAGCCTTCGAGGATTCCTTTCTTCCTGCAAGTTCAATATTCTTGCAATACAGTCAGTTGCCCACCAGAGCCTTGAGCCTGGCCTGCGACGACAGTCACCGTGACATTATACTATTATATTAAGCTAAGTAATACGTTATAAGTAGGAAGAATAATGTGACGAAACCACAGGCAGTCCTGCCTCTGAAAGGATTCGCCGGTCGAAGGTACTGCTGGTCGGACTGTAGGTCTCGGTGAAGCCAAAGGGTTCACAACAATGCAAGTCGCAATGTCTGCACAGTAGGTAAAGGCTACTGCTTGAATTGCTCACTGAGGAAGCTAGCTATCTGAATGAGCGACAGAATGGTAGGACTATATACAGCTTCCTCCCCTAGGTATCCCCATACCTAGATGTCTGGAACATTTGGAACAATTGTTGTTCTCGTTGTTCCATCTGGAACAACGTTTCTTGGCGTTGTTCCTTGGGAACAATCGTTCTTGGTATTGTTCCCAATCTCCCCAATCCTCATTGGTCCTTTCTGGCTTGTAATGATTGGACACGGGCGCCGCCCGTCGACCATGCAGGTCGGCCCCCACCGGCCTCTGCAGGTTAGTTCATGACAAATAAGTATGTAGAAAGATGAGAGAAAGGGAAATTCTAGAGTTTAAGCGGGAAGGAGGAAGGCCACGATAGTATAGCGAGCTTAGCTAGCACTAGAACCTCTTTGAAGGTTGAATAACTATAGTTAGTTCGTGTCCCCGAACAGGGGACGGGATCCTAGCGTCGAAGATGCACCGCCATCGCGAATGCGCAGGCCGCGCGCTGGAGGACTTTGATAGGTGTGAACGAAGTAGAATGGGCGACGACTTCCGGCCTCCGTCGCCGGCGCCGTTTGGAGCCGTTACGGAGGCAGCCCCGGTTCGGGAACGCGAACGCGTTCTCGACCGGCAGAACTTCGGGCGAGTGCTGGCCCTGGGCCTGCTGAGTCATCAATTGCTGGCGTGGGAAAGGCGAGATTTTGCTGTGATGTGAATCTAATGTCGCCTTGTTATGAACGTAAGTTTTCACCAACACGTTTCAAACCCTGCTCTTAGCCAATCAAACGCGTTTGTGACCCCCCTGTATACGTCTTGGCTAATAGCCACGTTCGTGTTCATGGTGTGTGTCGAAGGATGCCGGCCCTATAGGCCACCGTTCTCGACCAGCCCAAACTCGACGGCTGCATTATAGGCGACCTGCCGGTCTCGTCGGCCCAATAGCAGCCGTTCCATGGTATACCAGTAGTGAGGTTACTGCATAAGGAGCGAGAACATAGCGACGTGGACTCAGCGACCTCGCATGCTCGCGCTACGAGTACCAGCCCCGGCGCTTGTTAATCTGAGCGAGCTGGTTAACGTCGAACTTGGACGCGGGTGTGGCCCCTACGCCCTGACCCAGCCGACCCTGATGCTCGTCGTGGAAGGAGAGCCTCGACCATACAATAGAGCCACGTAAGCGAGGAGCAGACTGGCAACGAATATACGCGCTGCCTCTCAAGGTTCACGATCACTTGCGGCGCCGACATCCCCTGAAGGCGGATTGCCGGTCCACGTCGCACACTGGAGATGAGCGTGGGAACCGACCTAAACCGGCGCAGTCCTGGACCAGCACGGCTATGGAGCAGTAACAAGGCAGACCGCAGCTTGCTGGGATGCCCGTTCCCGAGTCAGGGGGGTCGGTAGGGGATCTGAATCGCGTTCCAACTGATGCGCCACTCTAGAACGCACCACTCATGGACTTCCCGGAATACCCACCCAAGGGGCTGTTCAGGCGGACTGGCTATTGCAGCACGTTTCGACCTCGAGCTTCTCCAGTTCGACACAGTCAACGCTGTCGTCAACGCGGAACTCGACGAGGATGTCTTCATGCGCATGCCACCGGGGCACACACGCGCGGGATGGATCCTGAAGCTCAACAAAGCGCTCTACGGACTCCGCTGGTCGCCGCTTCTCTGGCCACGAGAATTCACACAGGCGCTCAAGGCGCTGGGGTATTCTCCTGTGCCTCACGAGCCCTGCGCATACACCAGGAACGGCATCATCATCATCTTCTATGTCGACGACATCGTCATCACCTCCAGAAACGCGAAACACAAGGAAGCGCTCGAGACCGTGGACCAGCTGCGGCAGCGGTACCAGCTGACAGGCGGAGGCGCCCTGCAATGGTTCTTGGGCATTGAAATCCTCAGAGACCGCCAGAAGCGTCTGATCTGGCTCTCGCAGTCATCGTACATTGAGAAAATTGTAGCATTGGCGCGGTCAACACCATCGGCACAATCACCAATGGCGAAAGAAGAACTCTTGCCATTCGACGGCATCGCCACTACGCACGAGATCACAACGTATCTTCGAAAAATCGGCTCATTGCTCTACGCCGCCGTCATCACGCGCCCGGACATCTCATTTGCCACTTCACGGCTCGCACGCTTCACTACAAACCCTAGGCCAGAACATCAGAAGGCCGCAGACCGAGTGCTTCGCTACCTGGGCCGGACCAGCACGCTTGCCCTCCAGTTGGGGGGTGCAGATGACCTGCGCATCGCCAGTGACGCGTCACACGCTGACAACTCACTCGACCGCAAGAGCAGTCATGGATTTGCAATCAAGTTCTTCGGTGGTTTGATCGCATGGCGCGCTAACAAGCAGGACACAGTGACCACCTCAACCACAGAAGCAGAACTCCTCGCACTCTCACAAGCAGCCAAGGAAGGCCTCTACATCAATCGCATGATCCGAGAGCTAGGCATCAAACTCGACACGCCGCGTATCACCATTGAGTGCGACAACAAGCAGACGATCCGACTTGTGACGGAGGAGCTCGTCAGGTTGAAGACGAGCCTACGGCACGTGGACATCCACAGCCACTGGTTACGGCAGGAGTACACGCGCCAGAAGATTGACGTGGTGTACACCGAGAGCGCCAAGATGATGGCCGACGGGCTCACAAAGGCGCTTGTGCAAGGATAATTTGAGAGCTTCCAAGAGCATATGGGGCTTGTGGACGTGCGAGAACAGCTCGCAGAGCGCAGAAAGAAGGAAGACAATGCCACTTGAATCTGTTCAGAAGGATGGAACGGCCAGTCTCCCCCTCGCGGGCTCAACTGGGGGTGGGTGTGTTGGAAGTTGTGGCATATGGGACTGAAGTTCATGCATGGCTGCCCGGAGTGGGGGTCACGCAGCCCAACATGAGGGGCTGGACAACGAGCAATTTGAAAGGGATCCAGCGATGCCCACGACGGTGGGAGGAACAGAACAGAACGATCATTGCTCTCAATGGACTCAATTTCAGGGTGCTTCCGAGGACTCAAACCGTCACTGTTGGAAGCTCCCGTCTGTGTGATAACCGTGGAACCTTGGCTGTTGGCTTTCCAATAGGTAGATAGATGTAGAACCCTGTTACCACTGATAACCACCCTACCGCCCACAACGCCCGCCATGGCTTCGTCTTCCGTCTCCGTCGCTTACCCCATGCCTCCGGTACCAAACAAGCGAGACCAGGGCACGATTGGTGCAGATCTCATTGTCACGTATTACACCGACCTGGCCTAGTGCGAGATCCTCCCGGCTGGCTCGCGGTACACTACTTCAGGTAGCTTCAAAGCGGGACTTTCCTTCCTTTCGTCCAACCTGCATTCATCCACGACCTCTATCCGCGTCTCCTCACCACTAGGGACGAGGAAAGCTCTGGCCTTCCTTTAGTTCTCTCCATGTTCAACGCCGAAGTGAGGAAAGCGACTTTGGAGGAGGACTGGGAGGGGAAATGGAGCGGCTCTATCGCCAGCACCGGCTATGGTTGCCGGGGTCTCGAGTCCTGCGGTACTCGGGGCGCCAGCCATGACGGTCACGTCACAAGGCCCGCCGCAGATTCGGTTCCCACGCACGCTCCGTACTGTCGGGGACCTTTATCAGCTCTGGCGCCGCGGGTTTGCTATGATGCCCGCTATTGATCAGTTAGAGAAGCAGTGGGGCTCACAATGGCGCCTACGTAACGAGAGACAGCTCTTCTCCATGCGGAAGGTCGTGGTGGACGAGGTCGTACGGCTCGCCGGCGCTAGGGGGTGGCCGGAGGAGGACGCGGTTCAGGAGGTCGGGAAGCAGCGCGTTGAGGGCGGGAACCTCTCTCTAGATGCATTGGCAAAGCACCTAAAAGCGACCCGGAAGTTGTAGGAGGCTGTCTTTTTTTTTACTGAAGATACTCTAGTTAATCCGCCTCGCTACGTGCAGTGTATATATATGCCCCTTGAAGCCCACTAAAATTTAGTGGGGATAGGCTGCCCGATAGTGCCCTGCCCCCTGAAATGCCGTCCAGAAACCATTGATCGTGAATTTCTCGGCAACCATAGCGATGCACAACTCATGAATCTCTGATTGCGCGATGGCTCTAGACTCTATATACACCGCTACCTACTCTTTTGTCTTTTTATGGCCGGCGATTCTTTTTCCGGGCGGCCGCCAGGCCGCCCTGTACCGTAAAAGTGTTATTTCAGGGCGGGGCCGTCACCTGCGGGTCATCCCGCGGATCACCCACCAAAACTGCCCTCAGATAACCACACGTTATTCAAATAACTCAAGTTTCGCTGAGAGAATTGACTTGATTGAGTTGCGATGAGCGCTGTTGTTTATATCTGCTGTCTTGTGGAATGTTCAACGGCTGCCTCGGCTTAATCCCGCTCTTCGTACCTCATGCTCAGCCAATCGCAGCATCGAGCTAGTATCCCTTCCGGCCGGTATTCAAGCAAGAAGATCTCTCCATAACACCTCCCTGTTAAGCGCCGCCATATCCTCCGGATGCATCGCCACAACAACTTCAATGCATTCCTTCCTCCCTATCTCCGCATGTGCTAACTCCCTTTTCCGCGGCAGAACGATCACAAACCCGTCCACCTCCATCTGCGGCACCCTCATAAACCGCGGCTTCCCAATGCCCTGCCCAAAATCAGCCTCATACAACCCCATATTCATCCAGCTCGTGAGCATCAAATCCGGCCCGTCAAAGCTGTTCCACCCCGGCATGATCTTCTCCACGTCCGGCGCCCGCCCGATCAGCTCCATCACCTCAGCGACGTAAACGGGCGTAACTCGCTTGATGGCATCGCCAATGGCCTCGACTACCACTGCGAGGGCAGACCACCTGTTATCATCATCATCGTCATCATCATCATCATCATCACGGTCACGCTCTGCCCTCTCCCCAGTAGCAACTGATGATGATGATGCCCGCTCCAGGTGCGAAACAGACGCCCCGGCCAGCCCGTAGAGAGTCACGTTCCCCAGGAACGGCCGCTCCGAGAGTTCAGAAGTACGATCCAACTTTGTCCGCCCGTTGATCGCGAAGCCGAGTTTAGAGCTGGCTGCTGCTCCTGCTCCGAACCCTTCTTGGCCACGCCTTGCTGCGCGGACGCGGGTGATGCATGACCAGATGGCTGCGCAGAGGATGCTGTTGGTTGTTATCCACTTTGCCTCAAGCGGTGTTTTGAGAGCTCGAAGGGCTGTTTTGGCTCTGTCCAATTTGAAGGTGTCAAAAGTGAAGAGTTTTGAGGTGCCCTTGGGCGACGGGAGGGGTGGTGCTGGCGTGGCGTCGGATAGGAGGGCGAACTCGGGATGTCGGGCGAGGAGATCGTGGAAGAGAGTGGGCCGTGTTTGCGTGGCATGTCCAGTGGCTAGGCGCAGCAAGATATCGCGACGAAGCGGCTCGTCGGGATCAGGGGCTGGGGTTGCTGCGTCGATGGCATCGGAGCGCGTGCAGGCCGCCCAGAAGCGGATGAGCTCGACCACGCCGGTGCCGTCCATCACGCTGTGATGGACCGAGAGGCCCACAACCAGGCCGCCGTCTAGGAGCGTGTAGTTGGCTGCGAAGACGGGTTCGCCAGAGTCGGAGCGGACATTTGACAGTCGCAGAAGGGGGGAGAGACAGGGGGGAAAGTAGTGCAGCGGCACGCCCTCGGTCTTGAGTTTCGTGAAGCTTGTTCCGGAGAGAATCAGTCCGTTGGTTGGCACCTCATGCAGCTCTACGTCCTTGGCGGTCGGAGACCATCGTAGTCCCACTCGGCCACCGTCTGTTGAGAAGACGCGGCCTTTGAGGTTCGGAAGACGTCGATTGAGTCTCTTGAGGCCGGCCTTAAGGCTGTCAACCGCGCCGCTTGGGTCAGAGGTCTCAAAGACAAGAAAGAGGGTTATGTATATCCTGGGCATATATTGGTCCAGAAGAGAGAGCTCCGCGGTTCGAAGCGTTGAGGTAGGCATCTTGGCGTTCTCTGAATTCCAAAAACACAAGGGGTCGGTCCAGAGGGAATACGAATGGAATTTCCAGGCTGCCAGGAGTTGATGCAGGTGAACTGCTTTGGCTCTTTTGAAGGAGCGAAACTCGATAATAACGTTAATCCGTATGGTCGGCTGTTCAGCGAGTACGTCATTGGCCGGTCGACTTGCAGCTTCCTGTAGAGGTGCCAACCCAAAACGGACGTCCGTTGGGAAGGTATATACCCCATCTACAACACGTTATCGTTCTTTCATCTGTTTAATGATTTGGCACTGCGCACGCTCACGGCTGTTTGTGGAATACATGAGCTCACTCTACTGTCAACCAGCGCTCTCAACAATTGCGTTGAATTGTGTTGAATTGCGTTGTGTTGAATTGTGCCTGGAGGAATTACGAAGTAAGTTCCGAAAGGTTCTTCATCGGTGGCTTTGTGTTGCGAGGGACGCGCTGAGCAACTGAGAACAACGACGTGATGATATTCGATGTCTGTCTGTCTGTTTTTTATTAACGCCCGGCGGGTTAACCGAAAGGGCAACTATTACAGTCTGACTACTGTAGTTATACATTTCCCAAAATATACACTGATCTCCTTGAAGCCCATATAATATCCATTCTAGATCATGTTTTCTCTTGTCCCATTTCTCTGCGGATTCTCGTGTATTAGTAGGGTTATAAGTAGGCTGGCTTGAAGGCAATTCTCCAAGTGTGTTCAACGTCCTATCTTCGGCGGCTGAAAGTAGTGCCTGCTGTTCGTGGCACAAGGTGAAGGGGTGTGAGTTCGGTCGGGTGTAGTGGGGTTAGGCGTCTTAGTCTACCCCAAGACCGGCTGGGTTTGGAACATCGCTGAACCCAACCGCGGCCAACCTTGACCCAGTACACACAATTCCTAGCTCGGGTATGTCTCGCTTCGTCCACGCCTATGGCTCGGCAGACTAAGCTAACTGTCGGGTTTAGATAGCGACTGCACAGACCGTGATTCGGACACTGAGCAACTGTTGGAGGATCAACTTGCTTCGAGCAGCCGCAATGCAGCAAGGAAGAGGAAGGCACCGAGCTCTCCTGAGCCCATTAGAAGCAAGAGGTCCACAGCGGGAAAAAAGAAGGTACATCTGTATGACTAGATCCTGACCTAGCTTCTGACATCAACCGAGTCCGCCTCTCCTTACTTTCCCAGCAATAGCTTTGATGTCAAGTATCCCATAGCAGCTTCAAGCCTGCAGCTCGAGACTTGCAAGAAGCACTTGGCCCATTGGAACGTCCCTCCAGGCTTCCTCGTGTGCGCCGCTTATCGGCGCGGTCCCTCTTGTCTGGATTTGCGTTTGTTGAGAGCGGTTCAGTGAGTGTCAACGCCGAAACCTTCAGATTTTACAGGATCCTCGCATGCACTCTCTGTTGGGGCTCGCCAAAGTCGCAGCCATGGCGCCCATTGCCGTCACGCCGGATAACAGTTCGATCGCCAACCCCTCTAGGGAGAGCGTCAGCGGCTACTTCCCTGCCACCAACGGCCACCCCAACGGGTACAGCAACGGTCACACCAATGGGTACGCCAATGGTCACAAAAACGGCCACTCGAACCGAGTTGCCAATGGTGTCAGCAACAGCTCTGATGCCGACCGACACTCTACCAACGGCGCATACGGTGCTTTCCCGGGCTCTCACAAGCCTGTGCCCATTGCCATTGTCGGCATGGCCTGCCGAATGCCGGGAAATGTCGCTACTCCTGCCGAGTTCTGGGAACTCTGTGCCCGTGCCCGGTCCGGATGGACCGAGATTCCCAACGAGAGGTTCGACAAGAGTCGCTTCCACCACCCAAACCCCGGCAAAAGCGGTGCCTTGAACCCCGTCGGCGGAAACTTCCTTAATCTCGACCTTGCCGCCTTTGATGCTCCATTTTTCGGCCTCACTGAAAAGGAGGCCATCTCCATGGACCCCCAACAACGCCTGCTTCTCGAGTGCACCTTCGAGGCCCTGGAGAACGCCGGGATTCCAAAACATACCATCGTCGGCAAGAATGTCGGCGTTTTCATCGGCGGCTCGTTTCCCGAGTATGAATCCCACTTGTTTCGGGACTCCGACACGATCCCTATGCATCAGGCAACCGGTAAGTCCAGTCCACGGCTACTTTAAACTCGTCGAGGCCGGCCGCTGATGGGTGCTCATTTAGGCTGTGCGTTTGCTATGCAGTCGAACCGCATATCCCACTTCTTTGACTTGAGGGGCCCGAGTTTCACGTCAGATACGGCATGCTCGTCCAGCATAGTTGCTGTACATTTGGCTTGCCAGAGCCTGAGAGCCGGTGAGACCAGCTGCGCCCTGGTTGGCGCCTGTCATCTCAATATTCTGCCTGAGTTCTGGATTTCCTTTTCTACTTGCAGGTAGGCCAAGCGTCCCAGGAACATTTCAGGCGCTTGAATTACTGGCACTAACGGATGGTCTAGATTACTTTCGGATTCGGGTCGCTCCTTTTCCCTTGACGATAGGGGCACTGGCTTTGGGCGCGGTGAAGGTTGCGGTATGCTTGTCTTGAAGTTGCTAGATCAAGCTATTAGGGACAATGACACTGTCCGCGCCGTCATCGTTGCGACGGGACTGAACCAAGATGGGAAGACGCCTGGCATCACTATGCCAAACGGCGCAGCCCAAGGTAAGCCGTCGCATCTGGGGTACAAAAGGCGACAACTGACAAGTCTCCAGAGGCGCTCATGAAGCAGGTCTACTGGAACGCAGGACTCGACCCTAGCGCATGCGGATTTGTCGAAGCGCACGGAACAGGCACAAGAGTCGGAGATCCGATCGAGGCTACAGCCATCCACAATGTTCTAGGTCAAAATAGGACACCTCGCGATCCCCTGTGGATAGGCTCAGTCAAGTCCAACATTGGCCACCTCGAGGGTGCTTCAGGTATGTTGACAACTTGCTTCAACTCTCCGCCTCGACCTGCCGCTGACATTCTCCAGGAATTGCCGGCATTATCAAAGCTGCGATGATGCTCGAGCGCGGCTTCATTCTTCCAAACCACGATTTCAAGCAGCCAAACCCAAAGATCCCCTGGAAGGAGTGGAATCTGAAAGTTCCCGTCACCCAAAGGCCATGGCCAAGGGGAAAGAAATACATCAGCGTGAACAATTTTGGGTTTGGCGGAACCAACGGGCACGTGGTCCTCGAGGCGGCGCCGTTTCGGGGACAGAAGGCTTTCGCTACATCCGGCGACAACATCCCCGAGAAAGCAGGACAGGGACGGAAGCTTTACGTTGTCACAGCCAATGACAAGGCGGCACTCTCGCAGGCGATGAAGAACCTTGTCATCTATCTCGAGCAGCGACCGGAGATCTTCCAGAAGGATCTCACCGGGAACTTGGCATACACCTTGGCCCAGCGCCGATCCTTCCTGCAATGGAGGGTTGCCATTCCCGCCGTCAACTCGTTCGAGCTCATCGAAGCCATCAACGGTGAGAAGTATACGCCTGGCAAAGAGACGGAGCTTCTTAGTATCGGCTTCATTCTTACCGGCCAAGGAGCACAGTGGTATGCCATGGGCCGCGAGCTCTATGAGCAGTATCCCGTGTTTACGAACAGCATCCTGCGAGCTGATCAATGTTTAACCGACATTGGTGCTGAGTGGTCACTCGTCGGTAAGAAACCTACATTCCACGTAGTGGTGTGTTTACAAAACCGACTGACAGGTTGGCAGAGGAGCTCAGCAGGGACGCAAGCACTAGCAAAGTCAGTGAAGCCTACATCAACCAGCCATCATGCACTATAATCCAACTGGCTCTTATTGACCTCCTGCGGTCTTGGGGTGTCCGTCCGACCGCGGTTGCTGGCCATTCAAGCGGCGAAATCGCTGCCGCCTACGCCGCAGAGATCATCGATTTTGAGTCAGCCATTACCATCGCATACCACCGTGGAAGGCTGATCACCATTCTCAAACAAAAGCACCCGGAGCTGCGTGGCCGCATGATGGCTGTTGGTGGCAGCAAAGAAGAGTTCTTACCCATCCTCGAGGCTCTCAAGGAGAAAGAAGCTCGGATCGCTTGCTACAACAGCCCGTCGAGTCTCACCATTTCTGGAGACGAGCCCGCCATTGCCGAACTCGAGAAAATTTGCGAGCAGAAGCAGGTCTTCAATAGGCGCCTTATGGTCGATGTCGCATACCACTCTCACCATATGAACCTCGTCGCCAAGGAATACCGGGCATCGCTTGCGAACTTAAGACCTCCAGTTCCGACGGACATCCGGTTCTACTCCTCCCTGCATGGGCAACTGATCGACGGCACCCAATTGCAACCCAATTACTGGGTGGACAACCTGACTTGCGCCGTGCGCTTCTCGGAAGCGCTGCAAAGCATGCTTAAGCCGACCGGAGAGTACAAGCACGGCGTCAACATGCTGGTCGAGCTCGGACCGCACTCCGGGCTACAGGGTCCGATCAAGCAAGTCCTGAAAGAGGTTGGTGGCACTGCTCCCAAGATCCCCTACGCTTCCGCTCTCATCCGGAAGCGGGATGCAGTGGAGACGGCGTTGGAACTAGCAGCGAACTTGTTCTCCCGGGGCGCGAATCTCGACTTTGGAGCCATCAACTTCCCCAAACCGACCAAGCCGCCGGTGCTGCTCACAGACTTGCCGCGGTACCCCTGGAATTACTCATCCAAATACTGGCAAGAATCCCGGTTGACAAGAATGCACAAGAGCGCCCCGGGTGGAAGGAGTGACATACTGGGGACTTTGGCCAACTACTCGAACGACTTGGAGCCCACATGGCGCAACATTTTCCGTTTAGACGACCTCCCGTGGCTACGGCACTATAAGATCCAGTCGCTGACCATCTTTCCAATGTCTGGGTTCATCGCCATGGCCATCGAAGCGGCGGCGCAACGGGCTGCAGCGAGAGACTCCCGGTTCAGCAAGTTTGAACTGAAGAATGTTTGTATTACCAAGCCCCTCGCGATCCCGGACAAGGACACCGAGGTAACGATCAACCTTCGGCCCCTCCAAGAAGCCACTTTTGTCTCCTCGGATACCTGGGACGAGTTCCGAATCTGCTCGTGGTCATACGAACAGGGCTGGACAGAACACTGCGTCGGTCACATTGCCGCGCTCGAAGCAGACGAAAACGATGTGGACAACGCCAGGCAAGCTCGCGACTCCGAGGCTCATCTCAAGAAGCTGCTTCTTGGCAGCGGCAAGCCCCAAGCTGTGCCGGTAACCCCAGCGGCTATATATGACTGTCTCTCCAAGTTGGGAGTGATGCACGGGCCTACTTTCCAGGGGTTAACCAGCTGTCTCGCGTCCGATCTTCATGCCGTTGGAGATATCGTGGTGCCGGACGTTGCTAATGAGATGCCAAACGGCTACCTGACCGACGCGATAATCCAGCCGGCATTCCTGGAAGCCCTCATCGAAATGTATTGGCCCATTGTCGGAGCCGGGCGGCGTAACATCTCCACCGTCTACCTACCGTCATCGGTTGAGCGCATCACCGTCTCACTCGGAGTTGAGCAGTTTACGAGGGAACCTGGTAGTACGCTGCGCGCTGTCTGCGAATGCGAGGTTCCCGCTAGCATGCCCAAGCCGGCAAAGTTCGACTTGGCCGCAGTCGCAGGTGATGACAAGCTCGAGACTCTGATCACCCTCGGTGGTCTCACGGTTTCTCCGATCCTCGACGGCGAAGCTCAGGCAGATCTCAACGCTCCAAGAGAACTCTGCTATAAACTTGAATGGGACCGGATTCTCGAGGTTGACTCTGAGAACCAACACTTGTCTGGGGACACCGGGATCGTCATCGTTCATGAGGACTCCAACTTTCAGAGCCTCGTGGCGATAGACTTGGCGAACGCCTTGGAGAAAGCTACTGGGAGACTGCCAGAGGTCGGCACTTTGCAGAGCACCGACGCAACGGGGAAGATCTGTATCTTCTTGAACGAGCTGCATCAACCAATCCTCGCCACCCTTAGTCCTGCTCAGTTCGACAGCCTGCAAAAACTCCTACTCACTGTCCAAGGCGCCTTATGGGTCGTACAAGGAGCATATAAGAAGTCTGCAAACCCAGACGCCAACATGATAACTGGCCTAAGCAGAACTATCCGGTCGGAAACTGCCCTTAAGTTTGCAACACTGGACATGGACGCCGAGTCGGCGCTGTCAGAGACCGATACTGCTGATGCCATTATGAGAGTTTTTAAGTTTGTCTTTGGTTCAAGCTCTTCCGCGACTGGAGAATTGGAATTCATGGAGAGGAATGGCGCCTTCTTCACCCCGCGAATCGTCCATGACGCCGAAATGAACGAGTACGTCCACAAGCAGACGAACCCATCGGTCATCGAGCCTACACCGTTTGGTGAAGACGACCGAACTCTCAGGATGGAGATCTCGACACCAGGCGCCCTGGATACACTCCATTTCGTCGATGATGCGGCCGCTAACAGTCCGCTGGAGACAGATCAAGTCGAGATTGAAGTCAAGGCCATTGGCTTGAATTTCAGAGACGCCATGGCTGCCAAAGGCCAGCTCCCTATAACCGACTGCGGCATTGAGGCAAGCGGAGTATTGACTGCAGTGGGGGACAAGGTGTCTGGCTTCCAAGTTGGGGACTGCGTTGCGGCGCTGACACAGGGGGCGTTCGCAACACAGACTCGGGCAAAAGCAGCGTTCGTCTTCAAGATCCCGGCCGATCTCGCGTTTGAAGCCGCAGCTACTCTGCCGCTTGCGTATGCCACCGCATACTACAGCTTGGTTGAGCTCGGCCGGCTTGGCGAAGGGGAGACCGTCCTTATCCACTCGGCTGCTGGGGCCGTTGGGCAAGCAGCCATTTGCGTGGCGCAGATGATCGGCGCCGACGTTTTTGCTACGGTTGGAAGCGCAGAGAAGAAAGAAGTGCTGTTGACCGAGTGTGGACTGCGGGAAGACCAAATCTTCTACAGTCGCACCTCTTCCTTTGGTGACGCCGTTCGTCGAGCCACCAGCGGGTATGGCGTCGACGTTGTGCTTAATTCCCTCACCGGAAACGGCCTACGGGAGTCGTGGTGCTGTCTAAACAAATTCGGCCGCTTCATCGAAATCGGCAAGCGGGAAACCGGTCCGAAGGCACAACTCGAGGTTCAGGACGTGGACAGCAACGCCAGCTTCATCTTGCTCGACATGCTCACGCTGATAGCCGAAAGACCCAAGACCGTCAAGCGCCTCCTTGCCGACGTTTCGCAGCTCTTGAAGTATAGAAAGATCAGACCTGTGACCCCAATCAAAAGATTCTCTATATCGGACGTCGAGGCCGCCTTGAAAGCCCAGCAGGCCGGCAAGACTGCTGGGAAGCTGGTAGTAGTCCCTAGAAGGACCGACGTAGTCAAGGTACTGTTCTGCGCGTTCACATTAGGCTTCTGGGAAATGTGCTAACTTTGGGATTCTAGGCGGCGCAATCGACCAAGACGAAATCCCTTCTACGCCCCAACGCAACTTACATCTTGGTTGGGGGCACAGGAGGCCTCGGCCGAAGTATGGCTCGATGGATGGTAGCCAAGGGCGCCAGGACTATTGTGCTAGTCTCCAGAAGCGGTTCCGTGACCGGCAAGGTCAAGGAGCTGGTCGATGAACTTGGGGCTGTCGGCGCCAACATCGTGGTTCGTCGCTGCAACGTGGCCAACAGGGCCGAAGTGGACGAGTTGATCAACGGCTTAAGTGACTTGCCGCCGATCCAGGGTGTGGTGCACGGCACCATGGTGCTCCGCGTAAGTAGTCATTCTCGTTTGACGCGGGATGCTTTGTTCTGCGGCGCTAACGCCGATCCAGGACGTCCTCTTCGAGAAGATGACGTGGCAAGATTACAACCAGGTGATCGAGGGCAAGGTTCAAGGCGGCTGGAACTTCCACCATGCGCTGGCGAACTCGCCGCTCGACTTCTTCGTGGCGATTTCATCGGCGGCAGGCGCTGTAGGCAATCGCGGCCAGGCTGCTTACAGCGCGGCAAACTGCTTCCTCAACGCCCTGGTGCAGCACCGCCTTGCCCAAGGCCTGCCGGCCTCCTCACTCGACCTGACAGCCGTCTCTGACTCTGGCTACCTCGCCGAGGATCCCGAGAAGGCCGCCGAGGTCGCCAGGAACCTTGGCACCAACACTATATACGCGAGCGAGGTCCTCGCGCTGCTAAACGCCGCCATCGACGGCACCATGGGGTCGACGTGCAACCACCACACCATCACGGGCATGGACATCACAGCGGCCATGCGGCCGTTCTGGGCCGACGACGCCAAGTTCAAGGCGATGCGCCTCGCGGCCGAGGCGGCGGCGGCCAAGGACGCGTCGCGCATTGCCGTCGTGTCGTTCAACGCGGCACTCAAGGCGGCAAAGACGCGGGCCGAGGCCGAAGACGTGGTGTGCCGCGGCCTTGTCGACAGGATCTCTTCGGTGCTGATGTTCGACTCCGAAGACATGGACGTGACGAGGTCGCTGTCACACTATCCGCTTGATTCGCTGGTGGCCATCGAGATCCGCAACTTCATCGCGCGCGACTTTGAGGCCAATCTGCAGGTGTTGGAGCTGCTGTCGAGCGGGTCAATCCAGACGCTTGCCAAGATCGTGTGTGCGAAGAGCAAGCTCGTGCCGGCTACTCTTTGAGATTGGGAACAACCCTCTTTTTTGGCAATTGATATACGGGCCGGGCAATGAGGACGCTCCTATCAGCTCATACGCCTTCCCCTCGAAAACTTTTTTCTTAACGCGTACTGTTAGTTATTATTATTTTTCCTACACTGATAACGTACATGTACTTTATAAGCGAGTGTGCAATATAAGCGAGTGTGCAATATAAGCGAGTGTGCAATATAAGCGAGTGTGCAATTTTTCTACTCCCTATAACAACCATCCTCAATTACAACGCAAGTGTCACGGACGGGACAGGTAGGTAGTTCAATGGTAGTGCTATTCAGGCTAAGCTACTGTCCGGGCGCTATTCCGTCAGGTATGGGCAGGCTCTATTGTCAAGACGTAGCTCGAGGCGCTACAAACGGATCTCTGCGACAGCGAGGTGCAAGATCTTCAACCTACATGCTTCTCCACGTATTCGTCTCCACCCGTGGGTCCTGACAGGCACGGCGCAACCGCTGTGACAGTATCCCCCTCATCTCCCCCCGTCCCTAAAACACCCCGAGGCGATGGTTTCTTTTTTGGAGGTGCAATGTAACGGTTATACTAATCCGTATAACTACCGATCTTGAAAAAAATGAGACGGGAGCAAAAGAGCAAAACAACAGCAGGAAGTTCTGCCCTAGTGGGAGAAGTCAGGGGTTACTGGAGGTATGCCTCAAACATTTCAAACTCGGCCAGCCTTGGCGCCCCACATATTCCAGCACGCCCCCTCAGGACTGTGCCTCTCTGGAGCGCAGTCCTGCTGAATTGAGTCATCCCATGAGGTTATCCCCAGTCTCCCAAATTCCCGGCACCTTCCATTTTTGTAGTGTTGAGCCTCTGAGTCATGTGACCCCCTCACCTTCTTGTGGTCAACTTTCCTTCGGCAGATTTGCCGCAAATGCGCCCAGTCTTTGTCTCTAGGACAGTTATTCTTCGTGGCTCGCCCCCTCAGCCTCTAGCCTTTCTTGGCCGATCAGCGCCTGCAGTGCATCCGGCGTAAGTTGCTTTTGGTCCCTTGCCCTGATGAGACTCTAGATGGGTGCCAACCGCATCATCATGACAAATTCTTGGTGGTTTTCCGCTGTCAGTGCTTTCGTCAGCCAGTCGGCGATCATCTTCTTGGAGGGCACATGCGTAACGTGCAATCTCCCAGCTTGAGTTTCTTGCCTCAGCCAGTGGTTGTGGATATCCAAATGCCGAAGTTTCGTCTGTAGGGTGGCGATTTCAGTCTCAACCAAACCGCACAGTCTGCGTGTTGTCGCATTGCAACTGCAGGATATCGTCATCCAGGTGGACTGTCAACTCCTTAACGGGACGCGCACCGAAAGCGAGCTGGATCCCCAACAAACCTTGACGTCACCCGGAAGTTGCTGAAGCTGGTAGGCTCGTCGTCATTTTCGGAGCCGGATTGCCGCTCGCGAGACACGCGAAGGACAACAACGCAGTGCTACGTCGCCGATTGCCATAAATCGATCTTGGACTTCCGTACAAACACCCAACTCGGCACCGCTGCCTTCCCATTTGTCCAAGCCGCCGCCGTCAGCTGCCTCTGAGAACATCTTTAGATTTTACGGCTGCGGCAAGCCTGGTCACGTCCAGCGTGATTGCCCTGATAAGCAGTGCGTCCCTGCTGGATCCAATTCGACGCCAGTAAGAACCCAGGCCCTAGGTGACGCTGCCTAGGAGGAGAAGAGCGTTGGTCAATTTTCGCGGGGGAACATAGAATTATGTCACGGTCTGTGAGATGTAGGGCACCCCTTGGCCCCACATCTCGTGGGTTTCAGCCACACACCTCTTGTTGGAAATCCAACAGCCATTTGATATATCCACGGTAACACAGGAAGAAGCGCTTACAATTGGAGCATGTAGATGTTTTGTGTGTGTTCGTTCTCGTGATGCTTAAAATAGGAATCATGGGTACCCTCCTCTCCCAACAGAAGAGTCATTCCCGCAGGTGAGCACCTGCCGCGCGAAATCCATACCAAGTCCTTTCCCGGGTATCAATATCTCCTTCCCAGGTATCACCGCCCTTAAGTTCAACACCTTTCGCAGCTGGGCTCTCTTCCCCTCTTTCTCTCTCTCCTCCCTCTAGGGCAGTCTAGCAGTATCCATATCCATCACCACTCCGTTGCATCCCTCCGACACGGTCCGATTTCCATCTATCTATCTCAGACGGGTTATTCCGTCAAGCAACTCTTCCCTCGTCCAGCTTACCCGTTTGGCTGAGCATCCACTGGGTTATTATGAGATCCGAAGCCTCATTCCAAACCTGGTTCTGCTTCTTTACGGCATTGCGCGATCAGAACGTTCCATCGCATAAGCCCGATTTTCCTGCCTCTCACTATCTAATCATCCGTATTAGTTTGCTTCCCCTCGCATAGAGCTCCTTCGTCCTTGCTACGCCCGGTCTAGCGTCATCTTTGCTCTTGCCACATGATAACTGCCGAGAGTTCGAACAGGATCCTCCACGTGGGGCCCGCGCCGCATTTGGCCAAGTTGCCGTGCGAGCCTCACAAATTCAAGAGCAACTCAAGCTGCAGACACTAACCAGGCGCTTCCCAATCGCCACGACTGCACACCATCTCGGCCAACATGAGGTTTCTCTGTCTCCCCGGTGCCTATGGCAGCTCTGATGTGAGCGACCATTCCTCCTTTCCCCCTGAAAGGCGCCAGCTGACCTCTCCCAAGAAATTCCAGGTGCAGTTAGGTGAGTATCTTCCGCCTTCTTTTTATCCAAGTACTGACATCACCAAGCACCCGTTGTCAAGGAATTGACCGATGACTCAACCGCCACCTTCCACTTTATCGATGGGCCCTGCAAGGCAGTGCCCCCGGAAGGGTTCGAGGAATACTTTGGGAAGCCACCGTACTTTCGGTTTATCGAGCCAGACCAGGATGTCGAGAAGACCGGGGAAGACGATATTTTGGCAAGGATCCGCGAGTTCCCCAACTGCGAGACACCCGAAGACACGATGCGGGAGTTGATGCGAGAAGGCATCGCCACCTCGCACCGCAGCACCGACAATGCGCTCAAGTACCTGGTCAAGATCATGCAGGAGCAAGGCCCGTTTGACGCCATCATCGGCTATTCAGAAGGTGCGACAGTTGCGGCGACGCTGCTTCTCTACGAGCAGCGCTGCTTCAAGAAGGAGGGAATCAAGCCCATGTTCAAGTACGCCATGTTCTTCGCTGGCTGGCCTCCGGTCGACCCAGACACGCATGCCATGGTTCTAAGCGATGAGTCGGATCTCATGATTGAGATTCCCACCTGCCATATCAGTAAGTGCACCAGAGATGGCGTCGAATAATCATTGTTTCCTGACAAGATATTATAAAACAGTTGGCTCACTCGACCCCTATGTGCACGGATCTCTGGCGCTGTACAACGTCTGCGACCCGGACACTGCCTATCTGTTTGATCACGCAAAGGGTCACACGTTGCCGCGGGACAAGGACACTGTCAAGGAACTGGGAGACGTGGTCCGGGAAGCGGCCGGGACCTATGGAATCAACTGACACAAACCAGCACATGTTTTTTAGGCGTACTCTTCATAGCGTTCGCAGACGTGTGCGATTATGTACATTAAGTCTAGATACTAACGAGCGGGAGGTACCAGGCAGATTCAGTTGACTCTTTTTTTTTTCGGTTCGAGGCAGCTCAATTAGCAGAGGTAGCTAAGGTCAAAGACACAAGCTTGGCTGTTATGTACGATGCAGACGTGGATAGGGCCAACCCAAAGACCGATGCCATCTTCGTACTGTCTGCCCTGTTTAACATGCTCTTTACCTGCTACGATGCCTAGGGGAATAGGGTCCAAGGTTAGACAAACTGCTGCGTGCGTCCGTACCGGTTCCTGGCCTACGTCTGCGACAACCACCTAGACGGGACTGCGACAGCAGCCACCACAGACAACAAGACGCATGCGTATTCGGTCGTAGTCTGCTACCGCACAGGGCCTCTTGACATCACGCAGCCGACCACCGTGGTAGCCCATCTGGTCAGCATCGAGGGCAGCGGCTCCGAGGGCGTCGAGATCATGGGCTGGCTCGTCACGCAGCGCTATGTGGCTATGAGCTCTCTGTACCCGTGGTACTACACCTGCCTGGCGCCCGGCTCCGTCAGCGTGGAAGATGCGTTTGGCCAGCTAGGCACAAGCATTAGCAGTCTCGGCCCGCCGTTGACGTAGGATGACGTCGATACGCTCCTTAAGGCCGGAGACGTGGGGTGCCGGCTCGCCAGCCGTCTCTACGACGGCTTCTCCTTGGTGAGGTACCGCCTGTAGACGAGCGAGGTCTCGTCCGCCTTCTTCTGGGCCTCCTTCCTATACGTCCGCTGTCGTGAACTTCCCCGACAGCGAGCCGCCGCCGTAGCCGGGCACGTCTACCACAGGCGCGCAGCTGCAGATCCTGGACCCGGAATATAACCTCACAGACCTGACATACTCGGCGGCCTAGAACCTGGTCAAGACGCTGGCGCTGGCGGGGCGGCTGATTGCCATCGCCCTATCGCGCGTGTGCACGTAGATCTTGGACGGGGCCCTGAATTGGGCTGACATGCTTTAGCACTGACAATCGGCGCGCTTTAGGCCGGGGAAGGGCAAGGTCGTTGCCGAGTTTGACAAGTGGAATTACGCCGACACAAAGGAGCTGGCGCAGTTAAAGGTCGGGTATCTTAAGAAGGTGACTTTATCAAAGTTAGGGAGAACTTCACGCTGTATTACGAACCGATGGTCCCCTGGGTCCATAGGTTACGGAAAGCTGCGTTTCCGAACGGCTGGAGGTAGGAGCGGGTGGATAGCGGATTGTACGCTCGGATGAGGGCGATACTTGAAGAAGCCTGCAGGGATCCAAAGGTATTAGTGGAGAGATAAGTCGACCACCCCCCATTCCGCCCACCCCCCATTCCGCCCACTTTGTAAGTCTTGGCGTCTAAACCACCCATCTTCTTCAACACCATTTATTACAGTCTGTTCAACCCACCACAATACAGGAAGCATCTGATTCGGGGCTTTCTGACCTGCTCTCTTCAATGCCAGACTCTTCAATACGGCCAGCCTCAATTTGAGCCCGGTGGACCTGTTCAATGGAAGCGAACTGCTTGTTCGGATCCGGGACCACCCTCTTTCTTCTCGACGGCCGGGCTGCCTCTAACTGAACCTTCAGAGCCTCGTTTTCCTGTTGCAATTGAGCCAATTGGAAGTCCTTCTCGTCAAATGCCTTCTCAACCTTCCTGAATAAAAGCCGTCGTGTAGAAAGATCTTGCCGCCGGATAGCCAGGTTGGTTAGGTGACCGCGAAGGTCTACTTTCTTGCGTGGTGTCTGGAATTCGACCTCCTGAGCCATAGTTATAGTCTGGCTAGGTAGCCTAGATGCCGGGGTCTATGGTAGTAGTAGTGGATCGTCTTTTCCAAGCGCCTGGTTCGAATTTTCCAACAAAAGAGGGCTTATCAGTGGTTTCGCTATACTAAGAGGCCACAACCCAGATGCCTTCCACCCAGCTTTGATATTATGAGCTGTAATTGCCTCCCTGCGAGCCTTGATGAGGCACTGTAATATCAACTGCTTGTCTAATGCCGTAGTTTCTGACCAGCTGGTTAACTGGTTGAGGAGCTTGCAGTAGGTGTGCTTTAGGGGGGAGAACACTAATAAATCCAACGGCTGGAGGACGTGGGAGGTATAGGCTGGTAAAAAGAGTAGTTGGATATTGTTACTGAAGCACTCCTATATAAACTCAGTGCTTGTATGGCTATCGTGGCCGTCCAGTATCAATAGACGCTTCTGGGTAGGATCTTGCGGCTGGGTCCGGGGGATAAAGACCCGTTGCAGCCATTCCAATACAACCACCCTATTTACCCAGCCTTTTTCAGTTGCAGTGAATAGCCAGTCCTTTAGTTCGTCCTTGGCGATAGGAAACCACTACTGTTGAACACTCTTGCCCTTGAAAATGACAGCTGGTGGGAGTGATACCCCTATCGCAGAGACGCACTCTAAGAAGGAGGTCTATATACGCAAACCAGGGACTTTCCGTTGTACTGCACGTGTATGGGCACTTCCAACTACTAAGCCGTTGATACCCTGACCTTCTATAAGGCCGAATTCATCAAAGTTCCAGCAGTTAGCCGGTAAGATGTCCTTGATGGCTGGGATTTTCAGGAGTAGGAACCAGCTATGGATAACCGAGTCAGTAGCGCCATTGATACGGGCTAAGTCGATCTTACGGCCTCGCTAGGTACGGAGGACCAGGTTCCTTCGGATAAACCGGTTGATCTAGCTCTTCCCGATAGTCTTTTCGGGTGCTCCTTGGGCCTATAGAACCCGGCTAGCGAACTCCCGGATCTACGCATGGGTTGGTGGGACACCTAGAGCGACCTGGGCTAAGACCCATCGCGTAAGATGATCTTCTTATACTCGGCTAAGTGTCTGTTGCGGTTCGGCCGCAGTTGAATGGGTCTGAGTACCACGAAGGCGGTCGCGAATAGTAGAGCGTGGGATGCCGAACTCACTACAGATGCTTCGCAATGACTGGCGTCCAAGACGATATTGCTCAACTGCATCTTGTATATCTTGCTCTAAGTAAGCCATCTTGAACTGACAATTAGTTTGATCCAAAAAAAAAGGCCGTTTGGCCAGAGATTGAGTGAGTTGTGGTAAGTTGAAGTGGTTGGGTTGAAAAAGCGGTGTGGACTTACAAAGTGGGCGGAATGGGGGGTGGGCGGAATGGGGGGTGGTCGACTTAGGCTTGCGGACAGTTGCCATCAGTCGAGATTGCTGAATTGCTTTTGGAACATAGGTGCAATCACACTTGCCCAAATGATAAAGGCCCTTTAGGCCTAGTGCCTCCGGACGGGATAAATCCCATCCATCTATCTAACCCAAATGATAGGGAGACATCTATGATCGCGCCTTAATTATTGTGAGAATGCGCTCTCATCGGAGCTCAGCGGAACCCTCCGCCAGCCACTCTCTCGGCCTAGCCGCGGCTATCGCCTGGTTTTCTATACCCCTAACCCTAATCCGTATAGAGTATGGAGGTGCTTTGCATATTGGGTTGCTTTGACAGACTAAGGGCCGTGATAGGTGCGACCACAAGTAGGGAGGAGTCTTATTGGAAAGCCAACAGCTATAGGTTTATTGTATCGCACTTATGGGACACTAAATATAGGTAGAATAAAGCATGTAGGGGCTATAGAGAGGACAACAGCTTGATTGAAGATGATGAAGATAGTGATGTCTGCAATGTCTTGTCCAAACTACGGTGGGCATCGCCCAGCCCCTGAAAATACTGCCCTACTAAGCCAACTGTTCCCTATAACTCTCGTGTCCAATGCAACCCTACCTGCCATCCTTCCCTATGCGCAGCTCCCACTACCTAGAACCAATTTCCTGACCGTCCGATAAATCCAACAAGTCTAGGAATTGTAATTGGTTATAACGGTCGCCCTACATTCGCCACAGCACAACGCAAGCTAACTAGTAGACCTCTTTTATTTCTCACCGGAGATGTAAACCGCAAGCGCTTTGGGGACCGAGGCGATTGCTGGGGAGAGTTATAATGTTCGACCGCTTGCGAACGCTATATTGCCATTGAGAGGAAGAGAGTAGGCGAGAGAGAGAAAGTCGGCTCTGTACCGGAAGCCATGCGCCTGCCACTGCCTGGCGCAAGGTAGCGCATTGACCTCAGAGCGAATCGGCCAAAGTTAGGAAGATGCCTGGTCTGGAATGAAAGCCTGCGAAAGTAAGGATGAACGCTATAGTGGCGGCGGACCTGGGCAGGTTGATGAAAGAGCTCGTGACAGAATTCCTATTTAGGTGGGTGCTAAAAGGAGCGAAAGGGTTTTCATAGAGGCACGGTACAAAGTAATAAACAGATGCTAGGAGGCCTTGCTGGGTAGGGGCTGACGTGCCACACCTCAGTCATCCGAGACGCCGCCGTACACCCCTTCAAGGCTCGAGTCCCAGCCGTCTGCGCTATCGTTACGAACCCCGTCGACTTCCCTCTTTGGGACATCCATACAAACCCGGCCGCCTCCCGCCTCCCTTGTGATGACACAGCTGCCAACCTCGCCGCCACCGCTGCTGTCGACGACCCTTCGGTCTCTGTACTCGCCGCCCCCAGCGTTTTCCGCGACGACACCTCAGCCAACTCTGCCACCGACACCGGGCGCGAAAAGCGCTGCATATAGGTAACAAGAGCTTCTCAAGCACGCAACTCTGTTAAAGGACTTAAGATAGACATGGTCTTGGAGCGCTCTTTCATGAACCTTATACCTCGGGTCATGATCCGAGGGAAGGTCTATAAATACAGGGACGGGAGGCTTCTCGACGCATTCAGATCCGACGGCAACTGGAGCTCTGGGCCCGGGTTCGTGGCAACGACCGCATCTACGCGGCGCAGGGAGTGGGAGACTCGCTTCAGGCCTACGGCGGCTCAGACGCGGCTTTGGGAGTGGAAGAAGTCAACTCGAAGACGAGGCACGACCCCTGAGAAGACGAGCGGCGCATCCAGTACATGGGAAGGCAGCGACGAGACGACCAAAATTACCAGCCCGGCTGCTCTAGACTGAGATCACCTCGGGCCCGCCGATGGGCCTGCGAACCAAGAGAGCTCATATGCCTTCGATGACGCCGCAGGCACAGCCACCAACCCCACGCCGGCCAACCCCGCCAAGGGCAACTATGTCAACTGGATTGACGAGGAAGCAGCCCTGGCTCGGGCATTCTCCAACCACTCAGCGGCCATGAA